ATTGATTATCAATTATTAATATAGTATATTTAGTAAGCGAGCTTAAAGGTCTTCTTAATTAAGTACTTCTAGAAGTTTATTATTAATAGTCTATATTATATTACCCTTTTAGGCTATTTCTTGATATTCTTTTAATTTTGAGCTAATTATATTAGTATATTTAATATAATCTATAATTAAATCTATGACTTATTTATTATAAGGCTACTTATATAATATTAATAAAGATTCGAAATAACATTTTGAAATCAACATAAACTATTAACTAATATCTTAATAAAGGATATCTATTATTGTATTTTCCTTAGTTAGTTAGTATTTAATTATAAACCTAAATTTAGAAAGTTACTAACTTGATTAGACTTATTATTAATTTATTCATTGAGAAGTTATAAAGTATTTTAATAATTGATAATATATTAAATTTTTAAACCGCTAAAGTTAAGATCCCTTTGAGTTTGGATTTTTTATATTTATAGAGTATAGATAACTATTAATAATTCTTTATCTTTAATTTTATAGTTTAGCTTTATTACTTATATCGTTTTTAAGAAAAAAGGTATTAAATATTAAAAGTCATTATCTTTACAATATTATATAAGTACTACCTAATAAACCTAAGAATTAGAATTATAACTAGAATTAGCTATTTAGGCTTATTATGACCGCAGAAAGCCTAAAATTAAACCGTGAGCCTAGGAATTTAACGTTTTATATAACATACTATACAGACAGCTCTACGGTTATATATCTTATAAAAACCATATCTTAATAAATAGAGCACTTCATAAAGATTAGGAAAAAGCTTTATTTAGCTAAATCACTATACTAGACGATACTAGGTATCTACTAAATATAAAGACTATTCAATATAAATAAATTTAATATTAGTCTCGCGCGATATATCGCGAACTACGCTATTAAATAAAATTAGGTCTATTATTTTCTATACCGGATTCTATTATAACGTAGTCTTAAATAGATTATATAACAGCTTTAATAACTAAAAAGAATAGCCGCCGAAGATATTAGCTTAATTATAGCTTAGTATAATCGCTTTAATATATTCGTTACTACGAATAAACTTATACTTAGATAAATCTATAATATAGATAAGACCGGGTATTAAATTAGATAAAGTAAGCTATGATAACTATTATCAAAAAGTCTAACTATATATATACTAAATAAAAGTATTAGTATTAAATTTATTATAACCGATGTCACGAAGAATTCACGATCATGGATCTAGAACCGGTTCTATCGTCTCCTACCGTCTTTATAGAACGTGATTTATATGATTTGATTGATGCCTTAGGCATTACTTCCTTAATTATTTAAGGCGTTATTTCTTTCTTCTCCTTCTTTCTTTCCTTCCTTATATTTAGTACTTTAGTTAAATATACTCTTTTTCATTAAGACTTAGCTTATAATATAATACTAAATATTACTAAAACACCTTATCGAGTAGTACGATGATATAGACTATTATTATAATTAGTTTTAGTCTTACTTACCCTACTTCTCGTTCCTTAGTATTATAGAGCTAAGACCTCCGAATTAAACCGAAAAGATCAATAAAACCAACTAATTAGTAATAAGAATAACTAATTCGAAGAAGAAGACTCCTTATATAACTTAAAGCTAGTAAACGAGGCCTATTAGTATTAATAATTAAGAAGAAACGACTATATATAATCGGACTTTAATTAAAATCCTCTCCTCTAACCTTTCGCTATTAATATAAGGACGAAGCTAAAGTACTAGTATTGATCTAGCTTATTTATGTCTAAACTTACTAACGGTACGTAATACCCTTACTTAATATAGATATGTAATCACGCTTTAAAATACTGATCAAGAAGTATAAAGAGCTCGAAACTAAATTTAACAATTTTAGAGGCTAAGGAGAATACTATTAGTAAAGAACTTAAAGAAAGTATTATACTCTAAGAGCGAGCTAATAAAGAACGCGAGAAAGTAATCGCTTATTTAATAATTATAAAGGATAAAGAAAAGATAGTAATAAATACCAAGAATAAGATACTATATTAGTTATTATATTAAGAAATTATTGACGTAATATACTAATTATAAAGGCTATAACTATAACCTTTTATATTTAGAAAACGATTTAAATACTTAATACTCTTATAGTGAGTAATAATAAGTTCGCTTCGAAACTTAATAAATAATAATCTAATATAAACTACTTACTAATATAGATTATTATCCTAATCTAATCTATAAACTAACTTATATCTAAAGCTATTCTAAAGGAAAGATATAGCTATCTATTATACTAGAAATAGATCCCGAAATAATTACTCCTTAAATTAATATAAAAGATATCTTTATATATTTAAAAATAGTATTTATTAATTTAAATAAAAAAGGCTAAGGTATATACTTTGTTTTATAAATTAAAAATAAAACTAAAGGAGAATTTTATAAATTTTCTAACTAGCTTTATATAGCTCGCTAAAGAAGTATATATTCTAATTAAAAACTATAAGATCTTTATCTTATACTATTATATCTACTTTAAATATAAGTAATACTTTGAAAGAATTAAAGTATAGTATCTTTAAATAAGTTTATTTAGATTTATATTAACTTATCTTATAATATTAATATTTAATAACAATCCTAAATAGTAAATAATCTGTTTATTATATCTATCTCTATGTTATTAGTATCTTAATTTATATATATATTCAAATATTGCTAAGTATAACTATAACATTCTTAGTTAAAGAGTAAGAAGGTAAAGTAATAAGATTATTTACTTAGTTAGACCTTTTTAAAAGCATTACTATTATTACTAAATATATTAATCTTCGCCTTTTTAGTTATTAAATTAACAATATAATAATTTCGTCCGTTTCAAGGTAATTATTTATAAACAATCTTTTTTCTTAAAGTTAGAAAAAGTAATACTAGAATTGTCTTTTTTATCTCTTTTATATTTTAAGGACTTTTTAGAGTTATCTTATTATAAGGAATAAGATCCTCCTTTATAGCTATAGCCTTAAATTCTATGTCCTTAACCTTAATTTTAATATTCTTTATTGTATTTCTTCTTCTTCTTCTTATTATTGGTATCATTAGACTCAGATTTTATATAAATTAGCTTTATTTTATTTTTACTTATTATTTTAATGTCTCAATCTTTTTTAATTTTTTAAAATTTTTTTTTTTAATATATCTTAATATTATATTAACTTAATTAATAAATTATTAACATATTAAGAAATATTATTCAATAAGGTATCTTATAAAAAGGTCTCAATATACTAACTATTCTTTGGTCTTTTTTAAAAAACATTTCTTCAAGGATTTGAGATATCTTTCAACCTTATAAAACTATTATATTATTTATCATTCTATAATAATTTAAATAATTTACATTTAAAGTCAAGATAAGTTTTAGATAAGCCCTTAGTCTAAACTTTGAAGTAGTTCTGTTTTTAGCCGCTTTATGTTCAATTTATAGCCGCTTTATGGTCAATTTATCACTAATTTAAGATAAATTTCTTTATAGCTTTTATACATTAAAACTCCGGAGTATCAAGCTAGGTATTGCAATCTTAGAATATAAAGTTCTCCATAAAAAAGAGATATAAATCTTAATTTCTCCTTTTTTATATAAGTGCATTATTATCTAAGATTAAGTTATTATAAATTTATATTTATTTCGCTTTCTTATTGAGACTATTAAGTTTATTCATATTTTTACGGTCTTTTATTAAAGTATATATAATTTTTCTATAATTTATCTTTATTGTAACGGTCTTTGGGATCATACAATAGGAGACAGATCACCAAGACTGCCAAGCACTCTTTCCAACCTTTAGCCTTTTCCCATCAGGGTTTTGCCTGGTTGGTTTTAATGAGGCTACGCAGGACGAGGAGTAATGGATCCGACCATGTAACGGGAATGTTCCGTCTACGAAAAGGATTCGGACGTAGTGTCACCAACGAAGATGGAATCGCAATAAGTGATACCGACAGAGATAATGTGCCCCTGGGAGCTTCGTCCAAACGGGGCATAAAAGGGGGATAACTCCCTGGCCCCTATCTGGGGAACAAGAATTAGTCTCTGTACAAGAATACTATATCGTTGACGCTCCTCCACTTATTCATTACCGATCCATCATCGTATCTTACCGGATTGACAGGCTGATCACCCCTGACCTGGTAATCTTCTTACATATTGTATGGTCTAAAAGACCATTACAAATAGATATAGCACGCGACTAACTATATAGATATTAGAGTCCTAGACGCTATAGAAAGATATATCACATCTATAGATCTACTTTATTGGAATTTTTATATTTAATTAGCTATATGTTTATAGGTTATAGAGGTTAACCGCCGAGTTACCCTTTTAGCTCGTAATTAAGACTTAGTAGAATCTGTCTGAAACATAGACTCTATACCTATAAATTAGAATATATATGTCTCTCATAATACACACAAACTACTAAAATTTCCTTCCACTATAAACTAATAGATTCTAGTTCATTTCCCCCTAAAACTAGTATAAGGTATACCAAAAAGAAGATATACTCGATGATTTCCTAAGTCATATATAGTTGTAAAGAATTTGTTTGTGAGTAGAGAGAAGTTTGTATAAAACAACAGTAAATAACAGTAGTTTGTCAGATGTATCATCTATTTCGTGCAGCTCAATTAGGAAATAATCATTCATTTGTGGGTGACGCGGGTCGGTAAGGTTAAATCTTGGCAGAGCAATGCGGGTTGAGGGTCGGCTCCCAATTCGCTATAAGGGAACCCCGACCCGCATACGGTCGGTTCATAATTCCAATTTGGGTGACTTGTTGCGGGTGAGGGCGAGGTCTACTCAGGACACCCAGTATATCAGATATATCCCTAAGCGTATATAACGGCGCGAGTAACCCGTCAAAAAGTAGGCAAGCAGCAGATTATGCATAGGAATTTTCTACTATTCGTACATATCATCAAATTGATGATCACCCTGACTCTTTGGCTGTTATGATCTCGAGAAGAAGTGGTTTGTTCAACAAAACCTTCTTAGCCGCCTCGTCGCCGGCTGCTGCTTTACTCAAGCCCTGCCCAGTCCCAAGGAGCCTCCGAGTCCACCCCCATCCCGTGAGATATAAAGCAATAAAAAAGGTTTGAGTGCCGCCTTTCTGCTGTATGGACGGGCGTTCCTCATTGTATTCCAGTTTCACATTTTTACCCATGATCTTTTGGGCGAGCGCCTCTTTAGAGCGCAATTCGCCCTTTTGATGACCCAAGCCCTTGAGAATGGGCATCCACAAACCAGTCAGCCACATTTCAGCTGACTCATATCCGTTGTCTGGGTCGGACAATATGATCGCAGCAATATAGGCCTCGAAGACATCACCCTTTGTTTTAGTCCATCGTTTGGACTGATTGCTGTAATTTGGTGGCACCGAAACCCTGCGGTCAAACCCGAAGTTTTCTGCAAAGCCCGAAAGTGTTTCATTTTTGACAAGAGTTTCCCGAATCTGTGATATTCGACCCGCAGGTAAATCTGGAAACATATCCCAGATAATTTTGGTTGCAATCAGCTCAATGTATGCATCACCGAGAATCTCGAGTCGGTCGTATGTCGCATTGTTGCTGTTGCTCATAGCCGGATGGGTAAAGACCGCCGATTCTAGCCTACCATCCAGGATTGGGGGTGGCGTACGCATATTGGATTCACTGTGGTTTGACTGTGTATCTGGATGAGTCCGAAGCGAATCCCCGGGTGGTAATGGCTTTTTGGCCCGACCAAATGCTTCATTTAGCCTTGAGACTGCGCTCATAATTTCTGGATCAGCGCCAGTTGTATTGGGGTCATTAGATATTTCTTGCACAAGTTGTTGGAGAAGAACGTGACGAGAATTGCTGCTCGTCTTAGCTAAAGCTCCAGTGACAGAAGATTTCATATCCGAGGGTCCAGTTGAGTGATGAAGCTGGATGCGCGTCAGTAATACGCTTTGAATCGAAAGGGTGTAATTTAATTTACCTTTGATCGATTTGGTGAGCTGGTGAAACCAGCGATAGATGCTGTTCGTTTCATGTTTGCGCTCACCCTTGGATCTTTCGGATTTCTTGAGCCCATTGTGTCCTTGCTTTCAAATGATAATATCACTTGTTATGTAATAACTACCATTCATCTATTCGTTTCAACAGAATCACATGTATGTTTTTTTTTCCCTTCTATACTTAGAAGGCGGTGTAAGATGGTCACATGATAGTACCCGCAAACTTCACTATCTTGTGATAAGATCCTCCAGCAATGGTCAACAGTTGCCTTTGTATCCCCTTCATGGTTTGGTCAACATTCTGAGGAAAATGGCACAAAGTCGGATTTTGGATCTGGTCAAAGTTCGTACACGTTTTTTTCTAACCCTCTTGATCCTGTGCTGACAGATTGCCATATTCAAGACCCAATGCCGCATATTCTCCCTTAATTTCAACCCCCAACGCCTGCGACTGGGAAACAAGGTTTTGAGACAACGATTGCGTGGCCCGGCTCTCGCGGCTTGGTACCCCAAGAAAACTGTAACTTTCCGCGATTTACAAAATACTTACAAACCTCTCGGATTGACGACATTCGACGAGGCTGAAGACGATAGAGAAGAAGCTATTCAGATGTGAGTGTATCTCTTACCTTAGACAGACAAAATCGAAACTTTTACTAAATGTCATCCACAGCGCCAAGTCGCGAGGAAAGGGCCGACCTAAGAAGAAGCGAACTGCTGCAGGTAGTTTCTCCGATCCTTCCCTTTGCCAGAAAAAAACTAACTCGTATAGAATCGAGGTCTGCGAAAAAGAAGAAATGATCTATTCCCCTCAGTCTCAATAAACCTATGTCAACCGGGTGAATATCAGCACCTATTCATCCAGCATTCTGTGTTATTAAGCTTGTATAATGCTTGTACAATGCTGTCTGCGCTAGCCGCAGCTCCGCCCTGCCTCCTGTTTCTTGTTGTCTCTTGTCTTTTAGTCCCCGTGAATAGGCTGATTACCAAAATGAGCATATTCAAGTTTGTACAATATGATTTCGATCTCTTATACCAAGTGCACCCTTGTCATCATAGGACTAGAAAATTGCCAAATTCACCCTAACCATTGTCTTTTAGGGCTATAGAGTCTGGTGTTAATTAACATGCAAGTATAGACATCGCAGCAGGTAGAAATAGAGATAAATACTATCTTAATTTGAAGAGAGAGAGAGAGAGAGAGAGAGAGATACTTACGTAGTTATCCAGATGGCTATAGAATCTTGAGAATCTTGTGCCTTCAACTTTTGTTGCACTTGGGCAAAATCATAGGCGGTCAGCCACGTGACCAACATGTACAGCACTACATAATCTGGTTGGTCGCGCGCTCTTGATCACTGATATATCACGCCCTCCCCTCGACACAGGTTATCAATTTTATCCCTTTCATTGCGTATTATCCTGCTTTCCTCACTGGCTGCCACGCCTCTAGCGCGGCTGTCAATCCTTACAGACATCATGAAACCGACCAAGAGCAAGAACCAGCTTAGAAGGGCTAAGAAAAAAGCACAGAAAGCTGAGGTGAGCCCTGATCACTTCAACTCCTATGGCATTATCAATTGGCACTCTACTAATATACGCGAAGCCTGCACCATTACCCATTGATAAAGAAGAAACAACGAAGGTGCTCCCGTCAACTTCCACTACACAGGAATCACCGGCTGACCCCAGCGATGATCTCCTCGAGCCAAGTGATTCTTTGTGGGAAATGTACAAGGACGTCGCTAGCAAATTCGACGAAACAGCGATCGATAACTTGTCAACCAAGGAGTCTGAGAAACCCCAGGTTTTTTTCGACGACGGCGATGACATCCCTGATGAAGAGCAAGAAAGCGAGCCGAAGATCTCGAAGAAGAAACGAAAAGAAATGAACAAACTATCCGTTGCCGAGTTGAAGGCAATGGTCCGGAAACCCGAAATAGTCGAGTGGACAGACACCTCTGCCCCCGATCCTCGCCTCCTAATTCACATCAAGGCCCACCGCAACGTGGTCCCTGTTCCTTCTCACTGGTCGCTCAAACGAGAGTACCTTTCATCCAAGCGAGGAGTGGAGAAAGCACCATTTGCGTTACCCAAATTCATACAGGAAACCGGAATTTCCGAAATGCGCGATGCCGCTTTAGAGAAGCAAGAACAGTCCTCCTTGAAACAGAAGCAAAGAGAAAGAGTCCAGCCGAAGATGGGAAAGTTGGATATCGATTATCAAAAGCTCTATGAGGCCTTTTTCCGATTCCAAACGAAGCCAGAGTTGACCCGCTATGGCGAGATCTACTATGAGGGCAAAGAATACGAGACCAACCTTAAGCACCTTCGCCCCGGTGAATTTAGTGACGAACTAAGGGAGGCTTTGGGTATGGCACTGGGAGCTCCTCCTCCATGGCTAGTCAATCAACAACGATGTGGTCCTCCACCATCTTACCCAGCCTTAAAACTTCCGGGCCTGAATGCCCCCCCTCCACCTGGGGCGACGTGGGGTTATCATCCGGGAGGATATGGTAAGCCACCAGTCGATGAGCACAACCGCCCATTATATGGCGGTGATATCTTCGGTGTGCTACAACCCCAGCAACAAACCCAACAAGGAGAGCCGATTGAGAAGGACCTTTGGGGAGAACTACAGGAATCAGAAGAATCTGAGGCGGAGAGCGAGGCAGAGGACGAGGATGAAGAAGAGGAAGACAGTGAAGTCGAAGCGGAAGGAGACACTCGCTCTCCTAGCGGTCTGCAAACCCCCAGTGGCATGGAGTCGACAGTTCCCTCCGAATTTGTCGCTGCTGAAAATGTTGCTGGGGAGTTTGATGTGCGCAAGCACCATCGTGGAACCGAAACCGAGGAATCTATTCACCCCCGCAGTGCTTATCAAGTGATACCCGAAAGACAAACCAATGTGGAAGGCTTCTTTGGTGGTGATAGAGCATACGATCTCAGTGGTTCATCAGGAAAACCTCCGGTACTCGGTGCTGATGACCAAACCCGAAAGCGTAAGAAGCCCGGGGATGTGGAAGTTTCTGTCGATCTGGATGCGATTCAATCCGGCGACGGCATTAGCAAAGAAAGTCTTCAAAGCATGTACGAAACACAGAGACAGCAACAAAACCAGCCGAGTTGGGGTTTTCAAGAGGACCTAAGTGACATGATTGCACAGGAGAGCCGCAAAAGATTGCGAAAGGAAGAAGAAAGACGAACCAAGTCTTAATTCCAATTTCGCTAATGGTTTAATTTGGGCGCTTGTCACACGGGCATCGGTGTTTTGGCTACCTTCTTTTATTATGTACTATTTTATGTTCAAGAACATGATCTCTGTAATGTACTATTGACAAATTTGAATGATTAATTCATAATCAGTACAAATATCCATATATATACTTTGAGAGAGAGAGAGAGCTGTTTAGAATGTACATATACAAAAGTAATTGTATGGAGGTGTGGATTATTTCCTAAAGGAGTTTAGCTTAACTTTAATCGTCTCGACTTTGGGCTCTTCTTCAATCTTCAGCTCCTTGAAGAGGAAACAAGAAAAGTACTCTTGTGACAACTGTACTTGCTTTCGATTTCCTCTTCTCACTCAGGATCATTAAAGCTCTGTTCAAGGTCTCTCTATTTTTCTTTCTTGCCTTTGGGCACAATGGATTGGGATCGCAGAAGGTTCGTCGCAACTTGAACATCTGAACATGATCACCTTTCTAACGATTTTTTGTTCAATTCTTTAGATTTGAGGATCGAAGAGGAGGAGAAAGCTATCGCCCGGCTGAGCGAACTGGCCGCTCACCTTCGCGTGGGTACGAAATTCGTCACCGACGTTCGCCACCACGCACTCGTTCTCCTCGACCACGAAGCCGCTCTCGACCACAGGCTGACACATGGGTTCCGCCATCTAATAGAGGGTATGGGCGCCCACGAAGTCGCTCCCCGTCAGCATTCCGGCGCCGCTCTCGTACTCCGCCTGGAAGAAACTTTGGCCCAACTTCCTACGAAAGAAGGCGTTCTCCACCAAGAAGATTCTCACCCAGAAGAGATGAAAGAATAAGATCACCGCCACAATCTTGGCGCTCAAAATCGCCGTTCAGTGATGGGAGATCACGCGACGCATCTCGTGCTCGTACCAGTCCGAGACGGCTCCGCGATACAACCCCAGGTAGTCAGATCATCCGCCCGGCTAGGCGAGAGGGCCCCGTAGCTCTGAATATCGATAAAGCGTCGAACTCATCTTCATCACGACAACCGGATGTCTTGGTATCACAGAGCCCATCCCATGCTCCCCGCCTTGATCCCCTGCCGGATGGGGCAAATCGTACATCACCTCTACAAGCTCTGTCCTCACAATCTGGTGCGCTATCACGGCATTCACCGTCAGCTGCAGAGAAGGCAGGTTTCCTAACCAATGGACCTCGGAGTCGATCGCCAATTTACTCAGCGCCGTTCCAGCGTTCCTCGCAACCCACAGGCCGATCGCCCTACCGGGATCAATTCCACGACGTGGAACTTTCCGGCTCCCACAAGCGGGCAGATTATGAGGATCGGATGCCTGATGGTATTATCTCGCCTTCCTCGGTTACTGAAAAAGCCCTTCATGACCATCCGAGCGGACCCAGAATTAGCGGCAATATTCCAACCCAGCCAAAGAATCACAGCGCCAGCCCTCTGTCACAACCTCCGTCCGGACCTTATCATGGATCAAGACCGCCATCTAACCCGCATCGTGGTCCTCAGAACGTTTCTTTACTGTCGGCACCGACGCGCCCTCGCCGTGGACCTGGCTCACGGGAACCTTGGTCAGGCAATCCCCCGGTACGCCGTGGATCGGCTGCACCATCACACGGTCCGCCCGTAGGCCCCCGAGCCTCTTTCTCGCCCCCTACACCAGGTGGAGGGTTCCGGCATTCGATTTCGCGGCAACCCAATATTACATCTACAACTCAATCCTCAGTCCAAAGGGGACCGAATCATCTAATAGGGCTGAGTACTCTCATTCCAGAAGGGAAGAGTCTTCCGTCTCTCCTGGATCCCGCTGTGGAGAAGCGATTGTCTCAACTTGATGCGGATAAAGAAAAACTCCTTGAGCAAATTGCAGAAACACAGAGAACTAAACGAGTGGAGCTTCGGGATTGGGACCGATTGGACCGCGAAAGCGCAATCTGTGCCCTTAAGAGTGAATTGGCTGAAGGTCATCTTCAGCGAATGGCTGATGAAAGCATTGGAGGTGGCATACTGTTCTGAGCATAAAAGGATGCTTTTCTGGCGTTACTGTTGGGTTGTCTTTTGAAGGTATGGGCTTTTGTATCAGATATGACCTTTGACGACTTACTACACACAATGATTTAATTTCTACAACAAATTTCTACAACATTATATGCCTGTATAACTATATACATTTGTATTTACCTAACTAATAGTCATGTTTTACTAGTTACGTTAGTATGTACAAAGTAGTTATGTGGTAGCTTGTGAGGAATTTAAGGTACATATATCTACTTCTGTAGAAGGTATATCACCTGTTAAATTAAGTATCAAAGATACCTATCAAAAGGTACTTTTAAGTACCGGGTACTGCAGGGGTAATACATGTCGCGTACCTGTGATCTGCAAGTAATTTAACCCTTCCGCTTTCTGCCTCCGTGTCAACAACTTTGTACTCTTTGACTTTTGACTCTTGACTCTTGACTCCAGACGCCAGACTCTCTAAATCTTTCCTACCAATTCGCGCATATCCTACAATCCTACACAATGAATATCTTTCGGCTTTTAGGTACTTTGAAACCCCAAAATCGAGAACTACAGAACCATCACTGATCCATCGCAGCCGATTTCTCCCATCTGGCGTCGATCTTCATGCTACTCCAGAAAATGAAGACGTCTAGCGTATGTTCTTCATGGCTATATATATGACTCGCAGCTAACACAATGTGCAGAGCTGTTCTGGATTGTCTTTTAAATCACAGGTGCTGTATCTCCTCGTTTTTATCACTCGTTATCTCGGTGGGTTTCCCATGACATACTTGTCGACTATTGCTCATGCGCCTTTTAGATCTCTTTTGGACATTTACTGAGTCCCTATACCTCACTACGTTCAAACTTCTCTTCATTGGATCCTCGGCCTACGTCATTTATCTCATGCTCAACGACTACAAACCCACGCATGATCCCAACATTGATACTTTCAAGGTTCAGTACCTCTTGGGAATCAGCGCCGTGCTCGCAATCCTTTTCCCACACGACTATCGCGTTTCCGAGGTCAGTATATTCTTGACACATCTCGTCAGCAGACCCGAACTGACTTTATACAGATCCTCTGGACCTTTTCGATCTGGCTGGAATCGGTCGCAATTTTGCCCCAACTCTTTATGCTCCAACGAACCGGAGAAGCAGACACGATTACCACCCATTACCTGTTTGCCCTAGGTCTATATCGAGCACTCTACATCCCCAACTGGATGTACCGGTACTTCACTGAAGCCGCCTTCCAACGTTCCTTCCAACCTGTTCCTATTCTCGCGGGCATTATCCAAACCCTGCTATACACGGACTTCTTCTACATCTACTACAACAAGTAAGCTTAGTTTCTGCAATAGCACCAGGGGGACAAGCGCTGACTTTGATTGTCTCTCTAGGGTTTTGAAGGGCAAGAAGTTCTCGCTTCCTGTCTAGGAGATACATATTAAAGCAAACAGAGAAAACAAATTGTGCCGAGTGATTGACCACGGCTCACTGATCTCTAAGATCAGCCTCAAGGCTATGACCAGGCCACATCCAACACCAACTACCATCTCTCGGGCCAGCCCACAACGCTCAAGTTCAACGGGTGGATGGGCCATGAATTAATGCTTTCACGTTCAGTAGCCTCGGAAAATATCCGAATATATTTGCTGATCACTAAAATCAAAAGTTGATACCGGTTGCATCACTTGGGAAATCTGCACGACTCAACTAAATTGAAGTGTGTTAAACTGTTGATTCCAATGTCTCCCAGTAGGTGTTGCTTTGAGTCTAAATGTGAATACAATTGATTTGCCAATGCCAACATCTTCCCTGCTCTTGCCCACGCTGAGAATCAATAGATATATATATAAATCTATATATGTATGTGTGTATCTCTGCGTGGTCATGTTTCGGACCAATGCAGTGGTGTGTCACAGCCTGGTTAGAAGGGTTCGAAATTCGACTCTTTTTGTATTTTTTTTTAGTTATCTCTTTCTCTTTTGATATAGTATTTTACTGCTAGAGTGTTTCCATATCCAAATATTCAGGTATATTGCCTGAACCTGTGCACCGAATCCAGATGAATCGAGAAAACCCCTAGTAAGACACTTTTGTGGAGTACACTACTCGGTATACTCATAACAAAACACCAAAACCATAAGACCAGGGTAATCAGAAGTCCCTCTGGGGTGGAGCGCCATGTGTGGCCACATAGCCATTCGTATAAGTCAACTGAGATGGAGGAATGGACAAATCAGTCGAGAAAGGGTCCAATGTTCCGGCAATTGAGTGTGAAAGATTGCCCATTGGAGCTTGGTATGACCGAGCTCCATTGCCCAGGGCTGAGCGGCTTTGAACATTTTGGTGGCCATCTAGCCAACCATTGTGGCCATGCAAATGACCAAAATAATCCGGTGTTCTGTCCAGATGCATTTGACCACTAAATGTGGATTCTCGCCGCGAGATTGGGGGCGATGGAAGCTTCGGAGAGCGAGGGACCATATCGAGCCTGGGGGAACTTCTTCGTGAATTGGGAGGCGTCAAACGCGAGCCTCCACGGCGTACCTGGCAGGTTGGGCATATCTTGACAAAACGAGAAATCAGCTCTTTTGGTACCCTAATTCTACAGTTAGTAGAATCCCAAATAAATAGATATAATTCAATTTTGCCCACCATGAATAGATCCGTCGGACCTGCGCAGAAGTCTTGTCTCGACCACCATGTTGACACTGCTGATGAGCCTTGGTGAGAATCTTGAACAATTTTTCTCGAATTGCAACCGGTTTGCCTTCATGGCAGATCATCTTCCTGCCCTATGTTGCAATAACTTTGATCAGCACTGCCGAAAAAAACAACCGAAGGAAAGAGGTACCTACATCCGATGCTCCAATGCCCACAGCTTGTAGCTTGAACATTTTTTTGACCCAAAACCTGATTCGGTTAGCAAAGCAAATAATTGCATGTATGAAAATGCCTCCCATACCGAAATTGAGCCGACTCCACCGCCGTATCCTTTGGATCAATCAGTACAGTCCTGATGTTTCGGGCTCGTTTAGCATAAATCAATGCTTTATCTTGCTTCTTGATGGAGAGATCCTCTACGTAGCTGGAAGAATCGATTAGCTTCAGACATAGGAGAGACATATCACAAAGCACCCACTTTTGCATGAGTTGATCAAACTCCTTCACGTCAGGGAAACCGCTGAGTGGAGGCACTACAGCCTCGGACAGCAATGTCGCCTCGTTGCGAGATTCCTGGCTTTCAATCTCTACATCACCCAGTGAATCGCGTGGCAGATACCTCGATGCTTGAAGATATCGCGATTGAGTGACATACTGTGGCGAATGGTGTAGCCTAGGATCGTCCGGAGTTGTCATCGATGGAATCGAATGTTCCGAGGTGTATTGCAGATGTTGTAAACCGGGAGACAGGCTAGACTGTGGGCCATAGGGTTGCCCAAATTGAGAACCGTATGGATTGAAGGAATGCTGGGGAAAGTGATATGAGCCGGATCCATGTGTGTTGAAATCGTGGCTTTCTTGTTTAAACTCATGGCTCTCTGGTTGGCCATAAGATCCAGGCACTGCCATTTGGTGATTCATAATAAAGGCATCATTCCCCTCGTTGCGTCTTGCAAAGCTGCTCATAGTTGACTTTTCTTTTATTTTCCTGCGAATGCGGAGGATTGAATGCCCAAAAACAAACTGTTCAGCTCGCCTCGTCTTCCTTAAGCAGACAGCAGATAAATAAAATAAAAAAGCTGACGTAACGATTCTTTTGATGTGTACAAGCGATGGGAAAGTGACTGGCAATGGTAGCCTGTCAACAAGAAGGTTTAGACGTTCGTCCACCTAGATTTCATGTGAGAAATAATGGTCACAGTACTGCCGATATGAAAGTATGAGTGGAGCTATATAATATCACAGCTCGATGATAAAATGTAGTGAAAGAGAGAAGAGAAATAAGTCACTGGAGACCTATCTTGAAACGGGATAGCAATTCTATTAAAAAGATCGGACAAATGTTGCAGGACTGACATGGCTGATGCCCAAGAGCACGAGACCATGTCGAAACAGATAGTGGACAGAAACAACAGAGGTCATCCCTGGAAGACGAACAGCAAATATTCCACAGAGAAAAAGAAATGGAGCCAGGCGAGTCGAGCAAAGCTCTGTAAGGTACGGAAGCATAGGTATTACCAAAGCTTGCAGGGAAGAGAATGACATGGGCCCGGGAAAAGGAAAAAAGAAAAAAAAAAGAAAAGAGAGCAAGCGAATGGACTGGGGTTCGTAGTCCATTCTTTCCGACCCGCCGAAGGTAGAAGGGTGTAGACTGATACGACAGCGCACAGGTGATACGGATTCCTGCCTCGATGCCCTGAAGGTCAATCAACGCCACCATTTTGCCTCAGAGCCACGTTGAGGATGGGAGGTGGACAACGTATTCGAGGCACCCTATCGGAGGACTGCAATGACCGGGGTGGAAACAGTCGACATGATTTGCCTAAAGAAAAAAGTAAGTACAGCGGGGGGGGGGGGCAAAGTCATCATCTCCCCGACTTTTCCTATACTTAATGCAGGATCACTGTAGATGTGAACATATCTCTCCCCTTGGGACGTCTTTGTCTCTGCACGTTTGCCTCCGATCAAACAAAGTCGGCAGGAGATTCCAAAGTGCGTTTTTTTTTTTTTTTTTTTTTTTTTTTCATAACAAAAAGAGGAAACATGCAAGTAGCCGTTCCAATTGGTAAGGAACATGGGTTGGGATGTGCCATTTGAAGTTCTGCATATTCCTCGACCTCAGTTTCATGACAAGCAACCAGAGAGCGAGAGAGAGACAAAGATACCATTGCCCTTGGGCAATGAGAGTCGACTCTTCTAGTAAATCCTTGTTGCATAACTGTTGTACTGTGTCTGGGCCATGTTGTCCCACAGCTCCTTTTCTTTTTTTTTGCTTTTTTTTTTGGCTCTCCCTCTTTGCCAAGTATGCTTCCGGTTGAAGCGTGTTTCGGGTTTTATTTGACGTGGCCATATAATCAAGTCGACAAAAAATGACAAAGATGTCAGCCAAGAGTGGAGAGGGTGAAGCAGCAAAGTAAATCGATTGGACGAGTAGAGTTGACAGGCGCATGAGGGGGCAATCAATGCATATCGGGACGGCAGGATTGCATGCGTTTGGTCCAAAGGTGAGACATCAACTCCATCGGACTTGAAGGCCCAACACTTTCTCATAATTTCCCGCCTCAAGGTTCGGACCCTCGCAGGACAAAAAAGCAATCGCAATCTGGTCCAGTCGAAAACTGAAAAGGGGAATAGTGGACAATCTAGTAGCCGGTGTCACTCTGCTGCTTCCCGTTGATCGTCTCCATGTTCCCGGAAATGCTCTGCATAAAACTGAACTTTCTGTATCTGTATCTCCCCGAGTCCGAGGCGTTTCATTTTTGTTTCTTTCCTCTCTCTGTTTTGACTTGCATCGATCTGCGTCATGGATGTTCCTTGTAATATGCGGGTATCGAGATTTGTTGCATTGAGGATTTGTACTCAATTTCACTTGGGTCTATGATGGGAGAGAGGATGGTGAACAGAAAAAGAAAAAGAGAAGGAGAGTAGAAGAAGAAAAACAAGCAAAAAGATAAGAAGAGAGCGGAAGAAAGAAGGAGAAGAAGAGGGAACAAAAAGGGAGTATTTCCCTGCTAAACATTAAACAGTATGTACTCTAACCAAGATATAGATACAAAAAAGCATCTGACGTTCTCAGAATATGCTTTGTGAAGAAAACCGTAAAGTCATGACATCGGCCAAATCATCAAGGCCAATCAATGGGGGTCTTCATGTCGTAAGTTCGTGTGTTTGTGGTTCATTTGAGAAGGGAGGACATGTGTATCCGAGTCGAAGGCGAAGGTCTAGAGCTCCCTGGAAGCTCAGTTGCCCCTGAAATGTAGACTCCCGAGGGTTGTCTGAGTAAAGCCTCTAAGTCGAACTTCCCAAGCTATTATCAAAGCCCACTAAATCGCGAATGATCCATTTCCAATGGTTCGTGTGATCACCCCGGTCAAAACCAACCCACTTGTCAACTTTGCGTCTCCATTTTTCTTCCTCGGCCCGTTGTCGTCGAATGAACTCCGGGCCAACATCAAACTCCTCTGTCATAGGTCCTTCATCTGAAGAATCACCGCCACTTGCATCATCCCCGGTGGCTTGGGAACTGGGATCTTCAAATGCCCCGGATTTTCGTCCATGGATGGTGCTGAATGTGGTTTTGTCTTCCAAATCATCCAGGCCAGCGAATACATCATCTTCGTCTTCGAGCTCGACAGATGCGGCCTTAAGCCAGCACATGCGATGAGGATCAAAGACCATCCCACCGACGGTCTGAACGTTTTGCATCGTGCCAACATTGGTGATAAGTGCCGGTGCAGGTTTGGGTGATTTTGGGGCAGTGAGATCGAAATCAGGTATCAGATTTTCATTTCCTTCCCACCGGAAAGTCGCAGGGTTGTAACGCATGCCCCTCACAGCTGAAGAGCAAAAAGCAAGGAAGTGAGCCTGGGAAAATCATTGGGAGGGTATGGGTTGAAAGTTGTACTTACATTTGGCATCCTGAACACCAGATCCCATGGGTTTGATCAAGTGTGGTTTAGACGTCGATTTAGCGTTGGGCTTGCCTTTCCGGCTTCTGATCGTCCCAGACGCCGGAGGAATCCTTGATACTGGCTGGGCCTTCCAGTTGGAGTTGTATGTCGACAAAGAATTGGTCTCACGAGCTTTTGAGCTCATAACCAAGGACGCAATACGCTGCTCTCTTGCATTCCGGGAGGCATTTGTATCCTGGGCAAATCGTGGTGTTGGACTGCGTAACTTAGAGGTTGATGGAGACGTCATCGAGTGAGTAGGTGATTGATCAAGCGGGGGATCAACCCGACCCTGACTGAGCCTGTTCCGGACGGATCTGGGAGCACCTCGGCCGGCGGGAGTTTTTACATATTTGCTCTCTGCCAAAACCGACGTAGATAGGTCATCAAACGACTCCAGCTCTGTTCCATCGCCGAAATTGCGTTTTTTGGTGGGTCGTGTGATCGTGCGTTTTGTGTAGTGGCCAAGAGAATCAGTGCTTGTCTCGCCAGGCCCAGCACGAAAGGGCTCATTGTTTTGGGAAGATCGGGATAACCGGGTGAATGTGTCTTGTGGACTAAGAAGGCCACCAGAGCTATCGGAATTGGTACGACGTGATGAACGATATCCCTTCACACTAGCATGGTGTGACTGAGATTCTGATGCGCCAGCTGGCATAAATGGGGCCTGAGCTCTGCGACTTAGAGACCGCCCATCATTTATAACGCGATCCACTGGTGTTTTAGGCCTGGAAGTGGAAAGGCGGGCAGAACGGTCGACTGTTGGTCGTTGAGAGGTCTGTACTGAAGAAGTTGACCCGACGCCACGGATCGATGGCAGAGAACGCTTGGGTTTCAAACGCCTAGCTGTGGAATTGGCCTCCCCGGGTATGGCAGTATCCCTGGAAGCTCGAGGTGCCAAACCCCGCCGAGCAGAGATTGAAGGAGTTGGTGAGGTCGTATTGGCGTTGGATATTGGAAGACTTGAGGTTGATGACTGTGAGGAATGATGCCCTAGACGCGATTGTGATGTTCTGAATTTGGAGAGAGGAGCGCCACTCTCTGACACAGTTTCAAGATGGGTTGAGTGGGTTGAATGGGTGCGCTCATGGCCGGTCAAACGAGGGATGCGAGTTCGTGGAGATCCTGTCGTACTGGTAAATGTCAGGGTCGTTGCTGGTCGACGAGTCGGACTGCATGGTTGTTCTGTCTTGCGCTTGATGTTGGGATTCAACTCTGGCTTTCCAAACGAGAAGGCTTTCTCATTGTCGACATCAATTCCAGAAAAAAAGTCGTCAGCATCGGGATTAACATGCATCACTTGGTTATCATCCGTTTCGGTATTTTCGCTTTGTGCTAGTTGTCGTTTCTGAAGAGAAGCGCTGAAATCAAGGGGTCCTTCAGGAATGACGATACCATCTAGCCCATCATCTCCACTTTCCACTGTCAAACAGCTCGAAACGCTGGGGCTGGCAATTGAGATAGAAGAACTGGGAACAGACCGGCCATCCCGGGCAGTTCCCCCAACTCGAATGCCAATGCTTCCCTCAGACCATTCAAGATCGAAATCCTCCAAAGTGGGACTAGAAACGTAGAAATTTTCTTTCTGACGCGAAAGTGATAGTTCCAGAGGTTGATGATTCGCAGGAAGCTCGAAATCCTGGTTGAAGTCGTCGTCTGTCTCCCGATCAAAATTGACCGGTGTTATTTTTTGGGGAGATCGAGGAGTTGGGGCTTTGAGAGTTGGAATGTCCGGAAACTCCAGCCCATCAGTTTCTTCTCCAAAGGATTCAAATGGTCCCAAGACAGACTGCAAACGCGCCGAAACTTCGGGATTCCATGACGGTGATGCGGTGGATTTTACTGGGCTGGTGGCTGCAGAGCTTAAAAATCGAATGGAATCTGGAAACACTGTCTCTCGGGCTTGGAGTTTCAGGATGGCTTCGGGGCCAGGCAACTCAACATCCTCTGACCAGTCGTCAACAAATGTCTTCTTTGTCTTTCGAGTCGACAAGCGTTTGATTGTGCCTCCGATGAGTGCTGACTTAGGGATATCTGGAGGAATGGGGATGCCCGCAGTCCTGGCCGATGCAATGGCATCTTCTTTTGCAAATTCATCATTATCATAAAGGGGGACCTGCCAGTCCTCGTCGCCAGCATTGGAGTCGAGATCCGAGCGGGCCGAGCGTCGTGAGGATATGGAGTCTCGGTGCCCAGAGGGCCGGAATGACGAGTTGGTTAAGGAGCCTGCGCTGGATGCGGTACGGAACTGAATATCATCGTTGAATTGCAAATCGTCATCGTCATCCCAACATTCAATCGTCTCGTCGGGGTCCGGTCGTAGTTGTTTTGGAAATGCCTCCATGACGGATGAAGTAAATTAGGCGAGGCCACAAGCGTTGGCGATTTAGGGTCGGTACAAGCGTGCTGAGACAGCTTTGACTCAAGTAGAAGACCCAAAGCTTTGCGACACTGATGAGGATCCAGGGGGCGCGAATACGAACGTCATTCCGTGGTGGATGGGGCTAGGAGGGACGGAAGACTGGGGAGAAAAGCAAAGCTTTAGGTAGTCGTTTGTAGTAGGGATGAGTTGAGGTGTCGCAAAGCAGAGTGTCGGGGCAATCAGATCATGAGTGAATATCTAAGAATGAGAGTAATGTAGCTTCACGAGGCAATATGATAAGTGCCAGATCCCCCAAAAAACATTGGAATAGAACAATCAAGCATTGGCGACACCGACTCGAGAGGTGAAACGCAGGAATGTAAAGTGCCAAAGGGTACAGTAGAGTAGCAGAGAATCCAAGACAGAAAAAAAGGGTAGTGGCTGGATCGGATTCCTCGTGGAGGAGAGGAGACGAGACGAGAGAACGTGACAACAGTAATTTTGGTTTTCACAATACACAATAAGTTACTATGCAGTTTATTGACTATATCTTTCTTCGGGCCTTTCTTCGGAGTTTCTTCAGGTTTTCTTCAGGTACTTCTTCAAGTCTTTCTTAATATCGCTTGGAATAGTTTTCTAATGCTCTTTCAACTGTAAATGTATAGCAGCTAAATATGCTTTGACATCGTTGCGGCGGGACCCCCTTTACAATATTGGACAACTGCCCAGGTAAGATATTCGTATTATTTATCAGTACCTAATACACCGTGTAGAACAATGTACACAAAGTGCATAGCTGCATACAAATGTACATATGTACCTATATATGCAAGGTGTTGTGCTAGATATATCATTGTTATCCTACTGTGCAAGTATTTATAGCTTAAAATTGATCTCTCATAATACACATACAATAATATACAATGACTCGACTATTGATGCGCCAGTGCCAGTGGTGGTAATCTAAATCGAAACTATTATTGGGTGTAGCCAATACAAGGCGTGCGTCACATTTAATTTCGTGGAGACAAGGTATCCGCTACTTACTGATGAGGTACATTTGCTTATAACTACTCTGTAACTATACATACATACACAACATACATGTACGTAATATGTCGCTGTCTACTCGGTAAAAGTCTAGAAACAGCTTGTAATAATGTTATCCTGCTACAACAATATCAAAAGAGAGTAAGTCGCTATAACCAAACACATGGTTGTTGCAAAGAGAATATAGGTATCGAATGTATAGAAATATGTATTGAATGCGTATAGAAAAGGTAAAATTGGTCAAGTGGTTCCACCACGTCTTGTTGCCTAGGACATTCTCTTTTTCGATTGACATATAACTACACGTGTAGTACTCTGTACAATAACTAACTACATACCTTTTCTCTTTAAACCTTTTCCATACCTTCTCTTGCCTCTTGTCAAAATGTCATCACCTGACTCAACACGGGTTTTGCGGTTCGAAAGATCCGACGAGACTGAGGCTTTTGTTTTGATTCAAGTCTCGCATAACGGTCCTGCGCCACTTGATCTGACTCTCACGGCTACTGAGGGGGAGTCTCCCTATGTAAATCTGGGTGGGTTTTGTTGTAAACATGACTGGAATTCTTAAGCTCATGTCGCACAGTGAAACAGACACGCCTGAAAGATCTTCGAGCACAGAATTATCAAGGATCAGATGATGAATGGGTCAAAATTGTGGCCCTTGTTCTGGGTCAATCTTCTGCTCCCTCTGATGACGCGGATTGGGCCACAGGCCTAGAAGTATCGGCCATTATATCGGGCTCCGGCCAAGACGACAAAGAGCTCGTCATCACCATACGCAAGCGAGTGCAGACCATAACAGTTCGTTTCTCACGGTAGACTCTACAGTTGCATGGAGACTGACACTAGATAGCAAAAACTTGGGACTATAACCCTCAAACAAGAAGATGAACAAGCCATCGAGCTCTTCGAGTGGACTGGAATTACCACGGCTAGAGCAGATAAGCTTGAAGGACAAGTCTCCGACTTGACTCGTCGTTATAGTCTTACTGAAAAAACCATCAATAGGCTCAATCGACAACTTGAAGAGCTTATGCATGCTAAAGTCCAGCACGAAAATCAACTGGTGTCAAATTTCGTGCAAATTTTAAATGAGAAAAAGCTGAAGATCCGTAACCAACAGCGCCTTTTGGCAGCGGCCACTGTGGATCCCGCTAAAGGTCAGTGGGAGATACCATGGATATGAACCATGAACATGCCAGTTGACCGATTATCCGTAGTCTCAGAAATACAAGCTCGCATTCCCGCCGAGTCCTCAGAAGCAACGGGTACATCCCAGCCCGCAAAGAGAAGTGCTGGCAATTTAAGTGATACAGAAAGCTCCTCCGATGATTTCGAACGAATGGATGTTGATCCAACGAAGAACGATCAAGGGCCTGCCAATGAGCAAGAAACGGACGACGAGCACTCGACTCCAGAGCCGGTGGACGAACAGAACAATAGCTCTACGGATGATGATTCGTCTGAAGATGAGCCTGTCCAGCTGAAGCGTGTGACTCCAGCAAATGCAACCGCTCCGCCCCAGAGAGAGTTGCCATTTACCAAAAGGACTGGGCATATCACCAAGAGCGCCACTCCGATTAGGGCAGCGGAAGACCCAGAGGAAACTGGCGGTGAAACGGATGACGATGAGCTCTAGATTAGCCATAGGTTACATCAGACAATAACATTTAATCAATAATATACGCTGGTTTACGGATAGCAGCACTGAGTCATCATCCTCAACGCCGATGGATTCGGAATTTTAGGGGCTCAGTCTTTTTATGTACAAATCAACCACCACGATTGTTCCCAAACGACATCGTAAGACAGCGAAGAGGTCAACAGAAACCGGAAGGGTGTTCAAGACGACAGGGAAAAAAACACAGAAGATGAAAAAGGAAACAGTACATCAAGAGGGAAATTTAAGATGTGGTACAATAGGAACGCCTGCAACCATTAAAGAAACACAGAATGTGGTCAAAATAGACGTCGATCTAGCCGTACAAAGCCTGGGGAGACATTTCTCCTGCGGCCATGAAGTTGGTCTCAGGGTTTCCAGTAGCCTTGGCAGCGGAGGCGCGGGCCATGGTGGGTGAGCTAGAAATAAAGTTAGCAATGTAAGAACAAAACAGAGACATGCGATGAGATACTGACCTTCTGGAAATAGCGTCAGTGAAGAAGAAGTCCTCAATCACCTTCTTAAAGGGTGCGCCAGTGGCTGGGGACCCCCTGTTTTGGTCCACAAGCTGGACCTTGCTCAATGATCCAACTGAAGTAGGCTCGACAACGTCGTATCGACGCATGACAGGGCTGATTTCCTCCATACGATCACGGAGAGCCTCAATATCATCATAAGGCAAAGGAGCACCGAGGAATTCACTAACCGCACGGATGATCTTCCAGTCATCACGGGCGGCACCGGGGAGAGAAGTGGCAGCACGGGTGACCTGCACACGACCTTCAGTGTTGATGTATGTGCCAGACTTCTCGGTGTAAGCAGCACCAGGAAGAACGACATCGGCAAGTTGAGCACCGCGGTCACCGTGGTGTCCCTGGTAGACAACAAAGGCGTCCTTGGGGATCTCACTCTGGGAGACTTCATCCGCACCAAGCAACCACAACATCTTGGGGGTGGTCTGAGCAACCTCTGTAGATGGAGCGGTGAAACCAACCTCGTAGGCAGCGGCACGAGAGGCGGCGCGCTGAAGGACATTATAACCTTGCCATTCAGGGGTAATGAAGTTGTTGGCATGCTTCTCAACGAAACCACCCACAGCCTCAAAGATTGCCTTTGCGTCAGGGTGTTCGGCAGCAGCGCTGCCAACAACAATCATTGGTCGCTGGGCAGCGGCAAGCTTCTTGCCAAATTCTCCGGACAAAGCGCTCTTCAGCGAAGAGACATCGGTACCGAGGTGGTTGAAGTCAAAGGTGCTCTCAAACTCCTCACCGACAAGGCCAATCTCGAGATCAGATCTGAGGTACTGCTTGCGGATACGGGCGTTAAGAACCGCAGCCTCGTGACGAGGGTTTGTCGCAACCAAAAGGATTGCATCTGCCTCCTCGATTCCGTAGATCTTGGAGTTGAACAAGTAGTTGGAGCGGACATCAATGCCGTGAGCGATGGGAGCGCTGCCACCGGGCTGATCGAGGGCAAGGTTATCAGAGCCAAGCTTGTTGGCCAAATCCTTCATGGCGACGAGCGACTCAGCGTCAACCAGATGTCCGGCAATAGCTTTGAATTCATTGACCTGAGGCTGCAGCTTCTGTTGGGCAGAGGAGATCTCCATGAGAGCCTGTTCCCAAGTAGCAGGAACGAAGTTGCCCTCCCGGCGAATAAGCGGTGTTGTAAGACGCTGAGTCTTCAATCCATCGCAAGCGAATCGCGACTTGTCGTTGATCCATTCCTCGTTGATATCGTCGTTCAATCGTGGGACAACTCGCATAACTTCCAGCCCTCTGCTATCGATGCGAATGTTTGAGCCAAGTGCGTCAAGGACATCGATCGATTCGGTGTGCTTGAGCTCCCAAGGACGAGCGCGGAAAGCGTAAGGCTTAGAGGTCAGCGCACCGACGGGGCAAAGGTCGATGACGTTGCCTGAGAGTTCTGAGTTAAGGTTCTGCTCAAGGTAGGTACCAATCTGCATGTCATTTCCGCGACCGGCGGTTCCCAGTTCCGGAGCACCGGCGACGTCGTTCATGAATCGGACACAGCGAGTGCAGTGGATACAACGGTTCATTGAGGTCTTGACAAGGGGGCCAATGTTCTTATCCTCCACAGCACGCTTTCCCCCAGCCTCATGGAAACGACCGCGATCGGCACCGTAACGCATTGACTGGTCTTGGAGATCACACTCTCCTCCCTGGTCGCAAACGGGGCAGTCGAGGGGGTGGTTGGCGAGAAGGAATTCCATGACACCCTCTCGGGCCTTGTGGACCAGCGGCGAATTGGTCTTCACCACCATACCGGGTTGTACTGGCCAAGCACAGGAGGCGACCGGCTTCGGGGCACGTTCGACTTCGACGAGACACATACGACCTAGATTTGCAATTAGTATGTCTACATCAATGGCTTCGAAAAGAGACAAGAATTGCACATACAGTTTCCTGCAACCAAAAGTTTTCTTGGGTAACTGGTGTTAGCAACAGCAATATACATGACTCGACCGGAGAAACATACTCGTGGTAGCAGTATCTGGGAGATGTTAGCACCACATATAAGAGAAGAATTGGTTGGATATTTGTTCATCATACCTGGGAACGGTTGCGCCTGCTTTTTCGCAGGCCTGGATCAGAGCCGAGCCGGCTGTAAAGAGATGTGAGCACAAGACCAATGGGGCATCCTGTAGGAATATTTACCTTCTACTGACACCTTCTTGCCATCTAGAGAGCCATGACATCAGTTATCAATCAATTTGGATGAATTAGAGTGACATTGGACATACCAATTGTGAGTTCCACCTCGGCCGCGCGAGGGGTTGTCGTCGCGAAGGTCCTGGGGGTGACCTTAGGAACCCGGAGAGACCGGGCGGCCGCACGGAACAGCTGCGGCCGCATCATTGAAAAGAAGCAGAGATGGAAGGGTGAGGGGGTATAGGGTAAGAGGGGATTGATATCCTTGACGGGTTGGGGGGAGTTCAGAGAGCACTTTGCACCGGAATCTGCGTAACTGGGTTATGTAATGCAATGGACTGCTGAACTAATGAACAAACCGAAATGGGCTCGCGCGGATTGGTTCGGTTAAGCGGATAAACCTTAGCTCCGACCTCATTTAAAGTCAGCTCTTTCTGACTTCCCTCCTTCTCCTTTTCTTTTGTTAAATAAATTGTTTCACGGGCATCATTTATTGTAGGAGGCAGGCAGTTCCTGTTCCTATTTCCTCTACAGCATGTCCCAAGAGCAGAATTGCGCCGTAGCTGGAGCTGTCAAGGGTTCGCCTAATGATGACTTTGTTCCTTACCGACGGTTGCTACATTCCTTTATATCAATTTTGCTATATTTTCAAGTACTTCGCTATGCTTTTTACGCATTGATAAGTCTCCCACTAAATATTTACAATGCATCTTTCATTCATTCTATACATTCCGGGCGTTACCCATGTTGTTGCCATATCTATCAAGTTTGTAAAATTCACGGTATCTCATACTTATAGAAAACACACGATAGATATGAATGTAAAGCTTCTTTGAGCAACACCACAACGCCATGATATCATACACCTAACTAATAAACGCAGATGCTAGGCTGCAGCTTGCGAATCACTGACTTGCCAAGTAGATTCTTGTTTGGTCCCGGGTAACCACGTACGAGAAACACTGGCGCCTCGGGGTCGCACGTTTCTGGGAGCATCGTCTTCCTTCTTGGAGCTGTTCGTCGTGCCATGGACGGCTCCATCAAAATTCCTGCCACCAGGGAAGGCATAGCCGTTGGAGTCCCACGGTTTGCTTGAATGCCGCACGTTCAGCGGCAGGATGGAATTTTGGGCTCGGAAATGATCCGCGTTAGCTCTTTGGTCAGCTACATCGTCGTGGCTATTGCGATCATAAAGGTAAAGGCCCACGAAGGTAAGAGCAATCCCGAATGCCTGGATTGAAGTGGTCGAGCTGCCAAACCAAACAATCGCCACGACGATCACGAATACACGCTTGACCAACGATGCAACTGAATAAGATACGGGAGAAACCATCGACAACAGCACAAAAGCTAAGATGTTTTGGGCAAAATGCGATACTCCATTGAAGATGAATTCCATGGAAAGGGCACCATGGTCCAAAGAGCCCTGCTTGCCCGAGAGTGAAATCACACCGTCATGGATGAAATCAGAGACCAGCGGATACCCCTCGGTGACAAACCAAATGGGCAGAGTCAGGAAAAATGCCAACCCGGAGCAATAGCAAAGCAGGTTGAGTTTGTCCAACTTGCGTCGCCCTGGATTTTGCATTTCTGCCTCGGCGCGGTCTGCCTCATTAAATAACTTCTTGGAGAAGATGTTCTGTGAAACGAACACAAGAGCTGCACCAAATGCGCAAAATATTCCAAAGAAGTTCGTAGACACTCCAGTCGAACATGCCAGCATCACGCCCAGAGTCAGCGGAATGAGTGATAGATATGTTGCCCGGGCGTATCGAATGCGGAACAGAACCCGATAAGCCAGAACCGTGAAAAGAGGCGAAAGGCCTTTGATGGTGTGAACCAAAGAGACCGGGATTTGTGCAGTGGCCATGGAACTCAAGATGTGGCCGGCCAATTGAAACACCGCCAAGGGCAAGGCAGTAGAAATAACATCCCGGGATGGATAGCGAATTCCATGCTGGAGTATAGGGACGTTTTGTCGCAACCGCGGTATCACTGTGGAAAGATACACCAACAACAAACACCAGAAGGAGACAAATGCAAATTGAATCATGGTCAATGTTATAGGCATTGGGAGGGCGTTCAGAATCGATTTGGAGGAGGTGTTTGTGAGGGCGGACGTCAAATACCAAATGAGACAGAGGGCCTTGAGGTATGTTAGCAATTGGCTTCATGGAAGTCGCATGTTCAGATCTCCTTGAAACTAGGATCAACATACTGTGAGTCGATAGGAGACTGGGGCACGAAGTGCTTCGGCCAATTCATGGGCGTTGGCACTCATACTGCCATTGCGAGTTCTTATTGTTGATATGGCTTCGCTGATGCTCTTCCGCGGGCGATGTTTGGGGTTCCTCAATGTCCCATTCGGATAATCGCGCGAGTAGAAGTTTGCTTTTCGGGGTTCCCAGAGCTCATTCGGGGAGTACTTTACTGAAGCACTCCGATTGGGACGGGTTGACCCCGCGACGCTCTCGATAGTGTCCTCGTACGGTGGGAACTTGTCTATTGGGCTGCTTGTTGATTGAGGGTCTGAAGGCTTGGCTGGGATTTGCAATTCGGTCTGGCGCATGGAGGAGCGTCGGCCATGGCCGGTCACTGTGGTTGTGGCCATCTCCAGGGGACTGTAAGTTGAAAGGTTAATTTCCCCGGAACCCGAGAATCACCCGCATTGTGTTACTCACCCAATGAATAAGTTCGGAAAGACAGGCCGCGTAATGAGTCCGAATGAGAATATGCGAAATGAGGGATCCGGGACAGATTAGCGATGACGAATCCCCTGTGAGCGAATGAGCATCGAGTGGCATTGATGATATATCACGTGATTATGCGATAAGCATATTCACGTGATCTAAAGCTCTTTGAGATACCTTAGACACTAAATATCATCCGAGTACATCGTATATGTATATTCATTTGCATTCACTCGCTAAACTCTCTTGCATTCTCATGCTTCTACTATTAGCCTATGCTCGGTACAACGAGAATTACTACTCTCTCATTAGTCGCCTCTTTTACAGAGGCCGCAATCTACTATCAGCGCACCCCACCAAATGTATCTTTGCATGTTTAATCCTTTGAATAATCTATAACTTATATTGTTTTCTATTATTACGCCTAGTAGGAAAAATGAGTTCCCATTCTAAGGGGAAAAAAAAGCAAGTTTCTCAATTATACACGACTTTGAGTTCTTAGCATTAGGTATTAACCACTAGACTACCTATACTTTCTTTATATTCTTTATTAGGTATTCGTCCTTTATAACTACCCTCTCTTCCTCTTTCTTCTCCCTTTTACTTATGTCCCCCCTCATCTGTAAAACTGCCTATCCATAACTAGTACGGTAAGCTATAGTTACTATCGACAACTTCTCAGTATAAGAGGGCGGATATAGTAAAGATCCCTGTGGAGCCGAATGAGCGTATCCTCGATACTTTTATACTTACATATAATAAGGCTTGTTTACTACTAATTATACCTATAGCTTCTCTTACTTATCTCTCTTTTACGTCTTACTTTATTATATCTTGCTAACAGCTAACTATTCATTCTTTATCGACTGTTAGGTACTTATGTCATAACCTTCTGATTTCTATATGTGACCAGCAGCTAGATATGCTTCAATATTGTTACAGCGGGACAAACCAGAACATTTCTTCTAGGGTGAACAGTGGCCATCATGAGCATGACACCCGGTTCAACTTTTTCTTTCCTCACTTTCTGCCAGACAGAAGCCGATTCTTCTGCAATCCCATTTGAATGCGTGAGATATCGGTGCAAAAAGTCGGATAACCCAATCAAGTTTGCCTACGTCCCGATATACAAGCAATTCCCCCGCTTTAACACCGAAGTTGAGGACTCATCTATCCGCGCTAGCCAAGTTACACGCTGGGTTCCACCCGAGTTAGCCGCCTACAAAACATTGACTAATACGAAAGCTACACCTCGCCTGTCAGGGTGGTCAGTGGAGAAACAGAAGAGCTCCAGACTTATCCGTGGTGGATTCATTGTATCACTCGCATGGGAGGAGGTACCTGGTATACAGCTAGGAGATTGCTTTAGCGGAGACGTGTTCTGGAGCTTAAGCCATAAGAACGAGACACTATCCGCCAGGCTTTAAGACACACTAGTGCGGAAGTTAGTACCTATTTCGACCTTGACTACTATACTGATATGAGCTTTTTGATTCAGACCGAAGCTATTGGTGTTCAGCCTACTTTCCCTCAACCATCGAAGCTAGTTTGGGATTCTGCGTCTGGTATCCTGTACGACTCTATAACAATCGCATTACATTTTGAATCCATATTCACTGACATTTTTTGAATCCCTGCTCACTAAGTTATGCCTTATGCTTAATTGGTGGGGTTCCGCGATTGTTTCGACATGAAGAAACAACAGCCCTGTACTGAGGCGATATCCTTCCATTTTGGGTTGGCTGAGCCTCTAGGTGATTACGAATACTACGAGTGGTTGAAGACACTTGATATTTTCTGATTGGAAGTTCTGAATGGCTACCGGCAATTCTTATTTACGAGGAGGATATGCTGCTGGAGGATATGCTGCTCTAACAACTACAGAATACTTTTGGATCTGAAGATTCATATCGTTCATTTTCTTCTCAAGTTCTCACAATGTCTTCTTCCTTTCTTAAGAAACTCTAGAAAGTAAAAAGGAAAAACCTGATAGACTTAGTCGGGATGTTCAATCCAGATCCCCCTCGGAAAAGATCCCAGTTCCTTCCTGACTATCCTCTTTCCAGACCTTCCTAATGTCTCTTTCCTTCTTCCTTTATTCCTTTCTTTCCTTCTTCCCTCTCCCACTCTCTCATTCTTCTACTCTTCTTCTGTTCTATCCCATCTTCAAAAGTTTCTTTATGTTGACAATCATCTCGCAAGAATCTGCTGGGAATCCTTTTCGTTGCATGTAAACTTACTTGGTTTCCGACGAGCCTGTTTGTTACATCCTGCATACAGCGACTTCATCACTTTTCACCTTTTCTCTTCTATTTTCTGTCTCGCTCTTTCTTTTATCGCTGCCAGCTGAAAAAATGACCCCCCTAAGTGGGCCTTCAACAGTTGGTCGCATAGGAAACGGAGCACGATTTATTTCGAACAATGGCATTGAAGTGCGAGATCTATCTTTTGGAGTCGAGTCTTCAGTATGCTCCTCTCTACCATGGTCTCAAAATAGCTTCCTGCAATACTAACTGCATTGTCATGGTAGGGTCTTCCGAACTCATCTACGCATTACGGCTCTTCTGAGACTGACGTTTCCCGTCAAGGAAGCTTGCAGATCTTACTTGGTGAAGGGTCAGAGCATTCATCAACCAAGGTGTGTACTTTATATTTTTTATTGATTTGCCTGTTCCTGTCATCTCACATTCCCAGAAGCAAAAGCTAGATCATATTAAAACTGAACCTTTGAACGGAAAATCATCCGACTTTGAGAAAATACTTGCAAAGCTTTCCCCTCAAACAATTCTTCCTCGCGCTGAAGCCGATCGATCCCCTGCTTCGTCGCATATCACATCAGCCATAAAGTCAGTGCCAGCTTCGGACCTCGCCGAACTCACCCAGTCTTATACAAAAGAGGACAAAGCGGGAGAGTTGCTTCGCCTCAAGCAGGAACTTCTTGCCGCAAACTCGAAGATAGCTCTACAAGAGCAAGAGCTTGCCCAAACCCGTGTCATAAAACATACCCTGGATCAAGCCCTCGGTCCTCCATCAGAAGCCGATTTCGGTAATCGTGAAATCACAGGACAGACCATCGGCCACCTGCAAAATGCTTTCAAAGCATCTAACTCTGCTTTTGGTCAATTTCAAGATGCCTGGGGTGGCCATGAAGATTCGAGATCTGATAGCTCCGAACTATTGTCTGCAGGGGCATACAACAGATCTCGTGGGCTCTGGGTCCACCATGAGCCATCCATGGACAGAGTATATGGAGGGTCTCTAGCAGGGGCCAGTAGTTCCACAAGCCAGGATCCTAATCGATACTGGGGAATTTCCAGTGTATATCAAACATTTGCCGGGCCACAATCTTTGCAATCCCAGAGGGCACTTCCGGGGCCCTCGCCCAGTCCATGTGGGTTCTACCCACGCCCCATGACCGAGCAAATGCGAAATATCTCAGTTCCAGGTCATGGAGCCCGTCGTTCCATCACCCAAAACAGTCGAGGCGGGTCTCTGGTTCCAATTCAGCCTTCTCCTTGGGGTGAATTTGCTTCTGGGTCATCCAGCGAGCACACCATCAAATCGCCACCCTCTCCGACGAAAAGACCGCCGAGTACTTTGCAACAGACTGGACTTTACTCTGCGCCTCCATATCTTCCTCGGCCAATTGGTAGCCCGCTCTCGCCGACTGCGACTGAATTCACGGGCTCTGGCAATGAAAGCACATGGAGCACCTCATCGGTAAGAGTCACAAAATCGAATTTGCTTTTCTTGCGATATATCTAACTTATTCCTTCTTCTTTTAAGCTGAGCGGCAATTCTGTTCAAACATATGTGTCGCCACTCGAGCCACTGAACTACCGACGTCTACTTGACAAAAACGTGTCGTGTGATTGGAAGTACATAGTGGACAAGATTGTTTGCAACAATGACCAACAAGCCTCAATTTTCCTGCAACAAAAGCTCAAGGTCGGAACGACTGAACAGAAGTTCGACATCATCGAGGCAATCATACAACAAGCCTATCCATTGATGGTCAATCGCTTTGGGAACTTTCTCGTACAACGCTGCTTTGAACACGGAACCCCGGAGCAGGTCATCGCTATCGCCAATGCCATCAGAGGCAACACAATGAACCTCAGCATGGATCCATTCGGGTGCCATGTGATCCAAAAGGCCTTTGATTGCGTTCCAGAAGAGCATAAGGCAACTATGGTGCACGAACTTCTCCGTCGAATCCCTGAGACGGTTATCCATCGATATGCATGCCATGTTTGGCAGAAGCTCTTCGAACTTCGCTGGAGCGGTGATCCCCCACAGATCATGACCCAAGTAAACGAGGCATTGCGCGGAATGTGGCATGAAGTTGCTCTGGGCGAGACAGGAAGTTTGGTGGTTCAAAACATCTTTGAGAATTGTGTTGAAGAGGAAAAGGTGAGATTACACATCTCTCCCATATACATAATTGTCCCCTTCTGCCTTGTTCCCTCCCCCATGTCTTATATGAACATCAGATCAGGTTTAACACTTGTTTGAAAGCGACCGGCGATCGAAGAGGTTCTTGCAAAGACCGACGTCCTCGCTCATGGCCAATTCGGGAACTGGTGTATCCAGCACATCTGCGAGCACGGCTCCCCTCCCGACAAAAGCCGTGCTATTGAACATGTGATTCATTGGGCTGTTGACTACAGCATGGATCAGTTTGCGTCCAAGATCGTGGAGAAATGCCTCAAGATTGGTGGAGCAGAATTCATGGACCGTTACCTTGATCGCGTCTGCACTGGCCGTTCTGACCGACCCCGTATGCCGTTGATTGACAGTAAGTTGTCACACTCTCTCACTACAGGGAAAAGTGATGCTAATTTCTCTTCAGTTGCTGGAGATCAGTATGGAAATTATCTTATCCAATGGATTCTGATGAATGCCGGGTCTCACCAACGAGACCTTGTGGCTGGTCACATTCGGTATTTACCTGTCAATTGCTTGTTTAAGAGATTACCTGGACGCTAATATTCCATTTCTTAGGAAACATATGGTTTCCCTCCGGGGCTCCAAATTCGGGTCTCGCGTGGCTATGCTCTGCTGCAACCCGTCTCATGCTACACGTCCTGGCCCAGGTGCTGGTATGCAAATTGGACGTTTCACCAACTTCAATGACGAGAAGTTCAGTCCCACAAGTCAGTCTAGTGGTCGATTTAGCCGCGGAAACCAATGGGGTCCCAATTATGCGCCACTTCGTTGATTTGTTTCTTGATACTATTGATACTACCTCTTATCCCCCAGAATCCCTCGAGTCCCTCGAAACAAACTGTCACTACGGAGAGAGTTTATCGTTTATCGTTTGTTTGTTTGTCTTTTAATTTCCTATGTTTATTGTTTTCAAGTGCCTGAGCCTCTGTCAGTCTATCTGGCAGCTTCATTTGCTAACCCAGTTCCAAATTAAGCACAGGTCATTTCTGTGTTTCAATCTTGCTGAACATCATTGTCATCACTGCTTGCCGATTTATTCATTTGGCTTGCTGCACTCAGTGCTCATCGGTTGATTCAACCATCCATGTTATAAGTTTGGTGATAATTCCGATAAGAAATTGATATTGTTATCTACCAATTTCTATATAATCCATATCTTATGGAGCAACACCTGCAGTCTCATCAGAAGTAACTGCCTCATTTTTCTCCCAAGGTTTGCGTCGTCGTGGCTTCTCACTAGAGATATCATGGCCGGTCAATACGGTGTCAGGTATGTCCTGAATACCAGGGATCGGTTTTCCTGTGGTGATGAGATCCACGATATGCGCAAAAGAGGACGGGTAAGCAGGCTCGACGTTTGCAGGATTTTCGCCTCCAGGAGCACTCTTCTCTGATGACTCGGTTGGTGTTGATACAGGGTCGGTAATCTCTGATCCTGGGTGCTCCTCTGTACCCGATGCTAACCAAGACTTGAAAGCCGCAAAATCAATGGGGGGAGCAAGCTGCTCTTTCCTATGGATCAATACGCCTTCAGCGATATAGCTATAATAAAGAGGTTTCCTCGGCATACCGTGAGAAAAAGAAACATTTTGCTTGCAGGACAAGGTCATCATCCCGGTTCATCTCCGCTTGGGTGGCGGGGGTTTCGGGGTGACCCAGTATAATTGAAAGTCCATTTGCAAATTCTGTATCTGAAATGAAAGGGTATGCCTGTAGTCTTTCAAAGACTTGAGTGTTTGAGGTCATTGTTGCCATTGATGAAGATAATAAATATATGTATGATTTGGGGTTATGAGAGATGCGGAGGACTTGCGTGGGGGGGCACAAAACTAACCGAGGCTCATCTCTCCAACGTACGATCTCCAAATCAAGTATATGTACATACATAGTTAAGTGTTCTACCTTTTCTCAAGGCTTTATTTACTTATCTACAGAAGAAATCATCCTTTCTTTATATGTAAATAAAACTTTGTATTTGGTATAGACTCCTTTCCCCTATGCTACCTTTTCTTTTGTTCTGTGATCAGAAATTCAGGGATATCGTACGCCAATCCATGCAGTGTTGATATAAGTTTCACCTAACCCGTTGTATCCATTACCTCCGGTGCGTTGGAATCCCTGGACTGTAGAGGCAGTGAACTTTTGCTCTGACAACCGGGACAATTGTGCACGACCTCATGGGCAAAGAGATCACAGTCGATACAAAAGTGGTTATGGCATGCAGTACACTCGTACCGACTGCTCACGCTCATTCCTTTGGTTTGATTCTCTATGCTTTGCCATTGATCTTCGGGGGGAACCGGCGGGAGAGAAATTCCACAAGCAAAGCAAGCGGAACTGCGTGAAGCTCGACGCCATGGTACCTCAACCCAATTGATCAACGGGAAAAGATGATGGTACGATCTCGCCAGATGGGTTGATAGGATCAGTGTGAGCCCGCATGAGGGGCATTCAGCCGGAAGACTACACACTTTGCTATTGCATCGTGAGCAAAGATAGCCTCCTCGTGAGGGCTTGGAATGACAAGCGCAGAGAGAGGGGGTGGCCTCCACTGTTCGGGAGGGGAATCCCATCATCAGCAATGAACATGCAGATTCTTTTTGGGAATAGGCAGCGGGAGGCGTAGTCACGTCCATCATCAGTTCTCTAAAGTGCTGCTCATTCAGCGCGACTCCATATGCGGTTTCATCGCCACCATTTGTCTTTGTACAAAGTTCCCGGCAGATTGCGACCTGGGCGGCGAGTCCGACAATTCCAACCCGGACATTGTCGGTGAGCAGGGTACCTATCGTTTGATGAATGTCTCCAGGGTCGGAGGAAAGAAGGGACCCAAATATGATTAGCACTTCTCGAGTGCCGTGGCTAGGTGTATGGCTGCATATCCGTTGGTTAGTTTTCAGTTTCTTGAGCTGCATGTAGCCGGCGCATAGACATACAAAAGAGCACCACGTGCCATCTCCAATCCGTTTTGAAGACTAGGCAACCCCTTTGGATCTTGTGTTTTGAGAGCTTGGATGGCTGTCAGATGTTCGGTTGGATTACCACTCATATCACTGACTCGGAGCGCAAGACCATCTCTCAGACCAAGAACCCCGAGCTGGGAAATGGGGTTTTGTTCGAAGAATTCTCTTACGAATTCTTGGGCATATCGGAGGGTCAATAGATATCTTGTCGGTCGCAAGTCCTTTTCGGACATGGATTGTGACAGATCGATAATTAAGATGAGATGTCGAATGATACCGCGCTGTAGAGGGGTCGTATCTTTCAAGAGCCTACAAAGGATGAAAATAATCAGTAATCTAGCAAAGCCCAAGACCCAAGAGAAGGAAGAATAGATACACTTACCTTTTCCGTTTATTAGCTTCTAATAACCCCTCGACGGTTGAACTGATAGTACCATCCGCTCCTTCAACGAGTGTCTCCCAGGTTCTGGATAGCTCCCATTCTGCAGCTCCACGTTGTTTTCTCTTCTTGGTTCGTGGGTTGTCACCTCGAGTCACCTGGAGATCATCCTCATCCTCAGTCACATCTCCCACATATTCTTCATCGGAGTCGGCCATTGTTTTTTTTCGGTCACAGAAGAAGAAGAAGATTAAAAGGTGCACAGATGGTGGAGATTCCAAATTGAAAATGGTCCAAGCTTCCGACGGAGCTCCGGAGAAGATCAACCACTTACTCACCTTTTAACTTCTCGTTTTCTCCAAAATTCACACCGAGATACATTCAATTCAATTCAATTACATACAAGAAATCTCAAAATTGCCCAACTCTCAAATATCCCCGCCGATAGCCGTAGACGGTGAAGATAAACCCCCCGAATGTGGGGAAGATCCATTGCGCGAGCTGGTGTAGCAGTTAAAGCCTTCCGCCCAGTCACTGTCCACCCTACCTTTCCTCTTTCTCGAAATTTGCACAAGTTGTCCCTCTCACATTCAACTCGTTTACGACCTCGACCTCGGCTACCTACGTTTCTTTTAAAAGGGTTCACTCCTATTAGACATTGTTCCGCTGAAATCCGCATGATGACATCCCAAGAGAGAGAGACTCTTCCTGACGTGTAAGTAACCACCCCACTTTGTCGTTTTTTTTTTGCCCTCATTTTTCTTCCATCTGGAGTGGATGATAATCTAGGTCATAGCATCTGAGACTGACACTATAACAGGGCCAAGCCAATCAACTACCATGTCTCTCTCTTCGATTTACAACTCGGTGGCTCATGGGGATACAAGGGCGCCTTGAAGATCGATCTCAAAGTCACCCGTGCTACAAGCGAGATTGTGTTAAACTCGAAGGAGATAAAAATACAGAATGCCGAGATTCTGAGCAAGGACGGTACGTGGGGGGAGCACATCAGTGGCATGTTGTGGGTTGCAGTGAGATTGATGGTCTTGGTTTAGGAACCCAATTAGCCAAAGCATCCGGAATCACCTATGACAAAAAGTCGGAGCGAGTCTCCTTCGCTTTCTCCCAGGAGATTACACCGGGAGATGTCGTGCTATCTATCGATTTCACTGGAACCATGAATAACGCCATGGCCGGATTTTACCGTTCGAAGTATAAGCCTACTGGGGAAGCATCCGGCGACACTCCCAAGGAAGATGACTTCTACTACATGCTGAGCACTCAATTTGAGGCTTGTGATGCCCGACGAGCCTTCCCTTGTTTCGATGAGCCGAACTTGAAATCCACCTTTGATTTCGAGATCGAAATTCCCAATGGACAGACTGCCCTCAGCAACATGCCTGTTCTGTCCGAAAGAGATGGAAGCAAGCCCGGATTGAAGTTTGTTACCTTCGAAAAGACTCCGGTAATGAGCACATATGTCAGTATCACCGAGATACCCTAATCATATCCCCAAGTTTTTAACATAGGTTCCGTACATGCAGCTCCTGGCCTGGGCGGTTGGTGACTTTGAATATGTTGAAGCCATGACCGAGCGCAAATACCAAGGCAAGAGCATTCCTGTTCGCGTCTACACTACCCGTGGTCTTCAACATCAAGCTCGCTTCGCGCTTGAATGTGCTCACCGCACAGTTGATTATTTCTCGGAAGTATTTGAAATTGAGTACCCGCTCCCTAAGGCTGATCTTCTGGCTGTTCACGAATTCGTGAGTGACAACAATATTCTCTTATGTGTTGCAAAAGTCGCTGGGCTAACCAGGTTTTCCTAGGCCTCGGGAGCGATGGAAAATTGGGGTCTTGTTACCTATCGGACCACCGCCGTTCTCTTCGATGAAGGAAAGTCAGACAACCGCTACAAGAACCGCATTGCCTATGTCGTGGCCCATGGTAAGTTCCCAGAATCAGGACTGGGGTCCCTGGGGAATATTGCAATATTGATGTCTAACGCTTTGGTGACAGAATTGGCCCACCAATGGTTTGGAAACCTCGTCACTATGGACTGGTGGAATGAGTTGTGGCTGAATGAAGGATTCGCAACCTGGGTCGGCTGGCTCGCTGTGGATCATTTCTACCCAGGTAAGTTTCCTTTCCATCACGGAGTGTTCTATACATGACATCTAACATACAAGCAGAATGGAATGTCTGGTCCCAGTTTGTTGTAAGGAATTCCAGAGGTACCACGCCCTTTAATCAAGACAATATTGACGTTATTCCAGGCTGAAGGTGTACAACAAGCATTTCACCTCGACTCGCTGCGCGCTTCCCACCCTATTGAAGTCCCCGTCAAGAACGCTCTCGAGGTTGATCAAATCTTCGACCATATTAGCTACCTCAAGGGAAGCTCGGTCATTCGCATGCTCAGCGCTCACCTTGGCAGAGAAACTTTCTTGCGGGGAGTTGCGGACTATCTCAAGTCCCACGCATATGGTTAGAAATCAACCCGGAGGACTACGAGAAACATTTGCTAAGTCTAGTTTTAGGAAACGCCACTACCAATGACCTATGGTCTGCCTTGAGCAAGGCTTCCGGTCAGGATGTGCACTCTTTCATGGTAAGTCCAAACGAAATGACCAAAGGTCGAACTGGGAATTTTCAGAACTAACTCTTTTTTTTTAACATTTCAGGATCCTTGGATTCGCAAGATCGGCTTCCCGGTTGTCACTGTGGCAGAGGAGCCTGGTCAGATCACTGTTAAGCAGAACCGATTCTTGTCCACCGGCGATGTGAAGCTGGAGGAGGATGAGACAAAGTGGTGGATTCCTCTCGGCATCAAGTCTGGACCTCAACTGGCCACGGTAGACACTCGTGCTCTCACTGCCAAGTCCGACACTGTGCCAGGAATCGGCGAAAACTCTTTCTACAAGATCAACAAGGATCTGTCCGGGTTCTACCGAACCAACTATCCTCCCTTGCATCTGGCCAAGCTGGGCAAGTCTCTTGATCTTCTAAGCACCGAGGACAAGATCGGTCTCTTGGGAGATGCTTCTGCCCTTGCAGTCTCTGGAGAAGGCACCACACCGGCCCTGTTGGCTCTTTTGGAAGGATTCAAGGATGAGACAAACTACCTGTGAGCCAAATGTTCTGTTTGTTCTTATGTTGTCGGCTCTAACACCGGATTCTATATATAGTGTTTGGTCTCAGGTTTCTGCCTCTCTGGCGAACCTCAAGTCGGTCTTCTCCCAAAACGAGAAGGTGGCCGATGGTCTGAAGAACTTCACTCTCAAACTGGCTACCCCTGCCGCGGAGCGGATTGGATGGGAATTCCAGCCCAATGAAGACTACCTTGTTGTGCAGCTGCGCAAGCTTCTGATTGCTATGACCTGTAAAGCGGGCCACGAAGGGTGAGTTCTCTTTCCTTCACCTGGGATGTTATTGGGTAATCTCTAATGAACTCTTTCATCATAGCTTTGTCGAGGAGGCCAAGCGTCGCTTCAGTCTCTGGGCAACTGGTAAGGACATCAATGCCATCCACACTAATCTTCGATCGGTGATCTTCGGTGTCAATGTATCGGAGGGTGGCCGTAAGGAATTCGATGCCGTCAAGGGGGAGTACCTCCGGACAGATTCTGTGGATGGTAAGGAGATCTGCCTATCTGCGCTTGGGCGCACCAAAAACGCCGCTCTGGTGAAGGAGTACTTGGACTTTGTGTTCTCGGACAAAGTTGCTATCCAGGATATCCATAGCGGTGCCGTGTCCTTGGCTGCCAACTCGAAGGTCCGCCACTTGCTCTGGCAGTACATCAAGGAAAACTGGGATTCCGTGTCCACCCGCTTGTCATTCAACAACATTGTTTTCGAGCGCTTTGTCCGCATGGGTCTATCCAAGTTTGCCGATCACCAAATCAGTGACGACATTGCAGCCTTCTTCAAGGATAAGGACACTACGGCCTATGACCGCGCACTCGTGATCGTTTCCGATAACATTCGGACTAATGCATCTTACAAGGAACGTGATGTGGCGTTGGTTCTTGAGTGGCTGCAGGCTCACGGCTATGCCTAAATATGCAGCAACACATTTTTTTTTGTCAAGAAGAGGCCAGATAAATGATAAGTTCAGATTTCAGTGAACAACTGGTATATTCTGGATTCCCAAATTCCTACGTAAAATAAGTAGCAGATTCGAATCATTAGTAGCCACGAGTGTGGAGTTGGCACGGGGTAACTAAAGGTGTCACTCGTGCAGGTGATCACAAACATGTCCACATATTAGTATAGTAACTTGTGACTTCCAATCTACATATTTTGCATATGTAGATATTTGTAAAATGCAAACAAAGACTAGACGACTAGAATGTTACATGTGGACTTGAACGAAATAGTGTATATTGGTAATTAATGAGATATATATTTATCAATGGTATTGTACACAACAACAGACATACTAGTAGTTACCTGTAAACCCACATATATTCTATGTATACAAACAAGCCTTAGATACAAATAAATCACCAGTAACTATATAATATGCATAGATAGATATATAATATATACTATATATATATCAAAATCAAAATCAAAATACAAAAAGAAGCGGTGACGTGAAACAAAAGTTGCACATCAGGTGCTTCTGGCCTCCTGCACCTCCTATCATTTCAGGCGGTTGTTCCATCGTTGTCCCCTCCCCGAACTTCTAGAACGACCTTCTTCTCCCATCTCCTTTTCTTTTACTTTATATCTCACTGGAATCTGTGTGGCCTCTACTTTACACATCACCTCTTATTCCCTGTTGATCATCATGAACCCTGAGTGGTAAGCCGTCCAAATCCCTAAATTCACTTTGCGCCTTTGGTCGACCTTGAATAGTCTCCTCTTGTTGCCGCAGACTTGGATTCTGATTATTATTGATTTCTAGAGTATCGCTGTGTCGCCAGATTCCCTGTCATCCCGACCAATATCCCCATAACCGATCCCTGGTTGCCTAACCATCGAGATAGATACGATTACCTTTTCAAGCTTCTCCTCATCGGTGACTCCGGTGTAGGAAAGTCTTGCTTGCTGCTTCGTTTCGCCGATGATACCTACACCGAAAGTTATATCTCCACAATCGGTGTTGACTTCGTAAGTCTCGGAATCTGCGGGGCACTTGGTCCCGCAAGTCTTGAGGTGGTGCTAACCTCTCGGCCTTGACAGAAAATCCGCACAATCGAACTCGATGGCAAGACTGTGAAGCTTCAGATTGTATGATTACATGGAGCTCCGAGACACTCGAGGCAAAGCTAACGGTTTATACAGTGGGACACCGCCGGCCAGGAACGTTTCCGTACCATCACCTCTTCCTACTACCGTGGTGCTCACGGAATCTGTGTGGTTTACGATGTCACCGACATGGACTCCTTCAACAACGTGAAGCAGTGGCTCCAGGAGATTGACCGGTATGCCACCGAAGGTGTCAACAAGTTGCTTGTTGGCAACAAGAGCGACATGGAGGACAAGAAGGTCGTGGAATACACCGTTGCCAAGGTATGATAAAAACGGTGTCCCAAGATGAAACAGACCGTTGATCCTTCTTCATTGTACAGGAGTTCGCCGACAGCCTCGGAATTCCTTTCCTCGAGACCTCAGCCAAAAACGCGTCGAACGTTGAGCAGGCATTCTTGACAATGGCACGACAGATCAAGGAGCGTATGGGAACGGCCACTGTCAACAACAAGCCTACCGTGCAGGTTGGCCAGGGTCAGGGTGTTCAGTCTGGATCTGCTGGCGGCTGCTGTTAAATGACACGATGTTTTCTGTGGTGCGGTGCTTCAATTTGGCGCAATGTTACATCATGAATGAGGGTTTCCAAGCGGCGTGGGATTTAATCGGCAGGCTTGTCAGGCCCTTCGACACTCGACATAGTCCTGGGTGAGAGGATGCTTTTCCACGGAGCTGGCAATCGTTACGATAGGGTGCCCTGCTTCACTTTGCTTTAGACGGCCTGCGTTCCATTCTCATTTCTGCGTTTGCTTCTGCAATTACCGCTGGTTTCTGCGTTCCCATGATTTTCTGGCCTCGTCTCTGACCTATTTCTTGGCCCATCATTCTCCGTGTGTCTTTTTCATGCCTCTTTATTTTCTATTTCTATTTTCTATTTTCTCTTTTGTAGGTTGGAATTTCTTCTCTTGTGAATGGACTAATGGCGAGAAATCTGCGAATTCTCCAGGCATTCTGGCTTTTTTTTTTAAAAAAAAAACAAAAACTATATTGTAAACTCGTAGTATCAACCGAGGATTTGAATTTCCAATGTGTTTCAAGGTTGAAAGCCGTAAGTGCATCATTGAATATAGTCACATGCTAATCACAGGCTTAATACAAGTCGTAAAGGTTATAAATACATATGCAATTATAATCCAGTACTTCTACAGATATAGATCGGTGTTCTACTGTGCCTATGTAAAAAACATGGATAATATATCATAGATACATGTAGATCTTAGACCGAGAATAATTGTATTCTCAGATTCTCTACAGTGTTCAACAATAATGCAGGTACCAAAAAATCAAAAAAAATCAAAAAAAATCAAAACCCCTAGACATCGAGAAATCAGCCTAGGCTACAAAGTCCGGGGATGAAGGGGACAGTCGGAAGTGGAGAATGGGAGCCGAGGCACACTCACATTCGGTAAAACGTCATGAACATCATCGACCCGATTATCGTTTTTAATCTCCTGACTTAACTTCAACTCACTCCTTTTATTCTCCTAACATCACATCTTAGCATCCGCCATCCGCCATCGTCCGTCGCGTTTCCCTATAACTACTCCTTACTCTCATATATCATGTCTCAGCCCGGAGCCGAACAGAAAGTGGCATCTGCTGCTGTGCAACAGAGCGACAATATCGCGCATGCGCTGGCCGGTGCTGGAGGTGGAATCTTGTCGATGGTCTTGACGTGCGCTTCCCCCGCAGTTCCGTTAATCACAGCCGCTAACATCCCCACTCCAGATACCCTCTGATCACACTATCGACAAGAGCTCAAGTCGAGTCGAAGCGTGCACACTCGACTAACCTCGATGCCGTCCGCCGAATCGTACAGCGCGAGGGTATCGCTGGACTGTACTCAGGTCTGGAATCCGCGTTGTTTGGAATCAGTGTCACCAACTTCGTGTACTACTATTGGTATGAGTTCACCCGTGCGGCCTTTGAGAAGGCCGCCACCCAAGGAGGCCGAGCCTCGAAAAAACTCACCACCGTTGAGTCTATGATTGCGGGCGCTATCGCAGGAAGTGCTACGGTGCTGATCACCAACCCGATCTGGGTCATCAACACGCGCATGACTGCCCGCAAGTCCGAGGAAGAGGAAACCTTGCCCGGTGTCAAGAAGACCAAGGCCTCGACACTGAGCACCCTCATGGATCTGCTTCGGCAGGAGGGCCCTAAGGCCTTGTTCGCTGGTGTTCTTCCGGCATTGATCCTGGTGATCAATCCGATTCTGCAGTACACTATTTTCGAGCAACTGAAGAATGCCGTGGAGCGACGCCGACGTATGACGCCAAAGGATGCGTTCTACCTAGGTGCTCTGGGTAAGATCCTGGCCACCAGTATTACCTACCCCTATATCACCATCAAGAGCCGGATGCACGTTGCCAGCAAGGATGGTCCCAAGGAGAGCTTGAACGGAAGCCTCAAGAGGATTATCCAAGAAGAGGGCTGGAAAGGACTCTACAAGGGTAAGCCTTATTTTGCGATAGGCATCCAGTGGCCACATACTGATCCCATTCTAGGTATTGGACCCAAGGTCACTCAGAGTGCTATCACTGCAGCATTCCTGTTTGGATTTAAGGATGTGCTTTATGATATGATGGTGGCCGCTCGTCGTAGGGGCCGCATCGCCAAATGAACAACCACCGTGCTTGATGACTTATAGAATTTCGCATTGGGAGGTTCTATTCAAGACCAATATTCGTCAACATCTGTTCCCAAGGTCGAATGCGGGCGGTTTGGTTTCGATTTTTTCCATTTGTATATAGAGTTAATTGGTGACCTTGCTAGTTTCTCGGGAGCTCTGAAGTGATACCCCGCGAATATACTGTTTAATTATATTGTATACCTTATACTCGAGAGAACAAGTAATGGGAAGTGACGGGAGAGTAACTGCAAAGTAACTTAAGAAAACAAAACTTCTTTTTTTGTGTCCATCGTGAGTGAGATCTCGCTGCATTTGACTGAGTATATCTACCTATGTAGCTATAACTATAACTAGTTAGTTATGTAAAGTTAGTTACCTACATCTAGTACTAATATAAAGATGTATATAGTAAGTGATCGTTCACCGCCCGATTGTTTCCGCGTTATCGCGTCGACGCGATTCCGCTTTCTCCACATTTGTGTCTTTGACAATTACTTGAAGATTATCACCCTCTCTCATTGCAGAGATCTCTAGGGCTTGTTCCTTGAAGGTTTGCTATTTGCTCAAGGTATGATAATCCTGCATTGGTGTGGAAACCTCGTAATAACTCGTCACAGAAGCTTCTCTTTCGTCCGTCGCATCGCAGCGCCTCGACTCGATTCCCTCACTGTTCCTCTCCCCACATTCATATCGCCTCCTTTTTGTCCTAGGGACCTATTGATGAAATAGGCCTTCCCGAGGCTCAGCTACGAAAGTGTCTTTGATGAACAAGACATAACCCAGGAAGCTTGGGCAAACCTCGGAGCTATAGGCACGTTTCTTTCTTTCGAAAGAAAATATACTGAGAGTGAGGTGCTAAGAAACGGATCCTCTGGTTTAGAGGCCGTTGTGATGTCTCACTCTATCAACACTCGTCTATCAACTGACGTGAGCGAGATCCCCGAGACTTGATATCAAATATGTAAGATATTCTGTGTCGTTCTTACTGCATAATCTCTTACTGAATTCGCTAGCTTCCTTCTGCTATGGCGCACGGCATGTCTACCCTCACGCAGGGTCTGAGATTTGTTGGCCTGTCCGCACAGCGCAAACCCGATAATCCAGCCGATATCTCAGAGACCCAGCGGTTGTTATCACAGTTTTCTGCAAGACCATTTAGACCAAGCTCCTCAAATTCCAATAGACGGCAGAATTCGGCAACTCCTCGAAGTACACCTCAACCTAATCTTCCCCCACCGTCTTCCTCTTTACCTTCAAACCCATCTTCTTCTCGCCCTTCCTCTCGCCAATCTTCTCAGGCGCGTCAGACTTCTGCGCGTCAGACTCCTCAGGCTCCTCAACGTCACCAATCCCATCAACCTCAACCTGCTCCTTCCTCAAGTGGCAGACCGTCACACATTCCTTCTCAAAGTGAATCCCGTGACTCTCGGACCGCTCCTTCCCCCAGAGCCCAAGTCCCTCTTCATTTTGTTTCTCCTTCTCCAATTCTTTCTTCGCCACAACATGTTTCCACTGGGCGTGATATCCGCCAACGAACTCTCAGAGAAAGCATTGCAATTACAAACGTCAACAGGCATGATGAAACATTAAATCAGATCACCCTAGGGGCACTATCTGAAACATCTTCACGGTCAATCTCACCAGAACAATCTTCTATTCGCCGCTCAGGTCGATCTCGAGCTCAACCCACCAATTACTACGCCCGAATTCATATCGGCTCCGAAGAACCAGGATCGACCCAAGAAGCACGTACAGTTGTGTCTTCCAAAACGATACCTCCGCAAGAGCCTACTGGCATCCCACCACGTCGAAACATGCGAAACTTTCTATGTGGTCGTGAACTTGGAGGGATTCCCATCGACACGGAGATAATGTCAGACCTCAAGACATGGAAGTCATGGAAAGGTGCTTCGGGAGATATAAGTGCTGTGACTTGGTCGCCTAATGGAATCCAATTTGTTGCAGGTGCCTTATCCAAATCCGATCAATACAACCGGCGGAACAATCTCATCTTAGGCGATATCCAGAGCAGCTGCTTGAAAGAAATCCCTGATCATTACATCCCGCGACCGGCAGAAGAAACATTGACTATGGACGATCCTTACCTTTTCACCAGCGTGTCGGATGTGAAGTGGGTTGGTGACCGGCTGTATACGTCTAGCTTTGATCAGACAGTCAAAATTTGGGACGCCACATACGCGAATATCTCGTGTGTGCAGACTCTAAAGCACGAGTCCAAAGTGGATGTGACGGCCGTTTCTTCATTTGATTCCGGTATCTTGGCCACGGGGACAACGTCTGTCGTGGTTTGGGACGCCCGAGACCTAGAGAACCCTACACCAACAACTCTGTATCTTGACCGAGATACACGGTACCGACCCAACGTCAATTTCACATCTACCGCATTGGCCTGGGGCCATATGCCTTTTACAAAGGAGTTCTTGCTTGGAGGCATGTCCGGGCAGGATGGAGACGAACAGAGTTACAAAGGTCATCTGGGCTTGTGGCGAGCTCGTGAGGCTTCCTTCGAGACTATGAAAGTCTCAACAAATACCCAAAATATCAATGACCTCAAATGGCATTCGTCCCTCCCACAATTCGCGACCGCGAGCCCCGAGGATCCTCATAATGCCCGCAGCAAGGGCATTGGCACGACGACAAAATCTATCGTGAGGATTTTTAGTCTAGATTGCAACTTAGGCAAGCGCATCCCATCGATTATGGAGTTCTCGTGCCCGGCCTTAGATGCAAATGAAATCACTTTCTGCCCTACCGATGGGAGATACATCACGGCTAGTTGCACGGATGGTGCAACATATGTTTGGGATAATCGAAAAGGCGATCGGATTCTTCACGAACTTCGCCATGGCGACCCTATCAGCCCAATTGATCATGACCGAACTCGAGAGGTGGCTGATGTCGGAGTTAGAGTCGCGCTTTGGGGTACTGCGGGCCAATTTCATACCGGAGGGTCGGATGGTGTTTTGAAGCGATGGGACGTTCGTCGATCAACAGAAGACGCCCTTCTTCAGAATATCGCATCCTTCCAGCACGAGATTTACTCCGCCTCATTCAGCCCGGATCAATCCCATCTCCTGGTTGGTGATTCTGGAGGTGCGGTCCATGTCTTGTCATCGGGACCATGTGCAGATCCCGACATCAAGGAGTTCATATTTGAACACGCCCCAAATCCGTCTAGTTCAAACGAGACAGATGAGTCCAACAAGCGTACGGCCTTGAACGGAATATCTACTGTTAGCACCCATGAAGAGATACCTCAATCGACATTCTTGTCTGTTGAACCCGCACCTTCGCGTTCTGAAAAGAAAAGGAGAAGAGAGGAGAGGAGGCGCATTAAAGCCGGACAACTCCCGGCCGAAGATCTAGAGACCAATGGAGCTCACAGAGAAGACACAGTCATGGATACAGCCAATGGAAAAGACCCGGATGAATCGGACGGGGAACAGCTGGCTCGGAAACTACAAGCCGAACGAAAGAAAAAGCGACGACACAAGAAGAGAAGACTTCTAAAAATGATGCCAATAATAAGCAACACCGAAAGCATTGACCTTACCATGGACTCCGATTCAGAGCAGCGTCACTTTCAATTGGAGCAGCTCAGGGAGGCGCTTGAAGATGACAACTGGTTCCCACCAAGTGGGCAAATTGATCCCAACTTCACGACTGAAACTGTGTGAACTTGGAAAGTTATGGACACTTTGATTTTGAAATTTTGCGGCATAGCATGGCGTGGGATTTAGGCAAATTAGCATTTCAGCGACTATGAGTTTCCATACAACAACAAACTTAGCGTGAATCTGACTCAGAAATTAACGTATTGAGATATTTTCCAAGTTGATATTGTAGATATGTAGATAGATAGATACACATGACCCAGACAATCGCCACTGTAATTAGAATAGAGCTTAAAGTAGTATGTAGTAGGCAGAAGAGTACTAGTTAGATCTTACGTCGTATGGAATTACGTCATACCGCACCGCCACCGAGGCGCAGTCGAATTGATGCCTGAGGCTTTTAGTCTCCGCTTATTCCGCCAAGTGTATACATATTCATGCCATGGACTCTCTTTCATTTACCTCAATTCACCTTCTTATCATATTTCAACCTTCAGACAATTCAGACAATCCCGCAATCTCGATCTTTTGAATTCGGCCGATCTCACAACCGTCACACTTGCCATACAACATCCGCATGTCGTCGTTCGCCCCGCCTTCTGGGCCTCCCCCACCCTCGGTACCTGAGGGATGGAAAGCACAGTATGACGAAAGATACCACGCATGGTATGTACTGTCGCCTTGAACTTCTCAAATACATCCTAACAACCTACCAGGTTCTATGTAGACCTCGCAACAGGCAAATCGCAATGGGACCGCCCCGAGGCTTCCCCGCAGCGCAATGACGGCAATCCACCAGCCCACTCACCTCCACCATCCTACGATAACGCCGGGCCAGGAGATCCAGCCGCACTAGCAGGCGCTGGCGACAAGAAACACATGGGCTCCAACAACCCCTACAACCCAACAAACACCGGGCCCAGCCCCAGCCCCGGCCCCAATACAATAGACGAAGACGCCCGGCTAGCCGCCAAACTCCAAGCCGAGGAAGACGCCCGTGCTGGCGGTGCCGGTAGCCGCGGCGCCTCAGATGACTACTACGCCGGTAATGCGGCACCGCAGTCCGGATCCAACTATGCAGCAGGGCTGTCGCAAAGTAGTCAAAGTCCAGTGCCGGAACAGGCAGAACGCAGCAAAGGCGGTTTTCTTAGTAAGCTGATGGGCAAGAAGCTGGGCAAGAGGCCGCAGCAGCAGCAGCAGTACGCTTCCTATTCGCAGCAAGGCCCCCCGCCTGGTTCTTACTATGGCGGTGGTGGCTATCCACCGCAGCCGGGCCCCCAGCCTGGATATGGGTACCCCCAACCTGGGTATGGAGGCGGCGGGTATGGAGGATACCAACAGCAGGGCGGTTACTACCAGCAGCAGCCGCCTCGCAGGCAAGGAGGTGGTGGTATGGGGACAGCGGGAGCTGCTGCTCTTGGTGTTGGAGGTGGATTGCTTGGTGGTATGCTCATTGCTGATGCTATGGAGGATCACCACGACGATTATGGCAATAATGATTACGGTGGTGGTGGTGATGATTATGGAGGTGGTGGTGATGACTTTGGCGGAGGCGACTTCTAAGCATGAGGTGACTTGTTGTTTTTGTGACTCCGGGGTGGAAACGGATAATGGATTCGGATTTCTAGGCGCTTTGATTTTATGATTGGGAATATTTGGTTTCTTTTGCTATCTTTAGTCATTTTCATCACGTTTGGCTCCAACTTCATGAGCTAGCTTATGAGCTTTAGATAGATAGCTATGTATCATACATTCGGCCATGAGACAAATTTCCCAATAAGAACTTGTGGATAGAATGAACCGTAGTCGTTTATCCCCGTTTCCGGGCAGGACCACTGGTATCTCTACCGGTTGAGCCACCTTGGGCCGCATCAGTGGCCGCGGGATTAGGAGCACTCGTACCAGCCATCCAGCCGGCCAGGTCGAAACCGCCACCGGCCATGGCATTGCTTGTGGCACCGGTGATAGGCGAGGAACGAGAGTGCTGCTCGAACTCGGCGCGCATCTCGGGGTCCACTAGACAGCGTTAGAGACGATATCTTCGAACGAGAGAACAAACAAGACATACTGTTTTCCATGAGCTTGGGCATGACGAACATCATACCCAGCGCAACAATCGCAAGCAAAACCATAGGACTCTTAATTAGACTCAAGGGAGAGACTGTTCCAGTATTAGCACATCCTGCAATTAACAAATGGAAGACCAATCACGCTCACATTTCGCACGCTCCTCATAGAAAGCCTTCCGACCAACAACCTTGGCCTCAACGATGACATCCACCTTCTGCTCCCCAGCGATATCAGCAACATACTTCTCCACCCCACGGTTATCCCATGGGTTCCCGCGGAAAGTCTCCCAAATCCCAATAACGGTCCCATCTGCCGCAACATCCACACGGTAGGGGGCGAAGACATACCCGCCCGCGGAGCGAATATCCAAGAGATAAGATTCCGGTGCCTCAGAGACGGGCAGGTCATCGAAGACGAATGTCGCAGCGCGGGTCAGCGACGCAGACACAATATGGTCGCTCCCACCGGTAGGGAGAGTGGTGAGGGTGGCATGGCTTGTTGCGGGGAGGGCGTGCGGGTTAGGCAGGGGGCCGGAGGAGGGGACGGTAATTGTCAGCGAGCTGGAGGCCAGACTGCTCAGTCCCAGCAGGACAAGGGCAGAGAAAGATAATTGCATGGCGGGCGTTTGTGTTGGGAGAGATGGGCATTCGAGTTGGCGATGCAGATGCAGATGGACTGAATCACGTGATGGGATCTCCAATCTCGATCTAACCAACCTCATGATGTTCAAGGGGAATTCACCACTTTCGCAACAAGAGAACCATGGCTGTCTACCTTATTTCCAGGTATGAAATTTATCCCCGATGTACTCTCATTGAGAGAAGGCCCGCGGGGGAAGCGGAACCGTGCTAATGCCCTTGAATAGGATCGCCGATCCCATCTTCGCCCTGTCGATGGGCGTCTCTGCTGCTCTTACCCGCATTCAACGCGACCAGCGGGAGAAATTCCCCGAGCGAGCATCGGAGATCACATACGGGAGCATTGTACAAACGAGCGGGCAGCGGTTACAGCGGTGGTGGAATGGCGATTTCCAGAATGTTTGAGCTTGCAATGATATGAGGGTTGGAGTTTTTGTTGAATTGAGGTTCTCTCGAAAAGAAAGAATAGTCTTATTGAATATTGAAGTCTAGTTGTACATCTATGCGAATGAAAAACAGGCAATTTGTTAATTGGGATAATCATCAAGGGTTGTTGTATAACGCCCCTTGGGTAAGTAGATTTGGGGATAGCTTCATCACGATGGGGTCAACTCGCCAGTTCCAGCATGCAAGTCAATGCTCTTTGTTTAACCAAAGCATGACTATTATATAGAGACCAAGTCTACAATTTGTCTACAATCTAGCAAACTACAAATGGAATGAAGTATTTGAATATTAAAATGAAATTTTGATTCGCTAGGGAATTTCCGACCCAGCAAGAGATAGCCTTGTATCTATGCAATCATGCGCAAAAAGAAACCTCGATATCCCATAAGTTCGTAAAACAAGACGTGAAAGGAAATGAAAGCCAAAGGCAAACAAGAAAGAATCAGTCAGAGCGAGACATTTAGTCGAGCTCCTCGGCCTTCTCCTCGACATCATCAGGGGCGCGGGCACCGTCAGCACCAGAGGGAGCCTGGCCACCGTAAGCAGCGGAGATAATGGGGTTGGCAACAGCCTCAAGCTCCTTCTGCTGGGACTCGTACTCGTCCTTCTCGGCGGTCTGGTTGTTGTCCAACCAAGAGATGACCTCGTTGATCTTCTCCTCGACCTTCTTCTTGTCATCCTCAGCGATCTGGAGCTTGCCCTCAGAGAGGGTGTTCTTGAGGGAGTAGGCGTAAGACTCGAGACCGTTCTTGGCCTGGATGCGGGAAGATTCAAGCTCATCCTCCTCCTTGTACTTCTCGGCCTCAGCCAACATGCGCTCGATCTCCTCCTTGGAGAGGCGGCCCTTGTCGTTGGTGATGGTGATCTTGTTGGACTTTCCAGTGCCCTTCTCGACAGCGGAGACGTTCATGATACCGTTGGCATCAACATCGAAGGTGACCTCGATCTGGGGAACACCACGGGGGGCAGGGGGGATGCCAGTGAGCTCGAACTTGCCGAGCAGGTTGTTGTCCTTGGTGCGAGCACGCTCACCCTCGAAGACCTGGATCAGGACACCGGGCTGGTTGTCAGAGTAGGTGGAGAAAGTCTCGGACTTCTTGGTGGGGATGGTGGTGTTGCGCTTGATGAGAGGAGTCATGACACCACCAGCGGTCTCAATACCGAGAGACAGAGGAGCGACATCGAGCAGGAGGATCTCGTTGGTGGACTTGGAGGAAGTGTCACCGGAGAGAATGGCAGCCTGGACGGCGGCACCATAGGCAACGGCCTCATCGGGGTTGATGGACTTGTTGGCGTCCTTGTTGAAGAAGTCGGAGACGAGCTTCTGGATCTTGGGGATACGGGTAGAACCACCGACGAGGACGATCTCGTGGACGGAGGACTTGTCGATCTTGGCGTCACGGAGGACACGCTCAACGGGCTCCATGGTGCCGCGGAAGAGATCCTGGCAGAGCTCCTCGAAACGGGCACGGGTGATGGAGGTGTAGAAGTCAATACCCTCGAAGAGAGAGTCGATCTCAATGGAGGTCTGGGCAGCGGAAGAGAGGGTGCGCTTGGCACGCTCGCAAGCGGTGCGGAGACGACGGAGGGCACGAGCGTTGGTGGTCAGGTCCTTCTTGTGCTTGCGCTTGAACTCGTTGACGAAGTGGTTGACGAGACGGTTGTCGAAGTCCTCACCACCCAGGTGAGTGTCACCAGCAGTGGACTTGACCTCGAAGATACCCTCCTCGATGGTGAGGAGAGAGACATCGAAGGTACCACCACCCAGATCGAAGATCAGGACGTTGCGCTCACCCTCGACCTTCTTGTCAAGACCGTAGGCAATGGCGGCAGCGGTGGGCTCGTTGATGATACGGAGAACGTTGAGACCGGCAATGAGACCGGCATCCTTGGTAGCCTGACGCTGGGAGTCGTTGAAGTAGGCGGGGACAGTGATGACAGCGTTGTTGACGGTACCACCGAGGTAAGCCTCAGCGGTCTCACGCATCTTGACAAGGATCATAGCAGAGATCTCCTCAGGAGTGAACTGCTTGGTCTCACCCTTGAACTCAACCTCGATGACGGGCTTGGTGGCCTTCTCGACGATCTTGAAAGGCCAGTGCTTCATATCGGCCTGGACCTCAGCATCCTGAAAACGGCGACCAATAAGACGCTTGGCATCGAAGACAGTGTGGTGGGGGTTCATGGCGACTTGGTTCTTGGCGGCATCACCAATGAGACGCTCAGTGTCGGTGAAACCGACGAAAGAGGGGGTGGTGCGGTTACCCTGGTCGTTGGCGATGATCTCAATGCGGTCATCACGGAAGACACCCACACAGGAGTAGGTGGTTCCCAAATCGATACCAACAGCGGGGGCCATGGTGGATTGTGTATGTGTATGTAGTCGTTAAAAGAGGAAGTGTGTGTGAGAAAGAAATTCGTGAAGGAGGAAGGTAGTGTACAGAGGGATTGGGTATTTGAAAGTGAAGAGAAAAAAAAAAAGAAGAAAGGTGTGGGCAGTGAAAAGGTGCTATATAGTTAGCGGTGTATTGTTCAGAAGCTTCTAGACGGGGAGCTTCGATTAGGATCCATGGGATTCCATGGACTTCGATGCCCCAGCAACACCTGATTTACGCCCTTCAGTTGTCATCTAGAGGGTTCTAGAGTATCCCAGTGGATTCTTTATGAATCTGAATCCTGTTGTTATCTATCAAAGAATACTGAATAGGGACAATTCCTCCTTGAAGGTCTTTCTTCTACTGATTCTTTGACGTTCTGAACTTTTTTTTGGTGGGGGGGGGGGGATTCGATGATGTAATAGTGGGATCACTCTTAAGGCGGTGTCACAGTACCGTCTTGGTATTAACTAGTATTTTGGTTGCTAGGGACTCATCCGTATATAGTAGAGACGTGGACTTTAAAATACCATGTTATGATCTGTATGAGTTGGTCACAAGTGAAAAAGTCGTCATGATGAACACACGATCCCCATAGAAATTGTCTCAATGAATCATGAAGAATCACATCAGGGTCAGAGATTGCTCATGGTGTAGCCTCCCTCAGAGTCGTTTCAATTTGGGTCTTGAAATTCAAATATGGTTCAATTTGCATTGTATGGATTCTAGATTCACCCCCAAAATTGATGTTTTAGCCTGAGGCAGAAATGCCATTGGTATTTCTGCCTGAAACATAAGGTGTTGACTTCTAAGCCCTAACCTTAGATTAGTTAGTTATTTAGTTATAACTAGCTAAGTTATGACCAGACAACTATAAATGTAAAATTATGTTAAAAGGTTATTGGTATATTATATAACTACTCTATATATGTATGTAAACTTAATATGCTTATTATATTCTTATCACCGCTAATAGCTGCATATATATCTAGCGTTGTACAACGTACATTAGCAGCAGCTGATAAGACTCTGGGATAACTAAGCCTACCTGATGAGGTACCTAGGTAACTGGTCTATTTGAGCCTACAGATTTATAACTTCTAGAACTGAGCTCGCAAAGGCCGAACACATATACATAATTGCCGGCATCTGCATATATATTCAAACCAAAATAAAAAAGATCAAGCATTCGGAGAAAGCCCGGAGGAATTCAACCAAATCTTAGCCTTTTGTTTAAGCAAGTGGAGTCCAATCGGCCAAGCAGATCGATTGGACTACAATATTGTGCTTAAGGCTTGATAACGCCATCCACGCTAATCATTAGACAGTTGCAATTCTTTCAGTTCTGGGACTTTTTGGGGTGTTTATCCCCGGTTCCTTACTTGTTCCTGACGCGTTCGACAGGTTTATAACATGCACTAAAATGTAACATTCCGGCCTGAGACCCCATCTCGTGGCAAGTTGCCCCCGTCAGATCCAATGGGCTTGCTCGGAGGTAGATAACATTTAATTTGTTTCCATCTGTCACAGGCACTGAAAAGGTTTCTATTATGTATTAACAATTGCGATACTGTGCTCCGGTCGCACACCACCTGAAACTCGAATATTTTATAAATATTATATAGTATATATGTTTTCCTTCTTACAGTAAACCAAGGAAAGCAATAATCTTCCAAGGATTGAAAGGGCTACATACCTACATACCTAGGTACCTACCTGGGTCTTTATTCCTGAATTCATCATGTTCGCTGGATTCAAACGGCGTAAAGGCCGTGGATCTGAATTCAAAACGGAACAAGAACCAAAGCTGGAATCAGATCTGTCAACTAAAAAGCCAAATGTGGCAGAGACCGCGGTGGACGAGGAAAACCTTCAACTCAAGGGAGATACCGCCGCCATAGAACAAGAGACACAAGAAAACCCCGAAATCGCTGCCTTACCCCATGCTGTGCGACATCTGATCAACTTGAATGACGACCCGACCCTACCGACCATCACCTTCCGTTACTTTGTGCTCTCCGCTATTTTCGTAATCCCCGGTGCTTTCCTCTCTCAGATGAGCTATTTCCGCACCACCAAGGCACCATACTCCATCTTCTTTGTCCAAATCGCCTGTCACTATGCCGGTCACTTCATGGCCCGAATCCTCCCAGCCTGGAACATCGGTATACCGGGTACTCGTTTCAAGTTCAGCCTGAACCCGGCCCCCTGGAGCATCAAGGAGCATGTCTTGGTCACACTGACCGCAGCTTCGGGTGCAACCTACAACTTGGGATATGCCCCGATCGTTCTGGCCGAGCTTTGGTACGGCACACGAATCAACCCGGCCGTTGCCATCTTCTTCATGCTTTCGATCGTCTGGATTGGATACTCCTTTGCTGCTCTTGCCCGTCAGATCTTGTTGCCGGACCCCGAATACATCTGGCCGCAGGCCCTGATGCAGACAACTCTCTTCGAAACTTTCCGCAAAACCGACAACTCGTCTGCTCTCGCTCGGCGACAGATGAAGGTCTTCTTCTTCGCCTTGCTGGGAATGACCCTGTGGCAATTCCTCCCTGAATATGTCTTCCCATTTACCTCATCATTAGCATTCCTCTGTTGGGTCGCACCTCGTAATCCAGTGGCTAATTTCATCGGCTCCGGAATTGGTGGTATGGGTTTCCTGAACCTCTCGTTGGATTGGTCAAACGTCAACTGGAACGGATCCTCGATCATGACCACCCCATTCTGGACACAGGTCATTCTTTTCTTGGCTTTTGCTTTCAACTGTTGGGTCCTACTTCCTGCAGCGAAGTGGGGCAATCTTGGTTCCTACAAGCACGGACTCATGTCAAATACCCTGTTCATGGCCAACGGCACTGCATACCCGACCCTTGATGTGATCACCCCGGATTATCACCTTAACACTACAGCATATGAGCAATACGGGCCTATGTACATGGGTCTGCAAAATGTCTGGGCAACATTCTTCGACTATGCCAAACTTCCGGCAGCGGTCACCTGGATCTTGACATTTGGATACGCACAGGTTTCTGGGAACATTCGACGGATTTGGGACTCTCGCAACCAAGAGAAGGACAAGACGGCCCAAAGCATTCATCACCAGTATCATGATCGTCTCAACGTGATCCAGAGACAATACAAGGAGATTCCATGGTGGTGGTATGGCATTTTGTTCACGGTGGCCTTTGTCATTTTGATCATTTTCCTCGCCCTCGGACACTTGTTCATCCCAATTTGGACCTTGTTTGTGGCGCTTGCTAGCGCTGCTGTTCTGGTCATTCCATTCGCCTGGCTTTACGCCATCTCCAACTACCAGCTGGAGACCGGTTCCTTCAATGAGCTCATGTACGGTTATATGGTTCATACAAAAGCCGGTTCGAGCCACCAGCACCCGTGCGGCCCTTCGGTTTATGGATCGATTGCAGGTGATGCCTGGTACCGCGCGCAGTACATGCTCCAGGACCAAAAGATTGGTCACTACATGCACATCCCACCTCGTGCTGTCTTCTTTTCCCAGATCTTTGGAACCTGCATGGGTGTTCCAATCAACTATGCCGTGATGCGTTGGATCATGAGCACCAAAGGCGATTACCTGACCGGCAAAGTCACTGACCCTCTGAACCAATGGACTGGTCAATCATTGCGCAACTCCAACACAATGGGTATCCAATATGCTGTGTTAGGACCTAAAAGGCTGTTTGCCGAGACGGAGATGTCCATCCTTCCCTGGTCTTTCCTGATTGGAGCAGTGATTCCTCCTATCCTTTTCGTTTTCCATCGATTCTTCCCTCGTCTCCGCATTGAATTGTGGAACGTGAGTATCTTCTTTGGTGGCCTGGCAATGTTCTACGGTAACATTAGTACTGGATACACATCTGCCATCATCGGTGGCTACATTGTGATGTACTGGGCTTACCGTCACCACTTCGAGACTTGGAAACGATACAATTACTTGCTTGCTGCTGCTTTTGATGCTGGATTCAATCTTTGCATGCTGCTCATTTTCTTCTTCTTTGGAGCCGGCAAGCAGATTAGTATGCCCGAGTGGTGGGGAAATAACGGCACTTCGGTTGAACGATGCTTTGCTCTCGACAGTGATTGAGATCTTTGTTGGATATTCCAGAGATACCCTGCCCTATAGAAAATCAATGTACACAAAAGATAATTTATGACAAGATTTATTGCAACCAAAAATATTCATATGAACAGAAAGTATATACAGTAAAACGTACGAAGGATATCATCCTGTCTAGAAAGTTTGACAACACTTCTAAACCATCACTTTATTGTCATATTCCTTTCTACTTTATATCCTTATATATACACATATGTAATTTCTCGAGTTTTCATTAATGTTCTTTGAGGTCTCTTCATGATTCCCTTTATAAACAGCATATGTATTAGACGGATGCCTCAGGGCAAGATTTGTCACGGGGATTGATCGCTCGGTTCGGCCAATCAGATGACCAGTTGTCGCCCTTACTGTTTTGACTCGGAGACCTTACTTGCAGACCGTCTTTTAATAACTCCCACCCCTCTCTCCCCCTTTCACCAACGATCTTTCCTACACATCTTAAATCATTTCCATCATGGGTGACCACGCCACCATCTCCAACGATGCCTTCGCCAAGGACAAGGGCAAGGCCGTCGACCCCACCAACGAGATGAGCATGGACGAAGCTAGCTCCTCCGAGAGTGAGGCCGAACTAGTGGTAAGTCTACCATAACAATGACAATGACATTGACAATCATCTCAAATACCTTATTAACTCGAATGCGCCTTAGCCCGAAGACAGTACGAACCACCCCGCTCTCGTGTTTACAACATGCGCCATCGCATTGCATCTCTTACTTACTGACTCTCAACAGATGAAGATGAGGACCCGAACAACGCCGACCCCATCGACAAGAGCAACATTATCCAAGGTGGTCGCCGCACACGCGGCAAGGTCATTGACTACTCCAAAATTACCATCGACGACATGGAAGACGATGAGGAGGATGACGAGGAGTACGAGCACCAGGAGAAGAACGAGGACGACGATGACCAGATGCGCGACTAAGCGATCCATGAATATAAAATCTTTCCGGGTGGCATGGTATTTGCTTTCAACAGGCGCCACGGATCGGTCGAGGATTTTTCCGAACGCGTATGGCGTCTATCTTGCCCTACATAAGGTGATGACTATGAATCAATGAATACCAAGGATTCTTCGGAGTCTTTCCAATTGTCTCCATGTGTTGCTTATGATGTAATCTGTAGACTTGGGATTTACTTGTTCACCAAGATTGTGATATCATACCTCCAGGTGAATTCATGTTCTACACCTAGTAATTCTGCGCAGATGACATTGTAACTAAATATACCTACATGTAAGTAGTAAATAGCCAGTGCACTATATACGACGTAAATGAAGAGATCAATAAACAATTGCCATGCCCGCGGGCGAACCAGTTCCAGAACTATCACGTGAAGCGCTATGACCACTTGGATGTTTTTCTCCGCAAACGTCGGGATTCATGTCGACGCCATGTTCAATAAAATTCATGATTTCATTCATGCTTGATCTTTAACAATACTTAATGGCTTCACGGTACGCTTCTATATTGGTACATACCCACATATTCGAAAGCTAACAACACCAGATTCCCACGCCAGCGCGATCCCCGCGCTTCTTCATCTCTCTTCGATCAATACGGCGGCGGTAGCGACTCCCGCCAAGCGAGCAGATCCCCAGCCCAACCAGGATACGGATACGGGGGGTACTCCAGTCCCGGACCGAATGGATATTCAGCCAATGCAGGATACCAGAGTGCATCACCGGATAAAAAGTACGAGCTCCGAAAGACGGTTATGTTTGTGAGCATAGACTAACCTAATCCACTCCAGGGGCCATTACTCGGACGCAGTACTCTCATCACTCGAATCACAAAATGACGCCGAAGTCGAGGGCATTAGTGCCAAGGTCAAAATGCTGAAAGATGTAAAGGCCACATCAGCACCGTCCTAAGGTCAAACCGAAGCTGACCAAATAAATAGATCACACTTGCCATTGGCGACGAAATCCGCGACACGACACATATGACCGATCTGAATGATTCATTCGAGAACACGCGGGTCCGACTACGGGGGAACATGAACCGCATGCTCCGCATGGCTGAAAGCACCGGTGTCGGCTGGCGAGTCTGGCTCGGTTTCTTCTTCGCTGTTTTCCTTCTATTCTTCTACGTGTGGGTGTTCTGAGTAATTACTTGGGATTCCGAAGACGTTCTTCCCTAAACATTTAATATCTCGACATTGCGCCGTCGACTTGCTTTGTGATGCATCTTTTCAGCATGGGACTTGTTTTGGCGCTTGGTGTTTGGATCGCTTGAGCTGTGTATATGGTATACCTTGTTTGCTCATTTGTTGGAGATGATCGTCACTGTTTTGGATGCATTGGGCTTGTTTCTACCTGAGATTTTTCCAGGAGCTTGTCCAACATCATTTGAGGCCCAAGGTGTTCGCTCGATGTTTGGATACGTACATACTGCATATAAAGCAATAATTGAACGGCTTCGAAGGTGAATTTGTAGTGGCCACTTTTGTAGTTGACATGCTTCTCGAGATGTCCGTCATTTCATTCAAGCTACTAAGTGTTCTCGTGGGTATCATTAAGGGAGTATGGTTTCAACAGTTCATCCCGGCACATCCAAGGCCTTTCAAAACAGAAACAACCAAGCAGATAGTACATCTCCACCAGGAACCAATCTAATTCAAGCTGTCTCTGGGCCCGCCAATATGCCTGGGAAACCGTCTTGCAAACTCACTGCGTCGACTGCTCTGGCTTGTGATCGAAGCGCGCAGGTCCTCATCGCTGTACAACATGCTGCTCGAATCAAATGCGTCACCACCGCCACTCCAACGGTTGATAAAGCGACGCTGGGCATCGGTCTCCTGCTCACGGCGCAAAGTCGTCGGTGGAGGCAATCTGCCCCGACTATTCGGCGTACTGGTGCGGAAGTTTTCAGCGAACCTAGGCTGGGCAGAACGAGCACTGCTAGGCTGAGGGAGACCCGGTTGCGGAGTACCAAGCTCAAGAACACTCTCGCCCTCCTCATCACTCAACTCCTCCTCACTATCCGTATGCTGCCATTCCTCGGGTGAGCCCTCAGCATCAGGAATATCATCATCCAAGTCGCGTTCACTAGCAATCTCCGCATCCAAATCAGGCTGATTATCGAAGTCTTCGTCATCGTCATCATCATAAAGCCCCGAACCCTCGTATTCATCATCCACAAAGCCTTCGGGGATATCATCATCCAAATCCCGCTCCATATACTCATCACCTTCCTCCTCAAGCCCTTCCTCGCCCTCCTCAACCAGACCAGACGGCTCCTCCTCCGCGTTCGGAATTTCCTCATCCAAATCCCGCTCCATGCCTTCTTCTACAGGATGCGTGGTATCATCCATCATCGCACCATCCGCCGCCTCCATCTCCGCAGCGGCAGCCTGCAGTGCTTCTTCCCGCTCCGCTTCCTCTTCTTTCATGCCGAGCATGGTCTTTGCGCATCCTGCCGGCCGGATCCAGGAGGATCCGAATGAAGCGATGTTTAGTTTTCTGGAGCGGAGCTTGCGCTCTTCGGCCGCGAGGGCGGCGAGTGTGTTGGCTGGAGAGCGGGATGGTAGGAAGGCACGATGACTTGTTGAGCCAGCATTGCGGCGGGCGAAGGGGTTTGCTGGGTCTGTTTGTTCGATTGGTTGTGCTTGGGACGTGCCGAACCAGAGTTCGTGTGACTGGTATTGTTAGATGATTTGTATGGTTGCTGGCGGGATTCGGTACTTACGTCGCGTGGGGTGATGGATGGAAGGGAGAGCATTGTGGTTGGTGTGGTTTGAGGAGTTCTTGTATATCTTGTGAGACTGAGCCCCGTATGAATCTGTCTGCGCGTTGGAGATCTGCGGCGCGTTGATGAATGGTGCGGCGAGGGTGGGAACCAGGGGTATCAAGAATTTGCGAGGGTCGATGGGGTTGAGCTCTATAGTTCCCTGGTAAATTTAACAATATCTGTGGATATTGAAGCTAACCTCCATATGTCGGCAGAATCAACGATATGATCGTCGAGGGATTCGGAGCCAGAAAACGCAGGAGCTCTATGGCCAATCAGAGACAAGAATTTTCTATGCGGGGAACTATGAACCCTATATCTACACTCGAAGCATTGAATGAGAGTAGATATATCTAACGACATATATACCACTCTCCATATTCAGTCAATTGCCATTGAAATGGCATATGCTGTATCGCAAAGCGGTGGAATGGTTTTCTGTAGAGTTCCCAGGTGCTCTATCGGGTCGACATTTATACGTTGTAGGGTCGAGATTCTAGCATCAACCGCCTAGAAAAGCCTCAAATGCTCAAATTGAAAATGCTGTCACAAGCCAGGTAGAACCAATACCTTGGCTTCGACAAACAAGAACAACACTACTCCAGAGGAGCAGAAATTAGTGTAGATCTAAAGCTGAAGAGGTCTGTAGCAATCCAGGCCTTTCCGTTGCACATGCACATTGCATATATTGTACAGTGCATAAGCTGACCCATGCGCAAACATCGCCAAGGACTAGTCAAAAATGCCAGGAACATCATCCGATTGACCAGGTCCAAGCCCAAGAAGTGCAAAACCACAGAAAGTCTCACCGGTATTGATTCCGGAATCCCCCGATACTGTTCCTCCAGAGTGCGGTGAACCTAATGTGGACGTGGTCGGAATAACTCGGGAAGGAAAACAGTGAAGAACTCCCCATGACGTTGGATTCTACTGACCTTCGTCCGGGTGTTGATTGGTGTTGATTGGTGGGGAAAGGCGGGGATCATGTGATATCCACCCCGGGTGTGGGCGGTGATTTTTAGTGTGTACGGAGTACAATTTCGTAGTATGACGAGTTTTAGGTACCATTACTATTGTTAACTATTGTATTGTACTTAAATAGTAGTATTTGATAAATCATTTGTAGAATTTATATTGTAGATGTGATGTAACTATAGTATACGCCGTATTAGTGTAGAAAGGGTTTGTTTTACCCGATACACATAGTGGATAGGTGAGATTTGAGCCAACTAGGCGAAACCGGGAGAAGTGATCTTGAGAATTTAGGTATTCATATTAGTATCAGCTAACTATACCTTATCTCGGGGACCGATGGCTTTCCGCAAACCTCCAATCATTTAACCTGCAATGTACTGTACGGAGTACAATATAGAACATTACACAATATAAACAGTATAATTGCACACCCATCCAGAGATGACCTTGTTTACCAGAGAGCGGAGTATAATTCCCCAATTCCCCAAGATTGAGATATTCCGGGGTGGGATTCTGTCCAGTGAGGGAACAGATAATTTGTAGTGATCTGCGATAAGCAGTTTAGATGACCTCAAAGAATGAGGAAAGACCAATCCGCTTTGTTTCAGGAATGCCCGAAGTCGGGGGAGAATGCTGGACCAATGGCTGAGGAAGTCCCTGGAAAATGATAGAGAGGGGAGATCCCGGGAAGAGATTAGACCGTTGTCGGAACTGCCTTTTGAGTCGGGTACGAATTGGCTTTGATTCAATCACAGTCCAGTAAATCACCAGTGATGCTGCTGGAGATTTAATTGGTAGTTAGTCTTTGCACACGTTCATAGTGATTGAACATCCCATCTTTAAGCATTATATTTTGTAAAGCTTCATGATGTTCGTGCACTCACTCCCTCGATCTTTTGCCAATACTTTCGGATAACTCCCAAGTACTCCGTACTTTTTTGTTATTTTTCTCTTTTTTCTCCTGCAGCGGGAATCGAATGCATATTAAGCACTGCATGTCCCCACTTCATGTGCTTTTGGGGGGGGCTCTGGTATTTCCGTATCCCGAGGTTCGATACATTCTCCATCTTGTCCAATGATTAGCTCGGGTGGCTATGGGCTGATGGGGCCGCCCGGCCCACCACTCGACCTTGTTTCTGGATAAAGGAATAAGAGGGGGTGAAAAAAGAGGTAAAAAAGGTAATTGAAAAAGGAGAAAGAAGAAGATCGTTCAAGGACGAGTTCAAATACTATATTAAAATACCCAATTACAAGAGATATTGAAAAATACACCCATTACACAAAGAAAGATCTTGACGTAGTGCAAAGTTAATCGTCATATTACCCATACAATATAGGTCGTAAAGCCTTGGTTCTGATTGGTTGGGGGCTTATCTATGATTTCCACGTAATCATAATGATTATCAAAGTGACCCCATTCAACACCCGTGGACTCGAGCTTTTGGGAATGTTGGCTGTTTCCGGCGTAATTCAACTTGGTAGTTTGCAGTGAATTATTTGAAGGTAGCAGACGGTAGTAGAAAAGACAGAAAATCAATTGAGATAGAAATCGTAATTGCTAAGCTCATTTTGTTTTCTTCCATTTGAAACCTCCCCTTACAACTCAACTCTTGGCCAACATTTTGCCACAGATCATTCCTGTATTTTTGCCCTTTTTGGTACATCGGGGGTCTGCAATCCCCGGACCTACTGTCCCGCCGTGATCGCTTCTACTTTTTTGACCTTCCCCTCCTTTTTTTTTTTTTTTCTTTCTGGCTCTCTGGTTGTCTTTCTCCCCAACTCCAACTCTCTCTCACTCACAGAAGCTGGACACTTACTTACACACTCGATTCCTTCCCCTGTGACGACATTGCCAACTCCCCAAATCGGCGGGGAATTCCTACAACAACCCCTCATAACCCCTCAGTTAATCACTCCATTCTCTGTCGGTCCCCGGCGGAAGAATGGGTCTTAACTTGGAGGAGCTCTATGGCAAAGATCTAAGTGAAGAACAGCCTCAAGAGTATTCTCAGTATCAACCCAAGAAGGGCTATGGCTGGGCAAACACTCTGCCGGAACGGCAAGGTTTGTACGACCCTGAATATGAGAAAGATGCCTGTGGTGTAGGCTTCGCCGCGTGAGTGAACTCAAAGAGAACCTTCAATTGGTCCCGTATCAATACTGATCCAAAGAAAGTCACATCAAGGGAAAACCAAGCCACAAGATTGTCAGCGATGGTGAGTTTCAGATTAAATCCATAGGCTCAATTCCCATCCCCCAACAACGAGGACCCAAACTGATGGGAATTGAATAGCTCGCAATCTTCTATGCAACATGACTCACAGAGGAGCCGTTGGCTCCGACGCAAGGGACGGTGATGGTGCTGGTGTCATGACCAGTATTCCGCACAAGTTCTTCATTAAGAATTTCGCCCGCGAGGTGGGTGTGGAGCTCCCTCCGCTGGGACAATATGCAGTCGGCAACTTGTTCTTCAAACCCGACGAGGAAGCACTGAAGGAGTCCATCAAGAGCTTTGAGGAACTAGCCACATCTCTGGGCCTGCGCACTCTGGGATGGCGCGAGGTGCCCCGGGACTCAACCATCCTCGGCCCCGCCGCTCTCTCACGAGAGCCTATTGTCATGCAGCCGTTCGTTGTGCTACAATCAGCCTACGGCGACGGCAACAAGCCTGAGATTACAGACACCGAAAAGTTCGACGAGAGAACCTTCGAGCTCCAGCTCTACGTTCTCCGGAAGAGAGCGACTCATGTCATTGGCCTCGGCAACTGGTTCTACTTATGTTCTCTCAGCAACCGAAACATTGTTTACAAGGGCCAACTTTCTCCCGTTCAGGTGTATACATACTACCACGATTTGGTCAACGTGGACTATGAGGGTCACTTCGCCCTAGTGCACTCGCGGTTTTCTACCAACACATTCCCATCCTGGGACCGCGCTCAGCCTCTGCGGTGGGCTGCTCATAACGGTGAGATCAACACATTGCGAGGAAACAAAAACTGGATGCGTGCACGCGAGGGTGTGCTGCGGTCCGAGGTGTTCGGCGACGAGCTCGACCAGCTCTACCCCATCGTCGAGGATGGCGGTTCCGATTCCGCTGCATTTGATAATGTTCTTGAACTACTAATGATCAACGGTGTTCTGTCTCTTCCCGAGGCGGTGATGATTATGATTCCAGAGGCCTGGCAAGATAACCCAGCCATGGACCCCGCCAAATCTGCTTTCTATGAGTGGGCTGCCTGTCAGATGGAGCCTTGGGATGGCCCGGCTCTGTTCACTTTCTCCGACGGACGCTACTGCGGTGCCAACCTGGACCGTAACGGTCTCCGTCCCTGTCGTTTCTACGTCATGGATGACGACCGCATCGTCTGTGCTTCCGAGGTCGGTGCCATCGATATTGACCCGGAGAGAGTTGTGCAGAAGGGCCGTCTGCAGCCTGGAAAGATGCTGCTGGTTGATACCGTGGCTGGACGCATCATCGATGATGCTGAGCTGAAGCAGACCGTTTCCCGCCGCCATGACTTTGCTGGTTGGCTGGACAAAGAGCTTTTGAAGCTCCCCGCTATTAACGAAATGCTTCTTAACTCTAATGTCGACCTTTCCTTTGCCCTGGATAGCAACACCATTCAAAATGACGCTCGCCTCAGGGTATTCGGATATTCTTTCGAGCAGGTCAGTCTGATCCTTGGCCCTATGGCTGCGGACTCAAAGGAAGCCCTTGGTTCCATGGGTAATGATGCACCCTTGGCCTGTATTGCCCAACAGCCTCGTCTGCTTTACGAGTACTTCCGTCAGCTGTTTGCCCAAGTCACCAACCCCCCTATTGATCCTATCAGAGAGGCTGTGGTTATGTCCCTCGAATGTTACGTCGGTCCTCAGGGTAACCTGCTAGAAATGGAATCGTCGCAATGTCACCGCCTACTTCTCCCTTCCCCCATTCTGAGCATCCCCGAATTCAATGCTTTGAAGAATGTCAATCTGGCTCATAAGGATTGGACCGTATGCACTATCGACATCACGTTCGAAAAGAGCAAGGGCACTGCTGGTTACATCGACGCACTTGATTCTATTTGCGATGCTGCTACTGGAGCCATCAAGAACGGCGACAAGGTCATCATTTTGTCTGACCGCGCTACATCTGCCGACCGTGTTCCAGTTTCTGCCCTGCTGGCTACTGGTCTAGTCCACCACCATCTCGTCCGAAACAAGTGGAGGTCACTTGCTGCCTTGGCGGTTGAAACCGCCGAAGCTCGTGAAGTTCACCACCACTGTGTTCTGTTGGGATACGGCGCCGATGCCATCAACCCTTACCTTGCCATGGAATGTATTCTCAAGATGAACCGCGAGAACTTGATCCGCAAGGACACACCCGACGAGAAGGTCATTCAAAACTACAAGTCATCCTGCGATGGTGGTATCCTCAAGGTCATGAGTAAGATGGGTATCTCTACTCTCCAGTCCTACAAGGGTGCCCAGATTTTCGAGGCCCTCGGTATTGATGACAGCGTCATCGACCGCTGCTTCGCTGGTACCGCCAGTCGCATTCGCGGTATCACCTTCGACTTGATCGCCCAAGATGCATTCGCCTTCCACGAACGCGGATTCCCCTCGCGTCCAATTGTCGAAGTCCCCGGTCTACCCGAATCCGGCGAGTACCACTGGCGTGATGGAGGCGATGCCCACATCAACGACCCAACCAGCATTGCCAACATTCAAGACGCCGTCCGCACCAAGAACGACAAGTCCTACGAAGCCTACGCCAAGTCCGCGCACGAGCAGATCAAGAACTGCACTTTGCGCGGAATGCTTGACTTCGACTTCGAACAGCGAACTCCCATCCCCATCGACCAAGTCGAACCCTGGACCGAGATCGTCCGCCGCTTCGTGACCGGCGCCATGTCTTACGGGTCCATCTCCATGGAGTCCCACTCCACACTCGCTATCGCCATGAACCGTCTCGGCGGTAAGTCCAACACTGGCGAGGGTGGTGAAGATGCCGAGCGCAGCAAGAGAATGGAGAACGGCGACACCATGCGCTCTTCCATTAAGCAGATCGCCTCTGGTCGTTTCGGTGTGACTTCTAACTACCTTGCTGACGCCGACGAGCTTCAAATCAAGATGGCCCAGGGTGCCAAGCCCGGTGAGGGTGGTGAGCTTCCTGGACACAAGGTTGTTGGCCCGATTGCTCGTACTCGATTCTCCACTCCCGGTGTGGGTCTCATCTCCCCGCCTCCCCACCACGATATCTACTCCATTGAAGATCTCAAGCAGCTTATCTACGATCTGAAGTGCTCGAACCCCCGTGCTCGGGTCTCTGTCAAGCTCGTCTCGGAGGTCGGTGTTGGTATTGTCGCTTCTGGCGTGGCTAAAGCTAAGGCTGATCATATCTTGATCTCGAGTCATGATGGTGGTACTGGTGCTTCGCGCTGGACTGGTATCAAGTATGCCGGTCTTCCTTGGGAGTTGGGTCTTGCGGAGACGCATCAGACTCTTGTGCTGAATGATCTGCGTGGTCGGGTTGTTGTTCAGACTGATGGACAGATTCGAACTGGTCGTGACTTGGCCATTGCTTGTCTCCTTGGTGCTGAGGAGTATGGTTTCGCGACGACTCCTTTGATTGCCATGGGTTGTATTATGATGAGGTTGGTGAACCCTTTCAATTCCTGCCTACACAACATGATACTAATATATAATTCTCCTATAGAAAGTGTCACCTGAACACTTGTCCCGTCGGAATCGCAACTCAAGATCCTGAGCTGAGGAAGAAGTTCCAGGGCACACCAGAACATGTGATCAACTTCTTCTACTACGTAGCCAACGAGATGCGGGCTATTATGGCCAAATTGGGCGTTCGCTCGGTCAATGAGATGGTTGGCCGTGCTGAACTGCTCAAGGTCCGGGACGATATTCGAAACGAGAAGCAGGAGCGCATTGATCTGTCACTGATCTTGACCCCTGCCCACTCCCTTCGTCCTGGAGTTGCCACTTACAATGTCCGCAAGCAGGATCACCGCCTCCACACTCGCCTGGACAACAAGTTGATTGCCGAATCAGAGCTCGCTCTGGAGAAGGGACTTCCCTGCCGAATCGAGTGTGATGTTGTCAACACCGATCGTGCTATGGGTGCTACTCTCTCATACCAGATCAGCAGACGTTATGGCGAAGCTGGTTTGCCGCAGGACACTATCCACGCTAACATTAAGGGCTCTGCTGGTCAGTCATTTGGTGCCTATCTTGCCCCTGGTGTGACCCTTGAGCTTGAGGGTGATGCCAATGACTACGTTGGCAAGGGTCTTTCTGGTGGCCGTCTGATCGTTTATCCCCCGCGTGGAGCCGCCTTCAAGGCCGAAGAGAACGTCATCGTCGGTAATACCTGTCTTTACGGTGCCACTCGTGGAGCTTGCTACTTTCGTGGTCTGGCTGCTGAGCGTTTCGCAGTCCGTAACTCTGGTGCTACTGTCGTTGTCGAGGGTGTTGGTGACCATGGATGTGAGTACATGACCGGTGGCCGTGTTCTCGTTCTTGGACCCACTGGCCGCAACTTCGCTGCTGGTATGTCTGGTGGTATTGCCTACGTGCTGGACAAGAACCAGGACTTCCACTCCAAGGTCAACCTGGAGATGGTGGAAGTCTCCGGTATTGAGGACCCCTCTGAAATTGCCTTTGTTCGTGGCCTGGTTGAAGATCACCACCATTACACTGGATCTGAGCTAGCCGCTCGCATACTACTCGACTTCACTCGCGCTCTTCCTCACTTTGTCAAGGTCCTGCCTGTTGACTATAAGCGCGTCATGGAGGAAGAAGCTGCTAAGGCGGAGGCAGCGAAGAAGGCCGAATTCTCTCTTCCTCGTCTTCCTAGTACCCCTGTCAAGGCCGACAAGCCCAAGGTCGATGAATCCCACAAGACCGACTTGCTGGACATCGAAGACAGCATCAGCGACTCAAAGACTGAGAAGAAGCGGTCGGCTCTGATTCTGGACAAAACCAGAGGTTTCATGAAGTACAGCCGCCGCAGTGAGAAGTACCGCAACGCGACCACCCGTACTCGTGACTGGGGTGAGATTTCCAACCGTCTGAGCGAGGATGAACTCAAGTACCAGTCTGCTCGTTGCATGGACTGTGGTGTTCCATTTTGTCAGTCCGACACCGGTTGTCCTATCTCCAACATCATTCCCAAGTGGAATGAGCTGGTCTTCCAAAATCAATGGCAGGATGCTCTGAACCGTCTGCTCATGACCAACAACTTCCCTGAATTCACCGGTCGTGTCTGTCCTGCGCCTTGCGAGGGATCTTGCGTCCTGGGTATCAACGAAGACCCCGTTGGTATCAAGTCTATTGAGTGTGCGATCATCGACCGTGGATTTGAAATGGGCTGGATGGTGCCTAATCCTCCCAAGACCCGCTCCGGAAAGACGATTGCTATCATCGGATCCGGTCCCGCTGGAATGGCTGCCGCTGACCAGCTCAACCGCGCTGGCCACAGCGTCACCGTCTATGAGCGTGCTGACCGCATTGGCGGACTTCTTATGTATGGTATTCCCAACATGAAGCTAGACAAGAAGGTTGTGCAACGCCGTGTCGACCTCATGGCTGCCGAAGGTATCAAGTTCGTCACTGGAACTGCCGTCGGCCCCGACTCTGAGGTCACTCTACAGTCCCTCCGTGCCAGCAATGACTCTGTCATCATTGCCACAGGAGCTACCGTCGCTCGTGATCTTAAGGTTGCCGGTCGTGAGCTCGATGGCGTTCACTTCGCCATGCAGTTCCTACACAAGAACACCAAATCTCTCCTCGACTCCGGCCTCTCAGACGGCGAATACATCTCCGCCAAGGACAAGCACGTCGTTGTCATTGGCGGCGGTGATACCGGTAACGACTGCATTGGTACCTCGGTCCGCCACGGCGCCAAGTCAGTCACCAACTTCGAGCTGCTACCCCAGCCACCCCCAGAGCGAGCCCGCGACAACCCCTGGCCCCAATGGCCGCGCATCTACCGTGTCGACTACGGCCACACCGAAGTCAAGACGCACATGGGCAAAGACCCGCGCGAGTACTGTGTCATGTCAACCGAGTTCGTCGACGACGGCAACAACCGCGTGAAGGGCATCAACACCGTTCGCGTTGAGTGGACGAAGAGCGCCACTGGCGGCTGGGACATGAAGACTGTCGAAGGAAGCGAGCAGTTCTTCCCTGCGGACCTCGTACTCCTCTCCATGGGATTCCTTGGACCGGAGGATCGTCTCCTGGGCGAAGAAATCGAGCGTGATTCCCGAAAGAACGTCAAGACTCCCCCTGGCCACTATTCGACCAACATCCCTGGCGTTTATGCGGCGGGTGACTGTCGCCGTGGACAGTCTTTGATTGTTTGGTGAGTTTTCTGTCTATCCTCACCACTATAAAACGTAAATACTAATTTGATTGCAGGGGTATCAACGAAGGACGCCAGTGCGCCCGCGAGGTCGACGCTTTCCTCAGCGGCACCAGCTCTCAACTCCCAGTTACTGGTGGTATTGTCCGTCGTCCTGCGATTGACTCCGTCCCCCAGCCTACTGAGGTTGTTGCCTAATGTCAAGGTATGGGACATAACGAATTTGACGGCCATAAAACTTTCCAAGCGCGTTCGGGGATAAATCTGTGATTTAGATGGGGTTACTCGATTCTTGATTCTCTGGGGAAAGCCTCTGGTGCTATTTTATCTTATTTGATTCATCTTATGTTTCAGCGTTTCTTATTTATTTACAATGTACTTAAAGCGTCTGCCGCCTGGTAATCTTATGCTTTGAATGTAAATAGTGCTAATTCTATTCATTGTTCCATCATTGTTCCTGTTGTAAGCTTGCAGCCTTTAACTCCTTATAAAACAAAGGCATACCGACAATGTTATGTAATTTAGCTATTGGTTTTTTTTTGAAAGACTTGTTGGAAGTTTCTGGCTTTGATTCAATCAGAGCATATTGATGTCTTGATTTCCCCGTCGTGTTCGGAGTATTCCACATCTTATCTAGTGCATCTAGTGCATCTTAGCCCTAGCAATTAAGATATTGTTCCCAGGCACAGATATCAGCACTATGGCGAAGGCAAAAAATGACACCAATACCACCCCAAACAAGTTCATCACCGAACGCGAAGTCAGCGGCGAGCGACGATCTATCCGCCACTACAATGATGGACGTGTTTCATCACGCAGGAATTCCCAAACATATCTCTCCAATTCCCTCTCTCGAAGCACGAGCAGTGCAAGTGTGGACCGAGCGAAGAAAGATACCTTCCGTAATCCTTCAGCCAACTCTCGAGCCTCTTCGACTACCCCCTCAGCAGTGGGCAATGCAGAAGGCCCCGAAACCTCCTCCGTAGTTGAAGCACTCACCATCCTCGATCCTAGATCAGACGCACAGAAAATTTGCCACCCCTTCGAGACCACCGGATCAGAGACTGAGACCATCACATTACGACAGGTCGGGCGAGCATCTAGACCAGATTTGATGTGCCCCAAAGCTAGTATTGGTAGTGGGAGTGTCCATGATCGTGTAGTAAATATTGAGACGAATCTCAAGAAATTTGAGAAGACTTTCTTTGGTAGTATTGCCGAGAAAGAGGAAGAAGAGAAAGAGCAATAATTACTGAGAATTACAGAATTATGAAATCGGAGAAGATCAGTCTGCAATGTTTGTGAAATGCCAGATACTGATTATCTTATTTTTGCCGGTCTAACAGATGGCCCATGAGTCTTACCTAGATATATGCACAACGTTTACCCACAGGTCTGGGAAGTGATTTGTATTAGCATGAACTGGATTGAATGGTTAATCTGGAATTGATTCAAATGGCAAAACTGGTAAATATGTACAAAACACAGCACAAAGGTCAAATCATTTGGTCTTGATATGCTTGATCTTCTTGGGTTCGTGAAGGAAGTTGTTCGCGTAGGCCTTGGGCACAAAACGGCGCTCGTTCGGCTCCTGGACAAAGTATTCGTAGCCCTGCTTCTGGGCGAAAGCAATGGCATCCTCCTTGGTCTTGAATTTGATGTTGGTGCCCTGCATAGCATCGGCAGACGATTGCCAGCCCATGAGGGGATTCTCCCAACGGTGACCCCGCTGCAAGATGTCCCAGTCCATACGCCAGTGGTGCTGGTGCCAGGTACCGGACTGTGTTGCGGGCTTGGCAGGGCGGTAGATCCTGTGGAAGGTATTGATTAGCGTGGGAACTGGACGCTCGGAATCCGCGTCACATACCGGACAGTGCGGGCCTGGAGATCGGTAGGGGCACCGGAGAGAACGGCGCCGGGGAGAGAGTCGCCAGGCTCACTGCCATCCATGACGCGCTTGGGCACCGGGGAAAATTGCCTTGATTGGAGCCACAAGAGTTAGCGAAAGGATTTGCGATGGAAGCAAAGGGGAGAGTTTCGTACGAGGTGCCGTGGTCAATGGTGGCCTCATAGTCTGGCTGGTGACGGGTCATGGCCTCAGATGGAGTTTCCTTGCTGATCAAGGAGCTGGCCTTGTTTGGTGTGCCGGGAGCATCTGAGGTGCTGGTCTTCACGGAGCCCGCCTTGGGGACATTGGAGATGAAGCGGGCATTGATAGGAGCAGAAATTCTGCCGACCCTCAGGCCAGCACCTCCAATTCTGAAGAGGGACATTTCGTCTTTTATTTTGTATTGCGAGGAAAGAGTCGTTGCCAGTGAGGGATTCACATTGAGATGTGGTTTGCGAATAAGGCAAGTCACGACACCACCGAATTGGGTTTAGCGTAGGCTTGGCTTTCCGACCACCCGCAGGGCTCGGTTTGTTCCTCCTTCCTCTTCCATCAGCTTTCTTTGGTTTACTTGCGCTGCAATCAACGTAAGTTCATGTTTTTGACTCCCTTGGGAACACTCTCCGAGGGCTGCTCCGTTTAGTGCGACCAATCTCTGACCTTTTTTAGCCCAGACAAGATGAGCTACATCGCCCGCCGAGGTCTCTCGACCTTGATCCCTCCCAAGGTAAGAATATCCTCGTCCATGACTTTCCGTTGGCACATACTTCCGGAATTGATACTTACTCTCATATTAGGTCGCCTCCCCTAACGTAAGTTACCCATGCGCTGCCGTCTTCGATTTCGCGCACCCCTTGCACACCCGTCCGGCCCCGAAATCGTTTTCGTGCAAACCTCCGACATGAATCAATCCCCGCCTTCTCGATATCCTAACTGACATGTTTTAATTTCAGGCTATCGGTGCCGCCCAGGATGCCGCCCGTATGGAGCGTGTTGTGAACTTCTACGCTGGCCTTCCCCGTGGCCCTGCTGCCCCCGTCAAGGCCACCGGTCTCATTGGTCGCTACCAAGCCCGCTACTTCAGCGGCAAGAACGCCTCCGGTGCTCGTATGTTATCGTTCTATGTCACTTAGAATTGATTGGAATACTAACAAGACACACAGCCTTTGTGCACGCCATTGCTGGTATCTTGATCTTGGGTTACAGCATGGAGTACTACTTCCACCTGCGTAAGTATCTCTTGGATTTTACACCTCCATTTTGGGTTTCATGGAGTGCGACTGACTGTATTACCCACAGGTCACCACAAGAACCACCCCCACTAAACTTTTCCTTTCCATCTAATCAGAGGATTGATGTATATACTGGATCCTCCGTTCCAATGCAAGGAAATGATGTGGCTTCAGCGAGAACCTTAAAGAATCTCACTGTGTTTCAATATTCAGATCATCAAGCTCACTTTTGTATCTTGTCATTACCTTTTTTGACTTAGTCCCTAGTAGATTATACGGAAGTATTACACGACATGGTTAAGCCGTAAGTGGAATGATGGGGTCTTTCCTTAGTTCCCCTCTCACTTCACATCCACTTTACACATCAAATCCAAGTCAAGTCTACTCTTTTCTTAAAAATTTACTGAACTTACAATATTTGTTCTTCAATCAAATATGAATTTGCCTCTGTAAAAGAACGAGCTTTTAGGGCTTTTGAGAGAGAAGCAGGTGTGTGAGACCTCACAACATTTCGCCCGGATCACGCTAAACCGAAAACAGCGACTCTCAGCTTCAACCCGAGTTGACGCTTTGAATCTTGTATCATCCCTATCTTTGTATCCCATCCACACTCTCTCCGCAAAATTCTCCTTTCTTTTCCCTCCTCCTCCCTCCCCGCCCTTTTCCTGGGACCTCTTGGGTTGCGGACCTCCCAAGAAATAAGCGCCTTAACCGATTCCCGCGATCGTACTCTCCACCTTGTAGCTAAGTGAACACGGACTCATCAGCTTCCGAAAGTTGTTCCGCATATCTCTGGTTGTAATATCCCCATACTTTCAGGGTGCAACCAGCTGAGGAAACAGTGCAACTGTGGCGATCCTTGATATCTGACGATAGGTACGTCTACTTTAGTGATCTGGCATGCACGTTTGATCTGCCGCTGCCTGTCAACATTCCAGGAACTATTTGCCCACTAGGAGGACACTTCACTTACATGGTCGCATTTATTGCTGTTCACAGAATCGAGTATTGTTATGGCAGAGCAGAGCAGCCGCGATGTGGTAGATCAGACCCTGTCGGGCGGCGAGCCTTCGCCTTCCGACGTTCCTGCGAGCACCAACGACAAGCTTTCCGCCGGAGGGGACGCAGGGAAGACCGAACATATCGCAATGAATACAGCTACATCGAACAACTCCACTTTGAATGACCAGCACAATCATGAGACAAAAAACACGCTTGATCAACGGGGAGAACGAGCGGGTGGTGATAAGGATACCGGAGGCCCTATATCGGTGAGATCTGACCTGGCATGTGCGCCCCCAAAGTTCCCGCTAATATGGGTGCAGGAGAATTCCAAGCAGGGCGCTGGACTTGTTGCGACCCGAGTTCTCGAACTAAATGGACTGGCCTCGGCATCGGATGGCGGAGACGACACGGCGTCACAAGGTGGCTCGGAATCGGATGCCAGCCGGACGGAGAGCAGAAATACCACACACAGTGGTTCCATCAAAAAGCCTGGCTCGTTCAAGCCCGTTTCCTTTGCGAAGCAGAAGTTCTCAGTGCCCAAAGTGCCGGGTGCTGCTGCACCCCCTAAGGCGCCTGAGAAAGGTATGCTCTTTGTTCAGCGGTTTGTTATAGTTGGCGCTGACCTTTATAGTTCCTTCAACTTCCACAACACCGCTTGGTACCCCACAGCCCAGCTCCCGCCCGCGCTTGGTTGCGAAGACTACACTGGGAATGCGTGACTCATTTTCGAAGGCCGGAGCAGGCGGGGCCAATCCTGGTGGATCAGGGCCTGATCCAAACCAGGTTTGGAATAAAAATCGGCGTATGTACTTGCTAGATAATCAAGTGGAGTTGCTTGAGCTGACATCTATATCTGTGTAGCTGTTGCGCCACCTCCGACCAAACAATTGACCGATGAAGAACTGAAGCAGCAATATGGAATCCATATGACCTCCCGCATCCAAGAAGATGGTGCTGTGACGTCCGAAGCAAAGTGGGCAGATATCGATGATGATGAAGACGATTGGGCCCCGGAAACAATTGAATGGACAGATGGAACTAAGGTCAATCTCACGCACACCCATGCCGATCCTCTACCAGGTCCAAGTCCACCGGAGCTCAAAGAATTGCCGCCTGTAGAGCCAGTCATCACCACGAAAGAGCCTCCCAAGCTTGCGCCAAAGCCAACCACCTCTATTGGGCCTAATCCAACCATCCTCAAACTCGGGGCCAATGCAGAACGTCAAGCAAGAACAGCGAGTGCGTCCTCCAAAGGCACCAATGACAAAGTTCCATCCAGTTCCACTAGCCCAGCGCCGCCATCGAAATCTCCCTGGGCCACTCTACCTCCTGTCGAAAGAGTGTCTCCAGTCATTGCTCCAATGCAACCTCCTCACCAACCCCGCATGCCTATGATGAGACACCCCCAGAGAGGCGACGGATATCATGCACAGATGCCCATCCAACCGAAGGAGATTGCAGCGGATGATTTCAATCGCACGTGGAAAGAATCTCAACCTGGCGCCCCCCGGGAGCTCTTCAACTCTCGATCTGGCCAGTACGAGCCAGTGGCAGAGACAAGGAGAAATTCATGGCGCCCCGACCAGCACCCACAACCTCGTGCTCCGGCGGTATTGCAGAGGTCAAACGACCCTTCAGGTGGGCCGGCAGAACCGTCCGCGGCTTTCCAGACGCACAGGTCTAGCCACCAGGATGGTATGGGCTGGGGCCGTCGTCGCACGTCATCAAATGTGAGTGGTGGAAGTGGAGGATTTGGCCGTAGAATGTCATTTGGTCGGCCTGATGCACCCCCAAGAATGAATGATGGCAGGAGAGGCTCTCAGGTAAATGGATTGATTGATCCGGCGTTAATGGGTCACGAACAGCACCACGGCAAGGATGACGTTCTTCCGTCTGGTCCCAATGGGATCACACGTCCAGCTGTTGATGTAGGTGGTTCTGCTGTGGAAGTACATACAGTGGCCTCTCAAGTCTCTCTGGCGCCACAGGAGCCTCAAGAAGACCCTGTTGCTCTGCAGGAGCGTATCATGAAGGAGAAGCGTTTGGAGGCGAGACAACGCAGAATTGAGCAGGAAGAGAAGGAGGAAGCAGCTAAACAGGAGCGGATCAAACAACGTCTCGCGGCGATGGGTCCTGCACCAGTGAAGAAAACTCCAGAGACTCGCAACACTGCTGCCCCTCCATCTCAACCTCAACCTCAGCCTCAGCCTCAACACCACCCTTCACCCCAAACTCCCCGTTCTCAACTTTCGCATCAAACCAGCCATACTGTTTCATCACCCCCGAAACCTCCTGTTCCAGAGCCTACTGGCGCACCAAAACAATATGGTATGATGAAAGTGCATCATCCCGACTCTGTCAAGAAACTCGTTGGTGCACATGACCGGACCTCTGATAGCAAACAATTCACTCGACGTGTTTCTTCGCCCCGTCAAGAGCCTCCACGTGAACCTCTTGCACTTGCACCTAACCACAAGGCCGAGCCTCAGTCACCCATCCAGGGCAGCACGACGGCTACCAAACCTGGAGACCAGCACGGTCAGCGCTGGCAAGGCGACTTGAAAGTCTCCCCCTCACCGTGGTCTCATCCGAGCATCAACCCGACTTCTCCGACTCTCAAAAACCCCTGGAAGCCACTTGGCAGCGATCGCACTCCCACTCTCGGAAACGGCATTTTCGACCAACCTCTTGGGTTTTCATCACGCGAAAACTCTTTACGCCAACTAGGCTTCGAGAAAACAGCCATGTCTAATCCTCCCGGCTTCACTGCTCCTCAAGAGCCAGCTGTCTGTCTACCATCTCCCGAGGCTCGTCACACCTCATTTGACTCCATGCACCCTGTTGGCCGCCCTGGTCCCATCGGACCCCCAGCTGCCCAGCAAGCTCGTGGAGTTGAGGCATGGCAATCGTTTACTAAAACCGCCGGTGAAAGCGAACGTCAAGACCAGCAGAAGTTTATGGAACACTTCCACAAGACACACCAGAAGGGAGAGCACACTACCCCTCCCTCGACCTTTGAGCAGACTTGGAAGCAAATCAAACCAACCGAAGATGGCAGACGACTAGTCACTGCGGTCACTCGCAAGAATATCGGCAAACCAACCCCAGATCCGGCCGTGCTGCCCAATCCATTGACTAACCTCGATGCTCCTGCGGATGGTCTTACTTCGGACCGTCCATCTGGTCATGTTCCTGTTCGTAGCTCACGGTTCTTCCCTTCCGCTACCGAGCAACCAAAGCGCCAGGCTACCGAGAGGGACCGTGGTAGTCCGTCTCCCCCTCCCCCAGAGGAATATTCGAGTCACCCGGTTTACTTTGGAGATTCGAGCCGCCCCCATGTTCATCTCCCGATCCCCAAGCCTGTTGTGAAGCTCCCGCCTAAGGCCGTTGGTACACCGGCACTTCCACCCACCTTTGCTTCTATGGCAGCTGCGCCCCCACGCGATACAATGCCCCCTTCGACTGCCATTTCATGGCAAGAAAAGATCAACAGTCTTTTCAAGTCTAAGTCACCAGAGAGAAAGAATGTATTGGCTGTGACACCTGCCACAAAGGAAGCATTGCCTGTTCACACCGCTGCGGTCTCTGTCTCCATTCCTCGGGCTAAGCTTGAGTCACAAAGGGGGGATGGTGATTACGCGGTTGAACAAGTTGAAAAGCAGGATGAGATGTTCGAGGATCGGGAACCGGGCTCCTTGCCCGCCGTCCGTGTGCCCACTATGGCACCTATCAATTCCTGGAGTCAACCCCCGCCAATTCGACAGCTTCGCAAGACCTTCAAGCAGGTTCAGACACAGAGTATCCCGCCTTTCCTGGTTGGACTGGGTGATCGTGATAACAATAACAACATTCGTGTTACGATTCTCCTTCCCGGTGCAGCTGAGCCCAAAGTCATGCTCATCCAACGCAAAGCTGGTCCGCCACGACCCCGCAATAACAACAATACCCGGCCTCGCAAAGGCAACAACAAGCCTGCGGAGGCCTCCAGTGGTTCCAAGAAGTTTGCTCATTCAAACCTTGGGTCACGACAGCAGTCTAGCAAAGCAAGCTGGGGCCCAGATCACTCAAGCTCTCAATAGGCATGTTCAGTCTTGCATGCATTTGCTTATCGCTAGCGTTCTCGATATCTTCCTTCGGCCTCGAATCTCGACTGTTTGTCATGTCCGGAATTGAGAAATCTATGATCATCCGCAGCAGGTCCATATCAAAGGCCTGTTAAATACTCTTCGTCATTGTCCACTTTCATGCTTTCCCGAATCTGGACCACAACAATGATGATACCCTCTCCCCCTAACTCGCGCATTAGTGTGTCCAATGTACTTTTTCGTTTTGTTTCCCCTCGACCCTTTACCTCCCCAACACTCTATTCAGGACTGCAGCCCCTCCGGCCTTGTGATGTGTGGATGATCAACCATCTGCTGATTCAGTATCCTGTCTACGTGCCGTGCTCATTGCCCTAACTGTGGTTGTATGCTTGTTCCAAGAAGTATATCACACTTCCATGTTCCGAGTACACGGCTGGTTTAACATCCATATTCACAACTCTAGTGAATCATTTTTAAACTTCAAACTTCATGTGCTTTGTCGTGTGTCAATCCTGTAGAATTCATGTAGACTACATGAAAGGATCTAATTACTACGGCTTCCGCAAACGCTTGAAGACCCCGTACAACGAGTACTTGCATCGACTGCATATTTGGCCTTACTACTCTGTACAGACGTCCTGCTACTTAGAAGAATTGAACTTTCTGGGTGGTGGTTGGCATTTAATCAATATAGCCTTAAAAGCTTGAGCAGAACATAAAAAGTAGAATAGTATACACAAACAATACATAGGTATCAACCATAGACAAATCCCGTGAAAGGCCCAATATAAAACGCCCTTTGCCGCATAAGATGTCACCGGCAATCATGAATTATCGAAACTGAATCATCCAAGTCTCACAGGCAGTATGACAATACCATGCGAACTATGGAGACCCCTTCGACACCCAAAACGCCCTCGAACACCAACCATTAGATAGACAACCAGTCAGATGACATAACTCCCACAGACCACATTAAATAATGAATAATAATTACTCCAGTCTCACCAATTCCAGGTCCGGCTGGAGGCAGTGAAGACAGGAGGCTTCCACTGCAGACGTGCAGGATCGATCTTGCGCGCGCCCTTGATCTCCTCTTTCTTCAGACGCTTCTCGTGCTCCTCGATGATGCTATCCGTCAATACAATCACCCAGTTACCTTTCTGCGAAGCAAGAGAAACTGGTTAGCAATGCCGCGATATTGTGTTATGGCTGAGTCCACTGGACTGGAAGTTGAAACTTACATGATACCGAAGCATGTTGAAAACAACAAGTGTTTCGTGAACGTCTTTCTCCGTCATGGAAGTGAGTACAGCGAGCTCGTTCTCACTCATCGCCTCACGGTTCGGCTCGATTAGCAGATCCACCAACGTCTCGCGCCAATACTGGCGATAACCGAGAAGACCCAGATCACTGAGCGGCTTTTCGGGCGAGCCGAGCTTGCCCTCGCGCTTGCTGAGCTCGTAGCTGAAGGATATGAGAAGACGGCCAAAGCCACGGCGCTGATACTGTGGCAGCGTCATGATACAGGCGAGGTTGTAGCCTTCGGCGGAGTCTTTTTCCTTGGAGAAGTAGCCGACGAGGTGGCAGCCGCTTTCGTCGCGGGTGGTCATGCAGTAGAAGAGAAAGGGATCGACATCGTAGTAGAGGGTCTTGTGGTCCAAGAAAAGTTTACTCAGGAGACACAGGTTGCGGCACCAGGTTCGTTGGCGGCGGCCGTCGACCTCGAAGAAGGAAATGTAGTCGTCGCGGTAGATCTCGTTGCCGGGTGGATGGGTGATGGTGCATTTGGCGCGGTGGCGCTCAAAAGCGCGCTGGTTGTCGAAGTAGCTGAGGCAGAACTCGTCAATGTAGACTAGATCTACGTCGGAGAAGGAATCCGGGTATGGGGAGAAGTACCACGGCTCGACGTCGTATTTGCCCATTTGGAGGCGAGTCAAGTTTCGTACACGATGGATTTCTGTTGGGTTTTGAGTCATACTGCCGCTTGTGCGAAGTCGTTCGATCTCTTCTCCGCGGGTGATGACTTCACCCGAGGCCGTTTGCACTTCGTCTTCTTTAGTCGATTGGCCTTCTGTGGCATCTACCATTTCAACATCTTCGGAGTCGGTGGCTTTGGGTGTTCCAACTGTCGACACTGCTTCAGAGGGGAACAGCGAGGTATCCCCGGGAGTCTCGGCGTTCTCTTTTCCGCCTGCTCTTGATGGTCGTGAGGTCTTGTCGACATTCACATTTTTACCACCCAATATGTCAGGCGTTTGCGATACATCGCGACTGTCAGCACGGGTACGCTTGTTGGTACTCGTATTTTTGCTGGGGGCGGCCTTGTTGGTAGTAGCAGCCTTCTTCTTATCGGCCTTTTCTGGCTGAGGCCATTCAACCTCTTGGGAGAGATCGATCCGCGAAGATGCGACCCATTCTTGAATGATATGTCAGATCATATCAAATGACAGCAAGTAACTTGCAATAGCTGGAGCTTACCGTCAAGACGCTTGTTAAAGTCGACATAGTGTACGCTGAGAGCCATATATTAGCATCCAGTCGAAGCACATTCACGATCAACACAGGCAAACATACTAAAAGGAAGGACCATCTTTCCGCTGTCTTATAGACAGAATCTCGGCTTTCCGTAACTCTCCATCCTATATATCAAACAATCAGTATTTCAAACTACCTTAACGGAGTTGGTCACTTGATTGGTAATCACGTGACATGATCACCAAACTCTGCGACAGGATCAAAACGAACCTTTTGCACCATGGCTTTCACACCGATCCTATGTGAGTAATTAGTATATGCGACCGGTGAAAGTTGATGTAAACATCACGGAAATCACTATTCCAAACAACAAACGAACATACCTGATGGTATTGAGGGTGGCAAACCCCTTCTCGATGGGGTCGGGCGTCCCCGCCGTCTCCCCGTGGGAATCTCGGACGCCCATGGTGTGATTAGACAGTACTGACACGATACTCAAAGATGGGAATGATAGAATTGAGCAGATTAATACGAGACGAGGAGTTGATGTGGGAGAAAGGGAGCAGATCCGGGTGCAAATTTATGTAAGCGTTTTTTTTTTCGCCGCATTGGATACCTAGGTATATTCTTCTATACTACTAACATTACTACTACCTAGGTAGCTACACTCATATATATGGCTAGTGTAAGAGCAATGTAGTAATGAAAATAATAGATACCTATTATAGGAGTGGAAAAAAGGAAGAAAGAAGAAAAGTCCAATTATAATGGCACACCAATCTCTCTGTGTGTTGGAGATTGTACAGTGCAATCCCCCCATTTATGCGCTGTGAAGATATAGAATACAAAAGTTGAACCCAACGCCTGGCGCCTCGCAATGAATTAGACAGAAAATTCAGTCAGATGTCTAAAGTATAAGACCACTTCTCTTTTCATGTCATTCCTCAAACTTTCGCTTGACACCGTTGGGATTCGGCATGCCTTGAGCCCTTCGTTTCTTTTCCTCATCTCCAGCAGCCATGTTCTGTTGACGCTTTTTCCAAGCTGTCTTGATGGCGGGAGCAATACGAATGAGATCATCTTCAGTGACACGATCCTCAATACTTTCAAGGACTTTTTCAACGGTAGATATATGGTTGGCATCGTTTTTGTCGTCACGGAGACGATAGTAGCGCCAACGTCCTTCCTCATCTTTGGCGCATTCAACAATCGTGTCATCGAGAGGGATACGCATGGCTTTCAGCTCCTCCCACTCTTTCGGCTCCAGGAACATCTCTCCAAAATGGCGGTACTCGCCAGCGCTGAGCATCACGAATAGGTGGCAGATGGGAATAGCGTCGTAGTCCACAAATGGTTCTGTGATACCATCAGACTCATCATCGGTATCTGGCTCGAGCGTCGGGAACTCAAGACGCATGCGAAAATCAATTGTGTTGTCCTGCGGGGGCTTCCATTTTAGAATGTGCTCATCCGTGCCAATGCGGTAGGGAGTACTGCGGCAAGTAAAGATCAACCCGTCATTTCCATGAATGCGCTTGACTTTGGGGATGATCTCGCGGAACATCATTTCAATACCGTAACTGAACTGCGTAGATTTGTCCTCAACGGCAAAGGCGCGGTGTTGTTTCTCCTCCGGGAATTTGCGGTACATAGCGCTATAAGGCTTGAGCACCTTCTCCTTGAAATAGGCCAGGCGCTTATCCAGTGTACGATGCATCAAGCTCTGCCCATCCAGCACTAAACAATCGAAGACCAAATACTTCAGCTGCGTTGTTCCATCGTCGTAGGTGTCGTTCACTAGCTCGCCGTCGACCAAAGTGTCGACGTGGTACCCCTGAAAAGAATCGTCGTTGGGCAACGGGAAGTGCAAGCCCGGTACGTATCGGTAGTCGTTCTTGCGGTCAATCAGGTAGTGAATCTCCGGTTGTTCAGAATTGGGATCTCCACGCGCGAAGTACATCAGGCAGCGGATGCCGTCGGTCTTTTCGCAGACATAGTAGTCCTCACGTTGCAGTTCTGTCAGATGTTTCGACGAGAAGCTGACAGGTTGTGCGCCGGGGAAGTTGAGATTGTTGCGCGAGAGGAGGTTGGCGACCTCGCGGCGAAATTGATCGGCCAAGTCATGGTCGGCTTTGATGCCTATTGCGTCCAGATCGGGGACAGCGTGACTCATGGTGGGTTTCAATTGGATCGGAAGTGTTTTTTATAAGATGAAAGCTCGACAAGGGTGGTTCCGAGGTCTGAAGTCAAGTTGTCGCGAGATCAGTTTGCGATTCGATAAGACTCGGAGAGCTCCCAAATAGCAAGGGCGCTCGCCCACAATCGCAAGTACAGGAACCAGGGAAGGTCCAGCACTATACAGGGTGAATTGTGAGATTTTCAGAGGGTAGTATTGTCACAAAGACAATGGTATCGAGTGGAATGAGAGACGTTCGAATTGACTCAAGCATCACCTGTGGACGGTATCATGCATCACGTAATCTACTTTCCTTTTTGGGAAATTCCATTGAAATTCCATTGTTACGACCAAGGTCTCTATTAATACGGCATTAGAAATACATATACGGACGACTACAGATGGTATACATGCCTCAATGACATAGTCACACAGAATTCGATAGGGAAAGGAATATCATTCTACTTTCCAAGCTCAAATAATCATATCACGCCAGCCGGGGTATCATGTCATTACCTTTCAAACCAAGCAGAACAAGCCTTATCCCATGGCATATCCAGGGAAAATGGAGAACAATAAGTAAGCAAGAGCGGTGTTATGCTCGTGAGCCACGCCGATGAACGCCAGCATCCAATATCAAGTACGTGGGAACCCAGAACCAACCGCAGAAAGAACGTCGTAAGTCATCGAAAGCGCGGTAACGAAACCACCATCAGGCCGCTGGGATTGGATTCTTGCGGGCACCCGAAACAGCTGACATTTGGCCCATGTCCATATCGTCGGGTTCTCCATTGGCGTCCACGGAAGATGTCTCCATATCAGGGGCAAGTGTCGAGAAAAGAAGACCTCCATAGTGAGGTTGGTTCTCATCGTTGGAGAACAGTCCACCGCCGCTCCGAACCCCCATCGCATGCGACATTTGCTCTTTGATGCGGACATGTCGGTACTTTGATTTGGTGGTGATTATCGGGTGTTGAACTAGTGGTCGAGGTGCTGAGCGGGCAATAGCGGCCATGACCGAGTCCCTCTCTTCATCGGAGTCAACGGGGCCTGTGTTTTCAATCTCGTCCTGTAACGGAGCATTGGCATCGATGGCAGCCTCTGTAGAACAAATAAGTCAGTCTTGTCTACGCAACATGAATTGGCAACAAAATGGAAAACACACGTACTTTGCTGACGAGCCTGGTTCTTCTTCTGGTACTGCTGGAGTAGCATATCGTATGGCAGGGTGCGGCCAGGTACTGAGCGCTTGGCGCCCATGGAATGGCTCTTGCAGGTCAGTGAACGAGCGCACTGAGCACCGTTGGGCAGCGTGACACCGCACTGCTTCTCAACATCAACAGGACCCTTTGGTTTAGACGTCTTTGGCTTGATTTCGTCCTTCTTTTTCTTTTTCTTGGGCTCCTTGCCATCGTCCTCGTCGGCCTTGCGCTTCTTGCCCTTCCTGTTGTCATCGGTGCCCTTGACGGCGCTCTTCTTGGCGCTCTTCTGACCCATCATGGAAGTGTCTCCTTCTTTGTCATGAGGGTCATCATCTTTGTCGTCGCCGGCTTTCGCACGGTTGGCCGCATCACGAGCTTCCTTCTTCTTGCGTGCTTTTTCTTGCTTGGCCTTCAAGCAGCCGCGGACATGCTCCGCTGCGGTCGATTTAAGAGTAGGGCGCTTGCAATGTTTGCAGATAACGGTTTCGAGTAGGTCTTCTTCGCGCGGCTTGCCGGTCGGGAACGCGGTGACGACCTTGCTGTCGATTACTGGGAGGGGAGAGGAGGTGGGCGAGGCGTCGATGGGGCCATCTTTAGCATCTGGATGCTTGTTAGTACCATTGCCACCCATGGGGGTGTGTCCGAGGAGTTGTACCATCTGTTTTCTTCTTGGTCGACGCCTTGGATGTCTTTTTCACCTTGATTTTGCCCGGTTTGGTATCCTTGTCTGTGAAAGTGTATCCGGACGCATCAACCAGGCTTCCCGATCCTATCAGTGGTCAAAGAATTAGTTCAGACAACTTGCAGATTCCGAATATGTTGATGGTGATGTGATAAGAGTCCCAGTGCATTGCGCTTTCAACAGGAGCCGGATATTGCGTACCTCGACCGGGATCCCCATTGGTCGCCATGGTGGGCGCAAAATGAAAAGATTGTTAAAATCAAAGCGCCCCCGAGTTGTTCAGCAAGCCTTGACAGGGGTTGTGGTGGTTGTTTATCGAAATATGGGTTCGGTCTCCGGAGTCAAGGTTGGCTTGGGGCTCCTCCGCATTAGGATCAATAGAGGCACGTGATCAGCCTGTAAAAGAGAATGGCATATGTGCTTATTGACATGCTATGGTATTGGAATATCACTATCCAAAGGAATTGAAAAACAATGGCTTTGCCTTCTTCTCAATTAATCCTAAATCATTATTGAGGAGACATTTTTGGAAGGTCGAAGTAAATGATGCCGAGCTTTGGGTTCTAAGAGAAAACATCTAAACAACTTTGAATATAATACAAAACTACATGTGTAGTTAGTGAAACAAAGATCAATACCTCGCAAAGCACAAGCTACTATTCGTGCCGCCGAATCCAAAGCTGTTTGTCAAAGCCACATCAATCTGGCGTGACTGTGGGACTTTTGCGGCGTAGTTACAATCAAACCCATCAGCCAAGCGATCGAGGTTGATAGTGGGCGGCATAGTATTCTGTTCATGATCAGCTTATGATATGAGAACGACTACTGCTTCATATATTCAACTTACCTCATGGATTGCAAGGACACTGATTAGAGCTTCTATGGCACCAGCACCGCCAAGAAGATGCCCGAGTGCACCCTTGGTGCTACTAACGTTGACATCAGCAGCTTTTTTTTGCCTTCCGAGCCAAGCAAAAGAGCTTTGATGGCAGCATTCTCAGCAGCATCACCGAGAATGGTTGAGGTAGCATGTGCGTTGATATAGTCGACGACAGCAGGGCGCAACTGGGCCTGCTTGAGCGCCTTTTTCATGGCCATGTATGCACCTTCGCCATTTTCCTTGGGAGAAGTCATATGATGGGCATCGCTAGAGCAGCCGTATCCTTTGAGCTCTGCATATATCTTAGCCCCTCTTGCGAGTGCGTGTTCGAGCTCCTGTATCAAGGCGTTAGCGTTTAAAAAAAGCTTCTGCAAAGCTCCAAGTCAGACCTAAGAGCACGACTTACTTCGAGGATTAACACAGCTGCGCCTTCGCCAACAACAAAGCCTCCGCGGTCAGCATCAAATGGCCGTGATGCCATCTCTGGGGTGTCATTGAATGCTGTGGCTAGACTTCGTGCACGGGAAAACCCGCCGATGGCTAAAGGATGGATGCAGGACTCGGCACCACCGGCGACCATCACATCAGCATCACCGCAGGCGACGAATCTAGCTGCATCGCCAACCGAATGTGCGCCGGTTGTACAAGCCGTTGTGGCGGCATGATTTGGACCCATAAACCCGTGTTTCATAGAGATATGCCCAGCGCCGAGGTTGATCAGCAGCTTTGGCACAAATAGTGGATTGACCTTCTTGTATCCCTATGCAGAATGTTAATATTCGTTGGGATCTTCTTAAATCTCAAATTATGCTCGAGGAAAGCACTCACCCCTTTCTCATATGCAACAACAGTGTTATAGATTTCTTCAAAGTTACCAATACCGGAACCGAGACAGACTCCCTTTCAGCAGATAAGTATTCAAATCAGTTAGCATCGAGAAAACAAACATACCGTTGCCTCTCTCTGCTCAAAACTTTCAGGCTTCCAGTTTGCATCTTGAAGTGCCTCCTCCGTTGCAGCCATGGCATACTGCGCAAACTTGGCCATTTTTCGCTCCTCCTTTAATTTATCAGTTATGAAAGCTGGGAGAAAGAAGAAAAAGAGAGAAGAGTAAAAGTGAGAGCACCTACACCCCGATTTAACCACTCTGAAGCTGTCCAACCCCCGTCCTCACGACTACCTTGTGGTACAACAGCCGCAACCTGACAGGGCTGCTCAGCGAAGCGCTCATCACGATCTTTGACATTAACAATGCCGCAATGACCATCCAGCAAGCGTTTCCAGGTACGCCGAGCTCCTGTACGACACGGACGTTAGTCACGGCATTCATCATCGCGGCATGATCAACATGGCTTTTTCGATGTAGAAAGCAGGTATATGCGATCTCGAATCTCCAGCTGCGCATGAACCCGCCGATTGGCTGTCAAGACCTTCCCCTTCCGGAGTGGGAAGTGGGGACTCAGAAAGCTCGAGAGTCCGGGGACATCGGATATGTATGAATGGGAGCTTCTGGCTAATCAGACAGAATCCAAAGGCATAGGGGATCTTTTGCCTGGGCTTGCATATGCTGTATTGAGTATAAAGCAAACAGATATAGCGATACTTCGGAGTTGAAGCATGGAAACAAATTTAACACTCACCTACACCTAGCGGTGTTACCGCCCCAAGACCCGTTACAACAACACGCCGCATAGCATAATAAAATAGCTACAATGTCAATTAACGGGGAAAAAAAAACAATGAAGCAATACAATGTAGTTATTATTGCAGAGTACAGCGTAGAGTCAAAAAAGAGAGAGAAGCAAAAAGCGGGCCGAGGGCCAAGAAGGGAAAGTCTGCACGAACGGGGATTGTGGCGGGGAGCTCTTCTGTTCGTCCTTCTCCTTTAGAACTTCATCTGCTACTTCAGGAAGCTCGCCGGAGAAGAGAAAAATTTACATATGTAATCATGTAAATAAATACTTTTGGACCCATTTCTATTTCTTTTCTATCTTCACTTTTCATCTCAATCATGCCTTTATCTTCTTGGAAGACCTTCGTTAGTGCTCTGGCTCTGGCCAGTTCCGCGACGGCCTGCGCCCACCACAATGATGGTGAGGTCGTACCCGAACATGAACGTGCCGAACTGCTCAAGAAGTGGGATCAGGAGGTATGCTTACATGTTCAATGGTTGGAATGTCATTCAGACACAGAAATTGATGTCTAACCAAGAGGCTTATCTAGTGGTCCTTCTCCGGAATTGCCAGCTTCGCCCACTTGAAGCCCGTTAAATGTCTGATCGAGCCCGATGAGCACTACGATGTCGCCATTATCGGCGCACCCTTCGACACAGCCGTCAGCTACCGACCAGGTAAGCCACCAATCCAGCAACCTACAAGTCGACCTAGATCAGAAGTACTAACAAATAACCACAGGCGCTCGATTCGGCCCACGCGCCATCCGCGCCGCCAGTGCCCGTCAAATGGCCCCAACTAGCTACAACACTCGTGCCGGAATCAACCCCTACAAGTCATGGGCTAAGATCACTGACTGCGGCGACATCCCCATCACACCATTCGACAACGGGCTCGCCGAGCGACAGATGTACGAGGCGTTCCTGGAGCTGGGATCTCGTAAGATCGTGAACAAGGCGCCCAAGGATACCGGAATTGGCGCCAGCCACCCGAAGCTGGTCACGCTGGGCGGTGATCACAGCGTGGCGCTGCCTGCGCTGCGCGCTCTCTACCAGATCTACCAGAAGCCCATCACGGTGCTGCACTTCGATGCGCACCTGGACACCTGGAACCCGGTGCGGTACAGTGCGTACTGGCAAAGCGAGCAGACGCAGTTCAACCACGGCAGTTTCTTCCACAAGGCCAGTCGCGAGGGTTTGATCTGTAACGCTACTTCTGCGCATGCCGGTCTGCGCACTAGACTTACTGGTGTTGATGCTGGTGATTACACAAACCCCGGACCTGAGCAGGGTTTCATTCGCATTCATGCGGATGACATTGATGAGCTTGGTCCTATGGGCGTTGTTGAGACGATCATTGCACGCACCGGTCTTGATCCCGAGCAGCCTGTTTATCTATCTGTTGATATCGATGTGCTAGATCCTTCTACTGCCCCTGGTACCGGTACTCCTGAGCCTGGTGGCTGGACTACGCGCGAGTTCATTCGCATTCTGCGCGGTCTGGAGAAGCTGAACATTGTGGGCGCGGATATTGTGGAGGTTTCGCCCGCTTACGATAACAAGGGCGAGACTACTGCTCTTGCTGCTGCCCAGGTTGCTTTCGAGATTATTACTAGCATTGTCAAGGCTGGTGTCGATGAGGAGCTTGGCGGTTGGTATGGGTGGATGGAGCAGATTGAGGCCCAGGAAGCGGCGCAGAAGGAGGCTAAGGACGAGCTTTGAAGGTTTACAGATTTATAGATATACGACATGTATGACTGTGGAATGAAGTGAAGAGTGAATGACCATGTATAGTTGGATAGTTCCTCGGTATGATGTAATGCAGTAGAATCCCCGACGTCAATCGAGACCGATGATATCAGAATTGGGCAACTATACATAGATACATATCTCTGTAGGTATATATATATATGTAGGTAATATATAAAAATGTCGTTGATGAATCTGTATTAGAACCTTGCTTAACTTAAATTGTAAACTGATTTCGCAGCATGACTTTATAGAACTAGATTGAATTGGAGTCCACTATCCGCGACTTTCTAACCAGAAATAAAATTACTTGGAAACCATGACTGAAAGACCAAGCGTAGAAGGACCATGAACGCAAATGCTTGTATCAAGACCGCACGCAGTAAAGACAAGAGTAGATCAGGTTGGCACTGGAATCAAAAAGGGGACAAACGACACAGAAAAAGCCGGATCTGCAAGGGAAGGGTACAGCGAGCTCGAATTCATATTCCCGTTGCAAGGCTGGGATCAATAGATAGCAGGGGGAAAGCAGGCGGAGGGGGGAGAACGACTGGGGATCTGAGGTTGGGGGGATAATGATGGAAATCGTCAAGCCAAAACACGACGCCCTGACGTCCAACGCCGATAGAGACGGTGAAAGAGTAAAGCATGGAGATGGAGATGGGAATGGGAGTGACAACATCAAAGAGGTCAAAGTAGATATCGCTGTAATTCGTGAAAGGGGCGAAAGGAGAAGAAACTGAATGGGTAGGCGTATGAGTACCGAGGGGGCCTCGAAACCAGGAAGTGGAAGACGGCAGATAGACGCAGCCAGGCGAAGCAAAGAAGAGAGAAAAACGAGCAACACAAGAGGGAGAGGAAAGGAAGAATACAGCAACTTAGAGAGGCTATTGGGTCTGGGATATGCGAGACAAAATAGAAGAAAGGGGATCCAGCACGAAAGCCATTTCAACAAGAAACGTAGATATACAACGCTTCACATAGCATCGCTATTCCAGAACCAAAAAAAAGATCCCCTCGCCCCCTTTCTTTGGTGTCGCATTGGGATATCCCAGAAAACCAGTCCAGCCAGAAATATTTGCCGCCCAGTAAAACGTAAAAGTAAAAGAGATAACAGGTTCATTCCATCGTAGCTGCTTCGATACGCACGTCAAACCAGGCATCAACCCAAGCACACAGAAGCAAGATCTGTCGCACCTGGACCAACCTGTTGATCAGTTCGAAAAGGCGTTCACAGCAAGCGGCATCCCCTTGACTTCTTTTTGGGCGTAGGCTCGAGAGCTGCAACGATAGCCTGTAAAGAGAGGGGAGAAAATGTTAGTGGCGGTAAAGGGATAAAAATGAAGGCCAAAAAGCCGCGGGGAAAGAGTGTACCTCATCAAAGACATCCTTCAGCTTGTACTGTGTCAAAGCGGAACACTCGACGTATTTCACTGCGCCGAGTTCTTTCGCCATACGGTCACCATCTTCTTTGCGAATAGGTTGCATCTTCTGACGAGCGAGCTTTTCCTTGACGTTGGCATCGTCGCGCAAATCAGTCTGCGTGCCGACGATCAGGCAGGGGACACCGGGGCAGTGGTGGTGGACTTCGGGGAACCACTTTTCCCGCACGTTCTCAAAGGAGGCGGGTGAGGTGACGGAGAAACAGACAAGGAAGACATCGGTTTGGGGATAAGAGAGCGGGCGCAGGCGATCGTAATCTTCTTGGCCGGCGGTATCGAACAGACCGAGAGTGTAGGGTTCATCGCCGATCCTGGAGAGTCAGAGGGTCTGACGTCGATAGAGATTTTTTTTTGATTTTTTCTCCCGTCGAAAGGAACTTACATCACAGTCACAGCGTAATTATCGAAAACGGTAGGAACATATTCCGAAGGGAACTTGTTCGTTGTGTATGAGATGAGCAGGCAGGTCTTTCCTACTGCACCGTCCCCCACCACGACACACCTAAGGAGTTTAGCGGATGAGGGGAAAGGGAGAAGGAAGATAAAACATACTTGATGGTAGCGACGACCATTTTGATACTGGAATGGTTGAAGGGGGTTTGTGAAGAGTAGTGAGAGGAAGACTGTGGGAGACAAAAAGGGAGGAAGAAGCTGTGGTCTGGATTGAATGGGGCAACCCGCAGAGTATGGAGTCTAGACGGCTTAGTCTTGATACACGGTCTGTACAAGCTCGCTTCAGGATATTTGTTCTTTCGTCTTTATGTACGTATCTATATATTTGATAGAAGAATCTTAAGATAAAATATAGTATATTTTCATTTCATCGAAGCTGTTTATGTTCACATCTTATATTTATTATAAAGTCGCAACGGTCGCCTCTCATGTTAACCCCTATATTCAACTAAGCGCTTCAGTATAGGTGTATCTTGGTATTTCCTAGAGAGCCTTTTTTTTTCTTTTTTCTTTTTCTTTCTGACGAATCTTTGGACAGAATGATTCATTTTAGTGATTCAGTTTGTGATATATCCTTGTACATTTCTATACATGTGATGGTATAGTATAGTACACAAGTACAGATGTATATTCTGGTATATCATATCTAACCGTTACATATCCTAACTCTAGTCAAAGGCAACACGTTCTCAAGTTATCCCGGAGTATTTGATTATATTTTTTTCCGACTCTAATTGAACCCCTATCTTCATTCTGTCTTTCCATATGTGTGACAAAGAAAGTAGATTTCCATATAGTGAGCTCTCTACACACCAGATCCAAGTTTCAATTCCGTTTCACGGCTTCGCGGTATCCCGTCAAATCTCCCCCTTTTTTCATAATAAAACGGTTTCCCGTTAAATCGACGTATGAGATCGAGTCGGGACGTTAGTCTAAAGTTGAAAAGAAGTGACCCAATAACGGTCATCAATTTTAACGTCTAGACCCCTTTCGCTGGCATATAGTTCACCGATTAAGGGGCTTGAATTCCATTCATTCAGTATTGGTAATCCCACCTTTCATCACCCTTGGCGGCTCTCTCCACCATAACAAGAGATGACAGCTTACATGGTACTGCTATATGCTTACTGTCTGTTTTCATATATACACAAGACTCGAGGTAGTACTTGGGTATATAATACGGCGTAAGCACCTCCGGGACAGGGGTATAAATAATTAAAGTCATATATAATCCAAACGGATAGTACTGACAAGCTCTCCGGTATCTGGTCTACATGCATGCATATATGCAGGTACATGCACGCGCAATATAAACGTAGGCGTGGTGGTAGGTCATACGACGCGATAGACCTTCTTTTGACGGAGATGCGGGAACAAAATTATGTAGCAAAGGGGCACTTCAGAGTGATGCAGGTTCTAGAACTTGATTGAATTAAATTAGGACGCAAATGAAGGGGGAATTCACAATTCTCCGTCCTTGTTGGCCGGGTATCAACAGGTATAGGGACCGTGATGCGTGAGAGTTGACGGACTGGACTGGACAGGGACGTTCTTCAAATACTCACTTGCATACTTGCATACTTGCATAAACTCTAAGTAATGGTGACAGGTTATCAACAGTGAGGCTATCCGGGATTTAGGCCTGCCACATTTCTTGCTTCGCCTACCGCGGCATCCTGGTAAAAGAAATCCAGGGCCCTGTTACGGCCCAGAGCGGCAAGCCGGCCGTATCGGAATCATCGCTTCTGTACCCTGGGAGTTTGAAGGAAGAGACCGACTGCAACAGTGTGGAATGATTATTGTGTATTCAAAATTCAATGCGTAGGTCTATTGAATTTTTACACTCAGGGGTGGATAACCTCTATATATCGCCATGAGTACACCGTGAAAACTAAAAAGTAAAGCCATATGCAAATGACGGGCCGACTAATCGTCCAGTCCCGGGGAGCGCGCATCGAGGACGCGTTGTAATCTGTGCAGAAAGAATAAAAGGATCACAACGCCGCTTGCTCGCATGTATCGAGATGCAACAACGGTGAAAAACTGCACAAAGTGAAAAAAACCCAAGCAAATAATTCTAGAGTCATAAAGTCGTAATCGTCGTGCACGGAGATTGGATGCACGTGGGTGTACATGGTTTAAGTTCACTTGGATTGCTGCCTATCCTCTGGGGCTTGTTCTGCCTCAATTGGAGCCGGGTCGCCAAGGGGTTCGGAATTTCCGTAGCCCATCTAGAAACTTGTTAAGAGAAGTACTATGAAGGGTATCAAAATTTCAATGACTCACCTTGTCAAGTTTGTAGTTCACCATCATAAGACTTAGAGGAATAAGAGGAAGGGTGGCAATAACCGCCAGTATCAGAAGTCGATTCATAGTCTCCTGGTAGGCGCGGTTGATGGCAATGCGAGTAGGAGATCCCATTGGATATGATAGCGCAGTGGTGAGCTTGCCAAAAATATCACCAGCTTGGCCTTTGGTCTCCTCCGGGAGGTATTTGAGAAGCTTATGTGGGATGGCAGAGGACCAAACCGCCCCTGAGATAGCAGCGCCGACTGCACCGCCCATCTCCATAGAGGTGAGGAACATCGCAGTGGCTGCGGCTACTTCCTGATGGCTGGCCGACGCTTGAACGCCCAGCTGGACGGGCACATTGACCAAGCCACCGCCAATACCGACAATGATTTGGGTACCCAATATTTGGAGCTGTGAGGCTCCTTCGCCACGGCAAGTGAGCATCAAGGCTAGGCCGGTCATGTAGACGGCACATCCGATGGTCACGTAGATGCGGTATCGTCGGGTATATTTAATGAGAAGAGAGACGCTGAACGCGGCAATTGTGGATGTAAAAGCAAAGGTTTGAGTGACGCGCCCGGCTGTGGCAACGTCGTACCCCTGTACAACTTGAAGGTAAGAGTAGAGATAAGGCTGAACGGAAAAGTAGAAAGCCACTGTGTGGAAGGTTAGCAACAGACGTTCACCATTAATGAAGAAGCTTACACTTACTGAAATACCAGAACGCCAATGCGCAGCCCGCAAGGGCGGTTTTCTGTTTGAGGAGGTGGAGGGAGAGGAGGGGCTTGGGAGCCAATTTCTTGGAAGACTCCCAGAACGGTAGTATGCATAGGCAGACAACGCCAAGCACAATCATGACAAGAATACTCACACTCTTCCAGCCGTTCTTTGCAGTGGCGGCAAGAGTCAAAGGCACCAGGATCAAGGTGACGGCGGCAGAGAGCAGAGCCAGACCGCCAACGTCTAAATCATACCAAGTCCGACGCAAGACGCTGGTAAAGGACGTGTGCCTTTTGGTCCGTTTCTTGATCAGATTCAGTCTTTGGGCCTTGCGTTGATTAAACAACAATGTTAGAGCGAGTGGTAGGAAAGATGCAGGCAATATAATAGCCCACATGCCATAGCCCCACCGCCATGAGGTGGTGCTTAGAACTGCACCCGCGATGGTCGGTCCGAGCCAGACTGTCACCAAGAATGGGAATTCAGGAAGGAGTGCGAGAAAGGCACGGTTCAACAAGTCACTGCTGTCGGCGATGAAGACTTGTTGGAGAATCTGCAAGCCGGTCGAGCCGGCGGAGTAAAATATTTGTGCAGAGGCATACGTCTGAACGTTAGTGGATGCGGCCATCTGAATATATCCCAGCATGTATATAAGGATGCTCAGACAAAAGGCCTCAAAGCGACCGAAGACATCGGCGATCTTGGCCATAGGCGGTTTAATGACAGCTATGTCATTAATTAGCGACAGCTCATTAGTCTGAAGTGGGGTAGTAAGCTCTCACCGTTGACAACGTTTTGAATAACGAGGACGGTCGAGATCAACGAGTGTTTACTGAATGCACTGGTTGCATATGCGGAGAGCGACATCACGGTTTGACCTTCCAATGATGTGCAGAAGGCCATGAGGAATATGCTTTGCGCCAAATCAGCAGGGGTCACTAGAAGGCACGGGACTGCAAGCCACACAAACCTGACGTAGGCCACCATCAAAGACTTTGTTGTCCAAGTCATATTGATAGCTTCAATCTTTTGAACGCCTTCCAGCATCTCATCAGGCGTAGACAGCCCGCTTGGCTGGCCCTCAGGCTCGTAGTCATCCTGCAACAGTTGCTCCCTCTCATTATCCATATGGGCGTCTTCTCGTTCCATGGTGCCGTAAGACGGTCCAGAGCGTGGATCAATAAGGGGCATGTCGGTAATGCACCAATATAGTCTCTGGGGTAGTATGAATCAACGCTTGTCCATATAAGGATAGGCAATAGTAGAGTTCAGTATAACTTTGGAGGGAAGCATGTACAGAAAAAAAAGAGTCGATCTTGACAATAGCTATTAAGCGATAAACCGATCATCAAAAAGGGAGAAAGGAAAAAGAGTTCATGCAACATCAGATGTAGCAGCGGGCGTATCACATAAAAGGACTGGGAAGGCCTGCGCTACTAAGCAAGTACTTTGGGGGGGGATTCAGCCAGAGAGCACTGAACCAGTCAGGTGTTAGCACGGAAAAGGAAAACGACAACACGAGACAGCGTCAGCAAATCGGAGACCGGTTTGGGAAGAAAAGAAAAGAAATATGGGGCGCGGCGATGTGTGAAATATGTCGAAGCGCGCTTGCCTGAGGAGAACCACCCATGAAGGGCTATTGTATGTAGGTAGCAGGATCCGGTAGGCAGTTATGGGGCAGATTGGCGGATGGGTAGATCCGCCGTGCTTCGGAGGGGACACCCAAATGTAAGGGGAAAAAAGCCTTGAAGAGTTTAGGCCGTGCAAGTCTGAGGACGCACTGAGCAAAAAGCAAGATGAGACCGAGCCCGATCATCGGTCGCACTTATGCGGGCTGATGGGGTCCGTGGTGGCAGAGAACAAGGTAAGAGGCTGTCCGATCTCAACCTGACTAGCATTCCTTAGATGCTTATGTACCACAATAGTTCAAGAGCAAGACAGTCGTTCTGATACTTTTAGACAGAAAATCAAAATTAAAAACCATGGAGATTGTACAGACACAGACGAGAGAATGATATGTCAAAAAGGAAAAATGAAATGGGGAAGTCCACTTGCGGTGGCGCCAGGCACGGAAGCATTGCCGGGTTGTAATCGGGGTACCCGTCAGATACCTCAGGTCACTTGATGGTAGAAGCAGAATTCTTGGTACTGCCAAGTCACTTTTTTTTGGTACAACTCATCAGATAAGATGAAAGTTTGATTTCGTTTTCTTTTCTATTTTTTGTCTTATATGCAAGAGGAATACTACATTGTGCATGACATTACACTATATGGGGCATTTACTTCTTGGTTGAAATCTTTGAGTCATTCCCAATAATATAATAACCTCGGATCTCAAGATCAAAAAATAAAAGCATCCACTCTTTGGCATCATCACGCATTGCTACCTGTCCAGTGTCGATCAATACTTCAAGATACATTACGGGTCAGATCACTCCTCCAGTCACTTGACACTTCGGCTATGTACTATAATGTAGGGGGTTTTTTTCATTTAGATGGTTGCCAATCACACTTAGCTTACATTTTTGTGTCATTATCAACACGCGACTAAAGTAAGCAGTGTGACTCTCGGCATCCGGCTTGCGCGTTTACCCGATTATCGGGATTACACGCTTTAGATCAGATAACACTTCTTGATACGGTCATATATGTACATAGATATGCACGTACATGCGTATATATTTGACTAAACAGTCCAGAGGGATACACATATGCAAAAGCATTATAGAAAAATAATTGACATCTCAGAAAATGAGGAAGTTGCCCCATATAATCCTCGGTGCAAATTCTTTAGATCACCTTGACTAATTAATGATTCCACATGTGGAGGTCTAATATGAAACACCCGAGAACGGAACTTATGATCCTTTCCAACAAGATTATGCTACGATTACAACATAATCTAGCTCGTGGATGTAGCTATACTATCTGCTCGCACCGCGAGGATGTCATTTGCCCTCATGGCGGCATATGACCTTTTCTGACAGCTGCAGATGTTCAAATTAACATTGATCGCTCCACTCATGTACGCACTTAGGTATGCACCTGATGGCCCTGAGCACTCTGTGGCTGATAATCTACAGGAACAGACCTATCAAAAAAAGAAAAAGTGATCGATCGAAGGTTATATATCCGCATGTCGGCTGATCGACACTGTCAGTACAACCTAGATTGTACGACGTATCTTTCTGGCATAACACGACGAGAGACCTGTACGTGGGAATTGTATGCCAGCTGCAACCTTGTCGTAAACATCCTCAAGTCAATTTGGGAACTGTATCATCCATAAATTTTGTCATTCCTAAAGAATGTGGCTCATGATCTACGGAAAAACAAGAACACTGCAATTGGGCAATCTCATACGGGTGGCACCAAGGCCAAGGTCATTTACATGTGTATATTCTCTGATATGCTATATGTCTAATGAACACATACAATCCCGAAGTCACAACGCATAAACAACAAGCCTTGATTTATTGCAGTCATCCTAATAGTCATATGAAATATCCATTGCAGGAAACTCCAGACCCATCGCCGTCTACTAACCGAAAAATCGAAAATCCGACGATTGATACCGATAATCCAACGACCTGACTCATTTACACCTGGTCTATGACCAAATGGCCGAAGTTGACAGGCAACTCACCACCTTCACTCGAAGGCCGAGCAGCATAGACTCCAATCCAAATATCCTTGACATCCTTCTGATCAAAGACCCATGTGACTTCGCGGATCGGCGACTTCTGTACACCCTCAACCAGATAAATCCATAGGCTATTGTCTTCTTCCCGAACCATCTCCAGGGTCGCTGCACCACCACCCGAAGGGACCGGAAGCAAGCTCCAGTCAGCCCACTGGTCCTTGGCGACCGCGCTGAGGTGAGGTCGGCCGTGGGTGAGTTCAATGCCGCTCTTCACCCACTTCGAATTACCGTCAGCAGTATTGAGTACAATGATCAAGCCACCCTGGTCGTATTTCTTCTCCCAGAGAGCGTTAATAGCCACACGGGCTCGCTTGAATGACTCAAGTGGCATCGACTGGTATAAGATCGGAGCTGAGAAGCGAGTTGTGGAGGGTGGCTTGGCCCAAATGTCTGTTGAGGCTGGGGCATTGATGGTGAATTCTGGGGGCGGGGTGCCATTGCCTGGCACTTTGGCATCCGAGTTGGCGAATTTAAATGGCGATTGCGACATGGCGAGGTGCGGGGAAGGAATTACAAGATATCAGTGTATGTTCAAGTGTCACGCAATATGTTTTAGGAGTACGTTGACTTCAATGCCAGAGGATTGGAGAGGAATGGAATGAGAGAGACAAATTAATGTGGGTGAGTAGAAGCATATACCTTGGGGCAGAGTGACTAGTTGGAACTACAGCTACGTCACTATGTACCGGAACCTCCATCGGGAAGTTCATGTTACACGGTTTATCTGTTGAGGTCCCCAAATGATAGAAATAATACCTTGAAAACGAAGTGATCAATCTTTTTATCTCTTAGATTTTCTCGATTCGTATTTATTTGCATGATATTGTCTTCGTTGAAGCCCAAATTTGTTAAGCACATTAGATCTTATACTTTGACTTCACGTGATCGGATGATATAAGTTTTCTCCATGGGGAAAATGGGCAAAATCACCAAACAATTGGACGAAAGAGGCCGCCTCTCTTCCCCTATTTTTTCTCCCACCTTTATCACCAATTATGGCTGCAGCTTGTCATTCAATTATAAGATCAATTTGCAGCTGAAAATAGCCAGGGCGAGCAGACCCATTTGGTGAACCGATCACTATGACTGCCCGGTTGCTTCATCCTGATGAATGGGAGCTAGCCTCGCGATCCTCAGTCGACTCACAGGGTACATTCAACCTCGACGAAGCCGATTTTGAATCTCAAGTTCCTCCCACATCCCAATTTGGTAGACACCAGCTGCCCTGGCTGTCTCGACTGTTCTCTAAAGCAACTGGTTATCGTCGCTTGAAACCCAATTCCAGACCAGCCCTCGCAGGTACCCCCCGACCAAGCTGTTCCCGACGGTTCTGCATACGCCGCTGCTGCTACATTCCCGTCGTCGCTGGTATTGTCTTTGTTCTGGCGCTTTTCACTTCGATCCTGTTCCCCTCTTACACCCACCTGCCGGCGCATTATTCCGCACTCCGCAAAAATGTGCTCGAGAGTTCATATTCTGGGCGCGGGAACCCACATAACGAGAAGGTTTTCATTGCAGCAAGTTTATATGATAGCGGTGGTGAGCTCGCTCGAGGTCAATGGGGAGAACAGCTCATTGATTTGATTGATCTGCTTGGACATGACAATGTGTTCCTCAGTATTTATGAGAACGACAGCGGTGATGATGGAGAGCGTGCACTGCATGAACTGGAAGAGAAAGTGCTATGCCAAAAATCCATTGTGTCGGAAAAGCACCTGGACCCAAAAACACTGCCAACCGTGACAATACCCGGTGGCTCCAACCGAGTCAAGCGCATCGAATACCTGGCTCAGGTGCGGAACAAAGCATTAAAGCCATTGACCGACAACCCGGAATTGAAATTCGACAAGCTGCTTTACATGAACGACATTCTCTTCCACCCCATCGATACTGTCCAACTTCTTTTCTCAACAAATGCCAATGAAGACGGCGTCGCTCAATATCGTGCAGCCTGCGCTGTTGATTTCGACAATCCCTTCAAGTTCTATGACACATACGCAACCCGTGATCTTGAAGGCTACAGCATGGGTCTTCCCTTCTACCCGTGGTTCACAACATCTGGTAAGGGTGAGAGTCGACGCGACGTGCTGGCAGGCAAAGATGCCGTGCGCGTGCGCAGCTGTTGGGGCGGCATGGTCGCCTTTGATGCGAAATACTTCCAATCTGGCTCGCCTCCCACATCTCCCAACCCGGCTCGCTTCCGTTCTGGTCACGATCTCTTTTGGGAAGCATCAGAATGCTGCCTTATCCACGCAGACATCCAGGACCCGCCGACTAACGTTGACGAAATCACCGACACTGGCATCTATATGAATCCTTTCGTCCGGACTGCGTACAATCACCGAACACTTTCGTGGCTGGGTGTGACCCGCCGTTTCGAAGGACTGTACTCGTTCCTTCACAATCTTGGTAACCATATTGTGGGATTGCCTTGGTACAACCCCCGACGCACGGAAGTCCCTGGCCAAAATGTCAAAGAGACCGTTTGGATCCCGGATGCCAAGCTGGACGGCGGTGGCTCGTTCCAGACTGTTGAGAGGGTTGCAGGCAATGATGGCTATTGTGGACGCCGTGGTCTTCAAGTCATTGTCGAAGATCGGAAGCCTGGGCAAAAAGGCTTTGAGAATATTCCTGTTCCTTCATAGACTTTTCTGTAATTTAGAATCTGATACCCTTTTTAAACAACTAAGATTGATCCTGTACATACATGTGCATAACTCTGCTCAGAAGTCAGTAAGCCAAGTCAATGTACCTTTTCAACCTATTGTGATATTATTTGGGAGTGATCTACACCCATCAAGAGCTAGTGCCAGCAGCTCACTGGGCGCATATGTATACAGTAATACTAATAAATCAACAACCAGTACGATAAATAAGAGACAGTGGCAGGTACTTCATTGACAGTGGTACTATAGCTGTCGGTCTATGTACATACACATGTACACATGAAAGTGAGCGCAGTTGAATGAAAGCCGTGAAAGTCGCACCTTCCCAATTCTTTCAAACGCGTCAGTTTGTTTCTATAAAGTGACTCTTGTTGACCTCTTCTTTTTCTCCTTCTCTCTCTTTCTTTGCTCGCCATCTCTTTTCCTTTCATTCATCACCATCATGGTCCGAATCATCGGAAACACCACTGCACTTCGGCGCATCACTCTCGAGAAGCGCGAGGAGCTTCTGATGTACAAGGAGGTCATCTTTGAGATACTCTCTAAGATAGACAAGCATGGATTGGCCACAAGCGTCTATGCGCCTCCTGGTGCTGATCTTGCGGATAAGCTGCACCGCGAGAAGCTACAGGCAAAGAAAGATACTCTGATGCCTATGCGCACTGTCTGCCATCAATCCAAGGTATGGCTTGAGTTTTCCCCAGTGTTCATATATCCCCCCCCCCCATGAATGTGTTATTGGTCTGGTGGCTCATCTGTTTTTGCCTCTGCCCTGCTTGGCCCTGATCATCACCTTCGCTGAATCAATGTCTACCTTACTAGACAGGCTTCGATCTTGGCTTTTCTTTATGAATCGTTCCATTCTCCACTCTGTCTGGGATGCCCTCGCCGATTGTGATTTGTTTCAAGTCTAACATCATTCACTTTAGGACGAGAATGCCGCTTGTGGTACAGACGCTCCTTCTTGTGAAGTTCGACGTCTCGCTCCGACTGAGTCCAAGCCTATGAAAGATGACAAGAGAACCATGGAGCCTAACACAGGTAGCAAGGTCGAAGCCACTGGCATTCATCATTTTCCTGGTGTCATTGAACCTCAGCCATCTGTCTCCCTTCGTTGCCGGGATTCGATTGATAACAAGGACAAGGGAACTGCTGATGTCAAGGCAGATGAGAAGGCCAAGTCTGCTCGGACCTCTGTTCTGTCTAGAGCTGCTGCATCCTTCGTTCCTTGCAACGATCATGCTCCTAAGCCCATGGAGGCTGATAGCAATGAAGAGAATGCGTCGACCAAATCAACCGAAGAACCTGAGTCTGGTGTTGGAAAGGAACCACTTGTTTCTCGTCTCAAGAGCTCTCGCTCTCAGGGTGTTGCTAATCCAAGCGATTTCATGGCGCAATTCCATAAGCTGCGCAAGCAGAAAGAGAAAGCAGCCAAGGCTGCTGCCGCCGGGCCTGTCCGTCGTGTTGTCTTTAGCAATCTTCCGGAGTGGGCAACTATTTCCAGTATCTTGCAGCTTGTCTATGGTGGTGCGATCGAACGAGCCTGGACTGAGGATGGGGATATCGTTGTGCAGTTTGTAAAGAAGTCGGACTGCGAGCGGTATCACGAGGAGCATTCAAGTGGGATCAATTATGTGACTGGCGATGGCGAGCAGGCCACTATTTCTGTTACTTTGCCCGAGGACGGTCTGCCTGACAATGTTGAGCTCTCGGCCCGTGTTGCAGAGGGTGCCTCGCGTGTTGTTCGCCTTGCAGGTCTCCCTGCTGGCCACAAGGATAGCGACAGCAACTCTATCCTGGGTGTGGTTTCGCAGCCTGGCTGGGAAGGTAAAATGTTTGAGCGTGTTTTGATCACACAGGCCGGTGTGAGTTTTGCAATCCAGCAAGTTCTCCGTTCAAGATTCAAGTTTTTGCTAACGTTCTTATTGAAGTGTGGCGTGGATGTCGCCGTTACTTTCTACGACCTGCATGATGGCTGGCAGTTTTTGCAAGACATCATGGAAGGAACTTACGACTGCCTTGCCAAGTACGAGGTTGACCCGTAGGTTTCCAGCCTGATTCAATCGACTTGAATCGATAAAGCCAAACCTTTTGCTAACCGGCATACCAGCTGCGCTCGTGCTTCGACCTACCACTTTATCGAGGAGCCCAACCCCGCGTTCGAGTTTGTCACGGACATGGATTAGTCGAATGTCGACTGCATGCTGAATCAAACCTTCACGGATTTATCAGCAGCCTTAATGGTACGGGATCCGATTTGATGAAAACACAAGCAGATATGGAATGGCGAGTCTCACACATGTCAAAGTTGGGATTTTGCGAATTTCGACGGGCATCTACATTAGGCATCCTCTTGGAACGTTGTCCTATATGATAGCTTGATCAATGAATTTCTAGCTAGCCTTGTCATGGAAAAAGTTCTACGAAAGGGTTACAATACCACGTATAACAAATATGCCGAGGTCGCTTATTTCGCTTACGCTGGATCACCGGCCATTGGTGGGTATCCAAATACGCTAATACGAACTACGATATTGTACATCGGTGCTAAAAAGAAAGCGCCCCTCCTGCCATTTTCGTTTCTAGTTTAGTATGAACCACCTGGGCATATGAGACGTGGATTCGATGTTTCTGATTATTTTTTTGGTGAAACACGCATACTTAATTGACTCTATATGGTATTCCCCCAATACACATACATCTATGTATGTATGTATGTATGTATAGTATAGTTATATATGTACAGGATTGAAGATCAATGAATTCCATCACTCCCATCTAGACTCCGCTCCACTTCCAATCTCCCACAGCTCCCCTCCAGCACCATCTCCAATCGGGATCAACTAACACTCAAGAAAAACGGAGTCCGCGGGTGCTTTCCCGAAGCCGAATACACTAAGGTCTGTAGGATTGGCCCTAGTTTCATTCATGTTTTGGTTTTTCGGTTTTGGTTTTGGTGGTTTTTCGCTTTCATGCTGTATTGTGGATTATGTCAATCCCTACATATATATTGTAGCTATACGGAGCAGTGATATATGTTATGTATGTTATGTACGTTATTATGGACAATGTAACAGATAGACTGGCATCGACAGCAAAGAAAAAGAAAAAGAAATGCACCGTAGATCCAATAGCTTATCTGGCGCGCGATGTGTCACTTTTCCCCCCTATAACTAGTTACATGTACGCCATGGCGATTTATCCTTCTCCTGTTTATTTTTCCGTCATATCTCTCTCCAGGGCTGGATACCTCACTTGACCCGAGCGCAAATGTCATCGTTGTATTCACACTATTTACGCAGATCACCCTGCGGATGATCAGGTGTCAGATGTCAAAGATGAACCACGCTCGATGATCCAATCACGACTAGGCATCTGAAGAATCAAACGCCTTCATTGCCCCAATACTCCTGCGATCGTGAGCACATTGACAATATGATCCTTCCACTCCATTGGATTCAAGCGACTATCGAGACCACCCGGTCTGTTGGTACTGTACGGAGTAGACATGGTACGGAGTAGACATGGAACCAAAGGATTTGGGGCGATGGATAAGACAGGGAGTGCATCCTGCAAATGAATCCTGGTTTGGGAGGTTCCAATGGAATATGCCTTGTTCAGCCTTGCTCTGCTTGATACGCCCCGGCGCGTAACCTGGCGACTAGTTAATGAGTACAACGAACACGATAGATCTCATGATTGACTCAACCATATGCAAGTTCTTTCTTTGGGGGTATTGTTGGTTGTGCTATGCCTGTTGGGATTACTGCAGGTGCGGCATAGGGTTCGTAGGCCGCTGTTTACGTTGTGCTCAAGTCTGTCCTGGGCATACCGATGCCTGCATGCTTCTCGATTAAAATGGCCCCCACCCCTGCTCAATGGCAATGTTATTGTTATTTACATGCGTGGCTGAACTAGGGGGCGAGTGTGACTGTACAGATACAACAGTCGAATCGAACCGTTACATTGGTGGACTTAAAGGATGCACCTGCGTGCGCGAGTCATGAAGAACGAATGGAACGTAAGGGGCCTATTTGAAAATCGTTGAATGATCAATCCTCTGGATATACGGTGAACTATATCAGGATGCAGAGAGATGCGCGTATTGAATCTGGGACAGCCTGATCTGCAGAGATCCCTCGATAAATTTGCGACGAGTCAAATTGATCGAACAGAATCTATAACTTCGATTTCAACTCCACACAATTATATTTCTAGACCTAAATCTAAGCGTCTCCCCCCCAAGAACAAGGAATATGTCATGAGATAGATTGCTCCATTTTTAATATATATATGTATGTATATCACCGAACAAAGTGTATGGGAGAAGAAGGCTAGGAAGACAAGAAAGGAGCCTCATTGGAGATGGACAGGGCCTGGTATAAACAAAAAGACAGTAGACCTCCCACGCTGAACTGATGATAACGAAATAGAAAGAACTCCAGTAGGTATCTTAAGAAAAGACGAAGACCGACCCACGCAAAGATAAACAAAAAGAAGAAAAGAAGAAAAAAAGAAATAAAGAACGAAAGAAAGTAGACATCAAGTCACATCCTCTTCATGCCAACATCCCCATCCCCCCTCCTCATCCAAGGATACCAAACACTAGTATATTCTCTCACGCCAAACTTGGGCGCCCCGCTAACATCCCCCGCCCCCGTCAGGGCCGCGGTAGCACCCTCCCTCAGGAACTCCCCATCTCGCATGCGGCGCTGCTCCCGCAGCGTGGGACACTTTTTCTCTTTGATAAAGCGGTAGAACTTGCACTGGATCCCCTGGAAGCCGCGTCTCTGGCGGTCCGGGAACTGGCGGTTGAAGGCCTCGCGGACCTCCTTCCATTCCTGGCACAAGTCCACACGGTGGTACCAAATGAAGTACATTTCCTCTTCTTCGTACTTTGGGCGCGGGGGGCGCCGCCGGTCACTGCCGTTTGTGGAGGAAGTGCTGGAGACGCTGGAGAATCGTTCCCGGGAATACGGATCTGGCGAGGAAGGAGCGGAGATTGAGCTTTGGTTGGTGCTGGGGCTGCCGTGGGATTGCTTGTTGTGATGATAGCTCACGAACATTTGGTGCTGGTGCTGCGGGGGGTACGGGCTCTGGGGGTAACTGCTGTTGGTGCTGCTGTGGGTTGCTGCTTTGGCGCTGGATAGAGCACCTGGGCTAGTGTTGTAATACCTCGAGTGCCAATGCTTTGGGCTTGATGGGAAGCTGGGTGAGGGTTGATGGTAACTGTGACGGTAGGAGATTGGGGCGTATGTAGGACGAGGGGATTCAGAGCCTTGATCGCCTGGGTTGAGTAGAGCATCGATCTTCATTTTGCTTTGTCGGGTTGAGGGCAGCTTTTCGTATGATTCTTTTTCTGGCTCCATTCTGGACGGCATATGTATGTGCGGGTTGTATTGGCGTTATATAGGGATCCTTGATGGTCTCTTGGTTTTATAGATCTGCGAATCTGGGGTTTCGGTGAACTTCCGTTGGCTCCCCCAATGCTCAGACCACGTTGATTTGATAGAGTGGGGATTTAGAGTATGCTTTGTATATTCGAATCAATGAATCGTTGGAAAGATGGATAGAGAGAAGTAAGGGGAGCACAAGGGAAGAAGTATAGAAAGGTAAAGAGCAAGGTTTATAGATCTCGAAACTCTCGAAGGAAAAAGAAGATCACCTGGAGCCCTCGGTCTTAAATGAGAAAGAAAAAAAAAAATAAGGATTCGAAAAATAATTCCAAAAATCGTTGCGAGGCTAATCTGTTGGGTTCACTGGATTGCCTGGGTCGGGCTGGTTGTGCTCCTTTGGCCCCCTGTATAGTTGTTGTACCGCGGATACATAACAAGGTCTCCTTGGGGGGGGGGGGGCTAACAGGGGGGTAGGAGGAGGGGAGTTTATTTTGGAGGCTCGGACTCCACCCCCAGAGACATATTATTCTATATATTTTCATACATAATAGTATTGGGCTATTAATTCTTTTATTTATTATCTATCGGTGAACCGGACAAGGTGGCCCGTTGACCGGTTTATGGGGTGTGGACAGTGTAAATGCCGTATGGTATCTAGGTATCCAGCAATAGTCTTACCATTCTGGATTTTATTTTTATATTTAAAGAAATCTTATGTATATAAAAACAATTTCACTGGAATTTCTTTCGCCACTATTTAATTCGATATTCTTGAATATGAAGTGGCGAGAGAGATTCTAACAGTCGGTCTACTCCGTGAGAGAGAGTGGACTCTCGGACGATCCGTCTTCTTTGTCGATATCTAATACTTCGCGGCAAATCCTATGTACAATATAAGTTTCATGACACAACCTGGCCGATCCCCGGTAATTTTTAATTTATATGCATTTACGAGAGTTAAAAAATTAAAATTAAAAAAACGGGGGGCCACGGGGTAACGAAAATTACCGATTTTTTACCTTTAACCTTTTCCTTTCTTAGCGCCTGATGAAGTTCATGACAAATGCTGACTCTTCAGAATGAACATACCTAGGTATAACTTCATATATAGATATTGCAGATATGTTGTGTAAGTATATATTTATATACATATATTGTATGCTTGATTTTTAACCAGTCAGAGGTCTCAATGATACAAATGTCCCATCAAGTTTCATAAAATCAAAAACAAGATTCAAAAAAAAGATAATCCGTCGCCAATCTCTAGTCCATGCCCTACTTTGTGCCTGTACAGGAATCCAGACTACGGAATACTATCTGCAGCCCTGCCTATGCATCAGCGGCTAGACGATACACTCCCACACAAGACGGACGGTTTTTATGAAGCATGTGAGCCAATAAGCTAAAGGACAGCAATTCGAAGAAACCGTCGCGTGCATTTTCTACTTTAGTATGAAATGTTTCATTTGCGCAGCGCTACCCTTTCTTCATGTGAAGTGGATAACGCCTTGGGGGGTTGACCGAGAGAGACAAAGTCAGATACATATTGCTTGTAGATTTTTTTTTCTAATTTTCTTTGTACTTAGTCTCATTGTTTTTTTAAGGTGCGTGGGAAAGCAGAAAGATCAAGGAGATTCGAATATTTTTTAGAAAAATCAAAAATTAAAAGAATCCAACACAAACGCGCGGCGTCTATTGGTAGACGCAAAAGTCATTTGTTGTGACGTACGGCATGGCCCTTGGACGTTTGGGCGAATGAGCGCCTCGAACTAATGCCGGCTCAATCTGGCCGTAGATGCAGAAGACAGAGGAAAATGGATCACTGCCAACGCATTTGTCTGCGTATTTCAGCTCCCATTATGAGGTGAGAGAGAGATCCTGGAGAAGCAAAATCTTCCCTGCTCTGCGCTATCAAAGCTTTTTCGGCTCAACCTTCCGAGAAGCCTTGCAGTAGTAGGATATAGCGAACCATGGATGGTTGTCCAATTCTCTGTCTTGTTGGCCGGTTCTATTTCCTATAATATTATAGCTCGAGGGTCGGTCGGCAATAGCCGGTGCACAGAAATGGGGGGTTATCCCGCGCAGTGAACTTGCATATTGAAATCTCCTGTGACGATGCGAGGCTATAATCCACTTTTTCATATAACTATTTTACTCGCGTGATAAAAGCCCCCCCTATGCGCCATTTTCCCTCGATCTGCGCCTTGACCAGGTTGATCGTCGGTCATCTGCAGCTGCCAACCGTTTTATTCGAGTTTTCTTCACCTGTAATCTATTTCTGTTTTTGAATTTACGTCAACCCTGGTGTAAACATCGAAGGATTAAAAACCAACTATACAACGTTAAACATAAGCTTATAAGCTCCTAAACACCGACATACAATGCTGTGAGATCTTGAAGAAATACAATAAACTTATTGTTTCAATAGTCAACCAAGAAAGAAAGAACAAGATTCTAACATCAAAATGAACAACAACCAACATAAAAGTGGTATCTTCTGCGGCGCAGTCAACTTGCGCAAGCGCCAACCCATGATCAACTAGGGCGGCACCTGCCCGCGCTCTACTCCGTATGGCTCGTTGTTTCCGAGCCTCCTTGGTAAGCACTCTCCTCACCGGTTGAAATTCTTCCTAGTCCCCGATTCCGTGCAGATCAGATCAACGTGGTCCGCTCTCTGGGGCTAAAGCCGGCCTTTTGACCCTCTCCCCGCTCAAATTCCGTTGTGTGCCGCTCTCCACCAAGTCCAATCAGGATACTCCTGGCGTTCGTCAACTCGCGTAGCCGCAGTCCATTTCAATCACGTGTGGGCAATAATTAGAATGATTTACAGTATATTTCCAGGATAACCAATTATAACCTACAGCCCTGGTGGCCTTCAAAGAGCGTTGAGCTAGGTACTATGTAACTATGTCTGTAGTCTATAAAATGTACAATTATGCACTACAACATGCCTCGACCCAGAGATCAAATGCCTTCCTAGAGACTCCGTAGACAAGAATAAATCCATTGGAAAATTACTCCGAACCATATTAATTGACTTTTTTTTTTAATTATCATCGCATTTTACGAGTCATGCCGTGCATATTAACATGCCACCGCTAGTCACTGCTACCTTGCTTTCTAACGGCCAATAGTCGTCAAAAGAAGAAATTGAACTTCTTGATTCAGAACATGGACAAGATTGGTCCAAAATTCTAATAGGGATAGCCAATCACCATATTCCATCGCTTATATCTGACGAGTTTTCTTTCTCTTCCTTCTATCTCTTTGTCTGAGCCGCGTAGATCGGCGTTGAGATGTTTCGAAATCGTTCCTTTATTTCCTCTCTATTATTCTTTTATGCCTGTTTTCTTTCTTTCATTCCTTTATCTTATGTTTTCAAATCCTAAAACTCTCTCATTATGAGCAGCCATGACGCTATGTCCTGCTAGGGCGTTAGCGCTAGCCGCCGCACCCAGCACGCAATTGATAAATGTATTAATTGGAAATTTCGATATCTAGTTAGTCTCCTTCTAGTGGTTTTTTTTTGGAGAAAATTTATTCTACTCAGCACTTTAAAAATCTTAAGTGTGGAGATTTGACATGGGGGCCAATATCGGACGTAGATCTAGACTAGGGCTATAAGGGTCGTTTCTCCAATACTGCGCCGGATTTGAAACGGAATGTGCCCGTCTAGAATGACTCGTTCTCAAATTGCCCAGAACATCAGGATTTGACATGTTTTGGATGGACCCTGGACGGGAGACGCGCAGTCACTGCGCATCATTACGCACTAATTAAGAAATCCGCCGGAGGTTGGGCGGGGGCGGGCAGAACCGTCATTTCTCAATAATGTACTCCGTAGAGAGTTGCAGATGTACATTTGTGGTATATTACTTGTTAAGAGAGAGTGAGGCAAATCCAGACAAAAGCAGTCGTCGACTTGCCAATCTCGATCGACACATCAAGTACAAGTTGATTCCAAATACTTATAGGAGGTGACATTTGACTGGTACACTAATCCATCACATATACGCATTTTCAAATTACTTCGATATATCCCTTCGGCGTCAACCATGGATCGGATATGGAGGCTCATGTAATATCTGGCGAACCTTGGATCGGAGTCGATCGCCCGAACTACGCCGAGCTGTCAGACCGAGCACGCGCGGCATGTGGCATGGCATGACAGTTTTAGTTTTAGGTTGTGTGGAAGTATTTGGAATAAGTGCTGATATTGGCTATACTGGTGATAACTAGGATATCTGTGTTTTTTAATTATGATTATTGCGAGAATTGACTCAAATGTACATCTTGTCCAAGCTAAAAGCAGTTAATGACAGGAAATCACGCTAATGCGGGAACTTGCGTATTGAGAATGCTGCATGGTCGAACACCTGACCGTGCATATATGTAACGCCAATCCCGGTATTTCCGCTAGTGCTGGATGTTAGAGCGGCAAACGCCGCAAAAACCGAAACAAGCCGCACAAGCCTAAAAGCCTCAACAATCTAGAGCCAGAGTTTGCAACTTCACATCTAGCGATCTGGTCGGGGTCCGCGGGAGAGGCGTGTCTTATCTAACCATTGTGACCCTCCTAGGAGCCACATTAGCAATCTGGTTGATTCTCCGAACTCCACTTCTCGGAGCCGAGTTTGTTGTTGTAGATAGATGCCCGGAACGAAATTCTGCGTCGGGGACTCGGGGATGAGAACAATATGATGTTTGAGCCTCACAGGCGATAATCATGCAGGAAGAATTCACGCTAGACACGAAGCCTACATTAGCAGCAGCAGTAGCTATGCTACGTACGTTGTATTGTCGGAGATATGCCAGTCTTTACTAACTATATGTAGTAACTCACTCGTTGGTTATTCCGATGAGCTAGACCAGTATCAGGTACGACATGAAAGGAATTGCGCACGTTACATTTCCGCTTCTTGGACCCCACAGTATGATCCCTCTTGAATTAAAGAGTGTACAAATGAAGTATTCAAAAGGAAATGGAGTAGCTCGTCCACAATGGAATAGAACAATGCTCTCTACAACGTATATAGACGTCAGATGCCTGAGAATGATGTCGTCGTGCAATCAACAAGGTACGTAAACCTCTTACCACCAAGGGTGCTATAGCCAAGGGTGCTGTAGTCATAGTCACCTCAACACCAAAAAATGAGCAAAGACATTACCAAGTAGCCTCAATATAGTATCTACTAGCGCTCAAGGTTTTCTTTCTTCCGGATTTAGCTTAGGGTGAGATAGGTGTGCTGTCATCTTTGTCTGAAGGAGATCTGAGTTTTCGGCAACGGTATTAGGGCTCCAACGCTCAAAACGGAAAAAGAAGAGCTATCGAAGGGAAACAGTAATTTAATAATATATTAAATAAATAATCATGCATCCGAACTCCTTCTGGAATCGATCGACACGCATCTCCCAAAGAAATGATAAGCGAACCAGCGAATGAGAAGCTCCAACCTTGACATCAGAACTGGGTCCGGTACCTAATGGTCATGTTTGGTCATGTTTAGTAAATTACCAATTTACGCGTTTGGTTATATATTACGTATATTACACCTTTCTACATACATACACATATTTGCATACCTCTGTACGGAGTACACATTTCACATAACTATATAGTTAGGGCGTAGTCACTATAGCTAGTTACAAATGTAGTTATTAACAACTAGTTACGTTCCATTTTCCAGTTGATGGAATTACAAGTCATTCTTTCATTAGCATTATACGAAGTAACCAAAATAACCAACTGGGTTCCTTTCAGTTCTTCCTCGAAATGACTCTAATCCACCTCGTACTATTGGACGCCTTTTTTCACTGCGGATCTTCTTCAACTCGTTTTGGGTAAATGGGGCATAGCAATTGAATGTCTCATCTTTCTCGCAAATTGCCCTCGATAAAGGTTAGGGGCCGTTCTCTAGTTTGAAAAAGTACGAGCACATCGTGATCATAATAAAATGCCATAGCCACATCCTCGAAGCAAGTCCGATTTAGCAGAGAAATCGATTGATAATAATAAGCACTAAGGACACGTGGTTTTCGTGACGATTCGCTTCTTGCCGAACCCGAAATGCTGTGCTTATTTATTCTTCCCCCAATTGCGGCGATCTCTTTCTTATTCTCGCCTCGGGTGACAGATTAGGACTTCTGTAAACGCACATGGGCTTAAAACCACAATATTTTGCTTACTTTGAGGCCTCCCAAATAGTGAATTGATCTTTGATTGTCACACACGGCATATAGTGGAACTTGTTGCTGTTTTTTTCATTCTTTTTTTTTCCCTTTTTTTTCAAAACAATTATTAGATTTTCATTACTGTTGATCTGCGACTCTTCACCTTGACTCTTCACGGGGAGAACGTGATCTTCCGTTATATCCATACCAAAGGGCCCACTAACTGCCCAAAACTACCGGAAAAACACAACCGTCTCCTATGCAACGATTTCATAGGAGGGCGTAAATATCATGCACGGGGTCCCGCATAGTTGAGCAGAGATTGAGTCCCACCTGTGGAGAATGAGTCCATTGTACGGAGTAAGTACAATAATATTCACATTAGGTATTTTCGGTTCTGGCTTATTTTCTATTTTATACCTACCTACATATGCACATATGTAGGTATTAGATGTAAGTCGCTCATCCTTACCATGTTCACCATTTCACCCGTTTTCAACCTTGGTGGATATGATTACACTACAAATTCTAGATTGTAGAATAATCCAATTTGCACGGTGAATTCCAATTTTGGTGGCTTGATCAACTCCTCACGGAGTAGTACCTCACAATACTGTATAGGAAACTATTATCCGACTGCCAATCGAGGCTTACATAAGCGGTACAACCATGATACTATGTCGCCATACACGGTACATCCTTCAATGCGAAATTTGCAAGACGCTTTTTTTTCTTTTCTACTGTAAGGTTGAGACTAGACCTGTAAAGAAGGGGGTGGCAGAGTGGATGTGACATGGAAGTGAATCCTTCGCTCAAAAACAAGAGAATTCCAAGAACCAACAGTTCAAGATCTCTTTGATTGGTCCAATAATAGTGCCATTAAAGAGATTCCAGCAAGAAAGAGAAAATAACTCAATATCGCCCGTCCTTCGATTTCTGATCATGAGCGACCGCGGCGAACGCGGCGATCATGAGATATGAGATGCATGCACTTGGCCATTTCTACTCTTCACCCGAAGATCCCCAAGTAGAGTTAACAGTTCATGGCAACAGTTCATGGCAACAAGTCCCAACAATTATCGGTGTACTCACCGACCCAATAGTGGACTCGTTCGTGTTTCCCCTCCAGCCCCAACCCTCGCCAATCATCCCTAGGGCACTGACGACATGGCGAAGGACTAATGCTGCCAAAGCACACCAACACCGTAGCCTAGAGACCCAGATCTTTAGCTTTTGAACGGACCTTCTGACATAGGCTACTTTTCACACGTGTCGGTGTTTCAGATGTTGTGATGATTAGATTGAGTCTCTGGTATCAGAAAAGGGAACACGGCACGCCAACTACCTTGTCGTTGGTGGCCACGCGGGATCCAAGTGGCGTGTAGTGTAGTATTGGTCTGCTCGGATCGAAGGGGCTGAGGTCGTATCTTGCGTGGACATAATCTTGCGCAGGTCTAACTTTCCCAGGTTGACCTTTCAACCCATGCCAAGGTCATTCGGCCGTTGGACGATATTTCCCTCATTTCTTCATGAAAAGGGTATTTCTCCGAAGTTTGGGTCAAAGTCGTTAGTGTAAAACCCAGCTGGAGGGTCCTGTCAGATTGTCAGATTCTAGAAGTATACCTACCGACAATCTCATTCAGACTACGCCTACTTTAGCAGGTGTTGCGTTTTATCTCGGGACTTGCAAAGTATATTTCTACCTTATACGATAGCTATAACTAGTTTATCTCGTGTAACGTGGATCTTCAAGGTATTGAAAGTATAACAGGTATACGAGGTACGAGGAATAGTGGGTTCAAGACATCCTGACCACAACTGACGACAACTCGCATATCTTGACTCGGTTTGGAAGCAGCCTCTGGGGTATTTGATTTTTTCTTATTGGATCCAGCAGATCATAGCTGGATGAATGTACATGAGTGACGCCATTTTCGGCAATTTCGCTTGCGAGTCAGAACGTTGCTTTTTTCAGTGCACGGATCACAAATAGCAAGTGTTGCGATAGGATCAGGTATTTTTCCAAAAATAAAAGCCCCCACTGACCGTGAAAGTATTGTATTTTACAATCTGAAACACATTACAGTACTTCGACGGTCAATTTTGCTTTTTGTATTGTGCAGAGCCTCACATTATTGTAGGAGAGTGTTCGCTTCTAATACCTATCCACTCAGACGTGAGGGATTTCAACTAGCTCAGGGTGGCCGAGGGTATTTGTCAAGTATTAGCATACATCTTCTTCAGCTTCTCGAGTCTAATGTGGATCTTGGTATTTCCTTTTTCTTCTTGGGTTTTTCTGCAGTCAATACATATGTAGTATTCGTCTCATAATATGGCCGGCAACATCGCGCATGGGATCTGCCTGGTTTTAATCCTACAAGCCCTAATGTTATAAACGTAAAACGTAAACTATGTTTTTGCTCTCTCGTATTTATGATTCTACTGGAAAGGCCCTTGAAGATCAACTCGGCCATGTTGGTTTCTATGGTTCCTACAATTGTACCTCTATGCCAACTATAGATCGATGTCCTGTGGCCCGCAACGCAAGTTGTTTCAAACATCTCTCTCATCCTTCCATCAAACTACTTCCACTTCCTCACCGACTCTACCCGACCTACACCCTAAAAAGGTAACTTCATTTGCATACTACCCCGCATTTCACCCCTCTGGCTGTTCTCATCTCATCATCACATCCTCTACTACATCGCACTAAGAAGAGAGCCCAGTGCCACGTGGTGAAATAGCTATTTCCTTCCTAGTTTGAACCTATCAGAAGCGAAAGCCGACACGTAAAGCACAAATCCAACCAATTGAGACTAGACAAACCGAGGTAGGTCGGAAATTTGAGCGTTGAAACCTTCCCATCCTTATTTCAACTTACCGAAACCATCCTGTCATGCATGGAGACATTCCAAATATACCCTGGTATGTCCGGACATGCTTTTTCTTGAACCCTCTTTCGGTCTTGTACATTGCGGGGCTTGGGACAAACATAGAAATGATGCTGAAATTGCCATGCAGAGGGTTGCATGACATGGAAGCCCTACTGAGTGGACAGTGTTGGTTGCGGCTTTTTCTGTTACTGGCTGGTCTGCCTTGTCCACCTACCTAGGTACATCACAATGTGCAGCGGGTATACTAGACACATAGTTGTGTATAGTTGCGATTCAGTTCCAGGTTCCAAGTGCATTGTGGGACCGGCGATGTACTAGGGTGATTCCTTCAGCCTACAGTATTTACAGAGTACTAGGTACAGTATTGTAGAATACCTGTCGGTGGGTGCCTAATTAACCTTGGAATTTATCCTTTATTTTTATCTCACAAGATTGTATAGCGATAATACCTGGGCATAATATGTCATAAGAAGTTAGAAACCACAGAATCTCTATGTATGTCTATGGCACCATATTTATATTTGTGTTATTCAGCCTATTCGGACCATCGAATTACGGAAGTAGCATACCTACATATCTAGGTATAACATGTTTGCTAGTAATGTTTTTGTCGCACACATAGAAATAGTCATTGAGGCATCAGGGTAAGTTGATGATATGAGCAGACGCAGCAGAATTAGAAAGGCGGTTTTTCACAAACAAAATAATTGACTGCTAACCAAGTAAAACCCCAAATGGGAGCTATTACTTATATCAATACTCATCATCAGAGTCCACAGGCCCGCGCCAGCGTGACATATACCCATCACCACCATCTTCACTCGCAGAACCATCGAAGTCGAAGTCGTCGTCATCGTCATCAGATGAGACTTCTTCATCCGGGTAATCGTTTGCGGGGTGGTTTTCCGCTACATTCAAACAGGGAGAGTCAGTGAGCGCCCGGGGGGGGGGGAATTTAAGGTAAATGCAAGATCAACATACCGTTCGAGTCAGCATCTTCGCTATCCCACTCTTCCTCATCATCTTCAACAAAATCTTCCCAGTACTGCTCATCCTCAGCAGTGATGACAATGACACCAACACCTGGCTGAGACTTCGCGATCTCCTTTTGCTGCTGCTCGGTTTCATACTCGGCAAGGGGGTTCTTCAGCATCTCGGTTTCTGATAATGGTCGTCGAATGTACACGTCGTAGACGTAGTCACCATCGTCGTCTTCCTCCTCCACAGCCACGTCATTTTTTTTCCACCTGCGGAGCCGCGGGTGAGGCTGCGGCTCTGGGCTCCTTCGGCAGTCGTGGCTGGTGCTTTAACGGAGTTTTGGGCGCAGAGCTCAGCACGGGCTGAGGCTGGGGTGCTGGGGGTGGGCTGCTAGCTACGCGGGAATCAAGCTGCATGCCATGCTCCCGGTCTTGGTCGAGCTCGAGCTCCAGCGCGACCTGCTCAAATTCCCGTGCCAGACGATCAGACTCCTCGTCCCAGTTCATCTGGTGGGTCTGCGCGGACTTCTCCAATGATTCAGAAATATTCTGTTTCGCAGTTGAGATTGAGCCCTTGCGCTTTTCGCGCCACCGTTTCTCGGCCTGGTTGACGACGGGACGTTTGCGGGCTTTAGTTGATGCCGATGCTCCTGGGTCTGCGACAAGCTCCTTGGACAAGGCAGAAAGGCCCCTTGTATGGGTCTGCCCCTCCGCAATCATATCAGACACCATGGAACCCTTGCGTGAATGGGGGTTTCGCTGGAGCTGCTCGACCAAGACGGCAACACCAGGCGCGGGGCCATTAGTTCGCTTCTTTTGAATTCCGCCACTGCTCCGGAGTGAATTGAGATTTGAGCGCGAGATCTGGAATCGACGCAGAGCTTGCGCACGGCTTGGCGATGCTGTTCTTGGTGCGGGGCTGGGCGCTCCAGATGCATTGGAGACGTTAGGGCCCAGCTCAGGGGCGACTGGGAGGTCAGAAAATGGGGAAGGACCCGAGTAAATGGCGCGCTTGTGCCTTTCTTCGGCTTCCTTGCGCGCAGTTGCAACGCGCTGCGCTTCGCGGAATTCAGCCCCCGGCGACGTGGCTCGCACCGTGGGCACGCCCTTGGATGACGCCGGCGCGCGACGATTTACATGCAAGCTGCTGACTGAGCGGGGACTGCGTAGCAGCCGCTGTGCCGCGGGATGCGGTAATCCTGGTGGGCTAGGAGATGCATCTGCGCGCTCGCTGGCATTCAGCGTGACTCTGTGGAAGACGAAGTCGGTGAAGCGCCGCTTGGTCTGGTGGACAGCAGATTGGATGACTAGGGTATGTGTTAGTGACCGAAATTTTCACGATATTGGTTGAGGATTAGCATGAGGAGGAATCATTCATAGCATCTACTGTATGGAGGGGCTACATCGCGGGGGGAAAAACAAGGGGATTGTTATCGTACACAGTGTCTCGACGGGCTCTTCCTCACGCCGACGCTTGATATTAATTTGCTCTGGTGGAAGCGCCATATTACGATGCTAATGCAGTTTTTCAATGGCCTGTTGAGTGTTGTGGAGGAGAAGCGGAAAAACGAGATCGATTGAAGCATCCAATTTGATGTGGATCACTTCCAGATTTGGTACAAAATGTCACGTGGCATTTGTATATACAACGGAGTTGATCAAAGTGAAGTTTCAGCAGTGGACAGACTAACGAGGAAGAGATGGACAAAAAGAAGTCTTGCTGAATATTCATATAAATAATGCTGTTCATCGACCCAGAGAGTACTGATATCCGTTCAGCATATTGGTGGATTTGTTGAAGATTGAAATGTATAAAGCTACACATGGAATTAAACCACACACGATCTGCGAATGTTTGTTTGACATTCGCGCAAGATGATTCTCATCGACTCGTTCATTCTTTCTTCGGGACCTTGCCACTAATTACACAACTGGAGCCCCGACTGTCCCTTCAAAACAATTATTGGACAAGAGCAGAAAGAGGCAGGGTATTTCACAACCAACCCAACGGCACATGCAAAATCATTAGCCAAAAAGGCCAAAAAGAAAACTGGGCAAACAGGACCCAAGCGAGTATAGTGTATGATGCAAGTGATTCTCGTCGCCGCGACTCGTCTTCTCCGTGACATCATCCAGCAAAACGAGCTGTATGCCCACAACCCCTAGATCAAAACAAAGAAATAAAAGGATAAAAAGGAAGAGACTCATGGTCAGCTAGCAATACAAGGGGGTAAAAGAAGGAGAAAGTAGCATGAAAGGATTAGTAGGGGAATAAACTCATTGGCGAACAGAATATGTCAAGACAAAGGGTGTGAAAATCCCAAAAAAGCCAAATAGAAAAGAAAAATTCCAAAGAGAATGGCAAAGAGTGAAAAGGGAAAAAAAAAAAGATTATGACCAATACAAGAAACGAATTAGAATCAAAATGGGTGTGGGAAGACATGACAATCAAGAAGGGACTATATATGTAAAAAAAGAAAGAAGATGTGGTATTAGGTTCACCGACCGCAAGTCAAGATGCATTCCTTGGAGCATATGCCATTATTTGGCTCCAATCTCCTCTTCAGCCCAACCGGGCAGGGAGTTTTCGTTTTGAATAGCCAACCCAAATCCAGAGTGGTTCAAGCCACCCAGACCAGAGAAGCTGGAGAAGCTGCTTTGGGGCTGGTGCGCCGCACCGGCGCGCGCGTGGCTGGGAGCACTAGAGACGGGACCAAAAGGCTCCTGGGAGAAGGAGGGTAAGCTGACCGCTCGCGAGTGCGAGGCGCGGGGTACGCTGAGGCTGCTGGTGCTTGCGTGGTGACCGTGTCCCTGGCCGTTTGCTACGCTCAAGTAGCTGTTGTTCGAGGACTTGTGTTGGTGCATGGGCGGGTCCATGCTTCCGTTTGAGAGGTCGCCGTTGCTGGCGGCGTTATACAATGACTGCTGCTGAGGAGCCTGTGATTGCGCCTGTAGGCTGGCAAGCATGGGGTCGCTAATGTGGTTCTCCTGATCCTGGCTTTGGTGCGACATCTGGTTCAGATACATGGTCAGGGGGTTGTTGGAGCCGACGTTCAGCACACCGGAGGGGGAGGACACTGTTTGCAGCGGGTGGCGGTGCTGCTGTCCATGCTGGGAGCCGGTAGATCCAGGTGCCGGGGAAAGCGCAGGTCGAGTCGGGCTGGATTGGGAGCCGGACTGGCTGAGGTTTGGTGGGAAGCCGTTCAGGACGGGAGATGGCGACTGGTGGCCTTCGATTCCGGATCCATTGCGGTTTTGTTGGCCGTTCTGTTGGTTATTTCCAGTCTGGCGAGGAGGGTTTCCGCAGCGGTCCTTGCCAAAGTTGATTTTGAAGCGGCGATAATCTTCCCGATTACGCATTCCCTCGATGGCCTTGATAGCATTGGCAATGTTGGTGAAGTTGACGAATGCGCAGCTCTTCTCGCGCAGAGTGTTCACCAACTCGATCTCACCATACTCAGAGAAGTCCTGACGGAGGCGTTCCTCCGTCCAGGCTTCATCCAAGTTGCCGACGTAGACATTACGCGACGCACCACCGCTGACAGCCAACGCAATGGCGGGCGGCAGAGGGCCAGAGTGCTTACCCCAGCCAATTTTGAGACGTCGGTTATGGATCATCAAACCCTGCAAGTTGCTCAACGCATAGAAAGAGGCAGCCGAGGTAGGATCGATGAATGTAACAAAGCAGATGTGTTTGTCGGGAATGTATCGAATGTGGTGCAATAAGCCTCCACGAACAACATTACAGATCTCTTCAATGGTAGTTTCAGGGTGAATGTTTCCAAGATAGATGGTGCGGTTGCCAAGGTTGTTGACACCGCCGGCAGTTGTCGCCACGGCGGCCGCAGCGACTGACTGCTGTGCAAGCGCATTGGAGATCAAATCACGATCAGCCGTGTTGAGCACGTGCGCATATCCAGGCGCGATTCCAAGGAATTGGGCCGCATTTTGTTGTTGAGTCTTGGACACATAAGCACAACGGTCCTTACCATAAAAGACTCGCTTTGGCGCTTGCCATTGCGGCTCCTGAGGAAGCTGGGTGACCGCCTTCATCGCGTTGCTGATGGACAGGAAATGGACGAACCCAATTGCCTTCTCCTTGACGATCTTCACGGTGTCAATGGGCCCAAATTTGCTCAATTCTTCCCGGAGATCGTCCTCGGAGGTGTCCTCAGGCAGATTCCCAAGGTAAACATTGCGGGACGCGCCTGACTGCTGGACCGCCAGGGCGACGGAGGTAGGAACCTGCGAGGGCTTGCCCCAGCCTACCTTGATATCATTTCCCTTGATGGCCAACTTCTTCAAGATGGCATCTGAGTGGAAATGAGTGGCGGAGCTACTATCCAAAAAGGAGATGAAGGCGCAGTTCTTATCAGGGAGCAGACGCACCGACTCAATCTGACCGCTGCGGACATGGTTCAGAATCTCCTCGGCAGACGTTTCAGCCGGGATGTTTCCAAGGTACACGGTGCGGCTAGTCCCTGAAAGCATGCCCGGGGCCACGGAAGCCTGAGGGCTTCCCAGAGCTGCATTTCCCATGCCCCCAAGACCATTGATGGGCGACTGGGGTGCGCCCATCATCTGCGAGTGACCCATTCCATCGGGTGACATCATGCCATACAATCCGTGGCTCTGCATTCCTTGCGTTGGGCTGTGAATGTGGTTCTGGTTATTCTGGGCGTGTCCATTTGCATTGGCCTGCGGGAAGCCACCGAAATTTTGAAACTGAGGCGAAGCAAAGGCCGAGGGGGTTCCGGGTTGAAAAGGACTTCCTACCAGTAGCTGGGAGGGGAGTAAGGGGGTATAATTCATATCGAAGCCGGACGCCATATCGGAGTGTTGACCGGCGGCAGTATTTATATTGGGAATATTGGCACGACGGGCGTTTCGATCCGAGAATCCTTGGACTGCGTTGGGATGGTTGTTATTGTAAGCTCCGTGAGAGAAACCCGTATCGCTGTTGAGTGGGTATTTGGAACCGTGAATTAGACGCGAATTATTCGAGATGCTCGATATATCCAAGGCTTGCATGGCGCGTGAGAGTCCAGTATGTTCCCTAATAAAGGACTCGGTCGTAGCTGTCGGGGAAATCCCTGACTACCAGACGAGGCTCTTTGGAAAAAGATAGAAAAAATAAATAAAAAGGGACAGGGATTATCAGATCACCATTCAGGAGATTGACTCCACTAAGATCACGGGAGAGAAAAAAAAACAAAACCAGAAGAAGAAGAAAAAGAAGAAGAAGGAAAAAAAAGGGGGAGATGAATCAAGTGGAGAAATTCAAGATGAATTATCACCAAAAAAATAAAGAAGAAGAGAAAGTCTTCAAATGGAGACGTGTCTAATAAGTTTGTCGAAGTCAATTGGAATGTACATTAATTAGAGGGTGGATTTGGGGAATGAGACCAACCTAACTTCTTCTTTTAGAGAATGCCAATATAAAGAATTCAATTCACAGAACCAACTTATTCAAAGGAACAGAAGAGACATGAGAAGGAGAGAGAGAGATCCCAAAAAGACTATGACAAACAGTCATTAGCTAAAAGAGGCTAAGAGAGACCAAAAGGGGAAAAGACAAAGTTGAGAGGAAAAAAAAGGGGGAGAAATGAATCAGATAGGGAAGATGGGAAGATTTACATTGGACGTGAATGGAGAATATAATACTCAGTATCCTCTATTCAAACGAGAACCCCAAGGGCCGAGAAGAAATAAAAGGGTTAAATAAGAGCGTGGGGAAAAGGAATGAAAAGGTAAGGAAGTGAATCCCCAGGTAAGGTATGAAGAAAAACATTAAGGGGCATATACTAGAGAATATATAGAAAGTGGGCTAAAAGAGTTAAAGGGGCTGACCACTGGGTACAATATCGTACGGAGATAACTCTAATTTACTACGTATAGTCGTCCACGTTATATATACTGGCTAGTATGGTATCTATATATTGTACATATTCAATACATTCAATTCATTGTTCAGTCTCATAGATCAAAAGCAAGGTTGAAATAGTAAATAGTCAAAAAAGGATCGTTCCGGGGCTGCAGAACTGAATTAGAACCAATTATCAGCCACCAAATGAGTATATTGTACTAGTCAATTCAACATGACTATACCTTGTATGGGGACTATTCTAAGATTGCTACCGTAAAACAGTAGTGAAAAACACTCTTTTAATCTCTTTTTCCCTCTACGGTCCCCGTGACTTATGTCTCAACATGTGCAATCCCGTCAATTGTTGATATTGGTAGATTACCTAGGTAGTTGACTCGTAATTAGTCGTCTGGATTGCAATGGAGGTTAGCTGCATACATCCAGATGTACTCATGACATGTCGATCTGCCTTAATTTGAACGCAGACCTATACAATATGCAATTTGGATTGTATGAAATGGAACAAAATGCAGCTAGATCTACAAGAGAATGATGTGTCTATATCTATAACGACAATTACCTACTTGATTAACTGGAACTTGTCCAGAAAATCAACATAACAGTCTCAATTTTAGGACATATCAAAAAAGAAATAGAAAGCGTCAATAAATGCCAGGCAAAAATATAACTACTGAGGTACACATATAACCAACCATCGAGTCGAGTTGCTTCAATCTTGATGCCTCAGGCACCCGTGGGGAATCCCGCATCTATCGGAAATTTACCCCTCCGCCTCAATGTGCGATTCCTCCTTGCGTTGGACAACTTGCAATTGGGAAGAGATAAGAGATTGATTCTCTGCCGTCGTATCAGGTGAGTCCAATTCTTGCATTCTGATCTCTTTGGGCTCAAATTCTTGTTGTATGACTCAGAGGCGGAACCCACCATATTAATTAATTATCTTCTCCCACAGAATTTCCTCCCCTCAACCGAGTTGTAAGGAATAGCACCAAATATGGCGCCTACCAGCATTTACATCGACGAAGACGTCGGGAGAGACGAACCTACTGCCAACGGCTCGGAGACCGCCCCCTACAAGACCCTTGTCCACGCCTACCTGGAACACCCTCCCACTACCGAAGGCATTCAATACCTCACGCGCAAGTCCCAGACCGATGCTGCAGGCGAAGATGTTGACCCTGCGGCCAAGCTAGAGTGGAAGCCCGCCACCAAGTCGGCCATGAAGAAGGCCAACAACCTCTGGGAGCAGCGCAAGAAGAAGGCGGCCAAGGAACAGGAACTCGCCATCCGCGAGAAGGCCGAGGCCGACAAGCGCCAGACTATCCTTGATGAAGCCAAGAAGGTGATCATCAAGGAGGACACCTCGCTTCCTAAGCCGGTACGCATCCGTCTGGATGTCACCGACCCGGCCACCGTCAAGCTGGGCTCCCCCGAGTCCAAGGAGCCTGGCACCCGCGTCCGCGTCCTGGGCCGTGTCCACCGTGCGCGTGCTCAAAAGGATGTCGTCTTCATCACGCTCACCGATGGCTACGGATACCTACAGTGTATCCTGACCGGCGACATGGTCAAGACCTACGACATCATGACCCTCACCCTCGAAACCTCCATGTCCATCCACGGTGAGATGCGCGCTGTGCCCCCTAAGCAGCACGCCCCCAACGATCGCGAACTTCACGCCGACTTCTTTGAGATCATTGGTCGTGCCGCCGGCGACAAGGAGGCCATTACCACCCGTGTGGCGCCGGACGCCGACCCGCAGACTCTGTACGACAACCGCCACCTGGTCCTGCGCGGTGAGACCTCCTCCTCCGTGATGAAGGTGCGCGCCGCCACTTTGCGCGCATTCCGCAAGGCCTTCGAGGAGCACCGCATGCTGGAGGTGACCCCTCCCGCCATGGTGCAGACCCAGGTCGAAGGTGGCAGTACCCTCTTCGGATTCGACTACTACGGCGAGAACGCCTACCTGACACAGTCCTCGCAGCTGTACCTGGAGACATGTCTCCCATCCCTGGGTGACGTCTACTGCGTGTGCCCATCGTTCCGAGCGGAGAAGTCTTTGACTCGCCGCCACCTGTCGGAGTACACTCACATCGAGGCCGAGCTGGATTTCATCACTTTCACTGATCTGCTCGACCACCTCGAGGAGATGATCTGCCGTGTCATTGATTCGATTCTCGCCGAGCCTGAAATTGCCGGATATATCAAGCAGCTCAACCCCGACTTCAAGAAGCCTTCGCGTCCCTTCCGTCGCATGAAGTATGACGATGCTATCCAGTGGCTGATTGAGCACGAAATCCCCAACGAGGAGGGCCAGCCCCACCAGTTCGGCGATGATATCGCCGAGGCTGCTGAGCGCCGCATGACCGACATCATCAACCAGCCTATCTTCCTGACTCACTTCCCTGCTGAGATCAAGGCCTTCTACATGAAGAAGGCTCCCGAGGACCGCCGCGTCACGGAGAGTGTCGACGTGCTCATGCCCGGTGTTGGCGAGATTGTCGGTGGTAGTATGAGAATGGATGACTGGGATGAGTTGATGGGTGCCTACAAGCACGAGGGTATGGATCCCTCGCCCTACTACTGGTACACTGACCAGCGCAAGTAAGTTTTGCTTCCCCTGTATCATACTGTTCTTTCTTGGTTGAAATACTCACAATCGACTAGGTACGGTACTTCCCCCCACGGCGGCTACGGTCTCGGCCTCGAGCGTTTCCTCGCCTGGTTGTGTGCTCGCTACACTGTCCGCGATTGCTCTTTGTATCCCCGATACACCGGCCGTTGCACTCCTTAGATGCACTCCTTAAATATAGCGAACAAAACAAATAAGCATGATCACGATAGGCATGGGAATGCAGTATGACTAGATCTACTGTAATGAATGAAATTGGATTTCTTAGATCAATCGAGATTGATTCTTGCTACTATGCTATTTGAACTTCAAATTTGTAGTGTGAATTTCCTTGCCATGGTAGAATACTCACTGTGTTTACCACACACATCCTGAGATCATAAATAGCAAATTGATTTCGTGTATACACGTAGCTGGAAAGCAAGAACATGTGCACATAGATGTGCATGTAGTTATCCACAAACCAAGGATCCAACGTCCAAATCCAAATGCCGAGTCTCAGAACCGTTGCAACACAGCCCAACGCCCTGGCGTATGGGATTTTAGCACGGACCACGGAAGTAGTCCCGCTGTCAGACACAGTGGCTGTATTTTCAAACTCGACTATGCTGCAGCTGACGATATCTGCCGCTCTGTTCGCTAGGTTTGTGTCTGTGGGTTTTTTGAGATATGGACCAATGGGAAAGGGGGTAAGAGGAACAGCGTGTTTGGTCTAAATGGTTAGGAAGATGGACTATTCCTTAAACAGATACAGTTCACAGTTCTAGATACCAGTTTTCGTGGTTCCAGTGCTGGTCACGAGGGTAGATGGTGTGATGTCATATCCCATACAAGGCACGATCTTCGCTTCACTTCTGATCCTACAGAGCATGCATAATCGAAAGGATCTTGAATTTAAATTGCCTAAAAAATAAACTTGACCGCTGCCTCTATCGTGCTTATGGTCTTGGTGCTAGCCCAACCAAGGAAAGTGTGGCTTCGTTGTCGCGGACGGAAACCCTTCCCTTTATCCACATCGTCTCATCGACTCATCATCTCATCATCTGTTCCACACTGTTAGGTAGGACAGATGATGTTTCTCAGCCTCGCTCGAAATTAAGTTATGCTCACGGCAACGGTTATGTTGATTACAGCCACGGTCAAGGGGATGGGGTATGGTGTGCGTGTGCTGGTCCTCAATGTGAACTCTTCTTTCTCGGCTTAGTCCCACCCCACAATCATTGGTAAGAGAAGGGATGTGAGTTCAACATAAGGATCTAGTCGCAGTCGCAGTCGCAGTGGCAGTCGTGGTGATGGGTCATGGATGATGGTCATGGTGCTGGTTACAATCACGGTCAAGTGGTACAGTGTGGTGTCCTGGCCATCGAGCGAAACCCTCCTGCTCTCATCCTATCTCACACAATCTGTTAGTACTGACAAGCCATCTGCAACAAAGAGGGAAATGCAAAGTATAAGGAAATGCCTCGGGCAGAGAGAGAAATGAGAAGTCTCCGGTCTAACTGCAGAAAGAAGAGTCGCACAGTCAGGGTGATCCACCACTCCCTGGGCGTCCATTACTCGACACCGCACGGAAATAAAGTCCGGAAGTCCACAATGTTTCATTCCGGCACAGCCCCTTTTGATAATATCTAGAGCATTGTGCCTCAGGGTGCGAAAATAAGGAGAGACCTGTGTCTGTGTCGCCATGCCGAAAACTTGGTCTTTTCTCTTCTTCCCACCCAATTTGCCACGGAGACGCAGAAGACGTCGCTTGAGTAGCTCATAACTGGGCCGTTAGTTTCTTGATCCCGAGGTTTGCTTCATTTTTCCACCCCGTTCATCCCCCGATGATTCGTCCATTGAGATTCTAGCGTGCCGCGGTCGACGAGCCTGCGTCGCCATGATCCACCATGTGGGCAGTGAGACTCTGCTGCCGTGTATTGTCATACCAGGTTGTACCCGGTTCCATGTATTTCGATTTCGATTTCGATTTCTCAAAGATGCCCGGCTGCTCTTTATCAATATACTCGACGGCGAATAAGGTCGCAGATTTCGAGCCATCAAATGGAATACGATCACCTTATTGTCCAATTTTGCTTGCCTTTCAAGAGACCACACAGCGACCTCTTTTCGCTATTGAACCTTCGGGGACACACACGGAGCTTTGGCACTAATAATGGGACGAAATGACTAAACAGAGCCGTCGGATATGCAAATCCGACAGGGCGACCGACCATCATCAGCCGAAAAGACAGGTGAAAGATGGAAAAGGACGAAAAAATGCGTCATGCGTTAATCGTCTACCATTTCAAAGTGCAGCATTTTTTGCTTTTTCTCTCTCTTTTCTTTTGAACATATGCAAGGATATCAACCTCGCAAGGTTAGATAACAATGATAACAACCAAGAGCAAAATAAATCAAACACCAAAAAACCCTAAGGAGCTGTCTTGAGCTCTTCCAAAGGAAATCAACATTATACCTTCACTTCTCGGTGCCAATCACCGCAACTGCCAATCGTCGAAAGCCAACCATATTGGCGAGACTTCAGATCCGAAATGAAAGTGTAAGACCGGACGTTGAAGAGTCAAGGATTGACATTGAGGTCAGACATTGAGGTCTGACATTGAAGTCCGCAGCTAATCAAACTCATAAATTCCGAACTGGCTGAACGGCTTGATGAATATCTTGGTTTGAGGCACCGGATCGGATGAGGGATACGATTCGGTCGACGGCGGCAGTGTCACCATCTTGAATGCTGGAGATCAAATCCTTCAAAAACCTTCGGTAATATTCCAGGTCATGTTCCTGTTGAGTGGTCTGCTGGTCACTTTGAGATAGCTCGGCGGGGGCTTCGCTAATGGTGGGGGCCATGTCGTTTCAGCTTTCATTCGTCACGATTATTGACATAGGTATTGCAGAGAAGAGATTGATGAAGGGGATGTGTGAGGGAAGAGATACAAACAATGACAAAATTACAGTCAAGGGCTGGCACCAATACGAGGAGAATGAAGACGAAAGGGCCACTTACCTTCCTTCAACCGCTGGCGTGACCTGTCTTCCCTGGCGGGTGGCTTCTTGGCCGTTGGTGCGCTCTGGCATGATGATTAGGGTGATGTTGCCACCTTACGTCGGGTTAAGAGCCGAGTTGGCGGGGTTTGGTTCGGTAATGGGAAATATCTCCTAACCAAAGCCTAGAAGAAGGTCTTCCATTGGCGGAAATGGGAGGTTAGCAACCAGACATTCTGAACCAACCTGATGAAAGGAAATTGAATCAGATGATTCTAGGGTCAAGTATAAGGTACGGATAAGATGAAGTTGTAATGTGGGCCCTGGGGAAGGGTAGAACCCAAAGAACTGTGCGAGCATACAGGTCTGTATATATTTGGATACTTCTATTTCTCTTCAGCAATGATACCGTGGATTTGAAAAGGAAGAGAGATACATATAAAGGTGAGTCGAAAAGAAGAAGAAGCGAATTGAGAGATCGAATCGAGTGAAAAGAGGCGGGACTTAAAAGGGAAAAAAAGATACCTTAGGCAGATGTCATTGCCGCCTGTGTCGAATATATTTTTCCCGGTATAAACATCATGCAATAAGGGTGTTATCTGACTCCAAACCTCTCTAGTTTGTTCCTCTACTTGGGGATTTTAGGAAAAGTCCAATGAAAAGAATAATAATATTAAAAAAACGCCTCAAAAAGGATGGGCAATGCGTTGGAGAGAGAAGTGAACTTGAAAGCGGTTGAGACTGCCAGCCAATAGGGTGTTCTGAAGGACGTATTTCACCCCCATTTTCGGGATTTAGTAGTAGGATCTTGGTCTTGTCTTTTTCTTTCTTTTCTTGACTTCTCTGGATCCATTTTTCCCTCTCTCTTTCTATTGAATTTGTGGAGGAGTTGGAGTCTTTGGTTAGGGGAAATATTGCATTGCGTTGTGGCAAGAACAGTCCTGAGATAAACCGAGACCGTGGGGCGCAAGTGAACTTCTTGTCCACAATGTTGAGGTCGCCCTACGATATTGTAGCTATCACACCGAAATACATACCTCAATAAGTGGAGTCCATGGGTCGCGGGAATGAGTTTCCACCCAGAAAAGTTGGAATATTCGCTGGTGAGGCTTGGTGCTCTGGAGACACCTAACCCACATACTCTAAATTCGGCCTCACGATGTGTTGTTTGTACCGCCATCTGCAGGCTCATCTTGATGCAGGAACTAGTTTTCGGCCCAATTCACATCTGGACCCTCCACATTTCACCTCGATTGCCACGATGATACGACGCCTCATTGACGAAGCGGGAATGGATTATGGATACCCAAGCTGTCAGACCATCAGGGTATCGCAATCAATAAGGAGAGATGAGCCTATCAAACCGTGATGGGCCACAGAAAGCGATGGGAGCCTCGTTCACCGTGTCCAAATCGGGATGCAGATGCAGCTCAGTAGACACTTTCTATGCTAGAGATGCCCGGAGTGGTTTGGTGCACAAGGGTCATTCTTGGTTGTGCAGGTACGGGGTTCGCACACAATGCTTGCCCAGGTAAAATGACGTTGAGACGATCGCTGACTCACTCATTCCCCGTAGAACAAACATCAGCATGTCCTTCCGTTGGAACGTCGATATTGATCCGGGCCCTTTGTAACCTTTCCCTCATCCGATGACAACATCCATCTTGGCGGTTCACCTCCGTTCCCATCACAACTAACTATCATGTTGGTCACACTTCGATGCAATTTTATGCATATCAGATCCATTTTGGCATTTTGAAGAAAGCGTGTGATCCGGGCGAATGAGTTGACTAAAGTTCGCTGGTTGCAAACCCTTACCCCTCGACGACCGCCTCCTCCCTTCTCTCCTCGCTGTACTTGTTTCGCCATCTTTGATCACATTTTTTCGATTACCCCCTCAACACCCGCCACGATCGATTTGTGTTGCTCGATCGCTTGGGGTCCTGAGGAATTTGCGACTTTGACACTAGTGCGCGACAAGGGGTATACCAGGCTGTGGCAAAGCGAACATATCAGCAATTGCCGCTCCTCCTCGAATCGACGACGACGTGTTGGGGCAAATATGACAGGATACAAACTTCTCGGAAGGATCTGATATACCTTTGGATCTCAAGGAGCAGCTTCACTCGTGAGGTAACCATCCGGCCTCCTTAGCGCGCCTTGATGACCGTATTCTGGACTCGGTCGAGGGTATGCATGGCCTTGGAACAAGAAATCGAAGCATTGGAACTGTCACCGTTCTGGTGTATAGCGACTATTGAGCGTCGTCCTTGAAAGCCGTTCAACGTCGCTAGTATGGGATGATTGGTGACCGTACCGCATACGACGACCCGAACAAAACTCTTTCCGGATGAAATACGAACCCAATGGGAACAGGGTAAGAGTACAGTTCAAATGCAGTCAGTCAATGTCCTTGTGCCATAGACAAAAGCTCAGCCCCGGTTCATGCGTCCATCAAGCGTCTGGTGCACTTTGGATTCAGTGAAGCCTTTTCAGAGCTGAAGTGAGGCCTCTAAGCCATTTTCGTTTTTCGGGATGACTCTTTATTGATATTTAGGTCTGGTAGATGGCAGTGGAATTTGTCAAATTGACCCGTTGATTTTCCAAAGGTCATTGTCTTAATTGACTGAGTTGAGGTGGTCGACGGTTGTTCTTATACATCAACATAGAGTCCACGTCACACGGCAGTCAATGCTGGAGACCCCTAGTAAAAGACAAAAGATAGTATGATCGTTGACGCGTGCCTTGAGGGTTTCCTTGTTGAATCACATTGATTCGCCCTGTTATCAATCTCCCACCGTGTCACGGGATCCATTGGCACCATCGCCAACCTCGTCAATGTGGTCTTTGTCGAGGCCGTCCATGTGCATCGACGGCGAGTCGAGTATCTGATTTGCTCGTGATCTGAGTCAAGCAACATGTTGTTTTTTGACCTTGCAACCGTTGAAGACTTATGTTCAGTTGTTTGTTGGAACAGATCTTATTGTCGCGGGTGCCTGTCATACAATATTTGGTTCTTGGGCCTGAGTTAGGTGTATGGATGGGAATACTGATGCTTCATCTAGAACCACTCCAGTTGGACGGTTCTGATTGCCGTGTTTCTTCGTTAATGGTGAATTCTTGCTGGAGGGATGATGGGTATCGATGTCGACCTTCCTACCACTCATCAAAAACGTGTGTGATCGGGCAATTTTCGTCGTGTTGCTCGTCCATGACCATTTGATGCCAAGCAATGCTGCTGTGGATCATCGCGAGGTATCGAAATTGTTCAATCTACTCGGAGTCAGTCCCTGCACTGCGGTTAATAGGCTGCTTCATCGTGGCCAGCTCAGCGCACGACCAGGTAGTTGCCTTCCGTTGATCTTTCACTAATATAAATCTGTTCAGACCATGGCGGTGATGCAACTGATGATACAAACACGATGTTTCTTTGAGGAAGAACTAGGCCCACAAAGCCTGTTTAGCCTCGAAGCAGGGCCCTAGGTGGCACTCGACTCCTTGGACTCTTCAAGGCAACGCTCCAATGGTTCCCTGCGATGGTCAACGAAGTCGGTGGGTCTAGTCCCAAAGGTGTTTTCCAGCCATTTTTCCTGTCTAGCAGACGACGAATGGCTTCTATGAAAAGATTGAAAAGAATCAGCCGTTTTTTTCGTTGAAGGAAAAAAGGAAAAAAGGAAAAAAGGAAGGAAGAAAAGAAAACAGCGAAAGCCCTACCCTTCACCCTGTGCCGCCAATTGGGTCCACCGGCTATCAAGGAAAATAGTTCCTGGTGAGGTTATTGGGCAATCCACTAGAAGAACAAACACTGCAATAAACGTCAGACTTGCGTTGGACTCTGAAAATTGTCCAGCCAGTAATTCCGACCTCGCGGCTGTGTTTCGCTAATCGATAAACATATTGACAGTGATTTTCAGATGATATCGAAGTTCCTGGGTGTGAGCAATCGATCGCTAGGACACATGTCTGGTCAGGATCCAGGGCTCAGCCTTCAAATACAACCCGATGGTACATGCATACATACGATACATAGTCACACGTGATCCCAGGTACCGGGTATGCTTTCGGTGGCTGATACTAAACAAAACTCCAATTACATTTACAAATCACGATCATTTGCATGTTATGAAGCCTTGTCTAGTGTTGCCGACTTGCCCGTTCATTACATCTAGGCCTTCGCGTTGTAATGATATCGACTGGGTCAGTGACTGCTTGACCTTGACACCATCATCGACCCTATCGATTGGCGAAGTCAGGTTGCTTTCCTCTACACATATTGACCTCGATTCATGTATGCATATGTAAGATACATGCTCCCTGAAAGTCTGGATTGTTCCGTGTAACAAGTGGTGTGGGGATAGTATCCCCTGGTCAGCTAACGTGTCTTCCACGGAGAAACTGAGAGCGAGTCAGTAGTTAGTCATTGCCCAGGTCCCTTGGTTCGATTTACATACATACATGCATAGTCCTATTGACAACTAATATACATACATATATATGTAGTCAATGGTAGACTTGGCGTTGAAGCTGATTCTGATTGAAGGTTTATTGTACCTGACTACAATGTGCTTTCCCTTTTAGGTAATATGCTCGGTATAGGAAAATTGACTCGAAATACAGTATTTTACCTCTGCCTATAACTACATGGTCGTCAAACATCATTCTGCATCAATTGAGCCTGACAAGAACAATCCTACATGTGTCTACATGTGCATTGAGCAAATATACATTGTCCAGTAATCTCGTCCTACCTAGGTAGGCACCAATCACCACAGACCCCGATATTGTTGTCTTCAATAATATCGATATGTGATCTATCAGGGTGCTTCTCCGAATGTCTGTATGCAGACGTCTTCAGCCACACGTTCATACTTTCAACGCGAGTTTGAATAAACCAAGGCCATTAATCAAGTTGATTACAACAAGTGGACTGACTGACCACTACCATTGAAAGCTGCCTAGTTGACAAATTTGGCATGTCGCACGTCTCTCGAAAGTTCTGTTGTTGTGGTTCTGACGGAATCTGTGTCGCGCGCATTCCACACGCGCACCCAAAAATGTCGGCACAGCCAACCCCAAACACAGTCCTCCCTTGCGGGGGCAACTTATGGGCCTGGAGGATTCCTGAAAGACGCGTCAAGTTTTAATAACTAGCCCTGTTTCTTCGATCGGTCGTTAGTCCCCCTGAAACAACTCATCCAACACCCGGCAACCGGCACCACTAACCTAGGTACATATCGGTAACATCAGCAAGAAGGATAACGAGGATCTCTTTAAGCTCAATTCCGCGATGCATTTGCCTACCCTCCTTTTAGGCGTGTCTTTCGCCTCGGCATACGCCCGCCAACAGTTTGGCCCTGGTCCCGAGCGGATGAACTACCTTGCACACGCCGACGGGGGTCAAAACCAGGGCCAGAATGAAGGCCAGAACTACGGTCAGAATCAGGGTCAAAACCAAGGACAGAACAAAGGCCAGAACTACGGTCAGAATCAAGGACAAAACTACGGTCAGAACGAAGGCCAGAACCATGGTCAAAACCAAGGACAGAATGAAGGTCAGAACGAAGGGCAAAACCAAGGCCAGAACGAAGGGCACACCTACAATCAGATCGCGAATCAAATCGGAAATCACAACGGCAACAATGATTACAGTGGCAATATCGACGGGAACTACGGCGGAAACTACGACGACGGCAACTACGACGACGGCAACTATGACGGCAATGGAAGCCACGACGACTATGATGGCTACCAGCAGAACGACGTCCACAATGCTCAAGCCTCAGCACCAGCTCTGGTCCCAAGCCCGGCTTCATCGCCTCCCGTCCACAGCACCTTTGCGGTTCGCCCTTCCCCAGCTGTCGTGTCCAATGCTCCAATTGCGTCCAGTGCTCGCCCGCAAGTGCAGGCTCCGGCACCTGGTTATTCCTACAACTATCCCAGCCCTGTGGCCCCAAAGCCGCAGATCCACTCCAATGCGCCTGTAGCATCCAGCGCGCCGGCTGCGTATGCTCCGATCTACCAGGCTCCTGCGCCTCAACCATCGGCTTATCAGGCTCCAGTGTATCAAGCTCCGGCTCAAGCTCCTCCAGCCCAGGCGCCTCGTCCTCCTGTTGATCAAGCCCCTGCCCAGGCTCCTCGTCCCCAGGCACCAGCAGCTCAACCACCAACCCAAAAGTCCTCTCCCCAAGCCCCTGCCCCTCAAGCACCCCCTGCTCAAAAACCTCACATTGAGGAATCAAACGGATGGGATATGCCAAATCAACAACAAGCCTCTGCCCCCAAGCCAAAGCCTGAGCCCAAGCCTGCTCCTGCTCCCGTACCAGCACCAGCACCGGCCCAAGAACCCAGTCAAGCCCAAACTCAACCCGACTCCCATGGCCCCGTGGATGACTCATACGGCCATAACTCCAACTCTAATGAGGACGCGCCTCCTGTCGGCCCGGCCGACTCGGTCCCTGACTCGGTGCCTGCGGGAGCCTCCGGTGGCATCGCACCCATTGATCCCCTCCAGCCCGGCAGTAATCTTGCGCCTGCGCTCCCTAACAAGCCGCAACACGGGAAGGATGAAGGAAATACATTCTGTATGGGCAGATGCTACACTGACCCCGATGACGCGAAGTGCGAAAAGCCTTACGTGAGTTTTTTTTTTTTCCTTCTTCTCGGCTTTGATCTACCCCTTCTGAGTATATGCTGACGCGTTTCTAGTCTGAGCCTGTCTTCAAGTCGTCCAAGGGATGCTACATGTGCTGCTTTACTTCTGGGGACTTCTAAGGTGTAGTTGGTTGGTTCGATTTGATGGGTCCATTGATAGTGAAGTTGGAACAGAGTGGATTGTCTATCCAAAGACGCAGAATTTAATTAGTTAGTTCAATGCTCTTGGAATGTTCTTCATGTTTTGTTCAAAGAGACTTGGGAGAATGCAGAACTCCGGCTCTTATTTTTGAAACTCCGATTCTTCGTTCAATTCTCACTTCGTTTATGCTTCTTTGCAGTCATTTATTTCTTCCTTTTGAATCTTTCAAACTCGACTAGAGAAAGTTTATAGTTATTGTATGCGGGGGGTCTTCGATCATATATGGATGCATTATGGATCTTAGCCCTAACCCCGTGGGGAACAATATAACGATGAAAGATCTGACTATGGTCCCCACAAACAATGGAGACTTGAATCGAGAATTTAAACTATAAGCACTACCCGAGTAGTGTGATCGGGTGAAAGGATATTAATTACAGAGATCAGACAGCAAGGACACAAGGATAGTCCAAAAGGTTCATTTGATCTAGATAGATATCGCATTAAGAAAATCTATATTTGCTCTCGAGAAGATAGGGAATAAAAAGTAAAGAGAGCAAATTTTCCATCATAATCTCATTTTCCTCGCTGATAAATTGTAGCTCGCTCAGGCCCATGAAATGAAATAATCCAAAAGAATCGAAGAAAGAGAGAGAGAAATACGCGAAGACAAAAGAAACTCAAAACATCAAAGAGAAGGAAATCTCATTGTATCCCATGAGATGTTTTTTCCCCATCTTTTTTTGAACTCAGTTCTTCACGCAAGTCTCGACGGGCCGGCCGCCAATTCCCCGCGCCATACTGATAGGCGCAGAGCGTTTCTCACAGCTATCCCCCCAGACAGCACTGCTGGCAGGGAAGATGGAGCCACTGTCGGAAACATCGACAGGGCCCAGGTCGTCGTTGATGGCGATATGCGGGACAACCAGCTCGACACCCTTGGTCATGCTCGTGCCCGAGAAGTACGGGTTATGACGAGGAGGCAGCGGGCGGGCCTCGTACATGCTGCCGAGGTAGTCGGAGGCCGTGCTGCTGACGGACGAGGCCACGGATGGCGTGTGGGTCAGCGAGGGCACGTGGTTGGCACCGCCGGCCAGGGCGGGCAGACTGGACGAGCTGCGGTGGACGGTGGACCGCATTGGCTCGCCGCCGTGGAACTGCGAGAGGTAGTTCCAGGCGTCGGAGGATGACAGCGACGAGGTGCTCCGCAGTAACACGGGCTTCCACTCGGTGGGGTCAAGATCTGACTTGCCCTCGTGGGTGTGGCTGGGTTTCGTGGCGAAGGGCACACGAGTAGGAGTCATTGGGGCCACAATGGTGCGTGGAGAGAGGAGGAGGTGATGCTGGGGGAGATGTGGACATGGTGGACATTGAAGGAAGAGATGCTGAGAGAGGTTTGCAGGAGTCCTTGCGGCGACAGCTATAAAAGATAGAATTAGTATATGGATGATAAGCTTATCGTAAGCCCCAAAAATAACTCTTGGCGGAGGCAAACAAAGGGGATTGGAAGGGAATTGGAAACAGGAAAGAAGTATAGTGCTATATATAGACCGTGTGTGTGTGTTTTCTTTTGCCACATACCTTTCGCTACAATATAACAGAGAGTTGTTGGGAGTGGTAATCTGGTTTTCGCACATGGCACTGGAATCAAGTCAGCTTTTATGTTTTAGAAAAGACCGGTGTGAACGGGAACACAGGTGACGGCAGCAGGCATGTGAAGGATTTGCCAGGATGTCATAGATAAGAGGCTAGGGCTGAATCACATACCAAAAGTTGAGAAAACTGGCCATATCAAAGTCCCCGTCGTCAGTTGGCTTCGTTCCACGGTCTCGTCCTGCGCCCAGTTTGGAGATAGAGACACTGGCACTTGACGTTCCTCGACGATGTAAGACTGGACGAGTCGCCTTGGGTTTTGTATAAGGTGTCGAAGGAGAACGGCGGTGGGAGGGAATTGTTTGAGTCATAGCGGTGAGGATTGGCTTCTTTCAAATGCCTCTCTCTTAGTGTCTTATCGGGGTACCTTGCGCCGAGCACAGAGTGTGGAGTCTTTTTTTTTCTCGAATAATATTATTTTTCCCCCTTAGGGAGCACAGACTTGAGGGATATAATCAAGTTGTGATTTAGATCCGGAAATTGAACCGGGCCGGTGCAGGGTGTGTGAATTGTTTTGCCGCAAAGGTTGGAATAGAATCACCGAAGTATGGCAGGACGAAGTATGTAAATCCGAAAGGGAGAAATGCTGATAAGGTTAGAAAAAGGGTCTTTTAAACATATTATCAGGCAAGTGGTAAGATGATCATAGTCCACTATACATATGTATATGATAAAACATATATGTATAATGTATCATGTAATGATAAACAGGATAACATGGATGATTCCGAAATATCCCATTTGTTATCATTTCGTTGTGAGTGGGGGAAGATAAGGAAACTAAGACAAAAAAGGGTAAAGGAATTTGACATACCTTGTTCGATCATATACGGTTTGGAATTGACTGGAATTGGGGAGAGAGTGTAGATTGGAGAGTCAAGAAGAAAACAAAAAGCATGGTGACACGGGGGATCAATGATTGAAATATAAGAAAAAAAAGGAAAAGAGGGTGTGGAGGGGAGGAAAAGGTGTGGATGAACGTGCTGTTGCGGTAGGATGAGACGATCACATCTAGACTCGGGGAGGGGTGGAGGGTACCTTGGAAGTTCCTTCTCGGTAGCCGTGATACAAGAATCAACATAAAGGTACTTCTGAGGTACTTGGCCCCACCGAGACACGCAATTGTCCACTGAGTCACTGTGACATTTTCCTTTTCTTTTCTTTCTTTCTTTTCTTTTTTCTATAAATAATACATACGTAGGAACGTCCTGTCGATGGATCATTGGATGTTTGTGAATGTCTAGACCGTGAATTGACTCTGAATTGTTCATTTTCTACATCTGTATGTATATGGTATGTATCTTCGATCATATCCCGGACCTCTTCATGAAACGCACGGATTGCGTGGGACTTCCAACTTGCTTCTTGCAGATGAGGTGCAGTAGCGTAGGGAGCATATCTCCGGTCAGATCTGGCGTGATTGACCCATATCTCTAGGGGTTTCTTTCTTTCTTTCTTCCCATATAAAGCATGCCCTGGCATAGTGCATTACCGTGATGAGGAAATCAGAGTCAAAATGACACCATTATACCATAAAATACTGGCTCTACACAAAAGAATTGCCCAAGTGACGATCGGAGGGTAGAATTATGTCTAATCAGAGATTGCGATAATGGAATAACCAATTCGGCAGCGGCGACAAACCCGAAAATGAATCGGAAATCTAGAATGCCGCCAACCCAGACACGTAGTCGATCAGCAGAAGATACGTACAATCGACGGACGTCCTACGGAGTAGGTGGGAACACCCAAAGTCGTCACAGGTTCTAGCCAAATACTAATCGTCGATCTTCCGAATTGTTTCATCTTGGGGAAAACTGGGGCTATTGTTCTAGTCTTCCTGTTGTTGACAAATAATCTACGTCAGAAGATGTCTTTCCCTTTTGGTTGGTGGTGAGATCCACCAGAAATGTCTTCAACTTGTCTTGACATGTCTTCCCTAAATAATTAAATGGGGTTATGGCGGAGATGAAACCGTGGAATCATCCAATGAGGGTATACAATTTCACAGGCCGAACCTGACATCTTTAATTGTTGGGGCCTAATGAAGATATCTGTCAACATAGACGTAATCAAACCACAAAAATAAAAATAAAAATTGGAAAATTGGAAACGAAAGGGACAAAGTCGATGATTCGCCTGTGGAGAAAGTGACGTTTGGCAATGGTCTCGATTCTCGGGTATCTACTATTATAATACTATATCACTATATCATACAAAACACACAAATAATGGCTCATACTTTATCAACCTCCATAGGATCCCTGGACTCCCCTGAATGTGCTGCTGGAGGCGCTGGAGGCGCTGGTTGAGGCGCTGTAGTAACCGGAGTGGGGGTAGAGGGAACCTCGCTATTGGCAGCCTTGGTCTCCTTCCCTGTAATCGATTCGGCCAGATCATGCACCGGATATCGAGTCCCTAGGCCCTGCTTACTAGCATATGAAAATCGCTCGGGAACTCCACGGGCAGCCTCGGCCGGCCCGACGAAACATCCAAGCATCGCGCTCCAGATGTATCCTTCTGTGAGCATCCGCCGGATTTGCCCATAGGCGTAGGAATTAGCATAGGGTAGACCAGTCCCTGGATCGCGGTATCGCGATGGCAGGGAAGTGATGACGCAAAGCGATGACGAGATTTTGGTTAGCCGAGCGGGCTTTTTGGCATTGAAGTACATGCTGTATTTCGATTTTTGTGCCGTTGCATAGTCAAAGTTTTCCAGAATCGTGAGAGTGCGTCCCGTGTGCTCGATTACTGGAGGCCCTTCTGGTACTTCTGGCGGTGCTAGTCCCTCCATCTTCACATTCGCTGATGGCGGTTGGAGCTGTACAATCTGTGACGTGGACGGTTGGTTTAGGCTCGGAGAGAGGGCGCTTTCGGGCACCGTGGCTTGAGCAGGTGTTGCAGCGGCCGATGCAGTGGGAGGGGCCAGTGCCACTGCAGGATCGATAGACGTGACCTTTTCAACAGGCTGAGATTCGCTCGACGATGTTGGAAGTGCAGTCGGCCCAACATCATGTGGGGTAGTGGGTTCTGCCACAGTAGGTTGGGCATCGGTCACATCTGGTGTGGCCAAAGTTGATTTATCTGTCGATTCTTGAACTCCTGGCCCGTCCGTTGCAGCCGCTGCAGCCGCTGGAGGTTGGTCGATATCCATAGCACCGTCGTTTTGGATTGAACCCGACGCGGGCAAATTTGGAGAAGAGCCATTGCTAGATTGTGATAGTTGGCGAGACACTTTGACCTCCACTGCGAATGATTGGCGTCTTGTTGTTGTCGCTGTTGGTGGCTCCGGAATTGGATTTTCTGCGGGAGCCTTATCTTGTGCGGGGGGCGGTCCTGATGCATCATTGTGTGCGGGGGGTCCCGTCTCTACATCACTGCCCTTTTCCTGGTCGGGACATGGTGCCGTCACGGTTGTGTTAGTTGCTGGGGATTTTGCATTTGGTTCACTAGCATCCACCTCGGCAGAGGATACAGGAACATCGACCGTACCATCAAGAGTCCCTTGAGCCGAGGTCGAAGTGTTGTCAAGGGAAGGCTTTTCCTCAGATGTCTTTTGGTCCCATACAAGAGTGGAACCAGATGGCGCTATCGTTCCAGGGGTGGTGGCAGCCTCGACCGCAATGGGGGTGGGGGGTTGATGTGGTGTGGTTGTGACAGTGGCAGTGGTCGATCCAGGGACAGGAGTCGGTCCAACAACAGGAGCAGGTGCCAATGCCTGTAGATCTGCAACAGTTTTCTCTTTGTCTTCCTTCTCCTTCTTCTTTTTCCGTGCCTCTTCCTTGTCTGGTTTTGGTTTGACGTCGATTTTGCCTACTCGCGTGAGGCGTCCATTGGTCCAGGTAGCCACACCACTCCAGTAGGATATCACGGGACCGTCGAGACGGCGATTCTGTAGTTCTTCGATCCTGGCTCGTCTTTCGTCTGCCTTTCTTTTCTCTGAAAGTTCCCAGCGATTCAAACTCTTGCTGTTGAGCCGTTCGATTCGTGCGGCTTCCACAAGATGATCTTCCTGCGTCATTTCCTTCGGCTTCAGATGTGCCTTCCGTTTCTCTGCCTCCTTCATTGTAGCGATAATGCGGACTCGTTTCTCCTGACTGTCCTTCAACCGAGCATGCGTGAGCTCCTTGTTGACCATCGTTTGTCGACGGGAGGACTGACGAGTCGGTCCGTCTTCCACCGTAGGAATCCAGGAAATGCGCTCCGACTTCTTCTTCGGACGCGGGGCGGGGGCCATGGCGGATACGGCGGTCGGGTCAATTTTGACTCGTTTGCGTAAAGTTTGGAACCTGAGATCATTCTGTGTTTTGCGCTTCTTGCGCTCGTCTTTTTGTAGTTGCTGTTCGCCTTCGTAGTCATTCTGCGCGTTCGGTCCCTGATCATCCTCATCATCCTCCGAGGATTCGAGAGCCACATCCTCCTCCGCGTCTGGGTCAACAACATCCGCAAACTCATTATCATCTTCGACTTCCTCAAACAGGAGAGCTAGGTCGTCATCGGCAGCAGCTTCGAGGAGGGCAGACATGTGGAGTCCGGCGGTGCTTCGCTTTGCGCGCCCTTTGACCAAGGACTCCACAGGAACTTCATCCTGCTCCTCTTCCGCCGAAGACTGGATCCCAGATGATGGATCATCTATAACGTCGGTCATGGTGTTGGTCATGTTGTTGGTAACGCGGCTCAAATTGATCGATTAAGCATTTGACGCGAGAGGACGCGGCGCGCGACAGACTTTTCAAATCAAAATGCAATAGCTATTGAAGGTCCAGCTGTCACGTCCAGAATTGGGAAGGCTAGCACACAGCTAAATATAAGTTGATTCAGTGGAATGGAGACTTCAGGGCTGTGGGTTGTTAAAGGAAAGCTGTGGCTGTGAACCTCTGAGAGGAGTGGCGCGTGGAATAAATGTTGATGCCTCAGGCAGAAGTAATTTCAACCAATTATCGTTCTGAACGTGTTTACAATATTGATTCTCTTTGGAGTAACGACACCAGATCTCACACATCCTTTTTTTCGATGACCAAGTGAATACAACTACTTATTGTTGGATTTACCATTGGGCATTGAGATTGATTGAGAGTCCTTAATCCGACCCTAGGCCCTACAGTTACGAATCCACGAATCTCCCGGTTCGTCCGTGCCGAATTGTCCCTGGAAGCTTGGCGGACTTGGAGATCTAGAATGACGATGGTTCCTCTCAAGATCGAGAGACATGTCTGATAGGGTTTGCCTCAGAATCAGGAAAGACTGATGTATCAACATTCAAATTGATGTCCATGGATTGAAGAACAAGGACATGGACGCGTACCCATCCCTTGCGCATCTCCAAACACCAGTTTCATTTTTTTAAATCAACTCAATCCCCTTACGTTACTGATTGCATCATGGTTCCTGAGTGAGATCTCTAAATATCTCGGTATATGATTTCTGCCTGTTCATCTCCAGCATGGTTCTCAAACATTTTGAAAGCATGACGCACCGGGAATGCGGGGCTTTTTTTCTTCTTTCTCTTCTGTTCCACTACTCCGTACCATATCGTGCTCTTTTCCAACATATCAGGGACGAAAAAGGCTTCAATCTGAACACCTTGAAGGCAAACCAGGATTCAAGGAAATTTGTAGCTTAGGATGACTCAAAAGTGTAGGTAACTAATTGGCAAATCAAACAAGTTCTAAACAATTCCGTAGTTATACTATCTACAACATGTCCAATATCTACCCTGTCTACTCCGTACAATATCTACAATGTACTGCAAAATAAAAGATGGGTTATACAGTTAGATCTCAATGATCAATAATCAACAATCAACAATCCTAAATCCAATTGCAAAAAAAAAGAGTAGAATCAACACTTGAATTGTGGATGAAGCTGAAGAGGGCCATCTCCACCAACCACAGCCATCTTCCTCGGGCATCCGGCCAGCTCCCCAACATCTTCTCTTTCTCTCTCCCTCTCTCTCTCTCCTCCTTCTATTCCTCCTTCATCCTCCCTTGACTTCTTTTTCACCTCTCTTTTTCCTTTCTTTGGTTTGTTGCTTGCATTACTAGGGTGAATCCAACTTTGGGTGTGTGTTGACCTTGTTGACTTTGTGTTTTCAAAAACTAATTTCATCCAGCCACAATCCCTTAGGTTGATCATTCCATCTATTTCACTTTTTATTTCTTACTTAACGCACTTGGTGCTCGACTTATCCTGCATTTACCTTGTTTCTTTGAGCCTTTGACGAATCTCTGTCATAGAAAGGATCGCTTTTTGTTTTTCCTTCAACTCGATCGCTTTGGGCCACCCGCAGATTGTCGTACACGAGACACACGGTGAGATTTATCCTCAAAGAGCCTCGAGTTTGGGATTTGCATTAGGAAACATTCCGTCCTGGTACGAAAACCCTCCTGTTTCATGTCGACTTTGTGGAAGCGTTTTGTCAACCCCTCTCTCTGTCTCTCTTGCTCACTGCGACTTGCCCCCCGGTCATGGAACATCTTATTTTGAACTCTTCAACTAATTCCGCTTTTCATCATTAGAGTGCGCCTCACATTCTGCTCACCTTGCTCTCATTGCATCTCCGCCTTCATTCTATGCCCACCCATCATTGAACGACCATCGTCACATTTCAGTCCACCTTAGTTCTTGCTATTCGCGCAGAGGTCATAGATTGGACGGAATTCAGGAACTGCCTTACTGAAGGCTGAAATCGATAATTCATAATGCTACCCGTTTCAAGACCGGAGGGACAGATGAATTTTAACTACGTTCCAACCACTCAGCCCATGTCAGGTACCTCGACAGGGCGCAGCTCTCCAAGTGACCCGGGGGCTGGAACTTCAAGAATGCCATTTGGTCCTTCTCCGGGTTCTATTGGTAGTTCGAGGCCGGGGGCTGGCTCCCCTTCCCACGACTTGGGATCGCGTCTGTACTCCAAGCGGTAGGTTGCTTCAAGCAAAATCCAAACTGCGACACGCCTGACATATTTAAATCTAGAGCTCGCGAAATTCAAGCGCAAGAAGGTGTATCTCCTAGCATTTGGGGCCCTCCCACAAGCGGCCATTCAACCCCGCTTCGCGAGAACATCCCCGAATCGCCAAGCCAGGACAGCTTCCCCGATCTAATCCCTACCACCAATGGTTCTATTGGTAGCCCCGGCCGCCGAGCTCGCGCTGGAACAGTACCATCTCGCTTTCCCCCGATGGGCACACTAAATGAGATGGATATGCAGTCGTCCTTCGTATCGCAGACCTCTCGACCTTCGCCCTCAACGAGTCCGTTCAGGCCCCCTGGCGTTTCGGGAATGGACACAAGTTCCAATATTGCGAGCTCGGTTGCGCCCGCCCCGGCATCGCTATCACGCCTTCGAGCTGGCTCGATGCCACAGAGAAGCAACTTCTTAGGAGGAGGCGGTCCCTTCGGTCCATCACTGTTTTCAACCAACTGGTCGACAGGTCGTGAAAGGGCTACCACTTTGACTAGTATCCGGTCTTCGGAAGGGCCAACTTCGCCAAGCCACTCATCATACTCGAGGGATGGTCTTGCAGACACGGATGTCAAGACACTGGACTATCTGGGGCTTGCGGAGACTCCTCAACAGGCGAGGGCATCTCTTGCACGTTCCTCAATGGAACAGTTGATGCAGCAACAGCAACAACAACAAGCTTCTGCGCTGCCGCCACTGTTGGCTGAGCTGGCGATGATGAAAAGCAACAACAATCGCTTCCGCTCATACTCAGTCAACGCTAAGGAGAAGTACGCGGACGACGAGGATCTTGAATATGAGAACCGTTACTCTCAACTTCCCTCGGGCACCATGACCCCATCCGCTGCTGCCACTGCCGCCCAACTAGCTGCCACACAGGCCCAAATCCACCAGCACAACCTTGCTGTTCAGGCTTTTGCCAGCCATGCCTCCGTTAGCAGACCTCGAGCACGGACTGCTGGCATACTGGAAGCTCCACCTCAGCGATCGTCCATTCGCAACTACCTTGCAACTCCTTCTCGTCTCGACAACAGCTTCAGTGCCGCTGACTTGCAGATCCCAGAGAATGGTGAATATGACGAATTGTCTGAGGCGGTTCAGCTGATGCATCTCGGCGGTGGTGGCATGCCCGCTTCGGGGGGTCGTCAGATCGGTGAGATGTCAGACGAGAACAACCAGGATGGGCCAACTCGGGCATTGTGGATTGGTAGTATTCCTGTTTCTACGACTGTCACATCGTTGGAGGCCATCTTTGGCATATATGGAAAGATCGAGTCAACCCGTGTGCTTACCCACAAGAACTGCGGCTTCGTAAACTTCGATCGTCTCGACAGCGCCGTGCAAGCCAAGTCGCTGCTCAATGGCAAGGAAATCTTCCCCGGCGCCGGTCCCGTCAGAATTGGTTATGCCAAGGTTCCTGGCGCGTCGGCAACCGGTACTCCCGGTGCTAATGGAATCCAGTCATCCCCGACTCCCGATTCAAACTTCAGATCAAACCTTACCACGGGAGATGGTTCAAATCAAGCGGAAAATTTCCACGCTATCCCCCAAATCCCGGCTTTGGCTGATCTGTTACCCGAGATGGTGCAGATTGTGCAAGAGTTTGGCGCTAGCGAAAGTGATGTTCAGAACATCACGGCAAGCATCCAGACTTCCATCGCGTTCCAAGCCTTCGAGGATGAGATCCCCTCAGTTCAGGACCCAAGCCAGTCCCGCATGTTCGATGCGCCTCGTCTCCGTGACATTCGCAAGCGCATTGACAATGGCGCATGCTCGATTCAAGAGATTGAGGAAACTGCCGAGGCCATGCTTCCTGAGATTGCGGAGCTAGCTTCGGATTACTTGGGCAACACCGTGGTTCAGAAGTTGTTCGAGTTCTGCTCTGAGGCCACCAAGGAGCAGATGCTGACTCACATTTCACCCCATTTGTCCGAAATTGGTGTTCATAAGAATGGAACCTGGGCTGCACAGAAAATTATTGATGTCGCCAAAACTCCTGCACAGATGCAGTTGATTGTTGACGCCCTTCGCCCTTACACTGTGCCTCTTTTCTTGGATCAGTATGGAAACTACGTCTTGCAGTGCTGTCTGCGATTCGCTAGCCCATACAATAACTTCATCTTTGAATCCATGCTCAACCGCATCTGGGAAGTCGCCCAGGGGCGTTTCGGTGCCCGGGCGATGCGAGCTTGTTTAGAAAGCCACCATGCCACCAAGGACCAGCAGCGCATGCTCGCGTCTGCTATCGCTCTTCACAGTGTGCAGTTGGCTACTAACGCAAATGGTGCGCTTTTGCTCACTTGGTTCCTCGATACGTGCACATTCCCTCGCCGCCGAACAGTCCTGGCTCCGAGACTTGTGCCCCACCTTGTTCACCTCTGCACTCACAAGGTTGCCTATTTGACTGTTCTTAAGGTGATCAACCAACGCAACGAGCCGGAGGCTCGTGACACCATCCTGAAAGCATTGTTCTTCAGCCCGGGTGATGAGATTTTGGAGAAGATTCTGAATGATCAGACCTCTGGTGCAACTCTGATCTTCAAGGTTCTGACTACTCCGTTCTTTGACGAGTCTATGCGGGCTGAAGTCGTAAAGAATGTGTCCAAGGTACTTACTAAGCTCAAGGCTTCCCCAAGCCAAGGCTACAAGCGCCTGATGGATGAGGTGGGCCTCTCGTCTCGCAGTAGCGGTCGGGAGCAGCATGGACGCGAGCACGGAGCTGGCACCCCAGAGAAATCCCAACACCGCCAATCCTCTCGGCACGGCAGCACGGGCTATCCCGCCCAGTCATCCATGGACAGGCAGTACAACGGACAATTCGCCCCCAATGCGTATGGTCAAAACCCTGACGCCCGGCCCATCTCCTCCGATCAAGCCAACCCCCCGCCTCTGGATTCCTACTCCAATGCGCTCGGGAACAACCTGAACGGCTTCCCCTTCTCCCAGGAACCCTTGAGCCAACAGCAGTTGCAATATCAAGCCTACCTTGCCTCCCAGGCACGTGGCGTTTCCCCAGGTTACCCGGGAATGCCGGGTGCCAACTATGGATATCCTGCCGGCTCACCTGCAGACAACCTACGATCTCTGCAACCTCAACAGACTGCGCCGCTCACGGCAGGACCCGGCCAGATGAGCCCTAATCCGATGCTCGGCCAAAACAACTATCAGCACTTCGGCCTAGTTAACCCTGCCCAGATGTATCAATATCCCCCACAATATTACCAACAGGCACAGCCGGTGCCGGGGCAGGGTGGAGGTCGACGTGGACGGGTGAGTTCATTCTCCGATCGACCCTAGTCGTCTGACCTCCACTAACAGCCCCGGCAGCGTTGAACTTAACTTGCTGTCTTTTAATTGATCTGCCTTCCACATGTATAAATTTTGATCATCTTTCTTCTTTTCTTCGAAGTATTTCATGGAGACCGGGGTTATCTTATCGTGGCATTCACTGTCCTATCTCTTCGCCCTGATCGGACGCTGGATCGCCGGCAGGGGAGAAATGGACACTGGGGAACGGGGAATGGTGGTGAAAAAGTCTTGTGTCTCCCTGGGGACCTTGTTTTGTATCTTGAAGCGTTTGGAATGACCTTGTATCTTGTGATTTAACGATAGGATTTTTCTCTTCTGTATTGTTTCAAGATCGGGTTGGCTGCCTAGGGGCATAGTGAATCGATGTTGCAAATGTGCACTTTATTTTCTGAATTTTTGGCCAGATCTTGTGAGTAAATGTAAGCCAGTGCACTTGAATTATCAAAACAGCTTCAGTCAATTCATCACTTTTTAATTTATTGGGTTCAATAATGTTCTGGAGACCTTTTTATATATCAAACTATTAGAAGAGTGTTCAAGGCGGAGAGGAAACAGGCGAATTGTACGCTAAAGCCCGTACAATCGCCTTCCCTCCGCAATTATCGAAACAATTTGTCTATGATGATCAAATTTGCAGGTGATCGAGATACTGCAATTCTCTACCAGGAAAGTAATCAAGCTTTCCTGATTGACATTCCACAGTCAATCACCCTGGCGCAAGGGTCAGTCCCTCGACGGTCAGATCTATTGGCTACAAAATCAAGCCCAGGAATAGAAGAGACCAGGAAGAAACGGTGCTTACTTTCATGTGCGCCTCTGAAAGAACCATATCCGTCTACCGAGCCCAAAAAGCCAGCTACCCGAGCCAATGTTCTTGAAACCATTCCTATCTCCGAGAGGCGGTTTCACTCCGAGCTAATATTGCCGCTTGTAAAAGATGCCCTGGAAACATTGAGGGCTGCAGTGTCCAACGATCATTGGTGCTTAGCTCGAGCTGTGCCCCGTGAGGAGGGAAATGACCACAGCTTGCAGGATTCAATTCCACAGAAGAGGCGAAAGGGAACTGATTTTACGCCCTCAAAGCCTATATCTTATGACCTTATCTCGAAATCCAATGAGCCACCAATGATCCTCTCATCTAGCTCGCCGAATGAGTTTGAGTCGCTATCGGAGCTGCATGTCGTGAAGAATCCATCTCACCAGTCAGCGATCATCAAGGTGAAGAACTACGATGACAGTGGGTTAGCCCCTTCTTCATACGAATATATGGTTCCGCCCGAGGCGAGCTTTGTGTTGTGTACCTTGCCACTTTTTGAAACTGAGATAGACCGTTCACCTTCATTGAACCATCCCATCCCTGGTCTGTCTCCGCATCAAAAGTTCAACCTCATTCTTATGGATCCACCATGGCCAAACCGATCCGTGCGGCGGAGTGGTCACTACCAAACACATCATTATTCTGAAATGGAAGTCCTCACTGAAGGCCTCCGAAACATACTTCGGGTACATTCATACTGTGCGGGAGATACAAAACAAGATCCACGCCCAGCTGAGACCCAACCTGAATCTCAGATCCAACACGAGAAGTCTCTAGCTGCTATATGGTTTACCAATGCAGAAAAGTCCCGCAAGGCAGCGTACCAAGCTCTGATAGGTGCTGGATTTCGCATCTGCGAGGAATGGGTCTGGGTCAAGGTCACCAAAGATGGAGAACCTATCTCAGCCCTGGATGGTATCTGGCGAAAACCATACGAGATTCTTGTAATCGGTCGCAAAGATGGAAAAAATTTCAATCATTCAGATGAAGACTATGACAAATGGCCGCCTCAGTTGGATGACTTGACAGCAATAAGCGAGGCTGTCACTACTCGACGGGTTATTGCTGCAGTCCCAGACCTGCATTCTCGCAAACCAAATTTGAAGTCCATCTTTGAGCGGGTCTTTTTCGCCTCCGAGGAGACAGAATCATACTCTGCCCTTGAGGTGTTCGCACGTAATTTGACGGCTGGCTGGTGGGCTGCTGGTAATGAGGTTCTTAAGTTCAATGCCCGTGAGTGCTGGGTTGATCCTGACAAGACAAATCATGGAAATTGCATTCCGGAATAAGCAAGCCCTGTAAACCATAATGAGCAATAGATCGAAGTTGAGGTTGAGTCTCGCCAAGTGTGCTCCTGCAGACTGTATCATATTTGCCAAGACTATCATATCCTTTCAAGGCCGCAATACAATTGACATAACCTACATTACAGATTGTAAGGGACTCCCTTCTTTACTATCGTGGTCCATATCTGCCCCTTCTTTCCAATTAACTATCAGTGCATGACATCTCTGTGAGTTTAAAAAAAAGCATGAGGCCTCATGTACAAGTCGCTCGAGAAATCTGACAAGTCTTAATTACATCTGCAATTAAACTGATCGGGGATCCCCGTTCGCAAGGCCCGGCCCCCAATTGTGATTATTTCCTGGGCGCGGAACGTCTCCGCCGCTGACAAAATATAATTTAAGAATTGCGGTGACTCGCGATTTGAAAAACAAAAGTATTATATATACATATGTAATTGCTGTGTACTTACAATGCTTTCTTTTTGATACCCTAAACGTGGGAAGAATCCACTTGTGTGCAAGCGCCTTAGCCTAGTCCAGCGTCGCAATCACGACTTACAGACTTTTTCGTTTTGAAATCACCAACATTCCTTGCCCCTTTCTCTAACCAGGTCTCGATCTCCTTGACGCAATGGGACAGGACCAAGAGATGAATGGACCAGAGGTCAAGGTGACGGAGGACAACGGCAATGGCGAGCGCCCAAAGTGCTTCAATAGCACGTTCCAAGAGGTGCTGTTCGTCCTGACCGCCACCATGGCCATTGGACAACAGTCATTTTTTCAAGGTTGCATTGTCGGAATTACTGCATCAATCGGGGAGGATTTGAATATGAATTCGGCTGAGATCACCTGGATTAACGCCGGCGCTTCGTACGTGGACCTTCTACTCCTGCCTATACTCCAACCAAAATCTATATATACAGAGTTGCAATCTGTCATTTTTCTCTTTCGCATTTCCAGTTGATATCAAAATGTTGGCAATATATACAAAGAGCGTGGCTAACCACACATCTACAGTCTCACCAGCGGCGCCTTTCTGTTATCCTTTGGTAAACTCGCCGACATGTTTGGTCGCAAAATATTGTTTATCATTGGCATGGCCGGCTTTGCTATTTCACTTCTAATCGCTGGCTTTGCAACGAATGCCATCTACATGGATATATTCTCCGGTATCCTGGGTCTATTTGCCGCGGCCGTTGTTCCACCAGCCGTCGGAGCCCTAGGTGCAACCTATGAGAAGCCCTCAAAGCGCAAGAATCTTGCATTTGCTTGCTTCAGCGCTGGGAATCCACTTGGATTTGTTGGCGGTATGATCATTTCAGGTGTAGCGTCGCATCTCTACAACTGGCGCGCTTCATTTTGGGCGCATGCGGTAGTTTACGCCATCTTTACGGTCTTGACCGTGTGGACTGTACCGGAGGACGGATTTGCCAAAACGCCTGTTGGCATGGAGGCGTTTAAGAAGTTTGATCTTCTAGGGACTGCGTTAATTATTGTTGGGTTTGCGTTCTTTTCAAGCTCGCTCTCGTATGTTCTCACTTTTGCTTCCTATGTTGCCATGCAGATTGCTAACAATCATATAGATTAGCTGGAGATGCAGCGAATGGTTGGAAGACAGGATATGTCCTCGGTCTCTTCATTGTGGGATTTTTCCTACTCGTCGCATTTCTGTATTGGCAGTCTGTTGCAAAACATCCTCTGATGCCTCTTTGGGTCTGGAAAGACCGCACCTTCTCACTTGTTTGTGGCCCCTCTCTTTGAATGATATAGAACGCAACTGACATCTTGCAGCTAATGGGAATATTTTGCCTCGGCTTCATGGGTTTCGCTGCCGTCACCTTTTATCTCTCCCTCTATCTCCAGGAGGTTAAGCACCTGACTGCTCTTGAGATCACTCTCAGGTTGCTTCCCATGGTTGTCAGCGGAGTGCTTGTTAATGTGGTCTGTGGTCTGTTGCTACACCGTGTGAGCAACAAGGTGTTGACTGGTATTGGAGCGCTGGCCTATACAGCTTCCTTCTTGATTCTGAGCTTCATGAAAGAGGACGCTTCATACTGGGCGTTTATCTTCCCAGCACTGGTACTTGTCGTTGTTGGCGCTGATATCCAATTCAATGTCACGAATGTATGTCTACCTTTGCCCGTTCCATCCCCCCAAAACATCGCAAATAAGCTAACCTTAACTAGATGTACGTGATGTCTTCCCTCCCGCCATCACAGCAATCAATTGCAGGCGGTATCTTCAACACCGCCAGCAAGCTCTGCAACAATCTGGGCCTTGGCATCGCTACATCTGTCGAATCCTCCATTGCTAATCGGATGACGGCTTCGACGCCTGCGATTCAACCTTACTTGTCTGTTTATTGGTTTGCGGCGGCAGCAGCGGGTCTGTCTCTGGTCATGGTGCCATTCTTGAACCTTGGTACACAGGGAAACGCTGTACCTGAGAATGATCAAAATGTTCATTTGGTTTTCAATGAGGAGAAAGCTGCTGTGGACATGCCGGTGGCTGATCCTGCCGATCTCCCAATTGCTGGTGTTACGGGATCTGTGGTGTCTCCTGCTTTAGAGATTAAGGAGACTGAAAAGAGATAGGTTGATGGCCGATTTTTGAGATCCTTTGGAGTTAAATTGTGAACATGGAAGAAAAACGAATCATCCAGAGGATATATATATATATAAACACAGATCATCATAGAGGCTCCGCTATGTTTAATATAACACAACTGGTTGTCTGGACAAGGCTATCAGTTCAGACGTGGTCTCATTCATCGTTAAAGTAAAGTAATACCTGAGGCACCACCGGAATTTAAACATACATATCTATGCTCAGACCAAATGCAAAACGCCACCCACGACTACACATGTAGATACTAGAAAGGTAGCGGCCAGAGCTCAAGTTCAATCAAACAAAGGCCCCAGACTGACCAGACTAAACCGCAAGTCCGGATTTCCACCCTGCGCCTCGATTTTCAGGAATCTCCTCACGCCAAGCTCAAGCGCAGCCTCACTGAGAGCATCTTCACTATCCTTCAGGGTTCCCCTGGCCAAAGGCCCCTTGCGCCGACCGTCCAACTCCCAGAGTGTCCCATCCACCCCCCGAACGAAAGCAACAAAATGCAAATCAACGTTATCCTCCGCCTCGGGTGCAGCGGTGTCTCCCAACTTGGCGGCATCAGCATGTGCACTCTCAAGTGCCTTGCTTTCATATAGCAAATCAGCCCGCTGGATGGGCTCCAGGCCCTCAGCTTCTTTAAGCAAAGTATCCAGATCTGATCCTGGGATGACGTGTTGACGTGACTCGCCATTTGACACGGCATGCAAAAGCCCAATCAGGCCGCAGGCATTGCGAATTGTTTGCTTGAACCACATTACCGGTTCGTTGGGGCCAGACCCTGTGTAGGGAGCTTTAGTAGCATCTTCGTTTTCACGTGATGCTTCATAGGTTTTGGAAACGGGGAAGACGAGAAGGAGGGCATGAGAAGGGCGCGGGACGAAGGCTAAGAGTTCGGGTTCATCGATTGAGAACACATCTGTAAACCCTAGAGTTGGTGGCAGTCCGAGTTGATGCACCAGGTGTGACATCACCTCGGGGTTGTTTTCTATTAATGTTAGTTGGAGTTTGTTGATGCGGGGAGGAACGTACCGAGAGGCACAAAGGCCTTTTGGGTATTTGGGACATCTACATCCGCCATCTTCGTGTTTTATAGGTGAAGTATGTGCTAAGTGAAGATTTGAGGAGTTGAAGGTGTTGGGGGTGGAATTGCGGGGTGTTGTCTCCAACTCGTCTGATTAAGCGGAGTCCACGACCTCGGGAGTTTTTGCGTCTACAAGTACGTAATTGTATGAGACAACTAGCAGTTACATTGAAAGATAGATGTTCAGATGTCTTTATACAATTTATTAATGAGACAAACTCCTGCTCCACCCCGTTATTGCCGAGATTCGCTTCTGCATCAGTGATTGGAAGGATTCGATGGAGACCAGATCAGGGATCAACAACGAACAACATACAATAGTTATATTTCCACGGCGTACTAATTGACCGGAGATATCGTAGATAGCGGAATTTGGCGAACTTGTTTCTAGTGCGAGTATTGACGGAAAAGTCCATATAGGATTACTTCTCTCGATGGTGGCTGCGTTACGAATAATCTTGAAGCTTTCCATAAAATTCTCACGACAAACAGTGAAGAAACCCTGACCTGATTTCATCCACCATGCCTCCAATCACAGGTCCTAACATACTGGTCATTGGCGGCTCGTCCGGGATTGGAGCAGCGATAGCTAAGCTGGCCGCCGCCGAGGCGGACGTTCACGTCTCGATTACCTCGTCCAATCTCGCCCGTGTGGAAAAGACTGTCCAAAGGATCACAACGGCCGTGCCAGATGCCCAGATCAAGGGCTATACAGTTGATGTCGGTGGGGATGACATCGAGTCTCGCCTAGAGAAACTATTAGAGGAGGTGACGGCAACAACGGGCCGTCCCCTCGACCACTTCGTCTATACCGCCGTCAAACTCGAGTTTAGATTTCTCCACGACGTGACCGTTGACTTTCTGCGCGGTGATGCGCAATTCTTGGTCTTCGTGCCGCTTCTTATCGCCAAAATTGCCCCGCCCTTCATGACCAAAAGCTACCGATCGTCCATCACGTTCACCAGTGGTCGCATTGCAGAGAAACCCATGAAAGGAGCGGCGGTGCTGGCGAGCTGGGGCGCAGCCTTGTTTGATATTACGCGCACCCTTGCGCTCGACTTGGCCCCCAGTCGGGTCAATCTTGTTAGTCCCGGAACGACAGATACGGAGCTCCAAGGCCCCGAGGAGCAGCGCGAAAAGAAGATGGCGGCCGCTGCGGAGAGGGCACTCTTGGGCAAAGTGGGAACACCCGAGGTGGCCGAGGCGTATATTTACCTGATAAAGGACTGGAATAACACGGGCACTCATGTAAGCACCAGCGGGGGGATTTGGTCCAGTAGAGTAGGTCATTAGGATGGTTGCACCGGAGGCTTCCAATAGGCAGCTCCTCATCTCTTATCTCTCTGTGGCCTTGAAATTTAGGCTAAAAGGAATATAAAGCTCTGTTTGCATAATTTGCATAATTCATATGGCGAATGACACAAGATATGCAAAGCGTCATTGACATCTTGCAACCCTTGAGGTCAATTTTTTACAAATTCAATCTCTGGTTTCATTAGACTCTGGCCAAATTTTAGGCCAATCGATCGAGAAAGACTCCTCTACTCCAGACCCGATTGTGTGAAAAAAGGAGGTTTGAAATCACCGAGGCAAGACCGGTGAGAAATTCAAACCCCCAGTGGCGCCAAACAAAGGGAGGTATACATACTGTTTCCAGGAATCGGTATCCTGAGCACCGGGATCGTCACGTTCTTTGCTCAAAACGTGTACAATTCCTTTCAGTAATCTTGGATGACTCCATAATCGCCACCAAGTGAGTGACCAGATGTTCCACAGCTGCTCCATTTTCGGGCTCCATCGCCGACGGTGGATCAAGGTCAAACGAAGCTAGACCTAACGTACGCACTAGCACTTGCAAGAACCCCTGTTGACTCGCTGCTAGCGCGGAAGTTACAGTACATTGGGGTCAACACCGAAAATCTAGTCGAATGTTGCAAAAGTCTATTCTCGCGCGGGCCAATTCCACTGCACCCAGACACCTGTCACCTCGCGACACAGATACATCTCCACCTGTCATTTCGGCAGCTACAAATAAATGAGATGTCGTTCGGCGATTCCACATTATTGACGCATACTATCACTCATTATTTGCTACCACTCGGACGGCAATCAAACCCCGGCTCCAGTCTCCATTGTAAGGACTTAACCCAAGAGGACCCCTGCGGTCGATCGCCTCGTGGCCGGCCTAGTTCCGTATCATCCGTGAGACTAAAAACGCCGTCCTAGGCCCAAACTGGAATATTCTTATTTCTTGCCCCCCCCTAATTTATTTAAGATTTCTGCAAGAATTTCTGCAGACCCGACAGGGGTTGTCTTTATTAAAAATCCTTCCTACCCACACATGAGACCGGCCGGCATGACAATCATTTACCGGTGATATGCTCGATAATATGAGTGAAGAACATCACAGGAAGACTGCGGTGCAAACCGTGGCCGCGGTCTTCTTGCCAATTGCTACTATCACTGTTATGTTGCGCATATATGTGCGTGGATGGATTGTCAAGGCTTTTGGATGGGATGATGGGATGATGGTGGTTGCATTAGTATGTGGAATCCTGAATCTTTCGATCTAAATCAATTGATCCTTCGGCCCCCGCCGAGCCTGCACTGTGGAGTTAAGTTCGAATTCTAATTACTTTAATTATGACAGCTGTTTTACGCCATGTTCTGTGGATGTATGATCGGAGGAACAAGATATGGCACAGGATACAAGTTCGAACACCTCGAACCCATCAATGCTGTCATTGCCATGAAGTACTGGTGGCTTTGCGAGATTGCCTACTGCTTCGCTTCTATCGGATGCAAAATCTCTGTTTGCATTTTCTTGATGCGCATCACTATCAGACCCCTTCACATCTGGGCTCTGTACACTGTCATGGTCTTGACCGTCCTTGCTGGATTGGTCTTCATGTTCCTGATGCTCCTACAGTGTCATCCATTGAAATTCTTCTGGACACGGACGATGGTTCCTCAGCCCGAGGGCTCCTGTATTGATATCAGTATAATCATCAGCATGACATACGTGTACAGCGCATTCGCCGCATTGTGTGATTTCACCGTCGGCATCTTGCCCATCTTTCTCGTGCACAAGTTGCACATGAAGCGCCAAACCAAAATTGCCGTAATGGGCATTTTGAGCATGGCCTGCGTGTACGCCTTCCTTTCCCTGTTTTCAGCTGTTTCGGGCGACTGACAAACCTCTCTAGTGCTTCATCGGCGGTCATCGTCCGCATTCCTTTTGTCAGAACCTTCGCTGACGATGATTTCCTTTGTATGTCCGACCCAACCTCTCCGATCAAACCGCAAGGCTGGACCCGAAAGACTAACATTTCCTGCAGACGCGACCATTGAGATCGCCATATGGTCCAACATCGAAGCCGGCCTGGGAATCACAGCCGGCAGTCTCGCAACTCTACGACCTCTCCTTCGCGTCATCTTGGGCTCCCACACTGACCCAGAATACTCATCTGGATTTCCCGGTGCGCGATCACGGAGTGCATCGCGCCAGCTGGGTGGAAACAATGGCCAGTACCCACTCGGCTCAATAGACGACAATGTTCAGTCTCGGCTGAGACCGGATAAGCTTGCTGTCACTGTGACGACGATTAAAAGCCAGCGAGATGTTGACACATACGGTGGGCCGTCTAGTCCGAGTAGCAGTGAGGAGAGGTTGACCTTTGACCGCTATCTGCCAAATGTACAGGGTGACATGGGGCTGGGCATTCATCGGACGTTGGAGGTCACGCAGACTACAACAGATACACATGAGAATGAGCGCAGGATTGCGAAGGAACATGTGTAATTGACTTATGGACATGACCCAAAACTGTACATCATCTCTTCTATTGTTAATAATTACTTTTGATACGCTTTTTTGTGCAGAAGGACGGAGTTGAATATGATGGAGAACAAGCTCAACCCGGGGGAATATTATATCATAGTGGATATGCACTTGTTAGCATAGGGCAGATCATAGACCAAGCCAATCTTAGCTTGATCAAAGATCATCCAAAAACGACTAGTAGTATAATCTATCTCGGATTTATCCACTGGTCGATGCCTATTTTTAGACCAATTAATTGTTTAAGGCTTGTCGATTTTAAAACCGAATGTATCAAACAGGACATACCAGTCAATTTCACCAAGCTCATTCTTAAACGTCATGCTAGTTAGTTACTTGATAGTCGACGAAGGTAGTGAAAGGATAACACATTAGATTTGTGATATTGTGTTCAGTCGATACTAAATATAACTGTCATACAATTCAATCGAATTTAGTGTTGGTAGATAGTTCATCCGCTCTATTTAACGAACAGACTGCGTTTTCTGCTTTAAAGGCAAAAAGACATCCGTCCAGAGCTCACTCGCTTCACCCAAATAGTATGCCAAATCAACATCTGCCAAACTGGCATTCTCATCACCAGCCATAGTCTCAAGCTGCGAGATCAAGTTCTCTAGTCCAAATGCTTTACCCGTTGCCTGTGTAGCACCAGCTTCAAGCATCACATTCACCACGTGAATGTGGAAATGGTAGTAAGTCGGTTGGTCTAGTACATATAACGAGTCAGCAAACCAATCTGGTTTCATCTCAATCCTTCTCCGGGATATCAAAACCTACAATGAACATAAAGCTTCAACTGATCTTCCTCCAAACCCGAATACATAGAGACTGTGGCCTCTAGCACGCGCTTTCGCAGGTACTTCAACCAAGGCACATGGCTCTTCTTCAGGTCCCTCAAGCTCCAAATATCGCGTCTATGCACAAGTGCCAATAAATGCAACGACCCCATAGTCTTGCGGTCCCAGTTGAGATCAGGCAACATCATGAACCCATCTTCGGGGCCATGCCCCTCATCCCGCATTATAACATCTTCTTGCTCGGTGCGCCCTTCAAGGATATTGAAAACCCAATTCAACCGCCCCTCCTCGCGCTTCGCTTGCATGTACGGCCGTACGTGCTGATGGTAGATAGTGGAGGTTTCGGTGACCATGCGTAGCTGTTGATCAGAGTATTTTTTGATATGGGATTCTGTGCAGGGCCAGATGAGGTTTAGTTTGAGGTCCTGTTGTGGTTGGATTTGGGCTGCTGCTTCAGCGGGCGTAGGATTTTGATTGGCTGTGCTTTTGCCACTAGATGAAGCGAGGTACCAGCGGTAGATGTCGTTGTCACCTAAGTTGTTGACACCTGTGATAGCGGCGTGGAAGGCTTGGAGAACAGCGAGAGACTCTGTTGCGAAGGCTGCACGCTCAGCGATCAGGATACCTTGCTGGTCATCAATTGTACCAAGGAGAGCGATGCGGCGGCCATTTTGATCTGCAAGGTATTATCTTTTAGTTTATTGAGTCCTAATTGCGGGGTTTGGGTTGAGGTTTGCGGGGTGATACCTTGTTTGAGGAGCTTGCTCAGATGGAATTTGGAGATCAATGCCTCTGGAGCAACCTTAGTGGTTTCTGTGGAGTCATTCATGGCTAAAATTCCTTGATACAAGCCCTGGAGTAGATAGTAAAGTGTTGCAAATGGGCTCAAAAGCTTTATCGGTTTGGCCAGTGGGCGGTCAGGCTTATCAGAGGTTGACTGACTAGTTAACTATAGATCTATGGACTTGCCCAGCAATTAAGGCATATATGTACCCTTCAAAAGTTCTCTGGAGAATCAAAAATGGAATTGTTGCAGAGACCTCGATATTTGAGAGCTTTGAATGAATTGCCAAGTGCTCAAATAGCAAGGCAAGCTATTAAGAGTTTAATGAATATGAAGTATCTTATTAACAAGCATTCTCCCAAATCACTGCAAATATAAAACGGTAATTAGCCCTCAGGCAACAGCCCCATTCTTCTCATTGGCCGCCAGCGCCGGTGTTGTATGCATCTAAGTAATCAGAACTATGCCCTAGTGAGGTATAGGAGGAAAGGAACAGAACATACCGCATCTGCAAACTGCAGCCACTCCTCCACCCCCTTGACAAATGTATCATCTGCCGCAGGGAGAGCCTCATGTCCCCAGACTATGAAGTCATCAAAGGTGCCCTGCGTTTCAAGGATCTTGACCGGCTCTTCGGGCTCAGCCTCATGCTCAACGCCCCCATTGTCTTCTCGTTGCGTCGCAGGTAGTACGCGGTCTGTGGGTGTCGCAATAACGCCTATAGCCCACATATGCCGTCAGTTAAATCAAATAAATGCGCGATCATGTAGCTAGCCAGTGCTAGTCCTTCATTGCGGAAGTTGTCGTACCTCGATAACCATCAGGAATGGCAACGCGCCGACCTCGAAGTTTGCGTCCACGGAAATGCGCGGTTTGTGTATTATCTGGACCAATGCTTTTTTTTAGTCGCAGTTTGCTCAAGCTAGAAACGCGTTTCGTACCCTTTTCTTCTTTCACGGGTGTCCAATACCGGTTGAGTGAATCAACCGGTCCGTCGTGGTGGATTCGACAGGGAATGATATTTGGTGTGTATTGCAAAGCCGAATCATCCTTCTCCGATTGTGTAGCTTTTGAGCTGGGTTGAATGGCATACATGTCGGGCATTGTGTCGGTTCGTTGTCGCTCAAGGAATGCGCTCTCCAGGGGATGTTCAAAGGTAAGTGGCACAGTATTGGAAATTCTTAGAAATTGTCCTATCAATTGGTTGTGTGCCTATTGCCTGGGATTTGGGGATGGGATTGGGAATATCTCTGAAGGTGAAGGTGCTGGGTGAAAGATCGGAAAGAAACGCGACGCGCTCTCCGCGTTAAGTGGAATTTGCAAGTTGAATCAACGATAACTACCTAGGTACACATGTGTACATAATTACTGACCAGGATAAACAGATGAAAAATTGTGAGTCACTGAGTATCATTACCTAGATACTTACATAGCTATATGCCATCTTATTATGATAATTGGAAATTTTGCAATAATACAAAACAATTCAATTGATGAGAATCGGGGTATACATGTACAAAGTATGTCAAAAATCACTCGAAGCTATATCGAGATATCCAATCACCGCTTGCGATTGGTCTTCTTCTTCTTCTTCTTTTTCTTTTCTCCTCCCTCTCCCTTCTCCCTGGTATCGGCGATCATTCGTGCAGGCCACTTCTTCAAATGCTCGCGTTCAAACGCATCCTTCTCGCGCCGATACAGGGCCATAGTAGCTCTCGCATCCTCAACACTGGAATGCGCTCCGTCCTGAATCTTCAATCCCAAGAACTCCTCAGCCAACATCTTCAAGCGTGGTGATCCACCACCCGCAATTTTCCGGTAGGGTGGGTGCTTGCTCGTGTCTCGGATATCGCGCTTAGGGTGACTGAGCAGAAGAGCATCCAGATCATTGCTGACGGCATGGCCTACAAGGATGCGGCCGCTCATTATCTCTGCGATTTCTTTCTGAACGTGCTCGAGGGTTCGTGCTTCGACCATGTGTTTCGGGGCGATTCCGCTCACATGCGTACGCCAGTCTGTAACCATTTCCTTTGGCCGTACATATGAATCGTATATTTGGTCGCCGTTGAAGTTGACTACACTGACGCGTGCGAGTGCCGAGTCGTTGTCCGGGTTGGGTCCCACGCCCACCATTTCACAATCCATTGCGATATACTTTCCTAGTTCAGCACTGACTCAAAGTTAGCGATCGATCCTTTGAATAGTCCAAAGAGTTTGGGGCGCTGAATGCGGGGGTAAGACTAGCACTTACGTCGCCGAACGACCTTCATTTTCCTTGTGACGAGAACTTGTTTCTGTCTGCACTGGAGCTGCTGCATTGGATTTTCTTCGCGTATATGGAGTAGATGAATCATCTGTTTCAGACATTCTCTTGCGCTTGGAGGTTGGTTTGTTGTCTCGGTATGGCTTTTGCTTCTCTGTCAACTTGCGTTTCCTCACAATGTCATCACCGTCGGTCTTGGGCTTGACAGGAGTATCCTTCTTGAGAGTCGCCTGTAGCTTCTTCCAATTACTGGAGAGGGCTGGCTTGTCCATGATACAAAGTGGCTTCAATGTAAGAAGAAAGTTGGCGAAGATAAAAAAAGACGATAAGCAAGTAAATTTTCGGGACCCACTTTTTACTTTTGATAGTGACCTCGGGATACTTGGGCTTCATCTACTTGCCTGCGTACGTTTATGTAACCATATGCACATATGTAGTTTTATGTAGATACTTGGACGCTCATCTTATGCTATTTTACTTCACTTTAATAATTTTAATACATACGTATGTATGTATGTACCTTGGTATATTATAGAACTACAATTGTTGATCGTGAAGAGAAAAGATATAGACCTTTACTATGAACCACATTATATGTCCAGACAATAAAATGCACGCGCTTTTTTGGGAATATGCAGAATTATTCGTATCCAGTTCGGAAATCCTTCGCAGTCCACTTCTCCGTAATCTGTCTCTTGGCCTTGCGAGCTTGCGTGATGGGTGTACGGGACTCGAGCTTGCCCTGAACGATCAATGTGCGGAATCGGTCGTCTAAGAGATTGCCTTCCGGCTTCAACAGCCGTAGAGAATCTTGCAATTCATCAGGAAGCACCAATTCCAATGGCTGCTCGGGAACACTGAAAGATTTTGTTAGTTGCAAAATACACACATGGTAAAACGGGACAGAACATACGCTCTCTTGCCACCAAAGGTTTTCTTGCGGAGGGCAGTGTCATCGCCTTCAGAATCATCCGCATCTGACTGATTCTCGCGCTCAAGGCCCTTTTGCTCAAGTTCCTCAGTGATTTTAGCGATATGCGCGGCCTGTGCTTCTCTCTTTTGCACCTGAGCCTCCCACTTCGCTTTCCGCTCCGCTTCCTTGCGTCGCTTGATCTTGTTTCGTTGGGCCTTGGTCTTGCGTTCGGGACGCTTCTTGTTCAACCACTCGGGCTTCTCGTATTCGCTCTCGAAGCCCTCCCAGGCACTCTCATCATCTGACTTCACCTCGCCGTCGTCATTTCGGGCCGCTTCGATCAAGCGCTGCTTCTCGGCTTCCTTTGCCTCTTCTTCCAGGCGCTTCTTTTCGGCCTCTACTGCCTTAGCACCATGGGTTTCCAACAGATGGTCCCACTCTTCGAACACAGGGTTGTAACTGGTTCCTGCGTGAGGCATCTTAACAGATGGGATGGGCTTTCCATTGGCAGCAAGGGAGATCGGGGCATGTTTTAATGTGATTGGCTCGGTCTTGGGCTTGGGCTTCTGCAAGAAATCAAAGCGAGGGTCGTCGTATGTGGTTGTGGGCTCCGCATCTTCCGCCCAGGGATCGTAGAACTCATTTTCGGTTTTCTTCCCCAGAGGCTTTGCGTCCTTGGCGACTTGCTTCAGGCGCAGGTATTCCTTGCGGCTGACCCAGTCGCTCTTGGGCTTCTTGGTTTTCGGTTCAATGACTCCATCGGTAACATTGGGATTAACGCGCTTGCGCCCGTCCAATGCGGGGATCATAGAGCGCTGGGCGAGAATCTCGTCCGACTTGAGGGGCTTGTGCTTTTTGGCGATAGACTTGCGCACCTCTTCATTACCGGTGGTATCGATAGTGAAAAGTTCATCAGAAGGTTTCTCAGTCAGAACGCCACTATTTAGGCAAGAAAGGTTAGATCCCCAATGCAAAGTCAAGGTTGGAAAAAAAAATTCAACGAAAGGAATAGTTTTACCCTTTGATCTCTGCATCCTTCAGATGGCGCAAACCCTCCTGAACTTCAGTGACATCGACATTCTTGCGCCACGCCTTCTTACCCTTACGGGAAGGCTGCTTGAATTGATTCGGGGCATCCACGGAAGTCGACATTGTGGTGGACAATAGTGTAGACTAAGTCGTTGATATGAAAATCAACCTGAGTTTCTTATCAGAAAAAAATTCTGCTTACGCAATACCCGCGGGGGCGGTGGGGCGCTTATCGCGCTAAGGGTGAACTGCAAATTCGTCCGCTTCTAAGCTGCTCATCCAGTGACGCGTGAATCCCCCATCGCCGGTGGGTTGTCGTGTTTCATCTTTCTGGTGACTTCCTTGATCTCTATATTTTCTTCCTGCCCCGTTGGAGGATCCTTTTTACACTGAGTACAACCACACATTATGCCTGTCGTCAAAGGAGGTGTTTGGTAAGAGCCCCGGATGGAACCCACTCAAAAGGCTTTCGTCGCTAACATGCTCCCAGGACCAATATTGAGGATGAGGTGCTACGAGCAGCTGTAAGTTAAGCCCTTTATACTAGACTATTGGCCGACAACGATTGAAACAAATACTGACTTGGTCGCAGGTATCCAAGTATGGTCTGAATCAGTGGGCTCGAGTGTCTTCCCTGCTCGCACGGAAGACCCCGAAGCAATGTAAAGCTCGCTGGATTGAATGGCTGGATCCAGGCATTCGCAAGACCGAATGGTCTCGAGAGGAGGATGAGAAGCTGTTGCACCTCGCGAAACTGATGCCCACTCAATGGCGCACAATTGCCCCCATCGTTGGCCGCACCGCCACACAATGCCTTGAGCGCTATCAAAAGCTTTTGGACGAAGCCGAATCTCGCGAAAACGATGAGCTTGGTCTTGGAGGACCCGGCGAGGAGAGTGCTGCGCCCAGCGCGGACGATGTCCGCCGTCTACGGTATGTCATGGTCCAAGATCTTTAAATTGCCACCGCTGACTTTTACAAGACCCGGTGAACTTGATCCCGATCCCGAATCCAAACCTGCTCGCCCCGATACAATCGATTTGGATGAAGATGAGAAGGAAATGCTGAGCGAAGCGCGTGCTCGTCTTGCCAACACACAAGGTAAAAAGGCTAAGCGAAAGGCCAGAGAACGTCAATTGGAGGAATCTCGACGATTGGCTGTCCTACAGAAGCGCCGCGAACTCAAAAATGCGGGTATCAACGTCAAAGTCGTTACACGGAAGCCCGGTCAGATGGATTATAATGCAGACATTCCATTCGAAAAGCCAGCTGCTCCTGGATTCTACGACACGATCGAAGAGCAAAACCAGAATGAGCGTCAGCGTGAGGCCTTTGATCCTCGAAAGCAACAACTCGCAAATAAGAGAAAGGGTGATCAGGATGATGATGCAGAGCGCAAGAAGCGCAAGAACGACAAAAGTGGTGCTTCAGCCGCTTCAGCTGCTGCTCAGCGCGCAGGGCAAATGCAGAAAATCCGCGAGGCTGAACAGAGCAGCAAGCGGCGAGGGCTGAACTTGCCCGCACCCCAGGTCAGCGAAAGTGAGATGGAAGACATAATCAAGATGGGACTGGCAGCAGAAAAGGCCAGTAAGATGAGCGGGGATGAAGAATTCACCCGGGGTCTTCTGGGGGACTACACCACGCTCATTGGAAACACTCCTATCAGAACCCCGCTAGCAGCGCCAGAGGAGGATCGCGTTGCCAACGAGATCAAGAATATTCGGGCTCTGACCGAGACACAGTCTTCTCTCCTTGGAGGAGAAAATACACCACTCCACGAGGGTGGTTCATCAACTGGATTCGATGGAATTGCCCCTAGGAGACAGGATATTGTAACCCCCAACCCCATGGCTACGCCATTCCGACAGGCAAATGGCATGGGCGCTACACCTATGCCTGGTGCTACTCCTTTGCGTACACCGCGAGATCATCTCAACCTCAACCGGGAAGTGGGGGCGGTCAGCTTATAGGAAGCACACCGCGAGACATCAGAAACCACGAGAAATTTATTCGCGAGCAGATTCGCGGCAAGCTAGCCTCGCTCCCCAAGCCCAAGGATACTAAAGTTGAATTCGATGAGTTTCCAGACGAGGCTTTTGAACCCACCACGTCTATGGAGATCAGCGAAGAGGATGCAGCCGAGCGTGATCGTCGGGAGAGAGAGGCACAACAGCAGGCAGCGAAGGCCGAGTTCAAGCGTCAATCACAGGTATACCAGCGAGGCCTACCTCGCCCAGCTGTTTTGGATTTGAACGCTTTGATGCAACGTGCCTCCAAAACCACCGGTACTATAGAGGGCCTAATTGCCAACGAAGCTGCCATTCTGATAGCGCACGACTCTCGCAAATTCCCTGTCCCCGGAGCTCAAGTTGAAGGCAAAGCACCAAAGTTGCGCGAGTTAGATGACCGCTACTTGAACGCAGCTCGAGCTTCAATTGCCAAAGAGATTGCTTCAGTGGAAGCACAGCAGACTGAATGGCAAGAAAAGTTTGATGAAGGCTGGTCATCAGTTCGCGCGAAGTCTCTGCCAGGCCTTGAAAATTATGAAGATGACGAGCAGGACTCATTCCAAGAAGAACAAAAAATGATTGGCGCCTTCGACACCGTCCAAACAGCCCTGTTTGCTACCGCAGAGCGCGGAAATAAGCTTGAGAAGAAGTTGTCTTTGCATTACGGTGGATATCAAAACCGTGCCAAAACGCTGCGTTCAAAGATCTTGGAGGCTGGTACTGCTTTGCCCACAGCCACGAATGAGCTCGACGCCTTCCGCACACTCCAGATCTCAGAAGAGACTGCCTTGCCTCGGCGACTTGAAAAACTCCGTGAGGCAGTGTCGTTTGTTATGCGCCGCGAGCGTGAGGCTCAAGAGTTGTACAAAAGCCGGAAGGAGGAGCTTGATGAGCTTGTTGCCGGGACCGCTGCCATAAATGGGTGGCACTAGGGTAGTTTTTCCTTTGCTTTATGACCATACTTTGCTATCTTGCAGTCTCTTGTACAATTATTAGCAGTCTAATTTGACAATTGATACGTTGTCATTTCTCCAAATCAACAAGGAGTGTCTACTTATACTCAAATTTCGATGCAATGGGACAAGCTAAATCCCATATCTCTCAGATATTACAGTGCACACTCGTTCTGGCTACGTATTTCAGGGGCAATTTGATAAAAGTGATTGATCAGTGAATTGCTCGATGCTCGACTGATATTTCTCCAAACCCATTAGCCATGACCTTCCTCCCGTTCATCAACATCCTCCAAACCTTCAGATCCACAGCTTCGCAGCGGGCTATTGGAACAAAAGTAATGTTAGAATCATGTGCGACAAACTGACCCAGTGCTCTTCTCATTACTACCCACTTCGCAATATCATGTCCCCATCTCTACCATTGGATTTGAAGCCCGGATTTGTATCAAGCCAGCCGAGCGTCATATTTCGCAAGCTCATGCTTCTGGTCAGGCGTAGGAGGGAAAGAAAGATGGATCATGTTCAGCGCCTCGATCATCTTAATGAACAAAAATGTGTGGCGATCCTGGGCGATAGAATCGTCATCAAGGCGAATCCGACGACGGAAGTATGCATTGACCTTGTGGGCATTAGCTTCAAAGAACTCGCGTGGAACTCCATGGCCATTCGCATAAACGTGGAAAGTAAAAGGCACATCCTTAAACTGTTCGCACATCTCAGTCATGGTAACGTGGTCGGTCGTCCAGCCATCCCAGTTGTAGAGAACGAAAATGCACCCGGACTTTGTTTCGCGAGCCTCCTCGAGTGCAGCAGCCAGGAACTTGGTGATCCGGCTGAGAACTGAAAGCTTGCTATTTGCTGGATGGATGATCGTCTGCATTTTGTGAGGGCGCGCCCCGAGGCTGCCGTAGACCTTGCGGTGCTCGGATGAAGTGATCACCAGCAGGTTGCGCAGGTATTCGTGCATCTGGTCTTGGTCGAGGACTGCACCTGGGTAATGGTGGTCGTTGAGGTCGGTGGCTCGGGCGATGAAGACGACCACTGGGCCCAGTGCGTTTGTTCGAGGTGAAGCACCATTATTCTTGGGCGACTGACTGGGCTTGTGTTCCTGTGGAGGCGGGAGAGATCTGTCCGGGGAGGACTTGGAAGACATCATGATGAAGGGTGAATGAAGATGGATGAAGGTAGATTAGGATAGATGGGGATGGATACAGATGAAGATAGATGAAGAGGGGTTTGGTGAGTAGAGGAATGAAGAGAGAGATACTATAGATTGAAGGGAATTGAGGAAAGCACTTAAATATGAAGGGAAACTGAGGAAAGTATGGTTTGTCTTGTTGGTCTACGATGCCATTGAAGCAAACTCGAATGCACATGTTTACATACCAAGGAATATCTGAACTGTGAACATACGTGTCGATTGCGGAGATGCTCTCAGACGCGACTATAAAAATGTAACAAAAATAACATGAACCCAATTTCCACCTAATTTACCGCTTCTTGATGCTGATATCAATCTTTCCAATGCCCCAGGCAGCGACAAAGACTGTCAGCATACCGGCAAAGAGAGTGAAAGGCTTGCGCAGGGCATCGAACATGGTGTGTTCGTAGGTGACCTATGATTGCATTAGCGTACTGAAATGAATATGGGGTGAGTGATGGTTCAATGACTTACCAGGATTTTGGCGTCGCGCGCTTCGTCTGTCAAACTATCGACCTCCAGGGTCAAAGTGGTTCGGCCCAGGGTATCCATGTAGGTCTGCAAGGAGCTCAGGCTAGCGGAGATGTGGTTCGCACCGGGAAGACCATTGCTGTTGGTTCCCTCAAGGGTCTCAAAGTGGACATTGTGAGCGCCCTCGGGCAAAACAATGCGTACGACAACACGCTCGTATTGAATACCCTCCGGCATCTTAGGGCCCTCGATGAGAGGGACCTTGAGGACGTAAGAGTCTGAGTCAACACCCGCAGCACGGCGCAGGAACGAGGAAAGCTCGTTGTTCCAGCCGATCTTGAAGCTGTAGTTCCAGCCACCAAAGATAGGGTAGCGGGGCTTCAGCTCCAAGTTTGCGGCGTTATTGCCCTTGCTAGGACGGTAGCGGCTGGTAGAGACGTTGCCAATATCATCAATGAAGTAGGGATCAACAGATCCGGGCTGAAGAGGGTAGGTCAGCTCACGCACCGCCGAGGTAGGCGCTTTCTGGTAGTTAGTGAAGGTCCAGTCGACACGCGAAAATTGATTGGTGAGTTGCGAGCCGTTGTTGCGCAGCCAGTAGCGTTCCTCGGTGGCCAAGTTACCACCCCAGTGCGATACTTCCAAGTCACGCTCCAAAAGGTTAACGGTGATAACAGGCTTAGTGAACTCGTAACGGACAGACACCGGGTACTCGGTGCCGGGGGCCACATTGGCGGTATCATATGGCCCATAGGTGTATGTCGCGCCCTTGCGCTCGGGGTCCGAGCCAGACTTGAGACCATCGGTGTTTGTGTAGTCCGGCACATCGGTGGTGGGGAACTTGACCTTGGTCTTTTGAGTCACAGTGGTGTAGGCGGATGGAATGTAAGCAGAGAAGGAGTAGGTGAGGTATTGCTTGTCGGCCTGTCCAATGGTCGCAGGAAGCGGGCTGAGAGAAGAGAGCACCGAATACGAGATACCCAAGGTAATCTGCGACTTCGGGGCCAGAGGCTCGGGAAGGTGAACGACGAAATATTGATTGCCACTGTTTCAATTGTTAGAATTAAGGCTATCAACTTATCCGCCGAGAGTGGGCCATATAGCTAAGCTATTTGACCACCGGCATGCCATTGACATCCCATTTGATGCTCACCTGGATGAAACAGCTTCAGTGGCATCCACATCGAAGCGTCCCTTCTCGGGGGCCTTCTTGTCCCTCACTTCAAAGCCCCCAACAAGCTCAAACACCTCGACAGGGAAAGGGACATAGTAGTCGCCCTGGGGCTGGTTGTCGACATTCTCGACAACGACGTTAATGGTTTCCCGTACATAACCCTTCTCCAAGTTGGTGTTTCTGACCAAGTTTGTGTTCTTGAACACCTGCGGGGGTTTGAAGTCGGATGCGAGATCCAATCGACTCGGGGTGGTAAGGTTGGTTGCGGCGCACAGACTGGGTGCAAGTAACCCAAGCACCGTTGTGGTGAAAAACCTCATTGTGACTACCTGGAGGATACAATTGCTCCAAGGTACAAAATGGTCTATTTAAATTGTCAATGTTTTGAGGATTTTAATGGAAGCTCTAGTTGGGAAGGGGACACATCAGCATCATACGGTAGACGTAGCGGCCATCGCGCGCACTCCGGCTTATCGATAACATGAGCTTCTCCTCATTTCGCGTGTCGCATCTTTACTTCTTTGCTTTTGCTTTGCGGACTTACGAGACTCGTCAGTAGATTTTACAGCTGATCTCTGTTTCTGGGCTTGTTTTTGGATTTCAGAGGTCATGTTGACACATACTATGTTCGCCTCTCGAGCCGCCTTTAGATCTGGCAGTTTGAGAGCAACTCAACTGTCGCGTGCTCGCAGGTATCATGATTTTGCTCAGAGCAAGTTCTTCAAGGTGTCAGAGGAGGTTCGTGATGCCGTTGCTACCGGGAGACCTGTTGTCTCATTGGAAACCACAATTTACACCCACGGTTGGTTTTTCTGTCCTCGATTCTGGGGGATCAACGTCTTCTCCCAAAAGCGGGGAAGCCAAGGCTAATCGGCTGCAGGTTTTCCATATCCTGACAATATTGCACTGGCTGCATTGTTGGAATCTGTTGTGAGGGCCAATGGTGCAGTCCCTGCAACTATAGGAATCGTCGGTGGTGTGGCCAAGGTTGGTTTGAGTGCGGAAGAGCTCATCGAGCTGGCGTCGACAGCTGAAAAGAAGAGCGCTCTAAAAGTGTCTCGTCGGGACCTCGGATATATTTGCGGCATGGTGAGTCAATAGTTTAAAACTTTTGTTTTCAAATTTATTAAACTAATCTATACCAGGGACTGGCTGGCAAGCCAATGCACGGTGGAACTACAATTTCCGGCACTATGATTCTTTCAGAACTAGCTGGCATCAAAATCTTTGGTACTGGTGGGCTAGGTATATTTAATTCTCAAAAGCCAATTCAAGGAACATTACACTCTAACTTGCTCTAGGTGGTGTGCATCGCGGCGCGGAAAGCTCTATGGATATTTCTGGTGGGAACAAATCTTGCAAAATTAAACACAACGCCAGATGAAATACTAACGACATGTATAGCTGATCTTACTGAGTTGGGCCGGACCCCAGTGACTGTCATCAGTTCTGGGTGCAAGAGCTTCTTGGATATCCCTCGAACGCTTGAATATCTCGAGACCGAAGGTGTCTGCGTGGGAACATTTGCCGATGGCCGAGAGGGAGCTGTTGATTTCCCTGCCTTCTTCACTCGAGAGAGTGGCATCCGCAGCCCACGAACCATTCAAAACGAGGCTGAAGCTGCTGCGATCGTTTGTAAGTTCGTTTTCTCGACTGAGATGTACAGCTTCATTAATTTTCTCTAGATGCGCAATCAAAACTTCCAGTATCGTCTGGAATCCACTTTGCCAACCCCGTCCCATTGGAGTCCTCAGTGCCGAAAGCTGAAATGGATCTTGTGATCGAAGAAGCTATTCGCCTATCCCACGTAGAAGGATTCCATGGTAGTGACAACACACCATTTGTGCTCGCTAAAATCAAGGAACTAAGTGGTGGAAAGAGCGTAGTCGCTAACCGGGCTCTGATCGAGTCGAATGTCAAGCGTGCAGCACGAGTAGCCGTGGAACTTGCCAAGCTTGAACAAGCTGACCTAACAACAGGGTCCCGGTGAGTTTTTGTTTCTAGGCACGAGATATGATATGCAATCAATGCTAAGTTCGGAGATCGTTTTCCTTATAGACACATGCCAGCTGTTCCAGCTGCTTCAGGTGTAGCTTCATTTAGTCAAGCCACTCCGCAAGTTCAAGATATCTCTGAGCCAATTACACAGACGCCTATCAAGTCGACAGAGAAAGCAGATATAATGGTTGCTGGCTCGCTTGCCATTGATCTCTCCTGCGATTACACTCCATTCGGAGACGAACTCACCCACGTTACACCTGTGCCGCACACATCTAACCCAGCAGTGATTGGCCAAAGCCTGGGAGGTGTGGGCCATAATGTCGCCATTGCCGCCAGCTACGTTGGCAGCGATGTTCTTTTCTGCAGTGTGGTGGCAGATGACCTGAGTGGCCGCGCTGCGTTAGCAACCCTCGAAACGGAGGGCCTTAGTACTGCAGGAATTCAAGTCCTCCCTGCCACGGCAGGCGCACGCACTGCGCAATACATTGCCATTAACGACATTAAAAAGGACCTTTTGGTAGCCATGGCCGACATGGCTATCGTCGAGCTACCAGAAGCGCAACTTGACTTTGACGGGTTCTGGGAACCATTACTCGAGCGTACAAAGCCTCAGTGGGTGGTCGTTGACGCCAACTGGCGGCCCGAAGTTCTGGCCAAGTGGAGTAGTTTGGCGCGCAAGCACGGTGCTCGTGTGGCCTTTGAGCCAGTTTCAACAGCCAAATCTCGACGTCTCTTTGGTGGCAGTGCCGGTGGCTCGAGTGCGACGATTGGCCCAAATTTGACTGTACCCAACAATGCTATCAGTCTTGCCTGCCCGAACCGACTTGAATTGGCTGCTATGTATACCGCTGCTCGTGAAGCGCTTCTCTTCGAGTCAACCGGCTGGTGGCATGTCATTGATTCAATGAATTTGTCCCCAACAGGCTCGCGCCAGCGCCTCATTGCACTCACTTCGCCAGATCTGGTCGATGAGGGTCTTCCACAGCAGACCATCCAGCTCCTTCCTTTTATCCCTTGTATCGTCACGAAGCTCGGTGAGGCAGGTGCTCTCGTCACCCAACTTTTGCCCCCTGGTGATCCGCGCCTTACTGACCCAGAGTCTGCGCCGTATGTTCTTGCCCGTGCGCCACCTAATTCGGACGTACCATTTGGTGGAGTTTACATGCGGCTTTTCTCTCCTGATGCCGTTCTGGATGAGCAGGATATTGTCAGTGTCAATGCGGCGGGTGATACACTGCTGGGTGTCTTGGTCGCTGGTCTGGCCAAGCACGGCAAGTCTGCGCGCATTGAGGACATCATCCCCATTGCTCAGGAGGCAAGCCGGAAGACAATGGCGAGTGCCGGAGGTGTGAGTAAAGATCTTGCTGAGCTGCAATCTACATTGAACCTGGAATAACGATGCGGCCGTTTGCATATATTGTACCTGATAGCGTTTGTTGATATCCACTAAAATCAAATATAGTTATATTCACAGTGTGTCAAGCTTCATGATTTACAATGATCAATGATGAACCATGTTCCATGGGTTTTTTTTCTTCTTCTTCTTCTTCTTCTTCTTCTTCTTCTTCTTCTTCTTCTTCTTCTTCTTCTTCTTCTTCTTCTTCTTCTTCTTCTTGTTCTTCTTCTTCTTCTTCTTCCATCTATTCATGGTAATTCCATGCGTTCCATGCTTTCAATGGCACATTTGTAGCGTTGGACGCAGAACGGAGGAACTGCATTGTCTGGGACTATAAATCTCCCCTTGTTCTTTTTCACCTCCTCCCTCTCCTACCTCTCTTGTTATCCTCACCTTCAACAAAATCTCCAAATTTATTCATGCTTTCCTTGAGCCATTGGCAAAAGCCCATGATCCAAAATTCCAATCTGTGCGAGCACATTCGCCTGGTCCCAGTACAGGCTTTGGCGACTAATTCGACTAGCACAAAAGCTTGCGACAACAACAATAACGACCTTCACATCTCGATCCGACGGCGAAACACCCGGGAGCAACCATGGAATCTCTGCTGTATGACGACAAGAAAACAGAATCTCGTCCACGATTCGATCAGAGCCCACAGTACGCGATAAGAGACGAATTCGCTGATCGGCTGGGCCAGCAGGAATAAAGGCATAAGCGAAGAAATCCCTCAGAGATGAGATTGTCGAGCCTGGGAAGTATTAGCGAGCACATCCAAAGTAGAAACTGGAATAATGTTTGAAATTTTGAAGTCTCAAAACTCACCTCCAGCCATGGTCGGAATACACATGACACACGATTCCCCAGCGGGACTACCATGTTCACCATAGTGACCATTTCTGGTCAACATGTCAACGGCAGATTCCGTCACACTTCCATGACTCTCCCTCCGATTCTCCAACTCCCCCCAAACCCGATCCCAATACTCCTCCCAAACCGTCTCAATATCGACAACGGCCCAATGACTACCAACCCCAAACGAACGTCGCAAACAACCCAATACTCGACCCCATGCGAGCCGCGAACTGATCTCATCTTCGTCATTGAGTTCTTCGTCTACCTCCTTCAACTTTTCTTCCGAAATATCCCTCTCCGCGAATCCGGCTCTGGATCCGGCATACGAATACACATGGCATCGGTGCCTCTTCTTGTGGGTGACGTCTCCCTCTGAAGCACTGAGACTGATCCATGGCCATAATGCGCAGCGTTGGACTCGCGGGCCCGGGATGTGGATCTGGATTGGAAGGTAAGTCGATTGAGGGCCTGGGTCAAAGATAGCGCCTGTGTCGGAGCAACCTGGCGGCGAACAGTTGTCCTTTTCCCGGTAGGTAAATTGGTCTGTCGATGGGATAGGGTAATATGCGATTAAGGCACAGAGTCGTGGGAAAGGGTTTGTGTTGCTAAATGTTAGATGGTGCGAGGCTAGAAGGAGGTATGCCGGACGGTGGTATGCTGAGATAGATATAGAGTTAGCATTGGTACGTGAATATATATGGAGCTGGCTCTGATAATTGACCTCGTTTACGACAGAAAAAAGACAGAGAACATACCGACAATCGCATAACGCTCCCCAGTCTCGAGCTCATCTTCTTTCAGATGCACTGCATTTTCCAGTGCCTTGCGGTCTTTCTCTGAATTTCCACACCCCAGGAAGGGGAGATAAATCACATCAAATCCTTCTTCTTGGAAGCGGTGGATTATCTTAGGATCAAACTCCGCCGTGTCGGAGACCAATATGAGATGTCGAGGCAATGGTTCTTCGTAGCGCCGGCTGCGTTTGGAGCTTGAGCTGATAGTTCGCTGTAAACCATGCGGATGTGAGGCTGTGAAATTGGGTCCCGTAGTATCTGCTTGCTCTGGTGGGCTACTGCTGGAGCTTTGGTCTCGTCGTCGTGTGAGGCGCCGGAATACGTTATTCATGTTTGTCCGGATGCGGTTGGTATGATATGGGTCGTGGGTTGGAGAGGGTGCCTTAAACCTCCTTATGTGTTTTCAATTGCTGCTCGGATCACTCGGATTGAGGTTCTTGGTATTACATATGTCAAGAAACAAAAATGCCTGCCTTGTGGATGCCAATGCTTAGGGTTTCTTGGTGTGACGTCGTCGAGTTACATTGATAAGATTGTGAAATTGCATACATAAATATATGTATCATACACCTATATATCTACGAATATATTGTATGCTATTATTTGTGCAAGTAACATGTAAAATGATATGCTCATTTATAGAATAAACATCATTCTACTCTATTGATCTGCGCTACGGAAATCAAACCCGCGATGCAGGATGATCTCACCCCTTGCCAGCCCTATGCAGCCCCCACATTTAATCAAAGGTTACCAACCACTTACGGTCATCGCTGAGCGTGGGTGTTTCGCCATTAACAAGATACGCCTTGTAAGCATCACGCAAGAGACTTGCTCGTGCGACTTCACAATCAACCCGAATATCTTCAACCAACGCTTCCAGCGAAACATAATCAAACTCGGGTCGGATATAGCCCAGAATCAATAGATTGAGTTGCGTTTTATAAAAGTCGGGTAGTCGATTGAACTTGGTTTGGCCTTCTTGGCTCTCGGCGGTCGGGGATGGTTCCGTGAGAGCGGGCATGATGTGAATTTCCTTCATTGGGTCAGCAACCTTTTCCGGAAACTTCAGATCGCAAGTGCATATATTGATGTCGGTGTTTTATGATGGATGGATATATGTAACATACCACTGATCGCACAGTATTCTTATAAAATGGGTTGTATCCAATGCTCAATACAGCTGGTAAGATCACCGCAGAGGTATCCGGCGATGAATCATGGTGGTATGTTTTCGGGTCCAGTGCGACAACACCATAGTATACACCAGTTGTTAATTCTGGGTGTTTTTCTGATAGATCATCGGCGGGAATATTGGCGGTAGGAATTCCTAGCTGTAGTTATTGGAACAGTGAGTCAGCTACACGTCCAGCTTTGAGGTATTGGTGCTGTGCACTGCGTGCATGACGCCAGCAGAATGGATGTTCACAATCGAAACCGAAAACGTACTTCTTTGCTTCCGCGTCCGAATCCTTTGATCACAGGACCGGACAATCGCACGGGGTAGGGAGCCTCGGGGCCTTCGTCGGGGCCGGCTACCCGGTCTCGCGGTTTGTCGGAGGGCATGACGGACTCTGTTGGGAGAGTGATGGGGATGAAATGGGAGTGAAAAGGACGTTTATGCTGATAAATTCGTCCAAGTGATTGTACGATTGAGCAACCTTGGAATGGTTCGGCGTGATGCTGTTGACAGATTGATCCTCAATGGTGGGGGGTTTATCGCGATAAGGTGTGATACGACACCTGGAGTACAAGGCATCAGTGGACCAATTTCACTACTGTATCAACGTGTATTACATCTTCGCGAGCATACTGTTGCCATGGTACAGTTTCTTTTTATCAGGAGAGAACATCCCGCAAACCCAAATGCCGAATTGCAAAGTTCAACAGAGGCATCACTAGGACGTTCAACGTTAAAAAGCCCACAAGAGTAGTGCATTTATCGCTTGATCTATGGATCATAGTAAAACGGTATGTGGACCGCTCTATCCGAGCTTGATGAGAATCGAGGAATCTTTAAACTCAGTACTAGCAAGGTTCTCCGCGGGGTAGTTAGCTAGCCTGCGGAGAGTGCATAAATCGGTCAAGTTCACACCGAGTTGTGTGGCGAATCTTCACCCCAATATAGGTATAGTACACGAATACGGTGTCATTTTCGTACTTGGCTTTGGATGTAGATCAACATCTGCCGAGGCCCACTCATCCGGGGAACGTACTATTCCATCGCTTGCCCTGGTCATCGGGGTGAAGCAGCCCGAGCCATCGATATAGCCATACCCAGGACTTGCTATGCTTTGCCCATTAAAGGCATCTTGGCCCAGCATGCCAAACAGATGAATTCCTCTATTTCTGGTCCTTTTTAGTTACCAAGACCATGGGGCAGGCCATATTGAAATTGCTAGGTGCACTGTTGCTTTTGCAATCTGCACTCGCCGACACCAATGATCAAACCAATGCGCCAGTCGATCGAGGATCTTTCAAAGACCCAGCTGCACGTCTCCGACCCCGTTTCCGTTACTGGCTTCCGGATGCTAGTGTCGACCCAGAAATTGTACAGGAGGACATCAAAGCAGCCGGTGCCATAGGTGCTGGTGGAGTTGAGTTCTTACCCTTCTACAACTATGGCGGTGCACTGGGATCTGAGCCTGCTGGTGGTGATTGGTCTAAGTATGGATTTGGCACAGCTGCGTATAAAAAAATATTTCTAGCTGCACTGAAAGCACACAAAGAGGCTGGGTTAGCTATGGACTTTGCATTGGGCCCAAATCAGGGACAGGGTGTGCCAGCAGATCCAAATGATGAGGGTCTCATGTGGGATCTAGTGAGTCTAAGCTAATTGAATCGACTCGATACTACACTTACACTTTTTAAGGTATCTTCCTCTGCTGTTTTTTCATCGAATGGACAATTCGATGGTGTCGTACCTGGTTGGGGTACTGGTGAATTGGTTGCGCTGGTGTCGGCTGAAGTTCTCACATCAAAGAATCGCACCCTCCCATATGCTGAAGACTCGCTCATTGGAACGCCACAGACATGGTACTTGGAGTTAATACTCAAAAATGGAAGTCTGACAGAGTGGACTGATAAAGTGTCTTCCGCGGGCCGAGTCTCGTTGAACTTGGCACCTGTTCAAACCTCTTATCGACTCTTCGCATTCTATCAACTTCAGACACACAGTAAGAACCTGGAGTTCACAAATCTCAATGTCACGGACATAACTGCCAATGGCTCATATATTGTGGACCATTACAGTAGTCGTGGAGCCCAAGTCACTACTAAATTTTGGGAGACTCACCTACTTGATACGGAGACCTTAGAACTTCTCAAAGAGGTTGGCAACTACGGTATGCCTCCGATTTCAAAACTGTTTTTGTCTGCTTTCAATGTACTGACTAATTCAATTTCAGCATGGGAGGATAGCATTGAGATGACCTCAGATATGGCGTGGACGCCTTCGCTTCCGGATGTCTTCCAATCAAAAAATGGATACAATCTAAATCCATTCCTACCACTGGTGATGTATGGTGACAACAACATCAATATCCAAAGTACCCAGCCCGGGTATATTCGATGCCTCCTCAATACTCCGGATCAGGGACTTGGCTATCTCAATGACTTCCGAGGAGCCCTGGTGGAAGGGTATCGCCATTACCTGCAAGAGATAACCAGCTGGGTGACATCAAAACTCAACCTCCAAACGTCAGCGCAAGTCTCCTACAATTTGCCCATGGACATGGAGGCAAATATCCCTTTTGTCAATGCTCCTGAATGTGAGAGCCTGCAGTTCGGCAACAACATCGATGGCTACAGACAATTTTCTGGACCGGCAAACCTGGCTGGAAAACGTGTGATATCCAACGAGATGGGAGCTGTCATGCTCGAATCCTACAACTACCCTCACTCCGAGCTTCTATCCTCAGTCAATCGTGCCATCGCTGGTGGTGTCAATCAGGTTGTGCTACACGGCCAATCCTACACGGGTGATTACTACGGGACTACGTGGCCAGGATACACTGCCTTCAGCTATGTCTTCTCCGACTCCTATTCTAACAAACAACCATCGTGGAATCACGGCTTTGGTGACGTGTTGGAGTATATCGCCCGAGTGCAATTTTTGCAGCAGTCTGGAATTCCTCGTGTTGATGTGGCCATTTATAACAAGGTCTCGGCCACAAATCCCAATTTCCCAACTTTGTATGCTTCGGATGATTTGCTCAATGCTGGTATGCTCTTAAGATCGGGGCGGTACCGAATGCTAGCTGACCTCTGCAGGGTACTCTTACACTTATTTGTCCCCGGACAATTTCGCGCTCTCCCAGGCCAAGGTTCAAGACAACACTCTAGGGCCTGAAGGCCCAGCACATAAAGCTTTGATTATCACCAGTGATAGCAATGTCACCTTGGAAGGAGTCCGGTACATCCGAAAGTATGCTCATGCCGGATTGCCTGTCATATTCAGTGGTGGAGAACCAGGTGTGTATGCGACGCAGGATAAAAGCATCAACTCGGCAGTCCAAAACGCGATCCGTGCTCTGAAACGGTCAAAGAATGTGTACAGTGTGTCCGCTGGCCAGGTCGCCAGGAAGCTTCAATCTCTTCGCTTGAAGCCTCGTGTCGGTGTGCAAACCAATGGCACCTGGTATACCACTTGGCGAGAAGATGCCCAGAACGCCATGGACTATGCATTTGTGTTCTGTGATACCAATGCTTCGAGTGGCGTGGTGACCATTACCAGCACCAAGACGCCCTATTTCTTGAATCCCTGGACCGGGGCGCAATCCCCTGTGCTAAACTACCAACAGAAAGGGGGCCAGGTGATCATTCCACTCAACCTTGCAGGCAACCAAACGGTGATTGTCGGGCTCACAGACGTCGGAAAATCACCCAAAGTACATATTACTCAAGGATCATCTGCAGTGCTCGGCATTATTACTGGAAGTCCGAGTTCCAGCGCAGTCCTGCACGTCGGGGCCAGCTCAATCACCCAAAAGATCACTCTCTCCAGCGGTGAACAAGTCACACTACCCACCGGAATCCACAGGCCCATCCAACTAGCCAACTGGACGCTAGTAGCAGAGCATTGGCAAGCGCCACAGAATTTATCAAGCGCAGCGACCGTTGCCGCCAAGCACAACACGACGCACCACCTGTCTTCGCTCCTCTCCTGGACCCAGATAGACGGACTTAAAAATGCTTCGGGCCTTGGCTACTACACTACAAGCTTTAGTTGGCCTTTGACCGGCAAATCCGACTTGGCAGACGGCGCCTATCTCGTTCTTCCGCCTATTCAACATGCTGCGAGGCTCTATCTCAATGGACACCAGCTACCGCCACTAGACCTCGCTGCTCCCCGTGCCGACCTGGGTCAATATCTCCAAAAGGGCGGAAACGAGGTCACAGTCGTGGTTCCCACCACGATGTGGAATTACATTCGAAGTATTTTTGGTGAAATTAAGAGTGCTGGTACTGAGCCGCTGCTTAACTCCGTCACATCCGTGACCCCACCGCGTAGTGATAATGGGCTTATTGGTGATGTGAGATTGGTCCCTTATGTCAATGTGAGCCTCGAGGCGGACTAGCTGGAAGATGTGTCATATGACAATTTTGAGACCGTCATAGTCACTCAATTCGCTCGTGTACATAGTAAGCTCTCCTTGTTCATCTTTCTAGACAGATTATAATCAATCTATGTAGCCAATAAATGCTCCCAACATTCAGTCTCCACTAATGCAAATTCGGAAATTCTCAGCGAGTTTACACAACCCGAATTGTTTTGGCCCATTGCTCAACAGTCCAAAAGCCCAATCAAGACTAGCGATCATACGCACCATGAGCACCATGAATTAGATCCCATCTAGGTAGGATCCTTAAGCACGTCATCTAACAAAGTAACCCTGATCGTCCCGTGTACATCCTACCTGGATTTGGCGAAAGCCAACGCGCAGCTTGAAGCTCACCGCAAGGTTGACTGCGCACGGACGGGTCAGCCTGACGGAGATAAAACTAGAAACTTGCTCGGTTTAGCATTGAGCAGCGTTAGAGACTGAAAGTGGAGCGGCCCATTTGGGTGTCTCAAAGCCCTACATTCACTCCATTCGGCAAATGAGGGCAAGACGCCAGGAATAGAGAACATGACATATCGCAGGATCTAAGCGATCGGAACATAATCAAGGTCTCTTGGGCATGGGTTCCTTGGCGTGGGGTCCCGAAACTTCTTCTAGAAAATGGTCCTTTATAGTGAGTCATCGATCGGGTAAAGGTTTATGCATATATCATCATAATCAAGCGGTTAGGGCATCGGAATGTCATGGGCAAACCTTGGAATAGATTAAAGTCGATTTCCAAGGGGGAGTATGATATTGTCCAGTCAAGTGTATGCATTGGTGAATTTGTGTTCTACCTTTATTATACTGACTATGCCTTATGCTCATTAATGAAACCCACTAGTCCTAATTGGGGAAACGCATGGCTCGTCCCCTGCCCGAATCCGGTTAGCGTCGGGTCCCACATGACTAGCGTCAAGATGACATACTAAACAGTTTGGTACATAGGTCACTAGTGATTACTTTGGTGATTTTCTCCCCTTGCTGCGTTGCCTCCAGGGCTGAAATCAAATGGTTAAATGGTTAGCGTCTATGTGTATCAGCCTCCTACCTTATACTCTTTTGAGAAGGAGTTTACAGCCAGTGAATATATAAACAGCAGTGGTTGCGAGCCCGGAATAACCCCATCGAACACGAATACGAAGTTGTTTGGAGTAAGGATCGAACTCTCGGAGCACATTCATCGGCCAGCTGTTGAATAACGAAGCTTTGGTAAAAAAAAATAGAAGAGGATCAAATCAAAAATATCAAAACATCCATATATGTACCTAGGTCGAATATAGTTACCATATACTCTGTACAGGCTTTGATGAGAAAATCCGAACTGGGGGGCTAATTTATGTCATAAGCACGAGCCACTTCTGCATTTACCAAATTGGGATGGACCAACGCCTCGACCTTTTTTGATACTCGGCGCATCTCAACATTGATTGGATCTCGTGGGTTGGAATGGAAAGGGAAGATCATTTTAGGAAAAATAACCATAATCAGAATGACCCACCAGGAATTCGATCTGTTGTCTTTTCTTTTCTTTTCTTTTTTTAGAAGAGAGTATTAGTATGGGCTTTGACTCTTTCAGTTGATCTTGTTTGCGATAGTTGGAATTCAAATTGAGGAAACCCCCCTCAACCAAGGACTGATCTGTCCATCATTACTTAAACATGCAACAAACTGCCGGCTGGTTAAATAAGCGTCGCCAGAGCAGTATGCAAACGGGCCGAAGAATCAAAGTATGACACCCATCACAAAGCTTCGGAAGTACCAAGCTCGGTGATTTTTCCAACTCCGATTTCACTCTTCAATCCCTCGTCTTTTCGACTCTCTCCACCCGGCGGTTTCTTTTGCGCATGCCTTGCTAACATCTGTTGTGATCAGTATAAGGAGCAAAGCCCAGCTTGCATCCACTGCAAGGACCGCAACATGCTCAGTCAATATCCACCACAACCAAGATTGACCCGACTAGACAGCAAGCACCGCTTCTCAATATCCAGCGCCTCATCAACCTCAACCTCAGCCTCTACATCCATGGCGTCTACACCGTTAGCAATGGCCCAACCGGCGGTGTCAACTCCCAAATCTGAACCCTGCCTCCCTTTCATAGAAGAAACCCACCTTCAAGACCTCGAGTTAATGATGCACTGGTGCACATCAACCTACAAATCAATGGCTCGCGACAGCAACTCGGAACGAATCTGGCAACAAACAATTCCCAACCTCTCCCTTCACCACCCTGCCCTCCGTGAGGGGCTGCTGGCTCTCTCCGCCCTACATATCGCATCAACCAGCACATCCTCCCGTCGCTGGCAATACCTCGACACCGCCCGTACCCACCGAGCCCAGGCCCTTCTCGGCCTCCACCCAGACGGCGAAACCTCCGACCTCCTAGACTCCGAATGCGACGCCACCTTCGCCTTATGCTGCCTCATGGTTGTATTCGCCTTCGGCTACTGTCTTGTCGATGGCGACAACGACGCGGATGAACCAGAGATTCTAGACGAATTCTTCGAAGTCTTCCAGCTAACCCGGTGGCTCGTCAGCATTATGACCCCAGTGCTAGACCGCGTGGCAACGGGCGACCTGAGCCCGTTAGTAAAGCCTGAAGATCCCCTTCCCACCATGCCGGACATGTCCCGGCTCGTGATCTTATCGTTGCGTCGACGGAATGGCTGTGAAGCGCGGCAGGACCCGGCGCACGACGAAACATTATATGACGCGGCGATCGAGCATTTGAGCCATGACCTCGAGAAGCTAATGAAAGGTGGCGAGCCGAAGGTGTTTGCCTTCTGTTGGAGTTTTCGGATCCCTGCCGGATTTTTGGAGCTGCTGGAAGCGCGTCAGCCGTTCGCACTTGTGGTGCTTGCGCATTATGCGGTTATTCTGCATCATCTAAGGGATTCGTGGTGGATGGGTAGTTGGGCAACGAGGATCTTGTTGGAGATTGGAGATTTGCTGAAGCCTGAGTGGAGAGCACTTATTGGGTGGCCGGCCGATGCGATGGGATGTTTTATTCCTTAGAAAAGGGAGTGAGATTTGTTGCATTTGGCTGCTTTGGGATCTGCTTTTTGTTTCTATTTTGGTTTGAGCGCTGCATCTAATGAGACATGAGAAGCGTGTAATTAGCATAGACGGCGATTTTGTACATAGCATAAGTTCAATTGCAGACAAGGGGTGCTTGTCATGAAGTATGTCATTTCCTGAAGTGTAGGGACACCCAAAGCAAAGTATTGCAGCGTGAAAACTGGAAAAAGAGAGAAAGTGTAATAAGAACAAGGAGAGACCAACTCCTGAGTCCACAATCAACATCCACTTATGTCATGTGAAGCATGTAGATGCTGATAGGACAACCCCTTCAAAGATAAGAAATGAGAAGGGAAAAAAGCAAATACCGCATAAACCATTAAGCCCTGATAAGAACAGGATTGAAACCCCCGCACCACTGCCTGCAGTGATTTCTCTCTGCTCGAGTATCCCAAAGGCATCAAGAGCTTTCACCCCCAAACCCGTGCAGTCGAGGCAAACATCAGAGCGACTGAACCCGAAATCGAGACCGACACAATGAATCCAAGTCTATGAAGAAGGTGAATTCCTTCGCAACTCCTGGCGCTCGTGCTCAATCTCCTTGACGCGATCTTTCGACTGTGTTCGCACGCGCATAAGCTCCGCCTCCTGCTCTTGGACCTTCTTCTCGTGCTCTTCCTCTTCGGCCGTGGGGATGTAGGCGTTCGCAACACCACCTGTTGAAGAATGAGTCAGTGGGCGAACCCAATAAGTCTTATCTCTTGTTTTTTCGAGCCACATACCTCGGCCTGTGTGGTGGGGGATCTGTTGCGCGCGCAGGGGTGGTGACTCGACGTCTTGGCTCTCGCGCGCAAGCTCAGGCTGGTCGGGTTTGTTTACGACCATGTTCCCTGAACCTCCGCGACCCGTTGTGTACACTTCTTGCTTGATGGTTGGGGTTACGAGGTCTTTGGGGGTGAGCGCGGAGTGTTGGCGGGTGATGTTGCCTTGTCCGGATTAGCAGACTTCAGTGAGAGGTGAGAACCTGGGACCTACCTGCGCCTCCGCGGCCGTATGAAATATTTCGTGACATTTTGTTCCCTTTGTTACTTGAATGTGAAGAAGCAAAGGGGGAAATTTTGGGGTAAAGAAAAAAAGGGTTGGAGCCTGTGGGGGTGAAAATCCGATCTTTCGAATGACGACAGACTTTTTTTTCTTGGCTCTTGGCTAACACCTCGACAGAGTCCCAGCATACTTTCTTCCATCTATCATGGCCATTACAGATCTTCGATCGAGATCGGACCGGCGATTCTCTTCACAGTCGCCGTCTTTGGCGATTCTGACCGGAAATGGAATATCAGATAAGGATTTAGAGTCCGAGATCCGATTCTATTCCAATCGATGTAAATCTAGATGATTAAGCCCGTTTGATCTGCTGTATGCATATTACTACCCTCGATACCTGATACTCGCGGAGCAAGGACAAAGATCGTATGGCCATTGATATACTTACAACGCTACATTCGAGATAAAGTGAGAGTGAACGAGGCTGTATCATCCGCATACAAATATTGTAGCCTGTCCCAACCTAGGGTGTCCTGACCATTTTGTCTTCAATGCATGTTCAATATTGAAAGGTCGAATTGCTTCAGGTTTTATTCTGCACATGTCTGTATTCTATCAAGACTAGGAATGCTTTCTAGCTTGTGAATGGTTACCAATATACTATATTATGACTCCCTGCAGGTGGTTTTCAGGGATCTATGTCATTCAATGGACTATTATTGTGTTTCAACTTCTGGTTGATAAACAAAAATGGACCTCGGGAATACTATGTCCGCTCGAAGATGTATAAATCCATACTGTATATATGTAGTATAACCCAATATTTCCCCACATGATTACGTGAACAATGTACCTAGGTAACAGTTGAAAAGGATCATAAACAATACTATACCTCTCTAGTATACCTCCTACGTATGTATATTGCGCCTATATGTACTATAGAGGTACTCAGTCAAAAGTACACAGCCAGGACTCCGCAGCGGGGATCTCAAACCCCAGCTTTTCCCCACACCGAAAGCCCGAGCCGCGGCTTGCTATGTGAGAACAATAACCGACACATATATGAAAGCACCTTAATAAGACGAAAGATTTTGAGTTTATTCAGTCTATTCATTCATCATGATCTTTGACCCTAGTGCCATCGAGCTTCCACCTTCTTACGAGAAAATCCAAACAACCGGCCATGTAGTGGTCTCTCATTATCCTCCTGGTACACCGACAGTTACTCCAGTAGTGGTCGTGACTTTGAATCGCCCTGCAAACCAAAATGCATTCACTGGGCAGATGGTCCAAGATTTCGAGAAAATCTTTCCCATGTTTGATGTCGATGAGCGTGTGAAAGTCATTGTTTTGACCGGCGCTGGTAAGACCTTCTGTGCTGGCGCAGACCTCGATATTGGGTTCCGTGCTGGGAAGGAGAGAATGATCGATCATCGGGATGGGTGAGTTCAATGATCCACAACATCAATGTAGCTAGTATACACGGCTAAGATGATTCCAGGGGTGGACGAGTGGCGCTGGCGATCCATCGATGCCGCAAGCCAACTATTGCAGCCATGCAAGGCTCAGCCGTTGGAGTTGGTATGACGATGACTCTACCGGCGATTATTCGGTGAGTGTCTTAAACCAAAAGCAGCATACATGGATGCCCGTGTGGCTTCACCTTGAACATTCATAGTTGACCCATGGCAGAATCGCCTACGAAAAAGGCAAATATGGCTTCGTCTTTGCTCGCCGAGGTATAACAATGGAATCTTGTTCCTCGTATTTCCTCCCTCGTCTTGTCGGCTACTCAAATGCCAGCTATCTCGTCAGCACGGGTGGAGTCTTTCCACCATCATCCAAGCATTTCGGCGACCTTTTCAATGAGATTCTTCCAGACTCAGCGCAAGTGTTGCCGCGTGCACTCGAGTTGGCTACCGAGATTGCGGAAAATGTTAGTCCAACCTCGTCGTATCTGAATCGTGCTTTGATGTGGCGTGATACTGGCTCGGCAGAGAGCGCTCATCTGGTGGAGTCGCATGTTATTTATCACATGTTTGGGGCACCGTAAGTGTTCGCGGATCTTGATATTGAACGGAGTGCGCTGACTGTCATGAAGGGATCAAAAGGAAGGTGTTACCGCGTTCTTTGAGAAGCGCAAGCCGAACTTCAGGGCTAACCTTGATGACAACCCACCACCAAATGTGCCTTGGTGGACGGAAGTTGACACAGGACGAAATCCGAAAGCGAAGTTGCCATCCAAGCTGTAACTTTTGACATTGTGTATCCACAAAGTGCACGGCAGATAGTCAAAATATGATATGAGGACAAATGATTGGACGCTATCAAGAACGCAGTTATGTCTCAAATGGCGTTCGGAAGTAATGTGTATATCGAAAAGTAGCCAAGCCTGACAGGTATATGAAAGGCCATTCCCTATATATTGCAATGCCCCGGCTATCAAGACCGCTAATGATAATGTAACAAAATAAACACCGACCCGGACATAAAAAGAAAGTCACCAGATTGGTTCTCGGTTGATCCCCAGAGAATTTAACTATATGGACACAAATGAGACAGAGAAAAGAAAAGTTCCAACATCACAGGTAGATGAGATAGCATTAGGCGATGAAGTTGCGACGCTTGCGGTTGTAAGCCCGCTGATCCTTCAGCCACTGCCGATAACCCTGCACACTACCGATCTTCTCGCCATAGTAATCAGGGACGGGGTTGGCGATCGAGTTGGTGGATGGGTCGACTCGGAAACGACGGATACGATCAAAGAATTCCTTCTCTTTCTGTGGCACGGATAGAACGCGTTAGTGGCCAAAAGATAACTGATGGTTGGGGTAGAATCGGGAGAATTATGTGATTCGACTGTTGGATTGCGAATACTCACTGTGTTTACAGAGGGCTTGTACTTTCTGTAGACCAGTCCCCAAACCCCATTGCCAACAACAGGGCCGACTAGCCATCCAGCGGCACCGCACGCAGCAGTCGCCAAGCCAAGGACGACGAATGGATCAAGGCCCATCACAGCGCCGCCCAGAGCCTCAAGGTCCTGGCCGGAGAGAACCTGTACTCCAGCAGTGGTACTGGCGAGGGAAGTGACAATTGAGGAAGCGAGGGAGTAGCGGCGGCGAGAAGCGCGAAGCTTGAAGAAAGAGTCCCAGTCAAGCTTGACTTCGCCATTGGAAGGAGCAGCGGTGGACTGTGATCGTAAGCCTGTGGTTGAGGGACAAGTGGCCTTGGCTTGTGGGCGGGAATCTGGGTTGAGAGTGACGAAGCCAAGTGGACGAGCTGTCGTGGAGCTGAGGCGTGTGAGCTGCTTGGATGCAGTCTGGGGAATGGTCTGCTGGATGGGGCGGAGGGCTCCGGTGAGGGAGGGTGCGGCGGAGTTTAGCCGACCGAGAGACGTTGCTGTGCGGATGGACATGCTGATAGAATTGGCATGCATTTAGGGGAGTTTGCTTGATCTGAATTGAAGGTCTAAGTCATGCAGAACTGAAGTGAGAATCAGGTGGAGCCCTTGGAACCAGAACTGTATTACATAAGCGCGCCAAGATCTGTGAAATTTATACTCCATGGACAGGTAGACTCTTTGTTTCTTAACATCCAACTGGTTATATTTGAAAGTGATCCCGAAAGCTATATGAAATATTGAGAGGCGTCCCGAAAGTCATACAGCAACATGAGAGGTAAAACCAAAATCCTTTGGCCGTTATGGCCTGATAGAAAGTGCTCGCTGGTCTTTCGAATTCCCTTTTGAGACCAAGCTTGGGTTCCAAATGTATGAAGTTATCAAATAATTTGCTGAAGATTTCCAAATAGATAAAGTTGTCGTTATGCAGTCTAAATCCACAGAAAGCTGGCTTCTATAGACCTTCCTTGCGCTTGATATCACCTGGGCGAGATTGCGGCTGGATAGGGCTACCGAAGCCATTGACACGTCCAAATAACCATTTAAGGGTTATGGTGCTAAGTGCCATCACAGTGGCACTGAGAGTGAAGAGACCAATGCGGCCTTCGGTGGGCAGAGCTTCGAAGATCGGATATGGGTACCTTGATAAATTAGTAGCGTTACTAGATCCGGGTCATGCAGACATACCATCCATTGATGGCGAAGCATTGCTCGATCCAAAACCAGTACCCGAAAGCAATGGTGCCAGATACTGCGAGCGCAGGAATTATGGAAATTGTCCACGGTGGCGAGAGCAGCAGTAGATCAATCAACATCACCACCGATGGGGTTGCGTGGAGGCTTATATCTAGAGTGATGTTAAAGCAAGTCGTGATGGGATGTTCTGATCTGACATACCGGCATGAAGAGGAATGACGACCCATTCGGGAACCACCAAACGTTCATCGATCTGGTAGAGGAATTAGATAAAAACGAATTGAGATTGGATCTAAGTCCTTACCAAGCGAAGACCCCAGTACAAGATACTAATCAAGACCTCGAGTGGAGCACTGCATATTGAAAGGATATTCTTGAGTAAAAACAGTCGGCGGGACAAGGTAATATCCGCCAGTAGGGCAACGAAAAACGTGAGGGTTGACAATGACAGGCCAATGACAGTTAAATATTGAAAATGCCAACCATATGCTTGGTTACTGTGAAACCAGCCTTAGCAGATAATCACTTGGACATAATTTAATAGATTGATGGATCAAAGCTTACGCCTCGTTGGGGTTGTCATGCAAGCTGCAGGCATATTAGCAACTTGTTTAGGTAAAGAAACGAGGGGTTTCATACTATTTGAAAGACCATAAGAAGCTTGAAAGTCCAGCCAGCTGGAGGCCAACCCGTCAGTTCCTGAAACGGGAAACTTGAGGAGAAAGGACCATGGTACTCACATGAACCAAAGCAGAAAAAGTCCGAGAAGGACTCGGCAGTCGCTGGAGCGGGTGCCTATTGATCAAAGCTTCAGCCATATCGAGTTGAACACAAGCGCTCCAATCTTTTTGATTTTTTGTGTAATCTCAAGAATCCCATTCACAAACCCTCTTTTGCTATCAAAGCGCGGCTTTAGGAACCAATTAAGTGACCTCTGAGGCACCGAGACCGCCCAACATAGCCACACGTGACTATCGGAAGAAATCGGCTTGCCGCGGAAAAAGCCGGCTTTCCGCGGTATGCCGGTCCGGGGTGACGGAATAATAATAATGCGTTATCTTATCTATGTCTATGCCCTCTTACTAAGAGCTTGCCCAGGTGCCCAAATGTCCATCCACCATGTAGTGCTTCCCCACACTTTTGGTCGGCACTTCCAGAAACATTCTTTTTTGGGCTGAAAATTGTGTGACTTTCCTTCTATTTCTTTGCAATTTTGATTCAATCCATTTACTGGTTGGTCAATCTATTGAACTTGACTCCAGTCTCAGATCTGGGATCGTCAAGATCATTACTATCAGCTTTGCATTGCTTTTCCTTCATTGAGCCATTGCTGAAGAGCAGTGGTATTCATACTTTATCTGGCACATCTCCCTCCCACACCTCGATGTGCTTGTCTACTAGGTGTGGGTGTCTGGTCGATTATCGCTTTATCGCTACTTGGGGTCAACGAGGCTCGAAACGTAGAAAGCGCGCCAACTGTGACGTGATTACGGCGTGAGCCTCGATTAGACCGGGATACAGAATTCATAAATTGAATCTGTAAGACAAGGTAGTACATCGTGACATTAGGCTGTTTCCAGTCTTCTTGAATTGTCGCTGTGTTTAGTCTGCAGACATCGGGAATCAACCAGACGCCCTTTGCCGTGCAATGCCTCGTCCTAGAAGGCCTGGTGCGCCAGAACCGAAACGTCGAAGCCGCAAAGGATGTTGGTGAGTAAGCATTCAATCGTTTCAAGAATGGCCCAGACTAACAATATCACTAGGCCTTGCAAAGCACGGAAAGTGAAATGGTAGGACGAGCTGTTTCCACCATGATGAATAAACATGGCTAATGTTCCATCACAGTGGTGAGGAAAAGCCTGCTTGTCTGAATTGTCAAAGGCAGGGTGAACCTTGTGACTATAGTGTCCGGTTGAATTGGGGAGGAAGGGCGAAACGTATGTCAGTCGACTCACCAAATTCTCAATCCAGTAGCTATGGGGGCGCCGTCATTGGGTTCTCAGATTCCTTTTCCGTCAACACTATGAGCCCAATATCGTTTCCCACCCCGACAAGCAACCCCGCAGATGCGGCTGCCGATACCATCCCAGGGGACCTGGCTTCCCCACAAGCAATATCGCCCAGTACACCAGCGCCCGCCGGCCTCTTTGACTCTCCCAGACCTGGATCTGATGGAGTGACTTCGCCAAGTCAACGAGACACTCGGTTTGCCACAAGCTGGGAGGAGCAATCTCCACCGTTGACGACCTCAGCCTCTGGGCCTATGGCACAATACCAGTTTGGACAACAGAGTTTTGATAGCACCTCTTTCCCCCCTTCCACTGCTCAGGGATCTGGCCTCGGGTCACTTTCTGCTTTTGCGTTCCACACAAACACGATGTCACAGCCAGTCTCCTTCATACGTCACTCTGTCGATGGGTCCGACCACCAGCCAGATTCGTCCAGTTTCCACGCTCAAGATGAAGGCCAACTTGTCCACGAACCACACGAAGATCATGGGATGCATCTTGCAGTAAGACCGATATCAGAGAACGGCGGTATTTCTCACAGTCCCCAAGAGGCCGGCGCCCTACATACGTTGCTTTTCGATCCACACAAAGTGTCACTTGCGGGAAGTAATGCAGCGTCATCTCCCAGACTAGGTGGGACCCCCACAACCATGGGATCTGCACACGACTATCAGAATGAAATGCTCCGCGATCATCGAATATTGACCGACAGCATGCCGAACAGCACGGGAGAAGATGATCAAGAATCTCATGAGTCTTCACTCGCCCAGAACAAATGGCAAACATACTTAAACAGCGTGACCGACAATTATGGACTAGACTCTGGGCGCCCGGACCAGGACCTGACATTCAACAACGACCACGCAGCCATAGACATCAACTATGCGTTGGATTTGATCAGCTCTCGGTGGCACAACCAGGAAGCATCACAGTCGACCACCTCTCAACCAGTTCCGGAAGTGCAGGCCCAGTTCTGCAGTGGCTATTATTCTTCCCCGGTACCCATCAATATTCCAAGGTATCTATCTCCTCTTCCATCTTCGCTGCTGGAGAACCCCATCAACCTGATGTATTTCCATCATTTCCTCAATCACACTGCCCGCATGCTTGTTCCCCATAACTGTGACAACAACCCCTTCATTTCGGTCTTGCCCTCAAGTAAGTCGTGTTACCTTTCTACAAGTCCATACTCGAAATGCTGACCGCGAAGTGGCAATTGGCGATTCGAACCTTCTCAATTTGCTGCTTGCGTACTCTGCTAGTCATCGTGCTCGGTATTTGGGACACCCTGAGCCAGCTAATCGGATTGCCCACTGGGTCAGTCGAGTTTTCCCGACGTTGCGAGTGGCATTGGAGTCATCGCACGACGACATCACTGACAGCCATTTGGCCACTGCCATCATGCTGCTATCACTAAAGATCGTTTCCCCTGGGACCTTCGAGGCGCCGATCACCTGGAAGAGCCACCTCAAGCTTGCTCGTGACCTTTTCATCGCACGAAGCGAGGACATGGCACAGCCAGGGAACAGAATCGGCGCGTTTTTCTCCCGCTGGTTAGGTTATCTGGACACCATGGGATCCCTGTCATGTCGCCAAGCGGGTCCTCCTCTAGCGATATATCATTCCATCTTGACGGCCTGTTCGTCGTCTGATGACCATGATGAGTTCGCAGTTGACTGCTTCACTGGATTTACGCCAAGAACCGGAGTATTCTTGATTCGTCTTGCTCGGCTGGTGCAGGAATGCGATAATCAACGATTTGACGAGATGGGTAATTTTAGGCATGACTGGCATGCATCTGCAGATATGGTCCTGGAGGCCCAATCGGTACTTGGTGAGATTGATGGGATCAGCGAACGCGCTCATGCCAATCCAGAGCATCACCAGGGTGTTGAGTCCTCGGACATGATCGCTATCGAGGAGGCATTCCGCTTCGCTGGTCTCCTGCATCTCCATCGACGGGTGCTAGGCTCTTCGCCCAATTCCTTCCCGGTGAAGGAAGTATTGCGCAAGCTAGTTGATGCTCTTGGGCGAATGCGCCCCGGCGCAGCCACTGAGGTCTGTTCTCTGTTTCCCTTGTTCACGGCCGGTTGTGAGTCGAGGGATGCGGGCCAGAGGTCAAAGCTTTTGGACCGATTCTTCATACTAGAGAGCTCGGGTATGAAACAGGTACGCTATGCAATCTGTCCGTGGTCTATCGTGAAGTTGTTCTAACGCTAGCTTATTAGATTCAAAATGCCCGCCAGCTCATGCAGCATTGCTGGGAGAGGAAAATGCCCTGGATTGCATTGGCCGGGGGACAGTTTTTGGGGTAGCCCTTCTTTTACTTGGTATATAAAGTGTATGTGTCTGCTGGCTACTTAGGTGATATTTGCAAACTGCAGACGCCCATGTATGATGACCTTGTATGAAACGATGTATCAATTTATTAAACATGACCAACTCACCATATTCAAAGAATATTTAGGTAGCCAGTTGTCCATAGGAGTTTCAACCACTCAAGGAATAAATCATTTGTCGGACTATGGGCCTTTCAAATAAACTCCAACTCAGCTTCTACACCAAAAAGTAAAATATGTTCTGCACCAGATCATATTTCAGCGCAGTGTAGCCCTCAACCCGCCGTAGATTGCCCCGAGACTTCCAATCCCCACACTTTCGTCACAATCGGCATGTCGGTTAGTTGATCAACCGATGTGAAATGTGGAGTCACTGCAAATGATCAATATTCCTCTGCTCATTTTACTGCCACCCGGTCTTGATTATCCCGAACTTAGGCTCAGTCCTATCATTACCTTGGTTTATGGAAAGCTATGCAAGATGCCTTGCGTCAGGGAAATCGAGAGGGAGATAAACCATGCGGCCTCTAAATATAAGAATTGCCCAGGTGCAATGCAATGACTTTCTCTCTTTTTTTTCCCTACATTGAGTATATTGTTTGTTGGGAGCAGTCGCTTAGTTGATTCCCCCCCTCCCCATCATGTATGTCGCCGCCTTGCTCCTGGGGCCCCTTATGGTGGCCGCATCTTCTGGCGTGCCGTACGAGCAATACATCCTGGCCCCAAAGTCGCGAAATCTGATTCCGGTCTCCGTTCATAGTGTGAATGGGTCAGTAGCCAATGCCAAATCCCTCACCCAATCCTCCGGCGATGGGGCCACATTCCGCGGCGTTTCGTCCGTCACATATGACTTTGGCAAGAATGTGGCTGGCCTCGTCTCTCTAGATGTTGGACATGCCTCATCTTCATCTGCTTTTTTGGGTGTCACTTTCTGCGAATCAAGTCTGTACATCAGCAACCAAGCCAGTGATGGAACTGCCGATGCTGGCTTGGACACTCCTCTATGGTTCCCAGTCGGTAAAGGGGCTGGAGAGTACACCCCTGAGGAGAAGTATCTTCGGGGCGGCTTCCGCTACCTTACAGTAGTGAGTAACACGACTGCGACCGTGCCGGTGCACAGTCTCCGGGTGAACTATACCGCTGCCCCGGATCAAGATCTCCGCGCCTACACCGGGTACTTCCACTCGGATGATGATCTTGTCAACAAGATCTGGTATGCTGGCGCGTATACTAATCAGCTGTGCACAATCAATCCCAAACATGGCAACTCGCTTGTGCATTTGGGTGAGATTAGCTCTTCGGACCATATCGAATTGCCTGAGACTGATACCTGGTGGAACAACTACACCATCACCAATGGAACCAGCACGATCACCGATGGCGCAAAACGCGACCGTCTCGTTTGGCCTGGTGATATGTCCATTGCCCTCGAGAGTATTGCTGTCAGTACCGGAGACTTGTACAGCGTTCGTACGGCGTTGGAGGCTCTCTTTGTCTTGCAAAAAGCCAATGGCCAGCTACCTTATGCGGGAAAGCCATTCTTTGACACTGTGAGCTATACATATCACCTTCACAGTCTGATTGGCGCTTCATATCTGTACCGCTTTTCTGGTGACAAGGATTGGCTTTCCCGCCACTGGTCTCAGTATAAGCTAGGCGTGCAGTGGGCTGTATCCAGCGTGGACAGCACCGGCCTAGCAAATATCACCGCCAGCGCTGACTGGTTACGATTTGGCATGGGAGGACATGTAAGTACCAACTCTATCTTAATAGATAAGGAGATTCTAACCAGGCATCCAGAATATCGAAGCGAACTCCATCTTATACTATGTCCTCCAGGATGCGCAGAAGCTTGCGGTGGAGCTCCAAGATACATCCTCTGCTGCACAATGGAAGCGAATCGCATCCAAGATCAAGATTGCCGCCAACCAGAAACTCTGGGATGACAAGAGCGGACTCTACATTGACAACGAAACTACAACTCTCCATCCCCAGGATGGAAACGTATGGGCTATCAAAGCAAACCTGACACGGTCAGATAAGCAAAGCTCCACCATATCCAGTGCTTTGAAAGCGCGCTGGGGTAAGTACGGAGCACCGGCCCCAGAAGCCGGTAAGACCGTATCGCCTTTTATCGGCGGCTTCGAGCTGCAAGCACACTACCTCGCCAACGAGGCCAACTCAGCCTTGGATTTGATCCGTCTACAATGGGGCTTTATGCTGCAAGACCCGCGGATGACTCAATCTACTTTCATTGAAGGTTATTCAACTGATGGGTCCTTGCACTACGCACCATATACTAATGACCCGCGCGTTTCCCATGCGCACGGGTGGTCCACGGGCCCGACATATGCTCTGACTGCGTATGCGGCAGGTATTCAATTGACTGGAGCGGGCGGCTCTACCTGGACTATTGCGCCACAACCGGGAAATCTGACTACTGTTGATGCTGGCTTTTCGACTTCTCGTGGGAAGTTTTCCACGTCATTCCATCATTCTGGTGGAAAGTACAGTCGTTTCTCTTTCACAACTCCGTCCAATACTACTGGAGAAGTCTTCTTGTCGGGTACTAAGGGCGTGCTGGTGTCTAAGAGTGGGAAACAGACTGCACTTTTGAATGGTTCAGCCACTGGCTTGAGCGGGGGCACCTGGGAGTTGCATAGTCAATAGATTTCTGCGATTCTATGAGCTTCAAAACAGTACTCGATTATATGATTCAATCATATTAAGATCTCTCACAATGTGCGCGACGAATAGACAACTCACCTAGCTACAGGGTCAGCCTACTTTGATAGCGATTGGTACATCAACTAGAGGGCCTTTTATTAGTCACTCGCCAAGTATTGCCCATTAATTGTGACTATCTTTTGATTGTCGAGTCTTGTACAGAGTAGTCCCCAATCTTTGATACATTGGTTCATTCTCTGAAACAAACAATGTTTTCAATGGTTAACTTCCTGCTTCTATAGAAAGGTCTCGGCAGTAACAAACTTGTGAGGTGTGAAAACAGCTCCTGTAATATGTAAACTGCAAACTGCGAATGTGCGAATCAAGAAGAAATATATGCCATTGTACCGGAACTTTCACGTCTTCCACATTTGATGCCACGAACTCTTTCATGGCTGACAAAATTTGCTGCAACAACGATCCTTATTTAGAAAAGGATGCTGAAATCTTTGGTTGGCTACTTCACTTGAAAAAGAGTGCTATAGTTCGGAAAATGAGTAGAGCTCCCAGGCCAATAGATATCAACTGAGTGAGACATCATACATACCCAATTTGCAAAACCCAGACAACGAGGAACATACAAGACAATTAATTCACTCTGCATCAGAACTCAGCACATTCTGTTCTTTGTTTGAACAGATCAGCAAGACTGTGACCATGAAAGGAAAGCGATGAATGATAGATGTATGTATTTAGGGATAAACCAAAATGAGGTATGATGAAATGAGACAGCTGTGATATGAGATACATTTCAAAGAAGAAGAAAGACCCATTGATCTCATTCCATCAATGCCCTAACAAAAGGCCGTTTCAAGATTTCCACATGGATAAACTTCTCTAAAAGCTTTCGATATCAAGGTTCGAAGTACCAAAGACAATGTCACTAGACTGAAGGTCATCATTGAGGAGGCATGAATAAATGGATGGTAGAGAATTGGTGGATTTGTCTTTCAACGTGTCTAGAGTGGATCATTGTATGTTCATTGAAGTAAATTACAAAAGTAGATATCTAGAATACAGATTGACAAAACCCAATTTCCCAAATGAATTATGTTCATAGAAAGCCATCAACAGAATGGCAACTTCCTCACCTCTACCTTTTGACAGAACAATCAAGCCTTCTTGGTCTTGGCCTTGGAGCTGCGCACCCGGAACAGGTAGTAGAGTGTGATAGCAGCGAAGATATTAAAAACAAAATAACACCAGAAGATACCATAGTTCCTCCAGCGGTCCTCCCAGTAGATCTTGCGAGCAGCGAGATATTGATCTGCAGAGCTGATAGAGCAGTACTCACAGCTTGAGGTAGCATTCCAATTCGAAAGCTTTCCTGCCGCCGTCTCAAGGTATTTTCCCATGTACTGGCCACAGGTCTGACCGGATGGTGGATCAAATACACTCATCTCAGCCGCATTGCACTCCACCTCACGATTGTGGAGCGCAGTAGCGCCGATTCCACCGATGTAGTATGTGAACGGCGAGACTCGGTACATGAAGATCCAGAAGCGAGGGAGATCATCGGGCGGCTGCATCACACCGTTGAAGATGAAGGAGAGACCGAACATCAGGGTAGCGAGCATGGCTGCCACGGTAGGTTCTGGAATCGCGCAGACCACCAGCTGTGCCATACTTGCGGCGTAGATGTAGAACTGAACGATGAAGAGCATGATCAAAGCGCGGCGCTCGCCGTCTTGCTCAGGCCCAATGACAGACCAATAGAAGCAGGCCCAAGCGCAGACACCGAGACAAACTTGGAAAGGAATCTCGACAAGCATCTGGGAGAGAATGAAGACTTTCCAGGAGTAAATGCGGGATGGACGTTCGCGAACTTCGTACAGAGAGCGCTGGACAACGAACTTCGGCATGATTTGGTTAACCAGAGTGTTGAAGATCGTACACAGGAGGAAAACACTAAAAAGCACATTTTGGAAGCCTTGCTGGGTACTATCTGACTTCCAAAAAGAGAAGCCGATGAAGAGACCAGAAACAATACCGAGAATGAATTTGGCGTAGATGTATTCTGGCTGGCGGTAGTATTGCTGGAAAACACGACCAAGTACGTAGTACAGCTGGCTGTGTAGTGGCATGGCAAACTCGGCGTTGTCGTCATCCAGTTCTTCGAGGGCTGATTGGTGCACAGATACCTTGCGGGAATGAAGCCTTTCCACTTCGGCCTGCACCTCTTGACATTCGGGACTTTTGTTCCAAGCATCGACCCAGTCAACCGAGGACGAATCGCCAGCGACCATCTCAAGCATGTATTCAGCAGGGTTCTCGAGTGGGGCACAGGGACGAGCGCCATTGTGCTCGAAGTATTTCAGAAGCTTTGAAGACCCAGCTCCGATGTCTCCGAAATACACGGTCTTTCCGCCCTTGGCGAGGAAGAGCAAACGGTTAAAAGTTTGGAACAACTGGGAGCTAGGTTGATGGATTGTGGCAAGAACAGCCTGGCCGTGGTCTGCCAATCTTCGGAGGAATTGACAGATAGTCCAAGAACTCTGGGAGTCCAGGCCACTGGTAGGTTCGTCCAGGAAAATGAGGAGAGTGGGTTTCGCCGCGAGTTCAACACCGATGCTGAGCAACTTCCTTTGCTCGACGTTCAGTCCTTCTCCGAGGCTTCCCACCACGGCCTCAGCGAAATCTTCCATTCCAAGAACCTTGATAACCTGCTCCACGTAGTCATACTTTTCTTGCTTTGATACCTTTTTGGGCTGCCGAAGCATGGCACTGAAACGCAAAGCCTCTCTGACTGTAGTGCTGTCCAAGTGTAGATCTTGCTGTTGCACGTATCCAGTTCGACGGGGGAAGTTTGCTGCAAGGTCCTTGCCGTTCACGAAGATATCACCGGAGACGACACCGATGGAGACTCTTTGGGCCAGCACATCCAGAAGAGTTGTCTTTCCAGCACCGGAAACACCCATCAATGCGGTGAGGCTGCCAGGCTTGACCCAGCCATTGACGTTGTCCAACAGTCTTCGGGTACCCTCTTTCACGGGGATGTCATAGTTGAGTGCGTTCCATGACAGGATGTCATTTTGCTCCGGAAGTCCAATAGTGTCGTTGGTAGCCTGCAACTCAAGTTTGTTGACTTCTTCTTCTCCAAGCTCGATGCTGTGACCCTTCTGAAGATACTCGGGGGCATGTCCAGGGCGGAAGACCAATGCTTCCGCCTTGGACTTGTCATTGGAGATGTACTCGGTGGCAACCAGGTAAAGGGTATTGAGAGCGATAAGAAAGGCGATGAGAATTCCATAGTTGCGCCACAAGTGTGAGTAGTGATACTGATAGTTCTTCTCCATGAAATCGTCCCCAGACACAGTCCGCTGGCCAGCCACTGCACCGACAGTAGAGCAAATGAACGAGGTGCCTGTTCCATAGCTTGGGATGAATGCGGAGCAGTCAAAAGTTCGGCCATGAAATTCGTTGGCAACAAGAGATTCGAAGGTATAGTAGATGGGGTTGATCCACCGAATCCAAGAAAGCCATGGGTGCATGTATGGCTGTGGCAAAGTAAATCCAGTGTAGACAACAATACAAAGCACAAGTACACCAGCAATTGCCATCGCCTGTCCAACGGTCTTGGTCAATGCACCAACACTGCGGAAGAGGCCAGACATGGAGAGGACTGCGGTGAGTAGGAAGAGGTAATGAATGAAGAAAGCTCCTGGTTCGCGACGTAGATTGGCCATGAAATAGAGTACGATCGTGAAAATAGAGATTCGTACTAGTTTGATCGGTAAGTCGACGACGAGACTGGCTAATGCTTCGGTGAATGGGTGGACGAATGCATAGCCCGCTTGTTTCTCAACCACGGGGCGTTGGGCATAAAGCTGAAGGATTTCGTTGATCGTGAGAAGAGCATTCATGAGCACAGCAAAGTACATCACTGCACCCTTCTGGAAAAAGTAACTGGAGGTGTCAGGGGTCTGGTAGAAAATGGATCCAATAATGAGAGAGAGAACAATCTGCACAATAACCGGTGAGATGGCTGTCGGCAGATCTTGAAGCATTCGCTGGTAAGCTCTGTGCATGCAAAGCCGCACTTGCATGGGGATGGAGAGGAGATAGGGACTGCGAGCGCGGGTATGGCGAGCCTGCTGTTCTTGGTGGCTGTCTTGGAGTCTTTTAGCATCACTTCCGTTCGGTGGATGTTGACTCTCGAAATTGGAGATATCTTTTTGAAGCATTTGATACTCAGGACTCCTTCTCCAGTGCTCGGAGAATTCCTTCGCAGTGCGAGGCACCTTGCCCTCCATGCCAGGCAGTGCCCTGCGCTCTGCTGGGTTGGTGATGGCAGTTAGGAAGTCACCACTAACTTGACGTTCGGGTCGTTCCCAGCCCATATCTTGGAAGTAGCCAACTGCACGCTCCCTGGATCCGTAGTAGATCTGGTATCCTTCATATAGTAGGACAACCTTGTCGAAGAGATCATACATAGACTGCGATGCCTGATAGGCTGCAATGGCATGGCACGATGAGCCCATGTCAGCAGAAAGACGCAGTGACTTGACAAATTTGAGAGCGGATGCAGCATCAAGACCACGGGTGCTGTTGTCCCATGCTCCGATGCGACAGCGGGCCAAAAACATCTCAGCAATACTGACTCGCTTTCTCTCGCCGCCACTGACACCGCGCACAAACTCACTGCCCACTTTGGTGTTGTAGGTATGAGACAAGCCAAAGACAGAGAGGACGACCTGTGTAATGGTCTTGACATACTCGTTGCGTGTCACGCCCTCCAGACGCTGGTGTGGTGCACGAGCATGGGCAGCAAACTCGAGAGTCTGGCCTACAGTCAAGTGGGGGAAATGCAGGTCGACCTCTTTGTTGTATGCGACTTCACCTCTGTGGTGTTTAATCATGTGGTCGAACCCGACTCCTTCGTAATGGAGTGTACTCCCGGGTTCCAAAGTTAGGCCACCGAGGTGGCCGGTGATGGTCTTCATAAATGTAGTACATCCACTCCCTGGTCGACCAAGAACCAGGAGTAACTCACCACCTTGTAGAAGGCCATCAAAGCTGTGAAGGATTTGTCTGGGTGGCGAAACACGACCAGTCAGAGCTCTTGCCGCAGCTCGGAAAGGAACTGTCAAGCTGGAAGTGAGGGTTTCTTGATACTGCAAAGCAGAGCCGGAGCCGCTCACGCATAGATTCGAAAACACGACGCCTTGGTGTGGGAGCTCAATGCCTGCATCATTGACCTGGTCCAATATCATCTGTGCCCATTGGCGGTGATCGAATAGTGGGTTGGTGGGATCGAGATGCGGGGGAATCCCATCTTTGCGGCTTGCTGATTTGGAAAGTTGTTGACCCAATTTGCTCGATGCAATGCGTGTAAGGGTTTGTTGTTCTCGTTCTTCTAGAACGGTGGCAATCCGCTCCGTTATAGGAGCGAATTCGGGCTCATCGTAGTCTTTCTCCATGTTGGAAAGACGGAACACGATGAACCGTCAAGACTGAGAGTTGTACAATCTAACATCGAGTATCAACGAGCGGGGACCCTATCATCTTTTAATTGAAATCTTCTCGGGAACGGAGCACTCATGTGGAGAGGATTCATTATATTCTCGGGGATTATACTTGCCGATGTATAACGGAGGAACGGACCCCGTGTCACCGATCACCGATCGGATTTAAGCCCTAAGAACCTTGATTTCACGCATTTAGATCTGATAATGAGTGAGCTTCTTGTATGCCGTTTGAGATTTTGACAATTTCTTTCAATAATTTAGCCAGTCATTCTCAAACTGAGAAACAAAACGAGCACATGGTAGACAAAAAATTAAGAAACCAAATTGCGAGTATCGTCAAGTGGGTACATAAATCGCCACTATTTCCTTTAGATATGCCGATCCCACTTCCCTTAACTCCGTACGCTTCAGGATTTGGTCCCTGTATGGAGGAGTGAGAGCCAGATTGTAATTTTTCATTCTTACACTAAAGTAATCAAAGACAGTATATTACCTAAGTTAAACTCCGTACATCATGCATAGGTTATGCCAGCCAAGATTATATACTAGTATATACATAACTAAATATACTTCCGTTGTTGTATACGAGTTTCTCGCTCTTAGTGGATCCAGACATGAATTGTATGCCGGGCATACTCCGTACATACGTTATATGTACTAATTATATATCCCGATGCCTCCTATCCCCTATCCCCTATACTACGTACAACTACTACCACTACGGAGTATGATTGTACCTACAGTAGGCACAAGAATAATTCTATCTCCACATGGGGTCCACTTTAGCCCACTTGATGCGTTGAGATCTATTTTATTCCCTTTTTTCCTTTTTTTTTCACCAATCTGGACTCTGTCCAAACTGGGAACATTATCCTTTACATAACTGCTGAAGCATTAACATACCATGTCATATATAATCACTGATATATATTCTCTGCAGGACTATCACTATTTTTTAATGCTGATATGATGTTTCTCGCAGTTTTTTTTTTTTTTCGCATTTTGTAGTCTCTGATGGTATTGTATAGCTTTTGGAGTTCGGGTCACCCGTATCTTAAAGCCCTAGTCCAGAAGCCCTACTTTCCGTTTCCAGATCGGCTTCAGCGCGTTGTTGATGCGCGTTTGGCGGGACACTCTTTTCCACGTCAACACATTTCCAAGCATGGTCAGCATTCTAGATTTTCCACCAGAGCTGCTCCATCACATTTTGGTCTTTGTAGCCGACAGCGAAGGGCTTCCAAGGCCAATAGGAGACACGAAAACTCAGGATGTGAAGGTAACGGAGCTAGACGAGGATGATGGTGATGATGACTGGGTGGACGAGGATGACATCGACCTTGACGAGGATGAAGATCTGGATAACAACGAAGATCTCTGCAATATCTGCTTGGTTTCACGTAGATTCCGCGACCTAGCGCAACCTCTTCTCTTCCGTTACCTTGGTGATGAGAATCTACGTGGCGGTCTGCGCAAAACCGTCTCTTTCGTCAAAACTCTCTATCTTCGTCCAGACCTTGGAAAGTATGTCCAAGAGGTTAACATTCTCCCGACTTCGTTCGGTCCCCACGATATCAAGCCTCTCGATGCGGAGAACGTCGCCATCTTCAAAGCCGCGATCAAGGACATACAACTGGGCGATGAGGAGGCAAATTGGGTTAGCGCCATGGAGAACGCCGAGCTCAGCGTCTTTGCGGCACTCCTGGCCAATAAGACCCCGAACCTTCGCCGTTTGCATCTACCCGGCGACCAATTCTTCCCGAAGCCATTCACCCATCTCTTCAGTCGAGTCCCGTCCTTCCTGTCGAACCTCGAGCATCTCTGGATAGACTGTGACGTGGATTTTCCAGGCTACAGAATTGTGGACTATGAGCCATTCCTAACTCTTCCCAAACTCAAATTCCCGACCTTCAAGTGTGGCAATCTCGACGGTGCAAGGTTTCCTTCTACCTGGACAAAGGAGGCTTTGAGCTCAGAAAATGTAGTCTTCCGCCTATGCCATATTGACGCCGATGCCATCCAAAAATTCATCAAGGCATGCAAGGCCCTCAAATCGTTCAGCTTCCACAACTTCACCTTGGATCCACGCGAAATACGGATGCCAAGTGGTGGACATATGATCGAGTTTGATGCCGCAAAAGCCCACGAGGCCCTACTCCTACATAAGGACACACTCGAGCACATGCATCTCGAGTTTTCACGGGACCCATGGGACATCGAAAACGTCCGGCAATACACAGATACCTGCGTGAAGATCCCATTGCTCGATAGCTTCAGTGTCCTTGAAACCATTATCCTTCCACACGCCGTTCTTTCCCAACACCCTCGTTTCCCTAGTTCGCTGAAAGCACTCCAGGTCACCGACTGTAACTCGTCTGTTCAAAACATGGTCCAGAACATCGCGAAAGATTGCGAAAATGGAATGTACCCGAACTTCATCGACTTCAAGGTCTTGGCCCTTGATATCACTGCCCCGATCAAGCTTCCGGGTCAACGTGTTCCACGGGGGAAGACCCCTGAACAATGTTTCCACAGTCTCCGGGATCTGTTCAAAAGGACCAGCGTCGAGTTTCAGATCTCTCCATACAGACCGCCTGACCTGGACGAGTTTGATGACCTCGGTCTTGATGATGATGATTATGATGAATATGATGACCTTGCACATCTTGACGATGACGATGACGATGACGATGACGATGACGATGTTGAATATCAATTCCCACCCAGACCGCCTGGAATGGGAGGCATCGGGCCAATGCCTCAAGCGCTTCTCGATATGTTTATGCAGCGGGCCATGCAAGACCCTGATTTTGCGCACCTCCGCGGCGGAATATAAACATCGGAATCTTGGCCCCGTTCTTGCTTATGGGAGCTTGTTTGACCATCTGTGGGTATCTCAGCCCATGATCCATTAGTGTCGGGCGTCCCATTTCTACAAATATATATCTTAGCACAGAGTTACTTTTTAGCGTGATTTTAATCAATACAAAAGGGAAAGGTAGTGTATAGTTTGGAATTGACATGGCGAAGTGTGTGACATCACTCGGCATTGAAAGTCCTTGCTGTCTTTGGAATGATACCTGTGGATGTCAATGCTTGGGGAGGTGAGTGAAAACATTCTTGAGGCCCAGAATCCTGGTCTTGATGTTAGTATCGAGAGGCTACCTAGGTAGTGAATTGGAACGGGACAAGGATGCATTAACTGCTATCAAGCCCTCCCAAGGTCCACATTGGTGGCAATGTGGCATTGTGGCATTGGTGGGAGAATTTCCTAACGATTTTTCCTATTGGATTCTATGCCATGGGCATTGACTTTTAATCGTGTCCATTGTTTCAGACCTTGGTGCTTATAACAATCGTTGGGAACGAAATATAGAAAGGTCCCTACCTAGGTAGGTAAAGAACCCATGAGGGTCCGAAGCCCTAAAAAGTGGCGCGGACATATACCCAAACTCAAGTAGTCAGCAATATACATAATCAACATATATAAGTAAGCCGTTCCAAGGTCCACTTGTGCCCAACCCAGACAACCTTGCAAGTCTTCTTCCCCGCGATCTAAGAACTACAATATGTTCCCCCCACCTATCGATATAGATTGGTCTACTCTGGGCTTTAAAGTCCGAGATGGTATGATATGTTTTTTGTCCTCAATAAGAACAAAGAAATAATCTTATTATAACAGGCAATGGCCACATCGAAATTCAATTTTCTGATTCGAAATGGTCGGAACCCAAAGTTGTCGCCTCGCCTTTCCTTTCAATTCATGGAATGGCACCAGGACTAAACTATGGGCAACAAGTTTACGAAGGTCTCAAAGCCTTCCGGCATCCGGAGAACTCCAAAATCACTATTTTCCGACCTGACCGTAACGCGAAACGCATGCAGCACTCGGCAGAGGTGGTTTCCATACCACCTGTGCCGGAAGACCTATTTATTGAGTGCGTGGGACGGGCAGTAGCCATCAATGCCGAGTGGGTACCGCCCCATGAGTCCGGCGCAGCAATGTACATCCGGCCCATGCTATTCGGATCCTCTGCGCAGCTAGGTCTGAGTCCACCCGATGAGTATACGCTTGCGGTGTTTGCGATGCCGACTGGAGTGTATCACGGGGCGAGTGCAGTTGATGCCTTGATTTTGGAGGATTTCGATCGTTGCGCACCATTCGGGACGGGAAATGCCAAAGTCGGTGGTAACTATGCTCCTGTTTTGAAGCATAGTGATCGGGCCCGCGGGGAGGGCTTCGGTATTACCCTTCATTTGGATAGCGCGACGCGCAGTGAGGTTGACGAGTTTTCGACGTCCGCGTTCATTGGGGTGAGGCGTGATGGTGAAAAGGTGACCGTTGTTCAGCCCGATAGTCGCAATGCGATTGATTCAGTTACGGCGGCCTCGGTTCTGGACATTGCACGCTCTCTTGGGTACCAGGTAGAGAAGCGGCGGGTTGCCTATGATGAGCTGCGTGAGTTTAACGAGGTGATTGCTGCCGGAACGGCGGCCGCGTTGGTCCCTGTTGGGAGCATCACTATGCGATCGCGGGGGGATAAGTTTGAGTACAACGTCGGAGCGCAGAAGGAGGGTGGAGAGATTTACAAGAAGTTGCTAGAGACTCTTCGAGGGATTCAGTCCGGGAGCGCCGAGGATACTTTTGGGTGGAATTACGAGGTTCCGGCGCTACCCAAGGGATGGGAAGTGAAGGGACATGAGGCTGAGCAGAACAGTGCCAATTTCCCTTGATCAACTCCGATAGATCACTTAAGTCTGCCTGAAAACTAAAACATTTGAATCATTATAACAGCGACCATGGTAAAAGGGGGTATAAAAAGAGGTAAAAAGAGATGTGCAAAGAGATTTGATGTAAAGAAGCTATAAGAAATTTTAGCTTTAAACATGTATAGAAAGTGAAGCCGACCCCTGGCCGCTATGTACCTTTGCGCTCCACTCGAGAACTTGAAGCCAAACGCTTGAGCAAGTATTGATATAACTTCCCAAGGTCCCAAAAAGGATCAAGTCCCACCTTCCTATCAGTCTTTCGTATAATTCTGTGGAGTCTTTTCCAAAGAACCCGTTTTCAGCTGTGAATACATTGTGAACATGAATATATTGTGTGCTACATTTGATCAGTTTACTGGATTGAAATCAGTTTATTGGCGAGTAGTTGAGTTCATATGATGGTCACAGATTAGTGAATAAGTTACGAGTTGATAATGCACAACAAGGCAGAATATAACACAGTGGGCGAATCCACAAGACTCAGGACTTCAGAGGCCAAGGCTTTTGAAGTTTGGTCATTTGCCCATCAGGCATGATGTCTCCAGAGTCGCTCACGGAAGAATCACTGTCAGAGTCATCGTCAGAGTCATCGAAGATTTTAACAACGCCGGAATAGGCGGCCACCGGTTCTGGTGCAGGTGGAGATGGAGGTGCAGCGGCTCTGGCAGCTAAGTCTGCCTGCTGATCTTGCATTAATTCTTTCAGGGTCCTGTGGGGTGGCATTCCAACCGGGGGCCTGATGGGGCTGGACCTTGGGATCTCTGTCTTTGGCTTCTGTTCAAGTCTCTGCAATGACATCCGCAACGGAAGAAGCTTGAGGCGTTGAATTTCTCGTTTGGCGACTTCAACTTTGGTCATTCGCTTCAAGATTTTCACCATATCGGTTACAACGGACTCAGTTTCAGTGTCAATGTTTGGACGTTGAAGCAAGAGTTCAAGTGAGGCTAATTCCTCTTTTTCCTGCTCCCTGAGTCTGGCTTCATCGGCATCCTTGATCCTGGACTTGGGCTTGTCTCTTGTGCCTTGATGAGCTTCTTTGGTTGAAGTGGGGGTGCCATCAGGAGAATCTTTGGGATAGAGGTGCCGAATGGAACTAGCGGATGGTGTTCCCCGATTGATATCGAAGGCAGAAGAGTTGGGTGTTTTCTCGGGTGCCTTCGCCTTGGAAGTGGCACTGCTGGGCGCCGGGGCTAAGAGCCGCTTTCGCGAGCTGACGATGGTAGGGCGGGAATTTTCAGCGCTAGGAGAAGAAAATTCTGTAGCAAGTTCGTGGGGTAACTTTCGAAGGGGCAGGTTGCTGGCACCGCTCCTTGTGATGCCCAAGCCCATCCCCTTTTCGCGCCTTTCTTGCTCATGAGCTGCGACCATTTGCTGAGTTTGATCCCCATTTCTGGGCATATGCGGACTGGAGGAGGAATTCGGCTTTGGGGCCACGGGCTGGGCTTTGGAAAGTGGGATTTGCGATTTGATTTGACGAGGTGTATCATGTGGAGATGTGCCACTCGAGAAATTGGACATGGATAACTCCCGTCGCGATGGATGAGCCCGTTCTAAACGTGGTTCCTTGACTGCAGAAGGCCACTCGACGCTCTGCTTGCGTTTCCGGGAGACGGCGCTGGGTTGTGTTTTAGCGACCGAGTGATCGAGGCCAATGAATACATCACCATCTGCCTCAACATCGTCATTCTCACTGGCAATAGATTTGTGAACTTGAGCTTCGTTGAGATGGTCCTCGATTTCGTTCTGGGAATTGCCCTCAGAGGTCGAGTCCGAGCCGCTGGATTGACGATCTTTTGAAACATCATTATTCACCGTGTTTTCCTTCTTCAGCTGGTCATGGTCGTCCTTGTGCGGGCTTCCATCAGAGCTCGAATCGGAATCTTCAGTTGAATCGCCCAAGTCAAAGACGCCTGGCTGCCGTTGCGAGGGCCGAGATCGGCTTTGGGAGACTGTGGCCAAGGGTTCTTCTTGAACAGACTTCACATCATCTGGTATTTGCGAAATGCGGCGAGTTGCCACTGAAATCTTACCCTGAGTTGCATCCTGTGACTTTCTTTTGGATTTAGGTTGGTTGGCGGTCACAGGGGCAGGTTGAGAGCTGGGTTTGGCAAGGGAGGATCGTTCTGGCTGAGCTGGGGATGGCCATTCGCCGAGCTCTTCACTTTCAGCTCTCTGGGAAGGCGTACCAGCGATGGTGGGGCGATTGGTAGGGGGGTGAGATAGGTCTTGGTCATCAGCTTCGACCGAAGAAACGACACCTTGGTGGCGCTCAGAGGTGAAATCATGGGGAAATGGCGTTAGGTTTTTCTCTTGTTGTTTGGATTGAGATAGATCCAACAAATGAGACCACGAGCCGCCGCAAGAAACTTCATTCTCGTCTTCCTCGACGATGGGTGAAACTCGGTTGGCCGCAGCCTTCTTTTCCGCATCACGACTGCGCTCATACGCCGTGATAACAGCATCCCAGTCATGATCAACGGATGGGAACCTCTCTGGCGCGGCAGCCGCGAGCTTTTGGATGACACGCACCGAGCCACGCTGGTCAAGGCCATCGGAGCGAGCCTTGCCAAAGTCAACCCAGACATCCGCGACTGTCAACTCGGGGTAAAGTTCAATATTGTCTGCGGCATCATCGAGGATTTTCTTGATCATGAGAGGCCTAGTAGAGCTTATGGTGAGCAATTGGTCCAAGAATTCATCGGATCACCAAATGACACTCACGGTAACTCTGGGTGTAGATAGCTCCATTTCTTTTGTATTTGACTCGCTAGGCCGCCAAGATTGATCTCTTCCGGGTTTTCAATTGGAAGGAGAAAGATACCAGGTTTCTGTTGCGTGACTGAGCTCGGGAGAAGCTGATCCTGGAAGACCTTGATTGTAAGGCGGAGGAACACCATCGTAATGAGATCGTTGGATCTCAAATTGATGTTGAACGCAAGCAATGGAGTGAAATAAGATAGATGAATGAAGAGAAGAGAAGAGGAAGGAGATAGGAACAATAAAGGTCTGACAATAAAGGTGGGACAACAAAGACGCGGCAGAAATTGAAAGCACACGTCCAGCGAGATGATCCACTTGGGCGATCTATCAACGCGTTTGGTGCCTGAGGCTCCACTCTATATAGCTACCAAGGTCATCCTATTTACTTCTTCAACTAAGTTTGTGAAGGTATTGTTCTATGCATTTACAAGTCCTTTTACCCTGAGTAACAGTTTCTATAATGTGGAGGAGGTATAAAATCTAGGTAATTTGCTTGTACTAACGAAAAAGACTGAATCGTTCATGTATATCCAATCTATTCAGGCGGCACAAAATACCGTTGGAAACGATCAAGATGGGTCAAACGCAAATCAACAATGACCTCGTGGCAACTCATCAATAGACTGGGAAACTTAACCGTCCAGAAGATTAGGTACCCCTCCGGCAAGCCCCCGATATGTGTCTTGAGATACTCCGGCATATCATTGTAATGATTACGTTTATTGCGAAGCGCTCGAAGAAGATCCAACATCCGAGAGCCGGTATACTTGCGCTGCTTGCCAAGATTGTCTTTGAAGTCGCGTGGCAAAGCGCGCAAGAAATCCATATCAGGTCCCATGACGTTCCTGGCAACGGATTCCAGGCACACCAGGGCATCTGAAGGGGGATCTCGGGGCTCAAATTCAAAGTGATCAGAGACATCGCACAAGAAATTGAGTCGGTCGGACGGGGTCCAGAAGAATGGATGCATCAGGACTGCGCTTGCATCGGGGCGCTGGCGGGGATCGAGAGACAGCATTGAACGGATGAGATCTTTCGCCTCGAAAGCGTAGTCTCCGAGCCGGTTCAATTCCTGAAGATCGAATTGACCCTTGACGATGTTTGCTTCACGCATAAATTTGCCATTCTTGTCGAAAGGATGACTACCGTGAGTCAGAACATAGTAGAAGACACACCCCAGTGAAAATATGTCGATGGCTCGGGTGGCGCGACGGTTTGTCTGCGGGTCGACAACTGCAGGCTCTGAGGACTCGGTATGCTGCGATGCCAGGGAAAGGGGACCGTTATCGTCGTCGACAAGAAGCTCGGGGGCTCGCCACCCTGAAGTTCCAGCGGCATGGGCCGTGGTCGCGCGGAATGAGCTTTGGTTGTCATCCAACTTCTTGCACAAACCAAAATCGGAAATGAGCAGTCGCAACGACCGTGAAGTGGTACGGCCACGATGCATGGCGACCAGGATATTCTGCGGCTTCAGATCACGGTGGACAATTTTCAGAGAATGCAAGTAACGGACACCTTGGGTGATCTGACGCAGGACATCTGGCAGATCCAGTCCGTTTTGTACTAGCTCGGGGTAGCTAACAGGGCGTTCGATGACATCCTGCAGAGATGCTGGACAAAGCTCAAGGCCAATGTACAAAAATCCGGTAGCTTGCTCACGGCAAAAGTATCGAATCACGTTGTGATGGTCGTCACTCTCCTGCAACAGACCCACCTCATGAGAAGCTATGTCATAGAATTCCATAAGCATGCGCTTGACGGCGACGTCTCGTCCATCAAAGGAGCCGCGGTAGACCACAGTTCCATGGCTGCCGTGTCCCAGAACAACATCGGTGAACACTTGCAGCCGGCCAATGCGAACGACACCATCCATTTCCTGGATCTCGTTAGACACTGTGCGCGTCATTTGAATATCAGGCTCCAGTCGAGACTGCGGAGCCATGTTATTGACTTGCTCAACAACCTGATCAGCCGCCTCGGGACTGTCACCTTCACTGCCAGGCTTCTTGCGACGGCGGTGCGATTTCCCGCCTCGGGATCCACGAGCGCGTGGCTTTTTCTTGGGCTTCCCAGGCTCATCGCCATCCTCATCATCGGGCCCACGGGAGGGCTCGCGAATCTGGACCCGTGGAGTAGAATCCGAGACCAGACTGTGCTCTCGAGAGGCACGAGGGGTGGACTCGCTTTTTGGAATTGAGTCATCCAGGTCCACATCGACTGTCACATTCGGGACTTCTTGGTTTGGCGTGGATGAACGTTTGATATTCGGGGTGCCGTCGATAAGAGGGGTTGAGGGGGCTGACAAGGACGTCTTGTCATTGGAATTGATGATGTTCTTGATGTCCAGCTTTTGCTTAGCCAAGTCGCGCAGGTGGTGCGAGTTGAAATAGATGAAGGTGCAAATAAATAGTAAGATCAAGGTCACTACAATATCCAAGGCATTGTCCCAACTCTTGCGTATGATAGCACTGTTTCGGAGAGCTGGAGGCAAAGCTAGCTCCGAGGGGCTGCGGAGAATGTCTCTGGGTGTATCATTGGAAATCCCGGAGGTGGATGACCCGGCAATTCTTGGGATGGGTGGGCGGACGATGCGAGGGCCAGTGAGAGAATGAACACCAGCAAGCACATTCCGCTGCTGACGTGGTGTTAAGCTCATGAGAGCTTGTCCTCGACGGAGGAAATCTTTGTCGTAGCATTGAGCCATTGGGGCACGACCTGTAGCCAAAGGGTATGTTTCCTCCGAGAATGCATACCACCCACCTGCCTCGGTGCAGTCAATGTACACGCGCAGGTCTCGCTCATCATCGAGCGAGCCATAATCCGGGTCGGGTGGCTGTAGTGGCTGGGACAATAGCACCAGCGGGGTCGAGGCATCGGGTGCGTTTTTGTTGGCGGGGCGAACGACATCGAATACTCGGGCGACGGGGGAGGAGAACCGCTGGGTGTATCGCGGCCGATCCATGCGTGAATGATCAAACCCTAGGACAACACCATCATGCATACTGTAAATATGGCTTTGATCCATCGTACGGTAATATTGGCTCTGGAGATCCATGTCGCGGTTGTTCGGTGCCCATTCGGAATATTTCAGCGTGCAAATCGGATCCCCGGTCTCAGTGTTCTGTATGGCAACTGCATATTCCACTCGACCGAGCACCAAAGTGCCAGAGGTGGACTCACATTGTTCAGGATCCAGATCCTCGCCGTCCACCTTCCGGCATTCTGGTCCTGTGGTGATCGGTCCGCGAGAGCTGAAGACCCGCAAAATGCTTCCAGTTCGGGCATCAATGGTATATAATGTGGTTTCCTTCCGGGCAGTGTAGGTCACGGCAGGGTCATTGCCAGAGTAAGGAGTTTCGTCGACAAGCTGCTTGACTGTCAAACCAAGCTTTTGCAACCCGGCGTCTGGACCGGGGCTGTAGATGTAAAGGCTTCCGTCCTGGCTCGGCTCGACGATCCACAGGAAGTCGTCTTCGGGCTCAGTATCGTCAAAGCTGGAACGATTCGCTCGGTGGTAGATGCTTTCTACGACAGGGCTGCTGGGAACCTCGAGGGCCCAGCGAGCGGTGCCGGTCTTGCGATCACGGGCGTGAATAGTTCCGTCGACGGTCGCCAGCAGGACAAAATCCTCAACCTCCCAGTCCTGCAAGGACCGCGCGTGAAGCTGCGAAGCCAGACCGGCAGCAGTGCTGCTGGCCTGGACAGGAGGGGCTCGAACGGCACGGCCGGAGCCTGCCAGAGCCAGAGTAGCAAGGGCGCTCGCATCGTTGGGTTTCACGATGGGTGGTGCGGCCACATGGGCTGCATGTGGTGTTGACTCTTGTGCTAGAGGCACAGAGACTCGGGAGATTGTGTCATGATCTGGCTGCTGCTGCGGAGCGACCAGAGTTGGGAGAAGGAGGAGGGCGACACTGGCTGGGAGGGTCGAACGGGCGCCCGGCAGCCGCCAGCGCATCGTGGAGCTATCAGCACAAGGAATGAACGGTTGGGCGGAGGTAGTGGAGGTAGCGGAGGAAGGTGTCGCATGGGTTGAGAGAAGAGGTTTAACGGATCAAATAATGAGATTGTGGAGCGAGTCGAGAATCCGGGTAGCGGATCATCCCCCACCCACAGTAGATAGTTATTTGCAAATCCTTTGAAAATAGCTTGGATCAAAGCGAGCTCTAATAACAATAATTATAGTAATACTTCAAGATGCAAAAGGTTGAAGAGATGATGAAAAGGGGAGAGAGAGTATGTGGAGAGCGACAGGATTGTGTGTATTACACGTGTACAGTACAGGGAGTGACCAGCCACTTCTGCCTCCACAAGGCGTAACAGCAGGTACCGGTACTTTGGTCCACGCACGCCTTTTTCTTTGTACATTAATATTATTATTTTTGTAGCCTAGAACGTCGGGGAAACTAGAATCAATTGGTGGATATACCCGATATTATTGACTCCGTAGATTAGTAAGTGTTTCAATTGATCCTTGTATTTCAATCGTTCATGCAATTTTAGTATGAAATATACAAGGATATGGGAGAAACAAAGACAGGAACTATGCAAGATATAGGTCTAACCGTGAAAGCAAATTCTACATATGACACCAGGAGATGGCTCCACTGTTTTTGTCCTGTCCTGGTTACACTACATCCGATAGATTGATCATTTAGAACGAATTTTTTAGTGTAGATCTTTCAATATTGATTGGAGGGCAAAGAATTAACACCAGCCTTCCAGGGACTCCATGTGGAGGCTCCCTGCCCGGTGCTTCCTGCCCGGTGCCAGGGGGGTTTGAGACCAATCAAGGGCGAAACACACAGTAGGGAACCATCGAGAATCGAACTCCATTTCACCAAATCCAAGAAGATTGGAGTCGAAAAAAAAGAAACAAAAAAAAGCCTATGTAGGTAGATCAAAGCAGAGTGCATCCAACGCCACAACCCTCATCCTCGTGCAGTACACGCCGGAAGTGCCGGTGAAAGGGGGGAAAATAAAGAAAACACAAGAAAAGTCAAGATAGTTACAGGGGTAAGAGGATGGATGCAGCAAGGGCAGCACAGAAGAAAGGAACTATAACACAATAGAGGGATCACGTATGATCCCAAGAAGGGTAGAACAAAAGGGAACGGGAGAACGGATTTAACCGCCGCGAATCATCCAAGTCACAGCAACGGCCCAGCCCGTCACGAAGATGACGGTCAATACACCTGCACCAGCCTTGTCACCAGTACCAATGGTATTCAGCACAGGAATCTTATTGGCCGTGGTATTGGTGCCGGCATTGGGGTTACTCTTGGAGGTTCCACCGGAATCCGAGGTGTATGGTGACTTGTTCTTGAAGGGGACCAGATTCGCAGATAGCACACCCAGCACAGCCATTTGCTGCTCCAACCCGGAGGATTTATCCCAATCGGCTTGCTTGTACCAGCGAATACCACACTTCACACCGTCATCACCTCCGGAACATTGCTTTGCAGCAGCCTGTGCCGAGGTCCTCAACTGGGGGAAGATCAAATCGTAGGTACCGGGGACAATGGTCGTCAACACTCCGAGCCAGTTGGAGAAATAGGCTTTGAAGGTGATTTGGTTGCGATCGCAATTGCCGAGCGGTTCGCAGGTGATATCCGATAGAATTTGACCGGCGGCTCCATTGAATCCGGTGGTCGGATAGAATTGCTGGGAGGTCTTGATGAGACCCTCAACGCCTTCCTTCCATTTTGTCTCGGTACCATTGGTCTAAAGGAGGATTAATATGGACATCGATTTGGGAGTGAGAGAGAAGAATAAGAAGAAAGAAAGAACTCACGTAATTGTGCATGTACGCAGCACCACTAATATAAGTGGCGTAGTTGTAGGTCCACTGGAAATCACCGTGATCTGTGCATTGAGTTTCACAAGTGGTGGTATCGGCGATGTTCCAGTTCTTCTGCTTCAGCAGAGGGGTGGTAGCACTCCAATCCCAGATGCGCTCGGCCCACTCGGCATATGTTTTGTTTCCGGTGTAGAGGGCAAGACGGGCGGAAAGTTGGAACAATCCTCCGTTAGAGATGGCGTTCTTGGTCAAATAACCGTCCTGGTAAGGCCAAATCTGCCAGCGCATACCACCATGACAGCTACTGGTGTCCCAGCGGGGGTACTGGGTATTGAAAACGCCCTGTGCGAGGGATACCCACGACGGCTGACCGTCCTGCTCGGGGTAGTTGAATTCCGCGGCGGTAATAGCGGCCAGACCCCAGAAGACTTGATCGTCGTTGCCCAGGTATTGACTGTAATTGGAGGGAAAGAAATCGTCGTCGCCCTTCTGCCAGTACATTCCTTCCTGCACCGCGGCGTTAAACTGGGTATCGCCGGTCACCCACCAATACAGAATGAGGGTCATGAACATGGAGCCACCCTCCCACCACGTTCCGTCCATTTTACCGGGAATGTTCGCGGAGTCTCGGGCGTCATAGTATTCCATCATCGTAGTGGCGACGGTTTTGGCGGCACTTTTTAAGGAAGCTGAAACGAGACATGGTTAGATTAGGCAACGAATGCGACAAGCAGTGAGAAAACCACATACCTTCATCATCAATGTTCAAATCGATCGCCAGCGCACCCTGGACGGCGAGAGCGCCGCCCAAGAGAGTGGCTAACCACTTGGACAGTATCATTGAATAATTAGCAAGAAGCCAGTTGAGGTTGTAGGTTTTTGGGGGGAGGGAGATGAGAAGGTGAGATCAAAGTGACTGGGTCAAAGGGTCTCAGGGTAACCGGGAACAGTCCCGGGGTTACAGCGGGGGCAAAGTTGGTGTCTCCGTCTTAAGAATGTCCGTCTTGGTTTCTTTTTTTCAAGGACTTGGATACTATAATTTCATTAACTACATATGTAGATATTTGAATCTGTTTCTTTTTTTCTCTTTTATTTAACTCTCTCTGTTCTGCTGGTAGGCTCATGAAATAATTACCCCTGTCAATTAATACTAGTAATAATAATAGAACTCCAGTCCCTGACCTGCAAATCAGAACCTGCAGAAATAAAATGAAACATTGCGCTTACCGCTGAGACATCCCTTGACTTTGTATCGCCTGGGACTATGTCATATATCGCAGTTGAACATGTAAAATACAATATACAAACAATCACAAAAAGGAATATGGGTAGCAAGTCGATCAGCAAATTCGACAATTCGATTCTGTGCCGATCTGGACCAACCCCACAGATAGAATGTACGATCGGCGTTGTCAGAATGTCTATACGAACACGAGGGAGAGAAGCATTTGAAGCATTTCCCAAGCTTATTTTAAGCGAATAATATCGGTTAGAGGTTCAAGCTTGGTATGATTATTATTAGGTATTATCCTGCTGCCTATATGCCAAGCCCTTTCATAATTCCCTAACCGCCGGCAATCGCGTATGTATCTTTGATATAGGACTTACATACAAAAGGTACCTATCTGACTTTTCCCTCCTCCTATCATAATTTAAACCAGATACATATGTAGGAGTAATTAAATTATCCATACTATTAAATTGTATTCTAATTATGTTCTAGTTTATTTAAATCATTAATATTCTTTGTGTTATGAAGTCAAGGCTATATTGCTATTAGATACATGGATAGAGGAAAAAGAGAAAGTGTAGAGCAGGTACCTTTTGTATGTAATTCGAATATAAAAGATACTTGACAGTCAAAATTATGGTGGTGAGACGGCTACAGACGCATAGGATGTAGTTGAGTAAGTGACTAGATATGTAGTTTGCTCGGCTCACCTTCCAACGCCTCTATTACTCATATGAGCGCTGGAAATATGGCTACAACATGCCTCAGCTAATGTACCATTCCGCCATTTGGATCAATGCAGGCTAAGATTCATTTTAGCAACTTCCGCCACGAAACTTGTAGTGATCCCACGTCTAATCCAGCTGTCTCATCTTCCAAGGTTAGTATTAAGGCTTAGACCGAGATACGCTGTGGGTTCTGGAAGGCAGACTCCGACTCATCCCCACAACTCCGTCCCAAATCCGACGGAGAGATGTAGGTGAAGGAAGTCGCTGATCCAGTTCGGATTTCGGAGGGAAACTCCGCTTTGTTCTATCAAGTCTGAATTCGAGAGACGATTGCAGCGTATATATAATTAACAGAACTTTGAAATGAAATTGAGTCTACGATACTTATAATCATGATTGGGTAGTCATCACAATACCACACCAGCACACCAAGTCCGTCACCCGTAGCACTTGACTAGAACTCGGATCCTGCAATGGCCGAGACAAGATCTTCTACTTTGGATGAGTCTTCCAAAGATTCGTTCGATAATCGACAGAAGCACTCGGAAGCAAAGCAACGTGGCGGCGAGAACAGTGCCTCTAGCGATGATGAAGAGCTTAAGCCCCAGTATGCTTCCGGCCTGGCGGTCACCCTTATTCTCACATCAGTTACTCTGGCCTATTTCCTATTCTTTCTTGACCTTGCTGTCATTTCCACGGCCACTCCGGCCATCACCTCCCAGTTTGACTCCTTGGTAGACGTTGGTTGGTAAGTGCTCATTTATTTATTTTCTGGGCCATAACTGCTGGTAGCTTTTTTTACAAGCTGCTGATCCATCTTGTCCATCTTGTCCAGGTATGGTGGCGCCTATCAGCTTGGAAGTGCAGCATTTCAGCCCTTAAGTGGCAAGATTTACAGTCGCTTTTCCATCAAGGTATGTATAGGTTCACGTCATGGCTCACCCATCGTGATCACATGAAAAGTAAATTCTCACACGTTCAACATATAGTGGACCTTTCTTGTTTTCTTCGTCATCTTCGAACTTGGGTCTGCCATATGCGGAGCAGCTCATTCGTCCACCATGTTCATCATCGGCCGTGTTATCGCGGGTGTTGGGTCTGCCGGAGTGGCCAACGGTGCGGTAACAACCATTTCCGCCGTCCTCCAACCACGGAAACAGGCGCTTTTCATGGGACTCAACATGGGCATGGGCCAGGTAGGCCTTGCAACGGGGCCCATCATTGGAGGCGCATTTACCACCAATGTGTCCTGGCGTTGGTGTACGATATTCCATTTCTTACATTGGAGATCTCCAAGAGGCTGACGTTCCTTATGCTAGGTTTTTATATTAATCTCCCTTTTGGGGGTAATAGTCAGCGGATTCCTCCTCTTCAACACAATTCCCGAGCCCAAACCCAAGGACCCGCCTCTGCAGATTCTTGGCTCTGCCATCAAGGCTCTAGATCTCCCAGGTTTCATGCTAATTTGCCCAGCGGTCGTCATGTTCCTCTTGGGGCTTCAGTTTGGCGGGAACCAATATCCCTGGGACAGTTCAGTTGTCATAGGCTTGCTAGTCGGCGCTGGCGCCACCTTCACTGTCTTCATTGCTTGGGAGTGGCGCCAAGGAGACAATGCCATGGTGCCATTGGCCATGCTCAAACACCGAGTTATTTGGTCGGCTGCAATGACAATGTTCTTCAGCTTATCCAGTGTTCTTGTGGCTGATTTCTATATCGCAATTTATTTTCAGGCAATCCACGATGACACGCCTGTAATGAGTGGTATTCACATGCTCCCAATTACCCTCGGTATCGTTGTGTTTACCATGATCTCAGGTACCTTGAGTAAGTACTTCAAATGGCGGATTTGGCCTCCCCAAATTTTCTATGTTCACTGACCATCGCCGATACCAAATAGTTTCTGTTTTGGGCTACTATCTCCCATTCCTTCTGGCGGGGGGTGTGATATCATCTATTGGCTATGGACTCTTGTCGACATTAAGCACGACTTCTCCGATTGCAAGATGGATTGGGTACCAAATTCTCTACGGTGTTGGAAGCGGCTGCACGACTGCGGCTGTAAGTTTGATATCAGTCATACAATGACCCCTTCACCTAATATATATCTTCGATTTAGCCCTACATCGCTATACAAAGCCTCGTGGCTTCAGAGCAGATCCCTCTTGCCATGGCTATTATCATCTTCTGGCAAAACATAGGTGCTGCCACCTCTCTAATTGCAGCAAACGCTATTTTCAGCAATAGCCTTCGTTCAGAGCTTCAAAAACGCGCTGCACAAATTAATGTTTCTCCAGACGCTATTCTCAATGCTGGAGTCCGCTCCATCCGTGACCTAGTGTCTGGCTCCGAGTTAAACGCTGTGCTTGCCGCGTATGCGAAAAGCATTGACAAAGTCATGTACCTTGGCATTGCTGTCAGCGTGGCCGTCTTGGTATTCTCTCCAGGACTTGGATGGAAGGACATCCGGAAGGTCAAGGAGCTTCAGATCATTACTGACAAGTCTACTGGCAGCGATGATAAAGACTCGGCAGTGATTGGTTAAATGCAGAGGTTTGTGATCAGCAATAGATTGGGAAAGGGAGCTTTTTAATTCGTCTTCCTGTCATCATCTGCTGATACGGTTGCATGTCTACCGACACGGTGGTCGTTTTCGGTACTTTCAATTCCTGGGTCACCTCCAGGAAATAGCTTTATATTCCACTGTTGTTTTTTTTGAGCAGATTGCATTTTTTTAGACAAAACCTTCCACAGGCAGTTTAAACCAATCATTATTATATATTACACAGCGCCCGAGGCGCGGTGGCTCGCCCTAAACATGGATGCATAGCTGGGCGTAGAGATCACCTGGGTGTCTTCCCTGCCTGTCCTTCTTTTGCTCTACCGGGACCGCTTACCTCCTTGCAAATGTACATGTCTTTCTTCATCCATAAGATATACCCTAGTGAGAGAATTCTGTTTCCAAGGTTACCTAGCGAGGCGAATGACTGTCTTACGCACAGTGCTGTAAGGAAAGTGTAGTGATAGAGTATATTGCATAAATATATAATCGATTTACTGTCTTGCTTTGATTGAATTCCATCCTCAACACTAGATTTTGTTTGTCACTAAGCTAAAGCGTCACAACAAGCTTCTTTCCGGATACACCCATTCTCTGAAGATGGAGAGCCTCTTGAATCTTGTCCAGCCCCTTGCCCACAACATACGGAGGAGGAGCGGGCACAAACTGGCCCTGTTCAAGTGCCTGTGGCAGGAAATTCGTGTAGATATGAGAGACGACGCTAGCGGGGTCAACTAGGCCGTTGACGAGGATGAATTTGGCCTCGACCCCGGTTCTCATGCGCGTCCCAGCCGATTTAACCATACCGCCCATCATGCCCATGAAGTAAGTACCCTTGCCAACAAACGTGGTAAGCTTCTCCGCAGGTATGATGGCGCCTGCCACGGCAATGAGCTTCCGGGTGAGTTTAGGATCATGTTTCTTCATAACTGCGGTGCATGTCTTAACGGCACCATTGCCAATTGTGTAGGCACCGACCAGCTCGTGGTCTTTCAAAGCACCAAGGAGATCCTTGATTAATGTTTTGCTCCTGTAGTCGAAGACTTGAGCGGCACCAAGACCCTTGACATAGTCAAAGTTCTTGGGAGATGACGTAGACAAGACTTGGTAGCCAGCGGCCACAGCAAGCTGAACGGCGTTGCTACCAACACTCGAAGCACCGCCAGTGATAATTACAGTGCGCAGTGAGCCTGATTTGCCCACAGCTTTGGTAGGTGCCGGGTTCTGAGGCAAGTCGAGGCCCAGATAATTCGAGTGGAAGAGACCGTACGCTGCAGTCCCGAGACCTAGCCCCAAGACACAGGCCTGTTCATCGGTGATGTTGGGTGGAATCGGCGTTAACATGTTCTGTCGCATTACTGTATAGAGCTGGAACGCTCCTTCGGCCGGGCTGTTGACCTCTTTCGCAATGGCCGCAGCACTACCGCAGACTCGGTCACCCACGCGGAAACGCTCCACATCGGGGCCAATCTCGACGACTGCACCAGCAACATCGGTACCAAAGATGAAAGGATAGCTGATATGGCTAGCAAGCGCTGGACCAATGTACTGCAGCACCCAGTCGAAAGGGTTAATGGCCACGGCGAGGTTCTTGACCACGACCTGGCCCGACCCAGGGCGCGTGTAGGGCGCATCGCCGACTTCAAATGGCAGGACCTTTTTGGCGGGAATCCAAGCCGCCTGGTTCAGTGGTGCCATTTCGGAGAAAGTAATGGAATAATACGAAGCAGCACCAATTAGACCCGACGATGTGCACAGGAGAGACACGCAGCAAAAGCGAAAGCGTCCGAAGACTTGAGCGAAGTTATATATATATGTGAGTATCTGAGAACTCTATGAAATTCAGGGATGCAAAGTGGGTGCATACAACATACGGAATTTGTACGGCAATCCAAGAACTGAAGTCCGGTTGAGGTCCGGTTGAGACGCTACGCCAACTCGAATAATTCATTTTGATAATTCAATTTGACCCGAGCGGCATCAATTCACCGTTATTCCCGGCTCGTCTTCCAATACTGGAAGAGAATATTCAAGATAAACAGCCGACGGGACTTAGCCCTTTATTCCAAGCGGTGTAGATCATGATCCCAACTACACCTGTTATCAATGCCCAAGGCCTTCTTTCCCAGGGTTGATGGATCACGAGTCCAAGTGAAGATATAATGACTGATACAGACAATGTTGTAAACGGACATCGGAGTGGAAAATCCGGCGGCATTCGTTTTGTTCGTACCGTTTGACGCGGAATATCGGTAGTTCCGGAGTGGCCCCCAGGTGGTCGGTCACCTACATCTCCATCGAGGTATCCTGAGCATCTATCATAGCCTGTCCTGCCTATCACTATCACTATGGAGAGATCAAAACCCTCTAGCACCTACGGTCAGGCTTGCACCCCTTGCTACAAGGCAAAGTGCCGGTGTGTGCGTTCTGCAAATGGCGATAATTGCGAGAGGTTGTTGATATAAAACGGTCAATATTTGAAATAAAGCTTATTATTTACTAGATGCGTTCGCCTTGGGAAATGGTGTGAATCATCAGAGTCGGTTCGCAAGCGTAATACTCAAACAAACCCAACCGATGTGTCCGATACACGCATCGCTCGATTGGAGGACAAGATGGAGAGCTTGTTATCTGCGATGCAATGTTTTATTAGTTCCCCGGGTGGTTCTGGGTCTTCAATCAACATCCTACAACCACCTTCTCTTAATGGAGAAAGCATGTCGTCAGCCACCTCCCTGACTACCCCCACGAGCACCAATCTGGGGTTCAATGAGGGGCATATATACTCGACAAACTCAATTGCCGCTGTGTCGCCGAATCCAAATACAGTATTCATGGCTCATCCATATCCTCTATCGCCAAATCAAACAGACGAACGGCTTAATTTCTTCCGATCTCGCATGCTGCCATCTTTCCCCTTCATTAATCTTACCCCAGACATGACGAGCTGGTATCTCCGCCAAAACCGGCCATTCTTGTTCCAGGCCATTCACACTGTTACCACATTCTCAACACAGGAAAGATTAACTCAATCAGAGAAACTGAAGCATCTTCTATTCACATCTGCCTTGATCAAAGTCGAGTCAAATATCGACCTGTTGCTTGGAACACTGACTTATCTAGCATGGAGCACTGACGCGTTTCTTGGTAGGGCAGACCTGATCTCTCGTCTCATGATGCTCGCGATCTCAATGATATATGATATGCGGTTGTTCAAACCTTCCTCGCCAGACGCACAACTTATGATGACTATCACCCAGGGGCGGGCTGATGAAGATGGTTCCAATCTCGGCGACGAAACGCCATACGGCTTGTTGGAAAGGCAGCGGGCGGTACTGGCATGTTTCATTTTGAGCTCCAAGTGCGCATGGCCTTTCTTAACTTTTATCCACTTAAATACTTTAATAATAACTCCAAGCAGTAAGCAATACTGACATATGACTATCTGTAGTATTTCGTCACACCTTGGGCGTCAAGATGCTTTACGATGGACCCCGCAGATGGAAGAGGCGCTTCGAGTTCTCACCATAAATAAGTCATGCACCGCCGATGAATTGTTTGTCGCTCAAACACGCTTGCAATTGTTGAAGCAAAGAGCGGATGATGTCCGACAGCAGGACGAGACAAATTGTGCTCGCGCAGGGACAGGTTCTACGGCCTCAGCTCCCCGCATATTATATCTGAAGACTTTGCGAAGGCAGCTACATGCGTTAAGATCGTCGTTTCGTGCAGATCACCAACAGATTGGTAAGTAGTTTCTCGGGTGAAGAATGTTGCAATTCCCCTTTACCGCAGGATGGCTAATACCTTCACCTGGGGTGAACCCGGGTTTGACATGTAGATATTCTCAACACACACGCGCAATACGTCGAATTATACATCAATCAGCTAGCGTATTCAATCAGTCAAGATGCTCTTCCTCTAGATTTAGCTGGACGAAGGGGTGACGGTGGGATCCTACTGGGATTTGAACGCCTTGATTGTTTATGGCAGTCCGTCGAGAACATCAAATCGTGGCTGGACAACTTCTACAATATCCCCTGCGCAAAACTCGTTGGTCAACCCTTTCATTTTTGGTCACAGATGATTCTGAGTGTTACACTCTTAAAATATCTTTCAACACTTAGAGACCCAGATTGGGATTGCCAAGCGGTGCGAAACACAGTCAACCTACTATCGACGATGGACTTTATGCTTCAGAAACTCGATCTGAGCAGTAAGGAGCCGGAACTTCAGTGCGACGACCATCTACTGAAGTTTTTATCCAAGCTTTTGTCCAAATCTCGGGTGTGGGCTGAAGCTCGGTGGAACATGTCTTCTCAGATCCAAGACGGTGATCCAAAGCCATGTCAGAATGAAGGTCACAGTAGTCATATGCCGGATCTAGATCAGATGGCCTGGATGCAGTCTATGGATTTGGGAAATGACCAATGGTTTGAAGATGTACTTGGTATGCCTAGGACATTTTATTAGTTGTTGTTGTCAGTTTAAACAATCTGTACAGCCTTCAGATATCATGAATGTCATTTGAGAGGCAAACCCATATCTGGGCCAGTGAAATCTCAGTAATTTAGCTCCTGTATATTTAGTTTATCTGCTGCTGACACAACACCTTGTGCGGAACCAAAATGGTGCGCGAGTGTAAGGATCATAGCAAATGATCCCAAAGTTTCTAATACGCCGATACAATAGACATAGTACTACGAGGTGGCACACTACACAGCTGAATGTATATCATGTACGTGATTGAACTTCTATTGCACATTTTTTTTAGTTCCTTCAAAAGGGTACAGAGATGAATCATCAACCATGGCATCACTATCATGTCTATTACATCCGGGTGCGCTGACGGGGAGCGGAGCGGATAATGTTGTCCACTCGCAGGAGAAGCTGGACGAATATTAGCACGTAATTCATTAATAAAAGCAGACCGAGACCAAGTGTAACATACCTCAGCTGCCTCCGAAGCAGATGAAACAACCGCCTTCTTCAACTTATAGGCCTCCACCACACCGAGCTCACGCATATCCGCAATGCCACCACCGGGCGTCAAAAGGTCCAAACCGGAGCTGGTCATGCCGTTGTTGACAGCCTGGCGCAGACGAGTCACCAGATCACTGGAGTCCAGACCGGCGTTGTCGGCCAAAATGGTGGGGAGTTGCTTGAGAGCGTGAGCGAAAGAGTCAACAGCGAGCTGCTTCTTGCCAGTGGTGTTTTGTGCAGCCTGTTCGACGGCCTTGGACATCACCATCTCGGCACACCCACCGCCCAGGGTGACACGGGGATCCTTGACAGTCTGCGAGAGGACGGCCAGAGCATCGTGAAGTGAACGCTCGGACTCATCCAGAAGCTGCTCGGTGGCACCGCGCAGAACAATGGTGCAGGCTTGACCGGCAGCCACACCGGAGAACTTGATCAGAGTGTCTTCGCCAATGATCACCTCCTCGATCAAATCACATCCACCCAGCTTGACCTGGTCGGGGTGATCGAAAGTGGAGGCGATTTCGCCGCCAGTGACAAGAGCCAAACGCTCGATACCGTCGAAGTCGGCGTGCTCGATGGTCATGATGCCGGCCTCGGTGAACAGTTGCTCGGGCCAGTTGTAAATGAGCTGACGGTTGACGAAGCAGTTGATACCGTGAGACTTGATGCGCTCGACCTTTTGACGCATCTTCTCACGTTCGGCCTTCTCCAAATCAGCCAGCTTACCAGTGGATTCGACCTTGACTCGTGCACCGAAGATCTTGACCTTGTCTGTGTCCATTGCTGTGTTGGCGACCAGGATCTTGGCGTTCTCCAATCGCTTGGGCTGATTGACACCAATCTTCTTGTCCATGATGAAGCCCTCATCGAGGTAGGAGTCGTTCAGCTTGCCACCGGCCTTCTTAATGATCTGAATGTGGGAAAGGTCGGTGGAGCCCTTGAGACGCAGAACGGCCTCACAGGCCAAACGCGCGAAGTGGTCCCGGTCTTGTGCCAGTACTTTAGAGCTGAGTGTTGTGCGGGCGATTGCGTGCAAGTCTTTGCGGAAAGCCTCGGGGTCCTGGCTACGGTCGACTGCTGAAGCTTCGAGAGCGGCAAGAGCGGCCTTACTGGCTATCCGGTAACCTTCGATAATAGTCTGGGGGTGGATCTTCTTGGCAACAAGCTGCTCTGCTTCGCGCAGCAGCTCGGCGGCCAGAACGGTGACCGATGTGGTTCCATCACCCACCTCGTCGTCCTGCACCTTGGAAATGTTGACCAAAACCTTGGCCGCGGCGTTATCCAAAGCGATGGATTTGAGAATTGTAGCACCGTCGTTCGTCACGAGAATATCTCCTGTAGACCTGTCAAGACAATTGTGTCAGTATTTCGGGGGTCATAGCACGTAGTATTATCGATCTCGATAGCTCTCCCCAACGTACGCAGACTGCAGAATCTTATCCATTCCCTTGGGGCCAAGGGTGCTCTTCACCAGGTCTCCGACGGCGATAGCACCGACAAAGGCCGACAGACGGGCATTCTCGCCCTTCTCCTCAATGACATCGTCGCCAAAGATCTGTGTGGGATTGCCGAAGGATGCCTAAGAGGGGTGGAAATTAGTCAACAGGCACACATATTTTTCCCAACTGTACATGAGTGTATTGGGCAGGACATACCATGATGACCAGCGTAATAAGGCAATCGACCAAAGATCAAATGTCTCGCTGGAAAGGTTGAAGCAACTTCTCTTGTCAACAGTGGGGTGAGGGAAAGGAGAAAATCCGCCGCACGATTGGTCCAAGCTTCTGATTGGCTGCTACCCATCACCGCCCGCGATGCATCGCGACGTTTCCATTTTGTCTTCGACACTCCCATTGCAGTAATTGGATTGATTTCTCTTCAAGATCGACAATGGCTAGCGTTGAAGAAGTCGCTCTGCCTCCTGCAAATAAACGGCCCCGTTCCTCTGCCGAGGACGAGAACAGTGAGTCGTCCACATCCTGGTTCTTGTCCAGACCGCTTCCTCGAATCAAACTGGAGATATCCTAACTATATGCGATAACTAGGTGATGATTCGTCTGACGATGATTTCGGTCCTGCGCTGCCCTCCGAGGTAGCGCCCAAGAAGAAAAGGCGCAAGCTTCCTTTCGAGAAAGTTTACGTCAATGCGCTACCTGTTTCCGCGAAGTACTCGAAATCCCTGATGCACAAGGATCAATTATCGTTCGTGACCGTTGCACCCTATACCGACTTTGTGATCACCAGCTCTGTGGATGGATTTGTCAAGTTTTGGAAGAAGATGGCGGAAGGCATCGAATTCGTGAAGGAATTCCGAGCTCACCCAGGTGAGATTCGGAGCGCGACTGTTAGCGCCGATGGTCGCAGTTTTGCCACAGCAGGGTTGGACAAGACAGTAAAGATATTTGATGTCATCACATTTGGTAAGTTGAGACTTTGGTCTGTCCTTAAAAGATTTACTGACGAGGATAGATTTATTGTCGATGTATACACTGGACTTCGTACCTCGATGTGTTTGCTGGGTACACCAGCGCGGAGCATCGCTACCACTTCTTGCCGTGACAGACGAGTCAAGCAGCACAATTGAAGTATTTGATGGACGTGGCGAGAATTCGAAGCCATTACATACTTTGAAATCAATCCACCGTAGCCCGGTTGTATCATTAGCGTTCAACAACGCATTCGACTGCGTTATCTCAGCCGATGAATCAGGCATGATTGAATATTGGAGAGCGGGAGACGGAACTTTCGAGAAACCCGACAACGTCTTCGAGCTGAAGTCTTCAACAAATCTGTTTGCATTCAAGAAAGCCAAATCGGTCCCGACAGCCATCACGATCTCCCCATCTGGCGAGCACTTCGCTACAGTCTCCTTCCCAGACCGGCAGGTCCGCGTCTTCGACTTCGCCACAGGAAAACTTTACCGCACATATGACGAGTCAATAGCCACTATCACAGAAATGCAGCAAGCCGGAACGGCGCCGTACGCATTGGATGAAGTGGAGTTTGGACGCCGCCTGGGCGTCGAGCGCGAAATCGAAAGCGAAGCGACCCGCAACAAAGTAAACGTCACTTTTGATGAATCAGGACACTTCCTGCTCTACGGATCCCTCTATGGCGTGAAGTGCATCAACACATACACGAATCGCGTGGTCCGCGTTTACGGCCGCGAAGAACCCTTCCGTGCTCTCAACCTCGCGCTATATCAAGGTCAACCGCAACGCAAGGGCGTTGTCACCGTTTCAATGGCCGCAAGCAGCAATCCGCTCCTTCAAGAAGCCGAAGAACGCGATCCGATTCTTCTTGCCACTGGATTTGCAAAGGTGCGTTTCTATATGTTCACCAATGAGACGGAGATTTCCAAGTCCTCCCGTGACGTGCAAAATGAGAAGCCCACCCAGTCATCATCCGACAAAGGCGCGGCACCCACGAAAGCCCCGGAGACAGGAACCGCCGCAATTCTACACACAACTTACGGTGATATTCACTTGCGCTTGTATCCGTCAGCGGCACCACGCGCTGTGGAGAATTTCGTGACGCATGCCCGACAAGGATATTACAACAACACCATCTTCCACCGTGTGATCCGAAAGTTCATGATCCAGGGCGGTGACCCTCAAGGTGATGGAACTGGCGGCGAGTCCATCTGGGGCGGTGAGTTCGCGGACGAATTCTCCGTGCTCAAACACGATAGACCGTACACGCTGTCCATGGCGAATGCAGGGCCCAACACCAACGGCAGTCAGTTCTTCATCACCACCGAAAAGACACCATGGCTGGACCAGAAGCATACCATCTTTGGACGTGCGGTGCAGGGACTGGACGTTGTGCACAAGATTGAGAACTGCCGAACACACAAGGAGAAACCCGAGGTCGATATCAAGATTGTCAGTATCAGCATCTCTTGATTGGATCGGCTGTATTTAGAATACACCCGGCTTTCTAATGTTTAAATTTATATGTATGAATGTGTATATGGAGGAGAATCATGGAATGCGCGCACGCGTTGTACTATGTACTGTCCCTCCAAACTTGATTGGTTCGAAGGGGAATAGGGAGATAGATATCCACCTAAAAAAATGGCCGTTGTCAAAGCAGACAAACCATCTAAAGACAAAAAGAAAAATCGCATTTCCAACTCCATCCAAGTAAACAAAACAGCACAAACCATCAGAAAATATCAAGGGGAAAAAAGACCAGATCAAAGACAGCGCATAGTTTTCCATCAAACGCCCATAAATGCGTAATATGGCAATAACCAATTCAAGTATTAAAAAGAAGAATGTCCAATCAACTCTTCTAAACCTGCCTAGTTTCCACATCCCCAGGAATTTGCTCGATTTTCGTCAACCTGGTCCTTGTCCCCGGAACAGGCGTGCTCGATTTGGCAATGTTAGACCGTGAGCTGGCCACAGACCCAGAAGGCAGACTGCGTGCCGAGTTTGCAGCGACAGGTGCAGGACCCCATGCTGCGTCTCGGGGACCAGGTGGAGACGCAGTGCTCAGCGCACCACTGCTACCGCCATGGTAGAGGTTTGGCCGTTTTGCATCGTAACGCCGTTTAAGCCATACGCCGAATGCGCCGATTAGGGAGAACCCAATCAAAAGGACGATGAGCATGACCACCCAGCGGTAATGTGTACTCCACCTGCATTTTGGTTAGCTGGATTTGATGTGTGTATGTATGGGTGCGTGGATAGATGTAGACATGGGTAAAGAGTCGAATTGGATGGTATGAATGGACACGAGGACATACCAAGACTTGTTCTCCGTGTCGGTGGTAGAGTTACTAGTAGTGGACTTGGAAGCGGTGGTTGAGGTTGCGCCGGCCGCAGCGGAGGAAGTAGTTGTGGCCGCAGCTGCAGTGGTGGTACCGCCGGAGCTGCAGTAACTGTTGTACCAAGTGGAGAGGAGGGTTTGATCACCGGAACTGCAAGAGGAGCATATACTTCCGGATGTTTTGAGACCGGTGAGTAGCGCCGATTGACAGAAGCATGAGGTCCATGAAGCGGCGTCCCCTGATTCACAAGACGTTTGTGCGCTTGTCAGGACTGCGCAAGTCAGGCCGCATTGTGGGAATGTGCTCGAGGCGGAGGTGGGCAGGATGCTGGCGGATAGAACCGATATTGACAGGGCCAGAAGGAGGGCAAGAATGGTTGGGAGGCGCGTCGACATGATGGCGGGTTGTTCCTATTTTCCCTTTGTTTCGTTTCGAATCGCGTGTTGTGATTTCCGGTCAAGTCGCCCTGTGTTAGTATAATCTCAGTGGGCCATATTGCGATCTGGGAATAGACCAGAAAAGAGAAAGAAAGACAAAGAGGGGAGAAACACGCAAAGAGATTAAAGCGAGGCGAACGATGGTTTTGGGTCTAGTCTCGCCCCGAACGATGCCGGATTCGCCCTTTTCTTCTTTTTTGCTCGGTTTGCTTTTCCTTTTATTAAATATGTATGGGGGCCTGAGAACTATTTAATCTTACCGTTACATAGTTATATTGTTTTTGGTCCCGTTTAATTTAAATTACAATTTTATTATATCGAGTTAGAGCCTACTTGCGGAGAAAAGGTACCTCGCATCCGGCTAAATTTCCGCAACCGGGCTAACGTGGGATTCTTGACACATTCCATCCAACATTCTGACACCTGCCAGATCTTAGATACAATTTTATCTCATGGACCGGTTTAGAGATGATCAAGATCAGCCAAGCCCAGTCCAGCCCAGGTCTCAGATCATACCCGGGCTGGATGCAGTAAGGATAACCCCACCCACGTTTGAGGTTATTTGGGACCCTGAGTGTGTTACGTACTCCGCACTAGGTGCGACAATATGGTAATTAATGGAATGGTTGATGCCGTGTTCTTGATTAGTCCAATATCTGTCTCTATGCACGGGGTTGTCCATATATTGGCATATTGAAATACATTGTACATATGTATGTTTACAGAATACATACATTCATACATAAACACATCTGTCCAACCCGAAGAAGAACGCCAAATGCGCCCGGCTAAGCAAGCAAGACGACAGGGAGGTTTTTTTTGTTGTTGATACGGCTAATTCTTCGGTTGCGAATTGCATCTACATACCCCGTACCTAGGTCCCAGGGCCAGGTTTATACGCTAGCGACGATAGTCTACACTGGGCCGTAAATTCGGTCTTGAAATCACACCTTCACCAACAAACACACGATTAATTTTCTGGCCCCCACTACTATAGCGTGATTCCAGTTCGCGAATCTCCTGCTGAGCTTGTCGTACGGTCGTACCCCCGAGTGGATCGACCTGCTCAGGAGGTATGAAGCTACGAGACTCGAGCGAACCTCCCTGATCTAGATCGCCAGGCCTCTCATCTTTCCTAAATCCATCTCTATCCTTGCCCCAACAAACAAGACAGGATGGATCCCTTCGGCCGACTCCCTTGGCTTGCCCTGCAAAATGTCCTGTCCGCTCTGCCAGATCTACCGTCGCTCCACAGCCTACACAACGCATTATCGGAAGTCGAAATATTCCCACACCAAAATAATGGCTTATTCGCCCAGATTATAAATGCCATCATCGAAAACACGGCCCGTGAAAGAGGCCTGCTCCAGATTGTGCAGTGTGCCGTACAGCAACTGGTGATCATCTAGACTGAGCAGTCGCGAAGGCGGCAGCGAGAAACAGCCGCAGACCCGATTGTCATCAATAACCTGCGACACCTCGCGGAGCGATACTCCGACCACCCAACACCCATCTTAGGGACTATATCACCGTCGACGCCAGCGGCTGCTCTGTGTCCGCTGCTCGCGCTAATGGCCCGGGAAAGACTTTCTGCTCGAAAAGGCGTCGGATATGACTTTTACTAAGGGAAGAGCAGCCGAACACCACACGCTTTTTCGACGTTCCCTACAAGAATTAACAAAGCTGAAACGCGATATGTATGGACTCAATTCGCCTGGAGTTTCCATTGATGATGTGACACCCCCAGATCCTGACCCTTTGGCAAGAGCACGATACTCATGTCTATACTGGGTTGATCCCTTCGAAAATTGCCATGACACTGAGAGTGCGAAAGAAGACACCCAGGAGGGTGGATTAATCGAGGAATTTCTAACACGCGGTTTTCTCTACTGGCTCGAGTCCATCAGTCTCCTCGACAGAGTCTCAGAGGGCATTGTAGCGATGCGCAAGCTTGACGACATTGCTCAAGTTAGTGTTCAACCCTATAGCTCGTTGATTCACGTTTCCAGCAACTGAAATATACCACAGCGAAAGAAAACAGTCAAGTCACAAGCATTTGCTACGAGAGTCCGGGATGCTTCTCGATTCATTCAATATCACTGGCGAGCAATCGAACGCAGCCCACTGCAAGTATACTATTCAACACTTCTCTTCAGCCCCACAGGAAGTATGACCAGGGCATGCTATCAAGATGCTAGACCGGACTGGGTTCTCCAGGAGCCAGTGATGGACAGCGATTGGAGTCCATGTCTTCAGATCCTTGAGGGGCATTTTGATGAGATTTGTTCGATTGCCTGGTCGCCGGATGGAAGCCGGCTCGCTTCAGGGTCAAATGATCGCACGGTTAGGGTCTGGAATCCGGCTACTGGGAGGTGCATATCGACCCTCAAAGGGCATACTAGTTCGGTGTCATCGGTTACCTGGTCGCCGGATGGAAGCCGGCTCGCCTCAGAGTCAAACGATCACACGATTAGGGTCTGGGACTCGGTTTCTGGGAAATGCATATCGACCCTCAAAGGGGATAGTAGGTCGGTGGTATCGATTGCCTGGACGCCGGATGGAAGCTGGCTCACCTCAGGGTCAATGGATCGCACGGTTAAGGTCTGGGATTCGGCTACCGAGAAATACACATTAACGCTCGAGGTCAATTATCCCGATAGGATTAAATTTGATAAGGCTAATTCGAGCTATCTCCATGCTGATGTTGGCTCATTCGACTTTGCATCTGCTGACCCTATCGTGACATTACCTGGCCTTTCTTCTGCTTTACAACAACCATTCGGATACAGCGTCAATGTTCATTCTCACTGGATCACATTGAAAGGCGAAAATCTTCTGTGGTTGCCCCTAGAGTATCGGCCATCTAGCATCCTAACGTGGTCTGCATACACTTCATTCACGACTACGACAGTGGCAGTGGGCTGTTCCTCAGGTCGAGTCTGGACCCTGACTCTCAGGAATGATCCAGTCTGGAGATACTGCATAGCGACGTCTTTTGGCACTGTATCAAAGAACACACCGGTGAGATCCATAGGCAAATATATCACAGTCAAAAAATTAAACATAAACAATACTTCGAAGGAATGATTGACAACAAGCTAGGAAATCACGTACAAAGTACCCGTCAGGTGAAGTTCTAAAGGATATCTATCAGACTAAATTTAAACGTCATTTGCCCGCTAAGCCAAAGAGGCGCAACCTTTTCGGCGAAGCCAAATAGGGTCTATTAGGGGGCGTCTGTGCCCCATGTCTCAATCCTGACGGTGTCCATGAACCACTATGCCATATGTCATTTTTAGTCATGGTTAAATCTCTCCAGGGCTATAAATTGCCAGAAAGAGGGATACTAGCGTGTTTGATAGAAGGGTTCAAGAAAGTTTCCATGCGTGGGAAATGGTGAAGCTGATTTCGATCCTTCCTGCACGATTATTGAGTGCACTCTCCCCTCTGAAGAGGTCCGGCATACAAAAGCTAGGACATTAGGTCATTTCCAGATAGAGCTAGCTGGTGGACTTTTGAATATTTGAGGTGACATGATCATGTCTTGCAAGTGGAAACGTATAACTAGTACATATCAGCCTCCTCCCCTCCCTACCCCAACGGGGGTCACCCTTCGGTGTGGTGCATTTGCATATATAGAGATAATCAGAACAGCAGTCAGGAAAGCAGTCATCGTTTATGCCCAGTAGTTAAACAAAGGGGGGTGTAATTATCCATCCCCTAGACTTATGCAGAGACAAAACATACAAAATGGTGGAAACTAAAAAGTGGATTGTGTCCCTCCCCACATTTATCCTTTAACAACCTCCATCCACAATGCCATCCCGCCAACTTCTGTCGTCCCTAGTAACCTCCCTCAGCAATACTCGCTGGACATTGACTCGCACTCTTCGAAGCGAAAATCCCCTCGACCTGAACGGGGAGCTGCGCGGTACAGCAACTTTCACCGCCCAACCCCCATCCACAACCTCCGACCGTGACTGGCTTTACTGCGAAGAAGGCGAAATCCCCAGCAATGTTGGAATCGGCGCGGTTCAACCCGGTCTTCGCTGGACAAAGAAATACATTTGGCGCTTGGGGAGCGACAGTGGACGTGTCAGCGTGTGGTTTGTGAAGATCGCGCCGGGGCCGGAAGAAGCGGACTACCTGTTCCACGATTTTGACTTTGATGTCGATGCCCATCCACCCGCGGAGCAATCAAAATCTGCTACACAGAAGGATCCTGGCGAGTTTGTGGCAGCACCGGTGCCTCCATTGGTCCTGGCTACCGATTCCGGGAAGGAGACTACGGTATTGAATGCGAGGGGCAATCACCTCTGTATCAATGATATGTATCGCACAGCCTATTCATTCCGCATTGAACCAGAGACCGGAGAGGTGCTGAGTTGGGCTAGTCGACACGTTGTGAGAGGTCCCAAGAAGGGACAGGAGATTATCAACCGGTATGAGAAGGGCGCATGAGAGAATACGGGGACTTCAGCTGCGATGAATCCGTTCGCAAGGATCTACAACCATCTATTGGGCGCACTGTGAAATGTGTGGAGTCAAGATTCTGACTGTTCTGTTCCTTCCCCCTCATATATTCCACGATGGCTCCGCCCATCACGACCTACATTCGATTGCTCCGCTATTCACAGTGTGTAAATGAAATCCGGTCTCTTATCACCCAGCAACTCGATTTGGCTCTGATCCATGCCTTCAATCCATTGGTCACGCTCGCCCCGCTGACGCTTTGCGTTCTCGCGCCGCAGTAGGAAATACTGCACCACAGATCCACCAAATAAAAACACGACCAGGTAGCCGAGAACTACTCCGTGGCCAGGGTAGTATCGCGGCTTGTCGTTATCACGGTAAATGTTGGACGAGACAATTCCATTCAGGTTTCCCCAACCGATGATGAATCCCAAGGAGACTCCTCGTTTGTATACACCTAGGCAATGTTAATTGTTGGGTTTCCCATAGATTGAAGTAACCTCATGATCAGGCTCAGAACTGACCTTCAGTGTTGTTGCTGGTCCAAGAGATCGTGTTTGCAATGGCCGGGTAGATACCCATGGCTCCAAGGAACACTCCTGCGTAGCGTCCTCCGGCAGATTTGCAACCAAGTAACATGGAGAACCCGATCATTCCCAGAAATGACACACCAATGTTGCAGAGACCACGCTGCCGTGTACGGTCTGCAATGAAGCCAATAGTCACAGTCAAAATTGCGGCTGCAGCGTACGGGGGGACGCTGAGCAATTGGGCACGAATGGAGCTGTAGCCTTGTAGAGTAGCAAAGTCAGTAAACAAGCATATTAGACCCTCGAAAGGTATAGCGGATCAAATTAATTACCCTAAGAAGCAATGTTAGCGCAACGCCTCCCATCAGACTGTAATGGAACTCACCAATTCATTGATGATCGTAGGCACGAATAGCGAAAAGGCATAAAGCGCTCCATCGGCCCCCATGTATATAACTGCACCAGTATAGGTTTTCCAATCCTTAACACTGGCCCAAAAATAATCCATCTTAAACTCTTCATGTTCCGCACTGGACTGCTGGTCCAATGCAAGACGTCGTAAGACACGCTTGCGATCAACTTCGGAGAGGAAGCTTGCTTGGTCGGGGAAATCATAGACACACCAGAACGATGCAATTCCAATCAGGAATGTCACCAGTCCCTCCAGAATAAAAATCCACGCCCATCCAGCCTTTCCGGCCACGCCATCCATCTTCGCGATCGCTGCTGCTAGAAGCCCACCAAAAGAGCCTGCCAAGGCAGCAGCAGAGAAGAAAATTGCCATTCGTACGCCAAATTCGGACCGTTTGTACCAACAAGAGAGGAAATAACCGACTCCTGGAAATAAGCCTGCTTCTGAGAGACCGAGGAACCATCGCACTGCCATTAACCCGGCGTAATTATGTACCAATCCCATGCAGGTCATACAGATGCCCTGTTGTTGTTATCAGTAGGAGGCAGAAGTATGGGAAGAGGAAATTGCATACCCACGCCATCATGATGAGTGGAATAAAGATGCTTGGGCGCAGACGTTTCAGTAGGACATTCGTCACGGGCTCAAAAACCGAGTACGAAACGAAGAATATTGTCAGTGTCGCATTATATTGAGCATTTGTCATGCCCAGATCTGTCTGAAGTCCAACAATTTTCGCATTGCCGATGTTCGTCCTTGACGATTTAGCTTTTGCACATCTGAGGATCTAAGGATTCTTACCGGTCAAGAAACGAAACCAGATAAAGCAGACTGAGCCATGGCACTAGGCGGATATCGAGTTTCCACAATAGCTTCCGATCCTATAATGTATTCGTGCACCAGTCAGCAATTGTGGCGTCAAAGTAGCCTTATTAGGCCGATAGGAGGGATCAAGGGATAACCAACAATCTCAGCCCTTTCTTCATCGCTCAGCCCTTCATCCGGATCCTCAAAGCCGGCCGCAAGAAGTGAGCCTTTAAGATCTGGATCTCGTTCAGTATCGGACAACCGCGACACAGTTGATTTCTCGTCATATGTAATTGCCATTATGCAAGTCCTCGCCGATCAACAAGGGAAAAGCTTGGTTGAATTCGGAGCTGCGAGCTGCTTGAGAAAAGAAATCAGCAACACGCAGCAAAGAGGGGCAAGCAACTTGCACTTATAAATTCGGCAGCTAATATTGCAGAGCATCTTTGCTAGGGCCGAGCCAATCATGGTTGCATTATGTGCGTCTGCGTGCAGGGGTCGCAACAATTTGGATGTGATCGTCGGGATCAGCGGGAGTTGATTGAAGTGGTTGGGGTAGGATCGGCGTGGGGAAGCTGGATTATGGCACTATCCCCCATATTGGGGATATATGTAGCGAGTCAGAAACGAGAAATGCCTTCATAGGGTTCAAAAGCCATAATCACAATGCGAATGACTTCAAAACTTGAATTTATTGCGCGGAATTCTGTTATATCGACCTGATGTCGGCTAGAAGGCCGAGAGAGTCCGGGGTCTAAGCGGGGAAATCGAAAGGAGGGCAACTATATCCCGGAGAAGTGACTCCACTGTCAGCTTCACGAATGAAATGTCTAATCAGCTTTGAGAAGTGCATTTGCATCGGTGTCAGTGGGCAGACTGGTAGGTTTGGTAACGAAACCATAACAGAGTGTGGATGGTCTCTACTCCGTACCATACACAGAGAAGGCCATTTACTTCCATGTGCCCGATAACAAGCTCAGTTAGGTGTTTTGTACGAGGAATTGGAGGTCCAGTTAACTAATGGCACCGTTGGCGACAAATTAGATGTATTGAGATTGGATTTATATGGGTATCGGTCTACAGTGTGAAAAGTTCGCGCGATAAATAAAATTCCCTGAAACAGCTCCTCCTAACCACCAAAGAGCTGAATTGGGGGTCGTGTTGCCAATTTGTGCGGAGACAGGGCGGAGTTCTTACTTACTTTTCATTTCAACCAGTACCATATCACCTCTTCCTCAGTTCGGGGGAGTGTCCTCGTTCTGAGGAGTTTTCCCGCAGGGATCGGATCCGAACCACATCTTCTCAATCCCGGGGCAAACTTGAAGGAGTTTGTATGCCCGCATTGCCATTTCAATCGAATGAAAGAGAATCGTGATTTCTTCTCGAGTCTGATGCTCCTTGAAGCCCTCGATGTATGCAGCAACGATAGAGTCAGACAGTATCAAATGAACTGTTCTCTTGATGGATCGATCTGCACTGCAGATTGTCAGAGTGCGGGTTCGGCCACGGTTGACGATCCGATCTTGTAGAATGCGGCGCATGGGATATGTTGGAGTCCCAACAAGATTCACCTCGACCTTCTGAAAGGCGACATAGCAACCCTCCTGCTCAGCGATACTCAAGAACTTGGCTGCTCCCGATGAGTTTACGAAAGTGATGAAGGCAGTCAGAAAACCAGTGATGCGCACTGTGTTACACATACATGCGGAGAGTACTTCGCCACCGCGGATCGCCCGAAGCACCTGGTCCATTGAAGTGTTTGAAGGCAGATTCGAGATCGTGATAGTGCGAAACCCTTTCTCGGCCTCACAAGGAGTGTGTCGAAGACCGATTCGGATGATCGGAAGATTGGGGAACTTTGTCTTGCCGGCTTCCAACAAGCGGGCCTCGGCGAGGGGTAGGCTTTTAATACCGTCAAGTAAATCAGTGAGATTCTTAGTCCATTCAATGACTTGAGAGTGAGGGTAAAGTTGCTGGGGCACATGAGCTATAAATGTGGACTTTGTGTTGAAATGGCCTTCACCTGAACTTTCAGATGGAGTGTCCATTGGCAGCTCCTGGTGCGAAAGACAATCAGCAAAGTTATTTGATAGCCGAAGGAGCTGATCCATATAATTTGATGTGCATACCTTCTCAAGCCAGTCATTGCTGTTTACCGGCATGTTTGGGGTCTCGGATCTAGATGAAGACGTAAGTGGCATATTTTAACAAACTTGCGGCTGCGAAGTGGGCAAAGTAGGGAATATAAGCCAAAACTGGCGAACTTGAGCAAGATCCATACTTGCAGATCAAAGTGGGCGAACCTAGACAAGACTGAAATGGGTACAGGTGTTTACCTTTCAGGTATGAGAGCAGGAAAATCGATCTCCTCCTCTAGAAGAGCGTCCAGGATATTGAGCTTTCTGTTATCAATCATTGCTTCTTGCCGTTGTTGAGGATACTAGATTCATGTAAATATGAAAAATGTTGTGAAGAACAGCAAACGTAGACCTTGTGTGTGAGTGAACAGTTGAGGAGGAAAGGAGAGAGTGTAGTGGACCAACCCATAGAGACTAAAATGGCGACAAAAATTTCCCACTGTGTTGTTTTCATCTGATCTAAACGAAGTGGATCGTATACAAAATCGCGCATCTTTTCGATATCTTTCACTTCCCTCCCACTTCCATATGGGAAAAGTCCTATCACCTCGATATAAAGTACAGTATAACTGAACTGACTAGCCATGCGCACACTTCTTGAGACCAAGTTTCATGTTACCAAATTATTCTATGGTTCATGCTCCAAGTGAACAAGGATGTTATGCCATCGATGCCTCTGAGGATGACTCTTAAGTTGACTCTTAGGTCCATATACAGACAATGGAACATGAAAGGAGAGCGATCACCTAAAAAGCAGGAAGCATGCCTATACCCCGAAGAGGATGGTGGTGAAAGTGAAATAAACAGAGAGCGCTTGGAATCAGCTTTTGTTAAGCAAAAAATATTGACATATAGGATATAAGCAGCTTGGCCGTTCCAAGAAAAAGAGACCTCACATGGCGCATCATGCCATGCACTCGAAGGTGCAGCTCGTATTCTACTTACGAGATGGTTCATGATTTTTTGGAATGCGCGAACTTCAAAAAATTAGATCTGAGGGAGTGAAATTTATAGAATTTATATTCCAATTTACATGTCACTAACTATACGGGAGAGAGTTCAGGCAAAGACAAAAGGCAACGATAATACACATGTACTTCTTGGAAAAGCAGGGAGTGCAATATTGTCGAATATTGTCGATCATCTGCTTGAGAAAGGCCCGAGCTGTCACCCACCACGTGGGAACTTTATAAAAAGAAAAAAAAGAAAAGCGGAGATTAACTTTTGGAAATTGTCTTTGTTCTTGGAGTGTCTTTATCACTTTGTTTTTGTTTTTCTATTTACTTGAAATTAGTACAATAATGTTATCCTGGATGCAGTTAAGTGAAGCCACTACCCCAAGACCGCATGCGGAACTTGGATATTTCCCAACGCCGTCAATATTATACGAAGGCAGCTGAAGGCCATAACAAGCCCATGATCAGCCCAGACTCCGTCATTTGAACTGTACCAAATTGAGTCTAGACAGCTTGCCAAGCCTTGGAAGGATCCATGGGCCCTCTGATTCTTATTGGATGATCCCATCTTTCCCGTCGTGGGGGGCTAAAGCTGACTCTCTCTCTGTTTCATCTCGGACTCCGACTTGGATCTTGATCTCTTAAGATCTCCCCATCTTCTGCTGGGTATTCAATCCATGGCGACTGCAACAACGACGGCTACGGCCACCAGTGCCGCACGAGTGAGCCCGCAGGGTGGTATCCTCGAAGGCGGCAACCCAACCGTTTACGACTCTAAGAACCCGCTGGTGTTGTTTATTATCCAGGTAATATTACTCTTCTTCTGTTCTTTGGGGCTTTCTACCCCTTTTCTCTAAAAAAAAAGATTGAGAACTGAAGCATCTTCAGGCAGTGATTATTATTGTGCTGTGTCGCTTGATCCACTGGCCCCTCTCAAAGATTCGTCAGCCTCGAGTGATCGCAGAAGTCATTGGAGGAATTGTTCTGGGCCCATCCGTTATGGGTCGCATCCCCGGATTTACCGATGCCATCTTCCCAACGGCCAGCATTCCCAGTCTCAATGTAGTCGCCAACCTGGGACTAGTGCTTTTCCTCTTTCTAGTTGGTCTAGAGACTGATCTTCGCTTCCTGATCAGTAACTGGCGGATCGCTCTGAGCGTGTCCGCTGCGGGCATGATCCTGCCGTTTGGACTGGGTTGTGCCATCTCGTACGGTTTGTACAATGAGTTTCATGATGACCCGGGCACCAAGCCTATCCAGTTCGGGACTTATTTGCTGTTCATCGGTATCGCCATGGCCATTACCGCCTTCCCTGTGCTCTGCCGTATCTTGACGGAGCTGAAGCTGCTTTCCACCCGCGTCGGTGTCATCGTGCTTTCTGCCGGTGTCGGAAATGATGTGGTTGGTTGGATTCTACTCGCGCTGTGCGTGGCGCTTGTCAATGCGGGCAGTGGCATTACTGCGCTATACGTGCTCCTGGTTTGCGTGGGTTACATGCTTTTCTTGACTTTCGCATTCCGCCCACTCTTCCTTCGCTTCCTTGAGAGGACAGGAAGTTTGCAGAAAGGTCCTAGTCAGTCAGTGGTAGCGCTGACCTTGCTGATTGCATTGGCTTCGGCGTTCTTCACCCAGGTTATTGGTGTTCACGCCATTTTTGGAGGGTTCGTGATTGGTTTGATCTGTCCACATGAAGGTGGGTTTGCCATCAAGGTCACGGAGAAGATCGAGGATTTGGTTGGAGCCCTTTTCCTGCCACTTTATTTCACTCTCTCTGGTCTGAGCACCAACTTGGGCTTGCTGGACTCAGGGATCGTCTGGGCCTATGTTGTTGGTGTCATTGCCATTGCTTTTATTGCCAAGGTGGCTGGAGGCGCATTTGCATCCCGTCTCTGTGGTATGCTATGGCGCGAAAGCTTTTCTATTGGTGTCTTGATGAGTTGCAAGGGATTGGTCGAACTAATTGTGCTGGTGAGTCAGTCTTTTTTCTCCATGGGGTTCCTGTAGTTGAGATTAACTAATTTGAACCCTAGAACATCGGTCTACAAGCGAAGATCTTGAGCACCCGCACGTTCACCATCTTCGTCGTTATGGCCTTGGTCACTACATTCCTGACAACCCCTCTGACGACTGTGTTATATCCAAATTGGTACCAAGTCAAGGTCGAGCGATGGAGACGAGGAGAGATCGACTGGGACGGCAACCCTGTTGACCGCATTGACCGTAATGATAGCGTTGCCATTGCCAAAGATCAACTGAAGAGCACCCCTGTGCGAAAGCTCCTCGTCTATCTTCGTCTAGATGGGCTTTCAGGTATTTGTACCTTGGCAGCTTTGCTTAGCTCAAAGCGCCGATCATCTCTGTCGTCGCGGATTCACCCTACGAAAAGGCCAAAGCAGAGCGACCAAACGATCGAGGACCCCATCCCCTCCGAAGAGGAAGAAGATGCGACGCTGCGGGTACACGGTGTCAGGCTGATGGAACTCACTGACCGTGACTCCAGCGTGATGAAAGTTGCCGCTGCGGGTGAGCACGCACTATGGGATCCAGTAGTCAACACATTCCGCGCCTTCGGCGACTGGCACGACCTTGCTCTCATGGCAGGTGTTTCTGTTGTACCCGAGCATTCCTACGCAGACACCGTCATCGGTATGGCGCAACAGGACACCGCAGATCTTCTTCTTCTCCCCTGGAGCGAGACTGGAACCCTGGCTGACCGCCAAAATGGCCTCGACGTCTCGGACGCAAATCGATTCTCGAACGGTGCCTACACCAGCTTCGTCTCTGATATCCTCCAACGGGTCTCTGGTCATGTCGGTATCTTGATCGAGTACGGACCGGGGTCATCCTCTAAGCGGCCTGCCATCTCACGCACTGCCAGTGGTATGAGTATCCAGACTTCGCTTTGGTCCCGTCAACCAAACAACACCCGCTCCCATCACGTCGTCCTTCCATTTTTCGGTGGCGAGGATGACCGCTTCGCTCTCCGTTTTGTCATGCAGCTTGCCAAAAACGACCAAGTAACAGCAACAGTGATTCACATCGGTGGACGGAATAGCGATGCCCACAAGGGAGGCGTTACCACCGTCGTTTCACCTTTAAGCTCAAGCGCGCTCCAAACATCGACCTCCCAATCTGACCTGATCTTTTTCGAGACGCTGCGCGACTCACTACCAGAAGAATTATCAGACCGCGTCGTCTTCAGCCAGCCTGATTTAACCGAGTCTCTATCCGATCCAGTCCGAATGGCCATTCTCTCGGTACGAGAAGAGCTGGGCCATACGTCTAACAAAGCGAATAACATCGTGGTCGTTGGGCGGCGCAGCGTCTCTTCTGAGATCGAACTTGGCCTCTCTGAGGACAATATTGGACAAGACACCCGTCAGGCGCTTGGGGCTCTTGGTACCGCGATGGTCCAGCCTGATAACAAGATCTACGGCAGTGTTTTGGTGCTACAGTCTGGTACTCACAGTGGACTCGCTGATTACTACCGCTGAACATATTTGTTCATTTCGTTGTCAAGCACTTGAATACTGCTGCATATCATGGAACTTCAATTTGCTCATTTGAATATAAGTATTTCGAGAGACTTTTCCCTTGTCGTAAATCATATAGTATGTGGAATGAGTAGACATCTAGATTACAACTCTTAAACCAGAGTAATTACGCCGCATTCTGTACCGATGAAACCCCCGGACGCCAGACCCGGCAACAAATAAAGGGAAAAGAAAATAAACCGTTAGGGATCTCTGACAACTCCGGATGAAATAGAAGTAGTATGAGTCGACGACGCCCCCTCCCAGAACCAAGGCGGACTGTCCTGTCGACGACTGGTACGCCTGGACCCCACATTTGAAGGCGGATCCCTGTCCGATGGGAATGAGCTAACCTCGCTGATCTCACGGTTGCTCGATGGTAATTCCTGGCTGTCATAGCCACCGCGCGCAACGGCAACGAGTCTCCCCAAAATGGCATATTCAAGCTTCAGTTTGATACTATACGCGACAGGTTTGAACATCACCTGCACGGCATAGTAGCCCACATACTCGATGACCACGATCGCGATATCCAGGAGCAAGATCACGAGATTGATGATCAGCAACTGATTCAGGATTCCTTGCGGACGACCCTCTGGTCTGAGCCGTAGAAGTTTGACTGTTTCCCAGACGTAGATGCTGGAAATAATCAACTCCTGCACGCAGAACCCAACCAGCTGAATCCGTTCCATTACGCTATATCCGTTGGCAAAGACTCCAATCGGATGCGCAACGGTGCCGTACAATAACACAAACACAGGGGTATGGAATAACACAGCATCGACACAGATCATGTAAAGCACACCTCGTAGTAACTTGGTATTTTGGAGGACCAGATGCAACCGTGACCAGAGCACCACCGATTGACCGGTAACCATGCCGACCCAGCTGATGAGGATGAGTGTAACACAAAGCCATGGTGTCACGCCAGTCGGGAAAAACAGAAGAATAAATCCCAAGCAGTGGGTGATGATGCACGCGGAGGAGATGAGTAGGCTCCAGAAGTAGGTGCCTTTCCAGCGTTTGAACGAGAAGAAACAAAGCACTATCAGTTCGATAGCGTTGTACCATGCTACAGCAGAGAAGGCGGCGAAGATTCCGGTACGTAGGGAGGAGGAGGAGCCGTAGTTGTGGATTAAAGCTGTGGCGATGGATGTGGCGGAGTCGGAGGCCATTGATATGACATTGTTTCAATCCACTGTCTGGAGACAGGGAGAGAGAGAGTACCTGGGTAGGAAAATAGGAAGTGTAAAAAGAGTAAGAGATTGAAAACGAGGAAAGGGGTATGATTATGACGGGACTAGTTCATAACAAAAGTTTGAAGTCAATAAAGATTTTTTCCATCATTGCCAATCTGATCAAAGTCATAGCAGTTGCGAGCATTATCATGGTTGAGAACAAATTTTGGGTATGGAGAAAAATCCCCAATCCATGACAGCTCCTCAGGCGGTCGTTCCATGGGTCGTTTCAATCAAAAGCAGAGTCTGAACGAGTCCGAACGAATCAAGACGGGGTTTCTCGTGGGACCTCCCAAATTTGTGGGGGAGGACGACGATTGTTGGTATCTCATTCGTTCTCGCTTTCGGATCTGGGGAACTTTAAAATTTGTCTGTCTCCCAAGGGCATGCATGATACACAATATTAGTATGTGTACATGTATATAGGAACAGATTCGCCGTTGAACGAATTCGCCGGTGAGGGAATGCGAGACGATGTAACACATCCCCCTTGCTGGACTTGGTTCTGGTTATTTGAACCTGAAAAGGGGCATGGTCAGTTCGGAATGTAGTGAGAAAACCATCTCATTTTCACTCATGAATCTATACATATACACACACACACATATATATATATATATAGAGGTATATGTCTGGACCAGTTGACTGCCAGAGATGAGAACAAATTAAAAGCAAGGTAGGCTGTTGGTGAGAGTCGAGAAAAGAAAAGAAGAGAAAGCAAACTGCAAGATCGAACGACTGACGTCATCTCGATCACGATCTCGATCTCTCGTCGATCTTTCATTTATTCTTTGCTTGTTTTCTCTTCAATTCCCCTTTTCTTTTGTTTTATTGACATGCAGAAGCTGCCTTTACTTACTTATCTGTGTCATCGCTCAATTCGTATATATCAATTGAAATTTCAATTCTCTCGAAACCTAGCCATGCCGCCAAAAACAAAAAGAAAGGCCGATACGCCAGAGCCTGATGGCTCGCATGCCAGCAAGAAAGGTCGTCCTGATTTACGCCAACCACATCCAAATGCGAAGCAAGCCGAGGAGTTTGGAATTGTCCTACGCGAATTTTACCCACCGGAGATGAGCAACGAACGGTGCCAAGCGTACACCGATGGAGACCTAGAACGCCCCATCGAGACATTGAAGAAAGCTTGCCAGGAAACGGCCGACAAGCGACAAGCATTGGATGTGGGCAGCGCAGTGGTACATTGGTTCAAGAGTGATCTCCGTCTTTCCGACAATAGAGCCCTCTTCACGGCTTACCAGACGGCCAAAGAACACCAAGTGCCATTGATCGGTCTCTACATTGCCTCTCCCCAAGATTGGACGGCACATTCGACCAGTCCTGCCCGTGTTGATTTCACCCTGCGTACTTTGCAGCGACTGCAGCAGGATCTGGGCGAGCTGGATATCCCGTTGTATATGGAGTTGCAGGAAAATCGCAAGGCCATCCCGAATCGCATCCTGGAGCTGTGCCAACAATGGCAAGCGAAGCATCTCTATGCCAATATCGAGTACGAAGTGGATGAACTGAGGCGCGAGGCCAAGCTGGTCCGACTTTGTGCAAACAATGATATCAATTTTGCCCCAACCCACGATACTTGTGTGGTCACTCCGGGTCAACTTGCCAGCGGGCAAGGGAAGCAGTACGCGGTGTACACCCCGTGGTATCGTTCCTGGCTCGCCTTTTTGAAAGAGAACCCGGATTATCTCGAGGTTTCCGAAGAACCAGGTTCCAATCCCGGAAACCCGCGCCAGCAATTCAAGGATCTTTTTGACTGTAAAGTGCCCCCGGCACCGAAGACCCACGCCTTGCCGGACGAGGAAAAGAAACGCTTCGAAAAGCTGTATCCAGCCGGTGAACATGAGGCTATGCAGCGACTCAACAAATTCCTCGAGGAAAAGGGTAAGAATTACGAGGCGCAACGGAGTATGTTGCCCGGTGAACACACCTCTGTTCTCAGTCCGTACTTCGCCTCCGGAGCTCTCAGTGCACGCACCGCCGTTGCTACCGCGAAGAGGATCAACAAGGGTCACCTCGACAGATATGACCCCGGTTATATAACTTGGATTAGCGAGGTGGCGTGGCGTGACTTTTACAAACATGTCCTGGTAAATTGGCCATTTATTTGGTAAGTGCTCGTCTCCTGTGGAAGGTTAGCCAGTTCTAACGCAAGCCAGTATGAACAAGTGTTTCAAGCCCGAGCATACCAATATCGAGTGGGAGTACGATCAAGAGGTATTCCAAGCATGGTGCGATGGCAAAACCGGGTTTCCGATCGTTGACGCCGCCATGCGCCAGCTTCGGCATTCAGCATGGATGCATAATCGCACGCGCATGGTCGTTTCTTCTTTCCTGACCAAGGATCTCATGTTGGATTGGCGTCGGGGTGAGCGATATTTCATGGAGAACTTGATTGATGGAGACTTTGCCTCCAACCATGGTGGGTGGGGATTTGGATCCAGTACTGGTGTCGACCCTCAACCTTACTTCCGTATCTTCAATCCTCTCCGACAGAGTGAGCGGTTTGATCCCGAGGGGGAGTACATTCGACACTGGCTGCCAGAGCTGCGTGATGTGTCCGGTAAAGCCATCCATGAGCCCTATGCGCGGGGAGCGGCGGCCATCGCGCAAAAGAACGGGTATCCCAAACCCATAGTTGATCACGCGGAGAGTAGAACTCGGGCGTTGGAGCGATTCAAGAGCGCACTTCAGAAATAAGTTATGTAATATATAGAAGAGCGCATTAGAGGTGGTTTCAATGACAATACGATCGATATCAAATGGTTGGAGCAACTGCGCCATAGTGCAACTTGACGGCAAATTTCCAAACTAGCTACGAGAATGATCTCCAAGCAGCACAAAATGAAAGTTTCCATTCCAACAACTGTGGTGTGTGCCTGACTGGTTTCGTTTCCACTGATATCAATGGAGAACGTCAGAACCCCGACATATGCATGTAGCACACCTTACTCGATGTGGTCGGCAGCAGACCCCGTCCATCCCAACAAGATTTAGTTGGAAGGAATTGTTCCTGCATTGACACAGCCTAGACTGAGCCAAAGGATCCTAGTAATTTGGCGACCACTTTTCTCATATGTCATGCAAAGCTCCATCACAATTGACCTCTCATAGATTTCGATATATCTCTTTGAATCTAGCTGCCTCTAATTGGAACCAATGCAAGGGTTACTGCTCATTTGATTTTGGAGCTTTCATGCTTCTCACAGGTACCCTTTTTTCAATATTTACTACTTTACCTGGAAACTGCTTGCCAAGAAGTGGGGTCTGCGGTAGAATAATCGACTTTGTCTTTTTGACGCAGAAAGCCAAGTCCTTGGTCAAAAATGAAGGATATGTTGTCCAAGTATGTAGATCGTGTCCGTGAAGGGGAGGGGACAAAGGTCTAGAGCAATATCGTTGGGAACTGACTAGTTGCTGCTGTGCATTTCCTTCCACCGAAGCTCGTGATCAAAGATTACCCCCTACTCCAAGAGTTCGGCGGTTGTAGATGGCTTGATGGCATTACCATTCGTGATAAGCTGGCCCTCGCTCTGTTTTTTTTCCACTTTCGAGTAATGTGAATTAGTTCGGTCTTTTCTGCAGCGAAGCAGTGCAGAGTTCCGTGACGGCGTTGAAGATGCTTCCGCCCAAGGATTGATCCAGGGATGATCAGGAAGACATCACATACATCTATGTCCATCAACGAGTGGTCAGGCGATGAATCGACTTAGGGAAGGTAGACTTTCATTAGCAATGTTGAATTGAGTATCTGCTCCAATGACCATTAAGATCATGGGAAAGAAATAGAATACCCAGAAGGAGCTACTGTCGCAGGTGAAACTCATGACGAGGAAGGGAAGCATACTCTTCTCAAATTAAAATATTTCTCCCCTGGCTACTTTGACTTCTGGGTGAATTAGCGGGGGGATAGTCAAGGGCAAAACGGCTTTTTGTGACAGACAGCAACTTCCTTACTTCATGCAACTCACACCGCACCAGGCGAAAATCAGGAATACATCGATCGAACGTGTACATGGAGGAGTTTTCCAAAATCAATTGATACTCGATTTCCATTCTCCACAATCTTGCACCAGGGGCGCATCGAGAGTACCTTTATTGATGACCTCAAGCAAAAAGGGCTTGGAGATTGGCCGTCCGTGCTCGATCAAGAGTGTTCATTACGACAGCGATGATCCCCAGTACCCCATCAACGTGCAGCTGATTCACGTCCACAGTACAAATATTCCACCATAGAAGCCAAATATCTTCTGGGGGCTGACGGTGCGAAAAATGTTGTTCGAAAACTTCTGGGTATTGAACTGATCAAAAGAAGACCTACTGAACAAACGTAAGATTTACGTACAAATGTTTCCGCCACCGGAGGAGCATTCTCGTATGTTGGCTGCTGAGACCCGAGTCAAGCAAGCTGCTCAAAAGATATTCCAGCCATATTGGTTGCAGCGGGAAAGGGTGGACTGGTACTCTTCTTATCATATCGGCCAGGCAGTAGCCAGTAACTACTTGCTGAAGGAGCGTGTATTCATCGTCGGTGATGCGTGCCACACTCATCGCGTAAATCCTTGACGCTCTCCGAATTGTGTATCTTGATAGGCTTTAGGTGTAGTATGAAAGATATAGAAAATTACCTTCGTAAGGAAATATGACATGGTTTCTATAGAAGAATATCTAACCCTATCGTGTAGAGGTCCTATGTTATCTTAGCCTCAGGTATACAGTACCTATCGAGAAAATTATTCAAGGGCCATAGATCCTATCTTCTAACTGCCCTGTAGCTCACAACTCTGATTTAAGATCACTCTCCACTATTTGTGCTATAGGAGTCATGGGGAATCCATAGTTGGCCGAAGTTCAGGGCGTTAGAGGGGCTGTAATTGCATTCAGCTGCAAAAAGAACGCACTAGGATCTGAGTGCTAGGCTTATGACGGCATATAAGCCTACTGCGGAGGATTTCAGGGCTGGTGGTGGTAGAAAGGCTGCGAAGGGAACTAGGGCTAATGTCCTAGCTGCTGCCTATTAGACCTGTTCCGTACTGTGGTCCTGACATACCTAGGTAGAGGGGTACTAGTAAAGCAGAAGTTGGCGGAAAAGATTAGAAGGAACCGAGAGCCAAGTAGGAAATAGGCTAGGGTATGCTCTTTGTAGATTTATTGAGCACCTATGTTAACAGGAAATCAACTGTATCTCTCTCCTTCTTTTCCTCTACATTATGATTAGGATAACATTAGTGTAATGCCCTTCTATAAATCTAATCGTTCTTCCTGCTAGTCTCACTACCTAGGTAGTCGTATCATCATAACGGTTTCATATTGCCTTTATCACATATCTATAATTTCTATGATCGCCGCCCGCCGCCTGCTAGTCAGCGGAATTTAATTGTGCATTGCTTCCGAGAGAGATCCTCCTAATAGATAGCCTGTTAACTAAGCCATCATAAAACAAGAATCACACTTTTGTTATTTATGACATTAAGATATATATATATTAGAAAATTGAATGTGTAAAAATAGATATTTTTTTAAAAAAAGAATATCATCGACGGCTGCATGATTCGAACATGCGCCTCCGAAGAGAATTGATTTCGAGTCAATCGCCTTAGACCACTCGGCCAAACCGCCTGATAACGGATTGAGCGTGCTTTTTTGCATTCCCAACCAAGAGGCTCCAAGTCCCTTTGAGGATTGATACAGGGACACTCTGATCCCTGGGGATGGATTGCATAAGTTGCATGGATTGTATGGTTTGCATGGTTTGCCGCTACCTGCCAGATCTCTGAGGCAGCGACACCATACCAACCTGCACTAGACAGAGCAACTGCATTGACGAGGTTGTTTTTTTCATTTGACAATTGCACAAATGGTTGATGTGATTTTCGTATGAAGTTGTCTTTCCGGCGCCCGAGAGCAAATTTGGCAGAGCAGGATGTATACGTATAAGCACTTCGATCGGGTGCAATGTCTCTCTCCAAATGGTAAATGCGGGTGAGACATTAGCGCATTTTCCCCGCAACGTTCTTCTTCTCTTCATTTTCTCGATCTTTTATTGGACTTTTGGAGATTTTTGGTGATCCTGTCATTTCAAAATCGACTCCCAAAGGTCAATGACGCTCTGAAATGGAAGAAGATCAGCCATCGGCTGAGGTCGACCCGATTGAATTACCCAACGGCAAACGACGATGGCGGCGAAACAGAGTAGCCTGCGACTCCTGCCACACACGTCGAGTACGATGCGACCGAGCTTTTCCCTGTTCAAGATGTCTGCGCAGTGACATAAGCTGCGAATTTACCCGTGAGCGCCGCAAGCGAGGCCGCATAGCAAGATCAAAGCCCAACGTTACAAACTGCGCCGAGGCCCAGGACCCCGAAGTCAAGTCTCAAAACGAGAGTGAGGAACACAAGCGCCGGTCGATGCCGCAGTTGCATCAGGTGTTGTCGCCGGCGGGCAATAGTTCCCATGGGTCAACCTCTCAGCGCTCGCGAGAGTCCAATGAAGTGAGTGCTTTGTCGGCACCCAGCGTCGATGATCGCAGATCTGTGGTGGATGCCTCGCTGTCGCAGCGTCCGGAACCTGACGCAAACTTCAATGTTACGGAGGAATGGCTTGCAGCAGCACATTTGTCGCCCGACTCGTACGAATTGCTCAATGGCGCAAGCGGCAGCGACCGGCCTCTCCCTCGTTTGATAGATCTTTGGAATCCAGTGGACTTGGCTGGTCATCGACCAAGTCAGCGCCCGCCACCCATACCGTCTGTGTCCGGGGCGAATCGTTCCGGACAGAGACAATCGTCGGTATCACGGTCGCCATTGAAGTACCCGGTGTTGGAGCCAGTGATGCCTTTCATTGAAAACAACCTACCGCGTCGATTGGTGTGTGATTTGCTTGAACTCTACTTCACCAGTGCTTTTTCGACTCATATGCATCCCGTGTGTCACCATATTCATTGCTATGTCTTGCGAAAGTCTTCCTTTCTCAGTGTGGATCGTCCCCGGCCGACAAGTCCTGCGTTGTTGGCAAGTATGCTATGGGTTGCTGCTGTGGATGACCGAGCATTTTCATTATCCATCTCGCCTCTGCAGCGCAGAAAAATATGTCAATTTCTCTGCGCGTTGATCATTCGGCTCCTACGTCCTTTGATCCATGTCTCCTTCAAAGACCAGGACCCTTCACCGGCCGAAAATGCGACTACAGCGCAAGATTTCTCAGCCGCCAGCGCCCACCACCCATTTGAAGGGGTCGGCGATGATAAAGGATTGGTGGGCCCCGCTGGCTCTCTAGATGATGTTATTACATATATTCATGTTGCGTCTATTATCTCGTCTAGTGAGCAGAAGGCGGCAAGTATGAGATGGTTCGTTGTACCCCTGATCCCTACCCCTGTAAGCTTTATTCACTCCTGCATAGGTGGCATGCGGCTTTTACGCTAGCTCGAGAACTCAAATTGAACCAAGAGATGGAAATTACCCCGAGCGTGGACAGCCTGACAGATGGCTCAAGTCCTTCCTTCGGTTACGGATTAGGCGGATGGCCTGGTTCTCCCGGCGCTCTGGGCTTTGACTACTCGAATCCATCACGCCCAAGCTTAAATTGCGTGTGTGACAAAACGCATGATCTGCACAATGGATCCATTACGGAAGAGCACCGCGAAGAGCGACGCAGAACGTGGTGGCTCCTGTATATCATGGACCGTCATTTGGCATTGTGCTACAACCGTCCACTCGCCCTCCTCGATGCCGAGAGCGAGGACTTGCTCCTTCCTCTAGATGAAAGCGCCTGGCAAGCAGGCATTATTCACAGCAATAGCCCTCGTCCAGACGGCCCCCAATGCCTTCGGTCGGGTAACCAAAACAAACGTCGCATCTTCCCCAACTTCATTTGCCATGACCACTCCATTCTCGGCTTTTTCCTACCACTGATGACCATCACCGGAGAACTAATCGACCTCAATCAGGCACGGAATCACCCCACTCTCGGCGCTCGCCTTCAAGGCAAAGAGGCCTGGGATATTCACGTTGCCGAGGTGCTCCGCCAGCTGGAGATCTACAAGGCTAGCCTGACGACGTTTGCAGCGGCGACCGCGGCAGACCCCGAAGCATCATTATCGAGTGCCTACACCCATAAATCGGATCAACCGGTCGATCCTCAATTGTCGCAGGCGTATTCTTGGCACACCCAAACTGTGATTGCCTACTCATCTTATCTCACTCACGTCCTCCATATCCTTCTGGTCGGAAAGTGGGACCCTGTCTCATTGATCGAAGACAAGGATTTCTGGACCTCTTCCCCTGCCTTCGCATCTACCATCTCCCACGCGCTAGAAGCAGCCGACTCCGTGCAACAGATTCTCCGTTTCGACCCTGACATCAGCTTCATGCCGTATTTCTTCGGCATTCAATTGCTCCAAGGCAGTTTTCTGCTGCTCCTGATTGTAGAGCGACTTCAGAAAGAAGCGGGCGAGGGCATACTCAACGCATGTGAAACTATGATCCGGGCCACCGAGTCCTGCGTCGTCACCTTGAATACCGAATATCAGCGCAGTTTCCGACAGGTCATGCGCTCCGCCGTTGCGCAGGCGCGGGGTCGCCCGGTCAATCCGAGTGAAATTCGACATCGCCGCAAAGCGGTTCTAGCACTATACCGCTGGACCCGCAAGGGCACTGGATTGGCTCTTTAGCCCCGCAAATACTGAGATCGCGATCTTTCTGATTTTCTGGTTCCTGTCGATCATGAACTTGTGGGGGAACACAATCCTTTTCCCCACAATGGATCTCTCTTGACCTTAAGGGTGTACTACCTTAAGGGTGTACTAGTTTTGGTACACCCCATTGTATATTGCTTTCTTTTTCTTTTCGGGTAGGGGGGAAATATGGTGTTTTTCGGGAAATTTCTCTGTACTATTTTGACGATATATTGCCCGTACATACTTCAAGTACATATTAACCATATACATACGTAATTTAATTTCGGTCCAAGGTTAATTAATTCTTCGCCACATGAAACAGATGTCAATTTACCCGACCACGAGTAAATGTATAACTTTAATTAACTATTTCTCATTAGTTAAACCTCCGTATATGAATAGGAGTAATTCACCGATTGGGCCATTTGTCTCGGACCGAAGGCACAAAATCCGGGGAAATCGGTTAATTGCTTTTTGCCGACCTGCAGGCCGTTGAAGCTCGCTTCGCAGCTTTTTCTCCGCAGCTCGTGCATGTTTTATTTTGTTTTCTTGTTCAAATAAATTAAGCATGACCCCAGGTTTGCGGGGAAGTAGGATTATTCCAATTTCTGGTGTCTTTTCTCGATTTCATCGTCCTACTTATGTATATACATACATAACATATCCACGACCCCAAGATCATACCTAGGTATTGATTTTCATTTTCTGCAAGTACCAGGCTCATTGTTATCGGGCAATCTACACAATGACCGAATCTCACTTCCCGTATGCCTGGCATGTCGATGACTTCCAAGCGATACCCATGGAACAAGACCAGTTTGATCAGCCTTGCATCGACTTTTCTCTCACCGAAGAAAAGTTGGATCCCAGCTGGGCCGAGTTCAACCTGATCACTCCATACCAGGCCAAGACGAGTACATTCCAACCATACCCGCAGTTATGGTATGAGGCTGGTCTTGTGAGACAGGACTGTGAAATGAATCAAGATTCTAGGTACATCTTTCATCTTCCCCAAATGAGGTGCACAAACCAGAGAAACACGCCGCTAACTTGAACTGCCGGTTAGTTTCCAATTTCCCTCTGAAAACACCCCGAAAGATCTTTGCACAAACCAGTTAGCAACACAAAGAGCCCTTTTCATGACACCTTCGCCTCAGCTAGCCTTTCCCTTCCCAAGCTCCCCAACATCAGACACGCGCAGTTCCCCAGAACCAAGTCATGCCTCTACAAGCGGGTGGGAAGGCGAAATCGAAGAAACGCAATACACGCAGTTTGACTTCGTACCGAGGCTGGATACTCAATTGCACAATTCAACCCAGATCACATCTCCGCATAGATTTTCAGCTATGGCGGAAGTCGAGGATTGTTTCACACCCCTTGAGATGCCCGATGGGAGTACCCGTCTCACATCAAATTGGTTACCTGTTGATCCCGACGCGGGATTTACTGTTGGCTCTCCGACAATACCCGACGAAGTCCAATTTGAAGATTTGAAGCATGCTTTCTTTCATTCGGAGTCAGCAGATTGGTCATATCATCGGTGAAAGAGTTGGGCTGTCCTTTGGTCCATGAAAATCTGCAGCATGATCATCTCATCATTTCTTTGGGTGGAACAATGCACCAGAAACATTGGTATGGAAAGTAGCTATAAAAAAGCACTTCCACTTCCCGCTATTGATTTCCGTGAATCAAACTACCATATGTGCATGATCAAAACCTACGGACACGAGCCACCTTTTTAACAAAAGAAGCTTGGCTCTTGTTGTCTGGTCCGCTGCAAAAAGCGGAAGGAAGAAGGAAGAAGAGGAAGAGAAAAAAGAACATCTCAAGATATCCCTGTTCACAGGATCCCAAGCCCTCAAATCCTCGCCACCTACATGTCCTCCTCTAGACATGTATCATCCCTCAAGATAGGGAACAAAACACCCATATGCTTAGCATCCTAACGATATGAATATGAAGAAATACCAATAAACATAAAGATCTTCTATATGAAATTGCGGATGACGTACATATCGCGGACGAGGGGGAAGAGAGGGAGAGAGACAGAGAGCCCGAAATTGGTGTTCGGGTGTCATGTGCCATGGAACTTCCAAAATGAGAATTGGCATCTCCAGGAGATAGTGTCAGGTGAGTTTATCATGCCACTTATTAGTCAGACATGCGAATCGCCCCTATCCCAGAGTGAGATGAGGGAGCATCTTTTGAAGTTCCTACGATATGCAGCCATTTTTCTGAGCAACATAGGGACCTACTACGTAAGAATAATTAGCCGTTGGGCATTCTCAAACTTACAGTATTCTCTCGGGCGAAGGGGTCGCAAATTTGTGCTTGATATCTCGGAGTATTTCCTGCGCAGCATCGGTGTTGTCATATCGACAGCGCTGGAACTGTGTAGGTAGTGCGCTTCTGCAGTTTGCGCAGTGAATCCTTCTCACCTCGGCTTTCCAGGTAACACCGCACAAAGATCGTACTGCGTTGGCGAGTCATAAATCACCAAGGCCGAAGTTGAGGATATGTCAAAGTTTTGAATAGAGTTGATACACGCTTGCACAACACTCGCATCCCTAAGGATCTCGATAACGATGACAAGCATGCGGTTTTAAATGTTTTGCAGGCGTCTGTAGAAACGGGCGATGGTCGGCAAACTCCCAGTCGCCTAGATAATGGGTCGCATGTTACCATCACAAATAGTGATCATGTTTTAGAATTGGAGTAGATTGGCATCCACCTAGCTGCATGAAAGATCGCTCATAATTTACTCCGTATGGAGTTCTTGGGATATCACAAAAGATTCTTTACAACGGGAGAAATGAGTCTCTACGACGATTCTCAACGTGTGTGGATGAAAGACAAAGAAACCTTCATGACGGTTCTCTACAAAGACAAGGCCTCACCACCCTTAATCACTATCTCGATCGACCGCAGTCAATTGCTAATAAACGCAGGTTCTGCTATTGCGAGCATCATGACCAATTTACACGTATGGCTTTTCACTGTGGATGAAGTAGAGGCAATCGCCTTCGACGGCAACCTTACCGTGGTAGACAGTTCTTGGCTACAAGTTCGAGAAGGAGTGATCGTCAAGGCGAAATATCAGGCACCCCGCATTCCTGTTCCAACCAATACATTCTTAGACAATGAAGTCGTGAGTATGAAGGAGTACGGTCCAACAGTCTAAGGGGTCATCCAGAGATGGTGCGAGAGAGAGGGGTGAAATATCCCATGCACCTCCCAATACTTTTTCCTACAATCATTGTGTCATCTTCCTACAACATTTATAGTTTTCAACCCATGGTAAAAATTGTCGCTTTTTGCTTTACAGAGTGATTCCCACTAGTAACTAGTAGATGACGATGAACTATGTTCTCAAGTGACCCAATCTAGCTCGCTTTACATACCATTCCTGGTGCTCGCAATGCGGGGATCGCTCTCCATCCGAATCGGTGCCTGGATCCAGAAATGTGTCAAGGGAAACTACATAGAGACAAAACACGTCCAAGTTGTAAAATATGGAGGCTGAAGGGGGTTAGAGAAAGCTACAAACCCCCTCTCTTTTCGCTTTTCCTTTTTTCCATCCCAGGCCTCCGCAAGATATCTCAGGCCTATTCAAGGAAAGAAACAGAATGCACAAGAATTAAGAGACAAAAAGCTAGAATTCATTCTGTTCAGTAAATCACAGTCTAGGCAATTAAAATCGTATGGAACGCTAGAAAAATCATAAAGTAACACATTAAGCATCATAAACCCAATCCCATCCTTCTTAAACAGCAATCGCTGGCGTAAATCCGCTGTTCATGGAGTACTCCGCTTCAGCGTATCTATCCACGCCCGTACGGAACGAAAAGTCATCTGTTGCAACTTCCTCAACGGTAGCAGTAGCCTTCTCTTCAAGCACAGGCACCTCCACCCGACGGTGAGCAGGCCAGATCTTATGCCCGGCTTCCTCTTCCTTGCCGTAGTGTTCGACAACGACGTCGCGCACAGTCTTTTGGAAGTGAAGAGGGCCTTGCTCCATCTCGGGGTGGAGCTGGCCATTGACGAAGACGCCGGCATTGAGGTTTTTCTGTGAGTGTACGCATAGTACCTTGTCCTCGGACATGATGCGCTTGTACATGTCGCTGATCAGGTTGAAGGCTTCGTCCGTTGCATCTTTGTGGCGGTAGACCTCGTAACGCATGACAGACTTGGTGGGACTGATGGGTGTGAAGCGCTGCATGAAGAAGAAGTTGGGGCTTGATAGCATTGATTAGCTACATACATACATTGTCGACAAGATAGGCACTCACGAGATATTGAAAGAGGCGTTGGGCCAGAAGTAGGTCGTAGCGATTCGGAACCCCTTGTCAATCTGGTCTTGCCGGGGAGCTCCGTAGTGCTGGATGTGGCCGGCCTTGGTCTTGACGTAGTAGGAGTTGAGATCGGCGATGGTGGGGATGTCTGGGTGAGCAACGAGGCAGTGATAGCACTCATTGTAGTTATCGGCGAGGATCTTCCAGTTGAATTCCCCCTCCATATCCCAGGTGTGGTCGAAGCGGTAGTCTTCGAAATTGTAGTGCTCGAATCGAGGCTGCTCGTCGACGCCTTCGAAATCGTCTTTCCAGGCGACCTCGGGGGTCTCGCTGGCGTCGAGGTTCACCCAAACAAAGCCATTGCGGTCGAGGTGGGTGTGGGCAGGGAGCATGTCATTGGCGTGGAATGCACTCACGTTGCCTTGCAGATCTCGGGCGATGACAAACTCGTAGCCGGCAGCGTCATACTTCACACAGTCACCCGCATTGGGGACACGATGCTTGTGGGTGGTGAGAAGCCATTTTCGGCCGAAGATGGATCGCTGCTCGAGCTCGTACATGGCCTGCGATGTGTACCAGGAAGCGGGAAGAGCTCGGATCGGTGCCTTGCCTTCCTTTGCTGGGGCTGGGGCGGCAGTGCCGAAGTAGTTCCTCAAGAAGGACATTGTATATGGAACTAAAGACAGATCTTTGAAAATCGGAGTAGATATTAGATAAGAATGAAACCGTGGTTTCTCAATTGATGGAGATATTGATTAAACATGTCTGATCTATATAGTTATCGCTGTCACCACACTTCGACACGGACCACGGTCCAGGGAGCCCAATATGATGGAGTGGCCGGTACTGACCCTGCCAGATCCGAGACGAATGACATGTTTGGAAGCTCATTGCAATCAGGTGGCCAATTTCGGACCAATTCCAGGTGGAAGCTGTATCTATCAAACCGATCAGGTGACCGGTAGATTCCCAACCGGACCGGATGGCTTAAAGGCCAGTATGCCCGCCCTTCCGTGAAACCAAAGATGTTCAGCCCGAGCTTTGGTAGCACTGGCAAGGCAGTAAAAAGGGTTTCGCACGATTGGCTGTCCCCGGAGTTCCATCGTGACCCAGAACGCCGATATCAACTCGGTTCGGGTGCAAAACCGACCCCGGCTGTTTACATATACCGTAAATGGAAGTCCTTATCCTTATCATTCCCCACCAGTAATCCGGGGTTCGTGGAGCAAACAAGATCATCGTCATCCAAATATGTCATGGTCGTATAACTGCAATGAAGAGTCCATGAACGGTGACTGTGTAGTCATGAGGGCGACCAGGAATCCCATGCAGATTGTTGAAGACGGTGCCGAATGGAAATGTATCCCCAATCCATGCTAGCACAGCTTGACAGCTTTCAACCAACAATTGCAGAGATAGAAGCGGACCTGAGTTTGTCACATGCTTATCTCTTCCGGTAGGTCAAAAAGAATACACCAAGCTTCGATTTATTGGGCTTCAATGTGGCGATCTCCTAATTTACTTCATGTTATAATTTGGTTCGACATTACCGGCCCCCAAGGTTATCAGAAAATAGAAGTCGAGTTTCTGTCTCGCTCTGCGGTAAGCATATGATTATGAATCGATCAAACTTGTCCAAGGAAATAGAGACTGATTTGATTAGAGGATGCCATATACGTGAAAAGCCGCGAGAGACGTTAGATCAGTTTCAGTGGGAGAAAAAGGTTTGTGTGAATCTATTCGCATTTTGGTTGTGCATGTAGTATGCTAGGGGACTGTGATGTCTGAATTAGGAAATAGCATCTCTTATATAGAAAGTTCTCTCTCTCTTCTGACCAACTTCAGTATTCCAAATATTACCACTGAAGATCATTTCTTCTTTTCAATAGACCATAGCCTGATAAATACAGAAATGTAAATGTCTCGCATGGCTGAGTGATCCTTTTCCTCCGCTACTGCTAAAAACAACGGTCCGAGTTCGAAACTCGGACGGATCGTTCTAGGTTTGTTATCTTCTCATCCTCCCTGCTCCAGAAATATTTCTTTTGTTAATTAGAGACTTCTTAAATGAGTATAGAGCTCCTCTGGATATTTTTATCATTGTATCTGGGGCTGTCCGGTGCGTAGGTGCTGATGGCGATCTCGTGTGTCAAGATATATATTTGGCTCTGAATCGTATCACTGATCTACATATCTTCCGGACTACCCACATATTTCAAGTTGGTTTAGAATCTAGCCCCAGAGGGCCACTTATCAGCACGATAAACCCCAAATCGATCTTCAAATAGCCTTTAGGTGTCCGCATCCATATATTGAACTCGATACTGATGGTGCCGGGAATTGATGCCTGATTATAAAACCATCGAGGCATCAATGTCTTACAGCCAACCAATAGAGTCCATGATCGTCGACGATATATCAGCGCCATCCAGCTTCATGAGGTGAAGACAAGTGATAATTTCCAGTGTCTATTCACCTTATCTCATACCTTATACAACCTCTTCAGAGCTTTATAGATCAAAACCACACGCTGCATTCTACAAGCTCGACATGATCCTGAAGGACAAGTGGTTAAAAGAGAAAGGATCCATGTATGGGGCTTAGCAACCCGATAAGCAGTAAATTGACATGTTTCCATTTACCAAGCGACACCACCCTCCGCGCGTACACAGATAAATCTACTAGAGAGGTGTCTGCACAATGTGCGAGACACTAAATATGGCCAAAAGTGAACCACTTCCCTTTACCCCTGGACTCGAAAACACTCGTGTGAACCGTCTCCAAGGGCCAAATGCGCATCGTACTTATGCCCTAGATCCCCTGTGCGTACGAGTGGTTGCGCAACTGCTCCTGGACTACCTCGCGGCTTGTTGCACGGAGGGCAATCATGTTGCCACGCTTCGCTGGGAGCTTCTGATGCAATTCATTTGAAGTATTCTGCCGAGGTGCGTGTAGAGTCTGCCCGGTGAATGTCTGATGGGCAGGCGAGATCGGAACTGCAGGCACAGCTGCTCGATCTCCATGTGGGGGACCGCAGATCACAACCAGGCTGAATTTGTTAATCGAGATTGTGCAAAGTGAATCGAAGTATATGATACTATTGTAGATGGGGATGCACTGTAGCAGCGGCTGTTTTAGCCATGCGAACGATGGATGGGCTGACAGGCATTGCTCACGGATTCTTTGGTATGGCTTTCAAAGGGGTTATGATCTGATCTTTGTTGGATGGTTGGATGGAAGAGGAAATCCCTGGGTATTTTTACAGTCATAGGGGCTGGAAAAGTATAAATTTTGAAGTAAGGACGCCTTCTACACCAGCAAATCCTTTGAGGGGTAGAAACCGCAAAAGTCAGGCCTTTGCCTTCAACGTTCAGCCTTTCCTACACCACGCGAACCTCACCCTGTCAGTCTACCACTGCCATTATATCTATTGCTCGTTCCGCCGCTCGTTGTGCCTTGCACAATGTAGCGTTTACCAAGCTCTCCACTCGGAAATGGCTGGTTGTTCTTCCCGATAATTTCAATGTGGCAAGTAATTTCTTCAATTCTTCATCTACACGCAATACTAACAGCACACAAGCTGGCCCGCCGTATCGCCATCCGACCCAAGCACTCTCCCAGCTACGTAAGTCTCCACATGGAAGGCCATGTCTCCTGGGTCGGCTCGCTGTTTTCAGTTGCTATTTTTATCTTTTTCTGTTCGTGGTTCTTTTTAGTACTCCAGCTGAAGCCAACACAGGCCCTATCTTTGCCCATTCATTCATAAAGGGCCCTGTCGAGAACCGCCCCTTTGTGGGTAGCGTGATGATCGTCAACAACACCGACGCTGAGTCAATCCGCTCGAAGCTGAAGTCTGATATTTACACGCAGGAGGGGATATGGGACTTGGAGAATTCCGAAAATCTCCCATTTCATATGCTGGAACGGACCCCGGCGAAGTTGGAAAAGTAGAATCTCACCATTAGGCGTGCCACCGCCCCCTACTATCATTAGGCGAGGCAAAGCACCAATTGTCAGTTAGTTTGGCCCCCATTCCTAGGCCGCTGACGCAGGTGGCTGTATCTCAGGTTGGGGTTAGTGGGGGCAAGTATACAATGCCTTTCTTTTAGAATTGAGGGATTACCGCGTGCCTAGATAGTTGGGGTAAGTTATATTTGATCTATATAGCTCTCTCACTTATCATCGATGTTTCTATCCGTAGATGCATCTCTAGCAGGAGACTATGTAGTTAGGCGTGTAATAATGTAGCATAATAAAACTAAACACCTATTTAACACAAAAGAAGAAAACACTACTTGGTTATGCCCCAGTCCTTGGCCGGTTCAGGCGTGGCGACCCCCATGGCCACGTCGATGCGGTCCTCCAATGTTACATGGCCGTGCCTTTTTGCGAGTACCGCACTTCGCACGGCGTCCTTCCAGCGGGCCCACCAATCCTGCTCGCTCTGCACGGCGCATCGACGGCCTGCCTCATTGACGGGAATATTTGCGAAGGGCCAGACTACTTCGACGCAGTCGTAGCGCTTTGTGGGGTCTTTCTTTGCAGGAGGCTCTAGACTCCAATAGAATATGTCTTTGAGGGACCTTTTGGCCTCGCCTTGTTGAACGATGACTTCTGCAAAGGCGAGGGGAAAGCTGATGTGCAAAGTCCCTTGGTAGCGCGTTCTAGCCACGGTGTTTCGTATCAGGCCTTCTAGGCCGTCTTGATTAAAGTTGACTACTCGACGCTTGAGCGAGAAGCTGAAAGTTGGATATGAGTCATGTGGCCTGGAGATGCTGTGAGGGAAGGAGAGACTTACCTCTTGATGGTAGCAGGATCCTCACAATATTGCAAGACCAGCTTCTCGAGATCTGAAGGCGCAGATCCTGCAGCAGGAGGCACGGGCTCGCCTTGTACGGTAACCCGGCTGCCGTCTATCTTGAGGTAGGACCAGCAATCACTCTCAGGGACAAGTAACGGCAGCAAGTTGAGTGTCAAATCAAAGTCACTCTTGATATCTCCGTATACGGAATGCGACCCACGTACGCGAACGAGTAATTTTGGGGGCAGCTGAGCCTGCTCGTGCATAAGCTGGAGAAGGGCGTGTGCATTATGGCTGAACCGTTCGTTATGAACTAAAACCGCCACATGGTCATCGCTGAGAGCGGCTCCTCCGATTCGATATTGCGTAAAATCGATAGCCAGGGGCTGTTGGTGGAGGTCGGTCGGCCTAAAGAGCGTAGGTGAAGTGGACCGGGTACTATCTGCGGCGGATGAGTACACGGGCGGTGGGAGATTGTTGGAATCTTTAGAGTCTGACATGGAGAAAGGAATCTGGTTAGGGGTTTTCAACCCGAATGGGGCTATGAGGGTACTAATATATCAAGTTTGTCTCCGTTGATATGCAGACCCTCAGATCGCAGTATCAGAGAGGAGATGGGCCCTGCATGCCAAGGTTTCACTCCAAGGCCACTTAAGTTACGGCGAGTAGTAACAAAATACATGATGTATCACTGCTGGTCTCCGCTCTGATACTGGGGTATTTAGGGCCGTTTGGTACGTCATTATGGTGCTATTGCGACCGTACCTGCACCGCTGGACTTAAGGCATCGTTAGTCACCTGTATGGGGTTGGAAAGGCATATCTGGCCTTCTACCGCACCGGATTGCACTATGTCTTCCTCAACTATTGCACGGCGCGTGCGATCGAGCGCTCCCTTCGCGCAGAACGTCTGACTGTCAGTCAAGCCGTCGACGAGGGCTATCTTACGCGCACGTAGTTCCAACTCCTGCATCGCAATCGCCACGATATTCTCCAGGTCCCCATTTACGCTCTGGTCTGCCTCTGCTGCGGAGAACTAACCCCTCTCGTGTGACTATTGCTGGCAAATCAGGTACCCTGGACATGTCTGACGCCCAGGCAGATACAAAAGTACCGACAACGCCAGGTGGACGCCCGAGCACGCGGTGGCGCACCCCCCCGCGGTTTCGGCGTTATCAGCCAGGGGGACCCTGCAGCGACGCAGCAACAAAGAGAAGCTCTTGCAGGTTTCTGGCGTTTGGGGGCTGCATGAGCGCTGGTGGAGACCTCCAACTGCCACCTTTCAAAGTTGCTTACGCCGACACACGGACTATTTGGAGTTATTATCATGTTCAGCATTGAATGAATACGACACCCGCAAAGTACAGGGAACTTACTAAGACTAAGACTCTTAATCAGCCCTAGAGGTGCTGAGACCGGCACAGAAAGTAATGACTTCTTAATTTGGTTATACTAAGTGATATTACTGGGCCTTACCATTTTTTAATGAAAAAACACTAAATTCTCCTTAGGAGAGTCCGCCAAGCAAACCGTAGTTGCACCCAAACTATAGTCTTTTCCCCAGCATTGAACTCTCCACTTTCAACCATCAATTTCGCTATCACTATGCCTAAAGACAACACCAAAGTTGAGATACAGATTGCCAAAGTAATGAATCATTTATTCTGGTAGTTAGAGCCTAATATTGTGGAAATTGCGCGTGATATCAACGTGCCTAAGAACCGGTTTCGGAATCGATGGAAAGGTAGAGAATCCCTATTTTAGCGCTGACCTGATGGTCGTAAGCTTAGTTGTGTACTATAATCCGTTTTATGCTAATTTATCGAGTACTTCGATCTACGCAGGTGCTGCGATAAACTTGTCATAAATCATTATTACCGTGAAGGCAGTTCTCGAAGAATCGTATGCTAATCTCGTAATTCTACCCCCCAAGGTCGACGACCACTAGGCTCCTCGGTCCTTAAAACGTAATCCTTAATATGACCGATGTCGCTAAAGAGCCCTTGATATCGAACGAAGCTAAGTAATAGATAAAGGAGTTATAAGAAAGTGGTTCGAAGAATGCACTTAGATCGTTGAGGAACTAGCATTTTACCCGGCGATATTTATAATTCTAATAATACTAGTTTTCATATTAGTGTCAATGAGAATTAATGAATCATTACTCGAGAACTAAAGCGTAAAATCTCTAATAGTTCTATCATGAATCATAAATTCGTAACGGTGATAGAAGCGGTTTCGGCGGACGGTTTTGTCTATCTACCGCTTAGTATTTTAAGTGGTGCTTAAATGATGTTACGAGAGTTTGAGGCTATTTCAACCAATGAACACCTCGCTGTATCTAGCTCTAATAGATAAGCGCTGAAATTGGGATTTAATAACTTTCCATCGGTTCCAAAGCTGGTTGAAAGTGGAGGGTTGAATGCTGGAAAGAAGACTATAGTTTGGGTGCAACTACAGTTTGGTTGGCGAATTCTCCAAACGAGGGTCTGATGATAGAGATGGAATAGCTTCATTTATAATACAGTGTATAGAGCGGTGTTAGCAAGCGGTCTAAAATAGGGCATCCTCAGGCATTTGATTTGGCCTTTGGCCCTTATGCAACTTCGCAGGTCTGGTATTTTCTATTAAAAATGGCAAGGCCCGGCCCGGTTAGCCCGTTTAAAATTATACTCGTTAGTCTTTACTGCACTTTAATGCATCAAAAATTATGCCTTCCCTTCTATTTTGGTATATCCTTTATGAAAGTCTCTGCTGTTCCGCCAGCTTTTCTCTCTATCTGCATATCTGACTTTTCCTTTGTTTTACTGTCTATTCTTCATGATCTTCCTCCTTCCATATATGAGAATTACCTCGTTGATATAGATGAGATAATAATTCAAGAAGATTTGCCACATCAAAGACCTTCAAATACTGAGTAACCACTATCCATTTCTCCATCTTCGATTACATGCTAGATATACCGTAGCATCACCAAACTCACCTGGAAAAAGGGAGGCTACAACGACATATGAGTGATGACAAATGGCAATTATATATACCGATACTGTTAGATCAAACTCTACTGTATTTTACGTACGTGACTTTAGCCCGCAATTTGCAGATAATGTGCGAGACGAGACAGGTCACTCTGCAAATCCGCAAACATAGGTTGTTCCAACGGATTACATTGGGTTGGTTACCCGCGCATCTTTCATATGCACTCTACATGATTTAGATTTCCTATTGTCCTCCCGAGGTCTATTGTTGCCACTGGAGCCGACTTTTCCTGTTGTTCCTATGGTTCATAGTTCTATTGCATGTCAAAAGGCATATTCAATAAAAATGGACCCTTTTCTTTGACTCCCGGCCAATTAATTATAAGAGAAATCCGGCAAAAAAAGACAACTTACATATTCTACTGTTTGCTTTAGAAATCGGTTAGAATCTTGATTTACTTTGCATTAGATTAAGATGAAACATTAGGCCGAAATGATGTGATCTTCGACCACCAAGATATGATTAACCACCCCTCGGCTAACTATATCGTGAGAAATTGTCCAATCCTTGGCCTGATGATGCAAGTCAACGCCAAGATCTTTTTTATCAGAAGTATATTGTTCAAGGCAGAATATCCCGATGGTTTGAACAACGCCAATTATATAAAAAGAATGAGAATAAGCAACTCGATCAGTTTTTTGAGGAGTTTTCACAATATCTAGTATCGAGGATATTCTCACTTGGTTAGCATGGCGACGGTATACACCCTAAAGAAAGGCCCACAGGAGACGATCAAGTCCGATCTGGACGCGACAGACTCCTCTACAAGCTTTGACACCCCACCCCTAGGCGAGCACCAAGAGGAGCGTCGGTTCTGGTTCCAGAGAGGAAAGAGCTACAATCCAGAAGCAATTGCTACATTGCCATCAGTCTTTGATAACCCCGATTCTGCGAAAGAATACCAGCCCCGAGCTGACTGGGAGAATATTCATCGATTTGACCCGTCGGCTCGGTGGACATGGGGCGAGGAATATAAACTAGTTCGCAAGATTGATCTGCGCATCATGGTCTTTGCTTGCGTTATGTTTATGGCTTTGGAGTTGGATCGGTCGAACCTGGCTCAGGCTCTAACGGACAATATGCTTCCTGAATTGAAAATGAGCACAAATGGTAAGAACATACAACATACCCCACGCTTGGTATCTTCAAAAGCTGATCAAAAGTTCCGCAGACTATAACCTCGGAAACACCGTTTTCAAGCTCTCATTCCTCTGCGCGGAACTTCCCTCTCAGCTTGTTAGTAAATGGGTTGGACCTGATCGTTGGATTCCCACTCAAATGGTTCTCTGGTCTGCAGTCGCGATGGGACAATATGCGCTCAATGGGCGAACATCGTTCCTTGTATGCCGGGCTCTTCTGGGTATTATACAAGGTGGATTTATTCCCGATGTAAGTGACACAAATACCTGTGATTCTAGTGAAGGAGCTAACAGTCGCAGGTAATTTTATATCTTTCATACTTCTACAAGCACCACGAGCTTTCGTTGCGCCTGGGTTTCTTCTGGACTGCTATGAACATTGCAGATATCCTTGCTGGTTTCTTGGCTTTTGGGCTGCTGCATCTTCGTGGTGTGCAGGGCCAGTCAGGATGGCGCTGGCTATTTTTGCTGGAGGGCCTTCTTACTCTTCTGGTCGGTCTCTCTGCCTTCGTTCTTATGCCTCCCGGGCCTTGTCAGACAGCCAACTGGGCAAGAGGCAAGTCCGGTTGGTTCACTGCGCGGTAAGCTATATTCTCCCCACGAGACAGGGAATTTTTTTGGGATTCTTTTTATTAATGTAAACATTAGAGAGGAAACTATCATTGTCAACCGAGTCATTCGGGACGATCCTAGTAAAGGAACCATGCACAACCGAGAACCCATCACGCCCAAGCTTCTTTGGAAAAGCCTTAAAGATTACGACCTATGGCCGATCTATATAATTGGACTCACTTTCCAGACTCCCATGACGACCCCAAAGCAATACCTCACTCTCACTTTGAAGGGTCTCGGATTTAACACCTTCGTGGTTAATCTTTTGACGATTCCCTCGGAAGCCTTGTCTATAGTTTTCATTCTAACCCTCACATATGCCTCCGAGATCACTAATCAGTTGACTTTGGTATCTATGCTGGGCCAAATCTGGACTCTTCCATTCGTCATTTATCTATATATGGTCGACATCAGCACGGCAAATAAGTGGTCCGTGTGGGTGGTGATGACATTGCTGCTGGCATATCCGAATGGTAATTCCATCCATTCCCATTAGATATCCCATGACTAAAAGAATTGCAGCGCACGCCATCCAAGTGAATTGGAATTCACGAAACTCAAATGCAGTTCGATCTCGCACAGTCTCAGCCGCCATGTACAACATGTGTGTCCAGTCTTCGGGAATTATTGCATCCAACATCTATCGCGCTGGTTCGTCATCCGTATCTATTCGTTAATTATACCCGTGCTACGAGCTAAAAAATTGCAGATGATGCGCCTCTATACAAAAGGGGAAATCGTGTGCTGATTGGGCTGGTTGTCTCAAACATTTTCATTTACCTATTAACCAAAGTTTACTATGTGTGGCGCAATAAAAGCCGGGACACGAAATGGAATGCTATGTCGGACAATGAGAGGTTGCATTACTTGGCAACTACCACAGATGAAGGCAATAAGCGCTTGGACTTCCGATTTGCTCACTGAGCATTTTGGGTGCCACTATGAATTTTACACGTGGGAAAACCGAAGAAGGTACCGGTCTTTGGGTAAATAGCGACTATAGTTACTATTGTCTTACTAGTCCTTTCTGTTGTTGTTCTGAAGTCTTTGAAGTTTGTTCCCAATTCCTTCAATATCGATGTAGCGGATACGGTTTATACGAGCTATCTCCAAACTTTATCAAGACAGTGTGATTTTGATAGCGTAGCAATTAAGACTAGCAGTAGACATTGAGTTTAACTATTATCTAGATGCATACCTCGGCAAATAATTGATCGTGGTAAATGCGTGTGAGATGTAAAGAGGATTCTCGCGAAGCGAGATTGGCTGGACCCTGCATGACGTGCTTTGGCAGCATTAGTATCAGTCAGTATAAGCGAGTATACAGATTTAATTTAAAAGTCTCTCATTGGAAGATAACATCTGAATTTGAAATGCTCCGTCTATATGTTGCGCAACCTCCAATGTATATTGTTCTATCGCGGTAGCTCCCGATGACGGGATCTTCCACAATTTGCGGGGGAAATGGCGAATGTGAATGACAGAACAAACTGACTCTTATCAATTCAGAGAACCTAGACATGCACAGCATATGGTGTGACGGCGTTCTAGGTTTACGCGAGTGCATAAATCCTGTAACACGCTGTCGCGAGCGGATATTCGGCACGAGGAGAAGGACGACGGAAGTATAAGAAGCTCTCAGGGTCCAACTCTTTAACCACACTATTCCAACTATCTATTCACTAGAACAATGGCATCTGCAGCCACTGAAACAGCCACCCCGGTGGTCCCCATCGTCGATGAAAAGCTCACCCTGAAGGGTCTCGCGCGTGAGCCTATCAAGTCGAATGGAAGTCTTGACGCCTTTGAGTCTTTCGACGTGACTCCGGTCATTGGCCGAGAGTTCCCCAATGCCAATTTGAAGGAATTTCTGCGCGCTCCTAATTCCGACGAGCTGCTTCGGGAGCTTGCCCTGACCAGTCAGTCACTGCCTTCACCTCTTCAAAATTGAAATTAACAAGTATCGGCAGTCTCCCAGCGCGGTGTGGTCTTCTTCCGCAAGCAAGATGGTTTAGATGATGACCTGCAAAAAGAGCTTGTCCAGCGTCTTGGAGAACTCTCAGGCAAGCCCAGCACATCAGGACTGCATATTCACCCGGTGGCCAACTCGGGACGTGAGCACAGCGTCAAAGATGACGAGATCAGCGTAATTAGCTCTGCGCAACGAAAGAAAATCTACAATGACCGCAACCAGCGAGGGCAGAGTGCACGGAGGGAATGGCACAGCGATATCACTTTCGAGCCCATCCCCAGCGACTACACCCTTCTGCGTCTTACCGAACTTCCCAAGACCGGTGGTGGTAAGTCTCAACTGTAAATCATCCTTTATATTCCCACAATAAATCTGACCAGTCCTTAGATACCCTTTGGGCTTCAGGCTACGAGGTCTACGATCGCCTTTCTAAGCCCTACCAGAAGTTCTTGGAAACCTTAACCGCAACATATGCTCAGCCTAGGTTCAACGAGGTTGCCAAGAACAACGATTTTAAGATTCACCCTGGACCCCGTGGTGCGCCTGAAAACGTGGGCGAGGAGCTAATCGCCGAGCACCCCGTCATCCGCACCAACCCTGTTACCGGCTGGAAGAGTGTCTTCGCCGTCGGCACACACGTTCAAAAGGTCAACGGTGTCACTGAAGAGGAAAGTCGCCATCTTCTTCAGTGGTTTGTCAGTCTCATTGTCGAAAATCACGACCTTCAGGTGCGCCACCGCTGGCAAAATCCCAACGATCTCGGTACGTTCCCATCCCATAGTATAGCCTTCATTTCTGACCATCCCCGTAGCTATCTGGGATAACCGATCAGTGTATCACGCTGCGACTTGGGATTATGATAATCTCGGTCCTCGTACTGGACATCGTGCTGTTGGTCTTGGAGAGAGGCCTTATTTGGACCCTAATAGTATTGGACGACGGGAAGCACTTGAGAATAGCGAATAAGCGATTTAATATTCTCTGCGCAAACACAAATGTTGAAACAAAGTTTAATCTTGCACGCTCACTTTCAAAAGAGCTCTCTAAGAAGATGCCATAATTAGCAATTAGATAGTTGGGTGCCATCTATGTTTACAATAACGGCACTCTACACCCATATTTCACATTAAGGCAAGCCGCCTCTGATCCACTGATTTTTAACCTTTTCATTCCATCACAGGCTCCTATTAGATGCAACCGTCGTTGACGAAGTTGAGGATAGGACGGAACTACGCATTGCAGGCCCACGCCGCCTCCGTCGGGATAGAATACGAGTAAGGCCCTTCGGCGATCGAGTTCGTTTGGGTAGATGATACCACCCTCTTAGTGAGTGCATCTCTAGCATCCCTGCGCTGCAGCCACCCTTCCTAAAACTTTGTACCTGACCATGGCTCGATCCTGAAACCAAGCTTTCGTAAAGGGTCTGTTTGATACTTGTCCTCCTTCCATGAACTGCACATGATTTGCGCTCGGCATTTTTTTTTTCGGGAAACAAATGATACGCGTAACAACCGGCGATCCAATACATATCACTTGCCAAATTCATATGTGCCAGTGTTACTGCAATTGGCCTCATGATCTTAGATGGACAGACGACTACACGTTCAGGTCCACTGCTTCTCTTAAGACATGCATTTTGTGTCGGGTGAAACAGACCAATGGGCGGATAGGCCATTGGTCATGGTAAGATGGCTATCTGGTGTCTCCGTGCGCCGGTCTCGGTCCGCCGGTCTCCCGTGCGGGGGCCCATATTTTGATCTCAAACTCAAATCAACCGCCCCTGCGCCATAAAATGGTATCTGTAGCCAGACCAAGGTATTCCCAATGTGTTGAGCCAAAATCGGAATCCCACTTTTCGTACCTGGGACATGATCAATTGCTGTGTCCTACTTTCCCGTGATCAGGGTATTATTCAAAATTCACCAAGAGAGGCATTATTCTCAAATTCCCTCTTGGCTCCTTACCAAAAATCCAAGCATTAGCGCAGGAATGACCTTCAATGTCCTCACGACCAACGCGGTCGACCTGCAGCAGCGACTCGAAGGGAAAAATATCACGAGCGCTCAAATTGTGGAAGAGTACTTGGCACAAATCGATCGCTATGAGCCTGCTCTCAATGCGCTTATCTCGCCTGCCCCGCGGGAGAGGGTACTCGAAATCGCCAAGGCTCGGGATGAGGAGCGCCGGAAAGGGCGCATCCGGGGCCCATTCCATGGAATTCCCATAATTTTGAAAGACAGCTTTGTCACAGCGTCGGAGCTGGGCATGAGCACCACAGCTGGATCATATGCGTTCGTTGGAGCCAAGGCGTCAAAGAATGGAGCTATCACGCAGCGCCTGATTGACGCTGGCTTGATTATCTTGGGAAAGGCTAACATGACTGTCAGTAGATGTTTGATTCCTAGGAAACTTTGTGGGATTGACCGTTACTCTAGGAATTTGCTGGCATGAAAATGACCATGATGATGCCCGGTTGGTCTGCTCACGGCGGTCAGACTCTGTCGCCGTATGTTGGAAAAAATAGAGGAAAATGAGAAGATACTTGGTCACTCAGTGAGAAGAGAAATTACAGATGATATTCACTTGTACTGATGCTAAGCAGGCTCCTGGGGGCTCGTCCACTGGCTCTGCGGTCGCTGTAGCCGCCGGGTTTAGCCCTCTTGCCATGGCCACTGAGACCATAGGTTCCATCGTGACTCCGTCAACACGCGCTGGTCTATACGCGCTCAAGCCTACTACTGGGGCCCAGGATACTACTGGGCTATACACCATGACGGAGTTCTTCGATAGTCCGGGCCCTATGGCAAAATCAGCATCTGACATTCGCGTTCTTTCTGAGATTCTACTCGGTCGCCTGTTTAACTTCTCCCGATCGTGTTTTTGGGAAGGTCTTTCGGTGGGTTTCCTGGACCCAAAAATTTGGAGTATGTCGCCGGACTTTTGTACGCAATTTGAGGGTACAGCAGAGCAAATGGTAAGTCATTCTCATTGCATCAAAACATTAAGAGCCCTAACGATTGTTTCTAGGTAAACGAGTACGAGGAGACGGTTTCCGCTCTACGAAGCGGAGGTTGTCCTCTTAAGTACCCAATCCATTGCAAAGATCCCTCAGTCTTACCGAATACTATATTGCCAATCGCATGTAGGTCGCTGCAGTATCAGGTGAAGTTAGGAGGGCTAACTTCTTCTAGATTGGGACTTCAAGAATGTCTGCATCCCTAGATTTATTCGCTCGTTTCACGAGTGCTCTGTAACAAGCGTTGCAGATATCGTCAAGTTCAATAAAGAAAACAGTGAAAAATCACTTCCAGCTCGTAGGTTGACAGAGAGGACACATTCCTAAGACCTTAAAGTGAAGAGTCACTAACACAACGCAGCATTTGTCCAGCAGAATGATCTAGAAGGGGCAATGAACTCTATTGAAGAAGAGGAACAAATAAATCAACTGAAACAGGACCTTCGTAGGGCCGCGAGAGATATTCTGAATGACCTATTTGACAAGGAAAAAGTCAATATCCTGGCAGCTCCGGGAGACTCCCCGTTATGTGTTCATGCTTCTGCTGCAGGTAACAGTTCATCGAGTGCACATTTGACTCGCTGTTGCTAATAGGATCAGGATATCCTGTCGCCACAGTACCGATAGGAAAACTTCACTACAATGACCGGCCGTTCGGTCTGTGTCTGGTGGCCAGAGCGGAAAAGGAGGAGACTCTACTGCGGTTCATGGAAGTGTACGAACAGATTGCTAAGCCTCGTCCGGTTCCCAAATTTGGAAAGGTCAAGATATAAATTACAGGGAACGGTAGTTGACAAAATGAATGCGAGTTATCAGCAGGAATGGCTGATAGTACACCTCAGGTGGATATTGTTATGCCGCTAGATAATCAGCCTCGTTTGTAGAAATTGGAGGATGCCCGCCCACCCAACCTTTCATTTCCATATTCATGAAGCATTTAGATGATCACAACGCCTTTATGCCCAATCCAAATCCTATCTAGGCATCAATTAACCCCATGGGCTGGCCTTCTGCATATGCTGCATGTATATTGACGTCTTCCGGCGCGATCACCGGTCCGCGAAGCTATCTGGGTGGATGGTGCGGATCCCCACCACCTAATGTACCACCTGGTAGAACGATAATTTCAATGAATCAATCAATCAAGGTTCAATTAATCTGTTACAGTCTAACTAGTAGCACATAAATATGCAGTCGTTAGTTTCAGCGGAAGCAAGAACTCGTAGCCAAACGCCAGAGCTATTGCACCGGCCTGTATCGAACATTAATGAGAGTGCAAATTGACAATCTCTATCAGCTGGCGGCTCATCAGCTCACTTGCTTCTCCGTACGTGAGATTTGTCTGTCAGTTTCGGTCCAGGGAAGATTCCTGTTTACGACGGGAGAGGCGGATATGAGAATGATGAATGAGCTTCATTTAATTATAAAGTTGTGAATATTACTTGGAACAGATAGATTCGCCAGGGCAAAACAGCTCATTGATTTCCTTTGTCAAAGACCTTGTGGTGTTTTAGCGTATACATCAACACGGAAGAACATTAATTGATGGGATGAATGAACCCACACCAGACCTCGGGAGGAAGGAAATACATTGCGATCTTTTCAAGTAAGCGAATTGCTAGATATGCACTCTTTGTTGCCCAGCATACCCTCCCCCCGGGCAACCGATTGGAAATCTAATACCATCCAATTCCATACACATATGGCTTCAAGTCAAGCACCACCCTGGTGGGATTACTGTGCTGTGAAAGTTGAACCTATTGATATAGTATTTAGTATATACACCTGGGTACCTACCTAACTACCTACCATTCGTAACTATCCAGAGAAAGGCCTTTTATGATATCCATACAGGGTAAAAGATTGATTTATGATGCTGCGTTACCTAGTTATTTAATGAGACTTCGCTTCCAAAAACTTTTGATAAACTGCCTTTAGCCCATCTGGAATCTCGATCGGAGCGGTAAGACAATTGAGGTCATATTCTCCCCCCTTTCCAGCAGCCTCGAGCGCCAAATAACCGGGTGCATATAATTCGACGTCCTCTTCCCACTGCTTGCGGTAGTCCAAATCTGGAGCATTCAAACCGACCACTGATTCTAGAATATCGAGAATAGGTAGATCCATATCCAATCTGCTCATATATACGTCGGCGTTAGCATATACCGAGAATAAGACAGAAACGAGAATAGGACTCACGGTGTGTTCTGATGGGCGCGACCACCTGAACGCTCTTTTGCTTCTAGTACGCCAGCCCTCCCGTTCACAAAAAGATCCAAGGAAAGGGGGAACATGTTGAAAGGGCGTATCAAAGTTGAGTGCTTGATACTTCCGTTCAAAGCAAATTCAACTAGCGTCAAACGGCCTGTTTTTAGTCCTTCCTGATCCACTATCATGAAGTGCTTCGTATTTTGCTCATACAGAACGCTTCCCGTCTTATTGAGGTATATATCGCCAAAACATGCACTCTCAAGATAATACCAGGGAAGAAAGTCTTGCACTAAGTGGGTATTAGGAGTGGCAGGGTTGAAAACAGCTGCATTCGGAACAGGATCCTTGATAGGAAGACAGTGTCCTGCTTCATAATCGTAGCGATATAACAGAATCGCGAACTTAACCCATCGAGCCCTGTTCATGAAATGTGCCTCATCAACGGGCGCCACACAGATGGCATGGTCCGGCTGACAAGGGAAGAATGCATAGACCCGCTCTAATGCCTCAGGAGGATAGGAAGGAAAATGATTTCCCTCGCTTAGAGCACGATTGTGGTATGATTAATGTACAATTAGCTAAGGAAGTTAAAGGTTGTTCAAATAGAAGTAGTACATCACGGAATTCCTGAGAGGCAGACACCCATTGCTGCACCAAGGCGCGGCGTTGGCGCAATTCGTATTCTTTATCTGAATTGAGGTTGCTTGGTCTTGGCACCCAGCTTTCCCGGACAAAAAGTAGCCATCCTTTCACCTGTTCTTCAAACTCATCCCGAGTCACGTCGGTTTCGTGATGTTTGATTTCACGAGGAATGCCCCCAGGCCAGTAGGATGGTGTAGCCATGATAGATTTCTGAACGTTGTTGGGAAAAGGGGCGACTCTCAAACAACTACTTGGAGTTAGAATAGAAAAGCCGACAATCTCAGTCAAGGCGCACGTATATGCGCTTTAGCAACAAACAACTGTATATTAACTACCGCTAGTTAGGTCTAGTGTCGCATAGAAAAAACTGTCGGTGAATTGCCCGCAAGTAGTTATCCACTGTTCATTTGTAATTACTTAGTCATGCCAGAAACCCTACAAATTGCCAGAGCCAGGGTAAATAAAACACAGAGTTTTCACACATTCTTATTGGCCAGGTGTAGATAGCATTCCGACAAAAACGCCTATTTCGTGACCGCTAGGCCACAAAGGTGCACACCTCCTTAGCTAGGCTTAAGTACGGTGTATTTGTGCGTATCCTTGCTTTGACATGTAGTGTACTCCGTACGGTAAATTTAATGACACGTGACCCAGCGACCGCCCTTTGGGCCAGCTAGTTAGTGCATAATGTAATATTACCTGCCACAAACGGATTAGTGCAAAGTGTTCGGTAACAAATGATTGCCTAAAAATAGCTGTCGTATCAAGATTGTATTGGGTAGGTCCTGTCCAGAGCGACCCACTTACAAACCAAACAGACTACGTAGCTGGCAAGGGATTGGCTCCCCTTTCTGGCTACTCTCCAACCCACGTACTCATCCACCTTCGCTCAACCGCCCTCATTCACACCTCACTGAACACTGTGGTCGAGAAAACCTACAGTACTAAGATACAGAACGGGTGGGTAGAAGTTTCTTTCCAACACCGCTCACTCAGACGTACTGGCCTCACAACTGCAATACGGACACCATTCTTCAGTCCCACTTTTGTTTTGAGCCGCCCAAGCGATAGTGGCTGCCTCCACACTCCCGGCTGATATCGTGATAGAGTTACTCGGTATTCGCTTTAATATAACGCGTCTCACGAGTTTGCTATCCCTTATAGAACTATGGATCCCTTCGGCATCACCGTTAGTGCTCTAGGGATTGCACAATTTGCTATATCTAGCATAGGTAACCTTCGTGATTTTATCAATAGCCTCGACGAAGCGAAAGATATGATACAAGATATGACATCTGACTTAGAAGCCATCCAACTTCCGCTCTCTGTCCTCGGGAATCTCCAAATATCCGATGACAAGACATACGTTCTGGAGAACACTGGTTTTGCTGAAGCCGTGAGCAAATGTGGACAGGCATGCGCAGATTTTTTCAAGAAGCTTGAGCAGTGGACAAAACACTTCACTGCTACGAATCTTTCTCCTATAGATCGACTGTCGGTCGGCTTATGGAACAAAGAAAAGATCCGAACCTTTAGGATACAGGTCCATTCTTGTCAAGCCATGATCCAGTTTGCAATCGACAGTGCTCAGTTGTACGTGATCCGGCTTTGTGCTGGAGAAGAGGTGCTAATTGAGAGCTTAAAGTATCATCCTAGTCCGGTCCGAAAATGCGTTTAAAGCTGCACGCCATGAGACAGAGAAGCAACAGCGACTTCTCGAGAATGCTGTCCAAAAGCACATCAAACTTACAAAAAGAAAGCAAGATGAAGCTTTTCAGCGCCAGAATGCACTCAAGAACCCAGAGGATGAAGATGAGGACGACGACGGCGGAGCTCAGCGAACTCTAGCCATTCAAGAGATCGAAGAGCAATCACGCGTACTGGAATCCGACCAAACTGCCTCTAGGGCTATATCCCAAATGCTTTCGAAATTATCCGCCTCGCAGGTCGCCAACACACACATTATTCAATTTTCGGGTAGCCACAACCACGGCTGCCAGCTCGGTCACAGCACCGGTACGATCAATTGGACTTGTGGTCCCACCGAGGTCGAGCATGGAGCCTATGGGATGGGACCTGTAAGTTCTGCCTTTTATGTTTCATCCAACATCCCAGGTCGACCCGTTGTTTCCACGGGGGGACCAAACCAGGATTTGCCAAAGTCTTCATTGATCAGCTTCTCAGGCATTGTAGAAAATGACCCGAACTAAACTCCGTTATACTTAAGGACAACGCATCTTTCCATGTATAGACAGATCCTACTTCAAATTGCCAAGGAACAAGGAAATGAATTTTTAAATCTAAATTTTAGGTACTTCCGAGTCCAGTTCCAACAAACACAACCATCACAGCTGAAAATCTGGACCAAGAATTAGTGGAAACCTAAAGGACAAACTTTATTTTGAATCGTCAACATACGCAGCAGTTGCAGCAAATATTTCGGAGCTCTTGGCTTTAGTGAAAATTGCCAGTAGTGCGGAGAAAGAGATAGTGAAGAGAGCAATGCAAAGTAGCCGGGTAGACTGAGCATGCACGAAGTATAGAACGATAATGGGAACGAGAAGCGAGGAAGAGGCTCCAATAACGGCTGTCAGCTTTGCCGCCTTGCGGATGCGACTGTCAGATGCGTATTGAACTTGATTGCTATCCCATCGGTGATCAGACTAGAGAGGAGATTTTAGTTAATAGACTCTTTCAGGCAAGTGTCAGAAAGGAAACACATACCGTGGTTTGGAAGATCTGAGCAATCACAAATGTCAGTATGAACGTGTCCACTTTGGAGATGGAAATGCGTTACCCAACTAAGCCATCGTGTTCTAATTGCTAGGCCAGCCAACCAACGAAATACTGTCTCTAGTGATGAATAATCTGAGACACATGCATATGTAGTGCAAAGATCGCGTTCGTTGTGATAGACAGTCGATTCCTCTGCAACTACGGGGTTCCTACTGTCTAGCCATCGACGGAAATGACGAATATTTCTTTTCGTTGGCGAGTTCAAATTGACGATTCGGTCATAGGTTACTAGTAACTGGTCTGATTTCTGATAATTAGATTCATTGAACAATGCGTATAATTTCTGGAGACGACTGTACCGTAATCGAGAAGTCGCACCCTAATTTCTGAAATTACTTTCTTCCGCTCTTCATTGCTGTCGAGCCGCCGACTCATATTGTTGATCTCTATCGGTTCAGTTCTGTCGATCGTGTGCAACTGCTCCTCCAAGTGGGTGAGCTCTTCCTGCAAGTACAGCAGTTCTCGCAGATGGAGATAATCAAATCGCCGAAATATGCCGATTTCAGGATCACTTCTCATGAATGCTGCAAGCTCAGGGTATCCCCTTGGATAGGGGCCATCTATACGAAATTTAGCTGCGGAGCTTGCAGATTCATTGCAAAGTTCACCTTGGTTGGCGTCGGCGACCTGATTCTGGATGCTCGAATTCTTTCTTGAGCCATTTTCCAATGGCGCTGACTCCTGTAAGCTTGTCATTTCTACCTCACACCCAGGGTCAAACCCACACGAATATAAGGTATTCAATGCTACAAAGCAGCCCACCATATTTGAGGGGTAAATCAACAGTATGTGTTTTCTACGATGACTAAGCCATCTATATTGTAAATGGGGAACGAACTTGTGATGCCGGCCGCGCTAGTAGCAGGATTCACAAATTACATAAGTAATTCAACCTGGTACTGAGATGTGGTTGCAAATACATGATTTCAGGATGAAGCAAAATGTCGCGCACTCATTCAGCATATTGATGCCTTGTTTGTGCCTCGGTTATCAGGTCACAATTTGCAGAAACGGGGATCACTGAACGTGTCACAATTCACTAGTAGAGTACCCACTATCAGGATTTGACACCTGAATATCTGCACCATTCTTTCCTGAGTATTCTAGTTCAGTTTCTTTTGTTTGAATCCTGTGAGAATTTGTTGAACTCTATCAATCGGCAGACATAATTGTAGCGCGTTGAAATTCATGTGGGTATCGTAGTATAATTGAAGTTTCCAACCTTGATCTCGATTTTATCATGTTCAACTGTAGTATTGAGTCCAGAGACTTAATATTGCCTGCCACAAACGGATTAGCGCAAAGTTTGTTCACCATTGAACGATACTATCCACGTCTATTGCTTGCCCTCTTCTCGCTGCGTTATACGTTCAGTGAATATATATATTATATCATGGCAGCAAATTTGGTCCATCATTGCTTGTCATCCCGCCTTCGCGGAGCATGTGAGGAATGCCGAAGACGGAAGCTCAAATGTGACGGGCGTGAGCCATGCCGCAGCTGTGCTAAAACCGCTACCTAGTTCCTCTCTTTCTGTCTGCCACAGCATTATTACACGCTTTAGTCTTCCAGGAACGTGAGTGTCTCAGTACTGTGCATAGAATAAACGAGGATGCGGAGCCCTCTTCCACACCACGGAGCCTTCTTTCATACCCAGAGTAATCCTGAAAACCAATCTGCGACACCAGTCTGGCACCTACGGCTCGCAAAAGCTGAAGCTTCGCTATCTTCTTTGGCACTAGGTGGAGACTGGTAAAGTGGTTCCTAGCAGCCCCTTGAAAGAGAGAGAACGTCATATTCGTGGAGATCATACAAGGGCGATGGAATATGAAGATATGAATATTGTATTGCGGACGGAGGAGAGAAGGAGAGAGAGAGAGAGAGAGAGCAAGAGATATCTATCTATCTACTCCATGGGAGACTATCCCAATGTGGGATGTCACCTGACATCCCCAACACATATTGAATGGGCACAACTGACATAAGTAAACCAAGGTGCAAGGCTTGGAAGGAGAATTTGGGTTGGAGGCCTGGGGAATATGGCAGGAAAATGGACATGGCATGGGGCTTGTCCTGGGCAACTAACCGAGCAGGCTGAAATGATCACTGTTCAGGATGGATCGAAATCACTTTCACCACTTGCACACAGAAATTCTTCCTCGAACCCCCTTTCGAAATTCACTATACCTATTACAGTTACTCTACCCCATTACCCCTTTCTTGGTAGTATTGCAGTACAGTTGTGAGATTAGGACAGTAGGCTTGTCGTATGAACTAGTAGAAGCCAGGAAATATGGCCTGCCATAGCTAGATAGCCCAGTGTAGACAATTAACTTGATAGAACAACAACAACTATAACTACAACTTTAGAGGTGAAGTAGGGATGAGATTATTTACAAGAAACTGTGACAGAGATAACGGTGGCGTTCTTGATGCTGGTGGATGTGAACAAGGCCAGGGTACGATCGTCGAGTGCGTACTGTATCAAACTGCCGTCAGGTGAGACTTGGACTCTATATCCGTTGGGGAAGGTGGATGGGGGCAGAATAATTTCGGTGGGCGCGTCAATATTGGGATCAGACGTAAATTGCAGCTTGAAAGTGGTTGATTCCTCAGAAAAGCCGAAGCTAATAGGAGTGCCAGCGATGGCAGCAGGGTATGCACGGCTGTAGTGCTTCGCCAGTTCAGGATAAGGTTGACCAGATGTGCCATTGTACAGGTTCTCGTACGCCCAGCCAATCCAGGAAACCATATTTGCGTCGGTCGCCGTCATGGCATCTGTCAGGCCCTGCATCTGCTTATCATCACCCATCCAAAACGTAAGCTCGGTCAGCACACCGGTGGTTCTAAGGCGCTCGTTGTCCCCGTGGCGGTTGTTGAGAGTGGTGGAAATAGAGCCCAGCTGTGGCGGACTGTAGTAGTGGAATGAATGCACCGACTTCGAGCCTTCCCCGAGAGGGACGTTGTTGAAACCCGATAAGACGTCCAGGGTGGCGCCTTCAAACCAAATGAGCGTGTCATTGTCCACGGTACGGATCTGCTTAGTCGCGCGGTTCCAGAGTCCTTCTAGGACCTTGTGGTCGGCAACACCTGGCACTAGCAATGTCGGATCAGCCCACGTGTCGCCTACCCACGGTTCATTCAGCAAGTTATAGCCGACAACGTTGGTCGTCCCGGCATACTCTGACGCCAGTGTTTTCCAGTACGCCGCAAAGGCATCGCCAAGCCCGTCGTAGTTGTTGTATAGCCGCCCAAACGCATTGCCCACCGCCACCGATGTGTAACTCAGAGACCAGTCAACGGTATCACAAAGCGACTGCGGTGATGGGAACCCATTTTCATCCACAGAGAACGGTGTCAGCTTAAGGGGGAACGGATACATCCTGCTGCTCGATTCCCAGTCCTCCTTAACAAACCACTACAAAGCCGTGTCAGTATCAACGGTGCCAAGATGCCATTATCTCGACTTACGTCAGGTACGCCGTGGCCGCAAAACTGCCGAGCCAGACAGTCCTGATGCACGTCCACCAAAACATAGAGGCCATGGTCCTCGGCCATCTTGGTCTGCTTTTTCATGATGTCGAGAAATGTCTGGTTGTACGACCCACGCACAGGTTCTGCGCCAGCCCAGCTGTGGCCCAATCGCACAATGTTCAGGCCCAAGTCGTGCAGATTTTGAACATCTTGCTTGCCAAATGATGAGACACCTGGCACCCACTCCAACTGCCGATGCCACGGCGGCTCCTTCATAACGACATTGGTTCCGTGGAAGAACCGCGTACGGTTAAATACATCGACGATTTGATGTGTATCTTGGTTCACTTGGCTGATACGCGCCATGCCTGGATGAGCCTTGTACCAACCCTCGGCATCCTGAGCTGACACACCCGCCAGTGGTGTGCCGAGCACCGCTAGCAGCGATGCAGCAGTAATGGGGGTGAATAGCATTTCAATGAATGGATCAACCAAGTCAATCCCAGGTGAGAAATGGGAAAGAGACGGAGTGAAGGAGCGTTCAAACGATAAAACAATTGAGGGAACATAGGGAGAGTACAAATGCCATGTGCTCTTTGCATAAAGCAGGGTTACATCTTGTCGGTCAAAGCGGAGCCGAAATATTACTAGTGTATTCAACACCTACATCTTACTGAAGAGTTTTTGGCTAGTAGGGTAGGTCGAGTACAGCGCACTTCAACTGTAGACAATCTTGAAGAGTCGTCTAGATTTATGGCTTGATAAACAAATTGTCGCCGTTAGAATTTGTTCCTGTTGTAACCAAGACCTGTCCAGCACCAGTTGAGACTTCAGGGGCTCTAGCATCTTGCTAATCTTCTTCGAGATATTTGCATCATCTAATTATTACAAGCCAAACTCTGTGCAGATTTGCCGTGATACATTGCTAAGACTCTGCGGATGTTGCACGCCAGTCCACCAATTGATGAGTATTAGGACGAGCCCATACTCGCGCTTCCAACCAATAAGTGGTTCATGTGGGGAAATTGTGGTGTGGGGAAGAAAGGTAAGTGGGAAGTCGTGCCGCATCCACGGCCACATGAACCATTTAATGATTTTACCATTTATTGAGTGGATCACACGATTTGACTTTGGCCTTACGGCCCCTCTTCGCTTGCTTTCTTGCTACTTGTCAGTAGGGTTCTGTTTCATCTCTATGCATGGTTCGGGACTATATCCTGGCCGTTTGTTTGGGATCCACTCGGGTCTTCGGGGCGGTAAAACGAAGAGGGACCGAGGCATTACAGCATGTGTGGAATCAAGTATGGAGGTGTCTCGTAAATTACGTGCGTCAGATCATAATGTTGAAAATCAAAGTTTCCGCCGGGTAATTGGACGAACTCATAGAAACTTCACATCTAATATAAAAGCGGCAAGGAGCCGCTTTGGATTATCAGCTTTTTCTTCAGGCTGTTATCCTCCAATCCCCTTATATATAAGCTGCGACTACTACTGGTACACTCTTTGTGAGCAATATGACCCCTTTCCCCTTGCTAGGTCGAAACTGACCCCTATCATTCCCAGCCAACACCGGTCCGCAATGGAAGTTATACATTTCGGAGATGAACGCTACGAGGAACACAGCAATGTTTGAAACATCCTATATGAGCACAAGCCATCCTCGATTTTACTTCCTAGAACGGCGGAAGAGGCAGCGTCTTGTCTTCAAGATGTTATTCGCCGAGGAGAGAAACTTCTAATTCGATCCGGCGGCCATGATGTCAACGGCTACTCTGCAGCAGACGATGCTGTCATAATTGATTTGCGCTATCTCGATTCCGTCGATATCAGCGATGACATACCCAAGTCAAGGTTGGCCCTGCAGTAAGGTTCAAAAAGCTTTACTCGGCGCTCGCCGACCGCAAGCTGGTTATTCCAGCAGGAATTTGCAATGTTATGGCAGTCGGTGGCCACGCATTAGGTGGAGGGAACGGCTACCTACATCGTTTCCTTAGGGCAAGCTGCGACAAGGTCATTGGAATGAAACTTATAAACTGCCACGGGAGACTGATTTGTACAAATCCCGAGGAGAACCCCGATCTTTTTTGGGGCTTACGTGGGGCCCGGGAATGCAAACTTCGGTATGGTCATCGAATATACCTATGAAACAACAAAGGTAGAGAAGTTTTCTACTTTTGTGGACACATGGAGGTGGGATATCTACGAGAAAACCTTCAATCACTAACAGAATTAGGCACCTTATGCTGGCTGATACACGTTTGGCATCGACTTCTACGCTTTACAATGATGAAATTACAACAAGGGGCATGTTCGCCGGGCCCAATAAAGAGCTCCTGTCGCTCTTGCCAGACTTTATTATAAAGCCCAGCACAAGCGAAGCCCCGTCCACTGAAGAGCACGACCGTTATGATTCGGCGCTGAATGGGCTTATGTCGCAATATGTGCAGGGGGTAGTTCAGTAGCCCTCGAACACGCGATGTTTGCGGCTGCAGCTGTGATATGTAACTCGCTCGATTCTATTTCCCTACAGGACTTTAAAGACTTTATTCGTCATTCACCGGGTACCTCATCGATTGTCCGATTTGCTCGCGGTAGGTGCATTTGAGCTGTGCCAACCGACTTCAACGCATACCGCTACCGCTTCCAGAGTCTTGAGCCCATGTTCCGGACAACGTGGAAGGATGAAGGCGATCGTGAAGACTGTTTGAATTGTTTCGCAAGTTCATACCGCCGATTATATTCTAACTTCGAAGGCGTTCACAAGAATTGGACTTGTTCGAAGGTGAAGTGCGGAATGTATGACTGGTACGGGGACCACATACCACGGCTGGTCTTGACCAAACGAAAGTTTGATCCCGAAAACATATTCTCGAACCCCCAGTCCCTTCCTGTTCATGTTACCCAGCAGCGCATCACTGATTGGGACCTTCCAAGGAGTGTCGTTGACATACTAGAAGAACAGGGCAGTATAATAGAGTGTTCTTAATGTCACCATATGTGTATAATCAGATTGTCAACAGTTACCGATTATCGAATACAATTTCCAAATGATAGTGAGAAACAACATCGAATCAGGCCATATACACTTTGCTATGGCAGGGTCCCCGGTTTACACAACTCAGACGGCGGAATCAACCGCCTTGTTCTCGATGGTCGGTCGGTACAACCGCCAGGCGCTGTCGTTGAAATGTTGACGTTGGTTCGGTTGGTAGTAACAGAAGGCTTCTAAATCGGCAAGGCGTCCATGTTCTTGCTCTGATGATTATGGAAGAGAGTTTCCAACCTTGATCTCGATTATATCATGTTCAACTGTAGTATTGAGTCCAGAAACTTAATTTTCTTACATTTTAGAATATTAGTACTTAGGTAAAGTATTTAATAATCTGAATGGCATGACTATATATGAAAATAGCTATAGTGAGTTCTAAGAGTAGTTATCTATCTATCTTCTTCTAATGGTCAGCATCTTTGATGTCGATTTTACTAAAGAGTTTCAATCTTAATAAACGATTAAATTTCTCCGCACTCAGGGGAGGAGGGTAGCGATTCTTAATCGTTACTTTATTGAGTCTTTTATAGTCTACATATATATAGGTATATAGAGTGTTCACTTTCTTGAGAATAAAGGAATTGGAGTGCTTATTAGACTTTTTAAAGGTTGCATTCGCTTTTTCTTGATATTATCGATTGGATAGATCTATAGCTCTTTGCGATCTTTTTAAGGAATAGAGTCCTTATCTTTTTGTATATAAGAAAATTCTGATTTTCGTTGAATGTGTATAGGATATTATTCTCTAAGGGTTTCTACTATTCATATTTATCGAAAGCTGTATTAACTTTGATATTTTAATTAAGTAGAAGATTCACGAACATGCTCTCGGAAGAGCTAGCGCTAGAGCGACGTCTCTCGTTCACTGGGAGAATATTTTCATTCTTGTGACGAGTGATCAGCCATGTTTGATAAGGCGAGCGACTTACAATGTGTATTTTGTATTTTTCTACGATTGGGGAAAATAACGGGGAAAGAGGAATATAAAGACAATTATAAAGATAAAACACAATCGGATAAGTTTCTTTATTAGGACATGTGAACTTGTAGATCATCTGTAGAGTCCAAGGCGTCATTGACTCGAGTTGATAACCGAAGTGTATGACCTAAAGCGTCCAAGATACTCAATTGTAGATAAAGGTCTAGACCATTAAGCTTCTGGTTAAAGAGTATATTAATGGAAGATGATTTAACAATGGGATGATGAGACGCATAATTGATAGTTCCGATTTATCAATCATGAATCGGCATAGAAGAAGATCTTCCTTATTACTTCAAGTAGAAACATGCTTTCCTGCGCTCCCGGCCACATTATAGAGTTGCTACCAACCATGGTTGCCACCTTCATCTGGTGCAAGTTACCAGACTCCGGAGCACAGGCTAGACTGGGACAATACCCAATAAAAAGTGCCCAGTCAAGCTTTTCATGGGCATTTGTTCGGCAAGAGTGGGTCCTGCTACGGCTGGCTTAAATGTACAGATTGGCCCAAAACGTGAGTCTTCGTCTAAGTTTCGCATAATTTTCGGCGATGGGCGTTAATTTTGGATACATCCATGGACATTTGATGTCTTCGACTAGTACACAGACTCCATGGTTTTCGTTCAGTCCAATTAGAGACCGTATCCGGGATTCCACTGGTTTATTCTAGGCTTTGGCAACAGCAGGCCTCCATATCGTTATAACATCCCGGTTATCGAAGGTATTCGTGGAAAACCACCTGAGGATGTAGTCAGTTCAGTTCCTTTAACCAGGGACACCGCCAAATATCATATATTCCATAAAGTTCGCAGATAATACGCTTGAACGAAACAATCGATTAGAGTCGTGATCATATCAGCTTACCGACTAGATTCACAGACAATTGTCTTCGGAATTGCAGTCACCATTCATGCCATGTTGTATTCAATGTTGCAATATGAGGCTGTCGCAGATCAGGGAAAAAGCCGCATAATCGGAATTGATTTCCGCGGTGTCTCAAGCGAGTTGATTCGAAATCAACTTGGAGCTCATGCTGCACATATAGCTTCACGTATCCCCATTGGAATAATAATCAAGTCATTCCTCAGATTTACAATATTCGGGTTCATGTCACTCTCCGGAAGTTACTTTGAAAAAGCCGCCTTCGGGTGCAACATAAATTTTCCCGAGACAGCGAGAGGCGCGTGACGAAGTTACCAGGGACAAAATTGTACAGTTGTGATGGAATAACGCTTAATGACCGCTCACGGCTTATGCATAAATAGCGTCTAGTTAACGCGGGAACGACCGTATTAGCCAGATATAGGGAGCGAATTATTGAGTATGGATAGGTATGCCTTTGATTCGGAAGCTCGCCTTTCAGCCAATTTGTTACCTCCTTAAATAGATGTGTTGGCCGATGGATTCCTCGAGATAGGGATTTAATTTAACGATACTAGACATAGAGAAATAAGAGAAATAAAGTACATAAATACCACGCCTAAGGTAGTGGTCCTTAGTTGACAACTGCTTTTACATATCACTCGTCTTTTTTTCAATCACCTTGTTATTAAGTTATGAAACAGAAAACGCTGTTAGAAGGGCCAGTCTACACAATTAGATATATGGTGAGCTTCCTGAGCAGAAAGTGGTGTAATAAAGGGTACAAGGGAAACGGGAGGGAAACCTACTTCAACTTGAGTGGCTAGGCAGCAAATAGGGTGAGGCTGAGACGAGTTAGGATCACAACTAGCACCATCAGTGATCTCCTCTGTGGAAAGTCAGCAGATAGACCATATAGCAGTGTATTAAGAGGAGACATTGTCAGACTTACTACAGCCTAATCCGTACGCAAATAGATAGAGATTAGGCAGGATCTTTTGATTCGGATTTTTCTCCAAAGCGCAACAGAACTGTCTGTCATCAGCTTCGCAGTTTCTTTTCTGCAGAACACCCGCTGATGTGATACTGGTCATAGTTCCTGCTAGGGCAGAGACTGAGAGTAAAATGTGGGACCGCATCTTTCAGGGTGGATTTAGAGAATCTTGATCTGGATGGTAAAAATCTCGATTGATGTGAGAAAAATAGCAACTTTTCTTCAGCAAGACATTGCTATTACTAAATCGAACTGTCCAGAGGAGTGACTTCTTAATAGATTCTGCACATAATAAATGACATCATATATCTCACACACTGCTCGACGGGAATGGAAACGATTTTGAAAAAATGCACTTGAAACCATCATAAGCTCAGGGATTGGTCCAATTTGTACGAGTCTAGACCGTCTAGATAGCTTTAGCAATAAAGATTTCCATAAACAGAGTCTTACCTTCTTTTAACTACCTTAGGACGGTGGCCGATACTTTGCAGAACTATGGTACAGATTCAAGTTCGGGCGGTGGGCCTTGTGACTACATGGGGGGATAGGGTAACAAATCAGAACGAGGCAAAGCATGTTGTGATATGAGGCTGGTACAGATCAAGAACAAAGCGGCACCATTGGAATTAATTCCCGAGGTGTCAATGCGAAGAAGCAGGTTGATTGGAAATCAATTTCGAGCTCATGCTGTATATATAGCCTCACATATTCCCTCTTAAATACAACAATCAATAAATTTCCTGTGAATTACAACAGATCATCGTGTTTACGGTTAGGGGTTTGGAAATGAATTCTCAAGACTGCAGTGATAAGCCGATTTCGTATATTACTGTAAAGACAGAGATCTCAGGTCTTATTTTGCAGGTAGCTTTGCTAGAAGCCCTGAGCATTGCGTGTTGAGACTCTCGGGAGAGGACTCCAGGTGCAAATTGGAACAATTTTTCAACCAACAACAGAAGGACTTGCGGAAGCAAGTCCCGTGGCAAGAAGCGATAACATCGCCATAGCGAAGTAGAGGAGCTTCATTCCAAGGCGATTTGATGGATACCGATTTTGGCTTGAATTTTGGCCTATGGTAAAATATTGACGATTTTAAGATGGAGGCAACAAGTTAGATACATCTTATATATCTTCCTTTGGTCCAAGCTCAGATAGGTATATATAGCACGTATCCCTAGACGAGGCAGAAGCCACCATAAGATCTACGCAGTGCTGCACTGAATAACAAAAGGTAAAGTATGCTTACATTCAGCAAGGAGCATATAATCTACCCTGCCAACATAGTGACATGAAATAAGGAGCTTATATCTTGGCAATGTGGGATTGGTACAGCTGACAACGAATGAGGTAATTTTTGGAGAGGATCGAATGGGTTATTGAGCTGTATGTACCGTGTTATAAAGTAGGAGAAGCTGGAGTAGAAGATCGACAAGCGTACAAGCGGGTCGGGCCTTCGGCTAAGCGCGGCTTCTGACGCAAGGGATATGCGAAACGAAATATTTGTGGGGGGTCAACGCATGGACTTGCAACATATCCCTAGGTGGTAAGTCGGGATATGCAGGAAGCTAGCAAAATAAAACTGCTTTCACAGAAAAAATGAACTGTACCTTGAAGTAGAGAGCGGGTTATGCCAATAATCACACAGCAGGGAAAGTAAAAGCAGTTCATGATTGTTGTGCTGGCCTTAGGCCGCCGCCATTCTTATCAGCTCATCAGAGCGCAGCCACGTTTATTAGTCTGAGATAGGTTCTTTCCTTCCTTTCTTATGAATCGAATCGCTTTTCTGAATATCTTTCCGTAGCTGTTCAACAATGATGAAATTTAGGCTTATTTCTTCATATGGACCATGAATGAAGGCGCGAAACTCCGATTTTCAAGAAAAAAGAGTCCGCGAAACTAGCAAACAAAGCCAGGACACGCGGCGTGGCGCAAATGATAGCAAATTAAGTCGTGTCCCATCGATTTCATGCCACCTTGTATTCTCTCAAAAACTCGAAAATCTTCTGTCCAAACTACCGGGGGCTGATAATTGAAGAAGGTCATTAAACATACTTAGATACCTGGAGTTTGTATAACTTTATAGATCTGATAGCAAGATGAAGGGGCTCCTTTGTGCTGATTCTTCATTTGATGCCTTGGGAACCAGGAACCAATGGTTATTAATGAAACAGTAAAGTTGAAGTGTTGACGTTGGTTCGGTTCATAGCAGAAGGCTCCTGTACCGTGCCTTTTCCTTACACAGACATACCAGACGTGCAATCGATGGCACCAGAAATCCCAAAAGGAGACCCAACCGATTTGGATAAAGTATCTGTTTTTCGTGGAAAGTCGTCTGCGGATCTAAGCACTAATACAGTAGCCTCTGAACAAAGTAATTGCGCTTTCATGCTTGCTAGAAAGGTCGAGCCTTTCCTTGTAGTGGGTTTATCATTCAGCACGCATATCTTTCTAGACGCAGTCATGAAAGCTTGGTAATCAATGAATGTTTTGTATTTTCTTTTATTGAATGCTATCGATTTTCAAGTAACAAGAAACAAATTTTGTCATAAATTGTCGGAGAGAACGTCAGCGAGGAGTGTTGAATGTTACGTAGACTCCCTACCAGCTCTGGTGGAGTACTGACAAGTGATAACATTTAGAACAAATAGCCATTTAGACCTTTCAAAGTCCTCTTATCCACTGCATGGTGTTTGTTTGCTTCCCAAACATGCCCTCCTTCGCCAAATTGGTTGGCGGTATGACCCAAGAAGAATTCGAGATTTTCCTTGCATTGCGGAAAGGCGTTCTTGAAATAATCATAAAGTTCCTGGACTTGCGGCTTGGTGGAAGCATACGTCACCTTCTCTCCAAGTAATCCTAGATACTTTTTGGTGTGGGCGAGATCAGCCGGGGCGTCCAGCGACCACCCCAAGTCTAAATGACCAGGAATGATTTTCGTTGGCCGAAGAGCCTCGATAATCTCAATGGTTTTGAGCCATGCTTCAAGAAGGGCGCTAGTTTCCACTTCCTCAATCCTAGTTTGAAAACCATTAATTACTTGTCTACAGATCTGGAGTCTTCGAGGACAACATTACCAAACATGTGTACTTCTGCCATAAATTGTGTCACCACATACGACTGTTCTCTCACTTGGCATCCAGAATATTGTATGATCAACTGAATCGCCTTGCAGTGGACCGAGGAGAACCACAGGGCTACCCGGATTATCTTCAAACATGAAAAAGGAAAAGTCAAATACCTTTGGCTTTCTAGGTGCCTCGGGGACGTTATCTTTGCCAAAAACGGTAGGCCAATAGCTCACTTTGTCGTCATATTCGCGATTGATTCCTGCAAGCACATAGGGTGCTGCGTAGAACTCGGCCGATGGAAAGGCTTCGAGGATAGGATTGGCCGAAAAGAAATGATCAGGATGGTGATGGGTGACAAAAATCGCTTTGAGAGGTTTGTCGGTAGTGGCTTGAATCCAGCTAATGACAGACTTGGCATCAGGAAGGAGGAAAGGAGCGTCGATCAACACGGCCTCTTTGGCACCCACTATCAGTGTGGTAACACTGCCGAGTCCCTTGGAGGAGGCTGAATGGTGGTAGGTCTGGAGGGGCATTTTGCAGAGCTTGAAAGTGATTCCTTCCATTTGCAGTGGAACCTTTGGGTATTTATGACATTTCAGTGACTGCACGGGTCATTTTTTCGGGTATAAAGGCGACTGATAGCAATGCGACTGATAGCAATGCGACCTCGAAATTGAATGCCTAGGTTGATTTCCCTCACCCTCAGAAACCCCTTGCGTATTGTCAGGCGCATGTCACGCTCCACTTACTCGATCCTCCGTATATCCGAATAGGTTAGTTAGGTCGGTCCCACCTATGGTGCCACATAGCTTACGACTAGATACACATGAAATTAGAAATACTTGTTTTCCGGTTTTTCTAGATTGCCCTTCCCCATTTTGCCTCTCTCGCGGAGTTGACGGCTCGTCATCGGGGCCTCATTCCTGGATTTGCGGATAAGAGAGATCCCGCCCGGCTTCCCCTCGATCACGCTTCAGCACGATTAGATCTGACAAAAACATGGACACAAATTTATGTAAACAGACTCGATTTTGATAAACTTTTAGAACAAGACTATAATTTGCCAAAGATACAGAAAGCACGCTGATAACCGTGCCTTCCAGTGCCCCCCACCGCCTATTTTCATAGGAATCTTGGAATTCAAAAATCATGCACCTCCTCTTCGTCCTCTTCGTTGTCCTCGTCGTCTTCATCCTATCCAAATCTAAGGACACCTTTATCACCCAACTGATTACTGGAGTAATCAGTGTAGGTCATACCATTCTGAAGCCATCGCCGTATACGACATAACCAAATCTCTCATAGTGGTCGCCATCCTCATGCTGTTCGTCCTCATCTCTCCACAAACCATAGTCAGTCAAAACATTAACCAGATGAGTCCGACGATTCTACATCATTCCAATCTGCCTTCAGGAAATTGTGACGCCCACCACCCTTCATCAGAGAATGCCCGAATGACCCCTCCTTCTTTACTAAAACCAATTCGACCTCTTTGCTGATGTGCCTCACTTTACTGATCCTAGGGTCAAATTCAGCATACCAGTTGAGCGATAGCTGATATGTCACGCCTTTTTCATACTCGCCAGTAAAAGAGATACCGGCTGTGGTGATTTGGAGGTCGGCTTTGGGGACGTCCGGAGTCTGGAGATTTAAGTATACATAATTTACGTAGTTGCCCTTGCTCTCACACCTGCGTTGAGCCCAGAGGACTTAAGAGGGGACAAGCACTTGTCAGCTTACAACAGAAGAGCTTTATAGGCGACCTCACTTCAACTAAGACTGTTGCGCGATCCGCAAAATGTGCAGAATTATGGGATTGAAGGTCTACGTCCGCATTTAGGTGATTGCATCTTACCGGTGGGGGTCGATGTTTCTGACATTCTTGATAGAGAATAGCCAGTGAATTGGATGTTCCAAGGTTGAGTGCGGTAGAAAGAGCGGGGAATCGTTAGCGAGATTTCGTGAATCGTCATGCTTCCCGAGGTCACTCAACTATAAATTCGCAATCGTAATTTCCACAGATCAAATGTCGATATCATTTTGCTAGGTACATGGGCTCGCTGGTACGCGGGCAGAAAGCTGAAATGGGTTCTTTCAGCTCTGATACACTACTTACCAAACTCAAAGAGTATTCCAGCCCCAAGAATCGAATTTGTCTGGGCTAGAATACAAAAGCTTGAATTTTTGCCACTCAACCAAAAAGCATCCCCAAGAAAGAGTGTTTCACTCCTCAGTCGACCAAGGCTAAAGTATCTTTCATCTAGTGAGTATGCCCATGTGCATTTCCATGCGCACGTAAGTTATGACTCCAGGGGCGACGTCTGGGTTCTTGTTTGTTTGAATCAGCTGCCAACGCTTCAGAGCCTCTTGAAGTCGGGAAAGCTGCATTTCTGCAGCCTTCTGGAGCAGCTGGAGGGGCAGCGCCTACTAGAGAGGGAGGAGAATTTGATGATGGAGAGAGCGTGGCTTGAGTGGCCGAAGATGGCTGATTTGAGGAGTTTTGCACGCTTGAAGGCAATTGTACACGTGAATATGGTGCACGTGAATATGGTGTACTCGAATATGGTGCACTCGAATATGGTGCACTCGAATATGGTGCACTCGAATATGGTGCACTCGAATATGGTGCACTCGAATATGGTGCACTCGCAGACACCGTCACATTTGATGATGATCGATAGAACGCACGAGCTGCAGCCACATCAGTGTCATCGAGGTGGTACAAGATAGTGCCCCAACCCATTGTATCGTAGTAACCGGAGGACAATGGGCTACCGTAGGCTCCAGAGCCAATCTCGACACCACCAAAAGTTTCCAAAGATTTGTTCCAGTATTGAGTCGTCCAAGGAGCAGATTGCCCTTTGATCTTAACATAGTGATTGTAGAGCACCTCCCACGCCCATCTTACACTACCACGAGATTGACTAGATATCTCGGGATAGCTGACGATGCCGTTGGTGTAACTCTCAAAGGGAACATCATATCCGAGGTTGTAACGCGCAAAATATTCGGCACTGCACGGCGTCAGTAAATCCAAGAGAAAGCCAGGAATACGTCTTACCCGAGGAGAATGCGGCTGTCATTGTATGCAAACAAGTCTTCACCTTGGTTCCATGCTTGTTGAGCAATAACACCGAGGAGAGCGTAATCCAACGACGAATGTCCCTGGTCTCGACCTTCTTCCTGACCTTGGCCAAGTGGACGACCAGTGCCGGGCTCTTCCACAATATTCGTTATTGCATTGTTGATCGCACCGTTTCCAGTTCCATTCTTGAAATAATTGACCGCAAAGTCCCACGTGGTCTTATTATCCGTCAGGACACCAATTGCCATGGTTGAAGCGACCTGGGCAAGCTCCCAATTGGCGAAAAAATGCTTCACGTTATGCTCTGAGCCAGCCAGATGATTCAGGAAGTACAAGTTCTTTTCCAGAAAAACATGCTGCATCATTGTCTGAAAAGAAGCGAGTCCGCTCTTTTGGAAAGGGGCGTAGTCTCGCAGTAGCTCTCCAGCATTTGCCAGCTCATGTCCCTGCAGGCCAGCCACCAGGTATTGATCGTCGTTTGCGCCGAGGGAAGTGAGACTTTCGGCCCAGGCAGTCAGAATATCCGCAGCGGCGTCAGCATACGATGTGTTTCTCTCAACTTTCCAGCGAAGGGCAAGTGCAAATGCTGCTGCTGCATCTTGCCAAAGGCGAGAGGCGTGGGCTGTGGTATCGCCCTCTGCATCACGATCCACGGCACTCACAGCCTGGGGGATGTAGGGAATGTTACCGGAGTCCATGGATGTTAACGCCCCCCAGCAAGTAGTCCACGGCTCTAGCTTCGCTACAATCTTCTTCTGAAGTCTGCTCACGTCATTACTAGAAACCAATAATCCAGGATGATTGAAACACGACACTATTGGGAGCCAGACCAGCAGAAATGCGATTTTTTTCATCGTGTATCAAGGAGTGTAGACTTAAAGAGCAAAATAGAGGAAGGAGTGACTTCAGTCTGGAGTACAGAGAAAGTTATCTCATCAGGGGAATGCCGAAGATATTAGGATTTATATTGTTACCTAGACGGTGCCTAAGTGTGTATCCCCCTTTCCTTACTGTGAGACATTTAGGTATATGTGAAACTCTCTTTTAGTTCGGGACTTTAATCAATATAGGAATGATTGTAAATGTCTCTGAAAAGTCACAAAGCCACCGATCTGGCAATTTACCCGTAGCAAAATTGATAAACTAGCGTGTTTCAGAGTAGAGTCCACGTAAGAAGAGGAGAGTATCTAATTGAATCTGATTTCAAGCGCCTCTGTAAGCGGCCTGGATTCCGAATATCTGAGCTCGGAATTCACTGTACGTAGGGGAAGAATTCACGCTTCGGGTGCACGGGTTGGCCCTGGTTCGAGATCAGATAGAATTACCCTTACAAAATTGAACTATGCTGTGCGAACGGTCCATGATTTTATTTTCAGATACTTGTAAGAAGTAATGATAATGAGATTGTGCCTCGCCACGAGATACAGCAATTGTACAAAGGACTTAACGAAAGATAATGTGTTCTCAGCGGTAATATTTCAAAAGTGCTCTTGACTCTCACGGCATAACGTTTCTATCATGAAAACAGGTGCGTAATCATGGTCTGACGAAGGAGCTGTTTGATTTAAGAAAAGGGGTCAATGACATTTTGAGTTCATGACCAAAAGGCTTAGCCCGTACAGCTATGGAAACGGAGCCAAAATCGTGAATCTTCGGTTTTCCGGCGGTTAAAAGATGATAGCGGTACATAATTGGGAGAGATACGTGCATAACTCCAACAATTGCGCATCAAATCCCAAAGAGCATCGGTAAGATTTCTTCTCCTTATATTCTGGGCATTATGGTTATTTGACTAGAATCATGCCCTGCCTTTCCGCAGCGTGCCTCTGTCGCATCCCTGCGGAACGGTTGGTTAACAACAATTCGTTGATAATCGAGAATAAGTCCGTAGCAGTGGCTTTGTGGCTTCCGTGACTTAGCTCATTTTGAGACTTCGATTGCGGGGACCAGAGTCCAATCACAAGTGCAGAAAGCAAATATTCTATCTCAAGCCATGCTCGCCCTGTTGAAGTGCAATTGCGCGCTCTCAGCGCCTAATCACGGCCGTTGCTCTTCGAATTTCATCCGTGTTAGCAGACTCCATGACCCAGCCTGGCCAAAATGGCTTCCTGCTCGAACGCCCGTTTATTCTTCACTATTGAAAGCTCAAGATCTGGAACAGGGTTTTTATTCACTCCAAAATTCAATCAAACAGATATTATTGCATGGCCCTGAATTTTAATTCGCGATCCACAACTACTGTAGGGATACTCATTCCACCGAACGCTCAAGGCTTGTTAACCGGGCCTTACAATTTTTCGGTGAAAAATATCAGCTCCGAAGGAGGGTCCGCTACCCACTCTGTAGATTTTCTAAGGATTCAACCTACCACTTTCAACCATCAAGTTCTCTATCACTATGCCTAAAGATAACGCTAAAATTGAGATTCAGATTTCTTAAGCAATGAGTTATTCATCGCAGCAATCTAAGCCCAATATTGCGAAAACTGCGCGTGAATTCCACGTGCCTAAGGGCCGGCTTCGGAATCGATGGCATAGTGTGAAATCCTTATTTTAACGCTAACCTAATGGTCGGAAGCTTAATTCTGCATAAGCATCTCCTTTGTGCTAATTTACTGATTACTTCGATAATGCGGCTGCTACAATAAACTAGTCATGAATCACTATTACCGCGAATTTTATCCTTAAGGAAGCGCATACCGATCCCGCAATTCTACTGCCTAAGGTCGGCGAGCATTAGACTCATCGGTTCTTCAAACGTGATCCTTAATATTACCGACGTCGCTGACGAGCCCTCGATATTAAACGAAGCCGAGTAATACATAAAGGGGTGGTAGAAAAGTGGTTTAAAGAATATACTCGGGTCGTCGAGGAGAATAGCATTTTACCCGGTGAAATCTAGAATTTTAATAAGACTAGCTTTTAGATTAGTGTTAGTAAAGATTAATAGATTATTATTCGAGAACCGAAGCGTAAAATATATTACAGTTCTGTTATAAATCGTGAATCTGTTATAGTAATAGAAGCAGTCTCGGCGGACGGCTTTATCGGTCTACCACTTATTATTTTAAGTGGTAAACAGAAAATGCTACGATAGTTTAACGCTATTTAAACTAATAAACATCTTAATATATCCGATTCTGGATATATGACCGATGTCTTAGTCTATAGTATTAAGCGACTAGTTTCATACGACCGGTTTAGATCATATTTTACCCGGCAATTTAGTGAATTTTATAGGAGGAATAATTTTGTTCTTTTCTTTTTATTACTATATTTGAGCCACTTTTTATAGACTCTCGATATCGGTGTTTAAAAAAGTGCAAAAATTAAGCTTAGCGCTCAAAGAGAGTGAAGCTCATTCTTCCCGCTATAAAAATAAACTTACAAGGATCGCAAACAGTGCTAAAATGCACACTGCTTTAGTGCATACATCACAGTCCGAATTAGATATGACTTAAGCTATCGGGGCTGCTCGCCACGCCAGATATAATGCTACCTGGGCAAGGGCAAATGCTACTGGCAGTGTAAATTGTTGGGGATGTCACCTGCCATCCCACTTGGGGATAGTCTCCCATGGAGTAGTTAGATCTCTCTCTTCCCTTCTCCTTCTCTCCTCCGTCCGCAATACAATATTCACATCTTCATATTCTATTGCCCCTTGTATGATTTTCATGATTAATGCTAGTGAGCTAAGGAGCATGAAATACAAAGCATATAAATGGACCGAAGCTAAGGATATTTCTAAACGGAAGCGGAAATAGGCCAAGATCAACACACAGATCAGAAGGCATGGACGCATACAAAGGAAGTGGGGGCGGGTTATGGCTATTGAATTCGTGTAATTTGGTATATGTATTATTCATTGCTATTTTAAATGCTTCAAGTTCATTTATATATATGGTTGAAATGGGAGTTGGAATTGAATCCTGAGAAAATTTACAGAGTGGGTGCAACTACAGAGTGTGTGGCGGACGCTCCTTCAGAGAGTCTGGGGTTTTTTACCGAAGAATTGCAAGGTCCTGTTATTTATTTTCTGTTAGATAGTTCCTTACTTTGCGCATTTACCCCACGCTGCTAAGTCTGGCTTACACCGAAGCGCTTTAATGTTATGGTATCGATAAACCTAGGGGAATGTAAAAACATTCAGAGATGGTACCTGCTAAAATTGAATAAGCACGATATCAAGCATGGAGTAATATTCTGAGCTGCCGGGCTTTTTCGTCATCAATGTTATGGTTTCTTCAATAATATTGATTGTTTGAAATAAGTTTGGAAATAAGTTTCCAAACTCGAGGGAAACAATGCCGCCAAGCGATAAAGTTGCCCAGAAGAACCCGTGAGGTTAGCATCATAGAGACATGCAAGACTTGAGAGTCTCTTGAGGGCCATTCAGGTTGGATCCATCCCTTCCTTGGCCATCTCAAACAATGGTCGGCTGCCGTCGTCTAGCTCCAGTGGTCTCACAGTCCGACTCTAGGACAGCACGACAAGCATCCTGCAACACATTATCGGTAGTTGAATGAGATGGGTTGCTTACTTTTCCTAAAACACGTGTTCGAATTATGATTCTACGCCTAGCTTCTGGGCATCACTGGCCCGAGAGAATATCTGGTGGAGTGATAAATATCGGCTGGCCAAACGTGCAGAGCTTATGCACGTACTCCTAAAGCATTCACTTGTGCGAGAACCACCATACAATGCAAAGAGGAAGATCCGTCACAATACCAAGCGGATGGATAAGCTGATTGGTTCTCGTAAGGAGAGCCTCGAAGCGCTCCAAATCCAAGCTCGTAGACGACGCCTCTATAGCGATGCAGCATGCACTCACTGCCAAAATGAAGGTGGCATCTTCGGCCGCTGTGTGGTCTTTAAAGGCCTTGAAGGAAAGATTTCTCACTGCGCGAATTGTCACTGGGGTGGCCGAAAAGATCTGACTTTGAGCGACCTTTACCGTAGGTTGGATCGTAAGTTGAATACCCGACCCTGAAAGCGAAACAAAGTTTCTCATCGATCACCTTTGGGTACTAAAATGGAACCACATATTTTGAATTTTCAGCATATGCTGGATTTGCGGCTTCTGAAACGGAATATTGTCCTGTTCTTCGCAATGAAGCGATCACGACAAAGTACACAACCTTGCTAGCGCTCACAGAGCCAGCCTTATACAACAACCTCGAAGATGACCCGGTGAATGCCTTTTTGACTCTCGGGCCCCTTGGGTTCGGTTTCAGTTCGTTCCCTTCCTGGAAATTGATTTAAGAGATGGTACCCTTCCTTAAATACGCACTATTTTCGTCTAAGTGAGTCTGATAGCTAAAGGCTTAGAAAAATATTATATATTTCACTAAGAATACCTAGCCCTATCTATAAAAATCTCTCCTTAGAGGGTGAAAATAATTTTATCTAGTCTATTAAGTAAGCTAAGGCCCTACCGGATAATTTCTTAAGTACACTTAGTGACTATCTGTCAGGACCCAAGTACTAAGCAGGTCTGACGATATATATCTCGCAGTCTCACACAGACTGCGAGATGGCCAGTTCGCACCTGCGAACTAGACCCAGGGCTGAGACCCTCGTAACGGGGTCTCACACTATCGGGGTTTCAAATTATAGGAGGTTAACAGTATAACAGACTATAGTGAAACTAAAGTTCTTAGCTGGTCATTCGCTCTAATCTCGTTTAACGCTACTTTTAATAAGACCAATTTTATGAACCCAGTTGTGAATCTTTAGCTTGATACTACAACTGTAAATTTATCTATATAGGGATACTTTACGGCGAACGCTATTTCGAAAACAGGGCCGGATTTTCTACTCGATATAGAGGCCGAGTTTACCCTTATGGTTAAGTTCGATATAAGTTTTTTAGGCGTCATCAATAGCTATTATTCTAATACTTTGCGGAATGATACTGAGACTCCTACCTGGCTCCGTACTGTTGGCAATTAGAATAACTCGTTGAATGTTGGCTATATAACGTTAGGTAATCAACTAGCAGGATCATGTTTATTCGCCGCAATCCTACTGCCTTTGCAGGTGCTTGTTTGTTTTCCTTGCTCAAAGCATGTGGGGCCCGAATTTTGGAACATCGGAAGCATTGATTATTGCATATAGATCAATTGGTCTTATCTAGTATATACCACTGGGCAAGTATCGAGGATTAATGTTATGTTCAAAAAGTTCAATAGTGAACTTTATGTAGCTAGGTATACGATGAACCTTTATATGTTCAATAATAATCTTGATTTTCTCAGCTATCGCGTACAGGTCATCCAAACCTAGGTAGGATGTTCTTTGGGCATGTTTCGGTTCCATTCTCGCAATGCAAGGGTTGAAGATAGATAGCCCCATAGCTGGATAACGACAGTGTGGAAGAAATAAAAAGGTCAAACGACTTGGAATCTTCTTCCCATGGAGAGTCTGATCGAAAGAGCGAGCACTCGAGGAGATGGAACTAATCGCGAATTTGAGGGACATAACTACGAGGTAATTTCCCTGGCTATTTCCCTGGATAACCAGGCGAAGTGGAAGACGTTTTCAATTGAAAAAAACATACAACAGTGAGGATTCGCTGGTGGTCACCCACCCAACTACTAACTCACCGGCGTGTGGCTTAAGTACGGCTGAGCGGACGGGAAGCCCTGTTTTCCACACCCTATGGTCGTATGTGCTAGAGTTGAAAGGAATAGAGGTTATGACCTAACACATTTGATAGGAGACGAAGTATCTGAATATGCGGTCATTTCGAGACGGGTTCTGAGAGACACTAGAAGCAAACAAAACCGAGGAAACAAACATAGTAAGACAGGCAATAGAGCTCCTTGAACTTATGCTCCGTTTTAGATCCACCTCGGAACACGGCCGTTCCTCGTCCCTTCTTAATTTCAGCAGAAGATTTACCTCTCCAGAAGGCTGGTGAATAACCCATTCCATTGCTTGCACACAATTTTCACTGCGATACGGTGAGCTGTGAGTCACGAAGGTGTGCTTCTGCTGGCCAACTTTGGCTCACATCACAACTCTATAGTATCAACTACCACTGATTCACAAAGTATGGGGTTTTCATTTTGTCCTTGACTAGCGATCTTGTCAATTGATTAGGATCCTAATCGTATCTGAGTTTCGTATACGTGGAAGCCTGGAAACTTACTGTGGTTGGCTTTCCGTCCTTTCTATCGCAACCTCTCCCGCATCCAGCAAACTTTTATAACTGTGTATGATCTCTTCGCGCTACCAGCTCTCATGACCTTGCATATACCCGGGGCCCTGACGGCCGCCTCAACGGCTTCGCTGCTCTACGCCGCCTCGGCACAGGCGGCTATCACCTCGATCCCTGCATCGCAGTGTCAGGAAGCCCCAAAGGTATAAGCGACCTCCTACTCGTCGCCTGCATGGCCCTGCTCCACCATACCCACGTTTCATATCTGGGCTTCATTTTCGAGCCCCTAGATTCCATCTCTCGGGGAGATATCGCCGGTGTGCCGCCTCTAGTCTCTCGTCTGATTTGTGACTTGTACCACCATGTAGTTCATCGGCTTCCTATACGCGGCAAAAAGGGTTACCATGATAAATTTCATCCAGATCCGTCTCAGGATTCTGAAGTTTATCTTGTGTTCCCTATATGCCTGACCTCTCCGCACAATTTACTAGCCATGGCGCATATGGCGAACACCAGTTTGTGTAACGTCTTTTGGGCGGATATTCGGACATGGTTTTCTGACTGTAGGGTCAAATCTTCGCCAGAAGTGCCGCCAGATAGGAGGGAAAGCACCAATGACAAATTGTGATGTCTTAAAAGAGCGATGAAAAGAACACAGGCTGGTATTGAAGCACATTGTATTTAAGATGAATTGGATGTAATGCGGTGAAAATCAGGAGGCAACAATCATGAAAGTGAATCAATTTTGAGCTGCTCTAATCTTTATTGGTTTAGGTCTGGATTAATTTCCCTATTTAGTTTAATTTGACTTACTGTGTGGCCATCTCTGCCTTCAAACCGCTTGCGATGATTGGGTTTTATAATCTTGCCATTCGCGAGAAGATTACTGCCAGGCCATCATTTCTTCTTTTCTTTCTATTTGCGATGATTTTTCATAGTATCAATACCCCTATCTCATCAAACTCATTTCGCGCAAGACCAGTCCTATCCTTCATCGTACAATTTCCATGTTTGTAGGCCAAGAAAATAGGAATGGAAAAGGTTGACCGATTGGACTTTCTAACAAAGAAAGCCCTTATCCCTTGCGAATACGTCTAACGTGTGCATTATTTATCCGCTGGCTTGTCATGATAAATTCTGAATTTCACAACTCTTACCGTGGCTAGCCTGCCCCTCGGCGCCTCTCACTTGTGATAATGATATCTGAACCTGATTCCATGTATCAAAATAGGCGGTGCACGAATTACCAGCATTTAAGTGATGTCTGTAACAAGTCTAGACTAGCGACCACAGTAGGTCAAGGTTAGGTAGAGAAAAAACACTTGATTTTGGTGTTTCAGTAACGATGTCCCATAGACGTGAGGCGTGGCTACCACGTTATAAGAAACTACGGTGATATGAAATTTACATTAACATAAATATTTGAATAAGAACAATACGGTGTACGCTTCGTTTTCGTTGAAATAACAATTCTCGAATGATTTGGTATCTAGGGGCAAAACTGGCCGGATTTGGTCCAAGGTGGTCAGGTGTCGTATAGCAGTGTGACCTGATCAAAGAAACCTTCCGGAAACAGAGTGGGTAGTTCGTCACCGTTGCGCGTCTAGAGTTAAGCAAAGTCTAGAATGCGAAGTAAACTAAACTAGGGTAGGTCAAGCTTTTCGCAGATAATCTTATCCCTTGCATACTTCTATGCTACCGAACACGCCATCTCGCGAGCTTTTTACTATCAGGATACAAATGGAAGCTTGACCATAGCCTATCGCACTTTATAAAGTTGATGAAATAACGCGCAAGATAGTCCCTAACCCTCTAGGGCATACACTACCAACTCAAATGATGAGATTTTGGCAGCGTTTACACCGCGGGGCTTTGGGGGCCTTCCACGCCAAACAAGACACAATATATGATGAAGAGAATCTTGAATGGGGCTCTGGGTCACTGCAATTCCCGCGACGGAATTGCCGACTGGTGCCAAGGCCGAGAAGGGCTAGAGTGCTTCTCCTTCTGATAGACATGATGGTCGTCGGGCTGCTACTCCAGATTTTCGAGCCGCTCATCACTCTTCTACACAGAAATGAAGAGCTCTTCGGGTCACGAGTAGCCCTGCACACCCCTGTCACGCCAGGTTCTCAGCATAGAATAACCTCATTGTGCGAGATACCGCGAATCCTACACCAAACCACCGCCACCGAGACGGTTCCAGAAAAGTGGATAGAGCCGCAGCAGAGTTGCAAAGAGGCCTATTCAGACTTTGAATACAAGGTAATCATTATTCATACGTTGTGGAAAGTGCCATGAACCTGCGAATGCTTAGCTTCGTATCGAAGGAACTGACTACTTTTGGGCTCTACTGATTCATTGTCTAGGTATGGACCGATGAGTCGGCTCGAAACTTCCTCTCCGTCGAATATTCCTGGTTCGTGGATATATGGGATGCCTACCCCTTCCCAATCCAGCGTGCAGATGCTCTGCGCTATTTTGTTCTGCATCATTTTGGTGGTGTCTACCTTGACATCGATACCTGGTGCAATTAGAGTTTCCCTATCCACGAAATTGAATCCGACAATTTGACGCACTACGCCTTGTTTAAATCAACAGTTCCGACCGGTCTAACTAACGACTTCATAATAATCTCTGCCCGGCATCCAGTTTACACCGCGGCAATTGCCAAACTACCCATCTTTCATGCCATAAGTCGTCTCTGGGCTCGATGGCAACCCTACTCCGCCACCATGATATCCGCTGGGCCCATGTTCCTCACTATGGTGATAAAGGATTACTTGCTTCAGCAGCCTTCGCTTCCCTCGCCGGCAGTAAGGGTCATCAATGCAACGGAGTTAGCACCGTATATTACCGACCTGGAGGGCGGCACTTGGCATAGATCAGACGCACAGGTAGTCATGTGGATTGGACGTAGGCCATGGACTTGGTTCCTCATGGGAGCGATTGGGCTAGCTGCTGGCTTGTCCATCTTCCACCGTGTACTCATGCTTATTCTTGATCGTGTGCTTCGTAAGGCTGAGTCCAGTCACAGCAACCCAAAGTTGGCCAAGGCATCATGACAGAGACAAAATAATAGATTAATATCGAAGCTATTATTGATAGTTATTATATATTATGTGTCGATCCAGCCACACTGTCAGCTGAAGTAGTATTATTTTCCTATGAACGCAGATACTTCACAGCACGATCAACGTCATTGCAGTGGATCGCTCGCACATATTTCTCTGATATCAACAGCGATATCTCCCAATATACCTTCGAATGGAGGTGTAGACACTTTCACGACATAATGCTTGTCGTCAACGTTGGCCAGATGAAGCTCATTCCCAATACGTTTCCAAGGTCCATTCCAGTACAGGGAAGTGATCAAGCTCTTTCCATCGCGGCAGAGGTCAAGCATTCCCTCTATTCCTACCCCAAACGCTGCACTTCCGCAGACGGATACCACGGCACTTTGGCCATGTGGAATTAAGATCTGATCGACATCTTCGGGGGAGATGAGCCTAAGAGTATCGCCTTTCTCGTACGGTTGGCCACTGGTAACACTGTTAGTCAAAGAACGAGAGCACCACTTGAATCAATCATCATACTGGACGCAAATTAGGTTCCTCAGGGAGATGGTGCCTTTGGCCAGACTGTTGTTTATGGTCAAAGAAAGATGTTGTGTAGCGTGACAATTCATTTGTTTTGTCTGATAGGAAATTAGAGCGCTCGGTTGAATTTGAAAATTTGTTAAACTTTTATACTTCCGCATGATGGAATGCTAGGCTAGACTCTCCTGTCACTCGATGTACAAAAGCACCCCATCCCAACTTAAAGCTATTGGCGGCGGGTGGTACCTACTTACCATAGATTGAGATAACTCGGCATCGATTTGATCGAGAGACACGTAAGTCATCTCAATTCGGAAAACGCGCAGGTGGCGGATCAAATTCCAGTAATTCGTTGCAGTGGAAGCCACCAAAGGCAAACTTTGGCCAAGGTGTGTGGAAACGCTAGGCATCTGCGTTTCCGAGCCGCGAAGGGATCTTCCGCATTTTCCACCTTTTTGTCAGTAATGTGACGAGTTTTATAGACTAAAGATTTTGCAGAGTGGCAAACATGGCCAGGACGATTGTAAGCGAACGTGGGATCTGTTGTAAGAGGCGAAAATAATTATAGTAAGCGTTCGGTTGAATCAGACATTCACAATGCTAGTAAAGATTAGAGCTGTATTGCACATACCTTGATTCCACTTGATGAGGGTAATTTCAAGTGACCGGTTATTATGATACCATAAACGGGGAGGTAGTTTGGTTGCTCCATTGTTAAAGCTTGGCCATCTTGGCATCCCTTCATCCCTGTTGACCAGTCACATTGTACGTAATCCGTCATACACCTTCTACATTTCAGGTGTCGGGTCGCCCTACAGTACCCGTTTCCCTACAGTTATCTCTGGAGGGCGAAGCAGATTCACCTTGATCGTGAATTATGTCTAAGCCAAGGCTAATTACACGTATGAAATTGGGAGCAATGCGGTCGGAATGTATGTGTATTTGTATATGTATTATTTGCCTCATTTTGTTTCGTTGCAAGCTTAGTGCTCACCGTAGCTTCGAATTCTATATCCGAATAAAAAGAAACTAATTCAACTGTACATAGTGTCGCAGGGCACACTAGTGAACGAACACACATGTCTAGATCCTGTCTCCTTCAATAACCAGCCGCATTGGGCATCTCCTTTGGCGTGTCGTTTCGTAATTGGTTGGTGATTAGATCACCAAATGAAGGTGACCACTCCACCCGCGGGCTCAGGCTGTCAAGGCCCCAGAGCTCAGACACGAACTTGAGGATGGAGGTGTGGGTAAAATCATTATTGCCCGACTTGGGCCTGTTTTGAACTAAGCCCTTTTCCACCCAGGGTGATATCAATATGGTGGGGACACGAACGCCAAGGCGATCAAAATGGAACGTATATTTCTTCCCATCAGGGGCCTTCTCAGTATAAGTCAATTGGTCGCCGGCCGGAACACCGGTGGGAGGGGGTACATGGTCGCCAAATCCTCCGTGTTCATCCCAGGTGATGATTAAGAGAGTTTGGTTCCATTGCGGCGAGCTCCGGAGTGTGTCGTAGATACCCTTCATAAAATTCTCACCCATATTGATTGGGGACTTTGGATGCATAGACATATAACGACAACACTCCGGGTTGAGCCACGTGAATTGTGGTAGCGTGCCAGCTTTAGCATCTTGGTAGAAGCGATCAATAGGAAGAACGTTGGTCTTGCTATTTCCCGACCTCGTAGTCCATTCGTAAAAAAGTGAGTCCGGCGGGAAGCTTGATTTTCCTAGGTTTGTGGTATTTTCGTAGTTGATCCATGTGATATTCTTCTCTGATAGTTGCTGGAAGATTGAATTTTGAGGTAGGCTTGAGTGATAGAAAGCCCCTTTATCATGGCCCTTTCCGTAAGAGGTGCCAGAAGTCAAGTATGCACGATTTGGATTCGATGCTCCGGGTACCGAGGCGAACCAGCGGTCGAACAGTGCAAAATTCTCCACCATAGCACTGGTGACGGGAACGAGGTCTGGCTTGTAGTAATTTATCACTTCAGTCTCCTCTGGCTGGGTGTTCAAGTGGTAGATTCGGCCTTGCTCGGTGATAAAACCATTCATAGACGAGGTCGCATCGGTAGGTGGGTGATAGTCGCCAAAAATCTGCATATTTCCCCCTGTAAGAGAATGATCCGGGGAATTTTTGACAATGTTTTCTGCTGTATCCGCCGCACAAAAGTTATTTGCGGTCGACTTCAAAACGTTTGCTGAGTTGCAATAGATATGATTGACCAATCCATCGATTGTTGCATTGTAGGTGAAACCACCAGCGAGAGTGTCAAATGAGCGATTCTCTTGCACTAGTACAACGACATTTTTGATATTTTTGATATATGAGGTTTGGGCGCGTGCAAAAGTATAGATCACTGCCTACCAATCACCGGCGAGGCATCTCAAATACTAGCATCGACGGTATACATCCAAGAAATGGCTACCCATACTATTCATACATGGTATCTGGATTGGCCTGTACCCTTATACAGGCTTTCTCCGAGAGTTAAACATGCAAATAGGGATGGGAGCGACGGAAGGTAGTGAGATTGGCATCATCGCACTTGAAATCGTACCGGTAAGCTCTCGGAGAACTCATCCTGTTCTGAAAAAAGAGGTGATGATCGGTGAGATCATGGAAACCATGCAGTACCATGGATGTAATAAGTTTGTGCTTGTTTCTCATTCTTATGGTTCCATAATCCCCGCGCACCTTCTTACGTCCCATCGGTTTGCTCCGCTTATCGGGCCTACGGTCTTCATTGATCCAGTGTCATTCCTTCTCCACCTGCCTGACGTGGCATACAATTTCATAGCCCGCCGACCAGCACGAGCTAATGAATGTCAGCTATGGTATTTTGGAAGCAAAAACATTGGAGTTGCGCATACATTGGCAAGGAGATTCTCTTGGATTGACAACATCATTTGGAAGGAGACTATCGACCGATGAAGACATTAAGGTGCTAATGATACAGATTGTGTACGGGAGCACGCGGTGACATTGAGGCGATCAGCATCGGATTTATTTCAATGAGGACTGATGTGATGCCTATTGCTATTGTAGTTCCGAATTTGCTCCTATCATCTTGTTTATTTGGACGAGTCAGGGTGTGATAAGCCGATAGGCTTTAGAAAAACAGGCTGATCTCCCTATGGCACAACATCTCCTTAAATCCCTGAATTCCATCGTGATCAGCAGTGCCAGATCCTCACAGCGTACACCCAGGATGACATTATTTTGTCCCGTGTTTATAACGGTTCAAGAGAGTCCACTATTTTCGAGGATTTTATGCATTACTTCTTCATTGTGAGAAATGGCTAGAGTTTGAATTCATTATTGTAATGAATAATGCCTTCTTTTTGCACCTGGCGAGGATTTTTTGTATTGGAGATGGCGCGATACCACTCACTGGATCCATAATACCCAAGGCTTCCATTAATTTGTATTCATATGCATAAGTGCTTCAGAAACTATACAACACACAAACCAAAATCCGGAATCCCTAAGAACCCATCAAGCTACAGAGTAGAATGATTGCGTAAAGCAACAACCTTCCCTTGTATTGTATCATTGAAAATATCACGATATAGTAGCCATTTCTTTCACAGTCACCCCTTGAACATCGGTCATCCGAATCCTCACTGACTCTCGCAAAAACTGTAATCGTTCTATAAAGCCCTCGTTGATCCCCTCATCTTTCTCATCAGGATGGGTCAATATAACCACCTTCTCTCCCTTTTCATCGTACAATTTCTTCACAAGCTCGTAGTTAGACTCTGAACAAAGAGCCGCATTTTCAACTACCATGCCCATATATCCACATTGTTCTAACGGGTAGGGATTGGACAGCAGATCAGCCGAAACAGGAAGCTTCTGCAACTCTAACAACAAGAAGAACGCCAATTGGCCACTTATGCAGGCCAAATGAAGTTTCATTTCGTCCCCACCCCGGTCGAAGAACTCCGCGTACATCCGTCGAAGAGCCATTCGCTCCTGCGGTGTCTGACAATTGTAGAACCCATAATCTAAAGCGACAGCTTGCATCGGTTCTACGGTCGGCAGTCGAGTAAAGCGCTTTAATTCCCAAACACTCTGGTACCAGGTTCCCACAACGTTCATGAGGGTTCCGAAATTACGCAGTTGCGGGATGGCATGCCCAAGGCCGTACTTTTTAAACAGACCGACCATATCAGACTGTTCCATGGCCTTCCAAAACTCTTGAAATTTGCACTTGCCGATAAGCACCCTGTAGAGGTTTGCTAGCGTCGTAACACCATGATGATCTCGAGCCGTGCAGAAGCCAAGGAAAATCCAGTTGTCTTCATCTGTATCTGGAACGAATCCGTTTGAGATTTGATAGAAGAAAATGTATGCCTCGAGTTTCTCCCGCGGCTTCCACTGATCAAATGGAATTTTGCGATCTCTTGACTCGACTAAATGCAGTTGCGATTGAATACCCTTCCATAAATCATGTACTGCGCCGGTGGCGAAGCCATCCTGCTGATGTAACCAACGCATTTCTCGTTGAAGTGTGGGAGAAGGTATCTGGGAGCTGCGGAACAGGAGAAACTCTTTCAATTTGTTACTTCGCCATGCCTCTCGAAGTTCATCTTCTGTGACTCCATAGCTATTCACTAGCTGGCAATATATGTAAAAAATTCTTCTTCGGTCGTTTGCGGATGCGAAGTATTGGAAGCCAAAGGCCGCTGCCACAAGATCATCTGTTGGAAACTCCTTTCGTTGGCACGCCAGAATGAAGTCGTCCGCCTCGTCTAAAGGTCTTCCGAGCCTGCAGGAATACTTGTGCTTTAACCAGTGCAGCCTTTGGCATATTTTGCTACAATATAATGCCGTGTCACATTTTGAGCAGGGGGTTAGTGAAACTGTTGTGGTACGACATTGGGCGCAAAAATTGGATATCAACTGGGGACCAATTGACTCTGGAGTTTGTGTCTCGTCTGTTTCAGCAACAAGCGATATGTCAGGAATATTCGTCTGGCTTTGGTTGGTTCTATAGCTAGAATTAGTATCTGCTAGTATTGAATACTGTGCCTCGTACCTGTCAGCCATTGCTCTTGAGCTACAGGTTGACAGCCACTCCACTTGTCTTGCCTGGGATCTAGGATCTGGAATATGGCGATTGAATGGGGACCATTTTGCTATTTTCGGTGCCACTGGAGTTGAAATAGTTGACTCCTTGACCGCATCGATGTGTTTGTCGTCATTTACCGCACACTCATGCCGCAGCACATCGCGGAGGTTCTGAACCGCAGGATCTATTTTGCCTTGATATAAGGACGGGATAATCAGAGAGCTGGGTAACGTCCATTGTGAATAAACTTTGCCATGATTGTTGCGCGCTTGAAAGAGAGCCAAGCTCTGCAGAATGTGGCCACACATAAAACATGTTTTTTTGCTGATACCGAGGTATGGAACAGTTCGAGCCACACCTTCGTTGCTAATAAGATAGGTAACCATTCCCATTTCAGCATGGACCCATTTCTTCTTTCGGAGTTCCGTCTCCAATTTTTTTTTGGTCCGCTTTGGATAATGATTGGGGACACAACGACATGCTCGGTGGAACCTGCTTCGCCTTAGATCCCGGGACGAGCGTAATCTTCAGGCTCTGGAAACCTTCGATCTCTTGCGCTGCTTCTAAAAAAGGTGGCGTAGGCGTATTTAGGGCGACAAAGAAATCCCAGCTCACGGACTAGTCGTTTTACCTGCTTTGCTGTAAAGAGTTGATTGATTTTAGAGTAGAAAGTTGTGCTGTAGCAACGATCGTCGACAATTCTCACTAGGTCTGTTGAAGAGATCTCTCTTGAGAGAAATTTCTCCAAAGGTGCAACCAAATTCCGCATTTTCTTCTTTTCTCTTATTAGAGCGAGGAGCTTTGATGCATGATAAGTAAGTCGTGGACTATAGTATTCGCTGAGCATCGCTTGGAGGTTCGGTAAACACTCCACGTCAAGGGATTCTGGTATTGATTGTAAATCAGACTTGAGGGGTCGGATCGATACTTATCAATAAAAATTCCAAGCATACCTCTGTTTGCAACTAGTTCCAGCTGCCTCGCCATCTCCCCTAAGAGCTTGATGTCCTGTTCCTCCCATTCAGCATTCCTCAACGCTAGGATATTTACCTCGTCATTGGTCTCCTGCATAGCTGTACAAGTTACAAAGTGCGCTTCCTTCTTGTAGCAGAGTATCTCAGCCAGTCGATCGAGAAACCGCATCTTGACCGACTTCGTACCCTCCTCCGTCAAAGAAGCGGCAATGCTCGTCCAGGGCTGTTTATCGCCATCCATTTGCTCATCACCTGAGCTCTCCGCTTGGCTCACCTCTCCATCCACACTTGTCTCCAAGGGAGTACGTTGTTGATGTTTGACTTGACAGATTGCAGCTAAAGTTGTGATATCTGATTCTATTTCTGTCGGGAGATGCCAAGAACTAGCCTCGTAGCTAGGTACTTGGGAAGATCGATGGAGACATTTGACGCGTTTCATTTCGTCGTGTATCATCAATCGCGAACTTGCGTCTGGTTCACCCCTAAGCCGATTTAATGAAGGACGCTATAGAGGGTAGGCATGTTAGGTAGGTGGATATAAAGGGGGTCGGATGGTTGAGGGGCAATTGGGCATCATGCATGGAAAGCCATCGAAACTAAAGCCGCACTGACCTTGTAGGGGACGAAATGTCATGTGAATGCATGGCGCATAGACACGTTGTAATATCTTCTCGCCGCAGCCTTGTCAGACGGCTAGCGCACTTATTTGTATCACACCCCCGAAACCTCGCGTGATTCCTCTAAGCTCCCAAAACATTAGTGTTACCTAGGGAGCCACCCACAGGGCTGCCCCATGGAAAGTACCATATTCCGGGAGGCTTTGGAAATTTTGGCGCTGATGTGACTTGGCAGGCTATTGGCGGAATCACTTAATCATGACCCATAATCTGTGTAAACAGGTCACCGAACGTATAGGTCTGTTTGTGGTTGGCATTTACCGTCCATGACTACCGATGTGAGCTAATTGAGCGGAAATAATGGCACTTATCGCGGTAAGTCTGTTCCCTGGTATTCCGTAGGAGGCCTAGTCTACACTTAGAGAACAGGTAACGAGGTATTTCTTTGACCCGTCTTTTTGGGAACGGTGAGCTACAGTGAAATAAGGAAAAGGTAGCCCACAAACTGCCATCGCTGATTACTACACCATACTACGGGTTACTTGCGCTCGATACTGGTGTGTCGAGATAGAATGGTGGAGCTGTAGAATGAATTTTGGGAAAGGGCCATTTGTAAATGCTTTGATCTGTGGCGTTCACACTATCTCACTCGTGAGGAAATTGCCCGACGAGGGTGTGCTGTGGTTATGCCTGTGAGTACTGTCTGAAATAATAATACCCACCAGCCATAGCAATTGCTGCCGATCACGAGGATCGAAGGGCGAGATTATGCATGCTCAATCCTTCTATTGCTCGTTGTAAGATATCTAAACATCTAATAGATATTATTGGACAACGTAATCAGGAAGGTTCTGGACTTATAGGTAGAAAATGGCACGACTAAAAGTGCAAGCGATCTGGATGATGAATGTGACTAATCTAAGCTCAACTAGTGTTGAGCTCTGACTTTCATTGTTTATGAATGAACTGCAAATTTATATGTTTTCTACATCTTTGCGACCACAAGCATCTGATACTACATTTGTGGGCTAAAGCAAACGGTTAGCCATATCAACGAGTATCTTGTAGTTATCACTATCAACAAGAAACGTTAAAGCCTAACTACGTAGAGATAAATAAAAACCGATTAAAAGAAAACTAAGGAGATACTAAGATAATGTGTAGGCTGAAGGAGCAATGTTAACAAAGACCTTAGGGAAAATATGAATAGGGTTCAATTCCTTTTAAATTGGCTTTTTTATAGCTTTGGTCTCTTGGTCTTTTCTTCAGCTTTTATCTGCAATATTGTTGGAACTAGGAAATAGACCACGCAAAATGGTGACTCAGACGAGTCTGATTCCTAATTCAGACTGATTCAAAGTGCTTACATTAAAGTGGATCTGATCTCGGGAGTGACTAGTAAGCTATGTGGATGTTAAGCCCGGCGTAAATATGCAACACTAACAAACCTTCGAGTCTTGCCTTGACCGTTGATCTTTGACTAAATCCAGCAAGGGATGTTTATGCGAGTACAATATAGCATTCATTTGACTATCCTCATCTGTACCGAGAACTCTGTAGTCAACTATGAACAATATCACAGTTGCTGGAAAACAATTCCACCCCCACACAAGCCTTGGCCATGCATGCGGATCTCCAACCCCCGCCCGATTCAAATTAGTAGCATACAATGAGGCGAAGCAACGTGAAAGAATAACAATCAGGCCAGATAGAGCATCTGAAACTTGAGCGAAAAGGACGGAATATTCTAATTGACATCATTAGTTTCTTTGTGTGATTGTGTTGGGTAACCCCTGTCACCTGAAAACCCAGAGCGCATAGTCAGTGCCCTTCAATCTTGCACACTACTCCGTTCGAGTCATATTGACTAGTTTTAAGGACCTTGGAAATTTCAACGGTTTCTTGCTTCATTTTTAGTCATTAGTGATATTGAGGCCCGAAGAATCGGCAAAAATGTGATTCCTACACGAATCAACGCCCCACCAAAAGTCTCGGTTGATTTCTTTTTTGGCAAGTGCAGGGTTATGAGGATCAACAGCATAAATAGACACGCTGCACCTACCACGGCTTCAATTCTGTCGCCGATGAAGAGGTGGAGGCTTTATGCGGCCGCTAAAATTGGGAAGAGAAACCACGTTAGTACTAAAATCTTAGTAAGAATAGTTTTCGAATATTTTGGAATTTACCGATGATTTCCTTACTTCATACATAATAAACCGAAATTGTTCTTGGAGAGGCACTGCGTTGGCTGTGCTTTACAAAATAAATTACTCATACAGGGATTGAAAGGCCTTTATTTGGCCCCCACGGACTAAGGCTCCCGTCGTTGCACTAGGATGTAACACTAGATATCCGTGGTTTTGAAAATGACTGTAGCACTCATACCTATGCTTCATGACAATCTAGAATCAGACGATAGCATGCATAAGCCCGGGTGCTATGCTATAAAATGCTTTGTACATCCAAATGAGGTAACAGACTTCTTTGTATTAGATTGGATGCAGCTGGGCTACAGGCTCGGAAGTACAATAGTGGATCCCAAGTGAAATTTAATGAATTATGAGTGGAGACTAAGAAAAGTCAGTGATTCTATTGGCCAAATGGGTCTCGCGTATATGCACGTCCCAGCCTAAGTGGGTCGTGGCCGGGTGATGTTGAGCCTCTTTAGCGCTTGACGGGAAGAGCAGATCAGTACTAGTATTGAACCAGTTTTGGTGTACATCGTCGAATATATTTTATTTATTAATGCCACTAACAGGTGTGGTACCTCGATCCAATCACAAACCCCGGTTTGTGTTAGTTCGATTGTTTTCGGCTCAGCCCAGGTTACAACTCATAATTCATTCCCAATGTGGCATCTCCTAAAATAATTCACACAGCCCTGCTCGAGATTATTCAGGCCATGAAGATTCTACTGAATCCAGTAAGTATGAGTGACAAGCCTCATAATGTATGATATACAATGTAAATGCCATTTGATCGACATCAATTCTACATATGGGGCTATCAGTGCTTTTTCGCAACAAATTCCTTAAATGGAATATTAACGTATATATTTTCAGATGTGCATACTTGCTTTTAGGAAACAGGGAAATTAAATCTCCAACATACAAATACACCGCAATCGACTCCAAAATACCTTGACCCATCAACGCTAAGTGGGGCACAGGAGAGCCCAATAAAATGACCTTTAACGGAATCCTTGATGCCGAGCTTGGGCGAGATCCCAGGCTGAGGCTCTGATCGACTATTGGGGGAAGATGATCATCCCCTCATAGTAAAGTAAATTCACCGAACGCGGGTCCCTTTGTTTTGGCCGATCACATCCTCAAACTGCATAGCCACTAGTTAGGCGTTCTTTGCATCGTTTCAGGCGTTTTTCTATTTAAGTGTCTGTCATAGCTCGGGTGAACTTAATTCAGGTACTCGTGGATCGGCAGAGAGGGTTCAAACATAGGATCAAGACCCTCGGGGTTATCCACTTTTCTTTAAAGCCGTTTCTTCTGAAGTCTTATTAAACCCCGTTCCCCGTTCCTCTGCAAGGCAGATTTATGTACTTCTCAACAAAGCTTGCGCCTTCCGCAATTCCGTATTACTTGTTACCTCATCTCACATGGCCTTTTAAGCCACAACTCACACAGTTATAGTATATCCAATCTAAGCACATACAACATGTCTGCCTACAAAATTTCCAATTCGGCGTCTTTGCCGACTGTCTTCGATCAAATTAGGCAATCAACACTCACCTACAACACCAACCAAAGTGTTACATATCTTCGCTCTCAGATGAATACCTCCTCGCCTCCTCATACAAGTTCCAACCGGGTTAGCAAGGCTATGAAGGGAAAGCGAGTTCATGCATGCGAACGCCCCGGATGTGACAAAGTGAATTTCCGCTCAAACCTTCAATTTTTGAAATGATGCTTACCATCTACGTACAGGTTTTCACTAGAGCCGAACACCGAAGACGTCATGAACTCACTCATGACCCAAAAAAGCAATATCCTTGCCCCTATGAAGGCTGCGAAAAAGCATTTCATCGCGCGGATTACCTGAACCAGCATTTGTCGCGACAGTTAGTAGACTTCTAAATTTCGAAAAATGTACCTCAAATCTGACTTCCATAACAGCGGGTCATCGAAGCCAAATCCACCAAAATCAAATGCACACGGAAAAATACTATCTTCTTGCTCCAGCGCACAGCAACAACTACCAGCGAAACCCGCCCTATCACCTCCCCTTCTCCAAGTTGAGCCGCCTTACTCAACTGCATGGGGAAGTATCGATTCCTCCATCTCCTCCTCCTTCTCTAGGGATCTCAGCCTGTCCCCAATCTCGGTAGAAGAGCACCCATCTCCATATTCCTACACAGGCGAAACATGCAGCTCTCCCCTTCCAAACGACTCATTCACGAATCCACACTACCCCTCCTCCGGCATACCCGTCGAGATGGCGAGTGCGATCGACCAATATCTCCGGAGCATTCTGAAGCCTGAAGCATTCGCGAACTTTCAGCAGCCGATGAATCCCGCTATCTGGAGCCCGGAGGTTGAGATTGATCCAACTTTGATGAAATTGGAAAGCCAGGTGAGTCTTGCCCAGGCAGCTACACTCCAGAGACAAATCAAATGCTAACTATCATCACAGGACCAGCTGCCTTTATATTCGTGGCCGGCTGCCAACAACTTGCCTTATGAAACGCATACGACTCAATGAGTCAGCCTCGGCTTAAAACATCGAGGAATCTTTGAGTCAGTTGCTGACTCGGGTCGGATTTGATAGTTTTTAGCGCTTTCTCTCTCTTTGCTTCTGTGAAGCTTTTTCATTTATCTCGCTCGTTGAAGAGCTACAATGTTTGTTTATATCCGGAGTATTACTCCATTTCGGCTGTATGTGTTCAAGACTACAGAGTATCTGCCCATTTTTAGTTCAGACGAGGTCTGCCTGTGTTTCAGTTCTTTGTTCATAATTACTCCCACGATACCCAACACTTTAAAATGAACTGCCTTCAAAGATTATACATCAATCATCCGCATTGTCCATCTATCTCAATCGTATACGTGATAATTAAGGCCGAGATAGCCACGTGTTGCCCAGTCTGTAAGGCGGACCCCAGTGATTAGCGCAATGTTCCGCAACCATAAAATTGGGCCAGCACATAATATTACTATCAAATATGAGATTTATTTCGGTCCACTTAAACGCTGTTGTAATTGTCCTTGGGATAAAGCTCGTGTTGGTAAGCGCGTATGGAAACGCATAGACTTGTCATTCGCACACCGCTTGACTAAATAAATAAAGCCATTGTCTGGTACATCCAAAGCGCTTAACTTTTATAGCATAGCGCAAAAAGTCATCTTATATACTCGTTCTTTATATCAGATTAATACTCTACTTATCTGACGGGTTTTGTCACGAAACAACAGACACTGCCCCCTAAACTTCCCAATTGGTTTGCTTTATTAGGCAAACTTGGAGGATTGATCGTATGGTATAAGGTTGAGTGATCGTGAAAAAGAGCCTAGTTCTCTAAAGATTCTCTAAACAGAAAATATTCATAGCAAAGTATTTCTTCAAAATTTTCGGGAAGAGCAACAAGCAGAGTAAGATCGTGGGGTTTCCTGGGTGCTACAGCCACTTGAATTTGGAGTGTAAATACAGGCATAGTATGTATCGAATACCTAAGATTATCGTCTGCGTCTACGTCTACGGTACTGACATATTACAGATTGGGTGTCTGCGAAAGCGTACCTCAATACGTTCTCCACGGACAACCTTCCTCGGAATGCCATTTAAGTGTTTCGCGCTGTGAGATCTTTCGGACCGCTAGTCCAGTTAAGAGAATTCTGGACAGAAAAGAAAAAAGAAGCCAAAGGAAAAGAAAGCTTTAGAGCAATAGGAAACTTCGGAGGAAGAGCAGGCTTCAGAGCATAAAATGGTTTAGAGGAACAACGGGGCTCAGAGAAACAGAAGGAATCAGAGGGAATAAAGATTGTGTCAACAGAAACGAAGCAGTTTTTTACTTTAATACTGAATACCACTAATGATGTAGTATATTTCAGAAGTCAGGGGGAAAAGGGCAGAATAGAACAAGAAAGACCGATGATATATAACGCAAAGCGGCGAAGGCGAATGACGAGTTTGAGCAACTTACAGGTAAGTCCACAACAGATACGAAATGGATACCGTGGTATTGATCGATATGGTCAGGTCATCTGTTCGAAATTGAAACGCTAGAATATTAAGTCGATAGGAAGATTTAGGCGAAGAAGAATCGGTCCGGATTACATCAAATTTTCAACTAAATCCCTGCTCGTTCGTACTCCTGGTGAGACGTCCCTATATAGCGATTGTGGATTGCTTGTCACAATTTCTTATGCTTTGAGTTTCCAATTCATGTTTTAAACTCCCTTTTTTGGAGCTGTTTTCTAGGCAATTTAGGAATACTATTTAGTTTGTTATTATTATTACATTTTATTATTATCTTGTTCTACTTCGTTCTGTCGGTGTTAGATTTTGTTATATCATTTGTCTAAATAGTGCTTTTAGTGGAATGAGCTAATTGCCCCCTTAGAATCAGACCACTCCTACCTACATGATCTTCTAGTTTTACATATCTGCGAGGCGGATTTTACTGCCTTTTCAATGATGGCTTGTGTGACAAAAAAACATTTATTCACCTAGGATTGAGGTTGAATCAGAATCAATCAGCAAACAATCTAGCTCTATAGGAAAAGTGGTGTTACATGAAAGAAAAATAAAAGGGGTGCCCAAGAGACATACAAAGACACTAGCAAAGTAGAATTTAGCTTGATGGTGTAAAATATAGTTGATTAGGGCATGTACACTTATAAAAGTCTAAATAAGTTCTACAGAGTATGATATAATTATTGATGTTTACGCGTCTACGTGTCAATTGAGTTTGTCCATAGAAGGCACCCTGCCTATGTCCATTTCATACGACGCCAGTCGCGATTGCTAGCTACCTTTTTCAGATTGTTTTCTTTTTTTCATGGACACATGTGCCAAGCAGAATATTTGCATCGAGCTATTAGCCTTCGGATTTTCCAGATGAGCACCCGTGAATGAACCTGTACTATCAAAATGCGCGCCCAGATATCGCCGTTTCAATCAATCTCGCACCACCATGTAACGATATCTTCCAAATTTCGGGAGAGGATGCAAAAAGCATAAGGAGATTACTCAGCGGGTTCATAATCAATAATGGCGACGTTTGTAGCGAGCTTCTCCTGTTCCTCAGGCTGGTTGGCGTCCTCGGGGTTCTCTGGCTCAACAATGGTCTTGGAAACCGTCTTGCGGCGCTTGGTAGCGCGCTGCTTCTTGGGAGAGGCTGTGGGGGAGGATTCATGCTTGGAGCTGGTACCATCCTTTGCGGCTGCGTCGTCGTCAACAAGAGCCTCGAGGCGGCGCTTCACTCTATAGTAGTTCGAGGCGGAGCTCTTCTTGATGCCGGCAAGAGTGGCCAGCTTATCAAGATCGATCTGATTATGCTAGTTGTTAATGGTCACAAAGCGGAACTGAAAGGCTTAAAGGTAAGTACCTTGGCGTCGCCGTAGCAGAGGCTTCCGAAAATGATCAGGCGAAGCTCCCAGGGAGCCATGTCGGGTAGCTTGGCGGCGGTAGCAGCCTCGTTACCTTTTTCTGGGCTGGACATTGTGATGGTTTAATAATAATGAGTATGTAGAAAAGGACTTTTTTTCTTGTTGATGATACCGATTAGGTAGAAAGGAGCTTGTTCTTTTGGTGGTGGTGGTTGAAAGGAAAGCTTCGAAAGGAAGCGGTGTTGATATGAAGAAAACAAAATGCTGTGGGATTGCAGTAAAGCTTTTGAACATTTTGTCCAGGAAGACTCATGAATCTCGATTCTATCGATTCTAATGACTGGACACTCGATTCTGTATGTCCGAAATCCTTTGCAAACCTTACATTAGATATTATATCGTTTAGAATTTGACCTAGGTATTTAAATATATTGGTCAGTCACAAGTACTTCAACCCTGCGCATAGGGCTAATATAGAAAAATTTTTTAAGGGACATAATGTGACTCATGCCGAACGCTCATTGATGAATTTTTTATCCTCCCACTTGGCCTCTCCGCCATGAATTAGAGTCAGGGTGAGTTGGCATTGAAACTCGCGGGAGTATGACAGACAGCCAATATTGCTGAATCGGAGAGTTCTGATTTCATAGACATGACTGGCCAATTGAGTGGCAAATTATTCTTATCTGAAGCGGGTATCGAGAGAGCCCATCGGTTCTCTAGAACGGTCCCTGAGAGAGCTTCCATCAAATTATAGGGATAGCCGAAGTCATTCTTCGTGACACTATGCCCAAAGATGCGGGATACAGGTATAGTCGGTTTGGAGCGAACGAAATCCATAGAAGCAATTTCACTCAAAAATCAATAGCAAGATCTTCTTCGTCCACGGGTGAAGTTAAAATATAGTTATAGCTTTTCAAGATTATACTTTGGTGACATCACCCGCCTATATATATACCATCTCAATCGCAACAAAAAGTTCAACGTAAATCATCCATTTATGTCAATAGACTAACAAACATTATACATCATAAACACGTTCTATATAACTATATATATTGGAGGACGCCAATCACCCGAAATTCTAAAATTCTAGTGCAAAGACAGCCAAACACAGTTCAACAGGACCGCATCAAACATAAGCTCTCTTGAATGGTAGGCCCTCACCGACGCCAGCATCAGCCTCCTCAAAGTACCAGTGGTGGGCATCGAAGGATGCAATCGTTGGGATACCAGTACCAGTATTTCCCTCAAATGAAACCGCGCCTTCAATAACCTTGACATCAGACGCCGTAACAGTAGCATTGTTAGGAGCCGTGATATAATATTCAGGGCTGATATGCACATATCCCATTGACAGCAAAGGCAGCTTAGGAACCGGGTCATTAGTGTGCGTGAAGCGGTAGTTATTTCCCTGCGCGGTGATAAACTTGGCCAGAGCAGGGTTCGCCACTCGAGGAGCAGCATACGCGTACAGCTTCGCGGACGGATACCCCTTTACGCGGAGATCGGCAGCAGCAAGACTGGCAATAGCAGCGCCGAGACTGTGGCCTACAACGACAACCTCGTAATCCGGGTTCTGGGACACAGCGTCCTTCAACTGCGGTAGGATTTTATCGCGAACGAGTCTCCACGAGCTCCAGAAACCGAGCTCAGCCAGGCAGCCGTCGCAAAGACCAGGGATCGTGTAGGCGAAGGAGGCATCGGCAATCCAGTTGCGCACTGAGTAGGAGCCGCGGAAGGAGAGTACAACAGCCTTGTTCGTGTTGTCTACGGCGATGAAACCTGCGGTATCGGTGATTGTGGCGCTAGTATACGTTAGTGCTGGCACGGGTTATGCACGGGAATGATCGCCTACTTGGAGAAATCGTAGAAGATAGTTGCGCCGGCTTCCTCTACCTTGGGACAGTTGCCCTTCGGACAGCTGATCTTGTAGCCCGTCTGAGCGGTGTAGTCGTTCAAGTAGTATGCCGCACCGGCATACTGGACCCAGAAGTCGAATTCAGTCAATTGGTCGGCTGGTATATCTGCCCACGTGTGAGGAATGTTATAACCGCAAGCAAGGGGGAGTGTGACATACCTCGTGTCTGCAGAGCACCGGGGAGGGCATGGCCCAATGAAGCCACGGCGGACAAGGCAGTAAGAAGAGAGAAACGCATGATGGCGTAGGACTCGGTACGGGTATCTGCTCGAGATCAAAGAAACGCGGCGGGCAAGCACGACTTTATGCCCTCAACCATTGCGCCGCATACGGCAGAGCCATACGATTACTGCATGGTTCAACGCGGGCATTTCCACTGGTCGGCACCCGGGGAGACTGCGAAATCTGATATCCGCGTGGTCGAATAAGCAAAAACCAGGGCGGTTCAACCTCGGCGCGGAGAAATTTCCAGATGCATCAGACGATGAACTGCAGATCACATCTAAGGTTTTGTCACTAGGAATTCGCCGACGAGCCATTGTCCAATCGATTTTTCTTGGCGATCCTTTGGACCGTGGGTATCGGTGGAGATCGTCCGACGCCTTAACTCGTTCCGGACGCGTTGTCCGTCACTTTCGTCATGCGGCTGAGACATTCACGATACTAGTGAGAATCCTTTTTGATCGGTCCATCACATGTTGAAGAAAGTGAAGATATATCATTCGGCCCGACTATCGGAGTCTTCGGTACTTGGGCACAAGTACGGAAATGACGCACTTCGGTAGGCTTCAGCTGAGATACGAATTTTGGGCTTTTCTTGTACTGATCAATCCTTTCCTGACGAGTCAAAGTCATCCCGAGACTCAAACTGTCAGCTGATTGGTATAAAATAATGGATTAGGAAATCCAGGAACCTCCAAACTCAATTCGCTCATTTTTGTAGATCTCTGGAACTTTTAACCATCAAGTTCGTCTGGAGGAGAGACGCAATGCTAGAACTGCCGAAGAGAAACAAAAGTTTGCTTGGTTTACTTCTGTTCTTTTGTTCTTTCTTCTTCACTTCATTCCCGCATTGGATCGACACTCCCCCTTGCATTGTTGGTAACTCTTTGCTAATTCAAACTCCAAATATTGAGGGCCCACTTGAAGGATGCGCATGTGAAAACAATTGCTCCCGTCGCAGGATATCCTAATGACTCCCCGCACCGGCATCTTCCATCGGCCGGAAAACAACTTCCGTCGGTTTGTCCGTAATACCACGCTTCTTCGCTTCTTCCATAATGGCAACGGTAGCAGTAGCACCAATGCGGGTCACCCCCAGCGACATCACATGAAGGAGATCATCAAGCGTTCTCACCCCACCAGCCGCCTTGATCTGGACCCCAGCCTTAGAATGCTCCCTCATAAGCTTCAAATGAGACACAGTCGCGCCTTTGTAGTTGTACATTCCATTGGATTGCTTGACAAACCCATATCCTGAGGATGTCTTCACGAAAGCAACCCCAATCTCGGAGCAAATCTGGCAGAGGCGAACGATGTGGCTTTCTTGCAGATAGTCGTTCTCGAAGATGACTTTCAAGATTGCGCCGTGATGAGTAACGGCGGAGTTGATCTGGCGGATCTCATCTGCGACATAATGCCAATCGCCGCCGAGAGCTTTGCCGATGTTGATGACCATGTCGATTTCGCGTCCGCCTGCAGCGGCAGCGGCGTTCGCTTCGAAGACTTTCACTTCGGTGGTGCTGTTGCCGTGCGGGAAGCCAATTACGGGACAGACGAGAACATTTGTGTCTTGGAGTTCTTTCTTGGCGAGAGGTATGAGGTATGGTTTGATACATGCTGTTGCGACGTTGTACTCCCTGGAAATGCGAAGGCCTTCCAAGATGTCTTCGTCTGTCATCGTGGGGTGTAGCAAGGAGTGGTCGATCATCTTGGCGATTTGTTGCAAAGTGACGGTAATGGAGTTGTTTTGAGCCATTTTGTCTGCTGTAGTGGGTTGGTAACCAGAGGATATGTATGTTCCTTTTCGAGCGGCGATAGGTAGTCTGTGCTGTGTGGTAATTCTCGACTCACCTGCTCGAGCGTGACTTTATATTTGATCTCCCAGTATGCCGCGAATGCAATAAAGCCGGTGGAGGAACATTCCATATAAGGCAGTTTGCTCCGGATTAAACTCGATTTTGCGGGGAAGCACTTCCACCGGAACGCTTTCCCAAATAAGAAAATTGGGCCACTGAGACATTGTAAGCAACACATATTCAAGACTACATATCAACGTATATATGTGGTAGATTAGTTTGGAAAAAGAACGAAAATATTATTTTCGACAGACTCTAGATCTGATGCATCTAATTCTTGCTCGATATTAAGGGCTTTTTACATATCAAAGTCTGAACTGCCCAAGATCCGATCAATGATATCTAGAGCAATTGCCAAATTTCAACATGAACATCATTTTGAATAATCAAACCTACTTCTCGAGGTCAATTGCTAAAGGATTGTGTGCTAGTGGTATAATATGACGTAAGCGCAGCCGATTCCACAGGTGCCAGCTGCGAGATCATTCGATTCTTTACATCTAGACAGTTGACAAATTGAAGAAACGGATAGTCTGCTTGGTCACATATCCAGTCAAAATCTTCAACATTTTGGGGTGCCCCTCACTTTCCATCACTTTTTGCACTTGTCAAGACTATTTTCGTGGGGCAGTACGCGAGCCACAGTTCATTGAACCCCCACATGAGCCAAAGACGAGTCCCAAGGGCATGTGGAAGGTGCCGGAAGCAGAAGCTTAGGGTGAGAAAGCCCTCAAAAAAATAACTCGTCTGTTTTTGGGTGTGACTGACGTGATGTGTGTATATCAATTGGTCAGTGTGATCTCCAGCGACCTTGCACTTCATGTGAAAGAGCAAATGTAGAATGTGTTGCCCTGCCGGATGATAGATGGAAGCACTATCATCCGCAGAGTCTGACGCCAGGACATAGCAGCCATGGCATGAATGAAAACCAAAACGGTGGCTCTCTTGTCTACAAAAGGCCTTCCAATTTCCCAAATGAGGGCTCTGGAAATAACTCTGATACACAGCATGGAAAGAGACCCAGAAGGCAGAGCGCTTCACTTCCAAAGCAAACTCAATCAGCAACAGTGAATATTCCAGATAAGGTGGATGTTGGGTGGAGTTCAAGTTCCACGATCAACTTAGTTCAAGAGGTAGGCACTAGATGCTTTTGGCTCAGATTTACATCTATACAGCTGCAGGTCGTTCTAACAGTTGATAAAATAGGCATTTCATCATCATCTGGCTGATACTTCCGAAGAGACGGATACATCAGCCTTCCTAGCAACTCCCTGGGCACAGCCAACTGGTCAATCTTCAAGCCCATCAACAGAACAGGGAAACTCCAGCTCCCTGCATATATTGATATCTCGTCAGTCTGAAAGTCCAAGAAATGCCAACCGCCCCCAATTCAAAGCACAGTCTGTGGCAGAAAGCGAGCTGGCTGCACTATTACCTCCAACAGAAGCAGCTGTTTTACTGATTGACAACTATTTCGACCGTATTCATTGGTTCATTCTTCTTTTTCACCAGCGTGAATTCCGAGATAAATTTTGTTGTATCTACACCCCTGATCCGGGTGAACCCAAGCGGTCGACCACTCGACCAAGAGCCCGCCTAGGAGACATTGCTGTGCTTTTGGCAGTTATGGTGACTAGTCTCAAATACACCAATGACTCACAGAAAGATCTATTAGCCGTGAGTGGTGTCGATGCGGAGCAACTCAGAAATAGGATACTCATGGCTTTACGACTAAGACTTCTGGACATCTTATCCGTCGGCACAATAGAGGTGGTACAGACTCTTGTTTTGCTGGGCAGTTACTATCTGTTCCATGGAGAGCCCGAACTCGCCTGGCCTCTTTGTGGATGTGCCTTGCGAATCGCCCAGGCACTCAACTTACACCGAAAGCTCCCACCTAGAGGGCCCGCTGATTCGGTTCTCAAGCCGAGCAACGCAGCTCGGAAGCGCTGTTGGTGGGCTGTCTATGACATCGAAACATTCTGCTCTATGCTCTATGGATTTCCACTGAGCATATCGGATGCGGACTGCGATGTGGATCCTCTTGACCTTTATGACGAATTATCGGCGTCTGGAATTCAAGAAGATGATCCATCACAACCTACTCTTCTTTATTACAAATGTGCAATGTCGACTTTATCTGCTTTGGTCAAATCGACTTTAGTCGATTTATATGGAACTCGCCGCCAACGAGACCCACAAGATGATTCCATCCTGGATCATGCATCCCGGCTGTCCAGTCTAGTGAAAAAGGTCGAAGCATTAAGCTCAAGGTTGAATGACTGGCACGCCAACTTGCCCGAAAAGCTTCGGCTTGGAAAACTTGATTCTAACACGGCTACAAGACAAGATCCAAAAGATATCTCACGGCTTCCCTTCGAAGACCAACTTTTCCAACTCCAAGCACTTACACTCAAACTTGGGTTCGAGAATTCTAAGATACTTATACATCGCCCACTCCTCTCGTTCAAAATAATTACTCCTCCCCACCCACCCCATTCAGATTCAAATTCAAATCGTCGAGTCGATCCTTTCTCCTTGGCAACCGAGACCTGCCGCGAATCTGCTTTGCAGATATCGTTGATTGGACTGTGTCCTATTGTAAGACATGCGGCTGACACTTACGCCGCTGCGTTTATGTCGTTACATCTTTTCACGGCCGCGGTGACAATCTGCATAATAAATAGCCTCGATCCGCTCAACCCAAAATCGCATGAATGTAAATTGGGCATTCGACGATTGATGGAGATGCAGACACTGCTGAAAGACAAGTCGATTGTCGCCTCGCAGGGTCTGGAAATCACCAAACAGTTAATGTCGCTAGCTCTTGCAAAGGAGATCGATGCGATGTTTGATGTTTCCTGTCCTCCAGTCAACCCTTCGGCCGGAAGGCCTTCCACGAATAGCGCGGCTCAGGTCTCTGTTCCTGAAAGCAAATCAACACAAACAGAGATTCCACCAAGTGCCGACCCTATAATCGTGCCAGATCATACCACATCGTCTTCAAAAACACCTAAAACGCAGGAAAGTATTTCGACTGAAGTTGATCCTTGTATATTCGAACCTGCAAGCTTTGAATTCGGTGAAAACCCTAGCATGACTGAAGCGCTGCTTGACTTTGGACAGGGTGGGTTGCTGAAGAGTATCCATCTTTTTATCTCTAGTTAACTAACTTTGCAAAGTAATCAACCTACCAACAAATCAAAACATGTCCAATGATGGAGTGAGCGAGCTGGACGCAGTGGATGAGGCCCAAGAGAATTACTTCGTTGGTCAAGATCAAGGGTGGATCTGGGGGTGGGGAATGTGAGAGGGCATTTCGGTATGGCCATGAGTATCACTTTTGAGTTTCTTGGTCATCTAAATAGCGGTATAAAAGGTTGTGTATGATATATACCTTAGAGCTTATATATAGTGGCTACCGCTAACCACCTGGGCATGTATCAAAAATATTCAAGAATCATGAAGTTTACATTTTTTATCTCCTACCAGGTGCAACGCCCAGGTGCTTTGATGATCGAAAACTCCAAATCACCCCGGCAAGATAATGACTACCTTTCCGCACATCATTCGCCCAATATTCCCGGCTATGAAGTCATTGCGGCTATGAAATTGGGGATTTAATGGTTGAATATTTCGCATATTTAGGGTCTGTGGCATTGTAGATGCATCTCCTATTTAAGACGAATTCGAGGCGTATCACATTTTCACATTAAGCATCCATCCTTGATGCTAGAGTGCAGGTCACTCATACCGACCCGCACACGGCGATAGCCAGGTCGAGTTTGCTTGGCAGTATTTTCCTTGAACTTCAAGTTCTCCACGCTGGGAGATCCGGCCCGCGAGCCGCTCGCGGGAGTGGGCTTGCGTTCAAGAGCATAAACTTCAATCATCCATTCATACCAGACTTTGCGGTCGTCAGTTTGGCGGTACATTGTGACGACAATCTCGCCATTTTCGGGGACATTGAGAGGAGTCTGGAAGAAAAGCATACAGTGTAAGTAAGAAACAAAATGAGGGGAAAGGATATATCTAGTTTTTCCTTTTCCAAAAAAGAGAAACTCACCTTTAATGGGAAGTATATAGGGAACCAGCTGATCATGCTGGCACTCTTGGCATCCATGGTCACCGGGTTAGTAGACAACTCCACGTCTCCGTAGAGCACCGTCTCGAAGTAACCCGCGAGACCGTGGCATACACCTCGGGTCTGAGAGGGGAACGCCAGGCGGGTCTGTCGCACATTGTGTGCGTTCGAGATGGTTGACTGCATGGGAGACTGAGGTGGGATGTGTCGATTCGGGTGGGAGAAAGACCAGGCAGTCTGGACAAATGGAGTAGGGAACTCAGTAGCGGAGAATGACGTCGATGGGGTGGATGCACGATTGCCATCGTTGGTGGAGGTCTCGTTGGCAGCTGGGGTATCGGTGGTGGAGAGGAAGTCAATCGCATGTAGCATCACAACATATGGCGTCTCTGGGGCAGCCGGGTTGGACACAGTTTGATGGACAACATCAGAGTGCAATTTCGGGGCAGAGACCGGTGTGAAGTGGGCGGAGTATGAGGCTGGAATGGAGATTCCATGCACAGGATTGATCAGATCGTTCACGCCATCCAGGCATTCTGGAGAGAGTTCGTTGTCTGCAAAGGAGCCCAGTAGCTCCGAAACAATGATATCAACATGGGTGTAGGACATGTTCGAGTCTTGAGCTTCAGCAAATGAAGATGTGAGCAATGAACTCTGGATGCCAAGAGATTCTCCCACGGGGTCTTGTGGGCCCTTAGTTTGCTGCTTCTGTACGCGGGGGCCCTTCCAGGCACGCATGTCTGACTGAACTAAGGTGACTTTGCCATCCCAAATGGTTTCATTATGCCGCTGCAGCAACACAAACGCATTCTGGTTCTTTTCCACGGCCCACAAATCAATCTCAACTCCAGCTTCCGCACTAGCCTTGAGTGCACGGGTAACAAGCGGGCCGCGGCCAGCTCCTACAACCGCAAGTACCACTTTTCCATCTGGGTGAGACGTAGGCTTCTTCTGTTCTGCCCAGTCTTTCAATGCCTTGCAAATGGCCTTTTCATACCACTCGTATTTGATGGGATCTTTTTCAAAAACTTCATATGTGATGCTCTCCAGATTCACTGTCAGTGGCTGCAGAGGTGCTTGCAGATAGTCCTGGTATCCCACACCAAATCTCTCAATCGCAGTGCGCGGGGGTTGGCGCTGTTGCAGATTACGAATGTAAGAGAGGTGCGGGGTGGGGTCGTGGTGCTTTTTGCTAGCTTGTGACAAACTTGGATAGTCAGATGCGGACTGGTTGTCTGGATCTTCGACATTTTCGAGTCCAGGAATAGGGCCAACGCCGCAAAGAAGAATCCACGGTGCAGTCCGAAGGCGCATCATCTTTGCAATGAAAGCTTGGTGTGACTTAGACAAGACTGGGTATCCCTTTTGGTTCTTGAGGAACGCCGATCCATCAATTGTAAGCAAGTGTACAGGCTCAGAATGCCACCGAGATTGTACAGGAAGAACTGGCAGCTGCTTGGGCATAGACAGGGCTGCGATGAATGTTAGGCTTTGTCGGAGTCAAGAGTTATCAAAGACAGGGCCGATACATACCAACAAATAGTCTTGTGTGATACTTGGAAGTCTTCCTGATCATATCCCAAGCATCCCAGGTACCGAATAGATCTACCTTCGGCGAGATTCCCTCGTCTGGCTCTTGGAATTCCGCTCGAGCAAGAGGCGCTAGGTCGCCCATAGTATCAACCTCGACCTCTGGGTTGTCAATCATCTGCAGCCAGATGTGGAATTGAATGTAGGGACCAAGATTCAGTGCATCTTGAATTGCGCGAGCATAATAGTTGACACCTTCGGAATGCAAGGCACCGTGGTGCAGCTTTGGTCCAGGAATCAAGAGATATCCAATGCCACAGAAGGCAGCGTATGCGACCTCCAACATCAGAACTTGGCGAGACAAGTCCGCGATCAATGGATCGGGTGAGCACAAGTCAATCCAGCTGCTGGTAACTCCCACCAATTGACTGGTTGCATCGTTGGGTGTAAGGAATGAGTCTGCCTTGGAAAGTGATGGAACGACCAGCGGGCGAGTGTTCTGAGTAGTCGCTCTGGTGCCCACAGCATCATAGGTTGCGGGCTGCAGATTGGCCAAGTAAGAGGACAATAAGCCCAGGACACGCGAATGGAAATGCGATGTCGTAATCGGGACGGTCATCATGTCATACTATCATATCAAATTAGAACCTGTGATAGCCATGGTATCAAAGGCAAGAAAGAACTAACATTGCTTTCGTGTACGTTTTGAATCACCCGAGGGGTCACTGTGACCAGCCTATTGTGCTCATGGTGGCCAACGCAGAACGCTGGCCCAGGATCCTCAGAGGGATTGTAGCTCTCCATAGTGAAGCTTGTCGCAAATGGTGGGGTGGTCTGAGACAAGAAACTTGACTGACAGCTCGTTGACAAGCAACAAAGTAGCTGAACGAGTCGGTGTCAAACAGACCTCTGTGAATAAAGTTTGAACCAGGAATTTTCCCCTACAGAGAATTCCAGTCTGAGACACAGGCAGGCGTAAACAAGCTTGCCAAAGATTCTCGATCCCTTTGTGGAGCGCGGCAGAATAGCTTAGCGGTGAGCCTGATAGGCAGCTGTGGCGCTCGCCCGACCTTCCTATCTGATATTTTTTTTCTTCGCTATCTAAACTTCTGTTCGCCCAGTTTGTCCTTCACTCTTCGACCATTCATCACCACCATGGCCGATACTCGCTCAGACTCCGAAGGTGGCTCACGAGCTAAGCGCCAGAAGACGGACGCTGACCCAAAGAACAACCCTTACCTGGCTCACATGTATGAGAACGAGAACGGTTCTGAGAACTCGGCTTTCGCCAAGTTCAAACGACACCAAACAACCTCTGCTCTCGCAAAGAAGGCCGAGGATGGCGAGATCAACCCTTTCAGTGGCCGTCCGTTCTCCAGCAAATATTTTTCGATCCTGAAGACCCGTCGTGATCTGCCAGTTCACCAGCAACGGTGAGTGTTTCCCGACGCCCATTGGGTAGGAAAATATGTACTGACTCTTTTATCCAGTGACGAGTTCCTGCAACTCTACCAACAATCCCAGATTCTTGTTTTCGTCGGTGAGACCGGTTCCGGAAAGACCACGCAGATCCCGCAATTCGTCCTTTACGATGACCTCCCTCAAACCCAGGGCAAGATGGTCGCCTGTACGCAGCCGCGTCGTGTGGCTGCCATGTCCGTCGCCCAGCGTGTCGCTGCCGAGATGGATGTCAAGCTTGGCGAAGAAGTTGGTTACAGTATCCGTTTCGAGGACATGACTGGCCCCAAGACCATCATGAAGTATATGACCGATGGTATGCTGCTGCGCGAGGCTATGAACGATCACAACCTGTCGCGTTACAGTACAATCATTCTTGATGAGGCTCACGAGAGAACTATGGCAACCGATATCCTGATGGGTCTCCTGAAGGAGGTTGTAGTGCGTCGTCCTGACCTGAAGATTATTATCATGTCTGCTACTCTGGATGCGCAAAAGTTCCAGCGTTACTTCATGGATGCTCCTCTTCTTGCGGTCCCCGGTCGTACCCACCCTGTCGAAATCTTCTACACCCCCGAGCCGGAACAAGATTACGTCGAGGCCGCCGTCCGAACTGTGCTACAAATCCACGCCACTGAAGCCGAAGGAGATATTCTTTTGTTCTTGACTGGTGAAGAAGAGATTGAAGATGCTTCGCGCAAGATTGCCCTTGAGGGAGACGAGATGACTCGAGAGGCCGATGCTGGTCCTATTAAGGTCTACCCATTGTATGGTAGTCTGCCTCCACACATGCAGCAGCGCATTTTCGATCCTGCGCCTCCTCCTCGCCGTCCTGGTGGCCGACCCGGTCGCAAGGTCATTGTGTCCACCAACATTGCGGAAACCTCTCTAACCATTGATGGTATTGTTTACGTGGTGGATCCCGGATTCTCCAAGCAAAAGATCTACAACCCCCGCATTCGTGTCGAGTCTCTCTTGGTTTCCCCCATTTCCAAGGCCTCCGCCCAGCAACGAGCTGGTCGTGCCGGTCGTACACGTCCTGGAAAGTGCTTCCGTCTTTACACCGAGGGAGCATTCAAGAAGGAGCTTATTGAGTCGACTTACCCCGAAATTCTTCGATCGAACTTGTCATCAACGGTGCTCGAATTGAAGAAGCTTGGCATTGATGATCTTGTCCACTTCGATTTGATGGACCCGCCTGCGCCAGAGACTCTGATGCGAGCCTTGGAGGAACTTAACTACTTGGCTTGTTTAGACGATGACGGAAACCTCACTCAGCTCGGTCGCCTGGCCTCCGATTTCCCTCTCGACCCTGCGCTCGCTGTCATGTTGATCAGCTCGCCCGAATTCTACTGCTCTAATGAGATTTTGTCCATCACTGCTCTTCTCTCTGTGCCGCAGGTCTTCACTCGTCCTGCTGCCCAACGAAAGCGCGCCGACGAAATGAAGAACCTTTTCGCCCACCCCGACGGAGACCACCTCACAATGCTGAATGTTTACCACGCATACCGCGGAGCTGACGCCCAGGCAAACGCCAAGCAGTGGTGCCACGACCACTTCCTCTCCTTGCGATCCCTCCAATCTGCCGATAATGTGCGTTCCCAGCTCCTCCGCATCATGGAGCGCGAGGATCTGGAGATGATCTCCACTCCCTTCGAGGATAAGAAGTACTACGAGAACATTCGCCGCGCGCTTTGCGCCGGATTCTTCATGCAGGTCGCCAAGAAGGACACTGGTGGCAAGAGCCAATACCTCACAATCAAGGATAACCAAAACGTCCTCGTGCATCCGTCCACCGTGTTGGCTCATGAGGCCGAGTGGGTCTTGTATAACGAGTTTGTTCTCACATCAAAGAACTATATTCGTACCGTAACTGCGGTCAAACCTGAGTGGCTCTTGGTATGTTTCATCCTAACCATTCACTGCAACTTGAGTTCCATGCTAACCATCTTCCAGGACATCGCCCCTACATACTACGACATACAGAGTTTCCCCAAGGGCGACATTCGGTCTGCTCTTGTTCGGGCTGCCGATCGCCTCTCTCGCAAGGAGAAGATGCGCGCCGAGAAGCGCCGATAGACCATTTGTTTCTTGTTCAGCCTAAAATTCACTCATGACACGCTTGTTTTTGCACTGCTTTTCAATCACGATGCCAATACGTTGAATAGAACATTTGTTTTTTTTGCTACGCTTTTTCATTTTCATAACGTCCCTGCCTCCCTGCTAGAATACTTCTCTGCCACTAAGCGGCTTGTTAGATTCGCGAGATTCCCTCGACTGTACAAAAGTTTCATCAAAGTTACATATTCGAATTTACTGGGGCTGGCACCTCGTTGGCCCAAAACAGAATGGAAACGCCTTAGAAATAAAATTGTATGAACCGCCAACGCCTTGGGCTGCATAACTACATCTAGGGCTTCTTGCCCAAGGTTTCCCGTATGCTCTAGTTGAAACAAAAGCAATCATTTAATATACAAGAATATCTCCATCCATTGAACACACAGCCTCCTCGCAAGTTGGCGAGTCAAGTAGATGCCTCACATGTGAGTAGCGAATGTCGCGGATTCCACAGCGGGAGCCGCATTATCCACGGACGCTTGGTTTGGGCCGTTTCTTCGCCGCGTGTTGCGTTTTCGGGGTATCTCGGGAGATGAAGGTGAAGTTTGGGGTTTGTCGAGGGTGATCTTTGTCGACGTTCTACTGAAGGTGCGATTTACAGAAGCGCTCTTGGGATGTGAGGGGTTGAGAATTGTGGGGGTTTCAGGTGATGGTGGAAGAGGCTCTTCGCGAGTTGAGGCGGGGGAGTCGTTGGTGGAAGATGGTGAGAGGTGGTGTTTCCGAAGTTCGTAAACGAGCTCACGGAGATGAGCAACTTCGTCTTTCAGGTCGGATATGTCGTCATTCGATACGTGAGACTTTTGCCCACTGTTTGTGGGTGCTCGGCCATGCCCAAGCGCAGCGGACATGGCATTGTCCGCGTGCTGGTTGGCTAATTTGGCATTGTGTCGAGTGAACGTGTTCTCCGCTGGCACCTCGATTTGACTCAGATATTCACCAAAGGTATTTCCGAAGTCATAGCACTTCTGCCACAACGGACGGTCAAGGTTCTCCTTGGGGGTTTGCTTAGCAGCCTTGAACCACCGAACGGCATCGGGATTGACAAAAGGTGCCGAGTCTGTCTGTCTTGATAAAAGTTTTGGATCAAAGCCGCTGTGTACAGCAGCCTTCACCAGTACATTTGAGGCTTCAAGTCGGTCACAGGAATCGCAAAGACCGACCATTCGCGCCAGCAATCTTTCGACGGATTCGATCCGGTGGTCCGTTGACGACACGAGGTAAGTGACGGCTCTTTTCAGCACATTGGCGCCCTTCTCCCAGTCTTTTCGGAGGCTGTAGAAACGAAGATAAGTGAACAAAGTCTCCCAGCTATCGAAGAATCCTCCACCCCGTGCAGCCTGGAGCCAAGCGTCGGCTCGCTCAGGTTGATCAAAACGCAATGCAGCGCCTATCAAAGCAGCATAGATGACCGGGTTGCTGCTATTCAGTGGCGGTACGATAATATCCAATCCGTTGACCTTCCGGTGCTTATACATGCCCCTGCTCCCCAAGTTTACCGAGTAACCCTCCCCTCCAAGCATCTTCAAAAACAAGTCGAAGTCCTTGAGGTTTTTTGATTTCCTGAAGAAAGTGACTATCGTGATCACAAGCGAGGGGTTGAGATAGAAACGGTTCGGCAGTAATGTCCGCAAAAGCATTTCCACAAGGTCGTTTTGACGGGTCTGGCCAAATGCCATAATCATATGTCGGAAGGCTGTTGGTCGGTCTGGATCCCGCGAGCTCAGAATATTGTTAGATATCCGCAGAAGCAACTCTTGGAGAGACATTTGTTGGCTTGTGTATATGCGGATATCGTTGGTGAGTTCGGCATCAAGGGCCTCGCGTTCTCTTTGCATTGCGCCCAAATTACTGGCCGCATAATCCTGAGTCACATCACTGTAGATAGAATCTTTGTCGGTCTTTAGAGCGCTCATGCGATTCCGAATATTGTTCAACTCCTCGAGGAGCTGGGAAACATTGACCTGGGGGGTTTCGAAATCGGCCGCGTAATTCATCGAAATGCCTGAATAGCGATGGGCGATAGCAGGTCTTAACAACAGACGGATCGCAAATTGTCTGAGGGCAAGTTTCTGTATGGCCTTGAGGCGAAGATCATCCTTCAAGACCCAGCTGGGTAATGTTTCCTGCGGCAGAAAGATCTCGCTCTCATCCTCTTCGTCGACCTCGTGCTCATTGTCCGCCATTTGGCTTTCAGCCGTGCGAGCACCAACAGCGCTAAGTCGTCCTCTTTCGGTGTGAAAGGCTCTAATAGATCGGTTGAAGCCGGATTGTGATTGAATGCCGAGGGGGAAGCGTGGGACGGTGCCGAATCCCCTCCCTTGTATTAAACGATCAAGTCCTCGATTCTCTCGTCGTGATTGTAAGGACGCCAAAAGACGTTGCTCTTCATCCTCCAATTCACTCACTTCGGCTTTTACCGCAGCGATCTTTTCGTCCCAGTCATGTCGGCGTCGATCCTTCACGCTCGCATCGGCAAGGGCGGCGGCGGCGAAAATGCTAGTGTATAGTGCGGTAACGGAGTTTCCAATTCGAAGTCGTCGCTGTTTGGCAGCAGTTGCTGCCCGCGAGGTGACCCCATTGGCGGTGGTGCTCAGACACCCGACGCAGCGGCAGGAGGACTGCGTCGAAACAGCGCGGGACCACAAACCCTGCATTCTCAGGACATCGCTATCAAGCGAATTGATCCAGAATGTAATATCACAAGGTATAAGTCAATTGGACTCCTCTCGGAGCCCCGTTGCAAGTATTATGGAATTGAATGGGGAACATGCAATGCAGCAAAATAATCTTGCAATTCCGCAAATGCTCGGGTCAGCGATGCAAACACTGCAAACGAGCTTAGACCGCGAGACATCTGGACACCATCGATCCATCAAGTTTATGTAGATCATCTGCTGTTTATTTTCTGGACGAATCTCCTGCCTTACGATTTACGATGGTCACCAAATTACTCGGTCTCGCCGCCGGACTCCTAGCGTTGAGCGGACTTGCCAGTGCCCATGGCTCGCATTCAAGCGACCAAGCTCCCTCAGATGATTGGGCCACGCGCCACATGATAGGTAAGACCCAACAAATGACAATTTTGAAGTCGCAATGCTAACATATCTACTAGAGGAACATCACATCGAATCGTTCGATCCTCCTTCGTTCTTCATTCTCCATGACTACGACTCCTCGGGAACATGGACACACGACGAAGTACGCAAGACATACGGCCTGAACGACCAATCCAATGCCGCCGTTAGTGAAGATAAGAAACAAGATGCCGTGCGCACAGTATTTGCTCTCTTCGACCCTGGTAACACAGGATTCATAACCCGGCAGGACTGGCTGGATGGCGTTGCTGCGGGTAAACGGCTGCCCGACCTCGGCTTCGGCCCTGGACATCATGGCGATATTGAGTATGAGTACGAGATTCACCATTTTGAGAAGTACCACGGTGATGATACCACCGAGGCGGACTTGACTCATCCAGAGGATATTGAGCATTTCAAACAACACGATGAAGAGGAGGATGCGGCTCTGAGGCTGGAGAAGCTGGAGCAAATGCAGATTGTTGCAGGCAACATTCCTCAGAAGTTCCGTCGAAACGTTTAAATGTTTCGATGCAATGCTTTTCCAGTGTACATAGTCGTTTATACATACAAACTCGAACCTCATTCGGTTACCATTTCCGTCTCTTATCGCACTAAGTGGCCAGTTTTTCAAACAATACAATGGGTTTCATAACTCAGTTGGTTAGAGTGTGGTGCTAATACTATACAATTATTTAGGATTGTAATGCCAAATTCGAGGGTTTGGTATTCGGCTCTGGCATCCCAACAGACCAAGTAATTGGAGATCGCAATTCAAAACAAAATGGATATAAAGATAAATAACCTGCCATGAGACACAAACCTGCCGAGACATGTACGAAATCGGCCCATGACTACAGACGCCAGAGAAGAGAATTGAAACGCTAAAAGCTCAGAAGTAAACTATTCAGGACAATGCCCAGGCTAGAAACAATGGTTCAGCCCCAGTACAGTCAAACGCCAATGTCGGGAGAAAATACAGCAATGGGAGGACAGCTCTCAATACTCCGTAGCATATCCCAGCCTGTCATTCGAATCCACAACACTATATTGTAATCGTTAGCATGGACCAATTCCAGTTCCCGACATACATTGCAATCCCAAACTTACGAATATTGCTTGGTGAGAGTCCCTTCTCCACCCTTCGAAAGGTCGATGTTGAAAACATAAAAGTTGCCATCGCTGGTAACAACCATAACATGCGGGGTGTTGCTACTCATGGCAACAACACTTCTCGTGGGTCCTGCGCCTGGGCTTCCAGCAGGGCCCTGGCTTGACCGCGGCAGCTTGATCCAAGCAAAGTCCCGCGCTGGCTCCCACATCTCACTAACTCCCTTGGGAAGATACCCGCCTACCCTAGCTGCAACTGCGCCACCTACGTTTTGGGAGGTCCGGCGAAGCATGCCCATCAGGGTGCCGTTGTGTTTCCTCGAAGAGTCCGAGCCTGCATCGCCACCAGCCTCGTCTTCATCAGGTGAATGTCCGTATGCAGGCGGAGAAGCCTGGTCCCGGGCTGATGGAGCGTACGATGAAGAGCCGTCTGACGAAGGTCCTTGCTGGGTCAATTTGAAGATATGGACGGTCTCAGTAGACGATGATACGCATAGGAGTGTTGATGTGGTGTTGAAAGACATGCTGTAGATTCGAGATGGCATAGAGCCACGGCGGAACTGATACAGCTTGTGGCCGTCTGGAACCGAAAATATACGGATAATCGTTCCTTTATCTGAAGCGGTGGCCAGTAATGTGCCTTCGCTGTTTAGCGCAATGAGTGCCAAGGGAGAACGGTGGGCTTCGATGACATTGATCGCCTCAAGTTTGACGGCATCAAATATTAGGACATCTCCGGTTGTAGGAGATACGTGGGTTGTTCCAGGTGGAGCATGTGTTGCTGTACTTGCAGCTGCAGGAGCCTTTTGTGGAAGAGGGTATGCCATGTAGCAATTCTCTGATGATGGTGCAAGGGCACAGATGGCTGTTGAATTGTCAGAACTAGACTTTGGAATGCAAAAAGGTGCGGCGAAAAAGTCATACCATGAGGATTTGGCGAAGTATCAATAGTAGACAAGAGCTTCATAGTCTGGATATCATAAAGATAGATTTGATCCTCAAGGACAATAACAAGTCGCTTGCGGTTTAGCTTGACCGCCAGGACGGTTGTGGGAAATGTCAACTCGCATATTGTGCATTGTCGCTATCTCATAGGTTAGTCCCGATACGCGCATAATGGAACCATGATCAAATGAATCTAGTGGTTGCACATACTTTGGTGTTTTGAATTTGCAAACGTCTTGGTGACAAGATCAAAGCGACAAGAGAAGTTGAAAACAACATCTCAATGACGGCAATGTTTCCCTCTTTAGCCTCATAGCTCTTGGCAAAGGGTTCAGTGGTGAATATTTGAAATCCTTTTGATGTTGCTACAAACGCGGTCAGTCAAGCATTCTGCAAAGAGAAGCGGAAGAAATCTCACCCACAGCCAGGTAGCTGTAGTCCTGGTTAAATGTCACGAAATTCATGGCCATGATTACTTTTCAATATGGAGGCGAAATTCAATAGGGTTCAAGGCACCCGGAATGTCGGAGATACCCCGCTTGGAGGATCGCGAGAGGGGGCCGAGGCAGCAACTCTTTGCCCTTCACTGGCCACTCCCTAGCATTTCTTGCGCTGAGAACGAAACGAGATGCTTCGAGGGCGAGGGTGCGGATAAAAAGAGAATACGATAATTTGCGCAGTCGAGAAAGCTCGTCACAAGCGAGAGATCCGCGCTTGGGCCACACCTTGTTGCCCACCGCCTACGGAGATTCTCTTATCGCTGTTCTTCTTTTCACTTTTTTCACTTCTTCACTTTGGTCAGTTTCAAATCAAATCTAAGGTGTCTTGTTTCGCAAGTGTGTGTTGTTCCAGTTTACCTGCCCTTCATAATCCTGACCTGTGAAATCCAGTCGCTAACTCCTTGCTTCAAGGTAGTGAAAGCGAACCCTCATCGACCCAGACAATGACGTAGCCATCGTCTATCTTTACACCGTCCAGATATCTACTCTCTCCCTTTGTCAGTAGCACCAACGATCGTGAATGCAATGTTTATCTGTCCAGTTAGTTTTGTGTGCCGATTACCACAAATTTTATGTAACTGTCCGTGGAAAGGACCTAAAGCCAGTTCGTCGGAGCACTATGGACGCGGTAGGTTGCAAGGGGACATCTGCTCAGTCGGATCAATATAAAGTCGTCCATTTTCCCGTAGTGAGATTTTGTGAATTCTGATAGGGATGGCTCTGGTCTCATAACTTCATATGACCAAAAGTTCGACCATCCGTTTAGTAGTCACCATATAACCTTGAGAAACGAGACATCCATTTATGGGTATATTTGTCATGGGAGTTGAACGCAAAAACACGAAAAGAAATTGCAGTTTGGGAATCACCTGCAGTATAAAGCTGCGTTGTTTGTATGGTCCATTGATAGACAATCTAGGACTCCTATCTAAGTACCTAGCTATATTCGCAAAAGATATATAGTAGTCATGCTGTCAAAGCCTCCAAAATGTACAAGTGTACTTGTGATATCTATAGAAGATCACTGCCCTGTCTAGGTTGTGGATACACGTGTTTGCTCCTTGTCCCCTAAGGTGAGTGAATACATCAATCAAACAAACCCCCACGCAGAGAGAGGAAAATCCGGATTGATTGCAATTAGAAGACGCGTAATACAAACTGCGAAGTACTGCGAAGTACTGCGATATCCAGTTCTCAACTTGGGCTCCAACATGCAATGAGAGAAACCAAACCCAACCACCAGCCACGTCAACTCCATACATAGAATGTCATGTTTCAACACCCGCAGGCCAGCGCCTGGAAAATCAAGACAAACAAGGTTCCCTGGGCACATACTGAATCTGCCGCGCGTCATCAACCAAAACTGGACAGTTCTCGAAGTTTTGATACTGGCCTGTGTATCCAAGACCGTGTACGGAATAACTCGCAAGCGCGAGGAACACAAAGCCCGGCAGCTACCCGTCTCGCACTGTATATTCCCTGACATATAATCTGCTACAATAATCCTGATTAGGTCGCTATTCATGCCACCCGATTGGAGAAATCGGGATTTGAGTCGATATATCCCTCACTAGTTCCCATATGTATATAGTACACCCATCGAGCCTAGCGGCCCTGCACAAGATTTCGCCCAAACTGCCGAATGACCCTGAACAACACCTTCATGTCCCTAATATGCATGCGCTTCCCGTCGAGAGTAGGCAAGGCTGGGCGGTTACCATGTGGCCGTATCATAGCGCCCTCATAGACCGAACCCGCCAGTTGGGTAGCAAACTAAACGGGCGACGAAAACCAGACGACTCAGGTGACATCGACATCGACCGTGTGTCAGATCTTCAAAACGAATGCTACCAACCCGCTCTGATATGCAGTTCCTGCACCTTCCGGGTAGTGGTGGGTTTTCCCTCAAATTATGCCCGATTCTGACACGCGTTTAATCCCAGGCACACTCTACAACCGCCCTGGAAACATCCTGGTTCGACCCTTGTCAACCCTGGTAATACACGGCATGTTGGACAGCCACTTAGAAGTGATAGGTGTGAAGTCGTCTCCAATTTTAAGAAGAGAATAGGACGTTTGGGAGAAGATCTGTGCGCATACATGAGAATCTAGACAAGATCAGCGCCGACCTGCCTGATTATTCGATGCTGCCCCGCCTGACATGGTGACGGTTGGCCGAGGAATTACTGTCCATGGCAACCAATCAGGATAAATGGTCGAATGTTGTTTTCCGTGTGGAAATGGCAAGAGATGCGCGAACAAAGATAAGACTTTCCTTGTGTGTTACCATGGGTATACCTGCGCTCATTATAGGTACGTGGATAGGTCCCTTTTCTTTGACGTTAGGTCTCTTGGGCTGCAGAGTTGCTCACGAGGTGTTTTTGTTTATGGGGACGTTTTGATGCTCTCTCCCCACTTGAAGTGGATCACAGTGGCGATCCGGGGTTCGTTTCCCATGCATTTGTATACAATAGTATCTTGTGGTTTTAAGTGGCTCTGTGGATATGTCATGGTATATGACGAGAAGAGAACTCTATACCTAGGTAGAATGTGATTTATCTTATCCTATTACCGTTCAAGTACTTCCAGGGTTAGATTCCACCGTTATGTATCAGGTAATACCAAGTACCAATCTTAGAAAGTAATATCAAGTATTATCAAGTAATTGACTTTCAATGGAATCAACGTCCGTGGGCTTTCACATCCGAAGTGGAACCTGATAGCGGGGGTTGAGTTCACCTACGCACTTAGTTAAGTCTGGGCCGAGAATGATGGGAATCTCAGCGTCATAGACCCACTAAACGGGGTGGATGTCTGATGGATGTCCGTGTTTTAGCTTTGGACAATCAGTTATACCTAGGTAGGTTATATTAATGTATTTGATGAATTATAAAAATGTGGTCAGAATCCCTGTCTAGCATCGATTCGAGTGATGGGATATGTATACTACCACTACTTATGAGCAACTACCTAACTAGTTCGTAATAATGATAGTGGAGAGGAGTGGATACACAAGTGGAATGACGAGAAGTAAACAATCAAAGTGTAATAGTCGGCAGTTTGAAATATTATACAACATACATCAGTAATTCTGTAACTATAATAAGAAATGTAAAGTGTACATAGTGAGATCTGCTCCCACCTTTTCCCCTCAACTTCTTCCTCATTTCTCCCTTGTACTTTTGCATTTCATTTTAACTCCGAATCCTTTACTCAACTGTCCAATTTTGTGGCATTCTTTCCTCAAACCCCCTTGCTCCTCTTATCTCTTTGTGGTATGGCCTATATCTCTCTACGTTTCCCACCCCCATTGCTTTTTATCCTTTGTCTGAATTCAGGCTCGAGATGCACATCCCATGTTGACATCTGATGTAGTTGTGATACTCACGCGTCATTGATTCCACAAACCCTTGCGAAGGATGTAATCTTCCACAAATTCAATTGCAACTAATACCCGACAAGTTCGACGATTTTACTCTGCTTCGACATGGCCACCGTTTTGGTTCAGCAGCAAGCGCTGCACCACTCGACCCCTCCTCCTTCCCCTATCCCTTCTGCCTTGACAGTCAACCGGCGATCAAGTCCCATCCCGAATAAACATATCCCAATATGCCCCACAGGTCCTACTCCACCGAGCCCCTCTCTACAACCATCAGTATTCCGAAACAGCGACCAACCTTCTTCCTTACTGTCACCCCCGGATGAGTCCACGCGCATTGGACTTCCGGCATCGCCGGCTGTATACACAATTGATGGAGCCAAACTGGCAGCTGCGATCGCTCATACCGCCTCGCAACCCATGCCCGACGCCTCCCTCATGTTCCCATGGTTACACGGCCTCCACCAAGATAACCATCTACAACTGGGATTCTTCTCAAGTCGCAAGCGCCACCCACGTCGCACCCCCAAATGTTGGCGAGGTATCACCGTGGTAAAACTCGGAGATGATTTATCCAAGTCGCGCATCAAGGGCGCAGTCGGCGTCTATGAGGTGTTAGCACCTTCAGCTCGCTTCTTGTTGGCTGATCCTCCTGAGGGGTTCTCGGTTCGCAACTTCCAGATACAAACCGCCAAGCTGGCTGCGATGTCGGACATTGTTGTATACGCCGAGGATGAAGGTAGCCAAAAAGAACTTGTCGATCTCGCCAACAAATTCGCCATGGCTCAGCAGGCGTGGAGACTCAAGATGGATCCCCTGCAGGAGCGACCGAGGTACAATACTTTCATTCTTGCCGGTTCGTTATCAAGTCCCCGTTCCTTCGTGCGAACCTTCCACTGAGATATTTATTCAGACAAATTTTCCGATGTTGCGCTCAACCAGCCTGAGATTATTGCTGTTGATGCAGAAGGTCGTTCGACGGGTCGCATTATGGATTTCGGTAAGTCAAACACAATATAACTGCACGGAGCCTCTTTTGTTAATGCCTGCGGCAGTTCAATGGGAGCGCCTAGAAATGGCTGCCATGTCTCGAGCATCTGAAATTTCGTCCAATGTCTGGCTTGGAAATACCCCGGATTACTTGCATTCATCTGTACCTAGGGCTTCAAATGAAGAATCTTTCGACCTTCTGATCGACGCAAGCGACATGGCCAGCATCCCCGGGCCCCGATACCTTGCCATGCTCGACAAGCAACTCGAGAGTGGCCCTCAACGAATGGAGTTCCCCTCATCAGGATCTCTTGTCCTTCCATCTGGCAACACCCGAGAGATCGAGGACATTGTCAACACTATCCGATGGATCTACTATCTCGCACACCCTGAATCCCCCTCAGAAGAACTTGAAGCTGACGGTGATACCGCAATGACCAACTCCCGAGGGAAGCCGCGCAAGATCCTCATCCACTGCGCGGATGGATACACGGAAACCTCACTGCTGGCAGTCGCGTACTTCATGTTTGCGGAAGGCGTGCCCGCACACGAAGCCTGGCTGCGCCTACACTGCGATAAAAAGCGCAACTTCTTCGCCTACCCGACGGACGTTGCATTCCTATGCCACATCCAGGGCCGCCTCCTACAAGAAAGCCCCGCAGGGCAATCAACCGATCCTTCGGAAATGTGGGATCCAGACTGGTTCCACAACATGGATGGCTCCTTGCCGAGTCGCATCTTGCCTTATCTATATCTCGGCAATTTGACCCATGCGAATAACCCGGAGTTATTGTGGGAGCTTGGTATCAAGCGCGTGCTTAGTATCGGCGAGGCTGTCAACTGGACGGATAGGGACCGCGCCAACTGGGGGCCTGATAATTTGATGTACATTGATAATGTCCAAGACAACGGCATTGATCCTTTGTGTCAAGAGTATGATCGTTGTTTAGAGTTCATTGGTGAGTTTCATACTGAGATCGATGCGCTTTCCATTTGCTAACACAGGCACAGAAAAAGGGAAGCGTGACGGTGTTGCTACGTTGGTTCATTGTCGAGTCGGTGTTTCTAGATCTGCAAGCATCTGCATTGCCGAGGTCATGGCATCTAAACAGCTTTCTTTCCCAAGAGCATAGTAAGCCTTGCATTCATCTCAACTTGTGAACCACCTTACTAATATGGAACTAGCTGCTTTGTCCGCGCACGACGTCTCAACGTGATCATCCAGCCCCATCTTCGCTTTGTGTAAGCAATACCGCGTTGCCTTTAATTCCAAACAATGAAAAAAGCTAACAATCTCAGCTACGAACTCCTTCAATGGGAAGAATACCAAATGAAAAAGCGCGGCCAACCATTGAAACGCGAGCTTGAATGGGATCATGTCACACGCGAGATCGCCATGCTGAACAAGCCGTACTCGAGAACCTAAAATTTGCTTGAGTCTAGGCTTCGAGGCCAAACCGATACAGGATCCCAAGACCTGATTTTTCATGTGTTGCAGAAGACACCACGATACAACGGATTTGCATGATTTTTACGAACAAGGGATGACTTTTTGATTGATCTGTGGCGCTTGGCGTTTTTGAAGATCTCGGAAATGGGATGAATTGCCATAATGTTCAGTGCTTTTTATCTTGTTCTGCCTTGATTTTTTTTCTTTTCTTTTTCTTCTTTCCATTTCTTTGCGGCCAAATCTGTTCCATATGAGTGTCTCTGTTCTCACCTCGTTCTTGTGCTTTTATCTCCTTTCATTCTTAGTCTCTGCCTGCTGCTGTTCGGGCTTGCATTATTTCTCACATATCTTACACGCATTTCATAATCATTTGACTCTTTCCCTCGGAGCAGTTTGACTGCGTGCCTTGCAGTTTAGGTGTTTTCTAAAGAGACCTTGTGTTTTTATCTATTCTCAGTTGTCGTTCGTCGTTCTCTCTCGATCCCTCGGGGTATTTGGGTACATGTGTTATTTAAGATTAGTACGAATATGGCGCGTCTAATCATACTTAATTCCGTTTTCTGATACAGACTGGACAGTTCGGTCTAAGGCTCGTAAACTGAACATACTAGCCTGACATGCTAAATTTGTTAGGTATGTTGTGTCGGAAGGTCAGGCGACAGTTTATGTGGAAGGTGACCACCCACGGGAGCGATATCAGGGCATAGTTGACCTCTATAATTTTACGAACAAAAGGTCCAGGAAGGGACGCCAAAGAATGTGAAGAGAGCGCCGAAAAACACCGGCCAAGAGACATGCAACAGGTGTATGACAATAAAGTGCTTCAAGAGTGTCGCTTGACTTTCTCAACAGTACTGTATGGCTCACGTCACGTTAAATGCACCGTCCGATGCAGAGACAGTTCAATGGTCATTCGTCAAATCATAAATAATCAAGTAAGTAGTATGATACATTGACACTGTAACATGGTATAGTCCTCAACAGCGCTCGAACACCCGATACAGCCCCTTCAAATCTGCAACCTCCACCACACCCCGCAGCAATCGTGACGTGGCAACCAACCGCGCACGGAGAGCAGGAAAAACAGCATACTCCAACATGCGGACCATCTGCGCACGCCGCGCCCTGACAAAGGCATCCCCATCCCCATCCCCCTCGCCCTCGGCTACTCGCGGCTCCGCAGACTCCCCCTCCGCACCCGGACCCAAACCAGGAAGCACAGGCAGCTGCTCAGGCGTATAGAAAGCCGCCAGCTCACGCAGAAACGTCCGGAAACACCCCTCCTCACTACCCCAGTCCACATACGGACCGAGCCGCAGCAAGAAGCGAGGCAACTTCGCCAACGCAGGCAAATACCCCTTCAGCAGGAGCGGGATGGAAATTAGCTCGCCGTCCGCGCTGATCTGCATGGAGAAATACTCGTTCAGCATCTCGCGGCGCTCGACAAGCGTCTGCGCGATCATGGCTGGCGCGTTGGCGATTATAGCCTCCGCCTCCGCGTCTGGGTGGTCTTTGCGCTCTGCCTCGGCAGCGATTCGTAGTAGGTCGACTAGTTTGGGTGCCGGGGAGAGCCGGATCGTTCCGAAGTTGCCGAAGTCTGTCAGGCCTACTTGGTAGAAGAATTCGTTGCATGCGAGGCCGTAATCGATTAGGTAGAGCTTTACGCCGGATTGGATGGCTGCTAAGCGGCGTCGCTCATCGACGAGTCCTACGTAGGTGTGTGAGGCGAACATCTCGGTTAGGGTGTTGTGCATTTCGGAGCGGACGGCGGCGCGGAGGCCTTTGATTGAGGCGAGGGCTATTCTTAGGGGCTGGCGATCTGTTGTTTCGTATTGGAGGCCGTCGTCTATGATTGAGGGTTGGTTTGCGTCGGCGGGCGTGTCTTGATTAGAAGGGTCGCGTGGTGAGGCGGCGACTGGGTCTAGCATTGCTGTGATTTTGCGGACTTTGGAGTCCGTTCGGACCAGGTTGTTTTCGTAGGGCCTTTTCGTTGCTGGTGTTTTCGGGGTCGCTGTCAATCTCGCTCCTTCTGCTGCTCCTTCGTTGGCTGAGGCGTCTTGGGCAGACTGGAGGGACTCGATTGTTGGTACACTGGGCAATAGACTCTGCGTGAGGAATGTGCGGCTGGAGTCTACCTCCGCAAGCTTGGATCGGATTTCGGCGCAGACAAGCTCGATAATCTCATCTTCGTTGAGGAAGTTGACCTCGCGCTTTGTTGGATGCACATTGACATCGACGCGATGAGGCTCGATCTCGAGATCAAGATATACGAATGGGTGTCCACCTTTGGGTAAAAATGCAGAATAAGTTTGTTCGACTGCCCGCTTAACAGCAGTTGATTCAACTGCACGGTGGTTGATGAAGAGCAGAATCGTTGTTCTCTTGACATGATAGTTGGCATTAGTAGCAAGACCGGACGCACGGAATCCAAGTTTTGTATTCTCGGATTTGAATTCAACAACCTCGTTCGCTACGGCACTGCCGTGAATCTGGCGGATCCTGTCGACGGTGCTTGCGCTGGCTGGGGTCGAGATACTCACGCCAGAGTCACCGTGCTTGCGGCACGAGAAGGCGACACCAGAGCAGTGTACCGCATATCGACCGACCACATCGAGGATTTTGGCATATTCCTCACTTGCCGAGCGGAATGCTCTGCGTCTAGTGGGAACATTATAGAAAAGATCCTCGACCTTCGAGCCATGTTAACTTGTGATCTCGTGGTCAAGCATCGCAGTGAGCGGGCTGACTTACAGTGATTTGGGTTCCTCCGCGTCCAGCTGTCGCCTTGGGCGCAGAGCTCTGGCCTGGTTTGGCTGGGATCAACTTCCCATCCCCATAATGTGCTCGCCAAGCGCAGCTAGATCCAGCAGTCTTGGTCGTGACAGTCAGGTGTGCGATGTGACTGATACTGGCCAGAGCTTCACCTCGAAAGCCGTAGGTTCCAATGGAAGTAAGATCCTCAAACTCTTTAAGTTTGGAGGTAGTGAATCTCTCACAGAGAATCGGAAGATCATCTCGCTGAAAATTGTTAGTGACATCTGCTCCAGTGGCAATTTGGAAGAGGTTGATTCATTCATTAAAGGGAAAAACATACATCGATTCCATGACCGTTGTCAGTAATCTGGAGTAGTTTCAGTCCTCCTTCCTTGATCAGGACTTCAATTGTTGTAGAGCCAGCATCGACGGCGTTTTCAATGAGCTCTTTGAGCGCATGCATCGGAGCGACGATGATCTCCCCAGCAGCGATTTTATTTACGACATCGGGGTCCAAAGCCTGAGTGTGATTCAATATTTGTTCCGGTAGTATAGATGGGACCCATGCACAGCGCGATTACTTACCTTAATCTTCTTTGGCCTAGGGGGTTCCTGACTCTCGGTCTCCTCCACTGCACGCTTGGTGCCACGTTGATCAAGTGTATCAATATCCATATTGTCTTCCATGATCAAATCCTCGATCTCAAAGAGATACTCGCAAGTGAACGGATCACGTCGCGTTGGAGAAAAGGTGAAGATCCGATAAGGCGATAAGAGAGCCTGGGGCGTCATTGCTTGTGGGGACTACCAATTGTTTTGTCCGCTGCATTCTCTCCAAAGATGTAAAAAGCATTGTTTCTCTATATTTATTTGTCGCTCCAATGATCTAAAGAACTTCAAAAACTCCACAGTGATTGGGTTTGGCATCTACAGGTGTACAGTATGGCGCCCGCAAAGATGCCCCTTCGCGCCGATGAAGAGATGGGCAAGAAAGATGACGACCACCGACCAATTGATACGCGCTTTCGACCTCTACGACACAGGTTAATTTCCCGCCCTCGTCGAATTATCGTCGCCTTAGTAGCACTTGTGCTCGTCTATGAATTCTTCAAGCATATGCCGACGGACCTAGCACCCGCCGTTGAACGATACAATCCCGCGATGGCTAAGCTGCGAGAAGAAACACTGTCCAAATTGACCAGCCCAGACCAAGTTCCGACTGTTTTCGAGTCAGAGCAGGCACCCCATGCCACAATATCGAGGCCGGACCAGAAAGAGGAAGGTTATGACGGGAAAGTCATATTCCCAGAGTTGGAGCGCTCTTTTCCTCGGTACAAACATTCGCAAAAGTCAAGCAGCCGTGCGGTATTATTCGCTGGATCCAGTCTGCGCAGTGTGTCAGATATTTTGCCGCTAGCCTGTCGTATGGCTGATCAACCATTTAACTATGTGCATTTCATCTTGATGGGAAAGGAAGAACTATCAGTTCGAAAAATCAAGGAAGTCAATGGGATCGGAGAAAAGGAATGCCCGTTGATATGGCACGGTATGGCTCGAGTATATCATGATTTTCGAGCTTTTGCTGACTTGGCTGTGAATGACAGTGGGCCGGCCTGACCTAGCACCCATATCTATCGATGCTCGCATGGAGCGATCTGTAAAAGGAGCATTGCAGCTCGTACAGGCATACATCAGCCCTGATGTGATAATAACGCAGGGGAAAGATTGGGAGGATTCATTCTTCTGGAACGGGGTCGAAGCCCATGTTCGAGGAAGTAGTACTCCTCACATCGCTCTCCCCGCCGCTTCAAAGGATATCATGTGGATAGCTTCGCTGGATAGTGTAGCACTTCGGAGTAAGCTATCTTATTCTCTTTTTTCTTGTCTGTCGAGTTTAAAGGTACTGACTAACACGCCTATAATAGCGTGGAATAAAATCCATATTGAAATGGTTGTCCATGCACCTTCCGAGTCCGGGTCTTTGATCAGACTTGTGAAATCATTGGACGCGGCTGATTATTTAGGATCTGCCCCTAGCTTAACAATAGAGCTCCCCCAGCAGGTGGATCCTCAACTGCTTCGGTTTTTACAGACACCAGGGGCGTTGTCCCAGCTTGCAAGCCGGATCACTCTTCGGCGGCGTATCCAGCCACACCACATGGATCCTGCAGAATCATCTCTTCGAACAGTGGAATCGTTCTACCCATTAGACTCAGAGACGAGCCATTTGCTCATACTTTCTCCGCAGGCAGAGCTAGGCCCGTCGTTCTATCATTACCTGAAGTACTCCGTTTTGAACTACAAACAGTCTGCCCGCGCCAAACGCGTGTTTTCGAAATTGATTGGAATTTCACTCGAACTTCCATCTTCCAACCCTACTACGCATAGCAAATTGTTCGCCCCACCGAATATGATAGTGAAGGAGAACAGCAATTTCGTTCCTTCATTCCTTTGGCAAGCCCCAAACAGCAATGCAGCTTTGTACTTTGGCGATGCCTGGGCGAATTTCCACTCCTTTCTCTCCCTTCGTCTATCAACCCCAGAATCTGCGACGGCCCCGCACACCAAGTCGATATCGGAGAAATACCCGGCTTTCATGGAACACCTACTTGAGATGATCCGCGCAAAAGGGTACTATCTCCTCTACCCATCTTTCCCGGGTATCAAGTCCTCTGCGATTGCCACCGTACATGACGAGTTATACGAGCGCCCTGAAGAGTTTGGGGACAGCAAGGACGATTCCACCACTAGCTTGGGATCTGAAGAGCAACCGCTAAATCACGCATCAAACATCATGCCCTTGCTTGACCTGTTCTCCTCAGGTCTTCCAGACCTTGATGCTTTGCCTCTGCTTGGACATGGCGGAGAGCAGATAGATGCCGCAACATATACCAAGCAAACTGAGGAATACCTGCAGCAGTTTCGTACTCACTATGGAGGATGTACTAGTGACAAGAACATTGATAATCCTTCGGCAGACCTATTTTGCCTTCAAGAATGAATATTTGGTGATAACTCAGCTGGATCTGACTAGCCAAGTTGTTAAAGTACTAGTTTATCTATTGAATTATAAAACAATTCTAGTTAATAACCCACGTGTCCATATATAAAAGCCATCATCTAGTTAAAAACGAACGATTGGAATCTAGTAGAAGTGCAAGCAATGACGGAGGGCTTGGCGCCTTACGTAATCCAATTCCGGAGCTGCACCAGACCGAGCTCTGCCTCCCCATCACCAGCTTACAATCGACTGGCATCACTCATTACTTGCAGATTTCCATCTATTTCTGCATTGTAACAGTATTTTCTACTCGCTTGTTTGATACCTTTCTCAGTCTCACATCCTCGATTTCCTCCGACTTGGTCCCCAGCTACCATCAGAAATGGCCAACGAGGGCGAACGGCCAACCTCCGCCGACAAGGGCAAGGGCAAGGTTGATGATATCCGCGAGTCCAATGACAAGAACGCCGAGAAGGGCGACAAAGCGCCAGTAGACGCAAAGAAGGATGGAGAGTCTAAAGATGGTACGTTACGATAACACTTTCCCCAGAAATATCCAAACAGAGCATATGATTACTCTGAAAGGCCTTGGAAGCAGCTCAACTGACACCAAAGTGTTGCAGAGGAGCTCAGTGAAGAGGACCAGCAATTGAAGAGCGAACTTGAGATGCTTGTTGAGCGGTTAAAGGTACAATAACTCCTGTTCACTGCGCATAGCACAATAACGCTAATCCTCTATTTTCCTCTCAACAGGAACCCGATACATCGCTCTACGGGCCCGCACTGGACGCGATTAAGACATTCATCAAAACATCTACATCCTCCATGACTGCTGTTCCTAAGCCTCTCAAGTTCCTCCGACCTCATTACGATGACCTGAGCGGGCTATATGAGAGTTGGGTCGCAGGTCCCGTGAAGGTAGGTTCTTCAGCACTGCTGACATTTGGGATTATCTAATAAGTTTTGTTCAGAACTCTTTGGCCGATATGATGTCGGTGCTCGGTATGACCTACGGAGACGAAGAGAAGTTGGAAACCATCAAATATCGCCTTTTGGCCAAATCCGAGGACCTTGGATCTTGGGGTCACGAATATGTCCGCCACCTCGCACTGGAAATCGGCCAGCTATATCAGAGCCGGTTGAACGCAGACCAGGATACCCAAGATCTAGTCGACCTCGCCTTGTCGCTGGTGCCTTACTTCCTGAGCCACAATGCTGAAGCCGATGCGGTCGATCTCATGAGCGAACTGGAGATTATCGAGGATATTCCTCAGTTTGTTGACGAGAACACATATGCCCGAGTCTGCTTGTATATGGTCAGCATGGTCAACCTCCTCACTTATCCAGAAGATCAGCAATTCCTCCGAACCGCCCACGAGATCTACGTCCGCTACAACAAGCTCTCGCAAGCGATCGTGCTCGCTATCCGTCTCAACGATACCGAGCTCATCAAGAGTGACATTCACGCCACAACAGACATGTCTCTGAAGAAACAAATGGCCTTCCTTGTCGCCCGTCAGCAAATCTGGCTTGACCTCCCGGCCGAAGATGAGGAGGGAGAGGCTTTGGCTGATTGCCTCAACAACACCTCGATTCCGAAGCACTTCAAATCCCTGGGCAAGGAACTCAACATTCTCGAGCCCAAGATGCCAGAGGATATTTACAAGACACACCTTGAGAGCAGCCGCGGCGCCGGTCTCACCAACCTTGACTCGGCACGACACAACTTGGCCAGCGCCTTCGTCAACTCGTTTGCTAACGCTGGCTTTGGTAACGATAAGATGATGCTGGTCGAGGGCGATAAGGGCCCATGGGTCTGGAAGACTAAGGAGGATGGTATGCTTTCGACAACGGCGTCGCTCGGTATGCTGTTGCACCGTGATGTTGAGGATGGCCTTGATAAGATCGACAAGTTCACCTATGCGCAGGAAGACCAAGTGAAGGCGGGTGCATTGCTTGCCATTGGTATTCTGAACTCCGGTGTCCGACTTGACTCTGATCCCGCTCTTGCCCTCCTCAGTGACCCCGAAAACCTCGAGGCCAAGAATGTGCCGATGAGAGTTGCGTCTATTATGGGTCTTGGTCTGGCATATGCCGGTTCCAACAAAGAAGAACTTCTTGAGGTCCTTCTTCCCATTGTGGAAGATGCTTCACTAGACATGCAGCTTTCAGCTATGGCAGCAGTCTCGCTGGGTCTCATCTTTGTTGGTTCATCGAACCACCAAGTCAGCGAGGCCATTGCCACCACATTGATGGACGAGGAGCGCCAGAAGCAGCTCAAGGACAAGTGGACAAGGTTCATGGCTCTTGGTCTGGCTCTCCTTTACTTCGGCCGCCAAGAAGAGGTTGATGTCATTCTTGATATTCTTAAGGCTGTTGACCACCCAATGGCTAAGCCCACTTCCGTCCTTGCCTCAGTATGCGCCTGGGCAGGTACTGGTACAGTGCTTAAGTTGCAAGAGCTCCTTCATATCTGCAATGACATCATTGAAGAGAAAGAAGAGAACAAGGGCGATGAACTTGTTCAGTCATATGCTGTTCTTGGTCTCTCCCTCATTGCTATGGGCGAGGATGTTGGTCAGGACATGATTCTCCGCCAGTTCGGCCATCTTATGCACTACGGCTCCAGCAACATTCGCCGGGCAGTTCCCCTAGCTATGGGATTGATCAGCCCTAGTAACCCCCAGATGAAGGTTTACGACACACTATCCCGGTACAGTCACGACAATGACAACGAAGTTGCTATTAATGCCATCTTCGCCATGGGTCTCTGTGGTGCTGGTACCAACAATGCCCGTCTTGCACAGCTTCTCCGACAATTAGCCAGTTACTACCACCGCGACCAGAACTCACTGTTCATGGTTCGCATCGCCCAAGGTCTCCTTCACATGGGCAAGGGTACTATGACTCTCAACCCCTTCCACACCGACCGACAAGTCCTCTCTCGTGTCTCAGCAGCAGGATTGCTCACTGTGCTTGTATCTCTTATTGATGCCAAGCAATTCATCCTCGCTGAACACCACTACCTCCTCTACTTCCTCATCACCGCCATGTTCCCCCGCTTCCTTATAACCCTCGATGAGGACCTTGAGCCCCTCACTGTCAACGTCCGCGTTGGACAGGCCGTGGACGTGGTCGGCCAGGCTGGTCGTCCAAAGACTATCACCGGCTGGCAGACCCAGAGCACGCCAGTGCTTTTGGCTCACGGTGAGAGAGCTGAGCTTGAGGATGAGCAGTACATCCCCCTGAGTAGTACTCTTGAGGGTCTGGTTATCTTGCGTAAGGTATGTTTGCGTCCTTTCTTTAATCCCCGGCAGCCTGTACTAACCACTGCTCTAGAACCCGGACTATGAAAGCCCTGAATAAGCGAAACTAGATATTCCCCGATTTTCATCCATTGCTCGCAACCAGTGAGACTCGTATATTGGTCGGGTTATCGTTGGATCTAATGTATTCAGAACGAAATGAGGAATAGCATGGATTTGTTTTACAGTTATATTTGTCTGGACTGCTGAGACTGCTCGGATCTATGGGTAGACTGCATCACTTGGTCCTCAACGGCGTTGGGCCTTTCTGTACGAGTAGATACCTGGAGCTTTGATTCAGCTGCATACACTCTACTTCCATTTTTATTACAAAAAAGTCATCGCGCTAGTATGTAAATTCCTTTTGAAAAGTTGAGGCTGAAGCTGCTATCAAGGTTCTCATCCGAGATAGGAAATAGGGCTTAGGGCTAGGTTCTTATCACTTTTTTCCTTCGCCGCATGGTACAGCGCAACAATTTGCCTCGAAGCTCTGGTGCTCAACAAATCAATATTGGGAAATAATAAGAAGGCAGAAAGTTCTTCTATATCCTAGCAACCATGAAGCTCGACGCCAAGGCTATTCGTTACCTCACCTCTGAGGATTTCCGTGTTCTTGCTGGGGTACTTATCGGCCCCTCTCTTCATCTTACCCCGCGACGTCCATGATATTAATGTCGCGCATCGATACTATGCTAATAGAGAATGTTGGATATAGGTTGAAGCCGGAAGTCGTAACCATGAGGTCGTTCCAACGCCGCTGATTTCGCAGCTTTCGGGTCTCCGGGGCGGCAGCGGAGTTAATCGCGCAATTTCCAACCTAGCAAAGATCAATTTGATTGCGAAGGTGAAGAACGCAAAGTGTACGCATCGATATATATTTCTGTCCGTTCATGATATCGCTAACACAGTTATTACATCTACAGATGACGGCTATCGACTCGCATACGGAGGATTGGATTATCTTGCGCTGAACGCGCACCAGAAGTCAAAGGTCATCTACTCAGTCGGCAACCAGATTGGCGTGGGCAAGGAATCAGATATTATCGTGGTGGCAGACAGCACCGGATCGCAGCGCATTATGAAGATTCACCGTCTCGGCCGTATCTCTTTCCGAACCGTCAAGACAAACCGCGACTACCTACGACACCGCAGCGCAGCTTCCTGGATGTATATGTCACGATTGGCAGCTATGAAAGAGTTTGCTTTCATGAAAGCACTGCGCGAGAACGGGTTCGCCGTCCCCGAGCCCATTTCCCAGAACCGACACACCATCGTCATGGAGCTGATTGATGCCTTCCCTCTGCGTCAGATCGCCAAGGTCGCTGATCCGGCTAAGCTGTACTCGGAGCTTATGAACATGATCCTGGAACTTGCGCGATTTGGTCTCATCCACGGTGATTTCAACGAGTTCAACATCCTTATCAAGGAACTGCCGAATCCTGATGCGAAGGGTAAAGCTCCGGCTACCGAGGAAGAGGCGGATGAGAATCTGACACTGGTACCGGTTCTCATTGATTTCCCGCAGATGGTATCCGTTGACCACGTCAATGCTGAGATGTACTTCGACCGCGATGTTGAATGTATTAAGCGGTACTTCAAGCGCAAGTTCAAGTTCGTGAGCGATTCGAAGGGTCCCACTTTCTCCGAAGCCAGGAAGAAGCTTTTGAAGAACCCTGGCAAGCGTTTGGATATTGAGGTCGAAGCCTCAGGATTCTCGCGCAAGATGGCCAAGGAACTTGAGCTGTACATGAAAGAGGTGGGAGCTACTGGAGATGGCGAGGGCTCTAAGGACAGCGACAACGAAGAAGAGGGTGATTCGGAATATGACGAAGAATCTGGATCCGAGGAAGACGAACACAATGACAGCGCCGAGGAGAACAAGAATTCCGAGGATGTCGATGACAGCACGCAACGACTAGAAGAACTTCGAGTCTCGGAATCATCGGCGCAGTAAAAGCAAATGATTTTGGGCTTTGTTTAATGACCAGTTACGATGATTCAAGCATGTAATATACATATGTAGGTTTCAAAATTTCCTATCAAACCAATAGATGACTTCCAAAATACCCAAATGAGAGTTTCAGTTCCCTTCATCCCCGGGATAGTCCCTCAAACAACATATATAATAAAGAAGAATCCACTTGTGATTCAAAATTTTATTTAATTCGCTCTGCCTCCAATTTAAACGCCAGGAATGAGCATTGCGTCGTTCAAGGTTTGCATATACTTCGCGGTCACATGACCATATCGGCCAACGCAGTTTTGATGCGAGATCCGAACACCTCCAACTCTCAGATACCTCAACCCAACAACAAAATGGTCCGTCTCAGCAATATACAAGGCAAGGTCTTGCGCCGCCTGAAAGAACAAGCAGGCACGAAAGAAGTGAAGAAATACAGATCCACAGAGGTCGTCGGAAAGCCGGTGTACCTGTATGTTAATCAAAAATTCCCAGAACGCCATATCAATCCAACCCACACTACCACCAATGCTAGACCGGCACAATTGCATACTCCCACAAATCTACCAAAAGAATTCGGCTAACTGATCGCCCGAACAGGCCTCAATTCCGCATCGCTCTCGTCCGAACCCCCAACCTCTCCTCGAAATATGCTCAATTCCGCGTCCCCCTCAACTTCAACAAGTTCGATCTCCGCAGCTACCTATACAATCTCTATGGTGTCGCTGTCCTCGGTATCCGCAGTTATGTCCAGGCACAAGGACTCACACGCATCACGCGCGACGGCAAGGGGTACGGCCCATGGCGCCGACCTAAGTCGCAGAAGCGCATGACTGTCGAGTTGAAAGAGCCTTTCGCGTGGCCCGAGGAGCCCAAGGATCTCACCCCGTATGCACCCCCTACCCTACCTTTCATATCTGCCTCTTTGCCATCTTGCAATTCCTTCATTGCATTTTTCTTTCCATGCACACGTGCACTCCGACACAGTGAATCAATAGCCATATACCATATACCATATACTAACATGCTCTCAACAGCTGGGAACACGAAGGCTGGGAGAAGGCCGAGCTCTGGCAGCAGCAGCAACAAGACAAGGAGAACCCGAAGCGCAACTCTGGCGAAGAGCCCGACCACGAGCTGCGCGCCGCCTACAAGGAGCAGGCTAAGGCTTTGCTCGAGAAGAAGGAGACCTGGAGACCAACCTGGAAGGCTGTGGGTCTTGAGCCCCATGAGGCTGCGAAGAAGGCCAGCTACTTCCCTGCTACTACGCTGCCGGCTTGGTATGCTAAGCAACGGAAAGGCGGGCCGAAATAAATACATGTGTAGTTTTGATGGGTTCTGCATTGTTGGGTTTTCCTTTTCGGAATATCGGTGTTTCTTGTTCTAGGTCCCTTTGGACTGGACTTGTGTATTATACTCTTGGGTAGATTGTATACATTTTGACTTGGCGTCTCACCTTTTTGTCATGGTTTATATTCTGGATCTGTAAGTGGAGAAGTGTAATCGAAAATCTGTGGTGCATGGTGCCTAGAAATTTCATAAACATCTTGGAGTGAATGTATTGCGCTGCAATGATATTAGTATATAATGAGCCTCTATATACTCACGGTTACAAAGGAGCTAAGCATACACTCGGAAGAAAGTGAAGAAAGACCCGGGAAAAGACTAATCGAGAAAGAACACATAGGATGTGTAAGGAAAGAATGGATGCAATGAAGTATATTGGAGAGTATCGCCAGACTTTCTGGACAAAACATAGCATTGAGAATTCAATATATTGAGTTGAGATATAGACACAGAAATATTCACAGATAAACACATTCAGAACAAGCTGATTACGTACAAGTCACTGGGGCCTGGGCGGCTATTATCACGCTATGCAAAAACGAAGGTATGGGGGATCAAAATGCTAGAACAAAAGGGAAGGTAACGCTGGACTTGGACAAGAACTGTCTACAAACGGCTCTCGACGAAGTTCATCTGGTGCTGACCTGGCCACTGGGCATCGGGCCAGATCTGACGAAGGCCTTCCCAAATATGCCTGCAAACTAGACGTTAGTAATGAAAATAGAGGATGCATAAACGGGAAAGTAGCTCACTTGACATAAACGATCTCCAGGCCGTCCTTGACCTCTTGCGGGACCTCCTTGACATCCTTGCGGTTGTGATCCGGAAGCAAGACGGTCTTGACGCCCGCGCGGTGAGCACCGATCAGCTTCTCTTTGATGCCGCCAACGGGCATCACCCGGCCACGGAGGGAGACTTCGCCGGTCATGGCAATCTGCGGTGGGACAGGTTTGTTGCTGAAAAGGGAGATCAGTGCAACAGTGTGCGCAAGACCGGCAGACGGACCGTCCTTGGGAATGGCGCCGGAGGGGCAGTGGACATGCAGGCTGCGGCTCTTCATGATGTCCTCGTTGGGATCATGAGTGAGACCGAGCTCGAAGGAGTGCGCCTTAACCCAGGTGAGGGCTACTTCGACGGATTCCTTGAGCACGTCACCAAGCTTACCCGTTAGTTGGACGCGTCCGTTGCCGGGCATGTCTGCCACTTCAATGAACAAGATGCTGCCCTGACCACCGGTCGAGTAGGCGACAAGACCAGTGACTACACCTGGACGGCCGTGCTTCTCGGCAATCTCTTCCTCGAAACGCTCAATTCCCAGGATTTCCTCCAGGTCATCGACAGATACAACAGGGTTGTAGTCATCTAGACGGTCAGCGTCTCCCGCATCGGCATATTGAACGGCCTTGTGGCGACAGATAGAACCAATTTCTCGCTCCAGATTACGGACGCCGGATTCACGGGTGTACGAGGTAATTGTCTTGTCAATCACTTCATCAGACAGGCTGACCTGTCCGTCAGTGAGTCCATTGGATCGGATCTGCTTAGGGATCAGGTGCTGTTTAGCGATGTGGCGCTTCTCGACGGTTGTGTATCCAGACAGGGAGATAGTCTCCATACGGTCCAGCAGAGGTGCGGGGATTGTCTCCAAAGAATTGGCAGTGGCGAGGAACAAAACCTTGCTCAGGTCGATGGGAATGTTGATATAGTGATCAGTAAAGGTGTGGTTCTGTTCAGGGTCCAAGACCTCCAGCATAGCAGCCGATGGATCGCCTTGGAAATTGGAGCCGCCGACCTTATCAATCTCATCAAGCAGAATGACAGGGTTGGCAACACCAACCTTCTTCAGACCATTCACAACCAAACCAGGCATGGCTGCAACATAGGTGCGTCGATGACCGCGGATTTCGGCCTCGTCTCTGACACCACCAAGGGAGATACGGTGAAACTTGCGGCCCAGTGAAGCAGCAACCGACCTTGCCAGACTGGTCTTACCGGTTCCAGGAGGTCCGACAAGAAGCAGGATGGGAGACTTGTCGGTCATACGCTTGGACTTAAGGAGTTCAAGTCGAGTCTCCAATGCAACTCGGTCAGACTCGGACAGCAAAGGCACATCCTTTTCGACATCGCCAATAGCAGAGGAGTCCAGATCCCTGGACAGTCCTCCAATCTGGCGTTCAACATCGAGATTGGTGTTCTGCTTCAAGCGCAGAACAGCCAGGTATTCTAGCAGTCTCTTTTTGATACGCTCTAAGCCATAGTGGTCCTCGTCTAGCTGCTTTCTAGCTCGCTTCAATGTGTCTGGGCCGAGCTGGTCCTCGGTCACCTTGGTCCATGGAATCTCTGATAGGTTTTCCAGGTAAGTACGGCAAACACCGTATTCGGCATTTGCGGGGTTCATCTTGCGCAGGCGTTTCAATTCCTTGTCCGCGACCTTCCGGGCCTCAGGACTAAGTTGTGCATCTTGTAGCTTCTGCTGCAGCTCATCTACCTCGTTAGGTTCCTTATCGTCATCGTTGCCGCGCCCGGCTGTTCCAGGGGGTGTCATGCCGGACAACCCCGAAATCGCGCGCTTTGCGAGAAGCTCACGTTCACGGGGATCGATTTGGCTGATATCCATCCCAGAGGAAGGGAAGGAGGTAGAGCCAACCGATGTGACCTTGACGCTACTCTTGATATGTTGTGCCTGCCTGGCGAGGATTTCAACAACTCTGCCGAGACGTTCCTTAACATCCAGCGAGGCAAGTATACGCAGCTTCTCTTCAAAGCTTGCGTCCGAAACATCGGCCATGAAGTCCGCCAGTTTCCCTGCCTGTGCCAATTCTGTCTTGGAGATATAGAGCTCGAACTTGCGGGCAACGAGTGGCGAAAGGCGAGACGAGGCTGCCGACAGTAGCGAGGAGAGGCGAAGGAGGGTGAGAAGCTCTCTGGAGAGTTGTCTTAATTGTTGGAATAGATCAGCTACTTCTGCGTCACTTTGGCCGGAGTCTATAATACCGGAGTCAGTGTGATCAGCCACGTTCTCCTGAAATTTCGCCTGTGGGTACTCACTACTTTCATCATGATAGAACACATCAGCTTCAAAGTATGGCCGTTCTCGCAGAATCTTCTTAATTGAGAACCTTTGCTGGCCTTGAACAAGCAGGAAGGGCTCGGAGTAGGCCCTGCGCTGAACTCCGATGACCTTGCCTACGGTTCCGTAGCGGAAGAGATCCTCTTTTCGTGCCTGGCCAGCATCAATCGAGTCGTATTCTTCCTTCCGGTCTGAATCGGAGTCAGTACCTTCGAGAAGCTGCTGACCATCACGACTCAGGAACGGTGAGCTCAGCGGAACACATCCGAAGGTTATGGTATTGGTGTCTCGCTTCGAAGGCTTGTCGACAAGTGATGAAAGAAGATTGGCAAGGTCAGGACGGTTGGAGACAGGAATGCGTAGGGTCACGCCGGGAAGCAGTACCGAACCCTTGGCGAGAGGGACGAGAGGGATCTTGGTTCGACCGTTGGACCCCATCTTGTACCCTGAATATGATGATGATGGGGAACCGAAGAGAATTGAGAATTGATAATGTTAATATGGATATATGGGGTGGGGAGAATGGGGGAATGGGGGAATGTGGAGGGATGAGGGGAAGAGTTATAGGAGAGTAGGGGAAGTTCCAGAATCGCGTAGATGGGAAGTCCGGGGGAGATAAGGGCGAGTCGCATGTCTTGCAATCTCCACGTCCCGAAGCCGAGGTACTTTTTGTAGATCATCATACCCTTTCTCATGTATCCTTAAATAGTTAATTATGTATAATCATACATGAGTGCATCCAATCTAAAGTTGATCTTGATCTTCTTATTTTCTTGCTACCTACATTTATAAAATATACACATGCATACATAGTCCATAATATATCTTTGTAGCCCTCTTCCCTTCGAATCTGCACTAATCTGCGTGTCCCGTGATCGGAGTAGTGGAGTCCACTTTTTGCCTTCGCCTGACTTTCCTCGGCTGTTTGATACTCTGCAAGCAGTAGCTCTATTACTTGATTGCGTTGGTATTATTACCATATATTTCTCCGTCGACATTACAATATACGCCTTGCATTTCAAAATGGCTTCCCCCGCCCCCGCCACCACCCAAACAACCACCGAAAAGACCTCACAAAGGACCTTTACCATTGGCACCCGCAAATCCAAATTGGCCCTCCTCCAAACAGACCTCGTCCTTGAGGCATTGAAGAAGGCCTTCCCGCAATATGAATATAAGATATTTTCCAAGGAAACAGCTGGTGACCTGAACACCACTATTGCCCTGCGAGATTTCACCTCCAAGAACCTGTGGACAGAGGAATTGGAGGAATTGATGATCAGCGGACAGGTTGATCTTATCGTACACTCTCTGAAAGGTTCGATAAATCCCTCAGGCTCGAACAAATTTCAAATGCTGACGTCTTTCCACATCTTATCAGATGTCCCCACTACTCTCCCCTCCTCCTGCATGCTAGGTCCGAGCATGCCCCGCGAAGATAGCAGGGATGTCCTCGTGGTGAAACACGGCCTGTCATACAAGAGTCTCTCCGAAATCCCCGCTGGCTCCGTAGTGGGAACCTCCTCTATCCGTCGCACAGCACAATTGGCCCGGAAATACCCCCACCTAAAAGTCCAGGATGTCCGCGGTAACATCGGTACCCGTCTTGCTAAGCTGGACGCCGAAGATAGTCCTTACACTTGCATCATCCTTGCGGCTGCGGGTCTCCTGCGCCTAGACCTGGCGGATCGTATCACGCAATATCTTGACTCCAAGAGCAGTGGCATGCTCTACGCTGTTGGCCAGGGTGCTCTTGGTATTGAGATCCGCAAGGGGGATAAGGTGCTGGAGGATATGCTGAACTCCATTGGCGATCAAGATACCACTTTCTCTGTCTTGGCTGAGCGGAGCCTTCTGCGCACTCTCGAGGGTGGCTGCAGCGCCCCTCTCGGAGTTGAGACCAAATGGATCCAAAGCCCGGAGGGAAAGAAGCTGCTGCACATGCACTCTGTCGTTGTCAGTGTCGATGGCAAGGACTGTGCTCGGGTTGAGTTGGAAGCTGATGTTACTTCCGCTGAAACTGCTGAGGCTTTCGGTATCACTGTCGCCAAAGCCCTGGTGGCTGATGGTGCCGGTGCCATTCTCGAGACAATCCAACAGAACAAAACCAAGGAGAACGCCTCTGCTTGATTTAAAATGGTTGGATAGATATTAAATGTGACTAGGCAGATATGGCCTGCTCGAAAATGAAGTTAACGAGTTTTTTTGTCTCGCACATTCGCCACGAGTTTCGTCTATGTGTGTATATGTGTTTCTAGTAGCTTTATTCATTCAGATCCCAAATCAGCCACGGTTGAGCGTATTTCCAGCTCCCTTTTGGTTGGCTTCCGTGTACTCGTCCCAAGCTCTGGCCTTCATCGTTTCTGCATCAGCAATGTTGTGATCATCCTCATCAACTTCGGGTTTAATGCCGGACTTTTCTCCTCCTCCCGTAATGACATTGCCTCTCCTGTGCTCCTCATCGAGATATTCCTCGATTGTCATCGTGGGAAGGTTATGACCAGAACGGAAGACACCTTGTTGCATTTCTGCGCGCCGGCCCAACAACGTAAAGGGCTGCATAGGCTTTCCTTGTTTGTTTAAGATCGGGCCGCCTCTTCCCCCTCTCAAAAGCTGCGACATTGAAGGGTCCAAGCGGTCAGAATAATTTAATCCTCCAATATTACTTCGCTGTCTAGGGTCGTCGGTCGGTGGTGGCCGAGGTGGAGCGTTGCGCATGGCTGAAAGTATCGACAATTCCTGGACCAGAAGATCTAGTGCTTGGAAGGTCTGATGAGTGTAAAGCTGGATCTCTGCTAGGTAAAGTGATCGGGTGTCGTCGTCATCACTTTGCAGTCGAGCTTCGTTGCGAGCGAAGTACTTCAGAGAGTGTTAGCAAGGGTGCGAAATATTTTCACAGGAGCGCAGCATACCTCCAATTTTTGCTTGAGCTCTTTTTCTTCTCTAAATCGCGTGACCTTGATCTCTCGTCGAGCAGCAGCATCATTGGACGGCGCAAGAGTAAACGAGGTCGGATTTGCCATATATTGCTCAAAGAGCTTCTTATCTCCTGCGGGCAGCAACAAATATTCATCCAAGCGCAATAAATATTTCTCATATTGTTCCAGAGCGCGTCGAAGGACTGATTCGCGGTCTGAGGTGGCACCTCGCTGCATGAGCTCGGCTAGATGGTATTCCAGTGTCATATACCTGGATAGTATTATTAGCCTGACGGGCATTACAATAGATGGCTTGGAGCAACGTACTGGAGATCACCGGTGGAGACATCTTCCAGCAATTCATTGGAGCTGAATAGGGACAAAATGCTCACTTGTCGCTGGCATTCTTGGAACTTGGCAATTGCCGCATTCACCTCGTCTCGATAGGTCTCGGTGTTGGTGTCGCCCCGCGATCCTAACTTATCTTTTTGCTCCTTTGCAGAGGCAAAAAGGGATCGGAGATTCTGTGGTTCCTCCATTTCGGATGTTGAAAGTAGAAGGCAAGATTTAAGTGATGGTATGAAGTGCCCCCGCGATCTGAGTCTGAGTTTTGGAATTGCGATAAGCCCGATAAGGCTAAGCTTCATCTTATCTCAATTTAGGGCACCTTCTACTTCATGCAGGGTCCCCTACTATATAAATGGATCTCTCTTTCATTTTTCCTATTACTTTCAATGCTATAGGTCCTGAGGTTCAAATACTATGAGCTCTGTTAGCTTTTTGCTCTATGGCTTGTGTTCAACTACTGTTGTGGGATGTTTGCCTTCCATGAGAATACATACATATACATGGTGCACGAAGTCTACCCTCACAGCTGGGTGTTTGTATTCCACATTTCCTCCTTTTTGCTTCCGTTCTTTTCTCTCTCTCTCTCTCCGTATTCAATTACTACATATGTACATATGGCTATATGGACCCTCAATCCATAGTGTATATATATCTATCTATGCATCTATGCTTCTAACATGGTACATATTTCTTCAGCGAAATGGCCCAAAAGAAACCACATATATCCCCTAATCGAAAAGTAAGTATCAGCGAGAAGCAGGTACTCTCACTCACTGGTGTGTTGCCTGGTGTATGAGCGCTTGACTTCATTCAAGCACTCCTTCTTTCATTCTTTCTTTACTTTCATTCATTTCTCACTCTGAGTAGCAGAGCTACCTCTTTACTATCAGCGTTCTATTTACCCTCATTAGGTACTTTGATCACTTCCCGAGATCTAGAACCACTTGCAGAAGATTCCACCCGAAAGACAGCACATAACCATTTTAAACCACAAACCACTAACTAAGCAAGGTTGCTCTTGCCATACAAGTGGACACGAGTCCACCCAACAGACAGAAGAAACGAAAGAACCCTTCCAAGTTTGACACGTCTCACTATTAGGCAAGTTTGCTTTTAAGGGCTCCAGGCTTGCTGCTATCACGCATGTTTGCTCTTGTCATCTGAGACGCTGCTTCCTCTCAGATGTTTAATCGATTTTGATATCTCACTTTCGATAGTTGTTCTATTTTCGACCCTTTAAATTTATCTTCTTACATCAAACCTCTCAATATGTCTGCGGAACAAGACGATAGTGACTCTGAAATATCTGGCGACGAGCTAATTGTCTCGAGATTGGGAAAATCCCAGCAATATCGTGCCCACAATGCTGTATTCCGTGCACTGTGAGTCCCTTCACTCTAAGCTTCAAGATCCATTCTGGCTCACTTTGAAACTGACAGACTAGAACAACACGTCATCAATGAGCCTAACAATGGTCTCAACCCCGACACCGACCACGATGGAACACAAAAAGAGAGACCAGATGCGGATGTCTCCGTGGCTCGTTTGATCATGAATCAAGACATGGGAGGCGGAGCGCTGGATCCTCGAGAGTACCAGATTGAGCTTTTTGAGAGAGCAAAAATTGAGAATACAATTGCCGTTCTCGACACAGGCTCTGGTAAAACCTTGGTTGCTGTGCTTTTGCTGAAGTACATCCTTGAACGTGAATTAAGAGATCGTGCAGAGGGCACAAAGCCGCGAGTGGCTTTTTTCCTGGTAGACAGTGTGACCTTGGTCTTTCAGCAGGCCGCAGTGCTACGGAACAATCTCAACCAAAAGGTGGCTCACTTCTACGGCGACCTGCATTCTGACCTTTGGGACCATGAAGCGTGGGGCAAACATCTTGCGAAGTACATGGTGATAGTTTGCACGGCCGAAATTCTGAACCAAGCTCTACTGAATGGGCATGTCAAGATGGATGGTATCAATCTTTTGATATTTGACGAAGCTCACCATGCTAAAAAGGAACATCCTTATGCACGGTATTGGCTCAATTTTATGATTTCACTAAGAAAATAAAGCTTACATTCACATAGAATCATCCGAGACATATATCTAAATGCCGATCCAAACAATCGTCCAAGAATCTTCGGCATGACAGCCTCTCCAGTTGATGCTAGATGTGATATAGCAGAAGCAGCAACGTGAGTATACAGGGAACCCTAAAAGAGTGAGAATTCCGCTAACTTGGAAAAGACAGCTAGAAACACTCATGAATTGTCGCATTGCAACAACATCAAATCTTTCCCTTCTGCGGGATTTTGTGAGTAAGCCAAAAGAAGAGGAATGGGTCTACGAGAAGCTCCCACCACCCTTCGGGACCGAGTTGTATGAAACCCTGAAGACCAGATATGGAGATATATCAGCCCTTGAAAGTGTCTTCGCATTTGCATGGATTGCAAGCTCGGAGTTAGGGGCATGGTGTGCAAATCAGGTATGGGCTTTGGCCCTGGCGGATGATGTGCTGCCCAAACTCAAGGGCAGTATTACCAGAGATGCTGATACTGACCCTCAATCCTCTGAAAGAGCCATCAATGACAACAAACGCGTCAACGAAGCCAGCAAGCTCATCAAAGATTACATTGAAGACCAGGTTTTTGAGCCAAGAGGTGTTAGCTCGAAGGTTGAGCTTTTATTGAGAAAGCTGAGTGAGCAGTTCATCAAGTGGCCAAACACCAAGTGTATTGTGTTCACAGAGCGGCGCAACACTGCCAAAGTTTTGCTACAGCTCTGCAACAGCCAAGGCATTCCAAATCTTCGTCCCGATGTGTTAGTCGGTGTACGCAAAGGTGATGCCATGGGAATGAATACCACATTCCGTGGGCAGTTTCTTGCCTTGATCAAGTTCCGAAAAGGCGAATTCAATTGTCTGGTAAGTTTTATCGAGAACAGAAAGTGTCTAGAGCAATGTCTAATTTCCCCCAGTTTGCAACATCGGTGGCAGAGGAAGGACTCGACATACCCGACTGCAACCTGGTAGTGAGGTTCGTCACTATTTCATCTGATAACTTAGACTAACAAGCTGACATGTAACAGGTTCAATCTTTATGACACAGTCATTCAATATGTCCAAAGTCGAGGCCGTGCTAGGCATGCCGATTCTGTGGTAAGAATTCCATTCCCGCGAAATATGATTGAAATTCTCACAATTGACATTGACAGTATGCCACAATGGTTGAAGAACGTAATCGACATCACACGATGAGAATGCAGGAAGTCAAACGAGCTGAGGTATATAAAAATCTACAGGTATTACTGAGCTTTACTGACTTCACTATCTAAGTATCTTATGAGGAACTTTTGCAACCTACTCCCGGAGGATAGAAAGCTATACGGAAGCGAGAACGACTTGGAGGAGATCATCCAAGGCCAAGCAAGAAAAAGATCATACACCGTCGCCACAACTGGGGCTAAATTGACGTATCGCCATGCAAGAGATGTCCTCCAACGGTTTGCTAGCTCCCTGGTCAGAGAGAATATTTCAACGTACAAAATTTCATAGCAAAGCTAACAATATATAATTTTAGCAATATGAAAACGAATTCTCAGCCCGGGTCACGTACATTGTTATTCCTGAAAACGATTCAATTAGCTGTGAAATTATTTTACCAGAGAAGTCGCCAATTCGAGGAATTATCGGATGCCCCGAATCAAAGAAATCAGTCGCTAAGCAGTCCGCTGCTTTTGACGCTTGTCTATTGCTCCGGAAAAACAACCTACTGGATGATCACTTCAACTCCATATATCACAAGCGCCTACCGGCAATGCGCAATGCCAAGTTAGCCATCACTTCGAAGAAAACAGACCAGTACAGCATGCGTAACAAGCCTTCCATCTGGTGTACCCAGCAAGGAACCATCCCAACAATTCTCTATGCGACAGTCATTTGTCTTCTTCCATCTGCCCCCATAAGCCGGGTCCCTGGAACTGTTATGTTGCTGACACGAACAAAGCTTCCAAACTTCCCAGCGTTTCCCGTATTCTTAGAGGATGATGTCGAAACCACTGTTCAGTGCCTGTGCATCGAGGGATTCTTAGAGGTTACTACTGCAGACCTAGAACTTCTCACTGATTTCACCCTGGCGGTTTTCCACGACGTGTTTCACAAGACGTATACGCCCGTTGCGGAGCAATTTCCTTATTGGCTTGCACCTGTTCAAAAGACAGTTCCAAAACCGAGACCTGGAAAACCATTCAATTACTTTGATATGGTTGACTGGGAAATTCTACAATATGTTCAAGATAATCCCCAAATCTCATGGTCTGCGGAAATGGAACCCGAATCTCTACTGAATCGGTTCTTCTACGATGACTGGAATGGAAAGTATCGATACTATCCGATTGCCATCGATCCCAATCTTCGTCCTTCTGACCCACCTCCATACTATGCACCACCACGAAAATGGGATGAAGACATCATGAATTGGTCTCTGAGTCGGAGCAAAAACTCACGTTCCAGATTTTTCAATGGCTGCGCCTGGAGTCAGCCAGTTATTCAGGCAGATCTGATCGGTCTTCGAAGAAACTTTCTCGACAAAGCATCTGAGGACGAAAATGCTGAAAATGCGAGATGCGCCATCTGCCCCCAGGCCTTAGCAATTTCCCCGGTTAGTTAAGCTTCATTTGCGACAGTTATCCTTTCAAATGCTGATATATGACAGATCCCCTTACCTATAGTCACAGCGTGTTTCGTCTTTCCAGCAATCATAACTCGACTGGAATCTTATTTGATTGTCCAGGAGGGATGTGAAATGCTGGGTCTTGACATCAGGCTTGATTATGCCTTAGAGGCGTTTACAAAAGACTCCGACAATACTGAAGAGCATCGAAGTCTTCAAATTCACGTTCAGCGAGGAATGGGAAAGAATTATGAGCGTCTCGAATTGCTGGGTGACTCCGTTCTCAAGCTCGCAACCTCAATCTCACTCTTCGCTCAAAATCCCGATGATGATGAATACGATTACCACGTCAGCAGAATGTGTCTGATCTGCAACAAAAACCTATTCGTCAACGCCAACAAACGGAATCTTTACGAGTACATCCGTAGTCGTGGTTTTTCTCGGTACGTTTATTTTCTTGAATTATATATATATATTCGTCAGAAATTGTCAACTGACACTTGTTCACAGACATTTGTGGTATCCCCCAGGTCTGTCTCTGGAAATTGGACGGGATCATGCGAAGTTCATCGCCAGCCAGGGCCAACATGCTCTTGCCGAGAAGACTATTGCAGACGTTTGCGAGGCCTTGATAGGGGCATCTCTGTTCACGAGAAACGATGAAAATCGGTTTGATATGGCTGTCAAAGCTGTGTCAGTCTTTGTGAGCCATGGAAACCACACGGCCACTTCATGGAAAGACTACATATCTGCTTACGACCTTCCCTCGTATCAGGCCAAGACAGCTGATGGATGGGAAGAAAATCTGGCTGGGCAGATGGAGTGGTTGGGTTACAAGTTCAAGTACCCTCGTCTTCTGCGGTCAGCATTCACACATCCATCTTATCCATCGGCATGGTCTAAGGTGCCTTGTTATCAACGACTCGAATTCTTAGGTGATGCGCTCTTGGACATGACGTGTGTGGAGCATTTGTTCCGTCGTTTCCCTGATCGAGATCCGCAGTGGTTGACGGAGCACAAGGTGAGCATATTCTGTCATTTCACGTGTTTGGAGCTTGACTAATGAGCAATAGATGGCTATGGTATCTAACAAATTCCTTGGGGCATTAACTGTGAAACTCGGGCTTCACAAGCATCTTCAACATTTCAGTAGCTCCCTGATTGCCCAAATCGCCAATTATGCAGAGGAGCTGCAGGCAGCAGAGAGAGAGAGCAAAGGGGAGGTAGACTATTGGCTTTCGACAACAGATTCGCCGAAGGCAAGTAGCCTCCAACACCAATATAATCCGCTGACTTACATAAGGACAATTTAGTGTCTCCCTGATATGCTCGAAGCTTACCTTGGTGCCATATTCGTGGATTCCGGGTTTGATTTTACGATGATTGAGGCTTTCTTCGAAAAGCATATCCTGTCATTCTTCCACGATATGTCTATTTATGACACATTCGCCAACAGACATCCCACGGTAAAAACACATTTTCATTGTTCTCTTCTCCTTACTCATCATGGGAGTTTGAAACTAATCTGTGATAGACGTATCTTCATAGTCAATTGACCCTGACCTACCGGTGCACCGACTACTGCTTGAAATCTGGAGCAATTGCAGCCGTTGATGGTGAACTTCCCAAGGCGCTTTCGGCGGTCATTGTTCACGGCAGAACTATTGCTAAAGCAATTGCATCCTCCAGTCGATATGCTAAAGTGAAAGCTAGTACGAGAGCATTGACTGTTCTTGAGGGGCTGACTCGTGCTGAATTCCGCGAGCAATTCCATTGCGATTGCCAGGGTGACAAGGCGGAAGAGATGGATATTGGAACTGCAGTCTGACGAACGGGGTGTGGGCGCGGAACTAGAAGTGATGGTGGTAGTGGTTCTGGGTGGGAATCTCGAGGAATACTAGATTGCAGGAGAGAATGAGATTGGGTGTCTTTCGCGTTGAATACCATGTGGCTGTTGCTTGTTCTGTTGTAGATAACGACTATTTTTATAATTAGGTCGCTTGTAATAGCTTTTGCTTACCGCTATTTGTCAACACGCTCCATCCATCCCATTTACTTATGTGGGGAGAGTCTGCAAAACGGGCTGAAGATAGAGCATTCATGTAGGCGTCTGGAATACAGGTAGTGTGAATTGTGTAACAGAAAGATGGGATGTTTCTATTTATGCCTACTGAAGCAGGCTTATTGCAATAGAGTGAAAATTATATAGATCTAAACCCTGGGAACAGACCCAAGGAGCCATGGGTGCGTTGTCGCATGGGGGTCGTGTCACGCTTAGCCCGATAAGGAATAGTGTGCATCCCCTGAAGTAAAGCAAACACGCCGCGTATCTTTTGATCTTTAATCAAAGGACGACAGAGGCCTGGAATTTATCTTTGCTCCCTCATTTTTTAATCTATTAGACTTGTTTTCTTCATTTCAAGCCATTGTCTTAATCTTTTGCTCTGTTCATTCGGCCCAACTCCACTCGACGCGATCTCCGTCAACAATTCACAAACACCGACCCGATCACTACTCATTTCACTCTCCACCACCGATGAACCCTTCGAATTTGTCATAATATCAGAACTATGGAGGTCGCCACAGTAGGCGTGCCAAATGGCGTCTCAACGCCAGAGACAGCACTTCTGGTTGATTCCGGCGCAGTCATCCAGTACCTGTCGGAGGTGCTCCAGGTAACACTAGGAGCCCAGAAGTCTGAGCTGGAAGCCGCTGGAAGTTTGCTTTCAGAATCAAAATATAGCGAGACACTTCAGCGGTGTACGCGATTCGCTTCCGAATCACAAGTCGCGCTCTACGTGCAGAAGGACATAGTGGCCGCGGAGGAAACAAACGGTGAAGCGGAGGACCAAGGTAGGCGAAACCCCGGCTTTCGAGGGGTTGACCAATACAATGCTGACTATATCGATGCAGAACCGGCAGTGCAATATGCCTACAATATCTCCGCCGATATTTCGTCCGCTCCCACCACCGTGGCCTCGGTGGCTATCATTAAACGGCCGGTTCCAATCGACCCGACTCTTCCGATGGCGTCGCAGGTTCAAGTTATGAACCTTCCTGGTCCGGCATCTCTCAACAATGCCCCAGCTCAACAGGGTAACTCTATGCACTACCAAATCCTACACCTGTTGCTACACCATGGTCTCAGCCCTTACTTCGAAGCCTACACTCGGAGCCAGGAGACGGCTGTCGGCACGAAATCGAAGACGGACACCGAGGCAAAGACCGGCATTCCAGGCACCAGGAAGAAGATTGCAGATCTGGAGCTGGGGTTCATGCACCTCCAGCAGAATGTGGAAATTCCAGCTTTGAACCTACCTCTTCATGAGGTGGTACAAGCTGCGCTGAAGGATGCAGAGACTCGTGGTATTAAGCCGTCGGTTGAGTTGATTCCGTCGACGGTGCTCGAGAGCAGCGCTTTCACAAACAGCATCCAGAACGTTGTAAATGGTTGGATTCGGTCAATCCAGACGATCACCAAGATGTCTCGCGATCCGGATAGCGAATCGGCCTCCCCCGAAGTCAACTTTTGGCTGTCCATGGAATCTGCTCTGGAGGGAATTGACGCCCAGTTGAAAAGCGAGGGTGTTCTGTTGACTATGGACATTCTCCGTCATGCGAAACGGTATCAAGCGACCCTCAGTTTCGTTGCGGATACTGGCCTCAAGGATGCCACTGAATTGGTGCAGAAATATAACCAGCTGATGCGCGACTTCCCTCTTGATGAGCTGTTGTCTGCCACTTCTCTACAGAAGGTTCAGGAATCGTTGAATTTGATTTTCACACACCTGAATAAGAAGCTGAAGATTTGCCCGTACCCCATTAAGCGTGCACTTTCACTCGTTGAAGCTATCTCAGGCGATCTTGATAAGAAAATCCATGAGCTCATTACTGGACGGACCATTTTGCATTTGGATTACCGCGAGTTTAGGTCATTGATGAAGATCACGCAAGCGATCTGGCGCACTTGGGATGAGAACCTGAAGGAATTCACCAATGTTGCGCGTGAATCAACACGTCGTCGTAATGAGAAGTTCATCCCAATCAAAATAAATGCTAGACACGACAAGACCCGTGAGCGCGTGAAGTATGTCGACACATTCAGGATCAACCATGAGCAGCTTCAGAAAACCATCATCAACGTCCTCGGACCGAATAACTCATCCACTGAGAAAGCCGCCGGTGTGGACGCCGATGGCGCTGTGATCGTCGAGGAGATCGGTGATGTCGATGCTGTGGAGGAAGTTGCCCATGCCTACGATGCTCTTAAGAACGTCGACGTGCTGGACGTTTCTCCGAACGGATCTCTGACCTGGGAGCAGGCCGAGATTGCCTACAGCGAGCGCACTTCTCGGGTCGAGAATTCAATCATTGCCCGTTTACGTGACCGTCTGGCGACAGCCAAGAATGCCAATGAGATGTTCCGGGTATTCTCCAAGTTCAACGCTCTTCTCGTCCGCCCTAAGATCCGTGGTGCGATTGGCGAATATCAAACTCAGCTGATTGATAATGTCAAGCGAGACATTAGTGCCTTGCATGAACGCTTTAAGCAGCAGTACGGTAACTCCGAAGCTCATGCCATGGCACAATTGCGGGATCTTCCACCTGTCTCGGGCGCCATCATTTGGACTCGCCAGATCGAACACCAACTCGATGGTTACATGCGCAAGGTCGAGAATGTGCTGGGTGAAAATTGGCATCTGCACGCCGAGGGACAGAAGTTGCAGACTGAGGGCAACTTGTTCCGTAAGAAGCTCGACACACGACCTGTCTTTGAGTCCTGGCTCTGGGATGTTCAACGACGCCATTTCACAATCGCTGGACGGTTGTTTAATGTTGTTCGTAACCGCTCGGCCGGAAATACGTTAGAGCTGGCAGTCAACTTCGATGCTCAGATCATTGCTCTCTTTAAAGAAGTCCGAAACCTTATCTGGCTTAATTTCCAGGTTCCTCACGCTGTCAGCAACATTTCCAAGGAGGCGAAACGTGTTTACCCCTACGCCATTAGTTTGATGGAGAGTGTCCGCACTTTTCTGCAAACGAGTCGCCAGATTACTTCGATGGTTGATGTCAACATACTACTCAATGGTTACATGAACGATGTACAAATTATGGTTGCCAAAGGTATCCCTCTTCGATGGGAGTCTTTCGTTCATTCTTATGAGCTACATGTCAAGCAATCGGCATTGGCAAATGGTGCTATCGAGTCATCTTTGCCTGGCCGCTCTGAGAGTAAGCATGTGCAGTTTGTCCGAGAGTTTGCATACTCAGCATCCACGCTCCAGAGTAAAACCACAGTGCTTGACTCTATCAACGAGAACATCCAGAAGTCGATTCACGAATTGAAGACATGCCCGTACGACGCCTCTGCTTTCAAGCAACGCCTGGATAGCATTCAGGTCGCCGTCGATAAACTCAACCTCGAAAACTATGTGAACTTGGGCTACTGGGTTGCTAAGCTCAATGGAAGCATTGAGGCAATTCTCCGCGATCGACTCCATCGTGCCGTGCGCGAGTGGATTGCCACCTTCCAGGATTCCAAGAATGAAAATTCGACCACTTCTCATCAAGTTGAACCGGAAGCATCGAGCCACAAAATCCAATTCCCCGAACTTCTCCACGAAATCTTGATGAAGAACCAAGTTCTGCACCTGGATCCACCCCTTCAGTTCGCGCGCGCAAGTTGGTTCTCGCACTTTGACACTTGGCTCGGCGTGATTTGCAACCTTGAAAAGATCAAGCCCTCACGTTACCAAATCTCCATTAGCGTGCAGAACGTTCGCCAGTCCGAAGTTTGCTTCTCTAATCTCCCGCAACATTGTACCAACGAGCTGAATCAAGTCTATGAAGTTGTCGAAACAAGACTGAAGGGTGTTTCCGAATATGTCGACAAGTGGCTGCAGTTCCAATCACTTTGGGACTTGCGGTCTGAGCAAGTGTACGACATCCTGGGTGACGACCTGTCGCAGTGGCTCCAGCTTCTTCAGGAGATCAGAAAGAGTCGGGCTACATTCGACACCTCTGAAGTCAGCCGCGGATTTGGCAACATCCGAATTGACTACGAGCAGGTGCAAACCAAGGTGAATGCCAAATACGACCAATGGCAGCATGAAATCCTCGTGAAGTTCGGTTCCAAGTTAGGTGGCCGTATGAGGGAGGTTCATTCCGAGATCGCTGCTGCCCGCCGAGACTTGGAAGGCCAGACTCTGGAGGCCTCCTCCACTGCGCACGCCGTGTCGTTCATCACTATTGTTCAGCAGTGCAAGCGCAAGACCCGTGTCTGGGAACCCGAGGTTGATCTTTTCCGCCAAGGTCAAACTACACTTGCCCGCCAACGCTACCAATTCCCTTATGATTGGCTTCACGTTGAAAATGTTGATGGCGAGTGGGCAGCTCTCAATGAGTTGCTGAGCCGCAAGAGCAAGATTGTCCACGAACAGACTGAAGGCTTGCGCGCGAAGATTACTGCCGAAGACCGAGTTATCGCTGACAAGATTGCCGAGGTCATCACTCAGTGGAATGATGAGAAGCCTGTTTCTGGCACCATTCCTCCCGAGGAAGCCTCCCGCACCCTCAGCTCGTTCCAGTCTCGTCTCGAGTCTCTTCAGTCCGAATTTGAGATGGTATCCAAGGCTAAAGAAGCTCTGGATCTTCCTGCAAGCGCTGAGTCATCACTTCCTCCAATCCTCGAGGAGGTCCAGGACTTCATGTCCGTTTGGGCTGCTTTGGCCACTATCTGGAACAGTCTCAACGACCTTCGGGACGGACTTTGGACCAGTGTACAGCCCAGAAAGCTCCGACAGGCTCTTGACAATTTAATCAAGATGACCAAGGAGATGCCCAGTCGAATGAGACAATATGCTGCCTTTGAGCACATCCAGAATGTCCTTCGCCAGTTATTGAAGGTGAACTCCCTCCTTTCAGACATGAAATCCGAAGCGGTCAAGGAACGACACTGGCACAAGATCTACAAAAGCCTCAGACCCGATAAGCGCTTCTCTCTTGTCTCTTTGACCCTTGGTGATGTTTGGGACTTGCAACTTGCATCAAGCGATGCTATCATCCGTTCTATCATCGCCCAGGCTCAAGGTGAGATGGCATTAGAGGAATTCTTGAAGTCAGTTCGCGAGACTTGGCAGAACTATTCTCTCGAGCTAGTGCATTACCAGAACAAGTGCCGTCTCATCAAAGGTTTCGACGATCTGTTTGCCAAGTGCAGCGAGAACTTAAACTCACTCCAAGCCATGAGACATTCTCCATACTACAAAGAGTTCGAAGAGGAAGCTAATGCCTGGGAGGATAAGTTGAACCGAGTCCACGTTCTTTTCGATGTCTGGATTGATGTTCAGCGACAATGGGTCTACCTGGAAGGCGTTTTCACCGGAAACGCCGATATTAAGCATCTGCTTCCCTTGGAATCCGGCCGTTTCCAGAATATCAACTCTGAATTCTTTGCTGTGATGAAGAAGGTTTACAAATCGCCATTCGTTCTGGATGTCCTTGCCATCGTTGACGTCCAAAAGTCACTGGAGAGACTGGCCGATTTGCTGAACAAGATTCAGAAGGCTCTCGGCGAATACCTGGAACGAGAGCGTGTCTCCTTCCCCCGTTTCTACTTCGTTGGTGATGAGGATCTTTTGGAGATCATTGGTAACAGCAATGACATCTTCCGCGTCGCCAAGCATTTCAAGAAGATGTTTGCTGGTATGTCGGGACTCGTCATGGATGATGATAATAACATCGTCGCGTTCACCTCCAAGGAAGGCGAAGAAGTTCGCTTGAAGAAGGAAGTCAACCTTCTCAAGACTCCTAGAATCAACGACTGGCTCTCGGCGCTAGAGAACAACATGAAGTTGACTTTGGCAGAGCTTCTTGGCGAGGCCGTTGAGCAATTTGATACTCTGTACAATGCCACCGATGTCGACCGAACTGCCTTCAGCGACTTCCTCGCAAACTATCCTGCTCAGATCGTGGTCCTTGCTAGCCAAGTTGTCTGGACCAACTCTGTGCAGAAGTCCCTGGAGGATGGAGGCGAAAGCCTTCCTGCACTGCATGGTGCTGAGATTCGGATTCTCGAGTTGCTTGCTGCAACGGTACTTGGCGAACTCGACCCTATCACCCGCAAGAAGTGTGAACACATGATCACAGAGTTTGTGCATCAACGTGACTGCATCTCCAAGCTCATTAGTCTCAATGCCACGACACCCACACACTACCACTGGCTTCTCCAGATGCGCTATGTTTACCAGTCAGAGGGCGACTTCTTGCAGCGTCTGTATGTTCACATGGCAAATGCCAAGCTCAGCTACGGATTCGAGTACCTGGGTGTCCCTGAGCGTCTTGTTCGCACACCACTTACAGATCGTTGTTTCCTTACCCTCACTCAAGCCCTCTGTCAGCGACTGGGTGGTTCCCCTTACGGTCCTGCTGGTACTGGTAAGACTGAGTCTGTCAAAGCATTGGGTCTGCAACTTGGTCGCTTCACCCTTGTCTTTTGCTGTGATGACACATTTGATTTCCAAGCAATGGGTCGTATCTTCCTCGGTATCTGCCAAGTAGGTGCCTGGGGTTGCTTCGATGAGTTCAATCGTTTGGAGGAACGCATCTTGTCCGCGGTCTCTCAGCAGATCCAGAACATCCAAATTGGCCTGAAGAACAACAGCGACGGAGACAAGTCCCAAATCGATCTTGTTGGCAGACGACTTGCCGTAAACTCCAACACTGGAATCTTCATCACCATGAACCCGGGCTACGCTGGTCGTTCCAACCTACCAGACAATTTGAAGAAATTGTTCCGTAGTGTTGCTATGTCAAAGCCAGACAAAGAACTCATTGCTGAAGTCATGCTCTTCTCTCAAGGCTTCAAGCAAGCTAAGCCGCTGTCAAAGCAAACCGTCCCCTTCTTCGACCACTGTGCTTCACGTCTGTCCAAGCAGGCTCACTACGACTTTGGTTTGCGTGCTTTGAAGAGTGTACTCGTTAGCTCAGGAGGCCTCAAGCGAACTCGTCTTGCGAACTCTGGGGGGGACCTTGGGCCCGATGACGTTATTGAGCCTCAAATCATCGTGCAGAGTCTTCGAGAGACAATTGCACCCAAGCTTGTCCGCGAAGATGTAGAGACGATGATGGAAATCCAGGTGGAAGACTTCCCTGGCGTGGACTATGTGCCTGCCAACTTCGAGGCACTCACACAGGCTATCCGCGATATTGCTACTAAAGAGCAGCATCTTGTCGACAGTGAAATGTGGATCACCAAGGCGCTGCAGCTCTACCAGATTCAAATTATTCACCATGGTGTTATGATGGTTGGAAAATCAGGAGCTGGTAAATCCGCAGCTTGGAAGATTCTTCTCCAGGCAATGCAGCGCATTGAAGGTGTCGAGGGCGTCTTCCACATCATTGACTCCAAGGTCATGTCGAAGGAGGCTCTTTACGGTAACCTCGACAGCACCACCCGTGAATGGACGGACGGTCTATTCACTGGGATTTTGAGAAAGATCGTGGACAATCTCAGAGGCGAGGACAGCAAGCGCCACTGGATCGTCTTTGATGGCGACGTTGACCCTGAATGGGTTGAGAACTTGAACAGTGTATTGGATGACAACAAACTCCTAACACTTCCCAATGGAGAGCGTCTTAACTTGCCTCCAAACGTGCGCATCATGTTTGAAGTTGAAAGTTTGAAATATGCCACACTCGCTACAGTCAGTCGTTGTGGTATGGTGTGGTTCAACGCAGACACTGTTACTCCAACCATGATGATCTCCAACTATGTCGAAGGCCTCAGAACCAAGGTTTTCGAGGACTTGGATGAAGACAGCGTTCCTGCAGGAAGCGCAGCGATTCGGGCGCAGGATGCCCAAGACACTGTTGCCACTATACTTAAACAGTTCCTGGAGGTTGATGACCTGGTTCTCAAAGCTTTGGATGAAGCCAAAAAGTACAACCATATCATGGAGTTCACAGATATTCGCGCCCTCAACACGCTTTTTAGTCTGTTGAACAAGACCTGTCGCAATGTCCTAGAATACAATGCCCAACATCCGGACTTCCCTCTGGACCCTGAACAAATCGAGTCATATATCTCCAAGAAGCTTCTTCTTACATTGGTCTGGTCTCTCACGGGTGATTGTCCACTTGCTGACCGAAAGGCATTTGGACAATATATCACCGGAATGTCTACTATTGACCTTCCACCGGATGGCGAATCATCTCTGATCGATTACGATGTCACTCTTCCTAAATCTGAGTGGACCAGCTGGCAGTCACAGGTGCCCACAATCGACATCAACACACATTCCGTCACTCAAACTGACGTGATTATCCCCACGGTCGATACTGTCCGCCACGAGGATGTGCTATACTCATGGCTTGCTGAGCACAAACCCTTGCTGCTTTGTGGTCCTCCTGGATCCGGTAAGACCATGACGTTGTTCGCCGCGCTTAGGAAACTCCCCAACATGGAAGTTGTTGGTCTCAATTTCTCCAGTGCCACCACGCCTGATCTCTTGATCAAGACATTCGAGCAATACTGCGAGTACAAGAAAACTCTTAACGGTGTCGTGATGTCTCCCAACCAGATTGGTCGCTGGCTTGTCATCTTCTGTGATGAAATTAACCTTCCCGCCCCCGATCGCTACGGTACTCAGCGTGCTATTTCATTCCTGCGACAACTAGTTGAGCAGAATGGCTTCTGGAGGACAACTGATAAGACTTGGGTTACCCTGGATCGCATTCAGTTTGTTGGTGCTTGTAACCCTCCCACAGATGCTGGCCGTACGCCAATGGCTGAGAGATTCCTGCGTCATGCGCCACTAATCATGGTTGACTATCCTGGCGAGATTTCTCTCAATCAGATTTATGGGACGTTCAATTCTGCCGTTCTAAAGATCCTCCCATTGCTGCGTGGATACTCCGAGGCTCTCACTAAGGCCATGGTCCAATTCTACCTTGAATCTCAGGCCCGATTCACGCCTCAAATTCAACCCCACTACGTGTACTCACCCCGTGAACTTACTCGGTGGGTTCGCGGTCTCTACGAAGCTATCAAGCCGCTCGAAACCCTTTCTATTGAGGGTCTTATCCGCATTTGGGCACACGAGGCCTTGCGTCTGTTCCAAGACAGACTCGTTGATGAGGATGAGAGAGCATGGACCGCAGATGCCATTCGCCGGATTGCCTTGGAACATTTCCCCACGATTGACGACCAAGAAGCTCTAAAGGGCCCCATCCTGTTCTCCAACTGGCTGTCCAAGAACTATGTGCCAGTTGAACAGGAGAGATTGCGTGACTTCGTCAAGGCACGTCTGAGAACCTTCTGTGAGGAAGAGGTGGATGTTCCGCTTGTGCTGTTCAATGATGTCCTGGAACACGCCTTGCGTATTGACCGAGTCTTCCGCCAGCCTCAAGGTCATCTGATCCTCATCGGTGTGAGTGGAAGTGGAAAGACAACACTGTCTCGCTTCGTCGCCTGGATGAATGGTTTGAAGGTCTTCCAGATCAAGGTGCACGGAAAGTATTCATCGGAGGACTTCGATGATGATCTTCGAAGCGTACTCCGCCGAGCTGGATGTAAGGGTGAAAAGATTTGCTTCATCATGGACGAGTCCAACGTCCTTGACTCTGGCTTCCTGGAGCGCATGAACACCCTCCTTGCAAACGCAGAAGTCCCCGGTCTCTTCGAGGGGGATGAGTTCTCCTCGCTGATGACTGCCTGTAAAGAGGGTGCCCAACGTCAGGGTTTGCTTCTCGATTCGCAAGAGGAGCTTTACAAGTGGTTCACCCAACAGATTGTCAAGAACTTGCACGTTGTGTTCACCATGAACCCACCGGAGGAGGGTCTGTCTTCGAAGGCAGCCACCAGTCCTGCCTTGTTCAACCGTTGCGTGCTGAACTGGATGGGTGACTGGTCTGACCAAGCCCTGTTCCAAGTTGGTTCCGAGCTCACTCAATCGGTTGATTTGGACAAGCCCAACTTCGTCTCGCCCGATAGTATTCCAGTGGCCTACCGTGAGCTGTCTCTCCCAGCATCTCACCGAGATACCGTTATCAATTCCATGGTCTATATTCATCACTCATTGCATCGCTTCAACGGACGCCTCCAGAAGCAACAAGGCCGTGCCACTTTCCTCACTCCTCGCCATTATCTCGACTTTGTTGCGCAGTACGTTAGCCTATTCAACGAGAAGCGTGAGGATCTGGAGGAACAACAGCGTCATTTGAACATTGGTCTCGAGAAACTTCATGACACCGTGGACAAAGTCAGTGACCTGCGTGCCAGTCTTGCTCAAAAGAAGACACAGTTGGAGAAGAAGGATTTGGAAGCGAATGAGAAATTGCAGCGTATGGTTGCTGATCAGCAGGAGGCCGAACAGCGCAAGCACGTTTCATTGGAAGTGCAAGCTGCCTTGGAGATCCAAAACAAGGAAGTGAAAACTCGGAGGGAAGTTGTTCTACACGATCTGGCTCAGGCTGAACCCGCTGTCGAAGAAGCCCAGAAGAGTGTTAGCAACATCAAGCGTCAGCACCTCACCGAAGTCCGATCTATGGGTTCCCCTCCAGCCAGCGTTCGGCTTGCCCTGGAAGCCGTGTGCACCCTTCTTGGCCACACTGTTGACAGTTGGAAGACCATTCAAGGTCTGATTCGTCGTGATGACTTCATTGCTAGCATTGTTAACTACGACAATAAGAACCAAATGACACGCAAACACCGTGTCAAGATGCAAAACGAGTTCCTCTCGAAGGAGGACTTCACATACGAGCGAGTTAACCGCGCCAGTAAGGCTTGCGGTCCTCTAGTTCAGTGGGTTGAGGCCCAAGTTAATTACTCGGCAATTCTGGATCGTGTCGGCCCTCTCCGTGTGGAGGTTGACCAGCTTGAGGAACAGGCCCTGCAAACCAAAGCTGAAGCCCAGGCTATCGAAAATACCATCCGTGATCTCGAAAGCAGTATTGCTACCTACAAGGCTGAATACGCTGCACTCATCAGCGAGACGCAGGCGATCAAGACCGAGATGACTCGAGTCCAGTTCAAGGTCGACCGCAGTGTCCGTTTGCTTGATAGTCTGGCATCAGAACGTGAGCGCTGGGAAGAAGGCAGCAAGTCTTTCGAAACTCAAATCAGCACTCTCGTTGGCGATGTTCTTATTGCAGCAGCATTCCTTGCATACGCGGGTCTGTATGATCAGCAGTTCCGCAAGGCAATGACTGAGGACTGGGTTCACCAACTAGGAGCCTCTGGAATTGACTTCAAACCTCACAATCCCATTACGGAATACCTTTCCAATGCCGATGAGCGCCTGACCTGGCAAGAACATTCTCTTCCCGTTGACGACCTCTGTACAGAGAATGCCATCATCCTCAAGAGATTCAACAGATACCCCCTTATTGTGGACCCATCTGGCCGGATCACAGAATTCTTGCAGAAAGAGAGCAAAGAACGCAAGCTCACCGTTACAAGTTTCTTGGATGATTCCTTTGTCAAGCAATTGGAGAGCGCCTTGCGTTTCGGAAACCCCATTCTCATCCAGGATGCCGAGCACTTGGACCCCATTCTCAACCACGTTCTCAACAAGGAGTACCAGAAGACCGGTGGTCGTGTTCTCATCCAATTGGGCAGGCAAGAAATCGATTTCTCGCCATCCTTCAAGCTCTTCCTTTCGACTCGCGATCCGTCTGCCTCATTCCCTCCTGATATCTGCAGTCGCACCACATTCGTCAACTTCACTGTCACGCAGAGCAGCTTGCAAACGCAGTCACTGAATGACGTCCTGAAATTCGAGCGTCCCGATGTCGATGAGCGTCGTAACAACCTCGTCAAGATGCAGGGAGAGTTCAAGGTCCACCTTCGACAGCTTGAGAAGCGTCTTCTACAGGCTCTCAACGAGTCTCGTGGTAACATCCTTGACGACGACAACGTCATCGAAACTCTCGAGACCCTCAAAAAGGAAGCTGCTGAGATCTCCAAGAAGATGGAAGAGACTGAAGGTGTCATGGCCGAAGTGGACAGTGTTACGCAGAAGTACAGTATCATTGCCCGATCATGCAGTGCTGTGTTTGCGGTCCTGGAGCAACTTCATCACATCAATCACTTCTACCAATTCTCTCTCCAGTACTTTGTCGATATCTTCAACTCTGTTCTCTATCAGAACAAACGACTTGCACAAGAGAAGGATCATTCTGCACGAGTACAGATCATCATCCGGGATCTATTTATCAACACCTACCAACGAACTTCCCTGGGTCTCGTTCAAAAGGATCGCGTCACCCTTGCCATCCTCCTTGCTCAGGCTACTCCATTCCCCATGGACAGGACTCTTCTCGACCGCGTCTTGGATGAGGCAGTAAAGGGCACAGATCTTTCGACTACTGTAGATGCCCGCGACCAAGTGTTAGCCAAGCTGGCCAATATGTCCATCTTCAAGGAGCATCTTTCAAACATCACCCAAGAACAATGGGATCGCTTCTTCAACGAGGAGCTAGCAGAGAACTTTGTGCCACCCATTTGGGAAGAGAATGTCTCGCAACTCGACCAGCTCCTACGCTCTTTGTTACTTGTCAAGATTTGCCGCATGGATCGATTTGTACCGACCGCCGAGCGTTTCATCGTCGCCGTATTCGGCCGCGAGCTCTACGAAGGTGGCGCCGACTTGAAGGACGTGGTTGACCAAGTGACCGCAACACGGCCCATCGCCCTCAGCTCAAGCCCCGGCTTCGACGCCAGTTACAAGGTCGATGCCTTGGTCGAGTCTACTCGCGCAACCTGCGCAAACATCGCCATGGGTTCCAACGAAGGTCTCGAGAGCGCAGATAAAGCCATCAGCAACGCTGCCGCAGTCGGCAACTGGGTGCTTGTCAAGAACGTTCACTTGGCGCCTGCTTGGCTGCAAAGTCTTGAGAAGCGTCTGGACTCCCTCAAGCCACACCCGCAGTTCCGTCTCTTCTTGTCTATGGAGTCCAGCCCTAAGATCCCGGTCAATTTGATCCGAGCCTCGCGTGTGCTGATGTACGAACAGCCTGCGGGTGTGCGTGCCAACATGAAGGATTCTATTTCCTCGCTGAACGTGCGAGCAAGCAAGGCCCCCGTCGAGAAAGCTCGCGTCTACCTCCTGCTCTGCTTCTTGCACGCTGTGGTTCAAGAGCGACTCCGCTACGCGCCCAGCCTTGGATGGAAGGGTTTCTGGGAATTCAACGACAGCGACGTAAGCATCCCCGTACACTTTCACTGATTACAAAGAAACTAACATGAATTTCCTTTCCTAGTACGAATGCTCAGCCTACATCATCGACCACTGGGTCGATAGCGTCGCGCAGGGCCGTTCCAACGTTGCACCGCAGAAGATTCCATGGGAGGTGATCCGCACTCTTGTGGCAGAGATGTACGGCGGCAAGATCGACGACGCAGACGACTATCAGCAGCTCGAGACCCTGGTCAACAGCTTCCTGACCCCCGCCGCATTCGAAGACGACTACAAGCTCGTCTCGGGTGTCGAGAACGATGACCTCTTGACCCTCCCCGGCACTACTAGCATGCGCGACTTCGTTACCTGGGTCAATAAGCTTCCCGAGCGTGAACCACCCACTTACCTAGGTCTTCCAGCCAATGCGGAGAAACTCCTCTTGGTTGGCCATGGCCGGAAGATGATTTCTGATCTCTCGCGCGTTACGACGCTTCTCGATGAAGGGGAGCAGTTGATGGTTGACAACTGATCTGTACTGTACTTATTTTGGTTTTTCTTTTCTTGTGTGTTGTTCTACCGCACTCTTTGGGTTCGAGCTCTTCTGCTCTTTAGAGGTGTTGGCTTTTGGTTTACTGTTAGTGGGAGGGCTTTTACCCTGAATACCGCTGGCGGATTTGGTTTTCTGTTCAGAATCAATATGTACTGTATCCAACTTTGTCTTCTTTTGTACATTTTACCTTTCATTGCAAAGTTGTAATGTGTCCAATCTTTTCTGTACAACCACTTTGTACCTGATTTTTTACATACATATATGTACATTCTTTTCCTAAAAAGTCTTCGTTGAACGTTTTTTCACCCTTTCTACAACCAAAATACTTCGAAATATATGTAGTCAATAGCATTAAGTATCCTGTATACAGTCTGTGGATTATCTGGCCCGCACGAGGGAAGCAGTCACGTCGGTCCTCTAGACATAAATGTAGCATTACGAAAATCATCAACAATGAACGCCCACAAATCCCTTCGGGGAGAATGATGTCCTATGTACGTTGAGCACAAATTCCCTAGGAGATGAAAGTGGACTCGGAGAACATGGTTCCCTCCTCGGTGATCTCCTCGCCACCAATATTCAGCTTCAAGGAGAGCTTCTGCTGAGGCGAGTACTGTGCGAACGTTAGATGAAAGATTCAAAGACGATGATCATGACTAAATAAACGCCACATACCTGGAAGATGTAGGGCCTGGTACCGGCGACACTGCCAGCAATGCTCTTGATGAAGCCCGGCACCTCGGCCATCACGTCGATGCGATCCAGACGAGGGCCAAGAGCACCGTCGACTTGAGCGGTGAGCTCTTTGCCGTCAGTTGTCTTGCCGGTCCACTCCCACTTGATGGACTTGGGCGCAGGCCAGTCACTGCCCTCGTCTTGGCCGGTTTCTGTGTGCTCGACAGTGTTGGTGGCCCCGGCGTAGACGACTTCGCCGTCCTTGACGATACCGCCGACGTTAACCTTAGTAGAGCCGTAGGAGGGGGGAGTGGTGTACTCCATCATGACGGCGGAGTAAGTGGGGGTCTGGAAGTTGATGAAGTTCCAGCGAGCGGCTGGTGAGGTTGTTAATGCGGGATTCTTTCTATGTCAATATTTGTAAACGTCTGCTTACCTGCGTGGTGAGGCTTCATGCCCTGCAGAGCCATAATGAAGACACCACGACCGGTCAGGTCGTAAGTCTGGTCCTTGGTAGCGATGCTGCCCTCGACGGAGCAACGGGGCCAGAAGGCATGGCGCATGGAGCCCCAGGGGTTCTTGGGGTCGGTGCCGAAGTAGGAGGTTCCGTCCTTGCCGACAACGAAGCCAGGCGCGGTCTGGGTGAACTTGAGGTCTACATTGCTGCCGCTGTTGACGGTAGACTTGATGTTGTAGGCATTGCCCTCCTCGTTGAGGGTCAGGGACAAGTTGTCAGCACCGAAGGAGGTCATGCTCTCGTCGAACATGAAGTTGGAGAGCGGGTCCGAGAACCACTTGTTGTCACCCTTTCCGCTGAGGTCGAAAATCTTCACGTTGAACTGGGCGGTGGTGTGGATTCCACTGTTGATGAAAAATCACGGTTAGTTATTCCTTATTTCTCTTTCGAGGCGTAAGCTTCCGTTCCAGGTAAGAATCCTTACACGATGTTGCTGTAGATAACTTGGACGAAAACTACAGTTCCGTTGTCGGCCATGATGTAGAAAGTCTGGGTCTCGACATTGGTATAGGAGTATGCGCGCCAGCGCAAGATCTCCTTGTCCACATTGGTGAAGGGAGTGGTCTCGGTCTGCTTCGCAACAGACTGGATAGCTTCCGGGCCATAGATAGGCTCTTCGGTGCCCACTACGGCGGAGAGACTGCCCGCATCGCATCAGTAATCACAGTATAAAAGAGTCGATCGGAAAATCGAGAACGTACGTCGATTTGAGCCAATTCATGATTTCGATGAGAAAATTATATGGAAAGAAGAAAAGAGGAAAAGGGAGGTGAAAGGGAGATCGACGCGGGGCGAGTCTAGTTCGGATGCAAATGGGGAGACCCTCCGAACTGAAAGAGAGATATGCAGCAAATAGTTTTTCTGATTTGAAAATGAAGATATTTAAGATCAAGTTACAATTATCCAGATCAAGAGATTAAGGAGATGGAAGTAAATTAACCAAAAAAGAATCAGTAAAAAACAGAACGAGACGAACAGCACATCTCAATGACGTTTGGGCGGCAGCTTGACTCGCTTGGCATCTCGACCAATCAGATCCATTCATCGTCTGTCCGAAAAACTTCAGTTCGTTTCCAATTCTCAGAGCCCCGACTACGGACTATACATTATCTCGCAAATTCACAATCATGGCTCGCAACGCACTTGCAAAGGATCAATTCGTTAAGCTCATTGTCGGAGCTGGACAAGCCAGTCCCAGTCCCCCAGTCGGTCCGGCCCTGGGAAGTAAAGGTGTCAAGTCTATGGATTTCTGCAAGGTCATTATTTACTATCCCCACGGAGTACCAAGAACCATGAGAATATTGACTCTTAATCAGGAATTCAACGCCCGCACATCTCACATCATCACTGGTGTTCCCATCCCCGCCCGTATCACTGTTCGTCCTGATCGATCCTTCGCCTTCGAACTCCGCACCCCAACCACCACCTACCTCCTCCTCAACGCCGCCAATGTCGAGCCCCGGAAGAACCGTCTACGCGGCGCGATGAACCCCGGCCACGAGGTCTGTGGCAAGGTGTCTCTCAAGCATGTCTATGAGATTGCCAAGATCAAGCACTCCGAGACGCGGTTATCGGGCTTGACTTTGGAGGGAGTGTGCAAGAGCGTTATTGCCCAAGCCAAGTCTATTGGTGTCAAGGTCGTCGCATGATATCCCTGCAGAGATGTAGACTGTATAATTATTGGACTGAACGTGTTGCGTTGGTTTGTCAGTGGCTCAAGGGGCCTGTTTGTTTATTTTATTTCCATTTGGCGTTCTCTGGGAAATCGGGGGCTTTTCTCCCCCTGCTGTACGATACCGATTCTTCTTTCCAGATTTGAGTGCATGCCATAGCGACTTGATAGCAATCCGAAGGACATTTTGCATGCCGGGATAGCCTGCGATCTACCTACGCGTACGTAGCCTACATATGCATGTACGTAAGTTCCAAGGTTGGACTGCCCAGGTGAATAATTACATATCCAATGGTACAGTACTTGTGACCTACCGCGCTAAACCCCCCATATAATAATAGACATGAGCCAATTACCTAGGTAACACCACGGGCTATTAACTAGATTGCGTCTTAAGAAGGCTGATATGACCCGTTGATCACACGCCCGTGTCACCGTTAGATGGCGGTCAGTCCCATTCTTTCCTTTTTCCGCCAAAAGGTTAACCAGAATATCCCTCAGATGTCCACGGGTCTATTTGGAGATCAGGGAATCGAGTAACCGGAGCGGAAAACTTGGCATGGTAGTACAGTCCTTGGCAAGAATGAAGGCCAAGGAAGCCATGTATACCCGCTCAGGTATAAATACATACCTACACATGTAATCTGTGTATTTATGAATGTATATAGTTGTAAAGATCTCACATGAATCACCATACTAGACAGCAGTGGAGTCAGATGCACTAGCCCAAAAAGGCAAACTTCTAGATCATTGACTTGCATCGAATGTGTGATGAGCTGTAGTCAGCCCGGGAAGTCGGCAACCTTGGAATACAACGTTATCAGTCCGCGGTCTTCCGAGTATGCATGGGAGTATACATACACGCATCAAGATATATATGTATATTTGGAAGACTGGTGGGAAATAATGTATCTGAATAAAAATATAATATAGAAATAGGTTAAACACAAGAATAAAAAGAAAGAACGTAGAAAAACAAGAAAAAGCGCAAATCTCTCTTCCCAGAAAGCAAGTTTGCCTGAGGCCCAGACCCCATTTCTCCCCTCTTCTCTCTGTCTTTCTCTCTATCTTCTTTCTGACTCTCTACTAATTTCTCGTACATCTCTTCTTTCTCTTTTTGCTCCGTCTTCTTGTGTTCGGTTTCTCCGTTGGCAAACCCATTACCCCCATTTTGTGTCCAGACGCGGTCGGAGGTCTCTGCTTATCGCATTCGGCGAAAAAAAAGTTAAAGGGAAGAGAAGAGATTTGCCTCTCCCGCCCTTCTTTTACATACAATTTCTCCATCAAATCACCAGTTCCGTGTACGTGAATTACGGCAAGCAGCGATCAGACTGAATATTCAGTTCGCGATCTTAAATCCTCATATTCGATCGTGAGGGGCATGTGTCCCACGTTTCCGAGCTTTCGAAGACTATGACGTCTGAATTGACTGAATCGACACCCACCACTTTAGGTATGTCTTGGCCTTGCCCATTTTTGATCTACATATTGTATCTGAATGGCTCTTTGTCAAATACCTATGACCTGTCTCTGACGGTCTCTGACGCATGTTTCTCCAGGATCATCAACGATGAACCCCGCCAAGATCTCCGGCCACGCCTCGGAGCCCGACTCCGACGCCAAGTCAAGAGCTCAGCCTTCCCAGGTCCGTTTCTCGTCCATCACGGAGGAGATTTCACCCTCTCGATCGGACTTGTCTCCTGTTCCCGAACAAGTACAACAACCTGAACAGATAATCCCTACCCAAGAGGAACAATTACGGTCGCTGGCTATGAGTCTGCAGGGCTCGCAGCTTCAGGAGTCGCGGGCGCGGAATTTCTCTTTTGAGCCTATGTCTCTTCCTTCCTCCAGGGTATGTAATCTATATTGATGATTGACGGTTGGAAAGTTCTCTCGGTTCTTTCAATTATATCACGCCTTTTAAGTGATATATATACCCTTTGCCCTCAATCCACACCGGATTTTTGTCGAACATCCCAGATAGCCTCCCTTAATTCAGCGTGGAAAAGCTGCGGCCATGCTAACTATACTCCAATTTAGGTCGCATCTCGAGATTCGAGTGTTCGCAGTGGAATGGGCACTGGTGCCTTCGCCTCTCCGCATGCTTCCCCTCCTGTTTCTGCTGTACAATCACCTCCTCTTACTCCCGCCGCAACCCACTCCCGAGAAGGCGGAACCAGCGACAACGCTTCCGTAAAATCCTTAACCCGACCTCATGTCCAGACAAATTTCACTCCCGACGCCTCACCCCCTGTCGGTGCAGTCGGCTCAACCGATGGGAACGGAACCTCTCGGCCCACTTCGAATTCATCTCGACCACCATCCACCGATCAGTTGCCCATCAGGCAAAGTGAAGGGTCAGACCGTGCACCTCATGCCATTCAACCCCCAAAGCACCGTGCACAATTTTTTATTGGCAATGACTCAGGTTCACTGGAAGAAAGCCCCCCTGCTACTCCAAGAGACTCTCTTACCCCGCCGGGGGCTATGACCCCTGTAGGCGAACCTAATGATCCCTATGCGCGCCACAAGCGCCCCCCTCAGTCCAAAAACCTTGCCCAGCTGGATCCCCGGTTCATCTTCAGTGGTCGGGATGTGAAACGTTCATTCCGCCCGGGAACTCCTCGGTCCGCCAGCGCGAACGATCTCAGCAAACCTAGCGACAAGCGCAGCATATTCGGAGGAAACAAGAAGGATCATGGAAATGACAAGAATCATCAGGGTCACCACCACCATGGCTCTATGTCTGAGCTGAAGCGATTCTTCAAGATGGGCCACCGCAACAAGCGATCCGAGTCCCCAACGTCTATGCCTAAGAAATCTAGTCGGGGATCTGGAAAGAACACCCCGTACCAGATGGCTCCCGACAACGTTCCGTTCGCCGATGATCACGGCTTGAATTCCAAGTATGGAAAGCTGGGTAAGGTACTTGGTTCTGGTGCCGGAGGTTCCGTGCGTCTTTTGAAGCGGAACAGTGACGGTGTCACCTTTGCAGTGAAGCAATTCCGAGATCGTCATAATTGGGAAACTCTGAAGGAATATTCCAAGAAAGTCACTGCCGAGTTCTGTATCGGTTCCACCTTGCATCACGGCAATATCATTGAGACCCTTGATATTATCCAGGAAGGAACTCACTGGTATGAAGTCATGGAGTATGCTCCATTTGATCTGTTCGCTATCGTCATGACGGGTAAAATGGGCAAAGAGGAGATCGCCTGCTCTTTCAAGCAGATTCTGAGCGGCGTCGCGTACATACATGGCATGGGTCTGGCCCATCGGGATTTGAAGCTGGATAACGTGGTAGTGAATGACCGCGGCATCATGAAGCTCATTGACTTCGGAAGTGCCGTGGTGTTCCGCTATCCGTTTGAAAATGATATTGTTTATGCCTCAGGTAAGCTTGCGATCTTTCCACTGACCCCCAGTTGACTGTTACTGACTGTACGATCAGGTATCGTTGGCTCAGACCCCTACCTTGCCCCCGAAGTGTACGACGAGAAGAAATATGATCCTCGCCCCACGGATGTTTGGTCGCTGGCGATCATCTTCTGTTGCATGACCTTGCGCAGGTTCCCATGGAAGCAACCGCGCATGACCGATAATTCATACAAACTGTTTGTTTCCAATCCTTCCCCAGGGACACCAGTAGCCGAATCCGACCCTCGGCGTCGGCCCAAATCCACCCCGGATCTTCCATCCCAGAGCCATGAGAACAAACATTTGACCCCCGCTCGAGTGGACCTTCCGATCAGTCTGGATCAGAGCAGAACGGCAACGGGAAGAAAGCAGAGTCCTCGCAGAGGGACGGTGATCGCTCACCCGATACCCCCACTGCTCAGAAGCAGATCAGCCACATTGGCGGTGAACGACCCACCCGAACGACCAGCAAAGAAGCACCACCTCTTCCCGGATCTTCCCAGTCTTCTGGCCAGCGCCAAGAAGTCATCAAAGGCCCGTGGCGTCTTCTCCGCATCTTGCCGCGGGAAAGTCGATATATCATCGGTCGCATGCTCAAGGTCAACCCGAAGGAGCGAGCGACCCTCGACGAGGTTCTTTCAGATGAATGGGTGCGAAGCATCCACACATGCCGGCAAGAAGCAAACGGTGAAGTCATCAACGACCCAGGCCACACCCACGTCCTCGAACCTCCATCTCAGAGCCCTGCAGTGGCCAGCAAAGGCGCCAAGGCCAAATAATATTCCTTCTTTGTACCAATTTTTTGTTTTGTTCATAATTCCTCTTGTCTTTCGAAATGGTGAGGCGGCACTTTCGACCTTTCCGTTCGCGTGTGTGATTGACTCCGTACGAGTCCTGTAGATGACTTTGGTAGCCTCCCTCGATTCCCTCTGTTGTCCGAGTTGATATCCCTGAAATAAACTTATGTGTCAAATCAACTGCACCCTTCCCTTCTATCTGAATACCTTATACCTTACCTGGGCTGTTTGATTTCGCTCGGTTGTGAGGTGGTTGTCGGAACTTATTTTTGGATTCACAGGATGGGGGAGAGCTTTCATTTTTGTAGATACACTTTAAACAGACATATTTTTTTCTTATAACTATATACATAAGTGTTCATCTTGTGCTTTATACGTTGTAGTCTTAGTCCTCGGTAACCTTGAGCAGCGAAGATCGGCGCTATCGGAATAGCCTGACCGCGGACAAACCCTGCGGAGCTCCGCAGAAGACTCCATTGCTCCGCATAGCGTTTTTGTTCGTCCTTGATGGTTATGCTTCTGCAATAGAACAGCCATATATCACACTCTCTTCATAAAATGGCCCAACAATCCGAAGGAGAGCCATTGGTCTCCTCCCTGTGGACTAGGTCATTGATCGTAAGCTTCTCGCCCCAAAGCTACCCAAAATCCAAAACTAACAAGCTCCAAGTCAGGAGCAATTGCAGGACTAACAGTCGACTGCTCCCTCTACCCACTGGACACGATCAAAACGCGCCTCCAAAAAGCTCGCGACCACACCGCGCCCCAAACCCGTGTCTCTCTCCGCCAAACCTTCCGCGGCATCTACGCCGGCCTCCCCTCCGTCCTTTTCGGCTCCGCCCCCTCCGCCGCGTCCTTCTTCATCGTCTACGATGGCGTCAAGCGCTCCCTTCTCCCCCAAACCCCCATAGCCAACCAATCTCAGCCCTCCCGCACGCACATAATTCTAACGCACAGCCTGGCCTCCTCCCTCGGCGAAATCGCCGCCTGCGCAGTCCGCGTCCCAACAGAAGTCATCAAGCAGCGCGCCCAAGCCGGCCTCTTCGGCGGCTCCAGCCTAGCCGCCCTAAAAGACATCCTGGCCCTGCGCCACGCAAGCCCCGGCCAAACCCACCCGCACGGCTACACGCAGGTCCTGCGCGAGCTCTACCGCGGCGCGGGCATCACCATCGCCCGCGAAATCCCCTTCACCGTCCTGCAGTTCACCATGTGGGAGTCGATGAAGGAGGCCTACGGCAAGCGGTACCTGCGCGGTGCGGAGTCGGCGGCTTCGATCGTTGAGACGCAGATCCCTGCGTCGACCAGCGCTATGTTTGGTAGTGTTGCTGGTGCTATTGCGGCGGGCTTGACGACCCCGTTGGATGTTATTAAGACGAGGGTTATGCTTGCGCGCCGGGAGGGCTCGGAGGCGCCTGTTAGGGTTAGGGAGATTGTGAGGGGAATTGCGCGGGAGGGACCTGGGGCTTTTTGGAGGGGGATTACGCCCCGGGTTACTTGGATTGGCATTGGGGGGGCTGTTTTCTTGGGAAGTTATCAGAAGGCTTCGAATACGCTTGAGGGGAGGAGGGAGAGGGCCGAGAAGGGTGTTTGAAGTTGTGGTGATTGTTGGGTTGTATATTATGTCTGTGTACTCCGTGGAGAGGTCGAATATAGATCGGGCGGCAGATTGTCATTTGCCAAATTTTATTTTATAGACTGACTCTATGTCTTGTTTCGATTGGGATCTTTGTTCGGCATGGTTTGGCATGGTTTTGCACTTCGCATCTGATTCAGTGACATTCTGGGACAGCTGAGACAGACAAAACGGGCTTGCAGACTTCAGGGCTTGGCTCGATGACTACATACATATGTAGACCTCGGGACTGTAGGTGCTTTGGCCTTGACGCAGTCATCATCCTGATCAGGGCCGCTGGCCCCTCACCTCAGCCGCATGATAATGTGTGGGGGTGGCGTAGGACATTGGTGGGTTGGAATCAAGGGGCTTGGGCTTCCAAGGTTTGGTCCAGGTTTGATTTATGTCTGTTTTTCGAAGGAGAACTGTTTATCCTTTGGTTTCTGTCTGGGTTCTTGGACAATCGGGTAGTTGGATGGATAGTACAATATTGTAATCTATATAAATTGTTCCCACCGCACGTGTGTAGACAGCCACCTACGGGCATGACTCTTAGATTCATGTACTTAGTTGATTTAGCTTTATATATTACACATGTATGAATGAGCCGTCGGATTATCCAAGGCTGTTCACTAGTGTTGACCTTTCCAGGCTATCCGGAATATCAAAAAACTGTCGGACAATATTCCTAGCCTTATCAATGTGTGATGATATGTTTATATAACAGCCTTTGACTCCTTAGGTACATTCCCAGTCTAATAAGCGCTTTGAATAAAGAACTTGGCAAGTTTCAAGCATCTAACTAGGGCTAACTGCGGTTGGGAAGTATACAACAAGCGCAACATAGGCTGACTGGCGCCTCCAACCCCAGTCTTGACTTCCCCTCATTTGAATATCTTCTTCGACTTTTCTCTTCTCTTCTCTTTACTTTCCTTTTTAAAGGGTGTTCTTCTCGAGTTGTGAAAACCCCCTGATCGTCGCGAATGTGACGTCGAGCTCCCCACCAAATCTAAAGTGTGATCGGCCGACTTAAGCTCCGCATTCTCATCTCCGCAATTGATTCACTCTTTCAACACTGCATGAATGGCACGCAAACTGAGCCACCAAAGGGTCACCTATGGTAAGTCGCGCCCTGTATGTCTTAACTCGGAATGCTGACTGTATCTATTAGTCCTCCCTCTGCCTGATGCCCCAGGTGGGCACCGGCTGGGGGTTAATGGCCTGACCGTCGACCGTCAGAACTCCATCCTGTAAGTCTGTCTTTCGCCTTTATTGCTCCAGGAACCGGGATCTAGATTCCAACGGCCGCCGCATTTGCGACTGCTATTATCCCGGGAAGCAATTCCCTGGCACGTGGGTTGCACCGATGTTAATATGACGTCCCCTCTCCTAGATACTCCGCGGGTCGCGACGGCGCTATCTGTTCCTGGGATCTTGACTTCCCTGTGTCCCCCTCTTTCACCCCGTCAAACGGACCGTCGCCAGCTCCAAAGCCAGGCCCGACCCGCTTCAAAACCCAGGTCCAAGCCCACAGCCATTGGATCAACGACATCGTCTTGGCACAGGACAACTCCGCGCTCGTCTCCGCTTCGTCCGACACAACCGTGCGACTCTGGCGCCCGCATTCCGAATCGACCGATGTCCCTGAGCGTATCGGTAAACACACGGATTATGTCAAGGCGCTGGCGAGCCCAGGCAACCACGCCACTTGGGTTGCCTCGGGCGGCCTCGACCAAAAGGTTTACTTATGGGACTTGAACGGCGGGGGAGAAGTATTGAATATAAATGCCGGTGGAGATGATTCAACCGACAAAGGATCTGTCTATGCGCTGGGTGCCGTTTCGTCGGTTCTCGCCAGCGGCGGCCCCGAGAATGTCGTTCGAGTGTGGGATCCCAGGTCTGGAAAGCTAGTGACCAAATTCGTGGGTCATACAGACAATATTCGTGACATTTTAATAAATCAGACGGGCGATACAATCATGACCGCGTCCTCTGACCAGACAATCAAGATCTGGTCTCTCACGGCGGGCCGGTGCATGAATACTCTGACGATGCACAATGACAGTGTGTGGTCTCTCTACTCAGACCACCCTGATCTCTCTGTTTTCTATTCGAGTGATCGATCTGGCTTGGTAGCAAAGACCGATACACGAGGATCGCCAGATCCGGAGCAGGGTACATCCGTCGCCGCACTACAAGAGCACGAGGGCGTTGTCAAAGTTGTGGCAGCTGGAGACTACATTTGGACGGCGACCCCTAAGTCAAGCATCAACCGCTGGCGAGACGCCGATACTACACTTGATATCGAGGCGCCACCTGACCCAGCCCGTACAATAGACTCTGCCGCCGCGCCCGCGACCTCGTCAGACAAGGGACCTAAGCAAATTCCGTTCAATAGTGTCTTGCAGCTTTCAGCAACGTCGCTGCTCGGTGGCTCGCCTAAAGTGAACACATCGGAGCCCAACTTGGAAACTCTTGGCTTGACTATCCCGATTCATTCGTTGCCGGAAGAATCCATCGAAGGCCAACATGGCTTGATCAAATGTTTGATGTTAAATGACCGGAGGCGCACGCTTACTCAAGATTCGGCAGGAGAAGTTGTTTTATGGGATTTGCTCAAGGTAACTTTGATATATTTTGATTGAGAAATATGGGACATTTGCTGACTGAAACTAGTGTCTTCCTGTTCAAACATTCGGCAAGCGCCACATAGACGATGTTGCCTCGGAAATCAATACTGTTGATAGTATTGCACACTGGTGTGCAATTGATGTCCGCACTGGCAGGCTGTCGGTCATTCTGGAGCCCAATCGTTGCTTCGATGCGGAGGTTTATGCTGATGAGACTGATTTGTTATCATCTGATCTGACGCAGTTCAGAGATGATCAAAGAAGTAAGTTCAGTTCTGCTTTCATGCCGATTTGTCCAGCAACCAGCGCTTGCACAGATTAGTTCTATGCTAATTAACTAACTAAAGTCAATCTCGGCAAATGGATCTTGCGTTGGTTGTTTGCTCCGGTGGTAGATGATGAAGTTCGACGAGACAATGAATTCCGCCAAGCTGCCATAGCGAGAGCAGAAGAGCTTGCTCGATCGAATCCGCTGGATACGCCAGGACCCGGTGATGACATTCCCCGCAGCCTCGGTATCCCTATCTCCAACCCGCATTCTGGATCGACCTTGCGCGCCGGGTCAGACTTTCCTGGAAGCCCAAGCACTGGGTTTGGCATCCACATCGGCACACCGTCATCAGCCTATCTCAGCACTTCCATGCAGAGCAACTCTCCATTCCCCATGTTTGAGCCAGATACACCCGACGCTTTGGGCCCAGGAAATTCCCACCCCGATGGCGGACCATCCTCCTTTTCGGATAGAAGCGACTATTTCTCAAACAGGCCTACTGCGCATCCGCAAATGGATAATGACAAGACCCCCATGTCTCCTGGTGATGCAGCCCACAATTTAGGTGTTCCTCAGTCCCCCGCAGAACCCGACAAAGAAGAGCGCAAGAAGGGCTCCCTGTTCTCGAAATCGTTCCAAATGAAGTTTGCCAAGCTTGGCAATCGTACTTCTACTGATATCCCAAAACCTCAGATATTGGAAGAGAAGGCTGAAGATTCGGAGATTTCGTCTGTCAAAGAAGAGAAGGTGTATGAGCCAAATCTCTGTGGTGTGGTAGAACGCATTCGCCATGACTACGAAGATTTCCTGGCATCGAATGCAGACCGGGATTTGGAAACGGCTATTTTGCCCAGTGACGAGAGTGAAACTCCCCGGTTGAGCATCCCGCCCCGTACTGCAGTTTTCATCCAGGAGGAAACTGGCGACACTGCCGTTGCCTCTGATCTCTACAGAGGCAGCGTAGACCGCATCGGCGAGGACCTTGAAAGGCTTAAGAAGTCAATCCCTCATTGGCTTGGTGAACTTCTTTTGAAGGTAAGTTTTGCTCTTTGTGACGGCCTTTTCATTCCATTTTCATTGCTGATCATTGGTCCCAGAACCAAATTCCTTTCAAGGAGCAGGTCAAGATTGCCTTTGTGCTGAAACCTTTCGACGATTCCTTGCCACCTGTCGTTAAGCCTGAGCCGTATGTTCCCCCAAGGCCCAATCCCCCAGAGTCCCCCAGGTCCTACCTTATACACCTGGACTTCGTCCCCCCAAATTTTTATGGAACTCAGACTAAAACCCGGAATTCTTCCTCCAGTGCACCCCCCAATGGTGCTCCGCCGGGCAACCTGAGCGCCAATAACAACAACAATGGCTCCCGTCTGAATGCCAACCGCATGCTACGAGCAAAGAAGGTTCTTGCTTACGTCGCAGAGCGGATCGATCCCATGGATCCCAATGAGCCCGAAGAATCCGCCATGCCGCCGGAGGAGTATCTCGAACTCTACTGCCAGAAGACGGTAAGTAGTTTTCCCCCTACGTACAGTTCTGAACTAACCAACCCTTTTCAGCTCTGTCCACCAAATATGACACTGGCAACAATCCGCACACACCTCTGGCGCACCTCCGGAGACATGGTCCTCTACTACAAGACGAATGGTAAGAAAGAGATCCACCCGCCGCCGTCCCTCCTCGGCATCGATGAGAACCGTGTTTCCATGGGCGACCCTCATGCTTCGAACGGCGATAGCCACGGCTATGCGCCACCTGGCAGTATCCACTCCATGGCTAATTCGGGATCTGTTGCCGGCTCGGTCGTCACTTAATTTGAGCGTTCTTGGCGGTCTTTTCGTCTCTTCAATTTCGTCTAAAAGGTACACTTGGTCTTGGTATTCAAGATACCAGTCTAATTCGGTTCTCCGGTACATATGGGGGAGACATTTGCTTGGGTAATTTTGTTTTGCTTTTTTGATATCTGATTCTTATTTCCCTTCTTTGTATGCACACCCGAGATACCTTTTGAATGTATGTGCTCGTGGCCTTTTTTGCTATAGTATGCTATTTTCCTTCGGATTCTGTAAACCGTAATATCTGTGAGCCTGTGCGGCTATTCGAAGGCGTTCAGCCAGAAGAGGTACATTGGATACTTTCAGGGATAACAAACAACATCTGGAACCAACTGGATCCTGAGTCCTGGGAAAGATAGATTATTGGGCATCGTGGCAAAAACGAACCGTTAAGCTTCTGTTCTATTACTTCGCAGTTGGGCTATCTAAAACTATGTCTTCTTGCATTAGACTGGACCCACGTGGGCATGTATGGAATAGGGTAAAACAACCCATATGAACAAAACCTCATTGAATACGGCGGAGATATGCCTCCTCTAGATGTGCCATCTTACTATGGGCTCGGTTCTTCGCGCGGTCAATCATTTCAATTAGGGTACGTGTATAAGTCACTGGGTATAAATGTCAAGTTAGATGGAACACCAATCGGCGTGCAAAAAGATTACAACGCGTTTTGCAAGAGAACCAACTAGACTGGTATGCCCCCTCCCCCTGCTTAGGGCGTCGATTTTACCATTGGAAGTTGTCTCGTTCGTTTCTAAAACAGCGCAAGCAGCGGCTCGGGCACATCTAAACGGGACATAGCTTGAAAAATGGACCATTTAGGCAAATTCCGATGTAAGCAATGTTTTGCAACACCATGTTCTTCATTTCGTCTATGGACTAGGGTCCGCAAGTTCCTCTTCCGTCAATTGATATAGTTGCCTCCCTAATTCTGCACTAGCTCGATACTGTTCGCCTCGCTACCCAGATCATTTAGGTACAATCGCTAGTCTTGCCCTCCGTTTTGACCTCCTCGATACAAGCAGATCAAGTATTCGAGAAGATTCTAACGCGCATATTATACTGCGACCAACCAGCACAGCAGTTCCAGTCACCATGCTCCTTATGGTGAGTGCGCGGTGCCTTCTCAATTGTAGAATGAAAGTTCTAGATAAAGCCCTAGGCGCTATTTGTTATGGAATCCCCCCTTGGCTTACATTTCATCAAGCCACGCTCTTCCTCAACTTTCGAGCTATCATATTTCCATAATTTCTGTTTTGCACTGCCAAGACATTAAACATTTGCCTCTACTGAATAAAGTACACATTCATTTTCGATTTCTCGGCATTTGTTTTCACCTTCTAATTTAGCTAAAGCAATAGTATCTAGCGATGATTAACTTACCTGTTGATCAAGTGACAGACGTAGGATTTAGAGAACAGCGAAAGGATATAGATGTTGTTGAATAATAGGTTTAGAGCGTAGTGATAATACAAAGAATACTCGGGGGATTCGGGTTGTATTTATATTTTTATAAACTTCTAGGGAGTCGAACTCTTACTACTTTTCAAACCCCTTTCGTTGATGATGGTCAGAGTGTGTAGATTAGCAATTTCCTCTAAATATTTTGTAACGGCGTTCCTAAGTGGCCATAAGAAATAATAGCGTGTAGAGCTATATTCGGCCTACTCTTTTACTAAAGCCCTACCTTACTACAATCACTGGCTATCAACGCCCTAAAAGCGCTAGCCTCACTGTTTCTATAACAGCATCTTCGACAACAACGTCAACCAACGTGCCCAGTTGCCTAAACTATGGGCCCGGCACTAAGGTACCACTAGCCCCAATTGACGGCCAGTACGCCTTTCCCTCTTTTACTACGTGCTTATTCACTCCCAGAACGCTCTTATCCCTACATCTAACCCTCCTTTATGACCTCAGCTCGTCTTTATTTTGACTGAATGCATTTCGAAGGTTGCCGTCTTCCAATGTGCTATATCAGTCTCCGTTGTAGCAAGCGCTGTTGCAAGGGACTCTTTGATTGAACTATTCTCAGACATGCCTAACTAGTTGGTGTATCAATATAAATTACAGAAAGTAAAACCAACCAATCAACATCGAGCCCGTTGATTGGTTGTAGCTGGGCCACATCCTTGTCTATTTCCGCTATCTAGATTGGAAGACCAATTTAGAAGAAAGCAGACGCAGAGAAGCATGGAGCCTCGGGATTTGGATCCCTGCGTAAAGCTCACACTAAATCCTCATTTCGGCATCTGACCCATGCTTAAATTACGTTGGCTTTGCTTATGTATTAGCCTAAAACAACGAGCTGCACCAATCTTACATGAACATAACCAATAGTTTCTCCATACAAACTTGGAACCACCATTGGCGGACAAAAGTTTATAAGCCCCCACCAGAATCCTGCAAGGCTGACAAAACCAAACTCCTATTCATCCCTAACCCCGGGTGATCATCCGTCCGTCGCGCCGTGTGCCTAGCGCTGTGTAGCGCTTGGGCCCTAAGAGCTTAGTTCCTCTTCGCGCCAGACGTTGGTCTCGAAGTCCCCGCAGGAACCTCGTTGACATCGCTGCTTCCGCATGAGCAGCATCGTAGCTGGCGTTTGTGCTCACCAGCACCCAATGTCCATGGCCAGTAGCGAGTCGCAATAAAAAGGATACTTTTAACAGAGATGATCCAGAAGGAGGCTAGCACGAGGACTGTCTGGAAAGGGATGGCTTTGAGGCGGGCTTCGATGAAGGTTCCGCAATGCTATATGAATGCCTTGAAAGAGGAGGGCGCCATAGTCTTGGTGATGAGGTTGTTTGTTTGAGTTGTTGGATGCGCAGAGTTAAGAGGACAGTGGTAGTGGGGGCCGCAGAACGGGCAGAGAGACGCAGAAGAGTACATGTATGTATACGGAGTAGAAGAAAGTATACCAAGGAGAGATTTCCCCAGATAAGCAACTGGACCCTCCTCTGCCTATGATCAAAGAAATAGTTTAGTATGGCTCCGCCCTGATATGATCTACACTTTGTATATCTCAAATAGAAGTATCGTTAAATAGGCAGGATCATCACATTTGTATCTGTCTTCACTCTACATGGTCGGCATAATTTACCTTGTTCATGAGTTTAAAACGTAGACTATAAGACTGCACTTAAGTCAACTATAGAGTATATATCAATGCTCCGATGACTTCCGCTCTCTGGTGGGACCATATGGTATACTTGCGGCTCCACTTTTTGTGGCATGATTTTTCGCGGGAAAAGTAGGGATTATCTGTCGACATTCGTAGTGCTTACTATGATCATTGTAAATTGGATGGTAAAACTTGTAAATCCTTCCAAATCAGTTCTAAACCTCCTAGCATGCCGAAGTGTATAAATATCGTCAGTGGTATTTCAATTACAGACTTGTGTAGGTAAGTTTCAAAAGAACCCTGCAAGTGTTCGCATAACTTATCCAAAACTTGGGGACCCAGTGATACATTAGCGTAGATGATAATATAACTAGCCCCCAAATACAAAACAAAACACAGTCAGAAAAGAAATACATAGGTATATAACTATCTGATCTTACTAAAGTCACTCGGGCACACCTGCGCAAGAGTGGCGGGAAACCAACCCCGCTTAAATTCCACCCAACTTTCCTAAAACATCATACCACAAAACCCACCAAAATGGCACGCAAAAGTGATTATCCCTACAATTTGGGCTCTTTTAAGAAAAATGTCACTACCAACAGTGATGAGGCACAAACATGGTTCAATCGTGGTCTTGTATGGGCATATGCCTTCAACCATACGGAATCTGTGATATGCTTCGACCAGGCACTGGTGCATGATGATACTTGTGTCATGGCCTATTGGGGATTGGCTTATTCACTGGGCCCCAACTATAACCAGCCGTGGAACTTCCTCGGCGACCGGTTGGCTTCTGTTGTCCAAAAAACCTACCGCGCATCACAGAAGGCCCTATATCTCTCGTCTAATGCATCGCCCGTGGAACGGGCTCTGGTCAAAGCACTTTCGGCTCGATACCAAAGCGATAAACCTGCCAGTATGGAGCAATATGCGGCCCAGAATATTGCTTATGCTGATGCAATGAAGGAGGTCTATGAGCAATTCAGCGATGATCTGGATGTCGTCACGCTATACGCTGATTCCTTGATCAGTCTTACTCCCTGGAAGTTGTGGGACCTGGTGACCGGAAAGCCAAACCCAGGAGCTCGCACCATGGAGGCGAAAAGAGTGCTCGAGAAAGCTCTCGAGGACAAGAATTCATCCAAGCACCCAGGGCTTTTACATATCTATATTCATCTGATTGAAATGTCACCTTTCCCGGAACTAGGGCTGCGACCCGCTGATTATCTCCGCGGCCTTATCCCCGATGCCGGCCATACTAATCACATGCCTTCTCATTTGGACGTTCTAGTTGGTGACTATCGCAGCGCTGTTCGTGCCAACCAGCACGCAGCCATCGCTGACGAAAAATTCCTGGCGCGAGAAGGTCCACTCAACTTCTACTCCGTCTATCGCATGCATACATTTCACTCGCTCATCTACGCAGCCATGTTCGCAGGCCAGAAACAAGCCGCGTTCGACGCCGTTGACCGCATGGAAGAGACCTTGCCCAAGAAACTGCTCGAGGAAATGGCAGACTACATCGAGATCTTCATGTCCGTCCGCGCACATGTCATGATTCGATTTGGCATGTGGGAGGAAATTATTCAAGCCCCAGTCCCCTCAGAACCAGAATTGTACTGCGTGACAATAGCAACCTTGCACTACGCCAAAGGCGTGGCATTCGCAGCTACGGGGAGAGTCCCCGAAGCAGAGGAACAGCGGGCGTTGTACCTAGCAGCGCAAAAGCGAGTCCCAGACACGCGCTTGGACTGGCCCAACAAATGCATTGACATTCTTGGCGTTGCGACGGAAATGCTCAACGGCGAGATTGAATACCGCCGCGGCAACTACACAGAGGCTTTCGCGCATCTGCGCCGCTCCATCGAATTGGACGATGGGTTGGGCTACAGTGAGCCCTGGAGCTGGATGCAGCCCACGCGCCATGCATATGCTGCTCTTTTGCTGGAGCAAGGGCATGTTGAGGATGCAGCGGCTGTTTATCGTGCTGATCTGGGTCTTGACGATACTCTTATTCGGGCCCGTCAGCATCCGAATAATGTATGGGCTTTGCAGGGCTACCATGAGTGTTTGGTGCGTCTTGGCAAGACCGATGAGGCGCGGGTTATTCAGCCTCAGTTGGCGATAGCGGTTGCTGTAGCTGATGTGCCTGTGACTTCTTCGTGTTTCTGTCGACTGGATACTTCTCAGGCGCCGAGTGCCACTAACGGTTGTTGTAAATAAGTTGAGATCGTATATACCTCTTCATTTGTGTAATTCATTATCTTGGGTTCATTTGATGTTTCTATTCAGTTGCTTGATATTGCCTATTTTAACGAGCTGAATTCAAACCCAACCCCTAAGCTACGAAACTGCAGCGTATACATTCAAGAGAATGGCAAACGGGTTCGGCGTTTGATACGGGGACCAAACGCCGAACCACGGGTAGATACCTTTTCTCTCGGACGTGCTTCTTGGAAAACATTTACATTCCCCGAATTATCCAAAGTGATACCAATACATCCACCAATTTTTCAAAGCTGATCTACTTGCTGACACTGACAGTTGTCCCGACGTTGGCCTGTCAGGGTATAATCGTCACGTGTTGTGATGACGCGGAGATATACCAAACTACACTTGCATAAAAAATGCCACGAATTGTGAAACCGCCCATTAAAGCTGCCTGTCTGGCATGGTGTGTCGAATACTTATTGTCGATTCTACATTGTTGCACAGGCTAACATTAGCTGTAGCCGGACATCGAAAACACGTTGTGATGGTCAACATCCATGTGGAAGTGTATGTGCATTGCACTATCCTATCAACAGCTCGTTAACTTATCTATCAGTGCTCTGGCAAAAAGAAAGAGTGCAGTTATCAACCCAGTCGCCGTGGTGGTCCTCGCAGAGGAGCCCGGTATGAAGAAGCGCGTCGTCCAACCAGATCGGGCAATTCACTACCCCCTTCCTCATTGTCAGATAGTGCCAATGAAATTGGTAATTGAAACAACCTATGGGGGAAGTTGCCATGTCTAACTATAGTCAGAGCCATTCCTTGACAGTATGATTGGCCTGGTATCACCATTCGCCGGGATCCACAATCTCGATATGTCCCCAGATTCCCTGTCTGCAGATGGAGCCCACCAAATATGGGGCCAGCTCACTCCACACGACGATAGTTCCTATGACTCCGCTTCTTTGCCAAGTGCAGGTACTTATCTGATACGCGCCTATCAATCCGAAGTAGAAATGTATGGGCAAAAAAAAGGGATTCAAAGTCGTGACCAAATACTAACAGGACAATTAGCATCAACGCATACTATATTTACATTCATCCATATCTGCCTCTGCTACCGCCTCCAGTGGCGCCGCAGTATGAAGACCAGCCAACGGTGATCCGACCACCAGGGGACAGCTCACAACCCTCAAAGTCGGATTTGCCTCACTGGCCGACCTCGTCGCTGAGCCTGGCATTATCCGCACTGCTAGTTATGGTACCCGTTGCCGAAGACCGGTTTCCAGTAGCAGAAATAAGCCTGGCACTGAAGAGATCTTATGCTCAGCTATTTGCGCAAGCGGCACTAGCAGCCGTGGAAGCTGAAATTGACAATTTGTCGCCTGCAAGTCCTTCTATGTCCGGGTCAGGCTCTTTGCATTCTCGGATGCCTGCCCAAGTTACTCCGGTGGCTGCTCTCGTGGTCCTGAGTATCTACGAGTATTGCCAGCGTGGTAATGTATCTAGAATGCGGGCTCGAGGGAACCAGGCTATAACTACTGCTATGGATATCTCGATCCATAACCTTGATTCGACGGAAACGGAGTTTTCTGAGGCCCAAAGACGAGCTTGGTGGATGACTGTATGTGCTAGATGTTCGATTGGTGGAAATCTTGCTAAATGCTGCCACAGATATGGGTGACTTACTTGTCCTCCAACCTTCATTTAACTGTAAGATTCATTGACAATGTAACAATCAAACATTACTGATTCATATTCTAGCCGCCAATTGTTTCTTCAAGCGACCCACGGATTACCACCCCTTATCCAAAATTCGATGTCTTCTTAGAGGTATTTGTTGCCCAACGCGAGAGACGTAAATGCACCACTGACATCTTCAAGCCATGGCCCATGATTATGAAAGCACAAGAGGCTCTTTTCGAATGCAACAAAGTGGTCCAGAACATCGAAAGTGTAGACGAGCAAGCCGTCCCACCCGATTTCAGTAACCGAATACGCAATCTTGACTCGCAAATCGTATCCTTGATGACCGAAGCGGATCGCCACACCCTAACAACCTTCGACGAAGGACCCGAGGCGCCCATAGCTCAGACCATGTGGATGATAAGCCGGATGTTCATCCACGCGTGAGCCATCTATCACACCCGCTAACCTCCATCATCCATACTAATTACCTAATTAATAGTTCTCGCACCCGACTGCACCGCTTCCGGGCATTCATGGACATCCCCCTTTTTCTCGACAAATACTGCGATCTCGCATCCATCAACAGCCACGGCTTCTCGCACTTCTCGCCCCCAAAATGGGTCACCGACAGCGGAGTCTCGTTTCCATTCACCGAGCAAGAATCCTCAAATATCTGCCTCAAGTCTTCTCTGGTGGTAACGACAATATTCCGTACTTTGCCGTATCCGAAATCACTCGGCTATGCCTGTTCTGGGTCGAACAGATATCCAAAAACGATTCCTTACTTTGCATGCTCTGCTATGCAGAGCTGTTATGCTCTTCTTATGCTACTGCATCGACTTCGGGCCTCTTTGGCGACAGATCGTCTGGCGGATTGTTATCATTTGCTTGATAGGCCGAGCCTGGAATCGGAGATTGCTGATGCGGAGCGACTGCGGGAGGAGTTGCGGCATGGTGTGGAGATTCTGGGGAGATCTCTCAAGTCGGATGTGATTTTTGAGGGTGTCGGGGGTATGGGGCGTGAGATTGAGGGCGCTTACTTGGCTGCCTTTCCTGGTAGCTCCGAGATATAAATTGATATTGTATGGATAGTCGTCAGACTGCGCTGGTTCTTGAAAGTAGATGCTTGACGTCTGAATTGGTAATTACTTGAAGACTCTGCGCTGGAGAGTGTCTAGAGAGTCTGGATAATTAGGATTTATCGCATTCGCTGCAAAAACTATCTGACCCAAGGCGTATTCCTTTGAATCATTTCGGGAATAGATGCTTGTTCACCGGTGTTAGTGGTTCTTGGCCATTCAAGACGCGCTGCACGTTTTCCATAGAAAGTCTTTCGAATCCAATTTGGGTCTCTGCGGTACCACCAGCAGTATGAGCAGTAAGTCTATTGAATTGTTAGGAATTGTGGGCATGTTGTGCAAATCTGCTCAGTTGTATCAAACTTACGTGACATTCCTCATTCTGGCCAACTCTTTGTTCACGTTAGGCTCGTTCTCGTGAACATCCAAGCCAACAGCTGATAATTGCCCTGATTTCACAGCCTCGACCAAAGAGTCCTCATCTACTAGGGTTCCTCGGGCGATATTGACGAACTTCGCACCCTTTTTGAACTTAGCCAGAGTTTCCCTAGTGATAAGCTTTGAGCCTCCGAATGGAGTGGCCAAGACAACGCAATCTGACACCGCCAGGACATTATCTAGCAAGGGACAAAATGTAGCATTGACAGCTGATTCCTGGTCGGTAGATTTTCGGTACAGATCATGGTAGTATATCTTCATTCCAAAGCAGGCGTGAGCTTTGCGGGCAATTGTACTATGGCCGTTAGGAGATATTTGAGAGGTGAGGATTGCACGCACTATCCAATATTCCCAAGGCCGATGATGCCCAGCGTCTGTGTTTGCGGGTTGTGTGCCGTTGCTGCGGTGTTCTGGTGAGCCTCGAGCCAAAGATGGGGATCACCGGAGCGAGCTCCATCCATGGACCACTGCATGTTTCGGAAGACGGATATAATGTGGAAAATTGCCTGTAAGTCGTCAGTCTGCATGCTTGAAGCAGGGACTTTGCGACATTACATATCGGCTACTGCTTCACTTAAAGCCGATGCGCCATTACAATAAAGTATCCCTGTTTTATATAGTGTGAGCCAGGTACTTCACTGCGGTAGTGTTTCGCACAATGCTTAGCCATGATATCTACGTCCACCCAGTCATAACCAGCACCTGCACTCGCAAAAACCTTCATTGCCGCGGGAAGCAGTGGAATCAATTCCGAGTTCCATCGACCCATCTCCCCGCCAGTGTTCCAGAAAGGACGGAAGATAGCTTGGAAATCGCCCCATTTCTTCTCTTCCAGAGCTTGCGAGAAAGCAGGTCGCTGACGCTCTTCGAGTGAAGGGCGGATTACTGTATAGCTATCGGCTATTTCGGCGTAAAGCTCTTTGTTGAATTCAATAGGATCTCCAAGGTGAAGAATGGTAGGTTTTTCGGACATTACGATAGGCAAAGGACTAAAAATCAAAGTATGCAAGTGAGTAAGAACGAAGATGAGCAATATTGGGTCTCGTCTATGATGTGCTTTTCATAAGTTAAATATCGACCCCCGCGCGGGGGCTTTTAGTCGATCCCTGTAGCGGAACTATTAGTACTAAGTTGCCCTCCACCTGAGCACCGGGATGACAAGCCACCTGGGGCGATTAGCCGGGCCTTGTTCTATGTGTGTAGGTACCTGGGGTTTCTCGGAGGCTTTCCGAGAAGAGGGGAAAGACACGGAGATCGTTGCGGCAATGGCAGTTTCTAGTTTTAGATTTGTAGAAAGGTGACAGATGACAGGGTTAAGTCTATGGTCGTGCAATCTATCCCAGTGTAGCTATGTGAAAACTAGATTTGCAACTAGTATATCCCCAGATTGGTTATCGAAGTGGCCAAGGATACCGCGATTGATGATAGTTGAAATATGAGTGATGTAGCTATGTCAAAGAGGAGAACTGACATGCTCCGAATAGCTTTGATTAATCAATTTGCCTAAACGTCCAGACCTGTAGTGCAGGACGATAATCAGATCGTAGTCCAGCTCGAGTATCTGCATCACGGGAAATTAATTCGCCGGGCCGATATCCATCTTCAGGTTCTCTACGCAGCAAACCAACTTATTTGTTGATGAATGTGGAAGATTGGATCTTGATTTGGTCCTGGGGAGAGTAGAGATGGCCAGCAATATATCCATCTCACCTTTCATTTTCCAACGGTGTTTCCAGCAAGCATGGTCCGGGTCGCGGCGAGCTCGCGTCAATCCCGGAAACACCAAATATGGAAATGATGAAAATACCTTACAGCTTCCGCGAAGGTTTGGTAAGTCTTCATTTTCATTTTCATTTTTGATATTCCAATTTGAGAATTGACGCGTTAATTCGCAGGAATCGCCGTCAGTGGCGGCGCCGATTCCATGGCCTTGGCATATCTATGCAAGCAGCTCGAACGTTCATCTGAATTTGCTGGGGCCATTTCTGTCACCGCATTTGTAGTAGACCATCGTGCTCGCCCAGAAAGCACCGATGAAGCTCAAAGGGTCGCTGGTTGGCTTCGCGATATGGGTATCGTTTCCGAATTGCCCCTTGGAAGGTTTGGAACATGATCTAACCATATTCCAACAGACATTAAGACCCAAATTCTGAGCTTAGACTGGTCCAGGTCTACTTCAGAGCAAGATAGTCTCTCTGCGCTGAAACCAGGTGAATTGGTGCCCATGCCATCCGCATTTGAGACCCATGCGCGACGGCTCCGTTTCCAAGCCCTCGGCATAGCCTGTCATGAGTTCAAGCTGGAGACACTTCTGCTGGGTCATCATCAAGATGACAATGTTGAAACGACTATTTGGCGCCTTTCGGCCGGAGCAAAGGGATTAGGGCTTGGTGGCATCCCCGAAGTCGCTAGAATCCCCGAATGCCATGGTCTATTCGGGGCATCTGAGAGTTGGTCGACTACATCGATCCCTATAAGACCTGCCTCCATGCCCCAACCTAGGGTCCGATTCAATGATCGCAATCACGGGTTAATCACGCTTCCTGACTGGGACACGGAATCCATCAAACACCCAAATGGCATCAGCTCTGATCTCACATCCCATATAAAAATCGCAAGCCCGGGCATATTCCTTTGCCGGCCTCTGCTCAATTTTACCAAAGCGAGCATATTGGAAACCTGCCACAAAAACAAAATCCCTTACGTTTCCGATCCAACCAACTTCGACCCAACTCTCACTCCTCGCAACGTCATCCGCAGCCTCCGCACCTCAAAATCCCTACCCCGCGCCCTAGAATCGCAGTCTATCCTCTCCCTAATTCGCTCAAGTCGGGATCTTCTCCACAGATCGAACGAGCTCTCCGACTCCCTTCTCTCTTCCCAATGTCGAATGCTCGACTTCAACCCGAAAGCAGGATCAGCCGTCATTCAATTCCTAGAACCCAGCCCTGAATCCATGGACCCCCAGCTTGCTACGTTATCTGCCTCTCAAATCAAACAGATCCAAACCCTTGTCCTCCGGCGCATCACAGAGCTGGTCTCCCCTTTCCCGGACAGCCAGTTCTCGCTGCGCAGTTACGAACAATTTATTCACAATATGTTCTCTGATCCAGAGGATGACTCTTTGGTAAAGAAATCGCATGATCCAGATCAACATATTCGCCCAAGACAATCTTTCACGCTAGCAGGTGTCATCTTCCAACGTCTCGCCAATGAAACCACCACATCGATCCACGACGGAGGAGAAAAAGACCGCCGATCCCGTGGCGACAATATCTGGCTACTATCCCGGCAGCCATTCATGAAAGACCGGGACCCCGTGACACAAGTCAATGTCTCTCCCAGAGGCAACTTCACCCCATGGACCTTATGGGATAACCGGTACTGGATGCGGCTGCGACTCGTTCCCAGCGATCCAGAGTATGACCCGTGTGAATTGGAGACCAAATTGACTCAAGTGCCTCTCACAATACGTCCGTTCCATAAATTGGATGTGGAGAGGGTGCGCCGAGATACGATGAACTCCAGGCCGCAGGGGACGAAGAAAACGAAGAAGAATTCCGAAATTGAGCGGGATACGCCTGGGACTTTTGAGAATTTGAAGGCCGTTCTGTCTGCTGAGGCGCCTTCGCAGGTGCGCTTCACTCTCCCTGTTGTGTCGAGGGAAGGTATCAACTCCAGGCCTGGGAAGCCCTTGGATCAGAAAGTTAAACAGCAGCTTGCTTTGCCGACGCTGTATTATCGTTTATCTGGCCACTCGGCTGAATATTCCTCTGAAAGTGAAGTGGAGCTGGTACATCTACGCTGGCGTTGGAAACTCAAGTGGCAGTGGATGTATAAAATGATTGACACTGAGGCGCTACGCCTGATGGGCTGGCCGTCTGGTAGAGATACGGAGGACACTTAGTGTACATGACAACACGTATAGTACTAAAATAAAACAAGGGCTTGTGGGAGTTTGATCTCCTGAGCTATGCATGTATGATCAACGGCTATCTGTGCGGATGGGCCAGTATGAGAGTGACAAGAAATATGAATGAATACAAGTAAGAAAGGCTCATGGACATGGATGCAAATGAGTGGGTAGTTAAAGAAGAGAGGTTTGAGCGGTATCAGTGTACATGAAGTAAGGAAAGAACAATGTAGAAAGTGTGAGGTATGGTGTGAAATGAAAGAAAAAGAGTGAATAGGGAATGGTACCCCAGAATATTGTGAATTTGGTCATTGTTCGCTCGCCTTGAGCAGTGCCTGGGCAGCAGATTGGGCTCGGAGACCTCCGACTTCTCGTTTCAAGCGGAAGTTTTCCTTCTTGACTCGGCCGATCTCATCGAGAGCACTCGCCAGTTGAGACTTCAAGGCGTCTTCGGCGTGTCCCGATCGGACGTCCTTTGCAATCTTACTGAGTTCGGTATTGAATCGAGCGTAAAGAGCTTCATTTTCAGCACTTGCCTCGCGGTACAATTCATCCAACTTCTTGACGCGCTTCTCGCTGAGAACCAAGGACGACTCCAAGTCTCTCTCAAGAGCGGATGTGCGGCCATTGTATTCTCCGGTGAGCGTGTCAATTCTTGCTTCGAGGTTGCGCATGCGAGCTTCGAGGGACGCGGTGGTAGCAGAAGATGGCTTCGTGTCTTCGCGGTCAAAGCTGAAACTCAAATCCATTGGGCTGAACTCCCTCGGAGGTGTGAGCTTTAGAGATCGTATTTCGTCGCCGATCGTTGCGAGGTCGTCTTTGAGGCCCAATTGAGTGGAGTTCTGGGTTCTCTTTTCCAATTGAACACGATCGCGTAACTAATAGAATGTGAGTTCAAAGCCTATTCATATATAGAAAATTCCACGAACCTTTTGTGGACTTTGCATCCGTGCTTTCTGCGGCTTGCTCGAGGAGGACGAAGATTGGGGTCGCTTGCTGGTATCAGACCCGTTCGTGGATGGCCGCTCTCGAAGACCTGGGGCTCGCTGGGGAATGCTGGTCGCTCGAGATTGCCTCCGTGGTTCCTCGTTGGGTGATTCCGATACATCTCTCCTGAGCTTGTTTGTTCGATCCGTATGTGGTGTCCTGGGGTCAATGTTTTCCTTCCTGCTCGGCGTCGAAGGACGAGGGGGAGACAATCGGCGTATAGGTGATCCCAGTCTCGAGGGGGAACTGGATTTTGCTGGTGCTTTAGAGCTAGAGCGCAGTGGGGATTTACCACGCAATGGAGATTCGCCGCGCACAGGCGATCTTGGAATGTAACTGCTTTGTGGTCTGGACTGTTTGGTTGGAGTGACCACCTCGCCTCGCGGGCGACTTGAGGGAGTCGTCGGTCGGAGTTGTTGAGTGGGAGATATACTGGAAGCATCCGATGATGCTGTCGGTGGTCGGAAATCAGACAATGAGCTCCTTCGTTTTCTGCGAATCCTTGGCACGCTGTTTTCAGAGAAGCCTCGAAAGGAACCAAGGGAAGGCAGTTTTTCGGACTTTTCGTTGCCAGTGCCTGGCCTCGAAATTGTCTCCTCAGATGCAAAACCGTATGGACGATCGCGGGAAGTAGGACGAAAGAATCCAAGGCGAGCGTCGACGTCAGTGGACATCGAACGAGTCAAAGTACCCTTCGGCGTATTGGGCTCCGACCCAGCTGGACTTTGCTTCTTGCTCAGCGTCCGCAAAATGGATGCGACTTTGCTTTCGCCTTCGTTCTTGGAGCTCTCCTTGTGCGAGCCAAATCCAAAGCGCTTCCGGAAAGACGAGGAGTTAGATCCGACTGACCCAGTATTGGTGTGGGACTTCGATTGGTCACAGGTCAGTGTTCCTTCCACCGAGGTGCCACCAGGGATAAAGTCTTCGAAGAGATTATCAAAATCGTCAACCAGTCGATCTAGCAAGGAGACATGGTGGCTAGGATCCCCGTCTTCGGTGAGAACCTCGGCAAAAGCCATGGTCAAAGCACCTCGATCCCCGTCATTTCCAGATGCATCGAGCAGCTCGGCAAGTAAACGAATTATCGCAGCTAAAGCTCGTCTGTTCTGCGGAGTCATGTCGGTCAAGAACCTCCGGAATTGATCATCAAAATCGCGCGGTATCATGGTGTCAAACTGGCTCTGAACCCACTTCAGAGAAGAGGAACTCAAGATAGGGCCCATAGTTTGGTTCCAAGCGTTAGCCAGGAAGGTTTCAAATGCGACGAAGAGCGTATCGACTGGGACTTCCGCTGCAGCCTGGATTTTGCTTGGGTCTTCCAATAAAATATTGTAAAGCTCATTGACCGGAGCGCGGTCAACGTGATCTCTGACACGGAGCATTCGACCCAGGATGTTTCCACTGCGAGACTGCAGAGAAAGCACAAAAGCCGCGAATGTTTGTTCCAGCATGCCGAACTGGGTATCCAATCCCTTGGAGGCCGATGCGCCAACGACTGAAATTTTATTACCACTCTCTTCTTTATCCCTTTCCTTTTGCTTTTCCTTGTCTTTGTCTTTTTCTTTCCCGGAGAACTGAGTTGAAAACTGAGAAGGCAAAGTGTTTGATCTTGACAAAGTGCCTCTTGGCGGGGGCATCTTAGGAAACTCGCCGGCAAGAGTTGCTGACCCTATCCCTTTGGCGGTGGACGCATGATCACGACTTCCTCCCAAAAGGTTTGAGATCAATTTGGTCGGTGAAGGCGGTCGGAATCCTCGCGAGGTTTTCACTTGCGTAATCAGGCTGCTGGCCACATAACGAAGGATCTCAAAATTGGAACGAACCAATGGATCTGTCAAGATCGGGTTTCGAGGGCTTCGCAAAGGCGAAAGCAAATATTGAACTGCGATTCTAGGTATTAGTGGTAAGAAAGGCTTGTTCCAACGAATGGTCACTTACGTCGTCTTGAGAGGGTGGGAATAAATGTGTCCACCGTTATCAAATCTGTAGACCCAGAACCAACAACAGAGTCAATATCCAGCCTGAACTGGTCTCCGTTTGGAGGAGATATTGATATTATAACCTCGAGATTGGAGCTTTTCAATATTTGACCACAAATTGTCTTGGGGGTGTCGAAAACAATACGTATAGGAGATGAGTGGACTTGGTTGAGTGCGGCCGTTTCGCCATCTTCGCACACGCAGGCCAGAATTCCCACATTACTGGAGACTCCAGTTGGAGGACTTCGGAGTGTCCATTTACCTCCTTCTCTTTCGGTTTCGGGGAATCGGCCTTCAATCTTCGCTTTCGATATTTCCTCAATCAATCGGCTGGCCCTTCCTTCGTAGGTTGTAGCCAACTCCAATGCAAGCAGGTCCTCTCCAGCGCCTATCTCAAACGATGTTGACTTGGCTGATACGGGCAGAACAAACATAATCCGGCCGCACGTGGATTGCATACAGCGCACATTATGAAAGTCCAGCACTTGCACCACTTGCAGTTCTGATGACGGGAGAGACATGGACATGTCAGTTGTTGATGAGGCCGCGTTATCGATGTCTGCCAGCACACCACGGGCTGTGGCTCGGCTTTCGGCCGGCTTTGCCAGAAGGACCATGCAGTTTTTATACAGGAGCATAATCCCTGCGCTGGACCCGGTTGACTGTGCCAGACGGAAGGGAGGCGTAACTTCATTGAAGTCAACCGCAGTAATCAAGCGACCTTCAGGGAATGTCCCCGATGGCCATCCGTTAACAAGCTCTCTTAGTCGGTCAAGGCTTTGTACATGGCTTGATGGCGAGTCATTCTCAAGCGCACAGATGTCCTTCACGATGTCTCTGGCTTTCAACAGAGGTCGCACAGCAGGATGGACCAAGGGCAAATTGCTGGTCATGGTGTCGATCAACAAGCTGTATCGAGGAAGACGTTGAACGGGCTCCATGAGCAAAGACCGTAGTCTCTGCTCTCCGGTTTCGTAAACTCGTTTCGAGAAGCTCGAGTTCTTATCTTTCATGAACATGTTGAGAGTCTGCGTAAACCCCGTGTGTGCTCGCATGTAATCACCGTATGGCTTTGAGAATCGTGGCAGCCATTCAAAGAGAGATTTCGCGAATGCAACGGCTCCAAGCGGATCGGTTCTATCTCTGGGTAAGCCCCGTGAAGGAAGCTCCGTGTCCTGTCCAATATCTGTGATAGCATCTTTCTCTGTTTCGTCGAGCACTTGTCGAATCACATCGAGGAACCCGAGATTGACTTCGAGAATTTCATTGAGGCATGGTGGGAACAACGCCGCTAGGGCTGCTTCGTCGGGACTATTACTTGATGGTCCACGGTCGTGGGCCTTTTGGAGAAACTCATCCGCCACTTCATGAACAAGGGAATACAACTTTGCAACGTATCGCTCTTCTGTATCCACGAGCTCACACATGGTAAGACGAAGAGCCTCTTTTTGACTTCTTGCAAATAAGCGCGATTTACTAACGTTTGTCGGTTGAGAAGGCGCACGTTTCAATCGCGATGTTGGGAGAAACATAGGATCACCCAGTGCCTCTATGAGTGGCGTATATGGGCCATACTGGGGGCTCTGGTCCTCTAGGTCCGATCCCCCACTCGCCCGTCGGCGGGGCGCTTGTATAGTACCTGCTGGAAGCACCACATCGATGTCAATCCATGGTACCTTGCGTTCTTGATATGCGCTTCGAATATCATGGATAATATCCGATGGATCCTCCACCTTGGTCATCCGATTGGCCAAATCTGCTGCGTGCATTTCATCGAACATCTTGGGTATCTTTCCTCCTGACCGCCCAGTCCGAGCCACTCCCGTCAGACGGGACTTGACCGGCTCAGAAAGCTCGGCAAAGTACCTCAACATGCTCACTGCTAGTCCGCGACACACCTCATTGCCTTGTTTTTCGCGGGGTAGGTGTTTGACGGCTGCGTACACAGGGGCAGCAGGGGACACTGTAATTCGAGGATAGCTTTGGAAGCCAGCTGGTGTGAATATATGGGCTTGGATGCGAGAGCTGCTGACTGTCGCATTGGCGGTGGAGACGGCTCCATAAAACACGAGGATGGATGATAAACACGAGTCGACGACATGATAAAGGCTGAGGTATTCGAGTGGCAGATCTGCCAGTGTGGGGGTTGCTGGGGGAGGTGCGATAGACATGATGGATTTCGCTTGCGACAATTGCGCGAGAAGCAGAGAGAAGGTGCTATCGATAAACAAATGGAATTTTCCGTTAGGCGTAGAAAGAGTGTATCAGGGCGAAGGCAGGCGCAATTAAAGTTTAGGATTAAAAGAGAGGATGAGTTTCAGAGTAAAAGACTGTTTAGGATCGCATGTAGGAGGATGTGCCCGTTATCCTGTTGTTGATAAAGCGATCGCGACAATCGCGCTCCCCTCCATGGAAGCTGGACAACACCAGATGCTTAATTCATAAAGTGGGTGGTGATGGACACGTGCTGGACAAGATCGAGAAAAAAAGAAAGGAAAGGAAGGCCGAGATAAAGTGTAATGAGGGGAGTTTGTTTTTGAGGCGGGGAGAGAGAGAAGCGGTGGGTTGATATCGCGATAGTCCCGATAGTAGCGGGTATTAGCGTCTCACACTAAATATTGCCTGGATTGCCTGGATTGCCCGGGTTGTCTGGATTCTTAGTAGTCGATTAAATGGATTTCTCTTAGCTTTTACTCTGAACTTTCTGCTTCAATGTTTTGATATTGTCTACAGTTTGTCCGGCCAACGCTTTCCTGTTGCTATCTTGTTGCTATGTATCCCCAACTGCTGCAAGGACTGCAGCTACTTACTATTATATGATAGGTCAGATCTAGATGATTCGCTGGTTTTTACCTATAACTAACTAGTTGGGCATTTGCTGCAGTTTCAAAGTGTTGCACATATGCTTGATGGTGAATAAATATAGCCAGCACAAAAAACAATCAAGCATCTTGAATTATCAACAATGCCATTATATCTTGAACAGGGCTACAATGGTCGTTCCATAAGCAAGATCGGATACTCCAATCTTTCGTTTTTTTTGCTTACTTGGAAAATACATCAGCCACTGTATTGATGATCGGCGTGATATAACTAAAGTGCATGTGCCTCGATTACTTTCTGCTTAATTATTTTCTGCATGAGCTAGCTCCTTGATCAATGTTATAGTCATATTGATACTTGCATATATAGATCTCACGTCGGAATTAACATCTAAATGGATATCAACTGTGGAAACAAACAATTCGAATCCATGGATGCAGGTGCGTATTGGAAATTACAAAGATACTGAGCTATTACCTAATACTACCCAATGGTATAAGTTCAATACATGAGAATAATGTAATGTATTGTTACAGGCCCCTGGTTTAGGCGGTGAATAGGCGGGGAAGACGCTAAGCTCGAATAGGAAAGGTAAAGGCAGTATAATCCAAGAGACCACCTGGGCAGCTGGTTTGTTCCGACCCCAAAACGGTGTTATAACAGCGAGTATCTCTTGCGAGGCTCGATTCCACCATGGACTCACCTTTACCTCCCATTGCTATCGACCCAGTAGCTTTGGTGACTACAGAATGCATTACCGTCACGTCCTCGATGCGCAAACATGCCCGGTGGGCACACTCCTCCGTCTCCGCTATCTTGGGCGGCAATGGAGCATCTCGCGTCTATGAACGGGATACATCTGCTCCCCCAAGTCCCAATCCCCGCAGGACTGGTCAACCGACACCTCAGGGCGACGATGATCATGTCCTGGCTAATCGTTGGGGTCTACGGGGGAAGAAAGGGAAGAGCATGCAGGACAATCCATTGATATCGGCCTTCACGCGACTAAGAAGTGATCTCAAAGATTGCAAAGACATCACAACTTTTGATACCCCAGCTTTACTTCATCCATTTTTACAGGTCGTCCGCTCCTCATCGACCTCCGCCGCAATTACTTCCACCGCCTTGGTCGCCATCACCAAGTTCTTTTCATACAACATCATCAACCCAAGCTCTCCGCGGCTCTCAATAGCAATGCAATTGCTCTCCGCCGCCATTACACACTGTCGATTCGAAGCGAGCGACTCCTCAGCGGACGAGATTGTCCTATTGAGGATCCTAAAGCTGATGGAAGGCATACTTTCACGACCCGAGGGCGAGTTGTTGGGCGACGAGAGCGTGTGTGAAATGATGGAAACGGGACTAAGCATGTGCTGTCAAGGGCGCCTCTCAGAGGTCCTGCGGAGATCCGCCGAAATGGCCATGGTCAAAATGTGCCAGGTGATATTCATGCGACTATCGCACCTTGATGCAGACATGCCCCCAGGGCCAGATCCATTTGCGGGCGAGGATAAGAAAAATGATGCATTATCTCGATTGAAGATGGACCCGTCAGTCAACGGGGACACCGTCACATCGCAGCATCTGTCAGCCATCAGTGCAGATACATCAGCAGCCGAACGGCACAGCACCAGCCGGGAGGGAACACCCGATCAGTCTGGTAATGGTAGCGCTGCAGCTGCACCCCCGAGTCCAAACGATGATCCCGAGTCCGAGATCCAGCCTTATTCGTTGCCATCTATAAGAGAATTGTTCCGTGTCTTGATCGACCTGTTAGATCCCCATAACCGACAGCATACCGATGCTATGAGAGTCATGGCACTTCGTATCATTGATGTTGCCTTGGAGGTAGCGGGACCCTCGATTGCCCGACACCCCAGTTTGGCTGCCTTGGCCAAGGACGACCTTTGTCGATACCTCTTCCAATTGGTCAGGTCAGAGCACATCGCCATACTAACCGGCTCGTTGAGAGTTGCTGGCACATTATTGTCAACTTGCCGACCAGTCCTGAAGCTACAGCAAGAACTCTATATCTCATATCTCGTGGCCTGTCTGCATCCTCGCGTGGAAATACCGCGAGAGCCTGGCATTGACCCCTCGCTTTACGAGGGCATCCCCCAATCACCAAAGTTGGTCAAACAACCAGCCTCTCAAACCAACAGCGGAAGATCCACACCTGTTCCTGTCAAGGACCGCCAAAAGCTAGGACTCGAAGGTGGATCGAGAAGACCCGAAGCCCGAGAAGCTATGGTAGAAAGTATTGGCGTTCTGTCACGGATACCTAGCTTTATGGTTGAGCTTTTCGTCAATTACGATTGTGAAGTAGACCGAGCGGATCTCTGCGAGGATATGATCGGACTTCTCTCTCGCAACGCTTTCCCAGACTCCGCGACCTGGAGTACTACGAATGTACCTCCATTATGTCTTGATGCTCTGTTGGGTTATGTGCAATTTGTTTACGACCGGCTGGACGATGAGCCGGTACAAGGAGACTATCCCGCCCAAGAAAGCCTACGGAAACAACGCCAGACGAAAAAGCTCATCATCAAAGGCGCTCAGATTTTCAATGAGGACCCCAAAAAGGGAATCGCCTTCCTCACAGGCCATGGTGTTATCGAGGATGCGAAGAACCCCGTGCTGGTGGCTAAATTCCTCAAAGGAACATCACGTCTATCAAAGAAAGTTCTCGGAGAGTACATCTCCAAGCGTGGCAATGAGGAGTTACTGGGTGCCTTCGTGGACTTGCTTGACTTCTCAGGGCGCAATGCGGTTGAAGCGCTTCGAGAGCTACTTAGTTCGTTCCGTTTACCTGGTGAATCGCCTCTTATCGAGCGAATTGTCACGATTTTCTCGGAGCATTACGTGGAAAAAGTTAAACCTGAAGGCATTGCCGACAAAGATGCCTTGTATATCTTGACTTATGCCATCATCATGCTGAACACCGACTCTTATAATCCTAATGTCAAGGCACAAAATCGCATGACCTTCACCAGTTTCGCAAGGAACTTGCGCGGTGTCAATGCCGGAGGAGATTTCGCAGAGGAGTTCCTCCAAGAAATCTACGATTCTATCAAGAACAACGAGATCATCTTGCCCGACGAGCACGAGAATAAACACGCTTTCGATTATGCTTGGAAAGAACTATTGTTGAAGTCTTCATCTGCTGGCGATGTTATAATTGGAGAAACTAACGTGTTTGATGCTGAGATGTTCGAGGCTACATGGAAACCGGTGATCGCGACCCTCTCATATGTCTTCATGTCAGCATCGGATGACGCCGTGTATTCTCGCGTGGTCAACGGGTTTGATCAATGCGCACAGATTGCAGCCCATTATAACTTGACTGAGGCGTTTGATCGCATCGTGTTTTCTCTCGCATCGATTAGCACTCTATCTACTCCCAAGCCTCCGAGCACAGCACTGAACACAGAGGTTCAAGCAGGCCAGAAGAGCGTGATGGTGAGCGAGTTAGCAGTCAAATTTGGCAGAGATTTCAGAGCACAATTGGCCACTGTGGTGTTGTTCCGAGTCCTTGCAACAAATGAGGCCACTGTTAAGGAAGGCTGGGAACACATTGTACGCATATTGAGCAATTTGTTCATCAATTCTCTCATTCCTCCATTCGATGCCCAGCTCACGTCCGAGCTCGAAATTTCTCCCATTCCCTTGCAGCCCCCATCGCAAGTGGTTGATCGGGATGGACGCAACAATGACACGGGCATATTGTCTGCATTTACATCTTATCTTTCAAGTTATGCAGCAGACGACCCACCGGAGCCTTCAGATGAGGAACTTGACAACACACTTTGCACCGTTGATTGCGTAACAGCGTGCTCGATACCCGATATTCTAAAGAACATCAAATCACTTCCTTTGTCTTCTCTGGAGATGCTTGTTGAGGCTTTGCTGTCTCTACTTCCCGAAGAAAACGCACCGGCAGTCATAGTTGTGAAATCTGAGAGGCCGACACCGTCGTCAAGAATTTCGAACAACAGAGTTGACCCTAACCAACCAAAATACGACCCTTCAACTATCTTTGTCCTGGAACTGGCCACTGTGCTCACTCTCCGGGATGAAAAGACCTTAGAGGTGCTTGGAGAAAATTTGGCAACAACGCTCCAAACATTGGTGCGCGATGCGAAAAATCTTCACCCACTGACTGTATCCCGCGTCGTTTCTTACCTGCTCAATTTGCTGCGACTCAGCCATGTACGTATATCCGTGGATATTGATTGGCTTCGATTTTGGCCCTAAACTAATGAATTCTAGGATCAACACTTCATGCGGGTACCCGTTGTGCTCCACGCTATTTCTGGATTCGATCAGGATATCTTGGAAACCGTGGCTACAGCTACTGTGAAGGGTCTTGCTAGGTGCATTGCCCACACTGGTCGTCTCAGAAATGAGATCACTATCTCTCCCGACTTCTGGTCGATCTTGCAAAGACTTCACCAACATGAGGCGGTTGCATCTCTCGTATTCGATCTCCTCCAAAGCATTGTCGAGTCAATGCCCGACATTATCACCGCCGATAACTACGAATTCGTAGTCAGCTTGGCCAATGACTTTGTCAGTGCTGGGCGTGTGGGATCTATCGAAGAACGACACAGGGATGCTCAGGCCCGCCGTAATAAGAACCTCAAACAGTCCAAGCCTAGGTATGCTATACTTTTGAACTATTTTTGCTTAATACTGACCTCTCCGTAGTGAGAACCAAGTTGTTACTCGCGGCGTGAAAGCAATTGGTCTGATCTATCATCTGACCGGACGGGTTCCCGCTTTAATTAAACAATCCCACCTTGAGGAGAACGAAGGTAACAATCGACCTTGTGACAGGAAATATGTATTAAGAGTCTAACGTGTAACTTTCCAGCCTGGGCCGCCTACTGGTCACCTATCTTCCAGTCCTTGACCAGCCAATGCATCAATCCGTGTCGCGACATCCGACACCACGCAATCTCCACGCTACAGCGATCTCTTCTATCCGCCGAACTGATCTCAAGCGACGATAATGAGTGGACTAGCATTTTCGACGAAGTTTTATTCCCGCTTGTGCTACTCCTTCTGAAGCCCGAGGTCTACCACTCCGACCCTGTCGGTATGAGCGAGACTCGATTCCAGGCTGCAACATTGGTCTGCAAGATCTTCCTGCGATTCCTTGATCAACTACCCAACCGGACGGGTATGCTTCCTCTCTGGCTCAGGATCCTAGATATCCTCGACCGCATGATGAACAGCGGTCAAGGCGACAGTCTTGTAAGTCAACCAATTCTCTCTGTAACCAGAATATCCAATCGACCCCTTCTAACGCTATTTCTCTTCACAATCTTAGGCCGAAGCAGTCCCCGAAAGCTTGAAGAATATCCTGCTAGTCATGGCCGACGGAGGCTACCTCGTGCCTCCATCTCAAGATCCGAGCAAAGAGGAAATCTGGATCGAAACCCGCAAGCGCCTCGGCCGCTTCTTGCCCGATCTGTTTTCAGAGATCTTCCCCGATGCTCCCAAGGACTCGGAAAAGTCTCGACCGGGCACTGCTGTATCCTCTCCGGTACTGGCCACTGAGGTAGAGCAGAAGAGCGAAGAGACTGCCACTTCGCAGGATAATCCTGAGAAAGAGGAGGCTGCGGTCGCAGATAGCGAGATACAGCCTGCTTCGCAGGAGGCTGAGGAAGGTACCTCGTAATGAGGAGTCTCGATGCCTTCCAAGGTCTCGTTGAATTTTTCGTGGTCTTTCTTATTTCTCTGGTCTCTGGTCTCTTTGCATTTACAATTAGAAAAGCGTTGGGGCTGCGCTTTAGTTATTTGTCCAATCTCACATGTAGATATAGCTTGATTTGATAATTGGCGTTACATGCTAAAATATCGCTCACCATCTCATTGATAATTCAATCACCGGATTATGCATGCAATTCTTGGATATTCGATAGTTATGTAGTCTCTACGGTAAAACATGGCTAGGGCCTATGTATTGCTGAGTATGTACCAGTTGAACACACAGTCGTAAGGGCAATCGAGTCGGGCAAGTTGCTGCACACACGTATCATTCCTTGGAACATTCTATACACATACAGATGCAACAATAGAGTTTACTCTATGTCGAATCAGGTATCCTAGCACAAGACACGAAAAATCGAACAAGAAAAAAAACAATCGCAAGGTGCCAAATGCCTCCCTCATTCGAAACAAACGGAAAACCATAATCATGGTTTGAAATGCAGTGGGTTGTGGTAAAACCAACCAAAATCGGAGCTGAGATGACAATTCATCGAAAACGATACTGGGAATGGAGAGTGTACAAGATACAGGTTAACGGAAGAGAGAAAAACAAAAAGACGATGATGAATCAAGTGAGCAGAAGACTTCGTAAAATGTTCGTTCCCTTCTCCGAAAGACATTCCCTTTCTAGTCCTCGTCCATATCAAGATCGATAGCATCAGGGTTGGCTGCTGCTGCTGCAGCTGGTTCCTGGCCTGCGGGTGGGGGTCGGTTGCCTCCCTCTGGACCGCTGCTAGCAGCGACGAAGCCCACAGGGGCGCGAGCTTGACGTTCCAATTCGGCCATGGCATCAAGGTTTGCTTGGTTCTCATCGCCTTCGCCGGCCTGAGGTTGCTGTTGGCTTCTAGCGATGGCCTGGGATGCAATGAAGTTGACATCGGTGCTGTAGACTATTGTTAGCGAAATGTTCAGTAGTATTGGATCAAGAGAGTCACATACTTGTATTGAGCCTGTACACTTCTCTTGATGCGGAGCATCTCTCTGAAGGTATCTTCGTTTCCGTGTTTAACTTCGAAATCCTCGTACTTCTGCCAGAAGGGAGCATTGATCCGGGGATCGCAGAATTGAGATCCGTGGCCGTAGATTGCACGGGCACGATCGATCTCGCCAAGTCGTCGTTCCATCTCGGCGAATTTGAGACACATTTCCTTTGCCTCCTGGTCGGGCAAGGCGGCAATGGCGCGCTCGTAAATCGGTCTTGTGGATGTGAGACCAAAGTTGGAGGCCGACTTTGTGATGTAGAATTCGAACATCTCGAATCGGTCCTCGTCGGACACAGCACGAGTAGCACGTTCGTAAATCCGCATTGCGTGTCGTGCGAGACCTCGCTCTTCTTCCAGATTTCCGTACATCAGGTATAACGGCTTGGCGAACTTCGGCGGGCATGCTTCCAAGGATTGCTCAAACAAGTCCCGAAGGCGCTCAATGCCAATCTTCCGGTCTACAGCCTTAGTCAAGTACAAGTTCCAAAGCTCGAACGCAACGGGATACATGAAAAGATCCAATCCTCGCTCGTACACCTTGAAGGACTCTTCGAAGTATTTGTTCTCTTCCAAGAGGTTGGCGTAGTTGACGACAGTTTGAGGTGTGGCAATCCGAAGTTCGAAGATTCGCTCGTATACCTTTTTGGTCTCGTCCAGGGACGAAACACTCTCGACGAGATCGACATAGAAACTCCACAACTTCCAGCTCTTGTGGATTCGTTGCTGTGGGGAAAGGGTCTCATCAAAGTAGTCCACGGTTGACTTCTTGGGAGCCTGTGTCGCCTTCGCCATGATGCTGACTGCTTTGTCGAAGTTTTCGGCGCGCAGCTCCATTTCAGCCCATTCACACCATGTCTCCGCCAGTTCGGCAACTGACTTGAATGGAACCTTGACAGCCTTGTCGAAAATGACTCGTGCGGTAGCCAGGTCCCCACCGTTTTCGTAGAGCTTGGCATAATTGACCCAAAGCTCGGAGAATTTTCCATGCGCTTTTTTGGGACCAATTGCTGCAATGGCAGCTGTGTATGTTTGAACAGCTTCTTGCTTGTTATCACCCCAGAGTGCCACTCTCTTTTCCCATTCAATGACGTTGTGTGGGTTCTGTCGTAGGAGAACATCATTCACCAGGAATGGTCTGCGATCCATCAACTGCTCAAATCGCAGCATACGGAGATCAAGGTCAAAGTCGGCTTCCTCGTCAACCTTGCCCTTTTCAGACCGAACTGCCGCGCCTTCCATCAAACTGCCAATGATAGACTCCTCGAATTCGACGTAGGAGTCAAAGATTAGAGTGAAATCACGGACTGTCATCACAGTAGTGATTCCCTCCTCAAAGACATCCCGTGCCTTCTCGAAATTGCCTTTAGTGATCCAGTACGTTGCCAAACCGGCCCAGAGCTTGCCTCGCTGATCTGCAAAGCGCTGGATACCACTCCGGAGAATGGCGTCAACATCGATTCCGACTTGTGGACCGGTTTCAATCTTCTTAGCCTTAGACACAAGCAGATCTACCATTTCAGTCCACATTTGGAATGGACTCTTGCCGTTTTTGGATTGGAACCGCTGATTGTCGAGAACCTCCATATACTTTTTCACGGCTTCTGTGTATTCGCCCATTTCGACGAGAAGCTCGATGTACTCCTCAATGTTCTCAGGGTGAATTTGCATGTACCGCGCAAAGATTTTGACGGCGGTTTGTCCGGAAGCAGATCGAGCAAAGCCCTTGTAGAGTCTCCAGATTCGATTGTGCTGGGTGACTGGCAGAGCGCGGAGGGAACGATCAAACGTTCGTCGAGTCTGTGTCACTAGTGGTTGCTGGAGCAGGAAGGAAAGGTACATTTCCCAGATGCGCGGCATCTTATTGAGAAGAATCAAAGCTCGTTCGAAGAGCGCATTCACCTTCTGGTATTCGGCGCGGTATACCATGGGGTTGCGACCCTTCAGATGCTTCATGCGGAACTCGAGATACTAGGAAAGTCAGTAAAAGATATAATCTGAAACTTGGGTAGAGATGTGCTTACCATCTTCCAGAGCTTGTATGACCGCGGCAATTGCTTGCAAGCACGCTCCATGACCTATGAATGATATTAGTTGTATCCCTATGATACGAGTCATGCGGATAGCAACATACAAATGCTTGCTCATAGAGGGTGCCATTTTGCTGCTTGAATTCGATGTAGGCGAGCCATGGCTTCACACTAGTGGCGTCGCGAAGCAAATCTTGTTCGTAGATGATATCCTGGTCGGTCTAGTTACAAAATTTGAGTTAACTTTGACTTCAACAAGTCCAATGGGTCAGAACTGACAATCAAGTAGAGGTCCGGCCGGGACGCAGATGGTCGATCCATCTCTGCGTGCTGCCGGGTTGATCTCGGGGGCAAGAGCGTCCCTGGCATTGCGCCACTCAGTCGAGCGAGTTCCTATTACACGGTCAACGTGTCTGCATATAAAATCGCATAAATTGAATGCTGTCGGCGTGCGCGTTTAGAGCAAACCCGTCAACGGATGAAGTTCGCACGTTGATCTGTATCACGTGATTCCATCTGTATCAGGTGGGCGGTGGAGCTTTATCGGCGTCATATCAATGTGGCCGCATTACGCCAGCTGAACAACAAGGACTCTATTGTGCTTTGTGCTGTGATACAGTCATGTCGGGCGCTGTAGTAGGTATACCCTGGAAATGAAACAGTATCTTGATTCTGACCGACATTTGTTTAGGGCCGAGAGGCAGTCTTCCCCACTCGCCAATCATTGGGGTTGATGAAGAACAAACTGAAGGGAGCAGAGATTGGCCATAGCTTGTTGAAGAGAAAGAGTGAAGCTCTAACAAAGTACGTTTTGCATACCTGATGTTATTCCCAGATCATGTGCTGACCCGTCACCTTCCCACCAGACGCTTCCGAGGTATGCGGTTTATCGACACATTCCCCCGTTCCCCGCCTTAGATGCTAATTGTACTTGACAGACATTACACGCCGTATCGATGAAGCCAAACAAAAGATGGGCCGGGTCATGCAGATTGCAGCATTCTCATTAGCTGAAGTCAGCTATGCCGTCGGAGGAGATATTGGTTACCAGATCCAGGAGTCTGCCAAGCAGGCCCGTTTCCGCGTACGAGCCAAGCAAGAGAACGTCTCTGGTGTTCTCCTGCCTACATTCGAGAGTTACACACAGGAGGGTGTCAATGACTTCGGACTAACAGGTTTGGGTAAGGGAGGCCAGCAGATTCAACGCTGTCGGGAAACATATGCACGGGCTGTGGAGACGCTGGTGGAACTTGCCAGTCTACAGGTATGTTTGTAAGATGCCATTGATTGGACACTGTCTCATCGATTGTACTAGACTGCTTTCTTGATCCTGGATGAAGTGATCAAGGTTGTCAACCGAAGAGGTAAGTTCTCTTTTCCCAGATTGTGCCAATTGTTGCTTGATAGCTAATTTGAGTTCTACAGTAAACGCCATGTAAGATCAAAATAACCGCATAGGGTCATATCCCAGATACTAACATATCACTCACAGCGAGCATGTCATCATTCCTCGAACTGAGAACACTATCAAATGTTTGTAATGACCACTTCCGTCTCTTTTGCACCATCTAATCATCTACAGACATCAACTCCGAACTCGATGAGCTTGATCGAGAGGAATTCTATCGATTGAAGAAGGTCTCAGGCAAAAAGCAAAGAGATGTTGCTGCTGCCGACGCCGAGATCCTTGCAGCCCGTCAAAAGGCAGTAGCGGATCGGGCAGCGGAGCAAGCAGCGAACCCAGAAGCACCTACTGATGCTGCTGCCGCTGTCCCCGTTAAAGAGGAAGCGCCTACAGATGTCTTGGGCGAGGATGAAGATAACGATGTCATCTTCTAGACTGCTATTTTATCCCATTTATCGATACTCTTTTCTTGTTGGCGCCTTCTGTTTTGGTCACAACATGGACCACTTTGTATTCTCTTACTCGATTTAGCCCCTTTTGGCTTGTTTTCATTTACTTTGAAAAATATTGAACTTCATTTGATATGCAACGCGGATGCATTGCAGTAGCAAGAGAATCATGATAAAGCTCTCCGTGTTTCTAATACACATATGTTTGAGACGAGACCTTCCAAACGCCAGAAAGAACAAGACCGGGATATTTTGTGAGATGCGTCCACCCACAACTACTGTCGCTGGTAGGTAACGCGAATGGGCTTGCCTTGGTCGCCCATGGGCATCCCCGACGTAGCCTCCTTCGCGCTGATTGCTCCAGTCTCGGCCTCGTACTCGACGAAGGCAATTCCCTTGCGACCAGGCACCAATCTGACTTCCTGGAATCCCTCGAAACGGCCAAAGATAGCAGAGAGACTCTCCTCGCTTGCATCGTCGGGCAACTCCCGCAGGAACAAAATCTTGTTGGGTGGGAGGTACTCGTCGGGAACGACGGCAGTCGCAGCACCGGAGGTAGGCTTGAGACCGGCACCTTTGGTGGTCTTGGCCGGACGAGCGGCTTCGGCAGCGGCAGCAGGACGCTTGAGCTTCTTCTGTGCTTCGAGGGCCTCCTGGGCTTGCTTGCGCTCTAATAAAATACATGTGTTAGAGCGAGGCACGTGTGGTAGATAATGCGCCGAAGCCAATCCAACATACCTTTCTCAGCTAGGCGTCTCCGCTTGTGAGCCTCGAGCTCATCGTTGCCGCCTTCCCGTTGAACAGTTGCATCACTCCTTGTCTTCGCGTAGTCCAGCACCATAGGCTTGGCGAAAATATCGAAACCGTTCATTTCCTCAATCGCGCGGGTTGCGGCGTCAACGCTGTCGAAGACAACGAAGGCCTGGCCCTTGGCCTTGAGGTTCGTCTTTGCGACGATCTCTATAATGGTGCCATATTCCGAGAAAAGCTCCTCCAGCGCCTCTTTCAACTGATCAATTTTGATTCGTTCGTCTAAATTCTTGACCTAATACGTAGTGAAGTGGTCAGTATGTGAGCGGGTAATGGAGCGATATGATGGAGGGGCATAGGCGCACATATACTCTGCAGAGACTTGTTAGCATGGAACATGATCACCGGTCCCAGGATAGTACTCACGTCGAATTGGGAGGAAGCCCAGCTGCAGATACGGCCGCCATGGTTGCGACTATTGGAGCTCCGGGAGACGGCAGGTCGAGCTTGTGCTTTGAGGCAGAAATGAGGTCTGGATAGTACTCTCTGATTCATAAATCATAAGAAGGCCCCCTTCTTCAACAACTAGCATCATTGGTCTAGTGGTAGAATTCGTCGTTGCCATCGACGAGGCCCGTGTTCGATTCACGGATGATGCACTTTTCTTTTTTGTCTTTTTGTGTTTCTACACAACTTCCAACATTATCTCCATGTCAATTTCTTTTTTCTTTTCCAAGGCTGTGACTGTTCAATTTTTACATCTTCAAAACATGTTTCTTCTCCAATGTATGATCAGTTAAACTATTGTGTTTGGAAATATCTTTTGATTGGTTCATGACCCCTCCAATATATATCTGAGGGATCGACCGTCAAGAAATATTTCATGCTGCTTTTGCACCCTGTCCAAGTAAAATTCCATAGCTTAAACCCTCATATCGATTCCTTTAGACTTTTCTTATTATGGGCTACCTAGATAGTCAATAGGGCGTGTTCCAAGGTTGATGACGTGAGACCGGGCGAGCAAGAATTTCCCGCTAAGCAGCAACTATTTTAGCCTCGCAGATGAGAGATATGGAGATCGGAATTCCGAGTGTCGTCTGAGATGTAGGGCTCTGATTGGGGCTTCGAGGTCAATAGTCTACGAAGTACGTACCTCGGATTTGTCACTTTGACGCAGAAAACAGCTGCACCAATGAATATTCTTACAATAATAATGGCTTGCAAGATAAGTACGTACATATGTATGCATCTAATGAACTATGCTAAGACATTTGTGGCAAATAAACAGCATCAAGGGGCGAGGCCCCCAAAATCCTCATGCATAGACTTTTATCTAGGCGTCCAGGCCTGCAGGTTTCACTTCTAGCAGCCAATCGTGCCAGACCTTTGTATAGTTGCTCGGCAGAATGATACAGTACCATATTGTAAGACGTTTGCCAATAGCATACCTAGGTAGCGTACACTTTCTTATAAATAGCATGACCAACTGTATCCATGTCTTCACACTTAGCCAAAATGCACCTCACGTTTCTACTATCCCTCGCAGCCCTCATAGGCATTAGCACAGCTAAAACGCCAGGCTGCGGAAAAGCCATACCCTCCCTATTCCCAACACCCGGAACAAACCAAACACTCAAACTGCCAGGCTCAGACCGTCAATACCAACTATACATTCCAGCCAACTATGACAAGAACAAGCCTACACCACTATACTTTTCATTCCACGGCGCATCAGGCACCATGATAATACAAGAAGCCCTATCCCAATTCTCCAACCCACTATTCAACCCCAACGGCATTGCCATCTACCCAAACAGCAAAAATGGCTACTGGCTCTCACATCCAAAAGCAGAGACAACGCGCCCAAACGATCTGGACTTCACCAACGACCTGCTCAACCACATGGAAGAAAAGCTGTGCATTGACACAAACAGGATCTATTCGGCAGGCAAGTCCAACGGAGGTGGCTTCACAGGCGTAATTGCCTGCAACGCAACAGTCGGAAGCCGCTTTGCTGCTTTTGCAGCCGTCAGCGGCGCTTGGTATAATACCGATGACATCGAGGGCGTGGGTCCCTGCGCGCCTGCTGAGCGGGAAGAGGGCTATCCGTTTTTGGAGTTCCATGGCACGACGGATACTACTGCGCCTATTGACGGTAATACGAAGAGCGATCCCAAGCTGCCTGTCATTGATATATTGCAGGGCTGGGCGGCCCGCAATGGATGTGGAGACCAGGCGCAATGGGCTAGGAACGAGACTGTTTTTGCGAAGCCGCTTGTGAGGCATGCTTCTTGGGACTGTGATGGGAAGAAGGGGATTGTTCAGCATTATCGTGAGGGTGATAATGGCCACTGCTGGCCTAGTACGGTCGGGAATAGTGACTATGTCAGTCATCCTGACCAGTGCCCGTTGGGTAAGTATGTTTTCAATGCGACAGAGTATATCTTTGACTTCTTTGGGGGGTATCAGTTAGCCGAGTGATTGTTTATACTTCATGGCGCTTCAAAATTTGGTTCGATCCTTTCATGTTTATTGTTTATATTTGCTAGAAACGGCGAGTTGTCAAAGCAAAGTACATCCAACCGGCTCTTACATATTAGCGCCTACGCTAGTTATCAAGACCAAACGCTTGATCAAATTTACAGATAACAACGAAGATCTCTGATGTTATAATGCCTGTGGCTCTGAGGTGACCTGAGGCCTCTTGAAGATCATGTTCATTGGCACATATCACTCATTTCTTAGCTTTCTAGGTTGAGAGCCACCCTTAAGTTATCAACTTGAGGTTTTAATTGCTTAGGCGGAGCAGACCAGTCCTCATATTTCACAATTTCAGACTCTGTCACGACAAACAGATATTCTGCAGCGCTCGATCGAATCTAAAAGATAAAGTTGGTAAGTTTTATATATATCAATAAATAGAGATCAAACGCACCCTCGGGAATGGATGCAAAAGCATCCCAGTTAGCTTCTTTAGGACACCTGCGCGCAGGAAATCAATTCTTGCCAATGCCCCGTAGGCTCTGATAGCAGCTTCTAATCGAGGTATATTTGCCGATCTGAAATGTGATTTCTGGACCAGCGTGAACAAACTTCGAAAACTGTAGGAAATAAATGTGTCAGCGGATGATCCAGACATACGAACCACGGGGAAAGGGTCGACAAACCTTGAAGTTGATCCCTCTGGAATGATAGGAATATAGCTGTCAATCAGGAAGGCAACAAACTCGACAGCAGGAATGGAAAAACGGTCATCTTGAAGGTTGTCATTCAACACAGTGGACATATCCTGCAAGAATACCATTAAGATATCCTGGCGTTGGGCCTGGGGCTGGGCGCTTAGGAATTGAGTCAATGCCGAGCGGGATGCTCGAACAAGACCCTCAGCCCCTGAGATAGCAGACGTAGCAAAGCCCTGAAGTATAGGCAGACGAAGCCAGTCAATGGATTGTAAGGTGAGCAGCTGAGCGAAATACTCTTGCGACGAGACGTGACTGAAGTGCTCGAATTTTCTACTGTAGTTAGCACTCATTCCGAAGGTGGGTTTTATCGAAATTTATTACCGTTCAAGTGGAGGAAGATTGCCGGCAGACTCCCAGAAGGCTTGTAGACAAAGCCACGCCTGTAGTCTCACCTTGTCCAGTTTCTCACAGGCAAGGCGACAAATGCATCCGAGCAAACTTTGAATTACTGGTGAGCGTGACGTCAACTCCCTTTGTAGCAGGATGTTGACTGCTTGGATTGCTTCCACTCGGATAAGTGATCCGACATCACCTCTTCTGTCGGTTGTGTAATCATTCAATAAATCTAGGAAGTTTTTTGCAACTTCATCCGTGGAATCTTGAGTCGGATTAGCTTATTTCAAATCGGAAATGACCAGTTAGCCGCAACAGATATCTAACATACCCATGTATGGCAATATGTTAGTTGCCAGGCACTTTACAGCAGCTACTCTTTTCTCAATGAGCTCCTCCTTTCCGGCATAGCGGAACAGCTCAATGACTATGTTATCTCGGAGATCATGCTGTGTTTCGAGTTGTTTAAATACCGCGCCGAGTGCTAGAATTTGACCGCGGCCTGTCGGCGATCTCCACGAAGACCGAAGATGAGAGATCCAATCGCGAACCGTTTCTCCCTGCTTTGTGGCGGGCAGAAGGGGGAACAGTTGAGATAAGGCATTTGAAGAAGTTTCGATAGAAATGTCATCCGTCCGAGAAACACAGAGGGAGAGAACTTGTAGTGCACGGTCCATAATCATCTCACGTGGTTGAGTCAAACCTGTCGTAGTAGTAGATCGGGATAGCGAAGAGATCAAGCAAGACGACGCCTCTGCTGTTAACTCAGGACGTGAGGTTTGGAATGTCAAGTCGTCATCGGTAGGGCCGGACTGAGAACCAAAGATATCCCAGATATTGGCCACTTGGGAAGAAACAGCCTTGGCCTCAGAAGATTCTCTTGTCTCTACTGATGCTTCCCACTGAGCAGTGAAAGTATCGACTGTGGCAGCAATGGACAATAGACAACCATGTCGTGATTCCACGTCATTTCGAGAGATACTGGAGAACTTGTGCAGCAAAAGATCCAAGACCTGATTCATGGTCTTGTACAGTTCTTGAGAGCTCATTATTCCAATCGATTTAGCCGCATGTCTTCTGGACGCAGCATCTGGGGAGCCAATGCCCCTCCAGCCCACCAAGGCATCCAACAGTGGACTCCAGTAAATCTGATCGAGAGAAGCCGTCGCTTTAGCAACGTCAATCATTGCACGAGAGCGTCGCGCAACGGCATGGTAATCGACAACCTGTACAAGGGGAATGCCTTGTGCAATGGTATTGGGATGGCGTCCAATTAACTCCTGTAAGGCAGCAGAAGAACCACGCCGGATGTTTCCAGATGGGTCGATACAAGCTGCGCAAACTAATTCCACAGCTAGCTTTTGCAACACGTCAACCTCTTGATGACCAGACGACGACGCCACCACTTGCTTTTGCAACGATAGGAGTGTTGGTGTTGTGTATTTTCGAGATAAGGCCCATATGCCAAAGCAAGCCGCATCTCGTACACCAGTTCCCACAGAGCTACCAGTTGATGACCTCTGCTCAAAGCCTAAACCAGCTACAAGTGACTGGAGAATCTCAGGCAGCTGGTAAATTGGCGGTGCTCGGCGGAAAAGCAAGTGGGATAACGTCAGGATTAATCCTTGCCATTGCTGGGCGTCGACAGCGCTGAGATTGCGTTTGAGGGTGTGAGTGCCTATAGTTCGGGCCTCGGATGGCGTGACTAGAGTACCGTCATTCTTTTCAAAAAGAATATTCTCCCCCAATGAACCAATGACCGCTTCAATGACCTCAGTCGCCATGTCCGGATCTAATTTGAGCGTGATGATACTGAGTGCTTTACTGGCTGCAAATCGCACGGGCGTGTCTTTGTCGGCCAGTGAGACCAAAAAGTGATCAATCGCATCTTCCAGAATGGTAGATAACTGGTCATCTGTAATTTTTCCGTCTCCTCGCTCGCTGAGGGACAGAGCCATCACTGTAATGTTACGAAGGATCTTGACAACAATCTTTCGAGCTAAAGCCGAAGACTGGATGGTTGCAGACACTGAAAAGTGTCCTTGATAGATGCTGAGAGTTTGCTTGAAAACATAGTCGATCAGAGGAGCAAAATCCTCTACCTGGCCCGATGCGCCTAAGCGGGCAATGAAAGTAAGAATACCAATGCATGCATACACAGAGGGCGTTTCGGCATCCTCCGACGGCTGGATCGTGGAAAATGCCCAATTAGTCAAGCCAGTAAGTACTCCAAGAGCTTGCATATCTCCACGCAATGCCAATCGTGCCAAGAGCGCTGTTGCTGCCTCTTGTTCTTTCCCTGATTCACCAATGTAGTGCAAAGACAAAGAAAGAAGAGATTTCGCAACCATGGGTGTTTCAGAGGGCAGCCAGCTCAATTGCTGTAAATTGTCATGGGGTACTGGGATATCATCCGACGATAAAGAAGACAGGTCAAAGGGAGCAAGTAGAAGATGGGAAAGCCACACCAGCATCACATAGCGTTCTTCCCAGATCAGTCGTCGGGGCTCTGAGTCGAAGCAGTCCTCTCCAGTAGAGGGATGACTTACGTCCCACTCGATGAAGCCCCGAAGCATCGATTCAAGATATTTTGGCTCATTGCTTAAAAACCTGCTAATCACCTTCACGCCGCGGACTTTGCAGAAAATGTACAACAACCTGCAAATTGCCCTTGGAAGCGGATAGAAATTTCCCCCTTGAGATGACTTTGTCGAAACAGAGCCATACTGGGAGCGATGTTTGATCAAATAAGCCAAGAAAGCGTCCACTAAAGGAGGTAACAACTTCTGCAAATGGGGGTCTAAGAGTTGAGGCCACTCTTGAAAAGGTTCAAGCTGTATCCATCATCAATAAATTTCCATATCATAATAATTCAAGAACATTGATATATCTTACAAGGCTGACAAGCTTCTCCGTCTTGGTGATCTGTGCCCATTTGCGTGGGGTGCGGAGGGGAGTTCCATTTTGGGATTTCCATAATAGCGAGGGTAATTTTGCCGAAAACTCAGTCACCAAATCTCCAGAGGCTCGTTGGAGTTTCACATCTCGATCTTCGACAGCATCCATGGTGGAATTTCGGATGATGCAGTGCGTGAAGAACGCAGTGTTGGGAATAGCGTCAACAGCGGGACCGGTCATGTGACGCTCTATGGTTCTACATCTGGCATCATATCATATACTTAAGGTATAATATCCAGGGCTTTCTACTCTGTATATATATTTCCATAAGTCTTTTTGGTGTTTGAGGTCTTTGAATGTCCTTTGGGGTCTCTCTTTGACTCATGAAAATATAGCGGCTAAATATCCCCTAATATCGGTGCATTTGAAAGCGCTTGGAATAAGACCCATGTTTCCAGAATTTTTTAGCCAGCATGTACGATCAAGAAGATAAGTATAGAAAAGCATTGTTTAGTAAAATCATGAGGCACAGAAAAAATGTTGATTTTGTAACTTTTATCGTCAATAGGCTAGTAGATGCCATTGGAATCCAACCTCTTCTCTATACATTCACACCCGCTCTATTGCTTCTCGGGATGCTTTCGCCCAGTCCACCATTTTCCAGAAATAAAAGCCCTCAGTCAGCACAATGATCGACTGAGCAATGAGGATTCCACACCACAGCCCAAATATGCTCCAGTCCAATACAAATGCAAATGCAATTCCCAAGGGCAGGCCTACGAGGTAATAGATTGAGAGCTGAACATAGCTACCCAGATCCGGCCGGCCAACAGCCCGCAGTAAGCTGTTTAGGGATGTAGCCACGGCATCGGGTATTTGAATGACAGCACCCAAGGGCAGCAAAATATAGATATAGTGCCAGACCTCGCCAATATCACTGAAGAAGCCTGGAATCACACCCCGGAGAGTGATAATGACAAGCATATTTGCAAGGCCAGCACCAAAGGAAGAGAGTACCATGACTTTAGCTGCTGTAGCCGCACGTTGGAGGAAGCCTGCACCCACCAAGTACGCAATGTGCGTACCACCCGCAACAGCGATGGAAAACGAGACCTGGAACGCAAAGTCGGACAGCGTCGAGATGGCAGCCTGGGTTGCAAGCTCAGTCGCACCCAGATGAGACGATACAATTGTCATGAACTCCCAAGCGAGGACCTCAGCTTCGATCATTAACCAGCTGGGGATGGCAAGGCTTAACATCGGACCCCAGCCGCGCCATACCTCCATTGAGATAGGATGCCAACATTCAGATCCCTTGATGAAGATCACATACAGTGCCAGGAAGACTGGAAGAAGACTGTTTGCAATCGCGACGGCGATAGGCGCACCGACAAAGCCCCATTGCAGTCTCTGGAAAAAGAACAGACCATCAGCGATTAGCCCATCATTTCAAATCAGGTCCAACTTACCCAAACAAGCAGCCATCCCATGAAGATGTTCAAAACAGAACAAACCAACAAAACCACCAGACTAGCACCGAACAAGCCCTGCGCCTGGAAAAAGCGCTTCCCGGACTCAAAACAAGCATACCCCGGCGCGCCGGCAATAGCGATTTTCAGATACAACCCAGCAAGCAGGGCAGTTTCCCTCGATTCATCCGGCAGAACAAGGAGAAAAAGGCGATCTGCATTGAACCAGATGGCGCCGATAGGAACAGTCAGGACGAGCATGAACAGCGTCAGCCGCTGAACATGGAGGCCGACCATGGTCGGCTTTCCGGATCCGTACGCCTGCGGGCATAACGTGTCCAAACACGTTGCCAGGCCCTGAAAGACGAAATAACCAGTGATCTGGGCGGTCATATTTGCCAAGCTCACGGCCCCGATCTCGCGCTTCCCCAGATGGCCCACCATGAAGATGCTAGAACCAGTCAATGCATGTTGGAGGAGGAGCGCTGCCATGAGCGGGGCTGTGTATTTGGAAATAATCGATAATTCTAGTCGCCATCCTGATTTTTTGGAAGTTTTTTTGGAAGTTCTTCTGGCTGTTGCTTCGGGGTCGGCGTCACGCAATAGAGGGGACGATTCCGTAGCATTTTCTTCGGGGAGCATCTTGAAGATTTTTTTTTAACGGGAGCGGTTTTTCATGGAACTCCCTAGGTTTGCCATGTACATACGGGGTTTCAATGTGCAAGGGAGAAGAGGAAAGAAAAGCAACGAAACAAGTATTCAAGTCGATGGGGACTAGAACAGCAAATCCACCCTTGCAGTCGAACACGTCTTCAGGGCAAAAATTGCCCAATCCGATGATGCTCCACCATCATGCAGCTAATGCTTCGTGTCTCGATTTGGGTGCTTAGGTACATTTACACTGTTATTCTCATGTATTCTAAATACAAAACGGGATATTGGAATGGTCTAGCTCATCATCCGAACTGAACCGAAAGACCAAAGAGATGCTCTATACTTTGTGTGAACTATTATCCACTGGTAAGAAAAAACAAGATAAATTAACAGCGAAGATGTCATTAAGCAAAAGGAACTGTACAAGGTAGAGTAAACTAATACGAAAGAACACGCCATATGTCAAGAATTTTCCCTTCAGGTCAAATTTAGCGCACCAAATAGCGAAAGGATCCGGATTGGTTTCATCCTAGTATCAGCTCTGGGATTTGAGCAGAAACATATGTATAATGACGGAGACGTGGATGACAAACTCAGTTCCGCCCTAATAGCTCGTATTCCCAAACTAATGGATGAACAATGGTGTGCTTAAATGTCGATATCCACAGTGCACATGGTCTCATCTTCAAAGATCGGAGCGATGAAAGGGCGCTTATAAGCCTTAGCAAGTTTAGTCATAGTACGCTTGACATGCATGACCGAAATCGCCACAGCCAAAGTGTTCCAAACATCATTATTGAGATCCGAGAGGTCAAAATGACCAAGTAGTCTCATTCCCTGAGTCTCGGTCTGAGGCTCTGGATCGCAATTCAGTGTGACAACCGAAAGAACGGGTCCACAGACGACAAAGCCCATCACCGACGGCCAGACTGCTGGCTTGGGAGAAGCAGGAATCTGATCCCTCCAGGTACTCGCCAAGGATTCTAGGGTTTTCAAAGCCTGGTCGAATGCTGCCTTCGCTCGCTCACGCTTCTTCTTGCAATAGATAACATACACGGGCGTGGTGGTTGGCAGAGCTCTAACGTGGGCATCACTCAACGCCCATCGGAGATATCTTTCGATGACTCGCTTGATTGAAATCTCGGGACTGGTTTCAAGGATATTGCAGTGATCTCTTACGATACCGGAGATCTTCAGAAGCTCCTGGAAGGCACGGATCGCATGAAACTCAGTACCTTTATCAGCTTGAAGGATGAATTCGAATTCATTGGGCTCGGGCTCATGGTCATAATCAGGAAAAAATAGCGACTCTGGGAGAGTGGAGAAATCCTTCTCCCAGTGTCTGAAAATGGCGGGCATGCAGCCGCGCGTGAGAAGTTGATGAGCAGTACGCCGTTCGTCAGGCGATAGCTCGTGAGCTTTGGGGATATCGATCCGGTCAAGCAGCCGCTTTGCCCTTTCACGTGTGAGATTGTTGATTAGCTCATTGCGTTCTCCTCTCGAAATAACAAATGTTCCCTCACTATCGAGGGAGACAGTATCATTCAGGGATGCCGACTTGTCTGAGATATTCCTTTTTTCTTCCTCGACTGCTTGGCATTGCGAGATGAAGCAGTCTTGGGAGCTGAGAAGTTTTTCTTACGCCGAGGGTCCAATCCTGCTCGTTTTGCTTGCTTTGGATGTGATATTGGCGCGGATTCTATATCACTCTCTTCGCTGCTACTGCCACCGCTGTAATCACTAGCATAGCGGGGTAAATAATCGCTCTCGCTGTTTTCCGATGATGCGGACGATTCGCTATCCGTCTCATATTCATTGGGACGGAAGTTCTCGGCCTGATTGTATACTCTCGCACGCTTAACTGGGTACCGAGGCTCCGTGTCGTCAACGAGGGTAGCCCGCTTCTTAGTAGGTGTGGCCTAAGATCGAAATTAGCAACGTTTAAGTCATAGACGAACGTTGGTGAGAGAAAGTGGAGCGAAACAAATCCATGTGAAAGACAAACATACCATAGCGTCTTCGCTATCAAATTGGAAAACCTTTCCAGGCATGATGTTCATCTCTCAGGAGCTTATTGACTCCTCGAGGCAATCAAGATTCCGAAAAGTAATATGACAAAACTGCATCAGCCAGTTGTGGTATGTTCGAGATCGCTGGAGAGGAAAGCGGTATTGATCGATAATAGTATCGGGGTCGTGTGTTAACTCAATGTGGTAGAGGCGAAAGATCTGGCTGGCTCTGTCGTATGGTCTCTCGTCTCCAAGCCGCAGTCAAATAATTTTAGACTCGTCACGCCAATATTCGAAAATAAACATCGAGGAGGGGGCGCCCAATTCTGAAGTTGCAACAAACTCGGTATGGAAGTTGACATTGTCAAGTTGGGATCGCACCTCAGCAATAGAGAAATTTTCGAAAGAAGGGGTCACATGGTAAGCCCAATTCTTGACGATTTCTTTTTTGTGAGGGTCGCTTTAGGCCCTGGGTTGGGAGAATGGATCTCTTTGTTGGCCGAGGCGACGATTCTTTGTTACTCGGAGGAAGGTTCCCTTTGTAACTTGAAGGCACAGTCTCGGCAGACTGAATTTAGGCTCGAGAGCACTGGCAAAAGAGTCAATTGACTCGCTCTATCTAGTATATTCTATGCGATGAAGCTTGATCTATTTTGAGAACAAAGAAGCGGAGGCTGAAACAAGAAGTCAATATGCACTATTGCAAAGAGCAGAGAATGGAATAAACAGGAAGTGCTACAATGATTGACGTAGACAAAGGAAACTTGCAGCGTGCTATATATCGTACAGATAGTTAATCTGATGTTCAATTGCCATTTTAGGAAGGTACCATTTACCTAGGGCGACGGACACTGAGTACAAGCGACACCATTATATCTGATATATCAGAGACATCCACGTATACCAACTACAAGATAGAGATATGGGACAGATTAGTTCGTATTCGCATCTCTCTCCATACCACGAACCGCTTGAACATGTTAGGCATAAAGCGCACAAGTCCCCAAGGGGGTCCTCTACGCCGACATCTCAAATCTTCAAAACTTCATCATTCCTCATCAAGTCTGTAACTGCAACTCCCCTGCATCCTCATCTTCATCATCTCCTTTTTTGGGCATCACCCGACATAGAATAAACTCGTAACACCAACCAGTCGGGAAAAGAGAAGAAAAAATTGAACATAAAAAGTCAAAGGGGATAAAAAGGGGATAAAAAAACAGAGCAAGCAATTTAGATAGACAGAAAAAGAATCGAGAAAAGCAAAAGCAACCTGGAGGAGGTCTCATTAACCATGGTATCCGGCAAACGAAGCATTTCAGTGAAGAGGTCCGGCGTCCACACCGGCACTTGAAACGAAACTGCGATTGGGTATGTTGAACTTGAAGCAATTTGAAAAACGAGAAGTGCTGGAAAAGGCGGGAGACCCGTGGCGCCCTAGAGAAACCGGCCATGTTGGCATTCAACCCTCAATGACTCGGATTGACATCCTCATTGACTCGTAACAGGTGTCCAAGTGAGCATTAATTATCCCGATTGCATATTAGTGAAATCAAGCGAAGTCAGCAGTGTAGGAGAAGCCACGGAATTCTTCCTGCATGGCTTGTGAAAGCACTAAATGCGAGAGTATTGTTAGTCACTCATATTTCAGATGTATACAAAGAGATCCAAAGAAATCTTACCTGATTGTACAGGCGTTAAGACTGGGGTTACGCTGGTGAATTCTTGATCGAAGTTGCTGGTATCGGTGGGGCTGCTGATTGTGGGGACGAAAGGTGGAGGGACCCGCTTGTGGTAGATGTCTTCCCAGTTGATGTTGCGGAAGAAGGCGTGGGACATGACCTCCTGGGCATCAGTGGGACCGGAACCCAGACGCAGCTCAGGCTCACGAGTCAACAGCTTTTGAAGAATCGACACCGAGTCGCGGGGCATGTGAATGGGGTAAAGAGGCTCATCGGCAAGAATGGCATCGTAAATCTCGTCTTCATCCTCACCACGGAACGGAGATTGCTGCAAAAGCATCTGGTAAATGAGGACACCGAATGCCCACCAATCCACAGCCCGGCCATACTTCTTGTCCAGCAGAATCTGAAAAAATAGTCAGTTTACCAATTTTTAGTAGTGAAAATCGAGTGATACTTACTTCCGGACCCATAAATTCAGGAGTACCACAGAAGGTACTGGTTGTGCTACCATACCACATGTTTTCTTTGCAAAGACCATAATCGGCGACTTTGATGTGCCCATCCAGGGTCAGCATAATATTGTCGAGCTTCAAGTCACGGTAGATGACACCATTCTCGTGGAAGTACTTGAGCGCCAGGCAGACTTCGGCGGCATAGAATCTAGAGAGGTTGGAGTTAGCATTTCAATTACTGCGAGCAAAAAACGACAAGAATAATACATACTGTGCTCGCTTGAGACCGAATTGACCACGCTGAATGTGCAGCATAAGATCACCACCACTGATATACTCCATAACGAAATAGACACGAGTTTCAGTCTGGAAACAAGCGTGCAAGTTCAGAAGGAATGGGTGACGCTCCTTGTTGGCAATCAAGAACACACGCTTCTCAGACTTGGTGCTCTCTACTTCATCGTTCTCGATGATAAACTCCTTCTTCAATACCTTGATGGCGTACAACTTGCGAGAACTCTTGGTCTCAGCCAACATGACTTTTCCGAAATTACCCTTTCCAAGAACAGCGAGGAAGTTGAAGTGATCCAATCCAATACGCGACTTTGACTGCGCGGCAACCTCGTCCTTGGCAGGAGGTGCAACTTGTTGCTGAGGCACAGGCTGCATCGGCTGAGTTGGCGGCGCCATCTGGTAAGGTGGCTGCGCCTGCTGCACAGCTTGTGGCTGGGGAGGTTGCTGCGGGAAGTTGGCATAGGTGGCATAGGCGGATGGGTCATAATGGGCGTGTTGGGGCTGTTGAGGAGCCTGTGGTGGCGGCATGGGACGGCTCATTTCGGCTAAGATTAGAACTGTTAATATCCAAAGCTTTTCTTCAACAAAGACGGCCAGGGAAATCCATACTAGGTGTTTGCTGGGGACTGCGTAGGCCAGTAGCGGCAGCGGCAGCGGCAGCTGCAGCGGATGGTGCAGTGGGCGATTTCGGTGCCATCTGTTGGCGTTGTGCCTGTGCAGCAGCTGTTGGTGACTGTGGGGTCATGAAGGAGTTAGTGGCTGCGCTTACCGCTTCTGCAGAGGGTTGTCTGGGAATAGCCCCGTAGGGTCCTTGCATCGGCTTCTGGGGGTAGGAGAGGGCAGCATTGTCTTGGGGGGGCTGCGGGGGACCGTTTGGTCGAAGGGTACGGTTGCTGAGGCCGGAACTAACAGAGGCAGACTTGTTGTGATTCTTGGTGCGAATCAATGTCTCAAGAATTTGGTTCGCCGCTTCCATCGTCATTCCACAGAAATCGGGCACAAGGTGAGTGCATTGAGCGTGGCACGTAAGACTACACTCTGTAGAGAAATGAAGGTCAGTATGAGCAAGAATTGAGCCGCAATATCAACGATTTTCCTACCAGAGCAGCGCTTGGCATTTTTGCGTCCAAAAGGAAGGAGATAGCCACAGTGACAACACCAGTTCGCGGAGATATTGGAGAATCCTTCGAAACGGTGAGGAATGCGGTGGTTGATCTTCTCCTCGTCCGGGTCGGTTTCGTAGTTGGCCTTGCTGATACACTTGGTGACAACCTTGGAGTAGCACTTGCGATGGCAGGTGTACTTGCAGTCCGCACACTGCATGCCTGCGGCATACTTGAGAAATTCTCCACACAGCGCACAGCGCATGATGTTGTAGAATTGCTGAGTGACGAACTTGTGACCCTGCTTCTCGTGCACCTCTTCCTTCTTTTGACGCACGGCACCTTGACGGTTGAGACCAATGTCGAAGGGACGACGATCCTTCAATTGTTTGGCTGTGTGCAGTTAGCAAACAAAATCGTTTTGGAATAGACCCAATTTCAGTCTTACCGAAGCTCATTTGAAGGTGAACCCGACCAACTGGCTCAAGAGCAAACCATGAATCGATCATGACAGTTGGGGGAACATTAGAGCTACCGCCGCCATGGTGACCACCCTGTCCGGCAGTGCCGGGTCGTCCTCCAGGACTAGGGCCATGTGAAGAGCCCATGGGAGAACCGCCGTGGTCATGTCGAGGAGAACCACCATCGGCCATTTTGTCTGCGGATACCCACCCGGACGCATTGAGCTCCGTTTCAATCTTCTTTCGGCGCATCTCTTCTGCGATATCAGAAATACGCACCCACAACATACCGATGGGAGTGGGGCGATCTCCGGACTTGTCGTAAACCGTCAATTCGATCTCGTTCGCCTTGTCGATGTCCATGGAGAAGCTCTCGTCCAGGAATCTATCGTTTCGAGTAGCCTTGGTTCTCGCTTTGATTGCGTCTTCGACTTTCACAATGACAAATGTCTCCGGGCCTCGAGAAAATCGTGAACTGGCGGCATGATCAACATCTTTGACCGCATGGATTCGCATGGTCAATAGACCAGTCAGCGGCTTGCGCATGTTTGGAGCACTCAGACTCTCATCTGCACACCGATTAGTAACCGAATTCTGGCTTGAGCGCAAATAACCTATCATTCATACCATCTGGTGCATCCCCAGACTCAATGTCGACATGGAGATCCTCATATCGCTTCAGGGCTTGCTTCAAAAGCTGAATCTTCTGGTTGCTCTCGATGCGACGGCCCTCTGCATCGGCGCGACTCTTCCGGTCGCCCTCGTCCTGGTACAAACGAACCATCTTTTCGATACCGGCTTTATATTGCATTTCCACACTCAACTTGAACTCCAATTGGGACAGCATGAGTTGAATCTTGGGACCGAGGTACGGGGTGTCATATTTGATCAGATCTGAGACATGGACATTCATGTTAGCATTCCAACTAATTTAAGCTTAAAGCAGCATTTTCAGAGGGGTGTAGACTAAATCTATATTGGGAACGCACCTAACTTCGTGTAATTGGGCCTGGACTTCGGGATCGGGGCGTAAGGTCGGGGGTCAGGGAATGGGGCACCAGAAGGCATGGAGCCAGAACCACCCTGAGGATAATGATCCCCAAATTCACCTTGCTCACCACCATATCCGGTGTGGTCTTTTGGGGGAGGGGCGGGGCCTCCACGCTGGCCGGGTGAGCCAGCGCCTTGGTTCCTTTGACGGATTTCTAATTCTCTCATCTTCTCCTCCAGATAGGCGATATTCTTGCGGCCATCACGAATGTTGGCGTCGACTCTTTGTTGTACAAGAGGATTGTCGGTCGATTGCCGCATGTTACTGGCAGCGGTAATGAGGGCCTTCTCTCGCTCGATCTTGTGCAAGACCGAGGCGATCAGCTCTTCCCCATCCATGATGACAGGTCCGACGAGGGCAAAGAGCAAGGCTGGCTCAAAAGAAAAGGGTGCGCTTGCGCCAGGTCAAGGTGGGTTGTGGTGGTGGGAGAGGATTCGCGGGGCTGTTGTTGACAAGGGGCGCAACGGGCGCGGGTAATGCCACTTTGGAAAATGTGAGACAAGAACTTGCCTGTAACGATCGCCCACTGAACTCACAACCGAAATGTATTGTTAGCATTCACAAGAGAAGGATCAAATGGTGAGACGAATGAGTAGAAAAATGCCTCTGTAGAGCTACTTATTTAGATATCATCTAGAGTAGGGTACACTGATTTCATATAAAAAAACCCTTAAGTACAATATGCATAGTGTTCATAAGCTGATCAATAGTATTCTATTTATGTGCACGCACTTGATCTCCGATAAGAAAGTGGCGAAAGTGTCATACAGTATTACACGTGAAGACCTCTAGGGCTACATTCTTTTTTTTGGGTTCTACTTGATATACTATGATATGGTATGTATTTCATGTTATATTTGACAAAATTCATTGACATCACATTAACTATCGTTATTATACTACTCCAATAAATCAACCGTTTTAACAAAATACATTTTGAACTCTCACAGATCGGGCAGAGATCGTGCCATGGTCTCCTTACTGCATACATCGAGGGGTAGTTCGGATTATCTTCTCTGCACATTCTTCACCTACGGGCATCTGGGCACCTGGGCATGTCTGACGACTTTGTCATGCTTCTCTGCCTTTTTACCGTTCAACTGAGATGGTGATGTCACCTGTTTTACAGCTAGACACAAGTCTTGGGTAAAATTACTGCCTAATTGTATATATAGTTATAAAAAGAGCCAAGAACTCAGGCAATATTGAAATGTAATAGGCATCAATCATGCCCTCTGTACACAGTATCGATATTTCAGATTTCGTCTATACTACCTTAAGCAAAGTGACTTTACTAGCACCACACTAGCTACATACATGTGCAGGTATTTTCGTTCAGGTACTTTTACATGAGACTCACGGGATATATAAAGAGTACTTATGTACCTAGTAGAATATTCTTTATCAATTATCTCGATAATACAATGAAATCCAAACATCCATCTAGGGTTTAAAGCCCAGAGGTTCCTCGAATCCTAATTGGTGGAAAAAGATACCATGTTGTGTGAACTTCAACCATATTTGGTGTAAGTGAAACCTTCATCCAAATTTTTGCACCTATTTTACTCCGACCTCTTTGCAATTTTGGGCAATAGAAGCCAGCTGATAGCCATAACCCCATAAAGTCCAATACAGATAGGATGGAGAACCATAGTCCCGATATTCTGCGCAAGGATACCAGTAAAGAACGGCGAGACCGCACCACCGCTACTACCAAGCGCACTAATGAAGCTTAGACTGGAGATGTGCATGCTACGGGGAATCAACCTGGTAAAGATTGACGTGGCACAGGGGTAAACAGCACCCAGCAGCAGGCCCAAAATAGCAACCGTGACAGCTTCTCCAATGACATTTGGAATGAGCCAGGTCAGCAGCTGAAATGCAACAGCACCTGCTATCATTCCCATGACAGCGACCTTCTCACCAATCTTGGATGCCGGATGCGTCAGCAGGAAACGCCCGGCGGTAATCCCAGCCCAGAAACCGGAGCTCACGTATCCAACCCGCGATGGGTCCCCGTGTCGATAGCTGATGAGGAAGGATACAACCCAGCCTGAAACAGAGACTTCGGCGCCTTGGTAGGCGAAGATGAAGAGAGCGCCCAGCAGCGTTGTACGGTTGCGGATGGACTTCTTGAGAACTTGTGTTCGCGAGAGAGGCTCGCCATCGCTGGTCTGGTGTGAGATAGTTGGCCGGAGTGCCATCTGCGGCTCATTGGGCGAGTCGTTCTCAAAGTGGTAGAATGCCCACAATGCATATCCCAAGTTGATAATCGACACAGCCAACGTGATGGTATAGAAGAACGACCACCGTATCCCGTCCGATACCATAGCTGTCGCAAACAAAGGGGCGATAATACCACCAATGCCATAGGAGCCATGGAAGCAACCGAGGGCTGTGGTAGGATTCGCCAGATTGGCACAGTACACATTACTCAGCGCCAGACTGAGCGCCATGCCGAAACCGAGAAGGAAGAAGCTGGCAACAACGGCAGGGAACGGAGGCTCGCAGACAATGATTACATAGCCAATCGCTTGGATAGACAAGGCGAGTGCATAGCTCTTTGCGCGGCCAAGCTTGTGTTCGATGGACTGCGTGAGTGGCGCTGCCAGGATGAAGCCAAATGCATTGGTGACGAAGATAAGGGAAACAATCGCATATCCGATGTTGTAGTGTGTTTCGATGAATGGAATCAGGGCACCCGGTGCGCTGTCGTTCATTCCATTGCCAAGACTCATGAAACAGACGCTCAGCATTCGCCATTTGGTTTTCCATGAGGCCACCGTTCGGTCTGGTGCCCACCCAGAGACCTGGTCTGCGACATCGGGTATCGATAGACGCCTCTCCAGCTCGCTTGGCGAGGGCGAAGGAGGTCCCGTTGTCGGTTGTGTTAGGGGCTCTGAAGTCACTCGAGCCGAGCCTTTGGCCAGTTGAATCTCGCTCAACTCGTAGTCCGATCGAGCTTGAGCGGTGCCTTGCTTATCTTTTCGTACCGCAGGCTGAGGACTGGCGATTCGAGATGAATTCTCGATCTCAAAAAATGCGAGACCTGAGGTAGCCATTGGGAATAATCTCTTTAAAAGAACGATTCAGAAATCAGAGAGTTAAACCAATGCGGGGTTGGCCCTACTCCAATATTATATATACCCTTGGATTAGTAAAATCACTAATAGCCATGTTCCCTACTAGGTCAAAGCGATAAGAAATCTGCAGGCTAAGTGTAAGAAATTTATGTTCCGCTCCAGTCGGGACCTTCCAAGACAGGATATGCGGAGATCATTTACATTGGTAGCTATCAGCTCTGAATTTCCCATGATATTGCAATTATACCTAGAGATGTGCATAGTCCATTTAATTACCTGTAGTAAGTAGTAAAGACCTTATAAATTTCTAGAAGCGGGGAGATCCCGCCGATAAGCTCAAAATTGCAAATTGCGAAAATTCCCACAACACTTCCTTGCAACTTTTGGAATTGAACGTTTACAACACAATTTATATACATACTTTATAATGGGACCACCACGCAGAAAGATGCTGGCAACAGCAGAGGAAACCTTAACCCCCCCAGACGAGCTATCCAACACCCAACAGATCGTGCGAGCAATCAAAGCCACCGGGAACAACATCTACCTGATCGAACAGCCTGACAAGAAGCAAATGCTTGTCGAATTGCCTGCCCGGTTCCGCTCGGCCATCTGGATCAAACGAAACTCGTATGTCGTGGTCGATACCAAGGGCCAGGAGGAGCGGGACAACAAAATTGGCGGGGAGATCGTCAATGTTGTTAGGGACGAGAAGGCCTGGAGGAAAGCTCCTTTCTGGTAGGTTTCTTTCCTAACAATAGCTCCATGCTGTTGGCTACGGGATCATCTACTAAGTAAAATTGTCTCCATTAGGCCCAAGGAGTTTGTGAAACAGCAGGTTGTGCTTGTCGGCTCGGATGACGAAGAGGAAGAGTCTCGTGTGGGCCAAATGCCCTCTTCAGACGAGTCGGACTGAATAATGATCTTCAGGCCACCATGCGCCTGTCGATGGCGCGGCGCCAGCTACGGTTACAAGGAAATCGTGGCTATCACGCGGCACTTGAAACATGCCCACCTGGTATCAGTTGAGACTAGGCGCTATCTTGAATTATCGAACAGGCGTCTTGCTGCGAGTGCTCCCCCTGTTCTTCTCTACTCTGCCGGGACCAGCGAACAAAACGCCAAAGACCTGGGCTGCGAGCGTCAACACCACAACCGCCGAGCTGGCATTTGTGCTGGGATAGACGTTCCAAGCCCACTCTTGCAGCGCCCACAAGGCGTAAATGAGAACTGGATGAAGCCCTGCGCGCCAGAGAAGGAAGGGAGTGGCCCATGCAAGATAGGCGAAGAACTGATAATGCAAGGACCTGGCGCATAGCAATCCTATGGCCAGTGAGCTCAACATCACAGTCATGGTGAACGATTTTGAGAGTTGCACAGTAGGCTGGCGACCCTGCAGAGTATTTTGGAGGAACCCGAGCATGTTCGTCCCGGAAGGCTTCACCCAGCTTGCCAAGAAGATGGCCAACAGGGACATATGCAGCACTAGCAGACCCAATGAGAACTCCCTCGAGAGAAACGTTTCTTCGCCTACAAACCGCCAGTTCACAGTCCACTTAAACATAAACTGGCGGGATAGCTCAAAGGCTCGAGAGAAGTAGCCTGTAGCATTAGTTTGGAGAAAGGGAACTGCCAGCAGCACCTGCAATTTCTCACGTCAGTGACACCCAGAACATAACCAACATTCTCAAACCTACCTGAATAAGAATAGCCATGGCCCCAAGCGAAACACTTCGTGCCAACCCTAGACTGAGAAGAGTAGTGATAGCAATGGCTGGCACGAGCAGCACGAGCGTCATTTTGACGGCAACACCAAAAGACCACACTGCGATTCCTGCCGTCCACCTGCGCTTCAAACACAGGTAGATAGCAACCCACATAGCAAAAGCAGCAACGCCATCATTGAACATGCGCAGCACGAATATGCTATGAAGCCGCTTCGACAGAGCAAGAAGCGGGAAGAGATAGGGAGGCGCACCCGTTTGCCTATAACAGGCGACGACCACAATCAGCGTAACAAGGTATAACGCGGCAAAAAGCGCCTGCCCGAGAAGAATATCGCGGCCTTCATCGGTGAGGTGGTAGAGGAGGGTATAGATGTATACGTGAGCGGCGGGGTAGACAAGGGGCCCGGTAGAGCCTTTGATAAGGGGATAATTGCGTTCGCCAGATTTGTAGAGGGATATTTGCTGCATGTACGTCGTCCAATCGATTTCAGTGTCTGGTTCTCGTGGTCAGCTGGGTCTGGGTTTCATGTACGCGTCTGGCGCGGCTTACAGGAGATCTTCCATATGACGAGGGCGCAGAGGAGCGCATCGCCAAGGATCAGCAGGGGAGCAATCCATTTTGTATGTCTTGGATTGACGAGCACGTCGTAGGCGAAGTTTTTGGCTGTCAATGCCATGGTGAGGTGGTGGATGGGAGAACATTCAAGGTGGCCGGAGCTGGCTCCGCTTACACGCACTACAACTGGGTTCCCAGGGTTGATTTCTCCAGGGCTTACTCCGTAGTCCTGAGCAACTTTTTTCAGAATGGATTTCTATGTTGATTTCGATCTCAATTGGATAGGTATTTGTTTTATACATCTCATTGTACATAGAGAATACATAGGTCTAGCTCGCGCTGGGACCTCGAGCATGGTCTTCCTTCTAAACAAACCCCAATCCACCGCAATTCTTAGTATCAAAGTCCATGGTATCATTAAACAAGTCAAGAAGCAAAATGCAAAGATCCGGAGTGTCGATCCTTATCGATCTCCGTTAGACAGGCCGCTCGCCTGGTGCTGGGTGTCCACTTGAACATTGCGGAACCCAAGCAATTCCCCTAGAACTCCTTTGGGTTTGGGAACAGGGCATTCTCGGTTGATATGGGAGAGAGTCTCTGCTTCCTCCTCCATTTGGAGGAACGTTGAGACCTCATCGTCCACAGAGCCGGCGGGTGTCGGGTGACCCGGTAGACTGCCTTCTGGGACCATTTCGGCATCCTTGCGGCGTCTCCGACGGACCCGTGGTACTTGTTGTCCATCGGCTGTGAGGACCATCTCTGAGTCGGCGAAGGTGCGTCGTGGGGAAGGACAGGGGAAGACATGCGGCATGCCGACCACCAGGAGACCTGCGAGGAGGGTGCCGGCGAATAGGCCGGTCGTTGACCGCGACCGAGGATGTAGATGTGGTGGCATTTTATATGGAATGAGGGAGGACAAATGTATGGGGTTCAATTGAGGTATGCTGGGCGTTGCCGACTATTTCTGGAATTTTTCAGGCCATCGGAGGGCTCGGGTTGGATGGGTGGTATGGTCAAAAGTGGGAGATAAAGAGCAGCCAAAAAGAGGTCAATTGGGTCTTGAATGATGTATCACCAGATTGACATGCATCTGAAGCCCCAACAACAAACGTGAAGGGATATTAAAGGAGTGAGTGCGGAGAGAGAACGACATTGAAGGCTTTGGTGCATCTAATCTTATCTGGCTCCCGCGTGATTGGATGTTCCGCCTCTCAAGTCTCTGCTACACGCGCATAACCGTCATGACTATGCAAAGATGAGCTTGTATTTTCCAAGGGAGAACAGAATCATCTGAAATTGAAGTGGGGGATCTCTCGGCTTCCATAATAATCCCTCTTTCCTCTTCCAACACACACCATGAGTGACCTTGACCGGTATTGGCATTACCCCCCTCGAGCTTCGACACCTCGTTCTCCGTAACACTAACATTTTCTGTTTGACAGGGCGATCGAGCAGCTGCGGGCCTGCCGCCTGATCCCCGAAAGCCAAGTCCGTGAATTGTGCTACAAGGCGCGCGAGCTCCTAATCGAAGAAGGCAATGTCGTGTCCGTAGACGCACCGGTCACCATCTGCGGCGACATCCACGGACAATTTCACGATCTCATGGAACTCTTCCGCGTCGGCGGCGATGTGCCAGATACAAACTATCTATTTATGGGCGACTTCGTCGATCGAGGCTTCTACTCACTCGAATCCTTCCTTCTCCTCCTTTGTCTGAAAGTCCGATACCCCGATCGCATCACGCTGATCCGCGGCAACCATGAGTCTCGCCAAATTACAACAGTATACGGCTTTTACGACGAATGTATTCGCAAATACGGCAGCGCCAATGTATGGCGCTATTGCTGCGAAGTATTCGACTATCTGGCTCTAGGAGCGATCGTGCTTGGCGCGAGCTCCGAGCTCGAACCGACCTCCTCCAGCGTAAATGCCACAGCTCAATCCAGCCTTATCGCCGACAGCGAGCTAGAAACAGAAGCTTTGAACTCCAACGGCGAAGTCACAATGAGCACATACCGACCCCGACAGCGCTCCTCCTCCGACACATCCACAGACTCCCGAAACATTTCCCCGCCACGCGACATCTCTGCCGCGCCCTCGCGATCAGGTGCACCGGGCACAGGCGCGGGCGGCGATAGCAACGGCAGCGCCGTGACTAGCCGGACCGGAGCGGTGCTCTGTGTTCACGGTGGACTGTCGCCGCTAATCGACTCGGTTGACAAAATCAGGCTCATTGACCGCAAGCAAGAAGTGCCACATGAAGGCGCTATGTGCGATTTGCTCTGGTCAGATCCCGACGAGATCGAAGGCTGGGGGTTGAGTCCCCGTGGAGCAGGGTTTCTTTTTGGCGGCGATATCGTCAAACAATTCAATCATCTCAATGGACTGTCTCTTGTCGCCCGTGCCCACCAGCTTGTTATGGAAGGGTACAAGGAGATGTTTGATGGCGGCATTGTAACCGTTTGGTCGGCTCCGAATTACTGCTACCGCTGCGGTAATGTTGCCGCTATACTTGAGCTGGGCGAAGACGCTAGTGGCGGTGGCACTGTTGCGCGCAGCAATGGTGAATATGGCCGGAGCAATGGGATTGGCGGAGATAATAGAGTTGTCAGTCCTGGAAGGAGATACCGTGTCTTTGAGGCCGCCGCGCAGGACACGAGGGGCATGCCTGCAAAGAAGCCTGTCGCTGATTATTTCTTGGTAAGATTGTTCTTTCTGTTGAAGCCACCGGGGAGACCTCTTCCACCTTGCTGACAATCTTTTCTAGTGATACCATCCAGTGCAATCCTTGTCTTTTCTCTTTCCATATGGTTGTCTTGGAAGTAGCATTTTGCGTCTCGGTGTTGGTATTTGAGAACTAATGATCATCTACGACAAATATTTTCATACTTGCACAACGCTCAGCTTCCTTGTTTGTAGATTGATCGATCATGAGTTCGAAATATAGAAGCAAAGCCCTTAGAAGGCATCTGCGCGAACGCCTCGAAATGACAAACATAATGTGGTATCCAAAATCCAATAAATAAATAGCACAAAGTTGTAAAGATAAAGATGAAGATGTGACATTTACATAGCTACTCCACAAGCGGCTGGCAACCACAATACAACGACCATGATCATTGCCATCCATCGCCATACCCAGGAGAGGCACTAGGATCCGACGGGGACCCAACAGCGGGCATACCGACCGAAATCCGAGGCTGCTCAGGGCCCAGGCCCAGACCCGGTGGTTGAGCAACAGAAATGAGGCCACCGTTCTGGTATCGGATATGAGGCTGTGGGTTCGGCGAGGGGCTGTTCCAAGCACCGTTCCAATTGCCCATGCCCATATCATACGCTGCATTTGCATTTCTGGACCACCAGTCTTGGCTTTCTTCGACCAGGTTTTCTGTGCCGTCGTACCCGGATACGGGCGATGCGTTCGATGTTGGGGTCCCGTTCTGATTCTGGGGTGGAATTTGGGCGACTGACCCGTCGTACCAAGTATTTGGGCGAGGGGAGGAAGGCGATGTTGCTACGGGAGGGAATTGGTAGGCAACCTGGGGCCGGAGATATGTTGGCTCGGGCAGGGCGAATTCAGGCCGTTGGGCCTGAGCTGCTAGGGCGCTGTGTGCTGTTCGCATGGGTGGGAAGGACATCGGAATGGTGGGGGGTGGAACAGGTCCGTATTGAGGGCTTATGGGTGAGCTGACTGTGGTGAGAGGGTTGGTGGGGGGGTCGGTGTGAGAGGGCTGGAATGAGGGTGCAGATGGAGAGAATCGGCTTGGACTTGTGGCAGGGTGCACGACGGTTGAGATGGGGAATCCTTCAGATGCTGCGGGAGATGTTGCTTGATCCCATGAGCCCCATGAACCCCATTTGTTGTGTGTTCGTTCAAATATAGAGATTGCTTCGGGTGGTACCTCGACATTCCATTTGTTGGCGGATATATCTAAGATGCGGAGGGTACGTCGAGCACAGAGCCAGCATTCTGCCATTTCTTCGAGATTCTTCAGGCCGTGGATGACGTCCCTCTGGGCATTCTTGTCGGGAAGGTTGAGGAGGTGAATGGTGCATGCGGTGTGAGCTATATAAACGACAATATTGCAAATTTGTTTCAATCCGTAGCCACGTTTGTATACGCGCAGAAGCTTGGAGACTGTGGCAGCAGCCTGCGTACAGATCTTGCGAGGTGAGACATGAGAGGGCAGTGGGGTGTTGGCCTTGGTATACTTCAAGAAAGGCCGATATAGGTGGATTATGATTAGCTGGTACAGCATACTGTGGCAGGGGTTAGCCAGAATATCACGGTGGTTGTATCGATCAACATACTGCATGACAAGCACCTGAGGGAGCTGCCCTTCTTTTGCCACAAGTTCCTTTGGCAGTTTGTTCTTCCACGATTCGAGTCGGATGTGAACATCACTTAATTTCTTCAATTCTGACTGTTTGGGCTGAAGCTTTTCGAGCTCGGTTGGATGATAAAAGAACACCAGTACATCACTACTGATCTCACATAGCTTCGATATTTGAAGGGCGACAGCCCTAGTTCGTGATGGCTGCGTATGTTCATGGCCGATGCCAGAATCAGTGTACGGAGACCATAGCTCTGTTTCCTCCCGTGGGAAGACATCGAATTTGGGTACATTGGCGTTGGCCGCGGTCAGTTGAGGCTGACGACCAAGATAATTTGACCAGCATCTATTGGATATGAGAAGGAAGAAACACGACTTGAGGAGCGGCCACTTACTTGTCAATGAGATAACAACCCCAGAATGTGATTCGACGAGCATCAACTTCCTCATCGCTGAGACTGTGAGGGCCGAGGTTTGCGGAATCGAGATTCAATCCAAGATCGAAAGCCATGCGGAAACTGAGACCACTGTAGACCCAGCCTTTTCCTTCGCGGCCACATCCTGCTTCTCGGACAGACATAAGCGCAAAGGCTTGAACTGTGCAAAGTTTTGCATTCTCGTGTTCGTCATTTTCCAAAATGAGTCTTTTTGCTTCTTTGAAGAAATGATTACCTGCCGTTGTAAGATTCTGGTGGTCTTCGAAAGCACCTTGCCAACAGCTGAAGTGGCAGCCGAGAGCTAGCATGGCATTGACGAGTAATGCAGAGCAATATGAACTGGAGACACCCCGAATGTAGTCCCGATAAAACAGATCTTTGGACAAGGTGGTGAAAAATGGATAGTGCCATGTGAAGTACATGGTCATCAAATGGCTGATCAGTGAGTCGTCATCTGTGACTTGCGTCCATCGGCTCACAGCATGTGTCTGGCCGGTATCAAAGGCGAGGTTATTTGTAACCGAGGCTGCCTCATGTAGCTCTGAGCCTGGCGGCAAGAATATGAGGTTTGAAGTTCCTCCTATAAATTTTCGAGAACCATCCAGCATTAGCTCGCTCATCTTACCAGCTAGTTCTGATTCGAATTGGTCTATTTCAACCTCATTCTCATGGCTGGTAGATTCCTTTGCTGTCTGCGGTGCAGACAAAAGCCCTTTCTCCTTACCAAGCACCGATTCTGCTACATCTTCGAGGTCGTCGCAAGAGCGAATCTGGCGTACTAGGTCAAATGCATCTGCTTCATCGTAATTTAATATCGCGTGGATCAAGGTCTGCAGAGTGGTGTTTTTGGTGCGCAAAGTGTCAGTGCCTTTTTTATATACACCTTTGCGGCGATGATCCGAATTCGGATCATATACACCTGTGAATAGTCAGATACTCTGTGACTTGCTTTGATGAAAAGTATACATACAAGGAGTATGATATACTGAGGAGCAAGCCGCGCAACTGGGAAGATTTCCATCGCACTGTTCACGTTGAATTTAATAATGGGGAGGCGAGATCTGGCGATATAGAATACACACCTTGGACTTCCTCTTGCGACAAGCAACACATGCTGTGCTGACGCATCGTCTTTTCGACGACTGGGCGCTTCCGGAACTCATGGTCTAGAGTGTTTGATAGGCGCAATTAGAGACGATGAGGGTTTCTCCGCGGGGCTTCCTTGCATGCCTATTGTCGTGTCTGCCTGTTACTGGTCTAACCTTCGACATAAATGCATGATATTTCCACGTCTCAGAGCACAAAACTCATAGAAACACCGCCAATGTTCAAATCGGGAATTAGGTGGCTGCAGGCATGTCAGTCCATAGCGACGCCGAGATCGAATCAATCAACGCACCAGCTACAGTTCAAGATCTACGACGGAATTTCAATTGTATTGAACCATCTACCCCACGATCAAAGACCCGCAGTGGAGGCGGAGACAGTGAGAAGGGTTCAAGGATATCGAGCCGGAAATGATTGGATGCAAGCGGCGACGATGTGAGTTATCGCTGGCCTCTGGATGGCTGTAATGTGCTTCGATAAGTGGCTGACTAAGTCCATTTCACGTGGTGTGATCCAAGGTTCACCAGAAATTGAAGTACATGCATTTTTATGTGTGAATGTATACATATGTAACTATATTTTGATTTTATGTTGTACAATATCTACCATGAGAAGGTATGATAGTTGAACTAGATCATTATTTTGGCGATATAGAATGCCAAGGCATTACCCTATTTCCCATTTATCGGATGTCAACGGATTTGTGGGCTCACATATAGTAGTTGGTAGATTGTAAGTAACCGATGGAAACAACATGTATGACTGCCTAACCTCCCACATTTGAAAACACAGAAAACCCAATGGATATAGGGGTTTTCACCGCCAGTGTCGCTTCAGGCGGTCTACCAGCCACGTCTTGACCCTACTTTTGGGTCCATTTGATGAATATAAACCGCAGTCAAGAAAAAAGAATTTTTTTTCTCTTAAAAAAAAAACAAAACAAAAACACACACATCAAATATAAGATTACCTTTAAAGTTTTAAAAAGATTTTGTTTAGATCGCCGTGAGCTTAAATGTTCTCCCACAATATACATTTACATCTGTAATTAGCTATCTGTACGGGTAGTTACATTCATGTACGTAATTATTGTATGAAAACATCTAAATGGGCTCATATGTAAATTATAAATTCCTTGACCTAAATATCCCAAAATGTGCGGAGTACTCGGTGTTCCGTGCTATATAGTAGTCGAGAATAACCCGATTGGTAATGAGAAACGTGATTTTACACAAATAAAACAAACAAATAGCCACAAACAAAGCCACTATATGACTAGGGTAGGGAGGAATAGGGGGTTCACCGCAATTATGCTCGCTTAAGGCGCTCTCCACTAGCCACGTCTCGTCTCTTCGACTTGACTTTTTAGGACTTCTGCAGCCACCCGCTCCTAATCAATTGTTTTTATTTGTTTTTGATTATTTCAATCGGAGGAACCAGGGAGCCCCGTTGGGGTTCCTGTCGATCTATCAAACTGACACGGATTATGTTTATCATTGCTTTTTTGGGTAATCTCACTCATACATACATAGATAAGAAAATAAAAAACGAACTCGGAATCATACGATAGTTCAAGAAATGACCCTCTTTTTTTTCTCTCAATTTTCTGTTTCGATTCTGGGGGAGACCGGTGTGCATCTGCCGACACCGCACTAAAATCAACCTTAACGGGCCCACTCTATTCAACACTATGTGATCTGTTGTGGCTGAAAGTGCATGTGAGTCATTGATTATATTAAATTATGCCCAGGTGACGTAGATATTTAGTATATGATTTCCTTATAATTATATGTCTAAATGTACGTTGTATACATTGTATGTTTGTTTATCATATGTTTCATATAATTTAAAAATAGTTGAAAAAGGGAATTGAAAAAAACCACATAAAAAAAACCCACAGTGTCCCGGACTCCACCGGCGGAATGTTCCATGAGTAATGGGAATTGTCAAAATTACCGTGACAATAGAGGTACCGGAAGACGGCATTGTTCTTCCACACCCAATCAATGCAACGTTAAAATAAATTACCTGTCCTGCATTTTCCCCCCCATGATTTCTCAGCCTTTACCTGCCCAATACGGGCTTATCTGAGATCACCACCTCTTCCACTCTTCCTCTTCCTCCCTTTTGACCCTTTAATTAACTTCAACCTCCTTCTCTTTATTTCATCTATCTTCCTTGCTCCTTATTTATTCACTATCCTCTTCATACCTTACATACACCCTCCTCGTCAACCTTTTACCTTATCGCCTACCTTTATCACCTTATCTAGTCGTGTGCCTGCATACCCTTGTCTCACGGCCCTATCCGCTTACCTTGCATCTCTTTGGGCCAACATATATTCTCGGATTGGCTGCCGGTCCCTCCCGTCTGATTATCAGGACGGGAGATATCTCACATTCTACGATTTTTTCCTTTATCCATGTATCTCGTTCAGACACTCGACCAGAGTGCTTCGTCCGGTCAAGGCCTCGCTAGCAACTGTGAATTGGTCAAACAGTCTTCACTATGATGGTCCCTCGAACATTCCTCTTCACCTCGGCACCGCCAGAGAAGCCCTTTGATCAGGGGATGAAGGCATTCACGCCGCATCCTTCTGGGCTTTATTGCCCCGCTGCAAAGCCCGAGACCCGCGGCTCGATAAACACCACACCAGTGGTCATCCCCCCAAAGCGTGGCTCACGAACCATGTCAATGCGCCGGGAAAATCGTTCCCGCACCTCATCTAAAACATCGGAATCATCTCGTCGGTCCTCTTCAAGTTCATCTAACGAACGCCACATCCCTACGTCATTCAGCTCGATGCTAGATGCGACTGCCATCCCACCCCGACGAAGCCGGAACACACGCAGACCTCGGAAACTCCCTCGTGGTAATCACGAAGAGGACTTCAGGCGGATGCTGCAGGAAGATCTCAAACCGAAAGAAGATCACTTCCTCGACGGGTCCATCTACTCTCCTCTTGATTTCCTCCTTAGCCCACCCGAAGACCACGATAAAATTCTCGGCAATCATCACGAGCATGAGTCCCCACCTTCCGTGAGGTCGACATCAAGCGAATCGACGCCCTCTTTAGTTCATGGTCTAGCGTCGCCTTCTAGTATATCCTCGCCTCCGACGACCCCTCTCAGTCACCGGACTACCCCGGAGAGACGGCAACCTCGATACTCGCACTGCGAGGAATGTGCCTTGGACCACCCTTTGCTTCCAACGGAACTGGATGATTGTGAAGTCATCGAAATCAAGTACGAAAACGAGCACGTCACCTCGGACTCAACGCCGACAAAACGATCTGCTTCATTTGGACGTCTAGGATCTACCTTCAAGTCCAATCTTACGGCCTCATTACGGGCCATCAAATCTGCTGCCCAATCTGTCTCGACATTTGCCACGCCTTCCGTCCAGCCAGAGGATTTTCTCACCCGATCCCTCTTCACCATTGCCCCAGAGACGACCGATGATCGCCGCCCGCTGCCAATGCAAGAAACACCCTCTCCAGCATTGCGACGATATCTGAATCCGACTTCGATATCACCAGCCGAGATGTATGTCTATCACGACCACCCTCACGATAAGCAAATGGCTTCGGGTGCCTCTCCGGTCTCGATCCAAATGCAGACATATCGTCGGGCCAGCAGCCGTGGAAATCGGCGCAACCACTTCCACATCGCAAGCCGCGATCAGAAATTCATCACGTTCGATCCGGAGGTTCCGCCGATGTCTCGCTCGCGCGAGATTCGAGAGAACAGCGACTTCCTTCGCGTGGTGGTTCTTGAGATGAACATGCGCCGCAGCGGCAAACTCCGCGAAGATATCCCTACCCGTGCGCGAAGCTGGCTGCCCGCACGCAAAAACAACTACCGCCTATCGGGACAATATGAGGACGGAGATGACAACAACACCGTCCCATCCCGATGGGTTGGCATTCCAGCCTAGTGAGCAAGGCCCTAGATGACTGGCTCACGGTTTCATGAATATTTTCTTTTTTTCTTTTTGGTTATTTAAAGCGCGGCGTTGGACTAGGTCCGTGTCCTGATTGACACTACATTCTCTCTCTTCTGTTACATACCCCGAGCCGGAGGGCTGTTTTTCTTCTTTTCCTATTAGATCTTCCGATCACTCAAGATATCTATTTAAATCAAATAAAAACCATAAACTCAAACAAGCCAAAGTTCGTATTTATATTGTAATCAAACAAACTGTTGTGTAATACTTGTAGATATACTTTGCCAATGGGAACCAAGGAGCGCATAACCAGAGAGTAAGTACATTTATAAAGCCCGCTCGGAATGTACTTTCTGATTATGTGTCCCCGAGTCCCATAGACAGGCGATCAGTGCAAAGGCAATGCCTTTAAGAATTAAGACAATGACACCTATGACTGTTCAAGATCGTCATATAATCGTCCATGGTACCCCTCAACATGCACGGGTCTATGATCTATGATATCGAAGCCTATCGGTCACCCAAAGCAGTGCAGTGAAGTAGGCATTCGAGGAACCAGAATATGACGTTGGGGTACGATGAGCAGTCATATGATAATCTGTCTGATCAAGTTAGAAAACTAATTACCTAGGTTTGCTTTGGGATATCGACGCCCATGTCATGCCGGTCACCCAAGGCAGTGAGCTAAACTGGGTATTTGAGACATATATAGTATATAGTAGAGTTGGGACATCGAGTTGCAAGGGGCCAATAAGCTGAAGGGGCAAATGAACTGAGGGGAAGGTGAGCGTGCGATCATCCCCGCGTCTGCATGGCGCAGGCATCTAAGAGGTCGAGACTGTTCTATCATGGGATAGCGATTATAGCCAATGAAAACCTTAGAATGCAGTTTGGTTGCGCGATAGGTCTTTCAACCAACAGTTGCTTACGATCCCACTGGTTGTCCCGAAGGATCACTAGATCACTATGCCGGGACAATCAACTGGTGCGTCTTACTCCGCAAACCGTGACTTGTTCAATAGTTAAAGTGGTAGTCTGATCCGCCTGTTCCGATGACAGGTCTCAGGGTCGTCAGGAAGAAAGATAAGAAACTATTGTATTGAAAAAACAAAATAAAAAACAAAACAGTAACCCAAAAAAGCATGGCTTGCATAAAGATGCTGCAGGTTCTAACGCCCAAATACGTTATACTAAGAAATGATCATCCTGCATATCACCGCCGAACCTGAAACCGCTCCTCGTCCAGTAAAGTGCCGTTTGCCCAGCACTCTTCTATCCAGTCGACGCTGACGAGATGCGGGATTTTGAGCCCGGGTCTAGCAGCAAGAGTTGTCCGAAGAGATGATATCTCTGCAGAATACAGCACAGTGCTCGGGTCGAGTACTACATGTGTGATGCTTGCGTTTTCTAGCGAAGAGGCGCTTCCGGCGCCTGCGAATCGGGCTGTGTTTTGGGCGAGGCGAAGGCGGAGGTCATTTTTCTTTCTTTCCTCTGACTCTGACTGGGAGTGGAAGAGTATTGTTAGGCCTCGGAATAGCCAGCCGCAGGGTGCTGTGTAGCCGGCGTTGACTCTGTCCTGGATACGGGATTCTATTTTTTGGAAGGTCCATGGGTCGGGAGTGTGGTCGGACTTGTTGGAGTCGGCCATTTGTTTTAATATCTGTAGGCGGGTTGTTAGTGGCCATCGTGTTTTCTCGCGTTGGGGGTTTCATACATCTTTGAGCTCGTCTGCGGTTGTATCGCGAGCATAGCTGTCGGAGAATTTGTCGACATTTGCCGTGATTTCTTCTTCCCTGTCTTCCATTATGAAAAACATGTGTCTATGAGCGAGAGGCATGAATGTTAGCTTTCGTAAACCAACTCTGGCTCAAGACATACCTAGGCTCGAATGGAAGGAGAAAGTCGGGCATTCCGGCGTCCTTTTCGTTTTGCTTGACGCAGTCAATTAGCCAGGATGGACGGATGATGTTCTCCTCGCCCCTTTTTAGCAGCGAAGCCACCTTGACCGTCTCTGTAGAGATGTTAGATTGGGTTTTGTGATGGCTCGTATGAATTTAGGAAGCTTACTCCGCTCCGCAACGCAGAGCGTATCTGCTGCTGCCGTGTTGGTCTGATAGATTTTACCGCCGTTGGCTTTCACAAGTTGCTCTAGCTGAGGTTTTGTCTTCTTTTCTGGGATAGTCGATTCAGTCATTATGAAGAAATTCAGTTCATCGAACACATGCCCAGATGGTCCAATATACTGGGTGCCGACGTTCTCGTCATGCCCAGCAATGGTGAGCGGTTTCTTAGTGGTCCTCTTGACTCGTTTCTTCCGGGAATTATCAACAGAGAATTCCTTTTCCCGGTGCTCTTGCTCGGCATTAGACTTGAGATCCAGGAATCCCTGGACCGAGAGAGCGTTTTTCCAGTCCTTGTCCTTGCGCAGCTTCTTGAAGCGCGGGAAACGCAATGTCAGGCCCATGCGGAACGTTTCACTCACTGCCACCGAAGCAGCTTTCACACACAGTACTATTGAGTCCGATGGCTTGATCCACATGTCTGGACTCTCGATCTGGGCATCTCCACCGGCTAGTTCGATATAGGTAGTCGGAGGTCGTTTCACGTCCCACTCCTTCCACTTCCCATCAGTATGATGGCGAACCTCCTGGTAGTCGGCCGCGGTGAAGCCGCCGCCGACCTTGCAAAAGGACCAGCATTTCATGGATTCTGGCCCTGTGGAATTATCGTCGACTCGCAGCCCGCATAGAAAACTGGATAGGGCGCCTCCTCGGTGCCCAGAGCCATAATATCCACCTATTACAACGACATCGAGAGACTCTCCGAACTCAGTCATGTATTCCGGCTTTACTTTCATCCAGTCATCGTGGCGCTCGTTCAATCGGTATGGAGAGCGTGGATTTTTCAATACAAGACCTTCAGAAGCCTCAGCGACAACCTTCCGCAGAGCGGCTTCAACTTCTGTGGTGGTGGTTGCCTCCTCGTAAGGGTGAACTTCGAAACGGCGATGAACGGGTCTGATAGTCTTGCTCATGGCGTTACGACGATCACGAAGCGTATACTTTGTCAGATCGCGACCATTGAGATGCAAGATATCAAACACACGGTACAAGGGCCGATGATCAGTTGAGAAGGGATTGCGCTGTGCGGCCAGGGCTGCAGTCTTGAGCGTGCCGAAGGGGACGATGGAATCTTGTTCGGGATCCCAAGTAATCATCTCGCCGTCGAGGATAATGCTTTGCACCCCGTCGACGAACGCATCTTTGAGATGTCTCGTCAAGGCACTGTTCTCGTCGTGGATCCCATTTCCATAGAGATAGGTGTAGTCTTTGGCTTTGCGTGACCAGAACCCAAACCTCCGACCACCATCTATTGAGTCATCGGGCACCATATGGAGCTGCATACGTTCACCGTCCAGCTTTTCCTCGATCCAGAAAACATTATCGTCTTCTGTTGGCTTCAAACGAGCAATGATCTTTTCAAACGAATGCATCTGGAATTGAGCCAGCTGCGGCTGAAAGCATTGCATCAGCGCGACACCACGCTCTTCGCCCTCAAGCCGAATATTCGGATCATGAAGCTCCCAACACACCCGGCGCAGACTACTAGATATGCTGTACAGGCTCTCAGCATCGGGATGCCAAACATCAAAGAGCGTCCGTTCCGTTGCCCCAACCTTCATCTGCCGAAGGATGATGCGAATAAGCCACAGCAGCTCTTCAGGATTCATACGGCGGTAGAACTCCGTCATAATGGACAGCTGTTCATCCTCCTTCGACGCAGCAGACAGCCTATCCAGCTTCTCGTTGACCTCGTCGATCGTCATGTCCCCAGGCTCGGTGCGCATCGGCCGCTTGGAAAGAACATCGAAACACCGTCCGGCAAAATCACCAGCCATGCGCGTCGCCGCGCTCTGGCCCGGAAGCTTCCAGTTCAATAGATTGTACCCGTCTTCCGATTCCTTGTTGATCTTCATTATCTTGACTAGCATCTTCCCGATGCCCTTCTCTTTGACGCCGTACATGGGTCGATCGCGGTCCTTGTCGGGCAGAATTAATCGAAGAGCTGGGTAGATGTCGTCGCCGACTTCGTTCCGCCAGCGCGAAATAAAGCGTACGATTACATCGCGGCGGCGCTCGTATGGGTTGAGACTTGTGGCGCCTTTGCCGTGCGGGCCCAGTTTTCGACGGGCTGGGGCGGGACCTCCTGGCTTTTTCTTAAGCTCGTTTAGAGGGTTGAAGAGACTGAGGTACAAATCGTGAAAGGGAAAGGTTGGGGCTCGATTATGAGGTCTGTTGGGGTATCTGGCAATCGCGTTAGTTATAGATTTGTAGTTTGATAGATAGGCTGTATTTACTTTGCGTTCAGGTCCTCTTCCTCCTGCGGAGGTTCTGGGGCTACTATCTCGTCTGAATCCATTAGAAAAATTGAAAAGGAGTTTAAAGAGGGAAAAGTAGGAAGTTTGGATATGGACTTGACCTTAGAGATGATTTTAGGCTGCACTGCCGATAAGATAAAGCCTATGTGGGGAATCTGTACGGAGTACAACATCCAGAGCTAGGCACACTGGTCTTTCCAATCCAATATTTTGTACATAACAGGTCGTTTGTATTGCGCCTAAATACAGATAGTCCAAGTTCAATCACGATATAGACTTCAATTAGACTTCAATCCACGGGGGTATATAGCGAGCGAAAAAGCCAATGCGCCCAAGACTAGTATACAATATAAGAAAGGACCTCGGCATGTACATAATTGCTACACAACAGCTCGCACATCAAACATGGTCCGACCCACGCCTGGTATTCTGTTCCCAAGACGAGTTACACGAACTCAAATCAGCAAGCCTGGTCAAGATCGCGATGAACTTCTTCGAGATACTCCACGCATCCAAGCCCGCCAGAATCTCACACCCAACTCGCAAGACCCTCTCAGGCCCCTCAGCCCCACAAATATCACCAACACCAGTAACGTTGCCCCTCATGACATGGCCCTCCCTCACAAAAAGCTGCACCAGCTCATCATCGCACGGCCGGTCCAAATGAATGAAACTCGGCTCATGTAGGGGTTCGGCACGAGCCTGGGAATGCGGACTCGACTCGTGCGATGTATGCGCGTGACAAGATCCATACGCCCACAGCGTCAGGACAGCAATGAACGCTGCAAGCGGCTCGTGGAAGGCATTCGTGGAGTAGCGGCGGACGTGCCAGAGGGTTACGCCGGCGTGGATGATCGACAGCCGGGCTTTGTATTGGTCGTGTTTCATCCAGCGCCAGATGTACTGCCACTCGAGAGATTGGTGGCGTTTGCTGAAGCGCAGCTTTTCGGTCGCGAGAGCTGTGGCGAGGGATCGTATTTCGCGGAATGGGGCGAGGAGGAAGAGTCGGGCGGCGTGCAGGTGGAGGACGGTTGGGTGCTCCAGGCCGGCGGCTTTAGCTATTGTGCTGTTTGCGGTCCAATGGAGAATGTCAAGGCAGTCGCAGGCGCTGTTGCGCCATTTGGAGTAGGAGGGGATTCCTGGCAGCCAGACTGAGCCGGTGGGAATGGCGGTTTCGCGGGATTGCTTTTTGGCCGTCGGGTTCCAGAATGATAGCGGTCGGCGAAAGTAGTCCCCTACTTCCCACATTCGGTGATAGAGAGCGTGGATGAGTAGGATGTGGCTAAATTCTCCGATGCCGGAGACTAGTCGTTTCTCTATGTAGAGGATGTGGACTGCGTCGTATAAGGATTCATTGACTGCTCAAGTTAGTCGAGGTCCGATACTTAGGACTGGATGAGAATTACCAGGTGACTTCTCCCACAGTGGCTTCCATATATCTGCCGAAGATGCTTGCCACAGCTTCTCATGAGCGGGTAGCGCAGCTTGTCCATCGTCTAATGACAATAATGGTTTGTCATCGAAGTAGTAGGCAAGAGTACAGTCCAGGAGCTAGAGAATCGTCAGACAGTGAGCAACCTATGTTTCCAAACAAAACTTACCCAAATGCAATAGCCAGTGCGCCTCTTAACTTCATCTTGCATCCAGAATAGCCAAGCCGCGTCCTGCGACGCCCCATCGAAGAGGATTTGCTGCGGTGCCAATAACCGCGAAGTGTTCATGAGCGTTACCAAGTCACCGAAGCAGCTCAAGGCCGATGATTTGTCTCGCTCGTTTCTACTATGGAAGAGCCCAATGCAATTGAACAGCATAGCTTGTATCATTTCGAGAGAAGTCCGGCCTGGGCGACTCTTTTCCTTCTGCGACTTGTTAGATGGATCAAAACTGACGATAGAAAGGATGTTATACCTCGACATAGATACCCCGCCGAATCAACTCGTGGAGAGCATTTGTGCATTGTTCCATCTCGGGCATATGTGCAACATGGCAGCCAACTGCTACTATAGACAATGTTAAGAGCCAGTGGCATGAATTTGGATCAAAGGTCGGAAGATGCAGAACCGGGTAAACGGCCTGGAAAGAGTCGAAGAAAAAGGCAATAAACCAATTGCATTCATCCAGGGTAGGAAATCCGTCTGATTCGAAGACTTCAAAAAATGGATTCTCGTGGCGACATAACGAGAGGAAATGCCGATAGATCTTGTCGTAGGCGGAGGGCTCGATACGCTGGGCGAATCGTACTACATCTTTTGATATCTGATCTGTTTGAAGTTCGGAGATGATGGGAAACTCAAAGCGGTGCTCACTGTCTTCAAGGAGCATGTGTCTTCCAGCATCGACCGGTTCTGCGGATGTTCTGGACCAAGGTGGATGTTTCTTTCTATATTTTGGAAGTCTGGATCCGGCGCCATCAACATAATAATCCGCTGATCGTTTGGCAGAGCCCACTGACTCAGTATGAGGAGAAGTCTCGCTTAAAGCATGTGGATATTGATTAGGGCTTTCCATGTTTCCCAACGGTACATGCACAGAGGGTGATTGAGATACTGGTTCTGGATGTAAAGGACTAATCTGCCCAGCTTGAACAACCGGTGGTTGCCAAGCTGTGCGCGAGAAATATGGACCTGGACCGAAAGATTGGTCATATTGTGAAGAAACAGCGGTCAGTTGTGGCTGGCTGATAGTGGCCGTGGAGAGGAATTCGTTAGGAAGCCAGTTGATAGTAGAAAGCATTGATTGATCGAAAAGAGTAGGATCGAAGTGCAGGGACACCTCTGGATCATTTGACATCGTCATGTCGATGTCAACAGCTGTGTTGGCCATCTCTGGTTGTAAATCTCGCATTTCAGAGCCAAGGTTGGATGAATCAATGGAAAATTTAGGGGCACTAGAATTCGAGCCATCATACGTCTCATTGACATCTCCAGGGTAGACGCCCAATGGCAATTCTGCTGCAGGCGGTCCTTGAGTTGTGTTCGGTACATAATTATGAGAATCCGAGGGCTGTATAATCGTCCCCTGCGTATTCTGCAGAATTGACTTCGCCTGATCACTGTCGGTAGAGAGTGAACTAAGCGAAGGCTTGGACGACGATGCGGTCCCGCTTGGTCTGTTTATAGAAAATTGGCTCAGGTGAGAGTCAACATTTGAATCTCGATGCATAGGCTTATGATTATCAGTCTTCTCGACTTGCATAGTCGAATCTCTCAAGGCTTTCGCTTTGGATCGCCTCTGTGTGGGATAATGGCATTCGAGCGAGCGAGTGTCGCACCGTCCGCATGGTATGCCGCCGCTGCATCGTACTCGAGCCGTTGCACAACTAAAGCAGGCACGGAATGTCTTGACGGTAATTCTATGAGTGCGGTCTTTCCCTTCGTTGCCCGGTGTATGATGACTGATTTCATGTCGGTGGAGGGTATCACTGTGATGTGTCAATATGGTTCAACCCGGGAGATTCCTAGTCGCATACGTCCTCGAAAAGTGCCGGCCGCACTGGGCACATTCGAAGGGTTTCTCCTTTGTATGACTTCGCAGGTGACGTTTCAGATGCTCTGGTCGTCGAAAGGTACTGCTACACACGGAGCATTGAATATGCCCTGCACCCAGTTCTGTGCCCAGTTCCTCCCCGTTCTGATCATCCGTCTCTTGGCGTTCGACGCTGATCTCTCGGGCAGGAATTGGATCCTCGCTATTGTCTTTGCCCGAGAGCATGACTCTTAAGAAGTTCGAGTGAGACTATGGCATTCCCCAAATAGTGCCTGCAGCAGTACAGCAGTGCAGCAATACAGCAATACAGCAATACAGCAAAAACAATGAGGGGGAAAAAGCAGGTGATTCTCAAATTGCGGAGAAAGTGAAACCGATTGGCTCTTGCAATTAGACGCCAATTACCCCGGGGACCCCAGTTCGGCTAATAAGGATTTGGGTTTTCCAAGGTTAATACGAGTACGGAGTAGTTTTATACTGAATAAGTTCAAGTATTGGGTCACACAAAATATATACAAACTGAAGATACACTGATGTGACTCACATAGAAAATCTCCATGCTGACCAGTGTATAATAATGTGGAGAGAGAGAGACAGGGGGAAAACGTGCTATGCGGTCGCAGTGCACGGACTTTTCTGACCGTCATCACTTCTTTCTCCCAATCTCCAACGAAAAAAAAAAGACAAAACGAAAACAAAATAATAAACCACTCATGATCAACGTCTAAAGGCCCGCATTTGTACATATTGTACACTGGTGTCGAACCTTCTCCATGAATGGTATCCCTAATTCCGCAAACCAACGGCGGTTAGGTGTGTCCCGCAATGATGCCGCCTTACAAGGTGCCACGCTAGCCTTCCGACACTCCAGAGATCCATCACCAAGTGTACAGAAATCGTCTGCTGCAAGTGCTGCCGCAATGGCAAGTCGTGGGGATCATCCGATTGGTCGTCAGCGGACCGGATCCGACCTTGGTCCTGAAGTGGGCTCCGTTAGGGACAAGATCGGGAGATTAACAACAGGATCACTTTCCCCTTCAGCTAGCACTATCAGTTTGAGAGGGCGACCTTCGGCTTCGTCTCTCTCGTCGACTTCAGAAATAGCCGCTCGGCTAGCAGCTTCAAGATCCCCTAGGCGGGATCCGGCTCCTCCGGCTTCGGCTGCCAGACTTGGGGCAGTGCGAAGTGCCAGCCGGGTACCCCCTCCACCAGAAAGGCGAGAGCTACCATCACCAACCCCTGTTCACTCAAACCAGGGGAACTATAGCCCCCTGGATCGCATGCTACGGGAGGATGATCTCGACCACCGGGACCTGCCTAGTTACGGGCGTTCTCCATCCCAACAGTCTAGAACTACGGAAGATCACAGTCGAGGCTCAAGTCCTCATCCCTCGGGGTCTCGGAATTCTTCTATGCCACCGGATGAGTCGAAACCCAGACTTCCTCCACGGTTACCTCCTTCCCGAGGGTCTACCAGAAACCATGGAGTCGCCACCACACCCTTACGGCCTTCTACGCCTAGCGCGATGTCCACATCGGGCCAATCGCACGCAACCAGTGCCCCCAGCATCATGGATGAATCCGGAGGGATGAGTGAGGAATCCCTTTCCAACGCAATTGTCGCCTCATCCCTGGCATCCGCTCGAGCATCTCCATCGATCAAGGTCCCGCCGCCGCTCCCTCCCCAGCGACGCCGGGCACGATCCATTTTACACCTGGCACATTCGCCCAAGGGTGATCTATCCAGGACCCCCAGCCCACCCAAGGGCATGCCCCAGACACTTCGCAGCGTACCGAAACCCGATTCGCACCACCGCAACAAACACAGAAATCCTCTCAACAAACACCCTCACAAACACCACGAGGGAGACCGTAAGCGCTGGCGAAGGGAGGTAACGGAGAAAGAGCGCAAACGATATGAAGGCGTGTGGGCCTCTAATAAAGGGCTCCTCATCCCTGTCGGCACCAACGGTGGGGAATCAGGTCCAAGTGGGACCGGGAAATGGCCACCTCATGCCTCGGATATGGTGTTAAACCTGGTGGTTCGGGAGATATGGAGCCGCAGTCGGCTGCCGACGACCATTTTGGAACAAGTGTGGAATCTGGTGGATCATCAAAACATCGGGCTCTTGATGCGTGAGGAATTCGTGGTTGGAATGTGGTTGATCGACCAGCAATTGAAGGGTCATAAGCTTCCCGTGAAGGTCCCCGATAGCGTGTGGGATAGTGTTCGGCATGTGGCTGGGATTAAGATCCTCGCAAAGAGCCATGCTTAACTTTAAATTTTGGAGAAAAGTGACCATTTCAGATACTCTAATCGTCATTGTGAATTGTATGCATATCACAATATCACACTAGACATCCCTTTCTGTGGATGTCATGCTAGTCTGGATTTAGTAATAGTAAAAAAAATATACAATGCAGATCTACCAATGAACGGGAGGTTGGAGGTCCATCGGACCAAATTACCAGTACTTTTTGTTGAACGTTAGAAATGACTGGTCCACTGTGGATTTGATACCTTGGTAGTCATTCCGACTTTTTTCCGATTGTATAGGTAGCTAGGTCTTGTAGCCCGGTAAATAGCCTAATTTAAAGGGTAAAATTATCAGGACTTGGTAGAGGCAATAGAGGCAAATCGCCAAATACATATAGACATAATATGTAGCCGATAGAGCAACCAACTGGTGATTCGGGTACCATATTGTAATGATCGTACCATCCGAACTTCATCCGAAATATTCCTGATCCTTGGAAATGAAGAAAAACAAATTAAACTGGGGAACCTTCGAAATGGAATAACTCAATCACTTATAACCTACACCTTTGAACTCATACATATCGACCTTATACGTTATATGAGCCCATTTTGACAAATCTATCTCCAATTCGGGGTTAAACAGTCACACCCAAAAGCAAATCCCGAAACTCCACGGCTCGGGATTTGGGCGATCAAGCAAATCACACACTTTCTATATCCTTTTCTTTCGGACTCATCTAATCTGGAGGAATCTCCTCGATTTTGTTTGCAGACCCGAGTGAATGGTTCTGGAGATTATTTGCGGAGTCCCCATATGTCTACTTCCTGGTGATTCGCCATGGACTCTTTCAACGATTATAACCAAACGCCTCGACCGGTTCGCAAGAAGTTTGCCAAACCCCCAGTTAAGGTTGCTTGTTTACCTTGGTGAGCAAATCCCGCTTATACACAAGTAATTCGACATATGTATCTATATGTAACTATATATACATATGTAGGGTATAACTTATCTTGTACTCCCCGCTAACCGTGTTTCTAGTCGGGCTTCGAGAACACGATGTGGCGGTCAAATGCCATGTTCCAACGTTAGTCACCGCTATATGCTTGATATGTTTGAAATTGACCGTTCCAACTAACGGTTCGCCTTAGTGTGTGAACAAAGACAAAGAATGTTCTTATTTACCCAGCAAGAGAGGCGGTCCTCGAAAGAAGAAGGAGAAATCTTCCTTATCACCCGAAAGGGAACAGACAGATGATCCTTATGCCGCTGTACCCTCCCCGGAATTCGAAGAACGTACGTATCTACTTACGGCCATGCCATAGAACATCCTTATATACTGACTACATACAGAACCGGGGATGTTCCATCAAATTGACGAACTCTCCCTACCTGGCGCGGGGCTGCGGCATCTAGATTTCCAATCCGAAATGCCCATATTCCAGGGCTTTTTCACTGGCGACGGAAACGAGTCGCACATGCAGGTACCCCCAATACCGCCATCACTAAACAGCACCCAGTCTTTCGTCCGGACCTACGGAAGCGAAGCAGAAATGTAAGTCAGCCCCCCAACGCCTCCATCCTATACGGCAAGCTGACACTCCCAGACTGAACGCCTATTATGACTTTATTCACAATTATTTCCCCATTCTGCCGCCACGAGCATCACCACCATGCCGGGATCGCCCGTTAAACTGCCCAGTTCCATGCTCCGATTCATCTGAGCCCATGATGATGTACCGCCCCCGTTCGCCACTCAGTCTGGCCATCTCCGCTGTTCTGGCTTTGATCCCGCATCCGAGTGATCTCGACCCTGCCTCTGCGGCGTCCATTTTGCAGCGCAGAACCTACGCCCATAGCTTTGCGCAACTCGCCAATTCGACTATCGAGGCGGAGTGTGATCTCGATCTGTCGTCTACCGATCCTGGTCAGGCGTTGTCTGCGACGCGGCCTTTTGTTGGAAGGGAGCGGTTCCACTCGCAGACGCCGGTGGATTATGAGAGTTTGTTGGCTTTATTGGTGCTCTCGGTTTATGAGTATTCTCAGCGCGGCAATCTGCTCAAGATGCGGTATCGCGCTGGTCAGGCACTGGCTATTGCTTTGGATAAGTCGCTGCATGCTCAGGTGGTAAATGATGAGTTCGCAGAGGCTAGACGGAGAGCCTGGTGGATGACGGTATGTCCTCGTGCTTGAATCTTTGATTTCCTATCTGATTGTGTTCTAGTATTACTGTGTGATTCAAGGGTCAATTGTGAGCACGACAGTAAGTACTACCACCTTTTTTCAACGTGATTGAGTCTAATGAGATATAGATGCCCGCTATTGTCATTAATGATCCTCAGTTTACGACTCCATATCCGTCATTTGCTTCAGACACCGAGGTTTGTACTCGAACGTCTCAATGATCTTCTATTTGCTAATAAATATCAGGGTTGGTCCATTTTGATACAGGCCCAACAAGTACTCGTATCAGCAACCCAGTTCATAGGAGATCTGAACAAATGCCTTGCATCTCAATCCGGGATGTACTATATGTTCGAAAGAATGCAGCAACTCGATTCATGGACCAGCTCTGTGCTTGCCCAGGTGGAACTACTCCCCCTGGTGCCCCAGTCCTCAGACTTTGGAGATCACAATGAATCCATCACAGCCCAAACCATTCGGTCAATCGCCCGAATCAAACTATCCAGGTTCGCGCCAGACACGCACATACATCCCACACTCCAACGCCACTAACAACTTCCAGTGCCCAAATAAAAACGCACCGCTTCCGCGCCTTCTCCGACATCCCAATCTTCCTAAAAAGACATTGCGACTTAACCGCTGCAAACCAAAACAACCCCAACTCCCCACTCCCCAAACCCCCCGGCATCCATAACATCTCCTGCACCTGCAGCAACCTCGACACCTTCCAACGAGCCGCCTCATCCGAATACATGACGCCCTCTGACTCCTCCACCTCCTCCGACATCCACCCCGACATGACCCACTACGCACCGCAGTACACGCAATACCCCTTCGCCTCCGGCTTCCCCTACAGCACGCAGCAGTCCGCAAAAATCTGCCTGGAAGCCGCTCTCGTCATCTCCCGCATGTTCCACAGCCTGCCTGTCCCGCAGCCTCTCTCCGACGCCCGCCAACGACGCCAACCTCTGCCGCGAACTATGCCCTCCTTCGCCTGCTGTCTCATGCAGAGCAGCTACGCCATGTTCATGATCTACTACAAGGCGCGCGTGGCGAAGCAGCTTTCTCCTGACGCGGGGAACGAGCGTGGCGGTGACTCCACCGGCCAGCTTATCGAGGAGCTGAGGCAGGGACTGGAGAGGATTATTGCCGCTGTGTCGAATTACTCACTTGCGTTTGAGGCTTTGGATGGGATGAGAGGTTAGTTTTTCTTTTACTTCGTTTTCGTTCTGGTTCCTGTGCATTCTTGCTAACTACCTCTAGACGAAATCGAGGGTGCATATAAAACGGCGTTTCCCATGGCACCTCCCGTCTAGGGCCATTGTTATTCTTTTCTTGTCCGGCGTTTTTCTTTACCAGGCACGAAGCCTGCTTTTTTTTCCTTTGCATTTTATGACGCTTTCTCTTTCTTTCACTTACGACTTCTCCACTTATTGTTATTTTGTTCCAGCATTAAGAGTCACTGGCGTTCTTTGCACCATTTTGCGGCGTTCCCGAGGTCCATTTCCCAGGCGAGCGAGCTGTGCGAACACGGAAACAATCTTAGCTTACATTTCCATTCCAAGACTGGCAAGAGCAGAGCAGAGCAGAGCATACACAAAGCGGCCATGTCGTGCATTTCCTTGTATTCTATATACGGGCAGAAGAAAATATACCTACTTAGAAGCAAGAGAACGTGTATTTCCGAGCCTTTAGCCAAAAAAGAAAAGAAATCCTCTAAAAGCAAACCCCCGAGCCCAGAATAAGCATACTGCCGCCAGATCCCGACGGCATCTAGAGCTTGGATCGGATGCCCTCTAGTCGGAACTTGACATCCTTCAAAACCTTGCTGGACGGCTTCCAGTCATCAAACTGCCGGAGTAACTCCATCATCTCGCTGTGCAGCTCGCGCCGCACGTACTCCTCTTCCAGCAGGCCGCGCATTGCAAAGGGGAGAATGTACGGGTTTGGGGTTGTTGAGCTGGTGGCGCGCTTGATGCTGAGGGTTGAGTCCGGGATGGAAGAGGTCTCTAGGGCGAATTCGATGGCCATTCTGGGAGCGGGGTTAGTTGGTCAGTTTGTTTCTGGGTAATTCGATGTTTTGTGGTACATACGAGTAGACGGCTTCGTCGTCGTACAGGCGCGAATGACCTTCTCCGCTGTATAGACTGCCTGCTAGTGGGGTGCTGAGTTCGCGGATGAGACCGTGATCTGAGATGCCGAGGTTGCGGAGCTTGAGGGTGAATCCGACTAGATGGGATAAGCTGGCGCTTGTTAGTATCTTTGATTGAGAGTGGAGTGTGTCGGTGCTTACAAGCTGGGGGCGTGGACGCGGCCATCGACGAAGACGGCGCGGTAGACGTAAGGATGGACGATGGGGGAGAAGAGCGAAGACTGCAGGGATTATTAGCCATTTGGTGGATTTTCACCAGTGGGGGAATATACGCACTTCCAGAGAAACAAGTTGATCGTCAATACTTCCAATGTAAGAGATGCGGACACCGAAGTCCAGAGCACATTTCAGAGCAGCCTCGTATTCTTTTGAGACTTTGCTGAAAGGCAACGCAAACTCGAACAGCTCTCCAGCAGACCCGCTGATCCACCGCGAGCGATAATCCGGGAAAGGCCCAAGGTTCACTCCAGCCATGGCGCAGATGCCGACTCGTTTAGCATCCAGACAGCCGAACTGTATGAGTTTGGCAACCAGCATGATTCCCACTGGCACGCCTTGACTGTGGCATGCGATCATGACGAAATCAGCCTTGCGAATCTCATCCATCCAATTGAGCAGCAGTTTCCAGAGGAGATCAACGCGCTCCGTGATGCGGCCTTCGCCTTCCAGGGCGATCTTTTCGATTTCGCAGGTGTAGCCATGGCTCTCTGTGTATTTCCGAATCGCATCTGCTGCCATATTGGAGAACCGGATGGAGGTCCCCGTTGGCTGTCCAAGGACGCTGCGAATAAAAGGCGCTGGGAAGTATCCATGCACACCGATCGCTAGCGCACGTTTAACACGGAGCGGTTCTTTGACCCTGCTCACATGTTGGATATTCTGACCCTTGCCATAATGCAGGAGTCGGCCAAGACTCTGCAGGATCGAGGGTGATTCCTCGAATGCGTAGGTTTCTTGGAAATTGGGCAGGACTTGGTTTGGGAGGACCCTTTGTAATTGTTTTGAGGCTGTTGTGTCGGCGGGCCGAGGTTCGACAGATGGTATGTCGGTAATGGACATGGGTTCATCCTTGAGACGGTTGTCCTTCGGCGGCTTGACTTTGATGCTGCCCTGCTGGGTAATTTTTATATTTGCATCGGTGTCTGGCTCGAGCGTGTTGGTTTTCGACGGTGGATTCGGTTCTCTTGATGCCTCGATTGCTTCGCCTTCTTGCAATTTATCCGAGAGGCTATCTTTGTTTGGATCTTTCGACCAGAATGACCAGCCGGATGATCTTGTAGTTGTGACGGGGGTCTGGGACCCACCGTTCGGCTCTCTTGGATCCTCTGGTAGATCTTTTGGCGCCATGGTTGTGTTCTGGTCGTCGGCGATGTTATCATTCGCCGGGGGTAAAGCCGCAGGGGTTGCAGATGACGGCTCTTCTTGCTTGTTTAATGTGTTCGAACCGTACCACATCTGAAGCCACGATCGCTTTTGCGCCGCGGGTGTAACTTCAGTAGTATCTTCTGTCTGCTCCGGTTCCAGGTCTGCTTCTGCTTCCTGCGTCGGCTCCTTCACGGCAAGTTGAGCACCCTGCTCTGCTGTTTGATCAGCTGACTGGCGCTCCGCGGTTTCTGCGGATTCCGGACCACTTGCAGTACCCTTACTAGCAGCAGACTGTCCATATATCCATGAAAGCCAGCCAGCAGACAGCTCAGGGCCCTCTGCAGATCCAACATGCGACGTGCTAGGATCCGCGGTAGGGGAAGTCTCCTGCTCTTTGGTTGGCTCCTCTTGGGATTTGGTATCGGGATTACCGGAGACTTCTTTATCGGAGGTTGCTGGTTTCACATGCCCGGGATCTCCGCTATCGTCGATGGCCGTCGTGGAAGCCGAACCATCGGATGCAATGTTGACCCGGGTTGTAGTAGCGTCAGCGGGCAGGGATCTGGTCGATACGCCCGCTTTTCGCGTAAGCTGAATGGAAGGGTTTCGGCTCTTTGAAGGGGTTTCAAGAAGAGAAGCTGACGACTTTGTGACCGTCGAAGCTACAGATTTGGCGGCTGAAATGCTTTCACGGGCAACCTCGGTAACTGGAGCTGCTTTGGGGACTCTTGCGACGGATGCCCAGGTTCCAGGATACCAGCTCTATTTGAACAGCAGAGAATCAGTAAAGATAACTAAGTAAACGATTATACCGATCTCGAAATCATACTGCATTAGGTCCTCGCGACTGGGAGTCTGAACGGTCTCGGCCATCACTAGGTGTAGCCGGTGAATCCCCGCCGGAAGGGCTGGTCTTCACTCTCTTTCGAGATCCCTTAGGCGTCATGGAGACAAAAGTGAGAACATCAGGCCTATAGCTCAATCAGATTTAAGACACAATGCATCTCCAAAGCGCCACGAAATGACTGGGGGGTGCCTGAGTGATATCACGTCACATGTCTGGCACCAATTTGGCCTCAGGCAACAAACTGGAGAACCGGTTCAAAGGCGGTCAGCGATAAGTACTGCAACTTTTTTTTTTCTTCGGCGGATCCCTCGTCGATAGAAAAGTATACATTTCGTTCTGTCTTGTCATTTTAAAAGGATTTTTTGGTCTGTTCAGACCGGTTTTCCTTCAAGATGGCGATCCAAAAGAAGGTTCGTTATAATTGATTTTTCTTCGCATTACATCTACTGACCACCTTATAGCACGGAAAAGGTCGTTTGGATAAGTGGTATCGACTTGCCAAAGAAAAGGGCTATCGAGCTCGTGCTGCGTTCAAGTTGATTCAATTGAACCAGAAGTATGGATTTTTGGAGAAGAGCAGAGTCTGTATCGATCTGTGCGCTGCACCTGGTGTAAGTATCCTCAATTGGCATTGAAGAGTCTTTTTTCTCTAACAGATGCGCAGTCTTGGTGTCAAGTCGCCGCAGAATACATGCCGGCGCAAAGTCTTATCATCGGTGTCGATCTCTCCCCGATTAAACCCATTCCTCGAGCCATTACTTTCCAGAGCGATATTACAACCGACAAGTGTCGCGCAACAATTCGCTCTCACCTCAAACACTGGAAAGCCGACATTGTTTTGCACGATGGTGCTCCCAACGTCGGTGCCGCGTGGGTGCAGGATGCTTTCTCCCAGGCTGAGCTTGTCCTGGAGTCTCTGAGACTGGCTACTGATTTCTTGGCCGAGGGCGGAAACTTTGTCACAAAGGTTTTCCGATCCAAGGACTATAACCCCCTGCTGTGGGTTTTCAAGCAGTTGTTCAACTCTGTCGAGGCAACCAAGCCTCCTTCGTCTCGAAATGTCTCTGCCGAAATTTTCGTCGTTTGCCGCGGATACAAGGCTCCCAAACATGTCGACCCGAAGTTCCTCGACCCTAAGCATGTCTTCGCAGAGCTTCAGGACCCAACACCTAACTATGAAGCGAAGGTTTTTAACCCCGAAAAGAAGAAGCGTAAGCGTGACGGTTACGAGGAGGGAGACTGGACCCAGCACAAGGTGATTCCAGTGACCGAGTTCATCAACACTATCGATCCAATCTCTATTCTGGGTGGCTACAACGAACTCAGCTTCCAGCAACCACCTGGAGGAGATCTTGCATTGTCCACCCTGGACCGTTTGGAGGAGACAACAGACGAGATCCGAACTTGTTGTAAGGATCTCAAAGTCCTCGGCAAAAAGGAATTCCGTAACTTGCTCAGATGGCGTATCAAGTGTCGCGAGAAGTTTGGACTTGTCGTCAAAAAGAAGCCTACCACGGAGGGCACCGAAGAGGAAGTGGCTGAGGTAGCCCCCATGGACGAGGAACTGCAGATTCAGGAAGATTTGGTTCGGATGCGGGAGCAGCAAACCGCCAAAGGCAAGAAGGAAAGGCGCAAGGAAAATGAAAAGAAGCGCAAAGATATCATTCGAATGCAGATGAACATGACCGCGCCCATGGACATCGGTATGGAGCAGCTTGGTATGGGAGGTGAAGATTCCACGTTCACCCTCAGACGTGTCGACCGGGAGAATGCTCGCGATGCCGTTGTCAATGCCCGTGACCTTCCTGCTGAAAGTGAAAGCGAAGAAGAGTCCGAAGACGAAGACGAAGAAAGCGACGATGAAGAAGATCGCCTCGAAAGGGAACTTGACCAAATGTACGAACAGTATACCGGCCGCATGGAGGACAAGGATTCGAAATTGCGCGCCAAGAAGTCACGCAAGCAATACGAGGCCGACGCGTGGGAGGGCTTCTCTGACAGGGAGAAGGGCAGCGATGAGGAGGAAGAAGAACATGAAGAGGAATCATCGGACGAAGAAACCGAAGCTGCAGATCAAGCTTCTCGGCCTGAGAAACTCTCGAACAACGCATCTATGTTCTTTGATCAAGATATCTTCCAGGGATTAGGGGACGAGGAGGAAGAAGAGGAGGAGGAGGAGGAGCAGCAGGAAGAAGAAGAAGAAGAAGACAGTGACAACATCTTTGCGATGGACGAGGACGAGGAACCCGAGGAGAAGACTCCGGCACCCAAGAAAACAAACAAGAAGAATGCCAAGAAGGGTGCAAAGAAGGATTCTGAGTGGGTTGACGAATCCGATGAGGGTGAGCCAGAAGCCGAACCGCGAAAGGCGAATGGCCATCTTGGTATGTTGGGATTTGATACCTACTATCAATCAAAACGCACTACTAACATAAATTTTTCAACTACAGATATCGACATTATTACCGCAGAAGCCATGGCCCTTGCACACTCAATGGCTACAGGAGAGAAGCGCTCGTCCGATATTGTTGACGATGGCTTCAACCGCTTTGCGTTCCGCGACACAGACGGCCTTCCCGAGTGGTTCATCGACGATGAGGGCAAGCACAGCACACCTGTGCGGCCCACTACTAAGGCTGCCGCGGCTGCTATCAGAGAAAAGATGCGCGCCATCAACGCCCGCCCAATCAAGAAGGTTATGGAAGCCAAGGGACGCAAGAAGTTCAAGGCTGCCCAGAGGCTGGAGAAGCTTCGCAAGAAGTCAGCACTTTTGGCAGAAGACGATGCCCTCAGCGAGCGCGACAAGGCCGGTGCCATCGCCAGACTAATGAGCAGGGCCACCAAGAAGAGGCCCAAGCAGGAAGTCAAGCTTGTCGTGGCTAAGGGTCCCAACCGTGGTATCTCTGGTCGTCCCAAGGGTGTCAAGGGTAAATACAAGATTGTGGATTCGCGTATGAAAAAGGATGTTCGGGCAGAGAAGAGATTGGCAAAGAAGAAGTCGAAGAAATAGAGGTTGTATTCATAGTTTCAGACAATTTACATAGCAAAACTCATTATGATACCCCAGGGTTCGACCCTAAAAGTATTGGGGGCTTTGAAAATTCTGCAGTTCACATTGAAATTAATGGAAGTTGCTGAGCAACCTCGTTAGTTAGTACATGAATGTACATGACCTCCAGAGCTGTGTGAGGCTGTAGTAGAACGAGCTAAAGTGCCAAGGGTCGGATCGCGTGGTTTCCCCGAGTGGCGCCTTAATCGATAAGCCTCTCTCTTTTCTTTTCTCCCACCTTCATCTTAGCATTGCTTGCATTACTTGCATTTTACTCTTATTACATATATTATTTCCTTCGTCTTCATTGCATACGCCATACATTCTTTCTTTTTTGCAGTTTTGTTTATATTTATCCCACTTCATGGGCTTTTTCGACCACCTTCAGAAAGGAGGGGCCGGGGCCTTCTCACTACAGCCCAAGAAGGCGCAAATTCGCAAGGTTGTACAGACTCGGCCGGCCGCACCTACAAAATCAGCGACGCAAACCACGGAGACTCGATCACCTCGAGTCCAGTCCTCGACGGAACGGAGCCGGAAGGCGCAGCCGCTGAAATCTCGATCAGTATCGAGCGACTTGGAAGCGCGCTCGGCAAAACGACTCAGTACTCCGTCACGCATTCGAAAACGACCTACTCCGGAACAAAGACTCTCGAGTGACGATGACGCAAGCGATAGCGATGCCTCATTTGAGGTACATAAACGTGCGAGAGTGAGCGCCAGTGCCGAGCCAGACCCGGAGCGACGTCTCCGGTCAGTGAAGGCATTTTCAGAAGAAGGTTCTCGACCGTTCAAAATGATGCATGCCTCGGATATCACGTCGGTTCAGAAAGCCGGCAAGTTCAAACCCGCGTTCGGCGCTGAGGGCAAGCCCAAGCAGATTCTGTTGCAATACCCCAGTGCTTCTCAACCAGAAAGGTGTGTTGTTTGACTAGATCACGGAGTTATGAGAAGCTAACGGTCTTTTCCGGTATACAGATACGACTGTGTCGTACCGCGAGAAAACGACGAATTCCGGCCCATCGATGACATCGTTCAGGTCATTGAGACGGTTTGCGACAATTACATCCCCACTGAAGAGGCGGACTATTTCAATGACGAGACAACCGGAATCAAACGCCGGCTGCGTCGCGCTTTGGCCATTACTTCCGAAACCCAATTTCGAGAGGCTGTCGATGATTATAACAAGGCTATCCGGCGGCTGAGGACTGACGGCAGTCTTGCTAAGCACTTGGATAACACACAACGCATCGGTTTGCCCTGGGTGGAGCGAATCCTCACTCAAATTTACTCGCGCACGGTCTCCCCTCGAGTCGACTCTCTCCGGCAATATGAGAATGGCACGGATAATGTCTACGGAGAGCTTCTCCCTCGCTTCATCAGCACAATTTTCAATGAAACCAAACTCAAATCGGGACAGGTATTTGTCGACCTTGGTTCTGGTGTTGGAAATGTCGTTCTTCAGGCGGCGCTCGAAATCGGCTGTGAGAGTTGGGGATGTGAGATGATGTCAAACGCATGTGATTTGGCCGATTTACAGCAATCCGAGTTCAAAGCACGATGCCGGCTTTGGGGCATTGCACCAGGCAAAACTCACCTCGTTCGAGGTGACTTCCTGGAGCAGGAAAGCATCATTAGTGTGTTGAAACGGGCAGATGTGGTGCTCATCAACAACCAAGCCTTCACTCCCCAGCTCAATAACGAGCTGATCAACCACTTTTTGGACATGAAGGAAGGTTGCAAGATTGTCTCGCTCAAATCATTTGTCCCGGCTGGTCACAAGATTCAGTCTCGCAACCTGAACTCCCCAATCAACCTTCTGAAAGTTCAGCAGAAAAATTATTGGTCAAATAATGTTAGCTGGACTGACGTTGGCGGTACATACTTCATTGCCACCAAGGATAGCTCTCGACTGAAAGCTTTCATTGATACTACGCCATAGCAGCCAGTGGTTTGTGATTTTGTCATAGCGCGTACATTCTTTGATATAAAATTTTTGTACATTACCTCCGTTTTGGATATATCATTTTAAGATTTTGCTTGATGCCATATCTGATAGCCTGGCCTGTATAACATGAGCCTGTGTTACTTCACTGCAAGCCTTGTACACATTGCACCTAATTTAGGCACTTGCCGGTTCTGACAAAGACTGACAAAGACTATAGTGAAGCTCTCGTGGAACCGAGTCATAATCATCGATCAGACGTATCAGCGATCAATATATACGTCTCGCAGAGCTGTGGCTCTAGACCGTTTGGTCACACTTGGGGGCTGCAGAAAACTAGACCAGGATTACATCGTATGTTGTCGATATTATGAATCCTGATCCTCCGGTCTATATTTAGAGAATAAATACTACATTAACGCACTACAGTATTGATAACCACATGAGTTAATAACATGATATGTTCCAACCCTTTTTCACCCATTCTTATGCTGTCCAAAAACCAACCCGTGAATTACCATGAGAGTGACCAATCAGTCGAGTTCACCATTCGATGCCCTTGTCTTAGACCTCGGAGGTGTCTTAATCAAAACCCCTCCGCATGTATCTACCAATAAATCCATACCATCACTGAAACGCCTCACCTCCACTTTGACATGGATGCAGTATGAATGCGACAAGATCGAGGAGGCACAATGCTACAAGATCCTCGGAGAACAATTTGACTTTCCCCCATCAGAGCTCAGTGAAGCAATTGCTCTCGCACGGACAACAGTCGAATTCGATGAGGAGGTGGTATCTTGGATTCAAACTCTCCGGCAAGATCAACCCTCGCTGAAGATCATTGCCATGTCAAACATCTCCAAGCCTGACTTTGACGCTCTTCATGCTCGATGGGGTCCTACGTTCTGGTCTTTGTTTGACGAGGTGTTTACTTCCTCTGCTGCTGGCTCCCGGAAGCCCAATCTAAGCTTTTACCAGCATGTTCTGAGGTCCACTGGCATCAATCCCGAAAAGGCGGTTTTCGTGGACGATAGTATTCAGAATACTATCTCTGCGGGTTCTTTAGGGATGCGTGGGATCCTTTTTGAGAACCTGCCTATGCTAGTTCGGACTGTTAAGGGGCTTCTTCATGACCCTGTGGTTCGTGGAAAGGCTTTCCTTCAGAAGAACGCAAAGAAGTTGCATTCATTCACCGAGTGTGGTATTCCAGTGCTGGAGAACTATGTCCAGTTGTTGATTCTAGAAGCTACAGGTGACGAGTATTGGTGTCTCTATGGTTTATATTATAACAATGATACTAACAATGATACAGGGGGCTCGTGCTTTTAAACAAGCCCGACTATCATAAAGGGCAGTTTTGGAACTTCTATCTTGGTATGGTACTCAAACACTCAATTGAAGTCAGTCTAACAATGCTCTCAATGGAGAAACACCTATTTTCGCGCCCGAAAAGTTACCCAATGACAATGATACCACTGCTTTAGGTATGCAAGTAATCAGATTTGACGACTCGGTTGCACATTCCCTTCTTGATCAAATGCTCAAGTGGATGAATGAAAATGGCATTATGGATGTGAGCTGCGTCGTTTTCAAAATCCTTTAACCCTTGCTGAAATCATGCTTTAGATGTATCACGACCGCAACAGGCCCAGATTTGACCCCATTGTCAGCGCCAACATCTGTACGTCATTCTACCTCTATCGGCGAGGCCACCAGGTCCAAAAGATGCTAGACTGGGTCCGCAAAATCCTTTACTACAGGGCATATTCAGAGGGAACATACTACTTCCGCTGTCCGGATTGGTTCCTGTTTTACGTTAATCGGCTACTGGTTGTTTCAAAGACGCCAGCGCTGGTTGATATGTTTGGGCCGCTTTTAAAAGAGCGAGTGCAAGAGCGCATTGGAATCCAGGGCGATAGTATTGCGCTGGCAATGCGTACTATCGTGTGTAACTCGATGGGAGTGTACAATTATCAAGACTTTGAGGCGCTTCGAGAGTTGCAGCTGGAGGACGGTGGCTGGGAAGCGGGTTATCTGTACAGCTTCCCAATTATTGGAAAGAAAGTCATGAACCGTGGACTTGGTACGGCGCTTGCTGTTCAGGCGCTTAGTGGAAGGATTGGCAAGATCAAAAAAGAGCTTGCTATGCTTTGAAGGCCGGTTGAGTACATCAGATCCAGGAAGTCTGGCGGAACATAGGAATATCTTTTTTTAATTATTTCCTATAAGCATATTGGATGTCTTTCTACCAGTTGACTTCGTACTCTTCGTTATTGTTCCCGGGCTGCTTGTGTCGTGAGTATACAGCGGCCGATTATTCTGTAATGAGGATAGAGCACAGTAAGGCCATTAGCAGCCGATTTCAGATTCCAGATTTCTAGATAGCATGTGGGAGATTGGTCGGACAATGGTCACCCTGACCGAAAAACACTATATTGTTGTGTAGATCTGAGAGGGGTAGGTTTAACCACGGATGCCGTAAGGGTGGCTGCGTGTCAGACATGTTGTACAAGTAGTTTAGGGCTTGGGCCCAGCGTTGGAGCAGCGAAGGCTTTTATAGCTTTATGGCTCGGATCTCAAAAGTTTCTTATGTCCGATGCAATGTGATGTGATGCGGCTTCAGCGGCAATTTAATAATGTGATATGGCTGCAGCATTTCCTGGCGAAGATTGACAAGCACTTCGGTGGAAGGGTTGGCAAGAATCAACATAGATCTTGCAATGTATTTGGCGATGCTTGTGTATCCCTTTGTGGTTATTATTTTAATCGTTTTGGATATCTTTCGTCTCTTTAGATATTCCTCATAACTCTTCCTAGGCCGCTTAGGGTCGTGAGTATACTGCAGCTGACTATTTTCTAATAAAGATAGAGCACAACAAAGGTAGTAGTATCAGTCAATTCCAGATTTCTAGACATCATGTCGGAGATTGTGGCTTGGGGTCTAAATGTCAAAAACGCTATGCTCTTCAATGCTAGTAAGCTGATCACCAGCTCAGTGTTCGGGTTGGCTAGGAAAATTTGGAAGCATTGTTCATGGCTTCAGCTTCTTGACCCATCCTCGCCATCCAACGATCAACAAGGTCTTGGTTTTCTTTTTGAAGTCGAGTGGACTTCTCTTCGGACATGTTAAGTTGAAGATTAAGCGTCGCCATTTCATCTTGGAGATCCTGCAGAGTTAGAGACAAGTCGTGTTAGCCACTTTCACTCGCGGGCCTGTTTGGACTGGAACGTTTGGATATATATAATATTACCTACCTCCAGCAATTTGGCCTTCCCTTTCAGCTCTGCATCTCTGTCTTTCAGTCGCAAGTATAGCTGCGCCCTCTCGCTTTCCAAAATGTGGATCCGTCGAGCTTCTTGCGTGCTCTTCTTTCGAAGAGTTTCCACCTCTGTAGTCACATGGCTGAGTTGATCCTGTAATTGTGAGCGTGAGCGCTGCGCCTCGGATAACTCTGCACGAGTGGCATTGAGAAGATCTGTTGGAGTAAGACCCGACTCGCTCCCTCGTTGCTTTTTAGATGGAGTCACCAAGGGAGATGGAATACCCGGCTGAGATGCAATATGTGTTGGCGCTGGACTGGCGGTTGCTGTAGTTGCTAGTCTGCTGGTGCGATCTGCAAGCTGAGCATCTATATCGGTAGAATGATGTCAGTTGTAATTAACAAATAACAGCACTTGTACACGGACAGGCATCGTAGAGAGTGACATTCGCCTTCTCTCGTTGATCTCGGACTGTCAAGGCAGCCAAGTACTCATCCCTCCAGTGGGCCATGGGCCTTCCCAAGCAAATTGGGGATGTGCCTGGAATGTGATGGGAGTGGAGTTCTTGCGGGCTGAAACGTGCTAATCGTTATCAATTTGTCCACCGCCCGATCGACCGCCCGGGCCTCATGCATCATCGAATCCGGCTACAACCCAACCCCAACTCTCTATCTTCACTTGCTCTCTATTACTATAAAGCCCTGGCAAAGACTGAATATAGCTTTTTGCCTGATATCTACCTCGTTGTTTAATTCTCTTCCATTTCCACTCGGTCATTTGACCGAATCCCAACCATGGCGTCAAGGAAGAAGGTCCTCCTCAAGGTACGATCTCCGTTCTCCGCACCTGCTCCGTGTGACGGGCAGCAAATCTTTCACAACAGACCTTTTTACTGACGGTCTCATTTTACAAACAGGTTATCATCCTTGGTGACAGCGGTGTGGGAAAAACTAGTCTGATGAACCAATATGTCCGTTCAGCCTCGCCCCCGACTAGCGCTCTGCGGCCGCACCGCGGTCGGTGACAAATTCTCAATACCCGCTAACATAATCCTATTCAAATGGAACAGGTCAATAAGAAGTTCAGCGGAAGCTATAAGGCGACTATCGGAGCCGATTTCCTCACCAAAGAAGTCCTCGTCGATGATCGACTGGTGACAATGCAGGTAAGGCCCCAAAGGACCTTGTCCAATCGACATGAGGGGCAATCGTTGATCTGAGATGTTAGATTTGGGATACTGCCGGCCAAGAACGGTTCCAGTCATTGGGAGTGGCGTTCTACAGGGGTGCCGATTGCTGTGTGCTAGTCTACGACGTGAACAACTCCAAGAGTTTCGAGGCCCTCGACAGCTGGCGAGATGAGTTCCTGATCCAGGCAAGCCCGAGGGATCCTGAGAGCTTCCCATTCGTAAGTGGCGCTCCCGCATTCCTTTCACTTATCTCGTGCACCACAGCAGACAAAAATGATATGATGGTCCGTGCTGATGATCATGTGCAGGTTGTCATTGGTAACAAGATTGATGTGGAGGAGAACAAGCGGATGATCTCCTCAAAACGGGCCATGACCTTCTGTCAGTCGAAGGGTAACATCCCTTACTTCGAGACCAGTGCCAAGGAAGCTGTCAATGTTGAGCAGGCATTTGAAGGTGAGTTGATATCCACACTTTACTCTGATGTTCTATTGTACCTAGGTACCATTGTTTACTGACTAATTCTGTTCAGTTATTGCACGAAGTGCCCTCGCGCAGGAAGAGGCCGAGGAATTCAGCGGTGAATTCAGTGACCCGATCAACATTCATCTGGACAACGACCGCGATGGCTGTGCCTGTTGATATACCCTTCCCATTATCGTGATGTTCCAGCGACCTATTTCCTTTGTCTTTCATCTGTACTGCTGCCAGTTGGTCCCCGGTCCTGAGTTTGTAGAGAAGACCACGGGGTTATGCTTTTGGATAATCTTGCCTTTCCCTGGGTGTCTTGTAGATGTTTATGGTTCCACTTTGAATTCACTTGGGAGAAACATCACCCACCTTTCTTTTATCTGAAATTAGTTTCACACTGGCAGTGTTTTTTTGGGATGGGCTTAACGCAATACCAGTGGTTCTTTACTGCAGTTCATATTCCTCCCATGTCAATTTAACATCAGATGATGAAGGAGATAACATGTGTACCTATCACATGCGCATTCATACATACATACGTGGTGTATGGACGATGTACATATTTACTACTCCATAACTGATTTGATCTCAGCAAATCCTGTACTGAGATTGGACGCGACATTCGCCCCCGGAAATCCTTATCTCGCTAATGCTTGGCATCCTACCCCAAATATCCTCCTCTGGCATATCTTCATTACAATTCCGTTCTGACACTCCTTTCTAATTTCCTCTGGAAATATACCGCTCTTTTGTGCTTCAGATGCTTGAAACTCAACTGGTCCCGCGTTCACCCTGGCACCACCAACCCCAAACATAGCAATTGCGACATCGGCAACTCCCACCACTGTTACACCTTTAGTCGCGCGACCTGTTACCGAATTCACAACAGATCCCACCATGGCCCCAGTCACCTCTGAGGGACCTGGCATAATGCCACTAGGTGTGGCCCGGCGGACACTGGGAATTATTTTACTCCTGGTGGTTGTTGTGCTGTGGACAACGTCCAATTTCCTCGGAAGTGTATGCGCGCCCCGGTCCAAGGAGATCTCCATGGAATGAAAACAACTGGTCTAGACGGTCGGCTAACTTGTTACCGAATTCTGCTCAGACCATTTTCGCCGACAGAACTTACCCGAAACCCTTTTTTGTGACTTATACCAACACTTCGATGTTTATCATGCCCCTCTTCTTCATCCTCGGTCGTCGAACGTGGGCTCTGTGGCGCCATCGCAAACTATCTCAGATTACTTCGCTCAAGAGCTTGTTAAGGCATCTGGACTCACATGATCCCAAGGCCGAGGAGGAGAGCATGCTGAATCACGGCTCTGATGAAGAGGATGGGCAGCTCGGACGGCCGAGTCAAGATGGCCCAGGCCAAAGGCTAGGGTTGAAGGCAACGGCCAAATTGAGTGTTCAGTTTTGTCTTCTCTGGGTAAGCATGCGGTCGTGCCTTCTTGAGTATCTGTCCGGCTGGCTAACACATCGCAGTTTACCGTATGTCGCATACCTGAAAACGGGAGGCTTTTGCATTGAATACATTTTAACTGATAATTTTTCACCGAATAGGCAAACTACTTCGCCATGGGCTGTCTCCAGTTCACAACAGTCGCAAGCACAACCATCCTGACTTCCACCAGCGGTGAGCATTTCCCCCTCTCACAAGCAGCCACAACCATATACTCATCCTTTACAAGGAGTCTGGACCCTGATCTTCGGCGCGATGATCGGCGTTGAGAAATTCACCGCGCGCAAACTCATCAGCGTCATCGCTTCTCTAATCGGCATCATCCTCATCTCGCGCGTAGACCTCTCCAAACCAGAAGAAGGCGCCGCCTCAGATGGTAGCGGCGGTTCATTTCCCCACAAGTCTACAGGAGAGATTGCCCTGGGTGATGCGATGGCCGCTTTCAGCGCAATTTTGTATGGTCTCTACACCATCGTCATGAAGAAGCAAGTAGGCGACGAGTCGCTGGTCAATATGCCCCTGTTCTTCGGCCTGGTTGGCTTTTTCAACGTCGTCATGCTATGGCCCGGTTTCTTCATCCTGCACTGGACAGGAATCGAAACCTTCTCCCTCCCTGAAACGCAGCGAGTATGGACGATTATATTGGTACGAGCTTTTTTCTTTTCCCCAGATCCACGCTTCTAAACCAAAATATCCCCGACTAATTATTCATTCCAGAGCAACTCTTTCGCTTCTTTCGTCTCCGACATCGCCTGGGCCTACGCCATGCTCCTCACCACGCCGCTCGTCGTAACAGTGGGCCTCAGTCTAACTATCCCCCTTTCCCTAGTCGGGCAAATGGTTCTGCAGTCCCAGTACGCAAGCCCACTGTACTGGGTCGGAGCGGCTATCGTGGTCCTGTCGTTCCTGGTCGTTAACCACGAAGGCAAGGCCGAGGACGATGTCGTTAACCCTAGTGGAGTAGGCCGGACCTCTCCGGGGGATTATAACAGCATTCCTGTTGAAGAAGAGGAAATGCGATAGGTTGGACTTGGGGTCTTCATTTAGCTTTAGCTTGGTTCTTGCATACATGTATTCATAGAGTGTATGTGCAAATTATTTGTTCTTTCGGTCTTAGGATGATCGCTGCTCGGTATTCCTTGTAAACTACATACATATGTTAGGACCTGTGAGTTGCTACAGTATATATGTGTAATACGTCGTTCTGCAACGTCTTCCCTCGGTTGCCCTGACATGAAAGCTTGCTCGGCCCCGGTGATCTTTTGGTCCTGTCCTTCTTTCTTTCACCATGTTGGTAAACCTTGATGAGGAGACATTCTATAACTAGATCTATCTAAAAAAAATGTTGAACATACTTTACTCGGCTGTATAATCAGCTCTAACCCTACCTAGTCGATCCTAAGTATCAAAACTCATGTGTGTTCTCGCTTGATCTAGCTGTTGAAGCGTTCTCAGATCTCGTGTGTCGTTCATTGCGTGTTACGACGCTGGTATTCCAAGCATTCCCTGCACCTTATAAAGTTAAACAGATAATAGGTACTTCCATAGTGGTAAGTTACCACCTCAGTCGACATAGCCTTTGGCTATAATGACCTGGCGCATGGCAAGACCCCTTGTTGGTGTAGCAATTATACATTCCAGCAGTTCCAAAACGTGCGATAAGTGCTACAATGGCCACACTTATGAGACTTTCTTCAATTGTAATCTGCTCCTACTGGCTGCCCTCTACCTCTACCTCTGCCTCTTCCAGAGCCGGGTATGGGCTGCGCTGTTCCCTGCCACCTATTTCTGGTCTCCTCCAATAGGTTCTGCGGAGTTTTACCCTCCGCATTTGGTTGGCTCGTCAACATAGCTGTATCTTCCCCGGCAGCATCCTTCAGAGCAAGCATCATCTCATCCTGAAGTCTGATCTTGTTCGCAGTTGTTACTTCCTTATCTCTCCCCTCACGGCGTACATGATCATTCAAAATTCCCCGCGCTGCTGCATGAAAGGGCGTCTCCCGGAGAGTATTCTGAACCCGGAAATCCGCCCCGTGCTCAATTAAAAACTTTGCCGCTGGTACCTGTCGCAAATTCTGAGCAAAGACGTGCAATGCTGTTTTCCCGTTGTTCTCGGTATGATTTATATTGGCACCGTGAGATAGGATTAAGTCTAGGATCGTGGTGTTGATTGGGTCACCTTGATGGGAGTGGTACCCTAATAAATGTAGGATGGTACAGCCCGACTTATCGGGGATCCGAGGGTCAGCCCTGTATTCGAGCAAAGTGCGGATAGCAAGCTCGGCGTACTGGCTGCAACCGCACACAGCGTAGCTTATAGCAGCATAGTGTAGCGGCGTAGATCCAGTGTTGTCAACAAGGTTGACACCAGTAGAATCATGGTCGAGGAGCAGCCGAAGGGTCTCTGTGATTCTGAGCTGCTTGTCCTGGAGTTTACAGTTGAAGTCTCCGGGACCGCTAGCTGCCCAGTGTAGTGGGAGTCGCCCATCACTGTCACAGGAGGTAGCCAGCCCAGGGTTGGCATTGTTCTTGGAGTTTTGATGATCCAAGAGCAATCTAACAGCATCAGTATTATAGAATAAACTTGCCAGGTGAAGCGTCGTGACATCATGCGTGTGAGCCTTTGTGGCCCTGGACTGGAGCGGTACCTTGGCATGATGGAAGTGTTGATGCTTCAGATAAATATCGGCACCGGAATCAATGAGCCGTTGGATTAATGAGCCATTAGCCCTTGACACAGCAAGCCCAAGCACACTGTCTTGCACCTGACTTCCCCAAGGAGAGAGATCATTTGACAAAGGGCGAATGACATCTGTCGCTGAACAGCCCCGATCGAGAAGGAAATTAATCAACTGATGGCTTCGCGCAATCCGATTTCGAAACCACTCATTCCAATGAAGACCCTTATCTTCTACTTCATCTGCGTCTTTGTCAAGATACATCAGCGATCCCGTAGCCGCGAGGATCGGCGTATCTCCCGAATCATCTCTCTGATGCAAATCCACCGTCCCGAGCGGTAACCGATTTTCTGAACTGTCATGGCTGTCCAAGATGAAGCGCACCACATCAATATTTGCCGCACCACATGCATCGAGCAGCAAACAGAACTTGGGATTGAACCTCTTGACAGTTTCTGGAGCCGCAGTGTACACCTCCAAAAGGATGTGAAGAGCCTCGGGGCTGCCGTACGAGGCTGCATTGAACAAGGTATCCTCCAAGTAGGGTGTCCCAGGGGCAATCACATCCTCGGGAGAGTATGAGGCAATGAATTGACGGAGTTGAGGGAGGTTGTTCTGCTTGATAATGTTCACAAGGCGGTTTCTACGCCTGCCGATGATTTGAGAGGGGGATTCCGGGAGGTCCAAGTGGGTTGAGATGGGAGAATCGCTCTCTGCCATGAAAATTTACTCTCCTTCTTCTATTTTGTGTTGTGTTCCTTCTTATATCAGCGGTTCGTTTGTGAAAGGAGAGTGTGCGAAAAAGGAAGAAAGGAGGGGGAAAGAAAGCGGAAGAGGAAGAAAAGGGTTGATACTATGCAAAACCAGCGAAGCCAAAAGCTTGGTTTGACGAGATAAGCTTAGATTTTTGGTTCCTAGAGAATCAGCGGGTGGTTTTTCGTTGATGGGTTCTTGAATTCTCCCTCTGCTGGGTCTGTACAGCACAGTATTATTTAAGTATGCAACTTATGGGAGCTTCGGTTCTTAGTTATGGCTCGCCCATTACTGGTTGATTTAGCGTTGGAGTTATCGAATTGATGACCAACAATTCTCAGCAAAAAGGGCCCTGGTGTTGATGTTATTTTCCTTTCTGGTGGAAGCACCTGGGCATTGGCAAACCAAATCATGAAATGGTCAATATAGCATCAAGTTTATCCCATCTCGCCGTACCACTGCGCTTTTCATTGCTCGAATAAGGGAGACCAATCTATGCAGAACTGACCATCTACCCAAACCAGGTCACTATTTACATGGATGACATGCTGCCCAAAGCCAAAATGGACAATCTTTACAGGAGTCCATTTCGCATCTCCAGTTCCAATATCGGGGTATCACAGGGTATGAATGACGATATTGTATTGTTGCATGGCAAATCCCAACGGCAACGACACATGGAATCATGCAGCTGTCGTGAACACGAATACCCAGCCCGCTGGGCTTCCGCCTTTCCCTTCCTTTCCTTCATGGAAACCATAATGCAAAGATGACATCGCAGAAAGCACAAAAACCAAAGCCAGTATGGCGACTGGGTGAAAGACTCTATAAATGACACAGAAAAAGAAAGATTATATATAGCGGCAATTGCGAATGCAAAACTACGTCTCTAGCGTGGCATTGTATCCCCAGCGGAGGTGATTCTCAGCAATCCACCACTGCGAGACGTGCGCAGCCTCCGCGAGCCACTTTGCTGCGATGGGCCCGTACCGCGCCTGCACGACGTCATGGAGAGTGTTGATATTGAGGTCTTCGTCTGGGTGGAGCTCGAAGGGGTCAGCTACGACGTCGCTGAAGCGCCACGGGGCGTCGGTGATCAGCGGAACGACGAGGCGGTAGGGCGATGCCGCTGCGCGCATGGACACCCATGTGCCGCCCGGGTTCATGGTCGAGAAGTGCCATTCTTGCTTGCCGTCTTGTTCTGGGATTAGGGTGCGTATCATCGACTGGCCTTCGTAGAGGGAGAGGAGGTCTTTGACGATTTTGCTGTCGTGTTCATTTATGGAGGAGGACTCAATTAGGAGGTCCAGGATTGTGGGGAGGATTTGGGTTGAGAGGACGGCGCTGTCGACTTCGATTTGGGGGAGCTTAGGGTGCGAGAAGAGGAGGGGCACGTGGAAACTGCCGACGTGCGGGTCGTGGTTGGCGGTTACGCCGCCGTCGTTGGGGAGGGAGAGACCGCTGGGAGATGGTTAGTGAGAACTTGGGTCGAATTGAGAGGGGAAACTTACTGGTCACCAGCCATTACAAGAAGGGTCTCATCGGCGATACCGGCCTCGGTCAGGATTTCCATGATTTCCGCCAGCCATTCGTCCTGGTAGACGATGGTGTTCAGGTATCGGTTGATCTTCTCGTTGAGTCCGAACCAACTGCCGAACAGCTCCTCGTATTCACCAGGCTTGTACCATGGGGTGTGAGTGTTGTGAGTGAGATGGGTCAAAAAGAGACGAGTGTTGTTGGCTTGGGCAGCGGAGACAACATCCCGGAGGTATCCGTTCAGTGTTTTGTCCGGATAATCATGGTCGTGCTTTTCCTTGGGAAGATACTTGTCATTGGTTTCTTCCAATGACTCCTTGGTCATGATATCTTTGAATCCCAGAGCAGGAGTAAGGTCGAACTGCCTGTCCCAGGTGCCGTAGTGTGACTGCATCCACATGGTGTGCCACGGCCAGGCAGTCCAATCTTCTGTCTCGGTGGTTCTGTTCGGCTGGGCGTTCAATGCCTCGAAGATGTGAGGTAAACAAGGCTGGTAGATATCGTGCCGATATTCGAGGTTGTTATACACCGCAATCGGGTTCAGACCGCACACGGTGCCTGTGATACTTTTCATGGTGTAGGTACCAGATGTATAGGCATTTCGCGCACTGATGCCACCATAGGGCTTGGGTTGACCTTCGCGCTGGGGGAATCCGTTCTCAAATCCAGTGAACCGCTGGGCCATGGGGTGTGAGCGTCGCGAGTCGATCCTCGATATCCTGAGGAATGTGGCCGTCCTCGAAAGAGTTTTTGATGTGCTTCATGATATAAGAGTCTGCACGGAAGGGGAACACATCCTGTCTGTTGCTCTCCAACTTGATAAGAATGATGTGCTTGATCTTGACGGTTCCGTTCTTCAGTACCTCACGCATGGGCTCCAAGATATCATTCTGAAGGTTAATGGTGTGCAGAGGATCTTTTGCCGGGTTGTAATGTTTCTGGAAGTGTTCCGTGTGGTTGATCTTGAATGGAGACCATTCGACATAGCCATTCGATGAATCATCGGTACGTAGCCAGTCAAATGTTGGGAAGTCGTCTAAGGCCGTCTTGCCTTCCAGCCAGCTGTAATCTCCCGGCAACGAAGAGACACTTCCATGTGCGGGGCGGGAGATAAGACCCTTGAAGGGTGCGAGTGGCAGGGTGGCAGAGAAGAACCCGTAGGTCGAATCTAACGGGCGAACGCAGCGCAGCAAAACGACGACTACACTGCAAGAGATGACAATGACACGCTTGAGCAACGGTCGACTTTTTTTCACGGGCAAGTCCTGGGATGGGTCTTCAGGTGTTTCGAGCAGCCCTGCAGACTCGGCATTATGACCTTCGTCATAATCATCAATTGCAATCTGTTCGTATATCTCAGGGTCTGGCAACTCTTGTTCCTTACGACGATTGTAGCGGAACTTGGCGGGCAAAAGTGATCCCCAAGTTCCGAGGAAAGCATCGGTTACCCGGAATAGATGCGGGGTGGCGTAGTAGGCAGCAGTAAAAATCAACGAGTCGATAATGATCGCGACAGCCAATGCGGACAGGACAGTCCATAGGGTAGGCTTAGTATGGTGGAAGTTATTTATATTGCGCCAGTAGATCTCCACACCCACGTGGACGTAGTAAGAAATGTTGGCGGAGGTCATTGATGCAGTGTAAAGACTAGAATAGAGTTAGCAATTTTTGTACCTATGATGTGAATATGGATTGGTTGATAGCTCACCTCCATAACGCCGTAGTAAAGGCCGCGAGATAGCGCCACAACGGGTAATTAAATGATCGCGCCAGAGCACATGCGATCAGGATAAGCAAGAAATCAACGAGGAAGAATGTCGCGCCCCAAACCAGGAAGGAGAACACGGTCAATGCCTTCATATGAACAACAATATGGAAACATTTGGACAGAGTGATGGCGATAAAAATGACGGAGAAGAAATATTTACGAGAGGCCTCCCACCCACGATCAAGATACAGCTGAGGATCTTGGGCGACATCGAGAGCGAAGAGGGCCGAGTCCCTCACATGCTCACCGAGCCTCTGGGAGAGAGTTCCTGACCAGGAAGATTTCATTGTGCAAGATAAACCACATTAACTTCATGAAGCAAAAAACCCCCGGGAATATATGAAGAGAAAGAAAAGGAGTTTCCAGGGTCCAAAAATGGGCCCTCAAAGGCAGTTGTCAGCGCGAGTTGGTTCTCCCGTTGGTGTTCTCCACTACCACACGTGTGAGTGGGTGACTTAGGAGATCGGCGCGACACTACTCTTATCCTACGGAGGACTTATCGTCATCACAGTATGTTAAGCCCTAGAATGGTAACTGAGCACGCGAACAGACCTACTTCTAGCTTGGTAAACTCGTTTTTTTCTTTTCTTCTATGGGGGTTCTATTCAGCGTGGGTCTAGCCCCCAACTTGGCTCTTGGCAGTTCATGTTTCTCTTTTAACCGGTTTATTTTATACAATTCAATTGTATATAGATTTTGCAATTGTAAGTAACTACATACATAACTACGTATAATCATAACTACCAGTAGGTATGTTGTATGTATGCATGTACCCTGCTGCATAGAAGATATTTCGTGTCTTGGCAATTCTTGGCACATTTTAATTGGTCAAAAGTCCACCAAATATTCGGTAGATTCGCCGAACCGGTTTCTAGGGCTGAACATATGACATACTATATAATATTCATAGTTACAACGGAGAATGGATAGCTACTATTAGTCTATGGAGTCCCCATTACACAAGGCGGAAATTAACTCAAATCGATACTCCATCATGAGTCCAAGTGGAGCAAATTCATATTTAGACGTACAATCGATATACAAAATTGGTTTTCAAGCTTCACAAGTATTGCCCTAATCCTACTTTCGGAGTAAATTTTGACAGGGGATATATCTAATCCTTGCATTGAGATATTGATATATGTAGGTATACTGCTCATATAGCATTCGAAGTTTCATTCGCGAAGGCCTTATTGTTCCCCAAATTGATGGTATCTTCAGTGTGATTAGTATGTATAAACACGGACAGATACCTTGAACATTCTATTATCGAGGAGAATCATGTTTGATCTCTACCTATATGCTCACTGTGGAGTAATAACTTAAATACAATGAGGACATATTAGTATATTTCTCTGCGGGTAATTACCCAGGTAGTACCTATTCTGTATAGACGTGAAGAGCTCTATATGTATGTAATGTTGTATACTATGTCATATTACCCATATCTGTATACAATGATAGAAGATCTAAGGATTTAGAGCCAAAACTACGTTTACCAACGTTCAAAGCTCGTTGCCTACAGACCGATGAGGCTATCGCTCTAAAAGTCTCCACGGTTTTGTTTAAACAACACATATACACTCCCTAGATACACCATGATTGACGGTGCTATCTATGACCGTAGAGAGACGGAATATATATTAGACGAGACCAATGTTCTTGCACTTACGCAACTCCACGGACTTCCAATCATCGGACTTTCCTCGGTAACACTGTTTAAGCACAGGTTTGAACACGATAAACAAAGTAATGATAGTATCCTTGTATATCCTCCGCTGGAATGAATGCACTACCGAGGCAGATCCGTTCAGGTCGACAATACACTATCAGGATCTGATTCTTACTGTTGGTGAGTGTCTTCCATCTGCATTATGTATTAGGCACTAGAGTACTATCGCCCGAGGCAATAACTATGATACAACATATTAGATGCTCCGTATAGATGATAAATGCAAGACAGAAGAAAATAGAGAATGCCAGACTCAGCTGTCAGAGAGACGTGTGCGCAATGAGAAAGCAATGCCTCGATAAGAAGATAACAAGGAAAATCAGAGGAAACGAGAGAAAACAGAAACCGAAGCTTCATTATGAAAGGAAACCCCACTTTGTCCACTGAAGGTGTACGAAGAAATAAACGCCAATCCGTTCCCCGGGGACGCCGAAGCGCAAACCGCAACGAGTAGCCGGGGAGATATCACCAACCTGGGTATATTGAAAGAAAGACATGAGAAATGAGAAATGAGAAATGAAGAGAGAAGGAAAATCGCTGGCAAATGGAGATGGATAAGGTGAAGAATGGGGCACCGCGAGAGGTGGAACAGGGTGGCACTATATAGAGCTGCCCAGAGCAGGGTCCAGTTTTCTGCGTGCAGCGAGGATGCTCTTCAATGAGCCCAGCCAGCGCGCCAGGGATTCTTCCTCAGGAGCGCAAAGTCGATAGGTTTTTTCCTCGGCGATAATCTGCATGCAGAACTTTTTCGATCTGGACATAGGATCCACCTCTGCAGCATCGAATACTTGAGACATGGGGATGATCTTGAGGGCCGAGTACTCCGCGTCATCCTTGTAGAAGGCCAGACTCTTGGGCCGAAGCACAACCCAGAGTCGTTTCCACTGGCGCACGGTCCCTTGGATGCGCAGCCCCTGCAGGTACCCCTGGCAGATGACCCGCTCTGGGTCGCGCAAGATGCCATGCTCTGCTTGTTTGCCTGTGTCTCGGGGAAGAAAACTCGACGGTAGAGATGATGATGGCGGAAATGCTGATTTATCTTCTGGGGCTGACAGAGACAATGAATGTATAGATGGCATAGATCGTAGATGGCTGTTGCGGGCGGGTGCAGGCCCATCAGAGAACTCCGAATAAGAAGCCATTTCGTTGCCCGAGTAATCCTGGATGTAAGGGAGCTTCTGGGCCCGGCTTTGTGGAGAGCGTGCAGGGCGAGGTTCTGGGGAGCTGGCGCGGCCAAAATCAGAGTGATCGGTTGTGTCGTCGACGAGGTGCTTTTGGATAGTCGGGGTTTCGCGCTTCTTCGTCAAGCCTAGGAGAGCGCGCTCGTCCTCGTCACTGGGGATCGTGGCGCGAAGGCGCTGGATCCATTCATCGGCATCGCGCTCAGTTGGGGCTTCGAAGCGGTAGTTCGTCGACGGGGTAAAAACGCCAAACACATGCCGCCGGGTTGATCGCGGAGACTTGACGGGTGCGATGGCGGTAACTTCAGAGAGAGGAATAGAGACTCGGAGGCGGGTGGTTTCTTCGTCCTTGTACACGGAAAGGAGGTTCGGTCGGAGGACGAGGTAAGCTGGTTTCCATGAAGCGCGAAAGACATGCTTGTGCTTGACTCGACGGCACACCCTCCCTGTCTTCAAGACTCGATCGAATTCAAAGCTTCCATTCTCGTTCACGGGAGAGAAGGGATCCAGGTTCCCATTATTGCGAGGGCTATTGCGAGGTCGGAAAAAAGATGAGGGGCCAGGCTCCGGAAGCTTGATCATCGGGGGTTTCCCCTCGAGCGGCCGAGTAAGCACAGAATTCATGTTGGGCTGAAGAAGAAAGAAGTCAAGAACTCCGAGAAAAGGGGGAGCCCCGCGGTGATAACGTCCCCATGTAGTGATGGCCACAAAGTTTCGAGGATTATCATGCGGAGAGTGATGATGGATGATGACGGATGGCCTAGGCTGGAACCAAGCCTTTTGACCCTTCGGCCCTTGTTACTCCTCAAGTTACGATCTACAGGGCGCATAACATTGCTTACACTCTATCAATTTGCTTCTTGTTATATTCTTGTTATTGGATTCGAACGGTCTATAATATGGAGTATTTATGCACGCGAGCATAAAAAAAAACTTCATCTTTTAGGACTGGAAGATATAGGGGGAACATAAAATTAGTACAGAGTACGTAGATTTTAACGTATAAAGACCCGGTCCAGACTCCAGAATTAAAATTACATGCGTATGCAAATAGCGAAATTACGAAATTACGAAAAAGGAGAGTTACATCCGATAATACCGTATATATGGTTACATACGTGTATGCACATTACATGTGGGGCAGATGAAATTTACAGGACCCTGAGTTGTAGTACTGAGTGCTTACATAGATATATATGTATCATTATGTATTGTGTACTTGGGCGGCCCAAACACACAGAAGCTCAATGCCGCTGTGAAATGATAGGGTCAGATGAGGAGGTTTCGTATGCGCTGATCTCCGGCCTAACGGCTGGAGTGTTTTAGAAAGTTTGAAGACCCTTGATCGTCAGTAGGAGAGTGAGACAAATTGAATCAGGTTTGTTGGGATTAGAACTATCCGGGGGGCAGCTATCTTTAGTAGTAGGAGCAACGAAAAGCTGTATATTAGCTATTGTAGGGAAATAATAGTTATAGATTGCACATACTACATAGTACTACGGAGTACGTAAAGGATCGATCTCTATAGGATTGCCATTGTAAGATCAGTGGATCAGGTGGACGATTAAGATGTGGTACCACAGAACAATTCTTAATCCAGGCACAGCATTTGTACACGAACACAAGCATCTATGGAATGTTCCAAGGTTTCCGAATGTATCAAAATCATCGCACAAGGCTCTTAGTTGATTGATTTAATGGGGAAATAGCCTTTAAATACCGTCGCCTCAAAATCGATTGGGAAATTCATCAGACCACTACTCTTTTTGATACTCCAAATGTCACTTTCCTTACAGAAAGAAACCACTTACTCACAATCTAGGCGTTCTCGTTCACAAGACGCCGAGCGGATGTACTCAATCACCATATGTTGTGAAAGTCTTTGTAGCCGGTCGTCATCCCCTGGGAGAGGAGTCCACCGCTATAAATGCCAGAATCAGATTAGTTTTACTTGTTAAGAATCCCAGAGGGGTAGCATACTAATTTCTCGTTCGTTATTGTCGTAGCAGTTTGTAAAGATACCGTAAGCTAGAGAACGGCGTCTGCTATACTTTCATATCGGTCAGAATCCCGACTTTGGAGGGGTGTATTGAAAGGCACTGCCTTAATGTAGGTAGGTGGTATGTTGAGTTTGCGACGATCTTTAGTGAGAGTAAATTGGCTTGGTAGATATGAAATCGTTATGCTTTGGAAGGTGGGGTGAGGGATGACCTCAGGAGTAGATGATATGGACAGCAACGCAAATCCAGGCACCTGGGCAATTAGGCATGAGTTGACTCATATAGTTAGCTACTTACTGCCTTTAGGTCGAAAAGACGCGATGAGGGTGTAGACTCGAACGTATGGTAATCCTGTTATACACTTTCTGCTGTGCTCACCCCTTACCTTTTTCATTGATATTTGCAGAGTTCTTCGACAAATGATTATATCTGACATAATGGGGTTCACGGGGTAACTAAAGTGTTTACAAACACACTAAAATACATGAGATCGTATGATTTTTGGCCTTCCCCCCTCATATGCCCACAAACTATCTTCAAAGGGCCAACTAGACATGAGCTAGGTGGCAACCTTTTTGATCAATGGATGTCTGCGTTTCCTTATGATTGGGGCCACTGTTTTCATTCGCACTTTGTTGTGCGCATGTCTTTCTAGAATATGGTCATAGCTTATATAAAAGAATGCGATGGGAAACCACAACAGTTTTTGATTTAATGTTTGGTATTTGTCTATCCTATCACTCGGTCAGTTATTAACTTAGTTAAACTGTTCAAGAAGTGCTTGGAAGTGGCCTTTGAAATAGATAGTCAGATACTAACAAGTCCAACAGCTCTCGGATGTTTGAGTTGGACAAATATGTAGAAAGTCTTTTACATATGAAAGAAAAGTTTCACTCTGCACTCAATGTTGCCTTGCCTCCGAATAATTCTCACAGAAGTGAGAATTCTTCCCTTGAATTGTATTTGCCATCCCAACAACCAGACTTGACGGACCCGAAGGCCAGATTCTCCACAGGTGGGACATTCTGCTGTGGGAACAATTCCCCAACAACCTGCATAAGCTTTCCCATTTCCACAGTCTTTTTCTGCTCGCTGTATAGGACGCGCCCTGTTTCAAGCTCGAAAAGCATTGCCCCAAAAGCAAATGTATCTCAGCAGATATCGATTTCGTTGCCCGGCTGGTAGCTACGCCATTCACAGCAGACTATAGGTGCTTCACCGTCGACACCGGAGCCAGCGAAGTAGATAACCTTGACGTGACCAGCCTTATCCACGATGATGTTGTGACAGCCAACGTTTGCATGAATGATTCATTTCTATGAATATTTGTAAGACCATCTGCAGCTTCCAGTGCTTACTGAAGCTTCATAGCTCAATGAATAGGAGACTCGTTGACACCTCGGAGTATAAAATGAGGGCAAGTTTCACGTTCTAACAGGAGACCTTCCTTCGTCACTTCGCAAGATGCAATGCGCTCATGGTGCCAAGTCGCTCATAAGCGCGAAATTCAATGTCAAAGCTTGACGTTCGAAATCCCCTTTCGAGGGACGGATTTGAGGATGGTGTTTTCGTCAATCGCATAGACTACCGAGACTGTACCGGCCACCAGGAAGGACATGGAAGAGTTCATTTGTACGGCAGAATTGGTAGGACAGATGGTTGGGTTTTCGAGAGGGCATGTTCCAGAGGGAGAGACGGTGTGTTACTGACGGTGCACACGCCTACCAAACAACTACCTACTCATGTACATATGTAGGTCACTAACTAGGTCTTACCAATGATTCAAGGGGATGCGGTTTTGGACCTTCTAGAGTACCGTATAGAAATCTGGCATCGGCACTATCCAATCACCCTGAATATGCGAAGCCAAAGCCTAGTAGTATCAATTTTGAAATTCGTCCACACAAGTTGAGTTGGATAGTATGACAGATTGAAATTTTTTTTCGATACTCAATTGTTTTTTATCATAGCATAGTACATATGTACTATGTAAACTACGAAGGAAAAAAGAAAAGTACAAATGCACACCACGAATATTACCTGAGTAATGAAGAGCTGGAAAGGGAAAATTAAATTACGATTTCAGTACAATACAATACAATACACCATTTCATGCCACCCACGCAGCAATCAGGGGCGAAAATAACCGTTCCAGCGTGACACCTAGGGAGGCGCAAGCGTTGTGGCCTCTCAGGTCTTGGCGTATTTCCAAGCCCATTTCCATCCCCATTTCCATCTTCCTTCCATCAAACCTTCATGTTCTCGACCCTTCCCCTGTGTACCTCGTTGTTCACAGTTGTTTGCGTTGCTCCCGACGCTCTACCCATTTGACTATTGTGGGACTGAGAAAGTTGGGGGAAAGGAAAGGAGGCATTCCTCCAGACACTCGTTTTGCTGTTATTTTCTCCCATTCTCACATCTCCTCGAGGTCTTGCTCCCCTCGGATCTTGCCGTGATCCATTCTTGAATTCGACACACGGCACTTACCACCCTTCGCCCGAGACCTCTCCCTGCCGCTGATCGCATCTCCGACAAGATTTTTCCGCTATCTCCTTAAACGGCCTTGTGCTGTCACTCGGGACTGACAGCTGACGCTACCATCATTCGTGGGGTCCTGCCATAACCGCACTCATGAGCTTCATTCAACGAATCACGAAACGGCTGCCTAGTGCGCCGAGTCTGCCGTTGGAAGATGCTCCCACTGAAAAAGGCCACCTCCATCCTAGATTCGCCTTCTTCCGGCGGAGGATCCGCCTAAAGGGCAACTCATCCATTTCTATACCCCTGGGTCTTGTTTTACTATTTCCATGCCTTGTAATTGTCCTTATTCTGCTTCTGTTTGTCCAACACCCTTCCTCTCCTGGGGGTATCCTAATTCCAGCGGGCACTCCACCCTCCATCCGGTTCGTATCGCTCTGTCAATCTGTGGTTATGGGTGTGATAACTAACCTTCCGCGCTTCACTACAGAAAAATTAGCGAAAAGCACGATAAAGTCTTCGCAACGGGATGTATGCCCATTGTACCCGAAGAAATCGCAAAGGCTCCCCGCGCCAATGCTGCCTTCGTTGTTCTAGCCAGAAACAAAGAATTGGAAGGTGTGGTTCAATCGCTCAAGTCGATCGAAAGACACTTCAACCGGTGGTGGCGCTACCCCTATGTTTTCCTCAACGACGGTGACTTTGACGAAGAATTCAAGGCAACAGTCAAGAACTACACCACCGCAGATGTGGAATTCGGAAAGATCGATAACAGCATGTGGGGATTCCCCGATTGGGTTGACCATGATGTTGCCAAGGAAGGTATCCGGAAGCAGGGTGATGCTGCCATCATGTATGGTGGAATGGAAAGCTATCACCACATGTGCCGATTCTACTCAGGGTTAGTCTTTCATGAACTTTGATCATCATTTGGACCATGAAGCTAATTTGCGACAGACACTTCTACAAGCATCCTTTGCTGATGAAGTACGAGTGGTACTGGCGTTTGGAGCCCGAGATCAAGTACTTCTGTGACATTACCTAGTAAGCCTCCGGGATTTTTTTTTTTTGCTTTCGACGCCAGTTTGCTGACATTTCATTTCAAGTGATCCCTTCCTCAAGATGGCCGAGGCCAACAAGACGTACGGTTTCACTATTGCAGTGAAGGAACTTCGAGAGACAGTTCCCAACATCTTCCGTTATGCGGCTGCATACAAGCGCAAGAACAACCTCAAGTCCAAGGGTCTGTGGGAGATGTTCCTGGAGCAGCCGGAGAAGCCAGAGGTCCCGGAGGAGAACAAACAGGACAAGCTGCCCGACGAAATTTTGCAGACTGATCCCGGTGACAACCACTTGAAGGACATTGATCCCGAAGCCATGGAAGGCGAGAGTTACAACATGTGCCATTTCTGGAGTAATTTCGAAATTGCTCGTCTGGATTGGTTCCGCAGCAAGGAATATGAGGACTTTTTCACCATGATGGACCAAAGTGGCGGTTTCTGGAACGAACGGGTATGTGATTTGCCTCATGATTACCTCGGACTTTTTACTGACTATTTCATGTAGTGGGGTGACGCTCCTATCCACTCTCTCGCAGCTGGTGCTCTACTCGGACCGAGCGATATCCACTACTTCCGTGACTTTGGCTACCGGCACACTACCATCCAGCATTGCCCAGCCAATGCCCCTGCCCGCCAACTCACCCGTATCCCCTACCTCGAGAAGACCACAGATGACGAGAAGAAACGTATCGAGGAAGACGAGTACTGGGCGAACGCTGACCAGGTCAAGGAAAACGGTGTTGGTTGCCGATGCCGTTGCGATACTGACATTGTCGAAGTCGAAAGCAAATCCGGCAGCTGTATCAACGAATGGGTTGATGTGGCTGGTGGCTGGGCTTCGCCATAGATCATGACGCTGATGCCACATCTCTCAGTGCTTGCCACACTTACTTACGCCTTCTTTTCCCCTTGTCTGTTTATTCAGCTGTGAGCATCACTTGGGTTCGCCCATAGGAGTTTACTGCTGAAGCCTGCCTGCATGTTATGTGGCCACGGGGTTCTTCTTTCTGGGCGGCGTTCAATGGATCTGACGGCTTTTCTTTTTCTTATTCGGAAGATGGTATGACCAATTCCATCATCACTGTTGACAACATTCATCTATCATGTTGTGGCACCGGGTTTGACTGTGTGATTCTCCCTTGGTTGCATTTGGTAGAAGACATGCGCATGGCTCGGGAGTGGGACCTTGGCACCTACCTTGTGGGATTTTGGAGTCGCCTCAAATTGTCCATGGCAATGTCTCGAATAGCCTTTATATCAACTCTTCGTCTGGTTTCTTTGAAACTAGAATCCACCACTATATCCATGTTCTGTCAAGAACACAGCTCGATCATGGTGGTAGAAGACCACTGATCTGGAGGCAGGGAGAAATGCTCAACCCAACTCCCGCCGTTTACTTCATGTGCCTTCGCCGTTTTCTTTCTCCACATGGACCCATTTCCCCTTCCCCTGTGCGCAGTATTTGTGGTTGTCTTCCAGCATGCATTCATGAACTGTACATACCTTCCCCTACCCCCTACCCCCTTCCCACTCATCCTTGACTCCGTGGCATACATCCACGGATTTGTTTTCGCATTGCCCTTTGATTCTCGCAAATACCAGATCGAGCATGGCTGTCTATAGAGTATGGAATAATCACCAGGTGAATTACGTGAAGAATGATATCAGTATAATGCGCTTCGTTTTCAAATTACTCCAAAGCTTGTTAAGTGATGTTAGTAGGAAATACTGTCGTGTTAACGCAACACCTCATTGAATGTCTAGTGAGGTCAAACCGGGGTAAAAAAGCAAGCTATATGATCAGATCAAGTCGACAGGCTTTATTCTAGTCTATCTCGCTAGCTAGTATATAGCAAACTCACCAACCCCTCGTCTTGAATTCCCTTTCTAGAGGGCCCATTCGGTGGGACCGTCACTTTCAAGCGCATAGCTTACCCACAACCTTTCAACTCCCCCGGTGACTTTGCCAGGCTCGAAGCTTATGGGATCAGTCGAAGGATGGTACTCAGATCCAACCTTGGAACCTCCTTTAATCTGTCACCCGCTTGCAGGCACAGAATGGTGTTCTCTGGTGCCCTGGCGATCAGCTAGACTAGGTTATCATTGCACCGAAGATCATGAATGCCTGCGGAGTTGATCTGCGTCTATCAAGGCCCACTCTAGATCTATCACTCTATATGGTGGTAGTGCGACGATCATGGACGGGTCTTGATCTTGGTCTTGATCTCCTTACAGATCGCACAAGCCGGGTCGATGTGAATATCAATGAGATGTCAACATCATGGCCGTTAGAATTACCTCAGGATATCAGAGCCGACAAAGAACTGCCTTTGTATAGGAAACATTTCTATGAGTTTATTAGATATAGATTTGCACAAATTTTTCTTTTAATCGTTACTATTTTATATATACCTTTGTCCCTTTCAGCCTCTCTTTCAAAGTCTTATAGGTTTGAGTTCACAAATTTTAGATTTCAGAGCAACCTGACAGCCTGCTATATCACTGTAAGATAGATATATTGGTCTCTCTGTCTTGGCCAGCTTTGTTGATATCACTAGGCAGGATTGAAATGTAGCAGTCATTATCCATTCCCAGATGCTGCCCAGGTCCCATAACGTCTGGACCTAACTGCAAGTTTGACTCCACAGTCCAGAACTGCTACTTGAGTGGCATTTAGAAAATAAATAATTGTGACCTGTTTAGTTATGAAACACGTGATAACTAACGCGTTTTGATGCGCGACACGAAATTTGTGTACCCGATATATGCACACGGTCAAGACCTTCACGATGTCCATGCTGAACCTACCAAACGAGCTTCTTCAAAATATCTTTGAATATCTAGAGTCAGAAGAAGAAATTAATGCGCTCGTCTGTGCACACTCCCTCTTCTACGCTCATTTCAACGCCTACCTGTACCGCCATAATGTGACTAAATCTCAGAGCTCAGCCATAATATGGGCCGCAAAACATGGACAAACCAACACTTTGAAACGACTGATCCAGCAAGGTGGCAATGTTGAAACCCGCGATGCAACACATAACCAAACACCACTGGCACTCGCCATAGAAAATGGACATACCGAGGTCGCAGAGCAACTGCTCGACCATGGAGCCAACCACTCTGCCAAGGACAGATACCGCCAAACACCTTTGTTTGAAGCCGCACTGCTAGGCGATGAGTCCATGGTGCGCAAGTTGATTGAACTGGGTGCCGATGTAGACACCACCGATATCGACCAAGGCTCGCCGCTCCACAATGCCTTATACAGGAAACATGACAATGTTGTCAAGCTTTTGTTGGAAAAAGGTGCCGCCTCAGACCGGGCGGATGATAATGGTGTTACGGCATTACACATTGCCATCCAGAACTTCAATGAAAACTGTGTTCGGCTTCTCTTGGAATATGGAGCTAACCCTAGGGTGCCTTATGCTGGCATTATGGAACCGATCCACTTAGCTGCACAGGCAGGTCATGAATCTGTCGTTCGGCTTTTGTTGGAGAAGGGGGTGCATCGGGCGTGTAGGAATGCTTCCGATCAGACGCCTATGGATCTTGCGGAGCGGGCGGGCTTTGGAGAAAAGATGAGGTCATTGTTAGAGGGCTAAATTGCTCAAATTTGATCAATAAACTGAGGGATACTATCACATGTTTTATTCTCACTTCAAATTTATACATATGTACATATGTACATATAAATATCATTAATTTAATAATTTCTGTATAGATGTATCAACACGGCTTTCAAGGCGATCCATGTGGGGCCTATGGTGGAGCTTCAAGGCTTTAAAGCAACAAGGTATAAAAGAAAGTAACCAAGAGAATAGCTGCAGCCCTAGAACTTTGGAAGCTATGATAGGTTCAAGTTATCTCCTTTGCAGCATCGAGAGGGGCAAACAAAGGGAATTTGCACATGATGCAGTTTAGGTAACTACTGATGAGTGGTACAGAGTACCTCAATTATAGCAGTAACCACCGTACAACATTCAGGTATCAGATACAATCCCCGCCATCACTTCCCCTCGAGTCATTCACCCATGTACTTCTTATCACTAAATGACTGCACCCCTCTTACAGTTTATCAACTTCCACGTTTCAGTTCACTTTGATACTTCTACTCCAGACAAGTCTCTTTAATATTTTAATATTTCCAACCCTTTTACAAAACACTTCACCGTCCTTTCCTAAGTCAGGCATCCGCACCTGACATCCGGCAACATCCCCGCAGACCCACCTGCTTATCACTTCGGGCTCTCTAAGTCTCTCTATTCAGGATATCCAGTATCTTCCGTCCCCCACCCCCCTTGCCTATTCCTTGCTCTGTGCTTCTCCCTCTAACTCTGCTTCTCTTGATCTCGTGATTTCAACGACTCGAGATACTCCTAAGCCTCTGTTTCCGCCGCCGTCTGCTCTATGAAGTTAACATCTACGATATGACTGACCTTCCAGAGTCGCCTCGTAGGCGTCTCCTCAGTGCCCAACCCTCTATCTTACAGTATCCGACACATCCTCCACTGACAGCTTCAGTGGAAGAGTGGCTGTCCCATTCACGACCTGCCAATATGACGTCAGATCGAACATCTGATTATCCGCCCAATACCCTGAGTGATAGCTGGGCTACCCTGAGTGTGTCTGACATACACTCAGAGGATGGTAGTCACTCCGAACAAACTGACGTATGTTCCTTGATCGATCACACCAGCCCAGACGATGTTGCAAGTCTCGACGAACGATACAGCAGTAGCGATGCCGAGGAGCAGGACGAAGAAGACAACCAAGAGGACGATGGAATCGATGATGATGAAGTGCAGTGCACTGACTCAGTTTCCCAAGAGTTGCCTGCTCTCTTTGCTGCTAGAGGAGGTAACAGTACCGCTATCGATGATAGCACTGCAACCACCAAGCCCGTCTTTCCCCGCACCAGTGATTCGATCGAGTTTGTGGAGCCCGAGAAGTGGCCCGAAATCGAAAGAGTGGAGCTGAAGCATACCATCCGTATCTTTGAAGGTGCTGCAGCTTCGGAGCTGAAGAGCCGACTTCCATACAACCCAGACGACTCCATCTTGATGGCCACTGTTCAACAGACCATGACCAAACAGAGCCTCGACCTGGACAAACCTTTCCGTGTTCTTTATGTCGGACACCCCGGGTTCCGAAACATCATTCTCGACAAGATCGGTGATGTTCTGGTTTCGAGCTCGAGTGCTGGCTCAGAAGCTAGCTCCGCTGAATCCTCCCGATACCATGTTGTACCAACTTCATTTGGCGCTGGCGCCATCCCCAACTTCGCGGAACTCCTACCGATTCATGTCCAACTAGTGGTTGACGAATGTCTGGAAGCCACAGCTGATCTAAATCCAGACCGGCCTAACACGCTTAATCTGAGATTTAAGAACCGTCCACTGTGCACTTCAGCATGGAACGGACTCGATTTCCACGTCTCCTCTACATCAGATTGGACTTTACCTGATGTAGCCATTCTCTTTGTCTCTAACAACGATGACGAAGCCGCTGTCAAAACCCAGCGTCTTACTCACACTTTCCTGGAGCGTCATGGAATTCCGGCGATGGTGATTTCCGAAGAGCCGCTGTGGAATATGGCTGGGGAAATTATTCCTCTCAATCACAACAGTTTGCACACATGCCTGGAATCTCGACATCCGCTTTCCGGGGAAACTGCAGTTCTCCGACGATACCCTATCGATTTGAAGACATTCGAGAGCATCACCCCTGGTCAGCTCAACCGAAACCTGGCTTCGCTCGTTGGGTTGTATCCAGAGAAGGCACATAAGGTTTCCGCCAATACTCCCAAACCTGTTCAAAGGCACTTCTTTGCTGATCTCGAGAAATCTCCCGGCAATTGGCTTCCACAGTCGTATGCTACCAGGGCCAGAGAATTGGCTCCCACTTTGCGTCTGGCCACTTTGACTCTCATTTCTGCCATTGCTATCTCCATTGGATATGCAGCTGTCAAGGTGTTGGTCCTTTTCCTAGCACAGTGTATCGTGGGAACATCTATCTCCAGTGCATCTCTTTCAGCGGCATCTCAAGTCTCTACCACCTCTATCCCGACTCTGAATTCAGTGAATCAAACCCCAATCATGACATTGCCATCATCAGTGCGACTATTGCATGTACCCTCTTTGGGTAATTCAATTCCTGCAGATAACAAAGTGTCGGCTATCTCTCCCCCGAGAAAGCCAGCAACGACCGATGAATTCGAGTTTCAAGTCATTGGAGACTGCCATGTCATTATTAAGCCTCCCCAAAAATTCGCTTTATCCAAAAAACACCAACAGTTCAATGTTAGCGTCCAGAGACAAAACAAGGCTCTTGCCTATGAACTGTCACAACTGTTTGACGGTGTTTACACACTGAAGCTGGATCGTGAGGATGCGTACGGCTTGATCAACTTGACCATCACAGCCAAATCCAAACATACAATCAACCAAACCATAGCCCTAGACTTCGGAACGCCATGGCTGAAGATTGCGAACTGGAAACGTGCAGCGCGCGGGATCTCCGCGCAATTCGCCAAAGACCTGCAGACGGCTCAAACTGGCCTAACGGAGGTGTATGGTCGATTCTCCACTGACTTGCAGGTGATCGTGGAAGATGTGGTGAAAAAAACACACATTTTGCGCCGCGATGCAGAGAGCCTACGTCGTGAGAGTCTCGGTGCACGCGATGCTGTTCTCTCACGCTCCAAACAAATCTCCGAGGTATTTACCCGCAACGCTCTTCAACGGTTCCAAAGCGTCTCCTCAGTATTGCAAACGCGTTCAAAGTACGTCAACAAGGAGGCTAAGGGACTCATGCATAATGCCTGGGATCGCCTTGAGAAGTCGGCGGCCAAAGTGGATATCCGCAGCATGATGGACCGAGTGCGCAAAGCTAGGAAGTGTGAAGCGCTGAGCCGGGCTCAATTGCGTGCACGATACTTTATGGGCGTCTGGTCAACCAAATCCGATGATTGCTCAACTCTTCCTTGCTCGAAATGATCGACAAATTTTCGTTTATTACTATGTACTTGCTGTTTTTCTAATGAATTGGCTGAGGAATGGTGTTTGTTTACGGCGAACAGGTGGAGCAGCGGAAAGGAAATCGGTTCAAGTTATCGAGTCGGCGCAAATGCTATTTTCTTTTTATTTGAATCGTGATTCCCTGCCCACTTTTTAGAGTCGATAGAATAAATTCACGTTTGTTTGTTGTTATAGATCGTACACTATTGGCAAACGAGGGCGGTGGCGATTCTGCCAGAGCGTGGGACCCAATGTAGGTATTAATTTTTCCCCCCTCATCGCCGCTTTTCCTGATCAACAAACACTACCATCTCTTTTCTTGTGATTCCACTCTTATATCCGTGGAACCCTATCATATTCTCTACTTTTCTCTTTTTGAACCCGTTATCCTAAACCCCTTTATCACCATGTCTGACGTCGCCGAAACCAAGCCCGACCCCACCACCGTCGCTGAGGAGACCAAGCCCGAGACCACCACCGCCACCGGTGAGGGCGAGAAGTCCGTCGCTGAGACTGCCACTGAAACCGCCAAGGAGGCTGTTGACACTGCCAAGGATGCTGCTGTGAAGACCTCTGATAGCGTTTTCTCTATGTTTGGTGGCGGCCCCAAGAAGGAAAAGAAGGAAGAGGCCGAGGAGCCCACCGATGAGCCCTCCGGCTCGTCTAAGGCCAAGAAGGCCGATGAGGAAGAGGTACGTTGGATATATCTGATGCTGGCAATATGTATGGTGGTCGATGGGCGTGACCACAGTGGGAGCGGGGTCTTTTATGCCCCTTTCCCCATATAGTGGGGTCGCAACCGCGCCATATTATTCCGGGCATTGTTTCCTATCGACCTGTATACTAACCATGGTTTCCCAATGCAGGAGCAGGTTGAGGAGTCCGTCGATGTTCACTTCGAGCCCGTCATCCGCCTGACCGAGAAGGTTGAGACCAAGACCAACGAGGAGCTTGAGGAGCAGACCTTCAAGATGCGCGCCAAGCTGTTCCGGTTCGACCGCGAGTCCAAGGAGTGGAAGGAGCGTGGTACCGGTGATGTGCGTCTGCTTAAGCACAAGGAGAACGAGAAGACCCGCCTGGTCATGCGCCGTGATAAGACCCTCAAGGTCTGCGCCAACCACTACAGTGAGATTCCTTCCATGTCCGATATTTAAAATATCATCGATTGCTAACCTATATCTCTAGTCGTCCCCGACATGAAGCTCAGTGCCAACGTTGGCTCTGACCGTAGCTGGGTCTGGAACGCCGCTGCCGACGTTTCCGAGGGTGAGCCCGAGGCTCAGACCCTGGCCATCCGTTTCGCCAACAGCGAGAGTGAGTAACCTTGTACCTGAATCTAATATGGAATCTTAGCTAATATGGATTTTAGACGCCAACGCCTTCAAGGAAGCCTTCGAGAAGGCCCAGGAGGAGAACGAGAAGCTCTTCAATGCGACTAAGACCGAGCAGGAGGAGTAAATAATTCCTCTCGTGTCATTATGTTGATTACTCGATTGTGAGGATAGACACCCATAGTGCTCTTAGCACCCAAGGCCTTTGGCTCCGCACATCTCCAGGAGCTTGTTCTCGAAAAATCACCCCATTTTCACCCCCTTCACATCGTTCCACCCTATCCCCATTCATCCTTTCCCCAACCAACACGACGCAACGAGCGAGGCAGCAGTTATGAAGATGTTGCTCGCATAGCTATTGCGAGCCATGCAGTCTACGAAATGCTGACGTCGATGGTTCGCAGTTTGGCAGTAGATAGACATTTCCCATCGAATATACACCCTGCACATCACCCCCTATACCCTCAAGATATCTGAAAAGATGAAAGAAAATTAAAACAAACAAACCAAAAGTAACTTGTGACGAGTTATATACCCGAAGACTGGCTTTTAGTATGATCGTCATCCACTATGGAATAGAAAAACGGACAGGAAGTAGAAAATTTACATTTCTAAAAAAAATCAAAGGACATAATTGGAGTCAAGAATGAATGAATTATTCCATAAGACCCTACTCCCTAAGTTACAGGGCTCCAACAAGGAGTAAAAATGGCTCTTAGCGTGCAGATTTATTCAACGGCCATGTACTCTGGAAGACAATATGATTGTAACTTAGGACATACAGAGTAATTATATAAAAGGACCATTCTAATAATCTCAATCATGTCAAAGAAATGTAGCAGACAGCAAAGTGAGAGGTGAAAAGTCGAAGTTGAAAACATAGTGGCAGTTGGCAGACCTCAACCTCCGACTTGACCTTGTTCACTATTATTCCTCTCCCCACTTCTGCTTCATTGAATCTCTGAATACCGTGAATCATCTATTATTCACCACAATATATACCAGGTCGCTCTGCTGCTTGGTTGAAAACATTAGAGTAAGTCTCACTCTGATTGTCCATTCTCCCAGTTACTCAAGCGCGTTTCCAGATCCTCCACCGCGCAAACTTGTCCCCGACGTCCACCTCTCCGCACGACGTCCCCCTTCAGCCTCGAAACGACCCTTTACGCGCAAGTGACGCCTGTGCCCATACCCTTTCAAAATGCCTGATGTAAGTTGTCTTTCCTTTTCGCTCGTCAGTTGGGAACGCCGAGCGCCTACATCTATGGTCTACGACTGTGGGTTTGTCGCCGTGGAAGACCTCACTACTATACCTTCGCGGCTTTCGATAGCATATGCGACGGGTTTCGGCCCAATCTGCTTTTTCTGGGCTAATCTTCCTACTTGTTTTACAGGTCAAGCGAACCGTTCGCCTCATCACTGAGCAGAACATTATGTACGTGCGCCGTCTCTACCTTTACCTCTCCTCCCTTCACGACTCGGTCTCAGGATCGCTTGAGCTGCTATGCTCTCCTACTATAAATGTTCAATGTGATTGCGACTCAGGTCTTGTTTGCAAGGCTTGGTCATGACGATGCGCACAAGACGAAGGGGCGCGACTACCACAACACACCCTCCGCACCGTCCCACCCCTTCCTAGATATTCACGGCATATGTTTTTGGACTTGTTGGCTGACTTGGATCTTTTTTCCTGCTGCAGAGATAAGCCATCTGAGGTCGAGGGCTTCCCGCAGCGATCTTGGCACATCGAGGTCTGGCTCGTGAACGAGAAGGGCAATTTGGTTCCGGCAAATATATTTGACAGGGTCACTTTCCATTTGCACCCCAGTTTCGGCGATCGTGCCACGCAAGGTATGTATTGGTCCCAATTGGTCTTGCCTTTGGTCTTTTTGCCTGCTTAGTGAACAGAGCTTCCGCGCAAGATCGGCCTGGGCAGGTAGTGGTTTGGTTCTGGTATGCTGACGATGTAATTGTAATTTGAACAGTGTTCAAACAACCTCCTTTCCGCATTCAAGAAGAAGGATGGGGTGAGTTCGACATGTCCATCGAGCTCACTGCCGACAAGTCTTACACCATTCAACATGATCTGAACTTCGCTCAGACCCGCTATGAAAGCAAGCATGTTCTTGTAAGTCAGCTCCGGAACAAGAAAGCAAATCATCGTAAAATGGATCGTTTGTGCTGACCAATTACGCGCAGACTTTCAAGAACCCCAAGCCAGCTCTCTTAGCCCTTCTGCGCGAATCTGGTCCCATCCCCGGGGATGAGAATGGATTGAAGGCAAAGCGCCCCGCCGCTGGCGAGGAAAGCGCCAAGAAGAAGAAGCGTACCGACAAGAATGTAAGTTGTCCTTGATCATCATGGAAGATTGACTACCGGACTGACACATCGAAGGTGGACATGGACAGGCTCGCCGATGGGCTCCAGAAGCTCAACGAAGATGATCTTCTCCAGGTTGTGCAAATGGTGCATGACAACAAAGCAGCCGACTCATACACCAAGAACGATGTTGAGCGTAAGTACATCTTTTGAGGACTTAATAAAGAATCTCTTTCTTTCCTCTCCACCCTCGCCGTCAACACTTTGCTAACATCTCTTATATAGTCGGGGAATTCCACGTTGACTTGTACACCTTGCCCGACGCATTGATCAAAATGCTTTGGGATTTCACGGCAGAGCGCGGTGCCCTGTAAGGTCGCCCGAGTCAGCGCAAGCGAGGGAGATTAGGCCCCGAGATATCCATCCGGCTTTTGTTTCGCGTATTCATTCTCCTTCTGTTTCCGCCGCCACTACCATACGCTTAGTTACTTCGTTCTCATGATTTTACTTGTCTTTGACCCGGGGAGTTAGCGGACCGTCAAAGGAAATTGGATGGCTCTTTTTCTTTTTCTTTCTTCAGTTCTTCGTGTCGGTGCGTCGCCTTGCTGTGCGAGCTTAGTCTCCCCTTTGTGGGAAGGAGAGGAGAAATATCATATTTTTCACTCAGCACACGCTTTACTCGGATTTTGGTCGTACTTGTAACGGGTGCAGGACCCTGAGATCCGTGTTGGTCTGCGTTGCTTGGCACTGTGTCATATCAATAGATCTATGGCTCATTTTGATACTTGCATCTGCTTTTGGAGTCTACCATTTCTTTGGTCTTAGTCCAATGTCATGACATGTTGCCATTAAGGCCGTAGACAGTGCTATCTCAGTCCTGAAGTGGATGGTGTGTGTATGATCCATCTTGTCTGCATGACAAGGTCTACACAATTCATCTACAAGTGACAATTATAAGAAAGAGGTAAATGAACAGCCGAAGGGCAATTTCAAGACAAATAACAGCATGGGATATCTCAAGTCAATCAACATCAAAGCCGGCCCCTGCCAGGCTGTAAGAGTAGCAAAAAATAGTAATAATCAGACAAGATAGAAGAGAATGCACATATGTCCAACGACACACATCAGGATAGTAACCAGACTATCGACCGACCGAGCAAAGCATCCACCGATTCTAGAACCAACGCCATTCAACGAGATCTTTTCCTTTTCAGTGCAATTGAACCACCAACGACAAAAGAAACATAGGACAAAGAGGGAGAGATGTGGAGGATGATGAAAATGAGGAGTGAGGTGTGAGAGAGAAAAGCCCCGAATCGCCAAGGACACAACCAAGACGCCTTGCTACCGCCAATGCAAGACGGGTGTAAATGTAAAAGAACAGCACAAAGAAGCATAGATTAGAGCACGCGGTTCCTGCAGAAAGATAAGATTAGCACATAGTACGATAGTAAAATATTACGATAGTAGAGCAAAGAGATACGCACAACTTCAACAAATCCTCCAGACTATCGGCACTGCAGCTGCGGCCACGGGGAATGTTGCGCAAAACATCAACAATCGTAGCAAAGACATCACCGCCTCGGTAGGCCAGCAACGCAGGCGCCTTGATGTGGTCCATCTCTGCAATATCCTGATGCATCTTCACAAATCGCGTAGTGGGCTGTCTGGACGCGATAGTAACGAGACATTCCTCGACGATAGCGCTTTCATCCGACTGCCAAAAATGTCAGCAAAAGCCCTTCTACAACCCCACAGCACCAAGCACCAGAACAGAAACACATACCTGGTGATCATAGATACAAACAACAACAACCGTCTCCGATGTGACCTTCTCAATAGCATCAAGATACCCAACGGCATCGACCGTCTCAACGGACCCAAATCGCCGACCACGCGGACTCGGCCGACGACTATTCCGATTCTGCAGCTCATGCATGCGTGACGCACGCCACTTGCGCAGGAAGCGAGCCTCGTCGTCATCATCGCTGCCGGAGGAGTGCTGGTCTGGGGGGACTCTGCGCGGGGTGGTTTTGGTGAGTCCAGGCCTGCGACGGAGAGGAGGGTGCGGCGGAAGGACTTCTTGCGGGCGCGCTCGAAGGCCTGGGCGTCGGCGATTACGCCCTTGGGCCCTGTGTTCGCTTCGAAGACTGTGTTGGGGATGTGGTAGGTGGGCGCGCGGGAGGAGACCATGTTGTCGGGCTCTTCGTCTTCGTCGGAGGAGTCGGATGTTTTGCGATTGCGGTTGTTGCGGGTGTAGTCGGTGGGCTCGGAGTCGGAGAAGTGAGCTTCGTCGGAGGAGTCGTGGTCGTGGTAGCTGCGGTCTTCTGGGTGGGTGGAGTGGCGCTCGCGGTTACTGTTCACCAGCTGGTTGAATTCTTCTTGGGCTGCGGAGGACATATTGAAAAGAAAAGAAAAAAAGAAGAAAAAGTGGCGGTGGTGCTTGGGTTATGGGGATTTAAGCAGTTTGGTGATGGATAGGCAGGATGCAGTAGGTGTTTCTCGTAACCCCTGAAGTTGAAACGGAAATAGAGGCTGAGGTGGGAAGAGATCGTCATGAAACGGTGAAGTTGTTCACCCCTTTTTTTTTCTCACCTCGTTTCAGGTTTGGGGTCGATCCACTGGAGAATTCTACGCCAATCAGTCGAGGGATGATCTTGGGGATTCCTGGGATTTGCCTGGGACTTGCCTGGGATATTTCCTTGTTTCTTTCGATCTCAGATACACGATTGACTGTCACATCACACTTATCACAGTTGTCACAGTCGTCAATGGCCGAGATGGAAGCAATTGTGATGGGATTATACCACCACCTATTCTTGATACTACTCCGCACTAACAAGGTTATCCTATCATATTCGATCTCATTAAACCAAAAAAGCAAATACCAGAGCTTCGCTATACTTAGCATTCCGTGTTTCAAAGAGAAATCAGCAGCGTTGGGCGCCCAACAACCGATTCTCGAATATGCTTCTCTACTCTAATCCACTCCAATCCACAATTGCTTGTCGATGAAACCGGAGAACACGTAGATTCGTAGATTCGAAATTTCCAATGGTCTTTTTCCCGAGAATCTCGGACTCGTTTCCATGGGCAGGGCTTAGAATGACGAACCAACCATTCATCGACTAGACAAAGCATACCAAGTGTCCTTCGTAAAGCTCTCCAAGTCTACGCAATAGCCCTCTCTACGTTTATCGTTCTTCTCAGTTTCCGCTCTCACGAACTGACAGGCGCATACTCCGTACTCCGTATCCGACCAACACATACGACCACTAAACCTACTAGCGGCGGACATATCTACATTGGGCCGTTTCAGCCCCCAAGGCGAGTGGAGCGGGAGGCGATCGCTCTCCACAAAGGGTTTGGTCTAGGTCATTCTTAGTTCTTGACGTCGCGTGGCCTCGTATCGCCTTCTCCGTTCGCCATACATATGCAATATAAAACCTTATTATATTGTAGGAATTGTGCTGAGGTTCGTGGAGACGTATCCACTGTAACTTAATATACCATCCGCTCGACTGTTTGCCTAGTTGGGTTGTGGGTAAGCGCGTAAGCGAAAAAAGAATGTTGGTGTGCATAGTTTGCCTGGACACGATGGGGTGCAGGATGCTGTGTTTCAGCATCGTCGGTTGCATAGCTTGGGTGGAGCTTGATCCCCTGCCGTCTTCGCAAGCTACGGAATACGGCCGGATCACGAGGTCGCTGCGTTGGCAGCTATGCTTATAATGTACGCATATACTCTAGCATGCGTGGCTGGGAGTGACCGCAGGTTTCATTATTGCCTGGACTACTAGGCTACTAGGCTACCAGAAGGAATGTTGACCTGTCAAGTAGCTTGGTCTATGTCAGCAAACCGTTCTTATTGGAGTGACTCGATGAGCAACTTGTCCGCGTCAGTAGTCATTCCTAGTGAGTCGATCGTGTTGCCTAGCAGGCAAAGTGACGGGAAGACGATTTTGCTTTTCTTGGATCGAGGCAAATGTTATCTTGCTGCAATCTTCCCAGGACTAGATGGAGCCTTGCGATTTGTTCGTCGAGTGGGTCGCTCAATGACGATATCGTCTACGTACGCTCGACACCAGGCTCGAAATGGCGTAGAATGTTGGCGATTTGCCGCTGGACATATGCGAAGTTGACGTGCACAAAATGGGCCAGTAGATTCGCTTCGATTGCCAGAGGGTAAAAGATCACGTAGGGAGTGCATCGGGACTCTGGCCATTTCTTCCTTGTAGTCATTATGTACGTTTTCATAGTCCTGTATAATCCTGGCCAGGCCACCATGATTTCTTATCTTAGCAGTGGCTTTGACAGCAAGGTCATTGATTATTCCAATACCCGAACGATGTCGACTAGTTTTCTATCATCAAGGGAGGCAGTCACTTGAGTTGATACAGTGGATAAGAACCTTCGATATGGACTAGAACTGCGATGGGAAGTGAGATGAAGGAGCTTACTGGCCAACAGAGTGAATCATGCTTGATTTGGCTGTGTAGATTACCTGGGTATGAAAGATCATTGGGATGAGTAGCTGTTTAGTTGAGAACCACGAAGCGGGAATGGTAAATTGAAATGATGGTTCAGTACAAGGTTGAGTTAAGCGACTTTTCGAGTAAGAGGGCAAAGGCACAGCGAAGTTGGCGTTGTCGATCCTAAAGATCACATTTATGTGAGCAGCTATTCAGTTGACGAAGATGGGCTGATAAAGGAGCTGACTGTTCAATCTAGGGTTGGTTCTAAGAACGAATCGAGATGTGAGTCAACTGCAGTGGGAGTAAAATAGAGTGTGGTTTTGGAATGCCTTGTAGAGGCGAGTCACTGTTAAGTTTAGATCCACGAAGACTAAGTGATGAAGGAACTGACGCTTTAGTACCGGGTTGAGTTGACGAACCAATCAGGGTGTGAACGAAACAGGGAGTAAACACCACAGTGCATCTCTGTCTTTTCCCATCTGTTGGTCTAGCCGAAGCCAGATGCTTTTTGTGTTATTGATTCAGTCTTTTTTGGATGGCAGCATTTCTCTCGCTGGCCTCAGCTTTATCTTCGGTATCTTCAGGTTCTTCGGTGTCATTCGGATGGTCGACATCGTGGAGGTCCTCTTTGTTGATCAGAAATTACAAAGTCAACAATGACAGATTTCCAGCTAAAACCATGCTTGTCGTCACCTGTATGGTTCTGAGAAGCAAAACCAGCGATACTGCCAGGCTGAGGGTTTGATCGTGGTCATGCTCGGAGAATTGTGGGCCAATCAAAAGAACATTCTTTATTGGGATAGTAAGATGCAGGAAAGGAAATGACATAAGGAGCTCAAGACTCAGCCTTATTTTACGGACCTAACAAGGGGTCTACTCAATTCTGCAAACATTTTTGGTTCTGTCTCTGAGGACAACCGCCCAATTCGCAGATGTAAAAGCCATGAAGTCTGTGTTGAGCATATCGTATTAGGTTCATGCTTACCTACCTCCGGTATTCCTACTTTTATTCAGACCACGGGTGATGCTCGCAGACAGCACTTGCCGGAAAATCTACACAGTACATTAATCCGATACCAAAGCTTGGTTTGAACAGTAAACCCATAGAAAGTAGGTAGACAACCGCCTCGAGCTAGGAAATATCGAAAGCCCGGGACATGAAAGCATTGATATCCCAGCCCTAATTTACTCAAGCTCACTCTACGCACGGCAACATCATGACCTTCCAATGATACAAGACTATGTATAAACTCTATTCAAAGATAATTACATGGACATACATATATACTAAACATCACAAATAACATAACCAACCCCTATTCCAACCCATAACAATCAGCCGGCGCAAAGATCACATCATCCAACAATACATTCCCCGTAACCGAGGAATCCTCCGAATCACAAAGCGCAACAATATTCAAGATATCCGTCTCCCGCTTCGGCACATAAGTCCCCGAGACCTCGGTCCACTCCTGGACAGTAAACAGCTGCGCCGAAGCAACACTGCCCACCGTCGCGTTCCGCCCCATGTACACATACACGGCGCAGTACTCGCTACCGGCCCACGGGACCTGCGCCTGCACGCTGAATTTGTATTCAGTGTGTCGTTTCAGGCCGTGCAGGCCCTGGGATATGGTGTTGCCGCGGTTTCCTACTGCCGTTTGGAGGTTGCTGGGTGGTTTTTGGTTAGTTGGGTGCCTCTTTTCTTTTCTGCTCTCTGTTTAAAGTAAAAGGGTCGTAGGACTTACAGGTAGTAGTCACCGCTGTAGGCGGTTGTCCCATTGCTAATTTTAGCAACGTTGACGGCAGACTCGCGCCATGGGGTTAGGAGGCCGGTTTCAAAGGAGGGATTGGATACGACGTTGCAGGTAGAAAGAGCCATTGGGGCGGGAGGGGTTGGATTGGCGGAGATGGTACTGGAGAGATAGTTGGAGTTGGAGTATGGATTGGGAAACAATGCCAGGGCTGCCGATTTATACTAATTTATACTACGTTGTAACTAGTAGGGAAAGCTTGTCCGCGATATTTGAGACAAGGTTGCGGGATCGGCCGACATTCTACGCATACAGGCAACCGGCGTGCTATTTTCATCCCGCTTTGATAGGATGTCTCGTATTGGTATTGTTAGGGCCTCGTTTAGGTTCAGACTCTACAATGTATAAGCTGACGCTTGAAACATGGCCTCTGGACAATGTTGCTGGGGGCCTTACGGGTGAGGTGCGACGGTAGGGGCTGGATTGTGACAATGCTTAGCTCTGGTTACAAATCGGCGGGGCTGTGTTCGCTCCGTAAGCGGGAAATGGTCCTTCGGTGAACTGGGCGGCCATTCCGGGTCTTCGGTTCGGGGTCTCTGATGATTGACGTGTTGCATACTGCTTTAGTTGTACTGTTTGATATTCGATTTGTGAATGGATAGTGATGGCGAGACTCGGGGTCTGCAAATAGAAGCACGCTATTTTCATCGGAATAATACTATGTCAAAGTTATGACGTCTACTTCTACATGGCTGAAGCAGAAATCAAGACCGTTGATGCATATTCTATGCCTGATGCTCATGCCATGCTCACACTGCAGATCACCGTACCAAGTCAGGTGAAAACAAGAAACTAGAGACGACACCAGTCGATACTGAGATTCGAAGACCAAATAAAATAAAGCTCAGAAATGGAAATTGGACTGCTTGAACCATTATCAAAATCCGACACCAAAGAATCCCGGAGCAAGAGATTCCAACACAAAGACAGTAATTACAGCATACTCTTTGTTGAGAGACCAAAACAGGGAGACGTGTGTGAAGAGAGAGGGAGAGAGAAAAAGGGTAAAGGGAATAATAAGGCGACGCAGAGGTAGATCGGCGAAAACATCATGGCTAAATTCCAGCAACCAAAACCTCATTTTTTGCTTTGACCAAGAAAATACATGCCGACACCGATGCGGAGGCAACCCAGAACAAGAGAAAAAAAGTAGGTAAACTGAAGGGGGGATAAAGAAATTCAAAAAAAAAAAAGAAAAGGGGAAAAAGGCGTTATCAAGAAGTCAAAAGGAGAAATCAAAGGACCAGAGAAAAGATTGACGGCAGAAGCATCAGATGGATTGACTTGGTCCAGCATTTTGCTTGCAAGTCAACTGTACAACCATCGACAACCCAAGGACTAGTCGCGTTCTCGTCATGTCCAAACAAATATTGTATCATCGCTATCGTTTGTTCGCTGGGGCAATATCCCATAGCGCTCACCACCACCTCCGTCACCTTCCGTATCGCATACGACGAGCCGATGTCTGCGCCGTGAGTAGTGTATTATCGTGGGAACCCAAGTGATTCCCCGGTAACTGATTATTATCGTACAATGACGGAGATTCGAACCATCGAACCTAAAAAATTTCGAAGAAGAGCATTGCAGAATGATCGACGCGGGGTATCTTGCGTATTCTTTTGTTGGTTTACCAGGCCCAAACCTTGAGCTGCACGAGAGGAGATCGGACGTCAGTAAACGCCCTTGGAGGTCCAAGCTTGGAATTTCAGAAAAACTTACGAGAGAGTCCCAAGATCCAGTGCACAGACTGATGCCGTCGTTGCTGACACCAAGGCAGCTCACGCGGTTTTCGTGGCCGCTCAAGGAACCAACCTTGTCGCCGCGCAGAACGTCCCATACCTATAATCATGGATTAGTGACTAGTCGCGTTTCAAGACGCGAGGAATCAGCTTACCTTGCACTCGAAATCATCGTATCCGGCGAACAATAACCGACCGGAGACTGAGAATGCAACGGAGGTGATACCGCACAGAACCTGGTCGCTCTGAGACGAAGCGAAAAAAAGAAATGTTAGCTTGGTTCAAATCGATTCGCCATTTTTGCGAGATGTTTACCTGGTAGGTGTTGAGCTCGCGGTCGGCACGAATATCGAACAGGCGGCAAGAAGTGTCGTCGGAACCGGTTCCGAAGGCGTTGCCATCGGGGAAGAATTGAACGGCGTTGATATCAGACTCGTGGCCAGCGAATGTCTGGACGGCCTTGCCGGTACGGATATCCCACAATTTAGCGAAGGCGTCGCAAGCACCTGAAACGAAGATGTTCTGGTTGGTTGGGTTGATGCTGATCGACATCACATCACCGAGGTGGTCGGCGAACTCGGTAACCTTAGTCCCGGATTCAATATCCCATAGCATGCAGGTCATGTCACCAGAGGAAGTAATGATGCGGCGGTCGTTGATGAAGCGACAGCAGGAGAGGTATCCCGAGTGTCCGGAGAGCTCGCGCGCGACACGGGTTGGGCCTTCGCGCGATGACAGGTTGTAGATTGAGCAAATGTTGTCGAGACCACCGCAAGCTACGTAGTTGCCGCTCGGGGCGTAGGCACAGGTCATGACCCAGGATGAGCGCAGAGGAATCGCATGGACTTTGTTTGTGGTGTAGGCATCCCAGATGATGAGCTTTCCGTCTTGCGAAGCGGAAACGAGGTGGCGTCGGTCGGTAGACCAGTGCATGGCATAAATCTTGGCAAGGTGACCTTTGAGGGTGCGTCGGGGCTTCATTCCAATCCGTGGAAGAGAATCAGTCTGGTCTTGCGCGACTTGACGGACTGAACGGAGTACAATAGTCAGTACAGTGAATAAAAAAGAGTCTCCCGGGGTAATTTAATTCAGTAACAACGGCCCCCTCAACGATGAAGGCCTCAATGTATAACAAAGGTGGAGATGGGAATCGTACGGGAGGTATCAGCCAGCTCATCCTTTCTGCGCTTGATCTTGTCCTTCAAACCCTCAGCTTCGCGCCGGGCGGCGGTAATCTTGGCCTGCATCTGCTCGCCGCTCATATCGGCCATTGTGTCGGTAGGGTAACTCGGGGTGAAAACAATGAGGAAGTGGGAGGTCGGAAAATCAAGAAAGTTGAGGGGAAGGGGAGAGAGGGGGCTCAATAGGAGTGGAGCGAAGAAGCAGGGGAGAGAGAAGAGAAACGAGGATTAATGCGCCTCAGGCTTGGATCATAATCCGGGTAAGAATAATAAAAAGAGAAAGAAAAAAAAAGTAAAGGAACTCTGGTGGGAAAAAGAGAGCACCAACAGTGAAGGGCAAAGGGACAGAACAAGAGGAACAGGGGTGTGAAGAACGAGCGAGGAGAGTCAGCGTATTACCGGCTAGTGGTAATCGATGACATCGTACCAAATTGAAAGGTACCTGGACACACTACCACTTTATATGGGATTTTAAAGTACCAATTGGTTTTTTAAAATAAGTTGAATACAGATGTACATTTCTACTACGCAGTTATACCGGAATGATTTCTACATAAAATGGACTGATTCACTTCCTTCTATAACTTCCAGAGGTTCTTTGTTCTCGGTAGAATTTAGCCACTTCCTGGTCAATTGCAATAATACGTCAATACACACATTTGCAAATTGTCGGGTACCTGAGATTTAGCCAAATTTATATTAGAACTGCGCGTAAATGTACATATCTTTGGACCACTAGTGATATTATGTAGTTTTATGTAGTTTTATGTAAGTAAGAGTTGTATAACTAACTCACTATAAGCCTTGGAAATCATGTCCCCCCCAAAAATACCATACCACCTCCTGATACAGACTTGTATCGGAAGATTGAGATAATTGTGGCTCTGAGGATCGGCTTGGTGCTAGGACCACTAGCCCCAAAACTGAAGACTCAGTCAATGGTAACGGAGATCAATAATAGCGGCAAATTCTACCGACTTGACTTAACCGCTGCGGCTCTGGATAATAATAGAAGGAGTTTCGCGGCTCTTTGACATTAACTAGACTCCCCTTGCGTCCCCCTATTCCGAATACATATAATCAATGTATTCATGGATTATCAAGGGGTATTGTACATATACATACATACATACATATGTACTGTATAGTGCAATATATGGAATATTGTATTTTTCGAGCTAACGGAGATTGGACTGGGTCTCATGCATGTCCATTCCGGGTACAATTTTACTTTAATTCCCGCTAGACTCTGTTAGATGGTATATTATTCCAATTTTATGAGTACCGTATTATGTATGAATTGACACTGTCATCTGTTAGATACTCCTCGCTACACTACTCCCTAACGTGAACTTCCTCCGGTCAAAACTCCCTTGTTCTCGCTGTTGCTATAGTCCAAGCTTCAAGTTCGTCTAGGCGCACGGACCTTCAAGCTGACTAAATACCGGGAGCCCCATAAATCTCGACGGAAGTTCAATTCGCTACAGTTTTGTATCCTGCAATCTTCTGAAGATACATATGTACAATGGCGTCAGTATACTAGTCTATGTCCAAAAGCATTGGCTGAGCCGTTGCTTCGGCTTCAGCGCCCGTTCTGGCGGGTCAAACCCTAACCGTTGCTCGGATGTGCATTTTCATCTAATTGAAATAATTGAACAGGGATTTCCTGTCCCTTGACTCGCCCACTATACGGAGTAGCGTCCCCACTATGGAACAATCGATTGTGCTGTCTGGGCCCCCTTTTTCTCCGGCATCCAATCTTCAGTCGGCTTATATATACTCTTGGACGATCATTATTTGCTTCTAGGCTCAATTTCAGATTCGGAAATTTGGTCACTCCCTATATTAATGTATACTGTATTATGTGCGATAAACATCCACGTGCATACAGTCAATAGAGTTCATTCTGTCGACTAATCACTGAGTCCCGCCAAATTCTCCATTCGCAATCTGCAATATCGCGTCTTTCATGCAGACTCCAATCATGTTCGGTAGCAGATGTCAGGTCCCTTGCATCTGTATCTCGGAGTTTGAGTTGACAGTCGAACCAATATTTTGGGATTTCTGAATCTCTTCTCTTGGTAAGATCTATTGGTCTAAGACACATGATTACCTGTCGGCCTAGCATGGGTTAGTCCGTATGTACAGTCATGTTCCAAACCCTCAATTAAAGAGGGGAAGTCATCTCAGCTCGGGGTTGCAAGGCAGCTGCCAATCCCAAGATTATACCGAGATTGACGCCGACTAGACTTTCAAGAACGCAAAAATGGTACTTCGTAAGATTAGAGTCAGACGAAGAATCCTGCTTTCCATGATACCATAGATCTACTTATAAACTTGGGTGACAATATGATTATGTCGATTGATGTTTCCTTAAACCTCTACGAACTTTTTTCCCATATTACCGCCAGTCTGTTTTTGTTCCCTTTCTTCAGCCTTCTTTACAACCTCTTCTCGGAGGTTGTGAATATAGAGCAGCCATCTACCACTTCCTAGCTATAGAGTACGACAAGGTCACTAGTCTCAGGCAAGAAAGCTACAGACAATACTATCAAACCGCCAGCAAACAGACCCAAGCACGAGATATCAATATCTGTGTCACCATTCCCACGCCCTCAGCTCCAGGAATGAGCTTCAGCCCAACTCAACCAGATCCAGTTATAGTTTGCGCCAAATATCACAAGATACAGTTCTCTCACAAGATACAGTTCTCCCCTGGACTAAATCTTCCGATTCGAGAACGGCAAGACATGGCTTATCTCACGGAGATTTCTGACTCAACCATGCTGCTGGACTGCTGACGACGACCCCGCGCCTGAATCCCATTCAGCGATACTACCGAGCTCCAGTTAGCTTTGATTCCTTGCTTAAAATTATCCATGCGCTGCATCTCCTCAGATCTACTCTTGAGAAATGGCGCGTACGGTTGCTCAAGCGGTGGTCGATCGGAAGTCAATGTGCCACAAGTGTATGCAGGTTTTAAAGTGTGCGTTGTCAGCGTCAGACCAGGCGCCCTATGCAGGGTGAGTGCGTGCTTTGAGCGCTAACACGGATGGATCAGAGGTTGTTGTAGGAATGTCTCATAAACACTTGTATCTGCCATCTATGATTTTGAAATCACCGCAAGGTCACCGAAAGCTAGGCCTAGGTAGTTTCTACACGGTGGGTAACAAGCTGCCCTCAGACAGAGATGAAAGGCCTAATTGAATCGCGCCGAAAGCAGTAAATACCCATGATGTAGTGTAGTTAGTCCGTACTAGTCTACTGGGGGGACTTACACGTACTGTCACGATCTCGTATTATTGTAACTTTGTTTGGTTCTGCTGTGCAAAAATGGTTATATCATAAGCTGGCCCCTTTTCTGGTAGATCAAAGTGATGTGCATAAAGCAAATATGGGCCTCACTAGTACCATGAGCGCTGATATAGTGCACGTCAAGCTCCTTTTAAAGGTCGAGCGCTCAAAGAGCCAAGCCGGTAGTGGGCTGAGGAGCAGCCATTTAATATCCGATCCTGATGTCCGACACGGGGCTCGACACGAGAGATGAAGGACCGTTGTAGCGATATTAGTCCGGAGCGGGGCCATCGATGCGCTAGACATGACGATCTTGGATAATTAGGGGCCAATGTACGCATTTACCCCCAAGCAGCTGCAGCTGCCAACTATAGCCGCTTTCTTATGTATTCCTCGTTTCAAGTTTTTTTAGACTCAGATCTTGAAACCCTGGAAGAAGCCGAGGCACACGGGTGTGGCTTGTCAGCAGTTCGCAGGCTGTTCTAATCTTAGTTCGTTTCAAGTCTTTCTAGATGAAGGTCTTGAAACCCCAGAAAAGTCGAGACACTGACAAATTTGGCTTACTGGCAGTTCGAAGGTTGTTCTAAACTTAGATCTTTTGTGCGCCACATTGTTGCAAGCGCTTGTAAACCCTGTAGAAGTGTGGTAAGAGACCAACGGGGGCCAAAGCTATTTCTTGTGCGGGGGTTTGGTGTTGGACCCTAACAACACACTACTGCCAATGCCAATCGTGCGTTGCTAGGTTTAATTTCTTCCAAAATAAACTACCCTGCTCAAGGTTGACGAAACTGCGTCTGCGATTAGAGAAGGAGACTTTGCTCCACTCACCATGTTAGAATTTAGTTCTTAGGGGTCGGGAGATCTAGGCCGGGGAATTTGCAATTCGAGGCTGTTCCACGGGCCGTTTCCATTGAGGCATTTGAATACATACATGTCCATATGTGTATGTAAAAAGTCAGGATGATGGTCCCCCGGATAGGGACGTGCCAGTAACAGAGGGTTGGATCTAATAGTTCTGATAGAAGAATCAAAATTAACAACCAAAGACAAGGGATATGAGATGAAAGATTACTTCTCGCATTTTGAGACCGGTCCTTTCAGTAAGTTGACGAGATTCAGATGTAACACAACTCATTTCAGGCGATCTGTAAGAGTGAAGCATTTGGAAATAGCAAGTGGGAAGCCCCCATCTGTGGAGTAAGTTGTCTAGCCTTCATCAAGCCTAGACAAAGGGCCGAAGCTATTCAAATAGTTCATCAAAGCCATTGGTGGATTTGTACAACGTATGTTGGTCATTGCTTGAGATCTACAGTGGCCTCCGCTGGTGTCAAATGGGCATCCGGCATAATCAATCAGGCGGCATAACAGGAAAACATGGTAATGATCATCATTTTTATTTTGAGGGATATTTCGATCTGACAGGAAATCAAGGATGACCATACGATATTGTATGTGACAAGGACTAATTATGTTCGCTGGTATGTTAAGGGGATTGTAATTTTCATTGTTTGGTGGCGACTTGGTACCCTATGTGACGAGATAGCTTCACACGGATTTTGCGAGGATGTCATACTCGAATGAACAAGAAGAAATGGATGAAAATAAAAAGTTAAGGCTCCATGCCAATAGCCTTGAAATTGTGATCTATAAGAAAGACAGAAAGACAAGGAAAAAAATTGAAGCGAAAGTATCAAAAGTAGGGTGGCGGGCGCAAATACTTGTTACGGCGAAACACATATTGTAATATTAAGGAGCCACCTGACGCTCTCCGCTTTGCCGCAAACTTGAACCCAAAAAGGGCTTCTTCTTTCTTCCCCTCCATCGACATCCCCATCTTTTATCAAAATCTTGGACGAAAACTATTGTCTGATACCCTGCATTTGGTCTCTCTTTCTCTCTTGACCTTTTCCTTCCTTTATCCCCCCGAAATTCCCCCTTCGAGACCTTCGTGCCAAAATCTCCCTTTTGCCCCTTCTGGTTATTGGGAGTCATCGAAAAACAATTTCCATCGGAACATCATCGCTTTTGGTTCGCCTGATGTCTAGAGATTAATCCTTATCAGACTTCTCTATAAAACCGTAGTGGGCATTCTCCCATCTGGTTAGGGGGCTGAATCTCACTTCGAAAGGACATCGTCAAGGTCCTCACCCTCTTGCATTTACACTCTGCGTGTGATTTTTCATCGTCTGATAATACTGCATTTGGTCTCTTTCTTTTTATTTCGACTGTTCTCGTTGCCGTTCTTTCATCATGCGGGAAGTCAATTTCAGCATCCCCAATGTGAACAAGGCCTCGGTCAACATCACCACCACACTCTACGACCGCCGTGCTCTTGATTGCACATCAACACTACCGCTAATCAACTCGCTTAATCACCTTGCCTACCTCACAACATCGTCCGCCCGCATTCGAGATATCCTCACCGTTGATGGCGGCATCGAGCGCCTGGTATGCATCCTCAAGGAGGGCCGGAGCAAGGACTTGATGGAAATGTGGAAATGGAGCCTGGCTTTCCAATGTGTTGTCAACATTGGAGTGCGCGGCTCTGAGGGTGTAAGGACCCGTGTGGTGGAAGCTGACATGGTCCCCGTCATTGCCACGATTCTCAACAATTACATCAAAGTGGTGGACAAAGTGCGGGCGCGCAATGAGCCTGAGCCCGCCGAGGAGTCTTCCAAAGAAGCAAAGCCCAGTAGCAGCCGAGATGATTCTGCTCGTTCTACCCCTATGGATGTAGAAATCCATGTCGATTCCCACGCTCATCTCGAAGCTCATTCCGAAGCTCATCCCGAATCACACCGCCGTCGACAAGCCCCTCCTCCGAACATCGAAATCCCCCAGCCACTCTACCAGGACAGTCCACCAAACGATTCCGATGCCATGGATGTTGCTTCTCCTCACCGTGAACCCATGACGTCCCCACCAGAACGGAGTACTTTTGGACAGGAACCCCATAACCACCGTGCCCAGGATGGACGGCTGCCACGTACAAGTCATCGCCTACGGTCAATGCAGCCTCTGGCTACAGCTGTTTCCTCAATGGATACCACGGATGGATTTGGACTACGCCCTGTGCGTGACACCGAGCGCCTTCCCAGCATGCTTCCTAGTCTGCAGACTGGGACCGTCTCACAACCCGATTCCCCAACCACTCCAAGCGGCCCTCTCCACTCACAACCCCGGAGCCTTCCCCAAACGATTGCCGCCAGACAGCGTCCTTCGATTCGTCAGCAGCAGTCTGCTTCTGGTGAGTCGGATGATGCCACCGGTGAAGACTCGACTATGAGAGAAGATAGCGCTATGGGCCAAACCGCTGAAACTATCGTTACACTTCCAAATAGGATGGAAATCGATAGCGTTGATGAGCGGGAAACGACAATGCTAGACGACGTCTCTACAACCCACGACTTGACGGTCACCGATCCCTCGGAGGAGGGCGGTCCGGAGGTAGAGACTTTCAACATCACACGCCGCTCGACCGTCGATGGTAGCATAATTAATGCCGGCAACACACAAACCAATGGCGGACTGGGTCTCTCCCCCACCCAGGCCACCAACAACCCTAATTCCCCAACTCTCGCCCCCAGTCCTTACGCCTTGTACCTCCGTGATCGCAATGCTCCTGCCGCCCAAGGAGTGTTGACCACCATGCCTCGTGATGAGGATGTCCTCATGTCCCTGCAGCTTCTGGCATATATCTCCAAGTACTGCAATCTTCGAGCATTCTTCCAGTCCTCTCATCTCGTCCCCAGGTTGAAAATTGATCGCGAACTCCACCTTTTGGATGACAACGCCGACTCTTCTTCGCCAATTGACATGTGCGAAGAAGAGGACGAGTACTTGCTCCCTGATGATGTCAACATTTTCCCCCTGGTGGAGAAATTCACTGTTAGACATCATTCCAAGGACATGCAGTACTGGGCATGCGTGGTCATGAGAAACCTTTGCCGTAAGGACGAGGCGAGAGGCGGCATTCGCCAATGCGCCTACTATAAGTGTGGCCGGTGGGAGGAGTACCAGCGTCAATTTGCTAAGTGTCGACGCTGCCGTCGTACCAAATACTGCAGCAAAGAGTGTCAGAAATCCGCATGGGTGTACCATCGGCACTGGTGCCATACAACCCCCTGATACGACCCGACAATCTCAGAGGAGTTTCATTTTTGATTTCCATGCATACCGGCTCGCATAGCGTCATCTACGTCTCGCGTCTTATATTCTGTTCCAAGGTCTCAATACGCATGGCATCTCAGAATCTGGCGGCGTTTCCATTTCGACCCGAAGATACCTTTTACATGTCTGACTTTTGTTATATTCCCTTTCTCGCACCGCTTGCCTTGATCTTGGTTTATTGACGTGGGGCCGTTGTTTGCGAGCCCTTTCTTTTTTCATCTGCTCATATCCATCTCATGACTGTACATCTCATTCTTCATCCCTCATCATGGGATCTATTCCCTTTGCCTTTGTTTCGTTGGGATCATTACGTTTCCTTCCATAACTAATTGTGCTGTCACGATTTTCCTATGTCAGTAGATGGGCAGGCAGCATTGCCGATCATCTCGGTCATGTCCCCGCCATCTGAAGCATTCTATTTTGGTGCACATCCCATCTATGATTCTGATTTATGTCCGGGGGATTTCTCTCTTGTTAGTTTTTGCACTTTGCCTCAACGGCACCGGCGTTTTCTTATAATTTCATATTTTGAGTCTTACAAACGACTATACCCACATCTCAGCTTTCCTGTAAAAGACATACCCAGTACAGTAGCCATCCCATAACCTATCTTTCACGCCTCCTTACTAAACCCATAAGTCGCCTCCAACCTCGACATAAGATGCTCATGCGCCGTCAAAGCCTTCTTCCCAGGCCCCAAGCTCCCCGCCCCACCCCCAAACCCAACCTTCCCAACAATGCCCCCAGTCCTCTCCCGATGCCCCTTCACCACCTCCCCAGGAACAGGCACCAGCTCCGTAGCATCAACAGGATGGCAGAAATAAACAAGCGTATACCGATCTTGCGGATTCGGACTCATCTGCTCAGCCAGCGGAAACACAACCCGATGCACAGTCGACTTCAGCAGCCCATCAGTCCAGTAACTAAGCAAGTCTCCGATATTCACCAGAATCGGCGGAAAAGGATACTCCGCCGCCTCGGCACTGCTACCAGGCACAATCGGCACAGGCGCCCACGTGCCCTCCGGCGTGAAGATCTCCAGCCCGGGCTGTCCGGCCCGCTGGAATAGCAGCGTGATGCTGCCGTAGTCGGAGTGCGCGCCTGCTCGCACGTCTTTGTCGTGCGCGTACGCGGCTGTTGAAGGGGAGAAGATCGACGGGTAGTACAGGTACCGTAGGATGCTGCCTGTTGAACCGCTGCGCGGGTCGTGTCGGGTTGTAAAGAAGTCTTCTGGGATCTGGGGCGGTTTAGTATAAATACAGTAGGATTTGGGTTGTATATTTGTGTGTAAGTGTGCAATATGTCTGTCTGGGGTAACTTCACGCACCTCAAGGCCTAGCGCTAGTAGGGTCAGGATTCGAGTGCATGTCTTGTTGCAGAGCTCGGCGAATGCGTTAATTTCTTCCTCGTGGGGGGCTAGCGAGGGTGGGAGAGGTTGTTGGGCTTTGCCGTTTTTGAAATCGCCGAAGTTCATGGCTCTGGTGGGTGGTTAGTCGGTTTTCATTGTGTTATTAGTGGTGAGCGTATCGTTCATCGTACTCTTTGAAATCTCCGGTCTATCAACATGTCAGATCAATCAAGCGTCGATTATATCCCATAATATGGGAATGAGACTTGACGTACCCGCTGGTTCTCGGGGTCCAGGGTTTCAATGTGCATTCCTGACCAGCCGCGGTTCTGTAGAGGTCTTGTCAGATTGCATGGTTTTGATATAGTGTCCGGTACTCGGCCTTGTCACAAACATTTGGCTGGATCCGACATGTCTTCTTCTCTTGTGCAGGAGATGCAAAGAACTTCTTCGACTATAAGAATGGTTAGTTGGTGTACGTATATGATATGGATATAACAAAGTCATATTACCAATTCAAACCCACGGTCCACATCGTTAACGGTAAAGTCGGTGCCTTTGCTGTTGACGTATAAAAACCCATACTTGGCAGCGGCTTCCAACATGGCCTTCCCCACAGCGGGGTCATGGGGGTTGGAGATGTCAATGACGGGAAGCTCGATTGGGGTAGTATCTGCCATTTCGAGAAAGTGATGTTTCCAGAGAGCTAAGTTGTACCAGAGGGGTTGAGAGAGACATATACCCATTAGTGGGCCTATCGCGTATCGTCAATATCGGAGCGATAATCAGCTCAACCAATGGGGGTTTGTCGTTCATCACTCGACCCCGTCAAATCCCCGAGCTTAGGCGACATCCGTGAATATCTACATGTGTAATAATGTAGGTTGCTTTAATTATGTAGTTTGTTCAGAGCTTTCTTATCTGAGTTACTTTTATGAAATGAATGAGGACGCTAGGGTTGATATCTTCTGCTGGTACAAGATGGTTAAATGTTACACCATTAATTATGGTCGATCGATCACTCTAGTTCAAATAGGAGCTATGTTAGCTGGTGGCAGTGTACAAGCAAAGTGGGATGTAGACTAGGATCTCAATTGATACGTATATGTAGGTATGAAGCTAGTGCGTTGCCTCTGCTAGAGTTGAGCTATAGTGAGTAAACCTAATGACTTTTATGAAGGAAAGTCCTTTGTATGCCCAATGTGGTTCATATCTTGAGTAAGCTCTTAAGTCCGAGTCATAGCCCGAGTTCAAATGCTTAATTGAGTATATAATTACTAGCTCTGTGATAGCGACGCCTATGTATTTATAAACGTTCATGGATTCGATGTTTCTATTCATAGAAATAGGTGACTACACTATAACCCTTATATAGGTAGCTCATATATTATATTTAAGAAGGAATTGAACTTGAACAGCACAAACAAATAGTCATAGAATGCCAAAAGTAAAGGAAAGATTGACGGAAACAACAGTCGGGGTGATGTGACGATGTGATGCAGGGAAGGGGCCCAAAAAAAACAAAAGGCCAACTCCGCCTTCCCCCCTCATGATCTTGCCTTTCGATCCTCCCGCCCATCCCAGCTATCATCCTTAAGGTCCTGGAGCTCTCAATACGCTCTTCAGATCCGTGATATATCTTTTTGTTTTATCCTTGGGCTTTGATGCCCGGCTCTAGCCGTGCTTTCAGCTCGTCACCGCCATGCCGAGTAGGCCTACCCTGATCTCCGCAATCCCGCAATCGCAGCTAACATGAGATCGAATAGTCCCTCCTCTCGACGAATGGATCGTGGGCCGCACCCACTCCCTACCCCTCTCCGCTTTGAAAGATACTGTTCTCGGTATCGATGCGTCGCACTACATCAACCAACACCTCTTGAACCAGTCAACCCGCGAGGCGCTTCTAGGCGCGCTAGGTGGCTTCCCCTTCGCCTTGAGGGCTAATATTGAGAAAGAACTACAGATTTTCAAAAATCTTGGTGTTGGTTGCATTTTTGTCTTTAATGGTTTGGAATTTGGCAAGAGAGAGCAGCGCGCGCATCCCGAAACGCAGCGTTCCTTCGAAGCAGCTTGGGAGCTCTATGACCAGCAACAGGCAGATCGGGTTGTCGATGCCTTCAGCAATGCCGGTATGGCTCCCTTCAATTATTTGTCGTCTAAAAATTGGCGACGGGGCTCTCGAGCCTGCACCAATTCCGTTCGAGCCACCTGGCGAGCCTCTCAATCACCGCTGACACAGCCTGTCCTCCAGGAACCCCACCCCCAGAGACACTTTTCAAGTTTCTGCAACGCATTTTGTCCCAGAATGGCGTCGATTTTTTCGTAGCACCTTACAGCGCGGCGGCCCAGGTGAGTAATAACTCATCGCGACATTTGCCGAATCCACGAGACTGACCAATCTATTTTGGATAGCTTTCTTACCTTGCTCGCGGCTCTAACCCTGTTGTTGATGCTGTTTATGCTCCCTCCGAAGCTCTTTTGTTCGACCTTGATAAGCTTGTAACCCGGGTTGACACCGAGCCCGCACAATTCTTCTGGATCACTAAACAAACTTGCCAGGAGGAGCTTGGTCGACTTTCAAATGAACAATTCCTCGACTTTTGCTTACTATTGGGGTCACCATTCCTGAGACATTGCCCACTTTTTGAAAACCCTGGTTTCCCCGCAAGACCTCCTGCCGTTCGTGATGCGTTGCCGATGTTCAACGCGGCTGGACGAAGTGCCTTGACTCTGTGCGCTCAGTTCGATGATGATCGCCGGATGCAGGAGCTTCAGTACGCAGATTCGTACAAGAGAGCCTTTATGGTTGTGAAGCACCATGTGTACATGGATGTGGACGGTCGAGTGGCCCTCAAGGATGCAGAGAATGCCTCGTCTGACATGCATGAGCTTATCGGACAACGACTCCCCGAGGAGCTTTATTTTTATCTATCCAAGGGAATCATCGGACCCGATGTACCCAACTTCCTCACATCTGGCCAAGTTCGTGTTGCACTACCACTGGGCACCGAAGATACCGAGATCTACCGTCAGCTCGTGGGTGACATTTTGACTCCCGTTCGAACTCAGTCTATCTGCCTGTTGGCAAACTCGCTTCATCGATTCTACCAAACCAAAGTGATCCAGATTCGCCCGTGGTTCGACGAGGACTCAGAGCGATCAATTAACCTCAAGGGCATCCCATCAGTAAAGGAAACCATCCAGTCGTGGAAAATTCACGGGGACAAATTCCCCGAAGCTATCAAGAACATCCAGGCGCCCCGTGGATCCTTCAAATTTGCGGTACAGAGTTTGAGTGACTCTGATTTTGCTGCCAAGTCGTTTGCTAATAAAGACACACCAGTGAGTAAGATTCGATCACATGGAGCTCTCTTATGACTAACAATCCCAAAGGTGCTTTCCTCCCAAGAGGACATCTTATCTAATGTTATGTGGCGATTCATGCAACTTCGCGGATATGTTGACGACAAGCACAAGCTCACTTCGTGGGGACAATGCTTGCTTCAGGCATTGTCAGCTGTGGACCCCGCAGAAAACCTCGAAGAGGTCATATTCATTGCCATTGAGATGCTCCGTTTGGATCTCCTCAACACCAAGCGCTGGTTTTCACATGTATCTGGCGGTCCTATGAGAGGATCAGAAGATGACAAGACTTTCAACATGCTGGTCTCGCGTGTTGCATGCATCGGTAAATTGCAACACAAGAGCATTGGATACTCTGGCCCTCTGAGCCGTCAACTTCTTTGCTATCGCTCTTTGATTTCCGAGGTCCGCTCTGCACTGAGGAACTTGGTTGAGGTTGTTCTAGCCAGTTTGCTTCTCAGCGGCGATGCTGATCGGGAGCGTCAAGACTGGACCCAGTTGGCTTTCAAGTAAGTTCCCTGCAGACTATGGCACTTTCACCCTGGGGTCTGTTCTAACTTTCTCTCAGGATTCCCTTTATTGACGATAATGACTGTGGACTGGGGATTGCGGTCCGTACCTACCTTGACGATCTTCCACTCCAGGCAAACCCTACGTCGCCTGAGGCGCGAGCGGATGTGAAGGCCAAGGGTAAGGATTGGTTCCAGCACAGCGAGAGCTTCACTGGAAACTTGGATCTGGCATTCAAGCTGTGGGATGCTGTTAGTATTTCGGTTTCATCCGCGTTTGATCGAGCAATGGCTAATTATGAAAACAGGTGTATGCAGGCACGCAGAATGCGGGCAGGGAGTTCAAGGAAGCTAAGTTCTGGGATGACGCAAACAAATGGCTGTCTGAAAGACGATGATATGGACAACTTTTGACGAAATTCTATGGGGAGACTACTGGTTTACAAGCTCACTATTCGTTTGGCACAAGTTGGGGCTGTATGACAACAGCTCCAATCGTACATGAGCTCGACGAAATCCTTATGCTGGCAATTCTCCAGTGTATTATTATCTAGGACAAAAAAAACAAGAAATTCAGACACGAGGAATTCAATACTACCCAACAGTAATTCAAAGAGCATATCAAAAATAGGTAATATTCAGTATTATTGACCGATATCGCATTGTACAATATAGATAAGTCGTAGATGATCTGCGAAGTGGAGGCACCAAGTGGCCTCTTCGGGATTGTTTTGTCATCGTCTCCCCGAGCTTTAACTCCGTCATCCTTCCAATTCCTTTGTTACCTCCCCCAAAATTCTCATAAAACCCTAAACCTCTATACAACATGGCACGCCTGAGCTTCCTGCTCGTCGGTGCCCTCACAGCCCTCAGCGGCTTCGCCAGCGCAAGCTCCGCAGTTAAAGACCTGATCCCCACAAACTTCGACGATGTCGTCCTGAAGTCCGGCAAGCCTGCGCTAGTCGAATTCTTCGCCCCCTGGTGCGGCCACTGCAAGACCCTCGCCCCCGTTTACGAGGAGCTTGCTCAGACCTTCGCCTTTGCCGAAGACAAGGTTACCATCGCCAAGGTCGATGCCGATGAGAACCGCTCTCTGGGCAAGCGCTTCGGCGTCCAAGGTTTCCCCACAGTGAAGTGGTTCGATGGAAAGAGTGACAAGCCCGAGGAGTACAAGGGCGGTCGTGACATTGAGAGCCTCTCCGCCTTCATCACAGAGAAGACTGGCATCAAGCCTCGTTCCGCGCAGAAGGAGGCCAGCAACGTTGAGATGTTGAACGATGCTTCTTTCAAGACCACCGTTGGCGGCGACAAGGATGTGCTGGTCGCTTTCACTGCCCCCTGGTGTGGACGTAAGTACTACCCCAATTGACCGGTCTGAGCCCGCTGGTTCGTTTGCTAACTGTCGTGATTCTTCAGACTGCAAGAGCCTCGCCCCTACCTGGGAGACCCTGGCCAATGACTACGCCCTCGAGCCCAAGGTTGTTATTGCCAAGGTTGACGCCGAAGCCGAGAACTCCCGTGCCTTGACCAAAGAGCAGGGCGTCACCGGATACCCCACCATCAAGTTCTTCCCCAAGGGCTCCACCGAGGGTGAGACTTACTCCGGTGCTCGCGCCGAGGAGTCATTTATCAAATTCATCAACCAGAAGGCCGGCACTCACCGCGCACCTGGTGGTGGTCTCGACAGCGTTGCCGGCACCATCGCCGTTCTGGACAAGATTGTCACCGAGCATGTCGCGGCGCAGAAGTTCGACAAGCTCGTCGTTGAGGTTAAGAAGGCTGCTGAGGGTCTCGAGGACAAGTACGCTGAGTACTATGTCAAGGCTGCTGAGAAGCTGAGCAAGAACGAGGGCTACGCTGCCAAGGAGATCGTCCGTCTTCAGAAGATCCTGGCTAAGGGTGGCTCTGCTCCTGAGAAGCTGGATGACATTCTCTCCCGTAGCAACATTCTCAGCCGCTTTGTTGGCACCGCGAAGCACGATGAGCTTTAAATGCTCATCCCTGTTCTTTCGGGGAATTTTGTGTGTATGTTGTCTGACTTTGTCGCTTGAAGCTTTGGTCTTTGGCTATACTCAATGACTGGTATCACTGCAAAGCACAGACTTGACGTGAATGTATCGAATTTGTCTACGAAAATATTGGCTTGATGCTGTACACTCTACGAATTGATAAATCGAATTGATAAATCGAATACAAGGCTTTTGCCTTTGCGGCAATTACTAGGTATATGATAGATGAAAGTGATCCATGCGAATTGATAGAATGATATGGTTCCGCTGTACGATTAACCACGTTGGATTGGGTATCTATGAAGTCATAAGGCATAAGCGTGAAGAAGCAGACGAGGACAAAGGCTCATGTGGCGAGCGATTCAATGCATGCACGGAAGCAGCACGCTGTCGGTGCGTGGTAGTAAATCGATATACGGCCATGGCAGGGTAGCCTAGGAATGCAGTTCTCACCACTCTCCTGCCAGAACGCCATGCGGAACAGAATGCTCGGACAAGTAGAGCCAAATTTGGAATATAGACAAATGAGTTGCGATTTTATTTTGACGGAGTTGGCGGTGCAGCGCTTGATGATGCGATTAAGGAGGCCTCTAGGTCATCGAGACGCTTGGTCATGTCGTCCACTATACAGTTAAAACCAGTCAGTCTGACATGTTTGAGCATCTAGATTGGCGGGTGCTGAGGGATGACGTACGCTTGCTGAACATCTCAGTGGAGACATTATCGAACTTGCTTTGAAGTTCGTTGAGCAAGTCGTCTACGGCAGCATGAAGTTGGCCTTGAGCATCGGAGTTCTGAGTGACAGGTATAGTTAGCAAGTGATGAGATCGGAGGTTCTATCCAATTAAATTTACCGTTTGAGAAAGTGGAGAGTCCGTTTCGGTTTTGGGGGAAAGCTTCGCCGGGGAGGGGGATTTAGGATCTTCGGCCATTGTGAGACTATTAACTAGCTGTACAAACAAACTCAAAGCAAGTAGAGATGAGGCGGTTGACAGGGCGATACAAGTCGAGCTCGATAAGCAATCGGATCATCACTATTTCCGATATATTGCTACTTACGGACTAGTGTGCTCTTATCGGTGGGGCTAACCGAATTAGGACTGGCGCCATTTCAAAAAAATCCCGTGGATTCTCTGATGCGGGTTTGATACCGAGTCGCTTTTTCTTCTTTCAATTCCTTTTTGCAATCACAAAAATAAAATCTTATTTTTGTTCTTACACAAAAAGCAAAAATGGTCAAGCGAAGCAAGCTCCTCCAGGCGCTCGACGCCCACAAGGGTCGGGACTTTGACGCTGAGAAGCAGAAGAAAATGATCAAGGCTGCGGAGAAGAAGAAGGCCAGCAAGAAGACTGCTTCTACCCCCGAGGACAAGCCTGTTGTGGAGGAGAAGAAGGAGGAGGAAGAGGCCGCCAGCTCTGACGCCGAGGAGGAAGAAGAAGAGGAAGAAGAAGATGTCGACGAGGACGAGGAAATGGAGGACGAAGAGGAGGAAGAAGACATTCCTCTCTCCGACCTCGAGGAAGACGAGCGCGAGGATGTCGTTCCCCACCAACGTTTGACAATCAACAACTCCTCCGCGATCAGCGCCGCCCTCAAGCGCATCTCTTTCATTGGCCCCCAGACCCCATTCTCAGAGCACAACTCGCTAGTCTCGAAAGAGCCGATCGAGATCGAAGACCCTAATGACGACCTGAACCGCGAACTGGCTTTCTACAAGGTCTGCCAGGCTGCTGCTACCGATGCCCGTGGCCTACTGAAGAAGGAGGGCATTCCCTTCACCCGTCCGGGTGATTACTTCGCCGAGATGGTGAAGAACGACGAGCACATGGGCTTGATCAAGAAGAAGCTGTACGAGGAGGCTGCTGGCAAGAAGGCTGCTGCTGAGGCACGCCGCCAGCGTGATCTTAAGAAGTTCGGCAAGCAGGTGCAAAACGCCAAGCTGCAACAGCGACACAAGGAGAAGCGCGAGATGTTGGAGAAGATCAACACCTTGAAGAAGAGTACGTTTCGACTTTTACAACCCCCATTTAATCAAATTTATAGTTACTAACATCATGTTTACAGAGCGCAAGGCTGACACCTCTGCTCCTACCGACGATGCCAATGATATGTTCGATATTGCCGTTGACGAAGCCAGCCAGCCCGAGAAGCGTGGCCGTGACGGTGGTGGCAAGCGCCAGAAGAAGGACGCCAAGTTCGGATTCGGCGGCAAGAAGCGCCATGCTAAGAGCGGTGATGCTGCGTCCAGTGGTGATCTGAGCAACTTCTCTGCTAAGAAGATGAAGGGTGGCTCAAAGCGCCCTGGCAAGAGCAAGAGAACCGCTGCGAAGGGACGCAACTAAACTCTCCAGGTGAAGGGTTAATGTCGTTTGAATTGCATTTGTACCGTGCATCATGTAATTATTTTTCTCGCTTGGGTCTGGATAACCAAAAATGGCAGTTTCTGATTTCTTATATATCTTGCTTGTGAATGTAGGGACTTAAGCTGAACAGCTGTCTGTCCTCTTTCTTCCGATGTCCTAGACGCACTTATAATTGAGTATTATCATCTCGTAGATACCTAGGGAAACAAAGATCAAGCTGATACCATATCTAATTTATTGGTGTGTTTTATATTACAGATACTTATACAACCTTGGAATGATATATCATTTTAGAGGCTCTGTCGCCTATTGAGCACCTTCAGCTTCAGCCTCAGCCTTGGCAAGCCTCTTGTCCTCCCACTCCTGCAAGAACTTCTCCACCTTGGGTCCCCAGACTTCTTCGCCTGCTTCAAGGTCCTTATACTCTAAAATCTTTTCGGGGGAGAGCACGAAATCACCCTGACGACTGCGCACCAGCTCGCTCATCAGACCGCAGCTACCAACGGCTTTACCCAAGTCGTGGGCCAGCGAGCGAACATAGAAGCCCGATGTGACGGTCATCTTGATCTTCACAGCTGGAGGCTGGTACTTAGGCTGCTCGGGCTCAGCAGGAGTTTCCGTCGCTGCAGGCTCTGCTGCAGCCTCGGGGGCACTGGATTCTGGTGCTGTGGGGGCTGCCTCAGTCTCTGATAGTTTCTGCTTCTTGGCAGCTTCCGCACTCTCATCCTTCACTTCGTCGGCCGGAGGCGGCGACTTCCGCTTGGTGGACGATGAAGCCTCGGGATCTTCCTTTGCAGCTTCACCACCTTCGGCTGGGGTCGAAGCTCCCTGATCAAGAAGCTTTTCCGCAACGGCCTTCTCATCACCAGTCATTTCCTCCTTGGGCAATTGGAAGCTATGCGTTCCGGACTCATACCACTCCACAATCTCCATGTTCAAAACCTCCACAGGTCGGTGCTTAATCTCAACAGGTGGCATCTTGCCCTCACGCGCATACTCGTACAGCTTCTTTCCATTCACGCGCAGCGCAGAGAAAATCGGCGGCTGCTGCATGATTTTTCCACGGAACTGACCTAGTGCCTTCTCCACCGCTTCGCGTGTAATATGTTCATAGGGCGCGCGGCGCACGACTTTTCCAAGGCAGTCGAAGGTATCGGTCTCAGCGCCAAAAGTGACGACAGTCTCGTAACTTTTTGTGCAAGCAAGGAAATCCTGGAGCGACTTTGTACCCTTGCCAATGCCGGTGATGAGCACGCCCGTCGCGAGCGGGTCCAAGGTTCCGCCGTGGCCGATCTTGACTTCTAGGCGTTGGTGGCGGCGACGTTTGCGCTGGAATCCACTCTCTCGGTTGCGGCGCTCGCGCTCTTCTTCCAACCATGGCTTGAAGGTCTTGGAGGGGTTGAAGTGTTTCTGCAGGGTGCGGATTACGTCCGCGGAGGTGACGCCTTGCGGCTTGTGGACGGCTATCGAATAGGTCAGATCAAGTTGGCTTTGGGTTTGGATGAAAATTACCGAAAACGCCTTCACGGATCTTCTCGCCTGACATTGTTTGGCGAAAAAGTCGAAAGCCTGGAGGAAATGGCATCTGGAGAGGTGAGCGTTTATCTGAGATGGAAAAAAGATCTTTGGTCGAGATCGTTCCGCCTTGGCAGAGCACTATACAACTACTCCGTACGGCCTACATCTAATTTTTTGAACACTAAGTTTTAGAGAATTGGAATTATAGATTAAACAAGATGGATGTTTCTTACTTTCTTTTAAGGGATTTTCCGTAAGACCGAAAGTTGAGAACCCTTTTTTCATGACTATCTCTAGAACCCCAAGGTTCATTGCCTAGGTGTATATCAAAACCAATGGCAGCGTTGCTTCTAAGCTTGAAACTGTTCCTCTGACATAGTTCCCACAGTATCAGAGTTCTATATTTGTTACCTCAAAATCCTTGTTCTAGAAGAGATCTCAATGGATAGTAAGTAATATACATAAAGTGCCGGAAATAAATATGATTGGTTACTTTTATGTTTCAATATTGTTCTATGAATTCAAAATGATACTGATTACATATGTATATTAAGGGCCCAGACCGAGCGTTATGCTGAAGGTGAATCTCTCTAAATGCCATTCTAAACATCATGTTAGACGTCTTTCTTTCTCTCTCTCAATTATAGTGAACATATAAGAACTATATAGATGGATCAGTATATAAGTATATAACCTTCTTACATAAGTATACAGCACGTGATGGCCAGGCACGAGGGTGTAATTGATCGTAACTTACATATGTATGTATCTGTAATTTACCGTTCGAAGACGACTGTCAACAACTTCGAGAGTTGTTCACACGTTAGAAAGTCCCTTCTTCTTCTATCATCCTATCATTTACTTCACTTTTAACTTATTTCCGTATCTTCTATCTTTCCTGCGACACCCAAAATGCTAATTCCACCATGACATCTCGCGAAGAAACCGTCCTTGCTCCCACTGATCCCTCCATCACTGATGAAAACGATTGGTGGGAGTTCGGCCTGACTGAGGTCAAAGTTCTGAAACCGGGGAAGATGCTTTATGCAAACTTACTTGAAGCCACAGAACAAAACCCAGTCCAGGTGATCGGTTGCTTAGAGAAGCTTCCTGAGACACATGAGCATTTAGGTTCGTATCAGTTAAGTTACAGGTCGTTATCAACCAGATTGTTAACCCGTCACTCTGTAGTGCTCAACCCCGACAATCCTCCGAAACGCATTATCATCGACGAAGTTACACACTATGCCTACGGTCAAACAGAGGATAAAAGTATCGAGCTTTGGGTTGCCGGTAAGGCGGGATGGTACAATATCATTTCACCGGCCAAGGGATTCCAACCCACATACAACCGCATGGTCCAGGCAATCGACATACTATATTTCTTGGTCGACAGACACAAGCAAGGCAAAAGGCAAATCAATCCCTCTTTCCGGAGCCTCTGTGAACAGTACACATATCATTCTTATGGCTCATGCGAAACTCGAGAAGAGTCAGCTGAAGTATTTGCGACACATGCTGCCTTCTTATTGCGCTGTATGATCCAAGGTGATGCAGGTGTAGAGTGGCAGAGTACGAATGTATTCATTCACCTACGACGCCAATTCAACGATGATTACAACCGACTTATGGAGGAGCTTTCACCCTCATCCGAAGAAGACGAAGCTAAGGATGAACCCGAAGTCTCAACCCCCCGGCATGAGCCGGTTGCTATCTCTAAATCACAAGCCGGTGCAATCTACCGGCTGCTCAAGGACCTCAAAGAAGAAGGCCACTTGGCAAAGCGTCGGTTGCATCTCGATCTCCTCACAGAACGCTTGTCGGAGCGCTTTTCTTTCAGCAATGATGACGCTCAAAAAATAATTGCTGCCAGAGCGACTGCCGTGATTGAAATGATGGACGAAGAAGATGCGCCTGGCTTCAGGTGGTCTCGCTACGTCATTCATCGCGAACTCACCAATGCAGCCTCAAAATCTGCACCTTTACCGCGTGCACTCCTCACCCCTCTAAATTCCGGTGAGGAATCCAGCGACGATGAACGTTTCGGTCGGACCCAGAAGTCTGTACTACGTCCGAGGGTCACCACGGTCTCTAACAAAGTCACCGGGAAACGAAATCGCAATACCTTCACAATCCAACAGACGGATGAGCCCGACGACGAAGAGGAAGAGCAGGATGACACTGATGAAATGGAAGACATTGAAACACCTAGCAAGACCCGAGGTCACGAGTTGATCAGGGATCCATTCTCAGCCTCTAGACCTCGAACTCGGTCCTTCCTATCAGCTTCATCGAGTGGCGCCGGCTCCTCTCTAATGAAAATCCTGTTCAAAGACAAGCTTCAGACTCCTTCTGTATCTTCTTCAACCACACAGCCGAGTTTACCGTCTCCGGGGCGAGAACCGACTCCAGCTACATATACCTCGCAGGATGTCGAAGAGCCCATGGAAAAGCCATCTGCTATATGGGCCTGCGGCATGCCCGGGTGTGACAAGGTCTTTTCAATGCCCGATGGAGACGAGCGCAAGCAACTCATTGGCAATCACGCCGGCGAGCACGACTGGGACATGCAGATGAAAATCGAGCTCATGGAGGCAGAGAAACGCATGCATTCATCCCTGCCCGTTAGCAATCTTATGCAATACGTCGTTGAGCAGCATGTACAGCTGATGCGCATCGCATTTCCGGAGTTTTATACCGCGAGCAGGGAAGATGAAAATAGAAATGGCTCCGCTCCAGGCCAGGAAGGCTGGGAGGCTGAGCCATTCATTCCGGAGACAGAGCAGCCAAATCTCCGGGGTGACGACGAAGAGGACGAGGACGAGGACGAAGAAGATGAGGAGCTTGAAGACCTTGCGAATGGCCACACTTGATCTGAATGAACGACCTTGACATGTGCACGTCAAAACAATCAAACTCACGACTGACATAGCAGCTTCGAATCGCTGGATTCTGATGATTACGAAATGAACTCTGGGTGGCTTGCTTTAACACTTTTCATTCTCAATGGACATAAAGGCGTTGATGTAAAGGATATGGTGGGGAGGCTGGCGTTCTACAAGACGATTTGCTAGGCTTGGGCCGCTCTGGTGCAAATGATGCTGATTTGGCATCTTTCTTTGCACAGGGGTCGGGCCGTAAGTTATTGCTGGTGATTTTTTTTAAGAGGCACCTGTTTTCTGCTTCGATACCCCTGCAAGATACATCGAAATACAAATCATTCGGCTTTCTAAATTCTAGCATGCTGAAACATCCCTGTCTCACTTTATTCGTTTTATGTTCCAAGGTTTTGATCTTGTTTGTGTGGGAACATCCGTAATATAACCATGATGATTCATGTGCTAGACAATGTCTTGATATCAAGATATTCGTGCCAATGCCTCCAGGGCTGCTGAGTGTTATTGAATTATGCCAGCCTTTGAAATAGGTGAAGTGCCACTATACAGCATAGTCATGTTTACAGCAGTAGATATATATCCGGTCCACTTTTGCCTGTAGCCATAAAACTTACTGCCTTCGACATGCCACCTAGATTTTGTCGAATTGAACAAGACGGAACCATATATTTTACTTATCTGGCCTCACGAATTTTGTTAAAAAATACTTTCAGAAAATTATACGAGTAAAGGTGATGAGAGGGAAATGGCAAAAAAACAAAAAGCAAAAAAGAAATGACAAGAGTGGGATTCGAACCCACGCCTACAACGTAGATCAGGAAACTGGAAACAGTTATTGAGTTAAGGTGGACCTTAACCTGACGCCTTAGACCAACTCGGCCATCTTGCCAATTGATGGAAGAAGGGAGCAGGAGTATGCAATATAATCGTGAAGAGTGTCACAGAAAATAAAATAATAAGTAATACGACAAATATGCACGCGAAGACCAAGCGAAATGTGATTTAGAGTCGAAAGCCGAAATAAGGAGGAACATCAAATATATAGTGATCAAAAGTAGATTGGTATTGAGAAAGAGAAGAAGAGAAGCGAAGATAATTTTTTCAGGGGTATACCAAGAACATGCCACATATATCGCACACATACGCAGGGAGAATAGAGATAGAGATAGAGATAGAGGTACAGGAGAAGATAGTTCAGGAGTTAAAGAGATAGGAAATGTGTGTTAATGCCGAAGAAGGGTGGAGGGAGGTGGATCCATCCAGGTAGGAGACAAGGAAAGGAAAGCTATGCAATTGTGCAGTGGGAAAAAAAGAGAAGTAAAGAAGAGAAAGCGGGCGAAGATGACCCAAAAGGGAGTGAAAAGTGGAAGTAAATTGTCGGCGTGAGAATTCCTGCTCGTTTACCAATGGTGTTTATTGCTGGTGGGCGCTGTGGGCTTCGACAAGAGCTGTGGATGGTTAGTCTTTTCTTCTCCGAGAACTGAACATGCGAAGGACTTACTCTGCAAAGCGGACGCTTGTCCCTGTCGAGATTCACAAGCACACTGGAGCGTGTTGCCGTCCAAAAAATCAAGCAAGATGCTATTTGGCAGTTCCTGCATATCTTCATCGGGCAGACAAGGCGTGCGGAACTCGGTGAGATGGTAGCGCTTGGTCATGTTACGGGCGGTGGCATCGTTGGTGCCAGGCGTGAGAACCACATAGCCGTTTTCATCGATGCGCATGACTCGGCGCTTCCACAAAAGCGTTTCGGGGAACTGAACGTTCACTTCTCCGATGTCAATTGGCTCCGAAGTACGCGAGCCAGTCGATCCTGGTGCCTCTGTGGAACTGGAACCGTTCGCGAATGTAGGAGCATACCCTTCCTCCTTGACGGGGGAGCTGAGCGCGCCGATTATGCTGCGGCGAGATGTAGATGTAATTGATGAGACGCGGCGCATGAGACGAGAGGCGCGCGATGCTTTCTTGTCCTCTGATGTGGGGGAGGCAGAAAGGGTGGTTTCGTCTGTTCGAGAGCGCGAAGAGAAGGAGAGGCGGCTTGCAGTGCGAGACGAAGACGGGCGGCCGGATCCATTGGATGACATTGACATGCTTCGGTCCTGAGCCCGGTTGACAGCATCGATGCTAGAGACTTGGGACAGGGGCTTTTCGGGTGTCTCATGCTCTACGGTCAGTGGACTGGCCTGGAGGTTGAGGACGTCAGACTCCGAGGGCTCGATTCCAGAAGACCCAGGGGAGACGTCTGCATCACGGACAATATGAGCCGTCACGGAGACCGAATTGGCGCGGCGCAAGGCATCCACAGAAATGCGACGATCGTGACGGTTCAAGCTCGGGGCCCGATTGAAGTCTTCGCGACCTTGGGCGGAATGCATGGTTCCCGGGGGAGTAGTCTCCTGATTGCCGCCAGGCAAGGATATAGATGCTCGCTTGCGAAGATTCTCGAAAGACGAGGAGGCCGACGGCGCTCTTGCGGCCGGACTGGCGCCCAAAGGAGTGCCCTCGCGGCTTGAGAACTTCTCAAGAGCTTTGATACGGCTGGAAATGCCAGAGGAGACGTTGATTTTCTTGGCCATGAGGACGGGCGTAGGGGGGCCAGTTTCAGAGTAGGAGCTAGAAATCGACCGACCCACTGCAAGCGCTTGCATGGCCGACGAGGAACCCGTCGAGTAGGGGCTCGAGACCGCACGGGAATTTCTCCAAGCATGGTCGCCGCCGTTGGGAGATTTGACGGACACCGGCCTGGCCTCCTGCACAGTAGCCGAAGTCAACTCCTCCATGAAAGAATCGTCCGAAAGGAGATTGTCGTCGTCCGAATATTCTGGAGCAAGCACTTGGATAGGCTCTAGGTGGACCTTTCGCCTCTGGTCCAAGGTTAAAGGTTCGGCTTTCACGGCTGGTGAGTGATAGGTTACGGATTCGTCTGCCGGGCTTGGGTGGACCGAGACAGAAACAGGGGCGACTTGGGGTTCGGTGTCTGTGGTTTCTGGAGGGGTGACGGAGGGAGTGGCAGGAGTGGCGGGAAGGGGAATCAATTCGGGGGCTTCTGCTGTAACAAATTCATCCAAAGGACCCTCGATAGGAAGATCTGTGTTGGGTTCAATTTCGAGATGTGTTCCGGGAACGTCCTCTGAATCAGGTTGCGGGGCGTCCGAGGATTCATTTTGAGGTGGGACTTCATGATTCAAGGTAGGTGGGGCGAGACCAGAAATTGCGGGTTCCTCATGCCCAGTGCGCGTTTCATCTTCAGGGGTTGTCTGCGGTTTTTCCACCTGGGTAGTCTCCTCGAGTTCAGCAACACGTTCGGTCGAGAAGGCACTATCGTTAACAGGCTCTGAGATGGGAGAGGATGATTGCACATCCGAGCTGGCAGTTGGCTCCGCCTGAGATGTCTCGAGAGGTTGAGAAACCTCCTCTTGATCGGTGATGATCGCAGAATCAGGTGTTGGATCAAAGACGGGTTCAGGGACAGGTTCAGGGACAGGTTCAGGGGTACGATCTGTAGCTGACTCAAGTACAGGCTCTGTGACGAGACCTGAAGGGGTTGAAGGGAGTGAATGTTGATCTTGAAGTATTGTCTCCTGCTCAGTCTCATGTTGATCTAGTTCGGGTTCATCGTATTGAATAATGATATTCTCCTTGTTCTCGTCTTGGTCCCTGGCAACATCCTTTTGGGGTTTAAGCTCCTCTTTCTCAGTGACTTGCTTCTTCTTTGATTCCTCTGCACGTTTTGCCATATTCTTCTTTCGTTGTTGCAAGGCTTTCATCAAACGTTCTTTCTCAGGAGTCAAACCGGAAGAAGTTGAGAGCGCCCCAAGAGATTTGGCTCCAGGGGAAAGCTGAGGCCTCGAAATAGGAAAAGACGGTGGTGGAACCAGGAGGGGTGGGACCGGCGGAACACGACTAGTGGGTTTAGTTGCAAAGGTGCTCCCCTGAGATCGGGGTCGGGGGGCATCAGCATTTGTCTTCCGAACAGAAGAAGAGCGCATATTCGTTGGCAGGGATGCAACAGGTCGCTGGTCCGGATTCCGGGTACTCCCTGACGTGCGGGGCCTTCCGTTGCTATCTACGGACGGTCGGGGCCCTAGCTTGACCTTTGGAGTGAACCCAGCGGCCCGCTCCAATTCTTGAAGTGACGGGCGAGCGGATTGAGTTGACATTCGGGCCTCCTCTGAAGGACGGGGGAATTCATCCAAGATGTTTCGGTATCTGGAGCTTGAGAGACCTGAGTCAACCGACTTAGGGGACTTTGTTGCCGATTGTGGCTCGTTTGGACTTCCTATAGAGGTTCCGGCCTTGGAGCTCGCTCGCGACGGAGGGGGTTTGAAGTCGGTCGGCGCTTTTTCACTTTCAGGTGATGTGGGTAATTCGATGGGAGGTTCAGCAGGCTGTTCAGTGGGTGGCGGGACTACAGTAAGTTCTGATTTGATGCTCCCTGATCTTTGCCGGGCTTCTGATTGAGGAGATGAAACCGGTTTCACGGCCTCATCCTTATTTTCCTCTGCATCTTCTGTGATTTCCATCAGGCGGCGCCGGCGGAGGGAGCTTGAAGAGGAGGTAACTGAGGTCGAGGCGGTATGAAGGAGACATGCGGACGACAAAGCACTTTCCGTGAGGTCGGAGGCTTTGGACAAAGGAAGGACGGTGTCGTTTGGGGTGAACTTGTCGGTGACGGACTGGAATTGAACGTTGCTTCGTGCTGGGACAGGTTAGACCGACCAATGGCGTGGATTGTGGTGGAAAATATCTCTTGTAGTGGCATACCTTGTATGAGACGAGATAGCCCCTCGGGCATGTATCGGATGATCACTTTCCTACGGCGATATTGTAGGAAGCCGTAGAGCGGCGAGCATTCCTCATATGCGTCGATGGCATTTCGGATCTCGGGCACCCCGCCAGTGCCGCGTTCGAATAGCGCGACTTCATCTCTTGCAGTATAGCGCAATAGAAACCTGAAACAGAGCGAGAACAGGAGTTAGTGATCTTGAATTTTCCTATTTGTTACACCGCGGGTTGAAACACTGGGCGCAAAAGGGGCCGAGCAAACTTACCACCCACCCGCGTCAGCCAGGGCACTCTGGTAGGCTTCGACGACGGGGGCAGTATCGAGCCCATTTAAAGACATGACGTGAGCCGCATGGAGGACGGCTGTAAGAGGCGCAAAGCCGAAGGGAATGGTGGAAAGAGAGAAAGGAGGGAGAAGAGGTCTGGCCAAGTGGAGAGCGGTTAGACCACACTAAACTTTTTGATCGGATCTCAAGATCTCACGACCCAAATGCAGATTGGGAAGAATTTCATGCAGTTCAGTTTGTTTCATTACTGCTGATACTGTCTGATAGGGTACGAACCTGATCCGTTCAGGGGGTTTCCATTCATTTCTCGGAAACGATCCACCTTTGGGTTTATCCCAATTTAACTTGTCATTTCTGAAACGCGGAGCTTCGGGATTAGTGCTTTTTAAAGGGAAGGGTGTTAGTAGTTTATATGTGGATTGTGACAATGTACAGAAGTACGTTCTATGGTAGTACAATGGTCGTACATTGTCCACATGGAATGCAATGATCTCATTGGAATTGTTTTGATCTTGGGTTAACTATGGAGTATTCCGTGGTGAACTTGGGATTGTGATTCGATGTAACCTATTTCTCATAGGTAGATAGGGTATTGAGTGACATTGGACTCGATTGAAATAGTACACAACATCCATATAGGGATACATATACAAAGAACTTGAAAGTCGATAGAATAGAGAATATATAGTATCATGGATGTATATATAGAGTGTCCAGTTCTTATCGTACAAAATATTCCCGCTGTTCTCCGCCCCCGCCAACTACATCGGAGCCCCCCGAAGGTGTGGTGGAAAACTACTTAATTGCAATACATTCCCTTCGTTTTGTGTTTGGTGATATTGAAACTATCTCACAATCCATAAAATGGCCGACCTTCCCCCCATATCGACGATCCCTACCCTACCCCAGGAAGGTCAACTCCGGGTGCTAGATACACTCTTTGAACCATCACCAGAACTCCACCAATTGATGATCCCTGTGCTAGCCAACCAAACTTTCTCTTCATACACGGCCCTCATTGATGCGGTAGGGGGTCGCATGTCTGCACTGTCAGCCCGGAATTCCTCAACTGACCGAAACGTGCTGTTTGGCATTCTCGGCTCGCATCCGCGGCTGGGCCGGGCCCCAGCCAACCCGGAGCATTTGAGTGAGCTCAGCAAGAAGGAACAAGCCCAATTGAACGAGGGCGCAGAGGAGCAAGCGGAAAAGTTACGCGCATTGAACGCAGAATACGAGGAGAAGTTCCCCGGGTTGCGATTTGTGTAGGTTGTGTGCTAGTGACTACTAGGTGGTATCCACGGATGAATGCTGACCTTTTATAGCACATTTGTTAATGGCCGGAGCCGGGACTTGATCATGATTGAAATGCGCGAACGGATAGAAAGAGCTAATGCAGAGCGTGAGATTGAAGAGACTATCCAGGTAATGTTTTTGATTAGTTCTCGTTCTCTCTTTATACTGACTCTAACAGGGTATGTGTGACATTGCCAAGGACCGGGCGAGAAAGCTCCAGTCGCGTATTTAATCAAAACATATAGAATAAAATGAAATGACAAGTAAATTTAAAACAACGACCTGTATAAAGTGACTTATAATATAGTATAGTTCGAGCACATAAGCTCACCAAGCCTTGAAACAGAAGGGTCTACTCCACCATTTTGATGTCATCTGCCCACTATCCGGTCTTTGCCGCTTATCGCCTTTCGCTTAAGCCGTTTTCTTCTTGGTTTTTAGTACTTCGCTCTCTTGTATCTTATGTGTCTTGTATAGTATATAGTACTGTCTCTCCATTTATATTATATACCCCTCATGCGACTGGATGCGACATGGCGGAGGGAAGCGACAATCTCCAAATCCGAGTCGCGACGACCGCGATAACCGACAAATCATCCCCTCTCCGAGCTTCGACATTTCCCGGTGAGTTGGAATTTGAATCATGAAATTTTGAATCCGGCCGGGTCTAGGAATTTCTCTCTGTTCTACCTGGCATTGGATTGTGCCCGCCTATCACAAGCAGCGCATCAAATTACCCAAAGCAACAGCACACCAATGATCTAGAACCATACTGACCAAGCTGTCAGGCTCAGCTACATCGGATGTCGCATCGGGATCTAGTAATAGTCTGCAAGATGCCCAGCGAAATACCCGGCGCCCACCGGCCGTTGGTGGCCCTCTCCGAGATTCAACCTCGAATACCGTCCACGAGACCAAAACCGAATCAAGTGCTATAGACCCATTATCACAGGTGAGCTTTTCAGCCGCACCGCACCCGCAGGATTGGACTATTGGATTGGTCGATATATGCATGGTCATGTGCTGGCTGTACTCTAATTGCTGGAATGCGGTTACGAACATGCAAGAGTTGAGCTGACGAGGACCGTGCACTATCGTCACTGTAGCACATTATCCAACGCACCAATACCCAAAAGTCCATTCCCTTGAAATTACTGGGCAAGGCCTCATACGAAGAAGAGGCCGTGGGCTCCGAATACGGCCAGTCAGAACAGAGTCCTGCACGAGGAGATTCATCGCCTACTTCAAAGGCCCCCAAGGAGAAGAAGTGAGTTTTTAGACCTGCGAACCTGTCTTGGAAACCATCAGTCACGTCGACAGTTTATGCTGCCATACATTTGCGTGCAAGACCTTGACTTGCAACTCCCCGCGCATAGTCCACTTCAAAATTACCCCAGGATTCTCTCGGCAACCATATATTACAGCGACTGACCTTTGCTCCGTTTATCTCGGATATAGAAAAGGTGTATCTTTCCTCAGTCGGATTATCAAAACCAAGAAAAAGGACCAGTTGTCTGAAGTAGAAGATGAGACTTCGGAGCCTGAGGCGAGCCGCATGTCCATCGAAACTTCACATCCAATTGGATTTATTCCTCGGCACCTTGCTCCATCCAAATACCTGAAGGTTCGAGCCCACCATAAGAAGGAAAAGACATTCAACCGCGTGTTTCTCGCACAGGAGCTGGAGGGCGCCGGTCCACAACCCAAAGTTGCAGATAGACGGATATCCACCTCGTCCGCCTTGACTCAGAATGGCGAACATACTGGACGAGCGGTCTGGGCTCTGGTATTTTCCAAAGATGGCAGATATCTGGCGGCTGCTGGTCAAGACCGAAAAGTCCGAGTGTGGACTGTCATATCTACACCGGAGGAACGCGAGGAGGCTGATGGAGATAACGAAGCAACACCTGTAGATGCCAACGATCATCCTCGGTTGAGTGCTCCTGTTTTCCAGCAAAAGCCCATCCGGGTTTATGAGGGTCACACGGGGAGCATTTTGGACTTGAGTTGGAGTAAAGTGGGTGATGCAACGAGAAATATCATTAGCCCGGGAAAAGCAATGCTGATGAGACCCAGAACAATTTTCTTCTTTCCTCGTCGATGGATAAGACAGTTCGACTTTGGCATATATCTCGTCCGGAATGTCTCTGCTGTTTCCAGCACAGTGATTTTGTAACCTCGATTCAGTTCCACCCGCGCGACGACCGGTTCTTCCTTGCCGGATCTCTCGATACGAAATTGCGTCTGTGGAGTATCCCAGATAAGAGCGTGGCTTTTGTGACAGCTGTGCCTGACATGGTTACTGCGGTGGCATTCACCCCAGATGGCCGATACTCCATTGCCGGGTGTCTCAATGGGATGCTCAACATATACGACACGGAAGGTCTCAAGGTATCCTCTCAAATACATGTACGATCGGCCCGTGGGCGCAATGCCAAGGGTAGTAAAATCACAGGAATCGATACCATGATGGTGCCTCGGGATGATCCTCAAGGAAACATCAAGCTTTTGGTCACTAGCAATGACTCCCGCATTCGGATGTATGACTTCCGTGATCGATCGCTGGAGGCTAAGTTCCGCGGCAACGAGAACACCTGCAGTCAGATTAGGGCAACTTTCACCGACGATGGCAAGCATATCATATGTGGGAGTGAGGATCGCAGGGCATATGTATGGTCAATTGGGTCAGTGGAAGGAGACTCCGATAAGCGTGCCGTGGAGGTATTCGAGACTCAGTCTGCCATGGTGACAGCTGCCATCACGGCACCGACCCAAACCAAACAGGCCCTGGCACTATCCGAAGACCCGATCTTCGACCTCTGCAATCCACCCCCAGTAGCCCTACTGGGCCCGGAGTCAGCAGATTCACAAAAGGAAGCAGCATCGTCCAAAGGGAATGGAAATATACACAAGCGCTCTGCATCAGCGCCTCGCCTATCAATAATCAGCAAAATGGCCCACGAATCACCATCGTACCTCGCCCGGTCCAAACACCCAGACGGCGATATAATAGTCATAGCAGACTACTCTGGCAAGGTCAAAATCCTCCGTCAAGACTGCGCATACCACAGACGGCGTTACGAGAATTGGAACGCGAACTCAAGCATCTCGCGGCGAATCCTACGGCGCACAAACTCCGGCCGCAACAGCCTAGCCTCCTCAACAGGCAAAGAATCCACGCACAAAACGCCCTCGGAGCGCATCATCTCCTGGCGCAACTCCGTTGTCCGCGGCCGCTCCAGCGTAGATGGGTCTCGCTCTGGCCTGCGAACCCGCAGCCCGTCCCCTCAACACCATCACCGCCCCCCTACCTTCCGACTCTCCTCCTCCCGCCCATCAAGTCTAGGCCCGCACGAATCCCTCTCAGCGCTCACCACCTCGCCACCCTCCTCCCCGCGGGTATCCCGCCTAGACACCACCCGACCAAGCGAAGACATCGCCCGCGCATCTGCAACCGCAACTGCAAAACCCACAGGCACCAAAGTCACGTCCCCAAACCGGATCCCCGCGTCCTCGGCCGAGCTCCTGGCCAGCGGTAAGACGAAGGATAATCCGCTCTGGTTGCAGGGTGACCATAGCTATGCGTACTGGAATAAGATCACGCACGACGCTATGGCGATGCGGTCCCGCAACTCGAATGACCTGCTTAGTCCTGATAGCATTCGGACGCGCGAGCGCAAGCTCAGTACTGCGGGTAGTGTCTTGAGTAGTGATTACACTTCTTCGACTGGGGAGCCAGAGGATGATGTGCTGAAGTGCGATAATTGTCGCGGAACGAATTTCCGCAGTGTCAAGGGGCGGGATGGGAAGCAGAAGCTGATTTGTTCTCAGTGTCATCGGCCGGTTTCTTAGGTTTGTGTTTATTGTGATTACGATCTATGATCTATGTTTTATATGTTTATATGTTTTATGTTCTTATGTTTGATGAGTTTCGGCTTATGTGTTCTGCACTCATGGTGTGGTGGTTTGTTGCGGCTTGAGTGGCTGTTGTAAATTGGAGAAAGGATGTGTGTTGTCATTTTGGTCATGATCTTGGATATTATATTGTTTAATGTGTATATTTTATTTGCCTTGAGTTCTGGTAACAGGACTTGTATAATATCAGATACAATAAAAATGTTTGATATCAATCGTCTTGAGATAGAGATAGTACCTAGTATAGTTTCAAGTAATACATTTCGTCTGCCGATTAGGCTTTTCTCTTTTACTATCTAAAGAACTTATTTCTTGAAATATTATAGTTGATGGGTTATATCTATAGTCCTTGAACTGTCTTGAAACTCCCACCATGCATCCACAACATCGCTATATTCCATCTTTTTCAGATGCTGAGCGACCTGGCGGCGCCAGTCCTTTTTAGAGTCATCCTCCCAATAGTCGAAATCCATTCCTGCGGAGACTCGCAATTTCATTTTAATCCATTCAATAGGGACACAGCCAGCAAGCTCCCAGTCGATGATGCCCAGCGAGCCGGTCGACAAATCGACAAGAAGGTTCTTAGGGCTAAGATCGCAATGATAGAAGACAAGTCTAGACATATCATGGACATCTCGGTACAAATTTTAGAGGCTGTTGTGGAGCAAGGGCATCCTCTGTCTTGTAGTTGCCTTTATGCATATAACGCTCGAACAGCTGGTGTCCGTCCACACCACTAATAATGTCGCCCTTCTATGCTGCGAAGTGATTGCATACATCTGCTACCTTACTAATGTAATATTGACGAAGAACCTCATCTATGTTGGGCTAGGCCTCATGAAGAAGTTAACCGGGAATTCTCCAGAAGACGAGACATTATCGCGAGTCTGTCTCAAAATGATAGAGATAATTCAGAAATTCAAATCCCTGCGGCTGTTGGACTTTGAGAAACTAAAGTAGCATGCTCTCTAGTTACATTAGGATAATCTATTACATGATTAAGGCTTCGCCTGCCCTTCAAACTGCCGCCTGGTTATCGACTGCGTGGACTTTGAAGATAGAAGATGAGTCTTTAGTAAGGGCTTGGAATCTGGAAGAGGCTCAGGTGCAGGAGAGAGGGCGAAATGCCCCCCATTGCTGTCGCCCCAGTATACTTGGCCGATTGGTATATTGTCCGGGAGCGACGATGGCGAAAGAGTAAGAAGAAGCGCATCTGAGATTAGCCAGGAGCTTTTTTTGACTTCCCGTATCGAGTCAGTGAGGTACGGCTGATGCAGGTCAATTGATGACATCTCGATTGATCTTGATGTCCAAGGAAAGGAATAAATTCAAAGGTCAAGTGCCGTTCTTCATAGGAGCTGCTATGAGCGGTGTGCAGGGGTCCTGAGGAAAGCATTGAAAGCATAGGAGGATGTAGGTCCAACCGACGGTGAGCGCAGTTTCCACATAATTGAACTGTAAAATAAATGTTGACCTCTTTTCAGATAGAAAAATAGCAAAACAGAAAACAAAGCATAGAATTAAATACAAAAAGAAAGCAAGTCTCAACCTCACTCACATACCGCAGAACAAAGATATAAATGTGAAGTAAAGATTTGCGGAGAGAGGTGCCAAGACATGGAAAAAGACACCAGCACACCGATAACACCTCCACCACCGAGCATTCCTAACCAACACCCCACCAAATAAGCCCCCAGAGCACGAATTCAAGTACAAATACAATTCCTCCCACAAAACCACGAACCCAACCATATTCGCAAGGACGCACAATCCCCCCTCCACAACCCACCCCGAACACCAACGCAGCGAGCCAGGCGCTCGCCACCCCAACCGCTCAAATGCCCTACCTACCAACCTCCCAGGCCTTCCTGGAACAATCCGCTTCACTATTACAAGCGTACCCCGAAGCGGTAAGCAGCACCCCCGAACCCAACGTACCAGAAGCGCACCCAAACCGAAGCAAGCAAGCTAACAGCCACAGACGCGGATAGTAACGAAATACAACTTCCCAACGACAAGACCAGGCAATGCGAAGCGTATCCAAAAGTCGCAAGCGAAGAAGAGCGCTGACGCCACGCCGGCCGCGCCAATCGCAACACTCACCTTGAAGACATTCAACCCGGGCACGGGAATCTGTCTGCAGTACCGCACAAACAAGGCGCAGGAGGTCAGTCGGTTGATTACGAGTTTGGGGAAGTTGGCTGCCGGGGCTGATGCTGCGGGATTGGGGTTATCCGGTGGTGTTCCTGCTGGTGGGGATGTTGAGATGGTGGATGCTCCGGCTCCGGCTGAGGAGGGGGTGGCTGTGAAGCAGCAGCAGCAGCAGGGGCAGAGTGCGAAGGGGAAGAAGAAGGGCGGGAAAGGGAAGCGGTAGAATATTTGCTTTGGGTTAAAAGAATAAAAAAGAATTGATTTGGGTGGTTCCTTATTATTGTTGCTCTCGTGTATACGTACTCAGGTACGTATGAGAGGTTCTTGAATCATGGAACCAATACTGCTGTTAAATTGAGATAGGTATGTAAGAATTTTGGTCGGATGAAACTGAAAAGCATGGTGTTTCAATGAGGGAATAATGTTCACGGCGGCAATTGAGTCAAATAATCATACAACTTTATTATAGCTACAAACAAGCTCCGTACATATCAAATAGAAGTGATTCAACCAGCTTAGATACAAAAAATCCACCGGCCATCCAATATTGACACCAAAAGGGCCTGGACAGACTGAGAAGAGAAAATACAAGTGAAACGCCATTCCCATGCGAGCCTTCGGAAATAGCATCAATCAATGAAACAAAAACAACGTGATATCATGTGAAAGGGGAGAGGGTATAAAACAACGAGAGGGGGAGATTGAAGAGACGAAGTCATCACTTAGAAGTCTTCATCGAAGTTGAGACCGTCGTTGGCGACAACCTCGCCGTTCTCGTTGGTCTCCTTCTTGTTGGTGGAGGCCATGACACCAGCCTTCTGGTAGTCACCGACACGCTTCTCGAAGAAGTTGGTCTTGCCGGCAAGGGAGATAGACTCCATGAAGTCGAAGGGGTTGGTGGAGTTGTAGTACTTCTTGTTGCCAAGGGCGACGAGCAAACGGTCAGCGACGAACTCAATGTACTGGCACATCAGCTTGGAGTTCATGCCGAGCAGACCACAAGGGAGGGCATCGGTCAAGAACTCCTGCTCGATACCGACAGCCTCGATAATGATGTCCTCGACAACCTTGGGCTCGGGGCGGTGGTTGAGGTGAGAGAACAGCAGACAAGCGAAGTCGGTGTGGAGACCCTCGTCACGAGAAATAAGCTCGTTGGAGAAAGTGAGACCGGGCATCAGACCACGCTTCTTCAACCAAAAGATGGAAGCGAAAGAGCCGGAGAAGAAGATACCCTCAACGGCGGCGAAGGCAACCAGGCGCTGGGCGAAGGTGGACTCCTTGTCATTGATCCAGCGGATGGCCCACTCGGCCTTCTTGGCAATGCAAGGGACTAGGTGTCATGTCAGTCAAATGTTCCACGTGAGAATGAGTAGGGACTCTTACTGGTGTCAATAGCATCGAATAGGTAGGTGCGCTGCTTAGGCTCCTTGATGTAGGTGTCAATGAGCAGCGAGTAAGTCTCAGAGTGAATGTTCTCCATCATGATCTGGAAACCGTAGAAGCAACGAGCCTCGGGGATCTGGACCTCTCCGCTGAAACGCTCAACCAGGTTCTCGTTGACGATACCGTCGGAGGCAGCGAAGAAGGCAAGGACGTGAGAGACGAAGTAACGTTCGTCATCATTGAGACGGTTGTGCCAGTCGTGAAGATCCTTGGAGAGATCGATCTCCTCCGCGGTCCAGAAAGAGGCTTCGGCCTTCTTGTACATCTGCCAGATCTATTGGAAGTGGGGGTTAGCGTCGAGGTTCATGGCTAGTCATCTCCACTCCAACCACTTTACGCGTGGGACGCGTCGACGACGTGACTTACCTCGTGGTACTTGATAGGGAACATGACGAAGCGGTGGGGGTTCTCCTGGAGGAGGGGCTCAGTGGCCTCAAGCTCCTTGATGGTAGGGGCAGCCTTGGTGGCAAGAGCCTTCTCAGTGGGCTTCTCGACGGCGTCGACGGACTGGACCTTGGCAGACACGTTTTCCTTGCCGGCCGACCCGAAGTCAAGCTTCTTAGCGGGGGAGTCGCTCATCTTGAGGTTCTCGAGGGAGGAAGCAGCCTAAGGAAGGGGAATTGTTAGCTCAATCGAAGTCCACGACGCGTTCAGCGCGAGAGGCAAAAACCGTGACATCACGTACCTGCTTCGAGGGAGTGACTATGGCGGCCATTGAGAGAAGTATTTGAGGAATATAGGATGATAGGACAATTCTTCAAAGTACAACAAGTAAAAATGAGCAAAACTTTGGGTAGTAAGGGAAATCGAGGTGGGATAATGGAGGGAAAAGAAAGTCGATTAAGTACTCCCAGGCCTGGCGATTTCTTTAGCGCGACTTGCAAAGTCACGTCGCACGTGATACCGCGCTGCTTAGGTAACGGGCGCGTACACACAAAATTTCTCATGCCACTTGGTTCCCAGCAACATCCGAAAGGATACTGTTCTCCATACCAGCCCCCCTTAGGATCCATTTTTGTGCAGATACTTTACAATTGAGTGGTTTGGGTTTTGTTGAGCATTCGGAGATCTTATCTAACCCTGCTGGGAATGATTGTGCTCGAATATTGCTACATCTTATATAGTACTGTAGATTATGATATTGAATCTACTAATATCGTCAATGGCGGAATAGATGCAACAAATATAGGATTAAGCACACCATTCTGTAACATACTTTATGTATGTACGTTGTACAATGTAACGCGTCTCCAATTTTCCGACGTAATTTGTCTCCACATCTTGATCTGATAAGCCAAGAAAGGCCAAAAAACGCGCGACGCGACAAGGAAAACAATCCGGCTTTACGGACTTAATTGGCCCTGCTTTAGCTCTTGATTTAGATTGCTCCTTCCGATTCGTCAATAGACCTTTTATTCCAAGGTTTCTTAGACTTTCTTTGACGGGTTAGTGTCAGCTCAGCTCAGCTCAGCTCCCCACACGCGTTCCTGAAAGGAATATCCCTTCATCCCTGTTGGATTTTAGAAGCGCTTTGAAGCCTGTCAAATACTCCGATTCTGAACCTGTCAAATAAGTCAAGAGGTAGCAACCGCCCTGACATGTGGCAGATCCTGTCAAAGAGGAATGAAGGAGCGTTTACTCCATACAGAAGTTTCGAGGAGTGGACCAGCTGAAAAAGCGCCGATTGTCTTAGCTCGCGTGTTGATAATAGCCAGGGTGATCGACCCAAGCACAGTGCCAAAGCTCCGGGAATCTTACAACTGGGTTTCATGGCGTGGTAAAATATATTACTTGTAATACAATATAAATATGTAGGAAGCAAGGCATGTCCACTCTACCCTTCAATTGCTATAACTCCAAACTTTTGAATGCAATGTGGCAAATCCCTTGCAAGTTTGAGAGCTCCACTCCCAGTTTGAGGTTTTCGATGCGCCGGCAACACCCCACATACTCTGGTGGAGGTAGGGGCGGTGCCTTGCATAGCCACGTGTTAGCGCGTTCTCGCGTTTCGCGATCTCTGTCAGGGAAACCGATCGTGCCAAGACATCCTTATGTGTGACTGATATGTACAAACTCCCCTCTAAAAGAAAACCGGATGGGGTAATCTTTGAAGAACGCCGATTCTATGCCCAATCCAAAGCAATATGCCCAGAACTTCTTACAACAAAAACCCAGCCAAGTCATGCAAATGGCGGTAATGGATCTCGCGAATTGGGATCCCTGATATAATGATCGTGAGATGCTTAGATTCCTTCACGGAAAGAGTCGGGGAGAACCCGATCCTCCACACGGCGCATCAACTTGTTGGTCTGCTCCGCCAGACTGAGAGTCAAAATCTAGAAGCGGGGGGTTAGATCTTATCACAAAGGGGAGGGTTGACTTCGGTACTTACAGTGTGGGGCAGAATGCGGGCCAGGTGGGCAAAGAAGCCCTTGTAAATAGCAAGGGGACCTTCAGTGCGGATGGTCTTAAGCAAGCAGTCAAAAACACCTCCGTACAGGTTACCAGTCTGGTTGTACAGGCGAGCCATGATCGTGTCTAGAGATAAAGTCAGTTACCAACCGGTACAGCCCATACGGTATGCATTGACTTACCAGGAGGGTGCATGAAACAGCACACGACGAAGCCAGAAACAGCACTACTGGTCAGGTGCAGAGCGGGACCCTCCTCCATACCCAGGTGGCGGGTCAAACGGCGCTTGGCAAAGAAGTATGTGGGGAGCTGGACAGCACTGCCGAAACTGGTACGGATCATGGCAGCACCGACACCACGGTATATACCCCTGATACCCTCGCTCTTGTAAATCTTACTTAATCCATCAATCGAGTTTTTGTAGTGGTGCTGAGTGCCAACCGGGAGGAAGGGCGAGTATGACTGGAGGCGGGTCTTCACAAGGAAAAAGGGCGATCCCGCAGCGGCTCCGATAACACCTGAAGCAGCTCCTGCGACGATGTTGGTGCTGAGAGCTTGAACTTTGGGATCGCTGTAGATGGCGGATGTGAGGGTCGAGCGGATGGGCTCGTAGAAGCCCAAACGGCAGCCGTTAAGCAGAATTTGGTACACATACTAGAGTCTTGAGATTAACTTGATGCGCTCGGACTTGAACAAATTAGCAAGATCACTTACAGCGGATCCGATACCCCGGAACAGACCCCGTGGTCCCTCATTTTGCAGGATGACCTTGACACCATGCAGGGGGCCCTTGTACATCTTCACGGCTTCATTCTTGGATTGCAATTCACCTTGCAATTGTAAGCTATATCGCAATCATATCCGTTAGTACAATCGCGCAACGAAAAGGAACCATGCGACACCCACCGGATCTTGACCGTCTCGAAACTGTGAGTGACGGTGACCGCACCGCATGCCGCGATACCGCCGGCAATGAATGCTCTGTTTAAACCGAATGTCAGTGCCAAATTTCGAGCGTATCTTTGGCGCACAGTTGAAACATACCCTCCAGTAGTAGACATGGTGTCAATTGGCAATCCCTTGGTGAATAGAGAACTGATTCAGGTTCGTCGGTTAGCGGAGGATGATCGGACCCGCAAGTGATGACGATACAATATTGTCCAGCCAAGGAAGAGATTCCGGGTATGTGCAATATATCGAGCCTGTATAGTCGAACGAACCACAATCTATATGCCGTAGGATACACACAATGTCTTCACTCCCGATTGTGGAAGAAGTGAAGTCAAGAGCGAGATACATAAAAGCTTACATGCGGCGAATCGAACTCGGCTAACCGCTCATTGGTCAATTTGTGCCTGAACCTCCGGCCTCGGTGCCCCGGAATTTTACTCAGCGGGGCGGTGAAATGCTGTTCACGGCAGAGTTTAGTGGCCATAAGGGCAACATTTAGGATGACAACTTGGACTAAGGTGAAACAAGAAATGATATAGAAGAAAACATATGAGAAGATATTGTTCAGTGGGTCAATGACTGCAGTCACAGAGGAATTCAAGGTGCAATAGTTTGAATACATACAATGTACATCGGCGTAGCGATCACCATATCCGTAGGCGGTGAGTCGCGCAAAAAAGCAGTCGCGCGGAGCTCTGCTCGGAGCTTCAAAGGTCACCTCCATACACCCAAATTCCTTCTGCCTCTCCTCTTGTTTCCTTGTTTACTATGTGTGACATTCAACACATCAACAAAACCTGAACCAATAATCTTAAGCTATCCACAACTCGCAATGACCGAAGGACAATCAACACCTCAACTGGCTCCGGCCGCCCAAGCTCCCCTCAGATCGCAGAAAATCACGGAAATTATTTCGAACTTTCGTCCCGCCAAGGTAGGTTTGGGTAGGCAATTAAACCAATTAGACTCTGTCTGACGATGCTCTGCTCCAGGGATTTAACCCCTGCAAGAAAGAACCGTCGAAATACGTGACCTCTCTAGACTTTGATGACCAAGGCGACTATCTAGTCGGCGCTGGTAGTGACGAAAGCATTCATACCTACGACGTGAAAGAGGGCAAATTTACCAAATCAGTTGCTAGCAAAAAATATGGCGTTCACCTTGCGCGGTTCACCCACCACTCTCGACAAGTCCTCCATGCGAGTACTAAGGTTGACAGTATGTGAAGTGACATGATCTCCTCGCTCCGAGCCTTTGTAACTTACCATCTATAGACAATCTGCGACTCTTGGACCTTCACAATGAGGGCTACATTCGATACTTTACTGGAGTCACCGACCAAGTAACCTGTTTAGCCCTTTCTCCCGCCAGCGACGCCTTTCTTTCATGCAGCAAGGACGATACAGTGACGTTGTGGGATCTGAACTCAAGGAACCCACAGGGAAAGCTCAAAATTGCGACCCCATATCTATCGGCCTTTGATAATTCCGGCGCAGTGATTGCAATCGCCTCTCAATCTACCTCCGTCGTGCTTCTTTACGATTTCCGCAACTTCGACAAGTCGCCCTTTTCCACCTTTGACCTTGCGCCGTGGGAAGAGAGATTCACGCCGTCGACACGGGGACGAGCCTGGACTCGATTGGAGTTCTCTAACGATGGGAAGTCTTTGCTGCTTGGAACAGACTACCACGGCCACTACGTTCTAGATGCCTACGAGGGAACAGTCAAGGCCTTCTTGGCTGGGAAGGGCGGAGCCTCTGGTCGTGCTGCACCAATTTCCACGACCGGTAAACCCCTCGGACAAGGGGATGCATGCTTTTCCCCCGATGGTAGATTCGTTATTGGCGGAAATGGTGAGCAGCCTGGTATGCTTGTATGGGATATCAGCCGTGCGAGTGAGGCAGAACCTACACTGCAGCCCACTCACAGGTTGGACTACGCGAAACGCATCGCCATGGTAGAATGGAACCCTCGGTACAATATGATCGCCAGTGCCGACAAAGAAATCGCCTTTTGGATACCGGAAGATCATGCCAAATCTTCCGAAAAGTAAGCCAAAGCACACCGCCGAAGAACACCATCATGTTTACGATTTGTAAGAGATTGAGAAAAATGAGTTTTTTATATCTCAACACACACAGCAGATGAGCGATTCTCTATGTTTACGCTTTTCTATCTTTGTCTTTCCCCACCAAACTCCGTGCTGTGTCGCAGATCCAAACATCTGGGCCTCTAAGGTCATCGTCGTTATTCCTGTTACTTTCGACTGTGGCCTCGATTTGCTTGTCGATTGTACGATTGCTGGAAATGGTTGTCAACCCGGTGACCCAACCGTACAAAAACACGCTCTTGTTGATATCCGACAAGTCTTTCTCAACTTCATGTACCACGGGGTGTAGATCACCCTTTGTCTTGGCCGCTTCGATGACTTGTTGGGCTTCAACCACTTTCACAGGAATTTGCCACCCTGCAGGAATTTGGTAGTCGGACAACTCCTGGAATTTTTGCAATATGGCCTCACGGTCGAGGTTTTCATACGGCTCCTCTCCTAGCAGCAATCGAGTTCGACTCTTCTCCGTTTCTGTGCCAATTGTTTCGACAATCTCTCGAAAGCGCACCGCGGCTCCCGTGGTGGAAATCAGTTTGCGATCATTCATGGCCGGCCAGAGCTCAGACGCCAGCAGTGGCTTTTCCTTTTCAACTTCAATTTGTCGAATGATGGCGCGGTGAAATAGAGGTGATGGGACAATGTCCTTGATGTGGGACAGGTCAGACACCAAGGCAAGGAGGAGAGTGCAGTCGATATTCAGAGTGGAAGAGAACTTCCTGAACGGTTGAGGGAGGAGATGGGTCAACGAATCACTAGCTTTCGTTGGCAAAGTACCTTGGCAGTCAACTTGAACTCCATAGCTCCTCATTCGATTTAGAATAGCATCAATCTCAGGAACACTTCCTTCTTCAATTCTGGGTATCACAACCCGAGGCCGAGGATGCTTATACCTGACCCGCGTAGCATTCGCCGCCTTCCTTAGATCCTGAGCTAGCTTAATGAGCTCCAACTCATCGTCATCATCCTCGTCATCAGAGTTCTGCAACACAGTCCGTCCCTTGCCATCATCCGACCACTCTTCATCACTATCACAGTCCCATCCCTTCTCTGCCATTTCAAACAGCAGCCGATTCTCCGATATATTCGACACCTTAACCCACTCCTCCCCATCATCCGCAACAATATCCACAAGCACACTCTTGCGCTTATCCTTATTCGGCTGCTTTTCAGGCTGCATGCCCTTCACCTTCTCCCGCAGCGTAGCTTTCGTCTCCCCCCTCCCAATAGAACCTCTTCCCCAGCGCCAGCAAGCCCGAACAAGACCCCTTCGCGATCTTCCAAACAGCCTGGTAGAACGGCAGATTCGACGACCGCAGCGCATGCACCAGTCTCATTTCCACGTCTGGATCATCCTGCGGCCCAGTATTCGCAACAGCCTCTTCAATCTGCTTGCCCAATTTCTGCAGTATTTTCGACTCGGTATGAACGTTTGTGCGGAACTGGCGCACGTCAACGAGTTGCGGGTTGCGGAGCGTGGATGCGAGGAGGGATTGGTAGGCGTCCACTTCGGAGAGGAGATCGCTGCATTCTTGCTGTAGCTGGTTGGAGAGCGTGGTGCTGATGCGCGCGCTTTGGTCTTCCGCTTCTGGAGCTGGTTTTGCTGTCCCGCTGCTTGTGTTATCGGTTTGGTTGTCGTTATCGCTTTCTTTGATGGAGGGGTATGCGGGGACACGGGGGTCGGCGTCTGGCGCCATTGTGCTTTTTCAAGACCTCGGGGTGGATGTTTTATTATTCGGTATTGTTTGTCAGTCACCCATGGGCCTGCGGGACTTGTAATGAGTTGATTTGGTCTAATTGTCGACTGTCAGCGCTGTTTGTTTTGCTGCAGCGTGGGGCACGCGGGCAAGTGCAGAGTATGTAATACCTTAGCAGATGATCAGATCTCAACACTCCCAAGGCATCTATCTATACAGCTTCATTTGTAGTGATACTCTATAGTAAATTTGAATGTTTCGTTGAAAGACCTCAATGGGATATTATACTGTAAGCGCGAGATCCACTTAAGGCTCTGACTCAAACCCGGCTAGTCGGGTCGAACGAGGACCTACCTAGGTATGTAGCCACATATGGAAACGTATGGAATTATTTTGGTGTCTCTTCCTAGGATTGCAGCAAATGATTCTGTTAAATGGCGTGTATTTGAGCTAGATAAATGGCCATTTATGATCGCCAGATCCACTCATCAAGGGTCTTATGCCAACCGGCAAGTATCTCAGGGAGCAGAACTCAACCAACTCAAGGTCGGTGTCCACGTCTGCGTCATCCATACAGTCCATGTTGATGTCCTCCGAAATATTAGAAGCTAAAGGAGATCTCATATCGAACAAGGTCCAGTCACTTTGGGCCTCGAAGTCTTCATCGTTGGTATCGAGGCCACGATCCAAGGACACTTCACCATCATCATACTGATCCTGATCATTTTGAATCCTCTTTTCGGAGTGGTAACATTCAACTCGGGCGGCGAGTTTGTTCACCTGTTGGAAGAAATCGTTTCTGGCGATCATCCACTCGTTATGTCTGGATATAACTTGCTCGAAATCCTGGAATTCGGCCTGTCCAGCTAGGACCTTCTCGGCGTTGGGTAGTATATCTTCGATGTCTGTCACGAGTTGGCAGATTTGTGGAACACCAAGTCAGAAAGATGGTTGTAAGTAGCATGATGGGGCACGACATAGACGCCAGTGTCAAATGCCTTATTGGAGTCTTATTGTAGACCGCTGTAAATATACGTTGTACATGTCTGCCATGCCTCGTGCCCTGTGGCAAACGCGCTAGCTTTGAAGATCTATCGCTGTATATTCATGAATAAGAGGTCTCGTCAACTAACCCAACTCTAAAGCAGATGTGAGGGATAATTGAAGGAAACTCGAGAATTTTATATCTTTCGCTAGGTTTGAGCCAGCCGAAGCAGTTCCGAAGCAGGGGTGAGAGATAATTAAGAGGAATCTGAGAGATCTATGAGCTGGTCCCAAGATAGCTGATAACTTCCTTGTTCCTGGTATCCGCTTCCCTCAAAGACTGACTGACTGCCGTAGCCTCATTGAGTCGAACAACTGTTTTCTCCGCTTTGAGGTTTGTGAAAGCCGAGGAATCGCTTCTCCCTGCAATACCCAGCTACCTCGGCTGGACGAAAGCAGGTGAGTAGCCCCTTGCCCTCAGCGATGGAGGAGGGGATGACGATAGCAAGAAAGAACTAGTTCATCTCGGTCAGTATTTGGTCTTGTACGAAATTCTATACAGCCTGCAGGTATTCTCACGGGTCTGTGTTTGCTCTGCCTCGAGGCGGACATTTTTATCCTCCAGATACGGAGTTCTCGGTGGTTTGAAAAGAGACGGGATGTTTGGTCTCATTCTGAGGCTCGTAAACGAAAGCCAGCTGATTCACGTGGGCTTGAGTGAGGAACAAAGTTGCGGTAAGCACGGCGATACTTCAGAGCGGAAACACGAGGAGACTTGAAGATCATACGGGTCTCTCGAGCGAGCGATCTACCACGCTCCTGGAGCGTAGAGAGCTCGAACTGGGTCTCCAGCGCCTTGATCCGGTTCCGCAAAACCGTCTCGGTTTCTACTTTGAGGGCCTTGCTGTTCTCCTTGTCTTCAAGCCTCTTCGCATTCTTTTCCTTATTCTCTTCCCTCCAGTTTCAGGTCTCGACAATATCCCTCAGAATAGTCACCCGCTGAGAATCGCGGCGATGACCTTGCCAGCTGTTCCAAAATTGAGGAACCTATCGGTGTTTGAGGCTATTATCAAATATGTGTCAGTGTCTAGTTCAACTCCAGTGCCTTTGGTATCAAGATTCGAGTACTGTCATATCGATTTGTCCGGATGGTCATCAAGATTCGTTTCAAGTCCGCGTACATTGTGTCTGTTGGATTCAAACAAACAAATGAATTTCACTTATCAGGAACAGAAAGAACAAATAGTACTTGTTCATGATTGAATGTGGTCTGTTGTTGGTATTTTTTCAGAGAAAGGAATGCTGGTTTTTGTGCGAGAGGAAGAAACTAGCTACCAAATAATGGGTATCTACAACACTTATTTAATTACCGGGAAAGTGCGAAGTGGTGATGCTAATGCCCGAGGCGTCAATTACCAACCACACCCACAACATCAGTAGAGCTACAGGCCAATAAACACCTTGGAAGAGTCTAAAGAGTCTGTTATCCACCCGCGATGTAAATGGGCCACACAATACTGACAATTTCAGCAAATAATTTATAGGTGTAAGGATGGTAGATCCCCTGTTCTTTCTGCATTGATATCAACTTCTCTTCACATCTAAAGACTAAGCCAGCAAAACAATCACAATGCAAAATGAACGATGAAGTAGAATAGAGCCACGAAGTGAGAGAGAGCACCACGAGATAAGGGAAGCCTCTACATCAATAAACCCTAGAGATAAGCTCGACACACCGGAAGACCTACCTAATTGATAACAACCTAGGTAGTAAGAGAAGGATAAGAGAAGGGTCAGGTGCTGCTAGCACTTAGCAACACCCGTGGACAAGCTGTCATATCGGTTCCAAGAAATTCGGCCCCTTCAGCGAGGATTACCCCGGAGCCTCTTAACACTATAGGCACCTCGGTTCGAAATGAGCTTTTCATTGTCTAGATAACGAGAATGAAAAACAATAAATGAACTATTTCTGATTCCACTTTAGTTAGGGGGCTCCTCCCAGGTATTAGGACAGCCTGAAGACCGCCTCTATCACTATGATTTCTATAGCCTGTCATGCCAAGCCCACCGCACATTTCCATCCAAATGCACATTTTCACCAGTTCGGGTTGAATTTGGACACCCTAACCTAAGAACGCCACGAGTATCTATATAGAAAGACGCATTTGCACCTTGCTGCACCATAAATCTATCCTCATGAGGGCTCAGTCATATTTAAAGACCTAGGTTCTAGGGTTTTTCGAGAAGCCATCCTTTGTGTGAGATCAGACTCGGGTCCGAACAACATGTGGTCCCCTAAGGTTTTGGGGGCCTAGTAATATATTGCTACAGACAAATCTGGCTTCCTCCAGATTTGGCTATGACCTTTTTACCTAGTGGTTGAATGTGGTTTATGTAATAGTATAGGGGGTAGCAACCCTATAACCCGTGGAGAATTACACGTGTAAAGTTCGGCTCTCCCTCTCTCTTTCTCTTCCCTAGCTTCGGTGGTATCTTCGTTGAATACATTCTTCCCCTTCAAGATCTGGTAAGTGTAACACTTTGGATTTGTGGCATTTGCTCATCACGATTTAGAGAAGAATAAATTCGTTCTTTCTACCTAAGCATTCTTCTAGTAAACACCTGGAGCGATCGTGTAGCAAATATAGACTATACTCGGCCTATCAATTCATTCTATCCGAGGTTCCTAGCTGTCTGTATTGGAAATATTCTTAAGTTTTTCCAAGTACCGGCTCTGAATCTGCTCGCAGACGCCCCAAATTCGCCTCCGGTTGGCAAGTCCAAAAATGTAATCATCATTCTTGGATGTGTACTGACTCTTCTTTTGAATGTCCAGAAGTAGCTTGGAAGTTTTGTCCTCTAACTCTTGGGATTGAAAAACATCGATATCGTGGATCTCCCAGAGCCACGGCATTTCACTTCTTAATCTGTGCTTCCAAAACTCGCGTGACAAGGTAGTAGTATGCATCGCCAATGAAGCGGCCTTCAGAGCAAGTATGGAGCCAGCTGGAAGGAGTTTGAAAACCTCATGTCGCAATTCAGGTGAGAGCTTGTTGAAAATATCTTCGTCTTGGGGATTCTGATCCTGTTCTGCCTTCTTGTCCAGGGACTTCATAATAAGATCAAAATCGGCATCCAGCTTGGAAATTCTAACCGGATTAGCTACCAAAACCTGATTATTATAAGCATGCAATTCTTTCACTAAGCAAGAATCATAAGACAAACTTACTTCTTGGCCTTTATTACTATACCAAATTTGATCTGCGGGGGGCTCTGGTTCGCCATAAATAAGCTGTAATCTGACGTACCGGCCCCCATTCAAATCTTCTAAGACATCAAATAGGACATCCTTCCTAATCTGCTTGGATTTCCCCTGGTAGATACATCTCTGGAGGATATCCTTGTAGCAAATTGGATGGAAAGGAAATATATGAGGCTCGCGAGTGTCCCCAATGCCGGCATAATCATGATACCTACAAGTATTAGGAATGGGTGGCGAAAAGGGGAGAAAACATACGCAATAAAGTGGGCGTTATTCTGGAGGGGAACATTCGGATCTTATAGCCGGATATGTCAATTCATTTGAGCTTATATACCCCTTGCAAAGTCAGTGAGAAACTTACCCTCTCCCGTGACAACCTCAACAGCCCCCTATGAGACAGATATTAGCTCTTAGTATTTCGTGAAACGGCTAGAAAAAACCTTACATAGTCAAAATAACCACCGACGCCAGTGAGAAAAGATCTAGCAATTAATTAGAATATATCCTTTGTAGTGTTACTGGAGGCAACTGTCACAGACTTATCGTTCCCAGGTGCGTCAGGGTTGATACCCAGAGCGCAAAGATCGTCAAGCCATCCCAAGTTGAAGTCCCTCAGGACTTCATCGCGATAACAGTCCTCATCAGTCCCTTCGGGGTCTATATTCACTTGGCTGGAGAATGGACCACCACATATGGCACAAAATATCGCCCATCCGCCCATGTTGGTGATTTAAATTTTAGATTTTCATGATAAGGAAGGAGATGGAGGAGAGCTTTTGAATTGAATTTATTGCACAGGTGAAAGCCAAGGGAGAGATTAGCATATCCGGGGGGGGGGGGGGGGGGCTTGGAAGTTGATAGGCATGGAGGGGCACTGAGGTCGCGGATGTATAGGAGTTTCGTGTCAGATATAGTATTTTACGTCACGCAATTGTTCTGGAAATATAAGGGATCTATCTACTCTTAGAAAAGGGTGATTTACGACTTGGCCAAATCTAGACTAGGGTGGTTTTGCATACGTTGAATTGTTCTTCTTTATTTGGCAATACTAGCAAACATCTCTGTATCAGCCCTAGAGACTCGACCCGGATCCCCCATCCTGTCCAACTGTCACTCAATCCACCATTAGGCACCGCCCTTCACGACGTTGACTGCAAATATGAGCCCCTCGTTAGTGTGGCAGCGAGTCTCCCAGGCATAACACCTCTGGTGGAAGCGCACTGGCGCAGATGCTGGACACAGTCTGACATTGGAACCAATGCCACGTATAGCTGGCCCATGAGAACACACTCCTCTTCGGGGCAAGAGAAAGGGAGCTAGGAAAAATTGAGCTAATATTCCTGGCGCCTAAAAGAACGCGTCGTATGTGGCAAAAAAAAAAGGTTGTCGCGTCTGAGGATGAACCCAAACTCAAGCGGAACGGTGTTTGTCTCACTCTTTGAGCTATAATCTCATCTTCCCAAGACATTTTCGAATGGCCTAGCAAGGACCGCAGGAATTTGGTCGCCCTGTTCTCAGAAGGGTCTTTGTATGAGATGTGCCAAATGCGTTTTGCTGCATTGAAAGACATGATTCTCCTATATTCCTGGTCTTTCAGATAAGAGAGGGATAAGAGAGGGATAAGAGAGGTTGCGTGACATTGATTCCTCGAATGAATTAGAAGCCAAATTTTCAAAGCGTAAGCGTGATTTCTGGGCTCTGGGTAAGCGCTTTGAAGGGAAATATTCTTCGTGAACTCGCTCCTGGGGAATGTAAACCGCAGAGAGATGAGTCTTCCAAAATAAGCTTGTCTGGTATGACCAGGGCCTAGGTAAGCCCATCTGGTCATGATGATCGCAAATTTGAATCAAATCCACAGAGATTAAACTGAGCATTTGTTCTGCAAATATAACAGGTATAAGTGAATTCAGCCACTTCTCCGTCGTGTAAGGACTGTATGACCGGAGCGACAAGGAGAACAAGGTTTTCGTGCAGACAAACTTCCAACATCCACAGAGGGATTGACGAATATCTGGAACTTATATGCGACAGGAAATCGTATCGTGTTCCGAAAAGCACTATATCCTGCATCCTGATGTAAAGACCAAGGGGTTGTGGGTACACTTGTGCTTCTATTAAGGATAGTGAGGTCATCTCTGGGTGGACTGGGCGTTTAGTGTACCAGCTGACTGATGTATGGCAGAGAGAGTCGGTACTAATCCCAGAGTTTGGACCAGACTGGAGCCTCTTAACGGCGAGTTCAGCTGAAGGAAAGAAATATGGGCAAGTGAAAATCTCGGGTTCCCATGGGTTCTCAGAACCGCCTCCTCATGTGTGTCATTCAAAACACACGGCCGACGGCGAGTTTTCCGGGCGAACCACCAAGACGGAGGCATTCAGATCCATCATACCGATGAAGAAGATTGCAAGCGTCGCAAGCGAAATAAGTTGGAAGATCACGGTCCAATCGAGTCAAGAGAAAGAGCTTCTCGTCTTTTGTGCATGAAGGCAGCCGCTTGACTCCTTTCCCCAGAGATATATCGAAAAGTCGATGGCTGCAAAGGGAGAAGCAAATGAGGTCAACAGGTGAGAGAGAGTTTGTTATTGTTAGCAATAGTTCCGGTGGGAGTTTGGCGAGTGTACTCATGCAGGGGACATTATAACGAGGGGGTGATTGCCTTACGTAGGTAAGATTTGACGCGGGTATTTAGAGATAGCATAGTGATCGTCGACGTTTTGATATGTCGTAGTGATGGTAATGGGCTGTGGTAGTGGGCTGTGATGGTGGAAGTCAGAAAAGTACGAGGGGGAAAAGAAAGTATACACAAGGCCATACTGGCTCTATACCAGCCCGATTCCGCTTAGGGCAAATGAACCGTTCTAGTGGCGGGCGGTCTTTTCCAAGGTAAGCTCGGCTCAACCTTATCATGACGACAATCACCTCAATTGATTTGATCTAGCTCGCTTTATATACTACTGCTATACGGGGATTACTACCAGGCTAGCCCGACAGATATTACGCTCATGATCCAGTCAAAGGTAAAAGATCACCACATTCGTCACTTTCAATCGCCCTCCCGAATTAGACAGCTGTCTTTCTTCTTTGGACTCAGCCTCACAGAAGGTCCACACTTCATAGTCCACGACCTCAAGAATACCTAAATAGATTACTGCATACTTTCAAAAGAGCTATCCCAGATGTATATAGAGAAAGTAACGAACAATAACCCTGCAGATGTTGGCACAGCTTTGAGAATATGGTAATAGGCGACGGTATTGCTGGTGGAGACATTTTCTACTATAGATCAAGGTCCAACAGAAGATTTGGATCACCCGGGTGATATGCTAGAATTAGTAAAGATGATGTATTTCAGGTCTATACGAAGGGAAGGGTAGCTAAGACAACGAATGCCGTCGCATAACATTCTCATACGATCTTGAGAGGGTGATAAATCCGCTGCCATTATTGCTAGAGAAACTGCGGCGCCGTATCAGCCAACAATATAACAGAAAAAATAGCCAGGAGAGCAGAATATTTGACATAAGAGTGAAGAAAAAAAACCAACGCCATGACATGCTTGCATCCTTAGTTCAAAGGTAGGTCGATCCTTAAAAAAACAATATTTCTACCAATCTAACAGATAATTGATCCTGGAAGGCAACTTTTGCACCGACCATAACCAACACACAAATCAACAATTAGCTAGAGTTAAATCTAATCGTTGTTTTTGCCAGTGAGTCTTTTTCTTTCGCTTGAGTTGCGGGGTGACTCGTCGTCCTCGGACCACCTATCACCATCTTCTTCGCCCACTGCGAATATTGTCTCCTCATCCAGGGACTCACGCTGTCGGGGTGCTGAGGAGACGGGCTTGGGAGGCACTGGAGACAAATCACGACGGCCCTCGGCAGCTGAGTTGCCAGGGTAGTCAGGAGGAGCGTCATATGGGTCTTCCTCATCCAATCCACTGCCGAATGATCGGATCTCAAATCCATCATCATCTTGAGCAAGCTATAGCTATTGTTAGTATCTATACTTTGCGGTTTCGTGTTTGGGGGAGAGTTGCATACCTCGTCACTCATAGCGAAGCGGCGGTTGTTGGCAGTTGGGCGCCACAAGTAGGCCACGAATCCGATATCGAACAGGTAAACCAGGTTGAGCCAGCCATCGAGCACGAACCATCTCGCCTTCCAGTGCTCCGGAACAAAGCTGGCATCACTACGTCCGGCAAACGCAAACGAGTTGATGAAGAAGAAACCGAAGATCACAACGATGCTGCCGAGTATACACCACCACAGCTTCTTGTACATCATCGCCTTTGTCTTTTGCTTTCTGTCGATAAGATCCTTCATGGTAGCGTTAAGAGAATTTAAGGTCCACACGTAAAACCCGGTTAGGGTTGCGGCAAGGGGAAGGACAATCAGAAGCACCAGGGGGCCAGCACTATCCGGCGTGATGGACAGGCTAGCTACCGAGTAGACAACCGCAAACACGAAGTGGGCAATGGCCAGGACGCGGACATATACCATTGTTCGGCCAAGCGAATGCTTAACCACACCGTAACCCATGCAAACGATGAGAAGAAGGAAGAAAGAAAAGGCGTTTCGGCCCGCGTTAAGCACTGCCACGATAACCATCAGGGCTTTCGCGCCGCCGTTTAAGCCGTTTCGGTTTTGATATTCTAGAACAAATTAGATGGAGTTGAGCTTAGACCAAATGCCGCGGCTTACCATAGAATCCCCATGTCATCAACTGCTCGACAATCAAGAATACAACGATTGCTGTAATATAGTTTTGAACGGGCACTATGTTTGTTAGTATGGTCTTAGCAAGAAAAGGGGGGAGGGAGCAAGCCGTACAGATATCATAGCGGTTCTGCACGTAAAGGAAGGCCCAGAAGCTAGTTTTGTCAGCATATCTTAGAACGAGGTGGGCTCTGGCTTCACATACATTCCAATCACAGCGTACACGATAGTCAAAGCCCCATAGAAGGGAAGCTTTGCGATTTGCGCAGCAGGGAGCTCGCCATAGGAGTTTCGGAAGGTCACCACTGCCTTATAGTCCTCTCCAGAATACGCGTAAGTGCTCACGCAGTAGAATCCAGTTTTTCTGACGGGGTATTTCACGGCATCGGGGTCATTCAAGTGAATTGCCTTCGACATGATGGGGCTGGTAGAAACATCGGTGGCATTGTCGGTAAGAACAAAAGAGCCGAGCTGGTCTTCTTTACAAATCTTTGCATCGACATTTGAGGCGTCGCAAATTGTTTCCTTGTTCTGAGTCGAAAATTAGCCGCGCCACTTTTTTTTTGCGGAGAATTGAAGGGACGTACCTCAGCATCGTCGGACCGATATTTCCCAATCAGTTCCTCATCGGTCCATTCGAAGATGACCAAGCTGGCCAGGGGATCACTGTCCTGTGCTGCTGACTTGGAGAATTTGACCAAGATGAAAGGGTCAACATTTCCTCCCCAAGATTTGCGACTGTACATCCCTGAGCATCGTTGCCGGTGCGCATCGTCGGATTTCTGTGCACAACATAATTAGCCTCTGATAACTGCCAAATGGATACAGTTTGATGAATATATTACCAATTCAACATCGTTCGCAAGCGCCTGGCTTGCCAATAGGGCTGTCAGGCCCAAGGTCTGGAGCCAGCCCTTCATGACGGCCGTGGAGTTGAAGCTAGATTAAGCTCCGGAATTCGGAAGGTGTGTCAAGACCACACAGCATCAAAGCAAATCAAAGATATGATTGAGAAAAGAGATTCGCAGAGATGTATAGTGTAAGCAAAAGGAGGTTAAGTGTTCTTGAGCTCAATGCGTGGCCCCAAACCGGGGAAGCCGCGCGTGGATTTTATTATCTAAGCCAACTCCGCCACCAATTTTGTCCTACGGGTTGATCTTTTTTTTTTGGTTCAGGTTTACAGTCTTTAACCAATAATTATCTGTGAAGTACTCATCATGCCAGCAAAGGAGTTGATCAATCCTTGCATGGATTGCAAGGACGCTGAATTTGATATCACTGTCCGTCAGAGAAACCTTTGCAAGTATGCGACATACAATCTATGACCCCTCCAACCGAGTATTTCTAACATCTTTCAGGTCTTGCTATAAGTACTTCATTGCCCACAAAGTCCATGCGCGCATGAACAACTACAAACCCCTTGGCTTGAATAATCCCCGCCATCAACTCCTTCTCCCCTTGTCTTTCGGCGTTTCCTCCTCGGTTTTATTGCATATATTGAATGCCGATCGCCAGAGACGTCTGGATAATGGGCGCCTTATAGGCTACGATTTCCATATTCTCATCGTTGAACCATCCTCCATTACGGCCACAGGTGCCTCGTTCGATCAAAATTATGAAGCGATTCAAAAGACCTTCCCAACCTTCAACTTTAGCCGGATACCCTTCCACAGCATCTTCGATCATGCCCCGGAGATGGAAGAGATAATGCGGGAGTATGCGGGACCTCAATTCACGGATGATAGCTCCCTGTCGAATAAGGAGCGTTTGGCTGCCTTCCGTGCATCTATCTCTACAGCCACCTCCCAGACCGACATCGACACCATCTTGCTGACCAGGTTGATCGTTGCATTCGCGAAGAACTTGGAATGCAAGTCTGTGATTTGGGGTGATTCGGATAGTCGCCTTGCCGCGAAAGCACTTGCAGGTGTTGCCAAGGGACGCGGAGCTTCGCTCACTTGGCAGGTATCTGACGGCATGTCTCCTTGGGGCTTGAAATTTGAATACCCGCTCCGTGATATCTATAAAGCCGAGTTGCTCCAGTATATGAGTCTCTGCCCAGAGCTTTCTGATATAATCATCCCCGATCAGGCACCCTCAGAAAATGTTCTCACCAAGAACCTTTCCATTGATGAGCTGATGCTGCGTTATGTTCAAAATCAGGGCGCAAAATACCCGGGTGTTATGGCGAATGTTGCCAGAACGGCAAATAAACTTGAGTCCTCTACTTCTGACGCTGCATCCACATGTGCATTGTGTGCCGGTCTCTTGGGAAATGTCAAGGGCAATACCGGTGTTACTGTTGCCAATCAGGCAGAAGATAACCTGAGCTCTCAATTCTGCTACGGATGCATGCGGTCTCGGCCTGAGGAGCTTTGTTAAAGACAAGCCTTTTTATAATTATGACAACGATACTAAAAGAACCAAAGACAAACATCTCGCGCCGTCCTAAATCATCGCCAATAAACATGGGGTATCTGAAGCTGCAATCTCAATATCATCATGCGTGGAGCGTTATCGTCCACCTCGTTCCAAATCCTCTTCGGGCTGACCAGCTCCACCAAACCATTTACCAAATGGACGGTTACTGCGGGACTGCTTAGCCGGCTGTGGTCTGGTTGGAGGCTCAGGGCCAGCGTTGTGCCTTGCTCCATGGCTAGATGGTCGTACATCGTCGTAGGCTGGCGGATTATTGCTCACAACCCCACCCTCTTGCCGGTCAAATGCGTCTGGAAGACTAGGATCGACTTCGACTGGTTGCTCCCGTCTGGTGCTTCGCTTTGAAGCGGCCTTGGTACCCTTGGCACCCTTTTCACGCAAATAGGTTTCCAGAATGACTGCGTTTCTGGTGTTGGCTTTGTAAATCGCATCGGCAATATCACCAACGAGCGGAACAAGGCCAATGACGAAGTCGATTATCACGTTGATCATCATCTTAAAGCGCAGGGCTGCCGGAAGTCCACCGTCGATTTCTTCACAAGACCGTACGACCATCATTGCAAGGGCAGCATCACCAGCATCACCGATACTATAGATCATTCATGGTTAGCATTGGTATTTCGCTGCTGCAATGTGTCTCGATAGCACTTACAATGGAACAATTCCAATCACACTTCCCCAACCGAAGCGAATTCCGCACATGTTGAACAGAGCATAGTCCAGTTGGTAAGCTCTGCGTTTGACCTTGGTCAGGACCTTAGTATCATTTTCCGACAAGCCTGGCGGGATGGCCTTGCGACGCTTCTGTGTCTTCTTTCCGAAGGTACGACCGAGGCGCGAGGCTGGAACTTCCTCAAAGTAGGGGTCCTGGCAGGGAGTTTGTATTAGTCATTTGCAAAATAAAATGAATATCGGTCGTTCAAGAGGACTCACTTCAGTGCCGAAATGATTCTTGGCGGTTTCACCTAACACTCTCTTCCCGACCAGAGACACCAGAGCTTTTGACATATTGGCAAATCAAAGTCACTCTGAGAAAAACAATTTGGAAGAAAGGGTGTAGAGACAGAGGGATAGAAAGGGACTCCAGAGAATTTAAAGAAAGGGTAGAAAAAAGACCGATAGAAAGACGTAATTGTAGAAAGCGTTAATCAAAGGTAACCAAAGTAGACTATGTATAGGCCGTGATCCCTTGAAAGCTTAGACCTGGTTGGTCGGGCAGGGGTTTCGGTAGGCGACTTCGTCTCACTTATTTTCAGGAAAACAAAGGGGCGCGAAAAGGACAATAGTAAAAGAAAATTTCCCGAGAAAGGGAGAATTAATATAACAATTCAAAAATCCATGGGATTCAGGGCGATCAACTGTTTTGCGCGACACACGTCATACCCTTAAATTCTTGGAACAGTTCATTAGCCATATGTGGCGTTTGAACAACACAGCCACACCTTAGTCACCAGATCATCAACTTGGGCAGCTCCGGCACCACCTTACTCTGCACTGCTTCCCAACACCTCATTTTACTCTTTTTGAGTTGATTGGCGCATTTCAGTATCTTATCCTATTACATACTCCTCGGCTATCAACTTCTATCAAATCGCCACATCCACACAGCCCTGGGTTGGTCCACCCTTCCAGGAAGCTGTTATCTCCAGTGCAGGCTTGCTTGTTTCGACCGTTTGCGCTGTCGGACTAAGTGAGCATTCAGTTTTCCGTTGCCAAAGTCTTGAAATGCCAGAGCACATACAGCAATATGACAGAACCAAAGATGCAATTAGAAGATTGTGAGTGCCTGATTCTCCGACTGGAATGACGCCAGGCCGCTGACTGAGGCCCGGTGGGCCGTATCTCGTAGGGCTGGATGACCTGTGTGTCCGTTTTATTATTAACCTTCCCCGTGAAGAGCTCGAGTCGGTCGAGCGGATATGTTTTCAAGTGGAAGAGGCGCAATGGTTTTATGAGGACTTCATCCGCCCGCTTGATCCTGCTTTGCCGTCGTTGAATCTGAAGACTTTCGCCATGCGCATCTTCCAGCATTGTCCGCTCATGTCGCAATGGTCTCACTACCATCACATGATCGCCTTTTCGGAGTTCCTTGCCTATAAGACACGCGTTCCGGTTCGCGGTGCGATCATGTTGAACCAGGACATGGATGAAGTTGTGCTGGTAAAGGGCTGGAAGAAAGGCGCCAACTGGAGTTTCCCACGTGGAAAAATCAACAAAGGCGAGAAAGATCTGGATTGTGCTATCCGTGAGGTTTATGAAGAGACCGGGTTTGATGTTCGGGCCGCCGACCTGATCAAGAATGACGATGACGTTAAAGACATTGAAGTCACAATGAGAGAGCAACATATGCAACTATTTGTGTTTCGAGGTGTGCCCCGCGATACTCATTTCGAGCCACGCACCCGAAAAGAGATCAGCAAAATCGAGTGGTACAAGCTATCGGACCTCCCTACAATGAAGAAGAACAAGCAGAACGATGAAGGACTCGCAGCCGCAAACGCAAACAAGTTCTACATGGTTGCTCCTTTCCTACACCCGCTTAAGAAATGGATTGCCCAACAAAAGAAGTTGGATATCAAAGCACAACCAGCCACGAAACAGACCAATAATATCGAGGGATATACCTCCGTGGAAGAAAATGGCTACACAACTGGCACTCCTGGCGTTTCACTTGCGAAAATGGCTATGCCGAGTGATCTTCCCGAGGTGACCTTAGCGCAAGATGCCTCGGATCACCTCAAGCGCCTTTTGAAGATAGGTGCAATGTCGACACAGACGCAAACTCCAGGCTTGGAGCCAGCTCAGAAACCTGCGGTTGATTCGTCGAAGTCGGATGCACTTCTCGCATTGTTACTTCAGGGTAAATCACAGGAATCTGCGCCACAGGTTTCTCACAACACTGATCTACCACTACCCAATGGAAACAACTTACCTGCAGGCCATCGCCCTCCCATGGGACCGAACTTCTTCCCTGGGTTCAACCAATCACAGCAGAATACGGGGCACTCTCACTTTGCTCAGCAAAACCCTCCATTCCACCCGGGTCCCTCCCACTCCCAATTTCAGCGTTCTACGAATGGCCCGCCCTTTATTGCAGGGAATACATACTCCAACTTGCCTCCAGATGCCTATCCTGGACCCCTACAAATGTCCCAGTTCCCTCGGTCGTCTCCCGTATCACAATACCCCGTCCACCCAGGCCATGTGGCCGCGCCATTCCAGCGCACTGGTGACCCTCAATTCTCTGAATCCGCTCAGCCATCTCGAAGTCATGGTCTAGCAGTTCCACCCGCGAGCAATTTACCGAAACTCACAAATCACTCGTTGGCGCTGTTGAATGCTTTTAAAGTCAAGACTCCCAAGGGCCCAGGCCCCGCAACCCTAGCAACCCCTACGCAGGCCTCCTCCCACGTGCGCAAGACGTCTCAGCACCAAGACAGTCTTCTCAACTTGCTCAAGGGACCACAAAGAGTCCCTACTTCCGAGCCTGTGGAATTACTGGGAAGTCCAGTTGTATCTTCAGAGCCACCTTCGAGCAGGCAAATCCTGCAGCGTCCGCAGAATGCCCACAATTCGCCTGAGCAATTTTTAGCTGGTCAAACGTCGGCCACCATATCTGGACCTTTGAACACACCGCAGTTCGAGGCAATCGCTAAGCCGACCCACAAATCCAACCGAGGATCGAGTCGGAAGAACCACACGAACAGGAGAGAGCAGACTGAGGCGCCGACAATGACAATCTTATCGCGACCTCAGTCTGCCAAACGGGAGGTGTCCTCAGGGCCCGTTGAACAAGCAACCTCGATCCCGCCTTCCAAGTCACCCCATGCCCCTCAACCTGCCAAGCACTTCCAACCACAAATTCTACGTCGCTCTGAAAACCTGGGATATGAAAATTTGATGGCTGCAGCTTCTCGCACAGAAACAGCCGAGCGGAAACCGAGCCTGCCAGGTCTTCAGAATAACTCACAGGGTTTGGCCCCACAGCATAACTACGATAGACGACCCAGTCAGACAGTTGAACAGAAAGCCTCGCTTTTGTCTTTGTTTGGCAAGCCAAATGCTTCTCCATCGCCTGGACTTGCTACTCCCCTCGACTCTGGAGCTGTTGTTCATCAGCAGTCGACCGCACCCTCAGGGGTTGTCAGCCCGATGTCGTCCCGCCACCGTAGCAGCGGTGGTCCTATCTCTCGACACGGTACACCCTCTGATAACGGTGCTCAGGCTCACGTCAACTCAACCTCCTCCCCCAGCAACAAGGCGTTTCTGCTTGGGTTCTTGGAGGGTGTTGCGAAGGGAAACAAATAGCTTCCGGTGGACCCATCTTGTAGAGACTTCTACTAGAGCCAATCTGCCATACATAGCAACAATGTAATATTCGATCAAGATACATTGACATCTCGAGCTCAATTGTAGCTATGTACTGAATCACAATATTTGTAGACATACATCTCGGCAGTGCCCCTAGTTAATTCTGCCACCGCCCAACGTCATCGACGGATATGTAAAGAAATAGATCAACTCACATTGGCTCTTCTCTACCAGGTCAACCATGATGCGCCCACGCCCCTCGATTTGCAGCCGCTGTCTAGCTTCCAGTAGGAAGTTCTCTACAACAGCTCAGCGCAATCAACAAATTCAAAATGTCCCCTTCCCGCCTACGGCTGGGTATAGCCGACTCACAAACCGTGGATTGATCTCGGTGACCGGCACCGACAGCACAACCTTCCTCCAGGGCTTAATGACCCAGAACATGCTAGTCGCCAACGATCCGAATCGAAACATCCGTCGCACAGGCGCATACACTGCATTTTTGAATTCTCAAGGCCGAGTCCTCAACGATGCCTTCATCTACCCGCTTCCCGGCGCCGAAGCCCAAGGTGCCGACTCCGGCTGGCTGGTGGAGGTGGACAAAGACCAGGTCCCAGTCCTTATGAAACACCTCAAGAAACACAAGCTACGCGCGAAGCTCAAGCTCCGCGCTCTAGACGAAGGCGAACGCACCATCTGGTCGTCTTGGAAGAACCATGCAGAGCCGCAACGGTGGGCTGCATACAGTCTGGAGTCCGAGTCACCGTCTCCCTTTTCGCCTACCTCCGAAATTGCCGGGTGCATTGATACACGTGCTCCGGGTTTCGGTTCCCGCATTATCACACCTGGTTCCGACGGCCTACGCACTCATCTTCCAGACGAGGCCCAAGTCCCCGGGTCAGAGGTCGAGCTGGACTCGTACACCGTCCGCCGGTTCCTCCACGGTGTTGCAGAAGGTCAGGCGGAGGTACTCAGTGGGTCGGCCTTGCCTCTACAATGTAATATGGATATGGCTCGCGGTATCGACTTCCGCAAGGGCTGTTACGTCGGACAAGAATTGACAATCCGCACACACCACCGCGGTGTCACGCGGAAGCGTCTTTTGCCCGTCCAGCTGTATGACCTCCAAAATGCGCCGAGTGTATCAGAAACCCTGACATACGATCCTTCTGTGCAATTGACTCTGCCGACGGGTGAAACGGATATCGTCAAGGCTGGTGCCGCTACCCGCCGCAACCGCAGCGCGGGCACGTTCCTGAACGGTATTGGGAATATTGGACTTGCGCTGTGCCGCCTCGAGGTCATGACTGACGTTGCACTCATGGGCGAGACACCTGCTCGTCCTCACGAACATCAATTCAAGCTTTCGTGGGCCCCAGAGGCAGAGCAATCCAACGAAGTTGGCGTGCGCGCTTTTGTTCCCCCTTGGCTTAGGGACTTTATCTCTGGCGGCAAAGAGGAAAAGCCCGCTCTGCGAAACCCCGACGCAGAGGATGGCGAGCGGGCAAGGGATTTCGTTGAGCAATTAGAAGAAGAGGAAGAGGAAGTTGAGTCTCACCGGCATTGAGATACTCGCGTATCGGTGAACACTGCACATGTATAACACAAAACTCAAAACGGATAATGTAAATAGCTCATGTATCTCTATTCAACTCATCATTGTACATACAACGTGCTTGGGGTATCTCTTATAATTTAAACCAAGGCCGAACCGGGCCGAACATGTGGAACAATGCAAAGTGAAGTTGGCTTCGCAACTAGGTAGTCTTAGCCGCTGCTTCTGCTGCGTCGGCGGCCTCGTCTTCTCGAGCAAGCTCTTCTTCGAGAGCTTTGCGCTCTTTCTCTCGCTGTGCGTTCTTCAGCTTCATCATAGTAACCTCCTGGAAACTGGGCGTACCCGGCGATGGATTGAATGATGATGCGTTCGGAGCAGCTGCCGCGGCAGATGCAGAAGTGAATGAGCCAAATGAAGGCGTTTTTCCAGGCGGAGGAGGGGCTGACTTCATGCCCGTAAAGTTGAACGAAGGCTTAGCAGTCCCATTGGAGGTGTGGCTAGAGGTCTTTGGCGCGGTTTCAGCGTCTTGGGATTTGGATGGTGCATCTGTCGCAGATTGGCCGGGCCCTAGATCGGGCTGATTGCCTGATGCCCAGAAGACAGACTCGATAAGACCCCATTCACCATCTTGACCCGCATGCTGGCGGAGCTTCTTCTCGCTGTCGACCACAGCAGTGTGAGCGCTCACAATCGAGACGAAGACAATCACGCCCGTCGCAACAGTCTTCTTCTCCTTGTTGTTTCCAATCCGCTGACGCTTATCCTTGAGCATGAAAGTACTCTCAACTTTTCCAAACGGCGCAAACAACACAGCCAACCGCTCAATATCAAGCTCCAGCCCACGGCCCTCCCTCACCCATCGTACTTTCACCGCACGCTCAAGCTCAGGAACACCCGTCTCCTTCGACCGATCCACCCGCTGACTACTGCGATCCGCCGCCTTACGCGCTTCCTCCTCCTCTTCCCGCACCTTCTTCTGCTCCTCATCCACCTCCTTCTTCAGCTTGTCCTCGGCCTCACGTCGCCGCCGCCGCCCATCCTCCGCAATCCTCTCAATCTCCCGCTGTAATTTCTCCTCCGCGTCGTCCTCGCCACCCATCCACGACCTCTTGGCACCTTGTTTTGCGCCCGCGCCGCCATCCGGCGCACCTGCTCGCTCGCGGGCTTCTAGGTCTTCGCGCATCTTCCGCTTCGCGGCGCCCATCATGTCGCGCTCGCGCTGCTTGCGCTGGCGCGCTTCTCGCGCATTATCGTAGAGCTGGCGGACGTCTGGATCTGAAAGGACATCGTAGGCGATTTGTAGGATGTGGAACTTGTCGATGTCGGCTGCTGTGGGGTTTGCGATCTTGTCCGGGTGGTACTTCAATGCTGTACGGCGGTATGCGCGTCTGATCTCGGACTCGTTGGCGGCGGCTGGGACATCAAGGAGGGCGTAGAAGTCTTGGTTTGAGGCGGCGTGCGCCTTGAGATCGTCGTTGGACATGTCGATTTTGGCTTATGCGAATGCCACTGAAAGCTTTGATGGGATCAGTGAAGAGTGGAGGGCTCGGGGTGGCGAAATTCAAGTCTCCTCTTTTTAGGAGATTTGAGTGTATTCCAAATCTCTGTGACAAAAAGAGAGACTAGCTGCAATAAGAGGGTGGTTGCTGAGTTGGAAATTTGTTGGAGGTTCGGAGCTTTGGGGCGGTGGGTCTGTGGCCTCAAACCGCCAACTGGTGTACTGTAATAAATATAAGAACAATCTACACACTTTGTTGCAAAAATATGAGACCAATCATCTGATTGGTCTGGAGCCGTAGATGCACTGCGATAGGGAACTGGGTCTATCTAAATTTGAATATAATCTTTATGATCTTGTTTGAGGCGCAATTTTACGTTCACAGCACCGATATATAGATTGGCCCAAGGCACGTGCAATTAGCTTCATTATGTTACATAGTACTCTTCTACATTACTATGTTCCCATCACTTCCTGAGTGATCAGTAGTCCCTTACACTTATTGGAGTCCATCGACAGTCCCTAGATTCTATATATCCGACAATGGGTGTGACACCTCCATCCAAGATCCAGCTAGCCCTAGCATTGGCCGTTGTCAAGCAGAAGCCCCCAGACAAAGACATCAAAGGTACGAATCTTCATCTATAAACTTGAACCACCCAAACACTCCTAATTCGATTGAAGACTATATCTTGGACGTTCGAAGTTTCATAAAAAGCTCGAAAGATCTGGGCCATGTTTCGATAGACAAGTTTTTCGACAGCGTTTCCTTCTGGCAGCAGGCATACGCACAGTCAGAGGCAGGACAGAGCAAACTTCAAGATGAAGTACACGAGCTCCAACAGCGTATTGAAGGTCTCATTTCCAAATTGAGAGCCAAAAACACAAATGACCACGAATCTTCCCAATCGAACAAGCGCAAGGCGCCTGGCGCTGGGAAGAGTGCGAGTATCTCAAACGTGGCCAAAAAGCGCGCAAAGCTGTCGAGCAGTATTCAAAAGACTATTCCATTGATGGATGATGATGATTCAGGCGATGAGGATGGTATTGACCCAATCCCTGTCCCGCGGGTGTAACATTTGACCTAATATGACGACAGTTTTGTGTCTCAGCAGGCAATTGTATACACTTCAGAAGGCGCTCCAAAAAAAGCCAAACACCAATTCCTCGATCAATTCCCTGGCTATAGCTGCGGTGGTCTTATGCAAGTCCGCGGAACAGAAGTTGATTAAGACTGTCCAAGATGGGAGTATTTTGAACGAACAGAAATCTTCCCAAATTGGAGTCGCGCAGGCAAATTCACCGAAAATTGACGTTGTTTTCAATGGGGTTACAGTCGCTTTTCATCTCGTTCAGAAAGCGCTGCAAAAGCTGACTGCAACTGAAAATGGTAAGCAGCACCAAGGCCAGGTCACTTACTACCTAGTAGGCTTGTTTGAATCAACCATGAGGGCGCTCACATCGCATTGCACTTCCATTTCCAAGAAATCCGATCACAGTATAAAAAGGAAGATCCAAATTACCGACAATGAGGAAGCGTCTCAGCTCGCAGACCTGCTCTGCACAATGGCGATCTCCTTGGATCTGAGCCGCACCGAGGCCCAGGAGGTAATGGAAGGGTGTCTTTTCCTTGTCCTAGATCGGATGGGAAAATTGCTATCTCTCCACGTCTTTCACGACATCAGATTGCCAATGGGTCTTTGTCCAAAAATGAGATTCCCCGAAGGACTAGATGCAATGACAGACGAAGGTCTCATGCCAAACGAAGCACAACTTGAGACCAGGCATCTTACCCAGCTTTTGAGCAGAATGCTTGATGTTGAGTCCCGCCAATCATCCCTCGAGACATCGGCTGCTCGTCAATTCATTGCGAATGCCAAAGATCGGTTGCAAAAGACCCTCCTTCGGGCTGTATTTGGACCTGATGATCACTTGTTCCACGAGGTTTTGCGACGGCCGCAAACCCCACCTCCACTTGATAGTCCGCCGATGGAACAGGAGAAGTTTTCGGACTGGTTGACTCATGAGTTATGGCGGCTGGTTGGCTGGGATGTCTTGAGGACTGTGTTTGCTTCAAGGTAATTTTCTGGTGTGACAATGGTGGACTCAGATTTGGAGACAGAGACAGATGAGGCATGTCTACTGGTGATTGTCTATATTTATCTCACCTCATGCTTATCCCCTTTGACTGACTTACAAGCAAATTACACTGATATGAGTCTATGAACAGGCCAATGTATTTATAGAAACAATTTAATATATTTACTTACTCTAAGTTCAGAACACGAGCGGCATTTCCGCCCAGAACTGCAGCCACAGTATCCTTCTCTCCCTCAAAAGTCTCATCTATAGCCTTATAGTTCGTCGTCACACTGAGCCATTCTTTCTCTCCTTCATTCAGAGGAGGGAAAAATGGATGATCAGTACCTAAGAAAAAGTCAGCCGAAAGCAATACGACCAATGAATGAAGAACTCACCAAACATAAGACGATCAGTACCTCCCCCAACAGTGACTGCCGCCTTCAACCCAGCAACACCGTAAACCACCGCATCAAGGAAGATATTCGTCTTCAAAACCCCCCAGATACTCCTCTGCGGGCCAGGAACATCCCCGCCATTCTGCACAAACTTGCGCTCATGCAAAATACAACTTTCGATGCGCCCTGCTAAAAACGGCAACGTGCCACCGGAGTGCGCCAGCAAGATCTGCAGCCGCGGGAACTCGTCAAAGACTCGAGCCAGCAGCATGCGGGTAACCGCAATGGTAGTCTCGAGAGGGAACCCCAACGCCAGAGGAAGGACATGGCCATAGCGACCTGTCGCCTCTGCACCACCAAACGCCTCACTGGGAAGACCATAGTGAGGATGCAAGAAGAGAAGGAGCTGCGTTTCCTCTAGCGCAGCCCAAATCGGCCCAAGCCGGTCGTCGTCAAGACCACTGCCCAGTCCGGACGTCCCCATAATGACGCCGCGGATATGCGGCAGGGTTTTGAGTCTTTTGATCTCGTCTACGATGATCTGGGGACTCGGCGCGCTGAGCGGCAAAGCCGCGAAAGCGAACAGCGTCGAGCGCCCCTGCAGAGGGAGGGTCTTGTCTGGATTAGTGGAGGCGTTGTGCTTCGCACAGGTAACTTCCAGATCATTGTTGATCTGCTCGGCCCATTTCTGGGCTTCGGGGGGCTCGAGGAAGTCCAGCCATGGGTTTGCGAGGGAAATCACGCTGCAGTCGATACCGTGCTGTTGCATGAAGTTTAATTTGACGTTGATGTCGGAATAGGATGAGTCGACTGGACGGCCGCGCTGGTCAATTGGGATTGCGGGGTCGTCGTCTGATGAGAGGATTATCAGGCGTGGTTCGCCGTTGACTGGGTCGTGGATGTAGGGGACTGTTTTGCGAGCGCGGAGCATCGCCATGTATGATGGGGGGTAGACATGGGTGTGAATGTCAACGACGAGAGGGCGAGACATGGTTGGTATAAAGGAAGACTGGGCAATTGAATGTAAAAGGCAAAGAGGGAAATGGAAATGGAAATGGAAATAGAAATGGAAGTGAGAGCTCAAAGTCCCAAGTGAGGGGACAAAGATAAGAGCTGCATATGCGGGGATTCGCTCCAGGTCTGCCGTGGTACCATCTGGTCGCTACTCTTGACCCCTGTTGATATGAATACTTCTCTTTATGTATCTACTATTCAAGTCGATCTCTTTTGTATCCGAGAGAGAAGCCTAGTTATACAAAACTTGAACATGTAAACATAAACCTTTGAAGAATGTGACATGTTTCATTAGAGATGCTATCTGATCAGCTTCTAAAATCAATATCCAAGTTCCAAAGCCATGGCACCCATGCATACAATCCAACAAAAGTAAAGAACCCCTCATTTGGCTCATAAAATGCGTCGTTGCCCGTGCTGGATAATAATTTCAGCAAATATCCATGCACCAGGTTGCTTGCCAACGCACAACAGACCTACGTTCTCATCCAATCAAGTAAATTTAGAGCTTTGCACCAGCCAGAGTAATAGGCTTCGCGTTGGTGAAGTTAGGGATATCCGCGAACACCGCGGCACTGCCCTCGTCCTTCAGACCATTCTGCAAAGACTCCTGGCTTTCCCACTCAAGAGTAGCCATGATGAGGTACTCAGAGCGCGAGCCGTCCAGCGCATTGGGGAATTTAGTAACGTGCCAGCTGTTCAGGCCGTACTTCTTCCAAGTGGCTTCGACAAGAGGCATGTGAGTCTTCATGTAGTAGTCCTCGTCGAAGCGGATTTCGGCATCGTTGGGGTACATGACAATGGCAGTGAATGGCATATTGGCGGGTTGTATTTGTGAAGAGAGGATTGAAATGGAATTGGGTAGGAAAGGCGAGAAGAAAAGAAACCCAAACCCCGCGGTGTTTAGAAGCTGAGACGCAGCTTATTAATGCAGTTCCAGGTGGAGCCGAACTATCGCCGAGGTACAATCTTCCGATGAAAGGATTGCTGCCTCCAATGCATTCTCCCCTGAAAAATACGATATATAATCGATTTAGCCTGCTTTGAGCTATCATTAGATAAGTCCTGGTATCATTATCTCTGAGATGCTACCTTTTGTGTATTTGGTCATACCTAATGATTCCTTGATTATTTATCACCGCTTCGAGTCCGCCAGTCGGCTCCATTGCCTTCAAACACCCAGCACTGCTTCTGCGTTTATCAATCTCAGGGTGAGATGATGACGTAGGGTGTTGGAATCGAAACTGAAACGGTTCATATTGCGCAATTGTTGCATTCGTCTATGCCAGGGACCCTAATTCAATGTGCGAATGGCTCCAATTCATTCTGACAATGGACGCACAGCTCAACAGCCGGAGTTCCGACAATGTAAATCATTGGGTCAGTGCTACAGCGGGAGCCTCACCGTGACTCGCACTTGGACGAGTTTGAGCGCCTCTGTTATCGTTGGCCTGGTCGGCTAGAAACGTTTACTAGTGGCAATCGTTCTAATTGATCCTACGACCCTAGAAGGATCTGCTTGGATTTGAACCCGTTCCTTTCGATAAGTCGTAGTCACGATTTCGTAGTCATTGTTTCGCGTGACAGACAATCACCCCGCTAAAATCGGCGTCGTGCCCGTACAAGATAGTGAATGAATACATGAAGACTAAGAACTCAGGCATGTAAACGTCGTGCATACGGTCAAGGGGAAGGGCCTTGCAGATAAGAGCATGGGAAATAAGATAAGACATCAAAAAGCATAGAACTGGTCAATTGGATGACGAAGGAAATCTATTTGCGGCTTCTCGTTTCTGTTTCGTGTGTTCCAGCCAGCTTTGGGGGTTGGTATGGTGAGAGACCTGTAGTGATCTCCGAAGTCATGCGATGCTTGGCCATAATTTCTGCCAGTGGTGTCGGTGAAATCGCTTAGAAGGCCATCATAAATGGTATCTTTGGCTGATGCCTTGATTTCTTGAAGAGGGCAGACAGTATCCTGCAGATGCTCGATGTTATTGTCCCAGTTCGGCGATGATAGCAGCCTCCCGGAAGCTGCCGGAGATTTGATTTTTGACAAGAAGCCAAAAGGTGAATGATGGGACGCTGACAGAAAGGGTTACGGGGAACGCGAGTTGAAGGCACCTGGCTATGAGAAGAAAATTTTCCTACCACTGGCTTTCATTTGTGTTGTTCTGATTGTCAGGTTCTCAACGATGTCTTTTATGAAACGGGGAGAAACTGTTACCCACATGCCCAGGTGACAGGTCGGGCTTAGCTCAGCTTTTAGTTACATTCATTTTAGCCCACAAATGCAGATCATTTTCCCCCTCTATTTGCTTTCAGTACCGGGCTACAAGTTGCCTCACTTTTGCCCTTGAATCTGTCAATGAATGGCTAAGTACTGCACCAGCAAATGGGGGATACTTTGATCCACCGGATGCCTTAAAACCTTAACTTGATCTCATTCTTCTTTTGTGGAGATGGCGAAGAGTGGAGATGCGGGAAGCGGGTGTGTTTACGTATGTAGATATCTTCGAGCAAACAAACTTGAAGTCATAGGTTCACAAGTAATGCGAGCTACGATCAATCCAGTTTGAAACACAAAGATCCAGAGAGGCAGCTGTATAAGAGCTATATAAGCCCCTGAGATGCATGTATCGACTCTTATCTTCTTATCAGCGTTATCATGCACCATGGTGTACATTGTATGCACCTGACCCCCGATCTTCTTTTCCCCTCTTCTTGAGATCTTCCTCAGTCCAAGCTTTTGTTCTTTTAGTCCTACTGACCCAAAGCTCCTTCCTCTCACATTCAACACTAAGCTTTCGTACACCATGACCTCTAACCCTACCCAGGAGATCCATCCTGTGTCTACTGCGGTGGACAAGGACGACCTGAAGATACCAGTGAGGAATGCTTCTAGCTTAGACCCAGCAATCGCTAACTGGCATTACGCTCGAGCTTATTGATTTTGGTCCTTTCTTCACGGGGACCCCATCCGACAAACATGCCGTCGCTCTCTCAATCACCGAAGCATTCAAGACATCTGGCTTCCTCTATCTAAAGTCCCATGGAATTCCACCCTCCGTGGTGACCCGGGTGTTTGCATCATCTGCTCGGTTCTTTGCGCGACCCCAGAATCAGAAAGATGGTTTGAGCTGGACGTCCCCACAGTCGAACCGTGGTTACGTCGCTATCGGGCGGGAGAAGTTAACCACCGTTGACGAAACAGATGGCGAGACTCTGCGCGCCTCCGCTCCCGATATCAAGGAGACAATGGAGATTGGTCGCGAGGGAGTCGAAGGTCTGCCCAATCGCTGGCCCGATTATCTCGATGACGAAGGCAAAGAGTTTAAAGAAATCATGCAGTCGTTTTTCGAAATGGGCAAGACCCTTCATCAGCAGATCATGCAGGCCATCGCATTGGGCATGAATCTGCCAGAGCACTTCTTTGATGAATTCATCGATGCAACCGATAACAATCTGCGCCTGCTTCACTATCCCCCCGTCAAGAAAGAGGTCTTCCAAAAGAACCCTAGCCAGGTCCGGGCCGGCGAGCACAGCGATTACGGCTCTATCACGCTACTATTCCAAGACAGACATGGAGGCTTGCAAGTCCGCAGCCCGAAAGGCACATTTGTGGATGCAACTCCCATCGCCGATACCATTGTTGTGAATGCTGGGGATCTGCTCGCTCGGTGGTCCAATGACACCATAAAAAGTACCCGCCACCGAGTAATTCAGCCACCTGTGCCTGTAGGCGAGAAATCCGAAGATGACTCGGAGACATACCCTGCGCGCTACAGTGTCGCCTACTTTTGCCAGCCGAATGACGACAAGTTGATTGGGGCGCTGCCTGGTACCTTCGGCGAAGATATCCAGGTCGAGAAAAAGTACTCGGAAATCACAGCAGGCGAATACTTGGTCCAACGGTTGACTGCGACTTACTGACCGGTCTGGTCCCGATGTGGCCAGCTGCACTGATACCCACTAGCGGCGACATTACTCACTTTAATCATCTTGAAGTTGATTTCTGAGTTTCTTGTTTATTCATTAAGCCATTGAGCATTTTCATGTTTACATATACCGTGTCTATTTCATTCTATGTTTTCCGAGCCCCAAATACACTCTATGTATCTCCAAGACTCCCACACTCTAATAGAGCAATGCATCTCAGTAGACAGCAGGCACAACAGAGATCCGACCACCATCAGTCACCACAATATTGCCATTGATATACCCGCCCGAGTTACTAGCCAGCCAAACAATCAGCCCCCCAATATCCTCCTCACTACCACCACGGGTCGCAGGGATCATCTCACGAGGGAACGAGTCATCCGAGATCCCCCGGCCCTGAAGCCCAGCATCCTTGAAGACATGCTCCGCCATCTCGGAATAGTAAAGACCCGGCGAAATGCCATTAACCCGAATACCATAATCCGCAAAATTGGTCGAAAGCATCTTAACCAGATGCGTCGTCGCAGCCTTGGAAGCATTATACGCAAAACTAAACGGCACCTTACGATTATAGCCAGCAATAGAGTTGGTGATGATAACCTGCGCGGTCGGCGCCGAAAGCACGCCCTGTTGCGGCTCCGGTCGTCGTTTATTCGCCGCCTCGAGAAGAGGCAGGAAGGCCAGGAACGTGTAGTACGAGCCGGTGACATTGACGTTCATTACGTTCGTGAACTCGTCCATTGGCACGTTGAAGAGCTCATCGCGGACTGTCGAGAGAGAAGGCAGCGACCCGTCTGCTGCGCGCTGCGGGGCTTTCATCATCGGTCCCATGATGCCGCTGTTGGCGACTAGCAGGTCGACATGTGTTGTTTGTGCTGCTACGGCCTTGTAGGCTGTCTCGAGAGACTCTTTCGAGGTGATGTCGCATTGGATGGGGATGACGGTGCCGTTTAGGGTCTGCGAGGCGGTCTCTTGCAGCGCGGCTTCGCGTCGGCCCAGAATGAAGATTTTGGATACGTTGTTGGCGTCGAGTGCTTTAGCCATGATGCGCCCGAGGCCTGTTTTATCGTTATTGGCTGCGTGCGCGACCTATAGGCTGTAGATGGTTCTTACCGCTTCCGCCTCCGGTGATTACCACCACGCGGTCTTTGACGGAGAATAGATTGGATGCTTGAAGGTGAGCCATGATTTGTCAATTGTTCGAATTGATGTGAGGTTGAAGTCAACAATTCATCCCCTCGTCCCCTCATATCACGTCATCCGTTGTTTCTCCACCTTGGACTGGCGACCGATAGTTATACAACGTAGTCTCCGCTGACGGTGAATTACGGAATGCGGTTCAGTGTGCTCTTGCCCTTTACCCTTATCAGTACGGGCTCAGGCTCAGTGATTGCTCAGTCGTGCTCAATGTCGGCTCAGTGAGTGCTCAGGCGTACTAGGTGATTCCTTACTAAGCCTCAAGTGAGCACCCTCTGATTGGGCCAGCACAAAATAGACCATACTCAAAATAGACGGACCCCACAGGGCCATCTATTCCGTGATGGCTAAGCTAGTCCGTCGGTCATGTTTGGGCTGCCCTCGATTTCTAACTACCCTAGCCCATCAGTGATTTGCATCATATCTGTGGTGCAGGAAAAAATGGAAATAGTCATGCATTACGGGGTAATAATGTCAAAATCTACAAATTCTTGAGCTGGCTCGAGCTCAATATGTCAGGTACAAAAGGGGATCATGTCCAGCTCTGGATATCTCATGACTCCTTTCAAATTCAGATCGCTTTCCTCGAGCAGTGTCTCCAAGCTTAGATCAGGCGGCGTCTTCGATAATGGGCGGACAGCTCTTATTCTCCGAACGCGATGAAAAAGCGAAAAAGAAGCGTCGACATTTTTCCTTAGTCTTACCAGTAGCTGCATTATTCAAGTAAAAATATTTCCTTCCAGATCCCCGCGGTTACTATGATAGAATCAGAAGAGCTAGAAAAAAGCTTCTTATCCAAGATTCGACAAAAGCATATCGGCAAACTATGACCCCCCATCATCAATTATCCAAGTACAGTCCATGGATAATACCGACGTAAATTTGGGGTACTCTTCGTCTATGAAATACTGCGGGGGTCTCCTTACATTATAACAACTTTCGGCAAATATATTTTCAATCTCTACCGGTTCTTCCAATATCCTATGCTAGGTGAGTATCCATATCAAGTATTATGAAATCATCTTATGTTTTTTGCCAGCTTTATTTCTTCAATCCAGCGCCACCGGTTGGAATTGGTCGTGACAAGAGAATGTTAAGGTACGCCTGCTGAGTGGGGAAATTGGGGAAAATTGGGGAAGCCATAGAAATCTTTTATTACAGCCCCGCTACAGACTACAATTTTAAATCTGCGATATCGAGAATCTATTAGATAACAAGATAGATAAAAGATATCAAAAACCATGGAACTGGTCACCGGTAACACATAGCATCGATGGTATACACGCGGACCTTTGACTCGATGTGGGAACTTTTTGAGTGTTTGAGATTATAATCTATTCCATTTGTCTATCGACACATACGACATAGTACAGAACACAGCCGAATCCATGAATCCCATGGAGCTCTACCGCCAATAAGATGACGGCAAAATGCATTTATCGCGGCAGGGCTTTCAATACCTATGTGGTATGATTCACCTCTATCTCAGAGTATCATCGCAATTGAAATAATGAGGGTCACAAAGATGATCTTAAAAGTTCTTGTTAGAAAGGCGTTTGTTGTATTCATTCCTTGTGAATCCATAGCTACCGCAAACAGAAGTAATCCGACACAATTCAGCTCCCAACCGCGGCAGTGCACTTTGCCTCGCAAAATTGCAGTCTGCTGGTCCCAGAAACGATAGGCGCCAACCAAGGCCACCATAGTGGCCACACAATTGCAGGTGACTGAGAGAGGAATACCGAGCTCGTAGAACCGCATATATTCTCGGGAAGACGGTGATTGCGGAATGCGGAAGAGCTGTGCAATCAGAGCCCCTTGCATTGCAATGGCAAGCGAAGTGCGGATGTAGGCGAGGAATGTTCTTTCCAATGCTGCAGTTCATTGGCACAAAGTACGACTATAAAGCTCACGCGTAAAGTATAACTCAACTCACCAAAATGATCGCGTTTGCTATTTTGGGGGACTTTCAAACTGACGTGATGCATCCAAACACAACGGATCTTATGCCAAGTTCCCGTTGAACCATGATCAGGCTGTTTTACACTCGTGTGAGGGGACACGCTGCGACGGGTAGCTTGCAAATGTCTACCAACCAAGGAGGGCAACAAAGGGTGTTCCAGTCCTTGATCGTCTTCAGTCTGAATGTGACGTAGCTCAAAGGCATCCCTGTCATCTTCCAGAGCAAGTGGAATCTGCAATTGGTCCCCTCGAAAAGAAGCGCTGGTTGGATGTCCAGGAGGTGCTCGTGGCTTGGCCATGGTGAAGTCCGACTTGCACATTCAAAGTTCCCAGGGTTTCATGATAGCATTCTTTCCTAGCGGGTGAAAAGGTCGAGCTAGACTTTGGATACGCCGATGGCTCATGAGCAGACTGTGCTTCCAAGTTTATTGATACCCGAACTGGACAGCTTCCGCAAAAGATTCCGGGTCGGCTTGACATCCTTAAGCCTGCCCGAACCCGCCAAAGTGCAGTACCCGATAGTACCCAATAAACCCGAAAGATAAAGCGAGAGATGATAATGACACCATACGACGAGAAAGGAGAACCAATCTCTTTCCAAGTCAGAGGCTACGTAATGTCCTAATAGATAGTTACCTAGGTATCATCTGGGCAGTAGTACAACTTTCTTCTGCTCTCCTCTCCCGTCTTATACTTCCCAATTCCACACCTGGCCAGCCTGATACATTATATACTGCTCTGACGTCTTCCCTCTCATCTCCCAGTTCCTCACTAATTAACTCTCTACTTAACTACAAAATCCATCTAAGCATTGATATTATATGCGGGATCATTGATTACGGGAACCGTCGGGGTTTGTTGTGGTATATTCTTGGTTAGGACATAATGACAGTTTCAATAATACTGACCGAAAAAAAAATATCAATCGAGAACTTTGGAAGCTCAGCGCCATCATCTAAATATCTATCTAGTATGAGGCACAGGTCGTGATGGAACTCAAGTACATAGGGTGGTCAAAGAATTGAAATATTTGTATATGTAGTGGAAGCTCCAGGGTGCTTCTCTTGTCTTTCCTTTAAAGGGAGGCGCTCTCAACTGTCATTGTGATTGTCTTTGAAATAAGGTATTCCGCAATTGCAACGTCCTTTCCGGACTCCTTGCCATAGCCTGACATCTTCATACCACCAAATGGAGACTCGGCTGCGGAGGAACTGCCAGTGTTTAACCCAATCATACCCGCTTCCAATTGTTCCATCATTCGCCAAGAGCGGTTGACATCCCTCGTAAATACGTAGCTTGCAAGGCCCATATCTGTGTCGTTTGCCAATTTCACAGCCTCTGCTTCGGTCTTGAACTTGTATAGGCCGGCGATAGGTGCAAAGCTTTCCTCTTGGGTCACAAGCATAGATGAATCCATATCACGAAGGATTGTGGGCCCAAAGAAGTAACCATTCCTGAGCTCGGAATCAGAAGGAACTTGGCATTTATGAGCAATCTTGGCGCCACGCTGGAGGGCGTCTTTCACCTGACTCTTAGCCTTGTCGACACCTCTTTGTGTGGTCAGAGGACCCATGGTGACCGACTCCATGCTTCCGTGGCCAAGTTTGATGGTCTTTGCGTGCTCCACAAGCTTAGTAAGGAACTTTTCATATATTCCTTCTTGGACGTATATCCGATTAGCAGTCACGCACGCTTGGCCCGCATGACGCCACTTAAGGGATGTAAGTTGCGCGAGAGCGAGATCTTGGTTTGCATCATCGAAGATTATGAACGGGCAATTGCCACCAAGCTCAAATGTGACTTTCTTCAGACCTACCGCACAGTGACTTGCAATAATGCTGCCCACCCGGGTAGATCCGGTGAACGAGACTTTTTGCACCAGAGGGTGTTTGCAAATCGCCTCTGACAGGGATGGGGTGTTTTCATTCGAAGTTGTCATCACGTTAAATACGCCCTTCGGAAATCCTGCCTTTTCGGCGAGATATGCTAGAGTAAGTGTCGTCAAAGGTGTTTCGGGTGACGGTTTGGCAATCATCGTGCAACCTGCAGCGAGAGCAGCTCCCACTTTCCGCAGTATCATCCTAGATTCGGGTCAGTGAGTACCAAATGGTAAATTTTTGCTTCGCGTGGGTGTACTCACGCAATTGGAAAGTTCCAGGGTACCAATGCGGCACAGACACCAATGGGCTGCTTGATGACCAAGACACGGCGACCGGGTGCTGAAGGGGTGCTAATGTCTCCACGAATTCGCTCAGCCTCCCCAGCAAACCACCAAGTAAAGCCAGTAGCATAATCAATTTCACCAAAGGCTTCACTCAGAGGTTTGCCAGTTTCATAGGTCAGGATAGTGGCAATATCATCACGACTTTCGCGGATAAGATGGTGCCACTTTAAAAGCAGTTCTGCTCGAGTCCTGGGATTCAATAGTCGGTACTCTTCAAAGGCCTTCTGTGAGGAGCGCACAACGGCGTCTACATCTTCCTCTCCCAAATCGGGACAGGAGGTGAAACATTGGCCTGAGCCTGGATCTAATAGTGATTCGTTTAAGTTATATTCAGTAAAGCCAAGATTAGTTTGATGCCATCTGCATACCTTCGACACTGAATCGCTTCCCAGATTTCGCTCCAATCCATTCACCGTGGCAATATGCCTCATTATTGAAAAGAGCAGGGTCTTTGAGCTGTATGGCCGTTCAGTTGGGTTTCTTCAAGCCGTCATTCAGCTCTCAGGAAAGTTGCCCAGGTGGGAACATCCAGTGAGTTTCAAATACTAAATGAACTTACAGTGAATGGCAACGAAGACATTTTGTAAGTACTAGGTAGGTATGTTCAAGGTATGTGATTCCAAGGTTGGATGGAACTTGAATATCGCAACGTTCAAAGTTGTCAGCAATGTGACTTGGCTAGGTATAGCATATATGATAGATATTTATATGTGCATTCCTGATTTCTGGTCTTATAACATCAATCACATCAGCTAGGTGCCAATAATTTCCGGTAGTTTCAAGGTTTCCGATGGGGTAACGAACGGCATCATTCTCGGATGTCGGAACGCTATGTTGGGGTAATGTGAGGAGAACTAAAGTGGTGATTGGGGAAGTTAGTGGCGACTCATTGATTATGACAAACTTGACAATTTCCAGTCAGAAAATGCCCCGCGGAACCAATTATTGGCACGCCATGGTTTTGGCGGGGCTTTTATCGTCATTGACCGTGAGGTATATGAGGAGGAATCTCGTTACTCCATAGAAAGTGGAACGTTGTCTTTGGGGAAAGTGGGTACCTCGGCGCGTTCGGCAATCTTGTCAATTGTACAAGACATATAACAGTCCCAACATGGCGTTGATAAGATATCCAGTGAAATAAAAATTATCAATGCTTCGATTGCGCTCTATTCGTGCCCGTCACTTCAGCCCTTCCTCTTTCAGAACCATGTCGGACAAGCCAGAGCTCAAATCTCTCCATCAATCGCTCTTCGACGAGGGGTTGAAAGTGCGCAGGGCAGTTGTGGGAAATGAGTATGTGGATCGATCTTTGGCCAATGGGTCAAGTGAATTTGCACGACCCGGACAAGAACTAGTCACAGAGTGGTGTTGGGGCCATATTTGGACCAGACCGGGTCTAGAGAGAAAGCAAAGAAGTCTCTTGAGTAAGTCAACCTTGAAAGAATTGAATAAAAACAAATCATCCTGTGCAATGAATTTAATCAACAATATTAGACTTGGGCATGTTGATTGCTCTGAAGGCCTGGCCAGAGTTGGCGGTCCACACTCGGGGTGCTATCAACAACGGCCTTACAGAACTAGAGATCCGAGAGGCGGTCCTCCAAGCTACTATCTACTGTGGCGCACCAGCGGGAATTGAGGCAACGAAAATCACCGAAAAGACTATCAACGATATGATCGAGAAAGGGGAGTATCAGCGGTCTTGAGGTGGGAATTATCATTGGGCGGTTCATGCTGTAAATATGTATAGCCACGCTAAACCATATTTTTACGAAAGAACTCGACAAATCAAAGTTTGAAGATAAATCAAGAGGTCGTACGTAGGTACCATTAAACATCAGGTAGTGTATCGTGAATAAACCGCTCACGTGGTCATGGTTTGTTGAGATTTTGAAAATTTAAGCCATGGTATCAGCAGAAACAGACGGAGAAGCAATGCAATAATATATCGATGCTACCGAGGAGGTAGCGAAACTGAAACTCGGGAAAGATGAGAGAGGAAATCTATGGGATCCTGATCCAACTGTGGGACAACTTGATCCTCCAACACTTGCACTTTTGGGGAATAAATGTTGCAGGTTGGAGTCGGGGTCAGATCCCAGGGGTTGGGGATCAAAGGCGGGGAAGAGACCTCGGTCTCCCCGATAAAGATAAGAAGCAACACAAGATTGCATAGCCTCCCAAAGCCCTCCATTCTTCTTAATCATATGCGGAGAGATGACAGGATCACTGAATACCGTATCTGTGCATGCTCTACGAGCAGGCCAGTTGACTCTCCCAGAAAGACAATTTATTTCACCCATCGAGGATTCAGACCAGAGAAAGACTGTTCCATCATTGTCCTTTCTTATTCAACATGAAGCCAGCTCGACAGGAAAAGTGACTCGCTTGATTTTTGATTTGGGGATACGACGAGAGCCAGAACTTTACGCAGAGCCCATTCGTCAACATACCACAACTAGACAGCCCCTTCATGGGCATCCAGATGTCATTGATTCACTTTCACTGGGAGGTCTTTCTAGCTCAGACATTGATTTCGTCATCCTCTCTCATGTTCATTGGGATCATGTGGGTATGCCTTCCGACTTTGCAGATACCAGTTTCATCGTTGGCAATGGGTCCCTGGATCTCTTGAGTGGAAAAAAGCAAACAAACAACGGCGGCCACAGTCACTTTGAGAATGATTTACTCCCAGAAGATCGCACAATAGAACTTCCCGCACCGCCCAACGACGATGTACCTGTTGTTGAGAAAGCCAGGGGGTTGACCAAACTATCTCAATCCCTACCCTTTGGTCAACCTCTATGGAAATCGTTCGAAACGCTGCCGCACGTTATTGACGTCTTTTCTGATGGAAGTCTTATGATCGTTGATGCACCTGGCCATCTTCCCGGCCATATTAATCTACTCTGCCGAGTCAATGTCAATCCAATTCGATATGTGTATCTCGCTGGCGATGCCTGCCATGACCGTCGGATTCTGATTGGCGAGAAAGGGATAGCAGAGTGGCCCGACTCAAATAACCCCCTCAAGATCCGCTGCATTCATGCCAATAGAGATAAAGCAATGCAAACTATCAGGATGATCAGAAATTTGGAAACACATGGGACACTACTTGGTGACGTGGAGGTTATACTAGCGCATGACGCTGAATGGGCAGACTCTGCAAATCTCGAAGGCAAATATTTCCCGGGACATCTTTAGGTAGCGGAAGAGACAATGGAACGATATGTAGAGTCTCATAATTTTGCTACACATCTTTTTTTTCCCCAACGGCTGCTTTTTGGGAGACTTAATAGGTAAATTTCATATCTTTTCCAACCATCATGCCTATACTTGCAAAGGTTTATATTTTGAGCAACATTAAATCCAGCTTCCAATCCTGAATCGCCGCAAGGGGTGCACCAACACATTCCAAGCAAGGATGGAGATTGCGTGACCCAATCAAATGCCGCATCAAACGGCTCGATGATGGCCCAGGTATGATAAATGTAAAAACAGAAACGAAAAAAACCCCGGTAGTACTAGTACACCTGATCATTGAGGTTTCCAAGGTTACATTTGTTATTATATGGGGTTTAAAGCATCATTCAAAAAGCCCCATAAGCCCATCTGCTTGTATCCCAGTCGCATTCAATCATTGATATCCCCTTCAGGGCAGATTTTGAAAAGCGGCAGAATCTTCAGTGAAATGTTGTCGTGAGCAAGGCAGATGAAGACGCTTGGATCCGCATCAGATGACTTCAGCGTTTCAACACTTTTCTCGGCCACGCTGGGGTCATGATACCCACTGTTGGCTCCCGTGGAGACCTGGTAAAAAGACCCTTCATTGGGACGGTGATCCAGTACCCCGGTGGAAGACAATAAAGGTGGCGCACAAGGGCAAAAGAAAGAGGGTGCACCTGAGATAGACCGAAATGTACCAGCAAAATGACAAAAATCCCCATCCATGAAGAAGAAGGTCGTAGGACTTGTTCTAGCAAGACCGCAAATATGGCCAACAGCATGCTAAACATGTACATCAGATGAATTTCCATTGAACAGAGTCTGATAATCAAAGACTCACGCCAGGCGCATCGAGAATATAGAAGGAACCGTCCCCAAAGAAGTCATGGGCCTTGAATCCCCCAATCCCTTCATCACAAGAAATTTCCGGAAGGGTACGGTCCCTAACATACATTGTCCTAGTCAGTTCATTTGATCGAATATCATTTCAACTTCAAATCTGCCAGCCTACTCACTCAATTTCATCAATATGACCCCTTGCGGATCTTTTTGCTATCCCGGGGCAAACGCGTCAACGAACCCCGGCCCTACAACAATTTCAGTGGACTTGGGAAACCGCGTGCTATCCCCAATGCGATCCCAGTGCCAGTGGCTCCAAATGATTGAATTTGAGTAACCGTCAGCTTGGAGCAGCGATTGGTATTCGGATATTATGAATACCTGGACCATCTAAATTGAATTTGCCCTCTAAAATTTCATCCACACCTTTTTGGAACTCAAATCATTCAACATGATCAGAAATCATTTTCCTTCGCGGAGATCCAGTTGAAGGATCTTTTCGAGAACCACAATCAAGTAGCATATGCTTATTTTGCGCCCTGTTCTCGGCTAAGAAGCACACTGTATTCATGAGCGTGCCATGGTCTGGTCCGCCGATGGGGGGGGGGGGGGGGGGGGGGGGGGGCTGAATAAATGCGGTGGAATCACATATCATTTGCAGGGTGGTATCAATAACCTTCACTGACACAGTGGAATTTGATGGTGGTACTTCAAACGGAATGAGACCCCTGAAGATGCATCCTGAGTTGACTATGGTTTTAGAATATACCGTCAACGTTGAAAATTTGAAATATTCTCTCCATATCACGCTTGGAGAGGTTTAATTAAATACCATCCCTAACCCCGGTATTCTGTTTACGTAGACATCAATTATTGGTATTGAGGAGGTTTGGGGGTTTGATATTGAGGCAGCAGTATAGTGGGTATGGTTTTTCGTAGTCTCGAGTCCAAACATGCCATTTGCTTGTTCCAACCTTGTAATATCCATATAGTAAATACATGTGATTGGAATGCGAGAGCACTGGCCAGAAGTCAACTTGAAACGTCGGAGGATGGCTACCTACCTAGGTAGGTAAGATTGCGCTCGACGTGCGTAATGAAAACTATGATTGTATCTAGATGAATTTTGGGCTTGAAACTAGTAGGTCAGTGCCGGCACTTACGTAGTCAGAAAGCCATCCATGGACGTGAGCCTCCAAGGCTATATTGGGGAAGTTTAGGGTACCCCGCATTTCCCCCGAGACGCCCACTTCCATGTTCCAATGCATCACCCGCGGGTCGGATACTAGGCAGTAGGTAGGTAGCGTTGGAACCGACAAAACGGGTGAATTACCTAGGTATATAAAACAAGTCCACGGGTGTCAACATAATATAGAAATATCACCTCAACTCATCATCTATAATACTCAATTAGTTTTACACACTTATTCGAAGAAGAACTTCAAACAGATACAATGAGAGCTGCTGTTTTCAAGGAGGTGGGAAAGATTGTCGTTGAAGACAGACCAATTCCACAGATCACAGAGCCATCGGAGGCAATAGTCAAAGTCAAGCTTGCGGGTATCTGCGGAAGTGACCTCCACTGGTATCGAGGACACCAGGATATTCCCGCGGATTTTATCCCGGGTCATGAATTCATTGGCACTGTAGTCTCAGTGGGAGATGCTGTCAAGACCGTCAAACCGGGAGATGAGATTGTGGTAAGTAACTAGGCGTCGAGGAGCTTAACAAGAGAGGTTGAAAGCTGAAGGCACATTTTCAAGGCTCCTTTCACTACCCAGTGTGGCAATTGTTTCTACTGTTCTCGACAGCTGACTAGTCGTTGTGAGAAGAGTCTGTTATTCGGTAAATCAATAGCCCCTTCCCTTGGTTGAATTGAACGGAAGAATGGTCAAAATAATGATTGAGCAGACCCATTTATTAACATATCACTCGGTTTGCAGGTAATCGGTCGCATGGAATTGGGATCGATGGTGGCCAGGCAGAATACGTCAAAGTGCCATTCGCAGACACTACACTTGTTTTGTCTCCGAGCACGGTCCGACCAGAGCTTCTGGTACTCATGTCAGACATCTTTCCAACGGGATACTTTTGTGCGGCGCGTTTTCTGAAAAACATGCTCAAATCGGAGGCGGCAGAAAGTGTAGTCACTGTGGTGGGATGTGGTCCGGTGGGAATTTGTGCAATCGCCAGCGCTCTTACATGGTGCCCCAACGTCTATGCCATTGACATGGTGACCGACAGACTCGCCGAGGCGGAAAAACTTGGTGCAAAACCTCTTTTCCTCTACGAAGAACCAGAGAGCAAAATCAAAGCTGCCACTGGTGGCCGAGGCGCTGACGTTGTATTGGAAGTTGTTGGAACTGACGAATCAATGCGTCTCAGCCTGGCTCTAATCCGTCCATTCGGATTCGTTAGTAGCGTGGGTGTCTTTCTTGGTGAATACAATTTCTCAGGGCCATTATTGCACGCGAAAAATGCGACATTAGCCTGGGGCCGTTGTCCCGTGCGTGGCATTTTCGAAGAAGCTTTGGAATGTCTGGGCCGGGTTCAAGACAAGGTGGGCTTTCTGTGCGATATGTATATGAACTTGGAGGAAGCTCCTCGGGCCTACGAGATTTTCAACCAACGCAGGGCTCACAAAATCATCCTCAAGATTTAGTTTGCTTCTCGCGCAAGTAATATAGAGGAGTCACCGGAAATTCTGGCAATTGACCTGTTTGTCCATTCCTTTGGACGCGAATTTCCAGTCAATAGAGCAGAGAGAACGAGGAGGGGAAAAAAATAGTGATCTTTAATGAACATTTCAAAGAGCTTCCATTTGATTTATGTCACTCACAAGGGCATCGAGAAGCCTTCATATGTCATCCCTGAAGGAAATCGGTACATTCCTCATCTCTCGATTCTCGTTTAGATTGTATCTCCTTAATTCAACACGCGAAGTTATACATGTAAAATGAAGGAAGATGAGGGAAATAGTTGACCGGAAGGTATTCTGACCACCGCATTCGACCTGTGTGGTTTCCGTAGCAACTGATTGAGGAAGATGAAAATGAACAACTCGTGGAACAGGATTTTACGGAAACGATGAGAACTTGTACTGTTAGTCTTTTCGGGAAAGCCCGGATTCTTAAGTTGCGAAGTTGACCTCCGGGGTTGATGAACCTTGGAAGGCCGCGTCCTGGGGCGTTAAAGGCCAACGTTTTCAAAGTTTTTTCCCGCTACTTTGTCATGCTAGTGACTATATGGTCACATGATCAGGATTTATCTGAGGTAATGATTCCCCGGAACATCCATAAAACATTCATTATTACCTGCAAATGGTGTTAATTTTCAGTAGAGGATTCCAATTTTTCTCAAGTCAAGTGACCTAAACGGGTAATGCAATGCGTTTCTGATTTACCGAATGATTTCTATTAAAAAAGCTCTTTTGTGACTATTGATTGATCATGGGTACCCCCTCACCTCCACCGAACCCCGTCACGCAAGTTTCTGCTCCAACGAAAAAGTTCAAATGTGACACATGCCAGCGCCAGTTCAGCCGCCGCGAGCATCTGCAGCGACATGAGAGTACACGTGAGTGTGGCCATACCCTTCCCGCTCTTATCAACTGGGTCCGATTTTCCATCTAATCTGTATGTAGACAACAACTATAAACCATTTCATTGTACATTCTGCCGTTATTCATGTCGTCGAAGGTAATATTTGGAGATTTGGCCCCTCATACCCCGATACTACCATGATGTTTATAGCTGAACTGACCTTCCTGTAGGGACCTACTCAACCGCCACATCAAACTTTCCCATGCTAACAGGCGGACGGATAGCGGTATTCGCCAAACTGCGTCGTCTGATACCGCCCAAGATGATTTCAATAGTGAGCCGCTCAGTCCATTCGTGTTTTGACATGGTTGAACTCTATTGACGACAATGAAAGGCGGAGCACCCCAGTCATCACTGCTTCAAAGTAATACATACAGTCCTAGAGAGCAAGCCTCGCAAATTCCAGTTGACGCGATTTGTGCGCCATCGGTGCTCGCCTCTCAGGAAGAGCCGCCTGGTTTGCCGTACACTAATGATATTGTGCACCCACCAACTTCCTTGTCTTTTCTGGGTATAGAAGAAAGTTCCCAGTCTTTCGGATTGAACTACCTGGATAACGTCTACCTACCCCCTTGCTACAACCAACCAGCATTCTACCCCGACTTGAATATCGAGTCTTTTATCTCTCCCGTCGATGTTGGGGACTTTCATTTTGACCACCCCACTACGACTAAACAACCACCAACTGACTTTTCCCACGGCGAGACTCATTCACTGGCACCAAGACCTACCATTGAGCGCAGCAACTTGTACGTTGCCTCATTTGCACGTGTCTCACAGGAGAATTGGCAGTGGCTGTCTGTCCAAGTTTCCAAATTTGCGGACGTTCTACCGGCAGACTATGAGCTACCTTCTCGACACGCAATTTCACGATATATGTTTGGTTTCTTAACTGGTTTTCATCCGCACTTTCCTATCATCCACACACCCACCCTTCTCTTTCAGGAAATGGCCCCCGAGCTCATCCTTGCCCTGGCAGCTGTTGGGAGTAACTATTGTCTGGAATTGCACCAAGGAGTGAAGATTTTTTCCATTGCAAAGTCGATTGCCATGGAAAGAATACGTTGCCGAGAAATCTCCATTCAGTCTCAATCTCCGCTTTATAATCCAACGCGAGCGTCCAACCAATCTCCAAACACGATTTGCAATCCGGGCCAATCCAGCTTCGATGGGGTCAATATGGATAATGGCGTTCCTAGCCATCAGGCTCATCATGGAGACCTAGAAACGATCCAATCATTATTTTTCCTCATGGCGATGGCGACCTGGGGTGGCGAGCAACGATCTTTAGTGAGACAAGCCATATCAACACAAAGTGTTCTTGCAATGCTTGTACGTCAGCATGGCCTCTCAGAACCCACTGAAATGCCTTTAACGTGGCATAAATGGGCGCGAGCAGAAAGTGCGCGCCGTACGAAGCTTGTCATTTACTGCTTTTTCAATCTTCACACTATAGCCTTCAACATACCTTCGCCGATGTTGGTGACCGATTTCCAGCTAAGAATTCCATGTGCCGAGTTTGAATGGGAGGCATCTAATGCTACAAGGTGGAAAGCAGCAAACGAAAAGTCATCCAAGGCCCCACTGTTCCAAGATTGTCTCACAGGATTACTTTCGCAAACCGCATCTGCGCCCATGTATTCTTCTCTCGGTGGCCATGTTTTAATCAGCGCCCTACTGCAACGTATCATTTCTATACAACAGTCGATCAGGCTAGAAGGAATGGAAAGCGAACCTTTCCCTGAGCTTTCTAAGTCACTTCGACGAGCCTTGCAGAAATGGCAGAGTGGCTGGGAGCAAAATCCTGAATCATCTTATAGCCCACTTGACAATTTTGGCCCTATTGCTTTCAACTCAAGGGTAGGACGCTCTATTGGTCTGATATGCACAGCTTGACTTTTTTCTTACCATATATTCGCATAGGCTCTTTACCATCTAGCCCATGTTCGTCTCGCGATAGATATTGGCCCGGCTCGTTCCATATTGGAGCCCACCCCTACCTTGATCGCACATAGATTATATGAAGCACCGAGACTACAGAGAAGTCCTCGGCTTCTTCTCGCTGCGAAGCACGCGGTATGTTTATCGTCTTTAATGGTACAATCTGTACAGATGACACCGCTGTATCTGTTGACTTTCAAAAGCTGATCTTTCTTCGCTCACAGGCCGCTGCTTTGTGCTCACCCGTCCAAATGGGTGTTCATTTTGTTGGACGCGCACCAAGTTGGTCTGTCATGCATGCGGTATGCTCACTGGAGTATGCTTACGCGCTTAATCAATTTCTCCAAACTACCACCCACCCAGATTTGGACCCTCCACTAGAGGAAGATGATAAAGCTTTACTTGTTACCATTAAAGAGACATTATGTGAGGTTGAGACTTCAATGCTTGGCGGAAATGTAAAATCGATTGATGCAAAACCTCAACTTCTTGGTGCCAAAGCAGTCAGAGCATGGGCCATGATACTGGACGGGATGCGAACGTGGAACGCAGTTTCTCTTATAACCAAAGTATTGTTCATTTATGCCGATCTACTAGAGCATGATATTTAGCCTTTGTACTTCGAATGAAAACCGAGTTTGTGTCGGACCTCATCCAATTTGAACTATAATGTATGGTCAACTTAACAATGAAGCCGAATTTATTGGCGAAGTGTATACTTTCCAAGGTTAAATTCAAAATTGTACGGCCATGTCTGAATGGAAAAGAAATTGACTGACACTTTCCTGAGGTCCCCGCAGTGGAAAAGTACACAAAATTGGGGAAGGTAATGAAGGGTGCCTGCAAGCTCTTGTAAGTTTTGCGCTGTGAGGGGAAAATAACCCCATTTTATCAGGATAAAGATGGGGAAGACAATTGGAAGTGCCTTCAAATTCGGTATGGACTAGACCACTCATCCCAATTGGCAATGACCTTCTCTAGCCGTACGTAGGTACCTACCTATAACTAGCGGTTAACAAGATATGTTTAATCATACTAGAAACTACCTAGGTAGGTAGCTAGCTGCCCGAGTGATTAATACTCTTGGGATCCGAGTCAAGTTTTGAATACCGACCAACGATCAAGGTTCAAGGTTCCAACCTGAAACGATACCTTTCCAAGGTTATTGCCTACAATCTATGGTGGCGTTCTGCAACTTTGACATAATTGTTCCTCTAAAAGACGAATTGATACAAAATAGGTAAGCTAATTCTCGGTCGTTCAGGGGGAGGTGTGAAGAGGGAGAACAGCTCCGGATACATGATTGCAGTAATATATTTCGATGACGGCAAAGCAAAAACTAGAGGCAAACCTCACGATAATCCATAGGTTTGTATGACTTTCAAGATTGTCCCAGTAGCCATGAAAAGGGAAATGGAATCAGGTTATTAGATGTGGCTGATTAGAAACACTAGTTTTCAACCGGTCCAATATCCACACCTAGGTCTGGATGGAAGTCGGAACAATCTTGAAAGAGTGGAGCTCTCGAAGTAATCCGAGGAACGTGCGGCATGCCGAGCAGCATTACCCTCCCGAGAAAGGCTGGCCAATAGGAGGCCAGGAGTGATCCGAAAGGTTCGGCCCCCGGTATCACCCCTGATTGGTTGAATTTACTAACATCGCAAAGATATTGCTGGGTTTGATCATTACCTCATTGCTTGCGGCTGGATTGCGTGGTAATGGATAAAAACTCTATGACTCTGGAATATATATTAAATTCCGAAACCTTGAAATCTTGAAATCTTGGAATACCTGTCTAAAAACGAGATTCGGTTCCAAATCGAAAAGTATTTAGCTCTGTTCTCAGCCAAGAGTAATTTGTATCTGTGAATGGACACAATGAGCCCAGAAAATGACACCAACGCGAGTTATGAAGCTGTATGATGCCCTTTTGCTCCCCACGGAACTTCACTAATGATCTTGACTGTGAGCGTAGGATTCCCACACTGATTCTCCTTTGCCGATCTATCGAACGAAAGGGCGGTCCTTAGGAATCGCCTTCGAACATGTCGAAGTCCTGGGACAGGTGGCAACTGCGGGTGGTATTCGGGATCTACCATCCATGGTATCCAAAATTGTTACTCTGCCGCTCCGATGGATGCTGTCTGCCTCTGGGAAACAGTCCGCCCCGAGCAAGTCCATTGTTCAGGATATCACGGGCGTCGTTTATCCTGGAGATATGATGCTCGTTCTGGGTCGACCTGGATCGGGATGCTCGACAGTTCTCAAGGCGCTGGCAAATTACCATGACTCCTTCGTTGAGGTCCGAGGAAGAGTTTCCTATGCAAACATGTCATCCGAAGACATGGCCAAATACCATCGTTCGGAGGCCATCTACGCGAGCGAGGAAGACATTCACTTTCCTACGCTCTCGACGCGGAACACCATGGATTTTGGGTACAAATTGCGCAAACCAGCGACAGAAGAAAAGTCAGATGCTGAATTTGCCTCTGAAAATTCTACAACAATGCTGAACTCCCTCGGTATTGCCCACACAAAAGACACAGTGGTTGGTAATGCCTTCATTCGGGGGGTTTCCGGCGGCGAGCGGAAGCGAATCACTTTGGGAGAAGCTCTTTCCATCAATTCGGCATACGGATCGTGGGACAACCCCATCCGTGGGCTTGACAGTTCGTCAGCCCTGCAGTTCCTTCGCCTCTTGAAAAGCATCTCCAGGCAAACCGGCATGACCAACAGTGTCTCCCTGTATCAAGCATCCGAGTCTATGTACGAGGTGTTCGATCGTGTTATGGTACTCTACGACGGTCGCATGATATTCTGCGGCGCATCCCAGAAGGCGAAGCAATACTTTGAGGACCTAGGTTTTGAATGCCCGAGCCGCCAGTCAACGCCTGACTTCCTAACTGGGGTCACATCTCCAATCGAGCGAAAGATCCGCAAAGACTTCCCAAAGCCTGTGCCTCAAGATCCTGATTCCCTGGAACGCGCGTTCCGTGATAGCGAGAGCTACGGCCACCTTCTCGGCGATATCGAACAGTACTATGCTCATGTTGCTGAAAATCAGCAATATACAACATCTTTCAAACAGGAAACACAAAGCCTACGTTCGAGGTTCACTGCTCGAACCTCGGCTGCACCACGATCCATTCTAAAACAGTCTGTTGTTGCGGCTGCTCGTTATTATCAATTGTTGTGGGGAGATCGCCGCACATTTGTCACAGTTCTTGCATTCAACATCGTCAATGCAGTAATCAATGGGTCAGCATATTACATGGCACCCAAGACCGCCACAGGATCATTTGAGAAAAGTGGAGCGTTGTTTTTCTCGCTCATCTACTTTTTCCTCAACGCTTTGGCTGAAACGGCTGCCACAGTCAATTCTCGCTCGGTTCTCTTGAAGCAGCTCAACTATGGTTTCATTCACCCGGTTTCCTATGTCTTCGCTCAGACAGTTGCGGACATTCCCGTCGCGGCATTCCAAACTTTGATTTTCTCATGCATGTATTACTTTATGCTAGGACTTGTTTTGGATGTATCCGACTTCTGGGTCTTTGCCCTGTTTGTCTTTGTTCATTATGGAGCAGTTCAGGCTATGTTCCGAATGCTTGGTGCATGGTCACCAAACTTGAGTATCGCTTTACTGATGGCTGGGAGTGGCATGCCTGTGTCGCTGTTATATTCTGGTTATGCACCTACCATTCCAACCATGCATCGTTGGGGATCATGGATTCGAAGAATCTGCCCATCACCATGGGCTCTTGAAGGCCTCATGGCCAACGAATTTGCCGATCTTGATGTAGAGTGCACCCCAGCCCAAATGGTTCCTTCTGGTGCTAGGTATCATGACATGCGATATCAAGGCTGCACTATCCAAAGTAGCACAAAAGGCTCGAATATTGTGCCTGGCGTGACATACTTGGATAAAGTGTACAAGTATGCGCCGAGTCATATTTGGAGAAACTTTGGCATCATAATTGTTTTATGGTTTCTTTATACAGCCATTGCCGCAATTGGCCTTACAGTCATGACCCGTGAAAGCAGCAACTCCTCATCTCGAATTTTCAAGAAGGGGGCCTTGCCCGGAGTTCCAGGTAAATCTGCCACCCAAGACCCGGAAAAGGTCGCTGGTTCTGATTCCTTCCTCCCTTCTCCTTCCGACACCGAAGGATATGTGCAATCTCTGGAAAAGTCCTTCAGCTCATCTCCACAAGGCCCTCACAGCTTGTTCACTTTCGACAAATTGAGCTACTATGTCACCGGCGGTGGCTCGGAGAAGCAGCTTCTTACCCATGTGAGTGGCTACGCCCGACCTGGGCAGTTGACCGCTTTGATGGGAGCTTCGGGAGCGGGAAAGACTACTTTGCTGGATACAATCGCCCAAAGGAAGTCAGATGGCCGTGTTGAAGGTGAAATGCTTTTGAACGGAAAGCCATTGGACCGCACTTTTGCCCGTTCATGTGGATTCGTTCTACAGCAAGATGTCCATGAACCGACAGCGACAATTCGAGAGGCACTTCAATTCTCGGCTCGCATGCGGCAACCCAAGGATATCCCTGAGTCTGAAAAACTATCTTACGTTGAGCATATCATTCGTTTACTTGATCTTGAAATGCTGTCTGAGGCTGTTGTCGGTGAAACCGGCGATGGAATGCTCAGCGTTGAAGAGCGAAAGCGAGTAACCATCGGGGTCGAGCTCGCTGCACGTCCTTCCGCTTTGTTCTTTCTTGATGAACCAACCTCGGGGTTGGATAGCCAGGCGGCCTACGCACTTGTCGAGTTCTTGAAAAAGATTGCTGCAGAGGGCCTTCCTATTGTGTGTACTATCCATCAGCCATCCGGTGTCCTGTTCGATATGTTTGATCACATTTTGCTACTTGCCCCTGGAGGAAAAACCGTTTTCTTTGGAGAAACAGGTGATAACTCTGCAAACGTGGTTGACTATTTTGATCGATACGGAGCCCACATCGGGGCAAACGATAATCCAGCCGAGTTTATATTGTCCACGATTACAGATAACCAATCTTCACGAGACTGGGTTTCGACATGGGACAATTCACCTGAGTCTAAGGAGCTTCAAGGCAAGATTGTTGCACTGAACACCCAGTGGTTGACGACTCGCTCTCAAGAGAAAGGCCAAGGGGAATCACAATACTCTCTCGGGCAATGGCAACAGACACTTGAATTGACCAAGCGTCACTGGACCTCAGTGTGGCGGAACGGGCCATACAACTTCAGCCGACTCTTCAAGGCCATTTTTTGCGAGATGTTTATCGCCTTCAGTTTCTTCAAAGCCAACACAGATGTCCAGGGGCTACAGAACCACATGCTTGCAATGCTGCTACTATCCTGGATCATTCCCGCTACAGCAGCTGATATACAGGACATTTGGTTCCAGAAATGGGATATATTTGCCGCACGCGAGAAAAATGGTATCTATAAATGGAGTGCGCTCTTGACTGCACTTATTGTGGTGGAAATCCCCTGGGGAATATGTTTCTACACTATCGTGTTTTTCTGCAGTTACTGGACCGTTGGATTCCCTAATACTCCGATTCTGGCAGGATTCCAGTACTTCATGTTCATTCTTCTTTCATTCTTTGGTACTGGCTATTCACAACTGCTTGCGGCCCTCTTTCCAAGCCGTGCCATGGCCAGCTACGCCAATTCCCTTTTCTGGGTCATTCTTATGCTCTTCTCCGGTGTCCTGGTCCCGCACTCATCCATGAATACGTTCTACAGGCCCTGGTTGTTCTGGGCAGATCCAATGCGGTACTTCTTTGGAGGTAGTGTTTCAAATGTTTTGCATGGAGTCAAAGCGCAATGCACGCCGATGGATTCTACTTTCTTCGACCCTCCCCATGGTCAAACATGTGCACAGTATGCGGCTGTATTCCTTGAATCATCGACTGGTTATCTCAGCAATCCAAGTGCCATTTCGAACTGCTCCTTTTGTCCCTACACCGCTGGCGATGATTACACTGCAACTCTCGACTATTTCTATTCCGACAAGTGGCGCGATTTGGCAGTGTTCCTGGGCTTTTGTCTCACTAACATCGCCAGTCTTTATATCATCATGTGGTGGAGAGAAGGACGCTCTCAGCGTTGATATAGGGATCCGCAAAATCCACCGGCGCAATCTTATTGCGTACCTTGTGCCATTCTTGAAATCACTAAGTTTGATTTGCTCCTTGTGTTGTTGATTTTTGTATTTATTGTTGTTTAAATCTTTATCATTACATGTTAGTTGAGATAACTAGGTATACAATTCATAATACTATAAAGGCTATTGTTTCTTGCAAAAGATCCGTAACAAGCCCGCATGGTTCGTTACAGAATTCAAAGCTTTTATTTGGCTATGCTTGCTGTTGGAAACTTGAGACCAGATCAAATTGTGCATATGGTGACGAAACGCTTCATGGCCCGTACTGTTGAGCCAGAACACACACATTGAAAGCACCATAATAGTTGGGCTCGGCGTGCTTCACTTACCAGACTGTTTCCCAAGGTACTATTTCCGAGACACTTGAAAAGAAAATGTGAAATATCGCCGTCCAAGTGTTGGTCATGAAATCTCTCTTTGGGGCTAGGTCCGCTTTCGGAAAAAGGGCTCGGTACGGCGGGAAACAACTATTGGACAGAATCTCTCCCAACCCCCACCGCGCAGGTTCAAATTGACCAATCAAAATCGAGAAACTGAGCTTCTCCTCATTTCCCCAATCTCCCCCAATTCCCTATCTCCCACTTCTCCTCACGGGTGGCCTCAACGGCTAGGTGTCGTGTGGCCAATTTAGGGTTTTACTTCTTTTGTTTCTTAGAAAACCAAGGAGGTGCCCAACTGTGTACAATCGTCCGCAATTTTCAACAAAAAGTAGAGTTGTATTGCACCCGTGGAAGTGTCCAGTGATGCTCCATGTCTGCTTAATACACCATTCTGCTGGTGATTATCTACATTGTACACTTGGATTTGGTTTCAAGCTTAGCAAAGGTAGATATAGGGATGCCTTGTTGAATTCAATGTCCTCATATTCACACTAAGCATCGTGGTTCATCGCTGTAGAATTTGAGTAGATTATACAATATAAAGACCGAACATTTTGAGTCTCATGGCTATCTGTACGGATTCGAATTTTGGTTCCAGACAGCCCATTAAATTAATTTCTTCGCGCGAGAGAAACAAGACAGAGAAAATCCACCAACAGAGCGTAAGTACCAAATGCTTGAACTGCTCAACCCCGTTGCCCCGCAAATAGCCATGGCACATGAGCCCCTTGGTCGCAGGTTTGATGATGCATAATGCATGGGGGATTTGGCCTCCCCCGTAATCTTACCCCAATGGCTAAACCTACTCCACATAATTTCCCGCTCCTGGGGACACAATACAACATTCGAGGTCCGGTTAACCGTGATATCGAATACTTGAGACTGAAGAATTCCTCCCTTGAAGCAATATTCACTTATTCCCCTGTTTCTGCTCTATACAATCTTTCTTCCTATATACAAATTTCAAAATGTTTGAACATCCGTGGCACGATCTACCTCTTCAACTGGGTGGAAGCCTAGAGAAGTTCAATGAGGCCATCAACCATGATCCAAATTTCAATGCCTTCACCAATACCGGACATCTCCCTGAAGATATTTGTTTCTCCATCAAGTCCGTCGGCAGTGACAATGCAATTGTCTTCACTTTCAACCACGGAGCTGCCTACGCGCGAGTGGGCCTGTACACGGAGGCTCTCTTTTCGCTCTCAGCATTGCCCGTCCAATGGGAGAATCTGTTTAAGAAAAACCCAGTTATGCCTTACCAGAGCTACTGGGCACTCTACGGACAGAATATCCGACAAGAAGGGGTGGAGGTCATCGGTGATCAGTTGGCCTTTGCCAATTACGCTCATATCTGGCGGACTGCGCTTGAGGTTCTTCATGAAACTTTCTGTGGTCCCAATGACGTTTCATTCCAGCCGGAATTGGAGGAAGACTTTTTGGTCGGGCGCTACGCTCTCGTTGAGACCAAGGCATGGGGAAAATGCAAAATCTTCTATGAGCAAAGCGGAACTGGCCCTCAAGACATAGTCTTTCTACATACTGCAGGCTCTGACAGTCGGCAATATCATGGAGTCATGAATGATCCGAGGATGAGAGCCAGATGTACTATGACTGCGTTTGATTTGCCTTCGCATGGTCGCAGTTTCCCAAGTCCCGCCTACCCTCTTGGTGGACACTTCAATAGTGAAGACGCCTATATCGAGTGTATTAAAGCAGTGATCAAATCTGTAAAACTCAAGAGACCCATTCTTTGTGGGGCTTCCATGGCTGGACAGGCTTGCATTGCTGCAGCCATTCGGTCGGATGAAGTTGGGGTGTGCGGAACGATTCCCCTTCAAGGGTATGTTACTTCTGTCCTACCATTTAAATGTCCGGCCTTGTTCTGATTTTATTTTTATAGTTGCGAGAGAGTTGAAATGCACCGAGAGTGGCATGACAAGTCTCCTATCATTAACAGTGCTACCTTTAACCCCGAATGGGTCTATGGGGTTTGTAATCCTAACGTTATACACACGATCTCTGTGAGACTGACTTGGCATTTCTTTCAGATGATGTGTCCCACTGCGCCGTTGGAGAATCGTAAGCTTCTTTGGCACACATATAGCGCTCAAGCTTACGGAATTTACCACGGTGATTTGGACTTCTATTTCAACGGATGGGATGGTCGTGGACGAGTGGAAGCTATTGATACGCAAAAATGCCCTATCTTCTTTCTCACTGGAGAGTATGACTGGAGCAACACGCCAGAAATGTCGGAAGATACATCCAAGAAAATCCCAGGGGCAATGTTTAAACGGATGCCTAACCTCGGGCACTTCCCTGCAACTGAGAATCCCGCTATATTTGTACCCCATTTGATCGAAGCTATTGATCACATTGTATCTACTGTCAAGTGTTCAGGAAAATTGTGAGTGCAATCTGTACCATCAATGTTCAAACCGGGAATCATAACTACTATGATCGGCAATGGACAGCTATGATAGTAGCTGCATCCATGAATACTAAGTATCATGATATTTGGAGATCTCTCTGGGATTCTATTGGTATAATAGTAACCGGAAGCATGGACAGACACCCCGACCAGCCTTGTGTACTAGCCACTCAACAACTTTTTCATGATACGCGTCTCCCGCTTGGAAGTAGGGCTATATTGTTTTGAAGCAACCATGTAACATATGTGTTTCAATATCTCTACTTATCAGGTATCCAAGGAGTTGTATTCTAGTGCCAGTTACCACCATGCACTCAAAATGTCTTCGGGCTTCTGTGAAGGGCCGAAGAATATGGACAGCAGAAACCAAGGTCAGTTCTTGATGGATGAAGAAGGAAGAATGCCGAGCTACAGAAAAACCACCAGTTAAAAGGCATATTTAGGGGCCTGAATCCCAAGGCATCATAACAAAATGCCCAAGGGCTGAAATGTCTGGTGGTGTTCGAGTCTGAACCATTTTCCATCGTCAGTTTACTGCTTGAAAGTAATCAACGCTGGATTTCATATGACTTGGAATCATTGACATGATGACATCAAAATTTTGAAGAGTTCTCCTCGAACTCCATGGCACGGTGAAGAATCCGTAAAAGTTCGTTTGCAAAATTTGAGTAAAGCAATTATTTCATCCGCATATGTTGGGTGCCCAAGGCGGAAAGGGAATTTCCAGTCAATGGGTGCGGACGTGAGTTTCCCCAATTCCATTTTCGCGCTCCCCAAACCCCCACGGGTCCTGTTCCGGGCTATTGGGGTTTCTCCACAAGAGAACCCGCACTTGCATGGACTAAATAGGTACGTTAATGAATATAAGACCTCCAATGAGCGAGAATCGACGATTTTACAATGAATAAAAAGACACGAAGACTCAATATTTTGTGATATCTTTCTGTCTTTGTATTAATCGCTATACTGAGAACACCGAACCGTCCCTTCGTTATGGCTTTGTCGCGTTTCACTCAAGTAGGCTTTATCGGCCTCGGCGCCATGGGGAAGCACATGGCTGAACAACTTGCAATAAAACTGCCTGACCACGCCCGAGTATCTATTTTCGATGTCGCCAAGCCTCCCATTGAGGAACTGGTGCGCAAATACCCCGGAAAAATTGTCGGATGCACTTCGCCGAGAAAAGTAGCAGAAAGCGCGGTAAGCTTCCCTCTCTTCCCGGATCTTATTGAAAAGGCCAAGGATCACAGGAACTTGTTACTGATACGAAAGACAGGAATTCATTCTTTCCATGGTTCCGGAAGGCTCCCATGTCAAGTCTGTCTACTTGGATGAGAAAACCGGTGTCGCTAGCATCGATCTAGAGGACCGTGTTCTCATCGATTGCTCTACAATCGACATCGCAACCAGTTTGCTAGTGAAGCAACACATTGCTGAGCATCACCCATCCGCTTCGTTTTATGATGCTCCTGTCAGCGGCGGAACTCTTGGGGCAGAGAAGGGCACAATTGCCTTTTTCCTAGGATGCTCTGAACAAGACCCCATGATTGAAATTCTCAGAGAGTTGCTTGGGCTGATGGGAAAGCAAATAATTCCCTGTGGAAAGCCTTCGCTGGGCCTGGCGGCTAAACTATGCAACAACTACCTGTCGGGGCTCATCGCCATTGCAAGTGCCGAGTCTTTGAGCATGGGCATCAAAGCAGATTTAGATCCACGGGTCCTTTCGCGTGTATTTGCCGCAGGCACGGCCCAGAACGCCATTTGTGATCGCTTCAATCCTTGCCCAGGGATTGTCCACGATGCTCCTTCAAGTAAAGGATATGAAGGGGGTTTCAAAGTTCAGTTGATGAAGAAAGATTTTTCCCTCGCGATGAATATGGCGGAAAGTGTAGGAGCCACTCTAGCGTTGGGAAATCGGGGGTTGAAAACATACGAGGCCGCGTCGAATGATCCCGAATGCTTCGATCGTGATTCTCGGGTGGTGTTTCGTTACATTGGAGGTGACGAGAAATGGGCGGAAAAATTCGAAAAATAGGTGTTAAGAATACCAGGGTTTGATAGGTTTGATAAATTTTCCTCTTTTCGATGTGTATAATGTTAGGCAACATCCATCGATAGCTTGCAGTACAGCACTTTGTAATGGATCAATCCATTTAGAGACTTAAACCAAACGTCTCACCAGAACCTTAAAAGAAAATTAGAATTTCTTGACCAATTGACGCTCAAAAACTTCATTAGGATAGAACGAGCATAGTTCCCAACCTTGGAAACATGAAATAAGTCTTTACTAGGTAGATTATGGGGCGGCTCTGGATAAACTTCTAGTCCAGCCTTGTAACCTTGGAGGAACGCTTGTGACGTGGAAATTTTGCCAGGGTTGTTATCCGCTTTCCCCGAAATTTCTGCGCAAAATCTCGATTTTTGAGGTTTGAAGAATATGTACTACACATGTTGAGGGTAGAGTGCCGCGGAGCACGATTAGTAATATTATTGGGGAAATCGGGGAATTCCATGACGCAAACGTATGTCAATTTTCTTTAGGAAAGTCTACAATTTTCATGTTTTCATTTATTTCCCTGCATTTGCCGATACTCTCTTGGTCTCTCCTGTTCTCTGTCTCCGAATCTCACGGGCATGGACCAAGAAAATGGATCCTACGCAGCGACTGTTCCTCGCATGCGAATTGGTGTTGCTTGTGAAATGTGTAGAGTGCGCAAGGTAAAGTGCAATGGGCAACAACCTTGTCCAAACTGCTGGCAGCATGGAATATCTTGTGTTTATCGCGCCGGGCCACCGCGAGCGTCTCGTCGAAGAAAGCCTGTAACGCCTTCGCATGATCTACGCCTGCGCACCAAACTTCCGACAGAACCAACCGAATCAGCAACTCCACATCGGTCGGGGTATTATCCAGCTCGAATCAAGAGACAAATGGATTTGCGTGCTGGTATAGGTGTATCTAACTCCAGGACAGGCTCATTTCAGTTCTATGGTGAGTGTAAAGGAAGTGGGTTTTCTTTTAGTCTAGTGCCCAAAATCTGAACGTCGCTTTCATGTAGGGCCATCGTCCCATTTCAACTTCATTCAGCGTGTTTATCAGAAAATCTATCGAACAACACACCAGACACCCAATGACCAGCACAACAACACAATACCCGATGGCTTACAACGATGGGGCTTGGAGTCTTTTATCTTTTCCCCGAAACTCGATGGGAGCTGCTCACATATTCTCTCAGGGCAAACTTTTATAAACAAAGATCGGGGAGATGCATTCTTGAACTCGTATTTTAGAATCATCCACCCTCTAATGCCGATCCTTTGCCGTTCCGATACCATGGCCAGCTGGGAGTCCCTTTGGGAGAGCCCTGGCTGTCGAAGGGATAACACCTCAAGGGAAATCGTGTTCATGGTATTAAGTCTAGGTGCTCGAGTTTCGCAGCCAACCATCCACGAGACACCAGAAATATTGGAAAAGTGGTCTGAATATTTCTCTTCGCAGACAAATGACTTCGCGATGACATTCCAAGAACCTAGCTTTAAAGTTATCCAATTTTTGATGCTCAAGGTGAGCTGAGCTATAGTGGGAAAGCTTTAAAGTACTTTTCCCCTCTAACTATGAATTAGGCCATGGATGGGCTACAGGCAATGCGTCCCAATGATTCCTATCTCCTTCTAGGACACGCCGCTCGTGTCGCGCTTGCCATAGGAATCAATAGGAGCCAAGTGGCAAATGGAAATAGTCTCAACATGCATCGTCTACGTGTCGCCTTTTGGGTGATCTACACAAATGAACGGATGTCGGCCCTATACACTGGTCGTCCATCGGGTCTGGTAGATGATCACATTGACGTTGCATACCCTGAGGATCTTCCCGGTATCCCGCACTCAAGCTCAATTTTGGATGTTGACACTTCTCATCCCGAGAAAGAGTGTGCCTGGATTCGATCCATGGCCCAGATAGGGCGACTGGCTGAAAGAGTAGCCAAAGCTGTGTACTCTTCAGCAAGCGCCAAATCATGGGAAGATCTCCTGAATGTGAAACGCGAAACCCTGCAATGTGACTTGATACTCGATGGAATCGCACAATGTCTGCCTGAGTATCTGAATTTCTTTGATGAAACAAGTCCCATTGGCGAGGAATGGCAAGAGATACAGCGCGCTCACTTAGGTATGAACTATAATATGATACGGATGATAATGCATCGGCCAGCGCTTGTCTTTTCTAGCTTTTTTGCATCCAAAAAAGAGGCCAAGGAAGATGTTGCCGATATCATGAGAATCGAGGAATCTATCGGAGCTTCTGTTAGCGCGGCAAAAGAAATCATTACGATATGCAGCGATTGCATGTTCAATCGGTTCCCTGGCATACGGAATGATACTTCTGTGGCCGCATTTCTGATTGCGGCCTGCGTGACCGTGCTCTATGATGTCCTTGGCCATAATACCGACCCCGATTATAGCAAGGGCATATTTGGTTATGTCAATCAAGGAATCCATTGTCTTGACCAGATGGAACATGTTGGTCCCACAACGGGAAAAGCTCTCAGCATCGATGTCATGAAATGCGCAAAAGATGCACTTAGTGCTACAGATGAGCTACTCCAATTCGGAGATTTGTTGAATGAGTTTCCTTGGCTTAAGTAAGGGTTCCTTCTCCGTGGGCTTGGCTTTGACTAATTAAATTACAATAGAAACCTATCAAAGCCCCTTTTCAACGGCAATCAAGACTTGAAAACCCCAAGAATCGTTTCATCCTCCAGTGAACAACCGACTACTAGTCTGACCAATCCTTCCGTCATGAATATATCAGACGCCTTGTTTCTTGAGGCAGACCCGTTTTCTTGTGACATTGATCTGAACTATACCTCTCACTGGCTTGATGGTGGTCTTGCCGAGTTTGATCCCATGAATCCTCTGTAATATTCTTCGATCGCCTCCATCCCGCCTGTAGGGCCATACAAAAGTGACGACTCAACGTACAGGCTTGCCACATTTTGCCTAGCTACAGCTAGACAGATCTGAGTATTATTGGGATAGGCAGTGTGTACCCTGTATTATAGCTCGTTACCATAATTTCATGTTTGGTTGGAACTGGAGCCTTCCAAGATTTTGTACGTATTATTTGAGATGGGTGGAAACACAGCTTCGCTCACCTCCGATAGCATGTACTTCTCGCAGGAAAGGTATCTAAGATCCAAGTCAAGGTGCTACCCGATGTGGCTGAGCGGCTCAGTCGAATCTTGAAGCCCTGGAGCATTTGTCGGATGGTTATTGCAAACCAAGGCATTTTCGCCTGCGCACTATGTACTTTCGTAGAGGTATGTAATACATTTCTAGCCACCCTACCTTGCCACTCCAAAAACGATAATGGAATCCAGCCTGATCTTCGGGGTCTTAGGTTTTGTATCACAAATTGAATTCTAACTAAGGTCCTCATCCGCGAAAGCTTTATGGATTGAAAAAAACATAAAATTTATAACAGACAGAGTGGAATTGAAATTGGAATATGCAAACAACAAACTTAAAAGCCTGACTGGAATCACAAGTCAGACAAATTCGGTGTGAGAAACAGAAGTTTTTTCCGACTCATTGCCTGGCCTTTGAGCACTCAATTCAACAGCATCGCCTTCATCCTCAAATACCCGAGAAATGTCCTCGAGAGACAATCCTTTCGTCTCTGGAAACGTGAACAACATCAAGACTGCTCCAATGATCGGCAAGATGATAAAAATAAGATAGTAGCGCCATTGAATTATGTTGAAGGCAATTGGCGCAACTTGGGTGTAAACCAGAGTGGTGCAGAACTGCGTAAAGATCGAAAGTCCCATACCTAGTCCCCGTGCATGAGTTGGAAATATTTCCGCGCTGTACACATATGTTGTGGCGTCAAGACAGCCGCCGTAGAATGTGACAAAGAGGAAGAGGAAGAAAACGCCGAAGCCATTACCGATCTTATTATGGGTACCTGAGAACTCAGCAACCATAGTAGCCTCGCAAATGACAGCGACAGTGCCGCCAATAAGGCCAAATATCATTAGACGCACTCGCCCCACCCGATCGATGATGTAGGTTGACATGTAGTTCATTAATGATGCCCAAGTCAAATAAACCGCATATAATAGCAGTGGCATTGAGTCGTAGAGTCCGAGGGAGTTGTAGAGCATTACTTGGTAGTTGTTGATTACCAAAACACCCGTAGACTGACCAATGAATTGTGTGAAACATCCACAGAATAATCGCTTTCGATAAGAGGGCTTAGTGAACAATGCCCACTTTCCGACAGATTCCAAAAATTGTTGATCGAGAGTGAACTGCGCACATATCATATCCAGCTCAAGCTGAGCAGGGTCCTCCTCGTTCGATTCGTCATAGTTTGAGTGCAGTTGCCTAAGGATTTTGAGAGCGTCATTGTGTCGGTCTTGATCAATCAACCAACGAGGGGACTCGGGAAGCCATGATGACCCTATGAGAAGCAAGGCCGGTGCAATGACTTGGGCAGAGAGTTCAAACCGCCACTGGAATTCCGGCAGGGGAGAAAAATAGCAACCGAAACCTGTCCATGCAGCAAAAGCCTTGCGGTTGAGTCAGTGACTGGTTCAAATTATTACTTTTTTTTGCAAGCAGCTGCGGAAGGATAGAGCAAGAAACGAAAGGCGACCTCATACATAGCCCGTGACAATCAAAAATCCATGGCTCCCCACCATTCGTCCCCGGCTCTCAGTGGGAGAGACTTCACTTTGGTATATAGGAATAAGAGTGACCATCAATCCGACACCGATTCCGGACAGGAAACGTCCTATCAGAAACATGGCGATATGAACGGAACCACCTTGAATAGCACCGGATATTATGCAAATGACGCATGTCACCTGCATAGACCGCACGCGACCTGTTTTGTCGGCAAGCCATGCTAAGAGCATGGCACCGATAGCACCACCGCCTGCAAACAGACCCGAAGCCGCGCCAATGATAGAGTTTGAACTACTGTCTCCAGCGTTCGAACTGAGGTCAAAATATTCCAAAAATGACTTCAGTCCCAGAACAGAACCAATGACAGAGTTATTGAAGCCATAAGTGAATGATCCTTCAACCTTCCATTAGCCCTGCAGATGGTAGTTTGAAGTTGGGGATGAACGTACCCAGCGCCACGTAGAAGATCATGATATATCCATTGCTAAAGCCCATTGTGGCGATTTGTCTTGGAAGCTAACGCAACAAAAATCCCGGCTTTCTTTTCGGACGATAGAATCTGGAATCGGACATATTTATCAACAGGTGATCCCTTATCGTAGTATACAGCACCCAAAGACCAAATGTGTCCCCACAACGATACTCAAATAAGGTTTGGGGAAAGTGCATTTCCATTTCAATGTTCTGCTGTAGGTACAGCTCCCCAGATGAACTTCACTCGGCTGGGGAATTCGAGGGTCGAACTTGAATTATGGGGAAGTTGAGGGGATATTGCGGGGAAGTTGTGTGGGGGTACGATATCAACCGTTAGGAGTAAATAATTTCCAATTTGGAACTTGGAAGGCTTGGGGATGGGAAACATATATTTATGTTCCAAATTCGGATCCCCTGTCGTTTTCAAGCGTTAGTAGTGCTTCTACCTAGGTACGTCAATGTCAATGTCCCTAGAGCCCATAGCCCTTCGCACATTTCGGAGGGGATGCCCAACTTGATACTTGCTTGTCTTAGAAATGCGAAGCTACTTCTTTTTTTGAGCTTTTGCCTGTATTTGGAACTTTCTAAGGTTAGTTTATTTTTATTAGTCACTGAAAGTGCAAACATTGAACACTTTCATAGCCCATCATAGGTAAGCTTACCCTGAGCGAGAACAATGCTTATACAATACTCAGGGGTGGCAGTGAGCAAAAAGCGGCAACGGGTGAGCACTAAAACGGAAAGGGAAAGCCAAGACTTGTCAGACATTATCCTGTCTATATGTAATTCCCGACCATAAATGCCCATGACTCCAGATCGTCAGAACCTCGGAAATCGAACACGCAGTCCTCATTGACCGCTGTTGTGATGTCATCCAAGTCAAGGGATATGCACCTACGAGAAGATTTCCCTTAGCAACATGAATGCGACCGAAAAAATATGTTCATAAATCTATGTAACAGTGAACAAGCCACCTAAATTAGGTCGAGATGATGACAATATCCGTCAACATTACCCAAACGGCGAAACGTATGTGCCATCTGAAAGCAGAGAGAAGAAAGGACAGCTTAGACCTGCGCATGGAGAGGCCGAGGAAACTCATCACCGGGCTTAATCAAAGCGTTGTGGCACAGTGTATGGGAAACAAATCCAGTCTGACTTCCTAGTACTGGAGGTCGGAAGCCGACATAGGCTTCTCGTCGATCATCCACCGTGACAGACCAAGGGTGCAGTCCATAATAGGCCGCGATGGAGTGAACCAGCCAACGACTAGCAATCAACCAGTACGTCCGCTCGTTATTCCTTCCTCTCTATTCCTTCAAGTGCTATCAGTAGGGTTTTTTTACCCTTGTTTAACTACGCCGAGCTATATTCGATCCCGGTTCGTATTATACCGTAAGTTTGCGAGTCTCTATGTTTCTTAGTATTTTTGGGCGTTGCTAGACCTTGCCGAATCCCATAGGATTTTTTGAAACTTTGGTCCCATATCCCATAGGTCCCACGCTAGCATAATTCTGCTAAGCATTGCCTATTTAAGCTGCACAAAACTGCTGAGTGATATAATAGGATACTGTTATCTACATATGTATTAGCATCTATATAAGTCAAGACATTCTAGCTACGTCAAAAGCATAATGTATTCTCCGAGAGGCTTGGACCAAATCCACCGCACATCCTCGTAGCCGGGGTCCAATATAAGCTGCAATCCAGTAAGTTTCACGACCCACGGTGCATGATATAGGCAGGATGAGGGAAGAAAGAGCATCATAAGGTGCACGTATACTCGTTCGTTTCCATTATTGATTCCAAGATCGTGGTCAGAACTTCACTCGCACTCATAGCGACGAGAACATTTACAACTGTTTTTTTTTCGAGGTAGCTCTTACTACAATCACTTCATACGCTCGAGGATAGGTAGAGTCCAGTTTCTCTTTTAATGATAGCAGCCCCCTAAGGTCTATCCCGATCATCAACAAAAACACTTCGACAATTAGTCGCATTTCGAAATATTCGATTCAACTATACGGTATCCAGACCGGTCAATCGGAAGTAGTTCTGCTCATCAATATGATTCGATATTCTCTTCTTTAGCGCTTTAAGGATCGGGTAAGCAACCCCAGTATAGTGAACAGTGAAGTAGATCATGAAGTCGATATAGTCCTAGATAATCGGGCCAAATCACCAAAGGTTCAATTAAAAGGCCAAAGACCAAATGGCGTAAGATATCAAGCAATGCCAAAAGGCTAGGTCGACTTCAAAGATAAACTTGGTTCCGGGAGGAACAATTGATAAAGAACATAAGAGAATTGTCCCTTTATTATCGGGTACTACATCGAAGCTGAAGATATCGTCGCATTCATGTTGCTCAGCAATGATTAAGATAAGCTCTAGGCTAAAGCAATCGATACATGCTAGCATGTTCGGTGCAGAACAAGCGTTTCCAATAGCATTCGGTATAAAATGGAGGAAGAAACTGACAAAGGGTTCAAATACAAAGAAAACGTTTAGCCTACAGGATAAATCCATCGAATGCTGCAAGTGAAACATTGGAGAGCCTTAGTGCCACCAGGGAAGGTGGGAGAGTCGATGTGAGCCTATTAAAGCCACTCGCAACCGCCGGCACCTTGATTGCACGGCCAGGACAGATTGTCTGGGCAATAAGGCAAAGAGGTACATAAACGTTAACAAACAAGCTGCGATTTGGAGAAAGCATCTTAAGAAGTATACACATGACAATCGCAAGACTAGGTATCGATGCAACCTGGTCTTCAAAGTCGGTTCACGTTTCAAACCGGTTACCATAAGCCTCCGCGATCCCTCCATCCTAGTTAAACCAGTAACAACTCTTTGAAAGAATCATGATCGCCCACTTTCCCATATTTCCTGTGACGTAAACGCTTGGATATGTCGTGGAACGGGCTTAATGTTCGGTTCTCTCGCCCAGAACCTTGAGAAACTCTGCCAAATGGTCAATAAACATACAGTGGAACGAAAAGGAACGATAACTTACCGCTAAATTCGATTGTTCCATTGGCATTGTTGTCAAATTCTTTGATAAATTCCGCTGCCTCCTCATCACTCATTTCAAACCCATTCTTCTTAGCACCCTCGATAAGTTCATCCGTACTGATCTTGTCTAGAGTTTATGTGAGTAAGTTGGGCCAAACTCTGGAACTAAATGGATACAATGCAACATACGGTTGTTGTTGATATCCTAGATATATAGAAAATTAGAATGAATCATTCAATGGATTGTACAGAACGAAAGCTTACGGCGGCTTTGAAAACCTCCTTCCACCTCTTGATCTCATCCTTGCTGTATCGAAGAGGCTACAGTTGTCAGTAATGAACAATGAAGAGCTTGTTATCCGCACTTACCATGTTTTTCGGTGTTCGATTAGTTCGAGTATGAAATGGTAGCAGATTGGGAGAAAGTGAGAGTAGAAACTGAAAGGGATGAGCGAGGGGGTTTTAACCCGAAAACTAGTCTCTCACTAGCCTGCATGATCGATGATCGATAATTTCTATCATACCATTTGCCGTTGCCGATGCCACGTCATATGCAATATATTCAGATCCCAACAATTTGGGGAAGAGTATGGATGATCACTATGCAGTGCACCATCATCATGCAGGTTGTCGGTGAATCGAGATAGTGGTGCTGGGCCATAGTCTGACACAGCTCCACAGCCCACACTCATAGATCAGGAAGAATAAATCACCCCGTGAATCTTCGAAGTCGGCTGTATGCCGCGTTTGCAGTAAGTATCGACACGATGGCAACTCAAGTTCGATGTGTTTCACCTGATAGATATATAGTACTCTAGATGGTGGAGTTTCGATGCTTAAATCTGCCTACTGAGAATGGAATCAATTGACATTCCGCGATTCTGTGCCCTCAGGACGATCGATGTGGCTGGCTGAAATGGCAATAATGTTCGCAACCCCGCTGTTCCTACAGTGTAGGTCTGCCAAATCCGAAATGCCTGTTAGGGTCAGTTTATGCACGATTGCGTCGGATGACGTAGATGCAATGATCACTCTCAACGCTTGATACAGCTTAACGGAAAGAGTTGCTTGAGCCAAGTAATTGAGGGTGACTGTAGTAGCTGAATGTTGAATGATAAGCACATCCAATTCCCGAGATTGTTTAAATGTTTGTAGGTAACTAGACACGGATTAGGGCGATTGCGGGTACGAGCCGAGACACAATGTGTGAGTGTCTATGGGGTAATCTGTTTTGAAATTTACTTGTATAGCGCCGGTATGTTGTTGTGGTGGCCTTAGGCCGCCACCATCCTTATCATCTCAATCAACCAAGGCTCTTTTGCTTAACAAACGGTGACCGGTCTACACAGTCCATAGTCTGGAAAGAATTTGAAGTGTCCGGAATAGTGATATAGTACGTCTCGAAACTATTGCAACCACCTACACTCTTCCGATGATTCTCCAGCCCCGCCAAGAGACACTAGTCTACATTGAGAAGTTTTCCGGGGTACCTCTGTTGCTTTGAGGTGTATTGTTGTTTATGTATATTGCATGGTACTTCAAAGCAATTCGCTTGTAAATTGAATGCATTGTAATGCATCGTAGGATTTTTGTCCATGCTTGTACGGAATGGACCAATTGAATGAGCTGATTGAGGAATTAAACTCCTGTCTGACTATCGCTGGTGGATCAGGTACACTGAATAATCACGTCTCGGAAGGTGCTAGCGGTATTTAATACCTCTCAATTCGACACATTGGACACCTCCCTCGATACTCTCGCCTTTTGCAACAAGTCTTCTTCCAAGTTGATTCAATAGACGTCCATTACAACCGCATCATGACCTTGTCTCTCGAGTACCGCTTTATTTCGTCTCGTTAGCTCCTAGCGGCAGATCAACCAAGGGGACAATTAAATGACTTTGATAGGAGCCTCCGAAGTCAAGGTGATGTCTCCCGATATTTCCAATCCGGAGTGCTCCCCGTAATTGAGGAAACTCTGCCAATGTTATGTTATGGCCGGACACTTTGAGAACAATTCTCTCGCCAGCATCGAAAACACTGCCAGTTTGTCAAAGCCCAATCTCCAGTCGTACAATTTGTCCTCGAGGGATAGGTGATTTTCCAGAGTAATCATGTTCAGGCCAGGTTGTGCTGGATAGATTAAAATCAATATTCGGATGACTGACCCGGAGGATACCAGTTGGACCAAGGTATTTCAATGGATTCACAGAATCAACGTCAGATTCAGCCATTTTCAGATCACTGAGGGGACCATTAACGTTTTGGAGTATCCGGCCATCTGTGTCCGCTTTGCGCACTTGCACAAATACATCCATATCATCATGGTCGTTGCATGACATGTATAGAACAGCACGAGCGCAGCCTACAACACAGGCTCTGTGCGGGAATTTGTATTGAAAAGAGAGTTCCTCACAGTCACTGTCCATTTGTAGGCTGACTTTGTCGGACTGGTAGGAAATGCTCCCTCCACCTGATAGTGCAGTCTTTGTCAATGACTGATTCTCACTGAGAAACAGCTTTTCATATTCAGTTGATGCCAACGGCCAGTCATCACATGGGACGTTCGTGATCGCTTCCTGAGCACAAAAAATCTTCGAATATGAGAATGGACTAGTACCCTATTGAATTGCAGAAGAGAGATTCGAACCCTGGGGGTTTTTTCCCAGTCATTTTGTATCTCTTTTGTATACCGATCAAAGAACAATTGAAGCTCATCATTGGTACTGGGCTGATAAAGGTCTTGCCATTCCTGCGCATGATGAATGTGAAGCTTATATTATACTTGTTAGACCATTGCTTATGAGTGAGAGGGTCCAGAACCCTACCATTTGTCTTTGTGTTGAATCTCTTCAAACCCTCGGAAAGACCCCATGGTATGAAGAAATGTTGAGTAGCTCGCAAAAACGTACACCGGTACAGCGATGCTACTTATCTACGCTCTTTTATCTTCCCAGTATCCGTTGATACAGGGATTTTCTCAAGCATCCCCATCACATCTTCTTGTGGATTTCGACCTTTGAAAATGTGAACAAAGAACAACACGGAACACCGACCTTGATGACATGCACTACTTACCAACCATAAAATTTGCCAAATAATGTGGGAAGATGCTCGTGCACGAGTTAGGTCCGTCATATCGCCTGTCTGATAGTTCCGGACGGTTTACTAGCCGGTGTAGCACCTTGATGGAGTCAAAACTAAGAGACACAACGGAAGGAATGGGCAAAGCCAAGGGATTGGAACCTCGATCTCTCAGAGTTAATTTGAAGAAAAAAGGAACAGCAGCGACGTTTTAACACAGAGATGGGATGTGGGACTTTGTATTTGCGAAGCTCTGGAAGGGAAGCCCGTAATTCCGCGAGCTTTCTGTATTTCCTTGGAGAGATAACTATCATGTAATTTTATCAAGGGCTCTATAGGTAGGATCGACCAGAAAAGGGGCAGATACCGATGTTTATTGCAAAACAATGACTGCTTAAGCTCTTTCATACAGCAAGTTGAGCATTCCTGACGGTCAGCGGGTCCCGCGATCGAGCGGGACCATTTAATCATTATCGGATAGACGGATTTACGGATCATTCAGGAACATCATTGTGGGTTACAAGAAAAGAACTCCACCTTGGGGCCTGCTCCGCGTCAATCCGATCGTCTCGATCAGTGAGCTTCCGTGTGGTCACCACTCATCGCTCCCCAGAGTAGGCTTGCGCAAAGCCCACAAAGCCCAAAGCCCAGTCCATTCGTGGGTTAGGCTGGGCTTTGGGTCCGATTCCCACGATGGGCTTTGAGCTTTTTTGGGCCCACGGCCCATCGTGGGGGCCCGGTTGGGGCCCGACGGAGGCCCAGTCTTTGATAAACAGTGCAAACATGCGAATTTTCCAGGACTGCATAATTAATGCATTTTCTTCCTGCAACGGACTAATTCTCTTGCAGATGTAGACAGTTTTATCAATCAAATTCGCGATATTCATAAGATGCATTAGATTTTTAATTATATACTAGAAAGTCTCATGTTCATCTTCCGCTGTAATCTTTCTCTGCGTCCCTGATGTGCGGTGAGTGATCGCTAGTAGCTGTATTCCGACAGGAGCATAACTACATATCGTGGGCAGTGTTAAACAGACGTTCTAGGCCGGTACCTATTGCCGCGATCGAGAAAATATCCCCGGTAAGTAAAGCAATCGTTAGGAAACGCCCTTACTGATTTCTAGAATATAAGCGGTTGAGAATCAGTAATGTCTAGTTAATCTAAGTTTAGTATTAGATTAAAGGAAACAAGGGTTTACTATCTTTATACTATTGGCGATTTCACTAATAACTAGCGTATCTGATTAATAAAGAAGATTGTTCTAATCGAAATCACCTAGCTATACGCTTTATCGAACGCTTGTGAGGTATAATAAGAAATGGAAGAAACGGAAAGGGTAAGTCTAGAGTAAAGCTAATCCCGAGAATAGAAGCAAAGAAGGATAAATAGCCCTTTTGATCGCTCACGCTTAATGCACGCGCTATGCTTGTATTCTGGATCTAGTATAGTTCAGTGTATTGTGAGTAACATTTGACACTGTACCTAACTAGGGATAATAGAAAGCACAGACACACGCGCGTGAAAACAACCAAAGGCCCCGCATAATCATCGTCACCCAGACTTACAACGTAATACCGGAAGAATGCCGACGTGACTCAATTTTGTATGACTTTTGACAGCTCTAATGAGAATAACCCTAGAAGTCACTAAGGAACACTGGTTCTAAGCTTCTAATACAAATTCATTTGACCTCCACTTCACAGATTATTGCATGGTTCATGCATCTCGATCCAGGCCAATCTCAGGAGTTCGTGAACACTTTGTATCCACTGTGAGCATCCACTATTAGTAACCTCTAGCATCCACAATTAGCTCTGTATAGCTTAGATCGGGTCACTATTTGCCGCCGCTATCCCTATCAAGTGCTAACTTGTTAACTTGATTGTTTCTCAACATGAAAATTTGTTGAAATCGAAATTGCGCGCCGATCACATGTCCCCGCTCAATTCCCGCTCGATTTTCGATGTGATGCATCACAATTGTGTTCCTCGTGCATATTGACGTAGTCTTGATCGAATTATGTAGATGGTGAGAATGTGAAAGAAAAGTCCTTCGGAATCTTTCAGTGGCTCTTTTCTTTTCTCAGAGAAATCTTAACTCTTATACTATATATCATGAACATCAAGAAGTTTATTCGAAGCTAGTACACGCGTCCATTTAGTTAGGTTCAAAAACAAGCGGTGAAGATAGGAGAGCTGGAGCAGTAGATCAGATGTAGTGGGATCCCCAAATGTTACTCTGATTGGACATCTTCAGAACCTTGCAGATGAAATCAGCAGAATATGCATCTTAGATATCCCGACCACCGGCATATTGTATTGACCTTTCCGTCGCATCACCGGGCAAATAAAATCCTCAAGGAACCGCCCTCTCCACAAAAAAGTATATCTTTCACTACAATATAAGTATCAGAAAGCCTGAAGATCTCAGTAAGCCGATTATTAGAACCCTTTCAAGAAGCAGCCCCCCACTAACTGCCAATCCAAGTCATGCCTCAATGGCTTGGCTCCATGACAGCCCAGAACGACCAGTCTGTGGCCGGCGTATTTATGGTCAACGGCGAGCCATGGGTCTTTGAGAACCCGCGTGGAAAAGCAGCTTGTCCGTTCCAGAAAGCTCCCGCTGTCGTGAATATCCCCTGGAAAGAGGTCGAGAGCATTCGCAAGTCGCTGCTCATGCGTGAGCCGTTCACGGCGACTATCATTGGCTCGACGATGGAGATCCGCTGGGCAAATGGTGTGAGAATCACTGCGAACGTTCCCCATTCTACCAGCTATGATTCCTTCTCGGGTGAGGGGGTTGGCGCGCGCAGTGACATAATGGGAGTAATGGGGTATAGATCAAATTGTCCACGGGTGGTCCTAATTTGGTCTCGGTGTTTCTTGGATTTTGATTTTGATAGTGGTTTTCTTTTTGTTTTGGCTTATATCCTCAGTCATCCTAATTTGGCAAAGAACTTTCCTTTCATAAATATGAGACAGAAGACCCATTATTGTAGAGTTGAGACTGTAGATCCTCCGCCCCTTTTTGAGTACCAAGCTTTGGGGCAATCCGGCATATACGGCCCGGATTCGTATTCCAAGTCCCAAATTAGAAGACAAGGTAACTTGACATATCAGTTCCATGGACTTCTATGTCTCTGCCCGACGTCATCTCTTACCGACATGTCCCGGACCCGTCCCTGAAGCACAAATGTGCGAGGAATCCAACGGGCTTGGGAGTGAACCAGACTTCGACCCTGCCGGGCGGCTATCTGACCCTTCGGAGCTCATCCCGTTCAAAGCTACCTCAGTCTGGCTCCGCTGGCCCTGTCCTTACTCATAATTGCCATTCTTCTCAAACATAATAGCATTGTGATTCGCGTGGCTAATGACGTTGTTTGGAATATCTTTCAAATACTGACGAAATGTCGCCAACAAAGGGCAGGATGTGCAATATGAAATATTTAGCCCCATCCGAGGAATTCCGAGCTACAAAGATATCTCTAGACCTCTACACTGAGGGTCCACAAGCTCGCTATCGTCAAAGCAGCCCGTACACACCATGGCCATGATTTGGAAAAGCGTCTTGTTATTGAGTCTATCGATCTCACTGCCCTCCGCGCTTGCATCCCCCAAAAAGCATGGCGGAGGCCATAAAGGGCAAGGCGACACTCAACAATCGACGGTAGAATATTCATTCACGCCGTCTTCTGCGCCTCCGCTTCGAAACCACTCAACTTCTGAGCCGCATACGCCTTTCACTGAAAATGCAACTACCACGGGTGCTTTGACTGCTACCTCCATTGGAACGACCATAACTAGTGCTGATGTACCAGCTGGAGCTACAAGCTATCCTGCCGATGGAAACCTTCACCATGCCGAGCCTGTTCCTTTTGAACCGGCTGGTGGTGTCGGGACGAATGGGAGTACGCCTGTTTATAACGCAAGGAGTGATTTTGACTATGAATCTTTAGTAAGTAGCCAAGTCAAGCACGAGCTAGCTACAATTAGTTTAGGTTCGGGTGACAGTCGACGTATTTCCACCCATTTTTGATACTTCTTTCCATTGGACCTTTCTCAAGTCCTTCTTTGTATTCTTTCGAAGATCTTACCAATCCTCTAATGTCGTTGCAGCGCAAGACCTTTGGCATATGCTGTTTCCACACCATTTGGATGCAACGTATAGGATTGGAATTCAGGAGCTAACAAAGTCCTTCTTATAGGCTCTTTCTTTGTACCAAGAATGGATGGAATACGATCTCTTTCAAGATGGACTCAGTCGCTTCAACGAATCAGATTTCCAAGCCGCCGGCCTGAAGTCTGCAGATCGCGAGTTGATCAGTTTCATGGCCCAGCAAGAGCTAGGCCATGTCACCATGCTGAGCAACATCCTGGGAGCCCGTGCCCCACAACAGTGCACCTACATCTACCCGTACACGAACGTGAAAGAATTCATCGACTTCTGTCAAAAGCTCACTCGGTTCGGCGAAGCGGGCGTGTACGGATTTCTAGCCCATCTGGACTCGCGCGAGGCCGCAACTCTGTTAACGCAGTCTATCACCACTGAAGCACGCCAGCAGCTGATTTTCCGTCAGTTCGAGGGCCTGTTCCCCATGGTAGAGTGGTTTGAGCCTGGCATACCGCAGTCCTGGGCCTGGACGCTGCTGGCTCCGTTTATCAGTACCTGTCCTAAGAATCAGACGCGGTTGATATGGCAGAACTTCCCGACACTGTTGATCGTCAATCAGCCTAACCCTTGGAAATCGGGCAATTCATCTGTAGGCCGCAATGGCACTTCTGGGTTTCCTCGTCCAACGAGTTCTGATCAGGGTCTGGACCTGAATCAAACCTCCTCATTCAATCAGACCTCCTTGTTCAATCAAACTTCCCTAATGAATCAAACTGCCGGGTTCACATTCAACCAAACCACGGGAATCAATGGCAATAGTACCGTTGGACCAGGCGTCAGCATCCCCAAGACACCGAAAGGTTCCAATTTTTCCCGTACAGATTTCAACTGCGGAGCATCTGTTACCAAAATCCGCCCGTCGCCTCTCTCCTTCCCAGGGCGCCGCGTGCTGTTGCAGTGGGATTCTCCTGGGAAGCAAGTTGGCCCCAATAATAGCTATGTGACCACAACACAGACGCAAGCCGGCAGTGCTAAGTACGTTGTTTGGATATCTCAGCTCAATGTGACATACACTCCTCTCCAAGTCGACAATAGTACCGGTGGGACCATTAGCAGCAGTACTGGCACCCGAGGGATTACTACCCAGCCTGACTTGAAAACATACCAGGGTGATCCGGCTGTCAACGGTACTATATTTATCGCCATCACAGACAATGATCCGATTCTGAGTCCGTTTAACTTGAGCCTGATCAATTCGCACGTGGTTGCTGGTCCAGCGTTGTACCAGGCTGGTTGAATGCAATCGAAGCTGGTGGGGAGGAAACATGTGACAATGATTAGACTCAGACTCAATAGAATCAATTTGAAGTTTAATATTTCAATGAAATAGTTAGATCAATGTTTTCATCATAGAAAATAGTCAACTGTTGATCAACTGGCGTACCTCGGCGGTGTTAACTCCGGGACCCTGATTTATCGCCGAGCCAACCTCAATTTCTCCACGTCACTGTTTGTCAACTTTTTGCAAAGGGCAATACACCTCCCACCAGCGCAATGGAAACCCCAAGGAATCGCAAGCAACGCCGCGCGGCAGCTTCATCCCACGATGAGCCTGAAATCTCCATGGCCCACCCACCGCGCGACGATCCAACCCAAAACAAACCGACCGTCGAAAAAACCCTATATGATATAATCGCAGAAAGACAACATGCGCAGACAAAAAAAGGCGGGAAAATACCCCCATCAGCAGAAGGAATGGGCATACCCGCCCAGTCCGCGGGAACTCGATTCGTGACGGTTGACGCGGATGGAAACCTGGTCGACACAGACGGGGACATCAACAACCACCTCTCGAAAACTTCCCAGACCCAATCAGGCAAAAGCCCCCAAACACCCAAGGCACACGCGAAGCCTGACACCGAAACTGTGGTTGACAAGCCCCTCCCGCCCCTCCTCGACACAATCCTGCTCTCCTTTCCGCTCACAACGCTCCATCTCACCCTGGGCTACCTAGCAGCGCACCAATACGCCGAAAGCATCGACCTACCCAAACTCTTCAAAGAATCCGTGACAACCGCTTTCCCTCTCCTGACATTCTTCGTGCACCTCGCGCACGGCCACATCATCTCCTTCAGCAAGCGCGGGTCAACGAACGAGCCCGCTCCTTCTTTGTTCCCGCTGACAGCTGACAAGCTCACCGTTTCGTTCTTGCGAAAATTGGTTTTCCCGCCCGCGCTGCGGACCCTCTTCTTCTTGCCTGTTGCGGCAGTCCTCGGCGCACACCTTATCGCTATCACGAATGGGGATCCGTATTATGCTGTCATGAAGAAGGCGCCGGCTGTCGGCACGATTTGGATCTGGTGTATTCTGGAACTGTCGTTTGGGGCGGCGGTGCTTGGGGCTCTGGGGCCTTTGGTTTGGGGCGTTTGGTGGATGGGTTATGGGATTTTTGAAATTGGTACGGAATTTCGCCTTTCAAAGATGGAGACTTTGGGAGTATATTTCAAAAGACTTCCATTTGCGAATTTGCTTCGTCAATGAATAATATAAAGCCATCGGTTCCCGTTTGGACATCAGCAACAAAACAAGAATAGAGACAAGCTTCACAATGCCTCGAAAATGGACTTCTCTCGTTGTCTGAATATCTTATGCTTCCTCCATAAGAAGCTATCTAGTCATCTAGAGAGCTACTTTAAAAACGATATACCCTGTTGACTCCAACCCTACATCCAACTCCTCATTCCCCTCCCCTCCAGACGGAACACCATCTCTATACCTCTTATCCACCATGAAGCCAATTGACCTCAGACAAAACTCCTCAATAACCATTCTCGAGGCCCCGAGACTATGAATAATCGTCATCATCCCTGTAACCACCCAAAAGCAGGGCAGCCCTCTAGCCCACGCATACCATTCATCCACCCATTCCTGGGCGACTGAACAAGCAACAAACATCCACTGGGGCCTCGCCGTGCAAACCCTCCCATACCAGTCTCAGACGTTTATGCGAATCAACGTGTCGACACATCCAGAAGGCTCTGAGGAAGCACCGCAGAAGGAGCTTGCTTTTCCGTTTATGTGTTTTGTTCCGATCTTCGGATGGGTGAGTGGGAGCTTACAAGACTTGCTGCTAGATCACTGCTAGGCCTCAAGGAATGGCTGCGGAGCTCTTCAAGTTATGCTTTTTGTGATTGTTATGGTTTGAGTGGTGTCGGCACGGATATATAAAGCAATTGGAATACCCTATATAGTAGTTGAATATATCTTCGTTTATCTTACTATATATCTACTCGTTGTGTACATGGCTGCTAAGCGCATTCAGACGCGTTTGGGTGAATGGAGAGAAGACTAAGATGAATCACCACAGGTTAAGGTGGTTTGCTAATTGATGAGACATACCTTTTCCCATGGTCATACATGGGATGGGTGCTATGAGGCAAGAAAAGGTAAAGGATATAGGAAAACGCTCATATATATTTTGGCTAAGGACCAACCTTTCAATTCTTTCATACCTGGCCTACTGGTATAACCACTGCCGGAGAACAAGACGCTCTGATGCACGGGGTTTTATGCCTGAAAGCTGATCGATTCCTGATGTTCGAGGCACCGAATTCGATCCTAGCCCCAGCCTAGCTGGGAGGGAGGAAGATTTCTTTCATATTTTGCCCTATCTTGATGACTCTGTTGATGACTCTGTTTACAATATCTCTCTAGAATGTACTGCTATAAGAGGTATACCGCTGGTGCTCTTGCTAGGGTATAATTAGAGCATTGATCCCAGTCTATAGACCTTCCTATATCACCTCTATACATCTTTCATATTACGACCGAGGATCTCAGTGTCAAGAATTGCTGCAACTCCAGTGGCACATACATTGTGTTACAGCGATATAGGGAGCCAAAGATAACAGTGACATATGGACAATCTTACATTGGATCTATGAGTCCAGTCACCGTATATCTCGCGCTCTATATCACCCGTCCAAGGTCCACTATTGAATAAAAATATGTCCCCCGATTCTGGGACTCATCAACTGTAAGGTCTTTCTGTCTTCTCAATTCTTTCTGATTTTTCATTTCTTTCTGAGTTTCCGAGCTCAACATCTACATAGTATACATAAATTGCTTGAAATTCAACTTCGGGATGATACCTCGTACCGCGAGCATATCTATAAGTTGTGGACCCAAGCCACTTGGCGGATCACTTTTCCCCGAGAGAAAATAGACCTATGAGTTCCTCGGCTCTGGTTACACAGCACATGGTATCTATATGTCCTGTCTGAATTATATATGACCAGTACTACTAACTAGTTAACTCAAGGAAGGGCCACAATTCCATGAAATCCACAAAGGGAAGCGAATATTAAACTTGGCTACGAATTAATATCAAACTCAACCGATTGCCCAACATGTAAGGTCTCAGAATAAGCAATTGGTAAAGCCCAGTCTAGACTCAGCCCTAATTTTTTCTGGCTGGCCTAGATCCATCACATAAAGAATCATGGATGAAAAATCAACGAGGGACAATGGATATCCACTCACTGCAGCACGAAAGCCGAGCCGAGCAAACTCGGCATCAGACGAAGTCATCGTCCACACCGACAATTGGAGTATGTGATCATGACCTCCGTCTTCCAAAGTCTAAAAATACCTGTCTCAATTTCCAGCACACCTGTCGCAATTTCCTCCACACCGTCTATACTCCAGCGCTCATGTTCTTGGCGAAATTGTTCTGGCCACGACCCGCGACCTAGAACAGAATACACTTTGCGCAAGTAAATAGTACAATTTATACATACAAACGGATGTAACATCCCGAAGATCTTCAGGCGGAACCTGCCAACATCGGCCCGCGGCTCCCCGGATCACCGCCGAAAGCAGCGATGTCTCATCGCAAGCTAGGGTTAAGAGCTAAATCCTAGTTCCAATCAATATAACCATTATACATATATTTTTCATGTTTATGTTCGAGCCTAGCGAAAAGAAAAGGAAACAGGATCCGACTGCAACCTAATCTGACACCAAGTTAACCTCCATTTTAGCTTCGTCGATCACTGCGTTCGTGAACCCCTAACACACTCCCTCCCCTTCCACCCGGGCGCCCTTGCCGGGTTCCACACGAAGTAATGCAGAAGTTTGAACGGGGAACGCGGAATCGAGATCCATTGAGCCACCTACGTGGAACGTACTTATGCTGTTCCGATCGGAACGCCATGGGGATATTGGGGAATATTGCTTTTTTTGGGTTTTTGTACACATCACATGTATACGAGAGTCCCGAGATCCGGGTGAGCGAGATCGAGCGATGCGAGCTAAAGCGGGAAGGAAACTATTGGGACCACGAGCTAGCTGGTGTTTTTGGAGTAAGGTGGATCTCGATCCGTTCAATCGGGATGATTGGGCATGTTCCCTTGCATAAGTGATAATTGAATAATGGTGAAGGTTTACTCTTCTCCTGAGGTAGTAAGGTACAGCGTAGTGGCACATAGTCATCAATGTGGTGTATTGTTTAAAATAAGTCAAGAAAATCAGCCGCCTGTAATGCTAGCGGAAGAATGGGTCATAGAAAGCCGTCGTAAAAAAACAAAAACACGAAAACCAGCCATAAGATGATAACCATCTGGAGATCTCTAAGCACCATATCCACCCTTATCCCAAAGAACCAGATTGCGCCGAAATATTGCAAATTTTGTGTAAATCAAACAGTGACTCGTCCCTCGGGCGCCACACCAATCGCCATGTCCATCTCTGCTCCCATCGGTGATCGTCGATCAGAGGCGCCTTCGCCATCAAACTGCGACAGCAGAGATGCAACCATCTCGCGGTAAGAGTTCATCTGAGACAACTTGAACCGCTGGATCTTGCCACTTGCCGTACGGGGAATCTCTTCCACGAAGATGACGCCCCCATCCAGGGACTTGTATCGGGCCAGATGCTCGCGTCCGTACTTGTACACCTGTTCACCGGTTAGGCGGCTCACCGCCGGGTCGCGGGATCGCACCACGAATGCGCGGGGCACCTCGCCCATCCCGTCTTTGTTGATGCCTATCACGGCTGCATCTGCAATTCCGGGATGCTGCAGTAAAACAGCCTCGATTTCTGCCGGCGCCACTTGCCAACTGTACATAAAGTTAGTACCTTTTTGGAAAAAAAAACTCGATTAGGAATTGAGTGTCGATCTTACCCTCGGACCTTGATTAGTTCCTTGTTTCGCCCAATGATGTAGTACTGGCCTTGCTTGACGTACGCCACATCTCCCGTGCGGAACCAGCCATGGGGATCTAGGGCATCGGTCTGGCCCTTGTAGGCGGTTAGCAGCCCGGCACCGCGCACATGCAGTTCACCAGGTCGCTCGTCGCCTTGGACTGTCCTGCCGTCTTGATCGATCAGACGGGCCTCGTATCCGGCAAGGCGGGTGCCAATACTGCCCGCATCACCGGACTGACCGTACCGAGTCTGGAAGATGACACCGACCTCTGTCATACCCCAGATCTGGCATGCGTAGGCCATGGGGCTGAGACGGCTGCGGAAGAGCTGCATGGAAGCCGCATCGATAGGAGCACCAGCGACACCGACGTAGCGCAGCGAGGACAAATAGTCCGTTACCGGCAGGATCGATTGGTTGAGCGAGTGAATAATCGCAGGCACCAGGTATGTCTCGGAGATTTGATACTTGTGTACCGTAGCGAGGAACTCATTGACCTCGAACCGGGGCAGGACGAATAGTGGGTGTCCGTACCGAACAGGGAAGAGATGAGTCCACAAGGCCCCGAACAAATGGAACATGGGTAGCGACATGAGTCTGCTCACTGGATGCGGCACATCGTAGTAGATGGCGCGGTGCTGTGAGATTATGGCATGGTGAGACAGAATAGCTGCCTTGGGAAGACCACCTGTGCCACTGGTCGAGAACATGGCTGCAGGCGTGTTTCGTGCGACGGCCGCGTCGTTGAACATCAGCCAGTCGCTTTCGCCATAGCAGAGGAGATTGGCGAAATTGGAGTGTCGGGTATCGCTCATTGCGGAGAATTGGCCCGCGGCCGAATACCCTAGTTCGTACCACAGGAACAGCTGCGCACAGTGGTCGATGGCCCGGTCATCGACGACACACACTTGGGCTGGGTGGATGCCTCGGGGTGCGGAGACCTCCAAGATAGAAGGGAGTGCGTCGCGTGTTGTGAAAATCAGTTTTGGCTCGGCGAGACTGAGGATGTGATCGATCTCTTTGGGTTGACTGCGCGGGTTTGAGCCCATGTAGACACCGCCGGCGCCGATAATAGCGAAGAAGAGTGCGGGATAGAGGATCTATTGCATTCCGGGCCGAGTCAGCATACTTTCTGTCCCCATATATCTTTTTTTTTTCTTCTTTCTTTTTTGGGCATGCATTCAAAGATTGTGTATGAATATCATGGTTTGTCAGATCTCTGCGCACTCACACTATTGCCCAAATGTACCAAGACACAGTCCCCGGGTTTGATATTGTGAGCTTTTAAGCCAGCGATCAAAGTCCGGACGAGTTGACGAAACTGGGCAGCTGTAAAGGATCGAGAAGGATCCTCGGCCTCGATAAACAATGGCTGATTGAGATTATAGGGCTTTGGTCCGCCGAAGGTGAAGGTCAACACATCAGTGCAGACATCTGAAGTCATCTTGGTCGACATTGTGGTCTTAGAACCCATCTTTGGAAATGAAGAGCAAAGATGAAGGATGAACCGAATGAAGCGAGAAAAGAGAGGATTCTCACCCCAGTATATGTATTCAAGTCACATTCCATATTTTATTATTATTTAATTTTCTGATGATTTGATTTCTCGTTCAAGGCTCACTCCTCCAGGGCTATTGATTTGGAATAAATGATTATGTAATCGCGCTAGTGTCGCAACTTTCGTTGTTTTCGACTTCCTCCTCCGCTAGGTCGACTGGACTCCCTTGATCGGTTCTACAAAAGTACTATATGCAATATGGGTTATACTAACCTAGAGTAAATTGATTAAAATATAGAAGAAAAATAAAATATACCAAATATCGAAAATACTATAGAAAATATAAAATATCGAAAATACACAAAATAGAAAATTTAAAAATAAAACATACAGAATAGATGTCCGCAAACAGGTAGGACTATGAAGACTATGTCATCGTCAACATCCCATTGGAAGTGACCTACCAAATTATATGATTTTGTATGCACCATATTGTACGGAGTACTCCGTACTTCACCACATACTCCACTCATCATCCACCCGTTCTACACTAAAATCCTTAGCGCACCCAGTGTGGCGGATTATTCCAAATTCAATAGTTTCAAATCAGATCGACGAATCTGTTGGTTAAAGCTGAAAGTGTTTGTTTCAGCCCCCTTGTTGAGCCACAGATCCAAGGTTATCCTCTTTTTGGGGCCTTGTTACCTTGCTTCAACTGAACTATATTTACTATACTTCTCTGGGAATGTCAATCGGATCGACATCATTGTGGCTAACCTAATCAAATGTTGTTGGTAAAACAGTGCCACATGACACTGTCCTGTCCTTCAGGGACCCCCACGAGCCCAACAGTTGCAGGAAGAGTAACGTAGGGAGAACACTACGTGGTATATCTCGGCCCTACAGTTTGACATAGTAATAGTGCCGTACATGGATTGGAACCTTGGAATCCTTCCATGGCTGACACTTGACGTGATCCCTTTCTACCAATCAAAGTTCAAGTCAAAGACATATCCACATTCTCAGCTCTGACGTTCTCAATCCCGACGGCCGAAGGGCTCTCTGACTACAATATTGAATCCCCTTCAGTAATAATAGGCATCAACTCAATGCCCAAAACCCGCAGCCGATAATCGGTGGAGTAGGCTATAATGATCACCGATCCCTTCCCTCCATGCGCTCGTTTCCCCTCTCCGATCCAGATCGACTAACGATTTTTGGGATCCACTTACACCAGGTTATGCATTGCGCCCATGCATACATACAAAGGCCGAGGCATGGAGTGGAGATGGTCTATCGAGTAATCAGCGTCGTAGTGATAAGACAGAAAGAAAAAAAAAAGATGGAAAAATGCGGTCACACACTCAGCTGCACAGGATGATCGACCGTGCATGGGAAAACAAAGTTGGCGAAGACAAAATAATTAAAAAAGCAAATATATTGTAAAAAAATCCCAACAAGAGGAACGCCTATGTCATTCGACGGGTTAGTGCATACACATGGCGGGATTGCAGCTACTTCCCGAAATTCACAGAGGCATTGTATGTCTGTCGCATTGTTCTCGCAGTAAATGCAGGGTATCCTCGCAGCGACGTCGCCCGAGTCGCGCAGTGTGAGTCAAGCTTCTAAGCCACTCGTCACCCATCCTCGACTATCCCTCGGATGCAGATCGTCCGTTTATTGAAGCCTCGCTCACCCCATGCGATCATGTGCAGGGCGATCTTTAACGGACTTGCATAGTAGAATCAGGGACTGGACAGATCCCGGTGGCGCGATAGTGAGGAAGTAGTTGCATCTCGCCTCGAGTGACCCCAACTCAGTTGATAGACACGGCTTATTGGGTTGCATTACTCTGTGATGAGCGCATTCTTCCAAGCCCTTTCCGGTCTGTCCCGCACAAGGGATTCAATTCCCCTTCAATAGATATCAAAGAAGGTTTTGACAGGCTCCACTCCATCGAGGACCGGAGGCTGAAGGATCGTTCCCCGGGATCCATGCTCAATGTCAAGAGGTGAGCTGAAGGTAAGGGAGTAGAGTGAAGTTCTGAATGTTCATTGGTATTTCGCTATTTCGCTATTTCACTAGCTCCAAGTCTGGACCCGGGAGTCAAGGAAATATTGAAATGAGATTAGCAATAACCGGAATAAAAATATAAAGCAACAATTTCAATATTCACAATAATGAAAAAAAAAAGAAAAAGAATGAGGAAATGAGAAAGAAATAATATCACATGCAACATATGCAATGCATACCTGATCCAATCCCGATGAGACCAAAGCCCTAATAGAATAAATTCGAAAAAAAGGGCGAAAAAAAAGACCAAAGAGGAAATGGAAGATGTATCGAACTCAGAAAGCTGCGAACGGTGAAGCCCAAAGGGGAAATGGGGAGGGACAAGGAAGGAGATATGCGAAAGGGAGAGAAGAAAAATAATAATAAAAAGATGATGTGAGCAGAGGTAGACTAAAGGGTTGGTTAACATCATCACTTCAAAAACAGAGGACTCGCCCTGGTTGGATTGTCAACTCTCATTGCTTTCTCTTGATTAGTTCCTTCCTCGTCACTTTTTGAACTCTTTACAAGTCAAACTGTGACAGTCGAACCTCAGATTTCAATCGTCATGTCTGAGAAAAGCCCTAGATCAATCACCATGCCTCCAGCAGTCGTCGTCGCACCGGGCTCACCCACCTCGAGTGAGGGCACTCTGCATGATGGCGATGTGATGGAGAAGTGCCATACCAAAGATATGGAGGCTTTGGATCTTAACAGTCCAGCCGAGAGTACACCGGCGAGCGTTGACTTGGAATCGCAAACCACTCCTCAGATCAAGCCTAAGAGGTTTGCATCTGCTCGTTATGCTATACTCAATCTGTACCGACGCCTCTTCACAATAGTGTTCTTCGCGAACATTGCCGTCTTCGTCTATGTCATGACCACCAAGCAAACGCTGCTAGCACTGGTCAATGCCACAGCTGCCAACCTACTCGCCTGCGGTTTGGCCCGCCAGCCACTAGTCGTCAACGCCATCTTTCGGATCGTGTGCTCGATGCCGAGGTCGGCACCGCTTCCCCTCCGTCGTGTCGCCGCTAAGGTATACCACTATGGTGGTGTGCATAGCGGATGTGGAGTGGTCTCCCTCCTCTGGTACCTGGGATTCGTCGGCGTCCTGTCCAATCAATACTGGAACCCATCATCGGCCAGTCCGCAATACATCAAGTCAGCGGTGTCAGTCGTCCTCTCTTACATCATCTTAGTCCTGCTTTTAGCGATCGTTGTGGTGGCCCACCCCGCAGTGCGCATGAAGCGACATGATTATTTCGAACTCACCCACCGTTTTTCGGGGTGGCTTATCGTAGCCCTGTTTTTCGCCCTCTTGATGACCGTTTCGCGAGAGGCTAGCCAGTCTCAGCACGAACCCCTTGGCAAATTCCTCCTCTCGCTACCAGCCTTCTGGTTCTTGCTTATCACCATCCTGGCCATCATCCAGCCATGGATCATGCTCCGCAAGGTAGCGGTGCGTGCCGAGCCCCTTTCCACACACGCAACCCGCCTGCACTTCGACCACGCCATCACCACTTTCGGCAAAGGCACCCAACTAGCCAAGCACCCCCTCCGAGACTGGCACGGCTTCGCCACTTTCCCTGACCCCACCCCGTCAGCCGTGCACGGCACCCCCAGCTTCTCCTGCCTGATCTCCAAAGCAGGCGACTGGACCGCCGACACAATCCAGAACCCACCGACGCACCTGTGGAAGCGAGGCGTGCTGATTTATGGCTTTGCCTACGCCATGCGCGTCTTCCGCAGGGTGATTGTCGTTACCACCGGATCGGGTATAGGGCCATGCTTGTCATTCCTCGGCGATGACAACCGGCCTGCTCTGCGCGTGCTGTGGCAGACCCGTGCCCCGCTCAAGACATACGGTGAGGGCGTGATGGATCTGGTGCGTAAGATGGATTCCGACCCCATCATCCTAGACACAGACCAGTGCGGTCGCATCGACATGGTCCCTATCATCTTGCAGCAGATCAAGGACTTCGATGCAGAAGCGGTGTGCGTGATCAGTAACCCTGTGCTGACGGGGCGAATTGTTTATGAGCTCGAAGCGCGAGGGACCCCGGCGTTTGGTCCGATTTTCGATTCCTGAATTTCGTCTCTCCAGGATTCGAAGCCCATACCTCTTTTGCTGATTGTTTGTTCTTTTTTTTTTCGAATCTTCTTATTGTGTCCGTTTTTCATGTCGGAGTTTCGCATCTGTTCAAATGTTGGCGTATATATACCCTTTCACATGGTGTGTTGAGTTTTTTTCTTCATAACAAATTTGTCCACGACATTTCAGAAAGACCTTCAGGGGGTTCAGTTGTACATATGTGAGCACTGCCCAGGGGAATTTGGAATTACGCTCAGACCCCAGGCAAATGATCTTAGGCAACCTGTGGGTTGCAAACCCTGACAAACTCTATCGAATTCCAAATACAAGTTCATTGAGACTCCATACAAAATGTAGACTATTAACTATTGCATTGCCACTTCATCTTGGCTTAGGGCTCAAGAAGTTAGCATAACGTTATGACGTTCTCATAACGCTGCATACACTTGCATTTGCATGATGATCCATAGCAATAAAACCGTTGTCATTAAGCTCTAGGTTTCATCTGAACCTCGCAGCTACAGATATCGTGTCCATACATAGTTTGAGGCCAAAAATCCCCGACGACTTCCACCCCGCGGACTCTCCGCGGCCTGTACTTCCCAATCCGGTAATTCACCGCGGAGCCAACCCGATCCCGAAGTATACAAAAAACAAATATAAAATGTCTAAATCGCTAAATTGAAAGACTCAAACGAATGAAATTAAATTGAAAGAAAGCGAATGGAACTCACAAAATCATCCATCACACCCACCAATCACGTCCACCACCAACCCTCAACGCCCCAAGTCCCCAGGACCACCGCGACTGCAATGTCCGAAAAACGCAAGGTAAGCAAGCAGCCCAATTCAACATGCTCACATCCATTGCGTCTCCACCCACGCACTTACAAGCACAAACAAAACAAGTCCATACAAACCCACTCACAATCCGATCCAGGCAATAATCATTGGCGCCGGCCCCGCCGGTCTCGCCACGGCCCTGCGCCTAAAAACACACAACGGTCTCGACTGCATGGTCTGCGAGGTGCGCAGCGAACCCACCACTCTCGGCGGCGCAGTGGGCATTCCACCGAATGGTCTGCGTCTACTTGACCGTCTCGGCGTGTACGACGCGCTGTGTGCACGGGGGTATGGCGGCCGACTGCTGACGGTGCATTCTGCTCGTGGTGGGGTGCTTGGCGTTAAAGACTGGGTTGGGTGGGCGAGGGAAAGAATTGGGTATGGGTATTTGAGGATAAAGAGGGTTGACCTTGTGGATGTTCTGTTGGAGGCTGTTCAGAAGGAGGGGATTGAGGTTAGGTATGGGGTTAAGATTGTCGGGATTGAGGAGGGTGGTCAGGGTCAGGGTGAGGGGGCGGTGGTGAGATTTGAGGGGGGGCGTGAGGAGAAAGCGGACGTTGTGCTTGGGTGTGACGGGATTCATTCGGTTGTTAGGAGGTTGGTTGTGGATCCCGGGTTTGGGGGGGAGTATTCGGGGTTCGCGGGGTCATTTTCGATTGTTCCTGCTGATGGACTGAGAGATGGAGCGGTGAATGCTATGGCTGGCTTGCATGCTATGATGACTGAGGAGGGGATGGTCATGGTTAATCCGTGTACTGCGGACAAGGGTGAGGTTATGTGGGGGTTTTCGAGGGAGGTCAGTTTGCCTGAGGGGGGTGATAGTCGGGATGGGTGGGAGGAGACTCGCAAGGCTGAGGTCGAGGGGTTCAAGGATTACATGTTGAAGATCCTTGACGGTGCTCGTGGCGAATGGGCGGAGACCGTCAAGGATATCGTTGGCAAGACTTCTGTTGTCAAGTTCCACCCTATCTACAGGCTGCCGCTTGGTGGCCGCTGGCACAAAGGTCGGTGCTTGCTGCTTGGTGACGCCGCGCATGCCATGTCGCCTCATGCTGGACAGGGTGTTTCCATGGCCATTGAAGATGTATTCTTGTTGTCACGGCTTCTCGAAGACCCCAGTCGTCCTTTGTTGGAAGTCTTTGCCAAATTTGATGAGATTCGTCGCCCGCGGGTGGATGAGATCTACACACTGGCTGCGAAGAACGCCGACGGCAGAAGGAAGACTGGTCCATGGGGATTGTGGATGAAGGAGACAGTGTTTGACCTGTATATGAGTGTTTCCGGTGTTTTGGGTCTGGACCAACGGGGAGTCGGACAGAAGCACCTGATTTATGACATTGATGAGGTGGAAATTTGATGGTCTGTGTATTCATTGTTCATTAGATATAACATTTGCTAGAGCTGTCATATGCTGCTCACTGAGTTGTACTATTCGACCACGCTAAATTGCATTTCAAACAACCTTCCGTGATTCATCGGAACATAACTATGTGCATGGTATGAAGTGAGGTTAAAATAAGCCCTCCATAAGGTTCTTCAGCTTCCGAAGAGAAAGCGGTTTGACGAGGTAGTCGTCGACTCCTGCGGTCTTTGCTGCCTGTTGCATGGTATCCGAAGCCACGCCCGTTACAGCCATAATGCAAGAGGCCTTGAGCCCATTGTCATTTTCATACTGGCGTATCTTACTGGTTGAGACAAGACCATCCATTACTGGCATTGATAAATCTAAAGTATTGATATTAATTTAGCAGCTGGTCACTTCTGCAAGGTTGAGCAGGCAGAAAAGAGAACTTACCCATCAAGATTAAATCGTATCTTCGAGTTGCAGATTCAACCTTCTCCAACGCAATCAGTCCATTGGAGGCTGTGTCGTAACTGTAGCCGAGCTTGCGCATGAAAGTAGCAAGGATCTATTTACCATTACCAGTCAGATCGAGAAAAGCTTGCAAAAGAGAAAGGGTTAGACACGCTTCACTTACCTTCAAATTGATATCGTTGTCATCCACGATGAGAACATGCAGTTGATTGTTTGTGTCAATGACTGAACCCTCCAAAGGACTCTGGCAGACTGATTCAAGTGGAGTCTGGGGTACCAATTCGAGTGTGGTCCGGGGTACCATTTCAAGTGTGATCTGGGGTACCATTTCCTCCGAAATCGTTGAAACAGTCGATGGCACCGGTTGGAGTGTGACCTCTTCGGGAAATATTGGAGGGATGTGTAGTTCTGTAAGATCAAGAGCACCACCAATCCGAGGCTCCAATTTACGAAGCTCCAGAACTCTTTCAACAGCTTGGAATATCTTCTTGGGTCCAAATCTAGATCAAAATCAGCTTAAGCGTCAATACATGAGGGGTGGGGCTGAACATACGGCTGTTGCACAAGAACAACATTGGCAGGGAGAGTGTCGACAGGGAAGGGCGGTGTGCTTCTCAGAACGATGAAGAACTTGAAGGATGATTCGCCTCCCCGCATGGCCTGGAACTTACTCTCCTCGATGACGGCGATTTCACCGGTACCCTTCTCGAGAGACTCCGCGAGTGTGATATGCCATCCATGCTGAGCCATCAAAACACCAGCGAAAGCATTTTGAATAGAAAGCTTCCGCTTCGCGTCAGAAGTCATGATGCCTGTGGGTGTTTCCGCCAAATCGGGATAAGCATTAAAGCCAATAAGGCTTACTTTCAAGGGAATGGTTGAGTCTCTAGGCTCAAGAGAGTCATCGAGTGACTGTACAGCAGCAGGAATATGGGTTTCGCGCCGATGCGAGGGAGTGTATACATCGACCTGGGTACCCACGCCAACCTCACTCCTCATGTTTATATGGCCACCGAGGAAGGCGACTAGCTTATGTACGACGCTGAGACCAAGCCCGACACCCTCTGATAGAGCATCTTCCTGGGAGAATGGGGTAAATGCCGAATACGTGAGAAATTCTGGTGCGATTCCTCGGCCTGTGTCTGTGACGCGCAGGTGAGTTAGGGTTGAGTCTGGGTTGGTCTGGTCGGGGACCTCGGCTAATGATAACTCGATTAGACCATGCTGAGTCCATTTCAATGAGTTGCCTAGGATGTTCATGACTATTCTTCTCCAGGCGCCGGCTACCGATCGAATCTTCCAGGAGTTAGGCTGCTCGATGTTTATGACGACTGACAGTTCGCCGGCTTTAGGGTCTTCGCCAGTGGGAGTCGCCGAGGATGTTCGGTGTGATGTTTGGTGTGAGAGTGAGGAAGTAGGCTCTGGTGGGGTCCGACCTGTGTGAAGTATCATGGCGACTTCCTCGATCAAATGGTCGAGATTGAATTCGGAGACCAGGCCGATGGCACCATTTTTGTTCTTTTTGTTGTCGAGGTCTTGCGTGGTCGCTAGATTGTTGATTTTACAGTAATCCAGCCTAAAACATTGTTAACAAGGCATCCCGAGAAACAGACTGCGAAGCACTTACAGGTGGTCTATCGTGTCTAACAAAGTGAGTCCAGAAGTTGAGATCATTTTCAGCATGTCATGCTGTGCAGGCTGGAGTGGAACATCATTCAGTAACTCCGCACTCGCAAGTATGCCATGGAGCGGGGAGCGAAGCTCATGACTGATCGATGTTACAAAGTCGAATTTGGAATTCTCACTCGCAGTCCAATGCAAGCGAGACACTTCTGAGATAATGGAATCCCCGAAAGCTTTGAAGTAGTGTAGTTCGTCCATTCCCAAGGGGCGGTGGAGGCTATTTGCCCAAACTAAAGTCCCTGCAAGCCAGCGCGATTTGCTCCAGTCCCACAGGGGATAGAAAAGTACACATTTGGCGTCAGGAAGTTGGCGAGCCAAACGAGTGGATATTTGCTGAGTAATTTCAGAATCGGGAGAAGAGAGTGTGGTTATGTTTTCGGAGGCGGCGGTTTCGTCGCAGTTTCCATGACTGTCAATGTTGAAAACATGACCCTCTGGAAAATGAGTGATCAATGAATGTAACAGATCTTCGGTCACCATCACGGAACTTGAGTTAGTGGTGCCTTCAGCTGTCCAACAACCTACAGCTTCGCCCAAAAAGCCACAATGCTTTCCAGCGTCTTTGGGCAATGTCGCGCGCGGCGTGATGGGGAATCCTGTATCAAAAAATTGTGGAACAACATCCCAGTTTTCGATTTGTCCGGACGGTTCGCTATAACGGTTAGACTGCGTCAACTATGCATGAAAAAGCGCGACTCACAATTGTGGATCATTCCGATGGGCATCGAGAAATACCACGCCATCGAGATCCAACGATTCCTTTAGCAGTGCGCTGGCACGGGAAAAGATCGCGCCAATACGTTCGGAGATAGGCACAGTCTCTGGCCCTGTCAATTCCGCAGGAGCATCGACACAAGCGGATGCTGGATCCAATCGATCTGAGGAAGTTCTAGAAAAAGAAGACGGCAGAGTCGACTTGGATGCAGAACGAACGGGTCTCGAAAAGACAGAAACTGCGTGTGCATTCAGGCTCGGCGAAGATCTTTGGTCGACAGATAAGTCATCCTTATCTGTAGACAAAGAAGCAATAGTTTCCCCAACATCGCCCAAGCTGACCCTCGGCTCGAGACTCTTAGAATTCAAATTCTTCCAAGACGCCTCAAGCTGATTCTGCGTCGAAGAACCCGTCGGGTCGAATTTCGAGTGACTTTTGACAAAGTTCGTCAACCCCTTGACCAAATTCTCTGATCGCCGATGGTACTGCACAATGCGCGCATTTTCCAGATGATTGGTTATCGCATCCGCAATTTCTCGCAAAGCAGCCACCTCCTCGTCACCGAACCCCGCGCGCGGCTTGTTATCCACAACACAGTACGAGCCGAGCACATGTCCCGAAGGACTGTACAGTGGCACCTCAGCGTAGAAACGGAAAAACGGCCAGTCAACCACATACGGGCGATCTTTATAGAAGTCCTCTATTGTGAAGTCACGAATGATATTGCGTGTTCGATTGGCCGTTATATTCTGTGTATCCTGTTCCTGCGACGGATCCTGCCCTGTGAACAGCCGAATCGCATGCGGACAAACACCCCACTGCAGATCGAGGGTGCGGACACCGAGAAAAATGCCGTCGTCCGGGCGATGGTGGTCTGTATTGCAGAGGGAGATGGACGCCGTCGCCTCTGAGATTACATGCTGGCGTTCGTTATCGATGATGGACACAAACGAGCGATTGCAGCCGAAGCGGTAGACGCCCAGTTGGGTCAGTGCAGTGAGCGTGGTGTCGGATGAAAGGCGGATTTCTTCTGAGCTTTCGGGCAGGCCTTGTTGATCGAAGGTGCAATAGTACCTAGATCAATCGGGGGATGTTAGTGACGATCGCTGGCGGGGACAGCATGGATCGAATCGAACCTTGATAATTCCCGGACTCGCTCTTGCTCATCTGGCTGACCCATAATTTGATGGGCCAGCTGATTTACAGGTCTTTTTCACATAAGTGTTGATGTTGATGTTTGAAAAAAACCGTTACCAGCAAACCTGTTTTTGGGACCATGACACACTAGTTATCCTGACTTTGGCGGCCTTAGTGCCTCGGCAAGAGAACTTTCCATTAAGAATCGATGGGCCTAGAACTCGTCGGGTAGCGACGGAGTATATTTTGTCCGATACAGTATACGAATCACCATTGGTTTGGACGTCTAGGGGAGTTGTAGATTGTTTAATTGTTTGAAAGTGCAATTTGATAGTCGAGAGCTCAGATAGATTTGGGATTTTTGTTTTAACTATTTACTAAGAGTTGAGAAGTGCTGAACATAACCGAAACACTTTGTTAATTAAAAATGAAAACTCGTGACAATAGATCATAAAAGAGTATAAAAGGACTTGATTCCTATCAAATTCTTCCATGGAAATAGAAAAAGTAAAGTAGAAGGCAAAGTAAAATCCACTGAACAAGAGTGAATCGGGTATCATGCAAACTTGGCTGAAACAAGACCCGTCCGGAAAATGCGCTGCAGCCCGATTGCTATCGTGGCTGGTTTCTCCTCCGTCGTTGGTATCATTAGATCCTTAGTTGAAATGGGACCGAAAGTTAGAAGCAAATTGGATCAAATTAATGACCGAGAATGATAGAAGGAAATTATCGTATGGAGTTTTGTGTGAAGGGTAATTTTTTGGTTGGTCGTTAAAATCGTAAAAGTCGTAATGGAGAACGATAATCAGAAGACCTGATTACACATGTTGAAGTGCTTGGGGTATTTCTTTTATTGACGGGAGGAATCAGTCGAAGGAGCGCGAGAGGGGGTGCGCGAGGGGAGAGGAGAGATAGCCGGTGAGTGTCCAGTGACAAGATCGTCTTGAGTGAAGCGCATCTGGCGAGAAGAGCTGCGAGTAGATCGGTTGGAAGAGTGGGTGGAATCACTATCCAGTCGCAAAGAGTCCATTCGCTCCAGATCCTCGTAATCGGGAAGCGGGAGAGGGGAGCCGTGGTAATCTTCGATATAAGTTTGAGCATTATCGGGCTTGTAGCTAGGAGGGCTAGCAGGAACATCCTCGTAAACAGGAGGCATCTCCTCGTCCCAGCTAATACCAAGACCAGCACGCTCGGTGACGTGGAGGTGGAACTGCATGCGCAGGACACGAGCAGCACCAGTAGGGGTAATTAGGCGAGTGTTGCGGTTGGGGCAGAACTCCTCGGCCACAATGAGCTCGATAACAAGGTTGTGCTTGACTTCTAAGCCGCCAGGGGCCTCCATGTCGCACACGGCATTGGCAGCAGGGTTGATGTTTGCCTCGAAGTTCATGGTGATTTCACCACCAGCGGTGTCGAAGTCGGTCTTCCAGCCAGTCTTCTCTTCGTTGTGGCCAATGATGCGAGTTTCCTGGTGCAGAACACCCTTGCCCTCGCCGCCAATCTTGTGGGCGTGCTTCTGGCAAGCGGTTGAAACGATCTTCTGGTGCTCCTCAATACGCCACATCATCTTTCGTAGACGCCAGCGGGTTTGGGTCTCTTCGCCCTTGTCGACCACTCCACTCAAGGTCATTTCAACGGGGAACCTGCCAATAGGGTGAACGACGGAAGGTAAAACAATGCGGCCAGTAAGGTTGGTGGGAGGGAAGATGCGAATGGAGGACTTGTCGTTGCCCTGGATGAGAGAGCGACGAATCTCCAGAGGCAGCTTGAGGGAAAATTCTTCTCCAGTAACACTCTGGGCATGTGCCATCAGGAAGTATTCAACCTGACCAAGTGCACCATTGCAAGAGGCAGGAATGTGGCCAGGGAACAGGTAGCTGAAAGGGAAGTCATGCTCTCCACTCTCAAGGTGGAGATCCTCAGTAATGAAGTTCCATTGGGTCAGCTCCTCAGTGCGAGTGGCACAATTAGAGCAGTGAGTCGAGACGGGCTTCTTAGTGCTCGTCTTGGAGATGAGCCGGACGTCAAATTGGCTCATGGTCACTCCATCTGTCACTTCGGGGACAATGACACGCAAACGGCCAGAGAACAGGGCACCTGTCGAATTGTTTGGAGGACCGTAGCAGACCAATGGTGGTGACTCAATCTTGACTTCCAGCTTTGCGGCTGCTTGCGGTACTTCATGACCAGAACGCTCCTTGGACCGTCCTGAACGTCCAAGGCTGCGGCGCTTGTCCTTGCTGTGATCTCGGAGAGGGTGAATCAAGTGGTCCATTGAGAAGGATAGGCGACGCTCAGGGGATCGTGCGCGGTCTGAATGGTTGTGGACTGGCTTCTTCGCTCCGGGGATTTCATTGACAGAAACGGTTGAGGAGGAGTTAGAGTGAATGGGAGTCGATGATACGGAGGAGTGTAGTGAAGCCGCATTCCGGATCAGGTTGGGAATCAAACGGCCCGGCATAGTGGCGGTTGCTCAATTGGGCTTGTATAACGTCGATGTAGATCAGTTGCAGATAAGATTCAAGAAGCAGTGCGATGATGGAATAATTGAGTCGAGGCAATCCAAAACATAATACGCTTCTAAGCTTTGGGAGGTATAACCAAAGAAACAAAGTGAATCCTAAATTCAAGGGCATCCGCTGCTTTTGAATGGCAAGAACAATCATGTGCACCGAAACCGTGGAAAACTAATTTTGTACCAAATAAAAAAAAATGAATTTTTCACTAAATTTTTCATTTAATTCAAATTTTTTTGTTCTAAAGTGTCCACTCGTAGCCAGGTACCGGTGCATTCAATGAGAAACTGGAAGAAAAAAAGGAAAGAAAAAATTAGACAAGTGGGGCGTTACACGGCGTCATAGTGGATCATCACAATACCAATACCGTAGAATAACATGTCAAATACACCGCATTCAATCAACTTTTAATAGTAACCCCTCCAAGGTCCTTTATTTAGGTCTTTGTATTGTTGACTCAATTGTTGGTTATTCTGAGCTCATCTTCCAGACATGTCGCAATGTAAGTCGCAATCCCAACGCCTCATTCAAGCCTCACATCATCTCATCAACTGAGTCGGGTAGCCGGATCTAGTGCCGAGACAACAACGCTAACACGCCCAAACCTTAGGGCTCTTGAGATGAACATAGTTGTACAATATAGAATGCTCGAGCCCACCATTTACGATCGTCTGATGTCTTTTATGCCTTACCCCACTTAAGCCCGTGTATGGGCATCATCTTTGGATCATAAAAGAACCATCGACAAAATTCCAAGCTAGACCTCATCAGGGCACTCGGCGGGAGGCACATGATGCCATTAGCTCTAGGGCTTGACATAAAAAAAAATGGCCGTGCGCGTGACTCACCCGGATCGGCTAACCCGGTCGGAGAGGTTGGCGATGCTTCGGTTCATCTTAATATGATTGTCTATGGACAATAGAATTCAGCTAGGCATGGTTTAGCATGTGGTTCGGCGTTGGAGCCCGGGGATCACTTTGCCCGCGGGGTATATCTTCTTTTACTACACGGCCGATAGCGGGATCAGCCGCTTTAGAGGCCTTGAGAAGCGGGCAAGGATACCAACTTAGGTATACAATCCTAGATGATCACGATGCTACCCCAGCTTTGGATTATCAAGCATGAGGAAACAACGGAGAACGGCCCGATCAGATGTATCATGTCTTTGACTCATTTAGCCACGAATACCTGCAGGCGAACCTTGAAAACCTTGGAAACCTTGGAAACCTTGGAACTGGTTGAATTCTTACTTCTATATTCTTAATCGTTTCAGCTCTGCTTTAGAAAATTCTCATCTATTGATGTCTCTAGAATACCTCTAGGCTATGTAGAGCAACGTAGTCGAATCAAGCAGAAACGATGTACGTATACTTCTCATCACGTGGCGCAATGGCGTATACTGAACGGATCGAGATTCCAGACCAGTGTAAATGACAAACCAATACCGTACGGAGTCAGTACCAAACGATCTACGACTAGCGCCTTATATAAACGCCTTTCCGCATTAGGACAACAAAACGCGATGGAAGACCCTTCACGGAGCTCCACCGGGAAAATTTTTCTTTTGGGTTTGTTTTTTAATTTTCTATTGTACATTTGTTTCTAGAATATTTATTGGTTACACCGCCTATCAAGCGTCTGATCTATAATACACAGAAAAAATTAATCTTAGCAGTACAACTTGTAGTAGGGGCCACGGCGCTCGCCTACGCCTATACCCCGCACTGCAGGCTCTGCATTTTGCGGGGCACAGTGTGCAGCTGCAAATTGCGAAAATCCGAATATGCGAATTCCGAATATGCGACCTACAATATTGTGTTTGTATGTGCAGAAAAAGTAACATCCATCAAGCAAAAGCAAATATCCCAAACAAGAAACATATGATCAACGTAAACAGAAGTTCTAGCCCTTCAGCTGTCAAGATATGCTCCGTGCTCTTAAAGTGTCTCTTCTGACGAATCACCTCCACCGCTGCCCACATTAATTACATAACAGCAACAACGACATCCCCGTAGCCGCTTCTAAGCACCGGCCTCGCGCACAGGGTGCTCAGGTACAGGCAGAGCTGCAGCTGCGACACGTTGTATGCATGCAGGGAGCTTGAAGAATTGGCTCGTGCGCTGGATTTCTTGTCTCATTTGCGTACTTTCCAAGGTTCTTTGGGATTGCCCAGGTGTCAATAAAAGGCGCAGGTGTCTCCACGGAGGTTCCTGCGGTGAGCTGAGGGTGATCACGCCATGGTGTTTTGGGACTGAAATGGTGATGGAAACGCGGTGATGCCATTCGGGTTCGCTCTTGCAATGCCGCCCGTCAGCTTGCACGTCGGAGATTTATTACATTGTTTATGGTACATTGTAGATCGATCTACGGAGGTCCTGAGCGACATTGAACAGTATCATAGAACATTGTATGATATTGTCCTGATCAAGGTAGTACTAAGTAATAATGACTGTGCGTTCTAGGGTATCCTGAAGAGCACACGTTACTATACGAATAGAGCATGTCCACGCTCCATCTTTTCATCTGTATAGCCTCTCCTCTGACTGACTACAAAAGGTATACCAACGTCGAGGCTAAAGTGATCATGGCCAGCTTCGGTGATCACGATTGTTAACCAGTGGCTGTCGTCCACCGGCAACTCGTCGGATGGACTAGCCAATTGTTGTTCAAAGGGATGCCGTCTCAGGCGAACTTCCTGTTTCGGGGCGATCTCGGTCTACCCCTCCGATCTGTTTCAACTGTGATCAGCCCTTTTTTCTTCTTTTTTTTTTCTTGCATTAAAAATTTTTTTTGGGTGCCGCAATCTCTCATTCTGATCTATGGGGAATTATTCTCCGCAAATTATGCCATATCAAAAACGCCCATCTCGTCATATCACATGTGTATACAACCTTATGATACATATGTACTGCGTTAACTCAATCTAAATAAAATAACATATATAAAATACTAATAGAAAAACACCACACTCCAATTCATTATAAATTTTCTCCAAATTGCGCCATTTCTCGTCGAACTAAAACTAATAGAATCAAAAGAAATCGGAAAGCGGAAAATGCCCGGGTCTCCGCTTAAGCGCGGGAAAGAAAATTTCTGTCGCAAACTTTATACTCGGCCCGTCGCAACGTGATGTTTAGCACCACTCACGGCCCGTAATGCCTCCTCCTGCCCTTGGTTCTGACTCTGCACTGGGTCCTGTTACTCCTGTCTTAATCATATATTTCTATGGGTATTGCCTCCACTTGATGGGGCGTAGTTTCGCCTTGTCGGAGGCTGCCGTCTCTTGGGGTTACACTTGGCAGTGAAGCGATCGTTTGGATACCCGGTCCGTTAGCCGCTCCGACGGTGTCGGTTTACCATGCGGTGAACAGGATTAGTACAATTACTGTACTAGGAATTGTCTTAAATCAAGGAATATGTTTGAATGCTGGTCTAGGCCGCATGAACGTAACTACGTTGTATAGTGAGAGTATAGAAGATTTTCTCGTATTCAATTCATGTAAAAAAAAAACTATGATCAACCCTGTATGACTGTTGCTGTGTTACCAGCAAACTTTCGGTCCAAGACTTTTGACGTTGACTCGTCGAATTCTTATCAGATCTTGGCTTCCAGCAGAAGCAAGCAGTGGACCCTCTAGGGCTATCGTCTTGAGCTTTGGACATAAATTGAACTAAAACAGCCCTCTATACTCCGTAGTGAACAGCTCTTTATGGTGAACCATCTATAATCCTCATTTTTTCAAAAGTCATCTCAATCTACCATGCAGAGTCCTGCTTCTTGAAGCTTAACTGGATCACCAACATGCGGCTACAATTTGGTCTATAGCATTTTCAATACAGCAAAACTGCTCCATCAGATAGCTGTATGCAGTGTAATTTTTGATCTCAAATCCAAAGTCACAAGTCTTCAGTATAATACTATATTTACAATATTGTTCTGTATCCTAAAAATGATCCCTGTTCCTGGCACGTGACTACCCCCGGATCGACGTGCGAGGATCACTTGAGCTTCCCCTATTCCGGATGAGAGCTCAAGCCACCGTGTTCTTTTTATGGTGTACTCCAGCATTGCCATGATCTCAATTACTGCATGTTAAAAAAAAATTCATTCAAATACCCCGACCCTCGAGCGTGCATCGGATAGTGGGATGTTCGAAGCGCGTTCCCCTCCATCCAATGTCTTGAAATCCTGTGTACTCTAATCTACTCCGATAAACAATTTCAACCACCTCACAATTAATCACCACAATATCTCGACCAAACGTCCAACTCCGCAGCCATCTGACCTGTCACAACCCCTTCCTTCCCAGTCGCGGAAGTACAAGGACCAAAATCGCACCTCCACACCCTCATCCCACCACAACCCACCCCAAAATGACCGCCTCCTTCAACTGGACGGCCCTAGCGGTCGCCATAACAGCCGTCTTCATATTCTGGACCCTCAGCTCAACAACCTCCTCTCCTTTCACGCGCAGCTTCCCCCGCCTTCGAAACAAGCGCATCTGCCTCCTAATCGCCCACCCAGACGACGAAGCCATGTTCTTCGCCCCAACAGTCCTAGCCCTAACAAGACCAGAGCTGGGCAACCACCTCAAAATCCTCTGCCTGAGCACCGGCGACGCCGACGGCCTAGGCCCAATACGCACGAAGGAGCTGCAGAAATCGGCACTGGCGCTCGGCGTCCGCAGCGAGAGCGACGTCTTCATCGTCGACGACCCCGCCCGCTTCCCGGACGGCATGGCCAACGACTGGGAAGAGGGAGCTGTGGCGGCGCTGCTGGCATCAGCCTTCGCGCCGGATATGGCCAAGAACGCGAAGAGCGGGCGCGCACCCACCGCGACGATCGATGTTATTCTTACGTTTGATAAGTTCGGCATTAGTAACCATCCGAATCACCGGTCGCTGTATCATGGGGCTGTGAACTTCTTGCGCGCTGTCATGAAGGATAAGCATGGCTTTACTTGCCCTGTTACGCTGTATACGCTTACGACGACGTCCATCTTCCGCAAGTATGCGGGTGTGCTTGATGCGCCGTTGTCTATGTTTTTGGGTGTGTGGAGTAACATTTCTGGTGGGCTGATGGGGTCGAAGAAGAAGGATGCTGCTGCTTCTGGGGAGGGTCCGGCGCGGTTGTTGTTCGTTAGCTCGATTAATGAGTGGTTGACGGCGCAGTCGGCTATGGTGAGCTGTCATCAGAGTCAGATGGTCTGGTTCCGCTGGGGTTGGATTACTATCGGCAGATATATGACTGTCAATGACCTTAAGCGGGAGAAAGTCTGATGGGACCTTTTGCTTTGGAATCGCTATGCCCCTTCTGCTAGGGATAGTGTTGGATCTTCTTTGGATCTTGCATCATCTGGCCTGATGGCCTTTGGCTTGTGTCGTCTCAAGCTTCGTGTCTGTACATTATTCTGGGCCTGTGTACCATTTTGTATATTTATTGTTTTACCGTTACGTCTACTTGGCGGGCTTAATGATGGACATAGTTACGTCTCTCGCATATCTAAAGAACAGGACAGCAGGGCTGATATAAATTGTACTGCTCATGCAAGTGGCAAATGGATATCATCTACATGATCTATAACAGGTACAAATCGCTTTAAATGATACAAATAAGCCCTGTCAGCTCCAAGGATCCCCATTCCTCCAAAAGATGGATCGCCGAGGTCCAGCATCAAGGCCAAGGGCATGAATGCGACCATAAAACCCGCCCGCAGGATTATTTTTCTCCGACAATTGATGATCCTCGGGATACTCTACCCAATTCTGCAACTTGTTGAGTTTCTGTTTGAGTTCATCGGTATGCTCAACCTGGAACGAGTAGATCCGGCTGAGCGGAGAGATGGACGGGTCAAGTTTGGGATAATCACGAAGCAGAAGTTCCCAAAAGACCTTGTCGTCAAGAGTTTTCTCTTCGATGGGTTGGAACAGCTCTGGCTGGTCTGGTAGTCGCCGTGCATGGATGAGGCCGTGTTGGCTCATGTATCTGCTGTGAGAGTTGGTCATCCCATGAAACTCGACTGTGCCGCTTTCGTCCTCTTTGTAAGAGCTTGTGCTTTCATAAACATTCTTCTCTGGCAGGAAGTCTTTCCACTCTTCCTGTAGCTTTGGTCTTTCTTGTTGCTGCCAGACATTCGTTGGTGTGTGTGTCCAGTCTCTCCTGATGATTACCGCATAGGCAATGCGCTGCATGAGATATATCTGCTGGAAGACTTCAAGCCGGAGAAGATCGTATGTATGAATGGCCTCGGTGAGCAGAGGACACTGGAATAGTGACATGTCTGGCTTGAGACAATTCTCTCGTTGGTATTTGGCTGCGTTGCGTGGTGATTTCTTGCCATCGAAAGGTACTCTCATGCTTTCCAGGACCGGCTGAAGGCACCGCATTACCGTATCTCTTGCCTCCTTTCTTTTTGCCCTGGTCTCACTGAGGATGCTATATGCCTTACGCATATCTCTCTTGCAGGCCTCGAGATCACCATCCATAATGTGGCTTTGAGTCGTGAAACGGTACATTTGGAGAGTTGGGGCAACGTTGTAGGGTTCGGATGTCATCGTCTGAAACATGCCATGCACCATGTCTCTGGAAACTTTGCCTGTTCTTCCATCATTTGCCTGCCTCCGCTTATGTTCTTTGGAAAGTGTATATGTTCTTTCGAGCAGCTCACACCAGACCTTATCCGGAATTGGGATATTGTACGAAGAAGAGATAAAGTCCACCGCCCGAATAGCGGTATGAATGTCGTTGTTTGTACCAAAGGCGTGGGCCACAGCAAATAGAAGGCGCTCCGTTGGGTACAACCCGGACCAGGTATCGTATGGCGTAACGGGAGGCAATAGGGAGTTATCGTTCTCGGCCAATATCGCATCCACGTCAACGTTCCACACAGTAATGAGGATGTTTTTTGTCGCTTTTCTGTCGCCCACACGGGCCGCTGAGAGTAGAACGTTGATATATGTCTGCTCATCACCACTCAGTCCACTCTGGCTCATTTCACTAAATACATCCAGCACGATTCGTTTGACGCTGTTTGCTGCTGTGCCATAGCCCCGCCAGCCAGGACTTGGATTCGTCATGCGCCGTTTCTTGTAGCTATAAGGGAGAATTCGAAGATTGTATGATTCTTTTCCCACATAGCAGTTGTCCCACACCTTTGCTTCCATGTAATGATTGTAGCACACCGTATCTGGGATAACATCATTCGCTTGCATTGCATCCCACAACTCATCTGCCAGCAGACCATTTCCCATCACCCGTGCACAGTCCAGGAGGTGGGTATATTCGGCTAGTTGGGGTGGATACCCAGCCGCAACTCTATATTGCATGATTGTGAGTAGGTCTTTCGTAAAATTATCGAACACCGCCTCCACCGGTTGTAGCCCTTGCATTAAAACACCCCACCCGTGCAACACATGATGGAGGTCACGGTAGGGTTCCACAAAATGAGACGGAGAAAGGAGGTGAAGAGTTTCGATGAATGTAGTTTGGTGTAATGATCCAACCAGCCCTACCGACCGTGGGTCAACCATAGCATTCATTACTTGGTTCGGTTGTGCATTTTCAATGATCCGGAAAAAATTCTCTCGGTATTCTGCCTCCTGTGCTGGAGAACTCCAGTCGGGTAGAGAAATTCGTTGTTCTTCCTCCATTGACGCAGGACGCGGTACGGCCAGATCGCTGTTTCGGCGCTGGCTTGTTGTACTCAATTGGCGGGAATCGAGCTTGCAGATGTTGCGCTCGGCTTTGGGAAGATGAATCTTCCATGGTCTCCCTGTTGAGGAATATGCGACACATGATATTTTCTTCGAGTGACTGACCGGACTTTGCTTCAGGACTTGTCGTGGTCTGCTGATGCCATTGCTACCAGCCCCGGACCGAGAGGTACCCCAGTGAGAAGCGAACCTCTCACTGGTAAGGAAAATCTTCCGCATGGGGTAGATTGTGCGACACGAGATGTATGTGTCTATGAAGAAGAATCAAAAGAAAAACAAAGAGAATCATCAGGGGCCTAAATGAGGGGAAAGTGCGCTTCGACCCCGGATCATGGGGGACGTGGTACTTTGTGCATATTGTGCTTCAGACTAAGTGCAAAACCCCTGCACGATATTTAGAGACTTGTTTGAAGTTCATTCAAATCTATATTATTTGATCTGAATTTTATGGACATTTGAAGGATAGAATATAACACCTTTTCTATATAAAACCATACAATTGAGTATATCCACATACCTCGTGTCATAAATTAGATCCCGTGTGGATACAAAATGGCGAAAATCTGGGGTACTGCTGACTCATCATGTCTCTTGGCATGGATGGCGCTAAACCACATCGGGTATCAGCCAAAGCTCGTTGATTCTGCATGTGTGGGTGGACCTACAACTTAACCCAATTCAATATTACTATCCCGCCATGGCCGACACTGACGATACCGGTGGTCCCTCCGTTTCAGAGCCTCTGGACCTCGTCCGTCTCTCTCTCGATGAAACTGTGTTTGTGAAGCTCCGTGGTGACCGTGAGCTTAAGGGCCGCCTTCATGTAAGCTACCCCCCATCTGCGACTCTTTGAAGAACACTACTGAATGTGATCTCTTTTCAGGCCTACGATAGTCACTGCAACCTGGTTCTCGGCGATGTGGAAGAGACAATCTACGTGGTAGAGGAGGATGAGAATGAGCAAGAAATTCTGCGGGTAGGGATATGAATACGGACAATCACTGCGGGCATGGTGTGCTAATTTGATTCTCTCGGACAGACAATCAAGAAGCAAGAAGAGATGCTTTTCGTGCGAGGTGAGTTAGATCTTCTAGCTGCGAACTTACCAAATGGTCACTGATCTTTACATATGTATCCAGGTGACTCCGTCGTCTTGATCTCCCCCCAGGCATGAGAGACTGCCTCGATTGATAGAACAGGCGTCTGGCGACCGTGAAGACTATATGCTATGAAGGACACAAGATACCACAAAATGCAGTCAACATAGATAACGATACCATGGAAATTGGTTTATGATCACTTTGTGATACTCCTAGGGATATATCTCAATATTGTGAGACTGTAGGCTATGCCACTGAGTCATAATGTTCCCTTTGCTTCTTTATGATTCTTAGTGTGATGTCTTAGGATGAAAGGTATTCCACTACTAGTATGTAGGCGCGCAAGCAATATTGCGGCTCCGGGGCGCATGGTCGATGACTCAACCAGTGACTCGACCTTACTTATCGATAAAGCTGCCCCATTCCCAGGGTCCGAAGCTTTACTTCTCTCAACTCACTCTTCTATTTCATCTAACTAACACTTTATTCTTTTGTCTTTGAACAAAAGAATACTATGATCACTCGAATACAGCCTACCAACTGCCAACATTAACGGCGATCCGATCCACCGCCGACCAGTAACGTCACTACTCCAAAAAGGCGGCACAGCCCAATCGACACGTTTAACCTTATCAACACCCCTGTCATGCCTACCAGGAAACAGAGCCCAGAGGAGCGACGACGGGGCGAAATCGTATGTTCTCTCACCCATCTTATAATAATAATCCCCATCTTACATGATCATCACCGTAGGCTCTCAGCGAGTTTGCAGAGTATGCCGAGAAACAACAGGCCCACCGCTCCACCCAAGTCGCACCCAGCGACAGTGGCTATTCCACCGCTAGTATATCGCGGGATTTCGAAGACCATGCTGAGTTGGACATCCTAGATCAACTCGAGCTATCTGATACCCCCCGACCAGCCAAGCTGAAGGAGCTTCTCCTCGGCACTGGTGATGCCGTTGAAGATAGCCTACAGATGCTCGCTGGAACACTGCAAACACGGATAGACGAAGGCCACGGAGAGACCATATTCGATCTCGGATTGGAGGATGGCGGTGAATCCATGGGCTTCGACCTCAACCAGTGGAATATTGCGCTACAGCGCTTGCGCGAGGCGGCCGAGACCATTCCTGCCCATTGCCGGGTATTGTTAACCTACAATGTTGGAGGCCCGGAGGAATCACCCGTGAATGCTGATCGGGTCTCAAGCTCCTGGGGCAAAGTTCTTGTGCGCCACCATCCCGATAACATCGAGGAGCTGGCAGAGCTTCGGGTCGCGGTGGTGGGGAATGTGGATGCCGGCAAGAGTACCATGCTTGGTGTTCTTGTGAAAGGCAACCTTGATGATGGACGTGGTCGTGCGCGAGTCAACCTCTTTCGCCATAAACATGAAATTGAAAGCGGGCGAACCAGCTCCGTCGGCTTGGAGATCATGGGTTTTGACAGCCGGGGTGAGATTGTCGGCAATTCCCACGGCCGGAAACTGTCCTGGGAAGACATTGCGAAACGATCTGCCAAGGTCATCTCGTTCTCTGACCTGGCGGGCCACGAGCGATACCTCCGTACCACTGTTTTCGGAATGCTGAGCAGCAGCCCCAATTACTGCTTGCTCATGGTCGCCGCCAACAACGGTTTGATCGGCATGAGTAAAGAGCATTTGGGCATTGCCCTAGCGCTCAATGTGCCTGTCATGGTCATCGTCACCAAGATTGACATCTGCCCACCTCATATTCTGCAAGAGACCTTGTCTCAACTGGCCAAGATTCTCAAATCTCCTGGCGCGCGTAAGATCCCCATATTCGTGAAAGACATGGAGGAGACTATCAACACGGCTACGCAATTCGTAAGCCAGCGGATATGTCCTATCTTCCAGGTCTCCAACGTCACAGGACACAATCTCGACCTAGTCCGAACTTTCCTAAACATTCTCCCTCATCGCGGCCAATACGACCCCTCGGGAGCATTTGAATTCCTAATCAGCGACACCTTCTCTGTTCCCCACGTGGGCACGGTTGTCTCTGGCGTCGTAAAATCCGGTGTTATCCATGCTGGTGACTCTGTCCTGGTGGGACCGGACTCGCTCGGTCAGTTCACTACCACTGTTATTAAATCCATTGAGCGCAAACGTGTCCAAGTGAATGCTTGTTTCGCCGGCCAATCTGGATCATTTGCGCTCAAGCGAGTCCGTCGAAAAGAAGTGCGCAAGGGAATGGTGGTGCTCAAAAAGTCGGAGGAATCTCCCAAGGTGTACCGCGAGTTCGTCGCAGAGGGTAAGACAAACAATCCATGACTAACTAACCCCATGCTAATAGAAAATTAGTTCTGATTCTTTCTCACGCAACTACCATCAAGCCTAAATATCAGGCTATGCTCCACGTCGGGGCTGTCAGCCAGACATGCTCGGTCATTGACATTGATCGTCCTTTCATTCGCACTGGTGATCGAGCCCTGGTAGCGTTCAGATTCATACAGCGTCCTGAATTCCTAGCTTGTGGAGACCGAGTGCTCTTCCGAGAGGGCAAGACCAAAGGACTCGGGATTGTCAAGAGCATCGGTTATGATCCATCAAAACCTCTGAATCCAAATGCCCAGGAGGGAGCTACTACTCCTACCCCTGTCCAAAAGATACCCCATGATTGAACTGATTTCTGACATTGTATTAAAGGGAGTTTCTTTGCTTTCTTTGTTCTTCTGAAGCATGGCCCAGTGATATTCTGCCATGCCAAGCCTTAGATTTTATGTTATCTCATTCCATACATGTTCGATTCAATACAATACCAATTATTATCCTGATTGTTCCTTGCTATCCTCCTTGTCTATCTATCCTAATCTATATCGCACTATATATTGATTGGTGCTGATTGCTGTGAATGTGATATGAGGTCACATGATAAACAATGATGTCATGGTATGACATAGGCCCAGACGATCATTACTTTCGTAGCAATCAAGTCCATCGATTCTATTCGCAAGTCATTGAGCAATCAGTGGACTTAATGGAGTCGTACAGCCCATTTGCAAGCCACGGCGGCCCAAAACACTGACGTATTCACTAACGGGGCCTGCACCTCTCCCCTTTAAAGCTTGACTTTGCCCAGCTTCCAAGTATCCACAACTCAATTGACATACTATCACATCTTCTTACCAAACACTCTATCACCTTATCACTCTATCACCATTACTACTCTATTCCAAGTTCTCGAAGTCTACTCCTAATTGACCCCTCTTTTGTGTTTCACTTGATACCATTTCCACGTTCTATATCACTTTATCTATATATACACCGCCATCTAAACAAACAAAAACAACACAATCATGGAGACCGTCAACAAATATGTCAATGCTGCTTCTAATGCCATCTGGGGTCAGGATAGTACGCCCAGCGCGACACAGACCGTTCAGCAGCATGGCGAAGAGCCTCTCTCTGGCGTTCAGGGCAAAGGAGACACTACGGATCCCTATGATGCTGGCAACCGCGATGGTAAGTGCATTGAAAATCTATCAAAGGAGCTTCCATAATTTCTTGGAGAGCTTCAGAAATTGGATATAAGCACTTATATACATATACATTTGAACATAGCTAACACACCACTATAGAACAACCCGATGCCCCCAAGTCAGACGGCAACACTGCCCCCCAGGAGCCTAATCTAGGCGGCAAGCAACAATCATTCGAGGAAGCAGCTCTCGCATCAGCCAAAGTCCCAGTCCCAACATCCAATGTACCCATCATAGGCGGAAAGCCGCAATCGTTCGAAGAAGCTGCCGTCACATCAGTCAAACTCCCAGTCCCATCATCCGACGTACCCACCACAGGCGGCAAGCCGCAATCGTTCGAAGCAGCTGCCGTCACATCAGACCCATCGCCCAAGCTCGCAACCATCGATACCGAAGATACTAGCTCCTCCCCCACCGCCGCTGCCGCTGCCAAAATCAGCACCGCACAGCCAATCTCCAGTGGCTCTACCGGGCTCAACAAGGAGAGCTCCACATCCGATAAGGAGCAGCGCGGCTCGTCCCAGCCCGAACACGGCGAAAGCAGCGAACCATCGCGCACAGCTGCCCACGTCGACGCAAGCAAGGAAGCCCTCCAGGGTCCCCAGGGTCCCCCGCCGCAGAAGACGGCTGAGGAATTTGAGAAGGAGGCTAAGGGCAAGAAGCCCGTGTCTGGGAATGATGATACCGAGAAGAGCAACGAGTCCCCGACTAGTAGCAACAAGTCTGAGCATTCCCAGGAAGGTGGGAAGACCAGTAAGTTGGCGAAGGTTAAGGAGAGTGTGAAGAAGCATCTCCATCACTCGAGCAAATAGATCGGGTGCTTGTGATGAGATTCAGAAGCAGCTGTACCTGAAAAAAAAGGGTTGGCTTGTTTCTGATACTCGATTTGTTTAGTTTGGTGTCTGGAACTTGTCTTGGGATTCAATAACGTCTATAGCTTTCAGTATTGGTCATTCGGCTTGTCTTTATTTGGATTCGGGTGTATTAATATCCAAGTACATGTATTCTCAATTACTTTTTTTTCCAAATATGGTATATTGTATGAGCATAGCTGTAGGAGTGTATGTACTAGTTATATAGAACTGCAAAAATGTATCTTCACTCCCGAGGTGTCCAGCTTGGGTTGCGGCAAATATTGATCAAGTCAAGGAAGGTTTGAATTTTCTTTTGGTATATATCGAGCATAGATAGTATCTAACGCCCAGTCAAACCCCAAAATCCATACCACGACGGAGACAGGTATACCCAGCAATTCTACCAAGCACTTACTTCAAGCGGATTACTCGAACAACATCTTTAACTCTGCAAGTCTCTCCTTACCCTTTTCACCGTCATCATCGTCATCACCACCAATCTTCAACCCCAGCGAACCAGCAATGTTCATCTTGCGCTCCTGCACACGCAACATGCGACCCTCGATAGAGTCCTTGACCACGAATCGCGTGACGTTGACATCACGGGTCTGCCCCATTCGATGGACGCGGTCAATGGCCTGCGCCTCGATAGCGAAACTCCACCATGGATCCATGACAAAGACATTACTCGCAGCTGTGAGGTTGAGGCCCACGCCGCCAGCGCGGAGGGAGATAAGCAGGACTGTTGCGGGAGGAGTTGACGGAGCGGGATCACTTCTGGTAACGGGTCCTTTTCCTGGTGTCTCGAGTTCCTCGTCGGTGATGTCATCGGCGTAGCTTTCTGTTTTGGTGAATTCTGCCAAAACGGCGGCGCGCGCCTTTTGCGGCATTGAGCCGTCGAGACGGAGGTGGGCGATTCCGACTCGGGAGAGCTGGGGACCGATTAGATCTAGGAAGGAGGTGAATTGGGAGAAGACGACGGATTTGGTGTTTGGGGGGATGCGACCCAGGTGGTTGATTAGAGCTTGGATCTTGGCGGAGGTATGTGCAGAAGGGGAGAGTGGGTGGATGCGACGGAGAGAAATCTTTGGGGCGGGTTGTGAGCTTGTTGGTGCAGTGCTGCTCACAATTTCTTCGTCGAGGGGTATTGTGCGTGAAGAGGGATGTCGAACTATTTCAAAAGTGTTCTTCGCGTGTACTGGAGCACGGCAGTTGAAGCATCGTGCTTCAGTACCCTTGTCCATTTGGTGTTGCAAAAAGTCTTCAAGGCACTTCTTGCATGCGCTATGCCAGCATGCTGTGACTGCAGGATCGACCATGGGTTCTTCGCAGCAGATAGGGCACTCCCCGCTGGATTCTGTTTGGATTTGGCGAAGAGCATGGGCGGTGAATTTGACCATAGTCCCCGAGCCATCTTGAGAATTAGCGTCCTCGTTCTCTGTCGTGAATTGGTTGATCAATTCCTGAAGATCCATATCGTCTTTGAATTCGTTGGCTGCGTCAGCTGATGCCGCCGCATTCTCTTCATCCGCAACGATGGCCTTGTTGCGTGTCATCACAGGATGACAGCAAGTCTGACGAAGACGGAGAATCTGCGCGAAAATCGTGCTATAGGACTGCAGCAGCGTGCCAGCCGCAGCACTGTCATTGTAAGTTCGTTTTGCTCGTGTGAATATGCAGTCATAAATCTCTCGTTCTTGTTTTGGTAATTCCACCTCTTCAATAGTGACCGTTTTCTTGGGCAATGGCACCAACGGCTCGCCTTCGGGGGTTTTCATTGATTTGGTTCGTCGGAGCACCAAAGGCTCTAGTACACTTTGTACGACATTCAGGGCTCGCACGTATTCTTTGGACTCAAATGGCACAGTAATGAAGGTCTTCCAGAAGGAGAAATTGCTCCATGGCTCAACCCGAAGGAATCGGACTAAGCTGAACAAGTCTTCCAGGCGGTTGACAATAGGCGTGCCAGTAAGTGCCCATCGGTGGGCTGCCTTCAGCTCACAACAGGCTTTGGCTGACTTCGAACGGCGGTTCTTAATTACATGAGCCTCATCGAGGATGATTCGGAAAAACTCCACGGAGAACAAGCCTCCGTTTGTGCTAGGACCTAGAGCAGACTGAAGTGCGAGCTGGCGGAATTCTGACAACACCACGCCATAACTGGTGACAATCACCTGAGGAGCTGTTGCAGATTTCGCTTCACAGCATTGTTCTCTCAGATTGACAGCCTTATCTGACCCGTAATACACTAGAACTCTCAATGTACCCGCTTTGAGAGCCTCGCTTTCCCACTGAGAGATCAAAGACGTGGGCGCAACAACCAAAGTGGTATATGGTGCAGGGACTACTCCAGCAGAGTTAGGCATCCTAGTAAGATCATTCACCGAAGTAAGACCATTTGAGAGTTGTGGGTCGGGCTCGACAGCGTGGGTATGAACCAAACTGAGCATCTCGATAGTCTTTCCAAGTCCCATCTCGTCGGCTAGGATGCCGCCTTGGCAGCGTTGCTCTTGGGCAGGGAAATCGACACTCAGATCTCCGGAATATGGATTGACGTAGAAGTGGTCGACGTCTTCAACTTTAGGCACATCTTTGTCGTCGACATCCTTCGTGGGCCAGGTGTATTCCTCCCACAAGGGATGCATCGACTTTTCTCTGACCTGCTTCGTGTCTTTCTCCTTGGACATCATCCAGTGGAGAGCTTGTTGTTGGTATTTACGAAGGTCAAGCTTGAAGCTAGGGGCGGGATTGGCTCCGGGCATGTTGAAATCGAATGACTGAGCCTTTTGGTATAAAGTATCGAGCTGGTCTTCTTCCAACTCTTCAGTGTCGTTCTCATCGGAGGAGTCATTTGGGTCTTTGTTCGACTTGGACTTGTCTTTTTCTTTTTTCACGCCGTCGTATTGCTCTGCGATTTCAGCGGCGCGCAAAATGCCATCTCTTTTGTGCTTCTCTGTGGTCGGGTTGGTAGAGGTGGGATGGAGATTGATCTCGTGAAACAATTTTACAAGAGCGACTTGGCGTAGTCGTAGATTTTTCTCCTCTGTGCTCTCCTTTTCCTCGAACAACCCAGTGGATCTGTTGTCATTTGTGCTCAGAGCAGCAAATGCACCATGTAAAAATGCCTCCTTTCGAAAGAAGACTCGAAGTTGTAAGTATATTGTGTCATTTACACGTACTCTATCGGGCACGTAGACGCAGACTCCTTCAAATTGGCAGATCTTCTGATCTATCAACGTAGAGACCCATTCGGCCGTCTCATGTGGTAGCCTTCCAATCTCCTGGCCTGAGGTATTCGTAAATCGAGTCAGAACGTCGCCTTTGTGATTGACAAATGCTTTGCCTCCTCGGCCACGTTTCACTGTTGGCTGTGAACGTGCGCGCTCGATGTTGATGGGATCTCCGTGCCTGAGATGCACAAGACCACTCCTAGTGGCCCATCCTCCGACACCGAACGCACCGACATATCGTGTGGCCGGGTGGTTTCGCAGAACTGATTGACTTTGTACTGGGCTTTCGGGCTTAGGTTGTACCTGGAAAAGAGCTTTACGGGATCGGCCAAGAGTACCGCCGTTTGTCCGGGCAGGGTTCTTCCACGAGCCATCGAAGTATATATTCACGGCTCGTTCAAGGTTGTTCGAGGCGGCGGCTGTGATGATCTTGATTGAGTCAACGGGCAGTTGCTCTCCCACAATGCTGGTGAATAGTTCCACGTCAAATCCCTCGATAGTCGTACCTAACACGTTGTTGGCAGAGCTTTCCGTTTCGGGTTCACGTTCGTTGGCTGCGTCTTGGGGCAAGGGCGTGGGCTGAGCAGGGTCTGAGGAATGAAAGGTGAGGCTCTCTGTCGTTTGGTCTCGTGATTGTGGTTCCTCACCCTCAGCATCTAAGCCAGGAGAGCTTTTTGGGACATGATCAACTGATCGGATCTCTAGCACGTTCCCATGGTCCGTCAGGTCGTGTTCCTTAGGCGCCGGACAATGATGAAAAGGCGCGTTAGAATCTCTAGAATCGGTTGGTAAAGGCGATGCTGGGTCGGTGAAAAAGCGCTGTCTCTTTGCCGGTCTCTCCAGGTCCTCGCTCATATTCACGGTATCATCGGGTTAATTGTTGTCTACGGGGAAGACGCGCCGGGAAAACGCGAATTCAGGCGGATCGACGTCAGTGATTAAGAAAAGTTGACAGTTGACATCTACTGAAAAACCATTTAACCACTGTGATTTACTTATGAAGGCTTCAGTCAACAAACATATGATATTCTTAATCCCAATTTAATAATTTTCTTCATCATCAATTTCTTTGACAGTCCTCTATTGAAGCAAATTGATGCGCTGACAAAGATTGGCTGTGAGCCAATGCGATTAACCCGATTACATCGCCGAATCTTTTCCCCAGAGTCGCAACTCAACTTTCACATCAATGTCTTTTCTACGGGCAGCTCGGCCATGCCGGGCAAATAAAGCTTGCCAAATCTCTTTTCAAGGCGTCCAATCACGAAATTTCAGTCGGACACAATCCCTCGCCGCACCTATCACCGCGGAGGAAGTCCAAGGCGCTCACAAATACTGTGTCGCTCTCCTCTCGTATGTTCCACCATTGTGTTTGTGGTTTCTTTGGTCCATTGAAGCTCTAGCAATGCAAGCTCTTGCAATTCAACAAAACCCAAGTGCTAATCCAAAGCCTTTCCCTCCAGAAAATATGACCGACCTTCCTACACATTGAGCACCTTCATCCCGCGACATGCGCAGTCCTTCTACATAGCGCTGCGCGCATTAAACGTCTCCCTATCCATGATACCCGACACAACCTCCTCTCCCACCATCGGCCTAATGCGCCTTCAATTTTGGCGTGATTCAGTAGCGAAGATCCTAGCCGGCGCACCACCCAAAGAACCCGTCGCTATCTTGCTCGCATCAGCCATCTCCGAGCTCCATGAACGCACGCAGGGCCGCGCGCGGATAAGCAAAGGCTGGCTTACTCGCATCATCAACTCGCGGGAGCAAACTTTAACAAACGACCCATACCCGAATATCGCGGCTTTAGAGTCCTACGCCGAGAACACATACTCCACGCTCATGTACCTCACTTTGTCCGCATTGCCAATGGCTTCTGTAACTGCGGATCATGTTGCGTCGCACATCGGCAAAGCGGTGGGAATTGCTGCCGTATTACGCGGTTTGCCGTTCGTGGCATTCCCTGCTCCGCCCGCTCAGTCGCCTTCTGGCGGGGCGGCGAATTCCGCGGTAGGCGGCGGCGCCAAGCAGGGCGCTGTCTTGTTGCCTCTTGATATCATGGCGCAGACGGGCGTCAAGGAAGAGGATGTCCTCCGGTACGGAGCACAGGCTGAGGGTCTGCGTGATGCAGTGTTCACTGTTGCCACGCGGGCAAGTGATCACCTTATTACTGCACAGCAGATGCTCAGCAATTTGCGTGCTGGGGAGGACGTTGGCCATGACTTCGAACATGAAGGCGAAGAAGGACATGAATATGATGCTGCGAAGAGTGGTGAATCGCCACTCGAGGAAGTCAACCGAGCATTTGGTGTCTTCATGCCGGCTGTTGGAACACGCTTGTGGCTGGATCGCCTCCAGAAACAAGATTTCGATGTTTTTAGCCCCCAATTGCTTCGGTCGGATTGGAGACTGCCGTGGAAGGCTTACTCGGCGTATTCACGGAAGTCTCTCGACTGATTGCATGTGGGCTGTGTACGATATATATATATAAGGCCCGGGCTCTAGACCCTGTAACCTTTCTGTACATTAGAAATAGTATTAAAAAGATGCCATGATAGACCTTACTAGTTGATTTATGCTGGCCAAAATGGCATTGAGGTTCTATGAGTTGTTTAATACAAGACCCTTTGGATCCGAAAGGGAACAAGTGTACAAATAATGGAAAAGTCCCACGTCAACACCAACACGCCAAAGAATAGATCAAGATACAACAGGTGGAATAGTGAACTGCGGGAATTCCATGACTCAGTTCTTCTTCCTTTCCCGTCTCTGCTTCCTCGAACTGACAATCAAGCGGCGCTGGGCTAGCATGACAGCGTATCGCTGGATTTTGTCGCGCCTGGAGTCTAGAATTAGCGTGATTTTGTACGAAGGGGGATGAATATAACTTACATCAGTATGAAAGTTGTGACACAGACGAACGGAATCGCAATTTTCCAGAAATATCTGTGGAAATTAGCAACCAATCAATGAGAATATTGTAAGGACCTACCCATCACTGTGTTCGATTCCAGCGAAATCCGTGAAATTCATACCGAAGTAACCCTGAAACGTGGGTCAGTAATGTTTGCCTAGGGAATTTCAACAAGATCATACCGTCAAGAAAGTCATAGGAAGATATAGACAAGTCACAAGAGTAAGCTGTTTCATACTCTCATTCTGGTAGGCACCAATAGTGTTGAAAATGAGGTCAATCATGTTATCGGCATTACGCCGCATCTGGTCGTAGCCTTCCACAATAGTGATGCAATGATCGAGAGCGTCACCGAGATATGTATGGCACATGGAGCTGATGGTTACGCTCGTGCCTCCTAAACTTTTCAGATTCGGCGTGATAATCCCAATATGTGGTCGAGGATCAACGGGTTCAGCAGGAGTAGCGGCTGGGCTAAGAGGATTGCGCAAGACACCAAAGCCTGGCGTGCCGACAGGCTCAGATCGGTGATCGCGGAGAGCGTTCATCACCGCCACGATGGGCTGCATGGAGTTTCGCAGGACCGCGATTTCGGATGTCAAAATATACAACGATTTGGATTGGTCGATGTCTGGATCGGTGAGAACCTCCAGCTCGAGGTCTCCAATGGCGTCTTGATACGCCATTGTCACTGGGATCGCAAGATCAATCACAGCATCAAGAATAGCTTGCAGTAGCATACTAGCATCGCATGATTGTCGAAGAATGGTCTCAGGTGACATGAGACGCCTGACAATCGGAGCCTCGATATCATCCGCGCTTGTTTCGAAAAAGGAAGTCACTGTATTATCCGCGTGGAGAAAGATCGAAACCTGCTCCAAAGTGACACAAAGACCTTTGGCAGCAAGTGCCGCATGTCGTTCCATGAATTCAATTCGATCTTCATTGGGCCCACCGCGGTATCGTTGCAAACTCCTGGCAGTGGTCTCGGAAGCAGTTCCAACATTACCAAAATGGGAGTTGTGCTTTGAAGTCCGCCGTCCGAGCCCAGGCCGAACGCTCGACCCGACTGTTGTTTTCTCTTTGTCATCCTTACTCGAGCGTGATTTGAAGGAGAAAATATCCTTCAAAGCTGCGAGGATGACATTGCGCTTCGTGGGTCTCTTCAAAGAAATCGAGCTTTTGTCACTGATCACAGAGCTCTTTCGGTCTTTTGACTTCCACCGGCTGATCGGAGTCTCATCTTCATCTTCGGAATCGGACGATGATTCTTCGTATATCTTCATCAACTTTTGCAGTGTCAGCACAACAAAGGCGTGATCGGAATACCAATCAGCCTTCGTGCGGTTAGTAGTATGGACCACATCTTCGATTGCAAGCCGATGCAATCCTTTGTGGTTTCCAAGAATCTTGATCACATCCCAGCTCAACCCGTTCACATTGATCCACCGGCATTGCACCCAGGACTCCCTTTCCCGCTCCAGAAATTGCTCCAGTGTGTCATTGTCTAACTCATATTGTCGCATCTCATTCTGCGAGAAATCCACTATAGTTATCTCGCAACGTCGGTGTAGATCCGCAGGTATGTTTGACGACCATTCCGAGGTGTACGGCGGGAGGGGTTTGCTCGGGTCAATACCAGGCTCGGTTCCTGGCTGCCAATTGGGATCGTGTGCGAACCCCTCAGGGTGGTATGACCGTGCGGTGTTCGAGCGTCTGGCCCGGCGTTTCGTCGTATCGTTGGAGTTCACTCGTGTTGCTGAGGTGGTGAATGCGGGAAAAGCAGTCGGCTCTGTCTCTCCCCCTCTCGGGGAGATCTGGGAGATGGGCGACTGGCGACCGGCCTCCACGTCAACGTCGGATCGAGTCGCATTGGGCTGCGCGTAGTCGAGCGAGTAGACGCTCATTTTCAGGGTTCAAATAGATGCGCACATCCAATCGTGTCGGTTGGAAGGTAGGTTTTCATCGGCTTCAAAACTCAATCACGGTTTCCCAATAATGTCACACCAGGGTATAGGATGATATACAGATGGTTCTTTGCAGTTAGATCAAGACTGTTTATCTGACGACTAATTTACGTCTCAGCGAGACAGCACGGCTCCAGATGAAAACATGCTGCGAGGGATATGACGTCGGGAAGGCGTTGTCGATCTGTCACGCAGATATTGCAAGGTAAAACCCGTGTCGGTACGAGTTTTCGTCAGCTAAGTCCAATCAAAGAGAAAAAGGAGGAAATGGAAAAGAAGACAACCCCATTGACAGGGGCAAAACAGGTTCTCCATGTTCCGCCGCACGGAGCAAGTGGATCTCGATTATCTTATTTAACGGGGATTGATGCCTTGGCTTCAGGGTCTACATATGTATGTTTATGCTTATGTTTAAGCCTATTTACATACCTACATATTTAGGTAGCCATGCCTGGCTTCGGTTTATTTTGATGGAGTAATTTCTTTATTTCATTTTTATTTCATTCGAATGTATTCGTATAGTACATAAGGGTACATATTACATCACATCAAAATGCATACAGCAACGCCGTCCCAATGCTGGATCCCGATCACTCCATAACATCCAGATACCAGATAGTTCAAACCAAATGGGGAACATGACAATAATTACAGTTGAAATAGTTTAGAAGAACATAAAGAGAAGGAAGGGAGTGTGAGAGGGGTTCAAGCTCGCGCCGTCGGGCGTGGCTTCCATGAAGGACGGTGGAAACCTATTTGAGGCTGTTTGCTCCCATGAGAGGGAACCCGAGGGGGACTGCGGAAATCAGGGTAAAGACCTGACTGCGTTTCCATCATGACCGCCCTTTGAGGCTTCGCAGAGGACCAACTCGTTGATTTGGCCCCCGGTTTAGTGGAGGGGTTGCGAGAGGTAGGGGTGTCAGCGCCAGTGGCTGCTCGAGTCTTCTCCTTGATGATTTCACGGAGCTCTTTATCGTCCTTGGTGATCTGAGCTTTGATGAAATCAATGTCATTGGAGGCTTGCAAGCCGGACATAACCGACTCCCGTGGCGTGTACGGGTATTTATCGGGGTTTGGAGGCGATTTGGGGATGATGGAAGGGTCTAAGAAAGCTTCCTGGTTCATGCCCAGGAGTTGGGAAATGTCCAGAGTTTCGCCATGTGGGATCTTGTGGGGATGAGAAGGAGTCACACAGTCCATGTTAACTTCTTTGCGAAGTACATGGTCAATGTCGACAGCTGAGAAGTAAGCGCAAGATTGAGGAAGATCATCGATGCCCACTTGCTGCGAGAAGATGGCGCGAGTCCAAACGTTGGCAATTTGCAATGCCATCGCAGCGCGGTATTTGTCCTCATCTTTGACCAGGTAGCGAATCTCATCATGGACTGTAATAGCTAGCCGGGCTTGGAGGTTGAAACGTCGGATGAGATAGTCCATGCCAACGATTAAGAGATGGAGATAGTCCACACCAGACGATTGAATAGCCCAGTTGATTCGAGAAGTCATGAAGCTGCCTTTGTTGATGAATCGTCGCATGAGTGCCTCGGTGATTCCGGCACCCAGAGCAGGGGTTCTAGGCCGTTCCTGATCCGCAAATTCTTCGAGTTTGTTGAACACGAAAGATTCAGTGCCACCGCGCCAAAAGGGCGTTTCACTCAAAAGACGACGTGAGGTGCGCGTACCCTTTGTCTCCTTATATAGATTCTGAGCAGTCTCTTGCGTCTGCCTTTCGGTTAGAGATGGGTTGAATTGGCGAAGCAAGGTAGCGGCGAATCTAACGCCAGCGCCGTAGATCCGACCATAGTTAAAAACTTTGGCATCATTGCGAGAAATGCCTAGAATTGAAGCACTTCGCGAGTGAAGATCAGTTCCCTGGGCCTTAGACCCTTCGAGACACATAAACCCAATTGCGTTTCCTCCGTGAATCTGGAAGGTAGCATCTCCAACGAGACTTGCAATCCACAATTCTTGGGAGTCGACATCGGCGCCTACGAATGAATAGCCTGGGGGTGCCTTGATCATGGCCTTTAACTCTGAACCAACACGATTTGCCTTGGCGTTACTTGCAGTAAGCCATGTATTTTCCACGGCACGCCGAGTAATTGTTCCCATGGGGATGACTTGTGGTAAAATGAAGCCGACTCGGTTGCCGTTTGCTTCTTTGTGTCCGGTAGTCTTGACCTGATCCTGGTAGACCACGATTTGGCCCTTAATTCGATCTCGAGCACTTATCCAGTAGGAGCAGGATGCATTCATTTCAAGCGCTTCCTTGGCAAGCTCAAACTGAGATAACAATATGCCACGCTCGAAGTACTGCATGTACCCTTTGCCCAATGGGTTAGTACATCTGGCTTGTGGGCCATCTTTATGAGGAATTTTGAAGTACGTGGCTGTTGTATCCTCCCTTAACTCAATGATCTTTTCCTCTGTCATATCACACTTGACGACAGGCTGATTCTCATATTGTTTGACCTGTTCACGAGGAACGCGGAACGTCCACCCGTGTTTATCAGACCAAACGAGGGGGAAGTTGTCCCATGACAACTTCAGTAGAATGGGTGCAATGCGCGTTCTTACTGTCAGATTGATATCTGCAGTGCTAGTGGGGAAGAGATCTTTGTACCATTTTGGCATTCCTGGTTTCTTCTGTCTTGCTGCTGGGCGAGGAGGATCGCCCTTTTTCTTTCCCTTCACCATTTTGATCTCTTGGCCAGACCAGTCCAGCTGGCGCAGCCAAGGATCACTCATATGGGTGTCTGGGTTATCTTTACATTTCAATGCCTCATCGCACAGTTCAATCAATTTTCGTTGTACACCATCAAGTCGCTTGTGGTATGTTTCTTCTGCGCTGGCAAGATACTCTTCCCAGGATTGGTTGACCGGCAATATGACGGAAGACAAGTGTCGAAGGGCACCAAAACTAACGGGATGCGGACAAGTCTCGAGATAATTGGGAAAGACCTTGCGGTACACACGGTGTGTAATGGCAACATCAGCGGCGCAATAGTCGAGAAGCTCCTCCAGTCTCCCAACGATGGCGTCCCGGTCAAGTTCGCCGAACAGATCTCTTTGCGCTTTGTCAATTGTGACATCACAATGAAATTTGGCAACATCCCGCAACGAATTCACCGAGCTTCTGCCGACCCAAAGCTCTTCTTCTTCTTCTCTAAGCATATTGTTTTCGAGAAGTGCAGCGAGCTCCATTGAGTTGTGATCGTTCGCAATTTTGTCTTTCAAGTCCTGGTTCTTCTTGTGTCGCATCCAGGTTGGTCGCTGCTGCGAACACATGCCATTAACCGCCACATGAAGAGACATTGTGTCGAGAAAGAAGTTTTGAGATTGTTGCATGTCGTATTCTTCGAGAATGCGGGCTCGATCATAGCCAATATTATGCCCCACTACGATGCGAGGTTGAGTTGAGTCTCCCAAAGGCACCAGTTGAACTTTATTCTCCGATTCGCCAAGTAACCAGGGGGACAACCAAGCATACCAAGCTGTTGGGCTCACTGCGCAAGCCATGACTGCAAATGAGTTCTCCTTATACATGACTTCGGTATCAAATGTGAGCATGGATTCATTTGGGGCATCCACAGGCTCCGATGTGCCATCCTTCTTGTATTTTGTCCATCCGCTGCGTTTCACCCATTTGCGCGGTTTAGTCGGACAGTTCAGAGCTGCATAGGATTTGGCATATGTCAGGTAGGGCTCAGAACAATCCATTCCGAGTTTGTGGAAATGTTCATCTAAGGTCTGGCCTTTAAGCTCTGGAAGATCGAATGCGACAGGGCCATCGCCAGTCTGCGATTTGCCCAGCAGCTCATGTCGCGCCAAATGATCCTTCGATAGTGCGACGAGGTCAGGGTTTGGGATACGACCTTTGTTTGGGAAAACTTGGGCATGAACATAGTCGCTTAATTGTTGGACTCCAATATCGTTGAACCTGGATGAGGCAGGGACTGCGCCATGTCAGTTACAACTCATGCTTTGTATTGACCAACCATTAACATTCAACACTCACCCGAAAGAGATTGCTTTGAGTGTAGATCACTGGTAGCGGTGGATGAAAGCCTCATCTGCCCATTGTGTGATAAACTCTGTGGTTCCGTTTTGACCAGAAGTGACGAGCCATGTCGCGAGAAAGACCTCACGGCACCCCTGGAACGAGGAGCGCAGGAGGACTTCCAATATAACATCATCAGAATTCAATTAGACACGTTTAGGTCATGGCAGAAAGATAGGGCACAGCCGTAGGGCTGCACTAAAAAGCTCAAGTTAATGATAGAAATAATAAGTCAAGATGAAAGTACTGATTTCCATATCATTGCCTATCGCGGTATCGCAAATCTGGGCGTCATGCCGGTTCTGGAATATCTTTCCACCGAGTGCTGTGCAGATGCTAGGGTCATGTGATAGCTGCCTTCCACCCCTCCGCCTTCTAATTTGATCTGATCACGTGCGTCGCCCCTCCTTTAACCTTATCTTATCGCCCCATTTTTCCGTTATCGGCACGTGCCGATAAGCACATCGAAATGTGTTGGCCGCTGACGGGTCGTTGCTCTTTTGAACGCCCTTTGACTCCTGAGTCTGATATTCCTCCTCCACGTCTTCGCTTAGGAGTATCCCCGTCCACTCGCTCGTTTCTGCCTCGTCATCTCACCCGTGAATCCTTAAACCGCCCAATCAGCTCCTCAGAGCAATCAAACCAGCCGTTCGGACTACGAGTGCACCGAGCGGCTGTCATTCGCGACTGGGAAGAAACTTTTGACCTCACACCCCTCCCTCCTATCTTCTTCTCACCTGAAATACCACAAGACCCCGGAATCTCACTTGTCACCATGGGAAGCCGCCAGCCGGAGATCGTTGACCTTACCTCAAACCCCACCCGTCAGACCCCAATCAACCTCTCCTCCTCCCCTCTCGCCTCTGGCTTCGCCTCTTCCTCCCGAAATGGAGAACATGCCCCGCGGGGGATCAAGCGCCCCCGCACAGATGAACCCTGCAGCTCATCTGCATCCTCAGATGTCTGGCCCGGAAGACAGGCCATTGAAACAATCGACATGACTGAGGACTCGCATGCGGCCGAGCTGGCCAAGGCAGTCGCAAAGCAGAGAGAGGATGCAATCAAGGCCCAGCAGTCCGGGGCAGAGAAGGATAGAACCAAGACAGCTTTGATGGCTTACACATGTCCCATTTGCATGGACACGCCTGTGGATGCGACAGCAACTTCTTGCGGTAAGTTTTTGATGATTCTAGTCTTGTTTGCAGGATCACATAGTTCTCAGAAAGCCCTTAGAGGATCTATACTAACTAATCATTCATAGGACATTTGTTCTGCCACAAATGCATCATGGACTACTTGACGATCATCGAAGAGACCCGCGGTGACTCGTCCAAACAAAACAAGGGAACTTGCCCGGTCTGCCGGAAGCCACTTTCGAGCAAGGAACAGCCTGGCAAGTCAAGGAGCCTGATTCCTCTGCAGTTCAAGTTGCACACGAAGACCCGCAGCGAATTTGAGGCAGACCGTAAAGCTCGTGAATATCGTGAGGCTCATGAGGCCGATCGCGAGTAGACTCTCTACAGGTTTTTCTTATCGGCGTCCTATTTCTCTCTTTTTGAATTCTTGCGGCATTGCGAATGGGGGCATAACATGCGGCGTTCAATGGCATTTCGCCAAGGTGGATTGCATAACATTGACGAATGGAGTTTTCTACTTTTATTGAGTTGTACGGGCATATGGCATGGCTTTTATGATGTCTTCGCACTAATTCTCACTGGCTTGGCATCTTTATTTGTGTAAAAATGTTTTTGATCAATCCAAGATCTTCTGTCAACAGAATTAACATCTATATTGATGTGGCAAAACAGCGCCAATGCGACCTATACTAGTACAATGCTAAGATCTAGGTAGATGCTGCGCCCCTCACCGATCTCTTCTTGCAGGATCGAGGGTATTCCGTCTGTTCAGTCCACTTCCAACCCCCCTCGAATCATCGCATCGCCTTTCTTCCCCAGCACGACCTCGATGGCCTGCACAAGGGCGTTGGGATCATACTGCATTCCCACGACGACCTCTTTATCGCCATCCATAGCCGTGATTTTCCGCCCGTAAAGACGAAGTGTTTCGATGCCCATACCCGTGAGCCGCTCCCGGTCCACATGCGGCGTGCCGGGGCCCTCCAAGTGTAATATATGGGTGACATATGCCGTGTAAGGAAGAGTCCTGTATTGTCGAACATGTTCTGGCAGAGGATCTGCCGAGTCGTGACTTTCACGTTTAGGAAGACTAATCGGGCCTCGTCCACGACTTTCCTCGCCGGCACTCACAATCGCCTCGACGAAGTCCGAGGCGGCGAATGGTGCGGACGGAGGTCCTGTCTCTCGGTCTAAGGAGCCGTTCAGGATGAGGATCTTATGCCGGGCTGGACTGGAGACGATTCCTTTGCCCACGCCGCGCAAGACGATGGCAGGAATGATGGAAGTGTAGAGAGACCCGATGCTGTAGATGATGGCTTGGGAATCATTGATTGCTTCTAGTACCCGTGGGTTGGCTGGTGGTCGAATTTCTTGGCCGTAGGGATTGATATACCAGATGCGCGTAATTCGGGAACTCAAATCTTCGTTCTCGGTCTTACTGAATTTGATATTCTTATTACGAAGGGTGGCAAGAGAGCCAGGAAGATGGTCTTCTTCGTAGGTCGTTGGATCTGACAGCTCAGAGTCTGTGTAGTCAATGTCATCTCCGTCGGCGAGTAGTAGACTGGGTCGCCTGGACCCAGGGGTATGCTGCAGAGCCGTGGCCTCGCTGGGATGGGAAATACTGTTCTGGCCCACAATAACAGTTCCATCAGCAAGTGAGGCCGAAATGTGGTGCGAGAAGTTGGAGTTGATTGCCGGAATAACGCGCACCAGATCTGACGGGACGCCGCAGATGCTTCCAAGTAGATAGATGGCGCTTTCGAAGCTGCCACTAAAAAGCCGGGCTGCAGTCAAAAAAAGGTTTCCGACGCTTGCAGAAGTAAAGTCAAAGGTCGATGATGGCGGGCGGGCACGCTTCAAAATTTCCAAATTCAATACATTGAAAAATGAGCGTATCAGCTCTTTCTTTGCAGGGGTGATGGATGTCCATAGCCCCGATGTACCATCCACGATGGACTGCCATTCATGGACAGCGACACTGGCTTCAGCAGGCAGTCGATGGTTGAATAATGACTTGACAGCGGACCTTTCAGGATTTGTCGGCGAGTCGGGAATCAAGCGGACCAATCTACCTTTCCAGGAGGTCAGTTAATATGCAAGAAAATGGGTCAAGTTGGCCTACTTCGAACATCGCCGATCCCAGGGCCTCCGAAAATGCGAATCAACTCGGAAGATGATCCTCCATTATCACTGATTGGGATGATGTAGCTAAGTTGGCAATTCTTGCTTTCGCGAACCGCACTGAACACATCAACCAAGTTGTTTGCCGCACTTCCACCTGAAATGACAACGATCCCTCTATTTGGTGTAGTCGCCATGGCCCAGTTCACTTTATTTATTTGATTTAATCCCAAACCCGACAGCTCTAAGCGTTAGGGGAGTTGGAAAGATGAGTGAGACATTTGGCATGTATGTCTTGGTAGGCCCGAACACCGCAACAATGACAACATTGCCCAAAAATGCCACGAATACCAAATTGTTCAACTTTGAGCCCGAAATAGTCGATTTTTGGGAACATGACAGAAGTCAATGCAAATTCATGCAATTACAAGTGGGCAACCCTTCAAAACGAACTGCGGTCAAGTTGAGGTCCAATACAATAGATGGGCCATTCGACTATTTAGAGATCGCTTGTCATTCTCGTCTCGCATAGTAATTCGATATGCTTGATATCCGCAAAAATACATCAAAATTTAGACAATGGAGCTGGCACACCACCAGTCCCCGTCGAGCTTGTTAGTCCACCATCAATAACCAAGTTCTGGCCGACAATATAGCGCGACGACCGACTAGCAAGAAATGCCACACCATTAGCAACGTCAAATGCATCCCCCATAAAGCCCATGGGAACGTTGTGATCCGTGATCTTCCTATAAACTTCTCGCTCTTCGGCCGATTCACTCTGCCCCAATTTCTCAAGTAGTGGTGTAAAAACCATACCAGGAGAGACTGAGTTCACGCGGACCCCCTTATTGGCATACATAACGCCAGTGATCTTCGAGAAGTGAATTACCGCGGCCTTTGCAGACGCATATGCAACCTGAGGCTTGCCGAGATATTGCATACCAGAAATGCTAGCGTTGTTGATTATCGACCCCGAACCCTGCTTCTCCATTATTGGCAGAACTGCGTTGCAGCTGAGGAAGACTGTTTTCAGGTTCAATTGGAACTGTGCATTCCATGCTTCTTCTGGCATTGTGGCCGGGTCACCGGTCTTGGTGAGGCCGACGTTGTTAACGAGAATGTCAATTCCGCCATGTTTCTCAGCTACCTGGTTGACGACTAGTTTGATATCGGTGGCTTTGGTTGCGTCGAGTTGGACTGCCTCGCAGAATCCGCCGTCGGTTCGGATTCGTAGTGCTGTTTGTTGCGCTGCTTTGAGGTTCAAATCACAGGCAATGATCTTGGCTCCTGAAAAGGCCAGGACTTTTGCGATAGCAGCTCCGTTTCCCCAGGCCCTTGATTTAGGATCGCCAGATTGACCAGCTCCAATGACCAGAGCCACTTGGTCTTTGAGATCCGGATAGGAGGCCGAGTTTCTTCTGTTTAGCAAAAGGGATGTCAGTCATGTCAGTCATGTCTTGAAGTCGGGTTGTTAATAAGATTGATCTCACTGAGCCATGCTAAGAATTGTTAGATATTTCAAGCAACGCAGAGCCAAATGTCTTGCTATTCAAATGAGTATTGTTCTTTCGAAAACATGCGAGTCTTTTAATATTTTAAGCAGTCTATTGCGGGGATTGCTGATCTCAAGCTCCGCATGAGACTTGCCTTGAGGGCTCCATAATTGCGACATCACATTGCATACAATGGAGGACTAAGCCTATTATCTCACACCCCAAGATCAAAATTCGCCAATCGGAAAGAAAATTGACTGTAGCTCCATAGTCTGATATCCCATGGTGTTTTATACGGAGAGAAAGCCGGTACGTTGGCTGCCGCTCTTATCATTCGTCGTCAGAGCACAGCAGAACAACGACGCACTAACGCTCCCCGCACCAGGTATATGCTCTGTATTGGTTGATTTGACAAGAACAAGCCAGCATGATATATACATCCACGAATGAATGATCGTTCCATCGAAGAGATCCGGGGAGCTCTGAACAACTCCGAGAGAGGAGTCCGGTCTGCACTATACATTGCTAGATGAGAAGGTGGCTCGCTCTCTTGATGCAGCCCTTGATTTACTCTTCCTTCAAGAGAGTATTCGGTACGTGGTTCAATTCATGAAGCACAACGTATAATATTCTTGTTCTTGTACATATGTAGAGTGGAATGCTTCGGTTTCGCATAGCTACAACAAAAACAATGCTGCGGAATGTTCGCATACATATGTACCCATCTTTCACGCAGTACGCCGCTGCAGATCTCATGCACTACCGCAGAACAATATTTCATGCACGATTGTGACCTATCATGCCAGTTTTGAATATTAACCAGAACCCCCGCATGAGTCAAACCCAAAGAAGACTCCTTCCCCAGTCTGACTCCACCCCCAGATTCTGAAAAGGTGGGACACTGCTTAGAGTCTAGATGCGGGGAATTGAGGACCAAAGTCTGTTGATTTAATATCAATCACATCTGGGCAGATTACAAGCCCTTCATAAACCAACACAATGTCTCTATCTATTGAAAATAGCAAGACCGAAGCTTTGCACTTCGAAAATGTTGCTGAATGCACCCTAGTCGACCCAGAGGCCGAGAAAAAGCTTGTCCGAAAGATCGACCTCTACTTGATGCCTTCGGTCTTCATTCTCTATCTCTTCTCTTATGTGGTCAGTCACCTATACCATTCCCTAACATCATGCTCTAAGACGGAATAGGATCGATCCAATATAGGTCTTGCCAAGATTGCCGGGATGGAAGAAGACCTGAACCTTTCCTCAGATCAATACTACACAGCCGTGATAGTGTGGGTGATTGGGTATACCATCGCAGCGGTACCATCTAAGTAAGACGAGCGCCGTGACGTTTGCACGCCATGCAAAATGCTAAGATTGCAATCTAGTATGATTCTCTCACGGAGTCGCCCGTCGATCTTCATTCCGATCATCACGTTTGGATGGGGCTCTGTAGCAGCCCTGATCGGCATTGTTCGTCACCAGAGCCAGCTTATAGCACTGAGGTTTCTCCTTGGAGTCTTCGAAGCAGGATTTAGCGTGAGTCTTAACATAAAGCCACAATAATAAACTAATAACCCTTTAAAGCCAGCGGTAATATTCCTCATCTCAACATGGTACCGAAAGAGCGAGCAGTACGTTCTCCCTAAACGCCATACGCCATACCGGATTTATACTCACAAAACCCAGATCCAAACGCTTCATCATCTTCCTAACAGCAGGCATCCTCTCCGGCGCCTTCGGAAGCATAGTCTCAGGCGCGATAACCTCAACCCTAGACGGCGCGCACGGTATCCGCGGCTGGCGCTGGCTATTCATCGTTGAAGGCGTCGCCACAGCAGGCATAAGCCTTCTAGTGCACTGGACGCTCCTTGACTTCCCGAACAGCAGCCGGGGGCTATCGGCAGACGAACAAAAACTCGCGCAAGCAAGGCTCGTCGAGGACGGGACAGCCGACCGCGGCTCCGCAGAAACGCAGAATCCATCCATCTTCGTGGCTTTGGGCAAGGCTGTCTCGAACTGGCGAACTTGGGTGCTGGTGCCGTCGTACATGACCATTCTGGGCGCTTTGGCGATCTCGTACTTCTATCCGACGCTGATTAATGGTATGGGGTATACTTCTACTGCGGCGCAGTACATGACTGCTCCGCTGTATCTTGTTTCACTTGTTTTTGCGGTTCCGGTTTGTTGGTTCGCTGATCGAAAACCACATCTTAGGGGTAGGCTGTTGGTTGTTAATTTGGTGACTGGGATGGTGTTTTTTGCGCTGACGGCTGGTATTCGGAATTATACGGCCCGATATGTATTTCTGTGTTTCATTAACATGACTATTTGGACGGGGAATGCGCTGGGTCTTTCATTTGCGACTACTGCGCTTGCTTCAGTGAATCGTGATGTTCGTGCAATTATGTTGGCGTGGATGAACGGCGTGGCGGCTTTGGCTCAGCTATATGGGAGTGCCTTGTTTCCTGCCCAAGACTCTCCCGAATATCTCGTCGGGTTTTCGGTCTTCGCGGCTACTTTTGCAATCGGGGCTGTTTGTTACGGCGTGGCTGATACTCTGTTCAAGCGTTATCCGTACAAGGAGTAACGAGTTTCCTTATGTGGTTGCTTCAGCAATCCTTTTTGTGCGAATTGTTCCCCAGAGAACAATTGAAGTCCTGTCGAAAGGAGTCGTTTTCTTGAATGTTGTGATATAGAGAAGAGAATGCGTCATCGCCAGGAGCCTTCGTTTGGAACTAAACCTTAAAATTACTTGTAACAAACGTCGAGCTAATAGATTATATCAATTTCATGCAACCTTTTATTATAAAACCTATCACCTTTAAACCCCCAGATAACGTCTATATCGCCTAAATTTACATGCATGTTCCGTCCTGTCCAGACAAGACAAGACATGGTCCTTATCAAAATTTAACATAAGCATCGGAAGTATTTACCCGAGCTTGGATTCGTGAAACAACAGGACCACAAGGAATGTTTCCAAGTGGTCCAAATTCCCGTCGATTGCTTCAGTTCAGCGCAATGCGCGGTCACGCTTATTTGGTAACCTGAGCAGAGGCAGAGGTACCACTGTACAGAACAAGCAGGACGAGAATGCAAGGCACACCGATAGCAATGGCCTTGGTGCGGGCAGGGTTGGCGCGGTTGTACTCGCCGACCTGGAGGCGCACATCGGCAACAAGGCTCTGGCACTTCTCAGCACCGAGCTTGTAGTACACCAGACCAGCCAGGGCGATGGAGTAACCGAAGAACTGCTGGCCAGTGACGGGGTCGTGGAAAATCAGCATGGAGGCAGCGACAAGGAGAATATCTTTGAGGACACCGGCCATGGTCAGGACGACGGCAGAGGTCTTGCCAATCAGCAAGACGACGGAGGCGTTAAGAAGGAAAGCAACCAGTGCGTTGGCAACGAGAGTGCCGATGCCGAGACCGTAGATGTCGCCCATGGTCAGACGGGGAGCCTCAGTGAAGAGGGTGACAACACCGTTGGTGATGGCGCAGGCGGGGGCGTAGTAGTACAGAGAGACCAAAGGGTCCATCTTGAACTCAGCGGAGCTAAGCAGACGCTGGACCATGACAAGACGGAGGGCCTCGAAGACGATACCGGCGACCTGGATGAGGAAACCGACCATCTCGAACTTGATCTCGCCGAACGAGGCAATCACAACACCGACAACAATCAGCAAGACGTTGCCGAGAGCCTTCATATTGGTGGGGGCGATGCCGAAAGCCCAGGTAGCCAGGAGAGTCGCGACAGCGTTGGTAGCCTAAACGAGTACGATGTTAGTCTCATACTTGCATCGCGGGGATTGGGAGTTTGAGGAAGTTGGTCCTCCTCATTTGAACGCACCTTCAGCATCTGAATGAAAGAGACACTCAGGTAGAGGTATGCCAGGTTACCGCAAATCAGACTCAAACTGAACATGATACCAATGGGCACAATGGCACGACTGTGTGGAAATCGGGTCAGTCATCGGTATTCGGGATCGGACTGTATCTGTACCAGTCGTAGCTTATCGGGGATTCTCACGTGTAGGTAGCCGGGTTCATGGGAACCTTGTGACGCGAGTCGAGCACGGTAGTGCAGCGAGCGAGAATCTGGGTCATCGCAGTCGCGAACACCATGTGCCAGGTGGTCAGGAACAGAGCTGTTTTCGCATGTCAGTCATTGTTGTATTTGACGAAATCCCGACTGTCGCATGGATGAACTTACGGAAATCTAGAAACAAATCACGAGTTAGCTGTCAAATCCGATGCGAATAGAATAGGGGATTTAGAGGGGATCAAGCATACCGAACTTGGCACTCGCAAGAACCCATTTGTTGAACAGGATGACGCTAGAACTCAGGGCAATCCACAGACTGGATTATCGAATGTCAGTCAATTTGATCATATCCAAGGGCTCAAAGACCACTTGAAGCCACAAGTCCAGTTAACGTACGCAATGTAGAAGGCCGGGTGAAGACCATTGTCTTGAGGAGGAGCAGCAGCACCACCACCCTCGAGCTTACGCTCATCCTGCGACGAGCGACCGTTTGCCATTGTATAAAATCGAAAAAACAACAGTATAAAGGAGTGACTGTGGTGAGAAGAATGTTTTAGAAAGATAAGGGGAAAAGAAATGATTTATGAACGATCGGCAGTTAACACCCTAACGCCCCCCAACTGGATACCGCGTTACGCACTTCCAATCAAAACGCCGTTTCAACGGGTGTGTCGCCCCCACTTAATGATTACACGTAAACCCCAAAGCTTGGAGTGAAAGGGGAGTTTCAGGGTTTGCCAAACAGATTTTTCTATGAGCAATTCTATCCCTGTCGATCTTAAGCACAGCCTCTATTTGCTTTTTAGTTACACCTTTATTTCATTTATTTTATATACGGAGTACTAATTAGGTTACTGCCAAGATTCAGGGATTAAACAAATTAGTGAGATTAAAAAGTAACCACTCACATTAAAGTATTGTTCAATGGAAGAATACAAACACTGAATATTTGGACAAATTCAATGGTTGTAGTGTCTGTTTACTATGGTGTCACGTGTTCCATCAGATATAATTTTCAGCGTGTGATACACCCGTCTATCCCTTCCAATCAACTGCAATAATATTTCTTTCATCACGCCACAGACATCATGGCAAACCCAAACACCACAGCAGACCCAACAGACCCTGCAGACTCAAAAATTGACCATGCTGCCTCCTTGAAATACTGGAACAGTGTCCCAGCCACCCCGGGTAGCATGCTGGGCGAGTTCCCATCAGTATCGCGGATCGACCTGCAAGGGTCTAAAAGCTTCCTAGCCAAGGTCCGCCGGCTAATTCCTGGAGTTCCATCCACAGGCAAATTCAAACAAGGCGTGGACGGCGGCGCAGGCGTGGGTCGTGTCACAGAAGGTTTTCTAAGCCATGTCTGCGAAGTGGTAGACGCGGTAGAACCCGTAGCCAAATTCACCCAAGTCATGCAAGAAAGCCAATTGAAGAGAGACGGCATCATTGGAACCATTTACACGCGTGGCCTGGAAAACTGGGTCCCAGAGAAGAAATACGACTTGATCTGGGTGCAGTGGTGTGTAGGCCATCTCACGGATTCGCAGCTCGTGGATTATACCAAGCGGTGCCGTAATGCCCTCACTGATGATGGGCTCATGGTCGTCAAGGAAAATCTGTCGACTCATGTCTCCGGTCAGGATATGTATGATCCGGAGGATAGCAGTGTCACAAGGACGGATGCGAAATTCAGACAGCTTTTCGATGCCGCGGGGATGGAGGTCATCAAGGCTGAACTGCAGAAGGGGTTCCCGAAAAGCTTCAACCTTTTACCTGTGCAATCGTATGCTTTACGCCCCAAGTCAACAAATTAGCCCACCAGTCGCCTTCTTCCAGAGAGGACCCGTGGAGAGGGAACTGTCTACGGAGTCTCACAACTGAACGGTTGTCCGGAGATTCGGACATGAAAAATGCTGGTCGTCACAAGGGACTGCGCCATATGTCATGAATTTTAGCCCAATTGCATGCTCAAGTCTATTGAGCACTATGTATTTTACCTTCCAACTTGCTAGTTATATGAAACAGTAATCACGAATATCGATACACACTATCCTCACCATCCGTTCCATAAGGCGAAACCTTCAACCGCCCACCACAAACTACATCCCGGTTCATCTTCTCCGGCGGCGTCCACACAACCTCAGCAACGTTCGTCCGCAGCCGCGAAACCTCACACCCGGTGTCATCTCTATGCTGCACAAGCAGCAAATCTGCTCCACAGCCCTGCGCGATGCCAAGACCGACCTGGGACTCCAGCCCGATAGCCGCCCTCGCCCTCGTCGAAACACATTCATACAGCAGTTCTGCATCAGTCTGGCTGCCGGCTTGGTAAATCCCAACCCCGAGACAGGCCAGGGACAGTGGATCCGGTAGCCCCCACGGCGTAAATGCATTGCCGACATTGTTCACGCCGATGACTGCGTCGAGCTTGTGTTTGCGGATCATCTGCAGGACTTGCAGCGTGCCTCTTGGACGGTTGTGCGGCTGATCGCTTTCCGGAGGGGCCGCCATGTAGATATCGCTTGTTGGTAGGCCGACGAAGCTGACTGGGAGATTGTTTTCGTGAATATCAGCTGCGAGACGCGCCCATTCGGCGTCCGTTAGTAGAGTCAGGCGCGAGCAGTGGCCGAGCATTACGCGTTTTGCGGAGCGGACGGCCCAGTCTCTGTCTTTGAGGGTCTGAAGAACGTGCCAAACTAGTGGTTCTTTGCTGGAATCGAGGTTGTAGTCTAGGTGGAAGTCGACGTGCTTGTTCGAGACAAGTGCGCGATCAATCGCCCATTCGATGTTGCGCTTTGCGGCTGGAGTGTCGGATTCAACGTAGGGGGTTGTTCCGATTACCTCGATCTGGGGATATTGCGCCAGGGCATCTTCCAGCAAGGCCATATTTTGGTCTGCGAATTCGGTGGAGAAAATAGGGTCCTGTGCGAAGCAGACGATCTGGATGTTGCATGACTCTGCCCATTGGTTTTTCAACGTAGCTGCAGCTTCGAGACAAGTGTGTTGCACTGTGTGGTCTACTTCCACAAAGGCGCGCATTGCAGTGACGCCTGATGCGACGGACTCGGCTAGTAGCCATTCTCCCCTTCTGAGAATATCAGAGTGGTTGAATTGTTGCTTGACCTTTGCTGTGGAGGACAACGCCTCCTGGAAAGTACCCGTCGAGGGCAAATAATGGGCATATTCTGGTGTACTATGTATGAATGCTTTGTCGAGATGAATATGTGGATGGGTCAAGGCTGGTAAAGCCAGAGGAGATTCGGCCACTTCTGATTTATGCGGGGTCACGCTGGTGACCGTTCCTTTGTTTGAAGAGTATTCGAGTTGGATATCCCAGGTGGACGACTCGCCAGCTAGTCGAACACCTTGGATGGATTGAATTTGGGCTGTAAGTCGGGGAGGCATTTGGGAGTTGATGTGTCAATTTGTGGTCTGGGTTGAATAATGAACGCCTTTCCCGCGGACTCTTCCCCCCACACGAGTCCGTGGGGTAGTTTGAAACAGTTTTAGTTTAATAATAACGGCAAATTCAAAGAGTGCATGTCTGCAGATATATTATTCATCTCTAAATTGCCATACAAAGGACACATATTGTCCAGTTTAATTCAAACAATATTCAAATGCGGCATATTGAGGCATATCTAGCGCGTCTATACACACGGGTATTTTTCGTTAAAGTCCTCCACCGGCCACTCGTATTTTTTGCCGGATTGTCTTTATCATGCCCAAAATCACATCAGCAGATTCCAAATGCTCTGCCCAAGGCGTGACCATACTGATGGCATCTAATATGTGTTCATCAAAGTCAAAGTCGGAGACGAGTGGTGCCAGAGACGGCGTGCTTTTGGCAATTGAGAGGGTAAGGATGGCAGCCAATAATCTAAATATAAAGGTGTAAGTGAAGTGTTATATCTCATCGCTGGTTGGCATCAATAATGGTCTTACGCTTGGAGCCTGAGCCAAGTTGCATGGGTCCTTTTCAAAAGAAGACCCGTTGTGATAAAGATGAATTGACGACAGCTGTTGACGCATCGGCAGCAATTTTCGTAGATATTTACCGGTATTGCGGTGGTGTCGGTGAGTTGGGCTGCATACACCAAACTTGGGCGGCAGATGATGTATTTTGTGGCCCAGTATCGGGCACGGATGTAGCCGTCGTATTTGTCAGCCAGCAGAGTGTACTGATGTTTCATGTTCGGTGGTTTGATGGTAGGTGGAATATGGTCAAGCCATTCCTCCAGTTGACGATCTAGTTCGGCACAGACTCTCTCCAGAGGACTTATCGAGCGCTTTGGCTGACCTCTAGTGGCAACGTCATTTGGGTGCAAGGTTGGAGAGATGGATTGAGTGTTGTCCTGGGCTTGATCTAGGATCATTCGGACCAAACACATTGCGAGAAAAGCTTCGCGGCTTTTGTTTGTTTCTGCGTTTGCAAACTCGGGAAAGAGAGGATAATCAAAGCGTAGGGTGTCGACAACAACTTCGATTCCACTGCGAGGGAATTGAAACTCTGCTAGGTCATCGCTAGAGATAGGCTTAGTTTGATGAAGAAGGGGGAGGAAGGCTTGAGGTCACATAACGTACCACTCGAGAAGATAGCAGCCCCAGGCAGTTCGGTAAAGGGTAGCTCGTTCGTCCTCCGTACTCATGCCATGAAGTCTAAATCTTCTCAATATTTCGATGGAAACTATGACAGAAGACCAACACTTACTGAGATATCATGAATTTAACACTCGCAGATGCTCGTGTGATCAGTTGCCACGCTTGGAGTGGTCTTCCCATGTAACGTAGGTACACAGAGGCATAGAAGAAGGCCAAAGGCAACATGTACTCCGTCTGGCAGGGTAGCTTGATTCCATCATTGAGGTTTCGGTACGCCAATGCAAAATACTCGATGCCGCTTAGATTTTTTAAATTTTCCGCCGTCTCGATATTAACAAGTCCATCCGCGGAGCTCCGTTGGGTATTCATGCTGAGCTTCCCTAGGGCAAGGATGATAAGACAAAGCGACGTGTCGCTTCGATTGGCTGTCATAGATGACGGGAACGTGTCAAACAGGTCGACAACCAACTTTTCATCGACAATCGGAAAAAACGGATGTACTTCTTCAAAGAATTTGCCAACGTAGGTCGCCTTGTCCACAACAGATGGGACAATTTGTTCGAATGTTTGAGTTGGAGCTTTGAAGTAGTCAAAAGGGCGCTTGGATTCTAGAAGATAAAAGAAATCTTCAGGGTATTCGCCGATCAGTGATTTGATGTGATCCAGAGCAAATAAGCTTCCTGTAGGAGTTTGATGATCCAATTTTACTATATTTAGAGGAGCAGGAGCTTTATAGGGGTGTGTAGCCGATTGAGAGGGAGTTTCGGTGGAAATGCTGTCATGGCGATGCTCGCTGCTAGGTGACTCTTTGTGAGATGGGGATGGGTCCCAGTTGTTGTATGCTAGCTGTGACGAATAGACTGAAGCGTATGATAAAGGGGCATGTTGAACCGGCTGAACCGGCTGAGCAGGTTGAACTGAAATATTCGAGGCGGCTAACTGAGCCGTAAGCTTTGCGATTGCCTCCCTTTGCTGCTCGAGGAGATCTTCTAAATGACTCAAGCGAGACAATATTTCTGTAGGGACATCCTGCGCCCTATGGATCTGCGGTCACTATCCATGAACCCTCAATTCAAGTTGAGACCGTTCTACCTTTCACTTTCTTGATAGACGCATTCAGCCCCTGCATCCCTGCAGAGGCCACATATAGGCTTTTGACCATCACATTTGCGCTTCCTAATTTGCTTGAGATCAGTTACTGTGAACAGAAATGTAGAGGTATAACCGTACCGATGTCGACAAAAGTTACATGCAATTGAGGCACGCTTTCTGGGAAAATCGATAGGCGAACGAGTCTCAAAAGCTTTCATATTCGGTGGAAAGAAGCTTGTACTGACCTTCGGAAGAAGGGTGCGGGGGTTTCTCGTAAGCAGAGCAAACAGAAAAATTACAAAAAAACGAAAAAGACCAAAGAAAACTAGAAGAGAACAGTAACAAACAGTAACAAACAAAGGTACCTAAGTAAAATTAGGTCTTAATAATCAAAATTGGGTTAGTGTAGTTGAAAAAAAGAAGAAACAGGAGAAGGAAAAACAAGGAAAGGAAACCAAATAAGCAAATAGTGAGCCAAATATGTCGGTGAGAAGGTAAAAAAATATCTTTAATTTAAATTCCTTCCTAGGTCATAATATGTGAATATGGTCCTAGAAGTGTTAATATGATAGGACCCCTGCTAATCGAAGTAATCGATCATTGCACTCGGGTACTTCCAATGGAACGGCCCGATTGCGGGGATCCAAGGTACCATTGGGGAGATATACCATTTGATCTCTGATATTGATATTCTCATGGGGCCAGTGAGTAGTGGCTCGATAGCTTTCAAATGCTTCTTTTTTTCGTTTCAATGTTTCTTCACTGGCGAGTTCAGCCGGAGCATAAGAAGCATAAATAACCGTTCGGATGACGTTGCTGTTGATGGTGGGTTCCCCGCCCCAATGTACCGTGCGAGAGTCCCATAGAATTAAATCTCCGGGTTCTGCCAATACTTTCAACGGTTTCATACCTCGATCTGTAAACCATTGGATTTCTTCCACGCTGAAAAGTCGAATGTCTTTCTGTTTCCATGTAGATGGATCCGTTTCAGCATCGAAAAAACTTTCCGTCATGGTATTGGATTTGGGAAATACCATCAATGCCCCGTCTTCAGGACCAGCATGGCTCAGATTGATGATCCCTTGAATACAATGAAGCCCACGACGCATCGGCGACTGGTCTACATGTGGCCATGGTTTCTGAGCGGGGCGATCTTTTCGATTCGGAAGGGTAATGTTAAGTGCATCAAATGAGACGAGTAGCTCATCCGTACCCCATAGCTTAGCGAAAGCTTCAACAACCTTGGGCTCCATGCGGGCTTCCCACATGAACTTCTCATGGGTAACGGAATATCCATTGAAGGTATTGACTTTGCTCTGTACGGGCAGATTATCATTGATCCACGTGGACGGATCATTGAGATCGAAGGCCGGACTAAAAGAGGATAGCCAGTCCAGGGCTTTCTGCTGGAAGTATTGGGCCTTGTTGGGATCAATGGCATTCTTGATGACTACATAGCCCTGAGAGTGCAGGTCATCTCGCCAATCACCATACGGGCCAGTGAGTCTACACCGAATTAGCACTTGTTGACGACCCATTCAGCACAACCCACTCGAAAGAGGCATGGTTCATCGTTGGGGTGACCGTAGTAGTGGTAGTAGTAGCCATTTTGGCAAATTCTTGTTCAAAATAATATGAATTGATGTCAAAAGAAAAGTGGGAGCCATTACGCTTTAAGTATGTGGATTGTGGAGTCCCGAGCCATCGTGAAAACGCTATGATGTGATCTTCTTTCGTGTGATCCGTAGATCCCCTCTAAGCTTATAGAATATTGTAACAAATCGCAGTCCAATGAGATCTATTTGTGGTGGGTAAGCGGCCGATGGGTAAGCGGCCGATCAACCCGCTGGACATAATTTGAATTTGCTGGCGCACCGGCGGTCCGCCCAGCCACCATGCCGTCGCGTGGCAATCAGATACGAAAATGCGGAGGCCTGAACAAAGCTAGGGCGAGAACGGCTTACCGGCATCTCAGTAGTTGATGATTCTGCTGCGCAATAATTCGCGCCAAGATTATCTTACATCTTCAAATTGCCCGGTATGCAACAATTGGACACCGATGTTTGCTCATGCCAGAATAATTGTCATGATTCCCTTTTGGAATAGCATCGCTTGTTTCAATGGTCTCAATTGATTCGATAGAAATACATGAGCAGTAACCCGTCCACCACTCGAAGCGAGGCCCTTTGAGCCCTCGATCCATCTAATGCTCACAAAGATGGAACTCGGCCTCCTCGAACATTCGCTTACTGTCCAACCCCGCAACGCTGCGCTCCTCCATAAGCTTAAGCCTGTAAGCCTTTGCTTCTTTGATGGTCATGGTAGAATCCAGCCCATCTTGATCCGGCGTGATTGATGGTTCTGTTTCTAGTCCGTGCGAACATCCCACCTTGCCAAGTTCTCCCGCTTTTGCTTTCCAATTCTCTTGCTGCGGAGGAACATTGGCAGATGAGATGATCCGTCTATGAGGATCAACCAGAAACAATGCCAGAATCTTGCGGTGTCCAGATTTCGATCGGTCGGCGAGCGAAAATGGTGACACCTTGTGTTGAACGACGTTGGGAAACGCGACTAGTCGACCCTCGCGACAAACCACACCCCCAATGACCTGAGTAGTCTCAGTCAAACCTGTCTGCTCGTTTTTGGTCAATCCATATACGTCTTGAAGAAATTCGTGGCAGTCTTGATCGTAGATGACGTCGTCCATTCTGTCCCCTCGTTGTCTGAACGACAGCGTACTGTCTGTGATGTTCTGGTTGTCATAATAGTAGATTGCTGTGGCGCAAATACGCTCGTTCTAATACCAAATTAGAAAAGCTAGCACAGGCGAGTAGAAAACTGACCAGTTGGCCCTCGATATGCCAGGTACCTCCCTCATACTCCGGTTTCTCTGGCGTCAATTCAATGTTCGCCAGTTTCACAATCACCTGTAAGCCCTTTTCACTGAATTGCTCTCGCAAGTTGACTATGTCGCAGTCCCAAGTTTTGAAGACCTCAAACTCGCCGGGCTCGGGGAGTATTATTGGGCGGGACTGTAACCAAGCCCAATGCTTCTCTCCGTATGCATCATCGTCGAAGTCATCGGGGGCATCCTCTGGATACTGAGGCTCTGGAGAAGAATGTTCACCGTATTTGACCTCTTTATACGGAATTCTCTCGCCTTCGAATGGCCATTCTGTCAATGTCTCATCCCAGAGAGGGATTGCTGCCGCGATGACCCTTTCGACTGCATCGTATAGTGGTCTATGCTCAATCGGGTGAGCATTGTTGATATAAGATTTGATTTTGCACCCGTGATTGTTTGTCGCAATATCATTCTCGGCACGGTCAATTTCGTGGTGCTCATCCTGGTGGACTTTGTCGGTATCGCTTGTCTCCGATTCCAGGCCCCTGAATGCCACATCACAGGGGAGCCATTGGAACTTCCGACTGAAGGCTTTCCCCTCCCAATGCTTATCACGACTGCGACTTGTCACATCGATTTTCGTATCTTCTTCGGTAGGAGTTTGGAGCAAGATTCCCTGCCCAACACTGCTTAGGCAGTTTTTCAAGTCTATAGTCCGATCTGGGAGAACGCGCGTTCGACCAAAGATGACTGGAAACAACGAGGGATGAACCAGGTTCACATTTTCACCGGACCCAGGATGATAGTCCTTTTGATCTTCTGGTACGTCCTCAAATGGAACCACCGCTCGCTTCAAGTCCTGCTGTAATTGCTTGGATATGGCCGTATCGGACTTCGTAACTCCAATATCAAAAACTCTGACTAGACCTTTCTTTTGGGCAATGCCAGCCTTCCACTGCAGCTCTTTGATAATCCAATCCATCATCCTTTCTGTCACGTCCTGCCCACTCTTGGCAATTTCCTCGCGCCAATTAGAAACAATATTGTGGTCGAAAACCTGGATAGTGTCAGATAGCAACGACATTGCAAAGAACACGTATTACCTTTTGATGCCATTCAGGTTTGTCTGTTATCGAATTAATTACTCTCATCATCAGGATCTCTCTATGAGTAACGAGATCTCTAAAGGTCCTCAGTTAAGTAAACCTCTTCCACAGCCGTAAGAGCAGTGCTTACTGAAAACAGCCTCTTTGATGATGAGCTTCATCCAAAGCATTTGGAAAACCTAAATCGCTCGTGAACATACTAGCGACAAGATTCTGGGCTAATTAGGGATATTTCGGCGTAAACAAGGAGCGTCTTACTTCAGGCTCAACATTCAGGGGCAAGTTAAATCCCGGCATTTGACGCTTTTGAAGCTTTTGTCTTGTAGCTGCAAGTAAAGACATCCTAGCAGATTTGCTAGGCAGCTTGAATCTGGACCGGAGTCCCCATGCTCTACTCATATTGCAACATGCGATGTGGTTTGCGTGTTAAAAAAAAGGGAGATATCCACCATTTGGCCCCCGAGATCATAAAGAGATCGAGCTAGTCCCAAAATAGCAAGTTGACTTCGAATTCATGATTCTGCGTTGAAAATATATCAAACAACTAGGAAACACCTAGGGGGATGTTCCAGAATTGCGATGCATTGGTTCCCAGGCCACCAAATCGAACGCATTTGAGTCCTTAGGCTTCACTCTTTTTAACTCAGCTAGGTACTTTCTTGCTACAAGATCTTCGGCCTCGCCCCTCTATCGAACAACCACAGGACATGTCCATAAATCAGGGCTCGCTTCTGTCTCAAATAATCTTTGAATCAACACGGATATCATGCTGCATGACAAAACAGTCTGGGCCAGCCAAGAGGCAAGGTTAGTGTTAGTTTGATGCTAGCGGAGATTCGGCCTAGAAGCCCAGTGGTTAAGCTGACGCGTCAAAGTATAGTCCATATGGGCCACCGTTGATGAAATCATGTGCCCCAACCTTCTTTCAGCACGCCTGATTCCTTCTGTCTTTTTTATGCTTGCATGTGTAGTGCACACGCCCGATGCATAATGCATCATCAAATTTGAATTCTAATAGCGTGGTTTCTTAATTGAACGGCCAATTACCTTCGCTCGCTTAAAGAACTTGCGACGGCATGAAATGGAACTCCATCAGTTCTGAGGTCTCTGGCTTAACCCTTGCCGAACATGATTACGGCCTCCCCGGGCATGGAAACGGAGGCTAGGACTGGGCAAGGCCGCTGAAACATCGAATTCTAGGCATGCTCACTAATTTCAAAGAAAATGCATATATCGCAAGTTTCTCTGCAATATCTAGAGGGCATAGTATTGCTTTTGTTGGTGTGGAGTATACCAATGGGTCTCGGCTTCACCCGTTGTCGATCACATCCACCTTTCCCAGGCTGTCCACTTTCAATTCGGTCATGGGTCCTTCAATTTCCACCAACGATTCTTTCCACAGGCATGGCGGATATCAATTTATCACTCCCCGCATTCAAGAAGAATAGATTAAGCTCCGTGATTTAGTGGCCACGCAATTGGCTTCCTTGGCAAGTGTCTTGGCTTTCCTCTCTGCTCGGCCCTGAGGAATCGTAACGACGAATAGTCAAGCGGGAATTACGCGTCAGGACTTGTTTCGGAGCATTCACTGCTGTAATATCCCTGGATCAATATCAAATGACGGAATAATTACTTCCTCGTCGTCAGGGATGTAAATGTCCCGCTGGAATGCATACCGGCGACCCAATGTATAAATGGCATCGAAAAGGCCGGTGAAAATCATGATCATTCAGCACTATCTTCTACTTCTATCTCAAATATTTCGACACGCATAAAATTCTGGCGCACCATGCAATTGACCAATCTTTGGCAGCTGGCCCTCCTCAGCACTGCTATTTCCTTAGCCATTGCCCATCCTGGTGAACATCACCAGCATAACTCTGCCGCCGAAATCCAAAAGCGAGCTTTCCAAGACAACGCTCGTCGCGGTCTAGATAAATGCGCCAAAAGACTCGAGACCAGCGGTCTAAACGCCCGCGCAGAGGCCCGCCGTCGGAGAACCTTCAATCTACACCGTCGCAGCGTCTCCGCTCGTGATACCGACACGGTCCTCAACAAGTCCCATTTATCCAATGATTCCAGCATTACAACGGATACTTCCTTCTCCACCATCTTCGAGACGACATCCACCTGCGTCCTGAACCCAGAAGGCGAAACAGGACCCTACTACATTAAGGGCGAATACATCCGCTCTGACATTCGCGAGAACGAACCCGGTGTCCCAATCATTCTGGATGGCCAATTCATCGACGTCGAGACCTGCGAGCCAATCACCAATCTCTACTGGGATGTTTGGAACTGCAATGCCACGGGCGTCTACTCGGGGCTCGTGGCTACGGGCAATGGTAACACAGCCGATGCTGCCAATCTGAATGCCACCTTCCTACGCGGAGTGCAGAAGACGGACGACGAAGGAGTCGTGCAGTTCTCTACTCTTTTCCCGGGTCATTATTCTGGCCGCACGACCCATCACCACATCGTCGCCCATCTAAATGTGACCGTCCTGCCTAACAACACCATTGTTGGCGGAACAGTCGCGCATATCGGACAACTTTTCTGGGATCAGGATCTTATCAACGAGGTCGAAGCAACATCTCCCTACAGTACCAACACCGTCACTCTCACTACCAATGAGGAAGACCGAGTCTTCTCTACTGAGACTACCGGAACGACTTCTGATCCTGTTATCAATTATGTGAAGCTGGGTGATTCCCTCAGTGACGGGCTTCTGGGGTGGATTACTATTGCTGTAAATACTTCTGCTACTTATGACCCCAACTACAGCTATGTATACACAGCCAGTGGAGGTGTTGCTGAGTCTGGTGGTGGTACTGATACTCCCAATGGTGGCTCTCCTTCCGGTGGCTCGGGTGCCCCGAGTGGCCCCAATGGCACCGGTGCGCCAGGTGGTGGATTCCGCGTATAGGTTACATTATACTTTGAAACACCCCGTCAGCAACGTTAGTGATTAGGGAGACTTTTCAATCAATACATGACTATATTTTAATACATTCTGGAATGAGTTTACTTTTAAGCACCAAGCAACTGAAATAGTAGCGGGTTTCCACTCTGATGTACCAGAAGAACTGAATAATGAACTTACTATATCTTGCCATCAAAGCTATATTTCGTATTATTGATACATGATCTATCAAAAGAAAGTAACCTGGGGCACAAACTTCACTGCCCAAAGTTGACTGCCTAGCCCAAAGTCCCGAGCAGCGCAAAATTGCCAGAATTGTTGACTCTAATACCAAAGCGCCTTGTTCCAATACAAGCTCTTAGCGTTAGCGAGGTCATCTTCCTGGGTATACATGGTAGTGTTGAAAACGATCTCGGTAGCGTTAGTGCCGTACTTGGGCCAATAAGTCTTGTCGCTAGCCCATTTGGTGTTGGGGTTGGCAGTCAAAACAAAAGAGAGAAGATATTTTTGCATCTTGCGCTATGGGTAGAAAATTCGTCAGAAGGAGTAGATCGAAATTCGCAGATGTAGAACTTACAGCAACGGCAGGGCTCACCGAGCTACTACTGGAAATGGTGATGCCGGCACCAGCAGCAGGCGCGGTGCTGGAGCTGGAGCTTGAGGAAAGGGAGTAGGTGCTGTACCCTATTGTTGGAAAGTTGATTAGTATATGAAATAGAAGAATTGAGGAAATTGCTAAGAATGGGTGCTTACAGTAGTAACTCTGGTCAGTACCGTGAGTAGCCTGGCCAAGTGCGACCATGGCATTCCAGGTATTGTTGTTCAGAGCCCGAGTCAGGGCATAGTCGTGAGCAGTCAGATCGAAAGACTGTCTCATATCGGCAAAGCGGTATCCAGGGCTAGTGTAGTCAGACTCCGGGTACAGTTCCATAATTTCGTCAATGACATCGTCTGTGATAGCGGGGAAGAAGGTGCGGAGCTCGCTCCTCACATCGGCAGTGGTGTTGACGCCGGAGGTAGGGAAGCCGTTGTTCTCGTGCTTCTCGTGCGTGATGACCAAGGGACCGGTGAAGTTGAAGCGGCCCTGGTAGAGCTGCGACTCGTAGGTATCTGCCACAAAGTCACCATCCACGCGGGGCTGGAATTGGTACCCATAATCATTGTAGACATCGTTGGCCACATCGGTAAGGTTTGCGAATGAGACCTTGCGCATGCATGAGAGATCACCGCCACTGCAGCCGACAGCGGTGGAAACGTTTTGCCAAAAGGTTTCGCCCTGGTGGTGGCCCGCGCCAGGTACGAAGCCTGGGGATGTGAGGTAGGCCTTGTTAAAGAGCTGCTCGTTGTGGCCTCCGTAGCGGGTCATCATGAAGATGGGCATACTGGCTCCAGCGGAGAATCCGAGAGCGGTGATATCATCGGGGTTGCCGCCGAATTCACTGATGTACTTCTTGACCCATTTATAGGCGTGCTCCACATCATAGAGGGCGACATTGTCGGTGGCGCCTTGGTGGACGGCAGTCACTGAGTTGGCAATACCGGTAATTCCGAGGCGGTAGTTGAAGGCTACGAAGACGAAGCCTTTGGACAGATCAAATAGACCCTCCGGGGTGTTCTCGGATTTAGAACCACCGGTGAATCCACCGCCATAGGTCCAGACCACAACGGGGAGATTCTTGCCCTTGGCATTGGCAGGAGCCCAGACATCCATATAGAGACAGTCCTCCTCGGAGGCGCAGTCTACATCTTCACTGGCGTAGGTTGTTCCGTTATTTATGATAGACTCAACAGATGGCCATTCCGGCTTAGCGAAACGAAGGTCTCCAGTGGGAACCGCGGCAAAGCGAATGTTCTGGTACTTGTAGTAGCCAAGACTGGAATTGCCTGCAGCTGCCCGGATCGTACTGTAGTCAAGAGAGACGGTGGGCATGCTTGAAGCACTTGAGCTGCGAGCAGATGGCACCGCTGCGGCGATTGAAGCCGCCAGGGGCAGCAGAAGGGTGGAAATATGCATTGTATCAACCACAGCCCAGGCTGTTAGATTTAAATGAGTGACCTAACAATTTACAGTAAGTGGCTGTCCCTAGCTTTATGTCTGTCTTAATTTGAGGCCAACACTGCCTTGTTCGCCCGTCGAACGCCTATTACGCGGCAGTCCACGCCACTACGGGCGAAAGGCATAGTCAAAACAAGCTTAGGAGGCGGGTCCCACCAAAGAAGCTGTGTTAGAGGAAGATCTTCAACCGCCAAGTCAGCAATATAGCAACTAAATCCGATAGCCCGAGTCTTACGCCCGAGGCCCATCTATGGGGGTTTGTTCTTGCGAGGGTAGAGTACGATCGGACTTCATGTGCTTTCAATTGACCTGCCAGAAATTATACTCAATTGCGAATTCCAGAATTGAAGAAGAAATAGTCAAGATTATCTAGATCTAAGGCCACGCATGTTCGGGGTAACGTTGGCAGACCGAGACCCACTTTGGTGAAGACTCCAATTAGGGCTGCCCGGTTAATATTATATCCGGGTAGTTTTTGATATTCTAATAGATTGATTCACTATCTGCTAAAAAGATATGAAAGCACAAAATTGATTATCACAGTATCTAGGATAGTGCCAAGAGGCAAGCACCTGAAACTCATGGTAATTCGCTTTAGCGATCTTAGGCAATATTAAGTCGCTATACATTCACGATTGAAATAAACGATTGAGTAAGGCAGAGACCTGAAATAATGTCAGCGAACACCATAAAAACCCTAAAAAAAAATAACCAAACTCTGTATATGAACTGTAGAGAAAGAGAACATTACAATTGAATGAAATGTTTCACCGTGTCGACACATTGTTTGGACGTTACTACAAACATGTGCATCCTAGTTATGCATGGCCGGTAATGGGGACTTGAGCTCTCACTCCCTCTTTACTGTAGGATATTGTTTTTCAAACTATGGCTTAGGATTCTGGGCCCTCGAGAGCCCTGCCTTACCTCCATCCGCTGCTCTTACCACGATCGGTGCGCCCTGTGTCCCGCCTATTTGAGGTCAGGAGTCCACCGGCCTGGGTCAGTCGTCGTCTGCGTCCTCCATTCCTCTTGTTGTCTCATGAGTCTCACTCACCGTCCTGCCTCGTAGTCGTGGTCATCTCGATCGTCTGACTCACTGGAACAGATTCCTCGGTGGCGGTATTTTGCCCGGTCATTCGTCTCTTTCTCGTGTCAGTCAGGATCTCCAGCAGCACACATCTTGAGCGCCTTCTCGCCTTAACCTCTTGAGATCGTTGTCCTTAGTGCTTCTTGAAGGTCCAACTGGTTATGCTTTGCTCAGCAATCCCCTTGGAGAGGGCGATAGTGCGCTCTGTCGTGATTCGCTTCTGCATGACGTCCTTGGGGAAACGGACAGCTGCATTGTTAGACCACCATCATCTCTTTCTCAAGCCCGAAGGACGGGTAAGCCTTCCAGATACACCAAACCGTAGTTTGATATGGCGCCTTTCACCAGCTTCCTTCGGCCTTGCTCAGGTTCGGGTAGAGAGTTGCGAGCAAAGAGTAGCCAGCACGATCATCTCGTCCATTGTCGTTGTGGCTTAGTTGCGTACTAGCTCACAGGTGTTTCCATATCCGAATGCATTCTGTCCCACTCTCTGGAAGTTATGTATCTTCTCGGCTAGATATCATTGATATCAGCAGGCCATATTCAAATATATTAGACAGGGCCGGAGAAATCAGTCATTGGGCAAAGATAATCATAACAAGCGTACATATGTACATTTATTCATAAGTGCTGCGGTAAACGCAGCGGGGCAACTGCACGCAACTTCACAACTCCAACGCTCTGCAACATAAAGAACTCATCCTCGTATCTTCTCCTCTTCAATTTCATTTCTTTCAACTCGTCACCAGCCCTCTAGCTCCCACCCCATTTACAATGTCATTGCCTAATCTTTCCCTTCCAAGCGAGGCAATGACAGCTGCTCAGCGAGCCCTCGGGATCGCTGAGATACTGGGCTCGGTTATCTCTTTCATTCCAAGAGAATCTTTGGAAGCCGAAACGGACTTGATATCGTGCGCGCTGGTAAACAAATTCTGGCGCGACGAGGTTCTTCCTGTGATATGGAGAGATTGCTACCTGCATACGATGGAAAAAGTCTTGCTCAAGCTCAAACCGGAACGCCGCCAATTCTTTGCAAACCTCATTTTCCATGGAACCACCGGTACGATTTATCACAAATTGGAAGGTGGAAAGGATGTATGGGCAACTGGAGGTCCTCTGGACGGAATCGTGTTCCCCAAAATGGTATCGTTGGAAATTCTCCATCGAGAATTTGAATACGGAGAGCGATCGCTTCCAAGCTTGAACTGTCCTAATCTCCAAGAGATGAACTTTGGTGGCACCATGCCGGAGTACTTCGAGTGTGAAGATGGCATGGGCGCCTCTGGATGGGAGTCTATCTTCTGGGATCTTCCGGTATGTTAATTTGTTCAGTTTTCTACTCAGTGCTAATCTGCCAAGACCAAATTCCCCAGTCTACAAAGGTTGACGTTTGACTTCCGCCCGAATGTCTTTCCTAACGCGATTCAACGCTTGAAGAAACATCACCCCAATCTCCGTGACTCCCTTGATGAACTCAAAGTCTTCGAAATTACCCACTATGAGCGAGAGACCATGTCTGACGATGCCTCTGGTTTTGACGAGCTACAGAGTCCCGACGAGGACGAGGACTTCGACTCGGATGAGGAGAATTAGGATAATCAGCAGACGACGCAGGACAGAAATTTCATGATTTCGGAGAGCGAGTATGAGCGGAGTGAGCCCCGTGGAAGAAGGGACTTTGCTAAATCAACAGGCCTATTGACAAATGAATAATCTTTTATGAATAGCTTTGCCCAAAGATGATTTTCTCCAAATATTCTCTAACATCTTTGAATATAGCCTGCTGATATCGAAGTTAATTTGCCGAGTAGATATAAAAAGAGATAGAATCCTAAGTTTGATAGCGTAGAGAGGAGCAAAGAAGGAAATATTGTTTCTGATTGTCTTTGATGAAGGGATATACCAATTAATAAATGTTTTTCTCCTGCTGTTGTCTAATATCTATGCATATGGCCTTCATATATCTCGCCGAGTAGATACACCGCGTCCAAAAAGTGGGTCGACACGCTTCAATTGATTTTATACTCGGTGACCAGTTGTCGAGTCGATGTGAAAAGTATTGGAATCTAACCCGATTAATCACGTTGATGCTCTCCTATCTAGAACGAATCGCTCTTTTGGGCATATGTTCCAAGCTAGGCTCTTGAAAATTGAGGAGCTACGTATTTATGTGCCCCAAAGCTCTGGACACAGCCTCTAGTGCATTTTTCCCCAATGACACTCATTTTTGGCCGCCATATACAATTCAAGGGGACCAGAGAGAACACTCCAAGATCAAAAGAAGAAGTAGACTTGTAAAATAAGGCGGTAAAAGGCCATTTGTTGAATACAGTTGCATATTAGCAAAATGCAAGTCCGCCTTTGAAGTATATCAATCTTTGTTTACTTTTTGACCGTTCTTTCCCTTTCACATCTCGTCAATTCCTACTCTCGTCCCATTTCCCCCAAAGCTTCAACATTGATTCAAAACGTTTTTTCCACGTCTGCCAACATGGATTTACGTGTCCAGCGCATGGCCGCCTCTCAGCGGGCTCTCGCGCTCCCGGAGATTCTCAACCATGTGTTTGCGCAGAAGGGCCAAGGTGACATCTACTTCATTTACAATGACCCTAAGGAATCTGATCTTCTTCGATGGGCACTTGTCAACAAAACCTGGTACACCGAGGCCATCCGCTTGCTTTGGGCTCATCCCATGGAAACCCTCGATCGAGTCATGGCCACTATGCCTCCCGACCGCCGCCAGTACTATGCCAATTTCGTGACCTGGGGTCAGATCGTTTACAAAACTCGATCTCAGAAAGAAATCTTCGATCTTAGAGGCCCACTTCACGGCATCACTTTCCCCAGGATGACTAGGATGTTCGTCAGCATCTTCACCAGTGACTTCTATGTCATTCCTGTCAATCATCCATTTGATTGGGATCGTGACATGCACTTTGAAAAGCGCAAGCCCAACTTCCCAGGAGAATGTCACTTGGATAATCTCTTTGACCTCATCTCGGCAGGTTACTCTTATGCTACATCACGCCTCATTTGAACTTACTGACTGTTCATGAAACAGGAATTCATCCCCGGTATTCGCGAAATGTCCTTGAGATACGAAGGACCAGTCTCAAACCTCACAGGCGTGGTCGAATTGATCCCAAAGATGGATACTTTGCCTGACGAAGACGGCCATTGGTACGTCAACCATGCCCACGTTGCAACTTCACCCGACGAAGACGAGGTGGGGTACATTTTTGAAGAACCAAAGAAGAAGGTGGTCAGGGACACCTGGGGCGAAAGTACTTGGGTCGATACCTTTTTGTGCCGGTTTGACCCAAAGAAATTCAACCTGACATCCAGCAGCTGGGATGAGATCAATGCGCGGTAGAAAACACTGCTACAAGCTGCAGAAATATGCAAACATCGAACGAGGCGAGAATTCATTTTGAGAGAGAATCATTCCATAGTATGAGACTCAATACAATTTCGTTTGCTGAAAAGAAAACCAAAATTGATTGTCAATGGACCCTTAATGTAAGCTATGCTGCCATTTTATAACCCAAAACAAGACGGTTGGGGATAATACGCCGCCGGGACATTCTATGCTCGCCTCTTGGCGGAGAGAGCTCGGCACTGCTGGCAAAGCATCGTCGGTGGTAGAGAGCGAAGAAGTCATGGATATTTTTGATTTATTTCAGCAATTTAAATCAAAGAATGTTTTGAAGGTGATCAATTTTCGTGGACGAATTCATCGTCATATAGGGACTTTCGGAGTACTTAAAGTCGGCAAAGCAGAGTCCCACGGAACTGGCCTCTAGGATCGTCCGAAGTGATTGGGCGATAGCTTGTTGGAAGCGGCCCTGGATACCATGTTCATCTCCTATATGCACTCGATTGGGTTTGATGGTATACAGCCTAGGGCATATGGTAGCGTGGTTGTTTATCTTGCCCAATCTTTATTTTGGTGTGTGGCTTCAACACTTCAAAGGAAAGTGCTCCACGGGACAAGAGTTCCCTTAATGGAGAAATACTGTAGCGTAGTTAAGACCGGGTGATGAGGGCCTATGTTGAAGAGTAGGTGTCACCAGCGCCGTGAAACCTCCAGTATTTGCCGTTTCCCTGCTCTCTAGACTCAGATTTTGTAATCTTCTTGTGATCTGCTCCAGTTTTTCCGCGGTAAAGGGGGGTGTAGTGCCGGTCGTCTCGAGCTGTCCGGGGGAAGACATGTTGGTGAGTCTTCTGCGCTTTGTGGCAATCGGGGAGGGTGGTCTGTCTCCAAACAACTCAACACAAGCTCCTTCTATTCGCGACTGCTGATCTCGAATATTCGAGAATGCTCCGATGAGAACTTTGCACAATCTGTTTCGCGCAGATAGTGGCTAATTTTTGTTCTGGGTAACTTTAGATCTAACAATAAAATCAGTTGATTATCTTTTAGATCAGATCTTGCCTTGTTGTTTTGAAGTCGCTGGTGACTTAACAGTCAGGTTCTGTGGACGTTGATTGGGCGGATAGGATAATTTATAGCGAAAGTAGAGTGTGATGGAGTCGATCAGAATGATGGATGAGATTTTGATGATTTGATCAACTGTGGTAGCCTTGAGATTGATGCGCAGCTTGTTTGGTGTAAGAGGAAAAGGGAAGATTGAAGATGTGCATCGCTATGTACCGTGGCCAGAAAGCGAGGAAGCTACGAAGCTACGTGTAGTTATACCTCACTTCTGCTTCAGATTACCTTGGTGATCTCTCATTCTTACTTCAGAACTCCTTCAATTGATGAAAAGGGTTATTTATAACTATCTACTAATGGATTCACTGCTCGAAAATATGTAAAAAGATAGTCAGGACACGGTATCCAAACATAGTGGAAACAAAGAGGGACGAGGAAAGATGATTCATTCAAGACTCGAGCTACTTGGTAGATAAGCAAATTAGAGCCTAGTATATTACTCTAGGATTTCCGTAGATGTTGACTCCTCATCACCTTCATCTGACAGGTCAGCTTGCTCTGGGTTCTCATGGTATGTGAGTCCCATACATGGAGAGAGAACATTCTCAGATATGGCTGAATCGTCAATAAGATCAAAGAGACTATCGTGAATGTCCTTCAGCAATCTCCATATGGAAGCCAGGTTGATCCGGCGATAGTATAGGTCATCATAATCGTGATCTAGCCCAAACCGTAAAGAAATCTTTTTCCTCTCTCGCTTTTGGAAGCACGAGTTATGCATACTTGTTTTTTTTTGGTCAATGCTCTGTATTCCAATATTTCAGCTGTTAAGCTGTGGTCCCTGCCAGTACTAGATTCTCATAAAAATTCTCCATGTTCCTGTTCGAATACACTTAGCTCCGTATTAATTTACTCCCAACTATCTGTGGATTTTCACATAGTTGAACATATTACGCCGTTCTTCATAGTGCATATAGCCTTCAACCGCGTCACCTCGTAGTATAGCTCCCAGAAATCTTCCTTTTCATTCTTTTCCTTTCTCGATCTGTTACTAACCAACCTCCATGTCTCGGGTTCGCCCTCGACGAAAAGTCCCCCAACGCTTGTCTGCGTTAAGCAGCATGCAGCCCAACGAGTGATTAATATTCCAGAACTTGTTGCCGATATTATCTGTTTGGCGACGAAGTACTCTCCTGGAAGAGCCTTATAAAACGAAAGGCAGAACATATCTTCAGCAGAGTCCCTGCTGAGTCCCGCCAACAGTACTCTGATCACGTCGAATATCTCTCGATGGCTACTGTCAATTACAGAACAGCCGGGGATTTCGATTCTACTTCGCAATGTCAAGTTTTAAAACTGAACAAGGGGAGGTTGTGGGTTCGGGCAACCGACCTTGGAACCCTTCAGAGGGAGTTCATATGCCATGTATCTATGCAAAGTCTGTGACCGTGCTCTATATCTCCTGCCTATATGTACCTGGAAGAAGGTATAACTCTTCAGGAACCTGTGGCTTATCCGATGATTGGACAACTTTCTTGCTCGGCACGACCTCGCTATAACTATATCAATTTTGGTTCACCTGAGACCACATATTCATGTTCTCTCCAAAAGCTATCGGTGCAAAGAAGAAACACTAGCTTGCGTCAGGGCGAAATGTGTGTATCGAAAGAATGCGTGTATCGAAAGAATGCGTGTATCGAAAGAATGCGTGTATTGAAAGACGAAATAAAGTAAGGTGGTGATCTTCAATAAGCTCTTGAAATGAATCCCATGTAGGTATTCATATTAACAGATTACGTCGTGCTTTATCGTGTATAAAATTCGACCACGTCACATCGTGCATACCTAGGTAACCACCAGCGACATTAAGTTTCTCTTTTTTTCCTCTTCATAATCCCTTCATAACTCATCCATTATGGCTCCGATGCGTTCTCGACGAAAAGCCCCCAGACGCTCGTATAAATCCAAATACGTGGCAAAACGCGTTTTCGAAAGTCCAGAGCTAGTTGCTGAGATTGCCAACTGGTTGGTGAAAGACTTGGCGAGTCGCTCCAATGATGGACTATATCAGAGTCACCATGCTGAGCCTATGTGGCCATATTTGAAAATTAATGAAGTATGGCGCACGGGGGGGAACAGGCTGTCCTGGAAGAGTCCTATTTGTTTCAGACTGAACGAGATCTTCGAGAACGTCTCTCTAACTCGTCGACAACAGTATGCTGACCATGTGCAAAATGCATTACTGGTTACTGTCAGTGACAACAAAATCAGGGCTTCTGATTCTGCGCTTCGGGGTGTTAATTTTCCCAAGTTAAGGCGGTTGAGTTTACACATTGCTGCTACAAATGAACACTTTAGCACGATATATGACACGTTTATCGATGGAATCCATATTCCATGCATCCAAGGAGAGTCTGTGACCATACTTTCTATCAACAACTGCTGTAACCGTTGCCAATTTGGGAAATCGACCTTCCATCGTGGGAAACGATATCTTTATGGCTTACCAGATGAATGGGAAAGACTATTCAAACGAATATCGGTAACTCAATCATATGAATATATGATCGCTAAGTTACTGATCTGATAATCCATCTGATGGCATAGTCCCTATTCCCCAATCTTGAATACGTCCAGATTGATACAAACCATATATGCATACCACCAAAGATTCTTGAGCGTTTCAAATGTCGACACCCGGCTCTTCAGATTTTAGAGAGGGACTTAGGTGATATACCATCTGAGCCTTTCATATCTACGATATGTCGTTCTTCGAACTGTCCTTGGTTGAGCTCTTTTCCCGGGCAGTTTTGCAATTGGCATCTTTCCAAACTAGGCCTGTTGGTCTTGATACAATCAGATTTGCGTAGCTCTAAGGCTTGTTTTGTCACGATACTTGCTATCTATCGAAATCCTATAATGAAAGGGGGCTGACCTTTTTTTAACATGGTACAGCGTTTGCTATATCTCCCTCTAGGTATATGCAGATAGCCTTTTCCTCAGAGACCATAGATCAGCTTCTACTTCATTCCCCTGCTCTGCTCACATCCGGTTATACAAGTCTTTCACTCACACCAGATCAAAATGTATATCTCCGTAGCTAGCCTGCTACGAGATGCAGAATAGCTTTCTCCACTTTCCTCTATGTTTTGCTATAGAAAGTGTATGAAAGATAATCAATGACCAATACTTCCAGAAATCCATATTTCCAATGATAAAAGATCAAAATAAAATGTAGAAGAGAAGAGAGAAGCCTCCGTAGATACATATTATATACTATTCGAACGCCACGAGTCTATACATACCGTCTGCGACTCTACCCAGACCCCAAGGGATAAACAAACACCCAGAATGCCAAACTCCAATACCATGACGCAATCAAAGCTCCTGCGAATCCAGCGCCCAAACTTCCCAATGCTTCAAAGTCTCCCACCCAACGCGCCGCATACGCCTTCTCCAAATAAGGCCATCGCTGGCAACGGTGTGCGGGTAGCAGCCGGAGTAGATTGGGGTATCCTCGCGGTCTTCATTATGTGTTTCTGGGCCGCGGGGCGTTACTCCATTCGGAGTGCGGTCGTCCTCGCGGTTTCGTTTGCCTAGTGTCGATGGCGGGAAGGATCTAGGGCCGGGTGGCGCGGTCGACCACACGGGGATATGTGTTTTCTGTGTATCGCAGGTTCTGTGTGCGGTAGGAGATTGGGTTGGCCCACCACGTCCAGCGTCGCAGCTGCCTGGTATGGGGCTTTCTGTGGTTTCTCTAACATTGCCGTCTGGCGATTGGGAGTCCCTGGGTCCGCATGGGAGGGGGGCTTTGTAGAAGTCTCGCAGTTCCCAGGATTTCCAGCCCATGCCGACTACTTTGATATTGCCGTAGACTTGTGGGTTGGCGAGATCATAGCTCATCATTTCCGTTAGGATTGAGTCATCGATGTCCACCACTTCTGCGAAAGATTTGGCGTTTGCAAGGGTTTCTTCCATCATTAATCTGTTGTCGAAAGGCTTCCCTTGTGCGACAAGGGATGCCTTGAGTGTAGCGCCGGGCGGTCCATTTTGGGCTGCGGAAGATGGGGGAATGAGAAGCCGAAGCGCTTTCAGCTTCCTGAGGAAGGGTATTAGAAGGCCCAGAGAATCCATGCTGGTGAACTCTGTGGCGAGGGCGAGTTGCTCCAGATTCGGGCAGCTATGGACGAGTCGTGCGATCATCCCTGTGGAGAGAGGCCATTTAGATGGTAGAAGAAGATGCCGCAATGTAGCACCGTGGTTTGTGGTGATATGTGAAAGATAAATATCTCGGACGCTCGCTATGGCATTGAGCTGACTGGCTGGGGAGGCAGAGGTAATAGGGGAATTGGTGGATGTTCCATTTGACACACCGGGGACCTGGTGTTCAGAGACAGGCGGCGTGAGCGCTGATATTTCTACATCTCCAGTTCGTGGGGAGTTGAGAGAGTCGCTTGAGGCGGAGGTAACATTGACGAAATAAAGCCGCTCGAGGGAATGAAAATTTCCAATAAACTCTGCATTCCGCTTTGAAACTGCGTCCATTCGCACAGATTTGATACGAAGCTTAGCATGTGGTGGGGCAGTCGGCCAGCTGCTCTCGACGAACGTGTTGACCAAACTAGATCCCTCGACCCCACTGAGGAATGTGACATCTTCCACGGTGGTCGGGTCAAAAGCGAAATTGAAGTCTTCTGTGTGGAACGCATAGAGATTTTGGAAAGACATTTTCTTCACCATCAGGGGCTGCTTGTATGTGATAAGCTTGCGGAAGTAATCATGCAGCGATACACTGGGTTCCTGGGCATCGCGCATGCGCGGCGACCAATGTAATTTCAATTCGCGAAGCTTCCGACTTTTCCAAAGCAGGGTCGCAATATCATCCGGGTAGCATAGCGGGTCGATATCGGTCACTTTCAGACATCGCAGATGGGGCATGCCCGGGATGACAAAGGTGGGCTGTGGGTGACGGCTAGAGGGGAAGCGGATCGTCAGAGATGTGAGCTTGGGCAGTTGTGTCAATCCCAAGAATACCGTGTCGAGCATCTTGGTGTTCAATTCCCAGTGGAAGCTCTCCAGATTCGTCATGCGGTCTATCGCGGCGCGAGCGGCAATGTTTAGCAACATTGATGAGTCGGGCACCCGACCGACTCGGGCGTGCTCCTCCAGCTCATGTTCTTTCCATTCTCCTCGTAATGTCATTGACCGGACAAGCGGCGCATAGGACCGTGTGATAATCGCATTCAGACCCATTGTGAACGGACTCGCGCTCCCGATTCCTTCTGGTTGTTCGCCGCGATAGCGGATTTTGTCGTAGGAAGTCAGCGTTAAGCTGCTGTATAGTTGTGGCAGCGCCATATAGTTGAGGACCCGACATGTCCGGCATAATCGTGCGAGATCGCCTGTATCATTGACCTGGATGGTGTTAGAGCAGTTGCGCGACAATAGCTACCTACATACGTAGCTAGTTGACTAGTTATAGCTTGCTCACATGTGACACAATCTCAGCGATGAGATTCAACGGCAGAACCATCAACTGAGCGCCACCAGGCTGCTCAGTTATACTGGCTCCAAACATGTTTTGGTTAACAGTCGCCATGATGCGACGTCCATTAATTGTCACATGAGTTTGGCAGAATATGGGGAAAAGAAACCGGAGCCTCGTCTTCCCGAGTGAAATTTTGGCTCCACTCTCGTAAGCCAAGCAGAAGTGGCTAATAGTAATGGCTTCAAATGTTTCTAATAACTACTTTTGTTTGAAATCGTACATAGATACAGTATTCTAAAGGATTAAAATAACAGAATAAAATGCATATTACATTGAATTTGACCGTAAAATAATCAGGGGTATCTTTCTAAAGATGTGCATATTTTCCCCATAAACACCAAAGCCCCCTATCCCAAATCCAAAAATTTGATTGCCTAAAACACCAAGAAAATGACGGGCTGTGCTCTCGTCGAGTACATGGAAAAAAATATCCAGCCATGCGCAATTCATACACAGTATTGCTTTTATGAGCTGCCATGCTGATTGGAAGGCCCATGCCCCGCAGAATGTGGAGTTTGGGGTGCAGCATGGAATTGCTCGTTCTGCTCTGATACATTGTTCCTTTCTTCGGAGATCGTGGAATCTGTCCAACTTCGTTGGTCGTATTCTGTGACAGTCTGGTTTTGAGTCCCGTGGCTAACATCCTCATCGACCAGCGCGGCAGTTTCGGGGTCATAGTGTAGAACGTAATCTCCGCCTCCTCGCTCCACATCTGCGTCTGTCCACGGAGCGGATGCGTGAGGCTGGGAAGGGATGACTCGGACTGGTAGACCGGGTCGACTGGAAGGTGTTGCGTGATGTGCAGACTGCTCAACTGGCCGACTTTCTCCTGCTGGCCGATTTTCCCCCAGCAGTCGATTCTCTGGAGACCATGTATGTTGGCCGCGTCGGCGCGCTGGAATGACAGTAACTGGTAATGGGCCGTCGTTGTTTTGCGACCCTGGTTTGCGGATGGAAAAGAAATGGTCGGATCGAGACCGGGCATTATTTGCTTCTGTCTCTCCATCTTCCCCTGTTGCAACGGATGGCCTGTGCTCCGATGGCTCTTCGCCCGCTTGTGCAGATGCCACTTCCTTGGGCAGAGAAGCACGTCGCCTTTTGAAGGGAAAGAGGAGAGCATGCCATCGGGGATCAGCCTGGACAATCTGTGGCGACTGTTCTCGGGTGTTTTGAGCAGAGAGACGGCTCGCATTCGTCTCTGGGTTTTGCTCTTCTCCTTCCTCCAATTCTTTATCTTCCACTAGTTCCTCTTCTTCTTCCATGTGAGGCATGGCGACTGGGGGTGTAGGGCTAGCAACTGGATGGTACCTGACATTGTACACTGTACTCGCTGCACTGGTGGTATCAGCGCGGCTGACCGGTGTGATAGCCGCCGGAGGAGGTGTTGGGCGGTTGTTGTTTGGACCCCGCGGTGCTGTGGCTGTGGCCTGGTGGTATGCCGGGGCTCCAGCGCCTCTGTTGCGGTTAACACGGGGTAATACCGCCCTGGCTCGTAGAGGGCGATGGGCCAAGCCCATAACGCCGCCCCAACCAGATGATGCACCATTACCGCCACCTCGGCCATTGCCCTGTGACTGATAACGCGGCCAGTCAACTTCTTCGGACGGAGTGACCTCGAGCATTTCGTCGCCGTCAAACACTTCTCTTCCCAAAATACCGTCTTTGGTCTCATCTCTTTCCAGCGCTTCAATGCGTTCCACCCACTCCCATACAACCACACTGGCTGCGGCGGATCCTACCCATCGAATATAAGTACCCCAACCAGCAATTTCCGGTCTGGCAATATCCAGAACAAAGAAAACCACTGGTATCAAAATCGCACATAACGACAAAAGAGCCACCAAGCATATGTTGCGCATCTTTGGGTGAAAGAAAGCGTACCGATGCTTAGAGATCGAGTAGAAAATGACCCAAGCAGCATAAAGCAGATTGAGCGACAACTCAAACAAGTAGCTCAGGGCAGGAATCGCATCATCGTATAGTCTGGGCCGAGTCGATGAACTCCTTACCCAGAAATTCTCCAATATACTGAACGTCGTATCCAGCACAATCAACGCAAACCCAGCCCATTTGATCATCACTTTTTCCTTATGTCGCGGGAACAATCTAATCAGCGTCTGCACCTGCGCAAGCCATAGGAATGTACTAGAGATCACGCGCACGACTCGGATTTCCAGGCCGTCGATCACCTCCTCGGAAAGCGCCTCGGCGTCGGAAAACCCATAGTTGTACTGGCGCTCCGCGACTTTGAAGGAATCAACCGTTGCGATAGTCAATGATATTGCCACGAGTATTGCGGCGACTTTCTGTAGCCATGGCCGTCCACCGACGCCGACTACCGATGAGTTTCCGCTGTACGACCCGCTGATCATGCCATGACGTCCGAGGAAATTGGCACCGCCACCTGGGCCGCCAACGTAGAATGTGCGTGGGGTGATGAGGAGAATTATGACGAGGAGGTAGCTGACAACGGTCGCACAGCCGATGGCGTATAGTTGTGGCGTAATGGAGGAGTAGAAAGGGTCGCGGGTATCGAGGACGGCGGAGACGTGGACTTCATCGGTAGGAGAGCCCGTGCAGATAGGCTCGAAGACGGCATTCTCACTAAGTGTAATAGCGAATGATTTGTTGAGATATACGACGCCTGTTGAAATTGCGACGTGCTGTTAGACGATGTTTCGAGAGGGGCCACGACCGAAGTCCGAGTCCGCGGCCGAGACGTCAAGAGGGGTCAACCACATACCATCACTGGGTAAGACGACAGGCGTACAGCCTGGCGCATAAGACCTCGTTGTGGTCGTTGTCGGGTTCGCCCAGATCTGGCGGGGGGCTAAATGGGAGACATGATCCATGATCGGGCACGATGGACGTCAAGTCGGCGTCCCAGGAACAGTTCATATACCACGCAATTTCCACCGATGCGCCCTCCTGTGTGACCTTCACGTTCAGACTTCCATTCTTGACTGGTTTAAGTCGCGTGGAAACGTTGCGAGTCCAAAGCCCGGGAGGCGATTAAGGTTGGCAAGGGGTGGCGGCGGTGTGAGATTCGGGATGAGAGGTGATATATTTCAGATGAATAGATTATTGGAATAGTGAAATCCTGCTTATGTGGGCGAAGACTGCCTTCCACCTTTATACAATATACATATGTAGGGGGAGAAAAAGGGTGGGCAAATCTGGAGTTCAAGGATGATCCTAGACTCGGCATTATTATTGGTTCCTCCACAATTCTCTCAGGGTCATTCTTTTTGTAGTCGTGGATATGTCCCATTCCTTCAACAAGATCGTTCCACTCATTACTGAGGCTTTTAATAATACGTATGATCCTTGTTCGATTATTGAAACGGTGGTGGTCAAACGCTGAGAAATGTGCATTCTCTATAAACTCCCGAGGTCGACAGTTTGAGATCCAATTCGCTCTATCAAATATTGTAGATCACGGATATAATTTTCATTGCGTTGAATCCCTGAGAATCGGCTCTCGTATTGTGAAAATATATAATTTCCCAACAGTGAAGAATCATAGGAAGCACACGAAGTTCGAGTTTAGCATCCCTTTAACTACATTCTGTTTCCCAATCTTACTGTTTCACAATGAATATATGCAGGACGTTTATTGTCATATATAAACCAGACTAGGCAGAGTCAGCCCGGCTGATAAACCGCCATCTGTATCACATCTCTCTGTACAACATTCATCACACATGAAAAGTGCTCACTTCTCTAAATCCAAGTATAGCTGTCTATCTCTTCAAGAGAGGGAGATTTATGCCTGGGCGGCAAAGCCAAGGCGAGGGCCCTGGGAGTCGAAAACGACGTACTGGCTCTTGAGGAAGATGTCACCGAAGATGGAGAATCCAATGCCAGAGTTGCTCTGGATACCTCCATAGCAAGTGGAGCTACCGGTGGAGATGGGCGCATAGTTGATCAGGGAGCCAGGAACAACGGCATCGTAACCACCAATGGTGACGGTGAAGTTGGGCAGCTTGGCGGAGCAGGGGAAAACGTAGCCACCGACCGAGTTGCTGTTCTGGGAGCCGGAAACCTGCTTGTAGTAGGCGGAGACGATAGAGTTGTCAAGAAGGAGGAGAGTGGTGCCGGTGTCTATAATTGGAAATGTCAGTCTTGCTCACCGAAAGATAAAGGTATTTATCCTGGCAGAAGAGACGCCAACTTACCAGCAATACCCTGGATGGAAGAACCCTTGGCACCAGTGCCGATCTTGTAGCTATCGGCCGTGAACGACCAGAAGCCCTGGGAGCTGTCGACATCGGCGTAGACCAGGCTGCCTTTGTACTTGGACGAGTCGATGAAGCCAAAGTCGTAGGTGCCAGGGGCGTTGTGCTTGAGGGTCACAGCGAACAGAGGTGAGTCCAGCTGGGACTTGACGGTGTCAAAGAAGGTGGTCTGGGGGTTGGGGCTGACAGTGTTGATAGAGCTGAAAGCCAGACCCAAAAGACCGTCGTTGTTCTGGTCCTGCACGAACTGGGTGCTGATCTTTTTGGCAGCCTCAACAGCCTGGCCAGTAGCCTTGACGCCACCGACGGTGACGGTGTCTTTGTAGACATCACCGCTAGCAGAGCTGCCATCACCGTAGGAGATAGACCAGCTGGCTCCGGAGAGCTTGGTGCCGGTGCTGCCAGCCTTATAGACGGCGTGGCCACTCTGCTGCGAAGAGGGAAGCTCGCTGGAGAAGACCCAGCTATAAAACTGTTAGTGACTTGCCTCGTCAAATGTTTCAATTTACTAAACTCACAGATCAGCAGATCCAGTGTCGAAATCCAGGTTCAAGGTGGTGCCGCCAACGCTGACGGGAGTCAGGTATTCGATGTCGCCGGCCTCGGGTGTGGTAATAGCAGAGCCGCTAACAGCAGCGGCGTGGACATTGGCAGGAACAGTGCCGCCATACTTGGACAGAGCGTTGGCGTACACACCGGGCAAGTTGACGGACCTGGAACGAGTAGGGGTCCTGGTCACTTGGTTGACAGTGAAGCCCTGGCGAGGGCTGTGCACTGGCACGGCCGCGGCGGAGGCGGCGGCCGAAAGAGCAAGAGCAAAGGTAACTTTGCTGAAGACAACCATTGTGAAGACCGGTCTATAGATCGATGAAGTGAGCCAGATAGTGCGAGTGAGGATGCAGAAGAGGATGATTCTTCTAAACAGCAGGATACAAGACCTCCTTTATAGGTTTCCTGTATGTGATATGACCCGGTCGTCCGAAACGAGAAGGCCTCAGTGCTGCCGTCTATCGCGACATCCTGTGGAAGGAGATAACGCTCTTCCAGGAAGTTAGACATGGCGATCTGACGAAATGCAGGAAGGTGTGCGAGAAATCCCGAGACCGCCACGGACCCCATCGACCATCCAGGATAACGCGACGGAGTCCGCCAAGCAGACTATGGAGGGGCAATCCATAGGCAGCCTATTTACGGGGTCTCGTGAAGCCAGGTCGGGGTCTGGTGGGCTTGATAGGGCTAGCGCGGGCACCGCATGAGAGGATGCCAATGCAACGGAAACGCCATGCCCAGGGAGCTTGGTCGTAACAAGCTATCTCCAAGGCAAAACGGAGATGTCCGGCCAAGACGATATGTCTTGGCATACTGCATCTCTGTACTCATTCGGTGATTGCTGGTCGATCGCTATTTTCTTGCTGAATGCGTGCGAGAAGGAGTTGGGCCTTGCGATTGGATTGTCTGTATGCGCCAAGGATGTTGTCACCTTTTTATGCGAGTCACGATGGAAGACAAAGAAGTTAGAAACATTCGAGGATCTAGCAAAAGGCCCTGAAGATCATCGCCTGTTATCTCCACGTTGGCCAATCACTCGGCAGAAAGAGCGACTAAACTTCCCACACGCACTAGCATGGTCACATCGCTCCATTAACGCCTTAATGTTGCAGAAACGGAGTGTTCCCATTGGATAAATACACTATGCCTCTGGATAAATTGCACCCTGGGATCTTGTGGTTCTGTATTTCTCCTGAAACCAGAGCGCGGGTGTAATCTCCGACGGGATTCCACGGGGATCCGACCCTGCATATGCACTACGTTCCACCTCAATGTGGACTTCAGGATGTGACCCTTCACGGAGAAATACCGAATCGCGGCTCTTATCATCTGCAGCGAAGGTATCGAAGGATCTAGCCGATGATCCATTGATCGTCGGAGATCGTCAGTAAACAGTGACCCTAATTGTACATTATAGTGATGTTGCATATCAACAAGAACGAACATGCAGTCCAGCATCTTTCTTACAAGGAAAATGGCCCGGCGGGATATACTCGTCTAAAGTTGATATCCACGACTTTGAAACAATCAACCTCTGAATTTGACACATTCCAATCAAGCATTGGTCATATCTATAATTCTACTCTAAAGTACTATTCAAACTCCATACAACTTTTCAAACCATCATAGTCGCATTGCAGAACTCCAACCCTATCTTAACAAGCCAAAGCCAACAGCCACCCGAAAGCTTCTCCGCGGTCACTGCATATTCCATGTGAAAAGCAGGTCACAAGGACATTGTTCAAGTCTGCATGAAACCATGACTCGGTACCATGACCCCACAATATAATATCCGACGGAGACCGGTCGGAAAAATTAATCTCGCAAGATTGTTAGGCATACTGTAGTTATACAAACGTTGTATGTTATAGATTACAGGACTCGTCAATCCTAAAAGGAAACCAGTTTCATGCAAATTACAGCATTGTATACTAAGGACGGCCAAGGACGATAGTTTTTCAAGAAACGCCAAGCGGAGATCCCGGGGGTATATAGGTTAAGCATCAAGTACAAGAAAGTACAAAGTACAGCTCATTGAGGGGACTCCCTATATCCAATCAAATCCATAGAAAGAATTAACTCGTGATAATCGTTATTTTTTCGTCACAGGTACGGGGTTGATAACCCAGTTTCCCCCTCACCATTAGGGTTTCCGTCATAGCCCTCGTTGAGAAGGACTTCGAGCATATCAAACTCGCCAAGCATGGGTCCAGTTCCACCTAGGCCCTGGTCAACAGCCCCAGTGGAGCTATTGAAGAATTGATCTAAAGGCAGCGCAAACCAATCCGGAAGCGCGCCGGAGGAAGAGCCGTGGCTGTCCATGGGCTGAGACGAAGGGACATGATTCGGCGACGACCTATCTAGGCCATTGGCCGGAAATGTCGAATTCGAGTCATAGTAATTGTGGTATACAGATGGAGGAGGGGGCATGAAGGAGACGTTTAGGTTGGACGAGTTGATCGGCTGGGCAGGAATGCTGGCTAGTGGATCATGGCCCGATCCCATTGCGCCGTTGGTGTCCACATATCCGAGACCCGCCCCACCTGACGTTGTATCATGCTGGGTAGCGGACCAAGGTGCGTGTGGCCCATCACGACGAGCTGTGTTCTCGCGCGATGGTGAATGTGAGCGGGAGCCGGCGACCGAGGTGCGGTCGTGGCCGTCTTCTACACCCCGGTCATGAGGTGCGAACCGCAGAAAGCGCGTTCGGATACTGCTGGTGAGGAGCTCTAGAAGCCGGGCTACAGTATTGCTGAGATGCACGTCATCCACGACATAATGGCGCAGCGCCTCCACTGTTCGGTCCTGCAGGTCCAGGGATACTCGCACGTCGTCTTCTCGGGCACCTAGTGTGAAAGTCTATGATAGAAATTAGCTATCTGATTATTGCTTTTTGCGTAAAGGACCATACCTTCAGGATAAAAATCATGCCGGACAGAATACGGAAAAAGGTTCGGATGGGCGCGTGTCTTAGACGGCCTTCGGGGACAAGACCATCCAGGACTGTCTGTAGGATCTTGCGAGAAGAATCAATGACTTCTTGGATGTAATGCTCGTTGACGCGGTAGAGCTCATTCAACGTCTGGAACCAGCTGTTGCTGCTTTGAGGCCCGGCACCCTGGGTATGAGCAGACTCGTTGGACATTGTCGTCCACCGGTCGACGACCGCTTGCAAAGCGAGAGAATTGATGTAGAGACCTAGTCATGTTAGCTTGAGGCGGTCTAGTAAGCTTGAATATGAAATTTTGCACGCTTACGTGTATACTCAAGCTCAATCAAGAGGACGCTGCGCATGGCTGGTGCAACTGTTTATTGTTAGCTCCGCTGCTGTATATATGAAGAGTCAGATAAACATACGGTTAACGCTGTCCAGCTGCTGTCTGAACTCCCGCAAATACGGCTGGAAGCGATCAATCTGTTCGCGGTATCTCCCGCTTCTGATCAATTCCATCGTCTGGCCACTCGACGCGAAAAGAACATGATTGGCTTGATAGACAATTTTCGAGATACCGATCCAACAGTCTTGCATCCGGTCGAGGTTTGCATCGGCATCTTTTGCGTCAGCAGAGGTCGGCGTGATATCTTGTCCCCATTGAGGCAACGGGAGCATGGAGGGGATTCCTAGACGACCGCTGCTGTGTGTAATGAACACTAGAATCAACCGCTGCAACCGCCGTTTTCGCGTCTGTTCGGCGAGCGACTCATTGGCCGCCTTAGGATCTCCTTTGGGGTCGAAGACGCCAAGTTCAAAGGCCAGGGCCTGCGCCGTGCTCAGCAGCATCCACGACATTCGATCCGACCGCCAGGCTGGCTCCAGCCATTTCTGGAATGCAACTCTGCCCTCGCTTCCTTTGTTTCCAGTGTGTTCCCCATCTTGGTCTAAGTTACTGTCGGTCTTGGCATATGTCTGGGGGTCTGTATCCAAAAGAGAGTTCTCATCATCACCCGGCGGGAAGTGCAAGTTTCTCGGGTGCCACTCTGTAAGAAGTAGCATAGCCTCTACAGTACCCAGTGATCTCAATTGTCCATTCACGCTGCCTTTGTTGGATGTTGGAGCACCCAAGTCAAGAGACCGAGGTCGGCCAATGCCCGATGTCCCTGCGTCGAATTTCTCTTGGCCCCAAAAGAGGCGCTCTATCATGCTGCGTAGATATGCCCAGAGGCGATCATGGATATAGAACGCCCGCGTATTGGCGCCATCGCCCTTGGGCTTGAGGTGTCTAGAGGCGATAGTGAGGATCGTCACTGCCAACACTGGTTCCTCGGTGAGCAATGTACGGTGGGTGGATGGATGAGAGAAATCTGGAATTACGACTGGACTCATCGGTGCGAGGTTTTCGTAGTAGTACGCCACATAATCCATGCCCTCCTCTACTGTAAGCCATCCGGCACGGACAAATCGCAATCGCGACCAGGCTCGGATTGCGTCGAGATATGCCGGTTCTGAGGGAGGAATGTTGACTGGGCTTTCTCTTTGAGGGCCAGGGTCGGAAATCTGAGGATCTACGGGTCCTGTAGCTCCAGCGGGGTAATAGGTAGAGCCGCCCATGGACATCCCTGATCGAGGGGTCCGTACAAATGATCCGCCCATGCTCCGAGGTGAGCTACCTTGTGGTAAGGGTGAAGGCCCTGAGTTGAAGGATGAGACGGACCGCCGAGCAGCGAAGCGATTCTCAAGGCTCTGGCGGTTGAGATCCTCTGTTCTACCTGCTGCTTCAGAAAGTAGATGTAATGCGTCGTGGGTATTTGTAATTGCGGGCGACAGTAATTCCACTGCAGTCCTATTCATCATCGCAGGTCCTCCATAGCTGGAGGGGGCGGTGCGCTCGCTGACAGGGTACGTGGGAGCTCGTGATATTGGGGCACTTGGCGTGTACCTCTGGGGAGGAGGTGCGGGGGGAGCCTCGGACCATCTTTGTCTGGAACGCACGGCTTCATGGTCAAATTGAGGTGCTTCAGAGGGCGCAAATGGGGCACGTTCACTGGGACTTTCATTCTTGGCTACCTCGCCAATCATCATCCGCTTGTCGCGGTGAAGAATGGGTTCGGCCTCGATTTCATCGTCCTCTGCAGCACTAGATGTCTTGCGCTTGCGGCGAGTGGCTGAAAATTCACATCGTTTGCTTTCGCGCCGGCATCGAACGCAAGGAGGGGGACGAGGATTGTCGACACCTTTTTTTTTTTTTGTGATCAGTCAAAGTAGATTAGATGGAACGGAAACATACTTCCTAGGTCGCACTTGACCTTGCGTTTGCGGCATGGATCACAGGCCTGATAACCGCGCCTGTGCTGGGCATCATTGGCCTCCGACTTGCCGTAAAGGCCGCTATTGGTGTCCTGGCCCATGTTGTTTCGTTTGCGTAGAGTGGGTAATTGTCTGGGGAAGACCCCGACACAAAGCGACACAAAGCGAAGATAAGGCGGTGGGGTGATGGCTGACCAATACTCCGAGGATTCGGAGTGAACTTGGTTCAAAACAAGCCTTGAAGAGGATAGAATGTTGAAATGATCTCGGTTGCAATTTCAATTGAGGGTTTTCGATGTTTGTTAGGGTTTTTGTCGTTGAATTCGGGTAACGAGGTAGTTTTTATTGTATAATGAGAACTCTGCGGGGTAAATCAAGGGATGTACGATGTACTACTACTCGGGTGATTAACTATACAATGTACATTCTTGTCATTTCTATCCACGCAATTGCATTTTATTATTACACGTCTCGATTCACGAACTACATATGTACAAATATCTCGCTGTATTCTGGGACGAAAAACACTCGAGAAGCGCTACAGGTCAAACTCCATGTTCACATTCACATTATCCAGAGTGTTATGAACAAATCAACCCATAGCAGACAGTGGCTTCTTTACTTTGTCTGATGCTAGGCTAACATTCATCTTGGACACTGATTCCCAAGCTTTGCGTGGCTGAACCAACTCGCCAGATGCAGCACTTTCCACGCTACCACGCCGGGAAAGATTTGGTGTCATTTTTCCGGAAATAAGAGCACGAACGCCACCAGCTTTGCGTGCAGGGATTTCAGAGGTGCCAGCAGTGAGAACATAAAGAAGGTATTTGAGATTGGGAAGAGTGTGCCGAATATCAAGAACGCGCAGTCCTTGCTTGCTAAGGAGGTATTCGATGTCTTTGTTGAGGAGAAAAACAGCATACTCGAATCGGTACTGCACACTGACCGGGTAAAGAGGGTACGTGCGTGCTGGAAGGGATGCAGATATGGGGTCTTGGATGAATGAAGTCGACCCGTTGGCGTTGACTGGGTATGGGAGGGCCGCCGATAGGTAAAAGGACAACAGATATACCAAATGGGCTGTGTGGCCCAATGCTGCCGCAACTTCCTCACGATCAATGTCCTCAAAGGAAGAGTTTGGGAGGGTCAGCCCGGCGATGGTGAATGCCAGAGGTTTATCGGGAATAGGCTCGATAGGATATATTGTAAGAAGGTCCTCTGCAATACGTCGAATTTGGCCCTTCATTTCCTCCGCATTTTGGTTGAGCAAGTGCTCACTCGACACCAATCGCTCCTGGGCCTCAGGAAGATGGCTGCGTATCTTTTCTTGGTTTGTGCGGCCTTGCACCATCGCTTCTTTCCGAGTCTTGATGCTAGCAATCAATTCTTCCTTTTGCTTGATTGCAGCACGGACCCGTTTGCGCTCCAAGGCGGCATAGCTCTTGGTAAGAACAAGCTTCTCTTGGGCCGCAACTGCGTCACTGGTGATATTCAGTGATCCCTCATTTTTTTGCAAAATAGAGCTAATCTGCGACTCCAATTTCTCTCTGGTTGCCAGTGCATCCTGTACGCACTCGTCTAAATTGGCTAATTTCATCAGTGCATCGTAGGACGAGGACGGCAGGGCGGTACCATCTGCAGTGGTCTTCTGCCCTGATGCTTGGAGCGGTGTTTCGAGCGGTGGAAGATCGGTGAGGTTGCTATAAACACCGTCTGGGAAGTGGAACAAGATCGAATTCGCAGGAAGCGGTTGATGAAAGCTTTCCAGAGTCTTTCCCAAGAACTGCAATGACCGTAAATGAACCTGCAATTCAACAAGTAAAATATGTTCGGGCATTTCCCCAGTTTTCGTCCAGATCTTAAGAGTCAGCTCGTCCATTCGAGAGACATATGGGCCACATAGATTCAAATCAAATGATCGGAAACTGGGATTGTTTGCGCGCTCGACGACTTCGCTGATATAAACAGGCTCATCGAGGTCCTCGCAATGAAGTGAGAAAAATGAATCGGCCATGCGGCTATTAATTATGTCTTCAAGTTTGAACTGTCGAGTTCGTGGATTCGGATCGTTCCAGAACAGGGTACTTCTGCGACGCGGACGCATCGCGGGTTCTTTGTTTGCGCTACCATCTTTACTCGCATGCGACTGGAGATCAGTGAAAGATCTTGATGAGTGCAGAAGATGGTTTTCTTTTTGCGACAAGATCTTCGAGGCTGTCTGTAGGGTATTGGGGATGTCGTCGTCATCGATGGTCTTGCCACGAGCTCGGATTGCGGGAGGTGTCACGACCAAGTTGCGCACAGATATGCCCTGTAGATGTCGAAGTCTGCGGTTCTAATATCCTGTTAGTACTCGGGATTATCTGTTTCTTTGCAACATGTCATACCCATGCGTAGAGCCACGGCCGCTCTCTGCGGCTACCTCCATCATGCTCCGTGTCCGTATCCATGACACTTGTGCAGGCGCCGGGGGAGCGCGGTGGTCAAAATGTGAGACTCGAACAGGTCAGATCAATCATATTCAATAAACAACAAGAAAACAGCACACTAGTGGTAGAAGAAAGCAATTGAACTCGAGTTGTCAGAGGGTGAGCCGATAAGAGATGCGGAGAGCAAGCAAAGCCGCCAAGACCTTCTGTTCCCCGTCAAAAAATCGACCTCCCGTCTACACGCAACTCCCCCAAATCAGCCACTTGCGCCATTCAATGCAATAAAGTCGCGTTGCTAATTGCAATTTATAATATCAACTGTTCGCAGCCTCTTGTTCGGCCGCAATGGCCTCCAACACAAAGACCTTCCAGAGGGTGCTGGATTCAACAGCACTTGCAGCCACGAAATTCGTCCGCCGACCACCAATTGACCCCAAGACCCCAATTCAAGGGAAGGTCAGACAACCGTCCTCAAATGCATACAAAGACCACCAGGATAAGGAAGGTCGGCGGCTACAGAAGGCCCTGAACTCGATCACCCACGGCCAGAACATCTTTGTGTACCACAACCTCCGCACGAAACAGGTTGTGTACTCGTTGACCCGTTATCTGGAAGTGAGTGTTCCCTTTTTTCCTTGACAGTAAAGATTAGCATATTCTCCAGGGTTTCTGCCCACAGTCCCATGCGAAAATCTTCCGCCGGTCCCCGAAGCATTGCGCAATTTTCTAACAGCCAACCCTCCAGAAAAACAACCTCATCAAGCAATGCGTCTACCACGGCAAGAAGACCGTTCCCGCCGAAATCCGCAAGGACTTGTGGGTTCCCTACTTCTCCGTCCACTTCGCCGAAAAGCAAATCGGTCTGAACGTCTACAACCACCTGCGACAATTCGCTCTCCTGCGCCAACTCTCCCCGCCCAAGGAAATGATCACCGTGACAAAAGAGTACCTTGACCACATGCGCCCCGCAGACCCAAGGGACCAAAAGGAATGGAACGAGCATAACATGGGTCGATTGGGCCAGATCATGAAGAAGAAGGAGCGTGCCCGCGTCCTGATGAACCAAAAGGCCACCTCAATCGCCGATGTCGCCTTCGTCTTGCAGAAGCACATGCGCGATATCACCATTGGTCTTCCCGGGTTCGCCAAGGGCGGCTACAAGACCCTCAAGGCGCGCAAGCGCAGACGTGCGGCTCTTTCCGCTGAGGAAAAGCTCGCTGAGGAGCGCGCTGAGCAGATTGCTTCGCTGGAGGAGCAGCTGGACGCTGTGATTAGCGCGGATCTCTCCAAGCCCGAGTCTAAAACAGTTAAGATCCTGTGGCAGGATATGTATGATGCGCAGCATGCGAAGAATTGGCCCCATTTCATTACCCACGGCCAGCTGCGCTGGACTCGCAACCACATCATTGGCCAGGAGGAAGGCGCTGCGGAGATCGTCGCCGATGGCTCCTTCGAGGAGGCTCCTAGGCAGTGAGTGGTAAGATTTGGTGTTGTTAAGGTCTTTTTGCTCTCGTTTTTCTCTCGGTTCCAGAGTCGGGCGAGAGCCATTTGTGTGTTGATATCTACTTCCATCTGGTTCCGGGCCAGGGCCATGGACGGTTCTGTTTGTATTTTCTTTGCTGTGTCTTCTGTCTAGCTTTATCCTAGCATCCATCGCCACATAAATTGTACTTTTAGATCTATCAAATCCTACAAAGTTATAGCTATCAACAAGTGGCTTGATCTTTTGGAATATTTCCTGTGGCTCTAGAGCCATTCTCAAAATCTAGATTATTTGATCGAGGCCATTTCCATCCAGCGTCCTAGGCGAGCTGATACAAGACTTGAATAACCTTCAATGCATATACTACAGAAAACTACATGTTGATCAATCTCTCTTGGATATGAACAGTCGATTCATAGAAAAAGAAAAACAGAACCTGATCTCATACAGGCCAATTTCAGGCCAAATATCCTAATGGTAGAATAACCTATGCTAACAAAAAGACATCAAGATATCGAAGTCGGTATCCACTAAACAAAAGTTTAGAATTTCGAAAAGAAGACAACGGGCAACCGAAGTTCCACCATTGACGCCAATGTGCAATGTGAGAAGAGAGACACGAAGAGAAACCCCAGAACCATCCGGGTGGAGTACAATTGCGAGAAGCACCAGAGAAAATGGTAGACAGTAGAGAAAAAGAAAGAGACGCGATCTAGCTCATTTTCGCAGCTTCGGAATGGCGTGGCTTATTGGAATGTCATATCACTAGTTATCACTTCGTTGAGCCTGACGGGTTATTCGCGCTCCTGTTCGGACTCAGGATGTCCACAGAAGGAAGGTCGTTGTTCTCATTAATTGACATCTCGGGCCCGGGCTCTTGGCGTTGGCTGCTGTTTCCCATACTGTGCAGTATTTCTTGGGCGGCTTTCTCTGCGGCTTCAGGGTCGTCTGCAAGGCCAGAGGCGGCGATATTCCTTCTTGCTCCTTCGACGATGCTATCTGCCTCGCTTATGCCCTGGGATGTTTTCGTATTATCTCCCACCACGCCTATCTGGTCTGCGTTGTTGTTGACGACGTCTTTGACGCGATTGGAATCAAGTCGGATGACCATGCAAGACAGATTGTCAGTGCTGAAGCGCGCAAGTGCGTGATCGACGAGAATCTTGGAGGCCTGTTGGGCATCTTGCTCGTTCCGGATTATGTCAACGGCTTCCTGGTCAGTGCAGACATCCCACAGCTATCGGCATAGAATTAGTTGATGTCATATCAATATCAGTGGGATCAAACACTCACACCATCGCAGGCCAGGATAATAAACTCATCTGCATCTGGCTGGATAACAGTCTCTGTTGTGTAGGGATGCCCGGTCACAAGATCCTTCAAATATGCATCACCCAAGGCACGGGTGACGGCCAGAACTCCATTCACACGGTTGTTCAAAATAAGGCCTCCAGCATTTGAAATGCGCTTGCCTTCATTTTCGTCGCTTCCCTTGTGGTCATAGGAAAGGCGAAGGGCTTTCCCGCTGCGACATAATACAATACGTGCATCGCCAACGTTGGCTGTGTACAAAACTCGTTGCCGAATGGCCTTATCCTGCAACTTGGGCAAGACAGAATTCGGGGAGTCTTGAGTCGGAGTCGCGGTGCTCTCCGTGTCACCTTTCGTAACCGCGGCAGCCGTGGAAGCGAGTGCAGAGGATCCGGTTGCCGATTGTGAACTGGGTACACGGTCTTCCCACCTAAGCACGGCGGTGACGGCTGTACATCCAGAATTTTTGACGGGGAGTTTCTCCAACTGTTGGTCCACGCTGGTAAAAGTCTGATCCAGAAGTTCCGGAACGGGGGTGTTGGGGCTTCTGCGCATGACTTCCTCAAGAATCAAATGTAACTTCTTTCCACACCACTCTGCGGCAAAAGTTCCAGCATGCCCGTCAAAGATGGCAAAGTAACCATTGTCTGTTTCTACAACACGGGGAGATTCCTCTGAAGTTTGCGACAAACTAGTCGTGGGAGGCGCGCCATTTGTACCTGGTGAACCAGGGGCAGGGGTCCCCAGGAAATTGTAGAGGTACGCATGTGTATCTTCCATAGTCCGGCGACATTTTCGGTTGCGATCTTCAGTCACACCAACCCGGAAGGATGACCGAGCGGTCGGTACGGACTCTCCAGCGGAGTTATTGAAAGAACCTTGGGGGACACTGAGGGCGGGATCCATCTTTCCAAGCTTTTGTAGCGGGCTTTCCGCGATAGAGGGACTGGTGCTGATAGCAGAACTATCCCGGCCGTTCAAGCTCAGGGAACTTTTGGCGCTATTGAAGAAGTTGGCCGCTTTGGTGACGGTACTGCTCCTGCGCTTCTTCTCACCAGCGGGAGCTTGATCTTCACTTGGTCGGCGGAAAAATCCAGCACCGGGAGGGGAGAACTGAGAGAACCTTTTCTCGCGCGGACTAGTGCCGGTGGTGCCGGTAGTGTCGGTTTGGATGGTCAAGGAGTTGGGGTCGAGGCCGGTCTCCGGAAGAGCGTTCACCTTGTCTTTGGGTGGGCTCGAGGAGCCACTGAACATTCGGTTCAGTAACCCACCCTGCGAAGAGAAACTGCGGCGCTTATTTCCTGCCAGCTTGATTGTATCCCTTCGAAAGGAATTGTTGAAACACTCGGGGTGGTTTGGAGGATAAGCGGGGCGAATCTGGGAGCGAGACTGACGTAGGGGAGGGGGTGGTCGGTCGAGTCGGAAGTGGATAAGTTGGGCTGTGAGATCTGGATAAATCAGCGATGAGAACTTCCGCCAAAATATTGCCTAAGATGAAACAGATGAAGTATGATGGATTAGGCAGTGAGCGACAGACGTGTGATCAATTGGGGCGCATAGCAGAATCACGAGGTGAAGTACTTCTTTTTTATCTCATTTAGAAAAGATGAAACACAATAGAAACAATAGAAGGATAGAACAAAGCCATTCAGATGCACATATTATCTCGAACATAGGAAGTAATGATTTGAAACAGGGTACAATGCACTACTGTATGGTGCCTGGCATAGACGGCGCGTTTCCTCAACCCCGCCGGGCGCAAGGGCCTTCTGGTGTTGGGATCAAAGAATTGAAGAATGTCTCGACTTACAAATAATTTTCAATAATTGAAGATTGATGATGAATTGGTTAAAGAAAGAAGTTGTCAGAAGGAGGAAATGGTGATGCGATCAGGAAAACCACCTTAACTCCGCTCCTTACGGCTCACGCGGCAGTGAGCGGAGAGAGCCAAGACTCACGGGGTGGAAGCTACTGGGGTTGCTTTGGGAGATTCCTTTTATATTTAGTATACATTCTTATATACAGATCTATAGATTGCGCGGTAGATATATCCCTGCTAGGATCTACATATGTAGCTACATATATAGCAGTTAGTAGGCGACACTCCCTAATAGCCCGCATTTGGTCAATGACGCATCTCCTTTTTGATTTCTTGTTTCTGATGTAAGATTGCCGCTTTCTCTTATTTCAGATATATGAGTATACACATAAGTAAAGTCGAATCATATATATGTCTATAATATATGAATATCTACTAGTTCTTCAAATGACTGCTCGCATTAGGGGACGCTTGGCATTCAGATCCTCGGCGATCTGGTCAAAGAACAAAGAACAGCTAACAATGGCAATTTACACAATCTGTTTTGTCTTCGTTTGTTCCTAGTAGATCTGGATCATAAGATTTGAATCTCAGATAAAATCTGGATCAGGTAGATCCCAGAATTCCAATTTGATATGTTTCAAGTGTAGTAGTTATAGTGTGGAGACGAATAACTAGCCTAATTACCAAGAACTAATATTACCATATCCTTCAGACTTAGCCTTTTTACGGGCAGGCTCGGGCTCATCATCCACAAACTCCACGGCCTCACTTCCCTGGTCTCGGTTTGCTAATGCTGCCTTCAGATATTTTCCAATTCCAACGTCGCCCGACTCCTTTTTGGCATCTGCTCCGGCACCGCGGACTCGCTTTCCTGTCCAGGTAACTTGATCATCCTCCTCGCGGCGAACTCTCTCATCCTCTTCTTCTACAGAAGGGCCGGTGGCGCCTGTAGCTCGAGACTCTTCGGCCCGTTTTTTAGTGAGGAAATCCTCGAACGGATCTACAAAGACCGTGATTTCTTTAATGCGAACTTCGGGGGTTGGTCGGTTCGTGGTTGGTTCCACGGGGTGTGTCTCAAGTGCGTTCAAAGTAGTAGATGATGGGGTAGGATCATCGATGATACGACCGAAGATAGTGTGCTTGAGGTTGAGATGAGGCAGAGCACGGTAAGCAATGAAACTAGAAACACATATTAGAGATGTCGGAGCTGGATATCACAGATTCCACTTACAATTGACTGCTGTTCGTGTTCTTGCCCTTGTTGGCCATACTCAATGTTCCTCGAGCATCGTGCTTCAAAGGTCCATCGAACTCATCGGCAAAATATTTGCCCCAGATACTCTCTCCACCCCGGCCAGTACCTGTGGGATCACCACCCTGAAGCATGAAACCTTTGATATTGCGGTGGAAAGGCACATTCTTATAGTAGCCCTTTTTGGCCAGCTGAATGAAGTTCCAAACCGTCTTGGGGGCATGTTCAGGATACAGCTCCAGATTCAGATGGCCAGCGGTGGTTACAATGCGCGCGTAAGCCTTGGCCTTCACGCGACCGCGCTTGAGCATATAATCTTCTTCTGACAGCAATGCAAGTTCGGCGGACGTGTGTGGTGTCAGCCCCGTACTGGTAAAGGAGGCAGCCGCCTTTCCTGTGGTGAATTTGGCGGCATTGTAGGGTGTCGGTTTTCCAGGTTGTGTAACGCCAGGCTTGGTAGTACCCGCAGGCCCGGTCTTTGAAACTGCTTTGGATCCAGCAGAGCCAGCCTGCTGGGCCCGATCGGCGCGCGCCTTTGCCACGGCCTCTTTGGCTTTCAAAATCTTCGCTGAGCTGCCGAGTGCATCGGCATTAACGCTTCCAGAAGCTTGCTTTCCATCCAAAATTCCAGTCTCTCCTTCTTTGATATAATTGAACGAGCTGAGGTTGCGTGATTCAATGTTCTGCGGGTCCTGCAAGGTGATAATATCCTTCCGGCTGAATTCCTCGTCTGTAACCAAGTCGCGCCACAATTTCCCTTTAATGTTCAGTCGCTCTACTGTATCCCAGGAGAATACGTTGCCCGTATTTCGCAGCGCGACAATATGCGTGTTATCCGTCAAGATCTTAAAAGTGACCGGGTCAACGTAGTCACCATCCTCATTTTTCGCAATAGTCAACTTGATCAACTCCGAGCTCTTCAACGGCGAACCATCGACGGGGTTTGTTCCATGTCTTTTAATCCAAGGCAGAATATTCGTGAGGTCAAAGAGTGTGCCTGTTTGTGTGCAAACCGGATGCGAAAACGGTTGGAGGGAGAGGGAGCAAAAATTGAACGGCAACCGTTTGAACGCTGCGTGAGGGCCACCCTTCTTGGACTTGGAAACGCCAGCGCCTGCACTGGCCGAGAAAGCATCCTCCGATGCCCACTCCGAGTGAGTGATCTAAGAAGAATAAGTGTATTAGCAGGAATTCAATGCGATTAGTGCACAGAGCAAGGGAAGACGAGTGTGTTTGCATACATAAAGTTTATCTGTTCCTGCAGAGATTGTTAGTTTTCGAGTTATATAAATGCGATCATCACAAAGAACATACCTTTTCCCATGGCTGATGATTGAGAATGCTTCTTCGCAACTTTTGCGCAAGTTGTCGGGGATACAACGATGACGATGGCAGGGCCTTGCCGCTTCAGGCCTAGTGCGGTGGTTTTGGCGCCTCGGTGCCTTGATTAATGCCTGAATTTGGCATCCATACAGATAGACCTCACCACATACTTTCAGTGGTTTACATTTCATCAATTATTTCTCAGTTCTTATTTACAATCGCTTCCAACTACCTTATATATAGCTTCACTGTAATAAACCAAACCGAGGCGTATTACTGAAGCTAAAGCCATCCCAAGTATTACAGTGGAAACTGTGTGAATACTTGAAGATGATCAATTGACTATCTAAGAGGCAATAACATAATGAAAGATGCTACCCAGGTGACCAAGAATAATGACTGCTTCTTGCGTTCACGTGCCTGAGCAGGAGTTTGGGGGGTGTCGAGTTGATTCATATTAAGGTCCCAAACTGGGATGGAGATGTCACATCTGCCCGCTCAGGAATTTATGACTTACCCTCAGTCATGAACGAACAACGAGCAACGAACAACGAACAACGAACAACAGAAGAGAAATATGAAGAACCAGACACAATGAACCCTGAACACTATGCCCCTGCGTAGTTGAGCCTAAGTAGCCTACACAAATTGATCTACATATTTATATATTCCAATCATTCGACGCTTTCATAGAAATCGATCTCCTAATGTGTTACTAATTCTACTTCGGGGATGAACTGGAAAATAAAAATAACATTTTGCTACCTGACATTGTATTCTATGTTGGCAAGAGTCTTGAGACAAGCCCAGTGGTGAGTAATCATACATTTACAAGTGCAATCCCGCTAGAAAGCCCAAGTGTCATAAAAAGCACGCTCGCGAGGCCAGATCCAGCCCACAAATCGAAAACGCCCTGACGATGTTAAGTCATAAATTCATATGAATGGAGGGGCAAGTGGTGTTTAAACAAGCAGAGGCTGGTACTTCAGTGGGACCACCCATTTGTTTCCGAAGTCAATTCCATGGCGACGACGGGTACCATACTTCCTCCATACAATCTGAGGAATACCGATGTCCGCAACTGCCACAGTCCAGGAGATTCTTTCGCCAGACAGAAGAGCGTTCAAGATTCCAGTCTTGGGGGCTCCGAGGCACACCACGGACGTGGCATTAACGATAATGCGAGCTCCATTGCTAAGGGTAACTTCTCCTGTAGGGTTTATGTTAGTAAAACTGGATTGGGCGAGTTTTGTAAAGCGGACTTACCAGTAGAAGCATGAAGTCCAGAAGGAACATCCACGGAAAGCACGTCGGCATTGCTCCGGTTCATCCAGGAGATCATCTCGAAAGCCACAATTTGGTCATCAGTCCGAAGGTCGTCGAAGGATATGTGCATGCCGAACAAGGCGTCAACAAGCAGGTCAGGGCCCAGGTCGGAGGTAGCCAAGCGAGCAGATAGCTCTTCCCATTTAAGGACTCGTCCCCCAACCTTGCGGAAGATATCAAGCTGCTTGCGGCAGTTCTCAAGCAATTCAGCCTCGTGCTCCAACCCAAGCAGACAAACTGTAACTCGATGACCCCGGTTGCGCAGATGGCGAGCGGCGGCAATAGCCCTAGCTCCAGTACGGTGGTTACCAGTAATGATTACCATGTTTGGTGCAGCAGCATCGTTAGAAACAAGGGCCACGGCAGCCTCTGCAATGCCTCGTCCTGCATTCTCTGTAATTATCTCCTCGGCCAATCCAAATTCGGCGACCGAAATTTGCTCGATCTCTAGAGTCTGCAAAGGGCTCACGGTAGGACAGCTGCGATTGGTAGTAGTGAGGCGGAGGGAGCCTGCACCAGATACATTTGGAGCGACCATCGGCGAGACCGAGGATCGGCTGGGCCTAGGGCTGGTTGTACGAGAGACGTTCACGTGTAACTGACTGCGGCCAAGTGCGCTAAGTTGTGGCACCATTGGCGGAGCCTGTATCGCGCTATCTTTTCGAGAAGAATGATGAGATACCCTTGACCGTTCACGTCCGGACAGACTCTCACCGCCAAGTTTGATCTCACTAGCCCCCTCGACATCATCGCCAGTCGTATCCTCTGTGTCACTGTTCTGCGGACTGTCGAGAACATTCTCCGTCCAGTGGAGATTTTTACCACCGTTAGTCCCGGGCTTGACTTTTCGGTTGAAGCTGACCAGGCGCTCCTCATCTGCGGTAGTGTCATCGTTTCTGATTTGTTCAAACACGGTGCGCTTGTCAAATTTGGATAAATTGCTTGCGAAGTCGAACTCGCCCAGCTCTTGGATATCAGTCGCATCTTCGGTGGCCCAGCCACTAGGATCTTCTGCATAACGGCGTGACTTCTTTTTGCGAAGTTTGGTCCCAGGTCGGGTTAGTGGCTCGGGCGAATCCTGGAATGCAGGGCCCGCTGGTTCCACAAATGCAGTCTGGCGCCAGCCCTTGCTCTTTGGGTTGGTGCTTGCTGCGGCACCGTGTTTCGCAGCATACCCTCTTTCTTCGTGTATATTTTCTTGTTGTTCTCGTCGATTACGCTTAGGTGTTTTCTTTGAAGGTAACAGCTCCTGTGCACCCTGAGCCAGGTTCTTTCGAGAGGCCCCTTGCTTTCCGGCCTTGCCGCCGTCTGCGTTCAGTTCCAGACTACTAAACGGCTCACTCAAAGAGGCCGAAAGTGCTCCGGTAGCTTGTTGGTTGGTTCCAGCCAGCGGTCCATTCTCAGCCGACGGTTTGGACTTGAGAGGTGCTTTGGTATAGCTGAGAATGGCCGGATCCATAAACTGTTGCTGGGTCGGTGTTGATTGAGTGGGAGCCAGTGATGTAGGCAGCTGCGCATATTGTTGAGAATGAGTTTGAGCTTGAGGCTGAGGTATACGCCGAGGCTGCGCCGGAGCCTCAGTATTAGTCTCCAGAGATAGGTCGTCGATGATAGAGGCATCAATGGAATATTGAGGGAAGCGCTGGCCATTCCAGAGGAGTGTAACTAGAATAAAATTGTCAGACGTTTATCAAATGTGTTCGTAATTCTCGAACCCACCATTGTGAAGCAACAACTGCTGCCCGAAGACATTGGCAACCTGGCCCACCAGTCGTCCACCTGGGGGCTCTTTCAAGTCCACCAGCACATTATAACCAATAAACTCAGAAGCCATGATGATTGCAAGCTTAAGTAATCCAGCCAACAATCATCTAACGAGAAATTGTACTTTTCGCAAAAACCGCGTTAAACTTTAGGAGGGGAGTCTCGAAGATCCGACGAAAGATGAGACAGCTTAATCTACGAATCACGTGATGTTTATCGATAGCGTTATCGCGATAAGCAGTGGGGCCATAAGAGTCTAGGGCTCACGCATGGATGTATAGATGTATGATTCATGGATATATAGACATTGAAACAATTACAGGATGCAGTATTGTGCCTATCTATTTTCTAAATTTTCGAATAGATGTAATTATTCGGTGAGATTCGCAAAAGCTGAACTGGCAAGATTATCAATATTCCAGTTCATTGATAGACATTAGAACTATACAGATATGGTCAGGTCATTACTCCTGTATCTCCAAAGCTACATTGCATGTTGCATGAAGATACCCGGGACATCAGCACCATAGTTCACTCCGTTGTATATGTGATCAACAAAAGTCATCATCAAAGTCATCGGGGTTCAGATTACTTGGCTGCTGTTTGGCCTTGACGACCTCGGTGATGTTGACCAAATTGGAGTAGAATTCCACCACTCTGGGATGCACCATGACCTTTCGGGGTTCGAATCGGGTGACCTGCAGTCCATCTTGCGACACCGCTCGACTCAGTGCAACATAAGCCTGGCCCTTTTCGAATACTTTGCCCAAATCAACTTTCACACGTTGGAGGGTTTGGCCTTGGGCCTTGTGGATAGACAAAGCCCACGCCAGAATTAAGGGAACTTGTTGTCGCTGGGCTTGCACCTCTCCATTCGGAAGCTCGATTTTCCATGTCTCGGGTTGACACAGCAGATGACGCTCTGACCCATCAGGTTGCATAAAAGATACCAGTGGCCATTTTCGAGCCATTGAGGCTGTGCCATCCTTGAAGCCCATGGGTTTGAGCTTCTTGCGGGCACGACTGGCTCGCTCGTCATCACTCCCAGTCGCTTCTACTCCAAAGTCTTTATCGTTTTCCTTGTAGGAATCAAAATAATCTTCGCTCATGAAGGCTACCACTTTTCCAATGGAACCATTGACAAGAGTGTCCTCCATGTTCTTGATTAGCATAACTTGCGCTCCTTTCTTTAATTGGATCATAGGAGGTGCCATGCAGTTTGACAACAGTCTATCACGATGCTGCTGGTCCTGGATTGTTCCGGAATCCACTGCATTGAATATCATGGTGTCGCCAGAAAGTCTTCCCATTCTTGCGGAGTTGGCACCCTCCACTTCTGCGCGAGTAGGGAACCTGTTGAGCGTCAGCTTTAGCACAAGTTCAATCGAGAGAGCGAAGCATACAGTTCTGTCGCTTCGAGTGAGTCGTGGAAATCAAGAGGTCGGGAGAGCTTTCTGAAGGCCTCAATCGTACGAGGGGTGATTTTGCCCAGTCGCATTTCATTTAGCATATCAGCAAACTCCGGATCTCGTTGACGGAAAATGTTCGTCAAAAGAACGGTATGTTGGATACAAGTGGTCCAGGAGGCAGCAGCAAATGCAAATTTGGCTTCCCGACCGTTTTCCGGTACGGGAGGTAGTTGGAAAAAGTCACCTGTGACCACAAGTTGAATACCTCCGAAAGGTCGGCCATTGTTGCGGATGCGTCGGGCGATCTCCTCGAGTTTGTCAAACAGGTCTCCGTCTACCATGGACACTTCATCGATAACAAGGATCTTAGTACGCAGCCAGCGATTCCGAGCTTTCTGGTTCTTCTTGATCTATTGACTGTCAGTATCAATTGTTCCTGGATATTTCCTTGACAACCAACCTTTTTGACCAGTTCAGGTACGGGTTCTTTGCCTAGACCAATTCCTGCAAAGCTATGTACAGTCACACCCCCGATGTTACAGGCTGCTAGACCCGTTGAAGCCGTGACTGCAACTCGATCGGCCTCTGTACGGTACTTGGCGCGCAGCTTTGCAATGATTTCTCTCATGAGCACTGATTTGCCTGTTCCTGCGGAACCGGTAAAGAACATGCTTTTTCCGCGATCAACAACGGCCTCCAGGACAGATCTTTGCTCGTCACTAAGGAAAACGGCAGCTATCTTCGGCTTGCTCTTGGATTTAGAGTTGGCATCAGGCTTTTGTGTCTTTTTGTATGCCTGTCGTAACTCTTTCTGCTCCGCCTTGATGGCGCTCTCTGACTTGTTCCAAGGCTCTGCTGGTTTGACCCGTTTCGGTGTCACGAAGCTCTTTTTCTCGGGCGGCTCCACTTCTTCTTTAGTCCACGGGAGAGTTCGAGGTTTCCTGGCGGGCGGTTGGAAGTGGGAGGGAGGTGATGACGACCATGGAAATTGGTTGCTGCTGGGAGGGGCGAGTTCCTCTTGGGAAACAGGTGGAAGATCCGGGTAGTTGATGTCTGATGAAGTTCTACTGCCGATATTCGAAGTGTTTAGGTTTGGGTATGTGACTCGCTTTGATGTGGTGAGATCAACAATGGTCGGTGGTGCGATCAGTGGCTGTGGCTCATCGAGGTCAAGGTCGTCATCAAAGTCATTTTCATCGAAGTAAACCGCGCTGTGGAGAGATCCGAGTGACGATTCGGTCTCAATCTTCCGTTTGACGCCTGCAGACTGCGGTTGTGGCTTTGGTGGAACCGCTGTGTTGGTGCGCAGAAGGTCAGTTTGGTGGAGGGGTCTTGCACCCCCACCTGGGTGGTCTTTAACAGCTTTTTTAAACATTGGACTTTGCTCGGAGGCTGCGGCGAGTCGAGGTGACGATGAATACGCAGATGAACTCAATAGTCTCTTTGAGCAACTCGAAGAGATTTGAATTGTGTGTAATCCCCGCACCCTAAGTCTAACAACATGCATAAAATGTAATGCAGTAAGCAATTCGAGACAAAGTCACGCAAGACGAATTCAACAGGGACGCAGATCGATTTTCCACAACGCGTTGGACGACGCGACTATCTACACGTGACTGATAACGATAAGGCTCCAGTGTCTGGATTGAACAACTCGTAATGGGAATATTGCAATGAATATGGGCCTATAGTATGGATGCTCATATTCATGGAGTCAAAATTGGATAAGATTATACATAAACGTAGTAATATGTCTTAAATTTGGAAATTCATGGGGACATATTGATCATATAGTGGACCTTTGCTCAACTATATATACTTCGAGCAATGGGTTCAATGCTCACAATTTATATGTCCCAAAATCGTCGCAAATTAAGTGGGAGCAGATCTCAAAGTATATTGAGATATAACTAGCCCAATAGAAAGGTCAATTTCTATAAATGATTGTAACACTTGCATTGATGTCTGTAATATGCGAAGGGACATTATGTTCACGTGACCACGAATCTCCGCAAAACGCGCGGGACGAGAATGCATGGTTTAGACAATATCAACAACAAGTCAAGAGTTTATCTCGCCAATCACGCGATATTGGAGCAGTCTTTACTTTGCGACCATGAAGGATGGCAGGGATGGCTGTTTCGAGTACGTGGAAGACCATTTCCTCCCATTGAACTTGCATTGCTAATCAGTCATGGTATAGACAAAGACTTCCCCTTGACGGGCGTAGTCATTTGCTTTACCTCAGTACAAATTGAGAGGAGGGTAATCGCATACCAAAGTTCCAGAGACTCGTGAGAACATTTAGGCTGACCGGAGTTCTTATTGACCAGACCCCGTTGACCCAAATGGCGGAGCAGATGGGAGCAATGCACAGCATCCACCTCACCTCGGATGTTACCCATTTGCTTGTGGGTGACACAAACAGCGATAAATACAAGTTTGTTGCAAGAGAGCGCAACGATGTGTTGGCAATGAACCCAGAATGGATCGAGGCCGTACGACAGTCATGGACACAGGGAGAGGACATGGACATAGAGGCGCTGGAAAAACAATATAGACTGGCAACTTTACATGGCCTTAAAATCTGTATCACTGGGTTCTCAGACCGTGAGTCGACTGGTCTTTCACAATTGGACTTAGAACCCTGCTAATAATTGCGCCGCAGTGCCCTTCCGAGCGTACATGCAGAAGACAACAGAGGAAAATGGAGCCGAATATCGAAAAGACTTGACCAAAACCGTGTCACATCTCATTGCGCGCGACTCGAGCGGCGAGAAATACAAGTTTGCGACACAATGGAATATCAAGGTCGTTTCAGTGAAATGGTTTACCGACAGCATCGAGCGAGGCATGATTCTGGATGAAAATAAATACCATCCGTTGGTAGCACCGGAAGAGCAGGGTCTCGGGGCATGGAACCGTTCTTTACCGATACAGAGAGCGCTTTCTCGAAGAGAAAGCACTACTACCAAAGAAAATTCTTTGAATCCAAGACCTCGAAAACTGCGCAGGATTGCAAGCATGAAGCTGGTAGATCAAAACGAAAGCATTTGGGGTGATATTGTTGGAACAGGATTCGACAACAATGGGACAAATGGAAATAACAAGGGCACCGAAGGTCGGCCTGAAGCTTCCAAACCTACCATACAGGCGTACAAATCGTTTGCCAGCGAGACTACGTTTTCCGAAAGCACCCAGCCTCGCCAGTCGTCAGTCCCAGTCCCAGCGAAAGACAATGGTTTCCTACACGCCACATATTTCTTCATCCATGGGTTCTCTTCCAAGCAGGTTTGTCCTCACATTCGGATCTTGATGTAAAACTGACTAACTTGCTCATTAGACCAAGGTTTTGCGCGAACATCTTACATACAATGGAGCTCAGTTGGTAGATTCACTGAACGAGTTTTCGAGGCCCACTATACCGAAAATAGGACACGGCCTGTTCATCATGGTGCCGTACCAAACTCCCAGGTCTGAGATTCCATCCACGGATGACATGGCCTTTGAATGTGAGGTTGTGACAGAGATGTGGCTAGAGAGGTGTATTGATGCCCGCGCTTTTGTTCCACCAGAGTCTCATGTGGCAAGCACTCCATTCCCGAAGTTTCCTATACCAGGTGAGTGAGATATTTATTGTTTCGATATTTGGCGGTTCTAACGGACTAAGGATTTCCTGAAATGCGCATTTGCTCCACCGGTTTTGGGCGTATTGACTTGTTGCACCTACGCAAACTGGTAGAGTTGATGGGCGCGACATATGGAGATTTCCTGACACCCAAAGCATCCGTTCTCATTTGCAATGACCCCCAAACCGCGAGTTTGGAGAAATTGCGCCATACAGCGGAATGGGGAGTCCCAGCAGTGTCTGCTGACTGGCTTTGGATATCCATCCAAAGTGGCCAAAAGAAGTTATTTGATCCCTATATTGTCCGCCGACAGACCTCCCAAAATACCAATAGCGCAGAGAACCTCGGTCCTGCCTCTGCCAAGCGAAAGCAGCCACACAAAACTGTTGACGAGCGGCAAACAGACTCACCACTCAACAGCTTTTCTGAGTCTACAAGGAACGACAGACCGGAAGGACGAGGCTCCGTGAAAGGAGCTACGAAGAAAACGGCAACAGTCGTGGGGGACGGTTTCGAGGACGATGCACCAAAACCATCTGTTACAGAATCTAAATCTCCATCCCCGGCCAGAATTCTAGAAAAGCAAGCCACAGAGGAGCCTAGCACAAAGCAGCCCACACCGAATGGCGATCCAGCACCCACTACTGGTCCATCTGCACTGGACACCGCATTGAGTGGGCTTCTTCAGCAAGCCCGAGCAGCCAAGTCAAGACAGCAGCCTGAAAGCACCACCAATATCGACGGAAGCAATCCACCCCGACGGAAGCGCAAGCCCCTTCTAGGCCGCGCCACGTCTCAGTCTTCGACCCGAATGCTGGATAACCCCAATCCTCTCTCGCGCGCCAGCTCAATCGATACACTCAACGACGACGGTCTTGGCAGCGCACTAGAAAGCGCTCACCCGACCAGAGACAACTCGCAATCCAAGAGTAACGGCCGCGCGGAACAGAGTCTGTCATCCATGCTCAGTGGTGGAAAATTCGATTTCCTGAACGATCGACTCCCGGCTCACACCGAGGATGAAGACGAAGAAAACCAGGAGCCTCAAATGACGCAGCTGGATTATGAGGATCCCGATGCTGCTGCCATGAGAGCAGAGTTTCTCAAGAATGCTGGGAAGTTACCCAGCAAAACGAAGAATACTGATGGCACAGGCGTGCTTGTTGGTGAGGTGCGGGAGCTGGAAGATCTTGGATGGGCCTCTGGGCGGAGGACTAGGAAACATCCTGTTCGGGTCGATGATGAATGATGTTGGATGGGTCCAAATGTCCATGGAGCCTGGAGGTTTTGTTTTTTTTTTTGCATTCATTTCATCGGCGCATGCGTGGCATTGCATTGCGAATGGCGCCTTCTTCGATCTTTCTATTGGTTTAGGCGATATCTGAAGCCTTCAATTGCGTTGAGTATAAGAGCACCAAGCTCTATACTTGAATAAACGAAAGTATGAACATAATAGTACATTGTCCTGGGACGAGCTGAACTAAAATTTCACTCAGCTATTTAATTGTTCAAGACGAGAGAGGCAGACGTTCATTTTGAGGCCATAAGCAACCGTTTCAAACAGAGACGCATTCTTATTTCAAGTGGGAATCTTGGGTAAAAAATAGACTGCTTCTGGTGCATGCCAACACGCCGTGGAATATAATGAAAGCCGGGGAGGCAAGATGGGACCCTAGGCAGAAACGACGTAGAGGCATCACAGCAATAAAAAGGATGGATGTTGGAGAATGGAGAACAAAGCGATGCAAACTGTACACGTGAGAGACACAGAATTAAAGAAAGGATGGGCAAGTGAAGAAAAATATCGTAGGAATCATCAGTGGTTGTACATAGGTGGTTCGAAAATTACGCTTCTATGGCCGCAGCCATGCCGCCAGGCAGGGGAGCATCAAGATCCAGATTTTCAACGGACCGGCGATTCTCGCTGCTGTCACGGAACAAGTTGGAGAAATACTTGGTGGCAACTTCACTTTCCTGCTTGATCTTGGTGACCTCTTGCTTGCGCCTGCCGAGATCTTCGATGTCCTGAGAAAGACAGGTCTGGAGATTCCCGGCAGGCATGCGCAGCATGCGCCGAACCTCGGCCGAGATGCGGTTGGCATTTGAGTGGACATAGTCCATTTCAGCAAGAGTTGCGGCAATTTTTCGGGACAAGCGTGGAGGAAGAGTAGATGGGATGGAGTTGAGCACATAGGCGGTTGTCAAGAGAGCTTTGTTATGTTAGCAAATGTTATTCGTTGGGCAATGGATAGGATAGACTCACCAGCAGCGAGGATACTAGGGAACAACAACCGGCGCATGTTGTTAGGGCCAATGAGTTTGACGGCGCTCAGGGCGCTGTCCACCCAGCTGAATCCACCCAATGCCCTACCACCAAGTACAGTGACTGCGGTCATTGCGACACCGGTTCCTGCTAATTTCTCTTGACGTTCCCAAAGACCGGCAACATCGAAGAAGTCCCACAGTTCAACCTCAGTATCAACCTGTCGACCAAAAGTGTGGCGACGGCCGCGGCGGAACATCGCATCCGCTCGGAAGTTGAGCGGGCTGAATTTGTCTTCACCGATGTGCAAGAGGCCGATATTTTGAATGAAACCGACTCCTTGGACTGTCTTTTCCCGAGCATAGTCCTCGCAATCGTTGACCGACGACGCGATTTGATTTAACATTGCTTGCTTCAAGTCCTCGGCATATTGGAAAGCTGAAAGGAGACCAGGGTATTCAACACCAAGGTCCGCATCGGAAACACGGGTAATTGTGTTAGTCAAGGTTGAGCGAGTGTGGTTGTAAACATCGTCGCACGAATCGTCTATGGCTTTGTTGACACCCTCTGCAACCTCCCCTTTCTTCTTTTTGCCGTTCTCAAATGCTGGCTCAATCTCTGCCAGCTCATCCGTCACTCTCTTAAGCTCTGCCTGAGCAACATCGCGGTTGACAGTGGCAAGGGAGCTAAGGTCAGCCAAGAGGTTCATAAGATACGTCTTAGCAGGAGCAAGCTTGGACCGAGAGCGCTTCTCGAGAACGAAACGCCGCAAAGCTCCTTCAAGATTCTCGAAGTCTTGAAGCTTCTCGCGCTCCTTGCCTTTACCCTTATCATTTGGATCCTTTTTATCATCGTCATCATCATGAGGATCAGAGCCACCGCCGCCCTCACCACCAGAGCCAGATTCGGAGAAGGCGGGCGGTGCAACGGGAATCGCATTGCTTGAGACGAAGTGAACAAGTTCAGCAGCCTCCTTATATGTACGAGGACTGAGCTTGCCAATTTGATCCAAGATCATGCGCTCACAGCGCTGCTTGTCGCGAATTTGATCGAATCCGTTAACAACCATGAAGATATAGGCTTTCTCATGTGCAGCGTTCAAGATGAATTCCTTTGCGGAAAGTGTGAAGTGATTTGCTGCTGAAACCACGAAAACAACGACATCGATTTCCTCCTGTCGAGCAAAAACGGCGGTAGTCTTCAACGAATCCGAATTCAGACCTGGAGCATCAATCAAAGCAATATCAACCACGCCGTTGTTAAGTAATGATTCGTCAATAGACCGAACATCCTTCACGTAGACTTTGCACTGCATATACTTCGTATTTTCGATCACAATATCCTCGAGCTCGGTAAGAGGGAAAACATCGAATGTGCTTTCGTCGTTGCGGTTGTATGGCGTATCTTTGTGCACGGCGTGAACTTCTTCAATGCCGCAATTTTCACGTGCATCAAGAACCTCGCAGAAGATGCTGGTGCAAGGCTGCTGGTCTTCTGGCAACACCTTGCGACGCAGCAGAGCGTTACAGAATGTTGATTTGCCTGCATTCAAATCTCCAGTAATAAGAACCTTACTCGATGTGTCCTCAATTCTGTCTCGGAGTGAGAGGAGATGCTTCATGCTTTGACTGATTTTTCCATCCAGCAGCGAGGCGATCGAGGCCTTCTCCAAGGAATGCACAAGTTCTGCCTGTGAAAGAGCGCCGAGCTTCAAGTCAAGCTTCAAGATAGAAAACTCCTGCGCGATCTGTGGGGTCATCAATCTGGGCTCAGTCGGGACACGGCGCTGGGCTGAGGCGCTGGATTCTGCCAAATCGTCACTGCCCATTGTGGTAGCTGCGCGTCTCAGATCCGGCCGGGGAGGAGTTGTAGGCCTGTCGCCGTCTCCAAGATCCGAATGAGTGTGGTTTAGCGTTGGACGAAACGAGGGAGAAGAAGGAGTGTTCTGCACGGAAGGGTAGTGCGCAGGCCATTGTCGATTCATGTCTTGTAGCTCCTTCAAGGTATCGATAGTGCGGGAGATCGCACGACCAAGTTTGGTTCGGTTCGAATTGCTGACAATTAGAATTAGCCTCGAAGTCCCATGGTGATATTAATAGCAGACAAATTATACATACTAGAGAAGTTGAGAGACATGACTGGCAACCACTTGTTTCTCATGTTCAGCTGCATCAAAACAAGCGTTAGCCTCGATAATTGCTGTTTGAATAACACCGGCGCAAGTCCTCAGGGCTACCTACCAGCGGGATTCCATTCTCCAGGACGCGTTGGTGTGTGCACTGGAGTCGGCCGATCCTCCATCAGTCCTGCACGCCAAGCGGCATTTGAATCTTCCCCCATTGCGCTTCCATCGGCGATGCTGCCCCCATATCCAGAATCTTGGTTGAGAGATGTCATCAAAGCTGTGGCGCTATCCGAGGTCGAGCCGTTGCCCACAGTCATGTAGGTCGGTGGGGGACGGAAAAAAGGACTCTTTTCGGGGAATTCCTCTTCGCCGGTGAATCTGGACGAGCCAGCTCCGGAAGATGAACTCTCACCAGGGTGATATTCCTGACTCATGACGGACGAAAGATTTTAACGTGGGGAAAATCCATCCAAGTAAGTTGTGTTTTTTCAAGGTTGACTTGTTTGATTAGAGATGATTTCTAAGTTTGATGACGTCGGTCCAAGAAGGGATTAGCGTGCATGTGACCCGGTATTAACGTAATGTTACCGTAATATGACAATACCACGATTGATGTCACTGTTTCTAGGTACTTGTTCGGGCAGGCTTCTACTTTGTATTGTACTTGAACTGATACCCCCATTTGATCCAACCGTTAACTACAGCCTTTAATCATGAATGTAGGCTGTATTTGGAATCATTGAATATGACCACATAACTTACACCTGGTTTCTCAGATCGTCGAATGGGCTTTCGGGAAGCGCATGACCCCCGCGGAGCGTCTGCGCAAACACCAGCGTGCTTTGGACCGAACACAGCGCGAATTAGACCGAGAGCGAGTGAAGCTGGAGAATCAGGAGAAGAAGTTGATCCAGGATATTAAGAAAAGCGCCAAAAGTGGACAAACTGGAGCCTGTAAGATCCAGGCCAAGGACCTGGTTCGGACACGGAGGTTGGTTTCTCAGAACGGTTGATTGATCCGTTTTGGCTAATTGGATGGCGAAAACAGATACATACAGAAATTCTATCAAATGCGCACACAATTACAGGCTATCTCTCTGCGCATCCAGGTACGCGCAAGCTATTATTCACTACCCCTCTCTGTTTATCAATGCGCTGACTCTTATCGCCCCCAAGACCGTCCGAAGCAATGAGCAAATGATGCAGTCTATGAAGGGAGCCACAATGCTCCTGGGTAGTATGAACAGACAGATGAATCTCCCGGCATTGCAACGAATTGCGATGGAATTTGAACGAGAGAACGACGTTATGGATCAACGGCAAGAGATGATGGACGACGCAATCGATGAAGCCACAGGAATGGAAGGCGAGGAAGAGGAAGGAGAAGACATTGTGAAGGAGATTCTGGACGAGATAGGTGTCGATTTGAACCAGGCGGTTTGTTTACTCTCGATCATCCGAATGTGGACATTATGAACTAACTTATGGTTTGCAGCTTGGTGAAACACCCGCGGATATACAAAAAGCACCAGTCAATGAGACAAGAGTTGCGCAGGCTATCGGGGGTGGAGGTAATACAAGTGATGATGACCTTCAGGCCAGACTGGACAGTCTTCGAAGATAATCATGACCTTCTCCGTGTTATAGGCAGGTATCTACCCATTCAAACTTGGCCTGTCTTGCTGTTTTTAGCATGTCTTTAAAGATATTCTTGCCGTTACCAATTCATTATATGTCCCTTAGGAAAATCCAACATCCAGGAGTTGTTTATAACTTCTATATACATCTAGTTCTGTCTTATTGCGAAACGTCATTGGTGAAAGAAAGCCGCCATAATCATTCAGTGTTATTGTCAAAAGAGGCTAAAAGCTGTGCAAGAAAGATAATATCTACAAAATGAAAGAAGACTCACTTTAAAGGGGTGATGTTATATCCTTGCATCTCTAGTGCTGGGCTGTGGCTGTGCGTTTTGCGCGACGCGGTCCGTCGTTGTCCGATTCGAATTCGTCAACGCGAGGTCTTTTCAATGAACGACCAGACTCACTTTCTTCTGCAGACCATTGGGAAAACCAAGGAAACGAGTTCATCTCTTGAAGTGAGGGTCGTTCATCCAAATTCCTGGACAATGCAGATTGTAAAAAATCCCGACAGTCCTGTGAAAGTGTTTCATTGACTGTTATATCCTGGTTAATCATTCTCAGACGTCTCGCTGCAATGTCTCGGTATAAAGGATCACGGTACTCACCGCTATACTCACCGTGCCAAATGTGGGCTAGGGGACTTGGATCTTCCCAGGGCCAGTAGCCATGCAGAAAGCCATACACGAGTGTCGAGTATTTCCACAAGCTTTCATCCCGATGATCAAATGGCAAGTACACTCTACCCCACTCTGCAGTTGATGTGTTCACCTGTTCAACTTTCATATACTCTATGGCCAGCTCAGGTCTCATTTGGTACTCCTGGAAAGGGATAGTTCTGCCGGCTGTAGATTGAAAGTCTTGCTCATTGAGCGAGAAATTGACCTGACCCATATCAATCAACTGAACGTTCAGATCTTGGTCCATGAGATAATTGTTGACTGAAATATCGGCATGATAGACCCGCATATCAGCCATCTGATTTATACCAGTAAGAAACTGGCCTGCAATCTTACAGCCCTGCATCTCGTCCAGCACAGGTTGTTTGTTGATGCCTTTGAGATATGCTCCCGAAAATGCCGGGAATGTAGGAAAGAAATATCGATAGATATTTACGCCTCCGTCTAACCCCCGTTTGCGCAATCTTTTAGTATTGATCTCGCCAAATGACTCCGGGCTAGGGCCAACACAGGCGTCCATCACAATCGCCCATAATACACCGTGTGTGTAAATTGAGTCGACTGTTGGAAACCTATCACTTTCATTTAGATAGATCAACAAAAGGGCTTCTTCTGGAATATAGTGCTCCTCACCGGTAGGCTCCCGAAAAGGGACCATTTCAGGTGCAGGGAGGTCTTCAAGCATGTCATCCACCTGCGTCCTATGTGCTTGAACCTTAATCGCAAATCGCGAAAGATCCTCGTGTGCAACACCTTCACTGATCTCTCGTGCGATGAATGCTATACCAAACGCTGTATTCCGTTAGCAATGCCCAAAGAATTGATATTAAAGGTGAACTTACTTCCTTCTCCTATGACTCCATATGTGTCCACACCCTCCGTAAGGTACGGGCAAAGACATGCATATTTGACAGTCTTGCTGCCGTCACCGCGCCTATATCTCTCTAAATCGGACCACCTGGTGACGTACTCACCCTGAAATGTTTTCCCATGGCCAGCGTGACCAAGCTCACCCCGGCATTGACACATCGAAAAGTTCTCCTCGCTCCGTAGATCAAAGACTGCCTCAAGACGACTTCGAAGAACTTGACCGAGTTGAAAATTTTCCTGGTATGTTTTGGTGCTAGGATCTAGCAGTCGTGGGGCCATGAGCCCAAACGTACGATGCCTTGCACGAAAAGGGTGAGCATCCTCAAACTCGTCAGTCACATCTATAACAGCAGGGAAGATTGACGTAATATCGAATCCCAGGTGGTGTTCGATACCATACGGATCCCTTTTATCGGGCATTTCTGGATTGAGACGGTGGCCGCTCATGTATCCAGTCATTCGGCTCATATTGATTGATGATTAATGATTGAAAAAGAGCAATTGGAAAATGTTGTAGCAAAGTGTTATGGAGAAATATTGGGAGAGAGATGAAGGCCATATATGTAAAAACACTACTTAGGTAGACAAAGAACGGATTTGAGATCAAGATTATTGTTTTCGAAACAATGAGACTCGAAACAATAGAAACAAAGGTTTTGAGTTCCGATCAAAGAATCAAATCAGAAATGTTAAGGGAACCTTGAGACCAAGTGAGGCTGAATCCTACAGACAAAGGAAATACAATCAGGTGATATCTATGCATACCTATACATATATACATACATATATATCTATAAATAATTCGCACCCGGGTGATGGTTACATGCGGTTGAACATGGAGGTCATCCTTCAATCCGAGCACCCGTCAGCCTCATTTTAAGCCTCAAATCAACCCGGGCAAAATTTGTATACGAGAAGAAACGACAAGATAAATATGCGTATGTACTATGTTACCTAGTCTTGTCTCTTATATTTCTTGTATATATCTCTGACATTCTGACAATATTCTCTACATCCCTTATATTCTTTTGTTCTCTGGAACAATGTCTATCCTCAATGATAAAGACGAGAAGACAACTTCTTTGAAGAACTCCGTCACAGAACCAAGATTTCCTGTTTATGAAGGGTACACTTTCTTCCAGGCAGACCCTATTCAAGGGCAAAGTGCAACTTGGACTCGTGTGGAACGAACAGTCATGCATTTAAGTCAAACCGAATATTTCAAGATGGTACAGAAGCGGGCGAACAAAAAGTCCGCTGCACAACAATACCAAAATATATCCTCGAACACTAGGCGCGCGCATATAAATCAATTAATTGACGAACAAAGGCGTAAAAGTCCACTTGTTGAGTGGAGCTGCGTCTATGCCAAAGAACATGCAAAGCCATCCAAGGCCCGAAACGCTTGCCAGGCCGACTACGAAACGGTTTCCATGGATGTCATCATCATGCAGAGATCTGCAAAAACAATGCATCCCAGGACCCCGATGGGCGATCTAGTTGATCTCGGGGTAGCTTTTCGTACATCATCATGGCCTCAATCCGGAGGTCATCCTTCGATGCCAGGGCAAAATGGAGATATGCCACGATCTACAGCACAAGGGCTACAGTCTCAACTAGCTTTATCGAGTGATCATCTCCAAGCCCCACACCAGAATGTCGAGACAATTCTCGGAGAGCGAGACGAGCCGCGTGAATTCTCCCAATCAACTGCAACCCTCAACGTGCCACCAAGCCCAGCATTTAGTGCAACAAGAATGAGTGATACCAATTTCGAGCCTACTTCAGGCTGTTCACCCAAAGGAAGCAGCGATTCGAATGATGAACCTATGAATTTTGACCCATCTGACGAAAGCTCTGAGACAGACAGCTCAGATATTATGGAGACCAAGTATAGAGAGCGGCGATCAGCAATGAGCTTGCTTCGACAACATACTGGCAGCCCAGTTCGCCGTGAGCGAATCTATGGGCCTCATTTTCATGCAAATTCCCACAGCCGTAGTCTTGATGGAAGACATGAAAAAAACTTCGCTCCCCGCGACCAGTTTTTGGCATTTGGGGTCAAACGCTTTGTCCCTAGAAAGCATGAGAGGGCTCGATCTAGAGGATCAGCATCCGCAAAGAGATATCGCATACAGTTGATGAGCGGTGATGAAATTCGAAGTCGATTGCTTGACCACCGCGAAGCACGCATTAGCCTTCGAGAACAACGTCAGAAGAAAACCTTCTATGAGGCCCCCGAACATGAGCTTCAGCAATCAGTGAATGACAATCCCCCAGTCTGTCGTTGTGCCTGTCGTTGCTAGATTGAGAGAAGAGAATTTGATTAAATGATACATTGCATTTACTTTTCTTTTTTCCTCTTTTTAAATCCATTTTAGAGCATAAAAATGCCGTTTTACTGCAAAAGAGGCACTACTCAATTACTTATGTTAAATGAATGTAAGTTTACCAAGTGCCATTACTATTCTTTTCGATTGCCGGCAGAATTGCGTTTCCAATGTCCAGTTATTCTGACTCATTGTGCAAATTGAATTAGATTGACAAGATATTGATATTTCAAGGCGAGGCTGGCTCAAATTGTCTCCGTGGTTCGAGGGTTATGAATAATGAACAACAGATGTTAATCAGAGAACCCCTATATGGATTTTGTGAAAGTCGAACTAGTCGAACTAGTCGAACAAGGCAATAAAGTACGTACTAAAGAGGAGCCAGACCCAGACGAAAAGTAAACGGATTCAGTTTAGTTATTTAGTTAACCAATTATGTCATAGGCTGCCTTAGAATCCAGGCCCTCACTGCCCCTCCATTTAATTTACTTTCCTGGTCCCCCAAGTCTTCCTCTTTAGCTATCCCTCAACCTTCTAATATCTTTTTTTCTTCTCTATTTTCATTCACATCCATCAATATGCCTCGCCAATTCTTCGTCGGTGGTAACTTCAAGATGTATGTTGACTCGAGCTTTGCTACCCCGCCAAAGCAGCCCCTCCATCCTTGCCTATATGTACCTGGACCACCCAATTGACTCTATAAAGGAACGGTGTTGCCAAGAGCATCACCGACATTGTGAACAACCTCAATGCCGCCAAGCTCGATGAGACTACCGAGGTCGTCATCTCTCCCCCCGCCCTCTACCTCACCCTGACCCGCGAGCTCGCCAACCCTAAGATCGGCGTTGCTGCCCAGAACGTTTACGACAAGCCCAATGGTGCTTTCACCGGAGAGATCAGCGTTGAGCAGCTCAAGGATACCAAGATTGATTGGGCTGTCATCGGCCACAGCGAGCGCCGTGTTATCCTCAAGGAGACTGATGAGGTTTGTACCCCCGCAGACTCGAAATCCCGAGCCCGCAGATCCTAGAATTTAAAGAGCCCAAAGCTAACTAGAGTGCTGTAGTTCATTGCCCGCAAGACCAAGGCCGCCATTGAGGGTGGTGTCTCTGTCATCCTCTGCATTGGAGAGACCCTTGAGGTACGTCATTCCTATTCAGTCTCTCATTTTCGTCCCGATCCCGATAGTGGGTCACCGGGTGAAGATCGGCTATTAGCTTGAAGAATGCATCCCGCTCATACCCGACTTTTTATACAGGAGCGTGAAGCCGGCAAGACCATTGAGGTCGTCACCCGTCAGCTCAACGCCGCCGCCAAGGAGCTGAGCAAGGAGCAGTGGGACAAGGTCGTCATCGCCTACGAGCCCGTCTGGTATGAACTCACCTCGTTGCTTCGATAGTAATATGAAATCGAGTAGCTGACGTTTCTATATAGGGCTATCGGTACCGGAAAGGTCGCCACCACTGAACAGGCCCAGGAAGTCCACGCCGAGATCCGCAAGTGGCTTGGCAAGACCGTCTCTGCTGAGGCTCAGGAGAGTGTTCGCATCATCTACGGTGGCTCCGTCAGCGAGAAGAACTGCCGTGAGCTCGCTACTCAGCCCGATGTTGACGGTTTCTTGGTTGGCGGTGCCAGCTTGAAGCCTGCCTGTAAGTTCATGGACCATGCCGATCTAATAAAACGTACCATGTTCATCTCGATACTAATATACACGCAGTCGTCGACATCATCAACGCCCGCATCTAAAGGGTTTCTTTCCAGAAACTAATACCCCGCAGTGCCCTTTATTCAGAGTAAATAGCTCTGTCATGTAGGCGTCAGTAGAAGACCAAAAGCTTGGAATGTCAAGTACATTATCATGAATTTATGTACAATTTTTGAAGCATATTTCGATAACACGTAATCATCGCTACAAGGCTTGCCCCTGTAGTGCCTTACATAACCAATTAAACCACAACAGTGATATACACCCAGAGAACAGCTGAAGTCCAACCAGTTGCAGCCTATGAGGAATACAAGACGGACACTCCAACCCCGCGCCAGTACGACATCCCAGGAGCCCCGCCTCCACTCTGGGCCGAGCCGCTGCCCGAGGCCGACGAGACAGAAGGCGACTGCGAGAACGAGCCAGGGCCCAGCCCGACGCCCGCACTCACCAGGAGCTCCTTGACCCGACCTTCCCAGAGAAGTCGTACGTTCCAAGACTGATCAACACGCAACTTAATGACGGAATCGCTGGTCTCCGGCTCATTATTTGTCGCAGAGCGCATAGGGGGCTCGGAACGAGTCGGGTCCTCTAGTAGTGGGGAGGCCGGTGAGCCAGGTAGGGAAACGCCGAAGTCGTGCATGCGCACTTTGCGGCGGGCCCATTCGAGATCGTCGTGCTCGGACTTTGACTTCTTAGACTGGCGCCAGAGCTCGCAACCTGCGACCATTTCGCTTTCCCAGCTGTAGACGTTGAAGCCGAAGCGGGAGCTGAAGGCGAGATTGGGTGAGGCGCGGAGGGAATAGCTTGTTGAAAGGGAGCCCGTTATTGGGGTCAGGGTTAGTGTTAGGGTGTAGGGGAAAGTGGAGATGGGTGTTGGTGTGCTGGTGGGGGAGCAGCGCGGTGAGGGAACTTGTGTCGCTGCTGGTAGTGTGGTGAATCGCAGGCCCGTGGACATGCCGATCAGTGATGAAGTGGGGGAGTAGTATGCCTCTGCGCCTGCGGAGAGGAGGGATAATCGTGATGGCACATCACGAGTGTATCGAGGGTCTGGGCCAAAGTTCCAGAGTCCGCGCCAGCCGAACAGAGCATTGTCTGTGCTGAAGAGATACTCGTTGCTGTACTTGCCCGTGTCGTGGGCTAGATGAGCCAGCATTGAGGCTTGAGGCGCAGACTTGGACTGCGGTGGTCCCTGGGTCGAGCAGACTGCTAGTGACAGCTGCATATTGGTAGAGATCCTGCGCAGGAAGAGCGCGTAGAGCGTGGTAGGGGGTGGAAGATGGAGGGAGGCATGAAGAAGGGTTGCTTTGCGCTTTGCCTCATCTTCTTTATTAGCCTCCCTGTCTTCGGGGGTTGTTGATTTTGTATCCTTTCCATCTTTGAATCCGGGAATGCTCACGCTGTCTAGCAGCGAATCCCAACCCCAAGTCTGTATGGGGGCTGTGGGAGCTTGTACTTGTCGATATCCAAGGGAGATCTTTCGGAGCGGGATCAATGCACTGCTACTAGGTAGTTTGTTGAATGGCACAGTGCTGAAGAGATATGATACAGATCCATCGATCAATCCGACAGTGCCGAGGGTGTAACTGGTCGCAAAATGGGGAGTGGAGAGCGATGAAAGGTGAACACGTAATCGTTCAGGTGTTGAGAAATCCAGAATCGCTGCGCATATTTGTTAGCCAAACACAATTTTGGCCATTCGGCATTGCTGCTGAAATAAAGCAATAATCACATACATTGAGTGGTAGTGGTGAGTGATGAGTAGGAGTTGTCCCGATTCCAATGAGTCGCCTCGGCGAAGGAGAGCTGGATATAGTCCATAAAGTCCAGCATTGTCTGGCGTGGTCTCCTGTAGGCGACACTGGAACTGGACTGCAAAACAGAGAAACAAAGAAAATCAACAGCGCGCGCAATCGAAGTCGAACTCCATGTGCATGGCCCCGGGGGTCCACCGCAGATTATCCAAGCTTTGTCCCTGATTTGGCCTAGCGTTGGATAAGACCGGTGGAAGGATAATCCGGTTATCAGCGAAGAAAAAATGTCTGTGGGGGAAACATTCAACCTCTTGTCTGAATTTATTGAATCACCAATTACATCCAGATAATTCATCATGCCTCGTTCAAAGCGTGCGCGCGTCGTCCACGAGTCAAAGACCGTCAAGAAAGATCACAAGGAGCAGACCCGCCGTCTATTCGCCAACATTCGGGAATGCATTGAAGAATATGACCATCTTTTCATCTTTTCGGTCGATAACATGCGGAATACCTACTTGAAGGATGTGCGCACTGAATTTGCCGACAGCCGGTAAGCGAAATACATTCCAGTCCGGGTTTGCGTGAAATAGCATATCGGAAACGGTGCCTGAAAAAGAAGCGCTGAATCTGATATCAAATTGACACACAAGCCTCCAACACACATCGTTGAATCTAACACATTATATTACAGAGTCTTCTTCGGTAAGACCAAGGTGATGGCCAAAGCCCTCGGCCAGAACTCCGAGAGCGAAGCCGCCCCCAACGTGCACAAGCTCACTCCTTACCTGGCCGGCGCCGTCGGTCTGCTGTTCACCTCTCGCACGCCGGAAGCAGTCATCGAGCACTTCGAGAACTTCCGTCCCCAGGACTTCGCCCGCGCAGGAACCGAAGCCACTCGCTCTTTCACTATTCCCAACGGCCTTGTTACCTCTCGGGCCGGTGAGATCCCCGTCGAACAGGACGAGCCTATCAGCCACACCATTGAGCCCGCTCTCCGTAAACTCGGTGTCCCTACCCGTCTGATCAAGGGTAAGGTCACTCTTGAGTTGATGGAGGGCCAGGAAGGCTATCCCGTGTGCAAGAAGGGCGAGATTTTGGACTCACGACAGACGACGTTGATGAAGATGTTCGGTGTGCTTTCTTCCGAGTTCAAGGTTGAGCTCAAGGCCTACTGGACTCGCAGTACCGAGGAGATCAAGATCCTTGCGCCTGAGGGCGGAATGGATGTTGACGCATAGATGGGGATCTTTATTTTTTCCGTTTTCTCTTTCTCTTTCCATTCGGCTTCCGCGTGGCCGAAAAAAAGAAACTCTGCTGGGCATCTTATGGAGTTTGGTGAGGGCGCTTTCTTTGCAAATATCTTGAAGACTTGTGTTTTATATCTCTCTTTCCAGATCATGAGCCTATGATAAGATTCGGATACTAGGTCGAAAAAAAGTCTACAAGCATTACTCAATTTGGACCACGATTCATCTTATAGAGCAAGCCCGTAATATAGAAACCAAACAAAAATCGAGAAGTATGTTACCTAGACTTTCATTTTTCTAGCAAAATACCTGTCTTATGTCATTTCCCATGGCCCATGGCTGGTCTTACCTGACGGTGCCAGATTGCGGACTCGATTTTCGCGTAAATCGACTAGAATACAAATACTTACCCGAGTAAGGTAACAGAAACGACGAGAAAAAGAAGCCAGCGTGAGAAACACAAGTAAAGAAAGAGAACTCCTTGGAGGGGAAAACAAAGAAAACGGGGAATACAAGCACGGTTCATGAGACTGGTTTCTTCTGCATGGGTGTATGAGCGGACCAAACAAGACAGAATGAGCACCTCCTCTCGGTCCGAGTTGGAAGCAGATATTGTGATGCAAGATGAGAACATTGATGTTGTATGATCGTGATAATGGATCCGACTTGCCAGGGGCCGATTCTTTGATTCAACGTATTACCCTCGCGGAAAAAAAAGGCATAAGAGAACTGGGTAGATCAGTGATACACACCGGCAAACCAGGTGTGATGAAGAGAGGCAGGACCCGGGAGCTAAGCAAAGGCTTAGTACCTTCTCCTTGAGCGAGGGTCATCATGTCCAGGTTCATCCTCGCGGTTTCGCTTGCGTCCGTACTCCTCGCGGCCACCGCCGCCGCCTCCGGCATACCTGTCGCGCTCACCACGGTAACGGTCTCCATTGCGGTCTCCCATGCGCTCGCGATCACCACCGCGATCACCGGCACGGTCTCCCATGCGATCACCGGCACGATCTCCGCCACGGTCTCCACCACGGTCTCTGTAACGATCATCACGGTCATGGTCACGGCGGTCACGGTCAGCATAGCCATCTCCCCTAGGCCGCACCGGCTCCGAATTGCTGCCAGTTACTCCACGGTCGAATCTGCCACCGCCGCGGTCACCACCGCCGAAACCACCTCTGAAACCTCCGCTGCGTCCACCGCCGGGGCCTGAGGGGGCGTTAGGAGGGGCTTGCCCACCGAAACCGTTACGGTTACCCTGATATCCGATTCCACCACGAGGACCACCGAAGCGATCACCACCGCCACGGAAGCCACCACCACCTCCACCTCGGAAACCACCACCGCCACCACGGCCACCACCAAAGCCGCCGCGGAAACCACCTCCATACCCACCGGGGCCGGAAGGAGCGTTGAATCCAGGACCACCGGGCCGAGATGGCATAGCCTTGGTGTAGCCACGTCCTCCGAGACCACCGCCGAAACGGCGAGGCTTCCAGCCCTTGGTGGTACGGCCACGCTCAACATCTACCAAGACTCGGCGGTCTTTAATCCGAATGCCATCTGTTTCTTTGTAGGCAGCTGAAAGTGGGGAACACTGGTGTTAGCAAGATATCTTACCGCAAGATTCAATGAGGGGATTGGATCAGTGCCAAGTAGATCGGCGTGGATGCGATACCTTTCATGTCCTTCTCGCGCTCGTACACAATGAAAGCATAACCTTGGTGGGGCTTCTTTTTCTTCTCTGATGTAGTAGTGTCTTTGACAAGAGTAATCTACAAACATATTAGTGATTGTACTATCACAAGACATAGGAGTACATGGGCATACTCTTTCAATAGGACCGAAGCGGCCGAACTCTCGTTCCAGGTCGGCTTCTTTCACTTCATAGCTTAGGCGCGCAACGAAGAGGGTCTTGAAAGGATCACCTCGGGCTTGAGGATCTTTCTCGGGATCGACTGTGATGTAAAAGTAAACATGTTAGCATACTTTGAACTATATCCAAAGTGAAAAAGAAGACAAAGCTTACAATTTTGGAAACCGTCCGTAATTAGCTTTTCTTGCTGTTCTTTCTTTTCCACCTTTTGGCGGAATTTGCGTTGAATCCAGCTCTCGGTAGCATTGTAAGGCACTTCTTCAGCGAATGACTTGGCTTCAGCAAGGAACTCAGCTACACCTGAGATAGTGCTCTTTCCGCAATCCTCTGGTGCGCGATCGCCTGGAGGCAGATATCGAAGGGGTGGGCGCGGCTGGAATAGCGCCAGAAGTGGCGGGGGAAGCTTGTCTGTCATGTTGAGTCCTATAATCGCCGCAGTTGATGACGAGTTTTAAGATGATGATAATATGTGGAAGTCTAACCCTCAGGAGTGAGAGCTTCGCGTCGCAGTTCTGGTCTTAGCGTAATTACATTGGAAGGTGCTGCAGATGCCATTGGTGGTGTGGACTCACCGCCCTCAAACTCACGTGCACTAGAAAATGCCCGGAGAGCCAAACGCGAAGTTGATGAACCACTATAACTATTGAAGAGTGATACAATGCCGCTGCGTGGGATCAGAACTTCAACGGCTGCCAGGGTATGTAATGCTCAGCACTTTCATATCAAACCACCAAACTGACTCGATCGATCTCGCTAGAACGGCGCCGGAGCCTTCATCTTACAATGCAAACGCCTTGACTTCACTTACTGCAATTGGGCTGGCAGCTCGAAGGGCATGGTGTAAGTGTTGATTGAAATTATGAGAATATCATTCATAAGTGACACAATACTGACTATCAATGTCGTAGTGCCTTCTTAGAGAAAACCCTCCCCGCCTTCGCTCGTGAAAACCCCCAGATTGAGATCCGTGTCTCTCCCCGACCCCAAAAGCACCCTCTGATCAAGGGTCTCTACATCAATGGCCGCGAGAAGCCCGTGTGTGTACGAAACCTGGAGCCTCATGAGATTCTGAAGAAGGCAATTCTACTCAAGGAAGCCAGTGGAGAGAAGTTGAAGCGTACCAAGAAGCCTGTCACAAGTTTGAACGAGAGTGTGCGTGGTATCTGGTCGCCATACCACGGCGACTTGCGTGGTGTATAGACGATGTTTTCTTCTTTCATGGTTTTGATTTCTCAGCGGTGGTGACTATCAGGTATCCCCACCGCAAATTATTGTACTATTCACCTGGGTTCTGTTTTCTTTTCTCATTCTTGTCTATTTGCTACCTGGAAGCCAATGGTGTTCTGAAACCCATGTATTATGCATACCAAATTCGAGCCTGCACCAATTTGAAGACAACAAGTCTGCCTGAATGATCACTTTGTAGATTTCCAGGATGAACCATGGCCATGTTGAGATCAATTGCCACATTCCACTCTGTAGTTACATGCTGCTATTGATTAACAGATTAAACGGCCTATCTGCTCACATCTGCTCAGGTCAACAATGCTCAGCTTTCTACAATATTACATATAGTGACAAGAGATTTCCGTCACCAAAAAGGTACTAGAAGACCCATATGGCCATATGATCATGATTGCATATAATTAAGAATCAAAAAACGCCTGCCAGATCCATGCACCTTGGGTATCGACGAAATAAGGGAAAGGAATGGCCATGAACACCTCCACATGCAATGATGACTACAACATAAACACCTGTGGAAAATCACAGGAACAAGTGAACCATGGCTGTTTGGCTGCTGACTGGTCTGTTGCAACCATCGACCTGACACTTGGAAAATGGCTTGGTCTGTGACGATGATTTTTTGGACTTTGATAATGATCGGTTCTCGGCACACTCGCCACAATAAACCTAAGAGACATTAGTTTCAACATCGAGATCAAACAAGCCAAGGGCTTGTCACAGTAAGTCCACAATACTCACATGGCCACAGGGTTTCGCAATGTAAATTTCTTGTTTGCGTCCCTCCCCAGCTCCTAACTCCTGCTCGCAGTGCGGACAGACTGGTACATTGGCGTTTTCCAAACATCGAGTGAATCCTTCCGCTGCCGCAATAGGTGCTTTGTATGAGCTGCGCCGAGGCTGTGGCGCAGACTGGGTGGGAGGGTTCAAGTTGAACGCAGAGAGGCTATATTGAAGGACCCCTGGTACTGAAGTCATGTATGAAAACAGTTCATCGCTGTTCCCTGAGTCTTGAAAGTCTGGAATCGAGAACCTCTGTCCATAGCCAGAGTCCCTAGGTCTCGTTCTTGGTCTTGGCCTTGTCGGAGGAAAATGCATTGTGAACCCATGTTCATCGATATACATGGGGCTTGGACGCGGCCTGACGATGGCCGATCCAACAATCTCCAGATCGGCGCTAGTTGATGACCCCTCGACCGGGTGGTCCTCTTCTGCTTCCAGGTCTATCACCGGCGGTTCACCGTTCATTATGTCCCTGGGAAATCGCATCGTTGACCGAGAGCGTGACACAGGCACCAAATTTCGTCGCGGCGGTTCCGGGTCATCTGTTAAATCGATTACATTGTTTTCCGGCGAGAGAATCACCGGACGCCGGTAGTCATATCCATGTCGGGGAGTCGTCGGAGTTCGAGGTGGTGGCAAACGGGATGAGGAACTTTCTGCGTGGGGGGGATATGTAGGCTGATACCAGCTGGCATTTGCATTATCATTAGATTCGTCTGCCATTTGTCGGTGCGTGCGCTGAAAGAAACAGATATCGTGTTAGTTGGGTTCTTGGTGATTCGATCAGGTGCCCCGCTCGTTTCACGACGGAAGGAGGCTTACCTTCGACCTGGCGCCCACAATTTGGACGCCGGGATTTTCACTCATAGTTAGGTTTTGTCCTGGAGTAAATACTGTTAAAGATGCAGCGGAATTGGGGATCGAAGGCCACCAGATAGGTGTGAGAGTATGGACGGAGGCCATCTTTTGTTTCAATGCCGAGTAAAAGGCGGTCTGATAATGCCAGCCTTATAAGGCGGTGGATATTGCGTAATTCCCCCGGGCCCCAAGTCACGGCCGAAGTCAGTGTGGAATGAGTGAGGTAGTCCTAGGTAGAGTATGTAGCAAATACTGACATGGAGGTGTCAGTAGGAAGTATTTATATGGAAAACACGACAACTTAATAGGGACGTTCTCATTGGAATGAAGTCAATTCGCGAGTTGGGTGAAAGACATGGATGGACATGGAGAAGGTTTCATTTCACGATATAGATAAAGGGCCTTACTCTCTCCGAATGCCAGCACCATGTTCCAGGATTGTTTGCCGTGAAGTTTTTCTCGCATTAAGAGCTGCAGTGTAGGAAATCCAAAACAAACACCAGTTGAAAATTCAAAAGACGGCCAGCTCTAAAATTACACAATATTTTCTGATGCTCATGACTGCGCTGCCAGCACTGTGACAACACCAGCCTCATTCAATGCCACAATACTCTGCGCATCCGATCCCCATGCAACAGAGGAAGCCGGCACTGCACTGCGCAGTGGCTCAGACCATCCCTTGGCTGCCTTGGAAAATTGTTGAACAGTGACTCCGCTGGGGCCACCGGTAAGGAGGAATTGGCCAGTGTAATCCCAGAAGATGGAGTTAACTTGGCTGCCCGTGTCCAGCACCTTGGTTTCCTTGGAGCTGCGAAGATCCCAAATCGACACGGTAGTAGATTTATCGGCCACTGCGGCCAAGAAAGTGCCGTTCTCAGAAAAGAACAGGCATTTTACGGGGCCTGACATCGCATAATTTGCAGCAACATCACCAGTCTTGACATCGAAGATCTTAACTTGAGCGTCGGCACCACCGGCGGCAATCAAGTGACCATCTGGATGGAAGTTGACGGATAGAAGAGCTGAATGAATGTCATTAGCATTTTTTCTTGGAGAAATGGTTCTACGCGGTGAGCTCTTACCTGCATCAGAGAAGATCTGGGAAGCCACCTTGTTCGTAGCGAGATCGTAAAGCACGTAACTCTTATCGACACCAACAGAGGCGACGAGGTCACCAGTAGCATGCACAGCCACAGCAGTAGCCTCACCAGCGTGGGCGTTGAAGCTTGCGACTTCAGCACCATTCTCAAAGACCTTGACTGAACCTGTGGCTGAGCTAACAACGGCCTTGTCGCCTGCCCAGGTCGCGTCTGTGACAGGTCCATCCATCTTCAGAGTCTGAACAACGCTCTTCTGGGCGAGGGAGTAGACACCAACCACACCGTCAACGCCACCAACAAGAGCCAGCTCACCGGTCGAGTTGACAGACAGAGCGCGGCCACCAGGGTATAGAGCTTCGGAGGTTTCAGTGGGTTTGAATGTAGAAATGACCTCACTTGAGGCCCAGCCCTCGGGGACTGCGCGCTTGCGCCGGGTCTTAGAGAGCCTAGAAATGTGTTAGCATTCAAGTCTCGTGCAGGAAACCAATTCACGTACGATGCTTGTGTGCTTTCAATTCGTTCCAAAATAGCCGGGGGCAGACCGGTGGAATCCACCTGCATAGCATCACCACCAGAGCGACCGGCACCAACAGAAACATTAGAGAGTGCCTCGCGGGCCTCATCTCTCTCCTGTGTCAGGCGCGCGATGACTCGCACCGCAGCATCGTGCTGGTAGAGGGCAGAGCTCAACTCGCGCCTCGTCTGTGCCAGATTCTGCTGCAATGTGTATGTTTCCAAAGCAAGAGCATCCCATTCTTCCTGGAACACGCTAAGAAGAGACGGAATGGAGGTGAGAGTAGGAGGACGGGGCCGGACAACGCGCTGCGACTTGACATCGATCAGGTCATCGGTGCTTAGCTCTTCACCGTTTACGGGATCTTTGCCATGTTCGGCAATATATGCTTCGACAAGTCGCTTTTCAAACACACTGCCTATTTAATTATGAGATGAGATGTCGTGCGCAAGATGGTCGAGGGGACTTACCGCTCTTGGGAGAGACGACGGGCACTTGAGGTGCCTCTCCAGAGACTGTAATCAGAATTAGTCAGAAAATAGGTTCAATTATGGGCATTAAAGCACAGATAGACACCGGGCCACTCACTAGCACAAAGCATGGTTAATTGAGGTTGATTGATGAGTGTGGATGGAGAACTTGACGCGGAGCGGCTCCTTTGGACTTTTCGATGTGTCCCATTCAGGTTTAGCGCCTCAGAGCTGTTCGCGGTGCAGCTTAACTTCTCTGCAACGCTTTGCTCTTTGCGCAGATATAACCTTTTCTGCTTATATTCACAGAATATGAGATTCATTCAATGATATGCGAAATAGGCTGAAGGCAGCACGAAGCTTTACTCGAGAAGCGCTAGCTGCAACATACATATCCATTGAATCATAAAGATCTCCACTATGCCTAAAAACCCGAAGTTTGAATATGGTAAATTACTTTCCAATACCTTGACTTATTTTATATCATTCTAATCTTTATTCCAGAGGCAAAACAGCCTGCTTTCCTCCAAAAGCTCCGGGGCCAGTACGGAGACAACTCCGGTCGCTTGGAACGGCCCGCCTTACGACCGACGAGACTCAAGGTCAACAAGGATGACGATGATGACGAGCCTATCTATGTCGACGAAGAAAGCAATGAAGTGATTTCCAAGGAGGAATACAAGACAATGGTTGGTGACAGCGGGCCGAAAGGAGAGAGCGAGGACGGTACAGAGAAGGACAAACCTGCCGGCGATGAAGACAAATCCCAGGCAGATACTGCTGGCAAGCAAAGCAATCTTACAGAGGTTGGAGGTCAGAGGAAAAGAAAACAAATTAAAGTGGTGGGCGAGGATAAGGCAGAATCCGAAGAGGTTCAGCCCAAACCTGCCACGAAGAAATCAAAGAAGCCCAAGAAGATCAAGCTATCTTTTGATGAGGAATGAATGTCCAACATCTCATGGGAATACAGTATATTTTCCCCCAGATTTTCATTGCACTTGACTCAGTGCATGGTTATAAAGACTCATGATGAGTCAACACAACAGGAGCTGTACAGCGTCATGGTTCTAGAGACAAATGAAACCAACATCAATCATATAGAAAAGCATTGAAAGCAATTAAACTAGATAAAAGTCTAGATCCCTTGTTCGGTCCCATTCTTTTCTCGCTAGTCGTAAAACATAATTGAAGTGTCTTGATGAACGGCCTGAGGATTATCAAGTAGCATTTTGTACCCATTTATCAGCAACTTTTTTTTTTCTTGCGGGATCCAATCAACTTTCCCAGCTTCATTCTTCTACAAACTACGCACTGGATCTCACCACCAGACAGGATGCCTGTGGTTAATGTCGACCAGCTGGTCCGCCTGCAGCGGAAACCAGAAGACATAAGAAATGTGCGTGTGCCCCTCCATCCCACTTCTAATCTCTGATGTCAGGGCTATATACTAACTGCAATCAGATCTGCATTTTGGCCCACGTTGTAAGTCAAAAAGAAATCCTGCTCTATTGCATTGAGCATCTCAAGAAATACTCAAGTTTTTTTTCTCTAATTTTTTCAGGATCACGGCAAAACTTCTCTGACAGATAGTCTCATTGCCACCAATGGAATTATTTCACCCAAACTTGCGGGTAAAATCCGCTACTTGGATTCTCGTCCAGATGAGCAGCTTCGAGGTATCACAATGGAGTCCTCGGCCATCTCATTGTTTTTCTCTATGCTGCGCCGCCCAAGCCCGGAAGCAGCACCAGTGCCCAAGGAATATCTGATCAACTTGATCGATTCGCCTGGACATATCGATTTCAGCAGCGAGGTTTCAACAGCATCACGTCTTTGTGATGGCGCAGTCGTTCTTGTTGACGCCGTCGAAGGTGTGTGTAGTCAGACCGTGACTGTGCTGCGCCAGACCTGGGTCGAACAACTGAAGCCTATTTTGGTTGTCAACAAGATGGATCGTCTGATAACAGAGTTGAAAATGAGTCCTGCCGAGGCTTTCTCTCATCTTACTCGTCTCTTGGAACAGGTTAATGCCGTTATTGGTAGTTTTTACCAAGGCGAGCGTATGGAAGATGATTTGCAGTGGCGAGAGCGTATGGAAGATCGCATCATTACTTCTGCGGCTCGGGATCAAGACCGCAAAAAGCAGTCGGAAGACGATGAATCAGCGCAGGTTATTACTGAGTCTACTGAGTTCGAGGAACGTGACGATGAGGATCTCTACTTTGCACCCGAGAAAAATAATGTCATTTTCTGCAGTGCTGTTGATGGCTGGGCTTTCACTATTAGGCAGTTTGCTGCAATCTATGAGAAGAAGCTTGGTATCAAACGAACGGTTCTGGAGAAAGTGCTCTGGGGTGATTATTATCTGGACCCCAAGACTAAGCGTGTCTTGGGTGTAAAGCATTTGAAGGGCCGAGCCTTGAAACCCATGTTCGTTCAATTGGTATTGGACAGCATTTGGGCAGCTTATACAGCTACCACAGGTGGAGATAAAGGAAAAGGGTATGTCTACAATAACACCACCACTTGATTCTTTGATATCGGCACTGACATGGAATTCTGCAGAGACCCAGTGTTGTTGGAAAAGATCACTAAGTCTTTGAATATTAACATTCCGGCTTATATTCTTCGTTCACGCGACCCAAAGAACATTATGACCACCTTGTTCTCTCAATGGCTGCCTTTATCCACTGCTTTGCTAGTGTCCGTGATTGAGTATCTTCCTAGTCCACCCGCTGCTCAAACCGCGCGACTACCCGAGATGATCAAGACTTCGCCTGGATCTAATTTCATCTCTGAGGATATTAAAAGAGCCATGGTGGAGTTCAAGACCGGGCCTGAAGAACCTGTTGTCGCGTACGTCAGTAAAATGGTTGCGATCCCAGAAAGCGAACTTATGGCAAGCAAGAAAAGGAGCGGCGGCACCATGACAGCCGCCGAAGCTATGGAAATCGCTCGCAAAAAGCGAGAAGAGATTGCCAAGATGCAGGCTGAGGCTCGTGACGGACAGACAGATGAATTCGAGCGCATGACCTCAGTCTTCGAGAATACCTCGCTGATTACCGAGACTACAGAGGAAACAGTCGAACCAACCGAGAAGGAGGAAGACCCTGACCATCTCATTGGTTTTGCACGACTTTATTCGGGTACCCTTTCTGTCGGAGATGAGATCTATGTGCTACCTCCCAAGTTCTCGCCCGCCAATCCTCATGCCAGCCCAGAGCCCAAGAAGGTCACAGTCACAGATCTGTACCTGATGATGGGCAGAGCCCTGGAGCCTCTCCAATCCGTCCCGGCTGGTGTAGTGTTTGGAATTGGAGGTCTTGCTGGCCACGTTCTCAAGACAGGTACACTCTGCAGCCAGTTGGAGGGCAGTATTAACTTGGCTGGTGTATCTTTGAGCACGCCGCCCATTGTCCGAGTGGCACTGGAGCCTACCAATCCTGCCGATCTAAGCAAGATGGTCACTGGCCTGCGGTTGCTTGAGCAGAGTGACCCATGTGCGCAGTACGAACAGCTCCCCAGCGGTGAGCATGTTATTCTCACAGCAGGTGAATTGCACCTGGAGCGTTGCGTATCGGATCTTCGGGATCGATTTGCTCGTTGCGAAATCCAGACTGGCGAGGCTATTGTGCCCTACCGTGAAACCATCGTCCATGGCCCCGAAATGGCCGCACCCAAAAACCCCGATCTTGGCCGTGGAGCTGTTCTATCCGTCTCCGCTTCTAAGCAAATGACCCTTCGTCTGCGGGTGGTACCAATGCCCACAGCTGTCACAGACTTCCTGACTAAATCAGTTGGAACCATCAAGCAGCTTCAATTGGAGAAGCGATCTGAATCTGAAGGAAAGACAGACGCCGAAAAGGAAGCCGAGGCCGTCGTTGATGGAACTGGCGAGGCGGCTGAAGGTCAGATTCTGTCCAAGCAGGAGTTCCGTGAGGGACTCAACAAAGTGTTCAACGACGAGGTCAAGGAAGACAAGGAGCTATGGAAGAGCGTGGTCGATCGCATCACAGCCTTCGGCCCCCGGAGAGTTGGCCCCAACATCTTGGTTGATGCAACAGCAGTCAACACCTGCGATAAATTGTGAGTTCCATAAACACCGCAAAATCTAAACATGACTAACACTTCCCCAGCTTGGTCGATGATATCAAGCAGCAAATCGCCGGAGACAACCATCAAGCCCTGCTTGTGCGAGACTTCTGCGACAAGATCGCCTATGCGTTCCAGCTCGCAACAGGACAGGGCCCTCTGTGCCAGGAACCCATGCAAGGCGTAGCCGTGTTCTTGGAAGACCTATCCGTGCAATCCAGCGCAGGAGACGAGCTCGACATGGGCCGGCTGACCGGAGAATCGATCAGACTCGTCCGCGAAGGTATCTCTGCAGGATTCCTGGACTGGAGCCCTCGCATCATGCTTGCCATGTACAGTTGCGAGATCCAAGCAACAAGTGAGTTTCTGCCCTATCCCACTGAGTCTATTATTCATCTAAACATCATAACTAATAAATCCTCCACCCTGAAGCCGAAGTCTTGGGCCGCGTCTACGCAGTCATAACCCGTCGCCGGGGCCGCATTCTCTCCGAAGTCATGAAAGAAGGCACGCCCTTCTTCACCATTCTGTCTCTCCTGCCCGTTGCCGAATCTTTCGGGTTTGCAGAGGAGATCCGCAAGCGGACTTCTGGCGCTGCGCAACCGCAGCTCATCTTTGCAGGATTCGAGGCTCTCGACGAGGATCCTTTCTGGGTTCCGGCTACGGAGGAAGAGCTCGAGGATCTTGGTGAGCTTGCTGATAAGGAGAATGTTGCGAAGAGGTATATGGATGCTGTGCGGAGACGGAAGGGTCTGGTTGTTCAAGGCAGGAAGTTAATTGATGCCGAGAAGCAGAAGACTTTGAAGAAGTGAGGTAGGTGGCTATGTATCTGTTCTGATAAGAGTATTAAACTGGAGGTTTCATTGCAGTTGGTTCGTTCTACTGGTTGTTAATTTAAGAGAAGCTACGGATATCCTTTAGACATGTCACCCCGAAACTTGTGGAAATGGGTTCGTAATGAAGTGTCTTGCGTGTTCTTGGGAATGAGTTCAATTTGCCTGCCTTGACAAACATAGTCCGACATGAAGTAGTAGGTCAAGGCCATGTATATCTACGAAAGAGCCCTTACCCGGTAGGGATGGTCTACATTTCGCAGCAACGATGCCATCTGATCTGGGGGAACAGGCGAATGAATAATTCAAGTGATCGAGTGTCAGGAGGAATGCAATGATACAGATAATATGTATTGGTCAGTCATGATTCTATGGGGTATCTTTGGTTTGAGTAGTTATCAAAATCAATATCCAGGAGTGCACAATGGCGCACCCAATTGACTCGAACCGTACAAGTCGTAATGGTCGAGCGAGATGCCGATGCTTTCGAGCATTGGCAAGCATGGGGCTTGAAAAGTATGCCTCGAATGATGAGGGCTGAGTGAGGTGTCATTCATTTGCAATGTCTCAGACGAGGCAGAGAATGCCCTGTTGGGACAAGCCGGGCTTTGTCACGGACAAGTCGACCACGACTTGGTGTGTTTGGATGTTGCTGGGCAAGCGGACAAGTAGCCAGTCAGCAGCAGAGAAGAAAGGCGCGAAGAATCGGCCAATGTGAGAGCCAAAGCTTCGGACGGCGGGAACCAAGTTCGAGAGATTCGTGTTTCTCAGAAAGGCCTAGCAACCTTTCTCGGTTCGCCAGTTCCAGTAACCGGGTCCCTCATCTCCTTCCAGCTGACCGGGAACATCATATTGCCCGCATCGCTACGAGCCATGACGACACCGAGGTCATTTCGGGCAGTAGTGATGTAGTAGAAACTCTGATCGCCAAGCGAGATAACCGAACCACGCACAATATCGCCGACGCGGAACATCTCTTCCATAACGACACGGTCCTTTTCAACAGCACGCACGTCCTCCTTGCGGATCAGCGCCTGGAAGCGCAGCTCGTCGGTGCCCGAGTGGTTCTCTGGGTTGGCGGCGGAGGTGAGGATGGCAGCAACGTTGTCATTGTCCGAGGCAGCTCGTGATGGGTCTTGTGCCTGAGGTTCCGACTCATCCAACACAACAAGAATAGATACTGTGGCTTGGCGCTTCTGCACTCGAGTGACTCGTGCGAGGACGATCGACTCAACCGCAGGTAGGGTATTGTAGCGAGGCTTGGACTTTGTGGCCGATGCGGCGTTGGGGCCAGCTGCGGGGTTTCCGGCTTGTTCATGGGTGGGAATCACTCTAGAGACTCGGAGGTTGGGTTTTGTCTGCGTCTTTGGCTGGGCAGGATCTGCAATCACAGGTCCGCCGATAGAGGCATGGATGAAGGATTGTTGGATGTGTGTTCCGGGACCGGCGGTATATGCGGATACAGGGGCTAGGCGTTGCCCAGGAATAGCAATAGGTGGCAGGGAAGACATATTGCAATGAAGGTTGGAGTAGCGTGGAAGAGATCTGGAGTTGTGGAGTGGTCAGTGATTTTTTTGGGTGCTTTTTCGGGGAGCTGCAATGCGGGCCGGGAATAGGTTTGTCCGGCATAGCTTGCCAAGTATAAAATGTCTACAGCACTGCAGGACGAGAAAAACAGATGATACTACGTGTAGAATCAAAATGAAATATTCAACAGGTCACTGGATTATTGAAATTGATATAATACCAGCCCTGGGGCATTTGGTCACTACAAAAATCAAGGATCCCGATGGCCTTGGATACAATTTGCGAAATCTACAGAGAGTCCATTTGGTCGCAGGCATTTAATTAGGGAGCCCATATCTAACATGAATTCACAGTGTATGCGTTGGAACAAAAATAAAACAGCGGCCCCGGCCCATAGATACGATGGACATTGTAAGCGGAAAGAACAGCATGAAGAATAAAGAAAAACCAGTCCGTATCACTCCGAATGCCCGCTGACGAAGATAGATTGAGGTAACCGGATCGGATGCCATATAACAACACCCAGCGGCGGGGAATGAGAAACACAAACACAGGAAGCCGACATCATATGACACAGAAAAGACCGAAAGAAGCAATGATGGGTAAAATATAACATAGAGGGTTTAAGCTTCCACCAGGGTCTGCTTAGTGCCTGATCCAAGCAATTCAAGACAACGACGGGCGAGAGTTATAACCTCACCTTCGCCATCATCCAGATCCTCTTCATCTGATTCAATGTTCTTGTCAGAGATTAGCTTCACCAGCTGAACGATATCCTCAGATCTTGAGATATATCCAATAAGTTTTTTGTCCTCAGACTCGAGGAGCTGGAGGAGGGTCCAGATGGCAATGTGCTGGAAAGTTGGGTCACCACTAGCTAGGAAGCGATGGAGGTAGCCGTGAATCCCGCCATTGGAGTCGGCCCAGTCACGAACGAACATGGAGTAGTCACCGACTACTTTTTGTTAGCAATGATTTGCACAGAAAGAGAAAAGGAACCATACCTTTTGAGGAGAGATTTCCCAAAGCAGCTGCACTGTTACCCTGCACCTCAATGCTTTCGGAATTGGTGAGAGGAATTAAGACATCAAAGACTCCTAGTTTAAGAAGATGCGGCTTCAGCTCTTCGCTGAGGGCCAGCACGGCAATTGCAGCAGTCATCTCAGACTGAACTGTAAGGGGGACCCGGAGAACCAAATCTTTGCACTTCTGGACTGCTCCAGCCTGCAGAACGAGCTCTTTGTTGCGATCGGAGCTAGCAGCGAGGTTACGGAGCGTGGATATGGCGTGGCACTGAATTTCTTCATTGTCGGTTGAGCCCAGGAGATCCACCAACGGCTTCAAGAAGCCAGCTTCAATAATAGGTGATTCGTTAAGAGGATGGATGGAGATGTTTCGAATACAAGCGACAGCGGAGAGTATGAGAGGAAGGTAAGAAGATTGCAGAAGTCGCAGCAGTGGGATAAGGCCCCTCGCCCGAACGATTTCGAGCTGGTATTTCTCGTCCGACGCGAGGTTACGAAGGGCTAGTGCTGCTTGGCATTGCACTTTCGGGGTGGACGAATCCATAAGGTGGACCAAGGACTGCACCAGGCGCGACTCGGTTTGGGCGAGTCGCTTGCGGTTGGTAGAGTCGACGGCTATGTTGCTGAGGGCTGTTGTGCAGTAGTACTGGACATCAACATCGGTCGACGAAAGGAGGTGAACGAGGACAGGAATGGCACCAGCATTGACGAGTTGCTGTCGGTTATCATCTGGTCGTGGTTTTAGATAAAAGGCCCGTTTCAAGACGCAAAATTTCAGCTCGCTTACCGGAATGGGTCATATTTAGCAGCGCGCCAGTAGCATTACGTTGCACACGCATGTCCTTCGACTTGGCCAGGCGGATGAGAGGGCCTAAGGCCCCGGAGCGAGCAATCTTGGCCTTGTTCTCCTCATGCGTCGCAAGGTTCGTAATACATCCCACCGCATTGCACTGTACCTCGACATTGGGCGACATCATCTGGCGAATGAGGGGAGCCAGCCCCCCTAGGGTGACGATCAACACCTTGTTCTCGGCTGTTCCTAGTCAGCGACCCGTAGGTAGGGGAAGTAGGGACCGACAAAGGGACAAACCATTCACGGCAAGATTGCCCAGCGCCGCACTAGCAGCCCGTTGTACTTCGATATCAGAGCTTTGTAAAAGGAAGAGAATGGGTTCAAGGGTATCGCGGTCGACTTCGCGCACATCTGTAGATAAGACAAAAGGTCAGAGAGACATTGCATCATTGCCACCCATGACGGCAACACGCACCTCGTTCTGTGATCTCAGCAAAGGTCAGACTTGCGCTTCGCTGCAAGTCGACATTTTCGGAGTAAACTAAGGTACTCAATGCCCGTAGAGGCTCGCCATGGAAGAAGTCGGTCTCCGCGCGCTGTATGTCGTTGAAGATTGAGGTCAGCGGAATGTATCAGACGTGGTCGCATTAGCATATCAAACACCACAAAGGGTTTGGATGAAATAACTGGAAGGTTTTGAAGGGAGATAGTCAGGTATTCAGGACGTACGTTCTCAAGGTAGCCTAACAGGTCCGAGACCGCCTCTCGCTCATTATCGGCCAAGGTCGTTTCGTAGATACCATCTCGAGACCGAATACCAATAGGACCGAGACATGCAGTAATATGACACCATCGGTCCACTGCCGACAGGCAAGACAGACAGGCCGTTGCGATTCCACTCATGTTGGCTAGCAGGCCCGCATCAGGCGCGGTCCTGCGAATGGTTATGAACGGAGAGAAAGGCGAGGGGTAGAGAGAGCGAGAAGAGAGATTAATTAAAAGAGACACATAAACCCGAAGAAAGGATAAAATTAGCGCGTGACAGAAGTAACTTTGGGGAAGAACCTCCTGATGGCTTTGGGAGGTTGGAAGGAAGTTGAGAGGGGACTGTAGCCTCAGGCAGAAACTGGAGTTAACTCTAGTATCCAGGGACTCCTCTAGTCAATAAATTGATATCCATACAGAGTATACTCTCCAGTATTTCTGTGATGTTTTTCTATATAGGTTGCACTCGTTACTTTTCTTGTCTCTGAGTTGTTGAAATATCCTCAATGGGGAACTTTTTTTTACCAGCCATCCCACAAGCTCCAATGCATACATCATCGCCGATGATGAAGCTCCCAGCTGACCAATCCGAGAAAAGGGATCACCTCGGCAGCTATAGCTTTATATCCGAGAGACTAGAGATGCTTTAGTTGGATGCTGTTGGATGCTGTTGTTTAATGCTTTTGTTCTCGTTCAGCAATCTTCTTATTTGCCAAAGGCTCCCTCATAGCTCCGTCTTTTTTGCCTTTTGCCTTCCCGGCCCGTTTCCCTGAAGCGCCCCGAGTCCTTCACCAGCCTCGAGGTCCGTGCGAGACTAAATCCCAATAAGCGTTACGCATAACTTTTGTTCTTGTGATATTGTAAGTGACGCAAATGATCACCAGACAATGAAGATTAGCGGGAATGTCCAAAGAATATCACATGTTTAGAACTACATACGTCTTGAGTATTGTAGAAACCTCAGGCCAAAAGAATATTAAGCATAAACAGAATCCATGGGTCCTATATTGCGTCAATATTCCCAAATCAAGTTTAGCTTCCTGCATCTCATAGCTCACATTTTTCGATTCAGTAGTTATAGTTTTCAATATAAGATGCAAATAAGGTAAGATATCTTCCCTATTTCTAACATTTGCAACAAATAATCAGGTATTTCGGGTCAGAAAGACTGGCAGCACTTAGGAATGTTTCGTCTTCGATCATCTTCTTATACATCTTTGGTAAGTCTTTCCATCGAATTTTTGAGTCTTTCGGTTTGGTACCCTCTCAAACAATCGATATTGTAGCTAGCTTTGTGCATTTTTAATGCAGACTTTATGGCTTGATGAGTGGCGATTTCCCTGGATTAGGCCTTCAAGTTGGAATCAAGTTGAGTTTAACCACACTGTGAATACGATGTATTTAGATTTAGCCAAATCTCTCTGCTAGATATACACTGTAAAGCTAAGCTCGAAGGATTTTTATAAGATGCCCCCGCTGAAGCCCTCATGCTCAAGGTAATCAATCATACATGCATGGAGTACTCCCGTAGTACAAAGTATTTTTGCGCACAGAGTGAGCATGGACCAAGTAGCCGCACGCACTGTGCCGAAATATCTGCTTAGCAGCAGACGCTTAAATTTGCCCCCAAAAATACTTGCATGTAAATTTTTCTGACGAGCGGCGCCTTTATCTAGTATATTACTATGCTACCATGTCACTATATTGCTATGTCCACCATTGTTACACTGTTATACCTGTGAATGGACCATATAGAGTGTATAACCATACAGATCTATAGGCTCAGATCTAGAGCAATTTGATCTAAATGAATCTGCGGGGAAATAGGCTCATCATTTGCGTCAAGGCTGACAAGGCATGAATAGCCGATGGCAAAAATGGGGGCAAAAGTAAAAAGGGAGTATGTATACCCTTGGGAACTTGAAGACGGGAAACTACAGACAATCTTAATTTCAATTTCTTCTTTAACTTCTGAACTTCTTCAAGATCTTTAAACCGGCTTTGTCGCACATCCAAATTTTCCTTGCACATCACTTTGAACTCATTTCCCACTTTTCTTTTCGCTTGTTTTTTTTCTCTTTGAGGGCACGAGATCTAGTAACCATCATATGATGTCTTGGTAACTTTCTCTTCCTGATTCTCAGCCCAGTTGCAGATCCCACCTGTGACGCGCCCGCTTGAATTCTTTGCTATTTCTTTTATTTGTGGGAGGTGAACTCTTCTTTGACGGTCTTATGGTAAAACCACATCCATGTCTGCTTCAGTCACCGCCTCCACCTCTCTCCCTGACAACCCTCGCCCGAGTCGCCTACGCCGCTTCAGCCAGTTACGAACCTACACGCAAGGTTTGTCTTCAACCGGCAGTGGGCAGCAGCGTTCATCCAGAACCAGTCTGAGTAGTCGAGTTCCTTGGCGCTCCTCAACTTCAGGCTCAAATTCTCCGCCAGTGGGGGACTCCACAGTTCCATGCCCTGAAACCGAACCTACTCTCTCCCGTTATACTTCCGCGCCAGCTCCAAGCCACGGCTTCAGTGACCTCAACGGCCACGCATCGTCTACGGAGTCTACCCCTTCGACTCCTTTGGACGAAGTGATCGAGACACCTCATGTTATGGCGCGGCTGAGGAGCGCGTCCGCCGCTCAGCGTCCACCCCCTCGCACACTGGAACGGTCCTCGACTACAAACTCCCAAGAATCCACCCCGTCCCCTGAACCAAGTGCAGCTCCAAATAATGCGACCGAGCCCACCAGCGCCCCCGCAGAATCGACAACCCCACCAAAACCAGAAACAAAGGCGACTATTCGGTTCTTCCCCTACTCGGACACTGTCCAGAGCAACAGACCATCACTGCCCTTCGTTCCTGTCACCCGAACCCTCCCATCCGAAAGCTGTGTCATCCGCGTCGGTCGATATTCTGAGCGCGATGGCGTTCCCATTCCCAACCCAACCGAACCTACGGACACCCCCGTAGGATTCAAGTCGAAGGTTGTGAGCCGGAAACACTGTGAATTTTTGTACGTCAACGGACAGTGGCACATCAAAGATGTTGGTAGCTCGTCGGGAACATTTTTGAATCACATGCGCCTGAGTCAGCCGAACATGGTGTCCCGTCTGTACTCCATCAAAGATGGCGATATCGTGCAGTTGGGTATCGACTTCCGCGGAGGAGAAGAAATGATCTTCCGATGCGTTCGAATCCGGATTGAATGTAATCGATCGTGGCAGCAGAAACCCAATGAATTCAAGTGAGATCTAACTTCTATTTTGGGGTGTCGTGTGATGCTAACATATCCAGCAAAAACACCGAGAGTCTGATCAAAAACTTGGGCAAGGGTGAGACCGCCGATTACTCGGGCTGTCGCGAATGCTCTATTTGCCTTGGCTCTGTCCTGGTATGCTTCTCTCTTCCCTCCCTCCATCCCTGCGGGTACTAACCTTGAGAAAGCGACCCTACCAATGTTTGTTCATGGCAGCTTGCGCGCACGTCTGGCATTACAAATGTATTAGTCGTCTAATCCACTCGCCCGATTACCCAATGTTCCAATGCCCAAATTGTCGCGCGTTTACCGATCTCAGCGCTGAAGTCGACGACTCCAATGAAGCCGATGAAAAGCGAGAGAAAGAAGCGGAAGACAAGCCATCTAGTCACTCTGGGGAACCTGAAACAGAAGCAACTTCAATCGTTGAAACAGGAAACACAGACGATCTGCACGAACATCTGGCAGATCTTCCCGAAGAAGCAATGCTGGCCAATAATGTTGAAAACTTGCACCTAGAGGACGACGACCAGCATACCGATGACGCTCTAAGCATAGCCTCTCCTGTTCTGAGCTCCAGCAATGACGACCTCGCTCGCAGCGCCTCTGTGAACCTCCCCGGCTGGCAGCCATCGCAACCACTCAGCGTGCCCGCAGGTCGCCCACCGCATTTACGATCTGATACCCCCACGTCCGACGACAATCCATTGACCCCGCGAAATGATTCCGGTCCTCTGGCATTTGATGGCCGAGCAGGCATGCCGTAAAGGGTCTCGGTCATAGTTTTCTGAAAATCTCTGCCATTTATACTTCTGGCATCTACCCTTCTTTGTGTGATCATCATCTGTGCATTTTCCCATATCTCCATTGCAAGGTTTCATGTTTTTATGCCTCTCGGGCTTGTTCAGGGCCTACTTTATATACACCGTTTGCATTCTTGGATAGCGCTTACTTTTTCCATTCAATTTGATCCACCATAGCGGCTGGCCAATTTCTTTTCTTCTTCCTCATTCCCATGTGCCCTCAATGCCCTCTTTTATACCCATTTAGTACCCTTATTCTTCTTGCGTTTTGAATCTGGCAGGATTTTTGTTCAGTATGCACGTCTACCTTGTCAGCGTCATGTAGACATATGGAATGTATCTCCCAGCTTGTATGATTCTTTAATTTCTCCATCCCTAGCTTCACCTCACCGAACAAGAAGATCCAGAATACGGGACTGCCCAGGATGACATTGGAAAACATGATGGTTCGATGATTCTGCCGAGATCCAATCTTTGATAATATTAAAATTGCAGTTAACCAAGCTCTAATCTAAGTATCTATGATATATACATCTATGAAAGAAATGATGATTCCTCACTTCCTCACTTCAAATGAACATTGAAGCTGCCACGCTTCCTCAGATCCCTGGAAGAAGCGCCGACATAAACATGATACGAGCCGGGGGCAACAGCCCAGTTTTGCGCCTTGACATCCCAGTAAGAAATATCTCTGCGACGCAAGTTGAACTTCACCTCCGATTTCTCGCCTTGTTTGATCTCAACATTCTCAAATCCACGCAGCTGGCGCACAGGCTGGTGAGCAGCCTTGGGGTAGGAGATGTACAGCTGGGGCACCTCCGCGCCATCAACAGAGCCAGTATTGTGAATGTTCACGCTGACACTGGCGACAATATCCCAAAGATCCTCATAGCCACCAACAGCACGCTTTCCACTGGGGAAGGCAGAAAGTACCTTGGGACCGTCGACCTGAAGGTTCGAATACGAGAAGTTGGTGTAAGAAAGACCGTAGCCGAACTCATAACGGGGAGTCACGTTGTAAGCGTCGAAGTAGCGGTAGTCAATGAAGTTACCCTCGGTGAAGTTGCACTGCTGCGTGTAGCAGATGTCGACATTGTAGTCCGACTCGTTCTTCGCGATGGTGTGGATCAATCGGCCGCTAGGGTTGACATCACCGTAGAGAACATCAACGATGGAGTTGCCAGATTCTTGGCCCAGAAGACTGCCGTAAAGCACGGCTGTGACATTTTCGTTCTCGATCCAGTTGTCAACAAGTCGGACGCCCGCAGAGTTGATCACGACTACGGTATTGTCGCAGTTTTCTGCGACCTCGGTTACAAGAGCGTCCTGATCGGTATTGTACAGTTCAGTGCGATCAGCACCCTCTCCGGCGAGAGCGTTAATGAAAACAAGGCAGACATCCATGTTCTCGGCGTAGTTGCTGATGGAGGGAGTTACCGAGGTGCTGTCGGATCCTTGCATGACCAGCGTGGAACCGCTGGAAGAGGAGTAGGTATCATTGGCAACCCAGCGGAGCATGGTTCCGTCTTGGCTTGCTTTGATAGTTAGGGCAGTCTCTGGAGTAATCAGGTAAGGCAGAGATCCTTGTCCAGATCCAGAATCGGTAGCAAGGTGACCGTCGTAGGTGGGTCCAGAGCCCTGGACACTGAATGCCATGTTGGGGCCAGCGATAGCGGCGCGGGCGTGCGATCCGAAAATGGCCATCTTGTGAGGCTTGTTCAGCGGCAATGTGTTGTTCTTGTTCTTCAGAAGAACCATAGACTTCGAGCCGTGGGAGCGGATCAGCTTGGCATGGTTGCCACGGACATCAACGTAAGCATCCTGTGACTCGGTGGAAGGCTGAGTGCCATTATCAAGGTTAACATGGTAGTATCCCATCAGGTTGCGGATGGCCATATCGTTCAAGCGGGCCTCAGTGAAGTTCTTGTTCTTTAAGTAGCCTTCCATGGTGGAAGTGCTCCATAGGCTGGAAGAGCCGTAGTCCAAACCGTTGATCGCAGAGGCAAGGGCATGCTGCTGACCGTTTGTGTCGGGGAACACCAGTCCAGGGAATCCGAGTTCTTCCTTAAGGATGTCCAAAAGAACAGCAGAAGATTCACACGAAAGAGTGTTGTTGACCTTGGTCATAGCACACATCATACCACCGAGACCTGAGTGCACGGCATCGTAGAAGCTCCAGAGGTAGGTTTCGTGGAGGGTCTTGGAGTCCACGTTTGAGGAGTACGGCGCACTAGAAGAGGACGAGCTTCCGCCCATGGCGCGAGCAGCGAGTGAGGAGCCCGACGAAGAGGGAGCTGAAGCAGAGCTCGAAGTAGATGAATTTGAGCTGCCTCCAGGGCCACCCATACCTCCACCACCCATACCGCCGCCCATTCCCCCGCCCATGCCTCCGGTTCGGTTGGTCTCTTGTTCATTCAGAATGAAGTGCTATAGTATCGTAAATTAGCGGTTTTGATCTTCTCGGATTAATTCAGGACCAACGTAACGTACCTTGGCACCAGCAATGACACCGACGTTAGTGTATGCCTCCACGCTCAGTCCCGTGGCAATGCCATTCAGGTACGGGTCGGATCCATATGTCTCAACCAGACGACCACCCCAGGGAGTACGTCCCAAAGGCTGAGAAGTAGGTCCATTGATTACTTGAATTCCCTTGAGATAGGCTTCAGTCGCAACAGCTTGAGACTGCGCATACATAGCATTTTTGTCCCAAGTCATAGCCAGCGCGGAGGACTGACTGAACGCGGAGACATAGTAGTAGTCTTGCAGACCCATGGAGCCATCCAAAAACTCCAATGCAGTGAACGATTGACCATCAGTAGTTGTCACGTCACTTCCAGTGATGAGCTTGAGCTTCTCAGTTGTGTTGAGCTTGGAGACGAATTTGGTAGCCTTTTCATATGCGGCTTGCCAATCACCAAGAGAGACTGATAATTCGTTAGTTGATTTTCGTAGTTTGAGATCCTGAGCATGGGATTGATGTACCATTGTTGTTGGAGAGAAGTCCAGCATTAGAGCTGCTAGACACGGCAATAGCCGAACCCAGCAGTGTAAAAAGCAGAGATAAAGAATGGACTTTCATCTTTGAAGACTCAAACTGACTACGCTATACAACAGAGAGAGAAAAGAACGAATGTTCATTTTGAAGATGGTCAGGATCCCATGTTTTCATAGTCGGCCCTACGAAGCCGAACGCGTATACAGTCTGGAGTATCGAGGGTCAAGGGTGCAGAAACAGGGTTTCATATCCATTCAAACAGCCTAACCTTATGGACTCTCGTGGAGCCATTACGTGGATGCTGATCTTTAGCCCCGGGATGATCTTATGTTGTAAGCGGCATTGGGAATGCCGACCTCGGGAAGTACCAAAAGAAGATCTTGATTCTCGGAAAAGCCGGCAATTAAAGCCTTGAGGGTTACGTAAATTGCATCCCGAGCTTAAAATAGGAAATATATGGGCCGATCATCTTGTTAAATGAGCTGAAATCTACTCCGTGTCTTGAAACCCATAGATAAAAATTCATAAATGTCAAATTATTGAAGCGGATACCCTACGTCAACGTTTTTATGTTAGAAATGTAAATTAGCAAGAATCGATAAAGATTCTTGAAACAGGAGGCTGAGTTACATCGCTGCAAATACAGTAATTCCTCCGTCTGTTTTAATTTCCTAGCCCGTGGCTCTCTAGGCCTTCCTGCATGTCTTTTCCCCAATCTTTCACGGGTCTTTTCAAGGTTCTCTTAGGGACACCTCCCTCCAAGGCCGATCTATATAGCGGGCAGATGTCCCCTCACATCGTTGCATTGGAAGACCTTTGAAGTAAGCCGTTTCCACGATAAACGTACTGCTAGTTTGACTTAGAGTGGTACCGATCAAAGGGCCCCACCAGAATAACTATTGATGGTTTACTCGGCTATTACAGTACTAAGTAACGTTAACGTTCTAACTGGCTTTTTACCCACTCGTCGACACTTGTAGGGTCCCTTCCAATCAACCATTTCAAAACACTCGCGTTTCCCTTCAAACCACGAAGGGTCAGAACAGAACAAGCCTCTCAGTTTCATCTCTCGTAATGTCAGGCTGGAGCTCCCCTTGATTTGCCAGCCACCTCAAGTCCGTGTCTACCTGATCACCGACAAAGATGCCCCTCTCTTTCCCACCATACAAAAGGTTCGTGTCCTTGTTAACGCCTTCTCGAAAAATGGGAGTCAGCACCTCAATCTTCTTTCCAATGTGACCCCAACTATTCTGGCAATATCTGCATCGGAAACAGGAAGAGTGGAGCACAAGGAGTACTGAGCGAACTCGTGGGTTTCTCTCTCTGTCAAAACGCGAGCCCCAGCTTCGGCTAGGTCTCCGAGGGCAATCAAACTGTTCGCGATGTTTGGATTGTATATGTTCCAAAGCTCTTTGATGGATGGAGCTTCCATCTTTGCTAGTTGGGCTACGGGGTATGCGTTCACAACGTTGGTCGACTGGAGAATGGTAAAGTTCAAAGTACTTAGTAACAGCCGTTCTTCAACGCGACTTTTGTAGTCATGCTAGATGAGATTCTAATACTGGATACCGAGCACGCTGGAGTATGCAAAGTGTTTGAATTTTGTATTTGGGGTTTAGCTCCCGCAAACAGCTGCGTCGATCATGTTGATTCCGATTTACATTTCACGAAAGTGAAGGGAAGGGCCTACATGGCAGACTGATGTTGCATTGTTGAGAAGCGTGCAACAATCTTCGAGTGAGGATATATCGTATGTCTGTGGTTATACATCTGGGTAGGTTTCTTGGATTCGAGAGGTAGATTCTACAATGTGGGCTACCAGATGGAGTTTGAATTTGGATTTGTTGTAAAGAAGAGGGAATAGGAAGGAGCATTGTCTGCCACCTGGGCAGGTCACCACCAGTATCTCGCTCATTGCAATTCGAACTGTAAGAATTAGGCAAAGATACTCCGTAGTCAAAGGCTTTTTGTGAAGATGGTCAGGATTTAAAGAGGGGTACATTAAGTAAAAAGCCATATGTACTGTATGCATCTGCCCCGGAAACTTTCTCCTCATGCAGCATTACTCGTCAGCCAGATCACCAAATTGGAATCCAAACTTCTAGGAAGTGCAATATCTCATATAGATGTCCTAAATCCCGAGAATTTATGTATTAGAATCTCTATTGACAAGCCAGATGTACAAAAAGTCAAGCCAACTGGTAGATATAGAGCCACGTGATTGAGTCTATTGAATGGCGCTAAGTGGGCCCTGAACCAAACAGTCGCTGGACCCGCTTTCGATCTCCCATTCTGGATCTCTTCACATCTCAATCCCAGAGAGGGACTCTATAGGCGTGAGCCTGTTACACAATATCTCCCCTACATTGATTCGAGACGAGCTTTTAGCAAGATGAGGTTAAATTTCAGCGAGCCACCTACACCGACCTTGAGTCGTCAGAACACTACAATTCAAGGTCACCATCAGCGACGCGGCACTCATCCCCACCGCTTGTCATCACGGCTCAAACCAAGAAGGTAGAATGCTTGACTGTCGTCTACTCACTAAGTGTACTGACTTTAATTAGATGGCCATTAGTATTCCGCTTTATCAAAGGCGCAATCCATGGGGCCATATTATTGCCTGTCTTCTTCCATGCCGTGTTTACAGCCCTAATTGTGTATCTGGATACATATGTGTTCGATACGGTTGGTCTACCTAGTACTATAGTACGTATTTGATCAAATCCCTACTCGATCGGGCAGAGTTGTAACTGAACATGGCGAACAGATCCCATCATTATCCATAGTCGTAGGACTGATGCTCGTCTTCCGGAACCAAACATCCTACAATCGGTTTTGGGACGGTCGAAATGGAATGAACTCACTCAACACCTGCGTGCGAAACCTTGTTCGCACAATTGCAACGAATAGTTACAATGCTAAGAGAGGACCCCCTACAGCCGCAGAGCGCGAGGATATCGAGCGCACTATTCGAATCCTCATGGCTATCCCATATGCCGTGAAAAATCATTTGCGTGCAGAATGGGGAGCCGCTTGGGTGTTTGGCAGCTCTGTTGACGAGGACTTGAATCTGTATGGTAACACGCTTTATAACCCTGAATACGCCAACTTGCTTCCAGCGGGCTTGGTGGGCCATGAGGATGAGGGCCTCGGTCTTCCCTTTCAATTGACCTTCTTCGTCGATGGTTTTATCAAGCGAGGCGAAGAGCGAGGGTGGTTCCCTGCTCCTGGTGCTAGCCAGATGCAGGCTCAGTTGAACACCTTGACTGATGCCTATGGGAAAATGGAGACGATCAAACTGACTCCAATGCCTGTCGCTCACTTGTAAGTCCCAACTTTGGCTCACTTTGTAGCAGGCAGTTTATTGACGAACCTGGTTTGAATTAGAATCCATCAAAAGCAAGTCCTCGCTCTCTTTGGTTGCGTTTTGCCTTTTGCGATGGTGGATGAGATGGGATGGTGGGCAGTTCCTATTGTGAGCTTGGTGATTTTCACTCTTTATGGTATTGAGGGCATAGGATCCCAATTGGAAGATCCATTTGGGTATGATCGAAACGACATCAAGATGGATGCTATCGCCGGGGATTCCAAAACCGAGATTGATGTTGTTCTGTCTGAATGGCGCACACACTCGAAAGCCATGGATGCACTGCGACACCAGCCAGCTGGCTCTTTCCATGGAGATCTATGCTTGACACCCAATCGCAATGAGGGTGGTAATAACAAAGGGGACGAGAAGTACGCACCTCCAGACTTATTCTTGAGGTTAAGACCAAGCACGGGCAGGTAATGATTGCACATACCTGAATCATAATCACGAGTACATATTTGTTTTACATTTGAACAAGCACCATCGTTGCTCGAAACACTTCATGCCTGTATCGATAAAGATACCCAGAGAGAGTGAAGTACCTGATAGTTGCTCTAACCATATCTTTTTTTTTGGAGAAGAGAATTGAAACCAGGTTCTCAGAATTGGTCTACAGGGCGTTTCTAAGAGAGAAATGATGTTGGCTGGTCGTTATGTACAAAGAAATTCCAATAATATTTGAGCCCACCTTTCTCTCTCGGTAACATAGAGAGGAACTCACAGGGGACGGTCATTGCTTCGTTTACACCAAGAGCGGAACTGCATGGTCATTTCCCCGATGTCCTTAAATTCGAGGCCCCACTTGAGGTCAATGTGCATGGAGTCTCATTGTATGAAGAAAAATGAATTTTGGCTTTGGCTTCACACAAGGTCTACAAATTCAATTAACGAGTATGCTTAATGACCGAGACACAAGATATACAGCGCCATAGTGCTTCTTATAAAAATTTGTTGCGCGGGTTGAATTGTACCTATGTAATACCTGTTGAGAGGAACGTTGGGATCAGATGGAGTCGGAACTAGAATTATCTCGTTCGTCTCGGCATCGCGCAGACGCAGGTGTCCCAGCATCTTGTTATCTATAGGCTCCTCGGGCTTGACATCATGCTCATATGCCGAGAAATGGTTCAAGCTATACACAGCGGTGGCGGTATGTCTTGCCATGGCTTCCCTAACTGCCAGTCCTACATTTACCATTCTAGAGACAGCCGAAGACTTCTTCCTAGACTGTAATGTGACGAAAATGTCAAACAGCACTTCAACAATAGCTTACTTTCCCAACTGTACAGCGCTTTTCCAAGGCTTGGATGATCCTGTCTGGATGCCACTCATCATCAAATATGGGCGGCGGCCTGTCTATGTGATCTATGTGACAGCTTTCAAGGCAGGTCAGTGATCGTGGGTTGAGATATCAGCATAGTTTTTGCAAAATGAAATTTTGACACTTGATTCAAGTCGGGTATCCAATGCAGTAATCAAAAATTAGTTGAAGAAATGGCTTTAAGCCTTATAGCGGTGGCTCGAGAGCCAGAACACCGTCAAGTATTGAATCTGGTGTTACATCGGCGAGTACATGAGATACTGCGCGTAGATTACTTCCGTACTGTAGACTGCGGTCCTCGCCTGGGGCTGTGACGATGAGGCGATGACGGAAGACCTTCCTCGCAGCCAGTGCCACAATTGAGGGAGTCAGATAATCAATACCATGTAGAGGAGCCAGAAGTCTGCCGAAATTGGTCAGTAAGATCGACCGAGTCGATGGTATACTGACGATTGGTGGGCGAACTCACTGTGCAAAACGAGAGAATTCAATGTTTGCTTTTGCCGATACCCCACCAGAAACTGCACGACTCAGACGCAGAAATACAACAATATCCTGGATGTATCGAGCAACTTCGGCACTCGTGCTGATTGTTGTACTTGTCTCACGTAGTTGTTCCATATCCTGCAATGCAACATGAGATAAGTATATTGTGTCAAGAATGGCATGAAAGCTCACCTTCGGACTAACTGTAGCCCTCTGTATTTTGGTTTCTTTCGACTTGTGGATTACAGATGAAGCAGAGATTTGTCCATCTGAAAGCCAGTCATCTTCTTCGAGATACCTATACCCAGCCTCGGGGGCATGGAAATGTGAAATAAAGAGATTGTCAACCTGCAGAGACATTAGCGAGAACCGAAGCAAGCGGCGATGGCCTTATATTCAAGTCAACAATTACCATGTGCTTCTTCAAAGGCGGTTGAAGCTGGTCAGAGTCTCTCGACACAAGAGGGATGAAAAGAAAGTCTTCTGTCGCACTCAGGATACCACTCTCGGTGACCAATTCTCTCGATCGCATCAACTATTTTAATTGTCAATATTGTTCAAGCAAATTATTACTTGAATACCCACCTGGAGCATGTGCATTTGAATGTCATCGCTGACAAAATTGAAATTCTTGGCGATCACTATATTGACAACATTATTGTTGGTTAATTGTGAAGGTGTCGCCGGTGGCTTGCTATAATCGCCGCAACCTCTGTAAGAAGAGCGCTTGCTTGACTGCCCAGAATGTTTCATCAGAACATGACAAACAATAAGAGACTTGAGTTCATGACATACTGATTCGGTGTTTAAACAAGGACGTGACGGGCGATGATTCACGCGTGCATCCAGAGAGAGAACATCATTGTAAATGTCTTCAACAGATGTTGCAGAGGAACAATCAATAATTGTATATGAATGATTGAAAGTATTTGAGGCAATCTGTATTGGTGAGAAAACATTCGAATCTTTTGTAGACATAGATCTAGACATACCAAGGCGAGCTCTTTGGCGAGGTCATTGATGCAGTGGCTGGCAGTCTCAATCAAGCAATGTTCGCGGGCAACGTGGCATAAAAAAAGAGCAACTTCAAGATCCGATAATTGTCTAGCAATGTTGGCAATATCTGAATCCATCGAAAAAAATGAATATTAAAGGCAGGCAATGGAGCAATCAAGAAGGACAACAATTGTAACGGGGAAGTTTACGATGCAAAGTGGAGTGCTTTCGCCTGAAAATCAAGGCAATAAAGTCACCCAAATGGGCCTAGCGCGCGTGACTTCCCCATCAACACCTGAACAGCTCTCCAACTGGGCAACTGGATCGCTCACCTGTAATCAAATCCCAACATGGCGCCAAACCCACTTGCCAATTGGGAGAAGATTGGAGACAGTTTCTATCGAAAGATCACCGTCTATGATGCTATATTTGAGGACGAGATTGAGTTAGAGAACTACCTTGTCGCGGGGGCCCCCTACGGAGGAGCTATTGGTAAGACCGGCTCTGCCGATATATACGAGGCTTGGAGCTAACTCAGGTAGCACTTTACCGCGATGAAAGCAAGCCGTTGAGGTTACGAGATGGACAGGGTTCTCGGTCAACGATTGACATTTACTCTTGCTCTGGACAGCGTATCAATCGCATAAATGTGAGCACCTTCTAATTAAGCCGAGCAATTATTTACTAAGATGATCAAAGTGGGAGCAAGCAACTATCCGAGGACTGGGTTGGTCTGACAAGGAAGAGCTTCTGGTCGTTTCTGAAGATGGCACCGTGCGACGTTATTTCGGATTAGATGGCGAGTTCACCTCTTTCTCCCTCGGCAACGTGAGTAGTCTGGAGAAGGTTCTTTCCCAATCTAGTCGCGCGAGTACTGATCTTTACATAGGGTGCCGAAGAGTATGGCGTGAGGGCCTGCCAGTTTTGGTCATCGGGTCTGGTAGCATTGCTTTCCAATAATCAACTAATTGCTGTATCCAAATATGATGAGCCGCGCCCGCGGCTCTTGGCACCCTGTCCAGAAGGCGAGGTCTCCTCATGGGCACTAATACCTCCAGCTCACACTTTGTCGCGTTCTGTCGAAGTCCTTTTAGCTGTGGACAAAACCGTTTTCTTGGTCGATTCGACAGAAGCAGAGGACAAAATCCTGCAAGACGGACCATTCAAACATATCAGTGTCTCCCCCAATGGGCGGTCTGTCGCGCTATTCACCGCAGAAGGCAAATTGTGGATGGTCAGCAATGACTTCCAAACCAAATCTGGTGAATATGATTCTAATTCCCGAGTACCCCCGAGTACGGTGAATTGGTGCGGCGAGGATGCCGTTATTGTTGCGTGGGAGGATGAAGTACATCTTGTAGGACTTAATGGGGCCGCATCGAAGTGAGTGGGCTTTGTTTACCACTTGTCTATTAGTCAAGTCTAACAAAAGCAGGTACTACTATGATGACCGCGTTCACGTCATACCCGAATTTGATGGCGTCCGCCTCATCACCAATGACACTTGCGAATTCTTGCACAAGGTTGCAGGTAAGTAAATAATTATACACAGAAATTATCCAGAGCAAAATTGACCAGCACTAGGTGTTACGGAGGAAATTTTTCGCCTTGGTTCATCTTCTCCAGCTTCGGTACTGCTGGATTCGGTGGATCAATTGGAAAAGAAATCGCCCAAGGCCGACGAGAACATTCAAAGAATCCGATCAAGTCTACCTTCGGCAGTTGACACTTGCATAAAGGCAGCGGGTCATGAGTTCGACGGTTATTGGCAAAAGCGGCTTTTGAAAGCTGCCTCGTTTGGCAAATCTGTCCTTGATCTCTACAACAGCGACGAGTTTGTTGAGATGACCGAAAAGCTCCGCGTTCTCAAAGCGTTGAGAGATTATAAGATTGGCTTGCCCATATCCTACGAACAATACCTACGCCTCACACCAGATGGACTTATTGAACGCCTGATAAGTCGACATGAGTATCTGCTTGCGATTCGGGTCTCGGAATGTCTTCAAATTCCAGCTGACAGAATCTATGTGCATTGGGCGAGCCAGAAAGTAAAAGTTTCGACCGTTGATGATGAGGCAGTGTGCAAGCTCATTGTTCAAAGGCTTGAAGGAAAACCAGGGATCTCTTTTGAAGTCATCGCTCAAGCTGCTTATGATGAGGGTCGATCTCGCCTGGCTACCCAGTTGCTGAATCATGAACCACGCGGTGGCAAACAAGTCCCTCTGCTCTTGAACATGGAAGAAGATGAGCTTGCTCTTGACAAAGCTATTGAGAGTGGCGATGATGACCTCGTGAACTATGTACTTTTGCATCTTAAAAGCAAGCTTCCTCTAGCAAGCTTCTTCCGAATGATCAACACCCGCCCAATGGCTTCTGCACTCGTTGAGACTGCTGCACGAGGTGACGACACAGAGCTACTTAAGGATCTTTTCTACCAAGATGATCGGCCTATTGATGGTGCCAATGTGCTACTGTCGGAGGCATTGCGCGAAAACGATGTGACACGTCAGACGGAAAAGCTTCACTTGGCATCTCGACTCTTGTCAGACTCTAAGGAACCTACCGTGGTACTCAACCAGAAATTAGTATCCGAAGCTTCTCAACTCCTGAAGGCCCAAGAGGCATTGGACAAAGAGTTAGCAGACAATAGCGAGTATCTTGGTCTAAGTCTCAACGAGACTGTTTACGGACTTGTTCGAGGTGGCTACAGCAAAAGAGCACAAAAGATTCAGAGTGAATTCAAAATGCCCGAAAAAACATTTTGGTGGTTAAGATTGAGAGCCTTGGTGGCTAAACGTGACTGGGGCGAACTGGAAGAACTCGCTAAAATCAAGAAATCCCCTATTGGATGGGAGGTAAGACAGCCGAGAAATCCAAACTATCTTCATATATGCTCACACAAAACACAGCCTTTCTACAACGAGATTTTAGGTGCTGGGAACACAAAACTTGCTTCAGGGTTCGTACCGAAGTGCACCCACCTGACCCCTGCCGAGAGAATCGAAATGTGGGTGAAATGCGGAATGATTGTGAAGGCAGGAGAAGAGGCGCAGAAGACTAAGGACCTCAACACTCTGGAACTCCTCCGAACGAAGGCATCTGGCCCCGCAGCCACCGAGATCGAGCGTATGATCAACCAGCTTAGGCCGAGAAAATAAGCCTATCAAGAACGTTTGACGATTATCGGGGGCCAACCAGCCAGGTCTGCTTTAACATTCATTGTTCAGGTGATTTCGTCGGCCTCCTCCGTGGTGGCAGGGTTGTTCGTTGCGGGTTTGGAATCTTCATTCTCCATTTCGATTTCGAAGACGTTCTTTGCAACAGGAATGGTAGGCGCATCATCTTTGACCATTTCATCGTCATCATCATCCTCATCCTCCTCATCATCTTGTTGGAGAGCGGCAAAAACCAAGGCTTTGCGGTTGGTCTCTTCCCAATCAGCCTGGTTTATTGTCAGCAAATGTACACCAAACCAAATGACCGAATTCAAGAAAATCATACCCTTCGAGAATCGATGACCTTTGCGCGAGCTATACTTTTAGCCCTTTTGATTGCCAGTTGATCTGACACAGCTTCGGCTCTGTCCATTCCCTTCTGCTGTCTTTGGCGCTGGGCCCTCGAAACCTTGTCATTCTTCTTCTGCTTTTTGTGAATACCGGCGTTGGAACGATCAGCCAGGATCGAAGGCCTATCCGAGGGAGATTCCGCTCGTGGCAGAGAAGTCACAGACTTGTCGAGGTCCAAACTTGGAGATGCTGCCCTCCGTGCTGCACGGGAGCGGGGTGCAATTTGAGCTATTAAATTATTAGACACATAAACATCAAATTAAAGTAAAATTAGTAGTCAACTCACATCTGCTTTTCGCCATGGTTGTTTTGAAGAATTAGCAATTGATCGTGGGGAAAATCGCTATCGATAAAAAAATTTGCGGCATGCGGAAAAAACCAAGTGCGCAATTCCTCCGCCATCTATACCACGTTCTTTTCGGTACGCGCCTCGCTACTGATTTCTTCACCAGCCCATGCCACTGCTCATGTTGACTGATTTTTATAAGGCAGCAGCAACACAACTGTCTTTATTTTTCAACAATGAACACTCGCCACGGGCGGTCTGAGATTCTTTCAAAAAGCCCTGGTCACGACACAACCAGCAACAGTCATTATGAGACTGCTCTTACGCTGATAGAAAATAACCCAGCGATAGCATACAGTTTTATTGCATTTATTTCCATCTTTTTCCTGCTCGATTACTTTGGTTTCACTCCAATATCGCTACTCCAGCTCTCCTGGGACCTCCTCGTCTACTTCACACCATCTCGAATCGTTGTCGCATTGGATTCTCGCGACTCAAATCCTGAATCTATTGCCCAAAATCTTCCTTTTCGAGAAAAAAGTAACGCAATGAAACGAATCCTCGGCCTTCCTACCATCGACTCTTTCCCTTACTTCCCCCGACCTCGATCACTCTCGGCCCTTGGAAGCGCTTTGCTAGGAACTACAAAGGATACAGCCCCACCGGGGCTTGGGAACTGGAATAATTCATGTTTTCAAAACAGCGTAATACAAGGACTCGCTTCCTTGAAGTCACTCAGAGAATTCCTGGGACGCAACATGGACCTTTCGGAGTCAACTTCGCTCTCGACGCACCAGGCGCTAATGGACCTCATCAATAGTTTGAATAGCTCTTCGAACCACGGAAACAAATTGTGGATTGCAGGACCTTTGAAGTCAATGAGCAGTTGGCAACAACAAGATGCGCAGGAATATTTTTCCAAGGTTGTCGATCAAATCGATCATGAGGCAGAGGTGGCTTCACGTGGAGAGATATCCAACTTGGGATTGAAAATGGCAGGGCCCGAGGAAAACATAGTACATGAAAACTCTTTTGATGAATCAGTTTCCGAGAAAAATGACTCTGCATTATCAAACCGCAATATCCCACCTCACAATCCTCTCGAGGGCCTACTCGCTCAAAGGGTCGGCTGTATGGAATGCGGATATTCTGAAGGGCTCTCGCTGATTCCTTTCAACTGTCTCACCGTTCCCCTTGGCGATCAGTACGAATATGACATCCGCGACTGTTTGGATCAATACATGGCGCTTGAACCCATCGAAGGTGTGGAGTGCTCAAAGTGCAGTTTATTGCACAGAGAAGAGCAGCTTACCAACCTGATTGATGGGCTTGATGAGGACTATGGAAACAAGTCGGACAGCTCCGAGACACCCCGACCCTTCAATGCTGTAAAGATGTCCGCTGCCTCACGACTAGAAGAGGTCAAGACAGCTTTGGAACACAACGACTTCAGCGAGAGCACGTTGACAAAGAAGTGTCACATTCCCTCCAAGAACCGAGTCTCAACCACAAAGTCTCGACAAGCAGTCATCGCCAGGGCGCCTAAGTGCCTTACCATTCATATCAACCGCAGTGTTTTCGATGAGATGACTGGGATGCTGAAAAAGAACCACGCAGCTGTCGTGTTCCCTCAAACGATAGATTTGAACTCTTGGTGTCTTGGAACTCAGGTCGTCAGCAAGTCTGGCGACAATCCCGAACAGTGGGAGACAAATCCCTCCAAATCTATGCTTCCGCAACCTGGTGAATCAGTCGAAGTACCCAGCAGACTATACCAACTCCGAGCGATTATCACCCATTACGGCCGACATGAAAATGGGCACTACATCTGCTATCGGAAGTACCCAACATCGGAATTTTCAGCCCCTGCTTCAGACGAAATCCTCCAAGCGGAAGGCGACAAAGACAAACCCGAGCGCTGGTGGCGGCTGAGCGACGATGACGTAGAAATGGTCAGCGAAGGCCATGTGATGTCTCAAGGGGGTGCATTCATGTTATTCTACGAAGCCGTCGATGATTTGGCCTCACTTTCTTCCTGCCGATCTGCAGCCTCCGAGTATGCGCACCCATATCCGTATGAAGAAGCTGTTCATTTCGGAGGCGAAGACACGGTCCCCACGCCAGATGATATCTCTGCGCCATCCACTGTCACCGACTGTGGCTCCTCCACTTCCCGTGCAACAAGTGTTTCGATGCCTTCGGAGGAACCCCAGTCTACGAAATCATCCGCAGTTCTCGACCTTGATACCACCCCAAATGGCGAAATTGAATCGACTTCCACGATTGTTGCATGATTCTCCATATTTTTCTTTCTCATCCGTTGGTTGTTTTCTTTATTTTCTCGCATTACCGTGCTATATGGTCGGTTTTTGCATCATGATACCCAATACCATGCCGTTATTCCTTTTAAGGGGTTTCTCTCTATTTTTTTGTGTGTTTATAGCTCTTTTGTATGTATGATGTACTTGTATGCGCTCTCATTGTAGGCACAAATGGATGTGACACATTATATTGACTTGCTTCAGTCTGACCACAGGTCTACAGTTCCACCCACCACTTGTTCAATATGCGACCAGCAGCGACATGACTAATAAATTTGAAATTGTAAGTCAGCTCACTTACCTGTTCTGTAGTTCAAGCTAGGTTCTGTGTCCGAAATGTCGCCAGCTCCACCTTACTATGCGCTACCATTGCCAATAACACCTTTTCAAGCTCAGTGTGCTAGAGACCATGGCCCCCGCATTCAAATATGAGCAATGAGCACCTTGGTGAAGACGATCCATCGTGGATCATAATCCGGAATCACCTAATCAGGTACCTTGGGGCCGGCCGCCATGGCATAAGACAACTCCAAATCGCGTTCACGGGTTCGATATCAGAACAGTTCTGGCCTTTGCGAAAGTTTCATAGCGCAAATTTTTCGGTAATCAAGACTTGTTCGCTCATTTCGATCATTTTGTGGGAGTTGCGATCTATAGATCCTGCCGATAATCCCCGAGTCCTCACTTCCTATCTAATCATCGCATAGTATGAGCTCCATGTCCGAATCCTTAAATCTGGATGTTTCTTTCTCATCATGATCACAGTTCACTTTGCAAAAGATTGTATACCCCACAATGTCTGGAAACAAAACTTCTCAACAACCTCACAACATAATCCTCATCAATGAACTTCTAGAAAACATTCTTCTACACGCAGACATGAGAACATTATTAACATCTGGCCAGCGCGTATGTCGCAACTGGAACGAAATGATCAAGTCATCACCAAAGCTTCAACAGCACCTTTTCCTCAAAGCCTCCCCATCTCAAGAGTCAAATAAATGCCGTCGTCTTCGCAACCCACTCCTAGAAGATATACTCTGGGCTCAATTCTTCCTCAAGCAACAACAAAGCTCGGAATTAAACTTGGCCGATGTAAGCAGATTTCCACTACGGGAAGCCGATCGACTCAAGCTCAAAACCTACTTGCGCAAAGACGCCAGTTGGAAACAAATGCTTCTACAACAACCACCCACATCGTCAATTGGAGTCCTTGAAATAATCAGGCGATCAGACTCGGAGTTCACAAAGCTGGCTGTCAGTCCAGATGAGGGCTTTCTCCGAATGGGCCATATCTTGACCCTACTCCAAGGACGCAGCACTTTAGTTCCGACGCGCAACAAGTGGATCCTATGGAGTGGGAGATCACGAATCAGAATGCCTCTCAATTTCGAGATCTGGGCACCAAAATGGATCTATGAGCCAAGTACACTGCAGTCGGTCCAGGAATGGGTCCCGGATAACATCGACTGGGACAGTCTACGCCTGGAAGTGGCCTCGATGTATTTGAACGATTTTGATTGTGATTTGGTCATTGTGTCAGAACGGAGACAACAGCTGTTCCAGGGCGAGGATCGAGTTCATAAAGAAAGCAAACTTGATCGTCGGCTTGAGAAAGTGTTTGGGGAGTGCCGGGTAGAGGTTGGAAGGAAGCATACCACACACTCTTGGATACCTATCAAAGGGGTTGGTGTGGATCGAAGGTGGAGTCTGAAGCCTTGTTCTGCTACACCTCTTGTTCCGGCACCGAGTGATTCGTCTGAGGTTTCAGATTCATCTTCTTCCTCTTCGCATTTTTCTTTGTCTGTCTGAATGGACTCTTCAGGCGCGCCGGGGTTGGGAAATCCGGCAAGAGAACCTCGTTGGCATTTTTCGATTAATGTATTGTTATATAATATCAAGGATGGTCATTTGAAGGCCACGCTTCTGCTTCATACTTCTCTCTCGCGCAACCAGGATAGTCAATATATACTGGTCTTCGCTGACTTTAGATCTTTGATTGTTGGTTCCGTAGACAGCGATGCTGGATTCAATATCCATGTATTTACTTTAATTGCAAGACTCTCACATATCCCCAGGTGACCTTGTGTAATCAAGACTAATTCTGAAGTTTGACATCAAGTCTAATAACACACTCGTTTTTATCATCCCTAGAGAAGAACTAGTCTTCCTCTTCTTCACACTGTTGTTGAAAATATAACCTAGTTAATTTATCGTGACTTTGGTAGTATTTTAGAGCTAATGGTTCCTTGCGAGTTGATGTGTCGAAGTAATTGAACATTTGGTTATGTCCCGATATATATTTGTGATGGTCTACGGAGTATTCTTATTCAGTGCCCTTGAGAAATAAGCGACCAACTTGTTAATGCTTCTACACATGTCAAGACCATACCCATTTGACAATAACTATAGAGCCTGGAAATCATGACTGTCCGAATACATGTTTGTGGAGTGCTGTCAAGAACATCTCTATATCCACATTATTGCATCCATCCATGTATGCACAGTGTAGGCGCCGACCTCCGACAGTGTCTCCACTGGTTAAGTTTTCCACAGGCTGCAGACCACAAGTATTTTCTGCATCAAATCATGGAAACGATATCGCGATATAAAGATCAGACTGTTCTAGGCCCTGGCTCAACAATGTCGGTCACCACTGTCACCGGAAATTAAGTGTCGAGTCCCAACTTGTTGACAAACACCTACAAGGTCCAAGTGCAGGTACATTTAAAGAGCCAAATAGGAAGGAAACACAATTCACCGCCATTTTCATTATCTGAGCGTGCATCGGGGAAGCCCAGTGACCGACAAACCCATGTCGCTTTAGCGCGACCAGGGGTCACCCCACCAATTTTACATTGTATAACCTGTTCGGACATTGTTAGCCCTCAGTCAGGCATACGATTCTACATGCACCGTCTAGGATATTGCATCTCTAACATAACAAAGTTCACCGTAATATCTAGGCGCTCATCGCGCGGATGTGTTCCTGCCCAGATTAGATTGAAATGTTGACAGATTGAAACGCACCTGAAGCATCAGGCTCGGCAGTGTACAGCAAAAAACGGCTCGACAGGACAAAGCGATTGCTGGCTATGCTCAAGTAGGCAACGCAAAGAATTGCGCTGCGAAGATGCATCGTCCGCTACAATGTGAATGGACCCGGCCTCCCGCAGTCCAGCGGGTTGGCACATGCCCGCTGCACTGGTTGCTGTGTCGAAACATCCTCAAAAGTAAAACTGTTAGAGTTTTCTGATTTGGATCGAGAAGATGACTTGGTCTGCTTGATTCGACCTCTCTTTGAAATCGCCCAAAGCATGTATGCCGAAACGCGACCGTGGCGACGGGATATTACCCGATCGCAAATATCGGTCAACGCAGATACCCTTAGTCTACGGTGGTAAGATGGCGCGTAGGTATTGAGTCAAACATAATTTGATTGGAGTCAGCAGAAGAGACGAAGGCTGCACTTTGTATCCAATAGCAAAGCGGAACTTGGCGGTCTCGGAGATGGCTGTCTGATCTCACAAATATCACAGATTTGGCAGCGGTCCAGATGACAGATTACGACAGTGTCATCCGTGCGGTTCATGTCATTAAAGCTCGATGAATCAGGGGCGTCATGTACTGAGAGGAGCAAGCCTCATGGACACGTCCTACACCGCAAACCCGCCACTGCCATCACACCCTGGTCGATCGCTGCAGGCGAGAGCGCGGATGGGATTCCGGAAGGGTGGGTTACTCACACTGCCAAAGGGACTTACCTACATAGTACATGTCAACTCACATTCTTTCAATATCTCAAAGATCTCCGCATGAAAAGCAAGTGTGGGTTCGGAATGTGATCCCCGGAACCCCATGGGGCTGTTCCATGGTCCAGCTTATGCTTATTGTCTAGTGGACCAAGCTAGGAGGTCTAGGCCATACATTATTGTACATGTGCATCTTTTCTATGAATCGGTGGCAAAATGGAAGATACATGACAATATTGTAACTAGTGATCAGTTATACAAATTGTGGCTGTCAGTTGGTGAATCAAATGCTAGAACTTGATGCTGACAAATTCTCGTTCACCATGGCTAGGCCTCGGTCCAAGTGAAAATCTACGATAGAAGAACACCAACCATATTGAAACAAGCCGTACTGTGTAAACATTGTAGATTGAAGATTTGACTCCTTTTTGAAGCAGTGTTATTGTACTATGTATGCAAGAGCAGACCCGACCATCTGTGTCCTTGCGATTTTAGTTTTGAGATCGTACATATGAGCTGCAGCTACAGCTGCAGGGAAACCCTGGAATGGCAGGAAGGAGCCACTGTGGATCCGGGCTCCCTATGCATTTTGAACCAAAGGGCAGGAGCTAGCTTCGCAATTCAACAACAAATCAAGCTCTAACACTGCATATGTTACGGACTACAATCAGTCGACAAGCATATGCGAGTAAACACACTTTTGTGTTTTGCTCCAAGCGCATTTCGCAAAGATGCATACCCAAAATTAAGCCGAGGCAAATTCGATAGACCAAGCTCTCGCTCCGGCTTTTAACTTGGAACTTTTGTGCCCAATCCATCCTCCACCGGGATATTAAATTGCATTTCCGAACGAAATCATCCAGGGGTCCACAACTCTCCCGTGGAGTCCACCATGACAGTATCTGCCTCGACAGCTTAATTAGGAGACAAAGACAGACACCAGGGGGATGCATCGTAAATCTATTTGGAACCACATCCTTTCAAACACCGATGGGATGGAATAAGGGGACGATCGCGAGGCGACCCGATCGATCGTGGGCCGCGGGCCGTTCCCCAACCAGAGAGCTCTCGTATATGGTAGCAGCCCGTGTAAGCCGTATCTAACATGATTTCATTCGAGGGTCGCTGGCGTTTAGAAGTACAACAGAGCTGTCACGTCAACTCGGATGTGACTTCCTGGGTCAATTGGGTCTCCTCTTTTCAGCATCCCCGACGGGCCGGCGCGCGGAGGCATCAATTATGGGGTTTGTAGACCTATGAGGCGGCGATTTGAGATTTGAGATTTCAAATAGGGATTGAGATGTATATATTTGCTAAAGTACTACTCCGGATATGCAGGAAATCGTAGTCAAATAGGTACCAAATCCTAACCTCGGAAACGATGAGTTCGAAGGGGCGACGATCTTGGGTACGAAAGGGGCTTCGGATTGGTTGCGGGGACACCCATTGCGACGGACTGATCCACTTAGGCTTCCGGGGAAGGGCGTCACTTTATTTCCGAGGCGAGGCTTGCATCACGCAAGCCATCTGGTGCATCACAAACATCAAAAGGCAAATAAGGATGTGTACATAACATGAGTCGTGTAGTGGTGTTCGAAATTGGGGAAGTTCAAGTTCTTAAAAATGGATGGGAGAGGTCTTTGCTTTGAATGATCTAGACCGGCGATCTAGACCCTTTGGTGGACTAATGATTTAAAATGTCTTTGAACAAAGAGTAGTAGTCCACTCGAGCCTCGGTGTGACTGTGGAGTCATCGCTGATTTGTGCGAAAACCGGTCCCCTAACGGGAAAACCCTCATCGCTGCACGTTAATCGCACAGGATCTTTGACTGGGATCTAGAACGATTGCAACGGTAATTAGCAGAGGTGGCCACGCAATTTGCCGAGGGAACTGCAATTATCCGCAATCTCGCGAACCTCCGTGGAGACGGGGAGTTGACCGGGGGGAGTTCCGACACGGCAAAAACCGTTAGTTTCGAACGTTTCCTTTCACATTTCGGAAGTTCTAGAGGATTATTATTCTCCACTCTAGTTGGGCCGAGGAAGGATGAAGAAACACAAGGTGGAGATTCGGAAGAAATTGCTGTGACTCCTTCGACAATATTGTATATAGCGTATCTCCATTGTAGATTGTCATTTTAAATCCGCGAATAGTCTATCTCCTCTTTGTCGATTTCTCAGGTTTCTCGTTTCTTATCTCTCAACTCTTGAAAGCATATACCCTGGTCACCAAAATACTAGTGACAAATTGTCAAAAGAAAAACGGTGTTGACGTGTTGAACTATTTGATCTGTCACCGCCAAACGCCTACCACAAACCTGATCCTGGGAGCGTTTACGGAGTAGGCGTTTGAAGAATCCGTTTGGGTGATTAGGGCTGGAAATTGAAGCTAGGCCCGCAGCCTGATATCGTGCATGAAAGGTTTTTTTATTTTACAAATATAATTTTTGTGAAGCGGTGAATCCAAGGAATGATTGGAGAATCGTCATCGGAACTGGGCAAAAAATAAAAAGGAACGAAGAAACAATCAGATCGTTATTTAGATCGGAAATCAATGGGCAGCCCTTCCGGGGGAAGAGTTCTGTGACGGCAAGGGGTTTTGGGGGGGGGGAGGGGGGAGAAATCAAGTATTGAGATCAACTAGACCCTAAGCCACCTTCTATGACCATTTTTCCATTGTACATTGTACATTTGTATACATCTACTTCATATGGTATATCGTACTTGAAGTCTGTTGTGTGGCAAAGGAAAAGCGCTCAACGAGTATCTCTTTATGTGAGAGTTATCAACAAATAATAAAAAAATCACTAATTATTATTGATCGCCTTTGATCGACGGGCTTTGGCGGAAGCTGCTTCCGTCTGATAGTTCGGATTTGTTTTTCTTTGTTTTTCTTAATTATTATTTAGCATTTAATTATAATTTCTGATTTATCCTTTTTGTGATTAAAATTAATTATTTTCGATATTGTTTCAGTGCGCGACTGCAAGGGTGTTCGGGAGAGCCTAGAAGTCTTCCCCGGCTTTCATATCTATTTGTGTGTGTTGGGCCTTCCATCACTTTTTATTGATAAAACACCCAGACCCTCGATCGATTCTTATATCTTCATTTCACCTTCAATCCACTCTCACCTCTGCATCATTGTCATCTCTAACATATAGGGCCCATTTGGTCCAGACAACTGTCAACTGTCAACTGTCAACTGTCAACTGTCAACCATCTCAACTCTACACATCGCCCATAATGATTCCTATTCAATCACGTCTACAAGCCATGTCGCTTCCTAAAGCGGCGGCTCCTATCGCCAGCACAGATCCAGCACAGGTTACCTTTTGTTGGAGTGGTAGCTCCGGATCTTTCGAGTCGTCTACTATGTCGAGTCCCTTTGCGCCACCACCCACACCAACCGACTCTCTCCTCGATATCAACCCTCGCAAGTCATCATTCTCCAGTGAACAGGGAGCCGCATACGCGTTCCCATCTTGGCCCAACCGACCTTCTCTCTCTAACAATAACTCCTCCGACTCGTGTGCCAACGCCTACCTCTCCGATGACGACCTCCTCTGGATGCCCGAGAACGCAGCCGCAGAGAAGGCCGTGGATGAAATGATCCAAGACACAGAGACGATGTGCTCGGTCACTATGGAGCAACAGATGCAGCGCCTCCGCGCTATCGCCGAACAAGAAGATCGTGCCAACTTCCTGGCCAAGGTCGAAGCCCACGCGCGAGCGACTCAAGCCTTGCGCCAGGCAAAGCAGAGCGTCGCCAGCGAGGGCGATAACTCAAAGCGCAGGAAGCGTAGAGTCGTGCCAACCCCCAAACGACGCGCCCATTCCGCATCCAAAGTCTTGACTCACTAAGCTCACCGGGGGCTTTCACCGGTGCGGCGCAGGCGCTCTCCGACTCTTCTCTTCACCACCTTGTTATTATCGCCTTATCTTTTAATCTCTCCCTGCATCTCCCCAGAGATTCAGACCCACCAAGTTGTCGGTGTATCCCGACACTTATTATTATACTTCCGTGATACCCGCTATCTTCTGGAATCCATGATTCGACCTTTTGGAAGTCCACACACCCCCACAGCGCACATGTCGATCTCGCCACAGTTTCCAATTTTGCGAAAATCGGAAAATCGTGGATATCGTCAGGGTTCTAGGTTCTAGCACGGGCCGATCAGTCCCCGCGCTGACCTAATATCTTGCAGCGCTGCGGGCGCTTCTAGAAATCCCACCGTCACCTTCTATTCAGCACACCGCTGCTTTCGCTCTGACTCACTTTCTTATCACATTCTCATTTCCAGCGAATCCGTTACTTTTCAAGGATCACGTTCATGCAGCGCTTTGTATTGTCATTTGACCCTCATACCCTTTTTGTTATGCATCCCGATATGGTCCCGGTGTTCCCTTTCCCATTAGCCTTTTGCTTTGTTTTCTTTTCTTATGATCCTGTTTTTCTCAGCGACTTGTTCAATACCCTATTTTGTATACCCCAATTTGTTGTTCTTTCCTCTTTCGTTTTTAGTTCTCAGTACGCGCTGTCATATTTTCATCAGAACATTGCGCCACCCGACACATCACGCTTACAAATTTTGCAGTGATGCATAGTTGGGCAGTTATCCTAGCCAACCATGGCTGTTGGCCATTAGCACATTATTAGCCTCAATGAACTGAGTCCATTTATCATGATACCTGTTTCACCAAGTCATCCAGTAAACCACCAGTAAGCCACCAAGTACACCAAGTAAATTTGAAACAAAGAAAACGATCCAACAATGACAAACATTCCAACCCTAGTAAAAGACTAAAAAGAGAATCGTATCACTACTTTTTCCTTTTCAGGTCCTACATCTAATCTTCCCCGTATTTCTACCCCAGGCGAGTCGCTGCCACGTTCGTGGTGATGTTACATATGGGCGAAAAGCATCCGGAAATAGAAAATCCAACAGCGGATCGATCGTCAGCCCTGCTCGCCTCGTGTCCCCCGCTTAAGTATTCCGCGTCGAATGGCCTCAAGCCCGAACCCCGGAAAAGATGTGAGGCTGTAGGGGCTTAGTGTTCATACCCAACAGGTGGCCCTGCATCTCTGTCGAAATGCAACACTGAGGCTGATATGCCACTCTGCACGCCTTGATTATTGGATGGTCATACAAAGACGTCAGGAAGGCAAAATGATCTCTAATCTAATGGGATTGTTGCGTTCGGCATTTGAGTGTGAAGGGTCACTTGGTTTAGTGTTTGGTTGAATGGGGGTTTTCGGAGAATATCGCGAATAGTTGGGGGGGTATTAGATGATTGTTTTGGTCAGACTTCGGGATTTGGATGTGTGGTTGTCCTTTCTACACGGGAAATGTCGGCGGGTAAATTATCCCCATGTTTATTATTTCATTGGCAGTGGGAACTTCTGGATGTTATGTAAGTGAGAGTGGCTTTGCTTTTGGAGTTGGGTTTTGCCGCTTTACCCTCCATCGCGGTTCTTTTCACGGTTGCCGGTTATTACGAGTCTCTCGTCATCGGAATTGCTTCCCGGGGCCTTTCATCCATTTTCGGTTTATGCCCAGCTTTAATTTTCCCTTATGCTACTTGTCAATCCCATTGCTGCACATGTCGAATACCCGGATATACTACCGGTGTATTTCGGAAATTATCCTCCAACAATTTAGGCACATGCCCTCAGGGAGGTTACAACTCGGGAAATGGTAGCGTGTCATACTGCCAGACCGCCGTTCCGTTCCAAGGGCAAATCATGTGCAGATTTACTATGAATTCTATCTTGATCACCAGGAAACATTCCCGGAGTTATTCACCGGGTCTTGGGCTTACTGAAGCATGAGCAGTAGCCTAGACGGGATAATGAACACCGAGGAGAGATTCAAAAGGACATGAGCCACGGTGTTAATGATCATTGCCTAGAACACGAATAGGAATACAATGAGTGTCGGAAGTTTATTGCATTTGATTGAATTGATTTTCCACGAATTTTGCTTCATTCCCATGAGTGTCAATGACCCTCTGTGGCCGGCTAGAGTGGTTGGCTGGAACCACTCAAAGACTGTTCGAGAAGGCTAGTATTCTCAGTCAGAGCGGCACTCTCTGAGACAACCTCTAGGTTGTTAGAGCGGAAAGGAGTGACCGCAAACTTAGAGAACTTCCTAGCCGAGACCTTCCTCTCGAACAAAATGTCAAGTTCGGGAGCGGTCCGGCCCTTCGGTTCCGGCAGTTGGAAGAATGCCCATACAAAGCAAATAAAGCACGGTCCTGCCCAGATAAACCCACCCTTCCCCTTGAGATTCCAGGCGGTGGGGTTAAGGATAGGAGGGTTCAAGAAGTTAGCCACGATACTGGCGACGTTATAACAGTCGCGAGCGAGAACCGCACTCTTGATTCGAAGACGAGTAGACGGAATTTCAGAAACAAGGCAATAGGTGACAGGACCCACAGTGAGATCGTAGGTAAAGACGAAAATCATCAGTAGAGCTGCAGATGTATAGCTCAAAGCGGGTGTGTTATGGCTTGGAATCCCAAGGAACCCGACTAGCATCAAGATAGTGAACATGATGCCCAGACCCGTCACAAAGAGCTTCCGGCGGCCAACTTTCTGCATCACGAACCAGGAGCACACAGTGCCAACCCAGCCAATGCCGTTGACACCAAGTCCAAAGCTGAATGCCTGAGCATCAGTGAAGCTGACTTGTTCGAGGAAGTAGACTATGTTTCCACCATACCAGATTCCACAAAAGACCTGACACATCCAGACGCAGCAGACGATTTGCGTGCGACGGCGGTCGACCCCTTTTAAACAATCCCAGTATGTGACCCCCTCTCGATGGAGCTTTTCTTGTGCGTTAGTAATGATGATCAGCGCGACAGCATCGTCTACACTGTAATTCGAGTCGCGGGGAGTCGCCAGTCGATTCAGTGAGCGCTTTGCTTCTTCAATCCTATCATGGCGAACCAACCACCAAGGCGATTCAGGCGCAAAAAGAACGCCGATGAGAATTGGAACTGGCCAAATCCACTGAATGGCGTAAGGAATGCGCCATGCCCACTCGTCAGTGCGACTCAAGAGTCCACGCAAAACTCCAGCTGAGATAAATTGGCCGGTGACCCAGCAAAGGTTGACATAAGTGGTCAGGTATGGCCGAAGAACGATCGGGCTAACGTCCGCGGCGTAAGTGATTGTAAGGGTTTGGAATGCCCCCCAAGGAATACCACAGAGGACTTCTCCGACGAGCAACATAATGATATTCTGGGCGAAGAACATAAGGAAAAGGGCGCCAATTAGGGCAACGAGGGCACCCAGCATAGTCTTCTTGTAGCCCCACCGATCAGCAATCAGACCAGCTGCAATGAGGCCAAGAATCTGTCCAATATTTGTTCCATTCTGCAGACCAGTCTGCCAGTTCGAGGTGACCTGGTAGCCGTTGTTTGGTGTCTTGACTCCGAATTTCTCTCGAAAGGTTGGATAGGCATAGAAGGAGCCTAGAAGGGAAGTATCGTATCCTTCCATGATGACCGCGAGGGACAGGATAAAGGAGAAGCAAATCGCTTTTGGGAACAGCTTGAACGCATCCCGGTTTGTCAAATTATGCTCAAAATTTGAGGCTCGCTGGGCCTTCTCTATGAGGTTGGCAAAATCAGGAAGCTCGGCGGAAAGCTTTGAAAGGGCTTCATCATCGACCCCGAGGGTATTGTCCCCTAGGGATGTGGTTGGCGCAACGAGACGGTGCTCAACGTGAGTGTATGTATCTGTCGTGGCTTTCTCCATGGCGATGAGGTTGAAGTTTTACCACGTTTGAAGAAAAGAAAGGCTAAAGAAGGAAGATATCATTCAGAATAGTCTAAAAAAAGAGAGGAACTTCATAAGGAAACCGATCATGTTGACACTCTTCCTTTGCTCACTTTCTTTGCACTACATTGTGTAACGACTTCATCCACGTGGTATTAACTTTCGTGGGGAGACTTTGGGGAATTTACATATGTGCGGAACGATGGGAACGAGAGGATAGGCGTGAGAATGATGGTTCAAGGTAGCGCCTTTTGCTGACGTGTGTCTGTGTCGTTTGCTCTATTTCTCGGGCCATCTGCATGTCAGCGCTAGATGGAGGGCCTGAATGTCGAGCAGACCAATGAACCCGGATAGTGAAACCTGGTACAAACCAATATGGCTGAAGAGTAGCACTCCAGCGAACTGACTGAGCAATGGATGAGAGAATGCTTTCGACTTTTGTTATTTGAATCATTGCTACACAAATTGAATCCAAAAATCCTACGGGAATGTTGACGAATCTTTCAGCCACAAAGCAAGAAGCAACGATTCAAGGTTGATCTCTGAGAAAACTCAACATTGCCCTTTTATATCACGCTCGATCAGAGCCCTACTCCGGTAGACTGGATGTATGATTGGCGTGTTTTGCAAAGTTGCCCTAAACATTCGGCACTATGTCTATCAAATATCGAATATCTCTACTTTTTGTTTCTCCAATTTATAGTATTTTATCGATTATAGCGTGCTATTACCAATCAATAACAAGTCAGTGATTGCCAATTGCCTTGAAGACCGCATGGGGAATTCCTGCGTTGACCATCTCTTCCAAAAAAACCTCAGATGGATAAGGCTCCCTATTTGGTTCCTTTTATATACTTGAATATACCTCCGGTCGACCCCAGTCCATACATTCAGAACACAAGGGCGGAGAATTTGTTGTGGGAGTTGAGAAAATCGGGTATTTTGAGAGACGGGTCTTTGATGCCTTCTGAATAGCCTCCAGTGAGTCGACCTGATATTTTAGATGATTCAGGATATCTGCTAGGTTAGAGCCGTCTCCATTGATCCAGGCATTGCGGGTGCTGTCAAACATGACCGTATCTGAATGTAGCGCCTGCTGCCTTTGAGGTTATAGTTGGGGGTGACCAGCGGCCTCGGCCGCGTCTTCGTCTGCGTCTTCGTCCGGTTGACATTTAAAAGAAAAGACCAGGTATTCGGAAGATAATTAAATTAACTGCATGAAGCCTCTTCACAGAGAAATGTGGAAAGGTGAAAGGGTGACATCCTGATGTGCCACTTGGAATACAACTTCAGCACGACGATGCAAAGCTCACATGCTCTTGCTCAAATTGGCCGAATCACAGGCTATGCCCATGCTCAGCCGGATGTTAAATAAAACAGCAACAATAAATGGGAATACGACAGGCTGAGGTTTTGATTCCCCAGTTCCGGCGAAGATTATAGCGAAAATTGTAGCGAAAACGGTCTTTTGTGGAGGAACAGGACATTGCAAAGAATCTGCAAACTGAAACTTAAATAGAGACACCTGCGACAAATAAAACCTTTGTAACTTGACTTCTCTTCACTTAACTTCTCTTCAAAACGTTAAAATGCATCGTTACTCATTTCCCCATGAGCCAGTTGCTCATCCCGAAGCAATAGTTGGCGGGACCAGCAACTATCGTTTCACTGTGCTAACTGACGGTCTCCTTCGATATGAATGGGCCGAAGACCAACGCTTTGAGGACCGAGCCTCAGTCCTCGCAATCAATCGCCGTTTGCCTATTCCAGAATTTCGAGTCAACGAGGACGAGCACAGCCTTCAGATCATCACATCTCGATTTCATCTTTACTATAACAAAGGAGTATTCTCCCCTAGCGGTCTCAGTGCAGAGATTAAAGGAAGCTACGGGCCCCATATGAGCGTTTGGCGCTATGGGGGCAAACCGTCGGATCTCGGTGGTACAGCTCGGACTTTGGATGAAATCGATGGCCGTGTGGCACTTGAGCAGGGCGTCGTGTCACGACTCGGTTTCACAGCCTTGGATGATTCCAAATCCATGCTCTTCGATGACCGCCAGTGGGTAGCTACACGTTTGCCCGGGGATCGTGTGGATGGGTACTTGTTTGCGTACGGACACGATTATCGACAAGCAGTTCAGGCATTCTATCTTCTATCTGGGCCTCAGCCGATTCTACCTCGATGGGTACTCGGAAATTGGTGGAGTCGATACCATGCATATACAGCGGATGAATATCTCTCCCTAATGGATCTCTTTCGCCAGAAGGAGATCCCACTTTCAGCAGCAGTACTGGATATAGATTGGCACATTGTGGATGACGACTGTGTCAAAAGTGCTGGAGTCACTGGATGGACAGGGTACACCTGGAACAAAAAGCTCTTTCCGAACCCTAAAGCTTTTCTCAAAAATTTGCATGAGCAAGGGCTTCATGTTGTGCTGAACGACCATCCCGCTGACGGGATTCAAAGCTATGAAGACCAGTATGACGAGATGGCAGCGGCTCTGAATCATGATACCTCAGTGCGAGACCCCATCCCTTTCGACATCACCAACCAAGCCTTCCTTGATGCCTTTTTTGATGTCTTGCATCGGAGAATTGAGAACGAGGGCATTGACTTATGGTGGGTGGATTGGCAACAAGGAACACACTCTCGAATCCCGGGAATCGACCCTCTCTGGGTGCTAAACCACTACCATTTCTTGGACAGCGGTCTGGGAAACAAGCGATCCCTGACGTTCTCACGCTACGCTGGGCCAGGAAGTCATCGATACCCGATCGGTTTCTCGGGCGATACTGTGGTTTCTTGGGACTCCCTTCATTTCCAGTCCGAGTTCACATCAACTGCATCCAACATCGGCTATGGCTGGTGGAGCCACGATATTGGTGGCCATTTCCACGGTGAGAGGAGTGAAGAAATGCTCGTTCGCTGGGTTCAATATGGCGTTTTCTCGCCGATCTTGCGTCTGCACTCATCAAACAGCATTTTTAATGTCAAGGAGCCATGGAATCTCGAGGCTCCATACGGGCAGATAATGACTGATTATCTTCAGCTTCGCCATAGGCTCGTTCCATACATCTACACAATGAACGTCCGTGCATCCGTTCAAGGTCTGCCTCTTGTCCAGCCCATGTACTGGGGTTACCCAGAAAACGACGAGGCATACAAAGTTCCTAATCAGTTCTTATTTGGCTCTGAGCTCATAGTGGCCGCCATAACTGCGCCTCAAGATCCGAGATCTAGACGATCTGAGGTGCGTGCATGGCTTCCCCCTGGAAGATACGTGGATATCTTTACGGGCGTGGTGTATGATGGAAACCGTCGACTCTGGATCACTAGACGTTTGACAGAGTATCCAGTATTTGCACCAGAGGGAGCAATCATTCCTTTTGATGGTGCATCGGTACTTGAGAACGGATGCGAAAATTCAGCAACAATCGAGCTCCTAGTTGTTATCGGCTCCGATGGTATGTTTGAGCTAGTAGAGGACGATGGGAAAGGTCAATGCACTGATCAAATTGACTTCCGTCGTACTAAAATTTGCTTCAACCAAGCACTAGGCGAGCTAGTGATTGCACCCGCGAGTGGTGGAGATATCTCTCCTCATATCCGAGAATGGGGTGTGCGCTTCCTTGGGTACTCAAACTGGAACCATGTCAAAGCATATGCCGATGACGTGCAAATTGACATGGAATATGTGGCAACGACACATGGCTTTCTGCTGAAACTGGGATCCCACCCGAGCAATGTTCAGCTTGTTGTCAAGCTGGAAAGCAACTGTAGTCTCGATGCAAATAATCCCACCTCTCAAATTATGGAATTTTTGCTGGGCGCCCAAATTGGCATGGATTTGAAAGATAGCATCAGGCTCATCGTTGAAAGTTCGAAGCCCAGACTCATGCAAATTAGCGAGCTGCATACTCTTGGATTAAACTCGGCTTTGCTGAATCCTGTGCTCGAATATCTGCTAGCTGAGTCTTCTGGAACTACAACGGGTGAAAATTGAGAGATTCGGTCTACGGTGTGATCAGTAGTCTAGCAGCTTGTCTACCTCGCAGGTTAATTTGCTTCTCGGGCCACTCAATCAATATCAAGTTTGTGCAGTTCTTACATTCCAGTCGGGCCTCTCTCAAAACAAGTTAAAAAAGGCGCAAAAATGAACTCTATATTGACAATGTATCCTCTATAAACTGCAAGGCTATGCTGATCAATAAACGGGATTGATGGTCTCACCAGTACACCATTTGTCGATCGTGATCTTCACGGAAGCTGAAAGGTTTTGCAACGTCCTCTCGGCATACCAGGCGAGATGAGGGGTCAAGACTAAGTTCAATGCCGCTGCATCGGGACTCAGCAAAGGCGAGTCTCCCCTCCCAGCAGGTTCCGTTGCATAAACATCCGTAGCCGCTCCTGAAATTGCACCGTCTTTGAGAGCCTGTAGTAGAGCTTCTTCATCAACAATGCCACCTCTGGCGACATTGATCAACAGTCCATGGGGGGACATGATCTTAAATTCCGCCGTGGAGATCATATTGAGTGTTTCAGCACTTCGGGGTAAACACAAAATTACCACCGTAGAAGTTTTCAAAGCCTCTTCAAATGCATATCGACCGGGCCGGGGAGATACGCCCTTACGTTCCGCAATAATGACCTTCATACCAAGGCCCTTCGCCATCGCCTCAATGCGTTTTCCCAGAGAGCCATATCCAATAATGCATACGGTCTCATCACTACACAGCAATGGCGCTTTTCCATCCGGTGCACGAACCCGACTGAGTAAAGAACCTTTCGTCTTCCACTCAGTATCAAGCGATGGGTCTGCAGGCACCGCAACTGTGGCATTATGTAGCTCAATGAATTTTCGCCGGGTGGCAAAGTAAAGTCCAATGGCGTGTTCACTGACGCTATCTATGTTGCTTCCTGGGCAATTGCACACGGTGATTCCTCGAGCTCTTGCGGCTGCTACGTCGACACAGTCTGTGCCGGTCGCCATAATCACTATAAGGCGGAGTTTGGGGGTAATCTCCGGGCTCAGAGTTTCCGCTGTCAAGCGGATGGTTGTGGTGATGACAATTGTCGCATCTTTGAGGCGGCTGGGGAGCTCAGAGGGATCGGTCCACCGGTGAACGGCACGAGTATGGGGCCCTGGTAGATCGAATTCTGGGATTGGGCAATGAACAGCCTCGATAGCGACAATGTGATGGGTGATGTTTGCCTCCGCCATGGTCGACAGCAATGAAATGAAAGGGGAATGCAATGATTGGGGGCGTTTGAAGAGCCTCAATTTGATTTACAGCCTATGTCCACGTCTCTTCATTGAGGGGAAACTTGTGTGATGACTGATCCGAGAATAGCCGAGGAATCTCGGACTACGTACCGAACAGAGGTCGCTGTTGAGGCCGTCGATGCTGTCAGAATGTGAGCCCCAACTATTAACCACCTTATTTGCGCCACATTTATGGAAAGTTTAGCGGCAAATACCAAGGATTCTGTTTCGGAGTCGGGATGCCGCTCCCCGTGTGACTTTTGATAGTCCCGATGGTAGCCGATATAAAACTTTATGGTATATGAGATTGGTAATCTTTAAATGACTCCAGGGACGCCTGAAGTACAAACAATAGATTGTTAGAGGGGTTTACCAAGATATTTATTATATCAAAACCGAAATTATGTCTGGAGAACAAGCCCCATATGGTAGGTAAGCCCTAACTCAAATCAAGAGGCATTACCATACTCACTGATTTTGAGTGACCCTTGATGTCTTCACAACAAAAAGGTACAATATTCTGTCGAATTTATGGACCTTCCAAGGTAGCTTACGCTCAAATAGATTCAAGGGCAACCCTGTCGCCATTGTGAAGGTCACCGACATCAATGTGTCACAAGAGCAAAAGCAAAGAATCGCGAAAGAGTTCAACTTCTCTGAAACCGTGTTCTTGCATCCTGCTACTGGGGATGGCAACCCCCAGGTTGATATTTTCACACCTGTAAACGAGATGGAGTTTGCCGGTCATCCCATCATCGGCGCCGGCCATTTCCTCTTTCGCCAGGTATTGGCTGGCTCCACCAGTCCCGCGAGCTCCCTCACCGTCATGACCAAAGCCGGCCCCGTTCCGATCTCATATGACGAAGCCAACAAGGTCATCGCCGCTGAAGTTCCTCATAATATCCACATCCACAAACAAGGAGCCACATTGGCCCATATCCTCCCTGTCCAGGCGAGCCTGAAAAATGCCTCTGACATTGAGGGTGTACCGGAGACTTCGCCTGTTGTGTCAGTTGTCAAGGGTGTTACATATGCGCTGGTGGATCTCAGCAAAAGACCCGATATTTTTGCTAATATCGGCCCTGGCGGAAGTCCAAATCTTGATCTTGATGAGGGATGGGCACCCTCATTCACGGGTGTCATGTATCACCGCCACATTGGGTCTCGCACAGAGAAAGACCTGGTGGTGTGGGATCTTCGCGTGCGCATGGTCGCTATTGATCTGGAAGATCCCGCATGTGGTAGTGGTGGAAGTTCTCTGGGGGCTTACCTAGCATTGTCGAATGCGCATAAGGGACAGAAGCACCGATTCTGTATCGATCAAGGAAGCGAAATGGGAAGAGACAGCCTAGTCATTGTGGATGTCATTTTGGATGAAGAAAGGAAAACCGTGTCTACTATCAAACTTGCTGGCCATGCAGCCTTTGTGGCAGAAGGGAAGATCTTCGTGGAATAAGTGTTGGAATAGAAAGAAACCTTGGAATTCCTCCTTTCTCTTCCCAACATACCCAATATTTATCCATGTACCAAAATGGGACAAAGGCAAATGTAAAAGGCTATGTCTGAATAACTGCACACCCTTTAGGCACCCGAGGGGGAATCATCTGAAAGAAAGTGCGATTCTTCCGCATATGATTCCATTCTTGCTTCTTCTATGAGCCTGTCCTCCACTCTGTTCGAATTTGTTGCGTATTCAATTTCAACCACAACCAATGCACTAAATGGAAGGCGCTGGATACATGTGGCACTTGAATAGTTTGCTCAAGGACAAAAATATTGCATTTACGTGATTGCTAACTATTGAAAATGAGATTAGGAAGAAGGAAAAATTGTCCAGTTAAGGAATCTAATTGCCTAGATATGAGATGGGAAGAGAAGAAAAAGAACACCAAGAAAGCCATAAAAATAGTTGCTGAAAATGCTTTCAAAACAAGTATGGAAAGTTTATCAAAGCCCATTATTCAAAGGCATCGTTTCAACGTCCATTCTTTCGCTATCTACAGCCCCTTGCTAAACAGTTCCTTGCCTAGTTCTTTGAGCAGTGGCTCCTTTTGTACAGCCTGAATGTCCATCTTGCCGGAAATCGTCTCTGCGACGCCCATAGCGCGACAGAGGTCAATCAGAGCTCCATCCATTGGAGTCTCATATACAAGTAGTCCCAAGGCGTATAGCAGTCCATGAAGAGCTTCTACACTCTGGTCCTCACGCGAGACAGCCTCAAGCAAGGAAGCACTCAGTTCCACTTGATCTTCCTCTGACAAGGGGTCAGGCTTTCCATCAAAGCGGGCGTTATGGTTAAATGAGGCAAGGTTATATGCGAAGGAGGCGGCAACAACCCTGAGACTGGCATGTGAATCCAGGAGGGAATTGGTTGCGAAGCGGAGGCAGGTCTCGCGGAGTGAAGAAGAAGAGGAAGTTATTTGCGCCGGGTATAGGGGTGTACTGAAGAGATTGCAGGCCAGTTGAAGGGCAACGATGCGAAGATTATATGGTGATGGTTCATCCTGGGACAAGGGGGCAAGAATAGTGAGGAGAGTTGTATGTTGTGCTTCCTCGGCGAAGTAGCCACTTGCACGGGGATCAAGGAGAAGAAGACGGACTAGATCAACGACTGCAAAGTGACTGTCACTCGGAAGTGTCGAATATATCGAGTTCAGTGTTTGGGCAAATATGTGCAAATCGGGGACCCTGATATCCGCTGCAGGTGTGTTCTCGGAAGAGTGACGAAGCTTGACGAACTCAATAACCTCTGTTACGCCCTGGCCGTCTTTGAACTCAACCGGTAGCTTTTGGAGAAGCTTGTCGATTGGCGGGGCCTTCTTATACATGACAAAGCTCGTGATTTCTCGCTGGAGGCTTGGGAGTCGTAGTTGACGATGGGGATGTGCTGGGTGTGCCATCTCAAGGAGCATGCGGACATTTCCAATCAGCTGGGATGGAGTGGCTCCACTCCATTCATCTACCTTTTGCCCCTTCAAAAACGTCATGAAGGTTGGTGTAGCACGTACACTGTACTTGCTGCTAACATCGTAGGCTATGCCGATGTCGACTTTGATGAGTGTACCTCGATCACCAGCTTCCGCTGCGAGCTGGTCGTAAGTTGGGTAGACAGCCTTGCAGGGTGGACAAGTGGAGGATGTGAAAAATATGACTGCACAAGAATGAGATGCACCACTGAGCGCACTTTCCAGCTGGTTGAGATTGCTGACTTCTCGCACGATGCCAACTCCTGAAGGTATAGCCAGTTTTTGTGCTGGTGGTGTAGCTCGTGAAGCGGAAAATTGAGCACTCGGCCCGGGGATAGGACCTGGTCCGGTGCCCTGGGTGACACCTTTCAAAGCCATTTCGATTTGGGGTTTCATCATCTGCCCAAACGGAGTTTCCAGGAACGTTCGAGGCAGATTAATAATATGCTCTGGAATACTCTTGCCGACAAGGAACATTGACAAGTCTTGGGTGAAGTTATTGCAGTTGTGAAGAAACAGATCATAAGACTATAACATGTTATTAGAGGTGAATTCCTTTGAATTGACGATACGAACCTCAGGTGTGTAGATGGTCGCCAGTGAGCCCAAATACTCTTCGATTACATCTCTTGGAAGCTCAGTGATGCCCAAATTCACGACCTCCATTGGCTGTCCATGGTGAGTACTCCCTGGAGCAGAGGTCTGAATGCCTTGGCCGAAATAATATTCAACTCCATTGAGTACGATGGAGGTATGATATATAGCATCCATCTGTGTCCCAGTCAGGGCGAGGGAATACTATTTAAATTAGAAAAGACTTTGTTTCATTCATGCGGCTAGTGCACATACCATTCGCGCCAGGCCCTATATTTGCGATTAGTCGATTTTCAGCAGTGTTCATGATGGAGAACTTACCTTTGACAGGTCATAGACATATAGCTGTACATCCATGATTATTGGCAGCCGTATGGATGAGCGATATACAAGATTTGAGAAAAAGGAATGGCAATGCCAGTTGAGGCCCCGGGGTTTAAGGGAGATAAAGGGCCTGCGGGCAGGCTGCAGTGCGATAACGTCAGCATCCGCGATCACCTTCGACCATTTTCTACAACAAAATTTCAGGATTATGTTCATTTGCAAGTTAAAAATTGGTCAGATAACGAAGGTGCAGTCCAAAGTGAATACACTCAGTCCAAAGCAAATATACTTACAGACTCCACAGAATCGTAGTCGCTAGCTCATTCCAACCTGGCCCTCGGCGTGACGGCTGGCGGATCTCTATAGATATCACGAACCACCTTTAGGGTATTATATGTGTGAAAAAGAAGCGAATCGTCAAAGATCATAGAAACTCATGATAAGAGTCTTATTAGAGATCACAGGTAATTAAACATTAAGGATCGAAATCATTTCACCCTCAAACCTACATGCATGTGCAAGATGCTACTGGGGATATTAAGAGAGTGCTCCGACTTCGAAAGGATGGATCTATAACACTTGAATATTACCAATGAAATACTTACAATAGATTTCTGAGGCATTTGTTATCTCAAGTATTATTAAAATCTCATAATAAGTATAAGTGAAGAGTTACAAAGTTAGGCGCAGTGACTGCGTACGTTGTAGGCCATAGATCGCCTCTCTCCAATCGGAGCCGGTTTTCCCCACCTCCACATCATAGCTACACCTCAAATTATCCGGCATACCAACCTGACCTCGCAAAGGCAGATTTTACCGTTGGATATCCCGCAGAATGGTAAGCAATACCACAACACGCCGCTTTACAACCCAAGCTGACTCTGGCACAGCCTCCCAAGCGGCGCGGAGGTGCAGCCAGCTCCGCACCAGCTCCGCCGAAACGTGGGCGCGCATCGAAGCTAGCAAAGGACAACAACATCACAGCCGAAGAAGAGAACGAGATCAAGGAAGTCTTTCACATATTCTCCGATAAGAACAAAGAGTTTCCAGATGAGAAGGAGGGCGTCATTCCCCGGGAAGATGTGCGCAAGGCACTAGTGTACGCTCACCTCCCCTCTACAGTCTACAACTCTACAACCAACGATATCAATCTCCACTATAGCAACACAACATCTAATCCAAAGCTACTGTTTATGGAAGCTAACATCACTACTTTCATCAGAGCACTCGGCCTCCCACCCACAGACTCAAGCGAACTCGCCGAAATCCTCTCTGCCCTCGACCCAACGCTAAGCGGCTTCGTACCATACAGCCCCTTTGTATCAATAGCAGCCGCAAAGCTGCGCTCGCGCGATGACGATGCCATGGCCGCCGAGGTGGATGATGCGTATCAGCTGTTCACGCGCGGCACGGACGGCCCCATCACATTGTCGCATCTGAGGCGCATTGCGCGCGACTTGAAAGAGGAAAGTGTGGGCGATGATTTGCTTAAAGACATGATCCTTGAAGGGAATGGAGGTGCTGGGTTGAGTGCCGGTGTCACTTTGGAGCAGTTCCATGATGTCATGACCAGGGCGGGCGTATTTTAGCCTCGGTGAAGTAACAACTTTGGTGAACATAGGGGTTTAGGATCGGCGTTCGCTCGTGGCATTTTCTTCTTTTTATTATTTGCAGTCCAAAATTGACAACCTAATGGCCATCGTTTATTGTTGTAGGGGGTCAGACTATTCCAGTCGGAGTGTTCTAGGAAATAACGTTTGCAAGAGTCGGTTGCCCAATTGTAATGTCCCATGTTGTGATTGTAGATACATGCTTTCCTCCACTGGCTTCTGCGCAACAATCAAAAATTAAGCCTGGTACCAGCAAAAGAAAAAAAAAGAGTTAAGAAAGACAGCCATCGAAAGTAGCAAAAAAAGGAGGATAACAGAAGACATGACCCGCGCATCAACCATAAAGAGCCCCATAAAACATCCGCAGAATTGGAATCATGCAGAAGCCGCGATGGAGGAAAGGGAAAGCAAGGTTCGAGTCATTTAGGAGATCTCATCGTTCATGCCAATGTCCTGGTTGGCGTTGGCCTGGGGGACGGCGGCGTTGACGGGAGCAGCAGTCTCGGCAGGGGGAGCGTCGGTTGAAAAGTAGTCAACCATCTCGGCGTCGAGCTCCTCAACGGTCTTGGGCTTTCCGCGGGCGGCGTTGCGGCCACGAGGGCCAGCAGCACGGTTGCCACGGCGACCTCCCTTCTCGGCAGTGGTGTTCTCCTTCTTGCCCTTGGGGGCAGTCGCGGCGGACTTGGGGCGAGCCTTCTGACTGTGGAGGGATTGGATTAGTATATAGACTCAGGCGTGACTAACTGGGACGATGACTTACGCAACACGTTCAGCGAGGGGCTTGGCAGCAGGTGCGACGGGGGCGTAGGATGCATCGAAGACAACCTCGATCTGTGGCTTAGGTCAGGCGTTGTTCAAACGAATGGGACTGAATGTGGTTACCTTCATTGGGCGACCATCTACGTGGAGACCATTGAGCTCCTTGGCAGCCTTGGCGGCAGTATCAGACTTGGCGAATATGATCGAGGCGATGCCACGGCTGGTACCGTTCTGGTTGTAGGTGAGCATGACCCGTTTGATGGGACCTGCGGACTTGGTGAAGTATTCCTAGGACGTGGAGATGATTAGTAATTCATCTCAGTTGAGCGAGGCGCATGTTCTCGAGTGCCGAAAAAATGGCGGCGCAAACGAAGACGAGCAAAAGGTGAGAGAGCATCAGCGAACACATCATAGCACCAATCGATCGACTGTTCATCCCAATTCTGGAATGTAGTACTCGGCTTCCATCATCCAAACTCCATCAGCAGACTCCCAGCAATGTAACAAAGCCCACTCAAATAGAATTCCACACATAAAGACATGCTCAACGTTCTCGCTTCATTCATAAATCATTCAAGAGATCGAAAGAAAAATCTTCTTTCATGCCACTACCATCGACGCAGATTCAGTCAAAGTAGATCCATCTGCCCATGGATGCATACTTAGCAAAGACAAAAGTCATGTAGAACACGAGTGTACCTCAAGGTCACTAAATTGGGTCATCACCCCATAGCACAAAGGCTCCTCTCAATAAGTGGTATGCGACATAACAGTCTTAGGAAGGTTGTTCAGTTTGCCCTCTGAATGTGTCCCCACGGTTTCACTGATGTGTTCGCTGATGCTCGTCTAGATCTCGAGATAGAAGAGAAGGAATGAATGTGCGCAACTGAAGAGAGGTCAGGATGATGAATTTTCATCAATCATCCGAGGCACAGTACTCAGAGAACAAAGCAGGCGGATTTCCAAGCGGAATCAACACGAGCAATGAGACTCTTTCACCGTACGACAGAGCTCAACTTCTCGTCTCACAAAGCGCCAGCAAGATAATATGCGGAGACTGTGGAAGGAGCAACCTGTCTGTGCCGTAATCGAGGATCATCCATCGATAGAAGAGAGGTAAAGAAAGGTCCGAGGGTGGGTCGAAATCGTTTGCGCCGCTAGGCTTTCGACAAAAGAGAATGGCAATAAACGCCGAGGTGAGAGCCTTCTTATCAACATACCTTGATATTGGCCTCGGAAACATCGGCAGGCTGAAGAGGTTAGCATGTGATCAACCGTGGGTCTCAAAAGAGAAGAGCTGGAACTTACCAGTCCGCTGACGAGAATCTTGCTGGAAGCAGTGTGAGCGACAGGAGCCGGGTGAACAGCCTTAGGAGCAGCCTTGGTAGACTTCTTAACGCCTCCGACGGAGGGCTTCTTGGTGGCAGCGCGCCGGGAACCACGGCGGCGAGCGGTCTGGCGACGACTGCCGACGAGATCGTCAAGAGACTTGTCGAGGTTGGCAGACATGATTGTGATTATGATGAAATGCAAAGCTGGCGATTTGCAGAGGTAACAGATAACGCGTCAAGATGCGACTTGATTTAAGGCGCGTTTGAGCAAGTAGTTGAGATTAAAGGGGAGTCTCAATGAGGATAAGGTAGTACTTGTAGAGTGATGATATTCGCGTTGAGAAGGATGAATCCTGTTGAAGAGGAAAGTGAGAGATGAGGAGAGAAGGGGGGATCCATTGTGAGGATGGCGCTAAGCCTCCTTTGGTATCCGATGTTTGCAAGTAGCAGGCGGTGAGTGGACGAGGCAAAATCGCAGCGGCTATTCGTGTGTTTGGGGGCGGGACTGATTATTCATTGATTGTATGACATCGCAAGTTCGTTTGTGCTCCAACATATTGATTCATTGTGCTAAATCAGCGACTCATTCAAATCTCTATTGTGCAGAAACAAAGCATATAAACGAAAATCGATTATGTAGGCCCAGCCTTGAAAAATAGACTATGGAAAGACAGCGCACCAACTCCGAACGCGATACATCGGTTCAATTGTCATCAAAATGAACGTCATTGACGCTCTATGTTTGCAGGATATTACTAGCTCTTGAGAGCTTCCAGTCGACCTCGCATCTGCTCGAGGGTGGCTTCTTGGTCTTCGAACTCCTCCTCGGGTTGTGAGGTTTCCGGTTCTGAGATCTTGTGAACAGGCGGGGCCGTAACAGGCTGTGCCTGAGAAAGCTTGCCCTGCAAAACTTCCTGGAGGATCTTCTCGATTTCCGAATCTGCTTCCTCCTCCTCGTCCTCGAAGATGGATGGGTCTGTAATGGCATCATCGACCATCTCTTCGATAATGCCTGCCCTGACAAGTTCAGAAGAGAGTTGATGCATGGTGGAGGATAGTTGAGGTAGTCGAACTAGAGTATTCACGTCCTTCATAATCCCCGTTGACTTCTGGAGGCTGCCTTGGATCTTGCGGGCAGAAAAAGCTTCGTTGACCTGCATCCCCACGCTTTGTAGTTGGGCTCGGCTAGTGTTAAGCCGAGTGGTCTGTTTCCGGATCCGCACAAGTTCCCTTGCAAAAACTTTGGCATCATTGGTAGCCTGTTTGGCCTGAGATGGGTTTCGCTGAGCACGTTTAGAGGCGTTGAGGATGTGTTGGCGGGTTTGGCTATCGCTGATTTTGAGACGGGCTAAATCGCGGTCGAGTTGACGTGTGTTTGTGCGTATTAAAGCGTTGCATTTTCTCATCTGATGGGATGGAGACTTGCGTTAGCGATATCTTCTAAGGACTCTTCGGTCACTGGGTCTGCCTACCTGGGCTTGCGGGTCGGGCCCAAAGAATACCGCCTTGAGAGTCTCCATTGTTTCTCTGTAGCGGTGAGAAAGATTTGAGGTATGCGCAAAGTACCAGCGATCAGATGCAAATGCAGAAGGAGAGTTTAACAATCAATAATGATCCCAAGACGAGATTCGATTGGCGATAAGGCTCAAGCCCGGTGCATCGTCCTGAAGATAGGCAGGGTAAGGCTAACTCGACCGCTCTTCCGTCGCAAGTTTCGGATCTCCAGTGGCAGAGAGGAAGGTTTTTTCTCAAATGCCAAATTCCCCAGGGCTGTACCTCTAGGTTTGGTCGGTGTTTTCGATACAACTATCACTGTTGCGGAGGCGACTTCACCCACCGGGAGCGGATAACATATCTTAGTCAGTTCTGATGTAATTCAACCCACATCGTTGATGCCTCAGGTTTTAATGAAGGAGGTTCTTCCACGAGGTTCTAGCACTTTATGCCTGCGTCTGGTGAGCTTCTCTAACATTTCTCCATCTTTCTTTAACCACAATTTCTATCTTCTTCCTTCCTCTCAGTATTTCTCTCAGCTATCTTTCCACACTTAATCGAATATGTCTCAGACCCTTACTCCCGAAGGTATGTTGTGAATGCTCTACTCCTTCCCCGCTCTCGAACGCGGGACTGCACATTTTGCATGAGATTTACTATGACGTTATCCCATGGTTGAGAATGCTTTCCAGCTCGAGCTATGCCAATTATGCAATTTCATATTGCTCTGAGATCAAAATGCTGATAAGCAGCTTTTTCTAGTGACATGGGCCCAGCGTTCATCCGACGAGGAGCCTGAGCGCAACTACCTCTACGTCAACATCAAGACCCCCGATGTTCCTAAGTCCGATGCTACACTTAGCATCACCGAGAAGAATGTTACCTTCAAAGGCCCCTCCAAGAAGGGCGTAACATACAGTGTCTCCCTGGACCTCTTTGCCGAGATCGACCCCGAGAACAGCAAGGTCAACCACACCGACCGCGAGGTCGAGCTCGTTCTCCGCAAGAAGGAGCTCAAGAGTGAATTCTGGCCCCGCCTTCTCGAGAGCAAGCAGAAGATGCACTTCTTGAAGACCGACTTCGACAAGGTATGCTTCTATCTTCCCAATTACGCGATGGGTGTTGACTAACCGGATACAGTGGGTGGATGAGGATGAGCAGGATGAGGCCGGTGAGGATGACTACGCGAACAACTTCGGCGGCTTTGGTGGTGAGGGCGGCGACCCCAACGCTGGTGCCGGTGGCCTCGGCAACATCGACTTCTCCAAGCTTGGCGGTATGCCCGGTATGGGTGGCGGTGCCGGTGGCATGCCCGACCTCAGCGCTCTGGCTGGTATGGCTGGTGGCATGCCCGGTGGCATGCCTGGTGCTGATGATGAGGGTGAGGAGGACGATGTAAGTTCTCAATGCTCATGTACCGAATTTCAAAGAAATATTGACTGACCGATCTTGACAGGACCTTCCCGAGCTCGAGGAGGCTGATGACACCAAGTCTTCCAAGATCCAGGAAGTTTCTTAAATGCGTGATGCTTGCTTTCTGCGAATTCCATGACGACCAGAAACGAAAAACCGGGTGCTTGAAGACGCCCACGGGATGGAGTGCCAAAGCTAGATTTGCTTAGGTTTCCAATCGTCCACTGACTGCAGGGCTATTTCGACCAAGCAGCATGGATTTCAGAGACCTTTATACATAGTAGATCTGTCTTATGGAAACATCCCAATGATTGATGAAGCGTGATGAATGGTCATTGCTTATTCAGTAGCCTACGTACCTGTGCCTTTCTGTAGTCCCTTTCTGTCGTCCTTGATCCAATCAAAATCGTAGAAGCCTCCCTCTTTTCAATCCGAGCCAAAATCATGAGAAATCCCATTGTTGTGTAAATTCAATACAAAGCTTCGCTGCTACAGTACATTGTGTCTGGAACAACTGGAAACAGCCGATCCTTAAATTAGTTGTATCGCTTTTCCGTGGGTGGTGGGTCTTCGACCACCCCTCCTCGGCTCGATTTCCTCGATTTTGTTAAATTGCGATTAGTAGCTTCCCGAAAAACTCGTCAACTGGTTAAATCTTTTTATACATAACAAAGTTGTAATCTCTTACTGGGGGCTTGGGAGTCGTAGATGTCTATAGCTGATGCCGAGTCCCAGACTTTCACATCCTGCTAAAATACTGAACTCAGGTTACTCGATGCCTCCCACTGATAATAGCCGCTTTGCGGTCTTTTTCTGCTTGGTGGATCTATCTCGTTGAAAACAACTAATGCCTGAAATGTGACGGGTGGTCATTGCTTAGTACTAGTAGCAATGTGGAGAGTAACATCACTGTCCAAGGAGCTTTCAGCTCATCAGATAATAGAAGCAGCTCACCGATGAGGACTCACAGATTTCTCGATGGCATAGGTTATCGAACAGCTATTTTGATTCTTATCTGACTTTCATATAAATAAGCTCATCTAAGACAGACCAGTCATTCGATGAAAGAGTCCTCCGCCTACATATATGTGCACGGCAAGTCAATGTAAAAAGGTCACATTCCATATTATTCACATTACATATGCATATCTTAACGTCGCACCGCCAAGAATTCCACCACAAATATTGGACGTCCCTTGCTTAAAACAAATGCTGTACAACGTAGGAATCAATAGCTAGCAAATCAGCAAAGCTTCCAAAGTCATAGCTTAGAACTAGGTGCTCCGTAACTGTTATCTTTTCTCTATGCAACTGGTCTACATATATAATAGCAATTGATCATCTAAACTCCTTACCTGTCTCACCCTGGGTGTACTGTAGACATCATGGTGGTACTTCTCCATGTCCTCAGATTGGCATTTGCCACATCAATTGTTTCTGCATGTTCTTCCTGCGAAGGAGGAGTGAAAACCTCAGTTTACCCCAGGTTTACTCGTCGCATGCAGCCTGAGTCTTTGGATACCACAACACAGCCAAAGGGTCCTCTGAATTGGGGAGAAATCAATTTCATTCACACAAGTGATTCCCACGGGTGGCTAGAAGGGCATATCAAAGAGCGCAATTACGGTGCCGACTGGGGCGACTTCGTGTCCTTTGTGAAGCATATGCAAGATAAAGCCGCAAACAAAAGCGTGGATCTCCTGCTCATTGATACTGGTGGGTCATCTCTATAACGAACTTCTGGGTTATTGTTAATGCAATATTCCGAGTGCAGGCGATTTGCATGATGGAAATGGTCTCAGCGATGCTACGGACCCCAACGGCAAGGTCACAAATCCTATCTTCGAAAATATTGACTACGACATCCTCACTCCTGGAAATCACGAGTTAGGTGCAGTAGACGTCGCATACGAAACTTTCACCAAGTTCGTGAAAGTGTATGGTGACAAGTACTTGACCAGCAACGTTGATATCTGCAAAAACTGCCAGAATGGCGAACCAGACGAAAAGGAATGGGTGTCTATGGGGAGCAGATCCCGATATTTCAAGACCAAGCAAGGCCTGAATATCATGGCGTTTGGTGTCATCCTCGATGCAACCAACAATAACAAAGACATGACAAGAATCCAGCCTGCTGCCGAAATGATACAGGAAGACTGGTTCAAAGATGCCGTCAATCGCCAGGACATTGATCTTTTTGTGCTCATTGGACATAACCCAGTCAAGCCTGGAATTCCTAAGAGCGAAAGCAGCTTCCCACTTCTGATGGAAACACTCAGAAAAATGCGGCCTGAGATTCCTGTGCAGGGATTCGGGGGTCATACACACCGTCGAGACTTTCACATCTACGACCCCATGTCCTCGGCAATAGAATCTGGCAAATACTGCGATACCGTGGGCTGGATCTCATTGGATGGCATCAAGTCTCAATCGGTCCAAAAAACTCCAGCAAGCCCTGAAACAGAAAATGTGTTGGTCAATAAGAGAGAAGTTGCGGAATCGACCGATTCGTCTTGCACCAAGACCAAAGCTTTCGATATGAAACTAACTCGTCGGTATCTGGATTGGAACCGCATCACTTTTGCCTACCATGCTACTGGATCCCAACATATATCGGACACCACTCACGGACAAGAAGTGACAAAAAGCATCACCGACGGTCGCCAAAGTCTCAATCTGACCTTTGTGTATGGGTGCGCGCCACAAACGTACTGTATATCATGCAAGCCATTCGGTGACCCGGGCAATATCTACACCTTGGTGCAAAGTGCTGCTGCCGCGACTGTGGTTGACCCAGATCGTTCCACGAAGTCGAGGATGATCATTATCAATCAAGGCGCTATCCGCTATGACCTAGTTCAGGGCCCATTCACCGTAGATGATTCCTATATCGTCTGCCCGTACACCAGCACCTTCAGATATTTCCCCGACGTTCCTTACTCGCTGGCCTCGAAAGTCCTCGATTATCTGAACAAACCGACATCCACCAAAAGATCCATGGCTGTGGATACCATTTCCAGTCAGATGCTTGGTTACGATGAGTGCGATAATCCCTCGCCTCACAGTGGGATTGATCTCCTCCAGCCAAAATCTCTCTTTCGTCGTGTACTTGATGCGGGAGACCCAACTCCGGGATATACGACATGCGACGACCTTGGTGATGATGGCGATGACACTCCGCACTCTGAAATTCCGGAGTACACTCAGCCAGCTCATGTTCAAGCTACCGCCGCGTTCCCGGTAGATGGTCTACCGGATACGGTGGACTTGATTTTCTCGGATTTCCTTGGTGGGAGGATCGCTGTGGCGTTGAATGCTGAACATCCCTCTAAAAACTACACGACGAACGATACTCGTCTTTATACCCCGGAGGATTTCACCACGAATAGTTTCATTCCCGCTTATGCCTCAATGACCTGGCAAGACAACATCAACAACTGTCCGATTGGATGATCAGCAAGGCACATTGAAGTCTATGGGCCCCAGGTGATTTATAGCTAGTATGGTCTAGTTCAGCTGGGTTGGGTCAAACCCTTTCGGCTGCTGAGTCCATGGGTCTGTTAGGGAAGGTGGGTAGACCACAGTAGCGAATTAGATAGGTAGCTTAGAATCATAATGCTTAATTTGCTTATATATCATTAATCTCTAGTAATCTTCTAGTTTTGTATCTTACATATTTTGTTATACTACTGAGATGGTTGTTTTTGGCATTGATTTACCGTCAATTGACGTGATGTGATTGATGTACGTATAGCCCTGTGTATTCTCTACATGTATGTATCTGATCTCTCAACATTCTTATTTTTCTCGCTTTTACTGGAACTACAACCTGAAGATGTTGTCATTACACCCTCCTTGGACATGTCCTGGAGTTAAAGTGGGACCCCATGATGAGTTAGCCTATTTAGGTTAGTGTTGGTAATATTTCAAGTGCATACCGGTTGAGAATGGGATCAACTCGTTCAACTTCTTGCAGGTATGTCAGTCTGTAATTAGCTTACAATTCAGCTAGTATTTATTTGGAATGGATATGTACATATGTATAGATCCACACCTCTAAAATTTTGTTCAAACAGGGTATCGCGACCTCAATTTAAACTCGCTTACTTATATGTGGAAGTCCAGATGGTATAAGTCTTTGAAATGTAGATTTACCGATCATTCCAAAGATACAAGATCCATTTTACTTTTCTTTTGCATTCAAAGATCCGCTAACGTCGAATGATTACTACTCGAAAAAAATTGTACATGAGGCCCTATTGTGGGTAGCCAAGGGCAAATATTAGTGGGCATATGACGCAAAGGGTATCGTGAAAGGCACATACATGCCCACTGAAACTCATCGCAAATTTGAGTAAATCATATTTGTCTGATAAAATTCAACTGTAAAACATACGTGCCTTTGAATATTTCGACTTCTTGTCAACTTTAATACAGGTGTTGAAGACGCACCGCCCAGACGAAATTCTGGGACCCGCACCCGTCATTGGCTAAAAAATATTGCCGTCACACACCCCTCGTTTTCGAGAGTCTACTTCTCTCTGCAACGACCCTGGCACTTTTCGCCAATACCTTGATATCGCCTTTTGCAAATATCCCTGCCATTCTTTCAGGTTGCATCAGCGGTTTTTCTTCAATTGCGTGTGAGCGACCGAGGCGCACCCTGGACAGGCGCATTTTCATATTTTCACAATTCGCGACGTCACGTCTGCCCAACCTCCACCATGCCTCCCAAGAAGACACAGAACGAGCCTAAGAAGAAGAAGCCCACCGTTGATGATAAGACTGTGAGTAATCCCGAAACCACAAGTCCTACCTCTCAACTCAGTACCCGTGTCTACCTGCTCAGATTCCAAGGCTTGATTTGCTTCGATACATCGATGTTTGACCTGAGTCTTCTCTTGAACATGATGCTAACCAAAATTGAACTAGTTCGGTCTCAAGAATAAGAAGGGAGGAGCGGCCAAACGACAGATTCAACAGCTGAACGCACAGGCTGCAAGCAACAAAAACCCAGAAGAGAAGAGAAAGGCCGCCGAGAAGGCGCAGCGTGAGGCTGAGAAGAAAGCCGCAGAACAAGCCAAAAAAGAAAATCTTGAGCTCTTCAAGCCTGTGCAGGTCCAGAAAGTTGCATTTGGTGTTGACCCAAAGACTGTGCTATGTATCTTCTTCAAGCAAGGTCACTGTGATAAGGGCCGGAAGTGCAAGTTCTCCCACGACCCCAATGTCGAGCGCAAGGCAGCCAAGAAGGATCTGTACACCGATTCGCGTGATGAGGGAGCCGAAGAGGAGGAAAAAAGGAAGAAGGATACCATGGATGACTGGGACGAGGAGAAACTTCGCAGTGTCGTTCTCAGCAAACACGGAAACCCGCGCACAACCACCGATAAGGTGTGCAAGTTCTTCATCGAGGCTGTGGAGAACCAGAAATATGGTTGGTTCTGGACTTGTCCCAATGGAGGAGACAAGTGTATGTACAAGCACAGCTTGCCACCAGGGTATGTCTTCCAGCCTTTAAGCTCACAATCTTTTCTTGTGCTAATATTTTGGGCAGATTCATTTTGAAGACCAAGGAGCAAAGAGCCGCCGAGAAGGCCATGAAGGACAAATCGCCATTGAGCACCCTCACTCTGGAAGACTGGCTGGATTCAGAGCGTCACAAGCTGACCGGCACCCTCACACCGGTCACCCCGGAGACATTCGCTGCGTGGAAGAAGGGTCGTCTGGACAAGAAGGCTGCCGAACTACAAGCACAGCAAGCCAAGGAGGCTACCGGTCGTACACTCTTCGAGAGTGGCAACTGGGCCGAGGAGGACAGCGAACCTGAGGAAGGAGAGGACGAGAATGGCACATGGAATTTGGCAGTCATGCGCAGGGAAACCGAGAGGTTGCGTGAGCAAAAGGAAGAAGAACGTCTACTCAAGCTCAACGGGGGAGTCCTACCCGAAAGCACACCTGAAGCTGTGGGTTGAGTACCCGCGCGCCTTCACGATATCAGATTCGTGGGCCCTCGAGATCCATTTCTGCCTGCGACATGGGACCTTTAACGTTTTCTTCCATGCTGCTATGCGGTCGGATCGCGATGTCAAGTGATCGCTGCAATGGCTTGCCTAAGCTGCTCGCTTTGTACGCAACCTTGCGCATCAACGAGGCCTCAGCTGGTCGCCTCGTTCTTTCCACCTCTGTACGTGTGTACTACAACTGCCATACGTAGAGGAAAAGTGCAAGGCTGACTGGCCACAGGGGCGCAAAGGCTTTGCGAGTCTTGTGTCCCATGTGATAGAAAAATCAACGGCCGAGATACCTTTTGATAGCACCTTTCTTTGTTGATAGCAAAAAGTTCGTTCGCTAGATGAACCTGATGCATTTCTTTCCTCTGTTTGAAATATCTCCCGTCGCTGCGCCGGTATCTTTGTGGCAGCAAGGGTTGTAGAATATATTGACATATGTACACTTCAGAACTGATGTTGTGAGTTAATGCATACGCTCACGAATGCAAGTACGATTTACAACAAGGCCTTCGCCCGTAGAAGCCTCTTCTCAAGCATCAACGCTACGATGTCTTCCGCAACACCGCGAGACAGCTCAAATCCACGACCTCCAGCACCATAACCATGGACGATATATCGGTCATCAGCGAGCTTCTCGGCCTCAATCCGCATTCCGCCCTCTCTAGCAGGCCGACGGCCAACAATATCGCGAATTACATCAAACTTCCCACCGCTCTCTGACGTGAAAGGGAACCACTTGGTCGCATTGGCTAGCAGCCGCTGCCTGGTCTCTGGAGATGGGTTCGGATCCCAGTTATTCAGCTCCTTCGTGCCCCCGATGATCGTCCCGCCATCAAGAGGACGCGGAATGCAGAACGACCATGACCCGTCTGTATTTTGACGTGTGATGGTCTGGGAGACGGGGTTACGAACGAGGCAGGTTTGACCTGAAGACGTCAGCACCAATCAACCCAAGTCCACAAACGAACACATACCCCTGATAATAAAAGACTTGAGGTCTTCAATCCCAGTCCCGGAGCAATTAACCACGGTCCTCACATTGGTAGCCAGACTAAACGCCTCCTTCAAGTTCGCCAGCGTATACTGTCTCACCTCACCTCCCTTCAAGACGAACTTCCGTAGTAAATGCGCACAGTAAACAGGTGAATTCACCACATACGTCCCATACTGCACGCCCCACTTTACGCCAGCAGGAAGCTCCTCTTTCTGCAGCGCCCGGAACCCATCTAGATGCGAGTACACATTCTGCACACTTTGCTTATCCAGATATTCTGGCGGTGGAGCCTCGAGGTGCTCGATACCCTGGACGAACTCGATCCCGGAACCCGGCTCATGGGCCGACACGTGCTTAAAAAAATCATAGGTTCTCTGCGCTTGGTTTGCTTCCTTAAGCGCCTGGGGCGATGATCCGGGTACGGGTCGGTAGTGTGCTCCGGCCCATGGCGAGGCATAGTTGACCGAAGTATCGGCGGGGAAGTCGCGGGCTACGAGGAGGATGGATTGCGTGAACTCAAGGTGATGTTGGATGCATAGCGCGGTCGAAAGACCGAGAACCCCTGCTCTTTTGGGTGGTCAGTTGGGATATTGGATTGGATTTGTTTTGCTTTTTCCCTCGTTGGTTGTCTATGAGGGTTTGCGGTGTTGGACTAACCCGATCACCACGATCGTTTCCCGTCCGGACATGGTTGATTTGAAGTGTCACAAGGTGAGTATAGAAAGAAATCTATAGGTTGACTCGAAAGTGGATAAGCACCTGAATACCAAACTATTGTATTTATGCAGCGCCGTAGACCAATTATCGGATAATTCAACGAGGTCAAGGTCAAGGGTCAATCCGGGGAAAGCGATAAGCCCCGCGATCAGATGATATGCGGTATCTGCGAGCTATGGCGATGTGTGATCATCTATTCCGAATATGGATGACCTTAAAAGCATTAATTGGCCTTGAGACCCTTAGAGTTATAAACTCTCTATAGACATTATCATCGTTGGAATTGGCAACAGACATCGGAATGCTGAAATGAATATGCTCCAATTCCAACCAATTTCGTACCCGGGTCTCCCGGCATTGATATGCTCGTCGCATTGAATATGTATGCATATTGTAGTTTTTAACCAAGACCAGTTCAAGAGACGGAATCGATCACCCAGTACGACGTAAAACGCCCAACCTATCTACTTGCCCAAGCTTGATTGGAAACCCTGTCGGCGTTACCTGTCCCCGATACTATCACAAAGGCCCAAGCTCCATTTGGGACGTTCGACGGTACCTTACTGTACAGGGATGACTGCATATTTTTAAATACACCGTCACATCACATAATTTCATGCTAGAGAGAGAGAGAGAGCGAGCGAAAGAAGTGTCAAGATCGTTCATTCATTAACGTGAAAAACTACAAGATTATAGTTCATAAACTGAAACTCGAACGGCCCTATCTGATTTGGGCAAAAGGGGATGACTCGTTATAGGTTCAATACTTATGTACAAAGTTGCCTAGGGATCCGTGGACTTCTCGAAGACTGAATAAGTTGCAGGGATTGGTTAAAGAGTGAGGTTGTAGGCGCCGGGGAATCAGTGTGATGACGGGTGATTGGTGGGCCGAAGTGATGAAAGCTGCAGCTAAACAACATCTGCACGGATCCCAATCACATTGCTGTCTCAGATCAGACGTTCGCTTTTGGTATCTTTTGGCTGATTTTTCACAGAGATTACCGAAAACCAAGAAAAAAATTGGACTGCAATAACAAAGGTGTAATTGTGGGGTTATGTTACTATATAAAGTTGGTATCTATAACTACAACGTTGTTATAACAACGAATGGCCCTGAGTGATCTACGTGCATGACACTAAAATCTAGCGGTTACAAGGGCTAGGATTACTTACTTCTTCACCTCTCAAACGGAGACCCCACTCAACTCCACGATGATGCCGATAGAACTCTGTGATTCGGGAGCTGCCTGCACTAATGCCAAATGGTTAACTTTCCTGCTCTCGGTTCTATATGCTCGTTGGTGCACTTCCCACAGGATAAACATGCCCACAGGACAAAAAAGCCACCAAAAAGGCTCGATCTTACCGTCTCCGCTAATCATACGTTGGATTTGATGGACTCATTCCCAGGTCAGGGCTGAGCGGTCCGCAACTCCCAAATCGGACAAATGTATGGTCAGTTAGGAAATGAAGCGCCTAGTACGTCCCCGAGCGCCAACCACTGGAATGATTCCGATCGACTGCCGATACTCCCCTCATTTTCTGACCCTCTCTTGGTTTTCGAATTTTTCTGTCCTACCGGAACGCGCCTGGCATCCTGGATCCACGGGCAGTGGCGCTGCCTCATATGTATATCGCATATAGATAGATAGCTTTGCGACTTGACCCCCGGTCTTATTTTTCTCTCATCATCCTCTCACAGTCAAGCCCCTCTGTCACGCTACTACATAGGATGTGATGAATTTGCAAACGAGTCATCTCATTCTCTTAGTAGCGGGTATTAAGCGTCACCCTTGAATCCAACTTTTATTATTTTATTTTTCCCGTCCCAACGGCTGCACCTTTTTGACACATTTCTGACATATATTCTTTTTTTTTCTTTTCTTTTTCCTCATATCCAATCTCACTCTTCACATTAATAGGGCTCAGATCGTCAAAATAGCTACCCTACTTTACTTCGGCCATACCCCTTGTCAGCCGCTAGTTCTCTCCATCGCTTCCCAAAAGTCCGGATGTGCCTTCATCTGCCCTAGAAGTCAATATTTCTTTGCCTTAGCTGGTATTCAGGGCTGTAGCCGATTGAGAACCTACCACGTTTTGCGTCGATCAGGTTAGTGATCCAATCATTTTCTTAAATATATCTTACCATTTTATTATTATTTGCTGGGGGTATGTCAATCTCAGGACTTTTGCCTGCTGATTTGTGCCCAACAGCAAGATCACCATATCAATTCCCCAACAAATGATTGCATGTACCGAAGAAGTGGTCGAATTGACGTGGAATAGGGGCTTGGTAATAGAACCAACACCCTCGAGGGCCGTCAAAGCAATGGCACCGCCAACATTTACTCCACTGCGTTTCGAGCCCTGCGCTTCAACAGCATCGTTTTTCCTATATGCCCAAGGATCGACGGTTTTATGCCTCCATCATGACACATTGGCAATTGAACGCAGATTCCAAAGCCACCGGGAAGAAATCGAGTTTATCTCAGTGGATAATGTTAGTGATCGGGGTGCGGGGAGATTCGCTGTCAGTTACGACGCAGGGAAAACGGCCATTGTTTGGGACATATTGAACGGAACCGAAATTGCTCGATTCACTTCAGGCGAAAGCCTGCGGATAGCTACATGGATGCGCAATGGCAATATTGCATTTGGTGAGATTACAATTTTGCTGACTCTTTAAGTGTTGTAATTAATGGCTGGTTGATATTTTAGGCAATGCCCAGGGCGAAGTAATCTTGTTCGAACCAAATGAATCAGACCATATTTCTGTGCGCACAATTTTCGACCCGATCACAGCTCTTGCTCCTGCTGCAGATAATCGCACTTTTGCAATTGGGTATGTTAAGGTGACACATTGAATGGCATGTCAGAGAAGCTAATAAGCATATGTCAGGTACCAAAATGGATCTATATTGATTGCTACTCTCTCTCCCCAGTTTCAATTTACTATTCTTCACACTTTACCCACTTCTCGTGAACCGTCCCCAATAATCTCCCTTGCATGGCACGCATCCTCATCGAAGCAGAAATCAGATATGCTAGCAACACAATCATCAAATGGAGATTTACGAGTTTGGAGTGTGGCAAAGCCTCCAGGGAAGGAGTCACCTCGTGTTATTAGGGTATTGAAACGTTCGGATTCGAATTTATCTGATCCGAAATGGATGGGATGGTCTAAGAACGGAAGGCTGGTACAATATTTGGATGGGTACATGGTATGTTCTAGGGCAAATGATCATTAACTGACATATTATATAGGGAAACATGGGCATGGGATGTTCGGACAAAGCACGTTACCTGCGAGCCAATTCCAACGATAAACGGCGTGCGAGGAATTGCAAACTATGGCTCTACAGCGACTTTATTCACACTCGGTCCTCAGAACTCAGTGCAGCAGTATGATGTGGACAAACCAGAAATGGTCGCAAATGTGCAACATCTTCCAGTTACTCCTCGACCTGACACAGCAGAAGGCAGTCGATCACGGAAAATTTCCCCGCGGCACTTACAAACTGCTCCTCATATTAGCGAAAAATCGAGCAGTGGTAGAAGCACGCCATTTGACCCAACCAGAATTGACAACATCCGGCAAGAGAAGACCATAAATAGCCCTGCTTCATCGAGAAGTCGAACAGAATCGGGCAGCTCGAAGGCCTCATCTGGGAAGTATGAAGAGGGGCGAATTCCGCCGCAAAATCATGATAGTCAGAGTGCAACTACATTTTCCATAACATCGGCTGGTCTGGACACACCACAGGCCTCTGCTTCTTTTGCTTACCCACCTTCCGTTTCAATCCCATCTGTCAGAAGCTCAAGGGCCGCATCACGATTGCGAAATGAGGTTCATCTTAGTCCAGCCGAGAAGAACGTTGTGGATCTTTTCCCATTTACCCGTGCTCGCTTGAACGACGTGCCCTACAAACAGCAACCATCCATGAACGAAGCCAGTCTTACATCTGATGATCTACGACGGCGGATGTTGAGCGTGGTCTTTGACTGGGATGGAAATATCGAAGATCTCATCACGGACGAACGTATGTGGTTCTCATTATGATCTTTTCCTAATATATATTGACAGTCACCGATTAGTGAGCCGCCACGCTGAAGGCAGTCAAAGCGCAATTCTCCTAACACAATGGCTTGGTGAGATAGATAGTGATGAAACGGCCTCTATGATCGGCCCTGGACAGGTAACGACATCGGACTGGATGATTCTTGCATTAAGTCAGATGAGTGGCCAAGCCCAGGCGAACAAGGTTGGACAGGCATTTGTGCAAAAGCTGCTTGAGATCGGAGACATACATACCTCTGCCGCTATTTTGCTCGGCCTCGGGGACATCAATGATGCAATTGAGGTCTACGTGTCTCGAAACCACTTCATGGAGGCTATACTGATGATATGTCTTTTTTTCCCGTCTGATTGGCAACGCCTGTCACATCTTGTTCGTCGTTGGGGGGAGCATGTTGTCACACATTCTCAAAAGCAGCTTGCGATTCGCTGTTTCATGTGCACCGGGGAGGAGCCATCCGAGCCATGGGCCTCCCCATCTGCCCAGCGAACAACTTTTGCGGATCAAACTAACGATTCAAATGCGAGGTTTCCGCCAACTCAGCGGAGGTCTCCATCCAGTCAGAAGATTAAGACGCCAACTTTGAAAGTGATTACTTCCTTCAATGACCAACCTAAGCTCGATGATCGCACACCAACAAACGCAATGGGAGTCACGCCAATTGCAGATTCCGCTCACCCTACATCTGCTTACCCTACCACGACTTTATCTCCAGGCGGCTTTGGATCATATAAATCGAATAACATTCAAAGTCTGAACCATGCAATGTCACGACCCAACCGCCGTCGTCTGCCTTCAATAGGAGAAACACCAGTGGATGTGCAACCTCCCATTTTCTCAAGGAAGTATTCTGACAATCGAAATGAGTACAATCAAAATGAGTACAGCTCAACTTCTGAGGCTGAAATGAGTGGGCAAGATTACAGTCAAGATGAAAAGGAGGACTACACCGGTCTCACTTTACCACCTGTGACACACAATCCGTACACTCCCCAAACTGCTTTCCGAGAAAAACCCACCAAAGGACTTCCCTCGCCGGCTGCCGGTGTGTTTGAGGCTCTCACAAACGATGACCACCGCAATGGATCCCGCGACCGAAAGCCAGATGGTCTTCAACTCGAATTATTGGAGGGTCAGCAAGAGCACCAGGGTCACTCAGATCTAATCCCTAGCGCCAAAAGCATCGCTTCAACAATCAACAGTTACTCATCGACCAGGAGCCCAAGTGTCAGTGGGCGAAGTATCGATCAATATATCAGTAGCTTAGACGAAGCAAATTATCATGCGCGGAAGTTACGTCCCGTTACCCCCGGCCGTGGAAGAAGAACCCCCACCTCTGAGGACAGAGCTGGAAAGAGTTCACGTATCCAGCACCAATCGCGTTCAGGGTCTCAGGGTGCTCGGGGTAGGAACGACCGTCGATATATCCAACCCGCGAAGCGCTCCCCTTCTTCGCCGGTTCCGATGTCTATGACACACGAAGAGCTAGCTCGATATGGCACTGCAGAACTTGAGAAGCCGATCGAGTCAAGCAACTCCAAGTCACGCACTAGAAGTTCAAGCAAGATGAGAAGGCCAGAATCCAGGAGCCGCCAGCGCTCTTCTAGTCGCCAAACAGCAAGCCGTGTTCCCATGGAAACACGCGATGCCTCGATTCGGGGCCGCAGCGATGAGAGACAACATCCCGGTGCTCGGTCACCTTCATCACCCCTTCCCATGTCACTTCCCATGACCCTCCCCACGGACGAATCCTCTCGGGATGTCAATAATCCTTTGAGACTTGTCGAGGGTAACCAAAAGAGATTGCGATCTCGCCACCGTAGTGCCAGTCGACGAGGCGTCGAGAGGGCCACAAGTACAAGAAGAGAAATGTCTCCTGAATCCAGACACAAACCATCGAAGAGTCTTTCTGTGATTCAGCCAGGGAGTTCGGCAGATTCATGGTCACAGAAACCAGAACCAGAGCGGTTGAGCAGCAAGGTCTTCGGTCAAGGAGACAGTTCTGATGCATTCTCCAATGGACAGCCAAGCTCAAGCGCCAGTTATTTCCATGACATCCTATCCCCAACAGTCTCGGTTATCAGCCTTGCAGAAACAAGGCGAAGAGAGTTTGCCGCGGCGGAACTGGAAGCCAGGAGATTGTCTCTTGCGCGCAAACAATCTTCACCGAACATTCCTTTCCCGGGTCAAGAAGCGCAGGGCATGGGTGAAAGTACCCCACCGTTTTCTAGTGGAAGTTTCGACTTCATAAGAGACCCATCGCGAAACATGTTTCCACAGAGCAAAACTCTTCCCAATTACCCCAGCAGCCCTGATTCGCGCCCCGGACTGCCTTCAAGATTCCCAGAAACTCCTCGTGCTATGCGCCATCCCAAGTATGGAAGCATGGGGCAAGATGAACAGCGACCTCCTTCTGTCCCGAATGTTCCCACAGACGACAGTCTTTTTCTTAGCAGTGCCCGCTATCAAAGCGATGCTGATAGAATCGGACGGTCCATGTCCGTCCCGGTACCAGAAGGGCAGCGACACGCCAATGCAATCACGCTGTCCCCCGATCTTCCCACGCATCCTCGATTTAATCCAGCCCTTCCTCGCAGTCGATCCAGTAGCCGAAATCGTAACATGGGTCACCGTCGTACCAGCTCAGGCGGCTATACTGGCTCTCCGAATCTCCAAGTGAGCATCGAAGAAACCATCGAGCATGCCATGCAGACAGGAGCTTCAGCACATTACGAGGACACTTCGCGTCCACCTATCATGCTTCCCGAGCTCCAGCACCTCAACAAACCTCCTCCTCCTCCCCCTCCCCCTCCGCTCCTTGCAACGCCTTTTTCGCACCGCGAGTCCTCCGCAACGATCGACATCGCCGTCGACAACAATGAGTTCGGTCGTCTTCTCCCTCGAGCCATGACCGCTGCTCCAGCCCTGAATGTTGGCAACGCAGACCGGCGTGCAGACCGGCGCAACTCAATCAACGAAAGCTTCTCGAACAAGCTGCGCAACTTGACTCGTATGCGCAGCAACAGTCGCAGCGTCGAGCCTGGGACGCAAAGCCGTGAGATCGAGATAGCTCCGTATGAGAGCTTGCAGCCGCATGTTGTTGGATCAGAATCCAACTACATTCTACCAAGTCAAAGCTACAATCCGCCAAATCCAAACTTTCTTTAGGGCCGGATAAGGGCTAGGAGAGCTTGTGACTGTGTTACTTCATTTTGCATACTTCTCTTTTTTTTAATCCATGTTCTGCACGATATCTTTCCTGTTCTGCTCTGATGTTTTTGTCATGAATTTGCAACGTCCAATCTCCACGCATTATGCCTTGCATCATGATTTTTTTTACTGCCCATTTTGCTTCACTCACCCCTACCCTGGGAATCATACCGTCTCGCTTCACTTTATTGATCATTGATATCTTTGCGTTTCATGTTAAACACCCTACATTCTGCGATCAACCCCCTCCCCAACTATTGTTACAACCCACAACTCGGAGTCAGTGGTTCTGAAACACTTCCTCTCTGTTAAATTTTCGAAACTGTAGAAGGCGAATTTTCTAATGGCGTCTTTGTTTTTGGCTCAATTTTTTTTGTATCGGGTCTGCCCTCCATACATAAACATATATGCCTGCGAAGGCTAATGACAACGTTTTCAATGGTTTTCGATGGTTTGATATTATTTTCTCAAATGCTAAAAATAAGTTTTAAAACTACAGTGGGGAGTGGTAGAAGATAGATTGACCTAACGTTTTCAAATCCGACAGTTCTGAAGGCATCACTCGGCTCAGACAGTTGATGCTAGCCGAGTAGATGCTCAAGATCCCCAGCGTCGGTTCCAAGATGATCGTTCGCTGCCAACATTTCGCTCCGCATCAATCATCTTATCAAAGTCCGCCTGTGCTTGATCCTTCTCACTTCGTGATTCGGATTCATGCCGTTCTTGGTCATTTCGGGAATCATTTCGGGAATATTCTGAATAGTTCAAATAAGGATTTTGTGATGGTTGAGAGACGCCATGTTGCTGAGGAGGTTGGGAGCGTCCTCCTGTATTTTGGCGTCTAATGCGGTCCCAAGCACTGCCGTTTGATGAACCGTCGATGTTGGTGTTCCGGTATTCAGGAGCCGTGGGACTTGCGTCATCTTCTTCCAAGAAATCTAGTGCCGATTTTTGTTCGCTCGCAGGTTGAGTTCCCCTGCCCCGTGCCCAGACTGGACCGCCGTTGGAAACAGGCTTGCGTGATTGATCAGGATTAGAATTGCTGCCAGACTGGGGTGTTTGCGAATTGTCATATTCCGAGTAGGAGTTTGGCGATGTGTATGAATCGTTGGGGTCCTGCTCGTAACTACCGCTGACATACCCTTCGGGCTGGCCAATCGCCTGTTTCATCTGGGTGCCAGTATCTTGCTCACCAGTGCGCGTAATTCGGAGACGCTCAGAAGCAGCCTGTAGCTTGCGTTTGCGTATATCTTCTGGATTTTGCTTGCCTGTTTCTTTGATGAATCTCTCCAGGCGCGGGTCGGCCAATGTACTTTTAGTTTCGACGAAGGCCGCATAAATGCTGGATACAATGCTACAAAAGCTGGTGGCGAAAATCATTCTGAACGTAGTCTGAAGAGCAACTTGCTTTAAAGAGGCCTGAGCAGTCGCTTGACGCATCGAATTCAAGATTGCCATTGGCGTTGGATTGCGCGGCCAGGCTGGCGACGAGCGTACATTAAAGTAGGTCCATGCACCTCCCATTAATGTGCCTATAGGTAGTCCGACTCGTGCGTGATAAAGCCCTCGTGATCCGTGTTCGACAATTGCGTCGAGTTCTTCTTGAGAAGGAGATCGTGCTGTCAACACGTAGTGGTTTTCCACTCGAGTTGTGATCATACCAGCAACTTTTCTCTTCCAGTTTGCGGTTCCAAGGAATCCAAAGTATAGCATGAACAAGCCTGGCTTCACGACTGTATCCGGTCTGAGTTGGAGCTTGTTGTATTTTGCGAGCGCGGGGTTGTGGCCGGGAAGAGTCTGGGGGGAGGCGTCTGTCGAGGAATTTCCATCGCTGTAAGGGCCTGCCCTTGGCGAGCCATCATCAGCGCTCATGGTGTAACAGGTAATCTCTTGTTGAGTAAGGTGAAAGCTCCGCCTTGCCAGATGCGAGTCCCGAGGTCCCAGCTCCTGATGACATCGTATGATGACTCATCACCATGCCTGGGAAATTAGGCAAACGATCCAACCGTGTAATTAGTAACTATTAGTAGGTCATGTAGTTATATGTTGTCTAGAAAGCCTGGTCATGCTCTTCAAGATGACTTTATTGTCCTATTTCCATAAAGCTTCTACTTTCCTTTTTGCTTTAGGACTCTTTTAACATTCTCTGAAATACCTACAAATTAGCTCACTTTAAATACTTGATATACACTCATATTGATAATTCAGAGGTGGGCAAGGTAAAAAAAGAAAAGCCTTAGTCAAGTACGTGGATGGTCTAGCAAAGTACCACGCTTTCTAGGCCTTTGATTGATACCTAGGTAGTGTCTTAATACAGACTTCTGGAAGAACCAGATCAATTTGCTACATCGGTTTAATTCTAATCGCCTAAACATAAAGCAATAACACGGCATCATGGTAGTAAGAAAAACCAATAATGGCTTATGATAAAGCATAACATTAGTGGACTAGAACCAGCTTCATTGCTTATCTTGCTGCTACAAGACTATGGATTTTTACCATTTCTCAATGTAAGGCCTCAAATCTAGCTCAAAGGCGAATGTAGTCCGCGGCTGCGTATGCAGATACCAATATGAGTCCGCAATCTTATAACGAGTGAGTAATTATGATCAATTAACGGGTAAAAATGGCATGACTTACAGCTTCAGGGCTCAATTTCGCATCCTCGTGCTCAAACACATACGCTTTGGTCCGAGGAATATCGATAACACCATCAATGATGGTATGGGCGACGTGGACACCCTGTGGTCCAAACTCACGAGCCAGTGACTGTGCCAATGCGCGTAATGCAAACTTTGCTGAGGCAAATGCAGCGAAGTTGGCTGAACCCTTTAGACTCGCAGTCGCGCCGGTGAAAATCAGAGTGGGTGGATATTCCGACAACTCGCGTCCTTGCAAAAGCAAAGGAATAGACCGCTGAGCAAAGTTAAACGCGCCTTGTCTAATTTTCAGACATTTGAAATCAGCAATCTTCACTCGGTCTTTTGCAATAGAGAACTTACGCTTGGGAGCCAAGTGCAGTAGAATAATCCGCTTCCGTTAGCTCGAGGAAAGGTTTTCGAACGAAGCCACCACCGGGGTTAAAGACAGCAGCAGCAACCTTGGAAGATGGATATTTCTCAGCAATCTTATCAAAGGCAGCGTTCACACTCTTCGAATCGGAAACATCGGCACTGATGCCAATGGCGTGGCCGCCGCTAGAATTGATTTCTTGGACAACTGCGTCATAATTGTTTGGGTTTCGAGCAAGTACTACAACAGAATATGACTTTGCAAACTTCCTAGCAATTGATGCACCCTGAATTATTCGTCAGCGGACTCCAACTAAACTTTATAGAATGCAGCAAGCGAGGCATGCAGGATGAAAACCATACCGTGCCAGGACCGACGCCTGCAATGATTGCGAGTGCCTTGGTTGCCATTGTTTATTTATGAGATAATGAAGGAAAATATTGTGATTTTCGAGTGGATGTGAGTGATATAAATACTACTATCGGCGTTGGAATCACGCCGAAGCTTAGAAATGCAATGGGGGATTGATCATCGCATCCGCAGATGATATCATCTGCAGATAATGAGATTGGTGTGTATCCCCGCAATTGTTGAAAAGGATATCGTGGAACATAATGAAGAGACTGACCTAATAATTAGCACAGATGAATAATCCTTTTATTGTATTCCCGACTTCGGAAATATACACATGGATGTATACTTCCATATTTCTGCCTCAGGCCGTTATCGATAAGATAACTAGTTAACAAAATTCCCAGCTTCAAATCTTCCAACTCTCCAACATCAAATCTAACCCACCAAAATGGCTGATGCAGACCCTTTACTGAGTGATTTGTGCTCCATATGGTATGTGGAATGGGTTTGAAAACATTGTTCACAACTCTGACTACTCCTGTTTTACAGCCATGTCAATCCCCCAAAATACCGATGTCCGCGCTGCTCAATACGCACCTGCTCTCTGCCCTGCACGCGGCGTCATAAGCTCTGGTCGCAATGCTCTGGGGTCCGCGATCCTGCTGCATACCTGAAGCGCAATGAGCTAGCCACTGCATCTGCGTTTGACCGCGATTTCAATTTCATCACTGGTATCGAGCGCACCCTCGAACGAGCGGAGAGAGAAGTCGACAACCGCGGTATCGAACTTGCACGGGGTGCTCAAGTAGATGACAACGGGGCTGAAGGCGAACAGGGTTCAGCTTGTGGGCGCAAGAGAAAGCACCTGAATCAGGGACTTGCCAAGGGCGAGGCTGGGTTTCTGCGTGGTGCTGAGGCTGGTGGTGTCAAGGTCATTCGGGCTCCAAAAGGAATGTCAAGAAACAAGCATAATGGATCGCGGTTGCACCCTAAGTAAGTTGCAGCTTTATCGCTTGCTGGGATTTTATGCTGACCGAATTTCCATTGCAGGCATAAGTGTCTTGCTTGGACGGTGGAGTGGATTACAGCCGATGGCCAGAAAACCATTCGAAATTCTGTTGTTGAGACATGCTCCGTAGCTGAAGCTTACGACCGATGCTGCCCACGTTCAAAAGACCAGGAGCCAGTTTCTGCGGCGGCTTACGACAAGTCAGAGAACAAGGATCGTTTAGATACCGCAAACAAGGATGCAGACAACGCCGCATATGCTGTGTCCCATGACCAGGCTGCAGGGGCAACCAAGGTGCCAGAAGCAAAGGCACCATATCCTTCCGCGCCACAATCGTCGGAAGCACTGGCACAGACATCCGCAGAAACATGCACCGAAGGGACTGATAAAATGCTAAACCAGAACATATCCCCCCACCGTGGTCTCTTCTTTTACATTCACCGTCCACGAACGACAACCAAAAAGCCAGTACTGGCTCCTCTCTTGCAATCTGCAACCTTGAAAAGCATCCTTCGCAACCGGACCGTACTCGAGTTTCCTACAATCTACGCACTCCCAGACCCGGCTGAAACACTACTTGCAGATCGAGAAAACTCACCATTTATTCTGGAAGAAGAGTATCTTCGAACAGCTGGACCGGAAGAAATGCAACAGTCTTCTGCGGCAAGCGATGATGAGAACGTCATAGCTGAAACTCAAACATTCCCCGACTCTTCAATCAATCTTCAAAATGTTGACGAGAGTAAAGTCTTGGAGGTGTTGAAACAGGACCTATTTGAACCGGTGCCGGACACTGGCTCTGTGGAATGATCTATATGAGAAGAAATATCGACATATGATGTTCAATTGAACACACCAAAGCAATGTACGATAATTTGATGTATAATATTCACTTGCAGGACTGTTCCATTGAATCTGCACATTGAGGCAAATGTTCTTTTTAGTACACAAACCCGCTATTTCACAGGGAAAGCGCAGTCGGTGCGACTTCCCGTCAAGTTTCCCATCGCTTGAGGTTCAATCCACTTCCCTCTGGATCATCTTTGGAACGTTGAGATTTTATTCAGAACACGGTCAACTATGAGAGTCGACATTTCATCCTTCGGGATCGCTGTGATCTACCTCAGCGTAGTTGTCTCCTCAATCTCGGTTGATAAAACAACACCGCTAAGACCGACCAAGAAACGTCCACGTGGATGCGATTGCTACACTGTCTCCGGGCCTGATCCCGGATATTTCCAGCACTACAAAATGTGGGACTTTCGGGCTGTCGATTTGAATAAGCATGCCCATCTCAATCTATCAGAACCCATGGAGGATGTCGGCGACGAATGGGATGATTACGACGATTGGAGTGATAGCGACGAAGCCAAGAACCAAGAAGAGGACTACGTGTCATCGGGAGCCCATGGCACACAATACCCTGACCCATCCTCATTGGTTTTCTTCAAAACCTCCTTCGAGAGAGACTGGAGCAGTCAAGCATGGGAACGCCCAGGCACACCTAAAGCCCCGGTGCTCATGATCAACTCGAAGAACAACATCTTTTTCACAAGAGACTATGAGCAAGACGATCCCCAGGCAACGTATCTTGTTCTACGTACCACCCGCCACGAAGACTACACATCCACAGCGGAGATAGAAACTCGTCTGCGTAACATCTACCGTTGTTCGCTACGTGTCCGGCTTCGTTTATTACCTGCCGACTTTGTCATGGCGCAACCACCTGAACGGAGAGAATGGTCGCCTCAGGCTCCTCAGCAGCATGCCACCGGAAATCTGAACAATGGGACACTTAGTAATAATCGAGCGATTCCGCTCCATGAGGGCCTCCCGCCGCCCGGAGCTTGTGCCGGGATTTTCACCTACCATAACCGAACATCTGAATCAGACATCGAGATCCTCACGCGGGACCCATCACATCGTGTCCACTACGCCAACCAGCCAGATTATGATTTCGAAAATGATCGAGTGATCCCCGGTGCGAGTACGATAGCTGATTTGCCTATCCCATGGACAAGATGGGCCACTCATCGCCTGGACTGGCTCTCGGATATTTCGCGGTGGTTCCTGAACGATCAAATTCTGGATGCTAAAACCTATCGGGTGCCAAGCTTACAGAGCATGATTGTTCTCAATCTTTGGAGTGACGGTGGACTGTGGACGGGCGACATGAAAATTGGCGAGAGTATTTACATGGGTATTGAGTACATCGAACTAATCTACAATCGGTCCTCGGATGCTTCCAAGTTTGCCAATGTGCCTGCTTCACAAAAGCATGGTGGCCAGCAAAATCCACACCCACCAAAAGGCACCACCATCAACAACGACAACTCGTCTATCCCTGACTGGCAGCAGGACAAGTGCAAGTCGGGTAGAGATGGGCGCGAGTGTAGGAAACAGAAGTTCTTGAACAGAAATCAAACTGAATTCTGCCAAAGACCCTGCAACATTGATGAGGTTTGATGTGGACTTCCTGGCCGAAGTTTCCTTTCTTTCTTTATTCTTATCAACTGGTTATTCTTTTATTTGTCTTTTGAAAGACTTTTGGCTATGCACGACTATTCTGTATGCTAAGTCCTGCACATATTGAATGAATGAAGTCATATAACCTCGATGCTATACAATATACATGCATGTATGTATTTATAGTTACTTGTTGAGAAAATAGACTCAAAGCCTGGACCCGATTCGCGGGGGGATAAGTGGGCCTGCGCCTTGGCTTCCTAAGAAGGTTTAGTCCAGGATGTATGAATTCAGATACAGATTTTCAGCTTGACAATCAGTTTCGGTCAACATCTTGCCATGTCGGAAGTAGTAGATCATGCCTCTGATTCATGTTGGACATGCCGTCGTCGTCGTGTGAAGTGTGATCGACTACTCCCTATATGCCACAAATGTTTAAACTCAGGGCACACCTGTCAAGGTTACGCCACCGAAAAACCCTTAAGATGGACCAATAGCGTGGCTAGTCGAGGTAAATTGATGGGCAAAACTGTGCCAAACGTTCACAATGGTCTATCGATTGGGAGGTTTCTTGTTGATCCCGCAGTTCAGGACCTTTCTCCAACCAAGCGAAGCTACATAACCTATTGTAAGCACTATTCATGCGCTGGATCGACATATCTTGGTGTACTAAAATTGCATTTAGTTGATCAACATTGCTCTGCAGAGAGTACGCTGTTCCAAACTATGCCAACAAACCCGTTCAAGGAATTCATGCGTCTGATTCCAGCAAGTGCCGGGCTTCTTCATACCATAATTTCGGTTGCCGCTTTGCACAAAGCCCAACGACAACATACATTACCTGACATCGACTCCTCTATTACTCCTCAACAAAAGTTCTTGACAGTATCTGCACCTATTCCCGAGTTCTACGATGCATTATTATACAAACAGCAAGCATTGTACCACCTCCGAAAGGAATTCTTGGACCCCAATGTCTGCAATCACGACGGAGCAATTGCTTCTATGTTAGTGTTTATCTGGCTTGAGCTCATGGATTCTGGACGAGATTCATGGAAATATCACCTAACTGCTCTGAGGGGAATTGTTCAAGCAGCCCTTGTCCCAACAGCAAACAGCGATGCAGGCTTCACGTCTACATATTGGAGCGGCTGTGAGTATTTTGAAATGATTTTCGCCAAGTACGTTTCCTTGTATTCTCACAGGCTCTACAATCTACGACAAAAACTTTGCTAACCAATCAGTTACGAAATTCTGGGCTCAACATTCGTCAAGCCTTCACAGCCATATCAGCCATTATTCACCACAATGTCAACGATGGATATCTTGAAGCTCTGTGAGTCCCAGACATGGGTTGGCTGTCCCGCAGAGCTTCTCCACTTGATATCACTGGTCAACACCATTCCTGAAAGTGACGAGCACTGCATTACGTTGAAGTCATATGTCGCTTCCCAACTACGGAGTTTCTCGCCTCATAGATGGTCAATTGCAAACTCCAATATTTCGCATATGATGCCCCGGTTTCACTTTGCCTGTGTCTATAAAGAGGCTATTGCTATCTATGTTTCTCAAGTTACGGCTAGGTGGACTGCAGAGCAATTTTCCGCGGTTTATGTGAAGACTCTGCTTGATTCAACTATTCAACATCTTTGCTCTATCAATCCCGGGGATCCCTTCTTCAAAGCGCTGGTGTGGCCTGCCTTTGTCATTGGTGCCGAGGCCAGGAATGAAGACCAAAGAAAAGCCATCTTGGAGGTTACTGGGCATTTGTGGACAGCCTGGAGAGCTGGCAATGTGCGAAATGCAGTACATGTGTTGAAAGAAATCTGGGCGCGGGGAGATCGTGAGAATTGGTCCACGCCGTGGATAGAATACCTATATGAATGGGGCGAGGATTGGATGTTTGTTTAATGTCACAGACATACATTTATTTCACTAATAAATCGATTATAAACAATCTTGGAATAGAACCCAGAACTCAACCAAGCTACGATAAATAGGTAAAGAAAACCTCCATATCCTCGACGTGGCGATATGCAGTGATCAGATAAATGGTCAATCAAATGAGTTGAAAATAGAGCATACGCAATACATTAGAATAAAAGTACATTGCTCCCATGTAAGCCCCAGTCGAGAAAGCTCAGGATACCGGCCAATGAAAAGAAACGCCTAAAGAAATGCACAAAAACACCAAAGATATGAGACCAGTCCGCTAGGAGGCTCTTCTTTGCATTAATAGAGTCGCCATCGTTGTGAAACTGTGGGGTATCATTCAAATTCATTGAAAACATCATGTAGAAACAGTGTACCAAGATAGAAGTTATGGCTCCGGTTTCTTCTTTTTTGGTCTTGTGTGTTCGCTTTGCGCGCCAAAATAAAACAATGAGGAATGGTGACCGAGAACGCCGTGATCATGACGATTGATGTGAGTAAAGGTGGATAGGATGCATGAGGTATGCGGGACAAACAAAGGTATGCGACTGGTGCTAATGTCCCATTGCGCCATTGCAACGAGGCGGATAGAAGAGAGACATGTTCCCAGAGCCACAGCGCAAATCGAGAGATGAAGGAGGTGTTGATGATTTTGAATAAATGGTTTTTTTTTCGTATTGATTCAAAGCAGCAATGTACCTGCTTTGTCCTGTGGGATGAAATCGCCACTAAGACCGCCATTCATGAGCTCGGCGACAATCTTCCGGCGAAGAAGCGGAGTCTGACCCGGGCCAAAGGCTGTTGGCTCAATGCCAATGGCGATTGCTTTGGCATTTGTGAGGAGAAACACTCCACAGTCGCTTCCATTGTCTTGTTGCGAGGAAACAGAAGTAAGCACGGTCCACTCTTTCTCGTTGTATTTCGGCCCAAGTTCCCCGCGGAGCCATTCTTTGATAGTCTTCACTTGGCGAGCGCCACGGGCGCCCAAGGAGTCAAAGTACTCAATGGTACGATCTACTGGCCGAACAAGCATGAGAGTCCAATGACTCGCCTCGTGAACAGGTACGAATACCGTATCAACATTGAGTAGGCCTTCGCCACCGATCTTAGCTCGGCTCGCCCACCGCCGCACGCCCTGGTATCCTTTATCACGGAGAGTCGAATAGAAAAAGGTGTTGAAGGAATGGAAGCGCGGCCGCTCATTGGGTCCAAGATTTCCATTCGATTGCCGAAGGTAGTGAATGATCAACATAAGGTAGGAATTGATTATTTCATCATTGAGCCAGGCCCCCGGACGAACACAAGTCGCAATATCTCGCTGGTACATATCATCTCCGGATAATGATGTGGCAACGACCTGGTTATTCTTGCTTTGCATGGCGTTTTGAACCCTTGCAAGCCATTCAGGTGAAAGCATGCGTACAGGCTGACCGCGCGGGACCACTCGAGATGGACGTTGACCGTCAAGCTCTCGAGCTAGTCTTTCCTTCTCTCGCTTCTCAAATGCTGGTGCATACCACGATGCGAGGCGGTTGGGTGGAATTGGCTTCGGGATGGGATCGAACAATCGTACAGCGGATACGGGCCCATGGGCAGTTCTTGCGAATTCTTGCGCTTGTTGCACCCACGGGTCGTCAATATCCATGCGATCATCTTGAAGACGCACAGAGGCTTTGGCTGGACTGAGCGATGGACTGCGCTTCTTGGGGGTCGGAGGAATTGGGGGACGTGACGGCCATCTGGGATGAAGATGTATACCAAGTTCCGTAAGAAGTGCAGGTTGTGCGCGAATATCTATATCCATGGGTTCCCACTCTTGAAGCAGAGTATCTGCTTGCTCGGTGGTTGCGCCATAAGGATCGATGGGCTTGAGGCTAGGGGACTCGGGAGGAGTTGATGGATAAGCTCCTGGGATTGGTAACTGGGAGTAATCTGTTTCTGGCCCGTAAGTAAGTATGCGCGACCGAGATTTGCGAATGGTTGGCCCATACCATCATGGACGTCAATGGGAAGCTTTGGAGGGCCGAAGGTATTTGAGATCTGGGGGGACGGCTTTGTGGGTTTAGAGGAAGAGGCGCTTCCCTTGTACCGAGGCCAACGAAAGAACCCCATGTTGACGCGACGCTGAGAAAATCTCCAGGTGGGAGCAAAAGATTCGGTGGGAGCGATCTACTCGTCCGATGACGCGCTTCAAACAAAGTGGGTGGCGGCAGGTAAACGGATGTTGAGGGTGTGATAATAGGAAAAAGAGCGTGTCAAGAACAAGGACAATTCAGAACCCATCCTTGATCATGACAGGATCTAGCTATCCGGGAACTCAAGATTGAATGATTGATCAAATCAAAAGTAGAAAGGTGATGTTTCCAACTCCTCGGCTCCAGGGCTACGCGATCGCTTACTAACCCAGAACTTCCCAGCCCATCTAATTTTTTGGTCTATACTACTCCGTACATATTTGGTTAATATGATTTCTTTGGAGGGAAAACAAAATTTGGAAGATTCTTTCTTTAATTTTTGTTTGTGAGATTCTCGGTGATTCAACTGATTCGTGCTTTGGTTTTCCATAGCTATAACCAGCCATCGCGTGAAACAACCTTTTAAAACAAAGAAAAGGCTTGATGAACAGAAGACATTGCTTTGGTGCTCTAGATAAACTTTTACATGCTCGATTTTTATGAGACTTTTGGCTTTCGCCATTCATTATTTTCCGTTTAGCAGTCATTGTGGACGGCCCTGCACTCTGTAAATGACGGTGTAGCAGACCGAGGATACACATATTGATACCGCTTTCAATGCTTATGTACATGGATAACGTAAATGATGTCACAGAGGTGACTTGTTTCAGACAGCCCGCTGAGTTGGAAGCAGGCGGAATGTGTTGGGATGATGAAAGAAAGGCAAGAGGTGAGTCGGAGGTGTATCAATATACTCATACGCCACGAGGGACTCCAAGGCCAATGAAGTCAAACAAAAGGGGTGCGACTTCGATAACAATCCACGGGATACCTATGTTGAAATCAACAAATGTTGTCATGTGAAAAAACAAATAGGGCGAGCGCATACCAGCATAGACAACCAGCTTGGTCACAACCTCGACGTCGTACCGCACGCGAGGTTTCTTGATCTGAGAGAAAACTTCTTTCTCATCCCGCTTCCCAGCCTCAAAGTCAAGGGAGGGAAAGGGCGTTGTTGGCTCGTTGGAGTTGACTTCCAAGGCAGACGAACTGGGACTACCTCTTCCCATCATGCCTTCGTATTCATCAAGTGTTGTGTTTTTCCTGAACAACCCAGAAGTTCCGTTGGGCTTGTTCTCGCCTTCTGCAACTGGAGAGGCGCGATTGCCTCCGGATTGGCTTTCGCGCCGGCGCTTCTCTCGATACGCCAGGGTCTCATACGCATCAGCTTCTGATTGTGGGCCCACGGAAATGGCTCGACGGCGGGGGTGGCGCATTGTGGCCATGATGTTGGGGATATCAGAGAAGTTGGGGAGGACGTCGTGGTCCTTCAAGTTAGTTGGAACAGTGGTGTATTTCCTGATCGAGTTAGATTTATCGCCGCACTCTACCAAAGGCTCAAAACTTACGAAGCAGTAGTGAAAAAGCGTCGGGGCAAAAGAAGACCAAGCTTCTCCAGGGTCCGGAAAATAGGTGGTAGAATGCGCAGGAGAGCCGGTTTCATCACAGTTCTCCATGCGAAGATACACAACACACCCAAGACCAAGCGTATGACCGTTTTGATCCATCCTATTGTCTCGAGGTCATAGGGAATCGATCCAGCGGGGTATCCATCCCAAATATCAGCAAAATGCCATGAAGAGACATCGACGCCCAGCATGACTCCAGCGAACGCGACACTATCGTCGAAACATGGGCAGTCATCGGCTGGCTCAGGATGAACCCGTACAAGGGTTATGATCAGTATCGCAAGTAGGGAAATATCTTTCGGTGAAGCGGAAATGATGAACTCCTCAATGGCAGGTCCATATTTAAACTGCACGAGGCCGATTGCCGCGCCCATCGCACATCCAACGGTGCAGTCCAACATTCCATGCATTCCACAATACAGTCGACCCAACACGATTGATACAACATAGATGTAGGTGACAGCTTGGAGAAGGAGCGTGACCTGCGCACTGAGAGTCGACTCGGGTGAGCTGAGCAAAGCCAAAGCATATACGGCAACTGAGACCGCATTTGTGGAGTGCGTCGAAGGAAATCCATATTCGAGTGCTGCAGATCCGGACATGGTGATGCGCTGGAGCGGCGGAGAGAGAGGCCGGGGGAGACATAGCAAGTCCTTTAGGAAACCACTCCAAAAGACGCCCGAAGCCAAAATGTGTACCAATCTGCGCGCAATTGCTGTCAGCCACAAACTGCGACTCCCAATTCCATTTCAAAAAAGAACACATACGCACGACCCATGCTCGGAGAACCGCACCAGAAGAGGAAAGGCAAGAAGACCATGAAGAAAGTATGAGTGCCGAGGTTCGCGGTGAAAGCAAAGTAAGAATCGAGAGTTGGTGTGCGCACTTTCTCCTGCACCCAAGCTAGGTACGGGGTTTCATATCGAATCAATGGGATGAGCTTTTGTCGGGGCCAATACCGCCAGAGGGGCAATCGATTCGAGTCTATGTCGCGAACGCGCGGTGGTCAGCGGACATGCAGAGAATAAGCCACGAATAACCAAGCAGGGACAAGACAAGTCGCATACAATGATTCAAGCTCTTCAAGCCAGCATCGGGCTGGTCCGTTTTGCTCAAGCCCATCGTGTAGTGTTATCGATCCAGACTGTGCCGCAATCGGATTTATTCCATAGATAGACAGGCCGCTGCCTGCCGATCAGTTTGAGGAGTTGAATTTTATAGGTTTCAGAACATAAGGAGCGAATGAAAGTTGGATTGCATAAGGGAATGATATAAGTTCAAAAATGGCCATTCAAAGTTGACGAGATCATCCGCGGTTCAGACCCCTGATGCCTGGGGCCGGAATACAGATCTTAGTCAGCACACCGCCAGGACTACCCAGGCCATCAAATCAAAAACGTTCTATATAGATGCCAATGACTACACATAGGCGAGACTACTATAGTTAGATTAGACCAATGAGAAGTTTGAGTTTCGATACAATGAGTGCAGTGGCCTGTTTTTTCCACAGAGAGGTTATAAATAGGAAATCAGTCGGCGACATGCTGGGCTGCTTTCATACTATGATAAAGGTATAACATGTTCTATAGTTGCTTACTCTTTACTTAATGTTCGATGTCTAGCTAAATATATCACCCAACCGATGTCCTATGGGCAGAGAGAAGTACCTAAATGGCAAAAATGTGGGACATACCTAGGTATATAGAGGCAGACATTATAGCACACTGAATGCTTAATGCTGATGTTGATACTAAAGGCTATAGGGGATCTAAAACAATCACCAATGTACACAATGAACCCATTGCATTGTAAATATCCCTATCAGCATATGATAAAACCTACTAATATGAAATTGGCTAAGCACTTCCCCATTCCTCTCCCGAGGTCGTAATAATGTGATCTGGCGCGGCGTGAGAAGCAAACAGACAAAGGTCTCCCATATGCCCTCACTCAGGTGCTAGATGCTTTGGTGTGTTATAATAGGATGGATTCACTTTGAACTAGGGCTTAGCACGAGATATCGGCGTTGTCCGGTAATCTCCACAGATCTTTTTAGCGATAAAAATGGGGAATCATGGAAAAGGGCCCATAGCTGATAATACATGACACGCAGGATTAGTGCAGCCAAAGCCGCCGTTTTATATATACAACGTATATTTGCTTTTCACCGCTGAATTCCCAACTATGCATGGTGTGTAAGTCTAGGCAAATTTCAAAACGTTCCAACAACACTCAAAGACAACCTTATAGACCTTGAGATGTAAAAAACAGAAAAAGAACAACCAAAAAAAGAGGAGGAATACGCCGATCTACAATCACATGATATTTCCGTATGCGGTAAACTGTGTACAAAGTCGATCCGGCTCTGGCGAGCTGAACGGTGGAGTAGAGTAATATTTTAGCGGAGGGGAAAATGGACCAAGAAAAGAAACAGGATCGAAATAGCCGCTATCAGGGCGAAACTGACAGGATACCAAGGCTTTGATCGTGGAAAGCGGAGCCCTGGCGTCATAGAGACACGGCCGTTGCTATGACAGCAACGACGTAAACACGGGTCTCGCCCGGACGAATACCCTCAACTTTTACACTATCGTCGATCCTCTAGATCCTTTAGATCTGTCTTCCTCTCCTCTTTTCTTCACCTGATCCTTTTAATATCATTCACATTTCTTATTTGCAGACCTCCTTTCCCCCTGCATCACATTCATCACATTCGTCAAATTAGCGAGGAACCACATTCCACCATGAGTGCTATGTACGACGAACAAAACTATGCAGCTTCACGCCGCCGCTCTCTCGCAACCCCTCCTCCATCCTTGACACCCCGTCACAGCCGAGCACGCAGCGACAGTGTTCGAATCAGCCACGGCACCGCCAGCACCAATACCAGTGTTTCCAGCGGACGAATGTCAGAGGCAACAAATATCACTCAACCTCCCTCTTTCTCAAAAAAATTTGTAGTGGTGGGGGATGGTGGATGTGGAAAGACATGTTTGTTGATCAGCTATTCCCAAGGATACTTCCCAGAGGTAAGATTAGAATGTGGGACACGACACATCAAATCCTCAGTGCTGATTTATCTTCCAGAAATATGTCCCCACAGTGTTCGAGAACTACATCACCCAAACAACGCATCGGGCCACAGGAAAGACGGTCGAATTAGCGCTTTGGGATACTGCTGGACAGGAAGAATATGACCGTTTGCGTCCGCTGTCCTATCCCGAGACTGATCTTCTGTTCGTCTGCTTTGCTATCGATTGTCCCGCTTCATTGGAAAATGTTGTTGACAAGGTAAGCCATCATGTACCACTCAAAATTTTCTGATATATCTAACATTTCATCCTAGTGGTATCCCGAGGTGTTGCACTTTTGTCCCACCACACCGATTGTCCTTGTTGGATTGAAATCCGACTTACGCTCAAAGCGAACCTGCATTGAACTCCTCAAGACCCAGGGTTTGACACCTATTACACCGGAGCAGGGCGAGAACGTTGCCCAGAGAATGGGTGCAACCTATGCCGAATGCAGTAGCAAAGAGATGCGCGGTGTGGATGAAGTTTTCTCAAAGGCCGTTGATCAAGTCATTTCGATCGAGGAGCAAGGCTGGTCGGCCCAACAGGCCTCCGGCCGCAGTGGTCGCAATAGTCGCCACAATCGCACCAATACCGCTCCCTCTGGGAGCGCAGGTCCACGCCCCGGCAGGAAGGTCAAGAAGCGGACCTGCAAGATTCTGTAGATTGATTCTACTGGCATCTCCCCTGCTCTATTCTCGACCACCCTTTTACCTTCCATTCTCACTTGGCCGGACCACAAGCCTGGTTGCTTCGTCGGCTTGCTTGCCCGCGCGCCTCTGTATGTGACATGCCGCTGCAAGTTGAACAAAGCTGGACATGACATTCAAAACTTTTCCTGTTGTATCGATACGCTGCGCGAACCTTACAATGACTTCGGTGTTTCTTTTTGTTGGAGGCTGTTTCCTTTATTTTCACGTTTGATCCTTATCTTTTGGCTTCTTTTCATGACCCTTGTTCCTTTGTTTTAGTTGATGTCTCTCATGACTCGGGTCTTTGCCGTTTTTTCTTGGCATGCATGGGTCTGGTGTTCTCGTTTATGTGTGATATGTTCTGTTGGCGAAAGCGTCCTCCTATGTGTTACTGAAACAATACGTATGACTTTTGTGTTCAACAATGTTTTCCCGTAGGATCTGTAAAAAGTAAATTCTATCCTGGATGGTATCTAAGAGAAGTAAAACAGACGCCGAGACCCGTGATGCAGGCCAAAATCCAAACCATCACTGCATGACTGTCGAGTCACCCTCGTCCTCATGCTGTGCTTCCAATTTGATCGGCGCATCACTCTCTTCGCTAACCTTCCTTTTCACATTCCTGTTTTCCTCACTTTCTTCCTCGGCTCGACCCATAAAGTTCTCAAATTGGGACCAGAGGGCTTCCACAGAACCGAACTCATTACCCACCTGTCGATACTGTTAGTAGATATTATTTCTTGCCCATGTGCCTATGCTTACCGCGATGACACTCTCCAGATTTCGATTCAGACGGTTCATGTTTTGAAGCACCTGTTCCATGCCCTACTCAACTGAATTAGCATCATTCAGTCTATCCGCTGCCAAGATGATCAATCCACTAACCACTGCAATCTCTCTGACAAGTTCCTCGCGCTGCTGCTCGAAGACTGTTGGAGACGCGGCGCGCCTACCAGAGCCTGGGGTCGATTGAAGCCAAGCCATGGTTATTAGGGATTCAAAATCAAAGATTCAACTGGTGAATGAGTACGAATGGCTCGGCGAGTTCAGGGAATGTTACGCCAAGTCAGAAACGCTTCGCAGGTTTGATGCAGAGAGTTCTGCGGAAGCTTGACTTTGAAAATGACACTAGACTCGGCTTTGTGCAGGATGTCCAACCGCAGAGAGGTGATGTTGCAATGATACTCGTTCAATTTGTTGACGCGGGAGAGAAGTTGAAGTGGGGCAATTTGATGAGTGGATCTCTAGAGTATTCGCCAGTTGGCGCACAGGCATATATTTGCAACATCGTCAACAGATTATCATTGATTTATACGTTGGATTTAAGAGGTTCATCTGCCACGTCACCACCGTATATTGAGTAGCTTGGATAATTAGCGAGCAAATTGGAATTTTCCTAAACTTTACTTTCTGATCGGTCCATCTCTCTTGCATGAAACACAGTCACATACTTTCCTACATAGAGTGAAGGTTAAAAAAAAGGTACTAAAGCCAGGGATAGTGACCATGAATGAATTTATAGAGTACATCCAGAGTGAACTCCATCATATGAATCGTAATGAGACAGTGTGGTCTGGTGCCTCCACTAGCCAATTTTGGTAAAGCGACTCAACAGTGCGACTTGGTGAAACATGAATGATATGAGTACGCGAAAATAGCCGGGGGGCCTTTTTTGAGGTATCTGAGTCCGCCGATTGAGCCGCCCCAGGAGGCATTTCAATCTGGTGTAAATCTAGACTGTCTGACTGAATGACAGAAAGATGCATACTTCCGAAAAACAATGAACATGGCAACCCGGAAGACAGAAGTTAAATAAGCTCTCAAATAGCTGGAAATACTTAACAGATCAGTTTATAATGATTTCAGACGTTTTGCCAGTCCAGGAACGCGCGCTCGGCCATTGGGGCTGGGTAAGAACCGTCCTAGGCAATCGCCGTATTTTTCTCAGTAGATGTGTTCCACGCTTTCTCGCCAGATATAAATAAATCATCAATTTGCTCAAGGGTCAGTCCAGCTGTTTCTGGCACAAACAGAGCCACGGTAATTAAGACAACAATCGTCACTCCAAAATAAAAGTAGCCGACATTTACTCCCATATTACCGTAACTCGGGTTAAGCATATATGGAGTCCAAAAGCTAGCCGCAAAGCTAGCAATCATGTTAAAGCAGGTCGTATTGGCTTGGCCGTAAGTGCGGAGTCGAACGCTGTGCATCTCAGCAGAGGACAGCCAGGTGCTAGAACCAACGAACCCGCCAAATACAAATGCCCATAGGCAAAGGAACACAACAACGACGTTCTTCGCGATTGGATCTTCTGCCCCGAGACCTGTGCTAACGGATGACAGAATAAGCATGCAAGCTGCCATGAGGCTATAGCCTACCAGCATAGAGAACCTTCTCCCACCGTACTCCAGGGCATGTGGGCCTGCGCAGGCTCCTGCAAGAATACAAAGCCCGACAATTGCGTTGATGAGGTAAGGGTTCTTGATACCGACTCCACTGAGAAAAAGAGCCGCATAACCAGCAACAAATTGGATACCAGTTATAGGCAATCCAACGAGGGTCGTTGCGGAGATTACTGTTCGGCGAAGATTGGCGCCTCGGTAGATTTCCATCCAGGATGTGGTGGCACTGAGACTTTGTTCGAGATCAAGATGCCGTTGGACGTCCTCCATTTGCGCCGTCACTTCGACCGAATCTATCCCCAAGGATTTGAAAGCAGCAAAAGACCTGCGAGCCTCGTCTTCCTTTCTTTTCCAAAGTAGCCAACGCGGCGATTCAGGAAACATCATGGTCCCGAAACCAAGGATCAACGCGAGCGGGATCTGGCAAACGATGGGTGTTTTCCATTGCCAGTCACTGTCTGGACTCAGAGTCGCCGATCCAGCACATACCGCGGCTGCAGATACATTGCCCAAAGCCAAGCCAATGTTGAACATCCCAAGTAAGAGGCCGCGCTTGCTTGCGACAACACATTCTGAACCGTAAACCATGCTTGAGGTAAGAAGCTGCCCGATCCCCACGCCGCTGATGCTTTTGCAGACCATATAGTGGAGGAAGCTACCAGATGTTCCCAGCATTCCTGAGGCCCCTATGATACACAGAACGCAGGCCACTTGCATAGTTGTCTTGCGACCGAACTTATAACCGAGCAAGCCAGTTGTCGCGCTCCCAACCGCTTGAAAGAGTACCGTGACACTGATGAGTGATTGTTGCAGCGTAGTGAGGGTGCATTCTGTGGTCTTCCCTCCTAGAGAACCGTTTGTTGGATGGCAATGACCAAAGGCCGTTTGGAACGAGGGCATAATCAACACAATTCCTGCAAAGCCCTGGTCGAAGGATGCGATTAATACTGCGAAAGAGACCCATACAGAGAGTACAATCATTCTCCACGTGGCCTTCTCGGAGTCCGTGTGGGCGGCCATTGAGGTAGATGCATCATATACCATTTTGGAAAGCTGGCATAGAACCGACGACGGGTCAGATTAGCAGCGGTTCTACGGAGTGCTGTCCCATGAACTTGGGCACGAAGTTCAAGCATCACATTTGAAAAAAGAGTTGTCCGGGAGAGTTTTGCGATGGACATTGCGAAAGGAAGGGGTCTATGCAAGGGTGATCTCCTTGTTTGCTTTTTCATGAACGAGGTGCCCACAGTCAAGAATGTCGATAAGCGTATCTCTCGATATGAACACTGCTGGAGGCATATGATTTGTGTAGCATGAGGGAAAGGCCGTAGAGAGCCCGAGAATATGTTTGTTTCGCACAGGACAAACGATTATCGACAAATTCTACGTCGGTACATGTAGAAGCACCAAACAGGGCCACAGTGACAAAAAGTCGATAGGAAAACCATGGATGTTGTACAGGCTCGACTGTGACTCTGGGCTTTTGTTTCGCTCTTTACTTGTCTTTTCGCTTTCCTGTTATCTGGTTCCTAAGGTCAACTTCAACTTGAATAGGCAGTTGCTTCAATGTTTTCAAGATGTTTCAAGAGAAGGAGCGATGTAGAGGAGGAGTGTAAATCTCCCCTTCTTGTTGCTTTTCCTACCTCTCAACCTCTCTCTCACTTCTCTTCCCACATCCATAAGAACCACGACAAGGACTTGACCTCAACGGATTCATGTAATATCCATAACCATGTAAATTTAAAATCTCCAACGTAAGCAAACATCGCCCTTCACTTGTAACAAACATCACTGCTCTTCCCCTTCAACGAGCCCAGGAAGATACAAGAAGCGGGAGATATGGTCGGACCATAAATTGATTTCTTCCACCGTTTGATCTATTCTATTGATAGCACAATATTTAATATAACTGAAGATAGGGGAAAGCCTGCTGGTCAATGCGAGAATCCCGAGCAACAACAGCAAGATTGCTCTTTGCACCAACACTCTGCTCGGTTTGATCAGGTTTACCTTTCAATTCGTAGAGTACAACTTAAAAAAGTATCAAGACATTGTTCCAGCGCAGGCTGGAGCTATATTCTCGATATTGCTGTGTCTTTCACTGAGGCCCCCTCAATGCAGTGCATCTCCTAAAATTGGCATAGCAAATGGGCAAAAAGAAATCAAATATGAGAAGATGTTGATTGGACTGCCAAATGCACATCAAGAGATCTTTGGGAATATTCAATCGGACTGATTCAACCTGGACTGAAGATCTAAGATATTGACATTTGAATGGTGTCTATTGTGTGGAATGGACGAATTCTCAGTCCCGAAGTCTGTCCAACTTTCTATACAATTATCTTGAGACAGTCCTCTTTGAACTCCAACGGAGACCAATCTGAATACACAAGCATAGCTTCGTATACATTGTCCTACAAGCACAAGATACAATCTAGGCCCGAAGGTCGGAATGGTCCGGCGCAGGGACACACGGCGATACCTCGCCAAGCAACCAATCAAATCCTACCGCTACAGAGACTGTTTGTGCTAGGATCATAGCTCGAGATTAAAGATCATATCCCAGCTTCACCTACATGCGTTCCTGACCCCATTTCCGAAACCTTCCCAACCAAGCTCTAGTAATTCAGCGCCCAACCAAGGTCGTTACACAAACGTGCTAGTCCGAGGAACGACCCCTCTCCCAGGGTTCAGGGTCCACCGGTACCTTTGTACCTAAGCTTTACAAAATCTGGTAAGAACCGAAGGTACATATGTACACAGATGGATGGTAAATAGGACATCGGTAATAGAACGTAGTAGTCCAAGACCCCGCTTGGTTTCATGTTTGCCAGGTACAAGTTTGGGAACAAACAGTCGGGTGTAATATTGTTTTATTTGCAGTTACTTTGTGGGCAAAATTTATATTAGAGAGATGGTTCACTGCATTGTTGTGTATCGAGGACCAATGTTATGGCTACATAGCAAATTGAGCAGTGCCGAGAGATAGGTAGAAAAAAAACCGTCATGGAGTTCAAAATATGCAAGAGGACTGAATAGGAATACTATTATTATTGCTTGTTGGTCTCAGACCTTTCACGTTCAAGTTCATTTTTCGGAGATTTGGTTTCTATACATCTTGCCAGTATCTACTGGTCACATTCAAACTCGAATTCAATGTCAACCCTAATTCGAGAGTTTTTCAAATCTCAAGCCTTGTAGACAAGAAGAAAAAAAAAAGTTTGGCACATTCATCAAATCATCAAAGCGGGGCAATCATGTCCCCTTGTCAACCGGGCCAGCACGACCAATAGACCGAAAAACGGCCCCGGGCCAAACCCTAGATCACACCCAGATGCCCGAGGTAACATGGCCCACTCAATTCAATTCGTAACGTCGTTTTCATTCACAGTTCGAAAGTTCATGTCACCGCGCCAGGCACGCAACACAGGATCATAAGTCCGTCTCGTCGTGAACGTATCCGTAAATTTCATTGTTCATTTCACATCATGAGAATGTACTCGGCGGTCCAGGCCGCTCGGCGGCAATAGACACACAGAGTAGGGAGTATAGCCGAGCACAGGTGTATGTGCTAAGAGTTGCGACGGGGTTGCGCAAGGATATTGCTCAGACGCTTCCAACGCGGCGTTGGAGACATAGAGTTCGCACGCGACATAGACTTGTCCATTGGTTTTATGGAGGACTGTGTTGAGGAGCGGGGTCGGCTGCTAATTGCTTCGTGATCCGCGAGGACATCCTCAAGGCGGACGTCCGAGTCGGACATGTGTGTAGTGTCCTTTGGATCGAGGATCTCGATGAATTTGGATGGTGTATCACGCATTGTGTATGAACGAGTGTTGATGCACCGAGAAGCAGCGAGTGAACAGCTTTGTATGAAGTTTCAACGAACGAAAAAAAAAAAAAATAGTAGTTTGCTCTGAGGAGGTCACGAGGGTGTTCGTATGTAGATTCTGGCGCTAGATGAGACAGATAGTGCTGCAGGTCTAGACTGCAGACTTTGCGGGGGGCCTTAAATTAAGACGTTTCACGTTTTTCGAGCGAGAGAATAATATTTTGGACCGAGGTGAATAGTGTGAGTAGGTGGGATGGAAGGAGTTTTATGGGAAAACTCCAGTGCAAATGGAAATGAGTTCCGATCTGCGAGAGCAAATGGAGTTGTGATATGCGGAAAATTGTCCAGTCTGAATCCCTGTAGTGGAGCCCGAGTGAAGATCAGGGGAGAAAAGAAGAAGTGATTTGGTAGTCCAAGTATAAGATTCATCCATGGACTGAATATTGAAGATCAGCGTTGTGCTAGATATCGGAGAAATCGCCTTTTTTTAGATCTTTGTACGATCCCATGTATACGTACAAGATACGTAAGTACCGAAGAAAATTAATGAAGAGAATATAGAAATTATAAAAATCAAGATAATATACAGAAAAAAAATAATAGTAGGCAACCCCCCTTCCGTAGTTCTCCGTATAAGGCGTTTTGATAACAGGATCGAACCCCACAAGTTTTTCTCACGAGGGCGTACAGGAGGACCCCTTTTGGTAAAGATGTGACCTACTGGACTGGCTCGGGTTCTTGTGGTGGGTGCCAGCCTACGCAAAGGGGCGATGATCAGCAATTTCCTTTGGTGGCGTCCGACCGCTGACCATTGACTGTTAACTGTGAAGAACCCTCGATAAATGGGTTCGTACTAAATTCTCCCATATGGAGAAGCACTTGCGTGGCCCAAGCGATGGCCAACTGAGCATCTTTTGGCTTGATCATATGCTCTCTTTTCTCTTTTCTCCCCTCTTCTGTTTTGCTCTGCAGGGACCTTGACGCTTGGGACTCTGAAACTGGCTACGAGAGTCCGCTACTGGAGTTAGCTTACGATTGTGGATGCTTCCATCCATCCTTCGAACACCATGACGTCGGGGGCAGAAATCCTTACCCATGAGCTTTGATTGTTTGTTGTAGAAATGGAGCCCTGGCTCCAGGGGAGAGAGGGGGGTTCGTAAGCAAGGTGATCGACTCTGTACAATATGTGATGTACATATTTCGTTTTTCTATTAAAAGAACCGCCACCGCTTACGATCAATGTGTGTACAATATTGTATAATACATATGACAGGTAGGTATCGTCCACGTCCAGTACATAGATCAGCCACTTAATGTGCCACAAATACTAAAACCCCTCTTCTATTGATTGAGGCAAAGAAACACGATTCGTCAACATATAATAGCGAGACAAATTCTTGATAAGTCATTCAATAATAAAATCCAAAGCGAGGGTCTTCATCAGCGTACGTAGTCGAATTCGCCGCAATAGTTGCTCTGCACTGCCATGATGTCAAGCGGGACCGGCATAGACGTGCCGTACGACCACGGCCTCCACAAGGATCGAAATGCTCGTTCAAGTGGGGATGATGCCGGGGGTTCAATTTGATATCAGTGGTATTTACTTTGAACCCATACAGTATCATATTGGCTGTTCGCGATCCAATCGCCACAATCATGTTGTCTTGTCACTTGTTTATTGCGCAGGCGTACAGTACACGTCAATTCGGCAATTACACTGTTAAGGCGTGCTATAATTGCACATATCCCGGAAAGTCCTTTCGCCGATGCCTTCTGGTCAAATGAGGGAACAACCGATGTCGGATTGATTGATCGTCGCTGCGCCGCCATCGAGTCACACAGATACACTGGGGGTCCGCACTTGCGTGGATGGCGCAGCGGACTCAGTCAGCCTGGGCCTGGCAACAACCCAAAATGCCTCACTACGTATAGCAATATGGAACCAGGGGAAAGGCAGCAATTTGTCTCTCACAATCGTGCGAAAAGTAATTGATTCGATTTTGGCCAAGGGACGATGCACAGAAAAAACCACTTTGAAAAGCCATAAACCAAGAAACGCCTCGTGATAATTGAAAATGGTGAGCTAAACAAACCCCAGGTCCCAACAGATCGGACTCATCGCCTCGGTCTTCGGTGTCTATCTTTGCAGGGCTGAGCTCGCCAAACATGCCTAGGGAATCCCTGGGCGCAGGTTTTTGCATCTGCTGCCAACTCGTCCCAATGAGAAAATGACTTGACCGAACATATGACCGAATATATCGCTCCGAGCCTGCCAATCCAGGCACGAAGAATGTCAATCACCTCACACCCTCATGCATCGCAACTCCGCTCGAAATGGTGTGATGTATTATTTGTAGGCCATATCCGTCATCTCCACACTCTCGTTCGAACCCATATAGAGGATATTGTTGCATCTATTGAAAAGACGTTAGCAAATCTAGAGCCGGAACACACCGTGTGTGCAACATTGAGCCTCGGAGGCACAGCACATACCGAATCAGAACAAGACCAAGTGCGCCGGTGGGCTTCCCATCAATGAATTCCTCTGTGTTGCGCAGCAGCACGTTCATGTATGAATCAATGCTCTCAAGAGTACCCTTGTATTCGGTTTGGCCCCACTTGAGGCGGATAAGGACTTCGGTGCCGACGCTGTAGAATCAAGGAAGTTAGCAAGCTGCTCAGTATTGTGGCGGTAACGTAGAATGTGCCATAAACTAGATTCTGTGCTTTGGGGTTGCTTCACGGGGTCTAGTTGGGATTGGGGTGGGTCGCATACCGAGCCTGGAGGAACGGGCGGGGGTTAAGTGGTTGGAACTGTGGAATTGCAAGTTAGCGATTGATTCTCTGGGGATCGGACTCAGCATCTGGGTAGGATGAGCGATCTCTTGAAGCTTGACACCGGGGCGACGTACACTCATTGTGACTTTTTGTTTGCACTCAGGACCGAGTGGCGGGGTATTTATGTGGATTAGTGGGATAGTTGTCAAGAGTGAGCTCAGGAGCGGCTTTCACTTGATGATTTGATAGTGCTGGTCGCGTGGTGGCTGCGAGGATATCGGAGTCGGCGACATCGCGAAAATGTGAGCTGGACGGGCGGGGATGACCAACCAATGAACCGCCGTTCTGCTCACCGCCTTTGACAGCTTCTATAGCAATATGTTGAACTTACATTTATTTCACCAAGTCAAATCACTGTGTGAATATTGCGATTGGATTTTATTGAATCTATTTCGTTCACAGTTGCTCTGCGATCCACCAAAGCTGAATTTTAGAGATGAAATTTACTGCACAACTCGTTTTCCTCATCACTGATCCATGCTCCACATACATTCATAAGCTATCGCCAGTTAACAAACCCCAGTAGTAATACATCAAAAGAGCACCCTGTTATCATTGCATATTTGTTTAACAGCAATCATCCCGGCTCAACTTCTTTCGCCTTTCTTCTCGCATCAATCATTCTTAGATGGTTTTGGTAACAGATCAGTGTCCGACCATATTCAGCATACCGAGCCATCTAGCTCACATGGCATCACCATCGAGTTGCTGTCTAACGGCTAATGTTCCAGGTAATCTCCTTGATGCTAACTTCCTCGCTCTTCTTTTCATCGTAGTCATACCATTCACCCTCAAGCAAGTCAATGCCAGAGAAAGTGGTAGTAGAGTCAACACCCTTGGCTTCCCAGTCACCCTGGATTGATATGTCAGTACATGAAGCTGTATATCATGATTCAAGATTCACTCACATCAGGCTTGAACTCAATAAACTCAAGACCACGGCAGTCCATTTCGATGATGTTCATGGCCTTCTGCTTCTCCTGGGCCTCGTAGGCATTGGGCCCGTTGACAATTGAGGCAGTGTGAGTTTTCTGCGTGATTGTTAATCGTGTTACTAGAATGAGAAAGAGAAAACCATAGGAAGTTAGTCCCAAGAGGGACAGAAAGCAGAATAGGAATGCCATGAATAAGCGATATGGAAAAGCTAGCTTACCGTGCACAGGCGACACTTCCACACAAAGTTAGCCTCACCCCGACTGCCGGGTATCTCGTTCTCTTCCTGTGATCATTTGTTAGATGATTAGTTAAAATTAGTAAACCTAGATCACATACAAAGCGGTTGAAGCTGACCCAGTTAGGGTGAGTTTCACGGCATGAGGTACATTGCACTCTGAAAGTGTAGTAGTAAGGGTTCTCCTCGGTATCAGTAGGCTGGAGAGCGGTAACGCTGCATTCTCATATTAGCTCGTACATTCTTCGGCTTAGGTGAGCAACAGCATCTGCCCATGCGACACTCGTAAAATTGGAGTGCGGTGCAGGAAGACGTAGACAACAATCTGAATCAAGTAAAATAACGAAAAGGAAAAGACTCACCCCTCCAGCTGAGCTTCGATAGTAAGATAAGAGGGCATCTTGTGGTTTTGGATAGAAGTCAAGATAACTGGGTGGTATCAAAGTCAAGTTCTCAGATGCGGGGTGGAGATGCAAAATGTTTACACAACCTGACCGATGAAATTCACCAAATTCACCAAACAATCACTTACCATGGCAATTTTTCTTGATTGGTGTTTTGCTTGAAATGCTTGTTGAACTAAGGGAACCAACACAGATATTCCCCCTTTGCTCACACCACCCTATCTACCAATGTCTGAAAATGCATAATTAATGCCTTATGATGCCACATCAATCAGGCATCAATATATTTCAGCATAATAATTATATTCCTGCGCCCTTATATTCTGGCTCAGATAGCCAAAACAGAGAATTGCATTCGAAAACTCTCAATTGTTTCATTGAAATAACTAGGGCAGGGTGTAAGCTCGGTAGTGAAGTACCTTCTGGTACGTGTCTATCTGAAGCCCCAGAATAGGGGTTTTTTTGAAACAATTTAATAGTAGGAATAAAACTGTGTTGAAGAACTTCATGCCTAAAGCCTAGATCCAGCAAATCTATTCCTCGTGTTTGTCTCAAAAGTCCTTGCTCTGGATGTTCATAACAAAATGATCTGCTTGGATGTCAGAAGGGTAGAGACGATGGAAGCAAACGCGGCTGAGCAGTCCTGTTTCTTCCAGACTTGCTCCTGGAGTGAGAGAGGTATTTTCTATTGAGAAGACAGTAGTTCAGTGTCTATTTCATGGAGTACTATTGATTAAAAGCTGACCACACAGTGGCTTAGCCTGGAGCCTTGGCTATTATTATGATTATTATGATTATTATTGTTTATGTGTGTAGTTCCCTCCTTTATTTTTCCAAACTTCGAGTCAGCGACCGACTGCTCTCGCCATCGATCTCCAAATAATTTCTGGATGATATCTTTGAACCAAGATTAGACCCTCTCTTGCTATGAAGGGTCCCTTGCAGTTCGAAATCGGGTTCATTTGCTGATCTCTTTGGAAGTCCTTGCCATGACGGCCCACTTGATCCGACTGCCGATGCGGCATTATTGGACCTTTGCCTCTGTCCCTTGATGAGTCCATATAGGACAGGAGCGTTGGCGACGATAGCGGCAGCGAGCAGCTCAACGGACGCCCAAGTTGTTCTGTTTACTTGTGCAGTGGGATTCTTGGCGTTTTGAGGCAGTCTAGCGATGGTGATTGCGACGATAAAGAGGCCGACGCCGAAGAGGATCGCTAGCTGGAGCTTTCTATAGGAGATAATTTGTCAACGAGATGCAAACGGTGATATAGGTCGGGCCAAGCTTACTCAACAGTAGATCGTTTGACTAGAACCAAAATTGGGATCGGCAAGGCGATGAGCATAAGGTCGGTGATGACATTGAGGACACCTGAGGAATCAAAAGTGTTAGAGGTGATATGAAATTAAAGTGATCTTCATCACGGCAGACATACCGAGGACGATCAATTGAAGCTGTGCTTGGCAGCAGATGCCTGTATTGGTTAGAATCTATATATAAAAGAAAACGAAAGTGGGAAGGAACTACCAGGATCCGGCAATACGATCCAGTAATGGTTGAATGGATCGCACTCCGTGAATGTCACAACCTGTACGATTATATATGAGGCTGCAAATATACCAATATATAAGATCATCGTCATCTTTTCCCAGTGAAGATGCGTGAGCAGTCTGCGGTAGGTATCAAGCAGAACCAATTTTTGCAACCAGAGACTAAAAGAAATATGAGAAAAAGTGGCCAAATGACCCTGTATTGCATGTAAACCAACACGTACTAGGAATTATAGAACACTCGATTGGTGAGCACAAATTTGCTCGCGATCTCTCTGCGACGGATTTCCTCCGGAGTGAAATCGTGGGTATGCCTGAATTTGGTAGACATATTGTTGGTCCCCCAGATGAGAATAACATGGACCAAGGCGAGGCGTATGAGCGCACAGAGAATTGCACCCATTGCGAAATAATCGCCAAGGACGAACTTGAATCCTTTCAACTTCCGCATCAACAGCCGGAGGACGATCAACCCGATTGCCACCCAGGTAAACAACCAAAGAATGATGAGAGTGGACTCCATGGATTTTTGAGGTCTATGAGGGTCCAATTTGACAAAGGAAAAAGGGGAAAAGAGCGACAAAGAATAAGAATGAGACGTGGACGAACTAAGTCAAAAGGTCATGGCAGGAGAACTTTCCAACAACCAGTTCCAGGCACCTCGTGTTCTAGGCACCTCGTATTTCATAATAGAAAGAGATTCGAAGCCGAATTGAATCTAATTTACCAGCAATTAGCTTTTAGAGAAGAGACGCAAGCGGCTTTCAAGGTTCACTTGGCAAAGTCTAAGGTTAGTTACCCTGGTCTACATTATGACGGGTGGATATCCAGATTCCTTCTTGGCATCGGTTTTCATTGGTCAGAAGAGCCCCAATCGGCGCCCATTCGGCGCCGCAGCGACAGAAACCGGGGCTAGCAAGTAGCCCCGGGCCATTTCTTCCCGTTATACTCCGTCCTGTGGGGGTTAATCGACACCATTGAAGCCCAACGGAGCAAATTCGGCAAAACCACTACTGTTTTAATTAGGCAACCCTGCAATCTTACCCATAGTAGGTGCCCCTAGCATAATTTGATCTCTGATGAAACCTTGTTCTCATTCCATTCACCTCGGCCCATCTTCTTAGCAATATGTATGTCAAGACAGGGTTGTTGTTGATCGTCTGGGCGATCGTCGCGGTTTCAGGCTGGTGCACTGAGGTACCAGCCCAGCGATCGTACATGTATGTTGGAGGACAGTATATTCTGAATGAAGCTGGCCAGCATGTCTTCACAGATCAGATGTACGTGGAAAAACTCACTCCGGCCGCGGGTGTTACCAAGCCTCATCCAATTGTCTTCATCCATGGACAAGCTCAAACAGGCACTGTACGTATAATTAAAGCACACTTCTTTTCTCAACGATTAACAATAATGTTGGCAGAATTGGCTCAACAAGCCCGACGGAGGAAAAGGCTGGGCCTCCTACTTCCTGTCTGAGGGATATGCATGCTATATTATCGACCAAACCTTCCGTGGCCGCAGCGCCTGGTTCCCTGGCAATGGAACGTTGAGCACCTACAGCGCCGAAATCTTGCAGCAGCGCTTCACCGCGGCGAAGCGGTACAACCTCTGGCCGCAGGCGTCCCTGCACACCCAATGGAATGGCACGGGCGTGATGGGCGACACGGTTTTCGACACTTACTATTCCTCAACGGTCGAGTTCCTCAGTTCAGCAACCTACCAGCAGTCAACAGTCCAGGCCGCCGGCGCTGCCCTGCTCGACACCATCGGATCTCCAGTAATCCTCCTCTCCCACTCTCAGGGTGGACTTATGCCCTGGCTGATTGCGGACGTACGCCCGAATCTCGTCCACTCCATCGTTTCAATCGAGCCCACTGGCCCTCCCTTCCAGGAAGCCATCTTCAGCAACACCAGCTCGCGCGCCTACGGACTTACCGATATCCCCATGACCTACTCACCCGCCGTGACTAACCCGAACGAACTTGTGAAACACGTTATCCCTTCCAACTCATCCATGTATTCCGACTGCGTGATCCAGGCCGATTCTCCCGCACCGAGAAAGCTCGTCAATCTCGCCAAGGTGCCCGTCCTGGTCGTGACGACCGAATCATCTTACCACGCGCCGTACGACTGGTGCACAGTTCGGTTCTTGCAACAGGCAGGTGTTTCGGCTGAACATCTCAAACTGGCGGATATCGGCATCCATGGAAATGGACATTTAGTTTTCATGGAGAAGAATAGTTTGCACGTCGCTGCAGTTTTGCAGAAATGGATGGAGCGGAAGTGATTTGTGGGACTCAAATGTGGCCGACTCTAAGCAAGGCTAGAATCCCAAGACAACTTCCATCGCTACACTCACTACCTGGTCTGTCGAAGTACCTAGCTCCCTTGGAACGTGCTCAGAATTCGGGCCAAAGACTCTCGCCCTTTCAATTCAGATCATATTAGTCAGATCGGATATATTGGGAGTGTAATTGCTGTCATAGGGTTTGGGGGGACTCTTCCCCAGTCCTTGCTTTTTGGTGGGCTTCAGCACTGAGAGGCTATGTGGCAAAAGGCAAATTTGAAAAGGGACTTCACAGGATCTTACAAATGTATGTTACGAATTTTAGACATTGGCTTTAGATAGTCAATAATTTGAATTGAACTCTATTCCTATATAAATCAAAATGAACGCCAATCATGCTCAAGCTATCGCTCACCAAGAACGAACCAAACAAGCTATATACATCTTCAAGATAAATTACAGACCTCGGGACTCATAAACGTTTAACCAATCTCACAGGCGGCTCTGCTGAGAGTCTTGGCCCAGAGGCTTAGTGGAGAAAGAGTTAAAGAACTCATTGAGAGCGTCAACGGTGCCACTGCCCTCAACCAGCTGCACAGTGCAGGCAACATGGCTGTCAGGGCGGGTAACGACAACACCACCCTTCGCAGCATCGAAACCGAGCTTCTCGTGGGCTGCGAACTGCGCCTGGGGAACGCGCACATCGGGGATGTCATCGGCGTACAAGTGGTGGTGGTAGTCGCGCAGAACCTGGGGGATGGAGTCCACGTCGATGGTGTTCTTGGAGCCGGCGTAGATGACAGAGAGAGTGAAGAGCTTGGAGTGAGGGTTGTGGCGCTCGAAGAAGGACACATCGGCGATGTCAGAGCGGCGATACACGGAAAGGAACGAGCGCTCCTTCTCCAGGTTGGCGGCAAGATCGGCAATGGCCTTGCTGGTCTTGGACTGGTTGCCGGCGAAAATGAAGATGCGGAAGGATCCGTTGGCAGGAACTTCTTGTTCAAGCTCGACGAAGTTGGAATCTGCGAGACGAGTGACGGTGGTCGGCGTAAAGGCACGGCCGGGAGTCAGGTGGACACCGGGAACCTTGAACAGAGGGGACTGGGCGGCATGGCTCGCATCCCAGGTGAAAATGTTGGGCTTGTAAGCCACTCCATATCCGCTGGTGAATTCACAAGACGACTTGAAAGTCTTGACGAACTCGTCCTCTTCGCCAGCTCCGCCAACAGTGGCATGGCTAGCAGAACCAACCTCACCAGCAGACGGGCGGCGCTTGGAGAACAGGGCTGCGTACTTGGCATCGAAGTTGAGCAGGGTCTCGGCAATATCCTTGCGCTCACTCTCGTATGTGCTGAGGATGGAACGATTGGCAAACCCGCTCTCCACGGCATGGAGCTTCCAGGCCATGTTGAGTGCGTCGTGGAAAGCAGTGTTCATACCCTGGCCAGCCTTAGGCTTTGGGATTGTTAGCTTTAAATAAAGATACAAAAGGTATGGAGAATACTGACGCTGTGAGTATGGCAAGCATCACCACCCATGAACACCCGTTCATCAAGGGTGTACTTCTCGGCGATACCCTGTCCAATGGGGTAGACAGAGTACCACTCAACTCGATCCCACTCGATCCAGTATGGCTTCAAAATGTTCTTCGCAGTCTGTTGGACCTGCTCAGCAGTGGCTGTCTTGCGGGGGTTCCAATCGGCGTCGGTGGATGAGGCAATCTGAACGTAAAGGCGGACCATGTTGTCCTCGCGAGGGATGACCATGATTGAGCCAGCATCGGAATGGATAGTGCATTTCGTCTATGCATTAATCCGTTAGTTGAAATCCAGTAACATGGGTTGGATTGAGAGATCTTACCTCGATATCGGGGAAGTTAGTGCGCACGACACCATCCATGACACCCCAGACGTAGGCAATGGGATCCTTGTGGTGGATCTTAATATCAAGTTGCTCACGGACAAAGCTGCGAGCACCCTCGCCACTGAACAAATACTTGGAGCGCACGTTTTCGATCACGTTGGTGTCCAGGCACTTCAGGTTGACCTCGACGGGGTATTCGGCGTTAGCGCCGTCATTCTTGAAACCAACGATAGTCCACGGGCGCTCGACGGTTGTTCCAGCCTTTTCGATTTCATCCAAGAACACGCGCTCGATCTTGCCTTGGTGCACAAGGGTGGTGAATGGGTAGCGAGTATCAATGAATCGGGGGCAGCTAGGCCAGCTGCCAGTCCGGCCGATGCCAGAGCCATCAGCCTTGGGGTCCCAGAAGGCGACATCGTACACCTTGGCGGGTTCGTAGGCCATAATCGAGCGCTTCAGGCCAAGGTTACGCAGAATTTCAGTGGACCGGGGCTGGATACCGTCGGCGCGACCAGTAGCGGTTGGCACCGGTCGGTTGTCGATGTGCTTCACCTTGTAACCCCATCGTGACATGCACAAGGACAAGAGCAGACCAACAGGGCCGGCGCCCACAATGACGATATCATAGTTTTCTTGAACCATGCTGAGAGCTCAAAGCAAATATTATTTAAATGAAATGTATGAATGGTAGTTTGACTGAATGAGGATACCAGAGAATGGGTTGAATTAAAAAAGCAAAGTAAATCAGAGTATCACCCTGTACGATGGACAGAGAAAAAAAATAATGAGGGCCATGACTGTCTCTATATACTGTTCGGAAACTGGGGTAAGCGAACAGATTTGGTATCCAGCTGAAGTCACGGAGAACATTCACGGCATTCAAAGTCGGGTAAATCGTGGGGGAGCATCGGTTCGAGGGGTTGGAGTAACCAATCAGAGGTGTCATAGATGGAATTATGAACGATTAGTCAGGGTTAAAGTCTCAAACGCGTGTGGGGATTTGTGCATTGGGCATACAATGTCATAATGCCGTCGTTGATCTCCGTCTTCAGCCAGTGATTGACCAGTGGTGATTGAGTGGTGAGTTGAAAAAAGGATCTGCTTTGATTTCTCCACCCGGAAACAACTTCGGTAAGTGGAGTGGAGCACACGTGACCTCCACCTCGGCAGCCCTGCCCGGGATTTATACAAGAATTGTATGCAACTTTCTTTTTTTAATGTTATACGTTATATCCGTACTTCTTCAGAGCCGAGGATTGGTTCCCGTCTACCCCATTGGCTTTACTCTCCATACTTTCGGTCCTGCCGGGTTTCCGATCTTTCTTGCCTTATCCCCACTCCTAGGTACTTAACCTGGTACTTGCAAGGCGGAAAACCCGCGTTCTTGTACCATGTTGGAAAATTATCTGTGGTTAATTGTCCTCGGTCAAACTATGGCAAATTAATCGGCTTCACCCCCACATTCTGATATTACCATGTACATAGCTTCTTAGCAGGCAACTTCGATCTAGGATCTAACAATAATTGACATCAGTGGATTCAATAACATTGGAATACGTAACATTCAATTCAAAGAGAACATAAATCCATCACTTTAGGATCAACCTCTCATATCATTTTTATATGTCTTTGTACTGGTCTTGCCGTTCTTTGGGGTCTTTTCCTACCGCCCTTTCAATCGACTGTGCACAGCGGCTAAAAAACCCATGGAATACTCTTAATATTTCGTTTGAAATTAAGTTGTTCGCTCACTTTAGTCGATTGCTTCATTCCCGGATTCATTCGCCGTCTCCTTCCGCGTAGTATGTGGATGGATCTCCGATCAGTCCCCAAGAAACCCCCGGGACTCCACATCTAGGGCAGATTGGGAGTCGCCCCCGGGTAAGGTAAGCACATCCGTTTCGAATGCAGTAGAAGGTGTGCACCGGGGAAGTTTTTCTTACAAAGATATCTCCTACCACAGAAGAATGTGTGTTAGCAAAATACTTCAACTGAGTCATTAGGCAGGCACTAACCCTCAACTCAACTCAGCTTGATCGGCATGCTATCTTAATATGGCCTGGATTTAGGTGGTGTTTGGAGGATATATTTGAGTGGTTTTAGATGAGGAAAAAGCAGTCTTCAATGGCTAATGAAGAGAGGAAGGCTAAGAGCCAGAAAATAAAAGAATAACCTACCTAAGTATGGTCGCCTGATTATAAATAGCACGAATCATCCATGGATGAGCCAGATAGGTACATATCTCGGCTTTCTGTCAGTATTTTCTCACTTCTCTCTTACTGTTGCGTCATAGTTATTTAAAGTAATGAAACTCGGCCTGAGACATCATATGGTCGTGGCCACATGACCCAGGAGCCAGGTCTATTGTCTTCTCTCAGTCCAAGAATTAAGGGAGACTATTGGTGGAGCAAGCCAATGGTGATCATTGTTCTTACTTCAGTAGCATCCCGAACGAGCTAATGATAGCTCAACATCGAGATGTAAGCAGCGTGTCTGAATTACCTTGAGGCCAACCTTGGAACTGAATGACATCTAAATTTCATCTTTATCAGATATCAACTCATCAATAGTAGAACATATGTGTAACTGTTACGTACCATACAGATATAATTGAACCGAAGCAGCTGTCGATATTCAGTATTGAAAGTAGCACCTGTTGTGCCAAAGCTCATAAGCACAAAGCCCTCGGGCACATGTTTCACCGCTCCGAACTATATATCTGAACCTCAACAACAAATCCCAAGATACATAACTTGGGAAGGAGCCTTATAAGCAGACCATGCTGTTTCGTTACTTACATAGCCTAGATACTAACTATCATATAAAAATTTGATAGGTTTTTGGATATGAAATGAATTAAACGAGTAAATGGATTTCATTTTCTTTGTTTCCCTTGATTTCTTTGTTTCAAATTTCAAATTTCAACTTTTCATTGTGCATTGTTCATTGTTTCTTTGTTCACTTTACTAGTCTGATCTGGTCTGAGTCACCTCCTTTTTGAAGGAGACTTGATTGGCCCAACTCTATTGTTCCTCCCAAAGTAAGCCTTTTGGCCCTAAATCCTCATGCCCTGAATAGCTTCAATTCCACGACAATAGATATTGTTCTTTATAAACTATCCCATCGAGCAAAATTGAAACTTCTCCAAAAATTGCAGATCTGCTACGACGCTTCATGTTTCTATTTCTCCCTATCTTTTATCTGCTTCATCTTCATATCTTCGACTTGTTGTTTTTCTGCATAAAAAAACAAAGCGTAGATCCAATTTGTGCTTTCGAGATGTCTCCTGTTGTTTCAAAGATTGTCGGGAAGGGAGTTTCTCCATTGGGTCGAATTGACCGCCGACCCGGATTCCTTGAGCATCGGTCTGCTGCGATTGAGACCATCCGGTCTCCCCGGGCCGTCGTCAACCAGCCAAGAACAGTCGCAACTGGACCTAATAATCTCAGTTCCGACATGGAGAGATTTCTTCAACTGCTGGCACAGTATGATATCCAATGGATATCCCAGCCTGGGGTTGTCTCAAGTCTTCGCAGACTCGAAGAAGAGCGACGCCACGGTGGAGTTTCATCATCCGGTGGTCAAGACAATGCCCCGACTATCCCAACTGAGGATACCCTCAACGCATCTCTTGTGCGCCAATCCGAGTGGACTGGATATGATGGGAGCACCCACCGCCCTGTCTCCGACAATATCATTCCTACCTATTACACCATGGGTGTTGGTCCTGTGACTCGAGACGACAATGCTTCGGTGTACGAACAGGACGAGGAAGAATACTATGAATCGATTTACGACAATCTGTTCCGACCTGTTGAAACCCCTGCTGTTTCAGCAAACCTTGAGCACCAATCTACCGAAAGTGGTATTGACCGCCATTCCATTTCTCAAAGTGGCACTCCAGATTGTGACATCACTCATGCTCGTTTTCTCAATTCAAAGCTGGATCCAGAATACTGGGACTCGTTGTATGACAATTTGCTTCGAAATGTTCAACGTAATATTGATCACCTTGCGCGAAATGGCGCTCCGGACCGTCTCAATTCGGGCGTTCGTTCGGTGACAACAGACGGCGAGACTTCAGTTTTTGAACAAAGCAAGGAAAGCCACTATGTTTCGATTTATGCCAATTTGCACCAACCTGTTGAGCCCGTGGATGCTCCTGTGAAAGTCCGGGTTGAAGATTCCGAATGGGCCCCCCGAAAAAACCCCAACAAGTGGACTCCTCGTCATGATCCAGATTGTTATATCTGGCGTCACATGGATTTGAAACGATGGCGATGTGATGATCTTACCGGAGAATTCATTCGCATTCCTTCTGTCAGTCGCAGCCCCACTCACAGCCCCACGGGCTCAAAGCGGTCATGGAATGCGATGGAGGATGAGATTGATTCCAATTCTCCCCGTTCCAACCCCAAAGGAGAACCTCTTCAGGGTCAACCGAGTACGAAGACACAGAATACCGCTGGATTTGCGGTTCACAACACACCTCAGCATCATGTCACCATCCAGGAACAAGATACTTCCATGGCGCATCTCAGCCACGCTGCTTCTGTCGTTAATGATGATTTCGTTACCCGCGAGGACTTCATTCCTGACGAATACCTCAAGGTGCAACGCAATATCAAAAATTATGATCTCGAGAATAATTCCATTTCTGACGTCAATACCTTCGACTCTTCCAGCACTTTGATCGATGATGCTGATTCTTCGTTTGAGGATCTAGATGAAATGGAGGATGGTCACAAGCACAAGGACCTTTTCGGTAAGAATGGATTTCTCACACATGAGAGCAAAGCGGTAACAGTGATGAAGCGCCACAGCAGTCTCAAGGGAAACTGGGAAAGCTTTTGTGGCCGCTTCAAAAAAAGGGTTGATATCTGCCTTATAGCTCGGTTAAAGTATTTTGCTAATACACATTCTTCTGTAGCAGGAGGTAGCTATGTAGCAAAACCATCCCCTGTCAAAACCTTCTACTGCATTACAAACGGGTGTGCCTACCTTGCCCTGGGGCGACTCCCAATCTGCCCCGGATGTGGAGTTCCAGAGATTTCTCGTGGACAGTTCAAAGGTCCTTTGACGTACTACGCCGAATGAATATGACCTCGGAAGATGGAACACTTGATCAAGGCGAGCGAATAGTTAAAATTTTAAATGAAATTTTTTTTTTAATTGAATCCGAATTAAAATCTTCCGGGTGTATAGTCTTCAAGAACTCTTGTTTACAAAAAACCAGAAAAAGAAAGAAGTACAGTGGGGGCGACGTCATGATCACGGGTGTTGGTCACCGCTCTCTGATTTCCTCTGAACTTGATTTGAACTTCAATAATTGGACATATCTGCCTTGTATCACAAGATTGTGAGGATTTTGAGGGAACAATGATCCTCCCTAAATACCGAGGTGGAGATCAGTGAAGCCTGCTACGTTCGCAATGACGGGCCCGATCCACACCTACGGTCCAAGCTGCTTGCTAGTAGATGAGCCGCTTCTGACTGACTCTCAGTCATCTTTGCCAGAGATTCGGACACAGTTTTTCTACATATCATCACTGCCGATCGATGATCCACTCGCTCCTCTGCCGCCTCCTGCAAACCAGGCGGCCGGTACTGAGAGACTACCTCCCAAGCCATTTTCAGCCAGGGATAACATCGCCTTGGAAGAGGCTTGGCGCGATTTACGGGAAACGAGAAAGACCAAAAATGCTGCAAGCAACAAATTCAGGTCAAATACAGTGATCCGACCATCCGGGATAGCTGTACCTGGTCACGGTCCGGTATCAAATATTGAGCCTCACCACAATATAACCGGTCGAGATGAGTCTTCCCTGGTCGGCAGCAAGGGAAGCACTCTAAGCAACCCTCCTTTTTTCCCGGAAGAACTGCCCTCTCAAAGTCATCGGAGTCACATCGCTTTTGCTTCCAGTAGTGCTGGCATACAGGCACAAAATTTTACCAAGGATAAACATTCATGCTCTTCGTCAAACGATGGAGTGAAGAACGACACTGCTAAAGGCATTGATACTGACAGAAAACGGGCACGTTCTTCTTCAGTCACTGAGTCTAGCGCAACCAAGCGAAGAAGCAGCTCTCCGCCGGAGACCGATGATGTAGATGAAGCTGAAGAGGAGGTTGGAAGTCTCCGGGCTAATCGTTCTCGCGATGCAAGTATAAGTGGCTCTCCGTTCATACGAGCGCCGATATCTCAGTCCCAAACGCCTCTTGGTCACTCATTTGAGTCGGGATCATCGAAGGAAGGAGGTCAGGATTGGCATGCTGATGTTCGAACCAGTGCGCCTCGCAGTGCTCCAAAGCCTTCGGGTCTCAGAACAACTGTCAGCCTGGATCACTTAACACAGGATTCCCAAGATGAGAGGACTGAAGAGCCAAACTCAGAATCGAAAATCCCGGTGGGTGTCTCTCGGCTTCATTTAGTTGAATTGCCGAGTCTCAAGGTACGAGTGGCATCCACGTTCGGTTATTTGCTTTGCTAACGATCTGGCCAGATGAAACCAATTTACTGGAGTCCCCTTCAAGATATCTCAAACGTGGTACGAGCCACCTGGTTCTACAAAAATTCAATGTACCCCGTTGAGACAGAACTCGCGAACAAGTTGGAGGAGGGATATGCTTACCTCAAGCCATGGACCGACACTTGGCAAGATGAACTAAACAGTTGTGTGGATAACGGCGCTGATGCTGAGTTGAAGATTGTTCACCCCTTGTGGACAAAACAGTCCGCTTCTGGCACTCAGTCTGCAAGCACACAGGATGCTCAGAGGGGTGATACTCATTTAGATGAAGCTGCCGATACCGCGACATTCGATTGGAATCAAGCTGCTGGTGGCACCGCCGCTCATGCCGAAAATATCAAGGCATACCTCACATCCAGCGCCATTTACGTCAATGCAACCGAAGCCCAAGTGCTGCGACCCAGTTTACTACCCTCGGCCTCGAGGGGGCGACGACCTCTTGGTGCAATCAGGAAGGGTCGGCAGATCGGTATACCCGTGGTTCGGGGCTTTAGTAGGAAGTTGTGGGAACAACTTCACCCATCAAAGGCCAATCCTATCGATGTGCGCCACTACATCCGCCAAACGCAGTCTCAGAAAACCTCTGCGCCGGGTGAACAGGTATGCTATGCGTGCAAGATGGAAGAGTCACGACCGCCTCCCACAGACCTTGTCCTTGTCATTCATGGTATCGGACAAAAGCTTTCTGAAAGAATGGAAAGCTTCCATTTCACTCATGCTATCAATGCATTCCGACGAGAGGTGAATATGGAGCTCAATAACGAGCCTGTGTGGCCCCACGTGCGCAAAGATCATGGGGGGATTATGGTTCTCCCTGTTAATTGGCGCACAAAGCTATCACTAGATGATCCCGATGTTGAGTCCAGTATCGATGATCCAGGCAGCAACAACTTTTCTCTTGACGATATTACACCCCAAACTCTTCCAGCTATTCGATCCCTGATCAGCGATGTCATGCTTGACATTCCATACTATCTATCACACCACAAACCTAAGATGGTCAAGGCTGTGGTAAGAGAAGCGAACCGCGTGTATCGTCTTTGGTGTAAAAACAACCCAGGGTTCCAAGACCACGGGCGTGTTCATCTTATTGCTCATTCACTTGGAAGTGTTATGGCTGTCGACATCCTCAGTCAACAGCCAACACACGTTCCTCATTTCGATTTCTCCAACACGGCTTTGCATAACGACATCTTCGAGTTCGATACAAGACATCTGTTTCTCTGTGGAAGCCCAGCTGGGTTCTTCTTGCTTCTCAATAAAGGTATGTACCTAACATAACACCTCTAAGACATCTGCCTCTAAAATCTTTTACAGCTAGCCTTCTTCCCCGGAAGGGTAGAGATAAGCCAGGTGGTGATGGCGATGATTTACTTCGTGGAGTCGCCGGCGAAGCGGGACAATATGGCTGTCTGGCTGTGGATAATCTGTACAACATCATGCACACAACTGACCGTAAGTAAAGTATTACCAGATGTCCTGTTTTTTTATATTAACAAAACTCTTCAGCAATTGCGTACCGCGTCAACGCAGCAGTGGACTCAGAGCTCTCGAACACGCTCAAAATGGGCACCATCCCCAGTTCCACATCCTCCTTCTGGCAATCCTTTGGCAGTGTCTTCCGCTGGAGCTCCACGCCATCAACATTGCTAGCCTCTACGGTCCCTACTCGCCCCGCAGCAATCTCCAAGCTCCCATCCAATGTTGAGCTCGAGACGCACGACTTTACTCGCGAGGAGATCGCCGAGAAGCGCATGTTTTTGCTCAACGACAACGGCCAGATCGACTACTGCCTGTCTGGCGGTGGTGGCCCTCTAAATATCCAGTACCTCAATATGCTCAGTGCCCACAGTAGTTACTGGACTCTGGGTGACTTTGTGCGCTTTTTGGTTGTGGAGATTGCGAGGAAGCAGGGAAGAGATGGGACATTGCTTGCTTTTAGAGCCGAGAAGAAGAAGGGGTGGAAGTACTCGAAGGGGTGAATTAAGATTTTGTTTTTCAGGCGTTTAGCTAACAATTCGGGGTTGTGCGTAATAGTTGTCTAGAGATAGAGTACCATACTTGGTTGTAATATTTGAATACACAAAGATATCATGCTCAGTTCAGTTTGATTTAACTCGACCGAAAGGATAGCCCAAAATCAAATATGCACAGATCAGAACCAGAATGATAGGAAACTAAACAAGAGATTTTCAAAAGGACCAGTCTCCATCCGGACATAAATCGTAAATCATGTCTCTAACAACTGAGCCTGGTATCCGAACCATGCACATCCCCCATCAACAAAGCCTCAACAATCTCACCCTTAATGCAGACACCCCTTCCAGGTCGCAGCACCACCAGCGCATTCGCCTTAGCAAGACTCCCCACCTTGGAAGACCGCTGCCCCACGTCCTCAACGCCCGTACTCGTCGCATACAACCGGCCATCCGAGCGCGACGCCGTCACCACGGCACGATGGTATTCCGTACGCTTGTGATCAAGCGGGAAGTGATGTGTCAGGACGACAGCAACGCGCGGAAGACCGAGCTGCGGCGCAAGCCAAGGCTTAAATGCTAGGGCCTGTGAGCTATGGCCCAGGCCCGTGAGCTTGTGCAACGAGGGCAGGACGAATAGGTTAAGGGTGACGAGGGCCGAGGCCGGGTTACCGGGGAGAGAGAAGATGAGCTTTGATTGGCGCTCTTGTTGAGTGTCGTCGCCGGTTGGTTTAAAGGGGATTGTTGCGAAGGTGGTGGGCTTGCCGGGCTTCATGGAAACCCGGCCGAAGTGGATCGTTCCGCCGAGGGATCGTTCGATGGTCGGCTTGAGGAGATCGAGCTCGCCCATTGACACGCCGCCTGTTGTGATTATCACATCGACGCTGGCTGAGGCTCGGCCTACGCCGCGGAGAGAGTCGCGGAGAGCGTGCTCGAGCTCGCTTGCTGGTGTGTCTCGGGCGATACCTAGGTCGACTGTTTCGAAACCCCATGAGTTCAGACAGGAGATGATGGATGGGCGATTCGAGTCGCGGATTTGGCCGCCTGTGAGGGTTCGCGGATCGCTGTGCTCCACGAGCTCATCGCCTGTGCTTAGGACGCCTACGCGTGGTTTCCGGAAAATCTTGACGGTCTTGGTGCCGGTCGAAGCGAGTAGTCCTATCTCTCCGCCGACGGGGGTGATTAGGTCGCCGCTAGCAAGAATCTTGGACCCTAGCGTGACATCGCTGCCAGGCTCGCGGACATTCTCGCCGGGTTGGACATCTCCGGTGAGGATTTCGATTGTCGCTTCTTCTTTGCCATCAGGTGTGCACGAGTCCAATGTCGTGTCTTCGACCATGACTACAGCATTCGCGTTCGGGGGGAGAGGGGCACCAGTGGTGATTCTAGCAATGGTTCCCGGCTGCAAAGGCTGCAAGTTTCCGCCGACATTGGCGTGGGTGATAGATGCTACAGGGAAGATTCCCTTTGTGGAGGGACCAGTGGTGTTGGGTTCTGGTGCAATGACTGCGTATCCATCAACGGTACTAGCCCGATACGCCGGTACAGATTCTGCGGCATAGACGTCTTCCGCGACGACCGAGCCAATCAAGGAAGTGGTCACTGGAACTTCGACAACCTCTGGCTCCGGAGTATGCTCATTGATCAGGCGAAGTGCCTCCTCTACGGAAAGCATTGGGTACGGCGAGGAGCGGTAGCGCCGGTTAGGGCCTGCGCTTGGATCGTTGGACTGTGGCCTCTCTGACGGCGATGTGTGTGCTTTGGGAACCTTGTGTCCATGTCCATGATCATGGGCATGGTGATGGTGGTGATGATGGTGGTGCTGCTGATGATCACCAATACCAGCTTCTGATTCCAGCTTCTTGATACCTCCAGCATGAAGGTTCCGAGAATTGGCACCAGCGGCCTGTAAACAGGCATGCGGCAGAAGTCTTACAACGGCGTCGAGGTTCTCCATTGCTCCTTTAGGTGAGCCAGGTAAAGTAATTATCAAAGTTTTATCACGCACACCAGCAACCGGTCTAGCCATCATGGCAACTACAGGAAATCAGCCAAGTAAGTAAATATTCAGAAGGCGGCGCCATGAAAGCGCCCCTGATGTCACTCACAGGGAGTCACTTTCAAGGATGCAGCAATCATGCCGTGTCTTGAATTCTTGGTCAGTTCACTAGCGTCAATGCGGCAGCGCGGATCAAGTCGACTCACACTAGACCAGATGCATGGCGATGAATTAGGGGAGATACTGCCTAGTGATGTCATGAGCACAGGCAATTGACAAACAATTGATAGAATCACAGACTTCAGGGGTGTTATCCTTGATTGCGAACCCTGTTCCTCCGCTAAGAAGAATGAGGTTATACCAATCAGGACCATCACTCCAATCACAGACGGATCGCTGGATCTGGAGTACGTTATCCGGGACGATCTTGAATGCGGGGGTTTCCCACTGCCCCTCGGCGGCCAAAATCGGCGCAAGTGCATCCAAGACCTTGTCGGATGCGGGGTTCTCCGAGGCTGTGTCTGATACGATCAGGATTGCAGCTTTAAGCTTGGTGTCCATGATGTGCATAAGTCTGGGGAAGTGGATGTTGGTGTGGGGGGAGGAAGTTGTTTTTAAAGGGAAAAAACCTACATCGGACTATCGTCAAACTCCGACGCAACTCATTGTAGTCAGTACAATACCGACGTTTTAGGTGATGGTCCCAAAAAAACACTGAAAAATATACCTAAATTCATATACATCTACGCCGGATTCTAGGCCGCGCGACCATGGCCTTTGCTTTCCGCTTTAGTACTCACCCCTTACCGCTTTTTGGCTCACTGAGTAAAAGTGAGCACGCTCCTGATTATTACGTAAGCATTAAATTCGCTCAGTGCGGCATCATCCGATTATTCTCTATGCCAGATGAACTTGCTTACTGAGAGTGACCTGAGTATTCTAGCTTGCTCACTGAGGAGCCGGCCCTATGTAGCCAGGCCTGGCCCGGGTCTTTCCAACGTTTTAACGAAGACCAGGTTTCAGCTAGGCGCATTAAACGGACTGTATGGTACAAATGTACCATTATTGATATCCTGCCCTTTGCCTTGGTAGCGCCATCTGCTGATATATGACTCTGTCGTTCCAACGCCACCGTTACTGGTAGCATACACCCCAATGAGCGTGCCTGGAAATATGTCAGTAAGAAAACTTGGCACAGCTTAGAGAATGTGGTGGCTGGCATAAAGCGTTTTGGTAGCATGATTTAACTTCTGAGAACGGAGGCTCTTGTAGAATTGGAGAATTTTACCTGTGAATTCGCCATCCCCGCCGCTTAAAATCGTTGCAGGTGCTGTGCCCATCAGTACATGATTCCTAGGTTTTTTCGATGATGCGGCAGAGAGCGCGTAATGGGTCTCATTGACCGCCTCAATTTGTAAGCGTATAGGTGCATCTAGCCAACTCTCTGGCAATCTTTTGATAACAGTTGGCAAGGTTCCATTAAAGTTACCGTTCAGGGCGGGTACGTTAGTGACACGGAATCTTAAATGGGGGGCTAGCTCCACCTTGTCCTTCGGCCCGCAACTGCTCACAGGCAAGAGCACAATGCCCAAGTCAAGATGCTGTGTTTGCGTGAGGAAAGCCGTCACGCCGACCTCCTCCTCTTGTACATTCGGCTTAAATAAAACAATATCGACACTGAAGCTAAACAAGGTGTCTGTCTGCACACGCATGATAAGACTTAGTTCTTCTATCGTTGTAACCGGTGCGTTGGTCGTAAGATTTGACTTCGACGGACGTAGCCGAAGCGAATTGGGATGATCCTGAGGGGAGACCGCGAACGCGTCTGTCGGTGGAAATCGCCAGTATAGAAAATGTGGCGGGATCGCTGAGCCCGGAGGAAAGTCTATGATATCTGGATCCTGAACAAACGGTCCACTTCCTGGTACTGCTCTCGTTTGTGGGGGCAGCGGCCAGCCAGTCATTGAGCCACGGACGGGTTGTAGAACAGGCCATTCGCCTTCGTCCCATGTCACTGGAAATAAGACAGTCTCACGGCCCATTGGATAGTTTTCCCATAAAGGTCCAGATCTTGTGGCAAGGGCGGAGCCCCACCAATACCCAGACGCATCTTGAAAAAGATCTGCGTGGCCGACTGTCTGGAAATACTCAGTAGTGTTGGTGTTCGTAAGGATGGGATTCGCCGAGTAGCCTTCATACGGGCCCCATATATTCTTCGAACGGGCAATCGCTTCGTGGTGGTTCAGCTCTGTTCCACCTTCTGCAATCATAAGATAATAGTAGCCGTCTTTCTTGTACATTCGCGGCCCCTCCGGAATAAACTCAGTGAAGCCTTTCCATATGATGGTCGCTGGTCCAAGGGCACCCGTCTCAAGATTAATGGTTTGCTGATGGATGCCAGAGCACTGGATGTACGTCTTCCCATCATCATCCCAGAACAGGTTCGCATCAATGTCAACTAACGGAAATACTAACGGATCGCTCCATGCACTGTTGTTATATGGATCGCTAGTCGTGAAGATGAACCCGGTGACAGTAAATGGTGTTTCTGGGGTGTATGATACTATTGCGTAGAATTTACCATCGTGGTACCGAATGGTCGTTGCCCAGAGCCCCCCGTTTTGAACCGTTGTATTTCCAATCTGTGGAACTTGAGATGGTCTGGAAAACACATGACTAGACAACCGCCAATTTACCAAGTCCTTGCTGCTGTATATGGGCATTCCCGGAAAAGTGAGAAACGATGACGTGACACAGAAGAAGGACATGTGTTCCTCAGCCACGAAGATACAGCTTGGATCAGAGTGCCATCCCGGCAGCATGGGGTTCGTATATGACGAATTTCTGCCGATGGACAATGCCACGGCTGGCAGAATAGATGTTGCATTCAATATTATTCCTAGCAGGTGCATCTTGGTGGGAGTAAGGATCGAAACGGAGGTGAATGGAACAGGTCTCGTGGGGGCGCTTAGTGGGAAACCGATGAAGGCTATGCAGATAAAAGCCCAGCTTGTGAGGCATATGGGGGGGTTATATTGCTAGAGCGTACTGCAACGCCCTTACTTGCTCTGCTCTACGAGAAGAGGGTTTTATATTGATAAATCCAGCCCTAGAATCGTATGAACATCTGGATTCATCCTGATCTGCCTAAATGCAACAAGAAAACCTTGGAAGAGTAATTTCTAGTGCGGGGTAAACGCCGCTGTAAGTGAGCCGACGATTAGTCTACTGTCAGGCTCCATCCTGTGCGTTTGTGACGACTTAGTTCACATGAACAACTAGATTCAGCTTGCAATTTAGACAAACGTAGATGCGCAACGGGAAGATGATGCTACATATCGCGATGTATGTCACGAGTGATCAATATGGAGTCAATAAAATGGTCGTGCGAAAAGTCATATATATGTTGAAACAGAGGTCCCATTCGAACCAACTCAACACGAGAACCAGTCGAAGCCGGAGGAAGTGATAGAATTGTAGCTTTTCTTGAGCTCATTGGTCTAGTACCTTCCATGATGGATAAATATCTCCTGAATCCTGAATCTTGGGGAAGTTGCAAAGGAAGCGAGATTGTCCCTTCGTGCGATCCCCGCCGGAAATATCTCCACATAAATCAAGGACATATGCCCGGTGGAGAGTGGAGTCCCGTGAATCAGGTCGTGGAAATAGTCAGCCGGTTAAACAACGAATGGATAATCTAAGTCCTAATCTTGGAGCAAGGCGCAACATATCTGACTCAAGATGGGCCACGGAACCCCTTTCAAAGGGGGTGGGCTGTGAAATACTGGGCTTTTGACCAATCATAGATACTCCATTTCTTCTTCTGGAGCTTAGTACTCTGTCGCTGCCTTCTCGTTGGAGCACTTGCATCTATAGTATTTTCCTGTCACCCCGATGCGCCCTACTCATGCATTAGAGTTAGATCTGTAACTATAGTACTGAGTCATGACCCACAGAACCCCACAATGATACAACTCATATACACGTCCTACAACACCGTAGGAAAACTAATCGTTTGAGCGGCCCAGTCTGTCCCTGTTCTTAAACTTGAACTAAATGGTGACTCAAATATTCGATAGGAATGAATACAGGGGTTTTTCGGTCGTCTTTAAGTCATAATTAAGAAAGAGGCATGTATTGCTCACCGCAGCTCTGGGCAGGCCAATATTCCTCGACGGAGGGGACGAACCCCAAAATTCCCTAGGGGTTAGAGGATTGAACAACAAGGCATGTTTCTATCGAGACCCTATTTGGATTACGAACATCTTACTGTGGCTGTATAAGTCCTTTTCGGTTCCCCAGCAACTCTCAGTAGCGGCTTCATGCCAAGCCATTGACAGGCTCCAGCCATTTTGAGCGATTCCCAAGGACAAGCTAATAAAACTTGAGATTATGGGATTGATTTAGGTGCGAGAAACATCTGTGAGATTATTGCATGGAGGAGCTGCTATAGCTCCACTCAATATTCAAGTGACATAAAAGTGGGATAAAAACCATCGTTTGCGCCGCAGAATAATGATCGCCTTAACCATGAGCCATCAGAACCTGGAGAAAAAAAGCCCTACTCGAGAGGGATTCCCGGCCCCACCCTCCGTTGTTCCGCGGTTCGTTTGCAGCTAAACTTTGATGCCAACCAGGTAGATTGGTCTCTCGAAGAAAAATTGTTTCTCCTACTATGGGCAGACTGCTGGACTGGACACATCAGCAAAGGCACCGAGAAACTTGATAGGAAAATAGATGAAAGCTCCTTGGCAATCGCCCATGCGGCGTTATGTCGCACATCATTCCAAGCAAAAGTGATTAGACTGGATAAACCTATAATCGCTTGTTTAAATGGTAGGGGCGTTCTGCGAGTGGGCAATCGCTGGAGATGGGTGGGGCGAGGTTCAAAATCTGAACGGATCAACGCTTGGTAATTGGCTCAAAACATATCAGTACCATAAGTTGAGAATAAATAGGGTAAATAGAGAAGGGAGAGAAAGATAGAAGCCGCGCGGTTTGTGGAACCAGCTGTAATTATTTCACATTAACAGCGTCTGCGTTCCCCTCTTGAGCAGCGGTATAGGTCTAAGCTTATAGGTTTGTCGTTTCCCGCTTTTCAATTCCGGTTGCCCGCGACACATATGAAAAGCCATACGAATTGTCATTTGTCTTGAACAGCCTGGGCTACAAAACGAAGGAAGATCGGCATAGACCCGAGGTTACATCTTGCTCGTGGGGAGGCTAGTTATAAGTAGGCTGCATTACAATGTATTATTCTCGCTACATGATTTCCTCTGCAACTGCTTGTGCCTTTTCCTTTTCAGTTCTCACTTCTTGCCGCTTTTTGCTCACTGATCCACTGAGCACTCGGTGAGCTCGGGCAGTGGGGTCTGAGGGTTCTGCCGAAGCCGAACCTAACCTGACCCGCAGAGCTTACGTAGGCTCTTACCTTGCTTAGCTTCTTCACTCCAAAGTTTGGAGAGCCTCTTGCTAATGTCTCAGTAATCGTATGAACCAAGGCAATTGATTGATATGCCTGGAGATTAGCCTCACGGGATTGTCACCAACACCTCAAGAGCCTAACTGGGCAAGAATGCACTATAGAGCTACTCACATATTGTAAAACATTGTGAATTGTGAGACATGCACGACGGTAGCGAGCCCAGTGGCCCATTATATTACTTCTGGACCACTGTGGATGTTCGCGGGCATCTTGCACTTATGCTCTCCAAGTGGATAAATACCTCAGTTGCTCGGGTCAATCATCAGACCTGGACTAGTGACCTACTATCTAGGACGATGTGAGCTATTGTCGTCTGAAACGCAAAAGTATAAATGGGGAGGATGTATCTCTAGGTCAAATGGCTTTTCCTCTCCATCTTATAGCTTAACCATCGGGTCGCATTTCCCCTAATATTGATCTTCCATGGAAGTGAAGATCTTGCTAGCTGTGTTGCTTCTCGACATCTGTACTATCTTAATCCGAGTGTCATCGGGAAAATGGTCAACGCAGGCAAAATTGTCTCTTCTTTGTTCGCATTTGGCCTTGTTGGCCGATGTTGCGCGGACTACGACGGAACGAATCAGACAGTGACTTATCTTCCCATCGTCGAGGAATGGGACGGCGAGGGTTCTAACATGACCGTAACCTTTGATCTCGTCAACGCCGACTACGTGTGGCTATACAATGACACCAACACTCTTACCAAGCGCACTGGCATCGACACGGTCGTGGCAGCGGCGTCCGTCATCACCGCTGCAACCTCCGTCATCATCGCAGCCAACTCGGCCCTCAACATCTACGACTTCATTGCCGACGTAATCAAGAGCAAGTCAAATGCGAATTCTTGTACCATGACATACGGTACCGATAGCGACGGCACCTACTTCGAGGGTTACGCCTACGAAGCCACTACGACCGGTTCAAACTGCGACACTACAGCCGAAAAGAAGACCATCTTGGGGGCTGTAGAGAAGTGTGCCAACCGCCTGCACTCGCGCGGTGCCACTCGTGGCTGCTGCACTTTCTCTTATGGCGGCACTTGGACCGGCCACCTGCGTCTTACTGCCGAGCCGGTTAAATACCCAGTGACTTCGGTGACTTGTTAGGAGGCTTTGGTTTTGTGTATTCTATAAGTGACGGAGACATGTTAAGATACTATTGGAATATCATGGCTTTTATTGGTTTGAACTCATCTTCTGCATCTTGGAATACCCGACGCTGTCTGCTGGCTGGCCGGTCAATTGGAGAAGGCGAAGTGGGATGGTCCATTTTGGTCATTATAATGATATAGACCATAAGTCGTGCCGGAGAGCCATTTATAGATTGGGAAAAGGCACACTGAGCTGCTGTCGTATCCACCATTGTCCCCGGTCTGAAAATAGGCCGCACATTTAAAGAGCCAGTGAGTAGTTAAGTCAACTGTTGACGCTCGATCTTACCTGCCGCTCACCTTGAGCTTACTCACTTATATATGGCAATGAACAGATGAAGGCTTGAAAAAAAATATTGCAGAAACTATCTCCTAATGGTAGTTTGCATGGATGCTATACATCACATATAATTCGTTGAAGCTTTACCGTGACGTTACTACGAGTGCATACCATTTGAACCGTGGGTATGTATATGATTTGATTCCAAGTATTGATATGAACCGACTTTGAGAGCAGCCATTCTGGCATTGTATCACGAGAGCTACTTGAAGCGGATGTCGCTCGCTCTTATAGGCCACTTATCCTTCTCCCTGGTGATGGCATTCAAAACGTTTGACGAGTGTTGTGGTCTTTTATCCTCTTCCGAATGGCCCTCCGGATGCAGTCGTCCCTTGCGCAATCTAGAGAACTCCTCAGACTGCCACCTTTCTGCCTGTGATCCTAAAATAATTCATTGAGAACCGAGAGATGCCCACCCTTGGATGCCAACATCAAAGGGTCCTCCAGCCACCGATTCTTAAGGTTGACATCGATTTGGTCATGACGAAGTAAAATCCGGGCTAGCTCCAAATCACAACCACGGGCAGCAATGGAAAGCGCCGTGTCGTAGGATGTGATTGTGACTCTATTAATATTCAGATGTTCGCCTTATTGCACCAAAAGCTTGGCCACCTCACGGTGACCTCGTGCGGCAGCCCGACAAATAGGTAGATCTGTCAATCCCCGTCTATTGATTTCTACGCCCTTCACCTTCAACAGCATCGCGATCGTTTTGACGCGCCCGTGTGTAGCAACGACGGAAAGCGGTGACTGACCTGTAGCGCAAATGTTTACATTAAACCCTGGTGCCGTAAGTAGTCGCTGTAGAGTGACAGTGTCTAGTCTGGTCACGGCGTGGTGTAATGATATAGATGGTCTCGAATGTCTCCCGCGGCCCCCGCGAAATTGACATCGACGTCATTTTCGGCCAAGAGCCTCTCTGTTATTTCATTATAAGACGAGTAAGTAGACGGCTAGAGCGGCGTGTTACCGTCTGTGTCTCTGTAGTTCTCCGACTCCCCTCGTCGGATGCCGAGACACATTCCATTCACACGGCAAACGAATCTTCTCCCGATAGAGAATTCACCATGGCTGAAAATCCATCGCCAAGTGATTCTCGTCGGAGCCAGCCGAGTCAGCGGCCAGCGGGAACAGTGGGATCCCAAGAAGCATCAACCGAGCAGACTGTTCAACATGGCCCTCGGAGCTCAGCCAGACTGGCAGGAGCTCATCTGCCGCCAGACCCTTCTATTTCTACATCGCCTCGTCGTTCAACACGGCTGAATTCCACTCAGCGTAGGTGAACACAGCTTAAAGCGGAGGTATGACGGAATGGGAGATTAGCCAGGCGACTGTCATTCACACGTATTTCCATGTGACCAGACTAAACCTCTTCAACTCCCACGGGACTGGTCCGGTGGGACTAAATGGGCCATTATAAAGCGGCAGCACCCTAATCGGGCAAGTCGCGGCCATGGCCTAAAACCCGGTATATGGAGCTCCATATATACACATGTGGTCAAAGTCGACGCATAAATTTCTACATTGATTTTTCAACATCCTTAATGTAACAGGCTAAAGCTAGCGAGCGCGGCCCATAATCCAATACATATGACCGTCAAGATCATTAATGCAATTCAGCAAAACCAAATGGTTTTACGTGGTCGATTCCGGACGCCTCAATGCGGTGTATATCGAAACATGAAAATGAGCTATAAAAACAAGAGCAAAGCGGCGAGCCGAAATCGTGTGGGCATATGCTGACACCCCCGATAGCTGTTTCCTGTTCAATCGTGAAGCTCTTCGCTGTAAAGAAGAGATTCAATCTCAGGCTGCCTCCAATGTCGCTGCCTTCTGGGCCACAAGAAGACCGACAATCAGACCGAAAAGACCGAGGACGGAGCTGAAAATCTCAACAACAAGAATCTTGACGAACCTGTGAAACAAGCAATGTAAGCAAAAGCTTTCTAGGATGGACACCACGAGAGAAACCTACAAACTGGGATCGGCAGCATCGGCCAAAGCGGCACCACTTCCGTTGATACCAACAGAAATACCGCAGATAAGATTGCACATTCCGACTGTGATTCCTCCCCAAAAGACCGCGTATCCAGTGTAGTAGTTGCTGGAAGTGTGGATTGCGCCTTCGGGCACCGGGCTGAGCTTGGATGAGAAAACGATGGCCATGATGACACCGTAAATAGCGACAACTTCACAGAAAATAATGGAGATCAAGTTCTTGGTTCGGATACGGGGAGCTCGGACACCACCACCAACAATCGATGATCCGGTGAGGAAAATACCCCTAGAGAACATGATATCAGAATCGAAACAACTATTTTTGTAGCTTAAATTCAGCTTACCATGCTGCGCCGACAACCGAGCAGCCGATACAGACAGCAATTCCGATATTTGCCCAAGCATAAGGAGAAACTTCCTCAAGGAAACGGCCGAACTAATATATCTCGAGTCAGTAAACTGTGCTGGTATTGGGGTGCAGTGGCAGGTCGCGTACATTAAATGCTTCACCCTCTCCGTGGAAGAGCATATCTAGAATCCAGACCCTCTCATTAGCTGCCAGGTCGCACCTTGGAACAGTTGCAACGTACACAATCCCACCACGATGAGAGCGGTAGTGGAGACACCGGCCGGATAGAGGTAAGCCATGGCGACCTCTAGGAACCTGATGACGAATGAATGAAAAGGTCAAGATCGCAAACGTAGAACACGCAGCCGATAAGGTGAAGCTCTGAGATGAAAGGTGATGGGGGGACTTCGGTGGCCGGACCGGATTAACTGCTCCGCTTGGGCGGTGACAAGTCGCGCTGGTGCTTCCCCGGATGAACTGGTTCATCTGTTCTCCCTACTTTTATTGTTTTTTTACAAGGGAAGGCGCTGTCTTGACCCTTATATTCTCTCTAAATACACTCTCTTTCACTCCATCGCAGCTCTCTCACCTTGTCGCGCGACTCTCTTCTACCCCTGACTTTCACCGAATCAACATCTCCGTGACAATGGCCGCCTCTGGGGTTGGGTCGTACTCGAACCCCTTGAAGAAATTCAAGTAAATCTTTAGAGAACACAATTTGGAAGTATGATCGAATTGCTAATGTGGATCTTTAGGTTGGTATTCCTCGGCGAACAGAGTGGTAAGCATCCCATCAATCAAGATCGCAGCTTTTTGCGCTTTCGTCAATGAGATTCCCTGAGACCCTGGAATTTAACATTTGATTCAGTCGGTAAAACATCATTGATCACTCGCTTTATGTACGACTCCTTCGACAACACATATCAGGCAACTATTGGTATCGACTTTTTGTCCAAGGTACGCCATATCATACCCCGCATAAGGGTCTCTACCTATTTTGCATTGTTCGGAGGGGTCTTTTTTCTTGTTCATGAGAATGGCCACTTATCATTTTCTACAGACCATGTACCTTGAAGATCGAACTGTCCGCCTTCAACTTTGGGATACCGCCGGCCAGGAGCGCTTCCGTTCATTGATTCCTTCCTATATCCGAGACTCCAGCGTTGCCGTCGTAGTCTACGATATTTCGAATGCCAAATCGTTCCAAAATACCCGGAAATGGATCGATGATGTGCGCGGGGAGCGTGGCAATGATGTGATTATTGTGCTCGTGGGCAACAAGACCGATTTGAACGATAAGCGCGAGGTCACCACAGCACAAGGTGAAGAGGAAGCAAAGAAGAACGGATTGATGTTTATTGAAACCAGTGCAAAGATTGGACATAATGTGAAGCAACTCTTCAGGAGAATTGCTCAGGCTCTACCAGGAATGGAAGGCGAGGCCAAGCAGGGAGAGAGCACGAGTATGTTATATTCGCCTTTTTATCCAATATTTTTACTGACTATCGTCTTTCCTCTAGTGATCGACGTGAACATCAACCCCAAGGAGACCACCAACAACGACGGCTGTGCCTGTTAAAATCCTCCACGCCCCTTATCTCGTCCTTATGTGCCCTAACTCGATGGCAAAATCGAGGTTGTCCATGATATTCCACCTTTTTCGAATATGTACATTTTTTTTTTACTTTTTGCTTGTTCCTCGAGTCGATAGCGCGTGTGTCTAGATCTTTCAGTGTCGACTGCGGTCGTGTCAATTTCTTTGCTGAGTTCTTGGGAGCAGACAAGGTGTTTTGATTTTCGTTCACCAAGCATCATATCTCTTTCTTTCTGCAGTTGACCTTTCTTCGCTTGATTATATATGGGAGGTCGTCTGTTTGCCGATCTGGCAGCATAGGCTAATATGTCTAATATGCTTGAAAGATGAAGCTGTACAATACGGCATTTCCCTCTTGGGTTACGTACGGCATAGCCGGCGACCACAAAATATGGACCATGTTCATCAGTGTCCCTTCTCAGGAGTCAAGATGTAGAAAATCCAAAGAAAACAATGTAGCCCTTCAAAAAAGAAAGTAGTCGAATCCAAATGCATCCACTAAGATATCAACCTGTACATATGAATGAAGTTTCTTCCACTTTTATGGCCCCTCGAGTGTGTATCTGCAGTACTTTTCCGAGTTATTTTTGCGAGGTCTTTTTGGTGAGAAGGTTCCAAGCCATGGAGGTTGTTGGTATTTGTTTCTGACATTCAACAGAGCATGAAGCCCATATATATATTTTGAGGAATTCCAACAACAATGTTGAAATTAACACGTTTTAAAAAACAAATCCTCGAACATTTGTTTCATGTTCCAAATTCCATGCTCTCTTGATCAGTGAGCCAATTTTTTTCGTATCAGTAATACCGCCATATCTAGCAAGCGCATTGGTTTTCGCCTCGATTTCGGATCTAGATATGAGGAGTTTAGGTAAGGGTACTTCAGTAAAGCTCCGATGAGCTCAAAACAAGAGGTCTTATAACCTACCTGGTTAAAGGAAGTTCTGGGTCTCCCTTTGCAAATGTGACCGACTCTTTGAAAGTCTTACCAGACTTGCATGTAACGATCACAGTTCCTTGCCATCTTTCTGGGAAGTGAGCATCTATTTCCGCATTGTATTCCATCTTGACCCGACTTTGAAATTCACGCAAAGATTCATCCGCTAGATCTTCTTCTGTAAAGTCCGTAATCATAGCCTGTCCCTTCTTTGCCGCAATGGCAAGTACGAATCCCATTGAAAATTTGCTTTGGTGGACAGTATCACCATTCCCACTCAAGCTAAGTACATTGATGGCAGCTTGGTAAGTGGGAACGAGAATAGAGTCGATATCATCAAAAGCAACACTGTTGTTGGCCATCAGGTTCAGCAGTGCGTCCACACTAGGGTGAGTGTGCCGACAAGACGCATGCCACTTGAAGCTCGAGCGAACAACTGCAAAGTCTGAACCCAGATCCCGGTCAATTGCCTCTGGATTTGTTTCACCGGGGACCAGTGCGGCGCCCATGGCGCGGGGTCCTTCTAAGATATCCCGTGGCCCTAGGAGACCATCGCGAGCACTATAGGCGGCGAATATACCATCGAAGCAGGCTTTAGCGGTGTGCACTTGTTTCGAATGGGTTGCATCCATCAAAAATTGCCATAACCCTGCGGCTTGTGTTCCGGCTGTTCCTATTGCTGATAATGTTTGGCTTGCATCGAGTCTGAGAAGATGAGCTACTGCCGCCGCAACTCCGATAACTCCACCCGTAGCAGTAGTGTGGAACTTCTGCATCGAAAGTTAGTGACAAATAGCGGTGGTATTGGCATAAGTATGCAAGGATGGTCAAATTTATGGAGATATAATGAAGCATACCTCATAGTGACTCTTCCCTAGATACTCGCCAACTCGGCAGCCGACTTCATAACCAACCACACAGGCCGCAATAAAGTCTTCTCCGCTAGCTTCAATGTCCTGAGCTACCGCAAGAGCAGCAGGGAAAATGACAGTCGCCTATTATAATGTCAGCAATTTTCATACGCCATTAATGCATTGCAGTACTCACCGGATGCATGATGCTTCGGTTATGAAGATCATCCTGCTCAACAACATGGGATGCAGCAGCATTTATAAAACTAGCAAATGCTGGACTAGTGGTAAGACTTTGGGAGCCATCAATGAGCTCGCTTTTGCCACTGGAAGGTCCCATTTGAGCTGCAAAGTGCACCATTGCAGAAACAGCCGGGTGACTTCGTCCCGCTATGGCACAGCCCAGCGTATCCAGGAAGAAATCTTTGGTACGTTGAACAACATGGTCAGGGATATCACTATATTTTAGTTCAACAGCCCATTTGACTAGGTGATCAGTTCTTGTGTCTTGACTGGATGTGGCAGCCATAGTGAATACTTTGCACGAGAAGTACGGTATACAGTGACAGGTGACTGAGCCAACTTTGTACAGCTCAAATATATGCGGGGGGAAAGCGGGTAGGGTATGTCGGCCACTTGGTCCCCCTCTTCCGAGGGCAAGCTATTTCCCGAGGTTTACAAATAGGCTACAGCAGGACGAAAGAAGGTATCTAGGATGGCCCTGGGCTATCTTTGTAAGAGCCTGATGAGTTCAAGAGCACACAATTTTAGGCTAAATGTTTGAATTTTGAACTAACTATTCAGCTTGCTATAAGACTTCCGGATTATAGATTTATATACAAATGTAGTTTAGATCATATAGCCGACTTGTGCATAAGTTACATATAACGTATGTACGTATAGTTAACTAGTTATGCACTTATGCCTTGACAATAAGGCATACATAGGGGTCTTTCAGGCTTCCATATTTTCATCCGAAGTAATGAAGTAAGGGGGCAACATGTCCACAGGTTAAAAATTGTATATTCTGTAGATTCCGTGTCAGTCCCACAAACTAAATTTATTCAAGTTATATTCTATCCAAATCTACCGTATATATACTCCATATACGAGTACGAAAATGAGTATAGAGAAAAAAAATTCCTGACATAAGAAATATAATGCAACCAACGGAATCGGAAATTGATCTACGGGCGGATCACCCGGAAAATGGCGCCCCTGGACCATCTGCGGTCCCATACACCCAGCCTTTTTCCTCTTCCCTTGCTTTGTCCGTATATATATACACCAACCACATCATATTTCCATCTATTTCCATCTCAATACATTCTTGAGAGGCCTCAGTCACAATGGGGGTTTCCCGTTTTCTCCGCATTCCGCGGCCAGAGGTGAGTCTTGATCTTATCTGTTGCCCGGACGAGCTAACCAAATCTTGTGACTTCTAAAAGTCCTTTCTCTATGTGATGAGCTTGGAGACCGGTGCCTCCCTGATTACCCTGTCGATGCTACTGAATAAAATCAGTGGTCTATATGGTTTGCTGGCGCTTTTGACAGGCTACCACCTATCTCCTGTACAACTGTCAATGTACCTTTGGTCCCTCGTTGTCCTTGGGCTCGCCGTCTTCCTATTCCCTCACATTCGCAAGCAATCACCTCTACAATGCCTCGCCCTCGCCTACCTCTATGTATTCGACACTCTGATTAACTCAGCCTACACTGCCGCATTCGGTGTCACTTGGTTCTTGGTGGTATCGCAACATTACGACAGTGGCAAGGCGGCCGGCCCAGGAGGCGACACGATCGCTCAAACTGCTGGCTTCACCAGCCCAAAGTACGACGCCGCATACGTCGAAATCCAAAACACTAAAGACGGCAACAACTTCGTTGCTCACCCCCCGCGCGCCGAAGATCTTAGCAATGTCGTCCTTCAATCAGAGAGTCTCCAGAGCATTGTCATCATCTGCATCTTGTGGATCATCCGCGTCTACTTCGTTCTCGTGATGCTTGCTTTCGCGCGCCAGGCTCTCCGCCTATGGATCGCCATTCCCCGCCACACTCAGCTCCCAACCCACAGCCGCAACGTGTCGGTTGCCAGCGTCGCCGACATCGATCGGGAGCCGTTCTCCCCCTACAGCCCAGATGGACAAGGATGGGAAGGCAAACTGGGCCGAATCATGATTGGTATTGGCCACAGCTATTGGTTGGGTGAGGAGGAGGACGGCAACTGGCTTAGCGGCATCAATCACAAGTTCCGCAACCGTTCGAACAACACAGAACTACCCGGTGCCTTGGAACGCGAGAGGAGACGTCGCTCTGGAACAGGCCCTCCACAACCCTCGCAGTCTCTTGTTCGGCCCACTGTTCTCCATCAACCCATCCCGGAACATGGCACGAATGTCAAGATGCAAGATTGGAACGCACCTCGATAAATTATTCTTTCCCAATACCATCCTGTGCCTAGCCAGAGGGCACAATCCTCTTGGCTCTTGTGTCCGTCCTGTCGTTTCATGAGGCCACTGAATCGAACAATCGATCTTCTGGCCTCATTTGAGACTCAACCATTATGAAGCTCGAGCCCCTACAGCTCGATACTTATGACAAAATCTGCATATATGAATTTGGAATGGGCCCAGAATTTTTTTCAACTACCACACTGTGTCAGTGTTTGATATTTGGTCTACCCGGCTGGGTTTGGAAGGCGTTTTGGATCTTATAATCTCGGAGTCATTGTCTTCCAAGGTTGGAAAAAGCTGGGGCGTTTCAATTCACCAAGTGTTGGTCGACGATCATATACATCCAAACCATCCCGATTTTGGTTTCCGGATATTGATATGTACATTATCTGAACTGGGGGCTTTGCATTTTTCCTCACATGGGTTTATGTCTTATTATTGTACACAATTGCTTTTTGGATGCACCTCACATATATCGAATCATAATTCGCTCCTGATGAAGACTTACTGGTCTTCTCCCTGATTGCTTCCATTCGTAACATACTTGAGATTATCAATGATCATAAAATCAATATTTATTTCTTGTCTCGTGTTTGGAAACTGCTTATAAGGTAGTCTGCTGAAACGATACCAGGGGATAGTAAGCGATTATATACGCATGATCGAAATAGGATTGTTAAGAAAGTCCTAATGAAGTAAGAAAAGACCTAAATAAAGTTCTAACTATAGAAAACTCATGGCCATGCATGTCGGGAATTCAGCTAGATTGTATACAATATTGCATCCAGCTCTCGGCCGGAATACTCAGTGGCTGATTACATAGGGCTGATTGGTCAGATTTGATAGTACTGTATATGTATTTGAGCGAAATCGGGGGAGTTCCACAGATCTTGACCTTCGGCATTTGACCGGTAATCTCGTTTTGGTAGGGATTACCTTCAGGCATTAAACCAGCCAAGCCCTAAGTCGGAAAGACGGGGATACTCCGAGTGAAAAGCATTTGGTAGATATCGGTAATTGCCGTGGTGTTATTGGTAGCACGCTAATACTGATGTAGATATTTGAAGAAAAGAAAAAATATATTTTCATGTACGTTGGTACACTCACTCAATAATCAACCCCGCATGAGAGTTGGAGATTTACCTACAATATAGAGCAAATCCCTACAATGTCGTAATTCGGGATCTCAAATTGAATCCATACAATAATTGCATTTGAATCATATAATTCCATCTATTGAAGTCTACATATTGGAGGTATAAAAAAAAGTAGCTAAGCAAATCCCGACGCCCGGGCGCTGACGTGCTCAACAAGATCACGGGATCCCCCGCACTGGTCCCAAAGTGGTAAGTTTGCATATATTGTTTGCACTGATGTCGTGATCGAACACCAATCAGCGAAGTGCTGATCTAACCCCGACGACGGAGAATTGAGTTGATTTTGGAAAGAAAAAACCACTGGGTCTTCTTTTCTTTACTTGTTGATAGACCTAAAAGAGAGATTTGAGATATCCTCTCTTGCAATTGTCTCTCCCTTAAACCTTCGGTGGATCTGTGCTGCGACTGGGAGATCGCTGCATACTGATAAGCCATATCGCGGTTTTACTTATCCCACTTGTGCTGTGACTCGAACAGCTAAAAGCCGCAATGGCGTCCATTTCTACCGCTGCTGAGGCGGGTAAGTCACAATTGCTGCTTACCGGAGAAAGCACAAGGACTGATGCGGTTATGATATAGTGGCAAGAATCGCCTACCTCACCAGTGATGTCGTTCTGTCCGTACAGCCCTCGCTGCAGAACGACTCATTGTTCTCCAAGTCCCTCAAGGCCCTCAAGGCCAGCAAGACAAGCAATCTCTCATCAAAAAGCACCGAAGTGAGTTGGGATTAATGGATTGCGAGATCGGAGCACGACTAATCTTCTGACCAGGTCCAAACTGTGCGTTATAATGAAGACCCTCTCTTGTCCGCATTCAACCCTATTCACAACGGCGAGACTATCTCTGTGGTAACAAGCTCTTCTGTCTTGATCACCGCCGTCCCTCACCTCTACCGTCTCGCTAACAGCCCCGTGGTCGTCCACGTCGCTCTGGAGCCCTCTCCATTCCCCGATTACTCCGTGATCAGCTCCATCCGTCAATCCGGATTCACTTTCCTGCACTCAGAGACCGTACAGGAGGCCCAGGATATCGCCATCACAGCTCACGCGCTTGCCCGCAGGTCCGGAAAGGGTGTCATTCACTTCTTCGACCCCGCCAACTCGGCCAAGGATCCTTCCATTGCCTCGGAGGACGTTGAGGTTTTGAAGAAGGTGCTTCAAATAGGTGGAAATGTTGCCACCTCTGCTGGAGTCCAGGGCCTCTACGCTGACTCTGGCCGTGTGGCCACTATCACCGCAGAGACCGAGGGTTCTGCCCCCTCTGGCCAAGTTGAGTCAACGAATTTGAATGTGCCTTCTCAACCCCAGACCCCTTTCAATGCTAGCGTGGAGAATTCCTCTGTTGGTTCTTCCCGCCGGGAGAGCAGCGCTGGCAGCGAAGCTCCGAGCTCCAATGCCACAACCGTGGAAAGCTCCAGCGTCCGCCCTGTGAACGCCGCCGATATATTTGACTGGACAGCTCAGATCTGGAACACTTTGTTCGAGGAGGTGGGCCGCCGATACAACGCCATTGAGTACACTGGTGCCGCCGATGCTAAGTCCGCCATCTTCGTCTTCGGCTCCACCGGAGTTTTCGTTGACGCCCTCGCCAACGGTGCCAACTCGGAATTGGAGAACATTGGCCTCATCACTGCCCGTTTGTACCGCCCCTGGGTTGGTGGCCAGATTTCGAACTCGATCCCCAGCTCAGTTGAGAAAGTTGCTGTTCTCGAGCAGGTTCGCAAGACCACCAAGTGGGGTCCTTCTTTCATGGACTTGCTGTCAAGTTTGACCCCCGCTGGTCCTCGTGGCCAGGGCCCTCAAATTGTTGGCTACCGCCTCGGATTCGTTGAGCCATCCACCGCTGTGCAGGCTCTTCGCGGTGTTCTGCAGAACTTGAACTCCGCCTCTCCTATCCAGAACCTCGAGATTGGAAGCTCTCAGGTTCCCACCATCCAGAACGCTCTTGAGCAGCCTCGTATCGAGAACGCTTACCTGAAGATCCTCCACCAGCTCTTTGGTGAGCGTCTGTACATTGCCAACGAGCTAGGCTCCCAGAATGCCGGTATCTCTAGCACCATTGCTGCCAGCCCTGAATACGGATTCGGTTCTCTCCTGGCTCGCCAGGAGCACCGTGTGCGCTTCATTCGGGAGGTTGAGGAAGCCTCAAAGTCCAATGCCTTTGCTACCGACGTACCAAAGACTTGGTTGTCTCGCTGGGCTCTCAATGTCAAGGAGGCCGCTAAGGCTAACAAATTGGCCCCTGAAGTCATTGCCCGTCTGTCTAACGATGGCTCTGCCATTTCTCGCCAACTTCTGCAGTCCAAGAAGCTCTTCTACGAGGAGTCTGAGTGGCTTGTCGGTTCCGATGCTTGGGCTTATGATCTGGGTAATTCCGGCGTCCACCACGTTATCGCCTCTGGTGCTAATGTGAACATGCTCATCATTGACTCTCAACCTTTCTCTGAGCGTGCTGCTGCTGATTCGACCCGCCGCAAGAAGGACATCGGTCTCTACGCCATGAACAGAGGTAACGCTTATGTTGCTTCCGTCGCCGTTTACAGCTCGTACACCCAGGTCCTCCAGGCTATGTCTGAGGCTCAGCAGTTCAAGGGTCCTTCAGTTGTTGTTGCCTATCTGCCTTACAACCAGGAGAACGACTCTGCCCTCACAGTGCTCCAGGAGACTAAGAAGGCTATCGATCTCGGATACTGGCCTCTGTACCGCTGGAACCCCGAGAACGAGGAGAAGGGCGAGCCCAAGTTTATCCTCGACTCCGAGCGCGTTAAGCGTGATCTCGAGGAGTTCCTCCGCCGCGACAACCAGCTCACGCAGCTTATGAACCGCCACCCCAAGTACGCCCCTGTGCTTTCAGAGTCTTACGGCACTGAGGTTCGAGCGATTCAGAAACGAACTGCCAAGGACTCCTATGAGAAGCTCCTGGATGGACTGTTTGGTGCTCCCCTGACCATTCTCTTCGCATCCGATGGTGGCAACGCTCAGAACATTGCCAAGCGCCTCGGCAACCGTGGTCGCGCCAGAGGTCTGAAGACCATGGTCTTTGCTATGGACGAGTTCCCTCTCGAGGATCTCCCCACCGAGGAGAACGTTGTTTTCATCAGCAGTACTGCAGGCCAGGGTGAATTCCCTGTCAACGGTCGTTCTCTCTGGGAGCACGTCAAGAACACCGGTGATCTCGACCTGTCTTCTGTCAACTACTCTGTCTTCGGTCTCGGTGACAGCCATTACTGGCCCCGCAAGGAGGACAAGATCTACTACAACAAGCCTGCTAAGGATCTTGATGATCGTGTTGCCTTCTTGGGTGGTCGCAAGCTGACCGAGCTCGGCCTTGGTGATGACCAGGACCCCGACGCCTACCAGACTGGCTACTCCGAGTGGGAGCCCCGCCTCTGGAAGGCCTTGGGTGTTGACAAGGTTGAAGGTCTCCCCGAGGAGCCTGCCCCGATCACCAACGAGGACATTAAGGTTGGCTCTAACTTCCTTCGCGGAACCATTGCTGAAGCTCTTCTGGATGAGAGCACTGGTTCTATTCCCGCCAGCGATCAGCAGCTCACCAAGTTCCACGGTACATACATGCAGGATGACCGTGATCTCCGCGATGAGCGCAAGGCCCAGGGTCTTGAGCCTGCTTACAGCTTCATGATTCGCTGCCGTCTCGCCGGTGGTGTCGCCACTCCCAAGCAGTGGCTGCAGATGGATGCCATTTCTAGCTCCCACGGCAACGAGACCATGAAGCTCACTACCCGCCAGACCTTCCAGTTCCACGGTGTTATTAAACGTAACCTCAAGGGTGCTATGCGTGCCATCAACAACTCCATGATGGACACTCTCGCTGCTTGCGGTGACGTGAACCGTAACGTTATGTGCAGTTCTCTCCCCGAACTCTCCTCCTTCCACCGTGAGACCTGGGCCATCTCTTCCAAGATCAGTGAACATCTACTGCCCTCAACTACTGCCTACCACGAAATTTGGCTGAAGGATGAGAATGACAAGAAGGTCCAGGTTGGTGGAGATGCTATTGTTGACCACGAGCCTCTCTACGGTCCTACCTACCTCCCCCGCAAGTTCAAGATTACCATTGCCATTCCTCCTCACAATGACACCGATGTCTACGCCCACGACATTGGTCTCATTGCCATCAAGGGTGCCGATGGCCACCTTGAAGGTTTCAATGTTTTGGCCGGTGGTGGTATGGGTACCACCCACAACAACACCAAGACCTACCCTCAGACTGGTCGCATGTTCGGATACATCCCTGCCGACAAGGTTCACATTGCTTGTGAGAAGATCATGCTCGTGCAGCGCGACAACGGTGACCGCAAAAACCGCAAGCACGCTCGTATGAAGTACACCATCGACGACATGGGCGTTGAGGTTTTCCGCGCTGAGGTTGAAAAGCTGCTTCCCGACGGCCTCAAGTTCGCTGAGCCCCGCCCCTTCGAGTTCAAGTCCAACGTCGACACCTACGGCTGGCTGAAGGATGAGACTGGTCTCAACCACTTCACCATGTTCATCGAGAATGGTCGTATTGAGGATACCGCAGATTTCAAGATGCGCACTGGTCTCCGCGAGCTTGCTGAGCTCGGCAAGGGCGAGTTCCGTCTCACTGGTAACCAGCACTTGATGATCTCTCGCATTTCCGATGAAGATCTTCCCCTCATCAAGGAACACCTGGCCAAGTATAACCTTGACAACACTGCCTTCTCTGGCTTACGTCTGTCTTCTTCTGCCTGTGTTGCTTTCCCTACCTGCGGTCTCGCCATGGCAGAGTCCGAGCGTTACCTCCCCGTCCTCATCTCCAAGCTCGAATCCACCCTTGAGGAGTGTGGTCTTGCGCGTGACAGCATTGTCATGCGTATGACCGGTTGCCCCAACGGTTGTGCTCGCCCCTGGCTTGCGGAGGTCGCCTTCGTTGGAAAGGCCTTTGGCGCTTACAACATGTACTTGGGTGGTGGCTACCACGGTCAGCGCTTGAACAAGCGTTACCGCTCCTCTATCAAGGAGGATGAGATCCTCGAGATCATGAAGGGTCTTCTCAAGCGCTACTCTCTCGAGCGCGACACTGACGGCGAGACCCCCGAGCGTTTCGGTGATTGGTGTATCCGCGCTGGTGTCATCAAGGCCACCACTGATGGAAAGAACTTCCACGATGGCGTAAGTTGTCTCTCCCTGTGATGCCCACATATTTTAACTCTAACGACGTTTTCCAGGTTGCCGAAGATGAAGAAGAGGAAGAGTAAATGTTCACACATTTAACCACATAATCTCCGATCCGTTATGACTCATGGGATATCAAAATCTGGCTTCTGCTTTCTTATTCTTGTTTATTCTTATTTCACGTCGCAATGCATTAATGCCTTTGCGAATACATGATTCCCTTTCTGCCAAATAGTTAGATATCATTTTTCTTTTTCAATTTACCTTCCTTCCATGTATACCTCCAGAATGATTCGAGCTTTTTGGTTATGCATGCATCGGCGATCAATACATGTTTGGTATGGTTTTCGTCAGTGATCACAGATATTTCAGCCAGGACCATTACCAAAATCATATAAAAGATTACCACAAATAGAACCCCTTTAAGGCCCAGAATATTGATGCATCAAACCCATGGAATTCAGGGCGGCAAAGTTGATGCTGGGTTGACATCACAACCTTCTATTCTAACCTTTCTTACTCAAGTCTTCTAAGCCCTCACAAGTCATTGGGAGATCAAATTCACAATCCTATCTCGACAATATAGTCATTATTTTACACGATCTATGATGGTATCATCTATTATATCGGCGCCTTTCGTGCCACTACTCTATATACGCCGCGAGTTTCGTCAGGACCGAGACTGGTCATATCGTCAAGCATTAACAGGTGCCTTGATGAAAGCCTGTTTAAGTGTATACGTAGCTTTGCGCTTGAAGCCAAAGTCATCGCTGTCGCTCAAACCATGCTGGGAAGGAGACCTCTTCGTTACAATAGAACCTGCCCCGACAGATCTATACACAGGCATCACAGTGCACGACAAAATCCATCCAGAAACCATAGCTGGCACCTGGTTCCCATCGCTTTACCAATACAACACAACAACCAACCAAGACAAGCACGTCATCCTTCACTTCCACGGCGGATCCTACATCATCGGCGATGGCCGCACATCGTCCTCCAAACACCTCGCGAACAGCCTCCTAGAAAACACCCCGACAAGCCACATCTTTAGTCTCCAATACCGTCTCGCCAGAAACCGCGCCACTCGCTTCCCAGCTCAGCTTCAAGACGCCATCGCTGCGTACTCGTACCTCATACACACACTGCACTTCCCAACCAATCGCATCGTCATCAGTGGCGACAGCGCAGGTGGCCACCTAGCTCTCAGTCTCCTACGCTACATAGCAGACTACGACGATGAAACAGTCCTGCCCCCACCAACATGCTGCTGGCTCTTCTCGCCGTGGTGCGATGTCCCTGGTGCCCTCAAGCAGAGGCTTTGGGATAATATCCCGAACACGCAGACGGATTATATTCCGGCCTCATTTGCGGCGTGGGGTGCGAAACAAATTATCGGGAATATTGAACTTAGTCGTGAAAATGAGGGTTATCTGGCGCCTATATGGCATCCTTTTGTGTTGCCTTCGCCGATACTCATTGTTTCGGGTGGCAGGGAGGTTATGTGTCAAGAGCATGATCGGCTGGCGAGGTATTTGGGGAAATTGCAGCAGAATGAGGAGAGAGTTAAGTTCTTTGTGCATGAGATGTTGCCACATGATATTTTGATGGTGGCTTGGCTCATGGGCTTTCAAAAGGAGGCTGACCAGTGTGCTTCTAAGGCTGGGAACTTTTTGTCTCAGGTGCTTGGTGCCTCGGATGATAGTGAAGTTCCTTGTGTGGCTTTTGAGCGTCAATGATGGCTTATGATGGCTTGTATATAAATGGGTAATATCTTGCTATCTAGAACCGAATAAATTGATATCTGTGACGTCTTCTTTGTACCGTAGAAGTGACATTCGAGTGATGTAAGCCCTAGTATATCAATCATCGAAAATCTAAGGATTCCTGCTCAACATCTTCCTTCCAAATCGGGGTTTCAAAGGTTGCGGGGCGAGTTTGTTTGCTTCTGTGATCATGAGGTTGATACCCCAGCATCTTCACCGACTCTTTCCCCTTTCTGTCCTCAACTTCCTCGCCTTACTGACTCCCTTTTCTCTCAACCTTCAACTTCCAACCTCTCAAAGCGACTTATCCCAACTCATCTGCATTGAAGGTCGAAACTCTTATCCTCGGCTGCATCAGATACACAAAGTTACACCACGACGCGAAATGAACTGCAGCGCGGACTGAGACATCCAAGCTCCACGACCTTTGGCACATTGGCCCAACACAGTAATTAATGGCTTACTTCAAATCAATCCTCAGTATGTTTACAGGCAGTAAGGGCTGAAAAGCCTCTCGAAACCTCAACACAACGTCGGTACCAAAAACCCCACTGCCACTGGGTACAGCTTTACGGTCCAGCCTTGCATCTAATGGCGAGGAAAACTCACGCTTCTACCAACTACAACAAGGCAATGGATGCAGCTCACGGAGGCCATAATGAATGCTCTTTTATGGTCGTCGTCATAGCGAGCCTTCTGCTTGCGATCACTGTGGTGGGCCTCATTACTCAATTTTGCTTTGGGGATCGCTTCAGGTATGCAGCTTCTCGACTGTGTATTTTTTGCTTAGAGACTACGGTGAGGAGATTGTGCAGAAACCCTGAGCGTAGCGCACGTCTTGTACGCAATATCGAGACCAAAAGTGCGAATACTCGGACATGGCGAAGGAAGCTAAATCGGGCAAGCGTGGATATCTTGATGTGTTGCAAAAATCACACAAAGCTCACAGTGGATAGAGGGCTGGATGTGTTTCGTTAAAGCCTGCCTCGCTGCCATTACTCTTTGAGATACACGAAGAATATATTTAACTGGAGAACATTCCAAGCTGTTTACTTTCGTTATCAGTCACATTGTTCAGCTGACCGATACACATGTGTGATATCTCTGTTCTAGGCATCGGAGCCAATTTTGCGGATTTCCTACTTGAATTTTGAGGTCGGGCGACATCAATATATGACAAATGGTTAGAAAAATTTTATTTCCCAGGAATTACAAGCGTGATTTGGCTACTCTCCCCCTTCTCTGCTCATGCTTAGCCTCATATACCATGACTGCTCTTCTATTAGTCTCAAAATTGAAAAAAAAGGTTAAGGTCGCCAAGAAGGTAAAAAAAGCTCAACCATCGTTTTAGAACATGGCCATTCGTTGAAGTTTTATGTTACGACGTACGTTGACATATTACAGACATTGGGAGAGAAAAGGTGTAGCCGAACGACTCATTCAATTGACAGGCAGAACCCATTGTGCAGTTCTGAGAGGCGGCTAGCTGATTTAAATCCTGCTCGAACCCAAATTTCTTCACCAATCGAGATCGCACCATCCGCCCAACTCCACCCGACCAGACATGAAATGTCTCCTCGAAGACTCTTCTTGAGGCAGGCGTTCCATAGCATTGGCCTTCACTTGCATGAAAGTCCGTACATCATCAAAATGCCGGTGGGTGGGATGGTTCATTGGATAAGGGTATTGAGCCCCTCCTTCATGGTCATTGTGACCGTGTTCATTTTGGTCAATCGTGACCAGGTTTGCATTGGTCAATTCTGACCGTGTTCTGTGTAACCGAGACCGAAAAGGCCCCGTTAGGGCGAATCCGCCTGCCCCTCTGGGCGGGCCTTGACGTCCAAAGCGTTCAATTCGACTAGCCATTGGTAGCGATCCTTGCTGCGGCTAATGTCGAGAATGTGTCCAGCTGGTTGCCTTAATTAAAAGGAACAGCAATTCATCAGGATTCGAGGAGGACGGAGCAGTTCCTCCCTCGTTTCCTGGCTCTCCTGTAACTCAAACCGTTACAGAGGTCTGGCGCGAGCGATCACGATGCTCTCAAGCCATGACAGGTCGCTGTGAGGATGGGAGAATAGATTGGTCTCGATGTGTCGAAGGGAGAAGAATTTGAGCAGGGTGCGTCTCTCACGCTAGGAAGGTTTGACGGAGACAAGAATGGCCTCAACGTCAAAAAAGAACTGTGCTATAAGAGGGAGGATAGCATGGTAGCTCTCTTGGCACAATTCAATGATCCCCGAGGACAAAAAAAGAAGAAAGAGGAAGCTGAAGTGCGAGCAAACTAGATAAATACCTACCCCTTGCGGGTGACTAATCATACAGGATATCGCGGCCCCACCTTGTTGAACTTCGATAAAAAAAGTTGCCAAGCTAGTATATGCTTAGTCTATCTTTAATTCTTGCAGCTTCTTTCCTTTGTGTCAACATTTGAACCTTGGAGCTCCATTTCAACATACCATGTCTTCTTCCGAAGAAGATCCTGTCGTCGCCTCCTACGATGTCTTCCTCACTGACTCGGAGATCTCTCGCTATGTCTTCCAATATCTCGATCGAAATGTCGACCTTCCTTACAACGAGAGCAATCACCAACGCCCAGTCCAGCTTAGGATGAAACCGCGCACTGGGCTAGTGGAGGTTGAGGTTCCTCTCAGCACCCGTGCCAATTACGATGTGAACAAGGGCTTGCGCTACGGCGAGGCAATAAAAAAGAGCCGTTCTGCGCGCGATGGTGGCGCTTATGGCATGGCAGGTGGATTCACCGCCGGCAGTGGAGCTGCAGCCTCAGGAGGCAGAGTTAAAATGGAAGCGGGCGGCGACGTGGAAATCCTGGAGAATAAGAGGGTTGTGGATTCCAACGCATTGATGCGAACACAGGCCTTGGCAGGTCGGATAAAGCCTGCAGAGGAAGGCGATCCAGTGTACATGCTAGCCGCTTTCAAAGATAGTAAGTTGATCTTGCGCAACCACCTCGGCAAGAAGAGGCTTCCTGGCAATATCCGCTAACCACCCGTTTTCCAGACAATCTACATCTATCCCCGGTCTCATCGGTGATCCAATTCCAGCCTCAACTTCACCACCTGGATGCTTTGGACGAAATGCCAAAAGCCAAAGGCTCCCGTGCTAAAAAGGACGACGAAGAACGCCCTGCCGAGACCGAGGCTCGCGCAATCGATATTAAGGTCAAGGCTGCTGAAGATGGCGAAGCGGCTACGAATGCCGGTAATCTGGATCTTTTGAAGCAAATGCAAGAAGAAAAATGGAAACAGTACGAATGGATTGATGCTGAGGTACGGTTATACATTACGCGAGTGACTGATGATTGGTTGACTAACCAGCTTTGGCTTTAGACCGAGGATGCATGGTGGACATATGAAAGCTTCATGCTGCATGAAAATACAGATCAACTTCCGTCGCTGGAAGCAAAAATGGATTCAGAAGAGTATCTGGATAGAATGAGCGCTCCAAGGATCGATCCTGCACGCCCTGACCTGACTGGATGGGCCATGAAAGAGAATCGACAGAGGCAACGAGCGGCCCAAGGACACGGCGGAAACGATCAATGATACCTTCTATGTGCATTAAATGAACCGAATTTCTAGCGAAAGCTGAGCATCTACCTGACTTTGATTATATACACTAGATATGTACCTAGGTGCGGAGTATATCTAGTCTACTATTCGAACATAATTGAGGCCACAAGATCATCATCCAAACATGATACATCTGGCACTTGAGGATGCAGGTGGAAAGTGTAAAGGGCTTAGTACGTACAGCTCAGATTTTGCCACTCATAAAGCCAATCGGCCAATCACGATAAGAGATAGGTGAAAGTCACGTGAATTTACTCGGTTTTTCGCGCTCGATCTCCGCTTCGTGTCGAGAAGATCGATAAATCCCCTTCTCCTTCGACCTGTTGTTTCATTTCCCTCCTTTTTTTGGTTTTCGGTTGAGGGTTGCACTATAGCGCGCGGAAGTAGCAATCATTCAGATCTCACCTTCGAAACATCGCATTGATTAAATTCCATCTTCCCTATCATTGCGGTGTTGTGTTTTCTGGATCTTTTTCGCTCTTCAAAAATTCGCCTCTAATCATCATATAATACTGTCTTAATACCTCTTCTTCCAACCGTTATCTTCACCTTATATCCTGAATCTTCGATCTCCGGATTCGAAGAACACACCCATGCACCATGCTGTCGCGTGTGGCTCGCCAAAAAAATGCTTTCCTTCACTTGCGGAGAGCTCAGGCTCTCCGAGCGTCGGTGCCCTTACCGACAACACGCCTTCAGTCATATTCAAATAACCGAAGCCCACTGATGAACTCATTGGGTCATTCCATCCTCGACCGTCCTCGCAAGCCATATTCGCAATCAGAACGCCGTCTTGCGACGGCTGCTGACCAGTCTCCTATCGAAACGCACCACACGGATTCTTACGATCAATTTATGCAAACGCCCTACGAGAGTCTCAATACATCGTCTTTAGTCATTCTTGACTCGAAACCCCAGTCCGAATCAAAGATCTTTCGCCGGAGACATGGTATCGGTGGTGATGAGACAGAGATGAGAGCCAACCTCGATGTTTCTTTGAAAATTGGCCAATTCGACCGAGCTGCTTCATTGATTACACGCCTTGGCCATTACCACCCGCCTGGATCCCAGGAGTTTCTGTCTCTCCATAACCGCTACATGAAGGAAATGGTGGCACATATGGTTTTAACGCGGGATCAAACAATGGTCCTCCCACTGCAGAAGTGGTTCGAAGTCGACATGCCAGCTGGAGGTGTGACGCCGGATGCAATCACTTTTGCAATCATGATCCGAATGGCGCTGCGCATGCTTCATGGGTCCAAGCGCGATCGAACTGTGCGCCGTTATTGGGAACTTGCTCAAAACGCCGAAGTAGAGGAAGAGCTCGTCGGTATTGAGGTTCTTGAAGACTCCGATGTTGGTGAATTGTCTAAGGTAAGATTGACTTCCGGTTCTCAGTGTTACAGCTATGCTAATGTTCAAATCGAAGATTTGCTCTTCCGATATGTTGGACTTGCTTTCGAAGTATGTGGACTTGACGGAACCCGTCAGTGAAGCGCCCGCTGTCCTCGAGGATATCCCCATGGTAAACCCTGCCGATCAAAGGGGAATGGGCCTGTCGTCTTTGAGAGAATCATTGTCTCTCTTCTCCGGGAACGCCGACGTGCCCTTTCCTCGCGATTTTGAAGGCACCGAGGAGGAAGCAAAGGCACTACATGCCGAACTGAGACAACGCAAACTTGAAGCAGATAGTCTTACCTCCGCTCTTGAAAGATGGCGTGTGGAGAATGATAAGAGACAAAAGGCCGGATTGAACATCTCTTCCGACGAGAAGAAGCTTGGTTCTATTATGAGTCAATGGCACACAGATCTTGTTGCACGAATCAAAACGGAGATAGAGCTTTACGAAGAGGCAATGACGACCCGGGTGGTGAGTGTTGAACAGAGGGATCGCTGTGAATACGGCGTCTTTTTGAAGGTTCTTGATCCAGACCGGTTAGCTGCGCTTACTGTTTTGAGTACGCTGTCCGTTTTCAGTCGCCAAGGAATGACCAAGGGAATCAAGGTCTCTGCCATTGCGAGCGCGTTAGGAAGAGAATTGCAGGACGAACTCATCGCCGACAGATTCTTGAAAAAGACCAAAGCCATGGACCCGCAGCGACTCAAGGCTGTCAAACAAACTCTGGCGAACCGTAAGGACAAAGACGGCCGCTCGCGATGGAGAGCACTTGTTGAAAAGATGTCCACCGAAGATGACTCTGTTCTTTGGGGCTCCCGTGTTCAGGTCAGGGTTGGTAGCGTTTTGATGAGCATGTTGTTTGAAGTTGGCAAAACCCCTGTTCGTACAGAGGACCCTTTAACCAAAAAGAAGGACCTCAGCATGCAACCGGCATTTTCGCACTCATATCAGATTCATTTTGGAAGACGCGCCGGTCTCATTCATCTGCACCCCAGCATTGTTGAAATGGTTGCAAGGGAGCCTCCCCCGAGGTGGTGGCTCGTCACCTGCCTATGGTCTCTAAACCTAAACCATGGACAGGGGCACGGACTGGAGGATATCATATCTACGAGAACAATCTTGTTCGTTCTACGCCTGGTGAACTCCTCCAACCAGCCTACCTCAAGGCTGCTTTGAAGGACGATGGCTTGAAAGAGATTCGTGCCGGACTCGACGTACTGGGTTCCACTGGTTGGAGAATCAATAAGGCTGTTTTTGACGTGATGCTTGAAGCATGGAATGACGGAGGGCCGATTGCAAAACTTGCGCCCGTTGAGCCAGATCTGCCACATCCTGCACAGCCAGACCAGGACGCAGACTTTGCCACACAGTCGGCATGGAACCGAAGGGTGCGTGAGATTGAGAACATCCGTTCCGGATTCCACTCTGTGCGATGTTTCCAAAATTTTCAGCTCGAGGTTGCACGATCTTTCCGGAAGGAGGTCTTTTATCTGCCCCATAACATGGATTTCCGCGGGAGAGCATACCCACTTCCTCCGTACCTCAATCAGATGGGCGCTGATAATGCCAGAGGATTGCTACTTTTCGATAAGGGCAAGCCTCTTGGCGCGGCTGGCTTGCGCTGGTTGAAGATTCAAGTTGCCAATCTTTATGGTTTCGATAAAGCAAGCATGTCCGAGCGAGCACAGTTCACCATGGACCACCTGGACGATGTTCTTGACTCCGCTAATCATGGACTGCATGGACGGCGGTGGTGGCTTCAGGCCGAAGATCCATGGCAGCTTTTGGCAGCTTGTAACGAGCTTCGCAATGCCATGCTTCTGCCCGACCCCACTGAATATGTCTCTCACCTTCCAATTCACCAAGATGGCTCGTGCAATGGTCTTCAACACTACGCAGCTCTTGGTGGTGACTCGGTTGGTGCCCAGCAGGTCAATCTGGAACCTTCCGATCGCCCCTCTGACGTTTATACTGGTGTCTGCGACTTTGTCAAAGAAGCAATTGCAAAAGATGCAGCCAACGGCCATGAGCTAGCCGTGCTCCTTGATGGGAGAGTCACCAGAAAGATTGTCAAACAGACAGTCATGACTAATGTCTACGGTGTGACCTTTTTGGGAGCGACGAGACAAGTCAAAAGACAGCTGATCGATTACCTTCCTCACTTGACTCCCATTGAAAGAAACCAGTGTTCCACTTATATCGCTAAACAAATTTTCGGTGCCCTTGGAACTATGTTCAATGGAGCCCATGAGATTCAGTATTGGCTTGGTGATTGTGCTCATCGCATTACCCAATCCGTCACCCCAGAGCAGGTGGAAGAACTCACCAAACAAGCATTGGCACCCAACTCACGGTCAAGCACCACAACGTCTACCAAGAATCTCGACCCAGAGAAAGCTTTCAGGTCAACTGTGATTTGGACCACACCACTGGGTCTCCCCGTCGTCCAGCCATATCGAACTCGAAGAGCGCGCCGTGTTCAGACTAGTTTACAGGATATCAACATTCTCGATCCCAGCTCTGATGATGTGGTTCAAAAGCGCAAACAGCTCCAGGCGTTTCCTCCCAACTTTATTCACTCTCTCGATGCCACGCACATGATCTTGTCCGCCAATGCGTGCCATGAAGCGGGTTTGACCTTCTCTGCCGTCCATGACTCCTTCTGGACCCATGCTGCCGACATTGATCAGATGAATTGCATCCTTCGAGACGCATTCGTTCGTATGCATTCTGATGATGTTGTCGGGCGTCTTGGCGCTGAATTCAAAGTACGATATGGCAAGAATCTGTTTTTGGCCAGAGTCAGCCGCAATTCTAAAATTGGCAAGGCCGTCGCAGGACACCGTGCTAGTGTCAAAAAGATCCCAAAGCTTCAAGAATTGATCCGTGAACATCAACGACAAACTCTTCTCAACTCGTCAGACCCAGAAGATCAGGCCGAGGGTCGTTCGATGGTGACGCCCGCCAGTATTTTCGAAGAAATGGGTGGCAAAGACGACGACTTGACCCTCTTCAAAACAATGGGTCAGAACTCAATTGGTCACATCCCAGATGATGTCCCTGCAGTCGAACGGACCCCAGCGGCAGGTGTAGTTGACATTACCGACCCGGCCGTCGACACCCTCGTTGGTGATCTCGACATGTTTGATGAAAAATCCCTTCGTAACGACCTATCCTCCGTCTTAGGGGAATATCTGGATGAAGATCCTTCCGGGCCTTCTGAGACGATCGAGGCAACCGAGGCAACCGAGGAACCCAAGAAAAAGACCAAGCGCGAGTTCACCACATGGCTCTGGATGCCCCTCAACTTCCGCCCAGTCCCTAAAAAGGGTGACTGGGATCTCACCCGAATTCGCGAGAGTGAATACTTCTTCTCGTGAGGCTCTCAGCATCATCCTGAGAGTCCCAACCGCATTTCGCTGGCGTTATTGCATACCTTGCCATTTTTGTTTAGCCCAATTCGGGGTGCTCTGGAAGAGCCACTCCCGGATACATCTAGCTGACTTGTAATTTCCTGTATATTTTCTCATTTGCATCTTGTATATTACACATATTTTGGAGGAGATGAGTGCATTGAGGACGGAGAAGAAAAAAAGAATAATTATGCATATACTAGCGATGTACAAATATGATTTCCAGACTTTCACAGTTCCCTTTCGTCCGAGGATTTACCCATCCCTGTTTAGTTAGCTTCATATGTATGTGCGATGTGATGGTTATGTGCTATGTCACATATTTGACTGGTCTGTAGCAGTTTGAAAGGAAACTCTAAACTACATGTATGTATATAACCGGACCAGGGTCCAAATCCCTATTTAGGCAAAATACAGAGCAGGTCTCGATAGTCTGACACGGATCTAGCCGCTTTGGTGCGTTGCTAGCTCCATCATAACGTCACATAATGCTCGGTCGGTTAAAGAGTCTGCAGCCGGCATTTAGAACCCCGGCTGCTTTGCCGGCATGTTATATGCACAAACTTGGCCCGACCCCTGGCCAAGACCGGGGTAAGGCACCGAGACGTTTTGAGGGGTTCAGCTCCGACTGTCTTCCGCTCCAGGTCCGCTTTTCCAATTGAAATACGGGGGTCAAGGCGAGATGTTCCTGGTATAGATAGCCGGTTGGGGTCTACCTAAGTAGAGGGAGTACCTAAGTAGAGGGAGGGTAGGGCGAAAAGGGTAATACTGCCGGATATAAGCGAGAAACAAAAACCTCTGCAGCGACGAAATAAGTGTGGTCAAATGGATTAATGGGGTTGGTGGAGGAAAGAAACATATTAAAAGAAGACAAGGATTAAGGACTCGAAGCATAGAGTGAGAAAGCAGTATGCTTTGTAGCTGGGGAACTTTTGAAGGGGATATAGACAAAACTACCCTGACTCCGAACACGTGCCATTCCCCCGCCTTTTTGTAACTTGACAACTTCCCCAGATCTTCGTATTTCGGATTTTTGTGATCTTCAAGCATTTCTTGTATTCGTTTTACATTCCCACTGACCCTCGTTCTATCATTTTTTGCACTTTTTGTGTGAAGCTTTTGGGTCCTCGGCTCCGCTCCGCCTCAGGGAGAAAAAAAAAAGTCGCCTCCGAAAGTCTGGGGTCATTGCACCTGCAATGCCGCTGTAACTTGTTTCTACCTTGCGCAACATTTTTCTGGTGCCCAAGACGACAGGAGAAATTTAAGATTCTGCCGATCTATCTCGCCTCTCTATGTCGCCGTAGTCCTGTCCCACCTCCTGGGAGAAGAATGTCGATGACCTCCCTCCAGTCCTTCGCGAACTCTTACTCTCCTTTTTCGTCTCAATCTAAACGAATGACACAATCCCAAACCCCCGGGTTAGACACGCTTGCGGAGGGGTCGCAGTATGCGCTGGAACAACTGCAGTTAGCAAGGGAAGCCGGTGCTGCTGCGAATACCCCGACCGACCACGGCACCTCTCTCGCCGATAGTAAGCCGCCCCAACACACTCAACATTCACTCTACAGTGATCAACGCGGTTCCAGTTCCTCTTTGAGGGACTCTCAGTCGCGCGATTCACTTGCGGAGGCGCGCTCCTCCATTCGCAAGAACTCGTCTGCAACTCCGGTCCGTCGGAGAATTAGCCGGGCGTGCGACCAGTGTAACCAATTGCGTACCAAGTGTGATGGGCAGAACCCATGTGCGCACTGTGTTGGTATGGTTCCTTCAATGTTTTTTTTTTTTTTTGTCGCGTCGCGGTTCGACTAATGGATTTCAGAATTTGGACTCAGCTGTGAGTACGCCCGCGAGCGCAAGAAGCGTGGCAAAGCGTCGAAAAAGGATATAGCTGCTGCCGGCAATAACGATAGCGATATCGGCCCCAACGATCTTTCGCCACGTACAACGGGACATAATTCAAATGGACCAGCTCTACACGAATCTAACGATCATTATGACCCTGCTTTTGACGCCGCGCGCACTTTGACAGAGGGGGCGCAGGCCCGATCACATAACACAGAAGTAGCTGGAATATCTACAATGCGACAAAATCCAGCATCCGGCCAGGCGCCCTCTCAGCAACATATGAGCTCCACAATGGCGGGCATGCCATTTAGCAACTACGCAGCGCTCCAGGAATCTCATCGACCCCCAATGTCTGTGCCGGACATGCGCTCTATACAGATGATGCAAAATTCAAATGGGAACCCTCGATCGCCCGGTTCAATACTTCATGCCCAGAGCTTCTCCTCTGGGTATAATGATGGCTCGTACTCGTTGATGAATACGCAAGATCCAAACCCGACCTCTATGAACCAGTTCCGAATTGGAAACTCAGCGGACAACCCATCAGCCTCCTTCATGGGCTTCTCTCCTCCAGCCCAGTCACCCAGCTGGTTGCCATTGCCTTCACCCTCCCCCGCCAACTTCCCCTCCTTCAGCATGCCTCCTTTCGCCACTTCATTGAGATACCCTGTCTTGCAGCCAGTGCTTCCCCATATTGTGTCTATAATCCCCCAGTCCCTTGCTTGTGATCTTCTTGACGTCTACTTCACCAGTTCCTCCTCTTCACATCTTTCCCCCTCATCGCCATATGTGGTTGGCTACGTCTTCCGCAAGCAGTCGTTCCTTCACCCCACAAAACCCCGCTCGTGCAGCCCCGGTCTTCTTGCCAGTATGCTTTGGGTTGCTGCCCAAACAAGCGAAGCCGCATTCTTGACATCACCTCCCTCAGCTCGTGGTCGAGTCTGCCAAAAGCTGCTGGAATTGTCGATTGGCTTACTCCGGCCGCTGATCCATGGACCTGCAACCGGAGAGGCATCTCCGAACTATCCAGCTAATATGGTGATCAATGGTGTTGCTCTTGGTGGTTTCGGTGTCTCAATGGATCAATTGGGCGCACAAAGCAGCGCTACTGGTGCGGTTGATGACGTCGCTACATATGTACATTTAGCGACTGTCGTCTCCGCCAGTGAATACAAAGCCGCCAGTATGCGCTGGTGGACAGCCGCATGGTCCCTTGCTCGAGAGCTCAAGCTGGGCCGCGAGTTGCCACCTAACGCGACAAACCGCCAAGACGGCGAAATGGAGGGGGACGGAGACATTGATGTCAATGGAAACAAGAGACAACCGCAATCACTTATGGGCCATGGCCCGGGCAACTCCGCCATTAATCTCACAGAAGAAGAACGTGAGGAGCGGCGTCGAATTTGGTGGTTGTTATATGCAACGGACCGCCATCTGGCGCTTTGCTATAATCGCCCCTTGACTCTTCTAGATAAAGAATGTGAAGGATTGTTACAGCCGATGAACGATGACATCTGGCAAGCTGGCGACTTCTCATCTGTTAGCTATCGCCGTGCCGGTCCGTCCTTCGAGTGCACCGGCCATAGCATGTTTGGTTATTTCTTACCTTTGATGTCTATTCTTGGTGAAATCGTGGATCTTCAACATGCTCGCAATCACCCACGTTTTGGTCTTCACTTCCGCAACAGCGGTGAGTGGGAAAGCCAAGCAATTGAGATTAGTCGACAGCTCGACGTGTATGCGCAGAGCCTGAAAGAATTTGAGGCCCGATATACCAGCTCCTTGGCCCTAGGAACTGCCGAGCCTGACACAGTCATGGAGGGCTCCAATGTCAATCATATGAGCCCATCTGGTCGGTCAAGTAGCACGGTAGGGTCGCATGTTAGCGAGTCTATCGTCCATACGAGAATGGTGGTCGCATATGGCACTCACATAATGCACGTTCTCCATGTTCTGCTGGCTGGAAAGTGGGATCCGATCAATTTGCTCGATGACAATGACCTCTGGATTTCCTCGGAATCCTTCATTACCGCCATGGGTCATGCAGTCAGCTCCGCTGAGGCAGCCTCGGATATATTGGAATACGACCCTGATCTGAGCTTCATGCCATTCTTCTTTGGCATATACCTCCTGCAGGGTAGCTTCTTGTTACTCTTGACCGCGGACAAACTGCAAGGAGACGCTAGTCCCAGTGTTGTGAGGGCTTGCGAAACAATTGTGCGAGCGCATGAAGCTTGTGTCGTGACCTTGAACACTGAATACCAGGTAAGCATCCGCCCCGACATGATTCCATATGAACCCGAGCTAACTGATCCTTCCCAGCGAACCTTCCGCAAGGTAATGCGCTCAGCTCTGGCTCAAGTCCGAGGCCGCGTTCCAGAAGACTTTGGCGAGCAGCAGCAACGCAGGCGTGAGGTGCTTGCCCTTTATCGCTGGAGCGGCGATGGTAGTGGCCTTGCACTTTAGGATTGCCGAGTATACGCACGGCATGTCGTTGGTTTCTTCCTGGAGCTCCCCGTATCTCTCTCATCTTGGTTACTTCTGGTGTAATGCGACCTGTATATTACTGATTGGATTTTGGACATACCCCGACGAGCGTAAAGGCGCACAGTTTTTTTGGTGTCTAAATAATGACTCGGCACATACAGTACCCAATTATATAATTTGTTTAACCTTTGTTGATTCACATTGAACACTGTTTGGATTTGTTTGAGGCCAAATCCGTAGATCTATACAAAATATCTGTCATGTGATGATGCCTATTCTAGCTCTAGCTCCAGCTCCTATCGTTAGATTCACCGCTTCAGCTTCAACACCTCACGACAATCACAAAAGGTCCTCATGGTTGCCAGCTGACCACAATGAAACCCTATATTGGAATTCCCTTGGTCGTCGCGCTCGTATACCGAGCCTGGACTCGCAAATCCCTTACCCCGCTCGGCCTCGTTGTTGCGGGATGCTCTGGCTCCGCACACGCATTCCACCCGTGGTCGGCCCCTTTCGCGCTGCTGGCGGTATTCTATTTCGGCGGAACGAAGGTCACAAGGGTATGAAACCACTATTATGACCACTTGTGTGCAAAATATCTCAGTCTTGAGATAAAATCTGTCGTTGACGTGACTGACGTATTTCGGTGACCATAGGTGAAACACGAAGTCAAGTCTCGCTTGACACTCTCGGCAACCGGTGCAGAGGGCAGTGAGGGTCCCCGAAACCACATACAAGTACTGGCAAATTCCATCGTCGCAACTGTGTTGTCCGTGGCCCATGCGCTTGTCCTGGCGAAAACATCAGGCGCGGAATCATGCTTCTCGCTCGGTCAGAATACGGCTGATATCCTAATGGTTGGAATCGTAGCGTATGCGACTTCCACGCTCTTTGTTTGTTTTGTATGGCTGCTAATCAAGTTCTACTTCATAGAAACTACGCTGCTGTTGCCGCAGACACTTTCTCCTCCGAGCTCGGGATTCTCTCGAAATCCAAACCCCGCCTCATCACCTCGCTAAACCTCCGTCAAGTACCGCCTGGAACAAATGGCGGTGTCACCGCCACTGGTCTGGGAGCTGGTCTTCTCGGATCATTTATTGTCTCCGCCACGTCTGCTGCAGTTCTTCCATTTTGTGCCAGCGCAAGCATTAAAGAGCGTGCGCTTTGGACCTTCGCCATGACTGCTTGGGGAACATTGGGCAGTGTGCTTGACAGCATTCTTGGTGGGATTCTACAGGCTAGTGTTGTTGACAAGAGAAGCGGTAAGATTGTCGAAGGGAACGGTGGTAGAAAGGTAAGTCTCAGGATAATATGCCGGGCATAATTAGGCGACAAGCTCTAAATTGTCAAATTAGGTTCTCGTCCATCCCTCAACTGGCAAGCCAGTTGATGCTGCTGGGAAAACTGCCGAATCTACCGGTACTACAAATGTTCAAGGTACCGCCATCTCACGTGGCAGCCAAATTTTAGGCACATCAGATCCGCACGGTGGAATCCATGAGAGCCGGCGTGTTGAGACTGGTCATGACTGGCTTGATAACAATGGAGTAAACCTCCTTATGGCTGTAACAATGAGTGTCGGTGCAATGGGAATTGCACAGTGGTTCTGGGGGCTTGATGTCACCGATCTGGTGGTGTAGACTGATACATTCACAGCGATTTCAGGACCTAGACATACCTTAACCAGCAGATGATATGTTCCTATCTGCATTTGCTAATCTCAGGTCTCTTCTTGATATGATTTAATGGACGCAAGAGAACAAATTCTCCCGTTTACAATTTGGTTGGTTGATGATGTTATTTGACAATTTGATCAAGATACCTAAATCTCTCAGCATAGAAAGTTTGGCAACCTCTTTGTCTAACATGAATAGCATATGTCCATTCATGATGATTATCCGGGTGTCTTTGTAGTCATGTCTACCTTCAATATGTAGCGTGAGATGATAAGATACATTGTTTCTAGATATAACTTCTCTATCTATACATGTGTAGGTGATAATTGTTCATCTTTGGGCATTTTTCCCTTATATGTTATAGGCTCTTTGTTATAGTCTTTTGAGAGGTCTTTTGAAAGACTATTTGAGCCTGTTTACAATAGCCCATAGATCATAGAAAAAGGCTTTTTCCTTTTTGCATGGGGTTTAATAGAAGAAGTGGCGTGTGTGGCCGCCTCTTCTTGCCTGTCTCTTCTCCAGGGTTCCTCTCCTCCTCGCCAACCGCCCAACTTAACGCGAAACGCGTGATCACGTGGCATCATTGGCCCTACTTTGTGAGTCTATCATGCATTCCTGTACTCGAACATGTTCACGGTTAGGTAGCCTAAAATAAAGATACTGACAAGTTACTTACATTCATAGAATGAGAAATCAGTGTTCATCATGGCTTTCCGCACGCGCAAGAGGCCTCTCTTCCGCGTTGTAGAGCCGACTTTCCAGTTTCTCCATGAGACTGAAGCATCGAAGACCATTACGTATGAGCCTGATCAATCTGAGTTGCTTGCTACCTATGGGTATGAACAGAGAGAGTACCTCATGTCTGGTGTTGCTGCTAGATCATCATACTGCACCCGTGTTCTGCTTCGACGTCCCGCGGATCCGTTGAGGTTTTCTGGTCTCGTCATTGAGGAGCCTGCTCATCTGTGGGGCGGAACAACCGTATGGCGGTTGATAGATCGGTGGATTATGCGAAATGGTAAGTTATCTTTCTATGTTGTCTGATATTTGGACTAATCGTCGAGAAGGCCATGCCTGGTTGGGAGTGGATTCGCAGGGTCCAGCCGCTATTGACCAGACCAAGAGGCTTGATCCGGATCGCTACAAAGAAATGCACTTCAAACCGTGCCCACCCTTGGATGATTTCATGAAGCCCCTTCCCCGCATCGGCAACATATCCAACGAGGAGTACTTGGACAACTACGGGGACTTCAAGACCAAATGGTCCGTTGCAACTTCACAGTCTCCTGAAATTCTCACCGCCGCATCGCATGGTCTGAGAAATGGGAACATGGAAATTTGCGCAATGGGCATCATTCTCTGTGGCCATTGCCAATCTGGAGACGTGGTCCGGAATTTCATTATTGATTCATCGCATCTGCATCTGCCTGGTGGACACGTCCCATTCGAAGGATACATGCCATGCCAGTCCGACGGTGGCCCTGCGCTTCTCGATATGCCTAATGCCAAGATCATTGAAGTTTTCGGAGAACAAGATATCCTGTGGACCAAGAACCTTTACGGAACAGTTGAAGAGCCTATTCCGCACCGTCGCTTCGACAGCGGTGCCTTTCGGCTTTATGAAGTTCCGGGATTGCCTCATCGGGAGTCTCGATACATTTCGCTAGCTGAGTTGAAGCGCCTATCGGGTGTCAATCTTCTAGGTACTACTCCGTGGACTACATTCGGTGCTCCTTTCCTGTACAGCGCTATTTTCGATTCGATGGCGAGATGGATAAGCGCAGTCCGAGATCCCCCCGCAGTGCTCTCATCGCTACTATCGATTCATCCGAGGAAATTGAGCGGGACATTTTTGAGACTGCCATCGGTGGCGTTCGAACTGTTCATACAGACGTGCCGGTTGCGAGGACTATCAATGATTCCCCCAAGGACCGGCCGCATTGGTTCAATGGTATGCAGATTGCTGTCAGGTTGTGCGAAAATTGTCTTTGCTAAAGTTCTCTCGCCTTAAGGAAAAGATGTTGCCTTTACGCCCACCCAGATGCTGGAGATCTACAAATCGCTGGCAAACTTTCGACGCCAGGCAGCTGACGCCATTTATCGACAGGTTGTGAATGGGTTTCTGTTGCCCGAAGATGCTGAAATCTTGCGTCGCGATGCACTTGAGCATGTGACTTTCTAGGTCTACTAGCTGATCTCATCAAATGACCCTGGGGGCTTTGTCCCAATAGTGGGGTGACTTGTTTCAGATCTAAGTAATAAGGCTTTCACTTTCAATACATCAATTTTACATTACAATGTTCCAATCTAACCGATAGCGTGTTATTATGTGAGTGCTTCAGTCAACCGAAGCAAAAACTCGAGACCAAGCCCCAGAGCTGGGATCACACGATCTCCCCACGAGAAAAGGAGGCTGGTTTGGAAAGAGTGCTGTGTCGGCCCATTCCTATAGACTACAACAGGCTACATGGCCTGTAGAAAGCCCGAACATATCAACTTTCCAGTAACTAAGGCCATGGAATGCATCTCACCTCCATTTGTTTTCTGTCATTTCTCTCTTTCCTCGTCCTCATCTCTGCCACCTCCCCTACCTTGGTTTCACTTGATGTGATCTTTCTTGCTTGCAACAACATTTGTGCAGTCAATATTGACCGTCATTATTTTCCATGCATGCTTCGAAGGCCCGCTTCCCCGTTGGTCGTTCGTCGTCGTCGGGTCCTACATGTTGTTATCGAGTCCTACATATTCGGGCTATTGGCGCAAACCTGTTCGGCGAATTGAGCGCGCCAACTTACAGGTAGCCTAACTTGAGCGGAACCTCGGCTCTTTTGAATCAGTTTAACCTTGGAAGCTGCAGTTTGGAATTAAATCAAAAGTTTCACTTTGTTCATTCAATCATTCAAGTCAATACCTCCCAATTAGCTGGATGTGGGCTTTTCTATAAAGTTACTAACACTATGGACCTTTTTGGCCGTGGTTTGATTGTGATATCGAAGGAATTAATGCTAGATATGTTCAATTAGCATCAGCAGGTATATTGGTAATTATGGATTTGGCAAGTGAACAAAGAATTGTATTCAAGGGAATTCGCCGCTTAATCTGCCAGAGTTCTCCAATGTGACACCAAAATCGGCGCAGCCCTAACAGATCATCCAGTTATAGATCTTACTAATAAACTCACCATGTCTTGCAACTTGATGTGAAAGCTTCAGTCATGTACGATCAATCACAATCGCAGTGCCCAGTGTAAGGCTGATGGGGCCTGTTCATTCTATTAAAGTTGGTGGGATCAAAGTTAGCCAGTAGCAAAGCCTTAACCGTGTGTCCCCATACAAAATCCAAACACACTCCATTCTGTTCACCAACCAAATACAATTATTAAGCGCTCAAATTGTAGCCTAGACTCTCATGTTGTTAATACAACAAGGCTTCGTCGCACAGAGCTAGTGCCCCTGTCTATCATCACAAGTACTGTTCATGCTTTGATCGGGATATAAAAATATCGTAAGCCACCTCTTCAACTTATTTCCCTCGTTCAGTCAATCTAAATACTATACTTGTCATCCTTAGTGTTATTCTTTACTGTTATACCATTCTTTACGGTGATCAAACAGCCTGTTTCTCATAATGGGCCTCATCAAACTTTTGCTTAAGGCAATTCTCATTCCAATTGTTCTCGTCATTGTCCTCTCCGTCGTTGTGGTTCTCGCTATCAAAATGCGCCGAGATCGCAAGAGGAAAGAGAAAGAGCTTGAGGATTCTTTCCAGGCACCCCCTATACAGCAATGGATGCCTTACACCCCTGTGCAACAACCTGCCCCAGTATATGCCAAGACGCCAGGAGCGATGGAACAAGGGATCGGAAACGGACAGCCTTGAAGAACACACACTTTTGGTAACGATGTATCCCCAGGCGCACAGTGCGATAATCGCTAATTATGGAGACACTAAAGATCTTTTCACCTGACCAAAGATTTCTCAATCCATAACTTGCTTGTTTGATTTTTTTCTTCTTACAGTTATGTCACAGAGAATTGTATAGAGGTTGTTTGATATTTGGATATATGGTTCTGAGCAATCATTCATTGCACAAGGCTTTATGTTGTCTAAGACTCATCTCTGAAACCTGTACTCCGTACTACACGGGGGATTGCCACAACCTCATCACATTTTCATTTAGCTAGAAGTGAGCGGGCTCTTTCAGACCAGCGTAGCCAATGAACTGCTTGACATGTAACGTCTTTTACCTGTGAGACCTAGATCTCCTTTCAACCTAGGGTCATGGGTAGTAGGGCTGCATTGATCCCAGTTGCGGTGGACGAATCACAACCGAGCTCTGATAGTGGCTTTATCCTATATTAATTAGCAGTCTAGCTTCGTGTGAGTAATCCTGCTGCCTGAAATGTGGAATTTCAAGCTTTTCGTAAAATCAACCGTCGAGCGATGAGCCTGTATGTGCAGATTTTTGCTCCTCATATCATAGACATAAATCAGCAACACCATAGTTAACCTGTTTAAATTAACGAACCCCACTTTACCTACATTAATGGATGTAAAATGATTATATGCTCACCTTTAGCGCCAAGATTCAGCCCTACGAGGTGACTCCACCGTTGATGACCCCAATCCCTACATTCCTGGTCACTAGTGCATGATAAAAGGGCCCGATTCAACGCCCCCTGCTGATCTACGTCACTTTGCTTCCTAGTAAAATAAAATTCTCATGGTATCCAAAGATAAAAGGTCTGTAACAATTTGTAACTAGTATCTGTAAATCTGTATCATAATTCCCAATTAATCTCAGACCAGGGGAGCATCTACTGCATCCGGATGAACAAAAAACGCGATTGCGATGATCAAATATCTAGCAGAAAACGTCAGTAAGAGAGGCAATTGAATAAAAGTCATGGGTAAAATATATACTCACGTTCCAACCAGTAAAGACCCTTCGTAATAATTTGACCGACCCCCGCGAATCAAACAGTCCATCACTATCACTGATAGAAAAAAGACCACAGTCTCAAAAGGACTATATCGTAGAGACATCGGTTGTCCGATCACCAAGCCACACATGACTAGGAACGGACTGACGAACAGTGCGATCTGTAAAGTGCTGCCCACAACCACGCCAATCGCAAGGTCCATGTTCCCCTTGATCGAAGAATTGATCACCGTGTTGAATTCTCCTGCATTTCCAACGATGGGAACCACGATCAGGCCAATAAAAGCGCGGCTCACATGCCACTTGTCCACGAAGCCATCCACGCTGTCGACCAAACGATCAGAGCATACAGTCACGCCCAGTGTTGCAAGGATCAAGATAATGCTAGCCGGCCAAGGTCCTAAGACTTGATCTTCCGCCTCCTCTGACTCGTCATCAACGAAAAGCTCGGAGTGGCTTTTCAGTTGGAAATAGAGATAGACCAGGTAGAAAATAAGTAGCACCACGGAGGCGGCACGAGAGAGACTCAACACGCTAGCTTCCACGTCGTGGGACTTGGACGATATGGTTGAATAAAGTACAGATGGAATAATGAGTGTTGCCGAAGAAACAACCATCAAGGAAGACAGGATACCACTGACGTCGACATTGAATGTCACGGCATCTTTTGCATAGCCGCCACAGAACAATGACACACCTAGGATCTAACTCATGGGTAAATAAAACGAAGAGGTACACCTCAAGAACAAAACTTACCAGAAGGTTTCCTGAAAGGATACTTCCAACCATACTAGATTGGACAATATTAATTTGTCCCTGCCGAACAGCCGTAATTCCCACCTAACCAACACCATTAGCTTCCCCACTCGAAATAGGACCAAAAGTCCGATTACTTACGATCATCTCAACCGCGTTTCCAAATGTTGCATTGATCAAACCCCCGACCGTTTGTCCCACACTCTTAGCCAATTCCTCTGTGGCGAAGGACAGTAATGCGGCGAGAGGAAGGATAGCCAGGAAATTGAAAACAAAAGCGATAGAATCATCCCATCCTTGACTCCCTGCCGTCATCCCCAAAAATACAAACGGGAGAAGCAAATTTGTGTAACTGCATCCTAGGGTACTTTTGAAAACACGTAAAACAGAGTTGCCTAGGAGCCCAGGGTGTTTGAAGTGAGAGTCGTTTGCAGTGCACATCTCCGCAGGCTTTGCTTGTTCTCCAGTTTGATCTTGGTCCTCTTGCCCACGTCTCAATGCTTTATTCTCAGATAAATTCTGAGCCATGTCCTCTGGGCCAATTTTGGTTGACTTTCGCAGTCGTGGGTGAGGAGTATCCATGGTGTCGGGAAGGAGTGAGAAAAATGACCGCAAAGATTGGCTTTGGGAGAGATGATGTATTTCTCCACAGCTAGGCAGGCACTGGAGCCCTACCCATCTCTGTAATACAGTACTAATGTACCAATTCAATTGGAAGATTTCGACGTGTCCCAAGTGCAAGCGCTAAACGTGCAGATATAGTACGTACAAGTATATGTAATACAGGTATGGTATCATGTATTTCAACAAAACACCGAGCCTCAATTTGCCCGCGGCACTGGAGAGATATGGGGGTGATTCGATTACCCTTCTCTCGGCTTCATCTTCATTATATGTTTGCCAACGTTCCAATCATGGCAGTCCAAAATTATCGTGGCTTCTCGGTTCTGGTGCCCCTCGTCGGTATCGCATCAGGAGCTTTGAAGTTGAACAGTGCTGCGATTTTCATATTCAACACCATCGCTCTAATACCGCTAGGATCATGGATTAACCGATCAGTTGATGCTCTATCCGTGGATGGGATGCGAGCCGTCAATGAGTTATTAAAGTCAACTTTGGGCAACTCCGTGGAATTGATGGTAACACCCCGGTTCTATCTCCCGCCCGAACGTGAGCTAATTTCCATCTCTTCGCCCTTAGATCGGGATAAATGCGATCGCCCAGAAACGACCACATGTCTCACAATCTGTGATCCTCGGCAGTGTGCTCAGCAACCTACTACTGGTGAGTTGCATCATCAGAAAATGGCCGTCAAGCGCTTCGTTCTGATATGAAAACCACCATCCAGGTACTAGGCGGCACTCTCTTCTACTCCGGATACGACCAGAAGCGGTTGCGTTTCGATCGTCACCTCACAACAGTCCTCTCTTCCTTAATGATGGTCGTCTTCATTCTGCTCGCTATCCCCACGATAACGGACGTGTTCCCCTCCTCCAAAACCACCCCAGCAGACCAAATACTCTTCACCCAGCGTGTAACAGCCGTGGTTCTGATCGCTCTCCTCATCACATTCCTCTTCTTTCGCCTCAGTACCCACGCGAGCATGTTTGCCAGCACCCCATTCAGCCAACGGGATCACCCCCGCAACCACCATCAACATCGCCAGAGTCAAATCATCGATGCTCAGATAGCCAGTCCTTATATTGAGAAGGGCCCTGCGACATTGATATTACTTGCTGCAACTGGGTGTGCGCTGGTATGCACTCATAACATAGTAAGCAGTTTAAGTGGACTCGCCGCTATTACGGGGGCAAATCAATCTTTCTTGGCTGTCACTCTCATTCCCCTGCTTGGAAACTCTGTCAAATATGGTTCCATTATGACGGGATCTAGGTCATATGGTCAAGTTGAGCTTGGGATTAGGGCAGTAATTAACACTGTCTTGCGGATTACGATGCTCATTGCTCCGCTTCTGGTTCTTATTGGTTGGGTATTTGAGACGCCGCTTGTTCTGCAGTTTGATGGCTTTGAGGCAACCACACTTTTGCTGAGTGTTGTTGTTATGACCTACCTTATTTCTGATGGGCGAAGCAATTACTTTGAGGGATTGATGCTGATTGGAACGTAAGTTTGTCTTCTCCTTCCATGAATATTGGGGTTCATCGGGGCTTATCTTAATCTAGGTATTTTATCATCATGGTCTCATTCTTTGTCCGGCCCGAGGTTCCAGCTAATATAAGCTTTGTGGGGTCTTAGATTCCTTGTTTCATGAATACAACTTAACAAACCAAGTTGCTTCTATAGCAACCTGAATCTATGACACGAAGCACGCGATAAAATGTTAAAATTTCTAAACTGAACCGAAAGAGGTGTGACTCTAGCGCGTGTAAAATGCAGCAACTAAGCCAGCGTATCTTTACTAGAGTGTTAGTATAGGCATCTCACCTGAGGTCAGCGAGAACGGGGATGAAACTTACAAAGCTAGGAGCATGGCACCATGAATATATGCATACTGGCCATCTCTGAGAAGATGGTTCACCACCAGAATGGCGAGGAACATAGAAATTGTCTGAAACGAGTCAAAGAAAAGAGTCATCGGCTGTGCAATGCACCAGCCAACAATTACCAAAAACGGAATGACAAATAGGCCAATCTGCAAAAGGCTATCGATGATGACCCGGATAGCAGAGTCGGTATCGCCCGTCTTAGATGACGCAATAACAGTCACACCCTCAGTACTATTACTCGCAATTGGAATAAAGACAATTGCGATGAATACCTCAGAAACACCGAGCGTTTGCGCCATGTCTCCAGTACTTTCTATGAGCAGCTCGGTGCAAAAAATTGTAGCCGCGACGGCTGTCGTAAGCCGGATAATTGATGAAGCAAGGCTAGCTTTGTTCTGGGGTATGGAGCTTGCGGCATCTTCATCGTCACTCGACTCGCTATCGCTCGACAGGAAAAGATGTTTGTGGGTTCCGAGGTAGAAGTAGAGATAGCCGGCGTAGAGAATGAGAAGTACTACTGCCGTTCCCCTTGAGAAGGATAGGACTCTATCATCGATCTCAGATACTGGGAATGTTGAGTATAGAGCTGTTGGAAGGAGCATTGTCACGGCTGTGATCATCATCAATGAGGACAGAGTCTTCGCCAGGGCACCGTTGAATTCCAGAACATCTTTGTTGTAAGAAGCTGTGATGAGGCAAGCGCCAAAGATCTGGGTGATTCAGTTAGTTCGCTGAAATGAAACCCGCAACCTATCCCCTCATAGTCAAGACTTACTAGGAGAATATCTGAGAGAATACTTCCAACCATAACAGACTGCGCAAATGGGATCTCGCCATGCACCAAAGCCAGAGTCCCGGCCTGTTTTCAATTAGCATGGCGATATCCAAGGCTAAGATCAAGTGAAAGCTCCAACTTACAGTCAGTTCAACGGTGTTCCCGAAGGTCGCACTGAGCAAAGCACCCTGCAGCTCTCCTAAATGTTCGGCGAGTTTGTCAGAGGAGACTGAGATAGCCTCCGATAAGAAGATAATGGCGACAATGTTTACGACCAGAATTACGGTCGCGTTCCAGTGAAAAAGCTTCGCAGCACCCGCGAGAGGAAGTAGCATCATGACTGGTATATTAGGACTGATGTTGAGTCCTTGGGCGGGTATATTGATCCATGCCTGGACTCGAGTCCACGGGTTTTCTTCGATATGATGTCGCTGGCGCTGGCGATGCTCGCGACATGAAGCCTGCATATCTCGTTGGGAGGGCATGATATTGAAATTCTAAGCTTAGAAGTTCCTTGAACCAATGAATCGAACCAAGGGAGATCCGATGCTCAAGTGGGATGCGACCGGGCAAACCATGGGGTTTCAACAAGTACGATACACTTTGACGTTTTCTTTACACGAAGTTTACACAAAGTTACACGAATGTTACATAAATTGATATTTTGCAGTATTCAGCCTTATGGGTGTTATTTTACAGCCCTATTACTAGCGTGAACAGTCATCTGACTGTTTCAGATATCCACATTGAAGACGCATGGGGTTTTGATAGGGCTGAGTGTATTTACCCGTCTTTTAGCAAGGCAACAACATTATCTTCCAGCCTTATGCTTGAGTTCCCATACTGAACTTGTCCTATAAATATTATTGGAATAACGATCGCCATATTATGTTACAACTATTACCCCTCTCTGCTCTGTGCTTCACGACTAGTAAGCTTGGCTGAAGGTATTGTCATTAATCACGTCTACGCATCCCCCCCCCCCCACCTCGGCAATGCATTATCTTTATTCTTGGTCTCATTTACTGTTTTTTTAGCATCCTGTGAGTTCAAAGAGCCGCATACCTGTTGCAAGGCCTGACCTCTCGACTGATCCAAACATTCCAGCAATTCCACCATATTTCCAAGATCAACAACTCGAAGATTATCCGACGCGGCTCGTATTTCGGAACGCGCTTATCAAACAGCCCACACCTCAATCGAACCCCAAACAACAGTCGGTTTCTGTCCCCACTGCCTGTGATCTATGGACGATCTCCCTCTCTCCCTCGAGTCGCTTCAAAGGGCGGTCAGTGAACTCACAGCGTCATATCATGATCGGGGATGGGCAAGTGAAGCCACAGACCTGGAGCGGGCAATCGAGACAGCGGGGAAGCGGGTATTGGCAATAGATGCCGATCCCGACCCAACGACCATAATCATTGAAGAGCTCAGCGCCTGTGTGAGGAGACGACTGCAAGCCAAATCATGGATTGCTGCCGAGGATCTGGGCATCTTGGTGCTGAGTACGTGCGAGAGCCTGAAAGGCGAATGGGACTCCATGACCATGACGGCGATGAATAATCTTGCATCTGCATATTGGGGCCGTGGCCAGCTGGACCAGGCGGCTGCTCTTGCTGCCCGGGTTACGGGTCTTAGACAGCAGACTCTCGGCGAGGACCATCCGCAGACCTTGGCTTCAATGAACAATCTCGCTTCCACCTATCGGAGCAAAGGACTTTGGCTTGACGCCCTGAAGCTTGATACAAAGATTGTGGAGCTGAAGAAGAAAACCTTTGGTACTCGGCATCTTTCAACTTTGGGGTCGATGTCGAATTTGGCGATCTCGTATTCCAATCTTGGTCAATATGAGGAGGCAGAGTCGATTGCGCAGGATTTGGTGGATATTGGGGAAAGGGGATTGCCTGAGACAGACCTCTCGTTATTAAATTGGAAGCTCACCTTGGCATCGACTTACCGGGATCAAGGACTGCTAGATTCCGCTGAGAAGCTCGAGCAGGAAGTCGTCGCTATCAGTCGGGACGAATTCGGAACCCACAATCCCTTTACGTTGACCTCTATGGCTAATCTTGCCACCACATACCGAGAGCAAAGGCGTTGGTCGGATGCAGAACGGCTTGAAAAAGAAGTAGTGGAGAGCAGCGAGAAGAACCTTGGTGAAACACATCCACAAACTCTGATGTCAATCAGCAATCTTGGTTCAACATACCGCAGCCAAGGCCGGCTTGAAAAGGCCAAAAAGCTCGGAGAAAAGGCTACAGCAGTAATGAAAGAGGTTCTCGGGGAGCGACATCCATGCACACTGGTCGCGATGGCGGATCTCGCAGTTACCTATCAAATGAAGCGACAACTACCTGATGCTGAGATCCTTGCAGTCCGGTCTCTGCACTTGATGGAAGAGACAATAGGCAAAGACCACCCTCACACACTGAGCGCGATGGCCAATCTGGGATACATCTACCAGTCGCAGAGCAAATGGGATGTTGCCGGTGGAATGGCGGAGACTGTACATGCACGCAGAGTAAAGACAAATGGTACCAATCACCCAGATACTCTGGCTGCACTGGAGGATCTGAGGAGGGTATCTTGGGTAGAGGCGGCCGATCAGAATGCACAGCGTACGTTGAATTAGACTCTGTGGAGAAATGTCCGGGAGTTTTGGTTGCCGTTAGTCCACACATGGCCTTTATTAGCCAGTTTTGTTATAATTTTATGATATGAATGACCAATTGACAAGCTTTATTGGCGATACACCTTTTTTTGAATCCGCCATTTCGTCGGCAGGCGAGTCAAACTTTGGCATCGCAGGACCTTTTGTCGTGCACAGCCTCCTTGCCAAGACTGTGTCAACAATATAGTTGTGCAATGTCTGGGGAATTCGCTAGGTTCCATGTACATCATGCTCAGAGCACAGCACTGTGATGAATTCAGTTGCCTGCTTTATAGTGGGCCTAGTGATTCAGTTGCTGCTCGATCCAGGATATTGAGATGACTCAAGTTCATCTTTAGATAATATCGCGCTGATATATAGCTTGCTTAACTTATTGCACCCAATTTAGAAGCTTTACAGACAGTATTAACGTGCATACAGTGGGTAGCCTCAATATAGACAGTCTCCAGAGTTTTTAGATATGTTACGGGTTTAAGGTGAGATTTCATACTACAATATTGTACGTAGATATGTACCTTGTACTTCCGCAGCCCACAAGAACACAGGACCAAAGAACATACCAAGCACAAAACAAAAACAAAATAAAACAAAGCACAAGGCAATCAACAACTATTTGCGTTTGGCCCATCCAAATTTCCTAGACCCACCTCATTGCAGTAGTAGACGCGCAATTGTTACAATACGGATCCATTTTATTTTACAGTATTGGTATTTCTCAGAGCGCCTTTCCTTTTGACAGGGCCTCCCATTGTTATTTCCGACATCCCCTCATGACTCCAGGGCTGAAATGACGCCAACTTTGAATGGGTCTCAGGTTCCTAATTTCTGGTCTCGCAAAGTGAGTGCGCAGAAATCATATGTGAGCAAAACTAACCGAGACCAGAGAACCCTCCGATCGAGACGAGTCAATGATCAATCCACCGAGTTGACTTTGTTCACCTTCTCCCTTAACCCTGATGCGCTAAGCAACCTCGTCCAGTCTAGAGATCTACAGGCACTCAACACTCTAGGGGGTGTAAAAGGCTTAGAAGCTGCACTGCGAACCGATATCCAGTCTGGTTTGAGCCTCGATGAGGCCTATCTGGATTCACCTGCTAATGGTTCAACGAGCGCAGCATCCACAGAGAAAGGTGCTGCCCCTGAACATGGTCTGCCTACAGAATCACACTATGACTCTTTTATCGACAGAAAGAAATATTTCGGGGATAATCGACTACCAACAAAACCGCCTCCGAGTTTCCTGTCGTTAATGTGGGCAGCCTACAATGACCACGTGCTGTTCCTTTTGACTGGAGCTGCGATTGTCTCGCTCGCTTTGGGATTGTATCAAACATTCGGTACCAAGCACTCTGCCAACAACCCTCCTGTCGAATGGGTAGAGGGCGTCTCCATTCTTGTCGCTATTGTCGTGATTACTCTCGCTGGTGCGGCCAACGACTACCAAAAAGAATTCAAATTTCAGAAACTCAACAAGAAACAACAAGATCGCAAAGTCTGGGTTCTTCGCTCTGCGCGAACACATGAAGTGTTCATATCGGACGTTGTAGTCGGTGATGTTGTTCACATCAATCCAGGGGATATTGTGCCTGCAGATGGAGTGTTGATTAGTGGGCATCATATTAAGTGCGACGAGTCTTCAGCGACCGGCGAATCCGATGCAGTCGATAAGCACTCAGTCGAGCCAGTCTATAATGGCGATCCCGATCATAGGATTGATCCCTTTATCATTTCCCATACCAAGGTTGTGGAAGGTGTCGGGGCCTACCTGGTGTTGGCAACAGGAACTAGATCTAGTTATGGAAGAATTATTCTGTCTCTCGATACAGATCCAGGCTATACGCCACTCCAAATGCGGCTAAGCAACTTGGCAAAAAATATTGCCCGGTTCGGTGCCCTCGCAGCACTGGTGCTTTTTGTGATATTGTTCATCGAGTTCTGTGCTGGTCTTCGAAATAGCAGCGAGTCTGCTTCGGAGAAGGGACAGTCATTTCTGAACGTCTTTATTATCGCACTCACTGTCGTTGTGATTGCTGTTCCGGAAGGACTGCCTTTGGCTGTTACACTTGCCCTCTCGTTTGCCACCACGCGAATGATGCGAGATCACAACCTAGTTCGTCAGCTTCGAGCGTGTGAGACCATGGGACAAGCCACAGATATTTGCTCGGACAAGACCGGGACACTGACACAAAACGAGATGACCGTTGTCTCGGGCTTCTTTGGTCCAGGATCGCAATTGAACGATCAGGCAAGTGGCCTTGATAACTCTGATAAACAGCAATATTCATCTGTGGGTGTTGATACAAGCCATCTTTCGGACCAATCTATCTCACTCTTGAGGCAATCCATTGTCATCAATTCGAGTGCCATTGAAAGTCAAGATAGTGGAGGTCGACAATTCCTGGGCTCTCAAACAGAGGCTGGTTTATTAAGGTTCTCGCAAGACTATCTTGGGTTGGGCCAACTAGACTATGACCGTTCCAGTGCGGAAGTTATGGATGTTCTTCCATTCGACGCATCTCGCAAATACATGGTTACAATTATCAAGGTACCTGGCGGGCTGTACCGGGCCTACTTCAAAGGTGCTCCTGAAACGCTGCTCGGAAAATGTACCGCCACAATCGCGCAATCATCTGAGGAGACCCAAAGTACCCCAATCACCGATAACGCAGCTCAAGCTATTGGCTCGAAAATTTCTGAATTTGCCTCACGATCTCTGCGTACCATCGCCATTTGCTTCCGTGATTTGGATGAACTGCCCTTCAAAGGCGAGGAGGAAAATGTAGACTTTGAGCAAGTGATGCAAAACCTGACATTCCAAGGCATTCTTGGCTTACAGGATCCCCTGAGAGCCGATGCATGGGGCGCTGTTGACACAAGCCACAAAGCAGGACTCACCGTTAGAATGGTGACCGGCGACAATCATTTAACAGCAAGAGCAATTGCTCAGGAATGCGGAATCATCAATAGTCCCGATGACATCGTCATGGAAGGTGACGAATTCCGCGCACTGGACGAAACACAGCAAAAGGAGATTGTTCCACGCCTCAAGGTTCTAGCTCGGTCTCGCCCAGATGACAAGCGGGTCTTGGTTCAACGACTGAAGGATCTCGGAAGAATTGTGGCTGTCACAGGTGATGGAACCAATGATGCACCTGCCCTTGCGGCCGCGGATATTGGGTTCTCAATGGGAATCTCGGGAACTGAAATTGCACGGGAAGCATCCTCAATTGTTCTGATGGATGACACATTCTCTTCAATTGTTAGAGCTATAATGTGGGGCAGGGCTGTCAGCGACGCTGTTAAAAAGTTCCTACAGTTCCAAATCACCATCACGTTTACCTCTGTCGGCTTGGCGTTCGTTTCTGCGGTAGCCAACTCATCGCAACAGTCGGTTCTAACGCCAGTGCAGCTTATGTGGGTCAATCTTTTCCAGGATACCCTAGCTGCGTTGGCTTTAGCAACCGACCCTCCACCTCGTCGAATCCTTGACCGGAACCCAGAACCAATATCGACGCCTTTGATCACGCCCACTATGTGGAAGATGATCATTGGCCAGTCTGTATACCAGATGGTAGTGACACTCGTCCTATACTTCGCCGGATCGTCGATTTTCTCCTACCACAGTGCCCTTCAGATATCTCAGCTACAGACTGCAATCTTCAATACATATGTCTGGATGCAGATATTTAATATGTACAAGTAAGTCGAAAGCACACGCCATCTGCTCCTTCCACTTGCTAACCCCATACAGCAACCGACAAATTGAGCGGTCATTTAACTTGATCGAGGGCCTCCACCGCAACTGGCTATTTATCGCAGTGACTTCCATCATGATGGGTGCTCAAATTTTGATCATGTTTGTTGGCGGACGCGCATTTTCAATCACAAAGCTGACAGGAGATCAGTGGGCTTATTCGCTGGTCCTCGGGGCAATTTCTATTCCGGTGGGATTCGTGCTGCAGGCTGTTCCTGATGTCGTTGTCGAAAAGCCAATGGCAGCCCTGGGAAAGCTTTGGCGCCGATTGCGTCGTCGTTCGTAATTGATATTTTGAATTCAATTTCTTTTTCACTTCTTCGTGGTTTTCCAACGAAGAAATGAACAACGTCCCAAAAACATCGTTGAGAAGAGGTAAACAAAGAATGATGAAAGGGCTGTAGTGTAAAACCGTGCCCAAGCGAGTATGTCGAAATGTCAACTACAATGCAGATATTATATATTGAGACGTCAGTTGAGCAACTCAATAAGGTTAGATTATCAAGATTGGGGGTCGAGTCACATATAAAAATAGAGTCCACTTGAATCAGCTCTGATGTATCTCTGACCAGATAGGCACGGTATCTGGATTGACCTCAATGTATCTTCGTGAGTCCTGCATATAGTTCAAAGTAGAACAGATTAGCGTGACAGGAGCCATGAACAATGTCTAACTCAGTATGCATTGCGCTGGCTTCATAACCATCTAGACACTCAGGGCTAAAACTTGGAAAGAGTTTTGGCTCGTACTTCATTTTCGTGGTATTGATCAAAAGGATGTTTCGGTCCACATCAATATTCGCCTCAATGCAGGGCCTTGTCAAATTAATGGTGTCTAGCCTCAGTGGCAACCAACATCACTGTCAGTCAGCAGGTCATGAAGAGGCACTTGGCCTATCATTTGCTTTTTCTGATACAACAGCTCAGCTAATCAAATGTGACTGGACAAAAGACGCTTGAAGATCAGCTACGCGAAGGCAAATCCATGCAATTGGGGCGTTTCCTCAATGGTCATGCGAACTACACGATGTTGCCTAGATCGGATGATTATCATTTAACAACTGCGAACTTCCGAGGGTAGTGGGGCCATGCGAGAAATAATGCTTACGAGTGGAGTTCTATTTATTTAATCATGAATATGATACGGAGTAGTAATAACTACATATTTCGTGTTTAAGGTAATACTTTTTGACCCTTAGGTTTATATAATATCTAGGGGCAGTGCTAGAGTATCTCTAACATTATATACAGGGTAGAACCTTGGAAACAGTCAAACCTAGCCTGAACCCTCGGAAGATTATTCTTAGCAATTGCACGCGACAGAGGTTACATTCAAGTGATGACACGTGCTCTCGTGTCGGAACGCCCGATCAATTAATGGAAAATGAACCGAAAATGTACAAGCTGTCTTCTAGAAGAATAAATGTCCTTGGATGTGAAAGAGCAGATGTTCTGATAGACACCTCTTATACACCCACGTGTGGATTTGCCGTCTTCTGATAGGTGGAGGTGGGCCGTGCGCCCCCACCCCCGCCAAGAGCCTCAACCAACCAATGATCAGATTAGTCCATCCAATCAAGTGTCTCTTTACAACCATTTGACACCAATTTGATAACATTCCATTGTGATTCAGTGTATAAAGCCCGCTCCGGGCCTGGCTGCCAAGATCTTTTCCAATTTGCTTGAGACTCTAAGCTTGCGGAAAACGAGCTTTTCTATCTTGGCGGACGCTCTCATTGCGTGATACCAGACGCCCCCGTCCAAGCCACTCCATGATCGCGACCTGCCTGGAATTGGTTTTGTACTTTACAATTCTGCCAAGAGTGCTCTGAAGCGACGCCTGGTGTCCTCTCGTTGCGAGTCGGCCCAGCACGTGTGGTGAATATGTCCCAAAGAGGAAGGCCTCCTGGACAAACCATGTCCGCCAGGCGTATCGTGCATTGAAAGTAGAGGGGCCATACCAGCCTTGTAAAATCTATCATGCATACATAAAAGCCAGCCGTCTCGTCTCTGCTCCTTTTATTTTGCAACTGAAAGCCAAATACTCAGCCCTGATTTGATATCAAGCCATCAAGATGTATCTCCATCAGTATGATTACATCTTTGCCATCGGCACGTTGTTCGCTATGCTTGATGCATACAACAATGGTGCAAGTGAGTATCAACTCGGTCTTTGACTCCTTAGATCATTGAATACTAACAATTTGAAGACGATGTTGCCAATTCTTGGGCTACTAGTGTTTCCTCCCGGTCCATCTCATACCGCCAGGCCATGGTTCTCGGTACCATCTTCGAGTTTCTAGGAGCCGTCACTGTCGGTGCCCGTACCGCCGAAACCATCAAGAACGGCATTATCCCCAGCACTGCCTTCCAGGGCAACGCCGGTGTCCAGATGCTCGCTTTCACTTGTGCTCTTGCCGCTGCCTCCTCCTGGGTCATGTGGTGCACCCGTCACTCTGCTCACGTCTCCTCCACCTACTCCCTCATTTCTGCCGTCGCTGGTGTCGGTGTTGCTACCGTCGGTGCCTCCAAGGTTCAGTGGGGCTGGAACAATGGCAAGGGTCTTGGAGCTATCTTCGCCGGCCTGGGCATGGCCCCCATCATCTCCGGCGGCTTTGCTGCTTCGATCTTTATGCTCATCAAGGTTATCGTCCACATGCGCAAGAACCCCATTCCTTGGGCCGTCTGGAGTGCCCCTTTCTTCTTCTTGGTCGCTGCCACTATTTGCACGCTCTCCATTGTTTACAAGGGTTCTCCTAACCTGGGCTTGAGCAAGAAGCCTAGCTGGTACATTGTTGCCGTCACTATGGGCACTGGTGGTGGTGTCTGCCTTCTCTCTGCGATCTTCTTTGTTCCTTGGCTCCATGCCCGCGTCATCAAGAAGGATTCCTCTGTCAAGTGGTACCACGTCATCCAGGGTCCTCTCCTCTTCGGTCGCGCTGTCCCCACTGAAGCCGAAGTCGCCAAGGTTCCCAACTACGCTGTCATGCAAGACGAACCCGAGGATGAGATCCACAACCACAGCCACATTGATGAAAAGGAAATCAAAACTGGTGTCGCTTCCATCCCGGCCTCTAACGACGAGCGATCCCTCGAGAAGCTCGAGGGCAACCAGCTTTCCTACCGCGAGATCATTGCCCAGTCCGAAGCCCGCCACAACGCCAAGCTCCTCAACAGCCGTGGCCCTCTCGGCTGGGGTATGCGCCTTCTCCGTGACAACCCCATGGGTGCTGGTGAGATCTACGAGCTTCGCAACATCATGCTCATGCTCAAGCGTATTCCTGCCATTGTCACTGTCGGACTTCTGTACGGATTCCACTACGATATCCACACTGCTCAGAGCGGTATCCAGGGTACCCCCGAGGGTGAGCGCATGAAGCGTGTCTACGCCGCTGCTAAGAAGTACCCCAACGAAGTCGAGCACACCTTCTCTTTCATCCAGATCATCACTGCCTGCACTGCTTCTTTCGCCCACGGTGCCAACGATATTGGTAACTCCGTCGGCCCCTGGGCTGCCATCTACTCCGCCTGGTCCACTGGCAGTCCCGCTGCCTCCAAGGCTCCCGTGCCTGTGTGGCAACTCGCCGTCCTGGCTCTTTGCATTTCCATCGGTCTCTGCACTTACGGATACAACATCATGAAGGGTAAGCGTGTCTCCATGGTAACCTTTTTTCTTTTTTTCATAAACTAACTCTCTCTCTCTTAGTCATGGGTAACAAGATCACCTACCACTCGCCTTCGCGTGGCTCCTCTATGGAGATGGGCGCGGCTATCACTGTCCTCGTCTTCTCACAATACTCTCTGCCCGTCTCAACCTCGATGTGCATCACCGGTGCCACCGTCGGTGTCGGACTATGCAACGGAACCCTCAAGGCTGTGAACTTCCAGCGTGTGGGTCTTCTGTTGCTTGCTTGGATTATGACCATTCCCATTGCCGGCACCATTGCTGGATGTCTGATGGGTTTGGTTCTTAACGCTCCTCATTTCGCCTCTTAGACTTTTGGCCTTTTGGATCGGTCCTGTGCATATATTTAAAAACTTAATTATTCTTCGCAAATACCATTTCATAGATTTTGTATACCCAATGGCTTGTACTTGGTAGATCCATATGTAGAATTGTTTGGTAAAGGTGGGCGGAGAAAAACTGCTCGGTCGGAAAGATAGCTCCTGAGGTCGTTGCACGATTAGTTACTACTTACTCAAGAGGAAAAAAAGTTTGCTTTTTTTCATTGTTTTGCTGGAATTGCAAATATGAACTAGGAGAGATGCTTTCGTGGGTGATCAGCCAGCAAAAGTGAAAAAATTTAGTTTCGCTGGGAATCGAACCCAGAACCTTTCCGGAACACTCGCCTATGAGGCAATTGTTAACGGAAAATCATAACCGCTAGACCACGAAACTGATTATTGAAAGGCCCTCCAATTTTGACATTATGAGCAGAAAACTCATTCAGGCTTGATGGATGAGGTTTATTCATTGATAGTTATGAAGACCTCATTTACCTTCTAATCCATGGGTGCTACTGGAATTTATGATTGAATTCTATGGAGACAAGAGGTGTATTTGTAGATTTATTTCTTGATTTAATCTGGCATTGTTCCTCTTTTTTTTTTTTTTTTTGTTGTTGCTAATACCGATTCTATATTCTAGACATGTACTCCAAAAATCCTCTCCCATCCCCCCTCATCAGCTCTCAGCGCATATTGACCAAGGCCTTTTCAAATCCTATGTATCCATAGCAAACAACTTTCTGAGCGGCTTGAGACCCCAAAGATTTAATCCCCATGGAAAACCTGCTTTCCACCGGGTAGTAGACCGAAAATAGTTCCAGGACGGCATTGCACAGCGCTACCGACCTGCATGCACCCAGCCTGGTATTAGAGCGGCGGTGCACCTTCATGAGTAGCCCCAAAGAAAAAAACATCTGACAGAGGTCTGGGGTTACTATGTTGGGCTGGCTTAAAAGGTACTTGCTGTGGAGCTTTTCCAGAGCCATTCTCCTCTTCAAGGACCTCTGCGAGGATCTTTCCGAGCTGTGAAGTAGCCTTTTCGTTTTCTTCCTGGGACATGCCATTGCCAAACTCCTCTGCAAGAAGTTCTTCGAGTATCTCTCCAAGTGAATTCATGTTTTTCTTTTGCTCTTTCTGTGAACCTGCATGTGTTGAACTGTCACCGCTAACAGTAGCTTGAGGTGCTGCCTTGCGCCTCTGCCGGATTGCAAGAATTGGACGAAATATTGGGCCTATTGGAACCGTCGCCGGGGGAAAAGGTCCCTTTGTCGGTGTCACCACTTTTCGAATTTCACTGTCTTCTACCCGCATGAAATTCTTCGTATCTGTCAGGGTCTGCACTTTTCGTGTCTCCTTGCCGTCAACTCGAATGGAATTAATCAGATCGGCATCATAAGGCAATTTATTCTGTATGCCGAGGTCTATCCAAGCCCTGTGCCTGGCCGCTCTAGTTTCATAATTGATTCCAGGTCGCGTGTTATCCAGAAGAAATTCGATGTCAAGGGACTCCCATCGCCTTCTTTTGTCTGCAGCACAAGGGCGTGCAGCCTCAAAGTATCGATGAGCTGTGGGGATGTTGTTACGCCTGTATTCAATGAAACCCCTCCAGAAGAAGACTCGAGCTTTTGTGATCTCGTCACCAATCCTCATTGCAACTTCCATAGCATTTTTGACCTTCTTTTCGGCTTCCTCCAAATTTTTGTTTGAGAGAAACCATTGGATTTCTCCGATTAAAATATTAAATTCCAATTTATCCCATACTACAAACTTTTCTTCCCATTGATCCATGAACCTTCTCGTGAGCTCCACACAGGGGTCGTTGATTCCCAGGACATGCTCAAAGACTTTAATCTTGTCTTCATTCTGCGGAAGATCCTCGAGATTGAGAGTTCGCTTCGCGTCCACGTAGGAAGTCGGCGAGACCATGTGGGGTTCTGCACCGAAAGTGTCCTTGAAAAGGCGTAAAAGCTCGCTGTGCACCTCTTTGCCATCGGGAAAAGCACGTAGTTCTGCCAAACAAGGGGGGAGTGTAGCCCATGGAGTATCTTCGTCGTGGTTCTGGACTGGGTTACTGTACATGACCAAATGATCACGATCGTTGGAATCAGTTGAGACAGGCTCTTTGGACTCCATGGTGAATGATGGAAGCGTGGGCGCTCTGTGTGGTTGCTACGAGTGAGGTGTTACTTCACGGTAAGAAAAAAGTAGCAATAGGAAGATATGTTGATGATTTCTCCGAAGTGGGTTTCAGCCGGGGGAAATTAAGAGATGACCCTCATTTATCTCGCAGTCATGTCAGCCGTGTGGGGATATACTATCACACGTCAATTTGAAAGAGTTTAGATCATCAAACCCAGAGACAACGTGAGACAAAGATCTTTGTTTCCACGAGAGTTGATGTTTTTTTGTGGCTTTGAATCTCATTATTGTTGTCGTCCAGATATCAATGTCAAACAAGAGTTTTGTATCAGTTCATATGCTTTTCCTACGTTTTGTCTACCTCCTTAGGTTGAGTATCTCTTTTGCTAGGTCAGGTTATGAAAGAAAAATTACACTCATACTGGGCCATGCCTCAAAGACCGAATACTATTGTAGGAATGCCATATCAAACGTTTGTTTACTATTCAGTTGCAAGTGGATTTCTACATATTTTTTTAATTATCCCAAAAACCTGCCAATTGTTTATTCAGACTGTATACGAATGGACATGTTTCATGAGATCTCCTGAAATTCCAGAATATATTGAGGAAAAAGTACAATGATGGTTAGCATTATCCATCGTCTATGGAGGAGCAGAGATCCATCTTTTGCTCAAAACAGTACAGTTTATAAGCTCAAACTGAGCCGAGTCAACTATCTGGAGAATTGTGTGTCAAAAGAAAAGAATAAGTTGCAATAAATAACATGAATCAGAAAATATAATCAAATATAATCTTTATAGACCAGATATGAAATGAGCATCTGTTGCTGTTGCTTTGATCAAACATTAAGTTCTGCAGCCTTTGCGTCAGTAAAATTCAAGATGAGGAGAAAAGACTTGGCGGGGACTAGAAAATAGAAAAAAGCTTACTGTTTTCAGGTCCCCGCCAAGTCTTTTCTAGACCCCTCCAGCTGGGTGCCCATTCAAGATAGCCACCATCTGATGTCCAACCAGAGACCTTGGTCAAACCAAACAAACAGAGCAAAAGTGACAATTAGAACAGACAAATCAAACAGAGCAAACTGCGTGTGCTGCAAACATAGACAAACTTTGCAAATACAGCAAACAGTACTATGACCTCACTACGCCGAAGCTCCCCACACCTAAAACTTCTCGGTTGGCTAGATGCAAACAAGAATTGGAATTCTCGACGTCAGATGACAATAATTGGACCAGTAAACTGTTGGCTGGTTAAATTAAACGTAGGAACCTTTCCGAAATAAGCTGTTGATACGATCAGACCATGAATCTAGACTTGCGGGGGTACCCGTTGCAAACACGTTGATCAGGACAAAACCGGGTTGAAGCCAATGAATGTGATGTTTGTATCACATTTATAACTTCTGCAAGACCTACATAGAATGAAGTATAACATCGTTAATTTCTTGAACTTTTACTGTTTCTCGCAGTTGCCGCCAACAAAAACCGTCATCTGCTACACCAGTGGACCCCACCCGCGGCTCCTCGTTCTCTAATAATTTGTCATAGAGATAAATTATAATTCAAGGTTAGCTGAGGTCATTCCATAAGAGTCTCGATTCCTCGAAAGCTTTTGCTTCTGTTATTTCATTCTACCTCAATCATTCTTTACTTCTTCGATACGTTGATTCCTATTCTGATCTTCATAAAGATTGCTGTCACAGTCATGTCACCAACGGCACTCAGAAATGTCGATTCGGTCGATATCGTGAACATTCACCAAAGTGATATGGAGTTTTCCTTAGTGGACGAAATCTATAAGAATTTAAACCCACCACCCGGAACACAGCGGACATTCCCGACCCTCCTGCTCTACGACGCGAAAGGACTGAAGCTTTTCGAGAAGATAACATACCTGGATGAATATTATCCCACCAATGCCGAGATTGAAATTTTGACAAACCATGCGGAACGGATAGTTGAGCGCATTCCAGAGAATGCCCAGTTGGTGGAGCTTGGCAGTGGGTCTGTTACTCTTACACCCCGGATCCGTTACACAACTGCAACATTATACCTACACCTCGTTTAGACTCAATTACCTCACAGACTGCTGACATATATTTATAGAAACTTACGCAAGATCGAGATTTTACTAAGAGAATGTGAACGCACAGAGAAGAAAGTGGACTATTATGCGTTGGACCTTTCATTGGTGGAGTTACAGCGAACTTTTGCTGAAATCTCACCCGAAAGGTTCACGTATGTGGGATTCCATGGACTCCACGGAACATATGATGACGCAGTTGGCTGGCTCAAAAGCCCCGAAAATCGGAAACGTCCTACGGTTGTCATGTCTATGGGATCGTCTATAGGCAACTTCGATCGCTCCAGTGCCGCAGAATTCCTCGGTGGCTTTTCTGAGCTACTGGCACCGTCAGACTCTCTATTGATCGGCTTAGATGCATGCAAAGACGAAGAGAAAGTGTTCAGAGCTTATAACGATTCTGAAGGAGTTACACGCCAGTTCTATGAAAATGGTTTGCTACATGCCAACACGGTTCTTGGCTTTGAGGCTTTCAAGCTTGACGAATGGGAGATATTGACCGGATATGATACCCGCGAAGGAAGACATCAAGCTTGTTATTCTCCTAAAATTGATGTCATTATCAATGAGATCAAAATTGCCAAAGGAGAGAAGCTTGTTTTCGAGGAAGCGTGGAAATATGGGCGTGATGAGCGTGATTATCTATGGCGGAACGCAAATCTAATCCCCCAAGTCGAGTTTGGTAATCCCACCGACGATTATCGTGAGATTTTATTTCGAATCCGATAAAACTATGACTTCGCTTACTGGTCTCAAACAGATGTTCACCTGCTATCACCGGCTGCCCTTGATGTTTCAATGGATCCTTCAAAGTATGCAGCTCAGCCAATTCCTACCATTGAAAATTTCCAATCTTTATGGACGGCCTGGGACCTTACGACCAAAACCATGATTCCACGTGAGGAGCTTTTGTCAAAGCCAATCAAATTGCGGAATGCTCTGATCTTTTATTTTGGTCATATACCGACTTTTTTCGGTGAGCACCTTGAAACATTCATCATGCCAGCTGCTAATCTTTTTATTCATCAGATATCCATCTGACCCGGGCCTTGCAGGAGAGGCCTACCGAACCTGCTTTTTATCAGCAGATATTTGAGCGTGGTATTGACCCAGATGTCGAAAACCCAGAACAATGTCACAGCCACAGCGAAATACCTGATGAATGGCCAGCATTGGGTGAAATTTTGGATTATCAACAAAGAGTCCGAAACCGTGCACGATTGATTCTCCAGGAAGGATACGCAGATGAGGACCGTATTCTCGGAGAGGCCCTTTGGATTGGCTTTGAACACGAAGCAATGCATCTTGAGACTTTCCTCTACATGCTGCTTCAAAGTGACAAGACACTTCCCCCAACTGGAGTCGCTCGTCCCAACTTTGAGCAAATGAGTCACGAAGCCAAAATAAATGCAAAGCCTAACAAGTGGTTTAGCATTCCTCAGCAGACCTTCAGAGTCGGATTGGATGACCGTGATGGAGACTATATGCCAGAACGGTCTTTTGGATGGGACAATGAGAAACCCCAAAGGCTGGTGACCGTGCGTGCGTTTGAATCCCAAGCACGCCCCATCACGAACGGCGAGTATGCAAAGTATCTGCAGGCCAAGGGCATCCAAACATATCCTGCCTCTTGGATTGTCATCCCGGGACAAGGTAATCCAATTTCAAAAGGCATTGGTTCTTCAGCCGCACAGGCTGGTTCTAGTGCCACTCCAGCAGGATTCCTTTTGGAGACCATGTCCATTCGAACTGTGTTTGGACCAGTGCCCTTGAAGCTGGCGCAGGACTGGCCGCTGAGTGCTTCATATGATGAAGTAGCGAATTATGCAAAGTGGATGCACTGCAGAATTCCAACTTGCGATGAAGCCAGAAGCATCTATCTGTACTCAGACCAACTTCGGAACTACCGGGGTGAAAATGGTCACAGGTATGAAGATAGCCGCGCCCAGAAGCAACCAGAGACTAATTTAAACATTAGAAATGGGGCCAATGGGTTCACTACTGATGATAGTAAGCCTCACTCTGTCGAACAAACAACCTATCGTGACCTCAGTGGTTGTAATGTTGGCTTCAAAAACTGGCACCCTGTTCCAGTTACCCCGAAAGGCGACCAGCTTGCTGGCCAAGGTGATTTGGGAGGCGTCTGGGAATGGACCAGTACTCCATTGATGCCACACGAGGGCTTCAAGGCTATGGACATCTACCCCGGATATACCTGTAAGTTCCATTCATATACCAGAAAGAGATTTTGGCTAATCTCTCTGGCAGCTGACTTCTTCGATGGAAAGCACAATGTTATACTCGGAGGCTCATGGGCTACTTTGCCCCGAATCGCTGGCCGGACCACCTTGTGAGTTTAGTTATGGTACGGTACAATCAGGACCCAACTAACAAACCTCAGTGTCAATTGGTACCAACACAACTATATGTATGCTTGGGCAGGTGCACGCCTAGTCAGGGATCTATAGACATACATATAGCTCGAGAAATGCCCAATAAAAACACATCTACAGGTTCAGAAGCTCAGACTCATGGATATAGATGGCGATGACTTCATTGCTGCGATAAGAGATAAACAGTGGGGAACATAAATAACGTGACTGCCCCTCACCCCTTCTCCAGCATCTTCTCCAATTAGTTCTATTCACTTCAATTGCTTCAATACATAATCGTCATAATGTCTCTTGAAACCATTTCCACCATCTCCCCCGCTACCAACGAGGCTATTCTCACCCGCACAGGTGTCTCGTCAGAGGAATTGAGGCAGATCCCCGAGAACGCCCAGGATGCTTTCCGCTCATTCTCGCAATCCACGACCCTAGAGAAAAGGCAGAAGATTGTGGAACGTGCCTTAGATATCCTGGAAAAGAAGCAAGATGAACTCGCACGCGAGGTTACAGAGCAGATGGGCCGACCCATCGCTTATACTGGCGTTGAAGTCGCGACCGCAATCAAGCGTAGCCGCTACCTGACCCGCATCAGCACCTCCGTGCTAGGCGAGGAAGGTATTGTGCCCGGAGAGGAGGAGAAGGGATTCAGACGTTATATTAAACGTTCGCCAGTCGGTGTGGTGTTGATTATCTTCCCATGGAACGTGAGTCGAAAACTGTCACACATGATCTCGCCAGTTTACTGACCCATAATTACGCAGTACCCTTACCTCACACTTGTCAACAGCTTGATTCCTGCCATTCTCGCTGGAAATGCCGTTATCCTCAAGCCCTCCCCACAAACCCCTACAATCGTCGAGCAATTTGCTTCCGCTTTTACCGAAGCTGGTCTTCCTCAAAATGTGCTGCAATTCTTCCACTGTGGATCTTTCACTTTGCTTGAGACACTCGTACGCTCGCCGCTTGTGAACCACATCTGTTTCACTGGCTCCGAAGCTGGAGGTCTGGCAGTTCAAAAGGCAGCCGCAGACCGGATTGTAAATGTTGGTCTGGAGCTCGGCGGCAAGGACCCCGCTTATGTGCGGGAGGATGTAGATCTAGCCTGGGCTGCCGAGGAGGTCGTTGATGGAGCTATTTTCAACAGCGGACAGAGCTGCTGTGCGATTGAGCGAGTATACGTCCACGAGGAGGTGTACGACGGCTTTATTGCTGAGGTGAAGAAGGTCCTGAGCAACTACAGAGTTGGCGAGCCCTCTGATCCAAAGACCCAGATTGGACCTGTTGTCTCCAAGCAGGCAAAGCAAGCTATTCTAGCCCAGATCGAGGCGGCTGTTAAAAGCGGCGCGAAGAATGAGACCCCTGCCAACGAGACCTTCGAAAATTTCCCCCCGAACGGAAACTACGTTAGGCCCACTCTCCTCACTGAAGTTACCCATGAAATGGCTATTATGAAGGATGAAACTTTCGGACCTGTCATTCCTGTCATGAAGGTCTCGGGTGATGACGAGGCCATTCGTCTTATTAATGACAGCGACTTTGGCCTCACCGCCAGCATTTGGAGTAAGGACGTTGCGGCAGCCGAGAAGCTGGTTGACCGTGTGGAGGCTGGCACCGTGTTTGTTAACCGATCCGACTACCCCAGTCCCGTAAGTTCTGAATCTCTTTTCTACCAGCATACCTCATTACTTACCACGATATAATTACAGGATCTTGCTTGGACTGGTTGGAAGAACTCTGGTCGTGGAGTTACCCTCAGCCGATTTGGATTTGAGCAGTTTGTCAAGCTAAAGAGCCACCACATCAAGGATTACCCTAAATAAGAAAGTGCTCTACGAGATAGGAATCTCATTGTGTATGCCATCTAAAGAGCACAGGCTTGTGGAATAGAGAAATTGAACAACCTATACCACACTGACTTTTGCGTCCCAGATTGATTTCAGCGCTGCTGTCACAGACTCATTCTATTTTTTCTGATAAACATCTGTAAATATGATTTGATTCGTGAACGTAGACTTGATGGTATACATACATCAACGATGCTACTTTTAACTGATACATTGCTGTCATCTTCTTGAAGTTCTTCTATAAGCGTTCACAATAGTTCCCCTTTTTCTCCGCAATTTCAAACGAACTTGAATGATTAGATTAACTATTAAAACAAACGCAACGGTAAGGTCAATATCAGCCGCTTACAACACTTTTAGACATTGGGTGAATGGAAAGCAGGGCTTTCCTTCAAGGGTCAATGGAAAACAGGGCTTTCCTTCAAGGGTCAAACTTGCGTTTGATAAGATAGCTGCTACCGAGAATAACGCGGAGATGTGGACTAGCTTACAGACCCGGAGATCATCTGCATGTGACTGAGATGGGCAAGCTACTCTATATTTAGGATAATCTGAACTGGCTGTTCAGAACTAGGATCGGCCATGCCCATAAAGTAAATACCCACTCTTGTATTTGCATCACATGTCCAGATACTCCCAAAAGACTGGATGTCATTCCATATAAAATGAAGCCGATCAGTGCGTAGACTAGGATTTCTAGAAGACCTTCGAGGAGTGCGTCAAAAACACGAGCATGCCATAATATCTATCCATCATGCCAATGGGATTCAGTTGTATCCGAGTTAAAATAAAACCAGAAGGAAGAGAAAATAGGTAATTGACAAGAAATCTTCTTAAAAAGCCTTGCTATAATCTATGGTAGAGCAGAGCAAACGAGAATAGTCCCAAATAATGTAGTCGGGAAAGGCCTCTTCAATCTCTACTTGAAATTGATTATGTCGAATGGAAGGCGCGCCCAGACTTGCAAGCAGGGGGATTGTCTCCTCCCCAACCTTTAGATTCGCCAAGTCCCACGCGATTTGGCCATAAGATGAGTCGAAATAGCTAGTAAACTAGCGCCGAGTAGCGCAGAAACCGAAGCAAAGATTTCCAGGCCAGCAAAGTCCTTTGCGCCACTTTTGAGGATCGCGCCCATTATGGGAAGACCAGTCAGACATCTAGACAAAATTCAGCAAAAGAGTACGTGAGTAAAGTGTTAAGAGACGGAGAACATACGCAAGAGAGATAACCATTTGGAATGTTCCGAATCGAAGTCCGAGTGTTTCCAGCTTCCCGGATTTGGCAACGCAAGGCATGAGCAAGGAGACAACGGCTCCTGTCACAAATCCGTAAACAAGGGCAAAAATGATAATTCCTGCATGGGACGGGTGATAGTGAAAGGGTAGCCAGAGGCAGAGCATTGCGATTCCAGTCGCGAATGCGCACCCTGTGACAACATTGAAATGGCCAATATGATCTGCAATATGCGGAGGAATGATACGGCCGGGTATGGAGGTCGCACTGCAATTTTGTTTAGGCTTGGATCTTTTGATATAGCATGAATACTTACTTGATGATCGAGATCAAATAAAGCGCAAGATTCGGAGAGAAACCAGCCTCTTCCTGGGCCATACTAGGGAGGTAATCGAATGGACCCCAGAGTCCCCACCTGTCTCAAAATCAGCAACATATCTCGTCAGAAATATCTGGTGGTCCAAGAGTACATAACAAAAAAGGCGCCAAGACTGTAGAAGGCGAATTGCTTTTCCTTCAATAGAGACAAGTCGAACCATGGCGCTTTCCCATCCCATGCTTTCCGCGGCAGTCTCGATCGTACCATAAAGCAGGATCCCGCCAATAGAATGCCAATGAATAAAGCAGTGTAGCGCACAGCACCATAGAAGCCCTTCTCTTGAACGATACGATTGAGAAAGATAGGGAAAATTACTCCACCAGTGCTTGAGCCGCACGCCGCGATACCGAGGGCCAACCCTCGTCTTTTGACAAACCACTGGCCAACACAAACCATTGCGGATGTGAAGACACCTCCGGCACCGATTCCAAAACAAAGCCCCTGCGCAAGGAATATTTGATAGTATTCATCTGCCAGACTTGTCATGCATAGACCTAACACGCAGAGCACGCTGCATGGGTAAAGTACCGGTCCAGGACCGAAGGTATCGAGAAGTCGACCATAGAGGGGCCCCAGTGCCCACATCAAACATAGCTGGACCGCGAAGATCCATGAGATATCGGAAGAGCTATAGCCGCTCAGAGAATGCTCTGCGTAATACGTTTGAAAAACACCGATTCTGTTACGTGTTGTAGACAAGTCAGCCACAAGAATCTTCAAAGTTTGAAACACTATGAATGCGCACTCACGCATTTAAAAAGCCAAAAGTGCAAAATAAGCAGATGAATGCTCCAACCACGCAAATCCATCCACGAGCGCCTCCTTCTGGGGGTAGGTCTGGTTTGACAAGGGTGGAAATGGGATCATTTTTCTGGAAGGAATTCTCCTCGCTGACCGCGTCAACTTCCTTAGAGGCCTCATTACTTCTCTTGTATGAAGACATAGCAAGCTAGATTGGTGAAGAAGTCGAATTGGAAATTATTTTCACTATCGAAACCGTCATCGCGCCTTATATACAGACAAGTTGGGCTTTTGTTCTCTCTTTGCGATGAATTATGGTTGTTGATTATTTAGAGAATATTGGCGGTCATTGGAGATCCACCTGCGGCCGACATGTAGCAGTATATACCGGATTTCAGGCCGCGGTCGCGATTTTCCCGATCGGGGTGCCGCCGCTTTATGAGGGTGCTCATGGTCCTACTTACCGAGTATTTCACAGCACAGGGTGATTACTAGTGGCCATTCAATTGTACCTAGTAAGCAATTAGATGATGTTTAGTGCATGCCAGACCATGCTTAATAATATTCAAATCATGCTCTGGTTATGCTCAGTGAACACTTAGGGTGTGCACAGTCAGCACTTAGGTCGCGCTCACTGAGACTGCGCTCAGTCAGCGCACGGACATACCCACTTTCTATGCCTAAAATTGGAATAGAAAAGTCTAGCCAAGTGACATATGGATCACTTATCGGCCATCTATTCTGTGAATGCTAGCGCCAGCAACTAAAATCGTTTTTTTGTTGATTGCCCTTACCTCAGAAAGGCTTTTTCTTCATATGGCCCCCGAGAGATGATGACGTGTGAAAATACATGATCTGAGTCTTTTGCCTAGTTCCAGCTATGGCCAGGATGGTTTTCATAAGGGACTTAACATCCACTCGAGCCATCAAAACAGCAAAACTCCCTATGGATAGTCAATCACTATATCTTCGCAAGAGTTTAAGCTCACTGTCTCTTTTCGTTTCCCTCTCTTTATGGTTGATCTTAGCGTATAATCTTTATGTAAACATACGCACTCAGTCAACCGGCCTAGCCTCACAATCTGGTTTATTTGTTTATATCGAGATCTCAGAAAATTGTGATGGTGTGCAGAACGAGTAACTACAAACAACTGTTTAATTCAAACCTCGGCTAAGCAGATTGTTCATTTAAACATAGTACCTCTCCATTCTAAGTCTCCAATGATCGTGCAGCTGCTTACACACGTATTATTTCAGTAAAATATTTGTACAATCTCGTTGGGTTCAGATTGTAATGATATGCAATCCACATAATGAGAGCGATGAGAATGAGACCGAGCCTGAAGAGCCGGTCAAGGTCCTTGAAACGGAGGGCACCTTTGAGATTGTAGTATGGGGACTTGAGGCTGTCCCTGCGGCAGATGATATTTTTGTCAAGAAGGTGGAAGAGTGGTTGCACTTTGCCGATGCGGTATGTATTGCGTTCCCTGACTTAACTTTGTTAGGACGTGTTTCTGGTTTCATTAGATGCATACAACACCGGCTTTGGCGAATGAGGTCAAGGAGGTTGTTGCCTGAGGCACGATTGCTGGGCTATACTGGCATTGCCAAGATGCATTTTTAATCATAGCGGATTTATAGACATCGCCTCTGGTTATTTGGACACCTCCCTGTCTGAGCTCTGGTTTATAGTAAACGTACCCGTCAATTGCCTCTTATGGTTCGTTTTGCCCTCTTTGGACTTAGGGCCCAATACACCTGCAACCTCCCTCCAATGCTCCCGACATTAAAGACCGTCTAAGATGCCCGTTCTATGAGATTTCAATTCCCCAGCAGGATATGCTAGCGTAAGAGTAGCTGCTTGAAAGTGGGGGCCTAGTCAGTTACTGGCAGACTGTCACATAGAAATACGAGATTACCCTTCCTCATCAAAGCGAATAAAGTACAGGCAAAGCAGGGTTTATTTCAAGCCTTGACTAGTCGGACAGCAATTGCCTTGGTACAATTTGTTTACAAAGTGATCGATTTCGAACTTTGGAAATGGGAGCTGTCGTCAAGTTAAGAGTATGATATCGTAATTTTATCTAGTGCCGCCTTCAAATTCTCGACCTTCTGATTTGTGGGCATCAAGATAGCCAGATGCGACTCCGAATCATTAGCCATGGCATTCTTCCTCAGTGTGGTCATTATTTCACTCAGCCGCATCAACTGCAGCTGAACCAGCAACCCAAACACCTTGTGCCGTTCCTCTATCGTATCGATTTGGTAGCCCCCTATTGCTATCCTTGAATACTGAGAGTACCTGAAATCATTTTGTGTGGGGTCTACCCCGCCGATAGCAGGCGCAGCGCATGGCTTCTTTTGCGTGCGCGCGACAGCTTGCAATTGGCGTTCCCAGCCCGCTGAGATCTCCTCGAAGATTGCCGTCATCTTTTCACATAGCACAATGACTAGCAATTCAACCCCGGAGTCTCGCCCAGACGCCGAGCATTGGACCAGGGACTGGCATCGTCTGATGTTTCGTTTCAGTGTGTAGAGTGCTTGCTCCACGGAGTACAGACCCTCGGCGGGTTTGAAATGACTGGAAAGCATTTCAAGAATCTTGAGAGCAATCCTGGTGCACTGGCAGCTGTAAGGGGTCGAGTCAGATTGCACGGACGAGTCTATAGAGGCGCAGCGGCTACGATTGCTGCTTTTTTCCGAACGTGAACTCGTGCTCGGGAAGGTCATGGGTTGTGAGAGGGAGTTGAGGGACCGAAAAGGGGACGAGCCTTCGGTAGAGAATGTGAAGCTGTCCTCGAGAGAGGATTGATTGTCTACTAATTTACACCATCACTGTGAGTCAACCATTGTGTGAAGTAAAGTGGGTAGATAACTTACTTGGACTGGATATATCGATAGTTGCGCCTCCATCTTCACTTAGTGGGACTGCACTGTCTTGTTGCAAAGCACAGCCGAACAAATCATCTGTTTGCTCTAGCGTAGTGAAATATTGATTGAACAAATCTTTGTCGAGACCAGTATGATCAGCGTCCATCATGGAAACGACCGCGGAAGCCGGTCTCTGCAGAGAAGCCGAGGAGGTGGGAACAAATCTCCCATTTATATTTTCAACCTGATCAATTGAATCTGACCGGCTCTGGGGGATGGAATAGTTGTCGACTTGAACGGGTGAAATTGTGTCTTGCTCTTCCAGTCCGCCTGCGACCATTTTATCGAGCTCGGGAGACATTTCTTGCGAGGAGAGCGCGCGTCTAGCTGGCTTCTCCCCACTGGGCGATACTTGAAGACCGTTTTGATGCGAATTTTGGAGGGCTTGGACAGCTCTTGCTCCAGATGTGTTCGACAAGAGATGATGTTTGCGTTTTCTTTCCGTTGATCTCTCATTTTTATAGGAACATTCAAAGCCAGCAGAGATACAGCGCTGACAGCCCGTTTTCTCTCCATTACATTTGAGCTGGAATTAAGTTAACAACACGCGCCAGGTGCATTGGGACACCACGTACCTTTTTGCTTCGACACATGTTACAGGCTAAGTGGGGATTAGCCGGTTCTTCATGTGGAGGCTTTGTGGTACTCTCGATACATTGAATGTCATCACCTTTGCCATTTCCATATCGGAGTGTGACAAACATGGTCAGTATTCCCCAAGAAAAGAAATTTCCTAGGTTCAAGCGTCTGTGAAATCAGGGAATATTAACTAACTGGCCGACGTGGACAGGGGGGTGAATTGATTCCTATATATAAGCACCGGAGCGGGGTCTGGATGTACTATACAATTCGAACAATCAGCGAACTGAAGACATAATGATATATCTATGCAGCGATCCCCCGAGGTCGGGTGGCAGGACGTAAGCCGTAAGCCACCGCACAGAGCACCTGGATGGAGGATCACAATAGCATAGCGGGATGAACAGAGGTTTTTGATAAATGTTATGTGGTGAGCTGACGCCATCGGCCCCCTCAAGGCCAGTTGGCTGAAGTGAAACCCATATCAATGGCTGCTAACGAGTAGATAAAAGAGAAGCCGTTCCCTCCCCGTAATCCTGCGAATGATAATCTCATCGGCTTGTCTTGTGATTGGTTGTGATATGGTGGCTCGACTTGGCGCATCTTTTCCAAGCATTCACCCGTCGTGGCAATGGAGAGCGAAGATCCCCTAATCCTGGCTTAGGTAGGGGAGCGGAGTCCGTCGGACCTGCTACCGATGATTGGACGTGTATTTGTGGCCCATCTGGAGGACCCTGAGCATTGGTTAGGTTACTGCCGAATTCTTATACGTGTGGATGGCTTTGTGGAGTAGATTGCACAATTTAGAAAGTGTTATTACCCGTCGAGGCATATTCAAACTACACTCCAATTCTCGGAGTGGGCTTTATTCGGTGGGTGCGCGCAGTTGACACGGCCCCACATTACTTTGTCTGGATGTCGCCGGAACAAGGGTACTTACTGCAAATCCTTTGTTTGCTGATATCTTCGATGGCACAATTAGGTGCATGATAGTGCAATATGAGTCATGATGAGTGGCCAGTGATGGCTTCTTTTAATAATCCTTCATCTGACCACCCGCTTGTCGCAATGCCTCTGGCAAGCGGTTGTCGACAAACCCACTTCCGAAGGCGAAATCAGCATGTCAGAAAAAGGCGGGTCTCTTTCACCCGGAACGCTCCGTCTGGAGTTGAAGGATGATGAAAAAGAGATCCTGAGGCGACAAATCGACACCCCGGAGTCGCAGATGAGCCGCTTGGTTCTTTTGTATACATGCACAACACCTTATGAATTACTTCTTCTGGTTATTAGCTCAATTGCAGCCATCATTGGGGGAGCCCTTCAACCTGTGTCTTTTGTGAGCTGCTCTCCGCCGGGATTCTATCTCCCAAGCTGATATCCCTCATATAGCTCCTTTTGGGAGGCTTGGCTCAAGCTTTCAAAGAGTTCTTCATCGGAACTTCTTCAGGATCGCACCTTTCATCCCTGGTCGCGAAATTCGCCCTTTATTATGTATATATCGCCATCGGACAATTTGTTTCGGTCTACATCTCGACAGCCGGATTCATGGTTGGAGGAGAAAAAATCACCCAAAGACTTCGAGAGAAATACCTCGCCGCCATCCTTCGCCAAAACATCGCATTCTTCGATGTCCTAGGAGCTGGAGAGATCACAACCAGAATCACCTCGGACATGAATCTGATCCAAGATTCGTTGACCGGCAAGCTATCTCTGACTTTGTACTCCTGTTCCAACTTCGGGGCAGCGCTCATCATCAGTTTCGTGAAAAGTTGGCGTATGGCGCTTATTCTGATATCAGCCTATGTCGCAGAAACTGGATCAATGAGCTTCTTCTCTTCATTCATGGTCAAGTATACCCACAAGTCACTGGCGGCATATGCAGACGGATCGACGGCTGCCGAGGAAGCCATCAGTTCAATCAGGCACGTAACTGCGTTCGGGATTCAAGACAAGTTGGCCGATAGGTACCAAAGGTTTCTTACCCAGGCCGAGAAATATGGTCTTAGAAGTCGCATTGCTCTTGCGGCCATGATGGCCGTCATGAATGGTGTCATCTTCTGGACCTATGGACTGACATTTTGGCAAGGATCTCGTTATCTGGTTGTTGGAGACGTGGAACTCGGGGCGTTGATCACCATCCTCCTTGCTACCTTGACCGGAGCGTTCACATTCGGTAACATAGCACCCAACTTCCAAGCATTTTCAACCGGTATAGCAGCCACAGGAAAGATTCTTGCAACAGTATCTAGGGAATCACCACTGGATCCATCCTCCACTACAGGAAGAAGACTGGAAACTGTGTCCGGGACGATTGAGCTCAAGAGCATTCGCTATGTTTACCCCTCGAGACCGGATGTCCTCACATTAGATGATGTAAATCTTCGATTTCCAGCTGGCAAGACAACGGCCATTGTTGGTGCCTCTGGTTGTGGGAAAAGTACATTAGCAGGCTTGATTGAAAGGTTTTATGAACCACTAAACGGTGAAATTTGTGAGAGCTCTTTCCTGTGCGCCATGAACCGTGCTAATATTAACACAACAGTGCTCGATGGCCACGATATCGCGTCTCTTAATTTGCAGTGGTATCGCCAACAAATAGCAATCGTGACACAGCAGCCCACACTCTTCGCCACAACTGTATTCGAAAATATCAGATTTGGTCTGATCGGCACCAAACACGAAAATTCCCCTCCTGATATAATAGAAAGCCTTGTCTTCGATGCCGCCAAGAAGGCGAACTGCTTTGGTTTCATCTCCGACTTGCCGAAGGGCTTCCACACCAGTGTCGGAGAAAGGGGCTCCTTGCTTTCGGGGGGACAAAAACAACGAGTCGCCATCGCACGGGCTATCATTAGCAATCCAAAGGTCTTGTTACTGGATGAGGCTACTTCGGCTCTCGATGCCCAGGCCGAGAGGCTGGTACAGGCGGCACTCGATGTTGCTGCTAAAGGTCGAACAACGATCACAATCAGTCATCGGTATGCGTTTTTCATTTAATCTTGACAACACAGGCTAATCATATTTCAGACTGTCTACTATCACGGCGGCAGAAAACATTGTTGTTATGTCTCACGGGCGTGTTATTGAGCAAGGAACCCACAGCGACCTACTTGAGAGACAATCAATGTACTACGAGCTGGTGGAGAAGCAGCGCATGTCCACGGAGAGAAATATTGGCCCCAGTGAAGAAAAGTCCACGTTCGATGTAGATGCGGAACTCTCTGGTTCGAAAGATGAGGGTAATGAGTCCAACAAGCACACGTACCAAATTGGACAGGACCCAGTGTCTGAAGGCCAGGAGGGAGATTCAGACGGCAAGGCTGACGGCAGATACTCCTTATGGGAGTTGATCAAGTTCGTCGCCAACTTCAACAAAAAAGAGACATTCACAATGCTTTGGGGTCTGTTTTTTTCGGTTATCACAGGCGCAGGAAACCCCACGTAAGACTCCTTCATCATGCGGTGTGCAGGGTATTGATGCTGACTATCCCACCAGGCAGGCTGTTTTCTACGGCAAAGCTATCGCAGCATTATCGCTGCCTCCAAACATGTATGGACAGCTCCGCCATGATGTCAACTTCTGGAGCCTGATGTATCTGATGCTGGGAGGTACTGCATTTCTGGGTTGGGGAGCATCAGGTCTCTGTTTTGCCTACTGCTCCGAGCGCTTGATTCACCGTGCCAGAGATTCTTCCTTCCGCACAATTCTCCATCAGGACATCTCGATGTTTGACAAACCTGGATTCTCGGCCGGTTCTCTTACAGCGGCATTATCCACGGATGCTACCAACCTTGCTGGGATGAGTGGGGTCACACTGGGTTCTATATTCATTGTCTCAACGACATTGGTCGCTGGAGTGGCTGTGTCGATTGCTATAGGTTGGAAGCTGGGACTCGTCTGTACCGCAACTATTCCCATCGTTCTTACTTGTGGTCTCGTCCGACTGAAGCTCCTTGGGGAGATTGCTCAACAGTCAAAGGCTGCATATGCCGCCTCAGCAACCTATGCTTGTGAGGCAAGCTCTGCCATCAAGACGGTTGCATCGCTAAATCTCGAGACCCATGTGCAAAAAGAGTACCACACCATATTGGAAACGCAACGAAAAAAGTCAGTCATCTCAACGTTGAAGTCATCCATGTTTTATGCGGCTTCCCAGTCAGCAAACTTTCTCTGCATCGCGCTGGCCTTTTGGTATGGAGGAAGTCTGATCATCCACGAAGGCTATTCAATGGTGCAGTTCTTCATTGCTTACGCTGCGGTTATCGCCGGCGCGTTCAGCGCCGGAGCGATTTTCTCATTTGCGCCAGATATGAGCAAATCCCGTCAAGCAGCCCAAGATATCAAAACGCTGCTGAGTCGACCTGTCACCATTGACGCTCGTCAAGAAACTGGTGAGCAGTTACCGAAAATGGATGGCAGCTTGGAGATACGAAACATTTATTTCCAATACCCCAACCGACCGGAGAGAATGGTTCTGAATGGCCTCAGCTTGAGTGTACAAACGGGACAGTACATAGGTCTTGTCGGGGCAAGTGGATGTGGGAAGAGCACCATAATTTCTTTATTGGAGCGGTTCTTCGATCCCGAAGCCGGAAAGATCTTGGTTGATGGGAAAGACATTTCAAAGTTGAATGTTAAGAGCTACAGGAGTCATCTTGCTCTAGTCAGTCAAGAGCCGACACTGTACCACGGAACAATCAGGGAGAATATCATCATCGGGACCGACGACGATAATGTGTCCGAGGAAAGAGTCATCCAAGCATGCAAGGATGCCAACATTTACGACTTCATCCTCTCCCTACCGTAAGCCACCTTGTCCCTTACAGCCTTTTCTTGTCTGTTAAATTCAAACCGAGGCATACTAACGTTCCGCTTAGTGATGGTTTCTCGACGGTCATAGGCGCGAGAGGCGGCATGCTCTCTGGCGGGCAGCAACAACGGATAGCTATAGCGCGAGCGCTTCTACGTGATCCACGCATACTCCTCCTGGACGAGGCCACTTCTGCGCTCGACTCGGAGTCGGAAAAGGTCGTTCAGGATGCACTGAATGCCGCAGCTCAAGGCCGAACGACAGTCGCTGTTGCGCATCGTATAAGTACGGTACAGAAGGCCAACTGTATTTATGGTGAGAACAGACCTCAATTCTATTGATGACTGAACTAACCTGTCTTAGTGTTGCACGAAGGCAATGTTGTGGAACAGGGGACGCACCAGGAGTTAATGGAGCTGGGTGGAAGATACTTTGAATTAGTCAAACTACAGAGCTTGGAGGACATTTGAGACCGGAAAACATAGACTATGATTTAATATATAAGAATATTCGTACAAGTGAATAAAAGGAAGTCAGAAATAAGGCAATTCTAGAATGAAACTGCTATCGAACATAGCAAGATATCGTGAAATATCTACACCGTCGCAGCTGCAGTCAACGGATTCCAGCGTCCATCATAATTATTCCGTCCAGTCAACAAAGAACTGTGGCTCTGATCCACCTCTCCCTTTCCGAAAGCCTCAAATTTCTTTAGATACCAATCCTTGCTCTTCACCTCTTTCCCATCGCCATCAATGAACACTGCATCTGTCTCCGGGCGCACTAGATAGACGATGGTATACTTGATACGGTTGAGAGCATCCGGATGTGGAACCACACGGTGCAAACTCGACTTCAGTCTACCTTGGGAAAGAAAGTGCAGCGAGTCTCCTACGTTAACAATCGCATGGCTATCGCGAGGCAGAATATACGTCCACTCGTCCGTTCCTGGCATTGCGACTTGCAGCCCCGCCACATCGGTGAACACAAACGACAAGCTCCCCGCGTCAGTATGCGCAATGTGACCCACCCCAACATCGGTAGCTGTGCCATAGGGGAGATATTTCAGGAGCCCGAGCGCTGTCGTTGAGGCTTCGCCCGCTCGGTGGGTGGATGCGAGGTGGGATTTCCCCGTCAAGCCAAGAGATTGCGACAGGCTGTCCAGGATGGCGTGGCTAATGTCGCGAAGTGCATTTATATTGGTTTGCATAAAGTCACCATTTGTTTGCAGTGGGCCTGGAGCGGCCATTGTGGTAGGATCCGCTATATTCCGCAGAGGGTGCTCAAAAATCTGCGGATCGACTGATCAGCGAGTCCCCAACAAAAATATGTTCAGTTATGGAACGGAATTTGCGAACCATGAACCCTTCAAACCCATCCTTTAGCCCTTCAACGGGCCCCGAGCCGACCCCTGCCGCCTTGTACCCCACAATCATTTCTTCTGCATGATTATGGTCGGCTGCCCATGCACTCTTCTGCTGCTGAGGGAGATCGTAGAGTGTCTTGGAGATTTGGAACAAGTGTTGGATCTGACTGGATGATAGAGAGCCATTTTCCCAGTCTGTGCAGTCAAGATAGAAGAACCCTGTCTCAGTGCAAGCAGCTAGTAGCTCGGCAGCGACGGAGGCTGGACTGGACATTAGTTTGCCCAGTGAGATGACTTTGAGCACAGCACTTTGGGATGCGGATGGGGTAGACATTGTAGATTGGTTTTCAAGTAACTTTGAATTGAAATTAGGTAGCTAGGTGGGATTTACTCTGTATTGATGAGATTAATTTATAGATGGAAACGGAAAACATCAATGTATAAGACAGCTCTGATACCTTCGATGTTGAAATCATCGTATTTATGTCATGGGCAAGATAGTCCAACATTACACGTGATTCTCAAACCAAGATAGCAATTGGAGCCCTAGTTCTCACTCGCGTCAGCTTATCAGAAGTTGATCCCCAGGTCTGGCTGCGAGTGGACCCGTTAATGCATTGGCTTCGGTTCGGGCCGCGCTGTTTTGGGAAGTGTCAACCAATTCGGGAATTTCCGAAACTAGACGGATTTGACTCAAGTGCTTGGTTTTGGGGCTAATTGGCTTGGGAAATTACTCAACTTGGGAGACTACTTTGTTGACTCCGTATTATCATGAGCACGGCGCGCAATTTGATCGACAAACGCGTTTTATATGTGCTTATAGATGATTTGTATATGTATAATCAACTCAGAGATAGTTCTTTCGTTGATCTAGGAATCAGATTTATTCGTGGATACAAAACTGAGCATGAAAATAAAAAAGAAAGGAGTCCAAAAAATATCCCCAGGCTTAGAACAGGGGATCCTGCTCCGGGAGTCGTTCGGGGTCAACAACATCTTTTTCTCAGGGCCAGAACCACTAATCCATGGGTGTATGATTGCGTTACGGGGATTGGGTCTTTTACTTGTGGGAGAAACCTCGAAAATCCTCATATTACTGCCTTCTGGGCCACAAACGCATATTGAAATTCGCTATGCCTCAAATCACATTTAAAAAGTTATGGTGAGCGGCGTTCCTGCCCATGCATACCTAGGCCACATATGGAAACTTGGAAGGCCCATGTAGCGTAATACTTGAGCAACGTGATAATGAGGAAACATATAGCATTCAAATGAAGAAGATTCCGCACACCCTAGTTAAAGTGCAATCAACTAGTGATACGCTATTGAGTCTATTACCGACGCCACTGAAGCATGCGGCGGTAATCTGAGGATAGTTATCAATGTTGTGTCCACATCCGCTAGGATTTGACGCACCGCCTCTCCATCGAAAAGTGCAAAGTCGTACCGCAAGTGCGCGTTTATAGTCTCTCTGTCCTGCTCAATACGTAGCTCAAGAGGCCTAACTGGCTTCTGTTCATCCTGTACTTTCCATCGACCGAAATCGGGCGACATATCCAAAAAAATAGTGATCGAGCTGTCTAGAAGCGATTCATGGGCTTCATGACCGAGCATCTTCTCCGTGACACCGTAAGATGACCATTGAAAGTCTCTCAGCTCGTACACCTCGCGGTGAATACCTCTCAAGTATTGCTCTAGGGTCGCTGTCTTGTCAACAGTGGTGAGAGTCGGGCATCGTTGATTCAGCGGCCCAACGATAGACTCTATTGATGGTAGAGGAAGACTTCTTCCCGAGAAACTGCTATTGTAGCCGATAGTCTGTGAGCCAGTGTATTTGGACAAAACCAAGGACCAGGTAGCGTGGAACAGGGAAGACGAGGAAACGCGTTGATAATATGCGAAGTTGTCCAGCTCTGATTTTGAGATGCTAATCACCGAGCTCTTGCTCAACCAGTCCTGGCGAGTTTCTAGAGATGGTGTATTGAGTGGCTTGGGTACATTGATGGGTTTCAAACCATGCAGTGGTGCTAGTGACTTCTTCCAAAAAATGTCACTCTCAGACCTGATTTGGGCTTTAAGGTGTTCTTGGAAATGAACAACGTCGGAGAAATGTGGCGCAGCTGGCAAGTCGCCATCATTGAGAATCACTTCAAGCTCATTGAGTAGAATTGTTACCGACCATCCATCGAACAAACTGTGGTGCATCACCCAGAATATTTTAATTGATCTCTCAGGAGCCTCAACAACTTTCAGATAATTGAAAGGTTTCCAAGGTAATTCAATCGGGCTGTATATTTCATCCCACAGGGCCTTTTGTGTCTTTTCACTGGTGGAATCAAACTCTGAGTCAGACACTTGGATTTCCGTCCAGTCCAGGTTTGATTCTGGTTGGATAAGTTGGGTCTTTGCATCCAAGTCAAACGTCGTTCGCAATATCGAATGTCTTTCAAACAGAGTCTCCCATGCCTTGCGCAATACAGAACTGCTTAGCTTTCCGCTTGCGATATCAACCGTGAAAGAAAAAATCAAGTTGTTCTTAGCGGGACTTCGAAGAGTCTCGGTTATGAACTGGTATTGGATATCGGATATCGGCAATGAGTTCGCAGATGCTGCATCCCCTCTGTGTTCACTTATGAGGAACTCAACCGATTGCTTCGCTGCTTCCGTGGAGACCACTTTCTGAAGGATGCTGGATGCTTTGTCGAGCACAAAGATATCTCCGACTGAAATACGCAGGCCACGAAACGCCAAAAAAGAAGCAAGCCGCACCGCCGAAAGAGAATTCCCTCCTAGTTCCCAGAATGATGAATCATCGTTGATTTGGGATATAGGTATCCTAAGGGCATTTGAAAGTCCGAATTTCACTAGCTCCGATGCCGAGGAGTGATCAGAAAGCCAATTGTGTGTCGTTGTCTCTTCTGTTATGATCGATCTAAGAGCAGCAGTGTCGATCTTTTGGTTGGACGTGACAGGCAATCTATCCAGGGGAAGAACTACGTCTGGGACAACAAACGCGTCGCATTTCTTTGCAAGTTCCTTCCGCAATGATTGCGGAGATATTTCCGAGGGAGTGATGAACCCTATCAACCTCGAATCATGCATGATTGCAGCAGCCGAGCGCACACCGGGGAAGCTCAGAAGGGCTGGGACAACTTCCGTCTCGAGATTGATTAAAAATCCTCGATTCTTCACTTGGAGGTCAATTCTGCCAATAAACGCAAATCCCTCTGGAATTTTCTTGGCCAGGTCACCGGAACGATAGTGTCGCTGCCCCTTCCATGTAATGAACTTTTGTCGGGTCAGCTCCTCATTGTTGAGGTACCCGGTTGCGAGACAAGGGCCGCGGATACAAATCTCCCCAGCTTCCGCCTCCTCTAAATTCTCATCGAGTAAGACAATCTCAATTCCTGGAATTATGCCACCAAGGAATATGGGGGTATCAGGGCGCATTTCAATGCTCGAGATTGCCGTCGTGCATTCGGTTGGCCCATAGCAGTTGTAAATTTTGCAAGCTGGACTGGACCAGAGCTTGATGAGATTTGCGCTGGGCGCCTCGCCTCCCATCCAAATCTCTCTGAGGTTAGGATATTGAGCGGGGGAGTCCATTGTAGCAAGAATCGTCGGGGTTATGATAATGGCTTCACATTTGGTGGCCTTCTCCGTATAGTCATCCGAAGTGGCCATTATTATTGTTCCGCCGTTGCACATTGAATTAAAAATAATTCCTGCGCAACCTGTCGTGGTTGTTAGACAAAGAAGAAAGTAAGGTTGAGATAACGGACTAACCATCAAAAGCAATCGAAAATAGCAGCAGAACCTTTTTCCCTGGTTTTATCACCAGAATACCATCGTAGTCCTGTATGATGAGATTCACGACACATGATTGCGGGACCATGACACCTTTTGGTTTCCCCGTCGTTCCAGATGTAAATATTATATACACCAAGTCCGTGGGCTTCAGCTCTTGTCGCGCGCTGACGAGATATGGGTATTCCTCCAAGGATGGAGCAACATCTGGCGAGTCTAGAATGCCACTCCCTATGGTGATGAAATTGTACCCGGGCAAGTCGATTTCAGTAGTCGCGAGTACTGTTTTTGCTGCAGTCGCTTCAAGAGCAGCTTTGACTCTGTCCCGACTCCAAGAAGCCACATCCATAGGAGCGTAGCAAGCTCCTAGTCTTAATACACCCACAACCGCGGGAAGCATTTCAAGTGACATCTTGGTGAGAATGGGTATTTGAGACCGTGGTCCAAGTCCGGCATCGTGAAGCAGGGACGCGACCCGGATGGAGGCCCGTCTCAGCTGGCCAAATGTCAAGCTTGTATTTTTCCACTCAGCGGCAATTGCATCCGGAGTGTTGATCGCCCATCGATCGATCATATCGATTAGAGCTCTTTCCATCTCCGGCTTGGGGGGAGAAGTCATATTGATCTTTGACAATAGGTGAACAAAGATACTTCGATTACGCAGAGCTCTGACGTCGGTTGAGAGATGAGTTCACAGACATGGAATGCGATGGGGAGAAAGGCCAGAAAAAAAGTTCAACTCCGTGGCCACTTGCGTGATGCATGTCACGGGACGAGGACGAATGCCAGTTCGTCAAACGCATACCGGAATCAAGCTCATTTAGGCAATCGCCGCATGATTGCCTTGGTGCCTCAGGCTGAACTTAATGTCTTGACTATACTACTAGTCATTCGCGTCATTGTCTCATTCTTCGAATCTTCTCTGTCTGTATAATTCTATGCCAGGATTTTGCTTTCTTGATCATTTCAGTCAGTAGTAACTCGGACTATATGTCACTATCAAGCTCACATGAGAAGTATCATCCACATCAATTTCTTTCGAATCGGGCGAAGTGGAACAGAAAACATGCCCTTGCCGGACCTGCAGATATGGAGCAGTGATATTGTTCTCCAATTGCAGAGTGCCACAGGAAAACCCAGAGCCCTTGGCCTTCTGGCTCTCCTAGCTTTTCTTTGTGCATGGCTAGTATGGATCCGATCGAAAAGAAACGATCTTCTCAAAATCCCACTCATAACCAATGAAAACAACGATTTCGCCAAGATCATGGCTGAGGGGTATCGGAATGCATGTCAACTACTCTTGCAGACTAGGTACAATGGTGTGATGCTTACCTGTCTATAGTTCAGAGACAAGCTCTTCAAGATTCCCACATCAAATTACCCAATGCTCATTGTGCCAACGAGCATGCTGGACGAGCTGAAATCGTTTCCAGTGAAAGCAATAAGCTTCCGACAAGAAATGTACGATCGATACTTGGGCAAGTACACCGCCGTGGCTTCCAACAGTGATGGTATGGTCGACTCGGTCAAGAACAATTTGACAAAAGGCTTGAGTCAGATTCTGCCTCATTTGAAAGAAGAAGCAGAATACGCTGTGCGAGACTCTTTGGGTAATACAGCAAGTTGGAAAAGAGTCAATATTTATGGGGCTTCGACGAAGATGATTGCTCTGATGTCAGGGAGGGTTTTTGTTGGACTACCGTTATCCAGGAACGAAGATTGGTCGGTTCTCCCTTACCAATCACCTGCATTGGCTGGAGGAGCAAGATGTTAAGCTAACTAGTACAGGGTGCGAAATTCAATCGGCATTACTATGAGTGCATTTTCCGGTGCCACCCAACTCTATAGATATCCATCATTCCTCTGGCCAATAGTTCGTCATTTTATACCTCAGACTGTTGCCGTCAAAAAGCATCGAAGGGAGACGGAAGAAATGCTGGAGCCGTTACTCAATAATAGGCTCCGTGACATGGAGAGTCCGGATTTTGTCAAGCCTGAGGATATGCTCCAGTGGTTGATAGACAATTCTAATGGCCGCGGTAACGATGTGCCGTTCCAGGCGAATGAGCATTTAGTCGTCAATATAGCTGCCATCCATACAACTGGAGGCCAGGTCAGTCTTCTGGTTTTTCTTTGCTATTGCATGCATATGTATTGCTAATATACTAAAAATCAGGTTGCACAAACTCTCTTCGACCTCGCCCGTTTCCCACAATATATCACACCTCTGCGAGAAGAAATAGCCAAAGTCTTCACTCAACATGACGCTGCTACCAAGCAGAGTCTCAACCAGCTCAGTAAGCTCGATAGCTTCATTAAAGAAGGACAAAGAATGAATCCATCCTTGCAAGTCACTGTGAACCGCAAGATTCTCCAGCCTGTTACGCTTTCCAACGGCGTCACTCTTCCTAAAGGAACATCGGTCGCTGCTTCAGCAGCTTGCGTGAACAAAGATCCCGCCATATTTGAAAACCCAGAGGAATTTGACGGGTTTCGATATCACAATTTGAGACAGAAAGAAGGAAATGAGGCGAAATATCAGTTTGCGACTATCGGCATTGATGCTTTGAGTTTCGGTACATGGCAAATCTTTTTCTTGTCTTGGTTCTCGGGCTAATTTGAATTTAATTTAGGACATGGTAGGCATGCATGCCCAGGAAGGTTCTTTGCCTCTGCTGAGATCAAAGTCTTGCTGTGCTATCTTATCATGAACTATGATATCAGGGAGCCTGAAGGCAGCAAAGGGCCACTGTATGTGCTTGCCGAGACTATTGCAACACCAAATCCTACTCTAGATCTTGAGTTTAAACGCAGAGATTCTGCGATAGCCCCTAAATAGACCGAATGAATAATATGTGAGTTTCTTTTCGCTTTATGTATACGAGCAAGAGTTCAAAACAACGGGGAACAAGCAACATCTTGTGATTTGCATGTTGAATCAAATTACGCCATTAGGTGACTGTTCGAGAAATATCCTGTTTGCTCTCACACTGGAAACGGTCTGAAGTCTGTAGCCATCTGCTGCTTCCTGGTGTCGCTTTTGTTTTCCTCTCCAAACCAATCTCCTCTCAACCGTGCAATCGGCTCTTCCAACTCAGTGTATCTGTCACCCAGCGTCAAGATAGTTCTTCCGTTCCATCGGCCCTGTGTGTTCGCCAGTTCTTCTGGATCCCGACCGTATAACTCAACCTGACCAAGCTGTGTGGCTGAAGAGGAGTAGACTACCGCCAGGCCAACATGCTCGGCAGTACTGACAGGAAGGCCGGCAGCGATAATTGGAGCAGCAAGGTGAGCTGGAAGAAGGGAAGTTATAGTGGCAGCGGGAGCGATGGCATTGATAGTGATGTTGTCATGGATGACAGTTGAGCGAAGAGAACGAACGAGGCCAATAAGCTGGAGTTGTGAGCTTTGCTATAAGAACAAAAGACGACGTGAATGACTTACAGCTAGCTTGCAAGCACTATACACTGGTAGACTCTGCTCTGGAGAGTATGCTGTCGCACTCGATGTGATAACAATACTTCCTTGACTCTTCCTCTTCCTGAAATGGCTCAAAGATAATTTAACGAAGTTGAATACTGCTTTCAAGTTCACTTCCATGACCGGATAAGCCGGTTCCAGCAGTTCCCCTTCTTCATCGAAAGTGTCGGCGAAATAATCTCGGTCCTCCGAAACTCCAGCATTAGCAACTGCAATATCGATATTCCCTGCTTGTAAAAACGCGGATTTGAGCTCGGCCCATTGAGAGATGTCACATTTGCGATATTCGATAGCAGATGGAAGTGCCTCGAGGGGAGAGTTGAGGTCAAGGATTAAGACGTCAGCTCCACGTTGGGCGAAGATCTTGGCAGCTGCGAGCCCGATCCCGGAAGATCCTCCTACGAGAGCGAAAAGATAAGAGGCATGCGCTAAAGATTCGCAAAAATATACATACCTGTGAGCAGCACCTTCTTCCCCACCAGACTGGTGATGTCTTCGAGCTTGATATTTAGGGACGTCATGACAAGCTGATACTGCTTGTTCACACCGTTGGTGAGATGAGATCAAGATTAACCGCCGGTCTTCCAGGAATATGTAGTGCGAGGTCAGAATAGGCTAGTGTAGAGTGCAGAGCTATACCCTTTTTAGAAAGAACCGAAGGAGAGCGAAGACTTCAACGGGTTGGAGGTTTTTATGCAAGTTTCAGACTATCTGACCCACTTTCTGATATTCATTGATACGTATCATGACAAAATTATTTCCTCGCCTATTTGGTCTAGTCATTTTCCCTGGCTCGGAATTTCACAGGGAGTGATGGCTTCCACCACATAACATGTAGACTACTTTGCTTTTCCCAATCCAACGCAGAGTCGAGTAGCTCCAGATCAAAAGCGTAAAGTAATTTAGCAAGAATAGTACACATTTCCACGTATGCAAAACTGTCATCGTCATGAGTCAAGATTCGAGACGAGAGAAACAAGGGAAAATATTTGGCTTACTTTCGGCCTAGACAGCCACGTGGACCTAAGGAAAAGGGTTGACTAGCTTCTTTGACATCAGTACAAGCGGGATCAATCCACCGAGAGGGCTTGAAGATGTAAGGATCATGGAAGTATCGTGGGTCGTGGGTTACGGTCCAGGCGCTTGTGTAAACCTCAGTCTGTGGAAGGCCCGAACGTCAGCATAAGCTCTAAACATTCATCACAATGAGGGTCATAAAGTCCTAGACCTGATATGAAAGGAAATAGAGACTTAGCTTACCCCAGGAGGAATATACACGCCACCAATTGCTGCCCCGGGGCTCAGGCGCGGAAAGCCTTGAGATCCAGGTGGATAAATGCGCAGACCTTCTGAGATGACGGCTTGAAGGTACTGTAGCTGCTGTGCAGCTGTGGCGTTAATATCAGACAGACTGTCGAACCGGGATCGAATCTCTTGGCAGAGCTCTGCGTAGACGGACGGGTTTTTGAGAAGGTGATAAGTAGTAGCAGACAGGAAAGTCGCGACCGTCTCTCCACCGGCGATGCTGGAATCAAGTCAAATTTATGCGCCAATCTTTGCTTGATCATAGGATTACTGGGATGAGAAGTTTTAGGAAAAGGGGCTTGCTGACATTAAAGTAGAGGAATGCGCGGTCAGTTCTTCCTTTCCAACCTCGCCGCTTTCTACCTTCTCAACAAGGTTGGTGAGAAAATCCTTTCGAGATGACTGACTCGCAAGTCTCCTAGATATTTACACCAGTTAGACTTTTCTTGAAGACGAGGAAAGAAAAGGTGAAGACGAACCGATCGACTTTGTCTCGACTGAACTGCGAATGCTGATTCCGCACCGAGAAAGTTAGTTTGGGGAGTAGAAACGCTCCAATGCAGTAAAAGATGGGATATCGGCGAAGATTGTCGATTAGCGTAATAAAAAAGAGATGGGATGTTATCATCTCACTCCAATGATGAGGTTTGCCTAAGACTGTTAGCTGTTTCAATAGTGTATTCAGCAACTACACTCCATACTTGCCATTTTGAATGCAATGAAAAGTTTCCCCAAATGCCATCTCACCCAATATATCAAATGCCAGCATTTCAAACCACTTGGTCATATTTAATCCCTTTTCTTGGGTACCTTCCTCTCCTAGCTTGTCGATAAACTGATCTATGCAGCTTTGCACAATCGATTCCTGCTCAACAAGAGCCTTGGTCGAGAAAGCAGCGGTCAAAGATTTTCGCATACGGGAATGAACCTGCGGATTGCGCTCCGATCCAATACACAGTGAGTCGAAACCAGATCCATAGATATCGTAGAACTCGCTTTTCACCATCGTGGCTTTCCCCGCGATCGGGTGTCCGTAAATAGCTTTCCAAGATTCGACCGAAGCGAAGGAGAGTTCGTTAGGGGAGATACGAACTATGTCACCTGTATGTTGAGGCCTGTTAGATTACTTTTTGTTACTGAATTCTCTTGGAGTTTTGGTCTTGGGTTTGTACCATATCTTTTGTGTGCTTTGTCAATGGCAACGTGGAATCGTCCCCCCGTTGAATGTAGCACTCGCCATAACTAATTCAATACTCAATCAAGGCCCAACCAAGCACTACTGGGGAAGGTTATAGACATACCAGAGATGAGCGTCCAAGCAACGGACCAGGGAACTTGGCTAGCGGGTGGAAATATACATTATAGAATGCCAACGAAGTAGAATAGATTGTCTAGCCAGCGTCAGAACTCGTCATTCTCATGTTTTATTCCCGTCAGAATTATTGTAGATTGGCCTACTAAGACAATCAGCATGAAACTGATAAGTCTCGTGCTGAGACTTTGTGAGAAGTGCAGAGTCTGCGATATTTCGTGCAATGACATAACGAATACTCGAGCGATGAATAACAAAAACAGTCTACAGTGCCCTTGAATTTGATATATTTGCAGATATAAGTTAAGGCAGAGAACTGAACATCCAGATTCGGGAACGTTCGGCCACACCCAGATAGGCAACTCCGAAGAAAGTGTTGAAGTCTTTTGCTTTTCGCATTCTGATCGAGCACGCAGAATTCTCACTTCAAAGCATTATGCTTGCTTTATAATGCATTAACGCAAACAAAATGATCATATAAAGTGAAATGTGGAACTGCTCGATGGCATTGTGGCTCTACAGGCTGGGCACAGCCAACGATGAGGCACACACAACCACCTCCAGGTCATATGGAGTTTGATGTAAGTGGTTTCTAAAGTAGAGTTTGTATTTTTCTTCAGACTATTTCCATGGATCATGAAGCAGGTGAGCCATTAAACCTTGGAAGAGTGTAATCAAAGTCGCCCGTTGTCTATTCTAGGATTGCTTCGTAGAACTTGGAAGACTATATACTCAGATACGTCGTAAGACGCATCTGATTGCCTTTATATAATTTCTGCCGGATACACCACTACAATGTATTTTGGTTTCATTGTACCTAGATGAGATTCGCAGTTGATCGCAAAGATCGCTTCACCCATCAATCCCCCAGCCGGTCTATATCTAGGAGCTATGCGTCGCTGATCTCTAAAGGCTCATTTAAATTATTTCTACCTTTCAAAATGTCGCATTCGCGACTTGAAAGAGCCAGCGACTCTTCCAAAAGACCTAACACCCATGTAGGATTCCTAAGACCAAGCGAAGCCCATTCCTTCATTCCCTCACAGCCGTTCTCCTACGGAGCAACAGTTGCGCGGACTCGTCTGGAGTTATAGCTGCACCAAAGATTTTGTTTGCCGGCCTTCCGGCTTTTTCATCGAGTAATTTAACATCAAAAGTCTCAATGATATGAGAGAAAATAGCCTTCAGCTCATAACTGGCGAAGAATCTGCCTGGACAACCTTGGCGACCGTGACCAAAGTGCAAGGCCTTTGGAGTAATTGTTGCGAATTGGAATTTGTGCATATCATCCTTGCTTCTGGATCGCAAATCAGCGAAACGGAAGCCACGAAACTCGTTGGCCGACTCCCAGATGTCATCATCCAAGGATACAAGAGCTGCAGGGGCGAGGATGTAAGTTCCAGGAGTGAACTTTACTCCATTGCTGAGTGTGAACTCCTTCAATACTAGCCGACTGTATGTCACTATATGCAAAGTCAGTGAGCCGTTACAAATATCGAGACTCTACTCCCATGGAGACCTTTCGATTTGAACTTACTCAAACTTGGGGGGTTCAGCCGCTGTGACTCCTTCATAAAGCTATCCATCTTGATCATCTTGTTATAGTCGAGTTTAGATGGGATACCGTTAGAGGTCTTATGTATGGCATATTGCTCTTTCCTTAGAGGCTCAACATACTGTGGTCGTGCGGCGAGATCATATAGAAAGTGCGTCATAGCGAGAGTAGACGTATGCAATGCCGAGAAACAGACAAGTAAATGCAATTTTGCCAGCTCCGCAAAACTGCGAGGGTGCTTCTCTTTCGCGTTGTTATCCATAAGCCACTGAATCATGTCATTTGGTTTCTTAAAGTGGGGGTTTGATGCTGCATCCCTTTGACGCTGCTCCATAATCGGAACGAGCAGGCGCTTCGCTGTGGCTTGATGCCTCCACACCTTGCGAATCTCTGGCACCAGAAACCTGGCAGCAAATGGACGCATGAAGTGGCTGTACTTATACAGGGCATTGCCTGCAATATAGATATCCATCATGAAGTTGCTGGAGATGTGTAGCCATTCTTCGTTGCGGTTCAGCTCCGTGCCCACGAATATCCGTCCGGTCATGAGGGAGACGATGCGCAATATTCTTGGCTGGATGGTAACGGGAGTCCAGTCTAAACTTATTAGCAAAAGCCCATGTGCAGTTTGGCTACTCAGAGAACTCACCTTTGCATTCGGGGAGTTCGGTGCTGAGAGCATAGTCAATCTCATCTGCAACCTCTGATAGCAAGCTTCCTGTCAAAATTGACGATCTCGTTAAAATAGAACTTGGTGTTGCAGCCAGGCGCTCTTACCAAAATTCTGGGTTAGGTCTTTCAGAATTGTGTGCGCTTCCAACGGGTCTCCTAGCTTGACCCATTCGTAGTCACCCACCATACGCTAGAGTCAATTGGTCAGTCTTTATTCTGTAATTTGCACTGGACTCTCAAACCTTTCGTGTTCCTTCATAGAAATCTATAGTTCCAGGCGGAAGAGAGCTTAATTCCTCCAGGAAATCTGGCGAGACGACAGTGGTAAACCCGTGGAGGCTCCAGATCTGATATATGCCGTGTTTGAACTCCTTGTATCCACGTTGGAGCAAGCCTTTGGCGTCTGCAACGTATGCCTTGAGCGCGGCATCATAGTCATTTCCCTTGAGATTGAGAATAGGCACGTCAATGCGCTGTCGTTTGAGCTTGTGGACGCGTAAATAATTGTCGGACCAAAAACGGACGAAGATAGTGGCTGCTAAAGAGATCAGGATCCAGGCGATGGTACCAAAGCTTTGAGGGCTTGTGAATGTTTCGAGGAAAACCATGATAGAAGATTAGAAAAGAAACATAAAGCTGGAGAAGAGAGAAAAAGGGAGTTCTAAATTATCACAGGTAGCTGGTGTACTTATTGTGAGGAAAATATTTTGTAGGCGCATCTTCTCGGGATTTCCGTATTTAGCAATTGCAGAAGAGCTTTCAAACCCCTTGTATTATACAAAATCTACATAGAGTGAGACTCTGGAGTATAGGTTGCATTGAAACCACTGCCTCCATCACAATATTTGCTTTCATTTTCCACGCCGGAGATAATTTACGGCAACCGATTTGATATTTTGTAAAAGTTGACGCCTTGGATTTGCTAACCCCCTTTATCTGTGCTGATATAAGTCTCTGGGATACGATTTGCTCTCGAATCATTTTATTACTCTTTCCTTGCCTGATACAATAGCGATTTCGGCTGTCCACGTCGTGTCGACTTATCTTCTCCTGCTTTGGATATCGTCGAAGGTCGAATGATAGCACAGGCTAATTAAACATATAGATCAAAAGATTGGGAATCTAATGCATAAATAGAAAGATATAAAAGTTGATATTTCGTGATCTTCTGTGCATTGTTTAAGCAAATCCTCAAATCCTGACAAGTTTGAATTAAACGAATAATAATTTTTCAAGGGCAAATAGTACTTCTTAATACTTCTTAAGGACAGGCACATCCGAGACTAAATTTCTTCGTTCGGCTCCCTTTGTCCCCTTCCTAATCGACGGAATGGTATCTGAGTGTCGTCTGACTCCACCTTTCATTTCCGCTGATCTGATACTCCAACCCCTTGGCATAGGTCTGGACCTCCCACTCATCCGGCAGCTCATTGACTAGCACCGCATGCTTTGTCTCCCAACCTCTACACATAACCAAAAGTACTTTCTTCGCTGCCTCATAGGGCAAATCAGTCTCCTGATTCAGAACCTGCACAGCGGAGCATATGGCGGCTCCTTCTGCATGGCCGATTTTTGATGCTCGGAGCTCTTTGTCCCAGCTGTAAACATCGTTCATGATAGAAAGATGCTTCGCACAGTTCTGCTCGACTCCTTTCACAGAGTCAAGCTGTGCTGGGGTGAGGTGAAGGCCCATCGAGAAACGCATCAACGCACACAGAAGACTAAAGATGAAAATCATTAATTTTTCTTCTCTAAGGCCCAGAAAAAGAAGTTGAGTGGGATACTACATACGCTTTCCCGACATCTCTCTCTCGGTACTCCAAGTAAGGTCCAAGCCCTTGAATAGTCAACCTTAGCTTGTCGGTCTGTGCCCTCATAAACGTAAACACCGGCTCCAAAATCTCATCCGCAAGTGGTTTGTCATATGCCCTCATACTCTCCCACAGGTCATACGTGATCCACTCCACGGGAATGTCTCGATTGGGCAAAACGTCTCCTCTGGAGATAGGAATGAGGTTCTCATTGTACTTCGAGCCTTCATCCAAGCTCATGTCCTCAAGAATATCTATTAAACATCAATTTTACGGCTCAAAAGTCCTCAGAAACTTTCGAAAAGGGAGACTCATACCATCGATCAAGAACAACAGCGTCAACAGACGACAGGCGAAGTGAATTCTATCATCCTTCGCAGCTGGAAAATAGAAGCAGGTGACAGTAGAGAAGCCTGCTGCCACAAACCTTTTCCTTGCCTTCTCGTTTTCAAAAGGCCAGTGCTGAAGAAAATAACCATTGACCTCGGCTGATACCTCTTCGACGCGAGGATGACATTTGGGTATGAACTCAGACGATGTTTCATTGAGAGCTTTAGGTGGTGGTGACAAAGCAGGAGATGATGTCTCAAGGCCAAGGAAGTAGAGAAGTGAATACAGGGCTTTAACGGGGGTCAATATCGGTGCCATGGTGGAAATTTTTGGCCTCGGAGTTCCAAATTCAAGTCTAATGTTCAATTTGGGGTCAATGCAGACATAGAAGAAGCCATATGAGAGAATTTATTTCCATCGAGCTAAGTCTATACCTGGCCCTGTAAGCAGATTCGGTCTTTTCCGGAAGCGTGTCAACCGACTTTTAATTCCTGGATCTGGTTCAGGATTTTACGTCCAAACAGCGGGAACTCACCTGGACACGAGATATACTGGGTTCTTCCTCCATCCGCGGACCAGTGGACTTGATATGCTACCTAGCAACTCTATATTAATAGGTCACGGCATGAATTTCAAGTTTTACATTGATTTCCAGCATCAATCAAATGTGGCCATCGATATCAATTCCTTGGCTTTTATGAGGCTCCTTAGCGGTAATAGCTACACGCCCTAGGTAAAATTGCAAGTCGGGACTTCCTAACAAGGAGTATCCCAGCTTACTGTAGGTCTTATGATTGAAACAAAAAAGGGTTGTTTGGTAATTTCTGAGCGAAACGTCGCAATCAGACAAAAAGACAATAATACGCCTCTCTGGCTGTCGATGGGTCTAATTTCTGCCTAGGTATTGGGTATGTGAGTGTGACCAAATGAATTCGAGGTACTAGGTACCTGTTCAGCGAAGCATGCATTTTGCTTCTTGCATCTTAGTACAGTAGATCATGGCGATCCATGCCCAGTGAATACCTTGACTGAAACGTTTTTCGATATTGCAGATTACAGTTTGAATACAACTGTGCTTCATTCATCTTATTGCTACTGATCATAGAACTGATACTCGAGAAGAACACTTTTAATCTCTCATCTAGTAATCCTTTCCACCCCAAGGCCTCGCTACTAAGCGTACTATCCTGGGTCAAACCTTGTCTCCCCTAGGCTTTGTCCTTACCATAAGCTTAGGCTTTTTCCATAGCGTATGCATTTCTGATGCCTCTTGCCAATTTAAAGTATCATCCATCAGCTCAAGATCATATTTGAAATATAGTTTCGCCAAAATCGTTCGCAATTCCATCCATCCAAGACTGTTTTTGTTCTTAGCCAATACTTCTATCTCTCAAAGAGCGATCAAATGCAAGTAGAGCGAGTATGATGGCTTACCTTCGTCCCAGACACGCTCTTACGCCATAAGAGAAAGGTTGCGAGGCCTCCAAGTTATCCAGCTTATTTGAACCGATCCAACGCTCGGGTTTGAAATCCCAGGGGGAGCTAAAGTTATCGGAGGACATGCACGTCGCGAAGGGATTGGTTGAGACGACGGTCTATCACATGCTCAACATGCCAGATCTTTGAAACAATCGAGTCCAGTAAAACAATAAACTTACACCAGCCGGCAAGAAATGCCCATCAACTGTATCTCCTCCCTCTGGTACAACCCGCGGGAGCGCAAAAGGCAAAGGTGGATAGATCCTCATGCCCTCCAGCAAGACAGCATTCAAGTATTCCATCGACGCAGTGGATGCTGCTGTGATTTGGCTGTAATCCTTGAATTTCGAGCGAATCTCATTTTTCAGTTTCTCCAGAACTTGAGGGTTTCGTTGGAGATAATAGGTGACACATGCCAATGCCGTAGCTGTTGTCTCGCTTCCCGCAATCACAAAGTCAGACGCATGTGCTGCGATCTGTATTTCCGATATCTCGTCTGTTTCACGGGCGTCAAGGATTCGTGTGATGAAATCTGGTCGATCGGTCTTTTTATTTACTCGCCTGTCATAGTCTCAGTTTAGGTATGATATTAGCTGGGGAGACTTCTTACTTTTTTATCAATTCAATCGTGTAGGCCTCGTGTCTTCTGGTATCTGCGATCAGTTTTTTAAGAAGACTGGGGAATAACTTGATGAAGATGGCTGCCAGATAGGGAAATCGCTTGAAGCAATCAGCGAGAGCCCCCATTCCCAGGCTTTTCACCACAATAGACACCCAGAAATGCTCAGTCCCGGAAGCCAGACCTCCAAACGACTGACCAAAAGCCAAGTTGCCAATGATGTCGAATGTAGTGAGATTTAACCAAAGAACCAAATCAACTCCGTCATCTCCCTTTTTACCAATCTTCTCAATGAAAAGATCCACGACCTCAGATACCAGGTACTCTTGTTCTCTCAGTGACCGTTCCGAAAACGCATTGGACAAATATTTACGCATCACCGCGTGTTTTGCTGGATCGCGTTCGCTGACAATTGAATGGGCCTCCACCGCAAAGCTTCCCCCTCGTAGAAGTCGCTTTTGATGAAGGGTTGATGGTCTTTACGCTGACCATAGATATCTCGCCACGAAGCAAATGTGTTGAATGAAAGCTCGTTCGGGGCGACGCGTACTGCGGGGCCTTGAGGTTGTTAGTATAGGCCCGTGTCAAACAGACGCGAACTTGCCATATTTCTCGTGCAGCTTGAGCATCTCATATGGCTGACGGCCACCCATAAATCGACGACAGTACGAAAACTATTCTTTTTCTAGCTCCTGTCCACTCATTTCGAGCAATTCTATTGAATCTTACATTGCTAAACGCGGCTGTTGGGGGACCGGGGAACTTGGACAATGGATGGCGTTTGATCTTGATCCATGTTGACACAGCCCAGGCCACGAGGACCTTTCACCAAGTTGATATGTTAGTGTATCTATTTGCAAGATCTATGAGTAACTATACTTACGATAGAAAGTATCTTGAGGGCAGAAGCACCAGTGAGGTCTGCCAGGACTGCCATTATCGCCTTCTTTAAGATTTCAAGGGATGGGACTGATAATATGCAAAAGGAGAAAGCAAATATGTTAAATGTATTTTGTTCAACTTAACACCTGATGTTACTAAATGCGTTAGAGCCCGAACAATTGGGCGATCAGATTCCGAATGAGGGGTTCCCCGAGAATCCGATCGCAGACCCCTGTCTTCCTCTGTATCAATTACCCTTCGATTTTGTGGCTGAGTGATTAACTCCTTCGCTTAAAGAAAACTTCCTGGTCTGGATCAGGCTTGAAGGCCACATCGTAGGTGATCGGCTTGGGTCGTCCTTTGCCGTCCGGAAGCGCAAAATCAAATGATCTGATCAAATGCGCAAGCACAATCTTTACCTCGTTATTCGCAAAAAATCTCCCAGGACAACTAGATATATAGTGATGGATTAGTGACCGCAGTTGTAAGCGATTGTTCAAGTCTTACGCATGAGATCCATATCCAAACAACAGCATGTTCGTTCCCGTTGAGACAAACTGCATATATTCAGATCACCGCGCTCAATAATGACCATCTGTGCATGGAGGAAGTTACCTGATACTTATTCTCGCATCCCGGCTCTTGTCTCATCCGATAAAGCCGAAGCCCGTCGTATCTTTCCGGAGTTTCCCAAAGTTCAGAATCCATGGCAATCTGACTTGATGCCGCCGCCAGGTACGTCCCGGCAGGAATATGCAAGCCATTGGAAAGCTCTAGCGAAGATATTGCTTTTCGATTGAAAGTCATGATTCCCGGTGGATTATGTCTCTGCGTCTCAGACATGATGCTATCCATCTTTTTCAATTTGAGTAAAGCAGCTTTGGACAATTGTCCCCCGGTCGTATTTAAAACCTCTTCCAACTCGTCTCGTAGAAGCTGCAGGTATTCGGGATGGGCCGCAAGGTCAAAGCATACGTTTGTCAGGAGTTTGGCGGTAGTGTGAATTGCGAGAAAGCTAACTTGAAGCTGTTGCATAGCTTGATATTTCACATCATGGCGCTTCGAGGATGGAGAATTATTCATATTCCAATCCATCATGTTGAGGATGCCATTTTGCTTGCCTCTTAATCTCTCATCAACCAAGGGTGTGACTAGTCTGGTGAGAGTTGCGAGTTCGCGCTGGACAGCACGGTACTCGGGGACAAACCTGTAGATGAACGGCCTCAATATAGGATGCCAGGCACGGATTTTGTTGGCAGCGTTGAAGGAATCTAAGGTGTAGCCAACGGTGCATTTCTGATACTCTTCATTTCGACTCAGCTCTGAACCCACAAAGACTCTCCCAGAAAGTAATGCAATAACTGAAAGCATTATGGGCTGGACTTTCAATGAAGTCCAAACTTCAATCTTGAAATGTTAGCTCCGGGTTTGGTCGGGCTTTTGCTCAGCTGCTGACCTTTGCATTCTGGAATCCTTGCAGAGAGCGCATAAATGGCTTCCTCATCCATTGTTTGGATTACGTTTGCTTCGAATAATTAGCTGGTAGCCAGATTGTCGACAAATTCACTCATGCTACTCACCCACGTTTCTTGCAAGATCGTCCGAGATGCTTTTGAGGACTGTCGCATCATGAGTCCCAACGTATGTTGAAGGACCCAAGAATTGCTACATCTGACATTAGAACAGCCCAGAGGTCTTGCTTTCAGCAATCAATAAACCCACATCACTCAGCGATTTGGCCAGACTAATCTTGTTTTCTGGCAATGATTTGAGCTCATCCAGAAACTTCGCAGGCAGTACCCATTGCTCCCCATGGGGGCAGCGGAGCTTGAACACATTGTGCTTCGACTGTGGTGGAAATTAGCAATACAAAAGTAGGTCAGTCAGCGAAAAAGACCTGCCGTTCGATATCCTTCCTTCAAAAGTTCCAGTAGAGGGGGTCGCTTTTCATTTCGGTTAGGGATGTGTGCTATAAGTGGTACACTGTCGGTATTTCTTGGTAATAGCAGGTAAAATGAGAATAGCAGTGCTAGAAAGATGATCCCAACGAGTAGCTGATTTTTCAGATCCAAAATCTGCCATGGGGTGATAGTGAGGTTGCTCATGTTGATTGGAGCGACTGCCAACAACACTGTTCATAGGATGCAATGTGCTTGTGCCCTACAATAGACCACCATATATATTGTGTTCTGGCGACAGAGCGTTCGCAAACAATCTCCCAGCTGTGAGCTGTACTAAAAGTGGCATAAATGAAGCACTCTATTGTGGCTAGAACGTTTTTGGCAAGTTTTGAGAAGTCAGCACTGATACTGTAATAGTGCTGCATACAGTTTTGGGCTGCTCCGACTTGGGGGAACTCCTCTTTGCCCCATGTCGATGGTGCATCGCGCAACGGGACGGACCTAAACGGGTCGATCCCGATCTTGATTGGGCTAGTGTTCATTATACACTGCACATTGAGTCTATTCGTCGTGGCTGGAAGCTGGAAGCTTGCACGCCTATTTGAATAGTTATGAAGGCGAACTTCATCGTAGTCAAGTGATAGTGCTCTTTTTCGCACATACGTGAGCCTCTGTTTCAACTAAGTAAAATGAATGATAGAATGGTCAACTCAATGGACGCGGAGAAAATCATCTGACAGTGCCCACAGGGCTTATGAAAACATCGCATTGCGTTATCTCGGCTTCCATTCAAGCATTTCTTCTCTTAAACATGACTGTCGCCGTCCCGTTTGGCAAGTACTGCGTTTCAAACAGTAAGCTCTCCGGCCTTTTTTGCCCCTCTTTAAACTTCATATCGTAATTCTGTAACAAGTATGCCATAATCGCTTTGATTTCGTTGGCGGCAAAGAACCGACCAGGACAGGCATGACGGCCATAGCCAAAAGACATTGAACTGTGATTGCTTGCAGCGTACTGGGCCTTGCCACTCTGCTCCGGATTCTGGCGTAATTTCTCGAATCGAAAACCATCAAATTTAGTAGGATTATCGTAGATCTTAGGATCCATGGAAATAGCCTGTGTAGGAATTCCAATTGTTGTGTTGGCAGGAATCACAAACCCATCCGAAAGTTTGTAGTCTTCGGTAACGACACGCTCAAAAGTAACTAAAGGAGCGATGCTTTGTCAGTATGCCATCAAGGGTTGAACAGCTCAGTCAGCCAGCGCCGAATGGATTCGCGACTCACTTAGAAGGAGTGGGTTGAAGCGCTGACTCTCCTTCATGATGGAGTCCATTTTAGGCATTTGCAAGAAGCCCTTCTTTCCTATAGTCCCATCTTCAAGGACACTGTTGATCTCGTCGCGTAGCGGATTTATGTACTCTGGCATAGAACAGAGATCATAGATCAACTGAGACGGCGCAGCTGCGCTAGTATGAATAGCAGCAAAACTGACTTTCAGTAGAATACCTGCCAGGAATTTGTGATCCTTTTCATCGCCTTTAGCCTGGTCGGCCATCCAATAAAGCAAATCCAATGCTTTCTCGCCTGATTTCTCCCTCTCTTCTAGAAGGGGTATTGCTGCTTTTTCGGCCATTCGATAATGCTCGTGGATCGACATGATCTCGGGAATGAAGTATTTTGCAATAGGCTTCAAAAATTCAGGATATCGCTTGATTTTCTGAGCCCCATGAAATCCATCAATAGCAAATGCGATGGAAGCATCAATCCACTCTTTGTTACGGCTAAGAACCGGGCCCCCAAACATGCGGCTCGAGACCCTGGCAACAATTTGTGTCATACAGTCAACGACGTTGACCTCGGTCCAGTCTATCGTTCTCAAGTTAGAAGCCTGTCAAAATTCTTGGGCGGGTACTAACCATCACAAGCAGGAAACTGGGACTCGAAAGATTCCTTAATCTCTTGTTGGATCTCGGGCATGACTGCTGGAAGATTACTGTTCAATTGATGTTTCACGACTCGAGGGTGCAACGTCGATCGGCTCCCCATGGTTGTATATTTTCCTTCAAACATCTAGAACAACCGTTAGAGTCTACCTGCGGTGAAAAAAGAAACATTACCTCTTGAAAAGTAGCCACAAAATCAACCTTGTCGATTGGAGCTGTTTTAAGATCTTCCAAGTACTTGACTGGTATCATGAGACGTTCGCCTAAGACACTCGGAACATAAAAAAAATTGCCCGCCCACTAAAATATGTTAGAGTATTCCTAACGAAGTAATATACCCCCTGTACCTTTTCATAGCCTTCTTCAAGCATAGATTTTCCATCGTGAATAAAACGAATGCGACTTTTCTGGATGCTCTGGCGATCATCACCACCGACGATTGGAATTCCGGGAACAAGACGCTGTCTTTTCACCACCCATCGCTTAATGAAAAACTGTATGAATAGAACTGCGCCCAGCAATGGTAGCAATCGGGAATGAAATTGGGAAGCTTGAACCCCATGGAAATAATCGAGGGTCTCCGAAGATAACACCATGTTGGACAATAGAATTGAGACCAATTACAGAGCCAGTGCTGGTGAATACTTTTCGATTGAAATCGCTTAAATTATTGGCAAATTCAATAACCCCATGTCTCCAATCGGAGATGAGAAAATCGAGTGTCTGACCACTTCGGTGCTTCCGTATCGGTCTTAGTCTCATCAGCCGTAGCGTAAGACCTTGGGCATGCATTGATATAGCGAGATGAAGCTCCATAGTTTATTCCCAACTTACTTTTTTATTTCCAATGTGAAAGGATGGCAGACCCTTTTGCTACCTGGAAGGTCGATTCGACAGACAAAGGTCGCAAATTTGGCACTCTTCAAGTCCATGCAGGTCATAAACCAGACTCAGCAACCAAATCGAGAGCCGTTCCAATATATGCAACAGCAGTAAGCTCTCCAATACCCATTTGATCTTATCTAATGCTGATGAACAAGTCCTTTGTTTTCACCGATACAGAGCATGCAAAAAGAGTCTGCACAAATCAAGAAGGCGGATATGGTGAGCTCCCCCTACCTTTCTCATCCGGACATATATTCACTCGTCCAGTATATTCCAGGATTTCAAACGTTCGTATCTCAACTCACCTCGATCAATTCTTTTCTGATTTTCGCAGCCAACTGTCGAGGTATTTGAGAGGAGAGCCGCGGCTTTAGAAGGCGGCACCGCAGCTGTTGCAACTGCCTCTGGTCAGTCTGCCGTGTTTCAAACCATACTTGCCTTGGCAGGATCTGGAGACAACATTATCTCATCGCGCAACCTATACGGTGGGAGCTACAGCATGTTCAAAACCCTCCTCCCCCGGCTAGGTATTGAGGTGAGATGGGCATCAAGCGATAAGCCTGAAGAAATTGCAGGATATATCGATGAGAAAACAAAGATGGTATTTGTAGAGACCATTGGAAATCCTCGGTGCAGTGTACCGGATCTACGAGGAATAGCAGATGCCGCACATCTACAAGGCGTTCCATTCGTTGTCGACAACACATTCGGGGCTTGCGGCGCCTTTTGTAGGGCTATGGACCATGGAGCGGATATTGTGGTTCACTCGGCAACAAAATGGATCGGAGGCCATGGAACCTCGGTTGGTGGAGTGATAATAGATTCAGGGCGATTCGACTGGGGCAAAAGTGCAGCTCGTTTTCCTCATCTCATCGAAGAATCTGGACCTTTGAACTTTTCTTATTGGAAAGCGTTCGGCAATTGCGCATTTGCAATGGCTCTTCGAATCAATGTGGTCATGGAAGTAGGCTCGGTTCTCGGTCCTTTTGCTGCTCAGCAGCTTCTCCTTGGGTTGGAGACTCTCAACTTGAGATGTGAGAAAATCGGGTCAAATGCGCTCAAAATAGCACGCTTCTTGCAGTCGGATCTTCGAGTGTCCTGGGTAAACTATCCAGGTAGGTGATCCACCTTGATTGGACATATTCAACCTCTGTGACTTAGATTCGCATCGTAGGACTTGAGAACAGTGAATATCACGACCTCGCGAAGAAATACTTGACTGGCGGGTTTGGTGGTGTTCTCTCTTTCGGTGTGGCAGGTGGCACTCGTGCAAGTGTTATTCTGATTGACGGATTGCGCATAATTTCAAACATGACAAAGTTGGTGGCTTGAGATCAATTCTTGCTTCAGGCGACTAACAATTTGATAGTGTTGGTGATTCGAAAACGATGATTACTCACCCTTGGAGCTCTACTCATGTTATCATGTCCGAGGAAGATAGAATTGGAGCCGGAATCACAGAAGAGATGTTTCGCCTATCAATAGGGACGGAAGATGTCGAGGATCTCATTCATGATTTTGATCAAGCACTGGCTAGTCCGGATCCGCCGACAGAGAATGTGAGCAGTAAGCGCTCTCGAGCGGTCACACCAATTTCAGACAACGAAACCGCACAGAAGCGACAAAAGGTAACAGGGAAGATTTCGGAGCAGAGAGAGCAGAAGGATACGTGGACAGTCGAGCAAACCATAGCGGCTATTTGATTTATGATTTGCAGTTAGTTCATCCAGCACTGAGAGGTTATTTTGCCTGCATTAAAACATCACTCATTTATTCAAGCAATTGACTCTAGCATAATCATTCTCAGAAACATCTCTGGTACTCAATAAACATTGCAATCCTTCCTACGGAGTAGATCTGGAATTGATAAGCCCGACCGCCCGGCTGTACCACCCGAACCAAGGCGCTTCGCCAAAGTGTGGTTCCGTGGAAGTCTGGGAAGCCAAACTATTCTGCTTCCGAACTGAATCATCCGAATTCAATCTCGACACGTGAGGCCAACTTCTGGGAGCAATTATGGGACAGCGCCCGTCTGGACACCCAGTTTGGAGATCGAACGGGGAGAACCATAGAGATAAAATCCCTGCTGGCCCTATCCATCGCGACCCACCGAGCATGTTTAGTACTGAAACTGGGTATGCTCCATCTGAAAGGAGCCTTCAGCGGCCTCAACCAACGGAGCCTACAGGCATGCGCCCAGGAAAACCAGCAAAGGAAGTGGATCGCAAAACCATGAACAACTGAGTTTTCGAGGATGCAAATCGGGCACAAGTTACACGAAGCGTCTTTGTGCGGATCTTCAAGCCATAATGAATCATTTACCGAACGAACTCAGCGATGTGAAAATGAATCTCCGATTAGATATGGTTGAGGGCATAGCAGTGGTTGTCAAATTAAATACGCATGATCTATATGCCTCCCAGCTAGGGGCGAAGCAAGTAGGATCGACTGACAGATTGATGACGCTAGCCTCTCGTTGAGGGGACAACGGTCAAGAGTTCTTTAGATGGGGCTAGCGTGGTGCATTTTATTGAGGTGAGGTGCTGACTTAGCAGCTCGTGCTTAGGTGACGCTCAGTGAGATCTGGATTATGTAACGGTCAGGTGATGCTCAGTGAGCGAGTTTTATGTTTATACAATACTTAGGGGCATGCTCAGAATTACTCAGTGAGCAAAAAGCGGCAAGGGGTGAGCACTAAAGCGGAGAGCGAAAGCCATGTCGCGCGGCCTAAAATCCGGTTTTTATGAATCATGATAGCAAAAACGTTGTACATGCCCGCCTAGGTAGGTATAGTTAGTACGGAGTACCTTGATACTGATTGGGACCCACTGGCGGCCGAATCCCGGATGGGCTCGGGTGTCCACTTTTCGGCCGCCGCTATGCCTCCTGTGCCACAACACCCGACTTACGCGAATGTGATCTGAACTGCTTAATCTGATACAATCTTCTGAAGCCCTCTGTTAAATACCCGCCATGCCTTCTACAGAGACATCAAATCTAGTATGCGTGAACTGTAAGCTCCGCAAGAAGAAATGTGATAAAGCGCGGCCGCGGTGTGGATACTGCGCTCGGTACGTACCTCTAGCCTCCTCTTTACAGTTATGACATCTCCTTATACGGCTACAGCAAGAACTTGGACTGTCAATCCACCTCAACAGATGTGAAATACCCGAAATCAAGGCAACTACTGGCGAGCCCTAGCCCTGTCATCCGCTCGTCCTTGCTCCTAGCGGAGACTTTGTCGGCTGTGTTGCAAGATGAACCTACGAACCTGCATTCTATAATATATCTGCAGATCCTCCGCATCATTCGATCGACGGGTCAAACTATAGACGAGATCTGCCATCGATACTTCCGAGGCATGCATTCTTTCATCCCGATATTATCGGCCCCTCAATTCCATGAGCAATTGATCCACTTGGCCGCATTTCCCTCCGCGACATTTTCTGTACTATTATTGTCAATGGCTCTGGTAACTTATCATCCTGGACTGGTCCTGCCTAGCTCTGGTGTTGATCACGCGACCTTATATTTTACTACGAAATCGCTATACACCCAGGCCCAAGGCTCCTTTGCGAATTCCCTACCCCTAATTCAAGCTGGTATCATAATCGCTAGTTATGAATATGCGACTCAAAGGATTAATGAGGCTTTCTGTTCTATTGGTGTCTGCGCCAGGATGGGCTATGCTGCAGGTCTCCACCTTGTCAGCTTGACTGAAGAATCCCATTATTGCTGTCAGGCGGCGGAGAGGTATAATACTTGGTGGGGCATTGTGATTACCGAAAGGTCAGATCCTGAACTGTACTATTCTTTGTGCGAAAGTCGAAATCTAACGCTATAACAGGACCATTTTGTGCGAAGTGGATATCGTTCCACAACCCATAATTTCCATCTTTCCAGAGGGAGATGTTTCACTACCAAAAGAGCCCATTTCATCCAAATCGGACCCAAATCTATTTATTGATGCCGTTTCTCGAAATTATATAGCCGTCGATGACTACGATGGATTGGCCAGGGTGACTCATTCCATATGGCTCCTGGACCAGGTCTTGAGTGCTTCAAAAGTGCGGGATCTCGGTGCCCGATTGGCTCAACTTGTTAAGCTAGACTATGATTTACGAGCATGTCTAGAGCTGTCAATGGAACGATCCGCGGGCCGATGGGGTTTGTTCTGCACAGCAAATGCTATTGTCTTTAGGTATGGATGAGACTTCGCCATGGTTTAAAAGGAACAGTCTACTAACCCCAACATGGCTGGATAGAGCGCTCTTTATTCTTCACAGAGAAGTAATTCAAAGCGCGACTGGTGTTGCTCGTTCGAACTCCTATGTTGCACTCGACACAGTCACTCAGATGGTGAGGGATATCGCTGCTACCCAACACGGTATAACCATCGGGGATATGGATATGCTACCACCGAGCCGAGCATTTGTGTTCCGGGCTGCGCTGCACTACCTTGATGAATTTGGGACTAAATGTGATAGATGGGACAATGTTCGGACTAATCTTGAAGCATCATTAACAATGTTTGATCAACGTTGGAATGCTGTCTCTGTATGAGTAATGAAAGATGACTCTAGGCAGCACCTCCGCAACCGCCAATCATTTGTCTTCGCTCTCAACAACAACCTCGGAGGTCCTCAAATAATCAATTAAGAGACCAATAAGGACCGACTTCATTTAGTTCGGCTGCGTTTTATTCTTCTAGCTGTATTAACTCGAGCAAGTCACCTCACTTACTCGTCGGATTTTACAAGAAATTTCCCCATTAGGTGCATACTGCGACGACATGTAACTGGTCATTTCAGATTCTCCGTCAAGGATTACTGGCCCTTCATCCATCCCCTGCAAAGTGTCAGCCCACCAAGGACCAGAACCCCCGTCAGGGTTCTAAAAATCGTGGTACGTTAATTGACTTGAGACCACCAAGGTACCCGGTCAAGACTGAGAGTGCTGACGCCATTCAGGTAAGCCCCAAGTATGCTAGGTAGGTTTGCTCTTCGTATGGAAGATGATAAATTTGCAGATATTCCAAATCGCCTAAATTAGTTATAAAATGGAATTCCCTCTAGGCGAAATTTGCTCTATCTACATTACGAAGACCGTTTAGTTGTGATCCAATGTTAGCTTCAATTTGTGAATTGCTCGAAGTGCTCGAAATGAAATATCTTTGCATGAAATTGGAACGATCTAGGTCAGGTAATGGAAGTGATAAAAGATCACAAAGAAATTATAGTTAAACCTAAATCAAGCATTCTCGCGCCAAACTGAAGGCCGAGTCCCGAGGCGTCGCGAGCCGCAAGGATCCCTGGCATGAGGGCGATCACCAGGGTCATCGCAGCTGATAGGGGAAGCGGGCCCCATTATGATGCCCACTACTCGGCCGCTTCGCGCCCCACCAACTTGTTCGGTTATTGAGAAGACGCGAAAGACCGAGTACTGTTGGATCGTGAGATCAGAGGAGTAGAAGATCTAGTAGAAATAACTATCGGGAGTAATATTTAATGCTGGCCAACTCGCGGAAAGCACGTATCAAGATCCCCTCGAAATGTCTTTGGCTTTAGATTTGGAAAAGTCCAACCATCTTCCAGACTCAAACAGCCCTGAAGAATGGGAGAGAAACCAGTATGAGATTAGTTTTGGCGAAGGAGAAGATCCAAAATGTTTTAGTCCCCTCTACAAGGCGTTTATAACATGGGAAATGAGCATGCTTGCGTTCGTTGGTTCTCTGGGTTCATCCATCATGTCGCCAGCACAAGCAGATTTGGCGGTTTATCTCAAGATAAGTGAGCAAGCTACAGTGCTGAGCCTGTCGCTCTTTGTTCTAGGTTTGAATATTCCATGAAGCTCTCACTGCACGGCTGACCTTCATTTTCAGGATACGCATTTGGCCCGCTTATTTGGGCACCGATAAGTGAAATCTATGGTCGACGATGGTCCATGCTACCAGCCGTTTTTGGGCTAGTCATTTTGAGCGTTGGAACTGCTGTGAGCAAGGACCCGGCCGGTATATTCATTACGCGCTTCATTGGGGGCGTTTTCGGCTCTGCGCCCATCAGCAATGTGTCTGCGGCACTCGGTGATATTTACGATGCACGCGTGAGAGGAGTACCTATGTCCTTTTATGCACTTTGTGTAATTGGGGGACCGACTATTGCGCCACTAGTCGGCGCGGCTCTAACAGTAAATCATCATCTTGGATGGCGATGTAGGCTCTTCTCTAGTGAGATATCTTAGGGTCCCGGCTAATCTTTAACTAGGGACCGAGTATATGGAAGCTATCATAGCTTTTAGCGTCTTTATTGTTGCGGTTTTCTTTTTGCCTGAAACATATGCCCCGGTACTTCTCCGAAGAAAAGCCCAATTGACGCGAAACAAGACCGGCGATCTCCGTTATTGGCATGCATCCGAGAGATCTAAAATGGGATTGAAAGCGATTGTTACGAAACAATTAAGTCGTCCTTTGAAGTAGATCGCCCCCTAACCAAAATCAGACTTGGACGATCTTAAAGCTGATTAATTGCAGAATGTTCTTTTTCGAGCCAATGGTCTTCACAATTGCCTTATATGCCTCTCTGGTTTACGGGCTGCTGTTCTTGGCTCTTGAAGTCTTTCCTATTGTCTTTAGAGAAATACGCCATTTGAGCATGATCGTCTCTACACTTCCGACTTTGGGTCTACTAGTTGGCGTAATTTTTGCGCTGATAGTAAATCTCGTCAATCAGCCGCTTTATGCGCGTGCTGTTCAAAAAAACAATGGCAAGGCGGTTCCAGAGGCGCGTTTACCTCCAATGATAATTGGAGGCTGTCTCTTTTCGATTGGTCTGTTTTGGTTTGGATGGACTGCAAATCCGAGCATCCCATGGGAGTCACCTACAGTTGCTGCCGGTAGGTCAAGAGGATTCTTCATATTTCTCGTCATCATGTGTTACCTAAAACTTACCAATATCAATCATAATAGGATTCATTGGTGCCGGCTTCAATATTGTCTTCCAACAGTGCCTCAACTTCTTGGTAGATACGTATGGTCAGTATGCTGCAAGTGCCATTGCAGCAAATAATCTCCTTCGTTGCTTAATGGCTTGTGGAATGCCATTGGCAGCGAGACCCATGTTTTTGGGACTGGGGATCGGACCCGCCTCAAGTATACTTGGTGGAATATCTCTTCTGGCATTGCCCGTCCCTTTTTTGTTCATAAAATATAGTCGTGTGCTTCGCAAAAGATCAGAGTTCGCCGCTTTGTGAACGGCATCCGTCGGCTAGAACAAGGACATGTTGAAGCGAACGAAAACCTTACTTTCCGTTAAAGAAGGAAGTCTGGCGACACATCCAAATATCATTTTATTGTCATCTTTCTATGCCTGACGTTAACCTTTTTTTTTTCTCAAGGGCGCCAAATCAAATCCATTCGATTAAAATGTTCCAAACAAGAGCACAATGTATTCAACTTCCCATTACCTACGTAGATCCCATTTTCTCATATAACTTAGATCGCCATAATCAATCAAACCCAAATTGAATTCAGCAACTCAAAGAAGCGGTGCGATAACAGTCCACAACCAGCACAGTGCGCCTAGATGAGGGATATAGACTGTAGATCAACTATTGAGGAGCTGCAGACTTGGAGGAGCTATTTGCAAATATTTCTGTCCGCTCATATGGACACACTCTCACCAAGAGAGCGTGCTCCGCTTATACTCATAGATATATGGACCGAGTTCATCTATCTCATGGTTGTTTATGCCAACAGTTATCAAAACGAGATGATATATGATTCTTATTTGTCAAATTTCCAACGGATCAATAAGTTAGTTAAGATCTACTTGGAATCAGAGTGCCAAACCCCACTGTTCTGCGCCAAGGTCATGCTTTTTCCGGCTATTTACTTTTGTGCCCATAGGTGTCGCGACTGGCACACCCGCCGAGAAACATTGCGGTTGATTTCTGGCTCTCGGCGACGAGAGGGCTTTTGGACATCTGGCCGTGCCTGCGCTGTATTGCAATTATTTATCAATGAGGAGTCTGTTGGTTTGATGCCCGGCGATGTGGTTCCTATGCATGCTCGTATCGACATGGTGCATTTTAGTTCTTCGCCAACTAATCTCAAAGGTGTCTTGTGGTATCACCGGCCTTCCAGCCCTGAAGAAATTGACAATGGTGCTGATGTCCACGGAATATGGAAGAGCGTGTCGCAGGACTTCGTAACTAGGTTCGAATTGCTTAGGTGACAGTGGAAGACAGCGCTTGAGTCAATATCCTTTCGAATTTGAAAAAGGACAAAACAAATAATATAGGTATCTCTACCTAGGTAATCTTACACATAAATCCATATATGTATATGTATCTAGGTAGGCACTGTTGACTTCTTTCGTTTTCTTTGTTTTTGCTGGGACCCATGTGCATGTATGGGACAGCAATCATCTTCTGTATCTTGCACGCTCCCCGGCCCCCTCTTTGAAGCTCATATCATCATTGGAAAATGACTGCATCAGCAATCTTGGTGTTGGATCCTTTTTTAGGGGTTGAAAATAGCAGTCCCAGACTTATCCCAGCCATGGGCCGTCGAAGAGCTTCAAGACTCAAGTCTCGGGGGCGTGGATTCAAATGCTGACGCTGTTCTCCTTGCTGTGATGTGCCACAATTACTTTTGTTGATGCGATTGTTTGGTTCTCTGGTGATGATTACAGCCGGGGTATTGAAACTCCCGCCTGGGCACAAGTTACGTTGACTGGGTCTCATGGCGTAAGGTTCTGGGACGCGTTGATGTTGATCTGCTAGATGGGGTTTTGAAACACAACAGAAGATTCAAAGGATCAACTAGGTTTCGAAACCCAGTCTCCTTTCGGCGGGGAAGTGAGGATTAGCTCCGAAGCGATGATGGGCTCGGGGCTTAGTTCGTCTATGATGCAAATATTGTCGTCGCGGGAATCTGATATTGCCGCAGTTGTCGCAAGTTGGCAGCTTAAATGAGAGAAATTCATATCGATGCCTGTGAATGCTCGTGGGGAGCTAGTATTAGAGAAAGATGCCGAGTGGGCTGCGAATTAGTATCGAATCATGAATGCAAATGGTTTGGGGAGCTGTTGGAAATCTGTAGGTAGCGACAGTGGTCGGACAGCTGGGAGATCTTCCAAGGTTCTTTGCAAAAGGAACGAATAAGCTTTCGAGCAGTTTTCGATTTTGCTATATCCAGGGATTTCAACTGCCCACTGATTACTACATATATATTCTGCCCTTGTCTATATTGTTAGCATGACTAAGGCTAGTAACAGTAGCATTTGAAACATCAGCCTGTATTTAAAGCAAGCCAAATTGCAGAGTAAGCATGGCATTATCAGTTATAATGTTTTTTTGTTTTTAAATAAGCGAGAAGAACAGCTTTGGAGTAGTTGGACGTTTCTTCTCATTGACTGGCCTAGCACTCTAGCACAAATGACCCCCCACCTTATATGTATGTAGACTATGTCTCATGAGGTATTTTGAATAAAAAGGATCGCACCTAGACCTATTTAGGTAGGAATACCTACTGGAAGCCTGGTAAAACACTATCAATTATATTGACTGGGTTAGGCAATCTCGGTTGATGATCAACATGAAAAGGAATGTACTCCAGGCTTTATGGCTAGGGAATATAACTACTGGGATACCAGTATGTGCTAATAGGACTTGGATTATGATATTTTCACTATCTCTCTAAAAGCGTTCTGCACGTTTATATTTTCATGCCTGTCTTCGTATCATTTCAAGTATGTTCATAACCCCTTTTAAATCGCGAATTTAGAGGATTGACTATGGTCTAGTATTGTTAGAATGAAATAAACTTAGTATCAGTTGTGGCCAGACTCTTTAAACCCTACATTGTGTACAGTAACCGGGCCAAACTGGGCATAATCTGTGGTTTCCGGTAGGAACTGCATATCTGATGAGCCTTGCATATCGATCGTCCCGTTGCATGCCACTTACTGTATTATCACACATACTAGATGGTAAGCATTGGTACGAGGAAGAAACCTTGAGCCTAAGTGTAATAGATATTGATATATTGTAGCACTATGCTGGGATTCAATAGAGTGTTTATTAAGTTTTTGTAAAGAGTGAAAGACGTACATAACTTATGTGTTTATAGATGAACTCACACCTAGAACGAGATTAGGATTATTTATCCCTGTCGTTCTATCGAAGTTAGGGCTTAACCGCGTTTGCTTATTTGAAACACTCATCCACAGAAGTGACGCCCTAGACTAAGAATGAATGTTCGCATTTGTTTCAATTTATGTTCTTCTTATCTCTTCTCCATTCACTTTAATGACACTGGAATGTACACTGGTGTGAAACTTTTACGCTGAACCTGGTTAAGCCGTTGTGAGCTATTCTTTGAGGCGGCATACCTCCGACGCAAGGGAGGCGGGACGTGAACCATTCCTAAGCCTCGCAGACACCCGCAAGGTTTCATTTATTTAGATTTATTTCTGGAAACCTTCGGATTCGACTTTGTTATCGAATGAAAAAGGGTACAATGAAGGCATGAAGTGAAGGAGCACACCTTTTCTTTTCTGGGAGTGTCAATACGGCTGGAACATACATCAATAATTTGTAAGGGAGAGTCAGTCCACTTATACGACCTTGACTCAATAAATTAGCAATCATTTCCGACATGAATAGAACTCAGATGAAATGAGATACCTAATATATCTACATAACGTAATAACAAAAGAAGTCCAATATTCAAGCTTCGCCGAATGTATCAAAACATGTCGCATCATTACTATGGAAATGACCACATATCTCAACCTAATTAATCAGATAGCCCAGAGGATCATCCCTATCAGTGACGGATGCATGATCGATCGGCACGGCCACAGGATTAGCGATCGACTTTCAACTAGAAATGATTACAATATTATACAATTATATCACCGAAACCCGGGGCTTATTGAGACCTGAGTTCCGAAACAAAGACAACATAAACGAGGCAAAGAGGCGTTCAAATTTATATGCAGTGGCTTGCATGAAAGGGAAGAAAGACTAATTCCCACCAGAATTGCAGAGGACAAAGATTGCCGTCCCGTCGAGCTCGAGAAAGGTTCATTGATGCGCATATCCGACCCAGCAAACGGGGATCACTAAGATCGGCAGCTGTGATTATTAGATCAAATGGGATGTAGGGTGTAATTACAAGCTCTAGAGCGTTATTAGCTTTTGCTCTAGAAGGGGTCTTGAAGAATGAGAGGCATATGTTCCACATTGTACGGAGTAGACCTTTGTTAAACCACGAGGGCTCTCTTATTTCTTCCCCTTTTACCCCTTTGGTTTAGTTTGATTCCCACTCACTCCACAGAGGATCTGGTGCCTACTATGTATGTTTTCACGCCAGCATTTTCTTCCCTGCATCATGCAGGTCATGAATTTGCTATCTGTTATGCCTACTTGCCGTGTTACACCCGGTGCTTTGCAGTGGATCGTGGTAAAATGTATACTCTGCATAGATCGGACCTGCAGCAAAGATCATATCAATACAATAACATCACATGCTTAGTAGAATCGAAAGTTAAATAAAGGCTCCAAGCATTTGATGCTGTGCGGAAATGGCTCATAGCCCATAACACACGACCCAGTCTTCCAGGGAGGACCCGCCGCTGCCGCCAGGGGAGCGAACTGCCAGATTGGAATGTGTCACAGACCGAGAAAGGGGAATAAAATGTTTTCGTAGCCAATCGTATCAGTCCTGTCAGTCCCGTCCATGCCAAAGGTCCGGCTGTCGCCTAGTTCAACCTGGGCGAGACCGTGGATCAACAAATCCTTGACACGCCGGGAATAGCATAGATGTGCATTCTGCGGCTGCGGTTAAACTGACTTATAGTCATATATGTACTCTAGCCCGGCCTCATTTTGGGACTCTCTCAATCTGCCAACACGCCTCAATGGTGTAAAGTATCACCAACCTTTTTTTTATTCTTGTTCTTTTTCCTTTCTCGGGGTGTTGTCCTTCCTAGTCCTTCGTTTTGCATTGTCACTCGTTGCATATCATTTGTTTCACATCCAAGCGCTGCCTTTATTCTGACAAAATACCCTATTTGCATCCAAGGACACACCGGGCGGAACTCGAATTGTTCCAAGCTTCTGTGAATCATATCGTCCTTTATAAGAGCTTTTCATCCACCCATAAGATCGACCAGACACCATCAATCCAAAATGGAATGCTTTCGACAAGTATTTCGATGCATCAAAGCTCCTTTCAAGCGCGAAAGGGGAAGGGTTATTGAAATTGTAAGTCATCAGCAGAGTAGGAACAGGAGAGGCGCAATCGGAGTAGCTAACACTTTGGTGTGCGAAACAGGGTCCCCCAACAAACTTCCGAAAAGAAGAATTGCCTGCTTGCTTCTCCGATGCCGAGTCAGTTCTATCGCCCAGCGAGAACCCGACAGCGCGACTAAATCTGACAACACAATCACAGGACTCTGACGTCGCAGCACAGCCACACCACGGAGAAGGACGGGATGACGATCGAGATGGTGCCAATACCATCATCGACGAAGGACAAGGTTCAAGGCCATATGCGCAGGATGAGCGTAAGACTCTCGCAGACCGCATCCGAGGGCATATGAAGGTGGCCCGTTGGTGGAGAACAATCCCGACAAGGGGCCATGAACACAAGGGCCCGGTCGAGTCGGTCTCGATGGCGGAGATGTGAGCTATCTAAGTAAAAATGACTATGGGATATTTCTGGGTTGGGTATGTGAGATGCGTTGCAATTTCACACCAAGAATGTGGGCACTTCATTGTGCCGTGATTTTTTATGATTCAAATTGTTTCTTCTGCCTGTTTCAGGTGGTTGGCTTGCAGAAGGCGCTTTGGTTTTGGCGATAGAATTATTCATCCGAGATGACTCCGGTAGTTCATCAAGGTCATCAAAAAGCGATTGAACTCTTGATTTGAATGCAGGCGTTGGACTAGGTCGCCCATTTGGCTGTTTCCCCTTCTCCTTTGAAGTAGAGTTGTTGCGTAGATTTGACTCACGATGAGCTCGAGGGGTTGTCTGCAAGTCTAGTTGGTGATGTCGAGGAGTGGATTCTGCTTTTTGGGGTGGTGGCTGCATGGCTGACTGGCTCTGATGGTCAAGATCGTCATCTGAATCCGATGCCGTCTCTTCGTTTATTTCAATCGCTTCACTGCCGGGGCTTCTCATCGCGGAGGTTACGCTGCCGATACTGTCCACCCGAGGTCTTGTGGTCGCAGATGCAGGGGCTTGCTTGAACCCCGCCGCAGCTCGAGTGGATGACTTTAGTGAATGAGAACCAACCAGAGTGCGCGTTTTTCGCGGGCTCATCATGAGGCCGTGAAGATGTGTCCCGGCCCATAATTTATCGTCGTCGTCATCAATCTCGTTGACCCCTCCATCCTCGACGTATGCCAGCCCAGCTTTCTGTCGCTGCCTGAGAGCCTCCCGTTCTCTTTTCCTTTCAGCCTCCTTTGGGAGTGGAGTACGATTATCCGTCGGTCTCTCGATATCTCCAAGAATGGTAGCATTCTTGGCTTTCACTTCCTTCCTCCGTCGGAGATACTCCGCATAATGTAGATGCTGAGTGTATGTTTGCGCCACGGCATAAAATTCGTCTTCGACCATGACCCAGCCATCATCGTGCTCTATCCCGGTGATCAGAAATCTGGCACACGTTAGCTATGGACTTTTGTGTGCATAGGGCTGTGGTCGCACTCTTCCGGGGGACACTGTTTGATTGGAGAGCTTGGCGGGGACTGAGCTGTGTAAAGACATTCCTAGTTAGATTTAATTCACATGTATGATTGAGAGAAGCGTACATGATCTGAAAAAATCGCGCTTGGTTGGTGAGGTCGGAAGGTGTTTCGGAGTGAGGTCGCGACGAAGACCCTCTGTTTTGACGCGCCTTGGTGTAGTCTCTTTCTTGACAGACGCCTTGTTCTCAGCTCGGTGCCAGGGCAATATCCTGGGCATGATGAACTCTTTGATTAACCGAATAAAAGAAGGATGATTAAGAGCTTGATGAATGGGAATCACGGAGAAAGAAAGGGCTACTGATAGACACCGGCCCGCGGAAGATAAGCTTCCAAAGTTGCAGTGCGGATGACCTCACATCGACGGATCAATCTGCAGGGCTACTCTTTAGACTTGTGCTACTTGCGAAATGAGATTATTCGAGTATTGACCTCAATTCATTCGGGTATCTAATGTCGCTAAGGACATTGCAATGCAAAATATAAAATCTGGGACCGCCGCAAACGCCTTGTGAAGGATATATCACCGAAAAAGGATGGCACTGCCGGTAGAACGCCTATGCGACCATTTGACAGGGGGAAAACAGCAGTATCTTATCACACACAGCAGAATGCTTATGCCTCTCCCGGTCGCTTGCTGTTGCAGCTGACAATTTTGACCTTCTCCGCAGAGACGGTTGTTTGATTGTCGAGCTTAAACGAGACATCCTTGATTAGGAAAGTCCAGACTTCGTCGCAGAATCGGTAGGTATCAAGGTGACCCTAGTGATAAAAAAAAGGTGCATATGTCAGCCGTGTTCAACAGAGATGAAACCAAGCGGTTCTTTTTGAGATATTATGATTTGAATCGAAATCATTACCTTGAAGGTCAGTCTGGCCCGGACCTTGTCCGCCAACACTTCAGTAACCACCCTATCAAAAGTCCCCAGGATCTTCATTGCCAGCTGGGGTTCGATGCGTCCTTCGTTGATCAAGTCGTCGAGCGTATCAGTGAGAGACAGCCCGAGGCTGATAGTTCCTTGAGTTAGCTTCAGAGCCTTTAGTATGCTTCATGTGGTATAATACCTGCTCCCACGGTAAAGCTCATAGTAAGCCACAGATGCCATGGTGTAATGAAGCAATGGCAGGCTCGTTGAAATAAAAACAAAGTGAGTGCTAAGGGTAAGTTGATGGATCTCCGTCGAATCGCGGGGGCGGTCGATGGCACGTGACAAATTATCACGTGAAATGCTTATCGGCCTAGATTGCGTCAGAGAAAGACGCAGCCTTGAAGCTGTTTATTGTCTAGAAAAATTTGAAAACACAACAGATCTGTTCAAACACCACTCAGACGAATAATGACATTGCATTATTCCATGGCTAAATGCTTGCTACCCACCATGTTGTCTCGTCAATTGTCCGTCACTTGTGTACGTTTTTTACATGCCACCTCCCCCAGGCTATCAAAAGCTCAAGGTCAGCGAACAACCTGCATTAAATAAAATTAGAACTAATACAGCATTGGCACTTCAGATCCTTTTAAATTAGGTTCCAAACAAGATGAAAACCAGAATTCACGAATGAGTCCTCCAAAACAAGACGACCATCGCTACTCCATCCCGTCCAAGGCTAAAACCGTCTCTCAAGCCGATGCCGAGCTTCGTGAGCGGCTCGAACAGATGTCCGGAGAAGGAGGGGCTTCCGGAATTGAATACGAAGACGGCAAGCCGAGTGCAATGAAACGTGGAGTACGAAACAATATGTTCCGATTGATATGAAACCGCCCCTTCGACCTTGCAGATCGGCAAAAGATAACCCATCAACACCCACATGTCCAAATGAGAATTACGCACTTCAATTTTCTCTTGGCCTCAAATGGCAAGACGCGCGTAAAAGGATCGTGCTCAGGTGTGATGATCCTCCGGGGCATATGTATCCACCTCGCCCAGTTCCTTGGAATAGCGTTGTTGGATAAAGAGAACACTATTCTGGCCTTCGGCTGAGATCACTTCAGGGGTAATTAGGACATGGGCATACAATATTGTCTGATACGGATAAACGGCTATGGGCAATTGAAAGCATTCCGCTCGTCGGGAGTTTCCTACATTCCTCAATTACGATTGCTTGGACAGAGCCGCGCAACCAGCTGAGGTGTGCCTGTTCTTGTTGCAAGCAAGTTCAGGATCAAGATGATTGATTTAATCTGGACCTGCCCTTACTCAAGAGTTATTCATAGATCATTTCGTCCTAGATAGCAAAATTTAGGCCAAGTCCCCCATTCTTCTGGTCATGCTTTGATCGGACCGCAAAGGAAATTCGAGGTGATGGCAACGATCTTGCTATAACATCAAAGGCAAGAAGTTTATATTTTCAGGGCAGCCAAGGATGATAGAGCAGCAGATCCCCTTCCAAATAATACCACATTAGCAGAAATCAAATCGCATTTCTATGTCGCGAGCCCCAGATCGCATTCAAAGCTGAAAGTATTCATCGACGCCTAGGACAAACCCATTTTCTCATCACATAATTCCACCCGGAGAAGAAGATCATAACATTATCAGGGCCTCGAAAGACACATTTCAATTGCGAACAACCATGCCAGCCAAAACACCAGCCCCAATGACACCGCCATCCGAGGCTTCTCGCAGGAAAACAGACTTCCCACCGCGCTGTGGACCAGTCCGCATGATCAAGCGATCAATATATTGCTGGCACATCTCTTTGAATTGAGGATAATGCTGAATAATACCACCGGTGTATGCCACGACGAGTTCCTCGGGCCCGGATTGCCAGTCTAGCTTGGTGGGCTCAATGACTGGGACGACATACTCGTGAATGGCATGATTGACACCGGACTTGAGGCTTGAAGCGGCAGCGTTCAGAGCACCGGCGGATTCAGAAGTGGCGACCTCACCATTGCTGGGTGAAGCAGCACCTTCGGGTGTGCCGGTGTTGCTATCTTCCTTGAGCTCAATCTCACGAGCACAGGCTAGTAATCCAACAACCGCCGCTGCAATCAATCCGGCTGATCGTTTTTGTACCGTGCGAGCGATTTTTCGGAATGCACTGGCGGTTTGGGCATTCCAACGCCAGTCGCTGCTTTCTGGGGGAGGGAGAGTTTCGTTTAAGGTTTTGGTGAGATCATTGTCTGATCGGGATTTGGCGACATTTTCAGAGATGTAGGTAGTTGTCAGGGCGTATTCTTGAATGAGGTTTGCAGGCAAGGAGCGCTTCGATAATCCAACGACTGTCGTGAGATAGTCAAACAGAATTAATCGGACTAATTCACCAATGTAGCGCCCTCCAGTCATATATTCGAAGGGTTGGAAGCCAGGGCGTGCACAAGCCTCATCTAACTCGATGTCCCACTTTGTAGTCACTTTGAGCTCTTTTAGTGGTGGTGCAGCACCCGAGATGGTCCATTCAGTATTGACCACGGTCTCAACAGCGCTCGGTTCCATAATATTGACGCTCTTCGCTTTGGATTCATGTAACGAGCTGAGCTTCATTGGGATCGTTGCGTTACATCCAGTGCCCACGATGATACCCATGGCTACTCGACTATTTGGCAAAGACTTGACCTTATATGCAAGGGAAGCTAGCGTCGCCACAGTGTCATTGGTGATAGCTTGGATCTTCAGCTTAGGAAGTGCGAATAGTTTCCGGCGTTTGGAGGATGGTTCGTCATCATCATCTGGTCGTCTTGTGTGCTTTTCGTAACCATCTAAAAGAATATTACCAAGATTGAGGTTTGATGAAATAGCAAAGCCTTTGCCCATGGGCATCAATGTAGCCTCTGCCAGTGATTCTTGCCTATGTTCTGGTTAACAAGAAGAATATAGAAACCACGAAGGGTATAAAAGATGTGCACGCCATATCAGACATAAAGCACAGCAAACAACTCACATTATGGGGAAACTGAACGTAATTCCCATATCTAATTCGGCGGGCACATCTTTCTTGGTGGCATCTGATGACAGACTCTCGGCTACCACCTCTGCGATGCAATCTCCAATCCACGAAAATAGATCCTCTGCCTTGTCCATTTTCAAATGTTCTTGGATAGGCCATGCACGCTCTAAAGTTCGCTTCACTCGCTGACGCTGGGCCTTACGGATCGTGTCCCGTGACCTCTCTGTGGCATCTGTAGGACGAACATCGGAATCCACAGCCTCTCCCAGCAACTCGATAAATGCGACACGAAGATTGCTGCCTCCGACATCGATCGCCAGATAGCGGCCGGTTTCCCGGCCAGTAGGTAGTTGAGTGACAGGCGTTGGCAAAAATTGCTGATCTGATGTCAAGGCCAGATTTCGGTATGTACTGGAAAAGCGCCTGGCCAATTTGTATAGCACACTCTCGTCCAAGGAAATTGGCGATAAAAAATCTTCCAATTGTTGAGTATGCGCCAGATACTCTTGTTGAACGGCATCTAACTCCGAGCTCAAATCCTCGTGTTCCTCCTCTTCAATCAGATCGTCGTGCTCCTCGTCATCATCGTTCTTGGATAATTTTGAATTGATAGAAGTCATGACAAAAGACCAATCAAGGAGGTAAGCCCAAATTAAATGCCCAATTCCAAAAAGCCGTCGTCGATGCGATTCCCTTTCGTACACAGCCGCTATGTTTTCAATAGTGACGTGGAAGCTCCGGGAGTGTTCAAGACAGGGCACAACTGTATCCTTGAAATCTTTGAAGTGTGGAGACACGAAGCTAGGGTCAATATAGCGTCTAGGGAGCTATTTTCGGAGAGAACTGAGTTCTGGGTTAGTGAGATTGCAATAAAAGGGTAAAAGGGAACATTTCGGTGACGCGGTCTGCAGGGCGATAACTCGGGCTGCGGGGGAAAACAGAAAACACGACAATCATGCCAAATCCACCATCTTCTCTATTTTACGTACCCTGGAATTTTGGTGTGTGCTGATCGTACAGAAACAAATAGGGATTTGGGGGGGTCAAGACTATATAAGATCTTTTGCGGGAAATATCCCTAGATGCCCTGAGGGAGTTGCTCAAGAATGGAAGTGTATAGCTCCCTACTTAAGACAGGACTTGAGAAAGTAAGAGAAAAGTGAAAAAATAGACCGGACGAACTGAAAATCTCCAGAGAAAAGAAATATTCCCAAGACAAAAATAATAATAAAATAGAAATCTAGGTACCTCTTTTTTTTTTTTTAAGCTCAAAGTGAGTAAGTACAGTGCTGATCGGGGACGAGAACAGTCGGAAGTGGAGAAGCTTAGGGTATCAGATGGACTAGATAATATTCATTCATCATACTAAAGGAAGGTTAGAACGACGAAGAAGAAGACAGTGATATAATAAATGTGTAAGATGAGCGAGATGCGACCATCGGAAGACACGAGGCGATGCGACGCTGTTCATTTTGCGCGGGATAGGTTGGGAATCCCGGCAGTTGTCTTTCCATTAGGTTGAAACTCTATGGATGACAAGTTTTGGATCTCATCTCCCCTCTTTGGCTTTCTCCTATGAGGTAAATCACTTCCAGCTGCGACCGCGGTCGGAACTGGTTCCACGCCCTTATTTCCCACTATGTAACCCTACTTGGGCCATCTGACAGCTACTTCATAATGGCTTCGCTTGCGCTCTACTTTAATTCGAGATCGTTCTACGCGAGCCCAAAACTGACCTTCACGCCATTCTTGGCAGTTTCATGATTGAACGAAGCACACGAGTCTGCGAGGCGTTTGAAAATGCACGGCCATGAGTCAGTCTTTCTATACGACAAGGAACAAGATGGTGGGGCCCAAGGATCCCAGCTTGGACGCGCCAAAAGATCAGGTCGAAATGCGATTCGCTCGATATGATACTCGCCTAGTCTGATATGCTCGTGGCGCTCGCGTGGTAATGGGGCCGGACATACCCGTATCCAAACAGAGATGCATTTGGCGAAACAGCCCTTTGGATCTACTGGTCTCGATCGATCGTTGAAACCTACAGTACGGAGTATTGTCAGATCTCACAGGAACTTTGTTAAAGTAGCCTCGCTTTCACTTCCCTGCCCGGAATTAGTTACTTGCTCCCCGCGAAAGAAAGATGGCTGTACTTGGCAAATTTTATTGTACACCCAACTTTCTCAAGGTTTAACCTGTGAGCCTCAAAATCGTTTGTGGAAATTTCAAGCACGCGATCCTGATACGATCATGGATGGCTTGTCAATGGACCATTCATATAAAAGCCCAATTGTTCTAGCCTTGCACACTTTGAAACCCAGTAGTCGATGCCTCTCCGAAGTCGGAGTTGGATAAAGTCTCGGTGAGGATGGCAGTCATTTAGGCATTTAGGAGGGAACCGGGTGTTACACTTTGCTCCAACCAAAATAATCGCAATAATGAACCGCACGGCTAATCCGTACTTGGAAGTACACTTAAATAGGCGCGGGTTATAGTTGAGCGGACCTTAAACAAATAGTTAAGTGCACCTAAGCGTTAGTCATCATCTAGTTTCTCAATCAGGACGGACATCTCAACGTTCTATCTCCTCAAACACCACCTTACACTCTATTAATGTCCTTGATTCTGAGAAATTTCTACTGTGACCACGTTAGTGCTAGGATTATTCGGGATTTTTATGGATTCAGACATGATATTGAGGTTTCTATCTTTATCTTTATATCATTTCAAGGTGCACTCAGCTCGAATGGGCTTAGTGTCCTTCTGCTCCGGGAAATCAAACCTTACGTAATGAGTTTGACTCCGCATGATCTTATCAAAACACTGTCATCTCTTGACTTTCTCCAACCATCATGGAGAAACTACCGATCCACTCTAAGGAGGCATTTGGGGGAACATTTGACCTGAACCAATCTGATCGGCAAACACGACCTACTGCGGCCATTTGTTTCCGTCGGATATGCATCGCCGTGGTGTTCCTTGTCGGCTACTATCTATTGCTTCTGAAACCATCCAACATAGGATGTACTTCACCTGGTCATCACAACACACACCTCCCATCCGGGAGTTTTACCGAAGTTAAAGATATTCACGATGAGAATAACGAGCTGTCAAACATGGGATCTTTTGACCCAGGCACACGTAACGCACTGGCGCAAACTAAGATCCCGCTGGAAGCTCACATCATGAGCAAATGCCCAGACGCCCAAGCCTGCTTACATAAATTGGTCCTACCTGCCATGGAACAAATAAGTGACAAGGTAGACTTCAAGCTTTCATTTATCGCTAGGTAAGAATGAAAACACAAAACTGAGACCAATTCGAACTTTCTATGATGCACTCTATGCTGAACGTTTCACTGATGATCTACCGCCAGTGTTTCCAAAAATACCGAAGAGATAGAATGCAAGCATGGTCCCGGCGAATGTATCGGTGACATGCTTATGCTCTGTGCGGCCAACCTTCCCTTCCCTGCCATTTCGGACAGAACACTTCTTCCATCTCAGTACCCTCGGACTCCTATCATCCGTTCGTTAGGATTTGCAAATTGTCTAATCAATGACTTTGCTGAGATTCCAGAACGTGAATTCGTGCACCAGTGTGCGATGGAACATGGGATTGACTTCGATGCCCTGAACAAATGTGCAAGCCAGCAGAATGATGACCCAGACGACGGGGGAGATGGTGGACCGCCACTAAGCGGCATCGCACTGCTGCGTGAGAGTGCCCAACGCGGTGAGCAACTCGGCGTTAGGATCAGCTGCACGGTGCGCCTGGATGATGCTGTCTGGTGCATCCGTGATAATGATGAATGGAAAGATTGTGTTCAGAATGGCCAAGGGAGCCAACCCTCAGCCCTAATTGACCAAGTTGAGAAGCTCTATAAAGACAGAAACTAAGGCCCTGGGAGGATTTACATCACATCCACACCCGCACTATAGGACATAGTTCTTAATACCACCAACTATTCTTTACAAGTTCTCATATTTCACCTAGAACGAGAGGCAGTTCCAGCATACATTCATATATAGGGTTGTGACTTTTCCAATTCAACCTTACTTTTACTTCTAACTCTAGCTATTCATCACTTTCTCAACTCTGAGCTGTAATCAACAAGTAATTCTTATTGGCTAATCTTGGAAGTTTCGCTATACTTCCAGTGTAGTAGGCTTACCACATCTCTTTCTGGGAGACCTCTGAGTTAGCTCTACAGAGTTAGCTCTGCAAAGGTTTCTATCGTTTCGTTCCTTTCTTTCTCCCCTCGTTCCCTGACCTCTTCATTTACCATCCCACTCATCTAGGCCCACAATACTGTCATTTTCTCATTGAAACAAAACAAGGTAGGCCTCCTTCGTGCTCTTCAACTTCTCAAGGACGCGGTTTATTGGAACTTTCAGCTGCTTTCACTCAAACTGTCACCTCTTGCACAATGCTAATCTTGTTATCTGCATAGCCCAAGGACTATGACGCGCAGTCTTCGCGGCAAGATAGACAACTTGTACCTCAAATGGAGTGCACAGATGCAGCCAAGTGATATTCTGTACGAGCTTGTTGGCAACAAGGAACATGCTCGTGCTCTCTTCCACGGTCTGAAACGTCAGGTCAAGTCCATCCGCCAGCGATCACAGAGTTCCGAGGAGGGCCAGATCACGATCTACGATGCTGCTCTTGTTCGTCTCTATGATAACGGGCACACCATGCAGGACTATGGTCTTCTTGAATTCTACCTAGCTGAGTTCCTAGGTACTAAGCACTGTGGCTCTGATGGGGAGACAAACGCCGTCATTGCTGCTCATCTCGCTGCCCAGCGCATCCTAGACAATGGTATGCTACTAGGCCCAACGAAAAAATTATCTCTAACCCTAACATGTACCAGGCCCACTTTCAAAAATTCCTGATGTTGCGACGGAGACTGTTAAAAAGGAAGAAACTGAAGGCATCGATCGCGATCTTTCCAACATCCCGACTAGCGATTCGACTCGAGACTGCGACAATCACAAGCCTCCTCACCTTGACAAGCTTATCGAAACATACCAGAAGGCAAAAGATGACTACTACATCCTCGAGGTGACTGAAAGTCACGGCAAGCAAACCAACAACGTCCGCTTTCTCCGCGATACCGCCGAAAACTTGTTGCGATACCTTGAGTCCATTGATAAAGACCACGAGATGATACAGGAGCTCCAGGACATTGTTAAATCCAGCCAGGCCCATGCAAACGAACTCGCCGGTGGTCGCAAGCGCAAGTTCGAGCGCGGAGCCAGCGGTTCTAGGGGAAGTCCTAGTCCTAGCCCTTACCGACCCTATGGATACTATGGAGAGAGCTACGGAGGTTATGACCGACATACCCGCTGGGACCGATATGTTCCTAGCCATTCCTTCGACTCATACCGCCCCTAGATATACGGCAGGCACAATGTACGCCCTTCATCCAAGGGAAAAGTCTTGAAATGTCAAAATCGCCTTTTCCCGGCTACTGCTTAGGAAAAGTTCAAACAAACATGTACATCAACAGGATCAGTTTCAATTTCGGATACAAGTTCGGAAACGAATGTGCACATAGTCTCGTAAAAACATCCAACCGTGGTTGTTAAAGTATACAATCCCCGCCCAGGGGATCGCCCATAGATCCAAGCTCAACGCTAAGCCATTCCAGTCGTAGCGCCAATGTTGATCCACTCGGGCACGTGTGTTGATGACATAACTCAACATGCAGCTTTCGGGGGGGAAGCATTGAACTCCATTCCAGTCGTCGCGGAGGTGATATCTGTCTAAATGGGCGCATTTACTCATAAAGCAGGCTATTAGAACGATTTGAAGCCGTACTTTTCCTGAGAATGGCAGGCCTACAACCCTCTCCCGCGGGGAATCCATCTTCCTCCAGCTCAGGCACATCCTCAAGCCCACAATTTACCCCAGTTTCTTATGGTTCCGACGATGAATCTCCAACACATAGACCCACGGGGTTCTCCACGGGCCCATTACGCGTACAGACCAACTTTGATGATCACCCGGATGTCGGCGACCCTCTATCCGACGTCGAGAATGAGAATGATTACAATACGAGCGAGGAGCATGAAAGCAAGCTTCCGCGGGGCAGTTCGGCACCGAGATATACACCAGAGGAAGAGAGTGAGGTAGTGAGGAGGTTTGATCGACGGCTGGTTCCGTTTCTGGCGCTTCTCTACTTGCTCGCCTTCCTGGATCGCTCCAGTAAGTCGAGCTATCCCACTTATTGGAACAGCCACTTTTCAGCGTCCAAATATCTGTGCCATTACTTATTTACTATAACCAGATATTGGAAATGCGAAAATAGCTGGACTAAAGGACGATCTTCAACTGTCATCTTCGCAATATGAATGGCTACTTACTGCATTTTACATCACTTACATCCTCTTCGAATGGATGACGCTTATGTACCGCGTTGTTCCTCCACATATCTACATTTCTTTGTGCGTATGTGGATGGGGGCTTGTCGCATCATTCCAGTGTCTAGCAACCTCTTTTGGAGGGCTTGTCGTTCTCCGAGCCCTGCTTGGAATCACCGAAGCTGCTTTCGGCCCTGGTGTCCCATTCTACTTGTCATTGTTTTATCGTCGACACGAGCTTGCTTTCCGTAATGGGCTTTTCATTTCTGCTGCACCGCTGGCAACCTCCTTCGCCAGCAGTTTGGCCTACTTGATCATCAGGTTCAGCAACAATGGTCCAATCTCACCATGGCGCACTTTGTTCCTTGTGGAAGGTTTCCCAAGTGTAATCGTTGCTGTGTTTGCTTGGTTTTTGATACCCGACTCTCCTGGTCGTGCGCGATTTCTTACTCGCCGACAAAGGATGGTCGCTCAGCAGCGTCTTGAGGAGAGCACAGTCGACTACCAGCAATTCCATGGCAATCAGTTTAATTGGCGAGAAATATTGAAAATTGCATCAGACCCCAAGGCGTATATGGCTGCTGTGAGTGTGACTATCTACTGCAATTCACACGGTATTCTGATATCTCTCCTGCAGTTCATGTTTTTCAGCTGCAATGTCGCTTTCAGCTCAATGCCTGTCTTTTTGCCTACGATCATCAAAGAGTAAGTACCCTCTATCTAAGACATCGGGACCTATCTCACACCGTATCTACAGCATGGGTTATTCGTCGTTACATGCCCAAGCTCTCTCGGCACCCCCTTATATCTTTGCATTTGTCATTGTTCTTCTCACCGCATACGCCTCAGATCGCAGCCGTTCCCGAAGCCCCTATCTGATAGCCCACGCTCTCATTTCCTCCATGTCTTATTTGGCCATCGCAGCAACGGGTTATTTCCATTCACGCCTGCCCCCCTGGCTCCACACATTCATCCGTTATATTTGCGTCTATCCAGCCACTGCCGGGTTTTTCTCGGCAATCACTCTCATCATTACCTGGTCGATGGACAACCGAATCGAAAAGGAAGGCAAGGGCGCAAGCATTGCCATTCTTAACATTATCGGCCAGTGTGGCCCACTCCTCGGGACGAGACTTTACCCCGAGTCTGATGGGCCGTGGTACATTCGTGGTATGGCCACTTGCTCGTTTTTCATGGTTATTGTTGCCTTGTTGGCCGTGGGGTTGCGGATTATATTGCAGCGGTTGAATCGTGCTGCCGCCGAGACCACTTACAGTATTATCGAGCAGGCTGGTCCTGTGGATCACGGCGAAGAACGAGATGAGCTCATGGGTGGTGGTCGGAGGAATGATATAGAGCATTCTACTGGTGATAGGAGGTTGGTGTACATAACTTAGTCAATGTAGTATAATTGACGACCATGACAAAAAGCATGATATGGCATGGGCAGCTAGAGATTCCCATTTGTTCAAGACTCGAATTAACAACAACTTTTTGGGTTATTGCAGGATTGCCGATATCTCCCAGTCCTATCCTGATCCAAGTTCAGTACTATATCTTGGCGTCTATACCGGCTTTAAAAGTAATCAATGACAATTTGGAACAACAATGTATAGTGTGCGCCAATCCCTTGTGAATGTGCTTAGATAACCATATTGAGCTGGAAGGTAATCATCTCCTTGATACGTAGGTACGTACCCGGACTTTGAAATCGAGGCAAAATCTCCATGGAACTTGAATATTAGTATAGCGGTGTGTATAAGACCAACTTCATCCCGACGTAGATCATAAATGATTCTTGATCCACTATGTCACTGCCTGTCCATTTTGGAGCCCCTTGATTTAGGGTCTTGATTTCTTCCACTTCATGTTTGATACACTTCAGCGGGCGCTAGGATCTTTGACTACAATCAAGTCGGGGCTCGAGCAATCAGATGCGTCAGTATCCTCAAGGGTGCAGCTTTTCTAATAATATATGTGAATATTTTGGTATACTTCAGTATTTCCATCGATCGGTGTATACTCAGTCGGTGATCTAAACACTACCATATAATAGAATTGCGATTACTACGCGTTGAACGGACATGAGAAGAGTAACGCATTTACCTAGAACCGATAAATTTCCTGAAAGTCTTATTTTTGTCTGCAGGTTGAGCTGCTCTAGAAAACCCTCTCTAAAACCGTCCACAATCAAAGTAAAGCCAGGGTCACCCATCTGCTCAATTTTCAGCCCATCCACTCAGTAGCCTGTTGATTATCTACACCTTGGCCTGGATTTGCCAAATCCATAGTTCAACTGGGATAGGGGCCACGGAATATGAGACGCGAAGTTAGGCCCACATCGCCCTGAACTTGGTATCAAACTCTTTTTGGAGTTCTTTGAAGGCCTGGGAAACCAAGAGCATAGACTTTTCCGACTTGTCTACTGGCTGTTCTTTCGGTCCCTTTTTCTGATTCTTCGCATCACGGGGGCGACGGCCAGGGTTTTCATCCCCAGAATAATCCGAATCTTCCTCTTCCATCTCATCCTCCCAACTATCTGCCGGTTTCGCTGTCCGACTCACGCGCGGAGGAGCGGCAGTTGTTGCCGGATCACGAACGGCGGACTTGGTCTTTTCTTTACTTTCCCTTTCGATTCTATCATCAACTTTCTGGTTTTCCATCAAGTTCTCATGGGCATCACCTCCACCAACGACATCAATAATGTCTCCAGTGGCGTTGCCTTGGGGATCAAGGAAAACATCCAGGCTAGTGTTTAGGGTAGCCAATATCATGGAAAAGTCGTTGAGCAGAAACCAGACATCACTACGACGGATGCGGTTCGCACTCTCTAGCTGAGAGACATTGCCATGCTTGAAAAAGTCAAATAAGTATGCGTTAAGGGGCCGTGGGTTTTCTTCCGGGGCTACAGCCACAAATGGAATCACGGACTCCTCCAGCCACACTCCGCTGCGCACCATTTGGCAGAGGTCGAGAACCGTGGCGTATTTATCACCATGCCCTGAAAGCGCGAAGAATGGGGATGTGATCTTAGGGGAGATATGGGTGAAATTTGAGAAACCGAGTTCAGCGGCAGAGCTTTCTCCGCCACATTTGATCCCGCTGAATGGGAGATAGCGGTCTGGAGTCTGAACATGCTGCTCAATAAAGCTAGAGACATATCCTGTGTAGATACCAAGCACCTTCTTATTGTGAAGACGAAGAGAAGTAGCTGCTTTGCGTGGTAATGGCGGGAGAGCCACGGTCGAAGATGGCTTCTTGTCGACAGTCTGATACCACTCCAATAACGATGGTCGCAAAGGGAGACGTCCGAAGAGATGCGTCATGACCAGCATAAGATCGCGAACAGTCCTTTTTGGCTTGGTGTGGATGTCCTTACAGAGCTTTTGAAGATATCCAGAATTGAGCAGGGAGTGGAAAGCAAAACTGGAATTTTCCGTGTAGTACAAGTGAGAGATGCAGCCTGCAAAGTTCAAAGGCATACCTGTACGGTCAAGCAAGTTGTTCCGTCGGAGGTATTCAATGGAAAACCGGAGGTGATGTAGCACGGTCTCTTTCTTCTCCTCTCCACCTAAGAATATCCGAGGACTTGACAGGAGCGAGTTGATTGAGTTGACAGCAGAAGGAGCTTTTTTCGAGCCATGCAGCAGAATAAACAAGCGCAAAACAAGACTCGTTGTAATGGGGAAATGGCCATTGAGATCAGGAAGTCTCGAACTAATGAGCCGGTGCATCTTTGAGTCTGGAACCTGCTGGAAGACAACGTTTCCTAGCGTGTCAAAACCACGACGACCTGCTCTTCCGGCAGCCTGTCGGTAATTGAGTGCCGTCAAAAAGATTGAATCTCCTGAAAAAACAACTGTTTTGCAGGGCATGTTGATTCCCAGAGCCAAGGTCCCGGTCGCAAAAACAACACGCAAAAAGCCTCTGCGAAAGAGCATTTCACAAATATAACGATATTTACGGTTCATTCCAGCATGGTGAACACCGATTCCTCGCTCCAGAGCATCAATTAGCCATTCAGGTACAAGGCGGTACCTCAGCTCATTTGCATACCCAGAAAACTCCTCGGAACCGACTTTCTTTGGGTCTGCCAAGTTGAATTCATCCAGAGGCCTCTCTGGATCAAATCTGTCGAATGAGCTAGATTCGGCTGATGCCGAGTCTTTCATTTGGTCCGCCCGAGATGTTTCATCGTCATTTCCAGCTGTTTTCTTCTTGGTGATCTTTGCAGACTTCTTTTTCGCTCCATCCTGGTGAACTTTCCATTCCTCCCACTTGGCAATCTTGGACTTCCATGCTGTGCTCTCTGCTTTCCAGTCAGCTTCTGAATTTTGAAGCTGGTTCAACAGCTCATGGCATAAGTCTTCACATTTGGTGCGGTCATAATTGAAAAACAATGCCGGAAGAGCACCTTGGGAGTGAAGTGAGAATATCAAGGGAAGAGTCGTGTCGCGAAGCTCCCGGCCTAAAGTCACAGCTGTTTCATGTGACTGAGACGCAGTGCTCGTGTTCTGTGTGTTTGTAGCTGGGGCCAAACGAAGCAAGAGATCCTCAAATGGAGAATTCTGGTCTTTCATCCACTCCCTTAACAGACTCTTAAGCTGGTTTTGCCATTCGAAAACATCTATCTTCTGGATGATGGCATCCGAGAAGACGACCGATGGATTGAGGGAAGCTTCGACAGGAAACTGCTTTGTTTGCAAGTCATTCATTGCCTTCCACAACGTCAAGCAGTCGCGCGGTTCAAAGTCCAGATCATCTGGCATTGACCTGGAGCGATCTACAAGACTGGTGACAGGATGTATAAATTCCATATCACTCAAATCATCCAGGCCTAATCGCGGCAAACCAGCGCGCGAAGGAAATCCCTTGAATGTAAAGTTGTGTGGGGGCTTGTACACATACTTCCGCAAATCTGAGTATCGATGTTTATGTTGAATCATCTTGAGGTCAAGCCCATTGGCCTTCTGTGCGAGATGCAACCAATCGTAAAACTTCTGGGGGTTTCCAACAGTGGCCGATAGAGCGACGATTGGACAGGGCGAAAGAAGAAGCAGTTGTTCCCACACAACACCGTCTTCAGCCTGGCCGATACAATGGATTTCATCATAGATAATGCGTTTGATTCGAGGGGTCCAGGCTTTGGCGTTGGACGGGTTCAGCAGCATTGTTTGAAGGATGTGGGGGACTGTGATCAAAATCTGGCAGCCCTTAGGTTCATTGATGCGTGTGTCTCTTGTGTGGATGGCCCAAACGGACCTCCCGCTCAATTTCGTAGGATAAGATTTCGAAAATCGAGCTAGTACCTCGGCTGCAATTTGATTGACAAGAGCTTTGGTTGGGGCGACGTAGACAAGAATTCCGTCGTCGTCCTCTTTCAGTATCTGTTTCATAGCATAGAATCTGGTGAATTCAGTAAGCGCTGGTATCAAAATTTCCAAATATCAAGATACTCACGAGATAAACGTTTTTCCTGCACTGGTGGGAGCAACAATGAACACACTGTTTTTGGCATCTATCTGATCCAACACGTCGCGTTGCCAGCGATCGGGGTCAAAATCAGGTGTCCGGGGATCAGGTAACGAGTCAATGCTACGCTCCATGCAAGGCCCACCATGGGAGAGCTGAAACTCAACTGGTGATATCCCGATGCTCATGTTCCGACCTGCAGGTATTTTGACCAGCTGGCAAGCTAAAGGCTCCTTGCACTGAACGTCAAGCTTAGCACGTGGCAACCCGAACAGTTGACAAACTGCATCGACGAAAGTCACAATATCAACAGAGATGCCTTCCTTCAACTTCATGAGCCGAGTAATGATTTCCCAAACGCGCATTGAGAGGAAAGTGAGCCTGTCAGTTTGCATTCCATCGCGTTCAACGAACACAAGTCGAACCAAGGTATCGATCATGCAAATCAAAATTTCAGCCTCCAGAATATTTCGACTGTCTTTTGAAAGACTGGAGAGATACCCACCGAGTTTGATGAATCGAGTCTCGAGGTCCGCGATTCGCGAAAATTCCTCTTGATACATAAGCTTCCATTTCTGTCTCTGCTTCTGGGTTGTCTCTGTTGCCTTCTGTTGGATAGATGCAGCCGCAATCTCTCTGACATTCGGCTTTCCAGACTTGGATTGGGCTTTCTTCTTGGGGTTTGAAGGTTTTGTTGAATCCGGATGGCTGGTTGGTGTTGACTTTGGGTGGGACTTCTTGGTTGAATCACGCGAAGACCCAACAATAATCGTCTCTGGATGAGAGGCCCCTGCGGATCCTGTCAGACTTGCTGCGTAAGTCTCCATTTCTGACATGAAGAATTGGTTCCTTCTGCGATGTCGCAGCAGCTCTTGCGGCGTAAGGATGACTTTTCCTTTAGATTCAAGTGGTTTTGCACTGTGCCAGTGAGTTTCTTCCTTGAACTCTTTGGGATACTTTGCATCTTTCTTTGGTTCGAGACTCTCATCGACAGTAACATGGATAGGTTTGAGGTGACTATCGAAAACTGCATTGTAAAATGGCAGCACTTGTCCGACAGATTGGGCTGGATCTTTGGGGGCGTTACTCTGGATTTCCTTTGTTGATTCACCACCATAGCTGTCTCCAGGATCAGCCTTTGCTTTTTGGATTGGATCGCACTGAAGTTCCGTCCCACAAAAACGGTCTACCAAAGATGCAAGAGTATTGAAGGGTAAAACAGTGGCCGGTGACAGCATAGTCTCGACACCACGTCTCTCCATCATCCATCGAACTGTAAGGAACAAGGTTCCATCCAATAAGTCGGAAAGGTCGCAGGGTAGGTGATGCTCTCGCATGGACTTTTCCCAGCAGGATGAACTGAGAAATATTCTCGCTAATTTCAAAAACCCATCGAAAAATTGCAAGGTTTCAGAGCTTGCAAGCGCTGGAAGTTTGATTCCCCGTTCAGCAAGTTGGGTGTTTTGTAGAAGTACGAGGTGAAGAAGCATAGACTGCGCGTCGAGCGTGCTGGCGAGGCTTTTTTGGACACTTCCTGAAAACATGGCGCTCAGCGTGAGAATCACAAGACATTGGCGTTGGGTTATTGTCGGCTGATCCGATATTGTCCTTTCGAGGAGGTCGCGCAATTGATCATAGCTGAGTGGCAACTCTTCTGTGTAGTCTGTCAGGACTTCTTGTTGATTGGCCTCCTGTTTCAAGTTTAACTCGGAAAGGGCAGCATTCAAATGTTCGAGGCCGGTGTTCTGATCCAACTGATCCATGCTTTCGAGGTCCAGAAACTTAGCATTATCCGCTTCGGCACGATCTGGTAGATAACTGTCCTGCTTGATCCTCTTGGCGGAGCCCTCAATCACCATTGCCATGATCTATCGACTGTAAGTATACATGCTCGTCCATAATGGCAATAGAAAGACCATACCTTGGTGTCCCGGAACTCCAGGCTGTTAATAAGAGCAATATTGTATCCACGGCTGAAGAACCAAAATATCATAGCGCGGAAATTGAATTGCGAGTTCTCGCGATATATAGGTGCACAGGAAGCATCGTGTTCGTCGTCGTCGAGTTCGCTTTCTTCAGTATCGCTACTATCGCCGTCACTGCTGTCTGAGTCACTATCGCTTTCACTCTCAGTGCGTCCAGCAAAGGCCCCGTCGTGACACATGAAAAGATATGCTCCAGAACTAATGAGGTGGACGCCAAAGTCCTCCGACCGCAGACGCTCAAATCTGAGAGTTTGGAAAAACTGGGAAGATTGAGACTGGGTAGTAATGAGATGTTGGATGATTGCTTCTCGTACAAGAAGATACCTCTCGTGGAACTCGCTCTTGACGCCCGGTGGAATACAAGATTTGGCGTTTTCAGCGAAAAACACGATTTCAAAGACACATTTGCGTTGCTGAAGCTTTGCTAATATCTGCTCGACCAGGTATGTAGCATGCAATACCTGAAATCCTGGGTTAAAATTGAGTTTCTGGTTGGAGAAGCATTCTAGGAGGAGCGAGTCTCCTTCAACGATGAACAGCTCATCACCAGCGAAGTCGCCTACAAGGTCGACGATTCGCGAATTGAGGCCATGAGACCTATATCCAGAGAACTCAATTAATGTGAAGAGTGCCTGGGAACCGCATGGGAACTCACCATTGTCGCACAACAAGATCCAGCTCCATGATGTCGTCTGGGTGAGCGAGCAATCTCTATTTGCCGCAGTTGTCTCAGTCTCAAATCCAAAAGCTCATTTCCAGAACATAGGTAGGCTGGAAAGGAGCTGTTTGATTGAGATATGGAGACAGAGAGAGTTAGAAAAAGGAAATGTGGAAATGAGGTTTTCGTGCAAACGGCAATAAATAGATCGACGGAAGAGGTGTGGGGTTATGGTAGGCTACAGCGGCCGTCATGACCTATCTGTGGGATTTTGTTCACCGCTTTCTACCCCGCCTTCTGCCCACCGCTTATTTTAAACGAGCCATTCACGTGATGGCCCTTTTTCTTAAGGCAGAAAGTATTATATTTTAGAAGGCCGCTATAGCTTCTTGTATAACTACATATACGAAAGGTAGTGTTGTGCTCCGTAGTAATTAGGATAACTTGCCCAACAAGCACATAGCCATGGAGACTCAAATAGATATATTCAAAGTGGACACGGCCATCACTATTTTGAGCCTTAGAGACGTTATTAAACCCGTTATGCAATACGCTGTTGCTCGCCTCCTGCATAGCAGGCATTCCCTGCAGAGCCTATGGCTAGCCGCTAGCCTCACCATTTATGGAAACTCTGGAGCGATACCCTGGTCGATTTATCACTAGTGGTCTTTTTAGATAATGCTCCATTCGGACGCATCATCTTAACACATTGTTGTGGTTATGTTTCATAGTACATGCCCTCACAGCTAAAGAAGGGTAATCTCGCCTTTTGACTGAAATGTTCTTACTTTATCTAATGGACGCCGGGGCATGAATTATTAAGAAATTATGACGTTAAGCGTAGGGCTGCAAGCAGACTTTGGGGTCAAATTCTGCACATGTTTCAATGAATCTGTTTCAATTACGGGGTCTCTGTTATCGAAAGTGTCTATCCATGAATGACCTGTTGGCTTATATAACACGAGAAAATTATCATGGACGTAATTTTAAAACTTTCCAAGAAACATACGTATGCATGCGCTTAGATACAAAACTCGTCAAGTTTGCTCAAGTCTCCAGTCCAAAATAGAATTCAGCGTGGTTTTTTTGCCAGTGTATCTCACTAGATCGAAACGAGCCTTTACCAGGCAGTGTGGCCACCGTCAATGACCAGGGTGCTTCCAGTCATGAAACTGCTTGCATCAGAAAGACAGAATAGCGCCGTTCCGCGGAACTCCTCAGGCAAAGCCAAGCGACCGAGCATGTTCTCGGCCTCCCACGTGGCACGAGCAGCAGGGTTCTGATGGAAGACTTTGTGGACCATTGGGGTAATGACGTGACCAGGGCACAGGTTGTTAACACGAATGCCATGACGACCCCATTCCATGGCAAGTGAACGACTGAGTTGAATCACGGCGGCCTTTGATGCGTTATACACTGGCGAAGTCATACCTTTGTTAGCAATGAGACCACTCATGCTTGCTACCAGGAGTATTGATCCCTTCTGTTGATAGTTGAACATCTGACGGGCGGCAGCGGTGGCCGAGTTGAACACTCCGTTAAAATTGATTGACATTACATCGTCCAGGGCCTGCTGGGAGTGCTCCAGCGCGCTTTGGAGGTGATTGATTCCGGCAGCAGCAATCAGGCCGTCCAGCCTTTCATTCTGTGCGGCAATTGTAGAAAACACGTTGTTGACTTCAATGTTGTTGCAGACATCGAGACATATATACTCCAAGCTACCGCCATATTCATTCTCGGCCTTCTCTTTGGCAACCAAGAAATTTGGATGGGGGGTTTCAAGACGGTCTAAGCAGTACACTAGTTTTGATAATGTAGAATCAGTACCGTGTTGGGTGTACAGGAGATAAAATCGATTTACCTCTTGCACCTGCTTCAATCAAAGCTTCTGCCATGGACAATCCCAATCCTCCACCTCCACCGGTAATGGCATATACTCGGCCCTCGAGATCAAACTCGTTGAATCGGCTTTTGTTGCGCAGAAGCTTTCTCTCTGGCATCTTTGACTGGATATGGTCCGGGTTATGAGATACATTGTGGATATCTTGTGAGCTGAATGAGCCCTTGGTTGTAGAATAAAGGCGAGTCAAAGAAGACACAACTCGTGGAGCAATGACGGCAGCTCCGACGAAACGAATTCGAGCGGGAGCCAACATCTGGGCCAAAGACATAACTGGAAGGACTGGAAGGAATGGGTATATAAAGAAAAATGGGGATATATGAGATATAAGATACAGTTCGATGGACTGAATGCAGGAAGAGTCTGCTGCAAAATTGTTCACAGTGGTTAAGCCATGCTTTTGAAGGGAGCGATTGGTTTGTATGCCCCAAAAGCTGAAACGGACTTTCCTTTAAAGTTTACCGAAAACAAAGATACTTTGCATCATGATTGACATGAAAAGTAGAAACCCATTGTGCGTGTGACCTGGTGGTTTCTTCCTAGATGCGCTCACCATGATCCAAATGGACCCAGGCACTTCCACTGCATCCATGGTAACTGGGTCCAAGCTTGCCACAGAAGTTCTAATTAGCCACTCAAATGGGTATTTCAGACGAAAGGGGCTGCTCATTTGCACCTCCCAGATGCACTATCGTGACCCTTGTATTGAAAACAGGAAATCTTCGATCAGAACTTCGATAGAGTGGCCCACTCAGGGTCAACCGAAGTATGCAAGATTGGCTATCACAAGTATAATTGGAGCTGATTGGTCTAGAATATGCTTCTTTTTTCCATACTGATCTCCGATCTAGTTCCAGGGCGAGGGGGTATGTAGTATTGCTAGGGGATTATCAGAAGATCCTGCGAAGTCGAGGCTCCCTGCGCAGTTGCGGAATGCTGCCTCCAATGGGATTCTCGGCATTGACTTCTATTTAGAATTGTATTGTATTTTGCTTCTTTCTTTTTCTCCTTGTTACTGAGGCTTGGCAATGCTGAGGGTTCCACAGAAAGATCCCGAGAAATAGGTCATTTGACGATATCATACTCGTTTTCTCCTTTCTCGGCGTCCCGGTCTCTCCCAGGTCCAGGACCCTCCGAGTTCCACCTCAAATCCACCCGAACCCCGCGATAGTACAGCTTACCCAGTCCCGAGCTCGGATTTCATTTTATTTTTAATTTTAGTTGGGGGAGGAAGGTCCACCTAAGCTTGATGAATTCACATACATTCAATCTCGGGATGTCCTAATTGGGTAATCCTTGTTCTCACTTCACACCGACTCAGTCTCCGAGGGGCAGAATAATTGTGTAAAGTGTCTTTTTTTTACCCTTGAACACGAATAGAACTATGCTTTTCGGGTTCTCGCGTGCTATTACTGCGCCAAACCCAAGGTATACTCTCTATCAAGCTTCCGCCATCTGCCGGGAGGTACAAGTGTTCGAAGGCGGATGACCCGCTATACATATGCACGCCTAGCCTCCATATTTCATGTGGCGTAAGGGCCGAGCTAGCAGTCTGGATCCTCTGGTCGCAAATAAGCCCTTTGATTGAGTCCTACAACTTACATTTGCTTACAATCCGCTCCCGCCACACTGAACTACTGAGTGGTTCAAGGAGATCTCAAGTACTCTGCAGGACGGTATACACATTACATTCATGTCATCTGTCTCATTTGGATTCCAAAAAAGGGATACATGTTAGGTCTGTTTCAGAGAAACGATATACGAGGACAGGAGTGTCCTGCTGATCCTCGAAAAAAGAAACTAGCAGACGACACATGACCCGTCTTGTAACCGTGGGTAGACCCAACTCAAAATTTTATTCAATAGCTGTGTCGAGCTGTGTCGAACTTGCCACAAACAAGCATAGCAAGTCCCGGAGGCGTAAAAAACCATTCGTATAGTTGTCCAAACTCCCATGGACCGATAGCCTTAAATTAGAACGCCAAACCCTCGCTGGAACTACATTAAAAAGCGCAATGAAAGCAAGACCCCCAAATCCATGGCAGATCAGATAGGTGGTACCGATCATTATTGTAGGCCCGCAGGACCGGTAGTCATGTCGGGACCGAAGCCGCTTCGAAGGCTACCAAAGTCCAATTTCATGAGCAAACGATCCACCCCCGCTGCTTTACGGGGCACATAGTGGCTAAATCCAGGCGTGTCGTCATCTTTGTGTGAGCCGGGCCACAATTGACCCGATGTTAGCCCCCGGCCATCTCCCGAGCGACTATCGTCAATGTCTCTGAGGCTCGTGACGAGGGTGTTAATGCCTGTATCGACATCCCTACGAGTGACACTCAGCTCTTCCCAAACTTCCCTTTCTTCTGAGGCGTAATCAACCAAGGCGTCAACCACACCTTCGTCTGTTTCAAGGTCCATGTTGCGTTGGATTGTCTCCAGTCGGATCACAAGAGCAGCAAAGCGATCGATATTGGTGAGGAGGCCTCTGAGGATGTTTGTAAATCGAGTTTCAGTAAGAAGAAGAGAATATACAAGGGATTCCAAGTGCCGGCGATGAGCTACGGTCAGAGCCTCGGGATCATGTCGTCCCATGGTCTCTTGGTCAGCCTCGAAGGAGTCTTTAGCAGGCGTCTGACCAGGAGATGCCGTCTTTGAATTGATTTGCGGCTTTGAACATGACGCGGTTCCAGGTCGAGAGCCAGGGGCCGATGACGAGTAAGAGCATCCTTTAATCCATTGATAAAGGTGCTGCCATGACTCATTGACAACATCTCCTTGGAAAAAACCACCAATCTCAGAAAGCATAAATAGACACGCGCTGCCCGTTGCCCAGACGGGGCGCATTTGACGGATACGGACATTATCCCTCTCTCTGCCCGCCTTCAACTTAGCTTGCCCAAAAGGACTATTGCTTTTGGGTGGTCCCCACGGAGTGGGGTGTGTTCTCCTTAGGGGAGTCCGTTTCCAAAGATCACCAAGCCGGATCTGAGCCCTCCGTATCCCTAAAAGGTACGAATGCATTTTGGAATATATCACAATATCAGAGTTGGAGATAAATAAGTCCAAAGGGGCTCGAATTTGCGCGGTGAGGTTTGTGGGTGTCGGGAAGAGAATATCCTCAAACGAGACGCTCGAGATATCAGATATCAAATTTGAATTTTGAGCAGGAGTCATCGGCCGCCCGTTTTTCCCACTGCTGGGGGAAAGATTAAGAAGTTCCCGGGCAAGTTCGAGCTCTTCATCTGGAGGGTCTTCCTCTTTTTGTAGAGAGAAAAGCTCTGCCCATGTTTGGGCCAAAGCAGATGTAACATCTCCTTCTTTGATGGCGATACCTTCGAGTTTTCCTGAAACCCCACTGGGCATTGTTGCACCACGGCGTCGACTTTCATTTATGCGGAAGTCCGCATGTGATACGAGAGCCACCGCAAACTCTCCTCGCCTTAGGAGAAAGAAGTTGTGCAGCAAGGTAAGGATTTCAAGGATTTTGGGAAGTGGTAATAATTTCGACAAGGTCGACTGAGAGAGTGAAAGTCGAATGCAGTCAACGACAGTAGACAGTTTCGGGGGCGAGATCGGGGATTGGACACTCGCAAGTTGTTCTATGTGCTCCCGATACAAAGTCACAGGCGCGGTAGATGCCCCGGCTATGGAGGTCTTTCTTTTCGCCCGTATGTGATTCAGCGACTTGCCGATGAACAAAATAGAGCTTGCTGTTTGAAGAGTGACAAATTTTGGGAGCAATCTAGGATTCATGCTGAACTGCGTCTCCTCGTCTGCATTTTCGGGGTCTTGACGAATGAAAAAGTCATCCTTACCGTACATCGGAAGGTTTCCATATAGAAGCCACATCGAAAGTTGCTTCATCCATGCTGTTTCAGCAGCTGTTGCCAGATTCAATGCCATCTCCTTGATATCAAGATATCCTGTTTGGGCTTCGACCCGTAGATGATCGATGAGTGCCGCTCCCGCGGAGCCATGTGAATTATCGCCGCAATTCTTATCCGGTTGGATGAACTGCATCACCCCCCAGAGCCAATCCATGCGTCGTGTCCATGGTGCAAATTCACCCACGATAGTTGACAATGGGACAATACCGTAGCCCCCAACATATCCGCTATCTTCGGCGAGGATTGCCCGCTCCACCTCCAGTATCTTCCTTTGAAATTCGTCCAGGTGCACCCCTAGTATAGCAGTGGACACCGAGCGGCATATAACAGAGGGATTTGTGGAGGATATAGCGGCTGTTTGTTTCCGTAGCTGCGCGTGGAGTCGACTCAGATGGCCAAGGGAGGCTAGGAGGGCTTTCTCCGGAGGCGAGAGAAGAGGAAAATCATCTTGCGTGATACTGTCTTCTCCTTTTTCGGTATTGAAGAGCGGCGAGGGCTGGCCGGAGAGGGAGAGGAGGATCTCGTGGAGCATTGTGACCCGATTTCCCTATCAGATATCAATCACCAGCTAACCACAGGGATGTATGCAAATCACTCACCTAGAGAACCGGCTTTTCTCTACTGGATACTTCTGGCGATTCCAATACAATAGACCGCGGCCCACGAATTCAAAGCGACACATATGAAGTTGAATATTTGTCGGGGGCCGAGCTTCGCGTTGAATGCCGAGACGCGTCAGGCGTCACAAATTGAAAGACGTCAAGCTGAGTAGGAGAGCATAGAAGAGGTGTTCATTTTCTTTCGGCATTAGACATTAACCATATCTAGAATAAGCATAGCCTCCAAATTATAGACAAGACCATCGAGAACTACAACTCTAGGCTGTTTATCAGAACATCGCGGGGCTAATCGCCCGTTCACCGCCCATTAGTCATACTAGCTCTCCGCCCGGCAGGCGAAGGTCCCCTCTTACGTCGGTGTCCCTTCTCGATCTCTCCTACTTGTAATTTACTTCAACGGTCACTTTCTTTCTTCTTATTCTTCTCACCTTCCACAAGACTCACCACCTCTCTCGTCTATCGAGTTATAAACGCCAACTGCGTTCGGATCGCTACTCTTCCTTGTGCTCGTTGAGCTAGGTACCTGGTACGCTAGGCGTTGCAACTTGATTTATCATCACTATCGAAAGTCTTGCTCCCCGCGAGGCTTTCAGCTCCTGAATTTCATCATTCCTTCCAATATTCCTGTTCGAGAAGCGGCTAAGCCGGAAAAACGCAGAGCCTCTGAAGACCCCGTCGGAGCTCGGCCAGAGAAAAGAACTATGACGGTATGATTGGTCTTGGTCCTAGAGAGACTGCCACTAATACTAATGGATCTTATTACAGGACGTCAAGATGCAGGTCGACAACCCCCAAGCAACCGTCGAAGCTATCAAGCATGGGGAAATCGATGAATCTCTTTATAGTCGGCAGTTGTGAGTTACCTGCATCCCCCCCCCCCCCCCACTGCATTCAGGGTCTCGGGTATATACTAACACCTTCGAGGTACGTTCTTGGCCACGAGGCCATGAAGCGTATGGGCTCTTCGAATGTTCTAGTTGTAGGTCTCAAGGGCCTCGGTGTCGAAATCGGTAAGTGGATTGTTATTAATTGAAGACATTCGTCCCAAAATCTGATTCTTTCTATAGCCAAGAACATTGCCCTCGCCGGTGTGAAGTCTCTCACCCTCTATGACCCCGCCCCCGTTGCCATCGCCGATCTCTCTTCTCAATTCTTCCTGCAGCCCCAGGATGTCGGCAAGCCCCGTGCTGAAGTTACCGCCCCCAGAGTCGCCGAATTGAACTCATATGTTCCGACTACAATTCATGAGGGCGAGAGCCTCGTGGATGATCTGGAAAAACTTAAGCGCTACCAGGCAGTAGTGCTCACGCAGACGCCCTTGAAGGAACAACTGATTATTGCCGACTTCTGCCACAAGAACGGAATCTACCTCACCATCACAGATACCTTCGGTCTCTTTGGCTATATCTTCAATGACTTTGGAAAGAACTTCACCGTAGGTGATCCGACGGGTGAGGAGCCTGCCAATGGAATCGTGGCAGATATCAGCGAAGAAGGGTTGGTATCGGCATTGGACGAAACTCGACATGGCCTCGAAGATGGTGACTTTGTCACTTTCACTGAAGTCAAGGGCATGGATGGCCTCAATAGTAGTGATCCCCGCAAAGTCACTGTGAAGGGACCGTACACTTTTACTATCGGCGATGTCTCCGGCCTGGGAACATACCAGGGCGGTGGTCTTTTCAACCAAGTCAAAATGCCCAAGTTCATTGATTTCCAGCCACTGGAGGAGCAACTCAAGAATCCCGAGCTTTTGATCTCCGACTATGCCAAATTCGATCGGCCGCAACAGCTGCACATCGGTGTTCAGGCTCTTCACAAGTTTGCAGAGATTCATGGTGGCCAGTTGCCTCGTCCTCATAATGATAGCGACGCACAGGAAGTCCTGAAGCTTGCTACTGATCTCGCTGCAGCTGGTGAAGACAAGGTGGAGCTCGATGAGAAGGTTATCAAGGAGCTCAGCTACCAGGCGCGTGGCGATTTGAACCCCTTGGCTGCTTTCTTCGGCGGTATCGCTGCCCAGGAAGTTCTGAAGGCCGTTTCTGGCAAGTTCGGTCCTGTGCAGCAGTGGATGTACTTTGATTCCCTGGAGTCGTTGCCTTCGTCTGTCACTCGATCTGAGGAGAGCTGCAAGCCCCTTGGCACTCGTTACGATGGCCAGATTGCCGTGTTTGGCAAAGAATACCAGGATAAGCTTGCCAATGTCACTGAATTTTTGGTCGGCTCCGGTGCCATCGGCTGTGAGACCCTCAAGAACTGGGCCATGATGGGTCTTGGTACCGGCCCGAAGGGAAAGATCTTTGTCACCGACATGGATCAAATTGAGAAGAGCAACCTTAACCGCCAATTCTTGTTCCGCACTAAGGACGTTGGTAGGCTCAAGAGTGAATGTGCATCTGCAGCTGCTCAGACCATGAACCCAGAGCTGAATGATAAAATTGTTACTCTTCGTGACCGCGTTGGTGCGGATACTGAGCATGTGTTCGATGAAAATTTCTGGAACGGCCTCGACGGTGTGACAAATGCTTTAGACAATGTCGATGCACGAACATATGTTGATCGCCGCTGTGTTTTCTTCCGCAAGCCTTTACTTGAGAGTGGCACCCTTGGCACCAAGGGTAACACCCAGGTCATTCTTCCCTTCATCACAGAGTCTTACTCCAGCTCTCAAGATCCCCCGGAGAAGTCGTTCCCTATGTGCACCTTGAAGAGTTTCCCGAACCGCATTGAGCACACTATTGCCTGGGCACGGGATCTTTTCCAAACGTACTTCGTTGGCCCACCCGAATCGGTCAACATGTACCTCTCCCAACCCGACTACATCCAGCAGACCCTCAAGCAGGCGGGTAATGAGAAGCAGACACTGGAGCACTTGCGAGACTTCTTGGTAACTGAAAAGCCCTTGACATTTGATGATTGCATTGTTTGGGCTCGCCAGCAATTTGAAGCGCAGTACAACAACGCGATTCAACAGCTTCTTTACAACTTCCCCCGGGATTCCAAGACATCTTCTGGTCAACTATTCTGGTCTGGACCTAAGCGCGCGCCTACACCCTTGAAGTTCGACAGCACTAACGCAACTCATCTCGGGTTTGTCATTGCCGGCGCCAATCTCCACGCATTCAACTACGGCATCAAGAATCCCGGCGCAGACAAGGGCTACTACCGCAGGGTAGTGGACGATATGATTATTCCCGAGTTCACCCCGAGCTCGAATGTCAAGATCCAGGCCAATGAAAACGATCCTGACCCCAATGCCCAACCAGCCGGGTCTTCCTCTGATGAAGAGGAAATTCAGAAGCTTGTCTCCTCTCTTCCTTCGCCAAAGTCACTTGCTGGCTTCCGTTTGGAGCCAGTTGAGTTTGAGAAGGATGATGATACCAACCACCATATTGATTTCATCACCGCAGCAAGCAATCTTCGTGCGGATAACTATGATATCCCTCAATCTGACCGACACAAGACCAAATTCATTGCTGGAAAGATCATTCCGGCCATTGCCACCACGACCGCTTTAGTTACTGGCCTCGTTGCCCTGGAGTTGTACAAGGTTGTTGATGGCCAGGACGATATTGAAAAATATAAGAACGGTTTCGTCAACCTTGCGCTCCCTTTCTTTAGCTTCAGTGAGCCTATTCAAAGTGAAAAGGGCAAGTACCAGGGCAAGACAGGCGAGGTCACAATCGATAAGCTATGGGACCGATTTGAGGTGGACGACATTCCCCTCCAGGAGTTCCTCAACTACTTCGCCGAAAAGGGCTTGGACATCACCATGGTCAGCTCCGGGGTCAGTCTGCTGTATGCAAGCTTCTACCCTCCCTCGAAGGTTAAGGACCGTCTTCCTCTCACGTAAGTCCTTCCTACTACCTTATATAAACTCAACCCACTAACATGGTATATCAACAGCATGAGCAAGCTCGTGGAACACGTCAGCAAGAAGCCAGTTCCTGATCACCAAAAGAACATCATCTTCGAGGTGACTGCTGAGGACCAGACCGAAGAGGATGTCGAAGTCCCCTATGTCATGGTCAAGCTTCGCAAATAAGGTCATTAGACTCATACCTAGATAGGGTTTACAAAAAGCTAGGTGGCTATCATAACTACTGCTAGTACAATAGCTAGATTTCCTGATTTTTTTCTATATTCTACTGGAATCCGATTTTGGAAAGATGTAGATTACTAATCTTGGGCCATCAGTATGTAAGCTTTACGCCCATTCATGGATAGAATGATTTCCAATAGATCACCTCATATATTTCTCTGAAAATAAATGAGAGAATGTGACTGTCAATATTGTGATTGTGCCAAGCCCCATCTAGACCTGACATCGGGAAGGTTTTGCGCTTTGTCAAAGCTGATCGATTTCTCGATAAGCAAATATTACATCAGCACTTAGACGTCATTCCGGTCGTTTCACGAGATATATAAAAGCTCTCTCGCCGCTGTCTGCCAGTAATGTTTTTTAATACTCTCAGATCTCAGGCTTTGCAGCATCTTCCACGTGTATCAATTTTTTGTGTGGGGCGTCTACCTTCACACTGCTCTCGGCTCTCCACAATCACCTCTTTTAGGAATATGGCTGTAAGCAAAACAAGCCGTCTGCATCGGCTACAATTGCCCATTTACTGACACATGTTCCAAGACCGGAAATTCCGCCAAAATCACCGACTGGGTGAACCCCGCCGACAAGTCAGGCGAGTTCAAACGTCAGCAATCCGTATTCCGTAACTGGATCTCGAGAGAGGCTGGCGCCCAATTCCCTCCCGAGAAGGGCCGGTACCATCTCTATGTCTCATATGCCTGTCCGTGGGGTATGAACTGGCTCTCAATTGACTTGTCATTGGGTCAATACTAATCATTCTTTAGCTCACCGGACTTTGATTACTCGAAAGCTCAAGGGCCTTGAGGACTTTATTTCTTTCTCATCGGTGCACTGGCATTTGGGAGAACATGGTGAGAGCTCAGTCAAGCAATTAAGGCAAACAATCACTAATTGACGTCTGAGGCTGGCGATTCCCTACTGCTGATGAGAAGCTGCCGGGCGAGAACGCCATCCCTGATCCTCTGCACGCGGAGTTCACCCACATCCGCCAGGTCTACTTCTCCAATGACCCGGACTACACAGGCCGATTTACCGTCCCAGTCCTCTTTGACAAGAAGACAAAGCTGATCGTCAGCAACGAGGTATGAGATAGGTTCCCCAATGTGCTCTAGGGCCATGTCTAAATAAAATAGAGTGCCGAGATTATCCGCATGCTCTACCACGAATTTGATGATCTGCTCCCAGAATCATTCAAGAAAGTGGAGCTCTTCCCCAAGGCGCTGCAAGCTGACATCGACGCATCCAACGAATGGATCTACAATGACGTCAATAACGGCGTGTACAAGTCCGGCTTTGCAACCACGCAAGAAGCCTATGAAAAGGCCGTGACAACGCTTTTCGGCTCGCTCGACAAGATCGAAGCTCATCTTGTCAAGCAGCAGGCTGCCTCGAAGCCCTATTTCTTTGGCGACGAGATCACCGAGGCTGATATCAGACTCTTCACTACTATCATCCGTTTTGATCCCGTCTATGTGCAGCATTTCAAGTGCAATCTTCGCGATATCCGTTCGGGATACCCGGCTATCCACCGCTGGGTTCGCACGCTCTACTGGGATGTTCCCGCTTTCCGGGATACCACTGAGTTTGAGCATATCAAGTTCCATTACACTAAGAGTCACAAGCAAATTAATCAGTTTGCTATTACTCCCCTTGGACCTGTTCCTGATATTCTTCCTAAGGATGAAGAGGTCAAGGCTGTGCGGGCAGCTAACTAAGTGGTTGGTGAACGATTTGTGAGATGAAAGAGAAATCAACGATTAATTTGTACAAGCCAAGACTGGGCAATCTCTGAACTTAACCAAAATGACATTCAGAGCAAATTTTGTTTTCAATGATATGCATTTTAATCCAAGAATATAGGTTTTCTAGTAGTATAGATATAGACAGAATGAATCCAAAAGCCCCGTGGTATTGTATAGACGCCATGCCATGCTGATGTGGTGATGGTTGCTGGGTTTCCCAGTGCCCCTGAGATCTGTATCAAAGGTCAAAAGTACAGTTGTCTCAAGTGAGAGCAACGTGAGCAATAAAAAGAAAATAAAAAATTACAGATTGAAAGCCTTGTTGATAGCAACTAAAGGCACATGCAAAAATGGACATGATCTCCTGCTAAATCACTGAGAGAGATCTGAAATATCAATGAGATGCAGGTGAATGCATCCATGATGGAGGGATTAGCCGGGACAAATAGTGGCCCATGTGGGTATCTTAGGAGGGCTTCTAAATGACAGGCGAGTAAATAGATCAAAGCTCGGCCCGGGTCCACCAGAATTGATGTGCCGGGTCGAGGGGTGAGGGCATGAACATGCCGAGTGGTATCCGCAGGGGCACGCGGGGAGGTGATGTGGGTTAGAGGAACTCCAACCGGCGGATCACCGGAGACCAAGCATGCGCTTCGCGTTTTCATAGACCACGTAGCTGATGGACATGGCAGGTGCTACTTTGAGAAGGTTGGGGGTGAGTCCTTTGTAGAGGCCTCGGGGGCCTTCTGCTTTGAGGGTAATGCTGAGAACCTCGCCAATGCCACTATATGTAGGCGGGTGCATGATGGTACCCTGTGTTTGGAGTCGAGTGCGGAGGACGTTAAGAGGGTATACAATGGAGGCACTGAATCCTCCACTGATAGCGCCGATCGCACCTGTCGCGAAGTTGCCAAGAGGAACATCATCCTCGTGGCAGCCGTGCTCGCGAGCCTTTTTGGCGATGAGGGTTCGTTTGAGGTACTCGAATGTCGATAAATCGATTGCGGCGTAAGGGAACATGCCCACCAGGCCAAGCGGAAGACCGCGGAAGAAGCCAATGAGGCCGTTTTTGTTCCACACCTTCCTCGCGGTGGCTGCAATAAGCTGGTTGCCTTTGGGGCCGCCTTTCACAGTCTCGCACTGCATGCGACTGTTCGAGATTGTCAGCTAGGATGTTTCAAGAGCACCACGAGGGCGATTTGGCTTACAATTTCAAAGTGTCCAGGGGGTAAACAAAGCATCTAGAAAGCTGTTAGAAAGAGCGCTTCTCATATCAATGGCACAAGACCTACTGGGCAACCATTCCACCAAAGCCACCGGACATAAATTGTGAAGTGGGAAGGAGTCGTTTGGGGTCATTGTGTCCTTCAAGTCGTGCAAACATTCGTTTCGCAGACTGATTCCAAGTCGTTAGCAATGAGCTTCCGTTGAGATGGAGACGGAACATTAGGAATACGAACCTCGTAAGCGCCAAATTTGATGGCAGATTCTGGCATGACTTTTACCACGTTCAAGCCATTTCCTGTTTACAGTCAGTCGCCGCTTCATCAAACCCAATACTGATCCAACTAACCTGCAAACAGACTCCGTATTCCTCCAGCTCGCCATAATTCCTTGAGCGCATCGAATAGTGTTTTTGAAGCATTCCCGGCCGCAGCCAACGGGGCTCCATCCTTCGCCGCACGAACGGTGGATTCTTTGGGGCCAGTTTGAGCAATGAGGTAGATTTTAAGACGGTCGAGGGGGGCAGTAGCCGTTCTTGACAGGGCTCCCGCGATTCCACCTGCGAAAAAATAGCCTAATTGAGGGGTATTTTCGGTCAACTTCCGTCCATAATATCGGAAAAACATCCGCATGGCGGTAGTCTGAGGAATAGTCAACCACTCTACTTCGAAGTCGTTGTTTAACGAGAAATTTTCATCCTCGACAACGAGACCGAGTTTTGAGACATGGTTGACTTCCGCATGGACTGAAGGAAGGAGGGAGGCCAGGGCGGGGAATGACAAGATGTTGTACAAAAGGTGCTGAATGGCCAAAAGATGAGGTTTAAGAAACGGATGGTCTGTACCTAAACCCTGCAGGTCATTGATGTGGACATCTCCTTCCGGGTTTAGATTGCCCGTGGCCGTGTAGTATGAGAGGACTGCGTTGAGGTCGGTCGGGGAGTGGAGGGGGAGAAAGAGGAGGAAGTCCCTATAGAATGTTATCTTGTCAGCCTATACCTGGCAATATTCAATCGGAGTCCCGAACGATCATACCTCCATTCCGTGTAAGAGATTACGCCGTCGTTGTTTTTATCCACTTGGGCGAAAAACCGGTCGAGGTTGGCGTTGGAGACTGTTAATCCCGAACGCGAAAAGGCATTTCGCAGTTCCAGCTTGTCGATTTCTCCATTATGATTGCGATCGATGCTCTCAAACATTTTCCATAGGCTGTCCTCGGTTTGGTTGAGAAATGCTCGAAATTCTGGTGGTGATTAGGATCGGAGTAAATATTGGCGCGCGGCCAAAATATCCCTTCCCCAAAGCATAGCCAAAGCATAGCTTGGTTCGGTTATTCTCAAAGGCTTACCAGCTTGGTCTATACGCCCATCGCCATTCGTGTCTACCTCTCGGACGACACTGACTACCATATCATCTGCATTTTTCAAAGCTGGGAAGAAATCATCAGTCTGGTCTCACGGCGCGAAGTCTTTCAAACAAACTCACGATGATCGATCTTCTTGAGACCCTTCTTCAACCCAGTCAAGTCGATATGGCCCTCATTTCGAGTATCCAGTGTTTCCCAGAGTTTAGCAACTCGTTTGTCGCGTTCGTCTTTCGACTCTCCGGGTGCCATGATGAGGAAATTTGTTACCGGTCACCCTTCATTATTTGCTTTGTTGCTTTTTCCCCCTTTTGAGTTGTAAAAGTTGAAATCGAAGTTTTGAGTAAGTTTTCGAGTAAGCAAGTTTCGAGTGAAGGTCCGGGGAGGATCGAGTTGCATATGATGTGGGGACGCAAAGTTATGATATGAAGCAATGAATAATGATTAATAGACGCCCGACGATTTGACCTCTGACGCCCGGATTATCTTTCGGGCCAAGGGCCAAACCCTACTAACCCTTTTTGGGATTTACAATCCGACTTCATTATTGTTTGGTTATTTATTTGTATCTCCATCTTTATTGTTTATATTGTCTTATTGCGTGATCCATTGTTGTTCATCAAGAAGACAACTTGTGCTTGGAAAAGGGCGGGGTTGTCGGACCTCGGATGTCATGACGACTTTCGGTTTGTTTGAACCATCAGAACTTCTAATATGGCCGCCAACTATTGGGCTTCATCCCAACGTCGACACTGGCTCTTTTCCAGGGACAGATTAGCAGATATTCGAGATGGATTACGGGACAAGGATAAAGTTGCTCATTCGCAATTCCCGTTACCGGATCAACGACTATTGAACATCTATTTCAACCAACGTAAGTTTGGTTGATGGGAGATTCAATATCTAGAGGCATCTGTTATTCGTGGGCTAATGGAACATTGAAACAGAACTCATCAAGCTTGGAAAGCGCATGTCCACTCGACAGCAAGCCATTGCTACAGCCCAGGTGTATCTGAAGAGATTCTACACCAAGAACGAGATTCGACAGACGAATCCATACCTCGTACTTACCACGGCATTCTATCTAGCTTGCAAGATGGAAGAATGTCCACAGCATATCCGTTTTGTGGTCAATGAAGCTCGTGGACTATGGCCAGGTATGGGTCCCTATATGGAGCTATCAACACTTTGCTGACTGTACGTAGAGTTTATTACCCCAGATGTGGCAAAGCTAGGAGAATGCGAATTTGCCCTGATCTCTGAAATGAGCTCACAGCTCATTGTGCATCATCCTTATCGCACCTTATCTGAACTCCAAACCGAACTGTCACTCACCTCTGACGAAGTCACTCTAGCCTGGTCGGTGATCAACGATCACTATTTGACGGACCTTCCGCTGCTACATCCCCCTCATGTCATTTCAATCATGGCAATAATTGTGGCTGTTGTGTTCAAGCCCTCACATCCAGCCTCATTTCCAGGCTCCGGGCAATCGGCCTTAGCAGCTTCCATGAGAGACGGAGGCGGTATGCAGATGCTATCCGCTTTGTCTGATAAGACTGGATCTGGGCCCCCTCCTAAAATTGCAAAGCTTGTCGGTTGGCTCGCGGAGGGTGATGTTGATATCAGAGCTGTCATCGAATGTACGCAAGAGCTGGTCTCATTGTACGAGGTGTGGGAGCAATATAGCGAGAAGACCTGCAAGGAACTGATTGGGAGGATGGTTAAGAGCAAGAATCTGGATAAATGATATTCTATTTCACTTGCATAGCATTTCTGTATTAGCGTTTCGATCTTTCGGGTGATTTAGAGATCTTTTGCCTTACTACCTGTTGTGGATTCATTTTACGTGTATCTGCAAGCAAATAATAACGAGGCTTCAAGTATGGATAATATAAACTCTGAGGCTCAAAAGCACTATTCAAGAAACTGTTATATTCGAGATTATCTCCCCCATGTCCACTCTCCACTGCTGGAAAAATGGGAGCCCAAACTCTTCCAAAAGTTTCGGAGACGCACTGTTCAACTGCTGAATCAACCAGTCTTCATGGAAAAGTTCAGGGTCGCATTGTATTCGAAGTTTATGCTGCGAGCTCTGAGGGTCAACGAACATCTGGAATGCCTTTGCTCTCTCATTTGAATAGACATCTAACAAGTCGCATGCCTTTCCTTTGAGGATAATCATTTCGAGGATGTCGCATAGAGCTTCGGAATCAATCAGGCCCGTCGTAAGTCCCATCCCACCCATTGGCTAGTCACTCATATTAGTCGTTTATCATGTGAGCATCTGGGATTCGAACTAACGTTATTCAAGTGAGCAGCATCACCTGCAAGCACACATCTCCCCCTCCTAAATGTTGAAGCACAAAGTTGATGGATCCGGTAGAGAGATGACTTGATCACTTTTCCCTTGATTGGCCGTGGACCAGGAAGCATCTTCTCAAGAAGGGCCACAACATGAGCTGGGGAATTTATTTCGTCAGTCGGTGTTTTGTCTTCTGGGTCTAGGCTAACAGCGCATCGGTATAAAGTCCGTTTGCCGGACTCCACGGGCTTCAATGGAGTGACAATCCCCCAGTGAATCGGATGAACAATGAACTGACTGGGAAACTCATTGTCAATACTCGGATCCTCAAATAGCAAGTCAATGGAGAGTAATTTTTCCGGCCAACTATGCCCTTTCAGATGAATATCCAGCAGCCGTCTAGTGGCCGACTGGCCACCATCAGCGCCCACCAGATAAGATGCCTTGAATATTTTCTCGGTATTGTCGTGTTTGGTCGTGGCCCTGACGCTAGAATGATCTTGCTGAATACCGATGAGGTTTTCTTCAAAATGTACAGTAACCAAACCGGTGGCTATTGCCTTCTCGAATAACAGTTGAGTTAACTCAGGTTGCGGCAGATATAAGATACCTCCGCCCCCGAGAGACTCACTCCCTTCTCGGGGGATAGGCAGACGAGCCATCACATCCCCCATCTTGTAACCGCCATGGCCGTCCTCGCATATTGGTTTGCGCCAGCAGAATCCTTCTGACACAAACCCTGCTTTCTTGATATCTGGAATCACTCCCATTTTGTTCAAAGCAATCAGTGCGCTTGCGTAATATGTCACAGCACGTGGTTCTTCACCTAGACTGGACTCTTTCTCGATCACATCCACCTCGATACCAGCTAGCGCTAGCCTCAACGCGATGGCAAGCCCAACTGGGCCTGCTCCAATAACCAGCACATTCTCTTGGGGTCTATTTGAAGGACTTTCCATCCCTTCCGAAGATGGCAAGGGCATTCTGTTTCGATTGGGACTTATGCTTGGGGAGACAGTATCTAAACCGGGGTGATGTGGGAGAATCAGACAGCTTGATATGGATATCTCGGACCAAAGAAGCCAAAGGCACTTTTCAACTTCTTAACCTTTTCTCTTCTGGGGCATATGACCCGATTGTACTACATTGTGCTACTATTGACGAAGAGTTATCTCATTCCAAGGTTGATTTGCGATGTTATCAGTGGGATGTATGTATGCACATAGAAGAATAGCAGAAACACAAACTTTTCCTCGACATCACGGCCACTGCCCAGGTGGCTCCCATTTGTAGCTATGTTTCACATTGAAATTAGTGACAGAACATGAAATTCAATGAGAATGACGATGTGAGAGATACCTCGTATGTTGACGACATCTACGAAATATATATATATATACGTATATATTCTTTTCTTACCTAGGCAGCATCAATGTGAAAGACAGAAAAAAAAGGTCATGTATAATGTCAAATCGAGAATTAAAATCAATGACATTATATAGGGACTTGCACTATATGTCAAGGTCACAGCGCCAAATTCAAATGGAAGTATAGAAGGAGATAGAAAAAACCTGAAATATAAAATAGAAGTCCTTAAATCTTCCATCAATATTATAGTTTTCTGACCCATGTCTTATACCCAGGTCGCTATAGAAACGTTACCTACGTACCCAGTTACATGGGCGCTTTATATATAGTTTAAGCCAAAAATATACTGACCAAGGAGCACTTGAGCAACACACTAAGACTTTATTTATGTAGCATGGCTATTGGATATTGTTCTAATACTTGAATATATGTAGATGAACTTAAGCATAGCCACCCTGAGGTTAACTTTACCCAAGAGTCTAGACAAAATCCAACTTTTTGTGTAGCGGGAAACGCGCTTACTTTTTCTTTGCACTACAACCTTGGGGTTATACTCGACTCCGCAATCGCGATTTCAATGCCGCCCGGCCTCTGAAACCAGCTTCCGACTCGGAGCACAGATTTGCCACGATTTCATGGACTATCATGTAATTCATGGATTAACATGAAATTGAGAGCTTTGAAATACAGCCAGGAAGAGCAGATCGTGTTTGCAAGTCCCTTGCATGGGCGTTTGTCGATTGAATTGGAGCATGGTTGTCCCTCACTGAATGCATATTTCATACATTCTACGATTTACACAGACCAAATAATGCACTACACAATGCGTGACAGATCACCTGCACCGTTCGAGCTTCAACGTGTTAAGTTTGTGATATATCCGAAATCGCCCCGTGCGACTGCGCCTCGTGAGAGTCTATTCCCCAACTCCAAAGGGGCGGTGAAGCCATAACTGGGGACAGCTTTTTCACAGTGGCACGTTATTTCTAAAGTTCAGGGTTGAATTTTCTCGGTGCTGCCGTGTAAGGGAACAACAGCTATTACTGGACTACAATATTGTGTGGAAGGGACCATCATGTAACAGGATGCTCTAGTAGACGCCCGTCAGCATGTCCGGTTTCAGGGCCGATCGATACAAGTTGCTGAAAGAGAAAAGAGAAAAGAAAAACCAAACCGGAAATAGCTCCCACAACCTACAGAACCCTGCCACACATTGTGAAGTGGGAGCTTGCAGATTTAATTCGGTCGCATGGTTTAGATCACTGGGCAATGCTACCCAGTGAGCCCCTTAGGCCTATTCCCCTAGTCCGGATTCCGCAAAGAACTCGACCGATTTTGGAGCTTTGTGCTGATAAGGTAAGATCTCAATGTCCCCTACCAATAAGGGACACGCTCATATGCAGCTAAGGATATGTGTCTCAAGACCAACAAGGTTTTTCTCGGGTTTTTCTGCGTGTCGAAGGATTGGGGTATTCAAGGAGCCGATCCAAGTGAGATCAGCAGCCACTGCCGATTCGGGCACCCTATAGGGGAACCGGGGGAATGTGCCTGGGAAGGCCGCCATATCCTGCACAGCCTGCAGCAAAGGGGACCCGCCGAAGGGAAAAATTCGGGCTTTCCGGCTTTCCCCCAACCCCCAACCCCCCATCGTCCAAGTGAAGGCTCTATTCCGGGCTTGATGTTACTTACCCAGGTTGTTCTCACTTCATTTTTGAGATTAGATAAATTTGAAGTTCATGAATAATAACGGTAGGAATGGTTAGAAATGATCTATTATCAAAAAATGTAACAATGATTATTGTTTTCAAATCAGGGACCCGTAATGACTCTTACCCTTTGGTATGTAGAGAGGGCCGTCACTGTTGTCCTAAACGGGGGGTTCGAAATTGTCGACGACGTCACGTTTTTCCGATTGTTATGGGGCTGATAGTATGGTAAGTATGGTAATTTACCATGGAGTGTGGCTTTAAGGGGTTTTCATCATGTTTATCGAGACTAAAAGAATTAATTATAGAGATGGTATTGTAATGTATTGTCATATATGGAAAGACACTAGTCACGCTCGCACCAACCAAAGTCAAGCGCTAACGAAGTGGCAAGAGACTACCAACCAATCAAAATACGCAGATCCGCTGAAAATGGAGTGAAAAGACACCAAATGGAGCTTAAACGGCCCACCCAAAATACTCTCCCCTCTTTTGCCCTCGCCTCTTCCCTTTCTCTCCCACAACACTTTCTATCTTCATCTGATCTTCTTCTTCCCTTTTTTTGTAACTTTCTTCTACCAACTTTCTCGATTTTGTCTTAGGTACTGGATTTACTTTCGCCTCAAAAAAGAAAAATACACACACACACAATCATCATGTCCGCCTACTTCTACAACCACCAACAACAACACCAGCAACACCCTCACCATGGTGCTCACATGCAATCCGCCAATAACCACGGTCGCTCGCGTCGTGCTCCTAAGATGGCCTCGCAAAATGCTCAACGTCAGTTCCGAGGAGTGAAAAGCATGCGGGAACTGGCGGAGGCTCCGGCAGTGACAGCTTTCCGGGCGAGGTTCGAGGCCGGTCGTTCCTTTGATTTGGACGATGATCTCGAATTCTGCCCGGGTCTCCTGACTGAGGACGATGTATGTTGTGATCGACGAAAATCTACAACCCCTTAACTATTATCCCCTTGAACATCGTCATTCAAACTTGGATAAATGTGGCCGGAATCAATTTGCTGACCATTATTTCCAGCTGCACTCCATTCACTCCGCCTCCGACCGCTCCTCCCTCTCTAGTGGCTCGCCGGAAACCTCTCCTTTGCAGCACCAGATTCAGCCGGTGCAGCAGGTTACTCCGTCCATCTCTTTGTCTCCCGCTCAAGCCAACTCATACGTTCACTCTGGTGTTGCCGGCAACCCTAATCACGTCAACTACCAGCAGTCTGCGAACCGGACCCGCAAGGTCATTCCCATTGTCAACCCCTCTACCGGAATGACGATGACGAGCCCACCTTCATCGATTTCTCCCGCGATGATGCAGACTGCTCAACGTCGATGGTAAAGATGCCATCTGCCAAAGTCGTAGGCTGGCTCCCTACGTCTCCACATGTTCTTTGCACGTCCCGTCACCTGAGCTGTTCTGCATCATCGGGGTCCCTTAATCGCAGGTCATAATCTTATTTTTCTTCCATTGCATTCTTGTCTGATACGCCACTTTGCATTTGACACGAAACCATGGAAAAATACATGTTCCATGAACACGGCGACAAAAAAACTTCAAAAACCCGAAAACAAAAACCGACCTGTACATACCACCTCTCTCTCTCTCTCTTCGCCGATTACGACCACCTTCGCCTCATATTCTATATCCTTTGCGATACTTCTGGCTTGTTGCGAGCGACGGCGCCTGCGATTCAATACCTTGCATCCTTCTACTACGATACCTCTTCGTCTCTCAGGGAGGGACGAATACTTTCTTCGGCCTATCTTTTATTTTTTCTCCCGGTCGGGCCACCGATGATGTACAGAACATGTGAAAGTGACATTGCTACTTGATGTTGCATGTCTATGACTTTTGGAGTTGATTTTCCTTTTCTTGGGAGGGTTTCGTGTGCAAACGACTTTGCCAGATACACCTACGCTGTGACTTTCTATACTTTATTCTACGATCACTTTGTTTTGGGTTCTTTTTATTACCGGGGCGGGAATGGCTTATCATTTTCAAGGATCTAGAGGCGGAAACGATACACGTCTGCATTGCTTGGGCACTGTTGAATATCTTGGGTTTTTTTGTATTGCGTCTTTTGTCACCTTCTCCGTCTATTTTTTTTGTCCTATTTTCTTATCATTTTACGGATTGTTTTCTCTGTACATCGGATTCGGGGATTGGTGAACAACGCGCCTCCAGGCCACTGGTATGTGGCCGGTTGGGTTTGGTTGCGAGCGAAACCATGGTATGCGGAGTTGTTTCTGTTTGAAATCGATATCCTTGGGGGTCTCTCGCGTGTGCGAGTTTAGACCATTTATGCACTTAAAATGGCTTTGTTCATTGTTTACTATCATCCACTCTCTCCATTTTATCTCTTTACATTTCCATCTCTTCGCTCTGTATTTCTTGCGTTGATCTTTTGGGACTCCCCGAGAGATATATTGCATTGTATGATGTTGATCATTTTGATTACGCCATAATATCATGTTCAATCACATATCATTTGTTCACACCGTTTCTTCGGACTCCGGTCAAGTGTACGTTGCGCTCGGCCTCATATGGACGATTCAACATGCTTTTATACTCAGTCACTGGACTAAGTACTAAAAGGGGTAGCCTGTAGACTTGCTCTGGTATTACCCAAATTCTCGAATATAGCTACATATAGGAATTTTCTCCGAGAACTCGGAGGTACTTTGAGTTTAAATTCAAAGTGCGAGATGGACGTTACGTTGCCTTGAGGGTTTCAAAACCGATTTCCTGAGATAGACTGTTTCTTCAGGCGCTTCTCTTATTTGATTTAGGGGCTGAGACTCTGTTCCACAATGATTACCGTTTCTTTGAATAGATTTGCAAGCACAGTGAAGGAATTGCTGCGCCCACAAAAGTTGGGATACTGAAAAAAAAGTAAGAATATGGGACAAAATGGTCAAAATGGTTGACTTTAAACCTGTATACCCACCCCTCGGATGGGCTCAAACCAGAGATCAACGTTGGAACAGAAGAGGGGAAAGAAAAAAGCTATCTCCGGACTAATCATGTGTTCTCATCTGGCCTCAATCTAGCATTGATCACACTCAACGGTTCGATCGCCCGACGATCAATGTTAGGAGTATCCAACCACCGAAGGTGACCACACAAGGTGACCACGCATTTATGTCAACGTAATGCCATTGTTCCCAAGTCCCTAATAGGCCAGAGAACAAAGATCAAATCCAGAAACATAATATACATATCTAAATGAGACATCTTTTTCAACGTTTCACAGTGTCACACAACAGCATGATTGGTCACTTACCCGCTCGGCATTGTTTCAAGATCAACTAACTATACCTAACACCGACTGGCCCTGCGGTCTTAGCTGTCAAACCCACGCGCTCAGGGGTCTGTCCCCCACTCATCCAAGACGCCGCGTAGTAACAGGCAAATGAAGAGGAGGAGCCTTTTGATCTCTGTATAATATACGCGTGGTCTGGCTATCCGGTCTTCTCTCTTCGCTGGGTCTAGTGACATATCCACTTCCCCATCAGTCTGATCTCGGTCCGATGGCGTTTACTGTGAAGCATGCCCAGAATAGGCCAAGGCATTTTCATTTGTTCATTGGCTCCAATAGGTTAATAGAATATAATGGGGACCACCTACTCTGTTTTTCTCCTGCCCCATTGTGAGCGCATTGTGCCTGCCATATAGATCGGCAACCCCGGTAGTTTCGCTTTCTTTTTCTTTGATATTTTCCTTTCATATTGCAATTGTTCATTGTTTCGCTTCTACTCTCTTTTTCATTGTTGTTTCTTATTGTTATTTTTTTTTTGTTGCTTTCTCTTTTCAATTCTTGGCTGCAGGTATTCAAGTCAGGACTACTTATTGCTGACGTTCATTTTGTGACATTGGCATTGTCTTTCATTCAGGGAATCCTCCAAGATTATCCTTATAGATTGGACAGTGATAAATTCTACCTTGTCCATCCTGTCTTTTGTGTTTCTTGCCATCACATTCTGCGACATCAAGTTCTCAGGCCGGTCCTGACCTAATTCGTTCATTTTCGACGTTGATATCCCCAATTAGGGCTGTGGACAAGATGCAATTCCTTATTTTCTTTACTGTGTTCTTTTCGCTGAGCTTAAATGCTCTTTCGATGCCAGTGGCACCGAACAAGCACCTTCAAGGCCGGTCCTTCAAGGTGCAGCGTGCTAAGCGCAACGATAATATCGTTCACGGTCCCGTGGCCCTGCGCAAAGCATACCGCAAGTTTGGCATTGATGTGTCAACTCTTGATGTCGTTGAAGTTAGTGACTTCAAGCCTTTTGACACTAAGGTTACCTCTGGTAAAAGCGCCAAGCAGGATGCGGCGGAATCCGATCAGACGGGCTCCGTGTCGGCCACTTCTGTTGCTGGGGATGTGGAATTTGTTTCGCCAATTACTCTTGGTGGCCAGACTATGAACGTGGATTTTGATACTGGATCTGCCGATCTGTAAGTTTTCTTCTGTCCTCTCTGCTTGCTCGCGTGTGTGTTTGTCGTTTTTCGGACAATTGACCTGGTGGAACACGGATCAATGTTTGAACTCACATGAAAACTATGTTTAGCTGACCAGTGGCCACATAGATGGGTATTTAACTCTCGACTTCCTGAATCCCAGCGAAAAGACCGAAAAGTTGTCTATAACCCGAGCAAATCTAGCACTTTCAAAGATTTGACGGACAGCACATTCAAGATCACATATGGCGACAATTCCGGTGCCAGCGGAGATGTAGGCTCAGACACTCTCTCAATTGGCGGTGTTGAAGTTAAAGAACAGGCATTTGGTCTCCCAACAGATGTCACGGGCTCATTCGTCTCCGACGTCGACTCCAATGGTCTCCTTGGCCTTGGTTTCAAGTCACTCAACACCATCAAACCAGTGGCACAGAACACCTTCTTCGACAACGTGGTCTCCCACCTTGACGAGCCTGTTTTCAGCGTCCGATTGCTCTCTGACGGTGTTGGAGAGTATGAATTTGGAACCATCGATCATTCAAAGTATCAGGGTGTTCTGGCCAATGTCAGTATCGATTCATCCAAAGGTTTCTGGCAATTCAACTCGGCACAGTACTCCATTGGAGGAGGAGACTTCACCCCGGTCACCGATGTGACCGAGACCATTGCCGACACAGGTACCTCGCTTATGCTCGTGAGCCCTGATGTTGCGAAGGCGTATTACAATAAAGTTGACAGAGCCATCTATGCTAGCAATGCTGGTGGGTATATTTACCCCTGTACTGCGAAGTTGCCCGATCTGGCTGTTGCCATCGGAACTGCTTACTCAGCCACCGTGCCTGGGTCACTGATCAACTTCGCCGAGGTTGGAACTAATACTACTACTGGTGAAACTGGTGAGTACCCTTTGTTGATCTTCTTTTTTCAAATTCCAACTGACCGTGTTTAGTGTGCTTCGGCGGTGTTCAGTCAAATGCAGGCTCAAGTCTAGCTATCTACGGTGATGTGTTCTTGAAGGCCCTGTTTGTGGTCTTCGATTACCGAGGGCCTTCCATGGGATTCGCATCACCTGCGTGAGGAGTGAAAAATAATTGAGATATACCTAGGTATCGGCTCTGCACTAAGTGCGATCATGTACAGGTTTAAAATAGAAACATCAACCCATAACTACTTCAGTATACTTGAGTATTTCCATTACATGCTTGATAAATAAACAAGCATGTCTATCAAATCCTCGATGCTAGTGACGAAACTGGAAATTTTGAATTCTTCATATTCTCATGGGTATGCATTTAGTCCATTTTATTTTCAAAGATAACAACCAAAACCCTAACATCCACCGCTTAACGCACGGTAGCATTGGTCAAACTCTTAACAGTACAGATACCACCAGAGGCAGCAACAAGCTTTCCAAGAGCAGGCTTGCCCTCCTGGCCGTGAACAGAAGGAACAGCACTGCTATCGAAGGCAACCTCGCGGTCACCAGTAGTGGTGAAACCAGGCTGGAAAGTTTCCCAGACCTTCTTCTTAGGGTTGAGCTGCTTCTCAGGCTGACCCTCACTCCAACCCTCGAAGCTGATGCGCTCACCAGCGGGGGCATCAGCAGGTGGGTTGACCAGCTCAACGGGGCCGGCGTGCGAGTCCTCGCCCTCGGCGACACGAGGGGAGGCAGCAAGAACCATAGCGCAGGACTTGACGCCACGCATGGTCACGGGCTTCAGGTTGCATACGGCGACGATCTTGCGGCCCTGCATCTCCTCCAGAGGAATTAGGCCGTTCAGACCAGAGCAAACGGTGCGCACGGTCTTGCCAGTCTCCTCGTCGAGAGAGGTATTATCGGAGCCGGGGAGGTCGCCGCAGTCGATGGTGGAGACGTAAAGCGAGTCGGCATTGGGGTGGTTGATGGCGCGCAGGATGTGGCCGACACGCAGGTCAATCAGTGAGGGGGAGGGAGGAGCAGCGGGGGCGGGAGCAGGCTTAGGGGCCTTGGGGGCCTTCTCCTTCTTTTCCTTCTTGTTGGTCTTGGGGGGAGCGTCGGCGGCTTCAACACCAGCCTGGGCCTGGCCCTTGGCGGCCTTGTCGGCCTTTGCTTGGCCGACAACGAGGGGCTTGCTGTCCGGGGTGGCGTTGGGGGTCTGAGCGCTAGCCTTCTCGCGCTTCTTGCGCTCCTTCTCCTCCTTGGGATCGATGGGCTTAGGCACGAACTTCACGTCGTTCAGATCGATGGCGATCTTCTCCTCCTCGGGGATCTGTAGGGAGAACAGGCGGCCGTTCTGGACGAAGTCGGTATGACGGACGATGTGGTGGTATCCCTTCTCGCCTGTGCGCTCTTCGGGGGTCCACTTCTCAACGACAGGGGCGAGGAGAGCGTAGACGGCAATATCGGCGACCGAAGGCTTTGTGCCAAGGAGGGTTGTACGGGTGGCCAGATGGATGTTGAGTTGGCCGAGGATACCCTCAGTGACGTCCTTCTGGGCATTGGCGAGGGAGGTCTTCAGACCATCGACGGTGTGCAGCCATTGCTTGATGTCGGCTTCCTCGCCCTCATTGAAGGTGACTAGTGGGAAGATCTTGCTCGAGGCGAGGAAGTAGTCGGGCTCGGTCGCATCCGGAGAGATGACGCTGGGGTAGGACCGATAGAGGAGAGAGAGGAGAGAAGATACGGGAGTTGCTGCCGTCGCCATGGTGAGTGCGCGTGGAGGGGTTGGGAGTGGAAGAAAAGAAAATCGAGGAGGGGCACGGATCTGTGTCAACGATTGGACCCGCGGGGTTATCAGTCGGGCCCGCAATAGGCACCTGAAGGAATTCAACTTGACGATGATCCCTTGAGGGATCTGTTGTTATTATTTCTTATTTATATTCTATGAGTCAAAGCTCTTATGCTCCTTTTGCTACTTTTTGAGGTCTGTGTTACAGCTGACTCAGCGGGTTTAGGCGTGGGCCGCCGGCGTCCATGACCTCCAAGATCCCAGAACTGCTATACAAACAGCCGTAGAGGCAACAAGAGAGATCTGTAAACCACGTTTGACATCTTGTACGTTGTCTTCATTTTGCTATCTATACGTGTTGAATCGGTATTAATGATGCCTCTAAATTCTCGTTGAGACAGGGCCGGGATGGAAATCTGAATGGCATATAAATTTCACTAATACATCTGTCAGTCAGCAAGAAAGCAACAACGTGGCTTCTAAGACTCGCTAGTAAGGTCTTGGTTCCTTCTTTTCTGTTTTCTTTATCAATGGTTGCCGTGGTACTAGATTCTCATCGGTGCCGGCTTTGATCAGCACCCGGGTCGCCTTCCTGGATGTGGTATTTCTGATAGCAGTGTTTCCTGCTTCATCTTTCCTATTCGGGTCTGTGAAATCTGCTTTTAACAAAATTTGCAACATCATTGGACTTCGCCGTGCGGCGTGGAACAAAGGCAGCCGTGAAGGATTGCATTGTTGATTAGTGTGACTTGGTGACAATAGTAGACGAGCTATCCGTTCGTCTTTTTATTTCAATTGAATGATAGAGCACTTTTATTCCGGAGCCATCTTGCGAATTGATATCCACATCGAAATCTCCGACCAGTCTTCTCGCCAGATACGCTGAGTAGATGTTCTGGTTATAGCTTGCAGTAAGACTCAATGGAATACGACCGTCTTAGTCGCACAAATCAGTTTCATTTCCTGGGATGTCAAGCAAAGCATCGATCGCTTCTCTTCAAGAAGAAGGTTGACCATCACAACGTTCAAGTCTTGCAGCCAGTGTACGCCCTCCGAGAGTTCTCGTGTGAAAATCTGCACCCCACTTGGCAAGTAGTGTCACAATATCTGGCCTGCAGATAGCAGTCGCTAAATGAAGCGCTGATTTTCCCTCCTTTAAGTGTACATTTGGATCTGCTCCATGTTCAAGCAAAAGCCGAACTTCATCAAAGCTTCCTTGGACTTTACATCCCTTCATGGGTATAATCGTATCGCTTGTTGACAATAGATCCAATCCAGAATAAATCCAAATGTGGTTTGAGCCGCGAATCAAGGCTCTAATTAAATGGAATGGGCTGACGTCGGAATTCCCTTGGGATGTCGTCGACCACAGGACGGCCTCTTTGGCGAGAATCAACCGCAAGCCAGGAATTAGGGTTGAGACCGAGCTTGATTGAACCTTGAAGGCAAAGATATTTCGGAGCTTGCCTACAGTGGCATAGATTGCGATTTTGCGCACTTAGAAGAATGTCTTGGCATATATGTCCAATCAAACCACCTTTTATAGCCATCAATCCAACGAGATATGGGTTTTGGTCATCAAGACGATAATACAGAGCCCTAGTGTTAGATTGAGATGTGGAAGCTTCAGAAATTACGTCGACTGCCTTTGCAAACGACGTCTGGACTACTTCTTCATACCCACATCGACTTGTCTTCTCCAGGTTGAGATGCAAGGCTTTCAAAGCCCACGGTGGTCTACAGAGCTAGACGTCACAATATCACAGAGACGCCAATTGATTATGCTGAGTGCAAAAAGACTCACTAGAGGTAATTCAGCTACAATGGACATCAACAACTCATTGAGCAGATCGAGCAAGGGTGTGCCTCCCTTTGGGGGTCTCTGGGGATTTCCCACAAATTTGCGTCTTTACGAGACGATTTAGAGTCTGAGCCTGGAGTTACATGCTGGTATCTTGACCGCGTTGGTAGATGCAGAATAAAGAATGAATCAGGAAGCAGCACGGCGGTGGCAAGTGCATTGAAGTCTCAATGAACATCTTATCTTGCACTTTGAGGCTAGCAAACAAAACCGAGGCAAATATCAAACAGCTTCTTCGAGACTTTCAGAAGACATGACTTCTTGACTTCAATATATACAAGTGGCAAGGGTGATCATGATGTAGTAATGATTGAGTTTGACTCAACATTTTTACTTTGAATTTTATATCTCTTCGTCCCAATATCCTACCTAGGTAGGTTTGTCCTCTTAATACTACTTTGGCTCAATTCCAACCGTTGTAGCTGGGTAAATACTAAGAACCTCTATAATAGAGTCATACATTCAATTAGATACTATGTTTAAGCCAAGCATCTCGTTGGCGCCATATGATCTGTTTATGCATAACTCCATCTCAGAGCGCTCCATGTAACCCTGATAGGCATATCTAAATACGATATATTGGTGAATTTTGATTGGCCCCTCAAGTAACGCTAAAATGAGTCATAATGAGTCGTGGAAGGCCAAAGTACGGACCACCAATCAGAAGAAGCTTACTGTGGGTCCGACTCTTGCTGCGGTCCATCCCTTTTGCCTTTGGATTCTTTTATATGGCCTGACCCCGACCTTAGATTTCTTCCTCAGGACACGACTCCCCAGTCGAACTACAACTAGGGTTAACACTCCCTTACCTTATCCTTTTGATAGAGCGTCACGGGTCTGCAAAGGCCCGTCTAAGAAATCCAGCGATGTCCGCCTGCAGTTGTTCGAGCGCCGCGGCGGCGATCCAGACCTCCTTCCACTGGTTCCAGCCCACTCAACACCGGCTTGCAGGAACGCCTTCAAGGGCCTGCTGATTATTCGCAATGGTCGAATATTCACTACGATAACCACTTCTCGTCCCTGGTACCGCAGTTGGAAGGCTTTCCTTCGGCTGTGCCAGTTTGTCAATCCTTCGATACCCTCACGCATGAGTCGGCACTCTGGGCAGAACCTGATCTGTCCTTTGTGGACACCGACTGGAATTTCCTATCTGTCGATCATTCTACGCCGTATCCTTCCGCTTTTGACGATGTCCCGGTTGTGGACATTGGGTACGGCACCGCCTCCGCTTTCAATTCTCTTTCGGATTCGGCATCGATCGAACACCAGCAATTTATATCCGCGTCTCTGGCTTCTAGTTCGGCCAATTCACAAGGTAAGACTACATTCTCTAATCAGTTTTATACAGTCCATCTCTAACATTCAGAAGATGGCCACTCGCAACCTTCCCCTGTTTCACAATTCCCTGCTCCCGTCTCGACTTCTTTGTCAAGCCCCTCCACCTCTCAGGGTGATGATGCTCTAGGTCGTGTCGATTCATCGCGTGTAGAAAAGCGCAAGCTCAACACACTCGCGGCGCGGAGATGTCGGCAGAGACGTGCTGATAGGATGAAGGATCTGGAGGCTGAATTGGAGAAGGTCCGAAAGGAAAGAGATGAATGGAGACTTCGATGTTCAAAGCTTGAAGGTGAAACGGATGCTTTGAAGGGTCTCCTCTCTCGCAAGAACAAGGATATATAGCTGGATGCTCGAAAGGAGCTGGTCTCATATAACGAAATCGATTGATTTGTGGATCGGAATGGACTCGATATCTTTCCTAGCCTTCGTATTCTGTCAAACAAATGGTCAGAACAACTCTCACACTTGACATCATTGAGCTCGTGCGAGAACCCACAAATAACATGGGGCAGCCCCACCCCCGCAAATCGCCTGGATTGAACTTCAATCCGCCAAGTCCCAAAAATGTGCATTTGGTAATAGCGGGGGGTTTTAATCATGGATCCTTTGTTCCAACAGTCCGAATGTCTTACCTCGTGGGGTGCTGTGGAGGGGGGTTCCCCTCGTTCCCAACAACGGGGTTTGCCAAATACATCAGTAGCACATGAACATATGAAAACTGTCTGTTGACAACTGTGTAACATTTCAACCTCCCTATTTAATTGCATCACCTCCCTTGATCTTACAGCATACTCTTTATTAGGCTCGCTTTACATAAGTCTACCAGTATAATCGATCAATCCCTGGTTCATTCACAATGAGAGCCGTTCGATTCCATGGCCGAGAAGATATCCGCGTTGACGAAATCGAGGAACCCCTTTGTGGTGACGGTCAGATCAAGGTATATATAAACTTCCTGCTGAGCACGCTCAAGAGATCACTCCGAAGCATGTCTAACAACAAGCCTTGATTCTAAAAGATTCGCCCTGCTTTTGTGGGAATATGTGGAACTGGTAAGTCACGCAGGAAGCTCGAAATCTGATCTTCTCTAATTCAATTCAGATCTTCATGAATATCTTACTGGTCCATCTACTGTCCCTACTGTTCCACATCCACTTACCGGGGACAAGCTGCCGACAACTTTGGGTCATGAATTTTGCGGTACCGTAGAAGAGATTGGCGCAGGTGTCACAGGACTTCAGGTCGGTGACCGGGTTGCCGTCAAGCCCAATCTATTTGATGGCACATGCTCAACGTGTATAAGGGGCAGGTTCAATTCCTGTGAGAATCTGGGATTCATCGGGTATAGCAGTGAGTCAAGCACTATATTTCCTATCAATTATAGCCTTTTTATTAACTGACAGTTGCAGGTCAGGTAGGAGGACTCTCTGACCATGTAGTCGTGGACAAAAAGAATGCCATCCCACTACCAGACTCCATCCCTCTTGACATAGGAGGTAAGATTAGACTTCGCTGTTTCAAAGTCTGGCCGGGTTGTTTCAGCTCTGATAAAAATTCTCTAACACAGCTTTGGTGGAACCTCTTGCCGTTGCATGGCATGCCGTCAGCCGCAGTCCTCTGCAGGCGAATGACACGGTACTTGTGGTCGGGACTGGACCAATAGGCCTGGCTATAATCCAGGTACTGAAGGCTAAAGGTATCACATCAATAATTGCTGTGGAGGTATCCGAGCGACGACGGGAGCTTGCCCTATCTATGGGCGCCACTGAAGCTCTTGATTCTGTAGGGATTAATGGAGTTGCGCACGTACATGCCTTGACAGGAAATTCAGGTGCAGATGTTGCATTCGAGTGCTCCGGGGTCCAAGCTGGGCTTGATACTGCCATGGGTGGTTTGCGGGTGCGTGGCACGACGGTCATCGTGTCGCTTTGGGAACAAAAGCCGGTCATTGATGCTTTTGCCATTGTGCTTCAGGAGAAGCATGTGACGGGGGCTGCAATTTACGATGATGGGGACTTTGAGTCTGTAATCAATGCAATTTCTTCTGGTATGTTTAGCTGCTGATGGGTTATTTGCTTTGACTTCCTCGTTCATTTTTGTAATTTTGCTGACCTCTTGTTTCTTTGGTGTAGGCGACATTAAGCCAAGTTCTATGATTACTAGTAAGATCCGAATGGAGGAAGTGGATGAAAAGGGATTCAGGGCTCTCATCGAGGAGAGGGATAAGCATGTGAAGATATTGGTCGACATTTCTGCATGAAGCACACGTTTGTTCACGCGATGTCGCCATCCGTTTATCTATACTTGTATTTCGTCTCTCTCCAGGCAGTACAGCAATATTCGAAATTGGCTTCAATTTTCTACACAGAGAAACTATCTCAAGCCCCACCGCCAAAACGATAGGCAATGACTAGGCCATAGTAGGCTAGACTGCAGATCAGCCCTGCTCGTCAGAATGGAAATTTAAATTATCTGACAAGACAGATACGTCCGGGTTGTTGAATCATACATCTTTTGAAGAGAGGGTGGTTCGTGGTTGGAGATTCCAAGATTACGGTTCCGTCTTCGGTTGGGTCGGGAGTTGAGGTATACCTAGGGCAGGGATACACATTCAATGTAAATAATGTCTTTTACCAATTACAGAGTCCATTTTGTTGGAGCAGGCGGCGTACAACCATACTATTGACACTCAACTATCTAGATCCAGTACTTCTCTGTATCTCTCACCCATACACGGGATTAGCAATAGCTTTTGGAATCCATCCAGTCGTCCCGGGACTTTTCTCTCCTGCCAACCCCTTGTAAAATCACCATAGAGTACAGTTTTAGATCGCAATTGATCTGATTCCGCAAGCCATGAAGCACTTGTACTGAGATCCCATAGAGCAACCTCGGATGTGAAGGGCAGTATACTCAGTGCCTTGACATTCGGACAGCACCCGATTTTTAGTGTCAAATACAAGCCCTCGATCATCATGACAAAAATTACTGTTCTTCGAGCGCTCTCTGCCAATATCCATTCTTGCCATGTGAGCGCAGGGGCCAGCTCTCCGGCTCGGACTTGTAATTGAAAGGTCCAAATTCGCAATGTATCCATGTGCTGTTCTGCTAATGAGCGCTGTCGAATATCACCATCGAAGAGCTGAATGATTTGAAACAGCGTCAGTGCATGCACTGCGGCGAGGAGCTGGGGCAGGGTACCCGTGTGGTGGTCCTGCTCCACGAGGCTGGTAGTCTTGCTTTCAAGTATACGGAAAATGAGATCCTCTGTTTCTGATGTCTTGATACTATAAGCCGCCAAAACTGTAAAAGCATCTTGAATAGCATTGGGCAAGTATGCATCGTAGAGGTGGGAATGAATGAAAGGTGTTTTTCGAGAGCTAACAAACGACTGCGGGTAGCTTTTGATGTTCTGTAAAAGCTGTTTGGTTGACCATTTATCTAAGATGGTGGTTTCTGGGAAAAATGCAGCTGGTGATGATGATGGTATGGTGGGCAGGGAGGGCATCCAAGTAAGCCATGGGGTAGCAACACTCGTATCGTCGGAAGGAGAGTCATTTAACGGCCAAAATGATAGATCCTCATTGGAAACAAGGGAGGCTTCTGGCCACTCTTCCGAAAAGTATGATGATTCCAACTGTCTCGAGATATTCTGGCGCTTCTGTGGGGACCATGCACTCAGGTATGTACATTCTAGCCCCTGAGCAAGACACCGTGAGCACTGCGGGGTTTGACGATCGCAACGCCGCTTCCCCTCAGCGCAAGTAATACATGACTTCTGCCGTGAGCGCGCATATGGTGATCTATAAGCCATGGTCTGAATTTCTACGAGAAAATAAGAAAAATGCCAACAGATGGGCAGCCCCGTAGGAAAACAAGGCTGTGATGACAGAGGTCCGCAGAACTCCGCAAACTCCGCAAACTCCGCAAGGCTGACAGCCCGAACTATAGTAATATGCAAATTCAAAAATCCGCAATTTAGAGTATGGCGAATATGTAGCTCTAGCTTAGACTCAGATCTATATAAAGGAGACAAATGAATGTTATGGAATTTCTATACTACCCTCGAAACATCAAACATAACATTTCTTCCTTTGCAATGGCCATCACTGAGCTTATTTTTCCAAGCGTCAAAACAGACTCAGCTTCACTCAAGGAGCTTGAAAGAGACTGGCCAAGCTTGAGCAAAGGATTGACTGATCCTAATCCCGGCCTGCTCTGCGCATTCCGTGGATGGATTCTGACAGAAGATGGGCTGGATGTAAGGGAGGCCTATAGAGAGTTCCTTCTTTTTGGTAAGTTCGCCTGGTGCGTCAACTTTGGGTATATCTGATCTGGCATAGAGTGGACCTCAGCCGACTCTTTCCATGCCTTCATCGGCTCGCAACAATTTGCTGCTTTTGCTAGCTCAATCAGGCATTTGGTGACTGGGCCACCCACCTTGCAACTGTTTGAAACAAAGGTCTCCCCAAGAGATGCAGCTTCGGCGCCTATGGTTGAAATCATTCGGGTGACGGTCTCCAATTCTGAGAATATCGAGAAAGGCCTTCAAATATGGGAGAACACATCCCGTCATCTAGCCCGCAATGGAGAGGGCACGACTTCTGTCACCTATGGCAAGAGCTCGAACCTTGAAAAGGATGTCATTATGGGTATAATAGGATGGCAAACCTCGAAGGTAAGATAAAGAATCCAATCTATCATCAATGCCATGCTGACCAGTAGAAGGAACACCATGACATGTCCCAAAAGAAGATTTGGTCAGAGACGTTGGAGTCTCTCAAGTCGCTGGGGAAATTGTCACAGATGACTGTTGGCATTGAGGCAATGGACCTGGGTAGTTCGTAAGACGTTGAGAAGCTGCTTTTCGAAGGGGGATTGATAATACATACATCTCTCCTTTGAACCTTTGTAGCGGTGGTGGAGGGTTGAACTAGGCATTTTAAAGATCTGAGAAGCGAAAGAAATGGATACTAATTCATGTTTTGTAATAGCCTGGATAGCCAATTAGATATTACCCTCTTGCTCTGTTGAATTAATCAAGGATTGGGAGCGATTTGGTGGCATAGTGGGCGGTTGAATCAATTAAGTGCTAATTCATGGACGCTTTCTGGGGTGCTGTAGGGACTCAACCACTCCTGCCAAAGCCCCAACCCAAACGCGACACAAACAATTGGATAACATGCCTCTACCCAACCTTGGGCAAGTAGTCCAAGAAATTCCTCGCAAAGTTCTGCTCCATCATCTCACTTGACAGCTTCAGGTCCGGACTCGCGTCCAAAAGCTGGTTGACCTACTTTCTCACTCTGAAATACGATATGCAACTGGGGTTCATGACTCCATATTTTTTGCCAGCAATCTTCTGGCGTCGGTTTCGAACCTCGTCGCTATCCCCGTCGTCCACAAAGTTGGTCTCATCACCACCATGGTTCTGGGACACGTACCAGATTCAATTGCGCTTCTTTTGCTACCTTTTGTAGCGACTGTATTCGTTACGGTCGATTGTCTTTTGATTCGATCAATTTTAATTGAATTTGATCAGGCCCCGCGTTCTTGGCACATGCGATATTGCCTAAGGAGCGCACGCTTGTCATGGATGGAGTCGATGTGGTAAGGACGCTCTCACGAAGCTTTAGCTCCTTTTATCACTGGGCTATTGGGAGGGCGAGATGGAAAGGGAGGATATAATCGAATAGGTCTGGCAATATCCATTGCGGGGGCTCTCAAGCTGGCTTATAATGTTCTTCTTCTGTGGGCTTTTAGGGTTCAAAATTATAAAGCAATATACTTATAATCTTGTCGTTTGATTAAGTTGTTTCTCGCGCTTTTCATGACCTTGGACACCCGGTCTGCTACTTGGCTTTCCAGACCCGGCTGGCGGGCGGTCCCCGGACCTTTGACTTTGCTGAAAAATAAGCGCGAGATAATCTGGTTCCCGCTATGATCGGCTCGGTCCGTTATGTCGACGAATGAGTGCGCAGTATACGGGAATTACAAGCCCTCGACTCCACCCATGGCCCCACCTCGGAGCCTCATTTCGCCATCGCAGCCTCGTCTACTTTTGCTAGCCAAAAACATACAGCACATCTCCTCGCCTTCAGCAATAGCGTGGGTCAAGGACGTATCCGCTTGCATTTCAATATTCTCGAACCCCTTGATGAGCATAAAATGCCGATTTGGTTGTAAATTACAGTGAGAATATGGTGAAATTGGTGCCGAAAATGACCGCTTTTCCAATGTTCCGCACTCTCGTGATTATAAAGTTATTTTGGTACGTGCTTTAGGGGCCCATTATTTCTTGACTAAGGAACTTCAAACACGACGGTACTACATACACCTAACATCTAGGAATTCTCACTTTCCTTCTGCGTAACGTGTGTTAAGTCATCCTGTATGGTAGTCATCCTCTTTAGGAAACTACCCTTTACGAGGCGGAAGCAAAAGCTGAAGCGCTAGGATTCGAAACGTGTCGACTGACGTTTGGAAATTATACATAGGTATCTCCGCACCACCCCTCTTTTTTTAGATTTCTACAGGTGTCACGATCTGGCCTCCGTTTGTGTTTTGTAAGCAATGTTTTCGCGCAATAGGAGATACAGCTAGCTAAATTGTAACATCACCGATAGAACTCACGCGGACCAGATTTTCTCTCGATCAAGCCACTTAAGTCCTCAATCCACCCCGAGTCGGCCACCATTCCGATAGCTTTCATGTTTGTGCCACGCAACCAGCTTCTCCAGGATGGGGGCCGATGAATGGCGCACTTCTATAATCGATGGCAGCCAGCTCAAATAGCAAAAGACAGCCCCCTATCATTCGCATCTAATTGTTCCATATTTTCTGTCAAGCTCAACACGCCCACGCAGTTTCAGAACAGAGGAAAAGAATAGGAGTATCGGCCTCGATGATCCCGCCGGGTCGAACCTCGACATCGGCGATAACGCTTCCAGTTCCGCGCCCCTTCGGAAGCGAATGACGACATCACGATCGACGGCACCATGTCTTCTATATCGGTCAAGACCTCTCTCCACGACCAATTAAATCCTGGAGCTTTCATGGGTTGCGCGATGACGGTATTCACCGGCTGATGAAAGGGTGTTATCATGCGCGGTACTTCAGTGGATGGAAAACTATCTATCTTGGTGATGTTTCATCCCATAGTCTTATGCTCGATGAATGATCCGGGCAGCGCAAAGAGTGATCTCATCAGCGATAAGCTGTGGATCAGTCATGCGATTATCGACGCTGAACGTCTGGCGACTGAAGATACCATGAATGGCTTTCTCACTGCAACATACTGGAAAGGTTGTCTATAAGACCGCACATATCGCTCTGGGTGGATCTGGTAGTATCATTGGGATCTCATGTCGTATTGAAAATCACCGTGAACGATCTCGGTATTATGTAGCTCCATATTTGGTATAATCCTCGATGGCAGTGTATTTTTCTGGTCTTGTCGAGGGTCCGCGGCTAAATACGGGATCCAGCCCTCATTGAACGACCATGCTCGGAGACTTATTTGGTACTATAAAACTAGAGGGATTTCTGGTAAGTAGTCCCCTAAGTGTGATCAAGCGCGGCAGGAACTGATCAAACGCGGCAGGAACTAACCCCTATAGGTTCACAGACCTAAGACAGTGATCAATGGCCCGTTCGCCGAGCAGTTAGGTGTACACCTCACCTCTGATGGTGATATTAAGACGACCGAGCCGTTTTACACCACATCCATCCCAGGAGTGTTTGCAGCGGGTGACTGCTCCGGACCTATGAAGTCGGTAGTAACTGCCATGTCATCGGGTACATTGGTGGCGGGAGGACTGGCTGGACAGTTACAAGCTGAGCCATACTCGGGAGAGCAGAATTGATATTTGCAGAAGACGATGTAGGATAGAAAGAGACTTGGAAGGACGTGGGGGCTGTTAAGACTGATTTTAGTGGTATATTTCTGTCGGCGACCTGAGATAGCCGATATGCAGGACGTTTCTCTCCTTATATTGTGATAAGTAGGCTCATAAGTTGTTGCGAAGACAGGAACAGCTCAAATCAAATAAAGGCTAAAGAGATCTAAGAGTAAGGAAAAAATAAAGGAAGCAGATAAGAAAGCAGGTATTGTGGCTCCGCCATAAACGCAAATTCTACTTTTTATTGTCTTGTCAAACTATGACTGGATATTATTTCAACAACCGCAACGACTAGCTTCTTTTTCTGACTTGTTTCACATGACTTTTGTTGTCACCTGGGCTAGATCGGTATATGCTTCTAGGGCAATTATCTGCCATTCCAGATCAGCTTCAAATTGAACACGGAGTGGCTCGATAGGTTTAATCAGGCCCTCCTCAACGACCTTCTTAGAAAGTTGAGGAGTCATACGATCTACCTTGTACGCAGACACGATATCTTTAAAGCTACTGGGCATCGTCGGTTCGGTCTCATCTTTCAAAAGCACCTTGATAGATGGCGTTCCATGTGGGACTGAAGCTGAGAGTAGGGGAAGATCACATGCTGTATAAAGGCCAGAACGCCATTTGCTTCCACCACATCCAAGTGCAGTGAGCTTTGGAAACATTCTTGTGAATTAAAACCGCATCATCGAGCAAATCGATTTTGGACTTGGGATCCGAACTGCTTATCTTGCCGCCCGTCAAACCAGGTACCATGGGATTTATTAGATGTGCTCTCGGATCTGCCGCTAGTGCCGCCCGGCGTGACCGATTCTTTGTGGTTAGGAACTGAGAACTTATTTGCATCCAGAAATTCACGACATCTCCATTTCCAATGCCATATCTGCAGTGTCCATTCCGTTACAAACATCGTTAGCCGTCTCTCACACGTCTGGCATATTCTATAAGGACTCGCCGGGGTTCCTCCAGGGGCGTACGGCGGAGTCGGTGCGGTCTCGATTAGTAAAGCATACTGACGCGAGAGTCCCCTAGAGCTATCATGATCGCTCGGTAGTATCGTCATGCCATCTCCTTAATGAGTGTCAGCAATTGCTTTGAAGAGCAGCTCCAGGTCCCCCGAATCCCGATCGATCAATTGATGCAGCTAAATCGGCAGGCAATGGTCAAGGTACGCGAGGTGAGCAAGACCGAGGTATTCCGACGCTGCCAGGGTTGCTCGCTCTTAGTGGCGACTGTTATAGATTTAGCGGCAGGGCTGTATGGACTCGTGATCCTCTCTATTTTAAAACCTACGAGCGAAGGCGACACCGTCTCCTCACTAGATCAGAACAAGTACCCTAGCAATAGAATCCCAGGATGGGTGAGATGCCGAGTGATGGAAAAAGTCCCAGACCGATTAGCACCGGCGGTTCAGAGCCTCCGCTTTTCCAGTTTGGATGCCTCGAGTTCGATCCGAATCAATAAGAGATGTTCCCCGCTGCAATGGTATGGCATGATCTGCGACGATGTGCTGAAACCATCCAATACTGTAGTCAAGAAATTCTAGAACGACCGAGACAGGACGAGAATCTGCACGGTGGGTTTCTTAGTCGTGGATACGTCGATCCAGAACACCATTGAAGCATGCACATACCTAGTGGTACTAGGAGATGAGATACAGGGCCAAGGAGCTTCTGGCCGCTCTTCCCGCCTAGTGCAGCCACAAGTGACGAACTAAAATCTCTCCATTTCCGCAGAAATAGTAATGTCTCTTGGTACTTCTGGATATAGATACCCACAACAAAGGACATGCACGCAAACATGATAACACACAAACCAAAAAGAGCGACGATTACCCTAGGTCGGCTGCTCGCCCGGCACAGTGGCCACATCTTAAGACGCTAGGAAAGTGCGACTGGATATGTCCCGGCTTTGGCATTTCCTGCATAATCTCATCCTTCCTCGCAGCGGAGGTGGGAAGAATTGTGTTTTTACACTTGCAACGATAGAACAGTTGGCCAACATTGTGTATACCTGGATCGAGCCCTCATCCCGGGTGTCTGACAACAAAAGCCAGCTCTGATACTAAATCTAACCGCCTTTTCCCAAGGGATTTTGCTTAAGCAACTCAGCTACGGCGCCGGCCAATGTCCCCGGGTATTTTCCGTCGACTTTATGCGGATGTAGCAGGCCACAACTCCCCACGATAGCACGTGGATCACCGAGTTTGAATTACATGCTTACTATTGTTTGGAATACTTACTGATGTGCTCAGCTCCCGGGGAAACTGTTTGTCTCCATCACCACAACGCCTGATATCCATTCTCGGGCTGCGACGAAGGCAGCCCGTCCAACCAAGACTACAGAATTATTCTGTCGAGCACGTATAGCCTTCTGGCATTGTGCCTGTTCTACTAGCTCCCTAGACTATAGCCCGCCAATAGATTCACAGTTTGGTCCGATATTCACAATCACTTCTCAGTCCTCGCGAAGCTTGATCTCTGGTATCCCTGGAGGCGATGTGCCGTCCACTCCAGGGCTTACTACGGGGTTTACATACCACAGTCTTGGATAAGGCGGGTATCCTTGGAACGTGATCAAAGCTTTTGCGATAATTCATAGACTTGAGTCACATTCATCATTCAATAATCATACAATAATTATAAACGCACCCAATACATTTTGAAAATAAACAAGGTCCCACGCGGAAATCAACAGTACTATGGTCAAGGGTCTAACTCAATCTATGTACTTATGACCTAGTACCCAGGTGATAATATATATTCGTATAATGTACCTACAAATCAACATCAATATGATCATACTAACACCGGGAGGGGAGCTCATTTAGCCCAATTCGGTCAACTAATAGTTGTATAGTATGACGTCATATATGCCAGCGTTCGATTCTGCGCACCGTCATCTGATTTTTCCTTTTTTTCCTTTCTTTTTGTTCTATTTTTTGTTCTAATATGAAACTCCAAACGTTTTGAACCTTTGCTTTTTCTTCACTTTTGGTTCCTGTTGTATGTTCCACGAAACGTTGTTGCAGCCGCTTACAATTACGCCTAATTTATATTTATATCTCATGGTTACTTTGCATTTTACGGTGCATCAATACGAAACGACGTGGGGAGATAAACCTTGGCTAGCTGACTGTGTTGGGAAAAAAGCACTAGAGACCTTGTTGGCAGTGGTAGGACTATACCTCGTTTAGGCTCAAATCTTTTTCACTTAACAGTGCCTCTTTCACCAATGGGATTCCCCACGGTCTGCACATTTATGTTTCCAGCATTACTCCGTGGGTACATCCTTAGTTCAGGATCTAGTTGAGATTATTGATCGGCAAGGAGGATCGAGACTTTGCGGCCAAGTCCACACCAGTGTCGCGAACTAATCTAGCTCAGTATCAGGTGCCGATCCCGATCCAAAAATTTTCTAACAATAATTAATACGGGATTTACGGGATTTACGGGATCTATCTACAAGGATAGTGCTGGTAGAGAAAACAAATTAATCGCCGTGCCACGCACCATCAGGCAGGAAAACCATAAATGTGTCAATTGATGGGGTTTCGCCCCGGTCTTTCGCTATTTCACACTAACGCAGCACGTCGCCAGCGTTCGCATCTGATTGATCCACTCTGTCGTCTTCTGGAAAGACACGCCTCAGCCGTGAGCTGAGACATGTCACCGCTCATGTCCGATACAATTCATTGGCCCATTCTGCTGCATAGATGGGGCCGAGAAGGAATTTTTAGATCCTACCGTCTAATGGAGCCCATACTCGCCCTTTGACTTTGGCCAGGCTTTGACAATTCCAGTTTCCTTTTCTTTCCTTTCCTTTAATAATTCCTTTTTGTCACGCAATATCCCATTGTTCATTTTTCATCCCTATAATTGGAGTCGGATACCCCCACAGTGATGCTTCTTTGACCATTTCTGCAACCTCCTACTCCGTACTGTGGAACCAATTGATCCCTCGGAGATTCTTGCCTGTACACTAAACTCGACATTATGGGAACACCGCTTACAGGAACGGTTATTATTACCGGTGGAAATGGGCTATTGGGATCAGAGATCGCCATCGAGATTGCAAAGAAGCAACCTTTCGTTCATCTATTATTGACGGCTCGAGATATAAGAACGGACGATGTTCGGCAACTCACCGGCAAGATCCGCTTGATAGGTCCCAGATCGATCGAGGTTCTTCCTCTTGATCTGACCGATCTGAAATCTGTGGCAAGCTTCGCCAAAACCACTGTCGAACGTGTTCGATTTAGAGACATCCCACCTGTGACCAGTCTGATTCACTCCGCTGTCGCAACATCTTACACGGTTGATGACCTCACATCAGACGGATACGACCCTGTGTACCAAACGAATTGTCTCTCTCCGTTCTTATTAACCATCGGACTGCTTGAAGCTTTTCAGGCTGGAGATGGAACACCGAGAAGTGGAGCGAAAGTGATCAATATCGGATGCTCTGCCACATCTAGCGGTCGACTAGATTACTTTGACCGCGACCATGGAAGAAACGGGCATCATCTGGGAGATTCGCTGAGCGCAAAGGAAGAGAATATTCGCTTCGGAAGCAGTAAGTTAATGGCGAGCGTCGCATTATATGCGTTGAGGCGGAGTTTGATCTGGGTGAGTTTCATATCGATCGGAGTCATCCGAATAATTTCCAATTGGTCCCACGTTTACTAATTATCTAAAAATAGACCGGGAATATTTCGCTGGACATCTTCACTTTGGATCCCGGAGGTATGGCTGGCCCAAGCAATCTGCGAACCGGGGCTCCCATGTCGGTCAGAGTCGCACATCAGACTCGGTCCGGTCTTCGGCCATTCTTGCGCATGGTATCCCGAAGCTCCATGAACAAGGCCAGTGTTCCAGCCAAGGCGATCGCCAGAGTTGCATTCCAGATCGATACAGTGGAGAACCTACAAAAGGAACGCTACTTTATTCTTGATAGCGACTACGAAGCCGCATCCGTCCTGCCGAGCTTGCGTGATGCAGAAAAGGTGAAGAAACTATTACTACAGATGATGGGACAGGTTGAGGTGGAAACGAAAGAAGTTGACTCCCCTGGTCCTCTTCGGCCTCGATTGAGCATGATTTCACCTCCTACGATCTCACTATGAAGGGGCAAGGGGGGAAAAGTAGATAATTGCATGAGCGGTTTGTACATAAGCGCATTAACGGTCACCGGGTGTCGATTGTCAAAACAAAGCATTTGAATATTTTCGGCGATAAAGATAGGAGTTATATTATATTGTATGTACTCTTTTTATGAACATGTGTTTAGATGTATAGATGTAGTTGTAGTTGTAGTTGTAGTTGTAGTTGTAGATTACTGCAAGCGGATGGCCGGATTTGGTTCGAGGCACAACAACTGGACCCCCAATCACACAATTCACTTATCAGCTTTTGTCTGACCTTGTTTAATCCTTCTCTCTTTTTTTTTTGTTCAATCTTTGGGAATTGTCATATATCCCATTCTTTCGGGGCTTCTATACTGATCTTTATCTAAAAAGGGGTCATTGGGGTCCCCTAGTCCCCATCAGTTCTTGGCCCCGACATAGTAAGCGCTGTGACGGCCTGTGGCAGCGGCCGCGACCATGAACCGACACGTCCTTGAAAAAGGCCATTCTGCCTACCCCATCGGCTCCGCATTCTCAATTTCGCCTAGCAGGTAAGCGAGATAATATTCAATGCCAAATGGCTCGCTTCTTGTGACCCGAAGAGCTCGGAGCGCCAGATTGAACGTTGAATTCGGGACTGACTAGCATCCCCACCCAGATTCCAGCCTCGCTCGCAACCTGCCCTTCGGTACCGCCGAAAACTCATCCAGCGCCTCTGCCTTTTTGGCCTCGTGTCGCTGGTGTTGTTTCTCCTCATATTCCCATCCTGGCGCGCGGCCATTCTCCCCACCATCTCCCTCGGCATTCTCTCCTCCCCTAACGATCTACACCTTCAAACGGTCCGCTATTATGATCTCTCCGAAGTACAAGGGTCAGAGAAAGGATGGGAGCGCGGGGAACGCGTGCTGATGTGCACCCCGCTTAGGGATGCTTCGTCGCACCTCCCAATGTTTTTCTCTCACCTCCGAAACCTCACATACCCTCACGACCTAATTGACCTGGCCTTTTTGGTGTCGGATTCCCGCGATGATACCCTGGGGATGCTGTCGCGCATGCTGGAAGATATACAAAATGATTCCGATCCAACGATGCCATTTGGAGAGATCTCAGTGATCCAGAAAGATTTCGGGCAGAAAGTCCAACAGGATGTAGAAAGTCGGCACGGGTTCGAGGCACAGGCCAATCGGCGAAAGCTCATGGCACAGGCGAGGAATTGGCTGCTGAGTGCGACGCTTCGTCCGACGCATAGCTGGGTCTATTGGAGAGACGCGGACGTGGAAACTGCGCCTTTTACAATCATTGAGGACCTAATGCGGCACAATAAGGATGTGACCGTTCCGAGTGAGTGCTTTTTATCCTTTTAGGCGAGAAGATCTATACTAATTGAGTTTGTAGATGTGTGGCGGCCGCTTCCAGATTGGCTCGGTGGAGAACAGCCTTATGACCTGAATTCATGGCAAGAGTCCGAGACTGCCCTGGCTCTTGCAGACACTCTTGATGAGGACGCCGTGATCGTGGAAGGATACGCAGAGTACGCTACGTGGAGACCCCACCTTGCTTACCTCCGTGATCCATACGGCGATCCTGACATGGAGATGGAGCTTGACGGAATCGGCGGTGTCAGTATTTTGGCCAAGGCCCGCGTGTTCCGCGCCGGTGTGCACTTCCCAGCATTCAGCTTCGAGAAGCATGCCGAGACGGAAGGGTTTGGCAAGGTATGGTCGCAATGGAGGAGACCATTGTTAGGTACAATTGCTAATACCTTCTAGATGGCCAAACGGATGAAGTTTTCAGTAATCGGCCTACCACACTATACGATTTGGCATCTTTATGAGCCTAGCGTTGACGACCTCCGCCACATGGCCGAAATGGAACAGGAGCGACAAGCTCGCGAGCAGGAAGAAAAGGAGCGAGCCGATCAAAAAGACAGCACCCAGCCCCGAACCCAGGGCGCAGATCAGATTGTAGATGGTGAAATAGTCCAGGACGCTAGCGAAAGCTCCGCCGCTCAACCTGCAAATGTCAAAGACTCCACAGAGAGTACCTCGAACGACCAAGCCGACAAGGTTGCAATAGTCGAGAAAGCAGAGAAAAGTGAGAAAGCGAAAGCATGATCGTGGATGATTAGCATTAGCGCTTTCTTCCCTCTTGTTTTATTTATTTCCATTCTTGCATATGTTTCTCATGGGTATTTTCTTTTTCTCGGACTCTAGCAAAGCATACGGATTGGCGTGTCACTGAGAGCAATAGTTTGGTCATTCAAAGTAACATTGAAGATTTTGATTCCATCCACCTCTACAATTTCCAATTAGCCTAATGATGTAACGTACATATGTATGGCTGTGTGGCCCTGGAGACTACGGTTGTATACACATCGCAGCCGCATTAGACGGTGGTCCGTGTGTTATCCACTTTCGCGTCGCGTCCTCTTTTTGCTCCGATCTTCAATTTGCCCTCTAACAATATTACAACTCGCCCCAATGTCTACGCAAAATTCGCGAAGCATTCTTTTTACACACACCAATCCTCAGCAGGGCTTCAGGTTACTGGAACTTACCCCGGAGCTGGAGCAACTACTGACGTCGAAAGATGCACCTGTGTAAGTTAGAACACTTAGCAGAACCTCAAACACACTAGAACTACCCACGGCACTACCATGACCTCCATAATTTTCAAATCATCAATTGGAAGCCTCGCCTAACCCATCACACCCAGACTCGAACTCAAATCACCCTCTGCAGCCCTCGCGCAGGCCGTAGTCGACCCAGCCGCCCAAGAATACGTCAATATTTGCAGCGCAACGCAAACCTACCGCATTCGCCAAGTCCAATCCTCCAACTCCCTCCACATTCTCCGCCCAAGCCATGGAGAAATCTCCAAAGCAGACATCAAAGTCGTTGAAGAGGATGGGGACGCTGGCGCCCTGAACCTCCCCGACGAGGCCGTAACAACCATTGCAAAGTGCTCCTCAACACTAGAGCTACATGTCCCACCGGGAGGGTTCTCAGCTGTCCCATTTTTGGAAAAGAGTCTACGACTATATGATCGACGCGATGACGACGATATAGAAATGGAGGACTCTGCTCGTTCGGGGCCATTGGCAGCGCCGGAGATGCGCGCAGTGAGAGAGCAGATCTGTTTAGATATTCCTGTGTCAACGGCGCAGTTCGAGCAGGGCTGGATGGAGCTTTGTGCATTTGTGGACGGCGGCGAGGAAGTGGCGGCTTGGCGGCCGTCGGCGCGGGCACGTTTGCGTGTTTGGAAGCGGTTGACTGAGGGCGCTGTTCTACAGAACATTGATCTTGAGAAACAGTTTCTTGTTGGCGATCTGTGGAACTCCGTTCTTGATGAGGACGACGAACAAGAGCCGCCGTTTCCTCGCGCGTTACTGGAGGCTGTTGTGAGACGTATCTGCGTCGCTGATGAGCGGCCTCCATTGGCGGATGAGATTAAATGTGAGTTGGGAATAGGCGTGGAAATGTTCGTTGCTGACCGTTCTTCTTTTCTAGGGGCAAGTTTCAACAAGGTTGAGTGTGCACAATGGGTGGGTGAGACGTACTTAGCTGCTACTGCTCCTACTGTATCTTCTTCTATTGGAAGGAGTGAATTCCTCCATGCGTGGAAGGACTGTCTGCCTGAATCTTGGAGGGATGAAGCAGCGCTGTCAAAGCTGACGGTAACTTGACCGTACTTGCTTGAATTGTGGCAATAGCTAACACTAATTGTTCTAGACTGGCTGTTACCAGAGTCCTGATCCTACCACTATATGCTTTGTCGAGGTATCACAGCGACAAGATACCCCCAAAGCCGCCGCCGCGGGGTCAAACAACACCGCAAAGACTAAGAACGCCAGGAACTGGCATGAGTTGCTCAAAGGCCGCCGATGAGCGAATATATAAGCGCACTTGCTGCGTAAATTCCATAGCATCTAATCTATGATGCCGGGCAGATCTAGGAACATCATGATCGTATCTGCCGCCCAAAATTGCCTTGATCCCTGTTCTTCTAGCAGGTGTGGGATCAACATCTCAAAACAAAGAAAACCCCCCGAAACAAGTCCAAATGAGTGAAAATTAACACCAGGTGTACTTCTCGTTCAACCACCACTCAACATCCTTGCCCAATCCTTGCTGCTCGCCTGTCCACCGCAAACTGCAGATGCTCTCTTTCTCGCGGTGCACGAGCTCAGCCTTCGGATCCACCAAGGCCACAGCCTTTTGCAGCAAAGGAGTGGGATTCCAAAATTCAACCTTGCTCATGTTCCATTCGTGTGCTTCTTGCTGGGCTCGTCGCAGGATAGCAGCCATGGCCTGGATTGTGATCTGCTCCTCGGCTGGTGAGGTAGGCTCATCATATACCCACCGGAGAATGTAAAGGACATTGTCTTCGGGGAGCTCGCCAAAGTTCCGATTCCAGGCGCAGTATACGCCAGCCTTGTCATCGCCGGCACCCTTTACTACCGGTGGAGAACGTTCCGAAATCATATTCTCGGCATAGAACTCCTCTCGGGCCCAGTGCCACAGATAGTGATCAAAGTTAGGCAAAATAGCTATTTTAGCACTACTCGACTTCTGCGATGCCACAAGCATCTGGTCGTGCAATTGAGCCAGGACTTTCTCGCTGCACAAGGTCTTTTGGACATCCTCAGCAAATAGGTCTCTAGTGACGGCTTTATCCAGCCCACTCGCACTCGCCGGTAAAGACATATGCGAAGACGAGAACGGCCGCCACCCAAACTGCGCATAGAACTTCTTCCCGATATCCGAGAACAGCACCGTAAACAGCGAAGTGCGCCGTTGCTCCTTCTCCATCCCCCACGTCTCTAGTTTAGTGCTCAGCTCCTCGAGCATCCGTTTTGCGTAGCCCTTCCCCCGGAATTCAGGCCGGCAGTAGACACTCCCCACGCCGTGCGTGGCGACCTTCTCAATCTGCCCATCATGGGCCAGCAGCGCGGTCTTACGATAGGACTCGCACGAGCTGAGGATAGTGCGGTTATCCTCGGGCTCGTTGCGGTCCACTAGGATCCAACATGTCAGGCCGTCGCGGGTCAGTCGTTGCCGCAGAAGGTGGTCCTCGCGTGCTATGTATGTTTCCACGTCTAGTGGGCCCTTCCAGGCAACGCTGTTCAGTTTGATTGAGGCAATGCGCTCTGAGGCTGTGGCTGGGACCAAGATCAGGTCTGGGGATTCCCCCGCGGGCAAATTTGGGGGCTCTGCGGCAATCATGGTGATAAAATGGCTGGGTCAATCTGGAAGTGTGGAGGGGGTTTTTTCTTTCTTCTTTTTGACAAGATTGGTGAAGTAGCGGATCTCGGCTAAGTATGTTTCGTTGAAGGTTTATAGCTTATCGAAGTCCCGAAACTGTAACGTTGTGCAGTTGAGATTGCAAGATGAGATTCAGTGCTCAGTTGAGATTGAAGCGAAATATAAAAGAATATAAGCCGATGATAAGCAAGAAGTCCCGAGAGAAAAGTAATCCGGGGTTCAAAGTCAAGAAATGTGGATAGCGGCTCCGAAGACAAAAGAAGCAAACCATGTGGAGATGTCGCCGACGGGGCCCCGATGCCATAATATACCTGTCATTTCGAACTTAAAGAAATACTCATATACTGACATATTTACTTGCATTCATGCAACTACTATGTGAGACGGTCACACGAACATATGTCCACATTACTATTGATAGCCACTGAACCCCGATTATGCCCCATTTCCCCCTCATCTCGTGTATTCCGCGTCACGATCCGGGCCGGAATCGCCTGCTCTATACGTAAGATAGCGGCGCGCCGTGTTTCTCTTTGTCACCGGCCCGACGGGAAGCGATTGCAAGCGATGAGGAGGTTGCATTGCGTTAGTCCTTATAGGCTGGACTTACCCTTGACGTAAGAGTCGGTTTATTTGGGTTTCACGGAGGGTTTGGAGGGGTCATGTGAGCCTTGGCGATTATGTCATTTATTTATTGATGGTCTCTATGACAAGCTTTGTTGGAATTTGGTTCATTGTTGCTCATTTGATAGGTTATGGTGATTATGGTGATTACAGTACATGCAATAAGAACCTTGGAAGCGTGGTGTCTGTGGCTTGAACTGCTCACACGACCTTTCAACTTATTAAGATCTTGGACTGGGTAGAATTGGACATGGATGATTTCATTCGTCAAGGGGCCTCTGTCTACAACATTACCAGGTAACCAGGCATTCCATATTCTAACCTCGGATGATTCGGATTGGAGATATCCTATTCAGTAGTGTAGATCGCTTCCTTGAACATATTGTACTAGTGCTCTAACCAGATCCCATACCTTCACCTGTCCAAGTCACCTGCATTGATAGGCTGGAAACTAATCATATTATTTCAAAATAAGTGTTAATATAAATAGCTAACCAACACGTTTTCTATCACATACGGGCTACAATTTTCGGCGACCCCACTAGTTCTTTGTGATAGGTATATGTTTCAGCTTCCCCCGCGATTTAGTTCATCCATGGCTCAGATATGAGACATAGATCTGTCTTGAAAGATCTGTATTTGCATACATAAGTACGACTTCTGGTGGAAATTCACTGGAGTTTACCAGACTCTCTGTCAGGCTTCCGGTTTAGTTTCTGTTTGTGGCCAACGAAGTTATTACCATGTCACAGTCACAGTCAGGGTCAACCATCAACAATAACTTTGGAATGTGTAGTTAGACCGCAATCACCTTGGAATCAAAGCCAGATCTTGCTTGTGATTCAAATCTCAGGGTCGATTCAAACAACGGAAATTGGATTAAATATTGTCACCTACGGTTGGAATATACCACATTTCCCATTTAAAGGTATTCATTGACCTGAATGGGACATTGGCAGGCACACTTACACATAGTCACCGCCAAAGGCCTAGCAACATAATTTTGATCAGCCAAGTCCAAAGATATTAAGTAAGGGGCACGGGAACGTGGGCAGGGCAGATGAGATGCAGTAATGGAATGAAACAAGATTCGGTCAAAGCAGAGAGAATCTGGAAACATGGCATGCAAAATTACAGCATCAAAGAACAGTCTCGAAACAATTATTTTCACTGGGTTCATGAGCACAAGAGCATGAACGAAACGCAAGCAAAAAGGTAACGAAACGAAATTGGGAACTAGTTGCTAGATTGTTGATTTTGGCTAGAAAAGAGAATCATGTAGTTGGAGATTTCAACAAAGGAGACGAATGAAATACAATTGAAAAATGGGAGATGGTATGAAAAAAAAAGGCCGGACCGCAGCAAAATATCAGCGAGAAGAGAACCCAAGGGATCAAGCGAGATGCAAATGAATAAACGAGAAGATATAAAAAAGAACCGGCGGAAACTTTGAGAGTAAAAGAAGAATGGAGAAGGAGCGTCATGAAAGTGATAATGGGAAGAAGAGCAGGGGGCGAGAATAATAATCACTTGGGAATAGAGCACAAAAAAAAGGAAAGATATGAAACCTGATCTATGTAAGTAAATGCCATGCAAGTCCCAAAAAACGTCCGCTCCCCGGTTTATGTATTTGCGCCACTTCTTGCGGACGGCAATTCCAGAATTTCCTTCGTCCATCATGTATGTTCGATCATTGGTCACGCTAAATCAAGAATGAGACAGATATTTGGGGGTGGACAAGGGGAAAAAAGGAGGAAGGAGAGAGGAAAAAGACAAGGAGAAAACGTGAAGCTAAATCTCCCCCCAAGGTCTAAAACAGTATCGGAGAATCTCAAATTCATGATGGCTGCTCTGAGTCCACCGGTTCGTTAAATTTCTGCCGCGCCTCTTCTACCCACAGCTCCAACCGAAGTTCGCCGGCTTCGACACGTCGTACGGGTACTGTTTTGGCACGGCCATTTGAGACCCTGGGGGGCGGCTGCTGGGGCTCGCCGTTACGTATTTTAGAGACGGAATATGGTGCGGTGCATGATCGTAGATGCACCTTGCCCGGTTCCGCCACAATCCAAGTTTGTTCTTCCTTGGTGGTTCCCGCCGGTGGTAACGCATCTTCCCGCACTTCGATGCAGACCGTGAAACTAAACTCGTCATCGCGGGGCAGCGGGGTCAAGCGGGCACACGCGGAGGCAAGTCTCGCTAGACACGCCCGAAATTGTGCCTCGAGGTCGACGGATGTGGGTGCGGGGCCCCGGTCTGAGACAGGGGCACCTGGATTGGATGAATCTTCATTTCTGTCTTCAAATGTAGTGTTCACCTCTCCCGCAGGGGCACGAGGGAAGCCCGATAGATCGAATGCATATCGTTCGAGGGGCTGATTCGTGCGAAGAGACGAAATGATGATACTGACTGCAGTAATTGTGCCTTTTAAAATCTCCGTCCCGACTGCGATTGATGCATCATTGATGTAGTCACACACTTTCGGGTGACGGGATTGTCGGACGGGATAGTTGTATGCACGGACGGGGAGGAAGGTCGCGCGCGGGTAGACTGAGCGCAGGAAAAGTATTTGGTGAACGGAGACGGTGAGGAAGTTGGTGAAAGAAGCCGCTAGCGCTGACTGATTGGTGGGCAGCGATTTGGTAGCAGGGACCGGGGCGGAAAAGGTGGTCATGGTGGTGGTACTACTGCTCTCACTGGCAATCGGCATTGCCGTCGAAGGATTCGGAGTCGCTTCCACGATGAGGTTGGTCTTGACGAAGTCTCGAAGAATCTGAATGGTGTTCCACCCTGAAGCTAATCATCGCTCTGCTTTTCTAATCCATCGGTCAACGTCACGTCCGATTTAAATTTCCAGTGTGTTTAATGGTTTGATGTTTTGAGGTCGATCAAGATTTTTAGGGTTCCCCGTTACTCCAGCGAACACGGGCGAGTCAAGAAGATCCGCGAGATTATATGGCTGAGGAGATCAGGGTGAGTAGAGCGACAAAAGGAAGCTCTTGGAGACGCGATATAAGAATGGAATTTGTGTGGGGGGAAAGGAAGGAAGTGGGTTGGTGGAGGAGGGGGCTGTTTGTGTTGGAAAGGAAATCCGTAACATACACTTGGGTGGACAAAACGACAAGTAGAAGCAAGCCTCAAAGCATGAGGGAGATTGGTTGTAGAAATTTCCGAGCGACAATCTCAAGTGCAAGAGAGTGATCACTTTTTCTTATACTTTAGATCCCTTTGAGAGAGGGGAGTTCGAGGAGGGGTGTTTAAAGCGAATGGGAAGGAGGGGAAGTTCTGAGAGACGGAAACCCTCGAGAGGAATGGTTTTGATAAGAAAAAAAAGGGACTTGGGGCACAAGTAGGGAGGTCAGGAGAAATAAAAGAGATTATAGAGATGAATCGACGATGGGACGTACCTCACTCACTCATCGAGGGGAAAAGCAGAAGAAAGGCGGATTAAGGTAGGTTGATAAAAGGTCACGGTTCCCCGTCACGTGGTTGCGTCATGGGTTAGGTGCAGAACCTCAATTTATTTCCTTTTCTTTCTTTTTTTAAAAGTTTTATTTGTATATTGGAGATAGTTGTATCTCGTCTTTCTCTTCTCTATCTGAATTATCATATTATGTAGGAGTTTTTTGTATAGAATGAATACTTGTGTGTGGAATTATATGTGTGACTAAGTAATTTGACAAGGAAAGGGAAAAAAGCAATGAAGAAAAGTAAAAATACAGTACCTAGGTCTGTATTCATACAACTTTTGTAAAGAACTTTTGGAAACAAAAAGGCACACAGTTTTTTTGCCTCTTTTTTCTTCCCCACTGCGAAGTGGAATGAAGAGGGGCGATCATCGCAGCCAAGCGAAAAAAGGGTATCACATTGGGCCGAAGTAATATAGGAAATAACTAAAGGAAACATGGGATGGGATTATGAAAGAAAAGAGTACCATGGGAATACCAAACTATAGCCAAGAGGAATTCGGCCTTAATTCATTGTATGTACGGGTACCTTATGTACCTTAAATCGATGCTCTTTGGTTCGAACATATCATAATGAAAATACTATTAGATGCATTATACGGAGTATGTACAACTTAAACAATAATGAACATTTGGAATTATAACAATAGAGCAAGCATATAATTATACGTATTTTACCCGGTATAACATACTACATCATACGGTACCTATCCACTCTCTCCAGTACACTGTTACCGATGATCTTCCTACACTGACGGCAGTGGCGGTCATCGAACAAGGGTACGATTTCCCGGGGAGAATGTCATTGTGCTCCGTACGGTCGATGTGGGAGTCATGCAGGTCCTGCGGCGTATGAGGTCTTTATGTAGTACTGGATTATCAATACCTTCCATTCGTTTCTACTCGGGCATTCTTTATAAAAATTCTAGCAAGTCTAGTTGCTTTAATTGATTTAGTTTGTTTAGTTCCTTCAATCAAGAGGGGTAGCACACAAAGTACAAGGTACTGACAGGACTATACTCTAAACAGTTATACAATATCTTTGAACTCCTTATTTATCCGGCATTCTCGATTCTCGTCTGGTAATATTATTTCCCGAAATACCTGTGGGACGGTGTAACCGCCACGCAATATAAGCTATACTTAGACTTACGTCGATGAATTAAATTTGTCTCTACAGTATGCATCGTAAAAAAAAGTCTATTATTGTGCCCCAAAAAAGTCACGATGCCACCAAGTCCATTCGGTGGAACTTCCATCGCCTCCGAAAGATCACGACCCAATAGGATCTACCGAAAAGATCAGGATTTGGATCTCAAATGAAGCTCGAGCCAGTTTATTTCGGACAGCCCCATGTAGCCTTCTTGCGTTTGGTGGAAATCTCGAAAGGGCAAACGGTAAAACCCTAACTAAATTCTACGGATCTCCAACGGGCTACTATCACTCGATGTTGGATCGGATTCCGCGGGGTTCTGATTCCTAGAATTTTTGGAAATTAGACTATCTCGGTGATCTCAAGACCGTGTACAATATACGACGTCCATTGGAGATGCCATGGATTTAGGCTTGTAGTCTGAATAAGGGATCAAGCTGCAAATACCAGATCTTATGTCAATCTCTGTTCGACGTGCTCTAAAATTTCCCTAAGATGACAAGAGCGAAACAATCCCAAAACGTGGCGTGGAATTTAGCCTTTATAGATAAATTTTCTGTTTTTTCCCACACCATCCATCCTTTTTTAAAAAATTTTCCTGCTTTATCCCTAACAGACCCTGTAGCTTGGCTGCGCAGATCGGAGTGATCGTCCGCTTCCAGGACGAATCAGTCGTGTCTGAATTTATAGGCTAACTTTGGAAACGAGGTGTGTACTTCCGATTCGAGTGGTTATGGATAATGTGGGATGGGGTTCATGGATGAGTTTGAGAAATTATTTGGCGAAAGCTACATGCATCAATAATAACCAAACCTTTGAGTAGAGATGAAAGTATATGTACATATGTACAGATGTAGTCTTCAGCAACGCTATATTTCTTCGCATGGTCAGGGTTTTCTTGCTGCTATGACAGAGCACTCCGTACCTAACTACATTGTGTGTAGGTAATTGGGTATGCATGTATTGGTACCCGTGAGTCGCGGGCAAAAGCTTACATACATAAAGTATACCATTTTTTCAATATCATCGAGTTAATCAATTACAAAAATCAAAACGCATCAGCAAACAAGATACAAATGTTCTTCAATTGTAGTAGAAAATAGACTCGAAAGTAATCAGTCACCGCCTCTGAACTGCCCCTCCTCCGCGTCTCCTTATCTACTTCGGCGCGCAAACAAATTAGATTATTACTCGCGAATGGGACGAGCCTCCAGCCCATCTTTCGTCTCTCCTTGTTTTACTCAACTAGGTCAAAACTTCCAATCCTAACGGATCACGTCGTTATTCACCATCGCCATGGAGCAAGCACTCCTGTCGCTCCTGGCAGACACCCAGTCAGCCAAGGCCGATACCAGAAAAGGCGCAGAATTGCAGCTGAACAACTTATACGCTCATGAATCCTTCCCAATCTCCCTCACATCAATTGCCTCGCACGAGTCAGTCCCAGTCAACCTGCGCCAATCCGCCCTTTCCGTGCTGCGTACCTTCATTGCCGCCTCCTGGTCCCCCGTCCTCGACGAATTTAAGGGCCAGATCCTCATCAACGACGCGAACAAAGCAAACGTTCGCCAGGCGCTACTGTTGCTTGCGACAAGTGATACCCCTGAGCGTAAGGTAAAGAATTCTGCCAGCTATGCTGTCAGCAAGATCGCCAGTGCCGACTTCCCAGACGATTGGCCCGAGCTGCTCCCTTCGCTGCTGCACATTATCAACGACTCCTCTAGTACCGACGGTCAATTGCACGGCGGACTTAAGGTTTTGCTGGATCTTGTCGACACGGGCTTCAGCGAGGAGCAATTTTTCAATGTCGCCCGCGATCTCGTCTCGTCCCTTTTCGCCGTCGCTACCGCTGAGTCTAGGCGGCCAATCCTGCGCGCTCTGGCTGTCGCAGTTTTCCGCTCTTGCTTCGATACCCTGGAAATGGTCCTGGAACAACACAAGACGGCTATCAAACAGTTTATGGATGAGGTGCTTAGCGGATGGTCGCCCTTCTTTGATGCCACCCTGAAGGCACCACTACCGCAACCACCCACCGAGGAGGAGGCGCACAAACAAGGAGATATTGCCTCTCAATGGCGAGGAATTGTGGGATTAAAAGTCCAAGTCGTCAAGGTAACTTCGAACTGGTGATTTGCTGTTTAAGCTTTCATTGACATGATCATTTTCCAGACTCTTATGAAAATCCGCAACGTGTTCCCTGCTTTGTTGACAGCACAGAGCTCGCTTTTCTTCTCAACTGTCTGGGCCGAACTTAACAACGCGCTGCCCATTTACCAAAACTTTTATATTCAGGATGAGAGACAAGGTCGTTTGGAGGATGGAGATGGGCTTCCCCACTCCCTCGATTACCTGGTTTTGGAAGAGCTTGACTTAATTCAAGCCTTGTTGAAGGCTCCTCCGGTAAAGGCAGAGCTACAGCAGCAACTGCAAAATGCAGGTGCTGCTGCCAGCACGTCCGGCTGGCTTCCGGAAATTATGAAGCTAGCTAGTTCATACGCCCAGATTACAACCGAAGAGGAGGGTCTATGGGAAATTGACGTGAATCTTTTCCTTTCGGAAGAAACTTCTGTCACAGCCAATTACACCCCTCGTACTTGCAGCGGCGATCTGGTCATCAAGACCGGCGAATGGTTGAAGGGCACAGCAGCCGAGGGTCTCCTGAGTTACATGGACACCCTCTTCTCAGATACATCCGTCTCGTGAGTTCTTTCTTGTCTTCTAGGGAAAACTCTACTAATGAAATATACAGATGGAAACCTCGGGAAGCTGCTCTTTACATTTTGAACAATATGCTTCGCGACTTTGGGGAAGTTGACCAAGAGATCTCCCCAGAGCTGGCATCCCGGTTCACCCAGTTCGTGCAGTATGCTACCCAGCAAGAACAAGAACTCTTGCGTGCTCGAGGCTACCTTGTTGCCGGTGCTTTGTCCAAGGTTGCTGGTGAAACATTTCAGCACACTACATCATCTTATCTCGAGGCTACTCTAAAGGCAATTGCCGAGGATCCCGCGGAAGTAGTCCAAGTGGCCTGCATTCGGGTGCTGCAAGACTTGATGCCCTCTCTGCCGACTGGCCTTGCTCGCCCCTTCCAACCCGCAGTGATCGCAGCCATCTCAGAATTCATCTCCACACACGACCTCCGTGAACAGACTGAATCCGACGACCTCAAGGTCACATTGGCCGAAACCCTCCGGGATACCATTATGGCCGACTCGAGTGTGGTCCTCTCATCTACTGCTATTGATGTGCTATTTAGCATCGCTAGCAGCGGCGCTGAAAACTTCCAGTTAACGTTGACTGTCACCGAGGCATTTGAAGACATTGTGGATCAGATCACTGACCTCGGCCCCGATTCTTACATGCGCCTCTGCGAAAAGGTGCTGCCATCTTTGATGGGTGCAATCGATGTTGGAAACCTGACAGACGAAAATGATCTGACGAATTTCGCGGCTGATCTCCTACGCGCTTTGGCCGAACGTAGCCCCGAGCCGATGCCCGCTGGATTCGTGGAAACCGTGATGCCTAAGTTGAACCGACTGCTGATGGAATCTGATGAGGCTGAGTTGATTCGTCCCGCCACAGAGGCCGTGCGACACATGCTTTCTCACGACTTCGCCCAGTTCATTGTCTGGCGGGATCCCCAGTCCGGCAAGGAGGCCCTCGAAGTTGTGTTGATTATAATCGCCCGGCTGCTAGGCCCGGCTGTTGACGACAATGCAGCCACTGAGGTCGGGCAGCTGGCAGCCGAGTTAGTCGAGAAGGCCGGCTCGGAGCGCCTTGGTCCTTACCTACCCCAACTCCTCCAAGCCGTGGCCCAGCGGCTGGCGACAGCCCAACAAGCCCAATTCATCCAGAGTCTCATTCTTGTTTTCGCCCGACTCACACTTGTCAGTGCACGCGAGGTCGTCGACTTCTTGGCCCAAGTCAACCTCGGCGGCCAGAGCGGACTCGACGTCGTCTTGAGCAAGTGGCTCGAAAACTCAGTTAACTTTGCCGGCTACGACGAGATCAAGCAAAACATCTTCGCCCTCGCACGTCTGTACGAGCTTGCCGATCCCCGCGTTGCGGAAGTTCCCGTCAAAGGGGACCTCATCATTCAAGATACCGGCCGAATCAAGACCCGGTCACAAGCCCGCAAGAACCCAGACCAATTCACGACTGTGCCAGCGCCATTGAAGATCGTCAAGGTCCTTGTCGAAGAGCTCGGTGCCTCATCAGGGAACAAGGAGATTGACGCGGCGACTGCGGCTCTGGACGACGCCGATAGTGACGATGGTGATGACGACTGGGAAGACGTACCGGGACAAATTCTGGACCTCGGCCTCGGAGCTACGAAACAGGAGCTAATGGGTTGGGGCGAGGGCGGCTCCGAGAGCGTCTTTGGTGTCCGTCGCCGCGACGATGAAACACAGGGTTTCCTGGCGGACTTTTTCCGACAGGCCTCGACCCAGGTCGGATTCCAGGAATTGTACGCAGCCCTGACTCCTGATGAGCAGGCTAAGCTGCAAAGTCTTTAATTGTAGACTGCTAAAAGGTTCCCGTCCCATTTGCCCCTCCGCTGGCCTTCAGGGCTAGGCTCGGGTTTATTAATTTATGCATGGATGCCACTAAAAAATACTACTCTACCTAGTGTTTTATGGGAAACTCCGAACCCGAATGGTGTCATCTCAACTTGTAAACTAGTGTAAGTTCTTATCTCTTCGTTAAGAAACCTTGGAATAAACCGGGATATACCTTGAACCACCCAAAAGTACGAGTCAAGACACCCCTGTCTCTGCAGCCAACATGACTTCTATGTGGGGACTGGACCGAGTAGCTGGGTCGAAGGCGTTCCTCTTGGTTTTCGTTTTTTCTATTCTTTTTCTCTTTTTTACTGTACAATATTGTACTCCGTACGTATGTATTCCCTTATTCTCTGCTCTCTTATACCTGGGTATGTACAATATATCTACATATGCCCATGTATATATTCTACATCTGTTCTGGGTCCCTTATTTACAAAGGAAAAGAACCCCCCTATCAATAACCAAGACCCCTAAACTGCATAGAATCGAGATCATACGTGTCAACTAAAGGCTAAAGCAAACCCCCAAAGCAAATCCCGGGCCAGACCGATTGGGAAAAATAAGTGTACCAGGCTCTCGGATTCTTTTTTCTTCTTTTTTTGCTTCTTTTTTTCCTCTTCTTTTTTTACTGCGGGGAGACATAGGTACGGGAACCACCCTCCTGGTAAAACGATCGGTATCCTCTCTCCCGGGTTTCTCTTACGTCCCCAACCATGTTACCAAATCCAAATGAACGGATTCAAGTCGATGTAAGTTTGTCTTTGAATCATTTAATTTACTATTCTCTATTCTCTCTATATTCTTTATTATCCACTTTCTAACACCATCTAGACAAGTGACGACGACTCTCTGTTCGATACTCAATCCCTAGTAGGTTCGAACCTCTCCTTCGCCTCCTCCGTCCGCGACTACAACTATGAAAATGGCCGCCGCTATCACGCCTACCGAAACGGCCAATACCCTTTTCCAAATGACGAGGAAGAACAAGACCGCCTTGCCCTTATGCACCACCTCTTCAAGCTCCTGACCGGCGGGGACCTTCTCCGCGCCCCAATAAGAGATTCTAAACCACGCCGCGTCCTTGACATCGGCACAGGAACAGGTGAATGGGCTATCGAAATGGCCGAGGACTACCCGTATGCCGATATCATCGGTACAGATCTCAGTCCTATCCAGCCGAACTGGGCGCCTCCTAATTGTCGCTTCTTTATCGATGACGCCGAGAGTGATTGGACTTTCTCGCCCCATGAAAAGTTCGATTATATCCATGCCAGGAGTATGGGTGGTGGTATTGGGGATTGGTCTAAGTTGCTGAAGCAGGCTTATCAGCATCTCAAGCCTGGTGGTTGGTTTGAGGCACAAGAGTTCGAGGCTTTGGTGCTCTCCGACGATGGGACCCATGAGCATGCGACTTCCATTCTGGGCTGGCAGGATTTATTGAACCAGGCTAGCACGAAGTTCGGGAAGCCTATGAATGTCGCCCCGAGACTTACGCAGTGGATGGAGAATCAGGGCTTTGCCAATGTCACAGACGATATTTACAAGGTCCGTGAACTCGATCTGGCGTGATTTTCTCGGGCTTCCTTATACTGATTATCCCAGTGTCCGGTCGGTGGCTGGCCCAAGAACCGCCGCCTAAAAGAAATCGGTCGCGTCGGCAAAGTCACCATTCTGGAAGTCGTTGAGCCATACACGCTGGCACTGTTCACCCGCGTCCTTGGCTTCTCATACCAAGACGCCCAGGAGTACATGGATAAGGTGCGTGCCGAGTTGATGAGCAACTCGCACCACCTCTACGTCCACTTCCACTTCATCTACGGACAAAAACCATTCGACTCCGACACGCGCTGAGACCGCACCGTAACGAACGTAACGATATCCAACCTAACTCACACGACACAGCTTATGGCTTGATGACTTTCATTTGCATTGCATTGCATTAATGTATAAATATTTCCGTACTTGTTTTCTATCATATGCACATGGACAACGTGATGGGTGGGATGATCTGGATCTGGACGGTTCCACTTGATCGACCAGCGATATTGACCCGCGACCCGGGTATCATCAACATCCCATTAGAGATCCAGCTCTGGATCTAGTAGCTGTCACCACCCATTCCCAATCCCAAAACCTGACATATCCCTGATACTGCCTCTTCGGGCGTCGGGCTCGTCCGCACCACTTGGATCACTTGAGCAACCTGATGCTCATCGCAGCTGCCGATTGTCTCTAGCAGTGCTTGCAGAACTGCCTTTTTGCCTTCCCCTTTCCATGAGCTGGGGATGGAATTCATGATTGATGGCGAGAGGCGGTCGGAGTTGGAACTGGCACGGCTTGAAGTATCGCCTGCCAAAGTTGGTACAGGTACATCTGCATAGGGGTTTATGTTTGCATTGGTATTGGCGAAGGTGTTGATAGATAGATATTGAGACGTATAGGGCTGAATCGGAAATTGGCTTTGGCCTGCACTCCCGTATACACCTGCCCATTGATTCTCCTCATTTGATATTGAAAGTTCATTGAAATGTGTTGGAGTTGGCGTTGGTAGTGGCGCCGGGTATTTGGTGTTCTGGGGATAGTATGGGAGAGGTTTGCCGTCGAGCGGCATTGTGCTGTCGTATACTGGGTGCATGCCTAAAATCGCATCACTGGTTGGTCCCTGGACTGGTACTTGCTTCGCGACCGTACTGGACATGTCCCCAAGGACCATGCTTCCATAGCCGGGCATTATCGCATCATCTGGTTTCACCAGGAGTCAGCAAACACACCCCTGCAGAGTAGATAGATAGGGGAACAAACGTCCAAAAGCGACCGCATCATTACTTGACCGATCGAACTCCGCAACCTGCGGCGCATACCCCGTCGGTACAAGATAAGCTGAGACCGATACCGATACTGACGCCGACGCCGGCGCAGGAGCAGAAGCAGGAGCAGAAGCAGAAGCCGACCGCGAGGAAACTGACCTCGCCCCTAGCTCACAAGGGCTACCCGTACTATCAGGACTCGTAACAGTTACCGAGTTCGTCATGGTAGTCGTAGACGAGGACGGCGAACTCCCACGCCAGCTCCCTTCCGTCTCAAGTCCAGTCGAATATTGACCGTCATTTCCTCTCCCGCCCCGTCTGGAGCTTGACTCCGCAGACACAGACGCAGGCGCATAAGGATGTTGTCGCCAGCTCTTAGTTTGGGAGGGTTCGCGGGGCTGATTCAAGCGTCCCCGCAGCTGGGCGACTTCGCGGCGAAGACGTTCAATGATGTCCGCCTGACTGATATGGGCGCGATCTTCGGCGGTCGCTGTATAGCTGCATTCTGCTTCCAAGCCGCGGATGATACAGGCATGGCAAGGAATCGAGCGGTCGCACTGGAAGCCGTTAGGAATTGTGGGTTTTTTGTTTTGACGCGAGTAAGGTACAAAAGGCGGAGACGGAATGCACGGGGATTTAAATTACCTTCACTTTGCGCTCGCGACACTTGAGACACGATTGCTGTGGGCGAATTTTTGTTTTTGAATCAGGCATGACGACGGCCGTTGAGAGTACAGCCTTGGGAGGTTAGGATCAGGATCTTCCCTCTAAGAACCGTTGAATGGGGTCATCTCAAAAGTCCGGTTTTTCGCATCCCGGTTCTTCATGCAGGTTCAGCTGTGCCACATAGATCTGTGCGGGGATGTTTTTCTCTTTTTTTCTCTCGAAGGGGCGGAAAAAGGCTGAAAGGGAAATGTGATTGATCCGTCTTAGTTCCCATCCCTCCGAGCCAAGCTTTGCGGCTTTTCCATTGGATGACCCTTCGGAGTCGCCGTGTCGAAGATCACCTCCACTTGCAGATCGATCGCTTCAATCCCGTATACTATTGTATACACTATGCTATCTCTGTTGGAGCTTATCTTTGGGCTTTACGCGACTTAAAATAGGCCTAACAGGCTTCGCATGATGGTAATGTCGCATTGCTTGCTAATTTCCCCGCCTCGCTTGCATATCCTAATGGCACGATGAGACCTTGGTGCGGGGAATCCTCGCGGGATGAAGCAAACAAAAGTCCTGAATTAGCATAAAGCTGCCCGTCATGCTGTGCATTGCATGCCAGCCAACGCCAAGCCCAAGTCTTAATCCAAGCCCAAGTCCAAGCAAATCACCTCCTTTCCCGTCTCGTCTGCTCGAACTACGTACCATACCATGAGAGCTTCTTCGCACACCTGGGAAATCCCAGCAAAGATGGCCCTTCTAATGTTCCCAATGCTGCCTGTCCAAGCATCAGTAGAGAGCCCGGGTCTCCTCCCAACACCACCAATGGGCTTCAACAACTGGTCGCGTTTCCAATGCGAGCTAAACGAGACGCTCTTCACCGAAACAGCGCAATCAATGCTAACCCGTGGCCTCCGCGACGTAGGCTACAATCGTCTCAACCTGGACGACTGTTGGATGCGCTACGATCGCGCTGCCGACGGCTCGCTACAGTGGAATACCACCAAGTTCCCGCATGGCATTCCCTGGCTTGCCAGCTATGCGACCGAGCACGGCTTCCACCTGGGTATCTATGAAGACGCTGGCAACGAGACTTGTGGCGGCTACCCGGGCTCCTACGGGCACGAAAAGCAGGACGCCGAGACCTTCGCTAGCTGGGGCATCGACTACCTCAAGCTGGACGGGTGTAATGTCTGGGCTGAGGAGGGCCGCTCCTTGCGAGAGGAGTACCGGCTCCGCTACGGAGAATGGCACGATGTTTTGAGTGCTATGCCGCAACCTCTGATATTCTCCGAGTCTGCACCGGCTTACTTCGCGGACAATGCTTCCGACTGGGCTGTGGTCATGGATTGGATCCCAGAGTATGGCGAGCTGGCGCGCCACTCGACTGATGTGCTTGTCTATGTCGGCGAGGGAAGTGCTTGGGATAGTATTATGAATAATTACGATTATAATACCCTTCTCGTGCGCTACCAGAAACCGGGCTATTACAATGATCCGGATTTCTTGATCCCTGATCACCCGGGTCTGACACAGACAGAGAAGAAATCCCACTTCGCGCTCTGGGCATCCTTCTCCGCGCCGCTGATTATCAGTGCTTATATTCCGGATCTGTCAGATGAGGACATTGCCTTCCTTAGCAACAAGGCTCTCATCGCGGTGAACCAGGATCCACTGGCTCAGCAAGCCGCCTTGGTTAGTCGCGACGGCACCTTCGACGTTCTGTCCCGCTCTCTAGTAAACGGGGATAGACTGCTGACCGTGCTAAACCGCGGGGCTGTCACAGCCAAGACGACTATCTCCCTCGCGAGACTTGGGCTATCCCAGTCCAACTGCCAATATCAAGCTCGGGATCTTGTTACTGGGAAGGTTTCGACTGCACATGGTGCTATCGAGATCCAGCTCGACTCTCATGCTACCAGTGTTCACCGCATCGCGCTGCCTAAACGTTGCTCTACTACTACTCCCACAGGCATGGTCTTCCATACTCCGTCTGGTCTCTGCATGACCGCTTCTTCTGGAAATACTGTTACCTTTGAAGCGTGCAAGGCATCTGATTCTCAGGTCTGGAGTGTGGCTGCTAAGGGTGGTAGCAAGCTGGAGTTGAGCCCTTTGTCGGATAACTCGGTATGTCTTACTGCTCAAAAGGGTGCGGTTTCTCTTGCCAAATGCGGTGGCTCTGGAAATACCTGGCAGCATTTTATAACAGGTCATCTGAGCAATACGCGCGGTGGCTGCTTGACTGGAGAGTCAGGCAAAGGCGCTGTTCAGGCTTGTGTGGTTGATAATGCCGCACAAATCTTTGGGTTGCCCAGTGGTGTCAAGCTTGCTGATGGAGCGCCTAGGTGGTTTTCCTAACCTGTAGTGCCGCGAGGGTGTTTCTATACCTATAGATCATCACATCTATTGGCTAGATAGATACATAGATAGCACTTATAGCTTGGAATGAAATGTGCAAAGTCTACATATGTACACCCGTTCCTATACATACCCCGAAACCAAGCAATAATTAGATACAAGCAATGAATCTTCCCCAGATTACATTGAACTCTTCAACTCCATCTATCCCTGCAACGAAAAGCCAACTCCCTCCCCAGTTCCCATCTCAACAAGATTAGCCCTCATCTTCTCAGCCCTCTCCCCAATCCCAAAAGCAGCATCCTCCCGATGAACCCAGGCCCCAACCCCATGCTGCAAAACCGCCGTAGCCCTAACTTTCTTCTTCTCCTCATCCCCCTCCCCACCCTCAGCCTTCAACCCAATACTCCCATGCAGCGTCAATCTCGTCTCCTCTCCACCCTCACTCTTCCCCTTATAAACTCCGCGGTGCAAGATATTACTATTGTAAAACACCGCATCACCAGGCTGCAACTCCACAACCAACTGACCAGGCAAAAAAGCAGCATACGGATCCGCCTCGCGCTCAGTCTGTGTGCGTGCCCGCGCATGCGTACCCGGAACAACAATCAGCGACGCATCAGGACACAGGGCAAGATTGTATTGGCAGTGCGACTGGCGACCACCGGGCGCCTTAGCCGCCAGCTGCGCGACTTCTTCCTCCGCCGTAGCATGCTCGGAGATGTCATCCCTGTGCCAGCGGAGTTCGAAATCCTTCGTCTCTGGCGCAACGAGCAAATTGAAAAGTTCCATAACAAGCGGCTCGGCGTCCGCGGAACCGGATACGCCCATTAGTTCTTCTGCGACGGCTAGGATTGATGGGGAGAAGTAGCACTGCGCAAAACTGTCCCGGCCTGGCATTTCTGGGTGCAGCAGGTGCTGGACGCCCCAGATTCCGCCCTCAGAGGCGGGCGGTGGGGTCGTTGGCCATGGGGGGAATTGTTTCGGGACGGTGCGGAAGTGTGGCCAGGTGCCGGCTCTTGTGAGTGTGGTTGCTTTTGTGGCGATTTCACGGTAGTGCGTTACCTCGGATGGGGTGAGGAGGTTGCGGACTACGACGAAGCCATCCCGTTGGAGGGCCTCTAGGTGGGACATCTTGAGTGTGGTAAGAGAGATAGATAATTAAGAATTCAGGATTTAAGATTGATAGATCTAAATATCTTTAGTTAGGATTGTTAGCTTTAAATATCTAGAGTTAATATGCGGGGTTGTGAATACGACGGTGTTAATGTCGCATTCACATCTCCATACTAACTAATTAGCTGTCTTACCATGACTAATGGCCTACCCGCCCGTTGGTCATGGTAATACGGCTACCAATGTATTTATGTACTTGTTTTCCTCTGCCACTTTTTGGCCTTCCATTACCGTTTTAGTGCTAGGGCCTTGCCGCTTTTTGCTCACTGGGTCCGAGCTGGGCCTAAGGGTGAGCAGCCTGAGTAAAATACATCAATAAAGCGCAACACGCTAGTTCTATCACTAGCGGCGGCGATGCATTTGATCAAGCGAGCAAAAGTGCCTACGAGTCAGATTCATATCTTGGATGTTCACGATAGCTCTGGCGGAGACGTGCTATTTCTGGTGATAGCATAAAAGAATATATTATCAATTCGGGCGCTTAGCCCTACCTTCACGAGGATTTTGTCGAAGAGCTGCGCTCGATTTTTCCTACCTAAACCACAAAGCCCTTGTAAGCTTTAAGGAAATTCTGCTCAAGAACACAAACAAAAGTACGAGAGATAATAGGAAAATATTCTTACAGTGAAGCTTGTGGGAGAAAGTCAAGTCAACTGTTACATACATTGGCTGTAGATCGAACAAAAGACACCACTTGATTATCGTCACGCTTATGGGAGGAAGGAAAAGATTGGCTCTCAAAGAATAAATGATAGGGTATAGGTTTTGGAAAAATCGGAATTGACGTCGAGCAATGATTTTTTGCGAGAAATGGATTCCAGGGTGAATTATAAGGACATGTTTCTGGAAGATAGTGGGAAAGTAGACTCGTTTAACATAAGATAGTGTCAATGGCGGCGTTGTGAACTTAAGTATCAAGATGTCTTGATCACGCCAAAGGGTAACGGAAAATAGTGAAGATCTCAACATGATACCTGGGGTAGAGCAATCACATCCGCTTGGAAGCCCAAATTTTCCGCAACAACAAATAGGCGACAGCAATTCTCTATGAGACTATCGATACGTGTTTGTGGCTTGAGACTTTGCACAAAAAAATTAACAATGATAAACATTGAGCCTTGCAGATATGTAGACAACAGACAGGTCAAATGCCTTGAAAGTGCACACAGACATCCTCCTCTCCATTACGGGCCTTCAAACAATGATTCAAGGATTGACTGGTGCTACGATGTTCGAGGACTTAAGAGGGCTTTATAGGGTCCCTAATTTGAGATGAGCGCTTCGCATACTCGCTTCGACGTTCCAGCTCGGGGAGGATGTGCGGCTAATTAAAGGCGGTGGCGAAAAGAGGAGCAGAATTGCCGCGGAGATAAGGATAGCAGCGGATCCCAGAGCGATTTCGATAGAGACCATCGTGAAGCTGGAAGCTGTATAGTGGTGTCCTAGTTCTATTTTGGTGCCCAGGGATCTCTCTCCCATTGGAATAAGAACGATTCACAAGCTGATGCTTCACTCTACTGATGGCTCTGGAGTCGCGGCAGACCATGCCGATGTCAAACCCGCATGATCCGGAAGCCATCGATATGCGCCTCGGCGATCATGATCAACAGGAGGAGCTTCAACCCTTCCTTGTTAGCGAAGAAGCCAATCAACAACAGCAGCTTCCTCTGCGGTTTTTAAGGCGACTTTCACGAACGTGGCGCGAGGCACAAGCGATGATTACTTCTGAGCACGGCGTTGGCATCTTCAAGTGCAGCCTTGCGTACCTCCTCGCATCCCTGGCGGTTTTCATACCGTTTGTTGGAAAGCTTCTAGGTCAGCAAAATGGGAAACATCTGGTAGCAACCATCACCATTTACTTCCACCCAGCGAGATCGCAGGGTAGCATGTACAAGGCGCTGATATGCGCCTTCGTCGCATTCCTTTTTGCGACATTTCTGTCCTTGGCGAGTATGTGGGTGACCATCACCTTTCATAGAAAGCATGACTTGATTGAGATAGGGCATGCAGTGGTGCTGGTCGTCTTCGTCATGGGTGGTTTCGGATTTATTGGATGGATCAAACAGAGATTACAAGACCCGCTCGTTAATGTCGCATGCTCTTTGGCTTCTTTGGCCTCGATTCTGGTCATTACGAAAGAAGGTGCTGTACAAGCAGGTGACCTTTCCTTCACAAAAATTTCCCAGATACTCAGGATGCTGCTTCTGGGGATTGGTGTTTCAACGGCCGTTTCTTTGTCAATAATACCCGTATCTGCCCGGAAAAAGTTTCGCCGGGAAATCTCTACTTCGACGGGTACAATATCAATGATGTTGATGAGTATTACGGAGAGTTTTCTCCGCGGTACAGACCGTGGACTCAAGACAGCCGACTTTGCCCACATGTCTGCGCAACACGACAAACTGATTGGTCAGTTGAACAACTTACTAGGCGAGACAAAATTTGAGCACTACGCGGCTGGGACGAAGCGAGAGCGTTTCCTGGAGAAAAGCCTTGTGTGTTCCATGCAAGATATTACCCACAGTCTAGGGAGCCTACGCAGCGTGGTGGCTTTGCAGTCCGAACTACTTGCACAGACGAAACACACAGAAACGTCGCAGCTCCCAAAAACGTTAGGCCACTTCTCCAATCTTGCCCTATCCGAAACTTCGAGGCTAGCTAGCGAGTCGCCCGTTGTCGCGCGGATAGATACACAAAATATCGATAATGAATCTTCAGCTTTGATTTCACAGGCCGCACAGCAATCCTCTTCAATCCTGTCTCCTGCTGAAATTATTGAGCAACTAAAGTCTCGCCTCGGGACGTCCATTGTAGGTGCAATCAAATATTCCAGCCGTACCCAGACTTCTCGCTTACAGATGCTTGGTAGCTATCGCTTGCCATTACCCTAAAATTGACATTCGAAGAAGTTTCTTCAGGACCTGCGCCCGATTATCGTTTTTCAATAAGCGAAGGAGTGATGTCCCGCATCGATGAAGCAATAGACCTATACCGAGAAACTCGGCTTACTGTCTTTCATTCGCTTCGGCGTGATTGGCTGATGATTTGTCCGGCTCAGTTGTACAAGGCCAGCCTTGAGGAAATTTTCGCTAGTTGCGAGTATTTTTCTGTCGGCTTGCTCGAGCTGAGCGAGCAGCTACGAAAGCTGCTATTGGTGTTGGAGGAACTGCAGGTTGAGATTGACGAAAGACCCACCGGAAAGTCGTGGAAGTGGCTGCGTCTTTCGTGGTGGCAGGCTCGTCGGGAACAAGTCACACAAGCTTTAGATGAAGGTAAGTAAACGTGGCTAGACATATAGGTGTTCAAGGATGGTGTCATTAACTGACTCTCATCAGCGCCTTCGTCAGAACACCACCGTGCTGGTGTCAACATTGGAACCTCTTCACGAACGCCCAATACCAGTGATCAAACTCTAGACCTACATCAAGCGTGGACACGTCAAAAACGTATTAACAATGATCCTGTGAGGCTGTTTGATTTCCTACGAAAGGACGAGATCAAGTTTGCTCTGAAAGTAGGTATTGGAGCGGCGCTCTATGCCCTACCTTCCTTCATATCTGTGACAAGACCACTTTATCTATCGTGGAGGGGAGAATGGGGCCTTATCTCGTACATGTTGGTGTGCTCCATGACCATTGGTGCATCAAACACCACTGGATTTGCTCGCTTCCTCGGTACATGTCTCGGGGGCCTTTGCTCGATCGGTGCTTGGTACCTTGCAGGAAGCGATGCTCTCAAGCTCGTGTTGATTGGCTTTGTCATGGCCATCGGGCCCTTCTACGTGATTCTCGTCAAAGGGCAAGGGCCCATGGGCCGATTCATCCTACTCACCTACAATCTTTCTGTACTTTACGCTTTCTCACACTCACAAGTCGATATTAATGACCCAAATGACGAAGCTGAACATCTGGATATCACCTCGATCGTTGTCCGCCGAGTAGTCTCCGTCATTTCCGGAAACATTTGGGGCATCATCATTACGCGAGGCATATGGCCCATCCGCGCACGAACAAAACTAGACGAATCCCTGCAATCGCTTTGGCTCAAGCTGGCTCTGATTTGGGAATCGGACCCATTGAATACCATATTAAGGGGAGACGCACAAATGCCTGTTCTTTACATGCACCCTCACGAAAAGGCCAAGGTTGAACACATCCTCTCTCAGCTTGAGCCAATGCAAACGTCTGCGCGCTCTGAATTCGAATTTGGATATCAATTTCCAGATGCTGGCTACAGCAACTTAATCCGCCGGACGAGAGACATTGTGGACAACATTCATTCTATGGACTTGGTATTATCTGGTCTCGCTACACCTTCAGAAGGGCAGGTTTCACTTTTGCGGCATACTGCCACTGCTAGACAGAAAATGTCTGAGTGCATCGGTAATCTGCTTACCAGTAAGTTTCAATCTCAAAATGCTCAATTTCCCCGCCTTCAGTTCAAAGAGCATATGACGATTACTCTTTGCTAACACACGACGATGACTGCAGCTGTAGCTTCAGTTTTAGAGCTTGGACATACGTTCGGCGATTCTTCTCACAATTTTGATCAGCTCCATGACGAGCTTCTGGTACAGATTTCTCGATATCGTCAAGATAAAAGATTGTCTTGCGCGACGGATGATGAAGACTATGTCTTGCTCTACGCTTACAGTAAGTTCGCAGAAAAGGGGTTTGCCCAAGCCTCTTCGAAACCTTCAGGTCTACTGTTTACTGACAAAGGATAGTCACTATCAGCCGCCAGTTGTCAAATGAGGTGGTTCAAATCACTAAGGAGATGGGTCGCATCTTCCCGGCCTCGGATGGAGATCTAATTGGTACCATTAGAGTTTGATCAAAGCGACCACATGCGATGTTCCCTATTTGAATGCAAGGGCTTTCTTTCTTCTTTTTCACTTTCGGGTTCTTCAAGTCGGCGGTACTCATGATTGAGAGATTCCACCTTATCCTCCAATGGATTCCGTTCTTAAAGTGACATTCCTCGGTAATGTGCCTGAGCACAGTGGTCAACTAAATCCCCGGCCAACTTTATTACATTACTGTCTACAGACTATCGTCAACAACAGTTCTACTAGAAAGCATCACATCTTACTCACCACCAGATAGTTTGCCGTCAAAATATACGATGTCAAGAAGAAGGCAGCATAAAGGCTGTCAATTCCAGAGAGTGTTTAGGTCTGATCCCTCTTAATATCTGCTATTTTAAGAAGCGAAATGGTATCAGTCAACACTTCTATGCGTCCTCGCATAGCCTAATTAGGTTGTTTATGGATTTGCGGTTTCTCTGTAGCCTAGGTGCTCAATAGATGGCTCTGAGTGGTCTAAGTAATCAGTGAGCGATTAGTGAGCATTCAATCAGACTCACTGAGCGTTGATTGGACCTCACTGGTTGATCACGTGACTGATACGAGTCCGGACTGAAAGTTACTCGGGGAGCCTGACTGAGCGCCCTGATAAAAGCGGCGGCAGAAGAAATCAAGTACGTATGGCTAGTTACCTAAGTAAGTAACTAAGTGGACTCAGTACCTGTAAGAAAACCACATGTTTACCACGTTTTATGTGTGTTTGGTACACAATACTACCGTGGATCAGATACCACCTCATACCTCTTGACTATAAACTATTACCTATGTGTATATATATATTCGGCACCAATTAATCTCCGTGATCTTGGTGCCTATTCTCATATGTATTGTGGTTCTATAAGAGACAAATGTAAGAAAAGTTCAGCCGAATAACAAACTGACACAGATGTCATCTCAAAATAGTTTTGGAACGTCATTGGGATCATCGTGCCAAGAGCCAAGAGGGCTGAGTCGCTGCCACAGCTCAATATTCTTACTTCTATTTTTGTTCATCTTTGAACTCTTGTTTTCTCTCTTATTTACTATAGCTTCTATTTGAAAACACTAACAGACTTTTGTTTTTCCCTGTCCAAGTGACATTGATACGCAAATCCGAAACCCCCACCATGCCCCTCCTCCACGCGGGCTCCGCTCTGCTGGTACTGCTTCTGATACTCCCACAAGTGCATGCCTTTGGAGCTGGAAATATCGCATCTATTTCTGCAGTTGAAGGGAAGAACTGGCGACATGGTGATATTGAAGATGTTCTCAAAACCCTGGCTTTTATTCATGGTCACAAATGGACCTCCACTATGATCAAGCGCGTATATTTCGGCAACTGGTTGCGCGATTAGTGAGTTTCTTCTCGGACAATGCATATGCAAAAGTAATAGGCGCATTCTAACTAGTTCCACAGCTCACAGGCAATGGATGTTGGAACTCTCAAAAGTTTGCAGGCCGAGACTATCCGCATCCTAGTGTGGGTCCTTTCGTTCCTTAGCTTCGGCTATGCTACCGGTGAATTCGAGGTCACTTCCGAGCGTTTGGGAGTTTACCGCCCCGAAGAACATATTGAGTTAGTTTTCTCTCATTGTGATCTATTATGATGTGTTCTAGTATCCTAATTGCCTTTCAGTAACCCCAAGGATTATGCCGACAATGAAGATGCGCGTCAATATGACAAGCGTTTGCGGCCGCCTGTTCGCAGCATCGAGCTTGAGATTGACCCAAACACCGGTATGAAGAACTATATCGCCAACGAGCGGGGTGACTGGGCTACCAGTGCTGCCTATATCAAGTTCAGTTTGAGTCGTAGTATCCACTATGGACGAACATACACTCACGGCGGCTCAGGTAAAGGAAAAGAAGAGGATTTGTGCGAAGCCCTGCGTTGCTTGGGCCAGGGCTTGCATACCCTGGAGGATTTTGCCGCCCATACCAACTATGTTGAGCTAGCATTGCGCGAAATGGGCATGCATAATGTATTCCCGCACACCGGTACGAACACTCAAATCAATCTGCATGGACGCCCTGTCTTCCCCCTTGTGACGGGAACTTTTGGTATGGTCGATTTCTTCCACTCGGTGCTGGGAGAGGCCACAGATCACTTTACTCAGTCCGAGGTCAATGAGATGGATCTTGCACTCGGCGATGCCGAGACCAGCGCTCAGTCAAACAACTCCTTGAGTGCCTTGACTGGGCTTCTGGGCAAGATCCCGGGTACTAAAGACCTCGTCAGCGAGGCCGAAGGCCTAAAGAGGTCATCGGAAGCGCAGGAGATGGCGAACCGAAACCACGGTGCTGCGAGAGGCTACGCGGATTCTGCTTCCAATAGCCACGAAAGCAGCCGTGCTGGGCCTGGTTATTCTTCGGGTAGCACTTCGACGCCTAGCTCTGGATTTGATGGCATGCCTGACTTCAACCCCAAAGAGACAGTGGCTAAGATCTACCCCATTTTGGCTTTCCGGGACAAGGTCGTGCGCAAGTTGGACTCCATCATCGAAAAGATCCCAGGCCTAGAGGCCCTCGTTGAAAAGATCTCCGAGACTCTGACTGTTGTTATCATGTCTCTTCTTGCACCGTTCGTGCGCCCTCTTATCAAGGCTGCCTCCAAGTCCCTGCAAACTGGATCAGCTGGTGTGATCGATGCCTCTGGGAAACATCAGTATGAACCCTGGACTGACCCCCACTGTACCGATCCCACCCACTCGCTGCTTTCAAAAGATCACTTCGCAAACGTCTTGAATGAGCCAGCTGGACAAGTCGCCTCTGTAATCGTGGAGTATGTCGCTCCTCGTATCCTGTATGCCTGGCAACACCTCGATGCCTCTGAGAACGATGTTCTCGAAGACTGCCTGCAAGTTTTCCACCACCCAGCAGTGCGCAACATGCGCAACGACGCCCACCGTAAGATGTTCGAAGCCGTCGAGAAATGGGCCCATGGCCGCCCGGACCGTGGCGTGTCTTTGGACAGCATCCTCAGCTCCGAGGGAGTGAGAACCGGTCGCAATACCGGTGGTGTGAGCCACACTCACAGCGGCGGCCATGGTGGATTCGCGACATTGGGCGGTGCCTCTCATGGCCAAAAGCCAACACAAGGCCACGGCAGCAACCAGGGCCATTCATCAAGCGGTTTCTCCTCGTTCTTTTCCGGACAAAGCAGCAACAATAACCAACAATCCCAACACAGCAACTCTTCCGGCATGCCCTGGGACAAACTCTCCAGTCTCCCCATCCCAGGCATCTCAAACCTGAATAAACTCAACAAACTCTCAAACATGATTCCAGGTGGGCTAAGCCGCGACGTGGACTACGACGGAACCACACAACAGAACCATGCCGGGGAATATAGGCACGATCCTTCTCACTCGGGCCCACAAGCGTATGGCGGCGATCCCAACTTCCAGCAAGGCTTCCAGGGACACAGTTTCCAAGAGGGTCAGGGTAACTTCCAGCAGAACCCTCAGCAGGGACACTACTCTGGTCACCAAGAGCCGCACGGCGGTTACGGCGGTCAGCATTACGGTCACGACCATTCTCATGGACATGGCGGTTGGAATGGGCAAGGTGGATCCGGATATTGAAAATGAAATCACGAATCTTTTGTATTTTAGGGCTGGCTCGATGATTTTTTGGGGAGTTTGGGGCAAACGAAGATTGGGGTTGTTGGTTGCACTTTCTCGAAAGCACGTATCAAAATTGCTTTAAATTGAGTTGGTTGGAGCTTCTGACACGTTCGTTGATTCGGGTTGGTTTTCTCTGATGTTTTCCATTTATGATATATGAACGTGTTTATCGCAACATCCCTGAAAACAAATTACTTGCAGAAGATATGTTAGTAGATAGACCCCTTTCTGCGAGAAGCAAGCTAGAAGAATGGTTCAAATGATTTGGCAATCTGATCTTAACATTACAACCTATTGCTAATTGTATGAGTGATTTGGGCGTTATTTGATATCTGATATCCGTTCATAATGAGATGAGAACCATACACTCGGCATTGTTCAGTTCTTTTCGGCGTTGTTGGTGCCTCGGGATATTTCCGTGCACCATGCAGCTTCCCTGGCAAGGAATTTGCTTTGTAGGGCTTTGTTATGCCCCTAGCCATCAATACAGTGGTAATCCTGCTGGTTCAAATAACGGTTCCCAGGAAAGTGCTGGAAGTGGCGAAAACGGCCACAATTCCTTTGGTGTGGATGGTAGTGACGACTATAGTTATAACAATGGCAGTGACAACGTCAGTATTGCTTGTTACGGTAGTAATGTTACCGATTTTGCCAATGGCTTTTCTCCCGATCCTAACTGTGGCAGCGACACTAACGGCGGTCATAGGGGTCCTAACAGCACTAGATCTAGCGAACAACGATACCATCTGTGCAAACTATGGCAGGATCAATTATAGGAACTATGCCAGCTGTGCTAATTTTATCCAGTTGGCCAACCAATTCCCCCTTAGTTACGACAGTCTTGTTGGTACTACCGGCCTTACCAGTAATTTCAGTTTGAGTCCCCAGCATCGTTCTCCGAGTCGGTCCCCTCCCCGTTACGGAAGCGTGTCTCCCCCTCCCTTAGACCACTACGGGTCTACTCCTGCTAACGTTCCAATTGCTCAGGATCAGTCACAACGAGAATACACAATCTCAAGTACAGTTACCTCCGCGTCCCCTCCCAGCAACGCGGGAAGCTCCTCTGATCTTGACCTAGATGACTTTGATCACCACTTGCAACAGATGCACTCCTCGTCCCAAGAAGGATCCTTACAAAGATCCGTGCGCTCTCTAGGCCCCCCGTCCCAGTCAAGCAGTCAACAAGGAAGTCACATGCATACATCATCCGATGCATCTGGCTCCAGACAAGGCTCATTTACATCGCAGAATGGGGAAGAGCAATGTAGCAACCTGCAGGGTGGAGCCCAGCTCCCGTTTCCTTCGTTATGATTTTAGATTGAATACAGTGTTTACGCAAGCAACTCTCCAATATTAGCATAATTTTAGTTTCTTGGTATTAGCGATTGGATGCATGAAGATACATGGCCTTGTTTTTGGCAGCTCATTAAGGCGAAAGTTTCCTATTTTTAGAAAGCTTCAAATTTGGTTAAGGTTAGCATATTATGAGGGTGTGAACACCGAAGAAGTTGCATTAGTGGTGCAGCTAAACAGCGTGCAGGAGCTATATATGGGTACGGAGGGCAAGAGAGCAAGTAGGACCGAAAGTTTAACGTGAAGTTCTGGTTTTGGGCTATGCGACCTTCTACGCCCAAGAATACATAAAGGCCTAGACAGTACATGAATTTGACTTGAAGTTATTCGTGAAGTTCTGCTCCTAAAATAAATATGGGCTATGTAGAGCGGTCGCCTGAAGCCATATGACGGGGACCAATAGCCATTGATCGACAATCGGTAGGTGAGACAAAGATTGACAATAAGACAATAAGCGTAGATATACGTTCTGTCAGATGTCTGCGACTGTTGAAGACCTTTTATGTTCATCTTTTGAGGCGTCTAACTTTATCTTCATTAAATAGAACATTTCGCATGAATTACCCTTTCAGGGACGCAAGGGTTCGTATAGGTTTCGGTTGAAACAACCTCGATGTAACTCTACGTCAACATTCAGCCACAGCCTCTATTTTGTCTCTCGTGTCATGTCTTAGCTATACTAGTTAGATAGTACGTGAACAACTATAAAACGACCAGCACTATCCGCTTGATCTCTAATATCTGCTCAATTTCAACTTCATTATCAAAGCAAGCAAACAAATCGGCAAAATGAAGGCTACTTCTATGATTGCTCTTATCCTTGCAGCTGCCACATCTACTCTTGCTGCACCCACCCCAGCTCTAAAGCCGCTAGAACTCACCAATCTCAACGCTGGCATCTACAGTGCATCTATGCCCACGACTGCCCTCTTCTCATTTGGCCTGAAAGACCCAAACACTAATACCGAAACTACATGCTCAGGCTATTGGTATGTTCGGATATTCCCCCATCTTTCCTATTGCCAGATATGTTGTCCGAGCGCAAAAGAATTTGAAAAAGGCTAATATTCTCGAAGGTCCATTGGCATGGCCGGAAATAAGAGCTATGACTGCTCCGATAAGGCATACCAGCTTCACCTCTTGAACGGAATCTATGATATCGAAAACTTCGATCTTGGAGTATCTCGCACCGACCGCTCTGTCACTGGACAGTCGACTGTCAAAGGAGAGGCGTGGAAATGCGAAAAGCAGCAATCCCCTCTAGAAGAGTGCAAGTGGGATGGTGTTTTCAAAATCGACGTGGCTGCTTGATCCGACTGAGTCCGGGTGCTATTGAAGTTGTTGGATATGATATTGTCGCTTGATTACATGCTAAGATTGGGTACAGGTTTCTCTTGTTAACTTTGTGTTCACTTTTGGGTATACCTTTAATGTACAATCTTTTTGGCTACTTTCTGTATAATTCAATTTCCATATGTCAGGACAAGCCCAATAATGCATTGACGGTAAACATAATCTTTTTCAATCCCGAAAAATAAATTCATAATACTCTGTACACAATATAGAAAAATAACGGAAGGAAATTCTTTGCAGTCTCAAATATATAAGCTTGGTTTATCAATGAGACATGTGGCGACCGCTAATAGAGGTTATGAATCCATTTGGACCCAGGAGCATGGAGATGAGATACTCTAGCTACTAATACCACCAGATGAGGTGAGGCTTGCGGCGTAAGAAGAATCAGAGTCGTGACTAGCAGATACATTGACACCCAAAGTGATCCAAGCAAGAAGACCGTCTTCAATAGTATCACCAAGGTAGGCATACTCAAAGAATGGGTCAGAGTTAGAGTCCTCGGTCTCGTCCTGGACAACATGGTCATCGGCGTTCTCTGTGATAGCAACAGTGCTGGTATTGTAGGGATAGGTAGCCTCAACGGTGTTGATAAGTTCCTTGTCAAAAAACAATTGGCCAATGTGAGAGATATGCCCACCAGTGAGGGTGTTATTGGGCAGCACGTGAGCATTTGTGTGCGCGATAACGTGGACATGGGTAGCTCGGCCAGAGTAGTGACCCGGGAACAAAGTCTTGAACTGGGCAACGCCCTCGGAATCGGTCTTCTGAATACCACGCAAGAAAGTCTTGTCCAGGTTTGAGGCATCGTTCCCATTGCCGTTCATGGAGCTCTGGACTCCAGAGTAGACACCAGTAGAATTGCAGTTCCAGACATCCCAGTAGAGGTCCTGAATGGGCTCGCAGGTGTTGATGTCAATGAACTGGCCATCAAGGATGATTGGAATGCCTGCTTGGCCATCACGTAGATCGGAGCGAATCAGTTCGCCCTTCACCCAAAAGGGACCAACTTCTCCCTCGGGTGCCAGGATGCAGACAGGGTTTTTGGAGAACAGCTCCGTTTCGGGGGTGTTCGTGGTAACATGGAGGTTGGAATGGTGTGAAGTGTTGACGATCTTGTCGGTATCACGAGGGAAGAGGGCGCGCTTTTTGTTGGCAGCAACAATCGCAGCACGGCGGGCTTCGGCGCGTGAGTTTATACCACGTCGCTCCAGATGATCTGCACACTTGTCCAAGCTGCTGCGGGCTTTGTGCAGGAAGTTTCTCTTGGAAGCAGATGTGTAGGAGGTGGGTTCGTGGGCACCAGGATGGGCCAAAGCCAGGCTGGTCAACGCAAGAAGCGCGACCTTGATGAAGTGCATTGTCTCGGCCGTATTGAGTCGGGGTCTTTGGGGTCAAATAGAAGGGGATTTGGAGATGATCGATACTTCATACTCACATCGCGGGATATAAGCGCCATTTATAGTGTATTTTCTGCAAAATGAGCCCCGACACCTTCTAACTCATATATTGACAATCTACAACTCGTCAGTGTTGTCGTCAGCTCAACATGGCTTTAAGCCTTGGGGTAGTATCAGATGGAGCAAGAGTTCTTGGCAAGACATCTTTTGAGCAATAATTGTATCTAGTAAAGAGGACGATGACGACACCAGCATCCTTGTAGCGAGTTTAGCTGACGAAAGAAGCCCTGACGATTGGGCACAAAGGACCTGCACAGTCTAGAGGTGGAACCCAATGGGCCGCTTCCCTGTCTGTTCCTGGGTACTGACACGCTGTGATCTGCAGCCAAGTCTTCTATTGCGGGCAAGCATGGCACTTCGAGGAGATGCGTGCAGATAAACAATGGTAAATGGGAAATGAGGAAACAAGGCTCAATGTTTCTCTGGCATTTTCTGAGCGGTCCTGTTGATCAGAAATTCTTGCCAGACAGTTTGTATAGCGTTTCTGTGGTTTCATTTCAATGAGTTGATCAAAAGCAACGATATGACAACGTTGGCATAGTTGAGACGATCCAGAAAGTCTGTGGCCGCCAAGATCACGGGCTGTGGGTGACGTGGATACTGAATTAGTGAATACGTATGGATTGAAGCTCGAGGTACTAGAGGATTTGAGTATAGAAATACGGCAAATGTACATAGTAGTAGCATAACCGAGTATACAAGCTCTTCAGATTCGGAGCAACCTTGTCAAGGCCCGCTGACTCATCTCGACCTAAAACGAACTTGGCTTCGGAATGTGTTCAAATCCGCTCGAATCCGTTGGTCTCAGTGGCCAACGGGAAGTGGGGCAAAGTGCTCATCACCTCAATAGGCTCATATCGATGAAAATAGCCTGATGATTCAGCGGCGACAAGCAATGTCTAGCTCCGAAATCCAGTCACAATTCACCACCTAACTCCCCATTGGGACTCCAAAGGCTTCCGAGTATTACTTTATGGACGACGCTACTGGCTCAAAGGGCGGAAAGGGGCGGAGCGCGTGTGATCTATGTCGACACCGAAAGGTAAAACCCACACAATAACCTCTATTAATGTCTTCCATGGCCCCTATTCTAATTCCGACCTCGTGCAGATTCGCTGTGATAGAAACCAACCAGCCTGCGAAAATTGTCATCTCGCAGGATTGCCATGTACTTTTTCTCAGCCTCTGTCTCAACATCGAAAGAGTACCCGACAGTAAGACCATTAATCATTTTGCCCCTCTTAAACAAGCGCTAACGGTGACACAGGGAACTGGCCGACACCAAAGCTCGGGTTCGGGAACTGGAGACGATCTTGCTCGGACTTAAGCAAAGCCATAAAGGGCTAGCAGTCCCTTCTCCGAGCAGAACTGCTTCTCCTGGGCCCCTCAGCCCACTTTCGGTGGCTTCTTCGCTCGCATCCGTAGCTGCGACGGCGAGTTATCTGCCTGATACACGCGATTTCGATACCGCATTGGCAGCTTTCCAATGGCACATTTCCTACTGCGGGCTCGGAAGTGCTCTTTCCACCCAAAGAGCGGCTTTTTACTCCCTCATTGAACAGCAAACTGGTTGCACATTTAATGTGGATGTTTTTGCCCATGAGGTCACCCAATCGTTCAAAGCAGCGCAACTCAAATCAACTAAAAAGGTAGTTGGTATTAAGTGGCCAGGGTCCGCACTTGTTCAGCAATGCTTAGAATACTTTGACAGAAATGGGCTGTACTCTATATTTCCCATTGTTGATGTGGAGGCGATGCAGATCCTTCTCAATGCAAATATTTTGGATCAGCCACCACACACGACTCGTGTTGCCAATCGTGCCTGCCTGGTCGCTTTTGCTGCAATGATCACCCAAATTCACCGCCATGAAGCTGCTTTTGCAGGTACTGACCCCGACGCCTATGCGCAAGCTGCGCTCACGCTACTTCCTGAATTGTTACTCGAGCCTCCCGATTTGAGGACTCTAGAAGCAGTTACAATATTGGTAAGTCGCTCGCATAGGGTAGATCTTTGGGATAAGATGATCTAACAAGCATATTTGCAGATGCTTTATATCACTCCTCTTGGCAGGCCCCAAGCGGGAGAATTACTACTAGGCATCGCAGTGCAGCTTGTTTATAATCTTGGCGCAAACAAAATACAAAGGCCCCACGAGATACATAGAACAGACCAGCGAAGCCAACATCTCCGGGCTATGTTCTGGCATTGCTACGCCATCGACAAAGAATTTTCTATTCGAAAATCTCAACCACCCTTGATAAATGATGACGATTGTGATTTAGATCTACCCACGACATATGCCCGAAACACATCAGAGCGCCACTTCTATATGAAACCGTTGTCCTCGAAGGAGCTCCTTTTCCCCTCAGATCTCCGGTTCTCCGTGCTCAAATCTAAGATTTTTCGGTTGCTTTATTCGGTGCACGGTCAGGCATTGCCTGAAGCTCGGCGTCTTCAACATATCCGCGAACTGGATCAGGAATTGAGCGATTTGAAACAAGGGTACCCCGTCGACTGTCGGCCTGATGTTTTTGCTACCGAGAGCGCACCGGACTATCTCTTCCATGATCTCAGTATTCGCGGTGTCAATATTCACTTGGAATATTATTACTGTCTCGGGAAAATTCACGGAGCGAGTAGCTCTTGCAGGATACCTTCGCCGCAGAGCTGGTCGCCTCTGCCATCTAGTGCTGAGCTGTGCTTTGAAGCTGCGCGGTCTTCCTTGATCTATATTTGGCGAACCCGTCAGTTTGTCAACCATCATACATTCTGGTAAGATTCCCGTGCTGCATCGTCGCGGGACAATCATGGTATGGTTTACTGACTGCACCATAGGATCCACGCACAATTTCTTCTTTCGGCTGTTTTCTCGGTCTTTTGGTATCTCATCACGGTCCCAACTTCGCCCACTTTTGCCCGGGATCTCAAGACCTTGGAGGATATCGCTGAGCTGCTGGCTCAGCTTAACAAACCCACAGATGACGGGCAATCATTCCCGCCGTTTTATCTATCGCAGGCTTTCATTGAGAGGTTGATCTCGCTGGCGAGGCACTCCCGGCCTCAGATTGCAAGCTCATGATTGAGTCATGAACCACCTCACACTTCCCAATTGTTATATTTTCTTCAGTGAGGTTGATACATTTGTATATATTGAAATTCACAGTCCCCACACGAATGGAAGACTTATCGAGATCAACCACAATTTACAACGTAGGGGTTTGAGAAGCTGCCCAGGTACCTATAACCCTCCTCTACCTAGTTAATTATGAACATCTGATATCGGATCGACTAGGCCGATCAGTAGATACATTTTCTTTACATAAAAAGTCCGATTATGCATGGACAGGTCAATTCGACATGACCTTGCATCAATATTGGCCTGATCCCGGAACCAGCTGCATATTCCTTTAGGTTGGTCGCGAATGTTTGCTTTTTTTCCGACCGACATTTTTCCACCAATCTTCGGTCTTTTAGAGACCATATATACTCTGTGAACACAGTTGCTTTTCTTTCTCCTCATTCGCCCTTTTCCTGCTTCTTCACTCGACCTTCACCTTACCGTATCTTTCTCCCCTCGATACTATTTTTCATAACTATCCCTTTCCATGATGCCCTTCCACGTATCGCACTCACTGACACCATCGATGTTTCCTTGAATTGCCATGTTTGTGTGATATGGCTGTGATCATCACACCACAGAAGCTTGATCCCTTGGAATTGGCCCGTCCCGCTATGTCCGCCGTATATATAGCATTCTAATTCTCGATTTTTCAACAGCCCAAATCCTTGCCGGGCTAGCTCAATCGGTAGAGCGTAAGACTCTTAATCTTAAGGCTGCGGGTTCGACCCCCGCGTTCGGCTCTTCCTAAAAACCAACAGGTCTTTAAGATTTCTTTTTTGTTAATTATGTCTATTCTTTTTGGTCGAGATTGTTGAAGAAATGTTCGTTTAGAGGTGTCAATGATTTTTTCTAGTTTGGGTGCGTTAACAAAAAAACGAATGTAGAGTTGCTTGGATTTTACTGTTTCGTCTTGAACGACCAGTATCATTTGGCGTTGAGTTCTCGAGAGGTCTCCCTATCATTGTTGTTGCTTTGATCCGGCTTCACAATATATATCCGAGTGTCCGGGGACGGCGACACTATTATATTCAAATCGAATATGAAGTTTGGACAAACCAAAGTGAAATTAATCTGATATTATTTGTTGCTGCACTCAAGGCAATCAACTATCACTGACTATATACAACACGGCGATACCCAAGACAGCGTTAAACCGAATCATCATTCATCATAAACTACAAAGTGCAACGCACAACAGGCCCGCATAAGTCGCACCCAAGGGGGATGCAGCGCTAAAACGACATTATCAAATGAAACTCAAAGCTTGGTTCCCTCACGTCCGCTGTCACTGGACCGCCTAGCTCGAAGCAATCCCAGTGATTGGGCGGTATTTTGACTCGGACCAGCTGTTGACGTCGACGAGGATTCCAAATGTGTTCGGCCTCCCTCATTTGTATTGCTGGGGCGGATACCTCCCCGCAGTCCCTGGTGAAGCCGCGGATTCATGAGCCATTGAACCTGCATGCGGACACTATTCACTGCAGCATTTGTGAGAGCCATGTCTTCCTTGATGCGCAGGCATTCATTCATGATAGCCATGCTGGCCCGAGCATCTAGGTCGTTAATGGCATGTGATAGTTGGTCGACCTGCCCGCGAAGGGATTCGTGGAGCGAAAGCAGATAGCTGTTGGCAGTTGATGAGAATATGCCTGAGGCAACATCTTCAGAATCATCTGTATTGGCCTCTGTACGTGCCAGGGGCTGCTGATCCCTGCTACCCCGGGCGGAGGATCCGCCGCCATGCCCATTAGAATCTACTCGCGTGGCATCAACCAAAGTGGATCGTATATTGGCAAGCCCATCTTCGAAAATCTCATTGCGCTGCTGGAGGTGGCGCATGCCCAATTCGAGGGAATTGAGCCTGGCGTTCTGACCCTCAAAGTACGGGCCCATCGCGACCAGTGGGCAGCTTTGCTCATGCGTTGGAATGTCCGCACGCCGGACTTTGACTTGGCAGGCATACTTGGATGCTGAGCATGGGATCGCAACTTCCGGGCATGTTTCAACATGTGCGTTCAGTTCCCCCCGAGTAACAACTGTCTGACAGTCCCCACAAGTGACTTCGAGTACTGGGCAGAGCTTGTTCTCATGTTCCTATACAAAAAAGGGTCAGCCATGTCCATAATTTCACTAAGATACTGAAGGAGCGACCAACCTCGAAATCTTGCTCGACAACTTCCTCCTCACAGCGAGAACAGAAGCGCACTGCATGCATGCACTTCGTTTTTATCCCGACGTCATTGCTTCGCATCATTTTATCGCACGCATCATCCGGACATGGTACCAGCCGATATCCACAGTATTTTTCGACATGCGACTGGACATGACCCCGGGGTATGATCTCCTGGCAGCCCTCAGCCAAGAGTGGACACCTCACTCGAATCTCGTCACACATGTTGATCAACAGGCGGGGCACGCTGGTCGACACCTCTCGGGTGGGGGTTCGGCAAGAGGGACACGGGAATTCCTCCGAGTCGGCCGAGCGGAAGGTGTTGATGGCCGAACTGAGGCAACTCCCGCAGAAGACATGATCGCATTGTAGATGAACGGGATCAACGAAGGGGCAATGACAAATCGGACACATGAGGTGGGTGTCATATTCGGAAACGAAATCGAGGCCGCGGAGGTCGATCAGCTCGTCGCGTTCGCGGCTTTCCTCCATCGCTAGAAACTCCTGTAGATTCATGATGCGCGAATTCAGAACCTATATCAAGGTTGAAAATACAAAGCAAGGTACCAGTGGGAACTTATTCCCTATATCGTTCTTAGAATGCGGAACCAGCGCGCGGGTTCATGCAGGTGGTTATCCACTAGATACCGAGGTAGGCCAGCAGGTACTCTGGATCCATGAGTGTGACCCAGATCAGAAAACAATCAGTTGAGCGATCGGAAGATGCTGGTTTAAAATAATAAACATGCTAAGACATCCGAATCGAAGAAAAGCAGGGATGCGGGGACCGAAGGGGCGGCGAAGGCGGAAAGCGGTCGATCTACAGTCATCTCTTGCTGCCTCCGCTTGTATTCCTCGTCTTACCCATCTCCATTTCAATCCTGTAAACTTTTTGACTTATTATACTTGGCTCATCGGAGGTCTTTCTCCGCACTGACCGCCCACACGCCTTTCGACCAATACATTTCAACAATAACACCTTCATTCTGACACCTCATCATGACGAACCCATCTCAGCTATTCCTACTCGCCGATCACATCAAACTATCACTCTTGGAGCGAGAGCGGGCGATTTCACTAGACCTCGAGCCCAATTCTCAAGATGGGGAGATTTCCCGCTCCCTCGAGTCCCTTCGGGAGGGCATAGAGGCCGTGAAAGCCGATCAAACCCGGCTAGCGATTGCGCACGACAGCGCAGGCGCCGCCGCCCTCAAAGACCAACTTGGCCCCCTCCAAGCCCAATACCAAGACCTGTCAACCCAGTTCCACGGCGCAGATGTCGACCCAACGAACACCTCGACGCAGGCGTCGAAATCCGCAACCCCCGATCTCAAGCAGCCGATCCCCCAACACCCTACTTCCAAATCCGTCCGGTTCATGGACAACTCTGCCGCTACCGCTGCCGTGCAAGAAGAAATCGACGAGGAGGAAGATCGCGACCGAAACACCCTCTTCCGTCCGTATCGCGATCAGCCATCGCCGCCACGTCCGGACCAGTCTGGTATGGACAATCAACAAATATACGACCATCATGCCCAGACTATGCGCGACCAGGATGACCAGTTAGATCGACTCGGTGAGTCGATCGGAAGACAGCACCAATTGAGTATTCAGATTGGAGACGAGCTGGACGGTCACGTTCAACTGCTGGACGGGATGGAGGGAGACGTTGAGCGTCATCAGACTCGACTGGATGGTGCCAGGCGGCGCATAGATAGGATCCGTCGGAAGGCTGGTGAGAACTGGAGTATGATGACTATCATTGGATTGATCATTGTTCTGGTCATCTTGATTGTGATTTTGAAATGATACAAACCATATCATTGGAGGTTATTTTTCCGATACTCTTTCCGGCGAGCGGGCGTTTTTTTTTGACTTTTCTACAATGAGGGTATTGATCCCACCCCTGATGTTTCCTGGTGTTTCGAGGCGTTTTAAGACAATTGAATTATATTCAGACTCCACACCGGACTTATCATACTAAATCTACGGATCTTAATTGATAAGTTCTTCCAAATATGGTTATTTGTTCAGACATAACGTATCAATTGTCATTTGTGAATGCGACGATAGATAGATCACCCCAAAGACTCCCTATAAACCCCAGTCATAGCTGCCCAAATCAAGTACGTGTGTTGATAACAGATCAATCTTGCGATTGAACAATTAGAAACAATCGATCATTTGCAATCATTTCTTGCCCTCATTTGCCTTCTGCTGCTCGTGTGGCAAATGTTTCGTCTTATTTTGCATATCCTTGAAAGAAGAATGGTCGCCATCAAATTCGCCACGATCCGCTTTGATCTAAGTGGAACAAGGTATGTTAGCTCTGATCGAGTGGAACAGCTCCATGCACATGCCGACGACAGAGCAGGGGCGAGGAGCGTAGAACTTACTTCGGCTTCGCTGGTACTGGCTAGCTCAGACTTCCACTTCCCCTGGCCTTCCTTGGAGCTCTTGAGAGCGTCTTGCTTATGAGATTCATAGTGTTCAGCGAGGTTGTCGCGGTCTGTTTGAGGTTAGTTCGGTTGGATAGTGCGAAGATATAGAGACTACTGACGACGGTCATTCTCGTTCAAGCTTCGAACGGCTGATGTGTGAAATGTGGAGGCGGGGATAACGACATTGGAGCGGAGAGCTTGACGGGATGAAGCCCGGATAGAGGTGAGGAATGACATGGTGTATTTATTTGGGATGGAAAATGGGGTAGAATTGTGGAGTTTGTATGGAATTCAATTGAAAAAGGGGATTTATTGGAATATGTCTACGAAAACACAAGGTAAAGCAAAGTATTTAAAGTAGAGACACCTTTCCATTTGCTTCTGATTGTCTTGACGATCGGTGATGCATCATGACATCATCCGTTATTCCGAGTGGGGCCTGACAAACAAGGAGGTTTTATACATTTCCAACTCTACAACGTACATTAGTTAGTTACAGCTTTCTTTAGAACGCGACATTATCATTGGTTCTCATGTGGATGGGACTACTCACTAAAAAACAAAACAGCAGAATTTCTAATTATCGATTTTTCTGGCAATGGAAGAGAACACACTCTGAGTACATCACTATAAGAAGGACAGGTTAGCAATTTGTTTGACAAAAAACTGGGGGAAAGTTCACTTGGTAAACAAAGCTGGAAAAAAACGAAAAAAAAACTGAAAAAAAACTGTGCAAGCTGTCAAATTGATAAAAACATTCTATGCGTTCGACCCTGACTGCATGCAGGCAGTTTCCTCAATCTCAAATCGGAGTTGTAAGCGCTTATTTTGCTTCCATGAAAGGATTCGGGCGATACGACGCGTACCTCTAGGGAATGCCGAAAGTAGAAGAGCACATACTGCTTTTCCAACAACGGTTCCTAAAATGCCCTGGTATTCATGGGTGCCAAAAATCCAAGCTACTGGGATTTGCGCAGCAGTGTTGCCCTCATCGTTAAACGGCAGCCGGTTTCTCCGCGGATAAAGCTGGTGGTGGAAAAAGTCCCTGGTATCAGCATTAACAACCGTTTGAAAAAATACGTACCTCAGAGTTTCAATTGGGAACTCCGATGTATATTGCGCAAAAGCTATTTCAGACCAATGTGGTCCATCATATCTTTTAACATCCAAGGCAACGATAACTCCCTCTCCAGTATGATGGAAGTAATCGTTAAACCCCTCTGGTCTAGCGAGAGTTTGTTGGATCTCTATGTGTCGGTAAGCCTCATCGCCCGTTGGAAGGCCAAGAGACTCGAGTTCGCCTTCAAAGATGGGAGGTGGTGGGCCATGTCGGTCGAACATTACATGCCACCTATCTCGTGGGCTCGGGTTGGTGTCGTTAATCAAGTGGTTGAGTTTGACCAGGGGTACCGTTACTTTACAGCCAGGAGCAGTTGGGTCATCAAGCCATCTTTGTCGCCAGGCTCCGTGCATTTGGTGTGACCCGTAGCTATAATCGCTGGCGTTAGTGGATAAAGTATCGTTAAGGCCGGGGCCAAATCCGGAAGATTCTGATTCTGGCCCATTGTCCTTCAATTGATAGCTCCGAGCGGAAGAATAAGAAGGCGAAGAAGCAGAAGGGGCTTGAGGAATTTGGGGAGAGGGGGTTCTGGGCTGAGTAGAAGAAGGGAGGGGCATACTAGAGCCACCAGAAGTATCTGGCTGGTTTGATACCTCTCCTATATGTGGATTCCTAGACGGGGGAGGCTGGGACATGGGTAGTAGTTCTACGGTACCACCGACAGGGCTGGGCTGACGATTGTCTTCTGGGCTTTGTGAGCCTCTGCGGCGTCCACAGCAGACCAATCCACAAAATGGGCAACGAGGGTTCGTATTGAAGAATCTTTTATATAGTTTATGGAGTTTGAGGTTGTTGATATGTCTAAATAAAGAGTTGAGATATAGTTTATATACCTTTGGCCCGAGTAACGAGTTCAAAGACCTGCTCCAAAAGAAGGGCATAAAATGGCTTGAACAATGGGAACAATGAGGATAATAGAGCATAGACTCGACAATACAGAGAGCAGGTATAATGAGAAGATCAATTTCATAGATCTAGACAAAGAGGACAAACTATATTTAGACAAAGATGGCAACAACGGCATAGGGCCGACCTCGAGAGTGCCGAAAAATCGGCGTAAAAATTCCAGCCAACTATAGAGATTCTTAGCGATAATTTCATGATTGACAAGTTTTAGGCTTAAGATCACTTGAAATGGTTTAATGTTTATCAAGATGAGTCCATGATCGACACCTCGGTGGTTCGGCATTCCCGTTTGAGACAAGACTGACCCGAGCAGGCAGGATTTAGCACCTCATAACGTGGAGTGCATAATGTGGGGGAAATTGACGCAGAAAAGGTCAAGTCTGCTTTGTAGAACTAGTATATCCGGAAGGTCCAAAATAAACTATAAAGGTAGAGTTAACGTATCGATGATGAATATGCCTCAGTAAATCATGGTTTTCCTTACGGCACTCTTAGTCCTGTGGACATTCGCAGTCGCCAAAGCCGTTAATACTAGCTCTTTTTTACCAATTACCGATAAGCCACGGGTGTTCATTCTCTCCGATATCGCGAACGAGCCTGACGATGCGGAGTCATTGACTCGGTATTTACTTTATTCCAACCAATTCCAGACGGAGGGCATTGTCGCCGTCACATCAACTTGGTTGCAAAATGAGGTCCACCCCGAACAGATGCTGTCCATAATTGATGCCTACTCAAATATCACGGAGAATTTGAACCGCCATGCACCCCCAGGTTCACCATATCCGTCAGGGAAGCATATGCGCAGTCTTGTGCGAAAAGGCGCTGCGGTAAGTACATTCAAGTCGAGTTATCTATAGCACTTGCCTGATATGAAGACCTCAAGACATATGGAATGACTGCGGTTGGAAAGGACATCCCTCTCAGTGATGGAGGAAGCCTGCTCTTGAAGCGTCTCCAAGAGGAATCCGACCAGCCCTTATGGGTCCTCGCCTGGGGCGGAACAAACGTACTTGCTCAAGTATTATACAAAATCCACGATACATACTCGGCAACCGAGGCTGCCACCTTGAGATCCCGCCTTCGTGTCTACACCGTCTCAGACCAGGATGATACGGGTGCATGGATCCGTCAGCAATTCCCAGAGATCTTCTACATCTCCTCAACTCATGGCTGGAATCAGTACGGTCTTGCAGCATGGATAGGCATCTCTGGAAAAGATTACTACGGCGAGGACCACGGCGGCCCTGATTTCTCTAAAGTCACCCCCAATTGGCTGCGTGAGAACATCCAAGTTGGACCTTATGGTAAAGCTGCGTATCCGGATTACCAATTTATCATGGAAGGAGATACCCCAACCTTTCTCTATCTCATCCAAAATGGACTAGGTGTCTCCGAGCATCCAGACTATGGATCTTGGGGCGGCCGGTATACGAAAGTCAATCCGTCCACGGTCCTTAATTTCAACCACTACAGCGATGCTGCCGACCGAGTGGTCGGCAAAAACAACGAAACTTTCATCTCCAACCGTGCAACAGTCTGGCGGTGGAGAAGTGCTTTCCAGAATGATTTCGCTGCTCGCATGCAGTGGTCTCTCCCTGCAAATATCAGCAGGGCAAATCACCACCCGGTAATTTCGGTAAATGGAAGTTTTGATATCGCTCCAATGAATGTTATCGCCGCTGCCGGCTCCACCATCACTTTCAATGCTGCAGCTACATCTGATCCCGATGGCGATAGCTTGAGCTTTAATTGGTTCCAGTACCGTGAGCCTGGATCAACAAATTGGAATGTCGCGGGTCAGGTGCCTGAGTTGAACGTCACATTGACTGATGGTGGCCAGAAAGCACAGGTGCAGCTTCCTGCAGCTAGTGAGAGCTGTGATGGGGAAGCTCTCACTTACTCAGGCTGCTGGCTACTACACTTGATCTTGGAAGTGACCGATGATGGTTATCACCCTTTGACGAGCTATCGTCGGATTTTGATTCAAACTACGAACGCTACTGAGGTTTCGGTTTGAAGAAACATGTTATGGAATAGTTTCGAATTATTCACTGATCCTAATGCCATCCATATGACGTTTCAAATTTATGCTTGCCAAGGCACACCCATATTGTATGAAGAGAATGGACTATTGATACAGTCTACAATCGAACAATTTCCCTTCCTTCTTTCTATCCCTGATCTACTTGAAGCATGAGAGCATAAACTGCAGTGCTAAACACATACATAGCGCTAGTTCAAAAGTTTCCGCCTCACTGGGAGACGTAGTTACAGAATGACAGATAGCTCCATTGACCAAGACTGATGTGCAGTACTTGGCCTGCGCCGAGCTATCTGAATGAGCCACATGTTAGATGAACAACTGGTTCGTTCTAACTAGTCCTAATAAGTACCTGTACTGTAATTACAATCGAGGATATCATTCTCAATGTACTCGGTGCTTCCTCTTGCTAAGTCCAAGATCACTTACATCCTTAAGGGCCTTTATGAATCGACGACATCCCGAACCATACCTCGATCCTTTTCACATACTTATATGGTAACCCAGATTTCCACTATCCGAGGAGCAATATATGCCTATTGTAGGCGGATAGATAGATAGGTGGCTTATCTATCCCGACCCCAGGGTTGAGCTTGAGAAGGGCAGTGATGCTCTGCTCTGCGACAACCCATCTTCAATTCGCACCATGGTTCTGCACCGGTCAGTATAAGAACAATACCCGTGTTTTCTACGTCGAGGCTACTACCAATGCTGGGAACACATTGGAAACGGGAACCTATTACCGCTGACTGTGATATTTGGTTACACTGCTCCTGATGGAGTTGGGGTTTATGGCTTCATGAATAGGATGGCAACGAAATTGACCAATTGGCTTTGTATAGGTTGCCTACTAAGGGGCTAGTAAGAGTTTTGTTTGCAATTGAAAATGCATGTGTTCATTTATTTGCCAGTGGCCAATCGTATCAAATCAAGTATTGTATGCTATGTACCCAAACGCCGAGTCTTCCGCAGAAGCCGTACCCATATGCACCACGCTGTGTAAGAAAACCAAAATATAGAGCATCTCATTCAATCAAATCCTCTGGGAGGACATCATCGGGGTTCTCCCCGACGGCTTGGCCCACTGCTCGTACGACGCGCTTGATTGCCTTGGACGCCGGGCTATCGGGGAAATTGTCCACAAAGCTCTCGCCAAAGTCGCATGCCATACCGACGCGGGGGTCCAGAGGCACAGCACCCAGGAATGGAATGCCCATTTTCTTTGCTAGTCTGCGACCCCCGCCAGTCGTCGCGCGGAAAATCTGGGACTCATGCGTGCAATTGGGACACACAAAGCCAGACATGTTCTCAACCAGTCCTAAGACCTTGATGCCAGCCTTGCGGCAAAAGTCGACCTCCTTGCGGACATCTAGAAGCGAAACCTCCTGCGGTGTGGTTACAACAACGGCACCGTCAACGCCAGACTCCTTTAGCAAAGAGTTGACCGACAGATGCTCATCGGATGTTCCAGGGGGAGTGTCGACAATGAGATAATCCAACTGGCCCCAGTCCACATCCTTGAGGAATTGTTTGATAAGTCCATTCTTCTTGGGTCCGCGCCAGATGACCGCATCGTCTCGGTTGGGCAGCATAAATTGCACGCTCATCGCACCTAGATTGTCGGTGACCCAGACCGGACTCCAACCCGCATTACTGACATGGATAGTCTCCGACTCCACGCCCATCATCTTAGGGATTGACGGCCCGCAGATATCGGTGTCCATGATGCCGACGGTTGAGTCTGGGTTTGCGGCGAAGCCATGCGAGAGAAGTGTCGAGAATGTTGACTTGCCAACACCACCCTTGCCGGAGAGAACTAAGATCTTGTGTCGTATTTGGGAGAGTCGTTCCGTGATGATTGGAATATCGGGATCGGGGCCTTTGGGCGCGGTGGCGCAGATTTGTTGGTTCGGACACCCGGCGCATGCATCGCCTTGGCCTGCTTTTTCGGATTCAGGACCTGGACAATGCTCTAGGTGAGAGTTAGCATGCGAATTTTGTCGAGGCTCTGCGCGTGCATACCTGGTTCGGGTGCGACAAGCTTGGGCGCCACCTTGGACGAGACTGCCATAGACTCCTCGGCGCGTTCCTGCACAAAAGGCGCCATTTTAGACTACTCTGTCTGATAGTGTATGCAAGAGTGACAAGAATAGCGGAATGGTAGGAAAACAGAGAAATTCAAGGTCCGGTGGCGGATTGATGCTTGATAAGCGGGAATGACAAAATCAAAAGCGGCGATTGGCGATTGGCGGGGCATCTATGGACAATCTGCGGTGTCGGAGTCCGCCTTCTTCAATCGACTTTTGATACATCTTGAGGGCTATAAATTGCTTGATAAAGTAGATCATGAATGGACATCGGTTGAGTAAGTTTAATTTGACGCAAGCTGGTAAACAAGAATTAAAACCAACCCCTGCGATCAACTATTTTCTATTTTTATTTGCTGAGCCCACTAAATCTCCATACTTCAAGGTATTTGTCGTCGCCATGTATTGATTTGCCTCCGGTGACACAGTCAAGATCATTGCTGAATGGGTATCTGCTGATGATTTGAAATGTCCGCGTAGCACCATGGTCAAGGGAGAGGAACGGTAAGGGATACGCGATTGTCCAAGTGATCTGGCTCGAATCACTTCCTTCAATGCGAGGAGATCTGTGTTGATCTGTTTTCCTTCTTGTTTTTCCTGGGCAGTTTGCTTCAACGCAGGACCAGTAGTGCTAGAGAGAAATTCGGCACCGGCTAGATCCACGAAGACGAGCTTTCCACCAACGCATTGATGCACAGCAGCTGTTGAAGTAATCACATGGGACTCATGCTCTTCTGCTTCTTTCACGCGGCATTCAAACTCCGTTTTTATAGCCTCGGCGGCATCGATTCGAGTTTGATCCACTTGATAGTCAGGATTAGGAACAAATTTACCCCCTTCGGTTTGGATGACCGCGCGAGACTGTTCTTCAATGTACACGTCTGTTGCGTGTTTACCAACAGGGACAAGTTCTGATTGCCGCTCAACGACTTTGTCGCGTGCATCGAGGAGATCCTTGGTAATGATCTCCAGTTCGATGACAGCATGGGTTCGCGAGCTTTGGTCGTGAACAGTCGATGTGGCAGTCTTGCGGTGCTTCAAGGCTTCCTGTAGTTCCTGGCGCAGTTCTTCAAAGCTCCAACACGGCTTGGTAGCAATTGGCCGAACCCTTACTATCCCGTTGTCTAGGATTTCAGTTTCTCCGCGGATATAGACCCTGCCATCCGAACCCTCGCGCACAAAGCATTCATTTCGCTCGTTGAGTAAATCGAACGCGATATTTTTGCGTAACTCGAAGACTCGAAGACCAATGCCAAATCGGTGTATGCTATCCTTTGCATTAATGCCATCCAGGGCAGTTCCAAGTTGGCGGGCAGCAGCTAGACAAAGACCGAATTCCTCATTGTGCTCAAAATCGTATCCTATCATAGTATGAGACTTGCCGCTCCCTGAGTGGCCATACGCAAAGAAGTTGCATGATTTGCCTTGTAATACGTCTGGAATGATCGGGGCGACAACGCGATTGAACACTAGCCGGTTGTTTTCTGCATGTTCGATGATACCATCAAATGAAGGTCCACTCTTCCATGACTTTTCTCGACCCGACACCGCTCTAGTTTGTAGGGGTGATGTTATAGAGATAGATGAGTGTGAATTGCTCTGGCTGTATTCTCTCTCAATTTCTCCCTCGGATTTTGTCAGGTCCAAAGGACGCCATCTGGTCCATACTTTGAATGTACCCATGTTTTTCTTTTTCTGAGTGAAGTCGAAACGTAATCAAATACGAGAAATCAGGCAAGTTTATATGAATTTTTACCCAGCGCTAAGCCTTATTAGGCCACCACATGAGAGCTAGATAGATGTACCCTGAGGGAAATTGATAGTGGAATTGGTAATGAAAGGTACAGTCACTGTTCAACAGTATTAACGACACCTTAGCCCCATTCATATGGCACCTTCCTATATAGTCTACACCGCTATACGCCGAACGGGGCTTATCCCGCTCTTTGGTAACCCCGAGGCTGGGCGTACTGGTATCACGGGTGCTGTTATTGAAGAGTAATATCGCCGGATCCTTCCTACGTTAGTGTCGAACGAAGGTACATATTTTCAGCATGATAATGCACCTACACACACTGCATACGTTATTCGGAATGCTTTACGCGAGATGAACCTTGAAGTCATGGAATGGCCACCGTACTCGCCGTATTTAATCCCAATTGAAACCTCTGTGCGCTGTTAAAAGCTGTACTTTATAAGCTTCGGCCTGATCTTATTCATATGAGGAATAATGAGGAAACCAAGGCTATTCTAGAGGCTAGAGCGCAGATTGCATGGGATCAATTGGCCCTAAATCACCTGGAGTATCTCTCTGAGACGATACCAAACCAGGTGGAAGCTATTATTGAGAGCCAAGGGTAACTAACTACCCCGTACTAGTTAGATAGGTTGAATTCATGGAGGTTTTATACCAGTAGAAAATTATATAATCAAGGGGTGTGTGAGTCACTATACCTTTTATTACCATTTCCACTACCAATTTCCCACTAGATTGATCACGTCTATCATCTTCAATGGCCTCCCTCTCCCACCACCTATCTCTGAATTCGGCGAGCCTTTCTATCGCTCAATTGAGCGAGAAGAGCGGACGAGATGTCCCAGGGTGAGACGACAAAACCGGACTATTATAGCCACGTAACTAGCTTCAACAATGTAAATTACATTCTGTAAGATGCCTATGTGTCTGTTCTGTTTATGTTTACATTTGAGCAGGCCGTGTTCCACGAGCCAAATTTACGATCATCCCATGTAAAAGGGTATCAGGGACAGCTAGTATGTAACGCTGTCCAGGTTGAGAGGGCCACATATTCAAGACAACAGGGTATCCTGGTCCTGTCAGCACTTAACCAGGGGGTCAGAACTTTGATCTAGCGCTTTCGTTGCAAAAATGATACGGAGTAGACGTGGCCCTAATGCAGGCTGCAGACAATGTGCCGTGAATACTGTAGGAGACAAAGAAGCGGGGATCTCAAGCTGCAACTCACACTGGATTGCCGACCCTCAGTGCATTGCAGCAAAAAGTGTAGGCAGGCAGTGCAGAAGTGAAACAAACCATTATGAATACTAATTATCAATCTTGTACGCACTGACATCAATGTGCGAAATCGCGCAGATCAAATGTCAAAGTGTAGTTGCATTTCCGCATTTGCCGCATGCTTTGAATATATTGTACCCCGCTGTTGAAAAGGGTCCACGGGTGTATTCCCATGAAGAAAGTCATTGCAGACGAGGTTGTACAAAACCGTAATAGCTTTTATAACTCACATTTGTAGACTACTCTAATGACTTAAATGCCTCTAATGTTTTTATAAAAGACGAGAGTTCCCAACAATTCCAAAGTTAGCGTTGTGGTCAATCAAGGCCCCATTTCTTTTCTCTTCGGCTCCATTCGATCGTGAGAATCCTCATTGTAGCTCTCAACGGGTTCCACACCTATTTCCCCATAAATACTGAAACTTGCTTCTCGCCAATTTTTTCTCCGGAATTGACTTTTTTTTCTTTTAGGAGAAAAAAAGAAAAATAAAGGCAAAAACCTTACAAAATATAGAGAGAATCCTCTGTCGATAGGACAAATTGCTGGAAGTAATTTCCTCATAACTGACTAAACCTAGTTCCGGGACTGTCACATGCCATTGTCGTCACATTCTTCCTCAACAAATTTTTTTGTTTCCTCTTCTCAACACCCTTGAGTGTGGTACACCATGGATCAAGGCCTTTCAACAGGGGCCCATCAAAATATTGATGGGCTACGAGAGAGAAATTCACGCGTCGATTCAACAGTCGGCCGCGAGGCTTTAACAGCCACCGGGGAAATGGAGGTCAAAGATAAAGATGGCAAGGAGTTGAAAACATTTGGGAGAACTCCCGATGGAACAGGTAAGCATTCGGAAGAAAGTGAATTATAACAAACTCCAGTGTGCACTGGATGATTTCACCTACCTCTCTTGTGTAGTTAGTTATATTGAGAGCCCGCTGCTAACCGGATCCGTCCCCGCAGTGTTTACAGTCCCTCAAACTCATGACATGGTCTCCCAACTCCTTTCACCCTCTGAACCCAAGAATTTTGGTGATCTCGTGGTGTTGATCTTATTGGCGGGTCATATCTGGTTCCTTTGGGTACTCCCCGCAGGCGCCAAAATCCCAGTTTTTGCAGTCACCTACCTTTTCTGGCGTCTAGCCTACAATGGAGGGATCGGGTGGCTGCTTCACAACCAATCGCACCACAAGACACTGCTTCGATGGGCGGAGAAGACTAAGGTGTTTGTTAACCCAGCCACTGGGGACAACCCACACCCCAAATTGTATAATTGGATCAAGCGGGAATTGGAGACCAAGATCCCGCAGGATTACTCATTCGACAAAGCTCCAATTGAATACAACACCTGGCTTGTCTTTAGACGACTTGTGGACTTGATTCTCATGTGTGACTTCACCTCTTACTGCCTTTTCGCGATAGCTTGCGGCCACCAACCTGTTGATGAGAGTATCTTCATGACCGTTTTGCGGTGGTCCGCAGGTATCGTGTTAGTGTTGTTCAACCTCTGGGTCAAATTAGATGCCCATCGAGTAGTCAAGGATTATGCTTGGTACTGGGGTGATTTCTTCTACCTCATCGACCAAGAATTGACTTTCGATGGTGTCTTCGAAATGGCACCTCACCCTATGTACTCTGTCGGCTATGCAGGCTATTACGGAATCTCCCTGATGGCGGCCAGCTATAAAGTCCTTTTCATCTCGATCATTGCCCATGCAGCACAATTCGCCTTCCTCGTCCTCGTGGAGAACCCGCACATCGACAAAACCTACAACGCGCCACCACCCCGAAAGCGCCCTACCTGTGTGGAATCCACCTCCCATCTACTCGGCGATCTAGACACTCCAAACGCGCCAACCCCGTCTGAAGATCAAGTTCCCTACGCGACACCATCGTATTCAACTAAGCCACCCCAGTCCGTTCACAATCTTTTGGGGCTGCACAATTTGGACCTGCATAGAACCACAGACTCCTCCATCATGCTCGTGCAACTTCTTGTATTTTCAATCACTGCTTTGACGCCCTCGACACCAGGGTATCAGTTCCTGTTTGTTGCCCTCGCCGCAGCTTCCAGAATTTGGTATTCCGTAGGCATTGGGTATCTGCTTCGGAATCAATCTAACACCAAGTCTTGGACTAGACATTTCGTCAAGTATGGTGAAACCCCGCACGAGGCATGGAACCAATGGAAGGGTACCTATCATCTGAGCATGGTTTTGTGTTACTCGAGTTTCATCGCCGCCGTGTGGAAAATGTACACTTTACCTGCCGATTGGGGCTACGGTCTAGTCCTGTTCCGCCACGTCCTCGGCGCTGGACTGATTAGTCTACAAATCTGGACCTCGGTCAGCATTTACGAGTCCCTCGGTGAATTCGGATGGTTCTACGGTGATTTCTTCTTCGATGAATCTCTGAAGCTCAACTACAACGGTATCTATCGTTTCCTCAACAACCCAGAGCGTGTTCTTGGTCTTGCGGGTGTATGGGGTGCAGTCCTCATTACCAGCAGCGGAGCCGTCATCTTCCTCGCTTTGCTGAGCCACATTTTGAGCCTGGCTTTCATTCAATTTGTTGAACGTCCGCACATGCAAAAGCTGTATGGTCGCAGCCTTCGCCAGGATGCCGGTCTCGTCAAGAGTTTGAAGCGGTCTCTACCACCCTCTCTTCAACAGCTGCATGGTAGTGTTGATAAGATGTTCGATGACTCTTTCGAATTCATCGAGGAACTTCTTGATACTGCCCGGCCCAAACTTGCCGCGGGCGTGAACACCTTTGTCAAGGACACCACTGCACTCTTCCAAAAGTACCCTGCTCGTGTGACCATTTCTCGGATTGATGCGGATTTGGCCGGATTCGATCTCAGCGATTACTCTCTCTCACTTGAAGGCACGAGCGGTCTGTCTTTCGAAGATAGCGAGAAGACCAAGGGCCGGGAAGGTGCCAATGCGCGCATGCCGTTGGACCGCCGAGGTGACCTCAAGGACTTGACATTCGAATACGGTTCTCCCATCAAGGTCAAGTGGACTGCTCCTCTCAATCACAGTAAGAAGGATTGGATTGGTCTCTACCGGGTCACAGACAACACTTCGCGAGAGGTTACTCGTGTGTCGTCACAAGGCCGCTGGGTCGCCACCAACAAAGGCTCATATGACAATCTGACCTGCGAGAAGGGTATCATCAGCAGTGATGTGGTCATCACCTCATCCCAGCGTCAAGGCAAAGAGAACCGCGAGTTCGCTTCTGGTGAAATTATTCTTTCTGGCGATAAACTCTTCTGGACGCAAGGTGTCTTTGAACTCCGCTACCACCACAATGGTATGCACAATGTCATGGCCATCTCGAGACCGTTTGAGATCCGTATCCGTCGCTCCGACGAGGATGACACCCTGGCGGACGGTGAGACCCTCGCAGAGCCAGCTGTCGAAACCGCATTGCTTCCTGTTGTTCGCAACTGTTTCGACCAAGATCCGGAGATTGCCCCAGAAACTGTGGACGAGCAGTTTGGTAGCCTTGTAGAGCGGGATGGCAAGTTTGCCAAGCGTGTTGTTTTTGCTGTCCATCAAATGTGAGTGCCCCGTCACCTCCTTTCAAAGCTTCCTTTGCTAATCCAGTCATAGGTTCGGTATCGAGTTGGCACCTGAGGTTGTCAAAGCTGATGGCAATGTTCGAAACCTCGCCTGGAGAATCTGCAACGCGAAGAAAGTTCTCGTGAGTATACAAATAAGCAGGCGAACTTTGCCCAAAGCTAACAATTATCATGCAGGCTCCTTACAGCATGTCAAGATCCAACGGAACAACAACACCACTTGAGGATAGAAAAGAATGAACTTTCGATTCAGATCATGAAAGGCTTCGGTCCAACCAGATTTCAAAGTGACGGAGGGTGGTCCGAGTTGGATGGCCAGCAACAATCCATGGTGGAATGATGCTTTGTGATTGATGCTTTTGATGGAGCAGGAAGACAAAATCACTAGGCGGAAAAAAAGGGAAAAAGAAAGGATTCAGAAGATTTCGAAGATGAGAGGTGTTTTCTAATTCTGCTTGATTCCTTTCCTCACATTCATAAGATCTTGTGAAGGCGTAAGGTGATGATTCCCACGATGTTTTGTTTAGATCTCAAGGGAGTGGGTGGGTGTGGTGATTTTATATCTGTTTGGTTTTTGAAGACCCAGGGGAGGCTTGATTTTGATAATTCCACTCTAACTTTGTTGTATATAGCTAAGGGGGATAATACCAACTATTGCTTTTCTTATGATCACGTCCATTCCGCTTCTCGGTGGTGTTAATTAGGACGTATGTACATATGTATTCTTGGGTGACAAGTACAACAAAACAGCGAGAGGGTCCCTTGACGTATTAAGTGCAACCAGCTTGTTCTAAGTACTAGTACGGAGTACGGAGTATAGAATGGAGCTTTACTAAATTATGTAACAGTAATAATACACATTAACCAATTTACTTGAAGATTTTGTGCCATAAATATATATTCATTTGTTTCATATGTATTTTGCAATAAACCTAAAGCTTTAATGTTGTCAGCACAAGTCACAAAGACCCAAAGAAGCAAAACAAGCACAACTTCACAATTGCAAGCAAGAGGAAGTATCCAGTGTATTCAGCCAGCCGTTTAACGCATCCCATCCCCTATTGGCCTCTCGCATCAAGCAGTCACCCAAGACGGATAAGTAGCCCAACACGAGAAAACCAACACAAGCCAAGTATAGCAGTACCATGCCGCGGACAAGACAACAAGGCGAAGAACATGATCAGACGCCGACGAGCCCAAGGCCTCCAGGCTCCACAACCTTCCTCCCTATCATGCCCGAAGACACGTCAGGTCCAGTATAAGGGAGTTGGAAAACAATGGATCGACGTCTGTATTCCTCACAATGTTGTACGGCAAGGGTGCAACCCGAAGGGCGGTCCTCAAAGAGGTCGTTGAATGGATAGACTAGGTGTCATCATAATAACTGGGGATGTGTGCAGTGAAAAAAAGACAATAATGTACCTTTTGCATGGATGAGAAGGCATATAATCAATTTGCATTACAATAACTAGATCTTTTCGACTTGTCAGTACTTGTGTCATCGACGTTAAGGCTGAAAGGCAATGATAATGGAGACTCAAGAAGGTTCAGGAGTTTTTGGTAAGGTATTTTGTTATCTTCAAAAATTTTGCAGAAGCAGAACTGAAAATTGTTTCTCATCACATGAGTGGAGTTGGGAAAAATAAAATAGAAACAAATGTCTTCTTACCTTGTTTAGTAAAAAGCTTTGGCAAAATCCTGTTGAATGGTTTGATGCCCATAGAGATTTTTGTACCTGACTTTTAAGCTATTGTTAGCTATTGATACAAACAATGAATATTGAAAACAATAAGAAGGTTGTGGTCATAGTCAGATGGTGATGCATGTTTGTTCTTGGCTCATGGGTTGTCGCCGAACTGGAGTTGGAACTCTCTCGTCATACAGACTGGTGCAGAAGGGTAAAAGTGGTACTCACATATTATCGAGTTAGTGATGAAGATCTTATAATCTATCAAACACCATCAAAGATAGTCCTTCGACATAAGAGGGACTTCCTCTTTTTTTTGAAGAGTTGTGTGAAAGGAAGAAAGAAACGGAGGAACAGAAACGAAGAAAAGTTGAAAAAAAGCCAAACGGCGCTAGGCGGTGGGGTGGACAAACAGTGCAAACTCCAAGATTTCCGTTTCTGGGACTTCAACCATTACGATTTCTCGACAGCTTGTATATTGCGATAATTCCTCTAAAATGGCTGATAAAAGACGTGTCAATGGCCCACCTGGTGGTACCAGGCCCCCGGTATATGCTTCTCTGCAAGAATCCACCACAGGCGCCGCAGACCGCGCCCAGCGCCAGCGCCAACCTGCTGAACTACGGAAAATCTGTATGAACTCCGGACGAGCTCCATATTGACTGCGCTGACTCTATTTTCCGCAGTTCTGAAAACAGGATTGATCCCCACAGCCTCAGGCTCCTCATATCTTGAATTTGAACCATCCGCCTCCCTCGCCGCTGCCCGCTCCAACCCCAAATCTCTGATTCCGCCCTCATCAGCACTCAAGGTGGCTTGCACCGTCCACGGACCCAAGCCATTGCCTCGCTCGGCTGCATTTTCACCCAACCTCGTTCTCACCACCCATGTCAAGTATGCACCATTTGCAGCCCGCAAGAGGAGAGGGCACATTCGCGACGCCAGCGAGCGGGATCTTGGCGTACATCTAGAGACCGCCCTCCGTGGCGCAATCATTGCTGAGCGCTGGCCCAAGAGTGGTCTGGATATCACTCTTACGATCATTGAAGCAGAAGATGACCGCTGGTGGGGCGATGCTCCTGATTCGCATGATGCCTCGTGGGGAATGATGAACGTCCTCGCTGGGTGTATCACAGCTGCCTCTGCTGCAATTGCGGATGCACACATCGACTGTCTTGATCTTGTATCAGGTGGTGTTGCTGCTCTGGTCTCAGACGAATCAGACAAGTCTGGATCAAGCGTCCCACGACTCATGCTAGATATGGATCCTGCGGAGCATCGATCTATTCTGTCAGCTTGTGTGGTTGCGTACATGCCTGCGCGTGATGAGATTACTGAGCTTTGGCTCAAGGGAGATAGCTCTAAAGCAGCCCTTGAGAAGGGGGATGCCCGCACAGCCCATGAGGCTTTGATAGATGGCGCTGTCGATGCCGCTCGTGGAGCCAATACGGTTTTGTCTGAAGCTGTAAGAGAGTCTATTGCGAGGTCTATTGCTCAAGTCTGAAAGAGCCATATCAAATAACGAATGAATGAAATTCACAAGCATATTTATCTTGTGTAGCAATAAGTAAATCGTTACATGTCTGGAATAGATTGATATTTCGAAATTGAGAGATCGAAGCACAAACCCTCTCCCAATGAGAACGAATGCAAGAAAAACCAGCAAAAGCACCTACAAAGCAAAATTCCTCAAAGACAGAAAATCATGAGGAAAATTGGCCTTTTAGGGGGGTGAGGGGAGTTGGCGATTTAGATCGTCAGCGCGAGAGGAGATGAAGGGCCGGAGGTTCCAAGTGCATGGCGGAGTTATTTTTGGTTTTCAGTTGTCAGTGATCCGCTGGTATGTAAGAGCCGTGTAACAACGGGGTCACTTTCAATCTTCATCCTGGCGTCTTCCACGTTGACGAATGCTTTTTGGATGGGCATGTGTCTAGGCCCGTCTCCAAGTAGGATTTGTGATATCGCGGTGGCAAAGGCGGCGGATCCTTCAGATCGAGTTGGGCAGGGGAAAGCCAGTAGGTAGGAAAAAGAACGCGAAATAAAGTAGCAGGTAGGCATCCAATCTAATCTTTCTCCACAACGTCGGACAGATCGAGGTCAGAAAAACCATCATGATCATCACTTTCGGACATGTTGAGTTTATCCTCAAGCTCTTTGCGCTCCTTGTCTTTGTGCTCTTTGCCAGGCTTGCAATTTCGTCAAAAATCCCTGAAAAAGTCTTACCCTCGAGCTTGTTGAAATAGGCATTTAGGAGCAGACGTGTCATGTGAACGTCGGCGCCGGCACGATGCCAATTGTCCGAATAAGTTTTGTCTTCTGCGAAGTCAAGCGCGTAAAGGTGCCCGAGTTTCAATGGGGCCTTGGGACTGTGACTATGCCGGGCCATCTGCCACCAGGCTATTGGACGCTCATGCCATTCATGCTGAAGTGGCAGCAGATAGCTTGCCCAGACACTCTCCGATTAATACCTCAAACATTCGTAATCCCCATGAGTTGCCCCATTCTAAGAAGTACTTGATCTTTTCGTTCTGCTAAAAACAAATACTAATTCATAACCACGGAGAATACTCAAAAATTGGGGATAAATACATTTTATCGCGTCTGGATGTCGGTAGCAATCTCAGACATAAGAAAGAGGGTTGGGCTTAGATAACTATCACTATTCAATTCTTCATCTTTGACTACATGCTAGCTACCCTATAGCCCCATTAGCTTTATATGAGAGCAAGGTTTTGATGTAGTCAATGGTAATAGAGCAAGCACATGTTTATACTCAAGTTTAGTAAAGCGAAGGCTATTCAAGGCGTAAGATAGTAAGAAGAAGGGAACTTAGAGTAAAGTGAAGACTATGTAAGGCTTAAGGTAGTGAGAGACAGCGGAGTAAATTGCGGAAGAAGCCATATAGCATTCGTTCAGAATCATAGGAATCTATTCACAGATATGTTATTATACGGTACTTTATATACAATTATAGGATATTGTTGTTCTCTCATCATCAACACGCCATTATGACTCCTATTTCCAGCAAAGATGAACCCCGAGGTGATAGAATGTGCAACGTAGTATAGCAAGTAATCAATCGAACTGCTGGAAACATCTTTGTGGCCATAAGGTGAGTAAGATGCCATCGCAATTGACCTTTAAAGTGGTATATTACTAGTGAGCTTTACCTATATCGAGTTCTTGTTGGAGTGGTCACCCACATTCTTGTTGTGACTTGTCTAGACCAAAAAAACATGGCGGCAAACGCAGAATTCAACAGGACTTAAAGCGCTGATTGAGCAGCTAATTCAAAGTATTCGTCTGTTACATCTGCTTGATGCCACCCTTGATGCCGCCTCTATCTATATTATCTTATCTTTACCTTTCTTTTCTCTTGAATTTATAGCATGTCCTATCTAAATACCTACATATATACATACGTTTATGTATGTAAGTACACTGATCTAAATACCTACATATATACATACGTTTATGTATGTATGTACACTGTACTCTGTACTCTGCAGATCATATTTAACGATTGGAAGTACTATAAAAAGCAAAAGCCCGCGCAAACATACTATATCCTAAATACTAAAGGGGTAAGTTAGAGTTGACATTCCCGCCACGGTCAAACGCTCCCGGCTTCGATGTCACGATCGTCTAGCGCAGGACCCATCTATCGAAACCGAAATATCGGATTTTAAATCGATCGATCGTAAAATTACGGATCTAAGCAGTTCGAGAATCAGAATCATCACCAAAGAAGCAGAAGCACTTGACTATTCGAAAGGTACAATAGCCTATGCACATTAAACACGCAGTGATAGCCCTCAACTCAACCTAAAGGGTCTTGCATAACCAAGGTTGAACATCGGAGCGGATCAAATTGGATTGTGACTAGTGTTTCAATATTTTTCCCCTGAGAGTTCGTGGATTTAACTATCTATACGGAATTGAATCCGAGATCCGCCTATGGCCATAATTTTAGTCCTTTTGCTTTTTCTTTGTTTAAGGATTCAATGAACACGAACCCACCCCTGTCGGCTAGTCAACTAGTACACACCTAGGCCAGGGAATAGTACTCCATCCGACAATTCGAAATGGCCTCCGTTTAACCGGTAAAAGCCAGAACTAAAATTGGGGATTCGTATGTTCGTCCCGCTAAGCACGAGACGGCTCACGGTCTGACGATCACCTCGTTACACCAATGACGATCCATAGGGAAATTGGGAGCTCCATTGCATGCCACAACCAGCCCCCAATCCACCTTGAGCTCCATTATCGAGTCGTTGATTGGAATCACTAATCCTGGTGACGGTATGGATAATGTGGCTCTGCCAGGGAATCACCGGAATCGCTCCAGCTATGGGTCCCTGAAGGTATTTTCGCCTGTCAAAAAAAATTTACATGTGGATCCCTCGGAAAGCTGTTGGGCTGTTGGCCTATTATTCTGCAGCCTGAACGTTGATTCGGAGAAAATGATATCTGCAAGGTCAGACCATTGAGATGCAGCTTTTGACTACTACAATTTCTTAGGATAGGAGTATTCAAAGTGTTTAATTGAAGGACAATTTAAAAGACGGTTCGGGAAGAGTCGAGCCTAGATTCTCCGAGGCCAACTTCGAATAAAGAGAACGTCGATGGAGTATACTCTTAAAGTTTTAGCGTGCGAACCGTCGCTCATCTGGAGTAGACCGGGTCCCCCTGATCCAAACACAGAACGGTGTTGGATCTGCACTTTCTTGACAAGATGTCTACGTTGTAATTTTAATTTTGATTTTCATTTTGTTCTGTTCTGTTTCTCTTACTCTCTCTATTTCTCTCTCTTTGTAAATCATGGGGAAAACACCTGAACCGTGTGTCCGTTTTCAATTTCTTATTTGATGCTATGACATCAAGCTGTTCAATTCTTTAAGACGACCGCTGGTCTCGTCGTTCCAATCATTATCTTGAAAGTACTACTATTTTCCTATTGCGCCTTCTTTTCCACTGCGGTTTTGTTCTATCCTACCCTTGAAACCGCTTTCATCTTCCATTCGCGCACCGGCTTTGCGCTTGATATCTATATAAACTTCAAGATGGTGGGATTGAAGAAATTTTTCCAAGAAAAGACTACTCGTCCGGCGACCAGTCTTGGACTAGAGGGCTGTGGGAGGGATGATCCCTATTATAGCATGGCGATTGACTCGCCTGCTCGAAGTCACTTCGACGGCTTCCCATCCAGAGAATCGCAGTCATTAGATGTGGCCCATCATTTTGATCAGATTGAAAAGCAATTCGAGGATCTACATGATCGTCTTGACCGGCCAACATCTTCTCAGTCCCAATTACCGCCTGCCACTCATTTCAACGTCCCAAAATCCCAGAATGGCCGATATATCGATTTGATGGATGCTCTGACCTCTTCGGAGCGCCCTCAGACGACTACTCCAGAATCCCTCTCTCCTCCTGTCAGCCCATACAATGAGGATATCGCAGAAAGGAATATGACCCGGTTTCTACGCATACAATACCGAAATGGACTATCTAGCTCCCGGATACTCTCGGCGTTGTACCAAGAAGATGTGGCGGACCGAAATATTGCAAAGTATAGCAACACTGGTCGCACTATGTCAAGCTTGAGTTGTCGATCCTCTCCGGCTGCACCTGGTAGAGTCCGTATCCCAGAAGGCCAAAGGCGCAAATCCAGGAAGCGCGATCCAGGGAAGCCTACATGGGCTTCAGCGGAGAATCTGCGGACAAACGCCTCTAAAGATGATGGCTCAGGCACCCCTTCCAAGGGAGGGTCTGGCAATTCTCTTCGGCCCCGGAGATCAGCACCAAGTCTTTGTGCAGATGAAGGTTTCATCCCGCAAGAAGATGCGCCACCAAGTCCTGTTCAGCGCTTGGGTGTCCCTCCTGCCTACAAACAAGGCAAAAGATGGAGCAACACGCCGCTTCCCGACAGTCCAACAATTCCTATCCCTACCCCTAAGGCAGATAGCAGTGACGCCACTAAGGCACCTTCAGTGCCAAAACCACCTTCGACTATAGCTCGCAGTTCATCATTGACCCCTCGATCAATCTCTCCGTCACCATCATCAGGATCCGGCTCCAAAAAGAATGCCCGAGGTCTTTCAATTAACACTCAATTGGCAACTCAAGGACGCCCAAAGATTGCGCACCGTGCCATCCAACCACCGACACCATCAACTTCTAGCATGAAACGAGCTCCGAGCATCGCGGAAGTGATGAACAGTCCTCTACCATTTCCCAGTCCAATCAGTCCCCCCAAATCGTTTCCAGGCTACAAAGCCTCGGAGTTAATGGACTTGTTCACCAAGGCATATATGTCTGCTCAAGGATCTCTTCCAACATACGAGTCACTCCACGATGCCATAGTCCGTGAAATAAACTCCCACGAGGCATTCCGACGTGTTCCTGTGCCAGCCCCAGGGCCCCCATTCACGCCCTCCCCTGAGCAGGGCGAGTTCGGCAATGCCTCAAGACCAGCAATTGGACTCAACCGGAGTTTTTCAACCAAAAGCCGGATGAACAAAAACTCGTTCACAAAACACAATAGAACACCAGAGTCCCGCCGCAGCATTTCAACCAGTGTCGGGTACGACAGACTCCTGAGAAAGGTCTCTGGGTCCCCTGCTCGCCGTCGACACACTGATGCCCCACCTCCCTCCCCAGGCTTCCTGGCAGAATTCCAACCTAAAAATCCCGCCGTCTCCTCACCTGTGACCGGAGAACCAATTACTTATATGGACGTGTTGCGCGCAAGCAGTGATCAACATGCAGCCTCAAGTGCCCACTGCGCGAGTCCCCATGTGTCCCGCAAAAGAGGCCGCTCCGATTCTGTCGGCAACCTCGCTGCTATCCCACGCTCCACCCCAGACATGTCTCCCACCCCGAAGACAGTCTACTGCATGCAAGCGCACTCCACTCCTTCAAGCAATGGTTCGCATGAAGATAGCGACGACGACATCATCCACCTTCCTAGCTTGACTATGCCGCTTCCGCGCGTGCAGATCGAAGGCGTGGACGAGAACAACGTGCGCTACGTGATTGATGCTGCGTCGCCTGACGATGCGCAGAAGCTTATGTACTGGCCTCAGCGTATTCGTGGGGGTGTTGGCTCCAAAATTTATGGGAACAGTCTGTCGCCCCTGTCTCGTGCGCGAATGCAGCTTCGTGGCTCTCGCTCCGTGGAATCTTATTAGGATCCAAAAATCCTCGCGGGGCAAATTATTGCCTTCCCGCATGATCATGATGCCTTAACGACTTTCTCTCTCCAAAAAAGCTGTTTCGGCCTTTTCGGGGTTTTCCTTGGTATTTTTGAATTAAATTAGTACCAGCTAATCTCTCACCATCTTTCTCACCTGTCACACCTTGTCATATATCTTCTTAACATACCTCCTACACATTCACTCAAGTCTCTCTCTCACACACACCCTCTCTCTCTCTCTCTCTCTCTCTCTCTCTCTCTCTCTCTCTCTCTCTCTCTCTCACTCCTCACTCTCACTCACTCACGTCTCTTTTCACTGTCATCTCGGCCGTATCAGTCTTTTCCAACGGCAACATTTCATCTTTAAGTTTCCTGTCTTAATAATTCGCTCGCATCACCTAGCGAGAGCCTTTGTCATTCTTGTCATACTTGTCATTATAATTATCTATGTATATTATACCGCTGAAGCGATTGCTTTCTTTAACCATACTCTGTTGCTCATCGTCCTTCATATGACTAAATATATATAGCTTATTTTTAGATATCAAACTGCCCTACGAGGCTGTTGCCTCGAGTAAGTCATTTGTTTGTTATTTCCCCTACTTTTAATTGATTGGACAAGCCTCCGTGTTGTTTGCCAACCTTGATAGACCAACCTTGGAAAGCTCTATAGCTTATTTCAACATCCATCCATACCATCTTTTTTGCTATTGATCCATGCACCCTCGTGCTTCCTCTTTACGGAGTAGTCCACCAAGAGCTCATGGGATTCCGGGGTTTGGAAATAATTATAATAATATAAAATATCGAAAAAAATTGCTAAGCCAAGCCACACTAGGAAGACCGAAATGGACCTAAGGAAATAGTCTTAGAAAAGAAATAATGACATGTCTCATTTCCATAATATCATTGCCACTACCTGCCATCTCCCCTCCTAAACTCCACAAATGACAAATCACCATTTCAAAGGATTTATTGGGATCCACAAAAGAAAATGCCATTCTCGTGCTCCAGGTTTGATTCACTATGCACCGCAGATTGTCGCAAAATACAATGCAATGCCTCTTGAACATTGCGGCAAAAGCCACAAGTGCCTTTGGGCGAAATCAGACGAATGATATGTTTCGCAAAGGAATAGCTTAGTAGGAGCCTAGAGTATAATAGTTAGTGTCTTGAACTCGATTGCAAAAAAGGAGCCTTAAAGGGCATAAATGACTTACGGCCAAACATGCACCACTTCTCGGCAAGAAGTGTGCACTTAGGGTTGCAGCAGGGAGTAACGCCCTTCTCAAGACCCTCAGGCTGATCGAAAGGAATGCAAAGAGACTTAGCACCCATGCTGGGGGCCTTGGAATCCTCGGCCTGACCGGACTCTTCCTCGGCCTTACGGGCACTCATATCCTTAATCTGGTCCTCACATGCCTCGGTCAAACAGTGGGGAATGACACAGACGTTCTTGTTGTTCAGAGCGGGAACGAAGTCATCCCACTTAGTAATCTTGATGCGGTGGGCCTTGTACTTCTCATCGGCACGCCTGAACAGGTCGGCCTGGATAGTCTCGAGAAGAGCAGGGACGGCAGTCGCCAATTCAGAAATGGGGATGGTACCCTTGCCGTCCTTGCCGGGAATATCACGGCGGGCGGTGGTGACGAAGTGGCCGGCGGACTCGCCGGGACCAAATTCAATACGCAAAGGCACACCGCGCAGCTCGTGACGGTTGAACTTCCAACCGGGAGAGTAGCTGCTGTTGTCACTTTCGACACGGATACCGGCAGCCTCGAGGACAGCAACGAGACCGTCAATCTCAGCATTGAGCTTCTTGCGCTCTTCCTCGGTAGTCTTGGCCGTGATACCAACTGGGACAATGATAGTCTGGACCTCAGCGACACGAGGAGGCAGAACCAGACCCTTGTCGTCACTGTGGATCATGACCATGACACCCAGGGTACGGGTTGACAGACCCCAGGAGTTTTGCCAGACGTGGAGAGGAGGCTTCTTCTCATCAGGCTTGGAGGAAGGATCTTCAACAGTAATGCCAAACATCTTGCTGAAGTTCTGGCCCAGACCGTGGGATGTGGCACCCTGGATACCGCGGCCAGTGGAGGGAATGTAACCCTCGACGGTGGTAGTATAGTTACCGCCAGCAAACTTCTCCTTCTCGGTCTTCTGACCCTTGACAACGGGCACTGCGAGAAGTTCCTCGTAGATCTTAGCGTAGTAATCAAGAATTTCGAGTACTTCCTCGCGGGCTTCACCCTCGGTAAAGTGGGCGGTATGACCCTATAGACATCAGTTAGCAATCTTTTCTCCTCATGTTTACGAGACGAGGGCTATAGCAACTTCATTCCATAAAAATTCTCTGGTTCGGAGGAATGGCTGTGGGTTCTTGAATTCCCATCGTACAACCGAGCACCATTGGTTGAGTCGAGAAGCAGGTTAGCAAGGAAGTATATCGAGGTTGGGGCCGGGAACATACTTGAGTGGAAGGTCGCGGTGACTGCGAATCCACTTGGCGTAGTAGGGATACATGACAGTCTCTGAGGTAGGGCGAATAGCAATCTTCTTCTCAAGCTGACTCGATCCACTGGAAACCAAAAATTAGTACCCGAGGTCGAGGTCGAAGGGAGGTGGTTTGAACATACGCATGCGTGACCCACGCAACTTCGGCAGCGAAACCCTCAATGTGATCTTTCTCACGCTGCAGAACATCCTCAGACACAAATAGAGGGAATGAGCAGTTCTTGACGCCAAGTTTCTTGATCTTTTTGTTGAGGAAATTTTGGATCTCCTCCCAAATGAAGTATGAGGCGGGCTAAACAGAGGTTAACACAATGTTTGTTGAAATTAGGATCAATTAAATGACCAACCTTCAGAATGAAACATCCTGAGATATCATAGTAGTCCAGCATGTCACCCTTAGTGAGAACCTGCTGGTACCAGCCGGGGAAGTCCTCCTCCTTTGAAACATCGATACCGATCAAAGCAGCACCATCGACCTTCTTCTTGGCAGCCTTCTTGGCTTCCGGCTTTGCAATTCCCTTCTCTCCCTTGTTGCTGGCCTTCTTATCGGCCTTGTCGGCCTGCAATTTGGCGAGTTTCGCGGCTTTTTTGGCAGCATTCTTTGACTCACCCGCCTGGTTATCAGCGGGGTTTTGAGTGCGGTCAGGCAGGGCCTGGGGGCAGCCTCGGTGGCAGGGACGTCGCTGGGGTTCTGGCTAGCCATATTGAATAACAATTGTCCGACTAGACAAATCAAGGGAAACCCGAATCAAAGGTTGAACGAGGAAATCGGGATATGACTCCCCTCCGTAAAGTGGGATGCGATATCGAAAATTACCAACACACCGCCTCGGCAGAACTTTTAGTGCCCACAGCACCCCCCCGTAGCCAGACAGCTCTGCCATCGCACTCGAACAGCTTAATTTCTTTCGTCTGTTACAGTTATGGCAGGCATCTTCGAGGCGCCGCGGAATGCGGACACACTATGTGAGATTTATCTGATCGATTTTCATCTCCTGTTGATGTGTACTGATCAATCTCGCACACAGTCTTGGGTGGGCAGAAAATCACCGGTGCTGATGTTCGTGAGCAAAATGGTATGTTGGATTATTGTTGATTAGGACTTTGCTTGGGCTTGGTCGCTGATTTCTTGAAGTTCTGGCTACACAGGCTATTTCCAATGTCATCAAGAGCTCCTTCGGTCCCTCCGGTCTGGACAAGATGATGGTCGACGACATAGGGGTATGCAATCGATAAACCCCGCAGAACTTTGCAGTTTCTCACATTTTGCAGGATGTTACCGTGACGAACGATGGTGCCACCATTCTCTCTCTGTTGGATATTGAGCACCCTGCGGGCAAGATCCTCGTCGATCTGGCTCAACAACAGGATAAGGAGGTAAAGTTTACAACACATATATTTTGGACATATTCTTACGATATTCACCTTAATAGGTCGGAGATGGTACTACTTCAGTTGTTCTCATTGCCGCTGAGCTTCTCCGGAGAGGTAATGAGTTGATGAAGAACCGCATACACCCTACCACGATCATCAACGGATACCGACTTGCCCTGCGCGAAGCCGTCAAGTATATGAATGAGAATGTTACGACTAAGGTGGACAATATTGGAAAGGACAGCCTTGTTAACATTGCGAAGACCTCCATGTCCAGCAAGATCATCGGTTCCGATTCTGATTTCTTCGCCAACATGTGTGTGGACGCAATGATGCAGGTGAAGTCTGTGAACCAGAGAGGCGAGGTTAAATACCCAGTCAAGGCCGTGAATCTTCTCAAGGCTCACGGAAAGAGTGGTCTTGAGTCCGTTCTCGTGAACGGTTACGCATTGAACTGCACCGTTGCTTCCCAGGCTATGACAACTCGTGTGACCGATGCCAAGATTGCTTGTCTCGATATGAACCTGCAGAAGGAGCGCATGAAGCTCGGTGTTCAGATTACAGTGGAGGACCCCGATCAATTGGAGAAGATCCGTGAGCGGGAGTCTGGCATTGTTATGGATCGTGTTGATATGATTTTGAAGTCCGGTGCCAATGTCGTCCTTACCACCAAGGGTATTGACGACATGGTTCTCAAGCTCTTCATCGAGAAGGGTGCTATGGCCGTCCGCCGCTGCAAGAAGGAGGATCTGCGCCGTATCGCCAAGGCCACCGGTGCCACCCTGGTCAGCACCCTGTCTGACCTCAACGGAGACGAGAAGTTCGAGGCATCAAACCTTGGACACGCAGAGGAGGTTTCGCAAGAGCGAATCTCGGACGACGAGTGTATCCTGGTCAAGGGCACTAAGGTTCACACTGCGGCTTCCATCATTCTCCGCGGTGCCAACGAGTACAGCTTGGACGAGATGGAGCGCTCTGTTCACGATACTCTCTGTGCTATCAAGCGCACTCTGGAGAGCGGAAGCATTGTGCCCGGTGGCGGTGCCGTGGAAACCGCACTTCACATCTACCTAGAAGAATTCGCAGTGACAGTGGTAAGTAACATTGTTCCCTGTTTTGTTGCTATATTATGTTCTAACATTTCCACCACAGGGCTCTCGTGAGCAACTGGCCATCGGCGAGTTTGCACAGTCTCTGCTTGTCATTCCCAAGACGCTGGCAGTCAACGCAGCTAAGGACTCGTCCGAGCTCGTTGCCCAGCTCCGTGTCCGCCACGCCCTGTCACAGCGTGTGCAGGATGGTGATGCCAACGAAGAGGAGAAGGCTATCGCTAAGAAGAAGACTTACCGCAACTACGGTTTGGATTTGACGAAGGGACGGGTTCACGATACCCTCAAGGCCGGTGTGCTGGAGCCCAGCATGAGCAAGGTCAAGCAGCTGAAGAGTGCCGTGGAGGCTTGCATAGCCATCATGCGCATTGACACGATCATCAAGCTTGACCCTGAGCAGCCGCAGGATGACGGCCACGGCCACTAAGGAGCTCATTTGACTACACAAACCCAAAAAAAGGCAGTAATATGATGTGACATAGATGATCAGCAGGAGGAAATTTTATTCTGCTGGAACTGCATATGAACCAATCTCTCTCAAAATAAATACATAAAAGCGTAGCCCTAACTCCGTATACAAAGCCCCTTCACTGCCGCTTCTCGGCCATCAACTTCCGGTATTCCTCGACAATATTCCTGCGCTCACCAGCCAACTCCTCACGTCTCCTCAAACTACCCACAGCGGCCGGCACGTTGGCAACATCAACCTTGGCCCCACCACGCACCTTGAAGATCTCTCTGGGTTTAATTAACTGCGGCGGCGCAGGTGCAACCTCGAACGGATTCTTCTTCCGTTCCTGGTCGCGTTTCTTCAGCTTAGCCCAAGGATCGGGATCATCATCCCCGCTATCAGGAGCATTATCCTCATCGCCGGCATGCTTGCCCTTCTTCTTGTTTTTCTTGGCGGCAATAGCCCTCTTCTTGGCCTTACCACCAGCTTCAATATCCCAATCTTTCCATTGCTGCAGCTCAACCTCCATTTCGGCCTCGCGCTCTTCACGCTCCTCCTGCTCCCGCTCTAGGATCTTAGCTTCCTCCTCACGCCAACCTTTTTGCAGTCGCCGCAGGTGCTTCTCGTGCTTTGTCTGCTTGCGCTGCTCGTTCATCTTGGCTTCACCTGTCTTGGTGGTTTTGGTCATTTGAGACAGGGGCATTTCGCGGTCGACTCGCGCTGAGAATTCGGCCAGACGCTCGCCGGGCAGAATTTTAAGCTGCTGCTTCTCCTTGGCGCTGAGCTTGGGCTCCGCCTCTGCTTTGGCGGGTTTCTTGTTTGACTCCGCGGCCTTTTCTGTGGCATTGCGCTTCCGCTTCTTGCTCTCGCCTGTCTCCAGTCCTGACGGGGCGCGCCTGCCCGTCGTTTGATACTGCATTAGACGAAGGAAGGCTTTGGGAGTGTCGTCTTCGGATACATTCTTGCGACGGTGGGTGGGCGCTTTGTTTGCACTCTGATTTTGGTTCTGAGCTTGATTCTTGTTGCCGGTTTTGGCAACCTTGCCGCCCTTTAGCAGCTTTGGCTTGGATGATTCGCGGACTGGAAGTGCCTTGGCGATCTCTGAGGGTGGGAGGTTGAATTGACTGACAAGCGGGAATTGTTAGTTTTCTGTACTGAAAAAAAAGTGTGAAATTTTGGGTGCCTTACCTTGTATCGGCCTCGCCACGTCTCTTATGTTTGTGAGGCATTTTGGGTGTTCTTAGAGGGTTGGGGGATATGTGAACTGGGGTTGTTTGTCGGAACTTTTTTTCGACGTTGGCCGCTTATCTTATCGCGCATTTGTATGGACATCGTGGACCTACATTAACTACATATGCACGCACATGTCTCGCAATCTACTGCTTCCAAAGAACGCCAGCCTTTAAATTTATATACTCAAGACAGATTAAAAGCTGGCGAATCACATGGAATTTACCTCATATATATATATATATATATATATTGTTTATTATGTCTTTAGGGATAAAGTCCCGAAAAATGCAGACTGACAAGGGTATGCTTCGCTAACAATGAACCATGCCCACCAAGCGCCATAAAAATGCCCATAGGCAAAGCAAAACAAAAAGCATCCAAACACCTGGTAAAATGCAAAAATAACAAAAATAACAGAAGACGCAGAGGGAATCATTCGTCTTCGTCGTTAAATGAATCTTTCATATCAGCCCAGCCGCACTGCCAGCGCTTTCCTTCGGTCTCACCACCAGTCCGAAGTCCTCGGGCTTCGGGCCCTTCACGCCAGCATCGAGCGGTGTAGTCATCGCTGACAGTGATGAGTTCTCCTGATGGCGTCCAGGAAATTCCTGTCACTTCTTTCTGGTGACCCTCGACAAGAGCAGTGCCTGACTGGTGAATCGGAATAGTATCCTCCAGGCGTCCGGATAAGCCGATTCCAGAGTTGGTGCGACGAAGCCCCGAACGATTTGTGAAAAGCGAAGTCCTGCTTGACGTGGGTTCTACATGTTCTTTCACTGGAGAATTGAGGAACCGCTCATCCGTAGGGAACAAAATTGGACTGTGGTCGGTGCTGCCGGTAGCAAGCATTTCCGGATGGTTTTGCGTTGCTTTACGGACAGCTAACTTCACATAGAATGAAGAAACTTGGAGACGAGGGTGGCGGAAGCCATAGAGAGGCCCAAGGCCATCCTTGTCGGAGCCTCCAGTCCTCCGTGGACGGTTGTTGTTGAGTGACAGCTCAGGCGCATGTCCAAGGATCAAATGTGATGTCGAATACGTGTAGACCGTGTTATCACGGCACAGTGTATACAGTCGCGCGCCGTCTCCTCCAAACGCCATAGAAGTCAGACCAAATCGTCGGTATTTAACATGGCTTTCTGGCTCCTGCGTTGTGGATAAAGGGATGACGGGTCGACCACGGCGATTGTTATGTGCTGTCCGCAAGTCCCAAAGTCTGACACTTGCACTAGCCTCAGAGGCTGTGACGAAGAGATTCTCGCGGCCGGGTGAGAGAAAGGCAAGGGAGGTGACGGTAATATCAGTCCGGCCAACTGGTTGTACGTCGCTTTTGTCAATGGCCGGTTTCTGAGAGGTTGTATAAGCATGGGCACCCCCAATCGTATTCAAAACGTGAGGGTATAGCATCTTCGGGGGCGCAGAAGCTGGAGGGGCATCGGCTTCGGTTTCTAAAGAGCATCGAACTTGCAAAGCAGGCCGTTCGAATCCTTTGCAGCGAAGATCCCAGATATTCACATTTCCATCTCGACTGCATGTAGCAAGCACTTTATTGTTGGACGCCGGTTGGAATTGGACACGCTTGACGGACGAAGAGTGGTTAGACAAGCAGTAAATAGGTTGTTGTGTTGTCATATCAATAACCAAAGACGTTTGATCGCCAGATGCTGTGGCCAGTAACATGTCGTCAGACGAAAATTCGAGGTCCATGATCGAGTTCATGTGCGGACGGAACCCGAGATATGCATCAGTGAACCCGGCTTCCTCGTCGATCGATGAATCCAACAGTCGAATCCCACCCTCTTCATCGCCCACAGCAACAATCGAGTTTGCTTCTCAGCTATTAGTATATAAGTTGATATCCGAGTCAAACATGACTTACTATTGCATGAGGCGTTGCAGAAGGGTAGTGCCAGTGATCCCTCAGATGCATAGCTAGCACATGTGTGACGGTCCTCTGGTTGTGAGTAGAAGTCGGTAGTGAGATCCTGCCAGCCTAAAGAAATATTAGAGGCGTCAAATAAGCCATCAAGGTCAATGCCTACCAGCTCCAGAGTTTGCCCGTAGAGTCACTTTGTTTTGCCGCGATCCTGTCACGGTTTGCATAAACAAAGAGCCTGATGTTCTCAAAGCTTGAGAACGACGCACAGGGGCCACGGGAGGTGCCTGTTTCGGTGGGCTTGGTGGTGGTGCTGTTTTAAGAGGAATGTTGATGTCTGGTATTCTGATATCCTGTCCTACCTCGCCCGCAGGTGACCGAAGCCGAACTCTCTTCAGAGGAGAGGATTGTGGAGGAGAGGCGACTGAAGAGAACGAGTTCTTCCGTTTTCTGCTCGGGGTGCGGATGAAATCTTCTGGCAGGCCATCGTGAGGACTTCTGGTGCCAGCCTTGGAGGTTCTCGAAAACGCTGGCCCCAGGCGATTGACAGCGGGTGATGTGAGAGCTCTTAGGGCCTGTCGACTGGTTGTGGGAGTGGTCAAGTTATCACCGGTAGGTAGTAGAGATCGCGGTGTGAAAAATCGACGAAATGACCTAGGCGTTACAGTCGGTGGCTTTCTGGTTCTCCGGCGACCAGCATCGGAAGAAATGGACGGAGGGGACGAAGGCGGTTCTGGAGGAGGAAGGACAGGTTCTGAATATGGTACCTCTGGTAAATCAAAAGCAGCCATTGTCTAAAGCAAATAAAGAAAAAACGAGGCAAAGGTAGAAATGCATTGAGTGGGCCGAAACGGGTTAAAGGGGATCGGGGAAGATTGGGTCTTTTTTCGTGTTGATGCGCGACGTGACGCGATCGTGTCAAGGCATTTCATCCCCTCCAACAACTTCACTCCTTTCAATTTGTATTTCACGTCTGTGCCTTTAAATATTCTCTAAGCTTCAATAACTGGCTTTTTTCGGTACTATATTATTGCCTGACTGTTATTTGCTTTGTGTTGTAAACGCGTGAAAATTACCATAGCGGGGGTGAACTCAATGTCAACACCGTCAAATTCCGGATAACCCTATAACAACAATCCTCAATATCTCAAGAAATGTCAAGCAACCTTAGACTTAGCGGAGAACTAATTTAGCTCGCATTAGATTCTTTCAGCTCAAGTTTCTATCTGACATACTCCTTGCAACCCATCACGCAGTTACGGCATACTGAACTATAGAACTGTAGTTACGACTAGCCGAGTTGGGACCCCTCCATAGCAAGATATGGAGAAGTCTCCGCAAATAAGAAGGCTAAATTTTCACATGAGCCTTCCAACATGACATTAAAACATTCTTTAGCCTTCTAGACTATGCAGGTGCTTCCTATATGAAAAGATACGGGAAGTTTGACTTATAAAGGCGGGCGTTAAGTTATAAACCAAACTTATAGATCGAGTCAGCGTTGTATATATACTAGACGTATTCTTGGCCTGATGTTAGTGTACTCAGCCACTGAGTTAGCTTCCCGTATACTCGGTCTTGTTCGATTCCTTGATGGTGGTCCTCCATGTCTAGATATCAAATAGGCACAAGGAATGACACGGAAACCTACTCCAAGGAAGACAAATAGTATTCACATCGGATCAGAAATTTTGAGAGATACCTATTAAAAATTTACTCGGATTCAGCCGGAATGTACCCAGATCCCTGCCTTGCTCTCTGAATCCATCCTAGGGTTGGGGATAGACAACTACTTATATTATTGTAGTATATTTACATCTCCGATGAGCCGGCCCTTATAATTATATTCCCCGCACGAAGATAATTTTTGATCAGATTAAATGTATGTAAATGATATATGGCGTTATGCCTGTTTTTGGCAGTTGAACTTGCAAAATGACTCAACTATAGTCTTAAAACATAGCTAACTAGTCAACTAGGACGATGGGAAAATACGTGTGCCTGAAATTACAGGCACTATATGCTTACATGAGAACCACCGATAAATATACACCGCCCAGGATGTTCTGCCGCTTCCGCGGAATTTTTTTTATCTTTTTTCTTGAAGAACCAGACCGCAATCTGCAACTGAGCACGATTCGGTTTTGCCTATTCAAAAATGGCGCCAATTAAGCGCAAGGGGAATGCCCCTGAAGAAAACAACCAAAAACGTGCTAAGGTTGGAGCGGAGGAGGCCAAGAAAGATCACAAAAAGTCAAACGATGCCACACCCACCGCCGCCAAAGCTTCAGAGCTTTCAGTGCTGCGCGACGACGAACCCTCGTTCCCTCGTGGTGGTGCCAGCGTTCTGACACCATTGGAGCGCAAGCAAATTCAGATCCAGGCCAACAGAGATGTTTTGTTCGAACAGAAGGGAACTCAGAAGCCTTCTGGGAAGAAGCCTTCCAACGAGTTCGACGACGAAAGCGACAACGATGTTGAGATGGAAGAGGAACAGGCTGCTGCGCCTGCCAAGAAGTCACGCAAGAAGAAGACAAAGGGCAAGAAGACGACAGACAAGGATTCTGACGACAAGTCAGATGTTCGCATTGAAGGTCTTAGTTTTAAGGTATGTACCCCAAAGCCCTATTCCTTGTATTCAATCTAATAATTGCAGCGCATTGCTCCCGGTGCCATGATTCTTGGACAAGTCTCAAGCATTAACGCCCACGACATCGCTCTTTCGCTGCCCAACAACCTTGTTGGATACGTCCCTCTCACCTCCGTCTCCAAGGGACTCGAAGACAGAATCGAGAAAATGTTGAACGATGAGGCTGAAGATGACGATGCCGACGACAGCTCAGATGATGAGTCCTTCGATCTGAAGGAGCACTTCTATTTGGGTCAATACCTGCGGGCAATCGTTGTGTCTACCGGCATCAACGCTGCTGATCCTAAGGCCAAGAGCAAGAAACGCATTGAGCTTTCAATTGACCCCAGACAAACAAATACCGGATTCTCCAAGTCCGACCTTGTTGCGAATTCCGCTGTTCAGGCGTCTGTTGTGAGTGTGGAAGATCACGGTGTGGTCATGGACCTTGGCATTGAGGGCTCAGACATGAAGGGTTTCATGTCCTCGAAGGAAATTGACCCTCGTGTTGAGTATTCGAGTATCAAGGAGGGATCCGTCTTCCTCTGCATGGTTACTGGTCAAAACGCCAGTGGTAATGTCATTAAATTGTCCTCCAACTACCAAACTTCCGCCTCGATCAAGAAGTCCAACTACCTCAGCTCGGCGCCTACAATCAACACTTTCCTCCCCGGTACCGCCGCAGAAATTCTTCTCACAGAAGTCACAGCAAACGGCATGATTGGAAAGATCATGGGAATGCTCGACGCAACCGTTGATTTGGTCCAGTCTAGTATCAATGGCAAGGTTGATTTGGAAAGAAAATACAAAATTGGCGCTAAGATCAAGGCCCGTATTATTGCGACTTTCCCATCTGCTGAGCCGTTCAAGGTCAGCTTCTCTTTGCTCGACCATGTCCTCAAACTCTCTTCCGACTCTCGTGGTCCTGGTTCATCGGATGATGCTCCTGCCATTTCTGCAATCATCCCTGAGACCACCGTCGTGAAGGTTGACCATGGCCTGGGTGTATATGCCCGCATTGGAGAGACAAAACACATGGGTTTCGTTCACATGTCGAGGCTCTCTGACGGCAAAGTAGAAACAGTTGAGGAAGATGCGGGTGCTTTCAAGCTCGAGGCTGTGCACGAGGCAAGAGTCATTGGGTACAACTCAATGGACAACCTCTACCTTCTTTCATTTGAGAAGAGTGTCATTGAGCAGCCTTTCCTTCGTGTCGAAGATGTAAACGTCGGGGCTATTGTTAAAGGAAAGGTGGAGAAGCTTCTCATTGGCCCCACTGGCATGGATGGATTGATCGTCAACCTGGCTGATGGAATTACCGGCCTTGTTCCGTCTATGCACTTTGCGGACACTCAACTTCAATTCCCCGAGAAGAAGTTCCGCGAGGGCCAGAAGCTTTCGCTTAGAATTCTTTCCGTGAATTTGGAGAAACGCCAGATCCGTTTGACGCTCAAGAAGAGCTTGCTCAACAACGAGTCCACTATCTGGAAGGACTACGCAGACATTGCGCCTTCGGCTCAGTCTCCTGGTACCATTGTTAACCTCCAGAGCCATGGTGCTGTTGTGCAATTCTACGGCGATGTCCGTGGTTTCCTTCCTGTGTCTGAGATGAGTGAAGCCTACATTCAGGATCCAGCCCAGCATTTCAGACTAGGCCAGGTCGTCAATGTCCATGCCTTGAGCGTGGACGCATCTCTCGGAAGACTTGCTGTTTCTTGCAAGGATCCCTCCACATTTACCGAAAAGTACCGTGAGGCCTTCGAAAACCTCCATCCCGGTCATCTTGTTGCTGGAACCGTCTTCGAGAAGTCCAATGATGACGTGCTTCTCAAGCTCGAAGATTCAGGCCTTGTGGCCCGTCTTGACTCCAAGCACATCATTGACGGCCCTCCATCCAAGCAAAGCTCGATGATGTCTAAGCTCCGCGTGGGACAGAAGCTGAACGACCTCTTGGTTCTCGACATTCAGCGCGCTCACCGTCTCATCAAGGTTTCTAGCCGAGCCAGCTTGAAGAAGGCTGCCAAGCAGAAGAACATGCCTGGCCAGTTTGATCAAGTCCAAGAGGGCTCTCTTGTCACTGGTTTCATCCGCAACATCACCCCCGACGGTATCTTCGTTGAGTTCCTAGGTGGTCTGACTGGCCTGCTCCCCAAGCGTCTGATTGAAGACGCCAATCTCGAGCAGCCTCATTACGGTATGTCGAAGTCGCAGACTATTGTTGTCCATGTGCAGTCGGTGGATTCGGACTTCAAGCGCTTCATCCTGAGTATGAAGCCCGTCCAGCCCAACCAGGCCGCTCCTAAGAAGGAGGCCAAGCAGACTGATGAGACTGTCGCCAACGCCGTCGACAGCAACATCAAGAGCATGTCCGACTTCACCTTCGGCAGGATCGTTGAGTGCAAGGTGGTCTCTATCAAGGCAACTCAGCTTAACGTCCAGCTCGCAGATAACGTCCAAGGTCGCATTGATGTATCCGAAGTTTTCGACGACTGGAAGGATATCAAGGACCGCAAGCAGCCCTTGCGATTCTTCAAGGCCAAGCAGAATATTTCCGCCAGAATTCTTGGTGTCCACGACGCCCGCAACCACAAATTCCTTCCTATCAGCCACCGCGCTGGAAAACACCCCGTATATGAGCTTTCCCTCAAGCCTAGCTACTTGAAGGCTGCCGATCCTGCTCCTCTGAACATGGAGCAAGTCAAGGTTGGATCTTCTTGGATGGGCTTTGTCAACAACATCGCCGATGACTGCCTTTGGGTCAACCTTTCTCCCAATGTTCGCGGAAGACTCCGCTTCATGGACGCATCTGATGATCTGTCCCAATTGACTGACGTGGAGAAGAACTTCCCCATTGGCTCTGCTCTGAAGGTTCAGGTCACCGCTGTCAACGCCGAGAAGGGCCACCTCAACCTTACTGCCAAGCAAGGCTACGACAAGCTCGCTTTCGGGGATATCACTGTTGGCATGATCCTGCCTGGCCGCGTCACCAAGGTCACTGAAAAGCAGGTGATCATGCAGCTCGGTGAGGCCCTTGTTGGTGTGGTCAACCTGATCGATCTCGCGGATGACTACTCCAAGGCCAATCCTACCGTGCACAACAAGAACGAAGTTCTTCGAGCTTGTGTCATTGCCGTTGACAAGTCTAACAAAAAAATCTCGTTGTCTTTGCGCCCATCCAAGGTTCTCAGCTCTTCGCTGCCTGTCCAGGACCGTGAGATCTCTTCGCTCAAAGAAGTTAAGCAGAACGACGTCATTCGCGGCTTTGTCCGCCGCGTTACCGATGCTGGTCTTTTTGTCGCAGTCAGCCACGATATCACTGCCTACGTGCGTGTGTCTGATCTTTCCGATTCTTACCTCAAGGAATGGAAGGAATCCTTCCAGCAAGATCAGCTGGTTAAGGGTAAGGTCACTTTCGTTGACGCCGAGCAAGGCAAGCTTCAGTTGAGCTTGAAGGAGTCTGTTCTTGATCCCAACTTCAAGGCTCTCCTCACCCTCAAGGACTTCAAGGTTGGACAGATTGTCACCGGAAAGATTCGCAAGGTTGAGGAGTTCGGTGCTTTCATCGTCGTTGATGGATCCTCGAACATCAGTGGTCTTTGCCACCGCAGTGAGATGGCCGACAAGCGTGTTGAAGACGCCCGCACCTTGTACGACGAAGGCGATGCTGTCAAGGCCAAGATCATCAAAATTGATCAAGCTGCTAAGAAGATCTCTTTCTCGCTCAAGGCTTCTCACTTCCAAAATGAGGAGGGAGACGAGAGCGAGGATGAAGATGCTATGAGCGTTGATGGTCTGGGTGGTGTCGAACTCGACGAGAACGACAGCGAAAACGACGACGATGATGACGAGTCCATGGGAGGTGTTGATGTGGATGATGACAGTGAGGAAGAGGAAGACTCCGAGGATGAGGATGAGGATGGAGATGTTCCTATGCAGAAGCCCAGCAAGGCCGGTGGTCTTGGTGCCAGTGGCTTTGACTGGAGCGGCAATGCCAAGAACGAGGCTGCCGCCTCCGACAGTGATGCCGAGGACTCGAAGACAAAGAAGAAGAAGAACCGCAAGCCTGAGATCCAGGTTGATCGGACCGGTGATCTGGATGCCAACGGCCCCCAGTCCGTTGCCGACTTCGAACGTCTTCTTCTGGGTGAGCCTGACTCCTCACTCCTGTGGCTGCAGTACATGGCCTTCCAGCTGGAGCTCGGTGAGATTGAGAAGGCCCGTTCCGTTGCTGAACGTGCTCTCCGCACCATCACCATGGGCCAGGATTCCGAAAAGCTTAACATCTGGATTGCCCAGCTCAACATGGAGAATACCTATGGTGATGACGACAGTCTCGAGGAGGTCTTCAAGCGTGCTTGCCAGTACAACGATCCCCAAGAGATCTACGAGCGCATGATCAGCATCTACATCCAGTCCGGAAAGAACCAGGTATGTGTAGTCCCTACCCAAAATGCACCTCCACATGAATACTAATTATTTCGCAGAAAGCAAGTGACCTCTTCTATGAAGCCCTGAAGAAAAAGATCTCTTCCCAGTCCCCTAAGTTCTTCTACAATTACGCCAGCTTCCTCTTCGACACCATGGCCTCTCCCGATCGCGCCCGCGCTCTGCTCCCACGTGCTCTGCAGTCCCTCCCGGCCCACACCCACGTCGAGACAACCTCCAAGTTCGCACAGCTAGAGTTCCGCTCCGAGAATGGCGACATCGAGCGCGGTCGCACCGTGTTCGAGGGTCTGCTTTCGTCCTTCCCCAAGCGTATTGACTTGTGGAACGTACTCCTCGACCTGGAAATCAAGGTCGGCGATGCGGAGCAGGTGCGCCGCCTCTTCGAGCGGGTCCTTGGCCTGAAGAGCGGCAAGAAGGGCGCTGTTTCCATCGACACTAGCAAGAAGCTTAAGCCTAAGCAGGCCCGCTTCCTGTTCAAGAAGTGGCTTGAATTTGAGGAGAAGCTTGCTGCTGATAACGGTGATGAGAAGATGGTTGAGGAGGTCAAGGCTCGGGCTGTGACCTATGTCAAGTCTCTTCAGGAGGAGTAGATCTTGACCCTTTGAAAAGTAAAAGTATGTTCTAACCCGTGGGTGTTTGGGAGCATTGCATTTGTGTGTTTGTACTTGTATATAGATAGCGACTTCTAGGAAATATCTTTCTCTTTACTTTTTTCGCTTCAAGATGAATAAAGCCTATCGTACACTACCATCATGACATGTGCGGGTCTATGATGTCGATCCTTAAACACCTTGGGCGTCACAGCATACATAAGTAGTGAACTGACGAATTATCCAACCCCACCATGTAGACAAGGATGTTTTGGCCGAGACCCTTAGGGCTGAACAATATGCATATGTACATAGGTAGTTTAGATATTACTTGTAAGAAAAGAATCCCTCATAAGTACACCTGTTTATAAATTAGTATGAAAGTATACAATAAACGTGTCCAGGTCGTTCCTGAAGTCTACTTCCCATGGGTCCAATCATTTCCGCCGCCTCCGCATGGTTGCCTCAGAGGCTCCCACGATTGGTAAGGCTTAAAACCCTCAGGGATTTGGGGGGACTTGAGTGCTTTTTCTTTTATAAATTTGATGTTTCTTCCTTCCGAGACTCTGAAGGCTACGAGCTACGGGTACATTCAATATGAGCTCTGACCGACCTTCCCCGCAGAGCTTTGCGACGACACTTGACGACACCAACATTCATTTTGACCCGTACAGAGACTCAATAGACACCGCAGACCCGAATAAAATAAATGCACAGAGAGACTCTGTTCGTGAAGTGGGGCGTCCGGCCCGCTCCTGGCGTCAAGTGTTGACGGCTTTATCTCCCTGGTCTTCAGCATCTTCCGAAGACGCCTTGTCTTTACTGTCAGACCAACCCCTGCGTAAGAACCGGTCTTGTCGCTCGCGGTATTTTCGAGGTCTGCGGCGAGTTTTTATTGGAATCTTGATCATGCTGTGAGTTTCGGCTCACAAATCCTACCGTTCATGCGAAGCCGTCTATTGACTGATAACAGAGGCACCATCCAATTCATCTCCATCGCCTGTGGTATCGTGCTATCTTTCTTCCCGGACGAATATGACCGCGCCTCTCAAAACTGGCTGCCGAGCGCGAGCAGTGCCAGCACTGCCGATAAGAAGCACTGGCCTACTGATATCTCGCGCGATATCATCCCCGTCGGCTGTCACTCCCACAACGACTACTGGCGCCGAGTCCCTCTATATTCAGCACTGCAAGCAGGATGTGTAGGCGTTGAAGCCGATGTTTGGCTCTTCGACGACGAGCTTTATGTCGGTCACACTACATCGTCACTTACTTCGCGCCGTACCCTCCGGTCGATGTATGTCGATCCCCTCATAGCTATCCTCGAGCGCCAGAATCCGACAACTGAATTCCACCCAAGGAGTGACAAGCCCGCGCACGGCGTTTTTGACACAGACCCTGATCAATCGCTGTTGTTTCTGATTGATTTCAAGACCGCCGGCCCAGAGACTTGGCATGCCGTGACAAAGCATCTAGCTCCGCTTCGTGACCGCGGCTATCTTACCTATTTCAATGGCGAGGAGCTTGTCCAGGGCCCAATTACAGTTATCGGCACGGGAAACACGCCTTTCGATCTTGTCGCTGCAAACACGACCTACCGGGATATTTTCTTCGACGCTCCGCTGGACAAACTCGTCGACGAAGACCCCGATCAAGATACAAACAACGAACTAGAGTCGAAGCTCATCCCACGCTCAGACGCAACCATAGAATCCACAGATCTGGGTCAAGGCCAGTCCGGCATGCCAGCAGTCATTACAGCAAACACCTTCAATTCCACAAACAGCTTTTACGCCTCCGTCTCATTCCGGCAGGCCATTGGGTTCCCCTGGCCCTTCCACTTCACGCAGAGCCAGATGGAGCTGATTCGTCGCCACGTGCGCATCGCGCATCGACAAGGCTTGAAGGTCCGTTACTGGGCGCTGCCGAGTTGGCCGCGAAGTCTGCGCAATCACATCTGGCGTGTGCTTGCGCAGGAAGGTGTTGATATTCTCAATGTTGATGATTTGGTCGATGCTACGAAAGGAGACTGGAATACCGGGGTTTTTGATTGGTGGCCGTGATCTATGGATATGCAGCAATATATTGGTAGGTGGTAGATATCTTATTGGTTTTACTCTTGATGAGCTATGATGGGTTGGGCTTGAGGCGTTTGGGATTCTTTCTGATTTACAATACCTTCTTACTCTGTTGATAGACTACCTGCTTCATCTTCGCTAGTTCTACAATCCAAATCAAACATGTCCATGGACATCCTTATGATACTCGACACAAGGGCCCCCAGCGTGCCACGTTAGGCCCTGCTACAGCGTTTTGACACTATTTGGTGTATCCTGCGAGCGATTGATTTTACCTTGGGATTGTTGCAGCGCAACATCTTCCATATAGGCTTGTTCAGACTTAAGGTACATAAATAAAAAGGCGGAAGAAGGAATCGGATAGCTCATACTCGACTCTGGATTGGCAAGGTGTAACAATGGAGCAATTGCTCGTGGAATGTCGCTATACTCAAATTTTTGGTCTGTGCAACTCAGCGCAGGAAAATAATGCTATTTCTCAATCTGGGTATCTGGGTTGGTGTCCCAATGCCCTCGATGCCGACAAACGGCATTGACGCCATAATGCTTCCAGTAAATTCAAGTTCAAATCATATGCATAGCAGAAAGAAGTACAAGATCTCGGTCACAGGACCTCGAGAACCAAACCACAAATTAAAGATCGTATAGCGTCAGCAGACCCTCGACCAGCGGAGGCATCTTCAACACCAGAAATCAGTCAGTCGCGAACATGTCACAGACAGAACAGCGCCTCTTCTCCAAACTCGCGCACAACACTGCCCTCTTCCCGAATAATCCCGCCCAGCCAATGCTTCGCCGTCTCGAAGTCCTTAGCACCGAACTTGACAAGCACAAAGCCAGCGCGCACCCGCGCCGCAGTCCACGTAACATCGCCCTTGTGGCTAAGCGACGGCTCCGGCACAGAAGCCGGCGCATGGTCTGACCAATTCCGGCTTCCAATGCGGGGCTGCGACTGGAACTGATGAATGAAATGCGCGCCAAGATCCTCGAAGACAGGACCAGAGAGAATCAGCGTGCCGACGACGCCGTGTGGGCGCGTACGCTCCGCAATAATGTTCAGCGGGGTCAGGCCGGCCGGCGCCTGCGGCGGCATATCGACGCGGTTCTCGAGACCATTGTGGATGTTGCGATTCGTGTTGGTCACTTCGTCTTCTTCGGACTCCGATGCATCGGAGTCGTCTAAAACTTCGGCTTCATCGTCTAGGATGACTGAGTCACGGAGAAGAAGACGGCTTTTGCCGGTCTTTTCGTCTTGGGCCCAGACTTCGTTGCGGCCGCGCCAGAAGCGGAAGTTCCAATTTTCGCCACGGGAGGTGCGGCCTTGCGTTACCCAGTCTAGGACGCAGAGGCTGCTTCTTTGGTCGCCTTTTGCGGCGGCGTCGACGGTAAAGGTTTGGATTTGGGCGTAGCGGCTGTTCTTGAAGGGGACGGAGGGGTCGGGGAGGTAGCAGATGGCTGCTTGGCGGCCGATGTGGACATCGAGGGATTGTTGACTCATGTCGGAGAGGTGTTTATTGGCGGGCATTTGATTGCGGTGACCCTTGATGACATTTGGGTTGGAACCGCTATTATTTGGATCTGTCTTGAAGATCTTGGTGCTTCCTTGTGGTGTAGTGACGACCATCCGGGTCTTTGGTTCCAGCGTGATGGAGACTTCAATGTGGTCTCCCGGCAGAAGGCCGCCGCCATAGGTGAGAAGATAGAGGTGGACGGGGTGGGAGGGACGTGAATCCGAGACGGCGGAGGATTCTTGGGTTGGGACGAAGCCGCCGGCCCGCGGGACCAGCTTCAATGGGTATTTATAGGTGAGGGTTGTAAGGGTAGGGTTATTTGGTGGAAGAAGGGAGAGAACGACTTTACCCTGCCCTGGCTTCGCAATGGAAGACTGGAAGGGCGAGGGGATGGGAATTGCTGGTTGTCGCATAGTGGCGGATATGAGGTTTTCCGGGAGAAGAGTAGAATGAGGTCAGAGAATGGAACTTTATTGAAGGATGATCGTCAAGAGAGGAAACAATGTTATGATCAGTGGCTATGAGGCCAGGCTTCCATGATGTTATTCCAGACAGAAAAAAAGACTTTTTACCCCAGAGTTCAGAGGGGGGCAAACCCGTATATATCGGCAAAGTGATGATTTCCATCTTAGTCACGAATCCACTCCCATCTACCGTTAGTGTCCGGGTGTATCCACGTCAAGCGGGGGATATTGTCAAACCGCAGTTTTCTTGGCTCCTGTTTTGAAGAAAATGGGGGAAAAAGACACAACAGAAAATGAGCGGTTGTTGATGTTTCTATGACAAAGAAAATCTCCTCATATGCATTAGACCGAGTGGTTACACTCTTGGCGATGCACTTTTTATGTCATTTGATCTACATGACTGATTTAATAATAGCCGAAGTTCTAGCCCTGGATACCTTTGTAAAACTCTTTTGAGACTCCATCAAAAAACTCCTTTTATTTAAGGGGCAATGTCATGAGACCTGTGAAAAGATGGATCGTCACGCTATCATGAAACTATATAATGTAGGGACGCCTTAGGGTATTTAGATCCATCTTATAACTAATGATGCAAATTTCCCTCGGCTACACTTCAACCAATCAGAGGGTTCGATGGACACTCGGGGTCAAAGACGTAATTTGTAGATCTTATATTCCTGATAAATATGGCCTTAATGACGCATCACGCATATATAAGAGGATCAACCTAGACTTAACTTACTCCGTATACGTGTAAAGCACCTCCATACTCCGTACTTGCAGTGACGAAGAACGGAATATGCACGTGAGCTGGTATCCGATCAATTAATTCCTAAAGGCGATTCCCTAACTCTGAAGGCTGGGATCTATAGAGTGTCTTCTTGATTCGCGAGTCCCTGCAGCTCCGGAAAAGTTAATTGGAACGAAGGATAAAACCGCCAAGCTTCGCAAGCTCCGAGATGGATCAGTTGACCTGACTCGTTAGTCCTAGGTCAGCCTTGGCAAATGTTGTCATCTTGTGAAAGCAAAATATAGAGCTTGAGAGAAGAAATGGTGTGATATATATGAATGCGCATCAAAAGAACCTTGCAAGACCCTGATACTAGTCGGCCCCTAAAAACGCCCATGTAGTGACTCAGCTGCAAGGGTGTTGATTAATTAATTCGGAGTAATGAGTTATATAGTACTCCGTAGTATTAAACACTTAACTAGCAAAGGAGTATTATCTGAGTTATAGATATTATAGAATCATCATACCTAGGTATATATCAGGCCTTCTTTTAGGATCTCTGTCAGATGCTTTTCTGTCCTAGCTAATAGAAATGTGCGAAAACTATGCCTTTTATTTATCTCCAATTCTGGCAATGTATAGCCCTGGAGGGGGTTTAACATGACTATACCTAGGTAGTGGATAGGTACTCTCTGGATTTTCACCTGACAGTCTCTCTTACCACCTGGCATGTACATCTGTATATCGCTAAAGAATAAATAGTCGTGTATAATCTTTGGTCCTTCCGGTTTATTTTTCAAAAGCTAGGCGTCCAAATTAGGAACTAAACTGGATTCCAAAGACGACGACTTTGAAAAGGTGGAATTTGAAGTTCTGCTTCCGCGTTCGTTAAATGCGAGACTGAGAGAGATTTGGGGTTAAGCTGGGCGGTTTTTTACGGCTTCACCCAGGCGGTAGTCTGCCATCCTGTGCAGTCTTCTAAGCCTCGATTAAGTAGTGACTTTTGTTTCCCTGTAGTCAGTATAAGGTGTTCTACATAACTAAAAGGCTCTATAACAGAGCCAACTAAAAATACTGTCAAAGGTTCCAACCTGAAAGGTTGCTACAAACATAGACACCTGTGTTGTAAGGCCACACACCTCGTGGCCGGTTAGGTAATTCAGAACCTGAGGCCCCAAGGCACGTTTGTCGCGTCTCCCCCACGCTGCGCCGAGACGTTTCTGCCCAAGCGCTCTCGTTTCATATACTTTCTCAACTCCATCAAGAGAGCGTGTGTGTCGCGAGTGACCGACTGCTTGAATTGCACACACTTCATCCTTTTCCCCCAACAAGCTCCGTTTGCTTGGTCGTACTAACCGCGCGTTGCACGAGCGCGTCCCTCGACCACAAAATCCGAACCCCATTGAAGATTTTCGATTCAATCAACGGGAATTTCTTTCTCATCGCATTGCCATATACTACATCAGCCCAATATTATGGATATCGACAATCCACCTTTGTCGAGTCCCGGCGACCCGTCATCTACCCCCGCCGAAGACCGCCGCAAATCTGGCCGACAGACGCGACGACCAGAAATATTCTCGCAAAGCACATTTTCTGCCGAAGAACAGGCCAGCGGAAAGCGCAAGCGAGATGAGGCGCGCGAAGACGAAGACGAAGACGCGTCCGAGTCCGACAGTGAAGATGCTGGCAACGACGAGACAGATGAAGAGGAACTGCGAGAGAAAAGACGCGCTGCACGCCGAAATGGGACCAAGAAGCCCTCAAAACCTAAGCCGAAGTCCAAGGGACCACATGCTTCAAAGAAACCTAAGGTCACAAATGGACTAGGAAAACAGCTCGCCTTTAGGCCGGCTACTAATGGCCGGCTCCCAGCTGCTCGCCCCCGGAAACCAAAGGCTCGACCCAGTCTCGCGGCAGGTGAGCGTGGACTATTCGGTAAGTAATCTTTCTTAGTATGTGGACGAACATCCTCGTGGCTGATATTCGATTTAGCGGAGGTCTTTGGAAAAAACACCAACGCTGACACGGTGGCCGCTCAATGGCTGTCCCAATATCAACGCAATAATGGGGATGCTATGCGCGATCTCGTCAATTTCATTTTACGATGCACCGGAACGGACCTCGAAATTGACACCGCTGAAGTGGAAGATGTTGACAATGCCCCCACCCGAATTGAAGATTTGCAAGCCCTGTACCAAGCAGAAGGCATCACTGAATACCCTCTTATTTCCAAGGCAAAGAAGTTCAGGGCCTTCCCTGCCCTCCTTGAAGAATTTACTGTGGCATTGATTCAAACTTTCCATGCCTCTTCGGTTCTATACACCGATGAAAATCTATTCGAGAACGTTCAAATCTGGATATCTTCATTGTCAACATCGCAATGCCGACCGTTCCGGCATACTGCAACTGTGATCTCCCTAGCAATCATGAACGCCCTGTGTGATATTGCTCGCGAGGTCACGACAAGTGTGTCTACGTCCAGAAAGCAACTCGAAAGCGAAAAGAAAAAGAAAACCGTGAATAAGGGTCGTGTGGAAACCATTCAAACAGCTGTGTCCGAAGGCGAGCAGAAGGTGGAGCGGCTAGATGAATTCCTGCAGGATGGATTTGATACTGTCTTTGTCCATCGCTACAGAGATATTGACAGTCAGATTCGTGCCGAATGTCTGACGGCTCTGGGTGGATGGATTCGCACATACCGAGAAATCTTCTTTGAAGGGCAGTATCTGCGATATCTGGGGTGGACACTTGCGGATGTTGTTGCGCAAACCCGACTAGTTGCCTTGACTGAGCTTCTGTCTCTATATGAGAACCGGGACAACGTTGCTGGCTTGCACTCATTCACTGAACGCTTCCGCCAGCGCATCGTTGAGATTGCTATACAGGATGCTGATATTTCTGTACGCGTGGCTGCGGTTGAGCTTCTTAACCACCTTCGTGAAGGAGGTCTACTCGAGCCAGATGATATTGATGCTGCCGGCCGCTTGGTATTCGACATTGACCCCCGCATTCGGAAAACAGCTGGGCGCTTCTTTGTTTCCAATGTTCAAGATTCATACGAGTCAATCACAGAAGAAGCTGGAGAAGAGATCAGTGAACTACTGGCTGATGATGATGAAGATGACTATGAATCGCCCAAGCACTCATGGATCAAGTACAAATGCCTTACCGATTTGTTCCAAGCCTATGACGCCCAGCAGTCTGATCAAGAATCAGAGCCAATGTCTCGTGACACACTACTGGGAGTGCCTGTAGAGTCTCGCTTTGCTCTCGCGACTGAGGCTGTCTTCCCTCACATGGAAGAACTTTCTCAATGGCCATCGTTGGCTGGTTATCTGCTTTACGACCACTCTCAAATCATCGACGAACCATCCGAGGATGATACTGCAAGTGTCGTGAAAAATATGTACAAAATGCAAGAAGGACAGGAAACCGTTCTCCTGGAAGTGCTCTGTGCTGCAGTCAAGCTCCGGGTTTCTGATGTATCCAAGTCCGATATCGATAAGCGTGGGCGCAAAGTTAAGGCACTGACTGCTAAGATCTCGGAGCTCCAAGAAGAGATCTCCCACAATCTTGCGCAAATCATCCCCCGACTTCTCAATAAATTCGGTTCCACGCCAGAAGCGGCTTCTGCTGTCTTGCGGCTGGAACACCTTGTGGATCTAGACTCGATCCAGGATCTTCAAAAGGATGCCACGGCCTATTCCTCGTTGCTCAATGATATCAACAAGCAATTCCTGACTCACTCCGATCAAGACGTTTTGGCTGAAGCCAGTGTAGCGTTCTTGCATGCAAAGAGCTCTGAGGAGATGCGGGAATCCCTTGAAAGTAAGGTCCAAGAGCTTTGGGACGACATGGTAGAGGCGCTGGGCGCCTTTTCTCGTAAGAAGGATGTTCAAGAAGGTGGCTCAATTTCCGATCCCACTCTCACCGACCTGACCAACACTGTCTCTCGAATTTCGAACCTCGCGGGCATCACGGATTGCGCCGCAATCCTCGAAACTGTTCCCAACGCGCGGTCGAAGTCAAAGAAGGACCAGCCCGAAGCCCCATTCAACACTCTCATTCGTCTTGCCGAGCGTGGTCTACGCAGCGAAGATGAAGATGAAGATGTTGCCAGGGCAGAAACTGAGCTGGTATCAAGCAGTATCCGCTCATTGCTTTTCTATTTCATGTGGAAAGTGCAGGCACTGTCCACAGCGCTGAACGACGGAAAAGCCAACTTCAACACATCCTACTTTGAAGCACTTACCAAGAGCCGCGAGACCTTCGCCTCGACTCTTGTCGACATCATGCAATCGCGTTCCGGGCTTGATGACCTTCGATTCATAGCAACCACCACATACCTAGATTTGCAGACACTATTCAGCACGCTCCGCAACATCGGCCAAGGCAACGGTAACGATGAAGATGTTCTCTTCCAAACTCAAAGCCTAATCCATGAAATCGGACCTAAACCCCAGACAATCATCACCAAGATCCACGGCATTGCCGAACGCACAGCCGCCGCGAAATCAAAAGTAAACCTGGAGCCTGCAGACGATGATGCCCCCGCCTCAGAAGATGAGCCCGAGGACGAAGATGAAGCTAGCGACTCTGAGGATGAAAGCGCAGCCAACGAGCGCCTCCGCAGCAGCATCGTTGCCGAACAGCGCCTTTGCGAACTAACAGGAAAGCTGGTCCTGGCCATCATCGCCCGTGTCATCGACGCCTCCGGCTCAAAGCGCGGCTCTCTGAAAAAGCGTCTCCTTCGCAACAAGACTGCCCTCGGTCACAATTACCGCCAGGTCTTGTCTTATCTTGAAGAGCGCAAGCCACGTAGTGCACCGCGCACCAAAGGAAAGCAAGCTGGCAAGACTGCTGCTGCTTCACCTGCCAAGGGAGGATTCAAGTCTGCGACGCAGGTTAATGATGACGACGAGAATGACGATGTGCCTGTGGAAGAGGACGACGATGAGGATTTGCGCGCACGCGGCCTTGTCGAGGAGGATATTGATCAGCAAAGTGGAGACGAGGATAAGGATCTTGATTCCCCTGCGCCTGAGCCAGACGAGGATGAAGTGATGGGCGATTGATCTAATCTTGTTTTACTGACGTTAACGTGTGCCTGAAAATAATTTGTTGCTTAGTGACTGTCTTTTTTCTTTTGCTCCTTTTTTCCCTGTCTCCATACTTTCTCTTCTCTCTTTTATGGCTTATGGCTTGAATCAACTGTATCTTTTATGCGATTTTGCGTGGATATGGTCTCATGTTCAATCTGTATCTTACAACTTTCTTGCTTTGAATCTATTCCCCTGTTGTCATTACTATAACTTCAATCGAGTGTAGTTCTATCTATACTCACTGACTAAACAATAGACCCCGAAGCAAGTCTTGTGATCTCTGAGTGTCTTGGGATGAGTGTGTTGCAAAATTTTCAACTTCGGGACTATGAACTATACCTATATTTCCTCTCTTGCGGTGATTTATCCCAGCTTCTTGAGCATGACTCTTCCTGTTGCTGATTCGAGACTTTCCCACCAGATTCCCCCACAGCTGTTCTCCCATGGTAAGCACATGAGTGGCAGAGCCTCATCTGTGGAACAAAAAACATAATGGAAACCGACGCCCAAAGTCAGAGGATGCGTCACAACATGATTCGCGTCAAAGACAAGCATGTCTCGCTTCGCAACATCCGTTTGCTATTTACCACTCAAGCTCAATCCCATCATACTTGTTCAGTCCTTTGGTCTCCTCCCAGCCTGGGACATGAATATTTAGAAACTTCCTATTGAGAGCTTCTTTATCTCTCAATAGGATGTCAAACACCGCTTTTGCGCCAGTTTCAGCGACCAGGTCGGCATAGGGACCGCCTTGATCTGTTCGAAGCCACATCATAGAATGTTAGTTGTGATTCATATACCGGCAGACTTCCGACCAAAACTTATCCCAGGCGAAACAGGTAATTGCCCCAGCTACAGCAACAACCTTGGAACATAACCTACGCTCTACCGACACAGGCTTTGAACATACTCCCTTTCTGGTCATTGTTGTACTTTTTTGTACTTTTCATTGGGGCGACTTTCAATGGTTAGAAAGATTGTCCATCATCCATCCATCCCCGGTCAGAAAGTCTGGCGACACCCTGAGAGGTCTTTGATACATATCACGAATTACAAAACATGACTACAACTACAGGGCATTGTGAAAGATTGATCGAGTAGAGCTTGGCATTTTTTTCCTGGCGAACTTCAAAGCGTACCACGAGAAAAACGCATTCGACAAACATTTTCAGGGGCATGATTTTGACCAGATTATGAGCGATGTACAAGCAAGGTGCTAGCGCCCACACATGCCCCTGTTGCCAGCGAGCAAGGGAGAAGCTCCCGCGCAGGAAACCAATCCCCCGACCAGATAACACCAGGGGGCCAGGGAACATTAACATAACTAGGAAAAAACCGATCCTGCAAACAAATACGCCTGTGTATGAGGATGCTAAAGGGGTGGGGTGGGGATACATGATGGTGAATCTTGTTTATCGTGAAATCAAAAAAAGGTAAGAAAAGGGGAAAGTGAAGATCGTGACAAGGGGAATTGGAGGGGATCGAATGAACACCAAGGGCTTGTTTAGACGCAACGCCAAGCCAATAATAGTTTGGTCGAATTGTTCGAGAAACATTGAGGATGCAGAGCAACCAGGATTCTCGGTAGCCAGTGGTGCCCGCCCAGGAGAGATTATGCTGGGCGCAGCTTCGACAAGTTGGTAGTGAACAAAGGTACAGGTAGGTGGATTATGCATGGGAAAAGACAATTTGGTGTCTTTACATATCCATGGAATCACCGGCGTTTCCAAAGTTGAATCCACCGGTTGGCTGTTGGCCAGTACCAAGAGAGAACCCGGTCTGGGTCTGCTGGGGAGCCAGCTCCTCGATGTCACCGCCGGCCTCATCCTCGTCGGAGAAGTACTTCTCGATGATATTGTAGGCCTTCATGTAGATCTCCTCGTTGGCGTTGTTCTGGCAATCGTGAATCTTTTCCATGCCACCAGCTTCCTCGATGAACAGAGCGTAGCGATTGACGCGAGCCTCACCAGCCTGACCAGCCTCCTTGTCCATGTCGCCGACCTTGAGGATGTTCTCAAGACCATCAAGAGCAACCTGGATGATCTTGTTGTCAGGACAGGCCAGGAGATCGCACAGGGGCTTGATGCACCCTTGAGAGACAAGGTAGCGGATCTGGTCTGGCTTCTGAAGACCACCAGAAGTGGCGTTGGAGATAGCCCAGCAAGCCTCCTTGCGGGTCTTAAAGTCACCGTTAGCAAGAAGGTTGATGAGAGGGGCAATGATGCCAGCGTCAATGACAGCTTGGATTTGGCTAGAGTTTCCAGCGGTAACGTTGGAGATGGTCCAGCAGGCCTCCTTGCGGATACCGTCCTTGGTGGAGCTCAAAAGGGAAAGGAGAGCGGGAAGCGAGCCACAGTTGATGATGACCTGGGTCTGAACATCATCGCCGGTGACAATGTTACCCACGGAACGGAGGGCGGGGGTCTGCACGGAAGTAGAGGCGTGCATGAGGAGCTCTACCAGACGACGGGGGATACCGGCCTCGATGACAGCTTGGATCTTGTCGTTGGCACCATCGGACAGGTATGAGATAGCCCAACAAGCGTCGATCAGGACCTCATCATCCAGCATGTAGATGAGCTTGGAAAGGACTGGGAGGGCAGGGGCAATGGTGTTCCAATCGGGCTGGGGAGTCTTGCCACGGCAGAAGTTGCTGAGGGTCCAAGTAGCGTTGCGGAGCATGCTCAGCTTACGCCCATCGTTGATGAGGTCCAGAAGAGGGCGCAGAGCACCGGCACCCAAAACGAAGTCACGGCAATGAGGGCTGTCACCGGCAATGTTACCAAGGGCCCAAACAGCCTGTTCTCGGACATCCGGCTCGGGGCTCTTCAGCAACTCGACGAAGATGGGGACGGCACCGGCTTCAATGACAACCTGGGTTTGCTGGGCGGAGCCGGAAGCGATGTTGGTCAAAGCCCAAGCAGACTCGAATTGGACCAGAGTGTGAGGCGAGCGGAGGAACTCGACGAAACGGGCAACAACACCGGTCTCGATAACACGCTCAATGGGGGGTTACGCTCCTTCGAAAGCAATTTGCGGAACTTAGTAGTAGCCTGAATCTGCTCCTCAACTTGGTCGGAAAAGACACCCTTCACCATCAGAGGAAGCTCGACGTTGAGCTAATAAAAAATCCATTGTGTTAGCTTTGTATTTTTCACGGTCTTTTTTTATTGCAGTGGGGCATGGTTTCGAAGTCCCGAGTTGGAGGGGCTTCGTGGGCCATGGCAACCGGGCGGTGAAAAAAAATTCCTTGTTGATGATCGCATCATAAAAACAAAGAAATCTCAGATGAACGCAGGGGGTGGCCAACGAAGCCGCAGAAGGTAGAATCCATCCAACGCACGATAGATAGAAATGGAACATAATCCAAACATCAAAGAAAACTCTTAAACCTACCTCGCTCTCAATAGCACTAGCTTCATCGTCACTCTCAGTGGCGGCAGTCATGCCACCAACACCAATACCACCATCCCGAGTCTGGATACCACGTCTCTTGGCCAAGTTGTCATCACGCTTCTGCTTGCGAATCTCGACCTGCTGTTCTTCACGGCGGCGGCGGAGCTCATCGGGCTTAAACTGGTTCTTAGCCTTAAACTGTGTGCGGCGGTGTTCGGGGATGTAGCGTTCCGCCATGATGAATGTAAAAGAAAATGAAGCGCGCCACAGAAATCAGTAATGTAATGAGGGGTGTGGAAATGGGCGCGCTGTGATGGAAATAGAGGAAGAAGGAAGAAGAGAGATGGAGGGATGTGATGTGGGGGGAGAAGAGTTGTGTGGGAGGGGAAACCATGCTATCACGTGATACCCTATTTTATTTACATCGCAGTCGCGAACTGGTCACAAAGTATCTCTTTGAGGTTGAGACTTTTCTTTAATTGTCTATTGCTTTGATACAAAGAGTTCATGATGCAAGCTAATTGACAGGACAATTCGTGCTTTTACGTGGATTCCTTGTGATATCAAAGCTTCGGAAGCTTGCAGAACGCTTAACCCAAATTTCCTGCCAACAACAAAAGCCATGGCTGCAGATAATTTCAGGTCAATTTCCATTGCTTGCTCTTCCCCGGCAGTATACACCGTGTTGGGCGTAGTTGTTGACACTCTACCAATCTTTCGAACGAAGGGCTCTTCAAAATGCGTCACCTTCACTATCAAAGACTCCCATTTCGATCTACCAAGCTGGTCAGGCGGTCTCAAAGTCAAATACTTCAGTGATGATGATAGTCATATTCCCAATGTTAAAATCGATGATGTGGTCCTTCTACGGAACATAAAGGTAGGCGAGTCCGGATGAATGTAAGGTGGTATCAAGCTAAACCCGTGTTCAGGTTGCCATATTTCAAAACAAACCTACAGGGATTTCTGGCCAAAATCAAAGTGTTTCCTGGATTATATGTCGGCCAGAGTCAACCCCAAATTCCAACCCATTTGTCATCAGCACTGGTCCTGTTCCCTTTGAACCGACCTTGTGGGAGCAGCACCAGGCACAATCACTCTTGGATCGCGTATCTGCCAAGGGAAGCTCTGTGCAACAGCCCACGCCGCACAGTGTACCTGGTCCCAGACAGATTACTCATGTCCAAGCCTCTCGTCCAGCTGCCAAAGTTGGTCTACCATTTTGCCTGATCAAAGATGCAGAGCCTCATCGCTTGTACAAGTTGCTTGGTCAGGTTGTAAAGCTCAACACCTATGACAGCGAGAAAACTCTGCTGTACATAACCGATTACACGGAGAACCCACTGCTTCCCGATAAGAGGAAACCTGGAGAAGAAGATGACACAGGCATGGAGGGTGACCGATATAGTTACCTTGGAAGGAAAAATGACTGGCCTGGCCCTTGGGGCAGATTAACCATTCAAGTGGCCTTGTGGGAACCACATGCTGGCTATGCTCGCGAACACATCTCCAAAGACGATCTTGTCCTGTTAACCTATGTTCGGATGAAACAAAGTCGCGATTTGGAAGCTTCCGTTCATCAAGACAGAATATACCCAGAGAAGATTCATGTCCAGGTCTTTAGGGACAAAAATGACGAACGTGTACAAGCATTAATGGCTCGCCGGGCAGAATATTGGGAAATCCACGGAGAACCCAAGAAAGATACCAAAAAGACCAAAAAGAAATCACAGGCGCAAAAAAAAGAAGCTTGTAAAGAGGAAGGTCAGCTCACACTGCCAGCAGCGACCCGGACCAAAATGAATCCGCATGGTGAGTCGCCTCTCAAATGCTGTGTAGATAGTTCCACTGATACATTTCAAGTCAAAACGAAAGCTTACACAGCGCCCGTTTTCCCCCTTGAAAAGATTCTTCTAGCAGAAACTCACAAAAACAATGGCCCGGGGGGTGTTGTCTATCAGCTTCCATTTCAAAACGTCACCTACCGTTCTCAGATTAAGGTGATCGATTTCTTTCCTTCAAAAGTGGAAGATTTCACTGTCCAAACCACTCATGCCCCTTTGTTCAACACGGACAATAGCCCTGCGGAGCCGAGGTATGGCTGGGAATGGCGTTTTTGCCTACTTGTGGAAGGAATTGGCTCCAAGTCATCCAATCAACAAGCCCGGGAGCCCGTGAAGATATATGTATTCGGCGAGGGGGGTGAACATCTCCTTGATCGATCCGCATCCGAGTAAGCAGCTCGCCCCTCCATCAAAGCAAATTCATGCAATGTATACATGCTGACTGCGAACCTTCGCGTAGCCTCCGCGGAAACCCTAAAGAACTGTCTCTGATCAAGGATAGGCTTTTCCACCTCTGGGGTGATCTTGAAGAGCAAAAGTCACAAGCTATAGCTTCTGGCAACCAAAATTGGGAGGCAGTGAAGTCGGTACCATTTAACTGCTGCATCAAAGAATATGGGGTGCCGTGCACTCATGTCAAGGACTCCAATGCAATGGATATTGATGATGAGTTATGCAGTCACACTGACTGCTTTGGATGGGAGAGACGATTCGCCATTTTCGACACAATTATCCATGCTCCATGACGTTCACGATTTCCAATTCAATTGCCCTGTTCAGATACCCCGCATAAAACGTCAATGTATGGATTGATCCTCTTTATAATAATACAATTTAGTAGAAGAAAAACATTCCCAGATCAATACATAAAGACTTTTGCACCCGAAATCACCTTTACCGCCACTTTGGAAGACGATATTGAAATCTCAATGTCTGTAAAGCAAACCCGCCCCCATGCACCGTTCATAACTCCTGAATTCTCGAAATTCTGTTTATGTCATGGGGTGCTTTTTCAGTGAACCAAACCCGGTCCTATCACACTCAATAGAAAATATTTTTGTAGCCTTGCAATTGCATAAGATCTAGTTCACCCCAGGTGAACATGAGAATAACGTATAACTAAGCCACTTAGATTCTTGTGACTTTGACAATGTTTGTGTCAATGCCATGCGCCACTGGCTCGAAACGGCAGCTATCGCCCCGGAAGCAAGTCTTTTTACCAGGCTCGCTCTGAGGACAGCGATGGCCATAGATACACTCAACGTCATCGCATTCTAGGCCGAAACGACAAGGTGTCATGCGGGCAATGGCAGACAAAATGTGCAGGTCTTGGCGGGACAATTTGCGATCATGGTCATGATAGCAATTTTCTTCATTAGGGCATTCGCCAAGCAAGAAATGATAGTTGCAGAGCTTGAGTTTCTTCAACTTGTTGAGATCTTCACGGGGAATACTCTTGAAGTCGAGTCGATCGACTCGTTGGCCGTATTTATTTCGTTCCACGGCCTTCGGAGGTGTCGAGCCAGGAATTTTCGAGCGAACAACCTGGAAATCAGAAGACTCGAGCTTATTTGTTGTAACTGGGGCTAGTGGAACACCCAGATTTGACACACTAGTGCTGGTAGACGTTCGCGATAGCGGCGCAGGGGTTTGGAATTGTTGAGTTGGCGAAGGAGTGAGTAGGGTCCGCGAGGGGATTGCGTTCTTCCAAGAAGCAGTCCAGGTCGGTGCACTGGGCGCGCTGGGCACATTGGTTGCACTTGGCAGAATCTTGGTAGTACGAAACACATCTGCAAATTGGGTAATTCGATAATCCTGTTGTCTGAAATCGTCGAATTCCTTCTCGAGAGGAAGGCCTTCAACCAGCGAAACCCGTCCCTTATAATTCGCACCGGCGATCAGTTCTCTCAAGGACCCGGCATACTCTTCATTCGAGGGACAGCCCAGGAAGAGTTGGTGGCAATGACAGTTGTATAAGTAAAGCTTGAAAGCCTCTGTAGGATGAAAGCGAATCAGCAACGAGTTTTGTCATCACAAGCTGTACCACATACCCTTGATTTTATCATGCGCCTTGTTTTTGCCAGTTCCAACATCCACAATTTCAAAGAAAGATGTGGTCTCATTGAAACCCCGAATAAAGTCACTGATTGTGGATATCTCCAAATTGATCCCACCACGGTTGTAAGTCTCAACGAGTCCCTTCACATTAAGGTAGATCTTGGTCATTATCTTCGGCTTGGTGATTGTGGACAGATTCGTTGCCACATAGTCCTCCAGGGATTTCCAAAGTTGCTTGGCTGCATTGCGTCCACCCTGTTCTCCCAACTGGAGGAACTCGTCCTTGAATATAATTCCTTCGCCATCTAAAAGCAAAACGACAAATGGTTCTCGGTCCTAGATGAGAAAAAGACAGGTCAGCTTAGGTCGAATTTCCGGCCCATGGATGCGCTCACCATCATATTCTTGACTGACGATATCTGCTCCATCAACTCCATTTCGTGGAGTTGAATATCACGATTGAATCGAGTCTCGCGTTCATGGTCAAGTTTCTCTTGCTGAAAAGAATTCTCTAGAGCAGTGACACGTTGGAGAAGTTCCTGATAGTCTTGTGAGCATGAAATCAGGACCAAGGGAGAGATGGTTGCTACCTCGATGAATTCATTCTTCTGCTGATCCAAAGCGCATAATTGGCGATAGCGCTCTAGGTAAGCCTGAGCTGTCATTTTTGCAGATTTCGGATAATCTGAGGGATTTGAAGGTGTGAAGATGTGAATGCGACAAAAGATAAGGAAGAAAGAAAGTAAGGGAGAGAAGCAGGTTTGAAGTCCGATGAAACTCAAGGGAAATGGAATTTGGCAGGCGCTTGCAGAAGATGGCAATCTACACAGCGCGTAATTCCGTCAAATAACCAGTGAAACGCCTCCGATAATTAAATTATATGATAGCAAGGAGAAATTATAGCACGCGTCTTCTTGCTTCAATAAAAAAATCGATCTAAAGAAACGCGGATGGCATCGCTTACTCAGCTCCCCCGGGCCCCGGGGGTTTTGCATACGTGGAGCCAATATTCCCCTTCCAACCCATCTTCTTTCACTTCCTTGTTTCGCTTTTGGTATCTTTCAAGATGACTCGCTTCGGTTTCCTCTCTTTGGCTTTGCTCTCTCTTCAGGCCTTCGCCGGTACCAGCTTCGCTGCTGTATGTTTTGTGTCCACCTTTGTCCTCCTCAGGGTCCAATGTCGCATGACTCAATTGACTGACAATTGATTTGAACTTATAGGATGCTGAGCAGGCCGAAGCGGATGCCCCAGTTCTGGCTGTCTCGGCCCAGGCGTCTTTCCCTGCTTCTGAAATCTTTGGCATTAAGCTTGTCAACGGTCACCCTACTCAAGCACTGATCGACGTCTCCAACGATGAGCCGAACCCTGTTACTGTGAACTTTGTTGGCGGTAGTCTTCGCAACCCCGAGGACCAGACCCAGATCGCTCGCAACTTGACCGCTACTCGCTACGGTGTCGAGATCCCCGCCGGATCGAAGGAGACGATCAGCTACAGCTTCGCCACCGAGATGCACCCCCAGGATCTGCAGTTGACTCTCTCTGCCATTCTCTCTGATAGCGAAGGTCGTTTCTTCACCGTCACTGCCCACAATGGCACTGTCAGCGTTGTTGAGGCGGATACCAGCATCTTCGACCCCCAGATGTGAGCACCCCCTCGTTTTGTAATTTTCTGTGAAAACTGATAGACTAACAATTACTAACAGCATCTTCCTTTACTTCTTCCTTCTTGCTTGTGTCACCGGCACTGGTTACTTCTTCTACACTGTTTGGGTCGCTCCTTACTTCCCTCAGAAGCGCAAGTCGACTGGAAAGACCGGCGAGAAGCGCACTCCGGCCTCGAAGCGCGTTGAGACCCAGGTTACTGAGGAAACTTCTTCCACCGGTGCCGGTGCTTCCTCTGCCACTACCTACAACGCTGATTGGATTCCCTCTCACCACATTGCCCGCCCCGAGGCCCGTAAGGTCAAGGGCCGCTCCAAGGCCCGTGCGTAAATGCACGCGACCATTATGTTGGTGGAGGAAGTGGACAATTCATATCTAATGGGATACAATTGTCAGGAGGTTCTTGTCTAGTGCAATGCCAGCATTGGATACGTGCTGAAAATGCATGCACCGATTCCCGCTACCAATTGTCACTGGAGCATGTATATTTACCACATAGAAGATTATGGTCCTCTTTAGCTTCTACGGAATTCAGGTCGGATGGCATGTATGACTCCATCGCATTCCATGCCGTGCCTGTTGTGATAGGACTGGTTTATTATCATACCAAAGTTCCTGTAGCTCACAATTTCTTCCACTCCATAAACTCGTGCTCCAGATGTTTTTTCAAGTCAGTAAATCGATTCCCAAACACCTCGCCACAGCGCCAGCAAGCGAAGTCCCGCTTTAGATACCCCTGCTCCGTCGGCTTTCGTCGTTCATCATCATGCGCTAGAGGAAAATCGTCAATTGGCACGAAAAATGGTGTGGAGAAGCTATTGTAGTGTTTCCGATGCTTCAGGCGCTCGCTATACCTATCCACCGACAACACATGAACATGCAAGTGATTCATGGATGGTACTGCATGCACTCCGGCGACAATTTCTTGCCCCCAGTCACGGCCCTGGGGTAACTCATTCGGCGGTGGATCAGCGCTCAGCGCTGCCTGTCTCGGTTGCTCCTGTACAGAGTCCTTTCCATATTTACGCCTCAACTCGCCTGCTGCCAAGACACGAAGCTTGCAAGTTTCGGCTTTCACCTTCGCCAAAAATTCGGTGTCTTCAAAAGCGTCAAATGGGTGAAGGCGCGTTTTGGACTGGTCGCGAGGGAGGAGAAGAAGATGTACAGATGACTTTGGAAACATGTCATGGATTGCCACAAAATCCTCGTCATGGTAGACTCTGGGACCAAGAGGATAAAGCCGATGACTCTCAGGCTTTGCGATGTAAGTGCCTAGTCCATCTCGAGCTCCAAAAGTAGCTCTGCCTTTAGCCTCATTGCGATTAGATGCAGCTTTGGCCGCAGGCTTTGGTTGCTTGCTTTTGGGAGCCAGGAGCTCGGTAACTGTTTCAGCAATATGTCAGTAAGATTATCCGTCTTGATAGATAGACCCATTGTAGTATTACAGGCATTTCTCTTTTCCGGTTTCCCAGCTTGCTCCGTGGAGCCCTTGTTCGAATTATCCGGTTCCATCTTAAATGTATTGAAAGAGAGAGAGAGAGAGACACGTGGTCACATAGGACATATGAGCCGTAACATTGCCTTCGAGGAATCTCAGTATCACATTGATGTCAAATGCAACTGAAGTGCAAGTGTACAGCGGCGCCGGGTTTTGCCCAAATCGAGTCCCCGCAATGCATCCAAAAGCGGTTTAGTGCGGGACGCTCTTTTGCCAGCTCCAAAAAGTTGTTCGTCAATTTTTTGTTGACGCTCGCCACGAGTGACATACACGAACATGCCACCTAAGAAGAAAGGCGATGGGAAAGGCGGTCCTAAGCCTGGCACGAAACAGGCCAAAGCTGTGGCAGAGAAGGCGGGCGAAGTGAAGAAGCAAGCGCTGCCGGAGGAGCCCAAGAAACCATCCGTGAAGGAGGTTATTGGCGGCGCATCATGGACAGGAAAGCTACCAGTCAATATGTTGGCAGAGCATTGCCAAAAACAAAAATGGGAAAAGCCTGAGTACAGCATGGTAATTAATTCCGTCGCGACTCGTCGCATTCCACTTATAAACGCAATATATTCAATCAGATACTGATAGATCGCGACAATTGCAGATAAAAACTTCGGATGGATTTGTATCCTCCGTGACAATGAAGAAAATAGACCCGAAAACCAAAGAACTCATTGTCATTCCACCGATGAAGCTCCCTCCCTCCCATAAACATCTCGCTGGACAACCGACAGCCCTCGAAGCTCGCCATTTCGGTGCAGCATTTGCTCTTTTCCGTGTATGCAATATGCGCAATATTCATATGATGATGCCTCCCACGTATAAAAAGCTTTGGAAGGAGGACTTTGGGGAAATAAAAGCAATGGATACCCGGGAGGGCAAGGGCTGGATGTACGAGGCAGATCCATTTTTGGCCAAGCAAGAACGTGAAAGCGCAGCAGCCGATTTGGCAAAGAAGCGCGCAGATCGTGAAAAATCTCAAGCAAAAGAGAAGGCTTCCAACGCTGAGTTAGGGTTAGGTAATGGTGATGCTAAATCGAAGCGCATTTGGTCGCAGGCACCCAAGGTAGATATGGGCACTCGGATTCGACGAGATATTGAAGGTCTGCTGCGGCAGCATACAGTATGGAATCCCTACGGGGTCCAGATCCCAGAAGACCAAAAGAAGGCCATCGCAGACGAATTCTCCGGTTTAGGGTTCCGTCGCAGTCACGTTGAAGAAGCTACGGCAGAATGCAAAGACCGCGAAGAGGTTTTGGAGTGGCTTCTTATCTATGTTCCCGACGATGACCTTCCACGATGGAGTCTGCCGGAAGGTTATTCAGCTGGAGTTAGTCTTGGTTCTGTTGATCTCGCCCGTGAAGCCAAAATAAAACGATTGGCGTCTGTTGGTTACCCATCCGATATGTGCTCTCAAATTTTGGATAGCAAAAGTGGCGATGAACTAGCGGCTGCCGAGCATTTGCAGGGTACCTTAGCTCATGGATCCGGATTTTCACTTCCCTCGGTAGCCGATGAAGATGATGAGGCTTGGGCAGAAGAGGCAACTACGCTCGAGGCTATTTTTGGTGACCGCTATCATCGCCTATCATCTAAGGTCTGCGAGATCAATAGCGAAGCATCAGAAATCCCGGCAAACACAACGTTCCGCTTCCAAAAGCCTTCCGCCCATTATCCAAGCACGCCTCCTGTCATCTCGATTCATTCCAAGGGAGTTCCAGCTTACATACGTCTCAGCGCGATCCGCCGGGCAGTGCAACATGCCGAGGAGAACTTCACGGGCGAGTCTATGATATTCAATATCATGGATTGGTTGGAGGTCAACTTGCCTATCATCATGCAGAATCCAGGCAAGTTGCGAGAGATTTCTGCTGTGACAGCCTCCTCAGCAGCTGAGACTCACGAGATCCCTGTGCGTTCGTCACGCAAGAACCGCAAGGGGATTGACTGGACTGTCGACTCAGCACGAAGCTTGGCCATGCGAGATGCTTGGGAGGCCAAGCAAAACACCGCACCGCAACTTGAAATGACCCGGAAGCGAAAGGCACTCCCTGCATGGAACACCCAGTATGATATTATTCAAGCAATCAACTCACACCAGGTGACTATCATCTCAGGTGAAACTGGTAGTGGTAAAAGTACACAGTCCGTGCAATTTGTGCTGGATGATATGATTCAGCGAGGACTAGGAGGCGCTGCCAATATCATCTGTACGCAGCCGCGACGAATTTCAGCACTGGGCCTTGCCGACAGAGTCAGCGATGAGCGTTGCGCAACCGTTGGCGATGAAATCGGATACGTGATCCGTGGCGAGTCAAAAGCTAAACCAGGCTCAACAAAAATCACGTTCGTGACGACTGGTGTCTTGCTACGTCGAATTCAGTCCGGTGGTGATGCAGATGGCAATGTTGCAAGCTCCCTCGCTGACGTCTCACATGTGGTGGTTGATGAAGTTCACGAGCGCAGTCTGGATACAGACTTCCTCTTGGCGCTACTAAGGGATGTTCTGCGTTATCGCAAGGATCTCAAGGTCATTCTCATGAGTGCTACTCTTGATGCGGGTATCTTTATGAATTACTTTGGCAGCCAACAAACAGTTGGGCTGGTGAACATCCCTGGTCGAACATTCCCCGTCCAAGACTACTACCTGGACGATGTTATCAGAGATACAGGGTTTGCGCCAGAACTCGCGGAGAACTATGAATATGATGAAGAACCATCGCGGGGCGAGGAAACACTGGGCAAAGCTCTTCGTAGTCTCGGCATGGGAATCAATTATGATTTGATTGCAGCAACTGTCGAATACATCGATGCCCAACTGGGAGACCAGCCAGGAGGAATCTTGATTTTCCTTCCTGGTACGATGGAGATCGACAGATGTCTGACAGCAGTCAAGAGGATCCCCAACACACACCCTCTGCCTTTGCATGCCTCTCTTCTACCTGCTGAGCAGCGACGAGTATTCCAAAGCCCACCAAGGGGCATGCGAAAGGTCATTGCCGCCACTAATGTTGCGGAAACATCCATCACAATCGAGGATGTCGTTGCCGTCATTGACACTGGTCGAGTCAAGGAAACAAGTTACGATCCTAAGGACAACATGGTGCGTCTCCAAGAAGTGTGGGCATCTCAAGCAGCTTGCAAACAGCGCCGTGGTCGAGCAGGTCGTGTCCGCGCAGGTATTTGCTACAAGCTGTATACTCGCAAAGCCGAGTCCAACATGGCACAGCGACCAGACCCGGAAATTCGCCGTGTCCCATTGGAGCAGTTGTGTCTGTCCGTTAAATCCATGAAAGGCATTGACGATGTTGCCAACTTCCTAGCCAACACCATCACTCCGCCAGAAAGTATAGCCGTTGAGGGCGCACTGAATTTCCTGCATCGTGTAGGAGCTCTAGACCATGACAGACTCACTGCACTGGGTCGATATCTCTCCATGATTCCCGCCGACCTGCGCTGCGCCAAGCTCATGATTTACGGCTCTATCTTTGGTTGCATGGAACCGTGCCTCACCATCGCAGCCATGCTGACAGTCAAGAGCCCCTTTGTCTCACCGCGCGAGAAGCGCGAAGAAGCCAACGCCGCCAAAGCAAGCTTTTCTCGACCAGGCGACGGTGATCTTCTCACCGATCTCTCAGCCTACCAGGCCTGGTCCGAAAGGACCCAAGCCAAGGGTGGCTATTGGGGTACCCAGTCATGGTGTGTCGCCAACTTCCTCTCCCATCAAACGCTGCGCGACATCTCGTCCAATCGTGCACAATTCATCACATCCCTCAAAGATGCAGGCGTCCTAGCAGTCAACTATTCTGACTCTTCGGCCGTCTGGAACCGCAATGCTGCCAACCGGAACCTGATCCGTGCCCTCGTCGCCGGAGCTTTCCAGCCACAGGTAGCGCAAATCTCTTTCCCAGATAAAAAGTTCGCTAGCTCGGTCACTGGTACTGTTGAAGTTGACCCAGATGCCCGCACCATCAAGTACTTCAATCAAGAGAATGGCCGTGTCTTCATTCATCCCAGTTCCATTCTCTTTTCTGCAGCCGGCTATCCCAGTGCCGCGGCCTACATCAGTTACTTTACTAAGATGGCTACAAGCAAAGTCTTCATCCGCGATCTTACCCGTGAGTTACTTCTCACCAAAATTTAAATCTCCCCATTCAATTTCTGACATGCTTGCAGCTTTCAACGCATATTCCCTCCTTCTCTTCTGTGGCTCCATCGAACTCGACACTGTGGGCCGTGGTCTGGTTGTAGACGGCTGGCTCCGTCTCCGCGGTTGGGCCCGGATCGGCGTACTCGTTTCGCGACTCCGCACTATGTTAGATGAGGCTCTTGCAGAGCGCTTCGACAATCCCTCGTTGGTGGCTGACGGCAGCAGTATTGGGGATCGAGTAATTGAAGCTGTCAAGAAGTTGATTGAATTCAACGGGCTTGACCAGTGATTTGGTTAAACGGCCTCTTGGGCCCAGAATATACACAGCAGATACATCTCGCTAGATGAGACAGTCGAGATAATTCACGATACAAACAGAGATAAATCAAAAGGCATTCACATATTCTGCCCAGGTGGTGATTTCTGCAAAAGATACATATTTCCTTGAAATCAACCTTGGAACCAAGGTCCAATCAATTAGGGTGTGGATCTTCAATAACAGTAAAGCATATACCAGTCGCTGCCACTACCTGCTGTAATTTTCTTTTCATTACTCAGAGACGGTGACCACCTGGGCATTGAAGGATAAAACTGGATTTTGGATTCAAATTTTGTACTCGACAAACATCAAAGATAGAGCAAGATCTAAGCAAGATACAGGACAGCAACAATTGTCCAAAACTCGAGTTTCTCAAGAAATGTATGGCTACAGATACAAAAAGAAAATTGACACAAGGCCATGGATACAAGTAATTTGCATCCATTTGCTATCTGTGGTGTAAAACACCCTCCGTAAGGCTATTTCGATATGCACTAACTGCCTAGTAAAAATGCGACGTAGCAATAATCACTTAGCAATAAATGCAGGAAACGCCTTGGGAAACCAGTATGTGAAAACCTCAGTCAATCTGCAGAGCATGGGATAAAAAGACAACCATTAGGGCAAATGCGGTCACACGCAAGGTAAGATGGTGTTGGCGTGGACGGGGAATTGCGCAGCGAAATCAAAAATCAGTTATGTTACGTAGAATCAAACAAAGAAACTGGAGTAGTGCCTTGACGCCGAGGGAGAAATAGACCATCGTCAACGCCTTCCGATCATTCACTCCCATGTCCGGAGAATTGTGGCGTTAAGTCATCTTGTCGTCAGCCCAGTTTGTCTGGGAACAAAGCACAAATCAGAAGAAAAACAGTCGACAAAATGAAAATAAAAAGGGACAAGGGCCACACGTTCAACACCATGCAGAAAAAGAAACCAGATTCGCCTGTTCGCCCCGAAAAGAACGCCTCATGTTGACAAACAAAAAAAGCAGAGATAGAAATCAAGAGATTGTCGGTGGCCGAAGTACCACTACCATCGAGACCAGCTTGCCATGGTATTTGCAAAGCAATGAGTAGCCGTTGAGCAAGAACGACATTAACTAGTAGTTGGCCAGCCCGTCCAAGCGGTCCGGATCCTTGAGATCAGCGATCTCAGGCAGAACAAAGTCGGTTGCCAGCTCGTTTTCGACAAACACAGAAGCGCGCTTGAAGCGACGATCGGCATATTTCTCAAAGATGGCTGCATGGTGGCGGCGAGGATTTTCGCAGCATTCTATCATGGTTGTGAGGACTGGGACCAGCTGCGCATAAAGGTATCCACTGTAGAAAGCGTGGGCTGGGGTCTGTGGTCATGAGTATTAGCATTATACAAGAAAAAGAGTTTCAAGGTCACTTACCCAGTTGCCCTTGTTGAGAAGCATACGAGCCAGGCAGTGAGCACCTGCAGCGACAAAGCTGGGAGGAGTGCAGACAAAGCGCTCGTCCATGATAGCAAGTTCAAGAAAGTACTTTGCAACAGTACGAGTCTCAAGATCATATTCATCAGCCTTGCTGATGCGTCGGAGGAAGCTCATTGGGCCAGGCCATCCTAGGTCAAAGTCAAGGATAGTAAGCATGAAGCGTTCTGCTTTCAGAATTTCATCAACAGTGTAACCACCATCGACCATGTACACAATCTCTTGCACAGATGGTGCAGTGATCTCTTCGAATTTAGCGGCAATGAAGATGGCAGTTGCACCCACCAGCTGCAACTTGCCAAGTGAAACAATCTTGTGAGACAAGAACCGGTCAATGTAATTGACCGTCAGGAACAGAGTCTCAGGGAGCAAGTTGAAGCGTTGGTGGACTTGTACAAGCCAATCCATCAGGACCGAACGCATGGACCACTGGATTTCCGCCTGATTAGCCATGTAGTCAGGCACTGGGAGCATATCAATCTGCAGACCATGTTAGTTTCAACTGGTGTGAATGACGCGAGTGAAAGAGCAAAGCTTACCTCCTTTTTTCTCAGATGAAGGAAGATCTCATCATTGTACTCCGCCACCATGGTAGTATCTAGCAAATCTTCTTCGCGGTCCTCCTCAGTTTGCTCGCTTTCAACAATGGCCTTGGCCTGGAACATCTGGCTTTGCGTCACATGGTTCATGCGAGGATAGATGACAGCAGTGGTTCCATCGGTGTGGTCGCCACGCGAGGGACCAGAAGGCGCAACATGATATTCGGTCTCGTCTTCATCCCATTCCTCGGGCTCGGATACTGCTGGCACGGGCTCCTTAAGGCGTACGTGTTCTTTGATATCCTCCGGTTCAGAGATGGTCGCATCAGATTCAATGTGAGCAGATACATCCACAGTAGCCTTGGAAGGGACCATGGCGATGGGGGTTGGCTTGATTCCCTTCTCTGCTTCCTTCAGAGGGACTTTTGTTTCGGTCTTGATGTGTGCTTCTTTTTCCTTGGATGAATTTGTCTCGGGGACAGTTTGCAGTTGATCTTTGAACACAGCATTGGTGCGTTTCGTAGCCTTGTATGCGGGCTGGGCCTTTCCGGCGGGGTTGATAGGCTTTGTATTGGCGACCTTATCGATTATGGTCCTGGCACTTGACAAAGACATGGGGCGCTGAGCGGGCTGAGACAGCCCAGGCTTCCCCTCAGTCACCAAGACTTGTTTTCCTCCCACAGCAGAGTCATCACAAGCGGCGCGATTCAGGTCCTTGGTATTACTCACGTCGCCAAAGGCACGTCGAGTGTTGCTTTGGTTTTGAGCCATCATGCTGAGAGCCGGACTCGACTTGTTGCGTTGATGAATTGCCTTATGGTTCTGCAGGGAAGACGGAGGCACGTTCTCATCCCCAACGGCTCGGAAACGCTGCGGCTTGGTTTCAATTAGTCGGAAGTCACGGTTGCAATATGAAGCAATTGAAAACAATAAAGTCGGGTGACGCGACTGACGCGTAGGGATCAAAGAAAACACGGAATTGAGGTATCAACACAAAGGACTTACCTTAGCGTCCATGGTCGAAGATGTGGAGGCGAAAGTTGTCGAAGTAGCAAAGTAGTCGTTGTTGGGTAGAAGGGTGTTGTTTACTTTTTGCTGAGTTGAGATGGAGACGAGTTGCTCCGGGAGTGATTGGCCGACCCAAACAAAATAAACAGTTCCTCGGACCCGCTTTGTTACAAGCACCTTCCCTATGCTTTTTGGCGTTCCTTACCTTTTTTTATTTATTTGTCGTCTCTTCTGTGCTCTGGAGAAGTCTTGTCGAAGAGATGCACAGGCTAGTGAAAAGAAGAAACAAAAAAAGAACAAGGAATTTGTCCCTTGTTCCTGAGATGTGCCTGGCTACAATGCACGCTAGCCCGAAAATGGAGTGTACTACGGTAGCGCATGCATACCTACTATGCACAATCAATACCCTTGCTGCCTTGAGAAATTAGATTGAAGTCGAGTGAAACATTTTATTTTCTTGTCAATTCAATTTTTGAGGGACAGTTTCACCTAGGTATGTATCAATCGTTTGTTTCGGTTTTAGATTGTGTAGGCTTTGCCCACAGGTGAACCTTGGAAGTCTCACCTGCCTGGTCTAGATCTATACGGACATAGACCTCGGGACATCCAAAGTTACAATATATACTTGTCGCATTCAACATATGGCATTTTGTATGGATATATATACTATATGCTTCTCTATACAAAGTTTATTCTGTAGGGATCATGATACATAGACCTTGTTAGCAATGTCATTCTATATCCATTCGAAATGGACGTTACATTGCCTTTCAAGGTTATGGTGGGGGTTATAGCCTCTGCACGTCATATTGTTTTGTATTGCTTTTTTATGGGAGCATTTCTGTGCAGCGGAAAAGTCGAAAAAGCCAGTTATATATGTAGGCAAGGTTTCCCACATTGCTTTCCAAGGAATGCAACTTCGACGTCTGTTGATAAGAGTAGATAAGAGGTGATCTTCGGCATTATCCGGCGTTATCAGCATAGTTTGCACTGTTTGTTGATTGATTGACGTCATTAACCTTATCGGCGCGTCTTCTTCAACATCCATCAAATCACAATTTTTATTCAAGCTCATTCTAGCAATATTAAAATATAACAAAAAATCATCTACAATTAGCTTGAGAAATTACCCAGGCCATTGAAATCAACCAAGCGTAAATTATGAACATTTGCGGGTGTAATCGCCTCTTTCTACCTCGATCTAGATTCAACGCGCTATCTACACGAGACCACGTGAATGCTACACCGCCGTCGCAAGAGGTGGGACACCGGAATCAAGCGGTTCCTGTTTGGCAGCTTTATGATCAAACCGAAACCCACCGAGTCATTACGACAACTGGTGACTTTTCGATGTAAAAATTTAGTGGCTTTCATGTTAGGGGTAACAAGTTTCGGAGTTAATCATGAAAATCTAGCGCACGTTCTTAGTGCGGAGATCATTCTAGGCATTGTTCATCAATTGCGCCCAGTCTCAACATCACCGCCTGACTCCACCAAGCAAAATGTCTTCCCCCTTTTCGGCTATTTTTTCTTTGTAAACAATTACAATATAGTGTATGTGTGTGCGATCATGTTGAGATCACTCTTTTCAAATAGTCAAGTAGTAACCTGCAAGGTTTCAAGGAGCACCCAAGAATGCTCTGTAACCCCGATGCGGGATTCCCTTTTTTTAACTTCTTACGTAGGTCCCGAGGAGGGGTAAATCAAAACTGCAGATCATGCGAAACACTCCGGCATAAGGAGTCATGCGATGAGATGAGGAGAGGTAAGACTGGATTAATTTTGGGATTGAAGGGGTTTGGTTCTCGGTGATATCCTAAGTTGCGGCCGTATAAATCTCCATGTGGATCAATAGAACACACTATTAACCCACTATCCTAGGTTTTTTTCTGGCATCAACCACCATCAAAAGTGTCGCGGCATCTAGTAATTTCTATATCGCATGTTGAATAGGTAATGCGACAAGCGTGGCTGCCATAAAATGCTCGCATTGACAATATTGAAGGTCTGTCCCCTGCGCACACCTCCACAACCTTGCCCCAATAAAAAGGGTATGGTCGCTACGTGGTCAAGCTAAGAACTAGTTGCAAGCCATCAAATCCATTGGGCGCTATTTCTTTATCTTATTCTGTGCCCTTAAGCCCTCAATATCCGGGATACTTGTAGCGACAGAGGTACCTAAGGTACCCGGCTTTGTGTGAACCCGGACAACATCCCATGGGGATGATGAAACCACCATCTATGACTCTAGCTTTTAGATATCTAAATACCGAATTATAGTCTTCATTTTGTACATCACACCGAAGAAGGGGGGTTAGACAAATTGTCCCGTCACTCGGCGCAATGGCATCCGGCTTGCGACAGCTTTTTGCGCATTGCGAAAAGGTACAGCATTGGGATTGTTTCGCACATAGTTTATTTTTTAGATACATTGAATAGACATAATCCAAATGAAGAGTTTATAATTGTTCATTAAAGCTATGGAATGTGATGGCTGCTTCGATGGCCACCGGAAGCGCAAATCGCCATGTCACCGACCCAGGCAGGCCGTTTTCTCGCTTTAGGTGAAACCATCGTACGCACCCACTTCAACCTTCTTCCTTCTAACAACACCCTGAACAAATCGCCATTTGTGTTGCCAATACTGCTGGGTATGTATCTCTTTGCTTGAATCTTTTGCTTTTTTATTCCCTTGGCCCGATTTCGGCTCTGGAGATGCCACCGCTGACCTAGCCTCAACGTTTCGTAGAATCGACAATCCCCTCTCGACCCTCGACCGATCCCATCCTTCGACCCTTCCGCCTTGCCTTGAACGATTCAAAATAATTGCGACGCTAGAGGACTTTGTTTGAGCTGAATTAGGTGTGTTCAAGTTCCTCTCCATTCTCTTCCGGGTCCTTTCGCTTGCTTGCTCCCAAGCCTGCTCACAAGGTCGGCCGGACTCGGCTAGCGACACATCCATCCATCATCCTCACATACAGAACCCATCATTGTTCTGTATTTCAACACTCAGAACCCCATTGTACTAACTACTATGGTTCGTTGTCCTCCAGTTAGCCGACGTTCGCCCTTTTGAGTCGCTTCCGACTCTTGCGACTGCAGATTCCCCTCCACTTCCATCGAAGGTTCTACTTCGACGATTTTCTATACACCAAGACCCGGGGGTGGTCCATCCACCAACCTGATCTTTCGAATTCAATAATTGTGGTAGGTTTGATGGATTCTTCCCTCTACACTTGCCCTTCTGTGCCTAGCCATGGATCACGTTCCCGCCCTCTACCGCACACAAGCAGTGGGTTGATGCAGTCTTTGGTATAGCAGTGGAGTATTTCTTCGCATTCTGGATCACTTTAATATGCAAACGGTTCAGCATGAGGGGCACTTAGGCCTGGTCGAACAGCCAGGTCTAACAGACTCTGCTGTAAATCGCGATCCGTCGCTTAAAGGACCAACACCCAAGAACATCGCCTTTGAGTTGCTTCTCGACGAGAACTCTAAAGTCCGAGCCCGTATCCCGATGCGCGTGCAGATATATCCTCATGATACCACAGACTCGATCGTGACGACAGTCAAAAATTTCTATGGTATCTACGATGGTACTCCCAGTGGGGTCAGCTTTGAGGATGAACATGGGACCACCCTGATCGCAAGGTACGAGAACCTCAAGAATAACAGGACTGTATATGTGCGGGTTATCCCCATTCAACCATATGGGGATCACTTCTATAACGGTTTCATTGCCGAGCCTCGCAAGCGGCCTAGTCTGGCGGAGCCCTTCCAGATGGCCGATGGTATGGTGCCAGTATTGGATCAACCATCGCGACCAGCATCGCGGCTGGCGAGAAAGCGCAGCACCTCTCCAACAAACCGGAGTTTGCGCAGTGCTTCTCAGCACAAGCCTTCCTCCCGCGCAGGCAACAAAAGCCGTACTTCAAGCATCCATGGGGCTTTCCATGACGACGAAGACTACAGCGATACTGAGAGCGCCTATGCTCGCAGGGCTCGTAACGAGATATTCGCTAGCTCTGACATCAGCATGGAGAACATACTACAGGATGGTCGTCGGAAACGACCTAAGTTCGACAGCTCTGTAAGTCATTTCTTCGGATGAGAGGTTTTTTTCCCTCGTCGCTAATATGTCTTTTTCTCTCAGGAACTTCCGTTATTTGTTCCTCCTCAAGTACCCCTCACTACCTCCACCTCCTCAATCTCCCCTCAACGTCGCTCGGTTGGACAGGAAGGCGCTGGGTCGCCTTTCGCTCGCCCAACCCACCGCACATATAGCTATCAGCATGCGCTTCCATCACCACAAAGCTATGGTCATAGTGAATATGGTGCTCAGTCAGGGCGCAATACGATGTACGCGACCCCGATGGTTCCAGACCATGGAAACCGCACGCGCGACACCTCAGGGACCTATGGCAACTCGGCTAGCCGAGCGAGTGGTCCAGGTGTATTGCCCACACCTGATCCCACCATTGCCAGCTGCATCTCTGATGAGGATGTGGCAATGCAATTGATACGTCTGGGCGATGCGTCCAATTTCTCTCATGGTCGTACCTCGACCTCGACATTGGACGATGCCTTCAGCGGCGCCGCTGATGCTAATTCGTCGGCTGGCGCCACCAGTGACGGGGATGACTTTAGCGAGGAGGAGGAGGATGATTTGCCAGCTCGCCGTCAGAGGCTGGACTCGAGCCCGATGCTCCCACCTGGAACCATCAAGCGCCATCTCAAGGGCTTGGATGACATTCTTCCCAGCGCTGATAGCAGCGATCACAGCTCAGATGGTGCGGATGACGGCATCAAGAGTGAAGCTGAAGAGGACGTGTTGTATAAGGAGTTTGCGCCCAAGGCAAAGAAGCCCAAGAGCCGTCCCATGTCGTTCAAGGTCCGCAGCCAAAAGCCGGCCCCTGTTAAGGTGAACAAGAGCAAGATCCCCACGCCTGCTCCTCGTAAGCCATCCGAAAAATCATCTGCGCCCATTCCACCTCTCAGTCCTGCTTCTTCCCGAAAGGTTTCTGGGGGTTCCGTCAACTTCCAGCACCAGCTAGGTGCCGATGAGGAGGATTTATCCACCAAGCCTCGCTGCCAGCGATGCCGCAAGAGCAAGAAGGGGTGTGACCGCCAGCGCCCCTGTGGGCGTTGCAAGGATGCCGGTATTGGAATTGAAGGATGTCTCAGTGAAGACGAGGGCAATGGCCGCAAAGGTCGTTACGGTCGTCATATGGGAGTCCCGGTCAAGAAGAACGGTGAAGAGATGGATGAAGACGAGGAAGACTTTCCGCTAATGCCTGAGACCCCTCCTATCTTTTCGTCCACAACAGACAAGAACAAGAAGCGGAAGCGCTAGTGACACCTCTATCTAAGATTGCCCTCTCAGTCTCTGAGCGCCGAACCTCTCCGTGACCATGGGACCTCTCATTCATCTTGCCATCCTCACTATGGGCCAACCTCATCCGCCCTCACTCTCTCCTTTTAACCTTTCTGGCCAGCGTCAGAGACACTCCTTATACTACCACACTACCATACTACCATCATTTGTCCTTCGCACTATACACTCCCTCCCTGGTTACAAGCAATGCTCCTGACCCTCCATTACACACTGCTAAGCGGTTGATCTGTTGTTCTTGTCGGCGTCTTAGTGTTTCTGCGGGTTGTATGCTTCTTGTTACATCCACTCGCTCATTCGAAATCAATGTTACTGGGTTGTTTATCTTTGATTATGTCGTTTCCATGTGTGTCGTGAATGGTGCCCGCAGGTGGACGAGTGGTGGAAGCATTATATACTTCCAGGTGGGGCAGCTGTACTAGACGTACCTATCTTGCTTTTTATTTCCTCTAGTTACTCTGGGAGTCAATGGAAGGGGTTTAACTTTTACCATGCATTCTTTATGTAAAAATATTAGTCTAAGATTCCACCCTGGGCAGCGACTTGAAATCAAATAGCCCTCGAGGACGGGTCATGTGACGAAGGCGGTGTGGATGGCCCCGCAACTTTTTTGAAGAGCTCAACTTTCTCGAACATTGAATGCCTGCAATTTTCAGTAACGAATTGGCGGTTTCTTTGTTCGCAGTTGAATCCAGGTGTGAAGTTTGACTCACGACTCGAAAATTTCAACGCCAATTCCACTTTCAACGCGCTACGTGAGACAGTCCTTCAACACGAACTTTTCTCCAACAGCCAGCAAGGTACACCACTCACCTAATCTGCACAGCGACGGCAATGCCCCCCAAAGCCGCGCGCGCAAGCGCCCGTGGAGGAGCCTCCACTCGCGGAGCTCGCGCTGAATCAAACACCACCACTCCCGCTGGCGGGGGCACAGAGCAAAATTCTCCCGCAGAAACCGACACACCCGGCCCCGCGAATCGAGCCTCGGTGCAACGGCTCAAAACTACGAACAAACGCACACCGTCTGGCAGCATTGCGCCAATCAGTCGTCCTTCGTCTGCGCTTGGCAGTGAGCCGCCTAAACCAGTCATGAAATACCGACCCAGAGCTGTCGGGCGTCGCAGCAAGCAAGAACGAGATGATATTGAACGGATCGAAAGGGAGCGAAACGATGCACGTTTGAAGGAAGCTGCAGCTATTCAGCGCGGCCGTGGGGCACCTCGTCGGGCTGGATTCCGTGGCCGCGGCGGTCCTATGGCTATGAGCATGGGAGGTGGCTTCGGAGGACGAGGTGGCAAGCGCGGCCGCGGTGGTTTCGGTGGTGGAGGTGGTGCTGGGGGATATGCAGGCGGCGCAGGCTCAGGGCGCAACCGGTCTGGTCTTACTGGAGGGAACCGTGGGCGTGCATACGACTCTTCTGATGACGAAGATAATTCACTTCGCATCAGCATCGACCAAATAAACCTCGACAGCGACGAGGAGGAATGGGACAGACCCAAGGATTCCAAGGGAAAAAAACTAAGCATGTCACACACGGATCGTGCGCTTCGTCCCGTCCGCCTTGAGAGATATGAACATGAGGAACGGGTCATTAGTGTCAATATGGAGTCCAGCTCTTCCCGAGCTGCTGATCTGCGCAAAAAGGCAGAGAAGGAGAAGCAGAAGGTCATGAAGGATGCTACAAAGACACCTACCAAAGTCAAATCGGAGCCACTGGACGAGGATGCTGTCATGACAGATGGTATCCCCCAAGCAGATGATGACGGGTTCTTGCCGGAACACAATGTCCGAGTGCGCTCTGTGACCATGAGCCCCACAAAGAGAGACACGACAGAATTACGATCATCTCAAACTACGCCTGAGCCCAAGCTGCTGGACCCACGCAGCCTGCTCCATACCAAGGAGGAAATCGATGAATATGACCGTCACCAAGAAGATTTGTCTATTATTAAGCACCTTCTCATCCCTAAAGAGCCAAAGAAGGCCACCACGGAAGGGGAAATTGCTGAAGGGGCTACGGGAGCTGAGATCACCGCAGAAGAGGGACAAGATAAAAACAAAGCCGACGAAGAGGACGAAGAAGAAAACCCTCTTCTCGGTCAATTGTTCCTCATGCAGTTCCCACCAATGACTCCCAACCTTAAGATCGCTGGATCTACAACAGAAAATCAACAACCAACTGCAGAAGCAGACAAAGATGCAGATCCCAAGACCGAGCCCAAGGTCAAACGCGAAGCGGGCGATGACGTGGAGATAGTGGAAAATACTCAACCGGTGGAACCACAACAAAACGATATCATCTCAGCTGGGAAGCCCTGGTCACTACCAACGGGCCGTGTTGGCAAATTGAATGTGCACCAGTCGGGCCGTGTGACCTTGGATTGGGGTGGTATTAGCATGGAGCTAGACCGCGGAGCACCTGTCGGCTTCGTCCAAGAGGCCGTAATTGTCGCACCAACTGTTCATAAGGAGCCCGAGATTGTGGGTGATGATGATGGAGCAGAAAGACGTGTTTGGTCGATGGGCCAATTGTCTGGCAAGTTTACGCTCACACCTAACTGGGATGAGATGCTTTGATTGCATAATGTAGCTACTTTATGATGAACGGAAAGAAATCAAAATATTAGAGCAGCAATAATTTTCATCGAACAACTAACTATGGAATATATGAATTGCAAAGCCAGAGAATGACAGTAATATACGTTATCTAGGGATCTCATAGAGCTCTGTTGCCTCAGGCAAACGCCAAGACCCAAGTAGCATCCAGACCTTGAAACTTTGTTCCCGTCGAGTTTACTCCGTACAACTGTTGAATACAACATTGAACCAACCTCAAGTACCTCAGCCGCGGTCGCGAAATCATACACTATATTCGGGCCTAATACGACTCCCCAAGCTTATATACAATGTCTACATAGGCCAAACAAAGTGTCTCCAGCGAGACACGAATAACCACGATGTCATTGCGTTCCCTCGGGTGTCAATTTAATTCCTACTACACGCAAATCTTTCGACATGGCCTACAGGTTAAATGTGCAACATCTAAGCTCTTGAAGCCCTCCTCTTTTCCGCGCGACACCCGCTTCGCACATAACTGGCCCGGAGGAAACCAGTACCTTGCAAAAAAAGCTTCGTTTTCGCAAGGGAATCTATGCGGCCATCCACCCAGCCCTGCGCGTACTCTGCAGGACCCACGCGGGGGCCAATGTCGTCATGAGTCCTCTGCGGCAAAGCATGCAGATCTCTGTGCGCATTGTGGCGGAAAGACCATACCCAAGATTCGAAAGCCCGTTGAACCCGGCAATCCTTCTAGTGGCTGGCACTGCAAACCATGTTCCCGGAATATATGCGTTCACGGCCATCTACCGAACGAGGAACAACTTGCGGATATTAGACGGCGACGATTAATAAGGGAGAGCGGCCAGGCAAGCCGAACAAGTCCGTGCCGGCACTGCGGTGACTTGACGGCTCCCAAAAGTAGCCGAAAGTTTGTCGAGCCAGATAATCCTTATGCGGGCTTTTACTGCCGACCATGTGTTCGGCATATGCACCACCATGGTGCCCTCCCCAATGAGCTCGAACTCACAGCCTTCAGATCCCGAAAGGAGGCTCGGCATAGAAGGCTCGCAAATTCTGCACTGAAAGAAAGAACGGAAAGCGGAGCAAGCCCGAAAAAAGAATCACCTGCTTCCACGACGCCCAAGTCTCCTAAGCAGAGCCGTGACCCACACCCCTGCCGCCACTGCAACGACACGACCTATTCCAACAGTAAGCGGAGGCTGGTCGAACCGCAGAATCCCTCTGCAGGGTATTATTGCCAACCGTGCACTAGGTGTCTACTCGAAACAAATGACTTGCCCACCTCAGCGCAACTAGCAGCGCTCAAGAAGCTCAGAGCCAAGCGAGTTTCCACATCGAATGCCAGGGTTTTGAGAAGCCCATGTATTCACTGCGGTTCTATCACCGCCCCGGGCAGCAAGCGGAAGCTCGTGGAGGCGAAAAACCCGGCTGCTGGGTACTACTGTCGGCCTTGTGCAGATTGCTTGGCTGAAACCAAAGCCCTGCCCGATGAGGTGCGGCTTGCAGCTCGCAGAGCCCGAGAGCATGTTAGACTAAAGAACCTTAAGGCTACCTTGAATTCCTCTCAGTCACAAACTGATTCTTCTCGGGAAGGGAAATCTCAAACAGGCGGCAAATCCAAGGCCTGTGCACACTGCAAAATTGACGAGACAACTACAACGATTAAGCACTTTGCGCCTCTTAACCAGGACATTTGTTCTTCGTGCCTTGGACATTTTGATCTCCACGGCTCGTTTCCTGGGCCGGAGGTCCTTTCGCGGCGGGACAGTTTGAGAAAAGCGCGGGCACGCATACAGTCGGATATCGAAGCTGGTCGGCCGCTAGCTTGCTCTCACTGCAAGGAGTCAAGACCTCAAAACCCGACTCAGCATTGGAAAATCGGCGGACAATTCTTTGACTTGGTTTGTCCCAGGTGCCAAGGAAAAGGATTTTGAGTTTCTATTCTAGCATGCATGCGTCGTCATCTTGTCGCTGACATTGAACTTATTGTCTTACTGCCTGAGCAAGATCGCTCTGTCGACCGCCTGTGGCGTTATCAAGCATGACATCGGTGGGACGGTCCAAGCGCCAAAATTATATATTAAGTATCTAGAATATAACAATTTATATACATATGTAGGTATGTATGAATGCAAGATGAGAATAAATTATACAAGACTATATACATATTGGATATGTAGGCGTATGACTAACTATCACCCGTTGGACCAGGTACCCGAATAGAGAAACACGGGAGAGGCGATCAACCAATCAGAATCCAAAGATTAAAGGATGTGACCACGGCAAGTCCCTGAGAGTCAAATGGTGGCTCGGCCAATCATGCCGTCGCCCTGATTTGCTTCACCTTGATTTTCCCTAAATTAATCTCCTTTTTCCCTGGATCTTTCTCTCTTCTTCTTTTCTAATTCTTCTTTGCTCAGAGTTGAGCTGGTTCAGTCTAGGAGGAACAAGAAAACCAGAGGAAAACAAAAGGAAACAAAGGAAATCACCCCAATTTCAAGCTTGTTCACTGTTTGGCCCCCTATTCCTGGTTGCCTGATCGCGAGCACAACAATCCACTCGAAAGTGGCATGTTCTGAGACAAACCCTTGAAACCTATGATCATACCGACTATTCGAGTCCACCGTCAGCTCGGCATACACGTTATATCCCCATCAGTCTACACATCTGCACGCCTTGTTGCCTCGCCAACTCCGAGACCCCCATCCCCACGACCCGCACCAACCAGCTTGGCGTTGCTTGTCTGCGCAGGCAACAACCCAAGCATTTGCGCGCATACCAGTCCATCCATTACATACTATAAATATATAATCACCATGAAACCAACCACCTTCCTAGCCCTCCTGGCTCCAGCTGCCGTCCTCGCCGACTCACAACCCGCAACTGGCGGCGTCTCCTCCGACTTCGCGCACAAATCCCCCGCAGTTTCAATACCGGAACTTGCTCCGCGGGAGCATTTTGCTCATATAATCGATCGCGACTTGCCCCTGTCGGATGAGATGCACCTGTTGACTGCGAGGCATGTTCTCCAGGCGCGCAGTGAGGGTTCTCTTGGCCAGACGCCATGGATTGGCATGGCTATAGGGTTGACCTTTACTGCTTTGGCAGCTGTTATGCTGGGGTGATTCCCACCTGATCCACGAACCTTGAACTTCACCTTCGATCTAAATACCTTTCTACCTACTTTCTCTCTCTCTCTCTCTGACGCTACACGTGAAACGCCGGGCACCGCTCGAACCCCCATTCAACCTCTAATCCGCTCGACATTTTGTGACTTTCATCTTCATCTTTTATCTTCTTACGGTCTTTTGCAGCGGATTTTTGAACCCCTTTTTTGTCTATTTTGCATCCATGGCCTTTTGTTCGGCGTGGTATTGGATATTTGAGCCCCTTTTTTTTTCTGTTCTTGCATTCCCCGACATGTGCACCTCTCTGTCACTATTTTACATTGCGTATGTACATGGTGCTGTCGGGGGTAGAGAGTTGCATGTTGTACGCATGTTGTACATGATACCTTTTTGTTTCTGATGCAGATGTCCCTATGTGTACATAGGATGACTTACTTAATTAGTGTATATAGATATGGTACAATACGAGATGACTATACATTTTTGCTTTTTGCCCCAATCTTTGGGTTTCTTTCGGGCTTTCGTTAACCTGCACCTCTTTGATATGTGGACTTGGGGCTTGGAGGTGGGTTTCTTTATCCGACTCGCGGATATGGAAGTCGTGATATGCTCAACTTTGAATATTCTACCAACAATTCTCAAAATTTAAGAGAGTCCCTATGTTGATTCTCACCTTGTCTACTGTAGGCGCACAAATAATTCAACCCACTGCGCAGGACCGAAGCAAATCAGCTGTGCCTAACCCCAGCGGCCAATTTTCTCCATGCTCCCCATTGCACTTGAGTTCTTTATTTTTGGAAACCCAAGTGAGCAATAAAAAAAGGAAAGAAGAAGATTCACATAATCTTGACCTAAAATGACATATCCTGGGTCCTCATTTTCGAGCACAATCTCACTAAAAAAACCATTGCCATGGTCAATGAATACCCACCCTACACTCCGATGCCCTCGCTTTGCTACGAGCTTGGACTGATGTTCGGATTCTTCAGTCTTTGTATAGTGGTCATGGCAACATATGTTGCCCTATGGGGCGGTAAATTTGTTTTTCTTTCGCTACGATATCTTTGGGGCTGGTATAGGTCAACATCTTCAGCCCATATATCCTCGTTTGAATGAGTTTTGCATCTACGATATAAAGGAAATGATGTACTCTCACCTAACTCAGCTCTGCCTATACCACTCTACAAAGCCATAACTAACAAGCGAAAGTATCCCAAAACCGCCTCCACGCACAAGACCTCGCCCGCCGCAAAGCCATCCGCAACAACAGACTAGACCCACTGCTAGGAACAACTGCATCCGTCACAGCAGGAACAAAAAGTCCAAGTCCCACCAAAAGTACCGCCCATGAGAAAATATTCGATTGTTACTCCATACCCGAGGACCGAGTGGAGTTGCCCGTCCATGGGATGGAGATATTTAAGAGTGGAAAGACCATTGGTTCAAGGGTGGGACCATTGAGTTCAAACAGCCCCCTTAGATTAGTCCTTTGAGTTCGAGAAGCCTGCCTGTATCTGGGGCTGGGACTGGCATGGTGCATACGCCTAGGGCTGTTAGTCCTATCGTTGGGCTTGCGTTATCACCTCATGGTAGTCAGAGTCCTGTCCGCGTTGAAGATTATCGGTCTGCAAGTCCGGTGAGGAATGTTGGCGGCAGGGAGGGAGGTCCTGTTGAAATTGGGCCGTGTCCTAGTCAGAATTAGGGAGGGTATATGGCGTTTATTGTGATATGAAATGTACAGGAAGCTATTTGAGGATGTTGGTAGTAATAGTGGGCTTAGATTTGGTATAGAAATATTATTATATTAATTCTATCATTCCCATGCAACTCCCCAGTCACGCCAACTCTCCAGTGTAGCCATTAATAAGTATTAGTACAAGTCTATTTACATCAATCATACATCTAAAAACCAAGCTACTCACACACAGCCTCGGCAAATCCATGCGTCCACAGCAACGAGCCCATTATGACAATCAAAAATCCAAGCGCAACAACCACACTCGTGACACCATACACATATGCATGGCGCCGACGTGACAACCCATTCAACTCAGAAACCCATGTACTGATGGTAGTTGCACTCCCGCAGAATCCGTCCATGACACCCTGCAGCACCTGGCAGCCCGTTAGAGCAGCAGGAATTACAGCCCCGAGACCACTGACATGCTGCAGATCATAGCACACACCCTCAATGATGGTTCCAAAGATATTGACCGCAAACGTGCCTAGTGGGAATGCTGGAATGCGGCTGTTCAAGTAGAGCGACACATAGAATCGAAGAAGACAACCGAGCGGCGCAAACACCAGCGCAAACACCGCCCGTCCACGCCAAACATCTGGGCCATCGTGTCGGTCCGGCGGCCAAATGGCAAGGAACACGGCACCGAGCCAACATCCCCAAGCCAACACAACCACAATGCGATCGAGAACCCGTCGCGTAAACGCAAAAGGTACCGTAGGGGTACATTGCGTCAATGCAAGAGCAAGATGCGCGCCGAAGACCAGAGCCGACAGACTCAGCGACACGGTCAGCAGGATGACAGCGACGAGCGCCATAAAGCTATAACCGCCATTCCGGGAGGCGATATCCGCACCGGACGGCAGCGAGGGATCAGGGAGTGCATTCGCCAACGCGAGAAAGACATCGCGAATAAACGACGAGAAGGACGTGCAGCAGCCGCAGAAACCAGTCGTGAGACCAATATACAATGGAATAGTCTTCTTGACGGCCTTGTGGTTCTTGTTCTGGGCCGCTGCGTCTGTATCCGCTTCGGCCTTGGGCTCGCCCCACTCTTCGCGGAAGAGATTCTTGTCTTCGCTGAGGAAGCCCATTACTAGGCTTCCGGTGACGTTCGCCCATAGTACCCCTGTCACGACGGGCGCGCCTGTGTAGAATGTTAAAGCTTGGAGACCCAGGCGGGCGAGAGTGCCGAGAAATGAAAAGAAAATTAGGTAGGAGACGGTGTAGAGGTGTGTTGCGTGTTTCGAGAGGGGTGCGGGTGCAGATGCAGGGTTTGGTGCAGCTGGGCGCTCAGCTGAACTTCGCCATGATTCGCGCTGGGTTGAAGTTTCCCTAACTGGTTGTGGAGCAGAAGTTTCCGCCAGAGGGTAATCAGTCTCTGTGTCGGCTGCAGGCATTGCCTTCAACTGTAGAGAGAAAGTCGCGAAAGTCGAGAAGAAATTGCCAAGAACCGGAGACCGAGTGGATCAACGGGTCATGTGGAGTTTCCGATAAGGTTAGCTCTTTATACAAACAGAGAGAGGGGAAAGCTACAGATAAGAACTGTCTACTTTGCTCTGTCTGCTCTTCTTCTTCTCTCCTTTTCTTCTTCTTCTTCTTCTTCTTCTTCCTCACACACTCTCTCTATACCTCATGATGTCTCTCCCATCTAATGTCCACATCTCTTCCCACCCCTGTCTTCAAGCCAAGCTCTCTCTAATTCGCTCGTCCTCCACTACTCCCCGCGAGACACGAGGGCTAGTCAATGATATTGCCACCATTCTGGGAGTTGAGGCCTTTGCAGGCTTGAAGTTGGTCAAAACAGGAACAGTATGTATCTTCACCTAGGTTCTAGGTCCATTGTATCACCCTCACACTGCCAGGATACTACCCCTCTCGGAATCGAGTATGAAACACAGGGCATTGAACCAGCGGACCTTGCTCTAGTGCCGATCCTCCGGTCAGGACTGGGAATGGTTGATGGTGAGTTATACTGCTCGACTTGTTGTCAATTCCAACATTACTCCAAAACAAAACCCCAAGATCTATGTATCCATATGCCATGTTCCTATTCCTCCAACCCACACTATTCCATGCATAACCCCAACCTTCTAAAGTTGAACCCAAACCCTACCCCGCTTACTTACCCAACTAGCCCTGAACGACCTACTCCCCACCCCCGTACCGGTTTACCATCTAGGCCTTTTCCGCGAGAAAGTCTCCCTTCAACCAGTAGAATACTATAACAACCTCCCCTTTCACCGGTCGGAGCTTTCCCCCGCGTCTCCGGCCTCTTTAAACCCAACAACCAACACCGCAGCCGCAACATTGGCAGTCCTACTGGACCCCGTTATTGCGACTGGTGCCACGGCCGAGGCGGCTATCCAACTGCTGCGCGATTGGGGAGTTAAGAAGGTTATCATGCTCAGTGTGCTTGCTTCGGAAGAGGGCATTAAGCGTGCTGCGGGGACTTGGAGTGAAGTTGAGGTTTATGTTGGTGGTATTGATAAGGAAGTAAATGAGAAGGGGATGATCGTGCCCGGTATTGGTGATATTGGTGACCGCCTGTTTGTTGCTGTGGGTAAATAGGCTGTCTATTGGTATCCATTATCCTCATGTTACTTTCGAAATTAGATATGGTAGAGAAAATGCGACTCTCGGAGTATGACAATGGTTGAAGTCTCCTTATCTAGTGGGTAAAAAGCACTGTGTAACACTCGATGCTAGGAATACTTCATTCCCATGGACGTGTAGACTCTCAAGTCTACATTGGTAGTTTTGGGCGCCCAAAAGAGGAAAGAGACTGACTCCCACATATTCCCGCAGCTGCCGATTCCAAATTTTGCCTTTCTGCTCTCCGTCATCTCCCGCAATCGTTTTTTTGGACTTTGGAGCAGCTGCTCCCTCGGCCAATTGTTCCGACAAGCATTTTCTCGAGTTGGGTTAGAAACTTGGGCTGACTTGGGGATGATATGGATACGCGAGCTTCAATCCTAGAGGCTGAATACATCGTGGAATATTGGCTCACGAGAGAAGGTACTCGAGTGAGAAGGAGAAGGTATCTTCTACGTCTTGGGAGTCTACAAAGATCTCTACGACTTTATTGAAGAGAAAGAGGTAATGTCCCCGCCAAATTATTCATCGATTACGTATAGTACATGGGAAAGGCATAAAAACATGTGCAAGAGAAAGCAAATGCAAGAAAAAGACGAAACAACGCTGAGCATGAGAAACATCAAAAGCAAGGGACGGGGAGAAGACATGCAGGCGAATTAACATCAAATACAGCGGCTGGAATGACCAGCCCAAGAAACAAAATCAAACAGACAAAAAGGAGATGAGAAAAACCAACGCACGGTGAACGCAGGAAAATCAAAAGGTATCGAGAGCACGAAAGCAGAAGGACGGGGGGCACGATTAGGGGGTTAAGTGAACCATAAAGTCAAACTCCACGGAGTGCGAAAGAACACACAGGACCAGCCAGGTGTCGAAGACGAAAAGCAGAAACACCACACTGGACTCCCTGGTGTAAGAAAAGCAGGGAAAATGCAAGTAAAAAATCAAGAAAAAAGCCCAAAGACCAGGGACCACCGAGAGGGATATCAAAAGGCGAAGTATAGCTAAAAAGTCCAAATACCCCGCCTGCCCACTGGCACGTCCAGTCCTGATTCCCATGTGTCCCAATGAATAGCGTCCAGAAATGAGAGGAGGAACCCGAAAAGTGAAGTGTGATAAAAAAGCACAACAAAAACAAATGAACTCAAGGAAAGTAACTCAAAGAAATTTAGTATGCAGTGCCGACGCTAGCGAGCGACTTGGTTGGCACAGCATGGATAGGCTGATCCTTGCCGATACGGAGAGAATCTTCGTAGCCGACAAGGGCCTGAGAGTGAAGCTTGAACGATTCGCCCATCAGCTTGGTAATTCTGTAAACTAGTTAGTTATCAATTCAAATAAATGTGGGGTGAAAAGGGCAAAGCTTACCCCCAGACAACCACGCCGTCTAGGATGTTACCCCATACACGGGCGACGGTGGAGCTGAGTTTGCCGAAAGCGTCGATGGCATCGTCGTCAAACAAATTGCGAACCTTGTTGTAGAGGGCCATCTCGGCCTCAGTCGCGGGCTCATCGTCATGTTCCAGGCGGTAGAGCCAGAGGCTCAGGATGACCATCAGGTCTAGGCCGCAAAGAGGGTGCTCCACACTCCAGTTGGTGGCAGAGGTCTTGGCAACCCAGTTGATGCCCTGAATAGCGGCAATCTCAATGCACTCAAAGCATTGTTGAATCACCTTGTTCATTTCCTGCGAACGCTTGACCTTCTCACGAGCGACAGTCATGGCAGCAGCCACCTCGTAGGAGGAGTGGTACCGCATGGCCTCCTGGATGGACTTCAGGTCAACTTCCAGGCGGGCGCGGGTGTTGCGATAGACGGCCATCGAGTTGAAGATCAAGGGGTGACCCTTCTGGGGAGTGCTGAGCGGTACCACAATAGTTTCCGGCTCGCACACTTCGAGGGAATTCTCCCAGGTCTCGAGAGCTAAGCGCAGCTTGTACTCAGTGACCACGTCTTGCAGCGCCTCGAAGCTGCGCTTGTGGTTCCAGACTTGCAAGAACAGGGCGTTGATGAGAACGCGGGTGGCGAAAGCACTGTAGCGGGTCTGCTCACCCTGGAATAAGAAGTCGTGAGCCTCACGGACAGTGAGAGCGCTGGTGGCCATGCCGCGGCGCCAAGTCTCATCATCGGCGGCATCCAAGTTCCACAAAGACTCGGATGATGGGAGCTCCAAGTCGTCAAATTCGTCGAAGCTCAGGGCAGGAGTGTGGTTGAATGTGAGTGTCAACATGCCGAAGAAGATGTACACGGCGAAATATGTACGACGGCAAGATTCATCCTCGATCCACTCTTCACGGGTGGGCTGTACATTCTGGCGAGCCTGAGTGCGCGCCTTCAGCTGGTATCGGTTACCAGCAACCATGTTGGCCAAGAGACTCTTGATTGAGCAGGTCCATTCAAGGCCCTTGGGGTCGCCACTCCAACTCTCAAATACCATGTTCAATAGAGTAGCTTGCATCAACCAGAGAGGGCACTTGCGGGAATCAAAGTTATCCTTATGTTGCAAAAATTGGTTGACCAGGACCTTGGAACCGACATGCAGCATGAAGGCATGCTCGCGCTCAAAGGTGTAAAGTGCACCAATGGACAAAACTGCGAGCAAGAGGGGTGCTGAGATTTGAGACGGCTTGAACGATTCCTGGTGGAGGAAAGGCAAGTGAGGGTGGTACAGGTTGAAGTAGGTGGACAAATACCGGTTCAACGCAAGAGTGGGGGAAGCTGGAAAGTGTCAGGAAGCGCACCAAGGGTGTCCGAGCCCTGAACACGGTCCACAATATAGTTCCGTTCCATCTCGTTAGCAATTTGAGGCGCCCTGGCAAGAGTCAATGCTTGGCTGGGTCCGGGTGAGCGACGGTAGTTGACGGGGCTAACGGGGCCAGTCATGGAAGGGTACGGCGACAGAGCATTCGGGGTAGAGTTGCCAGACATGGGAAGCGAGTTCGACATAAGAACGTCTCCAACGGGGCCATGGCGATCGACGAGGGTGGGCATCGATCCGGGTTCGGAGACAAGCGTGTCCCAAGGCATCTGGGGTAGGGTGGCGTTGCCGGAGAGGTATGGCTCGAAAGAGCCGCGTCCGGGGGAAAGCGATTCGGAGCGCTCGGATGTCTGGCCGGTCGCCGCTGCTGCAGCCTTATGTTGGAAATCTGTCATCAACATGGCTGCAGTTTCAAGGTCGACCATACCATCGCTGCTTGCTTCGATCTGCTCCAGCGTCGTCGGGTCAATGGTGACTGACGGCTTAGCTGGGGCAGACGAGTTTTTCTGGACCCCTCCACCACGTCTACGTCCCTCTGCGACCAGAGGAATTCCGCCGTCCTTGGCGTGAACGGTTCTGTCATGGCGCAGAAGAAGATCACGACGAACGAAGGTACTGCGACATTTTAAGCACTTGAAGGGTCTTTCTTTTGTGTCTATAATCAAGGTCAGTCAAAGAAACACAGATCCGAATCCATTTGCGAGTTGACACTTACGAGAGCGCTCATGGCGACTGCGATGTTCGCTTCTGCTGAATGCGCGATTGCAAAATTGGCACTTGTATTTCTTCTCGGGGGCTGATGCCTTCTTAGCCGGCGAGTTGCTGGCTGTCGCAGGTGCGGAAGGAGCCATTTGTGCGGTTGGTATCGTCTTAGAGAAGGAGTGACGAAATCGGTGGTATTGTCCCCTGGGTGATTTCGCACCGGTTCTGTAAACGTGTCGACGACAGGAGTTCTGTGAGGAGTCTGATCATTCCTTGAGCGGGGGAAAACAAAGGGTATCGAGAAAATGTGCGTGTGTATCCAGACACGAAGTATTAAATGAAGCAAACGCTGTAAAAAGAAAGAATATGATCAACCACTGATTAGGGAAGTGGGAAAAGGAAGAGGGGAAGGAGAGGGGAAAGAGGAGGAGAATAAGAAGGAATTTAGGAATTTCGAAATCGGGTTTTTGGGGGGGGGGAGGGGGGATAGGAAGGGAGGGGAAAAGGGACGTGGGCCTAAGATTCATCGCTTACTACTTAGTACGCGTGAGAACGCGCAGGGAAAAATAGCGTTACAAAATCAGAAAAAGCGGGAAGGAAAAAAAGCACAGGGCAACGGACAACACCTAAAATGGGAGGAACACCAGCCACCCTCTAGTCTTTTAATTACGGCCACGCACTTTTGGTTCCTTTTACCACTCACACTCTTACTGGCCATTGAAACGGATGTGCTCTTCCCCCCCCCTTTCTTGTTCTTTACCATACGAAATTGACACGTCGTAATTATCCCCCCCCCAAAAAATAAAAGCCCTATAGATTTGTCCCGATCGCAGCCCACATGGTTCAATTTGGCTCATCGCGTCGGTTCAGCCGTCCGCCCCCCTTTGGACCATTATTACAATATTGTAGATAATTGGATAATTTCGATATACATGGTCGATCATTTCCTATGTCCTGACAAAAAAAAATACTGCGAGGGTGCTCGATTAACGTTATTGAATCGTGCCCCTCGCTCAGATGGGTCTCGATTAAGGAGGGGAAAGCCCTTTGTTTATCACAGATAGTTTGTGTGGCTGGCATGTGAGGCTATCGGCGATTTACTGTGGCCCCTTATTTTCTACGTAAAGTCTCAAACAAAACGCCCCCCTACAGGGGTGGGGGAACTGATCTCATACATTACAATATATACATATATAATGACTAATAAATGTGTCGAGATAAAGATATGAAGATATAGATCTAGTATCGACGATAGACATGTTGAAATTATGTCTAATGATTTCATGATAGATCTCAACCATGGTTCACATCCGTCTAACCCCTCTTGTCAAACTCAGATCGACCACGCATTGATTTAGAGGTACATACACCTGACTAGTGAGTAAACTACTAATTAGTATACATAGTGGCAGTGTCACACAACTCCGATATAACAAATCCACATATGTATCTTGGAATGAGACAGGGGTGCGTAATTTCCCTGGAAATCTTATAGTTGCATTACATCTGCCTTTAAGAATGAGAATTTGTTGCGCTGTACGAATACAGATGCGATGTCGAAAAGACCTGACATCAAATCAAGGATACGTTGTATGCCTAGGTGCCCATCAGCCCCGTCTTCTGACAGATCATCCCACAGTACTTTTGTCGCCTCACTAAATTGACTGGTCCAGATTGCGTCTCACCTTGCCTATGTAAATAGCGCTGCTGGACCTATGATAATCGTCCACTTTCCACTTTGTGGCTGTTCTTCTGTTTGACTGTGCCACGCTCAAGATTATGTGTTCTATCATGCCATGTAAGACAATCTCATGCATAATACATGGGTGGATTGAATGTACATAGTACCCTGTATTGCACGTACCCTAAGTGGTCATCGAGGCATCACCTGCCGGACTGGATGGAGAAAGATCGGCATGCAGAGCTAAAATGCGAATCGGAGCTTTGGGTGGGAGTGCATAGCAATCATCTGATTCACTATCCCCGTTCTGGAGGAAACCCCATTTCTACATGCATGGCTAGCACAAATGGGAAACGGTTACCTGCACTACAAACATAAAGTAGAGTCTTCGACCCGGTCAGGGTCCACTAGACGGTGAATCTCACGCGATATTATTCTAATGTACACCGCAACGCTGTCAACCTTTCACCGTTACCCATCAATGCGGAGCTGCAATTTGAGTGCTAGTATCGCGAATTCCCGGGTCCTATCAGTGGGGCCCATCCAACATCTTACATCATTGGAGCCCGAAGATCCCGGAGGCGCAGGACTAACGCGGTTACTTGGGAAACGCGCTTCGCGTGGAGCACGGCACAATATCACCTTTCTGGTCCGGTCAAATCAGAGAGCATTGATGGTAGCAACCAAAATTCATTGTCAATGTCGATATAGCCTCTGCGTCCCTGAGCACCCCCTTGATTCGCGGAAGCCAAATCCCTAAATGCCCTCCCGGACTCCCGGCTGATCATCGAAGCCTGAGCGGAACTTCGTCTGCTTTAAATGATCTAGACTATCCCACTAGCTTTGACGCCCAGCGGTGAAGCCGGGTGGCTTGCGCTTTGCAGAAGGGATGCCCTAAACCATTAATTTGGATGCGAAGCCAACCAGTCGCTGCCCTTTGAGCCTTTTGTTCGATCCACTTCCCGATGCAGCGGACCGAGCCAGCTAACGTTCTCGACCCAGGCACAATAAATCATGACGGTCATATCACATTAAGCGGTGACTTGACCGCCTGATAAACGACCATGGCGATTCCTTGCCTCAAAAAACAAACCAGTTGATCCACCATTCTCAACCCCTTGGGCCGCAAATCCGGGAAATGTCTCTCATTCCATGCCCCTCCAAGCGGTCAAAAGAACGCTGCACAAGAGAACCATATCCATCGCAAATCCGCCGAATAATGGATCTGCACTGAGGATCAAATTGGGCCAGTTCCGAATTAGACCTTTTTCACCATATATTGTATTTTCCTTCGAGCTCTGCTCCACCTCAGCAAGCCTGTTGCCGTTGAAAGAATTTTAGGAACAACATCTTCCCCGGCGCCGGCCCCTGAACTAGTGGACACCGACACCCGGGCTTTGCTGGAGCCCCTCGTCCCGACAATTCCATAGCCAAGGGGGTCCGGTGTCTCCGCCGGCGACGCCAGGACGGTCTGGAATTTCTCACTTGGTTCTAACCCCAACTCTAAGCCGTCTTAGGCCAAAGATGTCGGTGAAGCCCTATTCGTGTCAACATCTTTGATCTTCACCGCTTCTGCAATACGGATCTAAATATCCTACTAAAAATTGACCCCCCACAGGTCTGGACCCCAAAGATGATGACCATCAAAGCAATGATCTCACGTAACTTGAAAATTGATTCTCAGACTTCAAACCCCATTGTGCGCGCTATGCCCGATACACTTTCGCTAAGGAATGGGTCTTCAAAAGAACCCCCCAACTTCCCAAGCCACTGGAAAAGCAAGACACCTTCGATGGAGCCCTCTCCACCCAACGCGTGCTCTGTAAAGGTCTGTAAGAGCGGGCCATCGGTGGATTCGAATATTACACAATAGCAAATTCGCCTGCCTACTTGGGCACAGAAGGTCCATTTCAAAATTGTGTGTTCGCTCCCGTCCCGACGAACGCGAGTCTGGACTCGGGCGGCCACGTCCCTACCCGTATCCAGAGACACGGGTAAACCGAAGCTTTTCGTGTAGCGATAGCATGTGGATTTCTCACAACTAACCAAGGGAGACCACAAACATGAATTTGAATTTTATTCTGGTAATGTATAACTGGCCTTTCCAACCTTCGCAGTCATCTCAATGCACGAAGTACGTTATTTGTAAATTAAGATATCCACGTCATCTGCATAAAAGCCCTGTCCATTGGGACCTACCCAACCATGGAAAGATGATCAATAAAATACGATGCGATCGCCCCTGGATCGTAATGGAAGGGGACATCCGGGGAAGAACTTCCCGGTCCATGGTTCACTGCGGTCCAGATCTTGGTTCGCTGCGCGTTCTGATATCAAACCGACAAGTCAGAATCTAAATATCTCTGCTGCGAGACAGATATCCTCCCCGTCGGTGCTGCATGCTGTTGTCTGTAGATTATGTGCTGTGCATATACCAAACCCTGTCGCGTTTATGAATTGGCCTGCTTAATTGGCCGATTCCCCCGATGCAGGGGATACACCATACATGAGCACGGATTCATCACATGGGCAAAAATATAATTTCTTACAGATTGCCTTGGTACTTGCTGACATTCATACTTATCGAACGGAGATGGGCTTCCCCTCCCCCCGCGCAGAGATCCATCCGCAGAATTTTCCAGAAAAAGGTGGACACTGTAGTTAAGGGGGAAGTGGGAAAGTGACGGAGGACGGAGGGCCCGAAGAACCTTGCTTGTTTCGAATCGCGACACTTGATTGCACGGGGAACAATGTAAGGTTTTAACACTGACGCGACCGTCGTCGAGAACAAAGGAATTGATTGCACCAAGAAACTTTCGTAGTCCATTGGACTATCGGCATCCTACTCCATAGAGTGAGGCGGGATTTAATAAGTAGGGAGTAACACGTTCACAGGGGGGAACGGGGCCCACCGAGAGAACCTTGCAAGAAAGAATTGGAAGCTAATCTTGATTCGCGAATATGAAACCGAGGGGCGAAGGAAAATGGGTACAAAAAAAGGGGTTGAGGTGATCAGGATCATCGGAGACCCGGCATGTGGAAATCCGTTCAGTTGGGTGGCCTGTGAGTGGTGATGATGTCGTTTTAGCTTCCTGCGATTTCCGTGATGTCCGGTCTGCAAGGAACAAGGAACGAGGGGCTTCGTGCTGAGTCTTGCTTATCACATTTGGTCTGCTTGGTTTTCTGGCGGGTTTTTCATATGGAGTATACAATATTGATTGTACTTCCTGGGTTCTACAGGCAGTATTTTGTATGCGCGGGTGCTATTGAGTTTCTCGGTTTCGGTCTCGGTCTCGTCGATAATTGCAGCATCGAACGGTATAACACAAGTCTCGGGTGATAAAATGTACCAAGTAGATACAATATACTAATCAATCGTTTGTGTGAGCTCGGAATAATTTACAATTGACTTGGCACCGGCGATACGTGATGGATTATGTGGCGGTATAGTGATATTGTTCCTGGCTGGCGGTTAGCCAGGAGTAGTTTTGTATATTTGAATGCGCGAATCCTGGCAAGACGACGTCTGCAAATTGTCAAACACAAAAGTAGATCGTAGCTTGTTCCCACGTACACTCGAAGTTCCCATAGTTCGGCTCTACGTCATATCTGCTGATTGATCGAAGCTGAAGTATATATATATGACGAATCTGTGGATGTGATCGGAATATATTATGCCTAGGTATACAGCAAGTCGATTTGATCCCATCATGACGTTGGCCATTAGAAAATCTTCAATGCAGATCTTAGTTCCAAGTCAGAAATTCGAGATTATCAAGTAACCTATAAACTCATTCGGAGAGGTATTACTAACTCTATGTTCTCGCTGGGCTCCTGGACTATTCACACAAGACTGAATTTTAGTCACACGCTTCGAACTTACAAAGGTATGCCGTGCGATACATCAATGTAATCTTAAATCGCATAACTCAATTATCGGATACCTCATTGCACTCAATAATAAATAGCCCTCTTACCATTTGTGTCATGGCTGTGTGTTCATCATTCGGTTCTATGGGCTAGTCATAGGTTTAACCCTGATGGGATATAGGCGTGATGGCGTAATGCTGCCATACTGCAACATCTTCACCCTGATCTGCCTCAACAATTTGAAGGTACAGCATACAACGTAATTGTAGGTACTTTCCCGTCATCATTGAAAAATGGTTTGTTGTGAAGACCGAAGAACTCGAGACTTTTCCGCAGAATCGTTGCGCGTTTTTTTATCAAGCACGTCCTCTCAATAGTTATCTCCACGGGGGAAGAACAGGGTCGTGGATACGGTGGATAGCCTTCCAATCTCCCGGGTCTGCAACGTGGTTTGTTTAGTACTGGCTACTGATACCCAACGGTCTTGCATATCCTATCAGGGTTGGAGACCTGTATTTGAGGCTTTTCGTACTTATTGCCTGTGTTATACCTAAGAACAGTAGATCGGAACTCAAATCACCTAACTGGTTGAAGTACATTGGTAGGAGTGTCTAGGCGAAGCGAAGATAGGACAGCGAGGCTTCTGGTCACAGTCTATTTGGAGACGGGTCATGCCTATCTATGCATTGCCCAATAAAGATGTCCAGTTGGCCCCGGGGTCGAATGGATTGCTTCCAATCTTCCGTCAAGATATTAACAGACTGGGCTTGGCCAAACGAGGAGTGTTAGAAATATATAGCTACAACACACTAGCCCAGGTTGTGATTGTACCTGATGAGATTGATCCAAGATGCCACTATGTATTCGGAACAGGCCTATGTCTGGCATGCTATGCAGAAACCCCGCGGTATCCTCAATAATCCCTCTGTATTCGCATCTGTGTCTACCCATGCTTGCAGCAACCATGCCGCGTGGACTCAGTCACATCTGCCGCCACCGGGGACGAGCGCCAGCACGATTCAACCAGAGCCCCGAAAGTGGAACCGTAGAATCCACTTTAGAATATCATGATATTGAATATATTAAAAACCGCCTTCTAGAACAATTCTGGAGCTAGTTGGTTAGAGAATAGATATCTTTTCCGAAGAGTGTTCAGGGATCATATATATTACCCGACATTTTAAAAATGAACAAGGAAAGGTCACACTGCTTTGGAACTGGGTATCTGGTTTGGTTGGATATTGTCCCGAGGACAGACCACTAGCCTTCCAAGGTTGGTCACCAATCCATTCTGCACCGAGACATTACTTTGGTATGGCTCCCCGAGTCCTCAGCCGAATTCTCAGCTAACAATTCGGATGGTTGTAGTTCTGAACTTTGGCACCCCTTACTGTTTAAATCTGCTATTTTCAATAATTAGTCCCTGATAACCCCACCCAATTAACTGTTGTGAATAATTAACATGCTATTAAGGGTCACTTGAATCCCAAGAGATCCCCTGTGATCATTACCACACGATCCCAAAATTGATAGCTGTAGTTATAATGTTGTATCCTCCATGTGCCAAGCCAGCAATGATAACCGCGGCCAAATATCATAGTTGCCGGCTAGTTATATGCCACTCCTAAGAGGGTCTAAACCTTCCAGCCTTGTGGTTTCTCTATTCTTGTTTTTCGAATTATTATTAGCACCTATCATAAACCCCAAAAAATATTATCAAACCACAATTACAGACAATGTACTTTATCACACCTGAGAACTGAATAGAAAGGTCAGCATATGTACACCGTACAATAGTTTAGAGATGTGACAGTAAGCGTGGACAATTCTGATACACACGCAAACACACATAACTGGTGGGGAGTAGAGGGATGTCAAAAAGAAAAATAATAAAAAAAAGTAGAAAATAACTCAAGTATTAATTTATAACACATGGTCTCGGCATTCAATCTTGGAAGGGCCCTAATGAACTTTCCGAAATATCATACAACTGTACTATATTGTATATCTAATTTGTACATACCTACTTGCCTTGGTTCTACAAGGTATAACATAGTACTTAAAACTCATAGATGTCATTGTGCGTGGTACCTGTAAGACTTGTGGATACAACATAATGATTAGGTTGTCTTAAGATTGTCATTGGATATGAAATAATTGAATACAAAGTTGTAAAGATGTGTAATGGAGATGTAATATTACTCCGTTACAGAAAAGGTAACCAACCGGAATCATGGATAGAAGGGCTCCAATTTTGTATCAATACTGGTATGACACTCTGCGCCCGTCCCGCCTTTTCCAACTCCCCCTAATTCAATCCCACCTGTCCCATTACATTCCCTCGATGGCATAATCTTGTTCATTCTCTCTTTGACTACTGCGGTCTGCTATTCCCGAAATCTCCCTGAGTCCAGCCATGAGCAGATATTGAGCTCAACCTTACCCCTCCAGAAACTCTCTGGATCGTGGCGTTCGTTTGTCAATGTTCGAGGTTGGCGCCGGAGATCTAGCCCTCGACACTACTGCGCTGGTCAAGTCCGGGACTGTTGCGACATTCGAGTACACCGACAAACAGGTGACCATACCCCCAACCTTGTCCCGCTATCGCGGTCGGGGAGATAATATCTCACCGGATCACCACACCAACCAGTCCCCAATCAAAATGGCTACCGGCTATGCGATCAGCCCAGAGCCCCCGGCGCTCTTCGTCCGGGCTATGTACGATTATGATGCCGATGACCATACTAGCCTCAGCTTCCGCCGTGGCGACATTATTCAAGTTCTCAACCAGCTAGAGACAGGATGGTGGGATGGTGTTATCGATAATGTTCGAGGTTGGTTCCCGAGTAACTACTGTACCATACTCGCGGAAGAGGAGGACTTCGGCGACCACTTCCCACACAGCCACGATACCGAGCTCAGCGCGGACTCCGGACTCGAAGATGAATATGGCGATAGACACGAAGAGGAGGAAGTGGACTCCGAGGGTAAATCTCGGGATTATCAGCCTATGCTCCCCATCGAGAGCATCCCCGCGCCTAAGGAGCAGGAAGAGGCCGCATTCTGGATCCCACAAGCGACACCCGACGGCCGCCTTTTCTACTTCAATACTTTAACGGGATATTCCACCATGGAGTTACCTTTCGAGAACCCAACAGCCACAACTGAAAATGGCCCACGAGATCGAACCAACTTCTTTGTCCCCGATCAGACGCGACCACCCCCGGAGCTAATGGCGCGCGGGTTCGAGCGAGATGAAGATGAGTATGACGGCTCTGCATCGGAGGCAGAAGGGGAGTCATTGATGTTAGCTTCGCAAGACTCTATCTCTCGCCGGCGTCAATCTTTGATGGATGGTGTATCACCGGCCACGTCCATGGACTCCTTATATGCTCCGACCACGAAAGACTCCAAATCTTCCCAGCCGTCAATCAAGGCCCTGCAGACAACATACAGTTTGGGAGGACACAGCAACAGCACCGCCACCTCTGTGGCCGAAAGCTTTTCCAGACCTTCTATTTCTTCAAATTTCCCCCAGCATTTTGTTGATGATGGTTTCGCTCCCCCAATCACTTGGCCTTTGCTGGTCGATAATATGCGGTACGCCGTTGAGGCTTACACTCAGACACTTGTGAACGGTGACCGTGCAGAGTATGTGCGAAAAGCCGAGGACATTTCCGATCATCTACGTATGCTACTGGCTGCTGGATCTGACACGACGGATAACCATTCGGGCAACCCATCCATAATTTCCACTAACAAGGCTTTGTATCCTCACTTCCGGGATATGATGTCTAAGTTTTCCAAATTGGTCCTTTCATCGCATATTGCCGCTGCTGACTGGCCTGGAGCCGACTCAGTCAACAAGTGCCTGCAGGAGGCCGAAGGAGTCATGCAAGGGGTGTATGGGTATGTGGACGTGGCTCAACAGCAACGCGGAGACGCTATCCACCGCATCGTACCTGGTTTCATTAGCGGCAGCTCTTCCGGAGGTAGTTGGCAGAACAATGGCGTTTCCCTGAATACATCGGGCCCAACATCATTTCTGGTCCCAGATGGGGGGATTCACGAGCCGAGCCATCGGTTCACTTGGACGCCGCCTTCCTGGACTCTATTGATATCCTTCGAAGATCGTTTGTTGGTAGCATTCGTCGACTAGAAGAGCGATTGATGATTAATCGGAACATTGTCACCCCTGAAGAACATCGGGACATTGCGGATGCAATCTCAGCAGCTGCGATCAAAGTTATTGAGCAGTTCCGTCCATGGATTTCATCCGTTGAGTCAATGAACCTGGCACCGCTCGGAACCAGCTTCCAAAACCCTCAGCTTGTAGACTTCAGCTTGCAGAAGCAGCGAGTCTATGATGCAATTGGTGATTTTGTCTTGAATTGTCAGGCCATTTCTGCTCCTCTAGCTGATGAATGGGCCGAGCTCCGCGGCGATTCGCTTGACGATCGCGTGAATGCTGTGCGCGGCATTGCCAGACAGTTGGAGAACTACGTATCCCAGATCGGCTTCTCATTGTCTCTGCTTCTGGAACAAATTCCAACAGAACCCAGCCCATCCCTACGAAGTGAAAGCCGCCAAGAAGTGGACGATGACAAGTTCAAGAATACCCACGCTCGAGGCGAGTCCCAGGCGAAGATTGCTACGGAGTCAATCGGCATTCCATCTTCTTACGCCCCTGAAAACGAGGGTACGAAGGTCCGAAGAAATATGGACAAGGCACAGCGATTCTTTGGCCAGGCACCACCAACAGCCATCACCCGAGAGCCAATTCGGGAGCCAGTTCGTGAACCCGAAGAGACTCCCTGGTTCCTCAAAATGGCACACGAAGGTGAAGTGTTTTACGATACCAAGACCGACTCGCCAATACTTAAATGCGGAACACTCGCCGGATTGGTAGAACAACTCACTCGTCACGATAAGCTCGATGCATCTTTCAACAATACCTTCCTCCTCACCTATCGCTCTTTCACCACCGCCTCGGAATTGTTTGAGATGCTTGTTCAGCGGTTCAACATCCAGCCTCCATTCGGGTTGAGTCAAGATGACATGCAAATGTGGATTGATCGCAAACAGAAACCTATTAGATTCCGTGTTGTCAACATTCTCAAGAGCTGGTTTGATCACTTCTGGATGGAACCTAATGACGAAGTGAACATGGATCTCCTGCGACGAGTTCATACTTTTACCCGTGACTCTATCGCTACCACGAAGACTCCAGGAACCCCTACATTACTAGCTGTGATTGATCAGCGACTTCGAGGACAGGACACAACTTCGAAGCGCCTTGTTCCGACTCAGAGCACCGCCGCCCCGCAGCCAATTATTCCTAAGAACATGAAGAAACTCAAATTCCTTGACATCGATCCAACCGAGTTTGCTCGACAGTTGACTATCATTGAGTCGCGCCTTTATTCCAAGATTCGACCGACCGAGTGTTTGAACAAGACATGGCAGAAGAAAGTTGGTCCTGATGAGCCTGAACCGGCCTCTAACGTAAAGGCTTTAATTCTTCACTCTAACCAGCTCACCAACTGGGTTGCTGAGATGATCCTTACCCAAGGTGATGTCAAAAAGCGTGTCGTAGTCATCAAGCACTTTGTGAATGTGGCTGATGTAAGTTGTTTCTATGTTTTTTTTGTCACCAATTCTGGTCTTACTAACTTGACAACGCAGAAATGTCGCGCTTTGAACAACTACTCTACCCTGACATCGATCATTTCAGCTCTCGGAACTGCCCCCATTCATCGTCTAGGTCGGACCTGGAGCCAGGTCAGCGGGCGCACGTCTGCGATTCTGGAGCAAATGCGTCGACTTATGGCTAGTACGAAGAACTTTGGCGAATACCGAGAGACTTTGCATCTCGCTAACCCGCCCTGTATTCCATTTTTCGGTATGATTACGACCATTACAAACAGGCTGCCGAGTGTCTCATTCAATTTAATTTGTGGCTAACGCATTTTAGGTGTCTATCTTACGGATTTGACCTTCATTGAGGATGGTATTCCGTCTCTCACACCTTCAGAATTGATCAATTTCAATAAGCGGGCAAAGACCGCCGAAGTCATTCGGGATATCCAGCAATACCAAAATGTGCCTTACCTTCTGACACCAGTCGGTGAGCTCCAGGATTACATTCTCAGCAACCTCCAAGGTGCTGGCGACGTACACGACATGTACGAACGAAGTCTAGAGATCGAGCCTAGGGAGCGCGAGGACGAAAAGATTGCAAGGTATGCTGAAGCCACAACCAGAGACAAGGGCTCCTTGTTGTTTGCATCCACTGTCGCTATTTTGCGATAACCCATTTTATGTTCTTTTAAGTGGCGTTTGACATTTGCCCGGCGATACCCAAATTTGACCTCTTATTCCCCTTTTTTTGGGCAAACAAGACAATGCTTTCTTTTTTTTTTTCTCTCAAAACTGTTCGGCTGTTGAGACTAACCATTTTTTAATATGAATTTCGTAGATTACTATCTGAGTCCGGTTTCTTGTAAACCCGAGGCCAAGATCCCTGTCAAGTTGCATCTGCTAGGTGCGCCACCAAACAAGTTCGCCAACCGCAATGCGCGCTCCAATCAACAGCGCCATCATCGATATCAGTTGCTGTCTCACCCGTTCCCGATAAACACGGACCAATTCAATTTCTATATTCGGGGCTTTTGCAGCTTCTGCGGGCCTTGCGACCGTGTCTACCTACAACATAGGCTACCTGGCCCCCACCTTCAGCATGTCTCAGCAAGGACGGATTTTTGCAGATCGATACATCGCATATGTCTGTCTCGGAACTACTGCAATAGGTTCCAGGCTACCCGCTACTCATGTCTTCGTTGCAGTAGTGGCCTTTTCACTCCACCAATCATTGCGCCCGGCGAAAATCTGATTGTTGATTCTCCATCCATCGATATGAAGTCGCTTGATCTAATGGACTTATTACGTCTACCTCCCCTTTCTCTTTTTTGATCTATCATATCTCTTACTTGAGACTACCTCTTCTTTGTACTGACTGTGACATATCGTGGCCATATCTTCGGTGTACATTTTTTGTGGCCTTGTTACACCCTCTGTTGATTTTTCTTTCTTTTTCTTTACATATCCCCTTGAGTTGTCGCCAGAGGAAGGTGACATGTTTTTCTTAACCTTTTCAGTTTACGCCGTCTTCTGAATAATGATACGTCACGAACGACTTGAGAATCAAATTATTGTCCGATGAAGGCTACCCGGTGGAGCATCATTAGTGTTTCCCACTTGGTAGTATCTAGTAATTCACCCATAATTTGAATCTTGCATAAAGTTTTGCGCCTTAAATAATCAATTACATAGAACATAATGCCATAGACTAAACAGTTTTATTGTAATGGAGGAAAAGATTTTCCTACGATGGGCCAAAGTTGAAGTCGTTAAATTCGTTCATTTGCAGGAACTGCATTTTGGGGATTCTATATCATGACGCATTGAAGAGACTCGCAGAGCATAGCAAGACTTGGAATATTATTGAAATGCCAGCGAGAATGAAGAAGGCGAATAGAGAGAAACATAAACCCGCTGTGCGCCCAAGACACCAGTTCAGGACCGAAAAAAGAGGGTGCCGGTCATGCCAACATGTAACGGATCTGAGACACCCTGCCGCGGGAGTCAGTTCACTCCTTCACCGGGGGCTCGTTTCCGATACCGTGAAATAACTTCATCTTGGTTTCGGATGCCAAAAGACCTTTTACTTCCTCTGAGACAATCCGCTGACCGCCACGGACGACCTTCTCAAGTTGATGATCTTTGGCATTAGTGACACTGGTAACGGGGCCACGAGGACCAGGGTTCTCTAAGTTACGTGTGGCCTTGCGCACCTTTTGGCTGAGATCCACGATTTGTTTGTTGCCAAAGTCACGAGAAGTAAAAAGCGGACTCTGGCTGAGAGTCGCTACCCAGTATTTGTTCCATAGTAAGGATAATAGCTCGGCATCAAGAGTGCTTTTGAAATGACTGACGTCAAGAGAGTAGTACTGGTTGGCATGTGCACCGAAATCCTCAGCCTTGCCAAGCGGGATAGTCTGATATTCGTCATCCTCATGAGCCTCCTTTGGCGGAGTGAAATTGGAGGGGAATGTGCGGAAGGCGCCAATCTCAACACGACCGGCTGAAATTGTACGGTCCGGGTCGATAACGACAGCGACGAAGGGCCCGGTCATTTGTTGTGTTTGCTGAGTAGCGACATCAATGCCAGAGAGCCAGCATCCGTATCCAGGATGACTGTGATACCACCCGACAGCGTTCTCCATTCGCCCTGAGTCCCGACAAGATTGTAGATATGATACCATGTACTCGTTTGCTTCGTCCTGCGCATTCACTCGGGTTTCGGTGCCCTCGACTGGTAGCCGGAAAGCATCGGTCACCACAAAGGTATTCGGGAGGATGTAGCCTTGCATGAGACCCATGATCTCAAGCGAGCCACCGGAACGAGCGTGCATCACCATTTTCAATAATGCTGTAGCAGAGATTCGAACGTGCTTGAAATAGTATGGATCGGAGGCCCAAGGCCGCTCCGCATTAAGTGTTTTTTCCGTGTCTGCATTATATGCGTAGAGAGCATCTCGTTGCGGGTCGAATATACTTATCGCATTCTCGAGCTCTGTGTGAGGTTGGTTAGTTTCCACTTCACTGCTATGAAGCTTTGGAGGTACGTACCCCAGGACTGCTGTGCAGCCTGCATTTTGGAGGATGAAGATGAGTCAGAGGGTCGAATGCGAAGCTGGGTTTGGGTGAAGCTGAGGACGAGAAGCAAGGGCTCGGCGATAATGGAGATTCTGCAAGGACCGGAGAATAGATAGTACCACAATGCATGAAGTAGAATGATGGAAGCGTGGGGTTGATCATTGATTGGCAGAATGTCGGGCGGTATATGTGGCTGAGTCAGTGGGCTCGGTGGTTGCCCCGGACGACGATCGTGTCCAAACACCCACTTGCTAAACTTGATGTTATCGTCTCCGATTTCAGCCCCTACTCCCCCTCATAAACAACCTCATTCAGATTCTCCTATGTCTCTCCACCAAGTGCCTTCGCAAACTTCTACTTTCGTTTAAATTTGTCGCACCTTGTGTGCTGAGAACCCTGTGTGCCGGGCTCTCTTGTTTTGTTCCGACATTGGCCTTGTCGCAGCCTCGCTCGGCAGTGTGTCCTTGAATTGAATACCATTGTTATCGATTCCGAACTTTGTCATCCTTAAAGGACTATCATTACAATGGCAGTAGATACTAGCTACCTGACCACTCAGGTCAACAACATCGTTGAGCAGCTTCATGGCATCTACGACGAGATTGGAGTCCCTGCGCGTGAGCGCGACTCGCGCGAAGCAGAGGTAAGGCTTATCCAGTGCAACACGGGCATTGTCGCGTGGCTAACAAACTCTACAGCTCTTTAGCGCCCTATCAGAGACCTTGAATAACCATCTCAAAGTTGTTGATCAGTGAGTCGCATCCATAAACAATTCTATCGGGGGAGAGCTAATGTTGTTGAAAGGGAGAGAGAAGATATGACACAGGAAGCACAGCGCCTCATCACCGAAATTCAACAAATGGAGTCGTCTCTGAGCGATGAGAGGGCGAATGGTCAATACGAGCTCAACCGTGACGACCTCCGCATCACTTTCCCGCTTAACAGGTGTATTGCATTTCTGCGCGAGAAGAACGAAGCCATGAGCAAGTTGCACCGCGAACGCTTTGAGCAAGTTAGAAGTGAGTTTCAACGTGTGCATCTATGTCAATGTGCTTTACTGACGACCGATAGAACTTGTTGATGCACTTGAGTCTTATTCATCACATCTCGAGCCTTCCTTTGTTAAGCTCGAGCTCCCTCCCACCGAACCAGGCTCCTCGATTCCACCAAGCTTTGACCTCTCTCCAATGTATGTCACAGCATTAGATGCCGAATTCACCCACGTCTACGAAGAATACCACCGCCGCATTGCTCAGGTCCAGTCCGCATGTGAAGAAATGATCAAGCTCTGGGCTGAGCTCGGAACGCCCCAGGCGCAAACAGATTCAACTATCGTCAAGTGCTATCGCGAATCACCTGAACAACTTGGGCTGCACGAGTCAGACGTTGCCAACCTCATGGCCAAGCGCAACAAATTGGTGGAAGAAAAGAAGGCACGTGAACGCAAGATCACCGATCTACGGACGACTGTCGTTTCTCTTTGGGATCGATTTGGTGTTGAGGAAGCTGATCGCAAGGCATTTCTGGCTGCGAATCGTGGCTGCGGTTTGCGCATTATTAACGACCTCGAGGAAGAATTGACTCGTCTCAATGAACTCAAGCGACAGAATCTTCACTTGTTTGTTGAAGATGCTCGCTGCCGACTGCAAGAGCTATGGGACAGCCTCTTTTTCTCCGAAGAGGAAATGCTCGACTTCACCCCTGCATTCTCGGACGTGTGCAGCGATGCTTTACTTGAAGCCCATGAGGCGGAAATCATACGATTGGAAACACTCAAGGAGCAGCGCGCTCCTACGTTGGAGATGATCGACCGACACCGCACTCTTCTGACGGACCGCGAGGCGCTTGCAACTTCAAGCCAGGACGCTTCTCGCTTGATGGGTCGTGGAAACAAGGGAGAGAAGCGAGATCCCGGGAAACTATTGAGAGAGGAGAAGCTTCGGAAGAGAATCGCAAAGGAATTGCCTAAACTCGAAGCCGATCTGCGCAAAGAGCTGGAACACTGGGAGGACGAATTTGGTCGGCCCTTCCTCGTACACGGAGAACGATACCTTGATGCTCTGACTCCAGTCAGGTCAATGCCTCCGCCACGCTCAAAGACCCCATCTGTCCCGCCTTCCACCACCAAGTCTGGCACCCTCCGACAACAGCCTCCCTCTAGACCCGGCAGCTCAATGAGAGGACCCCCTCCTCCTCGTTCAGCTACCAAAACACCCACTAGCAGCGGCCCTGTCAAGCACAACACCATTGGATATGGAGCCTCCCGAGCTGGAGCCACGTCACGAGCTGGAGCAACATCTCCTTCAAAGCTCCCGGCGCGTGTTCCGTTGGGAAATATGCCACAAGGAAACAACTCGCCTGAGCGCCGTGCTGTACCTGGGAGCTATTCATCGAGCACGCTCAATGGGAAGATGCCGCCCCCTCGAGGCCCTCCCCCACGGATGCGTGCGTTGACTGTGGAATCAAGAGAGGATCGCTTCAGCCACCTCATGGAGCCCCCTCGATGCAACAGTGCCATGTCCAGCGCCTATGTACGGCCTGTTAGCCCGGAAGATGTTTATGATGATCGCCAACGATCCTTCATGAGCACATCAGGCTTCTCCAATTCCCAAAGATCTACCGGATTCTCCCATTCATCCCACTCATCCCACTCATCCTTGTCCTTGAACAATCCTGCTCAGAACTTCCCCCGACCCAACCCATATCTGCAGCACGCAGCTCCACCTCCCGCTGCCAGACAAGTCTCCAATTCATCTACAGTCAACACTGCCACTTCCGGCTCTGAAAATTGGGAGACTTTCGAGGATGGATCGGAGTCTGAAGTTGACCCTAGTGATATTTACTTCTCCAAGCTTCGTGCTGCACAAGGGGGCAAGCGATTTGCGCCAGAGGACAGCTCAGATCTCATCGGAAAGAAGGCCAAGGGTATCCGAAGTGTCAGTCCGGATGGTCCGCATCCCGGGCAGGTCCTGCGCGTTGCTGGCAGCGACACCGAATGGACTGACGACTACGAAACTTATTAAATGATTTGACACTATCAACATCCTCTCGTCATAATGCATTGTTTTGCTGCATTCACCCGTTTGGCGCCTTGGATTCTCAACAGCGACTACGGACCCGCTTGGCTTTTGATGATTCCACGACTGGATTCTCCACGGCTCATGATAACCCGCATATCTTTTACGACCGAGCTTCGTTAGATCCCTCCTCGACAAGTTTCTTCTTTCTCCACAAACAATAATTCCCAAGTGGCCCACTTCAATTTCTCTTCCTGTTCAAAATTACGAGACTTACATGTCACTATTGTTCATGCTCTGCTTCATCTGTCGATGTTATCGAGCCCAATTCTGCGTCTGACAGTGTCAGATAGCAGCCTTCAAGAAGACTTGTCATTCACGTCGTCTCCGACTGACAATCTCTCTGTTCGAAACTTCACTGGGTTTAATCTTCTATTTTGTTCTACTTCTTTTGGCATGGTGTTATCTACTTTGTTTCTCTGTCACTTATGGTTTTTCTTGGCTCGGTGCTCACGGTTCATTTTATTCCCAGTTCGATCTCCGGTTTTGGGAGTCGGCTTTGTCCTCTGGTTCTCACACCGTGTTTCTTTTATGTATTTGTCAGCGAAGTACAGTGTTTTGATATAGTGTTAATTGTATTAGTTCATCGTTGAAACCCCTGGCTATATGATCTGAGCCAACGTAGCATGGAAACATGGAGCAATCAATGGACACACCTGGACTCGAAGATCAGACAATCCAGTTAAGAATTACATTACCCCAAGTCGCGCACGTCATGTGTCAAGTACTATAAACATGTAGGAATGCGCGTTCCATCGAGGCCCCACATTTCATTGAAAACCAAGGGTCCACCATGAGGCTCTGCAATTACGCCCATGGGTCTCTTCCTGTATTAGGTACTATGTACGTTCCATCTTTGAGATTTCTACCGCCCTTAGGTAATTCAAGGTTCTCTCCCACTTCCCACACTATCAAAATTAGCAAAATTAGAACTCCTTATATCTCTTTCCATAACTTTCTAGAGCATAAAGCTACTTATGCAACAGATCCTTAGATTCCCTGTGCAGATTCATCGTCGACGAAGTGGCCATAGTAGCACGGTCCAATTATCTTCATATCAGTTCCAAAGAGTATAGTGAGGAAATTGAAGTTTACACGTGTGCCTATGTAGAAAAGTTCAAGCTCAGTCTCAGAGGAAAATTTTAGCCCGAAACCTAAGGCAGAAATGATTATCCCTGTCCAGTCTAGGAAGACGTGATGAGGGGAAGTCCGACGGTTTTCCGTTATCTAACTGAGCCACCAGGGGCAAAGATCTGTGTTAGGCAACCATCCCGGCCAAAACACCAGTACTTTTTCTCGGAGCTTCAATTTCTCCCTTTTCCAGAAGTAAGTTGAATAAAGTTTGATACATGCGTCACACCGGGAAACCTCAATTCTGCAAAACAAAGCAGCGATATGGCGACGATAAATACATGTGACAATCTATTTGGTCCAGTGGTTGGTGATAACTGTCGTGGAGGGTTTGATTTCACAGGTGAATAGTTCTCATGTTGGACTTTGGCGCATGTACTGATATCTGGAATAGTTCTCTTTGAAGCTTGGATCTTGAATGTCACCCCGGCGGCTTGTTTCCTCTTGCTGGCACCTATTCGATTGCTTCAATTGAGCAAAGAATCACCAAAAGTCAAATCATCGGTGGTTCAAGTGACGACGTTGGTGAGTTCGTCAATTTATCGACCACCTCAAATGTTTACATACTAGACTAAAGGATTATTTTCTTTATTTGTATGCAAGTTGAGAGGTCTAATTAATGATTGGTACAGTTCTTTGCAACCGTGCTGTTGGGCATTCAAGTCGCTCTGCTCGTGTTCAGTGCAACACAACACAGCCTCGCAGAACATGTGTCACTTGCTGGTGCTATCCTCAATCTGTTCGTGGTGCTCTGCATGATCGTGCTACTTCATTTGGAGTACAGACGAACTGTTAGGCCTTCATTCCTAGTCTCTACCTACTTGTTTGTAACGGTGATCCTGGATATTCCTCGGGTACGCACAGCCTGGTTGTCAACGGGAAAAACAGAGAACTCGGCATGCCTCAGCGCGTCTCTGATCACGAAGCTGCTTATCTTGATTCTGGAAAATGTTCCAAAGCGCAAATGGCTGTTGCAAAATGAGAAATTACAGTCTGGTGAGAGTACCAGCGGTCTTTTTAACAGAGGCCTGTTCCTCTGGTTGAATGGGTTGCTAAGAACCGGGTACTCATTGCTTCTCACCGGCGATATGCTACCTAGTATCCACGAGAAGCTATCATCCAGTGACCTTTCCGACAAGTTCTCAAGTGCATGGGAATCATGTGATCAGAATCGCCAGAACGCATTGCTGGTGGCTATTATCAAGTGCCTCCGCTGGGACATAGCTGCCATTGCTTTGCCTCGGCTAGGCTTGGTTGGATTCAGCATAGCACAGCCATTTTTGATTGGAAAAATCGTCACATATCTGGAAAGCACAGAGTCTAACCCGAATATCGGCTACGGATTGATAGGAGCAACTGCGATTGTCTTTATTGGTGCTGCTGTGAGCCATATGTTTTTGAACATTCGCTGGAGTTTATCTTGAGAGACAGAGGACACTGACCTTGATGAATAAATAGATTACAACGGCCACTTACCAGCATATGGGCTTCCGCACTACAACCATGGCCCGTGGTGGCCTCATGACTCTTGTCTTTCAGCACATGATGACCCTACCTTTGGGCAGCACAGATGAATCCAGTGCCATGTCTCTTATGGGGGCTGATATTGAAATGCTTGCTGAATACTTTCAGTCTACGGTCTGTGAAGCATGGGCTAGTGTTCTGCAACTAGGATTGGCTGCCTGGCTCCTTGAAACTCAGATTGGAATCATCTGCATCACACCCATTCTGGTTGTACTAGGTATATCACTCAAAATTACGAATTTGAAGTTCAATAAACTAATATCAATGGGGTAGCTTTCACCGCCGCAGCATTTGCTATGGGTAATGCTGTATCTGTTCGACAGAAGACATGGCTTCAGGCTACCGAGAAACGCATCAACTTCACCAGCCAAATTCTTGGGTCCATACGTAATGTCAAATTCTTAGCGTTGACAGATATCATGAAAACGGCTATTGAAAGATTGAGGCTTGAAGAGCTAGAGATCTCCAAGAAATTTCGCCGTGTACAAACGGCTCGTGTCTGCATGGGTACGCATACCTGATTCATTTCAAAAGGAATATGGGCCCCCGGAAAACAACAAAGCTAACAATCGCCGTAGTAAACACGCCAATAATTGTTGCACAGCTTGCAACTTTTGCGACTTATGCTATAGTTGCAAAGGTTCAGGGATCCGGCGGTCTTTCCGTCTCACAAGCTACCACTGCCCTTTCGTTGATCATTCTGTTGATCATTCCACTCATGAGCCTACTGCTAGCTATTCCGGACACATATGCTTCAATAGGCTGTTTGAATCGGGTTCAAGATTTTCTCAGACAACCAAATCGGGTTGGTGAGTGACTTCTCATTTGATTCCCGGGACCTAGCGTACATCTGTTTAACACCTCTGTTCGTACAGAAAGAAGAAAATTGCCTCACCTGTATACCAGCCCTCTCAACATATCCCACAACACACCAGGAGTGGAAGTATCTGATGATTTCTCGCTCGGGGCTAGAAGAAGTTCGATTCCAGAAAATCAATCCGGCTTACTTGTCTCCTTGCAAAATGCTCATTTCGGCTGGAACACATCTTCATCCCATGGTACAAGGATAACGCTTGATTTATCGCCATTGCCGACTGGCTCTTTGGTTGCGATCATCGGCCCAGTGGGAAGCGGCAAGTCTACATTTCTCAAAGGTCTCGCAAATGAAACTTCTGTACTTGATGGCGACGCTTTTATAAAGTACCCAGACCTGGCTTTTTGCGAGCAAACACCATGGCTTACCAATTCAACAATCCGAGAAAACATCGTTGGGGAAAACAAATGTCTTGCCTTTGATGCTGAATGGTATCGGACCGTCGTGAGTGCGTGTGCGCTGGATTCGGATTTCAAAACGATGCCTGCTGGAGATGAGACACTTGTGGGGAGCAAAGGATCTAAGCTCAGTGGAGGACAAAAACAGAGAATTGTGAATATTTTCTTAATTTCTGGAATGATGTTGAGATGGGTTTTGCTGACTGGTCTTGGCATAGGCTATTGCCCGGGCTGTCTATGCTCGCAAACGTATAGCATGCTTTGACGATACTTTGAGCGCCCTCGATAATGCCACCGCGCGGCTAGTATTCAACAATGTCTTCGGTCCCTCCGGGTTGTTACGTCGATGCGGTTGCATGGTATTTTTGGCGACTCACAGCGGTATGGTTCACAACACTAAATATTTCCTTACATTGGCCACAAATGGTATATACTGACACACTGTAAGTCCAATACCTCCCACAGACTGACTTTATAGTCGTACTTGGAGAGTATGGAACCATCGTGGAAAAGGGTAGCTACAACCACCTTCTCAATCGCCCTGGAGGCTACGTACAGCAACTTGGTATCAAAGCAAAGCAAATTGACGAACATGAGACCCAAAGTCATGACAATGGTGGAATTTCAGAGCTCCCAGAAGCCGTGACAAGCACCTCCAATGCCCCGGCTTCCATGGAAAATCGCAAGCAGATGACTGATCTGGATGTCTACAAATACTACTTTTCTGCCATGGGCTGGTGGCGAGTAGCTGTGTTGCTGTTCTTCTTGGTGGTGAACGGTGGCGTTGGTGGGTTCCGCTGTACGCGAACATCTTCCATACTTAATCTCATCATGGCCCTATAATGCTAACCTCTTGGTAGACATCTGGATCAGCATGTGGTCTTCCAGCAATGATAGTGCCTCAGGTTCGCGCTTGGGCTACTGGCTTGGAACTTACGGGGTGCTGTCCTTCATCGAAGCTAGCAGTCTTATTCTTGCGGTCTAGTAGGTTGATGTTGTGCTTTGGCTGCAAACCTTAAGGCTGACTCGTTTTTATCAACTAGCTGGACTTGGGTCATTGTCGTGCCGGCCGCCTCGAAACATGCTCACTCCACGGTACTCCATGCAAGCATGTGGTGAGTTGCTTTAATTGACAGGCATTAAATTGTATTTATTAAGCTGACATCTTTAGGGCCCCTCTGTCATTTCTGTCTAATGTAGACACTGGCTCTCTGGTAACCAGATTCAGTCAAGACATGAGGTTGGTGGACATGGTCCTGCCTCGGGGCTTCATTTCGACCGGGTTTCGTAAGATATCGAGCCCAAAGATTCTTTGAACGCGTTGACTGATCAGATCTACCCTCAGAAATGTTTGCAGGCCTTTCGCAGATTGCCATTGCCATAGCCTCCCTGCCGTACTTAGCCGTGACCGTCCCTTTTCTCATTGGGATATTAGTGATTGTTCAACGCTTTTATTTGCGAACGTCTCGCCAGTTGCGTCTTTTAGAGTAGGTTATCCACTTCAATGCTTCGATAAGAATATGCAAAATTAACGAGTCTATAGAATTGAGCTCAAAAGCCCTCTTTACACTCACTTCATCGAATCTCTGGCTGGCATTGTTACCATTCGTGCCTTCTCATGGACAAGTGCCTCGACCACCAAGATGCAGCAATTACTCGATAAAGCACAAAAGCCATTTTATCTTCTGTTGTGCATCCAGCAGTGGCTCGAGCTTGTGCTGAAACTCATCGTCGCCGCTTTGACTGTCATCCTAGTAGGGGCAGCCGTAGCTTTACGTGGCCACGTAAGTCCCGGTCTGTTGGGTATTGCACTGATCATGATGATGGATCTGGGACAGGTTCTTTCACAATTGATTCAGAACTGGACACTTCTCGAAACTTCTTTGGGTGCAATTGCAAGAATTAAGGAGTTCTCGGAAGACACCCCAAGCGAAGAAGCTGATGTGACGTTCGAGCAACTGCCGAACCCAGAATGGCCGACTCGTGGTCAGATATCGTTCGTTGATGCCGTCATCACGTATGGCTCTGAAGCCTCGGAGCCCGTGTTGCATGGCATCAACCTCGATGTTCATGCAGGCGAGAAGATTGGGCTGTGCGGTAGAACTGGAAGGTGAGCAAAAAAGCTCCTTGAAATCCAGATCGTGATCCTTAAAAGAGAGTACTAACTTTAAAAAGCGGAAAAAGCACTTTGGCGTTATCACTACTCCGTCTCAACGAGGTAGTATCGGGTCAGATCTTGATCGATGGACAAGACATCTCTGCTGTACCTCGATCGTTGATACGGCACCGTATCAGTGCTCTCAGCCAAGAGCCTTTCCTTTTCCCAGGTACCATTCGGCAGAATGCTGACCCGCTGGGTGTTTCTGCCAATGCCGATATTATCGATGCCCTCAAAAATGTCGGCGTATGGAACACTCTCGTGTGTGCTTCGACTAGCGGCGTTCATGACGTGGCGTTGCTAGACGAGACATTGACTGATACAACCTTGTCAGATGGTCAAAGGCAACTATTTTGTCTAGCTAGGGCTCTCCTCAAAAAGAGTAACATCCTAATACTAGATGAACCAACAAGCAGGTATGTACTTTGTTCATCTTTCAATCTCATAATTGAAATAACAATGTTGAGCTGACCGCATATGATCAGCTTGGATACAGAGACCGATGCCAAAGTCCAGAGAGTCATTCGACAGGAGTTCCCGAACTGTACCATCATCATGGTCGCGCATAGAGTTCATACTATGCTTGACTTTGACCGAGTGGTAGTTCTTGACAATGGCCGAATCTTAGAAAACGGACATCCTTCCGCATTGCTCACAACCAAGGACAGTGTTTTCTCCAGTCTACATCGCCTGGAGCAGTCCTTGACAAGAGATATGGGAGTTTGACCAATTGCCAAAAACCGAGTTTCAGATGACAAGGATATATGGGAAAACCAGGCCAGTGCATATGGTATCACTTGCACTCGCTTCACAGATGGACTTCACTCGTAACATAGAATATCAGACAATGAATGTTCTCTCACCAGGGAAACCACTCGAGGATATGAGTGAGATCACCTTAGGGCAAAGGGTGACTCACCACCGCAATGAGTCATTTTTGTATTTGGATTTCGAAGGAGACCCCGTCAATATAGCGTTACAACTGTAAGCCCCATAAGAAAACAGCACAGTTTAAAACACTCGGTAGCGTGGCATCTGCAAATGCGTTGCATATTCTAAAATTGTGGGTATAGTTCGTACTTACTAGCCCTCGGCCCCACTCCAGGGAATCGATCCATTGACCCACCTGGATCTATAGATCTTCTCCGAGCACCTGACACTCACAGAATGGAGATTTGATATTGAGAAAGACATGTTGAAATTCATGCAGCAAGACATTCCGAATGAGATAGTCGAGGATCTTGTGATCAACTGACTATTCAAAAATCTTGGGATTGGTCTTATAAAAACAAGTATAGTACAATTAATTTTCATCAACGGGTCTGGCGGTTAGTCGCAAGAGTCCCCATCCAACTTTGATCCTCGGGCAATGTTCCCTTCGGGATTCTCCTCCCGTCAGACGGACCAAAGGATTGCGTCAATGCTTTTGCATCCTGCACTCGGCGCAGAGTTTCGTCTCTTCCAAGAATGGCCATGGTCTCTGGAATACCAGGCCCAGGTGCGGAGGCTGACAATGCCCAGCGGAGGTAGTGGTACAACTCTTTCTTGAATACCTTATCACTTGTAATGGCTGCAACCGGGGCATCTGCCTCAATGGCAGGGAGCACTACGCTATCAGAGCCATCATAAGAGTTGATATTGAACCGGTGGGTTTCGATGTTCCAGTGTGCTGGTGGCACGAGTGTCAAGGCTGCAGCAGCAGTGTGGAGTGCCTGCATTGGAACTTCGGGAGATGAAGATGATGCGGGCGAGGCAGGTGCGTAGGGGGCTCTATCAAGCTTTGGGGAGAAGAAGGTGGAGTTGCGCTTGGCGAACTCCTGTGCACTCGTGTAGGATTTGGCATCGGCCCGGATGAGGGGTGCGATATATTGGGCGATCGTGCGGCCTTTGAGAATCGTATTGCTGTTTGGTGTCAGTTTAGGCGTCGGCCCCCATGAATTCGGTCCAAGTCTGACGAGTAACTTACAGCTTATCAAGGGGGTGGGTTTCTTCCACCGCTGAGCTCACTCTGCTGACCATCTCATCAAATTCAGGGCCACCACTTGCGGCGAAACGCTGAGCATGGGCCTTTTGCAAGAACCAAAGCTTTTCAAATGCGACGACAGTGTTGCCTCGAGTGATTTTTAGATTGAACTGCAGGATTGTTAGTAGTCTGGTGAAAGTTTTTCGGCATAAGAAGAACATACAATCTGCTCCAATTCTTGCAGACTCAATACATCTGACTTCTGTGAATGCGACCAGCCCAAAAGCGAAGCAAAGTTCACTAGCGTTGAGGCGAAAATCCCCTGTTTATCCTTGAATGACGACAGATCGATGTCCGCATTCCTCTTGCTCAGCTTTTGTCCGCTCTGGTCAACGAGCAAGGGGACATGGCCAAACTGTGGGGGAGTCCATTTGAAAGCGTTGTACAGAGCCATATGCATGGGTGTAGATGGCATCCATTCCTAGTAAGAGTTAGTTGGATGTTCTTCATCTGCCTCGAATGTCGTATGCAAGCAGCTCACTGTTCCTCGAATGACATGAGTTATCTTCATGCAATGGTCATCTACTACGTTCGCCAAATGGTACGTGGGGTGCCCATCCGATTTGATGAGAATGGGATCATCATAGACACGGTCGATAAAATCCAGTTTTTTGTTGTTGGGCTTGTTTTGGCCGGTTTTACCATAGACCAGATCACTGAACATAGGGTATCCCTCCACCTTCAATCGAATAATATGTGCCTCTCCGTTGGCTGCCCGATCTTCTGATTCCTCGGCAGATATGTCTCCACATTTCCGGTCATAACCAGGAGGCAATCCTGACTCACTGCGGTGCCGGGCCATAGAATCTAGTCGCTCCGCAGAACAGAAGCATCGGTAGGCATGGCCATTTGAAATGAGGTCATTGGCGTGGGAGCGATAGAGAGCCGTTCGTTCGGACTGTGCAGAAATACATGATTAGAAAGAGTAATTTTGCGACAAATTGACATTCTCTTACCTGTCTGTAAGGTCCGTAGGGACCACCGACGACCGGACCTATTACCCAAGGAAAAGTTAGCATGTTTTCCTCAATTACGTATACAACTGCAACTAACCTTCGTCCCAATTTAGACCTGCCCATTGTAGATCATCGTACAGTCTCTGCTCTGCCCCAGGAATTGTCCGTTTCTGCCCTAATCAGTCACAGTCCATGCATCGGAGCGCAAACCATGACGAACCTGGTCGGTGTCTTCAATGCGCAGTAGAAATTGGCCACCAGTGCGTTTTGCCAGCAGGTAATTGAAAAGAGCAGTTCGTAAGGATCCTAGATGAAGGTATCCGGTAGGTGAGGGCGCGAAACGCGTACGCGCAGGAACGTCTGGCAATTTATTCTTCGAATTGCGGGCTTGACCACTAGCCGGGGAAGCGGAAGAACAGGCTCGGCATTGAATACAAGTCCAGGAGCGTCGAGCAAATAGCCCGGGTGGAGCGCTCCTCATGGCGAAAGTAATGGACAGATGAAAGGGCGATCTGGGGCGATGCGGAGTTGCGGCGCGGAGCTTCCGAACAAAATTTCTATCGCAACTTGGATCAACACCGCTCCGCTCACTTCACGTTCACCAACATCTGTCTTTTACTGTTGGATTACATTCAGCTCTCTCTTTACAGCGCACAAATATCCGATCGCAATTTACTGGATTTAATCACTGATAAGTACGTTGGGAGGTCCTGTGTTGCTGTGACTGTGCTAACGATGTCTCAAGTGGCTGCAGCCGGGGTTGACCTTTACGGTATGCAATCCGTTGCGTTTATCATTTAATACAAATGAATGTGCTACTTACCAGGCATTTTGTTCTTTTTATACAGAGGTCCTAGAAGTTCACCAGGGCGCCAGCAAGGATGACATTCGCAAGGCCTACCGCAAGGCAAGATAGATACCGACCTACCTCGTATGCTATCATATACTAACGGTTAGTTCAATAGGCGGCCTTGACCAACCACCCTGATAAAGTCCCCGAAGATGAGCGGGAAGAAGCCTCGATCAGATTTAAGGCTGTGCAGGAGGCCTACGACATCCTCTATGACGATGACAAGCGACACCTTTACGACACACATGGTATGGGTGCCTTCAACGGCTCTGGTGAGCCAGGAATGGCAGGAGCCCCCGACCTGGATGATCTGCTAGCACAAATGTTCGGCGGTGGCATGGGTGGCATGGGCGGCATGCCCGGTATGGGAGGAATGCCCGGCGGCGGTCGTCCACCCAAACCGCGCCGAAGCCCCGATGAAGAACAAGATTATGAAGTCAGCCTTGAGGATCTGTACAAGGGAAAGACCGTCAAGTTTTCCAGCGTCAAGAACGTCATTTGCGGACTTTGCAAGGGCAAGGGTGGCAAGGAGAAGGCTACCGCCAAGAAGTGCTCGACTTGCGATGGTCAAGGCCACAAGGAGGTCTTGCAGCGTATGGGCCAATTTTTGACCCAGCAGTCGGTTGCTTGTACCACATGTAACGGACAAGGCTCATACTTCTCCCCGAAGGATAAGTGCAAGAAGTGCAAGGGCAACAGGACAACCGAGGAGAAGAAACTACTAGAGATCTACATCCCCCGCGGCGCCAGGTGAGAATTACGCCTTATCCGCCCATCCGAGAGAGAGCCCAAAATTGACAATATGATAGATCAGGAGACAAGATTGTGCTGGAAGGCGAGGCGGACCAATTGCCCGATCAAGAACCTGGTGACATTGTTTTCAGAATCATTGAGGAAGAGCACCCCGTATTTGCGCGCGCTGGATCCGACCTCCAGGCAACTATTGAAGTCACCCTCGCAGAATCTCTCAGCGGATTCTCGCGCGTCGTGCTCAAGCACCTTGACAACCGCGGTATTGAGCTCAAGCACCCAATCACCCCCGGCGCTATTCTCTCACCCGGGCAAGTCCTAAAGGTTCCCGGTGAGGGCATGCCAATGAAGCGCACTGATGCTCGTGGTGACCTCTACCTGGTTGTCGATGTAAAGTTCCCCGACAGCAACTGGAAGCCTACCCCGGCGATGCTGGAAAAGCTCCAGGAAATTCTCCCAAAGCCCGAACCCCCTATCGTGGCTGACACCGTAGACGAGGTTACATACGGTCCGGGTCAAATTGAAGACTTTGGTGCGCAGGATGGCCAAGGCGCCTCCGCGTGGGAGGACGAGGAAGATGATGAACCGGCGCAGTGCGCAGCTCAGTAGTACTCTTCCGGCATATACGGCGTCTGGGGCTTTGCATTTTTATGGGATTTGTGGATAGAACAACAATCTCGTTTTCTTAACTGGGCAAAAAAAAGAAATAGTGAGTATGAAATACTATAGTCCCACTGAATAGATCAGTGTCGAGTTGATAACGTGGGGGTATCCAGACTAGCTGTTTAATTAAGCCGACGTAGTTCGTAATGTGAGCGATACGCGTACTTCGTCCATTCTGTTATTTTCATAACATGCTTCCGTCCTAGCTTTTTCAATGGAAAACAGGATAGATTCGATGTGCCTAAAAGCCAGACACCTTGGCAGGAGATGTTCTGCCGTGAGACTGATCAGCTGAAGGCATAGTTAATGCGGTCCAGTATCAGTGAATTGCGCAGCGGTGGGAATAACCGCGGCATAACCAGTAAGACTCATAAATGCTCACATGTAAACTCAAGAATCCGATGTCAAGTAAAATGCAAAGTACAAGTTACAGACGTACCTCAGAATGTGTTAGCCTTTAGAATTGAAAGAGGCGAATGAACGAGACCCTATTAATACGGTAGCTGAATTTTATTCAACGGTTAATTGAACGCAGAAACTAAATTATATGAAAGCACTTGGTTAAAATAAAAGTGCTGACCGAAACAAAAGGCCAAAGGCTGGAAAGCACCATGATCAAGATAAAAGACACCCATGACAAGACAACATCACTAGTGATGAGATAGAAAGCGTTGGGGTCAAAAAACTTTGATCCTCATTCAACTAGGTCTCCTCAATTCATGAAAAAGATCCTAGCGCCACGGCCCTATGTTGATCTAACCAGCTGGGTTCACACAAGTGAAGCCAGTGACACTGACCCTCCGCGAAATGCTTATGCATAGCAGTAATCGAAGCCCAAATTCCCAAACCGGCAGAGGCTATGGAAGCAAGTGCGTAAATCACATAGAAGGAGTTCCATGCAAATTGTCTCTTGAAACCTCTGATCAAACGTTTAAAGCCATGGTCTAGGCGCTGTACCTGACCGGTTTGCGGATTGAAGTCTTCCCCTGGAAGCATTGCGTCGTTCTGGGCATTGTATCCGAGCAATAACAGTGGCGGAAACGTATAGGTGAATGGCATGATGCAAGCTGCACCGACGAAGGAGCCCAGATAGCTAATCTGCGGGACCGCAGCGGCAAGTAACCAGGCAATGTCCCACCATATAGGAACTAGATAGTGATCAGCTCGGGTCATTGTTTCGGTAGAGCCGATTCAAGAGGTTTGTGGTCATACTTACCGATTATGGCCCACACCAACTTGCCACTTCGATGGTGTAGGGGTGGCAGGTGAAAGACATCATGTAGCTCTGCAGAATAGAAAACTTTGAGGCCGATGTTGCCATAAAGTAGCCCAGAAACGACAGCGGCAATCAAATTGATGGCATTGCCCATAGTCTGGAATGCATATGCAGAATTCGAGATACCTGTAACAAATATGTCAGTAACTTAGAGAATTTCTTGCGGAGTAAATTGCCTAGAGACTTGCCTTGGTAGGCAGGGTTAAAAGTGAATTGGCCCTGGGCACTGTAAACAACCATGCCAGTGATAAGGTAGCAAGAATAAATAAAAATCTCGGAAATGATAAAACCCTTCCAGAAGTCATATGGCCGTCTCATCTCGGCCATGAGCTCGTAGAAGATGGTGGCACCACCAAACGCAAAAATGCAGTTCATCATGCCATTGACCTTGTCTTGAAGATTTGCGTCCACAGGCCAGTTCGCACTTGTCACCACCGGGCCCTCTACAGTCCCATAGCTAGTCAACGAGGCTGAATAGTTGGGTGGGTACTGATGAACCACAATCATGGTCATGACAACAATGATAAAATTGGAGACGATTCCAACGGCGGTCACAAAAGCAAGACGCTGGAGAGTGCGGATCTGCGCGGCCACCAATCCAATGCCCATGAGGACTGCTTCAGCCCCCATGAAACAGATATATCCTTTGCCATCTTTGCCGACAGCCATCTGTGCCAGCCCCTGTCCGTTGTTGACAATAATTTGAACGACATTGAGGAGAAGCTGGAACACCTGCAAAAGGTTCACAAGAATACGTGCCCAGGCTCCGTAGACACGAAAAGCCGCATCGCCGTAGTTGCGCAAAGGAAATCGGGTAGAGTCCATACACATATAGACCTTCCACATTTGTAGCCCCGAGTAACAACTCAATCCTCCGAACACGGTAAACAAAGCAAAGCCTGGCCCATAGCCCATCTTGCTGATTGCCCATGGGACGTTGCTCGGTCCAAGAATATCCGCTGTAATGAGGAAAAAGATCGAGCCCCAGGTGGCAGTTCGCAAGGCTCGCTGTGCCTGTTCCCATTCCGTTTCGGCAATTCCCCAACCATCTCGGGTACTGTTGTTATTTCCCTCTTGGGCGGGAGTAGCTGGACTCTTCTCATTCGACTCGGCTGTGATAGTAGCTTTCTGTTCTCGAGTCTGTACCCGAGTTAACGCCGAAATTTCCGAAGTCTTTCTTCCCCGTATCATGTTACTCAAATGCGCAAATCCTGCATCAGCAGTTGAGATGGTCTTCTCAACCTCACGGGATCGCTTGGCCCAATAAACATAGTTTTCGAAGGTAATGCTAGAATCCAGGTAGATTGAGTCACTTCCTTTGACAACAGGAGGCGGAATGTTTGAAATAGAGATATCATGTACTTGCTTGTCCACGTTGGTTTCATCAGTCACGCGAGCCTCAACGGGACCCTCGTTGCTGACAGTGATACTTTCCGCCATGATGACGGGAAAGCGTCCTCACGTTTGAAAGAGGATGAAAAGAAGAAAAGACTACGAAGAAAGAAAAAGACACGACGGAAAGAAAACAGCAGCGGAGTGGAGAAAAAAGACGCGAAGAGAGGAAATAGAACAGCAAAGTTATTTGAGAGAATTATGCAAGGTGCACCTTACCGCACATCGATGACAATTGTAGGGCGATTGGACTGTTGAATAGAGTTGTTTTTTGCGCGTGTAGCTTGTCCTACGCTTACTCTTAGAACTATTTCTGAGGATCTAATGTAACATAAGATGTGCGTCGAAGTAGCTGCTGTAGAACTTCAGGATTAATAGGCTTTAGGTCAATTGTGCTGTGTTCACAGTACTGTACGTATTGAGTTCTGGTGTCACTGATGGTACAACATGTTTATTAGTGCAATTTTCTGGGTCATGTTGATAGCTTCCAAGGTTGCCTGAATATCTTTAGCTAGAGTTAGCCATACCAGGGGGGAAAATAACATGACATGTAGGTTTATAGTATTCATCTTAGCCCATTGAAATGCAAATGGCAATCAGTATATCGTAAAATTAGTACAAGTTTTTAGGTCACCTAATTACGTTGAAGCAAGTAGACACCCAATAATCTTTATAAACATGGTTTCGGACTATCCGACCAGGTGACGTTTTGGTGGGCCTCTGGAATTTCAAAAACATAGATGGTTAGGGTATTGACCTTAGAAAGATAGTAGGTGTTACACCGCGTAGTATTCACGGTGGTACTTTGCGTCTAACAAATCTAGAAACGGCTCGCGTTGAAGGTATTTTGCTTCAAAGATACCAGAGGGTATTTGGTCATTAGTTCATTAATTATGACAGAAAGGATTTAGTCTCAACTCCCGTGAATAAAGCTAAGGAATGACCCGAAAGAAAGACCGATAGAATGACGCTTTGGAAGTGTATAGGAAGATGATGATATAGTATATCTATGTGAGAGTGTCGCCATGTATGTTTATTTGACTCTATGTACAGCTCTAGAACACACTACCCGCACCGATCTAAAAAGATTGCAATGCGGCGATACATTTCCACAGGGTTAGAATACATCGGGAAATGACCACTGTTCGGAATATCCGCCAACTCAACGCCCTCTTTCTCCAGCAATGGCAAATATGACAAGCCACGCATTTCCTCGCCAAACATGAACATGCGTGGACACGGCAATGCCAAAAATTTATCCATCAAATTTCCGTGATCGGTCAATTGCACCATGGATTCAAAGATAGATCGAACAGCACCCGGCCTGACTCGCACACGCAGTGTACTGGCATACATGGCGTTGGCGAATGAGCCTGACGTACGCGTGCGCTCAATAAAAGCATCCAGAAACGCCTCGTCGTCATCAGCTGGGAACATGAAAATTTGCCGACTGAGAAAGCAATCCTCTGGCGCGAGATTGCCTTTGATATCCACGAAGCTAAGAACGTTCTGAGGATGACGGTTTGCAAGTAATAGTGCTGTTAGTCCACCCATTGAGTGGCCCATTAAATGAAATTTCGTGATTTTGAAATGAGAAAGGACTGCTTGTGCGGTTTCCACGAGGAAAGGGATATCTGTTGCAGAGAGGTTGTCGCTTTCCGAGTGGCCGCAGCCCGGTGCGTCGTAAGCGATAAAACCATGGTGCTTGAGAGTTGATTGAATTGTCAGATCGGCCAAGTCCTCCTTGCTAGAGCCGAAGCCGTGAAGGAACAAAATTGGTGGTGTGGAATTAAGGTTGTGGATCGTTGATAGGTTGAGGTTGACACCCCGGACTTTGAGGGGAACACATTCGAAGGTGAGGGCCATGATCGAATGAGTGAATGATTGAAGTGCACTTTTCAAACAGCGTATTGGATCCTCATTTATATTCTCGATTGCTTGCGAAAACGTTGTTGTGATTATGAATTCTCTTCGAACGGTTCGGCAAAATAATATTTCGCCGCATCTTACTCATAGAAGAGTCATTGTTCCAAGGTTCAATAACCCGAGGCTACAACTCGTTACCATCACCCTACCTTGCATGACAATTGTCTATAATAGATTGACTGTTTGATATGATGAAATTTTTTTAGAAGTCGCGCTTAGCCGGGATCGATCAACCACTTGCATTCAGCAGTTTCTGGACCTCAATAACCCAAATGTGGGACTAGCTCTGATATGGTCCAATCAAAGCTTGCAATTTCCTGGGCCTTTTACATGTCTGTCCTAAAGAGACAATGCAAAAGATCAATCAATATAGGACAAAACAATAAATCTTCATCCCTCCCCCAGAGGAGGGCTTGGATCGAACTCGGCTCATTAAACATCAAGATTTGATCGGCATTCTGGTATAAAGGTCGCGAACATGGAAACTTGAATCCCTTACTATAGCTCCTCGATCAATAATTATGGAAATAAACATTGCAGCATACGAACTTTAAAGTCCCTCCAACTTATATAGCGGCTCCAATTTCGCAGATCGTTGGAAGAAGAAATATCGTTTCACGAACCAAGGCAACCATGTTCCTATCTGATAGCGAGCATGTCTGTGAATAGGCACACCAAAAGTATAGTCGAGCTCTTCAAGGGTGCGTTGCCTATATGAAGTTCAGTTATGGGACGGACAGATGTGTTCCTCATCGGTTCAACTTACATCGTTTCTGGCACTATGAAGAAGATCAGAAGAAACGCGAGCATATTCAGCGCAGCATAGAATCCGAACGCTACAAGAGCATACTTGTCAGTTACGTTGCATTTCCGCTGATTGAAAGAGCAGTACATACCTCCGGTTGCTGTCATTGTTGCCAAAATTGATGGGAAGGAGAGACTTAACACGCTTCCAACAATATTGTTCACACAGATAGTGAAAGCTGCGCCTAATTCACGATGAGATAGCGGGAAAGCTTCACTGAAATAAATGGACGGAATAGGTCCGATTCCTTGACAAGTAAGCCGATGGTTCGCAGCAGAAAAGCGCAAAACAAAACCTACCAGGGCCATAGAAAGCACCGAAAAGATAGATGAAGAATGCAATCAGAGGCACACGAGCGTTGGATCCGTCTGGGAGCAAGAAACAGCATCCTGCCGCTAGGAGACACCATGCCATATTGGGGAACGTAAAGAGCAATAGGTTGCGACGACCAAATGTGTCCATGGTGTAGACGGCAGGTATGGCAAAGATGAACATCGTCAATCCAAAGCCGAGAGAGGCGAGCAGACAATCTCGTGGTGAATATCCGGCTTCTGCAAATATTGTACTAGAATAGAATGCCATCGCATTAATTCCGGAGAATTGCTGCGCGATAACAATCAAAGAACTCGATATCACTGCCCGTCGGAGGCGAGGAACTGCGAATAGTTCCCATACTCGCCTTGAAAGTGATATTCCTGCAAATGCATCTCGCTCAGTCATCACCTGGCAATGTGCATAGTACTGGCCACGGGATTAGTTCAAGTCATTGATGTATAGAATCAAATCATCGTACCAGTTCTCTTGCAGCAATGAGCTCTGTGTTGCGTAGCCGACAGAATGATTTGAAGGCATCTTGATAGCGGCGCTTTTTCATAAGCCATCTTGGGGATTCTGGAGTAGTTCGTTAGTTCAATATAGCAGCTGGGTCTGAGGTCTTTCATACCAGGACAGAACCAGACCAAGAATAAGACAGGTACAGCTGGAACAAAAGCAGCACCCAATTGAAAACGCCAAGCGAGGTCGCCAATCTGGAAGAATATCAAGTTCGAACAGAAACCACTAGGTAGAAATGTTAGAAAAGCCGGCGTCATGATCACTTAGAGTAACGCACATAAAGATACCAAATGCCACCCATAACTGGAAACTGGTGACCAAGCCGCCGCGAATTGATGCGGGGGCAATTTCTGCACTGAAGACCGGAATCGTTGAGATTTTGATACCCATCCCTATGAAATAAATTAGCTTTGGTACTTCTGGAATTCTTAGGACATTTGGTCCTGCAGCCAAGGCCATACCTAGTCCCATGAAGAGGCGGCAAATCAGCAAGCTCCACCAATTATGGGTAAATGCCTGTGCTAGAACTGGGAAGACGCAGCTATGTTTGGTGTTAGATATGCCTGATATTTCTCTTTCGGCTAGCCGTCGGATGCACTCTTACAATATTCCAGTCAAAAAGATAACACCTCGCCTTCCTAGCATATTATTCAGAGGGTCTGCGGCCCAGGCACTGTGACATGTCAGAATTCATGCTTTACTGCTACATATTTGGAGCTGTGATCACCCACCTAAGTAATCCAAAGAGTGTCGGCCTAAGAAAATAACGTCAGAAAAGGCAAACCCGGAAATGATGATTGTTGCTCACGTACCCTGCATTGATGACACCCACTAGCCAAGTATTGTCCTCGATTCCAAATTCCTTCGGGAAAGAAAGATTGGCGCCATTTGCTCCCGTATTGTCCCATCCCCTGATTCAATGGTTAAAACAGAATCGCCTCTCACGATCGACATTTCAACTCACTGGATAGCAGAACCGAGAGAACATAAACCAATACTAAAGTATAAGGCTCTAGGCAGATGCCATTTGTCTATTTAGCAAGGTCAGAATTGTCTAAGCAAGCATTGAACATCGAGCTCAAGGTGACACACGTGTATGTTCTCGTCGTAGATGATACTTATCCTCTTCTACCAACTCCGGAAGCTCCTCAAAGTCCTTTGGACGTTGTGCTACAAGAGCGCCTTTCTGGAATGTCTCAATGTGATCTTCAAATCCATACTCCTGGCAGAATCGAAGTACGCGGTCATAAAGATCATTCTTCGAAATGCCTGAAAGTGGATTGTAGATCCTGCCAACGAAAAGATCAGCAAAATTTGAACAACTCATCCGATATGTCATACCTTGCATTGATATTCTGACTATAATCCCCTAAGTGGGGGGCCTGCAGCTCGGCATCCTCCACGAAAACCGAGTTCGGCTTCAGATCCTCATCCAAACTGTGCTTCGACATGATGACTTCAGTAAGAGTGAATTTGCTGGTCGAGTTCTCGTACTTTGTTTCCAATGCCTCCTATATATACCCTAAACCCCCTCATAACTCCCGGCAGTTGGTGGAATCCGGGCCATCCCCGTGGGGAAAATCCAATAAAGAATCCGGGGTACACTAGCGTGTCGATCGGGCCAATACCCGTGCACATCCCCCACCTCTGTTGCCCACGATCGTCATCCATTTCATTGACCTGCGTGTGCCATCGGATTTAACACCGATTTTTTGGCGATGCCCTGTGTGCGACCATGGTCACGTTGTCCTATCAAATTCCTTGGTATGCGGGCTGCGCCGGTTTCTCTACCGAGAAATGCTTCGGTGTCACTCTTTTTGCCTAGAATGCCCTGCGTGCGCGCTGCACCTTGATGTGTCTAGACTCAAGGGCAGCGTATCAGCTGCTATACTTTTCTTCGGTGGAACCTCGGAACTGCCTATGCCCTGTGTGTGTCCTGTGTGATATGCCTTCATTTCGGGGGTGACACGTCGGTCGCTGTGGTCGAGACGAGGAGACGTACAATGGTACTTGGTTTGCCTGATAGCTATATAATTCCCCTACTCTCGGATCTGTATTCGTACTGAAAGTGAGTGAATATTCATTGTGATTTATCTTCTGCCTTTCTACTTTGCTCTATACAAGACATCAAACATTCTCAAGAATGGGTAGTTCCGGTACCCAGACATGGCTCGACAAGCTCTCTGAGCAATGTGAGCAATTAAATCTTCCAACCTTTGAGGTTTTACAGATTGACTAACCCATCTCAGTGAACATCGATGTAGACTGGATGGACCCAGCATACACTCTGAGCATGCCCATTGTCCCCCATGACATGACAAGCAACCAGGGCTGGGTCCACGAGCAGATGTGCAATCCTGTCAATGAGGAGCTCTTCAAGAGTGTTGTCAAAGAATACAAAGACAAGGGCTGGCTGGCCATCTACACGCGCATGGTATGCCGATCATCTTCTCCTTTCAAAAGCCGGGCATCGCTAAACGAGAATTTTCTTATAGGCAGTCTTGATGTCTAAGGCAAACATCGACAACATCCAAGGTCGGGTCTTGCTTCAGACCCTACCATCCTACGCTTACAACCATGAGAAGACCCTAGAGCACGCCCGTGCTTACGCTCGTGAGTTCGAGAGCGTGGGTATCTCCAAGGATCGTTTCTGCATCAAGATCCCTAGCACTGGTCCAGCACTGAGCACATGCCCAATTCTTCTTGAAGAGGGCATTCGGACCCTGGGTACTACACTCTTCAGCGTGCACCAGGCCATTGCAGCAAGCCAGGGAGGATGCTTGTACGTCAGCCCATACTACAATGGTAAGACCCTTCGATCACTCCCTTAGAATTGGCCCGTTAACGATGGTTCCCCAACAGAGGTTCGAGCTCACGATGAACGCGAAATTTGGCCCAAGTCCGAGGACCCAGCGTTGCTGCATCCAATGTCGTCGCGTCTTATTCAGATTCTTGAAACATATAAGCGTCTTTACAAGGAGACCGGCAAAGAACAGCCTTTTCTCAAGAACGCTAGGTATGTTGGCAGGACGGCAAAATCGCGAATATAGTGACAGGTTGCTGACAGCCGTATTTCAGTTTCATCTCCCCACAAGAGGCGATGGCGGCGGGTGAGATCGGATGCCACTCGGCTACAATCTCTCACATGGTGCTCACAGAGCTCGCAAATCTTCCATACGACGGATCCAAGCAGCCTGGTGAGGGTGTGCCCAAGCCAGCTCATCCGTACTTGAACGCTTTGCCGACTCCAACCCGTCTCGCGAAGATTGCGCAGCTCGATGCTCTTGCAAATGCGAGCTGGGATGGTAAATTGGCAAGCACAGAGATAGATTATCTCGCAAATATGGGCGCTGAGCTGGATAAGGCAAATGAGGCGGATGCAGTCACTAAGCAGCGACTTCGTGAAGCCCTTGCGTTGTTTGTTGCAGCAGAAAAGAGAAGCCAGGCAAAGATTGAGGAGGCTATGAAGCCGGTCTAGTATTTCAACTTGTGCAGCTCTCAATTCGTGGCTGAGCATAGTGTTGCAGATGGATTGACTGGGTCATTTCCGATCATGTCTCCCATAGGTATAGATAGACTTTCTGGATCTGAACTGAATGAATTTACCGAATTTCGCATTTGATGAATCGCAATTCTGTTGGCCTCTTGGGGTAGAATGCTCAAGGTAGGAGGATGTGGATGCCACGATGTAGAAATAGTTTGGCTTTCAAATGGCACACTGTCGCTGGGTGGCATTGCGTTCATGACACCAGGATCTTGGGTCCAAAAATGAGTCGCATCATCTAGAAGGTATACAGGACTCGCAGTATACCCGGAACCTGCACCTTGCGGTGGTGTAGCAGTTGGATTTTCTGTAGGTTGGCTCCACAAAAGAGCCGCTTCATCCATAAGGGGGGGATGCAAAACCATCTGCTGACAGATTTTATTTGATTCCTCCCAATCCCATTCAGATGAATTAATAGGGCTCATTCCATTGTTCAAAATGGCAAGACTCTGGCCATCAGGTGTGTGGGACAGATCAGGATGTTGCAACGCAGCACTGGAGTCAATCAGGGATCCCTGCGGCACAACTGACAAGGACTCACCCGGATGCGATCCTGTCAGGGACCGACCAACCATTTGCTGAGAAATTTCCGGCAGTTTATCGATAGATCCTTGCTCTCGTGTCAGATCGACAGCTGAAACCTTACTCTCCGCCATCATGCCTAGTACAGCAGGGTCTACTGGTCTGGCTTGGCGCGGAACAAATGTGACGGGCTGACAAAGAGCTCGAAGAGCATTAACCTCGCGCAGCAAATCATCGCGCTCGGTCAATATGGACTGGAGGGCTTGGTTCGTACGAAGACACCTTGCCTGTTGTGCACGATGGTAGGAGATGCTGGCATCAACAATAGCATGCTTTGAGGGACGCGCCTCTACCTTCAGCGATGGCAAAAGCTCCGTCAGCTCCTACTTTGTGTTAATAGGCCAAACCTCAACTAGTAGGGGTTTTCCTGAGCCACCAACCACAAGACTTTCACTAAAGGCTTCCCGGCGCGACTTCTCGAACTCACGGTGCAGAGCTCGATCTTCGGCAGTCCAATTCCGGATACGCTTCTTTTTCGTATGAGGCATTTTAGTTGACGGGCAATCTATAGGTGAAGGCAGATTCTGGGGTCCGTGTTGGGGAGTTGGTAAGAGTGGGACACTTCCCCACGCGAGGAGATCCGGGGAAGTGGGGGTGTGCTAGTTAACTCGGATGCGACTTGCTCCGTCTTTGTTTTCTTGAAAGCAGATATCTGAAGTTGATCTTAGACATTAAGTCTTGATACCATGAAGATCATCAAAAGATCAAAAAGTGTTGATTTTGTTGCAAATGTAATAAGTTCCTAATTGTGGAAATTAATGAAGTCCTGTACAGGGCCATTCACATGACCTGAAAATGGTGGTACTACTACATCCCAAGGTTCGGCAACGGAATTATCTAACTACATACATATACCTGGGCATGTCCATGGATGTATCTGTGTAAAATACCAGACCAATTCACCAATTATCGATCGCTGTATCATTATCTCGTCCAACACTAGGTCTCTTTTATTCAGCGCATTTCAACACAAAGATATTGCATGTACAGCTTTTACCATAGGCTTATATACTAACCCCCTACAGCTTGGCCTTCTCCTTAACAAGTAGTTTCTCCAATCCCGTCCTGATCCTCTCCTCCATCCCCGTCTTCCCAACACGCATTGTCTCCCTCAGCACAAACACGTGTGTATAGATCCCAACCATCTTCACATCTTCCTCGCCCTCCCGAAAAATTCCCACTTCCCACGTAACACTCGACTTGCTCAGTCTGTTCACGCGCAAACCAACCTCCAATAGATCCGGAAAGCGCACCGAGGCAAAGAAGTCGGCGTGCGTGGAAACAATCAAGCCTATCTGGTCTGCGCCCGCTGCGATGTTTGACGGAGAGGAGAGATTGGCGGGTTGGGGGTCTGACGGAGGGGGCGTTGGGTTGTTTACGCTGAAGGGGTCCACGCCGCATTCTTTGATAAGGTACGTGTTTGCAATTGTATCGAAGAGGTGCGTATATACTGCATTATTAAGGTGCGCGTACATGTCATTGTCAAACCTAGTCAATGTGTCAGTATATATGCCAGGGTGGACGCGAGGTTTGACGAACCATCTGGTCTGGTGTACTTGGTGGAAGCCATAATCACTGCGCTTGCGTTGTTTCTTGATCAGGGTCTCTTGGGTAGCCATTTTCTGATCTCTATGGCGTGGGGGGCGTGTAAGTGTGGTTTTGTTGAGACAGCAGAAGTGCTCTCCGCTGTCCGGTTGATGAACCTCGGCATCTCGGTGATTAGATTAGGTTCCCTGTCGTACCGCCTCGAATATTGCCAGTATGTGAGCAGTGGGCGGTGTGGCTGATAATAGGAGCAGGGTTGAACCTAACCGGCTTCTTTCATGTGCAACACATGTAAGTTTCACGTTCTTTCAACAAAGAAGTAGATCTCAAGCCCTGTTATGGCATATAACAAAAATGGGCCGTTTAGTTTTACCCAGGAGTGCCCTCGTCTCCATAGATCCAATTTTCTTCCTCGTATCATTTATCGCTATCAGACAGACTTATTCCAAGTATCGATCTATAGTTTACACACCGACAATGGCATACTCCATGCTTGAATCTGGCCTCCAAGCCTTGATTCTGTGTGGGCCTGGAAACTCTTTTGGAAATCTACTGAATACAGAGAAAACTCCAAAGTGCCTTGCCTTGGTTGCCAATAGACCGATGGTATATTACTCGTTAGACTTCTCTAAGAGGTCAGGGATCACGGGTAAGTCACCAACGATTTAGTTATTAGTCTGGCTTTTGTGTTGAGTGTTTGACGAACGGCTCTAGATGTTACCCTTATAACGCCCCCTTCGGCCCTCGCACCCATCAAGGCTGCCTTAGAGAAGAATCCATTCTTGAATTCCATCTCATTGCCGAAAGTCCTTGGCCCGCAAGACCTTCTGGAAACAATGACGACTACAGACCTCCTTCGTCTTCCCGAAGTCCAAGCATATATACAGTCCAACTTTCTTCTTCTTCCTTGTGATCTTGTTTGTGACATCGGCGAGTCTCTATTAGAACATTGGGTTTTATCTGGAACTCGAAGAACCCTAGACTGTCAGGGAAGTCTCTGTCTGTACTATAAAGCGGACGTGAGCGTCAAAGACGAGATCTTGGATCTGGTAGCTGTGGCATCGCCCAAACGGACTGACATATCTTCGACATCTAACCATGAACTATCGAAGCTGGTCATTTCCATGGGAATGGATACTATTAAAAGCAAAATGGAGAAGGAAAAGTCATTTTCCTTTGGTCGATCTTTCACAGAAAAGCACGACAATTTTAGATTATTAACTGGATATCGTGATGCACACCTCTACTTCTTTCCTTACTGGGTCAAAGATCTAATCCGGCGTCAAGAAAGACTTGACTCTGTCAAGGAAGATCTAATTGGTTTTTGGGCTAAGTCTCAATGGCAGCAGGGATTGGGGGAAAAGTTAGGAATAGAGGCCTGTTTACGCCAACTGGACGAAAGCCAAGAAGTCTACTGTCAGGATGTGAGCACTTCCACTCACGGGATATCACAAAATCACTTGCGAGGACCTGGACCAATTCAACACCCAATGAAAATACCGCCTCTTTTAGCATATCTCCAAACAGAGTCCGCACAATTGACTCGTCGTGTCGATAACCCTGCTCTTCTTCTATCTACATCTCTCTACCTCGCCAAGATAGACTCGAAGCAAGATATCATCTTCCCCGCTCAACCAGCTTCATTTTCTCATGACCAAAAGATCTCCTATCCCAGAGGTATATCTGAGTGGTGTAGCATCTCGAAGGCTGATTGCTTGCTTGCATCTGAAGTTGTCGTTGAGAAAAATTGTGTTATCAAAGAAACTTGTATAGGGCCAAACTCGAAGATCTGCAGCGGTTCTCAGCTCACACTGTGTGTTATTCTTGACAATGTGGCTATTGGTGAGTGCTGTGTCTTGAGTGGATGTATAGTTGGGGGTCGGAGTTTGGTTGGCAGAAGGTCGGTGCTTGAGGACTGCCAGATTCAAGAGGGTTATACTGTGCCTGAAGAAACAGATGCCAAGAATGAAATCCTCAAGCCTCTCTCCACCGATATTTTGGGGTAGTCATGGGGCATTTCAGGCTACAGATACTTGTTTCGGGACTGGGGCAAGCTGAACTCGACATTTGAATACTTATTTGTTCAACTATATGCCCGAAATATTAACATTCATTTACTCTTCCATCTTCTAACACGAGGTTTCATGTTGAAAAGCATGGTAACTCTTGCGTAGTTGTTTCGTGTACTTTGCTAGCTCATCGCATGCAAACCACATTCCAAGGCTTCCTATTGGAGAGTCCGCCAGATTTGTTAATCATTCTCTTCTCTGATAATTTGTGCCAGCTGTAGTTCTTGGCGGCCTCGCAGTTTTGGTGCCAAATGGAGACTGGCCATTGGAACCTCCTCTAACGTTTTCACGGTCCTCGTTAGAAACAAAAGATCCGTCCTTGTTCGGAGACAGAAGCACAAAAGTAAGGTAAGTTCCGCCCACGACTCCAAGCACGCTCATCAAAGCAGGGTACCGATTCCTAGTCTGTATTTTAGTTGCTGTTGTGATGGCCAAAAAAAGTAGAACGTACATAGTGTTCTTTCTGCCTTGGTATTTTGGCAGCAAGAAGTGTCAAAAAGGCATGAATTGCAAGTTTCCTATGTTGTTCAGAAGGTCTTCTTTGCGAGAAATAGAATGGATAGTTCAAAGGTCTCAATTTGGGAAGCACTTTAGGATGTTAAAAGTGACGTGTGGTGACGTCTACGAATAAACAAGTGGCAATTGAAATATTCCAAGATTATTTGCACCATTGACTTCCAAATTTGTATCACTTGTTGTGTATCTCTGTATTTATTACCTTTGTACTCACCCCTATTACAATATGTCTGAAAGGTTCTAGAAATGGCCTAGAGTGAAGGTATTGCTATGAAATGTTGTTAGGGCATAGTCTACCACCGCATACTCATCATTGAGACAGGAGTAGGGTTATACTTTGTGAAACGTATTGCAAGGAAGAATTGTACTTAAAAACACGTAATGCGGCAATCGAGAGGGCTTTTTGCTGAGATAATAGCAATATTGCTCATATTTGGGGAGACAATGTGTCTGGCTTGGCCTTTGCAGTAATGCTGGCCGGAACTTGTAATGAAGAGACTCGGATATGGAGATATGCAAGATTGCCCTCTGATTCATTAGCATTGAAGACTCTCAACCCAATGCATGTTGGGTTGCAAGGCAAAAGCAGATGGCAGTGAGACGAGATATTCGTTACAAAACCTTTCATACCTCTCCTCGGCTGCGACAATATCATATTCAGAATTGCACTTGGCATGCGAGCTCTTCCAGAAATTGGCCAAGCTGGCTTGGAGAAGGTGTGCCATGAATTCGTCCAGGTCTTTGTTGCCGTCAAGGTCGGGCCCCAGATAATGGCCTTTTGGTGGTCCACCATGAATGATATTGCTCAAGGAATCATGAAAGGTAGATTAGTTGATCAATTCTAACGTCCCGCATTCAGTAGGTCAGACAGCCCGATAATGATCTAGGCGATCGAGAATTTTAAAAAAAAACTCACCAATTTACTTCGGCCACTAAGTATCTCGCCAGGAAATTTAAGAATGGCCGGCCCGGCATCTCCTCAAGGCACTGCTGGACCCCCGCCGCAGTCATTTGATAGGGCTTGGTCTTTACCATCGAGGCTCTCTTCTTCACAGGACTCTCCCTGGTAGTAATCCATTTCAATACAAAAGTATGCCATTAACACACGTAGATGATGTCGACTTCCTTTCTGCCAAAGGGCTAAGGTATTGTTGTGAATATCACCACTGCATACATTACCAGTGATTTGGGGCCAAATGATAGTCCTTTGTTTCATTATTGCTGATGATGGAAGCCCGCTTAGCGAGTCGTTATGTACATTGCCCTTGAGTGCATGAGACCAACTTACGGAGTAGCTAATCTCAACCTAGGAATGTATAACTTCTGCTATCTTAAGTATGGAAAGATTAGATTTTGATTGATTGTAACGCGAGAATCAGATCCATCTATTAGCAAGCGCTTTGTCGTAGGATGTAAAGTCCGGATTTTCTTTTTTTTCTGGTAATTATATATGTTTGTATTGAAAATGGATAAACACAGAAGGTGAGCATTCTAGTTCAAGGTAGAGTACCTAGAGTACATAGTAAATATTGGCCACCCGCGTTTGTAGTCAGCATTTTGATAAGATCCTTTTTATTTTTTTTCTGGCCTCATCTCCGCAGGCCGTAACACCACGCTCTTTTTACCGAGTCTTTCAATCGCATATACCCTGGTCGCCCACCTCCTGGCTCCCTCTCCCCGTATTACAGCCTACTTGCTACGGCAAGGAAAGCTCAAACTCCCTCCAAAACCCACAATGGCTCTCATGAATGTCGATCAAGTTCCCCCCACCAAGCCCGTTGAAAAGACCGCGGATGTTCTTGTAACCCCCTGCGATCCGTTGAGCGTGCCTTACTATCTGGAAGATGGATTTCGTCGCGTCAAGCCATATTATTACACTTACAACACCAACTGCAAGGAGCGATGGCGGGGTCGCCAGTTGGTCGAGATCTTCACATCTGAGTTTCGCGATCGGAAGCCTGAATACTATGTACGTTGGTCTAGACAATGATTGGAGAATTGCAAACTGACCATTACCAGAGATCTGCCCTCGAAAAAGGCCTTGTCCAGGTCAACGGCGTCAGAGCCTACCCAGAAACTAGGATAAAAAACGGCCAGGTCATCTCCCACACCCTCCACCGCCACGAACCCCCCGTCACAAGCCTCCCCGTCGGAATCATTCACGAAGATGATGATCTCCTAGTCATTGACAAGCCCGCTGGTGTCCCTGTACATGCTGCAGGCCGGTACCACTTCAACTCGGTCGTCGAAATTCTGCGCTCCGAGCGCGGTACCGAATGGACCCCTCGCCCGTGTAACCGACTTGACCGATTGACTTCCGGAATCATGTTCATTGGAAAGCACGCCAAGGGTGCTGAGAAAATGGCCACTGCCCTCAAGTCGCGCACGGTGCAGAAAGAGTACGTCGCGCGCGTCAAGGGCAAGTTCCCTGACGGCGTGGTTGTCTGCGACCAGCCTATCATGCAGGTTAGCCCGAAGCTGGGTCTCAACCGTGTGCGCGCCACCGGTAAAGAAGCTACAACCAAGTTCCGACGTTTGGCCTACTATCCCCCGAAGACGTACGAGCCCAACACCACTGGAGAAGATGGGCGTCCTGCTACCCCACCCATGTTACTTTCCAATGAAGATGAGGGATACAGTATCGTGCACTGTTTCCCCCTGACTGGCCGCACCCACCAGATTCGTGTTCACCTTCAGTTCCTAGGCCACCCAATCAGCAACGACCCCATCTACTCCAACCGCCGTGTTTTCGGGCCCGAGCTCGCTAAAGCCGACTCTAGCGCGGAGCGGGACGAGGAGATTGTGGCGCGTTTATCCCTCATGGGTAAAACTGAGATTCCTGACACGGTCTCTTACCGTACGCACCTGACCGCGGCACCCAACCTACCTCCTGGAACCGACCCGGTCCTCGTAAACGAGATCATGCACCGGGAACAGGTAGCCGCGGCTGAAAACTACGAAAAGCGCAAGGGTGAGAAACTGTCTGGGACATTCTGCGATGTCTGCGGCACAGAGCTCTACTCAGACCCTGGCGTCCATGAGCTTGGTATCTTCTTGCATGCTGTCGCATATGCCGATAAGGATGGTGATTGGGGATACCGCAGTCCCATGCCTCATTGGGGCTTGCCTCCGCCGGGCATGGAGGGTCCTCAGGAAGTTCCAGACTGGGTTCCTGCTGCTGAGGGTGAAGAACATGTCATTGGCAACGGAATTATTCCTCCTGGCTTGGGTGATGAGGATCACGCTTTGGATGCCCAGACTGGCTCTGTGCTTCTGGAAGGTGTTGGCCTCGTCAATATCGCCGATGCTGCGAAGATGGCGAATGAGCCTCCTCGTGAGGCTTCCGAGGCTGCGGTTGCTAATTGATTTTGATACTTGGGATTTTCTTTCTTGCAAATACCTTTCGTCTATATCATCTTTCTCGGGGCGTCTGTCTGCTTTTGTGTTGATGATACCATCTACTGACTCGACCATAGAGAGGTTTTCTGAGAAAACTTCACGGGCATAGCGTCTTGATCTTAGCTCATTCTTAGCAAATAGATTTGCCGCTCGATAAAATTATACATGAAAAACTATCTTCAACCTTGGAATCTTCCAAACTTGCCTACATAGAATAAAGCTCATGATTGTCTATCTAGGTACCCGTCATGTTTGGCTTGCTGTTGAGGCTAAGCTGACATTTGGGCAGTTGCTCGATAATGATTTATAACTATGCTCTGTGTCTCCTTTACTATGATAGATTGTTCCACCTGGCGAAGCTTTTCAAAGTTGCAAAATTCCAAGGTTGGGGAAATGGTGAAGGAATCCTCGAAGCATTGAATGGTTCGTCCGAAGATATATATTCCTGTCATTGGCCAGCATAACGATTTTTTTGACATAAACCTTTCGGCAAACAAACGCATTTAAATCTATATTTGATCACTTAAATGAGCACAACTAACTACTGGGAGCCTCAGTCTCCTCAATCAATCTAATAAGCTTGTGTGACTCCAAGAAAAGCGAAATATCGGCTTTGGACTCAACCCTGCGAAGATGATAATTAGCGAGATCGTCTACATATGCAAAAATCAAAGAGACGAGCTCACCAAAAGGATTTGGTCGCTATAAAATCACCCGTGATAATGCCACCTTCTGCTTGGACATCGTCCATTGTTCTAGGTGAAATTTTAGTTCGGCATAAATTTCGAAGGCGGATGCGGAACATACTCTTCAACCTGCTCGGGGGTGCAGTATTCATAACACTGGACCTATAAGACGACGGGAAAAATGCTGAGTGACATGTTTTTTCTTTCAATGAAACATCAAAGCAACTCACAACGTAGGTAGGCATGTTGGTCTGGGGTACGAAAGAGGTAGGGTTGAAGGACTGGAGGGGCGCAAGCTACGTAATTGAACCCCACGGGTAGGGCTCTTCACCTCTTAAACAGTCCAATCGTGTCTGATTCTTTACCTATATCTATCTTGCTATGATATAATGCTATAATATAAATACTTAATATATTCCAGTCAATGCTATATACGCCAATATCTCTACCGAAATGCAAACCAAGCCCGAGGTTGTACACGCTAAACGCCGATGATAAATACCCAAACTGGACCCTGTCCAGTGAACCAAAGGCTCACGCAGTCACCCACGCTGCCTTTGAGCAGTGTTCCATCTGCCCAACCGCAGCATCGACACGCCATAGCATCGTCCCCGATTGCGTGCCAGGTTGAGGCTTGCCACGCAGGACTGCTTTGGAGGTTGTGCAGCGGAAGTCTGCGGTCAGGCGGTATTGGATGCACTCTGTATTTGCGGCGCAGTAATCGGCGCAGGCGGCTAGAGTAGCAGGCGTTTGTGGGCCCTTGTAGTCTTCCTTATCATCGCCTTCATTGGCGAAGTTGTCCCAGTTGTCCAGGTGGTGTGCGAGGGTTGGGCGGATGAGTTTTTGGAAAACGTCACTGTATGTAAGCACAGACGAGTTTGTCTGGGTAAGTTCATTAGCAATATGCGTCAAGTAGATAATTCGAAACTGATGACCCACCTCTGCAAACCACTGCTGCTCAAATGCATAGAACCGATCCACATCCGCAGGCGTCATGTGGTGGAACGTAAAGGGCGCATAACACCAAGGCTGCTTCGCAAAAGCCTCATGCAGCATATCCTGCTCCCAAACCGACTGGGTGGTAACATGAGGCCAGGACCAAGTGAGTGGAACGCCGGCGGCAGCAAGCGCCATACCGAGAACGCAATCACCCGCCCATTCCCGGTCCGTGATCTTTTCCCACTCCTCGACATGTAGTGCATGGAAGTCCGCCACGGAATGAATGGCCGCGTGCGACAGCGCAAACCCGGACCCGCCGTGCGCAAACAAATTCGACCCGATCTGCATCTGGTTCCCGAGATAGAGGCGATCCTCGGGGTTGAAGTGGCTCAGCCAGCCGAGTAGATTCGGCCAGATCGGGTATGTATCCGCTTCGAGGAAAACGAACCATTTGGCGTCCGGCTGGGCGTGGCGCGCGGTCTGGATCATCGGTAGAAATTTCCACTTGTCAAGCTTCCAGCCCGGATTGTCCATCATTCCCGATGGGCCATTTGCGACTTTTACGTGGTCTTGGGACGTTAATGCTGCGCGACCGCCTGTGCGGGCGCGGTTGTAAAGGGCGAAGTCTCCGCTGCTTTGCTTTAGGGTGTCGGAGACGTTGCGGAAGACGTCAAAGGTGCGCACGCCGGCGATCTCTTCTTCGTAATCGGAGACAATTATTTTGTGAGGGATGCAGCGGAGGGTTGTTCTTAGATGTACGGGAACTTTGTCCTGCGCTTCGGTGATGCCGGTTTTGATCACTACGAAAACATCGTCTATTCCGGTGAGCATCGGACATGACGGTGGTACATGGCCGGTTCTCAGATCAGTTTGGTTGCTTGACTCGATTGTTAATCCTGGGGCGGGCTCGATCACGTCCTGCGTGGTTGCTGACCCGAAATCGGCCCGGAAAAAATGGATAATCAACATTATCAAGACCGCCGGGGCCAGTATAGGTCCCCAGCGACCATATCGGGCTGGGAGAGGCATAGCGGAAGAACAGGGTCCAAGGGTCCAAGGTCCTAAGTGTAAAGCGAAACAGAAACAGAAACAGGATCGGAGATATTCTTTTAATGGACAAAATCCTCGGCCTCCATGTCCAGCTGGAGACCTAAATATAAACACGAAGGCAAGTACAGGATTCGATCTTCAGGAGGGGTCTCAGTTCTTTAAGTTGTTGGCGTGGGGGCTGATACAAGTCCCTGAGAGGCTGACATCTAGGAAAACCAACTACTTAATGTGGCACCACTTTTCTCGACTAAGGACGGAGTAATGATGCGTTGGGGTCCTGCCTGCAGGTGTCAGTAACTGAGACAAAATTGACAAATCAGGTCTTTGTGTCTTGTTCGGAGTTGGCTTTGCTCGGATCTTTTTCCAAGCCGTGTTACCGTCCTTCGAACTTAACATAGCACCTTCTAGTGGGTCCATCGACCTGAAACGTGTGCAAAACGGTTGGATTCGTATGCTTTATAGGTCAAGAGGTTTCAGTTGGACTGAGATGAGGGAATTATAGATAGCTAATACGTATGTAGATTGGTAATTTTAGGGTTACGATTTTTAGCACGGGTACAATCCATGTCTACAATCCGATGCACCTGTACCAGAAGGTCCAGATCAGATTAGAATCTGCCACACCTTAATTGGTCAAGTGTCTTATATGAACCTGGAAAAAGGGATTTTTGCAATTTTTGTTGTCATTTCAGAGAACAATTCTCTCGCTGTGAAGCGCCCGGCACTGTGACCAAGCCCGAGCCGGACATGCCATGGACAATCCTTAAATTTCGTAATCGCCAGAGAGATGGTATCACCATACAAAATACCCCGACCTCGTGCACTGAATATCCCACCGATAAAAAGAAACAAACTTTTGGGTTTATTCCATTTATGCCTCGGTGGTGACACGGCCCTTGGCGTTGGTGACCTTGACACCGAGAGCCTTGGCCTTCTCGACAATCTCGACACGCTTGCGGGAAGAGACGGCGTGGCCGATCCTGTAGTGATTTGTTAGTCAATTGAACGTAGTGTAATCGCAATAGCATCTCTAGGACGTGAGACTCGATGGATGAAACGTACTCAGCAGCGTAAGTACGGTTGTGCATGAGAAGGAGCTCAACGTCCTTGGTGTTGTGGACGAGGAAAGCCTTGTGGCCGGAGGGCATCATGTGGCGGGTCTTCTTGTTGGAACCGTAACCGATAGAGGGCATAGCCATCTGGCCCTTGAAACGGCGGCGGACGGCATTATCGATTCCCTTAGGCTTGCGCCAAGACTGACCAAGACACTTGAAGCGGTCAGACTGGTGGCGGTTGAAGCGGTTGGTGCCTATAGCAGTTGATGTCAGTCCTCCGATCGTAGATTTGTGTCGCCTTGGCTTCCATGGCCGTGAAAAATATCGCCCTTCGAATCTTCCAAAACAACTCGTCGTTTTCCACAGCTATCCTCCAATTGGCAATATATTCCTCCTTCGTTGTCCTGGCTGGGCTTTCTTTCATTGTGTCGAAGATCGAAGGGCGATGGTATCCAGAGTACGGGGAGGGATTGAAATCGGGAACATACGCTTCTTAACGATAGGGATGTGCTTCTTAGCGGCGACCATCTGGAAATAAATTAGTGATTGGAAAGTAAAGAGGGTGCGCATGAGAACTCACCTTGTCGGTATTGCTGGGTCTCGCCGGGCGTTCGAGAGTTGTCGAGTCGGAGTTCAATCTCGAAAACTTCTCTCATCAGGTTCTCCCGCAGCAGAGTGGGAGACCCACACTAGTGCGCTTTGGGCGAGCTAAGCGAAGACTTATGTCAGCATTAGGCGTAGGGTTGACGTAAAGCCCTACTTTGTACCCAAAATAGGCTTAGTGTGATAGCTCCGCACTGGCCAATAACATCAAGTCTTCATCTATACAAATGTAGATGATTTCTACCATTTGATTATACATATCCATGAATGACTACAAAATTGTATAAGCGTGTCTTAGGATACAGTTTCATTTGAGGCTCACAACACTATTTAAATCTTGGATTGTTTGACAATTTGACTATCACTGCAAATGTAATTGAACCTTCTCACCGTCCTTCTCGCCACTTCGCAACATCTGCTCCAAAATCTCAAGATCTGCCAACGCTTCCTCGGCAGATTGTCTGCTAGCAGGTCTTCCGTTGAAGATCGAGTTCGCAAATTCCGCCACCTCCGGCGCAACACCCTTGTGATCAAACTCAATGTGATGCTTCGTGCCGTTGACTGTCACATCATCGAAGTTCAATGTGACGACACCTTTCTCACAAGAAACTTCGAAGATCTGATCGCTAAATGAAGATCCCCATGATAGGGAAAGAATACCCGTAGCACCAGACTCGGTCTTCAAAACGGCGTCGACGGTATCAACCGGTGGCAGGGACGGTTGCTGCAGTTGTGATTGCGCCGACAAAATGCTAAGACGCTCTGAGCCCAGAAGCATGCGCAGACCAGCCGTCATATGCACACCACCGTCCAGGAGGAATCCACCCTGGTACTCGGGAGTCTTGCGCCAGGCAGTTTCTATCGCAATTGATCAGTATCCGGGGAGATTATCTAGGTAGGACAAAGGCATACGGAAGTACTTGTTCTCGGCATTCATCAAGCTGTGAACATTGACCCGGAAGTTCTTGACCTTGCCCAGCTTGGAGACCTGCTCTGCCGCAAAGAGGAATTTGGTCAGGTACCGGAAGTTCTCGCCTACGGCCCAGAAAATCTTGCTAGTATCGATATTACTCTTGTACCATTGCAAGAGCTCCTGGGCTGTGGCGACATCTTTCGCGATGGGTTTCTCGGACAAAACATGCTTGCCAGCCAACAAAGCCTTTCTAATAAAGTCTGGCTGGACCAGAATGGGAAGGCTATCATCCAGGTTAGCATTTGCTTGTGTTTTCCAATTGAGCAAAATGTAAATTTGGGTAGCGATCACATACGCAATGATCACAGCGCCGATATCTGAACGAGCCAGGATATCGGCGTAGGACTTGCCAGATCCCGAGTCTTCAGAGTAGAGATCAACTCGGGATGTGGTACTGGCGAGGTCCTGGGCAGATTTCAATGACCGGGAATAGATGGCCTTGAGCTCAAAGTTTGTCGCAGCTTGAACAGCTGGCTGTTTTGCTATTTGGTTAGACACAGTATGCGCAATTCCGTTGGAGATATCATACCAAGTGCTGCTCTTTGGCGAAAAGGCCTATAGGTAATGTTAGTCCAAAGCCCGAAAGCTACATGACAAGAGGTGCATACCGCTTCCAATAATAGCGACTCCGATAGGCATGTTGTACTATGTGGAATCTATAAGAATATATGAGAGATTATAAAATATAAAATGCAGATGCTCAGGGTCTTAAAGGGAGGCTCGAGGTGGGGTTACCTAGAACCAATTCTGGCCACAATCTGGTGGGAAGGTCCAACCTCACTGCACGTCATTTGCTGAGGAAATTATATCGGATCCGCTTCCTATTTCAAATTCTTGTCGGTTCCCTTGATTGTTCGGGCCTAGTCCTGCATATTGCTCAGTGGCATACGACATGTAAACTTCTCGGGATTCTTGCATGGACAAGTCGTCATCCAAAACGGAGTCTCCGTGATTAAAGGGCCTACTGACCAACTCATCAAATTAGGTATGCAAAATAAAACAAAATCCACAGATTAAACCCAATTTCACAACCCTGCGCCGAAAAATCCAATAGAAGAAACGAAACGGGAATATCCCACCCAAATCCCAAATACACGCCGGGTGTCATATCCTTCGTGAAACAATCCAGTCATATCAATCATAAAAAGCCCGCCTGCAAACCATGCAGGTGAAACCCGAAGCTTGCAGCCATTGGTTATTAATTCACCAAAGCTCTCAGCCGTTCCACCCGCGCCATCGCCTTTTCCAACCTCTCCAGTCTCCCGCGCTTCTCGACATCCCTGCGCTCGAGCACTGCAACCCTCTCCTCGAGCTTTGCGCGCGCCTTTCGCTCCTGTGCAACCATCTCGTTCGCCTGGCTGAACAGCTGCACTGTCAACTCCTCCAGCTCGGAACTGGCCTGTGAAAGCTGTGCCTCGGCGGCTTTGCGCAGGCTCTGTTCGCGCTCCAGTGCATCTTGTAGTTCGGAAGTGTTGTCGCTGCTTGCTGGGGAGGTGTGCATGTGCTGAAGGGGGGTCGTCGGGGTTGTTGGAAGGGGAGGGGGGCCGCTGGAAGTTGCGGGTGCGCTGGCGGGGGTAGCGCTGCCACGCCGGTAGGGTAGGAGGGAGGCCAGCGTTGTTAGGCGGCTGTGGTAGGTTTGTGATTGGGGTTGGGATTCTGAGGAGCTCGGGCGCTCGACTGGGGTTTGGAGTTGCTCTTGGGAGGAGGTCGGTCGTCCTCCGAGAGAAGAACGGGGTGTGTCATATGTTGGTTGGGATTGGGAGGAGCGTAGGCGTTGTTCGTACTCCTTGAGTTTGATGGCTGCACGATTGTGATCGTGTTAGCGGTAAGTTTATTGACTGTAATTCTCTTCGTCCGACACATCGGGGGTTGGCAGTATGATCGTAGACCACACTGTAGACTACAGAGCGGAGCGCATCAAGTCTGCATGAACTCACCTGTAACCGAAGCGCGCGCTGTCAACATATGCACTTGCCCCTCCAACTCCTGGATTCTGTCATGTGCCCCGGAGTCACCTGGGGGAAACCCTTCACCCCAACACATGGGACATTGTGATACGCTGACGCCTTTCATATTCGGGGTTCCAAAAAGAGTGGTGGTCGTGAAAGTAGATGTAGCCGTAGCCGACATGACAACATGGGGCTTACCCCGGGATTTGCAGGGTTTAAATTAAAAGTACTTAAAAGTACTTTTGTAGGTTGACAGTGAAAGTCGAGAGTACCTGAATAGGTGAAGGTCAGAAGGGTAGTTTTAAAGATTGGAATCATGAAATCATGAAACAAGTCCCTTGACTACCCAAGGATCGTTTCGAAGGGGGTTTCAATTAATTTCATACCGGCCACTCTATTTCTTGGCCAATCGTATAAGAGTGGTTCCTGGATGATCTCATGTTTCTCTATTGTAATTTTGATTCAACTACAAGCAATATATAATAAGGTATAGGATATCTATACTCTATTTCGAAAACAGAATAGAACACATCTACGGAGTAAATACCTGCATCTATGTAAATTATGAAAGTCGTACATATCTCATGTCACCTGCAGGTTCTTCTAGCACTGAGACTAGCGAGTCTATATTTATACCTTGCCGTTTTTCATTGGCACTAATTTTTCTTTGTCTTAGATCTAGACAAAACTTTTTTCAACAATTCAGTGGGATTCATCTTCAATATTGTACAGGTACTAGTATTTATCTATGTATATCGCATGGCTTCGCATGGCTATAGATGAAACTGATCTTCAGGGCTACCTAAATGTGATACACTAGGAGTCTGGGAGACCTAGTGTTATGAGGCAATTATTTCCAAAAATGATATCCTAGTAACTGTCAACGAAGACTGCATTTCATTCTATGCTAAGCGGAGATTCAACTCAGGGGTTAGTACGCAGAAATGTGAGCAAGCATGAAACAAGAATTAACTCTGCATACCATGCAACGATCCAAAGAATTGAACTAGAGCAGTCAGAAAGACAGGACATCGAAGAGATTCAGAACAAGATTGGTCGTCAACATTGTGCTCATGAGGGTACTCATAAATCTCATCTCTCGCAGAAAGTCGTGCATCTTGTTCGCGTTGGCCGAGAACAGACCAGAAAAAGGAGAGGGTCAACACCCCAACTCCCAGTCCGACACAGCAGACAGGGACGAAAAAGAAACAGGACCACCCGTGGTCAATCGAAAAATGAAAATGAAATAAAAGAGACAAGAAAGGGAACAGGAAAAATGGAACATGTAGTATTCATTTCGCATCGGCTGTAATGGTCATGGGCAGATCACACGAGTCACGTATGGGAATAATAGCTAGATAGCGAAACAAGACATAGACATAAAATGGAAACTTTTACTGCCAGATCATCGAAGCGAGGACTAGATGTGTATCGGGGAAATCTAGTCCACGAAAAATAGGAAGGGAGATCATGAAACCAAGGGACAAAAGAGGTGAGAAAGGGGGATGTGGAAAAGGGAGAATAAAGCTCAATCAGAATAGCAACCTGTCATCTGCGCTGAAGATGGCGGGTGAGGGTGGTAATTATGAGTGTGACAACCCTACCTGGCAGGTCATATATTGAGCCCACCTGGAAGAATTGAAACTCGTTCAGGTCTAAACCACCCACGTACCGAAAAAAATCCATCACTCAGACTAGACGGCCGTTGCTTTGGGGTATCGATAGGTTTATGCGAATCCACGACCGGTCTGTCCACGACGGTTGTTACGCGGCTTCACGCTGACCGTGCTCCAACCCTCGTCATCATCGCCAGCAGCAGCAGGAGCCTCGGTAGCCGGGGCTCTCCAGTTGCCGTTGGCAGTCTCCTTCTGTGCCTCGGCGGGGGCTGCCGCCGTCTCCTCGGTCTCCTTGTCGGCAGTCATGTCGCTCTCCTCGCCGGTGCGCTGGAGGATCTCGAAGTTGCCACCACCCTTGGGGGTCTCAAGAGCATCCTTGCCGTTGTGATCCACAGGAGGTGCGTTTTCCTTGAGCTGCTTTTGCTTCTCAGCGTGCTTCTCGGCCTTCTCGGCCTTGGCCTTCTCAGCAGCCTCCTGCTTTTGGCGCAAGCTAAGCTGGCGCTTCTCCTCCACCTGACGCTCACGGGTAGCAGTGTCGATGGGACGAGCGGCACCGAAGGGGCTAGCCTTGGAGTCACCGGTTGAGGTGGGGGTAGCGGTGTTCTCTGAAACGGTACGCTTGGACAAGTTCAACTTGGGGCGGCCAGCGGGGGCAGCGGGTGCGGCGGGAGTGGCCGAGGGGGAAGCGGGGCTGGCGGGCTGTTCCTTGGGGGCTTCATCGGGGCGCATCCGTGCGCGCCACTGGTTATCCATATCAGCGGCAGTGGGGGTGGGCTCCGGGCGAACGTGCTCGGGGCGGGGAGGGCGAGAGCCCTCATCTTGGGATCGGCCCTCGCCCCAGGCGGCCTCGTTCCTCCGGAAACTGGAGCCGGGTCCATCGTTGCTAGTGGGGCGGCCACCCTCGCGGGGAGCGCCAGCAGATGGCGAGAGAGGTCCTTTGCGCTCCCAGTTGTTGAAGTCGCGGGGCTTTCCATCGGACTCGAAGTTGCTGCGGCGGCCACCGTGGTCGCTGTTGGCATCGGAGGCGGGATCCATGCCACGTCCAAAGCTGGAACGGTCTGGCACACGGCGCTCGGGGATCTCGGGGAGGGGGCCACGGCGAGACCAGTCAAGGTCTTTGCCTTCCATACGAGATTCCTTGGCTATGAAATTGTCAGTTAAAATGTTGATAAGATATCGAAATATACTCACGAGGCTCTGCGACGCTGGTACGGATCGACCGTCCCTGGAGAGAAGAGCCGGACAGGTCCAAAGCCTTCTTCAGGCCCTCGACGGTCTCAAACTCCACATATCCGAAGCCCTTGGGGGCCTTGGTCAACTTGTCTTCCACAACGCGGACATTTGTCACACCACATCCAGTGAAAAGCTCGGAGATATCGGCCTCGGTAGCCTCGAAAGAAAGGTTGCCAACGTGGCAAGTGTAAGGGGGCTTGGTAGGGAGATCGAGAGGCTCTCGGACGGCATATCCACCTTGGCGCTCTAGATACAGTCTGTCAGATCTTGTCCTGCATATCTGCGGAAAACTATCATACCGAATCCGCCGGGAGGGCCGGAGCCGTATCCCATATCACCTGTGGGGCGACGCTGGAAGGATGAGGTCAAGGGTTGAGCTGGTCATATTGTAAGTAAGAATTTCAATCTTTCAGGAGATTATTATCGGGACACTGCATACTAGCTAAAAATGTTGTTAGTATAATTCCATGAGCTCAAAGTGGGGGATCTGCAATGTACCTGGAAGGGGCATATCCTCCATTTCATCAGCCCAAGAGCCAAGGCCTAAATAAATTCGTCAGTAACCACCTCTGTCCAAATTTTCCGGTCACTCACTTTCATCGGCCAAGAAGCTGCTCATAGACATCTTCTGAGCCTTTTGTTTGGGAGCTGAACAACATTATTCAGTCAGCGATCGCCCATGAATATTCAAGTCGATATTATCGGTGGAAATGAAGAAAGGTCTGGAACGCACCCATGATTGCGGTGAGGTTGGGGAAACGCGCCAACAGATTTTCTGCGCGCTTCTCAGGTAAAAAGAAAAGTTAGAAAGTTGGTGACACCGTCTGGAGAGTGTCAGTAAATTTTTGAGAGTAGTTGGTAGTTCAATATCTGGAAACCCACAGTGGAAAAGTTGGTAGAGGGGAAGTCGGCTGCGGCATGGAAGTGGACGGGTTACTAAAATTTTAGTGATGACGCTAGCCCAATCAGAGCCGCGAGATCAGGTCTATACAAATATCTCTTACTACACTTGGAGATTTCGAGATGATTGGATGGAAGATTGGTTAAATATTAATTGGTAATTAGTGAGATGTCCAATGTCTCCTCTAGATCTTCAAAATGTTGATCTCTTAACTTGGATATCTTGTGTCTGTATAGATTTCCCCACCACACTCGGCTAAAAAAAACATATCCCATAACGTAGGTCGAATCAAGAATACATACTTAAGCAACTATATAATCCGATTGAGTTGGTTATTGGCCATAGAGTATCCATAGGAAGTTCACACTCCAAGCAGTTCGAATAAGCTTAAGTCAATGGTAGGAATCGGTGGTATAACAAGTCCGACATAGATCATGGCCCTTAGCCTACTCGCTACCTAGGTATGCTTTTTCTCTATCCTGGAGGGGGTGCATCTACCCATCAGATGGCCACAATCATGTTACCAACCTTCCAGGGCCCAATCTTCCAAGATTGTAATAATTAAAAAGCTTATATTGTCGATTGACTATCGTGGCATTTTACTCTCTGGAAAGACAGCGGCCTTTGGTGACTCCACGGAGCTTTAAAAACAAATGAGACTTTGAAATGCATTAGGCAAAAGGGCAAGATGAATCATGAAAAAAGCAACATATGAACCAATCTTATCCTGACTGCATGCCTGCACCGATAATATGTGTCTGCTTCACAAGAAACCAAAGTGCAATGCCATCGTATCTGTTTTAGCTTCCGTGTAGAATAACGAACCTTGGAACCCTCCATCAAAATTGGTAAGGCCTTGTATAGATTTCAGTCAAACGCCATAGACTCCAATAAAACCAAGTACAAGGGTGTTCTTGGCATGCATGCGTTTATGTATGAAATGGATCAAAAGATTTCTTGGAAATGCTTTATTTTGACGTGATTTTATGGCTTTAGCAAAACTCAAGACGAGTTATTCGTAGTGAATCGGGGTAAAAAATAGTTACTATATAGCTTCGGCATCGGTGCTATAGATAATCCGATCATACCTGATAGCCTCCAGAGGTTGGAACCACGTAGGTTTATGTAAAGTTCACGCAAGTGTGTGTGTCAGTAGGAAAAAAGGATTCTATTTGTTCCACTTAGGTGTCATCCCTTATACCTAGGTTACATTCTATTAATGCCTAAGGCACTAATAAGCTGTCCAAGTCACGTGCTAAATATGATTACGTAATTACATTGGATGTCTCAACGTTGGAAGCTTTCGTCAACTACTTTGGGATCTCGATAAAAAAGGAGTACTTATGCATCTATCAATTTAATCACAACATGGGTGACTTAACCAAGAAAGATGGGGACTTCCAGTCCAATGCCCTTCTGTCTGCGGCTAAAGTGGGAGCCCTCACTGGTTAGTATTTCTTTCTCAGTATCTTGACATAGAAAACTTTATAGGAGTTGATATACTGATATCCAACATAGGAGCCGCGGGATTAATCTACGGAGGAGCTGCAGGAGTGATCAGGTCCCCCAACCCTATGATCCATTCCTTGTCATGTGGCATCCACTGGACTGTATGCGGCTCAACCTTTTGGTGTATGTGGATACGCCCTATTTTTGTATTGCTGGCGTCTAACCTTATCCTTGATATAGGGCTACGAAGCAATATTATCAGGCATCACTATCAAGACAAAGCATCACCTCAAGAACGCATGTACGCGAGTGCTCTATGCGGTGGTATCGCAGGAGGAGGTGTGACGAAGCTAATGGGTATCGTATTCCTGAATGCAAGGATGTAGTGTGGTATTATCTCTAACCAATATATATAGGAGGCCGGCTGGTCCCGGGCACCATTATCTTCTCCCTACTGGGTTACTGCGGCCAAAGCGTCTTCAACCGCATCGACGCTTGGCAAATGGAAAATGCTAACACCACAAGGAAACCCTTCATGCAGTGGATGGCTGATTCCAAATGGATTCCTTTGCGCAGTCTGTCTGATCAAGAGTACAGAGACATGTTGAGTGAGAAACTCCTCAGCATTGAGGCCGAAATTGCCTTACTCGACGACAAAATTGAGGAACTAGAGAAGTCTCGACCGGTTTCTGCCCCAACTTCACAATAACTCTGTCGCTACCCTATATCTACTATGGGAATAGCGACTCCTGCATATTGCGTTACACTGCCCACCGACATTTTGGGCAACCAGTGTCTTGTCATGTCCTTGAACTGCAGTGCACGGACATTTGGAAGCATGATTGCGTTATGTTGAACCATCAAAGCGAAGAACATAAAGGAATGTAAACTTTGTATATATAAGTACGATGTATGATATCAGCGAAAGAATTCAAAGAAAGGAAGCCAAGGAGAAGTGAAGATCTCCCCTAAATGGAATCTTGGGTCGCGTGTCGATCAACCACTAAAGAAATACCGATATGTATATTGTAGAACCTCATATCCAGAAATCGTAGCCGCATAAAATCCTAAACATCAATAGATTCTAAGCGAATTTACAAGGTTATGATGAGAACAAAGGGTCATAAAGTCCACAGTGCATAAAAGAAGAAGTAAAGAGAAGCCGGTTTTGGAAATGTAAGCTCCGCTTTTTTTTGGCCAGTTCCTCCGACCTGTCCGAACTTATTGGTAGCCCACCTGTCATTCTCCCCTACTCCGATCTTATGAGTCGAACACACTCATTTTATTTGCACTAAACACAATGTCCATCCTACTGGGACTTTGATGAGCGTCAAAAGTCGTTGCCGTTCTGGAGGAATTATTGACCGCAGACAGACAGTAGAGATTGGGGGAGAACAATTGACACGTTTATACCCTCACCCTCAATGTGCGAGTTGAGATTGCCCATCTGAGATCAGCCCCCTGCTGATCGCGAATCGCGATGACTCTCTTTAATCCGACCTCAATTTTGGTGGGGTTTCTCCTGCTCTACCTATCCTCCTTTTTCATATTCGCTATCGTCCGGATCGCGACGGGAATCTCCATTCAACGGATCGGCTACTTCTCGCTGCGCCGAATCGCATACACCCCAAAAGAAGGACTGCATATCGAAATTCGAGGCCTCGGGCTCACATTACATCCTCCGTCATTCGCCCAGCCAACATGGATCAGCATTCGGTTGACGGAATTGAAGGTCACTGTGGACTCGACGACATTGGGGCAAGGAAAACGCGAAGCGCCTCGCGGAATATTGGAGTCTCCTAGTCCTTCGAGCCCCTCCGAGGAACGTGCCGCGCCCCAGGCTGGAAGAAGCAAAACATGGAGGGCCTTAACCCGAATCAAGGAACGGCTGAAGAGGCTACACCGGCAGATCAATTGGTTGGCTCTTGTGGATGTGACTGCTATCAACACTATCGTCCATTTTGTCAATGCTGGCCAGATTCAGATTGGATCGCTGGCCCTGTCGGTTGATACTCGGAGCAAGATGGTGGAGCGAGGCAAGTTATTTCGTCGCAAGAAGGACATGTCACAGGACCAACGGCCGGCCGAATGGATCATGAATGTTCAGAATATTTTGCTTAATGTCGACGGCCGGGAACCTACTGAAATATTGGATAACGTTGGTGTGAATCTCCATGGACTTCTTCACAAGGAGCTGGACGGACTCAGAGACGTTTCGGTGGCCCTAAAAATTGGACGTTTGCACATTCCATACGACGACATACGCCTAATGTTGCAGCACGTCAAACCCGCGCGCAAGTCCACCAAAGGATCGGCAAATACTGAATCCGACGACGAAATATCATTTGCCGACTACGTGGAGGAGCTCGACAAGCCTGGAAGCAGAGATGAGGCCCTTGTTCAGACTGTGGCGGACTCGAAGGACTTTGCAAGTTCCTTACTCCGTGGTATACAGGAGATCCAGATTGCTCTGAGCTTCTTCCGCGTCTCACGGAGCATACAGTCTCTCTCTGCAGGACAGAGCCCTGTATATCTGAATGTGGTGTCTCACGAGCTTGGAATTGATCTTCATCGTATGGATCAAAAGAGTCCAGAACATCGCATGTATTTCCAACGGGACGATGTCGCCCACCAGGCTCTTCTTGCTGCGATCTCTCTTTCGGTCAGCCTGGACGACAAATCTGGCGAAACAGATAATATTCTTTATGTTCCCATGGCTACGACAACCATCAAGACAACTTTGCCTTCGAAGACAGTGAACGCACTTGATGATGAGAACGCCGAAGAGCGAAACACTAATGTCCTTTTTGCAAATCTGGTCATTACATCACCCTCCATCGATCTTCAACCACAACACGTTTCTAGGCTTCTCAAATTGGCACATAACCGCGCCTCCACTCCCAGAGGGAAGAAGCGAGATAGTCATCACTTGATTACACGGCTGCTTCCGAAGGCCAGCATTAAACTATCTGTTCATGAACCTGTGGTCAGGTTTGTTCTCCCAATCGAGAAGGAGTCTGATACTCCCGACGACTACAACCTCCTTATCTCCTCCATCTCCTCTATTTCACTGGATATCGAATCCTCCCATTCCTCTGAAGGTGGCGCCCACTACTCCCTTTCCTCTGTCTACCGGGTCGCCTCCCACAAATTTTATTATCAAACCCCTGCAGGCAACAAACATAACCTGCTCACCAACGAGAATCTGGAACTGAAGGCTCACTTGAATGCCACGCCAGAAGTCTGTGTGATCGCTTCTGGAAGCTTGAACGAGTGTTCAGTTCACATGATTGATGGAGATGTGAACCGTGGAATTCGCGAAGTTTTGCAACAATTCATCACCCAAATGCAATCTTCGAAGCGAGTGCCAATGCCAGCAAACGAAAGAAAGGCAAGTGTATTAAGGCGCATGCCTCGGTGGTTACTCCAATTCCAATTCGAAGCCACGGGGACTAGCGTGGAAATCGCGGGCGTGGATAGCACCGTTTCTGATATATCGCGTGGTGTGTCTCTGCAACTCCAATCATGGACGGCAGAATACAAAGCCCAGAAAACGGAAACAACTGTCGGTAGCATCGCCCGACGACGTACTCCCAGTCATTCCACCATCGGCGACGAATCGCCCTTTCGTTTTCCTCCAACATCCCCTCCCAAGGCCACTCACAACCAGCGGGGCGCTACAGATGGGCGGCGCTTGGCGTTCCACGCGCGTGGCTTCGATGGCTTCGTTATTGAGTCAGAAGATTACCTGGAGCCCGAACCGTTCTTCTCCTTGCCTCGATTTGAGATTGCGTTGAGCACTAACAGTGATCGCATGGGCCCGGTCTTGCACGTCACCTCTGTGTTCAAGGGCATCTACCTCCAATACTCATTGTATCGGTTCTACTGTCTTGGAGTAGCAGTCTCTGTTGTACAAGATGTACTCACACCTTTGCCGGACAAGCACCCCGAGTCTGCGCAAGCAAAGTCCAGGGGACCCGCTAGTGTGTCTTTACCACCACCTCCGTCCTATAAATGGTCTCCAAAGAAGGAGTTGGTTACATATGACGTGAAGGCAACAGTCTTCCAGCTAAAGGCACATTTGCCAAATGATCCTCAAATAATGATTCAGGTCTATGGAATTGCGGGTGCTTCTCAACGCCTTTCTACTCCCTTTATCAAAGCCAATCTTGTTCGCATGCACGCCGAAGCGCCCAAGATCAAGGGTGTCTGGGCGCGAATCGGCAGTATGAACAATGTCAGGCTAGATTTCCGAACTATGAAGATGAAACACGGCAACACTCTGGTTGAGGAAAAGTCCATTGATATATGGACGGACTTTATTCGAGTGGGCGTGCCGCATCACATGGTAATGCACCGCATTTTCGATAATCTGATCAACACTTCCAAAGCTTTCAAACAGCTTCATCATCGTTTCAAGAATAAATGCCGAGAATTTGGCTCGAAGAGAGAGCCAGAAGGCGCGAAAAAAGTGCCAAGGATATCCCTGCGCAGTAAAGCGCTACTCTTTGAGCTGGAGGACGACGGCTTTGAATGGAAGCTGGGTTGCATCTACCGGGTTGGCCTAACTGAGCAGGCTCAGCGAGTGGCCCGGGAAGAAGCCTTCCACTTGAAAACCCAAAAGGTCAAGGAATCGGACCAGCGACGTGCTACATCCCGACTGCGAGCCAAGTCGAGCAATCGGACACTACGCAGCGAGCGGACTAGCCAGGATACAAGGCGAAGCAGAAGTGCCGATGAACGAGCGAGACCAACTACCCAGGAACGCGGGAGAGGTCGGAAATACCGTTACGACACTGAAGGCGCAACTTGTCTCTCATCGGCGCAAAAGATCTCTGCGGATGCCGCTTGGGACCGTCTGCAACATTACAACGCCCAGGCTTGGAAGGAGAAGATTGACGCGGCGCTCAAGTTCCAGGGTACCTCCATCAAAGAAGTTAGAAATCTGTTCTCTGGCGCAGATGAGCCTCCTGCAGACGTAAAAGAGACAGAGACTATCCTTGCAATTCCAAATAGACCTGGTTTGATGTCAGCTCTGATCAGTGATGTCAGCCTTGTCATTGACAAGCCCTCATTTGCCATCGATGAACTCCCTGAATACTTGAACCGGATTGGAAAGGGAATGCCCCTGTCCATGCAATACGGCTTGCTTGTTCCAATGAGCTTCAACCTGGAAATGGGCGAAGCACGTGTCAATCTGAGAGACTACCCTCTCGATTTGTTGCACATTCCGGCTTTGCGCCCAGGTCAATCCCCAAGACTTCCCAGCTGGTCCCTGCGGACAAACTTTGTTATTGCAGAAGAGTGGCGTGACCATGAATCTGCCAGACAGGTCGAAGTGGAACTTGTCCCTGCTGCCGAAGGACCCGACGGCTCTCCCCGTCAAGCATACAAAATTCCGGTTTGGCGATCTGTCACACCGGTCAAAACGTACTCCGACCCTGTCATCGAGATTAATACAAGTTTACCAACAAGCATCTCATGGGGTGTCTCTTACCAGCCTGTCATTCAAGATATGATGAAGATCATTGAAGGTTTCACCAAGCCCGAGATTGATCCATCCGAACGGGTTGGGTTCTGGGACAAGATCCGACTGAGTTTCCATTCTCGAATCAGGGTTCTTTGGAAGGAAGATGGCGATGTTCATCTGCGACTGAAAGGCTCCCGTGATCCGTATGTGGTGACCGGATTTGGTAGCGGCTTTGTCATGTGCTGGCGACGGGACGTCAAATGGGAAATTCACACCAGTGATAATCCCATGGAATTCATGAGTGTGACGAGTGGAGAGTACGTCCTTGCTATTCCCGACTACAGCACGGAAGCACGATGGGCAAATGAAGCGAGCACCGAGGAGTTAGAAAACAGTTCAACATCCAGCGAGCAAAAGAATGCCGCTCACTTCAAGAAGGTGATCATGAAGCTGTCTGGCGATGTCAAATGGGCGGCAGGCCTGGTCTTTGAGCGGGACATCGACAATGATGCTCGATCCTTCTCCTTCAAACCTCACCATGAGGTTATTCTCAAGAACCCCAAGTTCGTCGACCCAGCCAAGCGCGCCAATTACGATGCCTACCGTGGATTCCGAAGCGACCACATCCATTTGTCTGTTTCGATCATTGCGCCGCATAGCAGAAATTGGTCTGTTGACAGCGTTCAGCCATCTTCAAGCTACAATACTGTCCACCTCACACCACGTTTCTTCACCCATTTCTTCAACTGGTGGTCTCTGTTCTCAGGCGTGATGTCGCTTCCTGTTCGACAAGGACCCCTCTGGCCAGGAGTCACAAAAACAAGCAAGAAGTTCAATCGTCATCTGGCAACAGTCAAATACAAGATTTTACTCGCGCCTTTGTTTATCGCCCACATCTACAAACACAAGGATCGGGAAGATTATACGGAAAACTGCGTTACGGCTACAGGTATCAAAGTTCGCCTTGATTGCTTGAAGCTTGATATTCATCAGCGCCGTGAGCAGATCAAAACACAAGCACGGGGTCGCTCAAAGCAGACCAGGACAAGCGCAATGCGTATCAACCAAGCTCAAATTGATATGCAGTCTGCGGACTTCCGAGCTGTTTCTGCCAGCATTGAAGGCACGAACGCGGAAGACATTGAACGCAACAGGGATGACATAATTTCTTCTTTCCAGCAGCCTGTTCCATCCGTGGACTTGTCTCGATTCACTATCCCTGATCATAACTTGGATTGGGTTGACATGGATGACTTCGTGGAGCCGGACTGGATCCTTCCACAGGAGTCAAATCCTCGTACCCAGATTTTACCCCTTGCCTTTACGCCACGCTTCACCTACTTCCGCAACACAGATCATGGCGATGTAGGACCCGACGAAACGGGCTACAGCAGCTTTGGCGATGAACCGACTCACGAGTGTGTGATGTCCGAAACAAACGATCCTCGCCGCGTTCAAATTGAATTGGTCAAAGACCGTCTTGCGACAGTAGAGGCCCAGATTCGCAATTATGACCGCACGATTGGAGAGCAGGAGCTCAAGCTCACAAAAGATGTAGATCCTGATGCGGCACTGAAAGCTGAACATGAGGTTTTCCTTCGACAGTCCGAGTCCTTGGCGAGACGACGGAAATTCTTGACCACAACCTTGAATCGCCTTGAGAGACATATCAACCGCGATGAGCGGACGGCATACGGCAATTCATTGGGCAACAATATGGCACCCAGCACAGCTTCTATCCGAACGGGGCGAACTGGTCAGGATGCTGAATCCACGACTGATGGCCGATCTTCGGGCCTGGATGGAATCTACTCTACTGCCAACGACGAGTTCGAGAGTGATTTCAACAATCGTTTCATGATCCACAATGTGCAGCTCAAGTGGAACAACTCGCTTCGAAACATCATCTTGCGGTACAGCCACCAGGTCAGCCAGCGGCGTGGATTCGTGTATTACATGTCTCGCCGGGCTGTCAAGTTCATTCTTGATATTGTCGAAGAACAAAACAAGAGCAAGCGAAAGCAACCTAAGATGTCCAAGACGCAAACACGAAGCTCCAATAACGACGATGAGGATGTCGAGGATCGCATCGAGCAGTTGTTGAACGATGCCAAACGCTATGTGAACGTGGAAGAGAATGATCCACCGGATTCGAACACTCAATCACCTTCCAACTCAGATGATTCGAGCGAGAAAAGCATTGCGCCCGAATTTACACCTCAAAACAGTTACCACTTGCGTCTCATTGCTCCTCAAATCCAGCTTCTCAGCGAGAAGAACCGGAAGTCGGTCTTGCTTGTTGCTGCCAAGGGCATGGAGCTTAAGGTTGTGTCAATCATGGATAAAGCACGTGTCGCGGATGACGTGAGCGGCTTGGTACAGCGCCGTTTCTCGCTTGAAATGGACGGTGCCCAGTTCTTCGTCGCTACACAGAAGAATTTGATGGCCAACTTGCAATTCTATGCTGGCAACAAGTACGGAAACGCGCCGGGATCGGCGTGGCCACCGTGGTTAACTTTGGAAGCCATGTTTGATTTCGAGTTAAATCCATTTGGGTTCTCTCGTATCGTGCAGAAGACTTCCGCCAGCCTACGCTACGACAAGTACAATAACCTTCGCCTCAAGTACAACGAAGAGGTGTCCAGGTGCCAAGGACCAGATCCTGAGGACAAAGAAGATCGCATGGACTCAATCAGTGTGGACTTCCCTCATTTCCGCGCAATTTGCGATTCTGCAGAGTATTACTCCATGTACATTATTGTGCTGGATTTGATGCTTTACAGCGAACCGCTCGAAAAGGTCCGCAACGAGCGCTTAGAAAGAATTATGCTCACTTCCGACTTCAGCGATTTGCGTGGCGCCCCTGAGATGGTGTTCAAGCTTCAAGCTCGCATTCGCCAGTTGGAGGAAATCAAAGAATACTTCCAAATCAACGCCAAGTTCTTGGATAAACAGGGGTGGGAGGATCGACTGGCTCTGGAACGGGACTTATCCCAATGCGAGGATGAGCTGTTCTTCATGATGAAGGCTATCACCACTTCCCAGCGGCGAATGGAACCTAGTTCGTCAAGGGCAGATGGTATCAACGGTGTGCTTCGCTGGAGCCTATCGGCAAGCGAAGTCGTGTGGCACTTAATGAAGGATGCTAACGAGCCCTTGATTGAGTTCCAACTACGGAACGCCTCGTACGAAAGAACTGACAACACCGATGGCTCGAACCACAATCTGGTTTCAGTAGAGCGACTGTTCGGATTGAACTTGCTTCCAGATGCTATCTACCCCCAGATCATCGCACCGTACCTCGACGGGGCACGGACCCTAGATGACTTCATGTTGCGCGTCAAATGGCACATGCTGGAGGCTGTCGCTGGTATTCCTGTGCTCGATAACTTCGAAGTTTCATTGTTCCCGCTCAAGATTCAGCTCGAACGAGAGCTAGGCCAGAGAGTCTTTGAGTACATTTTCCCCAATGTGGGCTCTACCGCATTTGAGGCTGGTGGATTCTCGCCTTTCATGATCAAAAACATGAAGCCAGTCGCCGGATCAGACGAAGAAGATGACGATGATGATCTAAGCAGTATACCGTTGACGCGTTCTACAAGCGTCGATGGTGACAACTCTTCTATGGACAGCCTCGCTATCTCAAAGGGCCCGGGATCTATTGAGCTAAGACTCCAGCCTACGCTCTCGTTATCAGATGATGTCAAATCGCGTAGTCGCCCGAGTCATTTAAAGGGTCTCATGATGACACCTATTCACCAAGACAACAATATGCTCGGCGTGTCGGAGACCGCACGCTTGACAGGTCGCCCTGCTACAACGGGAGGTCTCAGCAAGCAGAAGTCCTCCGAGAGTATTCGCATGTTGACCAAGCAGCCCACTGAACGATCTTTGTCTAGCCACAGTGCTGGCGAGGAAAGCCGCAAAAAGTTCGGAATGGGCAAAGCATCCAACAAGGGTAGCAAATCCAAGGAGCCAACCGATGACTTGTCTCAAATGATCTCTCGCGCCTCCAACTACATGACTCTTGCGCGTGTCAAGGTGAATGATGTGGTCCTTTGTTTGAGCTACAAGGGCAAAGGAGAACACAATCTTGAGGATCTTCACGATTTCGTCTTCCGTCTTCCAGTCCTGGAGTACAGCAACAAAACATGGTCTAACCTGGATCTTGCCCTACGTCTAAAGAAGGACGTGATCAAGGCGCTCATCTCGCACGCCCCTGCCATTCTTGGCAACAAGTTCTCACATCACCGACCCTCCAGGCAACAACAGAAGCGTTACCGTGAGCTTGCATCATCATCCCAACTATTGCCAAATGCATCTAGCACGACAAACCCGAGCAAAAGCCAAGCCCAAAGTTTAGCCAGCTACGACTCCAACAGTGATTATTCCGAGTCACGGTCACGCAAGTCCATGCAGTCGAATGTCTCACCGTTGGCTAGATCGACCTCATTGAATTCGGACTCCCATGGCACACTAGGCTCAGATCCTACCCTCCACGACTCTCGATCCGCCAATGAAGTTGATGTAGATTCTCGCTGGGAGGTTTGTGTTCCTTCCACTGAAAGATATTATGTCACTTTTCAGAACCAGGAAACTAACACGAACATTGTAGGCATCGCGTCGATTCGTCAATCCACCCCCTGACAGACCAATGACTTCTGGGCACATCGGGACCACGCGTGAAGCTGACAAGAACGATCAAGACGAGAGGTAAGCATTCCGGCTCTGGCTTCGTCTCAACCACGCAAATCTGACCACGGACTTATAGTCACATCAAAACAATCCGCAGCATCGGTCGGAAGCTTACATTCCGCAAATGATTGCTTCAACCGCGATCGCCCCATCCTTCTTTTTTCTCCCTTCCTACATTGCTTAATCTGCTCATTACTCCTTTTAAAAACCCCTGGCCTCCTTTGTACACCACCACCACCCTTGTTATCACCGGGCCCCTGTTGTCTCTAGATACCCTCTACTTGCAGCGGTCCGTACATAGGCGTTTTTCAACTGTTCATCTGTTATTTCTTGGTGTGTTTATGGCGGGAAGATATTGCATGCTTTTTATTACCCGGGCTGTTCGAGGACACTTGCATAGAGGCGATCGGGGACACTTCGCTTTCCTTTTCTATTACTTCTTTTATTACCATCTTTTTGGCCTTTTACCTCGTTACCTGCTGCAAAGAAACGGTAATGGATAATCGTTTATATAAATCATACTTTCAACCTCAGGGACTTTTTATGATATTTTTTGAAGTACTTTCCTTTTCTTTGAACCTGGGGACTGGAAATACCGAGGGTTTGGCAACTTCAAGGTTATCCTTTCAATTTGACAGAAGGGACGAAGTTTGACTCTATACAACACAATCTTAAAAAGATATGAATTCACCCTCTCCAGGCGATGGTTGTACAGTAGGTAGCTCAATAAAACGGAGATTGTCTTACACCATTTGTTTTCAATTGAGGAGACATGGGTTTGAGGTTGGAGTTGGACAAACCAAAGATTCACCAAAGACGAAAAAAGATCTTGAGAGTGATGAGACGTTTGGCAGTGGACGACACGAGGGAATTTGGGTGACAGAAAGTCAGGGGCTTGTATGCCGTGGTTATTTCCATTATGCCACTCACATGTTCGACAGAGCTGTGCTAGTTGAATGGCGAACTTAAGGAGCTTCTTGGAGCAAACTTATGATGGACAACTCCAAGTATAAATGAACAATTAGATATTCTAACCAATTAGGAGGTGCCAGCCCCTGGTATCTCAACCGCTTTCAAAAGCTCCCCAATGAAACAATTACTCATGTATTCTCTTCTTGAATTAGGGCTATCTTGGCATTTAGACTCAAGATCATGCAAAGTGTGTCTGGCCACATCCGAACAGCCTCGGCGAAGGCTAGCGTCGTTATGACGGTGTGTTGTCCATTTATAATGTTCAGGAAAATGGACCCGCACCGTAAAGCGTCTCAGCATCTCTCTGGTATTTGGCCTTTGGATCTCAGATGCCGCACCAATATTTGAGATTTGGGATTTGGGAATTTGGTCTCAGACCCTAGGGGAAGGGGTAATTACGTAGGTGACATGTACAACGTTCTTGGTCTTATATCAGAAATTGCATCTTTGCACATAAGTTCTTGCCAATTGTTGAGCCAGAGACGTCAATTTCCACTGAAACAGAGAAACCATGATTTACATGAATATACCAACTAGCTAATAGCCAAGTAAGTAATTGGAAAGAAAGCATGTGAAAAAAAAAAACCAACAAGAACACAATCTCAATGTTCCATAGAAAATAAACAAAGGGTATCTATATACGTGGCAGTAGCTTGGTCAACCAAATTAAAAACATAACATGAAGGCCAAAATCTAGAAAAGCCATCCAAAAATGCATTTTCATGTGCAACCGAAATAAAGAAACACCATAGGATAGGGACAAATTCGTCAATCATACTTATTACACTGGTGACTTGTCGGATTCTTTGACATCGGAAGTATCACGAGGTATTCCCTCATGAGTCTCGTCAGTCATGTGAGAAACCCCATTGGGAGCACCAACCGATGTATTGTGCACTCCCTGAGAAGATTCATTGGAGGGTCCGTCAATGGGCCCATCGACAACTTTCTCGGCACCAGCACCATCGGAGAGTGTTGACGGAGGGCTCTGTTTATCGCGAGTCCAAGGCCACACGTTAGCCTGGACTGACGCGAAACGGGTACGTGCAGTGGGTGCGTCGATGTCGTCAACCCAAGGGATGCCGCCTTGGCCACGGTTCTCTGCCCACGCCTTCTTTTCGCGACGTAGGTCACTTTGAACCCAAGGAATCGTGATCAAAGTCCAAACAATGGCCCAGGCAAACGGAAGGGTCCAGCCCAGCTATTATTTAAATGTTAATTTCATCCATAAATCCAATTTCGGAGTAGCTAAATTTCTGCTTACCGTGAATGCAACATTTTCCTGAACCGTAAACACCACAGCGGTGATGGCGGAGGCAAATATAATAGATCCTCCACTCCAAAAGCAGTTCATTTCAAACAGCATGCGCCGAAAGTAGGGACTCGACAAGTATCGTGTTCGAAGAGCATATCGATATATTTGTCCACCACCACCATCAACTGCCACAACATCTTCAATCAGGGCATATAATGCTGTCGGCATCACTGAGCCCTTGGGTGTGGATGAGATTCGGAACGGGGCTTTGAAGCCCAACATACGGAAAACGTCGAGGGCAAGGTAGACGATGCCGAAGTAAAACATGACGGCTGGTAGGACCATGGCAACGAGGCGCACTAAATCTTGGGTCAGTACAGAGCACAGTACAATGAGACAGTAAAGCTATTCTAACCATAAGGTTCTTCAGGAACCGATCCACTATGATCATGTTAGATTATCGATCCGGTTCCCATGGCAGAATAAACTTACACGACCAGTATGACGGCGAGAATCAACCACACAATGGTGAAGTTGATCTGAAAGAAATCCAGCTACCAAAAGTTGTCAGCAGTTTTCCACGTCCATTCGCAATATTGAGACTTACCCATGATGACCGGGCGTTCAGGGGTCGGGCGCGCGAGTGTTTGCGGAATAAATTATGGAGGCGATAGAAGTATTCAAAAACGGAGACACCTCCAAGTGATGCAGTGACGATGGAGAACACTGCACAATATGTCAGTGAGCCGGACTGATGTTTACCTCCCGTAAAGCGTACCCAAGTTGTGTGATAGATCGGTCAGATACCAGAGGCACCAGTAAAGAATCAACGGCTGGGCCAAAGTGTCAACCACGAAGATGGTCCAGAAGATTGCAATGGACTTTTTCCTGGTATGTAGCGAATATGGCAGCGGAGGTGGTTCAGAGGGCGCTGGGGCAGTTCCTTCTTCCATTGTGGCGATAGTGGTGTATCACCACTGATAGGAGGTGAGAGATAGAATTTCCGGTAGACAAGAGGTCGTTTGGAATTGCTGTTGGTGATAGGGGATATTAAGACATGGTGCGAATTGAATGTGAATTCAATACACCTGAATGGATCTGGAAGAAAGTCTAGAAAGTAAGATCAAGGAGAGGCGTCCAGTTGTTAAATCCAGAAAATTTGGCCGGAAACGACGGAGACCAATGGGTACTTCCATTACCATACAAAATTTGCGGTGATAGGAGGTACCTGACGTAAGGCGGCCCCATGATGTCATCTAAAAAAACAAACTTGGAATAATACTACACAGCTACACAGCCTTCTACTGTATCATACGTTGTACGTTCTCGCGCCTGAAACCTCTATTCTTATAATTTCCTTATAACTTGGCTCTCTGAATTTATTGAAATAGCATAAAGGACTAATATTTGCCATTTGCCCCCTACCACTAGTAGAAGGATAACAAATATCCTTATCTGGGCCCTTTGTTTGGGCCGACATCGTCAGTATGCAGTAGATATGTTGACACTCAAAAGGTACACACGGAATAACTATAGAACTTGTACTCCGTATCCGTGTGAGCTATGCATGAATTATGCAGAAAACAAGTAATTAAGCCAAGGGCTGGAAATCGAGTCATATCAGTCTAAATCGGATGCCGATCCCGACTAAAGGATTTCTAGTTGCATTGAGTTTGTTGATGCTGGTTCATTTGACACAACATACAGTAAAATATAGTTTTAACTAATAGAACACAATTGGCGACTCTGAATATAGTGCCATAAAATTTGCCGCTGGGGGTTGATATACATTCGGTCTAGAATATTAAGTCTTTCTATACACCTTCTAGTCTTTTACCGGTCTTTTTTCATACTTGAATTATCTTCATAATCATCTTCATAATTATCTTTCAATTGTGAATATATTCAAGAATACATTGTTCCAATATTGTAGATAGTAACAATAGACAATAAAAAGCACAAAAGCTCCTTGAATGTTTTCGACCATTATTGAGACAAACGCGGCAAACAATAAGAATGTCACATGACCAAAAGCTGCGACTCAGGACCGCGAGTTCGAATCGTTCCACTTCAGAAATTTCCATCCCTCTTTTTTTGTCCCTCTCCTTCGCCCATTTCCTTCTACCTTCAAAATCAGTTCATCTTATTCCTAAAATTATGTAGCCATGTCTGGTCTACAGCATCTCATTGACTTTGTGCTAAACGAAGTCGCTCTCTGCGGCGATCAAGGTGTGTATAGTCTTTTCAATTGAGACCCACTTTCCGTCACCCCGGGAGATGCATGTCATTATGTCTTGGCATTAGTTTCCTTATTTCCAATTCACAGGAATTAAGCTCTTTTGAAGAGTTGATCTCTATGATTCGCATCTAGTTGCTTGGAAATTTGATTTCTCTTGCACAACATCTGTGCAGATCTAAATATCTCCGTTTTGGTTGGATATTCATTCACCTTCTCGAACAAACTTGTTTATTGCATAGATATGTATAACTAACTTACTACAAAACTACAAGGAGCAAACCTACCCTATGTTCTGCAAAAAATTGAGGAGTTCCATCAAAGTCAACATCAAGATGTGGCTGTGACGCAACAACAAATCGACCCTCGCTTCAAAGCCAAGATCTGGACTTGGCTCGTCAACAACCCTGAGGTGTCTGTGGGTCAGAACAACGAATGGAATCACCTTTCTCTCGATGAAGCGTTGCAGATTCATTCAAAATCAACAGATAGCGGCAAGACCGGGAGTAATGATCCCCAAATTCGAATCTTCGTGTCAACAGAAAGAACCTGGCTTGCTGTCGCTGGTCATGCGCCAGATGAATCCAAAGTGGTGCCCCTTGAATTTGCTCTGCTGTCAATCATTGCTTCGCACAAGTCAAAAGGCATTGCGCAGCCCGATTTAGTCAAAATCAGTGGCCAGGATAAACGATCTGTCCCCAAGCGTACGGACTCTTTACAGAGAAAAGGTTACATCGAGAAGCGTCCCATTCAGACAAAAGCCGCCAGAACCAGTCTCTGCACGTTGCGCCAATTTCTTCAAACTGCTACACCAGCGGTCGATCAAGCACAAGACCAAGAATATCAGCCACACGGGGATGATGCGCAGCCATCTGCTATGATTGATTTTAACAGTTTCAATGACCAGCTGTTCGGCATCCTCCGAGAACATGGGATTATCGCCCGCGATGATCTTAAACGGAAGTTGGGGTTGAAAGACAGATGGCGATGGAAGGTTCTGTCTCGTGCAGTTCGCAAATGGGAGCGGATTGGTGTGTTGAAGCGTGTCAGAGCGGAGTCGCAGTACGAAAAATTGCATCCATGCGTGAAGCTTGAACGAGAGCCCACAGCAACAGACCTTGAGCTGTTCCACGAATTTAATTTCGACATCTTAAGCAAACATGGGGTGGAAAAGGCGGGAGCGGCGATTCCAGTTGGTCTGAGTCAAGAAGAGGACGTCGAAACTTCTTTTAAAAGTTTGCAAGCCCTCGAAGGTGATACCGACCTGATTAAAGAGGAGGGAGACGCCATCCTCAGCAAAGAGAACGCCGAACCTACCCGGCGGATTGTGCCATGCTGGACGCCAGATCGTAACCTCAACAATCAAATGTTCGACATCATCAACGCGACAGGTACCAAAGGCATCACAAATATGGTAAGTTCGCCCCCTGTCCAAGATCAAAATATGATGTAGCTGACTCAATTGTGAAGAAACTTATGCGGGTCTGTTTTGGAAACTTCTTTAAGAGACCTGCCGAGAACTTGGTGCATCGTTTGGTCGACCTTTGGCAAGTGGCTCAGCCACTTCATTTACGTCATTTTGCTGTCGTTCGAGATACGGGTATGAACAAAACTATCATGTTCTATGTTCACTATTCAGCCTACAACTTCGCAAAGATTGTTGAAACAGGCAGAGCATCATGGGAGGCTGTTGAGTTCCCAGCAGAGAAGGCCAAGAAGCTCAAAATCAACGCTCCACCTTTTGGCACTGTTCCTGAACTTGATTGTGATGGGTTTCCTGCCAACCACCTTCCCAGGGGTCTCATGAAAAATCCATATTCGAGTCTACGCGACGGGATTATGGCTGCCAAACCCGCCGACTATACTCTTTCCTCGAGTGACCCCTTTATGGTTATGCTTCCAGATGGTCAATATGGTAAGATTATTCTTTATCTCTTTGATGAGGATAGCAAACGTTGTCATTGATCTAACAATACTTTGCAGCGGTCAGAAGACGTCATGACAAGCTTCCGCCTGGTACCAAGAAGGCAGAGGTCCGTCGTAAATACACGACGGGACGGCCCACGGGACGGCCTAAAGGCAGACCCAGCGGTGCGATGCTGGCCAAGCGTGCCAGAGAGTCCGAAGCCAAAGAGGAAAGAGAATCGGCATCCAAAGACTTGTCCCCCGAACTAAACGTCACTGAAGCCCAAGGCTGGGAAGAAGTTGACGAAACTCCACCCCTAAGCGAGCGAAAATCAAGAGCGAGAGTCTCAGAGGATTGTCGAGAAAGGAGAAGCTTGAGGCACTTGGCATGGATGAGAATTGGACCGAGTACAATGCTCTTCTCATGGACAAGCCTACTCCCGGCGTATATGTTACTCCCCAAGGCCGAAGAAGACCAGTTGGCAAGAGTCGTGGCCGCCCAAGAAACAGCAGAATTGCGGTCTTCAAATCTTCGAAATTGCCAAAGTTCACTTGGTTTGTCAAGGACAAAAATGATTCCGACAATGAAGATTCAGAGGACGGTGCAATGCTCTCTCATCATGCATCCGTCGCACCTTCAACTGTTGAACCGGAGGCATCCATTGCGCCCACCCCGAATAATTTAAGCCCAACAAAGAGAGCGCAGCCAGATCAAAACACCCCGGCTCCATCCTCGCCACCTTCAGTCTCTAATCCAAACAATGCAGATACTGAGCAACCATCGAAAAGACCTCGTCTCAACATAGCTCAAACCGAAAATAGCGAAAAGGAATTTGACACTGCCTCATTTGTGGGAGTTAACCCCGCAACACAGGATATCAGCACACCACGCCATCGCGACAAGAGTCTCAGCGTCCAACGTATCGGGGATGAGCAAAGTCGGACACCATCAAAGCGACGTCGCCTAGGGTCCCGTGGCATTGAGAATACAGCCCCAAACCAATTATCCTCGCCACATTCAGCTGCGCCCACAACTGGTTCAGGTCCAGCGAGATTTAAAAAAGCAGCTTCAATCGTTTCTGATCGTAACAAGACACCACAACCAACTCTCTCCCGGCGCGTACCTCGAGGCCTCCGAGGGAAAGCTCTTACAGAAGAAGAGCAACAGCTATTAGCAGCCCCTAAGCCTTTGATTGAGAGAGGTGGTTCTATCAGTGTTCTTCGGAGGAAAGTCATCATGGAAATCATGGAAAAGGCAGGTGGCGCGTATCCCACCGGTGCTATACTTTGGTATCCTTTTGTCACACTATGGATGAAGATGGGACATAAAGAGAAACCTGATATGAAAACTGTCAAAAATGCGATCAAACAACTCGTTGATGCCGGACATATTCGGCAATTGACCTTTAGTGGCAAAGACAAAAAGGGCTCAATGGTGACGAAGACATTATTGATCAAAGCCGACATGTCACCGGAAGACCCACTGGTGAAGGACATGCAGAAGAAGTTCTTGGTCATGGATCCCTACGAATCGCGACCGGTGGTCTGTGAAAACGTCGAAATCGACCCAACATTGACACGGAGTAGTGGTCGACCACATGGCGAGCCACCGCGACGGCAAAAGTTCTCATTTCCGGTGGAGCAAGGAGCCCAATTCAATCTACACCAGAAGCCTGCTTACGTGGTAAATGAGGAGACAAGAAGAATCAAGCAGATCGAGAAGAGGTTCCTCAAACAGCTAGAAATCGAAGCCGAGATTGAAGCCCGGATCACTGCTGCCGAACGGGAAGAGTTTGGAATACCTGGAGTCAGGCGTCTCATGACAATCTCTCGCCCTCCAGCTTTAGATTCTCATGTTGCCCCGCAAACCTCAATCATGCGACCACACGTTGATGTCAACGCACGTGAGCCTCATAAGAGACGAAACCCTATCATCCGCGCGAACCGGATGATGAAGCCGATATCTTCCATTGGGCCATACGCCATGTTAATGAAACCACCACAGGATTTCCATGTGGCTACTGGAACCTTTTCTACAGGGTCGTACGTACTCAGGGGAAGGAAGCCGAAGAAAACACTGCCGATTGTGAATGTTCAGAAATCTCTCAATGAGCTCAACAGACTAGCTCGCTATACTGAAAACTCGGCGCAAGCTTCAGAGACTTCCAAGCGCCAATCATTCACGAGCTTCGGATCAAGAGCTGAGAAGATTCTGAAATGGGAGCTTGACAATGAAAATGTCTTTGAAAGAAATCTCCAAGGTCAGCAGTTCATCGACCAAGTGGTTCAAGACGACTTCGAGAGCGCGCCACTGGACGGAAACATTCGCTTTGTAACCGATATGGCCCCTCCTCCACCACGGACTCCAGCGAAACCGTCTCCCCAAAAGCGTAGCGAAGCCCGTCGCAAGCAGAAATCTCTACTCGAGCCTTCATCGGCAGAAGCTTCCAAAGAACCGACCCCTAAACCCAAATCCAAGCAGCGACGTGCTCGTCCTGCCACGGACCGGCGACTGGCTAAACTCGACGATACTGCAACTACCACCACCACACCCGAGAAAGAAGCCCGGCCGGCCACCCGCCAGCGCTTCCGGCGACACAGATCTCTGCGCACTTTGCCTGATGAGATGATCCGAAAGATGATGATAGCCGTGGTCGCTGTTCGCGTTCTTGCAGGTGGAGCGGAATCAAGAGTGATCGATTGGCACCTTGTGACCACTGCATTCCCAGACCATGAGCCTTCGTTCATCGAAAGCCGAGCGCGTCAAATTCTCAACAAGAATCGCTTGCAGATGGCCAAGATGCAGCGAGATTTCCAAGAGCGTTTCCTTGAAGCTTATGCAAAAGACGAGGTTCCTCGTATTGATTATTCTGATCTGCAGAGCTACGATTGGGTTGCCCTTGTTGAATGGGGAAACACCAAGCTTGATGTTTCTACCTCTCAGCGGGTTCCAGACCTTCCTGCCACACGCGAACAATTCGACAGCGTCTTTGAGCTGCGCGAGGAACCTATCACCGCGGGCGACGAGCTCTACCAGGTTGTGCACGGCGTTACAGTTAACCACAAGCGTAACTTGATGGCTCGTAATCCATTCGCTATACCTCTAGAGCAGCAACCGAGCCCCAAATTGACGCAACGAAAGGTAGAAATGGCACAAATCGAAAATGCGAAATCATGGGTTCGCGCAAATATCATCACCCCAGAAAAGACCTACCGACCCAACGAGGCAAAGGATATCCTGGAGCTCTTTGGCGAGCCACTCATCACCAATGCAACCCAGATGTTGATCAACGAACGTGTCATCAGCTTAATAAGCCATGGTCCCTTGGGGCCGAGCCGCAACTACGATATCTCGGAGAACTTCTTGCAAGCACTTGGCCGCAAACGTGGCATCGACAGCACCCAGCTCCGACGTGCTGTTGAGTTCAAATCCGCAATCTTGGACCCCGAGCTCCAGAAGACTGGCACCACCGAGCTCAGGTATAATGCAGAAGACGGTGATATCCTCGCCCTGATCAACCTCTATGCGACAGGCCATATTCAACTACAGCCCCATGACGCCCCTCGCGATAAGTTCGGTCTCACCGATGGTGGGTATCTCACCCGGCAGATGGACAAGAAGCGTCTTCGCTTCCCCGTCAAGATCATCCCCACTGAAAAATATGTATTCGGCAATCCCGTCAAGGATAAGGCTGCGGCTGTGATCATTCCACCAGCGCCTTCAGCATCAGGCCCGGGCCATCCACCCAAGATCCCACTGTGGTACGATATCAACGGAGAGCTTGAGCAGCATCTCTGGACGATGGTCATGGGCCCCATCCTTGGATCTCTGGTGATGCGTCCGGGAGTCAACGCCCAAAGCATTTCCAATATGATCAAGCCCATCATGGGCGCTTGGGAAACCGTGAAGATTTTGCAATGGATGGAGGAAGTGGGTATTGTCAAGGCTGATGGGGAAGGGGAGAATGCTTGTTGGCGACTACAGGAGTCATGGTGGATGATTCCCACCTAATTGGCCAATTACCATACCAGTGATTGAACCTACTTGAGAAGCAACTCATGCAGCATCGGATGTAAGACTAATGCGGCTAGTACAAAGCAGTAAAAACACTAAAATACTATGATCGATTAAAAATCTTGTCCTTCGCTAGCTCTCTAGAGGTATCATGGTCCGATGAACTCCTGTAATCCCAAACGCCTTGATAGACAGCAAAATAAAAGAAAAGAAAAGCGTCAATGATCAATACAAAGACTTGTGCCCTTCATAGTTCATCCACATTGGACACTCGTCGCAATATCAATAAGACAAGAGCAATAACAACACCGATGATAGCCCGGTCCAGCCAGACGCTTTCAGAAGGAGACTCAGTTATCGGCAGTTGAACAGGGATTGTCTGTGGAGGAATGACCGCTGGTACCGGCGCTGGAGCAGGAGTCTGCAGAGATTGAGAAGATGGGGCTTGAACAGAAACCGCAGGCGCAGTGTCCTCGTGGCTCGTAGCCTCCGTCTGAGCTGATCCGGGGTTCGCATTCCCAGGAACGGCACTGTGATCTTGAGTCTGAGCAGGTGCCCGAGTCTCAATCTCATCCTGAATGGCAGCTTTACCACCAGCGATCTCAAGATCGACATCGACTCCACGTTCCCGACAAGAGTCCCAAACCTCCTTCATGCCCTCGAGGTTGCCAACCCCACACTCGCGACAGGTCCAACCAAGCGAAAGCCTCGCATATTCCCTGCGAACTTCCTCACTTCCCTCCATGCCGCCAACTTGTCCCTGGCTCTCAGACCCGAAGATCTCTGAGCGAATTGCCAATAGCGCGGTGCGCACACCCCAGGCTGGTTGCCATGTTTCTTCGTGGTGGCCCGAGATACTAAGACAGATCTCGCGGTTGACTTCGAATCGGCCCGAGGGTGTGAGGAAGCGGAACGAAGGTGGGCGGAGTGGGTATGTTGCTGGGAAGGTTATGCGGCCGTGGTATAGGCCTTGGGAGTAGGGTGATGACGGTGGCCCTGCTAAGGTGAAGTGCCAGTCATGGAGGTTTGTGTCGCTTGTTGGTGAAGCGGTGAAATATGGGCTTGGATTTTTGTGTAGGTCGCTGCTTTCTTTCAGGAGGCGGCGAGTTGAAGGGGAAGCCATTGTCTGGGATGATTGTTCAATGATGATGTAGAGGTCGAGATGAGAGAAGTGGAGGCGATTCGATAAGAGATTAGGATCTGGACAGTTGGCGGTTAATTTGCGGGGCCCGATTTTGTACTATTCACTACCACTCACTTGGAGATGCAATTTGAAAACATCGTTCGCCATGGAAATTAGCATTGTCGACTGATAATGGACTTTGGAAATGAATGCATTTAAAAGTATACACTACACCCAAACACCCCAAAATGCTACCTAGATATGTATGTATGCTACACTCAATCCCAATCCCTCCATTCATCAGTATCATGCCGGGAAGCTTGTGGACGACCGACAGAAGGATCCAGTAGTCCATTTCCATCAATGTCGTCTCCATAATCACTATCACCAGGTCTCGGCCTTGGAGATCGAGGAGCAAGAGTCTGCATCGACACAGAAGTCGGTGGCCGATCGGGGGTGCTAGTACCACGGCTGGGCACTCGTGTCGGCTGCGCAGCACCCTCGCGCCAGGCATGGCTATTATCCAGATTACGCTGATACAGCTCCCGGTAGTACTGTTGCTCCCCGGTGGATTCCTGCTCTCGGTGCAGACGGAGACGGTCGCGCGCTTCGAGGAACTTGGCACTTGGCTCCCAGTGCCAGCCATCGCCGGTAGTATTGCAAACCGGGAGAGCCCAGAGTAATGGGCGTTCGCCGAAGAGATGGAGTAGGTTTCGTCGCCAGCCGAGATCGAATGCGCTCGGCATCTTATCGTTATCTTCGTCATTTTGGTACTCGTGGTACCGGTCGTACTCGCGCTGTCGCTCCATCTCTGCATATGAACGGGTCAGGGCTTGCTGCGCTGGCGTGAGATGGCTGCTGCTGTCATTTGGAGGTCCTGATGGGCGCGGCAGAGGGGATAGCCGCTCTTCGCCCTCTTCGGGCCGTGTGACGCCCGGGATGGCATTTGCGTGGGCGTCGATGATCTGGTTCCCATAGCCTTGCAGTCGAGTGGTTAGGGTGTCCTCCGGCTCGCCCCAGTAGTTATCTCTTGGCGGTTGCTCATTTCGCTGTCTGTGTAGTGCCCTGCGCAAAGGCGACACATACCGTGTTTTTTCCAGACATTCAATTGTCGTAGTTCCGCGTACGGCCAGACTGATATGCCATGCTGTGAACCCTGTAAGTACCAGTCCGATGATACCTCCCAGAATAGCGAGAAGGACCACATTGACTGGCAGAATGGTATCCATGTACTGAGTGTCGTTGAGAATCTCGGTCCAGACCCAGATCGCTGCTATGCCAAAGACCACCCAACAGAAGATAGAGGTATAGATCAAAAAGAGCAAAAACGCTTTGTAGTTGTGCAATCCGACACATGTTGCCAACCAGGGACAGTGGTGGTCCATTTTAAGGACGCATCGTTTACACGTCGAGCAGTGGTGCGCACGGTCCGGCTTCGGACACTGGCATTTCTTGCAATATCGCGATTCACCAGTGGAGGTGACGGTGTACGAAGTGAATTCCGGATGTTCGGAGGGCGGGAGAGCGCTGTATTCATGGCGATCAGCGCCACGGCTAGTGGAGAGCGGTGACCCCGGATCTGTGAAAACGGCGACGCTATAGGAGAGGTTGAGAAGTGCATAAAGAGAAAACGCGACGACAGTGCTAGGGATACCTGCCGATAAGCACCGTTAGCTCAGCCCAATATGTGAGTATACCTGTTCGGGTTCGGGAGATCTCATGCTTACCGATCCAGTCGCTCCTTGAGGGCTTGACGCCGATACTGATGGCGACGTAGATCGCCCATGTAGTGATGCCGTAGACAAAGACGAGTGGAAAGCAGCTGGCAGCTGCACAGCAGTATCGTTCACAGCGGAGAGCCCAGGCTCGGGGGCGTCGTTTCGGCCACGAGGGCGAGGTCGGGGGTGACGAGGCCAAGGTGGCCATGGCTGTGGAATTATCGCTCAGAGAAAATTAGATTGTGCATCGGGGTTTAAGGTGATGAGCTCATTATAATATTACTAAGAACGCAGAAAGGTGAAACGATCGACCGCTTGACTGGGTGAGATGTACGTTGTATGGTAACGTAATTTACGATGCTCCGCCACGGCCCCAGCCACAAATCGGAAGTGCCGTCATTTTTCTATTTTCGGAATTCAGGAACAGGCAATATATACACAATGTACCGAGTACAATATTCTAGGTTGTCTTCAAAAAATTTGATATAGAGAATATTTCATTGTATATACAGTATCAATTCTGATAGATTCAGTGAAGACATTTAAAATTCAATGCAGTCTTTGACCAATCAAGTGCTGCTGGTGTATGTCAAGCTGGTCTGCTTACACCAACCATTGACGGGCAGACAACTCAGTCTGTAACACCAAGAGCAGTTCGAGGAAGGGTATTTGTAAAAGTCAACAATCAACATAATGAAACCAACAAGAACGGCAACTAGGGCACCGGCACGGACAACCCACCACAACCACCAAAGAGGCTTGCGGCCTTTGAAGAAGTAGAGTGGACCCTTGGTGTCACCTGGGGTTTCAGAGGAGCTGGAGGTAAGGCTTCGCTTGCCCTTGAAGAAGTCGAAAAAAGATACAGTCTTTCTAGAATTCGGCGCACCTTCACTTTGACCAACACCGCCGCTCATGGCAACGTATGGCTGACGCGCCAGCCCGATTCGTTCTCGGAGGGCGTTGGGAGACCGCATAATAGTCAAGCCAATAGCCAGACCCATAATGAAGCCACCGATGTGAGAAAAGTTGTCCAATCCTGGGAGAAGGCCAAGAACGAATGAAACGGCCACACCCAGGACCATGATGATCAGCTCGACCCACGGGGACTCGCGCTGGGGCCAGTCGTACAGCAGATCCAGTAGATGGAGTGCAAGGATACCAAACAGAGCACCAGAGCATCCATCACTAGGGTCGAGCTGAGACGCATAGTTTCCACCTAAGACAAAACCAAAGATACCACTGGCGAAGTATGTCACCGTGTACCGCCAGACACCGATCATACGTTCCATGTCTGCACCCATGGTCATCTGAACCAGCAGGTTGAAGCCAATATGAACGAATCCGCCGTGTAAGAACATGGGGATGATAAACCGGTACCACTGGTTGGGAGCCGGCTGGTCATCTGTTGACCCATTAGGGACAGGGTTGGGAACACCGCCGAAAGAGCAAAGTTGTGACAAGGTGCAATTTTGGCCAGTCGTCGTCGAGGTGGTCGATGGACAGGGCCATCCGATGGTTGTATTGGCGTTCTGAATTCCCTCCACGTTCTTCATGCACGGGTCGTAGCGTGCTCCCATATAAATTTGGATGTATGGCGATGGTCCGATCATCGGATTAAAGGTGGGTTTCGTCTCAATGATTGACCCTGTCAACTGAGCTAAAAAGGGGATTTTGTTAGTTGATCCGAACTTTTTTATAAAATAAGACAGAGAGCCGCAACTCACCATTCTTGACCAGTTCGACAATGAACACGATGATCTGGGCTAATGTCAAAAGGTATGTGGCCCAGGCAATCTTTTTGTTGAAGAATCCCTTTTTCTTTCGGCTATCACGTTGGCGGCTATCCTCGAGCCCCCCTGGCGATGGGGGATAATGAGTCTGCTGGCGCATCCAATCAGGATTGTTTCCATATTGTGTGTTGGCCTTTAAAGGGATGTTCTCTGAGTAGTGGTCGCCTTCGCCCGCCCGGCCTGCTGTCTGATATTGTCCATTCTCCGAGACAAATGATTGTTGACTTTCTCGATTGTGGTAAGGAGCTGAGGGATCGTCGTGGTTGTTGTGATATTGATACCCTATTCCAGGGACTGTGTTCGCTGTGTGATCTGTCTTCCCTGGCACAGCCTGATCATAGCTTGGGGGTTGTGGGATATTGGTGTGGTAGTAGTCATTGGCGGCCATGTTGGGTGGCCGATAAGTCTTTAGTTAGGGTCAAAATCAATTGGGAATCATGCAATTGTAAAAAAAAAAGATATAAGCGCCCAAGCGATAAAGAAGCTTATTGTAAGGAGAGTGGAGAGAAAAAGAGAGTGATGAAAGAAGCAGGCAGTCACATTCAAAGTTATTTTAGGGGAGATCGACAGAAACCTAGCCGCGCGTTGTTCCACTCCGCCCTTATGTTTGTACCTAACTCCTACAATATTGTACGGACAGGGCTGAGCAAGGTACGTATTATTTTTCGACCTAGAATGTACTCACATTGTCCTCCGTACGGAATAGGTAAATAAAAAGTAGATTATTTCCTTTCTTGGCATTACGTTGGACGAATACGCACGCGATCTCAGCCTTATGCCAAGAATTTGACTACGTCGCACTACACTCCGCCCCGTTGATGTGGAAATACGAGAGATTATGCATAAAAATACATGGTGTGTAAAAGGTGCATGGACGATCTATATTGGAGTAGGGCTGCAGTTATTGCGCTGTAACCCTACAATCATAGTAGGGTATAACAAGCCAGTATAACTTCACTATCCAAAGGGAACTAGTAATATACTGGAATATGTGAAGAAGGACGGACTTTAAAGAACGACTAACTAACTATACATGAGTTTGTAGAGCAACATGGCAATGAAATAAGACTTAAGATGCTCAGCAATATCTAGACAGTATATATAAGGTCTCTGGTCGCTTATACTAGCACTGCTGAGACATTAAAAAGTACCTCAAGTAGCAAATATAGGACTAAGAAACCTAATAATCACTACATGTGTACATATGTCAGTTATACATATTGACCTCTAGCTACCAACCTTGGGACTTTGCATTTTAGGGTTTCCCCGGGCCTACGTGGACTCTATACCATCCATGGATGGCAGTAACGAGCCTATTACTGCAAAACCCTGGTTTTATGAAATAACTTAAGGGTTAATCTAATCTGCTATGGCCATCGCTAATTGTTTTTATATCAACATGGAATATTCCACCAGGCTGACTCAGACATACATCTCAAATTCCCTCTCAAATGCCAAAGGCTGTGCCTTGATGAAACTATTTGTACATACTATTGTGCCTGTATGGTCACTTTGAAATTGTCACTAAAGTTCTAGGTAGGGAACGAGAATTGACTAAGTTGATTACACAATTCACTATCGCTATAACATATTATACATAGAAAGAACAAAAAAAGGACCAAATGAACATGAGAAACAATCAAAGATTGTATAGTTCGGAACACCAAACGGCCCGTTTTTCTTTGGGATTCTGCCGCTGATGTCATCGCCCTGTTTCATCTTCCCCCCGCGCTTGCGACAATATTCTTGTCAACAACCACTATGGAGGACCCTCTAGTTCAAGCGTTGCCGCCAGCTACTGACTACTTAACATATCTAACTCTATTAGAGTATCAGTTAACTCCGCAACGCCTACCGCTTCTGCACACTCTATTGCAAGATGAAAAGCTTACCACAAACATCGGCTGGGACCTGGTCAAGCTGCTCCTGCCTATGCTACCAGCATCCACGGACTGTTTACAGGATGTCGCACGCTTGGGGAATCCACGAGAGGTAATCTTGCGAGTCTCTGAATCTTTGATGCAGCTTCATCCAGAGGATGGAGACGAGGAAGAAGGCGATAGCGAAGCGCTGCCGCTGCACATCCTTAAGTTCAATTGTCTTCTCAATATGCTGTCAGTACTACACACACGGATCCGAACAAAAGTCCCTAGTCGATTTATGGCGACTTCTCTGCAAGCAGCGCTCGAAGCGTACACCTCTATGCCAACCAACGAGACCACCTTGGCTTTCCTCGAGTTCCTCCGCGAAGTCTCGCCCTCCAAGCGACCTGCACCGCCCCCACGGGTAGCCAGTGAGTCAAGCGTGTTGCGAGTGACCGCAGCCTCTGCTCCAGACCCCGAAGCGGAGGTATCTTCGCCATCTCCTTCTGCCGATAATGAGACCCTCCTTGTCCGAAAATTCATCCAATTCAGCCTGCTTGAATTGCTGAAATCATACCTTTTGAGCTTCTCCGGACCCCTGGACCCGGGTATGTCGTGGACAATTCGTATGCAGGAACACCTGCATCCTGATCTACGGCTACCGGCGGCGCAGTCCCAAACTGAGGCATATAGATCAGCCAAGGAACTGAAAGAGCGTGATATGATCATGGGAAAGCTTGTGGTATGTGTGAATTGAACAGTAATATCAGAAAGAAAGCTAGAATATCTTGACTAACCTTATTCTGTTTAGGCTCTGTCGCGAGATGTTGGACTTGACAACAAACAACTTCTTTCGATCATCTCCAATTCGCCAACCGATCAAGTGGCTCAGCTCGATTTTGATGAACCACCAACGAATCCCGACCAGATTCCACTAGAGCGTCATGGGTCTCTTCTTCTCCTAGCTGGGCGAATCGCAGGAGCAACCCTTTTTGCTTCTGGTCAACCGCTCCCTCAAGTGCCTGTCTTCCCTGAGCTGGCTCAGATCTTCAGCCACTTTGTTGGCGGGTCTACAAGCCTAGACCAAATAGCTTTCGGTCAACCACATGCACTTCTTGACTCCCTTCTAGCCTTGACTGCCTACGCTCTACAACAACCGATTAGCTCCTCGTCGAGCGAGGCTGAGTTCAAAGACTTTGTACTCACCTTGACAGCATGCACAGCACGACAAAGCCACAGTATTGTTCGCCAGATTCCTGCAGCTGTGGTCCAGAGTCATCCATCACCTGAAACCCGGTTCAAGCTTATCCATAAGATCTTGGAGGATGAGGGTCTTGCCTCGCTCCGCGATAGCGCCATCGCATGGCTGAGAGATGAATTGCTGCGCAGTCCTGATGAATCCACTGGCACAGTATTCCAAGACCCGCTACATTTCTGGGCCTTGTTCCCAGCTCTCTTCAAGCCAGTGGCTGCGGCCAATTCGACTGATCTCATCACCAGCTGGACCCGTCTCACCCAGACCCAAGGCCCACCACTTCACTCCGCGTTGAACCTTTACTATCTTTTACTTTCGTCACCTTCCCTGTGTAGTAAGCTTCAGCTCGAGAAGACTGTCAAGTTTTTCCGTGCTGAAGTGTTGAAGCCTCTTCGGCAGGTGTTCCACCGGTTCGAAGCTGATCTGACTGCAGAAGGTGGCGAAGGTCTCATTGAGGCTGCGGTTGGTGAGGAAATGTGTCTAGTTGGAAATGCTAGGTCTGTTGGTCTCATTGGTCTCACTCTGAGTCAAATCGAGGAGACGGTTTGTGACGTGTTTGGTCCCGATGAAGCGAACCTCGGGAGTTATTCTGATATTGAGGAGGCTCAGGTGGCTGAAATCCGCAACTTCATGAATATCTGGAATTAGATTACAGAAGTGTGTCTTTGTACAAACCTGATTTACATAACATTGTTTCCATGAACAAATGCTTGCATTATCTGTGTTTACACATGAGGTCCAAAAACATAAAAGCAGTATACATTGAAAGTATCACGTTGCAACAAACAATATTGTGGTATAGTTCGCCGCCATATGTTCATAGAATTCGAAAGATGCGAAAGGTGACCTGCAAAAGAAAGTATAGCTATAACAGTATGGTGAAAGAAAGATGATAATCTACTTGCTCGGTTCGTAGAGTATTGTGAAGCCTCCTAGACATAACTGCTTCTCAGTTCACCAAACCCCGTAAATGAGAGATATCTGCAAACACAATATGTAGGGCGGCGAAAGCAACGATTACAGCGATAGCATCGATATCGATAGCAATATAAAAACAAAGAGTAGCTACCTAGGTAGTTGGCATCTTCTCTTCCTTTTGCGTTTTCTTACACTTTGTTTCCACGAGTTCCTGGACACGATGAATGCCGCTATTGAAGTGAAGGAGCCAACGGGTGAAGTTGTTGGCGCCTCAATGGTGACTGCTGAAGTGAAGGAGCCAACCAGTGAGGATGTTGACACCATGCCGGCCCCCGTCGAGAACACCCCGCCGGCACATGTGTCGACCTTGCAGTTGCCCGTTGAGACCTCGCCAGCGCCTGTTCACGCGGCTACAAGGACAATCACTCTACCGTCACGTAACCCACCGTGAGTTCTCCCTTCACCACCTTTTCATTATCCCATACTGTAATGGCTACCTATTTGAGAATAATTTTAATGCAATTTATCAGGGCCATGGGCGTAAAACAAGATTCCCCTTTCCGTGCTGGTCCTGTCAGCGAAATGGAGCTCTTTAAGAGTGTTCCAGTTCTCACCGGCGAGAGCAACTACCGCGAATGGGTTACTGCCCTGAAGAGGGTGCTAGACCCGATCAACGTGAACTACTTCCGGGTTCTTAAAGGCGATTGGCCCAAGCCCGTCTTCGAAAATGAAGAAGCAAATCCCGAGCAGCTCGCCGAATGCATACAGTACGGCAGCACCAACACTGATTTGTTGCTTATTATCAACGCCACTATTCACCAAAGCGTCCAGTCGCACATTTGGAACACTTTCGACGGTCGTTCTGCCTTTCTTGCTCTTGAGGAAGCTTTCGCCTCTCCGATCCGCGGCACTCGCTTTGCCAACTACAGTAACTGAGTCACCACTCTGTACACTTCTAATAATCCAGAGGAATTTGTCAGGAAGTGGCGCCGAGCACTTGAGGAACTTCACGGATGGAATGATCTTGCCAACATGTCTTACACCTTTGTGGTTTGCCAGTTCCTTGTGGCTGTCGGTTGTAACCCGCCAGCTCGCGCTTGGGTCAAGGGGCTGCGTCTCAACGTGGAATATTGCGATGAGGCAGTGCTTGATAATCTGATCGTCGACTTCCTTGATTTTGAGGACCAGCGACTGAAGCCTCCCCAGGTTCTGCTGCCAGCCTTTTACAGCTGCGTTTCTCGCAACGTGAGTTAGAGCTTTCTCAGACGATGCTGCTACTAGCTCTTTGCTAATCTAGGATTATAGGATGTCTAATCAGGTCGCATGACAAAATCACCAGAGAACCGCTCATTTCTATGGTTTCCCACTATGAATGTTCTCTTGTGTGATATCAGCTCAGGCTTGTCTCAAAAAATGGTGATCTTGCAAAGGAATTGCGATCTGCTGCGGATAATAATTTGAATTTGATCAATGGAAATCTCGAACGGTCAGTTCAAGATGGAAACGGGGTACCTAGCTAGTATGTCTCTGCCATTCTTGAAGTCTTTCCAAATGAAGATAGTAAATTCACTTTAAACCCTTTTCAAGACTACCGTAGACAGCATTTCTTCAAAGCAATGATTCATTCCTGTGTACTATCATAACCAATATAACTAGAAATGACTATCTCAATCAATCCAGACCACCCATCAAACCAAAAACCAGATTAAACCGCACCACTGAATAAAGAGAGTTAACAATCAGCCTGATTATCAAAGAATTGTAAGAAATCCATCGAAGGTAGCACAAGGAATGAAGAAACAAAGCCTGTTCTAAAAATGTATTGTCACCCGGGATGTCCACGTATAGTTCGGCAAAGCCAAAACAGACGAAGTCGGCAGATGAAATTCGATATCGTTAGTTGCCGAAGGCCCAGGCAAGACAACGATCAAATAATGCTGCCAGACGAACTGTTCTCAGCACCAAAGAAAGAATGAACTGGACAGACAGACTCATATAGAGTCTTCACAATAAAGCAAGCACAGAAATGGGCCATGTCTCGAAGGATCATCTTTTTATTGTAAGGGTTGATGATTTTCTCAAGAATCAGCGGCGAAGATTGAAAGATTTGCTTTCACTGTCCATGGTGATTGACAGAATGATGAATGATGGAATCGGTCACGTCCATTGAGTGCATTTAGTGTTCAGCAGCTGTTGCAAAGGTTAGTATATTCTCAAAGCGTACTTCAATGGAACTAGTAGTACTCACCCTTCATGACAACGCAACCGCCGCCAGGAGCTTTCATGACAACACAGCCGCCGCCGGGAGCCTTCATGACAACACAGCCGCCACCGGGAGCCTTCATGACAACGCAGCTACCACCCGGAGCTATCCAGACATGTTAGTATATCAATTATTAGAAGCAATGGCAATGGAATGAGACTCACCCTTCTGGACCTGAGCACGAGACATTTTGAAGATGTAGAGTAGCTTAAAACGTGAAAGATTGTAGAGATTGTAAAGTGTTTGGAAGAATTGAAATGTGAGCGAGGGGTGGAGGAGAAAGTTCCTGGAGATGGAATGAGCATTCCATATTTATATTCAGAGCTGATGACCTGGTCGATAGTCAATAGGGCCGGGATCACATTTAGAACGCGGGATACAATGTGAATAATACTTTGATCAGCTAGGTTGAATGCATTGGGTATTGGCGAAGGTGTAGATTCAACCCAGAACGCATGGCTTTGCGTTGCGGTGTATGACCATTGCGGAGGCGTTTGATATTGTTTTCTGCACCATGAATGTAAATTGGATTGCCTCTAACTTGAACTCTTTGTTTTCACTGTATAAAACTTGCACATATTCGAGGAACTTGTTGTTATTTCGAATTGAATTTCTCCGAGTCATCTGTGGCCCAGCTAGGTTTGTCTTTGATCAAGGCACGCCCCCCTCCATCAGTATTTGCAAGGATCCATTTCGAAGCTTGAATGTAGGAACAATATTAAGGAACAATATTAAGCAAGATGAAAGGCCAAATCGAGAGTATGTTTGCTTAACCCGAAGGAGATGGAAGAGACAAAGAAGCCCGCCTTGGCCAATCAGCACAACCACTTTACGCGCACTATTGTTCTTGAGAACAATATACTCCGGACTTGGCAATGTGTGTTCAATTTGTCAATTTGATGATTTGATCGTCAACACTCGAAAATTCAGAACGAAGACAAAGACATCGCTTAAACAATTTAGCTAGATATTCAAAAATGCTAGGATCCATATAAAGATAATAGAATTACAGTCCAGCATTCTCCTTATTAGGTATAGAGCGGCTCGGTCAAGTCATTCAAGGTCAATCCTTCCTTCGCGATGTCCTCCTCGATCAAGAACATCAAAGGCATTTCAACCAAAGTACCCTTGACTTGGCTAAGCAGCTCTTTGACCTGTTTCGCGCCTTCCGCGCCAGGTGGGAAATTATCACGGACAACGTGGCCCCATTGGTATCGCGCAGGACGCGAGAATCCATCCTTGCGCTCATCAGCCTTGTGGAAGTAGTACTCGTAGAATTCTTTGTACTCGGACCAATTGCGGACCATGTCATCGGGGACAGCGTGGAATACCTTCCGGAAGACTTCGCTGTTTGTGTGAGCTCGCGAGTTCCAAAGACTTTGAGCAGTGTCAGAGAGCGGATCGGCAACGACCTTGCTCTCCGGACAGTCGAAATCGAATTCATTTGGAACTCCCACGGGCTCGAAGTTCGCATCTGGTCGTTGGTAGTCTTGTGCTGGCAAAAGGCCAAGGTGCTTTCGGAACAGCTGGCGACGAAGAGACGCGGCAAACCGACTAGCAGTCCATGGCTTGCCATTCATGGTCGACGGCACAGGGGTGAAGTCTTCAATGATTACCGCAATCTCAGAATCGTGGTCGCCCAACTGAGAACGATCGTTGAGGTTTGCAGATCCACAAACGACCACACGATCGTCGGCGATCATCACCTATAATTCGGTCAGTTTGGATTTTTTTTTTAAAGATATTCGAACCTGACGACTGATTCTAGTAGGGCATACCTTAGAGTGAACGTAGAGTTCCTCGCTCACGAAAGCATCAATCTCAGCATCGGGGTGACCATTCCATGGCACCCTACGGATATCCTCTCCTCCAAGCATATAACACTCGCTGACACTGTCCCATCGGCTGGAAGAAGCATGGCTACCTTGTACCTGCTGAGCACCCTGCTGGTACTTCTGGAATGGCGCGGTGGTGTCGAAAGCGCTTCGAGCGGTGTTGGGAGCATAGCCACCAGGACCAGCAGTGTGCTGGTCGTACTGCCTGCTCGCATCCTCGTAGTTGACACCACTCTGCAATTCAGCAGCAGCAACCATGCTTCCATTGTTGATACGATCATAATTGCGGAGGTTGTAGAACCGGATGTACTCCATAGGGTTGAAGCCCTCTTTGGCGATCAGCTCCATGATGCTGTGACCTCCGCGATTGATGGAGTTGTACTGGAACTCCATGATTGCACGTGTTCCCAAAGTCTCATCATCACGCAAGTCGCCAGCAAAGCAGGGAACGGATGGGATCACCACCACGATCTTGTATTTCTGACCAGCGCGGGCAGCACGGAGGATTCTCTCCACAATTGCGGCACCAATCTGGTTTTTGACTGGATGCTGGGAGTCACCTGTCGCAGTGATAAAGAACTGGTTCTCAATGTAAATAAAGTGCTCACTGTTCCGGATGATGGCGCAATAGGCGTCAGCGATTGAATGCTCAACCGGGGTACCGTTGCTCCACTTCGCACAGCTGCGTACGATCTGGCACGACATGTTTCCTCGTCCCTGGGAAGATGAAGGACGACCATACGTAGTCAGTCGATCCTGGTATTGATGAATCTGCCCAGCGAGCTGACCACGAAGAGAGTTTCCATATTGGGTCAGGTCTTCTTTGAAGCGGCGGGGCGCCAGAGAGCCTCTCTCACGATCACCTTCGTATTGGTTGCGGCTTGCATACGGGTGGTCATCAATTCCGCGAGTATTGGAGTGTGATGGTTCTTGGCCTGGGGGAGGAGGGTAGTATGGCGCCTGGCTTTGATTCTGGCCTTGATGCGGGGCGGGGCTTCCAGAACCCTGGTTTGGCGGTGGGGCGTAGTAAGGCTTCTGCTCCTGCTGCTGACCCTGGTATGGCTGGTATGAGGCATTCGCGGTGGTAGCTTGATTCATGCCATGGTGATCATCCGGATATGGCTGGTATTCAGTATCATTCGCAGTCTGCTGTTGACCCTGATACGGCTGGTATGAGTTATTGGTAGTGTTGTAATATTTCTGGTCCGACTTCTCATCCGGGTAGGGGTGGTATTCGCTATCCGTACTGCTTTGGGCCGGAGGGGGCCCAGGCGGAGGAGGAGGGAATGAGTTTCCAGTATAGCTGTATTGGCCCGTCGTCTGACTGGGAGAGTGACTGGATTGGGCAGAAGATGCATAGCTAGGGGGCGCAGGGTAGGTTGAAGCATTCTCGGGCTGGTGTGATGGGGATGTGCTTTGTGGATGCTGCTGGTACTGGTTCGTGGAGGCTTGGCCGGGCGGCGGTGGGAAAGTCGGGGTGCTCCCACCTTGGTAGGATTGATATGCAGCGGAGCCTTGCTGGGGCTGCGAATGCAACTGGGAATGCGATGGCTGGATTGAGCTTGACGGAGTCTGAATCGACGACGGTGAGTGGGATGTTGCGTTAGGCTTCGACTGCCAGGATGGCGTGGGAGGCTGGCTTGGGCTTGACTGTCCCGAAGGGTACAGATTAGACTGCTGCGCACCAGGTTGCAGGCCAGGCTGCTGGCCAGGTTGCTGTTGGGGTGTCGAAGAAGTAGGCCGACCGTATAATGCCAACCTGGTGTATCTCGACTCGTTGCGGACTCTGTATTTCGCATCATAGATGAAGTTCCATCGCTCAACGAAGTGGCGGCGAAGATCCTCAACTGCTGCACCGTGCAAGCTCACGGAAATATCAGACCACCCCATCCGAGACATGCTCTTTCTATCCAGCTGATTATTCTCCCAGTGAACGACATCCTCGAAATCAAGGACACGGGAATTATTGTAGTCCTGACCAGGGAACACCGTTTGGTTCACATCCGATGGATGCAGATCCGAGAGCGAATGTTGGTTAGTATCCCAGCGACCGAAGCACATATCCAATCCACCCATAAAGGCAGTTCGACCATCGATCAAGCACAACTTTTCGTGATGAGCCCAATAGAGAATAACATCCTCGTTCATCCCGTACAGTCCCTTCAAAGTGTCCTTTGACATTTTGCTGATGCTAGCTGAGTCGAGGGTCATATTCTGGAAGGACGACGCGAATGAGGCGGCCAGCTCTTGACGGTCTGGCAGGTGATCCGGGTGACGGAAGACCGCGATATTGGGGTGCAAATCTTCCAAAGCATGTTTGGTGTGGGACGATGAAACTGTAAGATATCAGTTCAAAAATTCTATAGTCGTTGCGATGTAGGGCCTATAGACATACGAGTGAGTGCCTGCGTCACCTCCTTGTAAACAATGACATTGACCCGCACACCGCGCTGAGCCGCAGCTTGCAGCATACGGTCCAATCGGTACTGCTCATTCTTCGCCGGAGGTCTTCTCAGATAGAGCTCAGGAGAAAGCCACCCTATAAAATTAGTTCATTTGACATCTAATGATACTAATTGGGATCCACTCACAGTCCAAAATCCAAATAGACTCTCGGGCACTTTCCAAAGCCCGCGACACAGCCCAAAAATAGCTGCAGCCATCCACATACCATTTGACGTCGTTATGCTCACGGGGAGGAGCAAAGCTACCGAACCGATTCTCTGTATTGGGCTTGGCTGGACCGTACTCGGCATATGCTTTCGGATCGATGGTTGTACCAATCTTCGTTGCAAATTCGGAACCAAACTCGGTCACGGTACCTTGAAGCTTACCCAAGAAACTGGAGAGTTTATCTTCCTTCGGTGGGTTGCCATGGTAGTTGGGATTTTGTTGCTGTCCGCTTGTACTTTGGCTCTGTTGACTTTGTCCGTATTGCGGGGGCTCGTTTTGGGTAGGGTAACTCTGCTGTCAGCGACAGCGTCAGTGAATATATCAGCCGCTGTGAACCAGTGAAGCTTACACCTTGATAGCCGCTTGGATTATATGTCTGGCTAGCCTGACCCGACGAAGAGCTGTGGCTCTTATAAGTGTCACGGAGCTTTTTGAAGGTATCGCCTAGGCCTCGGGATCCGTCTCCGGACCCACGTTCACCTTGGTAGTAACCACCGTAGGCCAAATCATCCTTTTGGGACATTTTGAGTATCGAGATTATTCGTAGAAGTGGAAGAAGAATGAAGAGGAAATAAGAAATTAAAATACTAGAAAACCATCTAGAAAAGAGGATGCCTGCGGAGCGGGGTGCTACTGTTTTTAAATCCGCGCCCCGCTGCCCAGCCACAATGGAAACGTGGCGGTGTATAATCTGACGAGATTTTGGGATGTCAAGATTATTGAGTAATATTTTAGGATACTAGTACCCTGTATTCTAGTATGCAATAGTAGATTTTTCATTGTCTATATCCCAGAGCGTGTTTTGCGCAAAAAAAGTCGGAGTAGAGGCATAATATGTTGGACAACCTCAAAGTCTTGAAGCGAATTTTACGTAGGTACAGTGTTTAGGGATATTGTGGCTGGAAAGCCTGAAAGGTATTCGGCTGCAGCGATACTAGGAGTGATCACCTGTTATATATGTATGATATGGAAAGAGACTTCGATGAACTTTAAGAAAGCCGCTAAATGGATCTTTCGAAAGAGACATAGAAAGCAGGTAAAGTCACAAATAGACCGTGGTTCCTAACTAGGAAAATTGAAAACATAAGGATTCTACATATACCTAAAATCAGGAAATTCAGACGTCCCTTCTGCACAGCCTAGTCGGCTGGACGTGTGTCAAGTCATCCTGTATGTAGTAGTCACCCTCTTTATGAAACTACCCTTTACGGGGCTTGTAGCAAAGCCCAAACGCCAGGGTTCGAAATATGTCGACTGCAGTTTGAAAATTATATATAGGTACTTCGTATCACCTCCATCTTTATTTTTTGTTGATTCTTCCGTGTTATTTTATAGTAGACAGAATGTTGCATGGTAGATCCCGACGATCCACTCCGGTAGTATGCAGCCCTACGATGCAAGGATAACAGCGATTAAAAGAACGTGTAGTCATATAAACGAGTGTCTAGGTAGTCATCTTGGGCCTTTGTGAACACATGTGTTGATTATGATAGAAAGACAAAATATCATAGAATCTAATAGCGGAATACTCTAATGCTCTACTCTACAGCAAAAAAGAATGAAGCAATGCAGTTTCAAAGTCAAAAATGCCGAGGTCTTGGCGCTGACCCGAGACCGCCAAAATCGGCCTGGGAATTTGACGCTCACTCCTTGCTTTTTTTGATACAGTTCATTGTAATGTCTACAGCACGATTAAAATCAAGGTCTCTCGGGCGACCCCGGAAACCATCTGAAGATGCGAAATCCGTGAGTTAAGTTGTTCGGAAATGAGGATACTTTGACTCATCCCGTACAGATGCGACGCGCTCAAGTGCGCGAAGCGCAAAAGGCATACCGATCTCGTCAGCAGTCACAACTCTCCTCCTTGAAAACTCGCGTAGAGCAGTTGGAAGATGCTTTCAATCATTTGAGTCAGACTATGCACTCATTCGACGACCAGGTGATTCAGAACGGGACCCAGTGGCCTCAACCTCGACTCTTCAGAGCAGTGCAGATGCTCCGTGATGATATAGTGTCACAATTTAAGCGCGCAGATATTCACTTCCGGGAGACTCCGAAGAGTCAGAGTCAGAATGAAGAGCTGCTCCAGGCTACAAATCAACAACTTCAGACGCAGGCCACCCCACAGATGGTGATCAGCACAAGAAACGATCACCCATCTAACTTCTGGAACCTTTTCATGGGGTCTTCTGCAGGAATGATACCATCTGATAGCAGTCATGAATCTACTGCTGCATCGAGCATAATGCGTTTCTCGCCCGCACTCACCTTTGAACCCCACATTATTCAGTATGCTACAACACCTTTCACCCAACGACTCTTCCGAGCATGCGCAGAAAGCGGCCTTCGTTTTCTTTCAAATCCTTCGTTTAAAGTTGAAGATATGTGGCCAGAATTTGGTCTCCTTTTGGAAAAAATGCCTCGAGCAGAAATTCGAGAATATTTTACTCGTGTCGTCAGTATGAATCCTTGCAACCCAATTATCGACACCCGATTTCCCTATATTAGCCTCGGTGGATCAGGAACTCACTTTTTATTGCCTTCGGATAACGCCTCCTCTGAGATTCTTTCTCGTTTCCAAAGAACGAATGGTGTTTATCATGTTGTTTCCGATGAACAATGGTTTGATGTGCATGATATCGAGAGATATTTGTTCAGCCAAGGGATCGGAGTGGGCGATTTTCCTTCCTCAATCTCGTCAATGTCCCCTTCAACCCATCGAGATGGAGGACATTTGAGCTTGGTTGGTACCCATGGGACATCGCCCAGCAATACAATGATGGTTGTTGACGAGTATAAATTGGTCAACAGTATGCGTCCAGCTTTGAAGGCTTTATTTGATCTGAGAACTATTTGCTGATTGTTTTAGGATTGTGCCAGCTTCCTGTGGGCTTAGGCTGCGTGGCTGGCTTCCGCCGCTCAGATGTCGAGAGGGTGGTTTCACAAAATGTGAGATTGATTACAGTCGGCTCTCCAGGGTAATATAAAAGGTTTACAATTTCACTTTTGAGCTGCGAAAACGATGATACCCTTTCTTTACTTATTCAATTACATACATGTGTTCGAACCTTGATCAACGCCATTAAATTCTACTTGAATATATTAGTCCTGGGCCGTGACCCAGATCTCGTATGTGTGATGTCTGTCTATTCATAGAACGTCTGCCTAACAAAGATCAACAAGCTACAGGTCTAGGAGGAGACCGAAGGGTGCTGATTGAAAGATGTACGACTGAGAACCTCTTCTCGCCAATACCACACAGCTGCCGCAGTGGCACCTGGTCCAACCATTATACATCCGAGAGCAATACTGATCACTGCAACCGGCCAGGAGACATCGGAAATTCCAACGCGGTACAGGTCCCACGCACTCGTTAAGCACCAAAGCATAGTTGCAACCGCAGCAAGCAAAAAGTCATTCTGGAAGAATATGAACACCCCATCTGCAAGATCTGACACTGGTGCCATAGAGTCGAATGGAATGAATGCGCGAACGATAAACCCAGTTCCTGAAACGAACCAGCTCATCATCAAAGCGAGATGGAAACATGCAGATATGCTACCTACCGCTGCGTATAGGATTCGCAGGTAGGGAAGGTCGCTGTTGGAATTATGATCACCGTGGCTACCAGTCTTGACCGGTGTAGATCGGCCAATCAATTTCAAGACGCGAGACAGAACCTCAGTCAAGATAACCACATATACCGGAGTGGGTTGCCACAATGCGATGAAGATCTGGCGTGCATTCAAGGCATCCTGTAATGGGAAAAACAACATAATCGTAGGCAGGACAAATCCAAGCACTAGAGCAGGGAGCAATGCCCGAGCTGTATTATCGGGAAGCGTGCGACTGGTCGGGGTAAAATACGAGATCGATGAGGAGTGGAAAAGACTGATTCCAAAATAAAGTGGCGCAATGAAGCCAATACCACGCAGCTGGTACAGCACACCCCAGAGAGCTGGGCTGGCGAGAAGAGTCCACTTATTTCTGGGCCGATAGCCTTCAACTGTCAAGATGGTGATAATCGGCAGTATCGAAGCCAGGAAATAAAGACCCTGCAATGGTTGCTCAGCTTTCGAGAAATTGGCGACGACGGGCAAAAATACGGTCGAAAGAGATTGTAAAACGAGATCTACAGGCTTAAATCCTGTGTAAACCTGACGAAGAGGAACTTCCACACCCCCTGGAAGCAAAATCGACTGCCTTGACACTGATTCGCGGACCAAACTCCAGAACCCATTGATTTTGCCCGCCGTCCACAACTGACGATGACCCATCCAAGCCAGCAAAAAGAACGCAGCGTACAATATGACACCAAGCACACCGCGAGAAGATGGCTGTCTGAAGCGCTCGTCGAAATACGCAACATCGCGTGGCTTGCGTGGCATTGGAAGCGTCTTCAGTGACACAGCAGGCGAATACACTTGGATCCATTTGTTGAGCAGCATATGTTTGGGAATGTACGGGAGCACGAATTTGGCAGAAAATTTCAGCAAAGGCGTCTCCATACATTCCAAGCGTTGTCGCGAGTGGGCAGCCTGGATCAGCCCCGACACTCGCTCCTCACGCTGTTCTTGCACATTTTTGAAAATGTTGGAAATTTCTACCGTCGATAGCGTCTTTGTTTTGCAATTCTGGAGAGCTGACACGAGATGATTTGTGAGAGATGCAGCTGTTTCAATTGCGTTGTTTCCGCCTTGTCCTGTCAAAGGCTCGAACTATCAAGCAAAGACGAACCACGGTCAGTCTTGCCTCAAACTCACTTTTCACACCAGGGTTCTTACCTTGTGGCTGGCGTCGCCAATAGTCATGATTCTTTGGAAGTACCATTTTTTATACACGTATTCGGGCAGAGCTGTATAAACCGAAGCGATCTTGCTTTTGTATAGATCCGAGAATCGAAGCGTGGGGGTGATCTGATCGTCCCAATGTTCCTTCGCCAACGCCTCCTCTTCTTCCTTTGAAAATCGAGGAACGTCTTTTCCGTACAAAGTTTTACCCATGTTTCGGACAAGGAACCAGTATGTCCGTTTTCCGGGTCCGCTGGGGATAAGATATGAGAAATGCTCATTCAACACTGAAGTCAAAGTACCCTTCTCGATACCCATTTCGCCTTCGGAGATTCCGAAAATGCAGGCATAAGTTGCAGGAATTGCTTTTTATATAGTCAGCATCCATCGTAGGAGCCTAGTGCGAGCGAATTCTTCGGCTTACCCGTTTCTTCTGAAGGATCAATCCAACTGGGGTCGACCTTTTGGGCAAACTTCCACATTTCCTGACGAACTGTTGAGTGAATACCGTCGGTTCCGACCACAATGTTCCCTGTGAAACTTTGACCGCTCAAAGTGGTGACAGTGACATTTGAATCGGTGTGCTCGATACTCTGGACACGTTGAGAGGTAAGGACCTTGGACTTATCCTGGATTTTGTTGTAGAGGATCTCTATCAACATCTGACGATCAAGGAAGACAGCGGGATATCCATGGCTGAAAAAGGGTTAGTGACTCTGCATTCACTTTTTGGGTGCGAATATCAAATGCGACGAACCGTTCGCTGACATCGCTCTCAAAGGATGGGAATGACCTTGTCACTTGGCCTCGCGAATCTCGAAAATATATCTTGTTGACAGGGTACTCTGCCTTATCAAGAACAGATTGGCAACAGTCCAATTGGTCAAGAATTCGAAGTCCATTCGACAAGACACCGATACTTGCTCCGACTTGAGGTGCAATGCTTTTGTAAGCTTCCAAGACGACGAAGTCAATGCCGTGTTTTTCTAGCATCAAGGCTAAAGAAAGCCCGGAGATGCTACCACCAACAATAACCACTTTGAAAGGTTTGGGGTCCATCATACAGTAGCCTATACGGGCGAAGTGAGGTTCGGGAGAATTTGGAAAATTGAATGCAATGGGCTGTTGGGTGATTTATACTCCCTCGCTAACGGGATCTGCTCAGCCAAAATTAATTTGCCATTAACTAAAAAGGATATATCAAGCTTGCCGATCCTGTAATTCAATTTCATCGGTAGGAAAATCCCACCGTGATCACTCGATCAACGGAATGGTTTACTGTAAGTCGGGGCAATTCCTTGAATGATCAATAATCGGGCCAATAGGAGTGCGTGGACTATTGAGGCTAACGAGAGTTCCCCACTGTGGAGTACCAAGGTGTAGAGCGGCCAGGGGTCAGATTGGGTATTTTTGTCATATTGATGCCTGAAGATGCCTTATTTTAGACCGGCAGAAATTAAAATACATGAATTACTATGACAAGTGCCTTATTAAGCAAAGTACCAGAATTGCCCAAATGCTCAAGTTTAATAAAATGAAGCTATTCCCACTACATAAAACTGCATTTATCCCCAAATTCAGGCGTTGAAGAAATTATTTTCTGACAAAACTGCATTTATTCCCAAATTCAGGCGTTGAATATATTTTCATTTGACAAAAATGCGTATTTTGCAATATTGAAGCCATTCCTACCATACAAAACGTCATGCACCCGCAGGACCTGGCGATGAAGCCATTCCCACCACACAAAATGTTATGCACCCCTAGGACCCGGCGATGAAGCCATTCCCACCACATAAAGCGTCATACACCCCTGTATTGTTCCACCACATCTTTGTATTCACCTCTGCACCCTCCTCCGCTGGCTCCGACGTGGCGGTGTAGTTAGCTCATGGGGTCGAGATCGACCTCGCTTCCGCACTGTTCTAATAACCTGGACGCTTCTTGCTGGTGAGGCTGGTGATGCTGGTGAGGAAGGTGGAAATGGTGGTACTCGGAACACTGGCTCAGGTGTCGCTGGCGCTGGCGCTGGTGTCGCTGGCGCTGGCGCTGGTGTCGCTGGCCGAGGGGGTCTTGTAACGAGTTCTGTGTTCGGCCAATTCCACACTTGCCCTTCGTACCGCGCAACAACAATATGTAGCTTCGCGGTGCGAATGGTTTCCACGAACTGCTTCGCCGTACCTAGGAAGTCTGCTTTAATTCCTGGAACCCACCTAGGAAGAAGCTTCTTCCCTGCACCCGTCATCATCGCGTCAGCGAGATAGAACTTGTCTGTGTATTCAGCCTTAAACGTCACGATCCCAGGTAGCTCAGGGAGTATCTTTTCCCGTACTAGATGGTCGATATCACCGATGAGGTCGTGGGGAGGGAGCCGGATCGTAGTCGTAGCTATTGTTATCACAATAAGTTAGTATAACTAAGTCCTCGATAATAGATCATGATGCTATACCATTTGGGATTGGTTCTGTGTTATCTGGGCTTGTTTGCAGATAAAACACCACAATAAATGACACCTCCCGCTCTACTTGTTGAGTAGCTTGCTGGTGTTGACCGTAAGCAAGCCGAGTACTGCTGACTGTGCCGCGAAGTGTGGAGAATGGTATACCCGTAAGCTGGGCCGAAGATGGAGGTGCGCTCGCTGTCGGTGTCGGTGTCGGTGTTGCTGTCGATGTCGCTGTCGATGTCGGTGGTGTTGAGGTCGCTGGCGAAAGCGTTACTGAGTTCATTTCCCGCCATTGAGTAATAAAGGCAGCAATAGCAGCAGCAGAGGGTATATCAGACATAATGAGATAGATGAGAAACGTATCTTCGTAAATTCCTAGTTAGTTCTATTTAATAGAGAGGGTTATAATAATAACCAAACCACTTACTGCCGAGACATTATATCTCCTCCGAGACACTTGGCCGCCAATTAGCAGCGCCAATTGGCTTAGCACAAACGTCGAGTATTGGATCTCGACCAGCATCCCAGTGTGCAAACGCTCGCACCCGAAGTGCTTCGTACACCGCTCGATATGGCGCTTGTTGATCCCCAACAAAGCAGATTCCCGGATCTTCAGGGTTGAACGGTATCCCCGCTAGCTGCTCCCCAATTTCAGCAAGCTGTTGTTGACACCAAGCGAGTGTAGACGGAGGAAGATATTCATTAGGATTCCATAGCTGTACATCTTGTTTTAGCGATTGGAATAGCTGCGCGTTAAGGTCAATTGGACAGCGAAGGTCTGCTACATCAGAATAGTAGTAATTAAATTCTGGCCTCCCTGATACAAAACCTGGTGAATTTTGGTGTTGAATGCGGTGCGTATTCCAGTTTTTGGTGTATGAATATACCCGGCGTCGAATAACTGGCATATAGATAGCAAGGAGAGACACTTGCTCGGGGATACAGTCTTTCGTAAAAAGGTTATCGCGATGGAGATGGTGGAAATACTCCTATTAATATATCAGTATTAATATTAGTGTCGGTATCGGTGTTTCTTACATGGAATAGACCAGTGCATGCTCTTGATAATAGTCCCCACCATGCCTCGATCCGCTGGTTATCAACACTCCTACCATATAGGTAACAGTCGCTGATCTTCACTGTCGGGTCTGCTAATTTACGAAGCTCATATTGTGCATCAGCAAGTAGTGTAGTCTCGGTGCCTCGATCAGATCGAATTCTTTTTGGTTGGAACCCTCCGTTGTCTGTAAAAGTTGTTAAGCATTGACTAAGAACGCTGATTGCAGTACGAGCGCTTAGCCCGACATATATCCAGATAACATATCGAGAGTAGCCATCAATTGCAGCATAGATCTCTATACCAAAAGGCTCAAGCTTCATATGTCCATCAACATGCCAAACATCATTCGGTCCTGGAGAGATATAATTGATCCGTGGTCGTCGCTGACCAGGGAGTCGACTGTGAATAGCATCAGGGCGAAGGACTCGATAAACGTCAACGACTTGCTTCCTAATAAAGAGATTAGCAAGTCATAATAACATAATATAGTAAGATATATACTCAGTGTAAAAAAGTCCCATTGCACGGAGATGACGGTAGAGATTTCGGCGGCCAAAATCCTCAATATCACCAATCATATTCTCATTCATCAATATAGCTTCAACATCACCGAGCTCTTGTTGACGCTCTGTAGGTGATAGACGGAGTTTGATCCCGAGATCATCCCGAATTCTACGCACAGTTCGTTCTGAAGAAGGCGTACCCTCCTTATCGAGGATCGTGAGAATCTCCTTTGTGTTTTAGCGAGGTAAAAGTTCTCGAACTCGGTCCTGAATATCGGATCGCTGAGTAAGGGTAGAACGTGTAGACTGCCATTCTCGGAGGCGATTCTTCAGACCCGACCGGCTGATTGTAATGTGGTATTTGTCTTGCAGGAGAGTGCGAATAACTTCATGTGTGGTCTCGTGAGCGAGAAGATCAAGGATCTCGTCTTTATAGGGGTCGAGATCAATGCGTAGGCGCATAATGGAGACAGGAATAGCTACACGGGGATAAGGGTGATGACGATGATGATGAAGATGATGAGTATGATGAGTATAATGATGATGAAGATGATGAAGATGATGGGAATAGCTTCGTTTACAATATGTAGATGTTAATAGCTTCATTTACAATACATGGTATGGAGCGGTCAAAAAAGCGGTCAAAAACCAGGCATCTTCAGGCATCAATATGACAAAAATACCCAATCTGACCCCTGGCCGCTCTACACCTTGGTAGTGGAGATCAATTACGGGCCGCGGTCAATGTTGGGGTTACAACATTGTACGTCACAATCCAGATCTAATACGAACCTCCAATGCCATCTGATCTTACTTGTTTGATTCGTCGCTTATGCGCAGAGCACAGTAAGAAAGGTTTTGTGTACTGCAATATAAGGGTCTTATTGAATATTTAAATGACTAGTTGTACGACATTATCTCTGCCTCAAGTGATACTGTCTTTTGTAAGGTATACTTTCTAAAAAGTTCTTAGGGACCCAAGAGTATTTCCCGGGCGCGCGACTTAAGGCATCCATCGAAATTGCCTCGAGGATACCAATAGGACGTCTTAACATCCATACTTGGTGGATCTCGTAACCATATCGTAGTTGCCCATTTAGTTCAACGGGCTCTGCGTCATTGTGTGAGATACATATGACATATTCGATGAGCTTCATTGGGGATTTGCTATACAGCCAGATGCGTTCGACGGTCGCTGGGAGGGGGTAATCGCGATATTCGTGGGATCTTCTGCCCCGTGCGATCTCATTGGCACCCTCGGGTTCGATGCTCATGAATATCTGTGGTTGATTTTTGCGATTTTCTCATGGTGAAAATATTGCTTTCAGATGAAGAGAGCCGATGAAATTCCCAAGTGTATTGCAATTTATACCATTTAATAACAACTTGGCAGTAACTCTGAAACTGTCGCCTCTTTGAGCATTCTTTGTTATTTTCAACGTATGAAAAAGTATAAAAGGCGCATTCTCTCGAATCAGGGCAACAAAGCGCCTCGCTCAGAACAAAAAGTCGGTGAACCTCATACTAAGTCGTATCAAAACAGCTGGAGGTGTCTCATGTAGCCATGTATCAGAGTCGGAGAAAAGGTGATGGATTTTAGGCGAGGGGAGTCGCCCACCTCCAAGAGCCCTTGTTCTAGTCTTGAGATGAGCCTTATTCGCCGTCCGACTGCTTCACAAACTTAATGAAATCCTCATCTCCTTTGTCAGCCAGTTCTTTGAATGTAGCCTTGTTCGCAACTAGCCACTATTGCTCTTCTCCTGTCTGTATAAGTGTCCATGTGTCAGTGTGGTTTGCTTTTGATCAAGGCAGCATCACAAAAGAAACACACACCTTCGGCCGGGCAATTCCAGCCTCCAATGAAGTTGTAAATGCATCAAGCATCCAGACTGTATGAAGAGCCCTTTCGCCTTTTTCCGCAATGATTCGTTCCCATTCGGATACCACTGTTTTAAGCAAAGACAGAAAGGCCGATGTTTTATAAAATCTACACTTCGAAGGTGCAAATGAATTGAACAAAGATTAAGTTCCGCGCCAGAAAGATCGCACACTGTCTTGTGGGGGCGGGGGGTAATGATGTATCAATTAGCCGCATGTCTTTCGGCCGATGGACCCTCACCTCATTCAAGCCCAGCCAAACCCTAAATTATTGCGCAGCAGCAAATAGCATACAGCATATCAAGGGTTCTTGCGGACGAAATTCATCATACTTTAAAGCCATTTCAATAGTCTTCACAAGAATTCATAGCAGGGAATGGTTATCCCCCGCCTAGGTGATCGAGAAGAGGAAGGTCCTTTTTCTTTACAAATAGTAAAAATGCAGCACGATGGATGTATCGATAAAGACAAGGGCTTTGAGCATATCTCTACAACATGATGCGGCATAAATAAGATCAATCCTATTAGAGTTACGCGAAAGCCCTGGAGTGTCCATAAGATGCGAGCATCGTATAACAATGGTTTAGGCACTCTTGTTGTTGATCTTAAGGAGCTCAACCTCGCTGCAACAAAATTAGTGTCAAAGAAAATCATGCATGTCATATCAAGAACTTACAAGATGAGAGTAGAATTGGCGGGAATCTTGCCAGCAGCCCTGCATAGAAAGAATAACGTTAGAATAAATTCAGTCAACAGGTATTACAGCGTGTGTGAATGGTCGCCTGGATATCACGTTTATTCACATACTTGTCACCGTATCCGTAATCCCTGGAAATGAATACTGTCAGTTATTCCGAACTTCGCTCCGTTCAATGCAGAATGTACTCACGGGCTAATGGTAAGGATGGACTTTTCGCCTAGAGACATCTGCATCACACCCTCATCCCAACCTTATGACAGCATCAGCAATCCGATATTTGGCACAAAGTGGCAACTTGTGATCGTGAAGAAGAGAAAGGGATGCTGAATTCAATAAAAAAATAAGGAGGAAACGAAAATTACCCTTGATAACCTGTCCGACACCAATCTTAACATTGAAGACACCACGGCCAGGAGACCTAGAGCTGTCGAACCTGCAGGGATGAATCAATATTAGAAGCCCTCGAAAACCAGGCCAATGACATCGGAGATGATAAGTAAACTTACTGCTTTCCCTGGAAGCCCTTGTTGGACTTCTTGGCATCGTACAGCCAGCCGGTGTAGTGGATGGAGACATCGTCACCTTCAGCAGGCGAGGAGCCGGTTCCACGAGTAATAATCTTTCTTTCGACACCCATATTGAATTCTGTTGAGTAACTGTGGCTGTTGCAAAGAAAAAGTTGAATGGTTGATGTCAGCGAGGGGCAATGGATGCTGATTCGTATTTTTTTTTAAAGTGGGGGCATTTACCCGCACCGTACAAACATTATTGGGGATGTTGCTCCAAGGTGATTTATAATCTTGTATCTCAATGTTGTACATTAGTAACTCAAATTTTAATCAATCGTTAGTACTCTGAATATCCAAGCTCAATCAGAGACCACAACAAGTGTTCATCTTCGTCCGGGTTTTCGACATCCTCCCCATTAGGAATCAACTCTTCAACCCCTTGGATCTCCTTCAATCTCATAGAGCCCGACTCAAATCGGGTCATCAGTGCAGCCACCTGCGCATCGTGCTCTTGATTGACTCCTTTCTGATATCCCCGAATAGTCAGAGACTCAAGACTATCTGGAAGTGAGTCCACCAACATGACACTGCTTCTTTTCGCATCATCAGTTTCCACGCCCTGGGCAAAGTAAATCAAGAATCTAATCCCGATACTCAATTCTTGAAGTGTCACAAAGTCTTTTAATGACACGTTGCGGTCCCAGATCGATACCAAGTATTGGTGCGACTGAAACTCGAAGTTATCTTCGTTGAGATCCTCAGCGTCGTAGTCATCAGGATCAAATTGGTCGGGACCCCCCCATTTATCCCAGTCCACAAGATAGGAGCCTCCGGCCCGCAGTTCACCAGGGTATGTAGAAGTAAGCGTGTCGGTATCTATGTCAAGAACTTTCAGCGTGTGCCTATGCGCTGATAGACCTTTGATAAAGGCCTTTGGATTGAAGACCGGATGTGACCCGTCATTAGTTGCCCTTCCTCCAGTCGTGTATTGGAGCTCTGTGATAATCTTGCTTGTTTCCATGACGAGCAAGAGATAGTCTGAGCTCAAGCTGGAGTGGTTTATATGGATTTTGGTGATATTCGAACTTTTGCTTTCGCCGGTAAACTTTCCGTGGTCTTCATTTGGTTCAAAGACATCAATGCCAATGGACTCGATTAATGGGAGCTTGTTGAAAAGTTCAAGACAGGCAATCAAATCTGTTGCGTGCGAATAGAACCGCGAATCTGAGTATGAGGGAGGGATGTTGATCAGATAGACTTCGCGCAATTTCTGAAGAAAGTGAATTCCTTCTGGGCGGGAGTTCGCATATTTCAGAACTTGAACTAGCGGATATGCTAGCACTGGTGTTTCCCCTTCCTCAAGTTCGATGTGGTATTGGAAAGGCTGTGTCATAGCTATGGTCTCCAGATTTGGTGCCAGTGACACGAAGAGAGCGGTAAGAAGCTGTGTGATATATGTGCGTGAATTATCCCAGTTTCTAGGCGGTTTGTGTCAGAGATTTGTACCGGGAGTAGCCTATGGAGGCCATGATCAGGGCAGTCTCTTACCCAAACGAGCACCATCCATCGGCGCGGTGATTTACGTCCTTGCTGAAAGAAGCCTGCATGAGCATACTCATAACATCCTCCTCATTTCCATCTTTGAATCCCGCGTTTGCTACGGCACGTTTGAGAAGACGCATGTCGTCGGCGCTCAAATCGCGCTGGTGCGCTAACTTAGAGTAGGCACCATCCTCAGTTTGGTGCAGGTACTCAATCCGCTTCACAAAATGGCCAAGGCAAGGCCTCCTGACAATATTCATGAGCTGCTGAAACATAAATTCAAGAATGTCTTGATCAGCATCGATGACGATTTGCCTGTATGCTTCAGGATCGGCTATTTCACAGAACGAGTGGGGAGCAGCATTCGAGATAAATGGGTCGAGTGAGTGTTGAAAGGAAGAAAATGGAGCGGTTTTGTAGAACGATAGATTGGGGAACCTGTTAAAAACCCCAGGGGTTCGACTGCGCACGGATTTGATGACAGAGTCCAGTACCAAGGGGCGAAAGGAGAAAATGAGCCCGACCACGGAAACGACTGCAAAGAGAGCCACCCTCATTTTTTGAGACGCAATGTTGGATGCTTTTCGAATTGCGAGAAACCATCAGTTTTCGTACCTTTGAGGTTCGGTCCTTTGAGCTCCACATATTGAGCTAGCCAGAGATGGACTAGATTATGATGCATAGCGATTAAATTATTTCTAGGATTGCTGCCTGGACGTAATCTTCTTAACACCTTTGATTTAGCGCTTATCTACCATTGTCTCTGTTATAGTGACGCAGGTATTTTAATTTTCTGTCGGATTTATATAGTACGCCACACATGTTCAGGCAGCAATCCCAGAAGTAATACAATCCGACCCCTGGTCGCTATGCACCTTGGTAACTAGACAAAAATGAACACTATGAATGAACGTCGAGTAAATCATACAGACAAGACACTCGATCAATTCAACATATTCTTTTCTACTTGCTCATAAGTTTACAGAATTCTTCCCTTATACGTTTGACCCTTTTTTCACTATAACAGGTTCGGCTAATATTTAAGATGTAGAAAGAAATACGACAGATGCAGACTCATTTGAAGCTAGCTAGTTCCATGTATTCCTAAGAAGCGGCTGTTCATCATAATACTTTTAGTCTAGGAGAAATTTGGTTCGATTCCAAAAAAGATACTTACGTTCGATGAAGAGCTTGCTAGCACGCACCTTGTTCAACAGTTTCCGGGCATTGTGAAGAGCATAATTGACTGCTGCTTCTCCTCCTTTTTCCGGCTCAAAGACCAGATCAGAAAACAAGTTGCTTTGAGATCCTTGGCGACCAAGTCCACCTAATCTCGGGTAGACTTTTTGCGAGAAGAGACGGTCAATCATCAGTTCGATCAAAGCGGTATTAGTATAATCCTTCGTATCTTGGCGTAGATTTACTGAGACCCAGCCTACGCGTGCTGGGTCAAGGATCTCGTATTCGTGAATTGCCTTTTGGGAGGGTTCGTCCACGGTGAAGAGTCCCGATGGCACAAAATAGGAATCTGGCTCACTTTGGTCCATCATTTGACGATAAATTTATTCGATGTGTTTTAATTTGAGGGGCCATTTGATGCTATGAGTCTGCAATCTTGAAAGATGGTTTGCTAATCAGAGAATGGTTTGCTGTGGGCTGAAGAAGAATGTTTGACTCGACATTCGAGGGTATTCATATGATAAGTTGCGATATTTCCTCGTCAAGAACATTACCATGTAATCCTCCTAGGCCATTTTCATTCATTGCTTTATGAGCTTGAGTGGCCATTGCGACTATTGATCTGAATATGAGAGTAAAAAGACTAAAAACACAAAGGCTAAAAAAAGCCTCGAGTGTGGCTTTTTGTTCTTTGCTGGGGAGTAATCTCTATCAGCTCCCAAAGGCTGTGAGTGTGTCTACAGACCTTCAGGGGTGCTATCTTTATATCAGTATGGATGCCCAAATCGATTCATGAATTATATCCAAAGGTTGCCTTTGGATAACAAGAAGGGTGAGGATATCTCCTAAATCATTTATGTCAAACCGCTCTGGAGCAACGTCTACATATGTGAACTTCCATCTTTTATTCAGCAAGCCTCGCACACGAAATTGCGAATGATGTGCAAATACAACAGTTTTGTAACGCATTTGATGCAAATTACAAGATTGGCATACCAACAGGATTACTGTAGTCGATGTTGACATCTGTACTCTCAATCCTAGGGCTACATGTTCCGAATATACGATCCCAGACACGTGTCTGCTTTCCATAATTATGACTTTTCTTCCAACCCTGACGATGATGCAAATCATGATCTTCAATAACCAACTCTGCATCAAACATTCTCATCAACCATGTCAGCGGGTTCGGCGGCGAAGCATGAAGACGGAGACCGCTATGTCCAGCCAGTTCTGCGAACATTACATATAGCTGGCAAACGTGCCATTCGTAGAACCCCATCGGCATGCCCATAAGCCTCATCGTGAGCCATGTCATCAATGGAATCCCGGCGATGTCGAAGAACTCTTGTTCTGAGTCCGCATAAATAGTGAGTAGTGGGTTGGGGTGTTTCGTGAGATGGTGGGTACGGTGGAATTTCCAAAGACTGTTGACGTCGTGCATGAGGCGGTGGTACCAGTAGAACCAGAAGTCCAAAATGATTCCATAAAGACTGACTTCAATCGGTAACCAAGCCCAGCTGAGTGAGGCGGGTGCTTCCTTTGCGTGGTATGTGAGCCACGTCGTCATGAGTGGGCGGACGAGACCTGCCAGCAGAACGGACGTCAAGGCTTTTGAAACACCAACATCTGGCACGCCGTCCCGCTCATGTTTATCGCCGTCGAGAAATCCGTGGATGTGGCCGAGTTCCCGAAGGTGGCGAAGTTCGCGGGTCGTGAAAAGGCGGGACGCATAGTAATAGTAAAAGAAGGCGATGACCGGGTGGAAGTTGTATCCGGTCAGGTGGGTGAATGTTTGGTGGACGATGAGGGGAATTCCCGCGTTGACAAGCACCCATCGATTCAAAGACCAATCTGAGACGTAGGGAATCTTGTCTTGCTTGGAATGGATCGGAACCTCCCGGTTTAGCTCCACGTGATATACATTTGCATGTTCGAATATTTTGTGGGGTAGTCTCCATTGATCGCGGTCCCAAGTTCGCCATGTGGACTTCATGTTATCCATTGGATTTCGTGTGCTTTCCATGATGAAAGTGTGGCTCTCTTTCTCTGGAGTTGTTCGAGACCATGTCGACGAGGGTAGCCTCCATCTTTATCATGCTGATCTTTGAGATTACATAGAGACCGAGGTTGGCACATGCTCTGAACGAAACGTCGGAAAATACTCATATTTAGTTTTCCCCACGTGTGAATTGGGCTCTAAATGGCATCATAAACAGGAACCAAAGGGCCAAGTCGAATGCCGATTGGTCAGTCGCAGTGGTTGCCTGAAAAGGCTTAGACCAGTGGATCAGCTATGGGCGATCATTCTCAACTGAATACTTGGAGACCCGACACATTACCCAATACGGAGTAAGTACCTGTAAGCCGTTCGTATTGTGCCGGGGAACCATGCGAATGAGGCAACAGTCCGGTTGAGATCTCGTAGAATATCGACCCGACGCAAGAGATCCTCGATCACGAGCTTCCGCTTCCATAAATATGCTTGATTAGTTGAACCACTAAACGGTTCATTGCCCTGAATGATCTTGATTTGTGTGGTCTTGATCGTTTCTCATCCCTATCGTGGTTAGTCCCTGCAAACACTGCTCACAACCTAAGGTCGGTTCATACTCGGCTGATCCTCGGGTTAAGGGGGGCCTAAATTTATGCTTATATTTAGCTCCAACTTTTTCAAACGGTCCACCTTGAATTCTTGATAAACTTTGTTTTTGAATCATCACTCGTTTTAAATCATCACTCGTTGAGAATGATAACTATGGGAGGGATTTTATATGACACTGTTCCTACATTCCTATGTGGTGGCCATAGCACTACTTTACATGCTTCAGATTCAACCACTGAAAATAACGGGAAACGAGATGAGATCGATGAGCACATACAATCCTGTAAAGATCAGATTATGCAGGCTGATCTGACAAAGCACAGCTATATTGATCTAGGAAGGTGGGACAGTCGATCTCCTTTTCCCCGCAGTACAACACTACATAACACCTCTCTGCGAACATCGAGACAACATTCACATCATTAAAGAAATTCAATCCAAGAACAACCTCGACCAAACGCTAATTTATCATGTCTCTTGCAACTCTCGATGTGAGAATCCCCTGTTATAGTATAATGACTCCCTCAAACCCCCAACCTCGCTGACGTCAAATAAGACCACTCAGCATCCATACCTCCCCACAGCGTCCGCGACGCTCTTTAGAGCCAAGGCTGCCAAAAAGCTCAGCTTCGAAAGAATCGGCGAGCACCTCGGTCGCAATGAAGTAGCCGCAGCGGCCATTTTCTACGGCCAGGCCAAAGCATCCCAACAAGATATTGAAAGGCTGGCTAGTCTACTCGGAATCCCCCAGCAGCCCTTGGAGGAACAACTCAGTGGGTTCCCCGATCGCGGTCGCACGGTGGAGATGCCCCCCAAGGAACCTCTTATCTATCGACTTTATGAGATTGTGCAGAACTATGGATATGCCTACAAAGCAGTTCTGAATGAGAAATTCGGGGATGGTATTATGAGTGCCATTTCTTTCTCTACCAAGGTTGAGAAGGAGACTGACGAGGACGGTAATAACTGGGCTGTCATCACTCTTCGTGGAAAATGGTAAGTCGATCCCGATCTCGTTGTCTGCATCACAGTCTGACGGATAAACAGGTTGCCCTTCTCTCGGTTTTGAGATAGTCTAACTAGAAAGGTACTTGAATGAGCAAGAATATCATGCATTTACTTTTAGCCCATTCGCCGTCACTGGCCGAACATCTTTGGCATGTTCCAAGTGATTTCTTGGTGACGGCTGTAAAGCAATCTAGATGCGAAGCCGCCTGGGTCCTTGGTAGCTTTGGAAAATCTTTTATCTGATGGTCTATTGGACTTCATACGGCAGCCTGCGCCTTCGACTTTTCAGCTATGATCCCTAATATGGCAAGTCATCTGCCATTTTGATGCAGGAAAACGGTAAACACCATCAAGGCTATGAAGTGATAAGTAAAACTTACAGTAGAAATATAACAGGCTCATAATGAGTTGAGTTGGAAACGACAGGATGGGCGGTTTAAGTATCAAGTAAAAGGATGCGACGTGTAAGGCCGATATAAAGTTGCAAATGACGGTAGAAATGGCCTTGCCGAGGAAGTAGTCACTCCGGGAGTAGCCATGGCAGGATTCTCTAAGGAAGACCAGTTCTACAATAATATGATTAGACTGGTGGATATGGCATATAGTTGATTGTACTCTCTCTCTTCGCCGAAGGTTTGACGCCCGCTAGACCGGACACATCAGAAACATTTGAATGGGACCGGGTGCGTGGGATTGAAATCGACTTAAATTGACTCCAAACACTCTAAACTGTGCTTTCTCGCCATAAATAAAGAGACCAAGGGTTGAAACGGGAGTCACCCTTGGTCCAATGATCGATTCCCACAGATTTGATTGGCTTCAGGAAATTAAATCTGCAATTCTCTAGTCGCATGTGACAGTTGCCATACTCACAAATCAAAAGTATGGTGTCCAAACTTTCCAAACTCAATGAAGCTAATGCGAAAATTGATGGTGTAACAAGCAAAGGCCCTGCTCTATGTTCGCTAGCTCTAGCAAGTTTTGCCAATACACGAGAAGTGATGAAAAACCAAACCTAGCATGAGTCACAAGCCCTTGTGAAGATTCTCAAAAAGGGATCGAACGCCTTGAAGATATCAGCTAACGAACGCAGTCATACAGCATGGATGACGTCATTTACCTCGATCCCTGTAGACTCGATCCCTATTCGGCGACCTATTTCTTGCACCATATGATTTTAATGATTTTTTGAACGTCGAACAAGATTCTTGAGGTCTCTACCAGAGCATTTCTAACTTTTTCCTACGCGTTAGCTGCACTAGCTAGATGTACAACAATCAACTATGATCTGGTCAAATATTTACAATTCTCTAATTCGTTTAATCCCGCTTGTGCTGAATCAATTGTGGTCCTCGGAGTATTCTAGCGTTGGCTGCGGTTACGTTGCACAATAACGGACATGGACTCATGTAAAACACACATACTTACAACCGGCTTCCAAGACGGAAACATTCAATTACCCAGAAAATACCGAATATTTCCTCGAAAAGAAGTTCACTGTAACAATAAATTGTATCTGTTTCATTTCTTCATGAACCCAGGTCTTCGAGTGCCATCTCCAAGGAGCTAATCCAATTGTTCAGTTGTTCGCACCGTGCACGATTCTCACCAGATTCTCCTGCGACATGTTGATTCCTTTTTGATCTGAGATAGAGAGAGAGGGTATAATGGATGACTCAAGAACACTTGGTAGCGTTTTAACGATAGGGTGTTCTATAATCTGCCTACCAGCGTTGTCGACGAATGTTTTCATTGCGACTTGATCTGTCAGTACCCATCTTGTTATCCCTTTTACAGTCACTATCCCGACGATAAGAATTGATTGAACCCGATAGACTAGAAAGGGACTAATTGGGCACCATACAGGGTACCTCAGGTATGGATACCACTCAGAGTTATCGGCCGTGCAATGAGAGTCAAATATGGATTCCTCCGTGTATAGACAGGCGATGTTTCTTGGCTATATTTCGAGCCCAACGTAGCTAGTATTTGACTGCATTGAGGAATTAAGAATGGTTTTCGGATACAAGCCGACAAAACTCACAAATGTCGATTCGGAACTTGGTTTTCGATCTCGAGTAAACTCAATCTTGTTTGACCAGAACTTTATTTACAGCCCTATTCGTAGTAATGTATTTCCTCAAATGTCAAGGATTGAGTTACATAATTTGGTGATCGAATTGGTTCCTCTCGGCCTGCATACTAGATCTTCAATGCTTTACAGCATTCCGCTTTAACAGACAGTAAATAATCTTAGGTCTTAGATATAGTGGCGATATCTTCATCTACTGAAGGTCCTTACCATGTCAAAAGTGCAAGTGGGGCTTGGGGTGGGCTCGGTTACGGGCCGAGGAGGAACCACTTCGTGTCTATTACGGAAGATATTAACGGAATATCGACTCATCATCCTGCGTGTAACATTCAAGCTTCAAGCGGCCGAAATATCTGCTCTTACAAACGTGGGCCGACGTTATAACTTTAAACTGCATAACCTTGCAGCTTGTGTATTTGCACCGAAGCCTACGCATTGACCCTGCACTACTATACAGCATTGAATTTGGTATTTATCTTATTAACGGTTTAAGCGGAGCTATAAATCTTGAAGACCATTTTCCTTACCTACGTCAGTTTATTTCCTTGTCTCACTTTGAAAAGCTGAGTCGGAAATGGTTAAATGTCCGAATTTTCTCGTTTTCTTTCCTACGTTTCCTATCGTTGCTCCGCTATTACTACCGCCCGTTGATCAACTTGAAACAGCCACTAGCACATATTTGACTGTCACCTTGAGTAGCTGAGTATCCAGTATGCACTTTTCTCCCAGATACCCTCCAGGTTTGATGCATAGTGCTGATCACCAGAGAAGGTCATCATTATTGAGCTTCAGATCAGATAGCCATACCTCACAAGGCACTATCCAGACTGTTGCATTGTATTACAATACTCGGATCCGAGTTAAACCGGATTTGTCAGCTCAAACCAGACGAATGGTACCTCAGATTCAAGGACGAGCGTACGATAAATCCGAGATGTCTTTGTTTATTGCCAGGCTTTGCTACAATGCCACAATAGACGAGCGTAGAACTTCACAGGACAAGCATGTATTGTCTATTTCAAAGCATCAAGCCCACCTCCTTCAACAGTGGGAGTTGTTGACTCAGATAAAAGAACGAGTGATTGAGAATGGGGGAAGTCTGTCGCCCGTTGATGAAAGGCAGCTGATACAGTATGAATGGAGATACGACCAACTTGAGGGACTCTTAAATCAGTCTATGCATGGCATTGAAGGATAAGAACGCAATATTTACACCTTCTGTTTAGCTATTTCCCAATATTAAAACTCCATGAGGGTAAGGGTCTTGAGATCAATACCGGGTGGAACATCAATGTCAATTCAGTCTTTATTGCGACTGCGGTAGTGCTTGTCAAGTTGCCAAATCACTTATATTGTATTTGCACCCCAAATTATTCAGGCAATCCTAATCTGTCTCGAATCAAGCGAGTAACTCGTCTTCTGTCTTATAGACCGTCTGCAAATATTCTTTGCGTTTTCAGCTCTTACTGGATCACTATTGCAATGTGGAATCGGCTCTACATATCCGTGTCTACAGAATAAAACACATTGAGGAGAGGCTGAGTTGCATTTTGAAGCTAATCAGCCAAATTTCTCCTTTTTGGTTGACTGATGAGGTTGTTGGACCGTCGAGTCTCCACGGTTATTTACGAACGAGACCGTGATGCTGTCCCATTATCGCACAGTGCAAAAGGCGGCGCCTAGGAATTATTAACTGCGCTCGTTGATCCTTGGGTCCGTGACTTACCTACCCATTCGTCCGAATCCCATAACCAGGTCAAAACTCCTTTAATTTGATTATGCTAAACGCAGATACAATAGTCCGTCCCTCGCGCTTATAACTCAACTTAATAGATGAAAATGCAGGAAACCAAAAGCACTACCAAATGAACCCTCAACTTGAGCGTTCAAATAGCTCGGCAAAATCCCGCTGGACTGCACAGTGGGGTTACACAGTAGTTCCCTGAATATCGCTTCAACAACCGGCTCAGGCGGAGACACCTACACCCACACCCACACACCGACACACAGACTTTAAAGTCGATGTCAACAGCAGACTTCCCCATGGTTACACCTTGTTCATCCCTTTACCTTTGACTAAAACAATTGTGATTATATTGGGCTATAATCTCCAAATTTGATGTGAAACCTACTGCTTATGCAATAAATTGCTTTCGGTTAAGGGCCGAGTAGCAAGCAGAAATTGGTGTTCCACCACACCCTTAACTTACGACTGCTCTGTGTTGTTAAGTGTTTACTATCCTTGATTTAACACTATCATATAGCGCAGAAGAGAGAGCGTCAGAATGCTAGACTTCAGACCTGATACTACGCCAAAAGGGTATATAGGCTAGGACTCAAGTAATACAAACTCAAACATACAAAGTAATCAGAGAGACATAGCATTTCTAATGGCCTACATGGCCGTAGAATGCAGGAGCAATATGTCCCAATTATTGATCCACAGGAGTCAACTTACCCTTCTTACTTTTAGAGTTTAAATAGTTTAAAGTAGATATAGTGTTATCTGATGTCTAGAAGGTTTCAATTTATTGAAATGGAGTTTGGTGGATAAATTAAAAAAGAATTGTTGTTGAAACAACAGACATATCAATGATCTCAGACACTCCATTGGAGGATCCCTGACAACAAGTATATGGTAATCTTTCCGAACACAGGCGGTTAGGCAGGAGGCTAGTTGAAAAGTGGCCACTTGCCGCTAGCTTTGCAGGTCATTAAACCCGGTGCGCCCCTTCTGCCTAATGGTAGTATGTTTATATTATGACCACATATCTATTTATCCCACTCTGCCCGATGAATCATTCGTTTACCATCTGAGGGAGGTTGTGCCACCATGTGGAGGGCGAATATACGTCACGACAGACAAGCCCCGGGCTTTATGATCCATGTTCTTTCATAAATTGGCCTTTGATCTCCAAACTTGGACTACTGTACCTCTATAGTTTATTTTCCCGGACTGAAAAGCCAAATATTTCGGTGGTTGGACATTGAATAAATTTGACAACATTCCTGTATGTGATTCACATGGAGGAAGAATTGGAGTCAGTCACAGATTCCGAGACATAGGAGGACTCGTTTCATTTTCATTCAAGCTAACATGATCAGCATATCATCTCCTTTGCCAACTGATAGTTTCAGCTTATCAAATTTCCAAGCTTCAGCACCAATAAGACGTGACTATCTGTCAAAGCAATACTGGAGAGGTACCATGGATGACGAGTCTTACCTTGCCTATCCTTCCATCGGACCCTTCGCACCCTTCGCACCATCTTTTATGTGGGAAAAGGGGAAGAGCTACTGCTCCGCAGGCGGATACTCATATGGTGCCGACGAGATATTGTACATGAATTGTCAGCAGTCTCAGTCCCTAGGCCGTCTTGCGGGAGACTATGGAGAATTCATATTCGGCATTGATCCTCGATTGGTAAGATCGTCATCTGCGTCACTGCTTCCAAGCACTACGAACTGAGAACACCATACCTGTTCTCTCTTTTTGTATCATCAACCCTGATCCTTTCACTTGAAATTTGGCACCTTGTACTAAACAACCTACTATATCTGCACAAGCGCCAACTGTTTAAATCACAGGCAACTGATAAGCAAGACTATTCTGGAGGGTGGCAGACACCCCTAGAGCAACCATCATGCCACAAACAAGGAAAGGCTACTCCTCAACCGATCCACAGTGCTCCGCCATGCCGACCGTCCCTCCCCTTTCTCCCCCCGATCATCACATATTCAAGGCTCCAAGCGGAGTGATATTGGAGGGAGATCAGCGTGTGATGACATCCCCCTGCCAACAATCGATGGTAGTCAGATGGGTAAAGAAATCTGTTCACTGACCACTCAGACCCCATACTCTTACCTCATATACCAAGCTTTATTGACTGCACCGGAGATGAAAATGCCTCTTCAACGAATTTATGCCTGGTTCGAGGAAAACACTACAAAATGCCAGCAAAGGGATAAGAAAGGATGGCAGACGAGCATTCGTTACAACCTGTCAATTAATGCGGTTGGTGCCTACCCCGATCGAATCCGTCCAATCTACACTCCTCCTGGGCAGAATTAGCTTGTTCAAAGTGGAGCATTATCTAACAGCGTAATGTTCTAGGGGTTTGAGTCGATTAGATCAAATGCCTCGGGGAAAAAAGCTGCTATCTTCTGGCATCTTACCCAGGAGGCGCTTCAGAACGGCATTCAGCCAACCAGTCAATTTCGGAAGAAGAAAGCCAGAGAAAGGAAATTGGCAATCAAGGCTCGCTTCTAGGAACTAGTCTTGAGCAATCAACATGACCGAACCAGAATAAAACAAGTAATTGTTGCTCAATTATTGTTTCCTGCTCAAAGCACCCATCGACTACAGTGACTCGATACCACTCATAATTTTTAAGTAGATTTTGGCGTCATTTAAGTCTCATATAATACGAGCTAACTTAGTTTACACCGGATGTTGCTGTTCGACATTTGAAAATTTATCATAGGACTGAGAAATATGGTATAGCTATATTGAAGACTTTCACTTACTACGCGTTTACGCAAGACTTAGTCTCCGAATTAAGTTGGACCATCCAGATTTACATATGAGCTAAGTCTGTTTTGGGATACCATATGCGTATCCCAATTTTTAAACTCAGACTAGGTTATAGAAATACACAAAGCCAATACTCTATGGCAGCGGAGGCAATATTGAACTAAACTCAGACAAGAAGGCTGTATAATATACCTTAGCAGCTGCCAAAAAGATGCTTTCGGCGCTTGATATCACCATTGTACAGGCAAAATACTGGAGAAACAATTTGCTCATGACTAACAGACGGGTAGACTCTCCCTAGATATGTCAGTTCGAAGTAGCATTTGAGTGTTCTATATCAAGCCCAACTAGTCCCAGCTTAGAGCGCAATATTATTAGTGTAATTTGACCGAGAACTTGGCATAAGGAGACTATATAACTGCCGCCGATTTCACTCCATCGTTCACATTGTGTGTCCACATAAAGGCTCTAGGATTGTCCTGCTGAGTGTGCCTGCAACATTGTATATTAGGGCCACATGTTGCTAGAGGTACCATGTATCGGAACTAAGTGTTTCTGGTCTCCATAATCCGGTTGTACAAACTATGAGATGCAAGTCCGACGCAAGTTTGCAAAATTATCTTTCACCGAATAACGATGTTTCAACGGTTCCCTCCACATTACATCAATCCAATAGACTCTTGAATGTGATACTGTGAAGTTTTCACGAAGTATGATATTCATGTATTTCATAGTCAGTGGGAAGCGACACCACTGACCTCAATATCTTAGTGGAAGTCTATGTTTGGGACTATTGAATGAATATATGTTACCCCCACAGTATTTTGTAATAGAGCTCATCAAACAATGCATGTTTACTTTAGAATTCGGGCTCCAAAGTTGCATCAGAAATGGGAAAACGATTTGTAGCAGCATATAAAATCATCATTCGGGCAGTCGAGCCCAGAGCAGCTATGCTTCGTTCAAAGTCAGTTCGTATCGCCCGTTTAAAACTTACCGTAGCAATGACTTACTTGTCTCTCAGATTGATGTGTGATATCGTTCTTCCTTGAGAACTTCATTGTCACTGTAGGCGGGGAGATACTATTCAATCGCAGCGACTCTTGTGCCCAAAATCCAAAGGCTAATCGACCCTGATAATAGTAAAAATCCAAGTCGACCGCATCACAGCTTTGCGGACTATCTGTGATATTTTGTGTCCAAATCGTGGACTTGCGGCCGTTGGGACCCCAAAGTTTGTGGCTTACGGCACAATTAAGAAGTACAATCATGTGAGCTGTCGGAAATATGATGTATCTACATGCGGACTTTTGTTCTTAAATCAACATCGGACGCCTCACATAAAGATGCATATTACTGTTTCACAGCATGTTCTACAAACTTGTCGACTTCATGGTTTTAGATGGTTGGAGAGTTTAATATTCCCGTTCTGTGTCCCATACAATCGTGATCACTGATTTCTCCCATGGGCATTGAACCCTAGCTGAGCCGAGCGCAAGGTCGACGGCAGTTTGTGTCGAGGTAACTGCTTAGAATGGTCCATCATGTTTGTGTTGTGTTTGTTTTATCTCTATCGTCCCCTGTAAACATCATACAGATTGCTGGAAATAAGGGGCATAAAAGACAGAATTGAAATATATATCTAGTAGCCGGACACTTCATACATTGAACAGATTACCCGAAAAACAATGTGCTTCGTGGGAAAATGTTTCCAGATTTGTCAGTCTCAATTTGACTCGTGTGCTATATTACAAAATCGTGTGCTATGTTACAAAAGCGTGTAATCTTTCTCTGATCGGTTGATCATTGCTCTTTTTTATTGGGTCCCGTTCCGAGTCGGGTCGACTTTTAATCCGATCTGTGAGCCGTGCCGCGCGATAAGGCCCATACAGAGCAGCCAGGCTCGCCTTGATGAACGATCTGTGGTCGAAATCTCGCCTAGCCAACGGGTGGCTTTCTGTATATATTCAAACAGTTGAGCGATTTTGAGTGTGCCAGGTTGAGTATGAGTGAATAACTCAATCAGTAGAATAGTTGTAGGTTGCATAGTATAATGGAGAATGCACCACCAAGGGGAAATTTCGAGTAGCCAGCTCATATCTGGCTTGGTTGGAAGCAACTCTAGCATGCGTTTTGCTGTTGTGACACACGCGTATGCCATGTACTCACATGCAGCATCCGGTAAGTCCGGTGAAAGTCTGAATCGTGATAGACGGCGAAGACATGGTTGCGAGATGATCAACTTCGTGGTGTAAAACTGAAAGGCTAGACGAGTGCGCTGTTGAGCGAATTTTTGGGTAAAAGCTGACTCTCTGAAGTCGAACTCATTTGGTAGACGGGACAGCCAGTCCTCGGCATTTTTATCAAATGTGTAAATTGCAAGCGCAAGCTCAGCCCATGGGCGTCGCGCCGCCCCAGGAGCATGCAATGTGTTCAATACCTCTTGTAGAAGAGATACTAGATCCACCATGTACAGGAAGCACAAAGAATCATTGGGTACCAAAGCTGCTCGGATGTTCTCAATATCTTTGTTGGTGTTTCCCTCAGTCAGCGACAATACGTGGGCCAAATCGGTGTCATCACTCAGAGTTTGCCGTGACTCAGGCCAAGCACCATTGCAGAGTAAAGAGGATACCACAGCATTTCTTGTACCTTGGTTTGTAACAACGTTCTCGAATCGTGTATCCAGAAGTTGTGCCTCATCCAAGGGCAACGGAAGGGGTGTAGTGCAGAAAGTAGTACACGTGGTTGGTGCCCGACCTGTGATCACGCTTAATCCAATATCCAACATGAACAGCGCCCACCATAGTCGGTATCGAATCTCTTTCGATATATAATGGGTAGTACGACTCTCGTTGCGCAAATGTAGGCCCATGGTTACTGCTGATTGGATTGCCATGCCAGTTATTTTCCATGATCTGAAGATACGTAAGCAAATGCATTATTCCCTGACGTAGGTGCCAATTCAGATGAAACGTACCTATTTATCTGGCCAGTCGAGAAGAGATACAAGGCAAGTAGGCCATATATCTGTATTGACTGTAGGTTTTGCTGTTCTAAAACTGCTGTACTCCCCATTGCCAGTTTCCACGCCCGCGCAAAGTAAGTTGGATGCAAATGATCGTTTGATTGAGTGTGGACTAGTAGGGTCTCATGTCTCGATGCAATGGCAAAAACAAGATTCAGAATTGCAACCCATCGTCTACCGGGTCGGGCGTTTGGATTTGAGCGAAAATATCGATATTGTTTCACAAATGTCAACTCTCCAATAATAGGGAAGGACGACTGCAAATGGTAAAAGTAAATGGCAACAAGTCTATCCGCGGTTTGCGGGGGTGGCTGCTTCGTGGGGTCAATCTCTTCGCTGATCGAAATTTGGATGTCGTCCTGGTAATAATTCGCAGAGGATATGGAAGGCTGACCTGTGACTTTTTCGTGGGATGTTGAGTTCCTCTGGTCGAGGTCTTGTTTGAGTCTGCATAGCCATGCTATCTCCGAATGTTCGCCAACAAACCCCATCCCCTGCCCTTCACCATTTCGGTGGAAGTCCTCTTCAGTGTAATCATTAATACCAACTGGAAACGCAAGATTAGTCGAATTTCCGCACGTTAGAGAGGTATTGAGAAGTAGGATCCGATTCAATGGCCTCCGCGGCGAGTACATAAAGACCGGATCGTGGATTCTGAGCGGTGAGCCCATTTGATTCAACGTTTGATCCAAGAGATAAGCCGAAGACGCATCTAGCCAAGGAGAGAGATTGCGAAGTAGCTTAGTCAATTTCTGAATGTGCAGGTGCATGATTAGGTGACTCGGCTCCCTAAAGCGAGTGAGAAAATATTCCACGGTCTATTCATCCAATCTTACTCCTTCGTTTCCTCATTCCGATAACCGCATGGAAACTTTTCATCTCGACAGCGCTGGCAGATCGGATGATCTCCACTGCATTTGACCTTGCGCTTGTGGCAATTATTGCATGCCTTTTGAACCCTCTTCTTTCGAATGGCACTGACGGGATGCGCGACATGCGGCACCAGGATCCTACTCTTCTTAGGCTGGCTGGCTGAGCTCGGCGCGAAAGCATTTGTACCGTCAGACATATTCACCGGTGGTGCGGTGGAAGCTCGATTTAGCCTTGGAAGATAGTCATGTGATAAATAGTCGTTGATTGACTAGTGTCGGCTAGGTCTCTGCAGGAACTTAAGCGTATACGCAGTGCCGGGATGTACAAAAACATTCCCTTTCAAAGTCCAGAAATCTTATTCGTTTATCTGCTGTTTTTTTTTAAGATATACAAATTGTTATGTAAAAAATTGCCACCTTGCCGGGTTACATCTGGATTTTTGAAAGTTCAGCCAGAAAGGTCATTCGGAAAAAACTTGAGTACGGGTTACACCTGAACACACAAATGCGGGATATATGTTGTAATGGAGTGTTCGAGATTAGGGGCCCCAGAACCTCAGTCCAATGAATATGAGTGCCCTTGGGGATTCTTGCATCATCCCGCGGGTGAGACGTGACCATTTTAGAAGTGTTATAATCAGAACGCCAAGAAGACCCTGTGATTTTTGGAAGTCGAAATTTGCCTTGTGAAGATAGAATTAAGGACCCCTTGAAATAATTTGTGGCAAGCTCTATATAGCTAAAGCGATCTAGGACTCCGATCAACATTCTCCAAATGGCCAATGATCGTCATGTCTTCGATGCTATGTGTCGGTCTGATGCTGGATCTGCATCGAGCTCCGACATTGAACCAGGGGGCGTTTCCTATGTAACCCGTTTGCCAAGATTCCAATTTGCAAATAAAGTGTAGTAGACATCTATCAGGCCGATTATGATCGCCTTCTTTATGGGAACTAAATGAGATCAAATTGAAAACGGTAGTCATTCGTGTGCTAGTTTTAGCTAGATTTAGTTAGCGCCACCCACATCGCTGATCCTTTTTGTCATTAAGAATTGGCACGTTCTAAAGCTTAGCGAGATAATTTTTAGAAAGGGCTGTTTGATTCGTCAAAACAGCTGCACTCACGGTACATTATATAGAAAATCTTCATTCCCCACCCGAAAGTACATTGACCAATCCATGTATTTCACTTGGACAGCAGCGTAGGCATACAAATCATGATCATTCAAAACAGAAACTTGCAGACCTCCAAATCCATTACGTGACTTGGACATCGTTAAATTTGATTCTCCCATCACGTTTTCGACCCATGGTGAGACTTCTTTCGGAAGAAAAATTTCCCCGCAACTCGGTTATGTGTGACCGTAGAAAGGTAGAGGTCTTTAGCGAACATGCAAAGGTCTGCCACGCAGTGAAGCTAGACTAGTTTTATCTAGATCCTCCAATAATCGGTGCTCGATACGATAGATCGATGCAGGGTCCGATCAGGCATGGATTAGCTTAGCAATACAAGCGAACATTTTGTTAAACTTACTATCATGACCTTAGAGGTCTTAGCGTAATGCTGAGACAGAATGGCAGTGACATTGGGATGATTCGTAGGTGCTCTACTTTGCTATCTTGGCTACGATTGCCGCCTTTTGCACATCCGACTGAATTCCTGCTCGCTGTCCGCGAGAACATAGTTCGAAACCGCGTGTCCTCAACCTCTAATCGCTTCGACTTTTGGTCAAACCGCACATCGGTGGAAATCAGCACACGAGAGCTACCCCGGTGGAGGCCTTGCATAATGCCGTCACGTTCCTTCTGGGGCATCTCGGCGAAACGTCAGAGTGCAGTAGCATCAAACTCAATTCTAAGACCCGGTGAGTTGGCCGACATATATCCGAAGCCAATAAATAGCAGTATAGAGCAGCTTCAAATAGCAAAAATCATACCCATCTCCAAGGTCCCCGGCGGAATTCCCGCTTACTTGATGCAAGAAATGTGCTTTTTCAACCAAATGATGTTCTCCTGCGGAGACTGGACATGGACTTGCTTCGTGAGCCAATGTGTCTTTGGGCGGAACATAGGAGGGACATGCGGTATAAAACTCGTCCATGCGGTCGAAAACGTTGATACGATATGTCCTCTCTGCGATAATGTGAAGATGATATCTTTGCGACAGAATGCCAATGCTGAACGCCGGGAAAACATTGAAGCTATCAATAAACCCACGATTTCCTTGTCCGGAGTTATTACGACAGCTGATGAAGCAATATCTGAGATGGAAATATTTCGTGAAATATGAAACCAATCACTGTGATATAAAAGACAATCTTCATCAAGAACCATTCGAGCACCACAAGAACGCAATGCTAGCAAACACCTAGACAGCGGTGCATTTCCCGCAATCAGTCGTCCTGGTTCCCTTTTGAAGCTCATCTGAATCATGTTGTGTTGGAAGGAAATATATCAATGGAAATCATCTGTATATTTTTACTTGAACGATCTATTGTTCGAAGGAAGGTTGTTTACTGTTGAAAGAACAAAGCGATACAGCGACTGTGCTTTGTGGGAATATCGTGAACCTTTGCTTCTAATGTATGGAGATCAATATGCCGTGCTTTCAGTAATTTCTATTGCGTAACCCTATTTTACACAATATGCTAGTTCGCTGCTAGAAAGATGCCCCCAAAGTTCACAACAACTTTTTAAAATCCTCAGCGTAGAGACATAAAGCTTTCAGGCCCCCATTACCGGGTGAAAATTTGTCATTATCTGATACTTAGCTAGTGGAAATGTGTACTAATTCCAAGGAGCCATAATACTATGATACACCTTGTTGCTCTATGTCTCACGCTTAGTGAGACAGATTATTAATAGGGAAGATATTCCCTCGAGAAAAAACGCGTAGAGGCCTTTATGTTTGAGACGGAATCGTAGTTTCAGGTTGCCTACCCTAATTCGGGATCTCACTTTAGAGCCATAATAAGCTTCTTTAGCACAATTTTAGTCACCGATGGTAGAAAAATATCATCGTTCCCAAAGCTCCTTTAGCTTCCCAAACTGAATGTAGACAGGAGTATTAGTGCATCCCCACGGAAGGCTCATCGAGGGAGATAGGTAAATCTAAAATTAGTAAACATAAATAGCTTTTGAACAGAAAAAATTGACTCATCAAACTTTTTGACACTAGGTAGGTAGGTGAGGAAGGAGCGCCAATTCAGAATTTTAAATTTAACGGAATGTAGCCCTAGTACGGACTATAACTAGCCGGAAACACTAGATAATCTGTGATAAATTTATAGATAGGTTAGGGCTCGGAAAACGAATACTAAACGCTCCCTATCCTCTAAGCTTAATTCTAACGTTCTTAAAACTATAGGTCTTATTAAACGGTTCTTAATATCAAATTGTCTAGAAAATTGTTCTTGATAGTATCCTTCAAGCTAATTATAAGCGCGGGGTGTTAAAGTGCTTCCTCGACCTTATTCGAGCTATACGTAAGGTATTAGCTAAATGCTAATCAATTTATTTATATAGTGAAATAGTACTAGAATTAATCCTAGTTATGATACGGCTTTGTTTCTGGTTTGCAACGTCCTTATAGTTAACGCAAATCGTAATCATTTATAGATATATAAGAGCGCCATAGGAACTGCTTACATATTCGGAATTCTTGATAAAGCCACAACAGAAGGTTTTGGATAAACACTAATCTCACGAACTTTCCTGTCAAAATTGCCGTAAATGGTAGAACATTTTCTCAGCATACAATAGATGAAGTAGGGTTGTGGTTCTGGTGACGATGCTAAGGGCCATTTAGGGGCGAAGCCACCCGCTGCCCGACTCACCGGGGCTACGTTGTCTCTTCATGAAAAGGCACTGAGAACACATGGAATAAAGAGAATAGACGCCCTTGCGAATACTAACAGCTCTTTCTGCTTCCTCGAAGTTGTGGCCAGCGATTCAACAACCTTGGAACATTCCTTGCCAACAGTTCTGTATACAGCCCATATACCTAGATGCCCAGGCATTTATAGTTATATGTAAAATCTCATTGACAGATGCTTTAAAAGAATGCTCATACTTTTGGGTATGACCGATCTCTTGTAGACCTTTGGAACATAGTGGTATCCCGGACTTTTTTAATTGTAAACTTGGTAGTTCCAACATTATAGATGGAAGATAGGAATCTTTCTATGGACATATGTACTTGTTTTGGGACAAACAATATAATTTGGATCGGGTATTTCTCGGGAAACGCCGTGGAAAATTCAGGTTGTTCTCTTTTTCCAAACGATCAAGCAACAGACAGGCAACATCTAAGCTTGTTTCCCTTCAACTTCTTTTAAGCCGTAGGACTTCCTCCGCGTGTGTGTTTTTTTTCTTCCCTCAACCACCAGTTACTTACCCGTTACTTGAACGTTGCATCAACTACCATCGTGTATCGCATCGTTGAAACGCGAAGATGTCGAGCGCCAACAAGGTACGCTGTACCTACGCATCATGCGGGTTATACTTCGACTCGAGTAATGATATGCAGAGCCACAAGACTATTGCAGACAAGCATCACTACTGCTTAAAGCATGATTTGGACTTCCCTAATGCAGCGCTGCTTCATTTACACAAGATCATGAGCGAAGAGCACTTCGCCTGCGTGGAATGTGATCTCGAGCTACGCAGCGAGGCTGGTCTCAAGCACCATGCAAAGATTGTACGTTCTTGAATAGTTCTTCATCGATACTACCTCAAGCAGCGTGTGCCAAAGAAGAAACATTACTGATACTTCTTTATCTCATGTAGACCCACCAGGGAGACAAAGAAGTTGCTTGCCTCGGCTGCGGCCGCAGGTACAAGTCTGCTGCTGCTGTGATGAAGCACATCGAAGACAATGAATGCCCTTTCCTCAGTCTGCCAGAGAGGGGGCCCTGCGAGAGCAACTTTGACATTTTTGGTGGAGAAAGCATCATGGAAATGGGCAGGTCGTCTCCTGGACTATCTCCAACCGACGTACCGAGCGATGACGATGATCCTGAAGGCGGCGTCCTCTTGGATATTACCACGGAGCCATGTGCACCTGTGCCTTCTCCCGGTGCTGCGCTTTCTAGCCAGCAATGGCCGAACATGCGGTCGATGGGTTCTACCCGTGAGAAATCAGATAGCACCTCAACTGAATCGACTGGTGGCATCTCCCTCATTCCCACTGGCTCTCTTCTCGATCAGGATATTCCGATTTCAACGCCCATTATATCAGTTGCGCAAGACATCGAGGAGGATCTGCGCGCGATCACTTCAAGTGGTGATCAGGAGCTCTCCTTCCTTGCTGGACTGGGGAGTCCCCGGCCTAATGCACATGGAAATCGGGCAGTGGTCAATCCCGAAGATTTCTGGAATGCATCGAGGGGACGCTACATCTGCAACTGTAACGCCTCCTTTTTGCATGTTTCCACCTTCATCCATCATATCGCGGAGGAAGACGACTCTATTCTTGAGTAAGTGCTTCCTTTCTTGCCTACGAAGGATGCCCACCTAATGATATGCCTTTCAGTTGTCCCCGATGCGGCAAACGATTCCCCACTCACGCCGCTCAGGTCGCCCACGTGGAGGCTCCATATTCAAAGTGTGCCGTCCGCTCCACTCCCGCCGAGATAGAGAAAGACCTTAGTGAAATCACCCGCGGTTTTGCCGAGATCAAGAGCCATGATCAGCAGGAGTACGAGGATGCCGATGATGTTATGGAAAGCAGCCAGCCTTCCAACGATACTTACGGGTCCACCGACGACGCCACGGAACACGCTTTGGATACCGTCGAGGGTGATGTACATGAGGACGATGTCGTCGAGGAGGAGTTCTTCCAACATGCGCTTGAGTACGTCGTTGAGGACACTACTGATACCTCCGTCGATGACATGCTTGCGCAAGGTTTGAGGGGATTGGTATTTTCTACCAAGGAGGACGGCGTTAAGAAAGAGGGAAATTGAGCATGGGCAGCGGGCTTGGAAGAAGAACAATGGCGAGACTGAATAGGCGACAGAATATGAGCTTCAACAGTGAGCTTTAATGCCATCGTTTGAATCATATACCACAAACTAGGTTGAGAAAGGTGCTTTTGCAATAGTTTTACAGCAGAAATGATTTTGACTTCAACCTGATTACAGCGCGATAGCATGTGTTTCGGTGTACCAAGATACACCCCCGAAGAGGTAGCCCTGGAGGACTTGATTTTATTAACATTGAAAATTGCTGTCCAGGTGTACACTTGCGACTGCTGGGCTGCTTTTTGAAACAAAAAATAACCTCACACCCAGGTTCGTGAACCAAAATAGCGGGAGGGATACCTGACACAAATTAGAAATGCAACGAAACGCCTGATCCCAATGCTAAGCCGGGTCAAATAATATACATGTAAAAAGAGAAGGGTGGAGACGCTGTACAATGAACTAACAAACCAGAAGCAAAGATCTCAATCCTTCTTCACAGGTTCATCCTTCCCATCCTCCTCCTTAACACCCTCACCCCCCTTCCCATCCTTCCCACCCCAAGTCCAAACATCCCAAATGTGCTCCTGGATCAAATCACCATACCCCTTCCCCTGAGCCAAAGCCTCCTGCTCCTCCCTCAGCCTCCTCTCCTTCCAACCCTCGGACTCCCCACCCATCCAAACCCGCTGCACAACGCCCTTCTCAGCAGCCTGGCGCGCCTTGAGCTTCTCAATCTCGGCACTCACAGACCCATCCCCCTTCTCAGAGAGCTCTTGAATGCGAGCAGAGAGCTTCTCATCCTCAGCCTGGCGGATTTGCGCATCGCGTGCAGCCCGAAGTCGCTCTTGGATTTCTTGCGCGCGCTCGCTCGGCAGACCCGAGAGGGAGCCGTGGAATCGTGAGATCTTAGCGTCGATCCGGTCAATTATGCTTCGGCCGGTGCGGTCTGCCACGATGTGGTTTGCGGAGACGCCGAAGGAGCATAGGACTAGGACGGTGAGAGGGTCTAGTTTGCGTGGTGGGAGGGCGATTAGGATTGGGGCTCCGATCAGGAATGTGTAGGCGGCGTAGTTTTTGAAGCGCTTGTAGTCTGCTTCGCGGGACGCTTGAATGTCTGTGGGTTCTTGGGTTGCCATTTTGGTAGAGTTGAGGCTCTGGGGTTGATCATTCGACATCGACAATCTTGGTGTTTGGATGGAAATTTCACGGGTGGCTGTCTATGCCAAGTGTGCAGGTCAGGTGACTGGGATTCTACCCCGGAGTTTATTTTTTGTTTTATTTTTTTTTTTTGGACTTGGACTTGGACTTGGACTTCGGTGCATTTTCTTTTCGTAAGTTGTGTTTGTGTACAATATTGCACATTTCAGTGGAGCGGATTGATGCGCTGTTCATTTCTCCGAATGATACACCTGCCACAATGTACAGCCACTCTGTAAACAGCAGTGACGTTAAATGAAGCTCAAGTGGAGTGTTTTTCGGCAACTTCGGCACCTTGGCGTTGGCATCGTTGGCATCAATATTGTGAGGCCAATCATTTTTCACTTGATGTAAACTAGTCATGATCGGTGTGCCATTGAGGCGCCAACTGGAATGAAACCCCAATAATAGGGCCATGTTAACCCCTATACGGCGACAAAGTCCTGTGCTGTCTCACATCCGTTTAAAAAGTCTGACAACACGCTGGAATATAACCTTGTTATCAATTCTCTATACACCTTCGGTACATCTTCAATCGATACTTTCTACATATTCTTAAAGTCTTTCTATTCTCCAGTGTTATTGCCAACCCCATTTCATCTGGGCATATACAGCGGCCAAGTATTAATGGTGTCGGAGCAATACGCAAAATTGGTTGAAATCTCCTGTATGCTAAACTCGCCACTAAATCTTACACATGTACGTATACTGTGGCGCAGGAACACTCCGAAACCATGACACGCAGTTCCCTAGGCAGACATGTTAGCACTCTGGTAATAAATGCTACAATATACAACGTAAATCGGAGACTATAAAAATCCCCCTCTCTTATCAAACCCTTCCTTGTCTCCACTCAAACGTTCGATCTCCACTTGACTCTATCTCTCTGTTTCTCTATCACAAAAATACACTTAATCAAAATCAAAATGTTCAACAACGATCTCTTCTCCTGGTTCTCCTCTAAGGAGCCCACTGCGCCCGAGGCAACCTGGGATGCAACTATCGCTACGATCCAGAAGCAGCCCATCAGTCCCGAGGCTCCCTCCACCCATCCGGTTGTCATCGAGGAGCCGGTATGTGATATTCCAGATGTTGTCAATAAACCCAGGTTGACTAACTATGACTCCCAGAATTCTGAAGAGAACATGAAGCTGCGCGGTGGTGGGTTTGGTGAAGTCTGCTGTGGCGTGTAAGTTATTTCCATCGCTTAGATGAGCCTAAACTGACGACTTTCAGTCTCACGGCTCTTTGCTGCTTCGAGTGCTGCGAGGACTGTTGCTAAGCTTTGTGCTCGGTCTCGATACCGCCACACTGTCGTCTTCTCGATATGCGCGGTACATTTGCCCCGTCCGCTCGCTGATACTTCGAGGGGGTTGCGAATATCGATTGGAGGGTCAGCTCATTCCTGAGTTCCGGGGGAATTTCTTTTTGATTGCGGTACCTTATGCCTTTTTATGATTACGTATTTCTTTGCTATTGCGTGACTCTTGCGTCAGACGGAGTATGGGCTCGGCTTTTTACATACCCTTACTTTTCCTTGCTAGCAAATCGATCAAGAAGTGCTCTTGCTTCTATTAATTTTGTCTTCCCTTGCCCAATGTTAATAGTTTGGGATATTTGGCTGGCTGGGTTTTGTAGTGAGAAGTATGCGCCAGCCTCTTTAGCGAAATATTGTACTTCCTATCTGGGAAATTTCAAGGAGGCATGATCTAAACTTGGTGAGTGTCTTCATAATATTGCCCAGTATAATATAATACATCGTTCTTTGGATTACCAAGTTAATTTATGGTCTACTTATCGCAGTCTACAACCTACACGATTCTACACGGTTCTACAAGAATTGAAAGTCAGATGTAAATATAGTATATTCAACATGTCAGTTGTCACCAAATCTGAAAGACTCCTCACGAGCATGGCGTCGCAGGAACTGCCCAAATCAGAGACTGTACATGAGTTATATCCCCCAGTATAACCGATACAGAATCCCGAAAGTCTTCACACGAGCATGGCCTCGTGAGAGAAATCCAGATAGTCCAAGTTCAATACATAATTCCCAGGATTCAACATGAAGTATCCAGTTCACAAAATTGGCCACAATATTCAAACCAGATGGTCACATGAAGTAAGCATAATTGTCAATGGATCAAAGTGGAAAACAGTCCCCCCATTCGGGCCCAAAGATGAGTGGGAGTGATGGGAAAACCCGACCTCTCGACAATTGTCCAGTGAGGCAAAAACCATGACTGGGAGCACAAATTTAAATACATGTTCCTCGCATATAGTCCTCGCAAATTGTATTCATATCCTCACCGAGCTTCGTCCCGGTCTGACCTGGACCTCCAGCGGAGTTGTGATGAATCGCCTGTTATGGAGTGGGTGTCTGGAGCCCTGTGCTGGGTGGATTCATATCACCTGTCGAAACTGGTTGGACCAATTCAGAGAATCCCAGAAGACTTGGGGCAATTTTGTGGACTGATGATGTGACTCCGTTGATAACAGATTATCGACAAGATGTTGTACATAAGCTGAGAGCAGCGATGATCGTGTCACCATGTGATGAAGCTCAGGTGAAGTTCTCGCAATCTGAGAGCTGCATTGCCATCCGAATCATGGCGAGGGCCTGCCAGGACGTCAGTATGCGAACCGATGATAGTCACTCCATGCTTCGTGGAATGGATTGGGGGGGTTGAGGATGAAAGGGAAAGGGTTGAGGGGGTTGAAGGTATTTGACGCAATGGGATAACTAACAGTCTGCTGTAACATTTGGGCACCGGCGTTGAAAGCCTCGATCCTCTGCAAGAAAGTCAGGATTTCCTCTTTGAGCATGCTTGCAGCCTGGTAAAATTCACTTACTGGGTCCACAAGGAGAGGGGGAGCGTCAGGCATCTCGATATCGTTTGGTTCATCAGATGGTGCCTCGGGCATGAAGATGTCAGCGTCGCTAAGTGCCTCATTGAATTTAGCAGGCAGAGACAAGTATGCGTTGTTACGATTGCGGCGACGGTTGTTCCTTGGGCCTTTCGGGGGTGGATTGGCTCCATCGAGTTGATTGCCCCGATCTCCGCTGCGAGCATCTGCAACTCTTCCTCCATGAACGCCAAGGACGGATCCTCCGTGGGGGCGTTGGAAGTTAGAATTGAAGTCGGCGTTGCGAGAGTCTGCAGTAGAGGATTGACGACCGTGGAAGTTCGGGATGAAGTTCTTCCCTTTGTAGTTGGGGTTGAAGTGCTTCCCGTGGTAGTTGGAGTTGGGGTAGGCATTGCGGTTGAGGTTGCCGTTAATGCTCCCATTCCCGTGGCCGTAGTTGTGAGCATGGTCATTGAAGTTGTTATACTTGTTGTGGTTCTGGTATTGGTTGTCGCTGCCATAACCAGTGCCGTAACCATTGCCATAACCAATGCCATCAGTTTTGTTGTGCTGTCGGTTGTTGTGGCCATTACCATTGCCATTGTTGTTGTTGTGGTTTCGAGCGCCACCGTTCTGTTGGTTTTTGGGCCCAGTGGGCACAGAGTATGGGCTATGTCGGCCACCCATGTGTGCGGTGTTCCGTATACCAAAGGTTGTGTTTGGACTACCGCAAGCTCCGGAGAATTCTCGTGCAAGTGCGTTCGTTCAGCTGTGCTTCCAAGAGCTGGATTTAGACTTTGGAGATGTTTGTTCTTTTTTTGGCGTCGATCCTCTAACTTTGGCGTCCTTGTCCCGGTGGAAAATAAGTGGAAAATTGGGATGGACTTTTTGGTTTTGTTTTTGGTCGTGCCGGCTGGGATGAAATTGCCTCAAGACTTGGTGCGTCTGTCAAAGACCAACGGTTAAAGTCAACCTCTTGAACCAGGCACCTTGCAACAGAGCTGGGCGATTGAATGGAACGTGGAAAATGGGGTTTGCCTAGATCGTGGGCCGATTCCGTTTGGTAAATATGGCAGCTGGTTTGGCAAATGATATGTCGATGGGTCGATGATATGATTAATTTGTCGATGAATAATAATGTGTTGGTGAAATGTCGATGAGATGTTGTATCGAATGAAGGACAGTATAGATGATGGTATAATTCCCGAAAGGGAAGTATACAAATGACGTCAGATGATGCTTGGTTGCCAATGACCCCTGCAGAGAGGTGAAGAAGGAAAAAAAGGAAAGGACTACACGCGAAGTATTAATACCCAACGAGAGTTGCACTAAGCCCTTGGAGGAGTCGGAGGAAGTAACGTAGAAATGAGGATAACTTGATATTTTATTTTATGGAATCCAGAATCCGTGAGCTGTGAGCCCTTATATACTGAGCCCAAAGGAGAGTCGGTAATGGAGATATGGTAGAAGTGAGGGAGACAATGGGTTATTGTTCTAATAAAGAGGAAGTGGACAAAGAAATCCTTAGTTTTTCTTCATCATAGCCTGGTTCAGCCAATATATTTCGACGGCGAAATAGACTTATTTCTCCAGAAAAAGCATCGGCCTCGATACTTTGCAACTCAAGTCATGTCCCAGCATCAAGTCTCGGCCGTGAGATTTGTCTCAGGTGCTTTCTCGGGTTTCCAACAAGGTCTTCGAACATTTGGGATGATGAAGATTCCTATAGGCGATTCTTTCTACTGGGCTTGATCATGTTCCAAGGTTTTCCAGTAGGTAGATTCTAATATTAGTGAAGGACATATTAGCCACACGCCCAGGCTGGCACCATGGTTCATAAAAGATTCTTGACAAGCATAATAAATTAGCTTTCTTTGTTCACCCATGTGACTTTTGTCTGATTTTAAGTATTCACAATGTCACTTGCTCAGACAATGGCCTTGTCGACTCAAAGAGTCGACGTTACTTTATTAGGGTTTGGTGCCTGGCTAGACCTAATTTGGACTCGGGGCCACATCGTCATAGTGACAATACATGGGAATAGCATCAAATGCATACATATGTAAGGAGAAGATAGGTGTATAGAGAGAGTGAAGAAATAAGATCAGATCAGGAAATAGATGAGAAATATGAGAATTCTACCAGTGTACATATTCAATGACAAGTTCTCGAGTTATACATTTCGCAATATTCTCGCTTTTCCGGTGTCAAGACCCCAAAGAGCTTTCTTTGAGTCGAGGTGTTCTGCCAGTTGTTGTAAGATAATTGGATCGTCGCTGCTCAGAGGAACGAATGTTGTATCCCGTACTTCTCCAAGACTCGTGAAATGCCAGTCTTAAGTACCGCAAGATCCACTAGGAATGCTTCCTTTGTGAGTCCGTGGTTATCCGGAGCTTGAATATGAGCGCCAAGCTCGTAAAGAGCAATAGCATCAACACCACATCGCTGAGACCCTTGCTTTTGATATCTTCCATGATATCAATACCATTGGGAGGAATCCAAATCCGCACGGTCTTTGTTTATTAGAAATCGATGTTCATGAGCCGGAAAGGGTAACCTACGTGTAAGCGACCAGAGTCTGAAGGGAGAGAAAAGGCCGGCTGTTCTTCCAATATCGTGGAGTCATGCATACTACTTGATTGGGTTCTGGACCTCCGAATAAAGTCTCGCGCGAGCTATATAGGGAGGTAAAGAGACACGGAACGCAGCTCGAAAGCATACAACGAACTCTATGTAGGCTCAAGCAGATCATAGTCTCGCTGTCATGAAATCTCAGTCAGATATTCGGATGACTTTGAGAAACAGTGGTCTCGTTATATCATGATACCCGGGTAGACTTATCATTTCTTTTGCATATGCCACTGATTGCAGATCTAGGACAGAGAAAGTCACATTTAGTCAAAATTTCAAGATTGATCCTTCTAAAAATTTAAGCGAGGCTCGAAATGTTGTGCTCAAACCCTTCGTACCCAGCCATATCAGGACTGAAGTAATTAAATGTCGGAAATAATTGGTTTTAACATGTCCACTCTTTTGGTCGGTCTCAAGCCTCCGAAGCCAAAGCCAAAGCACTGAAGCGGGGAAAGGCCCGGGAGTCGCCGATCAGTCCAAAATTACGACTAGTGTTCCCGCGAAGCCAGAGGCCAATGAATGCGTAGGTTGTTAGAACGCGATCTAACAATTTACGCACTCATTGGCTCGTCGAAGCATGTGCCCATTATTGCTTTTCTCAATCTCCAAAACCAGGTGTTCTCCCTCATCGTTAGCCCCGTGGAGCCTCCCCGCCCCCTAAACCCCTAACTTGGAACTTCGCTCTTACAAAAATGCCTGTTTCTGAAGCTGAAACCATTTCAGCTTTGCGGGTTCTTCTCAATTCTTCGAAGAAAACACTACAGGCCCATCGTGACCTCACGCTCCAAAAGTTAGAACAGGTCAAATCCGTTCTCGCCGTCAAATCTCACAATAACGACACAACGAGCTCCAACATACAAGCAGAGCCGTTGCCCCTTCGTAACAATACCAGCTCGCAATAAGGATAACAAAAGTTAGCCCTATGGTATCCATGCTAAAGAGAAGGCGAATCAAGGCATACATTAGAAGAGCGCATGGGTCTTTTATAACGGACCCAAAAGCTGATTCTGCTTAAGTTTAACACTTACTAATTCGCGGAGGTCTTTACTAGACGCATATAGTAGGCTAACACACTATTCCCTTATCAAATCAAATATATAATCTTATGCGATCAATGTCTATACAACCTTGCCTTATAGCTACCTTTATATTACAAGACTTGAAAGTCTAGATCTAGGCAATGAAAAAAAAAGTCGAGGATGTAAGTTTTCGGTAGCATCCATCCATTACTCATATGAAACTATAGGTTCAACGCTCGGCATCTCCCGTATACCAAACTGGAATCAAGCATAATAGCCGCGTTCAGTTTAGTACCACTATAAAACACCTCTCCATGAGCTTTAATGGAAGTGGAGACTTTATTTTGATGAAGTGTAGTTAGGGCTTTAAGCCCCTGATATATATGATGTATTCTCCTATACTTCAGCAGGCCTCTTTGTCGCTAGTAGATTTTCTCACTCCTAAATCTTCCAGTTGAGCACGTTTGCGACATTCTGGGCAGTCAGAATTGTACTTCGTAGTGGATGATTTGTCTCATTCTTTGCAATCGTCTTTGGGATGACCAGTCGAAATAATCGGTGTTCCTCCCTCCACGTCAATAATATTACCTTTGAGAAGTCGAATCTTTGGTGGAATATAAGGAAGTAGAATGGTCTGGTGATCTGTGCTGCCGTCTGATTGGGTAGAGACATTTCGAGACCGGTTTGCTAACGGTTGAAGGGTGAGAGACCAACATCAAAAGATTTGTGCTTTAGGAAACAACCCACTGAAATAGTCTTCGAATGAACCAGCACGCGATACCTTTTCCTTCTTTGTTTGGCTTGAATTGTAAATTGATTGTGGTCTTTCGATTTCGGTATCTTGAAGCTGATATACCGCTGGTTCGGTTCGAGTATACGGACTGGCAGCATTGGGGATAATTTGTTCTAGTCCTTCTCTACTTTACTCTCCTTCTGACATCCAAAAAGCTTGTACCCAGCTCGGAAAAAGAGACCGGAGCGATGCAGAAGAAATACAATGCATGAGGTCGATTCGAGCCATGTCGTAAACGGAGTTGATAGAGATGAAAGGTTTGCGCCCAGCAGATTAGAAAAGGGCTTGTTTGTGCATTTAAAGGTGCGATTGATTGCGCCTCGTTATTGAACCAAACAGGAGTCTATCCCGATTCCTATCCAATTTCTATATGGGCCGGCAGAAATTGCTTTGAAGGATCACTTTCTTGAGACAATCACACGATAATAAAGTAAAGAGGAGAGGAGCAAGTATGTCGAAACCCTTCCCATTCAATGTTATCATCAGGGAAGTAATAATAATCGATGCCCATGCTCTTGGTTTCCCGACTTTTTTAAGAGTATCAGACACCAGTATCTCATATACTCCAAGACCAAGCGACAAACCAGTGTCGACCAACAGCCTCCTCCGATTCAAGATCCACATGATTAAGGTGTCCTGCGCCGTTTCTTGCTCACAGTATCAACCTCATCCCCCTGGTCACTGCCCCTCTTCCACTCATTCTTGACCTTGACACTCATCTTGGCCCTCTTCTTGTGAGGTCGAGCCGTAGCTTCAGTGGGCGATGTGTCATCATTTGATGCCATACTATCGCGCTTGCGCTTCTCCTGCCAGGGTGTCGTTCTCCTTTGGCGCATCTCTTCCCTGATTTTCAATCGTCGCTGCACTTCTGCGGAGATATCCTCTGTCTCCAGTGACGTCGATGTGAAGCCACCGTCTGGCTCGCCTGATGACTGGGAGGAGTTATCACAAGATCGTTTTGAGGAGCTCGATTCTTCTGCGGCTTCGGACTCAGGGTGGACTGGTGCCTTTTCTTGGGACACTCGCCGTCTCTTCTTGCGCGTGTTCGCCTCTGTGTCGGTGGTTGGTGGGGTTTTGGAGGGAATGGAAGCTGAGGTTGCATTTGGAGGCTCTGAATCGGTCATGTTAATTCTCATGCTTTTGTTCGATCGGTGTGGTATGTGTGGATTGCGGGGCCAAGATTCAGAAGCATCGAGGGACTTTGTGGAACTTACTGTTCATCTGCACAAATAAACGTCAGTCAGGGAACCCACGAAAGAAGAGCTGAAGGAATTCACTTACCATTTGTTTTCTGGCAATTTTCAATTGATTCATCGCCTGGACTGTTTTCTTCATCATCGAAGATACCGTCTGAGACGCAGCTACCTCCGGCGCAATCTGACCCTTTACCAGACTGAGCATTTCCATGTGAGAAGAAAGGACAGCCTCATGGCGGGCGAAGATCTATTCGTGTAGTGAAAGAGCAGGATCAGTCCCAGCCTTAACACCTATTGGAAAGCAGTCGGCGCATTCTTCATCTCCGAAGTTCCTGTGCCGCGCTTTCCTCCAATCGCCAACGGGGAAAGACATACCTCGGACCAGCAGATTGTTCCGTTTGAATTCTGCGGATTGATTCCGTGGCCGTATGTCCCGGTTGAACTCATGGCGAGGAAATGGTATTTTAGAGAAATCGCAGGGATCTGCAGAAGATGGAGCTACTCCGCGCCAAGAGTCCGGTCTCCAATGACGCGCTTAGAGGCTTTAAGTAAACGACGTGTCAAGAGGGCTGTTGAGTCGAGGTTTTCCATTCATTCCGAATAAACAATACTACAAAGTAAGCAGTCTATCTTTAATTGACCAATGGAAAAGTTGATCACAACATATTATCAATATGTTAGTTACATGGTCTCTCTCATTCTACTGTAGTCCAGTATATTCCATCGTTGTAGAATCGAGTTAATAAATGCATGAAAAATGCAAAAGAAGTGACTCAAGCCCACTTCATGTTATTATTTCAATCTCATTGTACAGAACTATTTCCAAACTCCGACGCCTCATCAATGCTCAAGATCCATTCCATCCACGTAACCAAAAAGCCCCAGCTATCCAAAGATGAAAAATAACAAGTCATACAATGGCAAATTGTCATCACCAAGCACCAGCATCAAAATCAAACCGAGACAGATCCTTCTGTGAATCTTCAACATCTTTCTTTGCTTTCATGCGCATGTAAAAGATCGGACAGTCACGGGACGAGCAGATAACCTCACAATGAAGACTGCCTTGGCACCGTTGACACTGAGTCCAGAGGCGTCCAAACCGGACTTCCAGGTCAGAAACCTTGGTCAAGGTCTTTGTGTAAAGTTCACCCAGACGGGGGCGACAGTTTGCGCAAACTGCACCATCCATCTCGTCCTTGCTTGACAGTGGCTTCTTGCATCCCATGCAGGTCTGAGTCTTTTTGGTGAATTTCATTAGACCACCCAGGCTCGAGGCAGCCTTGGAGATAGATCGTGTGTGCTCTCCGGTGAGCAGCTGGCCTGCCTTCTTCTCCCCCAAAATGGGCTCGAAGATACGGCCGAGCGGGTTCGCCAGTTGATTGTCGAGGTAGTATTTGGTGTCAATGGGAATATTGTTCTCCAGGACAAAGATGGGGTCTTCTGCTCGTTCATAACCCTTGGAGTCATTGGAACCCTTGATCATGACATATGCCACACGGTCACCAAGTGTTGGTGCTGAACCCGCGTCACGTTTGTGCATGCGTTCGGCAAGTTCGACGTGAGCCTGCTTGCCTGCATAGTCTTCTTTGCGCTTCGACAATGCCTTGGTGATGACTAGTTTCGACATATCAATCTTGTTCTGAAGAAGATCGGAAATAGTCGCCTTAACGTAACTATATTTGAGGTTAGTTCGAGAACGAGAAGACACTTGAAATCCGCCACTTACTCCTGAGCACCATCAAGATCACGATCAATCAAGATCTTGTTCAACACAGTTTCAATGACGTTTTGAACCATTAAGCAGTTGTCACGGCGGACTGTCTCGATACCCTTGGTATCCATCTTATCATGCTTTTCGGGATTTGTCCAGTAAAGTCCAGCGTATCGCTTCTTGTTGATGAGAAGATAGGGGAAGTACACTTTCTCAAACTCGAGCTTGATCGGCTTGATGAATTTCGAAGAGACGTACTCTGCTGCTTCCTGTCCAAGCTTCATCGCATCTGCCAGCTCAGTGACACCGAATTTTACCATGACTGAATCGGTATCACCGTAGATGACACGTGCATCGTGGGAATAGCCATTGGCAATTGTATAGCGTGCTTCCACCTCTTGTTTCGTCTTCTCAATCATCTGACGACCATAGGCGGTTGTAGAACTGGCAATGGGAAGACAAGGCAATTTACCGACTGTGGCTCCGGTAAGACCGTAAACACTGTTTGCGCTGATCTTCAAGGCAAGCTGACGACCGTTTAGCACGGCCTTTTTGAAGCCATCGGTTTCCGTGGCTAGCTCTTTCTTGGCGCGCTTTCTTGCTGACAGCAACTCTTCAAGAATCTGGGACAAAAGTCCCTTGCGAACTTTGGTTGTGCAGAACATGTCTCCGTTCGGCGTCACTATGTAATCTTCATCTTTCTTGAGGCCTAGCTTATCAACACTGGTCTTGTTGAGTAAGGTCGTGTAACAAAGGTTATGTGCTTGAATGATAGACGGATACAGTGATGCGAAATCAAGGGTTGCGACGGGCACGCCATAGTATCCTCGCTCAGGCTCGATGACAGTTGCACCTTCATAGTCCTGCTCATCCTGAGGCTTGGAGTTAGGGATGACAAGTTGCTGCTCCAACGCTTTCCGGAACAGTTGACTGATGAATTTGACTTGCTGTCCTCGAGACAGAAGGAAATTGAAAGGCACACCCGTGACCCTTGCCATCTCAGTATAGTTGACGAGACACATTAGCTTGTCCATCAATCGCTGTGGTAGATATGCATCCTTCAAACAATACACTGCCAGTCGTCGTCTTGAATCAGGGGTGCCGTTGAAAAGTTCAGTAATCATCGTGTGGTGGACATCTTCCTTTTGCTCTTTCAAAAACTCGTATGACACGGAGTTAAGCGTATAACTTCTCAGTTGGTGATCCCTTTGAACCAACTGAAGAAGATCAAGTTGAATTCTACCATTCGTATTGGTTGCCTTTGTGTCACGATTTCCCATCTGCTTACTCGAAAAGTTCGCATCCTTGGCCTCGGTCCTGCAACCCTTCAACCGAGTCCAATATGGGAAATTAAGGCACTTCAAATGCTTGGCGCGGTCAAGCAGATAGGGGAAATCGAAGTTGGCAATGTTGTATCCGATGATTACATCGGGGTCCACCTTTTCCACAAAATCACGCCAGGCGTCGAGCATCTTCTCTTCCTTTTGGAATTCCAAAATTTGAGTATTGACAATCAGACTACAGGTATCAAGAACAAAGACATTTCTGATAAATGGTTTCGACTCTCCGTATCGAGTAACAACGTTGGCGATTTGAATAACGGGGTCCATGTTCGGTTCCGGGAAGATACCCTTCCGGCCGGCACACTCAATATCGAAAGAGAGAACGCGCAGAGGTGCCATTTTCGCCCACTCACCGTTGGGTGGATGAGCGATCATATCACGATAATCAACAGCGGCTTCGAGTTGACAATTCGATAATTGCTGGGTAACAAGGCGATATTTGCCAGCCAGAGCCTCGACCCAGGCCATACCAGCCAACCCGGTGTCAATCATAAAACGCAAAAGGTATTGGATATTGTCAAATGTTAGGATACCATCTGCACCACTCCACATGCCCTTGTAATTCATGCTGCCACTGCCACTCTCTAGCGCACTTCGCAATCGAGCAGCTAGTTTGGGCTCAGTGACGGTAATCTTGATGTAGTAGCTCTTTTGGTTTCCTTGGAATCCGTAAATATTCTCGCGCATTGTGAGCTGCACAGACGAAATTGCAGTGAAGCTTTGGCCTAGTTTTTGCTCGAGGAAATGTTTGTAAGGTTCGCAATCCGCTTTCGTGAAATTAACGGGGGCGGCGATGTAAAGGTAATGCTCGAAGCCGGTTACATGGAGACAAACAGATTGTCCAGCCTGATATAGTAGTTAGACACCGGCTAGCACATATAACGGCAGATGTATTTACCTCAGTGACGCCGAACAGCCGAATGGCAGGCTTTCCCAACAACATCGCTTCTTCCGCGTCGATCTGCTGGAAACAAAGGTTGTCTTTTGTTTCATCAAAGCCTACAACTGGAGGACGCTCCCATTGTTGATCCTTCTCCGAGTTGTTCCCTTTCAAATCACCAATATCCTGGGTTAGCTTTTCCAGCACTTCCTCCTCGAATTGACTTTTTTGTGGTTGGGTTGAGCCGATCTTTCGTCGAGCAGTCTGCGATGATGGCGCAAATGATACTGAGGCCTCATTGTCGAGCTTGCGTTTCTTGAGCACACTAGGGGATTTTGTGAGGCCGGTATTATTGACCGCGTCGCCGAGCACCCGCTTGTGGGGAGGCATTATGGCTTCAGGCATGACCGCAAACTATAAACCGGTGAATTCGGTTTCCTAGAGTCCAACACCCGAATCGATCAAGAGGGGCAAATATATGGGGTGAGAGAGGGGAATTTCATAAAATGGACCAGAATGTGTTGAACAGGCAACTAAAAGTCGCGCTGTCGCGCCTTCGACGTGACGTTTACGCGTGACAGTCACGTGTGATAAGATAAGCTAAATTGGAAAATTACAGATTCGGTTCGTTTTGATTGGTCGAGCTGCTACTCTTTGTTTTGCTGTACAATATTCTAACCAATGTATGAGATTGAGACTCGACTATGGAATGACTGATACATGCATCTGTATTTGATAATAGCAGTGAAGGGCCATTTATCAAAAGGCGTTGTTTTTGTTTTGTTTTATCTATAAAGCAAAGTACCCTTCAACATAGGAAACAGAAAATACAAAATTTCGAAACTTGTATCTGGTTTAAACGAGACATCAAGATAGTCTCATAGACAATGCTGCTAGAATGGAAAACATCGTCTCAGATAATCAATGCTGGTCAGAGGCACTCCCTAGGGCTGCTATACTATACTTCTTCAAGTGCGGTTCCGCCGGCAGAAACGGATGACTCGCCTCCCTTGGCTTGGCACAAATGACTTCCGTGTACATACCTCCATCTTAAACTTCCGTTGTCCACTATATTGTTGCCTGGCAGCTTCGTGACTACCGAGAGGTATATTACTACCTAACTCATCGAGATTCACTTGTGGGCCAAGAGCCGCACGACCCCACGCCCTACCAGAAACAATTTGGAACCCGATGGAAGGTTGAGTCAATCACCCCCCTAGGATATGTGACATGTTTACGTCTTTCTGCATTTGATTTCAATACTTACTGTGTCATTTCGAAGGGACAGCTGGCATTTATTTATTTTCGTCACATTTCTTAGTTGTGTATCATCTGAGGCTGCTTGAATACAGCCAACTATTTTCACTGCGGGGCAGCACTAAATCTCGAACTTTCCAGAGCAAAGTCATTTACATTTTCTTTGACTTGGGAAACGGCGCTTCTGTCGTTACTCTCAGATATTTTTCATTTCTCCCGATCAATGGCGCCGGTGCATCACTAATTTCGATTCACATTGCACCTACTGGTTCAAACAGTACATATCAACATGTCAATGTTCCGATCAGCCGCAGAAATATCATCCTCAGACTCTGACAATGATTCTGAATCGGAAGAAATCCAAGCCCAACACTCAGGGCCCTCTACTCCTCGGTATCCCGCAAAGAGCCAATCTCATAGCCCAAAGCAGGACAAGACCAGCCAAGCCCCAACGGAATCTGGGTCTACAGAAGACCCAGATTCCTCGATTTCCTTTGACAATGGCTCCATGTCACCACAAGACATGGTTGAGGTGAATGTTAATCAGCATGCAAATGTGATGACGGCTGCCCTGTTGGAGTTTTATTGTCAAAGTCGAGCAGCAGACATTCTTAATGCTCAACGAGGCTCAGGGAAACGGTTCAGCCGACACAGCCCAGAGGCTCACTATCTCGGTAAACAACTGTACAAATTCAAATCACAATTTCTGTCATCCCACGGTATCTTGGCCGATGGCATTGATAGAGAAGAGATGGGACCGAGCCGGCAGAGTTATCGTGATAACCTCGATATGCTCGGTATCTCTGCCCTGGAAGAAATGAACTTCCATGATTCTCACACCCGGTCCCCCGCAATTGGTCCTGGCGAGGACCTCACTCTAATCACAAAGTTTCCACCCAATAGACCTAGTCTTCCCAATCTGGACACTCCTGCTTTGATCCGGCGGAAAACCGAGCCCTTTGGCAAGCAGTTCGCTGCTTCTAGAAATGTTGAATTTCTTGCCTCTGTTCCTGAAGTCCCAAGAAATCTCCCCCAGCCTTCAATCCCTCTTTTTGGCAGTTCACCTGTTGGAGTTTCATTGTTCAACACTCCAACGACCCCATCATACAACCAGTCGTCGAGGTATTCTGTTGAATTTAAAGAACTCAAGATCTTGGGACGTGGGTCCTTCGGCGAAGTATATCACGTCACAAATCATATTGACGGCCAAGACTATGCCGTCAAGAAAATTCCGCTGAGTCAAAGGCGGCTTGATCAGCTGCAGTTCGGAGGCCAGAATCAACTGGAGGTTATCATGAAAGAGATCCGCACACTTGCCCGCCTCGAGCACACAAATATCGTTCGGTACTATGGTGCGTGGGTCGAGCAAGCCCATCACGCAAACCCACCAGCTGAATATCACCCGGTTCACACAACTTTCGAACCATCTGAAAACAATGATCCTTCTCCGGGTACTCCAAACGAGCCTAGTATGGGAATCGTGTTCGGGTATTCCGAGAGCTCACATCCGGATTCACAGACTAGTTCTTTGACCGAAGATCATAGCTTCTCTGAAAGCATTCGACGTTGGGACAGCCACAACACAGGCTCATCTCGCCAGTCGAAGAAAAGCTCAAGAAGAGGGTTCAAGGAGGAAGAAGAAGACATTGAATCAGTTCCTCGCAAATTTGATAACTCTTCATATGACCAAACGTCCACGTTTGGACAAACCGATGATATTTTCACCGACGGTCTAAGTCAAGACCAGTCAAAACTCCAGGTCCAGCCATGTTACCGGCCGGGCCAGTCACCACCAGCCGTTATCCTCCACATTCAAATGTCACTCCATCCCATCGCCCTCGGATCTTATCTCAACCCGCAGGCTGCTGTCCAATATGACGACTGTACAGTTGCCAGACGCCATTGTTTCCACCTGTTGCCTTCTTTGAAGCTTTTGATAGACATTGTTTCCGGCGTCGAGTACCTCCACGCCAAAGGAATCGTGCATCGAGACTTGAAGCCAGCAAATATCTTCTTGTGTGCGCCAGAAAACAACACAGGAGACATCTGTGCCGCATGTAGCTCGGGCGAAGCTTCTCCAGTCCAATTCTGCCGCCCTCGCATCGGCGACTTCGGTCTTGTGGCAGACATCTCTCACATGAACGAGGCTTCGCCGGGCACGGTGACGCCATATAGAGAAGGTCCGAAAATCCAGCGTGTAGTTGGAACCGAGTTCTATCGTCCTCCGGCCAACGTATCTAGGACTTCGAGTGACCCGAACTCACCGGCTGATTACTTTGATGAATACAAAATCGACGAAAAACTGGATGTCTACGCGCTAGGAGTCATTCTCTTTGAGACGCTCTATCGTTTGAACACGAAAATGGAGAGACAGTTTGTTTTGAATGATCTGACTCGCGGGTCAGGCCAGGATCCGTCCGAACGCACGGTTTTCCCAGCGGATTTCGCCGCCAAGGTCGATCATGGCTCGGCGATTTTGGACGACGGAGTCTCGGTCGCTGACTCTCTGATGAAATGTATCAAAGGCATGCTGGACCCCCGATCGCGGCTGCGATGGAGCTGTCAGGATGTCAAGCAACATCTGCGGGCTTTGAAGAAGGCTGTTCGGCGATTTGAAATACAAGAGAAATGAAGAAAGAACATAAATAACATCTAATGATATCATATATATATACCCAAATAATGATAGAAATGCATAACTCCACTCTATGATCGACATTTGCCTCGGTCCCAAAGTTCCCCATGTTCTTCACAGGCGACCGAGCTTCCCCGCAAAATGCATAAATTATATGTAAACTTGTAACCAGACGACTTTCTAAAACCCCAAATACTCAGACATACCACATCACAATCAGAATCACCAAGATAGTATTACATAAAGTCATTGCCTAGGTAAACATGGCCAATCTCCGCCCAGCAACAGCACCATACAGCGAGCCCCTTCTCCCCCAACTCGATATACGAAACCCATACTACACAGAACTGCACCACAATCTACGCGCCACCGTCCGCGAATACGTGGACACGTATATCGCGCCCTACGCGCATGAATGGGAAGAAGCAGGACAAGTCCCCGAAGCTGTCCGACGGCGCCATTGCAAGCTAGGCTATAGCATTGTCCATCCGCTCACTAGTGAAGAGGACTCGGCGGGCCTGGCTCTGCCTGGTGATGTTCCCCGTGAGAAGTGGGATACATGGTGTTCGTTGATTGTGTCGGATGAACTTACGCGTGTCGGGTATGTTGGTGTGATCTGGGGGCTTGGGGGTGGGAACGGGATTGGGTGTCCGCCTGTTGCGCGCTTTGGGAGTGAGGAGCAGAGGAGGAGGTGGCTTCCTGGTGTTGCGAGGGGGGATATTAGGTTTTGTTTGGGTATTACGGAGCCTGATGGTATGTGAATTGTTCACTGTGTGGGTTTTTGAAGGGAGATGTTGACATTTCTTTAGCTGGCTCTGATGTTGCCAATATCCGCAGTACTGCTCATCGTGATGGCGATCACTATATTGTGAATGGTGCAAAGAAATGGATCACTAATGGTGTCTGGGCTGATTACTGCACCGCTGCTGTCCGGACGGGTGGTCCTGGTGGATCTGGCATCAGCCTGCTGGTTATTCCTTTGGCTGTTCCAGGAGTGACGCGCAGACGTATGCACAACTCGGGTGTTAACGCAAGTGGTAAATATGCCCCACCAGCAAGAGTTTTGAAAGGATATCAGTTGACCAAAATCCAGGTTCAACCTTCATCGAGTTCGATGAAGTCCGCGTCCCTGTCGCAAATCTCCTTGGCCAGGAGAATAAGGGATTTCCACTCATCATGTCAAGTAAGTTTCCGCATTGTAAATAATATAAAGAGTAGTCTGCTAACAAGGAATCAGACTTCAACCCAGAGCGCCTTGCACTCGCCTGCGCATCCTTGAGACTTGCCCGTGTCTGCGCCGAAGACGCCTTCAACTACGCCATTCAACGCGAGACATTTGGATCTCCACTGATCGAGAAACAAGCCATTCAATCCAAGATCTTCAAGTTCGGTCTCATGATTGAACCCGCTTATGCATTCATGGAGCAACTGGTCAATATCCTCGAAAGTACCAAAGATCATTCATCCGACGATGTCAACATTGGCGGTATGACTGCATTGTTGAAAGTGATGTCTACACGGGCTTTGGAGAAGAGCGTTCGTGAAGCTCAGCAGATTCTTGGGGGTGCCGGCTATAACAAGGCTGGGAGAGGTGCTAGGATTGAGCAGATTAGTCGCGATGTTCGAGTTCATGTTGTTGGGGGTGGGAGCGAGGAGATTATGGCTGGATTGGCGTTACGAGAGGAGACGAAGGCGCTTCGTACGCGGAGAGCTGCGCTTGAGAGGAGACAATCCAAGGTTTGACCATATAGTCTCTTTTATTTATTTGAAGCGTAATGGGGGGTTTACATTGTGTCATAGAAGATTTAGGAAAACAATGGTTGGGAGATGAAATTGAAATATATATCATGGCCCTATTGCATATGATAATAAGACTATTCAAAGATATAGAACACACGGAATTTGGGTATCAACGTCTGCATAAACGCACAGAAACAATCAATGCTCAACATTCGAATCCATAGAATCATGGATCAACACGCTGCTTAAAGAGACTCTTCCCGCGCAACCATTGGCGGTACCGTTTATACCTCTTCTTCTCATAATCCTCACCAGCCACGGTAAGACCATCGTCCGAGATGTTCAAAAACTCAGCATAGTCAGCCATGTTTTCCTCCGCGTTAGCCTCAAGAGTCGATTCCTCCACGTTACACTTGTTTGCATATTCGAGGAGATCGAGATTATACCCGTGGTCTCGCAGTGAGGCGGCTGTCATTTCATCTTCAGATGTGACAACTAACGGGACCTTCAGTGGGTGGTTGATGTACCTCTCGTATTCTTCTGCCTCGGCACTGGTGACAGAGGGATTCAGCGAGTCATTGGTGAGCTGACCGAGTGTCCATTGAGCAATCTCGGCTTTGCTGGGAATAGATCTGGTAGTGGGAGGATTTATAGGCGGGACATTTGATGCTTGATGGAATTCAAAAGTAGGTTCTTTGATGATACCCGTGGCAGGGGGGTTCTTAGTAGATGATGGAGGCTGGTGGGTCGGTGTTGCGCCTGATGAAGCCCGACTTCGGGTGCTGGATGGCTCCTGGATCTTTACGCTGCGCTGGGGCACGCGCTCTCTCTGGATTTGCTCTGGGGGGATACGCGGAACGAAAGGACTGAGGTCAGGAACTGGATGTCCGGGCCGGACTGGGGGCAAGTAGCGGGATGTAGAGTTCATTTTCCAAGAGAAGACCTTGGAGAGCGAGGAAAGGGCAAGCGGTCGGTAATATTCCAGCCAGTAGTCGTCAAAGCGTGAGAGTGGCTCTTTGGGATGGAAGGGGAGGGGTGGCATTTCCCTCTTGTTCAAGTTTTCCGGGGTGTACCAAGAGATGTAGTTGGGCTTCTTTCTCTCTGAGTGAGACTTGGGGTTGGTGTGATGGAGGTAATAGTCGGAAGAGAGATCCCAAAGCATTGGAGTGTCTTGCGCAAAGATGTAATTTCCGAGAAACAGGTTGTATGCTTCTTGGCGTTGAGCATCCAAGAAAGAATTGTTGTAGTACCGCTTGAAACTTTCTACCATATCACGAGAGTGACTGCTCCACTGATTGATTTTGCGGTAGGTAGCCATTGTATTGACCAGATGGGACCCGCCGTACTGAATAGCGATGGTGTCTCCATGATCGTGCCACATGTTGGTGAAGAGGTTGACAGCATCTGTATCATACTCGACCATTGTCTCGTCTATGATACCAAGAGCATGGAGCTGATAGCCAAGTGCTCTCTTACCAATGACAAACTGTGCAGCATTCGTTCGGTCAAGGCAATCGATACAATTCGTTCTTGCGACACCATCTTGAAGCCGCAGGCCGGATTCCGCATCGTTCCCATTCTTGAAGAATCCAATCTTGGGAATAATGCTCCCAGCAATACCTTCCAATATTTCAATCACGTCTTGATCCCGACTTTTGGCCGCACGGCTCATGTCCCATGCCTCGTAAATAAGCTTTTTGTCCTCGGGAAGAAATTGGTTCAAGTAGGCCACGCAATCCGTGAACTCCTTGAGAAGTATCGACTCTCTCGGAGTTCGTTCTCGAGATTTGACCAAGTTCAGAATATAGACGGGAGCTCCGTATCTTTTGAAAAGGTTGTCGAAATGCAGTGCCGCAGCTGAGTAAAACGGATCAACTAGATTGAGTTCAATATCCGGCTTTGGTGATACACCTGTATTCTCTTGGGTCCAATGAAGAGGTATGCTGCCACGGTGTTGAACAAAAGAAGTGTAGTGAGGATTCGCATGGAGTACTGGGCCAGCTGAATGGAAGGATGTGGTTACTTGCTCGCAGACAATCTGTTCGGTCTCCACGTCGTTGGCAACATATCCTAAGTCATTCGCACCTCGCTTGAGGAAACGCGCGCCTGCAAAAAATCGAGAGCGACGGGCGATAATTGTGATGTAGACTAACCGGCCGTAAACGCTCATCTTGGATTGATCTACATACCCATGGATGATGGGAAGGCACCACTCATAAGGATTTTTGATGGTTTCAGCAGCAGGTGTAAGCAAATGGTAGTTCCAGATAAACATGGAATGGTAGTCTTGCGAAAACGGCTGCGGTTTTCCATCCTGATAAAGCTTGCGTTCCCGGGTAATATTATGTTGAAGTGTGCGAGTGATGTCGTAGGAATAGCTGAAGTAAAAGGATCGCGACAAGTCGAGATTGTTCAAGATCGCAATATATCGTGCCTCCTCTGGATGCTTCTCAGCTTTAAGGTGTGAAGATTCAGAGGTGGTCAAAGGGATCAATTCCGTTTCGTCGATCTGGTAAACATTGTGACCACCAACCATGGCGACTTGGCTTCTTTTAGTGACAAGAAGCATATAGTACGCGCCCGTGAGCCGGATGAATCCAAGCAAGGCCCATGCACTGCATTTCTGTTTCAGCCCGCCAGAGCTCTTGTTTCCGTCGTCGATCGCATCCAGCAGCTGAACCATCTCCCTTTTGTTATAAACCATATCATCCTCGGTGATGCTCAGTTCACCGGACTCAGAGGTACGGTCGATCTTCAGAATCCGAAAACGGGTCTCCGCAAGATTGATTCCAACCATATAAAATCGAGTCGCGGTCTCGTAGAGTGTGAATTTATGCATACGATTGATGCCTTCGTCTTCTGAATTGTCCGGTATCGACCGATGTTTCTGCGCAGAAGTAGCGGATGCCTCTCGCTCAAATGAGGTCGCTACACGTGGCTCTTCGTCCTCCCCATCGCCTTCCTCTTCGATGCGAGTCCCCGGTGAGGGGTTATAAGGCAAAGGGGGAAATTCTGATACGACAGAGGCATCTTCGACCAATCCAGCATCATCAGTGCGTTCAATCCGCGAAGATGATAACGTACTTGGCGTTATGGTTGAGGTCGGTGTCACTGTGAGCTCCGATTTGGCCGAACTCTCTGACGGGTCAGCGGATGGGAGTGGTAGATGATCATCATGAAAGGGCGGTTCATGAGAAACTGGTCCGATTAGAGAAACATCGTCAAAGCTCTCCATTTCCCAAGAATAGAACCAGTGGCAGCTGTGGAAGCTATCTGGGGGCGATGTGAAGTTGAAAGGTCCCCACATGACGTCGATCGCAGTAAATAGCGGCCAATCTGCCAAGACCCGATGATCTATATTCAAGGCGACTTCAAAGAACTTTTTTCAAAGCGAAGAATAATTGAGACGCAAAGAGTAAGATGAGCAAGATGAACAAGTTGAGTTATATACATATATTTAAATCTGCCTAAGTAGAAAGCCAGAATTATAAATCGATAGAATTACAGTGCTAGAGCCTTCTACTCCACGATAGAACTGACCATTTCACTTTTATATAGCTCAAGAAAATAGCTCGTGGTCTAATATTCTGTTTGAACAGGCATTTATTCTATGGTTATATGCTGTGATGAAGTATTAAGGACGCAATGAGTCTAAGCTCGTTCAAAGTCATCATTGGGAGGGTTCTCAGGGTCCCGAGGTCCTTGCGTCATGTTGAGGGTACCAGCGTCCAACTGCACAGGCAGCCCAATCAAGGATCGACGATTATTGCGTTTATCAAGCTTTTCGCTGGTCTCTTCAGTGCCCGCCAGATCTTCGGTGGCTGGTTCATCTCGGGCATCGAATCCTCTCGCCTCAAGATATTCAACTTTCACGGCATGACGCAAATTGTCAATGAAGCTTTGCATTTCAGGCATTGGAAACACGCCATCAGCTTGCAGCACGTCAGCATAAAGCCGCTCAGCTTCTTCCAGGCAGGCTGAAGCTAGTGTTGGCTTGCCAGCCTTGAGCCACTGATCGGCGGCGAGGATGCTCCACATCCCGGCTTTTCGGCGGCGTCCACCCCATTTTGCGGCTCCAGCTGGTGTCTTTGAAGCGTAACAAGCTGCTACCCGCTCCGTATACAGAATCTGGCCCACCGAACCAACCAACCCAAAGTCCATGACCCGCATGGCCCATTTGGCTGCGCTCTCGGTGGCTGACCCACCACGAGATTTCAGAAGCTCAACCGCCAGAGACAGACAGCGGAGTGCATGTGGCGCATCTGAACAACGTGTGAGGTAGGAGTAGCACGCAGTTTCAAACATTTGATCGACACTGTCGAGCTTGATCTTGGCTGATGTTGCCAGAGGATTTAGGAGCGTGCTTACAGCACACATCTCGTGGGCACCGGCATGATATTTCCATGCTTTGTCATTACCGAAATCAGATCGGATCATCTCATATGTAGACGTAGAGAGCTTCCAGTCACGAAGCATGAATGCAAAGTCCGCCATCTTTCGCAAGATAGCTTCAGGAGTATCCGGACCATAAAAGTGTCGCGTTGAATCGTAATTGCCACTGTTACCTCCAGATGAGCCTGCAATGCTCGAGCGAGAGCTTGACCCGAAACCAGCCCACCGCCGTGACATCGAGATGAACCTGCCGCTGATGCCACGCCTCCGAGATGCAACTTGATCATTCCACACAGCTACTTTGTTTTCCATAAATGGTATTACTGACTGCACTACCAACTCCCGGATAAATGCCCTTATTGAAGTGGCATCGGAATCAAATAGGTATGGTGTGCCATCAGTACCAAGATCAACCAAAGCTTCTAGGTAAACGTTAGACCGTTTTTGATAGTAATACAATGCAGACTTACCTGCTTCGCCTGCTCCGGAAAGATGCTCTGAAGGCGAGAGCCATTCACATTGGGGAACTTGCATGCTATCGTCATCTGTTACCACACATTGGCTGCTCCGCAGTCTCAAAAGATGGCAGTGTAGCCCAAAGTGCCGCTTCATCTGATCATAAAGCTTTGTAGATTCTGTGATATCATCTCGTTCCTCATCATGAACCAAGACATAATACCGAAGATACTCCTGGTTGACCCATTCGGGTGGATGTTTGTCACCGGTGGTAGTATCAGCGTAGAGTTGTCTGAGTGTCTCCAACGGCGCTGGGTTGCGGGAACTGATTGCTATTACGTTGGCCACCGGGTGGCCGAATGTCTCATGGGGCGCTGCAGGTGCTGAACACAGAAGTTGTTGCAGGAACAGCTTGCATAATGGTGTAGTGGCAGGGTATCCCAAAACATCCTTTGTCTGCACCGACGCGGCATGCAAACCTTCAGAGGATTCCAACTGCTTGGATAACACCTCTTCCATCTGTGCCAGGAGCCCAGACTCTCGGCCGGCCGGGGCCTTGTCGATTCCTTTGAAATCGACAAAGCGCACCCCAAAATCTTCCCAAGCTCGACTGGAGCCTATACTATCCCGAATCACAACTTTGCCAGAGACCGTTTCTCCAAATGGCCGGACCAACTCCCAAAACCCTCCTTTGAACCCCTTATTTCTCACCAGATCATCGGTGTCTTCGGAGGCATGGACTGCGATTGTAGGTGAGAACGACCGGATAATCAACGACCTTATATCTTCCGAGCCATCGAATCGTCCATCAAGAGACGAACCGACAGATGACCTTGCTAATTGCGGAGTGGAGGATCTCCCAGAGCGCGAATGCGGAGAGCCAGATCGTATTGGCAAGTCGGCGATCGTGGATGAAAGAGGGGTCGGAGACGATACTGTGGACGGTTCTGCCAGTTCAGCGTCTAGAGATTGAGATGGTTCATGGTCCCCAAGGTATCGTGATGGTGATGTGGATGCGATTCGCGCAACGCCGGGGGAGAAAGACGGCGGAGGTTTGACCGGAGCAGCATCTCCGGGCGATGTCATGGACGGACACCTGCTGCTTTATGTAACTTTGTGGCAATTGAAGTTGATCGACAGGCCCCATCGACTGGTAGATGAGGGTGAGAGAGGTGTAATAGAGCAGGTGGGATGTGGGCGGCTTCACGGAGACGGTGTTGTTGGGGGGAGAAAGCCAAGTCGAGTGATTCGGGCCGATAAGCACAAGCACAAATGACAACCGACAGAACAGTTAGTCACAGTATAGAGTCTGCTGGGTCCTGTTGTAATGTCGTAATGTTAAATGTAATCAAGTGTATAAAGTGAAGTTGCCGAGCGCATCGACCAGTGATGCAAACCACGTGAGAGCTCATATGCTTATCGACAATCAGTTTGACTCATTTTCTCTAAGTACTTAACACAACTATGTTCAATGCGGCTGCGCTCTATTGGGTCTTTGTTTGAGGCTTTCGGTCTTCCTTCAGTTAAAGCTCCACTTGCCCGCACTCTAGCGAGAGGAGCAGGTCAAAAACGACCAATTCCACAAGATCTGCCCCTCCGAACCTACTTTACACCTTGTCGCTCTTCCATGCGCAACACCGAACCGGACCCGAACTTCCCAGAGCGAGTCTGTAAAAGGCGGCGCATATCGTCCCGCGAGCGAAAACACTCATATGCAACCATGACCCCCACCATTCCTACTATTGAGCTCACTCCGCTCGAGAGCACCCTACGAACCCTCCTCCTTGATGTAGCCCGATACATCAGTGAACAAAAGGCCGTAACAGAAGGAAACGATGAAACAAATCGTTCGGATACCGTTTTGCGATTCACAGGAGGTTGGGTGAGGGACAAGCTACTTGGAGTTGAAAGCCATGACATCGACGTAGGCATCAGCAATATGACCGGATACCAGTTCGGAATGGCTCTGAAAGAATACCTGGATGTGCCAGAACGTCTTGAAAAATACAAGCAAAGTCTTCCAAAGGGCGAAATGCACGATGCTATCGTTAGCCTTCACAAAATTGAGGCCAATCCGGAGAAGTCAAAGCACCTTGAGACTGTTACAACCAAAATCTTCGGCCTAGATATTGACTTAGTCAATCTGAGGAAGGAAACATACTCAGATGATAGCCGAAATCCCCAAATGGAGTTTGGCACTGCGGTCGAAGACGCTTTGAGGCGCGATGCGACTATCAATGCGCTTTTCTACAATCTTAATGAATCGCGATTGGAGGACCTTACTGAAAGAGGACTGGACGATATGGCACAGCAGATCATTCGATGCCCAATGGAGCCCTACCAGACCTTCAAAGACGATCCTCTGCGCGTACTTCGGTTGATCCGATTCGCCAGCAGGCTGGGATATCAGATTGACCAAGAAACAGAGGCAGCTATGCAGATCGAAGACATTGGCGAGGCACTCAAACTTAAGATCAGCAAGGAACGTGTGGGAACCGAGCTAGAAAAGATGCTGCGTGGTAAGATATTTGGGCTTAACGATCACAGCTTGTACACAATTAACACGTCACTTGCAGGTCCTGACCCTCGTGGTGCATTAGAATTCATTGATCGACTGAAGTTGTTTCCCACGATTTTTGCCAATCACCAGGATGATGTTAAGGCTGATACATCGACATGGCCTCTTGCCTACAATACACTGGCACGGTTGCTCCGGCCAGAACCTATCGACAACCAGGAATTTCAGGCCTCTACGAAGCGAGTTCGCGATATTTTATTTCGTGACAAATCTACCTTATATCATGCCTGGATGGTTGCGACATTTGCTCCTTGGTGCTTCATCCCCGCCCGTTGCGTGAAAGGTCCTAAAGGGAAGCCCTTGCCCCCACGCGTGGTTGAAGTCGCTAGAGACAGTCTCCGCACGGACAACAAGACTCTCAATGGGCTACGTGCTGCAGCTCAGCACTACGAAGAAATCATCAAAACCAAAACCGCGTTCCTGGCCAAGGAACTCAGTGGAACACCTGCAGAGATTCGACAGCGAATTGGGCTGCAAATTCGGGCGTGGAATAAGGACTGGAAACTGTGCATTCTTCTGGCTATTCTGCATGAAGTCATGGGGCTCCGTGACTTTTCAAAAGGTAAGATCCATCCCGTCCTGCATTCTGATCCTTTGTCCTCACACTGTGTAGTGGCCCAGGAATACGACCAATTCCTTGCGTACATTGTAGAAAATGACCTGGAGGATGTTTGTGACCTCCGGCCAGTTGTAAATGGTGATGAAATTATGGAAAGCCTTGGGATCAAAAAAGGACCATGGATGGCAAAGGCAGTTAACATGAGCCTTGAATGGCAGCTTCTTCATCCCGAGATCACCGACAAGGAAAGGGCGTTGGAAGAAATCGTTGGCCGACGAGCAGAATTGGGGTTGTGATGATCCGATCGATGACAAAGAAAAAACCTAGTAAATCTAGCGTACAACATGAACTTTACACCAACCTCAACTCTTTACCGCAATCAATTTTAATAATATCAAAAGACAATATGGATAAATTACGCAAAGAAGCCCGTGAGGCTCTTATCCAAACCCCCGGAAAGGTGCCCACTGGTTTTCTCCCCGGTGCTATGGCCGCCTCCAAGTGTGATTTGGGTCAATTATGGGAGGATATCTCATCTCATGATCATTCCACTCATTTGAATGTTAGTTGCTTCAAAATCTCGATTGATATTTTCTAATACTTTCTAGATTTGTGAAAGCCTCATGACAGTGATAGGCTACATCGAATTCTGGGACCCTTTACTGCCTAACGACGCAGGTCCTCGAACATTGAATGATGTCGAAACCAAGGCCGTGAACAACTTGTTTGAGTGGGCCAGTGCTGTTGCTTTGCCTGGCTCAGAATTTGCTAGTAATTTCGACGAAACAGCAGACTTTTCAGACGGTAAGCTCGCGTGGAATACTCCTTGAATGCCTTTTTTTAATGTGCAAAACAGACGTCTTTCAAGCCCAAACAGAGAGTCGGTTTAGATCAGAAATGGCTATGGAGCTTCTCTTAGTCTTGAACAAAACTTTGCCCAGTCTGCCCAAGCGCATGCCAGATAATGTGGCAGATGTGCTCATGGCAGGAGCATGTTTTGACAACAAGGCCAATCCATGGGTCACATCGGAGAGCAATGATGCGGCTTCAATGTTGATGACCGTTTGGATTCAAGACACTCAGGACACTAAATTGTTTTGGCCCGCCATCGATTTCATCCTCAAGGAGAGAATTAGACCTCTTTTCGCGAACACAAAGAACCCCGCTATCACCAATGCTGGCCGCAAGAACTTCCATCCTCAGACTCTACCTCGCTTTGGTGGAAATGGTCTGGACGGACCAGTCAAGCGTTGGAAGACTACGGATATTTACGTTGCATCCGTGCTGTCGTGGATCATTTCACAATACAGTGTATGCTATTTTCAAAGATGTGCTCATTTCTTACTTCCCTGCTGACATTCACACCAGCCACAGAACAAGGTACAATTCGAGGAACACTTCCCTCTTTTCGTGCCGACAATACTAGCAATGATTGATGACAACAACCTGCCCTTTAAGACGGAAGGTTGTGTGCTGCTAACTCAGCTGCTCCAACCCATCCAAGAAAGCGACTCGGACATCCTTCGACGAACGAATCTCACATCTGTTTTCGAAGAAGCCGTTACGCCATGCCTTCTTTCTCTGCCAACTATCACACCCGAAGATCGGTCTCTTAAGCTGTTAGGAGCAGCATACCCAGCGCTCCTCAGCACGCTCAAGACAGCCTACAAAGGCAAATCACAATCTGAAGAAGATAAAGACGCCTACACAGCCGGCCTCGCCAAAATCCTTCGGTCAAACCTCATTTCCTCTTTCCATCATATAAGCTCCAGCACTCCAACTTCCGGCGAAACAACTGCATCATTCCCTTACCCCCGCCTCTCAACTTTCCTACTAGAAAAGATCACCATCTTCACCAACGAGCTAGGAATACACACGACAAAGTACCTCCAAGATCTGATCCCTATTCTGTTCACTACACTCTCAAACGTGTTTGGAACCGCACACCCTCCACTGCTCCGTGCGGCAACGGCAGCGACACAGGCGGTCATTAAGAACGCACACCCACGCATCTGGCGCTGGCGTGGGGAAATCTTGAGTGGAGTGTGCTCTTGTTGGCTGCACATTGCTGCCAATGACAACGAAGAATCCGTATCGCAGCTGGGTAAGCTGAAGGGCGAATTGCAGCAGACGACGAAGCTACTCAAGTATGTCTTGCAAAATCCTATTCCTATTGCAGTTGATTCTCCGGAGCCTGAGGCGTTGCGAGTAAAGGACAATGTCCAGAATGAGTTGCAAGACCTTGTTGATGCAGATTCAGAGCTCAAGGGCCTTTTCAATTGATCATCGTGACCCCATAGCAGACCTATTTGGTTCATAAAGCCACAACGGATTATGTTGAATCTTGGTCTCTTTCTTTTGTAATATACATTTCGTGTGATCATATTAGGTCCTGCTTTTTAAACAATTCATTGGCCTCCATGTATAGTAACTTGTACGGAGTATGTAGTTGCAAGATGAATCTCCAAAATCTCCAAATGTATGCCCAGTCACGTGGAGGCTTATCGATAAAGCTGTTGACGGAGCGACAGTGATGATCCCCTCATGTGGTCCGCTTTGTTTGTGAATCCCACTTTCGACATACTTTGACCTTATCTCTCAGGGCGAGTTGCCTCAATTTTACTATATACCCACGCACAATGAGCGACCTTCTTAAGTACATCCTCAACAACGAGGAAGCATTTCGAAGGTAAGAATTGATACCCCCGAATGTGCCAAGTCTGCTCAAAGGCCTAAAAAGAATTAGCCAAAAGCAAAATAACCTTATTGACTGATATTCTGGCTCTAGAAACCGTCTTCCTTCTCTCTACTCCGACTTCACGCCCCAGAAGAAAACAAACCCCGATGGGTACGCCGTGAATGTTGCCGCATGGGAGCAAGCCCTGAACCGAGCGGCAAAGCGTGGCTATACATCATCGCGCGGTGTCCGTGTACGCTCGGACTCGAGTGTATCAGCTAGTGGCGCTACGCCAGCCGGACGAAAGAAGACAGATCATCTTATCTTGCGCACGGATGAGTCGCTCCTCCGCGATCTGGAGAGCTCTGAGTGGGGGAGACCCGTTGCGCTGGGTACTGTTATTGTATGTTGCTCTTTGTAGATACATATTTCCCTTGGTCATGGTGCTGACAGAAGCTAATAATGGGTTTCACAGGACGAGGCAGTGCGCAAGAATTCGATGATCCCATTAAAAATCTACAAGACTACTCCTGGACTTCTACAGAAAAAGAGTCAATGGAGAGTGATCGATCCTGGGGTGTTGAGTCCGTGGAATGTCATGAGCTGGGGGGTTCGGCAGCTAAAGGGCTTTGTCGTATCTGAGAGTGACTCCGCGCCGGAATTGCAGGTGCAGGAGTTAGTCCTGGTCGATAATCTACAGGAAATGGCAGATCGAGTTGTCAAGAAGGCTACGGGCGGTACTTCATCTAAATTGGATCTTATCTACTCCAAAGAAATATTTGTGGAGGAGTTTGCGGGCCTACTGAATGACGCTACGGAGTTGTCGGATTCAGATCTTGAAGTCCTGTTAATCTATTTGTCCCGCGACAGCGATGCTATTGCATTTGATGGCAAGGTAAATTGGGTTATATACAATTTGGTCAGAAGACTGGCTAATCATAATGCCAGACTATCAAGTTCAAGTCTCCAGATGATAATGGAGAAATCACACAACAGGACACCACGATTGCATCCATCAAGACCTTGGTATCGACTTTATCGAAACAGGTCGCAAACTTGGAAGCTAAGATCGCTGAGCTAAATGTATCTGCTAAGACAGCCCTTGCAAACAAAAATCGCATCTCCGCTTTGTCGGCCGTTCGGTCGAAGAAAATGGCTGAGCACAACCTTCAACAGAGGTTTGATACTCTCATGCGGCTTGAGGAAGTATATTCTAAGATTGAGCAAGCGGCCGGTCAGGTAGATATGATACAAGTCATGCAGGCAAGCACCGGTGTCCTTCGTGGTCTACACAACCAGATTGGCGGTGCCGAGAAGGTCGAGGATATCGTGGAAGAGTTACGCGAGGAGATGACCAAGGTGGATGAGGTTGGAAGCATCATGAACGAGGCCGGTCCTGTCATTGATGAGGGAGAGATTGATGATGAGCTCGCAGCCATGGAAAAGAGCGACAAGGAGGCAAGGGAGAAGGAAGAAGCTGCCGCCACCGAGAAAAGGCTGGCCGAATTGGACAGCGTCAAGCAAGCCTCCGACGACGTTGCTCACCGAGCACGTGTGGCTGAAAATGTGGACTCAGCGCTAGCAGATAACATCGACCGGCTCTCCAACATGTCTGTTGAGGACAACCCGATGCCAGCAAAGTAAGGATGCCCGTGTTGTGGAAACAAAAATTGCTTTGCCATCGGACTGCTTCGTTTATCAATTCGACTTCAACGTGTCTGGTCCAGGATCACCCAGACAGGTCGACTACATGATCAGCATCGATATCGAGAACGGGTTCGACGAGGCTACCATTCACTTGCGGTGCGAGCGCAGCTGTCTCAGGGCTGGCTGATTTGGGCTTAGCCCCAACTTTTCTGCGTGCATTCGCAATCAAACGCTTGAAATCATCATCATGGCTCGAAGACCACCCTTTCGCATCAAAGTCCTTACGCATCACATTACTAGATGACACAAAAGGCGAAGGCCCAGTCGCAAGTCCTCCTTGGGTCTTTTCCCAGATATCCAACTCTTGAAGCAGATCGCGCTTAGACTTGGGGATTTTGGAGTCACAATTTGCATTCCACAGGTTCATCCATTCTGTGTGGCGTTTGTGCAAGAGCTGTTTCGGGCCCCAGGCTGGGATCCCGAGTTCTCCGAGCTTTTTTCGTAATGCATTTTCCTTCAATATGGAGTAGTTTATTGCGGGGAGTCGCTCGGGTTGTTTATCGAAGCTGTTTTGGTTTTTGGGGGCACTCTCAGTGGCCTGTTATGAGCGTTCAATTAGCGGTATTTTCTTGATGTATGCAATAGAATCATCCTACCCGAAAGTCGCAGGTTTTATAGGGGTTTTTGCTGGCAGTTCCTCTTCTTGTTGGTGTACGTTTAGGTGAGGGAAAACTGCCTCCTCCTTCATCTTGCGATTACATATAGGGCAAGCAACCAAACCGTCTTCTATGAGACGTTAGACCAGGCTAAGATGCGTGCCTTCAAGGAGACATACCGGGAAAATATTCTTCGTCATCCTGGCTATCCTCAATCACTTCGGGGGCAGGTCTCAAGGTAGTGCTGTCGTCTACCACTTCAGGTTTGCCCCGTTGGGAGCGTGTTCGCCGTCCTTGCGAGCTGGTCTCTTGTACGTGTGCCTCTTCTTCGACCTGACTGACTTTTCGCTTCTTCTGTAACGGTTGTTGTTTCTGCTCCTCTGCCTGTGCTTGTCGCGCGGCTTCCCTCTTGGTCAAGTCAAGAACACTCGGCCGTGCTATTTGAAACGCGTCGACCAGTTCTTGGACGGCCCAGTTGCGGCGTAGTTTGAGCTCTTGGTCGGGGGATCGACAAGCTGGGCATTTGCCCTCAGCACTCAGGCAGCGGCGAATGCATAATGAGCAGAATGTATGGCAGCAAGAGGTGATGACTGGATTGTCGAAGAACTCTTTACAAACTTGACATCGCAATGAGGATTCGAGCGGCGCGAGTAAAGAAAGCGGCGTTTCCAGCCATTGGGTAGGGTCGGATAAGTCACTCGTTGAGTCCATTGGTGTAGAAGATAAGCCTCAAGCTTAAAACCCTTTTTCCGTATGCTTTTGGACCGGGCTGGGCCGGTGACAACGGTTAAGAGAGGAGAATGCGAGTGGAGTGTTAAGAGACAGACGCCAAGACCCGCTGACTGATACGCGTAAAGTGGTAGAGCACGCGTCGGGGCAATTTGCATTTCACAGCAACCATGGACTCCAAGTTGTATCTGGCAGAGAATGTTCTCAATGAGCGACGGGCTGTATGCTCCTCTTATGCCCTTTTTACAAACAAAATCTCACCAAGTATAGATCACCTATCGCTCATTGAGTCGCGCGATCAAAGTGCACGCCAACCGGGCCAAACAGTACGTCTTGGCTTCGCAACGAACATCGCAGCTTGAATTGGCACTGAGACTTTTGATTGTATAGGATTCTATTTGAGTTCCACCGCAACGAAAATGCGAAGAAGCCGGCGACTGTTCACGCAACCTACGTCATCTCCGGAATCCAAAAAGCACCCGAACCAGCACCTACAAATGGCCATGGAAACGATGAGGATGAACTTATGCAGAGCAGTCCTTACCTGCCCAGTTCAATGCCTAACCAAGATGGGGCCTCGAACTCAATCCGCACCGCTTCTATTATCTTAGTGCGTGAGGAGGATTTGGAAGGTTCACTACTCTGTGACTCTCGGCGATGGACTGATTACTGATTGAAGCGAGCAGATGCGAAGTTAACATTCCAGTCGATATCTACAATTCATATCTACAGTCTCGAGCCCACAACTCTCCCAGACTTGAACGTATTGGTTGACGCCAGTCGGGAGATCGCCAATACACATGCGCAGGAGGATCCATTGGAGTGCGGGAAGCAATGGGGCATGATCCAGAGCCTAAATGTCAAGGTATGACATCTATTACTTCGACAGGATGAACACAGTCTAATTTGGGCATGTTCCAGCGGAGAACCGGGGCACGTCCACCCTCAGCCCCTACCCCAGCTACTAGGGTGCCAGCTGCTAAGCCAAGCCCCTCTATCGAGTCAACAGTCCCTGCTAAACGGCCACTGCAAAAGGAGGCACCCCCAGCAAACGCGGAAGCTAGCAAGCCCGATGACTCGAAGTCCCAGTCATCCTCTACTACTAACTCCCAGGCAACTTCGAAGACCTCCGGCAAACCTGCGCCTCCCAAGCGCGAGAAGAGTAATCTTTTCAGCTCTTTCGCCAAGGCAAAGCCAAAGGCAAAGGCGCCGACTCCAGCAGAACCGGCCGCACAAGATGTTGTGCTTGACGATGCATCTGAAGAAGAAGAAGAAGCCGAGGAACTATTCCCCGACAGCACCGACAAAGCAACAATAGCAACCCGGGAGAGCAGGAAAGAGCGCGAGGAAAGACTAAAGAAAATGATGGACGATGACGAGGCTGATGGTACGTCCAAAGCCTCACTGGAAAAAAGGTTTCAGCTAAACTTTTTGCCGCAGACGAAGAAATGCCCGATGCCGAAGAGGAGCCAGAACGAGAGCCCACTCCTATCGAGCAACCGCCACCATCCAAGCCCGCTGAGCTCAAAGAACATGTGACGGTAAACGGTGGACGGCGACGCGGCAAGCGTCAAGTCATGAAGAAAACCACGGTCAAGGATGAAGAAGGATTCCTAGGTCCGTGCATTCCGCTTAGACCCATCTATCTACTGACATGTACTAATTTTGGTGCAGTAACTCGGGAAGAGCCGACATGGGAGTCTTTCTCCGAAGATGAGCCGGCGCCTAAGAAGAAACCAGCGGTCAACGTTCCCAAGGGCAAGGCTGGCAAAGCTCAGGGGCAGGGTCAAGGGAATATCATGTCTTTCTTTGGCAAAAAGTGATTGATGCTACCTACTAGCTATTGGGGTCATAAATGTCTCATACGCGTATCTAATAAACGTCCAATGTTATGGGCAGTTCAAAATTCAACCGTTATGACGTCCTTTTGTTTATATCCTGTATACTATTTGGGTCCTGGGATCACACTGAGTAAAGTTTAGGCACATTCCAAACTAGAAAAAGCTCGTATTAACCTTGAGATGTGGGAATATGGTAGATGTTCCTTGTGTAGTCCAATTTAGCAGTAGAGTAGAATAACAATCCCAAGAGGAAGCTGAATGTCGATCATCTCTCCGCATTGTGGGGAAATAACCGTGCGAATGTCACCCCAATTTCGCTGTCTATTCTTCCGAGATCCCATTGCAACTTGATTGAACCAATGACTATCTCTTTAATGTACTGCATACATTGACCCGTGCCCTGGAATGCACCCTTGTTCGGTTACGATCGACATCGATCCCCTCTTATCTACAGCGTTTCCCCATGTAACAAGTCCCTCATCTTTATTTGTACACAATGACACTATCAGCAGTCCTTATAATTGCCCTGTTGGGTCTCCAGGTCAGTGCCCTACCAGGTAGGGACGAGTCGACCATCGTGCGACGAGCCTGCCCTGACTACACGTCCTATGCATCGACGCCGCAGTGAGTATATATCCCTGAAGACTTCCCCGCACAGTCTGCTAACAATGTCACAGCGGCCCTTATAGCGGTGGTCCTCTAAATCTTCCTTTCCAGCGACCTGCGGAAGTGTGTCGGACATTCTCGTCACCAGCCGTCGAGAAAATTATTGACGATATCACCTCGCGTCTTCTCGATAAGGACCTGGCGCAGTTGTTCCGCAACGCCTTCCCAAACACTCTAGATACCACTATTCGGTGGCACCAGAATGTATCAACGCCCACTAATTCCAAGGCCAAGAGAGATGGCCCTCAGTGGACTGGCGTGCAGACATTTATCGTGACGGGCGATATTAACGCCGAATGGTTGCGCGATTCGACCAATCAGCTCACTAACTACCAAAAGCTAGCTGCTAAGGATAAGAGTCTCTACTCCCTCATCCTCGGTGCTATCGCCACCCAATCCGAGTTTGTCATTCAATCGCCTTACTGCAATGCTTTTCAGCCTCCGTCTGCCAGCGGCGTCAAGCCCGAGAACAGTTCCCAAAAGGATACCGTGCATCCTGCCTACAACCCGTCTTTTGTTTTCGAGTGCAAGTATGAACTAGACTCGCTAGCCCATTTTCTCCAGCTGGGCACTGAGTTCTATGAGAACACTGGCTCGACGGACTTCCTGACAGACCGGTGGTACAAGGCGCTGCAAACTGTGCTGAAAACCATCGACGCACAATCCCAGCCTACATTCAATTCGAAAAACCAGTTTATCACAAACCAGTATACCTTCCAGCGTGAAACCACCATTGGGACTGAGACTCTCAACTTGGCTGGTGTGGGAAACCCGCTCAACAGCGATACCGGCCTGATTCGCAGTGCTTTCCGTCCCAGTGACGATGCCACTATTCTCGGCTTCTTCATTCCTCCCAACGCCCAGATGTCAGTGCAGCTTCAGAAAACCGCAAAGGTCATCAAAACCGCAGGCGGTCCCGCCGATCTAGTCGCCGACCTCGAGGAACGCGGTACCAAGCTCGCCAAGGCAATCCGTGACCATGCTATCGTCCAGCACCCCAAGTATGGAGATGTCTACGCCTTTGAAGTCGATGGTTACGGCTCTCGTATCCTCATGGACGATGCCAATATACCCTCCCTACTCTCCCTCCCTTACCTCGGCTTTGTGGACAAGTCAGACACCGTCTACCAGAATACCCGCAAGATGATCACCGACAAGGCATCTAACCCTTACTTCTTGGAAGGGCCTCAATTCCACGGCATCGGTGGTCCCCACATTGGACTGCAGAATGCCTGGCCCATGTCTCTACTTGTGCAGGCTATGACTTCTGACGACGACGATGAGATCATTGGCAACCTCAATCTTGTGCGCAACTCTAGCTTGCTTGGACTTGTTCATGAGTCTATCAATGTAACTAATATCAAGGACTATACTCGTCCTTGGTTCGCTTGGGCGAACTCGGTCTTTGCTCAGACCGTTCTTAAGGTTGCTGCTGAGAGGCCGCATTTAATTTTCGGGGAAAATGCTGAGCCTTATATCATCCGGTAGTGGAATGATGGCTTGCTTGGAAACTTTAGGTTCATTGTTTTTATATTGTGCTTTGATGCATTAATCAAAGGTGTGAGTTCTTTGCGGACTTTTCTAAGGGTCTCCTTGAAGCTGTACATGTAATCAATTCTAGACGACGGTAGAACTGCCGCCTCGGGAGTGACCGGCTCACGGACGGAAGTTGAACAGCAGCTCATCCCACTGCTCAGGCTGATCAGCCCATTCAATCTCATCTTACCTCTTTGTTCTTTCACTCAATCAGATGCTGAGCACATTGTGACCTACTGTGTTCCCGGGAGCGAAGGCTGTTTAATGGCGTTTTTTTACGTCTCTATAGTAACTTCGGCTCACTCTTCGAAATTCCAGTCAGTCGACTCAACCGATCATCCAACGGACATAGTCGACCGGCGTTAACCATTTAAGGTTTGCTTGGTTCTTTTGATTACAGAGAAGTGACTGGACTTTTACGCACTATTGCTATAGATCCCCCTTGTTCTGTAAATGTGGTTATACAACTTCAGAACCTCAGGAACATCTTTCAAGATTAGCCTCAGCCTTCTATCCTGCCCATACCTAGAATGTCGATACGGGCGATTTTCAATATATGATGGAAGTAGCAGAATTTGCTTGCTTGTGCATTCGCATTGTTTGCTTATCCATGTTTGTCACGCCTGCCTAGCTACAGAAAGAGAGCTTTCTTCCTCAATCCTTCATATCACTATTCCATACATAGTGGATCTTTGTCAATCTATAAACATAACGGCAGAGTAATACAATTATAGGGGGGTTGGGATAGACCGCCCCTCTCGCCGAGGTATATTGGCTCTTGTGGTGATATAGAACATAGTAAATGATATTGTCAGTATCTAAGCATATTATCAAAAATTCCAGACAGAGACATCCCAGTCCGCGAGTTTGCTACATCCGACAAGTCAGCATGGAGCGAGCACCTCCCAGACCAAAACGTCAACATACCTATTCAACCGCTCATTCTGCTCAATAAACTTCCGCTTATCCTTCAGGCTAAACTCTGGCTTCCCTGAGCATCCAGCTGAGAATAGAATGAGAACATAGTAACTAGAATGTGAGTGATCATATCAGAGATAATTGGCTCACTCAAATGTTACTTGGTGGTCAGTTCAATCGATATCGACCATCACTTGCCCCTCAAATAACACAGCAAACTGAGCTTCACCTTCTTCTACGGAACATTGGTAGTACCGTCACTTTTCCAGCGAATCATCGATCTACCAGACAGTCCGAAACCACGCAAAGCCAAGGTCATCGGATACAGTATTGCCAAATGGGGCGATTATCCCGCTCTGATAAAGGGATATCCTAATCAGGAGGTCTACGGGTATGCATACATCGTGCAGTCTGAGGAAGAGGCGACGATACTCGCCGGTCATGCAACAAGGGCATTTGAGGCATCGCGTTGCTAGATCTAATTCACCGATGGGGAGCGGCCTGCTGAGATCGGTGGTATGGCGTTCACGTATACTGGGACGTGCGCACATTGAGCATTGCTCGATGTACCGGCCGCAGGATGCATCAAAGTTGTTGTTGCGCTTAGTACGTTGCAAGCTCCAGGGCTTAAGACCTAAGGAAATACACATCGGTTCTCATGCTGAAGTATATCTTCTATGCATGAACAGCGAATATGTACATCGGGTAACCATCCCTGCAAACTCCTACTTAAAGACTACTGTATAAATAGAAAGAAGGCGCTATATATTCCGAAATCGAAATCAGATCAAAACTCTCCTTAACCCATCAGTGCCTCCAAGCACTCTCCTCCCCGTAACAGGACATCTACCCTTACCACTTTCCCACTTCCCAGATCGCCTGCGCGAACTCTTTTCATCATCATCACCAGCATCCTTCACTTCGTCATCATCGCCGGTAATTTCCTCCTCCCACGCTGCACCAGCACCCTCACCGGCCATGAAGTCCAGTTGGCGCTGGTGTTCGCCGTTCAGCCAGTGGAAGATACAAACGTAGCAGAACACATATCCCGTCTGACAGGCAGTCGGGTTAGCGAGCTGGCCCATACAGACAGGACATGTGTTAGCACTTGAGGAATCAGCCGGAGGCAAAGACACGGTGTAGATGGGGAGGTATGAAGTGGCAGAGATGGGGGGTCGGTGGCGACGGGGGGATTTAAGAGCTGGCTTGAGATCACCGCTCTTCTTTTCCTGCTCGGCCTGCTTCTTTGCTTTCTCTTTCTCATCCTGGATTGACGATATGCGCCGTTCCGCGGGAGATGTAAGACCTGCCACGACCGGGGCCGGCAGATCCAGGACATCGGTTGCTTTTCTGGCGAGCTGGCGAGAGAAATCACTTGCGTGCCACCATTCTAGGAATTTGAGGGCGAAGATCGAGGCGGGGAGGAAGTATCGTAGTGAGGTTAGGAGCTGTGAGTGGAGGTTTTGAGGGCTCAGGAGACCCAACAAGCCTCCACCTGGTCGTTGAGATCGTCCGGTGCTTGGGCCGGGCTTGGGATCTAGCACTGCGGCGATGGCGCGGTGGTCTGCGGAACCGAGGCGGCGGATGCGCGTGCCGATAAGCCACAGGAATGGGGAGGAGTACTTTGTGTTATCGAACAGGTAGGCGAGATTGAACGCCAGAACGGAGAAGTAGTATGCTGCATTTACGGATGGGTAGACTTTGCGCAGGAACCACTTATAGTAGTGTAAGAGACGCTGGCGCAGCGACGGGTTGGCCGGCAGGTCGTCGCTGGGATTATATCGGGGGCCGTCGCCCATGACCAGGGATGCATGCGGTGCGGCATGAATATCGTATGCTTCATCCAACTTGCGCTTTAAATAGGGTATACCGACCATAACGAGTAGATTCTTCCAGATATCCGTCGAGTGTAATTTGAGGGCGTCGCGGACGGGGCCTGCGGCGCCAACCTGGGCGCGCGGAATCTCGCCATTCTTTGTGCGGAGAACGCGCTCTCGTTTCAGGGAATAAAAGTTTTCCGTAAAAGACCCGCCGAATGTTCGCAGGTAGTAACGTTCGACTATTAATGAAAGGAGGGCGTAGACTTCGTCATATGAATTGAGGATCCGGAGAAGATAGCGCGGGTGACGGTGTGTTGCAACTGCGAGAAGATAACGTAGAGATGGAGGAAGGAGATCCGAGAGTTGTTGTTCAGCGAGGAGTTCTGTTGTCGAGCGCAATTTCTGTTAGCGATGCTTGTGTTGTATGGGGGTTTCCCCATGTCTGGGGTGCCCCATCTCCGCGGGGAAGCATCAAGGAACAACAATCGACTTACCGAAAAGTGACGGCTTATGCTCGTCAAACTCCTGTTGAAGACTAGGAAGATACTCCATTGTGAGGAGTGCCAGTCATCGTTCACAAGGTGATGTCTGGGATATTGGCCGAATGTTGCAGTATGAAACCGCTTTCACTCTGCCTCGGCTGCGACTGCGGCTCCGTGGTCCGAGCTCACTACAACGCTACCCTGAGGCACTACGCTTTGACATTCAACTTTACATAGATGTAGGAATATGAAAATGTATGATATTGTACAATGGGGAATGTATGCTACCCTATTTTACTAACAAGTCCCAAATCCGGAGTCACTACATTCTCCGATCCCGCCACAAAGTTCACCTAGAACCTCAAACCAACATGAACCACAAACTCAATGGCCAGCTCATCCTTGTTCAATTTTCATGAGCAAGCGCCTCCTGACATTTACTCCAGAGCGGCAGATAGAAGCTCGGAGGGGCATCTTCATCTCGATTCTGCAGGTTCGGATCTGCGACCAAGATACAGTGCATAACGGCGGTGATGATCGGACCTTGCAGCACGATAGCAGGAGACTCCTGATCCATCACAGAGACCGCTGTCGAAATACACTCGCGGGCTCGCCGTTCTTCGCCCAGCTCAGCATGTAACTGGAACAACTTCACGTAATCGTCTTGTGTACGATTCACACCTTTCAAAGGGAACTGGCGCCACAGACGCCAGAATCCATCGTAGTCGCCGCATCGGAACAGTGTCACCATAAGCTGACGAGCCTCTTCTGCAACAAATGGAACATTGGCCGCCGAGAGAATCTTAGATAGTCGAGACAAAACTTGTTTTTGTGAGTCGTTTTGTTGGACTATAGAGGACTTTTGAGCTGTTCCCTTTGAGTCCGATTCACCTGAAAATGCTGTATTTGAAACACCGACCGCTTGGTAGAGTATGTTAAACATTCTCATGCTAAGGATCGGAACACCGCGGAGACTCAATCGATCAAGCACAGAAAAAGCAAGCTCCATGTCAGTATCTAGGAGCTTAGATGCGGATTCCTCGGTAACGGTCTCTACTGGTTTGGGTGTCAGAAGAGCAGAAACAACATCGAATCCAAGGTCGTCCGGAAGGTCATACCCGTCGCGAAGAAAATCTGTGAATGCGCCAAAGAGCGCATCCTTGCTGTAAGCCGGATGCTGCCTGGACACAGCAGTCGAAAATAGCTTCAATCGAAAAGAAGCTTTTTCTTGGGCAGAGAACCGGGCCGCGTGCTTGTTGTTGTAGAAGAGGCGTAGGAAAATAGTAGATAACCGATCATCTGGACCGCTTCCAAGTTCACTTCGTGCACTCTCAGCTGGGAGTTCAGAGAGGATCTGAAGTAAGGAAGTCGGTGTTAATTGAGATGCGACGACTGCCGCGTCAGCTGGAGCTGGAGCATAAGCTCCGTTGCGAGCGAACTTAGACTCGAATCTGGATTCAATGGAGCTCGTTGCTGGATGTGCGAGTCGCCGCATGGTATGGAAGCCTCTCCTTTGGCCGGGGGAAGACCCAAATCCATCGGACATAGAGCGGGGAGGAGAAGCAGTCTTGGAAGCACCTTTCTCGCCCTCTCGGGTATTCTTTCGCCCTTCTCGAGCCAAGGTGGCTTCCCAGAGTCCATCCAGATCAACATCAGCCCGTTTTTCCTCAGTAAAGATCTGAACAACCACGCTAGTCCCGAGGTCAAGGTTACCGAATCCCTCAATGCCAACATCACTAAGCTGCGTCGTCGAAGCACCTTTGTCTACCACGCCCGCATTCACACAGATCCACCCAGTGGTGATTCCGTCATCCTTCTCGTCAACCGTTGTGCCTGCTGCACTGGCGGCACGCGCTCGTTTGGCCTTGCGTCGGAGTTTAATCTTCAACTCGTTGCGTCCTAATAAACCATCCGCATACGGTGACAGCTTATACTGACTTCTCAGCCAGCGACAAAGCCGATCCGCAGAGACGTTCAAGTGCTTCACGCTACGAGCAGTTCCAATGATCATGATGACATTGGCACCGAGAGCAGCAGGAATTTCCAGACCCCGAAGATCAAACATCGTGAGTTCATCTAGACCCAAGTCCTTATATGTGTATTCCAAAAGGGTCGAAAGCATCTCTGGCGAGTCTTCTGGGATCTGAGGGAGGTGGGCTTCGCTCAATGAGCGGTCCCTGACTGGTGGCGCCTCTTCCTGCAAATACCAGGGGACATGTTGTGATCCGGCGGGTTCACTAGCTCCCGGTTCCAACTTTGGCTCTTCCGACTCGGACAGATGAATGTCAAGCTGATGCGTGGTTGGGGGGCGATCGGAGCGTCGCAAAGTTAGAGCGGAGAAAGCTCGAGTGCTTGGGGAAAGAGGAGAGTATCGCGGCATTGGAATACCGGAGACAGATACAAAAGACCGCAGTACCTCATTTCTGCAAGACTGGCATGCAGCCCCTCGTAAAAGAGCTCTGCTCATGGTGACAATTATAGAAACAATGAGAAAATGAATTGTTCCGGTTTCTTGATTCTTGACCTCATCAACGATAGCGGGCGCAAACAGAACAAACAGCTGAGTCATCTACAAAGGCTCCCGGGGCCTAATAGTAGTCCTGTAGAGCTACAGAAGGTCGACTTGAACCTTGGGATTTCTACGACTTTGAAAGTGACGTCCTTGACGCCCATGGTATGCAGAGGTTGGCGTTTGCTTCTGCGAATAACGTTTTGAGTTTTCGATAAAAAAGAAGTTCCTTGTTTTCAGCTAGATGCAATCTACGACGATGTCACCCATATTGCTCATGTTATTGAAATGGATCAGATCAACTCCATCTAAGTAAACTACATGTTTCCATCTGTACATTCATAGGAAGAAACCTTGGATAATTGAGTCCAAAGCCCTAAAATAAACTTCAAATCTGTACCCAACCCAAAATTTTGAAGTTACAAAGCTTAGAAGATCTTCCCAAGCACTCGCTGGGTATCACCAGCCAAAGTACTATCATTCTTGACAGTCTTCGACTGCTCAAACGTCCTCCTTATCTTGCGCGCAGGCTTCTGCGCCTGCTTCACTTCAGAGCTTTCCTCCGTCTCCAACCGCCTCTTCAACTTATCCTCTTCCTTCTTCTTGATTCCATCAGCAACACGCCCACTCTCAACACCAGAAATGTACACCTTGTCCTCGCGCTTGGCCTTCTGATCAGCTAGACGCTGTGTAGCTTCCCTCGCGGCGCGCTCCATCTGGATCTGTTCCATAAGATGGCTCCATTTGCTGCACTGCGTTAGTAATGATCAATAATTGGAGGGTGGATTCCTTACTATCCCTTTAGGTATTTCATGTTCCACAGATCATCTCTGTACCAGGAGGACTTGAGACCGCCTATAGTTCGGGCGTTCAGTGTCTCCGCGCAAAGTTTCGCTGTCCTATATAGCTGTTAGCGACTGCAGGGAGCAGTGGGAGTGTACAAACGTGCCGTTTGGACTTAAACTCGACCCAGCCATCTGTATAGAGCTTGCGCTTGTTGGACTTCTGCTTCTGCCCAGCCGCTGATGGTAACAAAGGAGCAAGGAACACCTTTGTGATCGGGCCGAAATTTCGCTTCTCTAACATATTCTTGAGCGCGAACTGGATTTTGTGTCAGTTTTCGAGATTGATTTACATAGGCAGTCAAAGTGAGGGCTTATGATACTCACAGGCTTGAGATATGGTGGGAGAGACGACAGATACACCACACCACTCTTGTCCTTCTTGGGTGGTTTTCCGCTTGTCAACTTTGCGAGCTTGCTATTTAGCAATTTGGTCTTTGGCTTGCTGGAAGACTCGTTTGAGACATCTAGGCTTGCGCCTCCATCCTCTTCGTCGCTTAGTTCCTCGTCCTCATCCTCGTCCTCTTCGTCTGTGTCTTCTGTCGTCTTTATTTGCTTGCGACCCTTGCCCTTGCCCTTGGGACGTGGCTCCTCTTCTTCCTCTTCATTGAGATCGCTCTCGTCTTCGTCAGACTCGAGTCCGAAGGGATCTTGGTTGTCCGCCGTCCTGCGCCGCTTCACAGATCGTCCTTTGCTCTCCGCCGCATTCTCCTCGGAATCATAGCCGCGGTCGGCTTCATCCTCACTAGCTGAGATATCGATCAGGTCGTGTTTCCGAGAAGCCATTATGTGTCTGTGTAGGTTTTGGATACAGATTCAGGGAAGTAAATGAGGTTGTCGCGGAAGTGAACTTTTTTCTTAGAAATTAGTGGTCCGTGCGCGGCCTGAAGTACAATACAGTAAATAACATCGAAGGGTAGTTGTCGCTCTAGAAGGAAAATTGCTATTTTCAAGAAGATATTAATTAGACCAGTACTTAAACTTCTGAATCACGCAATAAACAGAAAACAAACAACCCTTTCAAACAGCATGGGATCGTGTATTCAACCTTGAAATTTTCCATGCTTTTGTTATCTTATCGCTTATCGCTTATCGGGACACCGCGGTGGATGTGCTCACATGGAAACCTTGAAAAGGCTCGAGTCTTCCAGGGTTCAAGGCATACATGCATGCAAAATTAAGATAGAATCCACAGCAGGGTCTCCAAATAAATAGCAAGACAGTCTAATATGAAGATTTTTATATGTGCTGGTGTATCTCTAAGGGCCAAACAGGCTCTAATGCTAATAACGAAACCCCCACAAAAACGCCAGATTCAACGGAGAGATGACATCTACCCCAGGATTCATATGTGCAAAAGGGCGAATAACATAAATCAACAAATATGCAGCGTGCCCTTGACCCGTTCATAAACAAAGAAGGCGACAGCAGCCATCGGCACGACTTTAATATACCCAATCGTCAGACCAACCCAGAACCCACGGAATCCGCGCTCCAGCCAGATGTTTCGGGCTGTCTCGGCGAATCCGAGACGTCGGCCGTCACCGACTGCACCGCCGACTTGCATTCTGCGGCGGAGGACTTCGATGGGATATGAGGATGTCTGTGAGACGAGACCGGCTAGTGCGCCAGCGAGTAGCTCAAAGGGAGCATTGAGGAGCGGACGGTTGTGGTTCTTGTCATTTTTCTGAGGCTTGGGGTCTATATCCGATGCTCGTTTCAGGGTATATGGCGCCAAACTGGGGTGGCGGAATAAATCGCCAACCGTGTCGTGGGTGAGGAAAGAGATTCCAGCGTAAGGGAGCATGCCGAGGATAGTCGGTGCGAAACCGCGGTAGAAGTTGATGATTCCTGTTCGCGGGGCGACTTTGTTCACGACCGACGAGGCGCTTTCAACAGCGGCTACGGCTGAAGACTCTGTTGCTGCGGTGGAGCGGGTTTGTGGTTGAGATTGTTCGTGGTAAATTTGGCGCCAGATGTCTACTATCCCTGATCGGTGAGACTGTCTTGTTTCGAAGGCCATGCGCACTCGCATCAATTCTAGTGGGTATGTAAAGCACACAGATGTGACACCGGCTAAACTTCCAGATATCAAACGGCGAAATGGAGTCTCGTATTCACTTGAAGGGATCACGACTGCGCGGATCTGTTCGTAGGCGAGGAACTTGATGGCGGCGTAGGGGAAGATGCGGAGGAGTGTGACGGAGTGGCCCTTGTAAAGGCCTTTGGCGCCTTCGGTGCGGTTGATATCTTTGATCGCAGCAGCAAGTCCTGTCCAGCTGCCGGTGTACTTGGCGAACTGGGGATTGGAAGCTTGGAAGAGGATCTTGACACGGTCGAGCGGTGCAACAACGGTTTTGGCCTATAGGAGAATCGCCAGTCAGTACGAATGTCACAATTCCAGGGTCTAGGCATTTGCAAGTGGCGCGAACTTACCGCACACCCGGCCAAGCCGCCGGCGATACCACTTCTGATCGCATATTCCAAGCTCTGCTTCTCTATCTTTTTGATTTTATTGCCAGCGGTAGTTGTACTTGAGACAAGCGGCATTGTCGCGCCAATCGACGATCCCGAGCGTGCGGTCTCGCTCATCGGAGCGGACGGTGGAGTAGACTCTGGTTTGTTGGAAGGAGCATAGGCATGGTCTGAATGACCACTCGACATGAGAGAAGTGGAAAATTTTAATATGAGCGGCCGAGGCTCACGGGCGTGGAAAATATCTGGGGCAATAACGGGATCCCCCTCGTGATCAAGTTCGGCGATAATATGTGTCTCGGTCTACCGGATGATCTTCGGCACCATGTAGTACTGTATGCAGAAAAATTTTGGGAACTAAATGAAAAGCAAAAATTCCCTGAAGTAAAACCAGGATAATAGCAAATAGTTTGTATAGCAATTGAAGAGATGAAAGATTGTGTCTTTGCTCGCTGACGTATTTGGCGAAGTTCCGACTTCAAAATACAGAGACTGACATGCCGATACCAACCGCTCCCCGCAAATAAGCGGCGGAATACAGTACCGATACGGCCCGCAAAGAGTAGCGAGTCCCGAGAAGCCGAATTGTAATCGTATTTTTGCCACTAGCCCTCGTAAGGACTCTATTCAGTTCTAGGTTGATACTATGTCGATTCCATTGCTAGACTACACGAATGTAAACTCTCTCCAGAAAATAAATGCTAAGTAGAAATAAACTCCCCCCAACCATGCATATTGAAATGTATACGCGACAAGAAAGAGAAGGCAGATAGTACAAAGAATATCGTGGTCGCGTGAGTATGGAGAGCTGATAGATATCAACCCCTGCGCTGAGCGCGAGTTCGAGGTAGAGTCTTGGCCTGTTTAGCTGCCTTTGCCCCTCTGGTATCATCGGAAACCCGCTTGCGCTTGGCTGGGCGGCCAGAGTCAATATGGAGATGACCATTTACAGACAGGGCGGTGTTGTTCTTCCAGCGTAGGCAGCGCAGGTGGTTATCGTTCACATCCACGTAGGTTTTGGTCCGAGTAGTCACTCGCTTGGTCGGAATATCCTCCGACTCGGCTCTCTCGGGAGTTTCAGCTAAATACTCCTTGCGATTCTTCATGTACTTGGCAATGTAGTCTTGCTGAAGGAGAAGCTCCTTCATCAACTTGGATTCCCGGTTGCCACGCACATCGAGCCAATCGATGAGCTGCTCAATAGCCTCGGGATCCTCATAGAATCCCCATTCACGAGCATTTGAAACATGAGTTGGGCCCTCTTCGTGCTTCTTGCGCTCTGCCGGGGTGGTCTGGAAATGCTTCTGGTATTGCTTGCGCTGTTCGTCGGTCACCTCAATGAATCCGGTATATTCCATTTCATCTGGGCCTTGAACCCACAGGCGGCCGTTAGAATAGCCTGCTTCGGCACTCGAGCTTTCCGGCATACCCTCGTAAGGCATTGCGTTGCGCTCAAACCACCAATAGCGATTGCAAAAGCGATCCTGCCCAAGGCATTTGGTTCGCGGACAGTCAGTTTCTCGAAGGCTGTTTTCCACCGTCTCGATTTGCTCCTGGAGTTTCTCGATCTTGGCCTTCTGCTCATCAATCTTCTTCAAGACCTTCTGGTACTGCTTCGATCCCTTTGGTTGCTTGGCCAAGATCTCTTTTCGCTCTTTCTCGAGTTCTTGCTTCCGTTTACGCTCCAGAGCTCTGTCTACTCCTCCGCGCAGTGCGCGTGGTCGAGGAACATCCTCGTCTTCAGTGTCCATTATCATCTCAGAGTCTCCTTCAAGACCGGTCATCCTAGAATCATCCAGGCCGTCGAGCTCGGGGACTGGGGTAGGCGACTTTCCTGCCTTCTCAGGTTCGGGTTGAACGGCCTTTCGCTCCTGATGCAACTGACGAAGCTCGATGAGTCTATAAAATAGTGTTAGCGGTTAATAGAAAATTCTTTCAAGAGTGACCTACGCTGCTTTGCGTGACTTTTGGTACTCGATCTTTTCCTTGCGCAACTCCGTCATCTGATTGCTGCACTCCTCAAGATAGTTGCGGATAGCTTTGGTCTCCAAACTCAACATGCAGATCATCTGGAGCGCCTTGGTGCGCAGGTTGATGTCCAGGGTTTGGTATTGCTTTTGTACAGTATTCGGTGTAGGGTCGGAATCGAGAGGTGCCAAGTGCTTGAGAATATTGTTGCAAACTTGCTCCGAACGAGGGCGAACAGACAGCTGGTGCAAAACTCCAACCATCACCGTCTGCCAGCCACCGTTACGGAAATCACGCTTGCGGAGGCGGTCGATCCACCCATACTTCTCAAACAGCTCGGAAGCACGATGAATGCGGGTCTCCTCCAGTTGGTCTTCCTCGATCTGTGCTTTGATGATCACTAACTCTTCCTTGGCTAGACTTCCTCTGGTGGTCATTCTCCCGGGCTTGATCTGCGGCTTTGGGGACTCCTCCTCGGCTTCCTCTTCTTCTTCTTCCTCTTCATCTTCAGACTCGTCAGAGTCATCTGTCGGGAAATCTGGGAGGGAGACTTGAACTGCGCCATCCCCGCCATCGGATGCATTCACAAGCTTCTTGAGTACGGCGCAGTGCACCTCTACAAAAAGGTCGCAATCCATTTCGTCGGACGAGAATCGCATAGCCTGAGTGAAATCGTCAAAGGGGAAAGAATCCAGTTCAAACACCTCACAGTACACATTGAGTGTGTCCCAAGTCTCCAGAAGCAATCCCACCGTCTCAGGCGCTATATCATATGGCAGTAAATCCTCCACGCCATCCTCTTCGGCGTCGCCTGCCATCATGAATTTCAGCATCGGGCGGTGCTGCTTCTCGGGTTTGGGAGCAAGATCCAAATCTTCGATGGGATACTTGATTGGTGGTGGGGTTGCCGGCCTCGATTCATTCTTGACTACTACTGCTGGCATAGCAGCATGCTTTCTATCGCCAACCAGCGGCGGTTTGGAAGGGCGCAAAGGATTTGAAGGCAGAAGGAATGAGGCATCCCCATTCAAGGATCGCTGATACTCTTGGTATTGTGCTTCCCTCGATTTAGCCATGTCATGAGCTGACAGCTTTGACTTCTGCCCTTTGACGGCGGGCTTCAGCTCGGGAAGCTGCTGGGAAGAGAAGAAGCCGAAGAAACCGTCTTGGTCGGCTTTCTTCATTGCCTTCTTCTCTGCCACCTTTGCGCCATACTGAAGATGTTTGGGCACCTCGATCGGGATTTTGTACACCTCGGCGACAGATGGTTTGACTAGCCAAGGGGCACCAGTCCATGATTCCCTGGTAACGTTATTTTTAATGAATCCACGCAGCATCAACTTGGTGAATGCCTTCCGGTCACGGGTGATGTGGTCCTGGTCCAGCAGGGCCTCCTCGTTTTGACGGTCTAGGATCTTAACCAGATATCTAGCAAAGGCAGGTGTTTTGATAGTCCCATCGGCATACAACTGCTCTGCAAAGTTGGCCTTGTCTCTGATAGTACCATGGAGCCGACTGCTATCCTCTAGCAAAATCAGAACGGCTTCACCCGGATAAAAGTCCGATTTGAATTCCTGCATATGTTAGATCAGCCGTCATATAAAACAATGGGTCTGTCTCACTTCATAGATTTCATCCACTAAAAAATCAATATGTTAGCGTAGACCAGACTAGACAGGTCAAGATCAACATACCTAGGCTGTCCACCCTTGAGACTGTAGAGAATTGAATTCTGCGTAGGATGGGTTCTCTCAAAGCATCGGGGAAGCTGTTGTTGACTTCACGCGATTCCTCTGTCTGATTTTAATTTAGCACATCTCCATCACCCAGTGTCCATGTTGTAATGTACCTCACTGCGGAGCGCCTCAAAAAACGTTAATCCCGAATGTCCAGTGATTTCACAAATGAATCGGCGTTGTTTATAAAAGTCCATTCGCTGGAGATAGGGTTCGTAGGTGGTGAAGACCTCGTTTGTCTCTGGGATGACCCAGACCTGAAAGAAAGAATCATGGTCAGTGAGCGGAACGTGAAGTATGAGTGATCACAACACATACCTCGGAGCTTTCATCTTCAATGACAGTCTGTGGGAGGTATTGAACCGGCTTCCGTTTGAATAGTACCTATTCAAGTAATTGTGTAAGCCACTGGTTCCCGTATGATCCACCACTTTGCTACTGGCACCTCCGCGGCCATTCCTATCTGATAAGGTATCGCATACCATGATGCTTTAAAGACTTGTTGTAGACGCGCCAGTCGGCCAGAAACTACCGTGAACACAATCGATCATGAACGAGCTAGACAAAACGCGACCTTGGTTAGCAAAATGGAGCTAGTCGATTGAGTGCGTGAATGTGGAGACCGCGTCAGACCCGAAATCGGCAGCGGTAAGGAGCTTCGCGATATGGATTGCGGCGGTTCTGCTGGCCTCAGACTGAGAACATGATATGCGGGTGGTGACGGGGATGGTCAGGATCCTGGTAGACCCCCAAACGCGAATCGTGAATGGGGAAATTCGTATCAGCGGACTTACCGGAGAAGAACGCGTCCGATATATGAGCGATCTGGACAATTCTCTGCGCGTAAACCAGAAAAGTTGGGCAGAAATTTTAGAATGGATGAAGATTAGGAAAAAGAGAAAAGAAGAAAGGACACAAAAGAACGGAGCGGAGAGGCGGTAGATCATTTGCAGGAACCGCGAATGGGTGGGGGCGAGCTGTGATTGGTCCAGAGCAGGCAGCCTTCACAGGAGCCATAATGCCCAGAAAAACAGCCTTTCCGAGGGAGTCCTGCTTCTTCTTGCACTTCCAACTCCCCTTCTACTACCCTTTCTTCTTAACCCCCCAACTCTACTTGTATTTATACTCATTCGACAGGTTATAATTCGCATATTCCAAATACTTTACCTTTTTTTGAATATTATATAATAAATGCCCTTTTATCCCCAATTATCAATCTCTATTCTCCGTCCGGGCTACGATCGGAAATAGTCTGCTATTCTACATCCTCATGGGGCTAAGTCAACCACCAATCTTTGTTAATATTTTTAACATGAAACACCAATCTTCAATTATTCTCTTTGATATCAAAGTTTGAGAATGTTTCGACAACAGCAAGCCTACATACGTAACCAGTTATAATAACCTGATCCATCTTTAGTAGCAATAATATTGCTGTCTTGTAAAATTACGAAGTCTAAGTATTCGCTGTTGTCTCTCGTTAACTTTTTTTGGTATATAGCACATCGCACATTATCTTCTTTCATCAAGTTCTTCCACTTTGAAGCTCAAGTCTTTTAAGCTCTTTGTCATCGCCGCATTTCTATCTTCATGTTAGCGGCCAATGCCTACTCCCGTATATAAACCCATCTATCCGGAATAGTAATAAGAATCAACATGTAACCCTGGTATTAGCAACTCCATAGGTTTCCATAAATCACAGGCTAGTACCGAAGCTATTCCCCCACTATGCCAACGGTTTCCTCTGGGTAATCTACCTGATCGCGCTTTTGGTTGACAGAGGGCTTGGTATAAAATGGGAACCCCAAGAACTATATTAGATAGCATCCCCAGATGCCCATGAATATTTAGAAAGCATGTCTTTTATAGCATAGGGGTTCTATTCTTAATGTGTCTACTCCAGTGCTCAAAGCAAACAGCTAGAAATCATCTGTATGTTGAATACATTGCCAGCCGCAGTGTCACAAATGCAATGCCTACTCCGATATTTGGCGGGGCACTTTTTATTGGACATTAACTTACTTATTCTATGGTTTGCCCCAGAGCTTCCCTGTTCTTTCTATAGGAATAGCCTTTACTGCAGGTTTAGTTACATGCTTAGATACGGCTAAGTTCTAGTCAACTATAGGCTAGAGGGTTTATATCGCTATCATCGATCTCTATGACATAGCACTGGAAATATACATGCTTCAGCATAAGACTCTAAGCAGAGTGAAGAACGGCATGGTTGCAATATGAAGTTCGATTGTGCGACAATATATCAACATTACTTACACCAACTTTTGGCCAGCAAATGACCTACCATGTGCATGCTCTGTCCTCTGATAGTAGTACCTCAAATTCACATGTCAATCAATTTGATCAGAGTCCAATAGAACAATTTCGACATTTATGGTCTAAAAGCAAAACCTTCAAATGTTCAAGCAGAAATCTTAACCCAACCGACGGATATATATCCAATGAACATAGATTCCGAAGACCGTGAAAATGGACTAAGACACAAGACGTAGGACACAAATCAACAAACTTTCAAACTTAATTGACAAGAGAGTTGACCCGAAAAGTGCCAGCACAATCGAAGCGGATGATTCCCCGTGTTTCTATCCGACCTGCATTTAGCTGCAGGCCGACGACGTGAAGTAGCGCTAGCCCGATCTAGCATAGCGCAGGAATAGACTCAATGAGAAGTGGGTCTGGCCCACGTGGAAACAAACACTGCAAACACACATTACATCATTTGAAGATTGGATTCGAGTCTTCTGACGATAACATGTTGATAAAATGGACGGAAAATAATGAATATTATGATTGTAGCTGGTACCGAAAACTCTATGCTGTGAAGTACACTACCATAAAGCCAATCCAACTTCCGACCACACCGAGCGCGCAATAACTGCTGATGAACATCAACGGTAGGAATTGTAGTCTATCCCATCCGAAGATTAATTGGTGACCCAAAGAGCAGTAAACAAGTAAAGGAATAGAGACAGTCAAGTAAAGCAGCGAGAGCCGGTCGAAGACGAATATGCGAGGCCGTTGTGGAACGGGCGCCACTCGATCAAAGACGAAGAGGAAGAGCACCAGCCACAGAATCGTGTAAACAGTCTTGAGCGGGAACTCGGCTGCCGTGAATAACAGTGGGAAGAGTGAGACATGTCCTGCAACCGCCAAGGGGCGGAAGGCGCTGAAGTAGCGTCGATCTTTGAGTGCGACCAAGCTGAACGGGATGATGATTAAAAGAATGGCTTTCTCGTGCACATGCCAGCCGAAGAGAAATGATGCATAGCCACAAAGGGTGATGGCGCCGACGAAGGTGTCCCAGCAGCCTGGATTACGCCAGACTTTGACCAGAGGAACCTAGGAAATTGTAAGCGGGGATCAGAGACATTTAGCGTAAGGAGTGCGTACCATTTGGAACAACAATGTCAAGATGAATGTATATTCTTTGGTAACCTCGGGGAGGATGGCAAAAGAGGTATCTCCAACCAGCCCTCGCGTGACACTGTTGAGAGCATCGGCGTTCACGGGAAGGCCCAGTCGAGGAGCAACTGAGAATTAGGTTAGCCAGGCTCCTATCCAGTAGACAGGAGAGAATGCATACGGGGAATCAAAGCTCGATCAGTGAACGAGTACATTGCCCAAATATTTGGAGCCCAGTACGCGTGGCACAATCCCCTTGAAAACGGAAACAGTCTGTCCTTGAGTTGCAGCAACTGGCCCCATTGCGCAAACGGACCAAAGGCAACTGTGAAGACACCAACCACACACACCCCAAGCTTGATAATGTTGCCGAACCGGGGCCGGAAAGCTGACTTGAGATCAAGGCAATAGGTGCGCAGCAAGAAGACAAAGTAGGCGAGAGCAAGATATAGGTAGATGTGTTTCATGCACAGCAAGACCGCGAAAAGAATTCCACTGTAGAGGAGGGTGGACTGCTTCCGGGCCAGGACGATTGACAGAATCAGAATTCCATACATAAACCCATTGTATTGGAAGTGGATGTGATCGATGATGAAGAGACCCGGGGACAGCAGGATGGAAAGGCTCGCCACATGCGCGGCTTGCTTATTGGCCAAAGGAACAGACTTGATGAATCTATGTTAAACCATTTTTAGTATATTTTTCATTGCAGAAGTTCGGTAGAAATATATGCCATACCGACTAAGCGCATAAACAAGAACCAATTCCGTCAATATCACAGTAGTTCTCTGGAAATAGACAGTCTGCCAGGAATCATAGCCAAGGTTCTTCACAACCAACATCGCAGGGTCCACATATGCCGCAGCCTGCGACATTAGCCATTCAAACACAGCAAAGAATGGTGGGTAATCGAGCGTCCATTCTGAGGAATTCTAAAGTTATGTCAACATCCACACTGGGTATGCGCGCGACCGAACCTACCTCGTAGTACCACTCTTGAACTGGAAGGGAATGGGTGATGGCGAGCCAATTGCGATGGACTTCAAAATCAGTTGATTTGCTATAGCAAATGGGTATTAGCTTGAGTTTATTTGTAGTGCCTTAATTGAGGCGTCTGGATATTTCTTTTGCGGTGAGCGCGGGACTCACTATGCGGGGAAAAGCAGCACCTTGAAGGCAGCCGCGACGATGGCGCATTGTGCCAGAGAGGGATATAGTTCAACCATTGGAGGCTCTGCGCATAATGATGCGACAATCCCAGGGAACGAATAGACCAGACGCGAGAATTGATGATAGGCGGAGGTGGGAAGCTTCCTCCGCATGTTTTCTGGTGCACGTGACCCGGTGCGGAGATCAAATCAGGAGTGAAACAGAAGGACAGATATCAATACAAATGAAACGTCAAGAAACTTCCGCATGGACTTCACAGACGTAGGGATCCGACACACCATCCTTAACAGTGTACAGCTTCATCACTTCTTTGATTGTTCGCCATCCACTGCTGTTGTTGCGAAAGAAGCCCGTTTCTGCGTTATTGCTGTTGTTGTTGGCTGGATCACTACTCGCGTTATTTCCGGCCTCTTTGATATCAATAGAGGGCGGAACTGCAACGAACCAGGCCACTGCAACTGCTCAGAAGCCAAGTGATTGCTCCGTGAAGCAGCCAGACAATTATTGAATGAATAGCAAGCTCCGTCACAGCTGTACAACATGATGAAGACACTAGCTTCCCTGGCACTGTTTGCTGCAGGAGCTACATCTCAAGTTATTGATAGCTCAAGTTTTGGTGCCGGCAAAACGTCAGTACCTGCTCTTCACCATATATGAAATCAATCTGACCTGTCAGGATATCACCAAACCGAGACCATTCAATCCCGGGATGGACAATTGGAGGAGAGGGCCATCATCCGAACTTGGTGAGCTAATATTCTGCATCATGGCATGGCTGGAACTAATGGGAAAATAGCTGTCAGACAAAGTCATTTTAACACCGCCATACCCCGGTAACACACGGGGATCCCTATGGGCACAGAGTCCGTAAGTCAAAGGACTTAGAACGATGGGAAAATGGATGGATAATAACACACGCATAGTGTTTCTCAGTCGGAATGGTCAGCAGAATTCCAATTCCGCGCGAGTGGTCCTGAACGAGCTGGCGGAATCCTGCAATTATGGTACACTAAAGATGGCCAGTCCCGGATTGGTACCTCCAGCATTTATACTGTTGGCAAGTTCGACGGCTTTGCACTCGTGATTGATACGCATGGCGGACGTGTGCGTATTTTCCCGTATCGTCGTATTGAACACCAATTGATCTCTCCAATAGGGCGGCAGCGTTCGTGGATTCTTGAACGACGGTACGACCGATTACAAAAGCATTAACAGCCCGGACGCCTTGGCCTTTGGTCACTGCGACTACTCCTACCGCAACCTAGGCCGTCCGTCCATTGTCAAGCTCAAACACACCAACTCGATCTTTGAAGTCACCATTGATGACAAGCCCTGTTTCTCCACCAACAAGGTAGGTTACGATGTCACAGCCATTTATAGCAATTGACCACAGACTAACCCACTTCCCAGGTTGCACTACCTGCTGGAAACACCTTCGGTATCACAGCCGCTACCCCAGAAAACCCCGACTCATTCGAAGTCTTCAAATTCATCCTCGAGTCCGCCACCACCCAAGGCTCAACAATTCCCTCGAACCAGGGCAACACCCAGCCGATCGTCAACCAAAACCAAGTACCACCCAAAGCCCAAGTCCCGCCTGCGGCACCCGCATCGGAAGGCACGATGATTGGTCTCGCCGCCCAATTTGTCGACCTCAGCGGCCGTCTCCAGCTGACCAACAAGGCAACCAACACCATCCTCCAAGACATCAAGAGCCAAGCCCAGAAGGCTGACGCTCGCCACGCGGAGCTTCTCCAAATGCTGATCACAAAGGACCAGTACAACGCCCTGGAAAGCAGACTCGCGCGCATGGAGCAACTTATCGCGAATATCCAGCGCGATGTCGGAGACAGGGATTACAGCAGCCGCTTCAATCAGCTCCACGATACTCTGCGCTCGTCGCACCTCAGCTTGAGCGAGAACCTGCAGGGTCATCTGTTGAATGGTAAGCCATTGGAGAATGTGTTTGAGTCCAGTGCCCAGCTTGCTAATCTCGCTTTTATAGTCATTACCGCCTCGACTCCCCGTATGGGCTTCTTTATCTTCCTGGTCATTGCATTCCAGGTCGTTCTCGTCATCTCCTACGTCATCTACAAGCGTCGTCGAGCCAATATGCCCAAGAAGTTCCTTTAAGCATCTCTTCTATCTCCCCCACCTCCCATCTGAAATGGAGGTTGGTGGTCTCAATTTTACCTTTCTTTTCGCTGATGGGAGGTGGGGGATAACCATTCGCAAGTGTTTCTGCTGGGTTGATGCCCTCGGCGAAGTGGTGAGTTTATCAAGTTATGTAGAGTACAAATATCATTACTTTCACGCGAGATTTCAAACCAATTACTCTTACAAGTGAGAAGAAACTGAAATTGGCAAATATTCATTTGGCCTTTGGCCCATGCTATCGTACAAATCCTCGAGCCACCCGACCACGTAACAATTTTTTGAAGAAAAAATTGAGAAAGCAAATAACAAAACATTTGAAGAACAGAAAAAAAAACGTGGTCGGGTGGCTCGAGAAAATAAATTCAATAATTGGCGATCCCACCGAGAACGATCTTGAAAAAGAGAATAAATTTTCCAACGCCGGGTTCCTTAGATGCGAACATTGAAAACAGAAGAGTGTGAGTTTTTACTCGGAGTCGGTGTGTGGGCGCTTTTGCGCCGGCTGTTCCCCGTATCCCTGGTCATCCCGGGAACGCTTGTTGCGATTGAACACAGGGATACGGGGAAGACGGTCGGAGTCGGGATGATCTGACTTCATGGATACAGCTGAGGCTGCCTTGGAAGGGTTGGTGAAGTCGAGGGAGGGAGAGGTGGCAGCATGGGACGATTCCAAGGCAGAGTCCTTATCAATCCGAGAGGCGGTCTTTGGGGCAGCACCAGACGAAGCAGGCGCGGAAGCGTTGGCAACGTTGGCAGCGTTGGTAGCAGTGGCTGTGTTGGTGAAATTGGTGGTTCCGGCACGTTCGGCACCGGCGACGATGGGGGTTTGGACAGCAACTGGCTCAGGCTCGGACCGGGATAGGCCGAGAAGAGAGGAAGCAGCGTCAAAATCTTGAGTTGAGACTGGAGCACCTGCGATCATGTTGCGAATAGAACCGGACACATTCTGTGTGAAAAAGGCAGGGAGTTCTGTGGTGAGGTTGGAGGCACCAAGGACTCCCTGCTTTTCCAGGTATTCCAGAGTGATTTGTCTGGTCAGGTCCAGACACTTCTTCTCAACACTGGCAGCATACTCCTTTTGGCGTTCATGATGATCATTTTTCACAGCACTGATGAAATTCAGGACGACATCGCCTCCAAGGAAGCGGGATCTTTTTTCTCTCCAGTCTTCGTCAAACAAACTCTGGTTGGGGTCATCGGGAAGAAGAATGTCACAATCAATGTATGCCATATTCTTGGTACGGCGGATACGGCGCGTACGCTCGTGGCCGTTGACCTCCTTGGTGGCAATCATGTCGTTGTCAGTAACATGGTTGGGACACATCCACCCGACCTTGGGGTTAGGGGGTTGTGCGCGAGGGGGATCAAGACAATCCAGATGGAAACGGCAAGGACAATAATCACAAGTGATGATTGGGCGTGTACCTCCCGACGAAAAACCGCACCTGGAGCACTTGATCAAATCTCCCTTGTTGTCTCTTTCTCGGAGAAGCATGGGATTCGCGTATGTGGTAGGGCCATCTTGCTTGGGTGGTTTAGTCAGCCGAGGTAGGTGGGGCGCAGACTTGTAATATCGTTGGTTCTTCAGATTTCGGGCATAATCGCGTTCAAACACAACTCCTTCGTCAACTCCAATGAAATGTCCCTTGATTTCTTGGGGGACTTGGAATTCTGTCTTCTTGAAGTGGTTGGAGTGGGCAATCAGGGTAGAAAAACTGTTGCGGATCGAACATTTGGGGCAGTGCCATTCCCCTTGTGGAGGATTTTTTGGATCCAAAGCAGGTTTCAAGCAAGTGAAATGGTAGGAATTTTCGCAAGTGTCACAGCATAGCAAATCACCACCTTTGCCACACTCGTGACAGTCATCGCTATTCTCGGGGGGTTCACTGTAAGGTGTCATGTTAGCAAATGTAGTCAAAACAAAATGATCAGTAACCCGTGAAAAAACACGTACATAGAATTCGGCATTTGACGTGGCTGATGGTCAGCAGCCCACTCGTTGAAGCGGACAGAGTAAGCAGAGTTGGAAAGTGAAGAAAGGCTCGAGATAGTGGTGTCAACAGAAAGCGACCGTGCACGTTGAGCGCCCTCAGGGCGTTTGGCTTTTGCCCTTTGGCGTCTAGAGCCAGCCCTGCCTTCCCTTTCAGCCACAATATCAGGTGCAGTTGAGTAGGAAGAAGGAGGGGGAGGGAATCTTTTGGTAATGGGAATATCGAGGATAGAGCCTCCGTGGATAGTGCCTCCGACAGGAAGAGAACGAGAACGTTCGATAACAGTGTCGTTATCCAAGGTGAAAGGATGTTCGATGGCGTCTGGTGGTCCGCGCTCTTCACGGCATGAGCTGTACGAGACCACAACATCGGGAAATCCAGTCTGCAGGTCTGCTTTGTAACGAGTACGCTTTGCCTCCACACTAGCTTCATGATTTGAATCTACCTCCCATTGGCGTTTGCGTTTGAAAGCAGCCTCGTTGACTGGACATGGTTTTTTGGGTCGCTTGATTGGAGCGGTGTTTGATTTACCACTCATAAATTGTTCTTCCATTCGAGGACCACTTGTATCGCGATAGATATCTGAGACCTTGAAGCCGGGTTCTCGTTCAACCGATTTACCAGATGACAAACCAGAGTCACTGCCCGAATGCAGTTCGACTGCTGTGGCGCCAATGTAGTTCTGATACCACTGAATGGCCTCGGTTTCCGAGTTGTTGACGATGGACATAAGGGCAAGTCGCAGTTGGGGATCTGATTCTGTGCCTTTGGCGAGATTATGGACCAGGGAAAGTGCGAATTCGTCGTTCACGGCCTTAGACCAGAAGTAAAGAAGGCTCAAGGTGGAGCCGCGGGTGCCATGCTCCATAGCATGCATGATGGAGAATTTGATGACGGTTCGGAGTCGGTGGACATCGTACTTCTCGGAGGAAGGAAGGGGGAGTGCGTTCAGCACGGCCAGGTAGTCGGGGGTATTGGAGGTGGTTTCGACTGCGCTTTCGATTGCTGGAGTGGTCTCATCCGGAGTCTCGGCGACTGGAGTGGGCGAAGGGACTGTCACTTGTTTGGAGAGATATTCAACGCCCTTTTCGACAGGCAGGCTCTCAAGCCCGCTGTCAGAGGCAGCAGATTCAAGCTCAGGTTCTTTGCGCGGGGCGCTGGCAGGAATGGTCGCGACGCGCTCCGCAACCCGTTTGGCAGGAGTCACGCCGGCGCCGCGGTACTCTGCGACCGATGGGTATTCCCCGATCGGCTTCATTTTCCGCCAGGGATTTTGGGGCTTCGAAGTGCCCGGGGGCTTCTTCTGAAGCTTCCGTCGTTTCGCGGGTTGGGAAGAGGCCTGACGACCTCCGGACTGAGTGGAGCCCTTGGGGGCAGGCGGAAGGGGCCTGCTAGGGTTAGTGCCACGCGCTTTATGCCCTAACTTCGATCTTGGTTCAACATACTTGGACTTTTCAACCTTCTCAGCCTTCTCAGCCTTCTTGATCTCCTCAGCAGCCTTTTCAGCCTTGGCTATTCGAAAATTCAGCGTTTGTTCTCATTTGGAATTGTAAAAAAAAGCGTGGGGTAATATGTCAGTTCCCCTGAAAGGCGCAACACCGCATTGGTGTATCCATCTCAGGATCTAGAAAATTGACTGGAGGCAGGGAGGTGGGGATATTCCTTCTGAAGACTGTAAAACAAATAGGAATTTTTGGTCTCAGGGATAGCGGTATCATCCACTCAGGACTGATCGAATTGACATGGAATATCCAATCATAGTAGTTGAACCAGGATGAAAACACAACGGCTTGGACACAATTTTGAACAGAGATTGTATTTTCGTAAGGAGAAGAAGAAGAAGAAGAAAAAGAAGAAGAAGAAGAAGAAGAAGAAGAAGAAGAAGAAGAAAAAGAAGCAAACTCTGTGGGAGGATTGTGCCTCAGTCAAAACGGAGTACGTGTGGAAGGGCAGGGGCAGTATCAGTCACATAGGGCAGGAAATGGGGCATCAGATGAAGGCAGAGGCTTCTGAAAAGCGCCAGATACCGCGTGGCTTCATCCAGCAGTGACGGCTGCGGTGTAGAGTGCAGAACAAGCATAGCAAAGATCATACTTACCCCGTTCTTTTTTGTTGAAGATACGCTTCGAGAATCGGCGTACGGCCTCCATTTTGAACGTGATGAATGAAATGAAGGCCCGAGGAAAGAAAAGAAGATGAGAAATACGATAAAGAACAGAAAAATAGAGAGAAAGAAGCAGAAGCAGAAGCAGAAACAGAAACGGGACAGGCACAGGGAATGGGAATGGGAATGAGAATAGGAAGAGGAAGAGGAAGAGGAAGAAACAAGTAGAAGTGGGTGAGGAAATAAGGAGAAGAAGAAGATGGAGAGAGAAACATAAATAGAGAGAGTTAGGAAGAGATCCAGGAAGATGGGCAATTGGGAAAGCACACGCGCCTGAGCAACGCGTTTAAGTCTTCAATAGAACAATACAGATGTTGAATTCAAGTGACCTGGGCCCCATTGATGGTATTAGGTACCCTTGAACCGAATGTTTGAGCAATTGGAAGCTACGATGCCGTTAGCCCTAAATATGAATGGTTTAACTTGTTCCCATTGACTCGTGAATACGATATCAATAGATCAAGTGCTGCTAGAGGTATCTAAACCTGTGTATTATAGTGTCCTCAAATCTGAAATCCACAAGCCTGTTCCTCAAAAGAACGTAAAGCTGCTCGACCAGAAGAGCTGAATATAGGTCGGTCGTAGAGATGTCTATGCTCATCAGAATCTCACCCAAGACAAAAACCATCGAGAGGCAGTCATATATGACACAGTCACTGACAAAGGGCCCACCGATACAGTCTCGGTCCAAAGTCACATCAGGTTCAAGGCGCCAGAAGAACAAGAGAGGGATCCCCGTCTGCAGCTCAAGCTTTGAATTGGGGGTCATGATTCGCTATTGTAGACAGACATTGATAGAGCGAGGCAGTCAGCAATCCAAAACAATCGCTTTGAAGAAAAGTCTTGCTACACTCTCCCATAGCCCACAAACAAGTGCACATTGGCTTGTTATCGGATGTTTATTTCGAATGCATCGAGTCTACCAAACCCCTCTGGGGTTGTCGGTCTGTCATAGGAATCATGTGTACAGCATCAGCAGCACAAAATCCAGGTCACCAAGATGAATGTATGCAATATTCACCACCGGGGCAGTTATCTACTATATATAAATCAAACAAAAAGTAAAAAGTATTTCAATCCCATCTCCAGCTTTACAAGAAACGATTACAGACTGACAACATCTTGATTTAGACTATGGAGGCTGCTCCAATTGCTACATACAAGACAGACAGGCCTGCAAGGGAAAGCATATATCGCCCAGCGCCAATTCGTCGATAAAGTATATAACGTTTCCAAAAATGGGATGGCACTGCCTGTCGCACGTCATTGGAAAAATCAACTGTTTCTTTTGTTTTTAGATAGATTTCATATGACCTGCTGCGAGGCTCGTCATTGGATATCTGTTTTGCATTCAGATTGGACAAGATAGTCCTACACTATATCAGAGTGTTGCATGAAACTGATGACCAAAGGAGTTGTGTCGTTTTAGAGTATTTACTCAGCACCCTCGGTCTTGGTGGTCTTCTTCTTGCTCTTGCTCTTCTTGTTTCCGGTGGAGCGGGAAAGGGGCTGCTCGAGGATCTTGAGGATTTCCTCGTCCTCGATCTTCTTGTCAGACTTGAACTTCTCGAGGTCAACGGGGTTGGCGGCAGCGAGCTTGGTGAGACCGTTCTTGGTGATGGCTAGAAGGAATTAGCTTAGGTTTACACTATCGTTGCGAAAATAGGATGTTACTTACCCACGGTGGTCAACAGACGAGAGACGGCGGAACCGTCAGTCTCGCCAGCGGGCTCGTACTGGCGCAGGACACCGGCACGAACACACTCAACGACACCAACCTTGGCGGCCTTCTCGTCCTCGAGCTGGCGCAAGCTGAAGGGGAAAGTACCGAACTTCTTAACAACCTCGGAGAGGGTCTGACGGGAGCTGGGCCGCTTGAGGCCGTAGGTGGTGGTGGTACGGCGGTGAAGAGTGGCTCGGTGGTCGAGGTTCTTGACCTTACCGGAGCCGAGGGAGAGGCCAACCTCAACACCCCAAACTTCACCGACCTCGGGGACACCGTCACCGCGGACACCGTTACCAGGGGCGAGGATGATCTTCTTCTCGCCCTCAATTTCGTTGCGGCCGAACAACCAACTGGTGGTGTTCTCGACGACGTTGCAGTCGTAGGTCTTGGCAATCTTCTCCAGGAGGGAAGACATGTAGGCCTGAGTAGGGGCCTTCTGGGCAGCGGCCTTCTTCTTCTCCTCATCGGTACCCTGAGCCAAAAGACCCTGGGGAATCATGAGGCGGAGCAGAACTTCGTTGGCGTAGTGGGTAGCGAGAATGAGATCAGCCTCACGACCGGTCACAACGTCTTTGGAGTCCTTCTTGGCAACGACAAGCATGTCGCAAACAATGGTTCCGAATCCATCGATCTGAGCACCGAGCTGGATCTTGATGACCTCACCGGCCTTCAGAACGATCTCGGCTTCGGCGGCGTCGGACACCAGAGGGGTGTAGGGAGTGACGTAGGAGCTAGGGGAGACGGTAGTAGGGTGGGAGATACCTTTGCTGAGGTTAGAATCTGGATTAGATTATTCTGGGACTGGGAAAAACTGACCCTTAGCGATCTTCTTGCCCTTGTAGACCTTGGCGATTTGCTCTTCGAGAAGCTGGTCACCCTTCTGACAGATCTCGACGATCTTCTCTCCCTCAAAGCAAAGATCTATATTGAAATGTCAGATCATAGAGCCGAATCACGAAAGCATGCGCCATAAACATACCACGAACAGCCTCGAGGACGTTGTGAGAAATCTGCGCGGCAGTCTTGTACTTGGTCAAGGTATCGGGGTTATTGAGGGTGTAGTCTGAAAACAGTCCCAACGTTAGTTATACAGTCCAAATCAATTTTTCTCTTTGACTTGAGCCAACAAAGCTCATGTCATATTGATCCAAGTGCCCACAAAAGAGCTTTCCATGTTACCTACCAACCTCGGGTGCTTTCTCGTCCGCCATTGTGGAATGTAATAAGCTCGTGGAGCTGCAGTAAACAAATAAATGCAAGTAGGGTCAAGAAAAGTGTTCGGATTGTAAATCCGCGTGAAGCTAGAGGAGTGGAATAGACCGAGATCGAGTCGTGTGCAGAGAGTAGGCGTTTAGCGTTGGTGGGGTTTAATGGCCTAATATTTAAGGCCACCTACCTAGGGCTTTGCCGAAGACGTCATGGATCGTCTGTCCTTTTTGACTTCATTCCGAACTTATTGTTCGACTCCATACATGAAGTGAAACCTCTAGTGTAATTAGAAATCTGGATGGAACATGTCCTTTGTCTGTGTACTTTTCATGGTCTGATACTTCTCTGATACCCCGGATTTCAGTGTAAATCAGGATCGCTCAGGCCTCCAATTTACTACTCCAATCCCCGTAACTTCTCACCTGATCTGATTTCCCCTCTTTACATGGTATTTAAGTTGCAGCCCGATCTTCGCTATTGTTTCGCAATCCACCATGATGATACAGGTGCTTCCCATACGGGTTCTGACCCACAATATCCGATATGCAACTACATCACCTTTCCAAGGCGAACGGCCCTGGGGTGAACGGAAACATTTGCTTTTGAATGAGTTCAAATACGAAACGCGACATTGCCAAGAGACCTTCATTTGTCTACAAGAGGTTCTCCATAGCCAGCTTATTGAAATCGTGGCTGGATTGAACCAGGAAGCAGAGCCCGGAGCTCCGGAGTGGGAGTATATCGGTGTTGGCAGGGATGACGGCCATGAGGCCGGGGAGTACTCTCCTATCTTCTACCGACCAGATGTTTGGAAGTTACTACAGTGGGAGACTGTGTGGTTATCCCGCACACCCAAAATACCGTCAAAAAGCTGGGACGCGGCATCCATTCGCATCGTCACCATTGCTATCTTCGCCCATCGACAAACCGGGAAGACAATCTTGGCCATGAATACCCATCTTGATGACCAAGGATCTCAATCACGCTTTGAAGCTGCGCGTATTATTCTAAAGAAGATTTCTGAATATCATCAGAGGGTATCCAGCCATAATGATGCGACAAGACACATTTTTGGTACCTTCTTAGCTGGCGATTTCAACAGCGAAGAAAACCAAGAAGCTTACCAGGAGCTTACAGTAAGTTTGATCGACGCGTATAAGGAAGTTGAAAACTCGAAACGATATGGTAATGACATCACTTGGACTGGGTTTGGACACGAGGATGAGGCAGCCTCGCGTATTGACTATGTTCTGGTGAAGCCCACTGAGAATCCAAGCAGGAGCCTAAAAGTCAATGGCTATGCAGCTCTAGCCAACCAGTTTGATGACGGTGTTTTATGTTCCGATCATCGTGCTGTCGTTGTGGACTTGATACTATGTTGATAAGCTCCGAGGTTGTTCACACCAGGGCTCCAGGGCTTCTCAAGGATATGACAAATCAAAAATACCTGTTTTATTACGTAACGTTATACACACGCGGATCACATGACAGTATGTAAATTTGGTAAAACGGGGTAACAGGTTATCCAGGAGACCCTAAGAATGAGTTCTGAATGGCCTCAGAAGTTCTTATCATTGTTTGTGATCTAATGTTTAATCTCTTGAGTGTAGATGTCCCCGGGTAGAATGGTGATTGTATTGTGCTGGTTTTCACGTAGTGCCAGGTAACTAGAAGTCACGCTCCGGGTACGCTCCCTCTTTCTTTGCCTCCTTCATCTCCCCAGCCTTAGAAAGAAGCGCAACCGCCACAGCTCCACCAACTTAAGTGAATCTTCCGGGGATTAAAACAACTTCGATTGGGATCATCGCATTTAATTGAAGGTCAAAGTCAGCTGACCTGGCCCTTCCGATCCGGAGCGGATTCTGCGCTGGAACTGCCGGTCCAAGAAACATCGAGCTCTCCCCTTTCCGCCCTGGTATGTTAGATTTCCTTCCCATCTGCTTCCCATTATCCTATTTTCCACATGAAACCTTCCTCCAATTCGTCGCGCGCCTTTCGCCGTTGAAATGTGGCGTGCTGGGGACATGCGCCCGTTGCGACACGTCTATCCATCAACTCACCCGAGGTCACAGTGATGGCACGGTCGCGACGGTATTAGATAGGATAGCTTGCTCCGTGAGAGTTTTTGCTAACTGTGTTTTGATTGCATGACAGGTTCCATCCCATAATGCTACGGTAATCGGCTCGAACCTATCCCTGTCGCGTTGAGTTACTTCGAGCTTCCAAGATCATACGAGTGACCCTTAACGTTCGTTTCGCAATCATTAAATTATCGACAATGCCATCCCCTGAGCTGACGGGTGGCTCATTGCCGTCAGAGCAACAATTTGGGGATTCTCAATTGGGTGCTACAAACAGCTCCGGCGCGTCAGAAACGGGGGAGCATCCAGACAGCGCCGACCTCGGGACATACCAATCGACAAATGGACACACCCCAGACACGTTCGCCGAGGGCAAGCAGAGCGCTAAGGCTATGTTGGCCGCCTCAGCAGGATCGGAGCCCGGCAGCGAAGGCTCCAATAGTACACCTCATTCGAATGGCACGAATGGTTCCGCAAGAAAGCGATCCCACGATGGATCTGCTGTTCAACCAGCCGAGGTTGCCGGAGCTATCCCTGTTCGCTCTCGCGACCCGCCACTAGACAAAGTTCTTCTGTCGCAGTACGTGGATCGCGAATTCCAGCACTCGGCCGCAGCTGCCTGGCACAATCCGGGCCAAGAATTACAAAAATCTAAACGGGCGGAGCGTGACTTCTATCTGGCAGTCCGACGTGAGAACCAGCACAATCCAGCTGCATTATATGGCGTGGGCTACGAGGGATTTGGAAATCCCCGTACCGACCTTCGCAATCAACATCCTCAACTCCTCTACCCCACCCATCGCCGTCGGCCAGGAAACCGCAAAACACGAGAGTTGCGTATTTCACGGCGTGAAGCAAAGATGCAAAACGAGCAGATGGAAGACCTCGTGCCCATCCGCTTAGATATCGACTGGGAAAAAGTGAAGATTCGCGATACTTTCACATGGAACCTTCACGATCGTGTCGTATCACCGGATTTGTTTGCTGAGAAGCTGGTTGAAGACTTGGGCCTTGCACTTGAGACGTCGATTCCATTAGTACGAATGATCTCTCAGAGCATCCAGGACCAGGTGATAGACTTCTATCCTCATCTCAACATACACGAAGACGCCCTTGATCCTCAGTTACCCTACACCGCGTACAAAAATGACGAGATGCGCATTTCGGTTAAGCTGAATATCACTATTGGTCAACACACCCTCATCGATCAGTTTGAATGGGATATCAATGATCCCAACAATTCTCCCGAAGAATTCGCCTTGCGTATGACTGATGATTTGTCACTCTCTGGTGAATTCACCACTGCCATCGCCCATTCAATCCGCGAGCAGTCTCAACTTTTCACCAAATCCTTGTACATTGTCGCCCATCCCTTCGATGGTCGTCCAATCGAGGATCCAGACCTACACACATCTTTCCTCCCTACTCCTGTGGCTTCTGCCTTCCGACCTTACCAATCCGCCAAAGAGCACACACCTTATCTTTACGAACTCAACGAGGCGGACCTGGAACGTACAGAAATCTCTATTTCTCGAGAACAACGTCGCCAGAAACGATCAATCAACCGTCGTGGTGGCCCTGCTCTGCCAGATCTCAAGGATCGTCAACGTACGATCCGTACTATGATTGTTTCATCGGTAATCCCCAACTCGGTGGGCTCTCTAGAAGAGAGCAATGTCATCAAGCGTACTGGATCTGGCCGCCGTCGTGGAATGACTGGAAACCGTGGTGGCGATGAAGATTCAGACGACTTTGATAGTGATGACTCCTCTGTTGGATCTCCTGCTATTGGGCCCAACCTTGCACAGGGTACTGCCCGCACAAGAGGCATGAGGGGCGCAGCTAGTGCAGCCCATGCAGCCCTTCGTGCAAGTCTGGGACAATCTGCAACGCCCGAGCCTGTCTTCCACGAGTCCCGAGTCTCTGCACGAAGGCAACAATATCGAGAGGAAAGCGTAGAGGAGTCTGATACAAAGATCGTAAGACTCAAAATGTCGCGCGATAAATTGGTCGACTTGAGGAACGGAAGGCGCATCGCCTCCCACTCCACAGTCCATACTGCACGCGCAATGGCGCCTCCATCCGACAAACAATCCCGACTCCACCCTCCACCCCGTCCTCAACAAACTGGTGCAGTCGATGCACCGAATCCACCGCAACCCGGTGTCTCAGGCGTAAGTAGATATCATTAACCCCAGTCTTTGGCCCACGGCTGACTCTGTGTCTTTGCAGCCTCCACCGCCAAATTGGCTGGCCGCCGGCCTCAGCAAGCTTAAGCAATCCCACCCCAATGATTCCTTCGAGGGCGTCATGCGCTATTCCGCCGTCGACACAGACACCCTAGCCCCAGTTGCAAATCCCAACAACCTCCAGGACGGCCAAAAGATCAAATACCAATACCTCCCCCGTATCCGCTGCCACGACTGCCCAGGGAAGCTCTACACCCCAGGGCCAGGCATGACAGTGGATAACTTCGAGGTTCATCTCCGCAACAGGCAGCACAAGGAGCGCGTCGAAGAGCGTCTCACTAAGACTGGTGGTGCTTCTGCCCCTAGTAGTGGAAGCGCGAGCCCGGCTCTCGGTGTACATGCCTCGGCCTCCCCGGCCACTGGATCCCAGCCATAGTCAATTTCTCTCATGAAGTGATGTCGGCGTCTTATTTGATTACTTTTTTTCAGATCGCTTGTATTCTTTCTGTCACACATTTGATCAATTCCATTTCTCAGTCTCAAGACTCTTCTTTTTCCACTCTTTGTCGGTGTTGTATAGGTTCTGGTTTTGCTGTCTCGGACCCGAGGCAAAACCCTGTCTTCAATCACTGGCGCTCGATGTTTCTGCATGGTTGTTTGCGTTCTTTTACTTTGTTTGTGTAAGATGTCATGAAGAGTAAATAAGACATGGAACTTTGATTTTGAAATCTAAACTTTCTCACACCGTGCTCACTTTCTCATCAAATCAACTCGAGCTCTTCAGCCCGATCATTCCTGCCTTTCAACTTCATCTTCAACATAACTACATGCATATGTAGCTATGCCGTCCCTCACAGATCTCCCCAACGAGCTGGTCCTCATACTCGTGGACCATCTCAACTGTAATCCCGACGCAAACCATGTTGCCGTGACGTGCCATCGTCTGTACCAAATCATAACACCATACCTCTATCGACGAAATGTTCGCCTCTTCCACGGCCGAGGAATCTACCCGGCCATCGTGTCTGGCAGTGCACCGGCGGTCTCAAACTTCCTTCCTAATGGAGTGAACAACGAGGTCTGGGCCGGTAAACCAGCTCGCCTGATGGAGTGGCGGCTTAGCCCGCCTTCCAATCGTGCAAAACCAATCCCCAAAAAACATACCGCTAAAAAAGATAGACGCGGGAAATCGCATGGTATCCGCATCGAGTCATTCGGTAGCAAGTCTGAACCCAACTCTCCTCTCTTTGTGCAGCCTACATCTCCGAACCAAGTGGATTCCCAAGCGACGACGTTCGGTACCACATTATACCTGGCTTTACAAAGGGCATGAGGCCACTTATTCTCGCAGTTAACTATGGTCACAATGATATTGTAAGGTTGTTGTTGGAGAGCGGCGCTGATCTGAAATTCCGCGATGAGCTTGGGCATTGCGCTCTGGATTATGCTGTGCTCAGGGGTCAAGTCAAGTTAAGAGTCGTTGCGGTGGGAGTCGGAGGTATTCTCTGAGGAATTCGGTTAATTGGAAGGTGCTTGAGGAGTTGTTGGATTGGGCTACCCGTGGTCAATATGATGGTCTCGCGGCGATGCTTTTGGAGGAGGATATCAATGAGAAATATTCTGATAGGGGGCTGGCAAGGGTTTTTCTCCGGGCTGCAGAATGCAAGAAAGGTATGCTTATGATTCAGAAGCTATCCAAGGCTTTTGCAAAATAGTTGTCAGCATGCAGCAAGCCGATCAGAAGCACTACGAGTGAATCAAATCGAGGTCCAAACAATAGCAAAAGAATTGGGAAGACACAATTGAATTCATTTACAGAAAAAAACCATATATTTGACGGGAATACGCAAAGAGACAGACATAAATCCTCGGACACTAAGGACCGATGTAAACATCAAGCAGAAGCAGACGGGGTATACATCTCGGGCCATCTGGCTGCCGATATCAGAACGTGATAGAGATATGACTGCGCAATGAGATTGGAAAACCAGATGGTAATCACATGGGAATCAGGAAATAGATATGAATATGGCTATGAATATCGATGAAAATGATGAGCATCGTAACCGCACCGGATTTGGCTCGAAACATGCATGCTGCCGAGTTTGATCGACAGTAGACATGGACATATGGCTGTCACTGGTCCACATGGAATCCAGCAGCTAGTTATAGAAATTTATCCACGACGGGAGGAGCGTCGGGATGGCAAAGTGGATTGCGTCTTCTTTGCTTCAGGCTTCTTAGTATCCTTGGCCTTTCCGCCTCGTTTCTCTGGAGGCGGCGTAGGTTCCTTCTCACTGGCCTCAGGCTCATCCTCGATATTCTCCTTGTCGTCATCCTCGTCCTGCATTTCCTCGTTTTCGCTTTCCTCAGCATCATCCTCAGCATCGCCTTCGGCTTCCGGCTTGTCCCACTCTACCATTTCTTCATCTGCATCGTCGCTATCGTTGTCGATATAGCTAATCTCTTGATTAGCAGTACCTCTGACGCTGCGTCTGCGAGCGGAAGCGGGCACGGCTTCTTTAGCGCCTTCATCAGAAGACCAGCCGTCATCATCCTTTGACTTTCGCTTGGGCTTAGCAGCACCGACAGACGAGGTAGACTTGCGTGGAGTACGAGCAGGTTTGTCTTTGCGGGCCTTCTTAGCCGCAGAGGGTTTGCCATTGGTATCATGAGACTCGGGCTTCCGCTTCTTTGCCAAGCCACCCTGCGTACTGTGCGCAGAGCTACTTCTGGGCTTCATTGCATTTCGGACGACCCGGTCCAGCAAATCATCCAGCTCATCTGGGAGGAAGTTCTTGTCGGCGACATCTTGGGCCTCGCGGTGGCTACCCATGGAATTGAAGAGAGAGCTGGGAACTCCCATCTTTCCAGGATATGTTTGCAAGATGTTGGTGGCACCGGCGGCACCGCCAAACTTATGCTGTTGGGAGTAAATGTCTGCAAAGCGGCGGACAGTTGCTTGCGCCAGATCGGATAACGTGTGAAGACGGGTAGAGATCTCGTCTGATTGCGTAATGCCATCGCGGAATTGCTTTACACGCTGACCAACGTGGAAGATAAGCGACATGTTATGTTCGTTGGCAACTGCGGAGAGGTAGAACACGATGTATTGTGAAAAGTCGGTCAAGTCGCCTAATTTAGTGGCCTCGTCAAGATCCTCAGATGGGTAATCAGGGTGATAGGCAAGCAGAGACAATAGACGTGAGAAGATCAATTCCATGACCATGGTCTGCTCGGTCCGTTTCCCACTAGCTTGGGCCTGCTGGGCGAAGTATGCCGCCCGGGAACGCAGCCAAGTGAGAGTGCTTTCCTTCAAACTGTGAACAGGCTCGAAGGCAAGCAGACACGGTACAATGTACCAACGGTGGCTGAGGTGTGACTTCTGCACAAGCTTCTTCTTAAGATGACTGATGAACCCACTTCGCACCTGCAAGAGCGGATCTTGAGCAACCAACGAGATTGCGTTGAAATCAGCTGGCGTCAAGAGGCTGTCACAGACAGTGTTTCCAGCACACAGCTTGAGCAGTGACTTGGCAGCGAGCAAACGGAGGCGCGATTTCTGACCTGCAGGGGTGTCCTTCTTCTTGGAGATCTCGCCTTCACCAGCCACCAGCTTATTCAAAGTTTCGTAGACAGGTTTGGCATGAGCACGGAAGTCTGCTTCGCTGTCCGCGCCGTCCTTAGCCCGAAGGCGATTGACAATGATTTTCAGTGCCCATTCTTTAGCTTTAGTCTCATCATCGGTGGTCTCCGACCAAGTATACCCTGAGTCTGGTTCAGGAGTGCGATTTGCGAGGAGAATTTGGTTGATAGCAATAGAGATGATGGCATCACTTTCCTCATCTGCTTCCCTCGGTGCGAGGAGATTCAGCTGCGACAAGGTTGCCAGGCGAGTGAGGAACCGATCAGATCCATATGTCCACTTCTTGACACACTTCTGTACCAAGTCCTTGGCGTACATCTCTTTCCGGTCAGCAGTGGCTATAAGGATTGACACAGCATGTTTAGCAGCATGCGGCGATGAACTATATAGGGCGTGGCTTGTAAGAGCCTGGTAGAACTTGCGTTCTTTGGGGAGCTTGGCGGGGAGCTTCTTAGCGAAGCCGGCACAAGCCTTCAGAATGTCTTCCGCACTAGTGTCACCGACCGAAGAAGCCTTAGGAGCTTGAGCCTCGAGGTCCTTGCACATTTCTTGGACCTGAGCTTCTAGAACCTCTGGGTTTTGAGTTGAAATCTGCTTCAACATCTCTTGGGCGGCGTTGGCCAATCCATTTTCGTCTGTCCGGGAAAGGCTCATAATCGCGGGGATGTGACTCCGGTTGAATACCAAAGATCCACATCGATAGATCAGCGGCGTCAAGGTCTCCAGGAGAGGGGAGTTGTTTGCGGTCTGTACTCGCCGCTGCAGCTCTTTCGTGGCTTTGACAACAGTGCGGTAATCACTCACAGCGGCCATTGTGAAGCGAACGAGTTGATAACTGCGTCGATCGTGCACCTTGGCGAACTTCCACAAGTCCGCTGATGCACGTGAAGCGTCTGGGAATGTTCTGGATAATGAGTCAATGATCTTGGACAGTTGTATCTTTACTTGTTCCTCGTCCTTGTCGACGACCCCGCCATTGTACTTCTCGCAGGCCTCCAGATAAAGGGTCACAGCTGACCGCATAGACATTTGACGGGCCAACATAACGAAGAAGACTCGCCTTGCCTTTTCATCCAACCCTCGGAGCAGGGTGAGGATTCGACGAACACGAATCTTGTCCACGTCCGTCTCTTGCTCGGATTCTGTGGCCTGACTATCCTTCTCTTTTTCCTTCTGCTTTTGTGATTGGTTCGAGCTTCCTCGCGAGAGCTTCGATTTGATAGGGGGATATGAAAGAGGCAGAAGCGTTTCAAACATGACTCGATCAATCAAAACATGAATTTCTTGATCATTAGTATAAAACGCATCAAAGATCTTGGACGGGGCATCCTTGAGAAGAGACACAACTGGTTCAGTGTTTTGCTCGATATCACCGGCCGCCACAGCCCACATACGAGCCAAGATCTTCATGGCGTGTTCGCGTACATGGGGCTTGCGATCCTTCACTCGCTCAGCGAGAATTGCCAGAACCGAGTCTGGGGATGAGCAGCCACCGTCCACGCTCAGCTTGTGGACAATCTGGGACAACCCGAACTGACCAACTATATCAACTGCAGCCACACGAACCTTCTCATCAACATCGCGGAGCATTGAAGCGAGGTTTCTGACCAGAGTGTGCTCTTCGCTTTCATGGAGACCAGAACCTCCAGCTGATGTCAAAAGAATTCGTCCCACGACCGTGACCCAGGCGGCGCGAACAGATGGGGTCTTGTCAAGACGACGACTGAGGAAAGCCTCATAGGCGGAGTTGTGGACTTGGGAGAAAGGTTTGGGGGAGACAGGGGTCAACAAAACATTGGGCTGGGGGATTGTCTTGTCGTAGTCCACTAGACACACCGGTGGGTAGGTCGTTGGATCCATAGGGGGTGGGGGAGGAGGACCTGCAACACCGACACCAGCCGCGAGGTCTCCGATCGTCTGGGTGGCCAACAAACGCAGGGCCACTGATTCTGCTGATAACTCTGCTTCGATTTGCGGGATCACATTTTGTAGGACCTCAGGACAGGCGCGCCACAATTCCCGAATTAGGCGATGCGCCTTGCTCAATTCCTTGATATCCTCTCCCTCCTCGTCTGAGTCGTCGAGGTTGGGTTTCCGGGCGCCATGTTTGGAGCCATTTGCCTGGCCAGCTGGTACAGACGCATCGATGATCACGTTGTTGAAGTATTGGCTAATGTGACTGGTCATGCGCTCCGGGCAGGCCTGACAGATAGCCTTGGCCATGTTATAGGCAGCGGGGTAGTCTTTGAGCAGAAGGGTGTCCTGCTTGGAATCCACAGGCGCCTCTGGTCGCTTTCCTTTTTTAGTCTCCATGACTCGTGGGTCCACACGCAAGAATTGGGCGACAATGATATCCACTACCTCGGGGGCGAGAACAAGCGATTCGTCGATAACCGTAACAAGTACACGGGTCATGTCAAATTCAACATTCTTGGCAACCTCCTCGCCGGTGGAGGCTTTCGATGAACCGGAAACGATGTCGAAGCAGCCAGTGAACAATGGAATAATGAGGGAGTCTGGGTGGTCGAGATCAACCATCAAGACTACACTCTTCACCTCAGCGAGCGATCCAAGGACATAGATATGTTGAGCATTGTAGGCGTTGGACGGGTCAGCCAAGGCGGGGATGATCGAGGACACAATACAGGTGAAGATATCCTAATACCATCTCAGTCAGAAAACTTCCAGCTCGCATAGATCAAGCCCATTATATCAGTCTCTCCAATGACCATACCTTCAATTGATTGCGCGTGAACGGCGCGTCAGGAGCGCAGAGTCGCAAAACATCGACGATACAGCACGTGGCCCACGCTCTCACCCCTTTATCTTTGTGGGCAAGCAAATTGCCATTGGCAAGCTCCTGGGATACTTTTCGGAGTGATTCCTTATCGATTTCCTCTTGGTCGAGTTTGCGAAGCTCCTGCGCGAGAGTCTGTAGACGTTCGAGAAGATCTGCGATAGGGATGGCGGAGCGCCCCACGCGCCATGAGAGTGGCTGGTTGAAGGATAAACTTCGAAGCCCCGAGTCTTCCTCCTCCTCGGGAGGACCTGGGCGAGAGCGCGAAGGCATCGTGAATACAGTTCTCACATGGACTTGAAAGTGAGGAGATGAAACGCGGGAGCTTGGGGTGGAGATTCACCGCCCGACGCGTTGCACGGGACCGCGTCCTGCCTCAGGTGGAACAATATTTTTGTTTTCCATGACGTTTCTTTTAATTCAAGAGGAACATAATGTGCATGATTAAGGCAAACGCAGCATTTATATATAGGATTCTGATTGTTATTGATCTCATATAGGTCTAAGGTCTAAGTGCTCATATGGATATCGGACCGAGTAAACCATATCATACTACACTACAAGACACCCGACTGAACGTAGTGAGATCTCCCCCTGTATTGGCTATTATGGCACATTGTATGTGGGCAAAGACAGGAAGAAAATATCAGGATTAAAAAAAAAGGAACACTCATAAAGCCCAGCTACCAAACCCTCATCTCTACCCCGCGAAACGATCTATTCATAAGCGAATGCGAAAGCAGAAATTCGAGCAAGACCGAGCCCCTAAAAATTTCATATCGCCTCGAAGCTAAGCCGTTTAATCATATAGGCTGTCGTCGTTTCCAGCCTCACCAAAGGTATCATTCTCCTGGACCTCGCCTGCAGAGGGGAAGCGGAAGAAGCTGCCACCTCCGGTGTTCTTGAGACTTTGGGCAAAGGCCTCGTAGCGGCGGATCTCGACGTCGGTGACGGAGCGGCGAGCAGACTTCATAGCCTCCTCGAAGTGAGCACGGGTGAGCTCTGGCACGGGGTCCTCAACGTTCTCATCCTCGTCGTCCATCGTAACATCCTCACCGGCGGCCTCACGCTCCTTTTGGCGGTCGATGTCGGCGGAGATGGCCTGCTTGATGGCGAGCTTGACAGCACGTTGTGTGACGAAGCCAAGATCAGCGCCGGAGAAGCCGTGGGTCTTGCTGGCAATAAAGTCGATGTCGACGTCGTCGGCAACAGGGGTCTTGCGGAGCTGAGCCTTGAGGATACCCTCACGAGAGCTCTGGTCGGGCAGGGGAACGTAAACCAGGGTGTCGAGACGACCGGGACGGACAAGAGCGGCATCAAGCTGCTCGGGACGATTGGTCGCACCGATGACGAAAACGTTCTTCTTGGAGGTCATACCGTCCATCTCTGTTGTGGGGTTAGTAAAGGTTTAAAGGCAATGGAAAATGCAGAACAACTTACCAGTCAGAAGCTGGTTGACAACACGGTCAGAGGCACCACCGGCATCACCGACGGAGCCACCACGAGACTTGGCAATGGAGTCAAGCTCGTCAAGGAAGACAACACAGGGAGCAGCAGCACGGGCCTTGTCAAAGATGTCACGAATGTTGCTCTCGGACTCACCGAACCACATGCTGAGAAGCTCAGGGCCCTTGACGGAGATGAAGTTGGCAGCACACTCGTTGGCAACAGCCTTGGCCAACATGGTCTTACCAGTACCAGGAGGACCATAGAACAGAACACCACGAGAAGGCGAGAGACCGAACTTCTGGAACATCTCGGGGTGGTCCACGGGGTATTGGACACTCTCGATAAGCTCGCGCTTGACCTCCTCGAGACCACCAATGTCGTCCCAACGAACGTTGGGAACCTCGACAACAGCAACCTCGCGAAGAGCGGAGGGGTTGGAGACACCGAGGGCGTAACGGAAGTTCTCCATGGTGACACCGAGAGAATCGAGAACCTCGGCATCGATGGTGTCCTCATCAAGATCAATGAGATCCATCTTTTCACGAATCTGCTGCATGGCAGCCTCGGAGCAGAGGGAAGCAATGTCGGAGCCGACGTAACCGTGGGTCTCGGCGGCAATGGTCTCGAGGTCAACGTCTTCGCCAAGCTTCATGTTCTTGCAGTGAATCTGGAAGACCTCCAGGCGGCCAATGGCATCGGGAATACCGATATCGACCTCACGATCGAAGCGACCGAAACGACGAAGAGCGGGATCGATAGAGTTGGGACGGTTGGTGGCGGCCATAACCACAACGTTGGAACGAGCCTTCATGCCGTCCATGAGGGTGAGCAGCTGGGAAACAACACGGCGCTCGACCTCACCGTTGGTCTTCTCACGCTTGGGGGCAATAGAGTCGATCTCATCAATGAAGATGATGGCAGGAGAATTCTTCTCGGCCTCCTCGAAGGCCTTGCGGAGGTTGGACTCAGATTCACCAGCCATCTTGGACATGATCTCGGGACCGTTGATCAAGAAGAAGAAGGCACCGGTCTCGTTGGCAACGGCACGAGCCATGAGGGTCTTACCGGTACCAGGAGGACCGTACATGAGGATACCACGAGGGGGCTTGACACCGATGGACTTGAACAGTTGGGGATGGCGGAGAGGCAGCTCGACCAATTCACGGATCTGAGCCATCTGCTTGCGGCATCCACCAATATCGTCGTAACCAACCTCGTTGAGATTGCCCTCCTCGTCCTCTCGTTCGATGGGCTCACCCTCGCAGTGAATAATTGTGTCCTGAGCAACAATGCCATACTCTGGGGGATCGACCTCCACAACCTTAAATTCAACTTGTCTCATACCACCTCGTACTGTGAACAGGTCACCCTGTCGGACTGGTCGGTAGGCCTCGCGGAAGTAGGGAGCGAGGTAGACATCGAAGAGGGAGCCGGTCAGACCCTCAATGGTGTCGGCGATGGGGAGAACAGCAATGCGCTTGGCCTGGTTTGACAACTGAATAAGCAACTGAATCGCAGACGAACAAATTTGAAATCTCAACTTACGTATTTGATATCGGGGCAAGGGTGAACAGTGATAATATCGCCGTGCTTGACACGAAGGTTGTGACGCACAACACGGTTGATGCGGGCGCTTCCGTCATCGAGATCGTCATCGGCGAGGACGATCAGAACAGTGTCCTTACGCTTCTTACCCTTAACGAGAACTGTGTCACCACGGAAGAGCTGGAGAGTCTCCATGGTGTTGTTCGAGAGGGCAATGACCGAGTTATCATCGTTAACGGCATCGGTAACACTGCGGAAAACTGTCAGCTTATGCCGAAGACAGCCATCCACATCAGCTACTCACATCAAAGAGTTGGGCTTCTTCTTCTTCTTGAGGATAGCTGTCGCGGTATCGAGCTCCTGTAATTAACGTTAGTTTTGATGCATTTGGGAGCTGTCCAGCATCATATCCTTACCTCCTTGTGCTCAGCGCCGGAGGCGTCCCTGGAGTCGGAGTTTAGCTTTCAATCATCAAAACCCAAAATTGAATAGATATAACATACTTGAGGTTGACCCTCTTCTTGTCGTGAGTGTGATCCGGCTCGGCAGACATGATGGCCGTATCTAATGTTGTGACGTGGATGAGATCAAGCTTGGATGTGCAGAGGTGTTAGGTGCTCAGAATGAGGCGGGTTGTAAAGAGATTGCGAATGAAAAGGGGTGCAGAGAGTAATGAAATAACCGACAGATCAGAAGCAACGCAAGTCTGAAGGTAACCTTGGAGAGAGATGGAGATGATGAGCTCCAGCGGCTCCAGGGCTTCCTACCATGAGCCAGATTATGTCATCACATTTGTCACCGCCCGGACGCCACAGAACGAAGCGCATGGAAAGCAGTCGATTGCAGCCTTAATTACTGGGCAACAATCATGAGCAGGTCCTCAAAGCAACATACCGATGTACATTTTACAATTCTAGACTAGTGTAAATTAGTGCTGGACTGCAATGAATTTTATAGTTGTGTTGAAAGAAACTGTATATCTATAAGCCTTGGTTTTCCATATCATGAAGCTATGGAGAAGATGCCCTAAAACATGATCTCATAGCAACAAGCTATAGAAAAAAGATCTGCGAATATTTTACAACATTTTGTAGGATATTAATTTATAAGGAGCAAATAGTGTTGCTTGCAAGCTGTCTACATGAATTCCGTGCCATGGATTTGGCGAACTTGGCGAATTTTGATTGCGTTAAGTACTCTCCTTCTCCCAAAAAGTGCGAGTTGAGCACGATGGCATGTTGAATGTACATGCCATAGTCATTCCAACGGTCAGTAAAGCGCTGGTCTGTGTGTTCTTTCGGAAACACATCATATAGAAGCTTGAACACAGGTCCAAAAGCTAGCAGGCCACTATGCTTCCTATGTATTGCTTGAACTGCCACCCATATTGACATACATCCCTTCCATTAGAATATTCGTGGTTTATCTCGACTTTTGCTAGACGTTGTACGTGCAAAATCTCAGCTCTCGGGTCCTTGTCAACCAGAGAGAGGTTTGTCAGAGTCTCTTCAACTTGACATAGACTATAATCGGCTAAGACTGTAGTTCCAAAAAGCACAGAAATGTTTATAAATGGCAACCTACCTGTGGTGGAGGATATCACAATAAAGAAGAATACCATGAGTTCGACCAGAGGCGCATTCACCTTAATGTTTAAAAGCTCCCAATGTATCTCGTCCGAGGAGGGCAAGCTGAGAATACCAAGCAGTGATTTAGCTTGGTTTGTGGAAGCCTTGAAAGACACGGACCAGTTGGTCGCAATCATTGGCGTCCTTGTAATGATTTCAGAAACTTCTTTCTTACGGTATCCCAGCTTATTTCTCCTGTGATGACCGAGGACTGACTTGATTGGGATTCGACGGGCACGCATTAACGCTACCAAATAGAATATGCCAATTGGAAGATCATATAGCTCTCGACTGAGTTCTTCTACTGATCCCGGATCTGAAGGGACTCCCCCTGGTAGAGAGGTCATGCTCAGAACAGCTTCAAGCCCTTCTTCATCTGTGAATGGAGAACTTCAACCTGATCTTGGGTTGATCTTACACCGATATTACTGCGCCGGGTCGTGATTTTCAGGCCAAAAGTGATCGAGGTGATCTTTTTGCTCCACATTGTCAAAAACGATGATCCATCGAAACACTTAAGAGAACAATCAGCGCGCAAGATCCATATAGGCGGAGAAGTAGCCAGACCTGCTTGGGTAAAGTGTTCTCGTCATTTCTCTTTGTTCTCAGATCCGAGAAGCTCGGTATCCCCAGCAATTCCAAAATGTTGTAGCGCATCTCGACAACTTTGATCCAAAGCTTTGGTTGGCTTACTTCTCATCCATACGATGGCACCATATCCCGACATCGATTTATGTGCAAATCGAAATGTAATAGACGTCTTGCCTACACCGCCCATCCCTCGTATCGTCAGACGCTGGTGTTTTTTCAAGCTCTCACGTACTTAGTGCAATCCTTGCTCTCGGCCATAGAACCAGGGTTGTTGTCTGGGAAGTATGTATACAGAAGGCAACTGAAAATCGGCTTTCCCTTCTAATATAACGGGTGGTATCTGGTTTGGAGTCCTCGAATAATCGCTGCTGTCCTCGGTCGACAGGAGGCCCATAGTGAACGGAGGTGACTATACGAGCGAGTACTGTCAGCTCTTGTTACTATATCTACTATGCAGCAGAACAGAATCGCTACTTAAGACTCTTCCGTCTTCTTCATATGTAAATTCTGACATTCGGCCATACTTTGGGAAATTGAGGGAATCGGGCGAACGTGATAAAAGACCATGCAGGACCCTAAGCGCCCTCACCCCGATCGGGAACATCGCGACCACGGCCTCAAGTCCGGTATATAACGTGAATATATACCTATGTACATTTTACGCTGTAAGATTAGTGTGAATTGATGATCTTATTAGTCGTGTCCAAAGATGAGTTGAAGAAAGGCGTTGGAAACGCCATTTCAGGTTCTATTTAATCCCATAAAATTTCCAATAAATCATGGGTCGAACTGACCTCGAATCTATGAAATCCAAAGCAAACACACTATGTGCGCTGTAACAGGTATATATGCAAGTATGAAGTAAATCTGTACAAAAGAAGTTAAACCGAGAGCCTCAAACCCACCAAACCTATGCCTTGACCGATGAGGTCGCAGCCCACATATCATGCAGACTCCAAGCCCCAGCGCCGAAACTGATGATCCCCACCAAGCTCTCAGGAATACCAATTCCCTTCTCGAAACACCAGTGCAAGCACAAAGGCGCCCAGAAAGCATTATTGACCAAACTCTTCTTCCAAGACCGGATCTCCAAACGCAGAGCCTCGCTATCTTCAGCCTTGGTCTCCTTGCTCTCTACGGTACCGGCAGCCGCACGCTCAGCAGCGATCCGTCGCTTGCGCAGTACGTGTTGGCGCCAAAGCACAAAGAACTGGAAGAAAATATGTCCGAACCATCCCCGTGTACTCCAAAGCTCCCATTGTGTGAGGCTTCCGTATTTCTCAACGAGCTTCTTCGACACAATCCCCTTGGACGCCAAATACCCCACGTTCTCGAGCAGCTGGTAGATCACATTCGAAATGACCTGCAACACGGTCAAGATGTGTAAGGCTCGATCCTTTGGTGGGCTTTTAAGGGTATTCGCTCCCCAAATCCACAGCTCGAGGAGTCCGAACAGGCGGAGGTTATATCTCGTTTCCGAGGCGAGTGAGGAGAGGGCGGAGAACTTCGATTTTGTCGTTGCGGAGGTGACGTTCTTGGTGGGGACGTGACCTTTCAACCGTGCGAGAATGCCCAGTCTGGTCTGTAATGCAATCCAAGGCGCTGAGGCTGTGAGATGGTGCAGTATTGAGGCGGTATAGTTGATCGTCGCTAGTACGCGCTCTTGTCCGCTGGCAGTGGACAGCATGCTGTGGAGGCGGTTAGCGAGTTTCTAGATCGGGGTTGAAGCATTTTCGTGAATGTAGACCGTTTTACAGTCCAGGGAAATTCTTACAGATCCAACCGGCGGATTGTCACATCGGTCGTTGTCAAGGCGGCCAACAGCTGCTGTTTCGCGTATGAGCTTGCTTTCCCCGCAGGCGCAGGGGCTGGCTCAACGCCGGTATTTTGGGCATCAGACATCGTGCGTGTATGTCTGCGAGAGAGTAAGAAAAAAGAAGAAGACCAGCTTCAAATAATAATAGTAATCTCTCATGTAGTTCCACGAGAAGCGCGGAAGTTGGATCGGCATAGGCCGAGGCTCGGAGCTCGGAACCGCCCTTTCCAGCAAGTCCAACCTTATCCGCACTTATTTCTTCCCCAGAACTCCGTATTTACTCACTCCCTCCACCTTGACTATTTCATTATAAATATCAAGTTGAAAGGAGAATCTCTTCCCGATGCCTATTGACTTTTCACATTTGCTGGTTTATCATATTTCTTATTCGAAATTGAATTGAAGCCAAAAATGGAGATCTCATTGCGGATCACATGCTCACGGAATCATATGCATTTTCCTTCTAAGCCCTATGTACTCCGTACCCTACTTATAAAGTTGTTGACTGGCTTTTCTCTATCACGATCATAGAACGGATTTGAAGAAACTATGCATATAGAAAATGCATAGAAATTGCCTATCATATTGCTTTTAACACCAGCAAGGTCCTAGATAGATTATGGCACGTAGATATCCCTGCCCTTTTCTCGCTGACCTAACATCTTTCTTCACATACCGCCCACAGCTCGTAAATCACATTGCTTTTCAAAATGACATCGCTAAACAAGGGAAAATTTCTTCTTTAGAGACAAGAACCCCTTGATGGTGTAACATTTGTTCACCATACCCAAGAGCCAAAACATTGATTCGAAGACAGGTAGAAAGCATGAGGAATTGACAGTACGCGGGATTGGTATTATTTAGCCCCGCGGCCACGGCTTAGTGAAAGGATCTTGTTTGCATTTTATAGATTGCTAAATCGATATGCTTATATATGTTCCACCATTAACCGTGAAATATATACACAAGCACTTGATACCAATCTCCGGCGAATAAAAGGCGGTCTGAGAACCTCATTTCAATAGCTATCACCTCTAACTTCTTACTCAATGTTAGTTTACTTGGAAATGGAATCGGAGAAAAACATGAGAATTCATTCATTAAGGGATCTTCCCCCATGCACTTCACCACTTGGTGCTCTTCACCACTTGGTGCTCAATGTGGCGGCCAGAACCCACCCCCCACCTTCTCCCCCTCGACAATCTCAGCCCCGGCGCACCCTGCGCATCTCCAGACACGACACTTCTTCGTCCGAGGGCGAGGAAGTGTCGTATCTGTCCATCAGTTCCTCCATCTCGCCCACAATAAGGGATACCTCCTCCCCCACGCTGGAAGGAGATGGCCCTGGGGCGGATGGGCGGGGCAGGCCGGACGGCATTCGGCGTAGTGGGCGTGGGCGGAGCGGGCTCGGCGTCAATTCGCCTCCGACATGCTCAACATGCTCGAAGTGCTCACCAGCATCTTCGTCGTCATCCTCTTGCTCGAAATACTCAACTTCTTCCTCGCTGTCACTCTCATTGAACTCGCGATGGAAAGGCTCCGGAGGATCAACCGGGCCTGGAAGAACAAAACGAACATGCTTCACGCCATGGCTGTATTCATCGTCAGCGTGATAACCGACATCAATTTCATCTTCCGAGTTTGGTGCAGTCAGCGATGAACGGAAGTTTGCGTCAGCTCTTCTGCCATTGGCGTTCTCCCAAGAACCCTCCATGTTGTCAATCATGTCTTCAGAACGCCCATAACGAGGTTTCTTAGCAAGGCAGGATTGCAAAGGTTGACTGGTGGATGGACGGCTTTGTTGCGGGGATTGGCCAAGCATTGGTTTAGATCGAGGACCGGTGAATTCGCGCTCGATCAAACCAGGACGGTTAGCGAATGCAATATTGCGCGGTGTGAGATATTGTCCTTCGACCATGTCTCCATCTTGGAGGCTGGTTGATCCACTTTCAGCTGAATCTGCACGGTTGACAAGAGCATTGACGAGCTGTTTGACGGCCTGGTCATCGGAAAGTTTGAGACCACGAAGGTCATAGAAATCATCGCTATCATCGCTATACTCGTCTTCATCCAATTCTTCTTCATCGTGGCGGTTGCCCGGACCGCGCGAGATTATCATTGGACGAGTGGGGAGCGTTTGGTCGTGCTGTGTCAAGGCTTGTTCATCGGGTTGCTCTTCATCTTGGCGACTGGGCCCAATCTCGGTCGGAACAGGATGCGGGACAGGATTAAGATCTCTCTGTCTCGGGTTTTTTTCATCTGACGTTTCTCCAGTCCGGCAACCGGCCTCCCACTCCCTTGCTAGTTTCTCGAACTCCTCGGTGGTGCTGCAATTGAAGAACTCCATGCTGGATTGAAGAGGCTGCGCAGTGCGTACCGACTCCATCTTGCACGAACAGGACTCCGTATTGGGTGAAAAAGAAAAACAAGAAGAGAAAAGAAAAAAGAGAACTGGGACTGTGAGGGAATCGGGTGCTGCCGTCTTGCGTGACGTCTTGTCAAGTCTGAGTATGGATTCACAAGAACACAGCTTTAGAGGCTCTTTTTCTGAAAGTATGCAAGGAGATTGAAGTTGAGCAGGGTGCTTGTTGGATGAGTGGACAAATGAATGATCACGGTACAATTAGAAGAAGAGGAGGACCGTGAAGAGTTATGGGAGGAGCGTGTTGGGTTTTGAAGTATCACGGACCCGCCGACGTAGTCAATATCATCGCTGAGTCGTCAACAATATGCATCGCCTCACTGGCCGAACACGCGTCAATACACTCCTACCTTATCGTTATTGTCCTGCAAAGCATTGTGACTATCATCTAATATGGGAAGAGTTCCCTTTAACCCTCTCGCCATGGAAAAGCACTCTTTTATAGCTCTGGTGGCACTCAATCGAGTACAGCAACTTCAATCTATATTGAGGGTGGCTTTGTATCCACCACAGGCAAAGTGAGCAAGATCTACCCATGCAGTTCTTATGGTGATCATCTCAGTACCAGCAAGGAATTTTTCTTGATAAAAAGCCAAATATCCAGCGCTTTCACCGGGAATTAGTCTTTTACCAACATTTCCAGATGTCGGATATCACATTAGTGGTACAGAAACGATTCAGCTCGTCTCATGTAGTTCATATGCCTGTGGTGATCAGATGAAACAATCGAGCAAACAATGGGCTCAATTACACATGCATATGGATTTGAAGTATCCATCCGAACGCATATACCCACTGCAATTACTTACGGGTTAAACTTCGCACGGGTATCCACATCCTTAACTCTCTTCTCCAAAAGTGAGGCCGGGTATCTAGAACGGAATCTTGGATATTATTAGGTCAAAGAAATATTTGCTGGGCTCGTAAATTGGTGGGTAGAATAAGCAAATGATAATTAGAAGTACAATAGACAAAGACGGACGAGCAAACCAAACACTAACCAAGATATGCTCTTTCTTCTTATAAATGCCTATGTGGCTCAAACTGCAGAAAAGGTGTTGTAGCCAGTAAGAATGATCTTTATATCGGAGTTGAACACTTGCGAGACTGAATGGTTTCTAAAAGTTGAAGACATGTCGTCTGTATGAAATCCCGTGACTTACCAAAGCCCTGAGAAAAGGCTCCAGAGAAATTTTGGGAGGGCGCCCAAAAGAGAGCTTGAGGAATATATTTAACTTTGGTAAGCTCCACTGCAGCTCGGTGTCATTTTCCAAATTGAGGGAAAATTGTAAGATTGACTGAAATTTATGCGTTGTACTGACTCCAGAAACCTGGCCCGGTTTCTTTCTAGAATCCCCTTTGCCTTTGACATTTCCATCTAATTCTTTCTGTGGTTATGCACCAAAGAGACTCTACATTCAAATATGGAACCTTGACAAAGCGTTAAAGTGGTTGGCTACGCGCAGTGATAAGCAAGAGCTACCTTCACATACGCAGACAAATGGTCATCAACAAAAAGATACAGGTCTTGTCACCTCATGGGTGACCAGTAAACCTCTCAGTAGCTTTGGATACTTCTATCAATGGGACATGATGCTTACTTCTATCAGGATCGAAACCTTCTGGGTCATCGACACTCACTAAATCTCAAGGCAAAAAGGGAAACAGAAAGGCCGACTGGAAAGCGGAAAAGGTCGCCCCGCCTGTTTCATGAGACTCGGCCAGGTCAGTCGACCAATTATATTATTCATGAATGGCTGGAGCTGCAGATTTGACTCTTCACCCTTGAGCCAGATCTCTTTGCTCGACCGCAAATGTGACTGGCACATCTCTATGCCAATATGCGATTGATCTCGTATAGATCGTTGAAGGACGTCTTGACATATTGCATTATATAGGGTTTAAAGCAGCCCTTTCTATTACTTAATAAATGATTCTCTATAAAGAAATGATAATGTGATTCGAGTTCTACGTGATGATAACCACAGAGGCGAGATGATGAGCTGCGATTTCAACAAAACGAATGGTAACAAGATAGCATGTATCGATAGTACTAAGAACTGTGGATCTCTCTAACTAAGGGAGGTATAGCCTGTCCATTTTAGGAAAGAACAAAAAAATTCTCTCCACAGTAAATTATCTACAGTAAATTGATTATAGCAGTATATCTGTAGTGATTATTGTCACCGCGGTGCCATTGTGGTCGACTAGAAGAGTCAGGTGTAATCTAGCACTATTACTATTAATATTCGGTCAATTCTCGGTTTAAAAAGATGCATGAATACACATCAACCTTTTCTTGAGTTTCATCTAGTTCTCTTTTCATCTATCTCTCTATACACTTAAGATAGTTCATCTATTAACTTGCCTTGCTATCATCATTCATACAAAAGTCTGGGACTTGATCCACTTAGTTAGCCAGATCATTAGTTAGATAACCTTGACTAAATTCTACCATGTCATAGGCTCTTCTTTTACTAGAAATCACTGTACTGCAAACAGATTCAAACCCAATCGATTGCCTCAAAGAAAGAGTTTGCTAAGTCACACCACTACCGCTGCCGTGTTTACTCTGCTCTGTGGTCTAAGAACTATTGAAAATGACAGTCTATTAGTTTCAAGACTACAATGTCTAAACAAGCTGAGTCGAGTATTTAGTGCAAAGAAAGGCCTTGGCCGTGATTTCCATGGCTCTCAACACATTGCCCTGGGGAAATTATTGCAAACTGGGATTTGGATGACGCAAAGTGAAGCGAATGTGAAAAATCAATGCAATTGAGATGGTTCGACGCGTACGGACAACTAAAAGCTGGGTTAACGGCCGACGAAGCCGGCAATCCGCCGGGGACTGGGCGATCAAAGATAAAGGACATTGCTTTTAATGAGGATTCAGCGCTTGCATGACAAGTTGAGTGGAAATAAAATATGATTCTCGCGTTCTTTCAATTCTTTCAATTCTTTCAGCGGATATAGCGATCTCCGGAAAGAATGTAACACCACATCATTGGTTGTGAACGGCGCGTTGCGTAAATAAATCCCCGGCTTGTTGAAGCCAACAGACTTAATTGAAATATAATGACCAAAGGAGTAATGCCATAGATAATACGGAGTAATAATAACCAAATAGTACTTTAATTGAAATATAAGAGCAAGTTAAACAGATCCCAAGTTGTTGTCGGGGAGTTCCGAATTGCGACGGTTGACATTGAATGGATCTCGCCGGGCGTCGATTCTTTTCGCCGGTCAATTGCCGACTTTATGATCAATCCATTGGTTCTCATATAACCATTGCTTTTCCCCCCTTTTGGATATTTCACATATCTTGAAGTTAATATAGTTCTAACTGTTTACTTCCAAGTTTTACAAAAGACGTGTTTTGATCTGTACAAAATATTGTAAGTTGTTGTCAAACCTCGGCAGTAGTAACCTACCTCCAGCCGCTCCAGCCACCTCGGGCTCCTCGGGCCCCAAATAAACAACAACAACCAAAACCCCCCCCCCGTTTCATCCTCTCACCTCTCCACTTGGCATATTGTCATTGTATTGCGATTAATTTGTCCAATTATTAACACTCCCAGGCGCGTCTTGATCTGAATCCCGTTCCTTCAAAACCCCCGTCAAAAGCCCCGTCGAGACCCCCCCCCCCCGGTCGCCAATCATCATGTCTGTGAAGTTCAAGGAAGAAACGGTGCGCACCGTTACCGGTGGTAAATCCGAGGATTTGGCGCATCGAGTCGGCGAGAGATTGACCGGCGGGAAGACTGCGTCAGGGTATCTCCAGGTGTGCAATGATACCCCCCTCATATCCTAAAGGATTGTACTAATCTCAGGAATGGATCGTCAATAGGCCTACCTTCTTCAGCTCCAGAAGAACCCATTGCGCACGAAGATGCTCACTTCCGGTGTGCTCTCCGGTATACAGGAATTGTTGGCTTCGTGGCTCGCCCACGATGTCGGCAAGCACGGCCACTACTTCAGCTCGCGCATCCCCAAGATGTCCCTCTACGGCATGTTCATCAGTGCGCCTCTCGGCCACGTCCTTATCGGAATCCTTCAGAAGATCTTTGCCGGCCGCACAAGTCTGAAGGCTAAGATCCTTCAGATCCTCGTCAGCAACTTGATTGTACGTATCGTCATCGCTGATATCGCCTTGACCGCCTTTCCGCACCGCTGACCATCTTCGCCTTCTTTAGATCTCCCCCATCCAGAACACTGTCTACCTGACCTCAATGGCCATTATTGCAGGTGCGCGCACCATCCACCAGGTCCGCGCGACCGTCAAGGCCGGTTTCTTGCCCGTCATGAAGGTCAGCTGGGTTACTTCGCCCTTGGCCTTGGCCTTTGCTCAGAAGTTCCTGCCCGAGCACACTTGGGTGCCGTTCTTCAACATCGTTGGATTCTTTATTGGAACCTACGTCAACACCCACACCAAGAAGAAGCGTCTGGAGGCTCTCCGCAAGGTATGGTAGAATTGCTCCTTTAATTGCAAGTTGGTCACTGACATGCTTGCAGCGTTACGACCAGCGCCGCGATCCTGGTTACGAGAAGCGCGACTACCCTTAGATGGGCCCAGTCCGCAATTGATTAGAAACAACGGGAATAATGCTTCAGAAGTATATCTGGACCGACTCCCCCTTGTTTGCACCTATTTCCTTTGTTCCTTCCTTTTGTGTTTATTATTCTCCGGTGTTGATCTAAATCCATGTACACACCCGCCATGCCATGTAAGCATGCCGCAGATATCTCCCCCTGATGCTATTACTCAATTTCATGACGAATGGTCCTATATTTTTCATTTCAATCTTGGGCCAGTCTTGTACTTGCCACATGTTTTAGATCAGTCTTTGTGTTTATTTCTACTGCTACTTTGTTATGCTTTTGCACGAACGTCAAGATAATCCAGGAGTAGACGACATGCAATATTTCTTGGCATAAACTATGTGGATTAATAGTTGCAAGATAAGACCCACAGTGCATTAATCCGTTGTGGATAGGACAGTCGATATCGGACAACACATAATGTAGAGAGATGCCACCTGGGCAGGCACACCACACACCACAGCACAAGCCCGGATACATATCCATGACTAGATACGAAACCCTCACGCTAAACAATTCATCCGAGAATAGTCAATTTACTCAACCTCCATCTCAGACCCATTCCCTCTCTTAGCCTGCACCCAAGCAACAAAGTCATCAATCGCACCCGGCCAAGCCCCCTCAGGACTCCACCACCTCATATCTTCATCTTCAAGAGTCTTCCGCATAAACACCTCAACCTGCTCCCACAAATCCCTATTTACAGGCTTCTTCCCGCGCCCCTCAAGGAACTCAATCCACCAATCCAGCCACGGCGTGCTCTGCGTGTTCCATGCCACGCCACCATTATCGGCAGTGAAGAACAGACGCCATTGATCAGCGGCAATTTCAAACGGCAGATTGCGCTGCTCGGGCTGCACCTTCGACAGCCGGAAGGCAAATCTGTAAACACGGCGGAACAATTCCGGGTCCTGGGGGATTGTCTTGCGGATGATTTTGGCTTGGTGGGTCATTCTTTCAATGGTATCGCAGCTGACTCCTGTTAGATGTGCCTGTGATTGTTGGCGGGTGAGATTGTGCTTACGAGAGTTTGAGCCAGCCTCGCGTGAACCCCTGGCGTGTGAACTCGCCCATTGAGGGGTGTTCGTCTGATGAGGGGTGCTGGAGTAGCTCGGCGATGGCGAGGCAGGTTACCTCGTCGAGCTTGACGTCGATATCTTCCAGGAATCTCATGGCGCCTTGGACACCAATGGTGTCTGGGCTGTCGATTGGATCATCTGTGAATATTTGTGTTAAGGTCTGACGTCAAATAAAATAAGGGTAGGTTGGTACCTCGGTAACTTTCGAAGAGCTTGGTGATAGGAGAGGTCATCACCGCGTGAGATGAAGCCTCAGCATTGAAGTAACTGCACAGGGTATGTTGTTAGCCTCGAAGTACCCCAAACATAAATTATGCATGCATCGCTTTAGCGAGGGTTGGGTATATTGCTGGGGAAATCAGAGTTCTCTGGACCATGCTGTTTGGCACGACGCCTTCTGGGTGGCATATTGGACAATAAAGATATGAGTAGCAACAAATGAGCCAGTAATGGTTGAATCTTTTTGACAGGTTCAATGGGGAAGTACGCAGAGTCTCGCCAAGATACAAGCTTTCGAAGGATTTGGAGGCATCGACGGCAATCAACAGCCCAACCTGATAGAAAACACGTAGGAAACAGGTAGAAAAGTCTTACGTATCAATGGCTGATGGCAAACTCCATCCAGATTCTTTGAGGAACTATACCAACAGTTTAGTTATTTGAATACACGTGACCGGCCTGAATTCCGACGTTCAGACAAGCGGCGAGGAGAGAAGACACGAAAATATCACGTAAAGGACTCACCTTGGCCGCAACTGAATCTTTCGTGCGTGTGCAGTTGACGAATTCAGCAATTTGCTGCTTTTGACTGGTCGTGTAAGGCGGCATGGTGGGGTTGGCAATATTTGAGCCTACTGCCAGAGTTGGGAGATATCGCAACGAGAGGCGGTAGCGGGAGGGTATTCAAAATCACCCCAGGATATCTCGTGTAGTTGTGGATTGTTTTCTAGCACTCGAGAAACAACAGGGCTTTTAGCTGAAGTGAGTCGCTTCTTTTGGATTCCGGAGCCAGGCACTGCAGGCATCGTGCTGACTAATCACATCAGCCGGAAAGTTCTATATCAACATCAACAATGCTATTTAGATGTTTTAAGAGGGCTACAATTATTTCTATCATTCCTATAATTCTTGGACATCGATTATAATCTTTTTTGTAAAATTGCTGTTGGATATTTATGCAACACCAGCGAAACATGTCAATATTTACCATCAATTCATGACATGGAAGTGACAACCACAGCATCCCAGAATAGAAGCTGATGGTCAACTTTGTTTTAATATCAAACTGATCAAATGAAACTCCCAAACGCCTTTTCGAGGGTACAGATATGTAGGACTCGATGTGCTTAGGTTGTGAACAGAGTATCCTCCTGTTTGAGGTTAGCAAGTTGGCCCAAAAATAATACAGTGGTAGCACAAACCTCGCGGAGGTATTCGCCAGTATCGGCTTGTCTGAATACCACAACACCTGTGCCTTCCAGCTTCTTAGCCTCTTGACTAGAGCGCGAAGTCACACCGAATCCGAGGGGCACTAAAGAGCGTTAGCAAATTTATTCCCGCGATTAAAGCTATCTTCGCGAAGAACTTAAGCTCACCATCGTTCTCGTCAACCACGACACATCCTGCATGCTCTGGCATATCCTCGCTACCAAAGAAGTTAGTTTACATGTTCTGCATCGAGGCGGAGTGCAACATACGAGTACTTCGAGAGATGGGCACGAAGAACATTTGAGCCGTAGAGGAAAGGCATGACTCCGTTGGATTTGATGTAGATCTTGTAGCGGGCGTGGGCAGCAATCAGGTCCAAGCAAGTGAGGTTCAAGCGGAATTTGCCGGTCTATTGCGATATTAGAACCATTCGAAATCATAACAAAGGAAGAGTCTTACCTTTGTGAACTTTCCAACCATGGTGCCCATAGACAGGAGCTGGTCTCTGGGGATGCTGGTGCTCAGGTTGGCCAATTCCTTGTCGACATAGTAGACACGGCTACCTTGAAGTCGGAACACAGAGAGCCTTCCATCTTCATCAGGTGTGACAAGGGCGTTAAGCGACTTTCCGGTGTAGTGAGCAAGCTTAGTGAAGAGAGTGCGAGTCTCTTCTTCGGTAAGAGAACGCATCTTGAGAAATCAGAGGGGGAGATATTCGAATGACTGAGTTTGAGTAACGGCGAGCTTCGATGAAGATTTTCCAATCTGTATGGCAAAATAAGACCTACCGCCTTCTCTAAGTAGAAGCGGTCCTGGAAATTTGTAGTAGTGGACCGGCAATATTGGCCAATCAATGTCTTCCCGCCTCAAATTTTCGGGACCGCCTTTTCACTCCGAGATATTTTGTTTCAAACATCGTCACCCCCCCAATTCACAATTACAATATGGCGCGCGGTCCTGAATCGAAGCGGAGACGATTGAGCCCACCGGGCGATGGGGAGGCTGCCCGCTCCAAAGCCGACGAAGAATGGGACGTCGAGCAAGACTACGAACGCCGCCCGCGCAAAACCACCAAGAAAGCCGGCGAGAGTGCACGACTACCGATCAAGACATCCGAGGGTTTTGTCCAAGCTGAGGTCGAAAATGAAGTCGAAGACCAGGGCGAAGAAACCGACAGCTTTCTGGGCACCGACGACGACGAAGATGAAGAGGAAGAAAATGAAGAGGAATCCGAAGAAGAACAGCCCAAGATTCCCGTGAAGGTACAAATCATACAAGCAAAGGAGGAGCTTGCAAAGATGGCGACTTTGATCAATGAGGAACCCGAGGAACACACTTCTCTGTTCAAGACAATGGCGGAGATGGTATCGAAGAAGAACACATGCGTCACAGTCAAGAAGCTGGCTCTTGCTTCACAGGCGGCTATCTACAAGGATGTCATCCCTGGATACCGTATCCGTCCATTGAGCGAGGAAGACAAGACTGGCAGAGTGTCAAAAGAAGTGCGCAAGCTTCGCGACTTCGAACAGGCCCTAGTCGCAGGATACCGAAACTATGTCCAAACTCTGGGCGTGCTGGCAAAGGGATCCAAGGATGGCTCTATCGACCTTTCTCTGAGAAGTTTCGCGATTGCGATGGCTTGCACTATGCTGCTGGCCGTGCCCCACTTCAACTTCCGTAGCGAATTGTTAAAGATTCTGGTGAACCGCCTTGCCCGGAGACAGGTTGATGCCGACTACGTCAAGTGCCGTGATACATTGGAAGATGTGTTCGCACAGGACAACGATGGCACAGTTTCCCTCGAAGCCGTGGCCTTAATCGCAAAGATGATGAAGGCCAGAGACTTCCACATTCACCCCAGTCTCCTGGACACATTCCTTCATCTCCGTTTGCTCGGCGAGTTCCACCTGAAGGGCTCGCAAGACCGAGTCGACCGCCAAGAAGAAGAGCACGTGGGAAAGAAGCCAAAGCAGAAGCGGGAATTCCGTACCAAGCGCGAGCGCAAGGTGGTCAAGGAGCGCAAGGAAGTTGAGAAGGATATGCGCGTAGCAGAGGCCGTCGTATCACACGAGCAAAGAGACAAGAACCAGGCCGAAACGCTAAAGCTTGTATTTGGTCTCTATTTCCGCATTCTCAAGCTCCGTCTTCCCCCTCTGATGGGTCCCGTTCTGGAAGGATTGGCCAAATACAGCCACCTCATCAACCAAGACTTCTTCGGTGACCTCCTCGAGGCTCTGAAGGATCTCATCAACCACGCCGAACGCGAGGAAATGGGCGAAGAAGGCGATCAGGAAGTTACCCGCGAAGAGAACGAGGACGAAGACGAAGCCACCATTGTTGAGACAGCCGCTCGCGACGCTCGCCGAAGGACGCTCCTCTGCACAGTGACTGCCTTCGCCCTGCTAGAAGGCCAAGAAGCCAGCAAAGCCGCCGCAGGTCTCCACCTCGACCTGAACTTCTTCATCAAGCACCTCTACCGCTCCCTTTACTCCCTCGCCATGAACCCCGAAGTCGAGTTCAACCCGGACACGTCGCTCCGACTCGCCGATCCCAACTTCTCTTCCGACGCAACTCAGCTCGCTCAATCCCGCTCCAAGAACAGAGTCAACTTCCAGACACCCATGGTCCTCCTTCTCCGTTGTCTGCAGCCGACCCTGTTGTCCCGTGCTCACGGTAACCCGCCCCCTGCCCGTCTGGGCAGTTTCTCAAAGCGTCTTATGACTACTTCGTTGCAGTTGCCAGAGAAGTCTGCTCTTGCTACCCTGGCACTTATGGGTCAGGTTTCGAAGTACCACGGCCGTCGTATCAGTTCACTGTGGCATACCGAGGAGCGTAAGGGTGATGGTGTCTTCAATCCCCGTGCTAATGATATTGAGGCTACCAATGTGTTTGCCGGTACAGTGTGGGAAGGCGAATTGCTGCGTCGGCATTACTGTCCGCAGGTGCGGGAGGCGGCGATTGATATCGAAAAGATGATGAACAATTCCAAGTAAATACTGTCTTTGTGAATAATATTATATGCATATTCAGCTACGCAGCCTATGTTTTTGCTTTTGCGGATTTCTTTTGAACAATTTCATTGACTACATATGTAGCTTATCCCCAAACCAGGGAAGAAAAGCAAGGGCTCTTTTCTTTTTCGTTTTTTGTGTTTTCCTCAGTCCAGCCAGTTGATAATCAAACACATTTTCTTTTAGATGAAATAGATCAAGTAATAAGAACAAGCCAAACAGAACACAGAATAGTCTTTAGAGATGTTCGTTTGTGTCAGGTGTTGAAAGGTCCACACCAAGGCGCGGAGATGTAATCAAATAGATCAGACAGAAGGCCGGAAATGAGCTGAGATGTTGATAACGACGTGCAGAAGTGTAATCAAACAAATCTAACGAGAGTCCGGACATGATTTGAGAGCCATCTATTTTTTTCGGTATATTGTTTTCGACTTTTTTTTGTAATCTGATAGTTTCCTGACCGACTCTCGGTGCTTCTTGGCGAAGTCTTTGCCGGGGTTTACCGGAGTTTTTTTGTGAGGGCTTTTCTGTTTTCTTGTTGTGATTGTTGCTGTCATTATGACCTGAGAGTGTGGGTGTTGTTGATTACTTCTTCGAGAGATCTTCCTTGCTTCGAAGGCTTGGAGGACCGGGATCGCAAGCCTCAACAGGGCTATCAGAAGCACGGGCATCAGCAGGGGAGGAGAGAGATATCGAAGGAAGTGAACCACCTTCAGGATACTGAACCTCGACAGGTGACGTCTTCGCTGAGGGGTCAGTAGTAGGAGAGTGGTAGCGGTGCCGCTCATTGGCTTGAGCACGTAAAGCTGGGTGCACATTATCCATGGGGTATGCGATCCGACGATTGATGAGCGGGTCGCAGTTGTCGCCACTCTTGGAGTCATTGTGGATGCGTGAGATGCCCATGGGGATAGAAGGGACGGGTGGTATATTATTCAGGATGTCATCTTCTTTCTGGCGGCGTCCAGACCAGGGGAACTTGCCGCTGGACGTGTCGCTTGCATCGCGACGACGGCGGCCAAACAGGCCCCATCGACGGTTATTATCAGCAGGTGAATCTTGCGTGTCAAGAGCCTCCTTGGTCGTTCTGAATGAAATTGCGTGTCCAGAGGCACTTCGAAGTATACCAGAAGTCAGGTTGCTTGCATTACGTTTGGTGGAAAATTGTGGGGTCGAGATCTGCTTAGACAGAGTGCGTTTGGCGGGGTGGATGGTTTCCCTTCCCATGGACGGACTAGGAGCATGGACAGGTGCAGGGCCGTGAGTAGTCGGAGGTTCCGAAGCAACAGGGGTGTAGCTGAGAGCATGATTGGGTTGAGCGAGGGTCAATCCGACTCTGACGCGAATGACGAGCTGTTTGAGGTAATCGAGTTGATCTTTCATCTTTTCGAGGTCTTCCTCCAGACGCTCATTCTTGCGACGTTGGTATTCGGTGAAGGTTTCTTCCGTGTTGTCCCAAAGTCTCTGCAGGCAGATGTTGATCTTTGCATGCAAGTCGCTGAAAGATGCAGTCAGATTGTTGATCTCAGTTTGCATCGCGTGGATCTCGCTCTTGATCTCGTTTTTCAGTTCAAGGCGCGACTTGGCAATGTCGTAGGAGAGTTGTCTCTGCTTTGCAAACATGTCTGAGTTGGCGTGTGACATGTTACTGAAGCACTCAATCAAATCTCTGAACTGCTCTTGAGTCCAGACTGAGAGGTCGCTGAGCTTCCTTTCCATTCGGACCATGTCGTGCCCTTGCTTTTCGAGAAGCTTGGCGTGGGCCTCGTATTTTTGTTGGAGGTTACGAATGGCCTCATAGTCACTTGTATGATATGTAGTGGGGCTAAAACCAGACGGCTCGCGGGGAGGGAGGAATTGGTGATGCATGGCACCGCTCATCGGACCAGTGGAGTTGACAGAGTCATACTCACTGGGTGGTGACATCGGAAGAGGCTTGTTGCTACCTCTGAAAGGCTTCGAGCGGCTCTCCATGGTTGGTGTAGGAGAGAGAGAGGAAAGAAAGGGCGGGGCCGACAACTGAAGGTAGGCTTCAGCTCTTGCCTCCTCTCGGGCAAGAGCCGCCTCCGTCTCGCGGATGGTCAAACTGGAAGGAACGTGCAGACGGATCCCTCCAATCTGCACGTCCCTTCCAGCTGACCTGGATGCATGCCGCACCCACGCAGGGACGAGCGTTTCGTTAGACCTTGGTGATCTGCCGATTCGGCACATTTCGTCGTCGTCGGTGGGTTCTGTGACAAGAATCCCCGGGGGGGGGGGGGGAAGATTCGGGGGAAGGGAGATAAAGGTCCTACACGAGGGAGCTCCCCTACATCTATAAAAACACCTAACGTTAGTGACCTCATTCATCACACATCTGAGCTCAATTCAAGCTTGCGTTCAATGATAATTTTGAGCCGAGTGAGCTGATAGTAAGAAATCGTCCCATCCTTTTTGCCTTCTGTTCACATGATACTATGTTAACCAAAGTATAGTTCTTTCGGCCATTCTGCACACAAAAAGCCGAGTCTTTCTAGCAAACGAGGCTTAATCCTGCACAGGAAAGTCTGAGCTCGAAGGCAAATTACCGTGCTTCAGGATCTGGTCACTTGAGGCATCAGATTGATCAACAGACTCAATGTCAACAAAAAAGGTCTTGTTCAATGACCAAGCCCCAGTCTCAGACATAGAGGCACGTTTGCATGAGGCATGATTCAAGGCACAGACATGATCAGAAACAACAAACATGTCACCACTCGGAACGCTTGTGTTGCTCTCCGATAAAACAAATCACCAATTGAAGTAATAATGATCAAAAATTAAAGCCACGGTGAATTGAATAATGGAATAGTACTGACCTTGGGGTTATATCTATCCTCAAGATGAGATGGAATAATTGTGACGATGATGGTGAAAAGGAAGAAAAGAGACGAGAAGAGCATGGGTGTGGCAATATCAGGACGATAGCGAAGTCGCTATCGTCTTTGGCACGTCCTCATGCTCCAGGCCATTGGAACTCATCGGACCTTTGTTGATACAATCCCGATATCGAAGGAGCGAACCTAGCCTATGACAATGCAAAACCGCTTCTTTCCTAGCTTGATTTGGACATGCATAAGCCATGAACAAAGCAATTTCATGGTTATTGAGCCACCTTTATCCCAATTGATGAGTATTGAATGAATGGGGGATGATTCACCTTAGGGCTGGAAAGCAACAGAATGGCCTGCCAGACGGCCGCTGCCCGGCAGTTCGCTAGCTAGCTCATGGCCAGGTTCGTCGAGATTTCAACAAGATATAATCTGTACATCTCGCACCTTTGGACTGGCAGATAGCATCAAAACCCATCAGCAAGAGGAGGCCATGGTATAGATCTATATAGTTCTCAGCATTAGAATCAAACAATTACGCATCTTGACCGGCGGCATGGACAAAGCATCTAGCAATGAGCAAGCAAAATTCACATGAGCAAACGAAGTACAAATGCAATACGGCAAGCGGCAAGATGGAATGGGTTAAAACAATCATTGTTCATTAAGTTCATGGGTGTCATTAAATACATGCTGGATAGTGATGGCGAGCATATTCCGAAGATCTATCTCAAGGCTCTGACCAAGCCAACCACCAACATGAAGACGACAAAAGGAAATCATCACAAAAGCAAAACAGCAAAAGAAAATCGTAAAGGTACAGGGGAATAATGGAGTGGAGAAGGATGGGGCTTTTTTTGGGGTTGGAAATTTTTTATACTTTGCATGGCGACGCACCACCCGGTTATAGCCACGGCATAGATCGGATGCCCCGAGTTGGGGCTTTGGGTCGCACGTGACTGGGACCCTCCCGAATCGAATCGTCATTTGGGTTTGAGTTCAAGGGAAGATAGACCAGATCATAAGAGGCACGGCAAATATCGCAATCCAGAACAATGTCCTGATCAAGCAACAGAGTCAGTATATATCACGGCTGATTCACTGCAGCACGATGGCGTGTAGATTTCGGGATTTCTTGATAATAGCACCAATGAAAAAAAACAATCTGGCTTGCACATGGGATAGATTTTCTTTTCGTGCTTTAGTTTGAGGCCTTCTTTCCACGACGGAAGGGGGCGAAAATCGCTCCAAAGAAACCACCAAACACAGAGCGCAGAATTGCTTTGAGCCAGTTGTCTGTGGCACCATTCAGAGAAACAGCTGTCACTGACCGGTTCTGGCTCGACGGGCGAGCATCCTCATCGTTGTTCTTGGGCGCAAGAGAGTCCGAAGGCTTGGCGTCATCTGCCTTGGTAGGTTCGGTGATACCCTTGCTGGTACTGGCCTCGGGGGCGGGCTGGGACTCGGTGGTGGCAGCGGGTTGCTCGTTGGAAGTGGCGGCCAGCTGGTCGGTGGAGGGCTGGTTGAGCTTGCTGAGCAGGGCTTCACGGTCGGAAGCAAGAGCTGCAAGAACGGGATCAGTTTCGAGGGACATCGCGGATTGTTGGTTCGAAGTGTAGAGCGGTGCTGGCTTACCGTCTGCAGGCTGGGCATCTGTTGCTGCAGCCTTGGGCTGAGTCTCGACGACAGGTTCCTTGTCAGCGCCAATGGTCTCGGCATCTTTTTGATCCTTGGTTGCCTCCGGGGCAGACTCAGACTCCTTGTGGGAGGCAACAGCAACTCCGACACCGGCAAGGGCAGCGGCGGCGACACCAGCTCCGAGAATCTCGGAGCTCAGGCCAGTGGACTCCTCCTTGGGGGTCTCGGCAACCTCTGGAGCGGCAGTCTCTTCCTTCTGGGCCTCAACCTCAGTAGGAGCGGGAGTCTCCACATCAGCGGTGGAAGGAACGGATTCCTCCTTGACATCAGTGGGCTCAGCGACAGTCTCCTCAGCCTTGGGAGCCTCCTGTGCAGGCTCTTCGGCAGCAACCTCAGCGACGATAGGTGCTTCGGGCTCCGTAATCACAGGCTCTTCATCAGTGACCTTGACGGCCGGGACCTCAGCAGAAGATGATTCCACAGGGACGATCTCTTCGACAACAGAGACATCAGCAGCAGGCTCTTCGGAATCGATCTCCTTAGAAGCTTCAACGGGAGTCTCGTCAGCAACGGCAGCAACGTCAACAACGGCAGCGGCGGGCTGCTCAATGACGGTCTCCTCTACGACGACTGGCTCAACCTCGGCTTCCTTAGCGATGGGTGCCTCCACTTGGATTGCCTCTTGGGGCTGCTCCTCAGTGGGTGCCACTTCGACAGTTTCTTCGACCTTGACTGGCTCTGCGACGGCTGGCTCTTCGATGACGGGCTCGACGACGGCAGGTTCCTTCACATCCTCGACAACCTCGGCAGCAGGTGCTTCAGTGGTAGGTTCTTCAACTGGGGCGAGCTCAGGGGCCTCGGCCACGACCTCGACGACAGTCTCTGGAGCAGCAGCAATCTCGACCTTGTCCTCGGCAATAGCAGGCTCGGAAATCTGAGCGACAGGCTCTTCAATGGTCTCCGCCGCAGGCTCAGCAACGGCCTCAGGAACAGCAGCCACCTCAACAGTCTCAGTGACGGCGACAGGCTCCTTCACAGGAGTTTCCTCGGCGGCAGGCTCCTCGGCAACAACTTCAGCGACAACCTCAGGGGCAGAAGTCTCAGTGGAAGCAACAATAGGCTCCTCGACGACAATTTCCTTGGCGGGTTCCTCAACAGGAGTCTCCTCGACTGCAGGTGTAGGCACCGCGACGGGCTCGGCAGCAGGTTCAGCAATAGTGTCAGCTTCAACCTCAGCCTTCTCAACAGGCTCCTCGGCAGCAGCAGGAGTCTCAATAGAAGCAGCAGGCTCCTCGACAACAACCTCCTTGACGGGTTCCTCGACAGCAGTCTCCACAATAGGAACAGCCTCAGCCACGGGGGTCTCAGCAACGGGCTCCTCAGCCTTCTCGGTAACAGGCTCAGCGGCGACTTCGGTGACTTCCTCAGCCTTAGCAGCCTCCGGCTCGACCTCCTTGGTCAAATCGGCAACGGCCTTCTCAGTAGAAACAGGCTCGGGCGAAGTAGCTTCTTCAGCCACGGCAGCACCAACAGCTGCTGCTGCAGCGGCAGCCGCAACGGCGGCGACCTCAGTCTCGGTGGCATCGGGGACATCGGGAGTCTCCTTGGCGGTTTCCTTGGCGATCTCAGTGATTTCATTCACGACCTCCTCCACGGCGGCGGCCTCAGGCTCGGTGACCTCAGTGTCAGTGGGTGTCTCGACAGACTCCTTGGCGGTTTCGGCAATTTCAGCCACTGTTTCCTGCACGGTGGGTCCCTCTGTCTTGGTCTCCTCGACGGTCTCCTGGACAGGCTCGGCGGCAGCGGTCTCAGGGGCCTTCTCAGTGGCGGGCTCCTCGACGGTAGGAGCGGCGACGGTTTCAGAGGCTGTCTCGGTGACTTCAGGGGTGGGCTCGACGGCAGCCTCGACAGGAGTCTCGGCAGACTCCGTGGTGGGTTCCTCAACAGTAGGCTCGACGGTGTCAGCCTTCTCGAGGACGGGCCCGGCAGTCTCAGTCTCCTTCACAGGTTCGGTGGTCGATTCCTCGACGGCGGGAGTCTCGGTGACTTCCTTGGTCTCAGACTCAGGAATGGTTTCTTCGGGCTTGGAGGTCTCGACTGTGGCTTCCTCGGTGGCTTCGAAGGCAGTCTCGCCGGGAATGACGCTGGCGTCAGCACTGTTCTCGGCTTCGGCGACTGGCGCCTCGACCGTCTTTTCGGCCACGGGCTCCTTGGTGGGCTCGGCATTCTCGATGGAATTGGATTCCTCGGCGGCGGTTTCGACTGGAGTCTCGACTGGTGCCTCGGAAACCTCGGGAACAGCCTCAACGGGCTTCTCCTCGGTGGTGGGTTCCTCGACAGCCTGGGTCTCCACGGGGGCTTCAGCGATTTCAGCAACAGCCTCGACGGGCTTCTCCTCAGCGGTGGGTTCCTCGACAGCCTTGGTCTCCTCCACAGGAACTTGAGCGGTTTCAGCAACAGCCTCGACGGGCTTCTCCTCAGCGGTGGGTTCCTCGACAGCCTTGGTCTCCTCCACAGGAACTTGAGCGGTTTCAGCAACAGCCTCGACGGGCTTCTCCTCAGCGGTGGGTTCCTCCACAGCCTTGGTCTCCTCCACAGGAACTTCAGCGGTTTCAGCAACAGCCTCGACGGGCTTCTCCTCAGCGGTGGGTTCCTCCACAGCCTTGGTCTCCTCCACGGGGGCTTCAGCAGTTTCAGACACAGGCTCAGCGGCAGGTTCAACAACCTTCTCTGCGGTCTCGGTAGCGGGCTTCTCCTCGATGGATTCAGCAACCTCCACGGCCTTGGGTTCCTCCACAGCAGCCTCGGTAGACTCAGTAACAACCTCAGGCTTCACCTCTTCAGCGACTACTTCGGCAGCGACCTCGGTAGCAGGCGTCTCCTCAGTAGGCTGAGCAACCTCCTCCATAGCCTTTGGCTCTTTCAGAGGCTCGACGGCCTCGGCGGTCTTCTCTGTGGTAGTCTCAACAACCTCCTCGCTGGCCTTGGGTTCCTCGGTTTCGACAGCGGGAGTCTCGTCGACAATCTCGGGGACAGCCTCCACAGCCTTAGGCTCTTCTGTGGCAGGCTCAGCGGCAGGAGTCTCGGCGACAGGCTCGGCAGTCACTGCTGGTGATTCGGCGATCTTCTCGGCAACCTTGGGCTCTTCGACCGCTGGTGTCTTAGTGACAGGCTCGGCAGCCTGTTCTGTGGGTTCGGCGGTCACCTCAGTGGCCTTAGGCTCCTCCAGGGCAGGAGTCTCTTCGGCAGTTTCCGGGACCGCCTCTGCGGCCTTGGTCTCCTCTGTGACGGACTCAGCGGCAGGCGTCTCAGCGATAGGCTCAGCAGCCTCGACCGGTTCGGCGGTCTTTTCGGTGGGCTCAGCAACTTCCTCGGCGACCTTAGATTCCTCTACAGGAGTCTCCTGGGCAGGTTCGGGAACAGCCTCTACGGCCTTGGGCTCTTCTTTGGTGGGCTCAGCAGCAGATTCGGCAACAGGAGTCTCGACGACAGGCTCAGCAGCCTTTTCTGTGGGTTCGGCGACTTCCTCGGTAGCCTTTGGCTCTTCGACGGCGGGCTCGGCGGGAGTCTCAACTGGCTCAGAAACAGCCTCTGTGGCCTTCTCTTCCGCGACAGGCTCTGCGACGGTCTCGGGGACAGCCTCAACGGCCTGAGCTTCTTCTGTGGGTGCTGGGAGATCCGCGGGCGTAGATTCTTCGGTTGTTGATTCGACCGGCTTCTCGGTCACCGGCTTAGCAGTAGGTTCGGGAGCATCTTCGATAGACTTTGATTCTTCCACAACTTCGGGAGTAGACTCTACAGGAGTTGACTCTGTAGTCTCAACAGGCTTAGATTCTTCAGGCTCTGTCTTCTCCACTGACTCAGCGGCCGATTCCTCTTTGGGAGCTTCGACTGATTCAGTCTCCGTAGCTGGGCTCTCGGTCTGGGTTGTAGTCTCCTCCAGTGCAGCAGAGCTCACACTCTGCTTCTTCTGTTGCTTCTTGGCCTTCTTCTTGGCTCTCTCCTTTGCCTTCTTCTTTTCTGCGGCGGTCATGGGGACCTCGGGCTCGACAGATTTCTCTTGTGTAGGCTCCTCAACTAAGGTCGCAGTTGAGTCGGCAAGGTCTGATTTCTCAACTATAGGGTCGGAGGGGACGATGGGCTGTTCGACGGTGGCCATGGTCAAAGAATTTCGTTAAGGGTCGTAAAAAAAAATATGGATCGGTGGGGTATTAGAGGTTCACAATTTGACCAGCAAAGATTAACGCAGGATTAACAGTAAACCGCTCACAGAGCAATTTGATTGAGATTATGTTGAAGAGAGAAAGAAAGAAGAAAAGAAAACTTCAATAAAAAAAACTCAGCCCAATGTACAACAGTGACGGCACAACTAGTGGGTTGGCTCACAGGTTGGCACAGTGACCATTTTCCATACTATGCTCTAATGGTCTTCTTGTCCACCTTTTTTTTCTTTTCAGAGCTTCGACGCCCAATGGCATTTCGTACTTTGGGGCCCTTTTCACCCGATCCCCACTCATGTACGGACTGCCCAATATGCGGTGAAGCTACCGAGGTCCTTTTGTTTATCAAAGCGCCTGTTTTTGCTTTTTTTACACTTTGATGGACATGTGTGACTACCGGAGTGAGTGTGTATTCTTTTGGCATTAGGTCGCACGACATGCAATTCTTTGCACGAATTTTATGAGCAACGAAATGAACAGTGAGGAGGAACCTCCCAATCAAAGGATTCAGAAAAAAAATTCGGGCGGAAGCGCTAAGAAGAGGAGACCCATATACCCATGTTCCCCAATAACCACTCGCATTACCGCCAGGTCTCTTATCCACCTGTCATATGGTTGACTCATTATGCAGGTCGATCATCGAAAAGAGAGAGAAAATAATAATGGAAATGACGCTGATTGCTTCAATGATTTTCATGATTTTCTGATTCCATGATTCCAGTGGAGGCTCGATTCCCTCTCTTTTCAACCTCAAAATGGGCCCATGGTGGGTTTGCGGATGACTACGGATCAATCTCGGGTTTTTTATATTGATTTCGGTTTGTTGACAACAAAAACAATAATAATGAAGCTCGTGCCACCCACTAACTATTAACTAGTAGAACTACACTTGCACCACCCTGCACACTATAATCTGCATACGCATATTGCGTGCCGGCAAGAGCTTGGACCTTAGACCATAGCTCACCGATCCAAGATCCTCAGTTCCCTGCATGAGATTGTCGTAGTTCCCCTCCTCTGGACTTTTCTGTTGCTCCATACCAGATTATGCAAGAATATACAAGCTTGCAAGCTTGCATAGACCCTTGTCCCTGTCTGGTTGTTGGTCGTGTGTCCGACCAGGCTGGGTCGGCTTCCCGGGGCGTAAATCTCGGTAGGACGACTTATCGTTTCCGAAGCGGGCGCGTGTGATATATGCGCGGGGTTCCTTGGATCTTCATATTTGGGAATTGCGCTTTGATGTTTTGAATCTTCTTTGGGAAGTGGGATAAATGATCTCATCATTCAGGGGCAACACTTACTTAACAGAGACTGTGGAGTTTGGACTGAGATTATAAAGGTTCCAGTGTTTTAGCAGACATTTAAATACCGTCGTCACGTTTATAATTATTGTGCGTATAAATAGCGAGCGGCTTGTTGATGGTCTCTGCTGCACAACATGGTACTGTGACCAAAGCTTGGAGTCTCTCCTTGCATGGCCTCCAGAACCCTAACTCGAACCATCCTTAGCCCTCAAATCTACCCGCATCAACAGCTACCTCCATGATTGACTTATTTCCTTGTCGTCAATTTCCTACCTTTCTTAATATCAAAGCAATAAAAGCTCATCATTGAATGAGTGTAAGGTAGTGAGTCTTCTATCGAAACGCTATCCAATCGAGAGGAATAGCTCTGAACAATGAATACCAACGCACATACAAGGCGTGTTTACCTTGCGCACGGCGGAAAGTGAAGTGCGAAGCAAGTTATGAAAAGTACTGCAGGTGCATCAAACAGAATTTCGACTGCATTGACTATTCCACGACGTCTTGGTCGACGGATCCTGGTGATCGTGTGCATACACCACGGCGAAGGCCAGAACGGAGAAAGCCAAAAAGGTAGAGATAGGGGTCGAGGTACGTTTGGTATAGTGTTGGAGTATTCTTGACATGACTTCCGAGAATCGCTAGACTCTACTCGGAGGTCGGGGGGCGTCACTATAGAGAGTGGTATGTCATGAATCCGAAGAGTGAGCCAGTATCTGATGTGGCTTCAAGTATCTTGGCCAGATACATTGACCAACTGGGATGACCGTTCCACATCGGTGCTTCAAGAAGGTGATGTCGAATAACAGCGACGCGAGAATATCCTTTTCGAGGCAACTCTCCAAGAAACCAACAACAATACGGAAGATATTCCAGTATTTTATCGATGATGGGAAGATGTAATCGAGCATGTGAAGCGGCTTGGGCGGATATCTTGGATGTTTGTTTATTCTGCTGGAGCTCTTGTGCATGAACTGAGGGTGTTTAATTCTAGCGCCCCACTCGACGACTAGATTTCCACAAAAAGTCCATTTGACAAGACAGGTGCTCACTTTAATTGAAACACCTGGAGATTTTTTTTATTTCACGCTGAACCGCCCCTTCAATGCTGAGAGGTCATTCTTGCGGATTTTTGAAGTACCCGCGGTCTCCGATCTCGCATACAATTGAATGACTGAAAGACAGATGGGATGCTTTGTTTGGGCATCATTCTCGTTCCAATCTTGCTTTCGTCAAATCTGATATTCCCCATGTCTTTCAGCTCGGGCTCCTACCCTTTCCAATTCGATTGCCTCAAGAAAACCTTCCTCGGGTTCTAGGGCGAAGGAACTGTTAATATCAATCTTGCTTTGAAGAACTTTATCAGCAGGATCCCTTCAAATCAGGCTCTCCGCCTTTGCGCCATGATGCTTGAGGCAAAAACGGCCACTGCCAAGTTCTAAACTATGTCTGCACCCATGACGGCTTATCTTCCCGTCTCGTTGAGGAATTAGGCTTTTCTAAGCTCTCTCATGCGAGCTACGCAGTTGCTTTGTTTTACAGGCCACCTGACACCGGGTACATTGCCATGGCAGAGCTGTGCGATAAGATCCGTGATGTCTCTCGCCAGGTTTCATGCTCATCATGGCGGATGGTTATACCGGATGCGGAAGCCCAATGAATGTGGTACGAACAGTTGATAGCTGCCGATGTTAGTGCAGCGAGAGTCACAGTTGACGGTCAGCAATAGCCGAAACGTGTCTCCCATGATGTCTTGTTGTGTGAAGCCTTGCTAACTTAGCATTCCAATAGTTTGCAGACACACGCAAGACAAGAGTGTTGTGTCACGAGGCGAGGCCTTTGCTCGAATCCAAGCTGTCTGTGACACCTGCAACAAAGGCAAAGATTTTTTTGTCCTGGCGCGAACCGACGAGCTGGTGCGCGGTTGGGAATAAGCAATTTCTTGCGCATGGGAGTTCAAGGGCATTGGTGTTGACGCCATCTTTATCGAGGCTCTTCCGGACCGAGATGCTATGAAGCAATGCGTGGAAGAATTGGAGACTACTGTGTTCGCAAATATTATCGAAGGAGACAAGAAGGAAAACTTGTCTGTTAAGGATCTCGCTGACTTAAGGTTCTGTGCGGTTACTTAGCCCTGAACATCGGTTGCTCGTCACCGGAAAGCCGTTCGCTCTACCTTGGACGGTATGAAGTAAAGTATGACTGTTTGCGTGCCGCCAATGATACTGACTTAGGATCAGCTTTGTGAGGGAATTGGTCTTAATAAGTTACTTTATGATAGGATCGTGAGAAGAAGTAAAAGCACAATTTTTGAAGAAGAAAACACGCTGTGAATAAGGCCCGGAAAAGGAATATACACCCCACCTATTTTCGTAGGTCGCGTCAGGTATGGTTCAGGCACCAGGTACCCGTTGCTCTTTCCCTCCCATAGAACTTGATAATTACGTGTACACAAAAACATGAATTTCTCCAAAAGTCTACATTTACGAGGCAGCTCAGAATGGATCGAGCCCCTACGCAGTATAGGAATGTTGTACAGGGTAACACAAATAGACATGTGAGAGAGGTGAACGTTGCAATAATAATCTATCCAATGAACTTAGACGTTTAGATGGCCATGAATGAATATCAGGCAACAGAATTCAAGACAGGATCTATTCAGACTATACTGCAAGTGGTTAAGCACTAGTCAATTCAGCCCTATCCGAGCCGTGGTGGGTCTATTCTCAGCCCTATGAGATCACGAGAGGTTAACCTTGGCGAACGCTTCTCCTCATTGTGCTAGTTGGGGATATTAAAGCTTGAGATCTGTCCTATTACCCACTGGGATTTACTGCGCTTCTTTACTCCCTGGCAATTTGTGCTATCAATCGATTTATTATCCCTTTTCGTTCTCGGAGAATAACTTCAACTTGTCACGCCTGACGCGAGAATGACAGTGTTTCAGCTCTCCTTCCTTCTATAATTGGTTCAAACCAAAATAGGATTGTATTGGCAATCGCCCCTAAAATCACGACATCGCATCGCATCGTCGGCTCAGCCCTATGAGACAATGGACACTATGACTTTATTATTACTTTGCTCTCCCATTATTTTCTTCCTTCTTCTTCAACTGTTGTTCTCTATCTCGCTTTGGAGAATCTCTGATTTTGATAGTCCCGTTTACACAGAAGAGCCAAAAAGACTACGTCGCCATGGCGGAGTCTATCTCGACTCGAGTCGGCCACGCTATCGCAAAAGTCCTACATATTGATTTGGGACCAACTCCACCTCTCGTTGAGAGAGATGAGACCGCCGTTTACTCTTATCTTGAGCATGAACCCACTGTTGGGGACTGGTTCCGTGGTCACACGCCTACCGCTCCGCAGGTCCGTCGCTACATCTGGAACATCTTCCCGTTCCTCCACTGGATTGGGTATTACAACACGCAATGGTTGATTGGGGACTTGGTGGCAGGTGAGCTTTCTTGGAGAATGTCACACCAATTTTGGGGCTAATCTGTATGTCCCGACAGGCATCACCGTTGGTGCTGTGGTCATTCCCCAGGGTATGGCATATGCGGAACTTGCAAAGCTGCCTCCGGAGTATGGTCTATATTCCTCCTTCATCGGGGTTTTGATTTATTGGTTCTTTGCGACTTCCAAGGATATCACTATTGGGGTAAGGAGGTGCTTTTATTGTGGGTGACAAGAATACTAATGTTGATAGCCTGTGGCGGTCATGTCAACACTCATGGGCTCAATCATCATTAGGGTTCAAGCCGTGCACCCTGAGATACCAGGACCGACTATCGCCTCGGCTTTGGCAATAATCTGCGGCGCAATTGTGTTGTTCCTCGGATTACTTCGTCTCGGTTTTATCGTTGATTTCATTCCCCTTCCTGCCATCACCGCATTTATGACCGGATCGGCTATCAATGTCTGTGCTGGTCAGGTGAAGACGGTTCTTGGAGAAAAGGCAAAATTCTCTACTCGCGGGGCTACGTACGAAATCATCATTGATACATTGAAGCATCTCCCTTCTTCTCGTATGGACGCCTCGATGGGCCTGACTGCTTTGGCGATGTTATATGGCATTCGGTCTGCATGCAACTACGGGGTGAGGAAAAAGCCGCATAAGGCAAAGCTTTTCTTCTTCTTATCGACTCTGCGGACTGCCTTCGTGGTGTTGTTCTACACGATGATTAGTGCAGCGGTGAATCTCCACCGACGAGAGCATCCAGCGTTCAAGTTACTCGGTAATGTCCCACGGGGTTTCAAAGCCGCTGGAGTCCCAAAGATCGATATGGTAATCGTCAAGGCATTCGTCGGTGAGCTTCCCGCCGCATGCATCGTTCTATTGATCGAACACATTGCAATCTCAAAGTCATTCGGTCGTGTCAACAATTACACAATCGATCCATCACAGGAATTCATCGCAATCGGCATCTCGAACTTGATCGGTCCGTTCTTAGGTGCTTATCCAGCTACGGGATCATTCTCACGAACTGCTATCAAAGCAAAGTGTGGGGTGCGCACCCCTCTTGCGGGTGTTATAACGGCAGTCGTCGTTCTTCTTGCTATCTATGCCCTGCCAGCATTGTTCTTTTACATTCCCAGATCCTCCCTATCGGCTGTGATCATTCACGCAGTGGGCGATCTCATCACACCACCTAGCACCACCTACCAATTCTGGCGTGTGGCACCACTTGATGCAGTTATATTCCTAGTAGGAGTCATCGTGATCATCTTCTCCACCATTGAGACAGGAATTTACTGCACAATCTGCATCTCGCTTGCAGTAACTCTCTTCCGTCTCGCCAAAGCCAAAGGCCAGTTCCTCGGCTACGTCCAGGTCCACTCGGTTGTCGGCGACAATATCCTCGGTGAAAAGGGAGATATAACGCCAAATGTCGAAAAGCACCCCGCCTCATTGAGAAGAATTTACCTTCCCAATGACTATCAAGGCGGCATAAACCCCCGAATCAGGATCAACCAGCCAGCCCCAGGAATCTTCATATACAGAGTCTCCGACGGCTTCAACTACCCAAATGCAAACCACTACACAGACCATCTAGTGAGCCACGTCCTCGCTTCAACTCGACGCACAAACCCACAAGCATGGGAAACGCCCGGTGACAGACCGTGGAACGACCCAGGCCCGACACGCGCAGAGCGCAGGATCCTACTGGCAGAAGGCGCCCCGGTCTCGCCCCTCCCAACCCTCAAAGCCATAATTCTAGACTTTGCCTCTGTCAACAACGTCGACGTCACCTCCGTGCAGAACCTCATCGATGTTCGCAATCAGCTCAACCGCTGGGCCTCGCCGGATTCCGTCCAATGGCACTTCGCGCATGTCCACAACAACTGGACGAAGCGGGCACTTGCAGCCGCTGGTTTCGGTTGGCCTGCGCCGTCGGACGGGTCTGCTCCCAGATGGCAAAAGGCTATCTTTGACGTTGCGGAGATCGTGGAGGATAGTCTGCCTGCTTCGTCGGCTCAGTCTCAGGTTGGGGGGGAGTGTAAGGATCTTGAAGTTGGCATGAAGGCGCAGGATAATAGTGCTTCTTCTTCCATTATAAGTGGCTCTGAGGATGATATTCAGGTTGTGCGGACTGGACGGGGTGAAATGGTTGATACGCATCGTCGACGGGGTCGGTCTGGGGTTGGGACTGGCTTTGCTGTTGTGGATGGTATTAATCGGCCTTACTTCCATGTTGATCTGACTAGCGCTCTTAAGAGTGCTATGGAGGATTCTTAGGGGAGGTTGGCCTTGCTCTTATTACTGCTTGCTCTCTTAATTTCTACGTACCTTGTTGCAGCTGGACCTCGATTTGATAATTCAATCCAATGCATGGTAGTCCATGCACTTTCTATCCGGTTCTTTCATATCTGCTTCACACATGACAATTATCTAGGTAAGTTATGTGAAGATAACCTTGATTTCGAAGAACTGTAAACTGGCGGTGTCAGATCTTGATGGTCTCCATCTGAGACTAGTCCGAATAGCGTATAGCTGGTGGGTTCATCTGGCGATCTTATCTTTGTTCGCATATCAGGTATTTGTGAACTCCGCAAATTTGCAGTAGCTCAAAAATCAAAAACCTCTGAGATACTGCGAACCTGACTGGAATATTTAGGTATGCGATGCGTGAGCATACAAAAAGAACGAATACCATTATACTGCAGATGTAGCTGTTGTTTCCAAGTTGAGAGCCTGAGGCCTCAAAAACCAAACCTTATCAATAACGTGAAATCCCGCTTTGAAGACTACGGGTCTGCTTTAGGCACGCAGGCGATCCGAGTCGAGACAAGAAGTCTACATCTACGAGGCAGGATATGACAAGCCAGTCGAGTCCCTCCATAGCTCAACTCTTCTGCTGATCTCCCTGCACCCTTGGTCAGGTAGAGGTCTACCAAACACGTTGCAGCTATCCGCGAGTTGATGGATGCGTATCTCCGTCCCTGGCAGTTGTAGGTACACCCCCTGTGGCTGCAGTGTGTTCGTTGCTTGTTCCTTCACAATTCCGAATATATGAACGAGGTTCCACGCGTCAGTTTTGAGAACGAGTCGAAGGTCAAAGCCGCCATCTTGCTTGGGGACGACGACTGTCACTCAAACTGCGTACATCGAGACATCATCGTTCAAGATCTCGCTTTCCTCTCTGCTTCTAAGCATAGTAATCGGAAAATCCCGGCTCACTGGAGTACATAATTGTAACTGTTCACCATGTACTCTGTACAAACGATATGTCCTAGCGTAGGTTCAAGCAGCGACTCGAGTCCAGGTCGCGTCGGGTATAGATTAACGGGCGAACGGCAGCGATAACCGTGGTCTATCGGCGGTAGCCGCGGAAGCCTCGTGATTGCAGTGTGCCGAGGACGTCGTACTACTGCGTAGGTAGGTCACCAAAATCCAATGTCGTTCTGGGGAAGCACAGCGGTCTTATGTTGATATTGAAAGCCATAGTGGGTATTTCAGGACTAATTAAGCTAATATTCTGTACTCCGTATGGATACTTGAAGCCACGGCATTTATCTCCCTTTTCTTTTGATGACCTCACAGTGGCAGAATTATTGTCAATGACAAGTCGATGAAGCTGACGTGATACCGTATTGGTATTACCCGATTACACCCGAAACCGAAACCCCCTTTTTAATACGAACCTCATTTCCTTTCATTTACGCTGCTTTTTTTTTGTTAGTTCACTGCAATTGCTTCGAGTGTGTTCCCTAGAGCCCTGCTCTGTGCCCTTCAATGGTTGTCTAACAGAGAATGGACCTGTAGATATCGAGGTAAGGGAAACGCGTATATAACGGCTGCACCCTGAAATCGAGCTTGTGTGGGTCCCGCCAAGCTGCGATCAACCGAAATACCAAATTGAATTTCCGGAAGAATGCGAAGAGCCTCTGGCCCGTTTGGGACGGGCCAAATTTGAGTGAAATTTTTTTCGTACGGGAATAGGCGTAACTATATAAGGGTCTCTAATCCCAATGGGAAAGGAAAAAGAAAGGGAAGTTTAGAGCAGTTCTGTCAAGGTCATTTCGCTTGTAACCTCCTTTCCTGGGGCGACCCGGAAAGCAGACCAGTTTTTTGCTGTGATAGTCGGGTTTCGGCGGGTCGAGGAATCCAAACTAAGTGGACCTGGAAAGCGAGAGACACGACAACCTGGTTTTTTTCTTTCTGCTAATTTCCTTTTATTTGTCTCCTTTTTTTTCATGAGTTCGCGCAACCCCTGATCAAATCTATATAAGAATCGATCATCACCTGCAGGCGCTATGCATGTTTTTGCTTCCCTCGGCAACCCATGATGGAACATGTCTTCCGGAAGCCGGAACCTGGTTACGTATATTCCCAATATGACCACTCGGTGAGGTGGATTCCCGAGCAAAGGAAGGGGAGACAATACCCACTACCATCCACATAATTTGTCTCCTTTCAGCCGATGGTTGCCCAGTGACTCCGTAGTTGGTGGACCTGGAATCCGAGTCGGGCCGGTTTGGGCGACTCCGGGAACAAATCCAGAAATATTACGGACCCGAGTGAATTATGATTGGATTATGAGGAGCTAATCGGTGGATCGATCCACTAGATTGGAACATGCTTAAGATCCACTGCAAGGGTATTTTATCATTTTATTTTAGTTTTTATGTTTTTTTACTTGAACAATTACCGTTTTTTTATTTTATTTTTTACATCCCTTTCCCCCTTCAATGAGCAATTGTCTTGTACAGCGCTGGAGAGACAATATGAGATATTCGTAAATCTTTACAGATATCCCTGTCAAAGTGAAGGGTCATTTTCATATATGCAGGGGATTCTGATAGATATAATATAATGAACTTCAGTGGATCCAGTTTGGAACAACACCCGACTGAACCCGAAAGGTAATACACGGTAAGAATGGGAAAAAAACGAAACCAAAACGAATAAAACATACCCCCAGCATTCCAACTGTACGGTGATTTGCGAATCAAATACTCCGTCCACGCACAGAGTAGGGCTTTTTTCTTACCAGACTACCGCACTAGGACAGAACAGGAGGCGGACGGGCGAAAATTTGGCCGTAGAGTATTTATGTCCTAGGAGGACCTTCTCCCGTAGTTTCCCAGCTTTTTCTCCCTGAAAAGTCCATCTGTCCTCCTCTTTCTTTCTTTCTCCTCTCTTCCACCCACCCTCTAATTTTATATCCCATCATCACAATGGCCGCCACTCGTGTCTTCACCTCCCGCATGGCCTCCGTCATGGCCCAGACCTCCAAGGTCGCCCGCCCTGCTGCTCGCCTCCAGCTCAACGCTGCCACCAAGCGCACCTTCACCCAGAAGGCTCCCGCCGCTACCTTCGGTGCCCCCAAGCGCATCCAGTCGCCCACTCTCCTCCAGGCCAAGGCCTTCCAGACTGCCGCCCGCCGCCAGTACTCCTCCGAGGTCGCCACCGCCATGGTTGAGGTCTCCAAGAACATCGGTATGGGTTCCGCTGCCATCGGTCTCGGTGGTGCCGGTATCGGTATCGGTCTCGTCTTCGCCGCTCTCCTCATGAGTGTCTCCCGCAACCCTGCCCTCCGTGGTCAGCTCTTCTCCTACGCCATTCTTGGCTTTGCCTTCGTCGAGGCCATGGGTCTCTTCGATCTCATGGTTGCCATGATGTGCAAGTACGTCTAAATTATCTACAACTCGGGTTTTCGGATTCTTGGAAAAATGTCATCAAAACAAGGATTTTGGATTTTTTGATAGAGTCCCCTTTTCCGCCGGGGAGGGTATTTGGTCGTGATGTATTACCATGTACTACTTTCAGCGTCATCTACAACACTTTTCTTTCTGTACATATAGAGTCCTATATGGCCCATCGACCATCCAACCTATCAACGAGCCAAAACAAAACTCTGTGTGGTTAAGTCTGACGGCCGTATAATATCCCTCTCTTCCACTTTTAGACTTTTGCTATATTCTCTAATCCCCATGGGGAGCCAAAACCTGAGATATGCACGTATGGGGGCTATTCGAGCGGTTCTTTCGCTCGAAGCTCAATGCTCCACGTAGACAAGCTCCGAGCCTGGGGCTAGCTGCTTGTATCTTCAAGAAAAACAAACAGCTCCTTTGTTTAGCCTGTGTTTCAATGTTGGATGTTGCTACGGGTCCTTGTGCAGATATTTGACCCGCTCTTTCAACGACTACCTACGCCACAGCCACCATCCATTGGCTTACAATAGACGGTGAGAGCAAACTACAACTGGTTTCTATGACAATTGACCTAAAAAACAGCGAATTAACTGCGTTGATGGACCTCAATCGAGCTTGAGACCCTCGACGCAAAACTCTTAGTTCCCGGACCTCGGGAACGGCATTCCCGTAGTCAGCTGACTCAGCTCGATATCAAGTGGACGGCCGCCCCGGAATCTGCATGCAGGGTGCAGGGCTTGAAGGATCTCGAAGCAGGTCATATTGCATTGAGAACTAGACGTCTTTATGATGTGTATACTCCGTATTCTTGATTAATTTGAGGGAGTCGCGGTAATAGCGCTTACCCGTTTCCGATCGCGATCCCGGGCTAACCTGCTTACAGTTAGTGAAATTCAGTTATAGGTAGTTCTCTTTGATACGGCAGTTCATGACTTCATATATCAATATGATGTTCTGGTGAGAATGTTTTGGTATACAAATCAAAGTAGTGAGAATAATGATCGATATTTGAATAGTGAATGATGGATTTTGACACTATATATTTCTCAATGTATCTACCCTCACGCCAGTTTTATAGTGGTCCATGTGGAGATATATAATCTGCAGAAACCACATCCATATGAACCATACAAGGTTTTTGCGACATCTTTCTACAAACAAATCTCTCCCTATAGATTTAAATATTGTAACTGAACGTGAAAAGAAGGTCGGAAGTAATCATCAATACATCTTGTACAAGACTTACACTACACTCCTAGGGCCACCAAACCACAACCTTAGAATCAACAAAAATTTATTTTATTTTCGAGGATTAAATTTTCATCGTATATAGTTAGACATTGCAAATAAATGTCACGGCTTGACTTATAATGATTGTAAGATGCGATTTTGTAGAGTTTGTGAGGACTACAAGTTCGCACGTGCGAGGTACGCGACTCGCGTTAAATTATCCTGGGGAAGCTCAAGAGGATCAACAATCATATTCGTATAAAATGATCAATATCAACAAAAGAGTTCAATAAGGGCAAAAGGAAAAATAAAAAAGAAAGCAACACAGAACTCAAATCCAGCGAACAATCGACTCCAGACATGCCATATCGCTCGATGAAACGCTGATGGGGAATATGGTATCACCAAGACTCGACAAAAATCAAGAAAGAAAAACCAAAGTGAAGAGATGAAAGGAAAATCAAGACCCGACTAGAAGATTTCCAGGTCTTCAAACTCAACAACTAACCCATCCGAACCAGTCGGCAACGAGTTATCAACCGTCAAGCCATGCATAGCATCCCACATCGTATCCCCACGCGACAACCCCGTCGGCCGACTCGCATAAACACCAACATGAACAAACTTGTCCTCTACCCCATAAAAGAACCAGGTCACCTCCCGCAACTTCTTCCATGAACTCCCCACCGCTCCAGGCGAAAGGGTATAAGGAAGAGCCGAGGGGACCTGGTACCAGATCCACAGGGCATGGCCAACCCGCTCGAGCTTAATGCGCAGCGAGTGGGTAGCCAGTCCAGCCTGCGACAACCCCAGAGGCGACAGACACCAGTCTGCGCCGTCGGCTGTCGCGCTCACGGACGAGGCGTTCACTGTTCCTGACGAGAACTCCATTCCGGCTTTGACCCATTTGCATGGGAAGGTGGTGCGGTGACGTGGGAGATCGACTTCTGATGAGAGGGGTTGTGGTGCCGCCCCAGCGAAGATCACTAGGCCGCCTTGGTCCCATTCCATTTCCCAGTCTGCGCTCACGGTCACCTCCGCTACGACGAATGGCTGCCGTAGTGAGGTGAAGACTATGGGAGCCGTGGAGGTATCTCCGTTTGGTGGTTTGCGCCATAGGTCTGTGTTGGGGCCTGCTTGGAGGGTGAAGTATTCCATGCATTGGGGTAGTTCGAAAGTCGGTGGGAGGTTTAGAGTCGTGAATGACGATCCATCCGGAGGCATTTTCTTTTTGGATTTTCTGTGCTGGAAACCCTCCCACGATGGTTTTCATGAATGAAAGAGAGATTTGTATTATGTAATAGAGTATCTCTGTGTGAGCTCTCGAAGATAGGACCCCGGACGAGATGCAGCAATTAATACCTTTCGGCGTGGTTCCTCGGCAATGAAGCTGGGTTCACAGCATTCGTGCTCAAGTTTAAGCAAGCCCACTAGCCCGAGTAACTAGGAATAGAAATCCTGCAGGATTGCTGCATTAAAGGTAAAAAAATAATAGAAACAGAATTGTTGGGATATGATGCAGTCGAAAATCGGGATATGCGGACACGCCGAATGCGGCGCCGCGCCAGACCTGGAAATGGGAACACCAAAAAAAAGCAAAAGGGAAACAAGAAAAGGAGAGTTGAATAATTATTATATCTGGCAAACTAGCAAGTATTTATATGAGAAGTGTTGTCCCCGCTAATGAATTTGATTTCAGGGGATGATTACCTCAGGTCCCGCTGGGAAGAATGACCCTATCTTCGAACCGAAGCCTTGGAGACTAGTACCAAGCTTCTGGATTCACTGAGGCGCTAGAGCTGCATTCTTTGTGGTCAATTCCTTTGATGTTCGCCCCCAGAAAGCGTGCTTGCATTGCTTCGGCGACAGATGGCCTGCGGGCCAGTTCGCAAGTGGCGGGTCACCATGCATTCGAGGACCACTCACGATGTGATGGGGAGATCTGAGTGGGAAGTTGAAAGGCCCCAGGCGCAAACACCAAGCAAGGAAACAGAACGGACTAAATTTCGTCAATTGACATCTGTCAGGAGCGATCACTGAACGGTGAAAGATGAACATGCACGAGGCGAACTATTTCGCCTGGCATATCCCCACTCGGTGTGACATTGGCGGTGCGCAAGAGAAACGAAAATATTGTAATATTGTATACCGAGGAACTCTTGACTGAGGATCGATCGGAACAATGCAGGATGTACTTAGGTGGAACTCAGATTCGGGCCTGACGAGCTGAGAAGAATTCGATTTCATGGATCTTCCTTGGTCGGCGGTGTAGCGATTTGATCGCTTACGCCTTGAAGGGCACTTTTTGTTTTTGTTTTGTGCAGTGGCGTTGCAGTCTCAGCCACATCATATTCTGCACGAGGCTGAAGAGAGTAATCCAGAAGATAAAGGCCCTTGAAGGCCTTGAAAACCCTTGAAACCCTTTGAAGTGGATCAGTCTCTATTTCGGAGCCGAGCAATGGAGATCAGATCTAGAGTGCTTAGCAGTCCATTTTACCCCAACATTTCTATATTCTCTAAATTTAAAGATCCAATAGATCGAACTCCCACATTGTACTCCATACCGAGGCACCCTGCAATAATCTCGTGCAATTCAAACAAGTCTGTTCCTCTTTGAAATCGCCAAGCTTCTAGCTTGTGATCGACCATTTGTAGCTTCATCTCTTTTAATGTGCTGGCAGTTTCGGGCACACTAAACCATTTTCTCTCTGCCTAATACCAATCATTTCATTTCGTTTTATCACTTTTCTTTCAAGGCGTTGATCGAAATTCCAAATCGCTTGAGATTTCCAAAAACCCAACAAGTGTCTGCCTTAGCGTGTTTGGAGTCTCGCTAACTGTTTGTAGGGCGCAGCCAAAAAAGGGGGGCCAAAAGCACGCGGGAGCCCAATTCAACCAGAATCAACCCAGTGACTCGTGTTTTGACTTCCCTTTGCCCTAACAAACAGTTTCAAGCCAATCATGTCCATCAACTAACATCTTGGCCTCGTATTTCAGGGCCGTCAGCCTCAATCACATTTGGTGTATAGCTTGAGCCCCCCTAAGCTAATTACTTAAAGGCCCCCGTACTGTAAACCTAGACCTGACGGAAGTCTTTGCGAAATTCGTCTAATTCTTTAGACATACCAAAACAGTTTACTGGATCAAAATGGCGCCCCGACGTGGTGGCTCAAGCTATGGCTCCTACTACGATTCTAGCCCATGGAGTGAGACGACTATTCTATCGCTAAACTATGGCCTGTCTGGATATGGCTACAACAACGACTACTACAGGACCCTTTTCATCACGCGTTTCGCCTTTGATATTCTCTCGCTCCTCGCGTTTGTTGTTTTCCTTATCTGGGTATGCACAATTCGGAACCGCGGTCTACCGCTGAAGGGAATAATCTGGGCTCTCATCTCGTTCATCCTGTAAGAATAGTTGCAATCCACAGATATGAAACACTTGCTAATTTGAACGACGTACCAGGTCTCAGATATGCATCATAGTCTGGGAAGCCCTTTCTATCGCCAATGCAATCGTGACGATGTACTACCTCATCATCTTTATGCTGTCTGTTTTCTTCAATCTTCTCGGAATCTGCCTCACATTCTACGTCTTCTGGAGTCTGCTCAACCGCATGCTTGTCCGTCTCACGGACTCTGGTAAGCCTTATAGAGCAGTGACCATTGTGCACTGGATCCTGCAGGGCTTCCTCGTGTTGCTTTCTCTTGCCGACTGGGCCATGTATGTTGCCTATCTCGTTGATGATGTGACAAACTCCTATACCCCCCTACTTGGGATCAGCTGGGTCAGGTTGGAATCTGCACTCTACATCATCTATTTTCTGGCTTCCGTAGAGGTTCTCGCTGTGTCGATATTCGTGGTTGTCAAGGCTGGAAATTATCGCTTCGTGTCCAAGGTTAGTGGCATTCATTGTTACCTAACAATATGAGAAGGAGCACGAGCTAACACTATCTCTAGATGCCTGCTATTGCGCTGATAAATGGTGCCGTTGGGTGGTTCGCCATCTCCCTCGCATGGGCTGTTATCTATATCCGCTATTATCTTGAGGTGAAAGTGTCCGCCCCGGTCTACCTAGGCACCGCCGAAGCTATCATCCAGTTCATTTTCTGGGTCGCTACTTTCGTGGGAATTCTGCTCTGCTGCTCCAAGTGGAGCAAGCTCGGTGAGGAGCCTGACAAGTATGCTGCTCCGGCTCAGTATCCATACCCTCAATACCCGCCTGCCCAGTACCCCCAGGGCCAATACCCCCCGGTCAACATCAAGCGCCGTACCCAGCTCCGGGACAGTATCCTCCTCTCCAGCAACAGCCATACGAAAATGCTCCGTACCACGACTACTCAGCACACCAGACTCAGACTCAACAGCCTTCGACCCAGCAGCGAGAGGCGCCTTCGCCTCAGTGAGACTCGATCGTTGAGGCTCAAGTTGAAGTCCGGTAGTCCCGTATTGATGATATTTACCTGTTGATCTGAATTGATTCGACGCAATCCCCACGCTTTTCCATGTGATGGTTTACACTTACGCTCTCTTCTAATGTGCCTACTCCTATACCCGACTTTGATGTGATACCCAAGGAACGATGCGAGAGGAATATATGATACCTATCTCTTAATAATAATCAGAGGATTTCTTCATGTTAAAACCATAAAAAATGCGAATACCAAGTAAGAATACGCTGGAATCGAACAAAGTCGAAAGTAGATCGCGTCTTGGCACCATTTACTCAGGCGGTGGCGCAAACCGCGATAACGTCTTTTCGCCAACTCAAGTCAATCGTCATCCTTCCAACATTTCACCAGAACAAAAATGGTCTGCTCTAAATGCCAAAAGAAGCTCAAATCCACCGAGCTCGCCACACCCGGTGTCAAGCGCAAGAATGACATGTACTACGGTTCCCCGTCTAGTTCTCTAGGAGGCGGCGTAGATAAAGGCAAGGCCAAGGCGACGCTTGGTGCTACCGGTATCGGAAAGGTTAGTTCTATTTCCCTGGCTCGGACGCGCCCGAACTAAGGACGAAATCTCCGGCTTGGTTGGACTTGACTAACGGCCTTCAGAGCAAACTTCTCAGCGCGAAGGCTAAGAATCCTTATGCGGCGTATGCTTCTTCTTGTGAGAACTGCAAGGTGAAGACGGAGCAGGGAAAGAAGTTTTGCCAGCGGTGTGCTTACCAGAGGAATGGTAAGTTACTTCTCAGTTCACTCTTCCTAGAGGTTTTTTTTTTGTCCGTTGAGAGCGAGTACTGATGTTTGATACTAGCCTGCGCCATGTGCGGCAAAAACTTGGCCGGGAAAGCGACCAAGGATCAACCTATTGTCCAAGGACAGAAGTTCAACATGGCATGATGCGCCAGGGAGCCCCGGAGGGGTGGTTTGATGATCTTTTATCTATGAACATATCAACATGGCAAGGCGTTTGGGAGTTGCAATACCGAATAGAACATTGTAATGAAATTTGAATTGACGCAGAAAATTCTAGTTATACATGGCATGCGCAATAAGAGTATATGCAGTGCGTCACTAACTGTACGCTTGATAATCGGAACAAGTATGCCTTTTCTTCACCCCCAGAAGAGTATCCGTTCCTCATCCTTCTCGCTCAGCTCAACCTCAACTTCTCAGCTGCTTCTCCCATTTACCGGTCGGCCAGCATGTTCTTGATGTTGCTGTAGTATTGCGTGTTCAGGTACTGCGAGAGCTCTTCCTTGGAGAGCCACTTGAAGTCCTTCAGGTTCTGGGTGTTGACGGACAGATCGGCCTGGCCGGCCATAATGCGAGACTTCAGGAAGAAGATCTTGCTTCCGGTAGCCTCGACGGCAGTTGTTTCGCCCTTCTTCGCGCGGGGCGGGTTGAACGAGTGCCATCCGACGGGGTGGTAGCCGACCATCCAGGTGTTCATGTTGATACCGGCGGATTCGGAAAGGGTGCGCTCAGCAGCCTAGTAAATAATCGCATATTAGCATAATTCAACGTCTCAACATAGTCGTAGCTTCAACCATGGAACTCACCAGACGAAGGGTCTCTCCGGTCTCCACGGGGGAGGAGGGGAACTTCCAGTGTCCCTCCTTAGACTGAACAAGGAGGTAAAGAGTGCGGGAAAGCAAACGATCCAGGCTCTTCTGGTCGTTCTTCTTGTCTGCTTCGGTAATCCGAGGGTACGGTCGGGGGATTTCCTCCTTTTTGCTTGTATCTTGCGAAGTCTCATTGGCAGTTGACTCTGCATCCTGCACAAGCGCCTCAACCTGGTGTGCGGGCTCAGATTCCTGAGCACCGAGCAGAAGCTCATCGTTCCACGCATCGTTATCGTACGCGTTGTACTTTCCGATATCACGAGCGGCAGTCCGGCGCTCCTGGATCTTCTTCTTCCAGTCCTCGTCGGCTGGTGTTCCGCGCTTGAAGTAGAAATATTTTGTGAAAGGGAGGGCCAGACGCTCGTTCAAACGCTTCTGGTAGAAGTAGAACGCTTTCTCGAACGGCTCGAGGTCACGGGTGATCTGGGGAGGGCGGGAGAGGACTACTCCGGCGTTGATGGTATACGCGGGCTTCACGACGGGAGGAGTGGTTGTCGACTCAGTAGCTGCTGGAGCGGCTGAGGCATAGCTGCGGCGGCCAATGGTTTCTTGACAGCTTCTGCATACACCGGAGTCGATTATTGATGGCCCTGCGCGCGAGTCAGTATTGGTCCGAAAGAAACGGGGAAAAACTTCAATTGAACTTACTCAGCAGTGAGGCAACGCGCCTTGCACCATTAGAACCTGACGACATCTTGAGTGGATGGAAATGAGGTGGCTGTATGTGATCAATTGACCTCCCCGAGAAAAAGATCCAACCAGGTCACGTTGTCGCCAGGCCCAATTAGGTTAGTGCCCGCCCGCACGGTTTAAATTTCGCGGAATCGAATTTCGTTTCTTCTCTTCTTCAAGCATCTCTTATCATCAATGTGTCCACTATTCTACGACCACTTGATCATTTAAAGGTGCTCAGATTGAGCTCCTCGCGGCCTTTTTTCGCTAGCGGTACCTTCTTCAATTCAAGGCGTACTGTTAGATAGTTGCCGCGAACATCCATAGTCTTTTCCCTTTTCGTATATCTCACAATCAATGACTATCTTTCACTATCTGTGCAGAGTTTCCCCCGTTCTCTCTCCGAAACCATCCTCACACATCGACCAGCAGTTCCACCTTGGGCTGAGGTTCAACTTGAATCATCCTCTCTTGAGTCCCGAACACCCGCAGCTTGTTTCCGTAGATGGCCCAGAAAACTGTCCCTAGCCGCGGCACCAAGAATCCTCGACTCGCTAGACTTATTATCTGTCTGTCGCCAGTGTCGTCCAATGATGTGCCCTGATCCGCAATGTATTTTTCGTCTATCTCTGGAGGAGTTTCGCTCTCAAGGTAGAAGAAATTGCTGAACTCGCTGTTTGGTGATCCTCGACGGTCCAACGGTTGCATGACACTGGCAAACAGACTAGGAGGCATGTGCGGGCCTGCCAAAATGGTCGGTTGTTGGACCTTCTGGGTGAACATAGCAGGATTGCGCTGGAGGTTACCCGCCAGTTTGATGAACGCCATGGCTGCCAGCATGCTATCGTAGCCTGCTTCGTGGGTACGTTTGCGGAGCTTGTACTTTGTGAACCCGGGGTTGATCTCTGAAACATGGTTAGTAGTCATGTTCACTAGTCCTCAAGGTAACAGAGATGCCCTACCTATCTTGGGGTACTCGACGTGCGCTAGATTCCTGTTCAGATCCTCCAGTGAGGACTCTGGAGCTAGGGCACCGCAGTCATGGGTGGCCAAATACTTGGTATCGGCCAACACGGGGAATAAGTTATGAATGACAGCATTGAATCCCCCAAGAGTATCTGGCAACGGACCTATGAAGCATCGATGGAAAAAGAGCAGATCGCAGAACAGGTTGTGGCCGACCAGAACAGGCCTGCTCTGCTTGAGCCGATTTTTCATTCTGTCTGCCAACTGCTTGATCTCAAGAACCGGGGCGTCCGTTTTCTTCATCAAAGGGCGGAATGCCTCTATGTCAAGTTCCTCCAGGTTGCCACCGATAAGTGCTTCTACAATCCAGCGAAAACCGATGTGGTTCCGAACACGCTCCATTTTGCTCTTTAGCCTCGCTTCGAACGAAATTTGCTCACATTGCTGGTTCCGAATCTCAATTTGAACAAATGTCGATGCACCTCGGGATGTCAAGTCCGGGTATTCCAAGCTGATCAATTGGTGCAAAAGCCGTTTCTGCGCGTTGCTTAACGCTCCTGGAACCTCACTTGGAGCCGTCAGGAGACTGGTGGGTGGCGGGATGTTCAACCAAGATTGGCGTGTCTGCAGATGTCAACTGGGCTGCCCCAGCCCAGATTTGCTCAATTACTTACCTCTCCCTGTGCTAGCCATTCGTTGATTGCGAGTCGAGCTGATCCCAGGAATTCCAAACACTCAAAGTCATCTTCTTGGATTTTTATGTTTGGGACCGTAGGCCGGAAGCATCTCTCAGTTGCACGTTTGATAGCCGACTCCTCTTCTACTCGAGAGAGATATCGGACGCCAGAGCTGCACATCGTGTCAATACTAAATCCATGGGAAAGCAGGAATTCCATTGCTGCATAACAGATGTTAGTAATATGCACGAAACTCATGAACCAAGAACTCACAGCGGCTTCCGAATGTCCAGTCCCGATTAACCTCCGTTTCCGGTTGGGCGATCGGACTCAGGTTGATGTTGTAGGGTTTCAGGGTATAGACCACTGCGGATTGTTAGTCGTGTGCCGTGAAAATGAGCGCGTTGCATACCATTTTTGGAGTTCTCATGACAGATGGTTAACCCCACCTGCAGGATTTGATAACGCTCGGCAGCTGCCTTGGCTTCGGTATATCTTTCCTGTACGGTTTGGGTATTGATTTGAGGTCCATTTGGCGGGAAAGCCAACCCAGACAGCTCGAAGTCAATGGCCACAAAGCAGCTGGAGGAGATATCGTTCAGAATGAAAGGGAGGAAGTCCGAAAACTTCGTTGCTCCAATATCCATCTTGTCTTGGTGGGGTGTATGTCATCAGATGGAAGGACGAGCTTGGATAAGGAAAGGCAAGAGGTGAAGGGACGAGCGTTGGGTAATAATGAAGTGTTGGCGCGTCTGTTTGATGCGGGCAACAAAGGATCTAAAGGTAAACACGGGGTGATAAAGGATCAGATTAGAGAGTTCTTATTACTCGCAATATGCAGCAAATCTGAGGTGAGTCCGGCTCAGTTATGAGGCATTAGTTTTGATCTTTTAGATCGGGGGTTTGATAGGAAGCAGAGAAGAGGAGAGGAAAGAACCAAGGAAGGTGCTATGTATACTATTCTATGGGAGAGGTCAAACTATCTCGAGCCTTCTGAATAGATTCTGAATAATTATTGATGGTCTTTATCAGTATAACAATGTACAATATAAACCACCTAGGTAGACGTTGAAGTTGCTGATATATAGATCTCACAGGCTAGTCCCGTGACACCGACCCCGGACTTGGACAATGAGCCGAGGGAAAATGACAGCCGATCGCAAGCTCCGAAACACTTCATTTTGACGTTTCTCTTCAACTTACTCCTTTTATAATTTCTTTAAACAATACCATTGATACATTTGATACAATTTCCTGATCTGTTGGTATTGAAATGGCGAACGGATCCCCAATGTCGTCTCAAGCTCAAGCCCGCTCTCCGTCCTCCCCCACAAAGCTGTGCTCCAAGACCTACAAGAACGCCTCCCAGCTCTACCTCACACGGCGTCTCCCGGAAGCCCTCGATAGTCTTCAACCCATCATCACCCCTGTACAAGATGACACGAATAATGGCGACAACTCAACACCGGTCGCGCCGATCGCCACTGCCGCGGGCACGTGGAGGATCAAGGTGTGGAACCTTTACATTACTCTCCTCAGCGCAATAGTCGATCTTGGCGCAGAGGAAGGAAAGAAGCAATTTGGTCAGAAGGAATGGAAATCAATTGCTTCACAGGTCAGAGAGGGCGCAATCTGGGACAATGTGGTCGAGGTTGGATACCAGGGCCGCGAGGGCTCGGTGGATGCCGAAGTCGTCTACAACCTGTCAGTATCCAATATGAACCCCCGACCCAATATAATGGACTAATGGTGCGATATCAGTGCTACTCTCGTCCTAACCCACTCCTCTTCACAATCCCTGAACCAACAACGCCTCGAGACTTATCTCTCATCATATGGACAGCCAAATCTCGACCTGACAGATCGCCTACAGGATGGATCGATTGACTCCCAGCCACCGCCTTTGCGCACGACGAGTGGAGCTGATACACCAAAGGATCTAACCGCCCGAGTAAAGATCATTGAGCTCTTCACCCTCCACGTCCTTCCCCGCAACGATGAATGGGAGTACGCCACCGAGTTCATCAATTTAAGCGAAGTCCTCGATGAAGAGCGCAAAGAAATTTTCCTACAGACTCTCGAAGGGTTGAGGGAAGAGAAGGAACGAGGCGAAATGCGCGCTGTCGAACTACAACGGGCGAAAGACGCAGAGCTCGAACGGCAACGAGACGAGGAACGTCGCGAAGCCGAGGAAGCAGCCGCAGCTGCGAAACCACAAGCCAATGGCCACAAGCGCAATACGAGCGAGACCGACTATGGGATTGAGAAGAGCCGCCCACAGGGCTCGCCGAAGGGGAAAGGAGCAAAGTCCGATAAGTTGCCGAATGGCAAGCCAAGGACTTCGCTCTCCTCGTCCGGTTCCAAAAATGTCAAGAAACAAGACAAGGTTGAACCCCGCGGGCGACAAACTCAGGCTGTGGCCACGGCATTGCGCAATCTTTTCCGTCATATTATCCAGGCCGTGTCTGGTAATCCCATGTCATTAGTGCGCACTCTACTCTTTGTGGTTGGTATCTTGATGGCGATGAGCCGGCAAGATGTCCGTGAACGCGTACGACGAGTGACTGGCGGTGCTTGGCAAAAGGTCAAGTCTACAGTCGGTATGGGCGTCAAAGTGAGCTACATTTGAGATATAGCTTGTGGTTTCTTCGCATCTTGTATGATGCTATCAACGCCAATCGGATCCTGACCGGCATTGGCGCGAAATAGGTCATACTAGGCCCCTTGAAAGCATGAATCAAAAACGGTTTGAGCTTGAGCCCTATGCACCTTGATGAGACCAATCCCACCATTGATAACAGGCTGGCCTGGCTATGTTTACGGAATTACGGGGGAACCCGGTCCACATATTATGTACATTTTCCTTCATCAAGTTGACCCCCTCCTCATAAATCCTGGGGTCACTGTTGCATACAGTTTGTGATTCTTCTTTACTCATGTATTCATTCTATGCGCACATACCAGATTTCTACCAGGCATGGTTAAATTTACTCTTCTCCAAATCATCATTCATTTTCTTGTGTCAAAATCCAGTTACTACTGAAGCAGTCTACTGCCTTATTACTGCCCAGTCAGCTCGCTCCATTGGTGATCGAAGATAGTGAGTGACCGTTGAGCCCCCAATGTCGGCTTTTAATCCAAGGAGATGTTGATAAAAAAATACTGGACTTACCTTAGATAAAAACATTCCTGGGACCAAAGCCTCAAACGGGACATTGAGAGGCAGGTTGAGCATCCAGACAGCAGGGACAGCAACATCGTCAGCAACAAGCGGCCTGCGACATAATCAGCAGACCCTTCATCGTAGCCCGAAAAGCATACACATGCCTGAGATATTTAAGAGAATGGTAACTATAGAACTCAATCATCAACAAACTCTTGACCATTACGCGGGCAGATTGCTCTCGTCAGAGGAGCCGCTATGGTGTAACTACCAACCACACCCGCTCAGTAAAACCAAGCAGACGTTCACCGGTATTGTGCTCAAACGGCTTGCCGAAACCCATTGGAGAACATGAAAGGAAAAAAGGGTTGAGCCTGAGGATAACCGTGTCGATATCCCGAACAACACCCTCGGCAACGATGCCGGGCTCGCTGTCATAGAACAACTTCGAAGCATGCGGCATGACCTCGACCACCATCGTGAACATAATGATAGGAAACACGCTGAATTTCTACCTGGATTCCTGGAAATTGGAGATACATTCCAGGAATATCAACAACGTCTGAACCAAATTGGTGCGCAGATTGCTCTTTTCAGAGGACCTGCCATGGAAGAATGGGCCCGCTACAAGCAGATTAAGACCCCTAAATATCACCCCGTCAATGGCGGCAATGTTAAACTTGATGCTGAAACCATCGCCCAAGAGGATATCGCGAACCGAACATAAGATGCGGTCTGGAAGTCAGTCTTCTAACATCATTACCACCTCTCGTATCAATTTTGTCATCACACAGTCAAGGACCTTGCGGGTGTCCCGTATGAGATTATGAATTTCATAAATGAAGGAGCATACATTTCTGAGTGCTGTATTCGTCCGTCACAGTGAAAGTGACAAGACTTGATCACACTATACGATACGTTTCTTGATGATGTCCAACTTGCGAATAGATGCAATTCGATATGAATTTCTGTGCCGTATTGGAGTATCTGCAGTTATAAAAAAATATGTATATGATCCATCGCTCAAAAAGCTAAAATAATCTCGTCAATCGTGAAAGCTCATGTTCGGTGTTGAGAAACAGAACCTAGCCTTTATCAAAGGCTACAAATGGGTATCAAACAGCAGAAAGCTCATGTCGATGTCTAGGGTCAACGCCAGACGCATCCTCAGTCACCCCAAGCTCAGCGTCATCACGGATGGTGTCATCTGAATGCTCTTTCTCAAGGACTTTGGCATGCCACCTCCGAAAAAGTTGCACAAAAAAGTGTGCCACGCATATTTGCTCTGTGGTGTAAAGCAGCACCGGCACGGAAGTTTTTGCTTTCGTAAATAGATCAACGGGCTGCCACATTGCGTACAATAATGGAATTCCAAGGGCTGTGCTTTTTGCCGGTCCACAGAAACAAACTGCAATTGTTTCTTCGGGCGACATGCGTTTGAACATGGGCTTAGACCAAGATCGAGAGCCAAAGACCCGGGGTGGTCTGGAACCGAAGAAGCATACCGCCGTCAGGAGGACGTAGAGTGCGATGTTGAAGAAGACTACAAAGATAACACTCTGTGCGGAGAGAGACTGCAAGGCTCCCGTTGCAAAACAGGAAGAAAATGTAGACCTAGTGTTTGGACTTCTGGTTAGAAAAAGAGGCAAGGGCTTTGATATCGGTCGATTTGACTCACCAGATCAACAGCAACATGCACACAGTAGCCAACTTGGGCAGCTTGGTCTTCTGTAGCACCGAGGCAGTACGGTCCGGCCATGTCCATCTCACCAACTGTCCAACAAACAGCGGCAGCAGTACACTAAGCCCAAGCTGCTGGAACACATCTTTATACATACTTCCCAGACTGCCACCCCCATACCGCCAAGGGTCAAACTCAGCAGTTTTGGGAATCAGAGAAACAGTCCAAGCAGCCGTAACAAACGGCCCGAGAACATTAGCCAACAAAACCTCCACCAAAGCCGCCGCATCATCTCCACCCGCAGCCCTCGTCATAACAACATTAGACGCAATAGTGGTAGGAATACAAGCAGTAAAGATATACCCCGCCAGCACGGCACGATCAATATTCCCCGCAGGATCACCAGCAAGAATCACATGTACAACAGCCAGAACCAAAGCAGGAATAAACAAGAACGAAACCACTTGTACGAGAAGGTGGAGCCGCCAGTTCAAAAAATGAGAAAAAAGCTTCTGGCGCGGGATGCTCAGACCCGATATCAAGAAGATGATTGCAATCACCCCGTACATAATACTGTACTCCGAACGAATCACGCCGCCATGCTTGGCAACGTTCGGGAAGCAGTATGCCAGTGCGCAGACGACTCCGATCCCGATTAGAAGCCATTGGTGGAGGACTAGTGAGACGATGCGCTTTAGGACTCGGTGCCTTGGGTGTGGGGGTTCCATTCTATTTGAAACTGCCTGGACAGCATGGATATTTAGATCCCCTGTAATAATGTTGATAATCGGGTTGCAGCTCTGGTGAGGAGGTGTATCTAGAGATGGGGTTGGGATTGAGATTGCGCGATCGGATTTATTCCGACATTGCGGAGTTGATAGCGGCTGAAAGAATCGCCTTATTGAAGCTCTATCACTACATATGTATTCAATATCCAACATGTTCTTGAACTGTTCTCTAGATGGTTTCGTTTTTAATTAGGGTTTCAGTTTCTAGAACAGAAGACATGCGCCGAGATCGGGTACCCGATATTATCGGAATCACCAAAGATGCATGTGAAGGTATCCCATAGATATCGCATGTCGTTTGAAATGCTATCACCACGATGCATAGTTAATTATAATAGACACGTCAATTGAAATAAGCAGATCAGTGTTTATATAGATAGTTCGTATCGCAGAGCTCAACCGATCCAGGGGGCATTCTATTGGGTAAAACGTTCAACCGGCATAATGGTCAACGTCACCAATGTACAAGCCCTGGGGATATACAAGTCCAAACCCCGGACTTTTCAAAAGCCCATCTGCAGAGAGCCGATAGTTTAAATGTTCATCTGACTCAAAGTCAGTCCCATGACCTGAACAATTACCCTGATGAACCTCGGCTGAGAGGAGCTCTCGCGGTGGCCCGAGATCACCCGCAGAAATGTAGCGGATTTCGCTACTTTGCTCCGAATGCTGGAACCACCGGACTGGGGTTAAGGGGAATATTGTATCCGGAGTGATTTAGCTCGGGAAATTATTAGGCTGGATATGTAGTTCGGCAATGTAGATGTAGGGAGTATAATAAGTCTTGTGATTACATTCTAATTGCATTTTAATGTTTCGATATCTGAATAATAAAGTATACAATATACAGCTAGAGTATCACAAGCTGAAACTATGACGACAGTAAAAATTATATAGGCATGTGAAGTCAGATCATTGGAGATCTTGGTGAATCATACCGCGCTGGAGGAGAGCCGCCCTTGTTCCCGAAGGCCTCGGGATGTCGACAATTAAAGAGGTACCCGGAATATAGAATTAGATTTATTGATATATTAGAAGAGACATCCCTCGGCAGTTTATCCTACTACTTTTTCTTCTTTTTGATCTCTCTCTCTTTTTGGTGTGAGGTTTTACACAACTTCCGCTCGTCCAGCTTCCTCCGCTTCCCCGTCATCAGCTCCCCACAAAGTTTGGCATTTGCCGCCACATTCAATCCGTGAATCATATACTCACGAAACTGCTGCACTTTTCAAGAAATATCATCTTTTGGCGATTCGTTCTCTCGTTCTCTCTTGAAAGAAGTCTTGAAGAACTATAGAGATATCCTCATCTTCAATTCAATTGCATCCGCTTATTGCCCCGGGATTGTATACTTCCGCTTCTCCGCAATTTCGGTTTTCCCTCGCGACAATCGGAACGATCAGCGCAATTCGATTTCCGATATATTTGGTCATTGAGAATTTCCGATTTGAAATTGTGACTTCGTGAAAAGTGCAATTCCTCTGCATATATACCCTCACATATTGAAATGTCCGCCAAATCTGCCAATGGGAAGCGCACATCGCCCGCGGTCAACTTGATCGGTAGAGTAGACCCCATCTCTTAGGCTTGCGTACAATTATTGACTTTGAATTAGCTGGTGGTGGTGCCGGTATGATGGAGGCTCTTGTGTGCCACCCTCTTGATACAATCAAAGTCCGCATGCAGCTCTCAAGGAGAGCTACAGCGCCTGGGGTGAGTTTAGGAACCATTTTACCGGCAATTGAGCAACATGCTAACCTCTGCGTGAAATAGGCTAAGCCGCGCGGGTTCGTGGCCACCGGTGCTCAAATCGTGAAGAAGGAGACCGCTCTGGGTCTGTACAAGGGTCTGGGTGCTGTGCTCGGTGGTATCATTCCCAAGATGGCTATCCGATTCACCTCATACGAGGCATACAAGGAAATGTTGGCCGATAAAGAGACAGGCCAGGTGACCAGCAAAGCCACATTCCTGGCTGGTCTCTCCGCCGGTGTGACTGAAGCTGTGGCCGTCGTCAACCCCATGGAAGTCATCAAGATTCGTCTGCAAGCCCAGCATCACAGTCTGGCAGATCCCCTCGACACCCCGAAGTACCGTAGCGCACCGCACGCCCTCTTCACCGTGGTCAAGGAAGAAGGTTTCAGCGTCCTGTACCGTGGTGTTTCTCTCACAGCTCTCCGACAAGGAACCAACCAAGCCGCTAACTTCACCGCGTACACGGAACTGAAGGCTGCTCTGCAGCGCTGGCAACCAGAGTACAGCAACAGCCAGCTGCCCTCATACCAGACCACCTTGATCGGTCTGATCTCCGGTGCCGTCGGCCCCTTCTCTAACGCTCCCATCGATACCATTAAGACTCGCCTGCAGAAGACCCGTGCCGAGCCCGGCCAGTCGGCTGTCTCTCGTATCATGGTCATTGCCAAGGACATGTTCAAGACCGAGGGAGCTCGCGCTTTCTACAAGGGTATCACACCCCGTGTGATGCGTGTTGCACCTGGCCAGGCGGTGACTTTCACCGTGTACGAGTTCCTCAAGGGCAAGCTGGAGGGATCCAACTGGGCCTTCGTGGGTGGCAACTTTGAGGAGTAAAGATGCCAAACTGTCAAAATGTCATTGTTTCTTTTGGAAAGCATTGTGATACCTGTCCCAGCATGGTGGGCGTTGCGATTCCTCTGTTCCTTGCGTTGGACTGTCTTGATTGAGCGGTTCCAGCTTTTTTTTGTATATATTTTGTACTTCGCGTTAGTTTCCTTGTATACCACTTTGTTTGGTGGGCCTTGAGCCGAAATAAAATTTCAAATGGCCTTCGAGTTGATGTTCAAGTAAAGTAGTTGACAGTAGTTGTGTTGATGGGGTGCGAAGGTGTATAGCGGCCAGGGGTCAACCGCAGTTCTCTAGTATTGATGCCTATTCTAGACCCCTCTATACCATCTAAACATTCCCGTCTTTAATGCTCTATCTCTTTTTACCTCTGCCTAGAGATGCGATGTTTAAACCAAGTCTACAACCTTTTGTTCCGCTATAGTACTGGTAGTAAAGATGTATAATTATATGGTGGAAAAGTTCCAATGTTTAAGCCTAGGCAGGGCATTGGCTATAGTAAGTTACATGTATGTATTTCAGTTTCTGAGTATAAACAAACGAATTTGACCCCTGGCCGCTATACACCTTCGCTTGAAGACCCCCGGCCGCTTACATGCCATCGGCCCCTCATTCACCGCTTCCCTCCCCTCGTAAACAACATTGGACCCAACATCTTAGCTGCATCTCAAAGTGCGGCATCATGCAGTCAGGTATTACAGGTAATAGATTCAAAATTCCCATAGATAGCAATTGGCACTAACAATCCCAGTTTCCGCGGCGCTGCAAGATGCCTTCACCCGCTTCAACTCCGACACCTCAACCTTCTGTCTGCCTGTGACCATTACAGCAGAGACCCTAACACCGCTGGCCCCGATCTCATTCCAAGGCACACCGACCGCAGACTCCTTCATCTCAGCCCTCCCCCAGTTGTCTTCCGTCCTGCAGCCTAAAACTCCAATCTACCTCCTCCTCCGGCGCCCCACGTCATCCTCCACGACCCTCATTGCTCTGACCTATATTCCGTCCAATGCGCCCGTGCGAGCAAAGACACTCTTTGCCTCGACTCGCTCGACGTTGACTCGAGAGCTCGGCACTGAAAAGTTCGGTTCGACGGTCTTTGCTACCGAGGAGGAAGAAATTCTGGGCCAGGAGGCATGGCGCGAGCGTGATGGTGAGGGGCCCAATGCCGTTAGTCGAGAGGACATGATGGGTGAGAAAGAGCGGGAGCTTGAGGCTGTGAGGCGGGCTGAGGCTGAGGCGCGGAGTGGTACCCCTGGTAGAGACATTGGGATCGGAGGCACTTTTGGGCCCGGTTCCGGCTCTGGAATGAGGGTTTCTATGCCTGTTGATGAGGATGCTAAGACCGCTCTCAGGGATCTACAGGATGGTGGGCTGGTCCAGCTGGTAAGTTATAGTCATGGTGTGGAAGCTACATGCAAAATAGATGGGGGTGGGAATCTGTGAGATTTGTGGCTAACTTTATAAAGACAATTGACATCCCCACGGAGAAGATTATTCTGGCCGACTCCAAGTCTGGGGTTGAAGCGAGCGCCGTCGCCTCACACATTTCCTCCTCTTCCCCGCGTTACTCTTTCTACCACTATCCCGGATCTGATGTCGTTATTTTCGTGTATACCTGTCCCACTGGGTCGTCGATCAGAGAGCGCATGCTGCACGCCAGCTCGCGGAGGAACGCGATCACGATTGCTGAACAGGAAGGACACAAGATCTTGAAGAAGGTATGTGCGCCCGAATTGTGGAATTTCGTAATTGTTTGGATGCTCACAAATAGCAGATCGAGGCCTCAGGTCCTGACGAGATCACCGACGAGCGTTTGCAAGAGGAAGTCAGCCCACCACGAGACCAGGGACCTGCGCGTGGATTCGCCAGACCTCGCCGCCCCGGCCGGTAAATCACCACCATGTAGATAGCCACATACAACCACCTGAAGTGGACATAAATAGCGCATTGTGATAGCCCGTGCATGTCTCCCATGGTTGTAATGTTCGTAGACCCATTTTCATCCCTAGGCTGAACATTGTAGAGCCGCTGGTTTCACGTCTAGCCCCCCTCCCGGACACCAAGCCAACCCATGGAGGGAGCCCAAGACGGGATCATTGATTCCTGAAACTTTTCTTTTGATAGAACAAATCTGTCCTGGAACTTCCCAGATTGATAATCTTGGGGCATCCGTCGCGGTCTTTCTCCAGGCGTGTACATTCAAAGCAGTAGAATGCATCACTGATTCCTTCACCGCCGCACACGACGCACTTGTTTTGGTAGTTTCCGAAGGCGCATTCGTCACAGATGCGGACGAGGGTGGTCGGGCGCACGTAGGAATCGCACACGGGGCATTTACCATCGCACTTGTCACACAGGCGGCCGATGGAAATGCCGGGTTGCTTGCGGCACATGACGAGGTCGGGGTGGTGGCGAGACATGGCGAGGGTAGGAGAGAAGTCGTGAGAAGGAGTTGGTTGAGGGAGTGAAAAGAGCTTTGAATTGAAGTGAAAGCTTGAGCTAAGATTCGTCAGTGACTTGAGTTGAGAAATGAAAAGCCGACGGAGGGAAAGGCTGGGTGGTCCGTGCACGGACCAGTGTCGTCTTGTCCTTTTGCGCTTGATAATCCAGCTCACTGCATTGAACCAAGTCAAAGTTTGTGGCAAAAATTATTCGCTCGGGTTCCCTTCGTTTCCTCTTCATCAGTGCAGTCAGTTGTGATTCGAGCTGGAAGATGTCTGAAGAGTATGGTTCCCTGTCTCCGTATTAAGCCGCGCGCAAGCATTCAAATTGAGCTGTTGTAGCTAACAGTCATTTTTTTGTCACAGAACACTTGCATCGGCGGTCGTAATACCCGATCCAGAGACAGTTCGCCAATCACCAGAGTTGACAACAAAGCGACGAAAGTCGTCAGTGTCGGAATATGAGAGCAAGCGCCGACGACTGAGCTCTGAAGGCAATATCTCCCCGCAATCTGCGCGCCATCGCCCGTCTTCTCCGCCAGCTGAAACAAATGAAAGATCTGAGAGGAAACCCGTAAGACCGCGCGGTGGCGGCGAGGAAGACCGCAAGCGTGGTCAGCGACTTTTCGGTGGGCTGCTGGGTACCCTGTCTCAGAAGCCGACTAATGCGGCGCAGAGACGCCGCGCGGATATCGAAAAGAAGCAGCAAGAAAAATTGAAGACTCAAGATGTGGAATATGGCGAGCTGAAGAAGCGACGAAAGGAGCAACGTGAAGAGATTCGACGAAGGGAAAAGCCGTTGTACGAGCGGGAAGTGGTATGTTTCATTCATCTCATCTTTTCGTATCTTTGGAAATATCGTTTTCTCACAGACGTGGTATTAGATGCAGACGCGGCATACGAATATGATCGCCATGGCACACTTCCTCAAAACACGGACAGAACCCGTTCTGGTGAGCTACTCTTCACTACTCAATATTAAGAAACAACAGCTAATAGTTCCCAGTATTACAAGCCATGGCAATCCAGACCAGGTGACGAATCAGTGATAAAAGAGCAGATTGAAGAAGCAGAAGCTACAGTTGCACGAGAATTGGCCGAATTCGAGGCCAAGTACCCGCCAGAGGCCTTTGTCCCTGAGCAACCGCCTCTAGATCCTCAGGACAAAGCAGAAAAAGCAGCGCAGCCAACCCCAGAACAACAACAGGAAGCAGATACCCAAACGGACCAGCCTGCTCTCCAGTCTCAGGCAGAGTCTACAGTCCCTGAATCTAAGGAAGAAGTTCAGAGTGCCCCGGAACCGGTGGGTGTAGAAACTAACGAGGGAGCCTCTGATCCTATTCAAACGGATGGAATGTCTGCTAACGTGGGGGAGGGTGCTCATGATCAGCATGAAGCACACCGCGATGATGACGGAGGTGAGGTCGTTGAGGATAACGAGGACACTGTGATCTATTAGAGCTTGTTTTTGCATTCCGATTCTGACATGGCGAGATAATTTTGGTCCGCTACGACCCAAGACCAATACCCGATAGCCTTGGTCTTTTCATGATTGTTGTTCGGCGCTGATTGTGTATGTTAGATTTACGGCCCATAGCGAGAGTTTAGGTATGGACCATGTCAATAAAGGAAATAATCATGTAGTGATGTTGGTCTCATTAGTAAACCTCATAGCAGATCTGTTGCTATACTTGCTGTCATTGTCGATTTTGATTATTTGGGTGTAAATTATAGACATATCTTAGAAGGTAACAGTCTATAGTATGATATCACGGATCTTCTAATCCAAGCTTAGCATATTGATCCACAAACTCATCGAAGAGTTTATCGAGGCCGAGCAGGTTCAACGGGTCCTTATCACCCTGCTCTTTCATATAACACAGCATGTTGTGAATGTCGAAAGTGATAGCTAGCATGTACCCGTATTCGGATTCAAGGAATACTTGCTCCCCAGTATCCAAATCACCCGTCAGCTCATTCCACTGTCTGGCATAAACGTCGCAGAAGTGTCTCTTTTCCTCCTCTGTATATTTCCTGCAACTTGCTATCTTGCTTTCTTCGTCGAACCACTTGAACATCTTTTGCATGAAATGCCCACCGATATCGAATGCTCGATAGTTCCGCATCACAAATTCGAAGTCAATCAGGACAATTTTGCTTTCTCCTTGCTTTGGCGTGTTCTTCAACATTGTATTCATGAATTGGACGTCATGAATACACCATCCAGTTTTCCCTCCTATCTCTTCCAGTCTGTCCACGACTTTTCCCAGCCTCGTTCCAAAGTCGTAGTCAACTAGGTTGTCCACGTTGACACCTCCTTCCTTTCCGAGTTTCTTTAACTTCTCCATTCCACGATAACCGTTGAGTCCGTCGATTACAGCATCATAGTAAAGCCCCACTGCCTTTTTTTCGAGCGATGTTTTCAATACATGGAAACTGGCGAGTCCACGAGCAACATCTGCTCGAATGACCGGATCCTCAACATCTTCAGGCTCCATGTTTCGCGCATCCAGAAACTCATCAATTCTCCCAAGTGTCCCATCTTGCGTCCTGAAAAATCCATAAACCTCAGCTCCCAGACCGGATCGGCCGTACTCGTGGCAGAAAATTGCTTCTTCGTGTTTGGTTGGGGCCAGATGCTTGAAGAGTTCGAGGTCACCTCCCGAGTCTTTGTGGAATTTGATAAACACTTTGACTGGCTCGGTGGATGGGGTAGAAGCTGATTTAGGTCGTTCAACAGGACAGTGGGCATTGGCAAATGATGCATGGTATGATATGGTCAGAGTTTCTGGATCCACAGAAGACCATTCTTTCGGTAGGAACGTGCCGATGATGTCTCGAACATTCTTCTTGGTCGGTATCTTGTCTTGGGGAAGAGTTACGGGAACAGGAAACAAGGTGATCATTGTCTGGTCAATGGTTGAAGCGAGAAAAGTAGAGAATTGTTCACAATCAAATATAGCAGTTCTAGGAACTATAACATTTTGTATTTTCTGTGTCATAACCAAATGATTGGTTCAGGATTCAAGGGTTTCACCCCGCAATGTCGGGGTCCCCAAGTTGTTTAGCGCAAATAGTTATACTACAATGACTATTGTGTAACCTCAACTCAATGCGATGTGTTAAACTGTGGTTGCAACTTTGGATATAATATTATATACTGCTCCGAATCGAGACTTCTATAATTTTGAAAAATGACCTTTCTTATAGCAAGCTATATACATATGAATACTGTGCTAGGACTTGCTGGACTTGCTTCCATACTTACAGTCAATGCCTCCCTAGTTTAATTAATTATTTAATATGCCTTACGATAAGTGGCTCTTTCAGCATCCGATACCAGGTAGTTTTAAGTTGTTCATCAACATATAATCCTTAGAATCGAAAATATGCCCTTCATACAACCTGTTCATAGATCTCCGGGCCTAGTGTCTTGGCGTCCCCCACTGATGAAATGATCAACGTGCCGAGGCAAAAAAAGGGAACACCGTGAGGGGTCTGACCCTCATAATAATCTCTCCGCATATATGCAGGCTCTCACTAATTCTGCATAATTTCTCTCTTCATTACGTCGTAGTGATAATTTTTGATTTATCAGTCCTTTGAACATCAATTCGCGTGTTAACTGGTGGGTTTTAGAGACATATATTGCGGAGCTTGTCCCAATAACCTCCTATTTCAACACCGCACGATCACTCCCCTTAAAACCAAATCGCCAGACCCAGCATGCCTGTCGACAAAATCCAAGTATCGGGTGACTCCCGCATTGAGTACAAAACCGCCACACTCAATGGCCATCATTACTGTAAGTGCTGCGAGCTCCCAGAAGTGCCATAAAGACTGCACACGAGCTAACGGCGCACAGCCTATCTTCTTAGCCAACCTAAATCAGGCCAATATAAAGCCACCATCTTCCTAGTAAGATGATAGTCATCCCACCAGCAATGAAATAGACCCTGACATATACCAACAGATCCATGGCTTCCCCGACATCTCAATGGGATGGCGATATCAAATCCCCATGCTCGTCAGCATGGACCTTCGCGTCGTAGTTCCAGACAATCTCGGATACGGACGAACAGTGAGAATGAGAACCGCCCCAACCAACTAAACACCGACTAACAACAACAGGACGCCCCTGAGGACTTCACCCCATACTCCCACAAAAGCTGCGCAGCAGATATCAAGGCCCTAGCTACACACCTAGGCGAATCGCAAATTATTCTCGGCGGACACGACTGGTAAGTACCTGCACCATCGAGCGCAGAACTGAACTAATTCTGATGCTTGACAGGGGCGCCGCTCTCGCCTACCGCGTCGCTCTTTGGCACCCGGAGCTAGTGAGCCACCTGTTCACCGTTTGCGTGCCGTATGCGCGCCCGATGGCAGAGAATGTTTCTCTAGAAGACCTTGTCCGCAATGCGGCGCCAAATTTCGCATACCAGCTTCAGTTCAAGAGTGGGGAGTTGGAGAAGGTTATTCGGTCTAAGGGTGATATTCGCCAATTCCTGGTTGCGCTTTATGGGGGCCGCACTGAGGCCGGTGAGGTTGGCTTTGATGCGCACAAGGGCGTTCTGCTTGATAAGATTGGCGGACTTCGGCCTTCGAAGTTGCTGAGTGAGGAGGTGGGTTTGGGTGTTCGATTTGATCGTGGGGCTTGCTGACTTATGTAGGAGCTAGAGTACTATACGAATGAGTTTGCTAGGAGTGGGGTTCATGGACCACGTATGGCATTTCCAAGGCTTTGAGCGTCAGTGCTAACTTTGTCGCAGTCAACTGGTATCGCACTCGCGAGGTCAACTCCAAGGAGGAGCTTGCTATTCTTGATAGACAGATTCAGGTTCCTACGTTGTTTATCCAGGCGTTGAGAGATCAGGCCCTGCCGCCGCATCTCGGCAAGTCCATGGCGAAGCATATCCCGCGCCTTACGACGAAGCAGGTCAATACCTCGCACTGGGCTTTGTGGGAGAAGCCCGCGGAAGTCAATGAGATCATCTCGGGATGGTTGAAGGAGGTGGTCTTTGCCGATAGGGCTGGGAAGCTATAAAGTGAAGGCATCATTGCATGTGGAGATAGTATCCATGGGTACATTGATACTATTGCGAAAGTTCGTGGTTTTTCATCAAAGCATTAAAGTTTGCATTATAACAAGGCAGGCTGTTAAGGACGATATGTTGGCTAAGCCAACTAACTGCATAGGACCTACCCGGGCATGGACCACCTAATACTTGAAGACTTTAGTTTCAATATTGCAGCCAACCTTCTCCAAACGGTCCACAAAGTCTTGGCCCAGCGTAGCGGGAGTAACAATACCCCCACGTGAAACCTTTTTAATCTTCTCCTCCTCATCGAGAATGACCCTCGCAGCTTCAGCCAGCAACAACCCAGTGAAAAGGTACATACCACCCCCGTAAGTGATTTTACCGAAGACACGCTGCGCGTCGGCGTTATCAGCAGTCGCAACAGCATGGTATTCAAGGCGATCATTGGTAGAATCCTCACGACGAGGACCGGTACCAGGCGCGAACACGAACTTCCGTGCCAGCCAGCGCACAGGCGGCAGCGCAAGCAGTGAGATTCCAACCACAAACGCGATGTGCAGGGCCACGCCGATCATCGCGTTGCGTACGGACAGGAACTGACGGAAGAAGAACTGCTGTCCGTACAGCTCGGGCATGAGGCTACTGCTGCGGTGCACGATGGTGATGTCGGCGATGGCGGATGGGGAAGTGGTGACGGTTCCCAGGTCGCGGATTGCGCGCACGCCTAACAATTTCTCCAGGATAGATTCTCTGGGGATATTTGTTGGGGGAGGGGAGACGGATAGTGAGAAGGGGGTCATTGACTTGGATATCTCGGACAATGGGAGCCAATCGAAGATGCTGAGGACGGTGTTTAGGGTACCGCCGCTAGGACCAGAGGACCTGTTGGGATTGAGTTAGCCATTGGTGGTTTTACCGGAGGAAGGTTACATACTTCATCTCCTTGATGGTACTGTTGATCTGGCGGGTTGGAGACGAGAGGTCCTCGCGGACTCGCTTGACCAGAGCCCATGCTAGAATATCGGCAGGGGCACTTTCAACTCCAGTCGAGGGGATCATCTGTTTGCAGTTAGAGTCAAGCTGCACCTTTAGGAATTGTAGTAGAACGAACAATTGCACCATTGGCCTTGGCTGTTTCATGGTACTTCTCGATGATCAACTTGATCCATGGAGTCTCTCCAGTACTGTGACAATTAGACATTGTTGAGATACAGAGTTGAATGTACATATACATACGCATCGACATAGTGAGTTCCATTGACTGCGCATGCCTCGACAACTGGGGTCGAGTACAAGTGGTAGGGACCCACACAGTTGATAACGAGCCGCGTTTTCTGGGCAAGCTCGTTCAGCTCGGTGGGGTTGAGTTGTACAACCAAAACATCTATTTCGCGAATCAATAAGCATCTAGACATGCAATGAATCAGAGACGGGGCCGTGGATCAAGTACCTGGGTCAATACGGTCCGGGTTGAGGGCCTTGAGTTCCTTAGCAATGGTCTCTATCTTTTGTATGGAGCGGCCAGCAATGGCCCATTTTAGATCGGTAGGATAGTTCTGCACAATATGCTCTGCGCAGAACTGTCCCGTGTAGCCGGTTGGGCCCAGCAGGACCAGGTCATATTGGCGGTTGGAAGTCATTGTAGTTGGTTGAAATTGTGATGTAGTTCTGCAGAACAAGGAGCTTTCGGCGAATCACAAGCTTCTCGGCAGCTAGTACTTAAAGACGTGATAAACACCTCACAGTAGAGGGAAGTGGGCGAGATAGTTGAAAAGTAAAAGTTGAAGATTTTTCTAAGAACTAGGAGCAGTATAGGTCACACAATGACCTTCGGAGTACTACTTCTGTTTTGATGTACTGGCGCAGACGTTTATATTTCATGCATTGAGTCGATCACGTGGCCGGATAGTTATATTGAGCCGACTGCTTCCAAGGTTCAGATCAATCAGATTTGCAATGTTACATCTCTTTCTATACCTCCTTCTATATCTCTTTTTATATCTCTTTTTATATCTCTATCTACCCATATTTTTAGAGTATAATATGTAGGACTAGTATACAGAGGAACCACTCAATATTAATGAATGTAAATTTACCAGATTCCAGGGCTACGGAAAGGTGAAGAAGTCCGCGCAGGGGTACGGTCAGCAAACCTTGTTCAAGTTTCAAACACAATCAATTCCAAAGTGAGGCCGAGCAACCTCGGCCAGGGAACATATGAGAAGCTGGTCAGATTCTAGAAGAATGAAGGATTATAGTGGAAACCTGAATCACAAGGCACTAACGTAGGATAGGCAATTCAATAATTTTGTGTGATGACAAAAACCTTCAATGTCCAAGTCCAATCCACTTCACATCGTCATTTTCAGTGGATCTTGTGGATTATTGGACAAGTTATCGAAGCCCAAGTTAAGAATTGGAAACCTTAGGCCAGAGCGTCAATGTACTGCCCAGATGCGATAACCGCGATAAGGCGCATGACATAAGCCCACTAATCCCAAAAAAGGTCAGGTGATCGCACCACAGCCCAGAGCCCTAAGCGAGAATCCACAGCACAACCCGCTCTCATTCAAAGCGTCTTTTTTGATCTCCTGTCCAGTACCCATCTTCATCCTCGACACCAGCCAAGATGACGAAGCGCACCAAGAGTATGTTTTACATGTCTACACTGAATTTATGAGCCAATGCTAATTATATTTATTAGAGGTCGGCATCGCCGGTAAATACGGAGTGAGGTATGACATTCACCCACATTGCGCCCACATCGCGATTTCCCTCGATCGAAACTCGAAACATCAACTTCCACAAACGATCGGTTTCTGATTATATATTCTTACAGATACGGTGCTTCTCTGCGTAAGCAGATCAAGAAGATCGAAACTCAACAACACGCCCGGTACGTACTCCACGATCTGGAACACCATCGATCGCAAAACTAACAGTTAATAAAGTTACACTTGCACCTTCTGCGGAAAGAACACCGTGAAGCGCAAGGCTACCGGTATCTGGGAGTGCCACGGCTGCAACAAGGTCGTTGCCGGCGGTGCCTACGCTGTCTCGTAAGTTACACACCAGCATGTGTGACTGATCACGATCTTGGAACCAACCAATCTCGAATGGAGGCACACATGCGCGAACGTCAACTAGAAGTTTACTAACCATTCTCTCCTACAGTACCCCCGCTGCCGCTGCCACCCGCTCCACCATCCGTCGTCTCCGTGAGATTGCTGAGGTTTAAATGGGAGGATCATGTGGATTCATTTCTCTTTACGGTTACGTCTGAATACCAAAAATGAATGAAAAAATTCGGGATTTCGATTTCTTGTGCATGCGACTCGCCGAGTATAACGTACATCGATCTGACTGGTCCCATATCCGCGCTCGGTCGCTGCCTTCGTGATAGACCATTCGCCGATCAAATCGAACCTTCACCTGATCACTGTCTTGGTTTGCGACTATTCGAGCCAGAGATATGGATTGCAAACCTGGTAGTCCTGGCGGTTTTCAGGTGCGGGAAAGTCACGTAGATTCAACGCCACGAGTGGATATCACATCGGTCATCTGCTCATGTGGTGTCATTGCTAGCGTATTACTTCTGACTCAAGAGTGTCCACCGGTGTCTTCAGCGCTTGAATGATACGATAAGGATTATATCTACGTAATTTGGCAGCTGGACGTTTGCGCCTACCACGCTATCGTATACTGCATCTGCATCTGGTGTCTATTGGAAATTTGCCCAGGATATTCACGTGACTAATGTGAGAAACCCTGCGATTTGGGTCTCGACTGAGTCATGGGCTGCCTAACGTGGTCACTTTTAATTGTAGTCTGGCGCCTTGCTCTTGCTAGGGACTTGGCGCATTTTTTTCTTTGTAGACCAGGGACCCTGGTGGTTGTATGGTTATGAAGGATGTTAACGGAAATTTAGAACAGACGATCAAAGATATATAGTATAATGCCAGATTATTGCCACACTAAAACCAATAAACACAGAAAATTCCAACCCATCTCAATAGATATTATAATATTGCAGTATCGCAATATAGCTCGTCAAGTCATTCCAATCCAGGGCATCATTTGCCTCCGTCACGTTCCTGTTTTGCGTTAGTCCGGCAATCCGGCCCACCTTCAAAAAGGCGCTCCCCACACCTTCTTCGCTTCTACACCTTTGAGAGTCGCTCTTCATGGACTTCGTGTCTTCCTTTAATTATATTGTCCATGTCAGATACCTGTATTGTTTGTTTAGGCGACCTCGGTGAAGGTGCGGGCGATCCTCTCGAGCCCGTGAGCCTGAGTTTGGAGTTCAAGGATGAGGACTCTCATATTGCCCAGTTACTTCCCTGTGGTCATATTTTACACAATAATTGTCTGAAACCATGGGTTGAAAGAGCGAACAGTTGCCCGATATGTCGGCGCAGTTTCAATATGGTCGAGTTGAGTGACCGGCCTGGAGGTATGACGACCCCCTTCCTTGAATTATGACATAGTCCACTTTTGATGATCAATAACTGACCTGAGTTACTCTCAAATATAGGATCTGTTATATCATCGTATGCCGTTCAAGACCGCACACAAGTAGCCGAGGTTGACCCTTCTATGGTCATCGAATACGTGGAGGATGACTTGGCCGACTTCCAACCATGTACAATCTGCGGGCAAGCCGATAACGAGGATGTCCTTCTCTTATGTGATGGATGTGATGTGCCTTCCCATTTATATTGTCTCGGGTTGGATGAGATCCCACCGGGGGCCTGGTACTGCCAACAATGTGAATCGCAACGTGCAGTGGCACCAGCGCCCGAGGTATCGGCACGAACAACCCGAGCTGAGCAGCGAAGTCGGCGAACCCGAGCCCAACAAAGGCGTCTTCAAACTCGGAATCAGACAAACTCGCTCCATTGGGCACGGGTCTGGCAAACCGTTTGGGATAACCTGAACCTTGATCTGGACTTCCCATTCGACGACGATCGCTCTGCGGAGCGTGTGATTCAACAGCGCCGTCGCGAAGAGGCCAATCAGCGTGAATTTCAGGCATGGCAACGCCGATTTGAAGTCGCCGAGCGACAGGGTGGTGGCAGTCGGTTTCGCGACGCCGCACCTTTGTTCGACATTGAGCCTGCTCGGCCGTCCCGCCCCCGTGTTCCCAGAGTTCCGACACCTGAGCCCGAGTCCCTGGAGGAGATGCGCGCCTGGAATGCCTTCGAAAGAGCACGGGAAATCGAAAACAATCCGAATGCCGCCAGGAAGCGCAAAGAGCCAACCATGTCGCCGTCCCCTGAACCCGCCGAGCCCGAGCGCAAATTAAAACGACCTCGAACAAGGAGACCGCAAGAGCTTGCTGCTCTAGCACAGCAAAATCAAACCGGTGAATCCTCTCGGGCTGGTGCCGCAAGCTCCAGCGCACGGCCGAACGGCGATAATCCCACTGGACCGAGCTTCCTTTCGTCACTATTAAAGGAAGTTGAAGACGCACCTAGTCGCACGAATTCATACGGACCTTCCGCCTCAACGTCCGCCGCCCCTACCGATCATCCCTCACCAGGTCCTTCATCTCCCTCTATCTCCCCGACCTCATCCGCGTACTCTTCTCCTCTCCTCTCATCGGCTACACCCCCGCCTTTCCCTCGCACCTGCCCGATATCACCCCTTCAGCTATCCTCCCCTGCCGAACCATCATCACCCCCCTTTTCCCCCGAACTCTCATTCTCAGCTAGTCCGCCCCCAAAAGGGGCAAAAGAAGACAACACACCTCGCAGTACGGGCCGACCTCGCTCTCGGATTCCCCAACGAGCACTCAACATTGCACACTCCCGTTCCCCAGACTCATCACCGACCCGACTCGGCCCATCTCTTGCTTTGAAAGCCGACATCCAGAAAATGGTCGGCACCGCATTGAAACCTCACTATAAGAAGAAGACCATCTCGAAAGAGCAATACACAAACATCAATCGCAGCATCTCTCGAATGCTCTATGAGCGCGTTGGCGATCGCGAAACGCTCGAGTCGGATGAACGCACGAACCTCGAAACAGAGGCAAAGCACGAAGTGCAGAATACCGTCGACGCCCTAAAGAGGAGAACGAAAGATAAGCAAAAACAGCGCATGGTGGCTACCGATACAGATGGCGATACTTAATGATATTTACTATGAACTCCGGCATTTCATGGCGTTTCTCTTCTCAGCGAATCATTGTCCTCGGTTTATTGTATAACTGGTGTTTGATACTGCAGACTGTCTTGTTGTTCTTTAGCGAGGCATATGTGGGAGATTCTATTATTTTATTTTTCTCTATCTCCTATCTGGGAGTGATATGGACTGGTGTTATTTGTGGAGCTTGTCTGGTCATTCTCTTCGCCTTACATATTATTATGTCTGAATATTTATCAGTGTTTGAATTCCATCCTATAGAGAAGCCCACTCATGGTCATTGGCAATATGCATTCTACATGGTATCAAAAAAGGATCTGGATCCGGCTTATATTACAGGTAAGCAAATTCTGGAATCCGCAGATCGCCTCCCAGCTTACAAGATATATCGAGATTGCGGAATCCAAGCACGAACCGGCAAGACCGGACGTCAGAAGAAGCAGCAGCGGGAATCGGTTCTGGCTTTGACATACTGTCTTATCCGTCAGATAATTCTGGTACGCTTTTTCCTTATCCTTCCGTAGTAGATCGATCTCGTTCCCAATATTCCCCAACGAACACAAACCAGTAGATTATCACAGTGTTACCAGCAACGAAGGACGTGACGACCACCATGATATACCTGAAACGTAGCGCTGTGCGTCTTTTGTTCTGAAAACCAATGGCTCGGTGAAGTTGCCCAATACCATACGACAGAATGAGCTCCATCCAACAACTGTACACCAAGAACAATACAAGATATCACCCTACTCCCCGCAAATCGATATGCCAGATACGGTCTGACAAGCTGATAGCTATCCCCAAGGAAGCCCTGTGGCATAATCATGAATGGTGGTAGGTGAGAAAACGGACATCGCCCGCGCTGCAGTACCACTTCTAATAGATGTTAGCACTTGAGAGGGAGTATGGATTGAGATACTGGGTTTGAACCCAGGGTACGACCGGAAGTTATTCTGTTGGCCGTTATTGAACTTGTGGTATCGGAGATCTAGGAAAAAGCATGTCTCATTTTCGAAGACTAATTATGTGTATTTGAGTCAATCATTCCGGCCATAAAAAGGCGAAGAGCTTCGAGTAGCTAGGATTCGTTACCATATATTTTTCGCACGAAATGGTTTTTTCCACCTAACCTTACTTTGTTAGTTATGAAAGGGGGCTTGCTGTGCGATGTTTGATCCAAATCGATATCCAGGGTCTATTGCTCCTATACGTGTGGATGATATATATATAAGATGTTGATTCAGGTGCATCGCCTTGCTTCAAAGCTTCTAGATAGACAGAATATGCGGGTCTGGTATTTATTCAGCATACCTCGGCTGGTTTTACACCTTAAAATACTTTTATCTGGTCCCTGCGCCTCGTCGGAGAAATCAATATGATTTAGTGTTTCAAGTCATGATACGAAGCTCTGTAGCTCGTGCCAAGAGCGGGAAATGATCATAAGTGAAACGTTAGACTTGGTTATTGACAGCACTGATAACTCCACCCTCGCTATCCGTGACAAGTTAAGAGTTCCTGAAACGATCCGCGTGAACGCTTGCGGTAAATTCCTAACTATCAAGAAAATGTGATTTGCCAATGATCTGTGCTGGTGGACGCCATCATCCCTCATTCTTTTCGATATAGCTCGGTGTATCTGAGTACAAAAGTACTTAAACGCTGTTGTAGTTCAACTTTACCATTTTTTTCTATCCTCTTTCCAATCTATTCTGTATATTTATCTCTTTTGTACTTTTCTGCCTATGATGCGCAATTTCGTTCTTTTGTCTGCCCTGGCGGCAGGCCTTTCTGACGCCTATACTGTCACTGTTTCAGATTTCATGATGTTCAAGAACATTGACCCTATTGTTTTTCCTGGAAAATATACTAGCCATATGCACAGTTTCTTTGGCTCAGATGCAATTACCGTGAACACGACCACTTCAGCTGAGCTGCAGAAAGGCTGTTCCACTACCGAGAACCCGAATGACTTTTCAACATACTGTAAGTGTCTCTTGGCCTGTGAGCCGGAAGCTCGACGACTGACCAGAAAATTAACAGGGGTCCCGACATTATATCTCGTGGAAAATGACGGCCAAACGTACACGCCTATCATACCGATGCGTTTCAGCGCCTACTACGAGCAGCCGGAGTCTGCCGAAATCGCAATTCCACAGAACTACAAGGACCTTGCTGGAAATGCGTCCGCTACATCCCAAGCCGACGTTGAAGATGATGCTGGTATTAGTTGGTTCTGTGAAGGCGATGCGACAGATGAAACCAAAGATGCAGCCGCCTTCCCCACAACGACATGCTCCACCCATCTACAGACGCTTCTTCTTTTCCATGACTGCGTGAATCCAGACACTCTTGAGTCAAGCTACTCGGGCAATCCTCATTACAATAAGGGGTATGGCGACAATTGGTGCCCATCAGACATGAAACGCATCCCCCAGCTGCGATTCTCTATCCGCTACGATCTGCGCAAATTGCTCCCTGATGGATGGTCCGGTGCCCCTCCTCTTGCGCTAGCCTGCGGTTCATCCTACTGCTCCCACGGTGACTTTATCAACGGCTGGCTACCAGAAGCAGCAGAGAAAATGGTTCAAGATGCGGTTTCCAAGTATGACTACTTTGCCGTGAATGGGCCTTTGGGCGACGCGAGTGATGGGTCTGTGTGCGGTGCAAAAAATGCACATGATAGTGATCCAACGCATGGCACCAGTGACTACTTTGAGAGCTTGCAGATGATGGGTAAAATGGCCAAGAGGGCCCGCAGACACTTCAGGAGACTTCATTGAGATGACGAAATACTTCTTGTCAACTTTTACTTTTCACGCCCTAAGATGTAAACACTGAATTGAATTGTTAGAATTTACCATTGATCATTGTAGCTCTAGGCCTCTTTGGAGTAATCACTCTCTGTGCAAGCTGTTGAGGTTGTTAACACCGAAATCATGTTCTATTTGTAATAAAGATATTTGATTTTGATTTCGATGTCAACTTCGCCCTTTACAATGGGCCAGTTTCCATCATATACCGAGTCGGCAGGCATTGTGATGACCTTATCATCATGAGGAGAGTCGATTGGGCGCGCGTGTTGGATGTCTTTCCAGCAACGACGGAACCAGTGATTGAAAGATAACCAGCCCGTCGCCGGCTGCTCCCACCTCTCTGCTTCTAGACTATATCGGATATTCACATAGAAGGTATAGATCAAACCGGCCGACTCGGGGGTATGCAAGAATTGTCCCAGCTGACGTGCAAATGAGACCAGCCAGTAGGAAAGCCAAGAGAGGTCGGTGTTGGATGTCTCGGGTGTGATGGGAGCTTGCAAGCCAATAATTGCGGGCTGATCAAAAACCCAGTAAAAGACCAAGATCTTGCGCGGCAATGCGTCTCCCCTGGAGCTCACCTTGGTACCTACCGCAGGAACTTTTCGCAATACAGGAGAAAAGTATCGAGGTCTGTAATTCCCTCGGCTCCCCATATCGTCTGGTCCATCAGAAATCGCAGATGTGATTGCAGTATTGAAGTTCAAAATCCGCGTTGGACACCGGCAAATGAAGTCCTTCAATTCTAGAACAAGCGCCTCTTTTGAGAGATATGTGGGAGAGGTGGAATGACCCATTGTAGTGGACTCGAAAAGCAATGAGAATGGGGCAAGCTTAGAATGAATTGTGTTGAGTAGAATATTGCTATTTGACTTCCAGGCTTGAAGTTCTCAAAACTACTGATCTTGGGCTCCTATCCTGCCTGTTTAAATAGGGTTGGGAAGGCCCTTCACTGAAAGAAAGAACCCTATGGAGTGACGTGATTAATTGCAAGATATGTAAAGATATGAAGTGTGCTGAAGTAAGGGATGTGAGTTCGTATTGCGTCCAGAAGGCATCGTCACCTGCAGTCATTCCAAATTCGGACTCATTAGGCTGAAGTCTCACAAAAATCAGGGATGTTATTGACTATCGATTTCTCGCTTTGATGGAGATCAGGTGGCCTAGTGATTCTACTGATGAGTGGCGTGGGGGTTTCTTCCCTAGTTCACAGTCGTGAGCTTGCAGTACTTCTCCGATCAAGTTCCTGGCTGTGGTGATGGATAGCTAGAGAACCGCCAGAAAGCCAGAGCACAGGCTTTATGGGGCATTGATAACTCAATAAATCATGCCGGGGAAGGTTCCATTGTAAAATCACATATCCCGAAAGTGACCTTTTAACCGAGTGAGTTGGAGTTTTGCGAGATCAACTTGGAGAGAACTGCATAATATTGGCAATGATGCAGGAGCAAAATCAAGTCGAACTCGCACTATGCCCACGAACCCTCTCCGCAGTCACTGATGGATAGTTTGAGGGAAACAGAACCCTCATACCCTGTCTCCAACAGAGCCCATCTACCAGGTTAGCGGAATGAATGGGGACTCAGGGAATGTGATCCGATAAGGAAAAGAAAGAAAAAAGAAAAGACAAAGCAAGGAAGACCCCGGCAATTGCAGCGCTAACACGTATTTACGTGGCAATTTCTTGTGCATTTTGAAATGAAGGTGACCACACATGGAGATCCTAACATGATACGAGGCAATTGGATCTATGTGCCCAGGTGACAAGATACGCATCTGGGCAGTATGGAGAGGAGTGACAAGGCCTGAGATGTAAGACAACCCGAAATTCACTCCTCCCAAGAACTCCACCAACCCCTGACGAGATTCTGTTTGCAAATTCGGTAAAGACATCGTTGATAGATCATGTGTGATAGCCATATAAAGTCATATATTAATACTTATTCAATCCTACAGGTGAAAAGAATGGAAAATAAAATAGGTTGAGGTCTGCTTCTATCTAATTTGCGTAAGTTTGCTTCCGTTCCCGCTCCCGTCCCGGCTCCCGTTCCGCTCGGGCATTGGCTCGTGGATTGAGCCCCTTGCTTAACATTACTGCGATCATAAATATGTACTAAGTGGATGCTCACCACACTACACAATGGAAACGGCAGTTCGGTAGGCAGCATACTATCATTTGTACTCAGTGCGGAGCCATTACATATTATTAAGTGTAAAGGGTTGGGTTGCACGATTTCCCAACAGTCCTCATGGATTGCATACTAGATTTAGTGCCAGATCTTCTTTTGCTATGTGGAAATCAATTCAGTTTTGCTTTTATGGTGTAAACTTGGAAATCGTTTCATGAATGTATAATGAGGCACTAGAAACGTTACAGTATACCCATTTGTGATCTACCAGGGGTATGCCACCCAATCCCCCGCCAAACAATGTTCTCAACCAGAATCACAAGCAGCAGGAAAATTGTCTCTCAGCCAAATTAGCCCACCTTCACGCTATGCGTTAACACTTGCACTCTTCGTCATTCCAATCCCCACTGCAGCTGTTGTTCCTGCATCCACAGGCAGAATGACGCCAGTCATCCACCGAGCATGAGGCCCAGCAAGGAACACCACAGCTCCCGCACAATCCCATCCATTCCCTTCAGTCCCCAACAAGCTTCTTTTTCGCCGAGCTTCTCGGGCCTCCTCGCTCATGCCATTCCCATACATCATAGGAGTATAAAGCATCTATCATTTTGGTTAAACTTGATTGCTTAGGGTGGAGAGTGACAACTTACCCCCGGACACACACAGTTCACACGAATTCCATCAGGTGAATGATGCGCTGCCATAGCACGTGTCATATTGACTATGGCGCCTTTGGCAGTTGGATATAGCAGATGAGGTGTGCCGCCTTTCAGACCAGCAACACTTCCCATGTTTACAATGCTCCCTTTGATTTCGCCGTCATTTCGAGTCATTTGCGGGATGGAATATTTGGCCATTTGGACCATAGTGGCAACATTTATCTCCATACTTTTCGCCCATTGTGTCATATCAACATCTACCGCGGTGCCAGCCGCGCCTCCGATCCCGACATTGTTGATCAAAATATCCAATCGGCCGAAATTTTCAATGGCGTATTGCACCGCTGCTTGACAGTCGTCTTCTGAAGTGACATCTGCGCGATATGCAAGTGCTCGACCACGATTTGGTTTTGAATTGACGATTTCCACAGTTTTGTTGGCCCATTCCAAGTTGAGGTCGATGCAGATCACGTCACAACCATCGTCGGTGAGTAGAATTGAGATTGCCCTTCCATTTCCAATACCATCGCCCAGACAGCCTGCACCTGTTACAATGGCAACTTTTCCAGCCAAGGAACGTGATGGGGGTTCGGACGGAATGCCGGGATCCATGGTATGGGACTGCGTGGTTTTCGATTGAGTTTAACCAAATCCTAGACACCACTGAACATCTATATTGGCCTCCATCTCGTATATACCGAGTTCCTAAACAATATGAGCATTCATGCGGGGTATTGAATTCTCAGGTGCGACTCGCCGAGTTACCGGTCGGTAGCCGAGCCGAGGGAGTGGGGCAGTGATTGATGATCGTGCAACACGCGTCAAGACTTGCGCGAATCACCACTTCTAACAAAGTTACAGACAATGGCCGATTTTTCTGAATATGCTGGTCCCAGCGCCGAATGGCTGGCTGTGGAGGCAGCGCTGCCTGCGCCGCCCAAAGACCTGTCGATAGAACAGTTGAAGGCACTACTGAACAAAGGCCGCGAAGAGTCCGCTGCCCAAGATATGATCGACCAGGGACTCAGTTCTGTGGTCCAGATGCACGACCACACAGTGACGGCTCGCGACGGTACACTTCTTGAAGCACGCACCTACCGTCCGGCCGGCGTGCCTATCTCTGAACGTCTACCTGTTTACCTCCATCTTCATGGCGGCGGTTTTCTCTTCGGTACTCTTGCATCTGAAGATGCAACATGCTCTCGCATTGTTGACTCGCGCAACAAAAATGGTACACCCATCGTGGTCTTCAATATAAACTACCGACACACCCCTGAGCATCGCTACCCTGCTGCTTGGGACGATGTCGAAGATGCCTTTGTTTGGCTACATGAGCACATCGCTGAAATCGGTGGGATAAGTGAACAGGTCGTTGTGGGCGGCATTTCAGCGGGAGGGTGGCTGACCGCATCGTTGGCACTATCGCAGCTGCGTGGCGAGGATAAGCGCTTAGCAGCTTGCCCGAAGATTGCGGGACAGGTGCTTATGATCCCCTGTCTCGTCCAATGGGACCACTATGCACCTCGGCAGGAGATGCTCAAGAGTCCTGAACTTTCTAGCTATGTTCAATGTGCCCAGGCTCCTATCTTGCCGGTCGACCGCATGAAGTTGTTTAGTGCGCTACTAGGAATTTCTGATGCAAAGGACGCCGCCGAGAACCTCCGAATGAATCCCGGAAATGCAACTGCAGAGGAAGTCAAGAACTTGCCTCCCACCACCTTTGGAATCGCAGGAAATGATCCGTTGAGGGATGAGGGCCTCTTCTATGGAAAGCACCTTGCCGAGAATGGGTGAGCCGGCCCCACCATTCTACATCTACACTTCCACTTTGCTGATTCAAACATGTTATTTAGCGTCCCAACCAAGGTACATGTCTTCCGTGGTGTGCCTCATGGTTTCAGAAGGTATGGGGACAAGTTGCCTGGAAGCAAGAAGTGGGATGAGGTGATGAGCGAGGGTATTTCATGGGCTCTGTCAAAGCCTGCCCCTGTGCCATTTTTTATTCACTCTGACTAGATGAATAAGCTCAAGCCTTGAGCTGAACATAGACTTGAAGGTTATTGAGTAGAGTATATATCAGCCCTTCAGGGAACTCCTTTTTACATCAAAGTAGAACAGAAGGATAGCCGTAATTGAATAAAATTCATGAAACAAAAGTTCTGTGAAATGCAGATAGTCACCAAGTTCAGAGAACAAAGAACAAGGATCATAAAAGGAGAGCAGACCGGACGAAAGCAAACAACTCAATTAAAACTCCCGAGAATGAGGCGATTCACCGCTCGCGGACCCACAATGTCCGATCTGGCAGCCGTTAAGTGAGAGAGACTTGCTCTTCAACTTCAATTGCCTCATTGTCCTTGGTTTTCACTGTTGTCTGCGACATGCAATGTAATTCTAATTCTCTAGAGATCCCGCATTAAAACCAAGGGCGGGCCCCTCCTCCTCCTCGCCTCACAGAAATCGCATTCGCGCGCAGACATCAATCCATTTCTTGCGCGCAATCCAAAATCACATGAACTTTGTCGCCTCGACTCTTTGAACCATTTCTTGGTCTGAAAGTTGTCACGCGACCCACAGCCTAACCACGCGCTCCGAAATGCCTTCTTCCGCCTCCACAAACGGGGCCTCCTCCACCCCCGACGCCCTCGAATCCGACCTCCTCGTCAAACTGTCCGCCAGCTCTGCGCTCGAAGACCTACAAGAGAACCTCCTCGGATCACTCCACCGCCTGGGCTGGACCGAAAAAATTACCACCCTTGCAACCGAACTACTCCGCGCCGGCCGCTGTGAGACCTTTGACGATGTGATGGCGGCAGTCTTAGCTTCGGCGGAAGGCCGACCCCACCCCGCGCTGGGCTCCAAGGCGACGAACGGCGAAGCGACCTCAAATGGATCAAAAGAAACAAATGGCACGAAAAAGGGTCACAAGGAACCCCCTTTTGACCCCCTGAAATACATCGAGGAGGTGGATGTGCGCATCCCTCTGCCGGTGGTCGAGGAGGGTGTTCGCGGCTTGAAAGATATCCTACGAGAAGTGGCTGACCTGGAAGGAGAAAGTACGTCCAACGGGGACAAGAAATAATGGCTCCCGGCGGCTGGGAAGCACCATCTGAGAACGTGATCATGCATTTTTGGTTTTGATTTCAAGGAGTACAGAATGTTTCGGGCTCATGTCCCCATCTACGAAACTGGGTTTGACATACGAAGCCCACGGGCGCTTTTGCATCAAATAGACAATCAAAATACATTGGGGCTTTATGAGTCCCTTGTTCAACAAATCGATATTCATCACCTTTATCTGTTTCCTTGGATGTCAGAGCAGCATTGAGTGACTTGTACAGGCAATGCCGCATTAGGAGTCCTGGGCTTTGTGCGGCTTTTCGCTTTACTTTTGATCACGGCTTGATAGTCATTTGGATACAACTACGTCATGAATGTATGCATAAGTTCTTGACGTTGCTATCATCGTGTGTCAGTATACCCCATTGGGATAGCTGGTTTAAGCAAAATTGTTCAAACACGGGGGTGCTCAAATGAAAGCCGCCGAAGTATGCCCGAAATTGAGATAGAGATAGACTGGCATAAAATCCGAGATGATACGAAAGATAGGAAAGCTCTGACGTTGCACATTTGAGAAAGAAAACAAATTCCTAGATCATCAAAACCACATCAAGATGCCCAAAGTACGCTACGAGTATATCGGCCCGAAAAACTGCACCATTCTGACAGATAGAGGGGCACTGAAGGACGAAAGTGCCGTTTGTATTAGAACTATGGCGCTTGCTTGCTCAACAGCTTTGCATTCTTTACTCATGCCACTTATAGGTGCGAATGGCATAGGCGAGGCAACAGTATGTGCATTTGCAGAAGGATATGGAATTGGCTGTCGGTTATTTCCGCAAGGAATCCGTCGTTGAAGACTAGGATCGTTGTTTCATTATTACCGAGAGTATGTGTCCTAGATTCATTCTCCGGTTAGTCCCACATGGAATAAATAACAAAAGACAGTAGATACACCAAGAGAGCTATTGGATCCGCCGCTTACGAGACCCAACATTGCGAAAGGAGTGGAGTTTGTGGTCTAAGAGGATGTTATACAAACACAGCAAAGTGGAACTTAGTGGAGTTTGAGAAAATTATAGTGCTTATGTGCTTTAAGTGACAGACAAGCTACTAGATTGTCCAACGGTCTGACGTGTCACTATATCCCGCCGTACCACGTCAAGGACTCCTCCAAAACTTGGTTACAACTTCTCCCCAGTTGTCTAGACCCTCCTTGTACTTTATGGATCAAAGGCAGTTCAACAACGAAATGAAGTTTAGTGGAGCCAACAATATTCGCTCACTACAGATGTAGTGAGTTATATTGAGAGTGAATATCGATTGAACAGTACACAAACAGAAATTGTTTAAGAAAGCACTGATCTTCGCTTAAAAGGAAAAAAGAAGAAGAAGCTTAATATTCCGTCAAATTCAGTATAAAAGTGATGAAATTGATCAAATTTAAGATTGCGATGGGGAAGTTCCAGGCCCAGTCACGTGTTGATCGGACCCAGGCGCTGTCTTCGCCCAAACCTCTATTTTATTTGCTTTATTTACTCTTAGCTTATCATTCAAGTTGATTTCTTTTATTCTTGAAAGATCAGACGGGTTCACGTTGATAAGTGGTTTATCAATTAAGCGCGTTTCGTCCCAGTCCCCTGAACCGCCAACCCTCCACTCTCAGCTTGTTGATAGCCGCGTTGCTCGACCGCCCCTCATCGAAAAGGAGTACGCCCAGTAATCATTTTACGAACAACCAAGGAACAAGATTTACCTTATGCACCCAAGAGATCTCCAAGCTTGCCCATGTTTATCTGTCAACTTTTGAATCCTCCAGTCTCTCTTTCAGCCCGCACCTGAGAAGATAGAGCATTCGGCGCATTACCGCTGACACTCACTTCGTTTGCTTTGACTGGCTCCAGCACCCCCCAACTGGCGGCGGCGCCTACGCACATCAAAAACTCATCACTGCCCTCGGGGTTTTATATTTCCGAAGACTCGCTATCATGTCTCTCCACACCCACTATGCCGACTCCGATGCGGACGATGAATACGAACGCAGCGTCATTCCTTCTCCAGGCCTTCAACTCGACTCGGAATCTTCCCCCACTGACTCCGTTATTGATTCCGCGGAACACACTCCCACCAGATTTGGATACTCGATGGACGCTCTCCGTTCTCCGTCAAGACTCATCACAGAATGGGAAATCGATGAATGCAAAGAATTTTTGACCTCGCTTGGGTTGCTGCAATACCACGGCACATTTAGAGGTGGGTGGACTCTCTTGTGGTTAACAGTGTGTATGGTATACTGATAACAACTTACCAGAAAACGGGATTGTCGGCGAAGCGCTCGTTGCCTTGAAGCACGAGGAGTTGAAAGAAATGGGAATTAACAGTGTCGGCCATCGATTGACCATTTTGAAAAGTGTATATGAGATCAAAGTCAAGCAAGATGTTCCCTTGGACCCGGACCATTATATTCCACTTTGTAAGTCGCCAGATTTCACGCCCCAGCAACACTGCTAATACCATGTTTACAGCGGCGGATCAAGGTGTCAATGAGACGGCAACACAAGAGGACCTCGCTCGTTTAATCAAATCGATTCAAATTCGAGATGAAAAGATCATGCTGGTTGAAACGGAGTTGCGCCGGATCACAGATGATTACCGGAGACTACGGGAAGAAATTCTACCTGTGATTAAAATAGTAAAAGACCGATCACATCCGCTACCTCCCCCTCTTCAGGGGGTCAGCCAGAGAACTGGCACGACAGCACATCCACTATCACGCCCTCTACTCCATTTTCTTTCAACACCAACAACGATAACCCTACGTCTAAGATTGCGAGGGCCTTCTCGAAGCGCATGCACTCTAGTGGCACTACATCCAAAAACAACTCACCAACGCAAATTCCACCTATGATCCATGAAGGGAGATCCCACCACGATATACTGAACCCATCAGCCGCTGCTTTAGCTGCCTCATCCCATCCAACATCCTCCATGAGCGGAGGAGCACAGATATCACCCGGAATTCCCTCACCAACTTCGCCACACACCCACCACGCCCATCCTCAGACTCTCAACCCACGATCCTATTCCCAACCAAGCTCTGGCGGAAACCGCAACACGTCCTATGATTACCCCGAACAACCTCATTCCGGAAACAGACTTACTCCGAGCCAGCTTCCATCATCCCGTGCGGAAACCCCGTCTTCCGCGTCACGTCTCGACCCACGTAATGACCCACGTGCTGAATCGAGGGCCGAGTCGAGGACCGGCGGCAGCAGTGAAAATCCAAGTAGTGTGGAAATCTTCAAGTCTTTCCGGGTATCTTGGGAAGACCCTTGCTACAAGGTTCTGCCGGCTGCGCTCAAGAAATACAACATCAACTCCGACTGGAAGAACTACGCATTGTACATCGTCTATGGTGATCAAGAGCGCTGTCTAGAATTACAGGAAAAGCCCCTTCTCCTGTTCAAACAGTTGGAAAAGGAGGGCCGAAAACCAATGTTCATGTTGCGCAAGATTCATACGGATCCTCCAGGACCTGGTCAGTCAACACCCAATAGTGCTGGCTTCGAAGGTGGCCGACCAGGGCAAATAAATTTGCCTGGTGGTGTGCTGTGATATGTCAATCCACAACCCCCTTTGGTACATTCGTGTCTGGCTTGAGATACCCGGTGACTTTTGACTACTTGTTGGTTGGATCACCTCTTCCGTTTGCATTTAGTTATGTATGAGTGAATCTTCTTGTGTTGTCGGTTTTGTCGGTGTTTTGTGTTCTTGGAAAGCCCGGTGTACCATCCCCTTCCCCAGGGAGCGAACCTTTCAAGGGCGACTATAACGTTTCTACTTCTCCCACATTCAATGGTTCTTGCTGCATTGAGTATCGGGCTTTATCTCCCCAGATATTCCTTCATTGACATTGGATCATAGCCAGCCCAATGTTTCTAGCACAGCACATACTTAGCTTGTATATGAGATTCCCACCATTTGTTTGGATTGCTGAAGCTTTATGTTGATTCCATCTTGTCCCTGCTAAGGTTGGTATATACGAATGTAAGCCTCTAATGACCTCCGAGTAGCATGGAGCAATAGGGCAGTTTGGTGTTTACAAGACCTCAAGACACCCACCACTAAGGGTAGAGTTACCCAATACATCCCCCATAAGCTGAAGTAAGAGAACAAAAAAACATCACACATATGGATTCAAGAAATTGAATAGATAATTATGCTAGATATACAAGTTCTTTCACCTCCAAACTTCTATAGTTTCTTATCATCACGTGTTGTCGTGTCAAGGACGCGTTGGTGATAGCGCACACTTTCTTTCCCACCCAATGACCAAAGCCCTCAGTCTTGGTAACTAATTTCCAATGAGCTGGGATCGTGTCATTCAAGACTCTGACGAGGATGAACTCCTCGAGGGGGATGATCCTCCCACAATCGTCACTCCCCTCCATCCCCCGCAGCCCGCAATACAACAACAAGACCATGAATATGGCCCCGCCAAATATGCGACCCATGATGCGGTGCAGGAACACGGCTCTGCAGTGGACGAAAGTATATTCCCCCAGCTGAATGTTAATTTCGACGATTTTCTCCAGCCGCAGGAAAGTCACCATGAAATGATATCATCGTCTCAGCAGCGGCGCGAGGAGAGATGGATCCCCTCCACCGGCGAGGGTGGAAGTGGATCAGTTGGTATGTCCTAAAAAAATAGCTTTGAGATGAAAAGGACTTTCCCGGAAACTTTTGCTCGCGCTGACACCCTTCACACGCTTCAGGCGCAATGATGAACGAAATTGGACTTGCCCAGAGAAGACTTATGGACGATGACCCCTCCACTGCTGGCCAACAGCTTCCATATACTGGGACATTATATTCGACTGCATCTGTCCAATCTGCGCCATTTCCTACAATTCCAAGCTCTCACCCTTATCAAATTGGGCCCCAATCAGGGAGCGAGAATCTCCCTTACACTTTGGCTCCCAATGGCACGCATATGGCCGGAAACTCGTCCTCACTGGCCAATCGAAGGGAAATCTATGATTTGACTCCCATCGATGCTGCTAATCAAATGGACACATTCTCAAACGGCGTCCCTAGCCAACCTTTAATGGGAAATAATAGTTCAGATCTAAACCCACACCAGGATACCTTGCAGCCCAGGTCTCAACAAACAGGCCCGTATTCCCCCCATGACACGGAACCTATGTCATCTGTCACATCAATGCGACTTAGCGGCCCAAAGACCGACACAGCCGGAACCAGTCTCATCTCCCCGCAACAATCGCAGACAAGCGCATACGATGAACTTGCCTTGCCAGCCGCTCCACCGATTGCACCACCGCCTGTAGTTGTTGAGCCCCCAACTGCAAAGAAAAAGCGAGGACGGCCCAAGAAACAGTCTTTGCCCGATGACGACGAAGATGATGAGCTAGCCAACTCTCGGGACCACGAGTTCAGGACCCCTGGCCCAAATGGTGCGATTGATCCATCCGATAGTAAAGAAGCTACGGAGAATGACACCCCGGTCTCAAGTGGAGTCTCCGACGAGACTGACGAAGATAATTTAGAAGCAGTTGCCCAGCCCGGAAATTCGGAAGCCAAGGCGTCGAAAAAGAAGAGAACTAAGCAAGCGAAGGCTACACCCACGTCTAATTCCGTCCCGAGTGAGGATGGCGTGATCTGGATTGACACAAAGCCTATCGGTGTTGAATCTGTCAACCAAAACACCTATCCAAACACGGAATCAGAGATCCCAAAGAATGATCCTGGCTCTGTGATAGTGGATTCCAACCCCCAGAATCACCCTCAGCCAGCGCAGACATCGGCACCTGCCGTGGCAATAGAAGAAAAGCCCCAATCCACAAACGAAAAGCCAGCACCAAAAAAGCGCGGACGCAAGCGAAAGCAACCCGCCGAACAAGAAGAAACAACTACAACCAAAGATACACCAAAACCAAAGAATATCTCCACAGACGCTCAAACACCCGGATCAAAGCTCGCCGTTGTCGTGGACAACAGCCCCAAGTCTGCAGAATTTAACGGTCAAGATGAAGCACCAGTCATCATAGAAGAGCAGAGCAAAGACCTCATTCCAGCGCCAGCCGATGAACCCCTTCCACCTACATCCGCACCTGAACCGCCCCAAACTCCATCTAAGCCTGATACTGCGTCTGTCAACACTCCCCAGAACGCAGGGAAGGGCCCGAACAAACACAGTCCTATCTCGGCTCGGGGTGGAGTACCTTATCGTGTGGGATTGAGTAAGAGGGCGAGGATCGCGCCGCTACTGAAGATGGTGCGGAAGTAGGACGACGGATTCTGTCTGCTTTGTATTGCTTTATTGATATACCTCTTCTCGTATCGTTTCATCCTTTTTGTTTGCCTGTTTGAGGGACTTTAGTGTGTTTGTGCTTTTGCTGCTATTATTATACCCCTTGAGAGCATCCTCTCGTCGCGCTGATTCGCTCTGCTGCTTATTCTTTCCTGTATTCATTCTCTTGGCATTGGTAAACTCCCCTGCGGGTTACGATCGAACATATTTCCATGATATGGGTCCATCATTACAGTGCGCAAGTTGAGGAAATGGTTTCTTGACATCATTCTGTCAGCTGTGACAATTTGCCACAAGATCTTCTCAGTTAGTCTGAATATCAGAAAGATCACCAATGCTAGAACATGGAACAGATCTTCCCATTTTAGACTGCATGGGTAACTAACAATAGCACTAGTGAAAGATGAAACGTTTGTATGTCAATTCTGCTATTAGTAAACACTCTTCAGTCAATGGTGTAATCGATATCTGTTGCATCTGCCGGGCCGTTCAAACGAATGAGAATGACCATATTAAAGCCAAGGAGTAAGTATAAATTCAATGAAGCAAACGTTCAACTCGGCCAAAACCATTGCTGAAAATTCAATCACGAGGTCAACATGATTCGTTACATCCACATCGCAACGAACAGAGCAAGGAACAAGGATGTCAGAGCCGCGGTTCCAATCATTCGGAAGTCAGAGTCTGCTTCCGACTTAGCATCATTGCGATTAATCTTTGGATCCCATGCATCGCCATTGAAAGGAGTCTCAATAGTGCAATAACCAGCGTCCTTCTGGCAACCTTTGCCACAATCGTTGGTCGTGTTGCCGCACGCATTTTCATTGTTGCAGCAGAAGCCAAATGTGGAGCCAAGGCAAGTATAATTAGAACCGCAAGATCCATCCCAAGAGATCGGCTTGTTGGGATCCGCGGAAGAAGCCTTCTTTGGCTTCTTCTTGTGAGTGGGCATTCGGGTGTCCTTGCGGTACCAAAGCGGCCGGGGATCACGAAGGCAGTCTCCAACAGTGACCGCACGGTATCCTAACCTTTTGATGGCTTTAAGCATGTGCTCTGTGAGGTTGTGGACAGTCTGTTCGTGGGCATCATGGGCGATGACAAGCCAGGACTTGGTACGTGGGTCGCTTTTGAGGACCTGGTGATCAAAAATGTCCTTGGATCGTTGAATCAGGTCGGGGCTGTCATTCTTGTAGTCGTCTGTATCGATGTCATAGAGAATAATGTGGTAGCCAAGTTCACCCAGCTCATTTCCGCATTCTGTGTCAGGGCTGCAGCTGGAATAAGGCGGGCGCATGTAAGTAGGGAAGTGACCCAGGATGTTCCGCAGCGCGGCTTCGTTCTTCTCCAACTGCTCACTGCGTTGGGAGGGAGTGATCTTGCTGAGATCTTCATGCGACCAAGTGTGACTGGCAATCTGGTGACCACTTGAGTGCATGCGCTCGATCAGCGAAGCCCAAGGCAGAGTGAGATCGTCGATAGCACCCTTTCCATTGTTGATGCCAGTGATGAAGAATGTCGCTTTCGCATCATATTTGTCCAGCAAATCGAGCAGATCTCCAGTGTAGCGGGTCGGACCATCGTCAAAGGTCAGTGCAACGGTTCCGGGGATAGCACATGAGCGGATCTGGGTTGGACCGTAAGGGACTTGGCCGACATGTGGACGGGAAATTTCCTTGGTTGGGGGTCCATAAGGCGACCTGTGAGCATCGCAGTGGCCGTAGTCAATCTTGCAATCTGGGGACCGACAGTGTGCTTTGGATGTGCCACAAAATCCTATATTTTTATCAGTAAGACATTCGATATCATGCTCTCAATACTTACCTGCACCGGAGCAGCATGTACCGACCGGGCATTTGCCGATCTTGGGACCACAGCGATAGTCGGCATTACTGGGTGCGTCACGATTGCTCAGCCGAGATTCAGCTGTCTCGGATTCGACTGGCACGGTGTACACAGGACCAGCGCCATGGATCTCGCCTTGCACACAGGTCACCAAAGCGGGTATAAGCAAAACAAAGATCGGATGCAAACGCATCTTGATAGTATATACTCTTATGCGATGTTCAATGAGTATGCAGAGGTGGGGAGATGAGTTGGAATAGCAAAGGATTTCGAGAAGAGAGAGAGAGAGAAGAGAGAAGGAAGAGCAGTCCATGAGGCAAGGTACGATATGAGCTATGTTTTAGGAAAGAGGAAAGAAGAAAGAGCAACAAGAGGAAGCTTCGAATGCATTTTTGAATTGTACCTGAAAAAAAGGGGGAAGAACACAGGACTTCTAGGTACATTTATGCAATTCAGCTTCCTTGTAAGGGTGGAAGTTAATGATGCGCTTGTAGATTTCAATATCAACGTGGGTATCGTTAAGTCAATGCCATCTTGGGCATGTGAGGTTTGGCCTAAGATTCCTGCACTTCTGCCATCATATGACCATAGTTGAATACTATTGCATTATGACAGACACGCAGGCCGTGTAGGTTAGATACAGCAAGCATGTCATGGCGATGCAATCGACCTCGATGTCTGCAGTCGCACACTGGGATTTTGCCTGGAAGGCTGTGCCATGGGACAACTTTATCTTGTCTGCACTAGTAAGTTACCGCCTCTTGCATCAATTGTCCTGTGCAACATCATCCTCCCCGACGGCGGAGAAGATAAAAGGTGCAAGACTATCCAGGTGCGGGCCGAACTTCGAGGGAGCAGTCCGTGCGATGACGCCGATAGCAGCGATCAAGTGCCGACGCTGCACCACAGATATATTGGAGGAAAGCGTTTTGGTAAGGGTGGAGACAAAGTTGTTGAGTTGACTTTCGGAGAAGTGAAGCACGAGCGCTGAGATGGCTGTTAATGCGCGCTTGGTGACAACAGTTCCCGCCGTGTCATTTCGGATGACGGCCATGACTGAAATTTGGAGGCCATCGAGCTCACGTTCCTGGAGAAGAGGTCCAAAGCAGGTCACAACCTTGATAAGCACATCGATCGCATCACTGCTGAAGCCCCGAGACGGATCCTTCTCCATCATACCTCGCACCAGTGAGCCCCGCCTGCCGGAGGGGGAAGGTGTTGGGCCAGTCAAGCGGGGGATCAGGACCTTCGATACAGCCGAGTATGCCGTAATCACATTTTGGGGCGCAGGCTGGCCTGCTTGGGGGCGAGGGAGGGTGTCAACGATAACGCGAAGAGCTGTGTTGGGCACGGAGGTGTCTATCGTCTCAGAGGCGGTCAAGCTAGCCAGCTGCTCGAGAAGAGGTGTAAGGGATTCGAATGGCAGGCGGACGGCGAGCGGACCAAGGCTGTTGAACGTAAAGTTAGACCTCAGCATTATAGCGGGACAAATCCAGGCACTAACCATTTGAGCGCGATGTTCTGCACATCGCCGTGTTGATCATCCAAAGCTTTGAGTAGACCATCTGCAAGCTTTGTTGATGTAGTTCGATCATGGGTGAGGAAGGAAGAATTTGGGTTGGTCAGGATCCCATAGAGATCATTCAGAGACATGTATCTCAGGTCGGCATCGGGGTCATTGAGCTTCGACAGCAGCGTGAGGATGGTTGACTGCGTTATTTGACGGTCTGCCATGATGATGTGGGAGAAATGGTAGGTGAGATATATTGAGAAAGTTAGAATTTAACTAGGTGTAGGTAAAGGCGCCAAATAGCTTCTAATAGATAAACGCCGCAACGTGGGGTCTTTCCGCCTTAAGTTGTTCGTATGTGGCCTCAGGCCAACAATCCACTTCAAAGGCCTCGTCTCCGCCATGCGTCATCTACGTACATACTAGTAGTAGTAAGTACCTTTGAATGACGTCCAATTAACCATCTTTTACAACGCTAGAACATATTTGGTTCAATACATTGTCAGTTCATACAAGATACCATATTCTCGACTACGTGACCTTTTCTAGTTCATTTATCAAGCTATTCTACCACGTGATACTTCTCAGTCTAAAGATATTTAGAATTCGGTCAGAGTTATTAACGAGAGTGTATCCGTTTCGATTGCTAGATGAGAATGACTAACTATCATATTCCATACTACATATATCTTGGACTTCGATGTCGGAGAAGGTGACACAGACCTGATCCCTTCAATAACCACATTAAAATCTTCTTTCGACCTAAGTTCAACGAAGTCTCGACGAAAGAACTTACCTTGACATTGCACTCAAGCTGAACGAGAGCCATAGGCTGACGCGTCAAAGTCCAAGTTGATGCAGGCATCCTTTTTGAAAGTGTCACTTCCACCATCCGCCCAGAAATCAGTCCATGGTTGTCCTCCAATGCACTTGCTCTGGTCATAAAAGGCAGCTCGCTGGCGATGAGCGCCATAGGCCAGCACTCGGAAAGAATTTGTCGGCGGAACATCCGTGTTTCGACAAGTGTTGTCCCATACATTGACTTCGTGGGCACTGCCCGAGCAATCTTTGCCAGAGTATGCGCGGATCTTGAAGGAGAGAGCTCCAGAGCTAAGGCTCATGAGTGCGAGAGCTTTTCCGATATGCATTGTGGATAGATGAAAGGTAGAATATCTGTACTGATTGTATTGATTGTAGTTGAATGATATGGAACTTCCACGGGGTTTCCTCATCTTTTATATTTCAAAGTGAGATGGTGCCAAGTCTTTGCACTATCACTGACCGGGTACAGAGGGCTTAGAGATGCGGCGTAAGTTCAGCATTTGTGACTATTTTAGCCCGTACTTTCCAAGAAGTCGCCATGAAACACTGCCTACTCGGATCTGTACGCATGTTCTCCACTGCTTCTAGGGATATGATTGATGGGCAAGGGGGTCAGCTAGATCAATGTTGATAGAGATTCGTGGACATGTTGAGCCAGCTGATGATGATTTCTGGATTCTGACAAATGGTCTTACCCTGTACCGTGTATAAGCGACCCCCCGGGTAATCCATCCCTATTAATACCTTGCAACGCTATGAATCATTATTGTCCAAACACAATGGAGATGCCGAGGTTTGACCAGATATCCAAAAACACTAACTTGGGACATACAAATAAATTCAGTTTCCTCTAATGTATACATTATCGTCGTGTTGATCTGATAACCATAAGCAGTTATCTATATATTCTAGAAAAACAGCGGTGCCGTCTCCAGCAATGAGCCTGGCCATTGCAAAGAACACTTACGTTGCCCAAATTGGGGATCTATACGCTGCATGTAAGGAACCAATCGGCCCAACCGTGGGGCGCATTTCTTCCCCGCCATAGTCATGCACCTGCGTATAAAGTGTAGATCTTGTAGCCTATCATCAAACTATCCATTTCAGCCCTTTGGCTAATCCACAAAGCCTCTGGCACGCCAAGGGGATGGGGGCTCCAGGAACCCACTTAAATGGCTACAACCAACTTAGCGTGTAGTACCCCAAAGAGCAAATGCAGCAGCGTATAGAAGTCAGCCACACGGGTAGATCAATACGCCCCGCTCTTAAGGCCACCCATCGATTTGTGTCACGTTCAAGTCCAATCAAACTTGTCCTTGGCGGTTTAGAGTGGCCTTGCACACTACCTAATCGAGCTAAACCATGCGCCCGCGTACCTTATTAATCTACAAGGAGTGGAAACCTTTGAGGATCAAAGATCAGCATTGTGTTGATCAGCAAAATACGAGCGCTGGCCAATGGGAATTCGAGTAAGCAGGGTTCCTTGGCAAATCTCTACTATAGCTCATTGATGTAGAGATTTCGAAAGCACTTGCAAAAATACGTTGATTCAGCTACTACCTAGATAGGCACCGCCGTACTAAATCGGCTGAGGTGCCAATATCGAGAGATACTCTTTTTTGAGATATAAAAAGACAATCCCATCAAGGATAATTCAGACATCCAAGTTGTCTTTACCTCAACAAAAACCAAGAATCAATTTCATCTCTAAACATTCAATATATCAGCAACCATGCATCTCGCAAAGGCTCTCACCTTGTTCTGTCTCAGCTCCGGAGCCCTTTCTTTCAAAATCCGTGCATTTAGGGAGGGTGACTGCAAGGGCGAGGCCACGGAGATCAACATTTGGGACAATACCTGCAAAGGCTCTGGTGTCCCGAAAACCCTCTCCTTCGAGGTACTCTCCTATGGAGCTCATCGCCAGCGAGCTGGATTCTACTCGGACGGCTCTTGCAATGCCCTTGGCAGGGAATGGGTTGATTATTTCGCGGATGGCGGAAGTAATGTGTTTAAGAAGGGTGGATGCATCAATTTGGGCTTTGGAGCGTATTCAATGGGATCTCGCTCAGCTTAATGGCTAAACTCAGGTGAGCTTTCCTATTCAATTGATACTACGGCTATGGGGACTTTAAGGAAGTAACTAACACTACTGCCATGCTAATTTAGTCAGCGATACTCCTGAGAGCTTGATGTTCCGTGAAAGAATAGGACAGTGAAATGAAAGGGAACTTGAAAAAGGAGATACTGTCGTTGAAGATCCTCTGCTCGCTTTTCAAAGCTTTTTAGCTCCACCTTCGGAACTCATAAGTGTAGCTTGCTTTCTATTCCGTTATTGCATCAGCTCTGAGAAGTACAATGTCACATGGATTTCGCCTCGGGGACATGGTCTGCACCCATCTCGGATGAGTTCTATAATAGTCACTCCTTTTGAATACCTTTCGTTAAACCAGATCATTGACAATTGTATGTATGGATGTAAATATAGATTAGATCAGATACGGAACCCAGGTACTGAATCCACAATATTACATCATTACGCACAGGCCACTTCGGAAGCGGCTGGGGAGTGATCTTACGACCAAACTGGCCCAGTGTGGCTGGAGCAAAACCGGGAACACCTGGGCAACTTTAGATTACTTTATTGCTACGTAGACAATCCATTCACCTATCACACACTTCATATATTCTCTATCCCTCCATCTTCATTCGTACCGAGCTATCTCATACACAATGGTCTTTGCGCGCCGTTCAATCTTCCGCGCTGCGAATGTAGCTCAATCCCTCCGAGCAGCCCCTGTTGCCCGTCGGTCTGCTCAGCTCCTCGGCCGCCGGTTCAATTCCACTGGCGGTAGCTACGAGAAGAGCCACAGCTCCAGCGATTTGCCATGGTGAGTTTGCATTCTAAAGCGCCTTGGTATCTAGTATCTAATTGCTTGTCTTGTTATAGGCTATTTGGCTCCGTTGCCATCACTGGCCCAATGGTCTTCTACTTGTGGCCCTCTAAGTCAGACTCTCACCATGACGCCCACGGTGATGCCCACGGTGATTCCCACGATGCCGAGCACGAAGAGAAGGAAGATGAGAAGGTAGAGGAGGCCGAGGAGAAGCCTGCGGAGGACAGCGAGGCCCAAGAATCTTCCGAGGAAACTCCAAAGAAGGATGATAAGAAGCAGGACGAGGAGAAGAAGGAGGAGAAGTCTAAGGATGATAAGAAGGAAGAATCCAAGGAAGACAACAAGGAAAACAACAAGGAAGAGAACAAGGAAGACAACAAGGAAGAGAACAAGGAAGACAACAAGGAAGAGCCTAAGGAGGAGAAGAAGGAGAAGTCTAAGGATGATAAGAAGGAAGAATCCAAGGAAGACAACAAGGAGGAGAAGAAGAAGAAGGAAGACAAGCAGGATGACTCCAAAACGGAGGAGAAGGAATCGAAGAATGAGTCCAAGAATGAGGAATCAAAGGAGCCCAAGGAGGGTGAATCTAAGGAAGAGCCCAAGAAGGATGATTCCAAGGAAGAGTCCAAGGAGTAAGAATGTCTTACTAAATGATCTACGCGCATTGAGTACCGCCGGCGCGCACTAAGCTTGTTGATGCCATTTTCACCAAGTTGATATTGATGATATCCTTTTTTCCTATGTACTTATACCTCCTAGAAGCGAGATGTGACATACATAGTTATTCATAATAGCATATCAAGAATATCTTTACTCAAACATCATTCTCTTCTGTGATCAACATCCACACTACTTCTTGCTAACATTGAGAATCAATTCTCGAATCCAACTCGCTGCACGTTCACATAGCTCCTCCTCGGTGCGTGTAATCTGTCCATAAAGTTAAGTCATCCACTTGGGGTTCCTTTTAATTGAGCGTACCTCAAGAAGAAACTCCGTGGAGAGCATCAAAGAGAGCTTGGGGTCCTCATCGCATGCCTCGAAGATTTCGGTGGCCCGGGGGACCCAGTGCCATTCCATCATTCAAAAATCCTCTACCGTCTGAATAGCGAAACATACGAAGCATCCTCCAAGAAAATACGTCTCGAAGGAAAAGATTGAACCAGCGATCTGTACCACATATCCGTAATCCCCGCCGATGGCATTCCTGCGCCATTCGAATAGTAGCTCACTAAAGCATTCAATCCATCACAATGGCACGTCAAACGGCCACAGTTGTCGAGCTATGACACTGCTCATCCGGATGCCCTCGGCCGGAAATTACTACACGAAGCGAGGATCTGTGAGAGGATCAAGGGAAACCCCATCCAAATGTGGCTCAATGCCATTTTCATGAGATTCAGGATGGCCGGATCACCGGTCTCTGGTTTGCGAAGTACGATCATATTTGTATCAGAGAGTGAATCCTAGCAGGCATAACAAAGCTACTTTGTTTCTCGGAAGGGTGAACTACCATTGGCAGTTTCAGACTGATTGAAGAGCATAGAGGCTGGGGTACGGCATTGGCATTCTTTGGGGATCACCCACAACGATATCAGCCCGTCTAACATCAAGTTCGCTGGAAATGTTCCTGTGTTCATTGATTTTGGTCCTTGTGCAGCGGAAGGAGATGGTTTGGGTCTCGGTGGTCGGACGACTGAATGGCATGACAAGACGGTGGACATGGCGGCGCAGAAGAATGATCTCAATATTCTGCAGGAATTCGATACATGGTTGAGTGGGTCAATCGATGATTTCAAAATTTCTTCATGAAGGTCGGAGGGCATGGGGAAGGCAATGGTAGTCCAAAAGATAATTAATTCGTATGCTCGTTAAAAACAAGCGCCGGCGCCCGCTCTTCTAAAAGGGCATTCTAGGCGGCGCAGCCAATGCACCGGACTCAGACCAATCTCCACAAATACATAAACAACATATCGACACATCCAGAGGATTATCTGGAGAACTCCCCAATCCAAAGTATAAACATAACACGGTGAAACACCCGCTTTCGATGCACAGGCATCCATCCAACTCCAACCAAAGGTTTTGGTTCAGGCCTTTCTGCTGCGTGTCCGAGGAACGCGCTGCTCGGCGACAGGCTCGCCGTTGATCAGCACTTGAGGGGCGAGGTTCTCCTTGCCCTGGTCTGTGCCAGTGGCAATGGCCTGGGTTTCCTTGACAGACCCCGCCTCCTCTTCTTCCTCTTCTTCATCATCACTGCGCTCATCCTTGGCTACGTTGGTGAAGATGTAGTTGGTCATGATGCGCAGGATCAAGAAGAGCCAGAACAAGTTGACAGCCTGCAGGCTAGCAAGCAGGGCAAATGTGATGTACTGACTGATCCAGCACTTGTACTGCTGGGTTTCCCAGTTGAGCTCGAAGGGGCCAACAGTGCGGAACTCGGTCAGGACAGCCCAGAGAATCTTCAGGTTCAGGTAATGACGCAGGTAAATCCACCAGCCCACAAACATGGTGAGGTAGGGCGCAGTGATATACGCATCCAGGTAGTTGAGGAGTTTGGAGGTAGCTAAGAAGAAGTCTGAGATATCGTGCGTGATATACACCGCCAGACCCATATATGTGAAGTGGAAGCGATAGCTCAACCCAATAAGAGCCAAGGTGATGATGTGGTGTCCAACCAGCTCCTTGAAGTCCTTACGGGGCTTCTCCAGCTGCAGCATCAGCACAATGGCCTGCTGCGCCCAGTAACTAGCCTCGAGCAGATAGTACGCCTTGAACACGGCCTCGTGCTCGCGGTGCGGGAATCCCTCGAACATAGCCGTCGTGTTGAAGTACCAGATAGTCGATCGCTTCATCACGTACAGACCGAACGGCCCAAACACCCCAAAGTATACAGCGGTGTACATTTGCTCCATGAACCGTGCAGTCTTGCCCTTGCCCCGGATGCCGCACCAAACCGCGAATGGCCGGATCATCTGCTGCATGATGAACTCGCGCGTGAACGATAACACAATCGTATAGAACGCGACAAACGCGATATCCTTTTTACCCTTGCCGTACATGATTGGTCCACCGGGGGTCTTCGGACCTTGAGGGTAGGAGAGGAAGATGGCACTGTGCATCGGGTTCGAGGGCGTAGGGTTGATAGCGTACAGTGCGACCAACAAGAGCATTATAATTAAAGGCAGGAGCCAGGTATACTGTAGACAGGTGTCGGCGAAGCGATGGAGGAGCGAGCGGGCGCGACGTCGTTTGGTTGTCTTGGTCTGTTTCTGTGCCTGGCCATTGAACTAGGGTTGTTAATGTTAATTGGGATGCGCGCGCGACCAATCCAGCAGTGCGTACCTTCTGATCTGAAGAGGGCTCAATGGGGCTCACTTCGTTCATTGTGGACATCGCCGGCGCGCTGGTGTCACCTCGGATGTCCACGCCCAAGGCCGAGCTTCCCCGCGGTCGAACCATGGCGATCGTGAGAACTCAAACAATTTCTCGTATCCGATGTGTAGATGTGACGAGAGACTCAAGCTCACGTGTTGCAAATGAACAAAAAAAATGCAAAGATGATTGAGTAACTTCCAATCTTGAACAAAATATACTCAGTACTCCAAAGCACTTATCCGGAAGTATCGGATAGAAGAAAGAAAGATAAAGATCTTTTTTTTCCTCCCAGGGGGTTAATTAACACTCTCCACCCCACTCCGAGCTTCTCAGCTTCGGAAAGTCTTGGCATTTCATTTCTTTGACCTCGGCTTTGATGCATTTGGATTGGTTCTTTGAAACTACGCTTACCCTGTCTTTTCTTTGATTATTGCGAAAAAGACTGCTCTTTGCCAATTGTGAATAACCACCCCAAGCCATGAAAACGCCTGTTGGACCATGCCAAGAGCATGGAATTTGACAAACCAGTCGCAATTACAATTTTACAAGTTCGTGTCCTTAAGATTTAAAAGGGGATGTTCAACAGGTCAAAAGTGTTCAGAAATCTGATCAAATTGTGTTCATAGATATATGTAATATATGTTAAAAATTTTAGTACATGACATCATACACGATGCAACCCTGTTGACCGTGTCTAAGAGAAAATAAGAGAAAGAGAAAAAATATTAATGGTCTCATAAACCAGTTGTAGACAAGATTTGCCTAAACCTCCTCGGTGTGAGCAGCAGAGCGCTTCTCGGCACCAGCCAACTTCTCCCCGAGGACTTCAACATCGCCAGACTCGGCGGCGATAGTGCGCTTGGTATCGTGGGAGGTCTTCCAGGCCGGAGTACCAATGTACGGGATACCATTGGGATCTTCAAAGATCTGCTCAGTTTCCTCCAGAGTCTTACCAGCAGTCTCGGGGAAGAGGAAGAAGACGTGGACAAGCATGACGGCCAGGAAAACACCGAAGATAATGTAAGTCTGCCAGCGGATGTTGGCAAAGGCGGAAGGCACGAACAGGCCGAGAGCAGTGTTGAAAGCCCAGTTGGCAGATGTAGCCAGGGCAACCGCCTTTCCACGCACACGGAGAGGGTACAACTCGGGAGGATACACCCACGAGACGGGACCCCAAGTCGGGGCGTAGGAAGCGACAAACAGGTAGGTGCAGGCGATGAGTCCCTTGGCAGGGGTACCGCTCAGACGCATGGACTCCTCGGCCACACCCTTGATACCACCAGGGACGACCTCGCCGTACGTAGCCATGATACCGGCGTTGGCGAACATCCAGATCATCATCAGGGTGGCACCGATCAGGAGAGTAGGACGACGACCCCAGCGGTCAACCCAGATCAGGGCGGGAACGGTCATGACAACGTTGATGATGTACTGAATAGACGAAGCGAGGAGGGTGGCATCGCCTTCGTAACCAGCCATGCCAAAGACGTAGGTGATATAGTACATCATAACATTCATACCGGTCAGTTGAGACCAGATCTGGGTCCAGATACCGGTCATGGTACGGTGAATCATCTTGGGGTGGAACAGTTCTATGTAAGAGACGTCCTTGTTTGCACGCTCGAACTCGCACATGTCGCGGATCTCCTGCATCTCGGCGATAACGAAGGGGCTGTTGGCATCGCCCTTGGCGTGGACGAGGGCCAGCACGGACTGGCACTCTTCCCAGCGGTCTTTGCGGGCCAACCAACGGGGAGATTCGGGGAGGAGCATCATTCCAAAGAAAAGAAGAATGGCAGGGACCATCTGCACAGCCCAGGGGATACGGAAAACGGATGTGCTGTAGTTCTGGGAAGTGGAAGCGTTGCCATGGCCGATGTAGGAGCAACCGAAGGAGATACTGCGAAGTACAATGTCAGTGACTGATTCCTTTCCAATGCCAAATAGCTGTGCCACATACTAGTACATGATTAAAATGCCCCAGGTAATAGCCCACTGCTGGGAGCCAACGAGACGGCCACGCTTAGAAGGAGGCGCAATCTCCGAGATATAGACGGGGACCTGAGCTGACTCGATACCGACACTGAGACCGTTGATCACACGTCCAGCAATGAGCATGCCCATGTTCTGGGAAGCACAGATAATCACTGAACCGATAACCCTAACAACAAAAGGCTGTCAGCTCTGCTTGATGATTGCATTTCATCCAGACTACGCGACGACTTACCAGATAATGCAGCCAGTCATGATAGCGTATTTCCGGCCAAGACGATCGGAGATAAAACCAGAAATAAGAGCACCAAGCCATGAACCACCAGGCATAGCAGCGGTAACACCGCCCTGGGCCAGGGAAGACAGACCACTACAATCGAGGTCATCGTTGAATGGCGGGCCCCTGGGTCCTTGATTAAAGTAACACTTATACGCTGGCGTACTGATAATGGCTGACATCGACGAGATATCGAAACCAAACAGCGCGCCGCCAATGACGGACACAGCCGTAATGACATAGAGATTGCCAACAGCCATGGCGAATGATATGATCCCAAACCAGTGGAAAAGGGAAAGGGAAGGAGAGACAAGCAGATCAAGCCGGAAAGAATGAGATAGGCGAGGAGTCCGCTACGTTTAAATAGATCTCACCACCGTCCGGGAAAATTCTTAGTGGCTTGCATGTCGGGGGCCGAAGGGAAAATGCACGACAAAGGTAATCCACCTCCATAGATTAACTCTGTTCCTCTATGAACCCACATCTGTGCCGTGTATCGAATGTCCGAGGGACAAATTCCTGTACGAATTATGTACAATAAAGTACAAAAACAGCCAAAAAAAACAACTCGACTAGGACACAGGGCTGCGCCAAGACCCTGTTTGCAACCCCAGCGGCTTAAAGATACTCTGATTGGTGGATATCAACTTAAGCATACCCACCTGGTGAGCGGTGATTGGTCGACTCCCCGGGATGGGCTCATGGGATCCGGGGAATCAGCCACGAGGGTGACAGTTCTAGGCTGAAGGAGGTCAAGCGTGGTATTAGGCCTCCCTAACCCGGCCTGAAGTCGGGTTCGGGTGGTGAGAAAACTCGGCTGACTCCCCTGTAGCCGGGACGGCAGTGGCGTTTCTGGGCATTTCTTGTGAGTGTTTACTTCGGTTTCAACATAGATCGAAGTAGAGATGGAGAGAGATAAAAGTCTGGAGAAAAATTGTGGTTCCTGCAATTCAAGGGGGGTCCATGTGAACGCAAACTTTTTTCCGGCCATAATCCCCAGGTCGAACCCACAATAAAAATTTTGGAGACACTAATAATATTCCCTGTGGTAAAGATACAGGTCTCGGCTCCCTATCTCCCGAGCCCTGATGGAAAACAGGGTAATTTGGTTGTATTGCCGACTACTACTCCGGACTAGCTGCCTATGCAATTTAACCGGAGTGCCCACATCGCGTGAAAGGAAACGAATGAAAATGAAGATTCCAACCGGTGACCCGAGCATGTCGTACTAGTCCGGGGCCCCGACTACGGCCCATTTTCCCAGAACGGGACGGTATACGGCTTCTCAAACTTCAGTGGCTGGCACACGCCGAAGTGGACTCGGGTTGCGCGACTCGGCCCTTTCCAGACGGTGTGTTTTCTAAGGGACGGCGTTGGCCGATGCTTTTTTTTTGTATTTTCATTTTACTGCAGGCTTCTGCCTTGTATGTTTGGTTCGCTTCGCGTTACGCTGGAAAGTTAATTTCTGTGTTTCAGGCTTTGAGACTTCGCGTTTTTGTCACTGGTAATTTAACTAGTGTGGGTCGCATGTCCGTTCTTTACGATGCGACAGATAATACGACTTTGTATCTTCCAATTTCCATTTTCGTGGTTTGATGTCTGACCAATGTGACATTCCCCGCGTCCGTGGGAAAAGATGCGGAGGGCCTGGGGTTACCAACCCATTGCGCTCACCGGGATCAATTCCCCAGATAATTCGGCTCCAATTTTTCGACTGCGTTTTATAACCTGATACTTGGCGTGGACGATCTCTCATTTTGGTGCCTTAAACTTTCCACCTTGCTTTGATCGCGCTCAAGCCACTGACATGGGTGGTGCAAGCCTACCGTTGCTTTTTCACCCTTGTTGTTGCACGGACCCTAATATCCAAGTAATCACTCTCTTAACTCCGTAAATTTACCGAGTTCCACGGGGCATTTGTGTGTATCCTAAAATTACCAGTCTGAGAGCTGCCTCTCCCTCTAGATGGTTCATGAGGTTACAGAAAGAATTTCCTCTGCACCAAGACAAAGCTGTCATGTTTCAATTCAACTCAAGTGCATCGTTTTCCAAACTAAGGAGGTCAACCTAGCATCTTAACTGAATCAGACCTGTTGACTGGTTCATAAAACCGTCGTTCTGAGTTAGTCAGAATCCTATAAATGCCTCACTAACGTCACTAGTGCGCTAAGATATTCCACTAGATGAAAAAAAAACGTCTTTTCGTAGGAAAGGTTATGTCCGACCTCCTTAACTATACCAATAGCACATATGACTCTTTTCTGCAGAGTCTGACTCTCCTATACGTAGGAGGCGAAGGCTGGGTGGGTAAAAGCCAACTTATTAAAGCGGTTGTCGCCGCAATAGATCTGATCCACCACAAGGAAGAGGTCATCGTTATAGCACCCACGGGGACAGCTACGGATGTTGTTAGAGGTAGCGCGTATTATACTTCCCTTAGAATTTCGCTCGACTACTAAAGATGAGGGGGTGTTAGTGCTAGGGTTCTCAGACTATGGTCTCGTAAAACCGTTATGATTATAGACGAACTAAGCATAGTTGATCTCGCCGTATTGATTATCATCAATACATATCATAAGATCGCTCGATCTTTAAGAGATCTTTAAGCGATCTTTTCAGAGAGTTACTCGTAGTGATTCTTATAGGTGATTTCCATCAATTTCTTCCAGTCTAAGGCTGAGCCATATAAAAAATTCCGAGGAACGACACAGAACAGGACGGCAAAATGATCTAGAATTATATCCAGGGGAATGCATCCTCGACGATCAAATGCCTCAGGCCGAGGATATATTACGCAGATTTTTACTAGCTATAGGTGTTGTAGTGAATCCAAAAGGTAAGTCAACACTATGTTTATATCAGACATTACCATTCTAAATTTAGCCCCGCGCGATTGGCGAAATTCGTTAAGTCAGACGATCAGAATATTTGTTGTACCAGGCCGCCCCTCTATCTTCTTTTCAAACCAGCTCGCACACGACTAAAGAAGATCCGCTTCGATGGTGGTGTTTTGCCAATTTTTCCGCTCGAAATGTCCATCACTATGAAGGGCTTTCTAGTCCGACGGAAACATATTCCTATTTTTCTAGCATTTTGTCTCACCGACTACAAGGTCTAAAGTGCAACTATCGACTCTATTGTTTTAGATCTAAACAATGATAGTCAGAATCGGCGGCAAAACTTCCATCGAAAGTACTGCTCTACATGACGTATAGCTATGACGCCTACGATCGCTAAGTGGTCTTCGCCTTCTATGGCCCATTGGCATAAGTGATATTGAGCATAGAATTAACCCTAGTTTACTTAATGATGAGAAGGCTACATTTGCTTTAACGAGGGACCGTTAGGGCGTTGCAGGTTAACCCTTGCAAGTAATCACACATATGTATACATCTAGTCATCTCTTAAGACGTTCCCTTTATATTAATAAGCTATACAATGTATTAAGTCTTCAGGAGTTACCCAGGAACCATAGAGAGTGAGAGCATGAAAATACCGGGATGTATTCACTATAATAAGAGAGATGCTATGGAAGAGGAAGAACCCGAGCTATGGGAGAGAGCATTGTGAGCAGAAATGCCAAAAAGTACGGACTCATGTACTTATTTTTAATTATCCCCCATCATTGCATTTCAGGTAATTTGCGTTCCTTGGTCATGAATCTTAGGTTTGTTAATGAAATTGTGGGTTTTCGCTGTAATGTGGATACTCTGGGAATGAATGTCGTCCCCAGATAATCGCATTCCTTCCGCGTCTACCATTTCAGACCCAAAGAGCACATGCAAAGCTACACTAGTCACATGTTCGATCGGTATGGGCACCTCTGCTGGAAAAAGGACAGAGTTTGGTCGCTAAGGAGTGGTGATTTACCACGACAGGGCAGATAGCATTCACCCGGACATCTTTAGTGAAAAGACGCTTTCTGATAAATCGAGTGAAACTAATTAGTGCCTCTGGGTAGTCGTTAGAATTAGAACAAACAAAGTTGAAAATGGATCATTCTGCTGTATGTGAATTTTGAATTATATAGAGCTAGATCTGTAAACAGTCCCGCAACACCATTGAAAAGCTACATCAAAGATATAGTAGATTAAAGAAGTCTTTGAACTCATGAAATTGCTCAAGGCTAATCGGGTGTTTTTGCGGGTTGGCGTTTAGGGCATATATGTGTCTTGGTTACGCACTAACGGATGCACACAGGTAAGTCGAAGGAATCAAAATTAGCCCCCTTTATTATTTCCCCCACTCACTGTCATGAATGAAAATGGCAACCGTGAATTTGGACTCTCCGGCATATATTTGTAGGAGTGCCAACTCTTTGACAAACTACAGTACCATATATGTGGGACTACTTGTGGATTGTGTACTCGATTCAGGTATCTTGGGCGAGAAAGCTGCCGAGTTGGTTGCAGCATGGCCAATTCTTGGTGGAATATTGCTGAAAAGCGTAAGTAGATTTGTCCATGTTTCTCACCATACTTTGCTGACATTTCTTTAGACGAAGCCATGGTCATTCACTTGCGCTTCTACTGTCGACTTTGTCTCCCACTCAATTCGGAACATAAGGATGGACCGGCTATCCTACAAAGCCAGCAGCCGTCTGAGATAGATGAGAAATTCATATTCGATGTCTGTTCCAACTCTGATACAAATTTCAGACTTCGAGTCACTATCCTTTCGGATGCTACTTTGCTCTGTTTTGGAATAACACATCATATATGTGATGGCACTGACTGCTATGAGGTGGTTCAAGCATTCTGCAACCTACCATCTAATAAATCGATTCCTCGGTTCGCTCTTCCACCTGATGCCGAAGGTGTTCGTTTGTCGGACACTATGACAGCCAAGACCGAACGGACCAAAGAAAAGCGCAATATCTACTCCACACTTTGGTAAGTTTCTAGAAATTTACAACTTTAGCCCGATCACAAGTTTTTGTTTTGACCCTATAGTATCTCCAAGCACGGTAATCTACATATAGTTTAATGTTGTACAAAAATTGAATTGAACTGGAAAGACGCGCGCGTTATGCGCATTAGCCCTGAACGATAAAAAGAACACGACCCGCTCCTATAAGCACAATCACATATGAAATGAAATAGCACTACTTATCAATTATAGCATGAATCAAAGTGTGGCATGCTAGTTATTTGTTTGATTGATATCCTCAAGAATTGCTTAATCTTGATTAGACTTCTGCACGACCCAGTAAAACCCAAACCTAGGCTGGGTGGACCGCTCGCATGCGGAATACATCAAGTGTAGGGATGTCTAGTTATAACTTGATGGAACTATTGGCTGCCGTAAGTGTGGTCGACAGCTACCAATGATAAGAACAGGCTATTTACGCCGAGAGTCATGGCACATAGCCAACATAAAGGACGAAGCATTGCTTAAACGAAAGAAGAAGATATCGCAATACTGGAAGTCAAGCCCAGTTTGCACAGATCAAATTGCTATACTAGCTCTCTAGAGCGCTGTAATAATAGGATCTATCAACGTGTGAAAATGATCACTTCACTCCAGTCCGATTATCTCAAGAGAATCCTTCCAGAGACGATCCTCCTCCTCAGGGTTATATGTTTGCTTCACCCATCCGGTACCAAAGGTTTGGCCATCGTCTTCACCACGGTCCGCTTCCTTGCAGTCCTCGAGATACTTGCCACCCTTTGCCTCCCACTCCCTGCTCACAGCCGCCCACACCGTCGTAGCCGCTCCCTGCTGGGGCGACTTCAAGATCTTCAGAATGCGGGGGTTGGTCATGATCGCCTCCAAGAACTGCGGAGGCATGTTGCGGGATATATCAGTGTTGATCGCGCCGGGGTGGAGACTGGTAGCATGTAGTCCCTGGGCACCATATAGCCGCTCAATGGAGTTGGCCAAATATACCGCAGCAAGCTTAGCGTTGTTATACGCAGTTTCGTGATTATATTCGCTCTTTTCGAAGTTGTAGTTGTCGCTACTTGGAAGACTGCCAGCTCGGTGGGCAGACGAGGCCACGACCACGACTCGTGAATTGAGCTCGGGAGTCACACTGGCTAGCAAAGCTTCCTTCAGAAGCTGGAAGAGGAGGAAGGATCCCACATAGTTGCCAGAGAATTGCGCCTCAATGCCATCTTCGGTGAGCGTGCGGTTCTGGATGCCCATGACACCCGCACCGTTGATAAGAATGTTGACCTGGCCCTTGGACGCAACGAGAATTTCTTTGGCTCCGGCAAGAATACTCGCAAAGGAGTCCAGATCCAAATCAATTAGTGAGACTCGGTCGGTTTCGAGGATCCCGGCGAGGTTCTTCTCGGCCTTAGATCGGTTGCGGGCTGTGAGGAACAGAGTGGCCCCGGTGGCCTTCAAGGCACGAGCTGTCTCGAGACCAATGCCTGATGTGGCTCCAGTGATTACAATAACCTTGCCGGCCAGCTTTTCTTCAGCACCCTCATCTTTGATGATCTGAAGGGCGGTTGGTCGTGCATCTCCGGCGCCTTGAGGATCGAGATGCGCGGCAGCGTAGGGGCTTGACGAGCCCATATTGAGAATCAGAGGAGAAGACTTTCAGATAAATATCAAGGTATAATGACTTGAATGAATCGCTAATTATGGCTACTTATGTGAGTCCATGCTCTGTATAGTTCGGCCTCCAGTTTCTCCGTCCATGGCCGATGTGCGCGGTTTGTCATCCTTTGCGGCCGCAGATGCGTCCGCAAATTATCCAGTCGTTTCCGCCTCATATCCGGCTGTCATCCACATCCCGCATTTTGCGGTCATCTTTCCCCACTTAGTCTCCACTTGCTGCGGCCGTCAAAGCGCGCCATAAACCGAACTCTGTCCACCTTCCAACTTCACCATGCAGACCCCTAGTCATGAGCCCAGCCTCGACCTAGCCCCCCAGTCCTGCCAATCCTGCAGGTCTCGCAAGAGGAAATGCGACAAGGCAATCCCCATATGCTCCCTCTGTGTCAAGTAAGCACGAATGATTACGTTATAGCAGCAGAGCTAACGCGGGCCAACGCAGGCGTAATCGAAATTGCGAATATCGGAGACCAGATGCGCTTAGTCACTCGGCCACCACTTCAAGCCCGGAGCGAGGATGGTACCCCTCCCCTCTGGACGAGCAGGCAGATGTTCGGACTATTGACTTTCCGACCATCTTGTTTCTTGACCCGACTCTGCTACAGCACGGCTTAGTGGAGACTTCACCTGCGACAGGGACTGTCCCGCAGTGTATTCTACAACTACTAGGTGATTGGGATGAAATCCAGCTCACGGCGACGCGGTTTTTCAAGCATATTCATCAATGGATGCCCTTTATCTCGAAAAAGCGTTTTTACGACTTGTACCTGCAGCCCTCATTCCATTCGCGACCCGATGTTGCTCTTCTTTTATTGGCACTGAAGCTCATCACCACCTTCCCGCCGGCTGGTTCTCGTAGTCCTCGCACAGTCGTGTATAACGCAATTAAACATTTTTATCTAAGATTGGAAGGGTGTTTCTCTATTTTAGTGCTGCAAGCTGGAGTTCTTATTGCTCTTTATGAGCTAGGACACGGGATCTACCCTGCTGCATTCTTGTCGATCGGGACCTGTGCGAGGTATGCCCATGCCTTGGGTATCAATGTCAGTCGTACGGTGCCGAGTCGGAGAGTGCTTACTTTGGTGGAGGTTGAGGAGCGACGGAGAATCTGGTGGGCTATTGTCATTTTAGACCGGTTCGTCGCTGTCCACCGTGTGTCCTTTATTTTGAATACTAACAGCACAAAGCTTTGTGAGCATCGGCTGTCCGGGACGGCCCTTTGCAACTGCAGATCCAAAATTGGATGATTTTTTACCGGCAGATGATGCTGCATGGGACCAGGGGGTATATCAGTTCGTGATCTTTGTTTATCAGCTGCTGATCTTACATTAGACCGTGGAACCTGATAGGTTCTCGACTCTCTCGTCCCCATTGACGGGACATATGAGTAAATTTGCTTTGCTTTGTCAAGCCGCTAGGCTATTGGGCCAAGTACTTCATCACCTCTCAACCGAATTTACCCACGAAGATGATGTTTGGATACAGCTCGATCGTACCCTGCAGTCAATGCTAGCTGCTGCATTGAATATTGACTGCCCGGACTATGATCAAATCACTTTCGTGTACAGGCTAGTAATACAATTATCATCCTTATCTTGTACAGGCGTTTACACCATATTTAGTGCCCTAGTCGCCCTATACACACCTTGGTTATCGTCCGATGCAGTTCAAGACATCGACACCCCTCGTTCAGGCCGAGCGAAGGTCATCCTTCAACAAATCACGGAGCGTATCAGTGCAAATCTGATCGAGCGACAATGCTTCTTAGGTCGGGATCCAGAGGATATGTCCCCGTGGGGTCTGTATTTTGCCTATCGCATCTGTGGAGCCCATATGCGGGCTAGCAGTAAATCACCGCATGGCCTTGATGTGGTGAGGAGCTTGCGTGAGGGGTTCATGAGTATTGATGTACGGTGGAATGTTGCGGGTGTTTATCTGCAGCTATTGGAGGCCCAGGAGGCTATCGATATGGCGGCGTGAGTTTGTGATCTATGTATTGCATTCCACTATGTTCACATTTTCCCGTGCGAATAGTCAACCCTTGTTCCCATCGCATTGCCTACCCAATCCATCGATAGACCAGAATGTATGACTCTAAGGTACAATCAATGTCTACATAAGCGCCCATTTCCGTCTTCATCCCACCGGTCACTTCCCACTCCAGTCTTCATATACAATAACTGCTGTGGGCCGTACTTGTTCTTGACACTCAGCAGTCTCTCGTACTTATTTCCGTAGAAGGTCTCCTTCCAATCTGCGTACATATGATTGGCTTCATTCAGATAGACCATACCACCCAGTGTCGCCTTATCCATCATCGGCTGCAGCGTTTTAGCAGCATACTCATCCCGCGCCGTCATTTCCTCTGGCGTCGCCTTCCAGTCCCAGCTCTCCGCAGGAGCACAAAGAAGCATTCCATCGCGCCACGCGGGATGCAACAAGTTATCCGGATGGGATTGGGTAGCGACAGTGAAACTATCGTAGTAGAAGGGAGAGAAGGCTTCCACAAGAGTAACATTGCGAAAAGGGTCTGTGACCACAGCATTTGCGGTAGAGTTTGTCACAAGTGATCGGGGGACGATACGGCTGTTAGTGAAGGGATAGAAAGCATCGTAGCCGTAGGGGGCTGGACCCAGGTAGGCGTAAAAGTGGGTATAGTAGTTGGGTGAGACTTGTGGCGTATTGTAAGGAGCGATATTGCGGTGAGCTAGGTCGGCCAAAAATGGCTTGAGCAATCGATTGATCTCGGTGAGGATTGCACCAGGCATTGTTCCGTACGCGGACAAGGAATTTTCCCCGATGGAGATTTGAACCATGCAGCGTCCCCAGAGAGAGCACGACACGACGGAAGGTTGGAATGACCGCTACTTGTTGCCAATCCAAAGGCCGTACTTATCAGACCAAGAAGCACAAGAGATTTCGTAGAGATAATGAGTATCCCACTAAGTGAACAAGGGGTTTTCGACAGTGAAGAGGGAATGCATGGTTGGGATTCGAGCCAACAGGCTGTCCCTCGAGGGGGCTTTTATACCTGACACGAGGACAGGTGGACATTCATGTTAGCCGAGCCAGCACATCCGGGAATCCCATCATGAAAATGGCTGAGCAAAGAAAATTCAACTCCCAATCTAGTTAGCTAGAGCTTCCTTCCGTCCCTGACGATCGCCACATGGTCGCCAAGCGATGAAATCGCAGCTGAGGCTTAGCAGCATGGCACGTTAGCGGCAGAAGCCTGCATGAAGTGGTATGAGGCAGATAGGCAGTCATTGGTTAGCTCTCAGGCCGGGACGATTTCTATGTAAGCGTCAGCAAAAAAGTTCAGAGTCCGAAGCTAGGGTTGCGAGATAGCTGAATCTGACTCAGCGCTTTGATTCGCGACACAATTCTGGGTGGAACTATGTGGACCGGCTTGAATGAGACGTGCTTAAAGGATCCGACGAATAAGTATTGTAAAGGTAAAACTTCTATTCGCGAGACATGTCCCATTCCCTATCAACTTTGCATCAGATGTCATCAGCAAATCTACCGTCGTTTCGAGCGTCGAGCTCATGCCAATAGATGAGATGTGCTCCTACTGCTACAAGACCAAGCTGCAAATGATGCAATCAAGTCCCTATTCATTACAACCAGCGTTACAAGTACAATCTTGTAACTGTGATCGACAATTGTAGGTTTACTTCTAACACCACGATTTCAGAAGATCTTGCTATCACCGAGCCTGAAGACGATTCGCTTTGCCCCGTCAACAACACCTATACAACGAAAAGCGGCGATACTTGCACATCCATTGCCCTATACTATTCCCTCTCATCTGCAGCTCTTTACATGAGCAATCAAGATCTCATCCGAGATTGTGGTTATGTCGTTGCTGGGAACAAGTTGTGTCTTCCACTCTCATGCGAGTCTCATACATGTATGTTCTTAAGTCAAATGACATATGCCGCAGCACCGAAGAAACAAATGCGGAAATACTTTTGGATAACATCACAAAGCTGGTTACTTCTCTTCTTCAATTCAATACCTGTGTTGACATATACTGCACCAATCTTCAAAGCACCGCTTGGGCCTACGGAAACGTATTGTTCCTCGCTCCTCGGTTCGGAGACTTCAACACCACATATCCAGTCGAAACGTTTCACAGCCCATGGGCCACAGAGAGTTCTGGATACGATATATTTGTTGTTTCTCCCCCACAAATGCGACGGTGGCAGCTGAAATTACGGAACATTGTGGAAAATGGCGGCGGGGGAATCTTGCACCCTGATTTGTGTGCAAGACAAGATAACGAACAGTCTGTTTTTGGCGGTCAATCCTCCTTTGGAGTTTGTAGCTTGTACTGAGTTCCTTGTTTCAGGGGCTGCGTACTGCACTGGACCTATGCGTGGGTGATACTACACTTCGGAGGCAAATTGAAGTTGACTTAAGGGAGCAAATGAACTGTATCTAGGACAAGAGCTTGGATGCTCGAAAAGCGCAGAGGGTTTTCCAAACCCATCATCAGTTTTCATTGTCTCGTTCTACCCGTACATTGCTTGATATTGCGTGTGTTTGCATTCTTGACGTCGGCTAGTAGAATTTTCGAGCCAGCAACAAGATTTGGACTTGTATACACTAAGTAATTCCTTCCAGCGTGCAAATAACATTCTGCTGTTACGTCAACCTGAATGGCAAAACAAAATACATACAACAGTGAGGATTCGCTGGTGGTCACCCACCCAACTACTAACTCACCGGCGTGTGGCTTAAGTACGGCTGAGCGAACGGGAAGCCCTGTTTTCCACACCCTATGGTTGTATGTAGAGGATAAATGCATTGACACGCAATATTAGCGCTTAACACCGCAATTCTAAGAAACTAAAGTAGGTAGACATTAAATCTTGACGCAAGAACGCCAACCCATCCGCATAAAGAACGAATTGCACGCGTCGTCTGTGCAGCTCATATCCTCTCTTATATCAGAAACAACCAACATCATGAGGAGCTACATAAAGCTGAGAACAACGTGGGATGCGACAGCAGTATAGATGACTCGAGCCATCTCGAGACAGCCTACGGGATAAAAAAGAATGTTATTTTGTTACGACCTGTTACGAGCCAAGTCTTGATGAAAAAGAGTGCATTCAACTAGAATACTAAACATGGGGAAAGAAAGAAAGAAAGAAAGAAAGAAGAAGAAAGAAACAACACGCTGAAACAATTAAGGTAGTGATGCCTGAGGCCTCCAATCAAACAATGTAAAACACGAACTACGAAAGGCGGTGGAACACGGCGGAATCGGTTCAGGATCAATGATCCTGAATTCTTCGTGACACTCTCTTTCTTTACTATACTTCTTCTATACCTCTTCTTTCTCTCTTATTCACTATCTATTATCAATATTTTCTATATTTATCTTTATTCGTTACTTATTATTAAGCTTGATCCCTCGTCTTTACTAACACCGAGAGCCGAGTTCTAACTTTCACTATATTTCACAAGTAAGGTGAAAATAAGGCCTCTAAAGAAGCCTACTAAGGCTAAGAAGGCCGAGAATAAACTAAAGAAAACATCGGACAAATCGCAGAACTTAAAGATTACGAAATCTAACAACTTAGAGCCTACTACTAAAGAAGTAAGGAGGGCTATTAATAAACTAGAACTATTAGGATGTAAGACCCCGTTACGAGGGTCTTGGGACTTAGGTGGATTCGGGCAATAGAATGGAGAAAGCAGTAGACAGGTTCAATGCTGAACTAATCGCTGGAGTCCAAGACTCCAGCCTCTGAACTGTTTATATACAAATGTGGGGTCATGTGAGGTCATGAGCCCTCGCATTGCGGGTCTCAGCCCTGGGTCTAGTTCGCAGGTGCGAACTGGCCATCTCGCAGTCTCACACAGACTGCGAGATATATATCGTCAGACCTGCTTAGTACTTGGGTCCTGACATAGGATCCGATAGTTTATGCCCCACACTAGATATTAGGAAGGTTACAGAGGTGTTATACGCCTACTAAGCGAACACGGCTATCGATAGGCGCGTAACTATTAAATACCTAACCTTCTAGACACCCGCACTAGTGCAACAGATGACAATAAACAATCAAGAAACCATTATAGACAGCGCCGCTCTTTAGACGGTACCCCTAATCGGAGAACGAGGACAATTTAATCACCCGCCTTATTTTACTAAGCTAGAAGATCGTATAGTGTATAAACTAGTACAGCAGAACTATATAATAAAGCTCCGCGCTATCGTTTGGCCGAGAGATGTAACGGGCCAGGGCCACGTTGAGGCTCGGGCTTTGCCCGTGCAGACACCGCACCCGATACTGCCGAACGGGTAGCCTGACCGCCCTAGGGAACACTATACAGCAGTTGACCGCTCCCTTGTTTACGGTTCTCTAAGATTTAGATAAACAGCATGCAGGCACCGCCTAATTGAATCAATTCAGCTGTAGCCTTCACACTCCCCGCCTAATCAGCGAGTTTAACCTAAATCTTAGACAGGAAAAGATTATCGAACTTTACAACGGGACTAATAACTACATCGTAAAGAACTACGACCTTAACGTACACGACGAGGAGGTTATTCGAGGAATTCTTAGTCCTTTAAACCACACCCTTCTAGGTTAGACCTTCTAGGGTGTCTCGGATATTATCAATCCCAATACTAGCAACTTTAAGAAACGCAAGATAGAAGCTAGCATCAAAGAACCAGTTGATATAGATGTCGACGCTATCACGGAGAGAATAGCTAAGCTTAAGAGTGCCCCCTCGTTTGCTCTAGCTGGAAAGGAATTACCTAGCGGACAAGATAGCTGTAATGGTCTTTGGGACCATACAATGGGAGACAGATCACTAAGACTGCCAAGCACTCTTTCCAACCTTTGGCCTTTTCCCATCAGGGTTTTGCCTGGTTGGTTTTAACGAGGCTATGCAGGATGAGGAGTAATGGATCCGATCATGTAACGGGAATGTTCCGTCTACGAAAAGGATTCGGACGTAGTGTCACCAACGAAGATGGAATCGCAATAAGTGATACCGACAGAGATAATGTGCCCCTGGGAGCTTCGTCCAAACGAGGCATAAAAGGGGGATAACTCCCTGGCCCCTATCTGGGGGACAAGAATTAGTCTCTGTGCAAGAATACTATATCGTTGACGCTCCTCCACCTATTCATTACCGATCCATCATCGTATCTTACCGGATTGACAGGCTGATCACCCCTGACCTGGTAATCTTCTTACAATAGCACCCTTTAGTCATTTATTCTAAAGGACTAGGACGCAAACAAAATCGTAGACTAGATTCTCTAGGTCAGTACACAGCTAAAGGCTAATAACAAGCTACAGCCCCTCGTTACGGTGATATATCCGAAATCATCAGTAAAGCCGATAAACTTCGGACTATTAGGGACCAGGCAAGGAGGGTCATCGAGGAGCGAAACGACAAAATCAAGAAAAGGATTACATGGCTCGAAGAGGAAATCTATAAGCAACCCAAGCAGACCCGCAGAATGTTAACAATTACAAAAGCTTAATACGTCGACGTGGTGCTTAACCCGAACTTCGAATTACAGAAGTCAGACACTAACAGCCTTAGGGATATCCAGGATATCACCGACCTACCTGATGACGACTTAGAAGGCGAATACAAGTCCGATAACCAACATAACAACTCTAAGGCAGAGACAGAAAGCAGCGAAGAAGAAAATGGCGAAGAAGAGAACGGCGTGGAAGAATAGTTTCATTTGCCAATTTGGTAAGCATTTTCATTTCGGTCTATTTCATATTCACACCCTCGAATCGAGGGTTTCATACTTATTATTATCAATCCTGGTATCGGGACGATACCATTATTCGGGCCCGGCAACTGTCACACGTGACGGATGTCACATGACAGATTGGCCCCTTTTAGCTAGCATATCTTAGTTGAGGAATAGATCATCATCTTCCCCGTTGCAGATGCCCCACGGGTAAGCGGGTGCTCTGAGACATTCTCCACCCGGCATCGCTTGGCCCCCGACTCAAGCCTCTGCCAAGAGATTATCCGATCTTAAGTACCGAAAATCTCTCGTTTCACTCGCATTCTGTCCCTCTATCATCCGTGGTGAGGCTATTTTGCAATATGTCTGCGTTCCGAGCCTGGCAGGCTGATTTGTTCCTCCTGGTAAATCTATATGGTCAGCGCTCTAAGGTATAGGCATCCTCTAACAACATCCAAGGAGCAATGGCAGGAAGACTCGTCGCTATCTATTGATGCCCAACGTGAAGAAATTCTCGCTAAATACGTGACACTCGGAGTCCGTGGCCGTCAGGTATTTTGATTTTGGCCCGTTGTGACTCCATCGGGAAAGCTAACCCATCGGAATAGCCATATCGGGAGCAGCAGCGAAGACTAAAGGGTAGGTCTGTACAGGGACTTCCATCCCACAGTCAAGAGCTATTGAACCGCGTTCGCCAACAGAGCTTTGAGCGCCAGTTGGTGGACGGAACGTGTTGGCTCCGAACCTGCTATGAGCCTTTCTCCGAGGACTCTTGGGCTGAGGTTCAACGTCACATTGAAGGCATGTTCGGTCGGCCTGCAATTTGCAACGATTCATCCTTGTATAACTTCAATTCCAACTGGGAGAAGATTTTTCTTCGTCTGCCACAGCTGCTCGACTGTACTTGCCCTACCGAAGAATACGAAGAGTATGTCCAAGAGGCCCTACTAGATGGAATCGAGGCCGCAAGCCTTGACCCTCAGGCTGCGGAAGAAAGCGGCTACGACCCGGAGGAGGATGAAAATCCGTGGTCGGAATTTTATTCAGACTACCACATGCGACTAGTCGCAGGACGCATCCATATCGTTGATGCTACGACCCTTGCTTCCGAAGGCTCCGACGCAGGAACTGTTCTTGTGCTGTGGTTCGACCAGTGTGGACGGGCAATCCGTTACTCTCGCGAGCCGCTAGAGGATGCATCGGACATTGCCAATGTTTCCGATGCTATGCTGAACGAATTTTCGTGTTGGGCCAATGCTCACATTGGCCAATCCTATGAATGGGGTGCGCCCCTAGGTCCCCCCTACGAGAATAATGGAGAAAGTTCCGGGTAGCGACTTTTGCCTCGGTGGAGTACCATAGCCTCAAATACAACTATTTTAGCTCAGTGTATGCGTTTGCACTAAGGAATGTGTGTAAAATCCACTCATATATCAACTCCTTATCTTGAATATCGAATCTGGCCCCTGATTTTCTGTTGTCATACCTAGGTACTGAACTAAATCTTTGAAACACGCTAGAATGTTCTCCGAGTTCCTTACATAGGTAGTGATTTTTATAAGACCAAGTGGAAGCTAGTCACTAGCGCTCGTACAGTGCCCAAACTAGGTACCAGACTAAATCTTTGAAACACGCTAGGATGTTCTCCGAGTTCCTATTATAGGTAGTGGTTGTTATAAGATCAATTGGAAGCTAGTCACTAGCGCTCGTACCGTGCCCCAACTGCAACCGAGGATGCACCGGACTCGAGTTGCGAAAGCGCAAAGCTAGATAAAAGAAATCCGTGTGTGTGTGACATAAATCGTCTTCATAGTCCTTTGGTCCACGAAGGTGATGTGTCGATCCTCTCATTAATTCTACAAGTAGCTAAGATATCGAACTTCGCCGAGTCCTACAGCTCTCACGAGACGGATTATAGCATGATGAGGTTCCTCAGGTCACACACTCTTTTGTTATTGATTTACTCAATCATTCTTTTTGCGAAAGCGCAGCAAGGTGCCACTTGTTCGGAACTAAACCCTTGCTTGGAGGGATGCTACAGTCAATTTGGAAGGTAAGATAATACACCTACACCCAGCTTTCAATCACATAATGGCCAATCATACTGATATTGTTTCATAGCTGCGGCTTTGACGATGACCATTGCGGCGATGGCTGTCTAAACAACTATAATGCAAAGGCCGAGTGTGGCAAATACGGAAATTTCACCAGTTGCCCTCTTAGTGTTTGCTGTAGCGAATTTGGCTTCTGTGGCTCAACAAGTGACTTCTGCGGTGCTGGTTGCCAGAACGGCTGCGAATTGGTGGAGTGAGTTGTCTGTTCTAATATTTCAAAAATATATTCATGGATATATGTCCAATGCCGTTAACAAAATCAGTTACTAATTCGCTTCCTTCTACCATATTAGTGAGCCATCATGTACGAGCTCTAGCAATAGCAGCTCACTTGAAAGAGTGGTTGCCTATTACGAGTTGTTTCAATTTAGCCGACCATATGGCACTCTACAATCGGAGAGTATCCCTGCCGGTGCTCTTACTCACATCAACTTGGCATTTGTCCAATTTGGAGACGATTGGAAAATGATTGATGAGTACGGTGACATTGTGACCCGAGTGATTCGGCTCAAAACAACTTATGCTGGGTTAAGAGTCAACGTCGCCATTAGGGGCTGGAATTTTAACGATCCACCTTCGTCAACTTATTTCTCAACAATGGCAAGTTCATATGTGAATCGGCAAACTTTCATTAGCTCTCTCATGTCGTACTTGCAAAAGTATGGTCTGGACGGTGTTGGAAATAGGTGAGCTTCCCACTGCAATTGCCTTTTTCTCTGTGTTCAGTGTTCTTACATGGGGGACTCCACAAACTGGGAATATCCAGCAGCAACAGATCGCGGTGGCACTGCTGACGATACGGACAACTTCGTTATATTGCTCGCTGAAATGAGAGAGGCTTTCGATGCTGTGAATCCCGGCTAGGAGATCACCTGCACTCTTCCATCCAGCTACTGGTACATGCAAAATTTCAGCCTCGCATCGATGCAAAAGTACATCTCGTTCTTTAACATGATAAGTTACGATCTACACGGTATGTGGGACCAGGATAACAAGTATACAGGGTCCTATCTGCGAGGCCATACCAACCTCACGGAGATCGATGTAGGGATGGACTTGTTGTGGCGTAACAACAGTGATCCAAAGAAAGTGGTTATAGGAATTGGATTCTACGGTCGAAGCTTTACGATGGTCGACAAAGACTGCTATACAGCGGACTGCGAATTTTCTGAAGTTGGAGGTGCTGGACCATGCTCACAAGCTGCTGGAATTCTATATTATTCAGGTGAATTTACCCATCTGCTTCGTCTCTTTTGTTCACAATACTTACAAAAGGCTTCAGAGATTGAGTCCAGCAACAGCTCTAGTGACGTCTAAACTTACTATGACCCAGTTTCAACGGTCAAGTATAATGTTTATAACGGCAATCAATAGATATCCTACGATGATGCGCAGTCGTGGCAGGACAAACTGAGATACCTGACAGGGAAGTGCATTTCTGGTGTCATGATATGGGCTCTCGATCAGGATGATGGAATGCATAGGGCTCTAGGAGCGCTCCTAGGCGAGGATGCGCTGTCTGGCTCACTTATGGAGGGAGGTAATCTCTCGACCAGCCAAAAGAAAGAGTTGACGAGTCAAATAGCCGCATACACCGGGCAAAATTGCTATGTCACTCAATTCTGTACCGATGGTTCAGGCTCCTATAAGAACGATCCGGATTATGTGTGTCCCACTGGTTTCTCCTCCGTTGCCACTACACACGCCCCTCAACAAAAGCTCGGATACTACATTACCGACACTTGTGATAGCGGATTCTACCGTCATATTTGCTGTCCCACAGATGCCATACCGAAGAATTGCGAATGGACCGGCGCCCCGGTACGCAGTGAAGTTGGCTGCAGTGGCAAGTGCGGAAGCGATCAGTTCCAGCTTAACGTCGATTCATACGTTGACGCCTCGGGTGAGGAACCATGTTACCAAGGAGACCGCGCCTTATGCTGCGATGGCGCCGAGTCAATCAATCAATGCAAGTGGACTTCATGCCAGAAGCTTGCATCCACTCAGGACAAGCCGAGTTGCCCCAGTGGTAGCACCTATATGACCACCCGTTTTAACGATGAAGATGGCAGTTTATGCTCCTCGGACGATGATGACGATCTAGAGATTCTCTACGCTCAGGCATACTGTTGTCCAAGTGATGATGTGCCGTCTAATTGCTCTTGGCCATTCGAGACGCTACCTCATACATCGGAATATCTCTTCTATCCCTCTGCCTATGACTCCACCAAAGTGCAATATACGACCGCGCTTGATCCTAGCGAGCCATATTACGGCGGTGGCTTGCAATCGGATTATGATTGTACTACTTAGACCCCTCCTGCTGGGGAAAATCCCAATTGGCCATACTGCTGCGACCCACCGCAGGCAAACAGTGAGAAATGGCCGGTTGACCCCAAGTATCTCTGGGATAACTACTACGAAGACACTGGGGACGACGTGGAATGGGCTTACGTCGACAAATACGGCAACAACAACAAACAGAGCTCTCCCAGCGACGATGATAGGGATGATCCATATGTATTTGTGATACTAGATGGCCCTGCAGGCTCGATTGACAGTTCATTTGCCTCGACATATGAATTCGCTCGTCGGAGCGAGGAAGTTCCCAAAACCAAACGCTCCTTGTTCACCACGAACCGCACCCGCTTAGATACCAATTTCGATCATGTCGAGGAAACGCATCATATCTTTTGCAAACTGCCCACTGGCTCGTTGAAATGCGACAATTTATTCTTCGACGGTGCTAAAGACACGATAATCCATCTGCCAGAACACGTTGGCGAAGGCCCATTTGCTCGTCTCGTTTCAATACAGCGAGCCCATAGCTCATACGACCTTCCTCGGCATCATTTGGTCAAGCGGATTGCGGAAGAGAATGAGAATCCTGTCTACAAGATCAAAATTGACTACAATTTTCAAGCAATCAAACGTGACTCAGGTGCTATCAACATGCGTGTGGATTACACCAACCTGCTTGATTATTGGGAAGACGTTATAGATACTCCTGCCACTCGCCGGAAGAAGCGCTCTACTACTTCGGTCCGCGACGAGCACATATCCTACCGTGAGTGGCGCGGTAAGGTTAACTGGGCCAAAACCTCGCATGAGGCTCTTCGCAAGCGACAAGCGGACATCATGACCTCCAATACTACATTTGAGCGCGCCGGTGACCGAGAACCTCACAACCTCCAAAAAAGGTGGTTTGGTAGCTTCAAGAACTGGCTAAATAAGATGAACACCGTTGAGAGCAGCAGAGTTGGGTATCTGTCCCAATTTTGGAAGAGCAGTCTTCTCCTCTTCAGCGCCTCCACGGGATGCCCAAAGGCGAACGCCCAATTGAACGTCTACCTGGATTCTGAAATCGGTATAGACAGCACATACGCCTACTACCTCTCCGGTACTCTGGTCCCTCCGTCTCTGGATGGCATATATGCATACTTTTGCATGCAGCCGAGTGTGTATATGGGCTTAACAGTTGAAGGCACCGCTCGTATGGACTACAAGTCCGAGCGAAAGCAGTTCATTCCAACCCTTTCCTACCCTGGCCTGGCAATTAAGGGTATAGCAGCCGTTGGGCCCACCCTTGACATCTATGGACAAATCAGTGGTGTTGTACAACTGAGCGGCAAGATGTCCGTTGGTGCCAAGTATACCTTTGAGAAGTTAGAAGTTTATTGGCCTGAAGGCGATGACAGCACGGATTATAGCAAGATCAACGATCTCGTTGGTGACCCTGAGCCCGTGGCATCTGGACTTGAGCCGTTATTCCAGGCGTCAGTTCAGGCTAGCGCCGATTTAGATGTCATGGTTACACCCGAGGCTAACATTGGCATCACCATTAGTGGCTTATCTCTCATCGGAGGTGTTACCCTGGTCGATGCCCAAATGGTTGGCTTTGTGAATACTACACTGAGATTCCACGCTGATTCGGGGGCATCCGTCTCGGGCGACTCCTCCACCGTGAGTGCTGCTTATACATACAACTATGGCGTGTATCTCCTGTACAATCTTGGATATGGTGGAAATGCCACAATTCCATTCTATGAATGGTATATGACAGCCCGGACACTGTTCAGAAGTCCAAAGTTAATCACTCTTTACTCGAATTGGGATGTTGGTTCATCTTCAACAAGTATATCGACTAAAGACCCTCGTAACGGGATCTTACACCTCTTACGTTAAGAACATCCCGCTTAACCTTATCGGAAAGGGGCCGAGAAGTGTCTCGCTCCTACTATGATATAAAGCTAGTGAATATATTATAAACCGTCTTTTGGCTCGGAACTTTGTCGCGCGATGTAATATAAAACTCTACGAAAAGTTTCAAAAGTTAGGGAGTTAGGATAGGCGAGTTAGGAAAATTCGAATCTATAGACTCGTTACGGGAAAGCCTCTATCTGCTACTAATCAGAGATTAAGATCGGTAAAATACGAGTTAACCTTACAGAGCCTAATTGCCAACTGCATAGCCGTATTTGCCGAGCGTAGTAGGCGCTAGCTCACGGTAGCAGATAGTGTTATCCTCTTCTTCCTTCTCGTTTTGATATTTACGTGTGAATCCACGTGATACGGCACGTGCGATACGCTCCTAGAGTGCTTTCTAGAGATTCTTTTCGGAGAACATAGTTTGAATGGCAAGGAAATTTAAATAAGATCATGGCAGAGCAAGAGAAGGGCCTCGCGGCTTGTATTTATGTCTTTGACGGGCATAGATTCAGAGTGAATCAGCCCCTGTCACCCTAAGGGTGAGAATTGTCACCCCGTTCTCACCTCTCTCACCCCAGTCTCGAGACTTCTCACCCATATCACCCACACTCACCCTAGAGTGCCGCTTAAGCACTAAGGGCGCATTGACTATTGACTGCGTTGAATATGTGGCTTAAGTACGGCTGAGCGGACGGGAAGCCCTGTTTTCCACACCCTATGGTCGTATGTGCTTGATAAAGGGAATGAATGGAATATATTCAAACAGATTGTCTACTAGCAAAAGCCCGATGCAGGCTGGATCGGACCTCCCTCATAAAGACTACTATGAGGTAAGGTGAGTTTCATCATGCTGACCCCATAAGGTTTGCCTCATTGATATTTTCTCGGATCACATAGATCACAACAATATTAGCCCGGGTTAAAGGCACATAATCTCTGTATGTGTCATACTCAAGCCCGAATCCTTTGCTGAGCGGGAAGTAGTGGCGCATATAGGCTGGAAGAAGTTGTGGGTTGGGAGCAATTATAGGTGAGGATTTAGGAGGTCGTGCGTTAGTCGACGTTAGAGAAGGAACGGACGTTCTCCTGCTTATTCGTGCTGTTTCACTCACTTTTTTGGTGGCCGAGTGGGATATTGGTGACTTGAAAGGAAGGAAGATGTTAAAGACTGCGAAGAGCCCATCGAAGTCTTTGAGTGCTCGTAGAAGAAAATCGATTAGACAAATTACCTACGTTCTTACCCATGCACCTATTAAAAACTATATTATCGAAGTCTTATATCATGAAGCGCATCCTTTAAACCTCACCTATCATTCCCACCACCAATTTTATGCATTCTGCTTTCTTTCACTTTCATCCTCAACCTCCACGAGGACAAACTCAACTTTTCCACTTCCCTTCACTTGCGTTTGAACCGGCGGAAGCAACGCCCAAAGTTCACTCAGTTTGCCCCCGCTCGTTGTCCAGCTCGATGGACCTTTCCTTAGGTTTCATGGGTGGCACGACGGCATCAACGATGACCCTTTTGCTCTTTCCGCTCTGCAACTTATCTCCAAGCAGCATTTGCAACTCTTTCAGCTGCATGCGACTTTCTATGCTTACAACAGGATGGAAATGGGCCTTCAAAATGCAATGCATACATATGCACAGTTCACCAACTTGGCTTCCGGGCCGCTTCCGGCCCAAGACGGGCACCCATGGTATGACTCCGTGATCGGTGATCATGGTGATGCCCCTTGATGTCAATATTCCCTCTCTCGAAGACAAGAAGATCTACCTCAGATACTTTACGGATGGCTCTTCGAGATCAGGGCATCAGGAGTACTCAGTGCTGTATACTTTGATAAGGAGATTGGACCAATTTTGAGAAGGTTTACAACCTTGTCGTGGACGCTCTCGAAATTGTTCAAAAGCTAGCGAAGACTGATCAAGGAAGTCTTGCAGACTGATGTACAGACGAAGCATCGAATAAATATCGGGCCAATAGACAATGGACTTATTGAGGGAGCATACGCGGATACATGCTGTGGGCAATGCAACACCATCTCCCCGTCGCAGCCCCAGGAATCCCAGGGCTCGCTGCTTTGAACGCTTGAAGAGTACCAGTCGCTGGAAGCCGTTTGATAATTACATTCATGATGGCAATTGAGGAGAGACCGAGAATCCTGAGTTGTGTTAAAGAACGATTCTACCGCGGTTTATGGGCGCAGCCAAGACTCAGAATTGCCCATTTGACCAGCCAAAAGTTAGGTCCGCGAACAAGTATTTGAGAATGTCACCAGGCTTTCCAGTGTAACACCGATTAGCGCTGTCTATTGGGATGCATTTAGTGAGACGTTGGCCTTGATACCATCGATATTCAAGCATTTATATACTCAATGAACACAGGATTTACCAAGCCTGCAAATAAGTCAGATCGTAAAATTGAACGCTACATTAATATTAAACGCTCTTATACACGAGTCAAGCCAGCCAGTAAAAACCTACCGAACCAGCTCCCACTCGGCAACATAAGCCCAAGCCATGCCAATGCGGCCAGCCTGCTCCTGGAACTCCTCAGCCGTAACACCGCTCGCATCCTTTCGGTCACCAAAGCTAGTCAGAACAGCCAACTGCAGCTTCTGACCAGGCGCGCCAAGCATGCGCGCATCGGGAACCTCAACGTACCAGAACTCGCCACCGCCCGCGGTGCCTGAGCCTGGCACATGTGTGAAGACAAGTTTATCATCCTTGCGTCCGTCCAGGCCATGGGTCATAAGTAAGAAGAGACCGGCGCTTTGAAGATTGCTGTGGCGAGACAGTGTCCAGTGCGGACAAAGGAGACCAAATTGGAAGCATATTGCGCCAGGTGTACTGATTGAGATGCGCAGGCCTTGCGGTTGGAATGTTTTGCGGCCAATGGACCGCTTGTCCGCATCGCCGTAGACCTTTAGGCTTTCGACGCCGTTGGGTCGGTCTGGGTCCGTGAGAACGTATTGCTCCCAGGTGAGGTCTGGGCGGCCGTCTTCGCGATAGAAGTGGCGCTTATTTTCGGGGAAGTGCTTGAGCCCGAACTCTTCGTTCGACATGGAGAACATAGCTGGCTCAAAGCGCTGCTTGTAGGGCTGGCCTGCGCCCTCGATTGCGCCGGCGCCCCAGCAGGAGTCGATTAGCTTCCAGCGGCCTCCGTCAATCTTGACGGCGTTCCAGGCGTGGTTGCCTGCGTACGGGGGGACAGATGCCCCTGGTGCTAAAGAGACGTGTCCGAACCCTTTGCCGTGGCCGCCGACCACTACGGCCTCTAACCCGGCATGGGTTGCCAATGCTGCAAATAGCCCTGCGTAGCCTTCACAGACTGCCAATCCAGTTGCTAGAGTGCTAGCCGGCGTGGATGGTTTAATGCAGTTATTGAAAAAGGCAACAGTGTCATAGAAGACATTATGATGTAACCATGTAAATATCGCCCGTGCCTTGTCTGTCAAGGATGGGAACGGTGAAGTCAACTCGTTCGCCAGCCATGTCATATCTTGTGTGGGCAGTGACGCACGAGGATAGCGGGCCGCATGGTTATCAGGCCCCGAGAAGTCACGACATACTAAGCACTCCTCAGATTCCGGGATCGGAGGGGTTACGGAGACAGTCGAGCCATCGAAGCGTGGCTTTGTGGCCATGATCTTAGACAAATCAGGGCGAGTGCCATGCGGGATCGGTGGCGGAGATCCGTTGGGGACAGTGCTGCCCGGCCGGGATGGAAGGTTCGGACTCTTATTCCCAAATCCAAACTGTCTGGCATCCTGTATTTTCGCAACTGATGGCGGCGGGGGTAATGTCCTCCGAATCGGCAGACTGACGCTTGAATCGCTCGTGTCCTCTTGTGCCTGTACGCCAGCTGGTCGGCGCGGGGGGAGTTTGGGCCCGGGGGCTTCATATTCGGTTTCTCGACGTGGAGGCTGGCTCGGGCGAGGAGGTTGGCTGGGTTGGCTGGGGAGAGAAGGTACAGGCGGTTTGGAGCCCGGCAGGTTGAACTTAGAGGTGAATCTAGAAGACAACCCTCCCAAACTCCTCTTACTGCTCAGTGTAGGCCGTGGCGGCGGTTCCGCGATGGCCTCCTTTGGTCGCCGAGGAGGCAAGGCAGGCAGTTCTGTCTCGCCCCATGCAGGCGCCTTGATGCGATTATTTCCATTGGAGTTCACTGAGGTTGTCGATGCACCACGCCCCGTAGTTGTTGCCGTCGATGTTGTGGAGTAAGAGGCATCAGAAGTGGCCGAATCGACCGAGGGCCTACGCTTTTGATCCGTTGGCCTACGTGGTGGTAGGGCAGGGCGAGTTGGCATGGGGGGAGGCAGACTGTCTGCTTTTCGCGTGGGCACCGGCGGAGGGGGCTTTCTTGGCTTCGGTTTCACGTCAGGTCGAAGTGTTTCCATTGAAGGCGCTGGCAAGACAGCCCTTTGAGTTTTGTCGTCCGCAGGCTCATTTCCAATGTGTGATCGATCAACCACAGAGCCGATCGCATCATATGAAGGCGGGTTGTTGGCTGACGCGCTCCGTTCGGGTGCTGGGCGGAGGAACGGTGGTTCAGGTCCTCCCGGTGGGCGGGCCAGTTGCGACTGGTTCAGGGCGGCGATCCGCTGCTGAATTGAATTTAGCTGCGGTTCTTCGGCCATGACTCCTGTGCAGCCTTTATGGAGGGGAAAGCCAAAGATATGTGACCAGATGGAATAACAGACAGCTGTCGCGACTTTTAATCGAAGTACCTCTCTTGGTGGCTTGGCGGGGGCCAAAAGTAGCCCCAACACTAGAAGAACGGTCTCAAATGCAAAATCTAATTTTGACAATTGAAACCAGAACGAGAAGAACGACGAAAGTCAACAGAAGGGAAGAACAGCCCGAGGCTCGCATAAAGAGGGGTGCTTCCATTTTAGCCCCAGTGATGGCCCCCAATGAGAAACATCCCCCGTCGCGGATGTACCATGGATCCAGATCTATATCTGGGACAATATGGACATTTTAGTCAACTACGTAGACACTTTTACACAGGAATCACATTGGAAAAGAAATGAGGGTAGGATTGTATTTCCAGCAGATCGCCCTCCACGATTCGGACTCCCAAACGCCTCGAGGCGGCCTGGAAAATGGACAGATAAAAGAACACTAGGTACGTTCAGAGATGAATGAAGGAACAAGATGCACCGAAGAAAATGACACGGAGAATGGGAAGTAAAAGAGACAAGAATCAGGCCTTGAGATCCGAGAGAGCACATAGGCTATTTCAAGAAGCTCAAGGCCAACAAGACATAAGAAAGGTCAAGTACATCATTGGAGAAAGGAAAGAAAAATCACAAAGTGGTAGAGCCGTGGAGTTAGAGGGCCAGCGTCGATCATCAACAGCATCACTTCGTCCCAATGTACATAATCGTCAGGGCAAGCGGACAGTTTCTAGACGTTCTTGTAAAGGAGCAGAGGCTCGCCGACGTTCTCAATCTCTGGGATAGTGCACTTCAAATCGAAGGCTTTGGCCAGTACAATCTTGAAGATCTGCGGTGAATTAGCGAATGTGACCTGTTGTTAATCAAAACGAGCAACTGATAAGACATTCCAACGATACCTTTTGTACGTTGATGCTGTGACTGGTACTGCTGAAGATCAGACTAGCCTTCATCGCCTTGGCAAATCGTTTGGCTTGGATAGAGATCTCCTCTTGATCTTCGCGAGGGAAGTTGACAAAGTGATCGTATTTAGTGCCCACCAGGAACGGAATAGCAGTTTTATTGAAGCCACGTCCTTGGCGGTACCATTCCTTAATCGAGTTCAATGTACTCTTGCGAGTAAGATCGAACATGAACAGAATTGCAACAGCGTCATTACAGACAAGTGGCAGCATATTAACGAACTCGCGTTGACCACCAAGATCCCAAATCGAAAAGGTAATCTCGGTGTTACGGATCGAGATTGTCTTCTCCATAAAGTTGACACCTGCAGATATCATTAGCTTTGAAACAACGGGACCGTTACTTGGGTATAGATCCAACCTACCAAGCGTTTGGATATAATCCTCATCCCAGCTACCCTCAACATATTTAACCATGAGACTGGTCTTTCCAATCTGCGCATCTCCCACCATGCCAACCTTAATTACAACACTATTCTTGTTGGCCTGTGCGGCTTGTCGCTGGCTGGCTTCTTGCTGTTGTTGCTGAGAAGCACCAGGGCGTTCCGGACCACTGGAGAGTCCAGACCCAGGCCTGGAATTTGGAACAGGTAGAGGATGGTGGGTGAGGGTTGGAGAAGAGTTTTGGCGGGACTGATCGGTATCTTGTGCGGCATATTCGGGGGCAGATTGATGGAAGTCGTTCGATCGGGAGTGGTAATGCGCCTTGGAGTCGCTGTTATAACCATTGTTGATGGCGGCACGGCCAGAGGTGTGGTCAGAGACGGGCTCTTCGACATTGACCATGACTGGCACAGATTGTTCCACAGACTGCTCCTCGGGAGGGATCTCCTGTCCTTGCTCCTGTATCTGCGCTGGCTCCTGTACCTGTTCCGTCTGATCGTTGGGTGCGATCTGTTCGGGGTCTGCAACGGCAGGAACGACGGGAACGTCACTCTCAGGCACAAGTGGAGCCTCTGAAGTAGATTGAACAAACTCCATCTTGACTTCGGGGTCTGTATTAACTTCAAGTAGTGCAGCCTGTAAGACACACCCTGATTATCAGCGCGTATACGAAGGATGAAACTCCGGGCTAAGACCAACAGATAACAGAAAGTGCTGATATTCCAGCCCAATCTAGCGAGATTGCATATGATTCAATATGTTTTAAGGAATCGATAAAATTGAGGGAACCGAAAGCTGTGTCGCGGGAGTTAAGCGGAGAGGGTTGGTCCCTGAGTAAACACAGGTGAGAAACAAGGATTGGACGCGACAAGGGAGTGAGTTGGCAACCCAACAAACAAAATGCAGGTACCGGACTGGAAATGAATGGCAAGTTGAATCCTGAAAAATAAGTTCAGGCCTAGACACACATATGAACATCAGGTACATTCAGCTCGAGGCGGGCAATTGGAATCTGACGCTAATCCACGATAGGTTTAGCGCCGCTCCCACGCTTTTGCCAAAATTTACGGGAAAAAAAGTTCTTATCGCCCACCCCTCTATATACTCTTTCAACTTCCTCCATTTAATTCATTTCTCAACGGATTCAAGATGTCCAAGAGAAGTGCTGAAACTGTGGATGAGCAGTCAGCCCTTAAGGCTGGCGAGCGCCCAATTGCTGCGGCCCCAATGGACGAAGCGGGGGAGTTTGAAGACGAGTTCGAGGATGAGTTCGAGAGTGAAGATGAGATCCTTGAAGCTGGTGTTGATGGTCGCCCAGACGCTGAGCGCGAAGAAGAAGAGAAGGGTGCGCATTTACCACATATCACTCATTGATACATCTCGAAGAGCTTCACTGACGCATTTTTTTTTTTACTTTATAGAAGCTATGGATGTCGACAAGGAGACTTTCATCCCCGGACGGACAAAACTGGCGCCTGGAGAGACACTATCGCCCGATCCTTCCACCTACGATATGCTTCACACACTAAGCACTCCCTGGCCATGCCTCTCCTTCGACATTGTGCGCGACTCGCTCGGTGACAACCGCAAGACCTACCCTGCCACGGTCTATGCTGTCACTGGTACACAAGCCGAGGGATCCAAATCCAAGGAGAACGAATTGATGATTCTCAAGATGAGCGGTCTCAGCAAAATGGAGAAGGGAGGCGAGGAGTCAGACAGCGACTCGGACGACGACGATATGGGTGAGCCCATCCTCGAGCACAAGTCGATCCCACTTGGCTCAACGACGAACCGCATTCGCACCCATCAGACCCCCTCTCAATCGGGTGATTACTCCAAGCCCCCACAGACTCTTACTGCGACTTGGCTCGAAAACTCCCAAGTCGTCATCCACGATGTCACTGCCCACCTTGCCAGCTTCGATGTGCCCGGCACTATTCTTCCGCCCTCGGCTTCTAAGCCTCTTTCAACTCTGCGCATGCACAAGACCGAAGGTTACGCCCTGGATTGGTCTCCTCTCCAGCCCCTCGGAAAACTATTGACCGGTGACAACGACGGTTTGATCTACGCTACCACTCGCACCGAAGGCGGCGGCTGGGTTACCGACACCCGACCTTTCACAGGCCACACATCCTCGATCGAGGAACTTCAATGGTCTCCTAATGAGCGCAACGTGTTTGCATCGGCAAGCAGCGACGGTAGCGTTAAGGTGTGGGATGTGCGATCTAAGTCGCGCAAGCCTGCTGTCGATGTTCAGGTCTCCAACACCGACGTCAACGTCATGAGCTGGTCTAACCAGACCGCTCACCTTTTGGCAACCGGTGCCGATGACGGCCAGTGGGCGGTCTGGGATCTGCGTCACTGGAAGCCCAATGCCGCCGCGCCTTCTGCTCAGATCACCTCTACCCCCGTCGCATCTTTCGACTTCCACAAGGAGCCCATCACCAGTATTGAGTGGCATCCCTCGGATGACAGTGTGGTGGCAGTTGGCTCCGCAGACAACACTGTCACTCTTTGGGATCTGGCCGTTGAGCTGGATGACGAAGAGAGCCGCGCGGCCAACATGGCGGACATTCCTTCGCAATTGCTATTCGTGCATTATATGGAGTCCGTCAAGGAGCTCCACTGGCAGGCACAGATGCCGGGTACCCTCATGGCGACCGGTAGCAGTGGATTCAGGTATGTGGTATCTCGATGGAGACCTGGGAACGCAGCTAACCACCCCCGAATTATAGTGTTTTCAAGACTATCAGTGTTTAAAAGAAGATTTGTATTTACGCTCCGACCGACTCGGGAATTGCATGTGCCATGTCTTGCTTATATACCATTCGAATTCTGTGGACTTTTTTGCTCAATATCATTACGCTCGGAGTTGGAACCTTGTCTTGAGATGGCTAGGATGGTGAACAGAAATATAGTCTTTAGGTATGGAATAGTATATAGAGTTTCTTTCAGCCACCGCAAGACCCAACATCGAGATATGGCTCTAGAACATGCTGTGTTTTCTACAGTCGAGGGCCTCGTTGAGTACTCGATACACAGAGTAGGCAGACTAAACAGCGGAAGTAGCTCCACGCCTAGACAATTCCGCGCCCCATCCCAGCCGAGGCCAGTCAAGCGATAAACTAGGAGGAGGGGCAGTCCTGCAATGCAAAACATACTTAGGTAGAGCTCAGGGCATTTTTGACAATACACGCAGTATCTCCTAAACACCGGAGGTGCACACCTGGGTATATTTCACCCTCATAACCTAATTCCACAGAATTACCTCACTGACACTCACACGGTAATTGAAGACGTCAATTGTGACGATCGTAAAAGCGACATGTCGTTAGCCGGGATATCCTGCATATGAGAAAACTCACTTCGGTCGCAGGATGGACCGTGCCAGATCGCCAATGCGCCATTAATTACATTACATATGCGACCTAGGCCTAGGTGCGTGTGTAATGTCACTCGGCGCTGGTTGGCCTGGGACCGAGTCGGGTGCGACTGTTGGCTGGGCCAGTCGGTTCAATGATCCTGGGTGGTAGGTTGGTGGCGGCCGTTATGCTAGTATACTTTGTTTACGACAATAGTGCGTTTGGGAAAGCATTACTCCGTAGTTATACGAGACTTGATGGCTTGGACATTGAAATCAGTAATACGGAATGCCTACCTAGGTAGATGGTCGATCTTGTGGAAGATCGACCTTGGCGAGGAATATATATGGATTTTGGCTGTGCATTGTGGCGAAGTAGAAGACTTATATTATATGTTGTCTGTGTTGTCAATGCGAGGCGATCCACCTGAACTGCTACAGTACATAGAATTAGTTATTGGGTTATGTAGCGGAAGGGGGATAGTTGCGGGAGTGGATGGACGCTCTAGGTATGACATGCATGGATTTGGATGCAGACTGTTGAGCGCATTTCCATAGTCAGACGACCATTGTGCTTGTGTTGCTCGGCTCGAGACATTGGAGCAGTTGAGAACAAGTACGGAGTAAACTTAAGGTGTAAAGTAGCGTCCATACCTGAGAGCTGTGTGTATACAAAAGAAGCTGACTGCATAACACCACGCAAGGTACCTCTAACACCTCTAGCTACTTTGTAGAAGGTAGTAAATCAATCGCTTGATCTACGCCCCGGCGAAGTCTGCTCCTATCCAATCCAGCGAAAGTAAGTCGAATTGTCCCCGTCATCGTGCCTGCAATAAATACGGCTAATGCACGCCCTAATCAGCCGGTCAATCACATCAGATCTAACCGCTCTCGCGCACGTTTGATTCATGCGCTGGTAGAATTGGAAGAAACAGGCTAAAATAGCTCCGTTTTTGCGACATCGGCATTTCTCCGGTGAGATAACTCCGATATCAGTTCAGGTTTCCTATCCTTTCTCGATAGTCAGTAACTGTTATCGGATGCACGGATATTTTCATTAAATTCATCGATCACCGGTAATCGATTGTAAAGGTCTAGCAAGTCAGGACGCCGAGAACTGTTTCAATTGATACAGTATCTAGGATGTTACATTGATTACAAATAGTGTACTTTATTGCAAGGTCGCAAGGTTTACTGGGTCTTGAACACTATATATAACATCTTCAAGTTGATCTTACCTAGTGCTGGATTCACTCTTCCTTTCGCCACAAGTATATCATTTCCAAAAAAATAACATATTTCCAAATTCAAATATGAAAAGCACTGTTCCTATGTAGGTTTGAACACGCTAGCGACACCTTGCAATTGGCAGCTCTCATCCTGTCTAATCCGAGTTTACATCCACGCTAAACTTTGATCGTACACGCAGGGACTCGTTGGGCCAGTCAGACTGCGAGCTCGAGCGCCTGTGCTTTGGAAAATCCTTTCCCGGCTGGTGAATACTGCATAACTGTTTCGATCTGCATCCGACGCCGTATTATTATTATCCGCAAACTTTATGTAAAAGTAACAGAGTACAATAACTATGTATGTATATATTCTGTAGTAAGGGAATAGATCAATATTGGTCAAATTTATTAGTCGCTATCATGAAGAAGGGCCAAAAAAAGATAGGGAAATTGGTATCGACGCAAGTTATCACTAGCCCCATAGTTATCCGCTCAGGCACACCCGGACCGCCGAGGATAGTATCAGGTCTGCGAATCAACAAAGAACAATAATCGCCGGCTATAGTTTCCAGAGCTTGTGGAAGGTCCACTAATCACTATGTAATCTCTGTTCCGCACTTCTATTCACCGGAATGTCCTGATTATCCTTGTGAATTGTTTCAAATTAATATGTGGTTGGCCAGTGATTCCGTGCAACAGAAAGACCGGTGGACTCTATCTAGCCTTGTCGGGATACACCGATGCCTACGGAGTATAATTGCCGATTTCCTGGTTTGGGGCCCTCGTCTCGATATTCCGGCGCTGATCATCCGCCTGGTCCTGTCACTTCAGGATATTTGCCGCTCGATCTAGTATGACGACTGTGGATGAGGTGCATGTTGCGTTGGCTTGAGCGGTTGCTTTTTTTATTTTATCTGATTCATGGCTAAACGATGGCCATCTAAAATTAAAACACGTAAATACCGTTGAGGTCATTCTGGTCCACGTTGGTGACTTGATGGTGTTAGCAGTGTCATGTAATGTGGACCTACAATGACGCATAGGGCGCGACGACCTCTGGATAGAGCCTCAGGGATTTGAACACTATTGTAGACTGACATGTAAGGACAGTGATATACGACCTCAATATCCAATGTGCAGTGTTGTATTATGTTTTATTATACAGGAATATTACTCCCATAGCGTTGAAGTTAATTTACAACCTCCCAACGTGCAATGTAGGTACAATGTGTAGGTATTACAATAGCTATCGGTGAGCCATCAAGATGCAACCAAAGCAATTAGTAACGATAACCCTCGATCAATAAATGGACATTATCTTCACAGAAGGATACGTAAGCAAAAGAACGGCTAGGATCCCCGGCATGGAAATTAAAGTGAGATTAAAACAGAACAAAAGGCGGGTTGAAGTCCGATCTGTTGACCAGGTTACGAGATCCGCCATATCCCGTGTTGATGCCATCGTGCACAAGCGACCACTAGCCCCCGTGACAAGACAAGGCTAGGATGGGGGCGCTTCGGAGAATTTCTACTTTGCCAGACAATGTCTAAGCCAGTGTTTCATGGCTTGTAATTTATGGCTGTAGGTAAGCCCGAGACCATTCTTTTTTACATCATAGAGAGAAAGTCCATCTTTATACTTGAAAATTGGGTTGCACACATGGTACACGAGACAGCGATCATCCGCGAAACGTAGTTACGCAATAACATTAGAATTGCTCTACAGTCAACTAGTGCTCCAGGATACTCCTAGGGATTGAGTTCCGTTAGGTTAATTAGGTCGCATGTGGCATTCGCCCTTAAGTTGTTAGTACGCGCCTAAGCTTATGGCGAATTCATTGTTTCTGTCGGACCTGCATCTAGAGATAGGTCGTTTGTTAGCCTGATACCAGGATAAAGCATTTGCGAACGATCATGGTGCACTGCGTAACGGTCGTAGTTATGTTCGACACCGGTGAACTGTGCTTGGGTGTGGGTATGGGTGTTGTACAATGCTTCAGAAGTCTAGCCGAGACAGAGACATGCCTTCAACACCAAATGACCAAGTATTCCAAGCGTGGTTGCTGAAGGCTTGGAAAACCCCGACGGAGATACAAGTATCGGACATATTGTTCTTACTAACGATTAACACGGCCGCTAAGTTTCTATGGCTGTAATCCCTTTTCATATAGTATGTACTCCGTCCTAATAACTAACCACCTATAGATTATTGAGAACAAGTCGGAAGCTCACACCGATGTTTCCAAGGGGAAAACTCAGAACTTTTTAGTTGCAGCTTAATTTCTCAGCCTTCTGGGGGGATTGGCCCACCCTAACCGTCCGATCAACCCCAGCATTACCACAGCTCAGAGACAGCTTACTGCATCGGAGTTGGACCGTGGCTTATAGCGCTGTTGTTTCATTTGTCGCTCGGCCACCCTTGACTCATCTCGGGTCACCTGCAGCTTTCTTAGACTCGCTCTAGTGTCCTAGTTCGACTAGTGTCTCCTCATGTCTGGGGATTCTGCAAACGAAATGTCCGTGCGACCGAGTTACTGCGATGAGCTACAATATTGTGTACGTCCTAGACACTTTGATAATACTTTACAATAGAGACATGATGAGGCTCGGAAGAATGAGAGATACTTCTATGTGTTAACGAAAGGCGTTTTGTTCATCGTGTGACCTCTTTGATGAGCATGGAACCTTGGAAATTCTAGAGACGGCGAAACACTGTACCATTATAACCCCAGATCCGACATCCGACGATCGGCGTGAGGCCCAAAGCTGGGATGACCATCCTCGCGTCGTTCCGTGCGACTCAAACTCAAAACGGTGTGGCGCGCAACGTGTTGAGTATACGATTCTAGAAACAGATTCCGGGGAAACTAGAATCTGCCAAGAATGAAAGAAAAGAAAGCAAATATTTTCAATTTTGTACTGTAGTCCGCAAATAATTTCTCTGTTGCCACTTTGGAATCATACGCATCTACCATCATAGGAGCCGGAGGATATCCCTTACCGGCACGCCCAATTGCAGAATAGCCGGAACGTTTCTGCATTGTTACTGGGCACGAGATTGCACATCCCCCACACGAACCCTTTTTCGACTTTCCCCCACAAAAATGGCGCATGGCTCTTCTTTTGCGGATCCTTCCGCTTGAGAGCTCAGCCCCATTAAAATGATTGGTAACAGAATAAAAACATAAAATAATGAGTCTCTTTTATCTCTCTTCTATTCTTTTTGTTCCCCTTACAATATGATCCTAAAACCATAAAATAAGACAATAAGAAAAGGGTGATCTTAACTGAAATCAGATAAAAATTGTCACGAGGTCTAAATATTATACACGACATTAACCATTAAGACTTCGTATCGTGTGGTATTTCCATGTCGGCATTGTAACTCTCGGACCCACTCCGATACTTTCAGGGCAGTAATTAATTAATACATCAGTGGTACCCTACTTGCATATGTAGCTAGTATAGTAGATTACGAATTAAAATTAAAATTAAAATTAAAATTAATATACTTATACTTATGTACATATGTATGTACAATATAAGGCATCTAGTAGGTGCAGACTGGTATTCTATAATATTACAAAATATTAGTGCAATTTAAATACCATGTCATAAGTTCACATTGCCAACTCGAATTCCACAATCATGGCCAACTTAAATTCCGCAATCATGAAACAATTGAAGAATCCATCAGGCAATAATCGCATCCCGATCATATATCATATGAAACAGATAAGAGACTTGTATCAAAAAAGAATGATACTAGCGCGTTACGCCACTAAACCTCAGGAGGCAACTACGTGGAGAGCAACCAATAACTTGTTGATAACCAAATAAGTCCAGGAACTGGCGGGCATCTGGTAGCCCGTGCGTGGCCATAAGATTTAGTCTACGCCGCATTCGGTATCACTTTGGGTAATCGTGGGGATATGATTGGTATAGAAACTCAGCCCGTGTGTATGACTCCACTTGTCTGGACAATTGTATTAATTGTATTGGTACCGTCTGCTGCGTGGGCATCTGGGCCTAACATCGCCCTGGAGCGTGGCCGTTATGAATGTATCCCCGGTGTACCTTTGTTCTCGGACCTCCTTATCGTGGGTACCTCCACAGTACTTCCTGTACCAACTACCCGCCACTACTGCCACGACGACCACGGTATGTAAGTACCCTGAGGTACCTCACTCTTGTACGGTCTACAACTTCTCATGAATTACTCCAACTTCGGAGGCAATTTAGAACTTCTTCTCTTCTTCCATTTCCTCTTAACTCTCACCACTTTGCTTTCTTCCCGATCAAGGGGTGTCCCTTATCGCCCTATCTGAACTCCAAGTCGGTTATCTCCGGCTTATCCACTTCAACTGTTCCGAGCTGTGAGATCAATTCAATGGATGCGCTGCGAGTTTGAAGCATACATACATTTGAAGTTATTGCGATAGCTCCGACAAGTGAAGTGAGTCGACTCGAGACCCGTTCACCGAGGATCATACCATGGTGTGAACCGGTTCGCTGATGTTTCCGAAAGACGTCAACACTAGGCTCCATCCCGCGATACCGGCCGCAGGTCCTCATATCCTGTCAAACGAGTCATTTGTCTCTTTCTTCCAGACAACAATCCCTTCAATAGACCGACTGTAAATTTCTTGTCATTATTGGTTGGTCCTCTTCATTCCTCAAAGTTAACGATAACCTCGGTACCTTGGGTCACCGAGATAGCGCCTTCTACGCATCATATGAGAGAAATGCTGACTTTATGTCATTTGTATGGAACAGTTGTTGCGACATTTCATTGTACAAAATTCGAAAGCCATATATCGTGCAGACGCGACCCAAAGTCAATCGGCTCAAAATTGACATTACCTTTCACCTAGCTACTCTTCCCCAAACCGCAATTCATACTCTCCCCCGAGACTAGTGCCCAGCATTCTAGTCTGTGAGAAATTTTGGAAATCTAGGATGCTATTGGATGGTATGATTAGCCAGAATTCGACTCATAGCTCCAAAGTGGCGGACCTTGCCAGTATCAACGAAATTTCGGGAGAGATGCCTGGTGAGTGTGGTTGATCATATATTTCCCTCCGTGCAATTCTTACCCATGTATCGTTAGCTCCCAAAGACTCAAAGAAGACCGACCTGAATGGTCAAACAGGTGCCAATGCTACTATCCCGCCCTCCAAGACAGACAAGCCTCGGCCCCACGTCTGCACCACTTGCAGTCGCTCGTTCGCGCGACTGGAGCACCTCAAGCGCCATGAGCGCTCGCACACTAAAGAAAAGCCATTCGAATGTCCAGACTGTGCACGATGCTTTGCTCGCCGCGATCTACTTTTGCGACACCAGCAGAAACTGCACATGACCACCACGCCATCTTCTCGACCGAGAAATGGTCGCCGTGAAAGCACAGGTGCCGCGCCCGGTGCCAACCGGGTTCGCAAGAATTCCATTGCCAATACCACTTCCTCGTCATCCATGCGCCCAAGGGCAAACACTATCAGCCACATTGACGGGGCCGCCCTAGGTATTCCAGGTGCTGGAAACCCGTCATCCGCTCCTCAATCGGGCCATTCGTATCACCCTAGCCTTAGTTCTTCAATTGGCTCAAGCATGGATTATAGGGGATACAGCTCCGGGCATGCTCCGCTGAACGGCCTGTCGAAGATCGAAACCTCCGGACTTCCTATGGACATGTCTGGGACACTTCGGACTGCCCCTGTTTACGGAAGCTTCGATACGGGTATCGACGGTATGCTTATGGGACATGGTAGCACCATCAACCCAGCACAATTACATTTCGCAGGCTCCCCGCAAGGCTTCAGCGATTCCCCCTCGTCTCCCTTTGCTCAGTACCACAGTGCCTTGTCTCATTCCGCGGATCCCATGATGGAAGAGGAGATCAACTTTGACTGGATGAATGGGTTTGATGCGGGAGTGGGTATGGGAAACGGCAATGATTCAGTTATTGACGAATCTTCGCCATCAGCAATGAGCACGGGTAGCCAAAGCGGAATCAGCGAAGCTATGCTGGATGGCCCCAATCGCATTCCCATCTCCAATGGCTGGCACAACCCGTTCCCCTCGCACCACGCTGCCAACCAATTCGCGATCGATTTCTCCCCGACCACGTTGAACGATCTGGGGATCGCTCCGGAGACCATGTCGCCCAAGTCCCTAATGGCCCAGAATCCGTTTGCTGAGACGTATGCTACTCCACCATCTATGACTTCGGTCGGCCAACCCATGATGGGAGGGCATTCCCAGAGTATGTTTTCATCCTCTCTGGCAACAAACGGAGACCCTCCTAATCCTCTCAACGTTTCTTTCACGAATAGTGCCCTACGAAATCAACATGCCCCAGTCTCAACGGATACATTTACAGACTCCACACGACAGGCTCTATTAGCGAGCATGTCGACCCCCACTGGCTTCAATCATCGCAAGTATTCCCAGCCCGCAAGTGGACTTCTAAACAGTCGCGAGCTGTTCGCCCGCTCGACTGGCTTCAACAGCTCCGGTCAATTGCCCAGCACCTCGGACTTGCAGCGTTATATATCTGCTTACATCACCTATTTTCACCCTCACATCCCGTTTCTCCATATCCCGACCCTCAACTTCCAAGCCCCCGAGTACACAAACAACTTGCGCACCCCTAGCGGGCATCTCAATCTCAGTTCCACCGGCGTCGCTGGCGGCGGAGGCTGCCTGATTCTCTCCATGGCCGCCATCGGTGCCCTGTACGAATATGATACTGCCGCCTCTAAGGATCTCTTCGAAGCCGCTAAAAAGATGATTCAACTGTACCTTGAAGAACGACGAAAGGCCGACATGTCAGCTGCCCTCAACCGCTCACAATCCGCCCGCGATAACTCTGTTCACAACACCCCGCTTTGGCTGGTACAGGCAATGCTATTGAATGTGATATACGGCCACACCTGCGGCGACAAGACTTCTGCAGATATTGCTAGCACTCATTGTGCTGCTTTGGTCAGTCTAGCCCGCGCAGCCGAATTGACGCATCACTTGGAACCCAAGAGTTTGCCACAGGATCACCTCAGCACCGGACTCAACGCAAGTGATCTCTCTGGCGACACCGAAAATTGGATGTCTTCGTCATTCAGCCAGCCGAAAGAACGCCGAGACTGGCTGGATTGGAAGGTGGTAGAAGAGCGGAAACGTACCCTCTATGCCATCTTCGTTCTCTCCAGCTTTCTTGTTTCGGCGTACAACCATGCACCTGCCCTCACAAATTCTGAAATTCGCCTTGATCTCCCTTGCGAAGAAGATCTCTGGGCGGCTGAATCACCTCAGGCCTGGAGAAAAATGGGGGGTCAAACTGCGTCGAAGAAGACATTGTCATTTTCAGCTGCCTTGACATCACTTTTGACTGCCAGCCAACGAGAACAAAATCAATCGTCAAACCTGTTCTACACTTCAGATGATTTGTCTAATACAGAAAATCGTCCAAGCACGTTCGGCTGTTTGGTGCTCATCTACGCTCTGCATAACTACATCTGGGAAACTCGCCAAAGGCATATGGGTAGACAATGGACCGCACAAGAAACTGACGCCATGCAAGCACATATCGAGCCTGCTCTTCGGGCTTGGCAAGCGGCATGGGCCAGCAACCCAGTCCACAGCCTCGAGCGACCGAATCCGTTTGGCGCAGGACCATTGTCTGCAGACAGCATTCCTCTTCTAGACCTGGCCTATGTCCGTTTGTTCGTCAATCTGGGTCGATGCAAAGAAGCATTCTGGCAGCGAGATTGGAACGGCATGGCAGATGAGCTTGCGCGGGGCACGGAGATTTTCCAGCACTCGGATGCTTCAATAAACGACGTTGTGGACCCGTCTCTTACAGGCGGCCTCGATGCTAGAAGAGATTCCATTGCTGATCTAGGAGTCTCGGACCTGGCTATCTCCAGAACGCCGACGCAGGAAGAGCCCATGCAGACTTTGTCGAACATGTATAAAACGGGCCAAACAAAGCGTGAAAAGCATCTGCGCAAAGCAGCATTCTACGCAGCTGATTCCATCTCCATGTCTGACCGTCTCGGAAATACATTCGCCGAGTTCTCGTCACGAGAGCTGCCTATCCAATGTGCGATGTGCGCGTTTGACTGCGCTCAGGTTTTGGCAGAATGGGTTGCAACGGTTCAGGAACGTGTTGGTCCATACCTTGGTATCCTAGGCCGAGACGACGCCGATTTGACTCAGGTTCCCGGAGTCATGTTGCTTGAAGACGAGGATTGCAAGCTAGTGGACAAGATCAAAGAAATTCTGGGCAGTATTGAGAACAAGATGCAGAGCCAGGTGCAAAATAGCAGTTCTGTCTCTTCACTGAGTGTCATGCAACGGTTACCCAGTGTCGTGGAAGGAGGATACGGATGTAAAATATTGATTGCGACAGCCAGTCTCTTGGATAGAGCTGCTGTCTGGCCAGGTGAGTTCGCCTCTATCTTCCAATCGCCAATGAATCCCTGCTAACATGACATCCCACAGTGACGAAGCTGATGGCCCGCTCTCTCGAAGCTCAAGCCATGCGAATGAAGGAGCGTACCGAGCACTCCCTTATGATGACCACTTAATGACCATTACTTACCTTTACCTTGTTTGAATGCCCGATGTTTGCTATATTATTTTTCTCATCTCTTCAACTTTGACTTTTCTTCCGCACATCCGTGTATCATGAATAAACAACCGAGGCAATCCCACCCCCATCGAAGCATGTGTATCCCCTACCAATCCTCGCCTCGCACTAGCTGCGGAGCGCTTTGATACCCCGGTTTTCGATATTGTGTCATAGACGAATTGCCTGTCATGTCATCTTACGACTTTCATGGTTAGCGTTCTGTTTGTTGCTTGTTCTGGTCATTTTGCTATGGTGATGATTGAATCTGGTGTGGCCTTTTTTTCCTTTCTGTCTTCTGATCTCTTGTGGGTCTCATTTTCTCTACCCATGTTGTGTTTAACTATGCAGAAGTTTACTTCATGTGAATATGATTACCGTCTTTTATACCATATCCTATAGACTAGACAGCTTCCTCCGAGGTAGTAGACAGGCCTTTATCTCTTTATCCTTTACTCTTTTGTTATTATATTTCAGCCTATTCCTTCACTGCTCAAGGTGCCTTTCGGATAGCATGTTCCTCGTATCATTACAAGCATGTGGTTTGAGCTGGCATCTCCCAGTGTCTGTCTACATATGACTTCTTTCAACCTGGATGAACTGCAGAATCAAACCGCCTTTGGGATATAAAGAACCCTCTCTATCCTTATGTCTCTTTCTTTCTTCTTTTCTCCCCAGGGGTTTCTGTTCTCCCCTTGAGTGTAGTAAATAGTATCAATGTATATTTTTGGACTTCATAACTTGACTTTGTCTTGTTACACCGTGTCACTAGGCTCACACTACACCTGGAGGACGCGAATATTTTTATCAATTGTTTCAGGATGTCTGAGTGATTGGAGAAGATGTGATTTGCAGTACTTCAGTGTTGTGATTCTGTATAGATGTGATGACATAATATTTCCCCACCGTTGCTGTATCAACCTACCTAGGTAAGCTCCGCACGCGTTAAGTGGTTTCTTTTCGCGTCACTCAGCTCTGACTGTCCACTGCGATACCTAATCGTTAAAAGTGCCCAAGAAATGAATATAACCCCCAAAAACCCCACCCAAGCCGCCCCATCGCAGCATCAGGCTGCGTCACATAATCCATCCGAGCTCCTTGTTCAAGCCCGATGCCCTATCCGCGCCCGGTCTCCCCACTCTCACTCGAAACATGCGCCTCACCGCTATCTGATATTGAAACCGATGATCTGATCGGTTCAGATGATGAGTTAAATGAAGTTTCTCGTGCCGCAAAGCGACGACGGATTGAGAAACTAGCGGAGTCATATCTTCGAGGAAAGCCGCTGTTTATCCTCTCCGCCTCGCTGAAAGGGCCGTTGGGTGAGGGGTGGAAAAACCCATGGAAAAAGAACAGAACGCATGGAAATGTCTCTCACGTCTCGGCAGATTCTGAGGCCAAAGTACTGGAACGTGTCGTCCAAGAGACCGACGTGCGTGCTCCAAGATATAAGGAGGGCTTGTTGGCTGCCACTCATCGACCCGAGATTCCTGCTTCATCTTTGAGATCACTCGGTGGGACATCAGTGCAAGCCCGCAATCCCCCCTCATCCTCCAGATCGCCCCGGAGAGAGTCCAAGCCATTCACTCCACGGCCAGCGCATGGTGAGAATGGAGTAGCCCGCTCTCCTATGAAATCGAGTAATTTGCCATCCTCATCGGCAGAGAGTCGAATAAACGCGCCCACTCGTACGTCAGATTGGTTGAGAAAAGATCGGACTTTCATGAACTTCAAAAGTTTTGAGCCGCCGACTTCGCCAACAAGGTCTGTTGCATCTCGCCATTCGGACAAGGTTCGCCGACCTCCAACTCGCAGAGTTCAGGTGCAGGTTCCGCAAACTCCGGGATACCATCCTACACAAACCGCTCCAGCAAAAACCATCAAAGCTGCCGCCGTGAACTCAAATGGGCAGCTCTCTCCACGATCAGCACGATCAACACACTCTCACTCCTCAACTTCACTCAATGTATCGAAAGTACCAAAATCGTTGCCATTTCAGCAAGCTAAATTCCCACCGGAGGCGTCTCTCCAAATCGTCCATTCTTCTTCCCAGTTGCCGAGGTTTGAATACCGTCGATGGTTTCATGAACAGTCGAAGTCGCCTCTGCAAGATGAGAGTATCTTGCAAGAGGAAACAATTTTGTATGATGAAACCCCTTTACGAGAGCAAATCCAACCCGCCCCGCCCCTCGTCAGCTCTGCGAAGGATCAGCCTGTTAGAACCTCTATTACTGCCGTTCCTGATCAACCACCAAACGATCAGGCATTGGTCGACCGTACCAATGACCAAATATTGGTCTCTGCTGCACCAGATAATGACGAGAAAAAAGCAGCCCCTAAAGAGAAATCGCCAAACAGAGATGAAGAACGCAAGTCTTCGTCCAAAGATCTCAGGTTCGCAGATGAAGAAGATATCGTTAACGAAGAAGACGACGGTGCGGCGTCTCGTAGCATGTCACCGTCCGCAGCAAGCGAACAGATCACAACTGAGCAAAATACATGTGAAGATCTTCCATCTGCGCAAGTAGTACCAACTCCTTTCGGGATTTCAGACCGAGTGACATCATTACACTCGACAGCCCTACCAAAAGGCGATTCGGGTATCACCTCAGAAGCGAGCCCTGACCCTCAGCTTTCCACACAGGCGGCTCTTCTCCACGCCCAAAAGTCTTTCCAAGACGATCTGAATAGTCCGGCTTACTATGCTACCACGCCTGGTCAGAATCAAGCGGTGCATTCACCGAGTGGTGCCAGTTATTCCGCAAATGTCACTCCATTCTACCGTTTCGAGGACTCGCTTCGACGTGATGTAGAGAGGAACACAATGTCTCATATTAAGGATAAGACGAAGGCAACGAGCACGCAGTTCATGCTTGATGCAGCTACGCCGTTCAATTTCAGCACTGAGCAAGCTGGCCAAGATATGAGCTGGGATCCGATCAATAAAAACACATCACAGGCTATGAACACGCAGTTCATGCTTGATGCTGCTACACCTTTTGCTTTCAGTACGGAGAAAAAGCAGCGTGCGACCCGTCCAGAAATGTCTAGAAGTCCAAGTCCTGAACCAAAGAAAAGGAAGACCCACGTCACGAGTCCTTCAATCTCTCCTCAAAGCGAATCAACAAACATGGACAGTGAATACCATTCCGCCGAATCAAGCCCAGTTAGGAATGAGCAGAACATGCAACCTAAAGCCCAAGATCCAGATCATCTACCTTACCAATCTACCACAGATGCTTCCTTGCCCCTGTCAATGAGCGAATCTCAACCAACAATGGGCCAGGATGGACAAGGTGCTCATCAAGCGGTGGAAAGCTTCAACCTTAGCCAGGCAATCGCTGATGCTGGGAGTTGGCTTCAGCAAAGCTTTGATTTTATTAAGGACACCGGGCGGCCGAGTCAGGGTCTTCAATCGCTGCATTAAGTATGGATCTATTCTAAGAAGAATTGATTGACGCTCTCATGGCAGTTCGTTCCTTTGCAACATGTACATAGCATAGTATGCCGGGCTGTACTCCAGTCCAGGCGTCCCGGGCATATTCCGGATTAGATACCAGCACATTCCTTCTGAAGCATGAATGTTACCACTCTTAACATATGCACCAGCCGAATCATTATCATATATTCCCAAACTAAACGATAGTATTGTTTCATTTGCGTTGAACTCGACGCCCTGAACAGAAAGATCGACGTCAGGCACCAGGTGGCCCGAGCGCCAGCGGGGAGAGCTCCGAACCGCATCGCTACCTTGCAGCCGCATATCTCAGTCAATGGCGAGCCGAGATGGCGCTGACATCAGTAAGTAACAAGTTTAACGACTCTACAGGCTTTATCTGACAATAGCACCAGTGGAAAGCATTCAACTTCATCGACGTTTCGCCGGTGAAGCTACCAGAGGACAGCTCGGTCTTCAATGTAAGGCCTCGACCGGCCCCTTGTCCAAACCGGATCGAATCTAACAGAACACTTTAGAGTGACCTCTCCAGTATTTGCACCGGCTCCGCGAACCTTTTCGTTGGCACTGCCGATGGCTTCGTCCATATCGTCTCCTCGGCCTTCCGCGTCGTGCGATCGTTCAAGGCCCACGACACCGGCTCCATAACGCACATGCGACAAATTAATGACACCGCTTTGCTGGTTACTGTTGCAGAAGATCTATCCAATGAGCCGATTTTAAAAGTCTGGGCGCTAGATACAGAGAAGAAAGACGGTGGCCCGCGGTGCCTGTCAACCGTTTCTGTGCAGAATGCCAGGAGACAATTTCCGGTGCGCTTCAATTGCAACAAGATAAATGGGGACCATGCTTATACCGGTATAGATTTCTGCTTTTACAGCCACCGAAGACCTCTCGCAAGTAGCAATCGGCTTCGCGAACGGATCCGTGACCATCATCCGAGGCGACCTGATCCACGATCGCGGCGCACGACAACGAATCGTATTTGAATCTGAGGAACCGATCACAGGACTTGAAACCCAGAATGGCGCCATCACCACACTCTACATCTCGACAACCAGCCGCATCCTGACATTGGTGATCGCCGGGCGGGGACAGGGCCAGCCTGCACGCGTGCTGGACGACACGGGCTGCGGTTTAGGGTGCATGACGCTTGATAAAGAGGGTGGCGATATTCTAATTGCTCGGGAGGATGCTGTCTATACCTATGGTCCACGGGGTCGTGGCGCGAGCTATGCGTTCGAAAGTCCCAAGACGTCAATCGATGCTTTTCGCGACTATGTGGCTCTTGTTTGTCCGCCCAAGGCTGGCACTGGCAAGTCGGATGCACTCAGGAAATACACTGCTAGTCCTGCTGAGGAGATATTTGGCACGACGACATTCACTCTCCTTGATACTGATCTCAAGTTCATCGCGCATAGCGAAACGTTAGTTTCACCCATGAAACGGATCTTTATGGAGTGGGGACAGCTATTCCTTCTCACGACTGACGGAAAGGTGATGGGATCTCTTCATGTTGTGTTGTCTAGCATGCTAACGCATTCCTTTAGATCTTCCGCTATCGTGAAAAGACCCTCCAACAGAAGCTGGAAATTTTATATGAGCGCAATCTTTACATTCTTGCGATAAACCTCGCGCAGAAGATCGGAATCGATCCGCTACAGCAGAATGCCATTTATCGCAAATATGGCGATTTCTTGTACCAAAGGGGCGATTATGATACTGCCATGCAGCAGTATCTTCGGGCAATTGATAACACAGAGCCCTCTCAAGTCATTCGCAAGGTCAGTCAACGCCCCACTTTGGAGTTGTTGGTTTACTAACCTACAATAGTACTTGGACACCCAGCGTATCCACAATCTCATTGAGTATCTCGAAGAACTGCACGACCACGGCCGTGCCACGGTCGACCACACAACCCTGCTTCTTAACTGCTATGCAAAGCTCAAGGATACAAGCAAACTTGATTCATTCATCAAGGCTCCTGGTGAGCTGAAGTTTGATCTCGAGACAGCCATTGCCATGTGCCGCCAAGGTGGGTATTATGAGCAAGCAGCCTACCTTGCAACGAAACATGGAGAGAATGACATGGTTGTCGATATCCTGATTGAAGATTCCAAGAAATATGTCGAGGCTGTGGAATACATTTGGCGGTTGGAGCCCGAAGTGGTGAGTGATATTACAATAGCATGAAGGAGAAAGTGAACTAACACCTCATAGGCCTACCCCAATTTGATGAAGTACGCAAGGGTGCTACTCACTCATTGCCCTGAAAAGACAGCAGACCTGTTCAAGGTTTACTACTCTGGTCAGTATCGGCCACGTACGGAAGTTGAACAACCTGCCGAGCCCCAGGAACAAACTACCAGCACAGTGCAAAGTCTGGCTGCGCTTCTCCCTCTCCGGTACATGCAAGTTGGCACTGGCAGGCAACAAGAGGTCGAAGCGCCTGAAACAGAAATAAATGAGGACAAGCCCGAGGATTCTCCGCCAGACTACGCAATACCAAAGCCTCGAACCGCGTTTTCTGCATTCGTGGACCATCCCAAGGAATTTATCGGCTTCCTTGAGACTTTGGTGCAACAGCCGAATTTGAAGAAAGATGCCAAGATAGATCTCTTCACAACTCTGTTTGAGATGTACTTGGATACAGCAAAGGGACAGAAAGACGCAGCCGAGAGACAGGAATGGGAAACCAAAGCAAAGAAACTAATCGAAGGCAAAGACGTGAGTTATCCACGCCTGTCATCATGTTCCATCGACCTAATTATAATAGATTCCGATCTCCACATCTAACGTCCTCCTTCTTTCCGATCTATCGAATTTCCGCGAAGGATCCACTCTTGTGCGCGAGCAAGAAGGTCTCCGTCTCGACATTTTCCGCTCCTTCACCTCTGCAAAGGATACACAAGGTGCCATTAAGGCGCTGAGGCGTTATGGGCCCGACGAACCCCAACTCTACGTCGACGCATTGACATACTTTGCCTCGAGTCCCCAGATCCTCGAAGAGGCAGGCGACGAGCTAGACACAGTCCTGCAGCGCATCAATCAAGATGGTCTTCTCTCCCCATTACAGGTCATCCAAGCTTTAAGCAACAATGCCGTGGTGACAATGGGCCGTGTCAAGAAGTATCTAAGCGACAACATCGAGCGCGAACGCAAAGAGATCTCGACCGTAAGCATACAATGCTATCGTTCTATAATAACCACATTAACTTCTTCCCTAGAACCGCCGCCTGATATCAAGCTACAAATCCGAAACCACAGCCAAACAACAAGAGCTAGACCACCTAACCAGCCAACCCGTCGTATTCCAGTCTCGTCGCTGCCAATCCTGCGGCGGAAGCCTGGACCTCCCCACCGTCCATTTCCTATGCAAGCACTCCTTCCACGAACGCTGTCTGAACAGGCTTGACGACGACGCCCAATGTCCCGTCTGCGCGCCAACAAATGCAACCCTGCGCGCTATCAGGCAGCGCCAGGTGGATTCTGCAGATCAGCATGATTTGTTCAAGGGGGAGCTGTCGCGCTCTAGAGATCGGTTTGGAGTTGTTAGTGAGTTCTTTGGGAGGGGTATTATGAGGCCGCAGAATACTATGGAGTAAGTAGAGTTTAGTTTAGATGTTTTTGTTTTCTCGGGTTTCTTGTATATGGTGCTGGTTTTTGTTTTGTTTGATACCTCGGTCTTTCTTCAATAGATCAAGTTGTTTCTCTTTCTCTTGGGCTTTACGATCAATGAATGTAGTGCGAAATCATTGGTGGAAGATTGTTGAAAGTTCCATATTTATACTTGCTTCGTTACGGCCTAGGATGTAGGAGTAGCTGCACTGGCACTACGGAGTAAACACAGAAGACTAGATGGACATCATTATATTCATGTAAGCAATGCATTGTAAAGTGAATATCGCTCCGCTCTAGCAAAAGCGCAAGCGACAAAAACAGATCATATGGACAAAATGAGCAAGGGATCATGGTGATCAAGCAAGGTCATTACATGTAGCGATGAGTATGCACAGCGGTGAAATGAGAAAATACATGAAAATACTCGAAACAATACTTTTGAACTGATAGCAAGCATAAGCTACATGTCCAAAATTAATTCATAGCAAGAAGTCTCGTCCCCTCAGCGAGGGGATTATTAGAGATGGAGGCAAGATGAACGGGCTCGTTCAAAGTTCACGTCCCTTCTCGCCTCCCCAGGAAACGCGGGGGATGTGGCGCGAGACAGACTGTGAGCCGGAACCTGAGCCGGAACCAGAAGGAGAGGACTGGTCAGAGGGCTTTTGCTCTTCGCCGACCTGGTTCTTGCTACTTGCGAGCTGGTTGGGCTCGCCGGTCTCCTCGACCTCGGACTCGTCGACGATAGCATCATTGTCATCTGAGTCGGAAACAGCGTTATCGGAGTCATCGCCGTCCACACCCAAAGCTGCCAGACGGCGGCCACGCTCAGCCGGTGTCTCGCCAGTGTCATCGTCGATTTGGCGCGGGGGCGCGGTCAGACCGGCAGCTTTGCGGAGACGCGAAGGCGGAATACGCTCTGTGCCATCGTCGTCAGAGTCGCGGCGGGGGCGGTCCCGGGTGCGAGGGGGCGCAGGGCTGTGGTTGTTGCGACGCTCCTGGGCGGCGGTACTATTGCCGGAGAACTTGGCAAGTGATGCGGCGACATTGGGAGCACCCTGGCGGCCGGACTCTTCCTCGCTGGCTTCACTGTCAGTGAAAGACTCGGAATCCAGAGCTTCAATGTCCTCTTCGGGAATGGTGCCAGTAGTAGCTGCGACAGCAGCGGCAGAAAGACGTCGTTCTTGTTTCTCTTCGACCTTCTCTTCCTGCTTGGCTTCCTGTTGAGCCATTTTTTGAACTGGCGCTGGAGCATCCGTTTGCTGTACAACATCTCGACGACCCTTGGCGTCTAGGCCCTTGATCTGCTGGAAGAATTCCTGCTTGTTCATGCGTCTACCCTTGTGTCCGATGCCGTGGGAGCTGACTTCGGGGTCTTGAGCCAATGTGAATCGCAGGCCGTCGTCGGCTGTCCAGTCACCGTCGTTCTTCTTTTTCTTCTTCTCTTGGGCAGCCTGGGATGTTTCGCCTTCTTCTTCCATACCGAACCAGGTTCCCATGCGAGTCAAACCACGTCGGACTGGTGCTTCACCGGGACCAGCGGGCTGGCTTTGGGCCTTTTCGGCCTTCTCGCCCTTCTTGCCACCGGGGAGGGTGTACTTCTTGATCACCTCACCATCCTCATCCTCAACAATAATAGTATTGCCGAATTGGTAAGCATGGGCCGAGCGAGGCTTGGGCTTCGCCGAATCGGCCTTGGGGGGTTTTTCAGTCTTTGCGGGCTTCTCTGTTTTCTTTTCGGGCTGTTCAGTGGCCTTCTCCTTTCCACGCCCGGCCCAGTTGGTCCACTTCTTCATAGCTTTGCCGTATGAAGTACCAGCTTTCTCCTCAACGGCATGCTTGATCTCCTCTCCCTCATCCTTTTCGTGTGGACTACTCGCGGATTTAGCTAGTTCGCCTGTTTTGTCATTTTCCAGACGTCTGCGTTGTTCTTCGATATGCGCGATCTTTTCTTCCGGAGAAAGATGGGAGGTATCCTCGGTCTTGAGAACATTGCCTTCTTCATCCTCGATGATCATGTGGTGACCTTCTTGGTAAACCTCTAGCTCTGGCTCACGACCAAAGCGATCGCGTTCTGCATTGGGTGGAGAAGCGCCGCGCTCAACCTGGTCGCGCTCTTCTAATTCTTTCTTTTCTTCCTCGGTTTCAATCTCATTTTCCTTGAGGCGAGGAGCGGGCATAATAGCGGAGTCACTAATGGGGCCACCAGCTCCAGAATCACGCTTGCGGCGGCGTCTGCGCAGGGCCTTGCGACGAGATGACTCGAGGTTCTGAGCCTCATTTTCGTCCTCTTCATCGCGCTGCCGGCGGAGGAAGTTGCCAGGCATGCCGATAGGTGGAAGAGTACCAGGAGGATATTCGGGCAACCTTTCCTCAGACGAAGCATCGGTGTCCTCGGTCTTGCGGAAGGACATGGATCCCTTTGCAATGGATTGCACACGGGGCAGACGATTCATCCATGAAGGTCCGTCTTCATTGGCCTGGGTATAGGAGAGCGTAATAGTCAAGGTGTTGATGCGTTTTCCCAGGGTGAAGACTGCAATTGAAGAACCATGCACCAGGATAGACGAGATGACCATGAAAGTAGTGATAGGCCAGATGAGCCGCACGATGTAGTAATTGCTGCTTCCTGGCATGGGTAATTCGTTCTCGGGGTCCGGCTGTGTATTGTCGTTTTCCAGTTCCGCTCGGGCAAGGATGGCGGCGAAAATGGCACCGACACCGATAGGACCAAAGTGTCCGGCGAACAGAGCTTCTCGCCAAGTCTTGACGTCCGGTATGATGGGCTTGAGCAATAACATGATGGGTATGCGGCGGAAGAAGATAACCAATAATGCAATCACCACTAGCCTCCAGGGAGTAAGACCAAGAGCAGGGGAATTGAAGTCTTCCCAGGGGATGATGGATCCGAAGTAGACAAAGTATGCCAAGTTGAGCAGAAGATCGATAACGTTGGAAACATGAGACTCCTCAGTCTTCTCTGTGAACCAACCATCATTACTGAATCCCACACCGCAAGAGAATCCGATCAGCAGGTCATCCATGCCCAGTAAGCTACCAGAGCCAGCACAGAAGACAGCGAGCACGAAGTAGAACACCAGGAAACTCTCCCGATCAATCAATCCCTTGTTCTCGGCCCATTTGATAGCATGACGCGCAATGTAACCAATGGCGAAACCAAAGATGGCACCCAAGATACACTCGTACAGAACGGTGATACAGAACCAGTTGAGCCACACCTCACCAACAGCAGGCCGATAGTGATAGATGTAGAAAGATAGGTAGATGAATGGAAAAGCCATGCCGTCGTTACACCCAGATTCAGCAGACAGCAAGTCACGCAAATGCTTGGGGACACGCTTAGCGAATTTTCCCTTACCAACGACGGACGAAGCCAACACAGGATCGGTAGCTGTGACGCAAGAGGCACAAATCAAACTCTCTAGCCAATTCAGCGGGGGAACCATCCACCAAATGAATAGACTCGTGATCAACCAACCCCAAGTCATGACCGGGATCAGCAGCAATGACACGGACTTCCAGTGGCGTTCCATGTACGCCTTAGGCAATTCGACACCGACGGCAAAACATTGCACGACCAGGACAATTCGCGAGCATTCGAGTGTGATCTTGTCGATATTTCCCCACTCGTGCGGGTTAAACAGGTTGGCCGCATGGGGCCCGAAAATAATGCCACAGAGCGTGGCAACGGTAGCTTCACCGATGTAAAGCTTCTCCTTGACGAACAAGGAGCACAGCATGAACAGGCCTGTGAAACCGCCCAGGATCATATAGGCCAGATGCGGCCGATCGATGTCCAAGTGATCCCATGCCATGGTGAAAGATTTTCGGGGATCAAACACGCCTTGTGTTGTTTCCCGAGATTGTAGGTATGTATGCGTCCCGCGCGTGCAGCGAACGATTTACCGGATGGATTCCCGCCTCGAACTTCGGTGGACCGCGTAGCTCTTCATGCCTTGGTGAATCGATGGTCGGAAAGCCGAAATGCCGAGCCTTGTAGGGCTGATTGGGGAGGGGGGTTCGAGATCTAGACGCACGTCCGATGGATTCGATGACAATCAGGCGGCGGTAATTTTGGGATGCAGACAAGACACTCGCCAAGATATGATGGATGCGACAAGAATGCGAAGCCTAGGCGAGAGGTTGGAGAAAATAACTCGGAAGGCTTGGCCGCAAAAAAGTCGGGCAGTCGCGCTGTTCGGGGGAAGGAAAGAAGAAAAGAAGAAAAGAACAAGATATCAGCGAGAATTGGTCGGAGTCTTGGGAAACTCTTGGCCAAACGGAGATAAACGAGTTAAAGCGTGCTTCGGGAGATTTGCCCAGAAGGAAGTAATCTTGGAAACGGCGGGATTCGTCAGCCGAGACTTTTCAGACCCACGTTGGAAGCGGAATTGGTCTTGGCTGGCGGAGTGCGGACGTGCGCGATGAATTGGAGAAGTCTGAATTAAGAAGGAGTATAATTGAAGAGGATTGAACAGAGTGAGGTGAAGCTAAAAGAATACTTTGGTAGTCAATGTTTATCTAAAATTAATTGAGGTGCATAACTAACTGTATGTCTCTCACTGTGCCCCTGTGAACCTTGCGAATGGTAATATTCCGGTAATGCATGTATTGTATGGTAAGATCAGCCCTGCCAGTGCCAAGAACCAACAGCATCGTCATGCTGGTTAACTATTGGGTCAGTGGCGTCTTCGAGAGAGTATATGTGTTGAGATTGTATTTTATTTGTCTACAAAGTACTACATGGATACATAGGTAAGTATAAATCAATATTTTAGTAAGATACAATTATAAGCACTACTCAAGCTGGCTAAAAAAGGTTGTAAGAAACCTTTGAAAAGATCATCCGAAAGACCTGTCGAAAGATAAAAGTCTCGAGGTACGAACCAATCAGAAGACAGATGAAGACCATACAGTCTGCCAATCTATAAAAAGGTCTATTCATACATACATACATATGTAGGTAAGAAAGTATTCAGGAATCAATTGGTCAAACAAATGACACATACATAAAAAGATAAGAAACGAGTTTCAGATGAGTTGCAAACTAGGGGAATCCAATGCCGAAAACTCAACATCAAAACATGCATATTTGCGGGGAAATAATATGGCAAGAAGAAGCAAAATATCCCGTCTTCGATAGGCACAATGCGCATCCCGCGCCTATATTGATAAAAGAAAAACCGAGTCAGAAAGAGTGTCTATTCCTCCGGTGAGTCATCGATGCATAACCTACTCCGTAGCTGAAGCCCAATGCTGCCCAGCTATACGCCCGTCGGCATGCCCTCGACCTCGTCGCTCAAGCCACGCCAGTTGTCCGCCTGCAGTTCAGAGTACTTAACCCGCTCCTGGCTCCAATCCTGATGCAGGCGACTGATGTGATACTGGCTCTGCTGGAAATGAACGAGTTCGTCGCGGATGCACTCCGTGATGAATACACCCCGGGCATGTTGTTGGACAATAGATTCTTTGTCCTGAAAAGTAATTGTCAGTGGGGCAGCGGGTAGAATTGAAATAGTCGGTCTCACCTTGAAGATAGAGTCTTCAACCTTTTCGATCTCCCCTGGTTTCACAGTACCTGCGGGTCGGGCGCGGAGATCCTCTAGCTTTCGCTCACTGGCCTCGATCCGCCGTTCCAGCTGCGGGATGTTGTTCCGTGCATACCGATCTCGCCGATCGAACATCTCGCGCACACTGACCAAGCAATCGCGTTGACGCTTGAGGTCCTCTAGCACTCCCTCCGTCCACCCTCGGGCCTCATCTTCCAATAGACTCTGACTGGTAGAGAGATGCCGAGCGGTGGCTGTGATGCCTTCGTTGAGGGACGGGATGTCATTGGTATCCACTGCGTACGTGTCTTTGGTAACTTCCGTCAAAGACTGTAGGGCGAGAGAGAACCGAAGGTGGTCTGCAGCCAAGCCATCATTACGTTTAGCCAGTCGTTCAAGCAAAGTACATAGATTAATATAAATTTCCGCCGATCGCTTAACGCCGCTGCGGACAGTTTCAAATGTTTCATCAAGAGTGGCGGGCAATGAATCTTCGAGGTCTGCTGGGAGCACACGGCCGACAAACTCATCTTGGACCGAGATTGTGGCTTGCTTGCGCCATACAGAAAGTTCCTGCTCACAAAATCAACGCCTGTAACGTAAAGTCATTGATAAACGAAAGTCTCACCGTTGGGACTGTCAAGAACATGACTACGAGTTGCTCCTGGCCGAGCACAGGGTGGCGAACGAGGGCGTTGGTGAATCGGACAAGTCCATGTCGGCGCTTTTCGAGGAAAGAAGATGAATCCGCTGAAAGGTGAGTGCCATTGACTTCGTAATTGTGAGTAATCAAATAGGTGCGCCGGTCCAGCGTTTTACATACCTGAGACACGCTTGGGTGGAAGAAGAGGCAGTTGTCTGAAAGGGAATCGCTTCTGAAGGCAGTCCAGTAGCCAGACAAAATCGCTGTAGCGCCGAATAACTGTGCTACCTCGTCGCGCGGACTTAACTTCATAGTTTCGATGTTGGAACATGAACAACCCTTCCTTTTCGGGGAGCAATGCAACAGTGACAGTTTCCTCCACCTGTGGGTTTGTCGTACGGCCGAGGCCTAGAGACCGACGTCGTGGTGCGATGATGCTTGGGTCATCCCCTGGGGGACCAAAGCCGCCCAATACCGGTTGTTCTGCACCCTCAAATCTGCCCTCGGCGCTCTGGCCTGGCCCACTGGGATGGGTGGTCCCCCATCCAGACCCAGAACTGCTTGGCGGCGCAGCCTCGGTCTGCTCGTTAGCCTGTTCCATTTGGGATACACTGGCTTGACTGGGCTCATGAATCACATTGGTAGACCAGGCATCTGTGGTAGATCGTACACTTCCGAAGCCATTCAATATACGTGGATCAGTGCCTCCTGCTGCGTGATTGTGGCCCCGATGCAGTTGTGGACTGCCCCATGGGTCAGCCTCCAATCCGCCTATTGACTCCCGTCGAGGTATTTGTGATCGCGCTGAGACCGGTGTTGGCAAGGGAGGAGTTTGGGAAGGAGGAGTGGCTGGTCGCTGGTGTGGTTGCTCGGAGGGCGCGTCGCCCGTCCTTCGTAGTCGGTCGAGATAAGCGGGTTTAGGCTGTGGTAATTCTGCGCGAACGTCAGTTAGAAATACTACATTCAGTGAGATTCAATATTGTACAAGGTAATTAAACTCACTTTTGCGACGGTCGTCTACTGCATCGAAAGAGAGGTCTTCGCCTTCTTGCGCTAGGCCAACCAACGCCAACAGCACGTTAAACTCCCCACGACCTAATCCACTGAAGCTCTCATGATCTCCCGAGGCAACAAGGTTCAATATCTTGCTTTGGTCAGTTGCAGTCAACCCACTGCTCGAGAGAATCTCCCGAACTGAAGTCAACCCAATGCCGGAGCCAACCCTGTCCCCGCTATTCAGAATCAAATCGTACGCATCGATATAGCTCTCGGGGACATCTGTATTTGGAAGCAAAGTTCGAACCAAATCACGCCGGGCTGTTCTTTTCGCGGTGTTATTCTGGATGTTCCAGGGAGAGGAGCTGTCATCGCCGTCGTCATCGGCAAACAGCGAGGAGCCGCCCGTAGCCGGTTCGACGGCGAACAGAGAAGACTTGGATCTTTGAGCAGAATCTCCCACAGAGGGACCCTCTGGAGATGTGCCGAATAACGACATCAGGTGCCTGCGAGGTGGTTGCGCCGCTGTCGGTGTCAGGTGTGGAGGTGATGGCAATGACGATGTTGACGATCAAGCGGAGCTCGGGGGGGCTGGTCGCACGATTACACGGACAACGCTCTCCACAATCAACACCCTACAATCGCTAAGAAAACTGCAAATTGGAAGAAGTAACGAAAAACAGCCGACACTTCAAATTTGAGGAGGCGAAGATGTCAAAGGTCTTGGAGATAACGCAATGTCACTGGTACCGCGCCTAACCGGGTTAGTCGCCCAAGTCCGTTGTACTGAATACCTTGTCACCTCACCTCTACTCCGTACTAGACATCGCCTTGTATATGTCTGTAAAATAAGGCTACAACTCGGCCTTCGTCGTTCATATTCGTTTCTTGACTTAGTTTTTTGAGTTATACATGACGGCAGTAGTTCCCATTGAGCAACATATAACTATCGTGACATGCACTGCGTTGATCGTCGAACCCATGGAGGTTGTCAACATAATAGAATCCATTAAACAAAGATGTGGAGAGCTTGCAGACAAATCCGAACTCCATATCGTGATCAGTTGCTTTATTGGATCAGCTCCACCTGGGCGCTGAGAAAGATTACCCCCTTCTTCAATTGATATTCCAATCACTATTCGTTCCAAGGTTGCTTTCGCAGGGCTACGCCACTGATGGCACATATCATAGAAAATACCCTACGGAGAGATTTGCTTCCATCCAACATCGGCTTGCTCCTCCGACATTGAGGTTCTGGGGCAAGGTTCCACGTTCTCCACAGTTGCTGTGATGACATACGCCGGAGACTCCCCAGTCGGAGAGAGCACCCGAAGTTTGGTTTACATAGTTCATGCAGTCGAGCCGAAGCCGGCAAAACAAAATGGCTTATCTGTTGCGGGGTGGGTAACAGTGTCTATATAATAATATCGCAAATGTCTGTTTCTCCTGCAATCATGTCTATACTCAGTTCTTCACATACTATGCGACCTACCACCCTATCACGAGCATTTAGGCTAAACTGCCTCAAGCCTCGTGCGCTAACTAGCACACCGCGGAGATACTTGACCATGTTGAGTCCTCCTAAGTTTGAAAATGAAAAGATGGTGAGCTGTGCTTGACGCTTAAGTACTTGACCTTTACTGATTGAACAAGCTTGACTATGCCAAAGGCTCTTCAGAAAGAGCTGAGTTGACCAAAGCCATTCAAAGGCTCAAAAGTCAATTCCCTATTACAATTCCTATTACAATTAATGGATCAGATGTATCTCTCGAAAAAAACCTATCCAAAAATTCCTGACATGAAGCTGACGTTGGATCAATAGATCGAAACAAAACAATCTCGCTCTCAACCAAACCCCTCAAGGCACCGTGAGATTGTCGCAAACTATGCCTCCGCCACCCCAGAGCAAGTGAATGCCTCCATAGATGCAGCGCTCGGCGCCAAACCGGCCTGGGAGGCGACCCCTTTCGAGGATCGGGCTGCCATCTTCCTCCGAGCCTCTGAATTAATCACCGGCAAGTATCGTTCAGATATTGTCGCAGCCACAATGCTTGGCCAAGGAAAGAACATCTGGCAAGCAGAGATTGATGCCCCCGCGGAGACGGCAGATTTCTTCCGCCACTATATTCAAGAAGCCTGGGCTTTGTACTCTCAACAGCCTCGGGTTCACCTCGATGGTAACTGGAATAAGATGGAGTATCGCCCGCTAGAAGGATTCACATATGCCATTGCTCCTTTCAACTTCACTGCGCTCGGTGCAACGCTCATTGGACCTGCCGCATTACTTGGCAATGTTGTTATCTGGAAGCCATCTGATTCTGCTCTACATGCTAGCTGGTTACTTTACCAGATTTTGCTTGAGGCTGGACTCCCAAAGGATGTTGTCCAGTTCCTGCCTGGCGATGCAGAGCAAATCACCAACACTATCCTAAAGAGACCTGAATTCGGAGCTCTGACTTTCATCGGTGCCACCTCTACGTTCAAAGGGATTCAAAAAAAGATTGGTGACGGTATTGGTGCGGGAATCTACAACTCTTACCCTCGCGTAGTCGGTGAGACTGGTGGCAAGAACTGGGGTGTCGTTCACCCATCCGCGGATGTCAGAAGCGCTGCGCTGAACACAATCCGCGCAGCCTTTGAATACCAAGGTCAGAAGTGCTCTGCCAACTCACGTGTTTATGTCGCCGAGTCTGTCTGGCCAGAGTTCCAGAAAGTTCTTGCAGAGGAAACCGCCGCGCTGAAGGTTGGCGATGTCGAAGACTATGGCAATTTCATCAACCCTGTGATTCATGAACGCTCGTTCGATAAGCTTAACAAGTTCATTGAGGATGCCAAGACTGATTGTGAACTTGAACTTCTCGTTGGCGGCAAGGCTTCTAAAGAAGAGGGTTATTACGTGCACCCCACCATCTACCGGACGACAAACCCCCGCCATGAGATCATGTCGGAAGAGCTGTTCGGGCCTGTTCTGGGTGTCTATGTTTACCCCGATGCTGAATGGGAGCAGACTCTCAAGCTGGTTGACACTACATCTCGCTACGCATTGACTGGCAGCATTTTTGCAAAGGATCCGTATGTCAGCCGCCATGCACAGACTGTTCTCAAGCACGCAGCTGGCATGCTTTACTTGAATACCAAGTGCACTGGCTCAACTGTAGCTCAGCAGCCATTTGGCGGCAGTCGAGATTCAGGCACGAATGACAAGACCGGCACTATGGCCCATCTGCAGCGATTTGTTAGCACTCGCACGATAAAGGAGGAGTTTGTACCCTTGGAGAAAGTCACATATCCTTCGAATGAGGTTTAAAATGAGGTATAAATTGCAATTATGATGGTCATATTTTCACTCCCTTAGACTTCAAGAAGTCACTTTGATCAAATTGTTTACCTATATGGCTTTGTAAATAGTGAGTCTTATTACAGGCTCATCATCACAAAGGCGGCGTTTTGAATTGTAAGACCGCTGGAGAAGAGCAACCGTACGATTGTCTCGGAGGTTATTTGGAGGTAGAGATATTTTTATAGAATTGAGAAAACAGGTATTCATTCAATGACCTTCTTAGGTGGCCGAATGAGGTTGATCCACACTCTGATGGGAGCCTGTGACGCATGGGCACTTGTTGCAACTTCCTCTGGACGGCCTGAGGCCCCAGACCTCAGTCGATCCAGCAGGAAGGAGGCTGGAAGATCTTTTTACTTTTTGTCTCTCTCTTCCCTTTGCCACTTTCAACCCATTGTTTGTTTGGAAGCTTAGATGGTAGATAAAAGTGGGCAACACGCGGAAGCTCAAATGTGATATTTAGTTGCTATTCTATACGCAATTTAGCTAAGCCTTGGTTCTTTGATCTATAATATAGATGTAGCTAATACTATCATTGCCTACGTTGCACCAAATCTTCGGTCTAAGGGGGGCTCTACTCTTTTCACGGAGCTTTTAGACTTATTTATGTATGTATCAACCTGAATATAGAGAAAACATAAATATGTGAGGCGGAAAGAACCCCGTTGACCATTTGGCAGTACCTGCTTTTCACTTTAATTGCCTCATTGTCAATTGTTCTCTATTGTCTAGAACATTCTTCGCCATAGTTCACCCCGCAATGCAGTGAGCATGTGTTGAGTTCGTTCCACTGCCCCTCGATTTTCGATGGCCCGGCGGTGCAAATAACCCATGCACTCAGCAACTGATCCCCATGTCATACACTTGAAAGCTTTCGGAACGGTCAAGTTGGCCGCAGATGAATGCTCAAGAGCTCGTTCATAGTTTTGCACCAATTCACAACTGAGTTCATCAGCCATACCCTGAATCTGCCCACATTCAAGCATTATCGTAGGTTCTTTTGCTAAAAGACGATTCTGATATGTAGCGATTGCTTTTGTTACACTGGCTGCATTATGGGTTGCGAGGAAGAGTGCAGCCTTCGGAAATGCCAATTTTTCGCTTCCGGTGGGCATTTTGCGACGGAGCATAGTGTCAGCGATGAGATCATACGACATATCGGTGTCCTCTTGTGTATCATGAATGAGAGAGCGAGTTTCGTGTTCAATATACGCTCCTCGAACCAGCTTGATTCCGAGACTCCAGCCTTCCCGTGCGGCCAAGGTAAGGTGGCAGTCCAGATTTGCCTTAGACTCTTTGAGGTACCCTTGGATGGTGTTATAAACGATAGGTGTTTCCGATTGGTTATGTTTGCGCATGATTTCAATGGCCCAGTCGTCAAGCCCTTTTTGTAACACTTGTTGCTCTGCGTCTAGCCAGAGACGGGAGCCCTGTTGCTTTGTCGCAATGCAAATTTCATCCACGGCTTTACTCATAGCTTCTGGCATGGGCTGACGCGCCATCATTGCATCCACTGAAATAGGCCCGGCACCTGTCAACCTGTAATACGATGTTAGTTTATATACTTTGGAAATGTGAGAAAACTTACTTCACTGCAAGAAAGTCGCCGGGCCCAACCATATGTAATGTTGCCAGGGTGCCGTTTTTCCATTCTTCGACCATCTCATAACACATATCACTGTACTGCGAGGTACCTGATTTATCAACCGAAAGCGTTTCATTAAGATTCAGCACAATTTCCTTCGAGTATCCCAAAATAACACCTTGATAACCAATCTTCTTGATATCTGCCACCGTCTGTGACACTTCCTTCTTATTTACTCCTGCACAAAAATGATCGTAGACTGTCCAGCGAAGTAGTTTGTTTAGAGGAAGATTGCGATCCGGGTTCAACAAAGCAGACTTAGATCTGGAAAGAAAGCTTATCAGGGCCAGCGCTGGCCGTAGAAACAGTTTTGATCTCATCAAGGAAGTCAAAATTAGAGAGCGCAGAAGCAATCTTGTTGGTAGCCGAGCCATAGACGACACATCAACGGGCGGTTGAATAGCCGATCCAACAGCAGCATCGTGGAAGAAATATTTCGTAGAACGTAGTCGGCGGCAGGCTAGATTCGGTGATTTATTTGCAACAATGGCTCGGGACGGTTTGATCAAAGTAGAACGAGAAAGCATCTTGGCTTGGACTGTGGTTAAATTTTTCGAGTTATTCAAAATCGCGCTCGGTTCGAATAGTCCGGTCGCAGCCACAGAAAGTTATATACATTTTTGGCAACCTGTGCATCATTTTATCAGCCCAATGAGACGCAGCTATCTACTGGCCGATAGTCAGCCGACACTTCATCGGGTTCATCCTCCGATGATGTGAGGGGTTCACGAACCAAGAATTGTATCCCGCGATGCCAACTCATCAATTCCTCCGCGGGGAATCTGAAATCGATATCTAGGAAAGGTGCTCCGTGTCTTCTCATTGCTTGAGTTCTAACACCGGCCCGGCTCGGGGTTGCGTTTTCAGTTTGCATTACGTTGCATAGATAGACGAAGGGAACATCCACAATCTGGTGGAATATTCGGGTCTTAATATTGCGGCACTATTCTATATTGAGATCTTGGTTCAATCTTTGAATGCTGCAAGTCGAACTGAACCTGGTTCCTGTATAATCGCTTCTTGATTACCACAGCTCCACAGCAGCCACACACATGGACTTGCTCAGAAACCTACAGTCTTCGCAACTATAAAATATGTCAGTGCCCATAATTTGGTCAATTGCGTTGAATTTTTATATTGAACATCATATATAAGTGATTGACAACCTTCAAATCTTTGCATCGAACCTTGGTATTCTTCAATCAGTTTAGATCTACGGCATTTAACACCCGTTTTGTCTCGCTCTGACAGACCCATATCAGGGCAATCTATGGCGCATCCACCATTGTTTGTCATCATGTGAGAAGGACAAGTTTGCAGATCTTACTGAGGATATCGCAAGTGCGGGTGTTGGGAGTACCAAGAAACATATCAAGTACTATACTTTTGTGGATGCTTGCTACCGAGTGCTCTTTTTAAACCAACATTTGGCAACAAGGACTCTTCCGATGGTGGAGGTGTGACTAGGATGCGAAACTTATCCCAGAGGCCCAGAGGGAGATAATATCTCCTTGAGGTATAGATCGGGGGTTTCAGACAGGTGATCGCAGAAAGATCCAATCATTGGTGTTATAGTCCGTTTACGTCCTATTCGAGTCGGGGTTGACAAAGATGTCCCAAAACAAGGGAACCCATTTCATTCTGCATTGATCATGTTTAACCGAAACCCACGTCTTGCTCTCAGAATGAGTCGGCTTTTGTCGGCTCCTATACCTCGGAGCCCTGCTTTACGAATCAAAACCATGGCTTCTAGCGCGCCGAAGTACGGCCTGGAGGCCAGTATAAACGAACGAGGCATATGCACGTAAGCTGCAAGATTAAAGATATCGGATAAAATGACTGACAATAATGCAATTAGCTTTTGCTCATTATGTATGGCGAACTGATGTGAAGAGAAAGCAATTGCCTAACAAATCAACAAATTACAGTCACAAGCGACTAATGTCGCTGGACAAGTCTGGTTGTCCGGCCAGATACCTACAGATGGCTAAGGGAAACTGATGAAGGGCTCAATGACCGAGCAAACGAAAACTACAATCAAGAATACCCATGCAACCCTGAAAGCCTCAGGGACCGGCCTCGACAGAGTTGTTAAAGCGGTGGTGAGTGCAACCACACTATCATAAAATCCAGCTGATGGTTAACAACATAGTAGGTCGATGTCAAAGATACCAAATCTATGCCTGAATTTGCATCTGTTTATGTCCCTGCGTTCCCTCATCGCCCTGCGCGATCTATGGTTGAGGTGTCAAAGCTGCCCGCCGGGGTCGATAACCAGCTGGACTTTATTACGGTTGTATAGACTTATTTACATAGACAATAAACAGAAAATAAGCGAATTGAGCTTATTTAGTGGAAAGATGATATATTGAGCTCTATAAAGTGTGTTGTTTTCTCTTTTTGGAAGTGTTCTTGTTTCAACTTTTGGTATAGCTGTGACATAAACATTGTTCCCTACCACCTCTGTAAGATGAGATTTAGTTGCCTTACTATAGGGTGCTTAACTGAACATGCAACCGACCCAGACAGGCGGATCTAAGATCGCCTGCATCTTAGTCACGGCGAATTGACAAGATGCCGAAACACGACGGCATAAGGGACCGAGGTTTTATTTTTCAAGTCAAAACAAAAATCGCGCATGCCAAAAAAATCTTTCAATACAGCGAGTCTACCACTGTGATATTCTTTGATTTATTCCACCACGAGCGATGGCATTACGTTGGACCTCTCGGACGGGTTCTCGGCTTCCCAAACTGTTACTATATGCTTCGAGGCGGCATATTCAGTCCCAGTCGACGTTTTCTTTCAATCACAGCAACCTCGATCAAAAAAAGACCTTGAATTCCCCACCGCAGCTTCGCTTCTTAAGCAATTCGCCTCGAAAGCATGATTCCAAGATCGTCGTGCAAGTTCCGCCTATGGCAGAATCTATCACGGAGGGAACTCTGAGTCAATTTAGCAAAAACATTGGAGACTTTATTGAAATAGACGAGGAGCTGGCGACAATTGAGACTGATAAGATTGACGTCTCTGTGAACGCGACACAGGCTGGAATTGTAGAGCAACTGCTCGTTGCCGAGGGGGATGTTGTTACTGTCGATCAAGTAATCGCAGAGATTCAACTTGCAGAAAGGCAACCTAAACCTCAGGCTAAATTGGAAAATGCAGGGTTGTCTCATGCAAAGTTCGATTCGCAACAACAACAGCAATCAACGCAAGAAACTCAAAGCTCGACTGTATCGCATACGACAGAGGAAGCACCGTTTGGTTCTCCCAAGCAGTGGGCCAAGGAAGTTCCCAACTCTACGAAAAGCCTGCCTGCTGCTCAGCCTGCCGAGGCTTCTTCTTCTTTCCATGGAGATAAGCCTCGCCGAGCAGAAGAAAAGGCAAGCATGATCAACTTCAGTTTTCCCTATTTGCCATGCTAACAACAATTCGCTGAATAGGTTAAGATGAGCCGAATCCGCCAGCGCACCGCACAACGCCTCAAAGAATCCCAGAACACTGCTGCATTTCTTACTACATTCAACGAGGTGGATATGTCCCGTCTAATAGAATTCCGGAAAAAGAACAAAGACGCAGTCTTTGAGAAGCACGGATTAAAGCTCGGTTTTATGGGATCTATGGCCCGGGCATCGGCATTGGCCTTGAAAGAGATACCTGCGGTTAATGCATCGATTGAAAACGACGACACGATAGTTTATCGCAGCTATGTTGATTTGAGCGTTGCAGCATCTATCACCAAGGGGCTTGTCACCCCTGTGCTTCGCAATATTGAGTCAATGAGTATCCTACAAATCGAAAAGGGTATCTCCGAGCTGGTCAAGAAGGTCAGTGACATATTTATCTGAAATACGTGTAAGTGCAATGCTAATTGTGCAACAAACTAGGCCCGAGATGGGAAGTTGACGATGGATGACTTGAATGGAGGAAGCTTCACAATTAGCAACAGTGGTATATGGGGGTCGTTGTTTGACACGCCGATCATAAACCTGCCCCAGACTGCGGTTTTGGGAACCTATGGTATCCAAGAACGACCAGTTGCCGTAAAAGGGCAGGTTGTAATTCGTCCAGTGAGTATATCATTCGCCAAATACCTATCCTCCACATGTACTTGCGCTCACGCTAATGGAACTTCACCTGGGCAGATGATGTACATTGCTTTGACATATGACCATCGGATCATCGACGGGCGCGAGGCAGTAAAATTCTTGGTTCTTATCAAGAAGTACTTAGAGGATCCGCAAACGATGATGCTGGAAATTTGAGTGAAGTTGTTATACAGTTCAGACTAGCAATACTGGATCTCATTGATGTTTTGTTGTAAAAGCCTGGCGGCACTTACACTTTATCATATGTATACTATCTTCCTATGCGTACATATGTAGGTATTTTTTTCTTTTAAAGAACCGAAGATCCATTATTTCTAAACATAGGCAAATCACCCAAATACAAAAGGGAAGGAGTAATGTGTTAAGTATAAATAACCCCCCTCTTTCTCTTTTCTTTCTCTCTTCCGTACACTTCCTCAAGGTAAAACCTTAGGCCTATCTTTACGCTGTATCGCCTAACGAAAGACAAATCCTGATCTGTATGATTTGTTCTCAATGCATACATATGTATATAGTTGTAGTTCACACGCGTCGGGACCTCGTTCCGACGCTTTTTCGGCTACTTGGCGGTTATATGGCCAAACAGATTTTCGCCGACAGTGAAATCGTTCTTGCATATAGAGAGATGAAGCTTAGCCGATTTATGTTGTTTTCGTATTTGTTAGGATTCGCTTGTAATCAAATCCTTTGGTGATTTTTGTCTATCCCTCGTTGTTTCCCCGTTGTGAATATCTATAGACTGTACGCTTTGCCCTGAAAGATACACTACTTTCATTCTTACATGGACGCAGCAAAGGCTTTAGGTAATTGACTCTAAAAAATTGTATGGAATATGTTTCAATTGAGAGCCACCCTCCACCGGGCTCCAGGTCACCTATATGCACGACGCTTAAGACAGCGAAGCTTGGATATGGCACCACGTCAGCCGCTTCATACAAGACATAACCGTCGATTCGTAGGTCTTATCTTTGTCAGACCTATAGATATGAATTGTGAAAATTGACTTCCCACATTATAGCTCCAGACCGACAGCTTTTTGCAGGGAAATACGGCAGATTACCTGGACGACATGTACGCAGCATGGAAAAAAGATCCTTCTTCTGTCGATGTATCATGGGAAATATATTTCGATGCTATCGAGAACGGGAAGCAACCACCTGAGCGCTTATTCCAGCCCGCAGAGGATTCTTCATTTGCATGGGGACCTGGATCTTTCCCACTACTTCCGGGTTTGAACAGACCTTCCCAAGTCTCACCTACACTATCGCAACCGAACGATGATCAGTCAAGGATACAGCGTTTGATTCGAGCCTTCCAAGGTTTTGGCTACCAACAAGCAAGAACCAACCCATTGGATACTCCGATTGAAAGATTTTCAGTGCCAGAACTCGAATTAGGATTTCATGGCTTCACTGAAACGGATTTGGATCGAAAATTTAGCCTTGGGCCCGAAGTTCTCCCTTACTTTGGGAGTTCCAATGGGAGATTCATGACTCTTCGCGAAATTGTTCAAGCGTGCGAAACGATTTACTGTGGTTCAATCGGAGCCGAGTACTTGCACGCTGCTACCCACGAAGAGAGAGAGTGGATTCGCAAGAGAATTGAAACTTCCGAACCATACCGATTTTCAAAGGAGGAGAAAAAGATTATACTTGATCGACTAGTATGGTCAACTAGTTTTGAGAAATTTCTCGCTGCCAAGTTCCCAAACGCCAAGCGGTTCGGGCTCGAGGGTGTTGAGAGTCAGCTTCCAGCGGTGAAAGCAGTGATTGATGCAAGTGCAGAGCACGGTGTGCGCAACATCATCTATCCCAGCTGCCACCGCGGAAAACTCAACATTCTTAGCAATCTGACACGGAAACCCAACGAGTTGATCTTCAAGGAGTTTTTGGGTGAATCGAAATCTCGACCCGATATTCCTGGAGATGTCAAATATCACCTTGGGATGAACTATGAACGTGAAACTCCTTCTGGGAAGAAGGTCAATATTTCAATTTTGCCAAATCCCTCTCATTTGGAATCACAAAATCCTGTTGGCCAGGGCATGGCTCGAGCGGTGCAGCAACAAAACGGAGAGGACCGATCATCTACCATGGTCTTCAACAGTCATACCGATGCCTCTTTCTCCGGACAAGGCGTTATCTATGAGACCTTGGGATTGTCGGGGCTGAAATCCTATGAAACCGGTGGAACAATCCATTTAATTGTCAACAATCAAGTTGGCTTTACTACAGACCCCGAGTCTGCTCGAACATCGTCTTCTGTATCCGATATCGCGAAGACCATCAATGCACCTGTTTTTCATGTCAATTCAGATGATGTCGAGGCAGTGGTGTTTGTATGCAAGCTAGCAGCGGATTATCGAGCGAAGTTCGCGAAAGACGTTTGGATTGATATGATCTGTTACCGGAAAAATGGACACAATGAGATGGACCAGCCATTCTTTACTCAGCCTTTAATGTATGAAAAGATTGCAAAGAAGATCCCGCAGCTACAGCTTTATGCCGACAAATTGACGCGGGAAGGAGTGGTTTCCCGCGAGGAAGTTGTGCAGATGGAATCAGAGGTGTGGAAGAAACTAAGTGAAAGTCTCGAAAACTGCAAGGATTCGCAGCCTCCTGACCGTGAATATCTCACTGAACCATGGAAAGATATGAAAAGGCCAGAGGATATCGCTCGAAACATCTACCCTGCAAAGCAGACCTCGATCACTCAGGATGTAGTCAATACAGTGGCAAATAAAATGGGTATTCCAGATAAGCCGTTCAGCGTGCACAAGAGCTTGAACAGAATCTTGCAGAAGAGACAGGAGAGCTTTTCAGATGGTCAGGGAATCGATTGGGCCACAGCAGAGGCTCTGGCGATGGGGAGTCTATGCCTAGAAGGTCACCATGTGCGTGTTTCAGGTCAGGATGTGGAGCGAGGCACCTTCTCTCAGCGCCATGCAGTGCTGCATGATCAAAATGATGGGTCAAAATATATCCCTCTTGACTCTCTCACCGCCGATCAAGCTCGATTCACGATTGGAAACTCTTCCTTAAGTGAGTACGGCGTCATGGGATTTGACTATGGATATTCTTGCATGCATCCCAACGCACTAGTAATGTGGGAGGCCCAGTTTGGGGACTTTGCCAACAACGCTCAGTGTGTCATTGACCAGTTCATTGCATCTGGCGAGGACAAGTGGTTACTACGATCCGGTCTTGTTCTGTCCCTGCCTCATGGATTCGATGGCCAAGGATCTGAGCATTCTTCTGCCCGCATGGAAAGGTTCCTCCAATTATGTAATGAAGACGCTCGCTATTTCCCGTCACAGGAAAAGCTAGAGAGGCAGCACCAAGATGCCAATGTACAAATTGTTTGCATGACGACTCCTGCAAACTTATTCCACGTTTTGAGGCGCCAGCTATGTCGAGAATTTAGAAAGCGCAAGTCTCTATCCAGTCTCCATTTAAATAGCCCTACTAACCAGATGATCAACAGCACTAATTATATTTTTCTCCAAATCTCTTCTTCGTCACCCGATGGCCAAGTCCAACCTTAAAGATTTTATGGGAGAATCAAAGTTCCAACCTTTGATCTCAGATCTGAGCCACCGGATTTCTGTTGCTGAGCGATCCAATATCAAGCGAGTCATCTACTGCACAGGGCAAGTTTACACAGCACTTGAAAGATATCGTGAAACACACAACATCACCGACACAGCCATTATTCGTATCGAGCAACTTCATCCGTTCCCTTGGCAGCAGGTCAAAGACAGCCTCAGCCAATACCCCAGCGCCTCGGATATAGTCTGGTGTCAAGAAGAGTCCCTCAATGACGGCCCGTGGGCATTTGCCCGCGCTCGACTAGAGACTATCTTTGATACAACCGAGCACCACAAGGGCCGGCGATTGAGGTTTGCAGGGCGGGAGGCGACAGCTAGTGTCGCCACCGGTTTTGTGAAGGAACATCATGCTCAAGAAAAAGCTTTGTTGACAGATGCTTTTGGTCATGATGAAACTCAAGCTAGTGCCGCTTAATATTTGTAAGTGACGGTATTTCGACAGTCTATCGCTTGCTATGAAGTTCTCATTCTCGTAAAAATATGTTGGTGCAAATTTTGTACTTCAATATTCTTCCAATTTGTGGAATTAGATTATCAAAGAAAAAACAATATCCACAAGAAGACACCAACAGGATACATAATACCTTCCTTAGGAGAAAGGGGGTTTATTTACATTGTACCAAGCAGCTAGGTTACACTTGGTCGCATTCCGGAGAATTCTCTCGTAATTAGCCCCTTGATTGATACCATCCGGCCTTTTCTCAAAATGTCCTTTATACATCTTATCATCAAGTATTCTCTGGATTTGCGGTGCTAAAGTTTTCAACACGACACAATGGGGGCAAAACAAAAACCCGAATGGGATTCAGTTGATGCTGAGGCTGCGGCGAGCGACGCCAGTCTTCGCGATCACACAAACGAAGATCCGCATGGAGATGGAGACTTAAAAAATGATCCATTTGGAAATGAAGAGAACAAAGAAGTCAAATACAGAACTATGAAGTGGTGGTAAGTCTGCCTCGAGAATGGGTTGTCGACGCTGATGGCTTATCACGATTATAAAAGGCACTGTGGAATGCGTGGGTTGATGTACTGTACCCATTAGACAGAACTCACTCTAAACTTTTCGTTTTTAGTGATGATTGCTGCGAACATCTCATTGGGAATCTTATCGCTTCCTTCAGCGGTTGCAACTCTAGGCATGGGGCCGTAAGTTTGTTCCAGCAACCCATATTAGAAAGAGACAATAACTTGAACTCATCAGCGCCGCCATCCTAATTATATTTCTTTCCGGTCTCTCCTGGTATACCGGATACGTAATAGGGCAATTCAAGATCCGCCACCCTCATGTTCATAGCATGGGAGATGCGGGCGAACTCCTGATGGGACGGATTGGTCGAGAAATCCTAGGAATTGGCCAACTGCTTTTGCTCATTTTTCTCATGTCAAGCCATCTACTAACATTCAATATCTTGATGAACACTCTTACGAACCACGGGACTTGTACAACAGTCTTTGGAGTTATCGGGCTCATCATCTGCTTCCTTGGTGCTCTTCCGCGCACCATGGAGAAGGTGTACTGGATGTCTGTCGCGTGTGAGTTTCTTTGACGTTTCAATTGATGTAATTAATCCGAGGTACTAATTTGAACTAGCCTTCTCGAGTATATTCATAGCAACTTTAGTTACTATGATTTCCATCGGTGTGGATGCGGACGGACCTATTCAAAATGACAGCGTTAGAGAGGTCAGCTTTTACAAAGGCTTCTTGGCGGTGACCAATATCATCTTTGCCTATAGTAAGTCAAGCGTCTTCGGGGATATCAGATGCCAGCGAATCTGACTTTTGTTCAAGTTGCACACGCCACGTTTTTCGGATTTGTCTCAGAGACAGAAGATCCGAGGACGTTCCCTAAGTCCCTAGCAATGCTTCAGATTGTTGACACGGTGATGTATCTTGTCACTGCATTGGTTTTGTATCATTACGCTGGCCCAGACGTCAAATCACCCGCCCTTTCATCTGCGGGCCCTCTAATGAAAAAGGTTTGCTATGGTCTAGCTATTCCAACAGTCAGTTTCAGTGATTTCTATTAGTTAAAAAACTGAGAGAAACTGATAGACATGCCTTCCAGGTCATCATTGCGGGTGTTGTCGAAGGACATGTGGCTTGCAAGTATATCTATGTCCGGGTTTTCCGAGGCTCAGATGTTATGCATAATCGCAGCCTTCTGTCGATTGGATCATGGGTTGGAATTGGACTTGTGACTTGGACTGTGGCGTGGGTTATTGCCGAGTCTATTCCGGTCTTTAATGATTTGTTGAGTCTTATCGTATGAGATTGAATCCTGAAAGGCTGCGGTTTGTTTTACTAACTTGAGTTTGCAGAGTTCTCTCTTTGGAAGCATGCTCTGCTGTAAGTATTCCATTCCTGCTCGTTTTTAGATGGCACCATAACTCCCTTGGTGCCGAGTTCTAACTAGTTAGATGCCTTCCCTGCGATGTTTTGGCTCCACATGAACCGAGGACAGTATTTTTCGACTGTTTGCAAAGGATTTTTGACCCTTTGCAATATAAGCATATTGGCTATTGCCTTTGCAATGGTAAGTCTATTCATATTTATTGCTGTGTCGTTGCTTACGATCTCCGACAGTGTGGAATGGGTCTATATGTATCTGGAAGGGCTATTAACGAAAGTTCTGGTAGCAGCAGTTGGTCGTGTGGGAACAACGCTTGAGAGCGACGGATTTGATATAAAGAAATGATCTACTGGTTTTTGAATTGCCATTGATATGAATAGGGAGCGCTCTGCTCAGCGACAGACCAATTAGACTAATAGAAAGGGCTTGTTGTTTCCTGTGATAGATAGATAGGGCATTTTGCGAATGAAAGTTTCTATGATTGAGGGTATCTTTCCTGATCCTGTATTTGAGACTCTTATTCACACTATGCTTATTGTATCCACTCGAGTTTCGATACATTGAGCAAAATCATCAAACTCCGACAGATTGCATAATCCCCTCCACGTCTAGTTGATCTGCAAGAACCAACAACTCTCGTGGTGGAAGGCTGACCGAAGAATTGAGCCCCAGCATATCCCATTCGAATTCGTCTTGGTCAAACATATATGACTGCTCACTTATTTCATCTGCTTCATTCGCATTTCCTGGGGTTGGTCGGAAGGAAAGTTTTGGGGTTAAAGGTGCCAACACATGCTCTAATTGCCTCAGTTCAAGCCTCCGGAGAGGCGCGGCCAAATTACCCTTCGAAATGAGCTTATCGAGAACGCATTCGAGATTCTCACACCAAGAGTTGTTTGAAATCAACGAAGGGGCAATTGCACGAATGAGGTAGAGAACGAACGCAGAGGACGATGCGTCTTCGATTTGGAAGGGGAGAAATGAATCTGTTACTTTGAATTAGCGAATGATACGGCTTTAAAAGAACATTTCTTATCATACCCATCAAGTCATCGTCAGCTAAAATACGAAGGGTTTGGAGAATAGTTTGGGCAGACTCGGCACAACATTGTAGAAGAGATGAAACAGGGCTAGATAAAGCAACTGTTTGTGAAGTTTGTCGGTCAGTTCGTTCGATATGCATATGAAGCGCACACATGACCAAAGGCCTTGTTGTGAGAACCACGCACTTTTTAAGTCAGTTTAGCATTTGACATAGCACTTAAAATTGACTCACATGATGGTGAGCCAGCATCAATCGAATTGCCATTTTAGAGGCTCGGCTAATTAGTCCGTGAAAGTGAGTATCGAGAAATGCTGTGAGATCATGCGAAAGTTCGGCCATGCTATGAAGAATTGATTGAGTACTTCGAACGAGAGTGCCATCAAAATCATTGTCTACTCCGTAGACGGCTGATATTTGTTAGGCATTAATCTCAAAGGAAGAAGACACGTAGCACTTACTCGTCAAAATTATAGCCATCAGCCGGGAAAGTCGAACATGTAAAGTCAGATTAACGTGTTCCACTGAATCATCCAATTCCGCTGGTAACTTCACGGTGATATCCTCATCTCGAATCGAGCTCGGTGCACCAATTAAAGCAGAAAACTCTCTATCCAACATGTAGACCACCCAGAATATTGTCCTGCATCTCTTAGAAAGCTCGGGTCCGCATATCTCCTCGGGTACGTGTCGATGAATCCCTTCAATAATGCAACCACGTAAAGCATGACCAATCTATCCATAGTATCAGACGGTATTTTTCCAATGTCGAGTAAAGCAGAAAGCACAGGCACAGGCACTTACATGTTGAAACGCCGCTCTTCTCATATCTATGGATTGGAGATACACCGCGCCTAGGCTCAATGCCTGGATACAGGCCAAGGGATCTTCATCAATGCCCGACAGGTCGGGTAATAGGGCCATCGCTCGTGATGCATACTGATGACCAGGCGGAGTCCCAGAAGGATTCTTTTGTGTCAACAATGCCTTTCCAAACGCAAGGACAAGTAAATATTGGCAGTACCAAGGCCTTGCAGAGGTAGCTTTAGCTGCCGGGTCCCGATAAAACTCATGCAGGTCTCGTAAATAAGCCGGTTCATCAATCATGAAAGAAAGAAAGCCGAAGTAGAACTTGACTGTGTTGAATAAGAATAGTGCATAATCCAATGGTGGCAAATTGGTGACATCAGGTACTTCATCTGAGGGAAATGGCCGCCAGTGTAATTTGAAAGCTGTTCCATCTATATGAAAGGGATCAGGTGGACAATTTGACTCGGGAACTTTTCGCCCTATTAGTGCCAGGACACGGCGACAGAAGGACCATGACGACGTTGGCCCCATATACCCTTGGAAACTGGTATGAGTGATGAGATAAGGCGAACATGTGTTAAACACTCACAGAATCGACCATCTGGCGTTTGTGCAAAAGATGGATCTCTATCAACCAGAGGGTTCTTGGAAAATCTTGATTGGTGACGGTCGTCCTCCTGTTCCCTCTGAGGGGTCTCTGGGACATGCAAGGGCGGGCCCATGGCTGAGATGTATCTTAATCAACACCAAATGTAGACACAGAGAGCCGAAATTGCATACCATTAGAAATCCTCTCCCATCTGATATGATCTTGATTCTCCAGGAGTGTATCAGATGTGTGAGGAGTCGGAGGAACGTTGGCGTCTTCGTCGCCCATGAACAGTGTACCTCCTACGGGAATCTGATTAAGATGTGATTGAGGCCCAATTTGCCCAGAACTTCCACTTCTGGCAATATTTTCTTCTAGCTGACGCAAGTATCTGCAATGTCATAAGCAAAGCAACTTTGGACGGTGGATCGTACACTTACCTTTCTGACACCGACACTCGATGCTCCTCCACTGGAAAATGGCAAGGCCTCTTCTTCCGGGCACATCTTGTACAAGGGTTCGATCCTGAGCATTTGACCTTCATTGACCGACATCTTTCACACCTTTTATAAGAATGTTAGCCTCAAAAGTCGAGCTCAATTGTGAAGATCCCAACTCACGCCCTCTGGCACTTTTTCGATTTTGATTGACTAGGTGTAGCAGGCATGCCGGCTTAGTACATCTAGATGATATATAGAACGAAGCCAAAGAAAGTCTGTGCTTCCGGGGCAAGTCTCCGATATCAAATGCACTCAAGATCGCGGGGTATTGAAGGAAAAGTGTATGTAGACCCCGACATCGGGAAGTCGTGCCGACAATTCAGATTCTCTTATCGGAGATAACTGATACCGATAGCGATACATACTAGTAAGTTTTATCTTTGGCGCGTATTAATGGTAATTATTTCACAACCTGTACAGATTTCATTCATATCTTGGCCGCAACATCTCGGGACTTTCTTGGTTTGAGGTCACCGCTTTCAATTGTTTGTGTCTATTGATCATATCATGTTGAGATCAAGGTAGCTGGTAGCCAACAACATCGGGTCCAGTGACAATAACGGTGTTTCCTCTCCTGCGGACTCATGCTTCTCCCCGTCAGGGCCCCATTCAGTACTTGAATACTGTTCTGTCGAGATCGGAAACAGAGAAAGTAAGTTGGCAGAAGCCCCGCCTTCGACGTTTGGCCGTGGAAGGAAATGCATATCAGTAAGGCCCCAGCCATTGGTTGGGTCAAACTGGTGGACAACCTTTGTGCAAATGTTGAGGGCACGTTGAGCACTGCAATCTTTATTGGCCTTTTCCACAATCCAACACATGGCCTTTTTTATTGCAAGGAAGGTTTCGGTAACTGTGGGCCCAAACGATTCCGCTGTCTCATTTTCTGGGCAGTTAAGGCTGACGGCGTTCTTTTCCCAGGAACCGGTCATGGTAATATGAATAAGAAGCACAGCCACTGCCTGCACTATGAAATGCAGAATGTTTAGCCACGGCATCATTTTGTATAGCCACTCCATGTCAGGCTTCTCGGGCAATGTAGATATTACCGCTAAAGCAGCGCGCAAACAAGACAAAGCCCCTTTTTGGCGATAACTGGACCGTGGAACTTGATTTTCAACTTCACCTAACTTTAAGGGAGCCTGACAAGGCCTGTGTAGGATAATTTTTGAACTAAAGTAGTTCAAAGCAAGGGCTAATTGGTCCTGAGATAGCTCTTCCGCTCGAAATGCGCCATTTGCGGCCATAAAATTGAATGGCCTTCTAAGGTCGCGTAGCCATAGATCGTATTTCATTTCGAGACTGGACATTCGGATAGTGATTTCCTCCCATCCGTCACGATAGACGTCCGCGCTGTATATTTGATTGAGGACAGCATGAGCGATCATTTGTAGATCAATCAGGTGGAAGAAATAAAGAAATCTGGTTGGCTTGAGACTTTGGAACCACTCTAGGCGGTGTTGCAGTTGTATTTGGGTTCCGTGGAGGGTCCAATGGAGAGACTCTCGGCTGCAGGCCTCATCAATAAGCCCATCATAATGTTTGCCCTCTCTATTGTAATTAATTTCAATTGGAGAAGGAGGATATACCCTACAGGAGCGGTAGTCCAGACAAGAAGCTCGGCCAGTCAGAACGGAGACTTGATGCTCTAAGGAAAAGATCGACCACCAGATGCGACAGCGAGTCTCCTTAGAGATTGCGTTGATTTTATCACCAATAGCACGTTGGTTGAGTCCTAGCGCAATAGCCGAGCGGGCTGCAACTCCAGCCATTTTCCAGGACCTTAGTAGTATCAGCAAATGTGGAAGGGTCAATAGTGGAAGGAGACGACATAAGACAAGGAAGATCGAGAAAGTGCGTGAGCTTACCGATTAATCTGAGCTGATGCGAGATAATATATAGCTGCCAGCGATTCAATTTGCACCTGCTGAATGTCGGCGTGCTCGCTGTATACACTATCATTGGAGCTTAGCGTCATCGATCGCTGGAAAAGAACATCACCATCATCAATATCAATGTCGGGACCAGAGCGAGAAAGTCGACAGTATTTAGTGCCAATTGCAAGTATTATATTCAAAACTGCCAGCCATTTCTTTGATGGTCTCGATCTGGTCTGTGAGAACGCTTGCTCATACTGTGAAATGAATAGACTTCTGTCGATTAGAGGGAAGGAGGGATCGATTGTGTGAAAATATGCCTCTATGAGACGATCACACCAAGCTCTCGTTGGTAATACATGCGGATTGGCCTCCCTATAATTTGAGATATGATGTTCATCCAAAAAGTAGCTTAGGGGTATGATCGAGTGTAGGCTGGGGAGCAACGGTCTGTTTTCGGTCGGGTTTTGTCTGTCGGAACTGAGTGACCGGTTGTCCAAATTATGCATCCATGCTAATTCTGAGTTTTTGCCAATATAGCCCGTAGCTCTAGATTGTAAATTTTGGTTGACATCTTCGCGCACCGTATCGACCTCATCTAAGGAACCTACAGATAGGGATGACGAGGAGGCCAAATTTTGTATACTGCCACTATCGGTAACGGCTGATTCATCCTAAGCCCAATGTTAAATGGTATAAGCAGGCTCTCTATAGAACCTTAAATATCAGGGGGAATTTCTACCACTTGAAGTATACTGCATTCTTCCTGTCCGGAGTTGCGAATAGCCTGTACAACTCCCGGAGAAAAGCTATCGGCGGACTCCTTCGGGTGATAAATTAACATTTTGGTATCTGTAAAAGTGGTGAAGATGGTTTGGTTATACCTGATTACTTCCAATTCCACTTTGTGTAAGGTTTTCGTCAAGATAGGCCGTCAATCTTGATGAAAGAAGCAGCTGTAATTGCGCATTTTCGCCTTTACTGAACGCTTGAGCAACTTTATCAAGCAAAATCTCAGAAGAATCGAGCTCTTCTTTTGTTTGTCTGAGTATGAACTTCCTCCTTCGGTCTTGATTTTGGTCAAACACACATACGGTACCTACTTTGACACATTTCACACATGGTTGATCTCCTTGGCACTGGATATTGTCAGTTTTCACAATTCCCTTTCCTCAAGTGACGCATCTTGATTGACCTTTGATCTCCTTTTCTTGCAAGCTTGACATGCGGTAGTGCGCCTCCTTCGCTGAGGTGACGGTGCGAACGTTGCTTGTTGCGAGTCCTTGTTATCCAGAGTCAGGGCGTGAAGCTGTCTATGGCCTGCTGAATCCATGACTGTACTCTTGCTGGTCGAGCAAATTATGAAAAAGCAATTAGAATCTGCGTTATAAAAGTTGAAGCTTCGTGCCGATCGAGGTATGTGATGGTAGTCACAATCAGGTCATATGTCGCATTTTGTATATGTAGATTATTATTCAGACGTCACGTGGCCAGTATCTCCAATATCTAAGAACGTTTTGATCTCATAGCTGAGATAATTTCCTTCACGTATTTTAATATTATCATTCCGATATCTATTCCTCTCTTGTAGGCCCTGAACAATTATATGTGTTGGCCTAATCTACCAAGCTAAAGTGTTTGTTTAGCCGCTTTTCAAATTATGCATCTAGAAATGGTTGTACCGATTTGTCCACTCTCTATACAGCAAGAAGACAGGCCAGAGTCCAGATAGACATCCCCAACATAATGGGGGGCCGTTGCAACGGTCGAGTCACGTGCATTCCCTAATACCCCAGAATCCCCTACATTATAGTCCGAAATTTTTCGTGTGCTGGCAAAGCAGAAGGTGAAAGCAGGGATGAGTAGACCGGGGATGCGCGCTGTCGCACGCGGGAAGTCTGAACCGGGCGAAAGGGAAAATTATAATATTAAAAATTCCCAACAGTTACCCACAAGTAAATCATAGAATGTGTTGTGATTCAGAGTGATCAATTATCCCGTTATTTATAAGGGAGTACAAGAGATTATATACACCGTGAGGTCCAAGTTTGCGAAGGTAGAGTTTACCCGACAACAGTAGTAGCAGAGAGCCCCACTATCTCTGGGGTTTGACTTTAGGAAGACATATCTAGAAGAATTAGTTTGGCTTTCATCATGTCATAAAGATCCAAAAGCTCGTTTCCGTTATCGATGGCTGAACCTGGAAGGTAAGAATAAACAGCCTGCCAACGGCTACAAGATAATGCGATTTTGGACAGTATCCAGTGTCGCAGGAGGTGTCGGATACTGGGATTTATTTTTATAGTTGCAGCCGCAGTGAGTTGTAACTTAGGTAGACGTATGTAACTATCCATACGGTAAACGGCCAAACGATATTGTGCCTTGAGTTGTTTCTAATAAGCTCTGGAGGACCAAGCGGCCCGGACCCAACCAAACCCTTGCTGTCTTATTCAGACAGGTATTGTCGGCTAGTCAGAAAAGCCAAATGGGAATCATTCTCTTCCTTTCCTCTTGCAAGCAAAGTGAAAGTTTGGTTACTTTCCTTACATCCGTCCAGAAAGGAATTGCGAGTTTAGATCGACGGTTTGATACTTGCATTTTATTGGATGAGATAGCTCGGGGAATCCGATCTAAATATAGCGAGTTGCTTCTACTGAATGGGCAGCCTGGACGCGTATTGACGTCTATACCGTGAAAAAACATTTTGAGACTCATGTCACTAGTAGCGCTAGGCCCAGAACTCTTACGCCTCCAAAGTATGCTGGAGATTACCACCTTCCTTAATCATTGTTCCGTCCACTATATACCTTGCTTGTGTCATAGGGTAATAAAGAGCATCGTCATAGTATCGGCATTAGAAATCATTATCAATCGCTCATAGATGTTCTATCCATTTTATCACCTGGCTGACGTTCATGAATAATTTCAGGATATTTATGACCCTAAGTACGCTTCAATGAAACTTAAGAACATTCGGAGGAACAACGGTGCCGAGGCTGTGGCAACCTCCTATGTCCCACCTGAGCCGGGTGGCAAGACTTCCTTGGATATGGAAGAGGCATCCAACTATAATCTCTCTTCCAAGAGCACAGCACCCTCGTGCTACGAAAGATTATTGCTAGGTAGCAGGTTGGTTCTCTGCGGCACACCGAAAAGCTCAATAAGCAGATTGGAAGTGCCATGAAGAAACTCATTATTCCAGATGCAGCTTATATAGACTTTTACGAAAGGGTCGAACATATTGCGCTGACAGTGAAGAACATAGTGGGTTTTGTATCTGAGATGCATCCCGCCCCGACTCTTGCTGTAATGAACATGAGTATGCATTCATTTTTAGCTCTTTTCTGAAGTAAGTTAGCACTATCCGGCCGGTATTGACTTAGTGGCCACCGTCTTGGCTGATAAGATGCGGATCAAAACGGTCCTCTAGAATGCGCTCAGATGTCGCAGGTAAGTCTTATGTCATGAAGGGTCGTGCCAGACTGTCGACGTATAGTCCACGGCTGGGACCGCTTGCGCAGGATTATACCTGGCTGTGACCCGCCCCGCGGGTCCATTTTCTGGACCATCGACCCTACCCGCTGAGGGTAAAAGTCCAACCTCAGAGACCCTCCGACTAGGCTTTGACAAAACCCATGAATGGGTCGAAATGTTCGACCCAAGACCCAACCCGTAACCCACGATGGGGCCCCATTGGGGCTCTATGAAAACCCAACCTTGCATAAAAATAAGGTCTTGGCAGCATAAAGCTGCTGATTCCTCTGGGTAATATATTCTAATTTGCATCGGTTTTAGTTTCTAATATCATGATATAGTAATCAAGCTACTACGCTTATGAAGTTTACAGAAAGAGTCTATATCTCACTTTTACGTCGTAGTTAGTACTATATTTCCAGGTCTATTATTAGTAATATCCCCATTGATGATGGTTGTTAGTTACCTGGCGTGTACAGCCAGTCTTGATAGAGACGATGTATAAAGTCCTGTAAACATATACCCGGTCCGTGCGACCCAATGCCCGAGCGGGTATTCCGTTGGGGGTTGGGTCGTGTCCGGACCGGGAATGTAGAGGTAGTTTATCGAACCTTGTGGGATCTAACCGGGCCTTTCATTTTTCATTGAAAAATACCAGTAGTAAATGCCGTATTTTATCACTTGATATCTTCACAACCACATTTGTACCTTATTTCATTGCTTGCCGATAGCTATTGATAAAGGTTATGAACTCTATATTTAATCTCTCAGTTATGAAACCTCTTGACTTATCGTGGAGATGTCGGAGGCACATCCCGAGATGTCGGATCTCGTCCCCGACTTTTTCTTTCTATCGATGCGGCTAACTGAAAAGCGGTATCAAGAGATTTAAACCAAGTCTGTGATTGCATTGAATTTTCCTATATACAAAAAAATCTGCCTTCGTCTGAGATGGCGCGCACAATAACAATCGGACGCCTCTTGTTCAGCCAGTAGGTCATTCTTCTTTTGCTACAACACCATTATCTGACTCGAACAGAACTTGGAATTTTGTTCCCAAGTATACAACGCGCTTTGGATTTCAACTGCTCAATAAACAGCGCATGAGCTCATCCGCCGCGGCTGTAGCATCGGAGGCTGAAACCGCTGCTGCACAGCAGAATTACAAAATCGTCCAAGACATTGGCAACTTTGACGAGATTCAAGCCAACCGTCCAGACTTTGACCACTCTAGGCCAATTGAGGTGACAAAGTCTCCAAACCCAAACTGGGAGTATGGGCAAGGAGTGCCCGGCAATGGAGCCAGCCTGGCCCAAAAGCACCATGAAATCGACCCTTATGCCTCAGACCGACCGATGATCAATAATTACCGCCTTCTCGTCTCAGGAATCGCGCCACGACCAGTGGGCTTCCTCAGCACTGTCAACTCCAAGGGAGAAAAGAATCTGTCTCCGTTTAGTTACTTCCAAGTCATCGACCACGATCCCCCGATGTTCATTGTGGGATTCTCGTCTCGGCCTGGTCGTGTCAAAGACACATACCGCAATCTGAAAGAGACCGGAGAATGCGTCATTAACACTGTTTCAGAAAACATGATCGAGGCCGTCAATGCAAGCTCGATTGATGCGCCGTACGGCGTCTCGGAATGGGATGTTTCCGGTCTCCATGAGGCGCCGTCAAGTACGGTCAAGCCGGCCCGTGTTGCGGAGTCTGTGTTCAACATCGAAGGCAAGGTCATCGATATCAAGGAATTCACGGATCATCAAAATCCAGGCATGAGCATTGCTGCTAATGTCCTTATCAAGGCTACTCGGTTCTGGGTGAAGGAAGGCACTGCGAATGAGGATTACAGTCATATTGACCTGGAAAAATTGCGACCGGTTGGTCAACTTGGGGGTATCTCTTATGGTCGAATTGTTTCGACTTTTGAGCATCCACGCAAGAAGTGGGGTGACGAGGTGTCCAAGAGTGAGATCTTAGCGAAACTTGATGCTGAGAAGCCTGTCGATAACTGATATCCATGTATATATGACATATGTAGATGATAGATTTGAATAGAATATTGACTGTTTTCAATAATCACCCTATGCGAGCCTCACTCTTCTCTGAACTACCGGTTAGAAACGAAGAAATCCGTTGCATTGTATGAGCATGCATTTGTCTGTAAATGTTTTGCTTCAGCAGCAAACTAAGGAGGATATCAATAATGTCTGAAAATGCTTGAAAACATGGCAAAGCCAGAAATAAATAAAGAAGCAAAAAAATGGTAAATGATTGAAAAGTAATCATTGTCCATGAGAGAAGAAAGAAAAAAAGAATGTAAACGCCGACCCGACCTGCAGGAACCTAAAGTATTGAGTTAATACCCAATCAAACAAAAGCCTCACATTAGACTTGTCACTTACAGCATCAATCGCACTATGAAACAACCCTTGTAGCAGCAGCCTTGGGCACTTCAGGACCATTAAACTGGGCAAGATGATACGGCCCATGATCTTGTTTGTAATCGAAAACTGATTCCCCAGAGCTGCGCCGCGATTCCGTTGCATATGCCTTTCGTGGCGGTGCTTGTGGTCCTTGTGGTGCGCCTTCGCCGAATCGTTGTGTGGCATAGTTAGCGTAGAAACCAGAGCGACGTCGGCGATCTTCTAGATCCTCGCGGTCATCGCGGCGCTTGCGCTTGAAGTAAAGGACTATCAGGACGATGATGGCGGTTAAGAGGAGGCTAGTGAATGAATTGAATTGTTTAGTTTGAGACTTTCATATTTTGGTATAGATGTTTATCGGAAAAATAAATGTCTCCACGGCTTCGAGATGTGCTTACACTCCTGTTATCGCGGCTGGGACACCGACTGTGAGCGCTCGGCTAGTGGGCTTGGAACAGCTTGATAAGGTGTCATCCCCATCGCAATCTCTGCGGAGGATAGAGAGTGTTGGAAACATGATTTAAGTTAAAAGAGTGTGTAGGTCTCAAAAAGACCGGAGTGTGTGAGAACCTAAGGGTTTAGATTCCTAGTCAGGGGAGAATACAAAAGAGTGTGGGGGGGAGGAAGGGATTCACTCCACTAAATGAACCCTTTTAAGACAATGTTTCAGAACAAAAGTTAAGAAAAGTTAAGAAACCAGAGACGTATCGCTTCTTATGGCTTGTTAGGCCCGTGTTGTACTTGATTCGTTGAAAAGGGGGTGGCTTTTGTTTGGAATATGGGGTTGCATTCCAACAATTGCTCATTAAACAGGTACTATACTTGGTTATGATATAGTAAAATAGTTGTATAGTCAAACAATTATTTAAAATACATAACTACATATTTATGTATTTATAACTCAGGACTAATTGAAAATGGTACATCCTTCGGAAGATCCGAGCAAATTCATCGGCCTGACTGTTTACTATACGTTCCACTCCTAGCCTGACACCTTAACGGCCCCCAAGTTATTTCTCCCAAATGCCAATCAAAATTTCTATTTCTACCTCGCTTATTTTGAACTATACCAAGATAGGATGCGTGTATGATATGGTAAGTCGGAGGTCACCAGGCCCCTTGTGTATAACTGTAGGTGTCTTGAAATCGTTTTCATAAATACATTGGATGGGAACAGAGGGGCGATCACTAGGCATTTACCATTGCGAGGTCACCCGAAACATGATCTGTCTTCTCAGGAGATGGCTCAATTGTGGGCTCAACGTGGAAATAGCCCATCTGGAACAAGAGTTCCTGCCAATCGGCCCCTGCAGTGCCTTGCACTTTGTAATAAGGCACGTCAGAAGTGAACCAACGTTCCCGGCGGACCGAAGCTTTGTCGCCTCCCTCAAGAGCGGCACGACTGGCGCGCGTATTACGCGATCGCTTCTCGCCTGTCCCGGGCTCCTGCGCCGTTAGTGCAAACAACCTTTGGCGGTATTGGTAGAGGCGCCCGTCAAAGGACATGATAGCACGAATATAAGGGGCCAGGTCTTCGGTGATTGGTGCAAGCCCATTTTCGAACGATGGGGCGTGTCGGGCGGTTGGGGTTGGTATAGAGTAGTTGGCGCGCATGATTGGCTCAAAAATGCGCTGGAATTGTGGGAGAGACAATGGAGGGGTTTGGAGGGGAATCGCAGAAAGAATGGTTTTGCTAAGCACTCTGTTCGCGTATAAGGTTTCAATATCCACCCCTGCTGTTGGGTGGAAAGTTCTGTTTACCATCGCTGTGAAGGTACTGCTGATGAGTTCGCTGAGCGAGGAATATTCGGCTCGCAATGGAGTTTCGAGAAGTGGGTAATTATCAAGGTAATTAGATCTCTGGCCTTCGGGCATTGGTGGTGCCGATATGTCGACGACGTCCTGCTGATGTTTAGCTATATTTCCGACAGGGTATCAATATCACTTACTTTTTTCATTTCCGTGGAGAAATTGGAGCAAAGCATATCGAGAGAGCTTCTCATATCATAATAATCGGCTTCGCGACAGATCATGTCAAGCTGATCAACTTTGGAGCTCGACTGGACACTGTGAGGTGACAAAAGTTCGACCTCGCTCCTCCCGGCCATATCTTCAGAATCCTGCAAGCCAACTCCCCAGTTGTGAAAGCTGTTGCGAATGACTTCCGTCTCTCCATCCAACGAGCTGTGAGTCGAAAGCAAATCACGGTTGAACCAACCCATATATCGCTCATATGTGTTGAGGCTCAAGACTCGCAAGCGGTCTCCATTCTGATCCACGTTTGACTCGGGCGGCCATGCAGGAAGCAGCCAATCAAGACCAGATTTGTCGCTGCCAACTCCCATTTGACACCAGAAGTTGAGGTCCATTAGGGACTTCCTAAGATCCAGCCCGGAGCCTTGGTAAAGCCTAGTAACGGCTTCCCTCTTCAATATGTGACCTTCATTGGCGGCAACCAAGAGAAGGTAGTCAATGACGAAGTCCGGAGAAGGCTTTTGGTATCGTAGGATGGCATGTAGGGACATTTCTCGAGTAGGAATCAGACTTTCATCGTTGCAGGTAATGATAATCGGTCGTTTCGATTGGCTGATGAGAGTCAAAACACCAGTCCAAAATTGACGGTCTTCTTCAAAAAGAATATCGGCTTCTTCGAGCAGGATCAAGCACTGTTTCTGCTCTCTGGGTCGTTTCGTCTCATTTTCGGATTGGCTGGTAGTGTCTGCCGACTTGCTAACTTTTGTCGATGGACCTTTGAAGAATCCCATCAAATTGTTTGGCTTGACATCGGCCTTATTGCTGTCGATTGCGCTATCTGTTTCGTTTAGAAGATGAACAAGGTGGTTTTGCGTCATATCCCCAACGCGTTCTAGCATATCGCGGGCAGTTCGACGGCTCCCAGCATTAATCTCAAAAACTTCAAAATCAAGCTCCTTTGCAACAGCATAAACGGATGCTGTTTTCCCGCAGCCAGGTGGGCCGCTTATAAGAATCGCATTGCTTAGTTGACCGTTTACTGTACCGTTCGAGCCGGAGACCATGTCTCCTGATCTAACAACGGTTTTCTGCGACAATGTAGTGACGTTCCCCGCCAGCTCATCGTCAGAGCCAGAGATGTTGTCCATCTCCGATACCTCTTCTTCACTTGAGACAACAAATCCATCGAGTTTGTCGCGTTTCTGTCGCTTCTTGCGTTTCTTCTCCTCTTTTAGTTTGGATTTGACATTTTCCTTCGATGAACTACCTGTATCAACTGCTGTGATCTTAAGGTGACGCAACCAGTCACGGAGCATCTGCGGTTCGCGTCCCAGTTGGAGTACCTCATTGGCTGATGTAGGGGCGTACTTATGCGGCCAAAGGTGGGACTCGTACTTGCCACGATCGATGGCTGATACCGAAGAAAGTAGCGCCAATCGAAGTTTCGCAAGAGGTGGGGTCGTAGCAGTCCAATGGAACTGGCGGTTTGGAGAAGACCATGACATTTGTCTTTCCATTGCTGCTTGTAGTACGTGACTGCTGGCAACATGCCGGACTGGGTGTCGCAGAATGGCCGGGATATCCTGAGCTTCAATCGTGGATAGTCGAGCAATTTTTCTCGCTTCGGCCGTTCCAGTCAAAAGCACATTCTCTTCATCTCTGATTGAGATAGCAGCAATCTTCGACTTTTTCTTATCTTGGGATTTATACCAAGTACGGCCATTGATTCCCAAGAGCGGGGGATTAGTATCTCTAACGTGTACCAGGTCTTTAGGAGGCCAGGTGGGGTGGACAAGTTCGGGGAATTTAGACACGCGGCGAGGAATCTTAGAAAATGATATGTCTGAAGCTGGCACCACTCGCTTTTTGACGGGGGTCCCAGCTGTGGTTTGGGTCGGCGCTTTTGGCGAGTCCGGCTGACCATCGATTGAGTTTGGTGTTCCTGTATTGTGCATCGAGGTTTTGTTGAAAAAAGGGTGGGTTGGTTTTCGGGATTGGCTTTTCTTCTTGCGCGGCTGGATGGCAGATTTCCAGGGGGTTGTTCGAGTGAGCCCATTTAAGATATCATTGATCAATGTGCCTATCTTGCCCTCTTTTCCAAGGCCGTATTTGAATATCACCACCTTAGTTTCTTCCTTTCGCGCCCTACGTCGCTTCCCCGTTCCGTTCTTCTCGGTCTCTGGTGGCGGACTCGAGGCAGGCGAAGACAAGAATTTGCCATTCGGATTCAATTTCAGGATTTTCTGTCTCGCGGAAGACCTGGCAGCCCGGGACTGTGGTTCCTTCTCAGTCAACGTCGAAACTTTGGTCGCATCCTCAGCGGGGGTCTCCGCCGGCGGAGTCCCCAGTTGAAATGTTGACAAGGTGGTGTCTGGGTCATTGGCAACATCGGTTAAGGGATTTAAGGGGGCAGGCGCGCTGACACCAAGCCATGCTGAGAGACCAGCACGGGCAGCAGTGGTAGGTTCTGTGGTTTGGGTTTTATCTGTTCTTCGCCTCTTTCTCCGACTCTCGTTCGGATCCTCATCCAGGGCCACGGCGCCCTCATCGTTGATATTGGAAGTATTCGAGTCACAAGGATTCAAAACATGTGGTTCCAGCTCGAGGTTAGAGCCTTCGTTGTTTATTCGTAGATGATCATTTGGATTGGAACTCGCGGCCGAGGAGGAATCATTGGAGGATGTAGGTTTGGCTGTAACTCCGAATTCTACATAAGGTGAGTTGAAGCTTGGCTGGAGCAACGAGAATCATTCTGACCTTGTCGAAAGAAGGGATGGATAACCTGCTGTTCAGTTCCCATGGCCATCGATAGATTTTGGGCAATGTCCATGTGGTGAACAATCAGATATTCCGTCAGTCGAAACTGAAAAATAGACAATCCCCCGGATGGATCATTTAGTTAACAAGCTATGGTGGGTGGGGAGCAATTTAGTAAGGCAAAGATAGAGAGAACTCCGAATCCCTTCTCTATATATTGGAACACGTCGAGACGCGAAAGGCGCGTAAAGGGCTTATGTCAGGCTGATTACTTGACGTACCTACGCTAACCTGATCAGGACTAGAATAGATTGTCCGGACCGACGTAATCCCGAAAATTTTTCAGATTTCCAATTTGGATGGGTCTGCATCTAAAAGATCACACGCTGTGAAGGGTCGGGAAATCAAGTAGTTTGTGGTTTCCAGTATCCATCTTCGTCATGGATTTACAGTCTCCGTCTGTCCTGGCGCAATTGCCTCGCCCCCTTCATGCCTCCACCGGCCAAACACACATCGGTGATGTCTTCAGTCTCGCCGATGCGAAAAAACGCAAACGCTACGAAGTTGCAGTCGCAGTGGATGGAGAGTCTGTGAACATTTACAACGTATGATTCTCCTGTTAATCTGATATTATTCTCGTCATAACTGACTCAAATCTTCCACTAGGTTCAAACTCCAAAGCTCGTGACTTCCTACGCTGTACCGCCGCAATCTACTTTCTCTTGCCGCCCATGCTCGGTCCGCAGAAAATTGTCGAAGAAATCGGCTGTCCGCAGACAAACATATACTGCCGTCACCAAGCCAGAGCATCAGATCAAATGCTTTGTGGAGGAAATTGGCAGCAACGGCTCAAGTGCTCCGGCCATTTCTTCATCAACGACAACCGTGACCGACTCAGCTAGTCCTACCACCTTTGTTGGAATCGTCCCCTCCAGTGCCGACGGTGAAGGAGATGTGGACCCGTTCGATATTTTGGCTGTTCATGAGGATGGTCGTGTGCGCAGGCTGTCCTCGGACCTGAAAACTCAACGGTGGAGCATTCAACACAGTGAAATTGCCAAGGTTTGCTCCACTCACAATGTCCAATCCAGCTTTTTGGTTGAATTTGATGATGCCAAGAAGGCTCTGTTCAAAAGGCGACAGGACCTGGCATCCTTAGCTCTTGGCGATATAACCACCGCTGGGGTCAATGAGCCATCCATCTTGCTTTTGGTATCGCAGCCAAAGAACACCGATCGAGTGCCTCTGAAAGACATTATTGTCCAAATGTTCTCCGTTCCTGCCGATGCGAAGTCAGAGTCTCGCTTGGACGAAAGCCAGCGTCTTCGCCATCTCCAAACTTTCCACATCCCCGACGTGAACGGTTTAGAAACTACCAACGGCAATGCTACGCAATGGAGTTTCCATTCGGGCTCAGCAGGATTAAATCTTTCTTTCGAGAAGGGATTCATCAACGTCGATCTCTCTCAGTACTCCCCCTCTGTGACCTCGCAGTTCGTCCTTGATGACGAGAACTTTACCTCAGTTATGCGCATTTCTCCACAATCCATCATTGGTGCACAGCAATCACTTGTAGCTGTTTATGATACCCAGTATCATTCTGTGCAACGCAGCATTCCAGCCCACGACCTTTTGTCAAGCACTGGGTCAAACGCAGAGACTCCCACAAACTTCATCAGCTACTTCGCCAAGCTTGGAATTGCAGTGGCGACCAAGGGAAACACTCTTATCGCTTTCGATTTGAGCTCTCTCCCTAGTGCACCTAGCTCATCTTTGAAGCGTACAAGGGATAGCCTGCTCATCGATGCTATTGGCCGAGGTATCGGCTCATCTTCTGCACAATGGGACGTTTCTTCCAAAAAGCACCGGTCTGACAACATGGCATTCCTTCGACTCACTTCACCAGAGCAAGTTGCCAAATGGACCCAGCTCACAAACACCGTCGAGAAGGCCACCAAGGCTAAGAATGTTGACTTGTTCGATAATGCTGTATTGACATACTTTAGCATTTCAGATGCCACAACAACCCTGCCGGTGCGCGGACAGTATGTCAACCCCGAAGCGACCCTTTTCCTGTTATCAAAGATTTTTGTCGTGGAAGAATATGTATCAAATGATATGGTATCAGCATCCTCGTCATCTCAACTTCGAGTTGCCATGTGGCCTCCGACTACTTGCGACTGGCTCATTCGCTTGGGACATCTCTCACTCGATAACGTTGAGATTGCCTTACGAAGAGCCTGCAAGCCCCGCATCTTGCAATCTTTCCCCACCGGGTCATTCATCCAGGCCCTTCTCGACTCCGATCCGTCTCTCAAGCAGGTGAACCAAGTGCTTGAGGGCCCCACCCTGATTTCCTCCGACGAACTAGCCTATGCTCTCAAAGTTTTCTTGAACCAAGCTCGCTCTCACTCTGGTACTCTTGAAGAAACAGCTCGCGCGATCACCAATGGTGACCTGGCGACCCCCACACAGGAGCTTACTAGACAACTTGGAGCTGAAACAGCAACTCTCAAGGATATCTTCACTGGTCTAAACACCTCCCTACAAAAGATTCACACTCAACCTATGTCGGTCATTGTTCACTCTCTTCGCTCCAACCTCTCGCGCACAGAACTCATCTCCATGGTTCATCATCTCCGCCTCTCCCTCGCCACCGGTGGTTATACCTCCCGTTTCACTGAAAATCCCCCAACACCTATCACACTCGACCAAATTACTCCTGCTCTCTCTCTCAATGTCATTGTTGATCTTCTCACTGCCTCTGTGGATGCCGTCGGTCCCTCCGGCTGGATATCTGCCATCCCGGCAGTAAACGACTTTGAGGACTCCGACTCTGTCACAGCTGCGGCCAGTCGCGAAATGGAATTGATTGCGGATATGAAATCTGAAGTGTCTGCCGCACTTGCAGGAGTGGAGGAGGCAACTTATCTCAAAGGAGTCTTGTGTGAATACCTTCGCTTTGCGGATCAAGTGGACACCACGGAGACTACATCCGAGGACGCTCTGGCCAAGATGGATGCCGAAACAGGCCCATCTCACCTGGTCCGCCACGAGAAGCTCAATGGTGCTGACTTGATGGTCTTCACCCGTCCAGGTGAGGGAGAAGATGGCTACGAGGGTGATTCGGGTGGCAAGATGCTACCACTATCGCTCAAGGCTGCTTCAAATGACGTCTCCCGTACCAAAACCAAGAAGTCCACCGGCGAGGTCAAGAACCGCTCCAGCCGTGAGATTGGATACTTGCGCCGCAAGGCGGTTGGCAAGTATTCATTCGAGAGGCTTATTGTTTAAAATACTTGATGTTCAATTCATGTTCCATACTGTAACAAATTTTTTTTTTCAAGGGGAGACAATATCCTAGGAGTTAGACATGACCAATACATATTTGTTTCTACACCAGTACCTAGGTAAATCATTTCCTAAAATTAATTATCCAATTGTAGTATCATAGGATCTGGCCCTTGCTCATCAAAAATATGTAGAATTATTTCAGTGGCCAAAAATGAAATTCTCGAACGACAAGGGGCACGATAAATGGACTGACGGTATTCCGCGGAACCTTGCAGATATATATATGTCCAATGGGTAAGTAACATCACGAAATTCTCCTTTTTACCCCTCCTGTACAACAGTTATACATTGTGCAGCATCAAGATGCATGTATGTACACAATATTACAGTCAATTTAAGGTTTGATTGTCTATATCTCACCTGGGCAATTGTTATTCGTGTTGAAGAAATTGAAGAAACAGAAGAAATACGAATGGGATCAAGACTAAGTGGGATTAGACAGCGCATTAAGCCTCCAAAGGGTTTCAATAGTTTGCTGGAACCTGGGATTTGGAGAAATAAGAGAAAAGGAAGGGTGAATTGATAATTGATATATCTCAAGTACATATATATGTACATATTTATAGTTATAGTAAATTTCGATCTGGGCCTTGAAGGGCTGTAGCGGTGACAAAAGTAAACAAGATAATAAACAAGGAGCTTAAGTGGAGCGACGCATCTCCGCACTGTTCCCAACCCACCGTTCTCTTGAAACTCCATCTTATTCACTTAGCTCCGATATATGCCTTCATGTTGTTTTGTTTGCGCGAGTTTGGGACGCGTACATCATAACAAAGGCTGAAAATGAGCAACCAACCATGGCTCGACAGCCTTTCCGACGATTGGCCGTCAATGCCAGCGTCGCCTACCAGTCCAACTACCCCAGCTAAATCGCACTCTCCCAAAGTCAGTCAGCAGGGGACTCCTAGCCGCATTCCTGTGCCTGCACGGCGTTCCGAACAATCTCCCGGGGACGACAAGAAGAAGGTTACCCGCCCATGCCACTTTCATAGAAAAGCACCTCCGACTCCAAAGACTCCCCGAACACCCAAAACACCCAAACCTCGATCGCCGGCGCCTGATAAATCGAAATCCAACACTCCCAGGACAAATCCCAGGACTAATTCCAAGGTCACCCCGAAGCCAACCCCGGGTCCGGCACGCAAACATCCTGCAATGGATACGCGCTCCCCTCTACGATCAGTGTCGAACGTTTCCAAGGCCTCAAATCAATCGGAATTCCAGGACACAGTTCAAATAAAAACAAAGAAGGGGAAAAACACGAAAGAGGGCACACCAGAATGGCGGCGTCGACTAATGCGCGGGGAGATCGCCGCTGGCGAGCAGCGGGATTTGTTCGCACCCATGGGACTAGAAAGCGTGTTTAAGCCTCCTACGCCGGGCTCTGGCGCGCAAGAAGAGTCCACTCCATTCACGAAGCAAGACGATCAATTATGGGATTTCACCGAAACGCCTTCGCGACAAGACAGACTCGACCACAACAATGGCGGCAGTGACACTGAACGCGTCGATGCTGATGGGGAAGGGGATACAGATGGCGCATTACCACAAGGAACGATAAACCGCGCGCCGTGGGAGGGCAATGAAACTCAGAACGGAGATTGGGACCCCGAAGGATTCTCGCAACCAGGGAATGCCCAACAACGGACTGCTAGTGGACTGGAGGACTTGCGCAATGAAGGGATCACGCCCATTACCTTCTCCCGGAACAACACCGTTGATGGGAATGGAACTTCAGAAGTCATTAAGTCGGCACTGAAGCAAGTCACCAACAAGTTGGAAAGCCTGTCAATCGGAAATGACAGTCGTCCTGGTTCTCCAGCAAGCGACAGTTTCGCTTTCTACAACCTCAGTGAACCTCATCCCAATGAATCTCCCCGAGATGACAGTCTGCTGGACGTTACTAGTCACTCGTTACCCCAGGATCTGTCCATGGGGACGGTGGACTTCCACAGCCGCCGAGGGAACCGTTCCTTCCCTCGCCGATTCTCCCCTTCGCCCTTTCCCTCGCACCGCCTGTCTCCCACTACTCTCGCGAATTCAAAAATCCGGAGCTCCCCCTTGTTCAATCCCCCTCACAAATCTGGCTCGCCTGGCCTGCCACGTCCCTCTTCGTCTCACGTTCGGCCATCAACGGCCGGGGCAGAAGGAAATGAGTCAAACATGCCATCATCTGGAAGCCCCTTGAAGCTGTTTGGCCATCATGACACATTCACCAATAACAGGCTTCTTCGCCGTATGAGTCAATTTGAAGATCACTACAGTGATGGCTCTGAAGGGGAGGAGCCCCCTTCACCGTCGGAAGAAGCGCGGAGGAAGGGCGAAAATCGCACCTTTTTGAATGCGAGACACGAGCCATTGAGTGAAATCACGCCCAGGCGAAATGAACGGGTTGGATCTCGGGATAATGGTCATCGAATAAGCCAATTTGGTGGCGGTGAATTGGATAAGTTTGATTTCTCGGACAACAGCCCTTACGAGCACAAGCTGGTGTACGATGAGGGTGCAGGCTTCGGGTCGCGCCCAACTTCACGCAAACGATCATCAATGCGACAGCAGTATCTTCGAGGTCCTTCTCAACAAGGATTATACCATTACAGCAGATCGGCAAGCTCGGGATTCACTCGGAAGCCATCTGCTTGGATGCGCCAGGACTTCTTTGATGATGTCCGGTCTGGTTCTCGCCCGAACAACAAGGAAAACATGGCTCCTGACGTGAAGCGAGTGCCCCGGGCCCCGGGCATGGACCCCACGCCCAAACGGCGCCGCACGATTATGAGAAACAATAGCACTGACCTTGCTCACAATACTAACGGCAATTCGCCTCCAAAATATGGCGATAGCATGTCACTTTTACAAAGGAGCCTCATGCAACATGGCGTCCAACTCGACAACACTGACTATCTTGCCCCGCCTCGTCTCTCCCAATCTATGCAGCGACCCCGGACACCAACGCCGAGTCAAATCCGAGTTGCCGGGGAACACACTGCACCACACAGAGATTTCTCGGAGCCAGATTTCCACGATAACGACTATTCTGATTCATTCACCTTCGATAACGATGTTCCCCTCGTGAAGATCACTGGCACTAGTGATACATCTCGAAAAGGATCCATTACGACCCAGGATTACCTGAACGAGGCCACCAAAATTATGGATCTAATTAGATCAAAAGGACGAGGTGCAACGGGATTACCCAGTCTGCATGAGTCTGATGTGGAAAGCGAAGGCGATGATCTTAGTTATGATGACGAATCTACTCGGGAAGCCTTTTCTCGGCCCCCGAGTCGAGATGGCACAGATCTGCGCAAGTTGAGAGAAGTGAAAGAGCTGAACCCACTCATTCTGAACCACCTCAAAAAGTACCAGGAGCAAGATGATCCCGATGACCGAGAGATGTCTCTACAAGCCCGTCATGGCCAGAGTCCCACCGACCCATCTGAGCTTGATGAATATAACTCACAAAATATCCGGATTCTTGGACCAAGAAAACGCAAGACAAGTGGCATGGCTGACGATACGGCGGAAAATATCGCCCAAGATCTGATGACTATCAACACCCAAATGTCTGGCTTCAGCGTTACCTCTGTCCCAACAGGCTCTTCACAAGGCTCTCAAGTGAAAGGAATGCTAGCCTCTGATCTTGTGTCACACCTCATACCGAATGAGGTCAATGGCTTCAAGTATGATCGTGCAAAGAACCAGTGGGTGAAGGATGAGATGGAAGAACCAGAAGCCCCAATCTCGGAACCCTCCGAGGAGAATGAAGACCCCTTCAGAGATATTCCGGATCTAAGCGTGGATGAGCTACAGGAGATGATGAGAGTCCATGGTCTGAGCTCTCCCTCCAAGGGTGATGCCTCAATTGATCTGGAGGGCAAGACGCGCGTTCCTCCTGCCACAAACACATCCCCAAGGAAGTCAGATATTCGACCGCACACGAGAGATGGTATCCCTTCCCTCAATGCTAGCTCAGTCCAATCGCGACTTACTCGGTTTACTTCAAGCGTTCCAAACACTGGAACAAGAACCACTTCATGGGCCACAGCGGGGACAGAGAACTCTGGACAAGAGAATCCTCCAGTCCAGAGTAAAGAGCTGCCGGCTTCCAAATACCCTCGCTCTCAGCGCAAGCAAGCACGGGTCTCGACCGTCAACTTGTCGCCACCTGATGTCTCACCAGCTGAACTTAATGGTCTGCAGTCTGATTCGAACGTTGATCACGTCTATCATGGAATTCCGCCAAGTGAAGAAGGACTTCAACCAGACCACGAGAACGGCACAGTACGACCTTCTATTCCTCCTAGTGGACGTCAAAGTTCGGTTGCTGGTCAACCATTCATTAGACGGCCCATCTCGAGGATAGAAGAAAGGAACGAGGAGACCATCGATGAGCAAAGTATCGTGCGCAGGAATGACTCACTGCATGTCCATGAAACACCCGCCAGAAATGGAGCGGAGAATCATCTGATGCCCCCGAACAGCGCCGGGCCCGACACCAGCTACAGCTTCCACCTCAGCCCACTTGCAGACTTTACCGTCAACCAAGGAGATCAACCCCTGAACCTCGAAATGAGCTACATCGCTCAACGCACCAATTCATCTTCACTGCGCCAAGTGCATGGGACTTTTGCCCTGGCGACTGAAGATTTAATCAAGCATATCACAGACGTCGAAGCCTATGAACCTTACTGGGAACATATTCGTCGCCTCGTGTTGCGCGAGAAGGGTTTAATCACGTTGCATAAGCTCAATGAGTTTTGTCCCCGCTTGGAAGAATTGGATGTCTCCGATAACGACATCGGTCAACTGAGTGGTATTCCTGATACCCTAAGAACCCTCAAGATCCCCAGAAATTGCCTCTCCAATCTGACACCCTGGGGTCATTTGGTGAATCTCCAATATTTGGATGTCTCCGGAAACGACATCGAGACCTTGGATGGCTTTTCAAGCCTCATCCATCTCAGAGAGCTGAAAGCGAATGACAACCAAATTCGGAACATTGATGGAATTCTTGATTTGAATGGCCTGCTGAGTTTGAAACTAAGCAACAACTCCGTGACAACAGTGGACTTCGAAGGGTGTGAGCTGACACGACTTCGTGACCTTGACTTGAGTCACAATTGTCTGACATCTGTCCACAATGTGGAATGGCTTCCTTCACTCGCCACCCTTGATCTAAGTGCCAACCAAATCAGCCGCTTTGATTCGCCTGCCTCCTTGATCAGCCTACGAGCCCTGAAGCTCTCCGAAAATCGTCTAGATGCTTTTGATGCACAGGCTTTCCGTTCTGTCAGCCTTTTATACCTCGATCAAAACCATATTTCCACCGTCACCGGCCTGGAGCATTGCCACAACCTCGAAGTCCTTTCCCTTCGAGAGCAGACATCACCAAACGAAAACGATCCTGATTTCGGCCTGGAGCTTGATTTAGGACTGGTGAAAGACGTCCGCAAAGTGTTCTTGTCCTCAAACCGACTTTCTTCTCAGAGCATCTGTCCTTCTGTCCCGCTTCTTCGACTCCAGCTTCTCGACATTGCTGCATGCACGTTGAAGAAACTTCCCAGTGACTTCGCCTTAAGCTTCCCCAACCTCAAAGTTTTGAATTTGAATTTTAACTCAATTGAAGATGTTGAGCCCCTGGTTGGAATGAACTGTCTCGCCAGATTGATGATAGTCGGCAACCGTCTCTCCCGAATGAGAAGGATATGTCAAGTTCTCAGTCGACTTGGTCGCACTGGAAAAGGAACCGCATGCTCCTTACGGAAACTTGATGTTCGCGGCAATCCCCTGACCATTGGCTTCTATCCTCCAGCAATGACTGGCAGTGGCAATGCGGACCGCAAAAGACCCAAGCCTCAAGAACAAGCAGTTGTTCGCCTTCGAGAAACCCATCGAGACCTCTCCGATGCCCTGGCCGAGCTTGGGAACGATGATCAGATTTCTCATCGCGCCACTATGGGCGATGAGGCCCAGCCCGACAGAGACGTTGAAATCAACGACCCATTCACAGTCCCGCTCGCCGACTCTCAAGCGGACTTCAAATACCTGAGACATCTCGACCAAGCCACACGACTACGTCGAAGAGTTCTGGAGCTTCTGCTCTACGCCGGAACAAGCGGCTCCCTCCATACTCTTGATGGATTGGACCTCCAGCCGTCATTGGGCGACGAGAGCTCTGATATGAACAAAGCATGGGATAGACTGGAGCAATTGGGGGTACTCCGCAGGAAAGCGATTAAAAATTAAGCTATATTCTCTATTATTCTTCTGTTGTGATTTTTGATCATGCGAGAAGCGAGCATGATATGACCAATTGTTGGCGGCGTGTATGGAGTTTTGTTGATTGACATGGCCATGCTTGGCTTTTTTGAGGGTTTACTACTGGCATAAGTGCATTATTGGAGTTTGATATTGAATCAAGTGTAACATTGAAGAACTATATTACCTTTTGGGCGATGGCCTGTGATAGGCAAAATACAAATCAGAGAATCCTGCACTTTTATATATGTTTTTCTTACACTAAGCTGCCTGCCAAAATCAACAAGCAAATAAAAATACTGAAATGAGCCAACTATCTTGATAATATTCAAGGCGTCGGCGAAGACGGAAATAGCAGTAGGCTTTAAGAGCCGGGTATACGGAATTGTTGAATCTGACAAAGATTTACAGCTTAGACGATAGTACGATTGCAAGTTCTGTTAAATCAACAGAGTTTCATCAAATGTAAATGAGTTAAATTATTGAGATACAAAAAGTAATATAGAAAGAAAAACAAATATGCAGTCCGGTGTAGGCAGAGGAAGACCCATAAGCTGCAGGGCCAACTGTAGGGCCATGGAAGTGATCAGTTGACGCATAGTATCAGCGATTATCTCTTGCCCTGGACAAGAATTTGTTTCTCCTTCTTGATTTGCTCAATGACGCTGATATCAACCTTCAGGACATTGGCAACGGTATCAGCCGGAGTCAAGGCAAGCCACTGAGCAAGAGAGATATCGGCGACGCGATCGCTCTTGTAGAGTTCAATCCAAACAAGCTTCTCGGTTTCAGAGGTGTTCTCAATATAGTGACCTGGAGAATATCAATTAGTTTTCAAATTCAAGCATAGGAGAGGTTGTACTTACCACTGTTGTCGGGGAAGACAGCAGTGTCACCTGGGTGGAAGTCAAAGGTACGGGCCTTAGAGTCGCCGATGAAGACAGTCGCGCGAGCATGACCCTGGTGGAAGTAGAGCCACTCCTCAGCCTGTAATGTCTTAGTATCTTGTATAATATCCATGGGTAATGTCACTGTTAGAACTTACATTGGGGTGCCAGTGAAGCTCACGAAGACCCTTGGGTTCAAGCTCCACAATAGCAGCAGCAATAGTCTTGGAGATAGGGAAGTTGGTGGAATCAATCTTTCGGAATGTTCCGCCGTGGCCGGGAACAGGCTCTGATGGGTGCTTGTAAGTGTGGAAGACGTAGGAGTCGTCACCTCGCAGTGTACCCTCGGGTGCCTTGTCTAGGTCCTTGCTGACAGTGCCATTAAGGATGTAGGGGAACTTGGCGGGAACAGAGTCAAACACCTTGGGGTCAACACCAAAGTTCTTGGCGAGAACATCTCTGGGAGTGTGCGCAATCCAGTCATCGACCATGAAAGTAGTTCTGTCAGGTCAGTTCACAGCAAAAAGAGGCCTCAATGGAGGAGACATACCCAATCTTCTCAAAGTCACCATCGTCGAAGGCGAGGAGGTATTCGTTCTCATCGTCCAAACCTTGGACATTGTGGGCAACGCCCTTGGGGAAGTACCATATGTCTCCGGTCTCGAGTACTTCAGTAGTGAAGCCGCCGTTCTCGTCAACGCCCGAGAGAAGTAGGGAACCGTTGTAGACGAATCCCCATTCAGCCTATTTACCAGGGTCAGCTTCATATGCAAGAAGATATATAGCAAGAGCTGCCAACCGTTCGGTGCCAGTGCAATTCTCGAATAGCGCCCTTCTTCAGATGCTGCTGGGCACCAGCAATATCATGACTCTGGGGCAAGTCCTGGATGACCTGCTCTCTGGACCAACCGCCCGGGAACAGTCTAGTTTGGGACTCAGAAAAGCTCCATTTGACATTGGGAACAAATCCATTATCGGTACTGGCAGTGCGGAACTGGTCAGGATTCTGGAGATCGAGGGCTCTGTTGGTGCCGCCTGTACAAAGATAATGATTAGCATGTATACAAAGCTAAGTATGTACTTGGGTAATGTAAACTAACCTAGGATAGGAGCGCCTTTGGTACCGCTAATCGGCTGATCACTGCCCCCATCATGTCTTTTGACCCCAGGGACTGCAAATACAGAAGACATAAAAAGCCCAAGGAGCGCGAGGCTTTGGGACTTCATCGTGGATAAATCGGAAGAATGCGCACAAGAATGAAATTCGGACTTGCGTACCCTGAGCCACGAACCCTGCAGCTTGACTGTTTATATATCATTCTCCTATACCTTTCTACCCGCATATCAAAGTCGTGATCAAAATTCAGAATGCGACTAGTCGAAAGTATGCTAGCTCTCAGACTCGTGGGTTGCTGATCTCAATGAAATGCAACCAGAACAGACTGTGTTAGCAGAAAGTATAAACGGAATTATTGAATTTCAAAATGTGATGCAAATCAGGTACATGTCGCCTCTCGCGGAATATTTTAATGCACAGAAAGCTTGGATCGACAGGTTCCAGGGCAAGAAAGACAGGTACAGAAAAGCAGAATATAACAACATTCTTGGCATCATGTCGAAATAGATGCAGGGCTCGCCCGTGCTCAAGGGTTTTATGGGGAAATTCAAATGTAGATCCAGGGACCTGACAGCCGCTATATGGAGTGCCGACAATGCAGGATTTGAAAATGGGGATCAAACGGGGGGGGGAAGTGCCCTGAATCACCTCATCCGCTCCTTGAATGATTAGATCCCACATGTCTTGGCTGCTTGGCACTCGCGGATCATTTCTCGCTTTTGACTTATTTCAACTTCTGGGCTTGAATCAATTCGCCCCAAAGCACTAAGTAAGCTTTGCTTTGACCTCTGGGCCTCGATGCTGGGCCTTTGAAGTGGAAGTCTGATGTCGATCCTCGACTTGTTCCTTGGGCACCTTTCCTATTTGGGCAAGCATATTTTCCCTTTGCCCTAACTTCCCCTTCATAGAATTTTCGTCAAATTTGGTGGCGCTTTTTCCCAGAGCCAGGCTGAGCTTCGAAATCGGCTTCATGCTAGTGACGCATTTTTGGGTTCGAACTATCGATTCCGTGAACTCGTGAGGTTTGCCGTCCCTATCCCAACCCTCTATCTTCTGGATAAACTTCAATCACGACATCTCGTAAACATTAGGATCTGTCTAGCATGGCTTGGCCTTGTCGAAAAACCTGTGTATAGGAACTGTCAACTCATGCATTATCGAATCCCCGAGCCGGGGATCATTTGGCTCATGGCGTTGAGGAAAGGATTCGCCAATTGGAAGATTTACCGCGACGTGTGGAATTTGGAATATCACGGCTCAAGATATGCCTTTCTTGCGTGCTTTGTATTGATTCTGTCGAGAAAGTTGAGGAGAAGAGCTAAATCGCACATACTTGGATTAATATTGAAATAAAGGCGAACTTGGCTATATAAGCTATACAGATATCCCGCAAACGTGCTCATCAATCCAACGCAAAACTTCTCATTCTTTCTCACAATGAAGTACTCTATTGCCTCTATTGCGTCTCTAGTCGCCCTCGGGGAGTGCCTTTCTTTGCCTCCTCTCATTCCCACTATCCCTGGTGTGACCGAGGCTCTGACTACCAACGCCCCTCCTTTGCCTATTCTGCAGGTCCCAACTCCTCCATTGGAGAGCCCTCCGTTCACTCCAAGTGACATCAAGCCCAAGAAGATTGGTTACTTCTGGACTGGATCTGCCGACAAGTTCCACAAGGGTAACGATATGCAACCAATGAGGCATTGATGTAAAACTGACAATCATTGACAGATTTCCTCGCCACCTATAGTCTGGACGATGTAAGTTCTTTTTGCCCCTACGTTACCTTTGGCGGACATGGGTATTGACCTTTCCACCAGGATACCTTCGGTACTCTTTTGTGGGTGACGGATGTCCCCTCCAGCGGCAATGACCCTCACCATCTTGGACCCTCCCTCGATGGAAAGACCATTTGGGGCGGTGGCTTGCTGTCTCTTCTGAAGACTCAGGTATGAGGTTTCTTTTATCAAAATTTTGGAAATATCTCTAACTCTCTCAGGACACTGGGTTCTATTTCGACACCTCTGACCCTTACCGCCCTAAGTTCCTCAAGAGCAACCGCGGTATCCTCGCATCTATTGCGGATGAGGTCCGGGCCAAGCCCGATGGTGGCTTTTTTATCACCTACATGGGTTCGGCTGTGGGTACCTCCCCCGGCCGTCTCATTGAGACTGATGCGAACTTTGACATCATCCACGAGTGGCCCGAGGATGTCGAAGGTACCCTCAATATTCTTGGTCAGCAATTCTCTCCTCACGGACTGAGTATCGACTGGGAGAAGAAGCTCATTCTTACTTCCGACTTCGTCGAGCCCATCACTATCCTGAAGCCCAGTCTTGGAGTGCGCCGTGCCGATACCCTTCGCCTTTGGGATTTGGACTCGAGAAAGATTATCAGCACTCTTACCATTCCCAACGTAAGTCGAATATTTACCACGACTACATTATACTTGTTCTAACTTCACCAGGGTGGCGGTATTCAAGACGTCAAGTTCATTCCCGGACACCCTGAATCTGCTGCTATCGCCACTGCTGTGCACCTGGGTCAGCTTTGGGTTATCTACCCTTTGCGCAAGGATGCGAACGGTAACCAGGGCGTGATTGAAGAGCTCTTTGACCTTGGACCCAAGGCCCGTGACACTATTGCCATCTAGTAAGAAACTCACTGCTCTGCCTTTACGACATTGGAAACATCATTGCTAACAATAACCTTCAGCTCCGACATCAGCCAGGACGGTAAATACTTCTACGCCACCTTGACCACCGCCAACCACATTGCTGCCCTGGATATCAGTGACTTGAGCAACATCAAGCGTCTCGATGACCCTGATGAGGACCAACCCACCGTCGGGCCCCACTACATCAAGGTCACTCCCGACCAGAAGCACTTGGTTGTCACCGATTACTTCGTCCAGACTGGCGATATTGGTATCATCAACACCCCTGCTGACTTCAAGGCTCTTTACATCGATCTTCAGGAGGATGGAAGCCTTTCCTTCAACCGGACCATTGATTTCAGCAAGGAGTTTGCCAACCGTGGTGGAGCTAAGCCACATTCTAGTGTGGTATTTGACCTCACTGATCCCGAGAACCCTCTCTACTACTAAGCTGCCTTGACTATTGCTGGGTGATAATTTGTTGGGTCTCAAACACATGGCTCTGAGATGTGGATATATGTTTTATTTCTATACTTGACATCGCCTTCGGGCCTTGTATTCATTGTGGATAACCATCCAACTATCTATTAATTTATACCTATACCAATGAACAAACGTCATAATTTTGGACATGGTGATTGAACTCCAATCCGGAAAACAAAAATGGATTTGGCTTGCAGCTTGTAGCTGATATGATTGTGCTAATAAACATTTGGCGCATAGGTGGGCAGGGCAGCGTCTGATACCTTTGCATAATGTATCATTAGTTACACCTCGTTCACATTCGCTGTGTGCGTCACTTTTGAGCTGCTCCCCTCATGTCGGCTTCGCCCATCATTTGGGATAGGAGACACCGCTGAAGTATTGGCCTTGCTAGCAACGATGTCATCTTCGATAACAGCACGGAACTCCTCGCGTTGTGGCAGGAGGTACCGCACATCCACAAATCTCAAAATGCTCGTCATAATAATGACCAAAACCAACAAGGCCAAAGCAGACTGCCATCCGTACTTGTAGTATGGGGCCTGGGATGCAGGCCAAACAAGCACTTGCGACCAGGCGGAGATAGCATAGTAACCAGCGACGGCAACACCAACAGCGAGCGACCGCGCCTCTGGATCTTGAGGAATGAGATCCGACAGCCATGCGAAAATGAGTGGCGCTGTTCCAAGACAAATGTACGAGATGAAGTATGATGCATAAGCAGCGGAAAGAGCAACGGACGCCGGATTCGCCGTCCAAATGCTCATGATTATGCATGGGATTATTCCGATGATTGCTTGAACGATGATGAGTGTCCAGCGGGTCTGCAAGAAATCAGACAATAGAGCCCAAATCCATACGAAGACGACGTTGATCGCAGACCCTCCGATTGGAATAGCGTTGACTTGTGTGACGCTCCATCGCGCGCTTCCGTCAGGGTTCTTGAGCGACTTGAGGAATAGCGAGAAGTATACATATCCGTATGTTCCGAGTACTGTAGCAATATACAGAACCGCAATAAAGTACACTACCCACCCGGAGAAAGTACGTTTCACACCAGCCCATGTCATCCGCTTTGGCTCGGCGCGGCCGTTGCGAGCGAGCCGTTCAAGCGAAAGCTCACCGTGGACCTTTTTGAACCAGAACGCGCGCGGGTTCGGTCTATTCGGTAGATCGGGGATCATGAAGAAGCCTGCGAAACCCCAAATGACTGTGATAATGGCGTTGATCACAAACAGCCACCGCCATCCTGCTAGTCCGGCGTGTCCATTGAGCGTGTCGGAGATCGCGGCTTGCAGGGCACCAGATAGCATCTGGCCAACAGCTTGGCAGGAGTGGTAGAATCCCATTCGCTTGGCCAATTCCGTCGGCGTATACCAGTACACTATGAAAATTAGCGGGTTCATTACTGGATCCGGGATGACAGTTGCAAGCACTTACTGAATAGTGTCATCATTCCTGGCCATGCGCTACTTTCGCATAACCCAAGGAATACGCGGAGCACGTAGACTTGTTTTGCATTGGTGGTCATGGCAATCAAACCGGTCAAGACACCCCATATAATTTCCAATCCCGGAAGCCAAAAACTTGGGCGCACGTAGGTCAGAATAATTTGGGATGGAATGAGCATGATGCAGTAGGCGACGTTGAAGTAGGTTGTGAATCTAGAGACAATCAGCTACTATACAAACATACAAATAACGGGGCGATTCAAATTTGCGACTCACAAATTAAGCTCGTTGCCGTATAGATGTAGATCCTCCATCATGCCAGAAACATACGCATTATTGATATTTTGTTGATCGAGATATTTAATAACTGCAAGGTGTCAGTTTCCCTCTCGTCAAGTGCAACCTATATATACCCTAACGTACCCTGCGAAAGACAACCGAAAGTCATAAGGAAAATGTCGAGACGTCGAACCAAGGCTTTTTCATCTGGAGATCGGAAATCACTCGTCGGCGCATTGCGACGAAACATTTTGAATGTCACCATGTTTGAGAGGTGTGAAGAGAAAAGAAAAGGAAGCTTCAGTGGCGGCCATGGCTATTCATAAGGCCCAAGCGGGTGGGATAAGGTGAACCGGTGACCCCCTCGCCGATAGATAAAAACGCGTCAAATGGCGTCCGGGGTAAAGTTCACCGCAGATCCGAGGGGAAGCGCATAACGGCCAAAGATAGAAGAGTTATGCACCAATAGCTGCATTCCTAGACTGGAGTAACATCGGAAGCAAGCCGGAGCTGCTAGAAATGCGATAGCCAGGCGAGATAAAGCATCTTGGCATTTATTTTACCCACTTAGTACCCTTAGTTCTTTAAACATTAGCTTAGGCCCTAAATCCCTTTCTTTCATTGGTGCGGGAGTAAAGCTCTAATGTGTTTAGTATTTGGGGTAACGGGGAAAGTCCGCGATAGGAGAGAGTATCTTCCTCCCCGCACCGGCGAATTAACCGGTCAACTCCGATAGTACCGACAACGGCGAGCTATTATCTTTTGTTAAATATGGGTATGGATTCTGTGGTCATCGAAACACTCAGCAATGGCGACTCCCTATAATGTGGCTGGGTCCAGCAGAAGCCTGCCAAACCCTACCCCTTGTTTGAGCTATTGGCAACGAACCACGCGGGCCTTCCCGCATCTGCATGAGAATAAACAAGCACAAGTACCATCAAAGTCAAAATATGTTGTTGTTGGCTCCGGTATCGCTGGCGGGTTGACTGCCTTTGAACTAATCGAAGCAGGAGTCAACGCCGAGGATATTGTCATCTTGGAAGCGCGCGAGGCAGGTAGTGGCGCAAGTTCGCGAAATGCTGGGCATGTCCGACCAGGTCTGTAGCAAACATCTTTTGGGGTTATTGAAGACAACTTCTGATCTTGAATATCACACTAGATGCGTTCCGGGGCTTTAGTGCATATTCTAAAGTCCACGGAGAAGAGCAGGCTCTCAAGATTATCAATAATGAGCGACTTGTCCTCGAACGAGTAGACCAGTTTGTCAAAAAGCATAACGTGCAGTGTGACTTTAATTTGACCACAACATTTGACGTCTGCATGACCCCGGAGTTTGCTGACTACGAAGCGAAGAGCCTGGAAGCCTTCAGACAGGCAGGTGGTGATACGTCACACATCAAGTTTTACGATGGAGAAGAGGCCCAGCAGAAAACCAGAATTCCCGGAGCTGTAGCAGCATACGAATGGCCAGCCGGCTCCAGTCATCCGGCCAAGCTGACACAATTTCTGCTCCAGGCGGTCATATCCAAGGGTGCAAGGCTCTTCACGTTCTGCCCTGCCACTGAAGTCGTACAAAGGACCTTGGATCCGGTCCTCTGGGATGTGCACACTCCTCGTGGGACAATAGCTGCAGAAAAAATAATACATTGCACGAATGCTCATGCTGCCCAGTTACTGCCAGCCTTAGATCCATTCATGCGACCGAATCGTGGACAAGCCCAGTCTCTCGTGCCGGTCCCTGCTTTCTCAGGACGAGGTGGTCTACAAAGTACCTTTTCTCTACGATATAGTCTGCATCACTTCTACTCCTTGATCCAACGGCAAGGCGATGGTACGTTAGTGCTAGGTGTTTCGAGGTCAAATCCGACACTAAGCCCCGAGACAATCGCCAGTCGCCTCAGTACGGACGATTCTCAATACAACGAGGAGATTGTTGAGGATGCATTGCGAACTTTTGGTCAAATTTTCCCGGACTATACATCCGAAACTGCAATGCATGGCGAAGGCTTAGACCATGCTTGGACTGGAATCATCGGAATGACGACGGATTCGGTACCATTTATTGGCGCCATTGAGTCTTTGCCTGGGCAATATATCTGTGCAGGGTTCAACGGTCATGGTATGTTCTGCTGAATGAATTAAAAAATATGCCATGTTAACTCGCGCTAGGTATGGCGCGCATTTTCACCTGTGCCTCGGGTGTCGCTCAACTTGTGCTTGGGAAAAGCTGGAGTAAGACAGGATTACCTGAATGCTTCCAGTTTAGTGATGAGAGGCTTTTGCGGCTTTCAAGCGGTGATTTGCCTTCCATTTGGTAGGTTTGAACAGCAAACCCCATCAGGGTAGCTACGTGTCCAATTGAGACAAGCGCGTTAGGCGGCCAAGTTGCGAAGTATATAGTACAAGTATCCCGCCATTCATCAATGATCAGATCATCCCTTTTGAATCTCCAGGCCTCTGCGACTCGGCTATCCGGCCGAAATAAAGGACTGCAATCCCAATCCGAGCTAACCTTGTCCACATTTTCAAATCTAAATTCAGAATCGTTCGTCCACGCGACCTCAAAATATAGGCTTTTCAAGCAGGGCATACGTTGCACCGCGTAGCCAAGAGAAATAAAAAGCCGCTGGAAGTGCTCTTCGATCCTCACGTCTCGCTGGATCCAGCCTTCCTCAAGATTGCACAACACACCTATCGGGCCGTAAAGTTCTTCAGCTTCGTCGAGTCCGGCCCGAATCTCTGCATCGAATTCGTAGTGCTCTTCGCCTATTTCATTTCCATGTTCATTGTGAATGACCAAGGAGGCAATGAAAAAGAGAATCTTTACCTGAAGGAAGAAAACCGGGCAACCCCTCAATCTCCAATGTCTTCAAGTAGGGCCAGTATAAGGTCTCGGCAATAGGTTTGCCTTGTTCGTTCAACGGACATAGGATCTCAAATAAAATAGGCGTGAATTGGAACTTCAACTCGCGAAGGTGAATACTAATGTCTCGCAAGTTGTTGGGTAAAGTGTCAATGCCGGAAGGGATGAGATTGAGTGCAGGCATTGATGGTTTCCACGGTACATCGCAACATCCCTCATAATCTAGTACCCGAAGGCTACTTGGAAGAGAGCCGACAAGAGAAGCAAAAGCTGTGCAACAATTAGTGAGATATACTTCTCCCTACAGCCGAGAAAAGCCCGCCGCTCTCCTCGGCGCATAGGGCGAGGACGAACGGGATGATAGAGAGAAGCAACACATGTGGAAAGCGAATGTTACATGTATGTGGGTTTTCGGTCGAATCAACCATCCAGTTCAACGCTGAACCACAGACAGATTGAATGAGCCACCGTCAGTGTGGTCGAAATGGTAGGCAGAAGCCTACCTTTACCAAGGAGAAACTGTGGAGACACTCCTTGTCCACAGGAAAGATAGGATAGATGTATAATTGAAAACAAGGGTGAAAATGGTATTTCAGCTTACCTGCACGACGCTCTTGAATGCACTGCAGGTGGTCTGGGCGGATCCCTTCATGGATAACCAGATCCAATTCGGTGACATTTGGACAGTACTGGATGATAATTTGTATCGCTTCAAAACTAGAATGCCTTGCTTAAAGTACTGGCACGCGCAGCAACTCCAAGATTTTTCTTTTCTACACGGTTTCAAGATAGAACAATTCTTTCCCTCGTGGGTTTCCATAACTAGCTATAATTCCCGCAGACAAAGAGATATTCGCACAACAATAATCAGAAGGCTTTGTTTACACCTTTCACCTGCAAAAGTAACTTGAACAAGATTGGATGTGTGACTTTAAGAGAAATTTGCCTCCAAACCTTGTTTTGCGCTGGTGCAGACATTGTTGTTTTATTTGGCGGGAAATTGGGGAGTGGTGAAGATGACTGGGGCTGATAGGGAGAGGGAACCTCTGCTGGGCGCGCGAGTAAGAGCCATGAATTCTCTTTTCCGCTCACATTTTCGATATCGAGACTAAGAATAAGCCCCACATTAGAAATATCAGAGAATGTCTCTAGCTGCTTAACGATCTCCGCGACTGAAGTAATCTGATTTCATGGAAAGGTGAAGGTCCGGTTGTTGATTCAATACTAATGTTGATTCGGTGATCAGCGCAAGGGGTCCAATCACCATGCGGGTCCAGGAACACGGCCGCTTGGAATTAATAAGATGCAGTCCCCCACCAGAAGTATGACACTCCAAGAAAAAATGTTTGCTCTCGTTCTGGCGTTTCTGGTTGTGGCCGTCCAGGCTTCCACTACCTGTCGATGCTTCCCTGGTGATGCTTGTTGGCCGTCTGAGAATGTTTGGGCCAAGTTTAACCAGACAATTGATGGCCAACTGGTGAAGACAGTCCCATTGGGTTCCCCATGCCATGTGCCCAATTACGATGCTGCTGAATGTAATACTCTGCGCGATGCATGGATAGTCCCAGAGGGACAGTAAGTCCGGATAGTGATGTTTGCGAAGTCCTGAACTAATTTGAAAAGTTACGAGTCCTCCTCATCCGTGATGGCCCCATTCTTTGCCAATGGTACTTGTGACCCCTTCCACCCAATCTCAAAGCCTTGTACCTTGGGAAATTATGCCGTCTACGCGGTCAATGTCACTACCCCGGATCAAATCTCTAAGGCGATTCAATTTGCGACTAAGCACGATATTCGCATCGTGGTGCGTAACACTGGTCATGATTACAGTGGAAAGTCTACAGGCGCGGGATCCCTCGGTATTTGGACACATTATCTCAAGGATCTCGAAATTCATGACTACAAAGACCGTCATTACACCGGCAAGGCGATCACTATGGGGGCAGGTATCCAAGGATTTGAGGCCTACGAGGCTGCCGAAGAAGCAAATTTGCAAGTTGTTGGCGGCGAGTGTTCTACAGTTGGTCTTGCCGGAGGTTATAGTCAGGGTGGAGGCCATTCGGCTCTCGCCTCGCGCTACGGACTAGGTGCAGATCAAGTCTTGCAGTGGCAGGTAGTGGATGGGAAGGGCAATTTGATCACCGCCACCCGCGACAACGAGTATTCTGATATGTACTGGGCCTTGAGCGGTGGTGGTGGTGGCACCTTTGGTGTTGTGGTATCCATGACTTCCAAGGCACACCCTGGCACCCCTATATCGGGTTTCAACTTGACATTCACGAACGACCAGCTCTCCCAGGATACCTTCTATGAGGCGATTGCGCGGTTCCACGCCATACTTCCGGCCCTCGTAGATGCGGGCGCGATGAGCATTTGGTTCTACACCAACACCACCTTTGCGATTTCCCCCTGACCGGTCCTAACATTCCAGAAGCCAAGCTTCTCTCACTGGTCAAGCCATTCATTGATGATCTGAAGGAGCTGGGCATCAAGCCAACCGTATACTCGAAGCAATTCCCCAGCTATCTCAGCCAATTTAATGGCATGCAACGGGAAATTGAAGTTGGCGAGGCCCAGTACGGTGGCTGGCTCATTCCACGATCGGTGGTGCAAAAGAATAGCAAAGCTCTTATGACCACGTATCGCCAAATCACTGAAGATGGCGCTACCGTCATTGGTGTGGGACTCAACGTTTCCAGGGAGGTGACCGGGGATGTGAAGAACTCGGTACTCCCTGCCTGGCGTGATGCCTTGATTACGACAACAATCTCCACTCCTTGGAAATGGAACGCGCCCGAGGAAATGCTGGCAGATCAGCGGAAAATGACAAATTCGTACATTGCCCAATTGACCGCACTGGCTCCGAACTCTGGGGCATACATGAATGAGGTAAGTTGTGTCTTATCTTTGATCTTCACGCACCATGTAAAACAGTGACCTGAATGTTAATATTTTCTCTAGGCCGACTTTCATCAGCCCAATTTCCAGAAATACTTTTTCGGTCGAAACTACCCTGCACTGCAGAAGATCAAGGCGAAATACGATTCTAACGGCATCTTTTATGCTAAGACCGCAGTTGGCTCCGAGGCTTGGGAGGAGCGACAGGACGGCAGACTCTGTCGCGCCGATCAGAGTTCTCAAATGTTTGGATATGAAAAAGATCTGTAGAGATCCCTTGTCCACTAGGAACATTTAGAATTGAAGTCCAGTACAGTGTTGATGCCCCATTAATTAAACAAAGTGGGGCTCTCGGACCGTTCCGCACATCTCGAAGCTCCATGTTTGACAATCTTCATCATGGCCCTGAAAACCACGCGATTTAGGTACATTACAAAGCGCACTTTCTCTTCGCGTTATATAAAACCAAAATCACTTTGTCTCCCGCCCACGGATCCTACTTGCTATACCTAGCCAAACACTTGTCGACGAAGAAAAATGCCCGGGACACGATCTAGAAGACCACTATCTAGCAAAGCCCGGTGAAATCCTCGCGGACAGATATCAGTTCTTGGGCAAGATATGTTGGGGAACGAGTTCAACGGTGATCTCCATTCTGGAATCGTTTCACAAATCTGAGGATTCCATTCCCGATCTCATTAAGCTGTCAAGGGATCCTTAAAACACGTGTTCTTAAAAGAATGATGAGTTGAGATAGATACATATGATATACTACTCATTTTCATAATTGACTTTGAATTGAATCATTATATCCATACTAAGCATCATCAATCGTGAACTAGTGTGCTAAGACAGTTTCCAACTACGTAGTTTAAGTACGAGTCTAAATAAGTAGCATCTTCGTTGAACTGACCACGAGTGTTCTCAGGGAATGTGTAATATTATGTATCTTTTGAATCCTCCGTATTCCAGATCCAACTCCAAGGTCAAAAATACCTGCCTTTGTTTGCACTTGAGCAACTCACCTCGGGCACGGTTCCAGCGCCACCCGTATACGAACGAGGCTGGAAACGGCCGAAGCAACCCGCACCTTTGTGTTACAGTATTGTAATCGTCGCGTGATGGCCATTTGATACCGTGAAATTATTGTTATATATGTGATTAGCCTTAGGAGATTGGAAAAATTGAGGTTATTAGTATTTTCAATAAGATTAAGATTATGGCCTCAATTGATTGAGACTTCGGCCTGATCTCTCTCAATAGCCTTGGGCTGACGCATGTGTGTTGGTGGAAAAGTAGAAATCAAACTAATGATAACGGGCTATGCAGTTGCGTGAAACTTACATTCAGCCCCAAGTGGGCGTCGTATTGTTTGTACAATGCCAGTCGAGGCTGCATATACGTTGTATCAAGTATTTATGGGCCCAGAGTCAGTCAAGGCACACAAATGTCGACCTCTACATATACATACAAAGAAGAAAGAAAGGAATGCGAGATCATCTTTATTCAGACAGGGTCGTAAGGCTATCGTATTGATAGTAAGTGTTTCGTGATTGTATTGATTCATTGCCCAAACGATGAAACGGACTAGCCATTCAATTCGGCAAATAGAAACCTCAGAACTCGGTTTCCAAGGAGGTGAGTTGTTGATTAAAGTTTTTCCGGACGAACTCCATGTAGGCCTTCCACTTGTAAAGATCGCCCGATGACTCTGCGCCGGGGAAAGCCTTGCTCAGCTCTCTGGTGATCTTGACAATACCCAGAGAAGCCTCCAGGGCTTTTTCTAGCTCTTGTTTGACGGCATTATCCTTTGGCTTAAAGGATAGGACAGCGGTATAGTGCTCAGACAAGGCGTCCAGACGTCGCTCGATATCCTCGGGCGCGATCTTGATCAGCTTGGAGGTCATGAGATTGCTGATCGCGCGAATATCCTGCTCGTCGTCGATACCTGCAAGGATGCGATCAAAGAGCTCGGGCATATGTGTGCGGGAGAACGAGGTGTCGAGCGAAGCGTAAAGAGTCTCGTAGGCGCTCTGCAAACACGATTGTTAGCGGGATCTCTCAAATACAACGAGGGATACTGACCTTCCGCAAATCAAGTCCATCGTCTACCTTGTGTTTGAAAGGACCCATTTGTACCTCACGAATCAGCTCTGGCTTAATCTTGGTATCTCCAAGAACAGCCGGCAGCAGTTCGTCGAGATGAGGCACGAGGAGATTCATCTTATTGTGAATTGCTGAGTTGAGAGTGGTCAATGCAAGACGATGGTTGCCCAAATCACTGTCACTGAGCATATTGGTCAATAGTGGCACCATCAATGGTCGCAAGACATCGTTATAATCGTCGCTTGAATCGGCAAGTGTGTAGCGGAATGCCGAAATCACCACACCACGAACGGCTGGGTCAGAGTTGGCCAGGTATTCCTGCGAGCGGTTTTTTAGTATTTTAAGACATTGACAGAGGGTGTAAAACTTGCTTACTTGGAAATGAGGAATGTATGCAACGGGATCAAGAAGTGCCAAGCGGCCCACACATTCGGCTCCCACAGCTCGGTTGTCTTCCTCTTCCGAGACAAGAAGAAGTGCGTGCCATAACTTGTGAGCAGATGGTGCAAGATCAGGGCGTACGACCTCGGGATGCTGCAGTATTTCTCGCACAGAATGAAGAAGCAGGTAGCTCTGAGTGTTTGACTTTTCGAGCCCCTCGAGGATGATTGGAAGATATGCTTTGATGCTGCCCGCAGCTGCATTTCCGAGCGCGGTAGCAGCAGCCAAACGCACCTGGTCTGACTCGGAGCTGAAATGGGGAATGAAAAGTTCTGGAGTCAGCGAGCACTCGGGGCCCATTCGCAAACCAATCTCGCCCAGAATAGCAAGGGCGAGGCATTTGCGGCTGTCGTCCCGTGCGGTCTTGAGTTCGGTGGTGAAGTCATCCATGGTGACTCCGAGATTCGATCCACCATGAACCAGCAGGGTCCCCACAGCTCGACCAACCACGGAGGATTCCCCTGTGATGCCCACATCGCGAAGAAGGTTTTGCATCAAGCTAGCGCCCGCGCCTTCATCGCCAATCACCTTGACCAACAGTAGCAAAGCCTTGAGAACGGTCCCAACCAATGGTTTTTTCACAATTGAGCAGATAGAAGATATCAAAGCGTTGTTGACAAGTAGGTTTCCGTTGCCAGGAACAAGCTTGGCAATGACAATGAGAGTCGGCGTAAGAGTGTGGAAATCAGCAGCCGCAAGAAGGGGCAACACAGCGTTCTCCGATGCAGCCATGGTTTCGGGGGTCAAATGGGATCTGACGTTAGAGTTCATAGATAAGCTACGGAGGGTTTCCAAGCATGCGCCTCTCAGAGCACGATCCGACTTCCGCAAGTTCGAGCCTAGCTCGAGAGCAACATTGTTGGCCCAATCACTGGAGACATCTTCCTTGCGATCGGCGAGGACAACAACATGATCAACCGCACGGACAGCAGAAAGTCGGGTCGTCTCATTCCTAAGCCGGTCAACCAAAACAGCCAGACCGCTGCATCTGCTGTCAAATGAGAGAAATTCCAAGCCCCGTTCTCCTGAGGTTCGTGCAATGATAATACCGAAGACGTGGATTGCACGTTGACGGACTTCAAGGTCAGCACTTGTGTCGGTGATCCGAGAGTGCACAACATCGTAGAGCTTCTGCAGCTGCAAGGTCACATCGGAGGCATTGGTTGAGACACGTGGAGGGGTCATGGCTTTCACAATCTGCTCCACAGCGCCCAGGGCTTCGCTACTGACTTTGTAGTTGCGGTCGTTAACAGCTTCAATCACTCCAGGGACTAGTGCAATGAGGAATGGCAGTAGGGCATCGGATAGATGAGTCTCAGCAATTGCTGCGATGAGACCCAGGGTTTCGATCTGAAGAGTTCCTGCACTCACAGCAGCCCCAGTGTGAGCAGCTGTGCTTCCCGAAACAGATGACGTTTTCAAAGCATCCGCAATGAGGTCTTCAATCTGCTGAAGATGGTGTGCAAGGCCTCCGTAGCGGACCAACGAAAGGCTCTTCAGGAGGATAATTGCGGCTTGTTTGAGGGGAATTGAGGCTTGCTTCCATACCTTGACCAGGTTCTGGACAATCAAAGGAACGGAGCGGGCCAGATCGGCCTGTGAACCAGACTTGGGGGAGGATGGAGCGATGGGAGAGTCGGTGGTTAACGAAATGCCAGCTCTTGGCTCAAAGTCAATCATGGACGCGTCGCTGTCTTGGCGTCTGCGCTTCCGAGAGTTCTTCGATCCTCCTACACCCTCCAGGAAGTCATTGGAGGTGACGATCATGGAACCCTCGCCGGTTTTCCGAACCAAGGCCGTCAACGTTGACACGACCTCCAGCTTCACGCTCTCTTCCCTTTCCTTGCTGATTCGGGAGACAAGAGCTGGGGCGATCTGCTGGAACAGGGCTGATTTCTCCTCGGCGCGACCATGGCCATATGTAGAGATGACGGTGTAAAGAAGCTTGGCAGCGCAACGGCGCACTTTCCAGCTCATATCGTCAATATCACTGTAGCCACCCTCTTCTTCAAAGTCCTCGAATTCGTCGTCCATGTCTGGGTCCTCTGTAGCATCGTCCTCACTCCCATCGTCTTGTGTGCCGCCCATCTCTTCATCATCTTCGGTTTCGGCGACGTTGGGGTCATATTTCAAGAATCTAAGGGCGGACCGAGTGGTTTTCGTCAAATAAGGTTGCATTTGTTGGTTGCAGGAGCTGATCAACGCCTCGAGAGTGACCAAGGCGGTCTCGCGGAGCTCATCCGCCTGGGGATCATGCTCCTCATCGTCGGAGTAAGCTGACATTGTGAGGATGATCGATCCGCGGGATCGATCGTAAACTTTTGGTAGCTTTCTCAAATTGTATTCACGCTGGGCGAAATCGCGCTTGAAGTATGTTGAAACAGTTGGCGACAAGCTGTTGGAGACAAGCTGGAGCCCCGCGCTAGTCCCGATTTGGTAATAAAGTCACGTGCCAGACTTACTTTACTGCAAAAAATCAAGCAGGTCGAGTGACGGTTGAGCTTGTTGTTTAGATGCCAGAAGAGCCTGAAGACCACCCTGTTTGCGTGCCTTGGCTCTCTTCTTGCTGTTTTGGTTGTCACCTGATTTGTCTGCTGAGAGGCCTTTCGTAACCCCTACCGAAAGAGATGCCGCAACAGCTCGCAATGAAGGCTTTGCAGGAATGTGTTTAGGAGGAAGTACAGTTCGTCGGGAGCAGCGGAGACACTTGTAGACCGAGGCACCTTTAAAAGTTGATGTTTCTAAAGGTTTGCTCTTTTTTGGTTTGATATCAGTCACTTTAGTCCACTCAGGCTTTCTAATGCTACCACAAGCTCCACAGTAATCCCTCTTTTGTTTGACATTCAAGGACTTAGAGGCTTCACAAAGAAGCTGGGAGTGCACTGTAAGTAGATGGGCTGAGATTGCGCTTGGTACGACCGAGGCAGCTTGAGTCAGGAATGATTCAATAGGCATTATTGATCAATGTTAGCGGACCCGGGGAGATGTAAAGGGAAGAATAAAAAAGCATCCCAAGTCTGTCACAATCAAACAAAGAAACTCGAAATGATCTCAAGTTCTCATATTAAGCAAAAATTGAACAATAGAGATAAACCAAATAATCTTATAAACAATTGGACACAAAGAAAGTCGAGAACAAAGAAAAACGACCGAGATCAGAGAAAATTTGTGGAGCTTAAATATGGTCATCTCCACCATCGCTTCCTTCCATCTACACCTCTCCACATCTCGATTCATTTAACAACTTCTTCACTTTTCTTGGCTGAATATCTTTGCTTCACTGTCTTTTCGCTTTTCCTTTTTTTGCTTCTTGTCTCCTGGTACTTTTGAGTGCATTGCGGCGTTGGCTAATTGCCTTTCATCGTTTCAATCTGGCATCTGTTTTTACCCGTTTTCTCATATTTTCCTCGGGTCTTCTAATCATCTTTTGAGAGTACCTCTTCAATAATCCCTTGTATCTCTTCTCATTTACAATGGCTGGTGTCCGCATTGCTTTGGAAGGCTGCGTAAGTGCTGCATGAAGATCTGTCACAGGAGACAACCTTGCTAACAGTAGGCGTTTTTTATACAGGGCCATGGCAGTCTTCATGAAATTTATGATACTGTTAAGGTGAAGGCCGCCCAGGAGGACTGGGAGTCTGTTGATCTCGTCATCATTGGAGGAGACTTTCAGGCGAGTATCATTCACATCTTACAATGACTTTGATATTGACTGGCCAACCAGGCATTGCGAAACTCAAATGATGCTGCCTGCATTTCAATGCCCCCAAAGTATCGCCAGATTGGTGATTTCCATGAGTATTACAGTGGCCAGCGCATTGCTCCGTATTTGACCTTATTCATCGGAGGAAATCATGAGGCCAGCAACCATTTGTTCGAACTCTACTACGGCGGTTGGGTTGCACCCAACATCTACTTCCTTGGCGCGGCCAACACTGTCCGCTTTGGCCCTCTTCGCATCTCCGGCATGTCTGGTATCTGGAAGGGGTACGACTACCGCAAACCACACTTTGAGCGTCTTCCTTACAACGAAGATGATGTCCAGTCGATCTATCATGTGCGTGAGCTCGACGTTCGCAAACTGCTTCAAATTCGCACCCAGGTCGATATCGGTCTCTCTCACGATTGGCCTCAGGGCGTCGAAAAGTTCGGTGACCACCGCACTCTCTTCAAGAAGAAGCACGGTTTCCAGCTTGATTCCGAGAATGGACGACTTGGTAGTGTCGCTGCTCGTGAGGTTCTGGCTCACCTTCGCCCTAGACACTGGTTCTCTGCTCACTTGCATGTTCGATTCACTGCTGATGTCGCTCACGATGCTCCCACTTCCCACGGTCCTGACTTCCGTTCTCAACACTCCCACATGGCTTCGCATGACAATGGCCAGGCTCCACTCGATAACAAACAGGTCGGTGATTCTGCTGGCCTGGGGGATCCCACATCAAGACGGCTGCCCAGAGCAAACTTGGTCTCGCTGTTGGAGACGAGAAATCTCGCCTCGCGGCTTGGCAGAATTTTGGTCAGGTCGCCCATCAACAAGAAATGGCCGACCAGGCAACTTTCCTGGCTGCATTCAAGGAGCGAGAAGCGTCTGGCGTCCGTACAGGACGAGATATTGTGTTCGAGGAGACACTGAAGATCCGCAATGGTCCAATCCAGAAGTTCGTTCGTGGATCCGATGGGCAGAGAGTCCAAGCCAACCCCACCCCCGATGAAGGCGAAACTATTTCCAATGCCGACAAGATTAGCCTGGGCAGTAGTCCCCCTGGTTCACCCTCTGAAGACAAGGTCATGCAGGATTACTCCAGTGCAGCGGCTGGCCCCAATGATGTGGCCAACTCCGACAAAGTCAATCTCGACAGCAATTCTCCTGAGTCGCCTTCTGAAGACAAGGTCATGAAAGATTCCTCCCTCTCCAACACCATCGCTGGTTCCAATGATGTGGTCAACTCCGAGAAACTCAGTATCCAGAGCAGTCCTGCCAGTGCAGCCAGCGGTCGTCTCACTTCTGATCATGCTTCTCCGTCGAAAATCAAATTCTCTCATGGTCGTGATGATGTTGAAAATGATGACAAGATTAGTCTGGCCTCAAGCCCCAAGAGCGTCTCCAGCTTGGCTCGCCGTGATGATGAGAGAGACCCCTGGAAGTCTGCGTCCCACGGATGGGGCGATGCCACCTCTGATGTGAAGAAACTTGAACCTGAAACCGGTGCACTGGTCGACGACGATGACTTGCTCGATATGGCTGGCAACGAGCTTCCTACCAGTCTCGAACGTGCCCCTACTCCCGTCAAAGTCGACAAAATTCTTCCGGCCCCAGAGAAGATTGCCAACAACCTGACCAAATTCTTGACCTTGGACAAGCCTCACAACCGCGATGACTTCGTTGAATTGCTTGAGATAATGCCTATTTCTGAGCAGGAGGATACGCCGCAGCGCCCATTCCGTCTTCAGTATGACAAGGAATGGATCGCCATCACTCGCGTGTTTGCCGATGAACTTGAGCTCGGTAATCCAAATGCATCTGTCCCAGCCCACAAAGGATACGCGCATTATCAGAAGCGCATTGCTGAGGAGGAGGAATGGGTCGAAGAACACGTCGTCAAGGCTGGCTTGCTGGACATTCCTGAGAATTTCGTCCTCACTGCTCCAATCTACGATGAGACTGTAGAAATCACTACCACCCAACAGCCCCAGGAATATACCAATCCTCAGACCGAGTATTTCTGCACCAAGATCGCCCAGATTGACAACAAGTTCGACCTTACCGATGAGGAACGCAAGGCTCGCATGGAAGTTGGACCCCGCCCTGCCCGCCCTCGCGATGGACGTGGACATGGTCGCGGTGGTCGTGGTCGCGGTCGTGGTCACGGGCGTGGTGGACGTGGTGGACGCGGTGGGCGCGGTCGCGGAGGTCGTGGCGGCCACCCTGCCGGACCTTATTGATCCGGCCCTTGGGTCATTGATACACATTTGATCACGGATGAATGAATGGGCCAGTGATGCGCTAAAGTCGGTTTCAGTCATGGAGAAGAGTGTCTATTACGACAATGCCCGTTGAGAGATTTGACAGCAATAAGCAAGGATTATTATTCCCGCTCATCATGAAGAAATCCATGGATACTGATGGTTGATTACATGAGGAGAGGACTTCGGTGTACAAGAGACAGGGTATCATGATAGCGAAATTGCTTTATGTTTTTGTTTCGCTGCTATTTGTAGATCTAACTCAAAGTTCCACAGCTTTGAATACTATCTAATGTGGCTAGACTCCCACTTTGTATGTGCATATGTAGGTAGACGTAGCTTTACGCCAGTGGTGTTATTATAATATAAATTTTCCCGCAATTTTTTGCAAACATATATCTCTCTGCGTTATTGCCCGTGTTGTTCTACTTTGCTTTGTTACTTCATTCACTAAAATTTCGAGGTTTGAATATATAGCGACATCCCCTTGACATGGCTTTGTTGTGCTCTTTCTATTTGTCTTTTTTTCATGATCTAGTTATAGAGTATCTTCCTAATCACCATTCAACAGCGGACATTTCTTCACCCTCAGCACAATATCTTTAATATGAGCCGTCTAGACTTCTGGACGCTATATACATACCCTGGCGAATACATGGCGCGAACCGTGCGTAACTCCTGAAGTCACAATAACCGAGCCAGAACAAAGAAAAATTCTTACAGGTTGGTATACCTCAGAAAGGAAGGGTCTTCAATTGCACTGCTTGTTAGGTATCTAAGATACTGACAAGATACAAAAAGACAAAAAAGAAAAGTGCATCATCCGTGAATCGAACACGGGCCTCGTCGATGGCAACGACGAATTCTACCACTAGACCAATGATGCTGAAGAAGCAGACGAATCTGGTCGCTGATTCGTTGCTAATATCCGTTTCTCCATATTTAGAATAATGAACCATTCAACCTTGGAAGGTATGCCATTGTACAGTGTTTCTCTGGGGTGAGAAAAAGAGTTGTCTGCAGGATATACTTGATTTTATTCGATTCGATTTGATTAGGTTTGATTAAATAATCGACGAAATACTTTTTCAAACATTATATAAAATCACCGCTGCACTGCTGCATCACTCGAGCTCTTCAATGCGTGAGCGTCCACTGTTTTCCACTCTAGCCATAGGGTCAAAACGAAGACCCGCAATCCTGCCTCTGAGTCCAAAGCTCGGATCCATTGTACGCTGACCCTCGTGAGCACCAATGCCCCACAGCAAAGACTTCTCAGTCCAGGCTTCCAAGCTCTCAACCAAATCTCGGAGGTGTTGCCGAGTGAGCCCGTCTTTCTCCCGGCTCTCGACAAAGCAAAGTGTGCGTAACATAGCTGGAATGTTGCCAATGGTGGACTGCTCGCGCAAACCGGAGCCACACGGGGACGCAAAAGTGTCATTATCCGAAAGGGAGAAGCCAAATCCTACATCTTGCCCCAGTGTCTCTCGCGCTGTCTCGAGGGCTTTCAGTGTGTCGAGGATCAAGATCACACTTGCGCGGCGGATGATGGCACTCTCGGGTGCAGTTTCAAGAGTGAGGACCGACAGAGCGAGATCGATGGCGGATGAGACAGTCGTCGAACCGAGTCCGATGATGTTAGTGCTTATACCGGTACCCAGAATGGAAATGGCAGATGCGCGGGCGCGAAGGTCGTCGGGTTTGTCGTCTGCAGATGCACCGGCAGCCCATGCAGCGACGACTTTGGCGGCATACGCTTTCTGCTCTTCCGTTTCATCGTCGGAATCGCTGTCGGGAGATTCCAGCTCCGTAGCAGCTTTGGCGACCTCAGACGAGATGGACCAGCCTTCAGGCATTTCATCTTCTTTTTCCTCCTGTTCTTCAATTGAAGCCTTTTTGTTTTCCTCCTCTTCCGATGTAATGCCACTGATTTTGGTAGTTCCTGTAGCTCGACGTACGGTTCCCCGTCGTCCAGCGACGGCAATGAGAGTTTCCCCAAGGATCTTTGCTGTCTCACCGGACAGTGCGGCACCCACATTTTGAACCGACTGGACCATTGCCTGGCCGATCATGAGTCTTTGATTCAATGTTCTTTTCTGTGGTCTGTCGGCATAATCGTCGGCTAAGGTCTTGATCACTGTGCGCGGGTGGCGTGATGCCAGCTTGCCAATGATGCTAACTGCAGCTTTGTGATTGTATGTCTCATCTTCGGACGTTCCTGAAGTATCCGTGACGATCAATATCATCCACCCGAGGGCCACGCTAACGTCGATGACCGGCGAGGATGTCATGATAAGCTTTTCCAGGAGGAACATGCCTTCTGCCTTGACTGGTGGTAGATCTGAGCTGAGATTGGCCATTGCCTGGCGATAAGTTTCCAGGTCCCGAGTGTGAGCCGACACTGGTTTTGTTGCAGGCTTGTCTGGGGTCGCAAGTTGGATTTCCAGTAGCAATGACGACGTGACTCCGGGTTTAGAGAGCGTTACAGGAAGCAGTGGTATAAGCTGATCAATATCCTTTTTCAGCGATGAAAGGAGTGGCAATATTTCTTCAGTAGGCGAAAATTCAGCGGAGGCAAGAAGAGTTGATAAAAGGCTGAATGCCGTTGAGAGGGACTCTGTTGAATCATTTGCTGACTCTTCCGTTTCATCGTCCGCCTTGTCCACAATGTTGGATAAAGACGAAAGGGACACTTTGCCCTGTCGCGATGTTGATTGAGACTTGAGTCTATACAACTCCCCGTCCACCACATGCTTTATGAGCTCCAGAACGCGCAGAGGGCGTCGAGTCAATGCTTCTTTAAAGTTGTCAAGTAGCTTCTCTGCAACTTTAGCACTGACAAGCTTTTGAGTAATGTTTTCATTTTCACCAACAGGCACTCTTTCAAGCACGTTGGGAGACTCCTGAGACACGCGGGGTCGTACCAGCCAGTTTTCGCTGACATAAAGGAAAATATCACCAGTTCTCTCTTCGCTGCTAGGATCAGAGCCAATAAGGCTGACAAAAAGCTCTGCTCTTATTTGCAGGGAATCCATCAGTCGGATTAAGTTGGAATGATCACCACTTGGGCCGTTCCTCTTTGTCAATGCAATTTGTGAATCCGCAATCTGGGAGTATGTCCAGTTCACTCCTCCATCCCAGAGAAGATTATCAACAAGCTTTTTCAGGGGCGGGAAACCGACAGAGATGCCAAAGAATGTTTGGAGCAGGGGGAGAACACGTTCATGGAATGGGCCTGGTAGTTGCTCTTCTTTAGAGAAGCACACCAACCCCCATAATGGAAGAAGAATGGGTTGAATAAGTCGTTTTACCACACTAGGATTTGGATGTTGCAATGTCAGGCATCTCAACCTTTCCAATGCCAGATCAACCGTGGTGCCATCCACTAAGACATTGGACGCGGGATCGATTTCTGCAAAAAGTGGCATAGATCCTTCAACATCTGTAAATCGCGCCATCCATTTCTTTGACTTTGGTTCAAGCTCTGCAGTAAGTGCGTTGAAGATTGGCTCCACGAATATTGAATGACCAATGGTTCCAACGGCCCCATATGCGCGTTTGCCCAAAATTCCATTGCCCACTACGTATGAAGCAGCCTTTCGAAGATCTGGGTCTTCGCCGTCCATCAGAGCTAATAGTTGCGGAGCAATTGTCTCGAAATAAACATTCGGGTCAACATCTTGTGGCACGGAGGATAGAAGACGCGAAACTTGCATGATAGCCTGCACAGTCAGTCGCGGCCCATTGGATTGGTCCTGCGCCTCTTGGCCAAGGGACGGGGAAAATTGTGATGCAATGAACATAATAGTTTGTATCACTCCGCCTGGTCGTAGCGGAAGATGTGAGATTTGACCGGAGATTGTTGACTTGAACCATTGACTGGTGTCTGACTGAAGAAAGCTGGACAATGTAGGCAGTAAGATAGTAGTAGGGGTGCTATAGTCCGTTAGTGTCTATATATACATAGCGGAGGTAATGTGAACATACTCTCCAACAATCTTGGCCAAAGCTAATTGTAGATCTTTTTGATCAGAAGATCCCTCAAGCATTGGATTAAAAGCAAGGTCGGAGGTGCCACTGATTACATCACTCAGGATACGACTGCGTACGATGGACTGTATGCTTGGACGAGGGTCGTTGAGAATGTCTAGCAAAACACCAATGATGCGACGCAAAAGTGGCTCATTATACGGTACGCTACTGGTGGCCGTATGCGATTTCTTTGCAATGATACCCGCGGGTAAAACTGAGATCACACGTTGCTGCAAAGGAATTCCAACGCCAGAAGACAGTGAAGGATATATTCCTTCCAAGGAAATGAGGTCCAGCAATGCATGCAACATTCGACGGCGCTTAGCATCTTCAATAGGTGAGTCTGCCACCTCGGAATAGGACTGCTGAGACACATTATGTGAGCCGGGCAATACGAAGGCTTCATGGATACCGATCAAGACATCCAAGGCCTTGTTGATGACTCTGGGTCTGTTGATATCATCACCATCACCAGCGCCATCATAATTGGAACTCTGACTGAGGATCTGAAGCAAAGATTTTCCCTGAGATTTTTTTATTTCTTCTGCAGCGGAGTCAGCCACAAAGTTCCATATGTAGATTGGCATCTCAAATACATACCTCGGTCTAGGACTGGTGTCAAGAAGTCGTTAGCAATGCCAAACGCATTTAGAACCCGCTGCTCCTCTTCCATCATGAATGCAAATTAATTTTTATCATGTTAGAGCCATATCAATGAGGGTGCTGTTGAAGACGACGAAGATATAAAAAGCCAATGAATAATCAAGAAGTAACTGCTGGTCTTGGCGTTCATTTTGTGGTGGATTATGTCATACGCTCATTGAAGCTATGATCATGTGACCGTGAATCTCACGCGTCGGATAACGATAACGATAACGACGCGTTTATTGCTGTGCTATTGTCGCCAACTTCATCTACTCTCTCCACCACCCGTTCCACTCATTACAACGACCGAATTGAACCCCCTTGTCCAATTTCTTGGCTTATACAAATCTTGCTTGTTTTCACGACATTTATTGGACCCAATATCTTTCAAAGCGCCAGAGTTCTGCCGTTATCGTTTCGTGGATATGTATCCACTCAAGTCTCTCGCCTTCCGAGGCACAACATGTACAGATCAACCCCTTCCAATCTTCAATTCTTATCTGCTGCCTTCGATGGCAAACCGCCACGTATGTTTCGGTGCAGATGTTATTGGAGCAAAGCCCTAAGCCCTCCTCGGTTACTGTCCTCCGCGGATATAGTCTCACGGTTGAGCATGCCGGATGATACGATTAGCAGAAGCAGACTGTGATGGTCTGAAGAAGTGAAAGACGTCCGACTTTGCCAGAGCCCTTGGGCACAAAAGACGGTTTACTATGCGTTATCCAAATGGAGCGCGCGTCGGTTTTCCAATGCTGGACATTGCATGCCGGTCACAAGGGGATGGTCGCCCTATGCCTGGGTTTCAGTTCAACGAGAAGAGGAGCGGGTGAAGCATGTCGGGTACATCGGTATTAGATGTCACCTTCAGGACCATCAACGACGGCGCGATCAGATAGCGATTGAATGCAACAATCGAGGCTCGGAAATCCTAGGGCATCAACTTGTTTGGCTCGAAAATTTGGCGCTTAGAATACAACAGGATCCTTACACACGATCATGGTATTATCATACCAAATGGACCCACTCGCCAGAATCAACCTTCTTCTCCCTGAAAATTGCCCAGGCATTTTCACAGTTGAAGTTGTAGCGAGGTTCATTTCTTATCATGGCCATGACTTCCCTTCAATTCCGTTCTGCAAAGAGCACATTGAAGATCTTGGACTGTTGTCTCATTCCGGATGGCAAAGAATTTTTCCAAACAAGTTCATGTTTTTCGGACTTGGCTGCTTGTGTTTCTTTTGTCGATTCTGTTAGCATCCACTGTCTGTTCCTGTACATGTTTTCTATCCCAAGATTCCTGGGGATCTTGCCCCTGCTTCCCAACTTTTCGAGATCTGTTTTTCCTCTGCCTCACAGGCGGCTAGGCACCTCGAATCCACGTCACCAAACAATGACTCGACTTCATCAGAAGACCTCGACCGACCGTGTTAACCATCTCTTTGCAAAGTAGTTTGTGAATAGATTGATGGACGCCGAACTCAACAACGACTCCCATCGTTGTTCCTTCCCACGGGAAGAAGGAAGCGATTTTTCCGGATGTTTTTTGTTCGCTTTACAACATGCCCCCCTGCGAGATCTTTGGGTCAACCAGGAGAGGAAACAAAAACTTGTCCCCAAGGGTCCTGTACCACACACGAGAGACTCGGATTCATGTTTATGCGACGGTATCGGCGAAAACGATGTCGAATTGATCGAAATTGCGGAGATGAATGTCCTGTGAGTGGATTTGGTCCAGATTCATGTGTCATGGTCAAGTTCAGTTGGTCTTTGTGAAGTTGTGTGGGTGTCCGTGGCTTCTTTGGTTCGTTCGATTGTTGTCATCTGCTCCCAGTCGCTCCTCAACTCCTGTTTGCACATGCACCTGCTGCTTTTCCATTTTTCAATTGTCAGCGGTTGTTCTGGTCGGAAAAGTGCGGCTTCTACGTTCCGAACGCTTTGCTATCTCAGCCCATTCCCAGTCTTCGCGGTGGTAATGTCTTTGTTGGTTCAACGTGTTTGCATCATGTAGTGAGTATTGCGGGACCTCTCTCGAGTGAGGCTCAAAGCTTTGGCTTGTCTGCGATAATTTCTGCTGCTTCGCGTCCTGGCCGAGGCTTACTTACGTTGTTCGATTGGTATGAACTGAAAAGCGACGAAACAAGAGCTTGCTGTTATCCGCACCGTTCAGGAACTACTGTATGGGTCTTCGAGATGGAATTCCTTCAAGGCTTGTGCTTTTCATGGGAGCAGAACGTTTCTGGACGGGTGATGGCTAGTGAACTGTCGTTTCTACTTGCTTCGGTAGGTAGAAACGGCCCCCCTTTTTTATAAGTACCCTAGTCTCTGTGTACTTCAAGTATATGCTAACTACTGCCGCAGAAATATCAGCTTTGATGACACCGTGGGTTGACCGAACAGATTTCCATGCACTTATATAGACAGGATAATGTCTGCCGGGTGGGGCCTTTCCTATCTGGGCTGCCGCCGCTTTATGAGGGCGCTCAGCCTCAGGATCTGTGATAACGCTCAGTCCAGTCATGTATATGATGACTATTTCACGGCGTGCTCAGTGAGCACCCTTGATTTGTCCGACTCAATTCAGACCATACCCAATATAGACAGGCCCCACAGGGCCATTTACTCTGAGAATTGTCAAACGTGCGTTCTTTTCAATTCTAGTGATTGCGTCCAACTCATAGAGAGAAAGATGACAAACTTGCACCTAAAAGAATAGGTGCTCTCTCCCTTTACTTTTTTTGCCTCTCACTGCATTCCTATTCTTGTTCCAAGCTGTCTGCATGGCTAGTTTCTAACCCTGATGCGTACTCCCTTGCTTCCCTTGGCAGGGACTGGAATGATCATGTCAAAGTTAGCATCAAAATCCCTGGCTCGCTCAGTGTCGTACAGCTCGAGTGTACGGCCGGGCTTTCCATGGTATAAGTCGTATCTGCGAAACAGTGTCCCCAAAATGATGGCCATTTCCCGATGAGCCAAATTCATCCTAATTGCGTTAAGTGTTCAGCAAACATGAAATGAAATGTAGGCAGTGAAAAGTATGACTTACCCAACAAAAGATCGAGTTCCTCTTGAGAACCCTAAAAATGCACGTCCCAGTTGAGGATTGTCGATCCAGCGTTGTGGGCGGAATTCGTATGGATCTTCATATACATCTGGATTCAAATACAAACACAGAGGACTCATGCTCACAAGGAACCCGGCCGGCACAACATATTCACGACCAGATCCATTCTTATCCTGGCATATGACTGGCTGGCTGGCAGGGACACGCATCTGGCGGTTCATGACTCCCGGGTGCAGGCAGATGACCTCCTGTATCACAAGATTGAGCAAAGGTCACCCATCAACTTGGGAGAACGATGAGACAGAATTCTCATCCGGTACTGCGGTGCAGAGCTCGGCTTTGAGACGCTCAAGCACAGGAGGGTTAGCCAGAATCTCATACATCGCAGCAGTGAGTGCTAATGCTGTTATACCCTCGCCAGCGAAGATGACAAGCTGAGCTTCACTTGCCAACCGGGCATCTGTCTTGTCGGCAGCGGGCAGATTACTATTGAGAATACCCTCAAAAATTGTGCTCTTGATCCTTTCGGGATTTGGGAAGTTTCCGATCTCGCGAACTCGATCAATCCACCACTTACACGAGTGTTAGCTTGCTTTGAGCTTTCAGAAGGCGCAATGCTAGAGTAATACATACAGATTTCTTGTCCACAAGCTCCGCCAGATTTGGTATTATGGCCTTGATAAACCACCCTGGGGTCTTCTGCATCAAAGTCGCGAAGCATGGAAAGAAAATCATGATGTGATTCAGCCCAAAGAACATGTAGGTGGCATCGAAATAGCACTTCCCGAAGTCGGCCCGTTCCATGAAGCCAAAGCTCTCACCAAAGGCATATTTGTTGATCACATCGCTAGTGCAGGCTTTGAAGATATGGTGTATCGGCACCGGGGGAGAGCTTGCTTGCGCAGTCTCCTCTAACCTTTCTAGCAGCCTACTCATGGTAGCTTGAATGATGGGCTCAAGTTGGCGAATACTAGCCGTCGAAAAGAACCTAGCCACTGCGTTTCGGCGTTGGCGGTGAATGTCATGCTCGACTGTCGTCACCATCGAGCTAGGAGTTCCTGTTTTTCTGGCCAAGCTGGGGTGACGAATAGTCTTCCTAGCGGGGCCCGCGAGGACCAAGTCGATGCATTCAGGGTCATTATAGTGCACTTCGATTGGGTTGATGCGTAAGATTGACCCTTCAGATTTCTCAGCATGCTTTATCTCATGGATTCATTCGATGTGATCGGAGATTTATTGCACACCATATTGCTTGTGCATCTCCTCCAGGCGAAGGAAGTACTTTCCACCAAGCCATACTTCGTAATAGCCCTCGTACCAGTGTGTCAAAGCTAGAAGAATATGTTATAACTAGAGCAAGCCATTAAAATGATGAGGGGCTCCTTTACCAGCTAGTTTGGGTCCCGGAATGCTGGCCAATGGCGAGATACATTGCGAGGGTTTCGAGTCAACATCTAAAAAAGCCAATTCTCAATTATAATGACATGCAACGATAAAATTCTACACTGATGGCATAGGCAAAGAGGAGAGCAATAAGCAACCCAGAAGCCTCCCATACGAGAGCGTTCACGTCCTGGCCTTGTAATTTATGGCCTAAGATCCTAGAAATCCCAAGGAATTCAGGCGATATCTCTGACTGGCTCCACATAATTGTTTTTAGATATGAGTTGTATCGAAAGTAGTGAAAATCGTTGGCTGAAGCCCTTGTTTTCCTATATTTTGGTATAGTCCTATATGTCTTACAAATTTAGATGATGCTTACACGCCGATCCATGTAAGATGAATTGAGGTTTGACTGCCAGCACCAATCGAGTAGAAAGAAAAAGAAAATCTGTTCTCTCCTAACTTTATTCTTTTACGCCATTGCATCCCACGCTGACCATCAGTGGAGTGATCTAGGTAAATCGCTTCGCATGCAAGATGAACCATCAACAATCATCTCGCATTAGACCCTTGGACGAGCGTTCGCATATAATTGGCTCCGGGGGTCTCGCGCTAAAGCAGGATTATGGGCCATATAAGCACGGTCACGGTGGAGATTCCCGTTACTCTATTTTCTTCCGCCAAAGCTTCAACGAAACCTACGTCCCCTTTGCGGCCCAGTCCTGTTAGGTGCTTGTCTCGTCCAATCGCATCATGGCCTTAGACCAGTCGGTCTAACCGAACCAAGTCACGGCGGTATTTCTTTGTTTCAGCGCCGCCGCTACGTCCTTCTTGCATTTGTAATCCAACAAATTGATAATCAGAATCCCACCTTAGGTAGTTAATGGCGTGTTAGTAGAAGTATATTTGAAGGCAGTGCTTGTATCTATCTGCCTACCAGTTTGTATCAACTCTACATTTTTGACCTATACCGCTTATACTACGCTATCATGGCTCCCACTGTTGCTTTTGTTACCGGTGCTAACCGCGGACTGGGCTTCGGACTGGTCAAGAATTTCGTGGCCAACCCAAACTACGTAAGTCATCCTTTTGAGCATATCCGTCAGGAGCTAGCTAATGAGCCACTCGCAGGTTGTCGTTGCTGCGGTCCGTGATCCCGCACACCCAACCGCTAAGGAGCTATCTGAGCTATCCACGGGCGAAGGCAGCAGCATTATCGTCGTAAAGTATGACGCCGGTATTGAGCAGTCTGCCTTTGACGCTGTCAAAGAAGCCACCGACAAGGGCGTCGATCATATTGATTATGTTGTTGCCAATGCCGGTATCGCTAAAGGGTATCCCCTTGTCAAGGATGTCAAACGCGCCGACGTCCTCGAGCATATTGAGGTGAACGTCTTTAGCGTTGTCTCTCTCTATCAAGCCACTCGTCCTCTACTTGAAAACTCGATCACCAAGCCTGTCTATGCTATCATGGGATCTGGAGCTGGAGCTTTAGGGTAAGCTGTCCCTCTCACATTGCCCTATGTGGTTATTATCTCTTTTTCATTTATGCCCATACTGATTCACTCCCTAGCCGCCAGCCTCCCGTTCCTAGTGCAGCATACGGAGCTTCCAAGTCCATTCTCCCGTGGTACGGTGTTCGAATCAACGCCGAAGATGAGTGGCTTAACACCTTTGTATTGGACCCCGGCTGGGTACAGACCGATATGGGCAACGGGGCTGCGAAAGGGTGGGGTATGGAGTCAGCACCTGACACTATTGAAAAGTCTACAAGCGGTATGTTTGATGTGATTACAAATGGAACCAAGGAACAGTACGGAGGTAAGGTCGTCCTCTACAACGGCGAAGTTCAAGAATGGTAGATTGCTTGGGTGACTTTTTCTTCATCGGTGATTCAGTGATTTGCATATAAGAAAGCTAGAGGTAGTGAATATATGTTCTTTTGTGCATCCTTGAAGTCCACTTAGTGGTAAAAACTTGAAAATGAGAAAGAAATGCCGGCTTCGAGTTTCTTATGTCGATTATGTCATACTGGGAAGCGTCGAAAATAAAAAGATTCATGTATAAACACCGTAATGCCTATATCTAGTGTGATATAAATGATATCTACAAATTTCGTTTCTATACAAACTCAGAGAAAGCTAGAGTAGAAATTGGGTCTGAAGAGGTGGCATAGGCAGACTAATGCAAATGTATATACGTATATTCGGAATAAACTTACACAGCTCCTCGATATATATTCAATACCGGATGTAATATTTCTTTCAAGCTATCGTATCCGGAGTTAATCTATGTTGGTGGCAAAAGTATGTCTATAAGCAGGCAAGTCAAGCAGAATGAAGACTAAGAAGACGGATAAAGGGGACATGTCCCTGGCCCTTACGTCTTGCATAGATGACTATCCTCGAGCAGCTCATAAGCGTCAGATCCAGGTGAAGGGTTCGCCCAGAGAATGTGGGCTGGGTCGTATTTGCTTTTGATTGTGACCAGGTCGTCATAGTACTCGCCGTAATAGTCGTCCTTCCAGTAAGGAAAGTTAACCGTCGCTTCGTTCATGTAGCTGCCTCCTCCGGGCGTAATATCATGGGCTCTTGAAGACCGAATTCATCCGTCGTCCTCGTGGCTTTATAGACCATTAAAATCAGCTCTCGGCCCCCAAAATAACCTCTCATCCGTCAATGCTATTTAGCCTCATTGCTGCTTTATACGAGGAAGCGTCGCCAGATTGTTCCTTCTCGCAGAATCCCATTTTCCCGGTAAGCTATTTTCTCACGATGGTGAAGCAGATAGTCGGCCCGCTCGGACCTCCCGGTTGGCTCCTAAGATCGGGATCTACTATAGCCACGCGCTCAAAGTAAGTATGCCACGAGCTCGGTCAACTCCATAAATGGTAAGTATTACTCAGTACTTCCGGGCACTGTTTACAGCATGTCACCAATGGATGTTCATATGAGCCCAGACTATTTCAAAGGTCCCTATGTATTCCGCCCTAAGCGGTGGATTGAGAATCCGGAGCTGTCAAAGTACTTCCTCGGGTTTGGACGTGGATCGAGAAATTGTCTCGGGTCAGTAAACCCCTCCGTTCTTTCTTTGCGATCTTCCGGGGGGACATCAATAACCTTTCAGGTAGAATGGCCCTTGCTCGACGGGAGCTGTCCCTCACACTCGCAACCTTGTTCCTGAAGTACGATCTATACCGTGTATAGGACGGACCCACGATGGAACTAGATGATACTGTGCGTGCTAGTAATATCGACGCTGTACGCGAGTTCATTGCACCTTTCCCGGCTCCGGGCAGTCGAGGTCTCCAAGTGAAATACAGGAGATAGAGCGCGTATTGAGTGAACAGGGGCAGTCATTATTGCATAGGTGGCGTGGGTGGTATAAGATAGAAAAACAGAAAGAGGAGGTCGAGTTTTTCATTTCTCGACCGTTGCAAGGAATCAACTCTTGTTATCAAACTCAATGCACAAGGATCATATCTACATTTACACATATTTCGAATCTGGTTTCTTCTGAAGATTTACTTCACTTGCTCAAAATTCCCAGGTTATGTCTACAACTTTGTAGATCATGGCCACAAAATCTTGCCATGTATTCCGAGAATAATGACCAAACGGAAATATTACATAATCCAGCCTCTGTCAGCTGCCCCTCAGCCCCGCGCAGAACGAGAAGGAATGTTCCCGTGGGTCCGATAATTTTTTTGGCGATAAGAATTTCTTGTCGCCCGCCCATACTCTTGTTCGAACAACTGATACCTGGATTCACTCTTTTTATTTTCCAGATTTATCTTTTTTCGCAAAATCTTATACAATGGTTAACCCAGCCGACCATGATGCGCTCGAGGCGCAATTCGAGTCGCAATTCCAAAAGCCCGGCGATCTGGTGGAGCGCGATGATGATACAGGACTCATGGAGGTCGAGTCGCTCTGCATGAGTGAGTATTTCCCATCTTATACACTGTAAATATCCACTAACTTGCCATTTTCTAGACTGCCATGAGCAAGGGTTCGTTGTCTGCGCAAAATTCGCAAATGCTATACAATACTGACTTCCCGATCAGAACCACCCGCCTTCTCCTACTTCGTGTGCCCTACTTCCGCGACATCATCCTGGAAAGTTTCGAGTGTCCTCACTGCTACTTTAAAGACAACTCGGTCAAGTCCGCTGGCCAAATTCAGGAACGTGGCGCCAAATACACCCTGAGGGTTGAGAACGAGGAAGACCTGGCTCGGTATGTATTCATCGGCACTTCATCTCGAACGCAGCTATATGCTTGAAGCAAGTAATTAGGGCACTGTGTGCTAACGGTTTTCCAGTCAAGTTATCCGCAGTGATCTCTCCATCTTCCGCCTTGAGGATCTAGGCATTGAGATGCCCCGTGGTGAATCCCAACTTACAAACGTGGAAGGAGGTTTGTTATCCCTGAGAACTACTACCATGGTTACCAAATCGCTGACCTCGTGATTCCTAGTTGTCCAACACATTCACGAACATCTTTCAGGAGAGCAAGATCTGCGCAAGGATCAAGCTCCTGAGCTTCACGATGCCCTTGTCCCCATCATCGCTAGCTTGAAGAAGATTTTGGACCGTGACGACGCCTTCCCCTTCTCTATTTCTCTAGATGACCCTACTGGAAACTCGTGGATTGCACCCAACACCACCGACCGTGGCAACAAGTACACACGCCGTGAATATCCCCGAACCCACGAACAAAATGAAGAGCTTGGCATTTCGGCCGATTCGGAGGCAATTAACGCCGAGAAGCCGCAACTCGATGCCGGTGATTTGGAAGACCTTGACATTGTTGATGGTCAGGTTTACACTATCCCTGCTGAATGCCCAGGATGTAACAAGGCATGCAAAGGTAAGATACATACTTACTGTTGCTATGGCATTACATCTGCTAACCGTTATTGCGATCAGTCAACATTAAGAAAATCAACATTCCCCACTTTAAGGAGGTGTTCATTTGGGGTACCAACTGCGATGGCATTGATGAGGCTGAGTCGTTTGGTCAGATTCCTCACGAGGGCTGTGGCTACCGAAGCAGTGAAGTCCGAACCGGAGGTGCCGTTCCTGAGAAGGGCAAGTGCATTACTCTCCGCGTTGAGAACAATGTCGATATGTCTCGCGATATTTTGAAGTCTGATACTTGCCACCTGCAAAGTGACGAATTGGATCTTTCAGTGGAGCCAGGTACTCTTGGTGGAAGATTCACCACCGTTGAAGGATTGCTAGGTTGGTTTCCACCCCCCGCGACTGTTTGAATGACCACAATGCTAACCCTTTATCTTCTAGTCGAGATCCGTGATCAGCTGAAGGGAACTATCTTCTCCGGGGTTGATGAGACCACTGGAGGTGATGGCATGGCTTCTTCCGACAAGCAGACATGGGAGCGCTTCTTCGGTCGTCTCGAACAGGCTATTAACGGCGAACTCAAGTTCTCTATTACCTTGAAAGATCCCATGGCAAACTCGTATGTCCAAGATCTCTGCAGCCCGGCAATCGACCCTCAAGTCATCACTGAGGAGTACACCCGCACTGAAGAAGAGGAAGAGGACCTGGGCTTCAAGGACATGAAGACTGAGGGCTATGAGAAGGACGCGCAGACTACTGACGATGCTCAGAAGGAGTAAGAGGTTTTCATGGAGAATTGTCGTTTGCATTTTCACGATGGTTGATATCCATTTCATGACATGAGACGTGATGATTTTATTGGTGTTCTTTTCCTTTTCTTTTCTTCGCATAGGCGTCTGTGAAATGTATTATTCTGCTTATGGTGGTTTAGATATCCGGTGATTAAAAATACACAAATGGGAGCTTAAATACCATGTCAACTTGTAGTATCCCCCTATATCCGTATCAAGTAAAAGCAACATCTAGTGGTCAAGACAATTCGTTTCCACTTGAACGATCACCTCTTGTCGATCTTCTGTCACTGATCAAAATTGAACACACCCTCGGAATAGGGGTCTCCTAACTTGATTGAAAGAATATGGCTATGATACCGAGTAGGGTTAGACTAAGAGTACATCATACAGCCATTGATTCGGTTTGAGCGCTCGACTTTCTCAACCTGAGTCGCACCTCAGGTGTTATTTCTTCTAATCATTAGCTGCGCCTGCCTGTTCGAATAACCACTGCATTTGACCTCATGGAGAATGCGGCAACCCCAGGGAGTCCCCCGCACTTGGCGCAGATTGGTGGGGATCAATGGGTTGGAATATCCAGGGTTACTGCGGCAAAGTGTCAAGAAAGGGTGTAGTCCATTTCAATCAGGTCTAGCAAATGTCCTGCAGCTTGATCGCACAAGATGCATCACAAAAGAGGGGCTCGGACTTACATTTGGGCTTGCTTTGAAATAAACCGACTCTGCCCTACTGCCCTAATACAATTCCCCGTCACGTTGTAACACATATTTTTCAGAATGACCGTCGAATTTGATCTCAAGTCAATTTACGTTCAGATTATCAAGGGCAAAAGCGCCCCGACAAAGGTCACTCGACATGGACTGAACCCGGCTACCTTGGAGGCTTTACCAGAGGTTCCAATTGCGACACCAGATGATCTCGACAGTGCCGTTGATGCCGCAAAAGCTGCTTATAAGCTCTGGTCCACGACCCCGTATGAGGATCGGAAAAAGGCCGTAGTGGCTTATGCCGATGCTCTTGATCAATATAAAGATCAGTTCCGTGATCTTTTGGTCGCCGAACAAGGAAAGCCAGTAAGTGATCGCTATTTGGTACCCAATATAAGGGCGAGATTTAAAAGTGCCTCAAATAGATTCCGCAAGCATCCCAGGAGACAGAAGCCGCCATATTATGGATTCGAAAAATGGCCGAGCTCCCACTGCTGGAAGACGTGATTGAAGATGATGAAACGAGGACTGTGATAACGCGATATGTTCCTCTTGGTGTTGTCGGGGCTATTGTGCCTTGGAACTTCCCATTGCTTCTTGCGACTGGTAAAATTGCACCCGCTCTACTGACTGGTAATGTCATTATTGTCAAGCCTTCGTGGGTTATTCTGATTCTTATCTACATGAAATGTTAAATACTGACATAACTATATGTTTCAGGCCTTTTACCCCGTACTGTGGCTTGAAACTTGTTGAATTAGCCCAGAAATTCTTCCCTCCAGGTGTCGTGCAATCTTTGAGTGGCGATGATGACCTGGGACCTTGGCTCACAAGCCACCCTGGTATTGACAAGATCAGTTTTACTGGATCCACTGCAACTGGAAAGAGAGTTTTGCAAAGTGCGAGTCGCACCCTCAAGCGTGTGACCCTTGAGCTGTGAGTTGGCGCTCTGAACTACGCAAATTATCTCGTGCTTTGACTAACAATGGTTGATTAGTGGCGGGAATGATCCAGCCATTGTGTTCCCGGACGTGGATATCGAGAAAGTCGCAGAGAAGGTAATCACTCTCTGAAGGTTGCATGGAGCAAGGTTTATACCAGAAACTAATGCTTGCAGGTTGCGTTCTTTGCATTCCTAAACTCGGGCCAGATATGCCTTAATTTGAAACGAATTTATGTCCACAGCTCTATCTATGAAAGATTCAGGGATGCCCTGGTCCGTCAGGTGAACGGCTATACTATTGGTGATGGCTCGCAACCTGGAATCAGTCACGGGCCTCTCCAGAACACAATGCAATACTCACGCGTCAAGACCTTCTTTGATGATATCGAAAAGCAGGGCTGGAAGGTTGCCACTGGGGGTAAGATCGAGGCCTCGAATGGATACATGATCGCACCCACCATCATCGACCGGCCACCTGAGGATTCCCGTATCGTGGTAGAAGAGCCATTCGGTCAGTCTGGTCTTTCCTCGAGTCTATCTGTACGTGGCTTTACTCACTAATCTGCAGGTCCGATTGTTCCACTTCTATCATGGGATGATGAGGCTGATGTTATCGAGCGTGCTAATAATACCACGATGGGGCTGGGTGCTTCGATCTGGACTGCCGATCTGGATCGTGCTGCGAGGGTTGCGCGCCAAATTCAAGCTGGAAATGTTTGGACTAACGATCACTTCAGTTTGAGTCCCACTGCTCCTTTCGGTGGTCATAAGGAGAGCGGTATCGGTGTTGAGTGGGGTCTCAATGGGCTGAAAGCCTTTTGCAATTCCCAAACCCTCTTCTTGAAAAAAGGGCCTTAATATCGCAATGTTCCATACGCCTCTTCTGAGCTAGTCCGGCGCGTTTGAGCCAAGTTTGATCAAATATCACCTCAATCGACCTTCGTTGTCATCATATATAAGTGAAATTATGCTTTGAAACCAGCACGGATTACTATCAATTAAGTGTAGTTGTCTTCTATCTTTCAAATCGATTGCTCTATATGCTAATTTGAAGTTCTCGTGGATATGACACAAGATATCTAGACTTTATGGAGAATCTACGATTGAAATAAAAAATTTACTTATCTACCTAGCTACAACAAAGCTCACAGTAGTTCCAGGTTATATAGATCCTCCTTAATCCGAAATGCGGTGAGAATTCCCCAGAATTTGACGACGACCAGGGAGCTGCTTCGGGTATTGAATGTTTTGTCGCAGGCCGGTTTGCCAGTGGTTGGCGCAGATTTGGTGAAATTCGCTCCTGTGTATGACAATACGGCCGAATTTACGGCGCTTACAGTGACTCAGATTGTGTACGAGCTCCTATAGTGGATGATTCGAGTTCCAGTGAGAAAAGATAGAGATAGAAGATTTGAAGTGTGCAAGACGCCTCAGTAATTGGCATGGAATGTATAAATTTCTCTTGTTCGTTTAGAAAGCACTGCGCTTCTTTGTGCAAGCTTTACTTTGTCATAGCCGGTATGATGGAGGTAGCGCTGCGAGGTGCGGATTGCCTTGTGGCATATGATGGGACAGCTTGAATCCATGAATGATTTGGGATTTGAAGCGTTGGTCCTCTGCCATGGAGGGGGCATATTTTCCGCTATGATGCCAAATAATGCAGGTGACTATACAATTTTGAAAGTCCGCCCTAAGACAGGCCACCAAAGAAATAGCGTTAGATGCTTGGCGGTTGCCGAGTCGTGGCTCCAACATATGAGACTTTCCAGAGGGCCGCGCTGAAAGACTGGAAAATGCATCCATCCAGCCCAAATTTCCGATATAATGAAGCTCCCATGAGATGTTGCGCATCGAAATAGTTCACTTCGCAAATGGATTCGCATGGATCGTAACCTGGTTGATCTTAAATGCTTCAAAATCATCGCCCTCCTTTGGCTGAGAGACCTTGCCCTTCTTATCGACCTTAACATTTGCCTTCTCCAGCTTGGTCAGGATATCACCACCCTCGTCCTGAGCAGTCAAATTCAAAACTTTGCCAAACACGGTACTGGTACCATCAAGATGCGGGGCCGGAACGAACGTAATAAAGAATTGACTACCGTTGATCGTTGTACCCGTTGCACCTTGTGATCCAGGCGCAGTCCGATCCTTGACCGGCCGTGAGGCCATGGACAGAATGCCACGTGCGTTGTGGCGCAGTGAAGGGAGGTGAATTTCTTGGTTCATTGCTGCGGGGTGGTAGATGGAAGTGCCGCCTTTCGGTATCTCAAAGTCGAGGATTGGTTTCGTGGATGTTTGTTGCGCGGCGGGACCGAGAGAGATGTCTCCGCCTTGGATCATGAATCCGGGGATGAGGCGGTGGAACGGAGTATCATTGTATGCGCCACATGCGCAGAGGGCGAGGAAGTTCTCTGCTGTCTCAGGCACTGCTTCGCAGAAAAGCTCGACCTTGAGGTCGCCTTGAGTCGTATGCAACTGTATTCAAGCAATTGTCAGCACTTCGACTTTTGATATAGATAGAGCTCCTAGAGCTTTTCAAATCTGCAGACTTACCGTGACAGACATTTCAAATGTATTGTGCAAAGTGATATCAAGGTGTAAGGTTAATTAAAGTGATCTTGGAGCCCTGGTACTCAGGTTCCGCCGAACCAATCTAGAATTAGTCAGCATTTTTCTTATCGGCGCCGGGCAGGCGCATGTGTTTATTGTCAGTCAACCCCCTTCAGTTCATACCCTGTTGACACATTTGATCATTGGTGATTGTCGCCAAAATACCGGAAGATTTCTGACGTTCTTTATCTCGTCATTGCTTCTGAGCTGGGCTGATAAGGATCATATCATATTTCGCCTGTTCACAAGGCAAACCCACTCCAACGAACCGCAAGAACAATGACCAACCGGCCAGTTGAACAAGCGTTGGGCATACTGGTGCCAACTCATGCCAATGATTTACCCCAAGAACTTCTTAGCTATGCTATGTCACTGGTTGCGCAGTCCCGAAGCTTCTCGGCCAGTTTGAAGCCAGAAGAGGAAATCGCTCGTCCATACGCATGCGCGGAAATTGCTTGCAGAAGGTCGGCAGATGCCCTCAACTAAGGACTTGCTACATTGTATACTAATTGGCTCTATTCGGGGTATTTAGGATGAGCCGAACGTTGAAACTTCCTCCGCTATTAGGACATCCGCCTTGTCCTCCACGTGTATACAAGAAGCTCTACGCATACCTTGATCGATCCTTGGCAACAAGCTCGGCCAGCATCAAGAGATCAGCTAGTGTATCAGTAGCTGGATCACCCTCTCGCACCAGTTCTGCAACAACAACACCTACTAAGGCCAGGAACACACCTTCCAAGGCAGTAGCTCCAACACCACGGGGACTACAAAACACCCCCTCGAAATCTACACCTCTGAAGCGAAGCATGAGTACGGCAAATCTCCTTGAAAGTCCCTCGAAATCAGCTAGAAAGATCACATCTGCCCGACCCAAAGAAGTTATCGGGTCAACTGTCATTCCAGATGCCCCAGCTTGGGTGATGACAGCCATCCGAACAATTTGCAAGATCCTCTCGACGCCTGCACCTCGCACAAACACCTGGTCTCGACCTCCAATCTCGAGGACCCTGCCTCCTCATATATTTTCCGGGGTGTCGACCGTCCTTTATCTTACTTCGAGCATGTCGAACGACGAGGAGGGATGGGACGAGGAGACATTGGAATTCTTGGAGCCAATTGTCTCCATCAGCGGGCCCGAAAATGACGATGACTTCAAAGAACTGGTATATGCCATGGCTGTGGCTGTTTACTTCCTTGTGCTTGCTCGTCGGCGCAACCCTGGACCGGAAGCAGAAGCAGATGTCGAAGCGCAGAAAATGGACAAGAAAACATTCATGGAAATGCGCCAAACAGCGTTGAACAGTCTTGGCCTCAAGGCGAACGACCGCCGGCATCGTGACGATGTGGACCAGTGGATTGCTCTTATCATGGAGCATGGCTGGGCCAATGGCCAGGAGTGGTTTGAGAACATCCCCTACGCTGGGCAGCTCTACGGCGAGGACGAAGAAGGGAAGTCCTACCAGGACATGGATGAGGAGGACGCGGTGCTTAGAGGGGTTAGGCTGCCTAAGCGCTCGGCCGCTGGGGATGGCGCTCGTTCTTCGCAGGCAGATCACCCTCCTCGAGGTGGCCTTTTGCCTGGCTTAGGGACAATGATGCAGGATCGAGTAGACTGGTTGAGTGATGACCGGCGAGAAGATTATGTGCATTGGAAGGCAGATATCATGGCCCGCATTGAAGGTGCGGCTGCTTGATTGTCGTCGTGACATGTGAAATCGATTGAGAGTAAAAGTTTCCGGCTGTAAGATAATTGATACCCTAAAATATGAATCAAATCGCATTATTCCCCATGGAAATTAAAGGTTATTTCGCCTCCATGTCCAAGCCGACACTTGTTAATGCTGCAATGTCTAAGTTCTGGATAAACGCCCCTTTGCTCCCAGAGCAACCAAAATGCCAAGGTCACTCAAAGTGTGACTCCATGCGCCATTGATGACGCTAAAAACAATAGCCATCTATCTTAATACCAAATGCTCCTAGTCCTGTGGTGAGGAATGGACTCATTTTTCTCTGCCTCAAGACTTTTCATCGTATCGTACAGGAAAAAGTCGATAAGGATAGCGTTGATCCGATATGTCTTTTTCGGTTTTTCGTCGCCGCATATTATCTCAAGTGCTTTCTTTTCCGAGTTTTCGTTTTCCGCTTTCGAATTATCATCCGGCAAGGCCTTTGTAGGAGGCTTTTTACCGCTCATTTTGACCTCGGGGTGTCGCCGCTCAATTTCTCGTTTGATCAATTCAACGCACCAGATACTTGTTCCACGAAGCTCAATCTCCCAGTTTGAACCTGGCTCAATCGGCTTCATTTCACGAATATGGTTGTCTAATTTGGGCGCGTAGCGTATACAGTTCAATTGATGCAGCATTTGCGGGATGCGGTAGTCTGATACACTTGATTAGATATGTTTTGTCTGTTCTGGAGTTCTCCACACATACCTGCAAACATGGTTATTTTGTCGATATCATGGAATTCACCAAATTCTTCCCCGTTGAAACAAGCCCAAAGATCGGCTACCAGGATCTGAGCACGCTTGTAGAGTCGGACCCTTCTTCCGTGGAAGATCACTTCGTCGCGGAAACACGAGAAGCTCTCGGTCAGTAGGTTCACAAGACCTGCTGCTGATCGATTTGCACTGTCGACGCAGTTCGCGAAGGTGCCGCCAAATTCCTACAGAGCAGGTTAATATAGCCCGGAAAATGTCAGGGAGATGGATAACCATACTTCGCAAAGAACTTCGCCTGCCTCACGCAGACACTGTACTCGTTCCTTGAACATGGGGATTCCTTCATCCGTCGCAGACCGGAAAACGTGCTTTAGCACTTCTTCTGTACATTTTGCTTTATTCACCCAAAAGTCAGGGGTTGTGATGGGAATATCTGGTTTAGTTAACATCTGTATTTCTCAAAAGCGTATGCTGACTTGAAACTGACCTTCATCAAGAGCCCTTTGTAAAGCAGCAACTAGACTCCAATAGCCAGTCCAGAGCTTGCCCCGGTACTCAATACAGAATCGCTTTGATTCCTCTTCCTCGTCGGAGAAGAAACTAAAGTTCAACAAGTCCATTGTGAAGATAAAATCAACCGTACTTTCATCTTTGGCCTGGGGGTGAAGTTCGTGCTCCGACCAAGTCTGAGTAGAGTACTCTTTCTTCTGCATCAGACGCCAAATGGTTTCAGCAGCCTCTTTGGTGAACTCGCGACTGACAGCAACATCAATGGCATTATCAAAGACGTACTGAGCACCTTCGAGGACTTTTGTCTCTGGGGGAGCACCCTTTGCCTGTCCGCCGCCCAGACCGAAATGCTGGCGAAGAAGTTCTACCAGTTCAGGGTCCGCTTCATCGTCGGAGTTTGCTTCAATCTGGTCATTTCTCAAGGCCGGAATTGGATCCAATGATGGCATGATTTTGTGCTTTGAGCCGTTTTCACTTGATGGAGAAGTAGATATATGGCAAAATTATGGATGCTCAGGGGTAACTATCTCCTTTGATATCACGGAGTAGTGTTGCGGTGAGAGCACAATCCACAATTACGGCGAATATTCCACCACCAGATAATCTTCCTTTGGGTAATGGAGAACACAGCTTGATAGAGAAGAGTTCTGATTGGAATATCTCCCCAAGTGACCTTTTGTGTTGTTTCGTTTCTCGCCACACCGAAAATTCGACCCGATGGTCCCTGGATAGAGTTATGTAAGCAGGTACGATAATGACCCCGTTGCAAAAGGATTGAAAAGAACGATGATATAGGTTATTAAGCTAGGGTTACAGAGAATAATCAGGATTTATTCAGTATAAGTAGTTCGCAATTGAGGTTTTGAGTAGATCATCCCTACATATACATATGTACACTAAGTGAGCTGTATGTGGAATGCGAAAAGCGAAAGATTATAATTTTGCTTATGATTGTTCAAGCAGATATTGGCTACGGATTAGTTGACTATCATCTTCTATATTACACTCCAAGAAGGGTGACTAGGATAAATGTTGGGTATATAAGTAGAGGGAAGGGAAGAGAGGAAGAGAAGACGAGCCGATCTCAAGTGAGGCTCCAAACACAGTGCCGTCATTGTCGACTTCCAACGGCGCCTGTTTCCGGTTCTTTTCACTTCTCATTCCACAACTCTGTTCCCCTCCCACATTCTCTTCTTTCACTAACTCGTGAGATCGTTAAATTGTCTCGTTTTATCGCGATCATCTACTCTGCCCGCCATGCGGGATAGTTCGCTCAAGCGCTCTCTCGGGGTGGACCTCACCCGATCCATCAAGGAGGTATGGTTACTGTTGGCGCAAACCCTTAGCAAGTCGCGCAAGCTATTGGATGGATTCTGACAATTATCTTTCACATCTAGTCTCGTGTCTTACTTGTCGGCGCAGGCGGCATCGGCTGTGAGCTCCTCAAAAACCTTGTCCTAAACGGGTTTGGCGAAGTCCATATCATCGATCTCGATACGATTGATCTGAGCAACCTCAATCGCCAATTCCTCTTTCGTCATGAGCATATCAAGAAATCGAAAGCCCTGGTACGTCCCGCCGACCATCCCCCCGCGCTTGGGCCGCTCCTTTGCAAATCCTCCCTCTGCGACGCGCATTCGCAGGACGACATATGGTTGGCAATGGCGGGTATGGAATAATGTGGTACTCATACGGACTTCTAGGTTGCCAAAGAGGTTGCGCAAAGGTTCCGGCCGGACGCTAAGCTTGAAGCCCACCATGCCAATATCATGGATCCCCAATTCAACGTCTCTTGGTTTGGGTCCTTCAACATCGTGTTCAATGCGCTGGACAATCTCGCCGCAAGACGCTATGTGAACAAGATGTGCCTTCGCGCCGATGTGCCTCTAATTGAGAGCGGAACTATGGGTTTCAATGGCCAGGTCCAGGTTATCAAGAAGGTGTGTGTGGGACGTCCGGTCAAGACCGAGGATGTGGGCTTCACCCGGGCTGCTGCTAACTGTTAGCGACCTAGGCTGTAACAGAATGCTACGACTGCACCGCGAAGGAAGTTCCAAAGTCTTTCCCAGTGTGTACAATCCGCAGCACTCCCAGTCAACCTATTCATTGCATCGTCTGGGCAAAAAGCTTCCTCTTGCCGTGAGTCTTCGCGTTAGTTCTACCAACTTTCGGTGCTGACTTTAGGGCAGGGAATTGTTCGGGCACAGCGAAGACGAAGCAGCAGACGTAGACAATTCTGAAAACGCAGAAAACGGTTGGTCCACTTTCATCCAGAATTTAGCAATATTTCTGACACAATTTCAGCAAATGAAATCGAGGAGTTGCGCAAGGAAGCCCTGGAGCTCAAAGCCCTGCGTGAATCCATCGGAACCGAGGAAGCATACCAAAATGTGTTTGACAAAGTCTTCGGAAGAGACGTAGAGCGTTTGCGCGGCATGAAAGATATGTGGAAGATACGAGAGGCACCAGAACTTCTTGACTCGGCTCAACTTCGAGAAGAGTCCGCATCGATCGATCCACGGATCTCTACCCAGGACCAAAAAGCATGGTCATTGGCGGAGAATTTCGCTGTTTTCAAGGATAGGTAAGCGCTTTTCATGGCCGCCAGAACGAGCCGAGAAACTAATTCCTTACAGTTTAAAACGTCTCAGTCAACGTCTGAAGGAACTACAAACAAACACTCCGTCAAATCAACCTCCTCCGATCCTGACCTTCGACAAGGATGATGTGGACACCTTAGACTTTGTGACAGCGACGGCTAATCTCCGAGCGGCTATCTTCCACATAGAAACCAAGTCTAAATTTGATATCAAGCGTGAGTCCATCTTAATGATATGTCGTTCTGAGGATACCATGGTTAACAAAACTTCTTCAGAAATGGCCGGTAACATCATTCCTGCTATCGCTACCACTAATGCTATGACAGCTGGACTATGTGTGCTCCAGTCATTCAAAGTATTCCAAAATGACCTTGAGCATGCCAAAACGGTAAGCTTTTAAGTACCTCGTGTTACTCCCACCAACCCAGGCTAATCCAACATCATGTTAATAGGTGTTCTTAGAGAGGTCCGGTGCCCGTGCGATCAATTCTGAATCACTGAACCCGCCAAAGCCCGATTGTTCAACTTGTTCTTTTGCGCTGGTTCGGGTGGAAATTGACCCTGCGCTGGCAACTTTTAACCACCTTGTTGAAAGTGTTCTTGAAAAGGAGCTGGGCTATGACAAAGAACTCACCATTGCCATAGGTAACGAAATGATCTACGATCCTGACTTTGATGACAACTTGAAAAAGAAGTTGTCCGATTTTGGGGTCTCCAACGAGAGCATCATCACGGTGACGGATGACAACGACACAGACACTCGAGTGAACCTTGAGATATTGATCGTGGAAAGGTATGCTTGTTTGAAATCACCGCATTCCAGGCATTTGTTTATTAATGGGTACCCAGAACCGAGCCATCTTCCGCGGAATCTGAGCCTGTGAAACTGTTGCAGGCAGTCGAGATTCCCTTGAAGCCCCAGCCGCCTGCTCAACCTTCCCCTGAACCTACTGTAACTACAGACGGCACATCCGTCACAGGAAAGCGCAAGCGCGAAGGCGAAGGCACTGACGATCTGGAGGCTCAAAACGAACACAACGCTAAACGCCTTGCCAGTGCATCCATTCCTGACACCGAAAGCAATGAGCCTATTGTTCTCGACGATGACGAAGAAGGTGCCATCTTGATTGATGATTAAAAAGCTGCTTGCTGCTAGTAGACATTTTCTCCCGGCTCTAGCTTGCCATTGATCTCTGGGGGCTTTCGCTTTGGTAAAACTCAGTTAGCCCTCTCTAAATCTGCCCGCCCCTCCTTAGACTTTACACATTTTTTGTACCATATGGCATACAGGCGAAGTTGCTTCAAGTGAGAAAGAAACTCGGGTCAAAGGGGCAATCATGCTTCAGAATAATGCATTACGGATTGATCATTTCACGTCAAAATGGTGCTATCTGGGTTTTTGAAACACAGTTACGCTCGTCAATTCTTCTTTCTCTCTGTGACATTACGTGGAATATCGTAGGATTGCAAACCACATACATCTGTACTGTACAATTACTCTTTTTCAATAGTAGATCAAACCCCAAACATCAATCTAAACGGCACTCAACCCGCCATCGAGATTCAGTACACAATTATTGGCATACTCGTTCTGCGCCAAGAAGACAGCTGCGTCTGCAATTTCACGTGGATCCCCAAATCTATGAAGAGGAATGAGAGACTTCAATCTTTCTGTTTCACCAGGCGTGAAGTCTATTTTGCAGGTCAGTGGGCGCACTAACAATACAAAAGGCTAAAAGAACATACCTGCAACCATGGGTGTCTCAATATACCCTGGCACGATGGCGTTTGATCGAATGATAATATCTTTCATTGAGGCAGATACCTCAGCAGCCAATGACCGCGTAAGGCCCAAAAGACCAGCCTTAGAAGCAGCGTAGGGAACAGCTCCAGTTCCTCCTTTGAGGGCGAGCAGGGAGGAGACATTGATAATGCATTTCGATGGGAGCTTCTGGCCAGCAGCGGCATCATTCCTGTTGCGAATACGACTGCGGATCGAGGCTCGCATTAAGGCTCGCGAGGTCAGCATGGCGCCTTCGAGATTCGTGCGCAGGATCGTCGAAATATCTTCCAGCTCGGATCTTGGGAGGATGTTTGATATCGAGATTCCGGCTGCGTTGACCAGGATATCTACATTTGCCTGGTTTACCATTAGACTGGAACTCATTGATGTACACGGGATAGCTCACCATCTCTTTTTCGAGTTCACGCATCCATGACCCGGTGTTGGAGACGTCGCCAACCAACAAGCGGATGTTCCCTTTGGTATCTTGCTGGCGGTCTTCTTCCGGGGCGCGAGTAGCAACTTCACCATTGTTTTCTTCCACGATAGAAGACCTTTTCACAAATGGAGCAAGTCTTGATGCTGCTTCCTCTAAGCGCTTTTGGGAGCGACTTACTAGGACTATTGTTGATGCCCCTTCCTGTAGGAATCTTTCGGCAATAGCGAAGCCAATGCCTGATGTGCCACCTGTAATCAAGCATTTTCGGCCGGCCAATCTTCTGCCGGGTTCAAATTTATAATTTGTCTCGGAGTTGTTTGGCTGAGATGAGAACGAGCGAGTTGTATATCTTTGATGGGATTGGGTTGATACTTGCCCTCTGGCATGTCCAACATGATGTAGATATACTGGTCTTAACGAGGCTTCAACACAAAGCCCCGAGACTCTCAAGGGAGTCAATTGAGCCAAATTCCTCATCATTGCATTGAATAAACCGAATCCAAGCCAAATTCAACATCAAAAGACGTGCGTCACAGCTTGAGCACGGGCCACAATGCGGCCCTCAAAAGGCTCTGTTTGACCCACAACAGTCAACTTCCTTCAACTACGCGACACAGCGCACCTCATCATGGCGGATCCAACTTCTGAATATGTGACATTAGTCTCAGATGATGACTATGAGTTTGTCATTCCCCGCAGTGCAGCCTGTATCTCAGGTACTATTCGAAGCATGCTGGACCCCTCTCGTCCGAGTACGTGGATTTGTTGTCCAGTGCTGCACGGGCTTCACTAACTACTCGCAGGTAATTTCTCCGAGGGCCTTACTGGTCGCTGCAAGCTGGTCAACATGTCGTACGTTCTGATTCTCTATAACTGCGTTGAAGATACTAACGGACCTTTCTTCTTATAGTGGCCTCGTCCTCGAGAAGGTCTGTGAATACTTCTGCTATCATGAAAAGCACAAAGACCAGACCAACGTGCCAGACATGGACATTCCACCTGAGCTATGCTTAGAACTCTTGATGGCGGCCGATTACTTGGATACTTGATGGTTTATGATATTTTGCAAGTCGGTCTTCCAGCACCCAACTGAGGCTCGGTACCAATGGGTCAGATCCCCATCTTGACAATATTTAACGGCGCAACGATAGCGACATATGATTTAACGGTATCGCACGGAGTTTCGGTTGCTCACACAGGCTCGGTCATGGTGTAATGCCATGGCATGTTTTCTACGACACATGTATTCTACGACATAGAACTGATCCAACATGGTTATTCTCTTGCTTCTATTGTTCCATTATTTTGCATATTCTCGCACAAGAACTGAAACCCATCTGAGCATATGCAAACGGCTCATTTCCCTATGGCTGAATTTGTCTAAAGATGATGGAAGATCAACATCCAACGATCGCGCGCTTGTCTATTAACCACAGGCTCGGGCTTTGAATCAAAGGACACATTCAAATACATGTTGATATTGCATATTACTAGCGCTGGAGCATTGTAGTTGACTAGATTCAGTCTACGTGGTGATATAGTACATAGCTTGAACTTCAATTATAGGCAAAACCAAACATTTCTTTTTTTCAATATATTGGCTTTGTATACAACACATCTAAAAAAATTCAACATATTTACTCATGTAGCAATCCCTAAGAGAACGCTCATCCCTGAATCTTTGAGTCTCAACCCCGACCCCAACCCCAACCCCGGCCCGCGGGCCTGCATCCGCTTACTCAGCCACCGGAATTAGGTGGCCGCTATCGCGGAGCCCGCTGTTCCATCAAACCATCTCGAATTACGGGATGCAGTTCGCAGGAGCGTGGCTCACTGTGTTTTATAGTACTTTTGCGGTCTCGTTCAACCACTGATTATTGAATCCGCCTGTACCCACGATCTCTGGGCGTATCGGCGGTGTTCCGCTTTGATTGCCTCCCCCGGATCACCGATAAGGATCACCAACAAAGACATCATATCGGCCCGTCATGTCTGGCATCGTGGAGCCCTCTACAATAGCAAGCACAAGCGCATCTTTACTACAGCAACTAAATACCCCAACGCCATCCCCGGCAACATCGTCATTGTCCTCTTTACCGCTCCAACTCTTGACATCCCCCCTTCGTGCCTTTCAACACGCTGAAACATTTGCCCTTCGAACGGTTCCTCTTACCTTCGTTAGAATAACTGGAATCAACACGCTCTGGAAAGGAGTCGGCTCAACAGCCGGGACTGGCAGTGCAGCAGCAACCCATGCAACCGCGGATATGGCGGGAAGTGGGTTCGCCGATGTAGCGGGCCAGGATGGTAGTTACTATATTGCCGAGTTCTTGGCCGCTCTGAAGAAGCTAGGTGGATTCTTCGGGTACCTGACAAGTCTATGGTCATTTGCTTGTCTGGTGGAGGTAAGCTCGGGCTCCGAACATCTATACTGGCTACGCTAACAGGCCTAGGCGCTTATTCTAAACCGAATCACTATATATGCATCCACACGGCGACACCTCAGACTTGGATGGGAAAGGCGTGTGGCTCTTCGCTTGATTCCTGTTCTTCTATTTGCCTATCAGATCGTGAGCTTGCTTCGCGCCATCCGGTGTCAAACCGCACCATCCTTTTCTACAATGCGCTACGGCGCCCCCGAAAAGCAACTCGTCTTTGATTATTCTAGTGATGGAGGTGCGCTGTACTCTCTCAGCTCGACTCTGCTTGGATGGGAGTCCGAAGAGCAGTCTTGCAAAGCTGTGAAGATGGCGCGCGGAAGTAACTCCGAACTCCCATATGGATCATTTTCTCTTCTATGGCCGACATTCGTGATTCTTTGCTTGAGCCACTTTGTTGAAACGCTGTCGTGCGCATTGCAAGGTAGACCAGTGATGACAGAGACCGGCATGTCCATATTCGAACACTCGCTTGCCTTTGCGGAAGCTGAGTCGATGATAAGCAAATCCATCGGACTAGGCATGTTCGGTCTTCCCAAACAAAGCCCTCTTAGTGCCATGGCTGGCGAATCAGACGACAGTGCAACCTCCGTCCTTCAACTTCTCACCAGGTCCCAGGTCCTGGAACGTATGAACGTTACGCCAGAACTATTACTGATTGCATTGATCTCGTGTTGCAATAGCGCATCATCTCACATTTTAGACATTTTCGGCAAGCAAAGCAGATATCGACTTTTCAACACTGCTCTTTGGGGTGCCTGCTTCATGGCCGCCATGTCGTGGGGTTTAGAAGGGGGGCCACCTGTCAGCATCGAAACTGGTGTCCTCAAATTCCCGACTGTGTGTATTGTTGGATTCATCCCTCATATCCTGGTCCTCGCTGGAATACTCATCTGTTTCGTGATATACGGACTTGCACTTACTATTACCGCTTTCTCGCTCCCTTCGGAAGATGCCCAACCCGTTTCAATTTATGATCGTTTCATGCTGGCCCATGAAAACATGCAAGGCTCGAGCCAAATACGAAGCATCCGCATCAATAGACATGAAGACTTTTATACAACATTACTCCGGGTTGGATACGTCGCTCTAACAGCTGCAAGCGAAGCCGTGTTCTTGAATGAAGGAAAAGCAGTCATTGCGAGGCGGATGACATGGCTGGAGGAGGACCGGCTGGCTGAGATCGAGGCTCGGCGACAGAAGATTTCCTACGGACATTCGCAACACGAATCCAACACTCGACCTATTGAGGCCATGGGCTTCGCAAGCTTTGATATACCCGAGAAGGCTCAAACGTGGGAGACTGGCTACAACCGCGAACAGAAGATTGAAAAGAAAAAGAACGGGTCTCGTGCCGTTCGCTCTGAAGCCGAGCTAGGAGGAGTAGGCGCTGTGCGCGTTTCAATTAGATTGTGGCATGTGCTCTCATTCTTCCGCGCAATTTCCCTCCTGGTGCTCCGGTGGGTTGTATATGGACTCAGCAATGTCCTTGATCGATTGGGAATCAGTGCTCGGCCAATGTGGCTGAAACGCCTCATTGGCCACCGCCGACAGACGTCCGGTTCTGGCAAAGAGACCCAGAGGCAACCTTTGGATTTCTGGATTTTATCTGATACCGGCGAGCTTGAACTTCCCGAAAACGGCGAATTTGATGTTGAAATTGAGATGAGAAAGCGAGAGCGTGCCAATCGACCGGACTGGATGGGTGCAGATGAAACCCGGTTGGACGACAGGCTGTATGGCTGGTGGAAAATCGGTGGTGCATGGGGAAACCAAGACCACACTTCAGATTACCACCCACCATCGGATGACTTCGATACCACAAGTATGGTCTCCATGTCTACCAATGCCTCGGAGTCAGAATGGGAAAATTACCCATCATCATCCGATGGTCGTCGAACTCCCACTCAACGTGATCCGCACGCAGACAGGGCAAGCCCTCCACTTCAAGATTCATTAATAGACATGAGCACGCTCGCTCGCCTTCTTGATCCTCGGGACCGTGAGAGTAGAGAAGAAGCACAGATCCTAGCAGCGCATCTCAAAACAAACGAAGAGGGTCCTCAAATCATGACGCGCAGCCGCTACCAGAAGCAAGTCGAGAGGGAGAGATCCCGCATCATATTTTCGTCACGTCTACACCAGTTAAATGCCATGCAATCAGAATCTGAAGTGCGTACCAAGCCTACGGCCGAAGAAGAATCCGAGATCCTCGAAAAACTCATCCTTTCACGTCGCTCAGAGACTTCGTTCAATGCCAGTACCCACACTTGGGAATCAGGCGCATCGGGTCTCGGCCCTAATGGTCCGCCTTGTGTCGTCTGCCAGACAAGCCCACGTGCCATCATTACATGGCCCTGTCGCTGTCTGTGCATCTGCGAGGACTGTCGTGTTAGTCTTGCTATGAATAACTTCGGGAGTTGTGTGACCTGTAGGCAGGAGGTTGGGGGATTCGTGCGTCTGTGGGTTCCTTAAATGGTATCTTGCATTTGATTCTTTTCATTTTAATCTGTAGCTTTCCATTTTCTCTTTTGATCACATAGGTTCAAGGTATTATCGAGCAGGTTGTAACATATTGCATTTACATTTTGAACAATTACAAAATTCCCATCTTGAAAGAGCTACTGCTCTATAGATAGATGGAAGGAGTTGTCTCATAAAGTATTCGTAAAATCACACTAAGACGAACTCCAAAAGACAGTTGCAACGATATTCCTCCAAGTAGAATGTATACAAGAACCAAACAATCGCCCCATTCTACTTCTTACTAACCAGAGGTCTGTAACCAGCCTCCCACATCTGGACCTGAATCCACTCCCGAAGTTCCGAGTCATCGTCAGGGATCCCATCTTGCTGCGCAAGTCCTTCCTGCACCGCACACTTAATCACCGCGGCTGCGATGTCCACACTGATATCACGAACATCCTCAACATCAGGAAGTAGCGGCTTATCGGCGTCTTTCAGAGCTGGTGACCGTGCTTTGAGTGCCTCCACTGCTGCGACGAGCATCTTCTTAGACAAAAGCCGACACTGAGAAAGAACTGCTCCAAGCCCGATACCCGGGAAACAAGTTGAGTTATTACACTCCGCTGAAATGTCATTAGTAAACTGGCAAGGCAATGCCATTTGGGTGCTTCGCTTTCTTACCGACTTCGTATTCCTTGCCATTATATTTGACTGGTGGGAATGGACTACCTGTAGCCACGAGAGCGCGTCCTTCGGTCCATTTGTAGATATCATTGGGCTTCGCTTCGTGGAGTCGTGTTGGGTTGCTTAGGGGGAACACGATAGGTCTCTCTACGTGGCGTGCCATCTCACGGATGATATTTTCGGTGAACGCGCCTGGCTTTGTAGATGTTCCGATGAGAACGTGAGGCTGGGCCTTCTTGATAACAGACTCTAAGTCTCGCTCGTTGTCTGGCCAGTCCTTGTCGTCTCGTGCGAACGATCGTTGGCCATCTGTCAGTTTATCACCAAGAGATTTCACAAGAAGGCCAGGCTTGTCAATACACCTAGACAAATGGGTTACGTCAGTTGAAGATCACTCTAGTATTCAAACCTCCTGCCGCTACTTACCATATCTGCTTCGAAGCATCGTCCTTTGGCTTGCCCGTTTCAGTTGCAATAGTGTCCGTGATTTGGTCCGCAATACCAGTACCGGCGGTGCCCGAACCGAAGATAACCACACGCACATCTTCCAATTTAACACTGCTAATTTCAAGAGCAGCCAGCATAGCAGCGAGGGTGACACATCCTGTTCCTTGGATATCGTCATTGAAGCATGGGATCTGTGACTGATACCGGTCAAGGATTCTGCGTGCATTATTCAACCCAAAGTCCTCACTGGGATTGTTAGCTGTATTCAAATATCGAGAGCGGAGCCAACATACAAGTGGATATAAGCTTTGGGGAAACGCTTCCGAGCGGCTTGAATAAACTTGTCCACGAAATCGTCGTATCTCTCCCCTCTGGCACGGTGCTGCCGCAGACCCAAGTACAGCTGGTCATTGAGAAGCTCTTCATTCTATGGAGATCATTAGCAAATGTGGACTAAACTGTAGTCAGCCAAACATACATTTGTTCCGCAATCCAATACAACCGGAAGTTGTCGCGATGGATGAATCCCCGCACACAGTGTGGTGATGACCAGTTTGGCGACGGATATGAGAATGGCACCGACGCCCTGGTCCCCGATACCCAAGATCTATCGAATATGGCACCATTAGTACGGTTTAGTATAGTCACCGCTCAATTATAAACTCACCTCCTCTCCATCACTAACAACAATATAATCAACATCGTCTCCAGTCCCGAAAGCCGAAAGATGTTCCTCAATGCGATCTTGGTCATTGATGTTCAAGAAACAACCCTCGGGTTTTCTAAACAATCGCGAGTAATTCTGGATTGCGTCTCCTTCGGTAGGTGTGTAAATCACACTGAACATCTCCTTAAGATGAGTTTGGATAAGCTAATTAAGAGTTAGTAAGTGTATATGAAGTACATTCGATTCGTGTCTTCAGACCTTGTAGTAGAGCACTTCATTTTGCGCTTTCATGCTAGACAGGAAGGTGTTCTTTGCTAGATCATCCGGTCTGCTGCTGTATTGCTGGTAAGCACGTTCGACCTGTTCATCCAGTGTTTGTATATTCGGTGGAAGGAGACCGCGGAGTTTGAACGCTGATCGTTCCTCTTCTGTGAAAGCAGAGCCTTTGTTGAACTGTGATGATTGGAGAACAGATGATCCCTTGTCTGCGTGTTAGACTATGGTGTTGAGGGCTCATGGCAGTACATGCTTACCTCGTATGGACAGGTCAAAGGTCCAACCGCCGCGCGGGGCAGATGACTGAATTTTGAATCAGAGCCTGGCATAATTAGAGAGTAATCAGGAGTTTGATATGAACAGAAGATCAATGTTAGCAAAAGAAAATATCAAGATCCATGGATGGATAAAACTTACGATGCACAAAAAGAAAGTAAGCTCAAATGCTTGTCTTGCACCCCACACTGATGTCATCGAACCATGTTTCCCTCAACTCTATCCTGTTCTATAAATTTTTGATCAGGAACACAGCTGATATCATAGACTATCAACTACGAGAAATCAAATGTCCAAGTCATAAATATCCATTTTGCACGAAAAGTAAAACAAAGCGTGCATTGTTATTAAGCGTCTCAACTATACAGGGCGATACAGCACTGTCATCAGCTCAACCAACCATCCAAAAAAGATAGGCCGGTTCCAAGATCCGACAAGAGCTTCAAATTAGGTATAGATATATTTACAGAACGTAAGCGGCAGCAGCGGCGAAAGCAGCAACACCGGCAAGGTTACCCTTGACATTGGCGGCAGCGCCAGTGTAGACGGGCGAGGAGGCCGAGGAAGAGGCCGAGCCGGTCTTGGTAGCCGCATGGGTGGAGGTAGCAGCACCGCTGGAGTGGCCGGCAGTGTGGGAGCCAGCAGCGGAAGAGGACTCAGCAGCGGAAGAAGACGCAGCGGAAGAAGACTCGGCGGCGCTGGAGCTGCCAGTAGCGGATGCGGTGGCAGTGGGGGTGGCGCTGGTCTCAGCAGGAGCGGAGCTAGAAGAGCTGGACTCGCTAGCGCTGGCACTGGAGGCACTGGTAGTGGCGATCGGAGGCACCGAGATGGGGTGGCCGGCGGAGGAGCACTGGGCGACGACGGCGTTGGAGACGGCTAGAGAAAATGTCAGTTGGAGGGATTGGTTAGGAATGGACTTGAATTGACATACAGATCTGGTCGGAGACTCCGCATGCCTTCTGCACGCAGGGGGTGATGGTGCTGACCAGGGAGGTCTTCTGGCAGTGGCAGTTGAAGTCGAGCAGCTCGGAGCATCCGTCACCACCGAGGGCAGTCAGGAAGCATTGGAGCTAGAGGCAGTATTAGTGGTGGTCTTCTGATATCTGATCGGCAGCCCGATGAATCTTACCGAGCAAGTGGGGACATCAGGAAGCTGGGCCTGAGCCAGAGTGGCGGCAACGAGGGCAACAAGGGTGGCGGAGAACTTCATCTTGACAAGATAGACAGGACTGGATAATAAAAATATATTAATGTAGAAGGCGTGCCGGAAACGACAGTCAGGTAATCAGCGAGTGCGGTTGAGTTGTCGAAAAGAAGATCCAGACTTGGACGGGACATGCCCCTCTTATAAGCTTTGCCAGCGCCCTAACTCGATGGAAAGACCCCTGGCAGGGTAGTACCAAAGATTGACGGATGGGACCATCACATGTCTCCCATGCTTAATACAAAGTATCGACGAACAAGCAGGAATAAGGCCGCGGTTGACTCAGATCCGTAATTACCACCGACTGAGGACCCTGTCCACTCATTGCATAGCCAAGACTGATGGCTGACGCCAGGTCCTTTGGTTCCTGTAACCGATTGACAGTAACAGCGAAGAAGATTGGCCTCGAGGTCTTGGTGTCTAGTACGGCGTACGTATGCCCGCGTTGCCAAGTAAGGACTAGACCCGGACGAACTGGGAAGCCATCAAAGGCTGGACCAGTGGCAATGTCCGTTCGTGCTGCGGCCCCCTCTTGCAGCTAGTCATACGGCCGGATGAGAACTTTAGCTTTAATTTCCACTTTGTAAGAACCAGACCCTTAGTTCAAGGGAACGGTACTTCCCATGTCCAAATGGTGGCACATGCGGTTGTGCAGCGTCCCCACTGCACAATGCCCTTTGTAGGTCATGTTCAAGTCAGCGGTGTAGATCGAGGAATGCGGGATACGCAAGCCTGTACGGAGTACTCCGTTAAGAATCTGCGTTACAGAAGTATGACAGAACAATTGATCAAGTGTGGAAACGCAGTGGCAAAACAAAGCGTATTGAATACGTCCCCAGGAAAATCCGGGGAAGAAAGTTGGGACCCCCGGCAGGGCCCCGGCAGGGCCCGAAGAGAGCGTAGCATCGAACTATGCCTTTTTGGGTTGTGGCCCCCGAATCTGTCAGCAATTAATATAATTTACATGTTATGAATATTTCTACTTATAGTGCTTGGGGTAGTACACGGTCGCTATCCTTGGGTTCATTGAAAGGGTCAAAACTCAGGGGATAACTGTGTACATGTGTAAATTGAATGTGGAATGAGCCTATATACCCTGTGAGCCACGGAACTTGATCTACCGCCGATATATGGCTGGTGGAAGCAAATTGCTTTTACTCTTCACTCCGTAGATGTGCTACCAATATGTTTCTCAAGGAGCGCCCCGGGCGTATCCAAAGTTCTTGAGGCTTCAAGACCATTCGATTTAGTCCGGAATAACCATAGGCTAGCGAGATTACCAGATTATTAGCATCTTTCGAGTGACTTAAATCGATCTAGGTTAACCGTACCTGCATAATGTGGTGTTGACCTCTCCTGCTGTGCAACAATAATTCAATAGCGCAATCTTGAATGTATTGGCCACATTATTAATAAATATTGGTGAAAGGAAAGACATCCGGGGTAGGACAAGAGCGGGCTGCTCTACGGCCCAGCTAAGTGAGACATTTCAGCGGGGTTGGTCCAGTCAAATCAAAGATTGAACCAGAAGCTTCGTCTATGATATGGAGAGCAGGCGCTGCTGCCAAGCACGCTAATAATTGTTGCAGCGTGGGGTTAATCACAGAGATCAGGAAAGAGACGATCACATGGACAAAGATTCATTCTGGACCAAGGACTAGTCTCGCCACTCTGGATTTTGTTAGCGAGACATATTGTCCAGCCACTCAATATTGACTTCCAGGGTACGCCAGATAAAAGGCGCATCGGGGGAAACATCTGGATTTGGTTTAAACTTCGTTCCAAAGGTCAGAGCGATTAGTAGCAAATGACCGTTGAGGCGTGAGGCGCCAGACCCTGGTAAAAGCCTTCCGACGAGGCCCTGTGAATATTTATTATACTCATCACAGCGATAAGAATCATTTTACACATGCAGCAAATTTGGGGAACAAAAGGAGAAAAAGAATACAAAAAAAGCTATCAGGAATATCGCGGGGGCGGGTCCGGACAGAGCAGGGTCGCTTAGATCGGTCTGTACACACAGACCACGCGGAAACAGGGTGCGATAAAACCTTTTAGCAATATAAAAATACGATCGATTCGGTGAAACAGTTTCTGATTAGCTTTCACATGATAAGTGGTAATTGTGATCGGCACGAGGATCAGGGACTAGATTGTATCAGCCTGCCTACAACAATCTGTACGCTGGGTTGTTTTTTTTCGCTGAATCAATTGTTTCTTGAAGCCATTGATGTGTATGTTCAATTGGCCTGAAACATAAACAAACAGCCCGCCTCGGTTGAACACAAGGCATCGAGACATCCCTGGAGTTGAAGATGAAGAGTTCATCGTCACATGGTACTGTTCAGGTGTCGCTTGAGCCAACACTGTAATAATTTTGAAAAGGGAGAGCCCTAATAGATTGCCCATATCTAATAAGCATTCATACAACCCCAGCGCCATGCAGAATATTAACAATAAATCAAATCCTCAAGTCATCATGACAGCAGTTCGCCTATGTATGCTTCTTGCTTTGTATCCTTTCCCTTGAGAAGAACCGCAAGGACTTCGATTGGTGGGTTGAGCTTCAGCTGGTGTGCGCGGTGCCAGCGCTTGGCTCGAGAGATTCCAATGCAGGGCTGGGGAAAGGTTAGGGGGTATCATTGTTAAGCAAAAATGTGGAACTTACCCCATATTGACTTGAAAGATCAAAATGTCTTAGGATCTTCTCCTCTACATCCATTCCTTGTTGGTGTGCTATTTGCGAAGTCAGCCTCCGAGTCTTCCAGGTTGTCGTTCTCAGTCAGCTTGACTTACCCCGGGATGCGATGCGGATTTGTTCCTGATTCCTCCAGTATCGCCAGATATCCTGCTTGTTCAAATTCAGTGCCTGCTTGTCTTGCTCATTTTGCGGCGGCTGGACTTCGGCTGCGGGCTGCTGTCGGACTGCGAGCTCTGCGACATGTTGTTTTGAGGGTTCGGTGGTGACAGCTAGCTGTGGCTCCGGGGTGGTGGAGGTAGACTTGTTGGATATCGATGAGCGCGAGTCAAGGATCTTGGCCTTCGTAGAGGGTGCGGTGACTGGCTTTGTGACTCGGGCCTGGGATCCGAACGATAGCGTCGATTGCGCCCCGGTGGGGTTTCCTGCACGGCGACGGGGAGGCATTTTGTAGAGAGAAAAAGAGAGGATGTCTGTGTGCGAATGTAGTGGGTAAGTGATATTAAGCTCTGTGGAGATGGAGAGTAATATGGAGTGAGGTAAAGTAACTAGTCAATGTCTCAAAATCTGAAAACGTCATGGTTGCACTGGCAACCAGATTGGGGAATTTGACCATGGTTCGCCTCTAGAGTATATTCTATGGAGTTTAGTTGTATACATAGTCTGTCTATACATATATAGTCGAGATTCTGTTTAGACCGAATACTATGGTCTAATTTTGACTAGTCCTATTACTCACTATAAATCTCAATTATGTGATCTACAAATACAAGCGCCCATGTGTGATGACGATGATGACATTACGAATCGGACCTGAGACACACACATCTACAGATCGTACATGGTAGAGATTCTAGTAGAGAGATACTGACATAGAAACCAATACGCCAATTAGTTTGCCTACCTTACCATACATATACTTATCGACATAATAAATTTTCTCGAATCGAAGCTCAAATCAACAGGTTGGGGGCGCTCTCGGCTCACCCTTCCCCACTTGTTGCCAGAGCTCAGCTTCTTATTCACTTTCTACTCCATACATCATAACTACTCCCGACTCTCAATCTTCAATTTTCAATATCTCCCCCCCTAATCTCCGGCTTTAAGGGTTTCTATCCATCATTATCATACCATCAGATCCTTATGAACCGTGCGAAAGGGTCTCCCGTCTCCCGTCCACTCGCATATTCCCCACAACCCAACCTACCTCCGCATGCCCATGGTGCTACAGGCACAGGTGATTCGAGATGGCCGCCTTCGTGCGCGTTTCAGGCCCGGCAAATGGCAACTTTCTAATCGGGTACCCAGGAATCTCCGCGACTATGGTGAGCACACTTTGACACGGTCTTACGACAAGGCGGTGCAACCCCCTGGTCCCCCCCCCAAAGCCATTGATTAACACTTTCAAGCCACGTATCGAGGGTAAAGTCGAGATTCGCCCAGAAGTCGGTATTTCAGCGCCAGTCAACGTTTCGCTCGTCACGATCTCCCTGCTCCGCCGCGAAACAATTCACCCTTCGGCCGACTCCCTCACAAAGAAGCGCCTGGCGCCACCACGGAAAGAAATTACAGATATTGTCGGCAAAGAAATGCTTCTATTCCGATGTCCCGCCGGAAAGGAATATGAAGAGGTAATATCTATGGATTTGCCTTTCGTGCTATTTATTCCATTTGGTCGTGGGGGCCGCGATGCCTCGCGCCGTGTCCCCCCAGCCAGCGTACAGCTTCAAAGTCGCACCGCTGAGACATACTATGAAATGGTTGTTATGGTGCAACAAGGCCAGCAAGAACAGCACAAATATACCTTCCCCGTCCCCATTGCGCGCTACGACACCCTCTCCACTTTCGGCATGTACAATCGTCCCGAGTCCGCGGAGCGGGTATCAGATCATTTGGTCACACTCGCAATCTCACTACCACGGTGGTCCTATGGTCCCCTTGACCCTGTCAGCGTTTATGTCAAGTTATCACCAAACGAGAGTTGGATGGCCAAGGCGCGCAAAGTGACAATCAACAAAATCACAATTGGCATTGACGAAGAGATCATCTACAACCACGAGGGCGACGAGCCCCAGCGCAAAGTCAAAGTTTTAGCAAAGAAAACGGAGACTATTGGAGTGAAGCTGCCTCAATCCGGCTATTTGACAAACCTTGGATTAGTGTTTCCCGCCAAGGACCTGCGCGACGCAGAGGGGATCCTGCCCAGGAATAGGGCGGCTTTCCCCACATATGGTGTGAGCGGCTTCACTACCACAGCCAGTCTATATAAAATCGAGTACTATCTCACAGTTCGCGTACGTTTATCCCTGGATCTTGTTATATAGTATGCCTGAGACTCGAGACTCACAAGAACAGGCCCACTTAACCTCCGCAAGAGACATCACTATCCGACAACCAATCGTGGTATGTCCCCTTGACCATGCTGGCTGTAAAGAAGAAATGGAGGCCATTGAACAAGCCGCCCGCGATGCCGCCCACGTCAATCCAGACAACCCAATGTTGCCCCTCCCAGCAATAGTACGACCAAACGACCACAATGCTCTCAGCCACCTGGGTGTCGCCATTGTTGGCAACCAGAAGAGACCTCTCATCGACTGAAAGGCCGCATCCTGTCGCTTTTGGTCAAGAACGAGAAAGAAAAACTACCTAACCACACCCCACCTCAGTCCCGTCCTGATCTGCAACCGCTACTTTGTCTGTACAGACGAACCTATACGACAGGGACTGACGTGGCGGTTAATTTTGATGCTCGGCGAGCGGCACGGAGGCAAATCTCTACCGTGACCCCGCCTATCATGACATGCCTTTACGACTGCATAGATCCTGGAGTTTGTTGCATGGCATTGCATTTCTGGAAGCTAGCTATTTATTCGTCTGGTGGGGAAAATAGGTATAAGGAGGGTGTTGGGCGATTTATATTGAATTTCTGGCCACGGGGTATCAAGTCCTGTCCATTGGTCAGGCTAACCCCATTGCGTGTATGTGCGTGGCCTTGTTTCGTTCGGTTAGCCATCCTGTCAGCTTATCGACCCAACGGCACATCTGGGCTCTTGGAACACGACTTGTATCCACATTCATGTATGCATTTGTGAAATATGTGCCTTCGTGACTATATCCATGTCATTTGGGATTGAAGTATTATTGCTTCATCACCTGCCGCCTAATGAGATATATCGCTTTAATGCAAGCAGAAGTAAATGACAGGGGTATCAATTCTATACAATTGTCTAATTCTCATTTCCCGATTTCCAAAAATCCCATGGCGGCGCTGAGCATGTCTGCATCGACCACTTGGGCTTTGCCCCGTTTTTTGCTTTCATTCTCAATGTCCTGTAGACATTCCTTCAGTATTCCCAATATGGCCTGATACTGCATTGAGGAGGGTCCAAAGGTCTGCAGTGCATTCTCGAGGCTGTTTGAGATCTTGATATTGTTATTTTAGGATTTTTGGTGGATGTACTGGTGTGGGACGCACCTTGCGTAAGCTTTCGTTGTAGTCCACGATTTTCTGAGTGCTAGGATCCATTGAGGATACGTTGATCTCGATAACAATGGCTTGGTGGAATAGGAGGGGCTTTGACAATATATATCAGTGTGACCGCCCTCGTCACCGCCTCTATTATGAACTATACACCGTCCATACTGATCTACCTTTCTGATATATCTCCCAACAATGCCTCTGAGTTACCAATCTCCCCTAATTCCCACGTCCTCTCGATTTCACCAGAATCCTTATCACTTACTGGATTAGCAAACTCAATCAAAAATCTCACCATCCACCTATCCATACAAAAGCTAGTATCAACAGAGCGCCTACAAGCTCGATGGAATGCCTGCAAACGCTCCATACAAACATCAAGCGTAGGCCACAGCCTGCGAAGCCTCGTAAGAATACAGAAATTCCTCTCCAGCCTGCCCCTCGCCCGCGCAACACTCTCACCATCAACCCCGAACAGCAAAATATGGATCTGAACAGTCGATGCAATGACGAGAACATGCCCCACCATATTGTACAGCACGTCGCAGCCGGGCACCTCGTCGGATCTGTAGATAATCTCGCACAGCAGCACGGCGTGCTCTTTGCATTTATTTGCATAGAAGTGTGTGCGTGGCACGTAGCCACGGAGGTCTTCGTGCAGGAATCTGTAGAATAGCATCTGGCCGTAGTGGTAGTAGCCCAGGTAAAGGGTCACGAAGAGCTGGCCTAGGCCTTGGGAAGCGAATGATAGTAGGTTTTCGCGGGTGTCGTGCATGTGTGTTGGGAGGTGGGCGAGCCAGTTATCGAGTTTGGCGGAGAGTGCGGAGATGCTTGTCGCTATGTAGGCTGTTTCCAGGGTTGTTTCTGCGGCTTTGATGTTGAAGTCGTTAATTTCGCAGAGAATTCGGTTTAGGAGGACCATTTGGGCTAGGAGAGATGAAGCCCGATCTGTTTCCACTTCTATGGTGAAGCCTTGGGTGCGGCTCATGCTGAGGAATGTTGCTTCGTTCATTGGGAGGGGAATGTCGGGTTGGGGGATCATTAGGCGTGGGAGGCGGACACCTGTTGAAGACCACACATCTATCATGCAGAGAGTCCACCATACTTTGAGATATAAGCCTTTTGAGTTCCAATGGTTGGGTTGAGGATATCAACACGAACCTCTTGTATGTACTTCTTGTTCCACCCGATTTGCAGCATAGCAATTTGGGAGATTAAGAAGCTGGGCGATACGGCATGCAATTGAGTAGTAAATTGCTTCCGAAGCAGGCTTTCCATCTACCACACCAATAGCACCAAGAATCACACAGACCTGAATTGTTGTCAGAGAGACATCGTTCAGGTCTAGTAATCTTTCACATCTTATGGCATAGCCCTTTCCTCGTTCTCGAGGATCTATGTCGGCAAAAGAAGGGTGGTTTGAAAAGCTATCAAAGTCAGTCTGAAACTCCTTGGGTCTGATATGAGGGATCATACCGGGCCGATAATGCTAAGATCCCATATATTAAATGATCAGGTACTTGGCCTCGGCGCAAATCTTCCATCAGACTGGGCCGATGGAAAAGCGAATGAAATTTATCATGCACATATTCGAAATAGAGCCGTACTAGCTCTGTGCAAAGAGATTGATCTGGCAAAGTGGATTTCTCAGACTCCAACAGATGATCACTCCTGGAGACGAGAGTTGATTCTTCTGATATATATGACCTGGTTTTTGCTAGGGATGGATCTGTTCTAGAACATGACAAATCTCGAGCAGAGCAATATGTACAAGCGAGACCGGGTGCCGGAATGTTGCATTTTCGCCGACGTTCACTAGCATCGTATGAGCAAGGGCCACGGAGGTTGGGGATAAATCGCTTTACCGGCACACGGAGCACGCCTTTGCCAGTCTCATTCGGTCTTTGGTTTGCGGCAATTGAGCTATGATACGTCATTCGTCAAGGGTGTAGGAGGAGAAATCAAAGAATTAGCGGATAAAAGCAGTTTTAGAGGCGGAATTGAAAGGTACAAGCCAATAGGGAGCGTTCAAAGCCGCCCCGCGACACGGACATTTCCCGGTGTTTTCTCCGCAATTTGACTCCCCGCAATACTCCACGAAACACTTATATATGTAAATATCGCTCAATATGCCCTGCGATCGGCATCTTTGGAAGTTACTATCGTCAGGTATCCTTGGCATTTCCACTTTTTTTTGTTGGGTCGAGCTCAATTGATGCCGAATGCTGAAATCCTGAGTTCTTGTCCGATATCCACTCCCTGGATGTAACCTCTCCACACTTGGGGTGCAAGTATAAAGGTATGGTTTCCGATCCCGCACAGAATTTTTGGAATGTATTCTCTCGGAGCAAGAACGCACAGCTAAAATGGTTCGTTTCTCAAGGAACGCTGCGGTGGCTACCGGCCTCGTAGCTATACTTCCGGCTGTCATGGCGCAGAACTCAAACACAAAGCGTTAGTGCTTAACAAATATCAACAGATTCTCCTTCATGAATCTAACAATTCGTTTTATAGCAATCGTGGCAGATGGGACTTCGTTTGCCCTGAATGGCGAAAATGTATCATACCGCTTCCACGTGGACAACAGCACTGGTGATCTTCTGGGCGATCACTTTGGTGGCTCTGTCACAGGCGATATTCCTTTAGAGTCTGTGGGAGACGTCAATGGCTGGGTTGGTACTTCGGGCCGTGTGCGCCGTGAATTCCCAGACCAGGGACGCGGTGATTTCCGGATCCCTGCGATTCGTATTCGCCAGTCTGCAGGGTATACCGTGTCTGATCTGCAATACAAATCGCACAAGATAATTGCTGGAAAGCCTGCCGTTGCTGGTCTCCCCGCTACCACTGGCACGGAAGAAGATGTCAGCACCTTGGTCGTCAGTCTATACGACAAGTATAGCGATGTCGCAGCGGATCTTTCTTACTCGATCTTCCCCAAATACGATGCCATCGTGCGAAGCGTCAATGTCACAAACAATGGCAACGCAAATATCACCATCGATTCTCTGGCCAGTCTGAGCGTGGACTTGCCATATGAAGATCTGGAGATGATCAGCCTTCGTGGAGATTGGGCGAGAGAAGCCCATCGCGAGCGAAGAAAGGTCGAGTATGGAATCCAAAGCTTTGGCAGTTCGACCGGCTACTCGTCTCACCTTCACAACCCGTTCCTGGCATTAGTGGAGCCTTCGGCTACTGAGTCTCGAGGAGAGGCATGGGGATTTTCGCTTGTGTACACGGGATCTTTCTCGATAGATGTTGAGAAGGGCTCTCAGGGGTTCACTCGTGCTCTTCTAGGCTTTAATTCCGGTCAGCTTTCATGGAACTTAGCCCCTGGAGAGACTCTTGCGTCCCCGGAATGCGTTTCTGTCTATTCTAAGGATGGTATTGGTGGCATGTCGCGCTCATTACATCGTTTGTATCGCAAGCATCTTATCAGGAGCAAGTTTGCCACTAGTGATCGCCCTGCCCTGCTCAACAGCTGGGAGGGACTTGGCTCTACCTTCAACGAAAGCAGTATCTACAATCTCGCAAAGGAATCTGCCGAGGTAGGCGTCAAGCTCTTCGTTTTGGACGACGGTTGGTTCGGTGATGAGTACCCTCGCATTAATGACGAGGAGGGTCTGGGCGACTGGGTACCAAACCCAGATCGCTTCCCAAACGGCCTGGAGCCAATCGTGAAAAAGATCACAGATCTGAAAGCCGCAAACTCCTCGACAAATTTGCGCTTCGGTATCTGGGTGGAGCCAGAGATGGTCAACCCAAACTCGACCCTTTACCACGAGCACCCAGACTGGGCTTTGCACGCGGGACCGTACCCGCGAACCGAGAGACGCAACCAGCTCGTGCTGAACCTTGCCCTCACTGAGGTCCAAGATTTCATTATCAAGGCCGTCTCGGACATACTGAATAGCGCAGATATCAGCTACGTCAAGTGGGACAACAACAGAGGAATCCACGAAATGCCTTCCCCTTCCACGGCTCACGCTTACATGCTTGGCATGTACCGGGTTTTCGACGAGTTGACCACCAAGTTCCCCGATGTCCTGTGGGAAGGATGTGCCTCGGGCGGAGGCCGCTTCGACCCCGGTGTTCTACAGTATTTCCCTCAGATCTGGACCTCAGATGACACGGATGCCGTTGAGCGTATTTCCATTCAGCTCGGCACCTCCCTAGCTTACCCACCCAGTGCAATGGGTGCTCACCTGTCTGCCGTACCAAACCAGCAGACTGGCCGGACTGTCCCAGTTGCTTTCCGCGGCCACGTCGCGATGATGGGCGGGTCATTTGGCTTGGAACTCGACCCAGCTGAGATGCCCGCTGAGGATAAAGCTGCTCTTCCTGGGCTGATTGCTCTCGCGGAGAAGGTCAACCCCATTGTGCTGGATGGAGATTTGTGGAGATTGAACTTGCCCGAGGACTCGAACTGGCCTGCTGCTTTGTTCATCGCTGAAGATGGAGAGAAGGCTGTCCTGTTTGTCTTCCAGCTCGCGCCTAACATTGATCACTCTTGGCCTCGTATTAGGTTACAGGGTCTGGATGCGCAGGCTTCGTACAAGATTGATGGAAATGCAGTTTACACTGGTGCGACGTTGATGAATCTCGGACTGCAGTTCCCCTTCAAATCCGATTACGGAAGCCAAGTTGTGATGTTGGAGAAGCAACAATGAGGATGTGGTAGAGGTAGAATAGTTTCATAGTCAGCCAATGCAGCCTCCAGGGCTCCCCAAATAACATTCAAGTGGCAATAGATAGATAAAAGACAGTTGTTTTGCTATCTTGGATTTCAAGTTTTTTTCTTCTTTTTGCCTAGGCCTCGTTCAGTCATTCACAAAAACCTTGTTTCCAAACCCATATATAAAAGGGGAGAACGTCTTTCCTGGACTCCTTCATGATATCTTTACATTTTTCACTAAAGATAACATCTTTCGGAGGGTCCGAAAAGCTCTATACGTAGTATAAAGTTATGAAGAGGATACTAAGAACCTCGTCTTTATAAGGCTAAAGATTATTAGATAGGTATTTTATAGGTACCTAGGAATAAATTCAACTTCTAAGAAAGGAGAAGATCGAGATATATGTATAGTGGGAATGGCTTTGAACCTTTGAAAAGGTATTGTTTCTATATAGAATGTATAAAAAAAGAGGTGTAAACAGAGATTGAACATCAACTATTATTTGGAGATAGGAATTACTACAATACATGGTATAGAGCGGTCTAAAAAGCGATCTAGAACAGTGTATATCTAGGCCTCAACTCGAAGAACAATTGTTTTTGACCCTAGGTCGCTATACACCTTCGCAATTGAAGGGACTTTTGTTGAGGTAGTCAGAGGATGCGACTTATAGTTAAAGCGCAGTATATCTTTGGATGATGCCCGTCCAGCTCGCTCTACTTGAAAAAGTCATTGGTCAAATATTGCCCAACAAATTGTTTGAGATGTGAGTGAGCAATTTTCATTCGTAATAAGTCGGGTAGTAACAAAGTTCACCGTCCGAGAATATTGTTGATCTTATACAGAAGACAACATACGTCGCGGTCGGGAATGTGTCGTTGTTTCTGCCAAGGCGGTATCTTCCTGCCGGACATTTGGCTTATCGATAAGATCTTTTCTGACTCCGAGATAATCCCCTCGGAGAATCAGCCTTTTAATTTTGAATTGTCATTTGTATTTTCAGTATGGCAGACGCAGATGAGGAGGTTTTTAAAGCCCCCGGTGCCTCTACGCAGGCCGAGGTAGACCTGTCTGATGAGACCCAGGACTTTCGCTTCCTCAATAACTCGAATATGTACGTGGACTGATACGCCTCAGAAGCTTGGGCGGCTTTAAAAATGGATTGAGAACCTTTACTTACCATCACAATTTCCACAGCTATGCCGATGGAGCTAGCATTCCGCGTCGCGGAGAGAAAGACTTCGAACCCAACCCAACTCAGCACCAAACTGGCGTCCTCTCTGAATCGCGAAGAGCCATGCACAATGCGCTCTCATTCCCTCGCCTCCATGGCGGAAAGACCCATGTGATAGCTTTCTATGCTCCCGAGGGATACTCTCCCCTAGCCGATACTGCTGCACCAAAAACTGGAGAAGACAGCGAGAAGAGTCCCGATTTCACTGAAAAGCCTGCGAGGCCCACGCCGAAGTCTGCCAACATATCCCCCGATGCATGTGTCTGCGTACCTAACCCGAAAGGCCAACTTTTTAAATCGCTAGGCCAAGCTGATCGATGGAATCGTCTATGGCTGCTGCCGGAGGAAGCCCTCTATCTTATGGAGAGAGGTAGTCTGGATATTAGATGGCCTAGCTCATCCGGCTCCTCTGGAGTTTCAGGAGGGAAGGAAGATCTCTCCATACCCATGAGCTTGCAGGCCGCATATGCATCTTTCGTGGGGCATGGCGGTTTGACGCTTGAAAGGTACTCTGTTTACACCGGTCTCAAGCGATTGGGGTATTCGCTCGCCCGAGCTCCTGGGTGGAGCGATGAATTTGAACAGCAAGACTCAGACACTTCAAACCCCAGTAAACCCGCTGCGCCAGAGCTCCGTGGAGCCGGTTTGGCGGGTATTTTTGCGTCCCTCTTCAATTGGATCCATGATCCTCATGCAACTGCTTCCACGGCTACTGGACCCATCATTGGCACGGGAATTCGTCGTCACTACAGCGAGTCTACCAAACCCTTTTTAGTGCCGCGATATCTTTTCTTTTCTTCTAACCTTTCTTTCTAGTGGATGTATACAGCAAGCTCGCCATCATTCCCTGGTACGACCCAGTCACCGCGCCTGAATCACATACCTCCGACACAACACTACCATTCCGCGTCGTGCTCCATGTTTGGAAACCGTCGGTCAACTACAAAAAATCGTCACCCCCACCCCCAGATTTCCGCGTCGCGGTCCTCAGCACCCGCGATCAAACCACCATGCCGACTATGACGCAACTAGGTGCACTGCTTGAAAGTACACCACTTGACCCTCCTCGCGGAGAAAAGATGGAGCGCATGATGTACATGCGGTTGCGGCATGGATACCGCAACGTCGTCATGGCTGTCGTTGACCAGGGTGTTGTCAGCTACCTGCGGGTCGCTGATTCGGCATTCGGGAAGGAAAAGCTTTATAAGAATCAGGGCGGGCCGAGGGGACCCAAAACCAATCGTGGAAATCAGAAGTCAAGGAAACGTTGAACTAAAGTACAATAGTTATTAGCTACAATACCCAAAACACACGTGATATTAGCCATCGCCAATCGCTACTGCTCCAATATTCCCACTCGCATTATCAAAACCCTATAGAGCGTGAAAGAGAAAAAGACAGGGATCAATATTTTACGAATTCGCCTCCCATCTGACATATGATATATAAGATACCAAGTTTTATTGAATAAGTGTAGCCGCCGAATTTTCTTTCATATCTTTGCGAATAACATTCATTCAACCATGAAGCATAAAATGTCATGATATTCCTGAACGTCGATAAGTAGTACTCACTCCAAGTCGTGTGGAACGTAAAGCATGATCCATCCATGAAAGGGTCCATCCGTTCACAGCCTGTACATCTCACTCTTACTCCGGGCTCCATCAAAGACGCAAGTATTGTCAAGCGGACCATACTGCCGCGTAAGCACTTTCAGCGCTTCCTGCGCAACAAGCCCACCAGTCAACGAAGAGATATTATGCAACTCGCCACCCTCCGCACGACACAATTCCTTGACCGCACGCGCGACTTGCTCCCGCGCCGCCGGTTCAACAGCCGCCCCGTCAGCTCCAGTGAGGAGAGCGAGAATTCGTTCCGTGTGGCTGTGCCACAGTCCGGTGTCATTGACAGATCGTTGCTCCTCCATATCATTGGATTGGATTTCGTCCACAACCGAGTCAAGGATCTGGGTGGCGATGAAGATGGGAATCAGGGAGTCCTCTGTGTTGAGCTCGCTTCGGATCTTCTTCAGCGTGGAGGCGTCGCTGTCGATACTAATTTGGGGGATGTCGCGGCCTCGCACTACCTTGATGTGGGCAGCATTTTTGCAGAAGACTTCAATTTCCCGGTCCGGGATTGCTGGCGCTTGGCGTCCGATTTGGGACTCGAGTTTGCGTACTGTTGCTGTCACTTCTTCGATGTCCTGTCGTGCCTTGGCCTTGTAGATGTTCTGTAGTGCGACGTAGTCTGCTGACTGGGCTTTCATATCTGGTAGGGAACCCGGAAGAGGCAGAACCCCGTGGGATGCATGGAAAGTCTTGATGGCTGATGCAATTACCCAGAAATCTTGGGAGGTAGGCGTCAGCTGCTGGCATTCGTTCATGTTGAAAATTTCCCTGATGGGGCTGCGGAGTTCGAATGGCAAGATGGTCTTCACCACAGCAGCGACAGCTTCGTCGAAGTTCTCTTCGCCACCTTCGGGGTTGGAAGTCCGTGCCTTGGACCGCACGAACTCTCTAAACTCGGTCTTTTCTTTGTAATTCTTTGGAGTGTTTCCGTCATGAGACTGTTTCCACTGCTCTAGGAATTGGAGCAACAGAAGAATATAGGGGACATGACCATGTTCATGATCATTAAGAGTGTCTAAGTTATTCAATTTGGTGCTGGCAGCGACGAGCTCAGGCCAGGGATTCAAGAGACGCAGGTCTTGAGTTGATTCTGGATCTGGATGCGTCTCAACAATAGGAAATTCCGCGGGAAGCTGAACTGAAAATGTGGAGAAAAATCCCACTGAATGAAGGTACAGCACGGGGATACCCAGCTGCTTTGCTTGCCAGCACAGAGGCACTAGTGTTGATCGTCTGATTGGACCGGAGATGATGATAAGCTTATGCCGAGGCAAGAAGTCAGGATCAACAGTGAGATCTTCAATGCGCTGTTCCAGGTGTCAGTCAATTGTAGCTCACTTTGAGAGTCGGACAATCATACCTTTGAGTAATGATACCCCTGCACATCAGGATTTAATTCTTTCAGCAATCGGCAGGTTTCCTCGGCACGGGACTTGCCCAGAGATTCTTCTTCCAAGAAGAAGTTCACGCCTAGATCAGATTCAGTGACTGTTGCGGGATCAACGATAGTGAAACCGCCGATTCCAGGCAAGACAAGATTCTTGAGCGTTTCGACACCTGCAACGCCGGAGACACCGGTGTTGTATTGGCCAAGTGGGCCATCAGAGTTCACAAGTAAAACACGTGACTCCTCAAGTGCTTGTTGACCCGTTGCAGCCCAAAGACGGAGCTGACGATCATATTTGCGCTCCTTGGAGGTTGGCCCTGTGAGAACGGCGGGGAAAGCATCCGTCATGGTGGATATCAAGATAGTGCGGGAAGATGTTGAGCTTTTGGGTTAGAGCACACTCAAACTATTACAGTGTTGAGTTTATTTCGGGGATCTTTTGTTCTGTTTACTAATTGCTCATCATGTAAGTTCTCAAATGTTGGAGTAAAGTAACTGGTGAAAGTTGATCTGTTCAGGTGTTGATGCCTGCGTTAGTAAGCAATTTAGCCGCCAGACAACCATGGTTTGATGCCTCAACATCAAGGCAAATAACCCACCCTAGCCTGTTGATTGGTCAACGGTACGTAGGTACACTTCCCTCGATGTTGTAGTTTGGTTTGCCCTTGACCTTCACATCATGTATTTTTTGCTTAACGAAGATCATTCTTCTCAGGTAAGATTATTTCCAAGCATCCTTGCAAGGAGCAATGGGCTAGGCAAGCTCACAAGCATAGGAGCTCTTTCTAGGAGACACGCGCCTCAATGTAAAAAGTGTGAAGACATTGAATGCAATTCGTCCAACAGTACGGAGTATGCTGCCTTAAGCTCGACCAGCCTCCGCTCAGCTTTCCAAAAAAATATGTTAAGCAACAGAAATAGGATCGCTAAGACGAGTTTTTGAATGAGATATTTATAGGTCCAGGGAACCATCATTCCCCATTTTCTAGGTCAAGGATCTTTTAACGGGGTCCCAGATCTTATCCTTTCAGAGGTTGACGGGATTGACCGCCGCAAATTTGCTCAACTTCCCGGCTCTGATTCCAAGATGAAACTTTGCAAACTCAGATTGAGAAGGCTTTGAAGACTATACATGAGAACGGACACATGGCCGGTGACCTAAATTTGGGAAACCTATTGTTCTGTGAAAATGGAAAAATTACTATTATTGACTTGGGGTAACTCGAGCCTTCCGAAACAAATCAGCCTTGGGAACAGACCTTCAATCATACCGACGTGAAATCTGTGATGAGCAGAGTCAGAGATGTCCGAAATCCGAATCGTCCAAGGTCCCTTATGAAGAACTGGAGCCATGAACGGAGTGCCTGGGATTGGGTCGGCTCAGATTATCGTGTCGAAACGCCGAGTGGGCAGGAGACTGGAGATCGAGACGTCAAGAGTGACTTCGAGCTTGCCAAGGAGAATTCCCAGGATTTCTTCATATGCAGTTGCAAAATCGCGGCGAAGCCAAGAAACCGACCACTTTTGCGATTTGAATGGGATTCGTGCTTGCTTCGCTTCTCGTTTGCCTTCTTTAAGCGCGACAAGGGACCATAGTTTCAACCCTTTTTGGTCGAGGCTCTTTCAATGGGCTTCCGGCTGTTATCATCTCAACAAATTAACGGAATCACGCTACGGAGTCTTGTTACACCCTTTTGCTACATTCGCAGAGCCCACTTTGCAAGATCTAACATCGGAGATACAACTTGAAAAAGCTTTGAAGGCTGTCCTTGAATTCAAATTCGACTTTTGCAACTCATCTCTAAAAAAAGGTTTTGATCTGCAAAAAGAACCCTAATCCGGTATCTTGCACGACTCCTCATCTGTTCGGAGAAGTGTTTTTGCGTTATCCTCAGCTTCTCATTTGACGTTGGTTTGGGATTAGCGACTTGCGTGCATATTAGCGGACGAATGCTCGTCTGATGTCTATATCATCGTTCTCAGGCCTCTTTCCCCGCACCGAGGAGAGATTTAGAAATCCATGATTGAGAATTTTGGAACCAAGTACACTTAAACACGTTTTGGTGACAACGCAAAGTTAAAAGCACGCATTTGAATCCACTCTACATCAATCTCTCGTTGATTCAATATCACTCTAGAGCGTTATCTCACCCTTTCACTTCAAGTTCAGTCATGTTCGCGCCAGTGAGTTTGCAATTGATTCTTGGCCTAGGGGGATGTGTGGTTGCTGCGTTTTTTTGGAGATACTTTTGGGCAAGCAGACGGCCTATGAACTTTCCGCCTGGCCCAGCTGGTTTGCCGTTTATTGGAAACCTTCATCAACTACCACGGACTAAAGCGTTTCTCAAGTACCACAGCCTTGCAGCACCTAATTGGCAATTTTTCCATCTAACATTTGTCTAGATTCCATGAGTGGTCCCAAACATATGGTTCAATTGTTGGACTCAAACTGGGCCCCCAGAATGTCGTTGTTCTCAACAGCTGGAAGCATGTCAGGGAGTAAGTGATTCTCGACACGGAGAAAAGCCCTGTGACTGATAATCAAAAGGCTTTTTGATAAACGCGGAGCGATCTACGCGGGCCGTCCCGAAAACTATATCGCAAATGACTTGATTTGCCCAAATCAAACGCATATTCTTTTTGTCCAATACGGTCCAGGGTGGCGAATGCTTCGCAAAGCCGTGCAAGCTCTTTTGAACGTGAAATCCGTTGATGATATATGTCCAATCCAGAACGCAGAAGCGACACAAACAATGTGCCAACTTATCCAAGACCCTGAGGGATATTATGAGCATATCAGACGGTTTTCCACAGCTGTGATCCTGTCCTCTGTATTCGGACAGCGTGGAGCCGAATTCAACTCGCCCAATGTTCGTGCTCTTTACCATGTGCAGGACAAGTTCACTTCCATTCTCGCACCAGGAGCCACACCTCCTGTTGACGCATTCCCTTTTCTGCGATATATACCACAGTGCTTTGCGAGCTGGAAATTGAGAGCTAAGACCATTCGGGCTGAGCAGCGCTCTCTGTACTTTGCTCTTATGGAAGAAACTAGATCTAAAATTGCCAAGGGAACTGCGAACGGCTGCTTTATGGAGCGACTCTTTCAGGAACAGTCAAAAAGTGGATTGGATGATGAGCATATTGCTTATCTCGGTGGAAGCCTGGTGAGTATTGATATGAACATGCTTCACCCTATTTGGCTCTTTCAAATACTCATTTACAATAGATGGAAGCGGGATCTGATACAACCTCCTCGATTTTACTGTCATATTTGTATGGTATGATCAGCAATCCTGCGGCATTTGAAAAGGCCCAGAGAGAACTAGACATTGTTTGCGGCACTGCGCGCTCGCCGGTATTCAAGGATCTGGAAAATCTGCCATATTTGAGAGCCTGCATGACTGAGGTAAGCCAACACCACATACAATCCCCGATCAGGATTTTCCAATTAATCGTCTGCCGCAGACGTTGAGGTGGCGGCCTGTTGTACCTGAAGGCATACCCCATCTGCTCAGTCAGGATGATATTTATGAGGGCTACCAATTCCCGAAAGGAACGATTTTTTTTGCAAACACATGGTCCATCCACCGGGAGGAGAAAGAGTACAGTGCAGGGGATGAGTTTTCCCCGGAGCGCTTTTTAGAGAATAAGTTTGGCTCACAGGGAAAGGAAGAGGAAAACAATAACCGTAGAGACACGTATGCCTTTGGTGCTGGTCGTCGGATGTGTGCCGGTCAGCGGATGGCAGAGAACTCTTTGGTATGCTTGAAACCCTAGCATGACTACATAAACTTGACTAATTTTGGCATTAGATGCTCAATATGGCAAAACTTACTTGGGGCTTTGACATATCTGCGAAAGGCCGTGAGATTGATTTTGATTGGAATGTAGAAACGGCATACACCGACGGTCTCGCCTTTTCTCCCAAAAGGTATCCGGTCAATATTACTCCACGAAGCGAAAAGCACAGAGAGATCTTTGAGGCTGATTTCGAATCCGAACGGGACGTTTTTGCGAGATTCGAAAATTGACAACAGGAAATGAATGTAACCTCTACTGGTATGAGTAAAAGAGACTTTTCAATGGCTGGGAAGAGACGCCAAAAATGCGAGAAAAAATAAGATTGGAATATGGACCCTAAAAATACGTGTTGAATTTCATCGTCTATGTATTGGCTTGGTTGGTTGTGGGATTATTTTCACAGTATGACAATATTATCGGTCTCCCTGAGGGGGCCGGATTTCTTTTCTCAAGAGATAAATATGTCTATATTACCACTCATTGTCAGTACCAGACTTAATATACTCCGGCGATATATTACAGAAGCAAGCCGCTTATCTGAAACAAGAAGAAGATGGCTTTGAAGAGTGATGACGAAACATGACAGTGTTGGGTCTATGTTGTACACTTCAGATTGGCATGGTCTGAACAAATCTACCCATTATGTGGCATCATTCTAATTTCTAGGGCGCGAACAACTGTGGAAAACAAAAACTCCTCCTTCGTCACCAAATTTCTTCATCGCCAAGCCAAAAATGTGTTTTATGAGTTGTGCTTCTTAAGGATACTAATCGAATATTGACGCCGAAGCTGACGCGACTCACACTTGAGCCCGCACAAACTAATTGATCTTTCTCTGTGCTTTTCGTAGGGCTAGTACGGAGTACAATGGATAGGAACTGGAATCAATTCACCCTGTCCAGTTCATATGGGGATTTATAATGGTGTAACTAGTAGATCTGCCGCAAAAACAAAACATGCCAAAACGTGCGATACATCCTCAATATATGGTCGAAACGGGATCGACAGGGATATCGACACATCGTTGCAATCTTTGGCGACAAATAATGAGGCACTCTGCATCTCAAAATCAAAGCTAAAACGGGTATCATAGCCTCGGTCCGTCATCAAAAGTTATTTATGTCCTTCATTTCCCCAGTTCTTTCGCATTGTATCAAATTCTCCCTATCATTCAAACAGATTCTTCCTTTTGTCAAAATCTAAACTCGGTCACTTTAAATCCCAACCGCGTTGACGCTCTCGCCCTTGCCGCCCTCGCACATTCCCAAACTCGGGCTGACGTTCCCTCCTGCGCACTTCCCTGTCTAGACGATGCGGTTAAGCAGAGGACCAGCTGTGCTACTGATGACTACGCCTTTATTTGCAAGGATCAGAGCGCGGTCAAATCAGCTGCCACTAGCTGTGTCTTGTCTAAGTGTGGTGCTAGCACCGCCCTGAGTATGATTGCATCGATAAACACATAATAATATTGCACAGGCTGATCATCGATATAGACGAAGTTTTGCCCGCCGTCAAGAAGATCTGTAACGCCCAATAGAAAGATTGAATTGGTCTTCCTGCAGCAATTCTGGGAAGAAATATGGATTTCTGACCGCTGTGCCAGCCCAAGGGGGCCCAGAAGATCTGAGTGGCTGACCTTTGCCCTACGAAGAATCTTGCGGAGAATTGCACCATTGATTTCAGTAAATCGAGGATTGATGAACGAGTCAAGGATCTGACTGGCCTTCTTGCATTCGCCTATGAGGTTGTCAACATTACTCTTGGCGTTGAATGAAGCATAGTGGAGAAACACTTACTAGCCAGTGAGGCTAGGAATGGGTTGTATATCGACTTTCCACGACCGATCTTTTCTTTCAACCTAATACGATGGATGCTCCAGCTCAGATGCAATTGAAGAAAGAATCTCTTTTGTGTTCAGTCAATAGATTTGATATTCGCTAACACATTGAGCGGTTTATGGCCCCCATTGCACCGCCGCTTTGCCGCAGCAAGGCTACCTATGGCTACAAAAAATGATTGACATAAAATTATGCTGCTGCTGCTGCTACTACTACGACATCTACGGAGTACAGAATAGAATCTAGGTATTCAAAAATCTAATATGGCTGATTACCAAGGGTATGATAGTAGGAAATTACTTATATAGTCAGTATTAAAATAAGGGCTTAGAGAGATTGGAAGGGTGATATTCGACAGTCTAGAGTTTCCATGGGAAATTGTCACAATAAACTTGTCAAACTGAACTTATCTACTCCATAGTTGTGAATATAATGCGCTTATTATTGCTATAGTGGGATGATATACTTAAGTAGAGACAATTGCCGCTCGGCCCAAGGGGCAAACCCCACTAGTGACGTTAGTGAAGAATGTTGGAGATTCTGTTTTTGATTCCAATCATTACAATATTATACCAATGTTTTAATATCAACTCCAATCGCTTAGAAACATCCAAAGTACAAGTATAAGAACGGGGATGGTCCAACCCGCCCGCCTCCCCCTCTTTTCTTCCGTAGAATCCCCACACTTTTTCACACCCTCCGTCCCCAAAGACTCCATTCCACCATGGCCGACCTCATTGAAGAAGCCAAGCGCGCTGCCGCAAAGGTAGCTGTTGAGACGCACTACCCCAAGGATGCCCGCTGGGTCGGTATCGGCAGTGGCACGACAGTCGTCTACGTCGTTGAGGCCATCAACGCCCTCGGGGTGGACACCTCCGCCACGAAATACGTTCCCACCGGTTACCAGTCCAAGCAGTTGATTGTCAATGCTGGATTGACTGCTGTTGAGTTCGACGGTGTTCCCCCGGGCACTGTCCTGGACGTTGCGTTCGACGGTGCGGATGAGGTCGACGAGGATCTGAACTGCATCAAGGGCGGCGGTGCCTGTTTGTTCCAGGAGAAGATCGTCGCTATGCAGGCCAAGCAGTTCATCTGCGTTGCCGGTGAGTTTATCGCGTTGTATGCTGGATTTTTATTTCGCAGAATTATCATCACAAAGCTGGCCATTCGGAATAAATTTAAGACGTCTTTCTCTTGCACACTAGAAACTGACTCATACAACAATTAGACCACCGCAAACTCCAACCGCGCCTCCTCTCAAACTGGAAGACTATCCCTATTGAAGTCGCACCCATCGCCGCCCACCGTGTCATCCTCAAGCTGAAGGAACTCGGTAGCGAAAACCCCACAATCCGAGCCTCTGGAAGTGCAAAGGAAGGTCCCCTCAAGACCGATCAGGGTTTCTTCATTATCGACGCTCCTTTCCCTCCTTTGCTGATCAAATCCGATATCGCGGCTGGCAAGGAGGGCAATGGCAAGGACAATGTGTGGGCGGTTGAGGTGCTGGCTCGCAAGATCAGGGATATCGCTGGTGTCCTTGAAGTCGGTATCTTCAGTGGACTGACCGGACCCCAGGCCACTGCTGCCGGCGGTATTGGTGGCGAGAGGCCTGTTGCGGCTTACTTCGGAATGGCTGATGGATCGGTCTCTGTTCGCAAGGCTGAGTAGATGTTGAACCAAAATATTGGAGACATAGGGGCGACACGAGACTACGTAAATAAACTAGATGATACCAAGATTTGTCTTTTGTCTAGCCTTGGCAGGGACGTCAAAATTGGAAATGAACTGGTGGGTGTTTGCGGTTACTATGGAATCGTTTTAGATTGAATTTGCTGTGGTATCAAGACGCTTCGTTCCGAGCAGAGAAAAGAGAAGAACATTTTTTTTGTTCCGGGCTTATTTGGCACCCTTGCCCTTGGCCTCTGTCTCGCCCAATTCCCGCACATAAATCTTCACCGAGCCCTCAGGCACGTCGTCGTGCCCATCTTCGAATCCGGGGCTGACTGCAATGGCCAGGTACTGGCCGCTACCGCTGAACGCAACAGCTGACACGCTGGTCTGATATCTCTGGTATTGGCGGATACGGCGCTTTGAGATTCCATCCCAGAGAGCAACAACGCCGTCACCACCACCGGAAGCAAATGTACCGAACACAGGGTGGAAGGCCAACGCATTGACTGGGTAGACTACATCGACGCCATCTTCGCCAGTCTGGCGATGGCACTTGAAAGCGTACTTGCGGGCCTGCGATTCGGGCGACGGATCGAACCATTCAACCGCGACTCTGCCTTCGATACTGGATGAGGCGTACCCATTGTCGTCTGGCATACATGCAACGGCCCGGGTCATAAACTTCAAACTGCTTTCACGACGCTGCCAAGGCTCAACTTCCACACGATTGCCACCGGGGTCGGTGCTGTCTGATTGTGCGGTTAGTAGAGCCAGTGCCTTGAGGTCGTAGATGTGCAGTGAGCGCGACGCCATGGCGACGACTAGCTTGGTGGCGGTAGCTGAGATCGAGAATGGCTTCGACGGGAGGGGAACGACAATTGGCAAGGAATCCACGTCTCCGCCGAGGTGGACGTGGAGTGTCGAGTCCCATGAAGCGGAGATGATGAGGTTGTGCTCGCGGCTGTAGATGACATTGCACGCGGCTTGTTCGTGGCTGCTGAGCACGGTTTGCACAGTGGTATTGAGGTCAATCCTTATAAAGTCAATTTCATATACAAATTGCGAGCGTAGTGCAACTACTGATCACGCTCAATGGAAAGCGACTCACTTCCTCACGTCCCAGTCCAACCCAACTGTGTAGATCTCGTTTTCGTTCTCCCCGAAGCAGACATCCAAGACGGGTGCCCGATGCTCGAACTTCTGTAGTAGTTTTCCTTCTCCAACAGCACCATTCTCGTCGCGCAGGTCGTACAAGTAGACGCTTTTGTCCCATGACGAAACGACGATTCGGGTAGAGTTGGGGTCTGGGGAGAACTTCAGGGCGGAGATAGCATCTGTAGGCGGCGAGGCCACTGTAAATTGGTCTGCATTATAAGGTAAGTGATCACTCAAATCAAGTGGAAAGTAAGAGGAAGGTATAACTTACGGGAAGCCATGTTGAGAGAGCTGCGGAATTGAAGAAGATCAACGCGGAGGCTCCTTCGATATCGTCCTTTTCTGCCGCGGCACACCGTCATTTTAATTCCCCGCGCATCGATAAGAAAAAAAGACCAAAAGCCTGACATCACATCACTTTTCAGCACAAACAAAAATCGTGCCTTTTACGACTTAGCTGACATGCCTTTCGCCCAGCTGGTCATCGGCCCCCCGGGTGCTGGAAAATCAACATATTGCAATGGCATGCACCAGTTCCTTGGTGCAATTGGCAGACAATGCTCTATCGTCAATCTGGACCCCGCCAATGACAACATGTCATATCCATGTGCGCTGGACGTGCGTGATCTGGTGAAATTGGAGGAAATCATGGAAGAGGATAAACTGGGCCCGAATGGAGGTGTTTTGTATGCTCTCGAGGAGCTAGAGCATAACTTCGACTGGCTGGAAAATGGACTAAAAGAGCTTGGGGGTATGTCTATTTCATCCTAACATAAGATGCTATGACTGACTCTGTGTGCTTTTAGAGAATTATATTCTATTTGACTGCCCTGGTCAAGTGGAGCTCTTCACACATCATTCATCATTACGGAACATCTTCTTTAAGATCCAGAAAATGGGTATACGGGTTAGTAACATGGCCGGAAAAGATAAAACACCAGAACAAGAGCTAACCACCTTTATTGTGCAACAGTTGGTTGTCGTTCACCTTGTTGACTCATATACCCTTACCCTCCCATCAATGTACATATCCGCCCTCCTCCTCTCTCTCCGCGCAATGCTCCAACTCGACCTCCCACACCTGAACGTCCTAACGAAAATTGACAATCTGGCCAACTATGCCCCACTCCCTTTCAACCTAGACTACTACACAGAAGTACAAGATCTGTCATATCTGCTACCGGAGCTGGAAAATGAGTCATCGCGCCTATCACACGAGAAGTTTGGTCCCCTCAATAAAACCATCATTGATCTGGTCGAGGAGTTTGGACTGGTTGGGTTCGAGACGCTGGCCGTCGAGGACAAGAAAAGCATGATGAGTCTCCTGCGCGCGATTGACCGCGCATCCGGGTATGCCTTTGGTCCCGCCGAGGGCGCCAATGATACTGTCTGGCAGGTGGCTGTCCGGGAGGGCATGGGCACGACTGATGTTCGGGATGTACAGGAGCGCTGGTTGGATGCCAAGGATGAGTACGACAGGCAGGAGGAGAAAGATCTCGAAGAGGAGGTCCGCATAAGAAATGCGGCAAGCCAAGTCGAGACGACGGGTGCAGCTGGCAGTGATGATGACATGGAAGATGACGATGGACACGCCTACGACGAGGAACTAGAAAATTGGAAGCAAAACATGCCCGACAGCGGCGTGCGAGTCCAACGCAAGGCATAATTAATTGAAACGTCCTGTCCCACATACAAATACTGTACGATAGCATAAAACCAGCACCGAAAATGGGGTATCTCATAAAAATACAAACAGTCGCATCTAATCAATAATCCAATCTACTCATCCATATTCTCATCCTCACTTTCATCCATAACAGACTCAACAACAGCAGGCCCCTTCCCTCCGCAATCCCCCCAACCAAATCCCCAAGAACGCCCCTCTCCTCCGCATCCTTAACACGAACAATCTCCCTCTTCGCCCGCCGGATCGCCTCCTCCTCCGCCTTACGCATCGTCCCCGACACGCGAATCACGCGGAACACGCACCCACGCTCGCGGCCCGTTCCTGTGCCCGTGCGCTTCTGTGGGTTGGCAGATGGCTCCGGCACGCCGGACATATATGTAAGGGCCGACCAGACGAGGCGGAAAGCGGCGCGCGGACACCGCACTATCGCTGTTGATGTTGCCGGGGAGAGGTATTTTACTAGTGCGTTGTTAGAGATGGGGTTTTTGGAAAGGGATGTTTCGCCTTTACATACTTTGGATACCGCCTGCTGAGGCGCCGCCTAGTTTGCCGATTCCCCAATCGCCGTATAGCTCACTTACTGACTCGCGGATCATTTTCGCGAGGAAGCCGGCTGTGAGGGTGTCGGAGGTTGGAGAGTGGATTGCTAGTGAGGGGTTGTGCTGTGCAGACTTTGAGATTGCAGGCCAGGTTGAGGGGTCCGGGTATAGGATGTCCATGAGGAGGTAGCGGTTCTTCAGGCGGACCATGGTGAGGGTGGGTTGAGTTTAGGTGATGGTGATGTGTGGTTGCAGCTCGGGGAGAAATGATCTTGGTGTGTGAAGTTTGTTTGCAGGTGGCAACGAAGATATAGGTCCAGCCTTGCTTGGTTTGTGTAAGTATCCGAAGTCTAGAAGTATGGAAGGCGCAAGTTGTGCGCTCCGCGGCCAAGGTTGGCGGAAAAGATTGCGACTGATAAGCGATAAGGATATTTCCTAATCAGTCCCACCAGGAAAGATCTTGAAACACTTATACATAGTTGTACCTACATGTTCTAGTAATTATTAACTATCAGACAACAGCCATTAGTGACTGAGAGCAACGCTCAGGTATACAGTATAATTTAATGTACTCTTGAAAAGCATGTATCATGCGGTAATGGCACGTTCATTATTCCCCAAAGAGGTCTAGTCATCTACTGTAAAACGAATTAAATCAGATCCGTAGCCGGGTTGCACTCTTTTTGCGTGTCAACCCGTCAACTTGGTCATGCCACATGGACGCAGTACATCGATACACATAACTGCTCAGAAAACATAAGAAAAGAAAAACCAAGGGATGAACCATCCGAACTCCACCGCCCTGAACGGACGGACTATATGCCAGCGGACGGCGCTGCAAAACTTCACAAACAAAATCACAGGTTGACCTCGACACGGCCCTCGGCACCGCCCTTCTGCAGGGTGGGGAGGAGGTAGGTGATGTCGTCCCAGGGGTGGCGGTAGAGACCGGTGCGCAGGCGCTTCTGGTCGAGGTAGTGGGCAATGAGACCGATGGAGCGACCCAGGACGAAGAGACCGTTGAGCACACCCATGCGCATGTAATCTTCAGTCTCCTCGGGAGTGAAGGCACCGCAGTTGCGGAGGAGATCAACGAAGCAGACGGCGACACAGCCGTCGACGTTGAGAATCAGGTTGTCCTTCTTGGAGGTGGTGACGGTCTCAACGGCAATGGCGTAGTCGAGCAGCTTGGTGCTGGGGAAGTGCTTCTTGACGAACTCCTTGACAAGCTCGACACGGAGATCGGGGTTCTGGCGGGACTTGACCTTGTGTCCGATACCGGGGATGAGCTTGTTCTCCTTGCGCATGATGTCCACGAAGTCACGGGGGCTCAAGCCCTTGTCGAAGGCCTTGGTGAACTCCTCAGCAGCACCATCCAGGGCACCACCGAAGCGGGAACCGATGGTAAGGAGACCGGAAACGAGGGCACTGATAAGGTCCTTGCCGGCACGGGTAGTGATGATAGTGTTCATGGCACCGGACACGGCAGGACCGTGATCGGCAGTCAGCATGAGAACCATCTCGAGGAACTTGCTGGCGTATGTAGGGAGGCGGCGGCGGAACCACAGGAGAGACATGACACCACCAATGCCGATATCCTCACGGAAGACATCGGAGATGGGCATACCGGCGTAGAGCAGCTCCTGGCCACGGTCGTCGGAGATGGTGGAGATGAAGGCAGCGGGCTTACGGACGAGACCGAGCTCCTGGGCCCAGGAGTAGTCAATAGGGATCTTGGGCACAACGGGTTCGGGGGCGGGGACGATGGTGCCCTTCTTGAGCTCGGCGTCGTAGACAGCCTTGAGGGTCTGGGGAAGGTCCTCGAAAGTCTCGGGGACGTAGATGCCAGCCTCACGCATGGCCTTGTTCTTGGCGACGGCAGTCTCGAGCTCAGAGTTGGCGGAGGCACCGGCGTGACCGAACTGAACCTCGGTCTGGAACATGCTGGCGCAGGTTCCGATAGCCCAGGCAACAATGGGCTTGGTGATGGTGCCATTCTTGATGGCCTCAATTACACGGTACTCCTCAACACCACCGACCTCACCGAGCAGGACGAGGATCTTGCACTCGGGCTCAGCCTGGTAACGGAGCAAGTGGTCGATGAAGGTGGTACCGGGGTAACGGTCACCACCGATGGCAACACCCTCGTAGACACCGTCGGTGTTCTGGGAGATAATGTTGTTCAATTCGTTGGACATACCACCGGACTTGGAGACGTAACCGACGGAACCTTTGCGGTAAAGCTTGGAGGCGACGATGTTATCCATCATACCACCGGTGTTACCAATCTTGTAGGAACCGGGCTTAATACCACCAACGGTGGCGGGGCCAATAATGGTGATACCCTTCTCCTTGGCGGTGACCATGATCTCACGGGCACGACGCTCAGGCACACCCTCGGCAATGATGGCAATGGAGCGGATCTGGGGGTTCTCCATCAGCTCCATGGTGGAGGAGTAGACGGAACGGGAAGAGGCAAAGTTGACAACGGTGTCAACGTCGGGGTGCTTGGCCATGGCCTTCGCAACGTCCTGGTAGACGGGGAGCAAAGTCTCGCTGGTACCCCAGTACATCTTGCTGACGAACTGGCCACCGAAGGTGTAAATGATACCTGCAACGGAGGGAGTTGTGCGTTTGCAGATGAAGTCAAAGTCGAGCATGCCCTGCACGGCTCGGGGTTGCATGCCGCTGTTTCTCGTTAGTTCAATTGTTCCAGGCTAAGAGATTCGAGGCCAAGACTTACTATACGAAGCATCGTGTCTTGTTGTGGAAGAGGCTGTGTTGGGAGGGAGAGAGGGCACGGCTAGGAGGAGCAAAACGGGTGATGTTGTCGTTGGCAGACTGCTGGCCGTTGCCGGCGGGAATAGTAGAGGGCATGATGAATCTAGATGGCAATTAGTATATATGGTTTTCGAGGTGATAATGATTGTAAAGTAAGCCACTGGAATGTGGCGGGAACAATGAAGAAGAGGATATAGTATACGAGAGTAAAGAAAGACTTACTTTTATGCGTTAAACAAGCCGCTCAATGCGAAATAATTGAAGAGAAGAAAAGGAGAAAGGGGAGATGAGATAGAGAAGAAGCTGTTGAGAAAAATCCGCGGGGTGAGTATTTCGGAGTACTCGCAGATACACCGTACAGCTCCTACCAGACCGCTCTCCACTTTTTCAATACACAGCTCAACACTTGGCATTCCCCAAAGTACCGGGTACCGACGATACTGTGCGACCCACCGATCTTACAAAGTACTCGTACGGAGTACTTGGAGGGGTACAAATATTTTATGTTGTTTGCAATTGCCAATGAGTGTTATTGTTTTGATTATAGGTGTATCTATACATGTGAATATTCTTTTGATTATTTTTCTGATTATATTTCGAGTAAAAGATCTTCCTAAATGTAAGCAATACTGTGACTTACAGTGTAAACTGTATAACGGCGGTCTATCAGACCCAACAAAAATTGAACAAATATACTCCGTAGCGGTATCGGTAAGGCAAAGTACTTAATTTAGCTAGAGAACTAAGGCGCCACAGGAGTACCCGGAGTGGACTGACTCCGTTTCCCAACGAAGACCAAATAGAACCCCACCATCTTCTGTTCTGGTCTGTTCTCAACATAGTGGGACCTGCCGAGTTGTACGCTGTAATATCCAGCACAACTTTTTTTGGTATTGTACGCTGTACACTCCAGTATTCCCCCCCCGACTTTTCACCTTTCTCTTTAGCATCTTCAATTCCTTCCTCTTTTCATCTCTCCTTTACAAAAAAAAACCAATCACACATCATGTCCGCCAAAGCTATTCTCGAGGCCGACGGTAAGGCCATCATCAACTACCACCTCACTCGCGCCCCAGTGATCAAGCCCAGCCCTCTCCCCGCCTCTACAACACACAACCCTCCTCCTCGCCTCGCCTCCCTCTACTTCCCCGATGACAAGGCTGTCAAGGATGTCCTCGACCAGGCTGAGGTCTCTTACCCTTGGCTCCTCGTCCCCGGCTCCAAGTTTGTCGCCAAGCCCGATCAATTGATCAAGCGCCGCGGTAAGAGCGGTTTGCTCGCTCTCAACAAGACTTGGGCTGAGGCCCGCGAGTGGATTGAGGCTCGCGCCACCAAGAATGTTCAGGTCGAGACTGTCACAGGAGTCCTCCGCACTTTCCTAGTGGAACCTTTCGTTCCCCACGATGCTTCTACTGAGGCTTATATTTGCATTAATTCCGTTCGCGAGGTAAGCTTTCCCCTAATATATATGGAGACGTCAAAAGACGGAACCAGGGGCCAGAATTGGAGCCGGCAAAGAACAAAAGCTAATGGTACAATTTTAGGGTGACTGGATTCTCTTCTACCACGAGGGTGGTGTTGATGTCGGTGATGTCGATGCCAAGGCTGAGAAGCTGTTGATTCCCGTCAACCTCAAGCAGTACCCCTCCAACGAGGAGATCGCCGCTGGCCTGCTGAGCAAGGTCCCCAAGGGTGTTCACAATGTCCTCGTCGACTTCATCACTCGCCTGTACGCTGTCTACGTTGACTGCCAGTTCACCTACCTCGAGATCAACCCCTTGGTCGTCATCCCTAACGCTGACGCCACCTCCGCCGATGTTCACTTCCTCGATCTGGCAGCCAAGATTGACCAGACCGCTGAGTTCGAGTGCGGCACCAAGTGGGCTATTGCCCGCAGCCCCGCTGCTCTCGGCATGGCCGCCACCACTTCCACCGATGGCAAGGTCAACATCGACGCTGGCCCCCCTATGGATTTCCCCGCTCCCTTCGGTCGTGAGATGACCAAGGAGGAGAAGTTCATCTCCGACATGGACGCCAAGACCGGTGCTTCCCTCAAGCTTACCGTTCTCAACCCCAAGGGTCGCGTCTGGACCCTCGTTGCTGGTGGTGGTGCCTCCGTCGTCTACGCCGATGCCATTGCTTCCGCTGGTTTCGTGAGCGAGCTCGCTAACTACGGAGAGTACTCCGGTGCCCCCAGTGAGGCCCAATCCTTCCAATACGCCCGCACTGTCTTGGACCTTATGCTCCGTGCTCCCATGCACCCCGAGGGCAAGGTTCTCTTCATCGGTGGTGGTATTGCCAACTTCACCAACGTGGCCAGCACCTTCAAGGGTCTGATCCGCGCCATCCGCGAGGTCGCCCCCGTCCTCGTCGAGCACAAGGTCCAGATCTGGGTCCGCCGTGCCGGCCCCAACTACCAGGAGGGTCTGAAGAACATCAAGTCTGTTGGTATCGAGCTCGGTCTGGACATGCACGTCTACGGCCCCGAGATGCACGTTTCCGGTATCGTCCCTCTCGCCCTCCAGGGCAAGAAGAGCGACGTCAAGGAATTCGGCGCATAAACAATTGAACCCCTTATTTGATGTTTGTTCTTTCTTTGCAGCGTGTGTCCGTTGCATCGGTTTGTGGTATAATGCATGGCATGACATGACTTGTTTTTTTGCGGGATTCCGGGGGGTCCGCGGATGTCACCCCGGCGTCTGTCCTGTTTTGCTGAGGGTATGGCGTTACTTCCCGCCCGGACGAAAAGACCCGGTCCTTCTGGAACCGACGTACATGATTCTCCGTTGATTAGATTTCATTTTCCTATGTTCACTACCGGGGGATTTAGATCGTGTGATGTCCCGTCGGATAATATCAATGATACGAGGCATTTATTGTCCCAGTCTTTTCTGCGTAAACCTAGTAGACGTATCCAATATACCTCAATTTTCCCAATATACATTTTGCTACAATCTGTATGCTCAAGCGAAAATAAGCATTAGAACATAGTGGAAGAAAATTATACAAGTCAAAAATACGAACATGAAAAATACACGTGTACCAAATAACAGTAATTTTCAATAAGCTCAAATGCAGGAACCAGGGGGAACCAGGAAACCAAACAAGCTCCCGGACTCCACACAAGCTTCACCCCGGATTAACAGGGCATCTCAGATCAAACTCAAGACCAAGGAATAAAGTAGGGACCGTGCTGGAGCTGGGTTTGGAATACCGAGGGTTGGCGTGCTTCCGCTGCCCCGAGATTAGGGCACGATAAGCGCCGGGCGAACGGGGACTACTGGAACTGAGTATAAATAGTGAGCAGGGTACGTACTTCTATGGCTAGCTGGATTAGGCTAGATGTTTATTTTCACATAGCGTAAGAAGCAAAATGAGTGTGTGCAAGTCAAGTTCATTGTTACAGTCTAACAGTCCCTGCATTGCTTGCGTTAAGCTCTCACTCACACTACTTAGAAACTATCCGACCAGTTAGTTGATGGTTTTCGCATGACTCTTGGCCACCTCGTGGGTTTCCTCTTAAGGTCGGTGGCCAGGTGTGGTACTTATAACTATCTATTAACGCCGATGCGCCGAATCCTGGTCTATCCTGTTCGATTTGATCTACGGCGGACTATTTACCAGAGTGGCTACTCAAACGAACAAGCCCAGAATTAGACACATTCCCTGCATGCTACAAATGGTACACTTTCCAGCTTTTCGAAACGTCTGAGATGATATGTTGCTGTCGTCATGTTGCATTTCGGTTGCGAGTCCGCGGAAGGCAATGTCGCAAGGCTGCCAGGCGCGCCGTGAGGCGAAGCTATGCTTGACAGTTCATGAGGATATCAAATGGCCCTCTGAGCTAGCGCAAATGGTAAGTGCATAGCTTAGCATGATCTTCGCCCTTTATAAATATGGTGCCAGACATACTTCACAACGAACCCGGGAGGGATTGTCATCACTCCTATTAGCGAGTTCGAGGGCGACAGGGAGAGAGACAGGAATACCAACGTTGGATTCGGGATTCGAGCTGAGCGACTCGATTTGTAATGTGTGTCTATGGTAGCGCTATGGATTCCATTGAGAACACAGGCGGCAGTCTCTCGGTCAAGGACTGTCAGGTCACAGCCCTGGAAGCTGAGCCCAAACTTACACGGGATACTCTTGAACCAAGAGGTGACTGGTGCAAGATTTGAGTGACATCTGCCAAACGCCGAGCTGGCCACCACATATACAATTCGCAATTCTCCAGAGAGAAGTTTGTCAAGCACTTCTGCTTTCATTCGCCCTTATATCTAGCTTTTCTCAAATGGAATGGGTACGTATGATACACATAGGCATCAAAAAGGGATCGATTTTTCTACGGAATGTCCTGTCGTGCCGGTATCGTAAGATTCTAGGTAGGCAAGCTACTTTTATATTACTGTTTTTTGTTTAAATGTGTAACGTACTGTAAAATGTGCGTATCGACTCTGAAATGATGAGCCCCTGGAGGAGAATAAAACGAAAAACATGAAACGTCGGTAAGCAGTGAGCACTAAGGAGAAGGGACATGGTTCAGATAACTCGTATCATATGTTACAGATATATTTCTACCGGTCTGTTAGAGGTCTTTCTTAATACTTTTTTCAAGTCTCACAGCCATATCAACCGTAGAACCTACCTTCGAATAAGACTAATCTTTCTGGCGTACTCGTCTTCTCGATGTTGACTGATATGTGCTTCATGTGCGAATATCAGGGGTTAAGACTTCTACGGGGTGTTCCCAGAAATGAGTAACCAATATATTAGTTATGTTGTTATTGGATGGAACTACAATATCCATTTCGCATTCAAATGGGGGCATGCTCATCATACATGTAAACATAAATAGATCAGGTTCAGTTCTTCAAATGTTAGTTCAGAGACCAAGGCTAAGTCGCGCAACCCGAAAGTCAAAGCGTCCCCACAAGGTGAGATCTCAGCGCGGCGCCCGCACAAATTCACCGTAAGCCCTCCCTCCTCATTCTCTCTTCTGTGCACTCATCAATCCCAGTCATGGACCAATATCAGTCAGATTATCGGTTGATCGGGTTTCTTCTACTTGAGAACATCATACCTGTTGTTCTCCTTGCCGCAACGCCAAGGGGGTCTGTCTTACGCTATCTAGCCATACCATGTATGATCTGGATCGTGAGCCTGCTTCTATACCCCGTCCAAAGACCATCGTACCTATCAGTCAACGGTCTTGGTGGATCCGTATGCTGCGTGTTCTCAGCTCTCGACTTTCTGCTGATCAACCCTAAAGACGGGCGCAATTTCGTCGACGCTGATGGAAAGCCCAAGGGCTTTTTCTCTCGTCTGGTAGACGCCAGTCGACTTTTCACGTCTCCACGAGCCTTCGGAACGCCCAGGCAGGCGAAGAACACCCCCTCTTTGCCGGCGTACTATGCAGAGAAAGATCCGAACAAGATCTCTCGGGCTCGCTACTTGACCCGAGAGATTCCAATTGCTATTTGGCAATACTTTGTTCTGGATATATTAACCATGCTAGCTGTAAAGGATGCCATGAACCAGAAAGAGAGCGGGATGGTTGCCGTCTCTGGGATTCAATGGGATCTCACTGCAGAGCAGTGGGTAAGCCGAGCTATTTCGAATTTGTTTGGTTGGTTCATTGCGTCACGGATTTTGATTGGATTTTACTGCCGCGTGGTTGCCATTATTTTCGTCGCCTGTGGACTTAGCTCCCCTTCGGAATGCCCGCCGATGTTCAGCACTATGGCAGATTCCTATACACTAAGGAACTTCTGGGGGTAAGTCCGCTGGATCTTCGGTGATATTGATTTGGTATTGACAAGTGTTTGGCAGGAAATTTTGGCACCAAATGCTACGACTTCCCTTCACGGCTGCTAGCAACTTTATTACGCGAGATGTTCTTGGTTTGCCCAAGCCTTCGGTAGTGGAGCGATACTTCAATGTGTTTCTAGTCTTCTTCTTTTCGGGCCTTCTGCACGCCTTATCAGATGTCTTGAGGAGTATCTCACTACAGGAGTCCGGCGCCATGTTCTTCTTCCTCTCTTTTGTTCTTGGATACATGATTGAAGACGGCGTGACGGCTCTTTGGAAGCGAACACAAGGCACCCAAACAACTGGCGGTCCTCCACCACTGTGGCAAAGAGCTATTGGCTTTTGCTGGGTCATGGGATGGTTAACAGTCACTTCTACCTTGTACTTTGGGCCCGCAACGGCGCGACCGGAATGCCAGTTAGAATTGGTCCCCTTCAGCGTTGCGGGGTCCACTTCCCTTCCAGTGCTGAGCAGTATACTTCTTGTCAGTGGGATTGCCTTGAAAATGATTCTCAAGGTTGAGATTTGAAGGCAAGAAATTTGGGTTGTATTGGATTCCGTTCTTCTTCGGCTAGATTTTACGTTTTCTCGGGCTGTCCTGGGAATTTGTTTCACTCAACATAAAGACAGATAGAAAAGCAATGTTTGAGAACTATTCCGGAGTGCACATAAAGCGAAGACGGGCGATGGGATTCAGTTTAGTATTAGGGTTATCTGACGGTAGATTGCACCAACAAATAAATTTCACTTTGTGTTGCCTGGAATTCCGATATTTTCATACTGTTCTGAGAAGTCAGTTCCTCTGATTTGATGTTCACCCTCAGCACTCATACCTGACCAAGTTAGGCGTGCCTGGGGACTCTCCTTTGAAGTAAGACTGTGCATCCTCTCAACGATCTACGCTCCACGCTCCACTCAACGAGTTGTATTTGGGAATATCCAAAGCTTCTTCATGCTCCTGTACTCGTGAACAATTTCATTAAGATAATTTCGAGCCCATGATTTAGCTCTGCCTGAGTTCCAACAATTTATGCATGATTGGCAACGGTTCGGTGAGAGCAACACGTGTAATACCTTCAATTCTGACAGACTGAAGCCATTCTAGGAGTTCCATTACTGTCGACCCGAGTCTATGAGCGGTATGTAAACCCTATCTTTGACTAAAGGCTTAGCTAGCATAGCAAAAACTGGACCTGGTTGCCCTTTCCCGTCTCCAGGGAGGCTGTCTGATATTAGACAGAAGCAAAAAGATATGCAACGACGGCTGCATGATTCGAACATGCGCCCGCGAACGGAATTGATTTCTAGTCAATCGCCTTAGACCACTCGGCCAAACCGCCTTAGATAGGAAAGTCCCACAAATTTTTGCTAATTAGGGCAAAAGCGGATATTGTGTATCGTGACTCTAAATCAAAACAGCTGTTAACTAAAAAGTCACTATATGGTATACTTTTAGTAGATCTACCATTTATGTGACTGGTGGCCATAAGTACCTATGCTATACTGAACAAATCAGCTCTTTAAAGATTCTATGGCTGATTATATATTGTCCCTCTGTCTGATAAAGTGCCACACATTGTCTTTGCTATATGGAAATAAATAAGCCATAGAACCCAAATGAGTAAAAATTGGTAAAAAGTAAAGACAAAGATGAATATTTGAGGTTATATTCATTAACTAGATCTAAGCGTATAACTACCAACCTTAACAATATTCCTATATCTTATAAATGAGTCGGGGCTAAGAAAAAAAAGGTTCAAAAATCTAGTTAGGGGTTCGTTTTCCGACTAAGCGGCATGGAAATCCATCCATGGATTCCTACTTTATATACTCAAACCACCATTGATAGTTTAATTGGCCTTTTATTCTGATTGATATTTATGAGCGCCATATCAGGGCTAATGGCTATATCTTAAGGAATTGTAGTATCTATTGATCCTTTTTTTTTCACTTATAGTGTAATTCGCGCGAGTGTAAGCTTTGAAAAACAGCCCCCCTTATAAAGTAAGCCAGTAATATCAGTCAGTTGAATGGACCAAGTAAGAAAGGGCTCCTTCTCTTATAGAACTAAATTTGGAATTCATTTTTCATCCAAGGCGGTTTGGCCGAGTGGTCTAAGGCGATTGACTAGAAATCAATTCCGTTCGCGGGCGCATGTTCGAATCATGCAGCCGTCGTTGCTTATCTTTTTTTCCTCCACACAACAAGGGCCGATTGACATTGTTTCGTCGGTAAATCTACCATGACATTCCTTTTTTTTGCGAAGAAATTCTTCTTCGGTTTTCAAATGTCTTGTTCCTTCGAACAATGGTGAAATGTCTGGAATTTTATCTTCGTTTCCCTGAACTAAAGCTCTACATGTACAAAGCCAATGCGGCCTAAATTGTAGATCGTCAAATACTTGCCATTCCCTTTGTATGCATAAAACGCCAAAACATTTAAAAGTAACCCAAATTTACTATCACAGCACCACAATGGTGGCCTTGTAAAACTACCATCGTCGCCCGCGGCCTCGGCCGCCGTAACCTCCGCGTTGGTCGTATCCCCCATAGCCCATCTGCCCTTGACCCCCTTGGTTGAATCCCTGGCCCTGAGGCTGACCTCCGAAGCCAGGTTGACCTTGCTGACCACCACCGGGCATCATCGACTGCGCGTGCTGCATGAAAGCCATTGGGTCCATGGAAGATGGGTCCAAGCCTTGGGACATCATAGACGCCAACATACTTTGCATCATATCAGAGTTCATATCTGGCATGCCGGCCATGCCGGCCATGGGTGGTGCAGCGCTGGCTGGGGCAGCAGGACCTGGCGGTGCGCCGGGCATTGGGGGCATGCCCATGCCCATGAAAGCCTGCATATCGTCCATTTGCTTCTTTTGGCTGCTGACTTCTTGTCGCACACCCTGCTGCTTCAGACAGTATCCTGCCCATGTGAATTCATCAAATCCGTAATTGAAGTAATCCGAGAGGTCGGACCCGGGTCGTCGCCAGGGCTTGTCGTCAGTTGGGAAGTCGGCGTCCATGTCAGTGGACATTATTGGCTTCCCTGTGGTAGGGTGGACCGGATTTGCATTGATATCAATGGTTGAGCTGTGAATGGCTGGGTAGGCAGAGCCGGGCTTTTCGTTCGAAGGTTGCGCGGCTGGGTGCCCGGGTACCGGAGTGGCTGTCTCATATCGCGGTGTTGCCGACGGGGTAACAGACCTCACAGCCAAGGCTGGGTCAGTTGAGGATGGTCTTGGTGGTTCTTGCCGTAAGCTTGCATGGCGAGGGTGAGAACTAGAAAGATCAGTATGAGCGTAGGGCGCGCGCGGTGGCAGGACTCACGCTTCGGGAGGTGGTGCGCCTTCGGGTGCTTCTGTGATGATATTGAAATCATCCTAAACAAACAGTTAGTGGTAGGCAAAAATGTCTATTAGTTAAGAGAGTGCGCACATCATCTTCTTCCTCTTCCTCGATCTCATCATCGTTTTCCGTGAAGTTGCCATCCTGAGCTGCATTCTGGGGTGGATTTTGCAATTGCGCTGTCGGCACCGCATCAACGGGGTCATAGAAATCGTCTTCTTCTTCATCCATGGTTGCTGGCGTTTAATCTAACGGAAGTTGGGCAAAAAAAGCGTATCAAAGAGGATCAAGATCGAAGCAGGTTGCGCGCTGCCTCTCGAGTTTGACTTGTTTGCAGCGTTGTAGGGAGCTTCAACGTCAAGGTGATACAGCTTTCGCAATCAATATAACACTAATGCATTTAATCGAAGTCGCTAGTAAATGAAGTGGTTATTTATTTACTTACATCCTAACCACCTATTACCTTCTAATATCGTTGCAATTGCGAAAGCTGGAAATTCAAGGTCACGTGCAACTCCAAATGACCTCAGCGGTTTGGAATTGAAGATTGAAGATCCACACTTTGTCACATCAGCGACTAAGTCAAGTGACCAATTTCACTTTACAACATGGCAGAAGATGGGGAAAGCCACGCTTCCACTCCGCGGCCCTTTGCCGGCCAGAGCGTCTCGGCGGAGGAGATGCTAAAGGAGCAAACTGTTGGCCTCGTCCATCTTTCTGACTTTCGCAAACGTCGCGCCGAGGTACTGGAGCAAAAAGAGCGCGAGGCGCATGACAAGTCGCTGGGTCGGCTGGCATCCGGTAATTCAAGAAGCGCAACTCCCTCTGCAGGTGAAGTGACTGACGGGTAAGTTAAGAGCCAGTTCCCATTATCTGTACATCAAAGCTGATCGCAGCGCAATAGGTCAACGCCTCCCGGGAGTGACGCTCCTCCCAAGAAGAAAAAAAGAAGGCACTTGCCAAGAGCAAGCTCTCTTTTGGCGACGATCAATATGAGATTGGGGAGGAATCTGCCGCCACACCACGCGACTCTAGCGTATCACGCCCAGGCTCGAAGACACCTGCCGAGGATAGCGCTGTGCGACGCATGAAAGCGAACCCGAATGCACCGCCTCCACCGAAAGCCTTGACAAAGGCATCTATCGAAGCTGAAGCGCTGGCTCGCGACACTCTCCGTAAGGAGTTTTTGATTATGCAAGAGGCCATCAAAAATACAGAGATCATGATCCCATTCGTGTTCTATGATGGAACGAGTATCCCTGCCGGGTCGGTCAGAGTCAAGAAGGGTGACCACGTTTGGCTGTTTTTGGACCGGTGTCGCAAGGTCGGTGCTGAGATGGGTGTCCGCGGTGCAAATGGCGCATCCAAGGCAAAAAAGGATAGTCGTCGTGAGTGGGCACGTGTCAGTGTAGACGACTTGATGCTTGTCAAAGGCGACATCATCGTCCCTCATGTAAGTTCATCGCTCCGCATTTCATTATTCTCGAATTCGACTGACAATAACACAGCATTACGAATTCTACCATTTTATTGCAAACAGAGTCCCCAGCTTCTCTCGTGGTGGAGGTCTGCTATTTGACTACTCCAACCAGCCTCCTACGGAGAATCCGTCTGACGATCCATTGTTCCGTCCTAGCGATGATCAACTAGAGGGCGCAGACAAGGATTTTTCGGAAACCAAGGTTGTAGACCGACGGTGGTATGAGAAGAACAAGCATATATACCCAGCTAGTCTGTGGCACGAGTATGAACCCGGCAAAGAGTTTGAAGAGAAGATGACTTCAACACGGCGTGATGCACAAGGAAATACGTTTTTTTTCTAGCTTGGGCGTCACAAAATTTACTTACGAATATAATCACGATAGACAGATACCAAATTATGTCACACTGTTCATTTGTTTTTGACTCAGGGTTTCTCCCGCCCTAAATGGAAGCCACCCTTTCTCGTGACCTTTACTACTTGATCTTCTCCCGCATAACACCAGCGACAACATGGATTTCGCATTAAGGTGCAATTCTCTCAAATGCCGGGCAGAGTTGAAAGAAAAAGCAGTGGTGACAACTTGCTCGTAAGGTTCACTCCTCTGTGACCGTTTCATTCGGGTACTGATGATACTAGGCACATCTTCTGTCATGGCTGCGCAGAGAGCCTTGGACTCTCCTGTCCAACCACTTGTAAACGGCACTGTCCTGCTTGTCAAACGATGCTCTTGAATCCAGATGACGCCGTCTCAACTATCCTGAACCCGACGGAGGATTACAAAACAAGTGTGCTGAGTGGGTTGGATCCGAACACAATCATGGAATGTGCTGGCCGCGCACTGGGGTTTTGGGCGTATCAGAGTACGCAGGAGATGTATGGTCTATATTCCAGATATGAGGCTCAATTACGGAAACTGTTGCAAGCTGACACTGTACCAGATTCTACCAGGGATATCGGGCAAAGTCCCTTACTGAAAAGTACGCCAACGTGAATACGCAGATGGACAAGGTCGTCCACAATGCGAATACTGAAATCTTGGCCATGCAAAGCAAGATATCGGGTGGGTTCATTGAGTCTTTCACTGGGTGATAGTCCCGCTAACCCCCATATTCCAGATATGCAATCAGCCCAAGAAGAACTACAGAAAAAAAACCAAGAACTGAACGACATGTGCCGCGACAAGACTAACAAGCTCGCCCAAATGACAAACCTCTACAATCTTCTCAAAACCCGCGCTATGCGCTCCCGGATGCAGACCGCAGCCTCAGACACTGTTTCTCAAGCTCTAACATCCCTGAACGTCCCGGTACCTGTCTCGATTCCCTTGGCCAATCATTTACCACTGGTTTTGACTTCGGCTTCGAAATTTCCTAAGACCCCACCATTCCCTGTCAACACGGATGGGGTCGAGCAGCTTCACCGGCACCAACGAAGTGGCACTGATAGTTCTAAAAGGGCAAAGACCAAGACACCCTCTGAATCTTCAATGCTACCCCCTACTCGCCCTAAACGCCCCAACTGGGATGGCCGGAATGGTATGTATTGGACACTATTGTTCGGTATATACAACTAACCTGGATGTGTGCAGCCAAGAATTCGAATCCGCATCCGCAGCATCGTACTCGACTTCCACGTATCTCCCAGACTCCAACAGTTCCCTCCGAGTTTCCATCCGGGGATGCTATCAAGCAGAGGTTTGGAAATTGAGACTTATTTTTCTGGCTACAATGTTTGCATCAATATCTAGAAGTCAATCCTGTGAACCTTAGGTGAAATTCAACACCACCCATCTATCATGAAGTTCGGGAGTAGTGTGATTCGAGTCGGGCATTGGTGGTCTTTTGAAATAGCAACACTAGGCATGCATGGCAAATACAAATACATAAGTACCATCTCAAATAGTAATTTCGGGTGAAAATAAGAAAATAAGACCAAGGAGTGAAATTATATATCAACTACTATGGCATTGACTCTTACTGACATGGGGTGCATTCATTAGATGTAGATTGCTCATCCCTGCCTCTCTCCGGCGAAGAGGAAAATTCTACTATAGCCTTAGAGAATAAGCGTTAGGGCATTATCGGACTCGAACCTAAGCGTATATACTCCTTCGGTGACGCCTATTATAGTGGCGGTAGTGTGTCCTACGGCGTAAAGTAGGCTAGAATTAAGATTAAATAGGCTATAGACCGGGATTAGTATGCTCTGGCTACTTATAGCCAAGCTCCGTAGGCGCGCGCCAAGGATAGATATCACTATGACCTACATCCATGAAAAAATTTGGCCCCCGGAGTCAGATTTTAGCCTGCTTAGGCAGCGCGTAGAAAACCCTCTGTCTAATGCAAATTAATGCCAAGAAAGAGGTTTGCATATCCGCCTATTTTGGGGAGGTTAACTCGATCGAGGAGAGACTCTTAATCGATCGGCTACGAGGAAAGACACCTCAGACAATTGAGGTGAACCATGGCCTATCGAAAATTTCTCCAACTTCTCATAGGATTCCATTTCAAGTGACACGAATCCACGAAAGGCGAACTCAGCATCTATCAGTTCAACGTTCAACACGCAACTTTTTCGAATCCACCAGGCGCCTCCAAATCGGACGGTTTTTTTTTGTGAAAGCGGAAGTATCACCCATAGGTGAAAGTAATCACCATGCCTATGCCACCGAAGCCTCGGGAAGTGATCCAGGCATGCGATTTGGACTTCGAGTTTCCTTACGTGATGATAAGGGAGAAGACTCATTCGTGGGGTATGCAAGTAGCTCTACGTGGCAAGCCATCGCAATCGCGAATTCATGTTTGTATGGTCTTGATGATGACACATTTGAGGAGATATGCCGCCGACAAAGACGCTTTGTTTATGTCGATAATAGGATCAAGAACCTACCACCATAGTTGCAAACATTTGTTAATAGGGCTTACCGGAATGACAATAATCAAGTAGTCAGGCTTAATCAGTGCTTCCTCTAAGGCGCTAAAACCAACAGGGCAGATTTCCTGAAGGTTGTGATCACCATACCTACATATGTACATATCATTGTCGATTGTTCAGGCCGCAAAGATTCCATTCATCGCCTATCTATTGGAAAAATATACATAGTTGATAGAACAGACAAAAACCTGTTAGACTTTGACAAGCTTAAACAGTGGTTTTGATCATACTAAACGCGGAGGTGTCGAGACCAAGCTCGGTCTGCATTTGGATGATTTGCTCGATGGTGGGCTTGGGAAGCTCCTGAGCAACCCGAAAGAGCCACCTTTTCTCAACGTGAGCCTTGGCGAAAATAGCGTCGACTTCCACGAGATCACCACCGGCAGTCTCAGCATAGAAGCAGTAGGCGAAGAGAATGGCAACCAGGTTGACCAGTGCGAAGAACAGGTAGATGTCTGATCCAGTCAGCATGATTGATTGATTGTTTTTATTCTGTACAAATCATTCATTTGGTTCAAGTAGCCAAATTTTTCTGTCTTTCCTAAATAGGCGGTTTGGCCGAGTGGTCTAAGGCGATTGACTAGAAATCAATTCTCTTCGGAGGCGCATGTTCGAATCATGCAGCCGTCGGTGTACTTGTTTTACATTTTTGTTTTTGTCATATAGATAGACTATGCAGCCATCTTAATAGTATGACAACAAAAGTATGATATATATATAATAAGTAAGGAAGGGTGGGCTTATAGGTATTAGATTAGTCCTTATAATTCAGATAAACGTTCAAATTTTCCGTCGGAAGACAAGGATTAAGAACTTTGGTGCCACCACATTAAACTAGATTATAGGGCTTGTTTAATAGGCTATCTTATCTATTGGCGGGTCTCTCTAGGAAGTAACACACAATTGAACCCCACTAATAGTGAGGGGTGGAAAATATGAATATGTGATGAAGATACTATGAAACCGTTATGATTGTACGACTGATGAGACTATTAGGAAGAACAAATAAATCGTATAGGTGTGTTATACTCATACCGTGTCATTCGAAACACGGAGGAATAGAGGAAAGAGAGGGATAAGTTTGATTTTCTGTTGACACAGGTGCTCAATAAATCCATAAAGAGCATATCGTAGTTTTTCTCTACTTCTCTCTCGGTTTTCTTGCAAACTTTTCCGCTGACTTCTTCTTCTTTTTCTTCTTCTACTACCCGTACTGTCCGTCCACGGGTCGCATCGATTTACTTGAAAGCCTGGAGGGCCGATAGGTGGGCACCCCCGTCGTCTGATGCGCTACAGATCACTGAGATATGAAAGATCATACTTACAGTCTAAAGACTTTACTGGAAATCTAAGAACTATAGTGATATTTAAGAATGCCTCAAGGCTTTAAAAAACGAGCAGGTGTACATAGATAGCTATATGAACAGGAGGTTGGTTTTTGGGAGCTTATTAAAGTTTTATTCTATAATTGAAATACATACGGAGTTTGTATACACGTATAGAAAAGCAAGAAAGGATTTCACAACTGTGATAGATAGTGCCCTTACTTAGGTGTATTATATCTACAAGAATAGACTAGCCCACTCGAGTGCTACTTTTGGCAGCTACCTCTATAATGTCAAAATGGGCGCAAAATTTCAATAACGGCGGTTTGGCCGAGTGGTCTAAGGCGATTGACTAGAAATCAATTCTCTTCGGAGGCGCATGTTCGAATCATGCAGCCGTCGTAGCATATATTTTTGCTTGCTAGACATAATTATATCAATCAAGATCTCATAGAAGAAGTAGTTAGGCATAAGAGTGTATGAAGGAGGCTTTTGATTAAGCAGAGAGTCATGATCGGTTTTTTATGTAGTAAGAGATCCATCAACTCTATATCTAGCTATAGAAATCAATACCTAAGTATTTAGTAGAATTGAGAATACTCCTTAAAATTATGTTAGACGGTTAATAAATTTACATATTAGCATCTACGATGGTTACTAATTTGCAACCAGCCCTAAGACGATATACCCGACATTGTCCTATCATTCGCACCCTTGTAAATATTTCAATATCAAACATTATAAAAATAGAAAAAGCCTTTAGCCGGTACAAAATAAAGTATTTAGTACTATGAGTAAAAAGTATTATATGCGACGGCTGCATGATTCGAACATGCGCCTCCGAAGAGAATTGATTTCTAGTCAATCGCCTTAGACCACTCGGCCAAACCGCCGTTATTGAAATTTTGCGCCCATTTTGACATTATAGAGGTAACAGCCAAAAGTAGCACTCGAGTGGGCTAGTCTATTCTTGTAGATATAATACACCTAAGTAAGGGCACTCACTATCTATGATAATTTATATGTCAATATCACAGTATATATATATAACTATAGAGATAAAAAAAATTTACCCTGTAAAAAGTGAAAAAATAAAGTATTTAGTACTATGAGTAAAAAGTATTTATGCGACGGCTGCATGATTCGAACATGCGCCTCCGAAGAGAATTGATTTCGAGTCAATCGCCTTAGACCACTCGGCCAAACCGCCTTGTTATGGGGAATTTTTCCCTCTTTTGCCATTATCAAGAGTATGATAAGAGCCCCTTTATATCTTACATCAAACAATGCTGATTTCGAGCCTTGTTGCCTCTACAAATTTGTATGTTGACCTTATTCCTTAATATTCTTACATTGGGTGTTGCCTCGTTAAATAATGTAAAATTATATCGTATAATATTTTTATAGAGAGCTATGAGTTTTCCAGGTCTTGCAAAAGGAAATGGTCCAGTCAAAAGTCAAATATGGGAGCAAATATATATAATAGAGATTTAACAACAAACGTAGATTCAACGAGTTACCAATTGACATTCATACATAAAATATATTATTCACAATGAAGTTTTTGATTATCTGACGTCAAGTTCTAGATTAAGTAATCCTAAAAATCATTACAGTATAAACCAGCAAAGAAAGAATATGCCTGAAATCGGACTTTTTACCTAGGTACTAGCGATTATAGGGTTCTCACAGACTCATAAAGCTCTGGCACATCATAGTACTGCGATATAATATAAGGGCTAGTTAATGATATAGATCTATCTAAGGTTAATCCAAATAACTTCAATAAGTTAGTTAATTTACGGCAATTATGTATCCCTATACAGATATAGAAGTCAATATTGGACAGAAGGTCTTTATTACCTTCTCAAATACATCTGGGCACATCAAAATAATAGGATCGGGCTATGATACGATTCTTTAAGCCCCAGGAAATACTCTCGCCTATATATAACCACTAGTCTAAAAGGTCTCAAGGCAATCTCGGATATCACCACATATCTAGTATCTGATTTGGTCGGCCTCCCTTAAGTCTCCGGTCTCTGAGCAAGTCTTTAAAAAGCGAGTATAACTCACCACCAACTAGTCAGTGAGGGTTAGATGTGTATTGCCACGGAGGAGAGCTCCCCAAAAGACATATTAAGACACACACCAGCGTAGAATCAGGTGATATTTTAGTATAGAAGCCCTATAAATAATATCAACTTAGTGACATCAAAGGTCTTAGTCTATTTGCTCACTCAAAGTATAAGAATGAAGGGTTTATTCTTTTTATGTAGAAGTCTAACAAGATATAGATTTGCACCATCCTTGAGTCTATTATACTTCGTAGTTATACAAGGTAACTAGATAAACACTTCTAAATACAACTAGCTAGGCTATATAGACTAGACCAGCATAACAAAAACGACATATCTATCATAACACAGATATGGTATATTAAAGTACGGCTGCATAGTATAGTGGTGCAAAAAGAAATGTACCGACGGCTGCATGATTCGAACATGCGCCTCCGAAGAGAATTGATTTCTAGTCAATCGCCTTAGACCACTCGGCCAAACCGCCTTGGATGAAAGGTGAGTCCAAAATTTGACTATATAAGCCAAATCTCTTTGCTCGGACAATCTCGACCATCTTTGATTTGTTTGGCCCTCGGAAAGAAGCTAATAGTCAGTCTTGGCATTCTGGAAATTTCTCCCCAGATCTTCTCCGGATAACCTTTTTCTTCTCTTCTCCATCATCTCCAACCCTTGATCTCATCCAATTACCCTTCACAATGGTATGTTAATCACCCACAAAACAATTACAACAGATTCGCGACATTCAATTCCCACTCGGAGCGCAACTACCACCTCCAAGCCCATCTTCTCTTTATTCCGTCAACCCGAGCCCGATATACCCGAATTCCCGCTTGCGCGCCGAATCCAATCGAGCAATTACTAACTCATCGCCTTTTAGTCTGTCCTCCGCAACATCAAGTCTCTCACCCCCCTCCTGGACCGCGTCCTGGTCCAGCGCATCAAGCCTGAGGCCAAGACGGCCTCCGGTATCTTCCTCCCCGAGGCTGCCGTCAAGGAGCAGAACGAAGCCCAGGTCCTCGCTGTTGGCCCTGGTCTCTTCGACAAGGAGGGCAAGCGTCTCCCCATGGGTGTCGCTGCCGGTGACAAGGTCCTCATCCCCCAGGTATGTGACTCGTCCTCCGATGTGAATTGATTGGAAAAGACAATGATATGCTGACGGTTCCAGTTCGGTGGTAACTCCATCAAGGTCGGCGAGGAGGAGTACACCCTTTTCCGGGATCACGAGTATGTGTCCACACCCCCCCCCCCCCCCCCCCCCCCCCCATCTCTTCGTTTCGGAATAATACTAACCGCCATCTAGCATCCTGGCCAAGATCAAGGAGTAAATACGTTGCGACAATCTCTAACTTTGTCTCGCGCCCCTCTCCCCCGTGTCATGTCTCGACTATTTCACCCGCCAATGGACCAGACATGGCCGTGTATTATACCGACGCGACACGAACTCGACCATTCTCGCCGGTCTCAAGAACACTGAAAAAAACCAAAAATCTTCAGCGAGTCGGGAAGCCAGCTGGGTGGTATCTACTTGGATCTACATGTTGTTATCGGCCAGACCGGTTCCTGGTTCGACTCTGTCCTTCTATTTTGCATACATGAGTTTTTGAAGCGCTGGATTGGCCTTGGGTCTTGCATGTCTTTGTCCATTGTACTATTAAATTAAACTGCGGCTTGCCTCTCTGTGTGAACGGGGTAGTCGGTAATTGCAGAAATGACTATCTCCTCTCGACCACTTATGCACTCACAAGATTTCGCCTCTCCATGGAGGGCTAATATATTACCTGCCAGTTAGTGAGATATCATTGTAATGTTCAAGCTTGCTAAATGCTGATAAGTGACCCGTTAAATGGCCTTCCTTCAGAACGACCTTTCGAAAGACCTAACCAAGGAACATAAGAACTATGAAGTGTTAAACATGTGAATAATTGTATGAAGGATTGCATGTTGGGATAGACTTGGGCTATGAATATGTTTAAAAAATATTCATTCCAAACTTTCACTTCCGACAAGTCACGTCCCTATGCCCAATGGGAGGTCACAGAAAAAAGGCTTCATATGAAACCCACTGGAGGTTAAATGATAACACCCAGGTAAAAATAAACCTCCCACAAACCCCAGCATTTAAAAGAGTCATGTCGCTTGATCATAGCCAGCCGGTTAATCCTCACATTCATTCAATCCTCCCACGGAATCTGTCAAATACCCTCGCTCCAATCAGAGGCCGATATCTTTGCTTTGTTTCGGAACGTTTCAGTTCAGTCAAAAGACTATCAAGAGCCCCCATTTCATCTCCAGAGCTGCTAAGCCAAGAATTCTGATGGCTGGGGTAGATCCTAGACCTCTGAATATCATCCAGGATGACACGGGCAGCAAACGGATTCAGACCACGACTGCGGAGTATCCTCTCCGATTCTGTTTCTTGTGGTGCAAATACAGAGAACTGCAACGAATGAGATGAAAGATAGATTCTCCCCAGACCGAAGCACCACATCATGATGGTTGCTGGATGGTCTTTGATGGGTGCAAGTGTTATCGAAACCATATTGATGAGTGTCTGACAGAAAGCATAGAGCGCAGGCAGCTCGTTCAAGAGATGATGTCTTGCAGTACTGGCGGAGGCTGCACTGCCATTTGGTTCACAGATGAGGACGTATAAGTTCTCGTAACGCGTCGCTAGTCGCCATATCTGCTCTCTGAGCGGGGATACCACACCATCAACGGTTTCTGTTGGCCTATGTCCTGGTGGATACCGCTGGGTTAGCGCAAACGGTGTCGCCAATATCACTCCTGTTTCGGGTGCCACAATAATGTCAGCTTCAAAGGGGCAAATAATTTCTGCAAAGGGTTGATAATATTCCCGATATATCAACCTCAGTGGGGGTCTCCTCCAACCTTCTATGAACTGGATAAACTGTGCGTGTGATCTGTGAAGACTATGAGACAAGAAAATGATATGTGGTGGGTCGAATGCCGCCTGAGTCACTCTCATTACAAGGCCCAAAGCAGGTTTGGGTGTCGGAGGAGTAGGAGGAACGTTTGAATCTCCCTCAGAGCCACTTGGTCCACCCGAACCACTTGCTAATATGGACATGTTCAGACTCTGCGACGAACTGCCAGCTTTTTCATTGGTTCCCCTGGTTTGCATAAACACGGACAAAGATCCAAGACCGGTGAAAGCTCCATCGGAGGTGGCTGATGCCATGGTGAGATTTACGGAACAAGTGGCCTCTTGAAACTCGATCAGTTGCTGTCTCATTCGGGCAACAGGACAGACATCCTCAACTCTCTGGCAAAATTCTCTCTCTTTGGCAGCGCAAAGTTGCCATTTCTCATCGACCGAGAGGACATGCTGTTCAACCGTTTCCGAGATTTGCCCACGAGGAGAGTTCGGCATTACATTGCTTTTTGTTGCATCCATTGGCAAAATTGCCACATATGACAGTATCTGGTCACCTGCTTGAAGGGTCGGAGTCGAACACACAACATTTGATGGATCAGACTTGATTTGGTTGATTTTCCCTTCTGACTTAGCCACAAATTCCCTTCCTTCACCAATTCTGACTGTATCAAACCGAGGATTTGAACAATCCTTTTCTTCTTGCTTAACATCTTCGACTAGTTTCACTTCTTGGGAGAGGTTTTCAACTGAGGTTCCAGTTGAGTGAGCTTTTGACTTGGTCAGATCGGGAGTAAAGACACTGGAGATTGACTGAAGGTAAAAATCTGAACTAACTTCCTCGGAAATAAGATTTTCAATTGTGGCTTCATCAAAGAGGCTGTTTCCGCTCTGCGTGGTGTTCTGATTTAAGTTAGAATCTCCAATACTGCAAGGTCAAGGGACATCCACTTACCTGGGCGCTCTGCAAGCTCGACTGCAAGGCCAAACCCTCCTCACTAACAATGTCCGAGAAAGATGGAATCTCCTTGAACTCACTGCCAGACACGTTGTCCTGAAACCCAGGGCCGTTGTCACTCGACACGCTCACACCGGAGCAGTTGACATTCTCTGGGAGCAAAATCTCTTCCGTGATGACATTGCCAGAAGACTGAGGTTGTTGATCCGCATTGGAAGCCGGCGAGGAATTGTATTGATCAAACACTTCACGCAAGGAAGAAGGAACAGTAGGCACATCAGGCCCACTAGGAACAGTGACATGAGTGATAGGGCTGTTTGCAGCCGGCGAAGGACTCGATTGGAAGAAATCCACACGACCAGCCAAAATTGCCTCGGATAAATAGGTCAGTTCATCGAGTTCGGAAGCACCAGGGTCTGTAGAGACAGGCGCAGATGGTTCGACAGAAATAGTTGGATCAGCGGCACATTGTCCCGGAACGCCAGGAAAAGATGACGCAGCAGACTCAGACGGACCAGCATCAGACTGAGGCTGCACCGCAGTAGGATTCTGTGCGTCTCTTCTCTCATCCCCATTAGCATGTAAAACAGGCACAGGAACCAAATCAGAGGTTTTCAAGGTAGGTAGCAGCCCACGCCAAACATTCCCAGTGACACGTTTGAGCAGCGCATAATTTTTCAGGGCAGCCGCATCTTCTTCGTTGGCAAGCAAGCGCTCCGTCATGATCCCAACGTGGAAGAGACGATCGACTTTTTTCAAGCGTTCTTCGGCATTTACGGGCGCGAGGCCCTCAGGCATAATGAGAGACTGAGGCTCGCATGACCCTGCGAGGTCGAGGGACGTTTGCGGACCGGGGTCTTCAGATAGTTTGTAGAAGTGTGCGTAGACTAGCGGCTCATTTGGGTCCATGGCGGAGACGCGATGAGACGAATGAAGCGGAGAAGAGAAGGGAAGAGAGAAAGAGAGATTAGAGAAGAAACAAGACTATAAGCAAATTCCGTCACGTCTCGCCAACAAGTTAGGGTTGGTTTGGAAGGTGCAAATAGTCCGAATTTGGAAGGTGTGAGTCGCGCGAGACCTCACCAACATTGGTAGCTCATATAGGTTAGTGCTACATACATCGAAAATATGAAATGTTTTGCTAGGGCTATTGAGATTGTTTATAAAGAAGATTTTGCATGAAAATGATAATGAAAATGATATTTCGCTGATTTTGAGTACGTCGCTAATGGCTATGAAATTAATGATTGCGCCTCAGATGGGCTGTCGAGTCACAAACTCAGTCGTTGTAGTTAGATTGGCGAGCGCCATCCTTGTTAACCGCCGGCAGTCCATACAAGGCATTCAACTCATCCTCCTGGGAAACCCCCGTCTCCTCAAGCACAGGCTTCTCAGCCTGAACAGCGACTCGAACTGCATGGCGACGGTGAGGTGTGAAGCCATAAGAAGCACTGTGATTGGTAGAGCGGTTATCCCAGAGAGCAACATCGTCAGCGCCCCATGAGAAGCGCGCGTGCATCTCCTGTGTCGTGGCGATGACATCCGTCAAGTAGCGGATAATGGCATCACTCTCTGCGGCCGGAATGCCGATGATCTTCTTCACGAAGCCGGGGTTAAAGAAGAGGCTGTGCCAGCCTGTCACGGGGTTCGTGCGGATGAGAGGGTGCACGGTTGTGACGGGCTCCCGGCGGACGGGACGGCCTAGGGCGCGAGAGTCGTTTGCTTGCATGTCCGCCGAGTGCGCGGCTGTTAGTCCTCTCAGGTAGGTTTGCATGTGCGAGGAAAGATTGTCGTAGGCGGCGTACTGGGAGGACCAGAGGGTGTCGCCACCGCCTCCGCGGGGTGGGCCGGTGAGGAGCTTGAGAGATGTGTAGGATGGTGGCTGGAGCTCGTAGGTTACATCTGAGTGCCACAGGAAGCTGGGTGTGAAGAGGGCGCGGTTGTCGGCTGAGTTGTCGCCTGTGTAGACGACGTGGACATCTTCCAGACCTGGCTTTTGGGGAACGGATGTGGTTGCATGCTATGAATTGTTAGTATGTGTATCTCGTATATGTGATATGATTGTTACTAACCTTGTGCAGCTTGCCCCAGTATCTTCCCAAGTTCCGCTGAGCATCGATATCAAAGTTCTTCTGGGAACGGAAGAAAACAACGCCACGGTAGGCAATCAATCGGGCCAGATCATCTCGCTGATCATCGTCAAGGGTGGCGAGATCAACGCCGTAGATCTCAGTTCCAATCTTAGGGTTGTGGTCGAAGACCGCAGTGGCGTCTCTCAGAAGGTTGCGGAACTTAGGGTCTCCTCGCAATCCCTTGTCCTCATATGGTGTGTATTCGAGAGGAGGCCAATGAACATCGGGGAAGCTGGGCAAGAAGTCTTCATGTGCATAGTTGTCGTGTTTGGTGACGACAGTGCGGCCGGGTTGATATCCGAACTTATTATCACTGGCGGCGAGGTCCTTCTTCAGAACCGGGACTGTGAAGCGCACAGGTGCTTCAGTGAGCACGGGCTCTTCCAACGATGGCGCCATATCAAATCAAGTATATGTTATGCAATATGCGAAGATGATAGTATGAGGATCCGGGTATCTTTGAAGTGAAGAAGTAGTTATCAGATCAAAGATAGAAAACAAAGTTTGAAATGGACCCAAGAATCAAGAGGAAGAAACGATTTATATAGATCCAAAGTATTCCAAGTATCAGGATGCGAGTGAGTCAACCCCGGATAACGCCATTTTGGATTGAACGGATCTCGCATGCCCCGGAGTTCACGGAAATGGCGCCATTTCAAAGATGAATCACCTCAACCGAATAATAATGGGCCACCAGGAGCACCCAAATAGTGGTTCTCCTACTACGATCCTGACGAATTGAGACGCAGTCGAGACCCATTGATCTCCATCTCCAGAATTTGAAGGAAGGGGTTAATCACGTCATTTTGCTGACGTTGATGGCAAGTATTTGCCATTACGGTCTAATTGAATATGGCAATTGCGAGGCTATAGAGAATGTAAGCAGTAGCAAGCACACCGCTATTTCGGACTCCGGTAATCCTTGTTGAAATAGAGATGGGGAGAGGATAGGGGGATGTTTCAACTGTGTCAGTACATATGTTGTGATAGTGGAGGATAAAGTGGAGGCTGAAGTGGAGGTCAAAATTAGAAATTTGGCGCTAAGAAAAGGGAGATCACGCAAGAGTGGCGGGTTCTTGCATCAATTGTATTACTCATCATCTTCCAGCAGATAGTAGAGAGATTATAGATACCTGGAATACTTTCAATTGGCTTAAGAGCCTGAAGAATTCAATTTCTAGAAACATGCGTTTAATATTATCAATCAGGAGATTGCTACCAATCGGCTGATTATATAACCAATCTACTCCGTACAACGTATAATGTACGTACATTGTACACGTTGCCCCCGCGCGGCTAAATTAAGTTTAGATTAATCAATCGGATGTGCTTCAAGTTGATATTGTCATGTTTCCCATACGCACATTGGCGCTTTAATATTACACACTAGACTCTGAATACCTCCGAAAACTATCAATGATAACGTCCATCAGATTGCTGAGACATATCCTGTACTTGTTCGGACACAGTACTCAATCGAGTAGCAACACCCATGATTCCAGCCTCAACATCGGAAAGGACAGCGGCAAGTTCGTTCACGGTCGACCGCGGCGCGGCATTGCCATCACGGGACTTGGAGCTGACAAAGTCGCTGATCTGGCGGTTCAGTGTAGCCTCCACACCGTGCAGGTGATCTTCGATCTCCTTGAGGTTACCAGTATATTTCCCAAGAACATCCTTCATCTCCTTGGAGCGGTGTGAGAAGTAGTCGATCAAATTGACGGGGACACCGTTGACTGAAGTCGCGGACGCGTCACCCTCAACTCCATCAGGAAGGGCGAGTGTATTCTTGCGACTCGACCGCATGGATCGCTCGGGAATGTTTTGATCCTGCACAGACCACCATCCACCGCCAGTCGATTGGTATTGCAGGGGCAGTTTCAGTGTATCAATGGCACGGAAGGCCACCTCAGCCTCGGCTGCGTCCCGTGTGACAAGGTTGCGCAAGCCATCAATATCTCTGGCATCGTTCTCCAATGCGTGTTGCATGGTCTCTAGTTTGCCTTGCACAAAGTCGACATCGTTGGGGATGGTCGCACCCTGCTTTTCAATTGTGGGTAGCAAATCGCCCACCTCGTGACACATCTTCATTTGGTTCAGGATGTGTTTGTCGATGGCCTCGATTTGGTTCCGAATCTCATCTGCACAGCTCTCATACTTTGTAGTCGGTAGTAGGTTACTGACATCAACTTTGACACCTTGGATCACCGTATTATTGTTGGTGCTCTGTTGAAGTGGTTGTGGGGCCCCTTGAGCAGCGGGTTGACCGAATAGCGAGAGTGTAGGCTTGTTAGGCTGTTGCTGCTGCTGCTGTGTGTTGTTTTGGCCAGCGCCGCTGTGGAAAATTAGAACGCGAATGAGATGAATCGAGCGACGTCGGGGTCACTCACAACATGCCTGAGCCATTTACGTTTGATCCACCGAGTACACTACCAAAGGCCGGCTTTGCTTGAGATTGGGCCGTCGACGCGCCGCCGAAAAGACCACCACCTAGACCGCCGCCCGTTGTACCCTGAGTAGTACTGGTGCCAGCGCCAGCGGTTGCTCCACCAAAGAGATTGGATGCGGGAGGTTGTGTAGTTGTAGCGGCTGCATTTGGGAAAAGGCTGCCACCGCTGGGCGCGGAAGACTGTGTAGCTCCAAACATGTTGGATCCAGTTGTCTGGGGCTGTGTGGTTCCTGCGGCCGGGGCGCCGAACAAGCTTCCTGCTGGCTTAGGTGTGGTAGATGCTGCGTTTCCGAAAAGACCGCCGGTTGTACTCGTTGCCCCGGGAGTAGCTGTGGATGTGGATGTGGATGTGTTGTTGCCGCTGTGAAGAGGTCGTGGTTAGCTTTTTTTTTCTCTCTCGCTGGTGAGACCGGCGTGACTCAGCCAGCCTGCAAGCCACACAGAGTGACTGGAGACTGGAGAGTGGAATGACGATCGATTGAACTGGATCAGAGCAAGGGGCAATCAGGCTGATAGGTCCAGTTGCATGCCCGAGATCAGAGACAAAGAAAACATGGGAGGACTGACAACAAAGAACTGGTGGAGTTGGTGTTGAGAGAAAGTCCACCAGCGGGTGCAGATGGCTTGGGAGCAAACATGGTGGGAATGTGGCAGCCTTATTTCTTTTATTTAACTCCCGTCAATAACTTAATAGAGAGCTACAGCTACACAATGCGATTTGCGGAATGCGCGAAGCTGCTCGGCGTTTGGTTTTCCCGCCCCCGACGGGCCTTGCCTTTTTCTTGTAGATTTCGTACTTGATACTTCGCTAATGTATGCATTGGTCTATTGTTTATTTAAAATTTTTGATTGAAAACATCAAATGTGGTCTTACTGTTGATGCAGCCTGAACTGCTATTGGATGTAAAATTGTAGTGTGCGCATCTTGGTCAATACATGCTCGGCTCACCTCGACTCGTTCGTATTCTGTTTAGGCTGCGAGTCAATGTACTTAAACGGAAGGATGATCTCTGATCGAGTCTGACCTATCTCAAGTTCTCGGCACAGGCAACAATCCAAGGCCTTGCTGTTTACTCAAAGCACACATTTTTATCAACATGGCCGAGGACGCTGGCCAGGGGATGCCAGTATGTGTGGCATCCACAAAGCTGCTTCGTGGTAGAGAGACACTGCCGGAAGAACCATTACGTTTCTCTCCAGTTTCTTTGTCAACACCGGCACAGCTCCAGTCCAAACAAACTTCAGATGACACGTCCATCGATGAACATACGGACTTGACCTGGTTCAAAGGCGCAGAATGGTAAGCCTTCAGCACAACCATGCATCAATATATGTTGACATTGTCATAAACAGGACCCCAGATGGAACCACGTTGCTGACAGACTCAGCGGATCATTCGATCAGAACGTGGATCTTGTGAGTCCGCATATCTCCCCTCCTGGCTAATTCTCCAGCTGACCCTGCTAGACCACCAGATCTGTTGGATAACCAGAAGCCCGCTCACAGGCTATCACCATATTCAACGCTACCATCAGCAGAGCCTACATATGCAACCGCAGTTTATCCGTTCTACGATCTCCAGGATCCTTCTACGACATTGTTCCTCTCTTCTGTCCGTGACCATCCTATCCGGCTATCATCAGCTCTGGCTCCAGTTTCAATGGCAAGCTATTCCCTCGTGAACCCAATGACAGAGGCATTCATTACTCCGCACTCAATGATCTACCCCTCAACACTAGGCGGCACACATTTCCTTACTGGCTCAGACAGTCTAATTTGCCTCTTCGACGTATCCAGGCCAGGAACGCAAGGACCTATATCCTCGATGCCGACAATTCCCAGCAAACGCAAGCAGATTGTTGGTGGTGGCATCGGCATGAAGGGTATTGTGTCAGCCCTAGCAGTGAGCCCTACTGGCGACGGAATTCTCGCCGCAGGTACTTTCACCAGACACGTTGGACTCTACAACTCCAATGGCTCTGGCGAGTCCCTTGGAACTTTCAGTATCGCGAAAACTGCTGCAAATCGTGACATTGGTGGCCGCGGCATCACTCAACTTGCCTGGAGTCCTTGTGGCAGGTATCTGTACATCGCCGAGCGAAGAAGTGACGGCATCTTGGTTTACGATGTGCGTGTCACGGGGCAGATGCTTGGACACCTGCGCGGGCGCAAGGCTCTTACAAATCAACGAATGAAGATTGAGGTGGTACCTTCTGGCCCAGATGGATCTCATGAGGTTTGGGCTGGAGGCACAGATGGGTTCATGCGAGTTTGGAAAAGCCCAGAGTTCTCCGCAGGGGGGCAGGATCCGGATGCAGAGTTCAAAGTTCATGATGGTAAGAACCTTGTTGATGTTCACGAATTTTCGATGCTGATAAATGCAGATGTTGTGACTAGTGCAATCTTTCACCCCATGGGAAATGTCGCTGCAACCTGCTCTGGGCAACGACATTATCATCTGGATGATTCTTCTGACGAGGACGACGATGATACGGAGAGCAATGGTAGAGATATTGATAACAGTCTCAAGGTCTGGTCAATGCCCTTCCTGCGTTCAGACCCCGAAGCAGTCCTTGGCTCGGAACTTATTGGTTGATGCCTAAATGATGGAGTATTGCACAGTTCTGATGACACCGATTCTAAACAAATGGTGTATCAGGGTCTTTTTTAATGTCGCTTTATACCCTGTCCACGTTGCACTGAAAAAGGAAATATTCTCAGTATTAGACCGTCCATTGAGATTTTTGTTCAAATGTAAATTGTTTGCTGGCTCTAATCAAAGTGTATAGACAGTGAAAAAGTCTTAAAACGGGATGCTGCTGCATAAAGCTCTCAACACCGAGTTGAGTGTTTAAGGAATCCGAATGCCATATTTCTCGTACGGGAAGTCTTCCAAAGTGGAATAGATCTGACCAAATCCGTCACCAATCTTGCCGGGCTGTCCGGCACCCTTCACACGCCAAGCCTGGAGTTCCTCAGCCTCCTTCTCAGCATCGGCCTTCTCATCTTCCTTATGCGAGCCGGTAGCTCCAGCAAGCACCTCTTCCTCCCGGCCCTTGAAGGCACCCAGGAGACCGGGGTGTGGGACCCAGGCGACTTGCATACCGGCACGACGACCGGCTTCGACGCCGGGAACTGCGTCTTCAAAGACAAGACACTCCTCGGGCTTGATCTCCATCTTTCCCTTGGCGCGCAGATCCACATTTATGGTCTCCAGCGCAAGCAGGTAGATATCCGGAAGAGGCTTGCCTCGTCCCTTTCCGATCCGTGGGTCGTCGCCGAGGACCTTATTTGCTTCGGGGAATACAGAGAAAAGCTCTGTCAAGTGATCCGTCTTCAATTTGTAGTTGGTGCGGTGCGACGAGGTGGCCAGCGCGATGTACACGGGCTCGTCAGTTGACCCTGTGGACTTGAGGTTTGAGAGTAGGGTTGGCACGCCGGGAAGTGCCTGCGAGCGTGGGAAGTATTTTTGCTGTAGTTCGAATCGCTCTTTGTTCAATTGCTCATCGCTGATTGGCAGCTGGGCAAAATCGTGGAAGATCTTGCCGGCCTAGATACGTTGTTAGTATGTAATAAGACCGGTTCTAGTAAAAGACGGACCTCTGGCTGTGGACGACCTTGCATCTGCGCCTTAATTGACCAGGGGAGCAGAGGTCTGCCATACTTCTGGAGAATTTCGTTCGTGATCACAGTGTACAGATCCTCCGAGTCAATCAACAAACCATCCATGTCAAAGAGACATGCTCGGATGCGGGGAAGTCTATCCGTACGGTCAATTCGGGTTGCACAACAGCCACAATTGGCGAACATCCCACTCACTCATTGGAAGCCATAGCTGTATGTATGTCTGTACAATACGTGTTAAGGGTGGGATATTGACAAGGATTCGATAAGACGCGGGGAAGAATTCCTTATCAGTCCCGTGATGCTCTTGGCAACATTTAAATGTTGATGATCTCGCCTACATCAACCTCACAAGATGGCCAATCCCTCCGATGCGCCCGAGCGCGACCCCAAGAATGGCCACGATGATGCTGATGACAGTGGCGATGAAGATGTCTTCCACGATGCTCACTTCCCAGCGGAGGAAGAAGCCGTGAGTCGCTCAGCTTTCGTATGCTTGACCCTGCTTGCTAATGTCATGTTTGCAATAGCAACTCCTGAAAGAATCCCAGGAAATCAAATCTGAAGCAAACCAGCTGTTTCTAGCCACAAGCTACGATCAAGCTATCTCCTGCTACGATCGAGCGCTCGCTTCCTGCCCAAATTACCTCGACTACGACGTTGCCGTTATTCACAGTAATATCGCCGCTTGCCATTTGAAACTGGAAGCTTGGAAGTCGGCGGTAGACTCAGCAACAGTCTCCATCGATCGCCTGGAGAAAATTATTCCATCTACCTTGCCGGACAAGGGTGACGAGACGAAAGGGAAAGAAGCAACGAAGCCCGATGCGAAAGACAAGGATGACGTAGTCGAAATCTCAGGCGATGACGAAGAGGCCGAATTGGAAGAACTTCAAAGATTGAAGGAACAGGATGAGCTCAGGGCCAAGGTCCTGCGACTTCGAGCCAAGATTCTCATGAGACGCGCAAAGGCGAAATCCCAGATTGGTGGCTGGGGTAACTTGCAAGGAGCCTCAGAAGATTACCAGGCTCTTGTTGCGATTGAAAACATCTCGGCCGATGATAAACGCGTTGCACAGAAAGCGTTGCGGGAACTTCCTGCGCGAATCACCCAAGCGCGCGAAAAGGAGATGGGCGACATGATGGGGAAGTTGAAGGATGTGAGTACTTTTCCCTGGCGATCCGCCGCTTGCTGTTTGTGGGCAGAATTGACCTGGAATAGCTTGGCAACGGCATCTTGAGCCCATTCGGCCTTTCGACAGATAATTTCAAGTTCGTTCAGGATCCGAAGACTGGAGGCTATAACATGAACTTCCAATCCTGATGCGGGTTGTTCCGTCGGACACAATCGCCTTTTCTATTTATCGAACAGCGGGTACATGAGAGACATTTGATGTTCTTTCACATGATTTTTTGCATACCTGGCAGCAAGCCTGAAGGCGTTCTAAATTTGCACATCTTACCTTACCCTTGTATTATACATTTTATTCCACCTATTCTTTCCAATAGCTCTTGCCGTATTTTGAGCTTTATACCACTAGCTGTTTGGAATGGTTATCATCGGGAAAGTTGTCACGTAAATGACGTCGAAGCCAAATATAGCGTCAAGGCTCCAGCCCAAGTTAGAGTGATAGGATTATGCGATTCAAAAAAAAGCAGTGGGAAGAGGAGGACAAGAAGGAGAGGATAAGAAGGGGAGAACAATAGCAAAGAACACTTTCTTGATTTGAAAAATCATTGAACTTGTGGACATGAATAACTACTGCGCTCCCGAAACCTTCTCTCTTTTTACACCTCTTTTCACGGCTCGTTATACAAGTCTCTATACGTCTCTTTATACATTATATATCTCTATATATCTCTCTTTTCTCACTCTACAACAGACAATTGAGGGTTCTTTCTGCCATATTCTTTTTTCGCGCTTGAAGACGAGAAGGCCAACATCGGCTGCATCCAGAATGGTCTGTCTCTTCGAAATCAGGACACCAGGAGTACTCAGAGCTGCATGTTAAGATGAGGAGATTGATCGCTCTTTAAAAAGGATTAGAACCACGTCGCAGATCTCTGGAAGTGTTCGGCCGCCAGGCTCACTTTCAGTTAGTCATATATCTCCCTTGATTGCTCCCAGTCGCCTTAACTCACTATTCTACAGGATTGACTTTTACGTGAGCAACGCCCAAATCACTATCCACGACCTCCACATTCACTTGGTTCTCATCATGGTTCCCAACAAGTTCGGCCATTTGGCTACTCTTAGTGCCGCAAGAAACCGACCATATCCAAATATAGCTGTATGCTTTCTACATATCCTTACATCGGTCTTTTTCCAGGTATTTTTCACGACATTTTGATTCTTTTTCAAAATCCTTTCGGTTATCAGTAGATAGCAGTGAAATATCCCAAATGCCTTTGATATAGGCTTTTATTAGACTTTTTAGACATCATTCAAGCTCAGTCACTTACTTTGAAACATTATCAACTGAGCCAAAACATCAGTCTTAACATTGTATCATTGAAAGCGGTTCTGTCTGACCTAAAAGTGATGTCTGAGAAATTCTTTGAGAGTAAGCACTGGGTTAGGCATAGCGGAGAAGCCAAAAAGTCGCTGCAGAACATACTCTTGTTGCAAAGGCATACTACCATTAAATGCTAGACTATGAACACAAAGGTTAAAATTTAAGACTTGTCTGAGCCTGCAGATAGATGTTTGACAGTCAAGTCGTCTTTGATGCAAGATTTGATCTGCGTCTCAGCACCGTTGAATCACACTGCAGCTTGCATCACATGCTCAGCCACCAAACCGAACCCTTTCATTTCATTTGACCTATAAATCCGGGGTCCCCAAGCATACATCCAGAACAAAACAGGGAATACCTCGCCACAACAAAACCATGCCACTGAAAGTCTACAGAACAGAGTCGATCGGCGCAACGCGAAACCACATCGCCATCTATATTGAGACCGCCCCGACCGAGGACGCAGGATGGCTCCATCATGTCACTGGAACGATCCTCAACGGCATGGACTATACACCTAGGGAAACACCCAACCCTGTCCACTTGCCGGAACATGTGCCGTCCTCAATGAAGCAGATTGCGACTATCGAGGAAGAGGATCTGGAGAGGTTCCGAGAGGAGTGCTGCCTGGCGGTGCCTCCCCCTCAGGCTCAGGTCACGCTAAGGGGCACCCAATTGTATCCTGATACGCCGCTATATCGATGTGGGGATTGGCTGAAGGATGTTCAAGAGCTGGCTTTCAAGAATGGGATTTTCAAATCGTTTGAAAGCGAGGACATCAAAACTGAGCCTATCATATAGAATAGGGTATCTCATGACAGTAGACTAAAAATCTCCAAACTTTTCACGGTGTTTGTCATTGGAATTGTAATATCACCGAGCTTGAAGATAAAGATTATCTAGTAGGCTTATCTAGGTAAAAAGCACCAGTTAGATTCCAACTCTTCATCCCATGGACGTTGTCCCCTGATAAGTACCATTATAGCCCTCAACTTCCTCACTCATCAGGTGAAACACCAATTGCGCCAATCGAGCAGCAGGATAAACCCTCAAACCAGCGGGATTCACAACCTGCAGCAGAGCACCAACAGCCCCTTCATATCCACTATCCATCACACCGGCATGGATCAATACACCCGATCGGAACAATGAACTGCGTACAAAGATCTGACCCATAGAATCGAGGGGCACGGAAACCGTCTCATTGAATTCCACGAGGTAAGATCCCTGGACAAGGTCTAGAGCCGGACTTGCAGATCTCGGAAATGTCAGTTCCTCGGTTGAGGCAGTCTGCCGAAGTTTGTTGTCGAGATCGATGACGCCCGGAGAGGTCCACTTCAAGACCCGCTTCAGTGTGAGGTCCACACCGCAGGGTTGGGTTTGGAGAGGTGCTTGTACATTGCGTATGATTGACCGAGTGATAAGAGACCGACCGGGTAGAATCATTGTAGTGCGAGTTATCAATGTTATGCAGTGTTTATCGATAGATTTGTTATTTTTCTTTTCTTTTTCTCCTTTTTCAATGTGCACACAATGTATATTGTTTACGGTTTGGATGAAAAGGGGTTAAAAAAAACAAAACGCCATGATATCCACGCCGAGAGCACCGATTGGTTCGATCCATAATCTTGAAAAATCACATCTCTGCAGATCAAGTCTATGTTGGATCTCTACTGTGGAGATTATTTCCTCGCCAAATACCAAGTTCCACCACCAGTTCCACCGCACAGTTCTCAGGGCTTCGTTGGCGTCTTGTCTATGCGTATCTCAAGGAATAGTTACATACGAAGTACAATAGTGCACTATGGACAAGGTGAAAAGGACATAGATGGTGGTATGAAGTGTAGATTTTGACAGTCTAGAGTCAGTTCGTTTTGACTATATACAATTGAATAGTGAAATCAAGCCCTTACCGTGATACCTAGGTGCCTAGGTAAACCAGAGCAATCAAATAATCCACAAAATGATATATCACTAATACAATAATAGTTAAGGTGATCCAACCGAGGCTGTAACAGGTACGAAGTTCAGGAGAGAGATTAGGTTTTAATGCTTCGTCCAATGAGCCCTATACCGACACGGGAACTATGGAGAACTATGGAGACCTTAACCCCCCTGCGTGGAATTGGTCGATTTTTACTTCTAGCATCCGTAGCAATTCTTTCTATTTAATCCTCAAGTTTCCAGATCGCGAGTTGGCTTTCGTTTTGAAAATTGAAATTCGTTTTTTACAAACATTAATCCTTAAACAATGCCTACGGTATATCGTTCACCCTACCCAGATCTCGACATCAAGTCGATCGATCTAGTCTCCTACCTCTTCTCTAATCCTTTCAACACTCCCCTCGACCGACCTCTGTACGTCGATGCTGTCTCCGGCAAGCAATATACATACGGCGATGTGATCCAGCGTACGCGCTCGCTTTCAAACGGTCTCCGCCAAAGCATCGGCGTGAAGCCTAACGATGTCGTTGCCTTCTTCAGTCCCAACTCTATCGAATACCCAATCGTCTGCCACGCCCTGATCGGTTCGCGAGCTATCGCTTCCCCAACAAGTGCGGCCTTGACGGCCCTCGAGCTGAACGCCCAGCTGAAGACCAGTGGCGCGCGCTTCGTCATCGTCCACTCGTCTCTGCTGCAGACCGCCGAAAAGGCAGCCAAGGGAACCTCCGTCGAGAGAATAATTCTCCTGGACGGTGAGCAGCCGTTCAACGGAAAGCCCACCTGCGAGAGCATGGCCAGCACCTTCGCCCCAACCGAGTTCCTGACCGTTGATCCCACCGAGGCCGAGCGCCAAGCAACCTTCATCTGCTTCTCGTCTGGAACCTCCGGCGCAGCAAAGGGCGTCATCACAACACACAAGAATATGACCTCCAACCTACAGCAATGGCGCTCGCAGATGCTCGAATCCGGCGACCCCTCGCAGCGACCTACCAGAAGCTCCGCCATCGGATTCCTGCCTTTCAGCCACATCTACGGCCTCAACCTCTTTGTCTGCCAGTGTCTCATCTGGGGCACGACCGTCGTCGTCATGCCCAAGTTCGACCTCGACGCCTACCTCGGCTATATCCAGCAATACCGCCCAGACGAGCTGTCCATCGTGCCTCCCATTGCGCTGATGCTAGTCAAGGACCCGCGCGTCTCCAAGTACGATCTTAGCAGCGTGCGCAGAATCATGTCTGCTGCTGCGCCGCTCACGATTGAGCTGTCTTCTGCGCTCGAGGCGAAGTTCAAGGAACTCTGGAAGACGGAAGTCTTCTGTACGCAGTGCTGGGGTCTGACGGAGACCTCGCCGCTGGCAACTGCCATCCCGAATGACCGTCTCGAGAAGCGGATTACGGGCGTTGGCTGCATCGTGCCGAACATGGAGTTCCGCTTTGTGGATCCCGACTCGATGAAGGACGCCGAGGTCACAGCTGATGGGTCGACCCAGCCTGCTGAAATTTGGTGCCGGGGCCCCAATGTCGTGATGGGTTATTACAACAACGAGGAGGCTACCAAGGGCGCGTTCCACGTCGATGAAGATGGGAAGAGATGGTTCCGCACTGGCGATATTGGAACTATCGATGCTGAGGGCTACATCTCCATCCACGACCGCATCAAGGAGATGATCAAGTACAAGGGACTGCAGGTGATCCCGAGTGAACTGGAGGGCAAGCTGATCGACCACCCGGACGTGGAAGACGCGGCTGTTGTTGGTAAATGGGTTGATGAACGGGCCACTGAGCTACCGGTCGGCTTTTTAGTTCTCAGCCGCCAGGCCAAGGAGAGGGATGAGAAGACCGTCATTGCGGGAATTAACTCATGGCTCAATGAGCGAGTTGCCAACCACAAGCGTCTTCGCGGAGGTATTCATCTCCTGGCGCAGATTCCCAAGTCGCCCAGTGGAAAGATTCTGCGCAGGGAGGTCAAGGAGCTCCTGAAGAGCAAGGCTCCCAAGGCTCGTCTGTGATTTCCGTGATTTCCTTGATTCGAAAACCTATGGCAAAATGTCCACAGGCATAATTCTCTGTACTATATTCTGCACCTCGCTTTATAGATAGCAATCTCAACCGTTTAATTTCCAATACTTGGTTTCAACTTGACATCTGTATGATCCACGTGTTTTGAATAGTGTCAGTTGACTCAATTCTTTCTATGTCCAGATGCAGACTATTCCAAGTTATGGAGTCCACAATCCAATAGACGAAGATCTCAGGCTCTAACGAAGATCCCCCCGACCCATAATTCGGGGTCCGCGGGCCCCCGCGGGCCCCGAACGGAAATGATTTCACGTCCGTGGGCAATTCGCAAAACTAACAAATATCTTAACTGAAGATAGGGGGACTTTTCAAGAGACTTGTCTGAGCAGGTCAAATGCAAATTTTCCTTTTTCACTTTGAACAAACTCGTAAACCTGTGAAAAGTTGAGATATTGACATATAATCTCGATTCACCCTTGCTTAACGTGGCGTCAATTCAGAGGTCTGACCCACTTCTTTTTCAAATACAGAATTGTGTCCAGTTTCAAAAGGCATGGGCTCATGGTGGAAAAATGACGAACGACCTAAATTCGTCGAGTTGAGGTCATCAAGATGGTTCATCATGTTTGTTGTGTCCTTTGCGGCAGGGACGGACATTTTCATGTATGGGCTGATAGTGCCCGTGACGCCGACTGCCCTAAAGGATAGGGTGGGACTGTCAGAGGACAGTATTCAAAGCTGGACCTCTATTCTTCTCGCTTTGTACGCAGGTTCTTTGCTGGCATTCGCACCTGTTGTTGGGTACATTGCTGATCGAGCAGAGTCGCGTCGATGGCCGCTACTTGTTGGTCTTATTGCGCTGGGCGCAGCTACAGCTTTGCTGTGTGTTGGTACCAATATTGCGTTGTGGATTGTCGGGCGCCTATTTCAGGGTGCTGCGGCTGCAATTGTCTGGACTGCTGGTCTTGCTTTGATGGTTGATACCGTTGGCAAGGATGGTCTTGGTCAGGCAATTGGATATGTATCCATGGCTATCAGTGTTGGAACGTTGGGCGGGCCTCTTCTCGGTGGTGTCGTCTACCAACATGGAGGGTACTATGCTGTCTTTGGCCTTGCGTTTGCTTTTATTGGACTTGATATCGTGTTTCGATTGATCTTGATCGAGAAAAGACATGCCGACAAATGGCTTCTGCCGGAGTTGAAACCCCTCCCGGCAGCTGGAGAGAAGTCGACAGATACAGAGGCAGCAGCGTCTACTGAAACCCCCGTAATACCGAGAACTGGGTCAGACACACTCACCTCCCAGAACGATCCTCCTTCAATCAGTGCTTTCGCGCGTGTCACGACCTTATTAAGCTCACCCCGTCTCGTCGTATCTCTCTGGGGATACTTCGTTATTTCTCTCGTCTTGGCCTCCTTCGACAGTGTGCTACCACTGTTTGTGCAAGAAACATTCGGATGGCAGCAAAGTGGCCAAGGATTGATCTTCATCCCGCTCATGGTGCCACACCTCATGGATCCAATTACCGGATGGGCCATCGACAGATTTCCCAAATCCTGTCGCTACTTCACAGCCACAGCATTTCTGTCTTCTGTCCCTGTGCTGGTGCTCCTTCGGCTTGTGACCGATAATTCCATGCATCACAAGATTCTACTATGTGCCCTCCTTGCTCTGGTGGGTCTCTGCTTTGCCGTAGCTATGCCACCTCTTGTTGCCGAGACCTTCCATGCCGTAAAGGAAAAGGAGGATGAAACGCCCGGTATCTTTGGCCGTGGTGGAGCCATGGCTCTTGCTTTTGGCCTGGTCAACATGGGTTTCGCGGCCGGTGCCCTTATCGGGCCATTTTTCGCGGGCTTTATTCGTCAAAATGCAGGATGGGGAACGATGGGATGGGCATTAGCATTAATTGCCGCTTTTACCTCGGTTCCGGCCTTGCTATTCCTTGGTGGATGGATTTTGAAGCCAGCCAAATCGGAAGATGAAGTTTCAGTGACGGAGAGCACTACCTCTTGAACTAAAATTACATGCATAATATTCGAGCGTATACATTTCATTTTGTACTATGTACCAACTTCAATAGATACCATGATCATGAATTGATGTGGATTTCTGATCCAGGAAGACAGAAAGCTAGACGATCAGAGCTTTACCAAAATACAAAGTAAATAAAGACTAGAAATTCATGGACTTGTACCAACCCTAACACCAACATAGCATGCATCCGGCAAAACCGAGGACTCCCCACATCCGAAAGTGTTCCCCGCAGCCCCACAAGATTCATAATTGCTGACAACAATTGACCTCACTTTCAAGGAAAAGTCTCGGGAATTGAACGACGCAATATTAGCCGTGGTAATGGAGCTACGTTTGTGGAGCTACTTCGCATTTCGCATACTTCGGGCGCCTATACTCCCCAATTGTCCTATAGTTCTATAACCAACATACTTCGCCATGGCACCAGTGATTCAACACCGAGGCTTGAATGCCACATTCACAGGAACTGAATGCAAAGATCAGATTGAGCCTATTCATCAATTCTTGGGCATTAAATATGCCAGTGTTCCGGCAAGATTTGAAAAGGCAAAGCCTGTCGTGGACTTTGAGGGAGGTGTTGTCGATGCCACGAAATATGGGTATGATACACCAGATAAAATAACATCAGCAGCTTGTTTGAACGTCAACTGACATTCAGCTAAGACCGAGATGCCCCCAAGCTGATGTAGACGTCCGCCATCTGCTCCGCATCCCAGAGGACTTCGCTATTGCCCCAGAAGTAGAGAACGAATTTGAATGTCTGAACCTGGAGATAACATGCCCGCCCAAGGAATCTACCACAGGGCCTCTGCCTGTTCTTATCTGGATTCATGGTGGTTCTCAGATTGTCACATTCTGTTCTGCCGCCTCAAAGATCTGTGACCCGACCAAGATTGTCGCGGACTCGATCAACGCCGGAAAACCGGTCATCTTTGTCTCAATCAATTACCGCTTGAACATATTCAGCTTTGGAGATGGTAGAGAGAAGAATTTGGCGCTGAAAGATCAGCGGCTGGGTATTGAATGGGTGCGACAGAATATTGCGGAGTTTGGGGGTGATCCCGTAGGTGGTTTATATCCGTCCATTATCCCTACATTTGTAAGAAGAATCTGACCCTTTACAGCAAAACATCACTCTATCAGGTGAAAGCGCTGGTGCAATCTATACTCACGCTCACCTAATCACCGGCCCTCCTGTGAAACGGGCAGTCATGGCATCCGGAACGCTTTACCTGTCCTCGCCATTGCCAGTGGAAAAAGGTGATGGTCTGATCAAGGCACTCGAAGCAAAAGTCCGAGAACTTGGTCAGCCATCATTGCGACGATCATCGGTCCCTGTGCTGGTCCAAGCATTGAAGGAGTGCAATGTGAACACCATGTGGATCCAAGAAGAGCCTGAATTAGAAGGATGGGAAACTCGGCCAGAGCAGGTCGAGGAAGTAATGATCGGTGATACCGAGTACGAGGTTCGTCAAGTATCATTTTGTCATGAGTGAGCTTTTGCTAAAATGCGATGCAGTCTGTTATTTGGCGTAATGGTGTCGAACTCTTTGATGGAAAAACAATCGCTGCGGCATTCGACAATGAGAAGACATGGGGCACCCAACTTCGGAAGATGTATCAAGTCGTAGCCGATCGCCCGACAGCTGCAAAATTGGGTGCTCTGGATCTCGTGAACGATGCTCGGTATACCCTCCCCGTCGAGGTCATTGCCAACAAGCTACAGAACGCCAACAGACGCGTGTTCAAATATGTCGTTGACCAGCCTAATCCCTGGCAGCCGTCCAGTCGTGCGCATCACGCGGTTGATCTACTGTTCCTTTTCGATGGAGTCGATCTATCGTTTAATCCTGCGGCCAGTTCTGTCGGGAAGGAAATGCGACAGCGCTGGATTCGGTTTGTCAATGGGGATGGACCATGGTCTGATGACCGGAGATTTGCCTTTGGGCCTGTGGGAAAATGCAAGGAAATTGATGAGACACAGTATGCCGCTCGCAGGCGCGTTGAGCACTGTAAGGTGCTGAAAGAGGCTGGGGCTGACGCGTATATGCCTATCGTATTTGCTTTGACAGCAGGTCGAATCAGTTTGTTGAATTAGAATATAGAAGTACACAATTAAAAAATTTTCCTGGATTTGAACTACAATCCATACATGCGTTGTATGTGCCTACATAGCTAGATCAATTTATCACAATATACATACTGACCAGTTGTCTCGACGCGAACGCACATTCTTGTGATTTCGGCAGTTGAAATCCCCTATAAATCCCGTGTCGTCACATAGTTACCACATTCACCCCAAATCTTAGTCTCTCACGGGTCGTAGCCTCCACCTTTACTCAGTCCTGACTCATGTGGGGTTTTCATTAATCGTCGCGACATTATTCCTCCATCTCGTCTGTGCATAACGCTCCTCACCATTCACCGTGTGAATAGAGTCCACCGCCCCGGGAGGTCGGCATGTCGACTGAACCTCGCTTTGCCGATTTATAGAGCGACTTACCTCTTTAGTCGTCCAAGGCACCAATATCTCGCGTCCAGCTGATGGTGCTTTGTGGCGATGACGGATGTTCCTCGGAAGACCGTGCCCTGCCGTGCTTTTCCCAGGGATACGGATCGAATGAATAATTCGTGTTTGAAATCTTGGAATGTGTTGCTTTTTTGGTCTTCTTGACCCCACAGTCTGGACTGGTTCCTTGTGTTGAAGTATATAGGGGTCAATATTCCCCCAGAATTTGGGAAATAATTTAAAGAAAGCGGGATAGCTACCTGATTTTGTCTATTTCATCTTGTGCCTTTAGACCATTGATTGTATCATGCCTTCAACCGACTCCTTGGCTGACCCTCAGGAATATCAGAAGATATTCCACTGGGCTGAAACCCAGAAGGATGGTACTATCCCTTCCTTCAATACAAGGCGTAACGATCCTTATGAGGTATTTCGCTCTCCATCATCCACACTTGCTAGAATGCAGCTAATATCTCGCAGTATCAAGCCGGTTTCGGTAACGAGTATGTATTTTCAACCTACACATCTGGCTATTCAACATGCTGATGAAGTAATTCCGGAATAGCTTCGCATCTGAAGCAATCCCTGGCACAATTCCACACGGCCAAAATAGTCCTCGCAATGTGAGATTCGGCCTCTATGCCGAGCAAATGACCGCCACAGCTTTTGTAGCTCCACGGCACTGCAATAAGAAGGCGTGGCTCTACCGTGCCCGCCCCGCCGTCGCCCACCAGGGCTTCGTATGCGCCTCTCATTATCTCTTTGGCGGTCACTACTGACATCTTTATAGACTGAGCTCCCTGATAACAAGGATACTGAGGCAAACTTCTTGCCTTTAAACCCTCGCATCCATGTTTCCCCTACCCAGCTAGCATGGCACCCCTTCGACATCCCCGAAAGTGGGGAGGTTGACTTTGTCTCAGGATTAAAGACCATCGCCGGCTCTGGTGATCCCACCCTGCGCGAAGGTCTGGCAACACACGTTTATGTTGCCAATGCTAGCATGAAAAAGAAAGCCTTCGTTAATTCGGATGGTGAGTTCTTAATCGTTCCCCAACAGGGCGCCCTCGATATTCAAACTGAGTTTGGACCCATGCTTGTTCAGCCCGGTGAGCTTTGCGTTATTCAGCGCGGTATTCGCTTCAGTGTGAACTTGCCGGATGGACCTTCTCGGGGATACATTCTCGAGGTCTGGGGTACGCAATTCGAGCTGCCTGAGCTGGGTCCTCTTGGTGCTAATGGCCTTGCGAATTCGCGCGACTTCTTGAGCCCTGTAGCGAGATATGAAATACTCCAGGAGTCGTGGGAAATCATCTACAAGCTTGGCGGCAAGTTCTTCAAAAGCACTCAAAACCACAGCCCTTATGATGTCGTGGCTTGGCATGGCAACTACGTACGTTGCTCTCTTTCTAGTGTTGACTTCGTTCGACTGACGCATTTCAGGTCCCCTATAAATATGATTTGACCAAGTTTGTCAATGTTGGCTCTATCTCTGTCGACCACATTGATCCGTCTATCTTCTGTGTGCTTACGGCAAAATCCCGCGATCTCACCGCGCCGATTGCTGACTTCCTCACTTTCTCCCCTCGATGGGATGTTGCCTCTCGTATGTATACCTGAGTATCCCGGTTTGGGTATCACTAACAAGCACAAAGACACATATCGTCCTCCGTACTACCACCGCAATGCGGCCTCCGAACTAATGGGCCTTATCTACGGTGACTATGGCGGCCGCTCAGATGCCTTCAAGCCAGGCAGCGTGTCATTTGAATGTGGCAGTATGTCTCGTTCATTCTTCATTATCCATCGCTCAATGCTAATTTTTTGAGTAGTGGTCCCCCACGGCGTTGCGTACGAAGAATTCAAAGAAGCTACCGACAACACACCGCCGGTGATGCAAATATCCCAAGCATCGATTGCGTTCATGTTCGAGTCTTGCCGTCCATTCACCATCACTGATTACGCCTGGAATAGCGAAAAGAGACATGAGCATGAGCCCAAGATGTGGGATAACTTGGTGGATAACTTCTCGAAGCATGCGGAAGAGATCGAGGAGATCTTGAGTAGGAAAGCGAAGGGTCTGTCAATTTCATGAGTTTTTTATGTGTTGAGAAAATGGAAATTTGACTATTGAGTTCTAAATTGCGACTTGGTTGATCTCTTCAATATTTTTTTTTTCAAAACAGAAAGCAACCGACACTCTTCCTTGCTCAGTCCGTGTTTATCTAAACTTCCTTCAAATTGACCCGATCTAGTCAGCTCATATTCAGGCACATTTAACAAGCCCACCGTTTCCCTGCTCTATCTCCAATAATTGTTGCACAGTGTTCACAACCGTATGCTCCAAGGGGCGCGGGGCAAACATTGAATCTCGAGTCACCTCACTGTTATCCATAACAAGCGCCGTTTGTTCTTCAAACCGTCCTGATGGCAAGCGGCCCTCCAGCAATGGAAATTGTATTTTCATGATATCAACCATTTGTTGATGGGTGCAAGGATCAGCAGAAATCGCATACCGCTGGTGAGAAGCAGCGACTTCTTCATAAGCTCGAATGTGAGGTGTGGCAAAGTCTCTAGCATCAACCGCAACGGGGAATGGTATAGTAATTATATTTCATCTGAACATTTCAACCTAGTGTAAGATTTGGAAATCGTATACCAGCACAAAAGGTCCCCATGTCTCATTGATTTGCTCGGTATTCCGTATTGGTCAGTGAAAGCTATGGACTTGCATCATGAATTTCCTTGATTTCCTTTCTTTTTCTTAGGGCAGAGGACTAATCAGGTTATTACTGTCAGCCACATCATGCAAATTGATTTGTATTTCATTATGTGGTCCCAATACGTGGCAGTACAAGATTGTAGCCACCCGCATGCATAAGCGGGCTAAGCGAACTACAACGTAAGACGTGAATCTCCAATGATCTTCATATATTTATACTACTAAATAGCGTATTTTTGATTATTTTTTGAGGAAATACCAAAACTATCGTGACGATCTTTTCGAGCCCCGGTCTCCATTGAAAGTTCGTCCGAAACCTCATCATCTAAGTCTACTAGCCCTGCATCGGATACAATTAAGCTACTACCATTGCGTGGAATCAAGAACCTTCGTCTGGCATCATGAGTTTCTGGCGCTCGATGCTATGCAACGGCCGTATTCTAGGATATCTGCTCATTGAATTCTCGAGCGTGACTGTGAGTACGAGCCTTTATGCGACTCTTCCTTTGCACATCCAAGAGAATTTTAAATGGGACCTAAGTGCTACCGGACTGCTGTTTGCAGGTATTACTGTTCCAGATAGCTTGATCAGTCCCCTCGCTAGTTGGGTCCGTGACAGGATTGGGGCACGATACCCAGCAGCAGTCGGCTTTATTGTTCAGGCATATTCCTAAGCCTCTCGGAACTTGCAGGGACCGATTGATTCCCCTGGTTGAACACTCAGATCAGCGGCAAAGGATTTCACTCGGTCTCTGTTATTGCTTTCGACATATTGCGGCCATTCGTGTCTGGTGTCGCGCCCGCCGAGTTGACTGGTAATTGGCCCTTACCCCAAGAATTTTCTAGTGACGATAACTAATAGATATTGAAAGCTGTTGCTAAAACATCTCAGGAGGAGAAATCAGGCCCTGTGGAGGCTGAAGGTGGCGTATCGCGCGTCATCGCTATGATGGATGTCGCTGCCTCTCTCGACATAATAGTCGGCCCAATAATAGGCGGTTCTCTAAGGCATTAGTCGGTTAAGAGTATATAGGCTTTACGTGGAGTAAACAAGCCATCCAAATTGTATAATCTTTGTCGCTGATAATCATAGATCTTCTACATGTCATACTCGCTGCACTTACAATGTGCTCTGGAGATGCTTATTACCAAATTCTTGTTCTGCGCCTAGTGCAAGAGAATGACTGCAAGGAACTCCGAATCGATATCAAAACCCTCAATGCAAACTCAAAAGAAAGTAAAGATACTAACCCAATCAGATGAAAGCAGTTTCTCTGAGGATTATTTCCCCAAAAATGCCATATACAGTGGCGCACTTCTCACTTCCATTTATACCCAAATCTCAAGTTTAGTGAAATAATTGTTTACCGTTTCCAAATTAAAATCGGCTTAATGACAGTCCCATCATTCATGCCGTGGAGAGCTTTCGGATAATCGGTCGCCTGCACTACTGGGTCAGTAGATCTTTCAGCAGTATACACAATGATGCACTCACATCGAAGTACTGAACAACTTGATCAAGCGGGAATTCTCCTTCCCTGTACCACTGAATCATTTGGGGAATAGCCTGGAAGTATTGTCAAAAAGTGCCTCAGCAAAGAAGTCGAATCAGTATACGCACAATACGAGGATCACAGTCCCCTTCAATACAACCGAGAATAGCTCTGCCTTTCTGAAATCACCCAGAATAGTCAGCAAACTACAGGTTTAAAGCAAGGACAACACCTTACATTCATGTGTTCTGAAAGGTTGATATTCAAAGTGTAGTTTTTCGGCGGTATACCAATGAAGATTACTTTTCCACGAGCATGTGTTGATTGAACGCTCTGCTCTATTATGGAAGGCACACCAGTGGTGTCAATAGCAACGGATGCGCCTTTAGGAACAATAGCTCGGACTGCATCATCTAACCTAGAAATCTCTGCATCGTTGGTGTTGATTGTATGAGTTGCGCCGAGTCTTCTGGCCAGCTCAAGGCGAGTTTGGACTCGATCGACAGCAATAATTACTTTGCATTTTGTGATCTTTGCAGTCTGTGCGAGATCAAATGTTAATCTTATGCACTTTTCTTGAAACTTTTCTTGAAACTTTTCTTGAAGAGGACCGCAACTAACCATGAGAGCCCCCATACCAACCGCTCCCAAGCCTGAAATCATGACAGAATCATTTGGGCCAGCCTGAGCGATATTATTTATTGCTCCCATTCCAGTCTGAAATCCACAGCCAAGAGGAGCAAACAGCTTTAACTCATTGAGATCTTGAATGAGATCCTTAGCATTCACAATGGAGGATTTGTTAACAGTACTGTACTGCGCAAGGCTGGATTGACCGAAAAATTGGGACCAGACTCGTGTGCTGTCTTTGCTGAGCTTCATAGATCCCTGGCTGCCGATATAATTCTTGGAAGCAAAGGAATCACAGTATGCTGGATGAGAAGCCTCACACTGTGTGCAAGTAGAGCATGAGTAAAAGGAGAGAAGGACTGGATCTCCAACTTCTACAGACTGGACGTTTTTGCCCACGACTAGAGCAACACCGGCGCCTGTAGACATCTCAGCCGTTAAGTCACAAAATCTAATGCCAGCGATTCAGTACCTTCGTGCCCAGCTACCTTGGGGTATTCGATACCAAGTACCCCTCTAGGTACTCTTGATAGAGCAATGTCCGTATGGCAAATACCCGTGGCATGCATCTCCACCAGTACCTCATCATCGCTTGGTGAACTAATCTCAACCTGCTCGAGTGACCAATTCAGTGTCAGAGGCTGGTCTGGCTCTCGAGCGATTATTGCTAGGCTAGAACTCATGTTGTTCCACAGAAGAAACTTCCTTTGACGCAAAAGGGTTGGACATCCAAGTTCATAAGCGGTTCATCTTTGCAACCCCGCAGTACTCTGGTCGGCCCGATGTACCTAGGCATATGTTTCTATCCTATAGCCGCCTAGCCCCGGAAGCATTCACTTAGCCATCCGCTCATCAACGAGCTCTCGTTTTCTCTCAAGGGAATCATCCCAACACATGGAAAAATACACAGAACCCCGCCCACGAGCTTTGGGGTCGCCATACGGCGGACATCCTCGTCTATTGTACATTTTACCGCGCTCATCGCCATCAACAACGAAACTCGCCCATCGCAGCGTCCCTTCTTTCCGGAATCCCACGCGCTGAGCAGCATTTAGGGACGCGGTGCTAGACGGATCCGCTTGCCACTGTACGCGACGCAGCCCTAAGCCACCTTCATCGGGTGTATCGAGGGCGTAGTGCAAGAACAAGCCAACAGCATGGGTAGCGACATGCGTGCGCTGGAAGGGAGGTAGAACGATAATGTAGCTCCCCTCTACCGACAATGCTGCAGCCCTGCCATCGGGATTGGCTTCCGACGCAGGTCTCGTCTTATCGATCACGGCGAAGAATACGGTGGTGCCAATTTTGCCGCGACGCCTGAGTCTGGACACTAAGTCCTCCTCCGTTAAGAACAGCCCGGTGGTGAAAGGGCCAGCATGCTTTGCGATCTGCTAGAGTGGTAAGTTCTCCTTCGCGGTGACAGTCCTCTCTTCCCAAGAGACAGACTTGCGTCGAACGGGGTGAGCTTCAGCCGATTAGAGGATAGCTCGCGCACTGGGAACTCGAAGACTTGGTTGATCGCCATAGTTTCTAGGGCTGCGTTGGCCAACGTTGGGGTGGAACAGTGTTCTGAATATCTACACAGTTCTGTGAATATTGGTTACAGAAGTGCCTTGCTTAGATTATTTAAGGCAGCAACTCTGGGCATCAATTTGTGGCCCAGCCAATACTTGAAAGATTCGGCGCCAGAAGAGTTGTTGTTCCTATAAATAGCGGCATCATGGCCTATCCGTCAAAACGCCTGTCAAATTTGAAACGAGTTTCACATTCAACTGTTCATCTATACTTGTCTGTGCGACCAGCTTATTGACACCATATATAATTTCCCGATTAACAAAGGAAAGGAATAAAAGGCATATTATACTCGGTTTCCTAGCCCGGGAGCCCATACGGGACAATGCACATCCGATTGCAGAAGGTGATAAACGAGTCAGACAGCGATGCAGCAGTTAGCTCGGTGAATTCGCTAGTATGTAACATATCTAATTTTATAGTAAAGTCTATAGATATCAATGCAGTAGAGACATGGCCAATGACTAAAGAGGAGAAGCAAAGACATTTCTCGTTGACCTCAAGGGGCTATGGTACAATTCCTTGATAGTAACACAGGAACACATCCTAAAGACATGGCACACAAAGTTTGGATATAGCAGATAAAGATATGTTCTTTACAATGTTCAACCCTCCAAAACTAAGTTGTAGTTCAACCCAACCTCTTTAAAATGTTCAAGGGTCCAACTCTTGATCCCATCGGTGATCGGTGATCGGTGTTTCGGCCCCCGTCCTCAGTCAAATCCGGGGTCCGACGAAGCGCGACCCCGACAGCCCTAGCTCTTGGTTGGCCATTATTCTCCTCAGAGACGGGAAAATCGCATTATATAGACCCCGATCTTCAAAACATGACCTGCAGATCTCGCTGTTAAAGGCATACCGGCGTTAGGAAGCGGCTCGAACTCAGGGTTATCTCTAGCGTCTTGGTTTGTTGCAAACATATAGAGTACACTGTGCCTACGTTTCGTTATCCTTCAAGCCCATGGATTCAGAGTAATCTTTCTAGAATATTGATTCTCACATTCTTCAAGTTCAACATTAAAGCCCTATAACAAGCTTGGATGTTCCTTACGTTTACCGAATCTCTATCGATTTGACAATAGTCCGTGCCCAAACCCTCACCTACCCATTCAGAACATTGAATTCTAACTGAATCTCAGAAAATGGGAGGACCCTATATGCCCAAAACAGCCGGAATGGGCCTGCGCCCAACGATTCCCCTCGATGTACCAATATGCGCCGTCTTCCTCGCTCTGTTCGTCGCTGGCGCCGCCTGCCACATGACCCTATTCCGCCGCAACCTCGCCAGAGGACACAAATTCATTCCATCAGCCATGACATTCGGTTTCTGCATGTCCCGAATCGTCGCTAATGCAATTCGCATTGCTTGGGCTTGTCATCCAACAAATATCAGTCTTGCTATCGCGGCACAGATCTTCGTTGCCGCTGGTGTGCTGTTGCTATTTATCTTAAACTTGCTCTACGCACAGCGTATGTTCCGGGCTGTCTATCCAATTATAGGATGGTCTCGTCCTGTATCTTGGGCATTTAAGGTGCTCTATGGTCTCGTTGTGGTTACTATAATTATGGTCATTACTTGTGTTGTTCAGAGTATGTACACTTTGAACACCAACACCCTCCGGATCGATCGCGACATTCAACTCTACGGCCAGACATACTTCGCTATTATCTCATTCCTGCCCATGCCCCTTCTTTTGGCTGTTCTTCTGTCGCCAAACAGGAAGCGAATGGAACAATTTGGCTCCGGCACCTGGGTCGCTAAAGTGTTCATTGTCAGCCTTGTCGCTGTACTTCTTTGCCTTGGCGCTTCATTCCGCGCTGCTACATCTTGGATGAAGCCTCGTCCTTTCACACATCCTGCCTGGTACCACAGCAAAGCTTGCTTCTATGTGTTTGACTTTGGTATCGATATCATGGTTGTGGCTCTCTTTTTCGTTGCTCGTGTCGACCAACGATTCTGGGTTCCAAATGGTAGCTCGAAAGTGCGCCATTATCGAGGCGTTGAGGATAACGAAGAGAAAACACAAGGTTTCCAAACTGAAAGCGCCCTTCAAAAGGAAGGCGAGCGAGAGCTTGAGAGTCGAGGCAGTAGCATGTCTCGTGATTTGACGGAAACAAAATAGAGCACTTTCGTTGTGCTCCAGGGGTTTGATGATGTACATTACAAATATAATCAAATTTTACATAATGATCCATATGAGTGAGCTCCAAGAAAAAGCATGATGGAAGCCGAAATGTAGACGATCACTAGATGGATAGCCTTGATACTGGAGATTTACGGAGCCTTACAGTATCATACATATGTACCAGGAAAAGATAACTAAACAGACGAGTTCAAGCTCATGGTTATCTGGTAGTCTTTTGTTCTAGTTCCCAACTTGCGAGAAAATAAATTTGAAATGCATGTCATTCCAAGTAAGGATGTGAACTCCTAAACAGCCCCACAGTAATTAAGGAACCGAAGTCATAATCTGTCACACCCTCCGAGTACTCCTACAGCCTCAAGGAACTGATCTTGCAAATGGTCTTTTATTTTCATGATTGGTATCAACAAGTGGCCAGGCATTGAACCATACAGAATTAAGTAGGCGAGAGCCCTGTTCGAATGCAGCCCCCATTCTCCGCCAGTCCAAGTGCCTTTCGAAAGGAGGAAAATGAAATCTATCACAGGAAATAATCCGGTGTGCGCCTCGATACCATAGGTTCTCCCGCTCGGGGGCAGGGGTCGAATTGTAGGCTGGGCAGGTGTTAGTAGCTTGCATGAAAAGAGTGACCTGTAGGAATATGGGGTATACCCATATACTCACAATGTGTATTTCAGATGCTCGTCGATCTCCATAATCGCGGCTTGGTTGCCGCAGCGGTAACAGTAATTTGGGGCTAGGGGTCCGGTTAGTCATTTGGGTCTGTACAAGCCCGGCAACGAGAGTCATACCTGAGAAAATCGTGACGACGTTGCGATCCTGCGACCAGTTATATCCTTCCATCACCAATTGATGGGCACGTGCCACCAGAGTCAAGCCATTGTTGTGGTTGAATGCTTCAGAGATATCCTGGCCGAATGTGTATCCAGCACCTCTGGGGGATATTCCCCATCCGCATCGGTCGTCGGGGTCACTCCAGAGCAAATCACACATAGGACCCTCATGGGGAACTTCTTGGATGCGATCAAGCGACCGGATGTTGTCGAGGGTATCGATGGACGGACTCAGTCCACCGTGAAGACAGAAGATCTGGTTTTCGATGAGAGCAGTGAGGGGAAGGTAGTCGAAGAGGTCGGTGAAGTATTTCCACACATTAGCGTTGCCATATTTGCGGAGGCATTCGTCATAGAAGCCGTAGACCTGTGTGATCTGTCGGGACTCGTGGTTGCCACGGAGAATGGTAATACGCTGTGGGTAACGAATCTTCAAGGAGACCAAGAGGGTGACAGTCTCAACTGAATAGTAGCCACGGTCGACATAATCGCCTATATTCAAGAGAAATTAGGAATTTTACTCCACAACGCCTTCATCCGACCGAAGCCTACTCACCCATGAAGAGGTAGTTTGTATCCGGATTAGGACCACCGATACGGAAAAGTTCCATTAGGTCGTGGAACTGTCCGTGTATATCACCGCAGACCGTCACTGGGCATTTCTATCGGGGTGGTCAGTGGGCTGGGCGGACATGACAACATCCCGACCGAGGAACAACATACCACTGGCTGCACATTGGACTCCTCCTGCAGAACCTCTCTTGCCTGCAAAGACACACAAATGATCAATTTCAATTCAGCCATAGATTGTCAAACCAAGGAACCAACCCGATCGCATAGCCGCCGCACGTCCTCCTCCGCTAATTGCTTGCAAGTCATCAAACTCTCAATCCATCCATCCAGAGTCGGTATGGACCCGGGGTCACTCGTTGGCGACAGACGGTGTGGCTCGGGGGACCGCGCAGTATCGATTTCCATGTTGTTATCCATTGCGTCGGGTGTGCTCAGCTGGCTGAAAAGGAGGGGCCAGCTGGGGGAGGGGCGGTCTCGTGAGAAAACAACGGAATTCGTGGATGGGCGCAGATATCGTGGGGGTCTGAAAAACAAGGAGATTTACGCTCCAGATGACAATTCAATTAAAAGACAATTTTCCCAAGATCGATTCAAGGGATAAGGGGATGGACTTGGGAACGCGAGAAAGGGAGAAGAGATGGGAGTTCGGGAAGGTCAAGTTGAGAGTGGTGAAAGCAAGATGCGCCACACTTCGCATTTCAGCCACACACCGCTTTGCCGCCCGTACGTAATTTCTCCAACTACGACATCGTACATGAAAGAGATGTGATTGTTAAGTGATGGCGAGGTCTTTGTTTTTCATTGTTCAAAGTATATTTGCTGAAATTTATAAGCGAACGTATCTTTCGTGGTTAATTATAACATATTAAATTATGTCCCCGCCAAACCCACCACCAAAGCCTCCAAAGCCTCCTCCACCTCGTCCATTGTTACCGAATGGGCCACGGTTCCGACCAACAGGTGGCTCACCTGGTCCTACTGGGTCATATCTTGCTCCAGGAGGTGCCCTGGGATCATAGCCACCACTACCATTCCCTCTTCCACCAAAGAGGGGGTCATCAAAGGTAGGATGCATACCACCACCCGAACCATAGCCACCCATACGTCCGTTGAACGGATCATTGGGGGCAAGCCCTTGTGGGTAAAGATCTCGTCTTCCAATACTGCCTGGGTCTCCTAGCCCTGCTGGGCCATCACCAAGACCTGCTGGTCCTCCTCCGAGCCCTGGTGGACCGCTTCCAAGTCCCCCTAGATATCTCTCCGGGTAGCGGTTCATTTGATGCTCATCTTCAAACCCAGGAGGGGCAAAGTCTACTGGAGGCTTGGAGCGCTGGGGAGCTGCCGCCAGAGGGTCATCTAATGGACGTGGACGGGCAGGTTGGGGAAGAGAGTCATCTCGTAGAGCGTCACGTTGTTTCCTTTCCGCTGGTAGTTCCCTTGGCGGCTGGCCTGTAACCTCGTAGTCTTCCGGGTGCAAACCGGATGCAAGTCTCTGGATGACGTTGATTTTGAAGAGTCCAACTAAATCGCCCAATCGAGCTGGCGAAATGAATACATCCCGTAGAGAGGCGGTGAGGTTTTCGGCGTCGGATAGAGGGAGGGCGGTGGTTGAGACGAACTCTTTGGTGGCAACGTCGAAAGAGCTGGTGCGGTCGTCGCCTAAAGCGAGCGCAAAGACCACAGCATTGCTTCCTATTCGACTCACTTTGAGCAGATACTGTGTCTTAGATTGTGGGTGTGCATATCGAAAGGCAAATGTGTCGTTAGTGTTCCATTCTGCGGGGAGGGAAGTATGATCTGCGGATGTTTCTGTAGATGTCAGCGAAAATACATCGATAGAATGAGAATCAGAAGATGCATACCTAAGTTGTGATCTTCGCCAAGACCAACCAATCTGAAATCCACCGCTACCATGCAGGCGTGGCCGATCAAAGCCACGGCCTCATATGGTGTTTTGAGGCTTGGCTGTTGGCTGGACCGAATAGCTGCCACAGCAAGGTCTAGGATATGATCCTGGCGAAAGGCATCTGTGCCAACCATCTTGAACACTGTTGATAGATTCAAAGTAAAGTATTTGTAGATAGACTGGAATGATAGAAGCAAGAAATGCGGTTTACTCTCTCAAATCACAAGTGACCTCACTTGGAGCTGGCCCGTAGCGGCGGAACAAAGATGCCCCGCCCGAGCTACAGTGCCCCACTTGCCTACTCCGTTCAAGGCTAAGTGTAGGGCTGCATACAAACTATACAAACTATACAAACGTCACAGAAAGTATTTATATGTTGACAGAAATAAACATCGCTTCAAAGATCTCATTTATGTACATGACTAGATTGAACTTTATAGCATCGCCTTCGGGAAGTTCTTCATCGCCTGCCGCACTCCCAAATCTGCCAGAATCTCCTCGGTTCCACCCAGGATAGCATCGAACTTGTACGTGCGGTGGAACATCTCAATGATCTTGCCCATTCCTGACTGAGTGATACCGCGACCGCCAAAGATATTTGTGGCGTGGCTGGCAATTTCACCGGCAGCTTGAGTACAGTGTGATTTCAGCAATCCAATTGGTCCACCAAGGTGCTTCGCTTGTTCGGCATATGTCATGTTGCACATTTGATAGGCGATGGACTCGAGCCAAGCCTGGTTGGACTCTGTGAGGGAGATCATGCGAGCCAGTCTGTCAAGTATTAGACGAAAATGATGTAGTGCAAATGGTAACCGAAACTCACTTTTGACGGATGGCGGGTTGTTCAATCAACTTCTTGCCGAAAACGATGCGTTGATTGCACCATTTCATGGTCTCTTCCACAACGGTCATCGACATTCGGACTACTGCGGCCACCATCATGAATCGTTCATGGTTGAAGTTGCTCATGATAACAATAAAGCCCTTGTGTTCCTCGCCAAGAAGGTTCTGGACTGGGACCTTGACATTCTCAAATTGCACGAATGCGGTAGCAGCAGCAGTTGAGTATGAGGTTTTGATAGGTTTCGTCTCAACGCCCTCGCCCCGAGGAATCAAAAGCACCGAGAAGCCCTTCTCCGTACGGCATCCAGTAACAAAATAGTCGGCGAACATGCCGTTTGTGATCCATTTCCTGCGTCTCGTCAACACACGACCTCCAAGAACAAGATTACAGAATGGGGATTTGAAACTTACTTCGTTCCGTTCACAATATAATACTTGCCATCGGGAGTCTTCTCGGCAGTAGTCTTCAAGCCAGCAACATCACTACCAGCAAAGGCCTCAGTGATAGCCAGGCACATCTTCTTCTGGCCCGACAACACCTCACCGTTAATCCGCTCTTTGAGGACAGGGTCACGCAGCCACTGCTGGACGGCGGTCAAACTGATAGCCATACCGGCCATATTGCCATCCTGGAATCCTCTGGCATTGGCACGGACCAACTCTTGTGTCACAATCATATCGTGGAGGTAATCGAATTCCTTGCCATCGACAGCACCACCAAGCAAGGTGCGGTTGTGCAAATGCTTTCCCGGGCCCAGTCGCATGGCCAATACGTTCGTCTCGGCCATACGGTTGATGAGTTCCTGGCTAATATAGGTACCATCTCGTTCCTTCTCTTGGGCCTCGGGCGTGACATATTTGTCCGTGAATTCGCGGACTGCCTTCTGCAGGCGTCGATGGGTCTCTTTGTAGTAAGGGGACTTGAATTCCGGACGTAGCCATAACGGTTCGGCGTAGGGGACGGGGCTCAGGGCGCCAGGTGTAGGTTCGATGACCTCGGGCTTTTCACCTTCAATAATTCCTATGCAAAGCTGGTCGCGGTATTTCTCAAGTACCTCCTGGCGGTGCAGGTTGTAGAATTCAGATGTTGCGTCCTGGCCGGCGACCTGAGCAAGGACAACGCTGCCACCGGGGTGGGCGTCGACAAAATCTGTTAGATCATAGACTCGGTGGTCAATGATGCACCAGAGGGAATCCTCGGTGGTGTGCTTAGCGACTTCCTCGCGTGTTAGGATTTCAGAAGGCATTATGGGTGTGGAGAATATGTAAAGAATTCCCAGGCGAGGGGTGCACAGTAAATACCCCAGACTAGCAGGTCTCCAATCACGCTGCTTCTGATTCAAATTAAGCCGAGGCCCGAGGTGATGTCAGCATGTTGCACTGCCTGGACGAGCTCTGGTTAGTTCATATGGCCTAAAATATGTAACCATAATATTATAAATCAAATATCATGCGATGTATGTATATCTCTTTTTCGTGCTTATGCCAATAACAACAATGATCGATTCGGCGATTTTGTAAAAATTCATGATCAGCGACCCACACGTGGACGATCGACAACGGTTATACTTCAACGTTCAAATTGTAAAACACAAGGGACAGCCATTTAACATATATCGGTCAAATTTATTTTATGAACACAGTTTTTGATCCCAAAAATACATTCGCAATTAAATCCTGTTGAATATATGTCTATCTACAACCCGTCTAAAAACTCTCATATTCAAATATGCTCTCTAGGCGTTTGTGTTTCCTTTTTATCAGTCTTTTTCTGGGTCTACTCAGCGTTCTTCTAAGGTTGTCTTTGAATCATCAATTTATAACGGCTGAAGATCCTGACTTGCTGTCTCATTGGAAGACTTTCGATATAACCTGTTTCCAAAAGTTTTAAGTACCATGTAGGCAAATATGCAGACATGGTATTGAAATACATTGTATTCATGTCAGAGGCCCTACTTCCGACCGGCTTTCATATCTTTGACCGCCTCTTCGATCAACCACGCACAGACAGGCTGTGCATCACTTCCAACTCGCCAGCTACCCAGCACAACGCCATGCTGTTCAAGGACATCGGCTGCGCGCTCCCAGCGACGCCTCCAGAGCTCTTCACGTTTGTTGGGGAGTGGTGCGGGCGGTACGCCTGACTCGTTGGATACAGACGGTCGCTTTCCACTAGCCTGTGAGCCGGAGAAGTTGAGTCGGTCGCTTGCATACTGGAATCCTTGGTACGCGGCCTGGGCGGCTGCGGCGGGGTATGACTGGATGCCGCCTGTAGATGGAACGGGAGTAGTCGATGCACTCTGTAGAGTCGATGCACTCTGGTCTACACTGACGATTGATGATCCGGTGTTTGTGCGACGAGGAGGTGGGCGAGGTGGTGGCGGTTTAGCGCGAGCAGCTTGCGTCTGATTTTGCGTAGTTGTAGACCCGCTGTCAAGACCTTTGAGCCACGAAGAAGGGATGTCGTTCCCTGATGGTGCAGTGCTACTTCGGGAGATTCCTGGTGATGGATCTGCCTCCGTCTTCGGCGCAGATGCGCGCTTAGGTGGGACAGGGGGAACTGGCTTGCGCTTAGGAGCTTCCTGTGCAGGTGGTTTGGAATCAGTCTCTGTCGCATCGGAGGGTGTGGCGACCTGGCGCAGCGAGGATGGTTTGGAGGCCTTGGCTAGGTCAGCCGGCGTGGAAACCATGCGCAGTGCAGATGGTTTAATCGGCTTCACCGGTGGTGGGCGTGCAGTGGTAGGGTGGGTAAGCCCGGACGGAGGCGGCTTATCGTCAATAATGAGATCTGTAAGATCAATCAAATCCTCCAGCTCCAGATCTTTTGGATCAGGCTCCGAGTGCATTGGCGGTGAGCGTATTGACGGTTCAACACTAGTGCCACTTCTAGGGGGCAATACAGGCCTGTTCATAACTGCATCTGAAGAGTCTTTTACATCCGGTGAACTTCGACTGCGTTTGGACGGACTGAATTGGCTGACGGATTTGTCGAAGAATGGCTTAGTCTCCACGGTTGTGACATCGCGAATGAAGATTCCCAGGATCCGGCCAGGGTTTGCGAGGACGATCTCTGTGTATACTTCCAGATCGGCTTCACCGCTGTCACCGACCAAGATAAACTTGCGTTCGGGGAAATCACGCAAGATTTGTTCTAGCGAGCCTCGCTTTCTCTCTGCTGTGGGCTCAAAGATTCCTTGCAGCATGCCCGAGTACTGCTTGAGATGGAACGATCCCGGAGGCAAACCCACCTTCTTGAAATACCGTTCGAGGAGGGGGTAGAGCTGCCAAGGCGCATTTGATACATAGTGGATTTGCACACCTTGCTTAGCCATCTTTCCGTACCAATCGCTTACTCCTTCAATGGTAAGCTCATCCAGTTCACGGATGAATGTGTTTCGGAACATTTCTTTGGCCCCGCTAGCGATGGCAGAGTGCTTCACTGTATCGTCGATGTCACTGATCAAACTGATTCCAACAGGGTCGATGATTTCAATCGGTCTGGCAGCAGACAGGTCCTCGGATGCTAACACACGAATATGGGTGGGCACAAAGGGCAGTGCAGCGCGAAGGCTAAAATGACCTGATTCATCTGTCGTGATATTCCGGGATTTGCTCTCATTTTCATCAAAGAAGAACACAGTGACCGGCATGCTCGCAACCGGATTCGTCAGGAATGGACGAAGTCTTTCCATGAGGTGGGCATTTGCCATAGACAACTCATCTTTGCTGAGCGGTGCTGTGGGCTGTTGGGTTCGGTCCACACTCGAGCTCTTCCAGGCCGGGTCTGCGTCCTCAACGGCCGATTCAACGAGCGACTGCATTTCCTTGTCGACATATTCATCATCGCCCTTGCCCGGGATCTTATCAACAATTTCATCGTTCGAAGATCCTGTCGGTGCAGCAATTCCACTCAGTTTTCTGGCCAGAGCAATCATCAACCTATGCTTTCGGCTCATTGGGCCCCGACCAGGAGCGTAGATCCAGCCACGCACATCGACGGCCACAACCGAATCCGGAGTCTCTGTTTCGTCCCAAGCAGGCACATATTTATCATCATTCTCAGCTTCTGCAGCCGCACCTCGATATTCGTCGATGGTCTCGGACCATGAATCGCGTCGAGGGCGGGGGCTGGCGTCTGTCTTCTTTGGCCCTGCCAGTTTCCTAGCATAGCTCGGGAATAGAACCATTTCTTCATCGCCTGAACGTGCGATTTCAACATCTGGAAAGGCGCCAGGGGTATTGTAGTAATCTTCGTCATGTTCATTCCTCTGACCGGCCCACTGAGAGGTGTAAGCTTGGCGCAGTTCATTTGCCGCCTTGAGATATCCATATACCTTCTTGCGACGGCTACCAGAAGCAGCGGCACCATCGCCACTGCCTGATCCCCATGTCGATGAGAGCCCGGATTGCGCCATCGAATCGTTTGGTTCGGGGCGGGGCCCTCGGATCGACTTCGAGTATCTTGTGGTTGGTCTATTGGCTTCTGCAGTGCTTTTCCAAGCCCTTGAGCGTCGACGTGGCCCTAGTAGATAGGCTACAAATCGTCCTCTTAGTTTAGTATCACGCGCAGCAAGTCGCGCTTGCCGTTGGACGATCGCTCGATAGACCCGCGATTGGACCCTATGCCGGAGAGCGGGGAGGGTCTCGTGCCGGAGACCCCAAAGACGGGACTGAGCTCGCCTAGTTGCGAGTGGGCCAACAAGTAAACTGAGTATACTCGAGAGCTTACTAGGTCGGGGTTCGCGAGGAAACGAAGGAAATAAGGTGTTGGGTGAGCGCTTAAAGAGAAGGGACCTTGGCCGAAGGGTTGGCCAACGGGAATGAGGTTTGGGCGCCAGGGTCTCGATTAGTGAAGGATAGCCGATAGTATGGGAAGGTCATGAAAAGGAATGAAAAAGCCAAGTCGAACAAGGCTGATGTTGAAACTTGGTATACCCTGCGGGGAAAGAGATCGCCCATGACGATGATTACTCGGGTGCTCACCGCGTTCATTCCGCACAATCCTGCTTCGGCTCGGAGAATTTTCACGTTTTGAGTGTTGAGTGTTGTTCAGTTGGATGTTGCTTTATTCTGCTTTACTTTCTAAATTACTCATGAATAAGTTCAATTTGCTGGTATCTTGATGGTTCCATGTGACACTGCTGTGAAAGAAAAATGATGTGATTTTTTTTAGGAATTTGGAATCATATGACTTCGTAAACTTCATGAATGGCACTTCGCTGGTTGAAGTCTAGTATACAATATTTTACAAGAACATATAAACAGGTCGACATCAAGTTGCCAATTATACGCCGTCCTCAGTGTAGTTCACCTTCTTTGCGCGGGAGCTTCGACGAGACGCCGATGCAGGAGTTGAAGCATTGTCCAACTCTGGGACCTCTTCTAGGTCTACACTAGACTCAGTCTCCGAGGCCTTGCGCTTGCCGCGGGACTTTGTGGAAAGGGTCGTGCGCTTAGTGACCTTGGTTGGTTTCTTCGTCGATGTCTCTATCTTGATAGGAGAATCTAGAGGGACATCATCGGCAACACCCTCGGTCTTGGCCTTTTTCGATGCGGTCTTCCTCGGGCTTGGTGCAACTTTAGGTTTGACAACCTTTTTCATTGGCCGTAGCCATTCTTCCATGCCCCGAGGCCAGTAGACTCTGCCGTCCGGGCCGCCCATGCCGACTTCTTCGTCGGGGATGGTGCGAGGTGGGGGAATAGAACCTTCCAAGTCCACGAAACCACCAATCTTCTTGGATTTTTTGGGCGGTTTGAAGGGTTGATTTTCATCAGAGCGCATGTAGGGTATCAAATCATTCACAAGGTTGTAGCCGGGTAGTTTGAAGTTTCGCATTAGCTCAAACACTGCCTGTTCCTTGTCTTTGGCCTCGATCATCAGATCCATTGTAGGAGCACAAGGAGGCAGAGTAGCAACGCGGTCGCTGTGTTTGCGGCGTTGGCGCCGAGTGAAGGCGGCAGCCGTTTGCTCGGAATAATGCATTTTCTGTGTGATATTTTTCCGGGACCATGTTGCTGCTATGCGATCGTAGAGAGGAATGATATCCTCCGTGCCTTCACGGAGCTTATTGGCATCAAAAATGATATTGTGATGGTGGTAATCGAGAACAAGGGGAATGTTGAGCTCCTCGCAGATGGGCAGTAGATCATGAACAGACCAGCTGACATCGTCATTCTCCAAGACTAATCGGTTTTTGATGTCTTGCGACAGCAAAGCGTAGTTTTCTCTAAACCGATCAAGCGTTGCTGCCTTATCGCCAAAAACTCCGCCCATATGAAGGATCATGACGGCATCCCGGTCTTGCTGGGGAGGCAACTTGAGTAGCTGAAGCATCTCTGAATGGTATTCTAGATCACGGTAAGAGCTCGCTATGACTTCTTTTCTTGGCGATCCAAACTGCGTGAACTGGCCAGGATGAACCGATACTCGATGTCCGAGTTCTGCCACCACTCGCCCTGCGTCTGCAAGCACTTCCGATGCGAACGGTGCCAGCTTATACCCGTATTCTTTGTGGCTAGCAAATGGAAACATCTCACTGCTAAGTCGCATGAATTTAATACCATATTTATCATTCCAGCGAATGATTTTTACCAAATCGCGCGCATTCGCTAAACCGAGCCCCTCGACAAATGCTTGTCCACGGGCAATATCTGCTGGTTGATCGCGATCTGGACGATTCTTAGTCGGGTGTGGGGGTTGTTCAGGGTCTTGAAGCGGGTGCCTATTTTCGAGAATAGAGGCAATTCGACAGGTGCGAGAGCAGAAGACGGAGGGTGTTGAATATCGAAGGTAGGTGTTCAGACAAGCCTGATCAATCAGAGTTAGGTTCTTGCTATAAAATACAGGACACCCAGCATAATGAAACCTACATATCCCAATCGTCCTTTCCAGGGAAGTGGAAGATAACTGCTGTGCACAGGAGGCGGACGCCCAAGGGCTTCCTCGAGCTCATCTGCCTCGATTGGAATCTCTTCATCCGATTCCGGGTCGAGAGAAGCCTGGCGACCGGCCGAAGGTATATCTCCGTTAAGAATATCCGCTGGTTTCGCTTTGAGTCCAGTGTCAGCTGCCATGGCCAGATCTTCTGTACTCAGGTGGCTTGGTTCTTGACCAAGAGCTTGCGAATATGTGCGGCGACCAGAAGTAAGGTTTGGTAACTTGGCTAGAGGATGCGCAATGCGTCTTGACGTGAAGCGCAAAGAATTGATAGCAGCATGACGAGCATTTGTGACGGATCCGGTCCTAGCCACGGGAATCGATCGACCGGTAATTATCAGTGACGTGTGGCGACCCTGCGGGCCAGCTTCCAAGGAACCGGCATGTCGGAAAGACAGACCTTGCAGCAGCCGAGCAAAAGACCGCCGACACATTCAGCGGACTTTTAGTGGTCTACGAGGGTTGAAGAAGTCAAGGGCGGGATGCTCCATGACGCGCTAGATACGCGACGCATCGTTTCCGTTGAATCGCCCAATCAAAACTATTTGGTCATTTCTTCACTTTTATAGAACTTATTATTGTAACAACTCATTTGAAACAAGATTTAACATTCAACTATCATTATTGGATACTGGGATATTGAGGTTCTAGAAACAATTAGCAAGAAACAATTAGCAACTTTGTATCACCAAATGAGGTCATTAGCTGCCTCAGGCGTCAATGCAAATCATGCAAATGTTCTTCTTTTTATGCGATAACCTATCAACAAGAAGAACTCCAGAGCTGCTAGCAATATTGTTAGCCTCATCCCCAGACTCGCCATGTATAAATGATTCGGAAAGGAACATATCGATAATTTCACGACCAACGGAGTACATATTCAAGTCTTTCAGCAAGGATCAAAATGAACCCAACAATGCCTCCTATGGACATGGCTTCGTTCCAACCCGAAGCCATGCAAGCCTGGCTCTACTCTGGCACATCTGGTGGTCTCGAAAAAAACCTCCGCTTCGAACCAGCTACCCGTGCACCCCCGGCCCCTCAGGGAAATGAGGTTTTGGTGCGAGTTATATCCGCAGCCCTGAACCCAGTGGACTACAAATTTCCCGAAATGGGATTGCCCGCACGCATGCTCATTGGCATGCCTGCATCACCCGGCATGGACTTTTGCGGCCGTGTAGTAGCTACAGGACCACTCGCAAAGCATCTAAAGGAGGACCAGCTGATTTACGGGTGTCCCGCACGGCCGGTGCAGTTTGGTTCGCTAGGAGAGTACCTCAGTATCACGGCCGACAAAATTGCGGTTTTGCCGAATGGTGTCCCTATTGATAATGCTGCTTCTTTGCCAGTTGCTGGATTGACCGCGTACCAGAGTCTAGAGGGCTATGTGAAAGCGGGAGAGAAGGTACTTATCAACGGCGCATCGGGAGGCTGCGGTATCTTCGCTATTCAGATTGCAAAGCAGATGGGATGCCATGTTACGACAATATCCTCGACTCGCAATATAGAGTTGTGTTTGCGCATGGGCGCGGACGAAGTCATTGATTATACCGCGCACAAGGACCTCGTGGCAAAGCTCCAAGAACGGAATGTCGTATTTGATTGTGTAGTCGATCATATTGGCTTACCTTCTACTTTATACTACCAGTGCCACCATTTCCTCAAGGAGGATGGAACCTTTGTGCAGGTTGGTGCATCGTCCATCATGACCTTCCTTGGGCGACTCGGGTGGCCCTCTTTCCTCGGCGGCGGACAGAGAAAATATGTCGCTGTGATGGTGAAAACTGACCAGAAGCAGCTGGTGCAACTTGGAGAATGGCTGGCAGAGGGAAAGATTAAGATCCAGCTTGATAGCGTGTATGAGCTGCACGATGCTGAAAAAGCCTTCCAAAAGCTTCGGTCCGGCCGCGCGCGGGGCAAAATTGTCGTTCATGTCAGTGATCCACATAATCAGAATATGGAATCTTTTGGTATTGGGCTTTGATGCTCGGGACTATCAAGATTCTACCGGAGTGACCTCGAAATGTTACAAAACACCCTATTTTTGAGATGTGCCATCTACATGTCTTTTCACAGGCTTTTTTTGATGACTTTTCCTGATATCCTTTCAACTGTGTACCATACAACCCGGATCCAATACAACACTTCTTGAAGTTCAGAAATGATAGGGTGTACTCTACCATTTCAGCAATTCGGATTGTGTTAGAATGGCTTTTTTTGCTCCGCCAAATTAGGATAAATGTCACTCCTTTGAATATCGGACATTATCTTTCTTCCAGATCATTGCCACGGCAAGCAGCTGTGCTGCTGAAAATCCACCACACATCTTCATCTGCATGCTGTAGGCGACCGCATATACCTCACGGACACGAATTTGAACCTCTGGCGAGAAAGTTCGTATTGCCTCTGTTGATTTTAGCAAAGCAGCCAGTTCACCAGCTTGTAGCACGGAGGACAATCGACCCTCAACATAATGGGAGAGAATGGCAGCCGCAGCTGCAACTCCAAGAACGCCACCCAACATTCGAAGTTGGATTCCAATGCCCAAAGCAATGGATTGATCTTCCATATCCACCACAAGTGGTGTCGCCATGTAGAATACGGATACTCCAAGACCTGTCCCCAAACCAGCTAAAACCAAATATCCGAATTGTCCAAGCCAAAGTTCGGTTGTGGAGGCAATTTCCGAAAACAGGAAAAGTCCTGTGATTTGCAAGACAAGTCCAATTAGTGCAATATAAGTGAAGGGCATTTTCAATCGTCCAGCCAAAACAGAGCAGGATATAATCCCAACCAAACAGGTCAGCGCAAACGACAGTAATTTGACCCCTGCTCCAATTGGCGAGCTCCCGTTGACAATTTGGAATCTTTGCGGAATATTGATGATGCAGACTGTCATCGGCAAACCAGTCGTGAAAAATCCACTAAACATCGATGAATTTGTCAGTCATAATTTCGGCCTCGGAGCCTTTAGGGGGTACGAACAGTGCCACGCCCATGAAAAGTCGGTTGTGTGTCAGCCGCCATGGGAACATTGGGCTGATGTTGATGTCGCGCCGACACATGAACCACTCCCAGCCGACAAATGAAATCCAGGCAATTCCTGAAATGACAAGGAAGCTGATGACAAGCCCCGAGTCCCACGGGTACTGGAAATTGCCCTCCTGGAGAGCTGCAATGATAAATGAGCATGCAGTCAAAAGGAGAAATGCCCCAAAGAAGTCGACTTGGTGAATAGCAGACTTCATCTTTACCAAAACGGGGGTTGGCATTGCCTCGTCACTTGCTACCGGTGCTGGGTTAGGGAAATGAGCCGGCATAACGAAGAAAAGCAGTAACCACCCAAGTGCACCTGCTGGAACGCTGTTTCCGGGATTAAATTAAATTGTGCAACGAATTCAAGCATAAATGAGTGTACGTACTTTAATAGGAACACCCAGCGCCATTTTCCATTATTGGCGATAGCTCCTCCTAGCAAAGGACCAAGGACAAGGCCTATTGAAAGGATTCCTCCCGCAAGCGAGCTAGCCCTGTCATATTGTTCGTAGGGAAGGATGCGAAGAATTGAAAACAATGTCAAGGTATAGATACCAGCACCACCTAGGCCTTGAAATGCGCGGCAGATGACCCTGAAATTGATATAAATCAACCACGTCTGTGATTATAAAGACGGGGAACTTCAAACTTACAGTTGACTCAGAGATTGAGCCCCTGCACAACCAGCGGAAAACGCGATAAAAATCGTCACGGCAGTGAGGATAGTCGGCTTGACTCCAAAGATTTTACTGAGGCTGGCCCAAATCATGAGAAATCCTAAACATCATGGATATTAGACATTTCCCTTGACAGAAATCTAGTAGGAGAGAATACCCGTATAGGTAAGCAGATATGAGGTGATAACCCAGCTGCTCTGGCCAGCATTGTGAAGGTCATCTGTGATGGTCACCAGCGACGTGCTTACAATAGTAGCCTCGACACCAGTGAGGAAAAGAGGCAGAGCGAGTCTAATGGGCGATTTGCATTAGCTCAGCTCAAATGTTGACTGCTTTCTGAACTTTCCTTACCCTGCTATTGCGAGATATAATCGTACTCCATGCAATGCGCCATTCCATCGGATGGCAACATCTCGCTCACTGGCATCTTCAACAGCCATCGAAAGTACTGGTCAGATTGACTTCAAAAAAGGGCCTAAAAGATTGCTTCATAAGTCTCATCGGGTACCGCTTATGTGTCTTTAACAGGAAACATGATCGACACTCACGCAAGCCCCCTAGCTGAGAAACAATGCAGAACTAGGAAAATTGTGCACCTATCCCATTTTTGCTTCTTCGGATTCGATCAGATTTATTGTTTGGGAATCTGTTGATACTTCCGCCCCCATCGACCAACTGGATCTGCAGGTGCGCCACTATTGTCCATATCGGCTACTATCTCCTAGTCAAGGAGCTCCACAATTCAGCTTCTTCATTCCTGCACTGTATTTCTTCTGAACAGTTGAGATGGGGAGCAAGTACTCTGAACATCAACCACTTACGGATTTCTTTTAGACAGACAGTGTCGAAAATACGTCCCAGAACACTTTATTGAAACAAATGTTAAGAAAAGATCGGTCTTGTCGAACAATCCTGATCTTACGCCACGCACCATGCATTGGCTTATGTGAGGGTTACACACATATGCATGAAGCCAGCTCACTCTGCATCGACCCACAAATTATCCCCTTACAGAGGCAAGCAGTGGCCACCATGACCATATTAGCGGGAATAAGATAATTTTTGTTTGTCTTCTTTTCCGGCCATTATTGGGAAAGGCTGATTTTTCAAGTTATATCCACCAATGACTCCTCGATTCCAATCAAGATTAACCTGCCTAAGGCAGCCTTACTCTTCTAGCTAGTATCTGCAATAACCAGTCGGTGAGATAAGTTCTAAGTGGCCTTTGTTCACTTCTATGCTCGTTTTCAGGCCCCCAGCGCTCGTGGATCCAAGGGCTAGATTTTGCGAGACTCCACCTGGGGGTTTCGTTTAAACATGCGATGGATTTACTGGTGCCATGATGCTGCGCGCACGGCTTACCAAGAACGTGACTCGGGTGATATGTGTCATGGATATTCTGGTGCCTTTCAATAATTGACCAGTCTCACGAACGACGTGGACGATCCAATTGTGGACGTCTGCTCTAGCCAGCTTATTGGACATCCAAAGGATCGGTCGAATGGCCGGGAAATCTGACCATTTCCAAATTCTTGTTGTAGCCCACCACCCTGAGTCAATACTATACTCCAAATCGTTTTTGTTTGAAACATATTTCACTTCTCAAAACCATACAATGGCTCCATCTGTTGGGAATACCAATACCCCGAAGAAAGAGGATTCAATTGTGAACGACTCCGAGATATCCAATGATGCCGACACGATCAATGACTATACCAATAGCGCAAACAACACCCAACCCTTTTGTGCTAGCAAGGATGAGGTACCTTTACAACATGTTCCAAACAAATCTCCCTTGGAACCCATCGCCATCTGCGGCATGGCCGTACGTCTTCCTGGAGGCATAAACTCACCACAAGAATTATGGAAGTTCTTGATTTCCAAAGGTGATGCTCATGGTCCGGTACCTAAATCGAGGTACAATGCCTCAGCATACTATTCTGAAACGCCCAAGCCAGGCAGCGTCAAATCCGAATATGGATACTTTCTTGATGAAAGTATTGACATTGGTTCTATCGATACCTCATTTTTCAGTATGGGAAAGTCCGAAGCAGAGCGTGTAGATCCCCAGCAACGACAAATGCTGGAAGTCGCCCGGGAATGTATAGAAGATGCTGGTGAGACCAAGTGGAAAAGACGGCCCATTGGTTGTTTTATGGGCAATTTTGGCGAGGACTGGGTCGAAATGTTTGCGAAAGAAAACCAGCAATATGGCCAGCACCGAGCCACCGGCTACGGAGACTTCATGCTGGCGAACCGTGTTTCGTATGAGATGGATTTGACAGGGCCAAGGTAAGCCGATATATATTTGTACACCACGATGAGCCATCCATGAAGTTTAACTTTGAACTAAAAGCATTGTCGTTCGTACTGGCTGCTCGGCTGCACTTGTTGCACTCCACGAAGCATGTCTGGCACTATCTAGGGGTGATTGCGAAGGAGCAATTGTCGGTGGTGCCAACCTAATTATGGGCCCAGGAATGACCGCTTCGATGTCAGAACAAGGCGTTCTCTCACCCGATGGCTCCTGCAAGACCTTTTCTGCCAACGCAAATGGATATGCTAGAGGAGAAGCAATCTCCGCTATTTTCATCAAACCCCTAGCCGATGCTCTCCGCGATGGAAATCCAATTCGATCCATTATTCGAGCGACATCATCCATCAGCGACGGGAGAGGGACTGGCAATGGAATATCCGTTCCGAATGATATTGCCCAGGAGGCTATGATCAGACGAACGTATGAACTTGCGGGAATCAGTGATTATTCCGAAACTGCGTTCGTTGAATGTCACGGCACTGGAACCCCCGTAGGAGACCCAATCGAAGCTAGAGCAGTCGGTCGTGTTTTCGGTCCCTCTGGTGGTGTTATCATCACGTCCGTCAAACCAAATCTCGGTCATTCTGAAGGAGCTTCGGGCCTCACGTCACTGATTAAGTCAGTCCTGGCTTTGGAAAATCGCGTCATTCCACCAAACATCAAGCTCAACGAGCCTAACCCAAAGATCCCATGGGATACTTACGGATTATCTGTTCCAACGGAACCGTTGAGCTGGCCCAAAGATCGAAAAGAGCGTGTTAGTGTGAACTCTTTTGGCATCGGAGGTACCAATGCCCATGTCATTCTTGATTCCCCTCATAGTTTTGGTATCTGTCCTGTTCCCGAACCGTTCAACTTGTCACCCAAATTGCTTGTCTACTCAGCCAACAATGTTGAATCACTGAACAGTATGATCTCTAACTACAAGAATTACATTCAAAAGAACCCCCGCAGAGTCGGTGACCTAGCCTTTACACTAAGCAACAAAAGAGTGCACCTACCATATCGAGCATTCGCAGTGAAGAACCCACTTGGTATGCTCACAACCTCGACGCCATACAAGTCTGGAGAACCACCTGCAGTGGTCATGGTTTTTACCGGCCAAGGAGCTCAATGGCCACAGATGGGCGGCGGATTATTTCATAGTTCTTCTTTTCCGGCTTTCAAGAAGACCATCAGGTCCCTCGACGCACATCTGCGAACACTTGAGCATGCTCCTGAATGGACTATTGAAGAAGAATTGCTTATGGCACCCGATATCAGCAGGCTCGGTTTGGCTGAGCTCTCTCAGCCTGTTTGCACAGCAGTTCAAATTGCTTTGATTGACACTTTTGCCTCTATTGGAGTTGAGCCTACTGCTGTAGTCGGACACTCTAGTGGCGAGGTAGCCGCTGCATATGCCTGCGGCGCCCTCACGGCCACTGAAGCCATCACCGTTGCGTTCTATCGTGGCCAGGTCACTAAGCTACTGACGAAGTCTGGGGCTATGGCGGCTATTGGCATGGGATCTGATGAAGTACAGCAATATTTGCAGACTGGAGTTATTATTGCCTGTGAAAATTCACCGAAGAGTGTAACATTGGCCGGCGACGCGCATGAGGTTGAAATCGTTGTGGCCAGAATCAAGGAAGCTAACCCCGAGGTCCTGGCGAGAAGACTGCAAGTCGACAAGGCATACCATTCTCACCACATGGCGGAGATAGGTGACCAGTATCATGATCTTCTTCAAAAACAAATCTCTGCAAAGAAGCCGACAAAGTTATTTTTCAGCAGTGTTGAGAATGGGCTGCTCACTCAAAGTAGCGATTTTGGTCCGAAGTACTGGCAAAAGAATTTAGAATCCCCGGTACTCTTTAAGTCTGCTATATTATCAATCATACAGCATGAGAACGCAAAGAATATGATGTTCCTTGAGGTCGGTCCTCACTCAGCACTTGCGGGCCCCTTGCGTCAAATCCAGGCCCATCACTCTGACTCATCTCCTTATGCATCTGCTTTGACCCGCAACCAGCATGACATCGAATCATTCCTCACAGCTATAGGGCATTTGTACTCTTTTAACGCCACTGTTGACTTAGGAAAAGTATCTTCCCAGGGCTCAACTCTGTCAGACCTCCCAAGATACCCTTGGGATCACTCGAAAAGATTTTGGTATGAATCAAGGTTGAGCAAGGAGTGGCGTAACCGTCAACACAAATATCACGATCTTCTTGGTGTTAGGGTGACAGAAAGTCTCGATTTTGACATTCTTTACCGAAATCTCTTTCACCTAGACAATGCACCATGGATTCGAGACCACAAGGTTGGCGAAGATATTGTCTTTCCTTTCGCCGGATATGCGGCGATGATTGGTGAGGCCGTAAGACAGGCTACTGGGGTAGACCAAGCATTCAAGCTGCGCAATGTTATCGTCAGCACTGCCCTTGTCTTAACCGAAGGACCGCCAGTCGAGATCATGACGACGCTGCGCCGCCATCGCCTGACGGATTATCTCGACAGCGATTGGTGGGAATTTACCATTGCATCTTATACTGGAAGTATCTGGACCAAGCACTGCTCCGGCGAGGCTAGATCATACGCCGAAGACTGTGGAGATGCACAGAAGAGTACTCCTCTCGTGCGTAAGGTTGATACTCGCCGATGCTACCAGTATATGGCTAGGTCTGGTCTCATTTTTGGGCCAGAATTTCAACGTCTTAGTGACATCCGCGCCGATACTGTGACTCAGGATGCCACATCCGAGCTAATTGCGAAGGAAACCGATGGAGACGATTATCATCTACATCCAACGGTCATCGATGCTTCATTGCAGCTGCTGAGCGTTGCTGCATCCAAAGGGTATGCTACGCCAGCAACCAAAATTATGGTTCCTACCAACATTGAAGAAATGTGCATCTATCGCTGCCACAAGGATGTTCAAGTTCAAGCCTCTGCGTCATACACTCCTAACGGCTCAATAATCGGTAGCGGTCAGTGTGTTTCTGCTGATGGGAAAGTTGTATTGCGCAGCTCTGGGATCAGACTCTCTGTTATAGATGAGCAAGATCCTAGCAACTCTGAGAACTCCACTGCTCGGGCAGAATGGGGTCCTCATATTGACTTTTTGGACGCCAACACATTGATTAAGCCGGTTTCCGAAGGTGGTGACAGTATGGGCAGCGACGTTGTCCGTAGCAATGAAATTCGTGCTTTGACGGAGCTATCACACCTATGCATGATCCACACAAAGCGTGCGACTGTAGATATGGAGACGTCCATCAAGCACATGCACAAATTTCGATCATGGATACATCGTCATCTTCAAACGGCCGATCTGCAAGTCCTCGAACGCCTTGATGATGCGGTGATCGAGCGTCGCATAAAACGTATTGTGCACGAACTTTCGCAAACTGCGGCTGCTGATTTCGCGATTGCCATTCAAAAAATCAACAGTCACATCGAAAGCATATTCGTTGGAAAAGTTGAAGCGCTGGATCTTCTAGTAGCAGACAATACGCTGACTGGGATGTATCCCTATATGGAACGCTGCGATGAATCGAAGTTGTACAAGCACCTCACACACAGCAAACCAAATCTCCGAGTTCTCGAGATTGGAGCCGGAACGGGTGGATCTACAGCAAAACTTTTGAAGCTTTTGACCCTTGATGACAGGGCCTTGTACTCTCGATACACATTCACCGATATCTCCTCCGGCTTTTTTGTTGCCGCCAAAGAGCGTTTTGGGCTGTATCCAAACATTGAATATACCACACTCGATATCAGCAAGGACCCCCTTGAGCAGGGGTTCAATGACCGTAAATACGACCTGATTCTGGCCACCAATGTCATCCACGCCACTAAATCCCTGAACCAAAGCTTGACTAATATTCGGCAATTGCTCGAACCAAACGGCCGCCTTCTCCTCACCGAGCTAACGTCAACTTCCAAATGGGTGAATTACATTTGGGGACCTTTGGCTGGTTGGTGGTATGGAGATGCCGATGGAAGATCAGAAGAACCATATATCAGTATCGAGCGCTGGGAAACGGAGCTTAAGGCTGCTGGTTTCTGCGCACCTGATGCTGCAGTTCGTGATTCGGCAGAGCCATATGAAATGTGCTCCGTCATTGTGGCTAGACCATCGCTTGAAATTGTGCCCCAGAAAGCCGTTACAATTTTGACACTTTCGGAATCAGAAGATGCTAAATGCTTGCTTCTCTGTTTGGAAGCCAGGGGATACAGTGTGAACTGTAGCACTATTGAAAATATGCCTCTGCCTTCTGGCCAAGACGTGATTGCCCTTCTTGACGAAAAAGGTCCCTACTTTGAGGATATAAATGATTCTCGTTTCAATATTTTCAAAACTTTGGTAGCCAGCTTGAATGATTGCGGTATTCTCTGGATCACCAGGCTTTCTCAGATGCAATGTCAGGATCCACGATTTGGCCAAATCCAGGGTATTGCTAGGACTATTCGCTCGGAATTGCTTGTTGACTTTGCCACTTGCGAAGTCGATGATCTCAGCTCGTCATCTGACAAGATCGTCGATGTATTTCAGCGATTTCAGATTCGCCAGGAGAACGACACCTTCACAACGGAGTCCGAGTATGCCATTGTTGAAAACACCGTGCATGTTGGGCGTATCCACTCATTCCCTATGCAAGAGGAGCTTGTTGTGTCTGATACAACTGATAGCATTACTCTGCGCTCGAGTAAGCCAGGCCGTCTGAACGCGTTATATTGGACCCACCGGGAAATGGCAGCGCTCATAGATGACAACGTGGAGATTGAAACGTATGCGACTGGCTTGAACTTCAAGGTAGACGACACCAGCACCTATGAGTTTCTGCAGTGTAATAACAAGAATTTACAGGATGTTTTATGTGCTATGGGCATTGTTGAAGCCGTGGATGATGGATTTGGTCTTGAAGCGGCTGGTGTTATTCGTCGCATCGGCCCCAATGTCCAGAATTTGAAAATCGGTGACCGTGTCATGCTTATTGGTCGCGGTGGGTTTGGAACACGCGTGGTGGTATCTGAAAATCATTGCGAAATAATTCCAGATGGATTGAGCTTCGAAGACGCGGCTACCATGCCGTGCGTGTTTGCGACGTCGATCTACTCCATCTTCACCGTTGGAAATCTTAAAAGGGGACAGGTCTGTCATCATTCTATCCCCTTGTTTGTGCTCGCTTTTAACAGTTTATTTAGTCTATTCTCATTCATAGTGCTTGTGGGGGAGTTGGTATTGCCACTATTCAGCTCGCTCGGATGGCCGGTGCCGAGATATATGTGACTGTCGGCAATGAGGACAAGGTCAAGTATCTAATGAATACTTTCGGGATCCCGAGAAACAGAATATTCAATTCTCGAAACACCTCGTTTGTGGAAGACATCATGCGGGAGACTAAGGGAGAAGGTGTCGATCTTGCGCTAAATTCTCTTTCGGGCGAGCTGCTTCATGCTACATGGAAGTGCATTGCAGTATTTGGCAAGATGGTTGAGATTGGCAAAAGAGATTTGATAGGCTCTGGGAAACTTGACATGAGTGTTTTTGAGGCTAACCGTAGCTATTGCTGCGTCGATTTGGATCAGATTTGTGTCAGGAGACCAACTGTCGTCAAAGAGTAAGCGTCTAGTGCTAACGATAATGCTGCTCTAAGTCTAACTTAATTAGGCTGCTGATAAACATTGTTGACTTATTGAGGGAGCGACACATCCACCCTATTCGACCTATCAAGGCTTTCAAATCGGCTGAATACCTTGATGCCTTTCGGTACATGCAACAGGGTGCACACCTAGGTAAAATTGTTGTCTCAATGCGGGACTTCCCAGCTCGCGTCATTCTGGGTGAATCTGTTCGGCAGCGCAGAAAAGAGACTCGCTTCGATGAATCAGGTGCTTATCTGCTTGCTGGCGGTCTTGGAGGTCTTGGTCGCTCAATCTCTACGTGGATGGTAGAAAATGGGGCTCGTCATTTGATCTACCTATCACGAAGCGCAGGGACAACCGAAAACCATGAAGACTTTTCCCAAGAGCTCGCCAGTACGGGTTGCCGTGTCGACTTTGTTCAAGGCAGTGTTTCCAACCTTGAAGACGTAACGCGGGCTGTTTCCCAGGCTCAAGGGCAGCTCAAGGGTATCTTGCAAATGTCCATGGTGCTTTCGGATCAGAGCTTTGGTCGCATGACAATCAAGGAATGGAGTACTGCTGTTGATCCTAAAGTCAAGGGAACTTGGAACCTCCATACTGCTTCCCTGTCCGTACATGCGGACCTTGACTTCTTCATTCTTTTCAGTTCTATCTCCGGTATCATTGGACAGCCTGGCCAAGCCAACTATGCTGGTGCCAACAGTTTCCTAGATGCATTTGCAGAATACCGCTTGGGCTTGGGCCTGCCGGCTAGCGCCATTCAAATCGGTGCCGTTGATGGAGTTGGCTACCTTGCAGAGCACGATTCGCTCATGCAAAAGCTTAAAGGTGGTGGGTTAGATGTTTCCGTCTCAGAGGGTGAGCTCCTTGAGGCCATTGAGGCAGCCATGACATCGAGATTCATCATGTTGCGGCCTGCCATCAAAGGCAGCTTCAGTATTGGACTTCGCAGCAGCATTCCACTGAACAGTCCTGCGAATCGTGCTCTGTGGAAGAAAGACATTCGCATGGCATCCTTCCACAACAGTGGAGATACTGATACCGTATCTGGTTCTGCTTCCAACGATCACCTGAAATGCTTCATCGCAGCCGCAAAGTCCGACGCCTCCACACTGGACCAGCCTGCTTCCGTTCACCTTCTTGCCACGGAGATTGGCAAAAGGATCTTCAGGTTTTTGTTGAAGCCAGAAGAGGACCTTCAGATAACCTGTAGTCTTTCTGATCTAGGAATGGATTCTCTCGTGGCTATCGAGGTTAGACAGTGGTGGAAAACAACATTCGAATTTGACATCAGCGTTCTTGAAATGATGGGAATGGGAACCCTTCAAGCTCTTGGGGCTCACGCTGCTCGCGGTATGCTGAAATCTTTCCACGGTGTGGAGAATTGAGGGATTTCCGACACGAAACCTTTTCTTGAGAAACCTAAGCTGCCGAGATCTATGTGACGATCTCGTACTCCAGCAACGGACAATAGAACAATTTGATGTGTATCCAGTCTGTACTAGTAGCTCATTCTCAATAAATCAGTGGTTTTTTGAAACCTTCAGGGTTGCATGTCAAACCAAAAACCATCATCTATACGGAGCACATTAACACGAAATTGTCAGTGACAATTGGCTCCGACACAAAACACATTCAAATCAAAGAAACCAGACATTTCTATGATTTTGAACATTGACCAATGACAAACCAGCGATGGATAACGGCTCTGGTTGCCCATCGGCAATATTGACCGGTCCTTCGATTGAGGCGCAGATGAACCCCTGGGTTTACAGCAAAGGCACTAAAATTCAATAGTTGATGGAGACTCGCATAACAGAGAGGCTCAATTGGCTCTATTTTGGGGCCGTTTTTCTTTCAGATCGTGGGACTGGTCCCTGATGCCGATAACACAACGCGGACGAACAGGGTCTCATTTCAATTTCGCTTACCCACGAGCTCTTGGCTTATAATATTGACGGGGAGGCCGATATTGAAAAGCTTGGCCCACTGTTTAGATCTGCTATATAGATGTTGTTCTGGGGTTTCCAAAAGATTCTTTATATTTTTGTCTTCGACTCTTTACATTCATTCTACCTCCGTCGAGGATTACACTCCTTTTGAATTACATACATTTTGACCAAATTTTGTCTCCAAACCTTTACATTCCTTCTGCCTCGATCGCGAAACACACTCAATGGATCACAAGCTGTCCCGTGGCTTGGTGTTGGTCCTCGCTGCCTTGCAAGCGAAAGCAATCCCAGTGATCGACACCCTGACAGTAAACCCAACCTCAACGGCATCAACTATCGTAACTTGCGCCACATCCATTCCAAACCTAGTTCAGAATCCATCTTTCGAGGATGGGTTCACCAATTGGGGATATGCTTCTGGCACTACTGGGTCTGTGGTGAGCGGCGATGCCGCAGATGGTAGTTACTACCTGTACGAAGCCCTACTTTTTGAATTGGTAAAATTCAACTGACACACCACAGTGAAGCATCAGAGACCCAAGTACGCTCTCTTCTTTTCTATCAGTACCTCGATGGGTTCCAGGCCGGATCTACATACACAGCTTCACTGGATTGGCGCGTCAAGCACAATGTCGGCAATGGTGCGGTAGTCTGCCACGTCTACTGGTATATGAACTCGTTTGGATCGTCGATTGGAACCGCTGCTGCAAATTCTGGCTTTACTTGGTCGACCTTCTCAACAACCTTTACGCCCACCACTGATGGAACCCATCTGCTCGAGATCTACGCCTGGTGTCAAGAAAGCTCTGGTAGATATACCGCCGATAAGATTGACATTGACAATATTCAAATGAGCAATGGTGTTCCAACTACATCTTGTAGTACAAGCACAATTACTCCGACTGCTGTACCAACATCTTCGCCACAAGCCTCCTCCACTGTGTTGGCGATCACCACCCCCAACGGATCTATCGCTACACCTTCGCCTTCTGCTAGCCCTTCTTCGGCAGTTCCGATCAGCTCCTCAATCCCTTCATCGTCCTCCGCAAGGCCATCTTCTTTCGCCGCAAGTCTTTCGTCTCCAAGTGTTGCAATTGTGAAGCCATCTCCTATTCCTTCATTGTCACGATTTTCTTCAATCCCCGTCTTTGTTCCTTCGCAGAGCTCTTCAGTTAATGCGGTTTCTTCAAGCACTGCCATTCCTTTCTCTACCCCTGTATCATTGTACGTTACTCCCCAGACTGGCTCGACAGCTGCACCTCTTGCTTCCGCACGACCCAGCACTCCAATCGCTTCATCGGTTGTGTTGTCTCGGCCGTCTTCTTCCTTTTCCCTTCGCCCTTTGAGACCATCTAGCCGCTCTGCTGTGACATCTGTCCCAAGCTCATCCGTTTCTATGCCCCAACCAACTGCAGCTAGTCCTTCGGGACAAGTTCCTCCTTCAGCACATGCCAGCTCAGATGGTTCACCCGCCCATCTCAGCCCCAGCAGCCCATCAGTTGTGATTTCTGTCTCCAGTCCTCCCCAATCCCTTTCTCAATCCAACCCGGCCACCATCACTTCTGGACAGACTTCGCCCTCACCTGCTGCCACCTTGGGAAGCGTTAGTCCTCAGTCCACCATCTCTGGAGTTGCGCAGTCAACTGGTCAACTTGGATCATCAACAGCATTGATCAATGGTCCCCAGCCAACTGAAGCTGTCTCTGAACCATCTTCTGTACAGTCTACCACTTCTACCGTCCTGACCACCCGTACCTCTACCATCACTGCATGCCCTTCGTCAGTCACAGATTGCCCTGCCAGATCAAAGACCACTTTTATCACCACCGAGACACTTGTTGCTTCAACTACCGTCTGCCCATTGACGGAGACCACCAACGCATCCCTGCCAACTGCAACAACATTGACAAAGGCACTTAATCAGAGTGGCTCCGGTGACGATCAATACACCACCTCAACAATCTTCAGTACTCGTACTGCCACTATCACCGCCTGCCCTCAGACTGTAACCGACTGTCCTGCTCGGTCCAAGGTCACATTTGTTACCACCGAGACAATTCTCGTTTCGACAACAGTTTGCCCATTGGCGACTACCACCGGATCTATTGATATCAGTCATGCACAGGGTGAAAGCGGCTTTGCTACCAACAACACTGGTCAAAGCGGACAGGGCAAAGATTCCACTAGCAGTACCTCTGGCAGCAACTCCGGCAGCACCTCTGGCAGCAAGTCTGGGGGCACCTCTGACAGCAACTCTGGAAGCAACTCTGGAAGCAACTCTGGAAGCAACTCTGGAAGCAACTCTGGAAGCAACTCTGGAAGCAACTCTGGAAGCAACTCTGGAAGCAGCTCTGGCGGTGACTCTGGCGGTAACTCTGGAGCCTCGGAGGTGACCCACCAGTCTACCATTACAACAACCCAAGTGACGTGCTCAAACGGTCAAGAGACCTGCCCCGAGTCCCTCCGTCAGACCGAGACCATCACCAAGGCTTTGGAACAGACCGATATTCCCCCTGCTGCCGCCACTGTTGCCGAGAAAGAGGTCACTCTTACTATTGTACCGGTCAATTCCTCGGAACCAACTGGGGCGTCTATTTCTTCTGTGGCTGGTGCGAGCGAAGCCCAGCACCAAGAGGAAGACAACTCGATGAATGGAAACGGCCACTCCACCGATGTTTTGACAGCATCTTCGGCTCCCGCTAGTCCCTCGTCTGCACCAACACTTGTCACCGCAACCCAGGAAGTCTCTTCTACTTCTACCACTGGAAGCAGTGTGGCGAGCCCGTTGTACACGGGTGCCGCATCCATGAACAGGTTGACTATTATTCATGGAGTCGCATCTTTGGTGGTTATAGTCATGGCAAAGTTGCTGTAAGGACATTGAAAAAGTCCTGATCAAAAGCGGCTTCTTGTCATCTAATCTCTTCTCATATATAAATCTAATACTAATTATCTCCTGCTGATCCATCACGATCATAGCTAATACCATCGCAATCTACTCTCAAACATGATGCGAAACCTCTCTCTGTGGCAGCCTGAACAAAGTTGCCCAGATTCCCAACGACACAGCCAGCATGGCAAGCAAAATTGGCTGTAGGACCGTCACCCCCTTAGCCTGAGCAATAGCACCAATCATGAAGGGAAAGACAGCACCCCCACCCATAGATAACGCAGCCGCAAAACCAATAGCAGCAACATGAACATTCTTCGGCAACATTCGTGTGGCAACAATCACAACTCCAGGGAAGATGGTTCCCATGAAGAATCCCACAAGCGACACTGCAACCGCGGATACAATAAACTCCGGGACAAGCCAAAATATGAGCTCGAGAGCAATCGCAAGCAGAATGTAAATGGCAACTGATAATTTCTCCCCGATCCGGGGTGATACAAACCCTAGCACGAATCTACCGACGGTGATACCGAGCCAAAAGCCCGTTTCTGCCATGCCGGACTCGAAAGCGCCGCCGTGTCGGACATTGGTCATGAACACAACAATCCAACCTCCGATTGCTACTTCAATTCCGCCGTATAGGAAGAGAAAAGCGGCACATATCCATGTGACCTTGTGCGTAAGGGCGGTGCGTGTTTGGGAGAACGCGCCTCCATCATCGCCTGGGAACTTTGGGTTTTCTTGTTGATATTTGGCCCCTGTTTCGGCCCAAAAGGCGCTTGTTGAATAGACTAGTGCAATAGCAGCTGCGCCGGTCTGTTTCTAGTCGTTAGTAACCGTAACCGCATGTTGACAGTGAATAATTCAAGTACCATGAGATAATAGTAAGAATACCATTCCCATCCAGCTTTTATGATTAAAGTGGTTGCCACGAGGGGACTGACTGTTGCTCCGACGCCGTAGAATCCGTGGAAAAACCCGAGTACTTCGTTCGAATTCGCCATGTTTCCAATCCATACATTCCATGCTGCGTTGTGGAAGCCGCTGCCCAGTCCAACCAGTATATACATAATAACTAGGACTGGGAATGGCGGGTGGATTGATATTACTGCAAAGGCAATCAAGTGACAAATAGGAGCGATGATAGTGATTCCTCTTCTCCCTAGATTTTGGTGGACTGAATTGCTCAGTATGGCAGATATAGTATAACCAACAAAAGGTGAAAGAAAAACCAGTGAAACTATTGTATAGCTTTTGCGGTAGTAAATCTCAAGCTGAGTATTTATATCGACGTTATCATCAGCTCCCATATCTTTGTAGGGAATTTCGGATAGTACAAACATATGGAATAATCGCTCCGTATGCGGCGTCATTAGACCCCATAACAAACGCGCACCAAAAAGTAGCAGTGAGTTTCCATATCGTCGTTTTGGATTCGTTCCATCTCGGGGCGACATTTACTGCATGCAGCGGCGGCGTTTCGTCGATGTCTGATGCACTGGCTTCGTGGCTGTCTTGGTATTCATCAACTTCGCCTGTTAGCTGCGGTGGGCTTGAGCTCACACTACCGGACCTCATCTTAGTATAGTCAAAAATTTGTATGAAGCGAAGTTTGGTATCCGGCGATTGTGGGGAAAGTGATTGCTGACGCGGGGCAACAACAAACTGGCGAATGTAACCTTGTATACCACAGGGCGTGGATCCATTAATGGACTGTTTTCTTACCACCACACTGGGTAAATCAAGCTATCTCCGTAGACATGATCGCTCAGTAGCCGTACGATTGAATGGTTCGATGCTAAATTTATTTGCTACATTAAGCTTCACCAAGCTTATAATAACATAGGGCGAAACAGCTATTAGCCGATACAAATGCTAGATCAAGTAGCAGAAAACCTTGGACAATATCAACAGGGACAAGACGACATGGTCATATAGGAACGAAATGCTGGTCATATTCAAGATCTAGCCGTCTCGTTCTGAATGTTGGCGGTTTTAATTTTTTTGATGATCATCACCACAATCGTTGTCATTTCATATAATCCTGATTTATATCGGATCCTCTCAGCATATGAACATATGAACAGACAAAGAAAACAACTGAAGAAAAGTCAGCCCGATATATAGTCGATGTTGATTCGGTCACGTGGTGGTATTCTAGGGCTCCACTTGAGGGCATCTTGGCATATTTTGGGCACTGGCTTGTTTTCTGCAACCTCACTTTAGGCACTTCTGATGGTGTCAACATCATCTTTGCGAGTCATGGAATCAATAATAAAGCCGAACATTAGAGATTATCTTCAACCCTTGCAGGTCGAACTTGAAACCTTATATGATTTATCATGCCGGCTATCTGCATCATATAAAGCGCTGGCCGCGGAATCTTCCGAGCATTTCATCCCAACGGCTATCACCCAGCTTCCAACGGGTCATGAAAAAGGTCGATATCTTGCTGTCTATGTTGGTCTGTCGTATCTTCGTGTCGCCTTCATCGATCTGTTGGGAGATCAACAGGTCGAAGGACGTGCACGTGTACGACGGACGTTAGAAAAGGCATGGCCTATTGAAGAACATTTACGAAAAGATCATTCCATTGATCTTTTCACCTGGATTGGAGACTGCATTGCCGAAGTTGTGGCTGACAGACTCGCAAATCCGACGGAAGAACGTATTGACCAAATAACGACAGGCATTTCCTTCTGTCTCCCTATAAAGTATTACTTCCTACCAACTTGAGGGCTTTTTTTTGGTTTTCTGGGACTAATTTAGTGTAGACAAGACTCCCTCGATGAAGCCATTCTAATGCCGACAGGCAAAGGCTTTTCGTTAAGCTCAGACCTCAACCTCCGCCAGTCATTGCTAAATGGGTATGAACGTCACACATATTCCTCTCATGGAGATGACGCGAATCTCCCTAGCAAGCGACGCAGGTTGTTTTCACTCCCTAAATTGAAAGTGGCAGTCATGATAAATGACACGACTGCGACCCTTGCCTCCTTAGCATACTCTATTCCTTCTTTGCCGAACACCCGTGTCGTTATGGGGCTAATTGTTGGCGCGGGCTGCAACACGACGGTCCCTATGAAATTGTCCGATTTGCATGAATCTAAAACGAAAAGCATTCTTGAAAAACAGCCCGACGCAAAAGAAACGCTCATCTCAACGGAATGGACCCTCTCTACTGCTGCTGCTCCTTTTGTTGAACTTGGTATCCGCACGAAATGGGACCATCAACTGGATAGAAATTGCAAGAGGCCAGGATTCCAGCCGATGGAATATATGATTGGCGGTTCATATACTGGCGAACTTGTCCGAATCGTCTGCTATGATTGGTTCCATGGAGCCTTGGGTATACAACGCTCTGCATTACCACTGAAATTAGTCGAGGAATATTCCTTGTCAACAGACTTCCTCTCTCTTGTTGTTGCCTCTTCTCTATCTGATGAATCCTTAGCGAGTGAGTTGTCCAAGACACTCAAACCGCCATCCGAAAGTGACTGGATCTGGTCACCTGAGTATGCTCATGATATTCGCGCCATTGCCTCCGGTGTGCAGGATCGAGCTGCTTCTTTGGTGGCCTCCGCTGTTGTTGGTCTGCTCGATTGCACGAATGAGGTCAAACTCGGCAATGGAGAGTCAAAAGAAACCAATGAAGAAAACGGTACGACTGACTCACACAATACTGAACTGGACTCACCCTCAGTCTCCGCATCTACACCAGGGTGGAATAGCGGTCCCGAAGAACTAGCCGTGGCTTTCTCCGGTGGAGTCATCCAACACTATCCTCATTATAAAGAAACTGTACAGAGATACATCGATCGTCTCATACTGCGTGCTGGTCCACAAGCAGGTGGGAGGAGTGTCTTCTTGCGAGAGGCCAGTGACGGTGGAATTATTGGGACTGGGGTCCTCGCGGGAACTGCATCTGGCGAGATCGGCGAGATCAAGGTCAACATTACATGACCATGATATCTCTACGGTTTATCACTGTATATAGATCCTACTATAATATTTTTGTGCATAAATTCAACTCATATAAATTTGTACTTAGGAGAACGCCTCACTTCGGCAGCATGAACCCGAGATCGGGTGCAGGCACCCGGTATATTTTTCGTCAATCTTCGGAGAATTTTGGATTAAATAAACTCATGTCCTTCGGGGTTGCAGACATCACTCTATTTAGAGAATCCGATTGAACTCGCTGCAAAAATACACATTGCTACCAATCAGCACCTGGGTTTTAAACATATCATTGGCTTGTACTGGTTAGATGCCGCCAAGAAAGCCGAGCACACTATTCACAACTTTCTTCACTTTTCGTTCTGCACACCAATCACACAATTTCACGATGAAATTCTTCGATGTGAGTAAACACAGTTTAATCTTTTCTTGGTTTGACCTAACATTGGTGACAGGTGGCCGTGACATTCACGGCAGACCAATTCCAAGGGATCTACCGCGGAAAGCAATATCATGAACCCGACTTTGCAGAGGTTCTCAAGAGAGCCCGTGAATATGGATGCGAAAAAGTCATGCTCACTACCATGACACTCGAAGGTGCGAAACGAAACCTCCAAACAGTGAGGGAGTTCCCCGCAATGTGCAAAATGACCCTTGGAGTGCATCCATACCACGCTGCGGAAATATACGAACAACCAGACTCACAATATCTCACCGAGCTCCGTGCACTTGGCGAAAGTCTATTAGCTGAGGAATCTTCTCCTCTGGCTGCTTTTGGCGAAATCGGCCTTGATTACGAGTATCTGGAACGTGCAGATAAGGAAACGCAGCAGCGCGCATTCCGCGAGCAATTGGAGCTAGCCGTGCACTTCCAATTACCGCTTTTCTTGCATGTGCGCGAATCAGCTGAAGACTTCATCTCCATCATCAAACCTTTCCTTCTACGACTACCTCGGGGTGGGCTGGTGCATTCTTTCGCAGGAACGACCGAAGAGATGCTCCAGCTTGTGGAGTTGGGGCTGGAAATCAGTGTCAACGGAATTTCATTTCGAACAGATGAGCAGCGGGACATGGTGAAGCATATTCCTTTGGACAAATTACAACTAGAGACCGATGCGCCGTGGTGCGAAGTTCTGGGAAATGATCCGAAGATTGCGCCGTATTTGGAGTCGGCGAAGCCCTTGCCGGCGAGTCGGAAACACAGCAAATTTATGTTGGGGCAAATGGTCAAGACTCGTAATGAGAGCTGCAATATGGAGCGAGTGGGGTTGGTAGTTGCGGGATTAAAGGGTGTCTCTATGGAGGAAGTGGTTGAGGCAGCATGGATGAATAGCAATCGCATGTTTGGGTAAAAATATATATTCGATGCTGATCTATGCATGTATATAATGAATGACTACGTCGATGGCCTAGCCAACCGTGTTTCCCAGAGTTTTCGATTACAAGCATTTGAATGGATTAGATTAAATTCGCCAGCACTATTGCAAATCCGTTGGCTCTGACTTGAAGCCTATTAGAACCATGCATATACTATCCCCAAGTGTATGGCATCGTGGAAACCCCGCAGCGACAAGCTTTCTTTCTTACATGGAACGTGAGGTATTTTTTTTAGAAAATAACGCTAATGCGGAATAGATCAACACAAGTGTAAACAAAGCCCTTGATGTAGAGGTGTACAATTGGTGCCCTGGCTAGGGTTGCCAGGGGAAAACAGGGATAAGACGGCCCCTAGGGCTTCCATCTGCACCGAGCTCAATGCATACCCGACGGGAAACCACCGATGAAGTGGAAGAAGTCTGAAAATCACGCCGGCACCTTAGGGCTGCAAATATAATATGCGACGCGTGGCTTACTTTTGTATTTCTGACATCGCGACAAAATTCTTCGTAAAACTCAGCTCGCGGAGATTAAATTTGGTCGGAATGAAGGAAGTCATGGTGGCTTTTTCATATTTGAGCTATTTTCGTATTTGAGCTATTAGTACCCGCTAGGTTTGCAATCCACGACCCCTGGGGTGGTTGCCCTCAAACATCGTAGTCTCCTTTGCTTTACTTGGAAATTTGGTTGAAGACAGCATTGCGATAAAATCCAACTGGTCATTGAAAGGAGAAGGCTTGAGAAATATCAATACACGTCGCTGGAATTAAGGCTCAAGTAATTATCTGCGTACAACGTTCGCAACACTCACTTTAAGTGCACAGATCGAGGTTCAAGATCGAGGTTTGTTTGGCTGACATTCCTCATCGTTGCGAGGGCCGTCACTGATCTTTCAGTTCCACCACAACATGATGGCATCGGCCATTCCTTCGAAGAGTTATGGGGAATGTTATGGTCTCCGAGCCATGTATTTATACTGGCTGTTGAACACCTGAACTTGGTTCCCTATCCAAGCCTCTATTCTTTTTCTTTTTGGCAATATTGACCCTGGTGGTTAAGTGCTTGGTGTTATCTTGAGAAACTACACCATTATACGATTCTAATAGTATCCCAAGCAAAGACTGTAAGTCGGGTCTTAGAGAAAAACCGTTCCTGCCTCGGCATACATCGACGTTGCCATATCTAGAATTATCACAACATGAGACTAACACTCGACCTAGAAACACTTCATTTCGATCACAATGAAGGGCCTTGCTATCGTCTCTGGCCTTCTAGCCTCCACTGTCTCGGCTCACATGCAGCTGAGCACTCCTTACCCTATCCGCAGTCCTCTCAACAAGGACGCCAAAGGCGAAAAGGACTACTCGTATACCAACCCTCTCTCCACATCTGGTAGCGACTACCCATGCAAAGGTTACGCCAAGGATGATTTCGAGGCCGTCGCCACATGGGCGCCGGGTTCATCTCAGCAGATGGAATTGGAGGGAAGCGCTGTTCACGATGGTGGCTCATGTCAGCTCGCCCTGACTTATGACAAAGGTGAGACCTTCAAGGTCATTGAGTCTGTGGAGGGCGACTGCCCCATCGCCAAGAAGTACCAGTTCACGGTTCCCTCCGACGCACCCGCCGGTGACGCTCTGTTTGCTTGGACCTGGTTCAACAAGGTTGGAAACCGTGAGATGTACATGAACTGTGCGATGATTACCATCGGTGGATCTGGTAGCCGTACCGCTAATGCAACCGAGAAGCGGGATGAGACTGTACCCCCTAAGCACATGATCGAGGAAAAGCCTACTGAGATGCCCATGGACAAGCCCACTGAGAAGAAACCCAACACTACGAAAACTAAGAACATCAAGGCTGCCAAGAGCAGCTTCGACAGCCTTCCCGACCTCTTCGTTGCCAATGTCAACCAGGCCGGCAAGTGTGTGACCGTTGAGGGCCAAGCCGTCAAATTCCCCAAGCCCGGCCCCAACGTCGTCGGCACGGCCGATGGCCCAGGCTACAAGTGCTCTGAAAATGCTCCTTTCCTTGACAGCTCTCCCAGCAGCTCTCCCAGCAGCTCTCCTAGCAGCTCTCCTAGCAGCTCTCCTAGCAGCTCTCCCGGCACCTCTTCCGGCAACACAACCACATCCGAAAAGAACTCTACCAAGTCCTCGACCAAGACCAGCGACAAGATTTCTAAGGTCGCTCAGGCCTTCGGAACCGCTCCTCCTTCTGCTGATTCTCGTACTCTCGGCACTGACGCTTCTACCAACAACGCGTTCAGCAGCTACGTTGGTAAATTCCGTTGCACTGATGGCGAGATTCTTTGCTCCCCTGATGGATACACTTTCGCTATGTGTGACCACGGCCGCCCTGTCTTCATGGGCTCTGTCGCTGCTGGGACTATCTGCCGCTGGGGTACTATCTCTGCTGCTCGCTAAGGGCTTTCGTTTTGAATTCCTTGTTACAAAATTTTGGAAATTTTCTATCATCAATTCATCGGGAATGGTTCGGTCGATTTCGCCTTGTCGTTTCCTATTTGGAGACTCTCGATGTTGTTTCTTCTTGGCGGCTTTGTGTGCCTTGTGTATTCTGTTACCCTTTACCCATGATCAGTCCAGTGATGACCCGGTTGATGCTATTGTCATGTCACCTACTTAATGAATGTTATATTAGTGTGTTTTTAACCAACTCTTCAAGAACTAGTAACTCTTGCCACATCTACTCTAGATTCTGACAAGCAAACAAGCAAGCCTAGCATTGTAAAATTCGCCCTCAAATCTAAGTCTTCCACCTAAAAGATGTCTCTCTACATAGTATACTCGCAGCTTTGTGCGTGTGGAATACCCTCACGACCACCTCTTGCAAATAAATCATCCCGTTCCGGGCCCTCGAAACAGTGGACGTTTTCAAAAACTCTGATCCCAAGTCGGCAATCACATAGGTCACCCAGCGTAGGTGTTCTGTCCACCCGTGCTCCTCGCCATGGGATTCTCATTCTCCATCCCAAGTTTGTTCAATTCGAACTCGACAAGGGATTCTATTCAATGTGGTGAAGTTTTCAGGATATTCCCGTTGAGCTCAATTCTAGTTGAACGTTATTGGAAAATATCAGGTTTCACTTTCTCTCAATCATTTCAATCCATCCCAAGAGGCCGGATACTAGGGTCGAGAGTTAGTTTTGGATTTATAAAGATATCACATGTCGCGAGTAGCAAGCTCCTTGACTTCACCATTAACCCCACACAGACTCGATTGAGGGGACTCCTGGCTCATTTTTGATGAGTGCTATTGGCATGGATTGCTAGGGAAACCAAGAGTTGAGTGGGAACGCTGTTGGCAGTTTGGTTTGATTACACACAGGAGCTTGATGAGCGAATTTGACTTAAGAGTAAAATGGAAGAAGATCTGGTTTCTGATCTTGAAGAGAAAAGTCCAGCTGGCTATGTAGCTAAGAGAGGCATGTTGTGTTGGAGTATGGTGGTTCAGAAAATCCGCCCAATCTGACCTTTAGTCTCAGATATTATTTTTTGAATAGTTTCATCTCTTACAATCAGGTCCAGTTCTTCGGATCTGTTACTTGAGATCTTGATCGTCAGTTCCACGTAGTGCAACTTCTTTGTGCCCTTTTTATGTGCTCTTTCTGTTATATGTTTTAGGTTCTTTGGGGTTGTTGAATGTGTATGCATGTTTCTTATTCAACTCACATCACCCAATGTTTCATGTTCGGAGCCCACCCGAGAGTCGGTTCTCTAGGAATTTGCAGATATCACCCGGACTGACCAAGGCATGTTTCCCTCCAACTTGCTCGACCGGGAATTCGTTCAATACTGAACATGACATAGTGCTTTTCTCAATAGATATTCGATGTCCAAAGATGGGGTAGTAGCCACGTGGTGAGCTGCGACATCCCCCCCACATGCTTGAATCCGGAGTCGACGCATGCGGAAATGAGGCTTGAATACTATTGTTACAGGGTCTTCAGGAACAAGGAACCCAACTGCACTATACTAAGAATAAATAAAAACACGTATAGCAGTTGATTAATATTATAGTGACCAGCTAAGTCCTTAAAAGACCCGAAGTGCCCGCCAGATATCCTCCGTCATATTGTACAAACCCAATCTTTTCACAAACATAGCAGTGGTATCTTGGCTCCAAATCACACAAAACGGTCATAGAATCATCGACCAGTGCGTGCACACCGATCCAAAACATAGTCGGTTATCAAGCCTCCGACTATCCCAACGAGCATGCTTAGATATTGCCAGTGTAGGCCGAGTTACCGTAGCCATAACCATTACCGGTCTGAACAGGAGCAGCGCCATTGGTAGCGGTGTTCTTGTTGCGACCCCAGGAGCCGAACCACTTCTTCTCGTTATTGGGCCCCGCGCCCATCTCGACGTCATGCGGGGTCGGGTGGCCGGGGAGGGTATCAGCGCCGGCGACAGTATCGGGGCTGTTCTTGTTGCGGCGCCAGAATGCTCCGCGGCTGCCGTGGGTATAGTTGTTGGTGGGGGACGGACCGAAGCGCTTCTCGCGCTTGTGGTGGCGAGCCAGCAGGACCTGGAACAGGATGGAGACCAAGAAGAAGAAGCTGGAACGATTAGTGAGAGTCGTGGGGAAAATGGGGTTTATGGATAGCTACTCACATTCCAATGATCGCGACTGCGAAAACCACCTTCTCCAGCTTGCAGGTCATGCCGAAGGTCAGACCCTTGGAGAAGGTGTCGTCGTTGGCGTTTCCTGATCCTAGAGGTGTGTCGACCGTGCCAGTGCATTGGCTCACACCCTTGCGGGTCAAGATGGCGATCGCAACCATTGCGCCCACGAAGCACAGGTCCAGGGCGACACCTAGGAAGGCGAAGAACGCCACGCCACCAAGACAGCAGGTGAAGATTATGCCGAGCAGACTGTAGAGGGTCGCTGCGCCTGCTAGACCTTCAACAGCCTTTATCCATGTTTCAATATGGTGGTTGTGTCTGGAGAGAACAGCCAGATAGTATGAGAAGATGCCGAGGATGACGGCACTGTCAAGGAACTGCAGCACGCGCAGACCAAGATTAAAGAATCGAAGAATTACTCCGCCGGCTCCCATTATCAGATATGAGTTTTTTGGAGGGGGTTTGATGGTAAGGTGACCACAAGTCTTAGGGAAATTCGTTTGTATATGAATGAAAGTCAGGCAGCAGGATTTGGGGGATTTTAAAAGTGAAGACCCTGAGCCGACGCAATTGACGAAGATCAGTGGATGGCAAAGGTCGATCCTGGGAGAAGCTCACACCTTAATGGCCGGAGATGTCTGCGCCACACTCTAAATGACCCACTTCCTGATGTCACTCCCATGGTTTGGTTCTCCACCTTGCCGCCTACAGTTAGAGACTTTTTCTTAGTGCTGTCTGATTGGGCGCTCGCCCCGCCACAGGTGAAGTATCTTTTGGGGAAACTCCCAAAAAAAGAAAAGCCCCAGCCACGTTACCAAAAGCCACACTACTATCGTTGACCCTTACACTTTACACTTCAATGCCTTGCGATGTACACTATTATTGGAAAATAAACATGCTGCCTAAACACCATTGGATCTACTTCCAAGGTTGTGTTTTGTGCTTCATACAGACATAGGAACTGTTTTGTTGACGTATTATTGACACCCCCTTGTCAACCTGGTCCATTTGCGAATTGATCATCAGGGTTTCAGTTGAAAGATTAAAGTTGAAATGAGCTTCAATAATCTGAAACTAGTGCGGTTTAAGCTACGCTCTATGTTTTGTTTTTGTTAGCACATGTTGTTCAGTTCTATTTCTTATAAAGATTTAACTACCAAGTAGGTACCAACAGCTTGATAAAGCCATTCAATATTCTTAAGAGATACCTTCTACCTTGTTACGCATGGAGCCCTGATAACGTTGTACCCACCACGTTGAAAATGTTGAAAATGACGTCTGACCCGTGAGGTTTGCGTCACGTCCTATTGCCGTGGGTCCACGATGCCATGTGATTTTAGGCAATTATATTTCGGAGCTTGGCAGTGTAACTGCCGGTGTGGCTAGACAGACATAAACAGTGGCATTAAATGCAATTAGGAATACGATAAGGCATGGACAAAAATAATGTATTAAGTTGTATCAACACAGGTGATGCTTTTAAGCAAGTTGATTACCAATAAAATGATGACAGGGAAACAACACAATTGTACAATCAACAATACCATAGCTTGCACAGTGTAACACCAAAGTAAATATGAGCTGGAAAGAACATCACCTTCCAGACTACATTCAAGCCAGCCCAATGCTGAGCTATTATGCCACCAAGTTCAGAGGCATGATACTGCTGGTCCGGCATCGGTCAGTCTAGTCAATCGACGCCGTGCTCATCATGCGGGTGGAATCAGGCATCGCGTTCGACAAACTTTAACCAATGTTCGGTTCATATCTCAGAGGGTATTGCCAGGGGCGACATCATAGCCCGGCAAAAATCCTGGGCCTGGAGATATAGCCAGTTGTTGCTAAAACTGGCGCAGATCGAGCATTTCCTATAGTCAAAAAATCAGCATTGGTCCGCAGTAGGCAGTAGAACTCATCGTTGCATATACGGAAAGTAGCCAGGGCCATATAGCTTAATTCTCCTACTAACATTTTGTTTGAGGACGTCCAAATAACGGGGGTGATGCAACCCAGTAGATAGAACCGGGCTCACTGCGCGACATCGAGTTTTCAAAAAGTGGCTGACAGTTTGCTATTCAGGAATCTTCCTGGCGCTGCTTCTCTTTCTCTTGCTCCACGAATGCTTTGAGGATCGAATCCAGCCCCTCGTTGCGACGAGCGAGCAGCATGACATCGGACACGTTGACAGTAGATCGCCCTGCGTGTCTGGGTTGAGAATTGGTGATCAGTATTCACTCAACATATGTTGGAATGTCCAAACAAGAGCCAATCCTGTCCAGTCATAGTAAGCCGACTTACTTTGCAAAGGATTCTAGATCTTGGCTGACCGTTTCTGCTAAGAATTAGGCACACAACCCAGATAAAGTTCACATACAGACAGGTTAGCATACCGATCTGAGCCCACACCATCTCTGTCAATGCGCCAATGAACTGTGGTGTCGCATTGACGCCTAGCCTGATGGTCTCTTCATCCACGATCTTGCCAATCGACAACCACAAAGCGGATTTCAAGCGCTGTGAAGAATTAGCCTGGCATGCAATATTCTAGTCGAAGCACCCACCTCTTCCAAACTAGCTTCTTCGGTTTGCTCCATGATGAAGTTGATAGAGATAACAAGCAGATCGCGTCCCCATATCAAAGCAGAACTCGATATGATTGGCCAGTGACGCGTCCGCGGAATAACGGCTAATCCGGCACAGTCACGCTAACCCTAAACAAGCAATTCTGATTGCGGGAGCCGCGGAATTTCAGAGAAGCGCAAAGCAATCGCAGATCTGTCAATTAATCCCTCAATTATTCTTCTTCAACTTTTCTAGTCAAGTTCTTGGGAAAATCTCTACCTTTACCTACTACTGGAGTGTCCTCACTACAACCTCCTTTTCCCAATAGCGGGATACCAACCACTTTCCTCTCACAAGCAACTTCAACCCAAAAAAAAAACATCATGTCCGCCCAGACCCAAGCCCAAGTGGACCTCAGCGAAAAAGCCGCCGATGCCTTCCAAGATTTCTTCGCCCAACTCTACACCCTCTTCGAGACCGTCTGGACGCGCTTCTGGAAGAATGGCTACGCCTCAATTGCGCAGATGAGCGGCAAGCGCTGGACAAAGGTCATCGGTAGTGTGGTCTTCTACCTCATCGTCAGGCCCTACATCGAGAAACTGTTCAAGTGGATGCACGACCGTGACCGCCGCAAGGAGAAGGAGAAGAGAGATAAGGAGAGGGCTGAGTTCGGCAAGGTCAAGATCTCGCCGAACTCGCTGCGTGGAGGTGGCGACAAGGGCAAGGTCATTGGTGAAGTCGAAAACACTGATGATGAGCTCGAGGACGAGGAGGATGTCATGGCTGCTGCTAGTGGTGTTCCTGAGTGGAACAAGATGGCGCGTAAGCGTCAGAAGAACTACATCAAGAATGTGAAGAAGGATCAGCGCGCGCAGGATCTGAGCCGTGAGCAGATTATGGAGTTGTTGGATTGGAGTGAGGATGAGGAACATGCCCCCCAGGAGAAGAAGGATCTATGAGATCTTTTGGGGTGTGATTGGCTTCATGCTTATTGAACTTGGACGGTTGGCTTAGATGTGCATTGCATGGTCTCTGGGGGTTTTGCTTCTTGTATCTTTAATTGGTTAATTCTGAATTTAATTGGACCTCCCAGGGCCCCTTTAGCTACAATAAGTTCTGACTACAGTGGTATCTTTTATGTAGAGACGCCTTGAAATCGTGAAATCTACTTGGTATTTGCAATAACGTGAATGCATCAAACCCAACGCTAAACTGTGGCCCAGAGAAATTCCTCCGAGCTCCTTCAGAAACAATCCATCGCACCTCATCCATAGTCATGAGCGATTCGTAACGTACCCCAATGCCCAAGAACACCAATCAGTGAAGTCTTCGCAATGCCTCAATCATCTGCTTAATCTCCTCTACATCAGAAGAGCCAACCTCATCCACGATCTCCTGCTGCATACTCGGCGAGCAGTCCAAGAACTGTTCGATAAGCTCGCCATCCACGAATCGGAACGGCGCATCAGCCGTGCGGACCATCGTGCGGAATCCTCGGAATTTCTCGAATTCCAGGTCGCCTAATGAGTCAACCTTGGTGGCAAGCACAGTTTGCAATGTCATTAGCAAATCTTGGTACTGGTCTTTAATGAGCGCGAAGAGGAAGATGGAGCCCTCGACCTATATGCGAGTTAGTGATATGCAAAGCTTTAGGTGAGAGAAACGTACTGTTGCCATGAATGCACGAGGTGTCACTGTCACGCTGGAGAGGTGTGGGATATTCACAGGCCGGATCCTGTTCACCATTTCTCCGAGCGAGATTTCACTAGTCGGAACCAGGCGGTGCCGGTCCTGGACTGTGACTCCATTCATATTTCGAGAAAGAACGATAAGGTTACCCTCGGCGTCGCTCTGGAGGAATGTTTCATCGCCGACGCAAGCAACTCCTGTGCTCCAGACTGTTTGATAATGGCGGCCAACTTCGACGAGCTTGTCGGGCTCGCCATCTTTTCCCGGTTCATATTTGACTAGGCATAGACTCTTCATTAGATCTGCCACGGCGATCAAGTTCCCGTTCACAGTCAGGTCAACTGGCGCAGTCGAGGTACGATAGGCGACGAGTTTCTCCAGTGTTATCGAACCACTGCTATCGGTTTTCACCTCATAGATTACAACAGTCTTGACGAGCGCTGCAACGATGTAGTCACCCATCATAGCGAGAGCTCGGCAAGCACCCATGACCGGCAACTCGGCGACTAGGCTGAGCTTGCGGCCGTGATCAACTTCCAGTACGAGAATCCGCCCGCGGATTTCCCCGCTTTCGGTTTCTTCGTTTGCGAAAGCTGTGCCGACGATGAACCGATCCTTGGTACTTCCACCTTTCTTGCTTGATGGCTCGGCGCGAATAACGCATTCAACCAGCTCCTCTTCGCGCATTTCGATGGCATCAAGTCGTCCGAACATGATCTCATCGGCGAGGACGAAGTGGCTCTTCACGACCTCGGCGCCAGCCACAAGCTTACGTTCAATTGTACCAAGCCCAAATGCCTTTTCAGATGGGGAATATGCAACACGACGGACAGTCGAGCCTATTGGGAGCGTTTGGATTTGAGTTGTGCGTTCTCTGTCAACCAAAGCGATCTTAAGCTCTTTTTCTGTTGCAACCGCGATAGCATCAGGGAAAGCCATTGCATTAAGATGGCAGATCCGCGAGGCACCTTCAGAGTTTACAGCGGAATAGATGATTCGACCATCCGAGCCATAAATTAGGCTGGGGTTTTCACAGGTGGCGAAAACGTTAAACAGGCCATCCCCTTTAGGCAACTTCTTGAAAACGGGTTGTTTAGAACCAAGAACCAGCTTGTTCATTCCAGTGAGTGTGTGGTCATCGTTCAACGAGAACGTGATAACGCAACCATCGGCCATGGAGACGAACAGGGTAGGTGGTTTGTCGGCCAATACCTGGGCCACTAGGACTGATCGCGGGAAGCTTTCTCCAGCTGGGCCAAGGGGGCTTGTTCCCAATTCTTTCAAGTCGTTAATGCCAAAAATCGAGACATGCGCTAGTTGAGTGAATCCTGCGATGAAGACTCCTGATGGTGTAGACGGAACAGTCAAGCCAGAGATCTGCTGGTTATCACCGAAATTCTTTTGCGTGAGAAGTTCCACGTTGCCTTTGAGGTTGAAGGTCGTGACCACCTGGCCACTGACCACCAGAACGAGGTGGTCATCGTTGGCCGAGGCAGCGGTGATCAGCTTGGGAGTCTCCGGCTCCCATTCGAAAGTGACCATCCCACTTTCGAGATCGGCAACTAGTACTCGATTTTCTGTGACCTGGAGGATGCGAGCGCCTGAAAGCCGCATAGTAAGGAGAGTGCTCTCCGTGAGTGCAAGCCCCAGGAAATTGTCGAGCTCCTCGATTTCACCGTGGGGGCTAAATTGGAACACACGAGTCTCGTCCACAAAAGTAACGATCAGGGTATCCAGTGACTCGTCTTTGGTTTCATTTTGAGTCCGTAGACCCCAGAGATCCGTGATGTGATCCATTTCGCCCAAGACGCCCAGCTCTTCCATACCGACACCGCTGCGCACACTTCGCAGGGTGCCATCATCGAACGCGCCGGATCCTGTCACAATCCGAGCCTGTCCAGACGAGAACTCGTGGGTTTGGCTCTCGCTGGTGCGATTTCCAAGGTCCATGATGGTGAAGTCGAGAATGGGCGCAATATTAGACAGGGTCTGGATAACTTCAAACGAACTACCATTCAGCCGGATCACCTGTGAGTCGCCCTGATGCGAGCCGATGAATAGCATTCCACCACCGAGGTAGACGAGGACAGACGCACGAGCCGTACTACCCAGGTACTCGAGCTTCCAGTCATCGATCTCACCCCGGTTGTTCAGAATGAAAGATAAGAAAAAGAGTCTTCCATAGTCATCGGCTAACAACCACCGCTGGCTATCGATTTTCTCCCAAGCAACAAAAACAGTTGCCTCATCGAGATTGCGCGTAATCACATCGTTGGCGTTATCGTCGATGTATTTGATCGACGTTTCACCGAGAACAATAAGACCACCCAGCGGAGCCGGGATGGGAATCAAATGCGAAGAACCGAGATCAAGCTCTTGCCCAAACTCTCCTCCCTCAAGCTTTGGTACCTCTTTGAACGTAGCATCCGCAGCAAGTCCCGATGTACCAGGAGTGTAATCCAGCTCGCGGATTCTGAGGCGCACCTTCTGTGTGTTATCTTCGTATAGCAGTGCTAGCCACGGATTCGATTCTGAATGCAAGAATGCGGATGATCGAACGAACAGCTCGTCGATCCGGGATATGGTCGGTCTGTCGAGTTCTCCTACCTGAGGTGGCATATCTGTCCCAACCGTCGACATCCGGCTCCGTTTCTTCGTCGGCTGCACAATGGGCACAACGACTATCACGCCCTCGTACACCTCCAATGTCATGAACCGGCCGGTGGGATCGACCAGACACCGCGGAGGGAACAGGGACTCTCGTGACGAGGGCTCAACGATATCAGTGCAGCTGCGTGCTGTTTTGATTTGTTGCGTTTCGCGGTCCCATTGTATTGTGAAGTAGTTGTATTGGTTCGTTCCGATGAAGAGGTGATCGGTCGGTGAGTTGGATGGTGCAGGGAGACGGGCAAGCATCGTCACCCGCGCGTACATAGCGCGGGTTGCAGTGAGGACGATGCCATCTGGGGTTAGGGTGTAGAATTCTAGGCGATTGGCTTTGCTGTGGATTGCAAATTAGCTGTTGCTCGTTATTCGGCGGGTCGGAGTAGGGTCCTGCGGGATAAACTGAGATGGCAGAGAACTCACGCTGCGACTAAGCATTCTTCGTTTGGTGCGAAGAAGTTGAGCTTCACTGCATGGCGAATGCTGCTCGCGCGGTGGATGGGCACGACGTAGGCCATGATCGCGGCAATTGGCAACCGGGGAGCTGATGAAGCTTTGGTTTCAGCGCAGCGCTCCAAGGGGGAAATACTGAGAGCGAGAGGTTCAAAAAAAAATCAGGTTTGCTGCCCCCGGGTCATGTGCGCATGTCTCCGTGGTGAAGGAGGGGAGATTGGGAATGAAGTTCCCGTTCGAATGACGTTTAAGTCCGCGCTACAGCCGAAAGCATCTTGACTTTTGATACTCCATATCGACTCTCGTTCACACTGGGGACTTTGATCTATCCTTTATAATCTATGTAGTTGGTCATGTTCCATCTGTAAAACTTCATATATTTTGCGAAGAAAATGATAAATGCAAATAAAAAAAATGCGATGTAGCGAGTCTATAATAGAATAGTTGCAAACATTTTAGACATCAATGAGAATCCTCATTTGAAAAAAAAGTATTGAATCCCCTTTCAAATCACAAGTCTAAAGTCATAACCTGCCCATACTCCCCAGGGAAGCTCTCGAGGCCAATGCTAGGGATACATAAAACGCGAACCCAAAGAAAAAGTATCGAACAAAGAACATGCCAATATATATGCCCGACCATCTAAGCGCGGGACGAGGTGCAGAGAAGTATTCATCAATCATTCATGACCAGACATCCTCCTGGTAACTGCCGCTGCTGCGCATGTGCTTGACCATCTCCTCGCCCTTCTCGGCGGGCATGCCCCGCTGATCGGCAATGATGTGGCCCAAAACCAGATTGACCTCGCGGGCCATGTTCGCGGCGTCACCACAGACGTAGAAATTGGCCTTTTGCTTCAGCAGCTCGCTGACGAGTTCGGCGTTCTCCTTCAGGCGGTGCTGGACGTATACCTTCTGGGATCCCTCGCGGGAGAAGGCGGTGATAATCTTCAGGGAGTCGCCCATCTGTTCTTGCCAGGTCTGTCATACTATGTTAGTCTTATATTCAAAGACGTTGCAGGGGGTTAGAGATTGCATACCTTGAATTCATCTTGGTAGATGAAATCTTCGTCGCTCTTGCGACAACCAAAGAACAAAAGTGTGGTACCGACTTTCTCGCCCTTGGCGGCAAGAGCAGCACGTTCTTGGATGAAACCGCGGAAAGGAGCGACACCGGTACCGGGACCAACCATGATGATGGGCTTGGATGGGTCGGAAGGCAGCTTGAAGTTGGAGTGGCGGACATGAACAGGCACATGGATGCCATCGTACTTGTTGCGGGGACCGGTAATGGAGTAAGTGAGACCGTGGGGGTCGGGCGAGGGTTCACCATTCTGCTTCTGCTTCAAGGCCAGGAGGTAGTTGGTGGTGACACCCTTGACCATGTGCGAGGCACCGGGCAAACGAACAGATTCGACAACAGCGGTGATGCTAATCTTATCCTTTTGGACCAGGGAAGAGGAAGAGATGGAATAGTAACGAGGCTGGAGCTTGTTCAGACTCTCAATAAGCAGCGAGAACGGAACGGCAGTGAAGGGCTTGGAAGTGATGGTTTGAAGAGCCTGAGCAATGTTGAAGCACTGGTTGGTGATCTTCTCATGGAAGTAATCCTTGTCGTTACCCAGACGGACAATCTCGGCTTTGCTCTCTTCATCGGGGGCGAAAGCAGCGAGGGTAGAGACGAACTGACGGGAAACGGGGGCACAAACTTCCATGTAGTAGCGGACAGCCGCGTCGTACGTGGTCGGAGTTGGGATGGGAACCTTAGCGGTGACATCAATGCCCTTGACATTAATGACGGAGTGACGCTTCTCCTCAATACCAAAGACTTGCAGGAAGCGATCAACCTCGGCACCGGCGTTGGTGGGCCAGATAGCAATGTGATCACCAGTCTGGTAGCTAAGGTTGCTACCAGCAATGCTGATTTCCATGTGCAGACAGTTACGGTCCTTAACAGCAAACAATTCGGAGGATTCGACAATCGGGGCAACGTAAGGGTTGTGCGCGGAGTAGGGACCCTTGGCACTGCCCTCACGGTGGGCGGAGGTGGGTTCACCAAGGTAGACGGACTCATCCTCGGGGGTCTTTTCGTCGTCTTCGGTGACAGAGAATACGGCCTCGTAGACAGCTTCACGTTCCTGGAGACCCATAGTCTCCGTCAGGGCAGTCCACATAGGCTCCTTCCAGGCCAGGAAATCCTCTTCCATGGTTCCGGCGCCATCGTCGCCCTCACCAGCAGTTCCAATGCGTTGCGCACCGAGTTTGGTCAGAGCGGTGTCGACCTGACGAACCATGGCGTTGTAGTGCTCATAAGTGTTGTTACCGAGGCCGAACGTGACATACTTCATGGAGGAAAGAGGGGAATCCTCGGCAGTGGCGCCGCTCTCGAAAGCAACGTCCTCGCCAGTGAAGAATTGATAGAATTCCACCGCGTTGTCAGTGGGCTCACCCTCGCCGTAGGTGGCCAGCACAAAGAATGCGACCTTGTCCTCAGGGAATTTGTCCAGATTTTCGTAGTCGTAGTCCTCAATATCGGCCACCATAGTCTTCAAGCCGAAACGTTGGGAGCCTTCCTTTGCCAGTCGTGATGCGTAGTCCTCCGCGGTACCGGTCTGCGAGCCGTAGAAGATCACACAGTTCTTGTTGGACTCCTCCATCTTCTCCACGATGTCGCGGGTTTTGCCGCTCTTAGCGGCTCCATTAGCGGCGGCGCTGGAGGCATAAGGGTCTTTAGGAATAGCCCAGTAGCTACCCTTGGTGAAGTAGGCAACGCTACCCACTAAGAGAGCCACCAAAACAACCAAGTCGAGGGTATCGAGTTGCGCCATTGTCGCGGGAACAGGGGTGGGGGTCGTTCCCGGTAAAAATTGGTGTTTCCAAGCCGAAGAACAGTTTAGGAAATAAAAACCAAGATACAAGAAAATAAGCAGAATGGAAAATAATTCCTGTTCCCCTATAGACCCCTAAAATGACCTCAAAGAGGAAGATGAGAAGAGGAAGATCTAAGCAACAGGTGGTCTGATCCACTTAGTCCTGGCTCCGTGTTGGATCGTCGCATTCACCGCTTTAGTACAGTAAAGATAAACGTCGTATACTTCGGTGATTAAAAGAAGATATACGGCGTCAATGGAGTAAAGATTGTAAAAGGAGTATCAAAAAGATATAAAAAAAGAAGAGAAATAGCTAAAAAAAAACCCCCACTACCAAGTCTCAGTCCCCTAGTTATTTTATATGTGGAGAAATGGTGGCCGAGGGCAAAAAGTTGACACCGGAAGCAAATTCGGGGAATTGTATACCATGAACAAAATTGAAAAAGCAGGATTAACTAATTGTACGGGGTACCATTTGCACTTCATCCACGTTCTCTACTAGTTTTGCCTCAACTTCACAAGGCGGAGCTCGGGTAACTTGGGGAACACGGGGCCAACGGCAAGCCCGCTCGGGAGATAAGAAAGGTCAACTCCATAATTCCTTGCCTTTCCGTGACCTTCGCATTCTTATGTCTTGCATTCTGTACTTTGTGCACGGCACATACTCCGGTGCGGAATGCATTCCGTTGTTTGATGTCAGATCTTGACCTTGAGTACGAACTTCGGAGTACAATACTGTACTTAAGTACTGTAGGCGTGGCAACTTGCCTTTCTAGGCTGTCGGGTGCCGGCCATATATCTGTGGAGAAGATCGCCTGCAACATAATTTTCTTATACATGTGCAGTCGATCCCTTGTGATTATCTGATCGACACTTTTGTGTCCCTCGGTGAGTTCAAATGTTATCATATTCTTCTAGGGGACAAGGGACATTATAATCAAGGTATTCGTTATCCTTGTTGTGATGGAGATGAATTTTCGATGGCTATATCTTAGAATATGTGAGAGGCTTCCTGTGATAACATAATTATTTAACTAGGTAGATCTAAGCCACTTGAAATCGAATGCTTGTACTCCGTTTTGTCGTACGATATACCCCTATCAACTGCAGCTCTTCTCAATCTTGATAGGCGCCTTGCCTCTCACAGAGACAGCCTATGCTATCGCCACCTGGGCAGAGAAGATTGGATATACTATGTGCAACTTGCTGTGCATGAATGCTACCTCATGTGTTGCGAGGGCTGCCCAGGTGGGATCGAAAATTCCAGAACTGGTTGTAGATCCCTAATACATTATGGGGGTTGCCCACCGAATTTGTAGACACTGTTCGAAAAGCAGGTAGTAGGGTACAAGGAAGTTTAAACGCGAGTCCGGCACCTCGTATATTCAAGACATTACAGCTTTGACTTCAAACAGGCACCAGGAGAGATATATAAAATACATCTCTTGCCTCAGCAAGGGCAATCAAGTTGTTGATGAAAGCAACTAAAGGCTAAACTACCTGTCATAATAATGAATTGGAAATGAAATTTTCAACGATTTGAAACATCTCCGAGATCTGTAACAGCCGTTAGGAAGGCCGACATGAAGGTTGAAGGGCTCCTTGTGTCAGCATGGCGCTAAAGCATACTTAGGTCAGACCCTATAGATTGACCATACGTTGGATATTTCATTTGTGACTGATTTCGTTCAGCATTTTCATGCAGGAGACAATCCTTTTCCCCATTCAAGGTGCAATGTAGTGCTTCAGAGAGGTTGAATTCAACTGCTTTCGGTTCCTTTAAATGCAGTTTGAGCTCGATAGAATGCCCACAAACTTGGAACTTCCCCTATGTGGGGAGTCAACATCGACAAATTTGTTTCAAAAGACAGACACCCGAGTCTTGTACCCCACTCGGCACTTGAAACCATACGATCAGACGTTCCCTTGGGATCCTTGTTCGTTACGTCAAACCCGCATCGTGCATTACTTGCATCTACCAAAAATAGTTGATACAGGATGCGTATGAATATACGTTGCTAAGAAACAAGACCAATGAATCATTAATATAGTATACAACCAAAACTTCCTCCAAAATTCACCTGCAATGGCTAAAAAGTGAAGCTCTACCTACATAGGTACTTAATATACATGTACACTTTGAAACATAACTAAGGCAAAAACAGTGCCCAACGGGCCAACGGGGCTTGAAGGATGGAAAATCGGTCTTCAGCAGAGAAAACATACATTTTATTAGATACTATTATAACTATGCAACTACATTGATGTACTATATAATCAATTATTCATTGTTTTCAGTATACAAAAAACAACAAGAGGCTTAATAATGAAATCCCTTTACTTCCCATTGAAGGTACCCGTGCGCCCGATAAAAAACATCAAGCTCTCCTCATCTCAAAGACCCCTTGGCTCAGAAATTAAAGCCACTATGTGCAGTACAACCTGCTTATATTTTTGATCCGGCTACTTGCATAATGTCTTTGGAGCAATGAGATTCCCGTAATTCCTTTTCAATAGTAAGTCGTGAAACTATTCCACTTGCTGCTATCGGACCAAGCGGACTCGGTCTAACCATTGGGATAATAGTGGCTTCAAATCCTGCCAAAGCTGTTGGCCTAGGCCAAACGCTGCCCCTCATCCCTGACGACCTTAAATCCGCGTCGCACCATAACCTCGCATCCCCATCGGAACGCCGAGGAACCAAAACCGCCCAGTCGACTCCTATACACAGTCGCGAATCCTCTGCCGTCCGAGGAAGAGCTGTTGACCCTTCCACACTCGCTCCCTTACAACCTAGACGTGGTCATTCCGGTTCCAAAAGCCCAGACGTACAGGGCGGTCGCCCTCCAGGATATGAAGTGGGATTAGAACGAAGACCTTCCAACTCGTATGGTCATCACCGGCAAACGTCTATTGTGCACGGCGTGCAGCATTCTCGAAACACAAGCATGGCCGGTTCAAGCGCTTCCACGAGCCCTCTGAGCCCGGAGCTCATCGCGTCGCTCGGTCGCGGTGCTTTCGACGAGGCAACTCTCCCGGCAAAATTCGATCCTCTCGATTCACACTCTGGTTATCAGACGCCATCCGGGACATCCGCAGGCCATGGGCTACCGCCGACGTTAAGCACGATAAAAGACAACGACTTGAGCACAATCGATACCAGCCCCGCAGCCCTGCTCCACAAGCGAATGAACTCTGGGGGAAATCAAGACGGGAAAGGTCACATAGTCGTTCGCAGTCGAAACCGTCGGAATCAAAGACTGTGGGGGAATATGCGCTGCATCATTTATTCAACTCATTTGTTGGACAGGCGGACAGCAAGATTAACCAAGCCATCATGAAGATGGGGGAATCCGAATCTCCCGTGGAGGAGGTTTGCGGTCCTGGAGCGGACCCAACGTTCGATCAATTGATTTCAGCCTTGGGACATATCGCTCGAGAGAAACCCAAACCTTTAATTGACACGATTATGTTCTGGCGCAAAGCTAAAGGAGATGCCGCCATCACAGCACGCCAGATGACCAATGACCAGAGACCATCGCCTGCCACGGAGAGTGGTCCTCTACTGCGTCGCAATACCGAACCGACACAATTTGGTGATCCTGCTGTAGCTGCAGAACGGTCGCAGCAATCTACGCCTTTTATCAGTCGTCCTGACGATGTCGCTTTGGTGGAAAGACGTGCAACAGTCTCAGTCTATCTAGTCTGTAGAGTCTTGATTGAGATCTTCAACCAGAGTAGCCTGGCCTCAATCACTCTTGATATGGCAGATCGCCTAGAAGATATTGTTTTTGGCCAGGTGAAGACCTCTGACCCGGACCAGATCTCAGCATCACCACTCCGGATGGCGAACTGGAGAATATATGGCCAGTTACTAGGTATTATGAGCGAGTCGAACTTCTCCAACGTCTCTGGACGGTTCTTGGGGGAGCTCGACCGATACCAGAAGGAGGAAGCAGCTCGGGGCCCCTCTCGTGATGGTGACTCCAAGGCTGAACTGTTGATTCTTTGCATGAGATACCTCCGTTTGCCTATGTCACCAGAAGGGTGGCCCAAATCTTGTGACTTTATGCGGTCATTAGCACGCTTGTTTGTCAATGCCCACGGGCAACGTATCAAGCAAGCTTACTGCTACGTGATTGAGAAGTTGCTTCTTCCTGTCGCGGCCAACCCGAGCTGTGACCTTTCCCTACCCCGGTGGAAAGAATTCGTCGACTTGGTCCAACCGCGTCTAACGCAACTCCTTACCAAGCCACGCCATTGGGCGTCCTCTTTCTCCTTGAATGTGTTGTTGCTTTGCATTTCGAACAAAGAGACTTTCTCTTCACAATGGCTATCCATGATATCGAGCCTACCTGCACGGTTGAAGGACCGTCCCACCCGTGCACCCGCACTGCACGCTATCTGTCGTCTGGTCTGGACCTACTTTTTCCGTTTCTCGGACTCCCCTACGACCACCCTTCGCAAGGTTGAAGAGGTTGCCAAAATCGCCCTGCCCACCGGCCGGAGGACGTATCTAAGCGCAGAGCCGGTCTTTGCTGATCCGTTGATCCAGCTGATTCAAATAATTGGTTTCAAGCATCCGGATGTGTGCTTCCGAAACATCATTTTCCCTTTGATCAATTCCGATCTTTTCCTATCTGGCAAGGAGCTGAGGATAGAGCAAATGGAGCCCGAGAAAATGGTCATTGGTATCCGCGCTTTCCTCGCTACCATGTCTGATCTAGAGACGAGCGATCAGTTGTGTCCCCCCATTCCAACTGGTTCGCTGCCCAACCCTTTCACAGATGCTTCGACTCCCCTATATTTCCACCGCCCTCAGCTGCTCAAAGAACACACAGTGGCGAAACCCTCCGAAAAACAAGATCCGACATTATGGCAACCTGTCAATACAACAAGACTGAGTGATAATGTGAAGGAATACTACTTCCGCTTCTGTGAAGTCTTGGGCAAAATCACTTTGCTCTGTGACAACACATTTGGTGGACAGGCAGTACTGGACGAAAAGTTTGGTGGAACTACCCCCAAAACCCCCATCTCGGAAGCGTTCAGCTTCGGTCGTCGTGATGACCATGTCACTACTCTGGACCAGAAGCAGGGGTTCTACGACCTCCTCCATGTCGCAGTTCAAGCTCTCCCCCGCTGTCTCTCCGACCACATTCCATTCAATTCGCTCATCAATCTCCTCTGCACGGGAACTGCCCACGTCCAGTCAAATATTGCCACTTCTTCAGCTGAGTCCTTGAAGGCTATTGCACGACAATTACATGCACAGCAAGTCACCATTGGCTTTGCTAGGTTTATCTTCAACTTTGATGAGCGCTATTCTACCATGTCAGACGAAGGCATGCTCGGACCGGGCCACATCGAGTCCACGCTCAGGCTTTATGTCGAACTGCTGCAGATTTGGATTGACGAGATCAAGCGAAAAACGAAAGGCGCGGCGGCTATGGATCAACTGGAGCGGTCTATTTCCGGCAGTCGGGCTCTGCACCTTGATTTGTCAAGCGTCCTCGCTCACGTGGAAGAAATTGAGTCGCATGGGCTATTCTTTTTGTGTTCTCAATCAAGACGGGTTCGAGCTTTCGCTATCACCGTTTTGCGTTTGATCACCGAGTTTGACAGCGCACTTGGAAAAGAAAACACCCGAATTATACGGATTCTGGAGGCTGATTCTCAGCAAATTTTGGATGTCAATGATGAGCATCTAACGGTTGCCGAGCGAAGCCGGATTCAGAAAGGGAAAAGAAGAAGTGCCTCGCAAAACACACTTATTGAATTGTGTAGCAGTGAAGTCTCCTACGATTCAACATTGTGGGCCAAGGTATTTCCCAACATCATTCGGATCAGCTTTGAGACTTGTCCCTTTGCTGTAACGCTGGGAAGGGAGATTGTATGTGCACGTCTTGTTCAGATGCACAAGATCATCACCCATTTGGCCGAGAGCACAAGGTTTCCCCAATATGGCTCCATTGATGCATACCAGCCCCGTCCCATTGGAAGGAGTAATGTTACGTCTGAGATTCTGGTCGAGCAATGGAAGCTATACTTGGTCATGGCTTGCACCACTGTGACAAGCGTTGGGGCTCAGTCTCAAAGTCAATTGGCGAATGCCCAACATGCACGCAAAGCCTCCAAGGGAGCTCACCAGTCTCAAGACAAGATCAGCTCTGCCCGAAGCTTGTTTGCCTTTGTTATCCCCCTTCTCTCCGCCGAACGAGATTCTATTCGCAGTGCCATTGTAGTGGCTTTGGGATCCATCCATAAAAACCTTTACCGCACTCTTCTGGAGTCTCTCCAATACGCTGTCACTACCTGCAACGAAGAGGCAAAAATGAGAATTGGAAACCATTTCCGCAGCCCCAGTAGTCCTCGTCGAAATAGAAAGACGGACCGTCTACGTACGGAAGTCACCAATGTCTACAAACTCACATCCCATTTCCTCCAGGAACCAGAGGTTTACAATGACGACTGGATCGTCAACAACCTTGTCACCTACGCTAAAGACATTCGGATTTTCCTGAGCGACGCGGAAGTCCAGAATGATTGGGAATTCCAACGCTTGCGGTTCCACTTCTGTGGACTGATGGAGGAGCTTTTTGAGGGTATCAATCGCGCCAAGGATCCTTCTCGTTGGATGCCTTTCGAATCTCGGAAATCTGCATTCTCTCTCATGGAAGACTGGTGTGGGTACTCGCCAAACCAGGCTCAAATCACCGAGAGAGAAGAGAACATGCGTAAGTTTGCTATGGCACAGCCACACGAGACTGGTGAGATGAAGAACACCGCTGCTGCTATGGAGATCGAAAAGAAAAATCTACGAGCAGCAGCTTTGAGTGCAATGGCTTCTTTGTGTGCTGGGCCTATTGGCATCACCACTGAGAGTGGTTCCGTTCTCCAATTTGATGTTAGCCGCATGCTATCATGGATTGAAATTATCTTCAACACCGTGAGTGATAAATGGCATGCCATCGGTCGCCGCGCACTCAAAAACCTCATTATCCATAACCAGGAACACTCCTATCTAATGGAGCGGTCTATTGAGATGTGTTACGTGACCGAGCGGCCCAAGACTATTGAGAGCTACTTTGAGGTCGTGACGCAGGTGCTTTTCGAATATCCGGACTATCCTCTTAGATTCTGGAGGATTCTAGGAGCAGTCTTGGTGACTCTCGGGAATGAAAAACGTGAGATTAGGATGAAGTCTGCTAAGATTCTTCGAAAACTGGAGGAGCGCCAGCAAAAGAATTCCAGACTTCAAGACTTTGATATCAGTATTTCCGACAAGACTACCGCCGTTTATAAGCTTGCCCAGTTCGAAATTTCGAAAAGATTGGCCAGTCAACACTCCGACTTGGCTTTCACCATTTTCTCGGAATTTTCTCTACATTTCCGCAATCTTCAGCCTGATAGCCAGCGGAACATGGTTGCCGCTATTCTCCCGTGGGTTCAGACAATGGAGCTACAGGTTGATCCTAATGGCGGCCCTACAGCCAAGTCATACATGTTGCTGGCGAACCTGTTTGAGATAACCATTCGTTGCAGCACCGTCTTGCCAAATCAGGTACAAGCATTGTGGCAGGCTTTGGCAACAGGGCCCCACGGAGGCAATGTCCAGCTGGTCCTTGACTTCATCATCAGTATATGTCTGGAACGCAAAGAGCAAAACTTTGTAGAGTATGCCAAACAGATGGTCGTGTTCTTGTCAGGTACACCGGCTGGATCAAAGGTTATTGAGTTCTTCATGTTACAGGTTGTACCAAAGAACATGGTGCAAGAGCGCAAAGAGCTCACTCCACCCCCTTCAGACATCAAAAGTCTACCATACGTTGCAGACCTCGGGACGGTACTGCCTGTCGGAAATAAGCAAGCTGGTCTTTCTCTCGGACAGGTCGCGCTGATATTCCTTGTCGATCTCATGGTCGCCCCAGTCACCCTTGCCTTGGATGATGTTGTCAAGCTCATCCACATTGTTCTCATTCTCTGGGACCACTACACAGTCACTGTGCAAGAGCAAGCTCGAGAGATGCTGGTTCATCTCATCCACGAACTCATAGCGGCCAAACTTGAGGACGATGCTCCGGACGGTGCGCGGCAATCTGTCGAAGATTTCGTGGAATCAATTCGCAAGAGTGATCCTGCTGTTGTTTGGGAATATGAAGAAAACCATGGCAAAGATGAGGACGCCGATGATCGTCGGGTGCCTGCATCTATGGCCTCCGTTACCCGTGACGTTGTGAAGTTCTTCAGTTTCGCCTATGAAAGCGTCGGCGACTTGTGGGCTAAAGAAGCTTTGAACTGGGCCACCTCGTGCCCAGTGCGACACTTGGCTTGTCGCTCATTCCAGATTTTCCGCTGTATCTCGACCGCGTTGGATTCACGAATGTTGGCTGATATGCTCGCCCGGCTTTCAAATACTATTGCGGACGAGGAGACGGACTATCAAACCTTCTCAATGGAGATTCTTACTACGTTGAAGATCATTATCAGTTCCCTGGCCCCATCTGACCTACTAAATTATCCTCAATTATTTTGGACGACGTGCGCTTGTCTGAACACAATCCACGAGACCGAATTCATCGAGAGCATTGGCATGCTTGACAAGTTCCTCAGCCGAGTCGACCTCAGTGATCCAGTTGTGGTGGCCAAGCTCATCGAGGGCCAGCCGCCCAAGTGGGAGGGCGGATTTGATGGTCTCCAGGACCTTGTCTTCAAGGGAATGAAGTCTTCCGAGTCTTTTGATCGCACGCTTGATCTCCTGCATACTCTCAGCGGCCTTCCTAACAATGAACTTATTGGGGATGGAACTCGACAGCTATTCGCTGTGTTGGCTAACCTGCCCCATTTCCTTCAATGCTTCGAGCAAGGGTTCAGTGACCCCAAACCCATCGCTCGTGCTAGTATACTTGCCCGTGTAGCTGAGAATGAGCGCTGCCCCCGCCTTGCAGCTTCATTGTTTGGATTCGCGAATCAGCAATACAAGACAGCCGGTGTCTTCCTCGATCATATCATCACTGAGATTAAGTCGTACTATTTCCCCCAGCTAGACTTCCAGTGCTTGATATTCCTCATGGGTCTCTTGACCAACACCACAGATTGGTTCCGTATCAGAACGATGCGAATTCTCTGTGTCCTGATACCCGAAGTAGACATGAGACGCGACGAAGTCACCTGCCATGGCCCTGATTTGATCTCCCCGCTGCTCAGGCTTCTGCAAACCGATCTCTGCCCTCAAGCCTTAGAGGTTCTGGACCATATTATCACCGTCTCTGGCAACCCAATGGAGCGTCAGCATCTTCGCATGAGCATGGCATCAGCGGCCTCTTCTCGCGCAATTCGCAAAGAGTATGAGCGGATTCAGAGTCTATACGGCATCCCCGAGCCAACAGGTTGGTCGGTTCCTATGCCTGCAACTCAATCAAGCATGACGCGGCATAACGTCCACGCGGTATTCTACACCTGTGTCGAGGCTGAAGACATGCAAGACGAAGATGTTATGACGCCTGGTGTGGCTTTCCATGCAGATGAATACAACAGCAATGACTCATTTTTCCCCATGAGAGCCGATACCATGAAGTCAATCGACACGCAAAACGATGGCAATATCGGAGATATCGTACAGAAGCTGGACAGTCTGGATGACTTCTTCGAGGAGACCGATCCCACCACCCCCGTGCTGAACCCTGTTGCTCCTCCGATGCTTCGAGGATTCACTGGTAGCTACGTAGTGGACACGAACGCCCATCTCTACGACCAACAAACTGCGCCGATCTTGCGGAAATCTCTCGCTCGCACAGGATCCACCTCTTCCTTCCATAATGGTCTGGCCGAGTCTCGCCCACCCAATTTCCGTTATGACAGCAGCTCCGCTATGTACTCTCCGGTTACTGCAGCGCCTTCAAATGCTGCACAGTTGTTGCGATCAAATTCCCATGTCCGCTCCGTCACCTCACCTGCCAACAATCTCTATGTCCACACTGCCCCTGGGGCTCCAAATGCCACACCACCCATGGGTTTGAGCGATTATGCATTCATGTCGGACGAGGACCCTGACGAGGTGCATTCAGATCTAGAGGAACGCCCAGTGACTAGGAGATTGAACCCACTGCCCGCACCTATGGTCCGAAGTGCAACCGATGGACCCCACTCTCTGGAATCAATGATTCGCAGCGGCATGCGCAGGTTGACAGGTGGTGCAGCCAACAGAGAAAAGGAACGGCAGCGGGACCTACTCCGCGCACAACACCGTGCCATTGCGCAAACGGCCAACTCACCCCGTGTCCCAAAGGTGCCTGAAGAATATCTCTCAACCCCAACGAGCCATCCAGCATCACCGAGGTGAACACCTCTTACCTTCATCATATTACGTTTGTCCTTTTGCTTGTTCTCTCCATTCTTTCTTAGGTGCCTGGGCATTTCTTGGGAGTTTGGTCTACATACTACATACTACATACCCTGTCACCTTCCATATATTCTGGCAATTGGTCTTGCTCTCAAGCGTTCGCACTTCTACATACTGTATAGTACTCACCCTGCGCAAGTTCTCCTACATATCAGGTGTTTTGAATTTGAATCCATATCTTGCATACTTCTTTTAAGATTGAACATCGGTAAGATCCTTTTTCTCATTGTTTTGTTCAATATAGATACTTGAATAATTGGCATGTTTAGCATAGACCAAGAGAGTATACACCCACACGTGACGCGCTTCCCCACGGCTTTCCTAATGCGGTCTTCCCCGCATTTCGCGTTATTCAACTCCTGAACTTCTCGGAAAGCCACGGCTGAATTATGCAGTACATTCTGGTTCCTTTAAGAAGGTCCTCTCCCCAGTTCAATTTCGCTGATCTCAACATTTATATACTGCCACTCAGCATAACACCTCGACATTGTTCGCACTTTTGATCTCTCATACTTCATCTTTCACGCGTATGCGTACTAAATCTGTCATTTGCAAGCTTCGATTTTGAACAGTACATTCTATTCACCAGACAATGAATCTTCGAACGGCATTAGCTCTCCCACGGAGGACGACTCTTTTCCATGCGTCTACAGTGGATCTCCGACGCTGGCCGTCTAGCTCGGCCCGAGCTTTCTCCACAACTATGCACCGCGATGCGACGTGGGGCTTTGTCGGACTCGGACAAATGGGTAAGTTTGAGAGTTTGAGATACACTGCAACAACCTCGATTATGTTGTCTGTACGAGGTATCCATGGATGCATTAGCTGACATACCCAAGGGTACAATATGGCCAAGAACCTACGCGCCAAGATCCCCGCATCCGATACCCTAATCGTGCGCGATATCAACGAAGATGCGATGAAACGATTTGCTACTGAGGCCCAGGAGGCTGCACGCAGCAATGGCGCCACTGCCAATGAAGGATTAGTCGAGCTAGCAGAGAACGCCCGCGAGGTCGCTGAGAAATCAGTAAGTATCTCCCTTAGTACCTAAGTACTATCTTGTGCGGTTTCCGTAGCTTCGCTAGCTTCCGCATAGACTGTGCTTTATACTGGTTGTTCACGGGTCTAATACTCATATATTTTTCTTGTTTCATAGACAGTGATAGTGACCAGCCTTCCGGAGTCTCAACACGTCATTGATGTCTACCACTCTATCTTGAGACATGGCGATCTCCCGCTGCTTGAGCAGGAGCGTCTTTTCATCGACACTTCTACCATTGATCCTACCACGTCCAAGGATATTGCCAATGCTATTCACACCACGCAAAGCGGTCGCTTTGTGGACGCCCCTGTATCAGGTGGTGTGGTTGGTGCCCGGGCTGGAACACTGTCATTCATGTTCGGCGCCTCTTCGCAATCAGACGAGTTACTCGAGCGTATCCGCGGGGTGCTCGCCTTGATGGGCAAAAAGGCCTGGCATCTCGGCGAGCCTGGTGCCGGAGTGTCCGGCAAGCTGGCCAACAACTACATTTTGGCCTTGAACAACATCGCCACGGCCGAAGCTATGAACCTCGGTGTTCGCTGGGGTCTCGAGCCCAAGGCTTTGGCCGAAATGATCAATTCGTCAACTGGTCGATGCTGGCCATCTGAGGTTAACAATCCCGTTCCTGGCGTTGTTGAAACAGCCCCCGCGTCACGTGGGTATGAAGGTGGCTTCGGAGTGAGCTTGATGCACAAGGACCTGCGACTGGCTCTTGCGGCTGCGGAGGAGTCTGGCACTCCTCTTGCCTTAGGTTCCCAAGCACGTGAGGTATATAAGGCTGTAGAAGAAAAGCACCGTGGCAAGGACTTTTCAGTGGTTTACAAGTGGCTGCAGGAGAAGTCTGAATAGGTTTCGCCTCTGGTAGCTCTTTCTTTGGCGATCTTGATTCCCCTTACCATTCGTTGCATGCTACTCTTTCACATAGATTAACGATAGAGAGATATTGCAAATAGCCTTTTTCTATTCAATGGCATAGGCTCAAATTTCCTGGATATTCTCCAACAGGGGTTCCATGGCGACTGTGCAGCTTCTATGAAGCATACAGTACTTAATTCGCATAGACCGTAGGGTCCAACTCCCCCAAGTGACTTTCCTCTTTCTCTCTTATTTCTTCTCCTACATCGTTCCTTCCCCCAACAACGAATAATGACATAGCTCCTTCTTTCGTTTACTTTTCATGCTCTTTCCTTCTGGTGAAGTTATCCCGTGACTTTATCATTTCCCTCTTGATTTCCCAATCTAACTATTCCCCATCGTTCCCATCCCATCATCATCTTGTCTCGTCCATCCTGTGGCCTATCTATCTGGTCAACTCCAAGGCTGTTCAGACTTACTGTCGTATACCCCAACCCTCTTTTGTCGGTGCAGATTGTCCTCTTGTCGGAGCAGGCCTCCAAAGAGGACAGACGCCAGACTGTGTTCCTGACTATAGGTGAGCCTCCCATTCAATTTTGTCCATGCTCTAGCACTTTTCCAGTTCCTGTCTTGGTCAGCACTGACATGTCTGGACAGAGTCCAGATACCTTGCCAGGTGTTATATAATTTGGCACAGGAATACAGGTGAGATCCATTGCTGCTTGTCTTCTTCCATTGGGAAATTTTGTCGACCTGACGGCAAATGGTACAAGACTCGACAGCCATACTGACACAGTGGTATTTAACAGTCCTGGCACTTCATCATGCACCCACAGGGTTCTCAACACACGAGTTCCTCTGGCTCTGGTCAGACATCGAGCTCCCAGTCCGGGCACTACCACCCAAACGAGCCTCGTAAGCCATATGGACCGAGGTACCAACCACCCACGAATCCAACCTCCTGTGACAGCAGTGTGGCGGGATTGACCAATATTTTCGGTCGACTCAGTGTGCAAAACCATCGCTCCAAGTTTGGTGGTTCAAAGAATACTGCGACGGCTCAAATGAACACTAACATGGACTGGTCAAATGCCAACCGTGCTTACAACAGCCCTTTCATCCTGCTCCCCAACTCGACCGTCTTCAATGGTGTTTCGACCGTCCCTTCATTTGTTTCCAACACTGTCACTGGTCAGAATGATCACATGGGTCAATTATCCTACGTTCCAACTGGAGTTTATCCGAATGTCACTGGCATGGTGGCTGCTGGGTATTCTCCGTGGCCATATATGATGAATTACGAAGTGCAAGATGGGACGAACAACAAGCACGCTAGTTGGAACATGGCAGACGCACAGAAGGGAGGTCAAACAGAGAATGCTGGTCAAATTCAATACTACTCTTCTACTTATGTTCCCACCGTGGATGGTGGTTCTATGCCAGGCTACTCTTATGGGGGCATCATTCCCCAGCTTGGGTCGCTTTCACTCCCTCTTCAAATGATGAAGACCCCAAATGGATATGTTGTTCAAGATCTGGAGGCAATCACTCAGCAAGATCCTGCCATTCCACGCGCGGTGCCCGCCATGTGGACCAATCCTTCCGAACTGACGCTCGCCAAGTGCCTGGAGAACCGCGAGGGCATTACCAATGTCTACATCCGAGGATTCTTGCCGGAAACCACTGATGAGATGCTGCATTCTTACGCCGCTCGTTTCGGAAAGATTGAGCGCTGCAAAGCCATTGTCGACCTGGACACCAGTCTTTGCAAAGGGTACCTATTCCAAAAAGTGTGTTTTTGATTGATGCTAATTATCCAACAGCTTCGGTTTCGTTCAATATTACAGCTTTGAGTCCTGTGAGAACTGCATCCGTGGTTTCTTTTATCTCGGATACCAAGCCAGCTTTGCTCAAAAGTCTCGCAACTCTCGCCTGAAAGATCTTGAGGATAGATCTTCAACCAATATATACTGTACCAACATTCCGATCGACTGGACCGAAGCTGTATGTCGCATTTCTATCACTCCCATGGTTCAATACTCATTGTTTTATCAGGACCTTCGGCGTCATTTCGAGCCATGGCCAGTTGTTTCTGAGAAGATCAGCCGGGATGAGAAGACCGGTGTGAGCAAGGAAGTGGGCTTCGCGCGGTAAATGCTATCAAACCCTCCATTCCCATATCTTGGTCTGAACTAACCATCGTGTTTTTGATAACAGCTTCGAGAACCGCGAAGTCGCCGAGAAGGTTCTGATGGAATTCCACAACACCACCAAGGAGAATGGAGTGAAGCTCTTGCTGCGCTTTGCTGACACCAAAGCCCAGAAGATTCTGAAGCAACAGAGCAATGAACGTCGGGCTTACCGTGCTGGAGAGTACAACTATTCGGTGGAGGTAGTGCAAGGATCGACTCCGTCGCCTTCGATGCGACGTGGTAATCAACTTACCCCAAACTCCCAAGCGAGCTACACCTCTCCAGCTGGAGTCGGCTCTGACTGGACGCCAGCCACTACTATCTCCCCATGGTATGTCCTGGTCTATACTGAAGGCTTCATGACAATTTGAAATATGCTAACTAAAGTCATAGCCACCCACACATGACAAAATCATCCAGCAGTGCGCGAAACAGTTCCTTGTCGTCTCGGAGCCTCAATGCTCTCGACAACGTCCCTCCCTCTCGTTCCCGAGCCCTCTCTCTTGGGGGTCGCTCCTATACTGATCTCTCCGGTGGCTCCTCAAAGACTATCATCCCGGGAACCTCCATTGAGACTTGCTCCTACTCTTCAACTCCTCACAAGGAGAATATTCGAGCCAGCTCTGTGTCCCCTGAATCGTCTCCCATGATCATTCTATCTCCTGTCCGTTCGTGTGCCTGAACCTACGGTGCACCATGCTCCCATGCAAAAATATACGCATAGGGTGCTTCGCAACATCTTACTTCGCATAGTTAGATCGAGCACCGCCTGATGGATGCTTTCCATTCCCAAAATATGCAGCATCTGTTATCATTCGCAGAATGTATGAAGATGTATGGCTCAGCTTTGCCTTTTTTTAGAGAATTTGTTTTACGATTCACGATTCACGAGTCATGATTCACGATATGTTATGCGGCTACCTTTCAATTTCTGATGGTTCAAGGTATCCTTATGAGATCCAGAGTCATTATCATGGAATCCTATCATTAGCATGGAGTTTGATGGGAGGATTATTGGGAATGGGGTTTCTTTTCTTTTCTTTTCTTTTTCCACAGTTATACAAGTCTTGCATGTTTTCATCAACATGGGTATGTTCCAGAGGCATGTTTCGAGACTTCCTTTCAATAACGCTATCGTACCCCGAGGGGTTGAGCAGTCTAATATGATATTATTGACCAAAAGGTTGGGTCCAAAAAATGTCCATGTTCAAGTTCCAATGTAATTGAGCACAACTGTGACGTGCAATCTATCGGAAAACAAGTAGAGGGATAGAGATCTCTCAATCTATACACAGGGAAGATACACGCTATTCAAATCAGTTACGCCCAAGTCTCTCCTCCACATCTTCCGTCAGCTGATAGGCAGGGAGGTACTCCCCAGCACTCTGCAATTTCGGGTTGGGATGAGTATCCGACGTGCCTCCAAGACTGGTGTATCCTTCATCATACAGCGAACAATATCTTAAATCGAGATGCCGAATAAAGGCCCAAATCTCGGCATAATGCCAATCAATCACAGGATGAACCCGTACAAAATCAGGCCAGCCCCCATCCGTCCGATCAAAGTGCGTCAGCTGGGCCCCGTGCGGATCCGTCCGTCGCGTCCCCACAAATATCGCCCGGATCCCAGGATGTCGCGCCAGGTAATCCTCAAAGCTGGAGCGCAGCGTCGAAGCAGGTGGCAAGGTCGTGTATTTTGTAATGGCGAGGTGGTATGCTTTGGCTGACGTGACGACGAAGTCCTCGACGGCGTCGAAGGGATCCGGTGGCAGGGCGTAGATGGACGGGATAACAGTCGCGGCGGCTATTTGGGCCTCGGCTTCTTTGTCGGGTTGAGAATTGTTCTCGGGGTGCAGGCCGGCCAGGAATAGGATGAGAAGGACTAGACAGTCCTTGCCGCCGTTGTAGGAGACGGAGAGTTCGGAGAGCTTGTACCGCTTTAGTGCGGTTGACACTACGTCTAGCGAGATGCGAGTTTGGCGTTGCACGGAGGCTAGAAGGGAGTCTGGGGGGTGTGTTTCGTTTAGGAAGGATTGGACTCGCGCGTGGATGCGGGCGATGACTGTTGGGAGCGGGGGTAGGTCATTGTCTTGTGTTCCATTGTCGTGAGCCTCGGTCTGGTTACTTTGGTCCAATGGCTCGGTTTCAGGCTGAAGTTTTGCAGTTGATACTGGAGGGAAAGGTTTGAGGTGATCTTTTGGCAGCGGAGATTTCGCTGCGGGTTCGGTCATGTTGGTGTGGTTTGACGGAGTGAGGTTCAGGCGGGGGGGTCCACGGTGCCTTCGGGGAGACAATGACTTAATCCACTGTGGGGATTCCGCATATAACACTGATCGTATATCGTGAATACGTAGAGAGATGTATGTTCAGGATTTATTATAAACATACATATGCATTGAAGATCTTTTTGAGAAATGAAACCGTTTACTGGGAACCCTCCGGGACCCCGCGTCCCCCGCAGCTTATCTGTGGAACTCGGTAGATTCTCGTGGATTATAGTGTGACTACATATATAACAGTTTACAAAAGCCCTGTGAAGTGGAAGTTCAAACTGATATGTGTGATAACTTCTCGAATTGATAACTTCATAGCCGTAGCCATGATACTGGAATATTTGAATGGTACAGATCCCCAAACGCCGGTGTCGCTCAGCGAGAATTTAAAAGAAGAAAAAAACAATCAACCCAGTACCTTCATCTTTTTCTTCTTCTTCTTTTCATCACCAGTCTTTTTGCCCTTCTGAAAATCACGCCAGCTGCCAATGCGTTCTTCCCGAGTATCTTCCCACTTCTTATCATGGTCGCGCTTCCGCTTCCGAGCCTCAAGCTCTTCATCTTCCTTGCGCTGCTCGCGACCTTCTTCCTGCATCTGCGCCTTGAGCTGTCGCCGGCGGCGCGCCTCCTCTTCCAGTAGCACCCAGACCGTCTTCTTGCGCCACTCGACCTTGAACTCGTCGGTCTTCAGCTCGGGGGAGTCAACCGTATACTTGTGCTCGCGGATCAGAAGCCGTCGCGCGTCAGAGATGCATTCGTCGAGGTATTCGCGCTGCTTCTCATCTAGAAGGGCAGTTTGCGCTTTGTTAAGGCGGTCAAATGCATCGGGTGCCGCGGGGTTCTTGGTTTTATCGGGGTGAATTAGGAGTGACTTCTTGCGGTACTGCATTTTGATGTCCTTCTCTGGGACACCCGGTTGCAGGTCCAGGACGGCATAGCTGTGGTAGGTCAGTTTTAGAATTTGTTTTCGATACAGTGAGGCGACGGTATCTTGTATCGATTGATAAAGGTTTTACTTACGCATCGAGACTGAATGCCTTGCGAATGCGATCAATTTCGGCATCCTAGGTGTCGCGTGTCAGTTCCCGTGAAGTCTGGCGGTATAGTTGAGGGCTCACCTTGGTAAACTCGGAAGCTTCCTTCTCAAGAGAATCAAAGATATCCTGATCGTCGTCCGACATGATGGACAGCGCAGACACGGAGAACGAAGACGGAGTCTTGGGGATCATGGGAGCTCAAATGAGATAAGAGAGCCCCGGAGCTTATCGATGCTTAGTCAGTTCAGAACGGCCCCGCAGGCACACGCTCTACAGTGAACAAAATGAGCGTCTTACCAGATATTCTGCCTTTTTTTCAAATTTATACTCCTTTGTAGGGGTTTTTCGAGGCATTTTGCTAGGAAATTTCTAATACACTTTTCAATACATCAAGTCTAATAGCAAACAAGTACAACCACAGACAGCAAGACAGCATCTGTGTAGATCTAGAATATACTTTTTTTACCGCCTTCTTCACCGCTCTCGGTCAAAGCTTCAATGGAAAAAAAAAAGATGTTTTCACCGCCCGCACCTTTTCAAGATTCAACTCAACAACATGGCGCCAAAGGCAGTGAAGGGAAAGCCAAAGGCCAAGTCTCATCAAGACTCAGGAAGACTGTTGAAGCGGAAGCGTGGCGAGGAGCAGATCTCAGACCTCGTGAAACGGGTTGAAGAACTCGATATCAAAACCTCGCTCAAAAGCTTCTCCGATCTCCCACTCTCCGAACCAACAGCGTCTGGACTCTCCGCCTCGCATTACAAGACTCTCACCGATATTCAAGCGCGTGCTATTAGCCATGGTCTCAAGGGACGCGACATTCTCGGTGCAGCCAAGACCGGTAGCGGAAAAACCCTCGCTTTCCTTGTTCCCGTCATCGAAAACCTCTATCGCAAGAAATGGACCGAACTCGACGGCCTCGGCGCCCTCATTTTGTCGCCTACTCGTGAACTCGCGATCCAGATTTTCGAGCAATTAAGGAAAATTGGAAGAAATCACCACTTCTCTGCTGGTCTGATCATCGGCGGGAAGAGTTTGCGCGAGGAACAAGAGCGCATGGGTCGTATGAACATTCTGGTCTGCACACCCGGCCGTATGTTGCAACATTTGGATCAGACCGCCATGTTCGAGACCAATAATTTGCAGATGCTGGTACTGGATGAAGCCGATAGAATTTTGGACATGGGTTTCCAGAAGACAGTAGATGCTATCATCGACCATCTCCCGAAGCAGCGCCAGACCATGCTTTTCAGTGCTACGCAAACCAAAAAGGTTGGCGATTTGGCCAGACTCAGTCTCCAAGACCCCGAGTACGTCTCGGTTCACGAAGCCGCCGATGCAGCCACCCCATCTACCCTTCAACAACACTACACCGTCATTCCATTGCCGCAGAAGATCGATACCCTCTGGAGCTTCATTCGCGCCAATCTTAAAGCTAAAACAATTGTATTTTTGTCATCAGGCAAGCAGGTCCGCTATTGCTACGAAGCGTTACGCCATTTGCAGCCCGGTATTTCCCTGCTGCATTTGCACGGACGTCAGAAACAGGGTGGCCGACTTGATGTCACTACCAAGTTCTCCCAGGCTCAACATGCAGTCCTCTTCGCTACTGATGTGGTTGCGCGTGGGCTGGATTTCCCCGCTGTAGACTGGGTCATCCAATTGGATTGCCCTGAAGATGCAGACACTTACATCCATCGTGTCGGACGAACAGCCCGCTACGAGCGTGTCGGTCGCGCTGTGCTCTTCCTGGATCCCAGCGAAGAGAAGGGATTCCTCAAACAGCTTGAGCACAAGAAAGTGCCCATTGTGAGGATCAACATCAAATCAAACAAGCAGCACAGTGTCAAAAATCAGCTGCAAAACATGTGTTTCAAGGATCCAGAGCTGAAGTATCTGGGCCAGAAAGCTTTCATTTCTTACGTCAAGTCCATCTACGTACAAAAAGACAAGGAGGTTTTCAAGATCAAGGAACTTCCCTTGGAAGAATACGCACAGAGCCTCGGTCTTCCCGGTGCTCCGCGCATTAAGTTCATCAAGGGTGAGGATGCGAAGGAGCGCAAAAACGAGTCGTGGAGAATGGCACACATGTCCAGCGATGACGACTCGGACGCAGAGAAGAAGAATAAGAAGGACGAGAAGGAGGTGCGCACACGTTACGACCGTATGTTCGAGCGTCGCAACCAGGGCGTGCTGGCAGAGCACTACTCCAAGCTCATCAACGACGATGGTACGATGGTGGCTACCGGCACCAAGGACACAGGCAAGGATGTCGACGACGAGGCCGACGAGGATGCCGATTTCCTATCGGTCAAGCGCCGGTTTGCCGCCGGCGACGAAGAACTCGGCCAGAAGGTCGACTCTGCCGGGTCCGGGTCCGACTCCGACTCCGATTCCGATGTCGAGCCGGCGGACAAGGACACCACTGGCACCAAGAAGGTGCTTCTGGACGGCCAGGATCCCCTCCTCATCGACTCCAAGCGACGCGAGAAGCTTCTCAAATCCAAGAAAAAGCTCCTCAAGTTCAAGGGCAAGGGTACCAAGCTGGTCTACGACGACGAGGGCAACGCCCACGAGATGTACGAGATGGAAGACGAGGAAATGTTCAAGGCGCGTGGCGATGCCAAGACCCAGCGCGAGAAGTTCCTCGAGGGCGAGACGGAGCGCACCCGCCAAGCCGATATCGAGGACAAGGAAGTCATGCGCGAGAAGCGTCGCGAGAAGAAGGAGAAGCGCAAGGCTCGCGAGCGTGCCGAGATTGCCGCCGAGGCGGAAGAGGAGGGCGATTTCCAGGGTCTTTCGCATTTACCTCATGTTCCCTTCGAGATTCCCGGGTCGGATTCGGAGTCTGGGGAGCAAGAGTCCCGGCCCAGCAAGAAACAGCGTGTGTCTTTTGCCGACAAGGAAATCGACGAAGAAAAGCCGAGCAAGAGCAAAAAGACCTCTGGCAAGTCTATCGAGACTTTGGGAGACTTGGAGGCTTTGGCCAGTGGATTGCTGGGTTAGTTGTATATTGTATATTTTATATCTCATTTGCAAGGTCTTATGTGGCGCATTTTCTCAATGGTTTAATCGGCATACAAAAGTATTGAATATGAGCGATGATTTTTGTACCCCAACAGGTAGAGTCCCCGTGACCTGTCAGGTCAGAGATTACTTTCTGATCTTTAGATAGCTTGACTCCAATGAACATATTTCTTCCTCCTCCCCTTTGCTACGCTACAATGATTCATACTATATCATTTTGTTCTATACTTCTACACTATAATTGAGTACATTATAGTGAACTAGTAGGTAAGATGTTCAAATAAACTCCACCTAGTGCAAAAGTAAAGCGAAAAACCTTGGAAAGAAAAAAACCAATTTATAAGCAAGGCACTAGTCGTACCTAAGCAGAAATTCATAGACGGCAAGTGTTTCTGCCGGTATAAGCTTCATTGTGGAGTCACGCCGAGTTTTCTTGACACATCGACGTCGCACTCGTGGTTGCGCCCCGTTTCTCTCATCGATGGCTTCAATCACGCCATCGATGAATAAAAAAGAATTCAAGATCAGCATATTTATTTTCCTTTTCACATACCTGAAGGGCGTATATTGTATCCATCTATATTATCTCTGATTGACATATCTCAAACTCGAAGAGTCTGGGGTTGCCACGTGCACGTCACGCGATTTAGGGCTTATTGTGGAACTATGTAAGTGCCGAACAGCCCTACAGCTCTTGTTTCATGTTTATATCATTTATATCATCATGGATATCAACATGGTCAATATGGATATAATACTTACATGACTCTGTTTTAACATCTCAACAGTCACCACCATGGCCGATATTGAAAAACACCCCGCGGGGCCTACAGTGAACGATGACTTCGCGTCAAACCCCATAGTCAATGCCGACAAACTTGCTCGCCGCTTGTCTTCCAGACAAGTGCAGATGATTGCTATTGGTGGTACTATCGGCACCGGTCTTTTTCTCGGAACGGGTACATCGATCGCTACGGGCGGTCCTGCCTCGACGCTGATTGCTTATGCTATTTGCGGTGCTATTGTCTTTATCACTATGCTCTCTCTCGGTGAGATGGCGGCTTTCATGCCCGTTGCGGGTTCGTTCTGTACTTATGCTGGGTGAGTGCTGCTTTTCTCTCTCTTTTTGGGATGGGATGTGTATTGACTTGGTGTTAGTCGCTTTGTTGATGATGCGCTGGGTTTTGCTTTGACCTGGAATTACTGGTTTAATGATGCAGTTTCAACCGCGTCAGATATCATTGCCCTACAGCTTCTGTTACAGTACTGGACGGATAATTTCCCAGGCTGGGCAATCAGTCTTATCTTTCTGCTTGTCGTGATTGCCCTGAATGTCATGTCAGTCAGGGTTTACGGCGAGGTATGTCTAGGAACATCCCTATTATTCCTGACATCATCTAATTTGGAACTTTAGATTGAATATTGGCTGAGTTTACTCAAAGTCATCACGATTATTGTAAGTACCTCGATCACCTCGCCATGTACTCAACTGACAAGCCCAGATCTTCATCATTCTTGGAATTGCTGTCAACTGCGGCGGAAACAAAGACCACGAATACATCGGTGGCAAGAACTGGCTGAAAGGTGATGCACCCTTCGTCGGCGGAATCGGCGGCTTTGCATCAGTCTTCGTCACAGCCTCTTTCGCATTGTATGTCTCCACCACTAAAAATTCCAATTCCAACAATCATTCAATGCTAACAACCAACAGCGGCGGCACCGAGTCCATCGCCATCACAGCCGGAGAGACCAAAAGCCCCGCCAAGACCATGCCCAAAGTCGTCCGCAACGTCTTCTGGCGCATCGTCCTCTTCTACCTCCTCTCCATCCTAATCGTCGGCCTAAACGTCCCATATGACTACCCAGGCCTCTCAGACGGCAACACGAAAACCAGCCCCTTCACGATCGTCTTCCAACAAGCCGGCTCCGCCGTCGCAGGCAGTTTCATCAACGCCGTAATCATGACCTCCGTCATCTCAGCCGCCAACCACGCCCTTTTCGCCGGCTCCAGACTTCTCTTCACCCTCGCCGTCGACGGCTACGCCCCCAAGTTCTTCGGCCATCTCAACCGCTTCCAAGTCCCCTGGGTCGCTGTCCTCGCCACCTCCGTCATCAGCGGCCTCTGCTTCGGCGCCAGCTATATCGGCGCCGGCAAGCTGTGGTCCTGGCTGCAGAATATCGTCGGCGTCTCCAATCAGCTCTCTTGGATCTGTATCGGTCTTGCTTCGCTGCGGTTCCGCTCTGCGGTGCGTGCGCAGGGCATTGAGCATCTTCTTCCCTTTAAGAATTGGACGTATCCGTACGGGCCGATTTTTGCAGTGGGGTTGAACAGTGTTCTGGTTCTGGTGCAGGGTTGGAAGTGCTTTAGTCCGCATTTCAAGGATGTCGACTTTGTTTCGTATTATATTGAGATTCCAATCATGATTGTCATGTTCTTGGCGTGGAAGTTGGTCAAAAGGACCAAGTTTGTGAGGAAGTCAAATATGGACTTGAGGACTGATCGCTATGATCCTTCTCAGGAGGATGATGGGCCGCTTGGTCAGGTTACGGAGAAGAAGATGGGCGTTTGGGGTAAAGTCCAACGTTTTGGCCAGTGGCTTTTCTTCTAGTTTTGCTTGTGATTTTCTTATGATACCTCTTGTCGTTTTTACCTTGTACCTACATACCTAGCGGAGCATCTACATATTTTTGTTGTATATATTCTCAATGATACCACATGGAAGCCTCCGATCAATCCTCGAACATACACTGCTATCTGCACTTGAATCAAAAGACGCCAATGAATATAAAAATCAACCAAATACGTATTATCTGCAACCTACGGTGATCTATCACTCTGGCTACATAGGGATATATATTTGCGTATACATTATAGACAGAAGGGATGTACAACAGCACCCAACACCGCTGCCGACAGATCACCTAAATAGTCAAACCAAGCTGACAATGACATTGACCCCCAAAGGAGCAAGTTTAAAAAAAGGATAACCACGAGACCACCCCCATGTTCTCCGCGAAACGCCGCGCCATGTCTTCGCAAAAAAATCGCGCACAAACTGTAGGGGGTAACTCGCAAGAAGGGGAATCAGACAAATGAGATCAGACAAATGAGATAAACGACAAAAGAAACCCTCACCAGCCACCTGCATGTCCAGCAGCGCTGCGGCAGTTCCGAAATGCTGCCAGATGGATATGATATAAAATGCAGAATGGTATTCCAAAAATCAAAACCGGGAAAATGAGAACATGTACTTTTGATGTCCTGCACAAAACATGTAGAGATTAAGCGGCAAATCAAAATCAAAAACAAAAACAAAACTGTCGGTTCGTCGCGGCGCTCGCGCCGTTCTCCTCAGAGCAGGGTTACACCCCGGAGACCCTGCTTCCGGGGTTTGTGTAGCATTATACAATACAGGGAGGAACGCCAGCCTCCGATTGGTATAAAAGTCAATTTTGGTAGATGCGGGCAAAGTTACCCGTTGACCATATCGTCTAGTGCCATCTTACGTCGTTTGATGGGTCTGTCACCTTCGGCTTCGTTGGGGGGCTCGGCTCGAGGTATTGAAGGTGAGCTGCCTGCTGTTATCTGGATCGGAGATGGCAGCTCGACTGGTCCTAGGTGGCGGGGTGTGGGGTCCATGTTCGCGCTTGTTATAGAGGAGGAACGCTGGTGAGGAAGAGAGTAGTTGAAGGCTGGGCCTGCGGATCTGTGGAGAGGAGGACGGGTATCGTGGAGGCTGTCTTCTCGGCCGGGGAGAGTCCATGTTGATGGGTATGGGTCGCTTAGGCGATGAACGTGATGGGGAGGTGGAGGTCCGGCGGTGGCCTGGTGGATTGGAGGGAGACGGACTGGGGATTCGACATGATATGGGTCATGGGGCGACAACGGGACTCTGGGATCACCCATTGGCGGGCGGATGGCGGTGCTGGGAGTTTCAGTATATGGAAGAAAGGACATTCCCACTGGCGGGGGTTGATGTTGAGGCGGAGATGTTGGTGGTGGCAGTGCTGGAACGCCCCCATAGGTTGGGAACCGTCGCTCCATGCCACCCGGCATGGCATTTACTTTGAGTGCTGGGTTAAATCCGCCGGCCAAGGGCATGTATGCCGGGGGTGCATGTGGATGTGTCGGCACTGAATGTGAGGATGGTCCAGATGAAGAGAACGGCCGTCGACCCCCAGCCCCCGGCATCGTTGGGGAGGGGTCCATGGGCCGGGTGAGAGGAAATACTGAAGCTGACCACCGATGTGGCGTTCTGACACCCGAGCTTGCATCCCCTAGTCCCTGTAGATCCGTCATGGGCCGCAGTTCTCGTGAAGACGTGGCCCGATGCATGGCAGTCCGCCTCGGGGGCATGGTCGGTTGGGCCTCAGCTGGGATTGTTGAATTATCCAAATGGGTGGTATAGGATCTTAGAGATGAATCTTCTGCTTTCAACGGGGGTCGTCCCCGTTTCTTGTGCGTAACATCCACACATGTTGACTTTGTTTTCCCCCTGGCAGTTAGTTTTCGGATTTCCTTTACTTTTTCACGCCATGGAGATAAATTTCAAAAACTCACAGCTTTTCCAGCAAGAACACATCTTCGACAAGGTCGAGCTGGATCACATCCCAAATGCTTCTTCTTGCAATTGACACAAGCAGATGCTACATGAGCTTTGGTCCGTCGGGTAGATTTCTGTGCCAGTGAGCGACCTGTGGGATGAGTCGGGTCCAGTACCGGGAGTGGATATGTCGGTGGTCCTGGTAACGGCCGTGGGGATCCAGTATAAAGCGGTCCCTGCTCGTTATATCCCGGCAATCGCAACGGTTCGGTGACCGGCACTTGCGACAGTTCCGAAACAGGTACTCGCTCGGCCACTACAGGAGAAGGATGTCCCAGAGGCTCTGCAGATGGCTCCGGTTCTGGAGATCCAGACATAGGTTGAAGATGAGCCCTAGGGCTGCACCCTCGAGCATTGGGAGACCACGATCGATTCAACGGTAGCCGATCTGGGCCCGAGTTGAATTGACCGAACTGGGAGGTAGTGAGGCTCGGGGGTGAAGCACGAGTGATTGCATCGGGCGTCGGGCAGGAAATGGAAAGGGCCCACGGGGCAAATGCTTCTTTTGTTTTTTTCTTTTCTTTTTTCTTTTTCTTTTTTTATAAAAATCGGTGATATTTTTCCTCTTTCAACCCCAAGCAGATCTTCGGAATTCACAAAGGACCGCTGGCTTTCGATTCCGTGCTTGGGGGCAGCATCTCTGACGAATAGACAAACAGGGAAGGACTGAAAAAGAAGAGCGCAGCGGTGTAGAAAGAGAGAAGAGAGAAAAGAGAAAAAAGGAATAGGAAAAGGAAGGATGTCAATATCCGGCCGTCATCAAGCTCTCCAAAGCCTGTCCGAGGACCCAACCGAGCTTATAATCAATGGTGGAGAGATCCGCTATTGGAGGAGTCAGAAAATAGACTGCATCGATCAGCGGGAGATTTCCAGATCATGACAGCAGGGCACAGGGTTACTCATAGCCGCGCATGTCTTCCCACAGGGCAAGTTATTGCATGGCGGTCGATCATCGAGCTAGGATCAAGGTGCAGGACAAATGTCAAAGCCCCCCTCTCCACGCCTTACCTCTCCGCTGGATCACACGTCCCACGTTCCCATGGGTATTTTAGGAAAAAGGGGAAAGAAACAGTGAACTATACCAGTAAAAACGTCGTGAAATGTTGTAAAACGCAGTGAAATACAGCCCCAAGGAGTTGAAAGGTAAGTGATGAGTTATGTGAATAACAGAATAAACCTCAATACAAGGCGTTCGATAGTCCCAACTACCGAGCCTGCATAGGTACAGGTAGATAGGCAAGAGAGGGTCTTGAGAAAAGTAGTGGTCCATGCAGGCGCTAGTTAGCAACTGATAGACTTGATCTTCGTGATGGTAGATCATTAAAGAATAAGACATTCAATCGTTTTTTTTTTGGTTTCTTTCTTTCATTTCGATTTGTGCATAATAAATGTACTGAACAAATCGAGTAAAGGGCAAAGGTATTCAAGGGTATGTAGGCATCATACTGAATGAAACCTCTTCTTCTGATACGTTGTAAACTGCAATCAACGTCAGTAACACGAAGATCAAACGGTAAAAAGGGATCAAATTCCGAAGGAGGGTTCTGTTTTTTTTGTTTCCCTCTTTCCCCCCTCTTTTTGTTATTTCCTATTCGGAGAGGGGCGTATGCCAATCAGGACCGAAGCAAGGTGGTCAAGGTGGGAAGATTGACGGATCGACGTCGGCGCCCGCAGCCATTGCCAATAGTTCGACTTTTTTACGCAGCCTGAACACTTGTTTACCAGATAGATAGGAACCAATTATTTATTTTTATTGAATTATTTAAATCGTTAAATCGTTAAATCGTTAAATAGGAAATAGTAAATAGTAAATAGTAAATAGTTGAATAATCCACAATAGTTATGTATACATATTGAATGTAGTATCTACTATCCTCCGTATATGTGGTATATGGTATAGATTAACAGGGGTCTATGTCCCCAGTGCTTAAATTACTGGGTTACAGTCGGCCTGGTCAATATCTTCAATTGTTCTTTTGCCTTTGACTTTATGTATACTGAAGTAGGTTGTTCACGACTGCCGACGTATGACTTTGTGATGGTCCGTTGTTTTATTTTTTTTACCGAGTCTAAAAGTCCCCAATGTGGATTAGGTCGGCTGAATTGTCCTAATTATTATAACAAACCCGAATATTAGACCTTAAAATCCTAACATCCGGGACTCCCTTGATGTATCCAAGTTTAAACGCGTTAAACCTTTTGTTCTGAAAATCCCACGGTCGTTATTCTCCGACCCACCCCGGCAAATCGTTGTATGACCGATGAGCATCCTTTTATGCTCCGTCTAGGGGTTACTGTTACAGAGATGGGCAGGTCTCACAGGGTTGATACTTCGGACAACTGCAGGCACAGAGTGCCCTATTTTTTCCCTGGACATAGTTCGTGAATGATACCGAGTCTCTCGGTCAAATTTGGTCAAATTTCTGTGGTACCCCAACGATCCTTGGGTTTTATGAATGTACAACTGTTCATGTACAAATATTGTAAAACTCGGAAAAAGATCAAGGAAACGGAAGAAGAAAAAAAAAAAGGTCTCAAGGGAGGGAATATCCCTCTTTGTCTTGAAACTGAGGAATCCTTCGGTGTCTACTTTATTTTCCGGGGACCCCGACAGAGATGTGGCTGCAGCCTTTCTTTTTACGTCTGGGCGATCACATTGCCCTTTGCCTCTGTGTGCGTGCACATTGCTGACGATCACCATCCCTGGCTTCAAGACAGCTGCAGGATTCCAGAGACACTGATCTCACGTCATGGAGATTATTAGCTCTGGAGTGTATTGACTTAGGGTTTACATTTGAGGGTAACGGTAACGGTAACTGTAACTATAACTTTGAACAATATATCAATAATATGATATATAAAATATACACATAGAGTACATTACCCTCAAACTAAAAGTCATTATCACCAATTATTATCACAGTACATGATTAATACATAAGACATAAGAACTCGGCAGCATCCGACTTTCAGGGAAAAGGGGTGTGGAACATACGGCACGCGGAGCAGCAAGGGGTCTGTCACCCCGTTCATGCAGGATTAAATAGTCTGTACGCATCTGGTTGGTTGCTTTCTGAATGTTCCATCTGCCAATCATATTGTTGAATTTTGGCTTCTTATTTTTCGTGTTACCCAAAAAAGAGGTGAATACCTGAATGACCTAGATTCTAGGTATACTCCTACCTCTCCCGGTATAGTGTTCCTCTACTCCGTAATCGAACTACAAACATAAAGGAGTAAATTAAATAGTAGCTAGTCAAGTGGAGAGCACTAGACTTGCTTATTGAAAAATATAAAATAGATGTCAAATATGAAAATCCCCGAGGCCATTAGCGTTGAATAGTTCGGTTCATACGGAGATTATTCGGGACTATCCCTAACAATTCTCCTAGCCTCAACGTTTAAAACGCTATAATTACATTATAGTGTTATAGTATATATTATATAGGTGGGCTATACGAAGTACGGAGTACGTTATACGATATGCATTATACGTGATTATATGATTATAAACCTCGAGAAGACTCCATTTGCTCGGCATTTTCTCTAGAATCCAATATTTTATCTCTTGGAACTCCCCAACGGCTAGTGACGAGGTCCGAGTCCACTAGGGCGTGATTGGGCCGTTATCACATTTTCGGAGCTTGAGTCGATCTAGGGTTTAAACGTGATGGTCCAGTGCATGAGTTCCAATGTCGAGTAGCCGGGTTTACAATCCATCTTCGTATAGGTGAATTGAACAACAGCCTACATTCCATGTGGTGAGCTTCAGGCGATTCCGAAATCCCGGATACATGTAGGGAAAACAAAAAAGAAAAAAAAAGTATCCGAAGACAATGTGGTATCTTTGCAATAACTATAGACATCTATGCGACACAACTTTTTCCATCCCCCCTTTTCATTGCGAACCCCGTTCACCGTCTCTTCTTCGCCGGCCGAGCATTCTTGTCGCGGCGCTGTTGCTGCTGCTTCCGTGCCTTGCGAATATCTTCCGTAGACCGAAGCTCGCTCTTGCCGCCGTATGCCGCGCCGCCCAGCTTGTCATGCTGGCGCTCACGCGCGGCATCGTTCTTCTTCTTCATCTTGTCGTAGTCGCGGCGCAGAGGATCCGCCCGCTTAGGTGCCCGGTCTTGGGTGTGTCGGAAGCGGCCTGTCGCCATGCGGGATTGAGTGGCGTTCATAGCCGGAGTCTCGTTTTCACCAACGCGAGGCATGCGCTCCACGCGCTTGCCCTTCTTCCAGGCCTGGAAGCGACCGCTGCGGAAACTGGCGGCGATCTTGGCTCCACTTTCTCCGCGGACGAGACGGTCGCCCTTGGATCCGTCCTCGTCGTTCTGACGGGCAACATACTTCTTGTGACGCTTGTCCCAGCGCATGACGGAGCGCGCTTCACCGAAGCCACGCTTGCCTTCGTCACCGTTCAGGTCCATGGTCGCATTGCGAGAATCGGAGGCAAAGTTCGAGTTTGTACCGGAGTGAACACCGTATGCCTTGTCTTCAGCCATGTCGTTGTGCTGAGGTTTGTAGCCCATGAAGTAGTCGGGATTTTGGAATGCTGCCGCGGCGCTTTTCTTTTCTCCTTGGTTGGCTTTGTTTGAGTTGTAGGCGGAGAAAGTAACCTCCAGCTCATCTTCGGATGCTTCAGACATGTTGTCGCCAGGTTGGTCGGGAACATCGTCGTCATCCGGCCTGGGTTGGCCATCCTCGCCAGTGGGCATTCCGAGCGCAGATAACTCAGCCTCTGCCTTGGCATCCGCGCGCTTTCTCCTGTTCTCAACGCCAGTGCGGAGTCGTCGAATGGTGTCGACAGCCTCGTTATCGGCGACCTTGCCGCCTCGTCGGTTGTTCGCTTCGAAAATCGTTTCTTGTGGCCGGTAACCGCCAATGCGGGCCAGCATGCTCTCTCGCTCAACTTCCATCGCGCTGGCTGCGTCGTTGAAGAGCGGGTGAATCTCGGACCAGTGCTCGGAGGAAACAACTTCCTTCGACCGTTTCGCACTCTCAGCAGATGCCGAGTTACGGGTACGTAGGTACAGCTTCTCTCCCTTTTGGGAGACTTGCTTCTGCCCGAGAATATCCATGTCGTCGTCGAGGACCTTCTGCACCCACTCGCAAGAGCGAGAGATCGCTTCTCTTGGCAATGTTCCCACAGCCACATCCTCAGCATAGTTTAGCTCAGTTCCATATTGGCGGCCAATGACCAGTCTGCGTCCTAAAAATAGTTGAAGATCGAGAAGGTAGGGGCAATCCTTGTCGCGAACAAGACTATAACTCCAACCCTTTTGGCCAGCTCGAGCTGTACGACCGACACGGTGAATGAAGATCTTAGGCTGTGAGGGGAAGTCGTAGTTGATGACGTTGGCAAGAACAGGAATATCGATACCACGGGCGGCCACATCAGTGACAACCAGAATGTTCGAGATGCCTGATCGGAAGTTTTGGACATGCTGATTACGTGCGGTCTGGTCCAGGGAACCGTAGGCGTAAGAAGTGGCAAAGCCTGCCTCAACCAGCAGGGAGTAAAGGTAGTCGACGTGGTGCTTGGTAGCAGCGAACACAATGGTAGAGTGCTTGGTAGGTGACTCCTTGAAGCCACTTGGGCGACGGACATCTGATCTCTTGCGCTTCTTCGACGGGTTTTCTGCTTCTTGGCGGACTCTCCTGCCGATGTCTGTCTCGCCAACGGGCATCTTAATAATGTCGTGCAAAATGTATAGCAGGGCACCTTCCTTGTCCGAAGACTTGACTCCAAAGAAGGCGTTTTGTAGGTCAGGAGAGACCTTGTTTTCAGTGTCGAGACGAATTAGACTGGGTTCTTGCAGACCAGCGCGGGCAAATTCGACAAGAGACTTGGGCAATGTAGCAGAGAAAAGGAGAGTCTGACGAGCGGACGGCAGGCCGTGCAAAATCTCGGTCAATTGGGCAGCGAAACCCATTTCGAACAGTCTGTCAGCCTCATCGAAGACGACATACTTGATGCTAGACAAATCCATCTCCATCTCAACCTTCAAGTGCAGGAATCGACCGGGTGTTGCGATAATGATATCGGGGTTGTTGGCCATCATTCCAAACTGATCTTCCAAACTGTCACCACCAATGATGAGTACTGATGTCAGGTTTGTTCCCTTGCCCATTTCCTTCACAACTTTCATCGTTTGCAAAGCCAATTCACGAGATGGGGACATGATGAGAGCACGTGCACCGAAAGCAGTGCTGTGGCTCTTCAGCTTCTCGATCATGGGAATAACGAACGACGCAGTCTTTCCGGAACCGGTTCGAGCCATACCCACAACATCCTTGTCATCCATAATCACGGGAATGGTCTTTCGCTGAATTGGTGTGGGCACGGAGAATCCTTTGCGGGCGATGGCTTTGAGCAGGAAACCACTCAAACCCATTGCCTGAAAACCACCACCCTTCTTCACCGTGCGGCCTTTAAGGTTGGAGCCCTTTCGGTTGGCAGACGCTTGCTGGTTTGCAATGAAAGCCGCATCGCCGTCATCTTCGCCTAGGAAGTCAAAATCTTCGTGCACGGGCTTCTGGTTTTGGTTTTTCTTCTTTGGAGGCTTTACGGCATCATCGGAGTCACTGTCATGTTCAAAGAGGGCACTGGTAATGTCGAACTCGTTCTCCGACTCCGCGGGGGAGGCAGCACGGCGAGACATGGTATGTGAAAAGCCTCGACTGATATGCCGGAAATGCGATGATAAGCGGTAATTAGGTCGTCGCTTCAATGGTCGGGGAAGGCGAAAAGAGCACAAACAAATGCAGATATAAAAAGAGTGTAAATCGCAAATAATCCACCGACTGCTCAAACTTCAGTCGCCAGAAGAAAAAAGTCCAGTCGCTTATCTCGCCGTCATTCCATCGCAAAAAAAAAAGTTGAGAGAATCAAGGCGGTGAAGTCCGGATCAATAATAGTCCGCGTGCAAACAAGTCAAACGCTATCTATATATTCAAAAAGTATAGCTGCATCGAGTAGAGAATGGTTGAACTGAATGTACAAAATTGAAAGGAATGGGGGAGTATTCAATGTATACTTAGAGACAAATGGAAAAGGTGTTATAAGATAACAAATCGACTTCAAGGGTGTCGCTAGAGTTTGTAGATGTAAAGTATACACCAACTGTCCAGGTTTTGAGCCAGTTCATGTATACGATGCTTGAAATAAATTCTACACACATTACCAACTCTTGATTTTCACGTGTAACTATCAATATTGCAAAAGGTACAATTGTTCAACTCTACATTGTAGAACGCCGAAGAGGAAAAACAGAGCTCGAGTCCAATTTATAGAAGGCGGTCTATTACAGCAGAACACGATCCCCGCGACGCGCTCGACACGCTCCCAATTGAGTAAAATGGTGTTCAAGACAAGCTCTACCCAAATACCTTGATTCCTTATTTCACACAACACCACAGATCATGGGTATGTATACATTCCCAATTTTACTATCACCTCCAGCTTAATCTAATATGACACCCAGATGGCAACTACAGCAGCTACGGAGGCGGCGGCGGCGGCGGAGGAGGCTTTATGCCCGGTGAGACCAACAGTCCAGCAGGTGGAAAGGTACATTGATATCGTCAGATTTGAGAACAACAATACTAATTAGTAAAACTCAGACTGGCGATCGGGACAACAAGACCCTCCGCCCGGTGACAGTGAAGCAAATCCTCGACGCCTCGCAACCTTACCCCGAAGCCCCATTCCAGGTCGACAGCGCCGACGTAGCCAACGTCCTCTTCATGGGTCAAGTCCGCAACATCAGCTCCCAGAGCACAAACGTCACATACAAAATCGACGACGGCACAGGCGAAATCGAAGTCAAGAAATGGGTTGACTCGACGACCGCCGACAACATGGATACAGACGACGGCAAGGCGCCCGGCGATGGCAAGAGCGAGCTCGAGCTCAACGGCTACGCCCGCGTCTTTGGTTCCATCAAGTCTTTCGGAAACAAGCGCTACATCGGTGCTCATAGTGTGCGGCCTCTGACTAATCTCGACGAGTTGAATTGCCATTTCCTCGAGGCTACCGCTGTGCATTTGTTCTTTACGCGCGGCCCGCCTGGTGGCGCTGCGCCTGAGAATGGGGCCGGCGGCGATGCGGTTATGGGTGGTGCGGAGGAATACGGCACTGGGCAGAACAAGGCTTTGGCTTCTATGTCGCCTGTTGCGAAGAAGATTTATAACTTGCTCAAGACTGAGCCGCAAGATGATACTGGTCTGCACTTGCAGGTTATTGCGTCCAAGTTGAACATGCCTGCTACTGAGGTTTCGAAGGGTGGTGATGAATTGCTTGGTGCTGGTGTGATCTTCTCCACTATGGATGAGCAGACATGGGCTATTCTGGAGTACTAGAGGATGAGGGTGTTGTTTGCGTTTGGTAAAATTCATATTTAGGCTCCAATGATATCATGATTTGTTACTGCATACCAAGGGAACACATGCTCTATTTCTCTGCAATCTTCATAAAACATATGGTTGGAAAAAAGCTAGACACTGAAATCACCAAGCCACCGATGACGCTGAATGCAAAATGTACAGAACCACCACATGTACTTACATAATAAATTACGCAAACTTTTGGTCCATCAAGTCATGTAAGCACATTTATTCATCCGTGGATGTAGAACGAGCCAAATCAAGTCAGCTCATTCCTCCGAACAGCATCCTGGACGGAACGATCCCAATTAGCGCGGCAGATGAAAATACCCTCGATGAGAGAAACAAGTCCGAGGGCAAGAGCCACGCCAGTCCAAAGACCCATGACGCCCCAACCCAGAGCAAACGTCGTACCCATGCTGAGCGGCATGGCAATCACATAGTAAAGGAAGAGCTGAACGTAGCCACCCACTTCCTGGCGACCAAGACCACGAAGAATACCGTTGCAATTAGCTGCCAAGGCATCGAAGAGCTGGAAGGCCGCACAGAGCGGAAGAACCTGTGCTACCATCTCCACGACTTCAGGGTCGGAGCTGAAAAGTCTGGGGATATACGAGCGCAACGTCGACAGAACAACCATGTTAAATAGCCCGACGATGGCGGCTCCGCAGAAACTGACTTTTGCTGAGGTCTTGGCGGCATCGACCAGGGTGGCCCCGATCAAGTTTGCTATTCGCGTGCTACCCGCGATGGAAAGTGGGAATGGGATCTGCCAGGTGATGCTCGAGATTGTTGCGAGAATGGACTGCGCTGCTAGTGCGGACGTGCCGAGGTAGCTGGATGCGAGTGTCAGGATTTCGAATGCTAGACACTCTGCCTCCACCATGATCAGCCCTGGGAGAGCTAGTCGGATCATTGGGCCCCAGTTCTCGAATGCTCGTCTGCTGAAACCGCACCAGCACTCGGATCCTACGAAGAAATAGACGTAGATAAATAGGCAGATCGGAAGTAGATTCTCTGTGATCACCACGGCGATCGGGGCTCCAATGAATCCCCATTGAAGTTTCTGCCATATTCGTCAGTATTCTTTTCGTTCACGAAGTGTGTAAGTACTCACCCAAACGAAGAACCAGTTGAGGAAGGCATTCAGTGGCGCACAGAAGATCAGGACATACAGAGATGCTGAAAACACACCCTGGGCCTGAAGATATCGCTTGCCGCTCTCGAAGCAAGCAAACCCAGGTGTTCCCAAAAGAGCAACCTTCAAATAAAGACCGGCCATTTTGGCAACCTCTTTTTCAGGCACAATCTTGGCAAGGATATGCTCGGAAAAGTACCAAAGAACCATAATAGGAATGGTGACAAGCAAAAGGAAATACACCATCCGCAACATCTGCAGTCCCACTAGCTTCCTCTTCCCAGATCCATATGCCTGTGAGCAGAGCGTATCCAAGCTAGTCGCCAAACCAGAGTACACTGCGTTTCCGGTAATGGTCACAGTCATACTCGCAAGACTAACCGCTCCAAGCTCCTCTTTTCCCAAATGGCCAATGGTAAAAATACTCGCTACAGTCAAAGAATACTGCAGTAGGAAAGTCACCATCAGGGGCAACGAGTATCTCACAATAACCTTGGCTTCGCGCTGCCAAGTGGTCTGAATCAGACCTGCCGCGACGGCTTCGTCCCATTTCCGATCAATCTCTTCCGAGCCCATCTCACTGCCAGATTCAGAAGCAGCTTCACCAAGCAGAGCAGTCGTTTCGCTTGCCGTGTCCGCCTCTCGGACTCTGCTTCCCGGTTGCGAAGATCGACTCGCACGTCGGGATGAAGGTCCTTGTCCGATAGCGGCAGATAACAGCCCGCTCACTTTACGCTGAAGGCCGTGCGATTTGCCATGCGCATGCTCAGGCGAGATAACATGGTTATCGCTCAACAGGTGGCGTTCTTCTTCGATGGCTTGCTGGCGCTCACTTTTGGACAGCACTTGCTGTTCGCCAGCCCAGGGTATTATGGTCGCATGGCTTATGGAGGTAAAATTGCTAGGACGGCGATATGACCCTGCTAAAGAGCGGGTGAGCGTGCTGGTGTAGCTGCCGGGCGGGCGGGCCGTGGAGCTGTCGGAAGCTTCATCGGTCCGAGTTTGATCGTCGTCGCTGTAGTTTTCCAGGTCGCGGGCAATAGCTGATGCGGCAATAGGCGAGCTGGAGGCAAATGACCGGCTGAATGGGCTTTGATGCTCGGAATCCGAGCGGATGTTTCGGGGACCCATGATAAGAGCTTGATGAGTCTAAGGCTGTTTGGTGGCAAACTGCATTGTTCAAAGCAAGAGTGCTGCTTTGAATTCTACGGTGGAACCAGGGCTTCACGGAGATGCCTAGGAGAGAGAAGAAAAGTAAAAAAAGACGGCTCCAAGCTGGTTGCGGAGATAGCGTATTTGTAATACAGATATGTCTCCAAGGAGGGACTATATTTGTGGCCAGTATGAAATAAATGATAAGCCGCGGGATCTATTTACCAACTGTTCTTAGCAAGCGAGAGCAAAACACCCTGGCCGCAAAATTCTACTCCGCTTCCAACATCAGTATTTTCCACTGCCAGGTAAAAATACACACTCGTTCTGATGGATTTTGGATGTCTGCACATACATACATAGGTAGATACATGTAGATGTACATAACTAGATCGTACGACGAAGGAGGACAAAGCAAGGGTTATGAGTCAACGTATGATTTCTACTTAGTAACTATCGCTATTAGGTACGATAATATATTAAATACGCATCTCCAAATGCACAGTCATTCGCTCTTTGGTCCCCGCACTATGACCCCACAAGGAAGCTCGATGCGGATCCAGTAAGATGATCTTCTAGCCACGAACCTGGAAGTTGGCAGATCTTTTCAAAGGTAGTCCGTATATTATTCCAAGGGTGTATACTCAATGTCACCCTACATAACAGATTTCCTCCCAGATAGGACTTGCGTATATTGGTCCTGCCGCCGCTGTGGTGGGCTTCGCATCTCCTTTAGCTAGGTTGTCAGCTTAAGGAATTGTAACGAATACAACAGCGTTGGCTTATTTATGCGTTGACTTGCTCCAAGGTTTGTGCATTGGCTTACTACATCTTTGACATGCCTCCCGAGCTGTAGATATGGAGCTTTTCCCTCAAATATCATAGATCAATCCATCATCCTGAGGTCTCTCCTCATAATGTTACTACTACAATATATATGCTCGTTTGTATAACATTATATCAGCATTGGTTACAGCCCTAATAAACGGCATATTTACCTACATCCATATTTTGTATGTATGAAGAATCCCTCAAGATTGCTACACACTCGAATCAAGGATCGTGCTCATTTGTACTCATTGAGCAAAAAGCGGCAAGTCTGAGCATCAAAGCGGAAATAGAACGCCAAGAAGGTGTCGAAGAAATACATTCGTTGGATAATATTTAAATGTTGTCAGGTGCATCAAAACACCTGGATACTGTGCTCATGTCTAACCACTGACATCATTCCGAAAACGGTATAGACCATCACATGACTGAATCTCCAAGTGTGCAGGTGTTTCTCCTCTTCCATACATAGCTATTGAGCAGGCCAACGTTTCACCATGTCTCAAACGAGGACAGTTCGTCCCCCCTTCAACCCTCTCATCAACCTGGTACATTCCAAACCGGTACTCGTGGAAGAGTAAGTCAGCCCGTCCAAGATTCTTTCTCCCGCAAGCCCGGGAACAAAACACGCTGTGTGGCTTGACTCCTTACATGTTGAATTTCTGGATTTTACATCTGCACATGTGACCGTTCCATGTCTAAATCCCGTAGTTTCCTGGACCCGGGGCTGGAATTCCTCTCAGTCGCCCCGCATACCTTGTCCGAGACGGTAACATTCTAACATCTTTGAAGGCACATCGAGTCTCAGCGCCATATTCTACTATCGCGACCATATTGCGGAGCGCTGCTTTTCGAAAATAGCTCTTCTGATGCTCGCGACCACTGCGCCAATGAGCGCACTTTTCTCTCATGGCTCCGTCTCTCTATGTATTTGGCCATCGTGTCATTGGCTATCATTATCTCATTTCACTTTCGGGAACAACCAACCGTCCTGGAGAGGCGCATGGCCTTGCCTCTCGGCATTATCTTTTGGGTGCTCAGCTTGACTTGTTTAGCGAACGGCTTTGCTAATTACTCGCGCACCGTGATGAAGTATGCTCGCAAGGCAGCTTTGGTGCAAAGTGGGTGGAAGACCCAGGTTGTCTTTACGGTGGTTGGGATCGTGATTCTGGGCAGTTGCATTTTGTTTTTGTCGACCGATCCAAAGGCTCGGTGAAGCGAGAAGTTGCTTGTCTTTGTGTTTTGTTAGCGCTGGCGTTGGCATAGGGCATTTGCACATTGTACTTAACATTCCTTGCATATGTATAAATGGAATTAGGTCTTGAATCAAAGACGAAACTCTCAGTGGCTAAGATTGTCATGACCGAGTATCAAATAGTTCAGAATGTGGAATTGTTCAAAGTAAACCGGAAGGGAAAAATACTCGAATTATATATGTTCGTGAGAGTCATTTAGCAGACAAAAACAAATGAGGTATCTCCATGAGTCACGTAAAAAAGGAGCCTTGGTCGGGAATGCATAATCAAGAGAATGAGAAGACCGAAATGCGCTATATGCTTCCGACAATTTACATCCGACGGATCTCCTGTTCGTTCTTGTACTTGTCCAGGGCAGGGGTGCCGAGGTGGCTCCACCATTCAAACAACATCGAGTTGCAGATGAGCTTGAACCAGGGAGTGAACTTCAGACCAGGCTGCTCGAACATTGCCTTCAGCTCATCGGCCGACACATAGGTAGTGTCGCGGACCTCGTTGGGGCTTGGGTCCAGGTCGACATCGGCCTGGATGAAGAGGATGTAGTCCACTGATACTTGTCAGAACCCTCCCAATCAAATTGGTGATATGTTGCGCCATGTAAATGACTTACCTTCGTGCTCACCCCACTTGCCATCACTGGGGGCCTTGTAGTGTATTCTGGTGAAGAACTCGAACTTGTCCAAGGGGACCTGCTCAGCCTTGATGCCCAGCTCGTGGTCAAGCTTGCGCTGCGCGGCACGCTTCACGCCCAGCACAGCAGCATCCAGCTCAGAGCCTGTCTCACCAGGAATTCCCAGAGGGTGTGAGCAGCAGGTGTTGGTCCACATATCGGGGAAGGTGATCTTCTCGGTAGCGCGCTGCTGGAGCAGCAGACGCTTTTTGGAGTCGAAAAGGAAAACAGAGAACGCGCGGTGGAGGAGACCCTTGTCAATGTTGGTCATCAAGTGGCCTGTTCAAATGTGGCGGTCAGTGTCTCATCTGGAAACAGATTGTCCCCCGTCACAACCCCGCCATTCGGGACATTCTGGGGCAACTCTGGGGCTCCAACATACACAGCTTCTTGCTGGCGCTTCCAATCGGGCGGTCATTGTTATCCAAAACAATGCAGACTTCATCCATCAGGCGGACTTGTTCTTCATCGTACCCTTCAAGCTCGCTAGCCTCGCGTGCGCTGTTGCTCTGAGCGGTGGGGAGGATTTCGCGGGCGAGCGATGTATCGACTTCGGGGAAGAGAATGGCGACATTGTCCGCCGTGATTTCAGGCGGACCGCTAAGAGTGACTGTTTCGGTGATTGTTTCGGTCATTTTTATTTATAGGCGCAGGTGAAACAATAGGAGAGATAAAAAAGAAATGTAGTGTTGGGGTTATCAAGGGGTATCAAGGCGGCAATGATCGGCAGTTTTGCCCCAGAGCCCTGTTCTAGGTTTCCTTCTTTTTCTTCAGCGAATGATCGACTTTGTTGACATCTTGTAAGTACACAATTTAGCAATTGTGCTTGATTGAAACGTTTGCTTTCAAAATTGATATTGCAATTGTGCACCTTGGTCCTGTTGATTTCAATGTGTATCATAGGGATGAAAGAAAACTGCGAAGGTGGATAGCAGCCAGGTTAAATACGTGTGAAGCTGATGGAGTGCAAAGTCTACAAAGCTGACAGTGGCAACTTGTGTTCTCGTCCATGTACGAACTGCATACAAGCAATTAAAATTTTCTCCTTATCACTTTGACTTTATAGCGTGGCAAATCGCGATCGGTAATGTACCTCGGAACTTCATCCAAAGATAGAGGATATCTATTGTAATAGAAAAAGACGGGAATTCTGTACATCTAACTTGAAAAGCTTCAGGCCGAAACTTGTACTTCTGCCGGGCTTTTGAACACATCTGCCCGCGGAAGCTGCCCTGCAAGTATCAATTTGAGTCTTTCACCCAAAGCTACCCTTTCTTGAACCCACGCCTCAGTATGACCCTCGATCAAAGGTAGACCATTTTCAACTCTACCAGCGTTGACCCATCCGATCAACTTTTTGACATACGGTTGTTCTTGCTCCTTGAGCGAATGGAAGCTTCGTCCATGGCCCTTGGTTTTCACGCGATCCACATACTCTGCACGCAAATCCTCGGTAGATGGAAGCTGCGAAACTCCAGAGAGAAAAGCTGCCACCGCGATAGCTTGAAATTCGAACAACGAGAATGTCGCTGTATAGAAGGGAATGCCGACAAAGGCGAGTGTGGGGTCAGGGATATAGAAAATGTCTTCATGCAAGTTGTGGACTTGAGTGCCGTCCGTTACAAGTACTCTGTCATTGGCCTCGGTGGCTGACACACTATGATCGTTGAATTCGTCAAGGAATGGGAGGGCCATCTGGTATCCTGTGCAGAGAATGATCGTGTCAAATTCACCGAACGACTCTCCGGATTTGAGGTGCGCGGTTAAAGGCAAGTGTTCATTTGAAGCAGTCGATGTAGAGATTTTGAACTCTCCAATCTCGCCAATCCTTGTGGCGTTCGGGGGGAGTGCGCTCTCAGGGAGGTCAAAAGCGCCATTTCGGGTGCTTTGATAGACTTTGTTTGCGGTGATACTGATCTCCTTGGCTATGTCGAGGGCAGACACACCTCCTCCAATCAGAAGTACATTCTGGAATTAAGTCAGCCAACTGCAAATACTGGAGATCACACATTTGTACCTTTCCTTCGAATCCTTCTGATTTTCTGAAGGACTTGGAATGGAAGATCTTCGCAGGCCACTGAATCTTTGCTTCGGCCAGGCCCCGAATGTCTGGGACAAGAGGCGTATGATAATGCCCCGAAGCCACAATCACCGAGTCAAATGTCTACAATCCAGTCAGAAAAAATGTCATTTATTTGAGTGATACCGAAACCAGAACATACCTCAGACTCCTGCTTCTCAACAAGGTCTTGGTCTGAGTCGTTCAGCGTACTCCACTCGACGGTCCATGTCGAACCATCCTTGTAAACTCGATCAACTCGAGCACCAAACTTGGTGACATCGTCGACACCGGCCTTTTTGGATGTATCCTGGATATAATCCTTGAGGACATAATGTCTCACGTAGGGCCCAGTTCCTTCGGGCCAAGTATTGAGCTTTGTCTCAAGTAATGGAGTCGAGACGTTATTGGTGAGACTTTCGTAGCAAGGCCTAGCTATTGTAAGCACTATCAACGCTTAGAACAACTTTACATCAAGCTTACCCTGGGGGCGCATGGAGCAATATCTTTCTTTCCTTGCCTTCTCTGTCATCTTTCACATACTCCTGCGATGCAGTCGGTTTAGGAGATGGATATTGGGCTTCAATTGGCGTGCGCTTGTCGTAAAGCCTAGGTTGAGTTAATTTACTGTTTCAAAAGGTCGCTGGAGAAATAGTCAGGGTTCAGTCTTACCACACTCCTCCAGCTGCATTGCTTCTCTCAAAAACCGTCACTTGGAGGCCAGCAGCCAGAAGATGTCCGGCAGTAACCACCCCACTAATACCAGCCCCGATGACAGCAACTCGACCAGACTTGTCACTCATGGTTTTAAATGAAAATATCAATATGGAGGAAGAGTGGTTTAGCTCCTCTTATTAGAGGTCGACCCTGTAGTCCACATTCATGGACCATTACCCGAGGCAACGAAACAACAGCTCAATATTTCGCAATTGCCCGCTATCTCAAGATAGCTTCAAAGGTAGCCTACCGGAAGAGACGGCAAATGATAGAGCAAATGTTGCTTAGAAATGCTCTGCGATCGTAATATCAAGGGCGAATTGTGAGACCAGTTTCCCCGCTTAAACACTTAGATATGGCAAGATGCATCGAATTGACAAGATCTGACTGGATAAAAGAGAGGGGTTGGGATTGAATCAGGAGCAGAATGGTTCAACTCTCGGAGATAAACTGCGCCCGCAGAAGGCGTAATGTGTCATGGCGATGATGTGCTTGGTGCAACATAAATCGAGATTTCTAACATCCTTGAGTATATAGCAGCCGTATTCAAGAACCCCATTAAAGTCAGAATTCAGCAAGTGTCAGATATATCAACAGAATAGTACTATGGCTCCCGCTCCTATTGATCCACGCATCGTCGACGTTGCAGCGCCGAGGAAGGACACACTTGGTCTTCCTGAGCCTGCACGTGAACGTCTAGAAAAAGCCGGCATTAATCTCAGCGAAGGCTATCCGTATCGTCCTTCTCGTCCTCTTTACCTTGATGACGTATATAATGTCCGAAACTACGATCGTCTCCATATAGACCCCGGCAGCCGAGCCGACCCCGAGAAAAAAGCACTTTTGTCCGCCGCGACAAATGTAATCCCATTGACTAGACACATTGGAACTGAGATTGTCGGTTTGCAACTGAAGGATCTAACAGATCAGCAAAAAGATGAATTGGGTTTGTTGATTGCCGAGCGAAGCGTTGTCTTCTTCCGAGACCAAGATATCACCCCCCAACAGCAGAAAGAATTAGGAGAATGGTTTGGAGAAATCGAGGTCCATGTAGGTTTTCTCCAATCTCATCAAATTATCAAACGCCAACTATGACCGTCAAGCCTCAAGTTCCTCAAGTGCCCGGCGTCCCTGGCGTGAGCGTAATGTGGCCAGCATTGCAAGCATCCGAGAACCCAGCAAGCTTTCGTCGACCGGGCGGAGCATCACGATGGCACAGCGATCTTGTGCACGAAAGACAGCCCGCAGGAGTAACGCATCTGCATAACGACACCGTGCCCACAGTCGGAGGAGATACCCTCTGGGCGAGCGGGTACGCGGCATACGAGAAGCTGTCACCACTATTCCGCAAACTGATCGATGGCCGAACTGCTATATACCGCTCGGCTCACCCCTACCTGGACCGCAAGAATCCAGAAGATGGACCAAAATACGTGGAACGGGAGCATCCTATCGTCCGTGTTCACCCGGCTACAGGCTGGAAAGCACTGTGGGTAAACCGGGCAATGACGGTGCGCATCGTTGGGCTTGATAAAGCCGAGAGCGATGTGATCCTGGGATACTTGTATGATGTTTATGAGAAAAATCCTGATATCCAGGTCCGGTTCAAATGGACTCCTCGCACGAGTGCGTTGTGGGATAATCGGTGAGTTAATTTTCATAGATCCATGGCATGAAAGTATACTCACCATGTGTAGGATCACTATCCACAATGCCAGCTGGGACTATGAGGGATCTCAGCCTAGACATGGAACGCGGGTGACTTCGCTCGCTGAGAAGCCTTTCTTTGATCCCAATGCACCTACCCGGCGGGAGAAGTTGGGTCTTTTGGGCCCTGAGGAGGTTGCAGAGCTAGAGAAATTGTCTGATCTCCTTCGGTTGGAGTAATCCAGTACAGATAAACCACCTATGACATTTGGTATAATTGTTCTACAATTGAGTCTGCCATAGGTCTCAATAGGGTCGCAGTATGGACCTATTTGTCTCCAATTGTAGTTTTGATCATTTTATCGTGTGATGAACTAGCTAGTCTAGAGAATAATATCCGTCATCAATATGAAAACCCCAATGGGCCTTACGTAGATGTAAACCACCAAAACCCTCCGATTTGATATACAATGTATATATCTATAAGTATAGTTGAGCTTGCAATGTAAACACAATACTTTAGTACCCAACATGAACAACATGTAACTTGTACTTTAGTTTTGGTGACACCATCGTCAATGCGCATGACGAGCTTCAATAGCACAAATGGTGAATTCCTAGTGCGATATGACACCAACAACTTACCAACTCAGCAAATCATATTATGTCGGCAAAACTCCGGTGCATCAGCTATCTCAATAAATGTTGAACATTCTCACGGGAATTGCGCAAGTTGACTTGTCATTCGACGGTTAGCCAGAAACTCCTCTCGTCGTACCCGTAAAGCTTGATTTACCCAGCATGAAACTGACTATGTCTCCGCTTTCAAGCTGACAAGTTTTTTCTCGAAGAAACTAACGCGTCGAGTCGCAGGCCTTTGGGATGTCAGCCCGTCAATCATCGCCAGATCTGATAGCATTCTCGGGTTCGGAACTAGCATTCCAGCATGTCCGAAACGTAGACTTAATGATTCTTCCGGAGCTATAAGAATGTTTCGTAGGCTCTCAATTCTGTCTTTCTTTGTCTGTCAGTACTGGATGGTATTATGTCGCCAAAATCAATCGAGGCCGATCTTGCGACGCAAGTGGTTCAAAAAGAACCAAAGCGCAAATGGGTCAGCTATATCTGGGATACTTTTGATAAATCTCCCGAGGAGCGCAAACTGTTGTTTAAATTGGATTCAGCTATCTTGACATTTGCATCGCTGGGTAAGTTTTAATGTGATTTTGTTTTTTTTTTTTGCAAAAAACTCCTAACTAGATCATTAGGATATTTTATCAAATACCTGGATCAAATCAATATCAACAATGCCTTTGTCTCTGGGATGTATGAATTGCTACTTTGTGTTTTAATGTGAAATTTTGATATTGACAGCTTATGTACAGGAAGGAAGATTTGGGCATGTACGGCAACCAACTCAACTATATGCAAACATGCTGGACCGTCGGATACGTTATTGGAGAAATTCCTAGCAATATCCTATTGACACGTATAAAGCCACGATACTGGATTCCAACCATGGAGGTAAGATGGTTCTCTTGCTATTGATGGTCATTTGTTAACCCTGATAGCTTCTCTGGACCGTTCTTACAATGTCGCTGTCCCGATGCAATACCCCGACTCAATTCTATGTTTTGAGATTCTTTGTCGGTATGCAAACGTACGAACATTAGGTCTTATAGTACTGATTTCTAACTTTATGCGATAACAGGACTCGCTGAAAGTACTTTCTACCCTGGAATGCAATACATCATCGGATCATGGTACCGAAAGGACGAGCTCGCGAAACGATCATGTATATTCCATACAAGCAGTGGAATTGCCAGTATGTTCTCCGGTTACCTTATGGATGCGGTATTTAAACTCGGAGGACGTGGGGGCTTCAAGGGTTGGCAGTGGTAAGCATGATCTCTCAACCTCGTGAATAGAGTGAATGCTAATAACTTTGCAAAGGCTTTTCATTATTGATGGTGTCATTTCACTGCCAGTGGCTATAAGTGGATTCTTTGTTCTTCCTGATGTACCTGAGATCTCCAATCCTTGGTATTTGAGCGAGCAGGTAAAATCCTCCTTTCTGATCCCTAGAATTCTATGCACATATTGACCTTCAAAATAGGAGGTACAACTGGCTCAAAAACGGATGGCTTTGGAAGGAAGAAGAAACAGAGAGCCATACACAAAGTCGAAGCTGAAGAAAATCTTTACTTCCTGGCACATCTATCTTCTGACCATACTTTACATGTAAGCCCACAGGCCTAGAAAAAAAAAAGAATGGTTGCTAATTCCTTTCAGATGCTTCAACAATGGTGCCGCCGGAAGCCAGCCCGTCTTCCAACAGTGAGTAACAGCGCTAAGAAAGAATCTGCAAGGTTTCTCTAATTCTCCATCAGGTTCCTCAAAGATTCAAAAGATCCTGTCTATTCCATCAGCCAAATCAACACTATGCCAACGACAACCCCTGCAGTCCAGGTTGCAACAACTCTCGCTTATGCGTGGATATCAGATACTGTTCTTAAAGGACGTCGCTGGCCTCCAATTGTGTTTGGCGCCGTGAGTTCAATGTCCCTATAACAAGATATGCAGAACCTAACATATTACAGTGCGTAAATATAATAAGTTATGTTTCCCTCGCAATATGGGATATTCCAATGGGATGGAAATGGACATGCTTTATTATGAGTGGAGCCGGATACGGGCTAAGTGGTCTACTTATGGCGTAAGTCAAGCCTCCTCAAACAACACTTCTAAATTTTCTGACGGTTGTCACAGCTGGGCTCATGAGATTTGCTCTGACGACAACGAAGAGCGATCGCTGGTCATTGGAAGCATGAATGAGATGGCTTATGTCTTCCAGGCTTGGCTGCCTCTTATTGTATGGCAGCAGGTCGATGCGCCTAAGTATCAAAAAGGGTACATCACCGTGACTATTCTGTCCATTCTCTTAATTGTCTTCACATTTATCATTCGGTTCCTGCATCAGAAGGAGAAATTAAGCAAAAGGTCGGTTTAGAGTGTGACCTAGCTTTGGATAAATCGCCTAATGCTAATTTGTGATATAGCAGGAGCCTCACCCACGAGGCAGAAGAGACTGAAGATGGCTCCTTAAATACTGCTGAGGTAACCCCTGTTGAGGCAAAGTCTTTAAAGGCTTGAGGAGTAGAATAAAAGCATGTGCCTTGGCCAATATATTCCCAGGTTTCGGATGTGTTGCGGAGGTTTCTCTCGATGATGAAGCTCTATCGAGTAGTCGTTTCACAACAAAGCATAAGGATATTGAAGGATCTCCAAGCCTAAATCTGCTAGACATACGATTTTGTTAGTTTAGGTTTTAGTTTCCGTCTGTATTTACCTTGTCATGTCTGAAATCTGGAATAAAACGAATATGAATCCCCCCCCCCCCCCCTTCCACGCGATCAAATGACCCTTCATTGGCAAGTGCTTATTCCACAGAGATGACTCTAGGGCTATGTCAATGAAGTATTGAGCTTGGAAAGGGGAAATTTCTAAACGCACCGAGCTAGGCAAACTTAATCGAAGCTTGGCTTTGACCTTATGTATTTTTCTAGAGCTTGAACCATGCTTGGATTCGTCCACTTTTCTTGGCATATCTACTCCCTTCGGCAAGTTTCAGATCGTTCAATCTGGGACTTAGAATCAAGTACTCCGTAGGAATGCTCACTTCTGTGCACTATAGCATTCAAGCAGAATTGTATGAATATTGTATAATATATAAGTACGGGGAACCAGAGTACCCAAACTGCTGTATGATGAGTCGTGAGTGTGATGGTGATTCGTGTGATGTGGGTGATCGAACAATATCACACGCCAAATCTTCCAATCAAGTCTGCAATCTAGTCAAGATCTCAATACTACACACAATAGTCCCATAATGGGCCCTACATATTTTCCATTGTACAATATTGTAGCTCCTGAGTCTGTTTCAGGTGACGTTCATTGGGCTGGCCGATTATCAAGATTGTCTCATCCTGCATGTCGATCTCGATGGACTAACATGCATTGAGGATGCCAAGGTGAATATCCCCGCTTTTTACGACTTGTCTCCGGCTTCTGCTCTCAGGGGCTAGCTGGACACGGAGTGTCGATATGATCAGTCCATATGGCCAGGCAGCAGCGTGCAATGTACGGAGTAGGCGTGTATCTATTGCAAGACCGTTAGCACTAGGGCGGCTTTCAAGTTAGTGGCGCTGGTACGGGTAATGGTTTGACCCGATCAAGTAAAAAATGCGTATATTGAAATTGTGATAGCCCATCTGAAATTGGGGATCCCCCCCCCGGTCACAAGACAACGAGGAAGGAAGTGGAACAAGGATGGCCTTGTTTTTGTTACTGGTTTAACCCCTAGTTATTCGCGCGGAGATCGGCATGGTGTCTTATTCGGCAACATTATTGAGGGATGGGTCTACGGAGTAGTTTGAGGCCATAGCTCCCAATCTTTCCATGGGGTGATCTACATGTTGGCAGTCGTGAGGATGTGGCAAAACGCCCGTCAGCAAATGAGCAACTATGCCGTGCTATAAGACTGTGCCTGTCATGACATTTGGGAAACGGATATTTCGGGTTAAACAGTGCATCAATTGCGAGGGGACTCGACTCCCGGGCTATTGGAACCGGGAGAAAATATCCTAATTCGGGCCCACTTGTGAAAAATTCTATTCAGGAATATGCCGGTCACTCCGATGAGGAAGTGATCACTCTTCGGGCAGCCATACGGAGTAGACGGAGTACGGTTGTATAGTTATGGAGATCAACGTGGCCCGGACTGGAGATAGGCGAACAGACGCGTTGTCTCTTCCGCGGCTGCAATAAAAGTATAATTCCAAATCGCTTCTTCTAAAATTAAACCTCCACTTAAGACAAATAGCTTGAAGCTCTAGAAGTGGAGATGACCAGGTTCTTGTTGGAACTTTGAACAATAATGATGCAGTCAAGGCAAAGCTAAAAAGAAGAAGCAGCGAGAGCGATTGATTGCTTACAAATATATAGTTATATGTAGACGTGAATATTATCTCCAGGGGTTTTCGGCTTGCGACCGAGCAGAGATTAAATAAATTACATAAGAGGTCAAGGCGAAGTAGAGTAAGACATGGCCTGCATGGGCGTTAGATCTTGTTTTGCCCCTTCCTTCCCTTCGTTCACTCTCTATTTCTCTGCGCACTTATGAACGTGCACGGGAAAGATTTGCAACATTAGTGTAAGAAGAGGAGCCTCCTTTTTATCGGCTCTGTCTCCGCGAGAGACTAAGGGGTTAGAGTTATTTCAAATCAGTTCCTTTTCGTTTTGTCGAAGATCCCTCGCTTGGCTTTAGCGTGTGATTCGGCGTTCTCCTAAGTGGAGCGCGGCAAGAGTCGACATCTTCTCAACGGGCCTCGGTGCTTTTCGTCGGGGTATTTCAGTGATTCCTGTTATTTTCCGTTCTTCTGCTTTTGTTTGGTTATTCGTCACTTGTAATTTCCACGCGGTAATCTCTCTCTCTCTCGCGGTGTTTGTCAGGTGACGTCTATCATTGTAAGTGTAACCATGGCTACATTATATATATCTAGTTTATGGTGAAGTATCTATGTACTTTGTACTTTATAATGTAAGTGACTTACTGTATAGTCAATCCCTGATCCTATTGTAGGAACATAAAACAAAGTACCAATCTTAATGCCAAAACTGTGACATTGAATGGTTGATAATACCCGCGCGTCAGAGAGAAGTATGCAAATAATATCACATTCGAGACTTGATCTATGAGATATGCCGAAATATAACCGAAAAACATTGTTATGTCAATGTGACATTGAGACCAATATGAAAGCCTTCTGTGGTTATTTCAAACATCCAACCCAAAATTGCATCGCAATACAATGTTCAATGCTCAACGCCAAGGAAATGAAAGGGTCTTCACACGATATGCTGAGATACATGATCCCCAAAAAGGTCATGTTGTGTCATGCTGTAGTCAAGGAAATGAAAGCAGATATGAGATGGCTCTGACCAGCAAATTTACAATGGCAAACAAGTTCAAAATGATAAAAGTATGAAAACAGACCTCCCAAAAATGTGGCAATAGCCAAAAACGGACAGCTTTCCACCCAAATAAACATTCAGTCTTCATCGTGTATTCATCAATTTTTGGAATTTCGGCGGCTATGGTTTGGCATGCTTTTGTCCGATTTGGGCGCAAGCAAAGGTAGATCGACTGGGCCACTTTGGGAAGATCTAGTTCCTTCGCATTCGTGTCTGTACAGCCAGATGATGTTAGGAAACACATCTCTTGGATGAAAATGTGTCCTCTTACCTGGTCAAGGAATCTTGACGGGTGAAACTCCTGTCACACATGTCGCAGCAATATTTGTGAAGTTTGAGATGGACCTAAGACTCGCGTAAATAACCGCTCTTGAGCCATACACCATCATATATCACTCCACTCACAGTATTAAAGTGTCTCCTGAGATCTGAGCTTCTTCCAAAGGATTTGGGGCACTCCTCGCAGCAATGATTTCTTTTCCAATCGGGGTTGTGCATCTTTTGATGCTCCTTGCAATTGGAGCGTCTGGTGAAAATGTGACCGCATATAGGGCATTCCAGGCCACTAGCAGAAACAGCTTTGACAATTGAGTCACGGCTTCTTCTTCTTCTGATCTTAGGCGCAGGCTCTGCGGCTTTTGTACTGGGGGGAGGAGCCTGGGGCTGGGCAACATCCTGTCCGACGTTGATGTTTTGTCTATAGCCGCCAAATTCCATTTCTTCTCCCGTAGCCCCGATGTAGGATACAGTGGTGAAACCGTTGAGATCGGTGACTGGCAACAGAGGCAGCGTGAGGGGCATTGACGCATCCGCAAACGTACTCCGAGGCCACTGTCCGCTCGTTCCGTTGCCTAACGTGATGGGCAACACTTCTAGCGGCGTTGTCGGGACCGAGCAAGATGTATTCATCCACACACTAGACATTCCCGAGAAGGTGTCTTGGCCTGGGGCAAGTTCCATTGCCGAGTTGTAACTGGTGGACGCGCTCATGGATATAGGGCTGTAGAGATTGAAGGAGTCCTGGGTGATATTTGGAGGTGTGTTGTATGTGGGATAGTATAGGCCGTTGTCGTTGGTATAATCATCATAAGATACTTCGAAGGTAGGCGTTTCTTGTATTAGCTGCGACGGCATAGGCGGGACGTTAACCAGTTGGTCGATTTCATACTCGGTCTCGCAGCCTGTGATTCCTAACCCATGATGGAATCCTCCTCCTTGAGGCCCAGATGGGGAAATAGCGATAGGGGACGAGTAAATTGAGGACGAGTATGTTGGAGATGAATGAGAGCGTGTATCTGATTCGAAGGGAGCTGAGGTAGAGTGACCTGATCTCTGATGATGATTCATGTTGTGAAGAATCAAAACAACACAAAACCAACAATGATAATTGATATTTAAATTAAGACCAACTAAAACCTAGTCTTTATCGGAGTAGGGTAATAGCGGCGATAATGTGAAGTATATATAGCGGCTTTCAACAGCTTCGCTGGTAGGGTTGGACAGATACATTGACGGTGGCTGAGATAGGGTATGAACTCATTGGAGAAGAATTGGAACTTGCGCCACATCAATCCCGACGAAAGCTGAAGCTTCGATGAAGTTTGACGCCGTAGTAGGTAGACAAGGCAGATTTGAAGAGAAAAGGGTCTGTAACAGTAATTGCAGTGGAAGAATCAACTAGGGTGGGGGCATTAACGGAATTCGGAAGCCCTTCGATGATAAGTCTAGGTCTTTTTCTTTTTTATTTCTTTTTTATAAGGGTTAGCCCCGGAGAAGACATGCCTGTACAGAAAAAACATACGCTATGTCATAGGGAGATCTGGATGCACCTGTTTTTCTTTTCTTTTCTCTTTCTTTTTTCTGTTTCTCATAATATCATACTATATTGTATAGGTACATATGTAAAGAACGCCTAGTAAAGAACGCCTAGTAAAGAGCGACTAATGCCTAAAAAAGAATATACTAAGACCTAAATAGATAAAGATATGATGTAGATGCATAACGGCGCCTGGGTTTAGTGGATCTAGAAAAGGCTAACCATCCCTTTCATCGCGGTTGGGCAGACCAGCCCAACCGCGACGTGTTCCATGCAGGCAGCAGGTAGCCAAACATAAACATAGATAGAGCCCGATACTCTGGTCCTCGACTTGGCGAGGTGCATTGATTTTGAGGATTTGTTGACCACTCATAAGCACAGCCCACAAGACTAATGAAGAATATACCTGCAATCTCAATAAAATACAACCAAAAATTGGCACATCGTGACCTCAATCCTATGCGGGCCCGCCCTTCCGAACCGATCTCTCCCATGTATACCATATTGCGGAAACTCCACATGGTCTCCACAGGTGCTGGCGCGCCGCGGATGAAATGATGGTCTATCTACAGTTCACATTCTATGCATCAAAAGTAAATGATATATAAAACAGTTTGAGGCAAAAAATTATCAGAGGGGGAACAAAAAAAAAAAGGAGAACCCAGCCCGAAAGCACCGAGCAAAAAGGAGAAAAAGAAAAGAAAAAAAAACGAAATTAAAAGGAGCGAATCCCGGAAAAAACAACCAAGCCTGTTTTAGAATGTCATCGATATGGTTGTTCACAAGCATCTCGAACGGTTTTCGACTGTCAGTGACTAAATCCGCACCGACACCAACTAGCGCCAGTCCGGTCCTGCAGGGGCGTGCGTGGCCCTAAGCGCCAGGGAAGTGACCCCTCTGCCGCGCCTTTTTTCATTTGCCCGACTGTTCGCAAATAATAGTGCGGAGAACACATTATTTGCTAAGTGCGATTTCTGCCCATTGCCTCCACCTGCGCTCGCAGTCGCTCTACCGTGTCGATCAGGTCCGCAAGTTGATCTTGTCCAGGCCCAAGTTCACACGCGGCTTGTTGATCCACATTGTGTTCTTTTCCAGAGCCCATATTTGTTTCAAGTACGGAGGGGTGGTGTGGGTCCTTAATTGAAGTCGGCTCATTTGCAGAAGTACGTCCCCCGCGTGCCGGCGTTGGAATTGGGGGGAGTTGACTATTCTGTCGTTTCGAGTTTCGCCATTTTGATTCATACATCCATATCAATGCAACGAATGGAATGTGAGTAGCCCGAAGCAAGATAATGCGTACACGGCGAACAGTTCCGGCTGAGAGAAAAAGCCGCATTGGGCGAATACAGAGGAGAGGGATAAGATTCTGCAAAACGTTAGCCTGGAGCTCTTCCAGAATGGAAAAGAAACATTTGAAATTAGGATCCGACGCTAAACTGACCAGGGGTGGCATAAAATATGTTAGTCGTCGAGAATTACTGCTTTCCAGGACATAGATTGCCAATCTGATTGGTTCTTTAGCAAAATAGATCTTTCCATAGGGGCAGTGCCAAAGCGCCGAATTAAGAGGATAGACAGGGGTCTTGTATGCATACTGGAAAAGATATTCTTCTCGGGCATGACGCATCACCTATACAAACAAGGGTTAGTATCGACTGTCACGACTTAGTAGAGCTACTTACACCTTCAAGGCTCATACTCATCAAACTAATCAAAGATGAAAGAATGAGGGTATTGGTCATTAGTGAAAAGATAAGCCTGTATATCATCATAAGTTAGTATATTTTGTATGTAACGCCTTACAGTGTAGTACCCCGTATGGAGTACATAAATAAACTGCGTGGAAGTTTCCGCAAAACCCGTGTACCATGCGCAAAAAGAACTGCGCATGACTGCGGCCGAGTGTCGCTTGCATATTGAAACGTGATCAATTGCAAATGCGACCTTAAAACGCTTGGTGTGGCGTAATTGAATGGTGAAAAGCACATCGAAAAGGCAACTCACATTAAACCGTAGCCGAAGATTGGGGAGATCTAAGAAAATTAGCGTCTAATTCAACTTAACGCGATAGCCAACCATTTTGCCAATATTCCGGGATGTTGCATTTGGAGCTGCATAACAGCCGCTTAGTGGGCAAGACTTACTTCAGACGCGGTGTCCTGTCATCCAATCAATTCCGCCACCGTCAGTGCACAGAGTCCTAAAATTATCATGAAGCATAGGCAAACCCACTAAACCAAGAACACTTGATCTATAATTTGGTCAGAAAGAGCGGTCACAGACTTGGAACAGGGCGCATTTTCGTTTCACCGCCATACCCGAAGAACACTTTCACTAAAAGATGGGCCATTGCCTTGATGGACAAGCGGTCACGGGCGAGCATGGTAAATGTTGTCAGGAACCCTGCAGGAGACCCAAATAGTCAGACGTGCATCTCATGTCTCGGGCTACGTTGCCCCCTTACCAATGTACAATACTACTACCACTGGAGAGAATCTAAAGAACGCTTTCGTCTGAAAGAGGCCGATCAGCCTTGCGCCCCGGAGCCGGATGGGGAAATTGAAACTGTACCATCTCCTTTAACACCGGTATCTACGCATCGCTAATTAGTTTGTTCTTTCGAGGGTGATGGGTGATATCCCATGCAGGATCGACTTACTAGACTGCCAAAGTAGGAGTTCAAGCTCACGAGCGAGCAGATCCTGTTCATCCTGTGTCAGCCTAGGCGCCCAACTGCATACTCCAGGAGTAGTCTTGCCTAGGAACAAGAAACAGAGCCTCCAAAGACAAGATGTCGAATGAGAGCTCAATAATTGACGCATTGCCTTTCACTAGTCCAATGACTCCTAAGGTGGTCTGATCAGTCGCCTGGGCCTTGACCGCTAAGGCAGATGTGGATAGGAGATGACTCACTTGTTATGACAAATGCAATGCCTACCCCGATAATGCTCAGATTCCAGAGACTCCAGAAATCCATTTGGTAGAAAACCATCCCCGCGTCAATGATTCCACTTAGTTCGTCATATGCGAAGGCGACAATCCACACATACATCACCGCCTCGAACACTCCAATGGCTTCTTGCCTTCTCTCTATGAGGACTGCATAATAGAGAGCAAGGAATGAGATGAAGAAAGCGGCTTCAAAGATCTTGCGATAAAGAGGTACTCTCAGGCGTGAATACGGATCCGCCGTTCTGATACAGCCTGTGTCAGTATAGCCATAACCTTAGCCACCGGGTTTCTGCTGATCATGTCTTACTTGGTGTTGTAAATATGTGGTTTTTTCGTCGAATTCACTGTCAAAGAATCCCAGAAAACAATCTCACCCTTCCAGATACCGTCAACCACCCGTTGGACAACTCTTTGGCTGAGAAATCTCTTTGCATGAGCGATCGTTGCTATCTCCAAAGCATTTAACCCAAAGAACTGAGAGTATCTCTGTGTGGCATAGAATTCCTCTTGGCGAGTTCGAACCTGTGAGGATGAGGGACCTGATTCCTGGGTCTCTGTAGTCCCTTTGTTGACAAATAGGCGATAAAAAGAAGACGTGTTTGGCAAGAGGGGTGTAGTCTCGCTATCTGTCTGGCGTATACCACTCTGTGGGGATGTGAAGCCGGAAAGACCTCTCTCTATCTCAAGGATATTTGCAGAATTGCGGCGCGGTGACGGTAGTTCCTCTAATAGAAACTCGATGGTCTCGCGTTGGTTTAAATGACACAGAAATTGCCAGGCAACAAATTCGCAAGCTGCACCTCGGCTTTCATTAAGACCCCAGTCATCTTCAATGGCAGTTGTAAACTCTGATTTTAATATCCTGGATTATAAATTAGTCCGCATTGTTTCACAGTTGAGATTGTTTCATAGTTGTCTTGTTGGTGATTGGCTTACATCAAAGCCACGATGATATAAGGATTGTGGCTGTCTTCTGCTAATGCGTGAACCAGTTGTCTCAAACGGTGGCCCTGAGAACCATACAACATTTGTTCAAATGTGTAGGCCATATCCCCCACCGCCATACTGATGAAGCTAAAGACGATTTAGCTATATCTTGGCGCCAAAGAGATAACTTGGACTTACTTGAATAGTTTGGGAAGCACATCGAAGAGTGGCTCATCTGTGTCGATGATGGGAATCTCAATGTTATCCATGTCTACCATACTTGTTCACAGTGCGTGGATCCGCTCAGGCGAGAACCAGAGGATCAGAGAGAAGCCAATGCGAGAGAAGTCAACGAATGAAGACGTGCCGAATCGATCGGTGATTTCTTTCTCAGGCGGTTGATTTTCAATGATCAAATGGAGTTCGCTGCGATCGCTCTCGTTCTGCTGTTATGTTTTAGGGTGTCTCCTTTCGGAACTGCTGCAGGGGTCGGTGTCAAGACCGAGATATCTCCGTGAGAAGCATATATTTCGATTCAGTTTGCACGCACAGAATTCATGATGAGATGGGCCAATATATTAAAGCAATACAGATGTTCCAGATATTCTTCAAAGTCACTAAGAATTAAATGAATTAAATAAAACGAAACGAAACAAGCTGAAAGTTGCCCTTGGGCTTGCTGACCGCCTTTAGCACGTGTCGACGCGTCCAATGACTTCATCTCTCGACTTTCCTTATCGCAACAGATCGCAAAGCTCTTGGTAGAAATTCCATCCATTGTGCTTTGATCCCTGAATCCCTTTCTCTCTCCAGCAGGGAAATGAGGGGCAGTTGACACCATGGGACAAGGCTACTCCCTCACAACCCTGTCCGCGGGGTCGGCAGGCATCGATGTACCTGAGCTATCTGATCTGGTGTATGAAAAGTCCATGGGGGGTGGCAGATTCATGAAGAGCATCCGCGCAAGGCAACAAAATGGTCTTGTGTTTGTCAAGGTGATCATGAAGCCATTCCCAACCATGGAGCTCGAGTCATACATAACAGCAATTACGAGTACGTTAGGCTATTATCTACCATTTCAAGCTTCTGATGTTCTTTCTAGGGGAACGCAAACTATTAGCAGATGTACCAAATGCGTTGAGCTACCAGAGGATTCTCGAAACCGCCACAAGTGGATACCTAGTGCGTCAGTACATCCATAGCTCTCTCTATGACCGAATGAGGTATTTCTATCCCATCTGCATTTGCAAACGAAAACTGACAATCGCAAAGTACCCGGCCCTTTCTAGAACATATTGAAAAAAAGTGGATTGCATTCCAACTGCTATGTGCTCTTCGAGATTGCCATTCACTGGATATCTACCATGGTGATATCAAAACGGAAAATGTCCTGGTTACAGCCTGGAATTGGTTGTACATGTCTGATTTTTCGTCATCTTTTAAACCAACATTTCTCCCGGAGGATAATCCCGCGGACTTTTCTTTCTTCTTTGACATTTCCGGGAGGCGAACATGTTACTTGGCCCCCGAGCGTTTTTCGGTTGCTGGGGAAGAGCCCCGAGGGAGCGGTGTCAACTGGGCAATGGACATCTTCAGCGCTGGCTGTGTCATTGCGGAACTCTTCCTTGAGGCGCCAATCTTCAATCTGAGTCAAATGTACAAATATCGCAAAGGTGAATACAGTCCCGCGCACAGTCAACTGGCAAAGATCGAAGATCCAGACATTCGAGAGTTGATCCTGCATATGATTCAGCTGGAACCGGAGTCACGCTACTCTGCAGAGGAGTATCTCAACTTCTGGAAAGGAAAGGCATTTCCAGAATACTTCTACAGCTTTCTACACCAGTACATGTCTCTTATGACTGATCCCTCCTCTGGTCGACCAGACGTGGATCTAGAATCGGCCAACAGGGGGGAAGCAGACGAGCGAATTGAGCGAATTTATTTGGACTTCGACAAAGTATCTTATTTTCTCGGCTCCAATACTCGTGGAATTGGGGGGCGTCCAATGTCCCAGTCCCTAAATTGACCGGCAACACTTTGCCCGTGAGGCTTGATCTGCCGAGTGGCGAAACCCAAATATCAACAACACCGTCGCAGCCTGACGAGGGAGCTCTAATATTCCTAACACTTGTGGTTTCTAACTTGCGAAACACTGCCAAGGCATCAGCTAGAATCAAGGCCTGTGATATTCTCCTTGCCTTTGCAGAACGATTGTCGGATGAAGCTAAATTGGATCGAGTGCTCCCATACATCATGATTCTTCTGACTGATCGGACCGATACTGTCAAGGTCGCTGCGATTCGCTCCCTAACTCAATTACTAAAAATGGTCCAAGTGGTTTCTCCAGTCAATGCCTATCTGTTCTCTGAGTACATCTTCCCTCGGCTTCAGCCGTTTGTTGCCAACTCCAACAACAATCCAAGTGCCATGGTCCGTGCAGCGTATGCATCCTGCATTTCGTCTTTGGCTCAGTCGTCCTTGCGCTTTCTGGATATGATCCAAGCATTGCGTTCTGATACTCGTTTGGCTGCATTGATACCGGTCGGCTTTGAGCCCCGGTGGTCCGAGGATGCGACCTACCACAACCTCTATGACGTGGCTCGGGTCGACCTTTTGGAATACTTCGAAGTTCACACAAAGTCCCTCTTGACGGACACAGACGCATCAGTTCGGCGGGCCTTTCTGGGCTCTGTGTCTAGTCTCTGTGTGTTCTTTGGCAATCTCAAAACAAACGAGGTTGTTCTTAGCCACCTGAATACTTATTTGAACGATCCAGATTGGATCCTCAAATGTGCCTTTTTCGAGGCCGTGATAGGCGTTGCAGCCTATGTGGGAAGCCTCAATTTGGAGCTATACATACTCCCACTGATGGTTCAGTCCATGACTGAACCGGAGGAGTTCGTTGTTGAAAGAGTGCTTCGCTCTCTAGCAGATATGGCTGACTTGGGCTTGTTCCAGCGATCAACAACGTGGGATCTTCTCCATACCACTGTAGGATTCCTGGTGCATCCAAATATGTGGATTCGGGAGGCTGCAGTCAAATTCGTGGTGAATTCTGCCAGATTTCTATCAACGGCGGACATTCACTCCATCCTGACACCCATCATCCGGCCTTTCCTGAAAATTAAGATCGTTGATTTTTCTGAGCTCAAAATTCTCGATGCGCTCAAACGACCAATATCGAGAAATGTGTATGATATGGCCTTTGTTTGGGCTTCCAAAAACGACAGAGGTATTTTCTGGAAATCATCAAGTCGACAAGGCATGTTCGCCTTGTCTGAGCCTAGTGCTTTCAGTTCCCGCGTAGGACAGCGAGATCCATCTTTTACTATGGCCGCCCAATCAAAAAACGAAGAGGACGAGCAATGGTTAAGCCGGTTGAGAAATCTAGGGATGAATACTGAGGATGAACTCAAATTTCTCGCGCTCAAAGACTATATATGGAGGGTCTCGTTGCGGCAGTCGAGGGAATCCGATGGACAAGCCTCTGTCCCTTCAAACGATATTGTCAGTTTGACACAACATGGCATCAAGCCTCAGACTGTTTTCTTTGACAAAGAACTTAAGGACCAGCCGCGGAGAACCTCTTTGGATGGATATGAGGGTAATCTTCTAGATGATGCAAGGCCGAGAACTATCGCAGACGCTTTGCTCGATGCCTCTACAACCATCGAGCGGACACCTAGTCTTCATCGCAAGCACTTGCGCTCAAAGAGCCAAGCCTCAAAAGATCAAAGGCGATTCTCGGGAATTCCTATCATAGATGGAGGGGATGATTCTTCCCCATTGTCATCATCTCCAGTGGCATCGTCGCCTGCTACAAGAGCGAGCTCTCGCCCATTATCCCCTCCAAGCTCAGATACTGATCGAAAACTTTCCAGTCGCGGACCCAGTCCTGGCCAAGATGGATCATCGACACCAACAAACGCAGAGACAAGAAGTCTAGTTGATCGGGTTCATAAAAAGCCCAGTGCGATGAATTTGATGAATCGCAAGGACAATGGCAAAGCCTACGCGGAGACAGGCACCAGCTCTGCGAATGCCTTTGGCAAGGTCGACGCACCCGTTCAAAAAGGGGGAACGCTCCAACCATCTACATCCTTACTCCCATCCGAACGTAAAACTCAAACGATATCGCAAAAGTACCGGGCCCACCATTCGTATGTGGGCAATGACCCTGCCGTTCTGCGACTGTTAGACAACGTCTTTGAAGAAAATTACCCGACAGATCTATTCGATCTAGGACCGTATGTGAAAGAAGTTGATACCCGACAACCGATTCGCAGCGCCACAGATCAAGAGCCAAACAAGATCTGGAGGCCTGAAGGGAATCTGGTCGCGACTTTTGGTGAGCACAGTGCGCCAATCAATCGTGTCGTTGTCGCGCCAGATCATTCTTTCTTCGCCACTGCTTCCGATGATAGTACTGTGAAGATCTGGGATACCACTCGTCTGGAACGAAACCTGACTCCTCGGTCTCGCCAGACTCACCGTCATGCGCCAGGCTCGCGGGTTAAAGCCCTGACCTTTGTGGAAAATACCTACACTTTCGTCAGTGCGGCTACTGACGGTAGCGTTCATGCTGTCCGAGTCGACTATCAGAAAGTCAGTCAGACAGCCGTCCGATATGGCAAGCTTCAAATCGTTCGCGAATATCAACTCCCCACAGCTAAGGACGGCACCCTAGAGTACGCGGTTTGGATGGAGCATTTCCGCGATGAAGGGCAGTCCACCTTGGCTCTTGCGACTAACAATTGTCGCATTATCGCCCTGGATATGAAGACGATGCTGCCAATCTACACGCTAGAAAATCCCGTCCACCACGGAACCCTGACAACATTCTGCTGCGACCGAAGACATCACTGGCTACTGGTCGGCACCACCCACGGAGTCCTCGACCTTTGGGACCTGCGCTTCCGCGTGCGTCTAAAGGCATGGGGTCTCCCAGGTTGGGGCGCTATTAACCGCATCCAACTTCATCCGGTCAAGGCACGTGGACGCTGGGTCTGCGTCTCCAGTAGCGGCAGCCACGGTAACGAAATCACAGTCTGGGACATTGAAAAGTTCCGCTGTCGCGAAGTTTACCAGGCGACCCCACTCGGTGTCGGCAACAATGGCCCCAATGGAGCTCATCCTTCCCGCGCCCCTTATCCAGCGCACATCGTGCCAAGTGACTACGAAGCATGGCGGGTTGACGGTGACAGACCGGAGGGAATGCTGAGTCGATTTGCCTCGAACAGCACCGACCCAGGCAATTCTTCGAATCCGGCTGGTGATCGGCCGGGCATTTGGGCCTTCACTACTGGTCTCAATGCCCCTGACGAGGATAAGGACTCCAGCACCAAATGTGGGTACATCATATCCGCTGGATGCGACCGGAAGATCCGCTTCTGGGACCTTGCTCGGCCGGATCTATCGTCCATAGTTAGTGGTCTGGATGTTGTCTCGGATGGAAGTGCCAGCGGCAAACCGCACTATGAACAGTCTCAGCCCGGTCCCAATCTCCTGGTTACTACCGAGCGCCTCCCGAGTTCGTCTGGTGGCTCGAGGGATACTAGGAAGGGGGCTAGTCGACCACCCCGTAGTACGGTCATTAGTCTGCAGCAGCAGATGCTTTTGAAGAGTCATCTGGATATTGTTCAGGATGTGGCGGTTTTGCGTGTCCCATATGGTATGGTGGTTAGTGTTGACCGGGCTGGGATGGTTTATATTTTTTCTTAGCCCTTGTATGATATTCCTTCAGTTTGAGTGATATCAGATTTTATGACAGCATCCATGGATGGTTTTCAGTCCACTCGTTATGGCTTTATGCTCTTGTAGGAATTATGTCCGGTCTTTTTATGACTAGTTCGTTGTTAAAAATGGCAGTACTATGGGGAACTATATATTGACACTTAATATCTAGCCCCTGCCCCTTTTGAGCCCTGGAGGGAATACTAAACCTCACACACGCAAAGTCCTGTTGATCACAGATTTTATCTATGGTTCTATGTTTGGTAAGATAGAGAACAGCCATCAGAGATCTCCTGCGAAGTGACTATACTACGTTGTATAACTATTATGATGGTAGATACAGTATTGTATAATAATGAGGCAATCTCTGGACCAAATCCTGTGACCAGGTACCTGAAGGTGGCGTACCGGATACCCCGGCCCACGAGGTTCTCAGGGTAGCAACCAAGGTACTGGGTACGACCCCTGTCGGTACAATTAGCAAGTGTTGGGGAGAGCTGTGCTGTGGGTCAAAGCCCACGCAGACGAAACACTGGTGGATTTTAGAGTCGATCGGCAGTCTAGTCACCTTGAACGGGCTTAGAGCAGGAATTTTTTTGTGTATGTATTACAAGAGTCTGTATTTTATGTAGACCGGACTAAAAAATTTTATACAGATACAGATACAGATAACCATGATGGTTTTATGACTGGGGAGAGATGGAGATGGTGGAAGAAGGAAGCACAAGGGGAGGGGGTTTATACTCGACTACATCGTACCTGCTCAATAACTCATAGGCACAATATACCGCACATTGTTTTCCAAGATTGTACTAAAGTACTCCATATTGATACACAATCCATGGATTGAGGTGTATTAAGGTGGTCAGAATAACATAAGCTTGCATCGGTGTTTGGCGGTAGAGTGACTGCAATTGTTCCGATCTTGATTATCAATTCCTCCGGGGCTCCCGGGCTGCCGATGGCGTTTATAGGCTTCAGAAACCCTTGGACTGTTTGTTTCTTTTCTCCATAAATTGTCAATGAGAAGGTACACAGACCACACTTTCCCCACGATCGGAAATCAACTCCCTTTTTCATCACTGCAACATTGTACGGTAGTATTCGACCAGCTAGCAGTAGCACACAAAGGAGCTCGAAATCGCAACCAAGCACCGCTTCCTAGCGATATAATGCCTGAGTGCCAATCTTGGAATCCCAGTAACAAATATTATGCTGTCCTGAGCCAAGTCGGGGCTTTTTTTTGCACATCTCGGCTGATAATCGGTAGACCTTGACTCGATCTACCCAGCAATCTTGTTTAATTTCTTTAGGTTTAATTTTTTTGGACAAAATCTAGATCATTGCTGAATCATTGGTCAAAATAAACGAAAACTTTCTCTTATCATGGCATGAGTAGTAAGTAGTTCCATGGCCACTCATAAGCATATTGAACACACTCGAACTTCTCCTATAATATGGTACATCTGTAAGCTTACATTGAGTTAAACTACGGTACCAAGATGAGGTGTTCGCCACTCGATCAGATAAACCATCATTGGCCTGAACCATTTTTGTAGTATCCACGGCGTTCTCCGTTCTTGTGTGTGTAGTGGATCCAGCTCGGGTCCTTACATTCCAGATCGAACATAGTGGATGGGCGTCCCGTTTTTACCAATGACATCGACTCCGAACCTTGGTTCGAACCTTGGAAAGTCGCGCACCGAGGGTCGAAAATGGGATCTCCGTCGAAAATTCCAGACTAAGTGCTTTGACGGGTCTAGTCATTGGCTCAAAGAGTTTTTGACGGCTTGACATGAGTGGTGGAGACCTGGTAAGATGGAAAAGAAGGAATGTGTTGGTATACATACTTAAGTATATAGTTATCAGGTATACAGTCCGTAATTTAAGGATACACGAAACATTTGTGGTCAATTATTACTGCCAATTCGGTTGTTTAATATTAACAGTCAGACCTACGGTGTAAATTATTCAGGGGTAAAAAGTTCTGCAGCACACGGGCCAAGATCTAACAACAAATCTCTTTTCTCTCAAGTGGATACAGCGTAGACGGAAGACCAGGGGAATCCACCACTTACGCCAAGTCCGGGTATCCAGACGGGATGGGATAACTTTTGATCCCAGTCGCTTCGATCGGGGGTTTCCAAATGAAATCTGTGGATCGGCCCTGCAACCGTTCTCTAGCTAGGGATCCCAGTCACCAGTTACATTATTGTATCAGTGCGTGCATCTGCGAGGATTGGTACAGTATTTGTCAGAATTAGAAGTGGCCAGGTGGTTGGGAGGAGAATTGAACGGCTCTCCTAACTGCTTGCATTATGTTGTACTGCATGACGATACTACTACATGGAAGTAGGGAAGATTTGAATGAATTAATACATACATATGTACTCCGTACATACATACATATTGTACTCAGCACACATGTATACTGTTACACTCGTGGACTTCGATAGAATGGCGTTGTAGTACAAAGTTTAAAAAGTGAAACGAAGCGGGATTTAGGATCTATCAGAAAAAGAGCAAGCGAACCCTAACGGTGAAAACGGCCTAGACGTATCAGTCTGAGTTATCACAATGAAATGTATACACTGTACTCCGTACTTGGAAGTACCTACAGTAGATTCAATATACATACATATGTATTGTTCTCCTACGGAATGCATACTTATCGAGTATATGGAGTACAACTGTGTACAAGCATAAAGCCCTGCATACAAACTAAGATGAAACAAGACATTTATTCAACAGGCCTAGTATTATGGATGTTAATACCTTTTTAATACCTAGAATTATACGGAGTAATATATCAAATACACCAAATACAACAGATAATTCTCCTGAAGCTCCCCGTAAAAAGCCTTTAATTAAAGTGGAGAGTCCTTCTCCTCGACGAACCCCCTTTGGCCTTAGCTTCGGTGCTACTCATTTCTCTCCTATTTGCCCCCTAAACCACTTCCTCTTGGACTTCTCAGGCTTTTTCTGCGTAATTTACTCGCTTCATATCTGTATGGCGGGTGCAAGTCTGATTCAGTAATATTGAAGTTTCACTTCCACTCTCTCACACTCACTCTCACTCTCTCCCCCCGATATCTATCTCTCCTCCCACATTGGTCTGGGTAAACCCTCCTTTTGAATTCGCACTGAAAGCAGTGCTTTGAATATCCTCGCGACCAATTCAAGAGGAATTCAAATCCTTCCACCAGACTCAATTCGAATATTATATATACACGAACGACACAAAATCACAATGGGCAGCTCTTTGCGAGACAGAGCATTCCCTGTCCGGCCACAAACTCGGGATCGGGAAAGGCCTATAACACGCGGCGAAGGGGAAAATTCGCTGGTCGTTCCTAGCCGCACGTCGTCGCTGCATTCGCGCATTACTCAACCCATCCCATCCACACTCAGCGTTAAGCCTACCCAACGGACACCAAAAACACTCACCCATGCCTACATGGTATGCGGTGTGGGCCGTGAACCCTCACAATGGGTGAAGGCCCCCGCCCCCGATCAGGGTAAGATTGGCCACATGAAGGGGGCCGTCGGCCAATTCTGGCTCCCCGAGATTCTGGGTAGCAGCCCACGACTCGAGCAGGACAATGAAATCGCACGAGCCCTGCACTCGGCCATGAGGGCTTGTTTCCCTCACGACGTGGAGATTTGCACTGGTAAGAGCCAGCCTCACTGTGCACACCACGCGTTCGTGTTGCAGCAAGACTCCTCTCACACTCTGTACGGTATCGCGCTGCGCGTTTGGTCCCGTGCTGACGAGAAACGCGCGGAGACAATCCGGGAGCTGCGCAAGAAGACGGAGCCGGACTTCTACGACAACCCCGATGAGACTTACTGGATTCCTTACTGCCTCAGCTTTCTTTCCCGGTATCCTCTCTACGACCTGCTAGGTGATTACCTCCGTGGCATGTGGATTCACTGGAATAAGGCCACAAACCTGTTCCACGCCGAGGAGGTCTCCCGCATCCTCAGCTTCCCTGCCCCTCGTCTGAATGACTTGGTCCGCATTGACATGAAGGATTACGCTCTCTGCTACCAATTCCCCTCATCGCCAACCGGTTTCCAGAACTTTGCTATGTGGCCATTGTTCACTTGTCTCTCGATTCCCAACATCGTTGGCGTGATCGAGGCCGCTGTTTCGCCTACACGCCGCATCATCTTTGTCAGCCACTACCCGGCCATGCTGACCGTCGCGGCTGAGACCATCCGCTACTGCGTTCGCGTCTACGAGTGGAGTGGTCTCTACGTGCCCGTTGTGCATGCCCGCCACGTCAAGGAGCTGATCCAGGAGCCTGGTCCTTACATTCTCGGTGTCACCGCTGAGTGCCGTACCCTGTTCAACGCCCCCTCCGATGCGCTCGTCGTCGACTTGGACCGCAACTTCGTCCTCACATCCAGCCCTCCGAATGTACTCAACCAGGGCCAACGCACCAAGTTCATCACTCGTATGACCCAATCACTGAACGGCGATGTCTCTCCTTCTGGTGTGCCTGCGCACCTGCGCACCGCGTATGCCGGCGGCAAGCTTATCCCCGCTGGCCAGATCATTGTTATGAGAGGCGAGGTTGAAAGCGTTGAGGAGCCTCAATGGTGGAATCAGGACGCTGTCATGGGTGTCATGGACCACGTTTGCGAGAAGCTGGTAGGTTCTCCCACTCCCAAAGTCACTAACAATCTCGAAACTAATAATGGTTTGCAATAGGGCCGTAACACCGGTATGAAGGCCATATTCGGTGGCGCCGTCAAGAAGCCCCTGATGACCAAGGTCTCGATGCGTCACCTCAACGAGATCGTTCGTGAGCGTAACCAGTACTCCCGTGACGCTATGGAGGCGTGGCAGGACTTCATCAACCTCAAGGGACGAATGGACACCGAGCTTAGCAAGGTCACCAAGCGCAACAACTTCCTCGTCGAGGAGCTCGAGACCTGGAAACAGCAGTTCCTCAAATTCCAGGCCTTTGCCGAGCAGCTCACCAAGGAGACCTCCGAGCTCAAGGTCAAGATCGAGAACCACAAGCGCGAGAACCGCCGCCTCACTGGTCTTATCGACCAGCAGAAGGATGACGTTGCTCGTCTCACTCTGCGCCTGTCTGGTACTGAGAAGCAGCGTGACGATGCCCTCGAGGCCCTCGTTCTCCAGCAGGAGATTGCCGAGGAGCTCGAGCGCGAGCGCAAGCGTAACCAGAAGGAGATCTCCGCCCTCTCGCACACTAACTCGACTCTCGCTCGCGAGCGTGAGGACGCCCAGCGCGTGGTCATGCACCTGCGCAGCCTCATCAACGGCCAGAGCCACCACATGGAGCACATCGTCCGGTCCATTGGCAGCCGGTCGGAGATTACTGAAATGGTCGAGCAGGGCTACGAGGACGCTCCCGAGGAGCAGAGGGAGGAGGTGTCAGGCGTTGAGTCGAAGGAGTCCGTCAAGTCTGTCAAAGAGGTCACTGGTCACAAATCTTTGGTAAATGACATGAGCCCCGAGTTGGAGCAGCATTTGCTGAACCTCGGCAAGGATCACAAGACCCTTGCTCGTCTGAGCATCACAGATGTCGCAGACCGCTATCTGCGCGACAAAACAGATGCCATTGCAGATATCATCCGCAGCATCAGCGACCAGTGTGCCGCCGCTGTCGAAGGCCTGCACCTCGCCCAAGACGCCGAGGACGAGGAAGAATCCGACCACTCCAAGCTCCACCAGAACGACCGCCTGGCCTCAAACTACGACACCGAGGAGGGCCGCTCTACCCGTGCCGCTAGCGAAGTCAGCGACGCCGACAACAGCTCCCTTCACCCGGATAACCGCCACTCCAGTATTCCCCCTACCCCGGATCTGGTCCACAACCGCTCCAGCACTTCCATGTCCATGGTTAGCAGCTCGACTTTCCCCGAGCGATCAAGTCAGCAGTATGGCCCTGGCGATTTCCCCACCCGGATCGTTGAGGATGATGATGAGCACGCTCACGAAACTGAAAACGTCGACGATCAGCAGACCGAGACTGGCACTCTGTCCAAACAAGCTAGTGAGGATCTGATGCGCCCCACTACCGCCCGGGTCATCTCCTAGTTTTTCATCAGCTATTCAATCTAGATGATGCAACGCTTGACTGAGACGAACTTGTTTTGTGCTTTTCTCTTCTCTGTCTATTCCTTTTCTCCTTCTTTTGCTTTCGTCTGGCGTGACCATCCTTTTTGTCTCCTTGTGTGCTGTCTCTTGAATAAGCACATACGCTCTGGTTGTCTGGCGTAGCTGTTCCTTTCTTCCTTTCGTCGTGTCGACTTTTGATACTCCCTATATCCCCTTGACCATCTATCTGCCTTCTTGTCCAATAATTCTGGTCAATTTTGCCTTCCCGGGAATTTTCCCCAATCTTTGCCCTGTTCTCCCCCCGAAGAATTCCTTGTCTATTTGCTACATGTCGTGCCGTCTGGGATGGAACGGCTTTTTGGACTTTCTAGCTCACATCTCGACTTGATCGAGTGAGCCCTTCACTCTGCACCACAATCCGCGCTGTCAGCGGATATTTCCTTTTATTTGTTGTATGCCTACTTATGTCATACATATCTCCTTTTTCTCATCTACAATCCTTGATCTGGATTTTACTAGTCTACCAGGGTTAACATAGCTCCCTGCCGTACCCGAAAATGGATTCTGTGAATTTGAACTTAATCATCAGTCAGTGCCAGTAACAAGACTTAGAATCTTCTAATCATGAAGTCAGGTCCCGCGGGATGGAATGAAAGTCCACATGCTAATCATGAACTATGTAAAATAATACAACCCGGTCCAGTCTTTTCGTAGGATCCTCTCAAGCAAGCTTCCCAGGAACAAATGGATGTCCAGCACTCAGTCCACCACAGACAGCCCAAGCCTGTCCATTAACATAGCTACTCTCATCACTACCAAGGAACAGCGCAACACGCGCGACCTCATCAGCAACAGCACCCCGCTGCAATGGGTTCAACTGCCCGACCTTGCGCTCCGTGCCGCGCTCTCGCGCTCGGTCGAACACACTCTGCGTCATGCCTGTTTCGATAAGACCGGGGCAAATCGCGTTGATCCGAATGCCTGTTCCAGCAAGCTGGTACGAGACGGTCTGCGCAATGGAGACAACCGCTGCCTTTGAGGCTGAGTAATCCGTTGACCCGGCGTTGGACCGGATTCCTGCTACCGAAGCGGTGCCAATAATTGAGCCGCCTGGGTACGGCTTCGATGCAGATGTGATTTTCATAGCCGGAGCCGCGTGCTTAGCGGCCAGAAAGACGCTAAATAGATTAATTGATTAGTCGGACTGCTAACGTTCTTTGGGATCAATTGACGTACCCGAGAGCATTTACTCGCATCGTCTCTAAGAAATCATCGCCCGCAACTTCGGTAAAAATCTTATTTTGGCCTGAGATGCCTGCATTGGCGAAAAAGATATCTAGTCGGCCGTATTGGCTTATTGCCTCATCAATGACAGCGGTCAGGGCCTTTTCATCGGCTGCGTCGAATGATCGGACGTGGACATCCACGTTGGGGTAGAGGGACTTCATCTCTCGCTTGTGTGTCTCCAGATGGTTGTCAGCGAAGTCGCAGATGTAGACTGCTTTTGCGCCATTATTGGCATATTGGTGCGCACTGGCACGACCAATTCCATTCGGTGAGTTGGCACCTGTAGTACAATTAGATTTTGGCTTGTTAACTAGCACTGGGGCTTACTGACCAGTCACGATAACCACCTTGTCCTTTACCCGGCTGCAAGAGTCAGGGTTAGTTACGCTTTAGACCTCTAATTTAGACATCACGAGAGACTGCCTGGGCCATTGCGAAACTTCGGAACTCAATATTACTTACGGTCCTGCGGAATCAGAGGCAATATGGCGGATCTGAGGGATATCCTCGAAGGTGCCCTCGGAGGGAATGCCCTCAACAAGCTGCTTGCTGAGGGCCTGAAGACGCTGGTTTGCTGCTCCAGACATGATGTATAGGTTCAGAAAGATTCGGAAATATTCAAAGAAATATATATCAAAAGAAGAGCAAGACTAGAAGTATGGAACAACTCAATAATAGCTTCAATCGCGGCAGCTTTGTAGTTTATAGCAGCAGCAGCTTTCCCCACTATGTCGGTTATGCGGAGAGCCGAGGCTCCCAAGGCGGTGTAGGACATAGCTTAGTCACCTTTATAGATGTAATTGAAATCACATGACCGCTTATCGGTAGTTCAAACGTCATGTGCACAGAAGTGTATCAAAGCTTGCCTTTGTGTGTGTTTCAGACCGCAAAATCTTTGTTCTTGGTTTCCTATGCTTTTGTTGGTCCCTAAAATAGGTTATTCAGGGTTGACATCGGTGCTTACCCCTGAAAGTCACAGCCGATCTCCCTTCATTCCCACTGATCCACAGATAACTACAAAGGGATCCGCCAAAGACGCGCAAACAAGAATATCATAAGCCACAAAACCTGGACTTTTCTCGCTAGCTAAGCTATTATTAAACACTGTTTACCAACCTCCACAGCTATCAAATGCCTTCATGAAGTCATTAAACAACAAATCCACTGTCCACGCCATTGCCCGGTTGTTGAGTCATGGCAGAGTCCGACGTTCATACACCGCGACGCTCCTCCTCCCAAGCATCAAACACCTCGAGCAGAAGTCGAAATGCTAGAACTGTCCGCGGCAAACTTCAAAAACGTCATTCCGGCTCTTCAAACACAACTACGGACCTGACTTCATTTCCTTCGCTTTCACCGCCAGACAAATCCTCGACCCTATCCCGTGGCTTGACCAATACATTGTTCTCTGGCGAAGAGGGAGATGATTCCAGCGGCGATGGAAGTGGCCGTGGACGGAAGGCTACGTTGGCGAATCTGACGAGCGGACCGTCGCACAAATCTGGCCGTGCTGCTCTCTTTGCCGATTCGGTACCAACACATGACATTCCGGGTGCCCTACACCTGGCAGACGATGCGCATATTGAGCGGCTCATTGCTGGCACGGGAGCCACCAAAATGGTCAGACAATTTGCGCGTGATCTGGCTCAGCGGGACGCTGAGATATCGCGCCTTCGCCAACGTGCCGATGCCAGGGAGCGAGAACTGAAGAGGATGCTGCGGGAGGTGTCTGTATCCAATCAAGATATCGAGCGCCGGCTATATCAACTAGAAAATCCTCCGGGCGATCGTGTCTCGGATGCAGAAAGTGTTCACAGCAATGATCATGCTGGACAAACCTCTTCTGGTTTGAATGGTCTCATGTCTCAGGCTATGGAAGACACCGTAGGATCTCGGCCTGTGAGCGAGTTTGCAGAAGCACAGGCGACAATCCGTGCCCAGCGGTCGGATACAGATCCTCGAGGGAGCGGCGGCATTGACAACCGGAAACGCCAGAGCTCGATTCGAGGTTGGCAAGAGTATCTTTTTGGATCCACCAATACAAGTCGTAAGACCAGTCGCGCCAGCAGCATCATGAGCGGGGTTGGAGAAACCGAAGAGGAAGAGGCCGAGCGTCCCCGTGTACCCTCCAACCCCGCAATGCGTCGCAAAGCGCTTGATGAGCAGCTTTTCCAACCTCCGGATATTCCAGCACGAAACGGGCCAGCAAAGCGTGTTGCTAGCATCTCCACTAATGGGGATGATGCAAGCGTTCATTCTCGAAAATCTTCACGGTCTCTCGGGTCTTGGACGGTCAAATTGTTTGCTGGTTCCCAGGCAGATAAAGATGGAAGTGACACCGAGCCCATTCAGAACAAAGCCCAAAACCAGCGGCTAGATGGAGATAGGAGTGCTTCATCTACTCTCTCTGCCAATTCCAAGGGTGGGATGTCGGCAGTCGCTGCATTGAAGAGGATCAACAGCAATGCAAGTATGCCCAATGCCACTGGACGCTCTGCTAGCGGATCTAGTGCTCAAAGTAAAATGGGCCCTCCCGCCCCACGACGGACTGCAGCTAGTAGCGTGTCGCAAGGTACAGCCGCGGAGACTACAGACCGAAGCTCGACAAATCTTGGACCGGTCGAAATGGACGCTATTCTTCCCATGGAGTCGAAACCTCCGACGCTCTCTCCCATCTATAACAACGCCTATCCGGGCGAGTTTCTGACCGACCGTTATGGTTTCATATATGATCAGCGCAGAAAAAAGCGCCAGAGAGAAGCTGCTACCACCAAGAGCAGCATTCACCGTTTGAGCATCACCGAAACTCTTGGTACTCTTCGGGCTGATGCATCAGACCCCGAGGATGGCTCTGAAGTAACAAGATCTTCACCGGCTGCTCCAGAGACCCCCACTTCTGGTCCTCCCTCGCCGGATGAGTCCGAAAGCGGTGCTGTTGCTATTCGTCGCTGGCAAGATTATTTAAAAATTCCGACCCGTCCTACAGAGTTATTATCCCACACGCCTTCTGCGGGTCCGATAGTCTCCCTGACCACCTCGAGCGATAACCGTCCCCACAGCTCGTCTGTCTCGGTAGACAAAGACGGTGCGTTGGCCGTCGGCTCCAGCGCACAGCCATCGGCCTCTACCTCTGCAATCACAGCCGACAGCCCTGAGTTCGCCGGTTTGTCCTCAGACCAGCCCAAAGAGACAACCACCAAGTTCACAATGGCAGAGATTGAGCCGGTGAAATTATTGTTGGAGCAGTTGACTGATCTACACGACACACTGCAACGCGACCGAACCGTCCGATGGAACGAATTCCTGCGCAAAGTGCGCGCTGAGCGGAGAAAAGAAGGTGAAGCCGCAGCCGCAGCCGCAACTTCTGATCGGTCTGTGGCTGCTGTCGACACGCCAGAAGTGTCCCTCGCAGATGGCGAGGTTGTGGGTATCGCTGGCTTAGGCAACAAAGGCAAGGTCGGTCGAGCGAAGTGGCGGGAATTCAGATTGCTTGTCCTCGGCGGAATCCCTGTTGCTCTCCGCGCCAAAATTTGGTCGGAATGCAGTGGGGCCTCGGCAATGCGGATTCCTGGGTATTATGACGACCTGGTGCATGGAGTCGGCGGTTCAGATCCCGACCTTTCTGTTGTTGCACAGATCGACATGGATATCCGCCGCACCCTTACTGATAATGTTTTCTTCCGCAAGGGGCCTGGTGTGGGCAAATTGAAGGAGGTGCTTCTTGCGTATTCACGTCGCAACCCAGAAGTTGGCTATTGCCAGGGCATGAATCTTATTGCGGCATCTCTGCTGCTGATCATGCCAACTGCCGAGGATGCGTTCTGGATTCTGACCTCCATGATCGAGATCATCTTGCCCGAACACTACTACGATCATGGCTTGTTGGCCTCTCGGGCCGACCAAGTGGTCCTGCGCCAGTATATCTCTGAGCTTTTACCTAAACTCTCTGCCCATTTGGAAGACCTGGGCATTGAACTGGAGGCGCTTACCTTCCAATGGTTCCTCTCCGTCTTCACGGACTGTCTTTCTGCAGAGGCGTTGTACCGTGTATGGGACGTGGTTCTATGTCTCAATGTGACCAGCACGGTCAACGGCTCAGGACCAAATGGGTCCGGTACGAAGGAGAGTGGTGACAAGACCATTAAAATCAAGGTCGCTGAAGATCTTGCTTCTGGTAGTGGTGGAGGAAGCACATTCCTCTTCCAAGTTGCTCTCGCGCTGCTTAAGCTTAACGAGCAGCAATTGCTGACGGCCTGCTCAACGCCGGCGGAACTCTATACATACATCAACCATCAAATGACCAACCATGCGATTAGTATCGATGGTCTCATCCAAGCCAGTGAAGCACTGCGCAACGTGGTCCGCCGCGAAGATGTGGTTGCTCGCCGAGCTGTTGCTTTGCAAGAAATGCGTGAATTGAGCAGCGGTGCAAGTATTTAACTTGTTCCTGGTTCGACGCTAGTTTTCTTTTCCTTTTCTATTTGTTGGTCTTTATGACCCTTTCAACATTCATTTTCTTCTCCTTCCCACGCAATGCCGATAACGACCTGAGCATAAGGAAAGGAGTTTTGGCTTTCTGTTCTACTTTCCATTGTCTGGCGCTATCTTTCGTCATGTTTCCTTTATCTTTTTTACGTGTTGACATAGCCCGCGATATTCGTGTTGCCCGCCTCATACATCAGCAACCCAGCATTCGAGATACCCCTGGATTTTATACTTGGGTGGCAGCACTGTTAGACTTGTTATTGAAATCAAATTATTTTCTCCAATTATTGCTTCTGTCGGCGCTTTCTATTATTTATCAACTAACTCTATACACCACTAACCGAGAAGCAGCTCCAGCTTCGAACGCGAGAGCCATAAATTATGAACAGAACCGGAGACGCCATGATCAGCGTCGACAAGCCGGCCAACAAAGTAGCTGACCAATTTATATGCAGCGTCTCATACATAGGGCCTTCGAATAATGGGAACGTCGCCGAGACCACACTCCGCACCATCACATGGACGCACGTCGCCGACACAGTGTTGAGCAAATACACATCGACAATATACACAATCCCGCAGATGAACACAGTCTGCAGCGCAAACCCAATCGCATAGCACGCAACCACCTGCGAAATCCAATGTGTACCCCCAGACCACCCAAACCATAACAAAGCCGGCGGCAACAACACAGCGCCCAGAACCATAGGCGGCAATCTATGCTCCGGCGCAATACGCGCAGGCGTCGACTCACCCGCCGACTCCTTCTGCGCAGCATTCCACCGCTTCTTATACCAGGTCATCGTGAAAGCAGAAAACGCTCCCAGCGCAGAGACTACGCCCAGCCCAACAGCAAAAAACGGCAGCGTCGCCGCAGGTTTACTCCACCCTCGGCTCTGGAATGCCCGTGGGAACAGCTGGTAGGACAGGTATAGCGAGCCATACACCAGTGTAAGGTAGATGGTCATGACGATCAAGATGGGTTCGCGCACAAACATGCGAGCCGGTTTGGTCGTGTACTTCCGCAGCAGGACCTTCGCGTCCAGCGAGGCCATCTCCGCCTGTGCGCGGAGATACTCGTTTCTTGTGTCGCGGCGCAGCCGTGCTGCACGATTTATGAGGAGGCGGTTGTGGGATGACTCGCGCAAGAGAACCGTGCATGCTAGCCCTACGGCCGTGCAGAGGATGAGCTTTATCCAGGCGGTCCAGCGCCAGCCGTAGGCGTCGACGATGTATGCGCCGACGATTGGGCCGATGATGCTGCCCAGGTTCATGATTGTTGCAGAGGTGCCGACGGCGACGCCGCGGGTGATCGGGCCGAAGATGTCGGCTAGGATTCCTGAGCCGACGGCTAGTCCGCCGGCGCCGAATGTGCCTACCAGGAAGCGGCTGAGGCGCTTGTGGCTATGGCGAGGGGGATTTGGAAGATTGCGCAGCCGGCTAGGGCGATGGCCATTGGGGGTGCGTTGTCTATTACTTCGGCCATTGGGGCGAAGACGAGGGGGCCGACGGCGAAGCCTGCGACGAAGAGGGTCACGCCGAGACTCATTACTTCTTCCGAGACGTCACATTCTTTGGCTGTGATGCTGGAGGCGGCGCCGAAGATACTCGATGCAATGGTTATAGAGAAGATTACGGCTAGTGGCGCTGTGGATCGGAATAGCTTGGTGGATCGGGGCCAATTCTGGGGGTTTTCAGGGTCATTAGGCCCGTCCCATGTTACCAATTCGAAAGCCGGAGAGGGTAGAGTTGTGCTTGAGATGGTGCTTTTGGGGATTGGGGGGAGACTGACGGCCAGACTGTCGGCTATATGGTTCTCTGGCATATACACCTTCGGCTCCATGATGACGTTTGAATGCAAAGGCACAACGCTGTATCCCCTAGGCAGAATGTCCAGCTCTTTTAAAGACCAAATTTTGAGACTGAAATCCATCGGATCGGCAATTGGGCAGGATCGTCTTTTAGTTTGATGATTTGCGCGCACTACACTACGTTGTACTTTTGTACACGGCGTGCTCCCCGAGCAGTATCAATCACTCATTATTTCTATTACTTGACAGCAAGAAAGTATGTTACGCGGCATACCCGAAAGCCGGGGTATGTATTGGGCTTCGTCAAAAGGCAATTTGTTTAAATGCGAGACAAAACCTTGTGGTCGGAGAGATGTCCGAGATGTTTACCCTAACGGGTATCAGTGCCTATTTATTCCTTATTGCGCAGTGGCATCGAGACGATCCTCCTAACTATCAAATCCAGCTCTTCAGCCTTGTCTGATGTGTCTTGCATCAAATTTTTCCTTGCATATATCGGCCTGGTTGTTTTTACAAATAGCGATGCTGACTCGATCTGATGTATACAAGCCGCCACATCTACATTGCAATTTATTTTACACTCATTACGACCATTGAAATAAGAAATAAAGCATTCAATTGAAAAACATAGGTACCAATGGCTGACAATTTGTAGAGCTCCATACCGTTATCTCCTTGGCTGTGTCTCAGGTCTATGCGCTCTCGTTGTTCTATTAAACTCATCCAGACTGGGAGGATCAGTTCTGCCCATGAACCGAATTACCTCCAGCTGGTGAAGTTTGTAATCCATTGTCTGCGCATCGGAAACGGTCCTGCATAGCTCTCCCGTAGATTTAATAGGAGCTGTGATGGGGATAGGTGTATTGTCTGTGAATTTGGCTTGCATGTGGGTTGCAAAGCTCGCTCTCGCATTTTGAACCATCAAATTGCTCTGCTTGTCATTGTATGGCTTGTAAGGGATGTTGTTCTGATATAGGAGGCCTTTTGGAGGTTAGACCTAGTTCTCTTCTTTGTTCGGTATACACTTACGCTCCATGTGGTTGATGTAAAGACAGATCTTAAGCCGTGTTCGTTCAAACTCGCGCCTCTTGATGCTGGCTCGAACATTGATGTCCAGCATCCAAGCAATCATTGCACGAGAAAGTCCTGTTGCTGTTAGTATGGCACGAGATAGGATTGTGCTCGACTTACCATCAATACTATACGAAGATTCTGGATGATGGTACGGGGCTGGGACTTTCTCAAAGCGAGTCACATGCTCAGGGACGCTGTCATTCCTGAAGTCAACTGAGGCCATGTTGGATGTTGGATGTTGGAAAGTCAGAGAATGTGTCAATGTTGGAAGCGTTTAAAAGAGAAGAAGCGGACTGATCATACTTAAGTGTTCTCAATCGCTTCCTGAATTATTCTCTCTCGTTCATTTTCTTTGTCTATCTTCTCCCCATAAACTAGTGGCAATATTCTTTCTTTGTCCGAGTTATCTCTCTACAAATAAATTTTTTTGTTTTGCATTCATTGTTTCTGAATAACCCCAAGGCTCTGCAAACTCAGACCGGACTTGGTTTGAAAGAATTTGTAGCTGAAACGTATAGAGTTTCTTTGTTCTTGGAATAGGTTCGTATACTTCCCCATGTACTTCTTGTCACTTTTCCCTCTAAATAATCGCCGTGTTCACTTTCATTAATTCGAAAGTTATATGCTTTCACACTTTCTCTCTGGGTCGTGCTTCTCTTCTACAATCTTCAACTTGGCCCTTGTTGAAAAAATGAACTACACACGCATGTTGGACAGTATTCCTGAGCACTATCAAGTAACGGAACATGCCACTAAAGGTATGAATACATCTTTAACGCTGCTTAGAAACATCAACCAACAAAAATCTAGAACTTAGTCTCCTACTCAGTTTCCTGGGATGGGCTCGCAACGACGCATTTGCAAGGGTGGCAGATGTATGTGCTCTCTGGGGCGCAATCGTTGATGCCAACACTCACTTGATGAAACTTGATGGTGAGATTACTTATGCATGACACCTTATATCGACATGGCTGATCAAAATCTTTAGCTCTGCTCGACCAGAAGAATATCCAGCATGAGCGCTTCCCCATAGGAGAAATGATCGATCTGGAATTGGAGGGAGCTAGGCAGCTGATGACCCATCTGCCTGGAGGCATGCATTTACTCACTCTTCGAGGCGATGGTGAATTTATCCTTGCTATCAGGCGGCTGAATTTCCTGCGAGAGTACAATCTCCCGAAATAGGACAAATCTAGGGCAGTGAGTAGGCCTAGTTCGGGCTTGCGATTTTGTTTCTTCTTTCAAGGCCAGCTATTGTTTCGATATCAACATGTAAACACCCTTCCTACTACAGATTAGATTGTATATAATAATACATATCTTCTATGTAGAATGAAGCAGATCTTCATCGAAGAACATTTCGGGGATCGACGTCATCTGAAGATCTGAATCTTCAGTGCCAATATGGTGTTCAATCTTGTATTCAACAATGTATATAAAAATATCTCTGTTGTCCAAATCATCTACATATGAATATAGTACATCTATACGTACGTTGTATGTACAATCTTGTACTCAAGTGTTGGGTTCAACACCGCCTTTCCTGCCGATCTCATATCCCCTGACCCACGAGTGGGACATAGTGGATTTATCGAAGATTTGACGAACGAGCCAGATAGGCGAATGGAATTGCGACGTCACTGTGGGTGATAAATCAACTGATTGGCTTCATTCGAATCTCTGGGGGTCCGGGACCTCAGACGTTGACCCCCGACATCTAGCTAAGCTATATATGACTCCAGTCGTGCCCCAGTCTTGCCCTCCCCCCTGATATTCCCTCTTCATCATCTCTCCCATAATTCTTTCTAACCTATTAACGTTGTACGTCCTAAATATTACAATATGGATCCCTACAATACCCCAGAAGCTGTCCTACAGCTAGGTGTCATCGACCCTCAGATCGACCAAGTAAACATAACTTAACCCGAGAAGAATATGCCCAGATTCTAACACATATTCAGATCTTCAAAGAGGAACCGCCACCTAATCTGAACTCAGACCCACCGCAAGTTCTACGCGCAGGCATGGTCACCAACGAAAAGCTCGGCAATGAAGCTAAGCCCGCCTCGCACGGAACCAATGAATCAGTACTCACCATTCCAATGCGCGATGGCTACGAAAGCGAGCTCAGAGTCATCAAGCCGCCCAACCAGACCCCCAACTCCCCGCTTGTCGTCCTGATCTACGGCGGCGGATTTTTCTGTGGGACAAATTCCCAGCTTCTGCCCTGGGCAAAGGCCACATCCGCCCTCTACAACGCAACAGTTGTTCTGCCTTCTTACCGTCTTGCGCCGGAGTACAAGTTCCCCACAGCTCCCAATGATATTTGGGATTCGGTGAAGTGGCTCGCGGCAAATGCCGCTTCGCTCGGCGCTGACCCGTCGCAAGGCTTCGTCATTGGTGGTAGCTCGGCTGGCGGAAACCTCGCTGTTGTTACTGGCCATCGTGCGCTGAGGGAGAAGCTCTCTCCTCCGTTGACGGGTGTGCTTGCCAATATCCCCGTTTGTCTAGATGCGCAAATTGTCCCGGAGAAGTACAAGCATCTTTTCCTGGCGCGCGAGCAAAATGCCGATGGACTCGTATGCAATGCTAAGGATTTGGAAGTCTGGACTGGATGGTGGGGGCCCGATTATTTCTCGGTTGATTTCTCGCCGGTGAATTCTGACATTCCGCTTGCTGGTTTGCCGCCTCATTTCGTGCAGGTCGATGGGTTGGATACGTTGCGTGATGATGGGTTGATCTATGAGAAGCTGCTTCGCGACAGTGGGGTTTCTACTCGCCTTGTTGCTTACCCGGGTATGCCGCATGGTCATTGGGGTTATCGCCAGCACCCGTTGTCAGACAAGGCTCATATCGATACTCTGTCGGGACTTGGATGGTTGCTTGGTCAGGAGATCCAAAGGGAGGAAATCTCGCGTCTCTGGAACACAGAGGGATAGTACCATAGAGTCATGGCCGTTATCTTATAATACTGTTACTCCATCAATCCCCGAGGACATAAATATCAAAGTAGAAGATTGGAGAATGCATTATCAATATCTGGTTTATCCAAAGTGTTTCCCAAAAGCCTCTGTCATGCCCGTGATTCTTCCAGGAAGCAGATATACCTGGTAGCTACCCAATAGGCGACCAGAGCCCGGCAGGGGTTGGAAGCGGTGAACACTCAGCCATACAAAGAGTTCCTAAGGGGGGAGGGGAAGGGGGACACGTTGATGTTTGTCCGTCGGGTCTTGAAGACCTCGATGTGCAAAGTATTTGAGTGAAAAGGTTGCCGTATGTGCATCGCGTTTGTTCAACTTGGCCCTTGATCCACCCAGAACTGACTATTGTCTAAGACAGTAGTCAGATCGAGCGAGTCCATCGTCGGACGCAGTCCCAGGTCCATCACGTCCCGCGCAACGGCTTTGATCTGGCGCATGATCGACTGCGAAATGGCCCAGGTGCGAGCTAACGACTTGAAGACTCCGATCGTTAATGCTAGACGGTCACGGCTCACGTCGGGCATCGACCCAGCCTTGACGGAGCAGGAGGCCAGTTGAACAATGGAACTCAGAGTGAGCGCACAAATGAAAAACGGTGTGTGCTTGATGACTGGCAAGCGAAAGGCTGCTAGTCGGGACAGTTCTCGGGCAGCCTTGGATGCTTTCATTGCGTGCTCGTTATGGGAGAAGGCGGGCACACTGATGGGGCCATGATGACCACAGATGACTTCCGCAGCAACAGCAGGTGATGACAAGAGGTCGGATCGTGGGAAGTTAAGGTAAATGGCTGCTCCATTCAAGATCATGGTCGCTTGGAACATAATTTCATCCACTGACCCATCTGGACGCAGAAGCTCCTCCTTCGACTCTGGCAAGTGATGACCCCAGCTGCCGATTCGAGCATCAATAGCTTCCACAAGGTCCTGTTGACCTTCCGTCATTTCCCCCATAGCCACCACACGTCCAAGGATCCGAATAGACTCGATCCGGTAGCAGTAGGAAGAGAAGTCGCGGTCCTCTTCTGCGAATACACGCCCATCAAATTGGGCGATTGTCGGAGACGGTGGGGGCACCAGTCCCTCATGGTAGATGCGCTCCTCACAAGGAAGAGCCACTTCGAGGGGAACCATGTTGGTTCGGTATTCACGTTGCACACCAAGGGCAGTCAGCATACCCTCGATAACGAACAACTCCCACCAGGTGCGCCGCAGGGATTCGGCACGAATCGGATCACCATTGCTAGCAAGCACGGCAAAACTCCCCTGGTGCATGCCAAGTTCAAAGGCCGAGTCTACCGCAGCTGCTAGGCAAACACCAGCCTCGGCACGCTCATTGTCCGAATGAAGCACAATGGCGAGCAAAAGCAGTGCCTGCACCTTTTCCACTGCCACGGGCTGTTCTTGGACCATTGCGACAACCGTGGGCCGGTATGTATCACTTGAAGCCGCCGGGGTGAAGTGGGCGCCAATGAACTTCATCACCTGCTCCAGATATGCGGGGTAAAAACTGCGATTTAAGAGCCGGTGCGGTGGCAGGATCGGATGGGCGGCGTGGAAATAATTATAATAGATATCGAGTAAATAGCCATCCCCGCCAACGGCAGAGGATGATTCCGGAGTCAACGGACCGGTCATCGGGATAACGGATGAAATCAATGGTGGGGACATATCGTGCAACCCAGGACTGGTCGATCCGGAGGAAGGCAAAGGAATAGATGGCGCATAGTTGAACCCAGCCTGCAAGCCCCAATCCACCGGTGTATCGAGCAGGGTGGTCGGGTCGATGGAGGTATCTGGTGAGTTGGCGCGGCGCTTTTTCGATGGGCCCTTGTAGCCTCTTCGAGATTTGGTGTATTCGCAAGTGGATTGACCTTGCTCACAGCGGCCACAGACCGGTGTCTTGCCATCACATTTGAGGTGCTTGTGACGGCATTGGAGACAAGCTAAGAGGGAGGGACCTTTAGGCGGGCCAGAAGGAGTGGCCTGAAATTCGGTCATGGTAAATCAAGAAACATATAGAAGGCTACCTAGCTATAAAGAGAAAAACCAGAAGATACAATAGGGAGAAAGTGGAAGAGAAAGAGATGGAGGAGGGGAAAGCCAGTACTAAATTGTTTAGGACTTTGGTAATTCAAATTACCAAAGCAACTCCCTACTTTAAAGTAGTCGAAATATCCACCACTTGGTTATTTTTTCAATTCATCAACCTTGTCAAAATTGGTTACAAGGATATCCTTGTAGATATAAAAGTCCAATTGAATTGGATTCGAACAAAAGTCCCAAATATAAAGGCTTAAATTACTTGCATTACGTGGCTATACATACTTTACCGAGCAGGTAAGATACGGGGATAAGCTTGATGCCCCCAAATTAGCCTTGTGCACTTCCAATTGACTTGAACATTTGTCAATCTGTCGCAACTCATCACATCTCTTCTTTGTTCATTCCAACTCTTTGAAACTTGATCTCAATTGGCTGAAAACAATTCTTGATTTCGAGCCTGCATCACAAAAGCTACACCGGTGTAGCGTCACTCGAACTATTGACCGACGTGTCTTCTCCGATTGTTATCGTCAAACCCCCCATCACGCTTTGTCTGTCAACCAACGGCCGTCATCTTGTCCTTCAACGTCAATCGTGACCAGCATCACCTCCATCTCCGACATTTTCATTCACAATGATCTCCGACGACGATCTGTACCGCCTTGCCATCTTCCTTGGCTCTTGCGCCATGATGATGATTGTCCTATACCACTTCCTCGATGTCAATTCCAGTGAGGAGGAGCCAGAGTCTGTCAACTCAAGCCAAACCAAGGCTGGGACTTCTGCGCCGCTGGCGTCCGCGGAGCAGGCAAACTAAGCTCAACAGAGCTGATCGAACGGAAGGAATACGGGGAACCAAGATACCATTGTCTACATTTGATATTTTTTTATTCATACAAGCGAGCCCGGAATAAGTTTATTGTACACTAGAGTCAAAGTGAACAGGCAATCATTGCCAATGGCATGACTTCGTTCGCTTCAGCAACTTTGTTGGTTCTTTCTAATTAGTAACAGTAAATGAGAAGGCTGTGGTTCCTGGCAACCCGAAAATATAAAAGAAGTAGATTGGGTATCTCATGAATTCCTCGTGCACAAGTGCACCGTGTTCTCGTATTCGTGATGGTGAATTATCACATGCGCTGAACGCCAATCCCCATACAATCCTTTGCGATTCCATGAAAGTGAGTAAAAACAAAAGGTATCATTGTCGTAATGGACGTATCAGTCACTCGAGATGAATGCAATTTCAGCACAGTTGACCCTGTTCTGGCGAGCGGGTGTTGAGAGACGGCAGTCACTCGAATCCAAGTCCGGCCCAATCTGCTGCTTCCAATGGCGTCCTGCTTCAAGCAGAGCCTCCGCCTTCCCCATTTCGGTGTGTATTCCGTGAGCCTTGCAAAAGGCTTTGAGTTGGTGCTCATCAACTGGCAGGACCATGGTTCCTTTTCGGGCGTTTTGGTCAACGGAAGGGCGAGTTAGTAATGTTTCCGCTAGAGCATTTATCATCATTAGACATTTTTTTCTGAGATAAAAAGAAACATCATGTATATCGGCTCTTTATGTGGTTCTCACCAGTTATTACGACCGCCGGTCCATCCCCCAGTTCCCAAGCCATCTTGGAGATGTGCTCGTTTGCCACATGTGAGTACATGTCCGCTGCAGCCATATGCATCTTGTATTCACAGCCTTTCCACTTGCAAAGAAGGTGATGTGGCACGTGAACCTTCACAAGGTGGGCGCGAACTGCGTCCAGATTGTGTAGTTCTGCAATACAGCCCTCCCATTGACATGCGAAGACTTGGTATGGTACAGGCTTCTCGCGAGGATGGATAGCCACATCAATGCCACTCTTTTCTCTAGGAGGCCGACCTGGCTTCCGCTTTGGTTGTGGCATCTTAGCCGATGACGGAGGGATCACCACTAGCGGTGTGGGAAGACGCCGTGTCTCCGGGGATTTAGACGATTGGAACTTGGCCGTTTGACTTTTGGATGCTGTCTTTGGCGTAGATTTAGGCGTAGACTTCGGCGAGTTTTGTGTGACTGCAGGCGGTAGATCGGGGCGAGCAGAAGTTGTTTTGGGTTTGATATGCGACGGTGCGGTGGGGACGTACACGGGTGGGGATGTCTTGGGCGGGGACGCGTTAGGGGCTGGGGGTGGGATAGGATCGAGGTTGGGGAGGCTAGAAGGAATGTTGGACGTCGGCACGCGCTTGGGAGAATAGTAGGCTGGTGCTTTAAATGGCAAAGTGCCCCAGGAACTCAAACCACTGGGAGGGGCGCGCGCGTCGATCCTGCTGGAGATCATCGGACGCGTAGGCGGTGTGTCACGTGCATATACACCATTTGCCTGGGTTGAATAAGGCGAGGCAAGTAGACGAGCTGCGGTTGGAGTTTGTAGTGGGAGAGCAGGTTGCCGTGAAGATTGTGAGATGGTTCGCAAGGCGGGCTGTAGAGCAGGCTGTTGAACAGGTTGCGTTACAGGCCGAGGAGCAGATCGAGACACAGAAGCAGGAGGTTTGGTGAGATCAATTTCACGCTCAGGATCAACCAGGTCCCAACGGAAAGTTTCCAGATCAGCATGATGGTCGATTCTGGTGAAATTTTGGCGCAGCGCTTCCAAATGATGATTCAATTTCTTCTCAGTGGGATGCTTTCCTGCAGTGATAAGTACATCCCTCGCAATAGTAGCAGGATCATAAGAGGCCTTCTCTAATGCCAAACTCGCTGATATCGACTTTACCAGATCTTCACGGTTCTTGAGGATTTTGCCCTGCTTCGCAGGTCGATGAGACTCCACAAACTTATAGCCCGGTGATGAAACACCAGATGAGGCATGGTTTGAATCGGGGACCTGAGGGACCATTGATTGTCGGTGGCCATTATCCAAACGCCGGACCTTTGCAGGTGGCGCATCACGGTCCGCAGCCTCCGGACAGGTTGTCAACCGATCAGGGTTGGGACTTCCTGACATGGGGAAACCCCTTGAGTGGTTGTTCGCCGGTGGAGAGTTGCTCTTATTGGGTTGCTGTACCACCGCCGAAGTAGACAAAGAGACACTTGGGCTGGGTGTTGTGGCATACATGGGTCGGCAGGGGTCATTTGAATAAGAGACCACAGGGCCAGGATTTCTGCGAGAGGATATATGGGTAGGTGGCGCATTGTCCGTTGTTGATGTAGGCACTCCTGCGGCAACATGTCCATTCTGTTGAGAGCGCCCCAGCTGCTGATTTGGCTGGTTTATGGTCCGCCCCGGTGCCGGTGCCGGCGTCACTTTTCCATAATGCTTTGGCAGTTTCTCATTCCATGCTGGATATCCCTGCGGGTGCACATGGGCCGCCTGTGCAAGGAGAGCATCATAGGCAAGAGTAGCAGAAACAACAGAAACGGCAGGAATAGACGGGCCTCGAACCGGGTCCTGTCGAGGAATTGTAGGAGCAATCGACTCCGTGCCGGTCTGAGGAGACGGCACCAACGGTGCTGGGGAAGGGGATTCAGATGCTATGCTAATTGGCCCAGGCTGGGAAACCGCAGGGCTTTTGGTTCTCCGAGGTACATGAGCTTGGTTTTCGGATGATGACCCTGTTGGCGCTGGTTTCCATCCGACCTGGGAGGCGGGGTGTGTCGCATGGTCGTTCGTAGCACCGATTGTCAAATGGCGTGGATCAAGTGTAGTGCGACCTACAGAAGTCTGATACCCTTTGGGGGAGGCCAAAGTGGTGTAAACCCCAGTATGCAAAGATTGAGGCCGTCCCACTGGTGTTTGGGTTTCTTGGACAGGCGGTGCCGGCATGCTTTCTTGAACTGCTGCACGCTGAGACGCTCTCTGAAAATCAAGGGCTGGGATTGGAGATCTTCGGTATATCTGGTGCGGATTCTTGGCCTCTTCCATTTGCTGTCTTTGAACAGCGTACTGCGCGAGCGCCTGTTGCGAAACGGGTGGCCCAACGTGGTGACCTGGAATCGCTGTGTAATTTTGATATGGCAGCTTCCATGTGGGTTGAGTCTGTCCCTGTGTTGGCTTCGCTGGTCTCGTAGGGGGCGACGGTCTTGCGATTTCATGAGCCATGGAAGAGTATTGTTCGGTAGGAGCACGGCATGCTGTATTTTGAATCAATTGGCGATATGCATCCTGGTGAGCCGTTGTTGAAGGATGAGACGTTTGCACCTGAGAGGTCGGAATTCGCTGAGAGGAAGCCGAGTGACTCGGTCGTCGATCGTCATTGTGAGAGCGGTCCGCTGGATATTGAGAAGATCTAGAGGAGGGATTCGCAAAAGACTGCTGCTGCTGAACTCCGCTGTGTTGGTGTTGGTTTCCTCCATATTGCCTGCCCGAATTTCCCGAATACACCGGGGAGGGATTCGATCCAGAACTTTGTTGTTCTGTAAGCGCGTATGATTTCTGTGCCTGCGAGTACTGGAAAGCCACCTTCGCTACTTCCGCCGCATCATGAAATGCTGGATGGGCCGTAGGGCCTGCATGAGGGAAAGCGTAGTCGCAACTGGTTTGATCCTCAGCTGCGATAAGGTTCTGAAGCCAATCAAATCCATCTAAACCGCCATTAGTCATTTCAAGTCCTGCGAGATACCTGATAGCTAAGCTCCCATCCCCGGGTTTGTTGAATCAAGTGAGAGGCTTGATTGTAATTCTTCGCACTTGCAGAATAAATGAGCCGGGAACTTCAGATGCCTGGAACGCAAATTGCCGTTCCGATGGTTGGCAACCAAGACAGTCTCAAAAAACGGATTGCTTTCTAACGTCGCGACCAAAAAGCTGTTTGTCAAGACTCATTGAGCGCGTCGCGGTGGATCATGGGCATGATTGTTATTGGCTCGGAAAATACTGACAAAGCGTCAGTACACGTGACCCACCCCGCTGATTTAAATATTCAGCTTCAAGCAAAGTTTTCACTTGAACGACTTGCCAATCTTATACTTGCTTGGCTTTGCAGATTACTGTCGCCATTGCGAGTGCTTAAGATACCTAAAAATACCAAAAAGTCTCGAGAAAGGTTTCTGTCTATCACAATGTCACTTGTTGCTTGAAGGGCCCTGCAAAAAAAAAGTCTCAACTTGCTAGGAACTAGATGTGGTTCTGAACTGGGTCCGTTGTGATGAACAACACATGACATGAAAGCCGAGGAATATCCGTCGGATACTACAGCTGTTGTAGCGATATTTGTTCCCGCTTGAGACTAGAGAGACTTGAATCTCTCAATTGGATCAGCAAGCGTTGCCCAATTATCTCCTCGTCAATCCCGTCCTTCGGGCGGACACTATGGTTGAAGAGGTAAACGAAGGGCATATAGCAAATTACAGGGCTGCGGGGAAGCCTGTGGTTCCTGTCTTACCTGCAGACTCACTCTGATGCCTTAGGGCAAGGAAGCAGTGAGTTTGATGGTGAGGTACATTCCAGTGTTAAATTGGAGTATTTGGACTATAGTATGTACAGCATCATTGTGGCTGTCATGGCTGTAACACCAAGGTCCAGCAACATACCTAGGTAGCGGAATCCTGATTTGCATCTCGCCAGGCATTTCTGAGATTCACTTTTGACCTGCATAGGGTCCACCAAGATTAAGCGCAACTATTCGACAGTTATACTTGGTCAAATCTGGATACAGGCCAATGATCTTTGCATCACTTGTTCTGATCGGTTGCAGGACCTCGGGATTACCTACCCTGGTAGGTATCTGTACCTAAGTACGGAGTAATGATATGTTGTTGGTTGTGTTTCACCCGTGGACCTGAGCACTGCCCAGGTGGTTACAGACATGCACATATATATGTAGATAATCTATCCAAGAGCTTTGGATCCTTCAAATGTCTCTACATAAGAGTGCCCAGGTGATCAATATAACAGAAAGTGTTGATGCTAGATAACTTAATAATTTACAGACCTAATAAGGAACAGAGGGAAAAAAAAAACACACAGAAACCATGAGAGTATTCGTGTCTCTCTCGAGTCGAAAACCACCAGTCCCAAAGAATAAATATTCAGAAAAAGCAACACGCTGGCTGAAATGTTCATATAGCGCTCAAACCCTCACTCTAGTGCCCAACGCACTTCCCCCAAGCAGGCAGTCCACATCCCATCCCAATAAACAAATACAGCAAGAAAACAACCACAACAACCATCATAATCATCAACTTGGTGTTCTTCCACCACATCTTCCTCCGCAGCCCGCGGCTGCGCATCCGGAAATCATGCGCACTCCCACCAAGACGGTCCGTCTTATCAACTAGTAGATCGATGCGCTCGCCGCGCTCCAGCACCCGCTCAATGTTCTCGGTCATAATATCGCGTACGCTGTCGATCTCGCGCCGTGCTGACGCCAGCGAATCTGCCGGTGGCGCAGTGTTGTATGTTTGTAGGAGGGAGCGTAGTTCCGCGTTGAAAGCAGCACAGCCGTAGGCGGGCAGCGTGCCGAACTCTGTGCTGGTGGGCGGGTAGGTCAAGAGGAATTTGCGCTTCATTTCTAGAAGGTAGGCAAAGGGGATGCGCCGGCCTTGCTCGGCTGATGCGACCACTATGAAGCTCAGGGGGGCGTGCGAGCTTGGCTCTGTGCTCGTGCCATCGCCTGCTTGTTCGGTGGGTGAGTCGGAGATGTAGTGCACGAAGAGACGCTCGTGGGTGAATGTAAGCTTTTGGGGTTTGTCATGGGTGATTTTTGGGAGGATGATGGAGGCTAGTGATGATGCGGCGGTTGATGAGGTGCCCGGCGAGGAGTGTTCGGCTAAAATGGTGCTTCGATGAGCGATGCAAGAGCTGAGGTTATTATGATGATTAGTTGGTTATATTCTTCGCGGTTCTTTGGGACATCTCAGACCGGGGTATTGAGACTTACTAGAGCAGAGAGCTTGTCTTTGATGATGAAGCCATGGTATGATGTCAGAGGTCGTGACCTGAAAGATGCAAGATATCGAGATGAGAATGCTCTAAAACGATATAAGAGCCTGCAGTCTAACAGGGGTGTTGTGATACCCAAGATACAGTAGATTGGGCACGCTTGATACTAAGATCTGGAGTAACTAAATAGCTTCCAAGGCTTCCAAGGTTGTTCCATCTCCCCAAAATATGAGTCAGCACATAGCGCGCCCGGGCCAAAGGGCTAGGTGAATATGATTGGTTAATTTGTTCTATACAAGTCTACCACAATGGAAAGTCTTCAACTTTATGTTATTTAGCTAGCTGAGCAATATCTCTTTTGTCGTTAGATCGTTCAGTCGTTAGATAGTAAGTTTCTCATCCGGTAATTCTGATGAGGAGTAAGAAAAATAAAGGCAAAAAAAGCAAACGCTCAGCGTGAGTGTTCTACTCGCTGAACTCGAGCAACTCAAAGTCGGAGTCCACGATTTCGTCATCCATACCCTCCATTTTGGTGTCCTCCGAGGTATCAGAAGCCGAATTTGATCCCTTATCGATTAATGTACAGTCGCTTCGGGCCTCGAACTCTTCATCATCGGTGGCTAGGCCAAGATCAAAGGAGACATCATCATACTGATCTTGATCATATTGAATCCCCTCCAGGGATGGTTGTCCTTGACCTTCATCGATAAGCTCAATACCAGTCAAATTATGTGCATCGCTGGTCGAGCCAATGGATACCACGTCAGAAATATGGTTGTGGGTAGCATGGTGCGACGCAGCATGAATGGTACTCTGAGCATCACTCTGGTCGATATCAACCAGCGAGTTGTTGATTGATATAGCACTACCACTGCATATAACCGGTCCGGGGGCTGAGAATCCTCCACCATTCATTGCAGGAATGATGTGGTCAGTAAAAACACCACCAGTCCCATCGTCATTCCCATCAGCCCACAGAGGAAGGTATTGATATTCATTGTATGTGAGGCAGCTGAGGATGTCCGTCAATTCGTGTCGGATGGTATGTGATTCCGGCATCTTCAACATCTCCGCTGCATAATTCGCCAAGAATGTACCCACATCCGTCTTGAGGTCCACAACACTAACGATGTGATTTAAAAGATCTGATGGTGGCGGACTTGGAGCTGCAGGCTCAATGGTCGGATTTGGAGTGGGCGCAGGGGTGGGATCCAAGGCAGGACCGTCCTTAGAAGGAGAGTGATCCCCAGCCGCGGGTTCCATTTGACGAACGTTGATGGTCATGAGCATCACTCGTCTTTCACCAGCAACTCGTTCAGCCTCTTCTTCTTCCTCTTGTCGAATCCGAAGTCTCGTAATTGCCAATTGGTTGAATGCCTGACACACTTGGTAGATCTCGTCATTAGATACATGGCGAATAGTTGCATCAATTTCATCAGCAAAGACAGACGAGTTATTACCGATTTCCGCAATTGTCGAGTGAGAGTCTCGACGAACAGCTGATTCTCGATGGAGATCGAGGGAACTCAATGAGCGCCAGAAGTCCTTTCCGATCAATCGTTGAAGAATGAACATTTTATGGGGTGATTGTTCTTTGAGATATTGGTAGTCAAGGTCCGAATACTTATCCTCGTCAGAAGCTGCAAGGAAGGTGCGATTTGCGTCTCGTGCGTTGACCAAGGTCCCGTAAATGCGGTCACGAATGAATTCTTTCAACACTTGCATCGTGGAGAGAATAAACTTTCGGTCTTCCGGGTAAAGGTGATAATGGCGAACAATCTTTTGGTAATCCGCAAGATGCTCCAACCAGGACATTTGTCTGCCAGCCAGGCCCGAGAAGCATCGAAGAACATAGTCACCAAAGCTCTTGCTAGCATATTCAATACGCTGCAATTCCGTGTCATCCAAAACATCGCAGATAGTACTCCGAACCAACATTTTCATGGAATTCACTGGTTGGAAATATGTCAGCGTGATGAGGTACAGCAACGCTGCGTCCGCCACCAGCTCGACAAAAGCCTCGCGACAGAGACAGGCGCATTTTATACCACAGGCCACGGGGTAGACCACCTCGGGGTGAAGCTCAATGAATCGGGTGTTTTTGAGCTCGTAGAACCAAGAGATGATATGGCCGCTGATCATAGGAGATGTAGCCACATCGAAGATTTTGGCCACCCCGAAAAAAGTCCACAGATTGCAAGGAGTGTCCAAGATGGGATTTAGTCCCTCCAAGACTTGAAGAATATGTTCTATGGCTTCGCGATGACGTTGGGCCGAGTACTCCAATGGCAACACTGCACGCTTGGGCCCCTGAAGCTGGAGGTCCACCGAAGAAGAACCCTTCAGTGAGTTGATATCGGTATCGGATCCGGGGTCAGTCAAGATGGGCGTAAGTGCCTCATCAGCTTCCATGTAATCTTGTCCTCCAACGCACGACTGGGGTAGATCCCAGGTCTCCTGCTTCGAGGCCCATGTGCGGATATCCATAGGACATGAAAGCTCGGTCAGTACAAGGATTGCATCTTCGTCCATCAATGGAGGTGTGAGGTCTAGGACGTATTGAAACCCAGCCGGGAGTTGACCGATCAGACCGCGTCGCTTTTGCACTCTGGTCTGCTGTTGAGGACTGAAGAGTCGCTTGAAATAGGCAGATCCAGTAGCGAATAGTTTCTCACTGTGTACGCGGTGGGGAACTGTTGGTGTGGAAAGAGGAAAGCTAGCTTGAGTAGTCTCCGGAGAAGGATCGATATACACCAGTGTGTCCGCATCATGGAAAAGAAGCAAAGGCGACATGGCTGTGAGCCGCAGAGATGAGTCTGGGGAGCCCCGAGGATGTCTATGGGGTGTCATGAGGAAGTGGGGGCCGCTTATCACTGGGATTGAGTTAGATGGGACTGGCATCAGGTAAGGACCATACTCACCTTCAGGATGCAGAGACTTGTATTTCTGGAGCAGTACAAGGCCTCGGTTATCTCCTTGGATCGACTCACCAAAGCGAAGTGGTTCTATCTTAGTCAGTAGACTCAATGATGTCTTCCATCAAGCAAAGCGATGGGGATAGAGACAGGTAAAAGGATGGGATTTAGTAGGAATCAGGAGATAGCAGTTGAGTAAAGTACAGATAAGGGGCTTGGCAGAGTTGAAAATGTAGAAATGAATGGGTAAAGAAGTAAAGAAGTAATAGAAAGTGAAGCTGAGGGGGAAATGAGGCTCTGAATGAGGAGGGCTCTGAGAGTCAGTTATTAAGTGAATGGGATCTGTTATGTAATTCAATTCGTCACCAGGGCTCCATTCAGGGATACAATGGGTATAGTATATAAATATATAACTAAATGCCTTGGAAATAGGCTCCGATTATTAAAGGTGTATCTACGAGAAGTCTCAGAGACATGGGTTATAGTTTATTCGAAGTGGGTCTGCCAGGTACCCGATACATGTGGGGACGGCTATCACCACTCACAGGCAATCCAACAATGGGAAAAGGTTAAAGCCTTTGCCAGTCTTAAATCTCAGGGCGTATTTTTGGAAGCCAACTTATATATACCACTGGCTGTTCATTATTTTTACAGGAGGTCCGCAGAAAATTGCAAGACTCAGTCTTTCGCATGCAACAACAGGTGTGTTGCTTGTCTGCCTAGGACTGCGAACTCTGTGCACACATGCACGCACTTTGCTTTTGCCTAGAAGATGCTGCAAACGAGTTCTTACAAGCACAATAACTTCGTCGGGCATGGCTAGTACGGGAATGAATAAGGCATCTAGTCCTATGCCCTCACTGTCAAGCTTTTTCGTTGACCTAAGATGGGCGATCTCTAACCCATCGTATGCTTCTGTAGCCCGGACTAAAATTGTTCATATGCCGCTGTCTTTGTGAGCTGGACTAAAATAAACTCTATCGTAACCTAGTCTATCAGAGTCATAGAAGTTAACACCCAAAGATTTATAGTCAAGAGATGGTATGCTTATCAAAGGCTCCGTAGAGTCTAGAATAATAGACAATGTGCTAAACAGCGGACTTCGCAAATTGATCTATTCCTTTTCGGGGGGGGGGGGGGGGTATTAACTCTAGTATATCACAAAGCCAGAACACGACTTACATTGTATAAGGCTTTCACGGAACATTAAAATTCTAAAGGGAAAGTATGATTATTCTCGGCGCCCTTTCGGAAGAAATAAACGGTCTCCTTAGGAAAGGCCGTCTTCCCACGAATAAGTTCTGTATTAAAGCCTAAGTAACCTCCTGTCTTCTTTTCACTTCGGTTAGTAGATAAAAAAATCCGCGAGCCTATGGCCAGATATTAGAATTATAACTTGATGCTGACTGCATAGAAAGAAAGAAAGGCCCTTGCGTTTTCGAAAACTCTATATGAAAGATGTTGAGTCGGATTGGGAGCTACTAGTCGAAAAGCTCCATATTGATGAAGAGCTGTTTGTATACTGGAGATAGTAGAAGCGCTTTGCTTTGTAGCTACTAAGTCGATAAGAGGATGGTGATTTTTTGTGAACATCCTGAAGTAGATAATAATGGTGAAGAAGACTGTTTACATCGTCAGAGGGAAATACCCCGCCTTTTCTACGGAACATTTTAGTGACTTCAACCACAGTTCTCCATTGCGACGCATTTGTAAAAAATATGTAAGCAGGCAGAAAATAAAGAGGGGGGAACCGCGAAAGAAACGAAAGAGGTATAGCAAGATGACTAGCGATAATAGAAAAGGTCGATCTTGCAATGATGACATGGATCAATAGATGCTAAATGAGGAGACTTTATCTAATGACTCGTTCACAAACTCGAGGAGGATAAACCGTGGATTGAATATCGTGTCATAATCTATAAATTCGTTAGTATAGAGTTGATCCTCTCAACAGCCCTAAGGATCTCGAAAACTATATCTTTGCTGGATGTGGCCCTAGCCCGTTGGAAATAGACAACGGAGAACCAATTAGTCTTTTAAGCATCTTGAACCCTAAAATTTTCCCCCTATTTGAGCACTTCAAGGGCATTTCTTAAATGCCATAAATATACGAAGCAGTAGTTGGCCTTAGAAGATAAAGTGTGATGAGTGGCGTGATGCGCTCATGTCGATGTCATAATAATTTTATATAAAGAAGCCCGTGGACGCGTTCTTCAATATACAGCACTAAAACTGGAGACAAGTTCCGTCAAAAGGCATTAAAATCCAAAATATGGCCAACGTCTCAGCAGAAGCTATTGGAAGAGGCCGGGGACCGATAAGGTCAGTAATTCTCACCCCAGTGCGATTCATTAGACTAACGCCGGAACCGTCTAGATCTCGCAATATCGGCCTCTTGAGCATCTTCGGCGTGCTTAGCGGTACATGGTTGATGTTTGGCTACTTAGCTCCGCGGCAAGGAACCGTTCTCGCGACCAACGAAGAGCTGGGTCCGATCAAGAGTGCTGACTCGAAGCAGACAGATGCAGGGAATACTCTGGGAAATGCTATTCAAGATGACCGCTAGGGACATACGGTTCCCTGAGGAAATGCTTAAGGTATTCCAGACTACTTTGTTTCAGCAGATTGGAACGTGGATATCTCTAGTCTTGTGTATGGACTGAACGTTCAACATCGCACAGTAATGCAAATGAACTGGTATCTAAAGAACAAAACCATGACGCCGGTAGAAATCAGGTATTAAAGACAAAGGCCTCTCCAATCAATTTACAAGGGTTTGTACACGGTGTAACCACCAGTAGGATGCAAATTAGACAGACGGTAACGTTTCTGCACCGGGACCATCTCCTTTCGATGGACTGCTAGGTGAGTTGAGACTTCGTTTCTTGGCGGTCTTATCGCGCTTTTTCTTCTCACGCGTACCGGACTGTAGCTCGTCTGGTCGGGTCGGGCTTCGACTTGACTCGCTGCGGCGGAGATCTTTGACCTCTTTGATGACCTCGCGGAAACCTTCTTCGATATTGTTCATGCGTGCTAGAACCAGTTTGCTGAGCATGTCTTGGGTTTGGTTTGGAGCGTCGCGACGAAGGGCTGCTGCTGCAGCGAACCCGATTTGCGTTTGGAAGCTGGATGGAATGGCGCCCGCGAAACCGCCTGCCACGGCTTTGTTATCGCCTAGGTCGGAGCCTAGATCGAAGAGGAGGGAGGGCCGAGGCCGTGTCCCTGTTGGTCGGTCGGACAGGTAGATGCTGTCTCCTTCAGGAACGGACATTTGGTTCAGGCGCTGGACATTTCGCGCACGGGATGCGTCAAGAACGTGACGCTTCATAGTGCCCTGATCTACTGATGTGGAGACGACGGGCATGTCTCCATCGGATGAGTTGGTGTCTGCTCGGATGGGTGTGGCTCGACCTTCCGCTCTCTCATTCAGTGACCCAACAGGGTTGTACAGCATGGTAACACCAGAAGCATTTCGATTATGCCTGGGGCGACGGGTCGGGCTGTTGCGACGCGAGATAACTCTCGCAGTAGACGGACGGGAGCTGTAGAATCTGGGGGAGCGCTTCTCTGAGCCTTCTGCAGGGTCGGCTGTATCGCTTATGGACCCTTGAGCAGAGTTCTTATCATCACCCGAATCGCCATCATTGCTCGTTAGCTCATCATCACCCTCCATGTCTGTATGATGAGACATTTGTCGTCTCTGGGTGGGCGACACAGAAGGTCTTGTGTGCCGAGGCCGAATGACTGGACTTGCGACACGACTGGTGCGATCCTCAGGGTTTGACGCGACTGACCGGGTCGTTTCTGTGAAATTGCGGGGACGAGGTCCTAATCTAGTTTTGAATGGGAACTTTGGCCGTTGGGCGCGCATCTCAAGATGATCAACGGAATCCTCCTCGTCTGGGCCATTGGCCGGACCGGACCCAATTTCCTGCATCCAGTCCTTGATTACATTATTGGTCTGGTGTTCCTGCACAGTGCTGGATGGCCCTTGATTACGATCATTGAACGGTCGTCGGAATACTTCTTCCAAGGCTTGATCTTTCTGGTAAGTTGCCACAGACGGCTCGCGTACAAGGCGTGACGCCCTGGTACTGAAACCGCGGAAGCGACCGGGCGGCCAATGCTTGGACCGAGTAAGAACTTCAGTTGGGGAGCTTGATTCGATCAGATCCATTGGCTGCACAACTCGAGCACTGAGAATGGTCTTCTCATAGAGACAAATTGTGAACAGCACGGGGAGGTGGGTGATTTTGATGATGGTTCGGTTGAGTCGAATGAATTCACGGAAGGGCATCATGTATCGAAATGGTGCCACAAGCCAGGCGATAACGTTAGCTGGCGCCACATAAGAGAACAATGCATCGGACTTGACCATGGAGATGGTATTGACGGCAAACAAGAATTGATGTTCTTGATTCGCATTCTGGACGATTCTCATAAAAGAGTTGGTCAACACCGTAATCAGGATAGTGACGACAACGAAATGACAGATAAACAGGAAGAGGGTTAATATCGTCTTTCCCAGGAAGTTGTATTCATCCCACATCGACCATGCGGTTGGCGTAAATCCCATGAGCATTTGAAACAATGCATACGCAACTTGTTTGGGTGATTTGTTGTCTCCAAAATTCAGGAAAGCAACAAAAAAGCCAGAGCAGGAGATAACAATGAGCACGAAGACGGCAATCAAATCAGATGCCATGATTCTGAATGCAATGAGCAGCTGGGAGAAATAACGGTAGTGATCCAAGATGGAGAACAATCTCGGAAATAACAATGGAGCTGTAGCTGCAAGAACATCGAACTGTAATGGATTAGTATGAGGAATGAGAAGGGGAACATGTATCGTACAGCTTTATCGGAAATGAATTGACTTCTAGGGTAGGTTAAGAATGTACCGTAGATCCTCAAGCAGTAATATGCGAAGAGCAAAAGTAGGATCCCAAGGTCGAACAAGTTCCAAAAGCTCATCAGATAAAGACTGAAACCCTGTTCATTGAACCCCACCAATTCATCGAGCATGAACCCGGCACTCCAAAACCAGAACACAACCTCGAGAGATGTGATCCTCCGGCTCCGTTGATTCAGTACCGCTAAAAACAGCCCTAAGAGCACGGCATAAGACAGCGTAGACAAAAATTGACGATAGCGAGGCACCCTCAATCGCGAAAGCTTGAATAGTGACGCATCGCGAGGGTTGTAGAGAGTCACCGAGCGTCGAAGAGTGCTATTACTAGGTGGTTCGGTGGTAAAGTTCCCGTTTCTATTCGTTGAAGTTCCATAATCTGGGTTTCCAGGCTGATTTGGGGTCGCACGACGATGGAGATTGTCGGCAGTAGAGTGGAAAACAACCGTCCCGGCCCAGATAGCTTCCAATTGTTGTACGACGACAGGGTGGGCCAAGAACCGTTTTGCCTGCGCGCGAATCGCAACCTCCAAGCACGACACCCGTGCAGCAACAACTCGTTTCCGTTGTGGGCCCGTTGCCAATGCGGTGGACTGATCCTGGCCTTGAAGTGGGTGGAATTCATAGGACAGTGCATCGATCAGTTCGCGAGTGGAGTATTCCCTTAGCAACTTGATTGCCAACAATTCGCTAACCATTGCTCGCGTTTGATTTGCACCGCTATTCCCGGGACTCAGGTGCATCTCCTTTTCGAATTGCAGACAATTGGCCATCAATGCATAGAGGGTCGCGCGCGAAAAGTGTGCCGACATGAGCTTTTGTAGAATCGGCTTGATCAGGAACTGGGAGACCTGCGGCGAGCGTAACTGGTCCCATGTCAAGGTGGTTTCACAACGAGAGGCGATCAAAGGACGAATGGCATGGGCGATATTGTAAACGGGTAACGCATCTAATCGAGTTGTTGTCAGTGACAGCCGTATCCCGGGAGGAGCTCCACAAGCCCTTACCCAAATGCGATGCAGAGAACATGGGCAAGAGAGGTGTAGACTCGAGGGGCCCGTCCTCTTCTTCCTCTCCTACCCAATCCTCGTCCATTTCTTCCTCGTCGATCCCTTGAAGCTCATCATCTTCGCTGCTATCATCGGCTCGGTGAACGCGTCGCGTGTTGTTTTGCGCGGCACGGATCCACGGAGAAGAGATGGAGAATGGCGACTGTTCTGTTTGTCCACGGCGTGGCTTAGGACGAAGCAATGAACCAAACATGGTGTCAATATCCACGTGGGACCTCAAGTTGCATAACCGAGGTTGGTATGTCTCAAGTTGCGATAAGGTGTTAGAGCATAGTGTAGTGTACACAGATCTGACGAAAGAAAGAAAACAAAGGGAGAGAAAATGCGAGCAATTTACAAGAATGCAAAAAGCAGAAAGCAGAAATAGAGTCGAGTCGAGTCGAGTCGAGTCGAGTCGAGAGATAGAGAAAGAAAATACAGTACAAAAGTCCAAGACAAGCCCTGGAGGCTTTTAGGGCGGGATTAATTTAGTCCAAGCACTTGTTGCAGATTAGTGCAGAGATCTTAGCTCCACGTCATTGCGCAGGGTATAGATGGTCTGTGTGACTATAGATCGAATCATTCTACTTATTAACATTCTTGAAAGTTATATAGTTGTGTACCCCGTAGTTCAATACTTGATATCCTGCATATTTCAAATGTTAAGATATAAAACTTGTTTTTTCATTTTGGTCATTTGTTTACACCTACATAATAGGTGAACGTAAATGGATAGGTCAGCCGAGATCACTCGCCACCTGCATGTGGGTAAATAAATGTAGAAGAATTGAATATCAAGAGGTGGATATAAGTTTGATGTACTCTAAATTAAAATCTATTGACGTTTAATCCATTTTTATACAATATTGTATAACTACTCGAATATTGAGTCGAATGGGTTATATATAGCACCTGGATAATCAGCCCTGGAGAAATTGTTCAATATATTCGGCTGATATCCGTTATCGGTCCACCGCCTGACAAGGTGTGTGCTGCGTCATATGCATGCACATGTAGACCGTTAGCAGTAAGGATATAAACTTGTGTGGATGATTGAGGGGATTCAATATCAATTGAAGAAGAGAGATGTATAATTTTCACCAGTATCCTATATTTTCAATTTTCGTCTATATACAAATGTATCTTTTTCCTTGGAAGAAAATCTCTGCGGCGGTGAGAGGATGTACCGAAAGCAGAAGTGGGTCAAAATGCGAAATGCACGAAAATATTTTCTGCCGAGCAACTTCACTTTCCCTCTCTTCCTCCTCCACCAGCTGGTTGCAGCATAACTATTCCTTTTTTCTTCTTCTATTTATCTATACTCCCTTTTGCGCTGTTCTTTCTTTTTTCATATTACAACCAAAAAAAGTTCTTTTAGCAGATGCTGAACTAGAGTGACCTGCTCGAATTAGATCGTCCTCGAGAGGACTCGTTCCCTCCACATCTTCAATTGCGATGTCCAAGCCTGCCAATTCCCTTGAAGATTCGGTTTTGCCTACAAGCCCGCATTTGGGTGGTTCGGTGGGTTTCCCAGAGACTACCCCCAACATGGATTCTGTCAGCGGCGTGATCAAGCCCGCCTCCATTCCTGTTCGAGGTGGTTCGGACCGATTGTCGGCCCTTGAGCTTGCAGATGGCACTATCTATCAGGGCTACAACTTCGGTGCTGAGAAGAGTGTGTCTGGTGAATTGGTCTTCCAGACTGGTATGGTCGGTTACCCCGAGTCCATCACCGATCCTTCATACCGCGGCCAGATCCTGGTCGTAACTTTCCCACTTGTGGGTAACTACGGTGTTCCCGCTCACGATGAGATGTGTGAACTCCTGAAGGACCTGCCTAAGCGCTTTGAGTCCAGTCAGATCCACATCTCGGCGCTGGTGGTGGCATCCTACGCCGGTGAGGATTACTCACACTACTTGGCCAAGTCCTCCCTGGGCCAATGGCTCAAGTCTGAGGGCATTCCTGCCATGCACGGTGTTGACACTCGTGCTTTGACCAAGCGTCTTCGTCAGACTGGTAGCATGCTCGGCCGTATGCTGCTGCAAAAGTCTGGTGACACCGACGTTGTCGGTGCCGCTGGTGTCAATTGGAAGTCACACTTCGAGGAGACCGAATGGGTTGACCCCAACAAAAAGAACCTCGTCGCTGAGGGTGAGTAACATACCAAGCTGATGCCACAGAAAGCAAAAGACTTGGCCTCTGACATGATTTTTCTTCGACAGTTTCAATCCGCGAGCCCCGCCTCTTCACACCACCCGCGAACGTCGCCCTCAAGCATCCCTCCGGCCGTGGAGTGCGTGTTCTTTGCTTGGATGTTGGTATGAAGTACAACCAGTTGCGTTGCCTGCTTGCTCGCGGTGTGGAGGTCATGGTTGTCCCTTGGGACTATGACTTCCCCACCCTTGCTGGAAAGGACTACGACGGTCTGTTCGTGTCCAACGGTCCCGGTGACCCTGCGACTCTGACAGTCACTATCAACAACCTCACCAAGATGTTCCAGGATGCCCGGGTACCCGTCTTCGGCATTTGTCTCGGTCACCAGCTGATTGCCCGCTCCGTCGGCGCCCAGACCACCAAGATGAAGTTCGGTAACCGTGGTCACAATATTCCCTGCACAAGCATGATCTCCGGAAAGTGCCACATCACTTCTCAGAACCACGGTTACGCTGTGGATGCTACCACTCTGCAGAACGGTTGGGAAGAACTCTTCATCAACGCCAACGACCTCAGCAACGAGGGTATTCGTCACACCAGCCGTCCCTTCTTCAGTGTTCAGTTCCACCCCGAGAGCACTCCTGGTCCCCGGGACACTGAGTACCTGTTTGATGTGTTCATCAACACCATCCAGGCCACCATTGCCTCCCCCGAGGCTCTCCAGAAGCCCGTCTCCTTCCCCGGCGGCATCAAGGCTGAGAATGTCCTGGCTGCTCCCCGCGTTTCGGTCAAGAAGGTTCTGGTCCTCGGTTCCGGTGGTCTCAGCATTGGTCAGGCTGGTGAGTTCGATTACTCTGGCAGTCAAGCCATCAAGGCTCTAAAGGAAGAGGGCATCTACACTATTTTGATCAACCCCAACATTGCCACCATCCAGACCTCGAAGGGTCTGGCTGACAAGGTCTACTTCCTTCCTGTCAACGCCGACTTCGTCCGCAAGGTCATCAAGCACGAGCGCCCCGATGCCATCTACGTCACCTTCGGTGGTCAGACTGCTCTTTCCGTCGGTATCCAGCTCAAGGATGAGTTTGAGGAGCTTGGCGTCAAGGTTCTCGGTACTCCCATTGACACCATCATCACCACCGAGGATCGTGAACTGTTCGCTCGTTCCATGGATTCCATCAACGAGAAATGTGCTAAGTCTGCCTCTGCTTCCACTCTTGAGGAGTCTCTGCAGGTCGTTCAGGCCATTGGCTTCCCCGTCATTGTTCGCGCTGCCTACGCTCTTGGTGGTCTCGGCAGTGGTTTCGCCGATAACATGGAGGAATTGAAGGAGCTTTGCACCAAGGCTCTCGCTGTCAGTCCTCAGGTCCTGATTGAGCGCAGTATGAAGGGCTGGAAGGAAGTCGAGTACGAGGTTGTTCGTGATGCCCAGGACAACTGTATCACTGTCTGCAACATGGAGAACTTTGATCCCCTTGGTATTCACACCGGTGACTCCATTGTCGTGGCACCTTCCCAGACCCTCTCCGACGAGGACTACAACATGCTGCGGACTACTGCCGTTAACGTCATCCGTCACCTTGGCGTCGTCGGTGAATGTAACATCCAGTATGCCCTCAACCCCTTCTCCAAGGAGTACTGCATCATTGAGGTCAATGCGCGTCTGTCTCGATCCTCCGCTCTAGCCTCCAAGGCTACCGGATACCCTCTTGCCTTCATTGCTGCCAAGCTGGGTCTCGGTATCCCCCTGAACGAGATCAAGAATTCGGTCACCAAGTCCACTTGCGCCTGCTTCGAGCCTTCCCTCGATTACTGCGTGGTCAAGATTCCCCGCTGGGATCTCAAGAAGTTCACCCGTGTCTCCACCCAACTTGGTTCTTCCATGAAGAGTGTCGGTGAAGTTATGAGCATTGGCCGAACCTTTGAGGAAGCTATCCAAAAGGCTATTCGCTCCGTTGATTTCCACAACCTTGGTTTCAGCGATACCGATGCTCTTATGTCCATTGATAACGAGCTTCAGACTCCTTCTGACCAGCGTCTCTTCGCCATTGCCAACGCCATGGCTGCTGGTTACACCGTTGATGACATCTGGAAGCTCACCAACATTGACAAGTGGTTCTTGAGCCGCCTCAAGGGTCTCAGCGACTTTGGCAAGTCCATGTCTGCCTTCAACGCTACCACTGTGCCCTTGCCCATGATCCGCCAAGCCAAGCAGCTTGGTTTCTGCGATCGCCAGCTCGCAAACTTCTTGGACTCTAATGAGCTTGCTGTCCGCCGTATGCGTGTTGAGGCTGGTATCACCCCCATTGTCAAGCAGATTGATACCGTTGCTGCTGAGTTCCCGGCTGTTACCAACTACCTCTACCTCACCTACAATGCCAGTGAGCACGACCTGACTTTCGATGATCACGGCATTATGGTCCTTGGTTCCGGTGTCTACCGCATCGGTTCCTCCGTCGAGTTCGATTGGTGTTCCGTGCGTACTATCCGTACGCTCCGCGAGCAGGGCCACAAGACCATTATGGTCAATTACAACCCCGAGACTGTCAGTACCGATTACGACGAGGCTGACCGCCTGTATTTCGAGAACATTAACCTCGAGACCGTTCTCGACATCTATCAGCTGGAGACCTCCAGCGGTGTGATCATGTCCATGGGTGGCCAGACCCCTAACAACATTGCTCTGCCTTTGCACCGCCTCAACGTTAACATCCTGGGTACCTCCCCCGAGATGATTGACGGCGCTGAGAATCGTTACAAATTCTCCCGTATGTTGGACCGCATTGAGGTTGACCAGCCCGCTTGGAAGGAGTTGACCAGCATTGACGAGGCCCGCGGCTTCTGTGACAAGGTCGGCTACCCTGTGCTTGTCCGTCCATCTTACGTGCTTTCTGGTGCTGCCATGAACACCGTCTACTCCGAGCACGACCTCGCCAGCTACCTGAACCAGGCTGCCGATGTCTCTCGTGAGCACCCGGTCGTTATCACCAAGTACATTGAGAATGCCAAGGAGATTGAGATGGACGCTGTCGCCCGCAACGGTGTTATGGTCGGCCACTTCATTTCCGAGCACGTTGAGAACGCTGGTGTTCACTCCGGTGACGCCACTTTAATCCTGCCTCCCCAGGATCTGAGCCCCGAGACTGTTCGCCGCATTGAGGAGGCCACTCGCAAGATCGGTAATGCTCTTAACGTCACTGGTCCTTACAACATTCAGTTCATTGCCAAGGACAACGACATCAAGGTCATTGAGTGCAACGTCCGTGCCTCTCGTTCCTTCCCCTTCGTGTCCAAGGTCATGGGTGTGGACTTGATTGAGATGGCCACCAAGGCCATGATCGGCATTCCTTTCCAGGAGTACCCCCCTGTGAACGTCCCCAAGGACTACGTTGGTGTCAAGGTTCCTCAGTTCTCGTTCTCTCGTCTGTCCGGTGCTGACCCCGTTCTGGGTGTCGAGATGGCCTCCACTGGTGAGGTCGCTTCTTTCGGTCGTGACAAGTACGAGGCCTACTTGAAGGCTCTCCTATCCACTGGATTCAAGCTTCCCCGCCGTAACATCCTGTTCTCCATTGGTGCCTACAAGGAGAAGCTCGAGATGCTGCCCTCTATCAAGAAGCTTTCTCAGCTCGGCTACAACCTGTTCGCCACTGCTGGTACTGCCGATTTCCTCAAGGAGAACGGTATTTCCGTCAAGTACCTTGAGCACCTCACCGACCACGAGGAAGAGGACATGAAGTCTGAGTACTCTCTCACTCAGCACTTGTCCAACAACCTGATTGATCTTTACGTCAACTTGCCTTCCAACAACCGCTTCCGCCGCCCTGCCAACTACATGTCCAAGGGTTACCGCACTCGTCGTATGGCTGTTGACTACCAGACTCCTCTGGTCACCAATGTCAAGAACGCGAAGATCCTGATTGAGGCCATTGCCCGTCACTTCCCTCTGAACATCATCACCGCCGACTTCCAGACTAGCCACCGCACTGTTGTTCTGCCTGGTCTGATCAACATCGCTGCGTTCGTGCCCAACCTGGCCAAGGTTGGCTCTAAGGACTTCGAGGCTGTGTCCCGTGCTTCGCTCGCCGGTGGTTTCAGCATGATCCGTGTGATGCCCGTTGGTGTTGACAGCTCTGTCACTCAGGCCAGCGACCTAAAGATTGTCCAGCAGAATGCCCAGGGCAAGTCCCTCTGCGACTTCAACATCTCGGTTGCTGCCACTGCCACCAACTCCGATCAGATCATCCAGATGACCGGCGAGGTTGGCTCCTTGTTCATTCCCTTCAACCACCTGTCGGGCAACATCAACAAGGTCGCCACTGTCACCAACCACTTCAGCGCCTGGCCTTCCAGCAAGCCTTTGATCACTGATGCCAAGAGCACTGATCTGGCTTCCATTCTGCTACTGGCCAGCCTCCACAGCCGTAACATTCACGTCATGAGCGTTACTTCCAAGGAGGACATCAACCTCATTGCTCTCAGCAAGGAGAAGGGCCTGAAGGTTACCTGCGACGTCTCCATCTACTCGCTCTTCCTCACTCGGGATGACTTCCCTACCTGCAGCTCCCTGCCTACCGCTGAGGATCAGAAGGCTTTGTGGGACCACTTGAGCACCATCGATGTCTTCTCCATTGGCAGCATTCCCTACCAGCTTGCTGGTAAGGAGGCTACCCCCGAGGCCGGTATCGCTGAGGCGATCCCTCTTCTTTTCACTGCTGTTGCAGAGGGCCGTCTGACCGTTGAGGACGTGACCGCTCGTCTCTACGAGAACCCCAAGATGATCTTCGAGCTGCACGACCAGGCCGACAGCTCTCTCGAGATCGAGGTTGACCGCCCTTACGTTTTCCAGAGCGGTATCTGGTCTCCCTTCAACGGCAAGATGATGCGTGGCTCCGTCCAGCGTGTTGTCTTCCAGGGAAAGACCTCCTGCCTCGACGGCGAGATCACCAAGGATGCTATCAAGGGAACTGACATGTCCACCCACCGCATCGCTCCCACCTCGCCTGTGCAGAAGCCCATGACGCCCATGGTCCGCCCCGAGAGCTCCCTTGACAGACACACCTCTGTCTCTGGAACCCCCGGCCGCCGCGTCCGCACTCTTGACAACGCTATTCCCTCCATCGGCGAATTGGGCCCTCCTCTCTATGCTGCCGCCTCCTCGCAGATCTCCCCCTCTCTGGCTGATACCCTTGCCCGCTCTTCCTTCCGCGGAAAGCACGTCCTGTCCGTGAACCAGTTCTCCCGCGCGGACCTGCACACTCTCTTCACTGTCGCCCAGGAGATGCGTCTTGGTGTCCAGCGCCACGGTGTCCTTGACATCCTGAAGGGCCGTGTCCTGACCACCCTCTTCTATGAGCCCTCCACTCGCACCTCGGCCTCCTTCGACGCTGCCATGCAGCGCCTTGGTGGACGCACCATCCCCATCTCTACCGAGCACTCTTCCACCAAGAAGGGCGAGACTCTTCAGGACACCATCCGCACACTCGGCTGCTACGGTGACGCCGTTGTTCTGCGTCACCCCGATGCCAGCAGCACCGAGATCGCTGCCAAGTTCTCCCAGGTCCCCGTCATTAACGGTGGTAACGGCTCCATCGAGCACCCCACCCAGGCCTTCCTGGACCTCTTCACCATCCGTGAGGAGCTCGGCACCGTCACTGGCTTGACCATCACCTTCACTGGTGACCTCAAGTACGGCCGTCCCGTCCACTCCCTCATCAAGCTGCTCCAGTTCTACGATGTCCGCATCCAGCTTGTTGCCCCCAAGGCCCTCGCTCTTCCTGAGGATGTCCGCCAGCAGATCATCGCCTCCGGTCAGTTGGTCCTTGAGTCCGAGGAGCTGACTCCCGAGATCGTCGCCCGCTCCGACATCCTGTACTCCACCCGTGTGCAGAAGGAGCGCTTCGACGACCTCTCCCAATACGAGCGTCTCAAGAACAGCTTCGTCATTGACAACGCGCTGCTCAAGCACGCTAAGAGCCACATGGTCGTCATGCACCCTCTGCCTCGCAACGCCGAGATCTCCGAGGAGGTCGACTTCGACCAGCGGGCTGCTTACTTCCGCCAGGTACGTTCTACTCCCCTTTATTCATCGAATTATATACTAACCTTTTCCCAGATGCGCTACGGCCTGTACTGCCGTATGGCCCTGCTTGCTCTGATCCTGGCGCCCTAAATATAAAAATTCCTTTTTGCCTTCTAAAATCCCGGGAAAAGGGGAAAAGTGCCTTGAAAGCGCTTTTCGATGCATGACATGTTTTTGTTGTTTTTGTTTGAAAAGTTATGCCCGTTCTGTTTCGATACTCCTGTAGGCAGTCTTTGCGTGATAACTCGCAAGCTGTATAGATTAGACGAATCTCCGTTTCATGAATTTGATGACCCCGTTCTGTGTATGTCTATATGTATATTATGTGGAGTTACCCGTGTGGTGTGTGTGTTGTGTGTGTTATGTGTGTTATGTGCGTCGTGTTTTGCGTGTGTTTGGCGTGTCATCCTTTGGCGTTCGGGCTTTTTTGTTCTATATATGTTCTTTATAGCATCTTCAATGGTGATTTAATTCATTTAATATCATTCTCGTTATACCAGACGTCTAAAGAGGTTAGGGTTTGTATATTGTATTGCACTTCTATAGAATTTTTGATAAATTTTCAATCTACAGGTTCAATTTATCTCTATCAAAAACATATGAAACAGAAATAAATGATAGAGGATATTGCGCTGATAGTACTGCCTACCTATAATAGGTTGTTGTGCCCTCTCTATCGACATTCACAACCCCGGCTAGGAATTGTCATATGTATGATGACCCTTCGAATGTTGTATTTACATATGCACTAACCGTCTGCGAGACTTAGAAAGAAAAATTGGATCAAATCGCAGCTGAAACGGGTTTGTGGTCGCCACGTCTTGTTTCGGTGTTGACGTTGTCGAAAGCATGATTACATCGAGAGGCAGAAATCGCCTTGGTCATCTCTTCTTTTAGGTAGATGTAATCGATTGCCAAGAAGTGCTTTAAAACAGATTTGTCTATATGCACTCATGCCATTGCTTTTGGTTTCACATTCTCTGCGAATTTCCTTAAGTGGCACTTGAGCATTATTATTCTACCTGTTCAATCCAACAAACCCGTTCTTTGAATACAAATCAGCCTTGTAGGCCTTAGAGGGATCTGGTGCCTTGGACTTATTGCGGTCCTAACAGTGATATAATGTGTTTTTTGCGGTTTGGATTTCGGTAAAGCAGGCCTTCCATTGCTCATAAAGTGTTTACTTATTGCCTAACTCTCACTTTCGTTCCCGTGTAATTTTATCAATGGGCAAGATTGCATCTATACAGTTTGACGTCACGAGCGTTATGGCGCAGATGAATTTATATGTATGAAACTGGATTGGACAAATAATAATGCCCTTGAAGAATGGTAATATACTACATAGTTGATAATATGATTTCCACCTTTGATATAAAAGTGAATTCGAGGTTAGGGACTTTATGAAATAAAATTGAAGTATTCTCAACAATAAGATCAAATGCTATGCCCACAATATTATAGGCGGTTTTGATAGTCTAATTGTGTACTGTTTACCCCGTACTCTGTGTTATGTACATCAACGTGCGTAAACCTTGTATAAACTAACGATCTCGTCATTTTAGTGGGGATTGTGCTCATACTTGACCCTGTTCACCTTATTTCCCCTATGCTGAAAACTTGCAATTGTATTCTTATTCGCTGTCATTACTCGGCCGGGAACATGATGTAACTACTTTTGTCTATATCGCGTGCAGAGGTGAAAGATGGTGTGCTACTCTGAAGTTTTATATACTTTCTCCGCAATCATGGCTTACTATCCACTTTCTCTTCACATTTATTTGCCCACCTTGGCGACTGACCTCTTGATTGCAAATTGCAATGGCTCATGCATCAGAAAAACACGATGCTGAGGTGCAAACTGGTACCAAAGCTGATGCCAAGAACGAGTCTTCTTCGTCAAGTATCTCAGAGGCTATGGACATCAACGAGAAAGCTTTGCTGCGAAAATTAGACTATCGCCTATTGCCGCCTCTCACAATCCTGTATCTGTTGTCTTTTCTGGATCGCAGTAATGTGGGGAATGCCCGCCTAGAAGGAATGGCAGATGAAATTAATATGTGTATGTTTGGATTCATCTCTATGAAGTGCCGCCAAATCTTATTGTTGTGTTTGAACTAGCAGGAGATCAGTATCTAACTGGTCTGACGTTGTACTTTATCGGATATGTTCTTTTCGAGATCCCTTGCAACGTGAGTGACATGAATCACTTGTAAATTGTTTGTATACTAAACCTACATTCAAGATCGTCTTGAAGAAAACCACACCAAGGATATGGCTCCCCACTCTCACACTAGTTTGGGGAGTAGTTGCCACACTGCTGGGAATTGTGCAGAACTATTCCGGATATCTGTCGTCCCGATTCTTCCTGGGTGTGGCAGAGAGTGGGCTGTTTCCCGGTGTGGTTTTCTACTTATCGATGTGGTACAAACGAAATGAACAACATTATCGTGTTGCTCTGTTCTTTAGTGCAGCCTCGCTTGCGGGTGCTTTTGGTGGTATACTTGCTTGGGTATGTTTCATTCTATTCCACTCGGACAACCATAACTCACGAATCTTCAGGCTATCTCGCATATGGAAGGCGTTGGGAACCAAAGTGGCTGGAGATGGATCTTTATTCTTGTACGTTCTGATGAGAGCTGTGATGTGAGGTAAACTGACAATATTGGGATGGATGTAGGAAGGACTATTGACAGTTCTTGTTTCGATCCTCGCCTACTTCTGGGTATACAACTATCCAGCGACAGCCGAGTTCTTATCAAAGGAGGAGCGGGAATTCATCCAACAGCGTTTGAAGAACGACAACGATGCAACCCGCGACGAACAATTCTCCTGGTCAGCTGTGCAAGATGCCTTCAGGGACCCCAAAGTCTGGCTGTATGGCCTCGGATTCCACACAATGTCTCTCCCATTGTATACGTTGTCGCTCTTCCTTCCAACTATTATCAAGGATCTTGGATACTCAGCCGCAAAGGCCCAACTGCTTTCTGTGCCGCCGTATGCAGTGGCATTCTTCTTGACCATTGGTGTTGCGATTGCATCCGAGAAGACTCGAAGCCGGGCACCGTTTATTATGGGATCGTCTGCTCTCGGATGTATTGGATATATTTTGCTTTTATCTCAGAACCGTCCCGGTGTATCTTATGTCGGAACTATCTTCGCAGCGGCGGGAATCTACCCAGCCGTTGCCATTGTTCTATCCTGGCCCGCCAATAACGTCTCGGGTCAGACGAAACGGTGCATTGCCAACGCCATGCAAATCTCTATTGGTAATCTGGGCGCAGTACTTGGAACACAGCTGTACCGTACTGAAAGTGCTCCAAGATATTTCCTGGGCCATGGATTTGCTCTAGGCTACCTGGTCGCAAATATCGTGGTCGTTGGGGTTTTGCAGAAAGTTTTAAAACGGGAAAATGCGAAAAAAGAACGCATTAGAGAGGCCGAGGGTCTGTCGCCGCTGATGGGAGACGTTGGTGATGCGGAGGGTGAATTCCATGGTGATAGGGATCCTCGCTGGGTCTTCCAAACTTGAGAAAAGAATTATTATGGCTGACCACACAAGTACCATTACCTGAATTGAAGCAATATAAAGGTTGCCAGAATCGAATGCCTGTCTATATATACCCAAACTGCTGATTGGTATGAGACGTTGTGTCTTGATCTGATGGCGGGATGCGACGATCAATACATTGGGTTAAGCCTCACATTATGATTTTATGGATAATAAACTTGATTGATACAATTTATATGACCTAGCTTCAATCCCATATGTATAATGATGCTGCTGTTTGGTGCATATTTCGCAAAGACACTATGTTGATATCAACTAGTCCGTAGTTAGCGTGACTATTGAATTGGCTCTTTGTGGAACACCGGGTCAGGAAATCGGCAAGTGAAGAATTCTGCCTAGGTAAAACCTCAAGTCCCACATAGTCATCAAGATCCCTACGAATTCTCAGGAGAACTATTTGTTCCCCCGCAGATCACCGACGTAAGAAGACTTTTAATGCGGGGGCCGGCAGTTGTTCGGATTATCCGAAGTATTGCTGAAGGACTATAAATTGATGGCTGTTTTCTGGGGTAATCAATTCCATCTGCGCAATTTCGTTCATAACGTTGAGCAGCTTGGAAAGATTCCAACAACATGTGGCACCAAATCTCCACCCCAGGATGGACAGCTGGTATGCTTGCTTTGGCTTCTTGCTTCTCATGGCTACCAACAAGCACTGCTACCCATATCCCTGTCGCCCCGAAGCTCTCATTTCTATACACAGCATACGTAGAATGTGAAGGAAACCTAATGGATACAACGGTTGGTCCACATGGACAAAGGAAGGCAATCCCTATCGTCGGTGGAAACTTTAGTGGTCCTCATCTTTCTGGTGAGGACAATACTCCCTCCTTACCATGTGGGCTTGGAATAACAGTGCAATTTAGGCAAGATTTTGGATGTTGGAGCTGACTGGGGTCTCGTTGACCCTCGAACCAACATATTCTCTGCTGATACTCGGTACAACCTCCGCACCGACGATGGAGCAGATATCTTTATTCAAACTGCTGGCCCCAAGGCTCCTGACGGTCATTTGCATCTGCGACTGGTCTTTGAGACCGGGAGCCCCAAATATTACTGGCTAAACAATGTTGTTGGTGAGTTTCGCAGTCTATGATCACCAACATGGATCGCTTCTGACCATATACTTCAAATCTTAGCGATTGGCATTCTGACTTCAGGTCTCCCATCCACCGGAAACCTGAGCTTGCTGCGAATTGATGCTTGGAATGTAAGTCAACATCCTGTCCGCTTCTTCCTCATTTTGGTTTTTTTCGAATTTTGACTCTGGAACTCCTGCAGTTTGCTTCTGATTGGAACTCAACCGATTTTGTGTATTCAACCGCCTCTGTATAAGATACAGTGTGGATATAGAAATTTCAATATTCATAGAGCCCTGCTCCTTACTGTGCGATCTTTGGGATGGCACTCAAGATAACTTCAAACTCGGTATGCCCGCGTAACATACATCTCGTTAGCAACAATTGACTAGCATAAATATCAATTTCTAAAAGAGAGCGCTTGAAACTTGAAACTTGAAGCATGGTACTTCAATCGAAGAAAAGAGAAGCTGAAAATGGCCGTAGGTTCTTATTTTGCTCTACATACCATTTGTCGAGAGAATATCTGAAAACATCACCATCAATCTGTCCTATCTCTAGGACATCATTTGTTCATATCGACGTAGTTTTATCTCCTAGATCATAGGCAGTCGACGCACTGGTGGCCCAGAATATATTATGTGGTACAGATTTGAGAATTCCATGAGTCTAAAATACAAGGTGTGGTGGAAGATGAAAGGTAGCGCATTACTCAATGTTGTCATCGGTGCTGGGCTTAGAAGGACCGGCGCCGTGGTCGAGGGCAATGAGTTCGGCGAGAACCTCCAGAACGTTTGCGGGAACTGTGCGCTCATAGATACCCATCAGGTCCTATAAGATGATATCGTTAGAAAGTTAGATATGATAGAGGGGGTGGGACTAATTACCTGAGGTTGAGGGTAGACTTTCAATGCCTTCCAGAAGGAGATTGCGGCCTCGTTCTCGGCACCCTCGGAAGCACACAGGGACTCGCCCTTTGCGACTTGCTCCATAAAATAGGCCTCCTTTTCTTCAAGACCTGTGGGGAGTTCACCATTCTTCTTCACTGACTCAAGCGCGTTCTTGAGATCGGCAACACGGGCCTCGCCCTCGGCTGCTTGTTGCTGCTTGACACTCTGCTCAACCTTCTTGTTGTTCTTCTTCAGAGACTTGCGGAAGTTAGGGTCGCTTTGACGCTTGTGATCGAAGTAGACGGCGTAGGCTGGTAAGAACGTTAGTGGCTGGACACCGCACGAGATGGATGATACATACCGAGAACTCCGGTGAGAACCGTGCCGGCAATGATAGCAGTGTTACGGAATGCCATTTTGATACAGGAGATGTGATGAATGAGAGATGGAGAGGTGGTTGTTAATAAAAATGTTTTTGGGTCGGGTGTCCCAGTATTACCCGTGTCCACCGCCTTTACCACAACGCGCATCGTCATCACATCTCGTTCGCCTTGACAACTCGCTATCTATTCCCCATTTTGATCGCTATTTTGTCAATTGAATAATGGAAGGTCGTGGTCTTACTTTAAGAAGCAAGTCTCGACGTCAGCGTCCTCAAATCAGCGCCCCTAAACCAATCTCCGGTCCTCTCCCTCCAAATACCAGGTCGCCCGAAGAGCAGGTCCCCACCCGTGAGCGGGTGCCCCAGAGTGAGGCAACCTCTGACTTAGTCAAACGGCGGTACTCTTCTCGATTTGCTGCTCCCGAATTTGATGCAACTGCTCCTCCTGTCCCTGCACTTCCCACTCAAGTGCCCGGTGGACTGAGTGGATTGACCCCTCCAGCGCTTCCGAGGCAGCCATCACCTGCAGATCCGAATGCACCAGCCCCGACAGTCGACCTCAAAGTGTTGCGAGATCCTAGTCTTCCTGTTGATCGATGTGAGTAGCCATTGTTCTGCGGTGTCTCTGTCCAAGCTAACCATAAGCGCTTTCAATTTTAGATGTCGCCAGTCTTCTTGCCAACGCATCGGAAGAGGAAATCCAGAAGTATCAGGAGAGCCTACGCAAAGTGAGGAACCGCACCTCGACTGATTTGCAACAAAATGTCTACCAAAATCGTACACAATTTATCAAGATCAGTAAAGAGGCGGAGAAGCTCAAGGATGAAATGCGGACCCTTCGTACCCTCATGGCAGAACTTACCACGGCGCTCGGACAAACAAGCGTAGGGAATACACCTAATCCCATGTCGCCAATGGAGGACTCGTTCCCCAAACGCAATGCCAACCGCAGCTCGGTCGCAAATCTTGAGAGCATGTGGAGCGTGCAGTTACAAACGCTATGGAAAACTGTGGAAGGGTCGCAGAAGTGGCTCCCAGCTGTGCCAGGCCGGCACATTGTTTTGGAGACAGGCAATTGGGTTGAGCTGGACTCGGCCACCTGGAAACCGAGGCGAGCCGTTCACATTGTTTTGTTGAACGACCATTTACTTGTGGCTTCGAAGAAGCGTATGCGCGTCGACCAAAGCAATCCCAACCACCGAGGACCGGTTCCAACGAGGCTAGTAGCCGAATTTTGTTGGCCCCTCAGTGATATTGATATGCTTGATCTCGGGGCCAATCTAGGGACGGGCGCTGATCGTGAAGAGGCCACGGATCGGGGCATTGGAAGGTCTATCAGCATTCGCGTTGGAAATAAGCCTTTCACATATCGTCATGAGGATACATCAACCAAGCAAGAGCTGCTGGCAACCTTCCGCAAGACGGTCGAGGACTTGCGTCGCACGATGCGATCGGAGACCGAGGCCGCCAGTAAACCATCGGAAGCATATGGATACCTGGCTAGTCGACAGCTTTCCCATCAGAAAAAGACCGAGTCTCTGGACTTGAGCGATACCCCGCGGGACAAATCTGATGTGCGTATTGATGTGGACGGGAAACAACAAAACCTTCGCTGGGTCGAAGGGCAAGTAGATGAGCTCGATATCGATATCGCTTTACAGCGATTCGAGGCATCTGTGTATAGCATTGAGCGGCTACGGAAATTGGCAAAGGGCCTCAAAGGCAACGCTATCGCACAGGACGTCATCAATGTTAAGGTTAACGGGCGTGCTACACGGTTGGCAGGAATTCTTTCACGGGCACTGGTGGACAAACACTCATTCCCGGCAGCTACCAAGACTCATGTTACCTGGTTGACCCGTTTAGGGTTTGAAGACCAGGCGCGTGAGACGTATTTGAAAGCCCGATCGGACGTGATTGTTCAACGCATCCGGTATGTTTTCTTCATTGCACCACAATTTTTCATGTACTAACCCTCTGCAGAGCCTGCATCTTCGAAGGCGATTTGCCTCTTTATATCTTCCAGATTTCCTTCGTCTACTTCAAACTCATCAAGAACACCATCGCCGTCTATCAATCATGCTTTCCCAGTGTAATGAGCAGTTCCTGCATTCGCTGGGCCAAGCATCATCTTGACGGGTTCAATGCCTTGCTCAACCGACAACTTAGCAGCGTGCAACGTGGTACATCGGTCTGGCAGAAATGTCTTGACATCGTGTATGAGCATGCTGCCCTTTTGATGGAGGTGGGTGTGGACTTCACGGACCTGGTAGCTCGCGGGTTGGAAGATAATGGCGAGGTTTCGCTGGATGGGCCACGTACCGTTCAACCTGGCGAGCTGGCGCCAACCCCTTCCCCGGCGGCTATGTTGTAGATAGGCTATAGTGGAATATTTAATGGCAAATAGCGACAATTTCGCGTTTGGAATTCACATTATGAGTTGTAGCTTCATCTAACATTTGAACAAAAAGCTGCAGCGTTGTCTGATTGGGATAAACAAGTCAGACGGAGATAAGCAGTATCTCCGACTACATATAACCCTTGCCCTGGGGATCCCACGTAGTTCATTCCCTCAGCATTCATTATATACATTATGAAGCTTATTCTCACCGGCTCAACTGGCTTCATCGGTCGTGAAGTCCTTTCTCAGTGTCTTCAAAATCCCGCCATAACCTCTGTCGTGGCGATCAGTCGGCGTGACCTACCGGCACACGAGAAGCTCCAGGTCGCCTTGGTTGAGGATTTTCTTTCCTACCCGGACTGCATCCGGGATCAACTCAAAAATGCGGATGCATGTATCTGGTAAAAAGGATCACCACAGCTCGTTCACGCGATACAATGTCCTATACTAAACTTTCATCTCTTAGGGCACTGGGCAAAGCTCGCATGCCCAATAATGAGACCGCTCGAATTGTGAGCTTGGATTATACCCTCGCGGCAGTGCGAGTCTTCCAAGATATATGCCAGCAACCATTCCGATTCATATATTGCAGCGGTGGTGCCGCAGAAAGAGACCAAACCAAGTCACTCTGGTTCATGCAGGATTATCGACGTATTCGGGTATGCTATTTAGTTCAAGCAGTGATCGACACTTATTGATTTCTGATAGGGCCAAGTCGAGAATGAGCTTTTAGTGATTGCTAACAAGCATCCTGGGTTTGGGGTATATATATTGCGCCCGGCTATGGTTTTGGCTCGTGATATGAGCTTGCGCAGTCTGGCGTTTGGTTTGGGGCCGTCGGTCAAGGTGGACGATCTTGCTAGGGCCATGATTCGTTTGGCTATGAATGCTGCGAACGATGTAGAGAGAAACATATGGGAAAATACTGATATCAATAAGGGACTATAGTCTAATATCAGAGACCAAGGTTGTGCAACGCATTGGTCCAGGGATGTTTTGACAATTTGCATTCTTCATTCGTATGTACATATGTACATATGTATCTATTTCATGATTAGACCTCTCCGTTTGGCCTCGTCACAACTGCAAGCGAATCTTAACCGCGATTTTCAATCGTTTTGCACCGTACGCTAACGAAAGGGCTCGGGTTGGAAGAGCAGAAGGTGCAAGCTGTTGATAAATTATCGAGATAGATGAACTGATAGAACGAGGCGTCCAGATTCGGGACATGGCGCGGATGAAGAAAGACACAGATCTGGGGAAATCCCAGTCACTTGGAATCTGCTTGGAAGGAGCGAAATGGAGCATAGACGGCGATCTGCTCGTAGCCGAGAGATAAACTGGAAGCGTGCAACTTTACATAGACCTAGGGTACTGTGAAAAAGTACGGAAGTAAGGGAAGGGAAGAAGAAACTCCAAGGCCCCTAATTAACTACATATCCATAAACGTAGGCTAAGAGGTCTGAACAGGCCGCCCATAACCTGGAATGTGATGCTAATTTGAAACACATGGAGGCGGTTACCACAGCCACCGACGCCGCGATAGCAAAGTATTTTGATAATCACTCGGATTTCGGGCGATAGCATACATAAGCGTACAGATGAATTGCAAGGAGGAGAAACTCTCCATAAGGGCAATGGCATTTGACACCCACGAGTCAATGAACTATGGTGTCTAGGGCAAGCCGATCACTATGTACGTAGGGCTGATTTGCTCACTGGTCAACCTCATGGTGACTAAGCTTTATAAGTACCTACTTATGTACATAAGTAGGTATTCATTATGTTGGATCAATCTCAGAGATGAGCCCGTTACAATTGTTTTCCTATAAAATTAAACCAATTCTACTCGTGCAAACTGCAATCAACCTCAAGTAACATCAAGTAACACCTTCAATCCCTACTATACGTTGTATAGGTATTCAATCTAAATGACGAAACAAACTCCACATCGGCAATACTCCGCGGCTAAATGCAACAAGGGGGTTCGGACTTGAAATCATTATTCGGCCTTGGAATGATTGGGTTCCAAATCCTACTTTTAACAATTTCTAGCATATTTCCAATCGTTTGTTCATATCATTGATACCCTTTGCGTCAAGTCACACGTAACAGTTATGCCGATCCCCTCCCTCCCCCTCTTCGCTGCGGCGGAGCAACACGCCCGTAACCCCGAGAAGATCGCAGTCATCGACACCACCAAACAACAGTCTTTCACATTCGTTCAATTACTAGCCGATGCCGCAGGATTGAGGAAGCGCATACTCGAGGAATTGAGCCTGACGGTTTCGGGCGACTTGGAGGAGCGGCGCATTGCCTTCCTCGTGCCCAATGGCTACGACTACGTTGTCGCGCAATGGGCTGTTTGGGCAGCGGGTGGTGTCTGTGTTCCACTATGTAGGTTGAAACATTCAATGTCATTCAAATATGAATATAGACAGCTGACTTCCATTCGCTTTAGGCACAAGTCACCCGGTCAAGGAATTGCTGTACACCGTGGGCGATTCTGACCCCGCGTTGATCATCGTACACCCGCATTTCGAGAAGATTGCGCCCGCATTGCGCGATGGATGCACCACCGATATCCCATTCATGGGCCTCGAGCCACTTTTCCATTATGAGGCCCCGACTCTGCCTTCTTTCTCCCCGCCTTTTGCGCTCTCCCGCCGCGCCCTGATGATCTATACCTCTGGAACCACCTCAAACCCAAAGGGTTGTGTCACAACGCACGAGAACATCACATTTCAAGCGGGTTGTCTGGTCAAAGCGTGGGATTATAGTCCCTCTGATCGTCTTATTCATGTGCTGCCGCTCCACCACGTCCATGGAATCATCAATGGATTGACTGCCAGCTTCTTGAGCGGCACCACGGTGGAGATGCATGCGAAGTTCGACCCGAAGGTTATCTGGGAGCGGTGGCAGGACCGAGGTTCGTCGACGTTGTTCATGGCTGTGCCGACAATCTACTCCCGCCTGAATGATTACTTCGATGCGCACATCCGCGGCACGGAGCAAGAACACGCCGCGCGGGCTGGAGCACAGGCTCTGCGGTTGGTCGTCAGTGGGTCTGCTGCACTTCCGACCCCTATCAAAGCTAAGTTTGCCGAAATCACTGGCCAGGTTTTGCTGGAGCGGTATGGAATGACCGAGATCGGCATGGCACTGAGTTGTGGGCTTGAAGTTCAGAAGCGGATCGATGGCAGCGTGGGGTGGCCGTTGCCAGGCGTTGAGGTCCGCTTGACTGAGAAGGAAACGGGTCGTATTGTGGACGAAGTGGACGAGGATGGAATGATTGAAATCAAGGGCGGCAATGTTTTCCGTGAATATTGGCGGAAACCAGAGGCAACGTTATCAGAGTTTACGTCCGATGGTTGGTTTAAGACTGGCGATGTGGCCAAGCGCGACGCGACTGGTGCATACTTTATTCAAGGCCGTGCATCTGTCGACTTGATCAAGTCTGGTGGATACAAGATCTCGGCATTGGAAGTTGAGCGCAAGATGCTGGCTCTTGATGCGATTCAAGAAGTAGCAGTAGTGGGCTTAGCCGACCAAGAATGGGGTCAGCGAGTCGCTGCAGTGGTCAAATTCAGAGACGGGGTAAGTTTGACAGTCCAGACCGAAAGTATGTTTTCGATGTACTAACCAACACAGGCTACACCGCTAGAACTTCCCACATTACGCGCTGGGCTCAAGAATGAAATGGCGCCTTACAAGATTCCTACTGTATTGAAGGTTGTCGATGAGATTGAGCGCAATGCCATGGGAAAGGTCAACAAGAAGGTCATTGTGCAAAAATACTGGCCAGATAAGGTATGAGGACATGAGCGATACGATCAACAACGGATGAAGGATGAGAGACGACCAGGATTTGTTTCCATTTCATTAGCGAACATACACTCATAGATATGACTATTTGGCTGCCTTGGACATAGAAACAGACGTTTCGCCACCAACCTTGGAAGTTCCGTATATATAATTCACACTGTCAGATCCTGAGTTCATGGTATGTAGACTCCACCTCAACCAAACGGAATTGTCGGATGTGATTCAAAATCTCTGTTTGCTAGCGGCATGCAGTCAGCTGTTCTGCTTCCTTGCTTCACTTGAATATTTCTATGGATTTTAACAAGATCGTGAAATATTGAGTCCTTGAAACCTGTTATAAAGCCCAAGAGCCCGAACAGGGCCGTCATCTTCCAAGCCCTAATTTGGCACCATATCAGTTGTCTATGCGCCTGCCAAGAACTTCGCGTTAAATACTTCATATACGGTACAGAGATAAGTCACCTGGACACTCTTAACGGTCGCTGCAGTGCGAAAATAACCAAGCTGGGAAATTAACGGTTTAACAACAATGAAAAACTGGAAGGACCCATGCTGTATGTTTCCTGAGAGGCTCTATTCTATGTATGGGGTTTATGGGGGGAATCAAACATACTCCTGACTACAATCAGCACTGCCTACTCCGTAGTTTGCCCAGAGTGCCCAGGTTGCCCAGACATGGCGAAGTGAATATAAAATTAGAAAGAGTGAAGTAAGAGGCCGAAACTCTAGCGGAAAGGTAGGAGTTCCTTGGCCTCAAGGACTTGGCGGCTATTCCCGCTCGTTCGTCCTTTGATTGATTGGTTCTTGGCGAAAAAGTGGCTGTTTGGTTTTAGGCGAAGAAACTTGGCTAGGTTTTTGTTTTAATTAAATAGATGGGTTTTTATTTTGACTTAAAGAAAAAGGGGGTTGACAAGGGAAGTTCATTCTATCATAATTTAGGATTATATTCAAGTCAAGAATGCAACTAAAGTAGGATGATGTAGTTAATTAGTGATGTAGTAAGTGAGAGGAGATTTGTATGTGAAACAACGCGGGATTACGTCGGGATATGTCGAGCCCTTCAAAGAAAAGAAGCTAGATAAAGGGTTAACAGATTTAATAGAACTAAAGAATATTATAGGACCTACCTAACACTACCGAAGACTAACTAAAAACCACAAACCCACTATCGTGAGACCCCTATTTGCGGATTTTAACGATTCTCCACAAAATTGAGACACGATAATCCTTGTGCTTGGAACACTCCATTTTCATTCTTTAATGATCCTCTTGTGCCATTATATCTTCTTTTTCTTCTTTCTTTTCGTTTGAGTATCTGAGGTGATTTCATACATTCGTTTCGCTCCTTCCGCGCATTGCGCTGTCTCTCGCTATATACTTTCTAAATCTCACCTGTACCCAATTTCCTCTTTTATACCCTCTTATCGTGTTTATTTTATTTCACAATGATTCCTGTAGGTGGTTTCAGATATTAATTCACTTCCCAACCACTGACCAAACAAAAAAACAACAGTCTTACGCTCGTCTTCTCACCTCAGTGTGTGCGCTTGTCAGCACTGCGGCCGCCTTGACCCCCCTCGAGGTCAGCGGAAAGGACTTCGTCGATTCCAAGACTAAAGATCGTTTCCAGATCATCGGTGTTGAGTAAGCTAACATTCCACACCGGGGCATATACCCCTTGTCCCCCCACATTTTACGGATGTGGCTGACATATCGTTAGTTACCAACCTGGTGGCTCTTCTGGCTTCACCGCGAAGCAGGATCCTCTCAGCGATGGAGATGTGTGTTTGCGCGATGCTGCCCTTATGCAGCGCCTGGGTGTAAGTCTCCACTTTTTCAAATACCTGTGCAGCAACTTATAGTCATGATAGATTAACACTATTCGTGTCTACAACTTGGAGCCTAGCCTGAACCACGACAAGTGTGCTTCTATCTTCAACGCTGCTGGTATCTACATGATCCTCGACGTCAGCAACCCTCTGGAGGGTGGTTACCTTGACCGTAGCGCCCCCTGGACTACCTACAGTGCCATCTACTACAAGCAGGTCTTCGGTGTCATCGAGGGCTTCAAGAACTACGACAACCTTCTCGGCTTCTTCGCCGGAAACGAGGTCATCAACGAGGATGCTACTTACACCGCCCCTAAATACATCCGCGCTGTCATCCGTGACATGAAGGACTACATCGCCAAGAACGCTGACCGTGCCATTCCCGTGGGCTACTCCGCCGCCGATATCCGCGACATTCTGATGGACACCACTCGTTACTTCGAATGTGACCTCAAGAACTCGACCTCTTCCCGCGCTGACTTCTTCGGTCTCAACTCTTACTCCTGGTGCGGCGACTCTTCCTACAAGTCCAGCGGTTACGATGTCCTGACCGAGGACTTCACTAACGCTACTATCCCTGTCTTCTTCTCCGAGTACGGCTGCAACGACGTCCAGCCCCGTGTCTTCACCGAGGTGCAGGCTATCTACGGTGTTGAAATGACCCAGGCTTTCTCTGGTGGTCTTGTTTACGAGTGGACCCAGGAGGATAACGACTACGGCCTGGTCAAGATCAACGACTCCAACACCGTGACCACCCTCATCGACTTCGACAACTTCCAGAAACAGATTAACAAACTCGACATCGACCGTATTACCTCCAGCAACTCTACTCAGGCTAACGTTAAGGCTGAGACCTGCGCGACTTCCCTTATCACCAGCAAGTCCTTCTACAACGCCTGGGATCTGCCCGAGGTTCCCTCCAAGGTCTCCGACTACATTAAGAACGGTCTACCCAACGCCCCCACTGGAAAGCTTGTCTCTGTTTCTGGCACTACCATCCCTCAGAAGGTGTACGACCACACCGGCAAGGAGATCACCGGCGTTAAGTTCGAGGTGAAGTCCTCTGTCAACACCCCCTCTTCCTCTTCTACCTCTGGATCCGGTAGCTCTGGCTCCTCGTCAGGCTCTTCCTCCACTTCTTCCGGTACTTCTACCTCTACCAATGCCGCCGCCCCCAACGGTGCCCCCTCTCTCGCCCTTGGCGGTCTTGGTGGCTTCTTCATGCTTCTTGCAGCCCTTGTTTAAACACCCAGCGGGTGGGGCATAAATCCCTTGGGGTTTTAGAGCTTAGCTCGGTATGCCTTTTTGAGATTGATGATGATGGACCTCGAGACCTTATCTCAATTGTGGTTACATCTCCTTCGTCCGAATTTCCTGTGATTCACTTTTTTATTTGCACATGATCCCTTTGGCCCTTCGAACAATTCATGTTCTTTGTTCTTTTCGTGTTTTCAAGCCGTCCTTGGCATTCGCATACAGCAGTAAACCATCGCATGTACATTGGGAAGGAGTTACTAGATACAATGCATCGTGGCAAGAAAGCTTTTTTAATTCAACCCGTTAGTCCCAATAGCACTTTCACTCCTGATCGTCCCATAGTAGGCCTGTCACAGCTTGGAAGAGCAGTCATCATAGATAGTAGCCCCAAAAGCCTTTCCTTGATCAACGCCTTCAGCGAGAACTCTCAATACCCGCTTGAGGATCTTACCAGAGGCACTCTGGGGATTTTAGCAACAGGAATAATCCCACCCCGAAGCCTCTTATGAAGAGTCAATTTCCCATCGACATAATCTATCAATTCCTTCGCGAGTTAGTCCGACGTTTTGGTCGTTGTTTCAAAATCTACATACGCAATCGGTACCTCGGTTGCAATCTTTTGAATAAGAATACTATCACAGGTGCGTCGTGAACGAGCGCATGCTCGTGCAGAATAACCTTTAGCTCTGCTGGCCTGAAACGGAATCCCTTGTGTTTGATGAGATCTTGCAGTCGGTCTGTGACGTAGAGATTGCCTCCTTCATCTTGATATCCGATGTTGCCGGTTATGAACTATTTTTCCCATCTGGCGTGATGGAGCGAGCAGTTGCTTCGGCGTTGTTGTGCATCCGCGGAAAATGGTCGGTCCTCGGAGACAGAGTTCGCCCTCGCCCCTGTTGAATTGGTTCCCTTGCTCGTCGATGAACTTCGCCTCGACCCTGGGCAGTACATGTATGTACATATGCATTTATGACGCAAGATTTTCACTATAGCCGAGAGCTCGGCTGAATTGACAAACGATAGATAGATCTACACTCCAATTGGGATTCCAAGGTTTCCCCGCATACCTTTGCTTTTGATTTCTCTGGAATGACTCAGTCTCTCTACAAGACTCTCTCGGCTCGTTGTTCGCGGTTATCACCATAGTTAAAGCCTCCCCCCAGATATCTTACTACTTTGGTGTCCTGAGAACTTGAAACTACCTCAATATATTAAGTTCAATAACCAATATGATAGTTTTCTTCTGTCCATATATTGCTTATGCCAGTTGCCTGCCTCAAATCTGGTTTTGTATGGATGCTGAAACTTTTGCATCACACCAGACAACATATGTATATTGGCTATTGCTTCATGATAAGGTATGATCTTGAAAAAACAGCAACAGAATCCGCCTCACAGCTTGGACTTCCTATCAGGAACATCCTCAATATCCTTCAAAACCTCATCAGCAATCTTGAAAGCCGAAACCGCAGCTGGCATACCATAATACATGGACATATGAATCAATATTTCCTGAACCTGAGCCTTGCTAACACCATTTCTGATCGCACCCCGTAGGTGCAGCTTGAATTCATCGGGCCGATTCATTCCCGCCAGCATGGCGATGTTGAGCATTGAGCGTTGCGCGCGGGTTAACCCCGGTCGCGTCCAGACCATGCCCCATGCTGTTTTGGTGACAAGATCTTGGAAAGGTTGTGTGAAGCTGTTGGGTTGTTTTTGAAGGACCTGATTCACGTAGTCGTCGCCTAGGACTTCACGGCGCGCTTTTAGACCCGCTTGGAAGAGGTCGTCTCCGGAGGGGTCGGAGGGCATTCTGGCGTAACGGGATGGTGATTGAATGGTAATTGGTATATGATATAGGATTGAGGGGGCTACTTCTGTGTATAGAGAGGTAGAGTGGTGATGGTACACCGAGTTCACCTGGTAGGCGTTGAGCTTGCAAGGAGAAGGAGGCTGGATTGGAGAATGTCGGAAGTCGGCACACTACAATCAATGCATGTATTGATGTATCATATGCATGTTGAAATTTTGGAAGAATTGGAAGCAAAAGCAATGATATTCTCAACAAAAAACACAGAAATCAAAAGTACTCTATGCCCTCGCTTTGCCTTTCCCTTTACCCGACGGTGAAGACGGCGCAAGAGAGGGAAATTCCTCCCACTCCTGATCCTCCTGGCGACTCTTGCCCTCGGCCAGGCTCAATTGGATAGCAAACTCCAGATCATCCATCTCTTGTTGTCTACTATTCCCAGCCTCCACTTCAGGCGATGGTGATCGAGGCCGCACTCCCTTCGCATACTTGATGGGAATCGAATGTGTTGAATTATATGTGTTCTGGTCATCAAGTAGACTCAGGCGAATTGCCTCGGCAAGTTCATCGTCGACACTATCATTTGCGGACTCTTGGCAAGGAGATGAAGACGATGAGATCTCGCCTTGGCCAAAAGAACTCGGCCCGACCGTATCAAATGAAGCACTGGTGACTGAGCTCGATATCGCTGCGCTGTCATTGGCTTTCGAGGCCTCACCGGAAAAGGCCTCCTCACTAAGGAGTTGGGCATATGCCAAAAGCTGCTCCTCGTCAATATCAGGGCCTAAAAGATCTACTCCGAATCGTGCACTCAGATGTGCCCGCTCTTTCTCATCGGCGATCTTTTGGCGTTGCAGCTCCTTCCGTTCATCTTCAATGTAGTCTTCAATTGCACCTCGGCCACTATTGTTGAAGCGCTGACCTTCCCCACCCCCGTTGCCCATGCGCATTAAGCGGCGAAGGCGGCGCTTGCTAGTCTTGTATTTCTCAGCCCCAGTGGAACTGTAAGACCAGTAGCGTAGGTGTGTGCCCAGAGAGACCATGCCGCGCAAAATAGTGGGGTCTGTGTCAAGACAGATAGCGCCTGTCGCATAATAGTTGTTCCCAACTCCCAAGGCAGATGCTTCGGCCTGTACGAGTTGACGACGGGCACGCTGGGAGAAGCGAGAACTGATCGTACGTATAGGCTTAGTAGACGATGCAAGCGGATCCCAAGCCTGGACAAGTCCATCATTTCCACCGTGTACCAAGTACAACGATGTGATGCCCAGGCAAGACACCTGGGGCGACTCCGTATTGATGATGCGCAATGGGGATATGGACTTGATGACATCTGCAGACTTGGCCGCCGGTGCTCGAATGTCCCAAACAAACACCATCCCCGAGCTAGTTCCAACGGCTAGGTATCGAGCACGTTGTCCAGGAACTTCATAGGCAGACCGCGGTTGGTCCATGTGTGGCAACATGGGAGATGATGATGCCGACGAAGCAAAGCTTCCGGACATGGCGAGAAGAGGATCCTCCTCTGCGGTGACGGTGGCAAAGATGGACACATCCATGGCACTGGTGCTGATTTTCACGGATTTGCGGTCGCCAAAGACGAAATTGGAAATACGCCATCCGAATTGAGCCAAATTTGCACTTGATCGACTGGAGGCTCGGGAAGGTGGAAGACTACTAGGCACCTTCAAACTTGAGCCACTGGTAGGGCCACCAAATATTGATGGCGGGGTTGGAGTAGCGCGAGGAAAGGGTTCTGGTGTGGTTGACGAGCTCACATCGGATTTGGAGACTGTGCGCGTAAAGCGCCGAATCGATGCCTTTGTATCTTCATTCGAGCCGCGCGCAATGACAATGATCGACTCGCCAGCCCCGTGACCATCATCACCCGCAAAGTCCACCTTGAGATCACGTTCCATGTCCCAGCTCTCACAGAGCTTACGGAAATATTTGGGCTTGAATGAGATGAACTTCTCGATCTCCTTGGTTTCAGCGGCAATCTGGTGTTCATTGAGTGCCATGGAATCTGATGATGACCGCGGACTATAACTACCATCAACCAATTCTTGATTGAAGGGGTCAATGCGTGCCACGCGTCTGCTCACTTCAACTATGTCCCAGTGCACACTTCTGCCCGTCTTCCAAGCCACTTCATCGAGTTGCTCGGCGTTGAGTTTAGCCGTGAGTGGAATCTCTGGTGACCGGGGAAGTTCAGTCAAGTAAAAGATTTCACCAAGAGCGTTCAGAGCAACAGCCCATATGCGGCGTCCTGAATAGCGCTGTGGTGAAAATTGGTCATCCACAGCAATACCAATGATAGGAACACCAGGGCACAGAACCCATCTGGCAGTTACTTGACCTGGCGCATACCGTCTGTCGTAAGTTGGATGTGGTCCAATGGAATATGCAGTCAGTATACCAGAAGAGGAGCCAGAGAGCATGCCAACAAGCCCCTGGGTCATCTTTAGGACGTGGGAAGACTTGGCAATCCACACCGAGCAGGTAGCCTGCGTGATCATATTGATGGCAGGAATGCCGAGTGGTGGATGAGAGCCCAACTCTGAAGCTCCTAAGAAGCGACCGCGCTGCTCCGTTGTTGAAATGAAGTAGCTGCGTCCCTGCGGACATCCCTCGCCATACATCATGCCGTATGGTTGACTAACGTCCATTACATTGGGCATACCAACAAAGTCACCCGATCCGAGACCATATTGTGCTTCACCGGGAAACATATCAGCGAAGTGGCGGAACATTTGGTGATCTGCGATACCCCAGGTGCCCACCTTCACGGTCGAAGGGTCACTGGCAGATGCGACCCCCTGTTCAGCAGCGCCGTGAATGAAGAGCGGGTCCTTATCAGGGCTGAAAGATGCATGGATGTGGCTGACTGGATAAAGTAACTGTGAGGTATATGTAGCTACCGCACTTCCATGGCGAGCGCGCACAGAACGCATATTTCCCGCCTTGACGGGGTCGAACTGCGCGGGTTTGCCTCGAGATAGTGATCGCATCAGACGGGTACGCAAGATGTATTCGCTGCGCCATGACGCCAGTGCAGTTAGTCTGGTGAAGAACCGCCTGTCCGACTGCAAGTCCGCCTCATTACTGATAGTGTGTGTGCCATCCTCCACGGTTTGGGGCCCGGGGAAGAAGCGGGAGAAGGCAATTCTCCATGCATGGGGTGTCGTGACTAGTGAATGGAATCGACGCGATACCAATGTAATGGCGGATAGGGACTCGGGAGATAGATGCGACAGGATATGAGTGAGAACCTCTGGAGATTATGGCGATGAGCGGGAGAACTGCACGGTGGGGTTCAATATATTTACCATTTGGAAGTACCTCAATGAGTACCTGTGGCTTTTCATCAAAATCCACACCGAATCCAACTTCATTTGATTTTCTTGGGGGAGACCGAGCATTCTCATGCTGGTTCACTCGATTGGAGGGCGGGGCAGAGGAGTCCCCGTTCAGGGACGCGTGGATTTTGTCTTGTGTTGGCATGCCCGAGACGTCTGCAGAGTCACTGGGCTCCTCATGGAGGAAGCCAGTGGCTTGAGCGTCATCGAGGTCATGTCCATGCTGGGTGGAACTTGGATTTATTGGGGATAAGTCAATGGGGGGCGTATTTGGAGACACGGCAGTTGGCTCTGGTTGCATAAAAAGGTCTTTAAGGAAAGATGCAGCTATAGCGACTGAGCCAGTAAATTCTGGGTCAGTCGAAAAAGTAAATGCGATGCGAAAAGGAAAATATAGAGGAAAGTGATGTGTAAGAAGAAGAGAGCAATGTCGCGGAGAAGAGAAGGCGACCCGGAGTGGCCATCCCGCAAATTCCGATGGCTCATAGTGGCTCATGCGGCTCTGCCTGCGCCCTTGATTTTCCCTGCTTTCTGTTACGTTGTTTTTTCTTCTTTTGTTCTCATGAGTCACATTTTGTCTTAGCTTATTCGCTCTAGAATTTCACCCAATTCTTTCCAATCTTTCCCGACAATCGAGTTATCGCTGAAATTATTGCTGAATGGCCGTTGATCGAAACGCGTCCCGCACGTGACAGACAGCGCGATAGCTCCGTTGGATGTCGCCAAGTGCGACATTGCAAATTCGACGTAAATAATTTGCTATGGCTGATCGATAATCGCCATCCTCTCCAAGTCTTCAACATCTCATTAGTTTGATACGAAACGTTGACGCCGCAGACACCGCTTGAGACATACCCGGGATCGGCCTGCCAGCATGCCTGGAGCAAATGGTAAGACACTTTAAGTACCGACCATATTCAGCAGCTTACTGATGCCCTATAGATGCAGAAACTATCCGGATTCTCATCTCCACGGATAACCATGTCGGCTACAACGAGCGTGATCCAATTCGCGGCGACGATAGCTGGAAGAGTTTCCACGAAATAATGTGTCTGGCCAAGGAACGGGATGTCGATATGGTCCTCCTGGCGGGAGATCTTTTCCATGAGAATAAACCGTCGCGGAAGTCTATGTACCAGGTTATGCGGTCGATTCGCATGAATTGCTTCGGCGACAAGCCGTGTGAGCTGGAAATGCTCAGTGACGCAAGTGAGAACTTCCAGGGCGCATTCAATCATGTCAATTATGAGGATTTGGATATGAATGTTGCGATTCCCATCTTCTCCATCCATGGCAACCACGATGACCCCTCCGGAGAAGGTCATCTGGCTGCACTCGATCTACTACAGGTATCTGGTCTTCTCAATTACTATGGCCGGACCCCGGAGTCAGACAACATTCAGATCAAGCCTGTGTTGTTGCAGAAGGGTCGGACAAAACTTGCACTTTACGGGATGAGCAATGTTCGTGACGAGCGATTGTTCCGCACATTTCGTGACGGCAAGGTCAAGTTCTTCCAACCCTCTGTCCAGAAAAGCGATTGGTTTAATTTGATGTCTGTGCATCAGAACCACCATGCGCACACGGAGACCAGTTACTTGCCAGAGAATTTTCTTCCGGAGTTCCTTGATTTGGTTGTCTGGGGTCACGAGCATGAATGCTTGATTGACCCTAAGCTCAATCCAGAAACGAAGTTCCATGTCATGCAGCCAGGGTCATCTGTTGCGACATCTTTGGTCCCCGGAGAAGCTGTAGCCAAAAAGGTCTCAATCTTGAGTGTGACCGGTCGAGAATTCAAACACGAGCCTATTCGATTGAAGACCGTTCGCCCGTTCGTAATGCGTGAAATTGTACTATCTGAAGAAAAGGGAGCTCAAAAACTTGCGCGCAAAGAGAACAATCGAACAGAGGTGACTCGGTTCCTCATGACCATCGTTGAGGAACTGATCGAGGAGGCCAATGCGGAATGGTTGGAAATGCAAGAAGAGCGCAACGATGGCGAGGACGACGACCCGCCTGAGGTTCCACTTCCTCTTGTGCGCCTACGTGTAGAGACATCTACGCCCGAGGGAGGTGCTTATGAGTGTGAAAACCCGCAGCGATTCTCCAATCGATTTGTGGGGAAGGTTGCTAACGTGAACGACGTGGTGCAATTCTACCGGAAGAAAAAGACTGCAGGCACACGCGCGGGAGCGACATCAGTCGAGGAAGAAATTGCCGTTTCTCATCTGTCAGCTCTGGACACAGTGAAAGTCGAGCAGCTTGTGCGCGAATTCCTTTCCTCGCAATCCCTCAGCATCCTGCCACAAAACTCTTTCGGCGATGCTGTCGCTCAGTTCATTGACAAGGATGACAAACACGCGATGGAGATGTTTGTCAATGAATCTCTTGAGAGCCAGGTCAAGCATTTGTTGGCCTTGGACCGTGACGACGACGAGATGGACGACGAACAAAGAGAACAAAGCTCTTTGGTCAATGCCATGGAGAAATATCGTAGTCAAATGGAGAACATGTTCTCGAAGGGTGTTAAGAAGCGCACTCGTGGGAAGAAGCGCTTTAAGCCCAAGCCAGATGGCTGGGATTCCGAGTTCGATGGCGTGTGGGAAGATCAGCCTGGTGCATTGATTCATTCTGACAATGAGGGTGGAGATCCAGCCGAGGAAGAAGCCGCGGAAGATGGAACAGCGCCTACTCGTGGTCGTGCCGCACCTGCTACTCGTGGCCGTGGCAGGGGCCGGGGCCGGGGTGCTGCTGCCAGTGCACGCACTACCAAGGCTAAAGCTGCCCCAGAGAAAAAGACCACGAAGGATCGCAAGAAGCAAGTAGTTTCGGACGAAGAATCTGACGTGATCATGGTGGAGGACGAAGATGAGGATGATGCAGGTGCCCATGTCATTTCAGATGATGATGATGATGACGAGGACGATGATTCACAGGCACTCTTTGTCAAGCAGCCTCGCGCTGCTACTGCTGCAAGGACGCGAAAAGCCGCCCCCGCCACAATCACAAGCACTCAGCGCCGTGGACGAGCTGCTGTTTCACCAGCTCCTTCATCAGCCACTGTCGGTGGGACTGCTCCACGCCGAGCTGCTGCGCGATCCGGAAAAGCCCAGTCTACACTGAACTTCTCTGCTTCGCAAGCCAGCGCGCCCCAGTCATCACGACCTAGCCGTTCTACTCGGAACACAAGTATTATCAGCGATGGCGTCGATGACGATGATTCTGATGATGATGCGTTTGAGGAGATGCCGAGTACCAACTCAAGGCGTCGCAGATGATTTGTGATTTGCGTATGCATGTATGGAGTTAACGGAAAAATATCAGGGGTTTCAAGCCAGCGTTTCTATCTTAAGACATATCTTTTTTAATCATTTTTCTCCTAGTCACCTTATGATATCAAATGAAAGTTTGCAGCAAGTATTAGCGGCCACGAGTCAAGGGAGCAAAAAAACGAGACCAGAGTGGTCACCAAATCTGAAGGAAGGTACACCAGGCTCCAAAATTCCCAATCATATTGAAAGAGACTGCTTTCCTGGCACGGTTGGATCGTTCTGCGTCTATAGCGCATGATGATTATTTTCGATGATTTGTGATTTCTACGATATGATCTCTATATATGATATTTATTTTCTCGTCCTGTGATGAAATATAATCTGTTTGTGTCATATGGTTTTATATAGTATGTGATGATTCTATATCAATTCCTAGGTACATATCCATATATGCCACATAGTACTACATGGGTTCTATACTTCTAGATGCACGCTAGTCTCAACGCGGCAGTGTGTTTGTCTCGGTTTTCTCCCTTGGAAAGAATGATAATTGGCAAGAATGACCTGCTTGAAGGAGAAATAAGTTCTCAATGTTCTCACCCAGAAAATAATTCGTCTGTATCACCAATTCTCGGCTTGTTAGGTGACTCCCAACCCCGCATTCCTCGGCTGAACACAACCTCGGCCGCATGCAGTGTGAAAAGTACTTACTCAATATCTCTCAAGATCTCGAGAACTGGTGTTTCTCTGAAACTTACAGCAATAGGAAATCCTGAACAAAGATGACTTACAAGGGCCGACCAATTCGCATCGCAGGTAAGTCTAATTACAATTTACTTGATTCTATACAACTAACCATTCCAGGTGCCTCGGGCTCTGCCTCAGACCGCCGTCATGCTATCGCGGATTTTGCACGCCACTTTCCGACTGATCCGGTAGATGTCATTATCGCGGATTTCATGAGCGAGTTCAATATGGCTACCGCTGCAGGTCGGCGCGTGGACCAAGAGACTTCAGATGCAACAGCTCCTGCTTATGATCTTTCTTTCTTAGAGGCACTTGAGCCGGCTCTTGATGATCTGGCCAAGTATGGAATTAAACTGGCTGTGAATGCTGGGGTGACAGACACAGAGGGTCTGTATAAGGTGGTGACGCGCATGGTGCAGGCAAAGAAGTTGGACTTAAAGGTTAGGCTGCATCTCACTAGAAAACGATTGGGCTGTTGTTAACATGCTTGTGTAGATTGCGTGGGTTTCTGGAGATGAAGTTCTACCTATCATCCAGAAGGGATTGACATCTGGATCTGAATTTCGCAATGTCTATTCAGGAGAGCGATTGGCCGATTGGCCTTTTGAGCCCATATATGCCCAATGCTACCTCGGCGGTCTAGGCATTGCGGCCGCATTCGCAGATGGTGCTGATATCGTACTATGCGGTCGGGTGTCAGACGCTTCGCCAGTCATTGGGGCTGCGTACTGGTATCACGGCTGGGGACGAGATGAGCTTGATAAGCTAGCCAATGCTTTTGTGGCGGGCCATCTCATTGAGTGTAGCAATTATGTTTGCGGTGGCAACTTCACAGGCTTTAAAGCACTGGAACACGCTGGCGGTGATGGCTGGACGAACATTGGATACCCCATCGCTGAGATATCTGCCGAGGGCGACGTGGTGATCACCAAACAGGCACATGCAACCGGTGGTGCGGTCACTGTCGACACTTGCACGTCGCAGCTGCTGTACGAGATTCAAGGACCTTGGTACTATAATTCGGATGTCACCGCGGTCCTTGATGGTGTTCACTTCTCGCAGCGTGGTGTTAATCGCGTAGCTGTCCATGGAGTTCGATCCGGTCCTCCTCCACCCACCACCAAGGTTGGGATCACAGCTCGAGGGGGGTTCCAGGCCGAAGCATGGTGGTTCTTGACTGGCCTTGACATCGAAGCCAAGGCACGCATGCTGGAAGCACAGATCCGTCGGTTGCTGTCCCCCTATTCCGACAGATATACATCTCTCAAGTTTGATTTGCTTGGCTCGTCTCTCTCTGACCCGCATGATCAGAACCGAGCTACCGTGCCGTTGCGTATCGTCGTGCAGGCATTACAGGCGGATGACCTTGCGCCGACGCGTTTCCTCAAGCCAATCACAGACAACATCATGCAAGGTTACCCTGGTGCTACTTTCCACCTGGATATGCGGCAGGGATTCCCGCGTGCTGTGTTCGAGTACTATGTCAGCTTGCTGCCGCAGTCTGCAGTTCAGCACCGTGTCCACATGCCCTGGAAGTCGACAGCGACTACTAGAACTGTAAATATCTCACCACCTCCACATACCAAGACGTATCCTTCACGGCAGCCCTCGCAACCCTCCACCCAAGCCGATAGTCCTATTGACCTTGCTCATGACTTTGGTCCAACCACTCGCGGTCCGCTGGGCTGGATCGTTCATGCGCGCTCTGGGGACAAGGGCGCCGATGCAAATTGCGGATTCTGGGTGCGCCACCGGGACGAATACCAATGGTTGCGAGCGTTGTTGTCTGTCGACACAGCACAAGAATTGTTGGGGAATACCGGGCGCCAAAATCCGCAGCTAGCCGTTGAGCGTTTTGAGTTGCCCAGCCTACATGCCGTTCATTTCCTATTCCGTAATTTATTGGACCGCGGGGTTGGCGTTACCACCACGGTCGACTTTCTAGGAAAGAATGTGGCGGAATATTTGCGGGCTCGGCATGTCGATCTTCCTGTGAGGTTCTTAAACCGCGGAAAGCTTTAGTGCAGATTCCGCAACGTCGCATATTGTTAGCATATACGCTTTATAGCTAAAGAGAACATGATCTAAAGGTAGATCATGGGGTATGACTGGATCTCCTCAAATTTGAACACAACCATAAATCACCTGATTGGGCAGTTTAAGGGAGTCATGTGATACTATTCCCCTCACTTTTTCCCCAAACGTAATGAAGTACTGCACGTGTACGGAGTATGCATGTACTGTACTCCGTCTGCATGCTGCAGGGGGACCTATCAATTCGCCAATCTGATTTTTTGATGAGTAACTGCTACTTTTTTTGCTTATTCTGCTTATTCTCGGCCGGCTCCAGCATACACCGTATACATGACTTTACTCATATCTTACCAACTTGCATTTCTCCACCCGGGGGGATATTGGCCCGCGTTATATCACGATGATCACCTCTGGTCCACTGCCCCTCTTCTTCACCCTTTGACCCGAAATATGATACGAGCTTACCCTTTATTGGAAAACATTCCGCCGAATTTATTTTTAAATACTAAGATTAGCTCAACGGTATGCACGGCCAGTTTGTACTGATACTGCTTTGGGAAGTGTATCTTCATGGGGAAATATAAAGTCATTTTATCATAGCCTCGGCCTTGGAGCTCAGCCGTGACAATCTGGCCCCCTCTACCAAGCTAAGAATTGTGCCATATAATAGCGAAGGGTAAAGATAAAAAGAAAGAAAAGGAGGCAAACAGTACAGAAAGAATAGAAAAGAAACCAACGGGGAAAAAAGGGCTAGAAGAATTTCGCTATCGAATAACCCCGAGAGGTGATGGAACCTTAGGGATTTTATGGTACTTTGATTTGTAGGAGACTTCAGGCGAGACCGTAAGTACCCGCATATATTACCGTACATTACCATATAATACAATACCAAGAAGCTCAAGTGGCGTACCCTTAACCCCGCATCGAATCTGAGAAATACGTAAAAGACGTAAAAGAACCTATAAAACCTTGGATCTGTTCTCTTCTTCCTCCTACATACCACTTGTGATACCCCTGTGCAACAATGGCTCTTTCTACTTCCATCCAGACTCCTCATCTCACATATGAGCAGCCTCTCGGCTTGTAAGAATTGCTCCTCCCCCTCGGGTTATATGATTTCACTGACTAAATTAATTCCCCAGGTTCATTAACAACGAGTTTGTTCCGAGTGTCGACGGCAAGACCTTCGAGACCGTCAACCCTACCAACGAGAAGGTCATTACCTCCGTCCACGAGGCTTCCGAGAAGGATGTCGACATTGCCGTCAAGGCTGCCCGTGAGGCCTTCGAGGGTCCCTGGAAGCAGGTGATCCCCTCCGACCGCGGACGCATGCTCACCAAGCTCGCCGATCTGTTCGAGCGTGATATGGATACCATTGCTGCCATTGAAGCTCTTGACAACGGAAAGGCCGTCACTATGGCCAAGGTCGACATTGCCAACGCTGCTGGCTGTCTCCGCTACTACGGTGGTTGGGCTGATAAGATCACTGGTCAGACCATTGACACCAACCCCGAGACTCTCTCCTACACCCGCCACGAGCCCGTCGGTGTCTGTGGTCAGATCATTCCCTGGAACTTCCCTATCCTAATGTGGGCTTGGAAGATTGGTCCTGCCGTTGCCGCTGGTAACACTGTTATTATTAAGACTGCTGAGCAGACCCCTCTCTCCGGTCTGTACGCTTCTAAGCTTATCGTTGAGGCTGGTTTCCCTCCCGGTGTCATTAACGTCATCTCCGGTTTCGGCCGTGTTGCTGGTGCCGCCATCTCCAGCCACATGGACATCGACAAGGTCGCCTTCACTGGTTCTACCCTCGTTGGCCGTATGATCCTGCAGGCCGCTGCCAAGTCTAACTTGAAGAAGGTCACCCTTGAGCTCGGTGGCAAGTCCCCCAACATTGTCTTCGAGGACGCCGATATCGACAACGCTATCTCCTGGGCTAACTTCGGTATCTTCTTCAACCACGGCCAGTGCTGCTGCGCCGGTTCTCGCCTGCTGGTCCAGGAGAGCATCCACGACAAGTTCGTCGCTCGCTTCAAGGAGCGTGCCGAGCAGAACAAGCTCGGCAACCCCTTCGAGGGTGACACCTTCCAGGGTCCCCAGGTTTCCCAGCTCCAGTTCGACCGTATCATGGAGTACATCAACCACGGAAAGAAGGAGGGTGCCACCGTCGCTCTCGGTGGTGAGCGCCACGGCACGGAGGGCTTCTTCATCCAGCCCACCGTCTTCACCGACGTCACCCCCGACATGAAGATCGCCCAAGAGGAGATCTTCGGCCCCGTTATTGCTGTCACCAAGTTCAAGGATGAGGCTGACGCCATCCGCATCGGTAACGGCACCAGCTACGGTATGTAACTTCCACTCATATTATAAAAAAGTAATCACGCTAACTTCAATTAGGTCTCGCTGCCGCTGTTCACACCAAGAACATCAACACTGCCATCCGCGTGTCCAACGCTCTCAAGGCCGGTACCGTCTGGGTCAACAGCTACAACATGATCTCTTACCAGGCTCCCTTCGGTGGCTTCAAGGAGTCCGGTCTCGGCCGTGAGCTCGGCTCTTACGCCCTGGATAACTACACCCAGGTCAAGACCGTGCACTACCGCCTTGGTGATGCTCTGTTCTAAACAAATTAAATAAAAAGTTAAAATCATCTAGTGGTGAAATATAAGCCAATGATATTATGATACATGATTGGAAGTTTCCTTTTGTACATACAAATTGAAGAGCCATGTTCCTTGTCAACCCAATCACATTCTCTACATGTGTTTATCCAATACAGCCCCAGACCGGACTTCTAAGCGAAGTAAGTAACCGTGAAACATTGATTTCTAAACGGTTTCGCTGCGGGACAAAGTACCCCGCGCATTTCTGCTCGGTCTGCTCGGTCTGCTCGGTCTATCTCCCACCGAGCTCGGGACGCGTCAACTCCGGGGTCAAGTGGACTCGGGATGATTATATTGTTCTAGAATGATTTCCATATCCGAGTGGAGCCGGTAAATCAATACAGTACGGAATTATCTAGGGTGATGACTAGTTGGATCGTGGCGATGTTACAAGACTGGGTATGTACGTGTTATGCATTTATCACGAAAATGTACAGTAAGCTAAACAATTACAAATGATCAATGACCAATGACTGGTTTCTCTTTCTTGTCCTCTTGTTCTTTACGCCCCAACTGCGCCGATCGTGATGCCGTTCGGTAGCTCTAGTCCGATGGGTAGTCCGTGTAGGTACTTGTCGGCGTATGTTGCCCCGCGCTTCTCGGCGAGTTTTTCTTCGATGTCTCGGTACATGTCATAGCTGGTATGGTGTTAATTTTGATAGGAGCATCTTAATTAGGGTTTGTTTGAACTTACGCATTCATCTCTTCGATCGTTAGGACCTTCTTCGCATCCTCGACCTTATATGTGGGGATATCTTTGTTGACAGAGAACCCTGCACATCGTGTTAGCATGCCCCTTTTACGAAAAAAATGCACAAAATTCACTCACCAATTCGTTCGTTGATGTTATATGCTGCCTTGGCGGCTGCGGCTTGCACCCTTGTCACACGGGGCAGACGCACCTCCTCATATACAGTAAGGGCTTGGGCAATATTTCCATTGAAGTATCGCTTGTCAAACAGGATCCCAAGAGCAGCCGCATCCTCGATGGCCATGCATGCACCCTGGCTCTGGTGAGGCATCATCGGGTGTCCAGCATCACCGAGCAGACAAGTGTTACCACGCTGGAGATATGGGTATGGGTCGTGAACCCAGAGCCGCCAAGGCTTAATCTCTGATCCAATCTTCAAGTGGTTGAATACTTGTCGGTCAAGTTGGGGGTATGGATTGAGGAGTTCCTCGACTGGGCGGTCTTCGGCTCCCCACGCTTGTGTTGAGTAGTCACCTTGCTCTCGTGGGAAGAAGCAGTAGTATGAAAGGAGTTTGCCGCCGTTGCAAGGAGATAGGACGATCTTGTCCCATTTGCCCTCTTGGCCGCCCCAGTATTCCAGTGCGCTGTTCTCGGAGTAGTTGACCAAGCCGAGCCTGACTGCATCCTCGGTCTTGACATTTGTGTGTAGGCAGCTCTGATCAGAGGCCTGCTTCTCTGGTGTGATACCGAGAATCCCTCGGACGGCTGATCCAATACCGTCGGCACCAATGATGAGATCGTGGTATGCGATATCTCCGTTTGTGAAAGCAATCTTGCCGGTCTTAAGATCGATATCGCTACACTAGATGTCAAATATTTCAGTATATGATAAACCAACTGCATTCGGGCATAGTTGCAAGCCTACCTTGTGGTTGACCTTCAATGTTGCTGGGGCTCCCTCGCCTTCACCCATCGCTGCATCTTTCAGCATGGCGTGCATATACTGTCGATGAAACATGTTGTAGGCATATCCCCAACGTTTCTCGTAATCGTCCAAATCGTACACACTGACAGGCTCACCCGTCTTCCAATCGCGGTTGATAAGCTTCTTCAATACAACAGGGTCACCCTTTGCAATGTCCACTTTCCATTCATGAAGCCAGCGGGTTCCGTTGGCAGCACAGGAAACAGAAGCGCCAACTTCACCTGCGAAATCTGACTTCTCGTAGATGGTCACATTGTGTCCAGCACGGCGGAGAGCAACGGCAACGGACATGCCTCCAATACCGCCACCGACCACACCCACGTTGAGACTTTTCCAGCCCATGTTGTATGATGATTTTGATACAGGTCGAGATGTGTGGATGTTTGGATGTCGAAGTAATCCGGAACATGGAACATACATTCTCTTATAGTATTCCCTTATCACTTCCAATGTTCGTATTCTATCTATGGCGGATGCTGCACTCGTCGGGTCGCGGACCGCGCACGGTTATTCCCGGATCCACTGATCTATCCGGTTCTTGCTGGACCCTAATCGCCGGGCATTGCCCAGGTGGACGCCGTAGTTGAGTCAGTACCTTTTGTATTGCGCTTAGATACAAAAGGTACATCTGTTAAGTCCTTGATTTTCAAGGCTAAGAAGAGTGGTGATAAGAAAAGTCGTAAGATAGATTTTATTCTACCTAACTGCTAACATATCCTATAGTCATAGGCTTTGACCCCCAAAGAGAGATGGTTCTGTATATATCTATTTGAAATAGGCACCTCGGTTTACGAAGGTGTACTATGACAGATATAAGAGTAGCAGTTAATTGTTATATAAACTTTAACGACAAAAGACAAATAAAGTAGACTAGAAAGATATCTTTCATGTGTAAGCTCCATATAAAAGGCACAAGATCAAATGTCAGACTGCTTTTGTTGCGCCTCTTCGTCAAGAGGAATAGATTTCGCTGTGAAAACCTTTTCGCCATCACAGTCGGATCCATTACCCTCATCTCACGCTGCAACGTACCACCAGATTACTTTGACATTACTTACCCCTAGCTGCCGCATAGTAACCATAAGATGCTCTGTGAGATTTTGATATGAGCGAGCCTTATCTGGATCGTGTCCCTGCGCGTCCTTAGGAGGGGCTCGGGTTTGCATTTCGACAGGGTGGAAGTGGGCTTTGAAGCCAGTCTCTTCATGTGTTTCACGTAACGCGGCCTCGAATCGAGATTCATCACAGTTGCGACACCCTCTTGCGAGGAGCCATTCATTCAAATTATGATAGTGTATAAGGTATACTATGTTGTTCATGGGATAGCTCGAAGACGATTACCCCGCAGCTCTCGACAAATCCTTCCGAGGTGTACTGGGTGGTTGTGTAGAGTGACTGTGCCATACTTAGTGGCGAAGCAGCTAACGTAATTAACCACCGAGGAATCCAGTGCAAAACACTTGGTAAATCTGATATATTCTACATTTCTATCTCAACAACCATGTTTTCGATTTAGCTCCTTTTTTGTCGACAGTAATAGATAAGACTCATGAGCACCAGATACTAGTTTCAAAGGAGAGTAGAAGGCTATTTTATCACCCATTTCGAAATTACTGAAAACTATGTTATTACAGACTAGGAATGTATATATCAGAATCTTGAAGCTATGATTTTTCTTCAATTCCCTAAAGAGACTAGATATCACTCAGAAAGTATTATTCTTTAAAGAGGACTTCCTATAAGCCATAGTTGTTGAGATATTAAGTTGTAATTTATCGCATTTACTATGTGTTTTGCGCTAGACCACTCGATGGTGTGGACCACTCGGTGATTAATTACGTTGACTAGTGTAAGTTAGTACTAAGTGATTCACACTTGTCAGCATGTGTTTACCCTCAGGTTAAATCCGATATTGGGTTGGTATTTGCAGAATCAACATTCGGGGGGTTAGGTCGCCAATCGCTTTCACAACCCTGTAAACAAATGCTCTTGGCAATCCAGCTCTTCAGTACCTACATCTGCAACTACTCGAAACAATCCGATACTTGTATTTCGTTCTCATTTGACAATGATACCTCTGCTTACTTTACTGGTCCCGGTCGCTAGCCGATCAAACCGGCTAGACATCCCATTATTAGTTAGAGGCCAGTTTCAGCCATCGAGTGGTAAACTCAAGCCGCGTCATCTGTGAATTTGTCGGGCTTTAGGATATAACTACACAGCAAGCACTGATATTCGTTTGTCCCTGAGAATATCGGAACCTCCAGAAATGAAGTTCAATATATTTGCCAATTTGGCTTTGGCATCACAGGCCTTCGCTGCCTCTCAGTCTGCACTACAAAAGCGCTATCCAACAGGATCTTTCTCTCTTCTTGCCTACGGTGTTAGCTCAGGGCCTGTTAGCGTGTTCTATTCTGATGGTGTGTTTAAATCTTTTTGCATCACATAAAGTCTCTTTTCTAATGGGACATCTAGGTCTTGCATATGTCGGCGACGCTTCTCGGTGGGAGTCTGGATTGGTAACTACCGATGTTACATGTATGAATTGCTCCATTCTTGTTGTCTTTGCCTCTGCTAATTTCTCAGTCGTTTTCAACAACACTCATGTTATTGCCACGGCCACTAACAAAGATTACACCTTTGGTGATGAAACATTCCTCTATATTCGCCCCACGGCCAACAAGGTGCTGCCTGTGGGATTCACTGGGAATAATATTGATGCACCTGATGATGCCGTAGCAGGCCCGTTCATTTTCTACGGGGCCTATCTCATGTGGGAAGCTGATAGTGGCCTCTTGAGTGATTCGTTCCGTCTCAAAGAGACAAACGTGAGCAATATCTACCAGCTTTACTGGGATACCTCGAATCTGTACCCATCTGGGTATCTGACTCCCACTATAAAATCGTCGATTTGAGTGGAACAGAGATGAAATTGGCAGTTCTCTTCCTCAGCGCTCAGTATTTGAGTAGTCTTTGTTTTCTGGTAAAGCACATGAGTGTCTTGATTCGTGCGAGTTTTGTTCGGGTATGTGGTATATGTACATATTGTGATTGTAGTACAACGCAGTGAATCATCACATAGCAGTTGACTCGGTGAGAAAAGGGAAACTATCCCATAGCGGTAAATCCATACCTTCCCAGTCAAACAAAGCACCGTCAGCCAAGGATGGTGTAACAGTACCTATTCCACCGTCCGGCTGTAACCACGGGTATGATGGAACACTATGGGTCAAATGTGGAGTGGTATTGTTTGTCTGTTCATCTCCTTCGTTGTGTGTCCGCGGAGTTGCTGGGTTATCGCTCAAGCTAAAGATCCGACTGACATACTGACTTCGACGCCGTCGAGCTTGGGCTGCGAGTTGCTGACGTTGTTGAATTATGGCCGATTCTAGCATATTTGTTATATCTAGGTAATGAGCCGCTTGGGCAGACTGGGATGCCAGCATGCGCAGGATAGTGATAGCCCCGCGGAAAGCATCATCAACTTCGGAATCAATATCACGGTGGGCGAACATTGAGAACCCGAGGACAAGGGCTGCCGCGAATATGAACGCTCTATTGTTAATGTCAGTCGCAGATTTTTGAATTGGAAATTCCAGAGTAACAAACTTGAGAATACACATATTCCGAAGCATAAGTCCAGACTGGTGAACTTCCAGGCATGTTTGTAGCATGTAGATTGCTGAGTCAATACATGCAGCCGCAAGCCGGGAGTGAGCCGGGTCCTCTTCCAGTGATTCGCTGGGTCCCCCAGTCGAAAGGCTATGGTGTAACCGGGTCAACCGAACACTTAGGGTCGATATAAGAAATGGCCGAGTGACTAGGATCACTGCGAAATGGTATGAACACGCGACATGCATATTACCGAGTGCGTGCTCTCGAGCAGCGCTTTCGTGTTCATGTTGCAAAGAAGAAGTTCTCAGCGATTGAGGTAAACACTTGCTCCAGGTGTTCAGTCTGCCTAGTAAGAAGTCTGCGGTCTCAGCTGATGCAGCCTTGTCGCCATAAAGGCGATGGATTATTTCATCCAATATTAATGATAAATGATACGAAGCCACCAAGCCAGATTCAGGGAATGGCGTCCCTATCCAATTGGGCTCTTCCCGATTTTCGGGTAGAAGGGGTGAGATAGTCGATGGCCTTCCAAGTATCGAACTGACGAGCAGGTCAAGAACACAAAGACTCATCCATAGATGTAGCCTATGGGCGATCAGCCAAATGATGTAAATAGATGAAATAGGCTTACCGCTCGTTGCTGTCATCGCGACTTGTTGACCCCGAAGTAACTTCATGAAACCCCAGGGCCACTGCTGCTCGGGATGCCACACCCAGATACATAAAGGCCGCGTTCCGACGACATGCCCCGAGCATGTAAAACGACATAAGCAAGAAAACTCGCACTAAATCCATGCTAGGATCTTCTAGAAAATTGGCAAACGTTCTCCGTTGACCGCGCGCAAAGTAAAACCTCTCTGTTTGAAGGATTTCTGAGTCTTTCGAGCGTGACTGGGCTCCGATGGCGACCATAAGATCCAGAATAGCTGCCCTCGTCTTTTCTCGGTCGGATTTTGGATCTCTGGAGTTTGACAGTGAAAGCATCATGTCATCATCACATCCTATATCAAGGAAGCCGCTAGTCTTACGGCTTATTAGTATCTAGATTGATGGGTTATCGGATCGGCACTTTTCTTACCGCCGCGTCATAATTCTCAATGAAGTGGCATTTCTCTTCGGCATTGCAAGGTTCTTCGGTGAGATTCAGCAGGTCATGATGGGCTTCTGTTTCTAGCATATCCTCACTCCTCCCATTATGGGAGAATTGTGAGGGTCCGATATGCTGGGTCACCGTATCCCGAAGCAGTTGGAGGAACGACAATGAAGCGGCTTTTCCAACGTATACTATAGCATTTGTTAATGCAAGTCGGGTATTGAGATATTATGTCATATAATATACCTCTCTCCCCTTGCAGGTTGCGGAGCATTCGCGGATGCGTCCGATGTGTGGCTTCAGGCGAATGCGATCCCGCCTCCGGTGTATGAACTTCATGATTAGGTGTCACTGCATCTTGTGTCTGTGATTTCAATGGACTCTGTAGGCCCAGTCCCGATCCGATTTCTAACGGGGCTGCCTCGGTTGGTCGAGAAACAGGGATGGGGCGGCTACGGAGGCCAGATAAGGACTTGAAAGGGGTGCATGAGCCGCCACGTCCCTTATGGATGCAGTTGGTGCAAGGGAAAAAGCCACTACATCGCTTTTTCGATGCACGACAGGCTGTGCATGCAGTATTGGCCCGCAGACGATTTTCCGGATGTACCTTGGGGCGCGCCATGCTTGCAAAGTCCAAAAGTCTGGGGATTGCGATCCCCGCATACCGAAGGCGATAAGCGATAAGAGGTGCGCGGCCCGACAAATTTCGGAAGAAACTGTTGGATTTCTATGGAGTTGAGTAATTACAAATGTAAGTTTTCCCTTGAGGAAGTGAGCTGATACTTATGAGGGTCTTCAATCTGAAATGTTATAATGGACCCTTGTTGTGCAACAAACGGGCCGCGTCTTTCACATATGTACATGAACACGACGAACATGTCTATAAATCAGGTCGCATTGAATACGATCAAAAGGAAATTTTAAATTTGAAAGAATATAAGAGTCATGTTGTTCCTCTTAAGGTATCATTGGCTCCTTGCCAGAAATGTGGAATCATATTTGCAAACAATAATGATGTACAATGCCTGCAACACGGAGCAAATATATATATTGTGTCCTCCCTAGGTAAAAGCATATAGCATATGTCTAGCCCGATGCTAACCTTGGAAATCGATCATTAATTTTCCTACATAGATAGAACAATATATTTTATTTTGAAACGGACTATTCTCTAGTGTTTTTTTTTAAAAGAAAAATAATGAACAAACAGTTTAAGATTATGCATGGTCAATACAGCCAATATAACTTAACACACACCATGGTTGTACGGAGTACGGAGTGTATGTACAGTACATTGGCAATTCGGGAAGCCGAGAATGAACCGACCAATCATTTTCCAGCCATCATCAAGCCGAAACAGAGAGTCGGTGGGAGCCTTAGCCAAAGCACTGGCCATTTGACACATAGAATCAGCAAATAATCAGGTAATGCGAATAGAAAAGACCATGATAGTATCAGAAACAACGGAGTAGCAAAGGACGCTATTGAAATCTCTGCGGCGGGCCTGTCGGGATGATCCACTATGAATGAGTACTAGTATGTGGTTGGTCAGCTTGGACAGCTGGACCCCACCAGAACAAAAGCAAACCAAGCAAACCAAGCAAATTAGTCAAACTTTCAGCAAACTCGCTTAGCGTTAGCGCGGAACCCAGAAGATATAAAAGAGGCCAGGCCCCCGAACCTTCTTCTCTTTTTCAAGCGACTCTACGTATGTTTATCCCACCCCATACAGTTGGCAATCCTCTGGATTCCACTGTCACAACCATTTCTGAACATCTCACTGACCGTTCCCCAATAGTTCAAAGAATCACTTTAGAGTAGACGTCCTCTTTCTAAGCTCTTTAAAAGAGCCACAGAATCTCCACCCTTGCTGATGACTATATGTCCTCGATGCCCTAAAGTGAAACCTTTTTACTTCCGCCTCGACTGTCACGCGTGCTGTTCGCAGTGTCTGTGTTTCGGTCCAGGGAGTGGTGATGATCTTTACCAGGTCTCGGTGTCTGACTTCGGTCGGCTGGTCCTGGTGGGTGTCGAGGAGGTCTGAAAGGTCCCCTTCCATTTTGGTTGACGTGGAGTTTTGTGTGTCTTCGAGATAAAGAACCATCAATTATATTTTTTTTACAACCTATATTTTCTCTGTAAACTACTATTGTTTTTTTGATATATGTTGCTGTAACTTTGGCCCTAAATAGAAGCCCAATATTCCACAAACCTTATGCCGGTGATTTTAGTATAACCGTTCCAAGGCTGTTTATGGAAACAAAATCTTGTTTAGCCTCCCAGGCCGTCGTATACTCATCACAAATATCAGCATCTCTTCGGGTATCATATCTCATGAACTGCTAAACGCTAAACCACCAATCATGTAGATTTTGCCTCTCCAGTCGCCTTCTCCGAAGATCCACCTCCTTTCGGCCCCTTGTTCCGTGAACCACGTCCTCCACGAGATCCACGTGAGGAACCCGTATTGCCTCCCACACTCCCAGCTGCACCAGCTCCGGCCCCAGCTCCACTCCCAGCTGGTTCACCAGTAGCAACAGCAACCGTTTTGGCTTTGTTCGCACTGAACGCCTCGCGACCCTTGCGAGATTTCTCACTGCCGGGATTCTCCTTGCGCTCTAGGACCACTACTTGACTCTGTGCCACCGATACAGGACTGGCAGCGATGGCCTTGCGAAGTGCTTCCGGTTCGGCGAAGTCAACATATCCAAATCCTTTCTTTTTGTCGATCTCCACCTTGGTTACTGCCCCAAATGAGTTGAATGCGGACTCGAGAAGTGCCTCGGTCACACCTTGCGAGGGATTTGCATGCTTGAGGAATGCCTGCTTCGCATTGGACGGCGCCTTGGGTTTGCCGCCTTTGGACTTCGCCGGCAAATTTGCGGGCGTAGGGGGAGCATCGGTTCGGGAAGAAGACTCGCCATCCTTTGACTTTGTATTATTGGATGTAGCCGGGGTGTTTTTGGCTGGCTTGGCTTCCTTTTTCGGCATCTCGCCTGTAGGAATAGATGATTCTCGGGAGCTTTCGTTCTTAGGAGACGCAGTATCAGTTGCAGCACCTTTGCCGCGTCGCCGTCCGCCAGAGGCTATGAGACCAAGATCCCGCTGAAGAATTTTGGTTGCCGCTGCGGCGTTTCCGCGTTCCCTCTTCCGCTCAGGAGCTGCGCCTGGTTCCTTCGTAGAGGTTGAAGTGGCGCCTGACTTGCCTGCCTTGGTGCTAGAAGCATTTCCCTTAGCTGATTTTGCAGAGTCCTTGCTGGTCTTTTCGCCCTTGACCTTCTTGTCGGAAGAGGTTGCAGGGCTTTCCCTATCAGCCCGTTGCAAAAGTTTTTTGGCCTGCACCTTCTCCTGCTTTGATTCTTTCTCCGACCGACTGTGCTTGGATTTTGACCCTGAACCGTCCTTGGACTTGCTCGCTTTTTTATCCTTGATGAATTGTACCAGAGGGGTAGTCATTACGGCTTCCTTCTTCCTTTCTTCACCATCGGCTGGAGAGTCTACACCCGCAGGCCTGGAAATGGGTTGGGTGAGGCTTTCCAGGAAAGCAATGAAGTCCGAATCTTGGTCTATCGTGCCTTGACGAGCATCCTTGCGAGAACGACTGCCGGGAGTTTTGGCGTAGGGTGCAAACTCCAGCGAAGGAGGCCCAAGTAGAATGGGGTCGTGGAGAGTGTTGCGGGCATCCTGGAACGAGGCCTGTCGCACTGTGTCAGAGAGTGCCGCGACAAATTCGGTAGAGACAACGTGGATGTAAGCTCTTGATGGGCGGGATGGCTTGTTGGGGCTAGTCACAACGGTCCTGTCAGTTCAAACTCCTTACAGCTCTCGTCGGCAGATGATATATCGTACTCTTTTGACACTTTGCCAGGCTTGAATTGGAGCCAGTCAACCTTTCCCGCTCCAGTCTTCCATTGCCCTCCGAGAGCACTTTCCAGCTCTGTCTGTGTCAGTCCTGGCGGTAGGCGTCGAATGAGAAGTTTGAGGCGAGGAGCGGGAGGCTTGGGCGCCTTCTTTGCGGGTGTTCCAGAGCCCGACTTCTGTGTGGCCGCCGCTGAGATGGGCAGTAGTCCGGCTGTGTTTTTGCCTTGTGGCATATTGAGAATATGCAATTTTGGTTGAAGTGTGGGGTTTTATCCCAGTGAAAGACCGAGATACATTAATAATGGAAGGAATGAGGGAACTCTGATTGACAGTGATAAACTACGAGGGGATCATCAAAGGCGGTGTAAACAGTGTAGTTACCGCCTTGATCAAATCAGGAGCTCCCGCGGGTACCCGAAGCAGGTGCCCAGCTCAGGAGCGCTTGGGGGCGAGATCATCCCTGAACGCTGGGTTGGACAGGGAAGATGTCATTGTGCTTATCAGTGACTTCCCCCATCTCACCCTCCCCCTCTCTCTCCCCCTCCCTCTCACAATAATACACAATGACTGAAGAAAAGAGCAATTTGTTAGAAAGCCAGGAGGAACCGCCCATGAGACAGACAAGCAAACCATGCACTCGGATTTGGTCTCTGTTTCTCTGCGCCATCCTAGCTATCGCTTGGTTTACCAAACCACATTTATCGTGCTCCCCACTCAGCATCGAGGGCAGGGTACAGAAAATATTGTCTCGGACTCCATTGATCGGTAAGGACCTAGGAGAAAAGTAAAAAAGTATATTGATTAGGATTAACATATTGGACAGACGGTCATGATGACTTCCCTATCTTCATTCGAGAGGTCTTCCAGAACCATATCAATGATCGGAATTTCACTGAAGCTTTTCTCAAGGGCACACTACCTGGCCATGTTGATATCCCTCGATTGAAGAAGGGCAGAGTTGGTGGTACTTTTTGGAGTGTCTTCGTGCCTTGCCCGAAGAATGGCTCCGACTTCTCCGACGAGAACTACGCAGCCAGTAAGTGAAATATTTGTCATGAGCCACACCATGTACTCATCATAATTATAGGCGTGCGGGAGACCATGGAACAGGTGGATGTTATGTCGCGCGTTCAGCGAGCTTATCCCAACGTCTTTTCCGCCCCGCCAAATGGTACCACTGCCTTGTCTGCTTTTCGCGAAGGGAAGATAATATCCCCGCTGGGTATCGAGGGATTGCATTCAATCGGCAACTCTCTATCTCACCTACGAATCTTTTACGAACTGGGTGTATCATACGCAACTTTGACGCATAATTGCCACAACCGGTATGCCGATGCTGCCGTTCTTGAAGTTCCCGGCGGCATCCAAAAATCCGATCCCCTCTGGCATGGTGTCAGCAAAGAAGGCGAAAAGCTGGTTTTTGAGATGAACCGTCTTGGTATGATTGTTGATTTGGCTCATGTGAGCACCGACACTATGCGTGATGTACTTGGCTCTGGCAAGTCCGAATGGACCGGTAGCCGAGCTCCAGTAATTTACAGTCATAGCTCTGCATATGCGCTCTGTCCACACCCGCGTAATGTGCCCGATGACATTCTGAAGCTGGTTGGGGAGAAGCGCTCCCTAGTTATGGTCAATTTCTCACCTGACTTTATTTCTTGCACAGCTTCTGACGGTGCAAATGGTATACCCGATGAAGATCCTGAGAATGCAACTCTGGAAAGGGTTGTTGATCACATTCTACATATTGGAAATCTCATAGGCTTCGAGCATGTTGGTATAGGTAGCGATTTTGATGGTATCCCCACGGTTCCTCGGGGACTGGAAGATGTGTCCAGATTCCCGGCCTTGATCGCAGAGTTGCTCAATCGCGGAGTCAGTGATAAAGATGCAGGCAATATAGCGGGAGGTAATCTGCTCAGGGTATGGAAGGAGGTTGAAGAGGTTGCTCTGGAGATGCAGGCTGAAGGTGCATTGCCCGCGGAGGATTGATTAACGACCACCTTTATGGGTGATCCAAAATTGTAAATAGATATTGAAATCGCACCATATGCAAAAGAACCCTTGATCTGTTTTCAAGCCAGATCATCTTTGTCATAGTTAATGATGAGGTTTATGCCCGGAATGTCAGGCGACGATCGCTTCAGATATCCGCTTACGTCAGCGGTTCAAGCCCTGGAGATCAATATCTTTCAACGGGTTTCTCATGATGCTCTGCCAGTCATGTCTAGGAGAACGCACACAAAGCTCAAAGGAGCACCGGACTACGACGATCCCGAATTCTGGAATACACGCTTTGCCACTGGTGAAGATGTCGGCGAATGGTTAAATTCTGGCGAGGCCCTTCTGGAGGCCGTTTTAGCCGACCTAGGAAATCGCTCTAGTGTTATCTTAGGTAAAGTTCCTCGCGTCTTACATCTTGGTCCTGGTGTTTCAAAACTAGGATGTACTCTACGTGATAAGTGCGTAGAACGGGAATGGCAGGGGAACGGAATTGTGGTAAGGCTCTCGTATACAATGATTGGCCCCGGATCCGACTAACACGTCTGGTAGAACGCTGATTTCTCGACCGAAGCCGTTCGCATTGGAAGTGAATTTGAGCGCACAAAGAATCCCATGCATGCAATGCAATGGATGCGTGCTGACTTGCGCTTATGGAAAGAGGTCTCTGTCCTAAGTGAATTTGCACCTTTTGACGTGATCTTGGACAAGAGTACCAGCGATGCAATCTCAACCTCTGGCGACTTGAAAATCAACTCTGACGAAGAGCTCTTGGCCAATTGTCCAATAGTTATCGACATTTTGTCCAGGTACCCGGGCGCCACATTGTCGCCAGTGGAGCTCTTGGCTTTACAACTTGTCCCTTTAACTGAAAAGGGTTCGGCATGGATGGCTCTTTCATACTCGACCATGCGATTCGAAGGACTCAACTTCATGGCCGAATACTGGACACTACGATCTCGCATAGCCTTGAAGGCTCCCGCTGGGCCCGTTTCCTCCTCGACCCATACACCGGAAGTATTCCATTGGTTGTACATTTTGGAGCGAAAATAACGAACTACACCCTTCTCCAAATGATGCAAATAGGTCCGCAGGTTTTCATGTCTACAAAGCTGTGTCTGCTGCATCGTGGGCCGTCATTTCGGTCCGGGCTAGCAATTTATCGTCATACAAGGCGGAAGCTAAAGGTAACGCGAGCGCGACATCTCCCAGGGATGATTTCAACACACCCTTACGACCTTTCAACCAGTTGGCTACATGTACATCCACAGAAGAACTTTGCATCATTTTTCAAAATCTGCATTAAAAATCAGTCTCAACAACTTCAACTTCAAATTCGCAAACACTGCTTTCTCAACACCACTATCCGATCCACTGAGTCAACACAACACCATTCAACTGTTATCTGACAGTCCCATAAGTACTCCGATGGCACTACATTCATCCTCCAGAGTGCATGCATGGCAATGAGGCGTTTAGCAACCAAGGTAGATTGCTGTCGTGAGTCAGCTGACTATCGACTGTAGAAAAGCACATTTGACACTTACCGTTCGCGTACAAAGCGTACGAGTCGGCGTTCAACACGGCCTTAGCGCTAGTAAGGGCGGTAGCCGCGGAATATCCGTATCCGTTATCCTCGGTTCCTGGGCTGTAACTATATATGGTGAAATATGCGTCAGTATAAAATCCCGATTCTGCAGAAGGTGACACGGAGTTCAGGGCGAACTAACACTCCAGGGGCGTGAGTCAATTCGTGAAGGGTAGTGGTGGCCTGATCTTGGCTGTGGCATGTGCTGGCCAAGGCTGGAAGGTAAGAGTAGTAGATGTCACAGTTGGCAATCACGTTCAAGGATGGCAGAGTGTAGGCTAGGACATTGGTCTCGCAACTAGGTTTGCTTGTGAGTCACTGTGAACAAATGGACAAAGAATGGGTTACTGACTATCCGTAGACGTCGGTGCAGTAGTGCTTGGTGGAGCCAGAGGTGGTTGAGGAGGCCTCCTTTGCAACGGCTTTAAGGCGAGCGGCAACGACCTGACGAGTAGCGGTGCTGGTGGTCTTGAAGTACTCATTGAATCTATAAAATCGTGAGCATTTTAAACCGAGAGTTTAAGGTAATGACTTACTTGGTAGAAGAACCAGACAGAGCGGCCTGTGCGGCAGCATTTGCAAGACTCACAGTGTTCTTGAGGGCCTTGTCAAGTGCCGTTTTCTTGCTCGAGTCACTGCAAGTCTCGACCGTGCGGCGATCAAGAGGCTTGATTGCCTTCAGCACACGGGATGCCTTAGCACCATCGACCTCAATCTTGAGATCGTTGGATCGGTATGGCAGATAGCCTGTGACTGCACCGTCGGTAACAATAGGCACCAGGCCGCTTGAACGAAGAGTCAGAGCACCTCCGCCAGACAAGTCACTGGTGGTGGCAATGTCGAATTCATCTTCGAAAGTCTCGCCTGCAGCAAGCGAGGTAAGGGCCTCAGAGGTGAGACCCTGAAGTCTGAAACGGCGCTTGATACCTTCAAAGGTAACCTCGGCATCTAATATGAAACTTAGCGTGGAAAAAATCATATTTGAATGGCTTGATGAATACCGTTCTTGAAAACGTCAACCTTTTTTACGGGAGCACTGTCACGGAAAAAGTTGAGATGCACGAAAGTGACATCCTCGCTACCAGAGTTCTTCACGACAGCCTTGATACGGGTATCGCTGACATGGCTCAAGGTAATATCGAGCGCAGAGTTCTCCTCTACTTCAAGAGGCAAAGCACAGGCTTGCTGTGCGAGGGCCAGAAGAGCGGTGGAAATGGCAGCGAAACGCATTTTGTTCGAAAATCCAAGGACTTGGAAAATTGATACTTTGAGGATTGACGGTAGCTTTGTTGCTTCGAATGCTGATGGACTGATAAAACCTCAAATCTCGAGAGGAAAATGACTATGCTTTATAGCCCATTGGAGATACACTGCAATATTGCTTTGGGAGGCCGTGGCTTTCTTTCCCCTGGTGCATCTTCCATCTTGCCGCCATTGCCCAGAAAATGTGATGAAACGGGTTGGTGGTATCTTTCCTACCCGAAATGACTACGATCAACGTCTGAAAATGACCTCGCATACAGCACGAGAGAATTACCAGCCCTGTTATCACCGTTTGAAGACACTCCGAGATGCTAAAATTTCCAAAGAGGCCTGTGGGCAATCATTTCACTGGTTGTAGATATCTTCAAAGGGCTACACATTCAGAAAATCACCGAGGGTTTCGTCTTGGCCCGGCGGAATCCCGTGTCTCTAAATGACTATGTTCAGCGAAGTGTGTATGCCCTTGGTCTTAGGAGACTATATTAGCTTCTATGTCGTGACCAAGAAAGACACTAAGAGCGGAGGTTGTCCGATGTAACTCCTCAAGATCGGCTAGAGATAAACAAGGGCGACGCTAAAACCTAGCAATCTTCATCAAGATTACAAGGATCTACACATATAACATAGCCCGTTATCATTCATCTGGATGATGAAGATCACACATAACAAAAGTCCAGTGGTGCTGCAGATTCAGTCCTTTTGTGGGAAGACAAAGGGATTGTTCTACATCAGTGGGTCTCATCCATGGATGACTCCCACGACTAAAGAAACATTCTATTGGTAGTAAAATGCTGACGTGCATAATTCTTTCACTTAATGATCAACATGAAGAGCTTCTCATTTGCATAGCGCCAAGCCTTAGACCCTGCATTTGTCGCCGGACTCCGGTGCCAAGATACCACCCAAGACGGCGTCGAAGTCTTGACTGCAGAAATAATGCTTAGTCTCAGCCATTATAAATTAGAGGAGAGTCTTGGCTGTTCAGAATGTGAGGGGCACTGTTAGAGATAGCGCGATGCCAAGTCTTCTGGCAAGGAGTGTTGCACGGAGCCCGGGGAGGATGTGGTACAGTACCCCGGCCCAGCTGACTTAGGGTAAAAATGAACTTTTTTTCATTGGCTCAAAATCCATGTTTCTGCAAATACTCAGCATCTTGAACATGGGGCAAGATAACGAATGGTTGACGGAATACCCCCCTTGATTTACTAGTCATCTAATACCCTCTATGTCCCTCCGTAACTTACCGATCAACTCACTTCTTTACTACTACAATTGTACTTCCGGAAGATATCATATTAATCACACGTACGCATCGCTTTCAACGCAAAAATGGGCACCAACATGAACTTGAGTTTGCAAGTCACCTTGGCCTTCCAGACACCAACCATGCAATCACAAACACTCGCTTTGCCTATTACTGTTTCAGTTCAAAACACTGCAGATGTGCCTGTCACCATCCTGAGGTGGAATACTCCACTGGACCCTCAGGCTGGTGTTTTAGGAGTGTTTGAGCTTTCTGATACGACAGACCAAGAGCCGCTTGATATCCCCCGTATTATGGTATCACGCAAGCTCCCTGCCTCCGAAGAGGATCTTGTGGAGATAAGGGCACATGAGACTCTAGATGTCGATGTCAAAGTGCCAGTCTCTGGCCTTAAGAAGGGTCATCAATATTCTGTTCGCGCACAAGGAACATGGCATGCTGTTTGGCCGACCGAAATGTCAAATGTCCCTCCGTCCGAACTCAAAGCCAACAAGGGCACAAATGGTGGTGAATTTTGCTCCAACAATTCCTATGTGATAATCGAGTGAATAAAGTCTGGTATTTCTGCCGGTTTGGATTGATTATAGTCCATGTGATAGGGACATGCGGGTGCGCAAAATCTTTCCGCTTGTACAGTGTAGTCGATGTTTCATTTCTCGACACAGCTATTGCATAATTGAGATTTTATGGGCACGAGTCCCTGGAAGTTGCGTCCCCTAGTGTATCACAGCTTATCGGTTCACATGGGATTGTACAAAGGACTTTAAATACTGCCCCCTTTATGTGTAAAAGATAGCTAAAACATAACTCGGAAGCAGTTGATTCTGACTTCCTTTGAAAACAACTTACATGGTAGTGACGGGGGTTAATTGCATCTTTACTTGACTAAATCGCTTTCTAGACTGAGACTAGACCCCTTACTCGGCGTTATCGACAAATCTCGAAACCTTTGTGCAACTAGGATGTCTACCCCTTCCCAGACCCGAAGAAAGATGCCAGGACGGGTTTTGAGGCTCTCAAAAAGGGAGGGGTTGCAATTATCCCAGTGAATGTTGGCTATGGAATCATCGCGATTGACCCCCAAGCATTGAGCCGTATGTTCCAAGCCAAGCAGCGAAAACCATATAGGCGACATGCAATGATTGGAAGCTTCACTCTAAATTGTGATATGCATGTTCTGCCATCACGCGGAGGCGACATAGTCAAACTATTGACTGTTGACTTGGGCCTTCCCATCGGAATCATTACGCCATATCACCCCGAACATCCTATGAATCAGCGAATTCCGCCTGATACTCTGGATCAAAGCACTTTAGATGGTACTTTGGCAATGCTGGTGAATGCAGGTGGACTATCAGAGGAAATCTCTCAACTTGCCACAATAGAGGGACTCCAGTGATGGGGTCCTCGGCTAATATAACAGTCAAGGAAACAACAAATATTGTGGACAATATCGAGCCGGAGATATTGAGGGCGGCCGATATTATGATCGACTATGGAAAACAGAAGTTCCTTTATCCTCGAGCCTCATCCACTGTGCTTAACCTTCGAACAATGAAGGTTCTGCGTTATGGAGCTTGTTATGATGTGGTTCAAGATTCTTTATGGCGGTTTTGTGGTATCAAAGTACGATGACCCCCAAAGCTCAACATAGCGTCAGAGATACTCATTGCAGTGGTACCACCCCAAAATGCGGGCTTCGTGTATGAATTTGAATTACACCTAATAGATGGCTAGCGAGGCTCTTGGTACCCTCTCATCTTGTAAAGCAGCGCGCTAGAGCGGGCCTAATATCTATCATGTGCAAATCTCTTTCACTCTAGAAAGCATCCGGGAAAACGAATTCGGGAATAGATCGTATTGCTTGAGTGTAGCTATGTTATTTTCAAAAGTAAAAGAGGGATTTTAAATTGAGACTATTGTGATCAACCAAAAGCAATCACAACGAAGAAGGAATGAGGAAATTGGACCCTAGCCTTATTCAATTGCGCTCACTTCCCACGTTACATCGATTACTGTAAAAGAAGGCCTCGGTTCATTTAGTTACCCTATCAGATGTAACTGACAATGACGCCATGACTGGTGACAGAAGATGAAGTCAAGACCTGGTCCTGATAAATGTCCATGGTGGTAGCACTCAGGCGTCCGAAGCTGTTTGCACCAGTAGAGGCGACTGCATTTGAGAATATGACGCTGCCAAAGTTGGCGAAAGGTGCCAAGCCGCCATTGATTGAAAAGTCTTCAACAATCCATTCTGCATTAAACTCGCAAAGTTTACCACTAAAGTTGGGCGGGAATGTGTGGTTCACAGATGTACCCGTAGACAAGTTTTCGATAACAACAGTGCCAGAATTTACTGAAGTAGCTTCAACGCTCACATTGACCACGTTACCAGCCGAGATCTGGATATTGCTGAAATCATGAGCATAATCTGGATACCATTCATACCAAGCACTGTATGAAGTACTGTTTCCTTGTACACAAAAGTCGAGGCCAGATTGCAGGATAACCGTAGAGCAGGTATCACCGTCAATACCGACCCAGGCAGAAGCACAGTAGCTCGTGAAGGAATCGGCCCCACTGGGAAGTTGAGGTGCAGGAACTGTAATTTGTCCGGAGACAGAAGTGTATCCATTGCCAATAAGCACGGCTCCAGCCCAATTTGAATTATACTCTTCATGTGATTAGCCGTTCAGATAGAGTATATCTGCAGTGGCTGGTTTGTAGGGTCGACTGCTTCTCCTGCCTACTACTTGAGAGGCCCGTCGGCTGTGATGGATTGCCTTTCGCTGAGAGGTGAGAGGGGCTCCCGGGACGAAGGTGCTGAGTAGCCCAGCACTGGAAATTTTGGAAAAGAGCATTATGGCGAGATTTTGCAACTCGGCTGAGCAAGAGGCTGTTTTGCAATGTGATTCGATGTCCGGAAATCTAAAAGTATTAGAATGCAAATAGCAAAAGATATATGCACGATATTTGCCGATTATATAGGTCGCGTGCTTAATGGTTATTTCATTGGACTGAGCTCTGGTGGACCACAAAAATACTGTATTGGATCACAAGAACCGCAAAGATGATAAAAAATGCAACATCACCTCCCTCGAGAGCAAAGCACAGGGCGCATATGATTTCACGGCTACGTCCCCTATCTGCGTCTGGTGACTGGAACAATTTCCTAAGAACATCCGGAGTCAAGTTATCACATCGATAGGTCACATCAACTCAGACTTTCTTATTATGTACCGATAAAAAGTACAATTTCACAAGATTACTTCGAGATTTTGGTGGGCAGGATGACTAGCTACGGCTTGCAAGCTACCATGTCCAGCCAACACCGCTATCGATATAGCAATTAAGATGATAGGGGCATAGTAATCTTAATGTGGAATGATAATTTCTTTCTATCACAAAAGGCTGTCAAGTCAAAAGTAACCCCCCAGTACACCTCTATTCATCACCTAAGCTAAAACAAACAAAATTTAATAGACATGCCACAAGAAAAGTTCGGGGCTCGACAGTGGGAACAGGTTATAACAGAAGAAGGTCCATTGACAAAGGAGATTAGGAAATCACTCTCTCGATATGAAACGCCAATAAGTTCAAAGGTTGCTTTTAAAGGTTCGTGTCAAGACTATAGAGTGAAGAGGTGAATGGAGGTAAATCAGTAGACCGAACAATGACTAATGAGTACAGATATCCAATCCCAAGGATTCGTTCAGTGCAAGAACAAAGATTTCATTGACATGAAGCATGCTGACGAATAGAAAGATCAAAACAAAGGGGGTATGGAACAACGGCAATGTTGCTTAGATTTACGGTTTTATTAGGATAGTACCAGGCGTTTAAATGAAACTCAACTGAAAGAGCATCTACAGGTGTGAGCTCAGAGCACTGATAAAGAGCTTCAATCCTGTATGTTCTTGTATTCAGTAAGACTTCAAATTTGATCAAGATTTTTCCAGATTTACATTGTACTTGCACATATATATACACATGTAGTCAGTGACATGTTTCGCCGTGCAATGGTTATATGATCTAGAGTGTAAATGAGACCATTTATAGAAGATATCTAAGCTAGTCTTAATTTCAACCTGTTTCTTTTGGAATACTAAAGAAATATACAAAGCCTTGGAAACTAAGAAGACAGGTTGAATTCATCTTCAAATTACGGTAATGCCTTACATAGCCTTATTGCTAATTCAATTCCAATCAATAGTTTCGTGGTCTAGCGGTTATGATTTTCCGTTAACAATTGCTTCAATAGCGAGTGTTCCGGAAAGGTTCTGGGTTCGATTCCCAGCGAAACTAATTTTTTTGTTTTTCGCTCGGCTCAACTTGGAAAGAATGTTCTGATTTTTTGTGGATCGTACAGTGGATCAGGTTAGTTCTCACAATATTGAATATGCCGCAGGCCACAGAGCGTTGTGAAATAAAACAAAAGACAGTTAGTTGCCCCCTGCAGCGAATTGGTTTAGTTTATAGTATTTCCGACGCTATTACCGCGGATATATAGACAGACCACATGTTCTATAGAAAAGTCTATCGATTTATCTAAACCAAAACCATGCCATGTCAAAAATGGCCCTCTATGATCCGTTTCTTTTGTCGTTCATCAATGGATTTAAGCGATTGGAGGTGGAGGATTATGGTCGTGAAAGTTGAGAATTTCTAGCTACTTGATACACTAGTCTGCTTAACATTTCGATGTCGAATGTGTCTTCTTCAGCTGTTGAACGGTCCTAAAAAGAAGACTTTGGGCGTATAAAACGTGAGCCTCGTAGAGGAGCCACGGCGGCCTTTTAAAATCATTTGTTGCTTGATCACTAGGACGCAAGTCAGAGCACTCCACTGTGATGTAGGTCACTCTCGCTGTTTCGTCCGATATTCTCTCCACGATGAATTCCTGGAAACCACCATCCATTAGTCGCCACGGCCAGCCGTAGGCCGCTACATGGTTCAACGTATTGGTCCACCCAGAGGGAACCCTCCAGTAGATGACTGTGCCAGTCGACTCAGGTAGAGATGAGCCTTGTGATGCGATAAGTTCTTCGTTGGAGGGAAAGAACGAACTTGGAAGAGGTGCTTCTTTAGGGAGACCAGAAGGGTGGATTGATATGTTTGACCTCGAACTCCAGCTGCCAAACATGAAGGCAGAGAGACCACCCGAGTCTCCGAATAAGTGACTCCCGGGCGTGAAAGCTACTGCAGGCACGTTCCTGTCTATGAGCCATCCATCAGGGCCATTTGACCGTGCTTCGAGAAAGGCCTTGATTAGATTTCGCGTCATGTCGTCCGTGGTATGCGTTTTGTTGTCACATTTGTTTGGTTTGGCTTGATTGGGCTCGCTTGTGTAGGATGCTAGTAGCGCCAGTGGCACGTCTAGCTGAACTGCAACATATGATGACAACCAGCGATCTTTTCGATCCCCAGAGTTGGCTTCCGACCATGAGGATAACAGGCCTGCGTTGTCTGCTCCCCATGCCTTTGGCATGTCTGTGTCCGAGGCGCTGTCACATGCTTTGTCCACAAGTTGTCGACATGCACTCAATCGCGATACTTTGCTAATGGAAATCCTAGGATACGAGTGATCGAGCCATTGTTTACAGATGTATGCAGTGATGATGCCGGCGCTACTGGATGTTAGAGCGCCGAGAGATAGCTTGCTCGTCATCATTGAGCGATTGAAAGGTATATGTTCAAGGGACAATGGAATGCCTGGGTCTGATTATAAAAGACATATATCCGGGAAATCACGGACAGAGAAAGGACGAAGGGCGTACGATAACAAAAGCGATTGCCAGCAATAACCGCAATCTTCCGAGTCTATATTCGTTGAAAGTACACGCTAGCGGAAAACATGGAAAAATGCGGGCCGAGAGCGGGGCCGAACTTAACGAGAACTTTCAGATACTAGTTTGTGTGTTGGTGGTGATCATGTCGTCACAGAGTCAAGGAAGTGATTGAGCGCCTCGGTATAATCGGTTGAGTGAAGTAGAATTCGCCCCAGCGTCGTCTGCCTGCTACTTTAATTGTCTATATGGTGTATGAGCCAATTTGGGCGATCCTGCAATGTACTGAGAAGTCTGGATAAATCCGTATTACAAAAAGTTCACATCGTTTGCTGCGAATGCCTTATTTTTGTGCATTACCCAAGCACCGATCTACATTTGTCGTAGCGGATCTTACAACCGCGACAGATACTGTCATGAAGGGAATCGGCAGCAAGACTTTGGGCTTGAAACAGTGGGCCATTAGGAAAAGCTCCCCTACTCACAGGACAGCCCCTTGAATTTCGAGCCGCACGAGCTAGGCACGTATTCAGATGAAACTATCGCATCTGTGATTGAACCCGACGTATGGACCAAATAGAGTCAAACATGCTAGGCCGACAAATTGGACCCAAAAAAGAAAGGAAAGGAAAGAAAAGAAAAGAGAAGGAGAGATGTTGACTAGCAATGTTAAACATGAAACAGTTAAGGCTACTAGGCTTATGGATATGGAGAGGAAAGCAGAATAGAAAACCTGCTTGGTTGTTGATTGATTGAAGAATGAAGCTGGGGAAAAACCCAATAAAAGGTGGCAGGGATTGGCAGCCCGAAAACCGTAGGCAAGGCACATATTAAGAAAAAATCTGATCTAACCACATAAATAGCTATAAACTTATATTCTTATCTTACAAATTGCCCTTTTTTAACTTCTAACTCTTATTATAGATTGAGACAAATATTTGACATTTATAAATTAATTATGTATCGAACATCGCAACAATGAGTCTATGCATTGATGAGAAAGGGGTGTTTGTCATACATAAAGATCATGTTCTTGTCCTATAGCATAGGGCAACTACGATCTACAATATCTATAAACGATCGAAAGCATAAAGACACTCATTGTCATTCTATAACTGTGGAGCTTGATGAAGCCTAGCGATCCCACGGACAAACAATCATTTTAGAGATGCTGTCAAGCCGATATGAGGGCAGAGGCTTTTGGACGGCCACTTTTCCGAGAGAATACATAAAACCTAGCACTATCTAGGTACCATCTTACATAGACATACAACGTAGATTTACAAGTTGATCAAATCAAAGGAAGACATATACGAAGGTGTTGGAATTTAGACCGATCGAAAGATTCCGCATTGTGATTGGCCCATCGTAGGATCTATATCTGACATCACTCTAGTGACATCAACACATTCCTGGGGATGAATAACAAATCCCTTGGAATAATTCTCTTCACATCGTGTACATACATCGAACAAGCTCGTGAGAAAAAATGACACCAAAGAAGAAAATCGCCATTATAGGCGCCGGTGCTGCTGGCATGTCATGCGCCTCGACGCTAGCTAAGCATCCAGAATTTGCAGTGACTCTTATTGACACCGCGGGTTATACCGGTGGTCAAGCAACTTCAATTGACTTAGATGCATCCAAACATGGTGCAAGTTGGCTGAACGACGGAGTTCAAGGTGGATCGCAGATTTTCCGACATACGTTTCGATTCTTTCGTCGCTACGGCTACGAGCCACAGCCGGTCAAGCTTCAAGTAGCATTCGGAAAGGGGAAGGATTTCTGGACCAATGTCTTCCCAAGCCATCTGGTTGACGAACATTCATCGGAAATCAAGAAGCTTTCCCGAGTCCTATCATGCATCAAATATTTGATGCCCATTCTCGGAATCATGCCTGTCAAGGTAATTCTGCGCCTATTCCGCTTCAGCCGTGACTTTAGCAACAAAATGATTTTGCCTCTTCTAGCCTTGTTCTTAGGGACAGGGAACCAAACGCCAAACGTATCGAGTGTCCTACTGGAACGCCTCTTCAATGATCCTCAGATGAAGCTGTGGGAGTATGACCCTGATACCCTTTTGCCCAATCTTCCTACCATGTATACATTTCCAAACCTGAGCAACTTTTATCGGGACTGGACCATCGATCTGCGTGTGAAAGGCGTCGAAGTCAGGTTAAATTGCCATCCAAAAATCATAGAGCGCGGAAAGAAAGGGGTAGTGCTGCAACTGCAAGATTATGAAGATGGTAAAGCAAAAGGAGACCCGTCAATTGAAAAGTTCGACGACCTGGTCATTTGCTGTCCTGCAGATGAAGCGAAGAGGCTACTTGATCACCACGCTACATGGCGTGAAAGATATGTGCTGGGAGGGGTTAAGTTTTATAACGACATCACCATAACCCACTCAGACTCAACATACTTCCAAAATATCTTTGAGATGCAATATGGTCCAGAGCTACCGGCGGAGGCAAATTCTGAAACGCGAAAAGCGCAAATCGAATTCGCGGAACAGCAGCCCCTGAGCCAAAAGGATGGCTGGCTAGGATTTCGCCCAATGTATTTCACACGCTCCTACCAATCCGACCCCGGCAAAATAGAGATGGGCTTCAACTGCAGTCACTACCAACACCAATTTCGAGAAAACCTGGGCGAGAACAATCCGCCACCTTCGCAAGACCAACATGTGTTTCAGACAATCTTCTTGGTACGTTTCTTTCTTTAAAAAAACACAATTTCGCGGCTTTCCATTACTTATATTTTCATAAGAATGACCAGGAAAAGGATATATGGACCTGGAACGACATTGATCCATCAAAGATAATATCGTATGTTAATCGGATTGATGCTTGTAAATCACCAACGATGACCATTTTTTGACAATGCTATCTAGTAAAAAATGGTGGCACCAGTTTGGGCATAGGTGGCAGCACTATCTCCGAGTTGTCCCAGGAATGATGTTTATTAATGGCACCAACCACACATTATATGCCGGGAGTTGGACCATGGTGGTGAGTCTTTTTCATTGAAGTCATCAGATATGATGTTGACAATTTAAATCGCAGAACATGCATGAGATTGCTTGCATCTCCGGTATTGCAGCAGCCTATCAGCTTGGCGCTTCCTACGAACCTTTTGACGAGTTTGCCGAAGATTTCTTCGCCAAGTACTTGCTGGTGTGTCATGCGACAAGATATAAGAAGGACAAGAGAAAGAATGTATGAAAGATCATCAATAAGTGGTCGTGCTCATGAATTATATCAAAAGCAAATTGTCTCAAAGCAAGTACCGGAAACTTTCAATCTCGTGATCGGTCTTGTTGGATAGCTCGTCCTGTAGTTCTTCTGATTCCGTCAATTCCCTCGGGGATCCGTACAATTTATCTCGGCGGCGATTCTCCCAGACATAAAAGACGTAAAGACATATTAAAAAGAAAATTCCGAAGGCGAGGCCCGACATGGCTGCTTTTATTCCGGTCTGCGTCGTGTCAGAAGCTGGTTTAGAGATGATAATAATGAAAAATAAAGTACTTACCGGATATGACGGTTCCTCAGAGGGAAGAAAGAATTGAGGCCCCACAATGTTACCAATGCAGTACGCCGCGAACATGAGCGCACTCACTGTGCTTTTCTTCGTAAACCCAGCGACATTTGAGCTGATCAGACTGAGAGACAAAGGTATGTTCGCAGCGAAGACACCACCCAGACATAGGCCAGTCATCTTCCCAGCCCGATTATCATCGTCGAGCTTCCAAATTAGTAGCATACCCACCATCGAGACTGCTGTGTTGAATATCATCATAAGGATTCGAGACTTGGGGACAAGTGAGGCAACTCCCGAGGTCAGGAGCAGAAAGACGAGTTGAGCACCTCCAATAGGCATTTGAATGAGAAGTGCCTCGAGGTGGGGAAAGCCAAAGCCCGTGATAATGATAGCAGAGAAGCTCGTGAGCCCCCCATTGCAAAAGTTGACACATAGGGTGTATAGTACTAGAAACCACATCTGAAGATCCTTTATGGCCATCCAAACTTGGTTCCACCTGAACTTTCCCTGATCCAAAACTCCAGTTTTATTTTTCAAGGTTCGTTGAACTGCGATGGCCCGCTCGTTAGATTTGAGGAAAATGGCTTTGGCCGGCGAGTCAGGTAAAGCGAGGAACAAGATGACACCATACGCAGATGTGACAGCCCCTAGGATAAGGAATAAAAGTTGCCATTGGGCAATCGCTGTGGTATGAATGTTTCCGATGCCGTACGCAATCAATCCCTATAAACGTATTTGTTAGCTGACTCGGTAATCTTTCTCCGAGGCCCATTGATACTCACACCAAGGAGGACAGCAATGGAATTACCGATAAACCAGGCCGCCTGTCGAGCTGGTTGTTCCTCTCTGGTATAGAACATTCCCGTAATTAGGGCAAATCCCGGGGCAATAGATGCCTCTGGTGAGACGTTAGTATTGCTAGAGAGATCCAGATGGGGACTCGTACCTCCAACACCAAGGAAGAATCGAGCTGCCATGAGTCCCCCCCAATTTTTGCAGGCAGCATGAGCCATGAGACAAGCCCCCCAAACGCAAGCAGCCACCCCAAGGTACTTTCCCAAAGGAAGTCTGACTGAAAAGAAATGTTAATAAACTGTTTCATTTCCATTATCATAGACCCGACACAATCGGGGTCAACAAATGTATCGAGGCCTTCACACAAACATACCAACCAAATAGGAACTAGGCCTTAAATTGAACCTATCAGTTAGCCGAGACTAAAAGTATGGGATAAATCGAATTCATACCAACTCCACGCAAAATACCCGAAATAGAAAATAGCGGATACCCAGTTGTATTCATTGCCTTTTAGGTTCTAGGAGCAGTCAGTGGTCAAAGAGAAGCTCAAAAACACGTTATGAACATGGAAAACATACCAAGTCTTGTCGAAGGTTGAAAAGGGTCGCCTGGCTGATTGCTAGCTTGTCGATATACTGCAGCATATAGCATCCGCCCATAAGAGGTATCAAAAAAAGATCCAGCTTTCTCAAGACTCTCTTCTCCATTTCTGGTGTTGTCTCAAGCTCGAGGACTTGTCCGAAATCCACATCACGTAGCACGGACTCATCGACCTTGAGCTTTTCAAGGCCAGATTCTGCAACATCAGACGGGTGATGTTGCTTTTCCATACTGAATCAAATAATGCGCAAGACAAGCGAAAGGAACCAAGGCACAGAAGATAAAATGTAAGGAATGTGTGAAAGTGATATTGTGAAGGAAACTAATCTGAATTGATATCTATCGATTTGTGGGCATTTCGAGGGTCTATATGACTCCCAGCACATAGAGGCCAAGCGTAGGCATCTAGACTAGGTGGCGTTGTATGATACAAGATAGCTTCTGATAGGGCAACAATTTTTAATGATTCTCGTGTTTAAAGTATGAGTATTACGTTGATAATTGCTGTTTCTATTAGTATCATCACTACTTCTACACTTACTACAAGAAAAAGAAGGCGGGGTTGGGGCGATTACAGTTGGCCTCAACGCGGGCGAAGTCAACGGCAATGAAAGACAACGGTGGCTAGTTCTAGGTGCCGAATTCTTTCCCATTTATCTGTATAGCTATAGTTTAGTTGGTTATTCAGTTGCTGTTTGCTTAGAGTTCATGAGGAGCAAAACATTGGCATTTCTATGTCGGCAGTCTAGCGAATCAAATGCATGATATAGGAACGTCGGCAATCACTTTCTATCCTCATCGGCAACCCACTTTCCCTATCACACCCCGGGAAAACGACTTGAGTAATTTTGAATAGGTAATACACAAGAGAGAAAAGAAATAGGCGGTCATAATATCCGAACCCAATAATTGGATTGCCCAGCGAATGTTGACTTGATCAAATAGACTCTAAGACAGACATCTTCTACAAGTTGACTGTATGGGGATACAAGACCTTGGGGTATTTTTGAAAGGAGCCGAGCTTGATTACCCACTTTATGCCAGCCAATCTACTGAATGACAACATATCATCATATCTTACCCCGGATTCCATATGTCTGTGCAGATTGCCGAGGGTTCCGTATTGATAGGCCAACCTCAGTATCGCGGGATGATAACCGCTATTTCCGCCTCGAATCTCTGTGATTGATACCTCTTCCAAGGTTTCTTTCAGATAACTAATTTGGCGATAGGCCAAAATGGTCGTGCTCATGACACATTCTGCTTCGCCTCTCCCTCTCATTCGATCGTCGGCAAACGCCACGCGAATGCTACCTGATCAGAGTGTCTGCTCCCCCCCCGATGTGGCATTCTAAAAACAATTAAATAAACATGCATATATTGCCACTGTTAGAACACCTTTGTCAAAGAAACACTTTGGAAGATCCTTTCCCCCAAAATTCAGACTGATACTTGCACACCATGACGGTCACAGAAATCAACATCAAGGAAGTCAAAGCCTTCGTGGACGCCGCGCTCGAGGGACTTCAGAAGGAGTTGCGAGAGTTGAATCATCAGGTAAAACCAGGCTGCTTCTGCTCAAATAGTGTAATTAAGGAAAGGCTAACGCGAGGCCGACGGTGATTAGATCTGGTCAAATCCCGAGCTTGCCTACGAGGAGCACCAGGCACATGATACCATCTGCGATTTTATTGAAGCACAGGGGTTCGCGGTGACTCGCCACGCTTACGGTCTTGATACATCATTTGAAGTTCTGAGTGGGACTGGTGGCCGGTTGATCAATTTTAACGCGGAATATGATGCCTTGCCCGATATTGGTCATGCATGTGGTCATAACCTCATATCAACTAGCAGTGTTGCTGCATTCATCGCGTTATCGCTCGCGCTAAAGAAGTTTGGCCTCCCTGGGCGAACGCAATTGTTGGGAACCCCCGCCGAAGAGAATGGAGGCGGAAAAGCCAAGCTCATTGAAGCTGGGGCTTACAAGGGCGTGGATATCTCGCTGATGGCGTAAGTCCTCGAATTTCGGAAGCGTTTACTGAACCATGCACTGACTCCCAACAAGTCATCCTGGACCCAAGCAAATATACCCTGGCCAAGAGTGCTGTGGGATTGCTGGGACACTCATGAATGCTAGAAAGAATATTCATTGTAAGGCAGCAGATACCGGCGGCTGAATTATCGCTAATTGTAATCTCTCAATATAGGTGAATTCTCGGGACGCAACGCTCATGCGGGCGGAAACCCCTGGGAGGGGATCAATGCCCTAGATGCACTAGTATCATCTTATAACAATGTGGCAGTCCTGCGGCAACAGTTGCTACCGGACCAACGAATCCATTGCGCTTTCTTGGACACTCCTAAGGTTGCTAATGTGATTCCTGCGTATACGAAAGCCTTCTGGCAGGTCAGAAGTCCCACACTCACTGGACTGACTACTCTTATTGGAAAAGTGCGTAACTGTATCGAGGCCGGCGCATTGGCTACCGGTTGCCAAGTGAAGATTGAAGAGTATGCAGTTCAATTTGCTCATCCTAAGGCGACTAGCTAACTTGTTCTTTCAAGGGATGAACTTTATACCGATGTCCGATTAAACGACACTCTCTGCGAGCGGTACCAAGTCCACATGGGATCGTACAACCGGGATGTACTTAAGCGACACGATAAAGTACTAACAGGATCATCTGATATTGGTATGTGGTATTGCTTCCTTACTCCAAGTGACAGTACTGACTTTAAATTTAGGCAATGTCAGCTACGAGACCCCCACGCTACACACAATGTTTGGTATTCCCGCACCTGAAAAATCGTTTCCTCATCATCCTACATTTGCAGCTGCCGCTGGCACGGATGAGGCGCATACCGAAGCAGTCATTGTTGGAAAATCTTTGGCACTTATTGGATGGGATATGGTTTCAGGAGATGATTTATACGACATAACGCGGAATCAATGGCAAGATGAAATTGTGCGGAAGGATTAGATATATCATCTAAGACGGGGTATGTGGATTGTATACATTTTATCGGATTCGAGAGTCAACGAAGCAATTACAAGAACAAATCTGTTAGTTATTGAATACTTTTCGCGAGGTGCTGCCCATAGAGATCGAATCAATCAGCTTTATAAATTTTATCATTCTGTGAATCTATAGTCATAAAAGTTGGAACTATAAGGCTGAACGCTCACTGCATGAAATCCCGAGCATTGTGAGATATAATGAATCGCGACACTTTTCCTCGATTATTAGAGTGAATATATGAATCTTTCCTCCAGCTTTAATTGATATATAGATACATTCGACTACTCAAATAGTCAAATACAAAATAAAACAATATTCCTTGTCAACGCCTAGAACAAAGTCACGAACGTCATTTATGCAAGGGATGAGTCAGCGCTTCCCCGCGTTATCGGCCCGCGCAGCTTATCGTTCGGCACTTGAACAGAGATCGTTGCCAATTCATCTTCAATCCTTCCAATTCACTCTCCGTTCATGCCTGGTTGATCCTTGCTGGTTTCAGAGGTGGGGGATTGGTACTTCATGTCCATGCAATCCGGGCGCAACGGCCCCCGGTCCAAAAGCGGTAATGCTTCATATTTCTTGATTTTTCCCCAACTGCCGACTAACCCATTTACTTCTCTAGGCTGTAGTACCTGCCGCCGTCGGAAGGTTAAATGTGGCGAAGAAAAACCCGTCTGTGGGCGCTGTTCTGCTTTGCGCCTCAATTGTGAATGGGGAGTTCCAGTGAAAAGAGGACGGAGTACTCAAATACGCAATTTAGAACCTGCTCCATTTACTTCCGATCCATATCCGACCTGCCCGCTGCCGAAAGTCGATAGCCTGGTCGACTTCCAACCAGATGTTCTTCTCACAAGTCTTTCGCCAGTCTCTTGGGCAGGTGATCCCTTACCATTAGACGCCTCTCATCTACCTCCATTCTGTCATACGGTGCCTATTCCGACCCCTATATACCCCTCGTTAAATGTCGACAATGTCGCCTGCGCCAATTCATTGGCTCTGAACTCCCTTGACCGTCAATACTTTCAATACTTCCCTTCTTCGTCTCTCGTTTATTATTACATGAAGGGTTGGAAATGGAGCAGCTTCTGGTGAGTTTGCTTTTCTCGAAAATCGCGCCCACTGTTCACTTCCACTGCGCGTTACCTGAAGATTTCTCCGGCTGATCGAATATCCCGAAATTCTAGTCATCTTTATGAAGGTCCCGCCGCATCCAACAAAGTTATCATGCGGATGATACTTGCGCTCGCAGCATGCGACATGCACCGCAATGGATTGGTTGTACGCTCTCCCGGTCGGCCAACGGCAGATGACCATGGACGATACCACTATGGTCTGGCGGTGAAAGAATTCAGGCAGCTTCTCGAGACACCCCGTCAGGTATCATTGGATGAGATAGAAACGGTTTTTGCGACCGTCTTTTTGATGATCGCTTGGGAGTGGCAGTTCGGACACTCAGTGCGCCATGTAAGGACGACCGTCATTAACCTACTTCGTCTACAACTGATTAGTGACCTGTTATTGATATTTCCTACAGCTTCAACTTCACCTTCAAGGGGTACGATCACTCTTGGAAACACACCCACGACTCTTCCGGATCAAGGATGTGAACGATATGTTCTTGCCCCCGGCAATCGGTACGCCAACTGATGAAGCACCGACTGTCGCCAAAGTTTCATTCATTCCTGAACAGTTTCTCTTATGGATTCTGTGAGTTTCTTCTGTATTCGCGATACAAAGCAACTGCTTACATAGAATAGATATATAGATGCCAGTTGCCGTCCGATTGGACTCACAGAATCCCTCAATGACTATGTTGCACAGTCTGGGAATCCCGCACTACAGCCGGATCATCTCCATCGCTGTGCTCGTCTCTGGGGCCGGTGCTTTTGGGGCGAGCAGTACCCCGACGAGGAGGTTTTAGACGACATCGAAAACTATAGGGCCTTGGAGTTATTACATGCGGGATTTTTGTTACGCCATAAAACTTGGAAGGTCCTCGTGGAATCTGCGGCTGGTACCGCTAAATCCACTGAGTCCCTCTTCCGCGAGATTCTCGCCGTTCGAGAGGTGAGTGCCGCCCATTCCAAAGGTTCGCAGCGGCACTGATTGCGTTAGAAATTCTCCGATCTGTTTATCACTGCACGGTTTGCGGGAAGCGTCTCCGCTAGGCGGACACTCAACACTATTTACATGGCCGTTTCTACTTTTTATGCCCAGATTCTCCTATACCGTCGTCTTCTATGTGTTGATGCTCTTCCTGCACCCATTGACCAACAAGCTACTGCAGGGATCATTGACATCGCCCAAAAGCAATTTTTGTCTAATCCAATGCTTCTCACGCGACTGCACTGGCCATTGCTGATGGCGGTGATCGAAACCGGGGATGCAACTCATCAATCCTGGCTCCGGCAACGTTTGTGGGAACTACGTGATTTCCACTCCGAGTTTGTCTGGGCGCATGGGATAGCAGAGCAGATCCTTGCCCAGCAAGACGTGAGCCAGGGGCGATACGTCAACTTGGCCGAGGTGTTACTGCAACGCTTTCATTCCCATTGAGTAAAGCCAGTCGGCTTTTGTATATCTAATCGAATTTTTATAGACCATATATAATGCCTTATGTCTGATTCCTTCCAGTTTCGGTCCTTGAGTCCATTCAACTTCATCATGGATTGTTTTCCAAAAAGTATGCATCATAAGCCACTTCTCCTTTCGCTCTCGTTGCTCGTCCGACAATGACTCGATTGTTCATCCACTTGTACTTTTCATAGCCTGTTTCAATCTTCACATGTAGATGGAACCAATACTGACTAGGATCGACTGGTCCGCCTTCCATCAATGCTCGAAGGACATCTGGTGGGCCTGCCCGAGTCCCTTCAGTACTATCGCTTCATTAGCATGACTCCAACTCCCTATTGAGTCCAAGCCTAATTTACCGGATATAGAGAAAAGCGCCGTCGTCGCTTTTGATCATATAATTGGTATTCACATGTGTTGTGTTATCTTCTTCAACTAACCTACCGATTCGTTAGTTTGCACATATTGCGCCGAGATTCATATCTTACATGAAGTCTGCACCACCTGGAACAACCTCGCCATTCAGATAGTTCCCTTGAACAGACCCAGATATGATGGGAACACATCGCCGTCGACCATAGGGACCATGGCCAACTTCCATTGGCGGGTCTACCGCACAACGTAGAGTAAAGAGATGAATGAGCTTAGGTGGCGGCGACAAGGTATCCATTTCAAAGATCTGAGATCAATGTGTGAGAGTTTGATGAAGCAGTAGAGTGAATCGAGGGGTAGAAGGAAATCGGGTGTGTACGCTTTCTCCACCCGGGTTATCCGATGCATTTGAATCTCGGGTAAATTTCAGAGCGATAGATTTTAGTCCCTAAAGGCTATTTAGTGAGGTAGTGAATATAACTTCAGAATTACTATGAATCCATGAAGTGGTCATCATTGAGATGGTTGACATCATTTACACAAGCTTTTGGTCTCCACTCGTACTCCCATCTGGACGATGCCGGCTCGATCCGCTCTAAATTCAATACCTTGGAAGTAAGTAGGTATACGTTTAGCTTAGAATGGATAGATAGAGCAAGTCAATAGATTTCAATTGCTATATTCGAGTATATTTCCGGTCGTGAAAATACTTTAACGAGTGTCATACCCCGAAATATCAGATACATCATAGCAATTGTACGAACATCCACACATCGCTCAATCTTTCCTAAAATGAAAAATGACCGAATTCCTATCACAGTCTACCATCGATCGGATATGCTAGCATAGATCAACTATTTATGCCAATGAAAAGTATGGGTTTAGCTGAGATGTTCTCTTGTCTGTGTCCACCGGCGACCAACCTACATTTGGCGTTTGAGGAACCCAGCAAAGAATTTGCCAATTTCAGGATAATCGGCTAGTCCCATAACGGCAGAAACATCTAGCAATCAAAAGTTCAGTAATTGATATACCTTTCCTGTAGGGTTTTATCTCACATTGATCTGGTCTGACAATGATGATGGCACCTTGCATTGGATCGATGCCCAGGTGCTCATATACATGACCGTGGCCCTTGTTAAAACTCTCATCATCATAGTATATCTTGTGAAGATCTGATAGTAAAGGTTAGATTCAAGCTTGATGTTTTTGAAGACGGGTTTGTACCTCGAGTCTGGTTTTTGCCGGAGATTGGGTAAAAGCATTCGGGGATTTGGTCCAGTTCTACCCCGTGTCGTTCTCCATGACCGATCAAAATGGTCTCAATCAGGCTATCACATTCCTGATTCCGGGGTGTGAAGCTATAGATTGGGCCATCGGCTGCGCTCAGATACTCTCCGAGCTATGGAATGGTGAATTAGATGAGGTCAAACTGCATTCCGGGTCACGACACACCTTGTTGAGCTTTCTCTTGTTCTCTGATACACTCAAGTCACCCACGAAAGCCATAATACGCCATCGGCCGTCCGATTTGAGGGAATGCATGAGCTGTAGAGGCTTAGAGTCACAGAATCGTACGACCTGTGCGCTGGGAAGCCGCATGCCGACAATCACGTTGGAGGAAAGCTGTGTAGATTCCAACGTCGAAGTGATGGGCGACACATCGTACTTGGCTGTCAACCCAGCAGTATATTTCCCAGCTTGGATAAAACCCTCCTGAAACTCGACAGGGGAGGTTTGAGCGCCCGATGAGAACAATTTCGAGAAATAACGGTCAAAATCAATCAAATCAATGGCGACCTTTTGACGTTCTAAAACATAAGTTTCAAGAAGCGATGGATAGGCTAGACCAGTCAGAACCTCGCCAAGTTTCCAGCCAATATTATAGCCATCCTGCAGACTGACGTTCATACCCTGACCTGCCTTGGGCGAGTGAGTATGGCAAGCGTCACCGGCCAAAAATACTCGGTGGTCCCTGTGGAAGAAGTCGGCATGACGCTGCCCGATTGCATATGCTGACCACCAGATGGTTTCCAAAAAGTCAATCTTGTAAGGATAAAAGATACTTTGAGCTTTTTCCTGTAATTCTTTCAATGTGACCTCCTTCGGGTTGGTTCCCGGAGCAAGTTCAATATAAAATCTGGTTAGGTTATTGCTCTCACCCTCCCGGGGGATGATCAAGATATTTCCTGATTTGGAGCGAAGCGTAGACTTCTTGCGTATATCTGGGAAATTAGTGCGGGGCACCATATCCATGACACCCCAAACTGCATCACTGCTGTCACCGATCATTTTGTACCCAAGGGCTTTGCGGACAACACTGTGTGCCCCATCACACGCCTGAAGTCGAGGTAATGAGTACTTTTGGCTTTAAGCAATGCACAGAAACCACTCACCAAGGCATACTTGGCTGCAAAAACCTGCGTCCTTCCATCTTTTTCCGTAGTCACCTTGACTGGATAGGCGTCAAGGTCATCGGCTGAGTTGCTATCAACTTCCACGTCGGTCACGTTGTAGCCATAGTCGATCTGCTGATTGTTGTATTTCTTCATTAGCTCAATGAGGAGCTCGTTGATACGTGCTTGATTCAAAATGACATGAGGTTGATGTGATAGACCAGGCTGAGTATCTGCCGTTCGCCCGGTTCGCTTGATGCCTTCGCCATCATCGGCCCAGAAGTTGACTTCTAGAACATGGTAAGCCTCGCGAAGTAGTTCCTCGCCAACCCCAAAACTTTCAAAAATCTCCACGGTGCGACATTGCACGCCATCGGCTTGGCCCATCTTCATAGGTCCATCCCGACGCTCTAGGACTTTGCATCGCACGCCGTACTTGGCGAGCCAAGTGGCAGCAGAAAGACCAGCAGATCCACTACCACAAATCAGAACATCGACTTTTTCCATTTTGTTTGATTCGAGTGTAGCTAGTTCGCACATGTACATATCCGTGATCCTTTTAAAGGTGAATCCGGCATCAATCCCGAAGCCCCCGGGATGAGTTCCGGGGGCCGGGACTGCCTCGGCAGCTATACACCCATTCAATCAACTTCTCTGCCGCTCTGATATTAAAAATCATTGCGAGCCCCGTGTTTTGTTTGACTTTGCATACAATAATACGGGAACATTGGAAATGGAGTGGGGATGACTATCTCTTTGGCTTTGCGTTCTATTCCAATACAGATCAAACATACGTTGTTCTTGTTCATTTTAGATTCTTATATCAAAAAGGCATATGCATCATTAATTCTGGTCTAAATCATTATAAATGCCCATGCTTCCACCCTAAATCCCAACCGAACGCCAGCGCCGGTGTAAACCTCGTAACATAACATCTTACAAGAAGTACTCGCTGCGGCCTGGTCGCGAGGTTGGAACATGCCGCTGGTCATCACTCACTGCACTAAACAGCTTGAAGGAGGGCTTGAGATCCTCCCCAATTTCACAGACGGAGGCCAAATTTCCACATCGATAGCAGTAGTTTGGCGCACTCCATACCGTGACGACGTTTTGGTTGTTGAAGTGGTATTTGTAGCCTTCGTTGACCAGTTGGTGTGCACGTGCGATCAAAGAGAGGTCGTTGACATGACAGAACTCATCGGCCACTCGGTCTCCAAAGAGCCACCCTGAAAGAAAAGAAACGACTGTTAGCTTACAACAGTATAATAATTCTGATATGTCTCACCTGCTCCTCGTGGACTGACAGCCCAGGTCTCGACATCATCCGGGTCAGACCAAACAAGGTCACAGAAGGCACCCTCGTGAGGGATTTCTTGTGCACGAGCTACCACGCGGACTTGGTCTAGTGTGCGAATCTCGGGACTTAAACCACCGTGGACACATAGTACCTTGCCGTCAATAATAGCTCCTAATGTCATGAAATCGAAAACCTGACAGCAGGCCTTCCATACTGAAGCACTGCCATACTTTTGAAAACACTCTTCGTAGAACCCATAAACCTGGGTGATTTGTCGCGACTCGTGATTGCCACGAACCAAAGTGACTCGATCAGGGTATCTAAACAGTTGTTAGAAATGTGCGATCCATATCAACCCCACGGAATCAAACTAACTTTGCCTTGAGACAGAGCAAAAGCGTTAATGTCTCCAAGCTGAAGTATCCACGATCCACATAATCGCCTAGGAACACAAAGTTGCGATTGATCTGAAGATCTTCAGGGACACCACTGCCCGATCGGCTTCGTGGGACTGAATCTGCCTCCTCATCATTGGGGTTTGTACTAGGGCCACGAAGTTTTTTGCGAATTTTGGGGTCTGAGATGCTGGATGGGGGTTCGATATCGGCGGAGGTAATCACGGAAGGGGAGGCCTTTGGAGAGTCGAGTTCCGTACCATCGGGCATACCGCCAGAGACACGGAAAAGTTCCAGGAGATCGTAAAATTGGCCGTGGATATCACCACAGACTGTGACAGGCGTGGATACTGGTTGGATGTTGGATTCTGTCCGAGTCAGCATTTGTCGAGGAACCTGAGCTCAAGCATTCGAGATATTTCGAAAAGGAAATTACTCACCTTCCATCATATATTCCTTGACGATCTCACAAAGCTGTTTCATGTGTGGCTCCGAAAGATACTTGCAGTCTTTGGCGGCTTCCAGCCATTCGTCGGGACCTGCATTACGCTTTAGTTTTGCAGGACCCGGCTGAGGGATCTTGCTATCAGGCATTTTGAAGATAAGAACAAGAAAAGAAGAAGTTTGGAAAGGACCAGAGACTGACTGTGAGAGAAGAGTTGCAAAGTGTTTCCCCGCAAGTAGAACTTCGTCTTTGGCAGCTTTCGTCTACCGAAGGGCGAAGTGGTACTAACTGATCCCTGTGGACTTTCCTGATCTTCTCATTTTCTGACTCTCTCTTCTCTGTCGCAAGAGTCAGATGCTTATGATGCAGATAATGTAGCTGTGATGTGCAGTCTAAAATTTGCTGATGACTGATACACAGCTCACAAAACATATATGCCCACCTGCCACCGGTCATCTCCTCGTCCACATGACACTTCAGCTCATTGAACCGTTATTATTATATCAAACAAGGGCCGTCTTTCTATTCGAAGCCTTGAACCGCGTTATCACACATTGGGACAAATAAATATGCGAGGCGTACGCTATAGACTATGTGATCATGCGCAAATAACCACCAACGCCCACAACACCGGTTCTCAGGTTGTGATCTTGCCCTGTGAAGGAAATCCAGCGCCTGGAAGAGAAATCGAGTCCTCGAACTATTGGAGGAAAATACTTGGGGCAGGAGTGGTCATAAAACACATTCATCAGTCATCTCTCTATATACTCCGGGGGACATAAATATATCTACACATATCCCGTAGGAATCCAATCAACCATCAATTTTGCTTAGGAATTCAGTCACAACTTCGGCGAAGACCACGGGCTGCTCCACCATAGGTAGATGGCCGGCGCGATCAATGATCTTAAGTTCGGCGCCGCCACGCAGATCCGCGGCCATCTTCTGCATAGTTTGTGGCAGAACACCATCGTTGGCACCAGCGACGAACAGACCCGGGACAGTGGCAGCAGCCATGCGCTCACGGATATCGTATGCGCAAAGTGCTTGCACACTGTGGGCGAAGCCCTTCAGGCTGTTGGTGCGGACTGCCTCCTTGACGGGGGCGAGAACCTCAGGCTGGGTCTCATACGACTCTGGCACGAACCAACGGCGAGTGGTGACCTCGGCCAGTTCCTCGCCAACAATGGGTTCGTTAGTTTCCGGGTCAACAGATCCCTCTTTTTCGCAGATGGCCACGCGATCACCCCACGCCTTGCGATTGGATTCAGGGGCGGAGGAGTTGGTGTCGCATGCGATGAAGGCGCCAACGCGCTCCGGGTGCAGGAGGGCAGTGTTCAAAACGGTGACACCACCTAGGCTGACTCCGATGAGACGGGCGGCCTTGGGGGGTACGCGCAGAGCCTCTAGCAAAGTAGCAAGGTCCGAGGCCAGCACATCAATGTTGACAGGCTGCTCTCCGCTCGCAGAGCGGCGGCCGCGAGTCAAGTAACGTACGACGCGGTAGCGTTGGTTCTGCTTCTGGGCGAAGAACGCATCAACAAAACGGTCCCAAATGTTCCAGTTGACCAGGATGGAGTTGCTCAGCACAACCACTGGCGCGTAGGGGTCGGTGCTACCCTCCAATCGATAGGGAATTTCAACACCATCTGAAGTGGTGACGAAGGACTCGACTGCTGGGCGGGAAGTCGAAGGGAATGTGCGAGTGCGACCGTCGTTGGAGCTCCAGGGTCCAATGACATCCGGGGCAGCAAGGGAAGTGAGCTCACGAGGAGCAGGGCCAAAGGTGTAGTACCACTCATAGACACGACGGTTCTTAGAGGTCACTACCTCACTCATAAGACGTGCCCCCCAGGGAGTATTCATGGCAGCCTTGTGGGCCTCACCTCCAAGACCATTGACGGGGGCGTATTCATAGAGGGTCAGAGATTCGCGCGCGGCGGCGGAATCAATTGCTGCAGTCACGAAACGACGACTCCGGCGCCATCCTGGTACACGAGAGAGCATGTCGAAGTGTTCCTCGCGATACCATTTATCCAGATCAGCTTGCTTGGCGGGGTCGGGGTGAGTAGCAACTCGGACGGCGATGAGGACGCTGCCTCGAGTCTCGGCATCTGTGTCGGCTTGGTCTTCCAAGGGGCGGAAGTCCGGGCTTCTGCGCTCATCCACCAGGTCATACAATAGACGACCCACGTCGATCTGGGCCATGGTCTTCTTCTCCCGCTCGGTCTTGATCAGGTCGGTTCGCAAGTCGAGGTAGGTCTTGCGGGTCAACTCGTCCATGTCGGTAATATCATACAGAGCCACGTATTCGGGCTTCTCTCCATCGGTCGCACGGAAACGGAAGCCATTGGTGACGAAGGGCAGACGCAAACGCAGAGGCCCGTGTTCCGTGTTATACCAGTCGTGGAATTGGGTGTCCGGCAGCGAGCCCTTGGGCTGCATGGTGACGTAGAGAAGGCCGGGGGTAGGCATGGTGGATTCAAAATGATTGAAATGAATAACTCGATCTCAGAGAGAATAGAGGGTTAAGAGGATTTAGAAACATAACTATAAGTTCCCCCGTTCCCCCGTAGAGAAGAAGTCCGGCATTGCGGCGGATGAAAGCAAACCGCAACCGAACTCGACTGCCGAGATTCATTTCTATTTTGCGTTGTACAAACTTGTTCACTTAACATTCTACACTAGTATTTTTTCTTTTTATGTTGTTCAATATTGTAATTGATGTAATTGATGCAATTCATCTTATATTTTAATTCTATTCTCATTTTCATTAATCATACCAAATGGCATTCATACCAAATCCTTGCTCAGGAATATCCACACGCGCGACGCGTGCCAACTTCTCTTCGCGCCAGCGGTACATTTCGACAAATCCTAGTTGGTCATCGCAAAGTGCCACCCACTCATCACTGAAATCACAGGGGCTGACAGCGTTGGAGTGGCCACCGCTAGTCGATGTGGGGTTGATGAAGAGCTGGCGCTCGATCTCTCCGTTCGGTCCGAGTTTGAATGCGGTGATGTAGCCAGTCACATCGAAGTGGTTTGACCGGGTAGTCGCGAACAGATAGTCGCCGCTCTGGGTGCAGAATGTGACATCACCACGATACTTATTGCGTGGAGGGAGGCCTAGGTTGTTGAATTAGTCGGTTAATCAAGTTGTCGGTCGCGTCGAACTCACCAGAAGGTAGCAGTGGGTAGGTGATGTGAGTGAACACTGGCTTGTGAGTACGCTCATCGATCACGTAGACTGCCAATCGGTTACCTGCCTCCATCAGCGCATACAAGTATTTGCCGCTTGGGTGCATCTCGACCCAGCGGGGGTGGTCGCCAGCGTCCGGGGCCTCGAGGCAGTCCACCAGGGTCAATTCGCCGGTCTCGGAATCCTTGATGTGCGTCCAAATCTTGTTGGCTGTAAGATCGGCGGAGTACAGGTAAGTCTCTGTAGGGTCGAACACCATGCCGTGGATACCGGTGTTGGGGACATATTCGTAATTCTGGATGTTGTTGTCCAGAGCTCCATCGGGCTTCACAGAGAACACGTTACCGTATCCCGCGTGGTTATAGAATGGGTTGCCGTAAACATTGTAAGGGGGCTTGTGGGCGGCAAGCACGAAGATAGCACGAGTGTTGGTCTCGCTGCTAGGAGCCAAAGCTTGTTGCACAAGTTAGCGGAATTGATCCACATGACATTGGAGTCCTACATACGGTGACCGGCAACAGGATGTGACACTTGGTGGACGATGTCCGTCGGGCTGTTGACCGCGAAGCTGTTCCACTTCTTCATGGCCGCACCATAGATAGCCTTCTTGTCATGCGAGAACGTCATCCATGAGATAGGCTCAGCTTCGGGAATGTCGGTCTTTTTGACCAATTCGAGTGTGAGGGCCTCGTCGTCAAATTGCACGGTATAGATGCGACCGGGTGCGGTCCAAGTACCGACCATCAAATGATGCTTCATACTTGCGATTGGAGTATGTGAGAATGATCGAGATTGAGGTATAAAGGCTGGTGCCCGTGAGAACCGTGAGAATATAGAACGGAACATATGTTAGCAAAGTCCCTGGAATATAGAGAAAGAATTATTGGATATCGGCATCGAGGGGCGGCACCGGGAGTGCGTTTTACTCCCGAGGGGTCGCCACATCTGCCTTACGAGGTTTGTATGAAAAAGTTTACATGATTCTTTTGACTGCACTTGAATATTTTCAATTCATTGGTTTATCTTATGTTTCGTAATTCGGGTACAATTGCAAATTTCATGTACTAAAATACCTAGGTAAAACTGCAATATTGAATTTGTAATACTAAGTAGTATCAGTAGTATCAACCATGACTTTCATAAAGGTAGTTGGAGAGCTCAGTAGAACTATTAGAAGGGGTCTTGGTGCTTGGGATTAAATGTGACATCCATAGCTCTTACCTAGGTAGCTTTAGGATAGCAAGATGAATCTGTGGATACAGAGAGGTATAAGTCGAGATATATACAAGCAATGATTATCTTGGCCCCGGGATATCAGGATGTCTAGGGGTCTATACATGTATGTTATTATACATAGAATCTGTAAGGTCTTACTCGCTTCTGCTAGCCACTTATACTCAAGCCAAATAAATTGCAGCTGAGGTCTATTTCGGTACTTGATAGGCTGTGACTGTATTATATCGCTAGGTATCTTTTGATCACTTGAAGTCTACATATGTATAGACAACGTTTAACAACATGTCTACATTGTATAATTCTAGAAGTTGAGAACAAACCATATAATAATAATAGTACGGAGTAGGCATCAAACATCAACATGTCAGTTGCCGGAGAAACCTTCCCCCACTTAGCGGATAAGGCATTTCCCGCTCTGCCCCTCATCAACAATTTCCCCCGGAGCTCCTCGGTTATGATCTTTGAGATTGATGCCGGGGAATAAAACATGGGGTATACATTCTTGAAACCGGGCTATGTACCTCTTCCAACGGAGAATCCCTCGTCTTAAATCAATTGGAATTCAAATACGCACCATGCGTCTTCCCTACGCCCCATCTACCCCCCGGCCGATGCATCCACCGACACCGCCGACATTTATGCCCGGATTGCTGAGCGTAGAAATCCTCGTCCCCTGATCCCGCTTGATCTCTCCCTTCTTCATAGCCCACCCGTTGCCGATGGCTGGAACAGCTTCATCGGAGCGATTCGCTCGCGCACCACCGTCGACTCGGGTGTCATGGAATTGGCGGTTTGCCGTGTCGCCGTGCTCAACAATGCTATCTACGAATGGAATGCCCATGCGCCATTGGCGTTGAAGGGTGGTATCAAGCCTGAACAGCTGCATGCTGCTCGCACTTTGCCCTGCACCGCCGAGGGGGATGTTACGGAGCTCGAGAACAGCGCGCTCACCCCGCAACAGCGTGCCGTCCTGCGCTATACTGATCAGATGACTCGCACAATCACTGTGCAAGATACCGTGTTCGCTGAATTGAAGACTGTTGGGTACGATGATCGTGAGATTGTAGAGCTCACCACTGGAATCGCCGGATACAACTGCGTCAGTCGTTTCTTGGTCGCGCTGGACGTTGGAGAGAACAATGCTCGTGAGATGAAGAGTGTCGATGAGTTGGTCAATGCTCTGCAGTAAAGAAAAGGAACCTTCACAAGTGCGACTTGCAATCCTTACCATATCATGGATCCGTCTCCTTTTTGATTGTGTTTCATCTACGAGACTACGAAACTGACCTGAAAAAAATACCTACGATTATGTAAATATGAAGAGTAGATTTCAACAATGTTCGCCTGAATAACGAATGAATTACGACCAAAAGAATGTTCCACTGGCTATAGACTGAATTAACTAGCACATCTGACGACCTTGTCCTTTCTTCTCACTCATTTAGAGACACTGCGAGTAATAGTCGTTCTGTTTCTGGCAAGTGTAGGGACTTGCGCATGAAGTAGCTCCTGTCCAGCCAGCTCCACCACATTGTGCATAATGAGCAGCGCCTGTAGTGATTGATCCAGTGGTGGTGGTGGCCGCCTTGGTTGTCGTGGAGGCCGTGGTAGTGGTAGTGGCTTTGGTGGTGGTAGCTGTAGTGGTGGTTGTGCTCGAGCCACTAGATCCGGGAAAGTAAGCTTGCAGTAGACTCATATAGTAAGTATAGGCCGTCCCAGATGGGGGCTCAAAGCTATAGATATAGTCTCCCCACCAGGGTCCAGCTGCCCACCAGGATGCGCCTAACCAGACATCGCTATTAGCCTGCAAATAGTCAAGCATGCCTTTGACAGCACTGGAGCAAACGGCATTGGCTCCGCCAGCAAATTCGCCCAGGAACGCTTTCTTCCCATTGTCTTTTAGCCACTGCGTAGCCGCCACAACGCGCTCCTGACCGATAGTTGAGCTCACACATGTCTCTGATGTACCAGACCCATCTGAGTCCAGATATTGGTGCATTTCATAAATGATCAAGTTTTGTGGATCCGTCAAAGCCTTCATGTTGTCATTCACGGTTGTCCATGTCCACGCTCCACTCCATGAATTTCCCTCCACGAAGATGTACTGCGACTTGGCTCCTGCGGCTCTGATTGCGTTTATGGCGGCCTGGTTGAGATTCAGAACTAGGGTCTGGTCTTCCGAATTGAATTCGTTGTCTGCAAAGTCAGTATAACAGGATTTACATTGAAAGATGGGAGCTCACTTGTATCAAAAATGACTTTATCATTGGACGCAAATTCTGCAGCTAGCGTTTTCCAGAATGCTGCAAAATCACTCGTCGATGTGATGATATTGCCATAGCTAGAGAATGTTAGGTTGCTGCAATTTGGACTCGTATAAACTATGCAGACTTACTACCGTCCGAAATTGTGAGGATCGACAATAGCATAAGCACCACTTGAAGTGATAAAATTCACGGTCTAATTGTGGTCCTTATCGTTAACGTTGTAATATACTTGACTGTCGTACATGGATTAGCATGACATACACTTTTCAGAGAAGCTAGATAGGTCGCATCCGGACTCGATGTCAGAGTTCCAGGAACCAAACGCTCCATTGCAAAAGGAACACGGAATATGTTCATTCCTGCATTACGCAGCGTTTGGATGGTGGACGTTGATGGCCAGATATAATCTGTGCCCAACACCCCTGGAATGTTCCCACTCCCAAACTCTGCACCAGACTCATTGGCACCAAACCCTTTAAAAGTATGGTTAGATCTTCGGATTAGGACTGGGAATCCGTTTGTACATACAGACAAACGAAGATGCTCTTTTTGATAGCGATTGTCCCGGGGCTGAGAGCGCCAGGCCTGTGACACTAGTCAAGGCAAGCACGAAAGTGAAACGCATCTTGAACATGTAGAAAAGATATAAGATATTAAGAAAGTAAAGAAGAATACAGACCAGAAGGGATCTTATATAATGCTGCACTGCACAATCGTGGTAAGGAATAATGTTCCTGATCATAAATGGATCGTTGAGTAATACCAGCCGTCACACATTTTGATGCGAGATGCAGAAACGATCGCTTTGGGCCCCGGTTCAAGCCACTAACCATGATATCCAAGGTCTATGACGGTCTTTTCGGACCGCTGCCCGGATTTATCTGGAGGGCCCATATCGAATTGGGTTGAAATTGGGGTATAGATCGCCCAGGATACGTAAAGCTCAGAGAAAAGCTGAATTTGGCACGGCATCTAGCACTCTTCCCGATTGGATTGCCGGAGATGAGAGTTGCTTCCAGTGGACACGAACATAGGCGTAGTGGACCTTGGTGTCCCTTTCATAAAAGTCAATGCAATGAAAAAAGGAATCGTGACTAGACAAAAATTAGGTCTTGATAATGCGTCTGCCCTAGTATCAGTATGTAAAGTGATACATGATGATTGGTCACTAAGAACGGTCATGCGTTTCCAGGTCAAGGATGTGGGTCAAGGATGTCTGTAAGCCACTGTGGCTTTCGGCTCCTGTCCTGCAATCTGCCTATAGTGGTTTGATATTTTTTCCGGTAGATATAACAGCCAAACATTAAAGCTGACGAGCTACTACAATCATTCAGGCAGCGATATTTTCATTTTCCGGACCAAGTGAATATAGGATAGCCGTTAACCGGACATATTTCGAAGGAATCGAACCAGTCCTTGCAGGCTATTCATTTTAGGAAAAGAATCGGTCGCCAAACAACAGATGATCAAAGATATGAGGCGTGAAAACTAAAGGCCTTAGCCATTTTTGACTGACCACGACACCCATAGCCCTGGAGTTTGTACGTGATTATACTACTGTCATCATCATTCCCCCATAAGATATTAGTCCAATTTAGCCTGGCAGACAAACGCTCGAAACTAGCGGTCATGCACCATTCTTTCACTAGACCGACGCTCCGTGTACGTCAGTGTGTATTTTAATTTAAACAGGCTAGACAGGAAAAGAAAGCGCTTAATGTACGGATGAGGAAAGCAGTGTGGCTTGACTAGTCGGAGCATTCTCCGCATGGCGGTTTCTGCATGATTTCTTCAGGGTAGAGCAGGGTACCCGTAAAACCCCGCTGAGTCCGGAGACCCTAAGGGCAATACTTTGTATGAGGCGTCATGTTACATGGTTTTACAACCTTAACGCCGGCCCCTAGCTGCAGCTGTTATGCAATGAGTCCGGCTATTTGTGGAAACCGGATAAAGTTACCTTTCCCAGGGACCCCTGCAAGTGTGAACTCAATAGAATGTGATGTGAAGTCACTATGTGGGTGAGATAGTGGATGAAGAACGTATAATATTCTGAGATCTCTGAGGGAAAACGCTCGCTATCTATAGCTAGGGAGGCGTGACAAACTAAGCAAACACGTGAATGCGCAAACAAGCAAACGCTGCTATATCCATAAAAATGAAGTTTGGAAAAAAAAAATTCGATCAAAACCAGAAGAGCCTAATTTACTGCGGACAAAATGAAAGATGGATTTCCATGTACATGTCGATTGAATTTCTATAGTGATGAGACAAGATAAAAAAGCCGCCGCAAACTTATCCCATCATTCCTAATCTCAGGTTGAGAGGGCAAGAAAGAAACTGTGATGGTATGAAGGCAAGTGATAAAGCTAGATAATTGTTTCAATTTCAGGTTCTCCAAAGAACTAAACTATCCTAACTCTTTGCCCAATCCTGCTCTCCCCGTATTCTTCCACACCACATGTTCATACCATCAAGCTACCAATAGATAGGTCTCTACAGGCACTGGGAATAGAAGTCATTCTGCTTCTGGCAGGTGTACGGGCTGGCACAAGTGGTGGCACCAGTCCAGCTAGATCCACCGCATTGCGCATAGTGGGCAGCCCCAGTTGTGGTAGATCCAGTAGTGGTGGTAGTAGTAGCCTTGGTAGTGGTAGTAGTGGCCTTAGTAGTGGTCGTAGTAGTAGCCTTGGTGGTAGTGGTGGTTGTAGTGCCAGAACCAGAGCTGGCTGAGCTGAATGTGGAGCCGAGAGGGCCGACTTTGATGTTCGAGTAGATGACGTAGGCATTAGCATCGTTAGTTTCAACATCAGTCGGTTCACCAGAGGAGATATCACAGCTACCACGAGCAGCACCGGGTGTAGTCGAGCTGGCAGTCGTGGGGTAGGTGCTGTCCAGCCAGAGCATGTTGGAGTTGTGGTCATCCCAGAGACTCATAACAAGGACCATGCCCTCATCAAGACCGGCGCTCATGCCTGCCATGCCTCCGTGCTTGGTGAAGACGTCTGTATCACCGAAGGCTTTCTTCTGGGCGGAGCAGTAGGAATCGGTAATAGAATTACCGCTCACACCGCTGATAGTGGATACTGACTGGGGGATGACCTTGCCGTTTTGAACGTAGAAGCGCTTGATTTCTGATAGAGTACCTGTAGAGGTGCCGTCATTGGTAATAAATTGAGTCACCACTGTAAATGGAGATTTGGTATCCACAATCTTGCTCGGTCCGTAGAAGGATTGATTGCCCTGGCGGTATGGGTTGAAATCGCATCCATCAGGGTCACAAGTACCGCCGTAGCGGTCAGAGCTGTATGTGCCTCCACAGGCATCTCCAGTGCACATGACTTGGGTTGGGGTGTCACAGGGATGAGGAGTAACCGCATTGGAGATCGAGTTGGCCTCCCAGATATCCATCTCGGCGCAGCAAGACCCGTGGTTGCCAGTACCGGCGTTGGCGTCATTAGAGGAAGGCACCCATCCTTCCACATTAGCCTGCCCATTGATAAATTTGAGATCACGCGGGCATTGCGAATCGCAGTAGCCAGTACCGTACTTGGCACCGGCTTTGTTTGCAGGATACTTGGCCATTCCTCCGTCAGAGTCCATGGACACAAAGTACAAGGCGCCATTGAGGCCGCATGGAAGGTTCGAAACATCGACATCGAAGGTGAATTCCTGGTTGAGCAACTGGAACATTTGATACTTGGTATCATTCTCCATAAGGTAGAGACGCGAGCCAATATTTTTCTGGGATGCTGTAGTGACGAAGTTCAAGCGCAATGAGCTGCCGCTAGCTGTCACACCATAAGTGCCCGAGTAGTCGGCACCATCGAGAGCGCAGTTGGTGGCACAGGTCACATCGTCTGGGCAGAGGGTAGCATCCCACGTATTGCCGGTATAGCAATTGGTGTAGCCGGTGTTGCTGTGGAGCCAGCGCCAGTTTGCATCAACGACGACCTTGCCGGATTGCGAAGTGCAGCTGCCTCCGGTGGTACACTTTTGCCAAGTCAACGATGGATGGACTTCAGCAGTATTTGTGCCGACTTGCTGTGCCTTTGCGGCCCCGAGGAAGGCGGCAAAGAGCAGGGCAGTCTTGTAGATGTTGAAAGACAGAGTGGAGGCCATGGCGTCCAATGTTGGTGTTGACAGAGTTGGAATCTTGATTGCTTGAGGGATTGTTGAATAATTCGAGACTATAATCGAGATAGAGGCCTTTTATATCACCTCGAGGAAGATTGAGAACAATAGATATCTAAATCGAGATCCATATGACGGCGTTACGGTCCGTTTGGCCGTAAGAGAAGAAATTGCCGGACGTCCAAATGGAGGTCGATCAGATAGCACTCCGGGGACACGGAGGATTTCCCCAAGACCCCGCAAAGTGGCTATGGAGTAGGTGAAATTAGTTTCTGCAGGAGGTACCCAAAGTCTCAGTGCCACCGAGATGGCTGTGAGTCCTGTGGCTTGCGAAATTTGCCTCTTCTCGCCAAACGGAGTCCCTGGTAAAGTAAATGGGCTTATTACCCACATGTTGGCGGCTAAATGAGCCAGTCACCAGATTATAGGTCGACACGACAGGGGGTAACATCGTGTTGCCCAAGCCTGATGCCCCATGACACATATTAGGACATCCAGATTAGGAACATATTTCAGATCCGTGACCAGGTTGTCACTGCCCGGTTTCTGCAGATAGATAGTGGGGGCAGTCCCTGTCCAATTTTCGGCAATTTGGGTGGCTGCGTATTGGCTGCGCATTGGCTGGGTGTGCAGGGGTTGCATTAGCGTAGTCCGGGAGAATTAGTTTGAATTCCATTGTTGATTGCGGGGATTGTGCAACGAGTGCCGAGCATAGTCCCCAAAAATTCTTGGCCATGCAGTAGTGTCATCACAAGTCAGCTGCATATCAACAGTCCGAGAATAACAGTCGATGCATGCAATCAGGTGGTTGATTAATATCGAGAAGTGGCCTTGGTGCCCTTTTGAGGCTGTTCAAGATTTCATCAAAGATGAAGTGAATAACAAAGAACCAGCCAAGCCAGTGAAGTGCAAGTGAAGTGCAATCAAAGTGTAGTCCATACGGATCCATAGGTGAATATAGACAAAGGGATGTCCGAATTCCCCGATCTAACGCCGATGTAATGCCGATGAGTCATCACCGAAGTAGGGGTTTCCACACATTTTCTCTTTTGGAGAGAGCAATTCAAAGACTTGAGCAATTGAGCATTATTCCATAGCGGATTCAACATCGACATAATGCCTCCTAGCTTCATTCTCACTCTCTCCGGTCCTGATCGCCCCGGCATCGTCCATGCGGTCACTGCCTTCCTCGTGCAGAATAACCTCAACATCATCGATTCGTCGCAATTCGGTGACCCCGCCTCCGAGCGCTTCTTCATGCGCACTCAGTTTGCGCAAGCCACTGGAAGCGATGATATTCCCGAACTTGAGAAATTGCGCACCGCCTTCACTCCCACCGCCCAGTCTTTCTCCCTCGATTTCGAAATCAACCCCACCGTGAAAAAGCCCCGCGTGCTGATCATGGTCTCCAAGATCGGCCACTGCCTCAATGATCTACTCTTCCGTCAATCGACTGGTCAGCTCAGCATCGAGGTCCCATTGATCGTCTCCAACCACCCCGATTTCGCCACCCTCGCGGCTACCTATAACATTCCATTCCACCACCTTCCCGTCACCGCGGATACCAAGGCACAGCAGGAGGCCCAAATTCTGGAATTGGTTGGCAAAAACAACATTGACTTGATTGTGTTGGCCCGGTACATGCAGGTTCTGTCTCCAACCCTGTGTTCTGCCATGTCGGGTCGCATCATCAACATCCACCACAGTTTCCTCCCTTCTTTCAAAGGTGCCAAACCTTACCACCAGGCCTACGATCGTGGTGTGAAAATCATCGGTGCCACTGCTCATTTCGTCACCAGCGACTTGGATGAGGGCCCTATCATCGAGCAGAACGTTGTGCGGGTCAACCACGGAATGAGTCCCAAGGAGCTGACACATGCCGGTAGCAACGTCGAGAGCAACGTGCTTGCTACTGCCGTCAAGTACGTGACAGAGCGCCGCGTTATCTTGAACGGTCACAAGACTGTCGTCTTCAACTAAGGTTCCAACACTCCCCCAATCAGCTTTGCGATCCGCATTGAAGTTATTCCTTTCAGCGACCCTTTTGTAATACCTCGGTGGTCAATATCACAGACCATGAGACTGCTGTGAACAAAAAGAAAAGATATCCGGCCAAATATAGAGCTCCAATATAAAACACACCTCCATTTCTCTCCATACCCCTCAAAAATTAACATGTGACCTCGTTCAAATCTATCGGAAGTTGTACTTCAAAATATCTGACTAAACAAAAAAGCAAGATATTTTTCATGAGTAACACCTATAAAAAAAGGGTGCTAGTTAGATTATGCAGTGGATTGGACTATGTTATGGCAACCAAATTCCTGGGTTGCTTGAATCGGGTATATGGGCAGGTTGAAAAGCTTCATTCACTGCTAGACTCGTTGAGACGTGAGCCACTCAGATTCTAAACTTACCCCTGAGTACTGAAGTGGTGGGGATTCGTACCCAGTCCTTCGCGCCCACTGACAATGTATTGTGACTCATCGTTTTGGATCCGGTTGGCAATGTCAAACTATAATGTCGGATTGGGTCGCTATACCAGGCTCTCTATTCGTAGGACATCAGCGAACAAGGCGCTGACGCTGACCCCTGCTGGTCATTTACAAGGGGCCACCTCAATTTTCAGCCTTATATCCTGCCAAGACTACTACTGGGTAAGCGGGTATTTAAATTCGACATCCTTGCTCAATGCGCATCCACGGCATCTATCCCACCACGCCAACATGACTTATTATGTTGCTCCTCACCTCAACTACTTCACTATTCCCATCGCGGATTTCATCGCTGCCCGGCCGGAAATCGATGGCTTTGCCATTTGCGCATACATTTTCTCTCGTGCCCATTCTACCCCGCGTATCCTTCTTCTCCAACGAGCGTTGTCAGACTCCTCGCCCGGGTGTTGGGAAGGACCTGGAGGCGCATGCGAGCCTGAAAATGACAAGACTGTACTGGACTCCCTTGTACGTGAGACATTTGAAGAAAGCGGCTTGCATGTCTCTCGCGTTGTTGATTTGGTAGCGGTTGATTGCTGGGAGCATCGTCGACGCAACGGAGACAAGATCCGTCTTGCTAAATACTCGTTTTTGGTTGAAGTATGCGAGGGCAGCAAGGAATTCGAAGGAAAACAAGAGCCAGTGCCAACATCCGAGATCCCCATTCGACTCGAACCGACGGAGCACCAGGCGTTTGTCTGGGCAACGGAAGATGACGTCCAGCTTTCTATAGAGTCTACCAATGGTCTATACAAATTTCCGTCGCCTCCAACTGGAAGCCATGCATTGAGCATTCTAAGGGCTTTTCAACAGGTTGAAAGGCGATAAAGAAATTTCCGAACTAACTTGCAAACCTATGCATCTCAGGTGTATAGAATACAGGGCAATGTCTGTTTGTCAAGTTTCCCGTTCTTTTGATTATATGTATCTGTCGTTCGCATAATTTGCTATTAGTTTGTTCGCCTCACTAAGAGAGAGGGCTCTTTCTGTTCTTGCTTCGATACTTGTTAGATAATTTACTACCCAACCCTACTGAGCTGCCGAATTGCATCGCAAGTTGTCGAATGAGAAGAAGCTTGCAACAAATCAAAATAGGTGAAAAATTCACGATAGCGCTTAGAATACGTGGATCTATAAAGAGAATGGTGATCAGATTGATCTCATTAAGGGAACAAAATAGCAAATCGTGACGGGCATGGTATATACACGATCTAAGAATCATAAAAGATCCAAAATCTATGCTCAGTTCAACGGGAGCTAGATTTTGACAACCTGGGGGCTTCACCAGGCATCGGCTTTCGAGCCCACACTCTGCGTCTGCAAGTCAAGTTAGCTTGAGAACAACCCATGGAACATCCGAACTTACGATTTGTGATAGACATGGTAATATGGATTCTTCATTTCGCTGCGGAGCCTAGCACAGTAAACGTGCACTTGTTCCTTTGTCCAAGGCTCGGGCTCACCAAATTTGGTTAGCAACCACATGCACCATCCCTCCATACCGGAAAACCAGTGTTGGACATTGACAAGGCCAGCCTCTTTGAACTTCTGGTCTCTCGGCCATGGACCAAGGGGCCATTTGTAGATTTTTTCATGTACGTCCACAAATCCAGCTTTCTTGATGCTCTCCGACATGGTAAGGACGATGTCGCAAGAGCGACCAGCGAGGTCACCACATTTTTGCATCATTGGGCCCCACATGGACATGGCACTATCATCGGGTAGGGATCCATCGTCACTGGTGAGAAATGGGCCGGCCTCAAGCTGCTCAATCCAGCCGCCAGGAGCCATTTTCCTATCCATTTTGTCAGATGGGTTGGTGTGGATAGGTTTGGAAACCTACTCGAAGCACTGTTGGTAAACACGATCCCATTCACTGGAATCAAACGATCCGAGCATATTACGCATATGAATGAGATCAAATTGTTCGCGCCAGGTCCACTCTTGGAGCACGTCGTCGACCTCGATTACGCAATTGGGTGGCAACCAAGTGACTGGAGGTGGAAATAAGTCCACTCCCCGGACGGTCGAATTGGGGAACATATCAGCAACGTCACTAAAGCCCATTAACTCTTGAGGACCACTGGAATGCAAGGAGGGTTTAAAGTTACATGGCCCAAGTGCCTTTGCCAGTTCCAATATCAAGAACCTGTAGCGGTCGTTCTCGGTCGGATCCGATTGGGGAGCGAAACAGCGGATTATCTCGATCAGATTCTAGTATGAGATCGACGAGATGTCTGTGATTGTTTAGTTTAGAGGTCTTCAACATAGATTAAAACTCCAGACGAACACCTACCCTGCCTCATATGTTTCGAATTGTTGTTCATCGGATGGAATACTGCAAAAAAAATTACCTATCTTGCAAGAATGTTGCACAGACAGTTGATCAAAACGTACCAGTATTCTTTATTGGAAAGTGATTGATACCTTTTTTAAATTTATATAGATCAGTTGCATGTTACAAATGCCGAGGCTCGAATCTCTTACCGCCTCCCATTGTCTACCAAACCGCGATAAAGCGATGATCCGATCGACGTGGTTTCTCTAATAGACTTGTTAAGGATATATATGGGATTTTTGTTTTAGAAATAAGTTTATCACTCACGATTGCCAGTCGTCGGGGCTGTAATTGCTATCAGGATCGTATAGATCTGGGTCCACGTCGATAGTTTCCATATCAATAACTATCTCTTCTGATATATAAAGATAAAAGATAACCTTCAAGTAGAGAGATATATGCGGAAGGGAAAAGGATTTTGAATGAAAGTAAAAGGTGTGTAGAGAAGAAGAAAGCTGAAGACGCTTTACGGGAGTTAGGCCCCTCTCTGAACTTTTCTCCTTTTTTCCACCTTTTCCTCGAATTTATAAGAGATCTGATTGGTCACGGAAATACGAACCTTTTTCATTCACGCTTGCCAATCTGGTTCAAATCCTTGCCGCTCCCGTTCTCCACACGGAAAGTGTCATCTTTCCCCTTGATTGTTGATTGGTCTCGGCCATCATTTAGGTAAAAGGGTTCCAGGGTCTAACTAGTTCTTTTTGAAGGTTATCTAATTTTGCTTTTTACTCTTTTTACTTTTAAATCGTCAAAGACAACTATAACTAGGTAGTCGATCAGCAAGATTAGGATGTCTTTATTAAAATGTGTGCATACCCTGGTCTATGTTTTAGGGTTGAAGAAATTCGATTAAAACTATACTGATAGTAGTAACCAATAGTCGCACACTACCAGAGCCAAAGTACACTTGGATCTCGGCTCACTCCATGAACTTTCCATAAGTGGGGCTAACGGCACGAAATCTTGAGATATAAATACGTATGGTCGATGGGACGGACTATGATGGTGTAATGGGGCGAGCTGCATGTTTGTCCTGCAGCCCACTGACTGATGTACAAAAAAGTATGGACCGCGTAATCAACACAAGTACCGACCGGGGCCACCTCTCTCCGCATATGCCTCGTAATATTGTGAAGCATGACGGTAATGTGACCCATTAATGGATGATCCTTTACGTCAATATCTAACTACTATCTCACAGTTGTATGGCCAATGATGCCGAAAGAAAGAAAAACCAAGTGACACAGAGTGAAGTCCACTCTTGGACCACGTGCGGCCATACCTACCTAGGTAGCATCATTGACGGATATTGTGCGACATTCGGGGGGTTTATGTGGACCTCCATGACTCTTCAAGCTGACAGATAAGAGCCTGCGCTTGGTGAGAAAAGTTCTTACTTTATCGAAAGTTAACATATCAATCGAAATTTCTGGTTGGAACGAACATGTCAACCGACAAAAAGGTACTTCAGATTCTAGAACAGTGCCGTGGTATCTACAAAGAGGCACTGGATAGCAAGAACACCAGAACTTTCTCTACCTAGCCTGAAGAAAAGCGATGCGACCTCTGACCTACCATAAGGCCTATCATGTTCCGCCCCAAATCTCATGCAAGAGCTGGATCATATATCTCAAATCCTCCAAAACGATTATGGAAAGCAGCGGGAAGCCAATATAATAACCGACGTACTTCAGCTTTGCTACCAGAAAACAATGCTGGGAGGCTTGATATTGTGAGAAGATCATTCTATGAAAACACAAAAAGCATCGAAAATTTGGTTCTAGTTAGAGCATGCCTTGAGTCTCTGAATTCAGCTGATTGGGAAAAGTCCCTTCCTTATTCTTTAGCCTACCGGCCAGAGAGTCGTCAAGGAATGACAATGAGTGAGAAAATATTTGCCATGCACGATGTTGATCGTAAGGAATTTGTGGTTCCAGGGGAGACTATTCGGGCCCGTGTTGATTGAATGCTTGCTTCTGAGGCATCTTGGGTAGTAAGTCGGCCCCAATAGGTATTTCAATGTTGAAACATCCATGGATGGTGGCTAAGTTGAGTACAAAGGGAATGGAAAGGACGTATGAATTGTTAGGAAGACCAGGCATCTTTCGAAATGATCGGGTCTGGCTAGCTGCTGATCATGTTGTTGATCCTCGAGCTACCTAGAGTGCAGGCGCTCATTGATGCCAGTGAGCGGACCAAAAGAAAATTCAAGATGACAGACCACAAAGGCATGAACGTAAGTTTTCTTTTGTGATCCCTCGATTGCAGTTCTCAAGCGTTTTGACGTATACTATTCTTCACACTGAGTTTAACGAGGACGTGCGCAGCCCAGAATGCAGCCCAGGTGGTAATCGGACCAGACTCGCATACATGCTCATCCGACGCGGTACTCAGGTGTGTTGGAAATTGGGCTGGGAGCTACAGATACAACTTTGCCACTGATAACTGGGGGAATATGGTCCACAATACCCGAGTCTGACAATATACGTTTGCTCAGAGCACCCGCGCCTGGAATTCATGGTAAAGATATCGTTTTATATATCTTGCAAGTCCTCAAACGGAGTCCGATAGTATCTGAAAGAATCATGGAGTTTACATGCACGGGAACGAGACCCTTACCCCAAGATACGCGCTTTGCAGTGTCAAATATGACCATGTTATAATACCTGAGCAGCTACGATCAAAATAACCCCACCGACGAAAGGGATAGGAGCTTGGAGCAATTGCTGAATCATTCGTACCCGATCCAATTATCTACGATTTCATCAGCAGACGAAAGATTACGCGTTACAAAAGCCTCAAAACGTACTTCAAGCCCGACACCGAAGTGGACTTGCTGCTGTTTGTGAGATTGATCTCGCGAGGGTTAGATCAGACCGAGCACGTTCTCCCAGCCCTGATGATGTGGTTTCCGTTCGGGATGAGGAGGACATGTCATTGATTGGGAGTTTCATTGGGGGTGGAATACAACCGAAGAGAATCTCATCCTCGGTGCTTTTTCATCGAAACAAGGGTTGAAGGAATGATTCAAGCCTACAGCGAAAGGATAACGAAAGGGAGTTCCGGGATCCTTGCCGCTCATGCATCGTTTGCGTAAAATTGGGTTGTCTGATGTGTATGTCGACGCAGGGTTTAAAGTCGGTATCCCTGATTGCAGTTATTGCGTGGGGATGTCGGTGAACCAAGCTGCTCCAGGGAATTTTGGGTTACCTCTCAATACTGTAAATTTGAAAACCGTATGGGAAAAGGTAAAGAATGAGACTGAGAATCATGAAGTCATGAGTTGAGGCATGATGACTAGGTTCGATTGGACATCTCGCATCAGCCGCCACTGTGGCGGCATCTTCCTTCAGTATGAAGTTGGTCGACCCTGGCGAGTTTCTAGCTGCCATTGACTTTGAACAATGGCAAAAGCTTAGGGGGGTTTGTATGGTCTCAGATACTGATGCTTCGAAGTTTGACTTGCGATACGTCGAGCCATGTGGTTATTACAGTGCCGATGCACGGATCAAACAAGCAGAAGGCGAGAATCAAAGATATATAAATGGCGCGAGTAAACTGAGAATCCTCCGAGGGAAAGTGCAAGGAGTAGGGGACTTTGCTGACATAGATGCGGTGCATGTGCCATTTCTGCTATATCATCTGTAACACGACCCTTTCGAGGCTTGGAGAGCTTGGCCCTGCTGAGTTTCTGATCAGCTTGAATAATATCGACCATGGAATTCACGCACCCTCGATTTTGAGTACAAGCTTGACGAGTTTTCAATGTCGTGATCGCTGGCAAACTATTTGGGTGCGGAATATCTCGTGAAGAAGCAGTGATAGAATTACTGTGAAAGATGGGTTCGGTTGCTAAATCTGACCAACCTTAGGATGCGGCGTGTCGTGTGTCGCCGCTAGATCGTTCTAATTCATCTTTCAACGCCATGTGCCAAAGCTGGGACTTTTAGGGATCAAATTAGAAGACGAATTGTTCTTTGAGACGGCGATTGATGGAATGCCGATCTCAAACGGTTTGATTACCAGTAATTCGATTTAGATTGCAACATATTCCACTCTGAACTCAGTGCGATTATAAATGCCATTTTTTAATATGGTGGGGTCATGTTAGCTTTTCAAATTTTTGGAAATAAAATATTCAAAGCAAGGATTCCAGCCAGTTGTTTCCATCGGCCAATGAGACAGAAAGTGGATTAAACAATTCACCCGTGTGGTGATGGTTGTGGCCAGGCAGTAATGACTTGTGTTTTGCAGAGATGAGACGAAGTTGCAGTTGTTGTTCGTTTGCTATTTCCTCTGTCTCATAGAATTCGCACTTAAATAATTTTTTTTTTGAATTTCGATATACTGAATATTGTTTGAAAGCATCGTGTGATGTGGAAACGATTCAAGTTATCGTCAGCCCTGCCACCATCGATGCATTGGGGGATTCTTCAGGATCCTCAACTGGAATTTTACAACGCTAAGTGCTTGAATTTGTAGACCCAAGTCAGTGTCGTGCTTGATAGAAGATTTGAGTTTCTCTGTTGTGATTTCATGGCTGTTGACAAACTCGCTAACCGGTATACAAGTGTGGAATTTTGTGGCATTATGGCCGGTCGCGAGATCCTCAAATGACACGATCAATACCGATGCCGGGGCTAGTCATGTAGTCTGAGGGTGTATCATGATGTGGGGAATTCGGCACCTCAAATGGGGGGATCTATTCAAAGCGCCCAATATGAAACGACCAATCTTTTTGGGATGACAGCGAAGGATCTCGTGTAGTGCGTCGAAGTTGGTGCTTCGCAGTTAGTGCAAACAAGGAGGCATCATCCAGGTCGACGGTGCAAAGGAGGAATACGCTCGGGCCATGCGATTGCGCGACGCTCTTTTTTTTTGTTTCGTCCATTGACTGCATATGTATGTTGTATATAGGTATACAAAAATGAAAACCGAAAACTAGCAAAAATATGATCGAGAAATAAAAAACGCATATCGGAGTATGACTTGTGGAAGCCCGCTTCGTGGCGATTACTCGATGGAAACACTAACTATTCGGAGATAGGGAGCCGAGGTGTTCAATTACTCGATTCAAATATTAACATGTTCAGCGGTCATACGATAGGAAACACTATTGACATGTGCCAATTACTCGATAGAAATATAAATATGACCTCAGAGACCGATCTACAAACGTCTATCATATTTTCCGCGGGGAACTCCAAGCCACAAAAGAGGAGAGAGTCGGAATTTCGGCTCATTTCGATGCCACGACCATTGTCATAGTTCTAGACATAATCAATAAAAGTCTTTATAATGTGAGTAGACTGTGAGGCAAACGCTATCGGGGAATTTGGGAGGTGAGTTCAACTCAAGCCCTCATGGGGTTTGTTGTTTGTACTAGCAGCACATGGTGTCGAAGGAGTTTGAAAAAAGTTGATCTTAAAGATATTTCCATTGGGCACAACAATGTTACAGATCGACCAGCTGCTATATAACATACTGGTATGGTTTAGAAGAGGAGAATCTATGTGAATATTTGAACTCGTCGTTTATCATATTGCCATCTTTACTGCTGTCGATCGAATCTTGTATCCACTCACACATCTTCAATCTTCTTCTCTGCTGCATCCGACATATTATGCGGTTCATAGGGTATTTCGTTCCATGTGTCACTTGTTCCGGAAATAGGAACTACACAAGTTAGAATCCAGTACACTCCACCCGAGACAAGGAACCCCGAAAAGTAATTGACATCGTAAATGTACATTGCTCCAACAGGAACATTGATACCCACGGTGCCAGCAAAACCGACAATGTTGACCAGAATTCCGCATAGATATGCCGCATATCCGTGCCAGGAGACACCATGCGTGCCATAGTACACTCCATCTTTCTGTGCACTGTATAGGGACTGTACGTCTAAATAGCCTCTGCGGACAAGATAGTAGTCACTGGCCATAACACCGGCGATTGCGGAAAGAAAGACGGAGTATGCAGATAAGTAGAGAGTGAATTTGCTGGATGATTCGACCAACGTCCACTAGAGTAAAGCATCAATATGGTATGTGAGCGATAGGCCGCCATCTTTTCCTACTCACTGGACACATAGCAAGCCCAATAGCTGCACAAAAGTAGCCTCCGCGTCGAATAGTACAAAAGCGAGGGAGAAGAGCCGTCAGATTGGTGCCGGCCGACACTGAATTGGCGGCAATATTTGTTCCGAGTTGCGCCAATGCAAACCCAGCTGCAATGACGAATATTCCGAAGCGCTCGGCAGATGTTGCACCTTCTAAAAACATACCAAGAAGGGTCAGAGGATTCCAAACCGCCTGACCAAAGATAACACTTGATGAAGAGGAAACAATAATTCCGATGAAAGATGTGATCGCAAAGCCGACGGGAATTGTGATGATCTGTGGCCAAAAGGCATCCTTAGGGTTGCGGGCATATCTCGCGAAGTCAGGATTGTTGATTACCAGAGCGGCAAAATTCGCAATACAGTTCATGATGCTTTTCACGAATGCCCATGCCAAATCACTGCCTTGCGCGGTGTTGGGTCGTGTGATGATTGGACCAAGACCATGAGCCCGGGCAATCGCCCATCCAAAGAACGCGATAGCACACGCCGGCGAGAAATATGCTTTGACTGTGAAAAGATGGCGGATTTTATAGATGGGAAACCAAAGAGCTGGCAAAGACAATAGCCAGAACAATAAGAAGCTGACAAATTGCTTAGTTGTCACTCCTGATGAAGCAGGGATCGTGTTTGGCAGGGTGTTATAGCTTGGCCAAATAGCAGAAATCATCAAAGTCACACATTCGCCTGATAATTAGGTACGGATTAGTAACAGTATCCTTAATATCTCTCACTTAGGATGCTCGTATACCTCCTAGATAAGTCTTTTTTGAGAGGAAGTTAGAAATAGAGATCAACAGATGGCAGTATCACTTACCTGTACGCCGTACCAGATTACAGCCATTGCTGCCCGGTTCATAACTGGCCAAAAGGAGCCCCAAATTCCAAATGAAGCTCGATTACTGACTGCAAAAGGAATGCGATAGACCGATCCAATACGACCTATGAGATATACAAAGATGGCCGAAATGGTGTAGCCAATCCAGACGCATAGCCATGCCTGCCACCAAGAAAGGCCATCAACTATCATCGAAGATGAAATCATCCATGTGTTCTGTCCCAATAGTGTTAGAGATATAGAGCCTTTACATTGCAGAGAAAATACAAAAAAGCAACAAATTTTATCCTTCGTGTATGAATGCTCTGTGAGACAAAGAACACTTACAACATTCAAAGAATCTGCAATCCAAAATGCAACAAAATTAATCCATCCCCACTGGCGTCGTTCGGGCTCAACTGCAGTCAAGTAAAAATTCAATTATCAGCTGCTGACATAGGATATTGGTTCCTCATGACCAATAGTAAGGCTCGATGATACGACAGGACTTTAAGTCATATATCTTGGAGAAGGTAGTAGCTCAGCAAAGGCCGTCATAATCTTACCTGGTCGTAGATCGTCGTTCGTTAACATCAGCTGCGCGGTTGACAATCCAGGTTCCTGCGGCACCTGGATCTTCTTCAACCAGAACCTCAACTGACCAAAGAACATCTTGAATAAACAACAATATTTCTGATAGCAATTAACAAAGCCCCTCAGCTTTCTGATAGTTGAACGGCGGGCCGAGGTAATGTGATAGGCTTTTAACAGCCGAAAGACTAGGGGACAGTAAGATAATAATTTGGAAGAATGAAGATATTCCCATTATATATTGCAAAAAAATGCTGAACTAAAGCGTAGGGCAAATAGTGATCAACTCATAGTAGATCTCAACCTATAGCGGTTTTGCCGACGGGCGATCCATGTGAACTCTAACCCCGCATTTGGGATTTCGCTCACAGAAGATAATTTATCGATTTTAGCCCACTAATGTCCACTTGCCCCGATAATCGCTATGAGTTATTCACTTTTATGTAATACTCTTACCCGCGACGAGATCGGACTTTGGAATGGAAGATCTATTGGCCTTAGTTCACACAATGAGTTCAATTAAGGAGTTGAGGATAAAAGCAGGCCATTGAGGCAACTTGCAAAGCATTCTAAGTAGCCAGAGATAGTGAGTAGTCTATGAGTTAAGCATGAGTTTATAGGCTATTATTTTAGGGTACAGATCAACAGCTAGATGCTGAGAGACTTCAAATCGATCGCCCAATCATTTCAATATCACTGCACGACATTTTGAGAAATATAAGAGATGAAAACTAGAGGGTAACATTGGTTTAGTATTCGGATTTGAATTACGCTTAGGTCTCTGCTTTCGGGAGAGATTTAAAAAGTTCCCAATGTTCAAGATTTCAAGGAATTATCACCATAGGATTTTAAGCTTCCCACGGCTAATTCTTTGTTTTGCCCTTTTGTTTGTAGAGGCGCACGGCCCCAGTGGGAGTGTAAAAGAAACCGAGAAGCGTAAAATGATATTCTAACATCAATTGAGAAGGTTAGAGTGTTTCAAACATAGACTAGCCGAAATTTCTTTCGAGGAAGCTGGGCGAGGACCTTGACCAGTAAACCTGTGACATTGACAATAAGTCTCATTTGACTTGGGATAGTCAAATCGTAGTTGATTCTTCCCCGGCCATAGACTTAAACCAACTTGGTTTTAACCATGAGGTGATAAAGAGTTTGTCTGGTCAATCAGCAAGCCACCGGATGTAACAGTATGGGTTCCATTGATCTGCTGTGCTCTTTCTTCAAACAAAAGGCTACAGCAAATTTAAATACATATGCGTTGCACTAGCCTGCAGTCTTGCATCCGGGAGTTACGTGCAGGCCAACGATCGATGTAGTTGCTCCTTCATGCTAGACACCTCGCTTGTACAGACAGTCTCACTTGAGACACGTAGAGCGGCCGAATGGAAAACCGAGGCAGCGGTGATCCTACGAAGCTGGGCTATGTTCGTTGCTCTCACACCACCTCCAACAATGATTTCCGGGACTTTCTTCTTTAGAATTTTTCCTGCCCTTGCGATTTGCTTATTATTCCAATCCACCAGAATTGCGAGCTTGTGGACGCAATCCGTCGCCTGGGTACCCGATGGCCCACCGCTGGTCAAAATCGATGTGAATCCACAGTCCATGATGTCCGACAGAGCGAAGTTCCATTCAGATTCGGGTATAAGATCGAATGCACGATGAAATGTACAAGGCAGGCCATCGGCTAACTGTACAAGCTGCTTATTCCGGGAAACATCAATCCAGCCATGTGACGGGTCACATTCTCCCGGTTCAGATTCATTCAGAATGCCGAACACAAAGCCATCGGCACCCCGAGCCTTCAAAGATTGCATTGTTGCTTTCATGCTTTCAAACTCAAAAGATGTGTAGCAGAAACCATTAGGATGTGGCCGAATCATCACGAATATTGGAATGCTGAGCTTCGATTTCAAATGTTCAAGAATGGCATCGTCGGGCGAAAGACCACCTAAACGGTAATCTCTACATAGTCTGACCCGAGATCAGTGATCGAAGGCACAATTACATGTTTCAAGGGGCAACCTAAGAAAAGTTTCAACCTGCAATACTCACTCGATGCGATCCGCTCCACCTCTTTCCGCGAGGATGGCTGATTCTTCATTAAAGCAAGCAATTTCCAGCAATGGCTTTTTTTCAATAATATGATCATTCATGATGCAAGGTTGTAGATCTGGCATGGGGTTTTACGAAAGAAAAAACGAATGAGCAGAATTGGTGGCGGAGATCTTTGGCGCCTACGTGGCGCCTGATTGGCTACTCAGACCCCAGATGTTGACTCTAGTAAGGTCCTTGCTTTGATTTCATAATTTGCTTTTCTACGTTTTATTCAAAAGTCTAGCAACAGTCTTTAATGCGACATTACTGTGATGTTTCCACAAAATGTCTATACAATTTCTGTATCTCTTCCCATCGGCTTTTGTGAGGTCTTTCTTCCCATCAGAAAGCTCGCCCTAATTGGCTTCACTCATGAATAACGTATTTAACTACCGAGCCGCCATAACCCCCGAGTCGCCACCCCAGCCTAACCCATTGAATTTAAATGCATTTATCTCAACCAAAACGCCATCAATTTTATTCAACTAAGAAATGGTCTATCTGGGCATGTCTCTCTCCTATGCCCTGGCAACCTGCATATTCCACACCCCCTGGGGGCCGCGTCCGCGGTCGAATAGCCGGTTCCCCCGCTATGTGAGGGCCAGGGGGAGGTGGTTCAATTACTCCCTCTGCCTGCATATTAAATGTTGAGGTATCTAAAACTGAGAGGCCCTCGGCCGAGGGTATATACCTTCGAGAACTAGTCCGCTTCTGCTTCTTTTTCTCGTTTTCGGCTCGTAACCCGCGTACTTCTTTCTCCAGAAAAGCACTCGATTGCATCTGAATTTGGCAGGCCTTTAGAACATGGTTTATCGCATTATTAAGTGGGCTCGGAGGACTCCGGGATCTCGTATGAAGCAATGCTTTGATTGATGTAGCCTGCTTTAGTGATTGTGTACAGTTCGAAGGCGTTTTTGGTTCCCACTCGCTCTCTTGACTTGAGAGGGGGGTCGGGGTTCGAAGGCGAATACTGAGCTTTGTAATTACTCGATCAGGTTAAAAGGTACTAGACCAGCTGCTCCGAAGCTATTGATAATAGTATCGGATTTGAATGTCTCGGAGCGGGCGGAAGGGTAGGCTTCGAGGAAATCAAGTTTGTCGATATGGTTACTCCCATTCCGCATTTTGGTTTCAACAAGCCGACCGTACGAACGTTTTAGCACCGCAAAACAACCAATATCGAGCGGCTATAAAAGGTGGGATGAGTGCGGAGGCATGCAGATTGGGATAATGTCGTTTTCTTCGCAGATCTTATCGAAGTTCGGGGTTAAATGACTTCCGTGGCCATCGAGTATTAAAAGTCGATATCGACCCTTTACCCTTAAAGAAGTCGATGGAATGAAAAGCTTTTTAAGCCATCGAAGTCCAATTTCATCAGACGTCCATCCATTCGGACTAATCTCAAATCGCCAGTCATCGGGAAGGTTATCGAACCATCCCTCAATATAGATTCTACCTTTAAAAATCACAGTCGGAGGAAGTACCCATCCCGAAGCATTTATACACTCAATCGTAGTTACCCACTCGCGATTTCCAGGCTGTAGAAGCGATCGCCGACCATAGTATTCACTCCTTGTAATAACCCTCGCGGTTGACGTTAATCCCATCGCGAAACCAGTCTCGTCGAAGTTATAAACGTCGTCGGGGTTGATCCCATATTGGATAATAGTTTGTTGGACGAGAGTAAACCACTCCCCGATGATTTTTGGATCTTCGCATTTTGCACGCTCATAATTATAGCGCCTCGAGAATCTACTCGATAATTCGGGATGCCTTTTCACATACTTTGTAACCCAATTCTCACCGACCGAAGGAGCCGGGGTTATTCCGCGTGATTCGAGTAAAAGATTCGCCATTTCTCGAACTGCAGAAGGCCGAGGGGCTGATCCGCGAGCATCCATAGAGAGTATCCAATTTTGAAGGGAATCTTCTTCAATCTCTGTGAGTTTATGTGAATTTGCGCGTACAATTCTTCGCTCGGTGCGGCCGGAGATACGATCGCGTAAAGTGGAACGTGGTACATTGAAAGTGCGAGCAGCGAGAGAAACAGTAGCGATATCTTGTTTCTTAAGAGCTTGTATTGCTAATAAGATCCTACCCTCCTGCTCTACTGAATTCCGAGAGGTTTAGGGGCGAATTGGTGGCATAGTGGATGGTTGAATTAATTAAGTGCTAATTCATGGACATGTTTTAGATTATGTGGCGACTCGGGGGTTATGGCGGCTCGGTGGTTAAATACGTTACACGCTGTTTCTGTAGTTATACGACGCTATGTAATGTGACCTATGGGGGGAGTGAGGAAAGTATTCTATTAGATACTTGATTTTGATGGGAGAAATTGCTTTTTCTTTGTCAATGTAGTATTAGTAGTTCATTGATGTGTGGGCTTGAAATTTAGGATTTTAGCTGACTGACACCTTGACCAGTGACTACGACTTGAAATCGTACCCCAAAAATTATATTCTCCACAGTGATCTTGAGTAATTTGTACACATCAAAATGGTGGGATATCAAATTTAGTCAGATTATGAGTTTCCATCCTACCTAAATATGACCAATAGTTCTTTATCATGCCGCTGCCCAAAGCGGGGAACAAGGCGACGTTACACCGGAAACCAACAACTTGACTGTGAAAATGATGAGAATCTTCCGCTAACGGTACTTGGTAATTTCTCGTTTTCTATTGATCCATAAATGACTATAAAGATGATATTACCACATCCAATTATCGCCATCGCAGGACTCGCCTGCGAGACCTCCAGCTTCTCCCCCGCTCGGACACTCCGCGACGCCTTTCATCCGAAACGTGGACTGGAGATTATTGAGAAATATGCATTTTTGCAGGATGGTAGTTCATTGGCAGATATAGCGGAGTGGAAAGGAGCTCTTATTGGCCACGCACTTCCGGGCGGGATCGTGGTTAGAGATGATTTCGAACATCTCGTCAAAGAAATCCTGGATCGACTGGCGGAAATCATCGCTTCCACCCCCATTGACGGGTTGTGGTTCGATATTCATGGAGCAATGTGCGTGGAGGGGCTGGATGATGCCGAAGCCGAGCTTCTTCGCCGTATTCGAACTGTTATTGGCCCTGAAGTTCTGGTCTCCTCGTCTATGGATTTACATGGGAATGTGTCTAGAGATCTGGCCCACCAGACTGACCTGATTACCTGCTATCGAATGGCACCACATGAGGACGCTTTGGAAACAAAGGAGCGCGCTTGCCGAAATCTCGTTGATCTTCTAATTGCTTCAAAACAAACCGCGAAACTGACTCGACCTTTGAAAGCATGGGTCTCAATTCCTATATTGCTACCGGGGGAGCAAACCTCAACACGTATCGAGCCCGCCAAAAGTTTATATTCCCTGGTTCCAGTTGTTGAAGCGATGGAAGGGGTACTTGACGCATCTATTTGGGTTGGCTATGCATGGGCAGATGAACCTCGAAACCATGCAGTGGTGGTAGTCACTGGGTGGGACGAAGTTATTGTCACCGAGCAAGCCGAGCGACTTGCCTCCATCTTTTGGAGGTTCCACAAAGATTTCCATTTTGTCGCACCTACGGGCTCTCTGTCTGAATGTCTCGACAACGCGATTGCATCTGACAACAGACCGTTTTTCATATCCGATTCGGGAGATAACCCAACTGCAGGAGGATCTGGAGACGTAACTTTAAGCTTGATCGAACTGCTGCAGCGAGCTGAGTTTCAAGAGAAGACAGGCCCGTCAGTTATATACGCCAGTATCCCGGGACCCCAGGCAATCAAGATCATTACCGAGGCTGGCGTTGGTGCTAGTGTCACAGTTACTGCCGGAGCACAAGTGGACAATGTCCATTCAGGGCCTGTGACCATGACCGGTCGTGTATTTTCGATCAAACACGGGGATCAAGATGCTGAGATCGAAGCAGTGTTACAAGTTGGAAGCATTTTTGTCATTTTGACAAAGTTGCGAAAGCCCTACCACCACGAGAGTGACTTTACCGATCTTCATTTGCATCCACGGTCAAGCGATATTGTTATCGTAAAGATTGGATATCTAGAGCCAGATCTATATGCCATGGCTGGTGGCTGGATGCTTGGATTGACCACTGGTGGGGTTGATCAAGATTTACAACGTCTCGGGCACCACCGAATTCACCGTCCGATGTGGCCTTTCGACAAACCATTCAGGGAGACTCCAAAGCTTAAGCCACAACTAATTTCACCCTCTAACAAGCCACTCCAGGTAAAATCGAGATGAACATGTCGGGCTTAAAGGCCTGTGCTCGCTCTTTCCCTTCCCTGAAGTTCTCTTCGACGCTGTAGAATGCAACTGATGTACCCGCTCCATCTGGGCCAATCAAGAATTTGAGATTCACTTTTGACGCAAGGGTTTAATCCTTGCGATAAACCAATGATTAATAAGACTCAAACATGCGTAAGTATTCTCAAAATAGAACTGCTAGTCTTTGAAGATCTGTGAAAGATTGCAGAAAAGAGCTAACTACGTACCTAGGTATGGGGCCACTATAGTTATATAATAAAATCGAGATGTTAACGAGAAATTCGATATTCATCGGTTACTATTAAATGGTCACATACATTGGATCATTTGGAAAGAGACATTTTGACTAGGTGATCCTGAAATTGATATTAGGCTTTTATCATGACTTATCTGTAAGATTATCACTATATAAATTCGCGGAGAAAATTAGGCCTGAAATCAGCACTTTTGTGTTTTTGTAAATACAGGAGTGGGTAAAGACGTATTGACAGGTGCACGGAGTAGTTTATTGTCTCATCACCTGTCCATTATCACCTATTCAAAATCAATTTCTCGAATGACTCTGGTCTTCCTGCCACTTTTTTGGTCCTCCCGATGTGATAAAAAAGATCATACAAAACAAGTGGATCCAAATTTCGGTGACTCATCGAGATCCGGCATGGGGGTCTTTATTGAATCTTGCCAACAGAAAAATTAGCAAGTGCAGTATCTCATGTTCAGGTGTCTTTGGTCTTTAAATCTCATTTCGTTGGTATCATACATTACCGTAGGCCTGTTCGCACGCTGATTGAAATGTCTAGAAACCTTGTACGAACGTCCTCCATGTCTTCCAAAATACCAAAAACCTGCTATCAGACTTCATCGCCATACGAAGAGAAAATCGGATATTACCGTGCCGTGCGACACGGAAATCAAGTCTTTGTTTCGGGAACTACATCCGTTGATCCTCGTTCTTCCGCTACAGCACCGCTCATTTTGTATCCCAACAATGCTCGGGAACAAACACGTGCTGCTCTAGAAGAGTGCATCCGGGCTATCAAAGGACTCGGTGGAAAGGGCGCCCAAGATGTAATTCGGGTCAAAATGTTTGTTGGTTGTCATGACGACTGTGAAGCTGTGGGTGAAGGCTTCCGTCAGGTGTTAGGCAAGCAAAATCACGCTGCAAGTGGGACGATAGGAGCTGCAGCTACAATGATTGTAGTGAACGGTGGCTTCATCAACAAGCAAATGCTTGTCGAAGTTGAAGTCGATGCTATCATAGAAGAGTGATTGAAGTTGCTTGAATGATTATTATGCCCTTCTTTTTAGCACACCCTCAGTCTTGACTAGTTTTGAACAAGTAACGCGACGCTATGAATGATTTGAAATATCTCCAACTCACCTGATTAATCTAAAATTGATCTTTTGAGATCAGACAGTACGACCCTTGAGTGAGTGAGACTGAGGGTTTGAGTTGTCTCACAGAGCCGCTGGTGACATTGATTATCTCCTTATTGCCGAGGTTCCAAGTGAATAAATCAATAACCGTGGAAGGGTGCAAGGATTTTTGACTGGTTTGCTCTGTTAGACTGTGAAAATAGGAGCCATGTTTCTACGGTGTTTGTGGATGAAATTATGCTTCACTAAGATAACAAAACCTTTGAAGGGCGGGGGCATTGTTTTACGTTGACTATCATATCCCCCGACGGAAATAAGTAAAGTTTCAAATTGCTATTAGGATATTTGAAGCTGGAGACAGCCCAGACAGACCTTTGGCAGGTCCAATAGCAAAACCTCGTCGTACGATGGTTTAATCCTTTGGCCGTCAACTGCAATCGCATTATGTCTCGTCAAATAAATCAAAGGTTCATTTGTATTATCATAAGCAAGGGCGCCGGTGAGGCGTGTATTTGCTTCAAGAGAGTATATAATTCTAGCTACAACTTTGCTGCGGGTTCTAATAAATGCTTCATCTCAGAATTTGGGTACTCCACATTTTGGGACGAGTCAGGTCGCTGTCGATCCCACGCCCACTTTTCCATCAATTCAGGGGCCAATTCTCCTTCAAGCATCTGTGCGATATACTTGCCCAGTACGGGGAAGAACTTAAAGCCATGGAATGAGCCGCAAGTCGCGACGTATAGCCCTTTAGAGGCAGAGTGAGGTGAAATGATGAAGTCAGATGTAGTAGTGAAAGCGTCCCTATCTAGTGTTAGGTTGCAATCGTCGGATACTTAAGGGGAACTACTGACCAGCAAATTCGGTGTTTGGTCATCTCCCACGTTGCACTTTCAGGCCCATACCACAAGTTCCTGGATTCTACTATATCCTGCTTCAGAGGCCCCGGAACCTTCCACTGGTTATAGTCATGCGTTGGCGGAGGAGAAGAGATATAACGGCCAGGCAGTATCTCTCGAGTGTTTGTGAAGATTTTGGATCCCCACCACTTGAGCTCTCTGTCTTTTGTAGGGGGGATGCTACCGATGAATGGTTTTCCTATAATTTGTTAGTATTCGATAGTAATTTTCGGATGTATATGACAAATCTGATACCTTCATCTGGAGTGTAACCTTGGAAGCCGACAGGCATATCCTTGAACTTTTTGTATTGCTCCTCGTTGAGTTTTGCCATTCCGGTTGTGATACCAGCAGAAAGGATTCGGTCTCCAGCTCGGAGCCCTGCGTTGCCGCTCTTTGCAGCGCTCCATTCTAACAAAGTCGGAGTAAAGGCCCCAGCAGCGACCACAATATGGGTGGCTGACAATATCTCTCCAAGATGCGTTCTGACACCGGTGCAAGAGCCACGACCATCGAACTCCAGGTTAGTGACAGACGCAGTGACGTATGTAACGCCCAACTCTAAACATCTTTTTGTCACTGCTCGAAGAGCATCTCCTGCGGCAGCCCAGCCACTCGCGCTGTTGATGAGAACTTCCTTAACGCCGGTGTAGTCAGCGTTCTCAAAGACACCCCCGTAGAGCTTTCTGGCTTCAGAGACTGGTAGAGCGGTGATATCATCATTTCGGCCAAGTTCTTTGTGGTTTGTGATGACATTTTGGGCGTAGTCGCTGCGACACGTCCAATAAACACCAGTCTGGTGAAAGTGTGGCTGCCAAAGCGGATCGGATTTAAAAATCTCTTGTGCCTCAAGAGCAAGTCTGCAATAAACCTTGTCGTCATAATCGGCGCGAATAACCTTGTTCCAATCCCATGATGCAGCCACACGCGACTCAGCATCATATGAGTCTCGGTCAACCATACTTATCGATGCATTTGGGTGTTTTTGGATCAGATGGTAGGCAGTTGACACACCAAACACACCAGCTCCAATAATAAGGTATGATGGGTTGCTTGCCGCCATTTCAAAGCTGACTTTTACTTTGTTGTCGACTGCCAAATTTTGGTACTTGGCTAACAATATTTCTTCTGTGAGACTCTGGAATAGCGAGCGATTTCCAACTGCACCTGAGGAGTTGTGTGTTCTCTGTGCGAATTTGAGACGGCTTATCTATGATTCGGGATTCACTTTGATTGCAGACGGTCCGTCCGGGCGGGGGTTCCGATCGAGCCGATCACATGGAGTTTGAAGGCCGGAGAAAATATACGATTTCAGTTGAAATAATTAGAGGGTAATACCGTAGAGCAACCGATTATCCAAGTGATAGGCTAGTTATCTTCAAGTCAAGTGTGATTGCCTTCTCTAAAGAAAAGGCGCTTTCGGTGTCGGCTTAACGGTCCGTCCACGGTCCGTATCTCTGTTCACTAGCCATCAATATACTTTTTGAGGTCTTTCTAACGTCACTTTTCGTCCCTTGTTTAAAAACAATTGTAATATCCGACTAACGCTAGCTGATTGTGAATATATACGTATATTCCCTATCCTATAGGGTGCACTAGGATAAGCCCAGCTCTCATTTTAGTCCATATGCACGAAAGCAAACCATTCCTTTTACTTCATTCGGTTTAGGTGACTTTACTTACTATTCTCACTTTCGCTTTGGGCTATACCAGATACTCTAGTTTTGAGATAATTAAACGAAATAAAGTGTATCAAATCTAGAGCTAAATATAGATAGTTTTCAGAGACCGAAATTTTCTAGAAAGAAAAATAGTCGAGCCTATATATAACTAAGAGCGAAATACTAACCTTAAACGTGTAGCCTTCATCGCTAATTTGGAACTGATCAAACTATCTCTTTACACTCTTTATATATAGACAGAAGAAATAACAGTAAGCGCGAGAGTTAATAAAGGCTATGTATTACTATCTTGTCCTGTTTGTTAATGCTACTTTCATATCTATTAACTCGGGCTAGGGACCTCAGGAGGGAGGGTGAGATATATCGTTTACAGTGATGTTGTTCTTATACGGTGACAGGAAATAAGATCAATTTAGCAATCAATTGCCGGTGCCATTTTGCTGTTCAAGGTACGTGATGTAGCCCCAGAAGTGGGTTAGGTTGTCGCATGGACCGGACTCAGCCTCCCTTCCAAATGGGTTCAAATCCTTGTGCCCGTAGCCGTTCTTGGCAAATTCCATTGAGTTTCATCGAGACTGCTCTCTTGAAGCAGTATCAATAAAAAGCTATACAGATATCAGAGTTCACATAGACTTGGCGGGAATGGCATTGACAATTTCCTCATCCCGGACGTCACTTCACTTCGAGTCTCAGCGCCTGTACCGGTCCATGGTAGCCGAATGAAGGATCTCGCAAAAGTCATTTTGCTGTTGGTCGTTTCTCTAGATGGTAAATAAAAACTTTTGACATAATAAATTGCACATGTTGCCGCTCGTCTAGATCGGTATCTGGACGAAATTATGCAATCTTCGTGGCAAGGTCGTTGTATAGGTTAGGGGATTGAGACTGATCATACTATGAATTAAGTCCGTCGGAGCGTACGCAGAAGCCTTTCCGCTGCTATGGTAGTAGCCCGAAGCACCTAGCTTTGTTTGGATGAGAAAATGTTATAGCTGGGAAGAAATAATTCAAATAAAGTGATTCAATTCGTAGGAAAGAGAGGAAATGAAGCTATCTCAAAATAATAAACGCGGGCGGGCTTTGATAAGTCGATAAGGTTGATGGCGGCCTAAGGCCACAACAACAGAAACAAAGAAAAATAAAGCACAATCCGTAGACGGAACCATTAGACATATCATATTCTCACCAGGAACGCAATAAGAAGCGATGTGGATCCCTCAGGAGATGTTTCAGTAATTTGGAAGGTCAACCGTTGGCCCGTACGCCCTACGAGGGCGCCATGCTGAGGCGCACAAATCGGCCTGTAACGCAGGGAATTTCAGCAGAAATAGAGGTAAGTCTGATCGTCTTTCAATTCTAAATTCAAACCCTTCATGCCGCTTTAAGTCTTTCTTTTTTTGTCCTCGCAGCTTAGTTCTGTTTTTGTCGACGTTTCTCCGTTTCTTATCTGTGAAATCATCGATTATGAGTTCTCATGTCCAAGACACAAAATGATTTCGGATTAACACCTAATTTAAATCCCAATGTGTCCAAAAAACGATTTTGTGGAGGGCTACAAAAGAGAAGAAGGCAGAAAACCTAACTAAGTTCAAGTGATCTGAAGAAGAAACAAGTTGTCTATGTGGGTTTGGCGACTGAAAGGATTATCTATAATTTAATTCAACGTAACTTATCATTCAAGAGGAATATTGAAATTCCATCCTCTATCGCCAATACCGCGCACTACTTCTCGATTGGACAATTAAAATTAAGTGCTTAGCGCTCAGCGTAACCTTGCGAGAATATTTCTGTTCCAATCAGCCGAAAGTTCTAGTGATTTTTTGAACAAAATGATCAGATAACTTCATTTCCTCTCCCACCAATAGCTCTGTCGTCAATCACAATCGAAGTCAAGGCAGAAACCCATCCAAAAATCACAGACTCACCCGATCACACTTCGGAGCTCTTCGTCCCCCTTTCCCAGTACGGGAATCATCTGAGCTAGTGGCAGAATTAGTCTCCTTATCAGGTTTCTCTTCATTTGTTGCCCTCAGTTCAGTCTGCACCCGCATTCGATCGGCCATGGTATCCAACTGTCGGGCGGACTCAGCAGCATATTGGCAGTGTCGACGGATAGCCGGTCCATACTTGTAAAATATCCATGGGAATGGCAAGCAGGCAATGGCAAGAAAGGCCGAAATAGAGGAAGCCCAATGGATTCCAAGATTGTAATAATTTGGAGTGGTAAAGAGAGGGCTGTCGGGGTTCTTGGTCAGCTCTATACATCACGGTTGGGAAGGAATATTCAAAACATACAATGCTGCACCGAAAAGAGCACGGATAACAGCGTTACCCGCCAACGCAGAAGCAGCGTACATAGTATAGCCATCGACCAGATAGTTCACAACGCTTAAAAAAATCGATACGTGAGAGAAACCAAAGAGAACAGTTCCTATCTCGCATACAATCCAATGGATACTAGGGAAATTGGTCCATGCGAACCAGAAGAGTCCGATTGGAAGGGTGACTGCGCCGACCATAGCTGGGACCAATCGACTTTCCGGAGGAGGATGACCATAGGGAGTGCGATCGGCAACCTTTTTGTAACGGCCATCGTCAAGCACTGTATAGGTACAGCCGAGGATCTGCCCAATCATCATCCCTAGGAATGACAGACCTGAGGTGCTCTGTGGCCACTTGAGGGTATCTCCGAAGACAATGGGGAAGGCGGCAAATTCCATATACATGGTTCCATAAACTGTCCATACAATAGTTAGACTTTGATTGGACAAAGCCACAAAGAAAACGAGAAAGGGAATACGTACTGATTGCCATGTAAATAGACAACAGTAAGACTATCGGCTCCATGAAAAGTAGGATCCTCGGCCGAACCATAGTCTTAGCAAAGATCTGACTAGCTGCTCGGTTGGAGTCACGTGTAACTAGATGGCTCTTGTAGACAGCACTAGTCATCATCTTGCTGAGTCTTGCCGCGCGCCTCTGAAGCAAAACCGGAGTATAGGTCTCAGGAATACAGAAATGCCAAGCAAGAACACCACTGCATTAAAAATAGTGGTAAGACCCTGTACCCATCTCCAACCCTGGGACATAGCCAAAAAGTCACAAGTTATAGGCCCAAGACTCGGACCCAAGAAAGGAGCACCAATGAACGCGATTGTTGCTAGTCCCCTGTCCCGCGCTGTACATATATCTGAAACTACATCGCCGGCATTTGGATTTGCGGACGAGCCAAATGCACCAGAAAAGAATCGAAGGACAAACAATGTGGCGATATTCGGGCTTGCAATCGTTACTCCAGCAAATAGTGTAGTTAGGCCGTAGGTAACGAGGTAGATCAGTTGACGGCTAAAAAGGTTTGATAGCGGAGCCCAGATTGCAGGCCCGATCGCGAAAGCAAGAACAAACAGCGAGGTATCGGCAACCACTAACTCAGTGCTGACTCCGAACTCCTTCTGTATTTGGGGGTAGGCAGTGAAAGAGCGGACGAAGCGAATGTTATGGACAAGAAGGAAGCAGCTTGGAGAAGTGTAATTGACCACTTAAGCCGGTCCTGCATCTGATGCGGATCACGAGAATCTTCAGCAAGCCAGTCAACCAAGTAAGGGTCTTCTTCGGTGCCACTGCCCTCCCATTGATGGCGAAGAACATCGTCGGTGATGGTATCTTGCAACAGCACTAATTGATAGAGAGGAAGTCTGTGGTGATTGCCGGGCTTCTCGGTGGTTGACATTGCTAGTGTGGGGAGTCAATATGCAAGCCTCGAGGGAGTAGACAGAGGAAGCTTCGAGGGAGCTGGCAATGGTCAATGACGTAGATTGAGTGGGAACAACGCAACGGCGAGTTTCAAGTAAGTCCTCGTACCGGCGATAAAATAAAAGCGCCGGGTGAGCGAGAAAATAATAACGGGACTGGAGGCAATTGGAAGAGAAAGGGCAGGTGGGCTGAAAAATATAGGCTATTGGAAAGTACTGAGAAATTTCGCTGAAAATGAGGGGGGAACCCAGTTGTTCCATTTTTAATGATTGACAATTACCAGGTCGCAGATTATAAACCAATTTTAGTCGATTCCGGAATGCGAATTCTTTGTTCTTCGCGCTTTCTGAAGCCGTAATTTTGTATAAATGACGATGCCATGATTTTCAGGCTACGCCAAGCTATAAGGTTATGGTTAGCCGCTGACAGATGGACCAATCACGCGAGTCTCCGAGGGCCCCATCACCTCGTTCCCACGTTGGCGGCTAGTCTCAATCCGGCTATTGTAGTATGCGACGACCATATGGAATATCTACAGGTTGCTTCAATTGTGAATGCTGTGGCAATGGCGTCGCCGGTTAATAGAATCTACTTCCGCCTAGTCGAATAAGAGGCCTCAACTGCTTCCTCCACTGGAGCTTTCACTCTATGCTGAAGATCTCATAGGTGATGACCGTTGCCTCGACAAAAGAGATTACAGCCCCTAAAGTATACTCCGAAGCCCTATAGCCAGTATTAAAACGGCTACTGAGTCTTAATCGCGTCGGCAAGTGAAAAGTTAGACAGTGGTTCCCATAAAGCCTAGCTATCCTAGGTTACCGAAAGAAGTAAAGGCACCGCTGTCTCTATACGCTTATACTCAGTCTTTATTAGCTTACATAGAAATCTTATTTGACAATTAAGACAAGAGCAATAATATGGGTCTTCATCGTGTTTTTCTATAGAGAACATTAGAAGACGAATATCCTTAGTTAGTATCGATGTAGGATCTTAAGAGCCGCTAGAACCCGTTTCGAGAAAAGAAAGATTAACTCCAGGCATAGTCCGACGAAGATCATTTTTATATAACTAAATAAACAGAAGGCATTAAGAGATGTCTATTAGATTTGCTATACCTTAAGTAGGGTTACGTACCGTTAGCATCCTAAGTGTAATAAATTCGTGGTAGCGAAATTTGATACCAGTTCCCAACTTGTCAAATAAGCTACAAGTCTTATCCTAAGAATTCTCCGGCATTATAGGAAAGCAGCTCTCGCTTAAATGTAGTAGGTTGTTCTCATTTAAGAACTCAAAAAGCGTATCTTCTGCTAGTAAAGTTTTCCCCCTAACACTGCCAGTAGTCGTTTCCGCTGCTATATTATTATCAAATGCTCTTTTTATATGAATAAAATTGGTTCTAGACCTCTCTGCGTTTTATTACTACCTTTTCTTTGGTGCCACTGTTATGTCTTTCTGTTCTGGGAGCCTTTAGGACGCCCGAACCTAGTAGGTTCGCTATATAGAATAAGCCTGTTTCGATTTGCACAACTAATACAGGGATCACCGCCAAAACATTTCATCTTCATGCTGTGACATATATCATAAGCAGCCGGAGCCTTAAGCTAGTTATTCAGTTCAATATAAATCGGCGATCTAAGAATAACGCACAGTAACAGGAAGGTATGGCCAAATTGACAAGCTTACCCGTGCCGCTGCATCTTAGGTTCTATGGCATATTGATTGGACGAGAATCCATATTCCTAGTCTACACAAACCTCGCACGATATATTTGATTTGCAACTCTAGGACTATTAAGCTCCTAGGTGTGGAGGCTGTCCTTTATCGCTGTTTCCCGCCTGAGACCCATGAGAAGCGAAGCTGCTCAGTGTCAGAATTTCAATATCCTTGACTAGATCTTGACCAATCATTAAATGTTACATGATCAGATAGTGAAGACATTTTTTTGGAGTCCCTTTCCCAAAATGCGAGAAATGATCTGCAAGGGTCCTGCCCCCCCCCCCCCCCTTCCCGTTTATCTCTTGCGTCAGATAGCTTCCTCTCGCCTCTTTATTTCAATTCAACGATATGCATATCTCGAGATGTTATTCTTAAATCTAAAGGATTCGACTTTATGCCGTTTTGTGGATTTCATGCAGCCACGAAAGTCGAAAGGATTCCAGATTCACTGGCTCGCAACAGACTTAGCTCAGCTTCCTTCTGAGACTGAAACCCAAAATTTATGCGTTGCTTGGACTCTACATCATTGATGAAATCTATCATCCGATCCATGAGTTGTTCCAGCGTTGAATATACAGGATGCTGAATTGTGATTCAATTCTCCAAGTCTTATCATATGTCAACATGCATTCAATTAACCGTTTGGACGACGCTTCATGCAGTCTACAGATAATATAAGAATTTAGAATTGCGGAAATAGTGTTGTACTCCGTTCGGTATTCTTGCTCGCTGCATAGTGCCAAACTAGGCTTCTCCGAACTAATTTAAAAGCCAAGTCCATCGGGTTACAATGCAGGCAATATAGTTGAGAGATAAGTTAACCGCTTGCTGATTTCGAAATAGCTTATTATCGCTCCGCCAATGTTACCTTGGCGATAACTCCTTTTCCCCACTTAGGTGGCGTTTCTGCTTGTTCTTTTTACCGGCCCATCTCGTTCATCTACTCTGCCCTTATAAGTAGAACTGAAGTAAAGAAAGCCCGTTTCACTCAATGATTGGACAATCAACCTTTGTCAATTAAAGGGTAAAGAGAAATTGCGGGCAGATAAGATAGATTCTCGTTCACTGCGTAAAGTGAGTATAATCCGCACACGATTTTTTTCTCGTATATGCTAGCTCTTTAATCCTTGGAGTGGGGACTATATATATACAATGTGGTCTTCCGCACTTAAAATGACAAACTGGAACTACGGTGACGTGATTCTGAGGACACTATGCACCAGTGAGGAGTAAAAAACTCGACAACTTCCTTATCTACACCTCAAGGTTGCAGAAGACGCGTCACCTATGTAAGTAAGAAAACTTCGGGATCGTCTTGCTCTTCTGTCGATCCCCTGTCAAATCAAATATATATGTTTACCCGATTTCAGGCCTAGTTTCAGGCATGGCTGCTAACTTTTCAAGAGGGGTTTAGCGGTCGGTGAGAATGAATTGCACAGGCTTCTCCCCACGTTGCTTGAGTTTGTCGTTCAGAATAGCCTCCATGATAGGAACTGGTCCTCAGGCGCCTGGACAGGAGTTAATGAAGGTGAAGGAGGCCAAGTCATGGATATGGTTGAGCAGCAGATCGTAGACTTGCACGGCTGGCGAGTCTTTGGTTCCAGGGCCTCTGGTCTTCCACATCTGAATGCGAGCCATGTGCGAGTATTCACGCAGCCGTTCCAGACACCATGGCTAATTTCCAAGCTCTAGCAGGTGAAATCGAGGGGTAATGATCATGTTGAGTTAAAAAAAAATCTCACAAAGCAGAGGTAGCCAGCTTCTCTGTACTTGTTCTTACTTTATCAACATGGTGGGAGTCTTTCAAATCAAATGTACGAACGGACCCAGGCTTCATCACCTGGTTCGGGCTTCGGGATCTGAGCAATCAAACAGCCTAAAACCAGGATTCTGTGTAATTCCTGAATCAGTACCTCTCGTGGACGATCTGGAGCCGGATTTAAGCATTTCTTAAGTCCTATGGCCGTTTGGTTGTATCGTGTTCGTTTAGCAATTTATTAATATCGTACTGCCGGTCAAATTACTGCGAGTTTTCGAAGAACCAAAAACTCCTCAATATACACGAAAATCACACTGGTTATGCGTGTCCTTCTTACCGGCGGCACAGGTAAGACCTCAATCCCTTGAACGGCACTATCCTTCTCTATCAAATATTACTTATTGCGTTTGAGAACAGCCTTTCCCCACCCCATAAACTTCTAGTCCTTTTTGCGGCTAGATACCTGGGTATAATGATCAACTGATAGAAAAAATCGAAAGAGGAAGCAATTCATTTTACTCATTGAAAAATTCTTGGCTGATATTGCATTCCCCATTGCACTAGCTTCTGCTATTTTCAATTCGCCCATCCCCGGCCCTAATCTCGCCGAGTGAGCTGCGAGCCAATGCTAAAAATTAGTGCTTCTCCAAAGCAGCACTCTCCGAAACAACCTCAAAGTTGTTAGAGCGGAATGGAGTAACCTCAAACTTGCGGAACTTCCTCGCGTTAATATCCTTGCTGAAGAGAATGTCCAGCTCAGTTGGAGTGCGTCCCTTGGGCTCGGGCAAGCGGAAGAATGACCAGAGGAAACAAAGCATACAAGTAGAAGCCCAAATAAAACCACCTTTGCCCCTTAAATTCCAGGACAAAGGATTCAGGATAGGAGGGTTCAAGAAATTGGCAACGATACTCGCGATATTGTAACAGTTACGCGCGAGAACCGCACTCTTGATGCGAAGGCGAGTGGACGGGATTTCCGAGATGAGGCAGTAGGTAACGGGGCCGACAGTTAGGTCATAAGCAAAGACGTATACTAGGAGCAGAGCCGCAGAAGTGTAACTCAGCCCGGGGGAAACTTTGTTTGGGATGCCGAGGAAACCGACTAGCATCAATACCGAGAACATAGTTCCGAGACCGGTGATGAATAGCCTACGTCGACCAACACGCTGCATCACGAACCAAGAGCAAATGGTGCCAAGCCAACCAATAGCGTTAACGCCAAGACCAAAGTCGAAGGCCTGGTCGTCGCTAAAGTTGATCTGTTGTAGGAAATAGACGATGTTGCCCCCAAACCAAATACCACAGAAGACCTGGCACATCCAGACACAGCACACAATCTCGGTACGTCGGCGGTCCACTCCTTTGAAGCAATCCCAGTATGAGACTCCAGCTTGGGAGATTTTCTCCTGCGTATTCGTGATGATCATGAGTGCGATAGCGTCGTCGGTATTGTATTCCGATATCCCTGGTGTAGCTAAGCGATCAAGAGACCTCTTGGCTTCTTGAGTTTGCCCATTGCGAACAAGCCACCAAGGCGACTCGGGCGCGAAAATGACACCGATGATGATGGGGACCGGCCAGACCCACTGGATAGCATATGGGATACGCCATCCCCACTGATCTGTGCGGGTCAAAAGGCCTCTTAAGACTCCGGTGGAGATAAACTGCCCAGTGACCCAACAGAGATTGACATAGGTGGTAAGGTATGGGCGTAGAATAATAGGGCTGACCTCAGCAGCGTACGTAGTAGTCAAGGTCTGAAAAGCGCCCCAGGGGATGCCGCAGAGGACTTCGCCAGCGAACAGCATTCCGATATTCTGAGCGAAGAACATCAAGAAAATGAAACCAATCAGCGCGATCAAAGCACCTAGCATGGTCCTTTTATACCCAAAGCGATCAGCAATGAGACCAGCCATAAGCAGCCCCATGATTTGCCCAACGTTGGTTCCATTCTGAAGACCGGTCTGCCAGTTTGAGGTAACTTGATAACCATGATCCTTGCTATAAACACCAAATCGTTCTTTGAAAGTCGGGTAGGCGTAAAATGAACCAAGAAGAGATGTATCGTATCCCTCCATAATGATAGCAAGAGATAGCACAAAAGAGAAACCAATTGCCTTGGGGAAGAGCTTGAAGGCATCTCGGTTAGTGAGTTTATGTTCAAAGTCGGTTGCGCGTCGAGCTTTCTCGACTAAATTGGCAAAGCCAGGAAGCTCTGCTGACATCTGTAAGAGGGCTTCGTCCTCGATACCGATGGTATTTTCTCCCAGAGATTGGGAGGGTACCGCGAGTTGGTGCTCAACGTGCACACTTGAGGTTTTGGAATCTTCCATGCCTTCGGACGGGCCTGGAATATGGCCCGGCGATGAGAATATATGCAGAATAATGTGACTCGAGAGAAGTGGGCAATGAATGAGACGGGAAGATTGTAAGAATCAAGTTGGAGGTGGAAGATGATGATGTTTATATTGAAGTTCTACCTACTTCACTTGATAACACGTACTTTTCGCTAGTTTCGTTTGGATCGTACACAAAGTTCGAGCATCAGCCACATGGTTCAATTTGCACACCTCGCTCTAACTTTTGCGGGGATATGTGGGGGACGCACAGCAAGCTTTCGCCTTCGCGTTGTCGAACTGAGATAAACACCGAGATCCGGTGGTATAGGGCAATTTAGAACCGAGTAGAGGGTGTAAGATTGGGGCCATTGCATTTTCGCTGTGTTTCTCGGGCCATCTAAGCGCCTGACACGAACGGGCTTATCCCAGGAGAATCGATTAGAGTGAAACCCGGAGGTGGCGTACACGTGAAGTAGCCAACGCCATCCCCGAAAAAAGAGTAACAAATGAAAGTGATAGTTCACGAGCGGCAAGGGGTCAGTGCGGTGATTGGCTGTCGTCGCATTCCATGTGAGCCACCAAATACCCTGAGGCCACGAATCCCAGCGAGGATTTGGCGCTTCGGTGCATTTCTCGTCATTTAAGATGCAAACAATACGAAACAAATTCTAAATGGTCGCGTTGCAAATATCGCGATTTTTCTTGGTCCAAAAAGTAACGGCGAAACTCGCTGTGATTGTTAACGAGAAACTTGGCCCTTAACCGAGGAGGTCATAGCCTCACCGAGTCCACTAGCAATCAACAGCACTTAGAGTTGCGTTTACTATACTCGGCACTTTGGATACCCTTTTTTTAAACTTCTGCATTGATTATCTTGCAACTATTCACGGCTTTTATTGATTGCGGGGACTCTTCAAGTGTTGTTTCAACCTCTATGATCATCATAATACTAATCATTCCCAGGTTATATATAAGAGCCATGACGGCAAAGAAAGATTTATACTTCGAAAACAAACGTGCTTCGCGAGCAATCATCACATCGAAACATTACATTGCAATTTGTTTGATATGCACTCTTCCTACCTGATGCTACTAGGGCTCTACCCACAATTTGGGTTTGCAGCAGTGATCCACCAGCGCTCAGTCATGCAGGGCTGGTCTCTTCAGTCAAGCAATTGTCCTAGTCAAGCCAAATCCTGTGGAGGTGGAGCATGTTGCCCAAGCAGTCTTTTTTGCTTCGCTGCTCAAACTAATGAAGTTGCTTCTTGTTGCTCTTCCAGTAAGACACAGTCTATTTCCCATTTACTTTGTGATAGGAGTAAATTTGTTGACTATGTTCAAAAGACTCGGCCTGCGTGGGGGCCGTAGAAGGTGCCCCAAAATGCGCTGATTCAAGCTGGTCTCTATGGCAAGGATTTCAAGACAATGGTTTTTGCTGCCAACCTGGTCTTGTCGGTGTTTATAAGTCTACTGGAACTACTGCAGGAAGCTGTGTCGCCTCTGGACAGACTGATATAGCAACTACTGCTAGGCTTGTGAGATCTTTGAGACTGCAGGTTTGTCGAAGTATACTCATTAAACATGAATTAGGTATCCATTGGATCGGGAGCTACAGCTACTACTACGACTACAAAAACGAGCACGACTAAAGGTAATGTCCAATGCCTTCTTCTTTGGGTCGTTCGACTGTATATTTAATAGAAGGATCAGGAACCACAACAACAACTACTGCAAGTACCATTACAACCACTGCTACGCAGCCCAGCAGCAGTAAAGCTGTTTTCGCACATTACATGGTATGTTGCATTGAATTTCACTAGAGATTATCTAAATCCAAATAGGTTGGTTCGATGACTGCGGCGGAGGCTGTCACCGATGTTAATCTTGCTATGAGCGCGGGTTTTGATGGCTTTGCACTAAACACGCACACTATGAGCTCGTCCGACACTTGGAATACCAATGCACTCAACTACTTATTTGCTGCAGCATCTGGAACCAGCTTCAAGCTCTTCATCTCATTTGATATGAGCTGGGGTCTAGACGTCACCCAGCTGGCATCCTTCTTGGCCCCATATGCAACCCAAAGCGCATACTATAAGGTTGGCGGCAAGGCGTTCGTGAGCACGTATGGCGGTGGCACCATTTCAAATGCCCAATGGGACACCGGCTTTGTTAAACCTCTGACCTCAACTTACGGCATCACACCCTATTTCGTTCCCAACTTCGACGACTTTTCCGGATATCCAGAAGGAATTTTTGGTGCTTACCCAATCTTGAGCGGGGTCTTCAGTTGGGAGTCTGCATGGCCCTCTCCTGGTACAACTCCGGCCAATGTCAGCAATAGTGTGGACTCGGCAGCTTTGCAACAAGCACATGCCGCTGGCAAGGCCTACATGATGCGTAAGATGTACCAATCGATATTGGATTTTTGAGTACTAATGATATTTCCTTCACAGCCATGTCGCCCTATCAGTTCAAATACCTCGGTAGCGGAAATGACTGGTACCGCGTCGGCGAAGTGAATCTACCCCAGCGCATGGCTCAAGCTCTGCAACTACAGCCTGACTTTGTGGAAATTATCACTTGGAACGACGCTGGCGAGAGTCACTATATTGGTGACTTTTGGCAAGAGCAGATTGCTGGAAGCACCATTGGGAACTACGCAAACGGTTTTGACCACAAGGGCTGGCTAGAGGTCATCACTCCGTTCATCAAGGCATACAAGGCCGGTGCAACAAGCATCTCTCAGATAGCGCCCCCCAGTGGCAAGCCTGTCGGAGCGCTTTGGTATCGCACGCTTCTGAAAAGTGCCAGCTGCTCTTCGTCGATTGTGAACTATCAGTCTGCACAGGATGCTGTCAACTTCGCTGTTATTCTGCCTTCGACTGGATATACAATCAAGGTTTACAGCAACAGCAAGCTTCTAGGCAGCTTTGCTGGCGTTAAAGGCTTGAACTATAATAGTGTTTTGGGCCTCGCTGTTGGTGCTGGGCAGATGATTCAGATTGTGGATGCGTCGAATCAAGTTGTTTCTTCGGCCACTGGCACTAAGAATGTTTTGGCTGAGAGCCCCAACGATACATGCAACTGGAACTATGAGGTTGTGGGCCTGTCTTAAAGAGATGATATTGAGACATATTGAAGCTTGATCCATACATCGGTGTGTTAGTTTCACAATGTCTAAGTCCTTTGGATCTCTAAATACCTAGTAACGCACTTTTTCGGCCTGTTCTGAAGTTCACACAGATTTGGTATTTGCAGTTCTTCTTTTTCACCCGTGACTCTGCTAGTAGAGAAATACGGCAATTCAAGTAGATCACTGTGTGGGCTAGGAATTAGCCCAACTATGGCAATTTCACCCTGCCACCCAGCCGGGACCCGAATTGCCTACCATTGGGGTGTTCTTTTAGAATGTCCTGAGACTCAAAAGCCTCGTTGAATCAATGGTGAGAGCGTGAATGAATGTCCAATGTTCTTTTATTTTTTTCTTAGTAAAAAATCGAATCCATATCCTCCTCCTCCTGAGCAGGAAAGTCAGTCATCAAGGGGATATCCATTTTCGAGGGGATATGCGTCAGCCGCTGATGTAGCAAGGAAAGTCTTTGGGATTTTGTACCCCCAACCTTGGAAATTAATTGCGCAATGGCAATGACAGCATCCAGTGGTCCAAGCCGACATGTCTCATGGTTGAGTATGTTTGGCATACATAGCACAATATCAAGGGCAGAGTTCGCGACTTGAAGAAGCTTTATTTCCTGTAAAATCATATCCACAATTAGAAACGTGATTTATACTCTTTAAGTGCCACTTGAAAAGTAGTTTACTTACCATCCCATATCCGTGACTGCGCAAAGACTCGATCGACACATTGGAAAGCGAGTCCAGATATTCTTTTGCGATAGATAGTGGATATTCAAAAGAGAGCGGCTCAATAGATGTTCCTGAAGATAACATAAAGCGTGAAGCAGAGTATTGCCAAAGCAAAGAGCGGATCCAGGCGGATGTAGTCATGATATCCACGTATTGAAGCTCAGATGTCACTTCGAGCCCTGTCAGTTTGATTTGAATACGGCGTTGGATATCTGATATATTGCTTTTGGAGTACATTTCCTGTCCATTTATTGCTTTGGTAGCAGAAATTGATGGAACGAGGGGCCGCTGGACATGGAGGAACAGCCGAACAAGCGCACAAAAGCCCGCATATAAGTCACCCTGGGGAGTATTTCGTTCAAATCCAGGAAGGTTCGGTGTTCTTTGGAGCGTAATTGGAAGATCATGCTGAATGCAAAATGTTCTAATAAACCAATCAGAAGGCCAACTCAGAGCTTTTGGATGATAACCAGGGGAAAGAATTCCGACCTTTCAGTGACAAACAAGATCCAATAGCAACGAAGCTCGAGCTGCCATTTTTTTGACTCTCCTTTGTCAGATGAAAAAGTCTGACCTAGGTGCATTAGATCTGCATAAGTAATTGCCTCGCGAAGAGCAATGGTAGCGGGTGTGACCAAGTCTCGATTTGCGTAATACATATGGAGGAATATGGAAGTAACAAGAGCCTGGAGCGAGGTCTCTTGATTATAACTGTTTGCCAATCGGAGATAAAGACACTCCTTTGCAAAATCCTCAGCACTCACGGAAAGCCGTTGAGGGCATGGATCTGGGGTGAGCCAGAGACGCATTTGTACCAAGGTTGCAGCACACAAAGCCGCTGCCAATGCGTGGTGGACAGGATCGATGTTAGCCTCACCTCTCAATTGAGCCTTCAGATCTTCCGCGTCGATAATCGGCCAAATTTCGTAAAGATGGGTCTGGAATATATCAAGAACAGTGCAGTAAGTTGTAAAAGAAATTGGCGAGTCTCGTGAACACAGCGCCCGGGGGCTCTCGAAAACAGTTGCCATTTTAGTATCGTCTGTATGGGAAAGTCCATGCTGAATCATTTTGATCTTAAGATTCGTAGCTGATCGAGGTCCTTTTGGACCTGGTCTTTTACGGACCCTCAAATAAGAACATGTTTGAGACCTGGCCTGGCACGCTTGACATGGCTTTTGTCGGTCACATTTGACCCGTCGAACGAAACAACCATCGCAAGGACTGTCCATGATGCATGATTTGCTTTTCGGGGTCAGGAATTAGAGCGAGAATTAAATCGTTGACTTCGTTTAGCGCAGATTCCCCGCGTCCACTAGTAGGTTATTAGCGTTGACGCGGGGAAGACGCCTCCAAAGCTAAGAGACAACAGCCGAGATACCCGTAGGGTAACATGCTGATACGCCACATAATACTACCGGAGCTTCTGTTTGGCTCAATTTTGGTTGGGCAAGTCTGAGCGAAAATTGCGGCGAATTTGGGGGGGTTATTTTTAGGAGTTCGCAAAGTGGCCTGGAGGTGAGCATAGGGGTAGGGGAACAAACGATTTCAATGAAGATATATGTTCTGACCTCTGCACAATGAATATTGAAAAAGATTCCCAATAACTATTTGGATTTGGATTTGAGTTATCTGAATCTTAAAGTCATGCATCGCTATGCTTTTTCCCACAAACCCGTCGCTAACTCTGAGGCGATAGTGGGAGGCGCTGGAAAATACCGTTTCACGGTTCGTCTCTATGACAGGACTCTGAAGATTCAAGATCCACTCCGTTACAATTAGCGAGTCTCGTTTACTAGCTCCGAGTGATACGGGGATTCTTCTTCTTCGAATTAGTTATTTTTACTACTAATTAGTCGATTCTATCGATCTTTCGGTTCGGTTCGGAGGTCCTAGCTCTACGATACTAAGGAACGGGAAGTAGGGCTAAGCAGGACTAAAACCAATCATAATAATGGTTTATACAGTCGTACTGCTTAGTCAAGTGTTTTGGTGATGTTTAGTATTATGTTACGAGCTAAGTCTTAATGAAAAAGAGTGCATTTAACTAGAATACTAAACATAGGGAAAGAAAGAAAGAAAGAGAGAAAGAAAGAAAAAGAAAACAACACGCTGAAGCAATTAAGGTAGTGATGCCTAAGGCACCAAATCAAACAATGCAAACCACGATCTGCGGAGGGCGGTGGAACACGGCAGAACCGGTTCCAGATCCATGATTGTAGATTCTTCGTGACACACCCCATCAAAACATCTCGAAAAACCTGGCATTTTCAATCATCAATTTCTCGACAACCAGAGGGCTATGCAATCTCCGGAGCAAATGGGGGCAAATTCAGAAATGTTTAGACCGATCCGAGACCTCTAGACCAAAGGAGTCTGTCGACGAAAAGAACCTGAAGTCTGGCGTACGACCCACTTTTCCTCCCATAGTAAAGGGAAAACCCTAACCTGGAGTCTGGCAGACTCCAGGTACCCCCGTGGGATAGGAAAGTCTCAGACATAAATTTTCCAGTGGTGCATGCATGTAATTTATAGTGCTTCAAAATTAAAGACGGACACATAAGACGCTATGGAACAAAGTGTGAGCACGATTGATGTATTCGGATGTAATGAAACGAATGGTCATGTATGGTATCTTATTATATGAATAAATATAAATTAATCATATACTCATGAATATTGCGAATATGAATGAAGGGCTTATTCATATTCATATTATTCAATCCATATAATTCATATTCGCGAATATTCATGAAAGATCATGAATAATCATATTCCCTTCGGACCCCTAATTACAAGGTTGTAATTTTACAGTATAAGCCCCTGAATGTAGTCTACTATGAAAGAGATAAATCACTTTCATCAACTCGTTGTCTGTTACCATTGTTGCTAGTGTCATTATACAAAGCCTTCCCCTCAGTTTGTATTGAAATGAGTTAGGATAAGAATAAATAATGACCGAACGCGTCACTTGAACAGACAGATCAAGTCCGATACCTAGATAATACATTCTGTACAGAGTTTTACCAATTACTAGCGCCAAATCAGGATTGCTGAGAATCAACCGAGTTCCACAAATCCCCACGGGGTGTTTCTGATTCTTGTTTCTGAACATCCGCTACCAAGAACTTCATTGTCGCGGAATTTTCATAGTCAACGTTTCCAAATGAATACATTAAATAACCTCGGAATTAGATACAGAACTTTGCAATCAATAATAATCGCAATCCACTGCTCAACCTCGTTCCCATTCGGGTCCCAGACAGTAGTCTAGGCCTTCTCGCTCTCGCGCATCTCGATCTGCTCCGAGGTGATGGCAACCTTTAGGTCCTCGACCCTCTCAACGCCAGCCAGGCCCAGAGATTCGTTAATTCTCTGCATGCGCAGACGATCGGCCTCGGCAATGCTTGCCTCGGAGCCACCGAAGAACACATCTAGCTCCTCCAAGGTCTTATCCTTTGTTTCGGGTGCGAACTTCCAGATGAAAAGACCGCCCAGGCCACTGAAGATGGCGAAGAAAATGTAGGTGCCGTACTTCATCGAAGCCAACATATCCTTTGTCGTCAAACCGATAATGAAGTTAAACATCCAGTTGGTACTAGCAACAATGGCAACACCCTTAGACCGCTGGCTATTAGGGAAAATCTCCTGGGTCAAGACCCATGCGACAGGGCCTATAGACAGTTAGTTCGGAAGGTGGAAGGAATAATAAACTAAAACATACCCCAAGAGTAGGCGAAATTAACTGCAAACAGCCAAATAAAGACAATCGCAACCCATCCCTGTCCTTTGTCTAGTCCCTGGTTGAGATCCCAGCTAGGTTTGAAAATACCCTCGACTGTGGCCACAACGATATGACAGCAGAACATGCCAATGGCGCCGACGATAAGGAAGGTTTTGCGACCGAATTTATCAAGATAGAGCACGGCAGGGAGAGTAAAGATGATCTGCAAAATTCCGGTTACACCAGTAGCCAAAAGAGTCTGCTTGGTCGAGCTGAACCCGAAACTGGCAAAAATCTGAGGCGCGTAGTATAGGACTGCGTTGATACCGGTAAATTGTTGGCAAATCATAGTCCCGCAGCCAAGGAAAAGACGCTTAAGCATATTAGGAGCAAAGAGTGCCTTCCAAGGAGCCAGAACACCACCAGCGCCGACAGCTTCGCGCTCGGTTTCTTCGTCGAACATAACAGCGGCCTTAATCTCAAGGAATTCGGCGCGGACGTACGGGTCGTTGGATGGGAGACGGCGGAGTCGAGAAAGAGAAGCGAGAGCCTCATCCTCGCGATGTTTCATCATCAACCAGCGAGGGGAGAAGGGGAAATAGAACATGCCGAAGAAAAGGATCCAAGCAGGAATGATTTGTAAGGCTAAGGGTAGGCGCCAGGCGATAGTCTTCTGGCCGAGGCAGCTATGTCCGTTGGTAAGGGCAGCGTCGAAAGCACCGCTGGCGAGGTAGGGGTCAGCGATACCCTCGGGGTTGCAAGTCGTGCCGCCGACAAATTGCATGCCGTAGTCGAGCCAGAAAGAGATGGCGGTACCAATCGTAATAGACAGCTGTTGAAGAGAGACCAGAGATCCACGCAGTTCTGGAGGAGCAATTTCGGCCTGGTAAAGCGGAATGACCATACTGAACATACCAATACCCACACCACCGATAATTCGGCCAGCGAAGAAATAGGCAGGTGTTTGAGCGCCAGCTTGTAGGCCGGTACCCAGCGTAAAAATGAAGACAGCAGTCATCATAGCATATTTCCGAGAGATGCGATCGGCGAGGATTCCATTAAGCAGAGCACCGGCCCAGGCACCCAGCTCCAGAGCAGACACCAGCCAACCCTGGATGGTGGACCCTCCAAACGTCGGGAAATGGTTCTGGAAATTCTCCATAACAAGAATGGGGCCCATGACTCCCTGGTCGTAACCATACATAATACAGCCCAGAGAGGCAAAGCAGCATGTCAAGGAGACGAATGGGTTTTTGAGAAGACCAATGATACCATGGGCCTTCTCTGCGTTGGCACGGCCAACCACAGACTGGCTGACTGCCATCTTGACGATGTAGAAAGCAGAAGTCGGAGGGAGAAGAAAAAGATGAAGGGAGAGTCTGGAATAATTGAAACGAGGCTAGAGCAACCACACTATGTAGTTACGCCGGCAGGGCTCTAGTTCGCTTATTTGCAAACTGTTGGAGTTCTGGACCGGGGTCCCCAGACCAAAATCCCTCAGTCCCCGCAGCCTACTACTTCCTACTCGGAGAGCTGAAGTAGCCTGCAGGTTTTAGTTGGTCAGAAATGAGGGGCTTGAGTGCTAGAGATAACTGTCCGGTGAATTAATCAATCCATATTCTAAGGGTTTTATGTGTTCGAATCATTCCGGAGTGGTGGCGCACGCGTCAAAAGCGAACTATCCTGGATCTGAGGTGAGCCGGATCTAGGACGTGCCACATGATAATAATCATTTCCACCCCCTGCAAAGCGAATTCTTTCTTTCATACGCCTTGTGCGTCTGTTCTCGACGTCCAACGCTGACTCTGTTCACACTTTGTTACTGCCTTTTTTCCCTTCCGATCACAAGAATGCAACCGAACTGTCTTTCCTGCCCTACTTTCTTGGCGGCCACCCGTGTAGATCTAACCAACCCCGTACCCTAACTCGAAAGTATACTTTCGGGTCTGCCGTATTTGGGAAGATGCTTGGCACTGAAGCAAGCTTTCCACCTCCGAATTAAGAGGCTTGAGATGGCATCGGCCAAATATCGGACGGACAGAGTAGTGTAACCCAGGACCTGAGAGGCAACGCCCCAGACTTTGTCGGTTCTACGCACCAGTCACACGCACCCCGGATAGCAGGAGCCGGGGCATGATTGGGCAAAAAGGGGTTTCCAGCTAACAGAGATGTAGGGTCAATCTCACTCAGCCAATGAATGTGGCATTTCGGGAGCCAGGATGGGTCTAGCGGGTCAGTTCGGGCCATAGGCGCCCTGGTGCTTCTTTCGGCCCCAAAGCTTAGTGGCGGTCACTAGCCTGCGAAGGT